TGGTTGAAGACATAGATCATGTCTGCCTTTTGCACCGTACTGAGACGATGCGCCACGGCGATCGTCGTGCGGCCTTTAGCTGCGTTATCCAGAGCAGCTTGCACGAGATTTTCAGACTCTGAATCGAGAGCAGAAGTGGCCTCATCCAGCAAAAGGATTCTGGGGTTGCGGAGCAATGCTCTAGCTATTGCAACACGTTGCTTCTGGCCACCTGACAGCATGCTGCCCTTACTACCAACGAGGGTGTCGAAACCGCTTGGCAGACTGATGATGAAATCGTAGATGTTTGCGTTCTTGCAGCATAGCACTATTTCGTCTTCCGAAACGTCCTCGCGGTCCGTACCTAGCAAAATATTCTCGCGGATGGTACCTTGGTAGAGCGTTGGCTCTTGGCTGACAAGTGCGAGATGGGAGCGGTAGTTGTTGATGTTGAATGACGAGATTTCCTTGCCGTCGACATAGATACCGCCGAGGACCGGATCATAGAATCTCTCCAGGAGGGCAATTGCAGTGGACTTGCCACATCCACTAGCTCCGACGAACGCAACGTACTGCCCGGGCTTGACGTGCAGATTGAGACCTCGCAGAACGGGCTGATCTGGGCGCGTCGGGTACCTGAAATGCACGTCTCTGAACTCGACGTGGCCTTCTATACTCTGGACCATTTCGCCATCTCGACTCCAGCTATCGATTTCCGGCGTCCGGTCGAAGAGAGCCTTGAGGCTAGCAGCAGCGTGCCTGGCTTTGGCAATATCCGGTGCATAGCTGAACATGGTTCCTGCAGACTGCGCCCCGAAGATGACTACGCTGAAACACAGGAAGAATTGGAACCTGAATATAAGTTAGAGCTAATATGGCGTCTGTTCGGGGAATTGTCATCTACCCACATGGAATATTCGTTTCTGCCGAACAAGGTACCTCCATACCAACAGCCGAGAGCCATGCAAAGAAATTGAAGTGATTGAGATGCCGCGTAAAGAACGGATGACTTGAGAATAGACAACAATAACCTGCGGCCTTGCGAGAGGAGCTGTTCGTGGTAGTGATTGCAAACATCGGCCTCGCGGGTCAAGGAAGCCACGGTTCGGATGGCTGAAGTGGCCTCGCAGGCATAACTTGCAGAATGTTCGTAGGCCTTCTTCTTCTCCTTCTCGAGTCGGACCAGCATGGCCAAACGGAAGTACCCACAAGCGAGAAGGAGGGGGATGGTGGACATACACACTAGACCAAGCTTCCACCCTACGGCCAGACCAATGGCGCAGGAGGCAACTAAGGTGGTGATCAGCATGAGAATCGTCATAAGAGTAGTCCCAGACAGCCCAGCCAGGTGGGAGGTCTCAGTTGACAGGAATGAAGTGAGAGCACCCGAGGAACGTTTGTCGAAGAAGGCAATGTCTTGCCGGAGTATATATCGAAATGCTCGGTCGCGAACCCGATGAGTAAGTCGCTCTGAGCAGTAAGAGAACACAATACCCTGAGAGATGAGAGCGAGCAGCTGTACAAAGGCGAGCATCACATACATAACGGACCAGAAATTGGCCTGTCGCCGTATCTCAGAGCTCTCTGAAAGAGGAAGCGAAAGGGCTGTAATGCACTTGGAGAAGAAGACAGATTGTGTTGGATTACCGCCACCGGAAACGGCCGAGAGTGAAAGTCCAAAGACCATATATTTCCATTCTTGTTTGTTTAAACCAGCAACAAACCGTATCAGCGTAAACAAAGTATAGTTGTCGGCAATGTCCTCTTGTCCCTTCTTCGCAAGTGCCGTTCTCGATGCGGTCCTGTCTGATCGTGTCTTGTCCACCTGATGGTCATCAGGGTCTTCTTGATACTCTTTGTCTGAGCTGTAGCGTTTCTCATTGAATTCGGGTCGCCGTGAATCGTAATCGGTTTCATGCATTATGAGATCTTCATTTTGGTTTCCAAACTCTTGCTTGGTCGCGATTCGCTGAGCCTCGGCCAAGTTGTAGTAAGCCCCTTTCTTCTGGAGAAGGTCATCGTGGGTGCCCTGTTCGACAATACGTCCGTGGGACATAACCACAATATTGTCCGCATTCTTGATAGTAGACAGTCGGTGAGCAATGATCACGGTGGTCCGTCCCTGGGTGGCTTTGTCCAGTGCGGCTTGCACAACTCCCTCGCTTTTTGTGTCGAGTGCGGATGTTGCTTCATCAAGTAGCAGGATCTTAGGATCGCTGACCACGGCCCTAGCAATGGCAATGCGTTGTTTCTGACCTCCCGAGAGAAGGAACCCTCGTTCGCCAATGTCCGTTTCGTAGCCCTCGGGAAGGGAGGTGATGAAGTCGTGGGCCTGAAAAGCAACCAAGTCAGAACATCGTATCGTATATAGTACGAGCAGAGAGGGTGTGTCTGAGGCAGGGCATCATGGAATTTGCCTTACTTACGTTTGCCATCCGAGCAGCACGTTCGACCAGCTCACAAATTGCTTTTTCGGACTCATGCTCGTGCGCTGTTCCGATCAAACCGTGCTTGATATTGCCAAATATCGTAGTAGCGAATAAGGTAGGCTCTTGGCTCACCAGAGAAATTTGTTGTCGCAACCAGCGTAAATTCAGATCTTTGATATCATGACCGTCGATGTGGACGCATCCACCGACAGGATCGTAGAAACGCTCAACCAGCCCGATGATAGTGCTTTTCCCAGAGCCTGAAGCCCCAACAAGCGCAGTAGTCTTGCCCGCAGGGATCAGTAAGCTCACATCATCCATCACAACAACTTCGGGGCGGGAAGGGTAAATGTGTCTGATATTTTTGAGTTCTACACTTCCTTGCAGTTCCTCCAGCATCTGCCCCTCGGTCGATAAAGGGTCGAGAGGAGAGACACGATCAATGGTTGCGTAGATCTTGTTGGCCGCGGCGACCGCTGATGTGATGGCCTGGATATTCGGTGTAATATTCCCGAGGGCAAAAGCCCCCATCATGATGGCCATTTGAATAGTGAGGATTTGCGCTAATCCAACAGACCCATCCACCAGGAAGCGGGAGCCCATCCAGAAAGACAGTCCATAGTTGAGGTAGATGTACCTAGAAAAAGGCAAGGTCAGAATACTGGGATGTTTGAGGTAATTTAAGAGACTGCCATTTGGACGGCTAGATGTTGTGCCACTCGGTGTACTTACAGAAAGAGAAAACCAAACATTGAGCTGGTGATGGACTTGAGCTTGAACCCGGACTTCTCTGCTTGGACGAGATACTCATCATATCGTCGAGCCAGCTTCTCTTGGGTATTGAACGCAGTCGCATTTCGGATCGAGCTGATGACCTCTTCCACAACCGTTCCTCCTTCAGCAAAATGGCCGAGGTATTTCTTGCTGAGCTTGGCGACAAACGAGCCCACGGCGCCCAATGTAACAACAATGGCAGCGACAGTAGAACACAGAATCAGCGTCAGCTTCCAGTATCTGACGAAACCAATCACGAACGCGGTCACAAAGGTGGCGACGGCCGTCAAGGTCAATCCCACTTTCTCTGAGATACCTTCCTGGACAAGATTGGTGTCTGCTGTGATGCGTGTGGTGATCTCACCCGCACCGAGCTTGTCGAAAAAAGCAATATTCTGCCTCAGAATGGCGGCCAAGAACTGCTGTCTGATCTTTGCTGTGATGTGTTCACCAGCGTACACGAAACCGACCGTGGCCAAGTACACCATCACAAACTCACCAATAGCGAGGTAGAGGAAATACAAAGAGAATCTGGCAAGCTCACTGGTGAATTGGCTGTCAGATATGTCGCCCAGTACAAAGCTGCGGAAGGTGCCTGCAAGACCTCCAAACAGGACGGTCATCAGAGGCATGAGTGCACCGCCGATGATTGCTGCGAGCGAGGCGATGACCAGGATGATCATGTCATTCCGTGTTGCATAACGATACAGCTTCATGTAATTGACATTGGTGGCGGGCAGATCCAACTGTCTCTTGAGGATGACCCTCTCGTGCTCAGGCAGATGCTTGAACGGATCATCATCTTCCTCCTTTCTATCTGCATCAGCTGCCGCTGAGCCGACTGGGTTCAAGGGAGGGTTGGCGGGCGTGGCGTCTTGGATTGCCTGGACAGGCGCTTGCTGGTTTCCAAGGTCGCAGCTCGGCATGGTGAGCTAGTCCAGCAATCATTCAAGGAGGCAGTGGCAGTCAGTTATGTTGATCACGTCTGCCAGGAATGGAGTGAGGATGAAGCGAGAGGATCGTTGGAATATACAGCTGCCTTTTGTGAGGCGAGGTTGAGCCGCATGCTCGCGTTTTGTTTACGCCCCTGAGTGCCCCTGCCAACGCGTTTTCCTGTTTAAGATTAGTGGAGGCGACATGGATATGGGATGTACAGGAGCCTGTGTAAGATTGTTGTATTGCAAGGTTGTCTGCGCACCATGTGGGTCACGAACCAGTCTTATAAATACAGGGTCTAATTGCTGTAACCCTAATGCATGATTAGCGTGTATTAGGGTGATAGAACATTATGTACCATCTCTAAAAGGGCCTAGCGAGTCAATGTGGGGGTTCGGAACTTACCGAATCAGGCAATCCCTGATTCTTCCCTTCACGCTGTCCATTAAGCTTCCTGACAAGTAAGGCCCCCATGGCTTGCGAGATGCCATTTGGTCGCAAAGATAGAATCCTGGCGCACGTTCGTCTGGTTCATTTGACTATACCACTCAGCGATGGCGCATTGTCTTCCTATTCATGTACTTGAATGCCTCTGGTGTATTTGGCTCTGCTTTCATTCCCTAGCAGTTCTCATTTGCCATTCATTGACCTTTGCCTTTTTCCCCTCTACTCTTTTTTGAGCTGTTAAGCTTTGGCATAATATAGGATCATTTCCACACACAACACCTGCAAGTCGCAGGTGTATTCGACTTTGAAAGATCCCCTTCTGGGAATGCTGAATATCAGGTTGCAGTAGAACCATAGGATCTCACAATCGCGATTTATATTCAGTATGTCTATTGAAGATACATTTTACCTATATACAGCCAATATCTATAAATCCTATTTCCTACCAGCAGAAGGCAAAGAATCGTCCCTCACACCATTGGCCCCAGCACTTCCAAGCCCCAGTTTCTGACAAACCTGCATTGCGGCCCTCTCCCCGCTCCAATAAGCCCCAGTAGTCGTCCCAAGCGCCACAAACGGTGCCGTATGCTCACCCGCAAACCATAACCCGCGTCCCTCGCCCACGCCCACACAAGACCGTAGCGCCTCGATATCTTTATCCGCCTGCGTCAGCCCGACCTGGAAATTACAGTATGACCCGTTCCCTGCGTAGGGGTCTGTTTGCCAGCGTGTTGCTAGGATCTCGCTGGGTACGCAGTCTGGAGAGGTGGGGTTGTAGCCTGGGAGCCGGGCGTAGAATGGTTTTAGGAAATCAATGAGTGTGTTTTTGTATTCTGGTGATGAGGGGTCGAGGTTTGCGATTTTGGACACGATGTATGTGGAGCATGGCCCGTAGGTGTAGAATAGAAGGGTTGGTTGGGCGGTTTTGTCCGGGAGAGAGGCGAGAGAGAGGCATTCTTGATTCCATTCGATTCCATGGGGGTAGTCTGTGTAGGATGGTTCGAGGAATTGGGCGAAGACGGGGCTTTTGGTCGCTTGTGAGGATCCATTAGTGTTGTCATTGGTCGTGTCGTGCCAGAATGCTCGTGGGAAGGTGACATATGCTTTTTCCAGGCGTCCGTAGGAGATGCTGTTGATGGCCTGGAGAAGTCGGTCTGGGAGTGGTGGGATGAATGCGTCCGTATTGCGCTTGAGCCAGCCGAGTGGGCAAGTCACGACTACTTCGTCGAAGGTGTATTGTTCTCCCGCGGCGGTAGACAAGGTAACTTGGTGCTGGCCTGGGTCGGAGCTGTCTCGTGGTGGTGCTTCGATGCGTACAACGGGCCGATTGAGTTGGATATCGACGTGCGTCTGTGCTGACTTGGCAACATGCGCTAAGATGCGCTTGTAGGTAGAAGCCACAAAATAATTGTCTATAAAGATGTTAGCAGATTCATCACATTGATAGAGTATAAGGCAGTACTCGCTTCCATCAACGCATTCCTCCAGACGGAAGAACTTGAGACTCTGTCGCTCAATGGGATCGCCCACATACGCGCCCCAAAGCCTACAAGAATCCAAACACATCTGCTTCTCCGTCTGCGAGAACTGTGTCTGCTCCAGCTTTTCTTGGAAATAGTCGTACAGACTTCGCTCCGGCGGGATGATGTCCCCGTGGGCGTTGCTGTACTCAAAAGCCTCTCCGACGGTAGTCCACATGAACTCGGAGATTTTGGACGCAACCTCCTCAGACACAAGCTGCCCATCGCGCGAGATGAGGATGTTGTGGCCCTCCGGGTCATGGACTACAGTCTCCGTGGCGTGGGCAATCGTCAAGATCGGATTCTCGCCCGTGCCGTGGATCCAATTCGGTCCGCTAATAAACGCAGTCAGCCTTGCACTTCTAAAGCTGTGGTAGAATCCAAAGGTAAAGATCGTAACGAAAGGAAAAAGTGAGATGGTTGTACATACAGGTCAACCAAATGGCCTCCCAACTCGTCTTGATGCACCTAATCGCAACGATATTAGTCCCGTTCAATTCACCATGAAAAGCATTTAACCGTCCAAGAGAAGTGAATAAGGACGTACCCTCCCACCAACGCGATCCCTAGCTTCCAGAATGGTCACTCTGGCACCATTCTGAACAAGAATATCGGCACAACGCAGGCCCGAGAGGCCCGCCCCAATGACCCCGACGTGGGGCTTAGAAGCCATGGTACTGAAATGACGACTCGTATAGTGAACCGGAAAGACAAAAAAACCCTTGCGTGCGTATCCGAGCACGTTGCTGAACATGAATCCCAGCCGGTGAAAAGTTGACGAGGGGATCCCACGATTGGTGTCATTGATAGGAGGCGGAGGCCCAAGTGCCCGGATGATTGGCTATCGTTCGATCTATGGGGCGCTCTTGGCAGTCGTCTGACCTGGCCATTTACGGGTTCGTATTGATTCGATGCGATCGCTGATCCCCTCGATCATACGGACAGGGCTAGCGTCTATGCAGGAACTATGCAAGGCGTGCCTGGGATGGCAATTCATTTGATTTCAAGCCTTACAGACTCGAGACAAAAGCGAAAGCAGAAGCATCAGATCCATCGGGATGATGGTATCGCGGACAGAAACTAAAGGGATTATGCTCAGCATAATCAATGGGAAAGCCATGCGCCTAATCAACCCTCCAGCGGGCCGAGTACAAAGTAGAGCGCCACCCGCCCAAAAGAAATCAAAATCAAAAAAAAAAAAACTCCCTTTGGTGATGTCGCGTTGCAAAGATAGATGTTGAGGATATGTACGTATCGAATACAATGGAAGGAAGGGTATCAAGTAGGCGAGGGACTCGCGCAAAGGTGACGCGGTACAAGATATAGCCAAACCCAGTGGAGATCAACTCCAGCTGGGGAGGCGGGTGCTCATAAATGAGCATGATGATTCGAAGCGCAGTAGTGAGCCGGAACAGGTTGAAGGATTGTGACGGTGTCTGGAAGATTGGATACGGGTGCGCTTGGATGTACGAAGTCACCCATCAATCTTCCCAGATGGTCTCCAAGTCAAGATCCTGCCGTCGCTCGGCACCGCACACACTCCATCGTTTGCGCTTCTCGCTGCGTGGGGCATATGCATTGGATCCGCCGCGCATCGTGTTGAAGGCAGTAGACGGAGACGTATCGGAAGCTCCGCGGCGGCGGTTTGTGTTGCCCGCGGCATCGGCGGCATCGGCTGCAGCCTTGAGCTCAGCGATGCGATCGTCTTCAAAAGCATCCTCCTCCTCTTCGTCAGGAATATCGGGAATAGTTTCCAGCGACGAAATGCTGGGGCTCCGAGATCGAAGACTGGTCGGGGTAGAGGGCATGGATGAAGTGGAAGACGTTGAAAGGTTCGGGTACGACTCGTTGTACTTGCCGCCGAGCAAGGGCGAGGAATGGTAAGAGGGAGGACTGCTGATGGGTTGCTGGAAGTGGAGGGGAGAGATTGAGCGTATGCGCCCGACACGGGGGAAGGTCTGCGGCATGAGCACCGGCGAGGACCCGGGCTGCGATGTGGGTGACCGCGGGGTAGTCTCAAGCTCTGCGTTCTCAGAAATGGTCTCGGAGATGTTGAGCGAACCCAGACGAGTCTCGATGTGATCGTCGGCGCGCATCTGCAAGGGCATTATGATCCGCTTTGCGCCATCCACGGAGGGTGCAGGAACCCCGCGGCCATTGACGAAGATATATCTTCCCCGGGAGTCCATCCCAGGGGAAGAATAGGCGCGCGTCATCGATGGCATGCCGGGTATTCCAACCAGTGATCGAGAGCGAAGATGCGATCGGGCCAAAGGGGATCGGGTCCGAGGGGGAGCCGGTGGCTCGGGGGAGAGGGACGAAGTTATCATGACGTCCTCTTTTCCCACTCGATCCGTAGCACTTCCGGAGCTGTATCCAGAGCGATCACTGGAATCAGATCGAGGAGAGCGCATGAGCTCAGGTCGTTGTGACCCGTCCATGGGTGTGACCGAGGCGATCAGGTACGGGAAAAGGGGGGGAGGGGGGCCGATGGTGATGAAGGGAGAAGGAGGTGAAGACGTTACGGGCGCATAATGTTAAAAGGCAGGGGCGAGAACAATAAAACCTTGGACCGGCCAAGCTTTGAGAAGCAACAGTGTCGGGGAAAGAGAAAGACGAACTGTGAAAAAAGGATGAGGCACATGAAAACTGCGCGGCAAGGCCCAGACCGTGGACCCTGCCCTGCGTAAGATCGGCTTCTATACTCTTTCAGGTAGGTCAGGTATACGAGGCAGATTTTTCATCCTTTCTTGTCTACAGAGGTCCCCGATAAGATCCCTAGTTGATTGAAGTTTCTCTTGCACTTCGCGGAGCACCGAGTGGTCATCCACGGGTTTGCCACGGAGATAACACTTTCCCCTTCGGCAGTCATCGCACCGTTACATTGCGTTTATTTGGAACCTCTCATCCTCATCGTTCGGGATTTGCCTTGGTTCACAGGAGCACAATTCACCCCTACTTGAAACCATGTATCTACAGGCTACGATGACTATGATTGGACTCGGCGCAGGCGCTCTTTGAGATTTCTTGGCAGGTATCGCAGATCCATGGTCTATAACATGCAGTATATCATATAGTCCGCTCTGGCCAAACCCTGTGTCTCGGCATGTTTGCCCAGACTATGAGGCTCTGAACCCTGGAACCGACCACCGCTCAGGAAGTCAAAGTGCGAAGCCAAGAGTGAAGAATGACATTCCCAGGACCGAGGCGGTTGTCCTACACCTTTTACCTCGGGGAATTTACCGTGAATCATCACCAAGCACGATGTAGGGAAAGCCTGGTCTCCTTCGAATAGACTGCGGAATATCACACGGAGCCCTTGGATGTTTCCGTTATAGACCATATTCTGGCTTCTCTTTCTAAAGATAGAGCAGACTCGAGCGTCATCCAATTCCCTCCACCGCACTCGAACTACATAGCCAAGCTTTTCACCGAAGAACCCTGGATCGCAATCTGAAACCTCCACAACGGCGCTGCCGGGAGCGGAGCAAATATCTATCGAGACCTCATCAATCCATGGCTCACTCCCGGCCGGCCAAGACACTGGCCAAGACTGGCCCTTGTTCTCGGCTGCAGATGTAGCCTCCTTCCCTTTACATTCTTATCGCTCTCCCCGAGCCTCGCAACGCACACGGTGGGCCCGACGTGCATACAAACTCCTGGCTGATTCGTCCACGCGGCCAAAGCACGCAAGAACGGGCGCAGCAGTTTCGATCCAGACCACGGCGTTCTAGACAGCTCCAGACTCTGGAAATTTCACATGGTACATTTGACTAAATGGAATATAGCTGGCAGTACACAGGAGAGTATTCGTGGTACAGGAGGTATAGGTTCTAGGTATTAGGAAGAGACAACCCAAAAAAGAAAATCATCGAACAGGCACACTAGTGGTGATGCGACTGCTCATCCTTGCACTTACTCGCAACGCTCCTTCGGACGTACGTCTCGCGCACTGCGTCGCCCTCGTTCTTGAGGACTACCCAGTCGCCCATGCCGTACTCCGCCGGCGCGATGCGTACTCCGCGACCACCGCCTCCGACGATGACGTTGCCGGGGCGGTACTTAGCGTTCGCCTTCATACGTCTAATGGCGGAGACGTGGATTTCCGCATCGAGCGGGACGTCACGGACCTCACCGCGAGGAAGAGGCCAGCGAATCGGCTTCCATTGTCCATCGGCCTGGAGATCCATGCGGCGGAAGGGAAGCCACTCCATGATCCGCCAGGAGATGACGGATCCCATAGGCAGGCCTTGATTGAACTCCAGGCAGTCGTGCAGGAGACCCTTGGTGCTGGATGTGTGTAGAGCATGCCAGAAGTCGCGACTAGCAGCCGAGCGCTGCTTGTCGTCCGGAGCCTCGCGGTAGGCATCCGGATCGTCCTTTTCGTTGTGCTTCTCGCGACCGATCTGGCTAGGCCGACGAGCGGCAATCTCCTCCTGGATGGGGGTGTAGTCACCATCGTACTCCTCCAGACATTGGAACTGTTTCATCTTGCGCTCGTCCAGCTCCAGGCCGGCTTTTTGGGCTTCTTGCACCATCCACACCAGCGGCGCGTGGCTCAGCGCCCACATCTCGCCGCCGTCTAGCTTCCAACCACCGCCGATGTCTGCGTGGCAGCCCGGGAACCAGATCTCGTGGATATCTTGGTCCTCTTCGTCGAGGTAGTCGTCGCCGGCGTTGCTGGGAACTTGGATGGAGATGTTGCCGGAGTGCCCGCTGTGGACGGACATGTTGTCGTCTGAAGCGCCAGCAGCGCCGCTGGGAACGGCGAGATTAATGCTCCGATTGGGAGACGGGCCACGGTATCGGTTTTGCTTCTCAGGTCCATAGTTGCCTTCGCTTCCTTGGTGAGAGGATCCCTCGTGAGGGATGCGGTAGTATGTTTCGCCTACGCCAGGACCCCATCCGAATTCTTCGAGGGTCTTGTCCGCCTCAGACAACTCTTTGTTCTTGGTCTGGCCATTCTGGGCGTTGTCATTCACCTGAATGGACGGCAAGGCAGGGTTCTGGGTCTGGGCAGCTTGTCCATCCTGGGGGCGGAGGTGCAGGTGGTGCTGAGCATCCACATGGCGCGCCAGATGGTTCTCCAGACGGTGCGGGGGGAAATGAGGACGGTGATGCTTGTGCTTCATGTCGTGAGGACGTTTGCCGGAGATCAAATCCTGACGGAACTTGGCACGGCGCTCGTCAATGCCAACCGCGTGCCGAATCACAAGAGCGGAACTGCGCGCGGTATAAGGGAACTTACTGCGCTGCATCCAAGCATTCTCGAACCGGGGAACACTGTTGACGGTATCGAAGAGACCCATAAACCGAATGCGCGAGATGGGACGACTAAAGGTTTCACGGAAGGCCTTCATATATTCGAACAGCTTCTTTTTCTCTTCCTGGGTTTCTTCCGAGTCGCCCGCGCGCTGCTGCCACTTGGCAAAGGTCTTCCAGGCGAAACGGATCAACTCCTCGTTTCCGGCTTCGAGCAAGCCGATATAGTCCAGCATCTCCGCCAGGAAACGCGCAATGTAGGCGCCGCGACTGAAGCCGATGAAGAAGATCTGGTCACCCGGGGAGTAGTATCGCATCAGGAATTTGTAGCCGCCCATTACGTGCTCGTCGAATGATGAGCCGATAGCAGAGTCCTTGGCCTTCTGGTACCAAGACTTGATGCGCTGTGTGCGACTATTGCTGGAGAGCGATTTGGAGGTCACATAGGTGCCGATTCCCGGCTGGTAGTAATGGTACTGGTGGCTCTTGCTGCGGTCCAGCATCTGTAACCTTGTGAGTATTCATACCCCGCGGAAGGGATCGCAACATACGCGAAAGATTTTCAAGACATTGCTATCGGACTCGTCGCCGGCAAACTTGTTGCCGGTGCCGTCGAAGCAGAGCACGAACTGCTTCGGGTTGGAATTCGGCTCTACGTGGTGGTGCAGGGGGTTCGCCATCTTTGCGAAAGTCTGTTCCCTCGCGACCTTCAAGGGGCATGCGGGCTTATACGAAAGAACTCGGACCCAAGGAAGCGGTTAATGCACAGAGGGTGAGCCAATGGTGACCAAGTGGAGGGAGCAATAAGAATCCATTCCAAACATGTCATCCGTCGGGACGATCAGATGGAAAAGATACGCCAGGATGCCTGTGGATCTCTTACATCCTCGGTATTGGGACGTTTCTTTTTTTTGCCCTCCCCCAAGATACGAAGAAGCTTCCCCCAAGGGCAGACTTGCCTTTGCTCAGGTTGTACAGAAAGCCACCACTCTCCAACGCGGACGCATGCCATCCAATGATGATCGCTCGGATCTCTTCGCTCTTTTACGATCTGGGCTGATCGTGACGCGGATTCTCACGAGGGGCTGGCGTAAGTGGGACGATCGATTACCTGAATAGGTACGAACAAGCATCTTTCCTAGGCACATCTCGCCCCGGAAACAATCACAGGTGCAGCTTTTTCTTTTTTTTTTTTTTTTTTTTTTTTTTTTTCCTTGTCCACCACACTTCCGTAGTGGTAACCTAGTCATTAGCCCCAGTACTGTAGATACGCAGGCCTGGCCTAAGAACTCACCGGTAAGACATGGGCTCGGAATATTTACGGACGATCAATCCCCTCGCCGAGCGCTGAGATCGCCTCACCAACGAGTTGGGCCCAGGGTGTTCGGCTTTCTCACAGAGACCCCCAGATCGAGACTAACCGGATCGAGGGCGGCGAACTCACGTCGTGGCTCGGGACCCACCTGTCGGCCGTCATCTGAAGATTCTTAGGTTGTGATGTCGTGGATTTCCTAAATCTGCGCTGTGACGCGGACCGAGGTTTACGCGAAAAGTTGTGTGACGTTGGGACCGCTTCAGCTACGGGCTATACGGAGTACATCTTCCAGAATGGTCCCCTTTTCCCGGAGGCGATGGCGATCTGGATCTGAAAAATCGCATAGAACGACTCCTAACAGGAGGTGATTTGTGTTTATGTTTGTGCTCACAGCTGTGGCATTGTGAAGCCGCGACGGGAGCGGCCCCAGACTGGCCGAGCCGTGGTTCTGCAGCGCAAAACCCGGTGGAGCTCCAAGCTCAATGCCAGGGCCGATCTCACCATCTCTCATCCTTATGCATCGTGCACTCATTCTTTTTCCACGACGAATCTTGGAATGAAAGTCGCATGAAGGACCCTGAGGGTGGAGGACCCGATAGATCAGGTTCTGATTGATTCCTGACGATGACTGGCCGCCCCGGTACCCAATAAGGATCGGTGTAATGCGATCCATGCTGCTGCGCGGCCCGTGAGCAGCCTGGCGCAATGGCGGTAGCGAGTGGGCGAACGGGTGGGTTCCGGGTCGATCGAGTAATTATGGTTCAGATGTAGCTGACCTGAAAGGGTAATGCCTAAGCTACAGGACGTGGTGCTGCTGCTGCTGCTGTTGCTGCTTCTCGGGGATGTATTCCCCTTACTCCCCGATGCCCTAAAATGTCAATGGTCGGTGGGTATGACAGCCCCCTCCATTATTTCTCTCTCCCAATCCGGTTCTCCGTGATCGACTGCCAGCCAGCCACCTGAAGCTCACTAAGTTTCCCAAACAAAACAAAGCCCCACTTCGTGCTGCCATGGCCCATCGGGCCCATCTGGCTGGATATCGCGATCCTAGTGTGGACCGCCATGACCCCATCCGAGATGCGGTACACCGCTACCCATTGACGTCCGTCACATCCCCGCAAGGGAAGCTTCTTTGCGTACGAATCACAATTTGGCGTCAATATTCGTGCGTCGGTATGTACCTGATCCCTGCAATCCCGGTCTTCTGTTGACAGGTTGCATGGGGCGTGTAAAGAGTGGCGTAACTATGCATGCGAGAGAAGGGACGTGCCGCGCCAATTGCCTGGCCCACCCCCTTTCTCAGACCTGAAAGCTCCCCCACCTGTGGAACGCGTGCAGGGTGATCTTTTACTCGGTTCAGCTCTTCATGATGAAACAAACCAGAGCCATTGGCCTGGGATCACCGCCGGACAACCGCGAGCTCGTTCCATGCGGGGCTCTCGACATGATAGGCGACGGTGATGACTATGAGCCACAGGTCCCGGGCAGATCGAAGCTATTGTTCTCTGTCGAACCTTTCCCCAATCAGATCTGGACCTGACAGTCAATCAACTAATAGCGATAACAAATCCGCCCCGGACGCTCCACAGTCCTGCAGCTGACTCGGCCGCACAACTCGCTTTAAATCCGAGTGTCGCGGGCGCGGAGCTCTTCCTGTTCCTGTTCCTCTCCTGATCTGGCCCGAGGTTGCCAACTCTCAATTGTTCTGTTTGTACTTCTTTATATACCCCTACAAGTAATATTCTGAGCGGATTCGCTCTACCGTCACCATGTTGAAGAGGTTGTCCACCCAGCTGAGGCGCAACAAGGACACCAATGGTGATTCCGAGCCTAAGACCAAGGAGAATGGCAGCAAGCGCTTCTCCAAGGCTGCACCTGCTCGGAAATCCGTTTCCAACGAGGAGAATCACCAGGTGAAGCGCGCCGAGGTTGTTGCTGTCTTCGAGAAGTATGCGCAAGCTATCCACGCCTCGCGCGAGCCTCTGCCCAACCAGACCGGCGATGGTACCTATCTGAAGCATGACCAGTCCTCCGGTCTGATCAACGACATCAAGTCTCTGGGTTTCCGCGACATCAACACTGTCAAGGACCTGATCAAGAGTAAGGCCTCCGGTGAGCTGATTGACGACAAGACCTACCTCATGGAGCGCATTATTCAGGTACGGACTGCATTGTCAACGGTCAATCGCAATTGAAACGTGCTAACATAGATCTTAATTGCAGATGGTTGCCGACCTGCCCGGTCACTCAAAGAACCGTACCGAGCTCACCAACCAGTTCCTGGATGAGCTGTGGAATTCCTTGCCTCATCCCCCTCTCTCGTAAGATACTCCGGCAATTGAACCTATGCCCGCAGTGATAATTTTCTGATGCGATGAACAGCTACATGGGTGATGAGTATAAGTACCGCTCCGCCGATGGCTCCAACAACAACCCTACCCTTCCCTGGCTTGGTGCTGCCAATACCCCCTACTGCCGCACCATTCCTCCCATGACCATCCAGCCCAGTGGTCTGCCTGATGCCGGTCTGATCTTCGACAGCTTGTACGCTCGTCAAAAGTTCAACCCCCATCCCAACGGCGTCTCCAGTATGTTCTTCGACTGGGCCTCCCTCGTCATTCACGGTAAGTTTTGTCATTGCGCTTAATTGAATGAACAGATGCTGATTGTGTGTATAGACATTTTCCAGACCGATTACCGCCAACAGCATCTGAATAAGACCTCTGCTTACCTCGATTTGTCTATTCTGTACGGTGACTTCCGGGAACAGCAGGATATGATCCGTTCCCACAAGGACGGTAAGCTGAAGCCAGACACCTTCTCCGAGGGTCGTCTGCAGGCTCTTCCCGCTGCGTGCGGTGTTCTCCTGGTCATGCTGAACCGCTTCCACAATCATGTGGTCGAACAGCTGGCCGTGATCAACGAGAACGGCCGCTTCACTAAGCCCCGTGATGGTCTGCCCGAGGAGGATGCCAAGAAGGCCTGGGCCAAGTATGATGAGGACCTGTTCCAGACCGGTCGTTTGATCACTTGTGGTCTGTATATTAACATCACCCTGTACGACTACCTACGCACCATTGTCAACCTGAACCGCACCAACTCCACCTGGTGTCTGGATCCCCGTGCCCAGATGGAGAAGGCTGGTGCCACTCCGTCCGGTCTTGGTAACCAGTGCTCCGTCGAGTTCAACCTGGCCTACCGCTGGCACTCGACCATCTCCCAGGGTGATGAGAAGTGGATCGAGCAGGTCTACTATGACCTCATGGGCAAGCCTGCCGACCAGGTCACCATGCCCGAGCTGCTGATGGGCATGAAGAAGGTCGAGAGCATGCTCGATGCCGATCCCTCCAAGCGTACCTTTGCCCATCTGAAGCGCCAAGAGGACGGTACCTTCAAGGACGAGGAGCTTGTTCAGATCCTCACCCACGCTTGCGAGGATGTTGCCAGCTCTTTCGGTCCCCGCAACGTCCCCAAGGCTCTCCGTTCCATTGAGATTCTCGGTATCGAGGCTGCTCGCCGCTGGCACGTCGGTTCCCTCAACGAGTTCCGTAAGCACTTCGGCCTGAAGACTTATGATACCTTTGAGGAGATCAACTCCGATCCGGAGATTGCTAACACCCTGCGCCACCTGTACGAGCACCCCGACTACGTCGAGCTGTACCCCGGTATTGTTTCTGAGGAGGCCAAGGAACCCATGATCCCCGGTGTCGGTATCGCCCCTACGTACACCATCTCCCGTGCTGTGCTGTCCGATGCCGTGGCCCTGGTCCGCGGTGACCGTCACTACACCGTTGACTATAACCCTCGCAACCTGACCAGCTGGGGTTACAACGAATGTCGCTACGACCTCAACATCAATCAGGGTTGTGTCTTCTACAAGCTGGCCACCCGTGCCTTCCCCAACTGGTTCCAGCCTGACTCTATCTACGCTCACTACCCCATGACCATCCCCAGTGAGAACAAGAACATCATGAAGATGCTTGGCCGTGAGCAGGACTACTCCTGGGACCGCCCTGCTTACAGCCCTCCCCGCATCAACCTGCTCTCGCACGAGAACGCCAAGCTGGTCCTGGAAAACCAGGCCTTCAAGGCCTCCTGGAGCCGTGCCATGGATGACCTCTTCGGCCAGGGCGAGTGGGATGCCAAGCAGCGCGCCGCTATGGGCCAGGCCTTCAACACCGAGGACTTCCCCAAGCTGGTCAAGAAGTTCTACGAGGATGTCACCCTCCGGCTCATCTCGGAGAAAGGCGCCAAGCTGGCTGGCATAAATCAGGTCGACATTACCCGTGACGTCGGCAACCTGGCTCACATCCACTTCGCCTCCACTGTCTTCGGCCTGCCCCTGAAGACCGAGGAGAATCCCGCTGGTTTATTCACCGAGCACGAGCTGTACATGATCCTGACCACCATCTTCTCTGCTCTCTTCTTCGATGTGGATGCCACCAAGTCCTACTCGTTGAACCGTGCATCCGCCGCCGTCGCTACCCAGCTTGGCCAGGTTGTCGAGGCCACCGTCAAGGCTGACACCAGCAACGGTATCATCAGCGGACTGATGAACAACTTCCGGCCACATGACAACGCTCTCCGTGAGTACGGTACCGGTGCCCTACGCCGTCTTCAGGAGGCTGGCCTTAGTGCCTCACAGATTACCTGGTCCCAGATCATCCCTCTCGTCGTCGGCATGGTCCCCAACCAAGGCCAGGTGTTCACTCAGATCATCGAGTACTACACCTCGCCCGAAGGCAAGAAGCACCTTGCCGAGATCAACCGTCTCGCCAAGCAAGACTCCGCCGAGAACGACGAGGTCCTATACCGCTACTGCCTGGAGGCGATCCGTATCAACGGCACCTTCGGCGCATACCGCGAGGCCCAGAGCACCATGACCGTTCAGGACGGCGACAAGACCATCGACATCAAGGCCGGCGATAAGGTCTTCGCCTCCTTCGTGCAGGCCAACCATGACCCCAGCGTCTACCCCGAGCCCAAGGAGGTCAAGCTCGACCGTCCTATCGACTCCTATATTAACCACGGCCAGGGCCCCAACACCGGCTTCGGTCGGGAAATCACCAAGATCGCTCTCGTTGCCATGCTCCGCGTTGTCGGTCGTCTTCAGAACCTTCGTCGTGCCCCTGGTGCTCAGGGTCAGCTGAAGAAGATCCCCCAGGAGGGTGGCTACTACGTCTACCTCCGCCAGGATGGCACTTCTTACTTCCCCTTCCCTATGTGTAAGTTCCACCTCTCACTCTCTGAAATGTCTGTTCTAACACACTCGATACAGCGCTCAAGCTCCACTGGGACGGCGATTTCCCTCCCAAGTTCTAAATCGTCTATTGCACCGAATGAAAACTATAGCCCTGGACAACAGTCCAGCATGTGGAATAATGTACGGCACCTTGGGGTGACCATGGTTTACGTTTTGTTTTTGATTTTCGGAGACTCTCTAGTTCTCCAGGATATCCCGAAATTGTGTTTTAGTTATGATTTGACAACTGTAGTCTATAGTTTTTCACGCGATTGTTCTTGACATACAATTCGTTGATCCTTTCATGGTAGTGGCGTATCATTATGACCTGTCATTGGAGATAGTATTTTGAGGTTCTTGAGGTTACCTATACATCTACCTTAAGTATTTGGCTTGCTTCAAAAATCAATGAGTAAAAATTGAAATCATAAGTTTAAGAGTATCTAAGCATCGCCCCACGATGTTGAGCTCACTTCCAAAAGTGCCTGTGTTTCTGTCCCGTGAACATCACACTGACCATGGAAATCCAAGACAAAGACAGCCTTTGAACGTAAAAACACGATAAAAGTAACGAAATGAATCTCTTGATTTATCAAGCGGAGAAGAAGGCAAATTTAGGAATACAAATCCGCGCTATGATCTATATGGACTAGTCGCATATGTGTTCAAAATCTGTCTTTCCGACCAAAAGACTTCCCGCACTTGAAGCACTGGAACTCATTCGGCTATACATGCGTAGACTCAATATGTCGCCATAGACTTGATTTCTGAGAGAACCCACCAGAGTATGTGCAGCCAGTCCAGCCGCATTGAAATGGCTTGGTTGACTTGAGCCTAGGACAAGGTCAGCATCGACTTATTTCGAGGCAACATGTGTTGAAAAAACGCATTTGGTCTTCATTTCTTGACGCGGACCACCGGTGGTACCCGCTTGAGGGCTACCATCTTCGTTAAAAACAATGGAAGCCAGACTGTCCTCGGAGTGGTCGGGAATAGAAAGTTGCGGCCAACGATTTCTAACTGCGCCGTTGTTGTTGATCATAGCTGGAAAATTGGCGGTAAGAACTATGCCACGTATGTTAGAGCACTCCTATTGAACTGTAAAGGGCGTGATTTAGGAATACTTGACGTAGGCAGTGCAAACGAGGTTTGCCAATCCAATAGCGGTGATGAAAGACCCATAGACCAGTTACCTCTATGTCCAGCAGATAGACAGGAGAACGGGCAATCGATCATATTCCCATCATGTATTGACGACTCGGCAAATTCATTGCCAGAAAATGGGCAGGTGCCCTCAGAAATCATGTCATAGAGGAAAGTTGACATGATGCCGGTAGCTTGAGAGGAGATGTTTCGAGGGAAATACGCACTCAAAAGGCGATAGACACTCAGATGTCACTCTAGCAGTGTGCCGGCAGCGCGAAAGATTGAAAATCTGAATTTCGTCCTTTTGAAGAGATAGGAAAAGGAGATGTTCTTTGAGTGGTAGTGGGAAGAGGTATATTGAGTAAATAAATTATCGACGTTTTATAAGCTGTACCTGGGAGGAAGGAGATGCCTTAGAACCTGAAAATTTCGGCACCTGCAAGTTCCTTATTGTATACGCGAGCGGCAACTCCGACTTCCGCCACTATGGCGCAGTTATCCCTTTTAAGTATGCAGACGCGCTTATATAACTTCTTTCTCGCGGAATTGCTAGCCTAATATTACCTTGTACGTACTTGAAAATCCCTTTTACTCATTAGTTATACAGGGCCAGGCCAATATCTTATATTCATGCTCCACTGTCAAACCGAAGTAGGCGGTGAAGAGCTGGCAGTCAATCTCCACAAAGATAAGCTCATATTAAGTTCATTCCTGAGTATGATATTAGTCCAACGGTATACATATTTTATACTTGATCATTGACTTCCTTTTCTGCTAAGGGTGTGCAACATAGGAGTTACAGCAACCCCTTTTACTTTTTGCAATATCGTTTCTTAGCAAGCGCCCAATTACCGTCACCTAGCGTTATGGTGTATTATAAACTGATTCAAAGATTTGTCCATACTATGATACAAACCCAACATGAAATTAAGATCTCAAATCAGAGTCAATGCGTTGTAAAAAAAAAAAGCCTTTGACGAAGCTCGTGTATACTTCAGGTCCACACCGCCTTCGGGACCCAACACCAGTGGAAGAGCGACGACAACATACAGAAACACACCTCCAAGATGCCTCCTAAAGCCGCCAAGGGCGAGTACATTGAGACCGTACGTCTTTTCCCGAAATAACCCCATCCAACTCTCAAGGCCCTTACACAAGCACCCAATGCCTCTCGAACCGCAGCTCACGCGCAACAGGACACGGGAAACAAGATCTCGCGCCGGTCCCAAATCCACGGCACACAGCACATCATCCTAGGTGGCAAGACCGTCATCCAAGCCGAGGCCGTCATCCGCGGCGATCTCTACCGACTCCCCTCCACCGCCGCCTCGACAGACCCCAACAATCCCCCACAACCATCCAACACGCCAAGCGTCGCAATCACCGTCGGCCGCTACACCTACATCTCGAAGAGCGCGATCCTGCGGCCACCCAGCAGGCTGCACCGCGGTGTACACTCATACTACCCGCTCAAGATCGGCGATCACGTCTTTGTCGGAGAGTCTGCTGTTGTCGAGGCTGCGTCGCTTGGGAACCACGTTCATGTTGGCGCGGGGGCTACTGTCGGCAGTATGGCGATCATAAAGGATTTTGCGGTCGTGCTTGATGGTGCCGTTGTCCCGCCTGGTATGGTTGTGCCTAGTTGGTGTGTTGTAGGTGGGCGACCTGCTAGGATTGTTGGTGAGGTCGGCGAGGGGTATGGTGTCGAGGGGGCTGAAGGTGGTATGGCACGAGAAAGATATCGGGTTGTTGGGAGGCCGGGATAGATGAGCTTTTGATCGTGCCTTTTTTTTGTGATTTTTGCAAATGATACCCCCCTTTTTTTCAACGCTTTGTTTGCATAGGCTCCGGCTACGGCTTGAAATGACTTGTGTCTGCAATGCATAGACTCAGATAAAACCGGCAACAGGTACACCCTCGGGGCAGAGAGTCACGTAACAAACGAAAAACACGACCAGTATATTGCTATCCCATTTTGTTCACTTCCACCGCTCGCTTCATTCGATGCATTTTGTCCGGGGCAATACCGCTTTCTTCATACGCCATATCAACGATCCAACGGCCGTGCGGTTGCACCGGCTCGCCTTTGGAGAGCTTCGAGGACAGATACAACCAAGACAACGCACTACCCACCGTACTAACCTCATCGCAGACGTGGCTGACCGCATACGCCGCCATGCGGTCATAGAGTGCTTCGTCGGTCCACAAATCGTACAAATGCCGCGCCACAGCATCGGTGTCGCCGACATCCACCAAGAACCCGTTTTTAAGATTCTCGACTTGAAGTGGGATGCCACCAGCCCGCGTGGCGATGACTGGGATGCCCTTGTGAATCGCCTCTGATACTTTTACCTCGAATCCCTCACGGGTGGAAAGCTGCAGTGCAACTGTGGCTTTGGAAAGAACGGCGTTCAAAACTTGATCCGAGGGCCTCAAACGCATAACGCAGATGTAATCACGGATGTAGGAGATCTTGCGTTCGATGTGATCGATCACTTGGTCATAAATCACCGCTCCATCCGGGTCGTCTACGGAGCCGTGTCCGCAGATCAAGAGCTTCGGTGGGCTGAGATCTGGCCGGTCATGGGTAAGCCGGTTGTGGAACTTCTCGTACGAGTCCAGCACATCGAAGATCCCTTTAGCCGGGTCGAAACGTGCGATTTGCACGATGTACCGATCTGATACGTTTGGGTTAGTGACATCTCTCATGCACAATTGGGAGAGAAGTCTCCATACCGTCTGGGTACTGGATAGTCGGCATGTCCGCATTCCTGCACGCAGCATTGAAAATGCGACCGTAGTGTGCCACATCCCAGTCACGCATGTCCTTATTCAACCCATCCAGCCTGCGCCAGGTTAGGGAGATTATGCACGTTGAGCGAGTCACTTACCAATCGGTCGAGGCGGGTAAATAGCCCAAGATTTCAGTCGGCACGTCTTGGGGCACAAACGCTTTCACTGGATGGCTGATAAAAACATCGGCAAGTTTGATCTGATTCCACAAAAATTCCCATGCATCCGCCTGCGGAGTGCCCGGCGTGTCAACTAGATCACTTCGGATCTGGATGTGACTCCGGAAGATAACTGGTCGGGTTGGGGCGAGCTCCTTGGCTATAGGAATCAAACCCGGCATCTGAGGATCATCAATAATGATCACATCTGCCCCTCCGTCAGAAGGTGAACATAGAGGACCACCATGACAAGACCAGTAGCGCCTCGCATTCTCCCCGATCCAGTCCTTCAATAACTTCTTATTTTCAGAGCTCAAGCGTTCATCCGGGGGTGCAACACCTTGGAGGATGTTGTGATTGTTCTTGGTTACCCGAAAGACGCCCGGTCTGGGCTTCGGGACGTACCTATCCTAAATCAGTCTTCCTCTGCATCAACCGCAGTCACATAGGGACCCACCATTTGATATCCGTTTCCAGGGAATGCGAGAAACGCACAAGGGCATGCCGCATCAGAGCAACACCTCCTCCTTGAGGTGTTGCACTAAAGAATGCAATCTTGACCTTCCGCTTCTTGATATCCTTAGCATAGTATTGCACTGCCTCCCACGTATTGGGAGACACCGTCTTTTGGAAATCTTCAACATTCGCTAGTCGAACGTGGAAGCCCGTGTCCACCTCCACGAGCCCCATAAAGCCCACTTGCAGCAAGGGAATGTTTTCCGGTCCGAACAGCCTGCGCACGCGATCAGCATTTCGGGGGCCCAGAGCTCGCCGATCTCCACTCACCGAACACATTTCCGCGACATGGCCTCGGCCTGTTCATCGATTGTTTTGGCATTCCACGCTTGGGTCCGATCCGATCCCCGCCTGGTATACCGATCCATCGAATTGGTGGATTCGGGCGACACCAGTGGGATGACATCGAGCTCGGCCCATAGGCGGGAACAAAGTCGTGAGCAATGGTCCGCGAGATACGTGGGCATCGCCGCTCCGATGATTTTCTCCAGGTGTTTCTCTCCATATCCTCGAAGCCGAGAGACGATGAATTCGGTTGCTTCTTCGACGGATGGTTTCGATCCTTGCTCAAATACTTTCTCGATAGAATCGAGCAGGTACGTAGTGTCGCGGATGGAGATGGCAATGACGGAGGCATGGTGGTCGTCGAAGTAGGCCGAAATACCTGCGTAGACGTTCTTTGGCCGGTTAGCCCTGCCCAAGCTTATACTACTTGTTCTTGGATGGAGCTGCACGTACATCTGACGGAGGTGCCAGCCAGGCGTAGTTTTGGAATTGCTGCGATAGCTGGCGCTGCCGGGTGACAGAGCCACGGCGCTGGAAGTCTTGTCCGTTGCTGGTCATAGTGCTAGATAATTGTAGAATAGGAAGGACACACAAGTGCGAATTAATAGAAGTACAACTTCGATGAGTGGTCTTCGAGTACAGATGTACTGACTAGCTCGATCATGACGTAAAGAGTCCTTCATAACCACGGTTCGTGAATTCCAACTGCAACGAATAAACTATACCAACTAGCATACGTTGAGGATATACAATCAACATTTAACCCATTTACAGTTCAGTTTCATACTTTGAAAAAGATAACAGATAACCCCGAAGTGGATCCGCGTGAAACATTGCCTGGGGCGGCTGACTCATCCTGCCCCTTTTCCCCCGCCTCGAGAAACTTCGCGTCTTCTCTAATTTCCCACCTTCGCTAGCCTCGACTCGATCCGTGTATTTCCCTCCCTGTGCCCTTAAGTCGGCGCTTCAGCTCCTACTTTATTTCCAGCCAATTCCAAACGCGTCGCCAAGATGGGCGGCCAAGTATCCAAAATGATGGGAAGGATATTCGGCACGAAGGAAATGCGTATCCTGATGCTGGGTTTGGATGCTGCTGGAAAAACCAGTAAGGCCCTCTGGAGCTGGACGACGACAGGAATGTGGCTAATTCTTGCTAGCTATTCTTTACAAATTGAAACTCAGCAACCAGGACGTGACCACCATCCCCACCGTTGGCTTTAACGTCGAGAGCGTCACCTATAAGAATGTCAAGTTCAATGTCTGGGATGTCGGTGGCCAGGACAAGATCCGGCCTCTCTGGAGACACTACTACTCTGGCACACAAGGTTTAATCTTTGTGGTTGACTCCAGCGACACTGCCCGCTTGGAGGAGGCTCGCTCGGAGCTGCACAAGATCATCAACGACCGTGAAATGAAGGATGCTCTCCTGTTGGTCTTTGCCAACAAGCAAGATGTTCCCGGCCGTACGTGATTTCTGTCCCTTTCCTCCTTGTCTCACGCTTACCAATTGCACAGATCTGAGCCCGGAGGAGGTTACCCAGCAGCTTCAGTTGACCAAGCTGAAGGACAAGCTGTGGTACGTTGCACCCAGTGTTGCAACAGACGGCACTGGTATTTTCGAGGGCCTGGTAGGTGTTCCCTTCCCCTGGACTGGACTGAAACAAGCACTGACCCGCATGGCTCCACTTCGCAGGCCTGGCTCTCCAACAACGTCAAAACCCAGCCGCAGAAATAAATTCGCCCCGTGATCTCGAGAGGCGCCCAACCAGCCTCGTGTACAACACTTTGAAACTTCGACAAGTATTTCCTTTCGATTCATGTCCGTGTTTGATGACAAGACGACGCAGCATTTGGGCTTTTTTCTGTTCTATTCTCCTTGGGTCTTTTTCCTTTGTGCGCGGCCTTTTCTTCAGTCTCTCTTGGTTCCATTTTCCTTCTATGATATCCCCTCTGTTCTTACCCGGACTCGTCATGAGCTCCGCTTTATTTATTTAATCCTAATAATGGTTCTCATAATCAGCGTTGCCATTGTTCGATTCCCTTGCCATTTTCTTGTGGATTCCCGATATGTACAGAGTTGACTGATTGCATAGAAAGACGAAGCGATAATAACCGGATGCAGAGCTAGGATAGAGAATCAACTTGAACTCAAATGACATAAAAGTGACTGAACTGTGCTGCGTATGGACTCCTAAACTTGATGATTGAACGAGATGTGTAGTATGGTGCCGGCGAGTGAGCGATTCCGGGGTTCCTTGGAAGATTTTCCAAGTGAACAGGCCCAGAGATGTTTCTAACTATCTGATAATCAGGTAGACGCTAAGCGCAGCGGCTAACGAATGTGACCCGAAGGTCAAATTTGAGGACCCTGGGCGACACTTTCCATGTCCTTTATGAAACGAGGACCCGGTCTTCAAGATTCTTGCTTCTGACACTTCCAACTTCTCCAGCTTCCACAAGTCAATCTTCTACACTGCATTTAAGCAAGTCCCATTTCCCACGAGCACCATCCATTTCAGCATCAGCACTGCTTTTGTATCCATTTGACTGTATCCAAGAAATAGTACGTTAAGTTGACATTCCAAGATCATGACGTTCATCCCACTATCGCGCTATACACAAGCAAATCCCCAGACCCCGCCACATTGTTGAAAAGGCAATTGGGGCCTGCCGCCCCAACGACGAATGGCAAATATACAGATGGGTATTCGTTGAAATCCAATTTTAAAGCTGGTTGGGCCAGACGTCGTTGGCAATCTCACGGACCAGCTTGAGCTTGTTGATCATGCCGTTCCAGTCAATAGCGTTACCCTCATGGTGCGAAGCAAAGCCACACTGCGGGCTAACACCGACTTGGTTGAGCGCAGCCTCCAGCGAGATGTTGTTGCCCTCAGCAATGATCTTAGCAGCGTTGACGACACGCTTCTTCATCTCCTCCTTATCCTCCATGGTGGCGAACTTGCTGGTGACAACGCCCAGGATGACGTTCTTGTGGGTGGGGAGGTGCTTGAGCGGCTCGAAGCCACCGGCACGCTCGGTGTCGTACTCGAGGTAGTATGTGTGCACGTTCAGCTCCTGGAAGAGCTTGATGGCGATACGGTCGTAGCCGCCCTCGGAGAAGTGGCGGCTGCCGACGAAGTTGCCGCGGCACAGGTGCACTCCGACGTGCATGTCGGCGGGCAGGTTGATGAAACAGTCGTTGTACAGCTTGATGTACTTCTCGAACATGTCGTCCGCGCTGTACACATTGGCGGAGTCTTCCTTAAAGCCGTTCAGGAACTTCTCGGAGCAGAAGTCTATCACTGAGGTTAATAGGGTTTCCTGAATAGTTCGAGAGTATAACTTACAGGCCAGGTTGGGGTCGTCGTACTGCACGTTGCGGCAGCCGGCATCGTACAGGATCTTCAGCTCGGCCTGGTAGGCTTTGGCGATGTCGCCAAAGTACTCCTCATCGGAGCTGTACACCTCCTTGGGGTAGGCCTTGCCCTCGCGGTAACGCAGGTGGTACCAGTTGGGTGCAGCAAGAGTGATCTTCAGGTTCTTGACCTCGTCTTTGGGCACCAGGCTAGCCAAGTACTTGAACTGGTCGACATAGGTGCTACCGACGTGCTTAATCTTGCCCGTGCAGAGAACGGTCTCACCGGGCTTGTGGCCGGCCTCGAGGAATGCGGCAATATCGGGGGCATAAGGGCGGAAGATGTCTTGGTCGAATTCGGTGACCTCCTCAAAGCCATCCAGACCGGGGAAGAAGGTGCCCCAGAACACTGATATCGTCAATTATGTCCTTTCTACTTCGAGCTCTTTTTGTATATGCTTACTGTGGCGGCAGTACTCGCCATCGGATGGTGCGCCATAGCCGAGTTTCTTCTGAATGTCAACAATTTTCTTGATTTCGTGGGCTTCCACCTCGGCGAGCTTAGCCTCGGAAATCTCGCCCTTCTCTTGAGCAGTCTTGGCGTCCAGAAGCTGCTGGGGACGAAGAAGTGAGCCCAAGTGCTCGGCGCGGAAAGGAGGTCTCTGGTGAAGTTGAGGAGCCATTGTGGAGAGACTACGCAGTCCCAAGGTTAGCTTTGAACAAAGACTGTAACGAGATGGCACTCACAGAATGACTATGTGCAGTAAAAAAAAGTCTGGAAAGAAAATGACGAGCAACCCTAGGAACTAAATGAGGGGCAACCAGTTGCGATAGTATTCGCCGACCTCGCGGACCTACGATCCTCGCCCCACAGGCAAAAGAAGAGCATCCCCACACTCTGTCCTCCGCCTATTGGAACCCTGCCATTGCTCATGCCCTGGTCCAAGCCGTCCGCTACTGTACATGTACGACTTGTTCCTGCTGAAGGAAACGCAGTCCGTTGCAGTATCTTCAACTTGACATCGAGGAATCTCCGCCGCGGCGTCTATACAATTTGCCCAGATATACGGGGGCCGCTGCTTGGCGCCTCATAAACAGGGGCCGGATTAATCGGCTTGAGTCTGCAAACGTCTTAAAATCGTACAACGGTGTGCTCCGGCATCGCAGCTCACGTAAATGGCCTGTAATTTCTAGTTAGAGAAGCAGTGTGGCCGCCAAATCTGCGGTTCGAAAGCGACGTGCTCCACACCGTGCCCGGGAAACCTCCGGCCGAGCTCTTCCCTAACTGTCATACTTTAGAATCTTTTAACTAGATCATCACATCATTATCTTCTCCAACATCATGATGCTATGTGTATCCAGTACGATGTTCCTTTCAATCCCAAAACCGAAGAATTGGCGACCTATACAAGCACGCTGAGTAAAGGCTGACAAAGAACCGAGTGGATGATGTGGTGGTCGAAGTGGGGAACCACGGCACTTCGTCCTCTCTGCTTTTCCCGAACATCGACATCGCCCCCAATATTGGTCGCGTTCGCTATCAGATTCCTAGCCAAGAAGCTCGTCATGTGAGCTTGGTGATGCCGTCTGCCCTGGAACGGCTCCCCAACGAGCTGCTGGATCACATCATCTCGTACCTGGCGACAGAGCCACCCTCGCGGGCTCGACATCATCAGCCCCCGACCCGCCATTTCACTTGGTCCAGGACCAGGGATCTCAAGCACCTGGCACAGACCTCGTCTCAGTTTCTGGATCTTGTGCGACCCCGGCTCTTCACCCATGCATGTCTGGAGCTGGAGGATGAATTTAATTTCCTCGCCTTCATCCTACGATCCGGTCTTCGTCGTTACGTGACCTCCCTTGTGGCCATTACAATAAATGCATCGGCCGATCCAACCGATCAGGGCTGGTGGCGCCGGGTCCTCCGTTATCTGGACCCGGCTTGTGTGACAGTCCTAGCGCCGCCGACATTCATCGGCAATATGCTGAACACTCCGATCATGGATGGCCATAGCTGGGCGTTTGATATCAAGCTGCAGGTATTGCAGTTGGAGCGACACAATCCACTTCCCCACTCGGAAAAGCCGCTGGACTTGGAGAATTGTAAAAGCTTGCTTGACACACACCAATGGACATCCATGTCCTTTAACGAGTCATCCTCCCTCAAAGCCTACAATCACTACGAGTACTTTCTTTCACGAGTCCCCTCCGTAATTGGGGAGTGGGGAATGCAACTTGCGCCCCAGGAGCCTCCGTCCTTGGATCTACCGGCAACCCTCCATGGATTAACATATTTCTCCTATACGGCCGTGTTCCCTTTTTACAACCACGTCAAGCTCGTGCTCGATGCACTTGCCAGTATGCCAGAATTGCGTGTGCTGGAGATGCAGTTAGCTCCCGATGCGGACAACCATATTACCGAGACCGAGCAACGCGGATCCATGGATCCTAATGATCCTTGGATGGAGCTTGCAACCTCATATTCCCTGATAGGATTCGAAGTAAATGCAAAGCACTCCCTGGTAGAGTTTAGGAGTGGAGACTTTCATCTCGACGCTATACGCTCCGAACTATCTCAGATTCTGGAGGATTCTCTGGGCGAATCGGGCTGGAAGCATGATGAACACAGTGTTTGGAAACGAATCACGTCACGTATATAAGGACTTGCAAATATCTTACTCTCGCGACATTCGAATCGCAGTGTACTGTAATTGTAGCGTACGCCGTGGGTCTCGGGAAGCCGGTACGCACAAAAGTGGCCGATCGCGTCCCCAACTTCCGGCCCCACCACTCTTCAGTTTCGCGTTGACACCCCCGAAATGTGGCGTGTATTAGGCTGATTGAACATCCCTGAGCTAAGATCGTCACGCAGAATGGCCACTGCTCCTGATGTCTACTCAGCGGAGCCTACACACCCGGTCCTTGCGAGCTCCCTCCTCACTCAGCCAAAGCTCAGGACGACTGATACAACGCGCTCTGCACATGAATCAACAGATATCAATGACTGGAACCTCAAAGATGACTGGGACGCCGGTATCCAGTCTTCGGCTGGCACCTTCCGATGCGGCGCTGTCATCGGCTTCTCCAGACTGCGTAACCAAAGCAAAGAGAATGACGAATACATCGCTCAGGTATGAACGAGGCCCTCTGGACCAAAGGCATTGCTAAATCAACTCAGATACCTCGCTCCCTTCTAATAAAACATTTGCTGAGGGTGACCCCGTCATCAGGAACAAGCGCATTCATAATTTATCCCAATAATTTCGATGCCTTTGCGCCTAGGGTCTTACTCAATCATCTCCAGTCTACCGTTGGCCAGCCTCTCCCAAAAGAAGATGCAATCGAGCGGCTTAGTTCCGTGCAGTTACTCCCAATTCACAACTTCCCAAATGCCGCCCAGGCAATTGGCAAGGTCTCAGACTCGCTACAAGAGCTTCAAACTCAACGCACGAACAACCACTCCGTCGTTTTAATCGTCGTCAGCCTTGACACACTATCTGAAGGCATCATCCGAGCTTCAAATCCGGTCAAGGGGACCGCTTTGTTAGCAGCCACATTACGGAACCTGACTCGGTTATCCAGAGCATATGCCTCCTTTCTCTCGGTGATGTTAGTCAATACCAACGGACTCGGCCCACCAAACTTCGAATCGGACCAGCAATCAGAGAAGCAAAAGGCCCCAGTTGAAGATGACACAAGATTCTCTCGTGACGGTGGCATCCACTCGATCTTCCAAATACCCGGCCCTTCACTCCTATTTAACCTCCTTATGAAAACCCTGGATCAAGGCATCGACACACACATACTGCTCTCCGACGTCAAGTCAGCCAAGGTAGCAGAAGTGATCAAAGACCGCGTCGGCCCCGGACTGGGTAAATGGGGAATATGGACCTCAAAATAGACCTACGTCAGCCATGAGACTTTGATAGAAGGTTCATATTCATCTATCTGATGCAAATCGCTACTCATACACGCCCATCCAACGATCAAATGTGCGACCAGATCCGCCTCATAGTGCGCCATTTACCGAATGCAATATGATCCTTTTCGAAATATCAACTCCGATCCATGAGCCATTTTCGCTGTAAAGGGTATCAAGCTTTTTTGTTCCAGTTCAGGATCGTTCATCGGGCCTCAAGAGGCATATTCTCCTTCTCGGCCCATTTCCTCAACACGGCTCTCTCCGCTACAGAGCGAGCTTCAGACTCGTACTTGGTGAGATCTTGATCCGCCGCGCTCTCTTCAAAGACAATGTCCTGCTGCTGCACCTTAACCCACTGCTTGTGTCGTTCGCACCGCTTCTTGGTACAAATGCCGCGGGTCCAGAATGCCAGTTCATCTTCTTCCCCGTCCATGGCCGTGTCGCCATCGCCATCGGTGGTTGTCGGGTAACTCGCGGCGAGGGCCTCGACTGTACCCTCCGAAAGGGCTTTCTTGCCAGCATCCGACAGCCGCCACTCATCAAACTCCTCGTCGGACCAGGAGAGGCGAGAATCAAAGCCGCAGATGTCCTTCCATCCGCCTTTCGGGTCGTTTGCCTTGAGTTTTTCGACCACGCCCTTGGATCGCTGGCGCACAAGACCCACAAATGTCGACCGGGCTGCGAGCATCTCCTTGCGATGGATGAGCTCGTCCCGAAGGTTGCGCAGCTTGTCAAGTCTTGCTGCTTCGTCGGGAGAATAGTCCAGGTCGCTGGAATCGATATCGAAACCGAGCTTGTCCCCGGCCTGCGGTGTCTCGCTCTTTACCTCGGCCTTGGGGCTTTCCTCCTTGGTGGACTCTGGAGGTGGAGAAATGATTCGGTCACCTAACGTGCGGAATTGCTCCACAGATGTAGCTCCCATGATCGCGGCTTTTAGATCACCGGCCGTGAGAACCCCACCCATGCTGCCCAAGTCCTCCAGACGTTTCCGAGCAGGTCCCAGCTTGAAACGACGGGTCTGCTGGCGCATGAATTCGCGGCCGTGGTCGTCACAGCAGTATTTACTAGGATTCTGGCGAGTGACGCGCGCCGGTTTGCGACATTCGAAGAGACGACACATCGGTTTCCATGTTGTGACACCTTTGCCGCGCTTACTGCAGTTCGGGCCTGGTTTACTGGTTAGAGAAGGGAATGAAGAGAGGCGGACAGGACACTCACATATGTACTTATCGATCAAATCGGCGTCTCGGGGATCGATGTTGACACATTTCCCATGGTACCAATCCTCGCAATTGCCATCGCATCCGATCATCCATGTATGGTTATCAGGTCGTCGGCAAATGCAAAATAATGCGTTTTCATCTTCGAACGAATCCTCATCCTCCTCGTTGACTGCTGTCTTGCTAGGCTTCTTTTTCTTCTTCTTCTCTGGTGGTGGAGAACCGGCCACTGATACAGAGCTCTGCTTTTTACCGGGTGTTTTGCTAGTGCGGGATGCTGGTGTATTGGAGCGCCCGTCAACGCTGTCTGCGTCATCGTTCGGCCTGCGCTTCTTTGCTGTAGGCTTTTTCGCCGTGCCTTTCTTGGTAGCTGCGGATCCCTTCTTATTTGACGCAAGTTTCACTGAGTTCGCTGGAGATGATCGATCGGTTGATGATGCGCGTGATGATGGTCCGTTTTTGAGATTTGCGAGTGTTTTGGAAGTGGGCTGGTCACTTATGCCATCCAGCCCAAGCGATTTGGTTTCAAGATCATCACTGGCAGGAATTATGTCCAGAGTTGAGCTCATTATCTCGTTTTTCACCGGTGGTAAAGCAGTGTCCAGGTTTCGGACTAATGGCGCACTCTTGTTGGAGTCATAAGAATCATCGTAGAGATCAATCCACGTCGCTCCACCTTCAGCGGTGCTTCCGTTCTGTTGCATTGAAGGCTCGAGATTTCTCAAGGACCGATGAATCTTTTGGGCTCGCGCAAGTCCGAAATGTCCACTTTGTCGCCATCCGCCGATCCCCACGACCCGACCGTCTTTCACAATAATATTGGGTAGCTCCAGGTCGTTATGTGTGAGACATAATTCCTCCCCTGCAACCTTTTCTGCAAACAATATGCTTCGTTCCTCCTCGGCTCCTGATGGCGGGGGTTGCGAATTGAGACCGCGGCATACGTAGGAGGGTTCGTCGGAAGAAGGGTCGATTGTCGCAAGCTGCTGCAGGATCTGGCGACATTGATTCTTGAAGACATCTATTTCCTCGGCGCTGAGATATCGCCAAGCAACATCCAGCGACACACCAGGGATTCGAGATTCCACTGTCACATTTCTTCCCTCGATTGTCCCACAGAAGCATATAACTGGAACCGCGACTCCAATCTCCTTCAGAGTATCTTCGGCTTTCCGAGCTGCTGATAGTTCGTTCGCATTCACGCAAGAGTATCGTTCCGCAGCTGCACCATCGGCGACATCGCGATCAACCCGAATGATTACACTGCCTGCAGCAAAAGCCTCTCTTGGTCCCGAGATACCAAGAGAGTGCTCCGGAGTGCAGAATTTTGTGGCGGTATCCTGCCAAAAGGCATTCGCTTTTGGATCCGGCTGGTACCAGTGGTTGTAATGAGGGGTGAAATCGTCGGGGTGCGGGGCGTAGCGTCCATATTGCGCGCTTTGCGCAAGGAAGGGATCGTCTCGGGGGATGTGTTCTGGCCGTGTCTCGTATGGATTGACTGTCGTCGTGGTGCATGCGATCTCCGCGGACCCGTTCAAGTGATTTGCGTTCGTCTCCATCTCCACCACTAGGGCCAAAGCCGCAGAAATGAGCTCAATAGGCTATGCGTTTTGTCGCTTAGTATGTCAAACGGCACACGGATGGTGTAAAGTCAAGCTTGAGCGGAGGAAAGCGATCACGGTAGCGAAAGGCGCGGACTGAGTTAAATGCACACAGGTCCCGTCGGAAATGCTGGCGGCATCATGGAACTTGCATCGATGTGTCTGTCGGTTCAAGATCCAGAACAGACCCGTTCACACTGATGCGACAAGCAGCACGCGACCAGTAGGGGATTTCGAGCAAATTGTGTCGGCGGGCGGATTTCGAGCAGATTCACGCTCCTTTCAACCGCTCACTCTGGGATGTGTCACTCCTGCAATTCGCCTTCGGGGGTGCGTTCACAGTGATATATTGATAAACAAAACCTCAAAACAGGTTATGGAACATACGAAGCAGCAAACACAAGGGTGTTATCACGAGTCCCTTGAATCGCAAACGCAGATCGGCGTGTCGGAGTTTTGGCACAAAGCGAAGGCGGTGAGAGTGTCCGTGACACGCGACAGTCGCGCTTTGGCTTCACCGCGCTGCACCGACTCCCAGACATAAGGACACGGCATGGCGGTCATTCTCAGTTGCATACATATTCTCGCAGCAGGCATTATTTAAGTTCTCTCTGAAGCTATAAAATTTTTCATCAGACCAAGTACTTGGTTCCTTTACCACAAAACCTCTCCGTGAAATGACAAGGACAGCCGTGATGTATTGTATTTTGAAATCGCTGCTACTAAGTTATCTTACCTGCATCTGCTCTTTTAGGTCGCACCTTGAAGCCAGATATATCAGAGATACCATGCTGATGCTACGAGAAACGGACCACTCCTGCTAATTGACAGTATCAGGGGCTTGAGCTATGGTGAAGATTATCCTTGGGCGCCTTAGCAACCCAGGTAGGTATACTCTATGCCCATCGACTCCCTCCATGCCATAGTCCTATAGTACCAACAGCAACAGGGGAGGTCAGGGAAAGTTGTGTGTCTGGCGGCTAAGCGCACAATCGTTAATTGGATGTGAGATGCGGTGAAGAAGACGGATAAGAGTGGACGCATAGCGGTCTACATCCTTCGGTAAACCGGGGAAGCCAAGGCCATTTTGTAGACATAATGCCGACCCCATCGGGTTCATCTTTCCCCAGAACATCATGTGCAGACATCGCCTCAATGCAACCTGGAGCCGTGGGTGACAATTGGAGATTCAAAAAAATCCTGAAACAGGGCGACACATGGTGCATCTGCATACTTTAGGGCCACGTTTAGAGCCTGCAGGTAAGACTAGACTAGCCGTTGGAGATCATCCAGGGAGACTTGGAGTCATCAGCGTTGGGGCATAATCATATCCCGATGTCTCTGGCATTAGGGCTGTGCTGGCCCACTTCAACGCTTACATGTAAGCGGAACCAGGATTAAAACCCTGGAGCGCCATTGAAGATTGCCGGGTGCAAAGGCATAGGATCTTAGAGTGATTGGAGATGGCCGGATTCATTCATCAGGGGTTGAGTAGGAGTACCAACGTCAGACGCGGCATATCAATCACCGTGCATCGAGGTCTACACCTGCGTAATGAACCTAAGGCTGCATCTTGCCCGATTCGGGGCATGAAGACCGAGCTAGGCCCCGCCGTATCCGGGTCCGAGCGTGTCTCAGGCATTAGAATTCTGATGTTGATGGATCAGGGGCGTAGGGACAGTGAGTGTTCCCGTTAGTGATCAGCCTGGACTATGCCGAAGATGGTATGTCGCTGATGGAATGTGGAGCCCCATCGTGAGATACGGTAGGGATGCGGGCGGGGGGTTGATAAGGCTAAGAGCTTGATAGTGATGTTCATCAACCCTCAGGCTTCGAAACAGTTTGGCGTTGAACACATTCCTGGGAGACTCCATTCTGACTCTCATGGGGTATGCCGAAAGACACGCTACCGCAGGATACGCAGGACTTGGTCGGCTATAGGCGTCTGCAAACATGTATCCGTATCCTGTAGGCCGAGTACTTGGTCTCGGTATTGGTCAAGCATGCCCAGCATCGGGCACGGCGGAAGTCCCGATCATCTGAGCTCCCATGGCCACGCAGCTGAAGCTTGGGCAAGAAATGCCAAGCAGCGAGACGGAAAGGGACGAACTGGCCCAGTCTCCAGTTTCCAGCCTCCAAAAGCCCCGGCTTCCCGGATCCCGCTGGAACAGACCAGGGTAATTAGGCCCTAGGCAGTGACCTGGTTAAGACAGCACCATTCGATCCCCTAAATGTCAAGTGGAGCCGAGTCCGCTCTAAAATGTGGTCCCGCTGATCTTGATCTAACCTACTTTGTGGTGTCGAGTGAGACCCATGTCTCGCGTCTGCTTGGTGTCTTGGTGTTTGCACTTGCGTCAAAAAATGCGCCTGCCAATCGCAATACGCATCCATGGCTGTGCGAGCCGCGACTTGATCTGACGATCGGCCACTGGTCGTTGCAAAGATGGCGCACTTCGGCCCCATTCCCGCTTTGGGAGATGTTTCACCACGATTCGCCCTGAAAGATCCCGGTATTCTCTTGCACAGGGGCTCGAAACAGGCGTGTTGTAGCCGGCATGCTGGACCCTATTCCGTTTCGGTCATAGTTCATGACTGTTGAAGTCGATGGTGGGGATCCTACTTTCCGTCTTGGCACAAATGCGCGAGGGCCCTGTGGAGTCCTGAGCTCTGCTTATTTTCACCGTCTGGACTCCGGCCTCCCCCGCCGTGCTTTCCTCGCGTTTTAAGCCTGTGCATGAGGACTTGTCGATTTTTCTGTAGCTCCAGCTGTCCTTTCTTTAATCAATCCTTCCCGCAATATCAAAACATCACTGGTCACCTTAGCCTTTTTCACCGTGCACCTTCAAGGACACTTGCGCTTTCCTGTGCGCTTTGATTTCATACACAATAATGTCAAATCCCACGAAAGCGGCGAGCAACGTCGAAAACTCCAACATGCGATGGCAGTTTATCGACTCTTCGAATAACAGTCGGAGCAATCTGACGCAAGTGAAGCGCCATGTTATGCAAGAGTACCTGCGCTATAAAAAAGGTGGCTCTCGTCAAACCAGCGAAAGCGAAGAAGAGCCCGTTATTGCTTCGAAACGTGGGCGGCCCAGAAAAGGTCGAGCTGCGAAGCGCAAGTCTGCAAGAAAGGCCGAGAAAAGCAGCTCTCCAGATCAGTCACAGGAAGGAACCTTCCCTTCTGGGGACACACAGGCCCAAATCGAGGATATTCACTGGCGGGAAGCCGCTACATCCTCAATTATCTCGCTAGCGGTTCCAGTCCTTGATCCTGCTCTTCCTCTATCTCACCACACATCTCCTGTCGTGCCACAAGGCTATCAGTTCCCACCTCGGGGCTTCCTTAACTTCTCTCCGTACAGCCATAATTATACAGAAGACTCTAACAGTCTTGAGTCGTTTTCGTCTGCTACCATTACTCTTCTCGAATATGCACGGTCCCCGAGGACGATTTTAAGCGCTGCACGGACAGATCCATTCAATAGCCTCCCGATAGAGCTCGATCTTGAAGGCCAAAGACTATTCGACTTTTACGTGAGTGATATGCCGGCATGCTCCTATGGCACCCACTTCCGATCTACCAAAGCACACAACTGGTACACGGCCGTCTTCATCCCGGAGGCTATGAAAGGTGCCGTAGCCTTCCAAAATACAATCCTGGTTCATGCCGCCAATACTTGGGCCTGGGTCCGCAACGAGACCGAAACTTCCAGCACTCTCCTACACCGAGATCGCGCTCTGACAATGCTCCGAGAGCATCTGTCCAATGACCCTCGAGCCGACTCTGATGTCGCAATCATCTCCTGCCTGAGCGCCGCCGCTCTGGAAGACTTTGATCCCAGGCCGGGCCACAAGGAAATCAGCTGGGTGCATATGCGTGCAGCTCGCGAGATGATTAGGTCTCGCGGCGGACCAACCGCCTTCGCAAATACCCGACTCGGGATGCTGATCAATTGGCAAGATTATATCTTGTCGGGATACGAAACTCATGGGCCAAGCTTCTTTTTTGAAAACGAACCACCGACTTCAATCTCGCAACCCGAGTGCGCTCAATCCCAACCTTCTCACAACCTCTACTCCATACCATCTCCGCCAAGTTCCACCTCTTCTGTCCTCTCAGACCTCGCGGCATGCCCAGAGCCCACACCGACAGCCCAAAGAACGTCACCAATGGATGAGATCCGACTTCAATGCGAAGAGTTCCTCGACTTTCTCCGCCGCTGCGAACAACTATCTCTCTACCAACTACATAACCTAGAATCTTGCGACCCAACCCGTTACACTGCAGTAAAAACATCATCTCTCCTATACAAAGTCCTAGCCGCTCCCCCAAGCGCACGGTTCACCGCATCCGGAGACCGAAAACAAATGGTCGCTCGACTGACAGCAGTCATGATGTTGAACGCCGCCCTCTGGGACTACCGCTACACACCCATCCTCGCGGGCACTTTCCTCAGCACCTTGGAACAAGCAATGGTCGACAGCGAAGTCAACCTGAGCGGGTCCGTCGAAGCCATCCTTCAGATCCTATTAGCATGTAACGATGGCTGCACGAATAACTGGACGACTAGTGTCGAAGGCAGTGTTGCACTTGGGCTTGCAGAAAGCATTCCCGACTTTAAGCAGTATTCACCCATTGCGACGTCTCCATCTGCTCGGCCCTGGTTCACGGGTAGAATGTTGAAGATTGCGAAGAGACTGGGCGCGGACTCGTGGCACCGGATCAATGACTTCCTTTTCGATTGTTTAACGCTTCGGGTTACTGAATCAAGTGCTTATCTTTGGGAGGCGGATCTGCGGAGGGAGATACTCGATGCGCCGTTGACGAGCTATGTTATGCCTTCACTGATGGTCTAATGCTTCGCGGTGGTCTGCTTCTTCTGTATATAATTTGTATCACCCCATTACCCAATTGGTGTCTTGGTGTGGGTTACGGGTTCTTTGTGCCCGTTGGTGTTACTGGAACACGGTATGGTTATCACGGACATTACACTCCATGCGAAATATGATTGCGCGGCCTGGAGCTGTTAAATGGTGGTGGCGGCGGTGCCGAGGGCATTGTGAACTCATGCGGGATATCACGCAATAGAGTGAAGAGCTTGAAAATAGTACAAGAATGGTACAATTCTATATCATGCCAGCATTGATCTATCTCATGCTTCTTCCGGTTTCTTATTCCATAACTTTGGAGAAGACCCGCTCTTGCTACTCCAACTGCCAGTCGTAGTAGTCGGATGCATGGAGAGAGGATCCATGCTCTTGTCCTTGACATGCAAGCGAGATGGCGCACGCTCGCGGATTACCTCGCCAGTTGTGGGTTCTGGCTGCTCATCCTTCTCTTCTTTAAACACCTCTTCCACCTCTTCAAGAGACCGCCCAGCGGTCTCTGGATACCAGAACCAAACCAGGAAGACGGCAGCCCAGTTGAATCCAACAAAACAGTAAAAGTAGTTAGAGCCAATCCTCGTGAGCGCAACAGGGGAGCACTGCGCAAAAATCAAGTTCAAACTCCAGTTCGTTGCGGTAGCCACCGATGATCCACGGGCTCGGATTGCCGTGGGGAAAATCTCGGACTGATAGATCCAAGAAATCAGACCAAGGCCGGTGAAGAAGAAAGAAAAGACGAAGAACATGGCAATTGCTGCGCGGAGTGCGTCTCGGTTGGCCTCGCTGTCGCTAAAGTCAATGTACCGCGCGAGCGTGGCTTCAACGCACATGGCGGCTCCCATGCCCAGCAGCGATGGGATTAGAAGCTTTCGCCGCCCGACTTTGTCGATGAAGAGCATGAAAATCGTGTTCCACAGTACTGCCAGCACACACCAAATTCCGATCATCATGAAGGAAGTGGATGTCGACAGTCCCAGTGATTTGTATATCCTAGGTCCGTAGTTCTGGATCACGTTTGCGCCAGAGGTTTGAGTGAATGCCTGTAGGCCGCATGCGAGAAGAATTCGATAGCGCCATTGTTTGGAGAGTAAAATATGGCGCCAGGAGCGGACTACTGATTGCTGCTTATGATAAATGCTCTCGTAGATCTGGTTGAGTTCGTGCTCGATAAACTGGTTGTTCGTTGCATCGCGGTTCAGATGCAGACGGGTCAACACAGAGCGGCCCGCCTGCTCTTTACCAGTTTCAATCAGCCAGCGCGGTGACTCTGGGAGGAACCAAATGCCACAAGCGAGAATCAGAGCAGGCGCTGTTTGCAAAGATAGAGGGAACCGCCACGTGAATTCGCCTGTGCGTAGTGAACAGCCGTATCCGACCCATTGCTGGTGGCATCGTCAGAAAAAAATTAATTCATAATTTAGTGACGACGAGCTACTTACGGCAGCCATAATTCCCACTCCAATCATCCATTGTTGCATGCTTGCGAGCAACCCACGAATGCGAGGCGGAGCAATCTCACTCTGAGACAATGTTAGTCATAGATGCACAATGGCCCTAATTTGCGCATGTCATGGTTCAACATACGCAATAGACGGGAATTGTGGCAGACATCAGGCCAATGGCGAGCCCGGCGATCAATCGACCGGCGATTAGCATGGCGATGCTGACTGCGCCTCCCTGAAGTGCAGCACCTAGAGTGGCAAGGAAACCGCCAATAAAGATCACCATTCTGCGTCCATGGGAATCAGAGATATAGGGCGCGAGTAGCGACCCCACAATTGCACCTCCTGGAGATTGTTAGATACTGATCATTATTATGAAAAATCGGATGCCATACCGGTATATGACGAGATGATGCCTCCACTGGCAGCGTCAGAAAGTTTGGGAGACCCAAATCGTTCTATAAAGGCATCCTGTTCAATACTCGACGAGATGACACCCGAGTCATAGCCAGAGAGGAACGAGCCCAGGCCTGCAAAGGCGCAGCAGAACGTAACTAAAATGAAAACCATGGTTCTCAGCAGCGCAGCTGCATTCCTAGAACCAGTCGTAGCTTCGCAGAGTGAAGCAGAGGCATATAAACAGAGAGTCAGCTCTAGAAGAACCGGTTTCTCACGCGTCCATGTAGAATGTGCAGATCCATGGGGAAGTGGGACGTGCCGAAGGGGGTAAATCGATCCCGAAACTACGTGAATGCCATGCGAGACGTGAGGGATCTGCTTAGTGGAGGACTAGTGGACAAGACGGTGCCCCTTTCTTCTGATTTTTCCGTGTTGATCAAGCTCCTCGGCCCTGCAGGGTTGACGTCGAGCTTTAATGGTTCGTTTAACAAACCGCTTTGGGAGCCAGAGAGGACCTGCGGAGACCAACAGATTGGGGCCCAAAACCCTCTAAACCTCTCCGACCGAGGAATCGTGTCGTCGTTTCAGCTTTCGCGCATTCCTCCAGTCGCGTCACAGGAGGTCATGTTAGCCCTACATGGCTAATCCCTTCATGTCAGATGCTGTACCTAGCGTAACTGTCATGCATGGTCCTTGATATGCTGTACATGTTCTCCCGTGCGTGGAGGCGAGTCTTATTCTTGACCCTCGACAGCTCTGACGTACTGATCGACAGGCATCAGAAACAAAGGAATGAGATGCGTAAGATGCTGGAGATTCCAATTTGCATAAATAAACTTGAAACCCCCTCCAGCACTTGTGCCTATGATAACGAGCCTTCCAAGGTTAGCCACAAGCCCTACCCTAGGAACATTTGAACTCGACGACGCGCCAATCCGCCGACGTCCCAGCATGCAGGATCCGCTGGAATACGAAGACATCTGCCATGGACACGCGGTCGTCCAATTCTCAATCTGACTGGGTGATGCATGCGCCCCGGGTTGGCAAAAGAAACGGCCGAAGGGGACTCACTGAGACAACGTTCTACCAGATTGGAAGCTTTATCTCCGACCTCCGACTCGGCGGATCGACTCATCGACTTGTTCGCCTCGGCTTCGTGCAGACTCATCGCCGAGCGCCCAGCGGATACCGGACTCCAGCCGAGTCGGCAGCCAGTGATAGTGGAGACTGAAACGCGGGAAAATTCTACCATCGGACGAGCTGCCAAAGAGACAATGGCGCAATAGAAGAACCCTGGAATCCCCGTGCGTAGGGCGTCGGGCTCACGCACACTGGACCTCCGACATTTAACCCACTTTTCTCCTTTTGGACCGGGGACTTACGTAGAGCATGGAACTTAGAAGTTGAACTTGTCTCCGTATTTCCTCCTAGCTCCAGCACTCCCACTTGGAGAAGTACCTGAGAGCAACCCCCTCCGCCCACCGCTTTCGGACATAATCATTTCATCATCGCAAATCCAAAAGGCCCGAGAGCTTTTGTCCGATCGTCCCTTTTACTCCGCCTGTCATTCGTCGCTCCATAACTCTGAACTATTGACCATCTTCGCGACCACGCCAGGGCGATCAATGAACCCTTGTATCTGATCGGCCGCCAAGCCTTTCTCCCCTTACATGACCATCTCCGTTGACCATGGCGACTGTGGATCCTCTTTCAGGAGAGACTGAGGATGATCCCGCCGTGGACTACCACGACGACGACCCCTCGCACTCAGGCCAGGATGGCTCCCCCCCGACTCCAAGCTTGGCCAGCCCTTGCCGATGCAGAAGAGGCGACGAGTTGGCCGAGCATGCGATGAATGCCGTAGAAAGAAAATCAAGTGCGATGGGAAACAGCCCTGCACACACTGCACGGTGTACAGCTACGGTGCGCCTTACTCCTCTGTGAACCTCTGCGCGTGTCTGACATTTCCCTATAGAGTGTACGTACGATCAACCGTCCAACCGCCGTCGCAACCCCGCCCCGCAGTATGTAGAAGCCCTCGAAGCTCGTATGCACAAGGCAGAGGCCATTCTCCGAACCCTCCTCCCCGACATCAACCTTGATGACCCGCAACTGGACGTGCACGCGGCCGAGCAACGACTCGCAGCCCAAAGAGAGAAGCAGACCCCTCTCCAGGGACCTGGAGCAGGACCTGGAGCAGCGCCCAACCCCTCTGGCCCAACAGAGACAGGCCCGGAGGGCGGAGAAGAAGGATTACTGGAGACTATGGTCGATAACTCGGGTTGCTTGGATCGCGACGACCAGGGCCATTGGGACTACCATGGCCACACGTCAGGGATGATCTTCGTACGCCGCCTGCGCAAACAACTGGGCGCTGACGATATGCCGATCACTAGAACAGCGCTCGGTATGCTCGAGAGCCCCAAGTCCGTCTCGGATTCGCCCCAGGATGCCTCACTACCTCCCACCCACGACCTGCCTCCTCGAGTGGTTGCGCGCCGTCTGTGTCACAATGCGCTGGACGATGCGTGCTCTTTGATGCGTTTCGTGCATGAACCTTCGTTTTTCGCTACTCTCGAGCGCATCTACGACACCCCGACCGACCAGTTTACAAATGAGGAGAACACATTCCTGCCGCTTCTGTATATTGTCATGGCGGTCGGCTGTTTGTTCTCAGATGACGGCGTCAGCACCTTGGACCTGGCTGGCTATGAAGGTGCCATTGGTCAAGGGTATGTTGCCACCACGACTTGAGTATGCAGAACTAGTATACTGACTGTTTACTCTAGATTCCAGTTTTTCAAGGCAGGGCGGCAGCTGCTCGAAGTCACTGATTGTAGAGATCTGACCACTTTGCAAGCAATCTGCTTCATGGTTCTCTTCCTACAATCTTCGGCTAAGCTGAGCACTTGCTACTCTTACGTGGGTATTTGCCTCCGCTCGGCCCTACGTTTGGGACTACACCGCAAGGTCACGGCAGACTTCAATCCGATCGAGCGAGAGCTGCGAAAGCGCATCTTCTGGGTGATTCGCAAAATGGACGTCTACGTTAGCACGCTCTTGGGTCTCCCTCAAATGTTGAGTGACGATGATATCGATCAGGAATACCCGATGGAGGTTGATGCAGAATACATTACTGCGGAGGGAATCACGCAGATGCCTTCCGACTATACCCCTCTGATGGCAGGATGTAATGCGCACACGCGCCTTTGCAACGTCATCTTGAAAGTTGTCAAGTACATTTATCCGGTGAAAAATGCCCGATACCGCTCGAAATTCGACCAGCGATACATGGTCAGTCACTCCAAGATTCGTGAAATTGAGCGCGATCTTCAAACCTGGATGGAAGAACTTCCACCAGCCCTGCGACCTGGCACGGAAGTTTCGCCACAGCTGGAACGGTAAGCCATGACAGGAAAGAGACCCAGACGAAAGGATTGAGAGCTAATTTTTCCCTTAGAATCCGTCAATTGCTGCGTATCAGTTACGCCCACGTCCAAATGGTCATGTATCGTCCATTCCTACACTACGTTTCTGGCGGGTCACAGGCGCGTGGTGTAGACAAGCGTTCCTACGCCTGCGCCGCAGCTTGCGTGAGCGTGTCTCGAAACATTGTTCACATTACGACCGGGATGCACAAGAGGGGCCTTCTCAATGGATCCTTCTGGTTCACGATGTATACGACTTATTTCGCGATTCTGTCGCTGATTTTCTTCGTGGTTGAGAACCCCGATTCACCTACTGCGAAAGATGGTGTATTGAAGGATGCTATGGAGGGCAAAAACACCTTGGCTGGACTGGCTAAGAAGAGTTTGGCGGCAGACCGGTGTTCCCAGAGTTTGATCGTAGGTGTGCCCCTTCCTCGTCGAGAAAAGTCTTGAGCTAATTATGCTTCGCAGTGCTTGTTCAAATCTTTGCCGGAGATGTTGAAGAGTCGTCAGAGCTCTAAACCTCAGGTCAATCTGAAGCGATCCGCTCCATCTAACATTTCTTCCGAGCCGGGACCTGTCAGCGCTCTACCTGGACAGACTTTACCCCCCCGCTCAAGCACATTCCCGACCGAGATGATGTCTCAATTGAACACATCAGACTCGAATCGTCGACAAAGGAGTTTGGACAATACCAGAATTATGGGTAACAACCAACCCTCGGATAGTGGCTCCCAGTCTGCCTGGATGGCGTCAACTCCGGAGCTGCTTACAGAGAGTATGCAAACACCCGAACCGTTGTCTGCGACATCTATGAATCATCCGTTTGCCAACCAGGAGCCATCAAGTCTGGCCTGGTCCCAGCAATTCAACAACCCGAACAACCTTCCGGATCTCATGCCTATCATGTTCCCATCGGACGATCCTTTCGCGTATCCCACACAGCCTATGTCCACTTTGGAGGATGATCATTTCCGTCACGATCGGACGGGCATGCAGCTCCCGTTCGACTCAAAACCGCAGCAGCCAACCGGAATGGCAACAAGCACCCCCAGCGATCTGTCGGGAGGTGTATCCACGCCCACTTTTGACGCCTTCAACTTGCCCAGCTTCCCCATCGGGAACACATCGGGAGTTAAGTCATCGATTCCTAGCCGACTTCAGGCCAACACTCACTCAATGAACTCCTCGCGGCTCCACTCGCCGCTCCCGCAGAGCCAGACTCCGAGTGAAACTCTGAGCAGCCCGGACTTGGTTTCGATCCCGAACCAGAACTTCGTGTGGGAAGGATACAACTTCCAACCTACTAATGCCAACATGGGAGCAGAGACGACGATGCAACAGGATCGGCCGCTTCCGAATGGTCTCAACATCGGGCTTGATGACAGTACCATGGCAATGAGCATGGACCTGGGGATCTCCTTTGACGATCTGTTCGGAAACGACGCTACCTGTCGACCTGGGCCGCGGGCGCCTAATGATGAATGGACGCAATGGATGAATTCCGGCGTCTAATCCTGGACATTGCTCTCTACGACGATATGCACTTTATGAAGGAAGCAAAAGAAAAAATCTGTTTATACCTGGCGGGCGCAGTGGACTGGACATGGTCTTTTTTTTTTTTTTTTTCCTAATTTGCTTTGTGAAATACACAGGCGATCTAAAGATGGCAGTACAATTGAAAATAATTCAAATGATATAGCCCAGCTCAAGGATCGTACTTTCCGTGGTTCGATGATATCAGCCCACTCGTACATTGTTAATAGCGGCATTGCCATGATCGGTTTAGACCAGAACCAGAACCCACTCAATATCCGAGTCTCGCCCGTCGGTCTTGCGACACTCCCAACGACATGACCCTTTACGACGAAACGAGTGCGAGGTCCTCGATTGATTACATTTCATGACTATTGCACTGTTGCCTTCAGTTAGGGTCTGATCCGAGACCTCCTGCCAGGGCCGCCGCGGTCGCATCCGACGCGGGCCTGATCCTCTCCGTGATACTGTACAGTATTAATTTACGGACCCCGGCATATACACGGAAGAATGGCCTCCGTGCCAAAGCTCTCGAGCGTCTTCACGTGGATCCTATACTTCATCCCCGTGTACATCTTCATCCTCGAGCCAATCCTGCGCCCCATCTTCCCCGACAAAACCGAACCCTCCGAGGTGACGACTTGGGAAAGCGAGGTCCTTCTGGACGACTGGGAGGAAACAAAGCCGGCATTGAATCTCGAAGATGATAGCTTCATTAGCCCGGAGGATGATGTGCCCATCAACTGCCCCGGCGAGGCACCCGGGTACAAGTTGCACCTCTTGTCGCGAACACCACTCATCATGTACATTGAGAATTTCGTGAGCGACGAAGAAGCCGACCATCTGGTCGACATCAGGTAACACTACTCTCCCTTTTTTTCGAGAAGGCAATCGGGCTAACGGAGAACTCAGCCTTAACAAGTACAGCCCCTCAATCGTCTACGATGGCGTCACCGAGCGCGTCGACCCAAGCAAACGCCTCTCCGACCGCGCCCTCCTGGACCGAGACGATACTGTCCGCTGCCTGGAAGAGCGCGCGCGTGCCTTCCAGGGGTGGCGACCACACCTCTACATCGAGCGCATGTGGGCACAGCGATACAACGCCTCGGGCCACTACCGACACCACTACGACTGGGTGGGATCACTTGCGCACGGCGGTGACCGACTCAGCACGTTCATGGTATACCTAGGAGCCGACTGTGTGGGCGGAGGCACGAATTTTCCGCGCCTGCGCATGCCGCCTGGTGAACAGTGGTGTCAGTTCCTGGAGTGCGAGCCGGAGGGCCAGCCAGCCCAGGAGGGCATCACGTTCAAACCGATCAAGGGGAATGCGATCTTCTGGGAGAACCTGCGCCCCGATGGGACCGGGTATCCGGAGACGTGGCACGCTGCGTTTCCGGTGTCCGAGGGTACGAAGGTCGGGCTGAATATTTGGAGCTGGTATCAGCCGCCACGGAGGATGAGTCAAAAGGGCACATGAAAGAGTGTCCGAGCCGTGGTGGAGGGAATCCTTAGCCCCGAGAGCCTTGATTTCTTTCATGGGGTGTTTGGGATTACCCCGGCCAAGCATTGCGACGAGCGTGTCGCGGAATGCTTGGAGCCTCCGTGTTGCGCGGTGTTACACTATTAGATGGGTATAGATAGAGGGATAGAGGGTTGTATTATGATCAAAATGAAACATTGCATGGATCAGACCATGTTCTCATTCCCCAAGCCTCCTACCTCATGGGAGGCGTCCCTCCTGGATCAAATCGATCCGGACACGATCTGAACCGATCACACTGAACGTACCAAGTCCGGAGGGAACCAGGCAGCGAGATTTGGAGGAAGAGTGCCAAGGGACTCCTTGTGCCGAGAGATACCAAGGCCCAAGAGTCGCTCGGAGCGGGAATGAGGGAAACCTTGGCTGCCAAGAAGCAACACCAAGGCTGGGGGTTCTTGGCAGACCCGGTGGCCCCTTTTGAATCGAGGTAGGTGTCGCCACTTTTCATTTCCCACCAGAGCCAGCCGAGGACAAACATTGGAGATTGGTTGAGACCTTTGGGAACCTGGAGTACGGCGCTTGCCCACATCGGGGCAGACCGGATGTCCCTACGGAACACCGGAGCACCGAGTACACTTGGCTATACTACTCAGATGCTCTACAGACAAGTAGTCTACACAATATGTCCTAGGTACCTAGACGGACTGTATAGTACATAAATATTCTACTCGGTGCTGAAAAAGGGTAACGTAATAATACCGGAATGCAGCACAGCCTCGAGGGCAGACTTTGTACTCCACCCCTCAACAGCCAAGACGCAGCACCATTTGGGTCGCTGGGCCCGCACGCTTCTTGGCTCCGGTCTTGTCCCAGTCCCAGACCCTTTCTTGTGCCCGGTCCCTTTTTTTTGCCCAGTCTCTTTTTTGTGCCCAGTCTCGGTCAGTCTTGTCCTATTCTTGTCCCTCGCCCCCTCCGCCCCAGGCTTTTTCTGGGCATAATCTCGGTTGGTTTCCCTCCCTTGTGAATGCCTATGTGGAGTCTCCCCCGTTGTCTTGTTTTCTAGGCACCCGCTCTCTTCCTCCTCCTTCTTCTTCTTTTTCCCCCTTCCCCTTGAACACCCTGGCCTGATCCCTTTATACTACCTGATTCTGTGATTCGGGCGACGATTGACTGTGTTTTTGATTGTCGTGATTTTTTGTTTGGTTTCCTCTTTCTCTTTTACCCCCCGCTAAAAAGTCGCGTCTGGGCTCCCGCCAGCACGACAAGATCCATTTCTTGGCATCATGACGGAGAACAATCTTCCCCAAACATCAACGCCTCAGGCGGCGCCCGCCCCCGTGCCTGTCTCCGGCGAGCAGACGCACCCCGTCTCGCAGATCCCCGCGACCACGCCCGCCTCGGTGACGGCGACGGCTGCCGCGGCCACCGCGGCCGTGAACGGCTCGATGAACGGTGCGGGCGAGCAGCTCCCCTGTCAGTGGGTGGGCTGCACCGAAAAGTCTCCCACTCCGGAGGCACTCTACGTAAGCTTGGCCGTTGCTGCTTCGGTGTTGCGCAGTGTACTAATGACTTTCGGCGACAAAAGGAACACGTGTGCGAGCGCCATGTCGGTCGCAAGAGTACCAATAACTTGAACTTGACCTGCCAGTGGGGAGCATGCAACACTACCACTGTCAAGCGCGATCATATCACATCCCACATCCGAGTGCATGTGCCTCTCAAGCCTCACAAGTGTGATTTCTGTGGCAAGGCCTTCAAGCGCCCCCAGGATCTGAAGAAGCATGTCAAAACCCATGCCGACGACTCGGAAATCCGCTCTCCCGAGCCTGGCATGAAGCATCACCCTGACATGATGTTTCCCCCGAATCCCAAAGGTTCGTTTTCGGATTATTTTTCAGCTTTGGATTTCCCTTTCCAAGCCCCCGTCCTGGTCAAGGTGTTGCCGGCGGGTTTTCCTGTCCCGGAATTTTTATGAACTACACAAAGTTGCTCCTTGCTTGGACCATTACTAACTAAATGTCGATTGCAATCCAGGCTACGCTGCTGCCACTCACTATTTCGAGGGCCCGATGAACGGCGTCGGCGGCCAGCAGTATACTCATGGAGCTCCTCAGTACTACCAGAGCCATGCGCCTCCTCAGCCCGCCAACCCCCACTCATACGGCAATGTCTACTATGCCCTGAGCCAGGGACAAGACGGCCAACAGGCTTACGACCGCAAGCGCGGATATGACGCCCTGAACGAGTTCTTCGGTGATCTCAAGCGCCGCCAATTCGACCCCAATTCTTACGCCGCTGTTGGCCAGCGCCTGCTGGGTCTCCAGGCACTGCAACTTCCCATTCTCAACGGACCCGTCCCCGAGTACCAGCCCATGCCGGCTGGTATCGCAGTCGGAGGCGGTGGCTACAGCCCCGGCGGCGCTCCTGCTCCTGCCTACCACCTCCCGCCCATGTCGAACGTCCGCACCAAGAACGACCTGATCAACATCGACCAGTTCTTGGAGCAGATGCAAAACACAATCTACGAGAGCGACGAGAATGTGGCTGCCGCTGGCGTGGCTCAACCCGGTGCCCACTACGTGCACGGGGGCATGAACTACCGGACTACCCATTCTCCTCCGTCCCAGCTCCCTCCCACCCATGTCACCGCGGCCACCTCTGCGCCTATGATGGCGACCTCGGCTCACTCTCCCTCGATCGGCACCCCTGCCCTGACACCGCCCTCGAGCGCACAGTCGTACACCTCAAATCGCTCCCCAATTTCCATGTCTCAAAACCACCGCGTCTCACCTCCTCATGAGAGCGGCGCGGGTATGTATCCCCGCCTGCCGTCGACCACCATGTCCGATAGCATGACTGCCGGCTACCCGACCGCGTCCAGCGCAGCCCCGCCTTCCACTCTCAGCGGTGTCTTCGATCACGATGAGCGCCGCCGCTACACTGGTGGCACTCTGCAGCGCGCGCGCCCCGCGGAGCGAGAACTCGATGAGAACAGCATGGACACTTATCATGACGGCAAGGAGGACCGCGAGCGCACTCCTACTAAGGATTCTATCGCTACTAGCTTGATTGACCCTGCCTTGTCCGGCGCTTCTCCCGACCCCGATCAGGAGGCTGCCCAGCGCACTGCTCAGGCTGCCACCGAGGTGGCCGATCGCGACGTCAACGTTGCGTGGGTGGAGAAGGTTCGTTTGCTAGAAAACCTCCGTCGCCTGGTATCCGAGCTTCTGGAGCAGGACAGCTTTGGAGAGTCCAGAAGCCACAGCGGAACCGAGTCTTCGGCATCAGGGACGGACGCTATGGAGGGAGTCGAGACCGCCAGTCGGGCCTATGCTTCTCCTGGGCAATCCGAGGACCTTACCAAACAGGAGCCTACCAAGCAGGAGCCTGAGGCAGTCCTGTACCCGACACTGCGCGAGGTGGACGAGGACGGAGATGCCAAGATGCCCGGCGACGGGGCGTAGGTTTTTCTCAGTCTTGACTTGAAATTCTATAACGCTGTCATGACTATTTGTTTTGTGTCTTCCACTATCTCACTTATCTTCTGAGCTCACTACTCTATTTCCACTTTATTTCCTTGTGTCGGCATTCAGGCTGGATTCTTGTCACGGACTTTTTTTTGTTACTTTTTTTTATATTTACTCTACCTTTTTTTCCAATTGGCATCAAACCGGGTGACCCTGTTCCCATCCATCCCATGGATCTGTATGACTAGGGCCAGCTGTTTATTTACGGTGTTTGTTTGCGTCGAGGATCTCGATCCAACCCCCGATCTGACCTTGAAGTCGTAGTTTAAATCCAGTAAGGTTACATAGGGTTCATGGGACGTGAACTCCAAATCCGGCGGCGGATCGACATGTCAAACCTTGAAGATACAAAGCAACATTCCAATGGGACCAAGCTAAACTCCATCCGGGACCTGTGACGCAAACGAAATCGGGAACAGGTAATTAGACTTCCGCAAGGGCCATACCGTGAAGCTTGTGCGATCAAGGAGTTTTAGAATGTATGAATGTTTGTATTCTTATATAGTTCTCAAGTTGGATATCTGCCCAGGTGTGTATAAGGGTGTGTATAAGAACTGTATACGTGCTATTGCGGGGGATGGCAATCAAGGGGCAGCAGAACGTCAGATCGCATATTTAGGAAGATATCCACACTTCAGATCTACGTGGGATTGGAGCGATCTCAACTGCACTCGGAAACATCTTCGATCCCACGCTGAACGCTGAGCACAGAGCACGTACTTGGCGTATTGGTAATACCGGCCCCTCCGCCAGCGCCCGCCGCCAAACCCTGTCCTGTACTGTGTACGGTACACCGCCGGAACAAGACTCCACCACTGTTTACGGCCAAACGGGTGCCCTTCGCACCTCACACTTCACACTTCATTAATTCCTTTCTTTCTCCCTTCTGGATCTCTTTCATGGTTTTCCCCATTTTGTTCCTTCCCTCCTCTCCCATATTCTCCCAATTGTTCGACCTCTATTGTGTGCGTAGTGTCGAAACCCACCTCGCACGCTCCCCACGCGACAAGGCGGTGGCCCCAAACAGACGCCGTCGCGCGTGTCGATCGTAGGGATTATCGATAATCAAACCTCCAGCCACACACTTCTTCACGTCCTTCAGCCTCTCGATTTCCCTTGTTTGTTGTTTCTACCTTTCTTTGGTTCGGCTCTCTGTTTTTTCCATCGCCATCTTTTGCCGGTGGCGAATCCGCTCAATCGGGTGGCTCTGACGACCGCCGTTCTTTGGTTCTGCCTCTGAGCGTGCCTCCGAGACTGGGGCGTGTAATCCGGATCCAGAGTTGTTGTGTTTTCGCTGTTTGATTGAAATCTTGCCTCCGAGTTCGCCTTCTTTTTTGCCTCTGTGTTGTTTGCGAACTGCCTCGGGCTGATTTGCACTTCACACATTTTTCGCATTCCGCGCTCGCTGCGTCGGTCATATCGGTTGATTTTTACTTGCGAACATTTTGAAACGCACTCTCGGAATTACAAGGAAAAATGCCGTTGTCAAATCGCCGTCGCGCGCGGCGCAAGGAAATTCAACTGCAGGAAACGTCTGATGCGGAAGCACCAGACTCGTCGCCCACTCGTCCCTCCGCAAAGAAGCGCAAGGTGAGTCCCGGTCTGAGACCAAATGGCCGGTGCGCAAGATAGGCTGATCTTCCGATTTGGAAACATAGGTTGATCGCCGCGCCTCCCCTTCACGAACTGGAGTCAAGCACGAGTCCGGCGACGAAGCCGAGGACTCGGCGGCGGACCATGATACTTCTACTCATCAGGATACCGTCGACTTGGTAATCTCGTACCTAAATATGCCCCGCGAAGAATTGCGCGTCACTCGCGACCACTCCAATACCAAGACCGAGAACAAGCAAAGTATCCAGGCCTACGCCAAGATCGCCGGCCGCAACTGGACCTACTACGTCAAGACGCTGCATGTCAATATCGGCCGCGAACCGGACCGCGAGCAGAGATCCAATGAACAATCAAGTCCCGTTACAATCGCTGCCCGTGCGCTCCCCGACGTGCATGTCGATTTGGGCCCAAGCAAGTTTGTTTCGCGTCTGCATGCCGAGATCTTTTATGACGGCGAACAGACGCCTGCGTGGCATATCCGGGTTAACGGCCGCAACGGTGTCCGTTTGAACAATGCGATTCTGAAACGCGGTGTCGATGCCATTCTCTCTTGCGGCGATATCATCGAGGTGGCCAACTGCCAGATGATGTTTGTGACGCCCGGTGACGACGCCAATATCCACCCGAGCTTTATCGAGCGCGCTCAGCGTATCGCCAGCGGCCAGGAACCCGACCCGGCTACTCAGGCCTGGGACGCTTCGCAACATTCCCATCCCAAGGCCTCGCAGATGACCGAGTCGGCGAGACCCTCGTCCTCCGGTGGCCCTTCATTAGCACCGCCGCCGCAGTTCCTCAATCGCAATGTCACGCCGCCCCCGCGCTCGCCTGATACTGCTGGCCAGCGCACGGCTAAGCAGTCACCGCTTTACAACCGCGGTATGATGATGGAGAGCACGGAAGAGATCGATTACAGCAAGGACGCGGCCAAGGACCTGAAGCCGCCTTACAGCTATGCCACGCTCATTGCGCAGGCTATCTTCTCTAGTGAAGAAGAGAAGCTTACGCTGAACAGCATCTACAATTGGATTATGGAACGATATGCTTTCTACCGACACTCGCAGAGTGGCTGGCAGAACTCCATCCGTCATAACTTGTCTTTGAACAAGGCGTTCCAGAAAGTGCCCCGCAGGACGGATGAGCCAGGAAAGGGAATGAAGTGGCAAATTGCAGCAGAGCACCGTGAGGAGTACCGCAAGAAGCAGATGCGGAAGGGTGCCCAATCTTCTGCTCCCTCTTCGCCTGCCACCAAGGAGCCGCCATCGTCCGCTACGCGTGGAGCGCACCTTGCCTCATTGGATACTTCTTCATTCTCAGCCACAGCCAAGAAATCCCCGCCTGTCTCGTCTCCAGGGTTCAGTTCATTCCCAGTGGCCCCTGTAGAGGCTTACACTCCGGAGCGTGGCTCGCGCATTGGTCGGGGCATGGGCTCGGATCACCCATTGCGACATATGAGCCCTCGAGACTACGAAGAGCCCTCTCCGCTACCAGCTCGCTCGCATACCAACCATGCTAGCTCTAGCCAAGCGCAGAACAGCACCAATAACCTCAGCCGCGCATACGGGCTCTCGGACAACGTGGCCGGCTCACCACCAGTGCTCTCGTCATCGTACTATGACGAAGGCCCTTCTTCAATGATCACACCGGCACCCCAGCGCCAACAACCCCGACTCCCGCCTCCCAGCACCGCGCAGATCCCGTCCAAATTTATGCCAATGAGCTCGCCGGCTCAGTTCTGGAAGTTTGCTGATATCGGAAGCACGCCAGCCCGCCATGTCCCGGACATGAGTCCGTTAAAGGGTGAGCCTGACGACCGTATCATTGGAGGATTCCCCAGCAGCAGTCCACCGCCGCCCAACTTGGCTAGTCCTAGTAAACCCGGCACTTCAAATGGTCTTGGCTCTAGCCGGACATTACCGCCGTTGCAGTCGGATGGCGGTGAGAAGGGGCCCAATGCAGTGCGCAAGGAGGAGCAGAGAATGGAAGACGAGGAAGACGAGAGCAACGCAGGCTTTGACCTGGCTCGGTATGTACCCTCGGTTAAATACCATTTTCCAACAGCGACTAATTCATCCTGCAGTGGCTTCCAACCCATCGGTTCCTACCATCGACAGTTAAGCAATGCTGCCCGAGCTACAGCCACTTAAGCGTTGTCCATGATGTACCACATGCTTGTCACAAATTGTACTTTGTTTTTGTTTTGTGTTTTGTGTTTTTGCTTTTACTTTTTTTTTTTAACTCCGCATTTCACCGGTGTTGGCAGGATTATTTTTTTGGCTGCTATATTCTTACTTGCTTCTTGTGTTTCTGTTTGCTGGCCATGCAGCGGAGAAAGGAGTTTTCGGGGTTTCTGATTTGAGAAGCCTGGCCTCTGTTGTCGTTTTTTTCGCTTAAACTTGTCTGACTTACTTGTGTATGCCATCTTAGCCTCGATTGGCTCTGTACGTACGAAGCCATCAATGTATGATACATCCATACGATTTGATCCACATAAAATAACAATTACTTTTTAAGACATACCAATCCCAAAATACTGCCAAGTATACCGTCCCTTTATGGATCAATTAATCCATAACAGGCCAGAACCTCTCCTCCAGCCAAATAACCTGCTTCCACCACTCCAAACACCGTGCACGCATCATCTCCGCCTCTTCGGCACCCTTAACCTGCGCAGCCATCTCATCCAACACATCCCCAATGTGATCAACAAATTCCTCAAACTCTGCACTCGACCAATTGGGAATAAACTTCTCCCTCAATGCCCCACCATCCGCATCCTCCTTACTCTCTCCGTCTCTCAACTTCAAAAACGACGCCGCATACCTCCACGACCGAAGATAACACACCTCGGTCGCCCACAGCACCGCCAATCCCTCCAACACAGACACCCCCGAACTCCCCGCCGACATGAACATATCAATATACGCGCGCGTGATCCGCGTCGCCGCAAAGTAAGCCGGCCCGCCCGACTCGAACGGCGTCGCAGACGCAGAATGTCCACCAGATGAAAGACCCGGCTCGCACTCATCGGTACCTTTCTGCGGATTCTGCGGCAAAGACGGATTACACACGTCACCACCAGCCTGCATCTGACACTCACCCTGCGCACCGCAGAGCTGATGTCCCTCGCGACCGTGCCCCGCTTTCATGTCACCCTCGCCCTCAGCGGCGGTGGAGATACTCTTACCACTGGGCGCTATACCCGTAGAACCGGGACACGACCCCGAGCCCGCAGTCGAGATTCCTGCGGACGTGGTGATACCGCCGGAACCAGACTCGGCGAGACCTGCGCCGCCCTCTTCGGCGGAGATGGCGGTCAGGTCTAGACCGTAGTCATGGGCTGTGGATTCGAAGAAGCGGAGTTCGGTGCGAATGTTAACCAGCGCGTCGATTAGGATGTCGACGGCGCGCTGTTCCGAGGATGGCTTTAGCGCGGAGGTGCTGTTTGCTTTATGGACTGGCATGCGGATCTTCGTTAGGAGAAGGCCGATGAAGCGGATGTAGGATTGGGCGTAGAGTCTGTCTTGGGCGAGCCATTGTGAGAGAGTTGATTTTGGGAGGTCTCCGCGGCCGGCAGAGGCTAGGAAAGGGTGTGTTGTTGCGCGTTTGAATGCTTGAGGTGTTGCGGAGAGCAGCCAGGCGGTTAGGGGTCCTTGACTGGTCATTTTGGGGGAGTATTGGGGGCTGATGTGATCAACCGGTAATGTGGATCTGGAATGGGTAGTTTTTGGAGGGGTAGTGTTATCGAAGAGAGCTGCGGTGGGGCGCAACAATCAAACGATGTGCCTATGGCGTCAGTGATAAGGGATAGCTTAAGTGATAAAGGATAAAGTGATTAGATTGACTTTAAGCTTATCTGACTTCTTGATGCATCAGCAGATCTGTAGTTTATAGTGCATGTCTGGAAATCTGGGACGAACCCTTTGTGTAGCTCATGACGCATATCGCAGTCAATGGGAGCTGGTCAACTCAGGAGCCCATTGATACTTAGGAAATCGGGATGGGGTCGCTGCAGCTGTAACCCAGCTGGTAGCACCCTTGGACGTGAAAAATGAAGGACTCATGATATGTGTGAATTGCACGTCTTAGTGATAGAAGATAAGAGATGGACCTGGCATTGGTCGTGCTTCGTATGACCCGCCACAGCCTGTTGGTATCCCGCAACCTCCAGGATGTCGACTCGGTCTTACCAAGGCTTGGGAATACTGCCCTGCCAGTCTTAACAAGCTGGCTGATGTCGCTAGCCATACTGTGGCCGATCAGAGTCACGTAGCGTCGGTGATGCTTGGACGAGGTGCCAACGGCGTGGCATCCATACGGAGGCACGAACAGTTGATCTACCTTCATTCCCAGCTGACTTCTTTGGACAAATTTCCTTTTCTATACCCTTACTTATCGGAGAAATCCTGCACAGTACTTCCTGTTGAAGTAGTTGCAGAACTCTTTGGTGCGGAAGTGCATGATGGTCGAGAGGAACTTCAAGGGAAAACCTAGACTCTGTCAGTGTGTATAATCGTGGGGCACGATGCAGTTCCTGGCACGCGTCTCCGAGCCTCCTTGTCTCCCTGCCCCGTAAAAGTAGACCTCAGGAAACGAATGGAACAATCCGTGCAGAATTTTATTTTGGATGACCTGATGTCTGTGGATCTCTGACATGTTTTGTCAGCATCAGTTCATCTCTCCTACCAGGGTCTCCAAATATCATCATTGAAGTCTGATTTATTGCTTCCTCTCTGCTCTAGAGCGTTATTGAATTGTTTGGCGTAATCTCCCGTTATACACTTGGTAGCCATGTAGGTTTCTACACGTACACTGTCAAATTCTTTCGTAGATCTATACAACCTCGACCTGTATGTCTTTCCGAAGCAGTCAGGTGCCGCACGATTTCTGGAAGAGGCCCGGAGCGGGTCCGGAAGCCCTTCGACGTGGGACTCCATGTTTTGCTATGCGCAAATGAGACAGGCATGTGGCACCTGCCCATTATGGCAGGTGCGACTCATAGCACATTACCCGATTGGGTTACCACGTGATCGCCGGAATAAAGATCACCCGCTGTTTGCTCCTCAGCTACCACCGACGCCTCGTCGTTGTTCGTCGTTGTTCGTCGTTGTTACGCCGTCGCCTTCCTTTGTTTGTGGCTTTGGGAATGTGAATCCCGGCTATTTCTTGCTATCAGTCCCATTGTATCTCGTTTCTTGGTGCTTCCTGCGTGGTCCCAGACGGCGCACATGTCGACCCGCAAGATGGCCATGACCGACGAGACCGACCACAGTGGCGGGGTCATTCTGGATGGCCCTTTCGACCCAGATGCCCAGGCCACTGTCACTGACTACATTGACTACACGGAATACCTCCCCGCCGATCTCATCCGCTCCCTCACGTTGATACGCGGTCTGGATGAGCGCTACCTCCACTCGGCGCATTCTGTGGACTCCCTGACGAATACATACGGCCAACTACCAGACCTTCCGCCCGATGAGCAACCGAGCGCTATCGCTCTGCGCAGGGATATATCACACCAGCTTGATCGCGCGATCAATGCGCGCGAGTCCGCATATGCGGAAGCATGCCGCCTCTACGATGTGATCGATCGCCACTTCGACCGGTTGAGCTGTATCAGGCAGAAGCTTGATGCACTACCAAGGCCGCCTTCTACGGAGCCAACACCGCCGCCGCCAGAGCCTACACCGAAACGTGCGCGCCCCGGGAAGAAGGACAACGCGTCAACGACGCGTATCACCCTCCGACTGGATAACCCCAAACGCAGTCACAAGAAGAAGGCGCGCCGCTCAGGTGTGGCGGCGGATCATTTGGCGGGCTTCAACCCTGACTCCCCTATCGCCAGTACCGAACAGTCAGATGCCGAAGATTTGGATATTATTCCCCCCAAGCCTGCCAGGCCGTCAAAGAAGGATAAAGCACGCCGCCCTAGCTCGGGAGTGGGAGTCTCTACAAGCAACGCGCTTGCATTGCTCAAACCTCCTCCTGCGGATGCGAAGGTCGGAAGCGAACACATGCCGTGGATCCGTTTGACGGAGTGGGAGATGACCAAGCTACGGAAAAAGATGAAAAAGAACGCCGTTTGGCAACCCAGCGAGGTCATGGTTTGGCGTGAGCTTGCACTTTCTGGCCGTGGCTGGGATGCCTATAAGGAGGCCAAGGCATTGGCTGAGCGGACCGGCGCGGAATTCACTGATTGCGACAACCTCGAGGAGACCTACCGCGGTGAGAAGGGGGGCAATTTGGAAGAGACCAAGATAAGCAACCGCGGTATGAAGTTGAACGAAGCCAAGAAGTTAAAACGCGAACAATTGGCACGGGAGGCAGCAATGAACGGCGGAGAAACTCCGGTGAAATCTTCCGTCCAAGCTACCCCAGCGAATCGCTCGTCGCGCAAGAGGAAGCGGGAGGAGGTTGTTGTCGAGGAAGAGGATGAATTGGAAGAAGTCATTGCGCCTGAGCCCGCTCCAGATCCAGCCCCTCCGAGGTCACACAAGCGCCGCAGATCAAGCCGTGGAGCTGCTACCACTGCTCCGGGAGAAGCGACCAGTGGTCCCGTTTCTGCAATCGCAACTCGAACATCACCGGCCGAAACCAAAGTAGAACCTGCTTTGGCCTCGCCTAATGAATCCCGTCCTTCCACTCGATCGGCTGGAAAGCCAACCGGAACACCCACCCCACCTGCGACGCGACCCTCGTCAAGGCGCTCTGCTGCTGCCGCATCGATTGAACTAGGTGGTCTAGGCGGTCTCCCCACCACCGCACCCGTCGGGCGAGATCTTCGCATTAAGAGTGCGACACCCGCTCGCAAAACGCCAATTCGGGAGGCATCGCATGCGCCAAGCCTCCCTGCGCCAGCTAGGAAGCGCAAGCGACCCGCTCCAGGACCCGTCTCAAATGGCCAGGATGGCGGCGCGGCTGTTAGTTACGGTCGACGCAAGGCCAAGCCGGGCAAGAAACAAATCAGCATTCGAGACTCACAAGACGTTCGGATCGATGAAGATGGTGTGGTAGAGGAGATCGATGCAAATGAGCCTCGGTATTGTATCTGCGGAGATGTGAGTTTTGGCACGATGATTTGCTGCGAGAATCCAGATGTGAGTTTCTTCCCTTTCCCTGTCAACAGTACATCATACTAACGTGCTCGCAGTGTGATCGCGAATGGTTCCACCTGGACTGTGTTGGTCTATCGGAGGTTCCCTCGCGCACGGCTAAATGGTATTGTCCCAACTGCCGCGTTAGGTTTCACAAAGGAGCAGACGGCATCGTCAGGGGAGGACGTCGTTGAATATTAGGGAGATCGCGAGCGTTTGTATGATACCACGGGATGTTTCTTCAATTGCTGGGGTTTCTGGTCTGCTATGGAGTTGAATCGAGCTCGGAGTTTACTTACGGTCAGGGCATCAACGGAGTCATGAGCCTTTAGCAAGAGATTCAATTACAATCGCTTATTTACTTCAAAAATTATCATCCACATTCGATAATGGCTTTAAACAGGGTCGATTTTATATCGTAGTATTCACAATTTGTATTTATTTCAACGACTTCACTTGAGCTCCCACTTCCCACCATCCGAGACAATCTCCACGGGTCGCCGCTCGTCCAGCGACTTCCGGCCGGCATCCAGGATGGCTGTGGTGGCAATTGTGTTGCGCAGCGTAGGCAGCGGACGCGCATCCAGCTGGTCGACGGTCAAACGGCCTTCGTTGACAGCAGTCACGGCGTCAATGAACTTCTCGAAGCTGATATAGCCGTATCCAGTCTGGCCGCCGAAGTTGCCTTCTTCGTCGGGGGCATAGCGCATATAGAAGCTGAGCTCAAAGTTAGCATATGGTCTTCCTTGCCGAGAATAACTTCACTTACGGGTTCACCCAGATCAGCCCCTGCTCATCGGTAGTGACGTCGTAGGAGCGCTTGGCCTGGTTGACCCGGATCTCGCCATTGGCAGCCATATCTGTGTACCATGTCAGTCACAATCGTAGTTTCCATTGGGGGCCCGGAACATACAGTGGAAGTACTGGTTCGAGTGCACGCCGGCATTCTGCGGCGCCGTCCAGCTGGCCGTATAAACACCCGTAGCAATCTTCGCAGGATCATCCTTGCGCCGCCATTCCACCAGAAGAGTAATAGTATCCTCCGTCTCGGGAACACAGCCGAGTGAAGCTGCAGTACCCTGAGAAGCGGTAGCCGTGACCCGCACAGGCTTGTAATCCGGAACCATACTCTCGCAAACATCAATGTGGTGCGAGTTCAGGTAGTACGAGATATCCGAGTCGCGGCCCGCCCATGCCTTGAAAGTCTCCAGCTGGCTCTTGGGCTGGCTCATGTAGCTGTAGAAGTAGTTGAAATCGCCGAGAGTGCGGGCCTTGGCGCGAGCATCTGAGTATGCAGGGTCGAAGCGCTTGTGGTGCTCGACAAAGACGAAAACGCCGTGTTTGCGCGCCGCTTCGACCAGTGCGAGGTGGTCTGCCAGGCGCTGGGTTGCGGGCTTGGTGATTAGTACATGGTGGCCACGCTCGATGGCGTATAGGGCAATCGGGTAGTGGGTTGAGTCGGGGGTGAAGATAGTGATTGCGGAGCCCTTGGGCAGGGCGTCAATAGCCGTCTTGTACGCGTCTGGGTCGGTCTGGTCGTCGGCGGGGAAGGAGGTGAATGAAGTGTCGAGGTTGTTGTACACTTGGCAGATGTTGCGGTGCAGGTGATCACCTGTGGATATTCTATTAGTCTGATTGCTCATTTGTTCCTTCGGGTGTACTTACGAATTCCAGGGAACTTCTTGCCCGACACGCCGACCATGCTCAGGTCGCCCACTTTGCCTCGGCGGCGCAGGTCGAACAGAGTCAGGCCTACCACGCCAACCTTCTTGTCCGAGCCGGAAGCACCACCACCGACATAGCCAGTGGTGTACTCGCCGGTGCCGACCTATTTGATGCGATTAACATGCGCTGTATGCGACGGGAGCTTATGCTGCTTACCATCAATACGCTGGGAGGTGCCATGATGAATTTCCTTTCAATGTAGAGGATAGCAAGGTAGAATTGGGGCTATGAGAAGGAGAAAAGAGGAATTGAGAGAAATAATGGGGAATCTTGGTAGATGTGGTGCTGGACGTAATTCTTCCGGCGTTTGAAAATGCCAATAGCCGACGATGTCGTATCTTATCGGCGCGGGGTGCTAGAATATGAGAATACGCCGCCAGCTCTTTTTATTAAAGGGTATGAACGGTGTTATACTATCTATCTAGTAGCTATCGTTTACCAGCAGCTACTCACTTAATTTTCCGATCATAATCAGTCCAGCGTAGTACCATTCACCCTGCTGAACACTGTACGCGCGATGTCACCCCACATTCGACGTGTGTATGTTGATTGGCGGAATTGATTTCTCCGCCATACAAATCGCATCGGAGAATCCACCGACGTGGGGGAGGAGTAACGGAGCGTGGTGGCCGGTCAAATAAAAACAGGCTGCCAGCTGTCTTTCTGCGATCCTTTTCTAACCTTACAACTCCTTGTAAGCCAGGACCATACTCATTTGATCCTCCCCAAGACTAACAACTACAGCATCATGTCACCCACTCCTCTCCGCCCCGGCGTCTATGCGCCAACTATGACCTTCTTCGATCCCAAGACCGAGGAGCTCGATGTTGCCTCGATTCGCCGCCACGCCGTGCGTCTGGCCAAGGCCGGCCTCGTTGGTCTTGTCACGATGGGCTCCAATGGCGAAGCCGTGCACTTGACGCGCCAGGAGCGTGCCACCGTGACCCGGGAAACCCGTTCCGCTCTCGATGAAGCTGGTTTCACCAACGTGCCAGTCATCGCCGGCGCCAGCGAGAACAGCATCCGCGGCACCATTGAGTTGTGTCGGGAAGTTGCCGCGGCCGGCGGCGAGTATGTCCTAATCGTACCGCCCAGCTATTACCGGGCTGCCGTCGGCAACGACGAGACTCTGTACGAGTACTTCACTGCTGTGGCCGACAGCTCTCCCGTGCCTATCATCCTATACAACTACCCCGGTGCCGTCGCCGGTATCGACATGGACTCCGACCTCATCATCCGCATCTCCCAGCACCCCAACATCGTCGGCACCAAGTTCACTTGCGCCAACACCGGCAAGTTGACCCGTGTCGCAACCGCTCTCGGTGCTATCACTCCTTCCTCCCCTCTAGCCCCTGCCCAGCGCGCCGCTCCCACCGTCTCCAAGCCGGACGCCAAGCACCCCTACGTTGCCTTCGGCGGGGTCGCGGACTTCAGTCTCCAGACTCTCGTCTCTGGCGGATCCGCCATCCTCGCCGGTGGTGCCAACGTGATCCCGCGCCTGTGCGTGCGGATCTTCAACCTCTGGTCCGAGGGCAAGCTCGCCGAGGCTATGCAGGCCCAGCAACAGCTCAGCGATGCCGACTGGGTCCTCACCAAGTCCGCCATCCCCGGCACCAAGTCCGCTATCCAATCCTACTATGGCTACGGTGGATTCCCGCGTCGGCCGCTGGCCCGTCTCAGTGACGCCCAGGCCCAAACGATCGCCGAGAAGATCAAGGGCGCATTGGAGGTGGAGTTGTCGCTGCCCGATGTGGCGTAATTATAACGATGGAAAGGGTGTTTGTAAAAACAAATAAGATTACTTACTGCGTCGCATATAATCATGCCATGGCTTCAATTTCTCCCCCTATATCCTGCGTAATAAATATTTTAAACGTCAATAGTCGTCATTCCTAGCTCGAGCCCTAATGCCAAGCCCTACTGCAGGCGGGACAATGCTTCCTTATCGACGATAGACGATAAGGTGGCCATCCAGAGCCCGGTTTCTCCTGCGCAGCTCATAGGCGGAAAAATAGCGGATCGGAGTTGATACGAGACAAGCATCGTTATCACCAAGCGCAACAGCCTGAAGTACGCCAATTGAATGCGCATGCTAACTATGTCGCATGAGGCCACGATGTAAGTAGCTCAAATGATTTCCCGTGTTCGATTCAATTCTGGCAGGAGCTGTTTCTCGGACGAGAATCTTGCGCTTTGATTTCCGGGCTTGAGCCAGTAGTTTGGCCGGTGGAGCCCACTTTACAGTACGGTGTCATCTCCGATTGTGGCCGTCGACACGGGGGCGGGTCGGTTGTCACCTGGGGTCAACGTTGTATTCGGTGCAATGGCATGTCGCTTTTCTGGAATCTGGTGGAGTTGGAATTTTGTTTGGGGGTTTTTCTGGATATACCCCTCCTTACCCCCACGCTGGATACTTTTTTTTTACTTTTCGGTTTTACTTTTAAGACTGTCGTCTGGCCAGCTTCGTGCAGGATATTCTACTTTGTTATTGATTCAAATTGACTATATCTCGACACAATGCCGTATCCCGAGGAAGCTGAGGGTTTCCAGGTTGATGGACCTGAGACCTTTACCCAGTTCCACAAGCGCTTCGTGAGTTTCCTGTTGCAGTTTTGTAGGATTGTCTAACTGGTGTTTCCCGGAGTGCTGTAGTACAAGTTGAAGCCGTTTGGTGACCATGGTAAGTTGGGACCTGTTGTGTTACGGTTGGGTGAAGGTCTAACTTGTACACAGACGTTGATATCAAGATCGAGGCATGCGGTGTCTGCGGCAGTGACGTGCACACCATCAGCGGTAGGAATTCAATGAACGAACAAACTTGGTCCCAGCTCACGTCTTTCAGGTGGATGGGGAGAACAGAAGTTCCCACTGTGCGTGGGACACGGTAAGAATTCAAACCGTACAGAAATATCGTTCCGGTCCCTGATGAGTCGCAGAAATCATTGGTCGCGCCACTCGTGTCGGCCCCAAGGTCACCCTCATCAAGGAGGGCCAACGCGTCGGTGTTGGTGCGCAGTCATACTCGTGCGGCGAGTGCAAGCAGTGCCGCAACGAGAACGAAACCTACTGCCCCGTGCAGATGATGGACACCTACGGATCGGAGTGGCCGGATACCGGGATTATCAGCCAGGGCGGATACTCGTCGCATGTTCGGACACACGAGCACTGGGTCTTCCCCATTCCCGAAGCACTATCCAGCAACACCGTGGCGCCGATGTTGTGCGCCGGTCTGACTGCGTACTCGCCCCTGGTGCGAAACGGCGCCGGGCCCGGTAAGAAGGTCGGCATCGTCGGGCTGGGTGGTATCGGACACTTTGGCATTATGTTCGCGAAGGCGCTTGGGGCTGAGACGTGGGCCATTTCACGGTCTCGGGCTAAGGAGGCTGATGCGCGGAAGCTGGGTGCTGATGGGTACATCGCTACTGCGGAGGAAGGCTGGGAAGAGCCGCACAAGTTCTCGTTTGATCTGATTATCAACTGCGCCAACTCGTCCGAGGGCTTCGATCTTGCGCGCTACCTATCCATGATGGATGTGCATGGCCGCTGGATCAGCGTCGGTCTGCCCGAGGAAGAGGGCCAGGTCATCAAGGCCCAGAACCTGATTTCCAACGGCGTGCTCATTGGTGCCAGCCACTTGGGTAGCCGTCGGGAGATGCTGGAGATGCTCCAGTTGGCGGCTGATAAGGGGCTGAAGGGCTGGGTGGAAGAGATCCCGATTGGGGAAGAGGGCCTGAAGGAGGCTATGCTGCGGATGAAGAAGGGGGATGTTCACTATCGCTTCACCCTGACTGGGTACGAGAAGGTCTTTGGTTAAGCAGCCCTGGAGGGGAATGGTAGGTGTGTCTGAGACAGGGGTGGTTGGGGAGTTCTGGTGATGTATAACGTGGTTTTGTGGACAAGGTTTGCGAGAGTATTCAGGTGTCAATTTGAAAAATAGACAATGATTATTATGATCTTTACCTACGCTCGGGTGGTTTATACCTCCGTACCCACTCTGGTATTTACTTTCAGGGGATGGCCGAAGGTCCCTTCTTGGTACTTTTGTTACTTGTGCCATATTCTGCACGCCCTCTTGAAACCGGACTGAAACTGAAAAGTCTGCCCCAGATAGTTGCATTATATTGTCTTGCATTGTCTTGGACCTTATCGATGCAACTTGAAAGTGGACCGACCCACATCACGGTTAAGCAACCTAAACCACGAACCGGATCGACGGCATCTTCAATATTCGATTTACGGCAGTGTCAGATCTGCCCTGAAAACCCTACTTCACCCGAGTGTCGGCGAATTTAGCGGTTTCCCTGGGACCGGAAAAGGCTGAACCGCCACCCGCAGCTGACGGTACGCAGTCGGATGTACCAGTACTTGTCCGCATGGCCAGTGGGCGTAGTCAGTGCAGTATCAGTACTCCGCACGGATGTAAATCCCCCATGATTTGCCTCCCGAGGTGCCAAAAAAAATTAAATCCTTGCCGGAGAAGACGAGCTACAAGTACCGGTACATCGTAGCACAGGACAATTATAAGACATTTAATGTATAGAGTACTTCAAGGACCTCGCCCCAGAGCCAATCACTCCTCCGAGATTCACCGCCCAACTCTCGGACCCGCTCATTCTTTTGCTTCGGCGATTCACCCTTTTCTCTCCTTGCTCACCTTCGTTTGATTTTTCTGTCTTTCCTTGTTCATTCTCTCTCTTATATTTGTTCTTTGGTGTTGTTTTTGGTTCCTGTCTTGGGTTTCATACGTTAGACTCGTCTCCCTGAGACGCTCACCGAAAGCTTTCATTCCTCGATCGACCCCATACACATAGACAGGACCGGAAAAAGCTCAATCGTTTCCAATCTCATTCATACTCGGTGTTTAGCTGAGTACCGAGCCTTTTTACGCATCGCATCGCATCGCATCAAATCTGCCGTTGTTCATTCGCCTTCGTTGCCCGTGCAATCACCAACGTCATGTCGCCACGCGAGAACTCCATTGGCATCTCCGTGCGGCGCCGCCCCTCGCTCTCCCTACGCCCTCGTTCCCGAACTGCGGCTCATTCGGCTGCCCCGCCGAAAGGTAACACTTTCGACCAGTGGCAGGAGGCCTCCTTGGCGGAGGCTCGCCACGATTATACTGCCTCGGCGGTGGAAGACACGGAGTTGTTTCCAGAGACTGTGCCTCGACGCCGTGCGGCCAAGAGCTTCTCGAGTCTGCGTCATCCAATGGACGGTCTAGTGGCTCTGGGCCGTCGCTTGTCCGTCTCGATGCGCAACAAGTCCTCGAAACAGAACTTGCGCTTTCAGGAACTGGAGGACGACAGCGAGTGCAGCTGCGAAAGTGGCTACTATCACCATGCCGTGAGCCACGGCTCGAATCATAAGCGAAATGGCGTGTCGGGAGGCTGGGCTCCTAAGTCCCGCGCCTGGTCCAATGGTATCAGCATCAACCGTCGTCCCTCGCTCAACAGTGTTTCTGCCCTGCAGAGTTTCTATGCGCCAACTTCTTCGGTCCCAGGTCCCATTCCGGGGCATGGACTAGAGCCGCCCATTTTTCCGAATGACAAGGTTGCGGGCTCGGCCGCTCGGGCTGCTGCCGCTGCGCAGAATGAATTGGCCAGAGTAGAAATGGCTAAGGCGGAGCGGGATCTTCGAAAATCCGATACGAGAGTGGCACAGGATTCTGAGAGCGGTATTGGAATTGACCTGCGCGATCCCTCCGATAAATCCGACTTGAGCTGTGTGCGCATTGGTAAAGAACCATGAATTCGAGCAAACTTAATTCAGCCGCTAACGTCGTCTATAGATCCAGTCTCCTACCTCCCAGCCGAGATCTCGGCCCATGTTTTTTCATATTTGGATCCTGCATCCCTCATGGATTCAGAATCAGTATCTAAATCATGGCACCGACAGGCTTCTTCTCCACATGTTTGGAAGCATGTCTTCCGTGGCGCATACCCTCGGCGCCCAGTGGGCCCCACTGCGACCAAGACGAAGCAGCCTGTCGGATTGGGGAAGTCAATTCCCAACCAGGACTGGAAGAAGATGTTCTTTGTCCGGCGAGCTCTTGAGCACCGCTGGAAGGAGGGCAAGGCTGCGGCCATCTATCTCCATGGACACACAGACAGCGTCTATTGTGCGCAATTTGATGAGTACGTTGATAGAATAGCTCATCGCTGCATGTTTCACCGCTAACAAACGTTTTAGAAATAAAATTATTACTGGTTCTCGTGACCGGACCATTCGTGTGTGGGACGCCCACTACCCGTGGTCGTGCCAGAAGATCATCGGCCCACCCCCGGGCGATCTGGCTATCTCTGATGATCCGGTGAACAACCCGGCACAGCAGGCCACGGGCAAGTCTCCCTTTGCTACCATCTGCCCGCCATCAACTCCCACCGCGGGTATTGTTGCGCCAATGGAAAACCCGTCAGACTACCACAGTGCCTCAATTCTTTGCCTAAAGTTCGACGAGGAAATTATGGTGACTGGGTCTTCAGACTTCAGCTGCATCGTGTGGGATATTAAGAAGAACTACCGACCAATCCATCGTCTCATCGGCCACAGCGCCGGTGTGTTGGACGTCTGTTTCGACGACCGGTATATCGTATCCTGTTCGAAGGACAGTTCCATCTGCGTGTGGGACCGCAAGACAGGTGCGCTTCTCAAGCAACTATCCGGCCACACCGGGCCGGTGAATGCTGTGCAACTGCGCGGTGACCTCGTTGTATCAGCGAGTGGCGATGGTATGGCCAAGCTGTGGAATGTCACCTCAGGTCACTGCATCAAAGAGTTTCACAGCAAGGACCGTGGTCTTGCTTGTATTGAGTTCAGTGATGATGGTCGAACGATCCTGACAGGTGGCAATGATAAGACCATTTATCAGTTCGATGCCAATACCGGCGAGATGGTCAATGAGCTCCGAGGCCATTCCTCGCTAATCCGGTCGCTTCACCTTGACAGCATGAACAAGCGGATCGTTAGCGGTAGTTACGATATGACTGTTAAGGTGTTTGACACCGAAACTGGCAAGTTGTCTATCGATCTGCCTGGCTGGACCACCAGCTGGATGTTGAATGTCCAGTCGGACTACCGGCGGATTGTGGCGACTAGCCAGGATGCGCGGACTGTTATTATGGACTTCGGATACGGTCTAGATGGGATTGAATTGTTGGAGGAGTGATAATTGCTGCATCTGTCTACACAGATTTTGTTCTTCATTTAGCGTTGATTTTGAGTACTCCGGCATGGGACTTTTGAGGAGTTGGAAAAATTTGGGAAACCGGGATATAGGGACTGGGGGATGGAACTGGTCATAGAAGCTCTCTGGTTTATTGCTTTAGACGATACACACGCAAGTCGTATATACAATCTCGAACCCTTTTTGAATTGACGTGAGAAAGAGCCAAAATGATGCCTCAGGCCACATATTAGCTAAGCTCCCGTGATTGGCTGCTCGTGGCTAGCGCCGTCAATGATCCGTGGGTTTTGGCATCAAAACAAACCACGTTGTTTTCCATCAACACAGACAGGCAGACCCCAGCGAGGAGGCCCTGATCTTTCACAGTATTCTCCTTTGTCGGCTCTTCGTCGAATTTTGTCTCTTATTCGTCCTCCGTCGTTCCCTCCAGGGTTCTGATTGCGGCTATCCTATCACTACCCCACCATGGGTGAATCAAGGTCGGCTTTTCCCCCTTATCGACAATCGGCCTCTCAAAGGCATGGAATCGGTCGGCTAACCCTGGTCTCTCTTCAGACAAGAGCTGCTGGCATGGTTGAACAACCTGCTGCAGTTGAACATTACCAAGATCGAGCAGTGTGGAACCGGGTAAGATGGATCGACCACCCCCTCCCCCTCTCCTGGAGGGGTACACGTTGAATTGGCGGAAAAGGACAATCGACTGACAAGGCTTTCGGGCGGAAATAAACAGTGCTGCACTATGCCAGATCTTTGACTCCATATTCAGTGAGTGCGACCTTTAATGGCGGAGTGGCCGGACAGGCGGTCAAGCCGTCCGACATTTTGTGAAAGCGTATACTGATGCGAAGAACCTTTCTTCTACAGTGGATGTGCCCATGTCCCGGGTCAAGTTCAACGTCAACACTGAATATGCCTACCTCCAAAACTTCAAGGTCCTCCAGAGTACGTCCCGACAATCGGTCACGGTCACGAAGCCGCCCATCGTCACGATCACCCCTCTAACGTAACATTCATTCCAGACGTCTTTACCAAGCACGCCGTCGAGAAGCCCATTCCCGTTCAGTCCCTTAGCAAGTGCCGCATGCAGGATAACCTCGAATTCCTTCAGTGGACCAAGCGATACTGGGACCAGCACTACCCCGGCGGTGACTACGACGCCGTAAGTCGCCGGAAAGCGTCCGGGGCTCCCACCGGTGCCCCCGCTGCGCGTACCGTCTCGGCTGGCTCGCGACACGGATCGACCCCGACCACTAATGCTGCCCGCGCTCCCCGGGTTGCCGCTGCGCCTGGCGGCGCTGCCACTTCTGCTCTGCAGCAGGAGATTGTGACACAGAAGGAGGCAATTGCCGGACTCGAGAAGGAGCGGGATTTCTACTTTGCCAAGCTGCGCGACATCGAATTGCTACTGCAGAGCGCCATTGAGGCGGATCCGGAGCTGGAGAAGGAGGAAGACTCACTTGTGAAGCACATCCAGGGAATTCTGTACTCGACTGAGGTGAGTATCATTGAAAGGAATATTTCTATTCTTGATCAACGCTGATGGATTGTTAGGACGGATTCGAGATTCCGGCGGAGGGCGAGGAGGTCGTGGCCGACGACCTGGAGACGTTCTAAGCGGAACGGGATCGGGCCCTAGCACGAGAAACGTCTCAATACTAAATACCCCGCCTGAGATGTGATGAGAGAGTAGATAGCGAAGTACACGCATGGCCATATGGCAACCATTTGTCGAGCATTGTGTCTAGGTACCGAGGTAACAAACCAAACGTTGTCCATACTACCTCTAAGAGGTACGAGATAAACAAGTACGTCTTAGCTAAGGGCGTAAGACTCGGGGAGTATGTAGGTCTAACAATAGTCAATCACACCTGTAAGCCGGGAATAGTTTGCCCGTTCCTTGCGGAGGACGATAATTAAACCTGCAGTTGCGCTAGTCTTGGCCAGACTGTCGTATGGCCCCACTTATCACATATAGGGAGTGTTGATTGGCTGTGAACCGCGTGTACCTGCATCGCCGCTAGGTCGTTTCGGGAACGGGCGATGGACGCTGCGAGGAGAAGAAGCGTGCGTTTCAACATAAAACAATAACAAAATGACTATTCAATGGGCGTGTTTGCTTTGGCAATAACTCCAAACTTACCCATCTCACACTCTCGAGGTCAGACCGTACTCGGGTACCTTTCACAAAAGAAAAAGCCTTGGTCTCGGCCCCGGCCCCGGCACTAGTTCCGTCACCCACGCGGGTCGTCTTGGCTTCGATAGGGGAGTCTGGGTCCGCCGCTCCACCGTTTCGCTTTTTCACTTCTTTCTTCCCAACCTCTGGAGAGTTGGCCGGGCTCGGAAGCTTTTCTGTGTTCCCCAGACTCAGACTTCAGAAGAGTGTCACAACGCCTTTGCCAATCACATCAGACCCGCTGATCTCCCGGGGTCCTGATATCACTCTGTCGCCTTTGGCTTCTTTGGGGGGCCGTGTCGACACTATGGATTAGGCGACTACTTGGCTTCCTATTCACCCATCTTCACTCTTTTTTCTTTCTTTTTTCTTTTTTCTTGTTCTCTCTGGTAGGTTGCCTGATGATCCCACTGGTCTGGCGGAGGAGTCTTAACCTCCGTAGCAGTCTGATTAATTGAGAAACCCGTTGCTGATAGGATGGATCCTCTAGGCCGTTCAAGTCTGCGCTGAATGCCATTCATTCATTACTGATTCACTCGTCGGCGACACACCCCGCTGACATCCACTCCTTATTGTCTTGTCCCCAATCTCTCCATTTCCGGGTACTTCGACCAATTTCATTCGCTTCTGCTGAACCCGCGGGCAAGTCCCTGCTTGTCATCCAACACAAGCGACCTCGAAACGACTGCTATTCGCCATCGTGCAGCTGGTCGATCCAGCTCCGACTTAAGTGAAAATTCACGATTCTCTTCAATTGACCTCAACTTTACCTTTTTCTGACCCACGATTATACGCTTCTCGAAATGGTGCGCCATGGACATGGACATTACCGCCACTCGCGGATAGGCAAGCGCATCACAGACAAGCATCTACTGGAGGAGAAAGATGCAGGAATCGCAGATGTTGAGGACGCCAAGTCCAAGTTACTCGGGGCTGTTGACCCACTCGAGACCCCCAGTCTATCATCTTCCGATATGGTATCAACTGATCACTGCGATCCCTTACAAAACGTCACCTGCCTCAAGGATAGCGTTGATACACCGAACATATCGCTCTCCAAACGACAAGAGGCTGAGTCACCCCCCACCACGGTCGTCGAGACCATCCTTCAAGTGGTAGACCAGAACTCCCATACCCTCTGGGTGTCCACCGCGGCCGATTTTCCGATGACCATTTCAAATCCCGCGTTTGGCGCTTTTACTTTTACAGGTAGTGAGACGGCATCAGCAGAGCTGTCCTTATCGACTACTCCCACAAATTTGCTTGCTACCCCGCCGGCAACCTCGACAACCCAGACTACACCGCTTCCTACGTCCAAACAGATTCAGACAGCGCCAATCTCCTCGCCAAAGATTTCTCCAGCGAGCAGTTCAGTCCCTTGCACATCGACACCACTGTTTCCGCCATCAAATTCTACTACGGTTTTACCGACCACCACCTCATCAGGCTATTACGGAGGTGGTGGTGGGTATGCCAGTTCCAGCTCTTGGGAGGGCCCGTATTCCAGCACAACATCATATGCCTCAACGAGTGTGTCTGGAGGATCCGAAGAGACTGGTACCGGTACGGGTAGTGGAGCGGAGCCGTCCAAGAGCAATTCACAACCCTCATCAGGATCAGGATCAGGATCAGGATCAAGCAACGATGCTACCACGCCCAAAATCGTGGGCGGCGTCTTAGGAAGCGTTGCCGGACTCGCCGTACTCTTCCTACTTCTTTTCTACCTCTTCCGCCGCCGAAAATTCTTGCAACAAAAGAGTGCCCAAGCCCTTCCGTCCGAAGATGCTGGGGCGCGAGGCATGTCCGAACGAACTTTGAGTAACGACAACGACCTTTTGTTCTCGCCATCGTATCTTGCGCCTGCTTTCATGAGACGTTGGCGCAATTCGACTATGACGACGGCAACAGCGAGTAGCCTGTCCTCGTCCAACACGAGTGAGCGAGGCTTCCAGAAGCTCTCCGGCCGCAAGATCCCGCCAGTCCTCACCCACGGCGGCGACGGGTTTGGCGGTGGATTGGATGGCGACTCTCCCACCGTTCCTGGATTCTCTCCTATGTCTCCTGGCGGAGGGCCGCTCTCATCCCCCTCGACGTATGGACCTCCCCCGGCATCACCATTCGGCATGCCGTTGGACACCAACTTGCGCGAGGCCGATGAGAACATAACTCCAACTCGGCCATCGCCAGTCCACCTTCCTGTCTCCAGTTCGGTTAATTTCGGCTCTCCAACCACCGTGATCCCCTCACATACATTGGCCCAACCTCAGAGTGTCGTGCCGGTATTACCGGCGCGGCCGGACGGGTTAGGCCGAAGTCATCCAAGTCATGACGGAAGCAGAGGAAGCCGCTTTACGGAGAGTCTTGATCTCTGATGCGGGATGTACTTGTTGATACGGGATATGTGATACGATATAGCCGACGTGATACGGGACTTGGAGATCCGAGAGATGGGCCACGACCGATTCTTCACGCTGATTTGATTGCAGCGATTCTAAATTTTTTTTGATCACTTGATCACTCCGTTCGATTATTTTGCGATTTATAGGGTCTCCAAGAGACCCTGCCTGTCTTTGACATCTGCTTTTGTCTCTTGTTTCCTTTAGATACCCCCTATTCCCTCCCCTATCCCTCGTGAATAATTATCTCTACTTTTCTCTCATCTTCATCCTTTCTCTATTTTTTGGATCAGCGATTTTTGATTATGGTTATGAGCCAACATTGACTTGGACATTATCGAGTCTAGGATAATGTAATATTTGAAACCTGGAATTTTTCTGACTGTTTTTGACTGTAGCCTAATGAGGCAGTGGATACACACGTGGGGTGTGTCTCATAGCTGCATCAGTATAAGCCACCACAATTTCTATCGCTAAATTTCATTCTGATGTGTACGAGGATGAGCCACAATGCTGCCTACATAGACAACTACGATGAGTTATGTCAGCACCGCCACAGATCTTCGTCACTCGCCACAACTCAGCCACATCCGATGGCAATGGCCGTCGAGCCTCCATAGAGTATTAGCAACGATCATCGCAGCTCAGTGGCTCTCATAGCCTGTATCAGAATCCCACCCCTGTAAATATCGTGAAAATGAAAATTACTCTGCAGAACCCGATCGGGGCCATGACGCAGAAGGCTTTCTTCAAGCTGACCAGACACACCTCGTACCTGCACGCAATAGCTATCCGAAGCATAAGCCATGACGTACACGAAGGAGTTCCCGTCTCCTCACTTTCAGTCAAAGCCGATGATGACATCCCTCCATATTCAACCTGATACATAGATTAAGGTGGGGAAATGGATGGGCTGCACGACCATTGGATGCATGTATGAGGCGCAGTCGGACCCGATCCGTGGACTTGGCGGCAACCAAAACCGCCCATCACATCTAGACTTGCATTGCGACTATCGCATTGGACTATTCGCCAAGTGGAACCCGTTCTTTTGGTCTGGGGCCGGCTCACGAGGCCGGGCGTCTCGCCGTCCCGGATGTTACAGGATGAGCTCGTCGGCGCCTAATTCCCAGCGAACTGTCGCGTGCTATCACATCGCACCTCGTCCTGGCTGTGATTGATCTTTACTACGACTCCTACCTGGGTATCAAGACACCGTGCGCCTTTCTATACCTCGTCTTATACCTCGTCTAACGCTGTACACACCTCGGTGAAACGTACTGGATGTTGCCGCTGGGGCTGTGCTCTGCCCACGTAATATCTGATCCGGGTCATCTTGGCTACGAGCTTCGATTCTCCCGATCGAGCCCCTCGCTTCTCCAGCAATCGTTTGGGGTATGGAAATTTTCTCAAGCTTGGCATGGCCCTTATTTCTTAGCTCCTCTCTTAGTACCAGAGCTCCCATTACTGGGCATTGCTAGGCATTTCAACACAGCCACCGTGGGGAAGAGGGGGTGATATCAAGCGAATGCCCCTGCATTTGCATCATATTTTTCACAAGAACTCTTCCCATTATTTACTTTCCCTATTGCAGGGATCAAAAACGACCATCCGGTGCAAAGTAGCACTATGGCCTCATCTAATGATCTCCCGCAGGGCTCTTTCCTGAGTCCCCTCATTGTGACGAATCCTAATGGAAGAGATGTAAGCAGCACCCGATAACCCTTCCTTTATTGGGCGGCAAACCCATGCTAACGTCTCACCAGCGATCTCTATCCGTTTCATCTGCAGCAGCATCTTCATCATGGTCCGGTCCAACAGATCATGACCATAGTCCAACATCTCCCACATCATCTCTATCACCAGATATGGCATGGAATCAAGATTCAGCACGGCTGATGGTCCATCCAGCCTCGCATCGACCTTCATCGTCCATCGATGGCGATACTTTACGTCCGCGTTCGGACTCGTTCGCATCTACTGCGAACTTGACGGTCCGCTCGAGGGCAAACTCGGAAGTTGATCCCGCCGTTGTTGCTAAAGCATACGATGATGTCCCGCTGGCGGAGGCATTAACGCCTGATCCTCGCAACGAGGCCGATTTTCAGGTTGACGATAATCGCTTCGCGTTCTCGCCGGGCCAGTTGAATAAGATGCAGAACCCCAAGTCTCTTGCTGCTTTACATGCTCTTGGTGGGCTGCAGGGACTCGAACGGGGTCTTCGCACTGATCTTAATGCGGGTTTATCTGTCGATGAGGGTCGATTAGAAGGCACTGTCGCTTTTCAGGAAGTGGCTCCGCCTGTATACAGCCAGCGACCCTCTATTAGCAAGCCTTCGCTGGGCTCTAGCCCTGCAACAGCAGTACCTGCATTGACTGGTGATGGGTCTTCTTTCGAGGACCGCATTCGCGTGTTCAGTGAGAATAGGCTACCGGCTCGAAAGTCGACTGGCTTCTTCAAGCTGTTTTGGATTGCTTATAACGACAAGATTATTATACTTTTGACGATTGCCGCCATCGTGTCATTGTCGCTTGGTATATATGAAACGGTGTCTGCGGGCACTGGTGTGGAATGGGTTGAAGGAGTGGCCATCTGTGTGGCTATTTTGATCGTCACCATCGTCACTGCTGTCAATGATTGGCAGAAAGAAAGACAATTTACGAAACTGAACAAGCGAGTAAGTAATTCCTTTTCAATGGTTCACCATGAAACTAACATCAGCAGAATAACGACCGCGAGGTCAAAGTCGTTCGCTCGGGCAAGTCGATGATGATATCTGTCTACGATATCCTAGTCGGCGACGTCCTCCACCTCGAGCCCGGTGACTCGATTCCCGCAGATGGGGTTCTGATCTCAGGCTATGGTATCAAATGCGATGAATCATCTGCTACCGGCGAGTCCGATCAAATGAAAAAGACCGGTGGCCAGGAAGTCTGGCTACAGATCGTCGAGGGCCGGGCAACTAAGAAGCTCGATCCGTTCATGATTTCCGGTAGTAAGGTTCTTGAAGGCGTCGGTACCTACCTGGTAACCAGTGTTGGGCCTTATTCGACATATGGTCGGATTATGTTGTCTCTGCAAACGACTAACGATCCCACTCCGCTTCAAGTGAAGCTGGGGCGGTTGGCTAACTGGATTGGATATTTGGGTTCAGCGTAAGTTCGCTGTCTATTAACCTTGCATACGATCTAGAACTGACGATTATAAAGTGCCGCCATCATTCTATTCTTTATCCTCTTGTTCCGATTTATTGCCGACCTTCCGAATCATCCTAATGTAAGCCCTGCTGAGAAGGGCAAGGAGTTTGTGGATATTTTGATTGTTGCCGTAACTGTTATCGTCGTTGCTATTCCCGGTGAGTATGTCTGCAGTATAGAATACTTCATAAATCTAACGTTCAACTACAGAGGGTCTTCCATTGGCCGTTACACTTGCTCTGGCGTTTGCTACAACTCGCATGGTCAAAGAAAACAACCTTGTCCGTGTACTTCGAGCTTGCGAAACAATGGGGAATGCCACGGTTATTTGCTCGGATAAGACAGGAACCCTAACACAAAATAAAATGACAGTCGTTGCTGGTACCTGGGGCTCAGATCAAAGCTTCAGCCAGCCGTCTGAGAGTGAGACCGGCACCGATGCTATGACCACCTCAGAAGTCTTCCAGCAATGCTCTGCCCCAGTTCGAGACCTAATTGTCAAAAGTGTTTCTTTGAACTCGACTGCTTTTGAAGAAGATAAAGATGGACACAAAGACTTTGTCGGAAGCAAGACCGAGGTCGCGCTCCTCCAGCTGGCCCAGGATTACTTGGGTATGGATCTCGCCTCGGAGCGGGGATCTACCAAGATTGTCCAGCTTTTTCCATTCGATTCTGCACGTAAGTGCATGGGTGTCGTATATCGGCACCCCGGTGTTGGATACCGCCTCCTAGTTAAGGGCGCGGCCGAGTTGATGGTCGGCGCTTGCTCTACCCAGATCACAGAGATCGACATTTCGAAGGAGACCATCCACACGGAAGGACTCTCCGATCAGGATAGACAGAAGATTCTTGGGACCATTGAGCGATATGCCCGGGGATCCCTTCGCACGATCGGAATGGTCCATGGTGACTTTGCATCTTGGCCGCCCAAGAATGCTAAGAAGCTAGAAGACGACCAGTCTGCTGCCGACTTCGACAGTATCTTCCACAACATGACTTGGGTTGGAGTAGTTGGGATTCAAGATCCCCTTCGCCCCGAGGTCCCGTCTGCCATTCGGAAGTGTCACTCCGCAGGAGTCCAGGTCAAGATGGTGACTGGTGACAATGTTGCAACTGCCACTGCAATCGCGACATCTTGCGGTATCAAGACTGAAGACGGATTGGTCATGGAAGGTCCCAAGTTCCGACAACTGTCGGATGATGAAATGGATCAAGTCATTCCCCGCCTGCAAGTCCTTGCGCGGTCTTCACCAGAGGATAAGCGCATTCTCGTGGAGCGACTCAAGGCCCTTGGTGAGACGGTTGCTGTCACTGGTGATGGCACTAACGATGGGCCTGCTCTGCAGACTGCCGACGTTGGCTTCTCCATGGGTATTGCTGGCACCGAGGTGGCCAAGGAAGCGAGCTCAATTATTCTTCTGGATGACAACTTCAGCTCCATAGTCACTGCGATTTCTTGGGGGCGTGCGGTCAATGATGCCGTTGCCAAATTCCTGCAGTTCCAGATCACCGTCAATATCACAGCTGTGACCTTGACTTTTGTGTCATCTGTATCCAGCAGCTCGAATAGCAGTGTTCTGAATGCCGTGCAGCTGCTTTGGGTGAACCTGATCATGGACACTTTTGCTGCTCTTGCACTGTAAGTTGCCTTCATTTGGCGCTCTTTTCACCCACTAACAAGATGACAGTGCTACCGACGCCCCGACCGAGAAGATTCTAGAGAGGAAACCCGTGCCCAAGAGTGCCTCTCTATTCACATTGACTATGTGGAAAATGATTCTCGGCCAAGCAGTCTATCAACTGGCCGTGACCTTCATGCTCTACTTCGCCGGCGATAAACTTCTCAACGCACACCTCGACCAGAACGACGCAGCACTGCGAGCAAAGCAGCTCTCAACGGTCGTCTTCAATACCTTCGTCTGGATGCAGATCTTCAACGAGTTCAACAACCGCCGTCTGGACAATCGCTTCAACATCTTCGAAGGTATGTTCCGGAATTACTGGTTCCTGGGCATCAACCTTGTAATGGTCGGCGGCCAAATCATGATCGTATACGTCGGCGGCCAGGCATTTGGCGTGACTCGAATCTCCGGTATTCTTTGGGCTGTTTGTTTGATCTGCACGCTGGGTTGTCTGCCATGGGCTGTGGTTCTGCGCATGGTCCCCGACCGCCACTTTGGCGTTGTGTTTAATGCAGTTGTCGCTGGGATGAATGTCATCCTGCGACCGCTGTCCAAGGGATTCAAGGTCCTTGTTCGCGGTATAAGGGCTTTCTTTCAGCCTGCGTCACGGTTCATTCGCCGTTTGATTTTCCGAAAGGACTCGAAGTCCACCGATACCCCTCTTGAATCGACTGGGACCCTCGAGACTCCCGCTTCGGACGAGGAATCCCATCGATCCTCGACAAAATTAGCTCGACTAGAGAGCCACGAACGTCCCCAGACGGCGCCTACCATCGCGGTGCCTCCTATCACTGTTACGACATCTCCTTAGATTTCATGTCTATTTTATAAAGCGATATCATTGGGTGGCTAGCGATTGCTTGATTGTTTGTACATATAAATAGCCCATGGGCAAATAGAAAAACACTTCCAATTCACCATTGTTCTACTCTGAAGCAGATACGCAATCATGAAGAGTTTGTAGGATTGTAAATTTGGAACACGTTCCTTGAGTAATCTTGAAACAAGCTAGTAGTCCAGCAGGACAAGATTTCTCTATACACGAGAACGAGATTCCATCTCTGTGCAGTGTATCGCTTGATTCAGCCCCACTCAGCCCCTGATCAGCCTCAGGGCCAGGCTCACCTGACTGCACTTCCACATCCCTGGATCCAAGGCCCATGAAACGACAAACTGCGTGCTCCCAATAGTCTGCCATGATTTAATGCGCACGTATTTATACGATGTCGACCACGCAAGAAAAACCGAGTCTGCGCAACCCGATCCACAACCCGTTCCCCGCTTCGCTGTCCAGTGAGTACCCGCAACGACTCACGGTATTGACGGTTCTTAACATGCCTAGGCGAGTGCAAAAAAGCAGGCAAGATCATATACTCGTTCGTCAATTCGACGTTGACCAACACTCCTGGGGAGACCGCGATTCCTCGTAAGATCCTCGCAAATGCCAAAGTGGGCCGAACCGTCAGATTGGAACGATCCGAACTGACTCGATCTTAGGGCCTAGTAATATGCACTGTTTTCAAAGCCGCCTTCTTCGGGTCCGTCCGATTCGGCTCTGGCCTGATGGTAGCCCGTATGCCCAACGGCAGCTGGTCAGCACCCTCAGCTATAGCGCTCGCTGGTCTAGGGGCTGGAGGCCAGTTTGGCTTAGAGCTCACAGACTTTGTGTTTGTGCTGAATACAGACGCGGCAGTGCAGACGTTTCTCAAATCTGGTAATCTCACCATGGGTTTAAACATCTCTATGGCCCTAGGCCCAGGCCGAAGTGCTGAGTCCGGAGCCATCCTCGGAACAAACGGCATAGCAGGTATCTATGCCTACTCCAAGACTCGTGGAGTTTATGGTGGTGCCACTCTTGAAGGCAGTGTGATCCTGGAACGCTCCTCTGCGAACAAGAAGATGTATGAGCGCAAACTCAAAGCGATGCAGCTGCTCAGTGGAGAGGTTCCTCCACCGCCCGAAGCTGACCCGCTGATGCACATCCTGAACTCGGATGCTTTTCGTCAACAGTCCTCTACTGATACGTCCACCCCTGTTGAGTTGCCTACAGAAAGCCCGAATGAGCCAGGTCAGGGACCTCCGGAGCTTGCTGCGGAGCCCCTACCAGTTCCTGAGCTGGACGGGCACAGCTCACGCCAGGAAATGCCATCGGAAAATCCTCACGAAATAGCTGGGGAACTAGAAAACGCGCAAAGCCAGAGCTAGGCCTTCTATTATATATTGTTTTATGTAGTGCATGCAAAGCCATCGAAATATCAGAAAATTTTCCACATGAATACATGAAAATACAACTGCAAAAGAGAATGTAATGGCGGCTTAAAATTCATTGTAAGACTAGCGTTGCCATGTTGATGCGTCGAAAGTCTGTTCAGCAACTCGGCCATGATTTTCCAAAGACTGGTCTGTTCAAACCTCGCATCTTACCGATGTGTCTGTATAATGAGCACACGGTGACTTGTTTTCAGCGTGGACAAAATCGGATATTGAGTCTTGCATTTTAAATAGTCGAGGCCCCTGGTGAGCCGGATTAAAAGCTGCGAGTATAACACATCTTAGCTCATGTAGCTTATTCTCAATTTTCCGTTTCGTCCACCACCTTACAGAATGCATCAATCAACACGTCGATTCACATTTAGGCGGCGGTATGGGATGTTCTGCCTCAGGCACCAAGTCCCCATCACCTCCACAGCGAGTGCCCAGCTCCACCTCCCATTAACATCCCTAATTCCCATTGCAACCAAGTGATATCGCTTCATTTTGCGAGTGACTAGAGTGGCCTTAGCTTCCTCCCTTAACCCTCCCCTCTCGTCTCCCTCAACCTCAACATCGCACCGCCCGTGACCCCGACCCCGATCTCCCCGCTTCCCTCCACCGATATACCCAACACGCCTCCTGGCAACAAGTAAGCTTCGACGACACAGCCGTTGCTTCCGAAACCGTACTCAGCTACCCTTCGAAGCCAATTCCGTCCGGACTTCTTCTGCCCGAATCATACCCCACCATAAACCGCCAACATGTCGCAAATCAACTACCGCACCATCAACATCGACCAGCTCGACCCGGAGTCGTCGGTCAACTTCCCCATGGAAACCCTCCTCCCAGCTACGCTGCCTCAACCCGAGACCTCCAGCGATGCCGCCAACGTCGCATCCCAGGTGCGCCAGCTGCTGCGCGGCGGTGACGCCGAAGGCGCACTCCGACACGCTCTCGACACAGCGCCGCTGGGCGGCGACGACCGCGCCAAGGAGGTGCATCTCGCTACTGTGATTGAGGTGCTCCAGGGAATTCGGCAGGGCGAGATGACCCGCGTCCTGGAGGGTGTCTGTGGCTCAGATGGCGGGGCAGAGCGGGCAGACTGTTTGATGAAGTATATGTACGTGTGGCCCTTTGCAATAGCTCTTTCATGAATACCAGAGTGTGCGCTAACTCAGAACAGTTACAAGGGAATGTCCTCGTTTGGCCCCAGCAACGGTGCCCGGTCCCCCGCCAAGTCGGTCTCCCCGCAGAGCACAGGCGGCTTCTCGCAGATCCAGGGCCGCAACTTGGGTGAAGGCGGCGGTGGTCAGCAGATGAGCGTCCTGCTTAACTGGCACGAGAAGCTGGTGGAATTGACAGGAACTGGATCGATTGTGCGTGTCATGACGGACCGCCGGACGGTTTAAGTAGAGGCAGCAAAACGAGTCTGTATGTTTTTATTTGCTGTTTTGGTAGAGGCTTGATTGCATTTCATGCATTTATTTCTTTTATGGACGTTCTCCCTCGTGTATTGCTTTCAGCGTAGTTTTACAATTGAGATACGATGACATTATGGTGGGCGCTTTCTATGGCCCCCTTTTGTTGTGCAGCTTCTTATGGCTTCTCGAAGTCACCCCCGCCCAAGATATCCTTCAGGTTGACATCACCGCTTCCACGCTGTAATGGCTGCGGCTGGTTTTTGTCTTCCTTCCATCCGATCATATAGATCATCCGGAATGTTGCAGGGATGCCGGGAGCACCCTCCTCCATATGCAAGGACCGGTAGATGGCCTCGTTGGCCAGCAATACCTCGCGAGATAAAGGACCAGCTTCACGGTGCAAGATAGCATTGCTCTCGCCCATGGCCTGCAGATCCTGCATCAGAGCAAAGGTATCTGGGAATTCCACGACGATGTCCTCGACGTCGACGGTAAGCATCTTAAACCCAGCACGGTTCAAGAGACTGCCCACATCCTTCACATCAGCCAACGGCGAGATGTGTGGTGACACACCGCCACGGCGCTCCATATCTGCCAGCTGCAGCGATCCACGCAGCTCGTAGAGGGTGTCACCACCAAACATAGCCGCAATGAACGGGCTGTCCGGCTTGAGAATAGTGTTGATCTGATTAAGCAACGCGGGTAGATCATTGACCCAGTGAATAGAAAGTGACGATAACACAGCATCAAACGTGTTCGGCTGGTACGGCAGGGACTCCAAATCTGGGATCACGTCGCGAGTAATATCAATCTCTTTATTGAATGGCATCTCCTCATCCCGGTGCAGCAATGCGTGCGACGTCTCCACGCATGTCAGTTTCGAAATGCGCTCTGCCAGCGGAGGTGTCAGCGTGCCCTCTGGTACTGCCATGTCGAGGTTTGGTGTCGTTAGCGCCCGCGCAATGTTGCAGCTGTTTGCGCCCAGGTCGAGCACATTCGGAAAGTCGCGTTTGATGTCCTGTATGCAAAACAGAGTCGAGTCAGCGTCTGCCTTCTTAGCCGCTCAGAGCCGCCTTGTTTTGTCGGGTTTCATACCAGCAAACGCTCACATAGCCGCAATGCCACCTCATCCTTCAAGTAATCGACCTTCCGGCTCTCCTCGACATTCTGGGCGGCCCGGTCCTTCTGTAAATGCTTTGTCTTGCGGTTGAAAACCTCCAGCATGGGGTTGCCGGGCGTCTGGCTGGCGTATGTCCGGACGGAGGTTGCGGCGATGCATCGCCGTGGAAGGCGGGAGCGAATTGCGTGTAGGGAGAACATGGCAGCTGAATTAGAGTATATTCTGGTCGAGTATGGGGTTTTTAGTGGCTTAGGCCATGCTGCGTGGCTGGATTGGGGAGGTGAAGGTGAAGGTGAGTCGAGTCCCAAATTTTGTTCTGACGTCGATTGTTGATGCGGAACCTCCGCAGTTCCCTCTCCGCGGTCGCGCACTGTCTTTCGCCGCGCTAGCAATTGGGCCTCAACGGAGTCTATCTGTCTGAGCTGCTCGGAGGCTCTCTTTGGCTTCCTCGTATAACTCGAGTGCGATAAAGCCATTGCCCCTATATCCTGGTCCGTCCTCGTGCAGCGGCGCGGACTCGATCCCCGCCTGAGGTATGCGCTTCACCAGACACAATACTGGAACTCGGCTGTGAATACACATTAATATTTCGAGCAGATATAAGCTAGCTAAAACCCTCGTGTCTTTCGTTACGCGTCGCCATCAGCGCTTGTCCGGCCCCTATCTCTCATATCTGAACCCCCGCCGGCGCAAAAGCATGATTTGAAGAGCGAAACGAACACTCCAATCAAGCGCTATCTCGACCCAAATCCCTCTTTCCTAAACCAAGATGTCGCGTCCATTTCCTTACACTTACATATCATGTCCCTGCGCCGACACCCCTGTGCCTGACCCGGCCAGGAAGCGGAGGTCGAGGGGCTCGCCGCAGAAATCACCGACCCCCGAGCAGCCAAATGTCGACAACGATAATAAGGAATCCAAAGAAGCAGAAAATCAAGATGGGGATGAAGAAGAACAGACCTTTGATCCCCGTTCGCCGCGTTCCAATTTCTCGCTTTATCCTCCCGAGCAGCTCCTATACTGCGAGGACTGCCACCAGATTAAGTGCCCTCGGTGCATAACGGAAGAAATTGTGAGCTGGTACTGTCCAAATTGCCTATTTGAAACCCCAAGCAGTATGGTCCGTAGTGACGGTAACCGGTACGTACTCAAGACCTCAGTTCTTCCAGACAAGAAGGGATATGCTAAATAAACCACGCAACCTTCAGCTGTGGCCGAAACTGCTTCAATTGTCCAACTTGCACAGTTCCACTTGCTGTGAGCACAATTGAAAACGTTACGGCGACCGGTAGCCAACAAGGGCCCTGGGTTCTCTCCTGCGCTTATTGTATGTGGACAACGCTCGACATCGGCATCAAGTTCGACAAGCCGACCAACATCCGCGCCCAGCTGCAAAAGATGACCGATGCCACCGCTGCACCTGCATTGGATAGGTCAAGGCAAGCTTCGCGGACTTTTGGTGATTTGAAGTCGCCTCTCTCCAGCTACGCATCTATCGACGAGCAATCGGCTTCTCGCGAGGCCAACGGAGAGCAGTCTGCAACAAAGGAAGACGAGACACCCACGCCAGATCTTGGTACAGATGCTCGGTTTGCAGCCTTGAAGTCATTTTACCGTACACAGATCTCGGAGACGTCAACCTCACCCGGCGATCCTCTTGGCTCGGACCTTGGGTTCTCGTCACCCGGAGCCCTGAACCGACTCATGTCTCTGTATACTTCATCCTCCCGTCTAGGAGGGCTTTACGGTGGCAGCAAAAAACCCAAATCTAAGCCTCCAGTCATGCGGGAAGCTCTTACCGCCAGCGAGGGTCTCCGCATTGCCCCAGAAAAAGGCGATGCCGATGTGATCGAGCGGCTCGGATCCCACGAATGCGGCTGGGACGGCGTTGCATCCATCGACCAGCGTAAGGAGCAATCGCCCGATGTCCGGTTCACTGATGATTTGCTCCCGCTGCCATGCCTACTGCGTACAAAGCGTGCCAAGCGTTGCAAGTCCTGCAAGCACATTCTCGTGAAGCCCGAGACCAAGCCACAGTCCACCCGCTTCCGTATCCGCCTCATTGCCCTCAGCTACATTCCTCTCCCAACACTACGCCCGCTTGCACTTCCTTCATCCTCGTCTCTAATGTCCTCTCCGGTCCCGGATCTCAATGCGTTGCCTCCTCTTCGCCCAATCCATGTTCTACTCACATTGAAGAACCACATGTTCGACCCCGTTCGCATCACTCTTGCTACTCCGTCCGTCACTCCAGGTCGTGTGGCAAGCAAAGTTACTGTTCTTTCACCGCAATTCGACATCGGTGCTAACAGTGACGTCTGGGACGAAGCGTTACAGGGTGCCTCCGCTCCTGTGACCGGGGACCCTCGTCTTGCGGGTCTGCGTGGAGTGCCAGAAGCCGGGAAGGTTTGGGACAAGGGCCGCAATTGGACGACAGTGGTATTGGAGGTTGTCCCCGGGACACTTCCTGGCTCTGAAGCCGAGGGTGGTAACGAGGCAGGCGAGGATGGTACTCTGGCGCAACAGGACGGGGATGTTCTGGAGATCCCAGTATTCGTGCATATGGAGTGGGATGCGGAAGCCCAGCTCGAGCAACAGAATGTCGGAAAGGCGTCTAAGCCGGATGACTTGGTGGCTCGGGAGTTGGCCTATTGGATGGTCCTGGGCGTGGGAAGAATCAAGACTTCGTTGTAGATGTGAAGGAAGACTTTTTGTTTTGTTGATAATTTCTTTTCCATACTCCCCCCCCGGAATGTATTTAGTTGCACATACATCAGGGCTGGGATTTGCCCTACAATTTAGTTTGGCCTTGATCAAATAGACTTGAGACGACAACCTTATAGCTATACTTCGTAGACAGTATAGGGTATGCATGGTTGTACCCCCGAGGAATTACCGGTCTATCTCCATACTACGCGGAGGCAATTGAAAGTCGGAAATGTTCAATTGAAATATTTATCACATATCCCATCCCATCCTCATTAGAGAAACACGGCCCGGATGGAATTTCAGCTCCGTCGCGCCCGGAAATTGAGAACCGGAGGACAAACCATGCGCAGTCAATGGAAGAAGGGGCCACATAACTCAAAAGAAAACCCGTGAATGCATTTTTTTGGTCTTTCACCCGTCATGCTCTCCTTGAATCTAGTGAGTTTCAGACCTAGAAACAAGTAACCCATAATACCAAGGACATCCTTCCCACCGCAACTAGCAACAACGTGAGCACATTCTTAGAGCTCAGCGCCGCTCTGGGGGAACTCGAAAACGACGTTACGGCCGGTCAGACGACGGTAGACTTCGCCGTAGGCGTCGAGACGGTGGTCGACACCGCCCTTCTCCTTCTCATCCAGAATAACCTTCAGGGTCTTGCTGCCGTCCTCCTTGGTGCGGACACGCTTGCCAACGATCTCGACGGGGTAGACGAGGTCGGTCAGGATGGAGTCGTGGACAGCGGTCAGAGTGCGGGAACGGGGGCGCTTCTGAGTCTGGGTGGTGCGCGAGTTGACGGAGCGCTTGGGGCGGGGCAGGATGCGGCGCTGAGCAACGAAGAGGACGTGGCGGTCAGAGAACTTCTTCTCGAGCTCGCGGGTCAGACTGTTGAGGAAAATTTCGCGTTAGTTCCACTGTGTCCATGGCGCATGAAGACCATGTTGGTGGTCGATGTGTTTCGGCTTACCGCTGCTGGATCTTGTGGAAGCCCTGGAGAAGGGGAACGGGGACGAAGACAACGATGGCCTTCTTGCCGTGGCCGACCTCAACCTGTTGTGACATGTTAGAACTCGACCTCGAAAATGCCATTCGCACACAAAACGTGAAAAATCTATCCCTCCAGACACGACATCGAGGAATCTTGCGCAGGTGGTTCCGTTCATCTTTCTAGTTGCCATCGGCACATGCATTGTATTCCGGAGCAGGTATAGCACGGAGTTGACCAAAGTCCACAAATGCCACACAATCTTTAAATTTCGATCCGATATCACCATTGCGCGCACAAAATTCCTGCGACTCGAATCGGAGGGATGTCGATTGGCGAAACAATTGCGAATCTTACCTCGCGGGCAGAGACGAACTGCAGGGGCCGAAGGCTGGCCTTCAGGTCCTGTGTGTTGCTCTCGAGGTCGAAGAGAGCGCCGGCGATGGCGGTCTCCAGCTCGGAGGGGTGCTGCCGGGAGGGCGAGTTGAGGGCAATCTTGTTGATGGCAGCCATGATTGCGAGCGACGGGGCGGAAGTGCTGGTTGCAGGTGTCGACGGAGGGGAGGTGTGCTCTCATCAAGCGATGGGAATTTGCTGTGGGATCGGCGGCTTCGCTTAGGGCGCGCTTGTGCCTGTTTTGGTTTAGTGTGGTTTGTTGCTGATTAAGGTAGGGGTTGTCGGGTCACGAGACTAAGGTCCCGTGACAGCGTTCCCCTCGTGCGGATCTGATTGGCTCGAACATTTACATTTCTTTCTAGATACTTGAAGCAGGCAATAGGGATATAGCACAGGCTGTATGTCTCCATGGGGAGCAACAAAAGACGAGAAGAAACACAGAAGCGCAGACGCCTTCACCCATAACAATTGCAAAGTGATTTCAAGAACAGACCCGATCAACAAGCGCAGCCCTCCTTGGCCGTCGCAGCATTTCGCTCGCCCAGGTTTACCCGGGAGTCGTCTCCGGATCGTGCTCCCAGAGCAGTCTGTCCGGATCCAGCAGCACCTCGGCCGGTCTTGAGGCTGCTCTCTGGAATCGCGTTCGCAATAGCCGTGAACACATCCACCACGTTGGTGCCAGTCTTAGCACTAGTCTCGAAGAACAACAAGCTTTCCTCTTCCGCGTAGGTGTTGGCTTCACGGGTGGAAACCTTTCGCGCGTTACCTGAACTGGCATCATGCCCCTCTCCCTCCTCGGCAGCCTCATCTCCGTCAGCGCCAGCAGACTCGTTCTCGGGTTCGGGGGCAGCCGAGGCATCACCACCGTCGTTAGTCAAGTCCAGCTTGTTACCAACAAGAGCGATGACAATACCAGGGCTTGCTTGGCGCTGCAGCTCAGCCACCCAGTGTTTCGCTTTGGTCAGCGACGAGGGCTTGGTGACATCGTAGACGACGAGTGCGGCTTGCGCATTGCGGTAGTACATCGGGGCCAGCGAGGCGAATCTCTCCTGGCCTGCCGTATCCCAAATCTCAAACTTAATCGTGCGCGTGGGAAGGGTACATTTCTGGGTCAGGAAGGCAGCTGCATGATGACGTTAGCCGGTCATTTCCGAGGTAGTGTGGTAGCTGAGAACGAATGGCTCATCTGTAGATGCACCAGTGTTGTGTCATACACATCTCCCATTCAGACAGAATAGTAGACCAGCATCGGCGCAGCCAGTCTCGAGCTCGGGGGGTGTTGCGGTCATTAGGGGTGTCTTACCGCCGATGGTGGGCTCCTTGTTTTCCTGGAAATCGTTGTTGACGAATCGAAGTACAAGCGACGACTGTAAGAAAGAATCCCACGTCAGCTATCGGTTCCTGCGTAACGGGCTAAGAACAAGCGTACCTTGCCCACCGCAGCTTCGCCCAGCAGTACGAGCTTGACGCTGCTGCTCGGCTTCGGTGCGTTGGCGCCTGCTGATTCGGACATGACTGAGACAGAGAGATAAAAGTAAGGATGACAGAAATCTCGGGTCGGGCAGTCGTGCAGAGTGCGACGCCTGTCAAACAATCGGGCGATCAGGCAGAAGGCTGAGCTGGCGGATTCAGCTGTGACTCAGCGTTGTGGGCGGGGCCCTATAGAAATGGCAATGATTGGAATACAAGAAACGTGTCTCTCGAATTTGTGGGGTGAGAAGAAGATGTCGCAACTCTTAAGGAGGTTTGGAGGGACCGGAGGTTGTGAAGCGGAGGTCGATGATGATGGCGGTGCTTCGTATCCGGTTTAGCGCGACCAGCAGAACCCAGCAGTCACGGGATTTGGGTCTGTGCAAGTATATTGAACGAACCCTTCAAAGTATTTAAGGAGCTGAGTGTTCTTTCTATCTTGCTAAAGATCCTTGTCCGAGCCAACACTAGCCACGTATTTGTGGAAGCAAAACGGGAACCAATCCTTATTGCTGATATTCGCTGCCAAGACAAGGTACATATTTACTGCCCCATATATACTACGGCTCTCTTCCTGTACTACCCAGGGAAATACACTTCCTACTTTGGGACCCTTGAAAGCTGATAAACTACTGGGTCGATTGCACCGGGGTGATACTTAGGCAACCTTCAGAGATTATTTGCCGACTTTTTTTTCCGACACTTTCCCGCTTGTGATCCATGTATGCCAAATTCAACCTTGGAAGCTGTGCAACCCACAAGCATTGCACTCTCGAGTTAGCTTAAAATTATATTTAGAAACTTAAGCCTGGTTTTGTTAACTGGAGCCAAGCTCCTTCAACTGTGGCTTAAAGTTGCCCTTGCTATTTCGCTCCATAAGGTGAGTTCGAACGCTGCCTAAGCAGAGGTACCTATATTTAACTGAGAGAGACTTTGACGTGGACGAAATCTTACCCAGTTGAGAATCTCTTTCAGAGCGCTGGTTTCACACTGAGTCTACTTCGTTTTCTCTGGTTGCCCGTGGGGCCTCATTAGAGTGTCATTAGAACAGCTTAACTAGATAAGTACACTTGCTAATTGGGTCAGTGCCCTACAACTCAGACTAAGGACATACCGTGTCCCTATCTTGACCACTGCGTCCAAGGTACAGTTAACAAGCTTCAGATATACGAAAATACATGTATCTTCTGAAATCGTCGGCTATTTCAAGACCAATTGAGTCGTCTGTAGAGCCCTCAAGTTGTGGAGTTGTCGGTGATATCCTAATTAGATGAGTGGGTTCTCAAACGTTATACCCTGGTCACTATTACCCGATTGAGCCACATGCAACCTGAAGTTGGCTTCAGTGGCTCTCACTCACCAACTGCTATGCACCCCGAGACATCCCTGATAGAGTCTATTCCTACTACAGGAATTTGTCGACTCTGTCAATAAGAAGCCCACGCGAGCTTCCTCAATTCAATATTGATTTCATTGCTGTCAGACCGTCGTTGCCGCTGTACTATGTCCTATCTGATTACAATTACTTTGATTGATATGCCGGTTGCGAATACATAGTGATAGTATTACTTCCCTATATGGTTTGAATGGGACGTAAGTCACATCTGACATCGGCGCTTCAAGAATGCCTTGGTCTCGACCTTCCTTTCGAAGAGATGAATAACTTCAGTATTTGAAACGCAACACCTATCGGCTCTTTAAAAGCAAAACTTTAGTGTCCCTAACATCGTGAGCCAAGCAAAGAAAGGAAATAAGCTTCTCAAACAAAAGGTCTCCGCAGTTTAGAAAAAGTGACAGAAAAACATCATTTCAGGACTCCAGGATCTGTAGCCAAATTTTCCATACTAGAGAGACCCACCCTGGATATACAAGTATCTACACTAACCGAAAATAAGGTGCGACCCACCATGACATACGCTTATAAGGATCAGATTTGGGGGCCGGTCGGGGGCCGACCACGTGGCTCCGTTCTTGCCTACATTGGAACCTCGTTCCTAGGCGCAGTAGAGACTAGTGCCCAACAAGTATGCGAGATGATGTGGACGCCAGCGGAGCCCTGGTCGGGCTCGGGAGTTATCTAGCGAAGCAGCAACAATGACCATCGTAAATCGGCTGGCGGTTCCTGGCTCGGCGGTCATCAAGCAAATCTGCCCGACGGTCTACACACCCTGCCTGGGACACCGTCAAACCCCAAGGAACACGACAGTCGGTCCACGGGAACTTGTGCTATGGCGCAAGACAGGAAGAGTCTAGACCGTGGAGCGAAGGAAAATTTTGATCGGCGCTTACATTCAATTGCGCAAGTATTGTACAGACATCAAAAATTAAACACAAGACAGAAATGGAACAGCCCAAAATAGAATCAGAATCAGCGAAACGTGTTATTGACCGCGAGGTCGAAGGTCTAGGTTCTTCTGGTATCAGCCCATGCATTCCCATGCAATAATATCCATCCCATCTATGCCATAACGCCGTGGGAATAATAACAAAAAAAAAAAAACCAACCAATATCAGAAAAAAATCAACAAAAAAGGCACTTTTGAGATATCGAACAGTTGAAATCTCGGGAGTCGTGTCGGAGAGAGATATGAGGTGAGGCGGGTTCAAGGCGTGTGAGAGAGTATCCGAGATGGTAAGACAAGGATGCGAAGAAGAAGAAGTAAAAGTCGAAAGAAGCGTTGCTGCGGGAAATTCAAAAATCGATGCAGAGAGCACGAATTAAAAGGGTATAATGAGGTCGCGCAAGGCCAGTGGCGAATGAACAGCAGATATGACCGAAATAAATTAACGGTGACAAAGTAAATAGTGATACAGGTGTCTAGACACGCCGGTTAGCGTTGCTGCCCAATGCGAGGCGTGGCATAGAAGGAACTCACCGAAAGAGGGTGAAACTCCAAAACGTAGAAGGCATCAAACTCCAGCATCCGTGGGCGCCAGACAGAATCCAAAGCATTACCGCTGAGCGGGAACAAGTATGAGGATGGGTATCGCGGACGTGGTTTATTTCGGAGGTGGTGGAGGAGCGCCAGGCTTCTTGACACCCGTAGTGTCGTAGGCACCTCGTCCCATGTTGAAGGCCGACAAATCTCGGAGAATCATGTTGAGTTCTGCGGAGGCGACCATCGTTAGACAAGCTGAGAACGATAGAAGTGCGAAGTAGCGAGTTTGAGATAAGAGGGCGAGGGTTGCAAATGTAACGCGCAGGGTCAGGAATGATGATGAGATGAAGAACTCACCAACGAAACACCACGAACGGTTCTTATAGGTTTTGCGAACTCGGGGAATCGCCTGTCAAACGAGCTCCCAATCCACCCCCCGAAGCGCAAAAAAGGAAAAGGTGAAAAATGTTCTAGACGAGGATGGGCGGCGCAGATGGATGGATGCAGGTGCAGTCGAGATCGGAAAAGGCGATCCTTTTTAAAGATGACCGCTGGAACAATGCGGGCGCCAGCAGATAGTAGGGCAGGAATGTGACGACACAGTACCGACAAATGAGAATGGCGGGCTTTTTCAAGATTGGTTCGACAGGTCGTCGCGCGTTGCTTTTTATTTGCTCTGTGCCACCGCGAGATCGCGAATCGGATTTTCCACCGCCAATAAAAAATAGAAATTTAAAAAGATAAGCGGGAGGGTGGCTGCAGAATCACAGCCATGAAATCGCGATCTGAACCCAGGAAACGGCCAGAAGGGATATGGAGCTTAGCCGGCAAGGGAGGCCCTGGAAAGGAGAAGTGCCGCGGAACTGTGCCCGGTAGATCCGGTTGAAAACCAGCGATGTATCGCAAGGGAGAAGGGAGAAGACAGGGCGGTAGGTAGGGAGGCGTTGGAGGTAGGGCGGATGTTGTCAAGTATGTCCCGGGGGAAGTCAAATAACAAACGAAGAGAAGCACAAGGGGGGAAATGATTGCGTAGATATAGGATGAGCTTGGCTTATGTGAAAGAGCCTAGGAGGATCTTCCCTTATTTCCTTTGGCTAGCAGGAAACCCGAAAAAGGGTAATTAAATCGAAAATCAATAAATCATAAATTACCAAAAAAATAATTAAAAATTAAAAACAAAAATAAAATAAATTACTACTTTTTGAGAATCATAAGCTTATGGAGGGTTCCATATTTTGTTTAGCAGAGCGGCTCTCCCGTCCCTGGTCCCGGGGAACAGGAACGCGACCGCGGGCCCCCTTTCTGCGTTCTCCAACGTCTAGCTAAAAGTAGTGTTGCAGTAGCGCCAGGTAGATCGGGTCTGATTTTTGCTATCAATCAAAATGCGAACTTTGATCCGTCACAAATCGATCTTGGATGCATCGGCCACCCCCTTGATATATTAATCCAAAAGTACGATGCAGCCCCCAAGAAAAGGTGAAAAAAGGTCCTGGCCCAGATGAGCTCTCCACATATGGAAGCTAGGTACCGAATCGCCGGGCATTGTACATAAGTGGAGAAGGGGAGGCAGGAAAAACAGCCGCAGGAGCAGAAAACGGATCCATCCGAACTAGACTTCCGATAGACATACGACTCGCGTGGTCGGGCTCCATCGGACAAGATGGATCACTTGCTAACTGGAAGAGTACTAGCTACCCAAGGAGAGTTGAGAACTAGCCCTTCCAACCCTAATGCCAGGGTAAAACACTAGAAAAGAGAGAAAAACACCGGTCGCGTTGACATATGATGCCTAGGTACGAGGTATCACGTTCATCCCCTAGCCAACCTAACATCGTAGGACTACTGAAGACCAAACATTCGGTCTCTCCGTGCAATGGACAGCCATCTACCCCGTCAGCCACTTTCGCTTTCCCAACTCCGAACACTTTATCTGAGTGGTCTCGGAGAGGTCTGTTCGGAGCGCCCCATTCGTGACTGTCCCCGGCCGGTGGAACAAAGCGAAAACCCAATCGTTCGCTGTCCAAGCATCGCGGCTGACCCCTACCTCTGTCTCATGAGTGTCTGCTGAGACTCGGTCTCATTACTTTTGTGGTATCTCTCCGGGGAAGCGCCGTGTTCCAACGGATCGATCACCAAACGTATCTACGCGATCCCGTTGGGGGAAAGGAAAGGATCCATCATAGGGGGTGGACCGCGGGGCGCCACTCAGGCTCCATCGTTACGGAGCGCGATTCAACCAAATCACATCCCGCGCAAGGAAATCCACTTCCAGTCTCGGTTACGTATGAACATTCTTTCAGTCTTCTAGCCTTTCTAGTCTCCTTAGCCTCCCGGAGTCTTGGGTCTTCTTAGGTTTTCCTGGGCAGTGGTGGTATGTAACGATATCGATACAGCGTAAATTGCTCATGGAAACATTCTGGACTCCTTCTTTCTCCGTCCATACAGTGGTCCGGGAATTACACAAAACAGTCCCCCGGCTCCACCCCCATATCCCCTATTCAGGGCACACCTTTGCGTCAGCTCTCAGTATTCGCCACACTGGAGCCGCCAGGCACCGTTTCCCCATCCAGCCACAAATTGTGGGTGTGACGGGACGTCTCGCTTGCCCTGGCATATCTCTCAAGCGGGTTCGTAAGCCTTGTCTCAGCCTGCAAGCTCCGAAAGATGAACGGCGTTGAATAGATGTGGTGAGGGTCTCAATCGAATTGTCTCATTGCAATCGGGACTGGTGATCTACCGCGGAACGCACTCCGCGGCCGTTAGTGGGATCGAGACATGGCTGGTGATGCCACTGAGGACCTATGTAGGTAAAGGGACTACAGACGATGCTTCGGTATCGGGTCCTCCACTCCAAGCCATCGACCAGGATAGCTTCCTATTCGTGACGACCGGATGGGAATTGACGATGATCCCCTGTGGGTCGCACGCGGTTGAGAGACCCCATCATTTGGGCCCTCTACGGTATTTTCGATGCGCTAGAACTGTACCGGTACGGTATCTTCCTCGGGGGCCTTGAGAAAAAGAGAGAAAAAGAGGGACGGTCGGCTTACGTAGGGGAACGAGCTTCCTTTTCCTTCCCCTGGTGGACCCGGCAACAGCATCCATTCCATGGATTCGCCTCGGGAAGACCCCGTTCTCCATTTTACAGCTCGAACCGCGCTAGAAACGGGAAAGAAAGAACTTGGAAGGTCGCGGGTCTGTTGGCCCCAGTGCGGTCTCCGGGCTCCTGCTCCGTTGCCCCGTTGATTACCCTGTTCAGGAAGCTGGGAACCAGTTTGAGTGTAGGATTTCCCTTTGGGGGCCAAGGTGAAACGGGCGATCCAGAGCTCCGGTACTTTGCAAAGCTAAACAAATCCAAGTCGCCACAACGGGCTCCTGAGAACTCCAGACTTCGGCTCGATGCATTAGTTCTCAAACAAGGTTTCGATTGCATGAACCGCTTGCCAAGCTTACCTTTCTATCTTCCCTACGCTATCAATGTATAGTATAGGTGCCCCCGGTATAGGCTCGATCAAAGTTGTTTCCATGGCCAGTACGGGGTGGGCACAGCCGTGCGCCATGCAGTGCGCCTACAGAGTGGCGCTTGCAGGGATAGGGGTATAACAACAGAACTGGCGGAAGGCAGAGCCGGCCGCATTGACATCGAATCAGTTCACTGCGCGATAACGCGTGACAGGGTTGGGCTCTTTTTTGTTCGTATGACAGCCGATCGATGTGTCGATCCCTCAAATTGGTGGCGGCTCTTTTCTTCATTGTCTGATGAACCTCCAGCCCCGATTCCGGTTCCATTTCAAGTCATCTGGACCGACATGAGTGGCGTGATAGGGCTGCGCGGAAGCGAAGCCGGACGATCTTAGTGAGTCCTCCTAGAAATTGGGTCTCCGTAAAGAGAATCATTCTGGAATAAGTGGGAAATATCCACAGAGGTCTGGAGCGTATTCCGCCGTACTCCGCTGAAAACTGGACTGCGCTCACCCGGGATTTTGGGACCCGTCAATGATCCACGATGCATCCGAGAGACGAGAGCTCCGCGGTACTTTCTTTGTTAAGCGCCCGATCGGTTTCGCACTATAATCTTGGCCAAAGAAATCGATGCCTAGGAGAATCCGTCGGAAAGCCACACGGTGACACCCGTGAGGCAAAATACTCGTAACAGACCAGCCGGAAATCATCCAGCAGGAAGTGGATATGATCCATTTTTGGCAAGGGACAGCCTCAATCCACGTCCATCACAGGTGCCAGACCAAAAAAACCATAGAGATGACGATCGCCGGTCCACAGCCCCAACATCCACAGTGTCGGGCTCGATCGACCTCTTTTCCCCCCTGCTGGATCGCCCCTGGACAAGATGCACATCGTGCAGCCGGTTTTGAGCCGAGTGACGCTCAGTTGGATGCACGGGGGGAGGAGCACTATGGACGGACCGAACCATACGGAGTACAATGTGAATACACTTCACGCCATCGACCCACCACCTTCTCCTGGAACCCGACGGGTTCTCGCTAGGAATTCCGCAGGCAGTGGAGAATCTACAGGTACTCCGTACGGCTAATGTCTCCAACACCACTAGCGCCGGCAGGTGGAGCTCACCTATCAGACGTTGCGTCCGAAAGATGCGAGGTTGGGAAAAGCACTTGCCCCTGGTCCCGACCAGATCGGGCCCGGTATCTTAAAGTACTGGTCTTTGTACGGCTGAACTATGACACACTGATTGCTCGCTGCAAAAGCACGACACTCTGCAGTGTCGATCCCATGACCTTGTCCACCACCCCCTTGTTGACGGTGACATACTGCATCGATCTTCTGTATCATGCAGTGCCTTTCTTGTCCTCTGTGCAGACCAGAATGCAAATAGACCTAGCACTCGCAGTACGCAGCAAGATCTGGAGGCCTTTCATAATCTTGCAGATCAGCCCTTCGACCGATGGATCTTCACCTTGAGCCCCAGAGCGATCGTCTTCCCCGATCGCGACCCGGCGATTAGCTCCCCCTTCCCGCATCATGCATTGCACTAGGGGATCATCCCAACCTTGGGGAATCGCGGAAGGGTACCAGCTTCCCCCCGAATGCAGGCTGTCGAATCCGACTACCTGGTCAGCGTGATGGATCACATCCATTCATGATCTTGTTCCTCAGCCACCCAATCATAGAACCCACGGACTTCCAGACCACCTTGATCTTCAGATTGGGGGGGCCGATGTTGGATTGCATTGGTATGCAGGGACCTGTCTCTCCCCTTGGAATGACAAAAGTCCATTTGACTGAGCTACATGAGTATCGGCGCGTTCCTGGCAACAAACTCAATCGAGAGATATTTTGACGCGTCCGAGATTACAAGTAAACCACTCATCGTTGTCGCAGGTCTGGGTCAATCCGAGCTGTCACATTTGATTTGGAATTTATGTACCGAGCATTTGAAGCTATTGTCTATCCGATCACGACATCCTTCCACTCGATCTCTCTTCGGGGAATTTACGATCGCGCGCGGATGCAGTGGTAAGCCATCTCGAACTGAGAGACGAGGATTAGCGAACGTGTATCTGCAGCACCTGTTATTGACTCACCTGTTCATTAGTCTGGCAGATCAGCGCCCGGGGCCCCTTGCCGGCGCCCTTGGAGATATCCATCACGGTCTCGTCATCTTGAGGCCCCTTGTCGTTGGCTTGCGGGTCGATTGCCACACCAAGAGTCTTGCATTTCTCAGATAGTGTGCGGCGCAGCAGCGCACTCTTTTCGCCGATGCCACCAGCGAAAACTAGAGCATCGACCTCCCCGCCAAGCTTGACGTAGTAATTTCCAATGTACCCCAAAATGCGATCAACGAGGATATCAAAAGCAAGCTTGTGCGCCTCCGAAGGCGGATTCTCAACTGCAATCTCTGCAAAATCAGTCGTCCCCGTCAATGATTTCCAGCCGGATTTCTTGTTGAGAATATCTTCTGCCTAACAAGTCACATATGGGAATTAGTACTTCGAACACCGCAAGGGGCTGGAGCATCTACGCACCGTGCTGATATGCATCTCCTTGGTACTAGCGGGGCTCAACTTCCCCGCGTCATTGGTATAGTGAAAGACCAGCCTGGGGATCACGAGCGCAATTAGCTTTAACACGAGACTATCGAGCGATTAAACTTACGAGGGGTCAATATCGCCGCTACGCGTCGCGCCCGGCAATCCTGCGAGGGGAGTAAGACCCATCCTGGTAATATCCGTTAGTGCACGCCTTGATGATACCGAGGGGGGTTATCGCTCACGAGGTATCGATCGATTTCCCCTCTTTGATCGCGCAGATGGAGGCTCCGCTTCCGATGTGCATCACGATCAAATTCGTCTTTTCCTGTGGTTTTCGCAGAAATTGCGCTACGGAGCGGAGAATGAACGAGTAGCTGATCCCGTGGAATCCGTACTTGCGTAGCCCATTTGCTTTTGCGACGCCCTGGTCGATGGGGTATGTTCGCACATAGTCGGGCAGCGTGTGATGAAAAGCGGAGTCAAAAAAGGTGACGCTGGATACGCTTGGGAGTTCTTTTCGGCAGAGGCGGATGATTTCCAGAGCTGAAAAGTTGTGTCTAATACGACGTGGGTTTATTAGCGTATGGCAGATTGTGAGGCACGGGAAAAAACATACAGCGGCGCAAGATCTTCCAATGCCTCTAGATGATGAAGAGACTCATCAGTGATCTCTACCGAGTCGCGATAGTCGCCGCCGTGGACGACTCGGTGGCAGATATATGCTAGATCGCTCTCGCTGGCGATTTCGGATAGCTCGGGATCGTTGAAGCAACGCTTCAGCAGGTACTTAAAGGAATCCTGAGGCGTGCTGAGCTTCTCCTGCAGTTCCTCCTTGTGTTTGACAGAGCCGTGCTGATATTTGAGAGTGGGCGGGGGTGCCGTGATACCAGAGATCTGCGCATCGGCGATAGCTCTGGGTGGGTTCTCAAACGTATAGAACGTTATCTTCACGGACGAAGATCCGGCATTCACCGCAAGGACAGATTTCGCCATGGCTGTGTTCGAAGGGTGCGAGAGAATGCTAGAGAAGTTTTGTTGCAATGAGGTTGGATCTAGTAGACCAACTGATTATCGTGTTGTTCTGTTATCCTGTTCCAGGTGGGGGTGATGTCAAGTGTGAAGCGTTGTGACGTCGCTGAGGGGAAGAAGGTGGATCGAATAGTCAACCTGCTATGGCGAGACCCCAAGGCGTGACCCCCGTACTTTCTTTTCCTGAGCTGCATCCGGTCGACTATTTTCTCTTTTCCCAATCCACTATCGTTGCTCGTCTTATCCTTCTAATCTCTTTACTTTTTCCTCCAGTGTTGATCACCCGTGCCAAAACTCCACCCGTTCGCAATCATGCCTGGCGAAGTCATCGATCGGCCAAATCCGCAACCATTGCCGTCGCAGTTGCCAGATTATTTGAAGGACTTGCAAATCAAACTCCCTCATGAGACTCTGGATCAAAAAGCTTGCGATGCCTTGTTCAAATTTCGCCGAGCGGCGTGCTACATTGCGGCAGGTAAGTGCACTATACAATTGGGATACTTCGTGGTACAAGTACTAATTGTCACATAGCGATGATTTTCCTAAAGGACAATACTCTTCTGAAAAGAGACCTTACTTTCGATGATATTAAGCCTCGGTTGCTCGGTGAGCTCAACATAGTGTACTCTTCACTATAGTCGCTTTGTGTGCTAAACAGGCTTTTTTTTTTGGCAGGTCACTGGGGAACATGCCCCGGTCTCGTTATGGTGTATTCTCACCTGAACTATCTCATCAGGACGAGAAATCTCGACCTACTTTATGTTGTCGGTCCGGGACATGGAGCGCCCGCGATTCAAGCAGCACTGTGGCTGGAAGGATCCCTGGAGAAGTTCTATCCGGAGTATTCTCGTGACAGCAAAGGTCTTCATCAGCTTGTTTCAACGTTCAGTACAACGGCCGGCCTTCCTAGGTGAGCTTCACCAAATCCCCTGATATCTACGCATGCTGACAGCTCCACCCTCTAGTCATATTAATGCCGAAACACCGGGCTCGATTCACGAAGGCGGAGAGCTAGGCTATGCGTTGGCCGTATCCTTTGGTGCAGTCATGGATAACCCCGATTTGATCGTCCCTTGTATAATTGGGGACGGCGAGGCCGAATCCGGGCCAACTGCTACGTATGTCCCACAGCATCTTTCTTAAAAGTGCGGTCCTGACCGGAAACAGTTCATGGCATGCAATCAAGTACATCGATCCCAAGGAGTCTGGTGCAGTTCTTCCGATCCTCCACCTTAACGGTTTCAAGATCAGCGAGCGCACCATCTTCGGGTGTATGGATCATAAGGAGCTAGCAGCGCTTTTCAGCGGATATGGGTACCAGGTCCGCTTTGTGGAAGATCTCGATGATATCGATACAGACCTTCATTGTTCTATGGTCTGGGCTGTGGAAGAGATTCAGAAGATCCAGCAGGCCGCTCGCTCCGGAAAGCCAATTTTCAAACCTAGATGGCCAATGTTGATTCTGCGAACACCCAAGGTAAGCTTAGCAGCCGGAGGAAACCATCGATGATACTCACAATATCCTAGGGATGGTCCGGTCCGAAGCAGCTCAATGGTCAATACATCGAAGGATCATTCCATTCCCACCAAGTGCCACTCCCCAAGGCCAAGTCCGACGACCAGCAATTGGGCTTACTGCAGAAATGGCTCTCGGACTATAAGCCTGAAGAACTCTTCACAGAAAATGGCGATGTCATCGATGAGATCAAATCGGTCATCCCAACGGAGAATGAAAAGAAGCTGGGACAGCGCATCGAATCCTACAACAGCTATGTCGCGCCCAAGCTACCAGACTGGAAAAAGTTCTGCGTGAAGAAAGGCTCAAAGGAAAGTGCAATGAAGGTAGTTGGCAAGCTGATTAGTGAGGTCTTCGTGGAGAACCCGCACGGTGTGCGATTGTTCTCGCCGGACGAGCTGGAAAGCAACAAGCTTGACGCCGTATTCGAAAAGACCGGCCGCAACTTCCAATGGGATGAGTTTTCCAACGCGCGTGGCGGTCGTGTTATTGAGGTCCTGAGTGAGCATATGTGTCAGGGCTTTATGCAGGGATACACCCTGACGGGTCGTGTGGGTATTTTCCCGTCATACGAGAGCTTCTTGGGAATCATCCACACGATGATGGTGCAGTACTCCAAATTCATCAAGATGGTAAGTTTGCCTCTTTTCAGTCACAACCTGTTCATTAACTGATTTCTGTCCAGGCCCGAGAGACCACCTGGCACGGCCCTGTTAGTAGCATCAACTACATCGAAACCAGCACCTGGACCCGCCAGGAGCACAATGGCTTCTCCCACCAGAATCCTTCATTCATCGGCGCTGTTCTCAAGCTCAAGTCCAACGCCGCCCGCGTCTACCTACCACCAGACGCAAACACTTTCCTGACTACAGTGCATCACTGTCTGAAGTCAAAGAATTACATCAATCTGATGGTGGGTTCGAAACAGCCAACTCCGGTGTATCTCACACCCGATGAAGCCGAGAACCACTGCCGTGCGGGAGCATCTGTTTGGAGGTTCTGCAGCACCGACGACGGCTTGGATCCAGATGTGGTCCTGGTGGGCATTGGTGTCGAGGTCATGTTTGAGGTGATCCAAGCTGCGGCGATACTGCGCGAGCGAGCACCATATCTGCGCGTTCGTGTGGTGAACGTGACAGACCTCATGATTCTTGAGAACGAGGGTCAACACCCGCACGCCTTGTCTACTCAACGGTATGACAACCTCTTCACCGCGGACAGGCCCATTCACTTCAATTATCACGGCTATCCGACTGAGCTGCAGGGCTTGCTATTCGGTCGCCCGCGTCTGGACCGTGTTTCGATTGCAGGATACATAGAGGAGGGCAGCACCACAACGCCCTTTGATATGATGCTTGTCAATCACACCTCGCGCTATCATGTTGCGCAGGCGGCTGTTGATGGTGCTGCAATGCGTAATGAAAAAGTTAGAATTCACCACCAAGAGCTGCGCGCCGAGTTCGAGCAGAAGGTGGTTGAGACGAGAAAGTACATTATCGAGCAACAGCAGGGTGGGTATTAACTTCTCCTTTCGGTTCTGTTTCTGTTCGATGCTAATCGGCTTGTAGATCCTCCTGAGACATATGACACGCCGAATTTCTCATAGGTGCTGCCCGGATTGGTGGAAAGAAAAGGCGGGGCGTTGCCCAGAATCTAGCGAGAGACTTTTTAGACTGTTGGAAGGTTCGCCGCAGGCAATTATAATTGTTCATTGGATCGAAACCACGCTCGTATATTCGTAGGGAGGAAATCAGATGGGCTCAAAGACGCCATCGCTTCAAGTAATCAGCAACCTCATGAATAATGAAAGGGGCCAGGTATCGAGCCCACCGTTCGCACCGTTTGCCCATGCGTCAAAATCTGTCACACATACGGAGTAGTGGGTCCATCACCACCAAGGTTGGAAAGTCATCATAGCGCGCATCACGTCTGCCAAAAAAAGGTATAGAAAAAAGCCACAAACCTTGCTACCAACGTTGGAAGTCCCAGGGCTGAGGTTCTAGGCCTTAACTGAGTTCTAAGTAGATGCGACTGACTCGTGCAATCTTGGACTCAGGTGACTTGTCAGGTCTGAACTGTATAATGTGCGTTGATTGCGCTGCACGACGAAGCCCAGTTGCAGCTGACGGATGAGTTGATATATGCAACGGATTTACAGCTCCCCAGGGCTATCTTCGATCTAAAGGATCTCACCGACATAAAAAGTCAACAAATACGTGGTAGGGGCCAAACACGGAACGTCGGACCGGGACATAGCGGAAAAGCATCGAAAATTCGCCGAGTCTCGCGCTGAGGCCGCCAAGCGCTCACCCGGGCCCATCGGGGCTAAACCTAAACGGGAGGAGCTTGCGAGGTTAAAGCTATGCGAAACATGGCGGGCGGTTCTGTCCGACCGAGTCCCGGTCAAGGTCTGTCCAATGTCGCTTGGTTCCTGGCTTTGATGTCATTTCGTCTTGGTTTTCTATACAATGCATAGTGGTGGCCCACTTTTCCCTATGGCTGACAACCCCCACTTGTTAAATTTCGCCGTTCCCTAACCCACCATTTGCTAGATCCGTTGACGCCAGACGAGTTGACATTGACTCACGGAGACTCGGGATTGATTTCCCCGAGCACAAAACCCGTTATACCATGCGATTCAAATACGCGTGGCCTCCCATAGCTCGCAAGCCGTTCTTGAATAGTGGGGGCTCACACATTGCTCAGCCATGATTCCTTCTGACTTTTATATACACCGCCGTTAAAAATTCAGCCTCTTTGTGGCCTCTTTACCAACTTATCCCCGTAAAACCGGAAGCCTACCTTTTCGGAAATCCTTTCGTTTGTCAATTTCTCTCAACTGCGACCCGTTTCTATTATCTCGATCAAACGGCCCATCAATCCTTCGTCTTCTATAAACTCGCTATCCAGCCGGCTGTCTGACAACTTCTTGCATTCCGATTTTTCGATCTATTATTACGCCCGCGCATATTTTCTTTCCTTTTCTCGATTAATTTTCCGACCTGTAGGAGTTTCGTGTGAATTCTCCGAGCCTATCATGTTCGAACAAGAGTTGCTGGTTGGCTGCCACGCCAAAATTCCTGGTGTCGGTACCTCATACGGATATGTCCCATCACTAGGAGCGGGTATTGCTTTTTGCGTCCTCTTCGGAATCTCAATGATTCTACACACAGCCCAGATGTGCTGGAAGCGCACATGGTGGACCAGCGTTTTCAGTGTCGGATGCATTGGTAAGTTCTGATATTCTCGATTAGCTCCCTGGGTTGCAAGACCAGTGCGACTAACATTTCCTCAGTGGAAATTATTGGATGGGCCGGCCGAACTTGGTCATCGCAATGCCCATATAACTCGACTGCATTCCTGATGCAGATTTCCACCCTTATCATTGGTGAGTAACAAACAGCCTCCCATAAGCCTAGAAAAACTCGAGTAAAAACATAGTGGTGCTTACCTTCTCATAGCTCCCACTTTCTTCACAGCAGGCATCTACGTGCTCCTCGGTGAATTCATCCGACGCCTTGGCCGTGAATCATCCATCCTCAAACCGAGCCTCTACCTCTGGATCTTCGTCACCTGCGACATAGTCTCGCTAGCCGTGCAGGCAATCGGTGGTGGAATGGCATCTGGACAAGCCACCAAGGTCCACGGCAACACCGCACCCGGCACTCACGTCATGGTGGCTGGTATCGTGTTCCAACTATTCTCCATCACCATCTTCGTTTTCCTCGCAGTCGATTTCATCAGTCGCACCATGCGCCGCCGTCTTTTACAGCAATTGACCGGGTCCGTTATTCCTCTGCTTGGCGCGATGATCCTCTCTGTGCTGTGCATCTATGCCCGGAGCATCTACCGAACGATCGAGTTGTTGCAGGGCTGGACTGGGTACCTGATTACCCATGAGAGCTACTTCGTTGGCCTGGATGGAGCCATGATGGTTGTTGCTGTGGCAGTCTTCAATGTTCTGCATCCGGGTTGGCTTCTACCTAGCGATAAGCAGACCAACGCGCTGAAGCGGGAGGTCACTGGAGATGAGGTTGAGATGAACCCCGCGTCGGCGTCTCAGTGATTTAATCTCTTCCTTGGTATACTTCTTTGTTGTGTCTCATTCGAATACGATTGCAGATATATATTATGTGGAAAGCAAACTAGACCATATTTGAAGCTTTAGCGATAATGAACATAGAATTGTGATTAATTTCGAAGACTAAAGACATCCCATGTATTCAGGTATTAGATCAGAAGCAACGTGCTAGTGAGATCAATACCGAAGAATCATGAATTTACCGGACACGGAGAGTTCCTTATCCCTTGAAGCTAACAGAAACGACATCATGCTATCACATCCACACCCGTCCTTAGTATGTGTGCAATAGTATGTCGTTCTAGCCGTCGTTCTAGACAAGGTGTGACATTTATCTACTGTCTCTACCCTACCGTAATCACCAGGATACTAACTCAGCGCGTAAAATTATCATGTCAACACTAGCAAAACCACATAGCAATAACCAAGCTGTCATAACTCCCCCCTCCTTGATACCATGCGGACTAGCTCCGTTTTATACACCATCCACAGCCTCAACCCAGCCAAAGACACCACCCACTGCCAAGGTCGCCACAGCCCATATCGAGCCCCAGGAAAATGCCCCTGCCACAGAGACGCTTCGGATCGTGCCTGCAACTTGCACAATGGTGTTGAGCAGTATCACGGATGCGAGCAGGAACGTGCGAGAAGCCAGAATTCTGGTCTTCACTGACAGCCGACCCCAGGTCTTGCGATAGATAGACTCAAACAGATACTCTCCCGGGCGTTCTTCAGTTTCCACATCGTCGGCTGGGCTCTTCGAGTGGCCAGCAGAGCTGACGAATAAGAAGTCGCGCACAGCGTAGCCGACGGGGATCAGGGTGATGAAGAGAACAGGAAGGCCGCTGGGTCCGGCATGCACAGCGCTGATGTCGGGAATGCTCTCAAAACGCGTGACGAGCTGGACAGGCAGCCAGGTTGCATAACTAGCATACAGCACGACACTGAAGATAGAGGTCGCGGTCAGGGTGGTGTAGACGGTGGTGAGACGATCCTGCAGGATGCCTCGGTTGGCCACCGTGCCGGAGGGCGCGTGAGACAGATTATGGACCGACGACGGCTGGCGCAAGAGGGCGAATGGAATCACTGTCGAGAGCACCGTGATCGCATACGAGGTCAGAACGGATGTAGGTCGGACACCGTAGAAGAAGGACAGGAGGGTGTATGTCGGGAGGTGCGTTAAGAAGAGGAATGATGCGACATCGCAGCCTGCGTGCAAGAAAGACCGTTGTTAGCTGCATTTCATTATCCAAAAGGTTCCAACTCACTGTCAAGTCCAAAAATCCAGGCCAAACCGACCTCGACGGCTCTCCATGCCACCAAGCCCCCCACTTCCCACCACTCTTCCAGGTGCTTGCTGACCAGGCCGAGATCGCCCACCGTCACACTGCTGGTGAGGGTGAAAAGAACCGAGCTCACAAGTAGACTGCACAGAACTACCAGAGAGAACCGCGCTGGCGACGAAAGTCGGGATTGCACAGGGGCCGTCAGAGGTGTAAGGGCAGCTTTGGGATCGGCCTTGGGATCGCCAGTCTGACGCGACTGAGTGCCTTCTGACGAGGTTTTCTTCTTAGGAGACATGAGCGAGCTGCAAAGACTTGAAGACAATAATCCGAAGATTTGAACAATTGCGGGACCACGCGACCAGGGGGAAAAAAAGAAGTGGCAGGTAAGTGGAATGTTCCAAGGTCGGCGGTGAATACGTGATGATGTCATAACTATGAGCTACCCCTTGGTACAATAGCTTAAGTCGCCATTGCTTAAAATGATAGGGTATTTTTCTAGAATATTCTAGCACGTTTAGTAACGCCATTTTGGACACCGTTTGACACCTTCTAGAGGCTTTCTAGATACATTTCTAGATGCCGTTCTTGATACAGTTCTCAATAAATACTATTCAAGATACTATGCAAGACTGTGTTCTCGGCTAGACGCCTTTGGGAGAGTTGTATAAAAGATCATATTGAGCGATGCTGCCTATTAGTTACCATATTCCAAGATCTCGCATCAGGAGTAGATTTCAAGAAAATTTAATATAAAATCTATTTCAAAAAAGGTGACATGGAAACATGGAAACATGGAATGTACATCAATCATCCTCGCCTCCCTCGTTCTCTGCCACGGCAAACTCCACCGTCCCACTCTCGCGTCCCTTGGTATCCCGTACGACGATTCTGTACTTGCCCTGATTCCAGAGGTCCTTGATAGTCAGCTCGCGCGTACGGCCGAGACTCTCGATGTCGCCAATGCGCTCCAGAGTGCCGTCCAAGTGCTTGTCGAATCCTTCAATTGCGCAGATCTCCCGGAAGGCGCGCTGCATGGGAACAGAATCAGCGCGCACCATTGCTCGCGAGTCAATGGTGAAGATGTTATCGTGGTCGTAAGACTGGATGAAGTCGGCGCGGGTCATGATCTCACGTGCTTTGTGGAGCGGGATCTCGGGCAAGATATGGCCTCTCTCTGGGTCATAGGTTTGTTCCATTTCCTTTTCAAGCTCGACTAGAGCCTTAGCCAGGACCATAGCAGCAGACTGTTGAGATGTTTTAGTACGCTCTTGTAAAACCGGGACGGAGTAAGGCGCTTACCGAATATTTCTGCTCGTCCATCACATCATCATCCATCTCCATACCGAGAATCCAGCATCTGTTGAGGAACCATGTTTTTTCGGCCCGGCAAATCTCGTCACAGGTCGACGTGATGTTGTGGGACTTGGCAACTCGGTTCAGGAATGACAGCCGCCCCCCCACTTTGTCATAGACTTCCTCGAGGACCTTGGAGGGCAGATCCTCGTTGAAGAACTGCTGGCGGTATCTCTTCAATGCATTCATGGCCTTGTCCTTGGGCAGATCGGTAACTGGGATGACTTCCATGCGCGTGGCGTAGCGCTTCAGACGCTCGTATACCCAGTAATCGTCGCTGTTAAGAACTATTTAAAAATAAATATCAGTGATACTCGATCATCATGATGGCTGGAAACATACTAGTAGTGACAAGGCCACTTGCAGCCCATTGTTCGGCCCGCTGCTGAATCATCTCAAGCAGATCTTGGCCATCGTGATCGTCTCGAACCAAGTGAGCACTGTTGACAATGAGGACAAGCGGCGGCGTGCCCTTCTTTCTTCTGGCCAGAGCAACCTTCTCAAGCTTATTGAAGGCTCGTTCGATATCTAGCAGGGCCGTGGTATCACGCGGGCCACGGATACTGAAAAGGCTGCCAATATAGCTGTGGAATCTGTCAGAAAGATTGGAAATATACGAAAAATATAGAGAAGATATACATACTCTTCGTGGAATTCGTAATCCAGGGCCTTTCCAAGACGGATGCGGAAGATCTCAAGGTCGGCATGCGCCTCAAACATGGCACAACTGAGGCCATTGATTTTGCGCATTGCTTCGAGAAGCATAGAGGTCTTTCCGGTGCCCTTCTCGCCGACGATGAGATAGTAATGACCGCGGCTTCGCCCGGAAACAATGTCATCAATCCGCGTTTGCTCGTCTCGCGGAACCCAGTGCTCCTCCTGGGTATACTGGTGTTTGCCAGACACTACACCCGCGACTTCAAGAGCGGGATCACCTGGTTCAAATGCATTGTCCATCTTATCCAGGATCAGGTACTTGTAGTACCGGTGGTACGAGTAGCCCGCCGCTCTGTTGGGTAAACATTAGCCTGGTTATATCCCGTCATAGAGAGGCAAACCCACCCTAGAATGAAAATAGATGCTGCCGTCGTTGCAGCGGTCTCCAGCATCTTTAGGATGGTGGATTTCAGATTGGGGTCATCGCTCTTGCGACTCTGACCTTTGCCATCTTCCGTATCATTCTGATCAGTAGGGTCGGGGGTGTACTGGCCCATGTTTTTCGGGTCGGAAGAATTGAAGCGTTTGAATGTGTTCTGAACGAAACGTCCATTGGACCGAAGAGGTCTAGATAAGCCCTGTCGGGCATAGCTTGTCAGAGGCTGAGCAAGCCGCTTCCATAACATCTTGGTTGCGCCGCCTTATCTAATATTAGGGATCTCTCGAGATGGAGTTCTGCAATGCAACCGTATGCACTGAGGTCTGTAGATTGGACTTGATCTAAGGCACAGCGCAACAGCCACAGCAAGGCTACAGTAGACTGTGTGGGCTCAGGTCTGTCAGCGCCACACCACCAGGGGATGACGCGTCTGATAAAAGGGAGTGGACGGGTGGAAACCCAAGAATGTCAAATCGAAGAAGAAGCTTCAACGAACAAAGAAGAAAGAGATAACGAGAGACTGAAGTATGAAGTGAAAACAGCAAGGAGTGCGCGAGTTATTGTGGCTGAGGCGCAGTGGAGTCTCTTTCCTCGATCTCACGGGCTTGGCAATGTCGATTGGGGCTCAGCTTGCTTTAACGTGTCGTAGCCGAGTCCCGGCTGTGTCGACTAGCGTTCTTGGAAGTTGGGATACGGCAAACCACCGGGGTATATCAGCTCTATGTTTGGTTTTGCGTATGCAATGCCGGAATTGGAATTTAGTCTGGGGGTCAAATTGTGGGACGGTTCCTGAGCCACCGAGTCAAGTCGTGCTACCTAGAAATATTCTCACCTTTTGAACTGTAGTGGTATTTCGAGTTAAACTGAGCAATGCTTACATACAGACACTATATATTAAACCCATGTAATTTTGCATACTTCCAAAGTTGAGTATCCACCGTCAAAAGTCCGTCGAAAACTTGCTTATCGCTGTGGGGAAGTACGCCTGAAGCTAAATGACGAAACCCAGCAGTACGAGCCTGTTTCAGGGGGCTTTAGATGTCTCGGAAATGGCTATGAATCGATATTTTATTGATGCGATGAATTACGAATTATCTCTCACCTTTCGAAAAAGCTCAAGATATCCTCGCGTGTCATCATGTTGAGGCCTGAGGCATCATATACCTACGAGTTACTTTCATGAGTCGCTGCCTACCTAGATATGTAAGTACAGAATAACGACCGGGGTTTAACAAATCCAAAGAGCCTCTTTCTTATTAGCGTCGAATTAAGCAATACCAAGGGGTTGTTGCCCGGAAGCAATTCGAAGAATCCCAGGTTGTGGAGAAGACTCTCCGCGGCGCCTTCCCCGAACCCACCGCCCGAGCACTTCCGAGGGTATGCCGCATCCGCGAAATTTTCTCCTCCGTTCCACCGTTCCTGTACCGACTATTTCCTTTTTGCATCTCTCTCTCTATCTGGGATACGGGGTTTTTGGCTTTTCTGCTTCAATTGCCCTTATCCTTGTATCTTAGCGACTCTTTTTTCTTCCCTGCCGAGTCCCCGCAGGTCCTCATTTTTTCGCCTCCGCTCGACGGGAGATAGCTATCGCAGATTGATTTTGCCGGAGCTATCCTATACCGATTTGACATAATGGCGCAATCTAATGGGGAGTTGGAACACTCGAAAGGTCCGTCCGCCCTCGAGACCACGTTGTCACACGAGACATCGGATCGAAGCATAAAACGCGAACAACATTCGATTGGAGAGGCATACGCTGACATTTCAACAGAGGTTCCTCAGCAGACAAACGGCAATGGCCCCGAGGGCGTGGAAGAAGAGAATGCCGGTGGTATGTGGGATTAACCATGGCCAGGTGGAATGGTGGTTTTCTGACTCGTGTCAAGGTCTCTTCCAGATCTCCGTGAAGCTCCCTCACGAGCCTTTCAAGATCCAGGTGATGGTAAGTGGATTGTCTCAACGGCCATGGGAAACCACTGACCCTTTGTGTCAACAGGTGTCCAGCCAAGAGCAGGTACAAGATGTCCGTCAATCGATCGTCGAGCTCCCCGGTACCTTCCAGTACACATGCTTCCATCTGGAGTACAACGGAACCCGCATCAATGACTTCATTGAGCTGTCTGAGGTCCCGGATCTCAAGGCCGATTCCGAGATCGTGCTGGTGGAGGACCCCTACACCGAGAAGGAGGCCCGCATGCATGTTGTGCGGATGAGGGAACTGGTTGGTGCTGCGGGTGACCGGGTAGACAACCTTCATGGTATCTCTGCAGGCCTTTCCCTGCATGATGCTATCGCGGCCGAGGCCGCTGCTGCTGCTGAGTCGGAGAAGGACCACTCGCTCGCCAAGTACAACTTGACTGGTACCTCTTCGCTGCAGACCATCCTGCCCAAGTCCGACGCCCCCCTCCCGAAGACGGTCAAGTCGATCTCTCTGTCGCCGTGGAACCCTGCTCCGTACCACCTCCGCCAGAAGGGTCACTTGCTGTACCTTCAGGTCACCACCAACGAGGGTGAGCAGTTCCAGATCACCTCCCACGTCTCGGGCTTCTTTGTGAACAAATGCTCGAACACTCGCTTCGATCCTTTCCCGAAGGTGATGCCCAAGAATGTCAGCGGCAGTGCACACTCCCTCCTCACCCTGCTCTCTCAGCTGTCGCCCTCGTTCAACACTGCCTTCGAGGCCCTGCAGGAGTCCAACAACCAGAAGGATCTCCTGACTACCTTCCCCTTCCAGAACGCGATCCCCAACAGCCCATGGCTCGTTGCCCCGGCCTCATCCAGCTTGAGCACTCACCAGCCCGATATCACTCGCTCTCAGGAGAGCTACCTGATCTCTGGTGTGGACAATGCGGAGACCCTGCGTGACTGGAACGAGGAGTTTCAGACCACCCGCGAACTGCCCCGCGATACCGTTCAGGATCGCGTTTTCCGGGAACGCTTGACCTCCAAGCTGTTCGCTGACTATAATGAGGCCGCTGCCCGTGGTGCCGTCCTGGTTGCACGCGGTGAGGTTGCTCCTCTGAACCCGACTGAGGCACGGGATGCCCAGATTTTTGTATACAACAATATCTTCTACTCTTTTGGTGCTGATGGCGTTGGCACTTTCACCTCCGAGGGCGGTGATGAGGCTGCACGCGTTGCCGTCGGCAAGGACGTTTTGGGTATCAAGGCAGTCAACCAGCTCGATATTCAGGGCCTGTTCACTCCCGGTACTGTTGTCGTGGATTACCTTGGTAAGCGCATTGTTGGCCAGAGTATTGTTCCTGGTATCTTCAAGCAGCGCGAGCCTGGTGAGCACCAAATCGATTATGGCGGTGTTGAGGGCAAAGAGGTTGTTGCCACCAACGAGGAGTTCGTTCCCGTCTTTGAGAAGCTGTCCAAGGCTCTCCGCATTAAGTCGCACCCGGTTTGGGACAAGGATGGCAAGCGCCACAACCTTGAGGGCAGCGTTGAGACCAAGGGTCTCCTTGGTACTGATGGCCGGAAATACGTTTTGGATCTGTACCGTGTTGCTCCTCTGGATGCTTTATGGCAGGAGGAGGATGGCAGCGATGTGTACCCCCACCGCATGTCCGTCCTGAGACTGGAGCTTGTCGAGGCGTACTGGCGTAGCAAGATGAGCGCGTACGTCAAGGCCGAGGTGGAGAAGCGCCGCGCTGCTAAGGCTGAGGAAGCCCCCAAGGAGGGCAAGTCAGAGGAAGGCTCTGAGGAGAAGACCGAGGAGTCCGCCGACAACGAGCGCGTCGACATCTCTGGATTCGACCTGTCTCTTAACCCCGATGTCTTCAGTGGCCAGGTCCCTCAGACTAACGAGGAGAAAGAGCAGTGGGCCAAGGATGAGCAGGAGGTGCGCGATGCTTGCGACTACCTGCGCTCCAAGGTCATTCCCGAGCTGATCCAGGATCTGCACGATGGCGATGTTGGCTTCCCCATGGATGGCCAGTCGCTGACCCAGCTCCTCCACAAACGTGGTATCAACGTCCGCTATCTGGGCAAGTTGGCTCAGCAGTCCAACGAGAAGGGTGCTCGCGTGCACGCTCTGTCCACTCTCCTGGTCCAGGAGATGGTTGCCCGTGCCTTCAAGCACCTTGCTCACAACTACCTGTCTAATGTCCCTGCTCCATTCGTTGCTCCCTGTATCGCGCACCTGCTGAACTGCCTGTTGGGCACTGATGTGAACGCTGCCCCCCGTGCAGAGATCGATGAGTCGCTGCGTGAGGTCTACCCCGAGGGTGACTTCTCCTTCGAGAAGGTCACTCCCGAGTCCCTCCGTGCAGAGATCGAGAAGCAAGTTTCTGTCCGCTACCGCTACCCTCTGGAGCAGGGATGGGTCAGCTCGCTGCGCCATCTGCAGCTTCTGCGCGATATCTCGATCAAATTGGGTCTCCAGCTTGGCGCCCGTGACTTTGCTTTCTCGAAGGCCCAGGTCAAGGAGCAGGCTCCTCCCACCAATGGCGCCAACAGTAATGCTAACGATGACGGCAAGAAGAAGAACAACAACAAGAAGAAGGGTGGTGACAACAAGTCGAAGTCTCCAAGCCGCCCCGAAGTGGAAACCAAGCCTGCCCTTTCCATCTGCGCTGATGATATCCTGAACATTGTGCCCTTGGTTAAGGACGCCGCTCCTCGTAGTGCTTTGGCCGAGGAGGCTCTGGAGGCCGGCCGTATCTCGCTCATGCAGAACCAGAAGCAACTGGGCCAGGAGCTCATTCTGGAGTCGCTGTCTCTGCACGAGCAGATCTACGGTATCCTTCACCCCGAGGTTGCCAAGTTGTACCACCAGCTCTCCATGCTCTACTACCAGACCGAAGAGAAGGAGGCCGCCGTGGAGCTGGCCCGCAAGGCTGTTATCGTGACCGAGCGCACCCTGGGTGTTGACTCGGCTGACACCATCCTAGCCTACCTTAACCTGAGTCTGTTCGAACATGCTTCCGGTAACACCAAGACTGCCTTGGTGTACATCAAGCACGCCATGGATCTCTGGAAGATCATTTACGGAGCTAACCACCCCGACTCTATCACCACTATGAACAACGCCGCCGTGATGTTGCAGCACCTTAAGCAATACGGTGACTCTCGCAAGTGGTTCGAGGCCTCTCTCGCTGTCTGCGAGGATCTCTTCGGCAAGCAGTCCATCAACACCGCGACCATCCTCTTCCAACTTGCCCAGGCCCTGGCTCTGGACCAGGACTCCAAGGCTGCCGTTGGCAAGATGCGCGAGGCCTACAACATCTTCCTTGCTCAGCTTGGCCCCGAGGACCGCAACACCAAGGAGGCCGAGACATGGCTCGAGCAGCTCACCCAGAATGCTGTCTCCATCGCGAAGCACGCCAAGGATATCCAAGCCCGTCGCCTACGCCGCATCGCCATTAACCCTCGCGGATCCACCATGGGCACTCGCGTCCAGCCCCAGGTCGGCCAGACTGTGCCCGAGAGTGCCGGTGCCGCCGCTTCCGGTATGGACTCTCGCAGCATTGATGAGCTGCTGAAGTTCATCGAGGGTAGCGATGCCAGCTCCTCGCGCTCCAAGCAAAAGAAGCGCACTTCTGCCAACCCCAAGCTCCGGGGCTCCAAGCAGTCTAAGGCATAGATCTCTATTGCCATTTGATTAGTTCGGGTATTTCCCTTTCTTGATCATTTGTGTCTTAACAGTAAAGTACTCCATGATTGAATTTCGGAAGGGGCTCGGGGTTTCACGTTTGATGAGCGAAAAATGCTGTATTTTAGATCTCTCTCCTCTCTCTGTTATATTTTTTGGACGTGATGAGCCTGTCCTGGTTAATGAGAAGGCTCACGGACTCGGTTGTACTATATTGCCCCATATCTGGATGTGCATGATGCGATTGTACTTGAGGGTTTGCATACGGCAGTTCCAATTTGGGTCATTGTCAGATTCCCTGAGAACAAGATACGTACCTCTGCATTAGATCTGTGTATAAACACTGCTATTGAGGCTATTCTCGATATAACAGCGAACAATGCCTCAAGGTGCGGTTCACCGCCGGCGCTTGACCGCATTCGGGACCCACCTTTGTTTACTTTGTTTTGCCCTCCGATCTCCGTGCTGGTGTTCGCATTCGCGTCCGCATTCCATTTGACACGCACCTCTTATTTTGGGTTCCAGCATATCTTATCCCTTATCCTAGGTTAATATTGCTCCGAAGTTTGCAATGCTTGAAGGCCTGGTGTGGTGATTGCCATGCAGCATCGCAGAGTTGGTTTCAGGCCCCGTTACTGCAGTATGACACAAAGCCCCCTCAAGGCTTGCCCTTTTGAGGACGAGACTGACGGATTTTCCTACAGCTGTATGGCTTTGGTAGATAGGTTTATCCCCATTTATTCCTAATGGACGACATTCAACCCACCGCGCGATGGGCGAACCGCATGCTGCGCCCTTTGACCTCCATATACCGTCGACTCGAGAAACACCATGAAACACTGGCGATCATCGCGGCCGAGTCAAGGAGAAATGATCCGAGCGAGGATACCAATACGCATGCGCAGGAAATCGCCGGACCTGTTCGTACCAGAGACAGCTTCTCCGACTCGGACGCGGATGAGGACGATCCAGTTTGGATACCCGGGAGGAAGCCCGAGCAGCGGCGTAACAGGCATAATTATTCGGGCCGAGGACAAGGAAGGGGAGGGAGGAAACGCATCAGATTGTCAATTCACAGCCCGGAAGCCCCTCGGACGTTACCGGGCGCGATCGAGCTCACAACGCCTGTTATTACCGGCAAGCGATGGGAGATCCCGTCAAGCGTTCGATCCCAATCGTCGGTTGGCCGGCGAAAGACAACGAACCCATCAGAACAGCGACAAGCTTTTCGTGACCGATATCCGCTGCACAAGAGTCCATGGCAGACGCTTCTCGACCATTCAGACGACTCGGGGTTTGCCAACATAGCCCACAACCTCGACCGCGTTTTTCAGAATTTCCTTTGCAACACGCGGATCATTAAGCGCGATACGAATGGCATATCCGCCAAACCTGAGCGCGGTGCACGTTCCTTGCTCTCTATGGTCGCGCGCAGCCTGCCGGAGTTTATTGCAAGCGAGCAGGAGGCACAGAACGATATGGAGAAGGATGGCGACGAAGATATGTGCGATGCCTACTTTACGGAACTGGAGTCATTCTACGCACCCCACAGCAGAGGCTGGAAGCCTCTCCGCGAGGCGGTTCGTGCCCAGGGCATTTACTTGGTATCTACCATGATCCAGAACAAATGGGTGACGGATCCCATCGCATGTGCACTGATTGAAAAGTGCGGATATCATGAATTAGACGCGTATGAATCACTCCTCTCAACGTTCCTCTCGACGCGCACAAGCTACCCTTGCCCTCTAGCTCTCAATCCCGTCACGGAGTCGTGCATCGGGGACCCTGTTCTATTATTGAGAAAGTACACCCACTATGGGCCAGCCAGCCGGTCCTTTATCTTTAACGAACTTTCCACGCTGCTTATACGTGGCGCGCTGCCTCCAGAATGGATGGCGACCAAACATTGGACCAGTTGGATGACCCGTGCCACCATATCATTTTCTAGAGGTGATAATGACTGCGCTGCCGCTTCACGGTTGATCGAGGCTGTACTGGCTTCCGCCAGCGATATCCGTCCGGTTACCGAGGCACCAAAGCCTAGAAGAGGACATCCAGTCAAGCGCCGCGATGCTCGTAGAAGAGCGACTCGAGCTTCTTTCGGAGCACCGACGGGCAAACCTAACATTTCCCGACCTTGTCCCATGCTGGTTAAAGATGCACTGAGCAACCACATCACAAGTCTCTTGGCGGCATTATGTGGTATGCATATCTCACGGTCCCGCGACACGGAGGATATGGAGATCTTTAACGGGACAAAAGCGGGCCACATCATCAATTATCTTTCATTTACACTGGTGCAAGACATGGAATCGAGGCCAATCTCTCACATTACCAACCTCACATCGCATCAATTGTTTAGACGTGGGTGCGTCTTGTTGGCAACTTGTCTTTTGCAGTGTAACGATGCGGCTTTAGTGGGCGACAGCCAATGTGTGATGGCGTCAAGCCCCAGACTCGAAAAGTATTGCGAGATTTTGGCATCGCGCGCCGACTTGATGAAGGAACTGGCACTATTTGTCCGGCAGGCTTTCCGATGCTTTCGAAGTGCCACGGACAACGAACATCTCCACACGGCCCAAGAGATTCACCGCATTATCTCGCAGTTCCCTCGCTTGGCAGGTGCGTCGTGTCTATCTGCGCTGCTTAGTCAAATTGCCATTGAGGCCGCCATGGGATTTGCAGAGGGCACCGGGGAACCGGGTGATCATTTGTGGGCACTTGAGATTCAAGAGACAGTCATCGCGCTACAGAATGGGAAGGAGCCAAGTCCGGAAGCTACGAGTGAACTAGAGGAACAGGGGCAGCGCAGAGGGTTCCGGTGGGAAGAAAGCATTGGAGAATGGGTTGCCCGTACACCGGCAGCCAAAGTGAACCCAGTGCCTAGTGTGTTCGTCAGAAGACGAATATCCACGACTGTACTACCTACGCCCTGGATCTTCTGCTCCACGGATAGCAGCTCTCCCGAGTCGGATCGATTCGAAGCACCCGCCTCGAGTTTGACCTCATCACCCTCATCTATTGGGACCGATGGGACGAACCGGGAATTTGAGGAAATCGACTCATCGCCTCTACGCCCGGCTAAACGTCGGCGGCCTGCTCGCGAGGTCGTGATTGAAAATTCAGAAGACAGACGGTGTGGATCCACGTCCTCTAGCCTTGATATCAAATCTCCCTCTTTGGAACCCGTGCCTCCGCGGCGTCGCATTCTGCGGGAGATGTTGAATCACAACACCGCTAGCCAACCTGCTCTCAGCACAAAGCCTGCATCCAAGATCGAGGTGGTCATTTTCAACAGGAAACAGGCCCGCACAAGCGAAGAAACTGCGCATCCCTCTTCAGGATCCGATGAGAAACACGGCCATCGTGCGGTAGAGCGACGAAGGCCTGGGCGACCTCGAATTTCAGACATCCCCACTGTGGCTGTCCGGTCTGCCTCTCAGCGAAGGTTCATCATTCCTTGTTCGGAGGATGGCAGCGACGACGAGCTAAGCTTCATGTAGCAACCCTCTGGGCCTTCTGAAACGGGGTCGTGAGAGATTCTTCGCCCCGCTGGGCTGGCAGATCATTTATCTGGAGAGAGTCTTGAGTCCGGTTTCGCGTACTCCGTATCTAGTTCATTTTGCATTGCGAACGGACCTCATTAGAAATTGAGGTGTTCGACGGGGGACGGTTCGACGGAGCTTAAGCGAGCATGAACTCGACCGAAACCCAAAATTGGGTTCAAGGACGGTCCACATTTTTGGAGACGATGTTTGAGATTTTTACGACATGATACCCTTAGCTTCGGATTAGCGTTGTTTCTATTTTTTTCTCTTTTCCTTGTGTTTTGATTACCCGTTCTCGGTCTGCGCCATGGTTCAGTCTGGTCCCGATCTACCAGGAGACTCGGGACCTGCGGGACCCGATTTAGATCTAAAGTTTACGAGTGATACCTTTCACGTGAGAAAATGGCATCTGAAACCGGACAAGTCTACCGGACAAGTCTACACACGGGCTGCGTTCATACTTCACTTTATCTGTAGCATGCAGAGATCACTTGAGAGTCTGTGTAGAGGGGGCGCCATTCGTTGCAGACACTGGATGTAGCAGCATCAATATCTGCTACCTGCCGTATGCTCTCTACAGAACCTCCACCTTCAAGTCCCGTTTCAGCCGCCTGTCACGTCGGGCTTGACACAGGGGAAGTCTGCGGGCCGGAGGCCCTTCTCGGATGGAGATACTCCATCTAGAGAGGTTAAGGTCTGGGATAAATGAAGCCAAGGCATCCGAAGCCAGCGGAGATCACTAAATCGAGTGGAGGCGTACTCCGTAGTTCGTGAGAAATAGCGTCGAGCTAAATATGTTTCAGTCGGAGGCGGGTTCCGTGACTGTCGCGTGGACAGTCGGGCCTATCGAGTTCCTCCCGAAACTCTCCCTTTCTCGGGGTCGCGATGCACAGATTGGCTCCCCAATGAAGCAAGGGCCACATCTTCAAACCGCGGATCAACCAAACCGCGGTGCCGAGGATCGGCTAGTGACTAGCGCGTTTGTTGCTCCCAAGCCAAACCCAAGAAACAGGGGCGTTTCAGGATCGACCAGTCACACCCGGCGCAGCGCGTCCCGCCACATTCTAGTGCCAAGCCCCTACCTATCTCGCGGTGATGGCAAAGATGCAAATCTTGCTATGCCTGAATTCGCCTCTAGGTATTTGATTCGATTCATGGATCTATCCTAGGTAGAATGACCGGGCCGGTTCGGTCTGGCCCTGTCCCTCGGTCTGGCCTGTCCCCCTGACCGGTGACATGGCCAGCATTCATAGAATCGTACCCGTGGATTGAGGAGCTCGGTGTCCAGAACACGGAGTATGATCAGTTACAGGATGAGACGATACTCGAGTTGTGCCAGTAGCACGGTTACCCGGACCTTTTTTCGGCCCAGCCTTATTTCTATATGATCCCTCTGTCATCGTGGATCCGGGTGAGGGCTTGGCCTGTCTCATATCCTCCCCACCCTCCACGCAGAGCCCAAAAGTGCTTTTCTCTCCTTTCTCCCTTGACGTGCTTTGTTTCTTCTACGAAATTAATCATTGTCCTTCTTTCGGTTCCAATTTTCTTTATATCTCTGACAATCGTCATTGGCGGTCGAACTAGCTTCCAACCGAGTTTTGCTCTGTAGTGACCCAGTGGTCACCAGCATTCCGTTCGTTGTCCTCGACAGAATCGGGCCTCTGGCAAGCATTTCGGCCGATCTGTCATTCCTGACGCGGTGCCGTGCACGATTTGACGACAGGATATTCATCGATTGATGTTTACTCCTTCGTTTTCCACATTTCAACCCATATGTTCAGCAAACTAGGCAGGCCCTTCGACACCGGCCCTTGACGCCGTATCACCTAGCTATCGTGGCCCTTCACTGCATTTCCTTCTTCTTTCGCAATTTAAAGCAGCCCGGTGTTGCTTGAGGCAGTGCTGCCCACCATTCGTTTCGCCCCGCAGAACTCCAGCACTTTCTAGGCCCTGATATCAAGCCTTCCCTTCCTTACTCCAACTCATCAGGCAAGCTGGTCTTGTCCATTAGCAAAAGCTGGTCTTGTCCATTAACAAAAGCTGGATCCTCCCTATATAATTTCAAGGCGTCCAATTCTCGACACATCATGCAGCACCTCGTTCTTACTCTATCCCTCGTGGGACTGAGTAGCGCAATTGAAATCGAAAAGCGATGGACCAAGACCCCTCTTCCACTGTCCTACGTAGCAGCCAGTGATACCTTGGCACGTTACACCATCCTCATTCTCGGGTGTGTCGCTGCCTTATATCTCGCCTGGCAGATCTGGTTTCGATTCACGGCTCACCTCCGACGACTATCCACTTTCGGCGATGACAGACAGCAATACTTCGTGCCCGCACACGGCACATTCTCCTGGGTGAAGGAGCACTTGATATATGCCCCGTTGTTCCGCACGCGCCACAATCGCGAGATGCAATTGTCATCGGCTATCAACATGGGTACCCTTCCCAGCCGTTTCCATGGATTACTTGTCTTCGGAGTTATTGCCATGAATGTGATTCTATGTGTGGTTACCGTTCCCTATGGCTCCGACGAGCTCTCTGCCGCAGGCGTTGTGCGCAACCGTACTGGCACGATGGCCACTGTGAATCTGATTCCTCTGATCTTGATGGCTGGCCGGAACAACCCTCTCATCGCCATGCTCCATGTACCCTTTGACACATGGAACCTGCTCCACCGCTGGCTCGGTCGTATCGTGGTGCTAGAGGCCGTTGCACACACTTTCTCCTGGGCAATTCCCGTGGCCCAGGAGAAGGACTGGAAGACGGTTGCCATGGACATCGGTAGCAGCAGCTTCCTGATCGTTGGCACGGTTTCCACCGCCGCTCTTGTAGCACTGATGCTGCACTCCCCGTCGCCCATCCGCCATGCTTTTTATGAAGTCTTCGTCCACCTCCATTTTGCCCTCGCAGCCGTCTCCATTGGCTTCCTCTGGGTGCATCTGGACGGCTTGGCTCCCCAGATCTACGTGCTCGTCGCTATCATCCTATGGGTCCTGGAGCGAACCACTCGGCTCTTCATCATCATCTACCGGAACTTCGGTCGGGAGTCTACCACCGCAGTCGTCGAGGCCGTGCCAGGCGATGCTATGCGCATCACCCTACGCATGGCGCGACCATGGACTTTCCGCCCTGGTCAGCATATCTACCTTTACATTCCCGCTGTCGGATGGTGGACGTCGCACCCGTTCTCAGTCGCCTGGAGCGAAGCCGACAACCTGATGATCGATGAGAAATCATCTTTGCCAATGTCACAAGAGGATCTGATTCGCTCGCCACAAAAAGAAACGATTTCCTTACTCGTTCGCCGTCGCACCGGTATGACCGATAAACTATTCCAGCGGGCCACCAACGCCGGCGGCTCTCGCGTCGTTCTTCGCGCCTTTGCGGAAGGTCCCTACGGCAATATCCACTCCATGGACTCATACGGAACGGTGATGCTTTTCGCCGGTGGTGTCGGAATCACACACCACATCCCCTTCGTCCGCCATCTCGTGTCCGGCTTCGCCGACGGCACATTAGCCACGCGCCGGGTGACCCTCGTCTGGATCATCCAGTCCCCCGAGCACCTAGAGTGGATCCGGCCCTGGATGCTCAGTATCCTGGCTATGGACCGCCGTCGCGAAGTCCTCCGCATCATGCTCTTCATTACCCGGCCGCGTAATACCAAGGAGATTCAAAGTCCCTCCTCCACCGTGCAAATGTTCCCTGGTCGACCTAATATCGACACCCTTGTCGGTATGGAAGTTGAGAACCAAATTGGAACTATGGGTGTCATGGTTTGTGGCAACGGAGGCTTGAGCGATGATGTGCGCAAGGTTTGCCGGAAGAGACAGGGCCCCACGAATATCGACTACGTTGAGGAGAGTTTCTCTTGGTAGATGTGCTCATGCGAAGATGTTTGTTGAGTTGCTAAGCGTATAGGTTGTGACATGTCTTGGTCGCTTTCTTTTCTTGTCTTGCTCTCTTTCCTTCGCCAACTCTCTAGCTTGGACTCTAGAGTTTGCTTCCGTTCCTTTAGCCTTGGCCTGGCATTTTCCTGTATAATTCTTTCGACAACAACTTGTCATACTCCCTGATGCGTGTGTAATTACTTTGGGAGTTGTAAACATTCTTTATGTACTAATGCAAGATATGAAGCAACCTTGAACTTCTTCCTGACTCGCAAGGTAAAATATAAAAATATAAAAAATATAAAAAAAAAAGGACGAAACTGTCAATTCCTTTTGTGGGCATCTGTTTCATCTAATGTTGGAGTGGAAAAGCAAGCTGAGGTTCAAGTGGTAGTAGCGAAACGGTGTAATCATGGCCCCCCGGCAGTGTCCAGATGGGGCTGAAATGGTGAATAATTTAGTAGCTTGGACGCCAGCTACAATGAGTGTGGGTACATATAATCAAACAGAGAATACTACCGAAGCGGACTTTGATAAGACCTCCAACCTCATGGTGAAAGGACCCTATTGTCTCGGTCAACAACTACAGGGCTCTTTCTGGCAGGAAAGCCAGAATAGGTCTTGAAGACCGTCGCTGGATTCAGTTCCTTTGGCCTGGTTGGAGAACCAGAAGAGATCGTTAGCGCCATGGCATTCATGTGTGGGAAAGGCAGCAGCTGGATGTCCGGTCGGACTGCCCGGGTAAATGTTGCAATGGCTTAATTTAGCCGGTGATAGCTCCTGGTATACTGTACTCATGGATTATAAGTAATCAATTGGTCTGTTTGTCGGCATGTGAACTTTGTTGTCTCGGGAGATTCATTTGTCAGCTCGCGTTACCCAACGTCATGCTGCTCTAGTTGGTTGATTTGAGTGAGCTCGTATAAGTCTTATCGGAATGGGGATAGACGTGCATGGTGATTATTCAGAAATGCCCGGGGCGTGGAAGCTTCGGCGGGATTAGAAATCCGAGTGGGGTGAGCTTGGGATGACCTCAATCCCGTCGCTTTAAATGCCCCTCCAAATCCACTCGTAGATCTTACAACAGATCGTTCCCACAGTAATTTGACAGTCACATTCGATATCTCCAAAAATGAGTCGCCCGGACATCACTCTCTACACGGCCCAGACTCCCAATGGGATCAAGATCTCCATGGCGCTGGAGGAGCTAGGGTCTGTGATCAGCTCAGATGCGTTTCGACCTGCCACTGACAGCATAATAGAGTGCCCTACAAAGTTGAGAAGATCGACATCTCTAAGAACACGCAAAAGGAAGAGTACGTGCTTACAGTTGCATCAACTATTGGAACCCGAGACTGACAGCTGCACAGCTGGTTCCTCGAGATCAACCCCAACGGCCGCATCCCCGCTTTGACAGACACTTTCAGTGACGGCCAAAAGATCCGCCTGTTCGAGTCTGGCAGCATTCTGCAATACCTGGCAGAGCAATATGACACCGACCACAAGATCTCGTTCCCCAAGGGCACCCGCGAATACTACGAGATGAACAACTGGCTGTTCTTCCAGAACGCCGGCGTTGGTCCCATGCAAGGCCAGGCTAACCACTTCTCGCGGTATGCCCCCGAGCGCATTGAGTACGGTGTGAACCGATACGTCAATGAGACCCGCCGCCTGTACGGTGTCCTGGACAAGCATCTCGCTCAGTCCAAGTCCGGATATCTTGTCGGGGACCATGTTTCTATCGCTGATATCTCTCACTGGGGCTGGGTGGCGGCTGCTGGATGGGCTGGCGTTGATATTGAGGAGTTCCCGCATCTGAAGGCCTGGGAGGAGCGGATGGCTCAGCGGGAGGGCACTGAAAAGGGCCGCCATGTCCCCTCAAAGCACACCATCAAGGACTTGATTAAGGATAAGGCTGCTATGGAGAAGAGCGCCGCCCAAACACGGGCATGGGTCCAGCAGGGCATGAAGGATGATGCGAAGAACAAGATCTGAGGGAGAGATGAAGACGTAATGGCCTTAATATCTCTCACGATAATTTAGGAGATTATATTCATCCAATCTTGGCAAAGAGCAGCTGAGACCAATGTAAATGGAGAATTGAGAACTCGTCACCTCTAAACCTTGCCTGCTCGACTGTTCGATTATGATATGATTTCGATTGACCTGTGATGGCCTCTGAAGAGCCCTGTGCCAGGCTTAGTATCGCTAAATTATCCAGAAGCTGGCCCCCCTGAGCCCAGAATCATCGCCAAACATTGAACCACCACAGGACAACGAGCACCTCTTTTTGATGTACTCTTGACTTAAATCGAGGTCTCACCTGTAACCGGTCGTAAACAGATCCACCGTCCGGCAGAATCCATTCACCGCCATGGCATATCACGTGGCGCGTTGCCACTTTTCACTGAACGGGAGCTTCTTCCTTGGAAGACTCGTCATACCACTAACGGCCTTTGAATTCAAGAGTCATGGCTTGGCGCAATCAAGGCATTACGGGCTCTAACAACATCCCTCTGGGGAGTCGCCGCCGCGGGTTTGCGGAGGAGGAGGATGATAGTCGGACTGCTACTCCTTCTTCCATGCCCGATGGCCCTAAGCGTGGCCGCAGCCCCGTTCGAGGTATGTTCGCCCCCCCCCAACGAGTATTTCGCAAACCTTTGGTTTTGACTTTTATTCTTTCGACGCAGCGGACCCCCCGGCCGATGGTGTCAAACGGCGCAAGAAGCGCAACCGCTGGGGAGACCAGCAGGAGAACAAGGCTGCCGGCCTAATGGGCTTGCCCACGATGATCATGGCGAACTTCACCAGCGAACAACTCGAGGCTTACACCTTGCACCTGCGTATCGAGGAGATCAGCCAGAAGCTTCGGATCAACGATGTGGTCCCGGGTGATGGCGATAGGTATGTACAAGCTCTATGGCATGCGCCTTTCGCAAGACGCAAGATACTGACTCGTGCAGGTCTCCTTCGCCGCCGCCGCAGTACGACAACTTTGGTAGACGTGTGAACACTCGCGAGTACCGTTACCGCAAGCGACTCGAGGATGAGCGTCACAAATTGGTCGAAAAGGCCATGAAGACCATCCCTAACTACCACCCGCCCTCTGACTACAGACGTCCCACCAAGACCCAGGAGAAGGTCTACGTCCCAGTCAATGACTATCCAGAGATTAACTTCAGTATGATAACTAACCCTCTAACTCCTAACTGTCCCTTCACTATGTCTTTTAAGGCGCCCTGCTCGACTCGAGTTGACGAGATTTCCTCGGATGTCCTCGGCCCGTTTCTTGCTAACCCTTGGGTGCTTGATGTTGCACATTGCTCTGCGCACTTTACAATTACCGGATGAACTAACACTTAGCTCTTTGCTATCTTTTTTAAAGTTGGCTTACTCATAGGACCTCGTGGAAACACTTTGAAGAAGATGGAGACGGAGTCCGGAGCCAAGATCGCCATTCGAGGCAAAGGCTCCGTCAAGGAGGGCAAGGGCCGATCTGACGCCGCTCACGCTAGCAACCAGGAAGAAGACCTTCACTGCTTGATCATGGCCGACACCGAAGAGAAGGTGAACAAAGCCAAGAAGCTGGTGCACAATGTCATCGAGACGGTAAGCTATAACTCTGTTTTCTATCTTCTCAATCTAGATACTAACGAGACATTTCTAGGCCGCTTCTATTCCAGAAGGTCAGAACGAACTCAAGCGCAACCAGCTTCGTGAGTTGGCTGCTCTCAACGGTACCCTCCGTGACGATGAGAACCAAGCTTGCCAGAACTGTAAGTCTATGAATGCCTCTTGTCACTGAGAATGTGGTTTCTAACTGTTCGACAGGTGGTCAAATCGGACACCGCAAGTACGATTGCCCCGAGCAGCGCAACTTCACTGCCAACATCATCTGTCGCGTCTGTGGCAATGCTGGACACATGGCTCGCGATTGTCCCGACCGCCAAAGAGGCAGCGACTGGCGCAACAACCAACAAGGTGGCTTCAGTGGTGGCCGTGGCGCTCCTCGTGCCATCGGTACTGGCGATGCTGTTGACCGTGAGATGGAGGTGAGTTTCTTTAATCCCGTGGGGACAAAGTACATATTGATACTGATACCGGTTTTAGCAACTCATGAACGAGCTGTCTGGTGGTGCTCCCGGTGAATACCCGCCCCGTCGTATTGAGGCCGGTCCCGAGCAGGGTGGCTACCCTGACGATGGTGATGCGAAGCCCTGGCAGCGCGGCCCGCCGGCCGGTGACGTGGCTCCCTGGCAGCAGAGAGGCCGTGACAACCGCCGCGACGACTACGGATCCCGCAGCGGCGACTACGGCGCTGCTCCTCCTTGGGCTGCTGCTCAGCAGAGCCAGGGTGGTGATTACGGCTATGGAGCCCAAGCTGGATACGCTGCGCCGGGCACCGCCCCCAGCGCTGTCCCCGGCGCTCCCCCCGGTGCTCCCCCCGGTGCTGCACCTTGGCAGCAACCGGCGCCTCCTGGTGGGCAAGCTGCTTACGGGTACGGAGGATACGGAGGATACGCCTATCCTCCTGGCATGGCTGCTCCCCCCCTCCGGGCATGCCTCAGATGGGTTACGGCAGCCCTCCTCCCCCGCCTCCTCCTGGCGACCAACCTCCTCCCCCTCCTCCTGGCAATCAGCCTCCTCCTCCACCTCCCAGCGATCAGCCTCCCCCGCCCCCGCCTCCGGCGTGAGCAATTTTGGTCCCGCCGCTGGTTTCATTGTGAAGAAAAGTTGTGGAGGATGGTTTCGTTTCGCTCTGATCCCGAGGAAGAAGTTGCCTTGTATCTTTGTCACGTAATACTTCCATTTTCAGTCGCGCCTTGTATTTGAAAATCATCATTCTTAGTCACTCTCAACATAGCATCTTATTTTCTTTCAGTAGCTTCGTAACTTTGTAGCTTCGTTGGAGATTCTCCGCGATGACCTCAGGCCCCACATCCAGTCTTGGCTCCCAGTTCTCTTATTTTGCGTCCCCGCAGATCGGTTCCGTGCAACATCTGTTTGTACGCAATTGATTAGCGCTTTCTATCAGCCCCGACTTGGGAACGGTCTACTGCATCGTCACGTCTAGTTCAGTGCCGCGCATGCAGGGATCGTCGCATGGGGACTTCTCCCTCCCTTCGGGTCCCAATATGCACGCTTCCGCCTCATCCTCTCAGCGGAAGCCTTCTTGGAAGTCCCAACGCTTATCGTCTATCCGTTCCGGCAAGTCTGGTCATGCTTCGCGTCACTCCCAGTCGATTTCATCCGCGAGCCAGCGGGAGCCAGCACGCGAGGAGCCGCCGCGTCGCGCGTCGGCGGCAACCTCTGCCCAGTCGTCCCAGCCAAAATGGTGGCGGGTGCGTTTGTTCCGGGGAATGATCAAGGATGTCAAGCGGAGAGCACCCTACTACTGGAGTGATTGGACGGACGCGTGGGATTATCGCATTGTGCCGGCGACCGTTTACATGTATTTTGCTAAGTACGATTCTCTATTGTTTCCATTTTGACGGTTTTATTTCCTTTGCTTCTTCTGGTCCCATCTGTCGCCATGAGTAAATTCCTCGTATCCATTGGGAATCGAGGCAAGGTCTCGGGCTGAATTTCGTTCACCAATATTTTTGCGCAGCAGAGTGCTTACAATGGCCGCAGTATTTTGCCTGCCCTTGCTTTCTCTCTGGACATGTTTGAAAAGACAAACCAGAGCTTCGGCGTCAATGAGGTTTTGCTTGCCTCTGTTCTTGGAGCAGTTGTGTTTTCTCTCCTCGCTGCTCAGCCTCTGGTCATCGTGGGCGTTACTGGTAAGTTTTGCCACTTTGAGACTCAATTTCTCAAGCTAAGATCAATTTAGGTCCTATTACCGTGTTCAATTACACAGTCTATGATATTATAGCTCCTCGAGGTACCCCATATCTCGCTTTCATGTGTTGGATCGGCATGTAAGTTGCGCCCTCTTGACTCGCCAGTGACATATTAACATGGGTATTAGCTGGTCATTGGTTATGCATTGGCTCCTGGCAATCACCAATGCTTGCAATGGGCTAAAATATGTCACCCGCTTCTCATGCGACATCTTCGGTTTCTACGTTGCCTGCATCTATATCCAGAAGGGTATACAAGTCCTGACCCGCCAATGGGGCGCCGCCGGCGAAACTTCAGCCTACCTGGCCATCATGGTAGCACTTCTTGTGCTGATGGCTGCATGGATCTGCGGAGAATTGGGTAACAGCAATCTCTTCGGGAGATACGTACGGAAGTTCCTTGAAGACTACGGCACGCCGTTGGTCATTATATTCTTCACCGGCTTCGTCCACATTGGTCACATGAGAGACGTCGATGTTGCCGTTCTTCCTACTAGCAAGGCATTCTTCCCTACACTGGATCGGTCGTGGCTGGTGCGGTTCTGGGATATCGACGTGGGAGACATCTTTTTGGCCATTCCTTTTGCGCTTCTCCTGACAATTTTGTTCTACTTTGATCACAATGGTTGGTAGCCCTGAGCTGACATTGCCTGTTTTATGACTAACATTGAACTTTCTCCGCTAGTCTCTTCTCTCATCGCGCAAGGCACCGAATTCCCTCTCCGCAAACCGGCCGGGTTCCACTGGGACCTCTGGCTCCTTGGTCTCACTACCTTTGTTGCCGGTCTACTTGGAATCCCCTTCCCTAACGGTCTTATTCCCCAAGCGCCTTTCCATACATCCGCGCTCTGCGTCACACGTCAAGTGGCGGATGAGGACGAATCCAACAAGGGCAAGGCTGTTCGCATCACAGACCACGTAGTAGAGCAACGAGTTAGCAATCTCGCGCAAGGCCTTTTGACCCTCGGTACAATGACAGGCCCGCTTCTCATTGTCCTCCATCTGATCCCACAGGGTGTAATGGCCGGCCTGTTCTTCATCATGGGTGTTCAAGCTCTGCAGGGTAACGGTATCACACAAAAGCTGATATTCCTTGCCCAAGACAAGAACTTCACGCCCGGCTCCAACCCTCTCAAGCGGCTCAATCGACGCGCCGCTGTCTGGGTATTTGTCATTATTGAGCTCCTTGGCTTCGGTGCGACTTTTGCCATCACCCAAACCATCGCTGCTATTGGTTTTCCCGTCATCATTCTTCTTTTGATCCCTGTGCGGTCTTTCCTATTCCCCATGTGGTTTACTCGTGAGGAACTGGATGCCTTAGACGCTCCAACCGCCAGTCCCTTTACTATGGAGAGCGTTGGTGGTACCCATGGGTTAGATGAAGATGCTGAAGAGGCGACGAGTAGCGGAGCAAAAGGATTTCCAAGCAGAGACGACGGAGTCTTGATGGACCGCCCGTCTTCTTCCTCGGGATCTGCCATTGAAGACAATGATTTGGAGAGAGGTGAGGCATATGAGCTTCCGTATCTGTCATCTGTAAGGAGGAGGAGCACTACCAGCCGGAACAATTGAATTGCGAGCCGGAATAGTCACGGTGCACAGACGGTAACGTCTAAGATGCTACGATGCCTGTAGTTTGAACTCCACGGAATGAATATAGCTCCCTAATATATCCAACACCTGAGTTACTAAATAATGTCCCAACTTGGTACGACTCCTCATTCATCCCATGTGTATAATTATTCTCGTGTTCTTTTCTACCACCAGAAATCAAATTTTTGATCCCAAATTTTAGTCCGGATATAGTCACGTGATATCAAGACCAACAAGATTTTTGTCTCGAATTCAGGGCATAATATTCTCACCGCCAGATCAAGATAACTTTTTCTGCCGCGAAATTATTTCCCCGAGTCAAAGCAGCAAACAGTAATGGCGCCCTCGAAAGAAGACCCGGTGTCCGAGGACTCATATGCATCTGATAGCTCTGAAGATAATCAGCACGATGTCCAAGACCGTGCACCGAAGCGCCGCCGTCTCTCCGAGTCCTCCAACGACTCCTATGTTGCGCCTGCGCCGCTCCCCACCCTCACCCGTATCAAGAAGAAGGACGATACTGTGAAGAAGCCCGAAGCTACAGGCGAGGAGGAACCTGTCACTATTGCTGATGCCCTCGAAATTGGACTTCGCAGCGAGGAGTCTACCTTTGGGGCTTTGAAAGTTTCACCGTGGCTCGTTGGTTCTTTGACGACTATGGCGATTCGACGGCCCACGGCTATTCAAAAGGCGTGTATCCCTGAGATCTTGAAGGGTCGGGACTGTATCGGTGGAAGCCGAACTGGTTCAGGAAAAACAATGGCTTTTGCGGTTCCTATCTTGCAGAAGTGGGCGCAAGATCCGTTTGGAATCTTTGCTGTGGTATTGACACCGACGAGGTATGTGCAGCCAAAGGATAACTCCAATCATCCCTTAACCGAGTATACTGATCCCTTTTTCTTCACAGAGAGCTTGCACTGCAGATCTACGAGCAATTCCAGGCTGTCGGAGCACCGCAGAGCATGAAGCCCATTCTCATTACTGGAGGCACAGATATGCGACCCCAGGCGATCGCTCTGGCACAAAGACCCCACGTCATCATTGCAACCCCCGGCCGGCTAGCGGACCACATCAAGACTTCAGGCGAGGATACAGTGGCGGGGTTGCGCCGGGTTAAGATGGTCGTGCTTGATGAAGCAGACCGACTGCTGGCGAGCGGCCAAGGTAGCATGCTGCCAGATGTGGAAACCTGTCTCTCTGCGCTACCTCCCTCATCAGAGCGCCAAACTCTCCTTTTCACAGCCACTCTGACTGCAGAGGTTCGGGCACTGAAGTCAATGCCTCGCACTGAGGATAAGCCCCCCATCTTCGTGACCGAAGTATCAACCGAAAACCAAGGAAACATCCCGCCAACCCTCAAGCAGACCTACTTGAAGGTCCCCATGACACATCGTGAAGCCTTCTTGCATGTGCTTCTATCCACAGAGGCAAATGTCTCCAAGCCCGCCATCATCTTCTGCAACCACACCAAGACCGCGGATTTGCTCGAGCGCCTTCTGCGTCGCCTTGGACACCGCGCCACCTCCCTCCACAGTCTCCTTCCTCAGTCGGAGCGTACATCCAACCTTGCGCGATTCCGCGCAGCCGCTGCCCGAGTGCTCGTCGCCACAGATGTCGCATCGCGTGGTCTGGATATCCCATCCGTTAGCCTAGTCATCAACTTCGATGTCCCGCGCAATCCAGACGACTACGTGCACCGTGTTGGTCGTACTGCTCGTGCCGGTCGAGCCGGTGAGGCCGTCACGCTAGTTGGACAGCGTGATATCGAGCTCGTGCTCGCTATTGAGCAGCGTGTGGGTCGACCTATGGAAGAGTGGGCCGAGGAAGGCGTCAGCATCGAGGGCCGTGTTACTCGTACTGGAGTGCTCAAGGAGGTTGGCTCGGCGAAGCGTGAGGCTACGGGTGAGATTGAAGAGGGTCGTGACGTTCTGGGTCGCAAGCGTAATAAGTTGAAGAAGGTCCGGTAAATAGTATGCGGGACCTGTATATACTCATGTCTACTTGATACCATCTTTAGAATCAATGTCTACTTTAGCGATGCCCATTGGTGGAGAAATAGAACAATCGAGGTCTTTGATATTTTGAAGAGTACACAGTAATGTAGACCGGCAATGAGAAATGCCTTGCGATGTCACGGCGACTACTATAGCAAACAACTTCGTAGGCATCATCATTTCAATCTCAACAAGGTTAAAAAGTAGCCAATATGATATCTTCAAGTAAGGGGACGTCAGCAATCTTGTTTTCTCAAGGAGCCAACGAATTAGATCTCAAGTATTGGCACATTTGATCTTAAGATGCAACAACGCCTTTTGTGATCTGTCTAATCTTCGTCATCTTGCAGATCCCCGCTCTCCCTAGCTCCGATCTGAGGATCGAGAACATTACGGTGAAAGACAGGCCAGTTGTGTCTGTATGTCGTGGCTTCTTGGGTTTACATCAAATCTAGGCAGGTGGAGACCGTGGATGGCATGGCTCTATCTATCTGAGGATCACCTAGCGGTAATCTACAATGGTCAGACGAGTAAGAGTATACAAATGGTATCGTTGATTGCAAGTGATTAGAGTGTTTGTGGAGGACGCCGCATGTTCCAATTATAGAGCGTCCACAATATCTCCAAGGCCAATGCTAAGAGGCATAATGTATCAAACAGTAATTGATATAGTCATTGCAGCACGCTTCATCATCTCCAAACAATACTCCAGTATTGCAGGAACCTCAATCATGCAAAACATAGGATCCAGGGAATTATACCCTTTGGATACATCGCGTAGGGCAGGACGCGTCATTGGCATAATTTCATGCCAATTCTGTATAGTTACCCAGTCCATGAATTGGGAGTGCTGTTTCTCTCGGAAGTGCTCATGAGCTTGAGTAACCCATCAACCGCGTCTCCTCTTTGCGACGGCGACAGATTGTCTCGCATAGCATCGTCTTCGCGCTTTGCAGCCGCAGTAACATCGTGACTGTGAGCATAGCGGACAACCGTAGCCGGAGGGCTGCTCAGCTGCATTGGAGATCCAAGAGTGCGAGGAGGGGTGCGATGAGACGTCTTTGCCCGGCCCGTTGATGATTGTGTAGGGAGGTCAGGCGTTTTTTGAGAAGGAGTGGAGCTCATTTCGGCGGTCGTGCCAATTCGAGGAGTGCGGAATTGAGAGGGTGTGGCATGTTTTCCGTAGGCCATAGAATGGGAGGAGAGAGCCGAGAACGAGAGGCGAGGACATTTGCGGCTGTGTGCCTCGAGCTCGGATACTCGACGGTCAATTTGGTGGTCGGTGACATTGCGCATAGCACTTTGAAGCGTGTTTCGAAGAAGTGTTGCTTTCTTGAAGAATACAGTTAGCATATGCCGCGGAATGATAGATTAATGGAGCCCCGCTTACTTCTTGTATGAACATCTTTCGCGCTTCGGGGTCTTCGGGAACAGGCCGTGTTTCTTTTTCTAAACTTTGAGACGCGGTAGAAAGTCTGTCGGTATCCATGGGATCTTGGGTCTGGTCGCGTTCTGGCTGGGAGGGTGGTGTTGGGACGCGGATTCCCATCGCGTCTGATTCTTGATCCAGCTATGGTGAGACATCCATGTTAGCCAATCGCTCTTCTGCTTTCATTGTCCAGCTCCAGCGGTCATATTTGCAAGCTTACCTTTTGACTGTCATGTTTGACTGTTGATTGGGAGCTTTCTCCCTCAAGGCCCCGCGGCTCCTGCACGTGTCCGTTGTTTACGTCGGTCTCATCCACCTGATCTCTCGTCCGTTTTTGACCAGCAAAGATCGGTGAGGGGAGGAGCTTCTTGGGTGATGTATTCATGAACAAAGACCGTTTGACGGGGGTTGTGGCGACCGAGAGCGGTTGTTTGCTCTGGTGGGCTGGCGAAAGACACGCGTTGGTGTCTTTTTCTCCGAGAATGCGGCGTCCGTCCTTGACGGGACTGAACTGCATTGAGGCTGACTGCATGTTGGAGCGTGCTCTGAGACCGAGACTTTGTAGGAGAGGAGGGTGTAGAGCTGTGTCGAGGTCTAGAAAGAAAGATACAAAGCGGCGGGGGAAGCGGAGCCGGGATCTCGTGGTCCACGCGAACAATGCAAGCAACACAACCAGGAAGACAACAATACAAGATCAAAGAGGAAGATCAAAGTGTGAGAAAGAAGACTTGGAGAGCAAGGGTGTTCCCAACACAAAACGGTCGCGTCAATCGCGTATAGTCTCCCGATACCTTACTAGCCTTGTATAGATGCACGGACGCGGTTCCACACCGAGGTCGTGTTGAGCACGCGTCCACGGGTGCCCTGACTTAGGGGCTGGGCTAGTTTGGATCATTTGAACCGGTTTATTTGACCTGATCGTATGTAGTATTTTTTATTGATAGTCAATAAGCGTAACATATTGCCCTGAACCTTTTATGACATAGTGGGCAGTGGCAAAAAAGGCAGGCAATTTTAATTTTGCCCGTTGATTATTGGTCTTACCCTTAGGGTGAAATTAAAATATTCGGGTCCTAATTCTAGCTAGACTCCGAGCCAGGCCAATGGCGCGTATTGACTCGAATTCTTGCCTCACGCGCTGTTGTGTGTCGTGACCGCGACGCTTATCGCGATAACCAGGGCTCCCAAATGGGGTTAGTAGTTCGACGTCAATGCAGCAAGGTTCGGAGAATTGCAGTATGCGCCACTCTTTTGGCTATTGAACACATTTGATGGGTCGTGATTGACGCTGTTTTGACCATATAAGTTATTCCTCACCTGATTCGACATATAGATGGTCAAGTCATGAGAAATATTTATAAGAAAACTTTCACTACCAGAACCATAGAAATATATTCTCTACTCGCTCTCGTTAGCATAGTGCTTTTCTCAAGTGCTGTCATGTCAAAGACAAATTCTATCTAAAGTTGTGTCTGGACTGGTTCTATATATCTGCGACAAATACTGCTGCCACATATCCCAAGTTTCAACCCCATCGTGCTGAGCATCTATGACATGGTCAGCATAGCCAGCATTTTGTTATGGGATTATAGTTTTCATTCCAAAGTAAACTATGAAAGATACACTTTCAGATATGCTGTCTGAAGGGTCAAGTCGCGCGGTGTTGGTCCCGAGCTGTCTCCGCATGACATCATCGGAACGAGCGAACTCAAACTCCAACATTCATTCGGTGCAGAGCTGCAACAGAGAGGAACAGGGTCCAATCAGGATTGCATTTTGCGTTCCCCCTGGACTTTTACTGTACTATAGAACATCCTATACGAACGGGAAGGTACCCGGGGTCGAGTCCGATCCACCTGAGTTCATCGTTCCCCGCATTTCCGCATTCACATTCCTCTGCCCCTTCGTTTCACGCTCCTTCACACTTCTTGGTCCTTCGTGACTTTGGTCCAAGCTCCGATTCCTGCCATTCCTGTCATTCCTTGAGAAAGAGCTGCCACCATGCAGTTGTCACTCGCTGTTCTGGCCGCGGCGGTCACGCAGGCCGCCGTCAGCACAGCTTCAAGGCTCACGCCCCCGGTTCTGCCGTTGACCGTGCGGAATCCCTACCTAAGTACCTGGCTAGGCGATGCTCGCGACGCACCCTGGTCTAAATGGCCCATGTTCTATACCGGAGAAGAGATTGGCCTGTCCTTGATGGCCCAGGTGCCGAGTCAGGGATCCGTATACCCTCTCTTCGGCAAGCCGCAGGATTCCTTGGGCTCGGATGGGGGGTATGAGAGCGCTCTGATGTTTCTTTAATGAAATAGAAGCTAACCAGGTGAATTCAGGTATCAAATTAAATACCCCGTTTATCTTGGAAATAATTACGACGCCTCAACAACCAATTTTACCTATCGCATTGACACCGATGACTCCAAACCTCTTGAAATCACAGTCTCATTCCTCTCGCCCATCACACCGACATCGACTCTGCGGCAGTCTATCCCGGCATCATATATTACTATTGATGTACGAGGCGAGATCGATGTCAACGTTTATATGGATGTGGACGGACGCTGGTTGAGCGGAGACACAGGAAGCCAACTTAAATGGGAGTGGGATACCTTAAATGTCGGAGACAACAAAAACAAGAAGCCAGGTCTTCAGCGGTGGCAGGTTCGCCGAACGACACAGCTTCTATTCACTGAGATCCGCGATCGTGGTGAATGGGGCACTCTCCACTTCACCGGACCTGCCAGTGCCCGCTACGAATCCGGAGAGGCCGACAAGGTGAGGCAAAACTTTGCCAGCTCTGGAGGTTTGCGAAACAAGAATGATGGTCAGTGGCGAGCTATTCGTGATCGCACACCAGTCTTTGCGTTCTCCAAGTTCTTCAATCTCAGCCGACCAGTCGAGTCGGGTTCCGTCAGCGTCACGTTCACCCTCGGTCTTGTACAAACTCCCGTTGTTCAGTATGCATCTGCTCGCGGGCTCACCATGATGCGCCCTCTTTGGGAGTCATGGTTCCCCACTACCGAGGAGCTTCTCACATTCCACTACAATGACTACGCTGCGGCCAGCGCCCTGGCATCCAACTACTCCCAGCAATTGGCCGAGGATGCGTACCTTTCGGGAGCCGACGACTATGTCGACATCGTTGCTCTTAGTGCACGCCAGGTAATGGGCGCTACCACGTTCTCTGGTACTCCGGACAACCCTATCCTGTTCCTCAAGGAGATCTCTTCCAATGGTAACTTCCAAACCATTGATGTGATCTTCCCAGCTTTCCCCTTCTTCTTATACACCAACCCGCGTTGGCTGGCATATTTGCTGGAGCCGCTGATTGAACATATGCTAAGCGGACAATATCCCAACACGTACGCGATGCATGACCTAGGCACCCACTTCCCCAATGCTACTGGTCACCCCGACGGCAACGACGAGTATATGCCGGTAGAGGAGTGCGGTAACATCCTGATCATGGGTCTGGCTATTGCCAATTCGCTTCAATACAAGTATTCATCCGAAGCTTCTTCCATCTGGTCTACTGAGGGATCGAGCTCCTCGACATTCTCCAGCGAGTCATCTGGACTCTTCCCACTTGACAACCTGCAGGTTCTGTCAGGAATCGCTCACCAGGATGGCAAATGGGGTGGCGGTCTAGAGGGAAAGCACCTTGCCGAGAAGTGGGTGAAGCGAAGCTACCGTCTCTGGAAACAATGGACTGGATATCTGGTCGAATTCTCCCTGGAGCCGGCTAATCAACGTAAGTCACCAGCGAACCTTTTCTAACCGGATGCTAACCTGTCACAGTCTCTACGGACGACTTCGCCGGTTGGTTGGCCTTGCAAACCAACCTTGCCTTGAAGGGTATCGTCGGCATCAATGCTATGAGCAAGCTGGCCGAGTTGACTGGCCACGACTCTGACGCCTCGTACTTCAAAGTAGGCCAAGCGGACCTCAAATCCATGCAGAGAACAATTAACTAATAGCAAAAACCAGGACATTGCCGAGAAGTACATCGCGAAATGGGAAGAATTCGCCATGTCCCGGGACGGCACGCACGCCAAACTTGCCTACGACTGGTACGGTTCCTGGACCACAATCTACAACCTATACGCCGACGCACAGCTCTGCTTCCACCTAGAAGGCACCGCCTCATCCAACAAGACCAAGTCACCCGGCTTCGTTCCCCGGCACATTTACCAGAAAGAGTCCGTGTGGTACCACTACGTGCGCCAGAAATTCGGCCTTCCCCTCGACAGCCGGCACCTGTACACCAAGACAGACTGGGAGTTCTTCTCGATGGCCGTGGCATCCAAGCCCGTCCGCGCTGAGATCCTCGAGTCCGTTGCACGCTGGGTCAATGAGACGGTGACGGACCGCCCGTTCACGGATCTGCATAACACCGAGGGCGATGGAAACTTCCCCGGTCCCAACTTCTTTGCGCGCCCTGTTATCGGCGGCCACTTTGCTTTCTTGGCGCTGGAGCGGGCGTGTGGTGGTCGTGCTATGAAGGGATTGTCCTTCTTGGATGATGTTGACGAAGAGACCGTCCAGGCTTGGGCTCATAGTGCCCAGGTTGCGGCGGAGGAGTTTACTCATCCGTCTAGGAACCATCACGGTGATGGAGAGCTTTAACGTCATCTCCTTTGGTGGTCCTGTTGGGGGTGAAAATCCAAGGGCTGGTGGAGATGGTGGTTTCAACTGTTGTCTGCACTTTTGCTTCTTGATACCCCCCTAGCAAAGTAAAGTAGTTCCAGACTCCGAAGTTTCGGGTCTTCCAAGGTTCGGTACGTAGCTTTGAGGTTGGAGAAAGTGGAGGTACATGGTTACATACAACCTTCAATTGCCTCCTGCAATTCAATATTGATATCAGGATAACCTTAGAATCAGTGGGAGAGAGGATGTTTCATATGACTCTGCTTCACTTCATCCTATGTACAATCATCAATAGTAAAGAGGGAAAGGGAGAGGAGAGATTTTCGTAGTAAAGCTGCTTGCTGGTGGAAGATTCTGGGGAGATTGCATCCTCATCCTGGAATGTCTGTTGACTGCTCCGGTTCCATTCCAGTCATGTTGTACATTCCAACCTTTCCCAGCCAAGTTGTGTCACGAAGACACCTCCCGAGATCGGGATATAAGTCTACAGCCCGAATAACACCGAGTCCAAGTTCAGATGAAGGATTTCATTGCGTTACTAGGTTTTTCAAGACTTGTGGGTTTAAATCAAATTACATGGGCCCGTTGAATTTCAGTCATCCAATTCACGTTTGCACGCATCCACATCCGAAGAAACATGTCAAGAGCACACAAAAGAACCCGGCCGTCTCATATCAAAGAGAGCAAACCAGGTGACTATTTTTATTTGAGGCTTCCCTGAATATCAGAAACCAATTCCCTTCTTCCACTGCTCCCTACCCAGTCGCATCAGAAAAAAACAGAAACTCGCGAAAACAATCAATCACATATCGCACGAGCTGAATTTCCATGGACTCATGCAGATCAGAAAAACCTCCCAAGTGCTATGTCACACCTAGAGAACGGGGATGACAGAGAAGGGAAAGAAGGGGAAAAGTCCAGGGAAGGCAGTCCCGTCCAGGGCGCTGGGGGCGTTGGAATGATTTAGTTGCCGCCCAGGCTGGGGAAGTTCTTCTCGTCGACGGTAGGACCGGCGGGGCCACGGGCACCACCACGACCGCCGCGAGGAGCACTAGCAGGGGCACCACGGGGGGCACCAGAGCCACGGGGAGCACCGCCGCGAGGAGCACCGCGGGAAGGACGGTCACCACGGTCGCCACGGTCACCACGGGGAGCGCGGTCACCACCACGGCCGCCACGGCCACCACGGGGGGCGGGGCCGGAGCGAGGCTGCTCAACGAAGCGCAGGTCGACGTCGAGGAAGTTCTTCTCCTTGCGCTGCTTCTGGCGCTGGGTCTTCTCGCCAGAACCCTGGAAGTAAGCCTCCTCCTCCTTGTGCTCAACCTCCTTGGCGTTGGCCCACTTCTTGTCCTCCTTGACGCCCTCGTTGGCGGCACGGACGGGCTTGGCAGCCAGGCTCTCGCGGGCGGCCTTCTCAGCCAGGTAGTCGGAGAAGGACTTGGAGTTGTCGGGCTCCTCAACCTCCTCGGCGGGGGTCTGGGGAGCGTTCTCCTCGTCCTTGGCGAGCTTCTCACCCTGGCGCTCGTCATCCCAGGCCTTCTCGCCGCTCTCGGCACCCCAGCCCTGCTGGACCTGCTTGCGAGTGTCACTGTAATAGTCGTTAGTCTTCGTTTTGATAAAATCCCCGGCAACCCGAAACGATCGATGTTCGTCTCTTCTCGTTCGGCTTCCTCGGCTGAGGGGTCGCTTACGTCTGACCAGTGCGGGACTGGCGGTCACCACGGCCACGGCCACCACGGCCGCCGCGGGCGGGCTGCTCAGCCTCGTCGGTGGGCTTGGAGCGGTTGTTGGTGCGACCGGCGTTGCGGTCGCGGAAAGCTATGGGACCACGTCGTCAGTTCTTGCGATTCGCATCGAGTCTCCACGATCACATCACATACCGGCCTCGTTGCCGGCGGTCACGCGGCCACCACGGCGGTTGTTGTTGCCCTCGCGGGGAGCAGCGGTGGGAGCCTCCTTGGGAGCATCGCGCTTGCCGACGCGGGCAGCGGGGCGGTCGACGGCCTTAGCGGGGGGAGGGGCGGGTCTGTTAGGGTCGAGCTCAGGGTCATTGCCTGCAATTGAAAAGACGATGCGTTAGAGGACGAAGAAAATTGCGCTTGCAGGAGATGGAATCCCAAAGCACTTGGGGTGAGGGGAGAGGTGATCCGGAAGCTGGTAAAAACTCACCAAGAAGCTCGTAGAGGTTCTATTTGCCGGAGAAAAAAGCAGACAAAGGTTAGCCACAGTTCCGATGCACCGTCCAAGCTCAATTGTGCAGTCGCAAAGCACGTCTTGAAGCTCCAGTTCAGCGTACCTTGGACCGGATTTCGGTCATGACGCCTGCCTGTTGCGGAGACCTTCCGGACGGGAAGGTTCTCGACGATCACAAACAGATCAGTATAAAGGGTTAAAACGGGCACAAGGCAGAACCTGCACAGGATCCGGCCTCAACGATGATGATGAATGGGTGGCTTTAGGTGGTTCACAAGGTGAAAGAAGGAGGTTTGTGGTGCACGACGAATCCGGTTAGGCCCGATTTACTAAGCGAATCAGGCTAGGGCTTAGGGTATCATGGCGTCACTGGCGGAGCATGGCATCATACATTTTCCATTTTATACATGCTTTTTAGGTAGTTTCGGGGGTTTAATCGACTTCATCCTGGCTTTAATGCGCCGTATACCCGTAAAATATACTTGTAAAAGGTTCACAGTAGACATATAGACAAAACTATGACCCTGGTATCAATCCAACGCCGGGCAATGCAAAATCACTTTTGTTCTCACGTCCGAGAATTGTTCTGCTCGTAGTTAAACGGCGTTGGGAAATGCATGCTGGCACTGAGCCCGAACGGATCCGCATCCAACATTGGCTCGTACTGGCCCAGCAGCTGGTTTGCATTCCCGAAATCTCCGGGGTTCCCGTCCCCACCGGGAGGAGCGTTGAACCCTGTGATATGTGGTCCCGACGCTACCGACTGCGGTGTGAATCCCGGTACTCCGTAGGGTGTATTTACTGAGCCGTCTTGATCTTCGTCCACGAGATCGGCCTGTGCGTCGTATTCTTGTTCTGCGGGGGGTTAGCAAGAATACCGGTTTCAAAGATTCAAGGACTTACCAAGTTGGTCGTAATGCTTCTGGAAAGGGGATGGGTAATATGCCGCGGCAACGTTCCGTCCACGTGGCCCCCGAGGCTTCGAGTCCGACGGGTCAGTTTGCGGCATGCTCATGCCCGGCGGCGAGGACTGGTTGTTGAAAGTTCGCGGTTGTGGCAACAGCTGGGGACGACCCCCCTGTGATTCTACCCCAACGGGTGACATGCCACCCTGGAAACCGAATCCGGGCGACTTGGCGTGGGACGGCGAGGACACGTGCGAGGTAGGCGTGGGCTGGAACTGCGGAGACGGCACACCGTATGCACCCTCCCGCTGCGACATGCCGAAGACATCGGGCTTGGTGGCAATACCGGCGGGATGCCTTTGCCCGGGGCGAGGGCCAAGAGGTCCTGGAGCCGACTTGGGGGGCATAGGGTTCGCCTTCGCGGAAGCGCCCGGTGCTCCCGTCTTCAAGCGTAGCTCTGCCTGTACATCGATACCTGGATTATCAAGTCAGTCATGGGAGTTCAATTGACGGTTGAAAAATGGCACCCACCCTTTTCGAGAAGGATTCGCTCCAGCAAAGAGTTTTTATATCGTAGCATCAGACACTCGTCTGCAGCGGTGCGATGACTCTGTTGCAGACTCTGTAAAGAATCTTCATTGCGCTTGATGGTGGTTTCGAGCTGACGGATATATTCGGTCCGTCGCTCACGGAAGGCAGCCTGCGCCTGTCTGTTGCGCTGCTTACGCTCTTCCGAGGTGGCATATATCTATCCAAAGTAAGTAAAAAGGCTATCAAAAAGGACAGTGACACATGTGAAGGCAAAAGAATGCGGGGCCCCGGATTACTGCAAGGAGAGAAGATGTTACGTACAGGTTTTCTGCCACCCTTCCTCTTCTGAGTCTGCGCGGGGTCCTGAGTTAAAGGCTCCGCCTCAGCATCGGGAGTTGACACGTTCGAACTGATAGAACCCGAACCGTCCGGCAACGGTTCGGACTTGGGCACGACGGGGTCCATGACCGTGTCATTATGCTCGGGGTGAGAGGTCTCGACCATAGAGACCATTGGAATGGACGATCTTCCTGGATCGCGACTCGTCCCTGTTTGCCCTTTCCCTGCAGGCCGGTCTTCGGACACGGACCAGCTCAGCAAGACCTGAAGCTATCCCCCCGCCGAACCACGGGCTTTGGGACAATCAACAATGAAAATTCAGATCGGAGATCAAAAACAGGCGCAAGAGACGCGCGGCTAAGCGGTAAGGGACGTAGCGAGTGAGAGGCGAGAGAGTGACATAAAAAAAAATTGGATTATGAGAAAGGAAGAGTCAGAGAATGGAGATAAACGGGATGTCGGGGGGAGGAAGGGAGAAATGTGTAAAGCGATTGACTAAACGAATAATAACGTTGATTCGTCTGACCCCAAGGCTCCTTGGGGCATTGGAGGGGAAAGAGAGGGGCCTTCGCCTATTGACTTTTTTCTTTTCTTTTTTTTTTCTCCTCTTCGCCTTTGCGCCGCCAACCACTGCCGGCAACGGGTCCACCTGTCCACTCGAGAGCCCCAGACGGACGAATTCCAGTGGCCAATTCGCAAGGTCCTTCCTTTCGTGTCGCACGATACGATGTGGCATGAACAGAAGTACCCAGTAACCTACATGGGGGGTACCTACCGCTAGGTATTGCTAGGGGCAGGATACCTCCGCGGAGAAGTCATACGGACGTCAAAAGAAACACGAGGGAGGCGAGGAGACAGCAAATCCTGACGAGGGCATCCAAGGTTCGCCGAATAGCCGATACCGGGGCGAACCGGGGTCGCACGTTGCTGGACGGCGTTTTCCGCCTAGGCTCAGTTCAGTTCACCGCGGGGGTTTCAGGGGAACGCACGTCAGGTGGTCTCGACCCGACCAGGAAGTTCAAAAGAGAAATGCTACGGATCATGCGATGCGGTCGAAGCCACCGGGCTCTTAGGCCCCCGGATCCCTTGACATCATGCAATACTGGTTGCGTTGCAGATTCTCGCCCGCGTTCCGTGCGGGGGATTATGAAACTGAACTATTGGACTGGACCTTAAAACTACTTCCACTGTATATTCTCGGGTGGAATACGAGATCGTAGATGATCGTGGGACGCCATCGCACTTTACCTCATTCTACCTAGAACAGGTAGTGAGTTATACACCGAAGTTATACACGGTGCACCGTAATGATGAACCCTCGGCGATCGGCGTTCGGTTCCCCGCCGACTGGAGCTCGTCACATGCCGTGACTAGCCATCAAAACTCGGCCTCGTCTGTCGGACTAGACAAGCGTCGTTCGGCTTGCTCGCCTCCGACCTTTGATCTCCCGATCTCATACATCATGGAGACTTCCGGCCAACCTGGTCAGCCTGGCCCGCAGCAGGATTCTACTTCTCCCGCGCCCGTCCCTTCATCGACCGAGCAGCCCGCCCCCGCCGCACCTGCAGAACCCCCGCAGAAAGAGGTTGATCAACAGAAAGGCAATGACGATGACGAAGACGAAGACTCGGACTTTGACGAACTTGACGGTACGTCGCCATCTTAACCCTCGGCGCTATCATCCACGAACCAATCACCGTACTAACGTTACAACAGACGTTCTGGATGACTTCTCCAAACCGAAAGCCCAGCCCGCACAACCTGCTCCCGCGCCTGCGCCGGCGGATACGACGGGCGTCGCCCCGCCCGATTTCGACGAGGATGCCTTCCTAAAGCAGCTAGAGAAGGACATGGCCAACATGATGGGCAACGCGGGACCCGGAGGTGGGCCCGGCACCGCGGAGCAGCCGGACTTCCAAAACGCCGTGAATCAGGGTGCCGACGTCTTCGCGAAACAGCTCGAGGAGAGCGGAATCCCGCCGGGCGATTTCTTGAAGCAGCTCCTGGCGGACGTGATGGCCGAGGAGGGTGGGGCTGGCGAAGGGTCCGGCGCGAAACCGTCGGCGGCTGCTGCGCCGGCTGTTGCGCCGACCAACGCCTCGGCCGGTGGTGAACAACCCGCCGAGTCGTTCAACGATGCTATCCAGCGGACAATGGAGCGCATGAAGGAATCTGGCAACAAGGCGACCGAGGCGGCGAGCACGGATGACGGCTCGGATGATATGCTGGCGCAGTTGCTCAAGGCTGTAGAGGCCGGCGCGGCGGGTGCAGGCGAGGACGGTGACTTGACGAAAATGTTCATGGGTATGATGGAGCAGCTATCGAACAAGGAGATGCTTTACGAGCCGATGAAGGAGCTGGATGGGAAGTTCGGACCGTGGATCGAGAAGAACAAGGCCGAGGATAAGGTTCCCGCGGAGGACATGTCGCGCTACGAGACGCAGGCAAAGGTTGTGAAGCAGATCGTGCAGAAGTTCGAGGAGCCCGGATATACGGATGAGGATCCCAAGTGTCGGGAGTATATCTGGGAGCGGATGCAAGAGGTAAGATGGTCCTGGTTCGTGTTTGGTGTTCTCATACTGATATTATCTACAGATGCAAGCCGCAGGCAGCCCGCCGGAGGAACTGATATCCAACCCTCATATGGCGGATCTGGGAGGTCTCGGAGGTCTCGGAGCCGCTGCAGGTGCAGGAGGAGCCGAAGGAGTTCCCGACTGCCCGCAACAATAAAGATTTTGGGATCATTTTGATACACATTCATGTTCATCGGCTTGCTCTGTTCTGTACATATACACAACCACGTCGATACCCTTATTTACTCCCAAGGCATCCGCATGATTTCAAACCCGAAACGCCACTCGATGCAATAACCCCTCTAAGATAATCAGACAATCAAGACATATCCATATCCTGGTTCGACTGTGCCGGGTCCGAGATGGTCATGAAGATATCGTCGTATTCGTCATCGCTGAAAGACGCATTCGGCCGAGCCGTCTGATCTTGATACTGTTGGCCATTCGAGGCCATAGTCTCCTGCATGGCCATTTGCATAGCCTCTTCCTCGGATATAAACTCATTCAGAGCATGTGCATCAGCCTCATCTATACAACAATTAGCGAGTGTCCGCAGTCGTAAACGTCAGGTGAAACCTACCAGGAAGCATATCGTCCTCCTCGGGCTCGAACTTCTGTATAATGCCAGCGGCATCCCGCGCCATTGACTCCTCCCACCGCCGCTTATCAGCAAGGTGCTCCATCATCATCATCTGCTCGCCCCGAGCCTCAAAGCGGCCGCTGTCACGCTCGTTTTTGACGCGGTTCATAAATATCTTGCGCGTCTTCGAGCGCACGAGCGAGTTGGACGTCTTCATAGGGTTTGCAATCTGCGACGCATAGCGCTCCGAGTATTTAGGACGTGTCGAGGGTGATGGAGAAGTGGGCGACATGATGGAGGATTGCTGGGGAAAGAAGGGCGTAGACGCGCCGAACAGATTGGGTGAGACCTGCTCTTGCGACTGGTTCTCATTGTGGTTTGAGAAAGTCGGGAGGACTGGGGAGCTCTGCGTATTCCGGTCGAAACTGGGTTTCTGGGCCTGACCCGCGCGAGTCGGGGATCCCATTGTCCATGGGGGAGTGGCGATGTTGGAGCTGCGCGGGCCCAGCGGCGATGGCCGGACTGGGGAGAACTGGCTTGTTTGGCGGAAGGGGGTTGAGGGAGAGGAGGGTAATTGTGCTGCGAACATTGTGACCGTGGTGAGTGGTGAGATTTGGCTCAGTGGGTTCCGTGGTTCGGAAATGGAAGTGTGTTGTGATATTGCTGAGTCCGGGGATTGGGTTCTTCAATCTGATTATCAGGCTAAATTGAGTAACGATATGAATAGAAGCTTATCAGCTGAAGTGGGAATCGCGACTTTTCAATGAGGTGAGAGAGGCTGGGGAGATTGTCGATCTCATTGTATCGCATCGCGACGCGCATTCCACGCCACGTGATGATCGCGTAGGCACATCAGGTGTCGATCGCGGAACTCATGCGAAATCGGGGTCCGATCTTATCTGAGCTGCCTATCGATCGTTGCTTGGAGTATGAGGTAATAGTCTGATGTCTGTCCCTCCATTTGGTCTACTAAATTCGACGACACCGTCCTCTGCGGTTCTTAAACCCCCCGCGTGACGCATCTGCCACTACGGACCGCGAGCAGGAATTACTTGGCAGCCGAGACGGTACGGTACCTTAGGCTGCCTGTGTCTTGTTCAAATGATTCCAATGTTACTTTCAATTTCAAAACCGGGGAATGACCAAGGCTTGAAGGAAGTGATGTATTAAGTAACAAGAGATGTGATGATAAGAATCATGTAAGAGAAAGCCAAGCGCTTTGACTGGGGAATCACGCAGGATAACAAGGCAGAGCCGAGAGAACGGAGTGCCGAAAACAGATAATCGAGGTGCGATCACAAGGAGTGTGGAGGTTGCTGAAGAATAACGCTGAAAGGAGTGAAGTCGAGTCTATGATGCTGAAAGGAGTGGAGGGGCGAAATGCTCAACCCCGAAGAAGTATAAAAAGATTCGCAACCAAAGAAAAGAAAAAGCAATCGTGACCTTCGCCTGTTCCTGCCCATAGCGCCTGATAATTGCATGAAGATCGTACAGAGATTTTTACACTTCGAACGCCGTCGAACCGCCATACGCCGCTGGGCACTGGTCTTCCTCAGTGCCAGGTTCAAGACAGATGTCTAGAAGTTAGATGCGGCGTTGACAGGGCCAGGGTTGTGATACTGGTCCAGTGTGCTCCGGAATGGGGTGCCGCCCTGAGCCGGGCTGGGGGCCTTCTCGCGAGGGCCAGTGCCGACAGCGGTACCACCCATCAGATCATCATCGTCATCATTGTACTGCTCGCTGCGCTTCTTTTGGATGCGCCAGACCACGACAGCCAAAACACCCAGCAGGATTGCACCGCCGACACCGACCACCACACCGATGATGATCTTCTTGTCAGACTCGGACACACCGCTGCTCGAAGAGCTCTTGCTGTCGCTGTTAAGCGAGGGCGAGGTCGGGCCCGAGGTGGGAGTGGAGGTTGTCGTCATAACATTGGCAATGGTGCTGTCGCCGATAGTTTGGTAGGAGGTGACGGTCTTCACGACCGGCTTCTGAGTAGTCGAGCTAGTGTCAGAGGCAGAGGTGGTGGAGCCGTCGTGGGTGGTGGAAGTAGGTTCATTTTTAGTGGTGTGAGTTGTTGTTGTTGAGGGGGCTTCGCTGGAAGAGGTGGTGGAAGCAACACTCGCGGACGTGGAAGTGGTGGAAGGGGCCTCCTTTGAGGTAGTCGACGCTTCGGAGGAAGTAGAAGTGGCCGAAGTCTCAGAAGCGGAGGGAGTGGTGCTGGGAGTCTCGGAAGTGGAGGTTTCAGTCGCTGCACTGGACGAGGGCTCGGTGAGATCGCTGAGCAGGTCGGAAGCCCCTGCACTCTGAGCCGCAGCAGCGGTCAGAAGCAGTGCCTGAATGACGAAGGAGAGTTTGGCGAGACGCATGGTGTAAACGAGGGACACCTCAAGGATGAGGTCAAGGTTGGATAATAACGATCGTGGAATATGAAAAGAGGGAAAAAGGGAGATCAGGAGAAACGGCGCAACAAAGCAAGGCACTAACCCGATCGGGACCCACTCGCCCGGCCCTACTGTAGTCTCCGGATTGCGTTTTCGATTTCAGGCCACCGGCCATCTCAGGGTTACATGTGTATTCAGTACTAAAACCTACGCGAATGACCACGGTCATATTCAGTGGGAACGAAGTGCCCATAACACAGATTTTGTCCATACGAGGGGCTGTTGTGTGTGGGAAGGCATTCGCGTCCCGGGCCCAAACGGGGGTCACGGCACCCATTTGGTCCACTCGCTCCACCCCCTCGCGCTCGATCATCCCATAATTAGCAACCCTCGGCCTGACGTCCTCCACATGGCATCAGGTCCTGCAGCTCAATACGACCATACTACCCACCCTTCACCACCCTCCATGTCGATCATGGCTATTCCATGCACTCAGCGGCTATCCCCAGCTCCCAGCCGTGATCCCGGGGTTCCAGTCTCCTCGGTGGTCCAAGCCGTCGTAGCCGATGACTAGCCCTAACTAGGCCGGGTGGCGCTGAGTTGGCAGGGAGAAGTTGTGAGAGTGTGCCGCCTCACGTGCATTGATTGCATTATGAACTTGGCGGCAGTCCGTGACTCTACGAGCGAGGAGTCGACGTCTCGAGAATGCGTTGCCCGGGAAAGATTCTAGACCAGGGGTAAGCCGGGGACTATGGGGCCTGTCCTACCGTGGGAGAGATTGCCTAGCCCTGGAATGGTCCGTGGAAGTTTGCCTTACTGGGTTCTGGTCGGGTAGACAGCCGAGCGATTTACGTCGGATCTACAAGCTTTTGAGGCGGCTTTTATCTTATTTGCCTGATGCCCTACGAGTCTTTACTTGGCCCAATCCGACTCGTGTAGGAACCTATTATGCTCCTACCGGTAGTTATTTAGTTAAGACCGCCTGTATGCTCCAAATTTCAAATCCCAGCCAGGAGATTCAACGCCAAGCGGGAACAGCGGAAAGAACGGTACCGTTGCTCTACGGACAAGTATACAGGGGCGCATTCCATGAAGCGATACATCTTACTCTATGCCCTAATTTTGATGATTTTCTGGAGAGGAAGAGAGAAAGAGAGAGAAAGCGAAAAAGAGACCATGTTCAACTCGTGGGTATCATCCAACTTTTACCGAACGCCAAAGCAATGCCGATGCCTCATTTTCACAATTTGTTCCGAGGGTTTCCCTTCACCTGATCCTTGATTTCCTCCTTGAAGTACTTTATGAACTTGTTGAAACTGGATTCTGCATATCGATCAGCCATGCTGCACCGGTTGCACCGGAGCTCGTCGGGCGGAGGCATACCGTTGTTCTCCAGGGACGTCCGAGATGGTTCGGGTGGAATGCCATGACGGATATGTTGCACACGCTGATGGACTCGACCGACCATCTGATGGAAGATGGGACTTCGCAGGAGCTGCATGGGTTAGTTGAGATCACCGCTTCACCGGGTTAGGCACGTACTCTGGTGGTCAGCCAGATCTGGAGATGTCAGCGACTGCAAAGTTCTGACCAGAGAGAATACGTACCTCCAGGGTTCTCAGCCAGAACTGATTCCACACCATGTTGGCGACGCGGAGTGTTGGATGGCAAAAAGCGGAGGCCGAGGGGAAAAGGCCGAGATGCTCTTAGTAAGCCCCGCACCGAATTTCCAATGATACCTCGCGGGCGATTTTCTTTCCCTGGCGACGCCTTGTACGTTCTGCAGCACTCTATCTGGCTTCGACCGCGCGATTCTCCCAAGCCAGCGATGACCGAGTGGTCTCGCCCACCCTGCGACCGTTCCTGACCGCGATGGCGAGTTGCACAGCACTCGTGGCTAGCTTCTTTATACTCCGCAACCTTCCACTTCGTCAATCATGACCAAAGGTTGTTATACCTGTCGCCGCCGCCGCATCATCTGCGATAATGGCCAGCCCACCTGCAGGAAGTGTCACGATGCGGGGAAAGAATGTCTTGGTTACCAGAAGCCTCTGGTCTGGGTCAAAGGTGGCGTGGCCAGTCGCGGCAAGATGATGGGCCGCAGCTTCGACGATGTGAAACAACCAGCAGACAGCTCGAAATCCCAACATACCACTCAAGTGCAAGCTTCCACGGCACCGAATACCGGATTTGGATTTTCCCCTATAGCTGAAACGTCGTCCGACACCGAGTCACCGGGATCTGGAACCCATACGAGCCCCGAACAGCATACTTGGGCTCTGGAACCGTCTGAGGATATAACTTTCAGAGCTGAAGATGCAGAAACACTGCTGAATTTCAGTCCACCGGAGGAGCCCGAAACCAGGGTAGTTCATGTCCCTCGGGATACCGTTCAGTCCCAGTACATCCCGGCCCCGTGGGGACTGGTAGATCCTATGCTTAAAGGTCTCAGCCAGACTGCACGTTTCTACCTCTATCACTGTATGGACTAACTCATGCCCTCTCAACCTTTCTAAATGTACTGACCCTCCTAGATAATCAAAACATGGCAGAAGACTTCGTGGTGTATGACCAGACCAAGAATCCGTGGCGAGATATCATTGCGTTGGTCGGCGACTCGCCCGTTCTCGCACATGGCTTATCTGCCATGGGAGCACTTCATTACTCACTTATGACGAATTCAGACTCTTCGGTGATGCCTTGGACATCCTATGACCCCACGCCTGGCCCTTCTCACCTGTCCCCAGAGGAAATCGAAACCATGATGATGCCCGCCAGCGCACGACGGCCTACGTCCCAGCCATACCAACATTTCCTTGAATTTAAGCAGCGAACGCTTGGCCAGCTGTCTAAGGATCTGACAAATCCTGAAATGCAAAATGACGATCGGACCTTGGCCGCCATCGTTGTCCTCGCTCTTTTGGATCTCTTCGAGTCGGGTAGCGGCGCATGGAGTTATCATATTGAAGGCGCAAAGAAGCTTCTTCGAAGTCGACCCGAAAACGAACTTGGAAAAGGCATTCTCCAAGGACTCGAAACATTTGCAATCGACGGGTGTTTAATGTATGTGACGCGATGCCCCTGTGTACTGCACTCCAACTAACCTTCCTACCAGAATGGAAATCATGGGATCTACACTCGCACGTCCGGGTGTTCTCTCCAAGCCCTTCTACTCCGATACCCTGAGACCAGCCATGCTCAAAAGACTCGAAGTAACATCTTGGGTCGGGTGCCCAGCCTACCTCCTTGAAGTCATCTTCTTCGTTCACGGCCTCTGGTACCCAGACTCCGATGCCACCACCAATCCGCAACCTACAGCTTTCCTCCAATCTATGCAGCAAGATCAAGGTATCACCTTCGAGTCATTTGCTGCACTCCTCCAAGGCATTCGCAACTTCGATCCAGCCGCCTGGGCTCAAGAAATGCAGGCCTTCTACTTCATCTCTGACCTTTCTTGCCGCACCGCCCTCGCCGCCTCCTACAAAGCCGCCGTCTACCTATACACCAGCCGTGTACTCTCCCGCGCAAGACAGGGCTTCTCACCCCCCTGGACCGACATCGGCGTCCCAGCTGACCACCCTCTCGTCTGCAGTGAACTCATCACCCAAATCTGCTCCGTTCCTCCCTCCGACCCGCACTTCAAATGTCTCATCTGGCCCACCTTCATTGCTGGCGCCGAATGCCCCCGCTCGCAGCGCGCACTCATCCTCGAGGAGCTGGGCGCCCTCTACAATGCGGTCACCAGCGTCAACGTTCGCAACGCCGCCTGGGTCCTTCGTCTCATGTGGGAGAAACATGATCTCAAACGGTCCAAGCGTCACGGAAACTTTTCTTCGGGATTCGCGGGTGAACAGATGGAAAGCGGCATTTTTGAATACGATAACGACATCTACAACGATGAAGTCGACAGTGCATTCGACTGGATCGATGAAATGGACGAGTCGCGTCTAGATTGGCTCTTCATCTGATCGTTTCCGCGAAAACCTCGATGTACAACCGCCCGAACCCCAGGGATTCTTCCACGAATAATGTTTATAATGCTTGTACATAATGCAATGAGCGTACCTGTATATTGGACGATTCAGATGAAATTAAATTTTCGAACTTGGAAGTTGATAGTCAACACCGTGCGATCCATTAGTTACGGGAACGGACATAAAAGTTCCTCGAAGAGGGCTATCTCGTAGCAGCATGGGCATAAATCGATCAAAAGACCTTGAACTTGTGTTCAACCATCCAAAGATCTGCTCAAATAGACGTTATTCGACGTTGAAATACAGACACAGCAAGACTGACTGAAAGAAACCGGGTATATCAAATTTTTTGGGTTTCGGGAAGAGAATTAGGTTGTCGCGGAGAAAGGAGATGATCAAGGGTGTATAGGAAGAGGATAAATGAAATGGAAGAAAGTCACAGTGAAAAATGCCCAGGATGAGGACGAGTAGGAGAAGAGAAGACGTGGAAGCCAGAGAAAGGACGCTAGGGTAAAAAAAAAATGAGAGAGAGAAGAAAAATGACAAAGGACAAAAAGGGGAATGAAGCGCTTGATCGGATTCTTTTGCACGGAAATGGAAGTTAGACGATGATATAAGAATGAATTCTACTGCAGCTCGGTAGCTCAACAGTATCAACATCAACATCTTGGGGAGTCCAGAGTCGCCAGCGGAAAAAGAGATAAGAGATAGGGAATAAGGCCTGAGGTTGTCGAGTATGCTTCAGATCAAATCAGGGATATATAACGGTCGACGGACGGGAAACAAAGAGACAGAGAAGACTTGGAAGACCAAAGAGTAAGGACAAAAAAGAATACGCTCCCTTCCAGATCTAAATGCAGAAACATGTCCCAACACGATAAAACACGCTCGTCACTGTAAAATGCAAGGGTAGGAGAACCAATATGCAGAAACACCCGTCTTTTTCTGTGTGGGTGATAGAGAGAAATAAAAATAGACAAGCTAAGACGCGGCATCCATCCATCGATGGTGGGGAAGAGCCAGTGCGCCATGAAGTAGCTCAGCTACCTATAAATAAGTAGGTGCTGTACGGGGAGCAATAAACAGCGCTGGTCAAGACAGGGTGAAGCGAAATGTGTGTAGCGTAGAAGCAAGGTTCTGGGCCTTGATAAGACCAGTAATTGCTTAGAAAACCGCAGCGAGACCATTTTTGGAGTGACGTCTGCTGAATCTCTTCTTCCCCTTGGTCGACTCCGAGTCGGTCGCTTGGTGTTTAATGAGACGTCCCGGTTGGTGAGAGCTATGCTCATTCTGTAGCTCTGAGTTACGTTCAAGAGTGTTGGCGTGACTAGAGAACCCAGAAGAAAGATCGCGGAATGCATCATCGGCGGAATAGGACCCGCCTTGGTGATTTAAGCCCATCTCACGAGCCCGGTCCAGTGCGTCAAGCCATTCTTGGGCTGAAACTGCAGTGGATCCGATATTGCTCGAGGAAGGTTTAGGGTCCTCAAAGACGTAGTGTTTATCTCTCTGTTTTGGGGTTAGCAAGAAATGTGTCGCGGGGGGCGTTTGACATACCGTATCCACAATCCAGGATGAGTGCCCTTTGGCATCAGTCGTACTCCGATAATGAGTGCCTGGAGCGAGGAGAGAGATTTCCAATTTTGCCTTCTTCTCATCGCCACTAGCCGCAGCCAGGATGATACGTGCTGATGACGTGACCATCACAAGCCGCTGTCGCTTTTTGGTCGCTGTGCTCGAGAAGAAACGAGAGAACTTCTTGGGGGTTTCAATCTCGCCGCTGCCGTTCTTCGATGTTGGGCTGTGAGATGCCGGAGAGGACAGCACCACGAGATTTCCCAATTTCAAGATCCGCTCGTTGGACTTGCTCAGCACGGGCGACCATTCGATGTCCAGCTGACTAGGCGGAGGCAACTCGGTGACTACTCGAGGGAGGGCGCGGGCATTTGCATTTGGTGCATTTGACGGAGCCGTTGAGATGGTCGGAGGGAAGCTCTCACCACCTTCGCCGCCGTTCAATTTGATAGGTTCACGCGCGGGTGGCACATAGGCCTTCAAACGAGGGGCCTTCTGCTTCCACATATCCGTTCCCCAAGAGACACCATCGAAGAATTCGTGATTCTTAATGTGCTCGATCTGCAGGCGTCGGGCAGGATCCAGGACAAGGAGACGCTCGACGAGATCCCGAGCAACAGTGGGGAATCCGATTGGGAATTCATAGTCCAGGGCAACGATCTTCTGGAACGTTTGGTACTCATTGCCTGCTTTGAAGGGCGGTCGGCCAGCTAGGAGCTGGTAGATGATACAGCCAAATGCCCACAGATCGCTGGCTTTGCAGGCGTTCTTATCCGTTAACAATTCAGGGCTGACGTATTCCGCGGTGCCTACGAAAGAGCTCGCTCGTTCTTCTTCAGGAATATCCGTCGAGTCGATCGGCGGGATGCTGCTCGTGCTCTCGTCTGGTCGTCGTGGCACCTTGAGGATTTTGGCGGTGCCGAAATCGGTGATTTTGACGTGCATCTGATGGTCAAGCAGGACATTCTCCGGCTTCAAATCCCGATGAATAACTCCACGCTTGTGCATATAGTCTATCGTGTCGAGAATCTGGGCGCCGTAAAATCTAGTACACTCTTCATCAAAGGTACTCATCCGTTTGAGCACCCCGAGAAGCTCTCCTCCTTTGCACAGGTCCAGCACGAAATAGAGCGATCGCTCATCCTGGAAGGTGTAGTATAGACGTACAATACCGGGGTGATCGGTCAAGCGATTCAAAGTGTCTTTCTCGATGTTGACATACTTGACCTTCTTCTCCTTGATGATGTGCCGCTTGTCGAGGATCTTGATTGCGTATTCCTTCAACGTTTGTCGGTCCGTCGCAAATACCACGGTACTGTAGGAGCCCTCTCCGAGGGTGTTTCCAAATGAAAAATCACGGACTCCTTTCTTGATATAGCGAGCGACCGTCTTTCCATTGGCATCGACTTCTTGTCTTACAGACACCGCGGCACCGCGATCCTGCCAATCCTCACTGCTGGGCGCCGGCCCGTTCTCCATATTGTACGGTGTGCGTGACATCTGAGGCGTTGCTGAACTTCGGCCGTGTGCTCGAGACGATTGACGCATCACAGGCGGCCCATTGGACGGAATCTGTGCTGTTCGGTAGGAACGGTCGCTGTGAGAGTTGTCGCGCGCGGGGACACCGGCTTGCAAGGCTGAGTTGCCGTCACGGGCGAGTATCCGAGATTGGGAGGTCGAGGTTGATGAGGCACCAGAATCGGTTCGCATCCGATACGAATTATCCCGAGGAAGGGCGGCCGCAGAGCCGTTGGTGTAGACGGAGGACAGGGGGCGGTTGGGATTTGGAGGTGTTGAGTGCGGTAGTGCCGAGTAGGCCTGGTACTGACCCGCGGGGTACTGAGGAACCTCGGGGAAGGGCTGAATGGAAGAAGAGCGATTCTCAGTCAATATAGGAGCCTCGAGGGGGGCAGGAGGAAAAGGTGTAGGACGGTCGTCGTTCGGTTCGGGAAACTGGGGAGGTGTTGACGCCGCACCCTCGGGATCGGATGGAGTCATGCCAGAGTTCGGGGTCGCTTCCTCCGATGGGAGAGGCGAATCGTCCGGATTTGCTATTCGGAGCCCTCCCAGGGATTGGGATAGGCTGAGATCACCACCCATGCCAGGCATGGTGAAGGTGGGCGGAAGGGGGTGAAAGCCGTGATGAAGGAGGGGGAAAGAACACAGGGAGGAAAGATGGAAATAGCCGACGAACTAAGGCGGCGATCGTGAAGACAGTGGAGACATGGTCCAACGAAGTTGGCAGAGTTGACGTTGGAGAGTAGCGAGAGAGGGGGGCAGAAAGGATCAACAGGAGGCTCCTTAGTAGGAATCGGGTCTAGTGTCGGGGCTGAGCATGACGGTTATGAATACGTGAGAGAGAAGTATAGAAATAAACTACAGAGGTCAGACTCGGAACCAAGAGGCACTATATTCCATTTACCTTCTTGCTGTTCAAGAAGCGGCGTCATCGTCGCTGCCTTTCGTGATTTGCTCGAGGCAGGGTCAATCATGAATTTCGACACAATCCGTCTCATCAAGCTGCTCCCTCTCTCTTCTCCGAGACTGTGCAACCGCCGGTTCCTCTCCTCTTCTATATGCGCTAGACAACAGGTAATTCCTTCTAAACACTCCTATACACGAAACTGCCTCGGGTTGCACTCCATGATTCGACGGCCTCCCACCATCATCTCGCTAAATGACGAGGAACTCCAATGCCATCTCCAGCGTGCCTTCTTACGTACGCTACCTGCTGACTTCAATCAACTGCACTTGGAAGACCGGGGCCAGAGTGACGACGACCACACCGTTGCCCGTTCTTCTTCTGGGGATGCCTGTGCATCTGATTCTGATGGCGAATTTGATTTCACCACCATGCCCGACTCGACCGGTGATTCATCCTGTATTGGAAACGACCTTTCTTCAGACAGGACTCGCTCTTTTACAGTTCCAACTGCACTCTCCGCGGCCGGAATGACCACATCGCTCCACCAACCTCCTGAACCAAACAGGCCTCCCGCCACCACGAACCAGATATCCACTCTTTTCCCGTGGAACCGAACAAGTCGGTCTCGTGTGTCCCTGAGCGCCAACATGACGTTGTTTAATTCACGGCGCGAGCTTGAACTCTACAGCATTGGTCCTCAGGAGAGTAAACAGACAGGTCGGTCCTATCTGCCGAGATGATCGTCAGTGGAGTCTGACGATCGGATCATTGACTTGGTCATCGCGCAGAAAATTGTCGACGAAGCAGCGCTCGGGCAGAAGCTCCAAATCATGATGCACGGCTCTCCGCTTCCCGAATTTCCCGGTGGTCGCCCGATTCCTGTTCCGAACTGACAATCTCCAGTGTCCCACTCCGGGGCCTAACTTTAGCGTCTACAAAGTCTTACGAGGCAGTCTTGGCCGACACGAAAGCTTTGCCCGTTGATCCGGTGGACGCCACATGGGAATTCGGCACCGTTCAACCGGATTCGATCTTTGAGGGATCGTATGCATAATCGTGGATGTGTTTAGGCATCCGACGTGGAATTGTTGGCCTATATGATCTGGGATACGCGTGGTCTACACATGCTGGGCTCACTAATTATTACGGCTAGCTATCATTATTCAAGCGGTGTGGTAAGGTTCTTGAATTCCTGTCTTCGAGATACTCGGGCCGTCCTCAGTGCAACTCAATGTGCTATATATAGTATCCCTCCTTCATCTCATGAACATTACACTGCACCCCGGATGAACCCTGCTTGGTACCCAGGCAATTTTCGAATCCATGCACCTCCGTTCTGGCAGTTACAAGAAGAGACTAATTGAGCCTGGATTTGGGCTGAAACATCGATCACGGGAACAACCCAAGCTATCTATAGTTCGCGGGAGGGGGGAACGCGGCCCAAAACTCGGCTGTTTTTGACCTAACAACTGACGCGTATCCGATGCGCCCCGTTTTCCACGTAAGGTGACCCTTCCAATTGCTGGTTATTTTCATAACGTCGTCACCGCTTCATAGTACTACTAATGCATTTACGTGATCCTCGTCTCTTCAAAAACACCGCCACGTTCTTGGTTTGGCTTGGCTTTGTCATTTCGGACGTTCCTTTCAGTTATCTAGGCTACAGCCAAACTTTGCGCCTCGACGCAGTGGGAGATCCATATCTCGATAATAATAGAAGCAAGGGTACATACAAAAGTACGATGATGCCAAGGAGGCGTATGGGGCCCCGCACCCGGCGTTTAAATATGTATCTTCCAGCCGAGCAGACTTTGAGGGAGTCAGGTGGCCCAACTACATTCAATCAAAATGAATCCATCCAAAAACGTCTACTATCGCTATTGCCATATCGTATTAAAAGAGAAACATATCATATGTGGTGCAATACGATATCGCAATCATGACCTGGCCACTTCGGCAATCGGCATTCATGGGGATGAGTCTGTTAGTGACACAGCCTTGCCAAGAACTATGAATAGATTCGCCAGCTTGATGTGCAATATCATGATCAACCTCATCGTGAGATTGAGGTAAAAATTTGTCTTGAATAGACTGCTTTTGGTATTTCCCACGGCTTAAGAACGCAGAGCTGTATTGGGCTAATACCCGTTCTAAACAATAAGAATCCGACCGGTTTTTTAAGCTCCAGTAATCTCCTTAGATTTATGATTCAATATGCCTATATGGACATTCAGAAAATATATTTTTCTTGGTACTCCCGATCTTATGCTCGGATACATCATTCATAGGTAAAGAGACCCGCATCTCATCTGATGATTCAGGTAGATAGTATTAATAGAGATGATACAGATGACTGTTATGCGCATGATGTATCACACCTCAATATTTCCACACACTTCAGGAATAAATATCCGAGTTGACGCATTCGCTTAACGAAACCCCGCTCGGAGGAAGATTGGATTGAACCACCAGTCACTGCATGACATTCGCCGACAACCAGGCAACATGATTCCCTACTCTTGATAGAAAGAAGCAAGGTATGTCTTTAGCACTGTCGAGTCAAGGTCGATCGCCATAGATATGAGGGTGGCCTATCTGAGGTCGGCCCCCTTCCTGCACGATGCCCCGCCCCCGGGGGCCAACAAATCGCCCTTGGCAACCTGTCAATGCAAGGCGGTGCGATTCAACGCCACAGGAGTGGCGGTAACATTCAAATATCCAGCAGACCTTGCTTGTCTCCCGTTTCTGGTAGTCATTTTTGTGCGTTCAGACTTCCAAGGGTTGAAGTTTAGCTTATGATCATCGGGCTCTTAACTCCATATCAACTTCAAGACATCACAAATACACACGATGGAAAACCAACCCATGTTGGATTCCGAGTTTTACCGACACAACAATACTTCCATCAGAAGGAAGCCACTCAATGAAGACAATACGAGACACCCTGGTAGTGAAGAGGATAACGACTCACCCGCCCCCGACACGCCCGCTTCAGCCCCGAGCGAAGACAACCAGAAAACCACAACGAAAGACAAGAGGATCAAAGCTATTTTAAAGTCACTATGGTGGTTCCTCAACCTCCCCATTGTGACGAACGCAATCTACGCTTTGATAATCATACAACTCACCATTTTCATTGTGGAAGAAAGGCAGAGGACAAGGAACGCATGCGCAGAGAGCGGTTATGAGGCCCTATTAGAGGCGATTCAAATATTGACAAACCTAACGAATGCCCGCACTGAGAGCATTGCGGCCATGGCAAAGAAACTGGAAGGACTATGAGTTGATTACCGGGGCAGAGCCGTCAGACCGCGACTGCATTCTGGGTCCTTCCGTTTTGACTTTATGAGACCATGAGTACATGCAAGGAGAACACCGAGATCAATATATCAATCGTCAATCGGATATGCCTGAAATAAATCCCGAAGAATACTCTTACCGTATCTGCGACTTGACAACCATTTGTCCTCACACCCCAAGGGCACCGATTCTTCCAGGATATATCTTCTAATCCATTTTATCCTAAAAACCTCCGAGACCTTCAAATACCCTTAGACTCATTTCTAAAGGACATAGATTTATAAGAAGATATTATAAGAAGCTACCGTTGTTGAGATATAAAGTTGTAATTTATCGCATTTACTATGGTGTTTTGAGGTGGGCCGCTCGCTCGTGAATTACGTTACCGTTCCTGCTGACTGATCCAAGTTGATTGGCTCCTGGTGTCCCTTCTCCTCGCATTAGTTATCTCATAACACAAGACAGAACAGACCAAAACAAAATAATCAATGGCTGTGGTGGCCCTCAATCAAATCCTTCGCAGCAACTTTTCCACATTCCTCCATCACCCTCAATTGCTCAGCAACCTCGCCTAGTCTGCTAATAACTTCCTTATTGCCGCGCGTGAAAGTGAACATTACATAGGGGATTCCGACATCATCGCAGAATTCCTTAACATGATTCTGCGCCTGGCGGAGGTTATGTCTCGGCAGACGAGGGAACAAATGGTGGACGACCTGGAAATTGAGACCACCATGTATAAAGTCCAACCAAGGTGGACAATCGACGTCCATCGTCGTTCTGACCATCTTCTGAGCAAAAGATTCGTGGAGACCCCCATCGGCACTCGACATGGCAAAGTGACTAAGCGTGAGTTGGACGTGCAACGGAGCGGTGACCATATGCGAAATGAATAGGAACCCGATACGGGACGACCATGTCGGAATCGAGAGGTATAGTGTTCGGTAGCCGTACCAGTACCAGAAAAATACCTGGCCGGTCATTTCAAGGTAGCGATGCCACCATGCTGAGCCTTTACGGGGTGCTTGCTTCGGATCTAGTAGGTATGACCATGCTAGGCGGTAAAGATTGAAGCGGCCCATTAAAAGTATGGGATAGTAGAGATAATGCTGGTGCTTGATAAACCACCGTGCTGCAACGTCTAAGGGCATGTCGCGGTCGTAGTAGGTTGAGCGTAGGGAACCAAAGAATCGAGAAGAGATGGCGAAAAATGGCATATGCTGGATATCGGGATCGTGCTCGGGTGAGTTGGTTGCTATATGATGGACGTTGTGGTTCCGTTTCCACCAACCGACTGAAAGACCGCCAATGAAATCTGCAACAAAAATTCCGATGCAGGTGTCTGTGTGGAACCCATGTGTTATACTTAGGTGACCAGCATCGTGAACGAGGAATGAAAGTAGGTGCCAGGCCGAACCGAGGAAAAGACCCGAAAGAGCGTAGTATGAGTAGTGAAGGGATATTAAGAACAAAGCGAAAAGAGTCGAGTATCGGATGAATTCGACAGCGTAAGAGCTATAACGACACTGATAGAGTCCTTCGGATTGCAATTTTTCATCGAGCTGGCGGTACTTAGAGATGACCTCGTGTTGTGACATTTGATCAAGATGAGGATATTTTGAAAAATCCGATGATATCGCGTGGGCTATTGATGCTTCCGCAGACTTAAAGTGGACCGGCTCCGGCTCTGATGATGAAGGTCGAGAAACAGGCGTGACATTGCCTATACTCCTCAGACGAACTTTGTATCCAATCTCTTCACTATCGAAGACCAGTGATGGCGGTGTCGACCGTCCAGATGAGCTAGCATCTTCTTCCGCTTCCGCTTCGGATTCGGCTTCGTGGTCCTTCGATACCAGCGCTCTAAATATTCCTCCCTGTATCGGAGGCAAGAAATTCTCCCATCTTCCATGTATCCTCCCTATCACATACCTCTGCATATGTGTCTGTGCTTCCTCTGAATGGAATGCTGTGATTTCGTCCCTCGCATCTCGACCGACCATGTGCAATATTGATTTATCACCGCCTGGGTGATATGGCATCCACGCGTCGACCTTCAGTACCCGATCACCAAATATGATAATCTTTTGCCCATTTGCTATCAATCCCTCAATCTCTCTCCGAGACCACATTCGATTTGTGCGTGACATGGCCGGCGCCATAGCCCAATGGTGGATGCAGCGGAACAGCTGGGGATTGATCTCAAGTCCTGGACAGGTGATGGATGTTCCACATCAGATTGAGAAAAGAAAGCGAATGAGATGTTCGCACGTGCCGTGGGCTTGTTCTTTGTTTGGCCCGCATCAGAGGTGTCAACGTTGAACCCCCTGAATATCAGGCAATAAAGTCACGTGTAAGCCATATCTATCATCCTGATGCGGAAATACCTTCCAAGCACTTTCCGTTGCAGCACTCGGCGAACCGATAAATCAAACACTCCCATGTGAACCTCACCGGGATCGGGTCGACCGTTGCACTACAATCCCGAGAACTTAAGCTTGAGTTTCCCGTTATCACCCCCACCAACTACTACCATTTCCGGCGGACGTTATCCGGGTAACAAACGTTCAGGACCCATCAACCCAAGAAGGTGCCACGCATGGGTGCAACCAGAAAGAGGCTGTAATCTATTCTATCCATAGTAACAGGCGAAATTTAATTTTAATCTCTCAGCCGTGTGTCCCAGACGCTTGGCTTGTGGACCCACTGTCGACGCCACTACAGTAATCGCAAGCCAGAACCAAAGTACCGTGTCTTTTGGTGCTGGTCAATTCGATTGGTTGAGGCGCCTCGATCGGGTGTCCAGGGGTCACTTGTTCAGACATGCCGTTGGGTTTGCCAGGGTCGTTGATTCCTGGGATTTGGGAGTTGGAGATCTTCGTGTGGCAAAAGATAATGACCTTGTGAGGCGAGACTTGGTCGAGGGTTGTATTGAACCGGGATATGCACGGTGGAGTAAGGTGGCCGAAAATGCCGCGACGTAGTTACTGGGTGGTCGGTAACAAGTCGAATTGTTCCATCAAGGGGTGAACACCAATAGAACAGTTCTAGATTTCATGATCAATAGCGCATCTTGGGATTCGTCAATAGGAGTCAATTAAAGTAAGCAAGCAAGTCTAAAAAAAATGTGTATCGAGAAAAGGTAGACCTCTAGCAAACGGCTCTAGGTGAGAAGAGAAGACATTGTGTGAAAAAGGGTAGTAGTAGTAGTATGGGGGATTAGAATCACATGAAACGCCAACAAAGATGGTCTCCAGATGCCGCTTCAAATGCTCCCTTTCGCGTGTATATCTTTTTTTTCCCGTGACGGTGTGATCTCGTGCAAGTTGTATCAATGAAAAGGACAAATTATCTACTGCAGGCTCTTCTTGGCAAAGGCCTGGGCACCGTCCACCAGACGACGCTCGGTGTTCTGGCGACCGTTGACGAAGTCGGGGTAGTTGAGGGTCAGCTCAACGGCACCGTTGACAATGTTGTCGACGGCCTCCACACCCAGCATGAAGGAGTGGTCCTGGTTGCCGACCTCGTAGCGCCAGCTGCCGAAGCGACCACGCGACCAGATACCCTTCTCCTGCAGCTTAGGCAGGATCTGGGCGAGGGCACCCTCACGCTCCAGGGAGGGGGTGGGGTAGCCGTGGTCGAAGCGGCGGTGGTAGGTGGAGACAATCTCGTCGTCGGCATTGAGCATTTCGGTGTTGACCAGACCCTGGATGGAGTCGGCCAGGAGCTTCTCGTGGTTGACGGGCTTCATGGAAGACTCGGAAACCTCCAGCATGATGGACCAGTAAGGACCCTCCTGAGCCTCAGTGCTCTTGGGCTTGGAGCCATCAGCCAGCTGGATGGTGGGGAGCTTCTTGGAGGCCTCGGGCTGGTTGTGGGGGGAGTAGTTGGAGAAGATAGTGGCACGGTAGAAGGGGCAGTTGTCCTCGGGGAAGTACAACCAGCACTTGTCACCGATGCGCTCGGGGCGCTTACCACGGATACCGACACCGATAACGTGGGTGGAGGAGTAGAAGAGCTGCTTGGTGAGGGGCATCAGCTCCTTGTCGTCCATGGCCTCAGCCAGGAAGTCGACGGCCATGGTGGAGACCAGCTTCTGGTAGCCGATGGTGGTACCGTCGGCCAGGGTGACGGTCTTGTTGTTGGCGTTGACCTTGCTGACCTTGCCCTTCTCACCGAAGCGGGTGTTCTCCTTGGGGATGGTGTTGGCCACGGCAATCCAAATACCACCGGTACCGTCGCGGGCGGGGAAGCGGAAGGTAGCGTTGGGGCCCCAGTTACCGGCGGTCTTGTTCAGGATGACGTTGGTGGTCACGGCCTTGAGGTTGGGGGCGGCGACACGCTCACCGAGCCAAGCGCACTGCATCTTGGTGGTGGGGACGGCCCAGACCTTGTAGTTGTAGGGACGCATGAAGAGGTCGGCAATACCAACACCCATCATGCGGACGATCCACTCGTCGAAGTTCTTGGGCTTGGTGTTGGCAACACGGGCCTCGAGAGCGGCATCGATCATGCCGTCAATGCACTTGACCTGCTCCTCCTTGGGAAGCATGGAGATGTTGTTCTGGAAGGGGTAGGGGACCCATTCGTTCTGGCAGCGAACGTACGAGATACGCTCGTGAGTGTACCAGTCCTCATCCTTGGGGAGGGCCTCGTTGATGCAGTCGTCGAAGTACTTGTAGTGGGAGAAGATAACGTGGCCACCGACATCGTAGAGCTGTTGCGGCGGTCAGTGATTTTTTTTCTTCCGCGATGTTATTTTGGCGGGGTAAACCACGCCAAAACTTCAGGAGAAACTTACGAAGCCCTCAGGGGTCACATCAGTGGAAGCAAGACCACCGGGGATCTCGTTGGAGTCGATAATCAACCACGAGGGGCCATTCTAGACAATTGGTTAGCTTCAATGGTCTCCGTACCCCTCCATCGCCCCCTTTTTCTTTTTTTTTCCGGGGAGAATCTGCTCCCCCTCCACGGGGTAGAAAACACTCACGATCTGGTTGAGACGCTTGGCGGCACCCAAACCAGTCGGGCCAGCGCCAATGACGAGAACGTCAACGGAACTAGAGTAATTGAATCAGCTTGAGGCTAGATGAACGGAGGGGAGGAGGTCCTTACATGTCGGGGTGGGTCATCCTGCCTTGAAGGAGGTCCTGGAAGCTGGGCACGCGTTTGAAGGTCTTGCGGGCGATGTTCAGCATAGAAGAAGAACGGAGCAGCAAGTAGACTGCAGGTGAGGGCAGGGGAAGAGGGAGATAATAAAGGAGGATGAAGAGGGAAAGTTGTTCAACCGTGGATAGGGATACGGAACCGGCACTTTCGCAGAGCGGTGTCGAAGTGGAGAGTGTGTATGTTTCAGGTTTACGCCGGGTGGGCTAGCACCGACTAGATTATTACTTGAAATGAAAGCAGTCTGCTTCAAACTTCGATCTGGGTCTGGACACATTGTCCCAAGCGCCATCCCCACTGGTCGTGATCCTGGCTCAGGGGCCGCGAACAGAACTGTTTCCCCACCGGGCACATTGTGTACAGTACACACTGAACACGTACGCTTCTGGGTATCTCCTTTTTATTTTTATTTTTTTCTTGTTTTTCTCGATTTCTGCTTTGTGATTTTCTCGTTTTGTCGTTTTGCCATTCGCTGTCACGGCGCCACCTGCCAGACTCTGACTTTTAAACTATCGAATCTATCACAAACCGTGCAGGGCCGTCGATTGGTCTCCGGGCTTATCGTGATTCCCAAAGGGGGCTGCTCGAGTGTCGTTCGAATGCGGATCTCGACACGCAGAATCATCCTTGGCGGGTTTCAGGGTCCTTGCACGAATTAAGAATGTTCTTATCGTCTTTCCCATCTCCGAGGATTTTATTCGCAAATCCAACAAGTCCCATTATTAATTATTGGAAACGGTCGACAAGGGGGAGATCCCCGATCGGTTCGGGCTAAGGACGCCACCGATGTTGTCTGGCACGTTGTGTATAGCCGCAACGGGGGTTGTAACTGTGATGTGATAGACCTGGCTGGACGCTCGTGGCCGACCTTGGGATAGAGTCCTTGTATAAGGGACTCAATTGACTACTTTTTACTCCGTACCGTACTCCCAAAAAAAAAAAAAACCCCCAAAAACCCTGAACCCTCCCGAACCCGCTCAGCCGGCGATCGTCCCTTCGATCGAGCGGTGTCCGAGGATTCAAGGGTACCCAGTACATGTGCACGGAGGCGAGGTTCCACTGATTGTCCTCCCCAAACAAGAAACGACGACGAGGATCCTCTCATAATAACCGCAGGCACCGATCTTTTTTTGATTGATCGACAAATGGCCCGAAGAACTTCTCGAACCAGAAGTTGGCCCCCGTCACGGACAAGGCCGGGACTGGTACGGAGGAGAGAAACAGCGCAAAAAAAGCTTCTTTGATCTGAGACCTCCACCACCAGTCACGGTCGATATCGGCTCTGGCCACCCCCTGGCGCCCCCGGCCTTTGCCTATTTCTTAGCCTGCCCCCAAAAGGCCCACCGAAAGGACTCAGAGTCCCTGAACGGGGCAATGGCGTCAGACACAGCCTCTCAAGACGATCGCCGCATTCTCCACCCGTAAGGGACCAGATGGGTTCCGAGGGACGCTGAACGCGGGTTCCCGTGGGTCTTGGCCAACAGCTGCTTGCGTAATGCGGCGAGTGTCAACTGTCCGTTAATTTGGATCAGCGTTGCCCGGGATGGTGACAGGCCGGTGTTTTCTGTCTCAAACCCGACGCCATGCGTCCAGTAGGGCAGGTTACATTTTCCCTCTTTTTGTGCCAATTGGGGGTGTCAGTAAACAGATAGCAGGCCACGTCCAAATATAGCCCAAGGTAAAGAGAAAGTAAGACTCGGTCAGCGGGTGGAGGGACGAGCCGATGTTATTGGTGCGAGGCTCAGGGAAAAATAGGAGTCGCCACGAGCGTGGATTCAGCGGTGTATCGTACCGTGTACGGGTATCGGTATTACACGGCCCCGGGCGGGTGGATGCCCCCGGTCCAGGCGGGGAAATGTACAGGTGGCCTGAGCGAGGCCCGTCACGGTCACGTCGTGACCGTTATCGACAACAGACCCGTTTCCCCGTTTCCCCGTTCCACTCTGTTTGCAGCTTCACTTGATTAATCTGCGGATCCTGGACCTTCTTATTTTACACTAACCATTGCCTTCATTTCTTTTTTCTCAGGTCCCAGGTCCCAGGTCCCAGGTTCCAGGTTCCAGCGGTCCAGTCCCTTTGCTCGTGGTATCAATAAGTCGATTCCCTCCCCGAAGTACGTGCGCCATTTCATCCCTTCAACTTTCCATTGTTTCTTCATCCACTCGTTCACGCGTTTCTTTTTTGGCCCAACTCAGTCGCACTTGTTAACCAGACACTTAGTGTCCCTTAGCCCTTTGTAATTCTCTTTTATCCCTCGTGGCTTCCTCTGCCTTCAGCCAAGGTAGCCTTTCCCGGCCCCGGCCTTTCGAATTGAAACAGTTCTTCTTCGATCAAACTCGCGCCTTCACCATGTCCGAAGGCGAGAAGGTCCGCGCGTCCGGCGAGACCCCGCGTGAGACTCTGCCCACCGTCAACCCGTCGGCGGAGAAGCAGGAGGCTCCCAAGGCGGCTTTCCACCCCGCCGTCTACGTGAGGTGAGTTGAAAACTTGACAAGACACGAGGGAAACACATTAGCTGATACCCAATAACCCAGTGTCTGGATCACTCTGAGCTCCACCGTTATCCTCTTCAACAAGCACCTTCTCGACTACGCCAACTTCCGTTTCCCCATTATCCTCACAACATGGCACTTGACCTTCGCGACCATCATGACCCAGCTCCTGGCCCGCACCACCACTGTCCTCGATGGCCGCAAGTCCGTGAAGATGACCGGCCGCGTCTATCTGCGCGCTATCGTCCCCATCGGTCTCATGTTCAGTCTGAGCTTGATCTGTGGTAACATGACCTATCTGTACCTGAGTGTGGCCTTTATTCAGATGTTGAAGGTATGTTTTTTGCGCGTTTTACAGTGGACTCCAAACGTCGCTAACAATTGGACCTTTTGCAGGCTACCACCCCCGTCGCTGTCCTGCTCGCTACCTGGGGTATGGGCATGGCTCCCGTCAACTACAAGACCCTCGCGAACGTCTCAATTATTGTCGTTGGTGTTATTATTGCCTCCTTCGGCGAGATCAAGTTCGTCATGGTCGGTTTCCTGTTCCAGCTCGGCGGTATCGTCTTCGAGGCCACCCGTCTGGTCATGGTGCAGCGCCTGCTCAGCTCCGCCGAGTACAAGATGGACCCTATGGTCTCTCTGTACTACTTCGCCCCCGTCTGCGCCGTTATGAACGGTTCCGTTGCTCTGTTCCTCGAGGTTCCCCGCGTCACCATGGACCACATCTACGGTGTCGGCATCTGGGTTCTCCTTGCCAACGCCATGGTTGCCTTCCTGCTGAACGTCTCCGTCGTTTTCCTGATCGGCAAGACCTCTTCTCTGGTCATGACCCTGTGCGGAGTCCTGAAGGATATCCTTCTGGTAGCCGCCTCCATGATGATCTGGAACACCCCCGTCTCCGGCCTCCAGTTCTTCGGCTACTCGCTTGCCCTGGTCGGACTTGTGTACTACAAGCTCGGTAGTGACAAGATGCGCGAGTACACCAGCCAGGCTGGCCGCGCGTGGGCCGAGTACGGCAACACCAAACCCGCGCAACGCAAGTTCGTCATCTTCGGCGCTGCGGCTCTGGTTTTCTTCCTCTTCGTCGGTGCCATGGCTCCCAGCTATGCCCCGGAGCGGGTTAACCAGGTCAAGGGCATGCTGGGTGGTGCCGCCTCTGGCAACGCTTAAATGCGCTGATCTTTCGATGTCACCAGCATTACCGTGAAAATGGCTATTGGTGCTTACAGAGGAAAGACTGGAGGTTGTCCACGACTCTGGAATGATCTTGGACTCTATCGTAGTGTTGGACGCGCGGAGAACATGATTGTTCTCAACACATCTCCTTTTTTCACCCACGGGCCGGGACCGGCGAATGCAGGAAATCCAGCCGGTGGCCGGCCCTTGTTTCCGGAGTCCTCGCGCTGCGATGGAAAATCCCGAAGAGCTCCGGTTCCTTCCCCCTTTCCTTTCTCGACCGCATTGCAGTGATGTATACAGTTGAACCATAGGTGGTTTTACTGTCGTACTTTATTTTCCATGTTACTCTTTCCTTTTCCACGAACATTGATTTGATGTTAGACATTGCACGAGCTCTGGTGTCGGATTGCTTTGGACCTTCTTTACTGGTGTTTCTTCCCCTTCGTTGTCTGAATAGTATTCCAATAGACTTTTTGAAGGCTGCTCCGTCTATTTCCCACTCAAGCGTACTATCTAGATCGCATTACCGAAGGGTGTGTGAATGATTGAATGATGGCAAGATGATGTATTGGTTTCCGTCGTGAGAACAAGGTAAATGCAGGTACATAGTTCATGATGTGGCCTGTTTTGGTAATAGCCACTGAGGTAAGGTAGAGATCAACTATGTAGCTACCAGGGTGTATTAACCTCTCCACCTGGCCATGAGAAGATTCTACTTCGGCACATCTTTGGCATCGCCACGGAGTTGAAGTGCGGGGGCCGGGGAAGTAAGTTGCTGTGAACTGGTGATGGCACTGGCAGCTCTTCGAGCAAATGTTTCTTTGAAGAACTAGCAACTTCGGAAAGCCATCTGTCAAAAGGTCTTTTAGTTGAGTAGATTCAATATTGAATAGTTCATGGGATTTCTTTTCATTTGAAGTCGTAGAATAAAATAAGATGGATACCAAGCCAAAAGACAGGCGAAGAGAACTCCGCATTTACGCCAGAGCCCCAACTCCCCGGTAGGTCATATCAACACTGTAACCCATTCAGCCTCCCAGGGCGAGAAGTGGAGCGGGTTGCCGAACTGGGTAAGTTAGGCGCTAGTGAGTTGCCGAGCTAAATCCAGTAAACTATCAGAAAAACAGAATAATTGAAGTCGATCGGGCGGATGTCGCGTCGCGTAGTCGGCAAAGTCGGGTCGCTCGATCGGTGGTTTTTTAATTCGCGAATTGGAGTAATATAGAAGATGAATCCTCTCTATTACGAGTCGATTTCCATTCCCATGTCGACGCCTCCGTTCAATTCCGCTCCCATGCCGGTGCTGGTGGGCGCATGATTGGAGAGGGCTTGTTGGAGAAGAGGTACGCCGCCTTCTGCAGCGGTGAAGGGGCTGGCTGCGGGAGGAGTGTTGGATCGGGATGAGGCGACGAGAGGGCCGATGCCCTCGAAGACGATTGGGGAGCTGCGCAGATTGTGTAGGCATGCTTCCCAGGAAGAGGCCACGAGCTGAGCCTGGGTGAGGTCGTCGCTGAACAGGTAGAAGGCGGGCGAGAACGCATTGGTAGGCGTTGCCGCTACGAGATAGGCGTTGAGGGCGCGGCTTTTGATGAGCATCTGCGAGTCGTGCAGATAGTCCGAGTATTGGTTGTCGATATACTTGGTCCAGCCACGGACGGCCGGGGCCATGTCATCATCACTGTCAATGCGCTGCCAGCTGATGCCGAGGAGGCGGGTGGCATCGTCAATGAGAGGTTCAGCTGGAGGCGCGGGTCCAGTGTTGAGAGTGCGGTGCTGGTCGGCTTCCGGGCCATTCAAGCGCTGCTGAATCGACGAAAACGCAATGTCGTCGAGACCCGGGGCGGATTTGTCCAGCCGTTGTGACTTGCGACTAATATCGGCGGCATCAGACTGCAGCGTGATCGACCGCGAGGAGACCAGCGCCGCCTTCATCTGCTGCAACTCGGCCTCTTCTTCGTACCATGTGCCGGTTTGACTGTCGGCAGAAATCGCCATACCAGTGCTCGGGTTCAGCAACACCATTCCCTCGCCATAAATGGGCTCCTCTTTCGGAGCCGGGGTAGGCGCCGGCTCCGAGGGGACGTTCAGGGCAACGGCCTCTTCGAAGGCAGCTTCGTCACGCGATCTCTTGCGAGACGGCGTGGGTGCGGCAGGAGCGGAAGCGAAGTTCGAGCTGGGAGTGGGCTGGGCCGAGCCATTGCTTGCGAAGACGGAACTGGGGCTGGCAGGGTAACTATGGAAGGTACCGGGGCCATCCAGCACGGATTGAGATGGGAACTGAGCGAAGGCGTGTTCCTGGGGAGGAGAAAAGACCATCGAGGGACCATCGGAAAGGCGATTGAGAATCATTGGACACATGATGAATGTCCTCGGGGCGACGAAGGCGAAGGGAACTGTTCTGTATGGTTAAGTGAGCTACACACCATAAGCTTTCAACCACCTGTAGATCACGAAAAGGCGAAGTATAAAGGAGGAAAGGTAGGGTGAGGAAAGAGAAGGAGTAAAGGTGAGGGTAGGACAAAAGAGGGGGGGGGGGGAGGTGAAGAGAGAAGATAAGACAGGTCCAGGGAAGTGGGAGTGGGAGTGGGAGAAGAGAAGAAAGAGGGCGAGCGCAAAGAGGGCTGCGAGTGATCTGAGGCGAGGCGATCGGGGATCCATCTGCAAATGCGGAGGGTTACCGTACCTGACGGCGATACGCCCGCTTGGAGCACCCACCAGGGCGGCTGTGACCGTACGGGAACGGAACGAGTGGATCCGGCGCTGTTTGGCTGTTTCAAAGTGGAGCATGGGCTGCAGGCAATTGGCCGATTGCAACACACCGTGGATGGCGTTGCGTTGCGGGCTGATTGTGGGCTGGGCTGGGCTGAGAGCCAAGTACGGTACCGAGTCCGTCCTGCTGTCACGGTAGAGCCAGCGAGGACTTTCCGGGAGACTACACGATCTTTCGATTAGCACCCATCCTTGGTTTCCCGAAGAATCTTAGTCGACTTCAAATTTCCCAATAGGACCACTTATGTACAGCATGGATCGATATCAGTTCACGTGTACCCGAGAATTACATGTATAGACAGACTCATGCCTGTTACTGAAGTATGTTCTCAAATCCACCCCCGCAACAACACCCAGAAAATCCCCGAAATCGTACAGCATATCACATCCCACCCAACGCTACTCACAGCCGGATGCTCCAACATCGTATCCATCAATCTCCGCCCTAGATTGACCACTGAAGCTCCCAGAAAAGCAGATTCATCCAGAAAAACCGAATACGTAGATTGTGCCTGAATGGCCACCCCGATTGCGAGCAGCCATTTGTACAAGGAGGTATATCGCCGCGTAGGGTGAGCGATATAAGCTCCCCAGCCTTGCGGTAGAACTCGAGGGGACAGTAGACCCGGGACGAACAATAGGAGATGAGGAATAGCGAGAACGGGCATAAAGTACGGCGTGTTTGCGACGAAAGGTGTAGCCGCAGCGCCAAGGCCGGATATCACGACTGGCGCAAGCTCGAGGAATGCGGGGGGCACCCAGGCAAGCTTCGTAGCTGGGGTGACACTCGGGCTTGAGACGAGGACTGTAACGAAGAACAAATTCTGCGCGAAGGAAATGGCAACAATCTGCCCCAGCAGCATGTACATCCACACGTTTGGGATGTTGTACCGACGGCCTGAGCTAGGGTTAACGATATTCTCAAGTGACTTCCAAACATGGAATGAGATACAGACCCATGACCCCCAAGAAAAGACTCCATCCAATCGTCCAGAGGAAAATCTGCCCGCTCCACCACGTTCTCGCCGGCGTCGCAAACACACTTCCCCACGCCTCCCGGAACAGCTTACTATCTCGCAGCCACATCTCCCATTTTGCCAGAAGCGGTGCCACCTCAATCAATGCCTGCTGTGTGGGTGACTGTCCGGCTTCCCAGTTGTGATAAGAATGCGCGAAGAACGCGAACATGTAGTACCATGTTGTTACTATGCTGAGGATCGACAGGGTAATGAATATGGCGAATTGACGACCATAGCCGTGGTGCCAATCTAACTGCGTCTTGCAGATTTGATAGCGGCGGTATATGTTGAGGAGGATCTTTATTGTGAGGGCAGCGCAGGAGATTAGGTAGAAGGATAGAATGGAGAGGGAGCGGTGGTCGTGGAGGGGTTGGCTAATGGAGGCATGTAGTGGTTCCAGCATTGGAGTGAAGCTGATGAGACCACGTGTGGTCTACGTGCTGCCAATGTGGTAGGTCCAATGGTCGGTCCTTCGGTTCTTGCAGAGGTCGCTGTTCAAAGCTTGGACTGTTTATCGTTGACTTAGTCAGCCTGCACTAAGTTACTTGCCCAGATAGGCAAAAGTTAGCGCGGTTTTTATCTTTTTTCGATTTATTATTTTTTTTTTTTTTTTCATTTACAGTACTTCGACCTTCTATTGATGTTGGTTATAATTTGGAGGGAGTCGCTAATCCTGTTGTTTCAACGCCAAGGCCAAATGCTTAGCTATGTGTATTTGACTTGCATAAACACGTGGATCACAATGTTTTGAAATCGAGTAGTGCCTAGAGGCTAGTTCCTTCTAATAAAGGCCTTCCTGGGTAGTTTCAGTCAAGTATGGTCCATTTATAACACTCAATGAAAGCCCTCTAACGAGCATAAGAGCTGGTTTAGTCTAGCCTTCAAATCTAATATTCCTTAGCATCTTCATCTAGCAACCGCATTCTCCATTTCCCTATCACCGCTAAGGTAGCGATGTATATGGTTTCTAGCAATTAAGCTTTGCTCTTCATCTCAAATTCATCACACCCGATCTCTGATTCGTGAGGAAGCAGCCCGATCAAGTCGAGGAACAAGGCCACAGAATTGACAAGGCCATAGAAGAGCATCGGTATAGCGCCAAAAAAGAGGTTTCCGATATAACCCCGTCGGAGAATAGTCTCGGCCAATTCTGTCCGGGAAATCTCAGGCGCAACGGATGACTCAAATGGCCCCATTAGCCTATAAAATGTCACGAAGGATGCACCAAAGCAGTAGATTAGCAGGATTTGCAACCCATGGTGACGATACAGCTCAAGTAGTCCTGGGGCACCGCCGAAATCCTTGGCCAACGTGCTCATGTACGCGCTGTGGTCGACGCCGTATTGGATACGAGATCCCTTGGCGGCAAGAAGATGATAATGGGGAGGATCCGTGGGCATCTGCATGCGCCCTGTGATGAGGGCCGTCCACCACATCACCTGTTGTTCGGCTATGGGTGGGATTGCGCCAACGCCGGGACGCACGAAGCCGATGAAAGCGATGTCTGGACGTGATGAATTGATAATGTTTCGGATTTGAGCGTCTGCTGCCGTCGGATATGACGGGTCAAGGTAAGGAAACGTTTGTTTGTATCTAAGAAATGTACCATTAGCTTGGAATTGACAGGTTATAACAAAATATGAGAAATATACCCCGAGCAATAAATCACGCAGTTTGGCTGAATGTTTCGGGTTTTCAAACGCTGCCAATCTTTTCTATCGGGGTTTGGCTGGAAATGGACTCGCCCCGTATCATCAATAGATTTCGGCCAGGTGCAAGTGTCAACGACTCGCTCGGATGCAGCATCCTCCGGAGGATCAATGTAGCGGTTGCCGATGTAGGCTAATAATGGATTGTGTGTCTTATAAGGACGATTGAGATAAGGCATCGCCTTGTTGCTCTTGTTAAGGAAAACAAAGGCTCTTCCCAATCGCTCTTTGGGAAGAGCGCCGACATGCTGGTTCATACCGGCCTGGGTTCCGGTCAGGAACCAGAGAACTCGCTTGATCACGAAGTCGGAAATGAACCAGCGTAATCTGCTTTGAGCGACTGCCCGATGGACGTATGCAGTTTCGAAGAGGTTGGTAATGAGACCATCAATTGGAAGGCCCCCACTGAAGGTCTTGCCGAATACCTGGAATCGGCTGAGCTGCTTAGGGAAGGAGAGGAAGCCGGTGCGGAAACACATAGTGACTGATTCGGCATCGGCTTTGATGGACTCATAGGCAATATCTTCAAATGTGTTAGATAGCTCTTTCTGGTTCGCTTGGATCAAACTCACCCATAGCTGTTTCACCGCATCCCAAGATAAGAACTTTCTTGCCAGCTACTTGATCACGGTTCTTGTAAAGCGATGAGTGGAATACGTCACCCCGGACATTCTCGATCCCTGGGATATCCGGAATATTCGGCTCAACATGAAGTCCAGTGCAGACGGCAATGTGCGAGCAGTCAAAAGTACTCTCCTTTGTATCGTCTCCATCATTCCGATCCACATAGGTCACTCGATGAGCCCATTTGGAACCATCATGGAGCGGAGACACGCGAACCACGGGACAGTTGAACTTGATATATGAACCCAGGTTGAATCGCTCAACATAAGACCGGAGGTAGTCGACGTATTCGGGCAGTGAAACATGGTCGGGAGTCCCAGGCGGCAAGCGGTGATCCGAGAACGTTGTCAACTGCTTACTGCTCACCAATTCGGCATTCTCGTAAGAGCGATAGTTGAATGTACCCCCGACATCAGACTCACTGCGGAATAGAGGTTAATACCTATGTGGGAACCAAGGCCTGAAAACATACGTTTCGAAGAGGTACGCCTCGATCTGCCGGTCGGGCTTGGATGCCTCCAGCAAGGTTTTCAGGGTCACCAGGCCACCAGGGCTGCATAATATTAGCGTTTGGAGAATTGAAGAAGGGCATGGACATACCCTGCGCCAATAATGGCCACTCGTATTGTCATCAGGGCTGTTCCTGGTGTTGTAGGAAGGAGGAAGATCTTCAAATGAGTGCGGCCTAAAATTGCGGGGGTTCCCAGCCTCCAAGAAAGCTTGGTCCGTGACGTTATCGCCGTGATCTTTTATTTAGAAATTAGTTCAGATTCATTATTCGCTACAACTCTTATCTCACGTCGTAGCATATCCTTCTCCAAGTTCTCCTGCGCAATCTGCTAGTATTTCTAGAGTATGGCAGTATAGCTGATTTCGAAAACTACTGTATAGCTAATCTGGGGCCACTGGGGCCCGGGAAATGACGCGGATAAAAGGGAACATGGAAAAGGCAGCCTTAAGAGCCCTTCGGCGGCACGGGCAGGGTCAAGTAAGCTTGTGGCCCTTGCGCCTGAGCGTTGAAGCGGTCAAGATAGAAGGAGAGTTATTAAAAAGATATTGGGACAACTCGTCAATGATTGCTTTATTGATACAGGATATCATGCCTTTAAAACCAAGCAAGCGGAAAATAATCTATTAGAACACAAAACGAAGCCACACACCAGATGCCGTCGCTCAGAAGTCATCGTCACTGCCTCCGTAATAATCATCCTCATCGTACCTGCTGTAGTTGCCGGCGAATGCATCATCGACGTGGTCATCCTCCATATCGTCATCCTCATCATCTTCCACATCGTCCGGATCGGGGTGCTCTTCCTCCCCAAGGTCATCCTTGCCGGCGGGACCGGAGACTGGCTCGGCTGGCTGGGACTGCGTCGGTGGCGGAGTGGGCCGAGGAGCAGAAGTCTGAGGACGGGTAGAGCGTGCCTTCACTGGGGTGGCTCGAGCTCCGCGGCGAGATACTGGCTCGGGTGCCCGACTGGTGCTTCGGCGCGAGGCAACACTGACGCTGCGACTCTGGCTTCGGCTCAAACTCTCAGCCTTGGCATTTTCGCCTGCTTCTTCTCCACCGTAGAGGTCATTCAGAGCATTGTAATTGATTTTTTTACTGTAGCCACGTCGTTCCAGCATCCGACGGGTCGCTTCTGCGGGAGTCGATGCACGAGAGCTGCGGCCGTCTTCGCCATCGCCCTCACCTTCGAGGTAGGAGACGTCGCCCATCCGGCCCTTGCGGCGCTTGCGAGGCTTATGGGAAGATGGACCGGCGGTTGCTTCGGCCAGCGCGCGCTTGAGTGCCTTGGCTTGTTGCGTGCGGAGGTACTCTTTGTTCTCGGAGACCCAGATAGTCTCTTTAAATTCGACTTCGGAAGGCGTCAAGAGGCAATTCTTGACTTCTGGATCATCCTCGAACTCGGTCTCAGCAATTTCGGTATCGTCGGGAATGTGCTTTTTCTGCTCGGGCTCGACCATGCTCTCAATCATGTTGGAGCCCTTGGCAAGCATGGTCCGCATCTCATCTTCGAGAGCATCTTCGGATGCAACTTGCTCCTCAGATGGGGCGGGAAGAGGTTCTCGCTTCCGCTTGCCTTTGATCTTAGAATCACCCTGATCCTTTTCGGTCTTTTCGATGACTTCGTTCACGGCCTTGGCAATGGAAGAACGCCGGCGTGTCTTCTCCATCAAAGCAGGGTCAATGGGCAGGTTTGGAATGGCAAAGCCATCGGCGTCAACCCTTGAAGGTTGAACCGATCCAAATTCGCTTTCGGTATCCCATTCAAGTTCTGCTGCAGTCTCTGCGCCCTTCTTGTTGATGTGACTTGGCTTGCGACCTTCTCTTGCTCGGGTGAAGGAGGGTGGATCGTGCGCATTTTCTAGTTGTACAGAGCGGAATTGATCAACCGTCAATTCTCCACTCTCGGTTGAGCTGAACTCGTTCAGGCGCTGGCTGATGGTGATTTCTGTCACCTTGACAACGTAGACCACCTCACGGACGGTTCGGCGGAAATTGTTCATTCGCGCAGCAAGAATCAATGCTGCACCACAGACACCGGCCGGTCGTCGACCGGTGGTCATCCAATCACGATTCATTCGCTGCACGATACGGACAGCCTCACCGGCGACTTGCATGGTAGCCGTTCCAAACTCCAATTGTTTGGCAAATCGGTAAATGAGACTCTCAGGGTCGATGGGGTTCATTAGAAAAACGTTTCCTCCCAGGCGGAGCTCGTCGAGAAGAGCTTTATAGGTGCGACCAAGTTTGAAGACGTTGATCATCAGTACATCGGCAAAATCGATCAACATGACCGTGTTGCCGTCCTGGCGACGACAAGCAATGTACAGACATACCGCAGCAACAGTTTTGGTTCGGCGACCTTGGATGAAATTCAATCCCACGGCGAGCTTGAAAACCTGGCCAGCAGCCTTCGTAGCACTCTCCGGGATGGTCAAAGCTCGTGCCAGCTGGTTGATATAGCGGTTTCCATTTGCTTCGGTCATCTCTCGACTCTCCATTGCACCACCTCGCTGGAAACCGGGGCCGAAGCTGCGCACATGGGTCTGGTCTTCTCCGACGAAAGTACCCTGAACAACAGCAGCACCGGATGAGGTCTCACCGAAGGTGACTTCGGACACGATGTTGGATTCACTGATGACAGTACCACATCCGGAGCAGACCTTTTGGCCTTCATCTTCAACGATGTGGGGAGCGGGGCAGCCTGGGTTGGGACAGCTTGAAGTCTTGGGATGTGTAGTCGGTCGAGAAGGTTGAGGGCGTCCGATTAAGGAAGGACGCCTGATAGGAGTCGGGGTCGGAGCCCTGGTAGTAGCCAGACGCCCGACAGGTGCACGAGGCCCGCGGGGCGTCACGCTGATGCGCGTGCCGGGCTTCGACATGAAGAAGGAAGATCGGGAATGGGGAACGGAGCGTGGTGGTAATATCACGTAGTCAGTCAGTCAGGCGAGTGGTCGAGATGCTTCAAAGCTCTAGAATTATTCAGACGAGATTCCAGCCGTATCAGATTCGCGTCTTCATAGCGCGCAGGTTGTCGATAAGGGCGACAATGAGGAAGGGGAAAAAAGTCGAGGATAAGAGGAGAGGTGGAGAGATAAGACGGCAGGAGGAGGAGGAGGAGGATGAGGAGGGGAGAGACAATGAGAGACAAGGACAATCGTTTCTCTGCCGAAGTATCAGTCGAACTTGGAGAATAATTCCACCCCGAGTACGTGAAGCGCGTAAAGTGATAAGTGATAAGAGCAGAGTAGAACGCGCGGGTGGGGGGGGGGGCGGTACCCAAGTGAAGTTTTTTTGTTCGGCGTTAACGGGTGGCTCAGCGGTGAAGGAGCTGTCGGAAACGGGCAAGGCACGCGTTCAACTCGGGGAGGCGGCCACGACCCACATTCTGTTCAGCGCTTTACGGAGATAAGTTCAGTGGGACAAGTGGAAATCTGAGCTTAAGGAATGCCGAGTTAATTTTCTACCGGGATAGTTCCCCGGTCTTCTCCAAAATTCACTGATATTCCGTGCTATTGTCCCTGTGGCAATATCACGTGATACATAAGTCAGACCGAAGAGAAGAGCACTAGTCCCAAAATGGAAACAAATGGGACTCCAATGTTGCCTTACTGCGCAGGCACCGACGACGCCCGATTCTGGACCAACGTGTGATTACTTTGATCCTTGTATGCAAAAAGCACATGGAAGGCGGTTGAGTTTCAAACTTCGAGTCTGAGACGTGCTTTTTCTTCTGAGGGCGAACCAGGCCCGACCTAGCTACATACTGCACGAACGTCATGGCTCTCAACGGCTGGAATGCTAATGCGGCATTTGTGCGTAGTTCGGCCTTCCGCCTTGGATCACGCACAAATGTCGCATCTTCGCCATTCGCGAGTCATCCACCCGTTTCCACTCTTTTTTTTTTTCTTTTGTCTACAAGACATGCATCAGACAGCCCCATTCGCCTTTGATCCTGACATTTGTTTCTTTATGACGTAGCCATCGCCGTCGTGGATGTTGTTTTCTCGTGGCGATTTGCTATATCAAGCTCCTACTACCCGCGCGGTACCCCTGGGCCCCTGGGTGTTTCAGAGACTCAAGACTTCCACCACATACATATTCGACACATACTTGCTGATTTAATTTTCCGACTTTCGACGCCACATCTTGGCAAGAAGTCTTTGCTGCTTTGATAAACGAAATATTCAAGATCCTGGAGATCATCATGTCCGGGACGAAGACTCCTCCCCGCACTCCAAATATGCAGCAACATGCAGAGGTTGATTCCAGGAGAAGTGTCTTCTGGGTCAGCAACGTTCACTGCTCTTCGTGCGTTGCCTATGTCACCGAAATTTTGTCCGAAATCCCAACCGTCAGGGATATCGACGTGTCGATCATCACCCACGAGGTACGCGTTACCCATGGCGTCTCTGTATCGCCTGCAGACCTCGTCGTGGCTTTGATACACGCTGCATTTGAAGTGCATCATGTTACGACGTATGATGAACGCGCAGCCGTGATATCCGAACTCGACACCACTTCATGGAACCATCGTGGATCAACGCTCTTTTCCACACCTCGAACCTCATATTCCAGCATCTCATCCAATATAAAAGACCGGCTGCACTCAAGCGGAGAGAAACGGCATATTGCCAATTGCGATGCATGCAAGAAGGAGGAAGCAGAAAGACTTTCCCGTCTGTCTACCCAGAGTGAGGCCAGCCCGCTGCATGAGAAATCCCCCGAGGCCGTCTGGCAGGCCCCTACTCCATCATCAGTGACTACATCCGAAACTCAGGTGGACCGTGATGCCTCATCGACTCCAAAGATCCCGCCTGAAATACCCGAAACGCGTCAGCCCTCATCGCAGCCAAGTGATGAATTTACCGCACGGATCAGCATCGGGGGCATGACGTGTGCATCATGCGTAAATTCTGTTACCGCTGCTGTCCAGGAACTGGAGTTTATTGGGGATGTTACTGTCAACCTTCTTACAAATAGTGCAACGCTGGTGTACTTTGGTCCCCGGGAGAATATTGACCTTGTCATCGAAAAGATTCATGATATTGGCTTTGACGCTTTCTTGGACGAAGTCAACCCAGTCCCTAAAGCACCAAGCCTCGACAGATCTTCGACAGGCTATGTCAGTGAGATTTCAATTACCGGCATGACTTGCGGCTCTTGTGTCGGGTCTGTGACTCGAGGGATCGAAGAGCTTCCATTCATTATAAGCGTCTCCGTGAATCTGCTCTCACACAGCGGAAATGTTGAGTTTAAAGGACGCGAGAACTTGGACAAGATCGTGGAGAAGATTGAGGACTTGGGATATGACGCTGCAGTCATTAGTGTGCACCCCTTGGCTAAGAGCAAGGACCAGGCTGGCCCTGTCCAAAAGAGAACAGTCTCTATTCATGTCGAGGGGATGTTTTGCCACCACTGTCCCGAGAAAGTCCTAGGTTCCTTGGACACTCTTCCAGATGTCACTGTGGAGGAGTCTCTCTGCGAGAAGAAACCCATAGTTAAAGTGTCCTATACGCCCAGCCCGCCCACCTTGACTGTTCGCTCCATACTTGCAACAGTCAACGGAGCCGACGGTGCTTTCACTGCAAGCATTTACCACCCACCTAGCATCGAAGACCGGTCTCGTGCGATGCAATTGTATGAGCGCCGCCGACTTTTGGCTCGGCTGCTATTCGTCTTTGCTTCAGCCATCCCAACATTCATCGTTGGCATTGTTTTCATGTCTCTGGTCTCATCGGACAACCCAATTCGCATGTATCTGGACCAGACAATCTGGTCTGGCAGCGTGACTCGCACGGAATGGGCTCTCTTCATCACATCAACACCCGTCATGTTCTATGGCACCGATGTGTTCCACACCCGAGCCATAAAAGAGATTCACGCACTGTGGCGCCCTGGGAGTCGAGTGCCAATTTTGCGACGCTTTTACAGATTCGGCAGCATGAACCTCCTGATTTCTGCAGGAACATCGGTGGCTTATTTCTCTTCCCTGGCGATCCTCATCGTTGATGCTGTTGTGGGTACGAAATCCAGTCCTCGTAGCACAACTTACTTTGATTCGGTTGTCTTCTTGACCCTCTTTATCCTCGCCGGGCGATTCTTGGAGGCCTACAGCAAAGCCAAGACTGGAGATGCAGTTACATCGCTAGGCAAACTCAGACCCTCAGAGGCACTGCTCATCGAGAGTCAGTCTACAAATGCTGAGAGTGACGAGGGCAATGAAGCCGAGTCAATGAAACGCATCAGTGTTGACCTCCTGGAGGTCGGCGACATCGTCCGCATCCCCCACGGCGCATCACCTCCGGCGGATGGCATTGTGGTTGGAGAAGCATCTTACCAGTTTGATGAGAGCTCTTTGACCGGAGAGTCTCGCCCGGTCAAAAAAGTTGCTGAAGACCAAGTCTACACCGGATCGGTCAATGTCGGTCATCCGGTGCACATTCGGATCACCGAGCTCGGAGGATCGTCCATGCTTGATCGAATCATTACTGTTATTCGTGAGGGCCAGAGCAAACGTGCACCTCTCGAGAGGATCGCTGATCTTCTCACCTCCCACTTCGTGCCTGTTATCACCTTGATTGCCATTCTCACTTTCATCATCTGGCTTGCTCTCGGACATTCTGGAGTGCTACCCGGCGACTACCTGGATGTCGCCCAAGGTGGTTGGACCTTCTGGAGCTTGGAATTCGCCATCGCAGTGTTCGTTGTGGCTTGCCCCTGTGGATTGGCACTGGCTGCTCCCACTGCGCTCTTTGTCGGAGGTGGGCTTGCAGCGAAGCACGGCATTTTGGTCAAAGGTGGCGGTGAAGCATTTCAAGAAGCCAGCCGCCTTGACGCCATTGTCTTTGATAAGACGGGTACATTGACCGAGGGAGGAAGTCTTAAGGTCTCCGACCACGAGATCTTGACAAAGGATAACGAACTACAGAAGGTCGCATGGGCACTAGCTCAAAAGCTAGAAGAGAGTAGCAACCACCCGATAGCCCAGGCGATCTCTGCCTTTTGTGCCTCGCAGCCACAAGTTGCTGTTAATTCCTCTGATATCCAAGAGATTTCTGGGCAGGGAATGAAGGGAACATTCACCGTGTCCTACGACAAGTCCGAACGGAAGGAACAGTACGAGGCTGCGATTGGTAACGAGCGTCTTCTTCACAGCATCCTACCATCTGAATCCGACACATACTTCGTCTCCAACTTGCTGTCAAAGTTCCAGTCCGCAGGTAAATCTACAGCGATACTCTCATTGCGACGTCTTGATTGCCAGTCCTCCGAACCTACACCATTCATTCCTGCAGTTGTCTTCGCAACTTCGGATACCATTCGGCCTGAAGCTATCGACATCATTGCTCAGCTCAACAAGCGCCAAGTTGAGGTGTTCATGTGTACCGGCGATAACCAGACAACCGCCCATGCCGTGGCAGACATGCTGGGCATTCCACGTTCCAACGTGATGGCCAACGTCTTGCCCGCAGAGAAAGCAAGCTTCGTGCGCCAGGTACAAGATAGATCAGTGAAGGAATCACCCACAGGCGTCAACCCGCAAAACCGGAGCAAGACTCGCCCGATCGTCGCCTTCGTCGGTGACGGCGTTAACGACTCCCCCGCTCTGGCCGCTGCAGATGTAAGCATCGCTATGGCATCCGGCTCTGACGTCGCCATCAACTCCGCCAGTTTCATCCTCCTCAATTCGGATCTGAGCACGATTCTCCAATTGGTTCTACTCAGTCGACGTGTATTCAACCGTGTGCGAATGAACTTTGGCTGGGCGGTGTTCTACAATATCTGCCTTGTCCCAGTTGCTGCTGGTGTTTTCTATCCCATTGTTAGTGGTCACTACGAGAAGACCGTTGGTCAAGAAACTGTCATGGTCAATGAGCACTGGAGGTTCAGTCCTGTTTGGGCGGCTTTGGCAATGGCGCTGAGCAGTATCTCGGTTGTGACGAGTAGTCTTATGCTGAGAGTTGAAATGAAGAGTATCAAGAGGGTTTTCAGGAAGAAGAACCGGGTTTGAAGGGTAGATAGAGTTACGCATCGTTTTGAGCTTTTGTTTTCTGTTTCAAGATATCCATCAATCGACTTTCATTATCGCATTTTGTAATTTGACGAAGCTATTCTTCCATTATCCTCCCTCTCCCCAAACCTCTGCGACCTTTTTACTAAGAGCCCTTTGGACCTTCTTTCGTCCAACAAGTGATTGTAGCTTGTCTGAGATCAGTGTTTCTCGGTCTTTCGGCTCTAAAGCCATGTATGCCTCGACCAGTTCCCGAGGCGTTTGCCATCGGCGCTGAATTTCAAGTGCTTTCTCACCCGTGATACCACGCGTGCACATAAGCATCTTCAAAAAGATATCACGTAAAGAAAGCACATCAGATTTGGAAGTGAGGGCGGAGAACGTGGAGAATGTGACACCGTAGGTGAGGGATGCATCCTTTGCACGAAGGTCGTCCAGGAGAGTGAGGTAGGATTGGGTGGAAGAGAGGCGCCGACTGGGAATGAAGGCAACCCTTGACGAGCTGGCCGGTTGGTCTCCACTTGATATGGAGGAGTCAAGTGCGCCGTACATCTTCCGCAGAAGGAGGGTCATGCGCGCCAGATACCGGATGGAGTCGTCCAGGTTCTTCGTTTTCTTCATGAAGTACCCATTGACTACCTGGGTTGAGGCTATAGCCGAGGCGACCATCTCTTGGTATTTCAATGCGCTCCCGTTCCCTGAATCGGGGTGGGTGACCGAGAATTCCTCGACTAAGTAGATGACATTTTTGATGCCTGAGCGGCGCAGACGGAATTTCTGTTCGTGAAATCGACCATCTTTGATAGACCCGATCAGATCGTCGAGACGCTTTCGTTCAATAATCCAGTCCAACATCACCTCATCACCTTCCTCGCCGTGACGTCTAAGAAATGCGGGATCTCGGCATTTGGCAACCCACATTGCGTCGCCCAATTCTAGAGCACGCACCTGAGGAGTGATGTTCTGTTTCATGAGCTCATTGGCGATGTAATCTCTGTCTGTCGAGGTGCGCACTTCTCGAGTGTCTAGCACCAATTCGACAGTGAAACTGTTCGGAGGGAGGATGATTGGTTCTGCGGGGCCTTCAGTGTTGGCAAACCGACCCAGAGGGTTGCTATCCTCAAAATCGGCATCTTCATCATCATCCAGAGTCGAGGGATCGGTGTTTTGAACTGACCGTGGTGGTTGACCTCGAGGATCGCCGCCAGGAAAAGCCATCATGTTTTCAGCCAACCCGGGAAGAGTCTTCTGGATCCGTTTGGCAACCTCCCAGCCATCCTCGGAGAGAGCATATTTCCTGAGGGGGCGACCATGTTCATAGACCAAGTCTTTCTGAATCAAAGTCTTCATAGAATTCCACGCAGTGTAGAATTTAGTGGGATCTGTGGGCGCTGTGAACGAACTGTCACAGTAAGGCTGTGCCACTTCAATTAAATGGGCTTTTGTCATGCCCTGAGATGAATTCTCTCCCAAAGTAGCCAGACCCAAAAGAAGCGCATACGGGCCAGAGCGCAGAGCTGGCACGTATGGTTTTACTTTGCGAGGCTTCTTGGCGGGCTGGTCTGCGACACTGGTGTCGGACGTTCTTTTGTTGGCTGTAGTATCCCGTCAGCGAAGAGGAGCAAATATTCCTCGAGTTCAGTATCACATACCTTGACCAGGGGGCTCGGGCATAGGAAGTCCATTCTCTTGGCAGTGAGCCTTGAGTTTATCCGTCAGGCGATCACACAGCTTAGGTCCCAGTCCATTCAACTGCTGAGCCTGAGACGGATGCTCAAAGGGCAATGGACATGCTTTCATCGACTCATAGGCCTTTTTGTACCTGGAAGGAACGTCAGAATGTCTCGGTTCGGCGAGGTACACGGTGGATACTCACACAGTCACGCCTTTGCTGTTCCGCTCGCGGGCCTGGTCGAGCCATTCTTTGATCCAACCCAGTAGCAGGGGGTTTGCACACTCCTCGGTCATCGTGACCTCGCAGCCATCGGGCTGCAGGGGAAAGGTGAAGCCTAACGTTGAGAGTCAAACGAGGGACGCGACGTGGATATCCTCTTTGGGAACGCGACTATCACGTGACCGATAGACAAGCAGCCTAGTTTTGGAAGGACGTCACACATTCGATCCAATGCGAATATTATTTGAGGCAAAAGAGAATGCGAGACGAATAATGGGAGTTCAATCGTTCCAAAAGTATAACGCGTCGTGGATGTTGGCGGGGCTGTATGGCTGTATCTTGAAGCCCGTTTTTGTGCAATGACGTCGACGGTTTTCCGAAGTACATACCAGGAAGCTTCCCACTTCCATGGAAATCGCTACGTTTTCCTACCCGCAAACCCCTCGATGATCCATAGTTTGTGCTTCTTCCTTTCACCAACGTCTCGAGATGTCCAAAAAGGACGAATCGGCCATGTTTCCGGCTCCAAATCGCAATGACAGTACAAGCGACAAGATGAACGAGCAACCACCCACCCCGGAAGGACCAACGGATAGCCATGTCTTGGCTCAGGTTGAACAGGATGAAAAAGGCATATCGCAACAAACCGGCGACACATCCCAAGTGACTGATCTCGGATGGATCACACCCGCCGGCCATATCGAAGAGCCGCTAATTGCTGGACTTTCGAATGAAGATCTGTGGATGTATATCAGACGATTTGACAAGGCAAGTTTGAACAAGAAGCACGGTGTGAATATGAGCTGAGTATGTGTAGCAAGTCTACAATGTCAAAGCTGTGCCGAATGCTCCGCTGCAGAAGCTTGATCTGACCCGATCGGATGACGATGATTTCTCTCCAGACAAGCTGCGCGCAACAATGGAAAGGTTCTACACAACAGTGGTTATTACATTGACGAGCTTTATCAAACACATCGCTCGCCTTCGATCCTGGAAAGAGCCTCGCCGGACGGGCGTCTTTTGCGCGGTAAGCTGAGATTCAGTGCTCATATACTTCATTTCATTAACGGGGCCCCGGAATAGGTTTACGTCATTGCTTGGATCCTAGACTTTCTGGCGCCGGCAATTTTTGCGGCTTTGATCGCTCTGGTCATATACCCACCGTGCCGACCGATCATGTTCCCGCCAGCGCCAATTGCTCTCGTCGACAAAGACACGGGAGGGGTCCAAAAGCCCAAAGCCGGAGTTCTGGGCTCACATGAAAGTATCACAGGTGCTCCTGAAAAATATAAAGGCGAGGCTGCCGAGAAAGAAGCTAGCAACTTGGTAGCAAGTGTTGCGAGCGTGGCTGTTGGCAGTGCAGTCGGAAAGCATGATCAGGGTGTCCCCGAGGATGCACCCCTAGAAGGGTCTGTACCGGATGCAATGGATATTGTATCTAACACCGCAGATGCGCAAAGCGCAGCTCGGGGAGAAATACCGTCCGATACCCACGACAAGACTCGGCAGCCTATGAAGCAAGCCGTCATGGATGGGGCAAACATGGCTATGGAGGTGGTAAGCGACATTACAGATACATTTGAAAAGTTTGGAAAGTGAGTGCTTGACATGAGTGGTTACAGCTATTTGAGTATTGACGTTTCCCAGTGCGTTATCCGCTACGCCGCCGTTTCCTCGACTCTCTCCTCGTTTGCGCCTAGTAGCCGTCCTGGCCCCGGCATGTCTCTTGTCAACTTTGATATCAAGCTATATATTGATGAAAAGCATCGGATTATTTATCGGCTTTGCTTTCTTCGCAGATCCTATTATTTGGCGCGGAATCGCTTGGTTGAACAGCAAATATCCCCGTTGGCAGAGGCTCCTAGAGTTGCAAAAGTAATTCAAGCAGCCCTTTCATACAGTTCCATTCACTGACAGATCCACAGCTCCCTTCTCAAAGGCATCCCAACCAATGCTCAACTCACCCTGACTCTCCTTCGAATTGGCGAAACCAATATGTCACCACTGCCGCCTCCTCCAAACTCACTTGACAAAGCTCCATCGCGACCCGCCTCACTCCATCATGAAGAGCTGACCCTCGGTGCCACTCGCGATGAAATCGAACAGGCTGCCTCGCACGAGCCTCATCTTGCGCCACAAGCGCCAAAGCCAACAGAAGACCCCCACGGAAAGACCCTGGCATCCAGAATCGTCGGCTTCTTTCGTAATACTACTGCAACAGGCGTGGAGAGCAAACGAGGAATTGATCGCATGCGAGCGACGATTGGCTCTCGTCATGCCAAGAATCGCGTCGGTGTGCTGCGTCCCAAGGGGAAGACGAGTACGCCCGTCGGGCCTGTCGAATTTCATGCCAGGTATAAAGGTAAGCGTGGTGCTGTGGTGATCGACTCGTCCCAAGATACCCCGATACTTTACTTCACAACCGATCTACCTCAACCCGGGGACCTGCAAGTGGAGAACCGGAAGAAGGGCTCGGTCTTCTTCAAGATACCAGTGAGTGATATACTGGAAATGAAGAAGCTGGGTGGATTGGGATGGAAAGGAAAGTTGGTCGTCGGATGGGCCATGGGGAGCAAGGAAGTTGTGGATGGCTTGCTCATTAAGGGCAAGGAGCCAGACCAATCGTACCAACTGACGGCGATGGGAACGAGAAATCAGCTTTTCAACCGATTGATTGCGATTGACGGACAGGTTTGGGAAACTTTTTGACATGATGCCCGGATGCGTGCTAAGAGAATCCCAGGTTTGGAAGTAAATTATTGTATTCCTTGCATTCAAGTTTCTATGAGGGGGAAGATGTAGGAGTTTCTGAAGTCATCTCGTGCATGTTATGTTCTCAACCAGCGGGTCGCTATTACATCTAGAATCTGAGGACCTGTGAAATTGACGCCGAAAATGACGGCTTTTGACGCCAGAAACGGCCGCCTTTCCACCCGTAACTTTGGACGGCGAGCGGGTGGTTCACCGCCCACCGCCCAGCACCATCACTATTTTGCACCCACCTAGCGCCTTTAGTTATCATCAACCTTGTCAGGAAGGAGATTTCTCAAGATAGCAAGGAAGGCGAGATAGTTGGTACCGTCATCGGTGCTAGCAGCAGGGATACCAGGGATGTCAGGTGCCTAAACCGTGAAGACCAAAATGTCAATTGGAATTCCCAGCTCCAGAGAGTCATGAAACGCAAGGGCGATGGTAAATACGTACTCCTGGATACTCTCAGTCGATATTGATGCCGTCGAGCCCATTGTCCTTGACGAAGTTCGCAATATTTTTGGCCAAGCCAGTTGATCAAAATTGTGGTACATGGCCAGTTGGCTGGGTTGGGTCCCGAGACCGCACATCGAGTGGGACACGCATTAGATCTCCCTTGATACCCAGGACTGGCAGGGAGCCGAACGGGTTCCGAGATAGCAGTAGTTGGACGGACAGAAAAGAAAAGAGTCAAAAGAGTGACACGAAAGAGAGTGAGGAAGGCACTCCGCGGCTTCCGCTACGAAAGCGAAGTAGACGACCACGACATAAGCTATAGTGGAATTTGCTTCTTGTTCTTCTCCATGATGGATGATGAGCCCGTGAGCTTTATAGGTTAGTAGACCTCCCGTTTGATTTCGATCAAATCTCATCGGAAGTAGTCTGCCTCGCGCTCGCACTCGGTGGAGACAAATTGTAGGAGACAAGGGTCGCGAAGGGTCCGAGTCGCGAAGCAAACATAGCATAATGCTAGTACTAGCGCAGTGGGATGAAAGTAACCACCGTACACTAAAAAGACACTAAGAGGCACTAAGATAAACTAGTATTATTAAAGAGATTCTTGTACACCGTACATGTATAGTCAAAACTGGGATACTAAGTGGGACTAAGTGGGAAACCCCGACGTCCCCCCGTTAAACTGAATTCCCTTCCATAAAATCCTTCGCAACTCATTCATTACAACTTGGGGCTTACACTCGTTCAACTTCTCTGTCTTGCATCGCAGCATCGATCGCTGGTCCAACGAGCACGATGAGCTACCCCAATATGGGTATTTTTGAAGTGGACTTGGTGTTCCCACGCAATGTTACCTATACCCCCCAGGCGCTGATGCCCATCGTGTGGGCGCTGCAGAACCCAAGCATGGCTCCCCCATTAGCGAGCTACATTACTTGGAACCTATGGGAAGGCAACAACTATAGCTCACCAGGCTCCCTCGACGGGGGGCTCATTGAGCTGCTTGAGGAGGACCCATCCAGTAAACGGCTGATCTCGAGGTTCTTCAACACCATTGACTACCCAGATGGATATTGGAATTTGACTTGGTCTCTGGAAATCTCCAATTGCTCTCGGTATTCGGGCCCACCCCACACCCTCACGCGAAGTGGTTCTACCGTCTTTACGATTAGTAAATCGGGCCAGGAACCCGATCTGGTGGCTGCCACTTCTGCCGGTCAATGTGGCGCGATGGAAGCATATGCCTTCAACGTGACATCCTTCGGTTCTGCTTGTGGTCATCTCGGCCAGACTCCAACCACCAATCCGTGCGCCGTGAACATCAGCTCATCAGCCGCCTCCAGTCTATACGCCTCGGCCACCGCCTGGGCCTGTGCACCCAATACTCCCGTGAATCCCAACGTGACCTGTCCGACCATCACCAGCACGTCTTCTGCCAGCAATCCGGCGAGTCGATCGCGCATGGCCACAGCACCGGCCTTGTTGATGCTACTGGTCTGGGTAATCAACCTCATCTTGATGGGGTAGATGAGTTATCCCCTACTATCATGTAGTCTGTTATCACTTTGTTATAACATGTGTGTTTTATTAGGGGGTTGATACTCGCACCGCCCCTACCTGATTTTTTTAGGCATTCATCCCAAATAGGTTTAGTCTGTTGAAATAATTCCACCGCCCGGGTTTCCATGTTCAATTCCTCAGCTTGGTGACCAGCTTTCCTGCGTGTCCTCCGGAGTATGGCATGGACTTGACAATAACATGTGTTGCAGTTGTTAAGGCTTGATATATGACACATGGTTGTTTAAAGTAATATCTGGTATCAATGAATAGATGGAAATGCCCGATATTCCACGAACGCCTCGACCACGAATTAGCAGCAAATGCCTTCCCCATGCCAGCCTCTTCACGGAGGCAAAAAAACAGAAACAAAAATTAAGTAAAAACCAAAATCATCTTTCAAGGGGATGGTAGACCGGTGTATGTCAGTCTCGTTCATGCAGGTGTGACATCGATGGGATCCGGCTTCTCGGAGTCCTCGTCTTTGGGTGCATCAGTCTGTTCCTCACTAGCTTTGGTAGACTCATCGGCAGGTCCCCTGTCTTCTGTATCATCATTTTCGCCATCGTCGTCTTGTATCTCATCATCACCGCCATCGTCATCTTCTTGGGCTTCCTCGCCAGGAATCTCAGCCTCGCCTTCGCCTTCATTGTCGTTGCCATCTTCGTCCTCGTCCCCATCTCCTTCGTCTCCTTCGGCTTCATCGCCACCTTCGTCACTGCTGCCAGCACCCTCATCCTCGGTGTCGACAGTACCCGAGTCAGTCTTGTTCAAGTTCGGGAATAAAGGCTTCTCCAACTTCTTCGGTTTTAACTCGTCGTCGCCTTCGTCATCGCTGTCCTGCGTGCTGTTGGGGTCACTTGGCTGTACAGCAACATTGTTTTCTGTCGTTGATGCTTGCTTCCCAGGCTCTTGAGGAGCAGAAGTAGGTCCTGATGTAGCAGTCGTACTGGGTCTTCGTGGTGCTGATGAGGGCTGTTCAGGCTCCGTTGCAGCGGTGAATTTGGCTGTAGTACGAGGCCCCAGTTTGAGATTGACGATTGTATCAGCTCGTTTCTGGATGTCTCGACGGGCAATACCCTTGGTGCGTCCTCGGGGTGCCGGAGTGTCAGCGGCTGGGGCAGAGCTTGCCGGTGTGGACACCTCGGTAGTGGCATCACCTGCCATGAGAAGATGATCGACCTTCATCTTCTCTTTGTTTTCCTCGTTGACCTGCTCGATGAGCTGGGGCATGTTGAGCTCGTAGACGCGGGCGTAAAGATCCGCGATAAGATCTTCAAACATGGTAACTTTCATCAAGTTGTTATTGAGCTTCTTCAGCTCCAGGGAATCACGAATTAGCTCAAGAAGTGGCTGACTCTCTGCCGCTAGTTGATTCAAGTCTTCGAGTCGGGCTGTCTTGGTGGAGAATTCTTCCCAGCCAATAGGCCTGAAGACACCTTCCTCGTGTCCCTCTTTGATGTGCGCAGCTCTCCGAATCATCTTGGCGTACGTTAAGCAAATATCCTCCCACAGCTTGGTGTGATTGATGAAATCGCCTTGCTTCTTCCTCACGCGTCGAAGCAATTGATCTAGACTTGCACGATCGTCGAGTTCATCGAGAAGGTCGACGAAGAAATAGACGTAACGGGTTGTGTAGACAAAGTGTCTTCCGGGACGTTCGTACTCAGGACGCCACACTTGAATGGTGAGCGTCTTGGTAAAGATCTGAGACAATTCTTGTTTTGCTGCGGCTGCTGCTGCTGCGTTCTTCTGATCATCATAAATGACATGCGCAGCCTGAGAAAGTTAACGGCTAAGGTCGAGGTAGTTAGAAATACGGGGGGTTGTACCTTAGCGCTTATCCTGTGATGCCAATTCGACTTATCGCCGCTCTTAAACTTCTTAATGACCTCAAGGATGTATGGTTTCCAGCCCTCGGTGCTATCAGGAGCATCCACCTTGCGAGCCCATGGCGTCGCCAGAAGGACTTGGCTTCCTTCGACGGGCTGATTTTGTGGTCAGCTAGTAGTAAAAACGAACAACAGGATTGCACTTACAGTCATCTTTCCGCTCACGACGAGTTTGTGAACCACAGACAAGAGCTTGAAATGGGGCTCGAAGATGGGATCAGAGCGGGAATCTTTTCGTTGCGGAAGGGCTGCGATCGCATCAATAAGAGCGTCAACTACATCTTGCATTTCAATTCGCTTTGAAGTCGTTCGCTTCGAGTCGTCGCAATTGAACATCTTCCAGAGACACTTGCTGAGGAAGTACTGCGTTCTGTTCGACCGTTAGGAAGTCAATATTCAAAAGGCCCTTGGATTTGGGGAAACTAACATCCAGCGATTTGGTTTGTCGGTGACTGCCCTTCTGAGAAGATTGCTGGCGAAGTTCCAGACCGTGTATAGAGACATCTCTTTAAATGGCTGGCTTTTGTACATTTGTTGACTCTCTGCATTGCTGAAGTGACGAGAGAAATCGGTGAGGCCAAAGGCACCCATTGAAAGCGGCTCCCGAGAAGAAGAGTACATGCGAATTCCGAAATCGGTGTACAGATCTGATAAAAGCGCACGAGTTTCTGTCGTTGGCTCCGCGGTTCTGATGGCTGTGGAGACGGCCATTGCATAGCAATGGATGGCGTATCGCTGGATGGTTGCCAAGTCACTGCGATTGTTGTTGATCTTGTCCGCAGCCCAGGTGATGTCTTCCTCCAACTTCGCATCATAAGCCTGCGCGAGCCGATACCAGGTCTCCCATCTTCCAGTCCCATGGTCCAGATCCTGCCTGAAGAAGTTGATGGCATCATCTAGCTCCGAAGTTGACCCCGGACCGAGCCGTTTTTGAGACCGGAATTTGGTGAGCGCAGCATGACCGAGGAGAAAATACCAGCCTTTCGCCGCGATTGTTGCATTTTCTCCAGGCACTGTCATCATGGAGAGGTCCGTTACGCCCTGGACGGCGCGAAGAAGATTCGAGGGATTAACTGGGGCCTTGATGTATGCATTGAACACACGACGGTTGAAGCTCATTTGCGGCGATTGCGATGGAAGCTTTGCAGGGCCAATCGCCTGTTGCATCTTTTCAATGGTCGTTTTCAACTCGGACTTCGACAGGTCCTTCATATTCATCTTCTGTGCTTGTCTCATAACAAAATCGATCATTGCTATGGCTGTAGGGCGATCCAGTTTTTCAGGGGAGCATCCATGATCAGCAGTTCCATCAAACGGCGAAAACTTGATACCATGGAGGTCGAAAAGAACCTGGCAGATGTCAAGCTCATAGTCTCCTTTGGTCTCAAGATCGAACAGCTCGGATTTCATGAGTTTCAGGAAGCGCTTTTGGGAGTATCTGCACATGGAACGAATGCCAAGCGCATTGTGTACGCACCGAAGTAGTTGAACACGATCTTCCAACGGCTCATCGAAAAGGTCCTTGTTCTGAGAAATTGCTTCCACGAAAAGGGTATATTGCAGGATCCAGCAGCGGACGTATAGCTCCCGCAACCTTTCCTTGAAGTTCTCCAACGATTTGGCTAGAGACCCACGAAACTCGCGTCCGGAGGTTTGGCCTACCCGTACTGAGTCTTCATACAAGATGAAGCTATGAAGCAGCCTCACCAGTCGAGCCACTGCAGATATGGAAGCTTGCAAATGTTCCATGTCCACACACTCATAGGCTTGTTCTGACTGCTGCAGGATGAGAGGAATGGCTTTAGCCAAGATTCCATCAAGTGACTTGAGCCAGCCCAGCATGGAAAGCTGTCGTTGTCCGTCTGTTTCCTCGATATGCTTTGCATCTTCAAGTTCTGTCATAATCGTCTCGATGCTTCGTAAATAACAGGACACAACCTTGGGAGGATAGTCGATAGCTTGATATGCTTCTTGGAGTCTCCGCCAGAGAAACAAGCGCAGGGTGGCATCTCCTCGGTCAAGGAAGGAAACCATCTCGGTAAGATGTGAAGAAGGGGAACTCATTTCACTTTGCTCAGATGACCCCTCCACGTATTCAATTGACGAAGGCTCAAGAATAGGTTCAATGGCTTCAATCAGCGATACTGGATCTTCAGATTCAGAATTGAAAACCTTTGCGAAGAAATCCATGCACTTCAGCTTCAGGACTTCTTGGTCGATCGTGGCTGCAGACATTTCCGACATGGCGGAGTTATTTACAAGGCTGATACTTGGGTCGCCAATCGACTGCAAAATATGCTTTAGATCTTGAAGACAAAGCAAAATGTGCTCTCGTTGAGATTCGCCAGCAAGGTTTACATGGAACGCCGATGTCCATAGATGACGAAGAGCAATATTTTGTCGGCATTCATCGGACGGGCAGTGATCAATGAAATGATCCAAGGAAGATCTGGCGAGCATTCCCCATCTGGCTAATCGATCACTCTGGGCCAGTCTTTTCGCTTGGCTCGTCTCACTGCTGAGGTTTTCAACAGAGGCAAAGATGTCCAAGTGAAGCTCATAAATAGACTGGATCATTTCAAGTTCGAAAAAGTCCTTTGTCTGGTAATGGAAAGGAGCTTCGTCGTTCGAGTCAAGGATGCGACGTTCGAGGTTTGCGATAAGCTCGCTCAGCCTGGAATAAAGAAACTCGTCCTCTCGAAGCAAGAGAACCAAGACAGTCTCCTTGAGTCCACTGGGCCACAGGAAAAACTCATATGCCGATTTCATGACCGGCCATTCCGAGGAAGCTTCTCCAAATGCCGGCATAAGTAGGCATTTGAGCCATTCGAATGAAGTATCGTGTGGGTGTAGCCACTCGCTGTTGACTGAGTCTGAAAAGGAATGCAGTTCCTCTCCAGATGGCAATTCTTCCTGGAGTGTCTGCTTGCGAGTTGATTTTCTTGAGTGCTCAAGGAAAACAGCCAAGCCAGACTTGCTAGTGCCCCGAATATCCTTCAGAGAGGAAAGGTCGTCTTTTTGATGCATCAAGCGGGACTTCGCATCATCCCAACCCTTGAGAGTTCCACGCAGGTCATGGATTAATCTGGATTCAGTCTCTTGCGGAGTATCTTCGGCATCGATCGCAGCTGTTGCCTTTTCTCTCAGACCTTCGATGCTTCCTAGCGCTTCAATGCCAACCTTCGAATACAGAGAGCTGACCGTGTTGAACATCCAGTCATCCGCATTGACGAAAATCTCCAGACGACTCTCGTAGTATTTCTCTTGGTCAAAAGCAATCTCCTCCGGAACTATTAGTCCGTCGGCGTTGGACTCACGCGCTCGTGTTCGCCGACTCTTCATTCGCCCCTCTTGCTGTTCGTCGTTTGCGGCTGATGCCGACGATCTTTTACGAGCTCCAGATGGGGATTTGGGCTCCGTTTCCTCAGCCTCGGCCTCGGCATCGTTTTCAGCAACTTGTGCTTCGGGCGGTTGCACAGAGTAGTGACCTTGCAATGACTCCCTGAGCTGCTTCTCTGCACTCTGGTCGATTGAGGACTGCTCTTCAGGTGCCTCATTTGGTGCTTCGGTGGTCTCCACAGGCGGCTTCTCGGGCTCCGTGCCTTGCTCGCCCTCTTGCACCATGTCCACATCTTCATCCATAACTTTAGGTTCGTCGCGATCGAGCTCAGGAGCTTTCTCTGCTTCCTCCGTTTTTATAGACTCGGCCGCTTCCGAGCCTCTCTGCGGTAAATTTATGCGAATAGACTGGCTCGGAGCGGCCGCCAGCGACGCCTCGTCCTCAGCATCAAGTGCTTGAAGAATGGCTTTCCCAACTGATTCCCAGGTTGAACTCGAAGGAGTTATCTCCCGTCTAGAGGTGGAGAGAGCAAGAGGGCCTTTGGACGGATCAAGCGACTCCAAATCGGCTGGAAGATTGGGTAAGTAGGGATACGAGTCTTCGTGCTGCTTGAGATATTTCACGAGAGCCTTCTTTGGCTTCTTGACGGGGACTTGAGAAGCAGATAGCCCATCAAAAAGAGACGTGAGAGTGCTCCGCAGACGCTCCTCTGAAAATATCTCCTCCAGCCCAAGTTGTTCTGAACGTATCTCTAGACGATTGTCGTCATCTGCCAGCACACTCTCTAAGCAGAACCGGTTCAAGCGGTAACTCTTCAGGGCACTGCTGAGCCGTGCACTTTGTCTCCACAGATTGAGATCGGTGTCATCCCGTTCCAGGGCATCCGCAAATGAACCCAAAGCTTCCTTCGTTGCCTTGATTGTCTTTTGTGCTGTATCCTGTGCAGTGTCCTGGCGCGCATTCCGTACAGTATCTTCGAGCGAGTCGAGAAGGTATCTCCCGTGGTTCTTGTAGGATAGGAAGAGCGTTTGGAACAGACTGGATGTCGAATCGTTGACATTGAAGGCGACCGCTTCGGTAGGGCTTTCATCGACACGGCCGGCGCTGTGCGTATCTGATTGCCGCGCCTGCTTGAAGTCCGAGATGGATTCAGGGTATTTAAAGATCTCCGAGCCGAGAAGAGCCTCGTATGCTTCCGCCGCTTGATGATAAAAGTCAGGGCCTTGTGCATGGAGCTTCAATGCACTCTGATATAGCTTCAGAGCCTCTTCGATCTGAAGCTCCTTGGTATCGTCGACCTCCTCCTCAACGGCGTCGTCGGGCTCAACGTTCAGAGCGACCCAGCTCGCCATGGTGGGGGCTCCGCGTAGGGCGTACTCAAGGACCAATATTTAAAGTGAATAAGGTCTTCGGCATCGCACAGAGGCCTCGGTGAGAGCGAAGGAAAGTAGATTGAAGGGACACGAAAGACGCAGCTCTAAATCGCGGTCCGCGCGTTGGCCCAAACGGGCAAGAACGCTCTCCGCCTTGTTGCCTGGGCGCCTGATGCTCTTTCAGGCAAACAGTGTTGTCGACAACAACTTCCCCTCGCCATCTTCAGAGGAATAAAAGCACCACGCCGAGCTTGACTAATACTCGATTGAATTTCGCATCCTCTTACTGTTGATACCCTTCCGCATGTGCAGGCGCCATGGTCGCGCCCGCTGTTCCTGAGTATGTGCTCCTGAATCCTTGGTTTACGTGTTCCCCGATATGCGTGCGCATGGCCATTGCCCGTTCCTGGCGGGGGCTGCGATTGCGCAACCGGCAAGAAATGTGAACTGACATCCGAGAATTTATCCAGGATCCACGAGGAGGAGGATATCTATGTTGCGGTCGATGCGCGGACAGAGTCGCTGCAGAGCTTGCGGGAATTGGGTCCCCCGGACCTGGTATATCTGGTGAAACAGCCGAAGGCCAACTCAACCCGTCAGGTATGCCAATATACCGGTCGATTATAGTGTGGAGTTAACATTAACAATTGACGATTCTCTCTACCTGCAGACTGGCGTGTATCACCATGTCACCGGAATCGATGCCTCCTCCTCCGCCAGCCTAGCCGCCTACGTCAACACCCTCACGTTCTCTCCCCTTGATAAGACACACAAAGTGGTATCAGGAATCTACTGGTGAGAACATCCAATCTGGTTGCTGTGCAATCCTCTCACTAATGACCGACCAGCTGTTACAATGCTTTCTCCCATCTGGACATGCGAGTCGAAGTCAAGATCCCCGGAAGCTTGGAAAGCTACTGCATTGACGAGCGCGGCGACAAACGTGTGGCAACCGAGGCACTCTGGCTGGAGACTTTCCTATGTGCCGTCCTTAGGGCCTACTTGTACGCCGATAATGGAAGCGGAGATGCCATCAAGAAAATTGTCGGGGTCCGCCGCTTCAACCCGGTCACAAACACTGAAATGGAGCACAAATTCTTGGATGCTGCTGAAAAACTCTTCTTCTTGGGTATGTCTCATCGCATCGTCATCTACATAAGCTTGATTTTAACGCTGACAACTTTCCAGGACGCCAGCTCAGTTCAGACCCGGAAACGCAAGTCCCCAATACCGTTAGCAACCACCTGACATCAGGTATCCTGAAATACATCTACACAACCGGCCGCTATACCTCTGGCATCAACCTGTTCGAGAAGCTGCGCACACGGGATGTTGAGGTCTCGTCCCTCCTGGCTCGGGTACAATTGATGGCCGATGAGGAGGTACAGGCGGTGCGACTGCTGTACGATGCCTTGCAGGATGTCCCGATGGACTACGCTCTACTTGATTGCCAAGCGGCCTTCTGTCAGGAAAAGGGTGAGGGTGAGATGGCACTGGAGTGTGCCAAACGGGCGGTAACTGCGGCTCCAAGTGAGTTCAGCACCTGGGCTCGACTGGCGGAGGTATATGTTGGCATGGAGCAATGGGACCTGGCGCTTCTGACCCTCAACTCCTGCCCTATGTTCACGTATCAGGACAAGGATACCCCGCGCATGCCGCAACCCTCTCGCATTATGCTTCCGATTCTTTCAGAAAGTATCCTTGATGAGATTGATGAGGGCCAACCTAAGCAAGGAGACCCACATGACTATGTCCACCCCTCTCTGCGAAAGTTGCACGCCGCCGGCTATCAGGGCACGTTTTTGAAGGCCTACAATTTGCTGACGAAGATTGCTGCGGCAATCGGTTGGGATCAGCTTCTGAAGGTCCGCAGCGAGGTTTTTGTCATGGAAGAAGAGTATCGTGTCGAGCGTCATCATGCGCCCAAACCCGCACAGTCGCTCGAGCCAGAGACTAATGGGAATGGAGCTGAGGATGAGGATGAAGACGAGGAAGACACTGGCTCTGTCACGGGCCCTGGACTCGCAGAGGCCTCTGAGGCTGCTGCCAATGGTAACAGTGATGAGGCTGATGCAGAGAACACCATCGAGCGCCCCGAGCAAACAATGGCATCGGAGGTTGTGAAGTCGGGTAACGATGATGTAGGTTGCTCATCTTATAGACATTCTATGATTAATTTGCTGACTCTTCCAACAGCCCGATACATCCCACAGCGCCTACACCCAGTTCCGGAACAAGCGCCTTTGTGAGCGCTGGCTGGACAATCTTTTCATGGTTCTTTACGAAGACCTCCGCATCTACACTATCTGGCGAACTGAAATGGCCCAGTTCCGCCAGCAAGCCATGGAATACAAGAAGTCCGCCACCGAGTGGGAGATCCTCGGCGAGCTCGCCGAGCGGCTGGACCACTTCGATGAGGGCATCGAGGCCTATCAAAACTGCTTGTCGATTCGTTTCTCGCCCAAGGCCACGCGTGGACTTTTGAAGCTGTATGAAAAGAGGAACGACACAAGAGGCATGCTGGGCGCATTGATCCGCCTGATCGCATGGCAGTACCGTTGGTACTCCGAGGTATGAATATTGACACCCCAAAAGATGAGCTGCAATACTGACTACCTATAGTTCTCTCCCGAGCTTCTATACATGATGCGGAAGCTGATCGAGGATGAGGGTGCTGTCAAGGTGCGAAGTATCGTCCAGGCTACCAACCTACCCCAGCCAGTTCTGGATCTCACACATCAATACTGCCAACTCTGTGCTACTTTCCGTAGCAGCGGCAGCGATACTTGAATCGAGGTCTGGGAAAGCTGGATGTGGCATTGTGAACTGCCTGGATTCCAGATGTAAAGCGACGCCGGGGTTAATGACTATCTCCGATTGATGAGACTTGTTATCTCTATAATTCTCCTGTTACTCGATTTATTACTACTAGTAACGTAGGCTAGAAGGTATATACTAGGTGTTATTTCTTTTTTCTCTTGCTGTTCTAAAACTTGTAGTTGGGAAATTGGCAATTGTTGTAAGTTAGATACCATCACATGACTATGAAGGGCAAGGACTTGCCAGAATCGACTATCCTAGAAACAGGAAAAGCCCTAACTGCCCAGGTGGATATCAATGTTGACAGTAACCTTAAAAGCGAGTGACCAGGGACCTCATGAAAAGGTTTGAGCTCTGTGAAATCACTACAGATGGCCCGTTACAAGTATACACCATAGTGCAACCCTCTACGACCTTGGAAATGACAAAACCAGCCAGATCTACTCAGTATACCTCCATATACTCCCTCTAAACAATTTAGATCAGAGTCGAAGACGGGGAAAAAAGCCATACAGCCATCCCATTGAAAACGAGGTTTTTAATCCTAGCCAAAAAAAAGGTCTTAACTTCACTCTTCGGCATCAACCTCAGGGAGATCTGACTCCTTGGGAATATCGCCGCCCTTAGCCTTGGCCGCAGTCGCCGCAGGACCACTGGGTTTAGCCGTATCATCGGCCTCTTCCTCTTCTTCCTCCTCCTGTCCTTCAGCATCGTCGCCATTGGCGCCATTCTCCTCGGCATCCTCTTCGTCCTCAACGGTGGGCGCGGTCTTTCGCTTCTTAGCTTTAGGAGGGGCTGGAGTGTATGAAACGGTCAGGAAATGGATCAGTACAGTAGATAAGAGATGAAACGCACCTTCGGCTTCGGCTTCTTCCTCTTCTTCCTCTTCATCCTCATCATCCTCCTCGCCCTCCTCTCCCTCGCCCTCGTCGCTCACATCTGAGGCCTCGAGTTCGGAGTCTTCGTATCTATAACAATGCGCGATCGAGTTAGTGGACTTTTCTCGACATCTTGGGTTGTGTCTTGCAAGGGATTGACTGCGCAGGGTGATGCGATCAACGCGCGACCATTCGGGGGTAAGCAGAATGAACCGAATGGCTCAGCGCAAAGCTCGGAAGGCGCGCGCAGCGCTAATTGGACCGAAATGGATACGGGGAAGCACGCTTACTCTTCTTCCTCTTCGCTGTCGTCGCTAGGGAGAGCCTGGAGCTCCTCCTCGGGGTCTTGCTTTCTCTTGCGAGTAGACATGGTGGACAATGTATGAGTTATTTAAATTCAATTCGCGTAGTATAGGTGCGGAGGGTGGAGAAGGGAGGTGTAGGTGTAGGTGTAGGTGTAGGGGAGGGGAAAGGGTGAGGAGATGAAATCTCACCCTCGTTATATAGGAAAGGGGAGGGTCTCCAGGGTTCCGGAGCTCCAAAGGGGCAACCAAGGGAGGGGAACGTAACGAATAGGTGACGACATGGGCTGATAGCTTACACTGCCATTTTGTGGAGACGGGTGCGTGGCGATGTGTGCTGCAGTGCGTGCATCCCGGTAGTTCTAATTACGCTTCCTTCTTTCCCGCTCAGACCTCCGTGGCTGGGACTTTCAGCTGTGTATTTCTCTCTTTCTCTCCGACTGTCCAGCCTACTGCGCCAAGAATTCAAAGTTCGCCATGCTTGGGTCTAGCAGGTTCTCGTCAAGGCCGAATCCATATGTTCCGACCATGTCGTAGATCAGGTCTGGAGGCGGGAATCCCTGTGCCATCGCATTCGCGCCCCCCGGCACTTCGCTGCCATCCATGCCGCTGCCATTACTAGTGCCCACTTGCCATGCAGCCTCCCAGGAGTCGAATCGCTCGAGCATCTTGCCTAGCCCACGTGCTATGTGTCGTGTCAAGTGCCGCTCACCTGCAGAGACGCAGTTCATGAGCTCGATCACGCGCTCGACCAGCCGCCGCACTTGGCGTGCGTTGATGCTTAGATAGGCGGAGTTCCAGTTAATCGCGACCTTGAGCAGGAAGACTGCGGAAAAGGTCACCATGGTGTGGGTGAAGATGGGGACACCGACGATCGCATCACGGATGTCAGGCTCCTCGAGTACCATGTTGAGGCAGGCCATTGCAGATGAAATAGCAATATTGGCCGATTCTTTGCGATCCATCGAGAAGACAGGAGTGTTCGACGGTGAAAGAGCTCGAAGCGAAAGCGAGTTAAGTTGGAATTTAGCAAAATGGTAATGTAGTACCACTCCCTTGGAGGGGTATGTCCGCACATACGGGCTGTCGGCTGTAGTAAATTAGAAATATTGTTCGACAAAACACCTCAGACAAGACATACCAGATCGGGGCTGCCAGAGCAACCGCCATTGATCCACGGCAACGTTATATACTCTCAATTGACCAAAGTCCTCTTCGGTCAATGCCTGCTCGGTGTCGCTGCCAAAGGTCCGGTAGGCCTCGGTCAAAATCATGAACAGGGCGACCTGGGCCAGAAGGCGTATGTCGCCCGGAACAACCGATGGGAACTCGAGGAAGGTTTCGTAGTTCCGGATAGCCACATCCTCGTGGATGACGGGTGGTCGTCCGTAAGCTATACTGAAGTGGTGATCGCAGACATAGAGCAAGTACCAAAGCTGTGCACGCTCATACTGGTCAGTGTTTCCGCGAGTCAGGCGCTGGTAGCTCTGGTGCAATCCCATCTCGGTTGCAATGCGTACTGCATGCCCGGAGAGCTTCCAACTCAGTTCCGATAACCAGAACGCGCCAACACAGAGACCGCGGATATCATCCAGGGTGTGGGCCCGTGTAAGCGCCATGCTAGACACCAACGACACATACTCGTTATAGCACCGATTCAGTGTATCTGTGCGATTGGGAATATGAAGTGCCGCAACAGTCAACACTGCAGCGGAGAGTAGGGTTGATGCGCGACGGACCGAGGTCAGATCTCGATGCACCAGAATTATCCCGCCCCAAAGCAGCTGGTTCATGGTGCGACTGAAGTATGCAAAGAGCTCTTCCGCCTCGTGTAACGAGATCAATCCCCGTGTAATGAAGTCTTCTTCCAGCAGAGTCTTTCTGGGTGCTTCAATGTGGTTATTCCGTAGGTTTCGCAATTTGGTAACCTCATATAAACTGCGCATGGGTGCCGGGACCAATTCCGGGTCCGGTTCTTGGGATGGCTCCCTGGTGACATCCATCACGACACCAGGTCCCTCTTGAGGAGTAGCGTGTGGGTGCGATTGCGACGCATCAATGGACGCTCGGTGGCCATGGTGCGAGGAGGCCGGGCTGGGTCCATTGCGACTTTCACCAGTCGAGTAGGTTGAAAGATCAGGGAGTCCGGCTTGTCGCAAAAGTTGCGACACCGCAGTTTGCAGTTGCTGCATCGACGCAGCTGCCTGAGACTTCCATCTATGTAGGGATTGGATTAGCAACGATTCCTTTGCGACAGCTCGGGATGTTTCCCGGAGCGCGGGGTCAGGAAACGTACAGTCCGTCGTCGTCGACGAATTTCTGCGAAAAATCGTTCACCACGCATTTGATGCCACTGCGAAGACATTTTGTGCAGTTTGTCTCACCCGGTCGGAATTCGCAGCGGATCTTATGGCGTTTGCACTCGGCGCCTGCCTGGAGTCAGTCAATGCAGCGATGTGGGGGTGGCGAACACTCACATGCGCGAGCCTTGGAGATCTTGGGCGTCTGCCGTGAATCTGCAGAACGATCTTTTGGTGAATCTAAGCCAGCCTCCGTTGAGGAGCGCTTGAGTGGAGTCGAAGCATCCATGAAGGAATTCGGTGATGCTCCGGGGGATGCGGGTTAGGGGGCAAAAGACTGGCGGGGGAGTGGAACAGTCGGGGGAGACCGAGGGTGGATTCGCGGTGTGCCCTCATCTGGATCCACGCTTGAAGGCTGTGCGCTTGCCATCTGTTTGAAGATAGGACCCTTGCTATAATGTTAGTCTCTTTCTACTTAAGGTTGCTAGGTATACATACTTCACTACCATCTGTTCCTGTTCCTGGCACCAACACCCAGCGCATACATTACATTAGCTGGCGGAGTATACCCCGTTCCTTCATCACCAATTGTCTAGTACAATAATGCGCATGGTCTAATGGAGCGCCCTGAGATGCGCCGGTGATAGAGCGACGGCATTCGTGGAGCAGATCCACCGTGAAGGAGACCAGCCGGCCCAAGTCCGGTGCGGAGGGTGAACGGCGGATCTCCTCGGACTTGCTGCGAATGCGGAGAGAAGCTCCGATGCGCTCATAAACCCACTGTTGGTTAATTCCTGCTCACCCAACAATCGATTATTCTTTATTATGCATATTCTCATCACCGGTGCTGCCGGTTTCATCGGCCAGCTACTCGCCAAAGAACTCTTGAATGACTCCGAATACCGCGTTACCTTGACAGATATCCATCAACCCCCAGTCCCCCAGGGCGTTCGCTACCCCCAGAATGCAACTTCAGTGAAGGCAGACCTCCTCGTCGGGGCTAATGATGTTGTTGACCCCTCTATCGACGCCGTCTATGCCTTCCATGGCATCATGTCTTCAGGCTCCGAGGCCAACTTCGACCTGGGCATGAGCGTGAACGTTGACGCGACCCGCAACCTGCTCGAGGCACTGCGGCATACCTGCCCCGGGGTGCGGGTGATCTACGCATCCAGCCAGGCCGTCTACGGTCAGCCGCTGCCCGAGGTAGTGACTGACAGCGTCATCCCAACACCCGAGTCCTCGTACGGCGCCGAGAAGATCATCTGTGAGACCCTCATCAATGAGTATACCCGTCGCAAGTTCATCACGGGTTTCACTCTGCGCTTCCCTACTATCTCAGTTCGTCCGGGTGCGCCTACTGCCGCTGCTTCTTCGTTCCTGTCGGGTATGGTCCGCGAGCCTCTGGATGGCAAGGAGTGTGTTATCCCCATCGAAGACCGCTCGTTCAAGTCATGGCTTTGCTCGCCCAAGACTCTTGTTCACAATCTTCTTGTTACCCTCCGTCTTGACGGTGCCTCTGTTCCTCCGCACATCCGCCAGATTAACGTTCCTGGTATCTGCGTGACCGTCCAGGGAATGATGGATGCGCTGGAGAAGGTGGGTGGCAAGGATAAGCTGGCTCTGCTTCGGGAGAAGGAAGACCCTGCTCTGGTGCCGATTCTCAAGTCATGGCCTACGCAGTTTGATAACTCCCAGGCTATTTCGCTGGGAATGAAGCGTGATGAGTCGTTTGAAGTGGCCGTGCAGGATTACAAGGTGCAATTGGAGAGCTCACGATCATGAACATAGACGCAAAAATAAATATTTACTTTACAAGCTCTTATACTCTTTGCATCTCCAAGGAAATCGGGACGACACGCTGGTTGATCGGCGGACTTCCGCCCTTTGAGACCTGAGGTTGGGGCTACATTGGCTGCGCTGGTTGCCTTCGTCAATAGAAAGGTATCTGTCAATCCTAGGCTCATGCCATTAAAACACGTGAAGAAGCGAAATTATTTCCAGACAAAAAGGTAATAAGCAATGAATCCGAATGTTCCTGAACCATCAAGCACGAATCCAAAACGCCTCTGCCGAAATCCTTGTATCCCTGCCCATTGGTGTATCCAATCCATCGCAAAGTTTGCAAGCACGAAGCAGAATCAAATCATAACAGTCATGATAAAAGAGACATTACAATGGCTTAAATCTCGTTCTCAGGAGCCAAGTCGAACTTCCTGGTTGGCAATTTTCTCTGTTTCTTGCCAGGCGAGGCAGTTGGTGAGGAAGGTGTGAACATGCTGTCTGTGAGGTTCAACTGGTTCATGCGTTGCAACGCATTCTCAATGTCGCTTTCTCGGCCCAGGAGATTGGATGATCGGCTGGGCGGGACATGCTTGGATCGAGGCTTACGCGTGGGTGACTGAGAACTCATTTCACGCTCAAGAGCTGCAACGCGGCGGCGGAGCTGCTCATTCTCGTCCTCGAGATCTTGCACTTTCTGATCGGAGGTTGGCTCGGGATCTTCAAAAACTGGTGAAACGGTTAGTCGTGAACGAGAAAGCAGCCTTTGAAATGGCTTAGGCTTACTGTTAAATCCTCGAGAAACCAGCTCGATCTTCTTATCGATGTGCTCGTCATTACGGCCAGACTGTGAACTGTCAGTGACACATACCATGGCTGCAGAGTAAATTACTTACCTGTTCATCCCAGGCCGTCTGCCACCGTTTCCGCTCTGCTTCCATCATCTCATCCATCTCAGCCCAGCACTCTTCGCGGACTTCTTGTTCAATCATAACGCATCGGTCCTCAGCAGCTGCAAGTCTGATTTCTAGCTCGGATCGTGCGATCTCTTCCTCGGCAAGTCTCACAGCCAGACCGTGGCAATCCTTTGTGAGCCTCGTGATCTCCGCTGCAGCACGCTCCAATTCTTCGATCTGAGCAACGTTTGGCGAGGTACGTCCGCTGGCCGATCGTTCCTTGCTTGAGACAGCCGACAGTATGGATTCAGTGAGCGAGGGCACTCGGGGAACAGTGACTTCGCGGGCCAACGCAGAATAGCGCAAGATCTGCGAAGTGGCATTGAAGTCACCCAAGGGATCTGCTGTCACAACCATGATAGCCTTTTGTGGGTGGAGACCTCGAGACATTTGGTTGGACGAAGGAAAGGAGTTGGAGAACAGGAGCTCCGTCAATTTGCATTGGCGGAAAGGAACGAGAGCAGTCTGCGTTATGTTAGTGACTGTCACTGAGCCTCAGTAATGGTCCGGCATACCTTGATTCCATCCTGCAAATTGCTCTGCATCTGGAGGCACTGTCCCAAATACATCAGACTTTCGTTGATCTTGCCGGCCTCCGCGAGAGTAGCGCCGGCAGTTTTCGCCGTTCTCGCTCGCTCAGAGCCTAGAAATGTCAGGATCTAGATCAATCCTTTTGTACAATGTACGTACCGGCCAGGTCGACAACAGTAAGGGTGTTTCCAACCCAGTTGGCCTCCCCGTAGCGTTTGCTATGTGTCAGTTTCTTGACCTCAAGGCAGAAAAAACCATGGCTTCGGGAGCTGACGCTGTTTGCTCCAGTGCCGGTAACTTTTCGTTCCGTCAAACCAACGTCGAGGATAGCCAATGCTTCCTCATAGGAGCTGCAGGCAATCTTTCTGAGCCCTGCGACAAGCTTTCGGTCGGGTGAGCCCTCAGTAGGCTTGAACAGCAATGGGCGACGTCGATCCTTTTGGCTGTTTCCACGTGACATGGCGCTTCCCTGACCAGGGACAATCGATGGAGTTAAGAGGTCGAAGATTCGATCATTATAGACCTCGTACATGGATACCAAAACCACGTAGTCGGCGTTCGCATTCAAGTCCACGGCTAGATGGCTCACGTCGGGTATTCTCGGCGCGGTAACAGGTCGCTCACGCTGCTGGCGGCGGGGAAATACCAATGCAGGGGTTGGTTCCTGGAAGACGTAGAGTCGTGATTTAGCTAAACGGCTATCATATGGATTGGGGCGTGTAAAGGGAAGAGGATTGAAGGGCCCTGGGGTTATCCTCCCAAAGTGCTCAGTCGATTGTAGGCCTTGACCGGATCGATCCTTGCCGATGGGACCCAAGATCAGGTCCGCCTTTTGAGGGCTTCCAGTGTATCTATGCGATCTGGGAAGACCGGTTCCAGGAGCGGGTGGACGCGAGGAGTGTGATCCTTGGGGGCTATTCAGGAAATGGGGTGTCCGTACCGTCAGTGGGGTGTGTGCACGGCCAGGGCTCATAGGAGTTTGGGCTCTCGAGTTGCGACCTCCATTGGGGTCGCCGTAGACGGCGTCCAGGAATGTCTGGGCAGAGAAAATCTGTGCCTCTGAAGCATCAGAAGCGGCCAAAGAAGCGAGCATCATGGGACTGATGCTGCCGTCCTCGGTTTTCACGGTGGGCTCCAGTGACCGGAAGATGACATCGAGGGCCATTTGGGTAAGACCCCGCTGGGACTTGGATCCTAGGATGGTGTGGCTCTATATTCCCTCGCCATATTAGTTTCGTCCTCGCTGCTTCAAACCACAGCTAACAAACCTTTCCACTGCCTGTAACTCCCAGTGTCGCAACCAATCCATCGCGGCTTTCCTTCAAGACTCCCCTCACCAATGACTCCATGCCAGTGTCATGGAAGACATCCACCTGTGAGGCGTTCTCTTCAAAGACCTTGGTGAAGGCGAATTTCTCGATTGCACGCTTTCGAGAAGCACTGGGCGGTTGCAGTGTGATATGGGTTGAAACCGGTGCCACAATCTCGCCGTCATTTTGAGATGCCTCTGGTGACTCGACCGTGAGGAATCGCTCGTTTTCGTCGTGATTCTGCGCAATCGGAGGTCGCAGACGAAGGTAGACCTGAAACAACGAAGCTTGGGGCTGTTTGGACGACATGACGATGTTGTCTGGATTAAGCATCCAGCCGCAAGTTGGTTGTGGAGGTCAAACGTCAAAAGTCGAGACTCCAGTGCAAACATGTCCACAGATCTCCATCGCGCCATCCCGATGTGGAAAGGCGTTGTGTTGTCGTGGCAACCAAGATCACGTGTATATATTCTAAACATCCTCCAAGTCTTTCGAAATACACCTAGATGTTCTTCAGCGCGGCCTGGAGATAAGCTAGTAATTGCCGCTAGCCTGCTGGATGATCTCATTGAAGCATTGACAAGTTTGCTTTCTTTCTGGAAGCATGGCGATGGCCGTGAGTTCAGCCACGGAAGAACCCGCTTTCACCCATGGATAGGAGATACGAGACTTACCGTTTTGAGTCACTGTAACTCAGCCATCACAAAATCAGCCCAATCAAGCGTATACGGCCCATACTACGGAGTAGTCCCGCGGTTCGGCGCTTGGGCCCGAAATGACCTCGTATTGGGGCGAGCCAAAACGCTGCGCCCTGCGGTATATTCGACTGAACCTTTGTGGGTCATTTCCTCGGATCCCGCATGGTGATTCGCCCGTCGTGCTGATCTGGCTCGTAGTTTCGTGGTTTATGACCCAAATGGGTAACTCGTTTTCGCTTGTCATTAGAGCCTATCGATCCATACGATAGGGCTGAGGAGCTTCACCCGCATAAAAAGACTCCTGGTTCTCTGTCAGAGACTTGGAAACAAACTACAATCTTTGTGATATTCCTGAATTCACACCTACATGATGATTGAGGAACGTTCATATCGTGAGTATCATCATACTATTTGTTGAGATGCTAGTCTGACGCCCCACAAGAGCCAGGGAGTCTGTGGTTCTATGCACCGAACAAAGGCGCCCCCATAGCCTTTGCGATTCTCTTCGCTGTCTCGGGCGTAGCTCACTTTTATCAGACCTTGTATGTTTATTTCTTCCAGCCGAACAGCACTCAAGACCCAAAGTTAATGATCTTATAGCCGCTACAAGTCCTGGAAAGTGACGGGCATGTTGCCATGGTCAGCACTTCTTTTCACGGCAGGATTCATCATGCGCACCATCGGTGCCTTTGGACAATGGGGCAACATTCCAGTTTATATTTCAAGCACTGTCCTCCTTTTGGCTGGACCGTGAGATGCCCACTTCCCAATTACCTACGGGATGAACGATATGGCTAACGTTTCTCTCCCACTAGGCCGGTCTACGAAACGGCCAACTACTTAATCCTCGGTCGCATGCTCTACTACATCCCATATCACTCACCTATACACCCCGGTCGCGTGTTCACAACTTTCGTTGCCTTGGCTGCGGCCATTGAAGCTATCACCGCCAATGGAGCCGTCCGAGTCGCCAGTGCTAGCTCTACAGTCAGTGAGCAAAACACCGGCAAAGCGCTGCTCAAGGCTGCACTCATCATGCAGATTGCCTTGATGGTCGGATTCGTGGCACTTGCCGGACGATTTCACATCAACTGTTCGAAGGGCGGTGTCTTGAATCGGAAAATTAAGCGCACCTTGATTGTTCTTTACATCAGCTGCACGCTCATCACCGTTCGAACCATTTACCGTACCGTCGAGTATTTCACTGCTGCGAGCCTGAACAACTACACGGACATCCAGCACATTAGTCCCATTCTCAAGCAAGAATGGTTTTTCTGGTTCTTCGAGGCCGTCTTCATGTACAGCAACACCACCATGCTCAACATTTTCCATCCGATGTCAGTGCTTCCGCGCTCGAACAAGGTATATCTGGCCGCAGATGGCGTGACAGAAATTGAAGGACCGGGTTATGACGACCCCCGACCCAAACTCGTGACTATCATTGATCCTTTCGACATTTACGGTTTAATTACAAAGCGTGGCAAGCAGCAGAAGTACTGGGAGACCGGTGGTGTTCATCCCGACGAGACTCGCACCGCGCAAGACGCATAAGTGTGGAGCTTCTGTCTTCCATTGTCATCATTGTTTGATTTTCTGACTGATTCTCGGAACTGTCCCTCGAATGGTGGGTATCATGGGATTTCATATTGATTATAGATTAGTTAATCCTTCTAATGAATTATTTACTAAATACACTAAATGTCATTTTCATCCTTCCCCATTTGTCCTTGGATTTCCCAGCTGTACGCTGCAAATCGACTGCGCTTTCTGATTCGCTCCCCATAGCACAGAAACAGGGGTGGCACGACGCAAAAGACAGTTGCGATACCTGCTAGCACCGACACAGCCAGATTGGAGCCCAATCCATGGAACATCTGTTTTGTGAAGAGGGGGAATAAGCCAGATAGCAACCCTCTGAAGAAGCCCACTGCGGCTGTGGCACTAGCCGAGTAGCTGAGATAGCTATCGGAGATATATCCGTAAAGAACGGTGTCGATCTCGGTCAACGAGTATCCAAAAAAGACGAGCGCTACTGTTGGGACAATCCAAGGGATGTGGGGATTTTGGATCAGGGGCGGGATGGTCCAGCCAAACCACCACAAGGAAAGGGCCAAAAACGGAGTGCCGATTCCTAGACCCACGAGTTTATCTTCGGGCCTAACAGGTAGACCCTTGCGTCGTCGCTTGCTGAGAATATGGGCGTCGAGGAGACGGGTGAACGCACTGAGGCAGGTACCAAGACCGATTGCCAGGAACATGAGAGACGCTTGGGGACGTGTGAATCCCATTGACTCGTAAATGATGGGCATAGCCTCAGTGAAGATGTAGATGAGAGACATGACGACGGAGATTATCATCGCAATGGCGAAGACAATAGGCTCGGCGCAGAAGAGCTGCGCAGGCCGGAACAAGTGTTCTTTCATGAAATTATGCATGGTCGGCGTGTGGTCGTGATTCAGCGCAGGAGGGATGCCTTCGATTTTACGTCGGAGCTGATTGACTTCGCGAGTCAATAGCAAGGAACATCGGGATTCGCAGATGAGGAAGAGGAGACCGGTAATAATTCCCAAAACGATGGCGTAAATGTAAAACACCCATCGCCTAAGCATTTTGTTAGTAAGTCACAATGCAAAAGCCTTGACCGTAGAAACTCACCAGTTGAGGAAGGCAACGATGTGGCTGCTCATTATCGGACCCGCAATCAAGCCAATATTCGATGCAATAGTCCACCAGTAGATCGCCCAGATTCGCGCCTGCGAATTAAATAAATCCTCGATACTTCCGCCCACTATGTTACCCGGGACTGCTGAGAGAAGTCCTGCAATGACTCGCATAACGATAGCCGTAGGAAGGGAATCCACGGTGCCGATGACGACGCAACAAACGCAACTCAGACCACTGCTGATAATGTATAGCTTCTTGCGGCCAAAGGACTCCGTCCATGGAGGGAACACAATTGTACCCACACATTGCCCGAGAAGGAATCTGGTATAGTGTTAGAAAGGGCCTCGGGTCTCAAAGAAAGTCCGTCTTACAGTGTCACAAAGCAAAATGTTGCGAATGTATGCCCAACGTTGTACTCATGTCTGGCTTGCCACGCAGCGGCTGCGCCTGCGGTGCTGCTAGCAGTTCTGTATAGCTCGGTTAGCCATCGTCCTTGGGTATTGCGAGTCGTAAATGGTCGATCATACATAACAAGATCCAGTAAACAGACAAGTCCAAGATCATATATCTTCCTGTAAATCGACCAGTTTCTCGGGTGCTTGGGATTCTCTCGCAGCCATCGTACAAACTTGGTGTCTGGCGTCAATTCAAGATAGTGGTCGCGCAAATGTTCCTGCATCTGCTCCTTCAGGTAGAACTTCGGCTCCACAGTGATAACAGGGCTGGACTTCATTTTGCGGCGTTGACGATATTCTCATAATGCGAATGCGAATGCGCAGATATCAATGAAAGCTTGCTCGTTCAAGACAAGCGATCAGAGATGTGACAAGAAACAACTGGTGTGACATGTGCTATGAGTATAAATTCTCTTCAAGAAATTGGGATGGCCAGCAACTGAGCCTGAGGAATGATAGCCCCCCTGCAAGCCCCACGTTGGAATCTATGTCTAGTTGAGTGTCACTCGGACAACCTTACCTTGACCCGTAGAGTATACTTCTAAATAAGTTCTTAGAACGCACTGATCATGATACTCGATGATTAGTCTCAATTGTCTCTTGCCATATTGCTTTTGATTATCGGTTCAGGTATCAACTATAATTTTACACTGCTCTTCAACCCCAGCCTCCGGAGTTTCGATGCTAGGGATGTAGCATTCTTTGGGCAACCAGGGGACCCACTTCGTGGCAGATCCAGAAGATGACTGGTATCTTGCTTCCTTAGCCGAGCAGTACCTGATGCCAAGCTGGAATTGAACGTTTTCGAAGGAATCTAGGCCGATGCTTATCAGCCTCCAGGGGCCACATTGCGGCTATCAACTTGAGCCTACAGCTTGGCCCACTCGTGGCTTCGAAGCATTCTGGCAAAAACACTCAACCCCTAGAGCATCCGGTCAAATGAGATTTTGTTTGGAAATTTGAGCCGATCATGCGGCAAGAGTGGACATCACACACAGCAAGGAACTACAAACAGTCCCTGGGAGAGCAATCGCGATCTAAAATGGCATGTAGTAATCTTTGTCTGGCTTGTGGACGTTGGCAATTATCATGACTGGGAGTTTGAACCAATGAAACACAAGATTTACGGTTGATGTCAAAGTCGAGGTGTGGCGGGATATGGGATTGCCAGGGGGGCGACGAGGGCAGCTTGGTGTGCGCCAAGGTTGAGCTTTAGAGTAGTTTTGAGAACCCCTAAGGTCGGCGACATTATTATAAAATGCGGTTGACAAGGTGGCGTGGGTGGTGGATCCGTCGTTTACCTGTAGAGGAAGGAAGGAAGGGGAGGAATAACATCAAGTTCCGGGCGTTATCACTAACAATCCTCCCCGGTGGTCGAGTGGTTAAATACAAAAAGTGTTGATGGCCTCGTCATATGATACATTCTCAAGACCTACCGGTACGTCATTCGCCACGGGCGTCACTGTACATTAACCTGTGCAGCGGGAGGCTCTTGAAGTGGAGGATGTGCCTTCGGGCGGGCCCTAAACGGGCTGAATACCTTTTTCACATTGGCTCTATAATAGTCTAGTTGTTATTGTTAGTATCATCAGATATCTGATATATCCCTTTTGTGGTGTGATGAGGCCTATCGCGAGTTCGCGCGAAGGGGAAGATATCAGAGCAGAATCTTGAAGATGTCCCCAAACACAAAGTCACTCTCGAATCCACCTTGAGTCAGCGTGTTCATACCCAAATATTGCAGGTCAGCTGTTTTTTGCAAATGTCCTCAAACGATGTCAAATGCACTTGTCGTCCATTTCCTACTCAGATCTATATCCGTGTTGACGCTCAAGGCGGTGAGGTCTCCATCAAGCCAATTCGCAGCGGATCGGCGAGGCCACCTCTCCGCAGTCTTCAGCTCGGCCAAAACAAACTTGACCAGCCAGGCTGGTACTCGACTGTGAGCTTCACTGCCTAAATCTGCTCGCATCTAAGGCTTACAGCTCCAGATAGTACCGATCTACTGACTGGATCGGCCTAATTCCAGCGCGTCCTTTTGTCCAACCTCGCCCTACCATCCGCGCCTACAAACTACCCATCATGCTATCATCACTTTCGTCCAGCCTCACAAATGCGCGGCAATCAATTGCTCAAGCGCTGAACTTTGCCCTGGTTCTTTCGACGGCTTTCATGCTATGGAAGGGCCTCTCCGTCGCTTCGGCGTCCAGCTCGCCGATCGTGGTGGTTCTATCCGGGTCGATGGAGCCGGCCTTCCAGCGTGGTGACCTACTCTTCCTCTGGAACCGGAGTCCACGGGCAGAAATCGGCGAGATTGTCGTTTACAACGTTCGCGGAAAAGACATCCCGATCGTGCACCGAGTGGTGCGGACCTACCCCGAGGTCGAGGGCAAGGCGAAGAAGGTTAAGGAGATTACAGTGTATGTGTTGGGCGCCATCTGGGAATTCTTCGGAATGGGTTCATTCTGGATTACATTAATACTGACCAGCATATTCAGTACCTCGACACCGAACTCGCACATGCTCCTGACCAAAGTACGTCGACAATCATACCTTATGTTTCCGTGACAGCTCGGGCTAATACAATAAATCTTTGCAATAGGGAGACAACAACGTTGCCGATGACACGGAGCTATATGCTCGAGGCCAGGATTATCTCAACCGCGAGGAGGACATCGTGGGCAGCGTCCGAGGGTATATTCCTGTAGGTTCTATCACCCCGTGCCTTCACCTGACAACAGATTAACAATTTGAAGATGGTAGGATATGTTACTATCATGCTCAGCGAGCATCCTTGGCTCAAGACAGTTCTTCTCGGTATCATGGGATTGATGGTCATGCTCCAAAGGGAGTAATTGGCATGCAAAAGCTCGATCGGTCAAATAAAAAATATATCGACATCGACATAAATCAATCGATACACTTGGGTCTTCCGTAAACAGTGAAATTATATGTATTGGCGCGAATTAAGATGATGAAGATGTAGAAGGCTCGAAGTAAATTGCGAGGCGACCTTGTGGGCCAAGCTGACGTCTTCACCCACCCCCACTTCAAATCCTGGAGAGCTTCTAGCTTCGATATACCAGGTCACTTTCTTTGAAATCGCACACCGAGCCACTCTCGTTCTTCGGTGTTTTGCCTCGAAATTTCTCTCGACTTTGCCCCTTACATCAACTCCTCCCTTTGTTGTCGCAACTCTTCGCGCCCTCCGCCAACGCCCCCGCACCTCCGTCACGCGCTCCGCGAGACAATCTGATCTGAGAAAATGGGCAGCCAGAAACGCATAGCCAAGGTACAATGCCTCCCCAAACTTTCTTCTCACTTGACCTCCGTTCGCTGACCTTGGCTTCTCTGGTAGGAGCTCTCCGAGCTCGTTGAGTCGCCCCCCGCGGGCATCAGCGTCGAATTGGCCGATGAGGCAAACCTGTATGAGTGGAAGGTGCATATGAAGGGTCCTGAAGGATCACCATACCAGGTACGCAAACGCCTCAGCATACCGTTTGCTCTTTTCCCGAACACCTGTTCTAATCCCCATGTGTAACGAAACAGGGCGGAGTCTTCCTTCTGAAACTGTCGCTACCTACCGCATACCCATTCAAGCCTCCCACGGTTTCTTTCGCTACCAAAATCTACCACCCCAATGTTACAAACGACGAGAAGGGCAGTATGTGTTTGGGAATGCTGCGTGCAGACGAGTGGAAACCTAGCTCCAAGATCAGTGCGGTTCTGCAGTTTGCTCGCCAACTTCTGGCAGAGCCCATGCCCGACGATGCTATCGAGGGGAGGATCGCGGAGCAATACAGGAATGACCGTCAGCGCTATGATGAGGTTGCACGGGAGTGGACTCGAAAGCATGCGGCGCATCAGTAGGCTAGTCTATCGTTGAGAAGCCTTTCAGTTATGTGTCTATGACTTTGATCTTGAAAATCATGAAGGGAGGGGTGTTTCTGTGTCATGGCCTAAGTCGGGGATTAGAAGGAACCAAGGGCTTATCCTAGTCGATCGCATCTGAACATACAAAAGAAGCATTGATTTTCATTTTGCTAATACTCATTCTGTCCTTCTTGCTGATATTACCTACCGATTTACTGTCCGCTCCTCGTAGGCGGGACTGTTCCGTAGCGTGGCGGAATTATAACCAAGGCTGGCGTGTGAGATGACTAGCGCGCCGTTGCTAGTGAACCACTGCTCAGTCTATGGCTAGGTGAGTACGAGGATGATACAAGGACATTCCAGTCACAGGCATGTTGGACTAACAACATTCCATATTTGGAAAAGCGGCGGTTTCCCCTTCGGACTTTTGTCCCTTGCAAGGACAAGAAAAAAAAAAAAACCTAATCTATCTTCAAGGTGGAAATGCGTGTTCGGACTGCAATGCCGCTGGCGGAATGATACCTCGATTATGTCACTACTTCCCCGCAGACGACCCCACGGGGAATCAGGCCCACGGCTTTGGTTGGCCGAAGCTATCTGGGGCATATACACCTCGGGAGATGAAGTGCCGGGCTATAAATGAAGGACGGGGGCCAGGGTTTATGAAATGGACCCGAGATCTGGCTCTCTGAAGAAGCTCCATTATGGCAATCATCTCGGACTCAGTAGCCTTTCTCATACAACATGCACCGAGCATCTTCCTACTGGTGGTTGTGGCTCATTTCACGCGCAACTACTTTACACCGGGAGCATCATCTGTACCGGGACCCTTTCTAGCGAAAATATCCAATCTCTGGAGATTCTTTGATGTGGCCAATGGCCATGCTGAGGTCACGCTCCAGAAACTCCATCAGAAACATGGTGACTATGTACGACTAGGTCCAAATGTAGTAAGTGTGCGGGATTTGGACGCACTCAAGATAATATATGGCATCAATAAAGGATATAACAAGGTCAGCTGAGTGCATGTCGCTCATCTTGAGTAGTATTGACCTGACGCCCCTCAGACCGATTTCTACAGAGTGCAACAACAACTGGCCCAGGGCAGGCCAACACCTACGTTGTTCACGACGACAGATGAAGACTTTCATGCTTCTATCAAGCGGCCTATCTCAGCCGCATACTCAATGAGCACTTTGACAGAATTCGAGCCGTTCGTTGACACAACAATTCATACGCTATTCAGAAGGCTAGATGAGTTTGTTGCTGAAAAGAAAGTATGCGACATTGCGGCCTGGTTACAGTACTGTATGATGAGCCCTGGGATGAACTGCGGTGTCAATGCTAAACCCTCATCAGATGCATTTGACGTAATCGGCGAATTGACCTTCAGTAAGCCTCTTGGCTTCTTGGAGAACGGAGGTGATGTAGACGGAATCATTACCGCACTTGAACATATGCTTGACTACTCAGGAAAGGTGTGTGTCTGTTCTCCGCTTCTGTCAGCTTTACTGAGAGGTCGCAGGTTGGCCAGATGCCCTGGTTGGATTATGTGTTTATTAAGAACCCCCTGAGACAGCTTGTGCAAGGAGGCTCCACTGGTGCTGTGGCTCGCTTTGCGCGTGCTCGGCTTGACGAAAGACTTCAACAGACAAGATCAGAATCGAAGAATACCGATACCCCCGCAACGCCATCACACAAGGACTTTCTTGCTCGTTTTCTTGACGCAAAACAGGAGCATCCCAAAATCGTCAGCGACAATCAAGTTTTCTCATATACCATAAGCAACATGAATGCTGGCTCTGATACGACGGCTATTTCCTTGCGCGCGATCCTATACTACAGCCTCAAGAGCCCAAGGGTTATGTCAAAGCTACACCAAGAGCTTCGAACCGCATATCAAGAAAATAGGATTACTATACCCGTCTCATGGAAGCAAAGTCAAGAGGAATTGCCGTACCTTGATGCAGTGATCAAGGAAGCCCTCCGTTTGCACCCGGCCGTGGGGCTCCTTTTAGAACGCATCATCCCCGCTGGTGGTCTCCAGTTGCCCAATGGTGGACCCTTTCTGCCAGCTGGGACAATTGTCGGTGCCAATCCCTGGATCATTCATCGGCATTCGCTCTTCGGGAAAGATGTCGACTCGTTTGTCCCCGAGAGGTGGCTGCAGGCGGATGAGGAGTCGGACTCTGAATTCCAGGCACGCAAACAGCAAATGCTCAGAGCAACTTTTACGTTTGGTGCTGGGCCGAGGACATGCATTGGGAAGAATATTAGTCTACTGGAGATCTACAAGCTCATACCGTCGCTAATGCTGACATACAAGGTGAGATATGGCTTCCTTTAAAGGCGCCCCAAGTACTAGAGATCACCTTCTGACCTTGTGAATAATAGATCGAGCTTGAGTGCCCGGAGAAAGAGTGGGAGACGGTCAATGCGTGGTTTGTGCGGCAGAAAAACATGGATGTTAATTTGACACGCAGTGATATATAGTCGGGACATTTCAAGATTATTGTGGAGATATGGACGGCATCTTGGGTGTATAACATGCCCAGTTACAATATTACAATACCTAGGTGTCAATCAATGGGAAGCTACCATCCGGCTGTTTCACATTTTCATTATGTCAATTGAATCCAGGCGTGGTGAAGAGGGCATCGACGGTTCGTCCAATTTCAAGTTGGATGGGTATTCCGCAGCATCTCAATACTGGCCTTTATCGTCACCTTCTTTTTTCCCCCAGAGACCAACATGAGATTTTCTTTTCGGCTTATGGCCACAGTTGTATCGTTATTAAGCTGGCACGGCATGACATGTCTAGGGTCGCGCGCTTATGCAAATTGATGCCATCTTTGAAGTCAGGCCCAACCCTTTCAACCCTGTTGACATGCCATATACCGGCGCCGAGCTTAATGTTGGCCGCCTTGAAAGAGAGAAAATTCGTGAATCTGCCTTAAACAACATTGATAACTATAATGGCAGCAAGCAAGTTATTACTCATGTTTGAGTTAATACAGATATATACAGCAAGCACTATACATTCAATGTACACTTGAACTACAACTCCTATACATCCGTTCGTCTATTAAGCACCACCCTACATAGTGACTGTAAATGGAACGCGAGGGTCATCGTCACCAAATTTAAGTGTAAAGTTTATTCTCTGAGGTCTCACAGGCGTAATGTAAAATTCAGTCTTTTCTATAAGTATAGCTTTGAGAGGGGGAGCCTTAGTACTAGGTTGGGTTTCGACTTTGGACAACAGTCAAGGTCAGTGAGGAAGAAACCTTTTCGGGTGGGGAGGTGGACAGCAGCTGAGGGGCACGTAGGCAGCAAGCGTATAGTACTTTCGTATAAAATATATCATGAAGTAACTAACTAGTTTGGCCCAATAGGAACGAAGTGTGCTTTCCCGACTCTGACAGATCCTACGAGAATGGTGACGCGCGTTCCGCAAGCTGCGCACCCCAAAACGAAGTGAAGAAGAAATGGAATTGACTGTAAAATAAGATTACGGAAGTGATAGTACATGAAAGTGTTGAGACAGGGATATAAAAGTTTGTAAGAGTCGTTTTGTGATTGGCCGTAGAAATGCGAGAAATTTATCCAAGCAGCTGATATATATAGCATGTGATGACGCCCGTGGCTCAAAAGGGGCGTTCCGGGTTGGCTTTGCCGAAGTCTACGCGGGACGGGCCGAGACATCCTACGTAGAAGGTCAATGTCTAGCGATAATAGCACGCTAGCCTCAAGATACCCACATTGATTAGGTATTGTATATTCGGTTAGCCTTCGAAATAGAATTCCTGCTAATCCCGGGGATGACAAGGTGGCTAATCTGCCTCGTCACGATACCGATCCTGTAATAACGCCGGTTACCGGCGATGCGCTTTTCTAATCCGACATCGGGAGATTGCAGATCACACCGAGAGTAATTGCCAGTACTATCGTTATTGTTCACCATCAGTAGTGGGTTTTGCAGCCGCCATATAAGACTCTTGATCATGGAGCAACCAATTGAGACTAAGTCTATATCTTTACCTTCTATTCCGACAATTGACTTGATCACTTTCTTTCATTTACGCGGAACCTAAATTGTTCTCTTTTATCATGGCTACTATCACCGCTGGTGGCCCCCTAGTCATTGTGCGTGATCAAACCAATCTGCTGCCTCGCACCCAGCTACTGGTTGTGTTTAGTACCCTGGCCACCGCGTTTCTTATCGCCTATGCAGATCAAAACGGAGTGGGAGTGGCCTTGCCCACTATCGCGCGGGATCTAAATGCGCGAGATACCATTAGCTGGGCAGGTACTTCCTCTATGATTGCGAATACAGTGTTTCAGGTTCTCTACGGGCGCCTGTCTGATATTTTCGGCCGCAAGAAAGTGTATCTGTCTGCGGTACTGCTGCTTGCCATTGCCGACATTCTCTGCGCAACCGCCCAGACTGCGTGGGCCTTCTACCTGTTTCGTGGCATGGCAGGTGTTGCCACTGGCGGAATCAACTCATTGACTATGATGATTGTATCCGACATCGTCACTTTACAGGAACGGGGCCGATATCAGGGCATCCTGGGCAGTTGTATCGGACTAGGCAATACGATTGGTCCGTTTCTATCAGCTTCTTTTACGCAGCAAGCCACTTGGCGCGGGTTTTTCTATCTGATCAGTCCTCTAATGGTGCTCTGTGGCATGGGTTCATTTTTTCCTGCTGCCATCCACCATGCCCAAAGGAAATGGCCTCGCCAAGGCGAAACTGATCGACATTTGGGGCTTGTTGTCTGGATCCATCGCTATCATCTGTACGTTGATCCCTATTTCTGGTGGTGGGTCTTACTTTCCCTGGAACTCTACCCTCGTCATCGCCATGCTTTCCGTCGGTGGCGTGGCCACGATTGCATTCATCCTGGTCGAGTGGAAGGTTGCTAAGCTGCCAATGGTCCCGTGTGAGTTTTGCCCCATTCGTTTTGCAGGATCCTTTTCATGCAGCGCTGGAGACCTAATTACGAGTTCAGTGTCTATGTTTCGCACTCCTGCCGTGACGGTCATTCTGCTGCAGAACCTCTTCTTCGGCTACTGCTATTACGCCGAGCTATATTTTCTACCGCTGTATTTTGAAAATGTGCGCGGGGTGACTCCACTGGTATCTGCAGCTCTCCTCGTACCATTGGTGGTTGCGCAGATGATATTCTCCGTTGGTTCCGGATTCTACATCTCGCATTATTCACGGTACGGGGAGGTTATCTGGTTTGGTTTCATCTGTTGGACAGCGTATGTGGCCCGAATTTTCTTTTCTTTTCTTTATCACCCTCTACTTACACGTGGCGTACAGTGGAGCAAGTGTGCTCTGCACCCTAAAGCAAGACACATCTCTAGGAGTGATAATTGTGGCCTTGATCATCCTCGGTGTCGGCGTGGGCAATGTATTCCAACCCTGCCTAATCGCTATCCAAGCCCATTCACCCAAAGATCTGCGAGCTGTTATCATCTCTAATCGCAACTTCTTCCGTGCACTTGGCGGTGCCATCGGCTTAGCATGTTCCAGTCTTGTACTCCAGGCATCCTTTGGCAAGGCGCTCCCAGATGATCTGCGCTATCTCAGTCGGGACAGTTATGTGCTGCCCACGCTCAGTGACTTCTCTACAGCGGACCAGAATGCACTCCGGGCCGCATACTCTCAGGCCAGTCGCACCGTGTTTATCTCCATGGCGCCCGTCATGGGCTTCTGTCTGATGATTTGTGTCTTCATTCGAGACAAGGGGTTACAGCGAAAGGAGGAGATTGCACCCCCGCAGCCTGTGCTGACTACGGCAGGGAGCACGTTTCAAGAGCCAACAGGCATGGCAATTAACGCGGAAAAGTGAGATCCTAAGGAATCGACCAAATAAGGGGGCTTGCAGGGCTGGAGTGGTGATTTCGTGGGCAGATGGAGTAACAAAGCAGGGAATTTGGGAAATGGCCGTGAATAACGTATTTCACAAGCGTGCCACCAGGGTAAAAACTCATAGTAAATGCAACAAATTACAAATTATATCCCACCAAGAATAAATCATCTAGAAGAATTTATTTAACCGTACACTTTGCCATATTTATTTAGAGATTTGATCCTACCAGCCCCTTCCCTCAAAGGGTTAATTATTATTTTGTCGCTATAGCTAGTCTAATATCCGGTAAAATAGTATAATAGTCATTTTCTTACTACTTAATCAATATATATTGCGCAAAACATTAGTTGATAGCCCTCGGGAAACACCAACTTGGAATAATGTGTAGTTGTTGAGCTATGAAATTGTGAATTGTTTGGGATTTGGGGGACGGCGACCCGCTTGTGAAATAGGTTGTGTTAGCTTAATTTGCAATCGTTATCTAAAAATTAAATACTAGCTTCATGGTCAGAAGCTAAAGACCTCTCTGCTTGCCTTGAGCAATGCTGAACCGCGATAGCTCCATCAAATGCTACTTTGGTGGAAGTTTCATCTCCACTTCGCCTAAAGCCCTGGATCGGGCATTTCTCTTACCTTTACAGGCTACGTGGTAAGGTTGGGACTGAACATTGCAATCGGGCATATCTTCGGCGAAATTCAGGGGAATGAACGATAATACTGAGAGCAGACCATGTTTCATCCATTCCCTAGTTGTCCATTTGTCTTGAACAATTAGAAATGATCGCAGACACCTAAAAAAAGCAAAACAAAAAAATAAAACAAAACAAAACAAAAACAGGCAGATATATAGAGAAGGCCCACTAATTTAAAAGGTATAACTCACTACCGTTTGCGCGCTAGGACCAAAGCACTGCCCCATTCCACATCGATCTCGATCCCCTTCCAATCCACACTGTTTCGGGATCCCTCTCCACGTAATCCAGGCTCAGCCTCTCGAATAGGTTCCATCATCTGGTCAATCCCATCGCCCTCACCACATTCATATTCTGCACGACGTTTCCGGTGCGGGAACTGTTGCTGCCACTTGTGACATGAGCTCCACGTGCGCATGTACTCCTCAATCGCGCCCAGAGTCATACGGGCCACTACCGATGCCCTGTGCCCAAGTTAGCTAAGTATATAAGCCCTAGATGATCTTGTATATACTAAGGCCTCGGCAGACCCATAGGCGGCCCCAAGAAGGAGAGCCATGGGTTCTCGTGGCGAGCTATGCCGAGGTCTAGCTCTATCTAAATTAAATAATCCCCCGTCAAACGGAGCCCCCCTTCCCACCTAATAACGCTAGTACTAGCAATTAATCTCGGTGTGATCTGCATCTCCCGATGTCGGGTCAGAAAAGCGCATCGCCGTTAATGTCGTTATTATAGTATTAGTATCGTGACATAGTGAAAAAGGTAGACTGCGCAGACTCTGTTTTCGGAGCCCAAGGAACCTGCTCGGCGCGAAGGCACATGTGACGACGTGTGGCCAACGTACGGGTCAAGTCCATGTCAGAATTGGCCTTCGGTGCTATCCTGTTTGCGCCAATATTGTGAAGGCACCACCGAATGAAGGCACGAAACCTTTAATCGGGATCTTCTCCATACGCTGGCCAAGCTTTTTTGGTGCAAGCTTTCGGCCCGGCAATTAATTCCTTGGTGGCGCTGAAATCCAGAGAGTAGCGCGGCACGTACACACGTACAATACAGTAATTCGACTCCGCGTTCGTGTTTTGGCTCCCAAGTCTTCTCGAAAATATGCCAGTGGGCCTCAACTATGTCTTTTAACGAGCTACTATGCAACTAACCACCAAAATTGCGCCAATATTTGCCAAACCTTGGTTATCATTGACTGAGTTTATACACATGCTTCCGGGGCTTTTTGAACACGATGGCCTAGCTGTGTGCAAAAATGACACAATAGAATCGAACAACAAGAGGCAATCTCGGGGATCCCACTCCGATGTATGGTACCTAGACTATGTATACGAGCAAGTTGTCTTAACCTAGGCCCCAAGTAATGGTTATCGTGCAAAAAAGCAATGATCTATCCTTGCTGCTGGATGTTTTTATCTCTTTTTTGCCAGATCGGTTGTTATTTTGTATAGTTGGGAATCGGAAGTTGGACTTTTGTATATTCAAAAGGCTTTGGAGATTCTCTGCGTAAATAATTCAACTCAGCTCTCAGATGTGATCAATGGGGTCACAAATCAGGCCCTTGTACTCTCATTTCCCCCCAAGTCAACCTGGACGGACAACAAACTAGACAACCATAGAATCTATAAATACGGAAGAATGGCTTCAGCTCCCGAGTTCTGCGCGAATAAAGGATATCTTGGATTAGCTCTGTACGCAATGTTGGGAGCAGTGACAAAAATGACATGGAAAATACTACCTGGATTTTACCCCGTTCAGTCTCTCTCTGTGCATAGATAACCTTTCCATGGTCGATGACAATGGCATAGCGAAGGCCCCGATGACCAGATGGTTCTGTCCAATTAATACTCTTTGAGAACCTGACATTTGGATCAGAGAGGAAAATCTGACATTAAGTGCGTCAGCTGAGTATTATTTGCCACTGTCTCACAAACCATACAATATTGTTGTTCGTAACATTATTTGCTTTCCCCCAGCCACTCATAACATTTGCATCGTTGAAGGAAATAATTGCCACGAGATCGACACCTTTTTCCTTGAGTGCGGGAAGATTCTCAATGTAATTGGGGAGATGGAGACCAGAGCATGTCCGGGTGAAGGCACCTATTGAAGATGGGAGGATTATTTTTCTGCATGCATGTAACGTAGGAACAACTAGAAGTGAGAAAAGAGCATACCGGGTACAGAAACCAAAATAACTTTCTTGTCAGACCATTCTTCCGAAGCATTGTAAGGGATCGCAATCCCGCAAGAGGTTATGGAGCTCGTTTCCTCTGTCCAGGGTATATATCTGCCATTGAGGGGTGCTTGTTAGGATACATTTGGACTTGACTATGAGATATAGGGAGATGGGAATCTTGCTGGAATACGACATGGTCCGGGAAGCTGTCGCCAGGCTTCAATATAGAATCCATGATAAAGTGGGCCTCGGTTCTTGTGTGTTTCTGAAGATGAGCCTCTCTGGTAAAACTAGCTGGGCTTGAGTGTTGGATTAGAAGCACCGTACTACACTACTTATATTTATATAGAACGCCTTTGGCATGCATTGAAGGGAAAAGTGAAACCGCCGATTTCGGGTATTGCAAGCGCCGATTAACGCTCACCCAAACATGGGCATGTATGATTGTACAGATGAACAAGGTACCGCGTTGAAACAGATGGAAATAAATCCCTAGTTACCAAAATCTCAGCCCACGAGTTGAAATATAGATAGTTTTCATGTTCCAATTTATCTTGACTTTAATGAAGTCTTCTTCAAGATGCTCTTTCAATTTACAAAACAACAGTCCTAATCTCTGCCCGCCCGCCCGGGTTGTAGGCCCTGCTGCTACCGAATCCAGCGGCCGTGGATCTAAGGAACTCACTGCTGCGATTGCCGGTGAAATTCCAGTCCCCGAGAAGGATTTACATAAATAAAATTCGCGCCTAGACGGTAACTATATGAATCGAAGCCGGAATGTGTCTTCTAATTTTAACTGTTGTCATGAAATGGCGGTAGGGCGAGGATTCTTTCATGAGGCTAGCTAGCTATCTTGGTGGTGATTTACGATGTCGAAATTGCAGCTCCATCCCTTCAGAGTCAGGACCTTCCCAAGGAGCTTAAAAGCCGTCATCCTTCACACAAGCGAGCCGTATTGATTGGCTAGAGGTGGCTCCTGCTGAGTAACAAGCGGAAGATTACCCGACACGGAGGACCCGGGGAGGGCTTTGTCGCTCAGAGTTCCCAGCGGCCCGTCCTGGTCGGGCCAACTTCCGTGGATTACTCTAAATCCTGACAAATAAGATGCTGGTCTGCGGTTCTGGAAGGCGTCGATCGCGTTCCAGATTCGAGTGCACGCCGGTACCAGCTCGCTATGTGTAGTGCAAGACCAGCTGAAGATGTTCTATGGGACGTGATCCTGCATTATAGCATGCGTGGACTCCACCTGCTGCTGTAGTTGGCACAGCTCTTTTGGGAAAACCGGCTCAAGACTTCTTAGCACGCGACGTGGCTTTGGACGTCCCGTCGTCCGGTCCCTTCCAAGAGACCCTGGGATCCTTTGCCATGCTGTGTCTGTTAGAAGATAATTGAAGAGTCGGCGAGTCGTAAGAAGTTTAAAGAATATGATGCATCGATGTGACCTAGGGAATCGAGTTTTTAAGACGTAGGTGGAGACTGAACTAAAAGATCTGAAACGAGGCGTAGGCGCTATTTGTCCCTGCCAAGCAACTGTGCCGGCATCAAGATTATAAGCCTAGAAATTCGAGTGACTATTTGCACACCGAAACCCCTATAGGATACTAGCGCGAAGCACAATAAAACTGCTATTCGATTGTGGATGTAGTGATCTACGGGCTCGCACAAGCTAATATTGATATATGTATTTAGTTGTGTCTCAATATCGGCTAGGGTCCAAGAATTGGAGCTGCCCTTGTCCCCGAGAAGAGCTATATACTGTAGCCTTATATATAATACCGAGAACTCATTTCTTACACCGTTGCCCTTTAAAAGTTATTTTTCTTGATACTCTATAGTGAGCTCCACTATCTGCTGTCTTTCGCTCGTGATAAGCCTTCCGAAGTTGACTTATAAAAACCGCGTAATTCGCTTCCTTTTTAAACATCACTTATCCACAAAGCTGCCAGAGTTTGACTGACACTTCAATTTCGAACCCTAGTACACTGGCTTTGCATCAAGCGCTGACTCAGGAGATATGAATTTCTAGAAGTGACACGCTGGCTTCCTAACTCCAAGTGAAACCTCTTTGCCCCCAAATACATTTCTACAACCGTTGTTTCGAGCCAGTCGCCCGCCCGCGTCGCTCGTTACTTCGCTGTCACCAAAGCGACTTTTAAGATCGCAGTCTAGGGACGTCTGTAGAAGAAGAAATCACAACTATCTTTCAAGGAAATACACCGTAGAGACGGGTGTTTTCGGCTCTCGTACACATACTGCGCGTCGAGTACTTAACTGGCTACGAGATGAAGAGTGTTTTATTATGGATTGGCTAGCCTATTCGCCAGACTTAAACCCAATAGAAAACCTAAGGGCTTTACTAAAAAGGATGAGTTATTGAAGATGTTTCCTGAGCTATGGGTGGGGTTAGGGTTTTCGGAAACTTCCTGGGACGGACTGAAGAGTCCCCGAAGAGTTTGAGAATCCGTGGCACCGTATCAAGTTTCAGATCGGGCTCGGCGTTTCGGGTTGTTTAGCATCTCAACGGCCATAGGAAGCAACGTCCTTCTATGCCTGGCTAGATTCTAACAGATTTCATTGAAAGAATAAGGGAAGGGAGTCGAAGACTCATTGTCGGGGGCTGCAATATTTGTTGAGAGGCACAAGATCACATTCCCGGAGACCAGGGTCTGGAGAATTATGACTCCTTCAATCTCGCGAATGGAGCTGTCAGGGGCAAACTAAAAAGCGACCATTGTCGGGGAACTCGGCAGGACTTGGTGAACGTCCGGCTCTGGTTCGGTCTCCGGGGAACGGAAGGAGCCATCGACTTTTCGCGATCTAGCCTGCGTAAACTATAGGAAGTGTACAGGTCTGCACAGGACTACAGGACTGCACCGCGGGTATCCCGGGGAACTGATAGATAGTTCAAGAGAAAATGAAGAGTCACATCCTGTTTACTCTGAAACCAACGCCCCTTCGTTTCCTTACGTCATCCGCCACTAGTGCCAATCGAGCTCTGTTGATTTTTGTCTCAAGTTGAGACCTTTCGCCCTCATTCCAGTCCTCTGGCAGGCTGTGGCCCTTTGTTTTCACTCGTCCTTCCTTTCTTGTTCCCTTGACCTCATCGACCCATTTTTCATTTCCGCTGCCGAGCCGGCGTCCTGAGATCTAACCGCTCGACCCTTTTCCTTCGCGCCTAACCTTTGCAATCGCAACTTGCGTCTACGGTGTATACACTCTCTTTTCTCGTACACCTTGCTCGAGTATCCGAAGAACTCCCAGAGCTCCAGTCACTCCCTTCAATTCTCAGTCATAAAGAAAACCAATGTCCAGCGGGAACTGGGTGCTATTAGCTCGTGGCCATGGCCACAGAAAATGGAAACCCTCGATATCCGCCTCCATTGGGTGAATCTGATCTTCGCGGCCGTCGCAGGATCCCTCATCCACCGCGTTTGGATCCTTTGAAGATTGAACCACGCGTGCTGCGAACCGCAAAACCAATCCTGAGATCGTCGCCAAACTCTCCCCACTCCGCGCGCCCGCCGCGATCGCATTCTCCTCTGCCGCCAGTGAACCGGACTGTCGTCGAGGAACGTCCATGGATCCCGGAATCGTTAAGGGCAGGTTCGCCGCAAGGCCGAGAAGAATGGAGAGCGAAAACCCCGACCGGTCGCACTCCCCCTTACACGCCTCCTGCAGACCGAAATCCCCCGACATGGTATACTCGGGATAACGATTTTGACGGGCCAACCCAGCACAAAGCCCCGCCTGCCAGGGGCGGTCTGCGGATTTCCATGTCGATGTCCAGGTTGAATAGCAGGCGGCCCAGACTGCAGGAGTCTCCGGACCGTCGCCAGGAATTGAACCCACACGCTCTGCCATTACCGCGCTTCCCTTCGAATGGACCCGCGGACGACAATGCCCTCAGAACTAGCGTCAATTCCACTATGACTTCGCGATCCAGCGTCGAGCAAAACAGCGGTACCGAGCGCAGCAGCGTTCTCACCAAGAGCAGCTCTATCACCGACCTTTCACCTGATACCCCAGACGCTCCTTATATGGATGAGGGAATGAGTGTGGAAGACGCGATTTCCATGTACCTGGATGGCTTCAGCGATGTGACCGAGGAACCAGGCTCGCCCAAGTCTTGCGCTGAAAGCAAGGCCCCATCCATAACTCCCCCTCCATCAAGAGATTCGCGCGTCGAAAAAATTTTCCCACCCAATACGACATCGCTGGACGACATCCCTCCCATACCCCCATTGCCACAGCCAACCTTACTGGAGCCAAAAGCATTTGAGCCTGCGCCATCAGAGCGTCCAGTCTCAGAGCCCTCGCCCAAAAGCCCGCCGCCACCACCACCCACTCTTCAATTCGAACCAACTCTTCAATTCGAACCAACTCTTCAATTCGAACCGACGCCGCTCACATCTCCAATTTCCGATAAACCGTCCAATTTACAGACTTTCCACCGGCGACAGCAGTCGCGAATCATCATTCCAGGGCCAGTACCACCCCCTCTCATTTCTGGAAATGAAGCTCGGGATGAGTACGGGTTCCGCAAAGCCACACAGTACGTCACGTTGGAAATGTATCAAGCCTGGAAAGGCCCATATTCCAACTACGCGGGTCAGCGACGGACGAAATGGCACGAAATGCTCAAGGAGCATGGGCTGTCCACGAACGACCCGACTGTATTCCCAGCACAGTCCAACAAAGTCAAGCGTTTCGTCCGAAAGGGCATCCCGTCCGAGTTCCGGGGTGCAGCATGGTTCTGGTACGCCGGCGGGTACGAGCTCCTGAACCGACACGTCGGCCATTATGACGACCTTGTGCAAAAGGTCATGAACTCGCCAAGCAACGATGATAAAGAGCACATTGAACGAGACCTCCATCGCACGTTTCCCGATAATATGCATTTCAAGCCGGACGGCGTGGACACCGCCCAATCTGGTCAAAATCCCGATGTGACGACGGAGACGCAGATGATTCAATCACTTCGCCGGGTGTTATATGCTTTCGCACTCCACAACCCCAAGGTTGGCTACACGCAGTCGCTCAATTTTATCACCGGCATGCTTCTTCTTTTCCTTCCCGAGGAAAAGGCATTCTGGATGCTGCACATCATCACCTCAGAATACCTCCCCGGTACTCATGAGATCAGTCTAGAAGGTGCAAACATTGATCTCTGGATCCTGATGGTTCTCCTCCGGGACTCCATGCCCGGCGTCTACGCCAAGATTTCCAGCATGGGCGGGACACCGTCCGGCCGCAAAACACCCCCGCTCACTGTTAATTCGCGATTACCGGACATCACTCTGGGGTTGACGAATTGGCTCATGTCGGTGTTCATTGGTACTTTACCTCTCGAGACCACGCTGCGAGTCTGGGACATTTTCTTCTACGAAGGCTCCAAGACGTTTTTCCGTGTCTCGCTTGCCGTCTTCAAGGCATGCGAACGGGAGATCCTCGCAGTCTCCGACCCGATGGAAGTATTTCAGGTGGTACAAACCATACCCAAGAAATTGCTCGATGCCAATATCCTGCTCGAAGACTGCTTCGTGCGACGCCATCGAGTCGGGCAAGGTCGAATCGAAGAACTAAGAGCCGCGCGACGGACAGCTGTTCGCCAGGAAAAGATGCGCCGGTCGGTCGCTTTCAGCAAAGGTCAGATTCAACCAGCCACCGACGATTTCGGAGTCCGCCCGCGAAATGGTCACCCGCGTGTGGTGGATTCCCTGCGCAATCTCAAGCAACATGCATTCCGATAGCATGCTGGGTCGTGGCTAAAGCCTAGCCGATGTTCTTCACCCGTGGACCGGTCACCCCACGATCGGGAGACCGGGCAACCTAGAACCGGTCTCTACTCTTGGCCCACTAATCTCTGTAATTATAATTGTCCTCGCCGAACTGGCAGTGTTGAACACCTCACAACCATGAGGAACCCTTGCATTTTAAGGCGCCTTCGAAGGATACCTAGGCATGTTTGATATATTGGAGTGCAAGGTCTGCATTTGTACATAGCACAGCATAGATAGCATCAAAAGAAAAGAAGCACTAAAACATGAAGAATGCCCAGAAATGCCGAGCAGGCAACACAAACAGGGACTCAAAATGAGTTTAGCGCTATTCAGACGGAGTGAACCCGATGGATCCATGGACCCTTGTAGGGCTGATCCGAGCGTATCAGAGCTGATTATTGGGTCGATCGCTGCTTCCTCCACATCCACCGCATCGGCGGTGCATGTCGTCATGCATTCTAATGCGGGAATAAATAGCTCCTTGCTTCCCCCCACCGAGGAGTATTTCGTCTTTCCGATCTTATCTCCCAGATACGCAGCGATGAGTGGTCAAGCAGCAAGCTATTACGACCCCAATCAGGGCTTCGATGCCCAGGGCCAAGGCCAGGCAAAGCCCAACGGCAAAAATGAATTCAATGATCAACGTGGCAATGGCTATCAGCCACCGCAATCTGCGCCAGAGGCCAAGCCAGCGGTACCTCCGCCGTATCCTGACAACCCCCCGCCGTATAGTACTTTCGATGAAGCTTTCAAGATTGAGCGACCTAAGTGGAACGATCTCTGGGCGGGTCTGTTGGTAAGTGATTGTCCCCTGGGAAAAGGGGTCCCCGAAGCTAACAGCAGTTTCTCAGTTAATCGCTGTCTTTCTGGGCTATGTTGCAGTGTCGGGTTTGACCATTCACTCGTATGCAACCAACAAGAGTTTCAACGGAGGTGGAATCTACAACTCCACGAACGATTTCTCGCTCGACACCAACACCCTGGTTCTATTCATCTTCGTCCTTTGCGTCGCGCTAGTTTTCTCATGGCTATACTTTCTCGGCGCGAGATACTTCACCAAGACCTTCATTTGGGCCACGGGCATCCTAAACATCGTCTTCGCGCTCGCCACGGGCATCTACTATATCGCGCGGAAGCAGTACGGAGGCGGAATAGTGTTCTTGATCTTCGGTGTCTTCGCCATTATTTGCTTCATTAGCTGGATCCCGCGCATCCCCTTCACGGCCTTTATGCTACAGACCACCATGGACGTCGCGCGCAACTATGGCCACGTCTTTCTGGTCAGTGCTCTGGGCGGCATCGTCACTGTAGCTTTTGCGGCTTGGTTCTCCGTGACTCTGGTCGCGATTTATGTCAAGTACGAGCCGGATTCCAAGGGGACTAATCCAGCATGCGCGAATGGTGGCTGCAGTACCGCCAAGGTTATTGGTCTCACGGTGTACGTGACTTTTGCCATGTACTGGCTCAGCGAATGGATCAAGAACACGGTGCACACGACTATCGCCGGTGTGTATGGATCGTGGTACTTCTGGAGCAAGTCTGCCGGTGGAATGCCCAAGGGATCGACTCGAGGTGCATTCCGTCGGGCGACGACCTACTCGTTTGGCAGTATCAGTCTGGGAAGTCTGATCATTGCGATTATCCAAATGATGCGCCAGGCATGCTCAGTCGCACAGCGACAAGAGGCGGCTCAGGGCAACCTGATTGGTAGTATCGCCATCTGGGTCTTGGGATGCATCATCTCGCTCCTTGACTGGCTCGTCACACTATTCAACCGCTATGCCTTCTGCCACATTGCGCTGTACGGCAAGGCCTACATTCCCGCTGCGAAAGACACATGGAAGATGATGCGTGATCGCGGCATCGATGCCCTGGTCCAGGACTGTCTGATGGGTCCTGTCTTGACCATGGGTTCGGTCTTCGTTTCGTACGTCTGCGCCCTGCTGGCCTACCTGTATCTGCAATTCACGAAACCTGCCTACAACGCGAACGGGGATTTCACTGCGGTGATCATGGCTTTCTCTTTCGTCATTGGATTGCAGGTCTGCCAAGTGTTCCTGACGCCCATTGGCAGTGGCGTTGAAACCATCTTCGTGGCTATGGGCTGGGATCCCCAGGTGATGATCAACGATCACCCGGATATCTATTACAAGCTTGTGCAGTTGTACCCTCGCGTGCAGCAGGCGATCCACGCCTAAACTTTGGAAAACCTTCGTTTGGAATTTGCACAATAAATTGATACCCTGAAAACTGGGCCGACTCCGTGAATAACGAGTCTTACGAACAAGTGCATGTCAACGTCTACTTAATATCAACACGGCATAACGGAATGACATGTATTTCATTGATCATTACAGTCTCGGCCTTTAATTTAAATAAACTAATAGACAACCATATAAACTCCCGAACCAAAAGAAATAATTCCTATGAGAATATACATCTCATCCAAGTTTCACCCAATTTTCGATCAACCAAGCCAACTCCTTACAGAGCAATCATCAGAGCCATGACGGCAGCAACACCCAGAGCAGCAACACCGCCGTGGGCTGCATTGACCTGGGGAGCAGCGCCCTCGAAGGTGTGGAAGCGGTTGGCACTAGCACCGCTGGGAGTAGGGGTAGCCGCCATCTGCGAGTAGACGGCAGACGAAGACGAAGCACCAACCCGGATACCGTAGGAGTAGGACGGCGACGAAGCGGCGGCCATACCACCCATGCTGCTGCTGGAGGGCACAAACACGGGGATCTGGGAGACGTGCATGGAACTGGTGGGGGTGGCCTTGCAGGCGCAGGACTCGGTCACGGTGACGGTCATGATGCGAGCCTGGCTGTCGTCGCTGGGTAAGTAGGCGCGCATGTTCAGGTCCCCAGCGGGCTCCATGGGCCTACTGCCGTGGCGAGCGGGGGCGGCCATTTTGTCGCCGCTAGCACCGCACAGGGAGGAGGCAAGGTCGTCCATGGCTGGAATGTGTTAAACTTGAGTCGTCTCGATGGATTGGTTGATATCACCTACCGATACCGGCCTTGTTGCAGGCATCTTTTGCAGATTGTGTCAGCTCAGAGATCGCATCTTTGTTTGCACACAGGCACTGCGTGTTGTTCAAGTTGGTGCAATCTTTCAATTTGGACACGTCGATGCCCTCGAGAGCAGCAGTTGCGCAGTCGTAGTACTCACTAGCAGATTGCGCGGTGACGGCACCGGCCATGAACAGAGCGGCGATGAACGAACGCATCTTGGTCGTATGGGTATTAGGATATGGTGAAGATTAAAGTGTAGTATAGCAAAATTGGGTGTGGTAAGGAGAAATTGCGCCCGGCACTGGGAGCTGGTATCGACTTAAGTAAAACCCAGCATTCATACCAAACGAGGTGAAATAATTGGCCCTGAATCAGCATCCCTTGATCCCAGGCCTTTGGCGAATGGGTGATGACGTTCGGACATTCTGGTGTGTATCCCCGTTGGGAAGGGGGACGGCGCTTAACCGGCGGCGTAAGCTTTGGCTGGCATCTTGCTTACCCTGCACACTGTAAAATACACCCTTGAAGGCACAGAAGCACCTTGTAGATCGCTTTGGAATGACTTAAGAATGTGCCAGTTGCCATGTCCTTGTGGCAGTGTTTGGTGGTATCCCTAGTTACCCTTTCCTCCGAGGAATGTCCACCTCCAGGAATCCTCACGTCCAAGTCATTCTGGAGGGTCTTCCCACGATCATTACCATGATGGAATGGTCAATCCTGTTTGGATGAGATGCCCTGTTCGTAGTTGTCGTGGCTTGGTTGGTCCCCAGACATTTTGCAAGTGATATGAGTTTTGAATCGTGAGTAATTTAGTCGCCAAATATCTCAAGCAAAAGTGCAGTAAAGGCTGGTGGATTCCATAGCAACTGTCAGAGTGTAACGTACTTAAATAGGAGCTTCAAGCAATGTGGCAATGTCCTCTGACACGTTCAAACAAGGGGATGATCCACGGGTACGCCAACTTAATCCAACTGGCCGGAACTTAATTTGATTCTCGGAGATATAACACTGGGCCGCGTAATCCAATGGTTCGTAAAAAGTAAGCATACAGTAGTCTTCAAGCTGGTGGTGAGAAACCAAGTTCCAAGTTTACCTACAGTTCGTGAAGGTCTTGATGTGACACTGGTGGAAGCGTCCAAAGGAATGTACATCTTCTTCATATGCAACGCAGATTTTCACTAGTCCGTATAAAAGTCAACAAAAATTCCCTGAAAAATGCAGTGTTCATTTGGCTCATGAGAGGTTTAGAACCTACGTACTCCGACGATATCACATCAAGTTATGCGGATGTTGCGTGATCATGCATAGAGAAAAATTGAAACATGTACAATTCAAGTATGGCTATAATGTGTGCACAAACGATTCAGCTCCAACATTGACCTAGGTACATGAAGTGTATTCTCCCATTGTTTGTGTCAATCCATGAACCGTGTCAGCCTTAGAATATTGGCATCCTGTACAGTAGGTTTCGAGTTCACTTTAACCGCCACACTGTTACCTCAATCACCACCCCAAGGCTAAATAATGTATAAGTGAATAAAGATTGTGATTTGAAAAAGAGGGAATATCAATCAATATCTGTGCCTTCATATATTCTGGTGAGTAAAAGTGCTTCGAAACATTGCTTGCTGCTTACACTCGGACATAGCTTGCCGACTCGGCTTGGATTTACCGATTCGGCTTATCTCTGACGTGAAAAAGGATGCCATTATGTCTGCTTCAAATAAAGATGATTATCCATTGGGTATAAATGACCAAGTCCAAGAACCACTCCTATCGCTCTAAATCACAAACTGACAAGTCCAGTATAACATAAAACAAATTAACACGAAGATTGCGATCCAAGTCCAGCTCAAAACCTCTCACTCGTCACACAACGCGTCGAATTAACCAATAACCAAGCCAGTATCTTCACAAGAAGGGTCAAACTCTTAACAAGCAAATCCAACCCGAAGAACAGAATCTTCAATACACTCCGAGTAATTCCGGGCAATTTTTCCCCCCGACGCGACGAAGAATGTCCGTATCGACCGTATTTCTCCAAGTCAAATTCCTCGATCACAATCTCCTGCTTCTTCTTCGACTTCCGCCGACTCTGTGGCGCAGACGGTGTTCGATTCCAGAACTTGAAGAAGCTTTTCCTCTTGGGAGCGAACTCTGCCGAGGCATTTGCAGATTCTATTTGATATGCCAGCTGCATGCTTTGAGCATAGTCTTCGCGCTCGGCCAGTGTCGTGATCAGCGGCCCATTAAATTTCATCGAATTGCTCGACTGGGAAATATAACCCGGCTCTATCAGAGGTGATCCAAGCTCCATGTCTGCCAGGATGGGGTTGGTGGCTTCGTCTGAGACCGCGACGGCGAGCATAGCTGCGACGAGGGAATCTATGGCGTATAGCGAGGGAATCGTTGCACTTACGGCAGCTGGGCAAATGGACAGAGTTCGTGTTGCGAAGTCCAGAGCCGCCAGCGGCTCATCAGCGTCTGTTACGGGCAGTGTGGACGTACGCGCGGTAGCGGCTTGCTGTGCCGCTGCCATGGCTGTAGAAGATACTGGCCCAGTGACAATGATGGTCGGTGGTTGACGTGGTGATGCGTCACTAGATGGTTCAGAGACGGTGATGTGCAGCGTACCCGAAGATTGAGTCCGTACAGGAGAGAGCGGGATACCGGCAGCTCCCACTAGAGCCGCGGGCTGGCGTTTCGACAGCGAAGGATGATGAAGCTCGTAGAGTCGCAGGTTACGGTTCCAGGATAGGCGGCAGGACTCTTGCGCAGCAGCACGTTTGAGGGCATTCCTCTCGACCTCGGCCGCCTCAGACCCAGCGAGTTGATGTTGCTTGCTAATCTCGTCGGCCTGTTCAATGGCGAGCATGGCAGCCAGCCTGGAGAAAAGGAGTGCGACAACCCCGTCGTTAGGGTGCTCTCGACGACTGCGCTCCTCGAGACTTAGTGTCATAATAGGCACATCACTATTAGGCTTGGATGGAGCTCCGCGAGAAATAGAAAGTTCATCATTTTCGTATGTCTCCAATGTATAGAATGGGTGCTGGGTGTTGCCGAATGTGAATGTCGCCGGTCCGGTTCTTGAACAAATTAGTAACAGACCAAAGCCTCTTTAGGCAATATTCACTTACCTTGTCATGCGCATGTTGAATGTTCCAAACAAATTCTGAGCACGTTGGCCATTGGCAGCCTCCCATAGCAAGTCCAACTCCTGCGGGGAAGAATAGCGGATCTCCTCTGGCTCTAACATCCCAGTGGGAAAGTTGAGCACACTTGCAGGAACTGTCTTTGGCCCCAGAGTCTGATCAATATCCGACGATGGCGGCAAAAGAGTAAGTTGAGGCCTGCGAGGTTTTGCAGTCGGGCGTTCGGTAGACATCAGAGCGTTCAAGTTCTGCTTATTGAGTGGGAGCTTCGAATCTAACTGTGGAAACATCGATTTCATTGGGACTGGGGAAACCGAAGAGTGTGAGGATTGTGGTGATGCAGCTGATGTTGCAGCCCTGCTGCTAACGCTAGTGTTACTCGGGCTTTGTGAAGGCAACGCCCGATTTGCCTTGGGCGGGCGGCTCCAATTGCGCGGGGACTGAGGAGATTTGGAGGCAGACGACGCTTCTGTCGTTGCTGGGGACTTGTTTCTCACAGCAGGTGCTCTTGATGGTGGTGGCGGTGGAAAAGACTGAGTATCTTCGATAATTTGGAGTATTACTGCCTCGGTCTTGGTAGAATCTTTGATCTCATCGAAAGGAATTGGAGACCCAGACTCAACCTTGACAGTTGGTTTTTTGGTGCCCTTGCGAAACGGATTCTGGTTCCCTCTCACGGGCGAGATAGGAGGGAATAATTGGAATTGGTTCATCCTAGTAGTGGAGGCGGTATGCGTTCAAAAGAGGAGATCCGTGAAGAGACAGTCAACACGGAAAAGCGCGAGCAAGGGGGCGTTTCGCCCGACATATACTCCATCGCGCCGGATAAAGTCTGCTGGTTCTTGCAGATGGAAGCCAGACGCGCCCTGGCCCCGGTAGTCCTGGTCTGTAGATGTGACCGGCCTATTTTTAGGGCCGGCGCTTGGATGCCGTCGATGTGACTGGCCCCGATCATGGGACGAGGATGGCGGCGCAGAAACGGCGCCTCCATTTCTCTATTTGATTGGTCTCTGAAGACCGTAAGCCGTCTTACTCCTGCGATTCTGAGCTCGTATTGGCGGTCGCTCCGTGCAGAAGTCGCACGACTAAGTTCGGCAGGACTGAAGATGCGGCGCATACAGCGATCTTCGGCACTTGATGCTGTTCCATCTCTCGCTCACTGATCACCGCTCTTTCATCACATATTAGAAAGAGTGGAAAGAGCCAAGAAGGAACCTTGGCTCATTGGCCGCCAGTCTATCCACCTTGGGGCGTGAAGAAGTCACAAGGGACCGAATGCTACAGATGCATATCACCCCACGCGAGATCGATCTTGAAGAATTACATCATAGAGATAGCCGCTCGCTCAGACAAAAGCAAGATGATCTTGTATACACAAGTGGATATCTATACATTTAGAGGCTAATATTTACATCATATGATACACTTCATCACTTCAGCTCTGGCTGCGGTCCATGGCTTCATCGTGAACGGAATAGGTCAAGCCCTCGGCCATTTCAATAGCCCCTTCCATATTGCCCTTGTTGTACAAGAACAGGCCCTGCAGGGCCGCTGCACTAGTGCTTCTCGAGCGGTCAGCCTTGTAGCCACTCTCGTCCTCGATCAAGCCGAGATGATGAAGCTTGTCGAGGAAGATTTTGCGATGAGCTCCATCCGCGTCGATCTCTTCATAGAACCGGTCCCAGAGACGGCTAACTTGGTAGCGCGTTACTTCGCCGAGACGAACGGTCATGTCCACACGACCGGGTCGCACCAAGGCCGAGTCGAGTCGCTCGACGTGGTTGGTAGTGAGGAAAATTATACGCTCTTCGGCGCTAGCCACACCATCAAGGGCGTTCAGCAAACCGGAGAAAGTCACATTCGCTCCGCGGTACCCGTCTGCATCAGTCTGCGTCCGGTTGGAGAACGCTGCATCCACATCCTCGAGGAGGACAAGGGTTCGGTTTGGAACGATCGTCAGGAGATGGTTCAACCGATCGTCGGTAAGACCGCGTTCACTCAAATTCAAAATTGCAATATCGTAGTCCAGCTCGCCCGCCAATGCTTGGATGAAGGAGCTCTTTCCGGTACCAGGCGGACCATACAGCAAATATCCGCGTCGGTACGGAATACCGCGGTTGTGATACCACGATGCACTTTCGATAAAGTCCTGGACATCCTCCACAATACGTTCCTTGACCCCTTCGTCGAGAACGACGGACTCGATTGGGCGCTTTCGCCGCGGGTGTCCAAATGGTCGCCATTCGGTGCCCCAACTATTGTAGATTGTGGTTTTTCCTTCGTGTGATTTCTCGGCATACGCGTGCGCCTCGGTAAAGAGGTCTTCGAAGATGTGACGGTGAGAGTAGAGGGTGGTCAGGGTGATGGTTTCCCAGGGCTTGCCGGTTTGGATATCGCGAGACTTGGATTCGCGCATGCGGTTGACGAAAATGAACGCGTTTTTGTAGCGGAGAACATGTTTTCCGGGGCCCGGCACCAGAGAGAAATGTGTGTGGATCGCTCCGTTCGAGTGTTCGACCTTCTGGGTTTGGATGGAGAGGTGGCGCATGCCCGGTGTCATTTTTTGGAAGATACGGTCGATAAAACCGGAGTTTTCCGCCGCGGCTCGGGTTGCGGTGAGCTGTGACTGTTGGTAGAGGGTCATCCAATGGAGGAACCATGGGTAGGAATCGTCCTTGATGCTGATCTCGACGTCCACCAGCATGCGGCGACGCAGCAGAGCCGCACCATGACGGATCCCTTTTTGTGCAAATGTCAAGCCGGCGCCTAGACCTGCCAGGCCGAATCCCTAGCAGCGAGAGTTTGTAAGTACGTTGGGTTCATTTGCCAATCTGCGATTGCATGGAGAGGGTCGCATACTGCCGTAAAGAAGGGATTGCTGGTCAACTGTGAGATGAGGCTGCCGTCACCGTTTTGCGCCGACTGCTGTGCCTGCTGGACCGCCTGAGTCCTCTGCTGCAGGACGAGGTCACTCGCAGACGGCGCAGCATTGGAAGCACCACTTGGCTCCATGCCGGCCAAGTTGAAGAGAGGGTTGTGGATGGCACTTGAAGGTCAAAAGTCGAACGCGCCGAGCGGATCATCGATAAGAACGCCAGATTATCGGAGTTTTCAACGGGCCGAGTGAGCCCAGTGGTAGATTGTACAACCGTACAGCGCGTACGGTAAACATCCGCGATCATCCATAGTATATTTTGTATCTAAGTCTAGGTTTAAGCTAGCATCGACACAGAATGATGTCGGGTTCGGGAATTCACATGGGCCGATGCGCGGTTTGAGTCGTTGACGCCGATTCCGATGCGGAGATAGCGGTTTTAGTACGGCTCACTCCGATACTTTTGACTTTCCTTTCCCAATCATAGGAGCCTGCGCATGGTCCGCGAGGTCTTTTCGATCCGAGGGTTGTCTATTTAATTTTATTCCCTCCCATGCGCAGCTTTCTACCGCGCCCCCGGTTATGTCGACAGACACTTGACTGGCGCGCTTTTCTCGTTCGCAACATGGGCTCAACCACCACCGGCGTGCTTTACGCCCTGACTGTGGCTAGCTCTCCAGCCAGACCGGCGCCTGAAGATGCTTTGCAGAAGAGTCATCATGCGAAATCTGGCTTCAGGAATCCCTGGGAGTGAGTTTGCCATGCAGTTGGTTTCCCCGGGTCGCGCGACACTAACCCCAGATTTTTTTACCCGACAGCTCGTGGCAGGATGTCAACCTCAAAAACGTCAGGCAGATGCTTATGTGAGTCTACACTGGCTTTGAGGATTCCCGAGACCTTTTCCCTAACAGTTGATGCTTTCTTTTAGGCGCCGAGTGACCGGTAAAGCAAATGTCCCCGATACCAGTGGTCCAACGGTTCCCGTTCGGAAGCCCGAATTCCTTCCCAGTCGAGATACCCCCAACCTACGGGCGACATGGCTCGGACACGCCTGTTACTATGTTGAATTCCCCAGTGGTCTCCGTGCGCTCTTTGATCCAGTCCTCGAGGAGCGCTGCGGGCCATACAACATCCTCGGACCGAAACGCTTCACGGACGCTCCGTGCCAAATCAAGGACATTCCTGTGATTGACGCCGTTTTTATCTCTCATAACCACTACGACCATCTGTCGTACCCGGGTGTTATGCAAATCTCAAAGAGACATCCCAATTGCCATTTCTTTATTCCACTCGGTACTAAGCCCTGGTTCACCAGCTGTGGTATCGATAAAGTCACCGAGCTGGATTGGTGGGATGAGCGCGATATCACTCTTTCCCCGTCGACGGACAAGGTGACTCACGTCGAGGCTGCAGGTGAAGCTGATTCCACATCTGCGGAAATCAAGGCACGGATCGGCTACTTGCCTTGCCAGCATGTTAGTGCCCGTACCGCATTTGACCGGTATCAGACTTTGTGGGGCTCATGGGCAATTGAGTCGGGGGGCAAGAAGGTCTACTTTACTGGGTATGTTGCTGTTTTCAGTGTGAAGTAATGGTGATTTAATCTAACCCGGGGAACAGAGACACCGGATACCGAAAGGTCCCTGAGCTGCCCGAGGGAGAAGACGACCACGACCCGAAGCACAACTTCCCCGTCTGCCCTGCTTTCAAGCAGATCGGTGAGTTCCGGGGTCCATTTGATCTTGGCCTGATCCCCATTGGTGCATATGCCCCCCGCCATGTGTGGAGTGCCGCCCACGCGGATCCCCATGATGCAGTGGAAATCTTCAAGGACACCAAGTGCAAGAAGGCTCTCGGTATGCATTGGGGAACTTGGGTTCTCACCGAGGAAGATGTCCTTGAGCCCCCCGAGAAGCTGAAAACTGCCCTGAAGCACTTTGGTCTGCCTGAGAAGGGTGTGTTTGATGTTCTAGACATTGGTGAAAGCCGAGAATTTTGATATCTCTGCTTTATTGCCGTCGTCTGCTTCCCAGGTCTAATCTTTACTTGTGTGATTCTCTGGATTTACTGGAGCATTTAAAGGCTGAGGTGCATCAGATGAGGCTGTGGGGCTGTTGTTGATACTGTACAATATTAAGAAGCATTACTTGAATATATGCCATTCCTATCATATCAGAACTAGTCATTCATTTCAGATTCCTGAACGATTAATTGAATGAAGTGGCTTAATATGCTCAGTGCATGACTGCACCATTATCTACAAAGAAGTTATCACTTCTGAGGCCATCCCTTGCCTCACTAACCTCCAGAGATTCCCGTATTCCTCATTTCCCTCGAACAATTTCTTTACCCATTTCTTTCTTCTATCTCAACGTGTCCTCAATCACTTCCCTCCCAGTCCTGTCATTGAATGCTCACTGCAGATATTTCTAGGGACTCGCTCCGCCCTCTACGATCATGTTCATAGACCTGACTCAGCTACAAACTTCGAAGAAAAGGAGCTGACTGGGACAACAGAAATACACGGACCTCGGTCTACCACACGGGAGGGAGTGGCTTGTGGGTGCGCGTGTTGGGAGGCGGATCAGAGGGCGATACAACTTCGAGGGCACGTCCCAGATCGACCTGATTAACAAAGTAGTGCTCAAGGTTCTTGCTAACCCGTAAAATCTCCACTTCTCGAACGGAGCTCTGTTTCTGCCCGTAGATTCTCTCTTCTTTGCTTCCATTACTTATACACCTTTGTTTCTCTCTGTTTCCTTTACCTAGCCCTTTCCACTTATTTCCCTCCTTTCTCGGCCTTCTCGCCTTTATGCCTCTGTTCTATCTCTTGCTCTTAACTTACCCTGGTAAGTCAATATCTTCGCATCCCGAGCAGGTCCAGTGAACAATGATCGTGGAGAGCATCGACTGGGTCGGGGCGAAGAACCAAGAGCGTGGAGTCAAGTGGCCCATCTTTCCATTAATCCTACACAACTTCGTTTTTCCCGTTGCCCACGGGAGATATCTTTGACGCTCCGCATGGTGCTGGTCACACGTGGTAAGTCCTCCGAGCTTTCGACTCAAGGATTGCTCAAGCTGAATTCTGTACTCAGTCATGCTGCAAGAACCGCCACCATTTATCAAACGGTCAAGCTCTTTTTCATTGATTAACTTTGCCCTTCGTTTGTCGATGCTCATAAGGGAATGTGGATACGCCGAGATGGGAGCGGGGCTTGGGTATATGGACTTGATGCTCGGCATGACCGGATATTCATTACTAGACTTCAACAAAACCTGTATCAATCTCATGAACATATTTCCAATGCTATCTCCCAATTATAAAGACTACAACGTGCTCGTCGTAGAGCTGATCTATATAGTTGAAGGCTTGGCGTGTTTAACGCGTTTGAATCACCCGATCGGGCTTAGTGTCAGGGAGCTCCCACTTTGGAAATTTGGGATGCGGGCAACACTCGACGTGGATCCGAGTTGGCTCCTTTTCTGTGACGAGACCTTCCCGTGTTCATCAACCTTACGACCTCACTCCTTTTCATTCCCTTCCACATTAGTCCACCGCCAAAATGCAGGCTCCGGTGGTGGTGATGAGTACGTTGCCCCTCCTCCGCAATTGTTGCTGCTTGCTAACTCCCCGATAGACACCAATGCTGGTGACAGACAGGTCGGTCGCCGGGCACAGCTGTCCAACATTACCGCGGCTAAGACGTATGATCCTCCATCTTTGATGATAACCTTCTGTCCGCATGCTAATTAAATGATCTCTAGTGTGTCCGACATCATCCGGTCATGTCTCGGTCCCAAGGCGATGTTGAAGATGCTGCTCGACCCAATGGGCGGTATCGTGTTGACGAACGACGGCCACGCTATCCTGCGAGAGATTGAGGTGTCGCACCCTGCGGCGAAGAGCATGATCGAGCTCAGCCGTACCCAGGACGAGGAAGTCGGTGACGGAACCACAACTGTTATCATCTTGGGTAATACTCCTATCTATCCCATACGTACTCTGGATGCATCCTAACATATTCAAAGCTGGTGAAATGCTGGCCCAGGCTCTTCCTCAGCTCGAACGCAACATCCACCCCGTCGTCATTATCTCCGCTTTCAAGCGCGCCCTCGCCGATGCCCTCCAGATCGTGGAGGAGGTCTCCCTACCCGTTGACATCCACGATGACAAGGCTATGTACACCCTCATCCAGTCCTCTATCGGAACCAAGTTCGTCTCCCGGTGGTCCGATCTGATGTGCGGCTTGGCTTTGAATGCTGTGCGGACAGTCTCCTTCGACGTTGGTGGTGGAAAGCAGGAGGTCGACATTAAGCGGTATGCTCGTATCGAGAAGATCCCCGGTGGTCAGATTGAGGATTCCGAGGTCATCGACGGTGTCATGGTCAACAAGGATATCACCCACCCCAAGATGCGACGGAGAATTGAGAACCCCCGCATCTTGTTGCTCGACTGCCCCCTGGAGTACAAGAAGGGCGAGTCCCAGACAAACATCGAGGTCTCGAAGGAGGAGGACTGGAACCGCATTCTGCAGATTGAGGAGGAGCAGGTGAAGCATATGTGCGAGGCCATCTTGGCAGTCAAGCCCGATGTTGTCATCACCGAGAAGGGTGTTTCGGGTAAGCAGAACCCAGTCCATTTGCTAGCAGGACCATTACTAATTCTGGATTGCTTCTAGATCTCGCACAGCACTTCCTGATGAAGGCTAACATCACCGCCCTCCGCCGTGTTCGCAAGACTGACAACAACCGTATTGCCCGTGCCACCGGTGCCACCATCGTCAACCGCGTCGACGATATCCAGGAATCCGACATCGGTACCCGCTGCGGTCTGTTCGAGATTGAGAAGATTGGTGACGAATACTTCACATTCATGCGCCAGTGCAAGGCCCCGAAGGCCTGCACCATCCTGCTGCGTGGCCCGTCCAAGGATATCCTGAACGAGATCGAGCGCAACCTGCAGGACGCCATGTCCGTTGCCCGCAACGTTATCTTCCACCCTCGCCTGTCCCCTGGTGGTGGTGCCGTCGAGATGGCTGTCTCCGTGAAGCTCAGCCAGCTGGCCCGCTCCATCGAGGGTGTCCAACAGTGGCCTTACAAGGCTGTCGCCGATGCCATGGAGGTTATCCCCCGTACATTGGCCCAGAACGCTGGTGCCAGCCCCATTCGCGTCCTGACCCGTCTGCGTGCCAAGCACGTCGAGGGCCACACCACTTGGGGTTTGGACGGCGAGTCCGGTAACCTGGTCGATATGAAGGAGTACGGTGTGTGGGAGCCCGAAGCCGTCAAGCTGCAGAGTATCAAGACGGCCGTCGAGGTAAGCTATCCACCTTTCTCCCAATTTGATAACATTCCACTAACTGATTTTAGTCCGCATGTCTGCTCCTCCGTGTCGACGACATTTGCAGCGGCAAGTCGGCGCAGCAAGCCGGTGGTGTCGGTGGTGGTGACGAGTAATAGACGAGCGCGAGAACAAAAAAAGAATGATTCATGGGCCTCAGGTCCGTACATAATGCTACACGACTGCCTCTGGGTTCTCTTCTGTATGAATATCCTAGACCAAAATGAACTGTCATATGGGTATCTTCGTATTGAGTAGTATTGTACATTGCGCCGAGGTAATCCTCTAATCTTCATCGTGGATAATCACACCAGGAACCTCTCCATGTGGCACCTGGCCCTCGGCATTAACACCCTGATCTGTCTGACTAGGCACAGACGGCGCTTTCGTAGTAGAAGATTTATCCATATCCATCGCCGAATCCTTCCCGCCCTTCTTCCCTCTAGTAGCGCGTTTTTTCTCGCGGCGCTTGCGGTTCTTCTCCGTCTTCTCATCATCCTTTCGCTTCGCTTCCTCCCTCTGTTTTTCCCATTCCGCATTATCTTTCTCTTGGTCTACCTCAGACTGCATAAGACGCAGCCGCTCGTACTCGCGGCGTCGGCTCGCCTTGTAGACGTGGAACTCGCCGGAGCCTGCACCGGCCGACGAACCTTGCACATTGGTGACAATTTCGGGCGGCGGGGCGAGTGACGATGATGTGCGCGGGTTTGATGAATCTGGGAGACGGATCTCCTTCGACGGGTCTTTGAAGAGCGTCTCGATTTGGCCCGCCTGTTCGGAGTGTGGTGTCACGGCTCGTCGCTTGATGGGCCGTTTGCTGCGCGGGTCCGCGCTTGTTGGGACGGATTCAGGTCCTGGTTCAGACATTTTGAATGGTAGGCGAACGTGTTTTCCCCTGGGAAGAGCGCGTAGAGGAAGATTGGATTGGAGGTGGTTCCGAGAGAACCTTTTGTTCGTTGGATTTGCGGTGCAACGGATGGTACACTGTGGAATTGGGGTGTGGAACCGCTCCTCTCAAGATCGACGCAAGGTCTGCAGCTATATGAGCTTCAGAAAGCTCCTTGGACGAGGCAATGGGGAGAGGAGAAATGACTGGAAATGACGAGGTGAGATCGCGAAGCCCGCGGCGGAATTGCGACACGCTAACCACTTCCGGACTGGCCGTTGCACTATAGTCTCGCGGGCATGTGAAGCATCTGTAGAAAATGGCGAGATAACTGTGACAAGTGGTTTAGCGCATGGAAGTTGATTGTTCAATGAGCCTGCTAAATCGAGAATAAAGGCCGTGGACTCTGCATTTTCCAAGGCCCTGGAGCAATATCCTGAGGCAAAACTCCCGCCCGGTGGTAAACACAGCAAGAATTTAACATTGAGCAGTCCGTTGAGCAGTCCCAAGATAATATAGGGATCAATCCAGGTCCTAGTATTGGACTAGGGCAATGTGATGGAAATTCTTGTTCTAGGTGCGTCGAAGAAAGGCTCATGGATGGGCTCATCACATTCCTCGAACACCAATTGCCGGGCGCAACATACAAAATTGTGCTCTAAATCCTGAATTCCGACAAAATACCCTGGCCATTGGATATCTGGGATACATAATGATCTTCAAGAGCTTTCATTATCATCATAATCAAATAAAAGTGCGTCAACGCACAGATAGCTGCTCGGGCTTCGTGTTTGGCAACAAACCGTATCGTAAGGGCCAGAGATCGAGACCTTCCCCCCAAGGAGCTCGCAAGTCTCCGAAATAGAACATAAGGGTTAGTTTTGGAGTAGCAACATTAGTTTGATCAACCGCAGGGCCATGGGAAGATAGTAGTCGTCCTAAAGTGAAAGCTGGCTTGCGCTGCGTACCGGCGTTCGCCAGATCTCTTCACCTTTGTTCACTTCCCTCCCCCGATCATCTTCCTTTTCATCATCTCCATCCACTCCACGGTTTCAGCTTCTGTCGTGAACCGTGTCATTCTTACTTGAATCGTCGCTTCGCTAACTCTCTGATTCTCTCTCCCCCAACTTGGAGCGCGATCCGCGCGCCCAACACGAGTCATGGGAAGTTATCGCTTCGGTAAGTTGGAGCATTCTGCCCGTATCCCGCCGTCGTCATTGTACATAATCTAGATGTGTTTTCGGGCATCGCGATGTCTATCCTTAACTGCTCATACATTGTTGCTCCCCATTGCGTGTCGAATGCGCGTCGTGGGGGTTGCGGTGCTGGCTGTCCAGTTGGCCCAAGCTCCAAGCACCAAGCTCCGCATGGATGACACGATACCCACGGCACCCAGCTCCATCCCCAAGCATCAAATATTTAGTTGACTAAGCTAACACAACTTCTAGAGCAAGCTCCCAGCAACCGCTCTTCTTGCACCAACAAGGAGTGCAAGGATGCCAAGGTCAAGATCCTCAAGGGCGAGCTTCGCCTTGGATCTTGGATTGAAGGTGAAAGATTCCAGGGCTACACTTGGCGCCACTGGTAAGTCCTCTATCGATAGCCTTGAATTGCGAGGCATCTAACTGTACCTAGGGGCTGCACCACTCCCAAGGTGATCGAGAATATCGTCACTGCATGGAAGGATATCCTTCCTTCCGAAGAGCCTGACTACACCATGCTCGACGGCTACGATGAGCTGCCTGAGGACCTTCAGTTGAAGATTCGTACTGCTCTGACCCAGGGACACGTCGATGACTCCGACTGGAAGGGCGTAAGTCAAACCAATCATGTGCCAACCGCGAATGTAATTTCACTAACAAAACCAGGATCTCGAGGTTAATCGCCCTGGCAAGACTGGATTCCGTGTTCGTGGCGGAGCCAAGGGCAAGAATGCTAAAGATGAGGTAAAGTCCGCTGTATACTGTGCAATGGCCAAAGATCTAACTTGACCAAGAAGAAGGTTGCCACCACTGAGGGCTCTGAGGCCAACGATGACACCGTTCCCGCTGATAAGCCCAAGCCCAAGAGGGCTGCTCGCAGCAAGAAAGCTGCTGTCAATGAGGAACCGGATGCTAGTGGTACTGACGAGACAGAGCAGAAGCCTGCTGCCAACACCAAGAAGTCCCGTGCCAAGAAGCCTGCCACCGCTGCCGACGCTGATGCCCCGCCCAAGAAGCGTGGCCGTCCCACCAAGGCCGCTGCTACTGAGACTCCTGCTCAGCCTGCTAAGAAGGGTACCAAGCGCAAGACTTCCGAAGAAGAGACACATGTTTCCGAGCCCGAGAAGCCCAAGCGAGCCCGTGGCAAGGCTGGCAAGACCAGCACTTTGCCCAACGATAATGAGTCTGCTCCCCCCACGAAGGCCGCGCGTGGCCGAAAGAAGGCTCCCAAGGAGTAAATGTCTTTGGAATTTCATTTCCAATCCCCCATGTGTTTTGTTTCTGCACCCTGAGATGTTCTTTCTGGATTGCAACTGGGCGCGAGGTGGGTTGGAGCTTCTCCTTCTTCGGTGTGCTATGGGTTGAATCTCTTCTGATTACGCAGTATTTTCTGTGTATTTCCCTTTTTTTTTCACCAGGGGCGGTGACTTGGGCCTTGGAATTCTGTTTATGGATCTCTATTTTCCATGGTCTGTCATGTATGTCACAAGACCAATTCAAATGAATCATTAATCAATAACTTGTACCCGGTTCGTAGTTTGTAAAGGATATAGACAATGGAAGGTCTGCAAAGGCAGGGGAATCTTTTTTCGAATTAGCTACCCAAGGTATTTAATGCCTGCATCTCCACAATTATATCCTTTATTTGTATCTCCCTACTTGCTTCCGCGGTGCATTTTTATACCTCTTGATAACCTCTTTATTGAACGTTTTCTGGACATCTTTCGGAACGTTCCTCTGCACCTTCTTCCCATCACACTTTCTCGATTCCCCGGCTGCGCATCAGGGAAACAATATCCGCATAGCGTTGCGGGGACTTTGTGTGTATTTCGGTTCGAATCTTCGAGATCTCTGAATACAGTTCTGGAAGCTCCTGCATGACAGCCCAGAAATTGCTTGGGCAGTCATAGAGGAACAGGTCATGTGCGTCGGCGATAAACTCGATCAGCCACTTTTGGAGATTATCATGTTTGTAGCCCACAGGTTCCCGGCTGAATGCCATCGTAGTTACCTGCAGGATCGGCTGTAACTGAGCAAGACCAGGATACGAATTCCACGCAGCTTGCAGCTTGATTCGGATAAGGTCAATTAGCTGGACCATCTCATACCTCCTTGCTTGTGTGTAAAGGCGGCCAAGAGAGATGATCTTGTCCTGTAGGTCTGTCGAGTCGGAAACGGCAGCTAGATGGTATTTACGATGGATATTCATAACGTCCCCGATCTGGCGGGACGCAACGTTCGGTGACGCATTGCCGTCGGCGGCTCTTAGCGGTGGATTATTGACTTGAACCACAAGAGGGGCAAATTCATGCGACCTCAGCCAAGACTGAATTTGTAAGAATTCGGGTTGGTCTTGAGTCTGGAGCACTTCACGGAAAATTTCCACAACCTCGGAAGAATCATCTTCCTGCAGAAAGACATGCTGGAGAGCTGAGCGTAAGGTCAGATCAAAAACAGAGGTCTTGGCTGAGCTGTCTTTTGAATCTTCGGTCTTGAGTCTGCTATTGACTTGCACGATTCTGGGTCTGCTGGACTCCGAGAATGTAGGCAACTGAGTTCGTCTCAGTACAGCGGGGAATACCTGTTCAGGTGAACCTTGACGAGCCTGTGTGGTACCGGAACAATTGGACTGGGAGTAGCTCGGAAATGATGCTGTCTCTCCAGGGAATCGGAGAGATGTAGATTGAGTCTCTGCTCTCTTGCCAAAGGGTCCGATCAGTCGCGACGCAGAGAATGAGCTACTGGTCGCCTGCACATTAGCAGATCGATCACCAGATTCTGGCTCATCTAGATCATCTGCGTATGACCCGTCACCACTTCCATCATCGTCGGAGCTTTCGCCATCATACATAGCACCATATCCATCCGGAACGGCAATCGATACTTCAGTGCCAGACTTGCCCTTGATCGAAGTCTCATGGTTGGCCATCTCCAACCAGAACTGCAGGGTGGGATGCTGCTTAGCAATCCTGAAAATCTTTCGGAAAGCCTTAGCATCACTGCGGGTGCTAGGCTCATTGAAGTGAAATGGGATCCGAATACCGAGCATAAAAAGATCATTGAAGATAGTCCACCGGCTAATCATATCAGTATTAAATTTCAAAGGGATATTCGACTCAACTCACAAGGTGTTTCTTCCCGGGAAGTAAACGGGATACATCCTTTCTCTCAGCGGAGTTTTCCATGCACCACCCTGTATGAGCGGTCGCGAGCCCTTTGGTCGACGGCTAAGTCCTTTGCCTGGCTCAAATCCATCGGGGAGGATCACACCGACCCAGATATCGACTCGGTATTTTTTGTGAGAATTTTTGAAGCGGGCAATGAACACCTCGCCGGCATTTACCTCTCTCGGCGTGGGAATGTGACTGAGATCAGCCGTCATCGGCGCGTAATGGGCCATTTTGGCCGGGATGGTACTAGCTGACATCTTTCGTCACTGGTCAGAATTGAGTAAGGTCAAGGCAACATCGGATTAATGGATCTGAAGCAGAATATGAATGGGTTCTTGGTCTCCGATAATTTGTGGGAAGAGCATGCCATCAGAAGAGTTTACATACCTTGGTATGCCTGAATTAAGGAGGGCGAGTGAATGTGTGGGAGAGAGAGGTTCTCTGATGAAAATAAACGTGATAGACAAGAGATGAAAAGAAGTCTTTTCCTGGAAAACTGTGGCTATGTCAGAAAGAGAAGCTGTTAGGTGGAATCCTTTGGAAAATAACATACCTTCGAGAAGACGTCAAGACAGATGCCTAGAAAGAGCTGTGGGATGGGATGTTAGAAAGACGTTCGGAAAGAGAGGTGAAGGAAAGTTGGTGGAAAACCGATCGAATGTTAGAAGGAAGCCGTGAGGAAATTGGTGTCAAGGATTGTAGGCAGACGGCTTCGAAAGACTGACAATGGGAGAATGCAAAAACCTCGCAAGGGAAGAAGACTTGTCATTGATCAAAAGAGTGTAGAAGGTTGTGAAAAAGATTCAAGGGCAGGAAGATGCGCGTTAAGACCCGAAAAAAGTAGAAAGTGCTCGATGGAGATATGGGGTGTTGTAGGACGAAGATCTTTTTCCGGGACTGAAATGTGTGATAGTTAGCGCCTACAGAAGAGTGCGTATCACCTGAATGTGACGCAGAAGGTTGACCCGTCTCCAATGTGTTCCGATGTATTGAGAGCGTCTTGTGGGATGTATAAGGGGTTGAAGGAAGACAGTGTCCACCGGAGGGGAGTTGTATGATAAAGATCTTGGCATGATAGCACGCACCTTGTGGAAAATCAAGTAGGGTAAGATGTTGCGAAGGTGAGAGGCTCTACTGAGACCGAAATGTAAATTGGGAAACTTCGAGAATAGAGTATGTGAGAGGTAGGGATGAGCTCAATCCTTGACCCTTATTATCGGTTGCTGACCGAGAGGTTGAGTGTGTCGATTGGTAGAGAAACTGGATGTGAGTGGTTAAGCATCAGTGAATGAAGATGCCTGGGGTTGGAAGATGGTATCAAATGACGAGGTGTAAAGAAGAGAGAGAATCTGAAATCTAGAACTGGCTTTGAAGAAGGTGAAAGGGTTGGGTATGGTAGAGGTGTCAAGAGGTAGATGATGGTAGCAGATGTGTTGTTGTATTTCTGCAACTGACTATGAAGAAGATAAGAAGTTAAGCACTCAGAGAGACGATGATAGTAGATAGTAGGTGCACACCTGAGATCCACAAGTAAGACAGGTACTCGAGATGTAATGTTAAAAGCTCAGAGTTGAAACAAGCCGTGAAGGACAAGTTGAGTAGAACGAAGTTGCAGACAAGTTCATGTTTGGGTGCGAGGAAATTCACACCATGAACAGAGCAGCGTTATATATGATATTTCCATTCTAGAGACTACTGGAGACGAATTTGAGGTGGCCGGATTTCTCATATCATATTTCTCATCACCAACGGGCCAGGAGCCCAATAATATCACACTCGACGAATATGCGTCGGTATTCAAGGAATGGAGGCGTAAATGTCACATATCAACGAGAACGCAGAATCAACGCAGAAATTGAGCGGAAATGTTGCCGACACTGTCAGAGCATCATCAAGGAGTGAAGACGTCGATCAACGCAAGTCACCATACTCCAACCAATTAAAAGAGAATAGGGCGGTTTCTGGGGAACCATCAAATGGCGGCCAACCTCGATGGAAGAGAAGTTGTTCTGCTGTCAAAGCAAAATAACAGACCGATTCAAAATCGCAGTCAGATAGCCATTCTGGTTGAAAATCAGTGCGCCTCCGTGTTCAATTTCAATTTCGTGCAGCTCAATTTGAACAATAAAAAGCAATGTAGACGACCGGCTAGAACAGCCTCGAAGTTCGCTTGGCGCTGCGAGAGAGTATAAGCATTCATTTGCCGAAATTGCAGAGGGGTTATGTTAGAAGTCTAGACAACCTTGAACAGGGGGTCCAAATCAAGGAATGGGGACAGAAGGATCCTACCGGATCTCCGCGAGGTCATCCATGTGGTTGCACATTGCCACAAACAGATCAAAATACAACTTGCCACCGATCTCCATTTCCATCTGCATGGTCCCGCTTCTCTTGAAAGTCTTGCGACTTCGGATGATGAGAGCAAGGTAATGAGCGCGCATTCGAGACTCCGAGTCAGGGGTGTTGTCATACGCGTACCGAGCAGATCGCAAGATCACGTCGGCTGAGATACCGATCTGAAGGCCTTGCTTTCGAAGGGCAATGCGCTTCAGCTCTTCCAGGCCGTACTTCTCGGCTGCGCAGTACACCGCCGTGTCCCGGAGTACAACGTCTCCCACTCCAGGGTGGAAGATCGTCGCCTCGCTCGACCCGCGGCCAGTGTTGTCGATATCTTGAGCATTCTCGAGGTGCCAGGAATCCCGACGCTTGCCGCGAAGCAAGCGTGGGTAATAGTCACCCTTGTACAAGAACTCCAGAATGCAAGACAGGATCTCAGGGTCCCTATTGCACTGCATGTTAGAGTGTTATCGCAAGGAGATGGGACAGTACCAACTCGTCAGGTAGAGTCAGTTGTTTCGAGCCGTCATCCGCCGATTTCTCCTTCAGAGAATCACGGAAGTACGGCGAAATGGACAAGACATCTTCGTGGGCAGCGAACAGACGCTGGTCTTGGCCCACCGCCATGGTGATGATGGGGCTAGTGAGTGCACTACAGCAAACGCGTTAGCCTGGCTCGACGAGCTACTGGATGACTTTACCACCTTCCCGCGGGCATGTTGTCCGCTCCATCGGCCACCCCCTGCTGCATCTTTTCCTTGACCTGTTCGTCGTACCTCTTCTTGGTAGCCTTGACGGTCTTTCCCGCCCGGCTCCTCGAAGAGAAAGAGCGTCTGAACATGACAAGAGCAACAGAGAATGTCCAATCTAAAACCTAGCGACGAAGAAGCCCTGAAATATCAGAAGGAGTGATATGAGTTGGTCAAAAAGAAAGAATGAGCGACGCTGCGAGTCACTGTGAGAGTGAGAGTCCTGGAAGCCGTCCTCCGAGATGGTTTCACCGTTTCATCAAGAGACGGGAAGAAACTAGCCCGGATGATGGCTTTGCATTCGAAAGTTCCTAAAAACTCACGTTTGCGGTTGTCAACTCTGGCAGACGTGAAGAAAAGAACGAGGGGAAGGGGGGCACGCGCTATTTAAGACACGGGGTCAGGTGATACTTTCAACAGCCATCACCAGGGCACAGCCCAAGCTTCATTTGCAAACTGCCGTTGCGTTCGGGGAATGGCGCTAAACCCGGGTGTCGCATTGGCCGGTGATTCGGCGATCGGCGTGGCCATATGCACGTTGCTTCTGCCTACTGGGCTTATCTGCAGTCACGAGACGTCACACAAGTCCAGGTGAAGGCCGACTTTGATTGATGATACACCTTTTCATAATAAATAAATGATCGCATGGTATCGGCCACGCTAAATGGTCCGGCGTCCTATCTGGCATGCCAAAGCAGACGATGATTCAGAACAAGACCTCGGCTGCATGGATCTAGAGACCCGGTCACATAGTCCTGTTCAGAATCATGGGTTCTTGAGGAGCCATCTTCGTTATGATATCAATGGTTTAGAAGAGAGATCCACAGCTAGTACCGCCCATTACCTCGCCGAAGTTATAGAAGCGTCGGTAGTCACGGTGTACATACTATGCCCAGCCGAGCAAGAGGTATCACGCTCTCCCGAGCCATTTTACGCCGGTGGTGGAGCTGTAGTATTCCGTTTTATAACCAAATATGACGGAATATGGGCTCAGGAGGACGGGATACCATGGTAGAATCATTTACGGTGCCATAGCACGAAGTCGTGCGGCAAGTACCTCCGTTCTCGCATACCTCGGGTTCTTCAGACAAGCAGAGGTAGGGCTTTTGGGAAATCGCGGATGTTCGAGAAGGGGGAATAAGATAAGTTAAGGTTCATTGCATGCCGGCAGTCTGTCTTGTATTGACCCCTTCAAATTGTCTGAACTTGTAAACCCCACATCCAACGGACCGTACCTGCGGCAGTCTGAGCGGGGTCGACCCATGTTGAGTGAACTAAGAGCGTACCGGAGGACAGGACACTGTAAAGTTGCGCAAACATCAACCTGTAGGAAGACTGCCTGCTCGTAGTCATCGTAGTGTAGCCCAGTCCCGATATGGCCGTGCCATCGCTAGTACAGATCAAACCGTGGCGGTGCACACGAGATGTGGCGGTGGCGCGAGGGGCCTGTGTAGGGTTGGTCCACATGCCAGCCACCGGTGATATCATCGGGGAAAAGCAGCTGGCCTTGGCCATAAAGTTGCTCTAGAGTACTCCGTACAGGCTTCATGCTTCTGTGCCTTTCTCTGTTGCCACAGTGATCGATCAGTAACGGACTTGATCTCTCTGCAGCTCTACCTTTTATAGGGTGATCTATCAGCAGGGCGCGCGCTAAAACCCCTTGTTTTCACTACGCGCCCAACCCGTTTCGTCTCTGTTTTTGGGACTCAACTTCTCTTTCCACATACCCGTAGAGTTCTCTTCTACATCCGTCACGTCGTGATTATGGAGTACTTCAACCAGATCAAGAATCGGCGGCGATCGTCGCAGATCATCAAACCCTCGAACCCTGTTCTGAGTGCTGAGGAGGAAGCCTATCTGCGACAACTCACTGCTCAGCCTGAGAATACGGCTGAGCCTTCCGGGCAAGAAGATACACCCGCACAAGCCACCGAAGGCTCTACAGAGATCTCCCAACAGCCCGGCCTGAACGGGAGCTCTCAAGAAGCCCAGAATGTCCCACTTCCTACTTCACCGGTAGAGGAGTTTGGAAAGGAACTGGGGGAAGAGGAGAGGAAAGCACAAGAGAAGCCTGAGACTATTGGGAAGTCTGAATCAAAACCCCCGAAGACAGAAGCTTCGGCTGCTCCCGAAAAGAAGAAGAAACGATGGAGCACCACGTTTTGGAAGAAGAATACGGACTCGGACAAGGTATGCACACCTAACCCAATGATCGTCATGACGGATTCGGAATAATAACGCCTTCTCTTGCCACAGAATATGAAGCCGAGCACCGGAATCGACTCACAATCTCAAAGCCCTGCCCCTGCCACAACGTCCACGACCGACAGCGGGGATCAAGCAAAGAAAGAGCAGGAGGACATGACAGATATCCTCGAGCGGCTAAACCTCGCAGCAGACAATAACCGTGTCTTCTCCGTCAGCGATGAGACACAGGAACTGCTGCGAAAGTTCAAGCTCATCTTCAAGGATTTGATCAACGGCGTCCCAACGGCCTACCACGACCTGGAAATGCTCCTGACAAACGGGAACCGGCAATTGCAAGACACCTATACCAAGCTGCCTGGATTCCTTCAGAAGCTGATCGAGAAGCTTCCCGAGAAGTGGACCGAGACACTGGCTCCAGAGATGCTTGCTGTGGCTGGCGAGCGCGCAGCCCAGAGTGGTATCAACATGGAGAATGTGGGCAAGGCTGCAGCGGCCGCGAATAAGGCCGGCCTGAACCTTCCAAGCTTGAAGGAGCTGGTTTCCAAGCCAGCTGCTATTGTCGGAATGCTACGATCAATCATGGCGTTCTTGCGCGCCCGCTTCCCGGCTGTGCTGGGCATGAACGTCCTTTGGTCACTGGCCTTGTTCAGTAAGTGACCATGAAACAAATTATCCTACTTTATATGCTAACGCCCTCTAGCCCTCCTTTTCGTCCTGTGGTACTGCCACAAGCGGGGCCGCGAAGTCCGCCTGGAGAATGAGCGCCTCGTGACCGAGGAGGAAATAAACAAGCTCAATGAGGGCACCGAAGAAGGCAAGATTCGTACAACGGAGACCTTGACGACCACAGCGCCCCAGGGCGCCTCGGCCGAGGAGGTCCGTGAAGGCGTGAAGAAAGTCAACGAAGCCCGAGCTTTGGTAGTGCAAGCTCCTGTCGATGCCTCTGAGCCCCTGAGTCCCAGCGAGGAGAATGCCCAACCAAACCCAGCGCCAGCCCCGACTCGATCCAAATCGCGTCTCTCCATCTTTGGACGTTTTCGTCCTGAGCCCACGCCTTCTAACATCGGCCCCTACCCAGGAACCTAGTGTTTCCATAGCAATTTTTTCTCAATTCGGCAAAAGTTTGCTGTACATACAACTTGTTATTCTTTTGCCCCGGAGAGAAGAGGTTCCATGGTTTGGCTATGGGTGCAGGCGGCAAAATGCGGGTCCCCGGCCGTCGGTGGCGAAATTACTGTAGACGCTGCGAGAGGACGGTGAAGGTAATGAAACATAAACATGGCTGTAAGTATTTTGATTCTGGCGTTATACTAGTGCCCATAATATTATTGTCTTATCCAAATCATAGTCCTAATGCATCATATAGAAACAATATTACAAAACCGGACTTACTATCTCGGTGTCCACTAGAAAGACAAAAATATCATATCAGGTTTATAGGCTGCCGTTTCAGGAAAGGAAATCTTGTAAGGGTAGCCAACTAGCAGTGGGCAATCTATGACTTACGGCTGAAGGCAAGTACCGGAAAGTTTCAACACACCCATTTTGCCAACTCGGATTATTCAAGCAGTTCCGGACTCCTCCGTCTTCTTCTGTTGATGATCGGGAAGCTGTTTCTGGGGAATGAGAAGTGCCAAGAGAACGGCCGCTGCCGCACCAGCCAAACCAAAGGCGAAAACATCCTTGATCCCGACCATATAAGCAGTGGTCACAGCTGTAAGCTCTTCGCCTGTAAAAACATGATGGATCTCGGCTGCGCCTGTGCCCAAGGCCAATGAGGTATTGATATTTGAGTTGGAGCTCTCCAACGTCTGTAGCATGCGGTTGGCGAAGAGGGACTGCGCCACGAGAACGAAATAGGTTCCGCTGATGGACTGACACACTTTCCTGGGAGTTAGTAAAAAGTCTTTACTTGCGAAGAGAGACAGGCGAAATTCATACTGAGCATGATACCAGTGGAGCTTGCCACGTCTTCTGGCTTTGAAAACCCCTGCACTGCAGTCATAGGGATCTGGTTACCCAAGCCGAGCCCAAAGCCATAAAGAACCTGAGGCCCAAGGTAGCGGGCCTGAGATGTGTCGACTCCCATCGTGTAAAACAGAGCCATGCCGGCCACCATGATGAGTGCACTGGTTAACTGAAAGGGCATGATGTAGTGGGTTTTCCCGACGAGACCACCGCTCATCACAGCCCCCAAGGAGAAGAAAGATAGAAATGGGAGTGTATCAACACCACTCATGATAGCGGTCTTCCCATGGATAGACTGGAAGTATATAGGGAGATAAAACATAACCTGGTAGAACGAAGAGTTGGAGCTAAGTAAGCACGCAATGTTAGCTCCGGGACAAGAGGCTATGAATGGAGTGGTTGAGTACTTACATATAGCACCACAAAGCATTAGCCCATGTCATGCGAGGCCTCAGTAGCTTCAATGGAACCATAGCTCGAGAGCCTTGGAATCCCTCAACTATGAAGAACATGATCGTGAAGGCAATCCAAAGAACCAATGTGGCGATGACAAGACCAGCGCTCCACGCTTTTGTCTGGCCACCCCATTGCAGAGCCAAGGCAAAGCACACGAGAGAACCGAGTAACAAAGAAAACCCAGGAAGATCAAGCTGTAAAATGATCTCCTTCCAAGTGGCTGGGACAGGCTTGATATGCCCGGGTACCCGCAAGAACAGTAAACACATAATGACAATCGGACCTCCAAGAGGCAGATTGATCCAGAAACACCACCGCCAAGAGACCTCACTGGTAAAGACACCTCCGAGAACAGGCCCGAGTATGGTCGATACCATAAAGACTCCCATCCAGCTGCCGATCAACACTGGACGCCTTCTTGGCTCGGCCACGACACTGATAAGAAGGACAGATCCACCCAGAGTCCCCGCAGCCCCCAATCCTTGGATTGCTCGACCGATGATTACAGAAAGACTGTTCTGAGCAGAGCCGGCGACAATGCTGCCAACCAAGTAAAACACCACGGAGCTCAGGTAAATCCATTTGATGCGGAGATATTTATACAGCTTGCCCCACATCGGAGAGGATGCCCCAACGAGGAGAAAAGTGGCGCTTCCGTACCATCCGACATCGTTCAATTGGTGGAAGTCATCGGTGATGCCAGGAATAGCAGTCGCAATGATCCCAATCTCGAGGGCGGCCAGGAGAGTGCTCATGAAGATGGTGAGCATGATGAGAAACAATCGCAGCCCCGTTATGTAAGAAGGCTCTGCGGCCAAGTCCTTCTCATCTTCATGCTTCTCTTGGTCACTTTCTGCTGGGGTGTGCTGGATATCGCTAGATGAGATTCTCGGATGAACCACTCTCGAATTGGCTTCCGACTCGTCCCCCATGTCAGGATTTTCAGAAGACATGGCTCTTAACTTTCTCGCTATTCTATGATTTGGCAGGTCGGTAAAATGATGCGGGTTTTGAAGTGACCGGAATATCTTGCGGGACAGGCCGTGGGTTTCGATGCAGCATTTACGGAAGCATAAATATAGAAAATATATCTATTCGATGAAGTGACAACAGGGTGCGAAAATGATCAATAATTAGTAAAGGTATTAAAGACGATAATCTCTTCGTCCGCCGGATACCAAACATCGAAAAAGCTTAATTAGGATTAGCGTTAAACTCGTCCGCCGGGCCGATAACCACTAGGCCTTTTAAAGGACTAGCGTCGCTTTCGACCGCCGGCGCCAGTCCCAAAAGGCCCCCAACCCGCTTCGACCGCCGTCAGGCAAAAGAACCCCGTTGCCCACCGGCCATCTGCCGCATACTTTTTAGTCACATCTCCGCAACACGTCAGGTCTTGGTCAATCTGTAGATACAATGTCTCCGCCCCATGCAAAGCGCCAAAAGCTCCGCAAGGGGACCCACAGCTGCTGGGAATGCAAGCGGCGGAAGATGAAATGTGTATTCGATCCGCTCGGTAATACAATCTGCAAGCCATGTCAAATTCGGGGATCTAAATGCGTTAGTCAAGAGTTTCCCGAGGACGTCTGGATCTCTAATACGCGGACTGGTGGAGGAAATATCGAAACAGACCAGGGACAAACACCTTTAACGTCCAGTGAAGATGGGAAAAGGTCAAGCTATGGCATTCCGACACCAGCATCCACGATTCTACCAACCTCGGCTTCTCTGGACTTCTATCGATCACCACGGGTGTGTTTTCAAGATCCTACCGCCATTCGATTGTCACTCATTCCTTGTTTTAGCAACCATCGCCCGAAGATCGTGTCTTTTCTTATAACTTTGGAAAGCCAGAAAGTGAAGTACCAGTCTCGCATAATAAGCATGAGAGGCTTTCACGGCTCTTACATGAATCACTGCCCTCACGAAAAGATACCGAGAGGATATGTCAAGCTGGGGGTAATCCCTTCATTCTCGCCCATGAAATCTTAACTATGCCATACGACATCCTTTCCAAAACAGCATTGAAAACGAGTGAAACTCTGTTAAATGTCCCCAACGCAAATACACACCCTGTTCTGATAGCAAGGTATATGCTCCAGCTTGCCACCGTCTTGCAGCATCTACACCCCGATCTCCACGAAGGAATACAGAGTCTTTCAGAGACGCCAAGGACCACCATGGAACGATTAGCGAATCTTGCTATCGATCTCGTGATAACAAAAGATGAGTTTCTTGGGAGCATTGAGGGTTTAGAATGCATCATGATTGAGAGCATGTATCAGGCGAATATCGGGAGTTTGCGACGAAGCTGGGTATCAAATCGAAGAGCCATGGGAATTGCTCAGCTGATGCGTCTCGACCGATCGGATCATCGGACTCAGTTCGAAGTGCTCGACCCGAACACAAGATGCCACCCACAGATCATGTGGTTTCGAATCGTGTTTCTGGACCGCCAACTGTCTTTACTATTGGGTCTTTCTCAAGGATCGCTGGACCGTACCATGGCATCCGACGTGATGCTTCAAAGAGAAACCCCCATTGGCCGTCTTGAACGAATCCACTGTGTTCTTTCATCGAAGATTCTGGAGCGCAATGCTTCAAGCTCTCATTCAACGCCCCATGACTACTCCATGATGAAAACCCTCGACCTGGAGCTGCAGAAAGCGGCAAGGGGACTCCCTAGCAAATGGTGGTTGATACCAACCTTGAACGCCAGCTTAACCGACTCGCAGGCCATTTTCTGGGACACACGGCGATTGTTTGCTCAGGTACTTCATTACAACCTCGTCAACCATCTCCATCTACCTTATATGCTTCGCTCGTCTTCAGCGGGGCGGAAATACGAATTCTCACGAATCACATGTGTCAATGCCTCACGGGAAGTTCTCTCACGCTTCATCACGCTCCGCCGCTTTAATCGAATTGCCTACAGCTGTCGCACAATCGATTTCCTTGCCCTGATGGCCGCTATGACCTTGCTGTTAGCTCACCTCGATAGCCACTCAGAGGCAGAGAATCTACTTGCCCATCAATACTTGAGCGACCGTGCCATGATTGAACAGGCACAAGAGAATATGCAAGAAGTCAACAGCTTGAATTCAGATGCAATGAGTGCAAAGAGCGCCGAATTGCTACGCCGGTTATTGGCCATTGAATCCGGGCCGTTGGATGGTTCCGGGAGAATCAGCGTGCAGGGATTTGCCACTGAAACAGTGCCGGACCAAAATGACGATGTTGTCGTTACCGTGAACATTCCCTATTTTGGCATTGTTAAGATTGCCGGCGGGGGCATGCGCAAGGAGGCCCCAAGAAATCAATATCCTCAACAACGGACAGACTCGATATTTAATCACCTACCTCGATTTCAAACCATGAATATGCCTTGTAAAACAAGGCCTGGAAACGTCCATACTGCAGATCCCTTGCGTCATGGCGGAATCGCTAAGACTCACGAAATGCCAAATGTTGAAGCCATGAAACCGCGTGTGGATGCTCGTTTTGATCGCCTCGAGATGTCTTCCATGTCACCAAATCCTTTGACTGCCACTGGAACAGATGGGTCTGCTTCGAATAGCGTACCTCAAATCAATAATCTCTTTTCGGATCCTTTCTTTCAGAATCCTGGGTTGACCGCCGGGGGACAGGACTGGGCATTCCAGGGCGTTGACATGGCTTTCTTTGACAACCTCATGAACAACGGGGGGACCGGGGATACTGAATGATCTATGTAGGCCCGGGGTATAAAAATACAATTTCAATTGTGTAATTTCTACCCCGTACTGGATCCAGCTATCATTGAAATGTTCTAGACATCTGGATATACAAATTGATGTAGTACGTACCTTCTATTAAAACCAAGTAAAACCACATTCTACATTCGATCTAAGTCAACATACAAGTTATTCAACCAACCATCCTCGGAAATGATCAAAAACCGTGTCGATATGCTCGCCCAGAGGGTGTACAAACCTGGGTGTTGGCAAGTCAAGGTCTTTTCCTTGAGTACTCTGAGATTCCGGGCACGCTTGATAGCTTCGTGGATAGTGCTTTTCGCCTCAGCTCGGTTGTCTGGACGGAATCTCCGAATGAATAGAACCCGCGGGGGCTCTATAATTTCATTGCCGCTCCTAACGATACATCGTGTTTGACGTGCGGTATGAGTGTTGTATAGGCCCTCAATAATAACTGCATCTTCGGCTCCAAAGTAGTTCAGAGTGACCGAGCGCATCTGTAGTGGCAGCACCAGTCATCGCAAGCCTCGGCAGGCGCTCCGAGAGCATTTGGGTCATCGCGTTGAAGCTATATGTTAGTTAGTCTATATCGCGTTATTCAAGCAGCTTCCAGCCTACATGTGCCAGTATGATTGTCCATATTTCTTTGGGGAGGGGGGGTGGTCGAGACTCAATAGGGGGCTGTACCTCTAGGAACGCCAGGCCTTGAGGCGACAGCAATATCACACAGCACGACGTGGTACAAGCCCCGCAAATCCACCATATTCCAAGGTTGCTGGGACTTACTCGTGAGGTCTATCTAGGCTCAGATTATAAGGCTGCCTGCATGAGGGGTACCGGTGACGCTAGGTGGGCTATAGAACTGGCCCCCAATAATGCGCCACACCAGGCCCCTGCGTACGGGACACTGCTCGCCACTTTGTGCTCATGGGGTAGATTCGAGCACGTCTTTGAAGTGATCATTTCGTAAAGTACCGAAAATCAATTTGAGGCAAAATGAAAAAAAAAGGTAATGCGAGCGACGCGATTCGAACGCGCGCAACTTTCGTTAGAGGGACTTGAACTATTTAGGTTGTTAGGATGATGAATTCTGGATGTGTCGGTAAGTGGGTACATACTCCTCCGCCTTAACCACTCGGCCACACTCGCTGCAGTACTTTTAATACCCACTTTTTAGATAAGTCAGGATATCGACAAAGAACAGATTTGGGACAAAAAAAGGGAATGCGAGCGACGCGATTCGAACGCGCGCAACTTTCGTTAGAGGGACTTGAACTGTTTAGATTGTTAGTGGGGTGAACTCCGGATATCTCGGTGAGTGGATACATACTCCTCCGCCTTAACCACTCGGCCACACTCGCTTGAGTAATATATTTGGTGACCGTTTACAAACTAGAGGCAGAGATATCACCCTCCATCTGGTGAAATTAGAACCACTTACTAGCAACCTGATAACATCGGTCATTTCGGTCTCAATTTCACAAGTTTCCATATCAAGCTAGCGAAGGCTGGATACTTAACAGACAGCCCTAAATAGGTATTGGGGGGTAGGGGTAAGCAAGACCAGCTTACCCCTCGGGCTCTAGCATAGGTACTCTCCAACTACGCGCTTATCATGTCCACCGAGTCAGGTGGACCTAGGTAGAACCTCGTGATGAATCGCTGATAAGTTATACGATTACAGTGAGCGCCTTAGGGAGCTTCAGCCAGACTAGCAGTTACTCACTAAGCCTGACTCTGGGCATCTTTATGATGCGGCCCAACTGATATATAAAGCCCCGCTCGGCAAAAAAAAAATACTGTAGATAGAGTAACCCAAGTATGTGCATCACCACCCTTCCTGTTCCCTTTCTATATTGAATCCATTGCAAAGTAATATAATCTCATTTTGGCTATTGAATCTCTCGGAGAAAACTAGACAAGTGGTCCTCAAATAAAAATAGGTTTAGCGCCGCAAACATTTCTCCCGGCGGGGAGCGGACATGATTGGCGCTAGGAAAAGTTTCTGATCCACAGCGACTGCGGGGCGGAGATGATCTTGCAGGCACCACGAGAATCGATTTCTCTGAGGGGTACTGGGGGTCTACTATCCCTTGCAGGCATTGGAATCAGGGAGATAAGATGATGCGATCTATCTCCTGCACGCGGCAGGTTCACCGTAGTCCATGCTATCCATGTTGTCCCCCAGCTTACCGCCTCTTTCTCCCCTCTTTTTTAAGTGATGAGGAACTGCAGCTTCCCGGGCAGATCGGACCTCGCAGGCTGAATAAAAAGTGAAACGTAAATTGCGGCCGGAATTGGGAGCCCCGAATTGCCACCGCGGGAGAAAAAGCACGACGGGGTCTTCGGACCCGACCAATCAGGCCCGCGGCTACTCACCAACAATATGATTCATCGCTAGGTGTGTCATGATCGGGCGATGAATCACCATGTTAATATGCAGTACTGCACGGGCTACCCACTGCCCTGGGCCAGGCGCCGGGCTGACATCCAAAGGGCATTTCCTCACATGCCGTGCAAACGGTGGCACAAGTATGGACCCGCAGGATTGCCGGACTAAGCATGCGCTTGTCCACTCGGGGCTACTAGTGTCGAAATTTCCATTTCTCCTCTTTTCTATGGATTGTTACGTAGTCTCAAGGGAGTCATGGGTTCTACCGAGGCAGGGAGTCATCTAGGGACCGCTCCAGGGCAGAGATTGTCCCAGGGGTATTCCAACCAGCCCATGAGTACGTTGAGTCACCTATGCGAAGACGTCTAGCTCTCCGGAAAAGAGAAGAACAAGTAAACAGGAGGCGACGATTGGCGCGAAGATGCGGTGAACTGGCGCCAACGAATAATGTGAGGCGACGGGTGGCCAATCAGCCCGCGTCCCCACTTACCTTTGGGAAAAATCGAGTGACGCTCTACTTTTATCGGCTTATCCCTTCTCTTCTTCCATCAACTCTCTCTGTGCCAACGCCAGTCTTTATTCTATTCCCCCCCCAGAACTGTCAACCTACAAATATCGTCGAGAATTCCTGCCTAATGGCTGCCGTTGAGCTGTAAATCCCCCACTGGGGAGCCTGTCTGCCGGCTCCCCAGTCCAGCAGCTCCGACTTCAATTCCACTTGACGATATTATCCTCTTTCGACGCCCGCTCCGAAGCGTCGGAATTGCCCCCTAGTACAGTCACTGAAAGAGCACTTTTACGTCCCTGTCGGACTCGAGGTGCTTCGCCCGGTTACGAAAAAAATCTCCCGGACTCTCTCCCTCCCCCGATCACCTCCCCTCCCCGCCATCCTCCCTCACGACTATCAGTCGAGATCTCCTCATATTTGACATATACGACAACTCCTTGAAATCTCGAAAATACCACCGAGAGAGATTTCCTCCACCAAGCGACCTGATCAACCTCAATCGGCCTTCCTGGAAACACCAGAATAAGGTTTTTCATGACCGAAAAAGCATAACAACGCAAAAGTTTCGATTTTTCCACAATGTCTCAATCAAATTCATATTCCTCCAAGCGGGCTCCCAAGGGGTCTGCCAAAAGCAGCCATCGCGCAGCCACCCCGGAAAACCTCCGGCGACACCTCATGTCTCCAAAGGGTCAGCAAAAGAAGGCCCGACCTGCTGTCGAGCGAAAGCGTCGGGCTTCCTCCTCGTCTGTCTCTAGTGTCTCTAGTGTCTCCTCTCTAGAAGACTTGAGTGACGATGCCGATGAATCGGAAGATGATGCGGACGACGAAGAAGACAGGCCATTGGCCAAGGCCCCGTCTTACAATCGTCGTCAGAACAAGGGCCGTAAGATGGGGCGCCAACCTCCCATGAAGAAAAAGAGAAGGGCTTCCGATGACGAAGACTGGGATGGTGGCTTCAGCAGCAATGGCAGCGGTTCCGAGGACAGCTCGGATGACGTCTATGCTGCTGTTGACTACATCACCGATGCAGACGATGAAGAGCAGGACGTGGAAAAGTTAGAAGAGATGATGATCTTGGAATCCGAGAATCACCACCGCGTCTTGCCCTCATCTGAAGTGAATGACCAGTGGAACGGCCCCAACGGCTTTGGTGACTCAATGTTCCTCCCTGCTGCATCTTTCTTCGACGAAGAGCACCTCTATAGCGCCATGGATGCCTTTGGTGAAACCGACATGGCCTCGGAGGCCGTGGAAACCCCAGTTGCTCGCCGGGTCCACTTTGAAGAGCGATCGGATTCTTCTTCCGACAGTGAATCTCACACGGATGACGAGATATCTGGCGATTTCCTGCAACAGGATTCCCTAGACCCCCAGCTGCGTCGGATGATTGAAAACGATAACCATGATCACCACCGCAGCCATCGCCGACAGTCTGAAGAAATTTTCGCCGATATTGACTATGGTCACGGAAACATTTACCATGTTGAATCCGACGGGACCTCCGAAGGTAGCTTGAGCGGATATGAGAGTATGCTGGATTCTTGGATATGCTGCTTTACTTCTTTGCTAACCCAATTCCAGCTGACGATGGTGATACCACGGATGAAGATCTTCCCCCGCCTGCTACCATTACCCACCCCCGCTCTCTTCTTCGCCGTGACTCTACCGACTCTCTGGCCGCTGTCGGTGATGACAAGTCTGACACCATTCCACGTCGACGGGGCCCGATCATGGGCACATTCAAGGCCGATCCTCATAAGCCTGTAGCTCTGGTAGACTGCACGGGCAAGCATCTTGTCATCATTCCTGCATATGCATCCTCGCGCCACGACTGGCTGGACTCTGCCGCCAACAGCATGCCAGGGACTGCCAACAACAGTCCTCGCCAAACTACCCTGCATTTGGTCGATGAGAGCGACACCGATGCTCTCGCATCCCCCAATCAGACTGTCTTCAGTCCCATGCTGGCCTCCAGCGCCAACCTGATGATGACTGCCCTCGGCAACGATTTGACACCGGGTGGCCAGGTCATGGGTCCTCCCGAGGCTTTTTACCCCTCGCAGGACTTCACCATCGATAGCTCCTATGAAGACGACGATGATGATGACCCTGAGTCTGCTCTCAATGTCGACGACTTCATCGACTTTGGCAATGGATCCTCAGATGAGGAGGAAGACATGGGCAAGCCCTTCGACGACGAGGCTCTCATCTCCCCTATGGCCAGTAACTTGAACTCCATGCATCCACCCATGGGCACCCCGACCCCGACCCGAAACAATTCGGAGTCGCAGCAGGCCAGCAATAACGCCGAAAGTTTCCTGAATCACCTGGATAAGGGCATCGTCACTGCATTCCGCCGTAACCACAACCGCTACCAGGCACTCTTGCGCCTCCCTCAACATCGCGAATTCATGCCCGCCAACTCCCCCTCGCGACCAGCCAGCGTGTTCCGTCACGCCAAACACACTGACCAGCGCACCCCCACACGAAAGCGCAAGGCCAGCGGTTACGCGGGTGGCGAGGCAGTGCGACGCAAGCTGATGGATGCCCAGCGTCGTACCCAGCTTCCCTTCTAAGCAAATTCGCATACCTCCCGCTCTGACGAGCCCCGCTGATGACCAGCGTCACCAGCCCGTTACGATTCTATGAAGTTTGGATTTACAAAGATCGCATGATACACACGGACGCAGTTCACTTTTGATTGAGTCGCTGGCAGACTTTGGCCCGAGAAGAGTACGGGCTCTCCTTGCTATATCTGTTGATGTAGATTGGGGATCTCCTTGCCTCCTTTCGATGTTTTTTTTCTATTTCTGAAAAGTCACCTGGCGGATCTTTTATTCTCTCTTACATTGTACGATGTTTTTCAATTTTAGTCAATTTCAAAAAATTATCAAAGTATTCAATATCTCTCTGGTAACTTGTAAACTCCCTAGGCTTCCTTTACGTTCTCCTTCGAGCGTCTTTTGAATACCCCACTACGTCTTCCAAGCACCATTTTTTCAAAGTATATCTATGTACTCCCGATGCCATGATAACCCGTTATAAATCTACAAGGCACAAAAATGAAGTGTGAACACGATGTCTATTGCTTTCAATTAAGCAGGAATAAAGTACAGTTCAAGTGACATGAGAACCAGTCCATTCAGGCGCAATATTATTCAGCACTCGAATACACCCAGCTCGAGCCTCTGGGCCATGGAGGAAACAAAAGGAAACCAGAAACAAGTAAGGAAATTCCGCTGGACAAGGTAACAAATTAGGGAATCGAGAACAGAAAAAGCATCTTCAGTCTGCATTAGGCCTGTCTAGATGACGAGACCAATGAGCGTTGCGATGAAGCCCAGCATCACGCCCCATGACATCGACACTGTCGATGCTGAGTTGAATACTGGCGAGGCGCTTGCTTTGGCGGGCGTTGCGCCGGATGTGTAGGGGATGCTTGAGGTTGCTAGTCTCGAGGAGGACCCCTTCGGAACGGGAATCCGGCCAGAGGGTCGAACACCACTTGGGCTGACGGGAACTAGGCCGACTGTTGGGGTGGAGCCTGAGGAGCCGGTGAGTGTGGACGTCACGAAGCTGACCTGCGGCACCGTGACGGTGTACGTTGAGTAGGTGATTGTGGTGCAGGGGACCGAGGATGCAGAGGTTACGCCCGCTGGAGCCACAGTGCTGCCGGTTGGAGCGGAGACGAAGACGGTCGGGGCCAGCGTGATAGTCGACGGGACGCCAGTCACGATGCCGGGGTTTTGGGGAACCCAAGCGGCACAAATGCCGGTGAAGTACGACATGGCGACCTGGATCTCAGATTTGGATGAACCCCATGCGTCGATGCAAGATATGACCTTGTCTGTGAACTCCTTGTTGGGGCAGTAGCACTTGGCATCGCTGTTGTCTTTGCAATTTGGCACGAGGCTCAGCCAGGTGTTGATACACTGTGGGACGGTGCTGGGACAAGAAGAGAATGGAGCTGGACTTGAGGTCGGCGAGGTGCCGGTACCACCAAGGACAGTGATAGTCTCGGTAACAGACGTTGCACCTGCTGAACATTTGGTGCAAACGGTGGAGGTAGAGGTCAGAACGACAGTGGAGACAGTGCTGGTAGGAACAAGGATAGTAGATCCACCAGTAGTGACAGTGTTGGTTACAGGACAGGTAGTGACGGTGGTGTAAGTCACAATAGTAGTTGTGGAATCCTCTGGAACGACAGTAGACTCGGGGCTGGTGCCAGAAGGAACCGAAACGGTAGGTGCAGGACTGGTCTCCGCAGGGCTGGTCTCCGCAACACTTGTCTCGGTGACGCCAGGAACAGAAGTAGTAGCACCAGCTGAGCACTTAGTGCAGATGGTCGAAGTCGAAGTAACAACGATGGTTGACAGGGTGGTAGATGTCGTGACATAGTATGAGGATCCCGTGCTAATAGTAGCAGTGACCGGGCAGACAGTTGTGGTGGTGTAGGTGACTTCAGTGACTGTTGAGTCCGATGGAACTGACGAACCACCACCAGTTGGAACCGAAGGACTCGCGGTAACCGGAGAGGAGCCAGTGGGGCCAACAGAGGTCAATTTCACTGTAGTAGTCTCTACAGCCGGAGATGTCTCTACAGCCGGAGATGTTTCCACAGCCGGAGATGTCTCTACAGCCGGAGATGTCTCACCGGCTGGCGTAGTCTCTGTAACAGGACACACGGTAGTTCTAATAGCAATGGTGGAGGTGACCACTGAAGTGGAATCGGCCGGGCAGTTGGTCACAGTTGAGGCACAGCTCGTGATGGTGATTTCGCTGGTCGTATAAATGGTGGATGTAGTCCACTGCGGAACACTAGCGGACGATGTGATGGAACCAGTGACTGGAGAAGAACCAGAGGGGCCAGCGGTAGTCGACTCGGCAGAGGTCGATTCAGCAGTAGTTGATTCAGCAGTAGTTGATTTAGCGGGAGTTGACTCAGGAGAGACCGACTGGACAGGAGTAGTTTGGATAATCGAAGTAGTCGTGCCAGAAGGGGAGGTTTCACCAGCGGAAGTCTCAGTCACAGGACAAACGGTAGTCCGGACAGGAATGGTAGAAGTGATCACCGTAGTTGAATCCGCCGGACAGTTCGTGACAGTGGGAGCGCAGCTAGTAATGGTCACTTCACTGGTCGTGTATATTGTGGAGGTAATCCACCGAGAAACACTAGTAGAAGAGGTAATGGAGCCAGTAACAGGCGACGAGCCCGAGGGCGCAGCAGGAGAAGTCGCAGGCAAACTTCCACTAGGACTGGCTGGAACCGACGGTGCCGATGTCGACTGCGATGAAGTAGTCTCGGTGACGGGGCAAACAGTAGTCCTGATGGCGATAGTAGAAGTGATAACTCGGGTGGAATCCGCTGGACAGTTAGTGACAGTTGGCGCACAGCTCGTAATAGTGATCTCGCTGGTCGAGTACACGGTCGAAGTAGTCCATTGCGAAACGCTAGCAGATGTGATTGATTCAGTCACCGGTGATGAGCCAGATGGGCTCGCAGGCGAGCTAACTGGGGACGAAACGGAAGGACCAGCAGGAGAAGAAACCGAAGAACCAGGAGAAGACGATTTAGGTAAGCTGCTGCTAGGGCTGATTGTGGTTGATGGCACCGGACTCGAATCAGTCTGACCAGCAGAAGTTGTCTCAGTCGCAGTCACAGGGCACACAGTTGTGTACAGGGGAATCGTGGAAGTAACAACGCGAGTCGAGTCCGCAGGACAATTAGTGACAGTAAGCGCACAACTAGTAATAGTGACCTCGCTAGTTGTAAAAACAGTCGAGGTTGTCCATTGCGAAGCGCTGGCCGAGGATGTAATAGAGCCAGTGACTGGCGAGGACCCAGACGGGCCTACAGACGTGACGGTACCGGAAGAACCAGATGGGCTAATGGGTGAGCTTGCGGGAGAACTTGCGGGCAAGCTGCTACTGAGACTAGCCGATGATGTCTGTGGGGTAGCGGACTCGGTAGAAGATGTATGGCTATCCGAACCAGTCTCGGTCACAGGGCACACAGTCGTGTAGAGAGGGATTGTGGAGGTTACGACCTTGGTCGAGTCCGCCGGGCAATTAGTAACACTTGCGGCACAACTTGTGATAGTGACTTCGCTGGTCGTGTACACAGTCGAAGTGGTCCATCCTGAACTGCTGATACCGGCAGAAGGAGTGGTAGATCCAGTGATGGGAAATGAGCCAGAGGTTACCGGCGAGCTAACAGGAGTCGAGAGCGAGCCAGCGGGGGAAGAGGCTGAGGGACCAGCCGACGGACTTGTGCTTGTGGGAGATGATACAGGAGAGACACCGCTCGGGCCAGGGGCAGGAGTCGACTCGCCGGCCGGAGTAGTCTCGCTTTCGGTCACAGGGCATACCGTGGTTGAGACGGCGATAGTAGAAGTAACCACCCTGGTCGAGTCGGCCGGGCAGTCTGTGACAGTCGGAGCGCAACTGGTAATGGTAATCTCACTGGTGGTGTAGACCGTAGAGGTAGTCCATCTCGCCGAAACACTGGCAGGAGATGTAGTGATAGTGGCCGGCGATGAGGCAGAGACCCCTGGAATCACGGGCAAGGAAGAGCTCGAGCTTCCGGACGGGGCGGAGCTCGGAGAAACGGGGACCACCACTGGGATAGAAATGCTCGAGGATGTAGATGCCGATGAGTCAGAGGATTCGGAAACCACCGCTGCGGAAGAGCTCGAGGTCGTCGAGGATCTCGAGCCCGGAGATACGGGGATCACCACTGGGATAGAGGCGCTCGAGGATGTAGATGCCGGCGAGTCAGAGGATTCGGAAACCACTGCTGTGGAAGAGCTCGAGGCTCCAGACGGGGCGGAGCTCGGAGAAACGGGGACCACTACTGGGGTAGAAATGCTCGAGGATGTAGATGCCGGCGAGTCAGAGGGTTCGGAAACCACCGCTGCGGAAGAGCTCGAGGTCGTCGAGGATCCCGAGTCCGGAGATACGGGGATCACAACGAGGGGAGAGCTCGAGGTACCCGAGGGTACGGAGTCAGATGGGGTGGCGGAAATATAGGGAATGGACGAGCTTTCCAAATTACGAGGAAGAAGGCCACGGTTCGACAAAACAGTGCTCTGAGCGGATACGGTACTTGAAGTACCGGAGGTGCAGTCAAAGCCGATGCTGTAGATTCCAAAGTCGCAGCTGTCTTCCTTGCTGTCATCAGGCAGAACGAATTGAACAGACTCAGCACCGCCGCATTGGTCATTGGTGATGGTAGAACCAGCAGTTGAGACGGAGGCAGTCTTGTGGCATTTTTGACCATCGGGCATGTTGTAGATAATTAGCAAATCGGTGTCCTTGGAGGTTGAGACCTTGAGGTTGGCGATAGAGAAATCGGACTCATCACTGCCGACGGAGAACGAAGGCGAAGACGAGCTATCACCGGAGCTAGCACCCTTGATTGCAGTACCAGTGATGCACTTGTCCTAAGCAGAAGGTCAGTATATGGATGCACAAACAACGCGTCAAAAAGAACCATGTATAGAATCAGCAAGGGAATGTTAACAACTTACACTCCTGCTACCGAAGCTGTTGCTGCACGTAAATCCAATAAAGTCCATGCCACCGTACTGGTCAAAAGAACCGGTAGCCAGACCAGACCAGGTAAAGCCCTTCTTCTGGTATTCATTGCACTTGTTGACCGAAGTGTTCGGGACGGAATAAGACTCGTTGGAGTCCCATGACTAAAAGAAAACATAGAGTGTTAGCACCCGATGTTGATATCAACCACATTATGACGCGAAAACATACCGAAGCATGGCCCACGGCCAGCAGAGCAGCGAACGCGATGGAGATAACGCCTTTCATCATGAATGATGTCAACGAGCGACACAAGTAGAATGAAGATCAAAATCACGAGATATTTTCCAATTGTTGGAGACCAGCAACAACAACGAGGCCCCGGAGGCCAGTAACAAAATCAGCAGAGGGGAATTAGGACGAGGAGTTCCTGGAACGAGTGTAGAAAAGAAAAGAAGTGGATATGAGAAGAAAAAAGAGGGTCGAGGGTGCAGAAGAAAGGAAACCAAAACAAAGGGCAAAATCTAGAAACTGAAGCCCAGGGGCCTTGGGAGCAGGCTTCTTAAACGGAAACGTCCGGACGAACCTGAACAAAGGGTTCTTCCTGAATGCGACCTAAGACGCTGCCTGCTCCAATTGACCATATCTGCTCTGTGAATAGTAATTGGTAAGACATTCTGGGGACAAAGGCGTCCAGTCACCAATGAGCATCGGCCAGGCACCGATCTTGAAACGAAGACCGTCCAGAAAATGGCGAAGAGCACCCCATTCGGAGGTAACCTAGCAGGTACCATGCTGGATCAGAAGCAGGGATCGATTCCAGCGGTTAAAGACCTCCACTCCTGAAGAAAGCCGGGGATCCGCTGCGGCGACTACACAAGGTCCAATCATAGCTGTGGGGTACAAAAATAGCCCCTGCACCGTGTGTTCATCAGGGAAGCGCCAGATCGGCACGGATGCATGGGATGAGGTCGATCTCCTAAGCCGAAGATTTTGAGGAAGTAAAGTATACGTCTCGCAATCACTCATCGTTGCATGACTTGGATCGAGATGCGATCATGGCTTGCTTCGTGCGATGCATTGTCCGACTGTGAGAACGTCCCAGGTGGCTTTTTCGCAACATCATCCCATTAACGAGGGATGTTGAACTGAAAGGACGGAGTTAACTCTACATCCGACATACCAGAATATGGTGTTGGGGCATCAATTTTCCAGGTCGGACCTACATTGCCGCAGGTGCAGGTGAAGAAACTCTGCCACCGGCGTCGCGCCCTGAGTCTGAGCTGTCGGTGACCGGTTACTGACTGGTCAGGTTAACGGATCCCCACTATTACAGGGCGCGACCGTTGTCCCGTGCTTTTTACGGTTATGCCCAAGCTGAATTGTGCTCCGCGATCCAACTCCGCCAATGGACTTAGCGCCGGGTCACATTTCAACGGCCCAACCAGCATCCACCACGCCTCGATGTCAAATACCGCCAAAAGCAATCGGTCAGCGGCTCTGTATGTGATGCAAAAAGGCAGCATGTGTGCTATTTTTCCGAACCTGAGGCTGGACGCCAGGTGCCATCTTTATTCCGACAGAGGGAGTAACTTCATGATCCGAGAACCCTTGGTGGCGTCGGTACCTGAACGGCGTCTGGTCTTGATTATGCCGAGCCGTATTGACAGGCAGCCCAGAGACCTTGAACAACGCCATCAAGCCCCTCGGCTGATGACTCTGTTTCATGCTGGCGGCCAGTGTCCTTTTTCCTGTGAATGGCCAAGTTCCTGGGTAGCCGCTCGGAGTTCTCTTCATTGTCGCACGATCGCTTTGTTTGTAGGCTCGGCGCTAAAATTATCCACGAATGAACCTGTCACAGCCAAACTAGGTCGCGGTCTTTTTCCTTGTCATGTCACTTAGGGTGGGATTATATCCTGGTAAACCGTGGGTTTTGTATGAGGAACCTCTTTTTGTATAATGTTACAGAGAAGTGCAAAACCAGCTTCACCAGCTCGCGCTCTTCTCTTCCTTCTGCGCCCCACTACCAAGACGCTAGCTTAAGAAATGGGTAGATCTAAATGGGCCTGTGTACATTACGTTATGAGCATTCTGCTCTCCATACTGACGAATGTCTCAATAGAAATGCGATTCACTGGACGAATTGTGCTTTCACCATTCAAAGCTCTATTTTGGGTTTACCGACCCTCTACAAAACCACTTGAATAGGGAAGACTTCCAGAGTGAATATGACAGTACTGTTTCAAATCTCGTTGTACATATTCAGGATCACTTAATTACAGCCAGCATGAAAGATACTTCCGATCCCTGAGAAGGGCACGCGATGTTGGGAATGTTTAATCGAAATGGCCACATTGATTTAGTCAAGTGGGCTCGTCAACTTGGCCACCAGATTACATAGTCCCGGTAATTCCGCCGCCAACTGAGATAAACTGTGCAAAGATCCACCGGCTCCTTTTCTGGTACTAACAGAAGCGTTAGAACCAGCCAGACCCTCAAGCAAGCTTTGTTTGTATCATAGTTTGTGCTGTTTGTGTTGATGACCAAGGACCAATGGTTCGCTACGCTCCGCAATTATTAATCCACCCAAAGTTTTGTTTGCATCGTAGTTTGTGCTGTTTGCGTTGAGACCAACCAATCAACGTCCCGGGGTCCGGGCGGGATTGCTGCATAGTCCGTGGTTTGTGTTGATAACCAAGGCCTAACAACTGCTGATGAAAAACACGAGAATTAACTAACTATCCAGCTTACCAAGCCTTCGGTCTTCTCGGGTGCCGAACTGAATAATTCATGTCTTGATGTCCCCGCCATTGGAGTATACCGACACTTTTAAGCAGACCAACCCTCGATCCGTGTAGTCTCTGTATCGAACTCTCTTTCTCATCGGCTCACCATGTCTCTCAAAACCCTCACTCTCTGGACCCTCCGGGGCCACGCCGGCACGCCCAATCCCTGGAAGGTCCTCATGATCCTGGAAGAGCTCAAGGTTCCCTACGAGCCCAAGTTGGTCGATCTCGGCGACCTAAAGAAGGAGCCCTACGAGTCTATCAATCCCAACGGTCGTGTTCCCGCCCTCGAGGATCCGAACACCGGCATCACCATCTGGGAATCCGGCGCCATCCTCGAGTACCTAGTGGACACATACGACAAGCAACACACCATCAGCTTCACCGCCGGCTCGAAGGAGTACTACGAAAGCAAGCAGTGGCTACACTACCAGGTGTCCGGTCAGGGGCCGTACTTCGGCCAGGCCACCTGGTTTACGGTCTACCACCCGGAGAAGGTGCCCAGTGCGGTCGAGCGCTATGTTAACGAGATCCGTCGTGTTTTGGGCGTGCTCAACCGATCGCTCCAGAATAAGGAGTACCTCGTTGGTGGCAAGTACAGCTATGTCGATGCTGCTTTTGTGCCGTGGTTTGAGGTGGCTGCGCTCTTCTGGTCGAACGAAATGGATCTCGAGAAGAGCTTCCCGCATGTTAATTCCTGGTTGAACCGTATCAAGGCTCGCCCGGCTATTGCCAAAACCATTGATGATAAGGCGAAGGCTGCGGCTGCGGAAGGGAAATAAGGCAATGTGATGGCAGAACTCGTAGATATAAGGCGAAGTTTTTTAAATTGAGTCCAAATGCATATATCTTCTATATTTAGATCTACCCATCTCTTAAGCTAGCGTCGTCGCAGTGGGGCGAAGAAAGAATGGAAGAGTGCAAGTTGGTGAAGCTGGTTTTGCACTTCTCTGTACATTGGTCTGGATCCTGCAGCACGATCCTCAACGGGAGATGAGAGCGACTGCCTTCTTGGCAAAATGCTTTCAGGATGCTGCTGACAACTGACTTTTCATGTCCTTTTCAATTGAACTTTTAGCCCCTCACAGGTTACTCATGGGTCTTTTTCACCATCTACAATCCGCCCTCGACACTTATTTTGATAACCTCCTCGTCCTGCTTCACTCCTGCTTTATGTGAAAGTCTCTCGATCTCTTTGCACATCATTCTTGCAACATCAAACTCACTCCCAATGATCGCCGGATGGCCTTCACGCCACCGTGCTACTGTGCCTATGGTCCCAAGCATCTGTTCTGCAGCCTGGAGATCCATGGCTAGATATTGAGGGTTACGTTGACTCGCGAAGAACTCGTCACCTTCGGCGCATGGTATGCCCTTATTCCAATCTTTACGATAGAAAGTATTCCGATCGAATCCAGGGACAAGCACGGCAAGAGACCCAGGGAGAGGAAGATCGGTGTACGAACCTTTGGCAAGGAGATTGCCCTGTTACATATAGGGCTTGAGGTGCTTATTTCCAATCTCCAACATGGCGGCCTGAACAGCAGTGTGATTGGGCATGGTTGGATGGGGGTACCCTGCACTAGCAGCCCAAAGAGCAACAGTTCCTCCAGGCTTGAGCACATCAGCCGCGCGACGCTAGAATCGTGTCATGTCAAACCAGAGTGCAGCAGTCGCGGCAATGATAAGATCAATACTAGAGTCCAGAATTGGCGGCAAGCTTTCGGAACCGAGGTCTGCAGCGGTAGATATTTCGAAACGTATAGGCTGGAAATTAGACGAAACGTCACCAAGAGAGAGGGCGTTACTGATCATACCCTCGGATGGGTCAAGGCCAATGGCGTTGATAAAATACGGTGCGAGATCACGGACGGGCATTGCCCGGCCCACGGCCGACATCAAGAATCGTGTCCATTTTGCCGCCCGTAGACATGTGGTGGTTAAGGATGCTTTTATAGAGGTTCGCGTGATAGTTAGGGCGACGCTGAGCATACCGACCACTTCGAACACGTACGACATGTCCGTGTTGCCTAAAGGGTGCGACGCGTATAGCGGCTATTAGCAGGAGATTTGCCTGTTGCAACTTACGCCTCTTCACTCCCCTCGTCTCCTGCGTCGTATTCCTTATCTCTTGTCGCCTATTCTAATATGTCTTCATGGCACCTGTGGCTGCTTTATGATTCAAGTGGATGGCACGTCATTACGTTTCATTCTCAGAACGCTAGGGTAACTTACCCTTTCGAGTTCACGGGCCCACTGTACAATGCTGAGACTAGATCTGGTATTTCGCCTGCTGTCTCACGCCTCGTCAGAAAACTAAAATGCTGGATAGGGGGGGATGTATCGCTGGTTTTCCTTGTTTTCAGACGCCACCAATGAATGGGCCAATAGCAGCCTATCCTAAAAATATGAGTAGTGGAGCTATGATCTTGATCGAGAAGTAGGTAGTATCTAAATAAGATTGGTGCCGCAAAATGCGCAAGGATGTCACGTAGCCTAAACCATCTTAGCTTTGGTCTGGAAGCACATCAATGTCCACTCGTGTGAGCGCAGTCTCCGCGGAGATCACTTTCTGGCTCAAGGCGGAAGATACACTCAGCCATCTTCGTGCCTCCCTCTGTCCAGCTGGTTGGAGAACTAAAATTCGCAATCAGAGGCGGCTTGAGGTTCGCTGTGCTTCGGAAGCGGGACGGGAACTATATGGAAAACGTGGACCAGTGATGTCATAAGGGCTCGCTGCCGCTAAAGCGGGACAGGGGTATACAGGGACGGGAGCATTGGAGACGTAGACGGGTGATATCTTAAGGATGCGCTAATAGTAGCGGCTAGTGGGGTAGTAGTGGAAGTTGCCACCGCAAATTAGGCAGCCTTATAATAGTCGACCCCTATGATAGTGTGCAATCGCTCGAAAGACGTCCACGTAAAGATATGTCATTATTTATATGAGCCGCTATGACTGACATTAATTGCATTCAAGCAGCGTGTCTGGCCATAAGTCCGTCAGAATAACGATTTGGGTTTCCTTCTGTTTATCCACATCTTCCTCTTTAGAGTTTATTCATTAGTACACTAATGCTTTGCTACCCCAAAACTTAGAATCTCTATTCCTTGCGCTGTAAGTGCACTATTTGAAGCGAAGGGTTCGTGGAACGGTTCAATGCTCCACTGTCTTCTCACCTACTGAGTCTTACATTCTGGCAAGTAACAATGACGGACACTCATCTTGTACCGACGTTGATTCCCGACTAGCCATGCCATCGCTGTACAAACACAAAGAAATTCCCCGCTCCGCACCCCGAGGACTAGCGCCGTAACCACCACGTAATCCTGCACCTCCACCGCGAGGACCACCATGAGGACTACGGTGGCCATGATGAACTCATCCTCCACGAGTGGACACGGCAAGAAGAATTCATTACAAGCTGATGCGGTATAATAATAACCGGTATTGCAGGACTCCCGTCGCCAAGTTCCTTCGGCATATTAATTACCTAAGACACATGCAATGTAACGCCGTACGAGATGACTTAGGAAGGTATTCTTGCGTCTTAAATAATTCACCCTCATAAATGTATTTCGCTCTTCCATTATTGGGTTGAGATCTACAAAGGTGCGCAGCCCAAACGGCGAGACGGCGTAATTTTGATGGAACTTTTCCGGCCAATGGTTTCCGGTGCAGTCCAAGAGGAAAGACTGTAACGCCAGTGGTATATAACTGGTGTACTGCTCCATTAATCCATACTATCCGAGGATTAGTGTTTATCTAGGTTAGATCATTTCCCCCTTGCGATCGTCTACAATTTATCCTCCCTCGGCGTGAATGATTATGTTTCTGTCCAAGGTTCTCACTATTGCTTTCACTGCTTTGGTGTCGGCTCAAAGGGATGAACCACTGGCAAGTCACCAGTTCTGTCTCCCTTATGTATTAAGACACATCGACTAATTGTATGGGGCAACAGGGTGTCATCTACGGAGACTTTGGCCTGAAAGGCCCCAACATGACAATTGTGTCGACGAAGTGTGCCATCGTTGAGGGTTTTCTGTAAGTGCGAGTACGCTGCCGTGCTGTTGTTAGTACTGAGTGGCGACGTATTGCAGGGCGCACCATATTCGTTCCATCAAGATAGCTACTAGTTACACGTGCGGATTCTTTTCGTAAGTCTCGGTGGTTGTCCATGTGGCGCTCGCAATTTTCTGACACACGTGTCACAGCGACTCGAGATGTCGCTCGTCCCTTTATGAGATTGAAGGAACGGATATCTATATTCTCCCCTCACCAAAAGCGAACTCTATCAAATGCTACTTGTAACGATGAGATGGGCTATCGAATAGTTGATAGCTCTGTGTATGCTAGTTAAGTGCATTTAAAACACTGAAGCCCTAACTACTGGCCATCAACTAGCGGTAATATCGCTTTTTTCCATAACTCCTGTAAGTTCACTCGTCCTCGACCTTGGTAACGGCGACCTGCTCTTCCTCCGGTACAAGACTGTGGCAATTGTCGGTACATACACAGGCGTACAACGTCATCCTCGGTTTCGACGTACAGTTCTATCGCTTTTGCTACAAGGTCTCTCACGCGTATAGCCCAGAGCAGGTCGCCCAGCGGCCGCACCGAGACTACGGTGCCACTGAGGTCGTACAGAATCAACGGCTTAGCCGACCCCTCCCGTTCAGGAGCTGCAGGATCAGAAGCAGTCGCCCAATCTCGTCTATTATCCCAGTCTTAAACCTACGATACTGCTTGTTGACGACAACGTAGCCAATTTCCGTATCCTGCAGATGTACTGCACCAAACGAGGATATCCGTACTACTGCGCCACTGACGGCAAGCAAGGCGTGGGAATTCTTTTCGCAGCAGCATTCCTTGGCCGCCACAGGTGCAGGACATGGGATCCAGAGCCCCACGGGTACTTCGGTAAAAGCCGGTGAACGTCCACACAGCGGTCTTTGTAAACGGGTTGTGCCTACGTTCTGGGCATATAGGGTGGTTGCTCACCAGCACTGTGAAAGGTCAAGAGCTTCAGTCAGCTTATCCTTCCTTTTGAAACAACGAGGAAAGTTCACACTAGCGTGGGGGTGGGTAATCAGGTGCGAGTGTCGGGATTAAGCGCGAAGTCACAACCAGGGTGCCAGTCCCCGTCACTTAGGGTGACCTATCCATAACTCTCGCCCCGCTCCGCTCCCCAGGCGACTCCGGAAGTTATCACGAATAGCCCTTTGCCTTCACTTACACCATCGCCTTCGCCTTCACCTTCACCTCTACCAAGTTCATACTATATTTCAGCAGATACCCGGATTTAGATAGAGCTGCCAAAGGGCCTCGCTTGTTTCCCGGTGGGTCGACCCACTACGCTTGGCACACCCTCTGGGTGCGAGACTGAGTTTCTATTTCTGTCCACGCTAGGAAACTTTCGACTTAGTGAACATAGCCTTGCTACCATCGTAGCATTTTCACTTTCCTTGTCTTGGTGGTACTCTTGGTTACTTTGCACACCGATGCTTCTTTCTGTCAAAATATTATGCTGGACTTATTGTCGGGCTTTCGTCAGATCCAGACCTAAACTTGGATGGACAACAAGCCCCGGCGATACGGCTGTGTACTTTTTGGTGGCATGATTAGGCGAGGTCTCAATCAGCAAGTGAATTGCAATAGAGATTGTTGGATTTCATGACACAATTCCCTAGACAATGTAGGGGGCGGAGGGCGGCGGGCGGTGGGTCCGGCCTTGGCAATCCTGATCTGGGCGCTTGAGGAAGACCCGGCGACCCTGTGTCTTAAATTTCTCGGAGCCGAGAGTAACTTCGTATCCGCTTTAGGCATGGGGGCCGAATCAAGACATGAAATTTCGTGCTTCCCACATAACTAGCTATCATCTATCACTTTTGTCATATGACCACCACTGGTCATCCTTTTCCGCGTCACACAATGGACTAAAATCTGTTACAATTCAGAGGAAGATTCGTCGGTTGGTTATTATTTCTGAGAAAATACGAGAAGCTATATATACAGCGTACAATTTCCAATGTTGCGGCTTTGTGCCTAATCTTCAAATCAGAACGATATCATCTCATAGGTTAATCTAGCCAAGCCACCTGATACATGCTTCATCCCCAATTTTAAGCATGCAACAGATCATGCAGTCAATTTCTAGATTGACTGCTCTGATAGCTGTTTTCAGGAAACCACCACTCTTAATCTTCTTCCGGAGAAAATAATGGAAACCCTCTCCGTTGAACCGTAGAACTTGCGGTTTAATCTTATGAGCAAGCATGTCATGTGGCCCTGTGGTTTTGTGCTGGATTTTCTGGGCGTTTCCGGATTATCATATGACTGTAGCTTCATATTCATTGGCAATTTGCTAAAAAAACCCCCGAGAAACATGTCTCAGCATTTTCTCGGGTTCACATCAAAGCAAGACATTTCCCATAGCCTGCTTGTTCTTTCTATATTAAGAAAAGTTAACAATATTTTTGGAAATAAAAATTATTACGCAATCTCTAGCATCAGTTGTGTAGTACCTAATTGTCTCAAAAGTATTCATAGTCAGACATGATACGAGCTTGTGGAGGATGTTTATGTAAGTGGATAAGAATACTTCAGGTGTACCATCTATAAATAAGGGCAACCTCACCCATACTTATTTCTAATCGCAATTGGATTTGTATACGAACTTCGAATATTCACCGTCCCCAAATACACCGCCCTCATGGTTCGTGTGAACTTGCTTTTGGCCTTGGCCATTACTTCTTTTAGTGCTACAATGGCAGCGCCTGGGGCTTCCACTTGTGACCTCAAATATGATGCCTGCCGCGGTGCCCCCGGTGCAAACCTGTCGACCTGCGCCTCTGAGAAGGCCGCGTGTGAAGGTGCTGGATCGAGCTGTCAGGTCAAGTACGATGCCTGCCGCGGTGCCCCTGGTGCAAACTTGTCGACCTGCGCTTCTGAGAAGGCTGCTTGCGATGCGAATAGCGACATATCCTCAACTACGACGCAGTTTGTGAAGCCAACCCCGGGACCCTCGAGCGACTGCCAGGCTAAGTATGACGCCTGCCGTGGTGCCCCTGGTGCCAATCTGTCGACTTGCGCCTCTGAGAAGGCCGCGTGTGAAGGTGCTGGATCGAGCTGTCAGGCCAAATACGATGCCTGCCGTGGTGCCCCTGGTGCCAACCTGTCGACCTGCGCCTCTGAGAAGGCCGCATGTGAAGGTGCTGGATCGAGCTGTCAGGCCAAGTACGATGCCTGCCGTGGCGCCCCTGGTGCAAACTTGTCGACCTGCGCTTCTGAGAAGGCTGCTTGCGATGCGAATAGCGACATATCCTCAACTACGACGCAGTTTGTGAAGCCAACCCCGGGACCCTCGAGCGACTGCCAGGCTAAGTATGACGCCTGCCGTGGTGCCCCTGGTGCCAATCTGTCGACTTGCGCCTCTGAGAAGGCCGCGTGTGAAGGTGCTGGATCGAGCTGTCAGGCCAAATACGATGCCTGCCGTGGTGCCCCTGGTGCCAACCTGTCGACCTGCGCCTCTGAGAAGGCCGCATGTGAAGGTGCTGGATCGAGCTGTCAGGCCAAGTACGATGCCTGCCGTGGCGCCCCTGGTGCAAACCTATCTACCTGCGCCTCTGAGAAGGCTGCCTGCGATGCGAATGGAGGCACTACCTCGACTACAACTGGGGCTGTGAAGCCTACCCCGGAGCCCACGGGTGACTGCCAGGCTAAATACGACACCTGCCGTCGCCGCCCCGGTGCAAACCTGTCGACCTGCGCCTCTGAGAAGGCTGCCTGCGATGCGAATGGAGGCACTACCTCGACTACAACGGGGGCTGTGAAGCCAACTTCGGAGCCCGCGGGTGACTGCCAGGCTAAGTATGATACTTGCCGTGGTGCCCCCGGTGCAAACCTGTCAACCTGCGCCTCCGAGAAGGCTGCTTGCGACGCGCAGGGAGGCAGCGGATCCACGTCATCTGTTGGACCTACTTCAGCGTCCCCTTCCGCCCCTCTCTTTACGGGTGCTGCAAGCCGAGTCTCAGGCAATATTGCTGTTGTGGGAGCTCTGGTTCTCGGTCTTGTCATTTAAGTTTATTAATTTGGCGAAATTTCAATCCAGCAAATGAGCATATCTGAGAAACTCAAGCTTTTTGGAATTGCAACTCGCTAAAGCACCGGTGGTGGTTTTGCTTGTTCTGTTTTGCGTTTTGGTAGATAGCTTATCTTGTGCCTAGAGAGCTATATGCAATGTAAAAAAATTTCTTTTTAAAAAAAAGAAAGAAAATTTAGTTTGTTGCTTATTTCTTGACATTAGGATTGGCTGAAATAAATTAAGGTTATTTAGAGTAACGGGTTTGTGTGTGCCACGTAGATTGAAGATCTGCTGGGGACCTCCCCCTACCTCCTGCGTAGCGTATGCTGTTTTTCAATTGTGAGAGTGTTTCTTCAAGTAGACTTCACCTACACTCATGTAACCTAAGAGGAAGCTGCAGTGGCTTCCAGAAAAATAAGCCCTGAGATGCTCATGGCTGTACAGTACTATCGAGATACGATGTCACCACTTGCTCCCTTCGACTCTTTCTCGAATCATAACGCAAATCACCCGAACGCGCTTGTGATTCTAGGTCTGCGTTCCGTGATGAGATACAAATGAAGGTATTGGCAGCCAACGCCTCATGCCATTGGCCACGGTGATTAGGCTGCAGGTTGGATACCACCATACAAATTGAACTGCTTAATATAGACCAGCTAGAGTGTGTAAAAGTTTCCCAAAAGGGGACCGGTTATATCCAAGGACCGGTCTCCATCTCACTCTTCACCCCTTTTGACTGACTTCCATTCAACAAAGAGGACACCAACTATAGACAGTGATGCCATGGCGACTGACACATAGAAAGCATGTGTCAAAGAAGTATTGTAAGCTGCCAGCACTACTGGCAAAAACTTCTGAGGTATCGTTGTTTGGATTTCCGTGGCGCCAGTGTGAATAATCATTGACGGCTCAAGACCTCTAATATGGGCGGCAGAAATATTTGTTACGAGCTGATTCTGGAAGACGTTCTGGGCAACAGAGATAAAGAGGGCACCACCCAAAGACTGCGAGAACATCATAATGGCGGTGCCTGTAGGAATATCGACAGACGGCAGACAGACCTGAACGGCAACCATAGTCTGTTGCATACCACTACCAACGCCGAGGCCAAAGAGGATCTGATATCCAATCCACTGCGCGGTACCGCTGTCGACCTTGAATGTAGAAATCATGCCTGCCCCAACACTCATCAGAATTGACGACATCAGCATGAAAGGGGTATAATAGCCAACCACGGTGACGATACCACCGGTGGCAATAGACATGATAACCAAAGAAAGAATCATGGGTAGATTCATGATCCCGGACTTGACGGCCGATGCACCTTTAATCGCCTGGAACCAAATAGGTGTCTGCTGAGCTATCAGATCCATGTCACTTTTCTGGGGGTAAATGTATTTTCGTACGTAGAAAACCATCACGAAGAAGGAAGATCCTAAGAACGCACCAAAGAGTGCGCAGCCCCACACATTGCGATTTTTGAAGACTCGGGGAGGGACTGTGGCATTTTCTTGTTTCCAGATCTGGACCCAGACAAAGCAAAAAGCCAAAATTCCGAAGACCGAAAAAAGAGCAATGATGTGGCCACTCTGCCATGCGTATGTTGTGCCACCCCATTGTAATGCAAGCAAAAGGCATACAACTCCCGGAACGAACAGTGTAGTACCTTCCAGATCCATCATCTGCAATCGCTGTAGAAATGTTGAAGTATTGTTGGAACTGGTGTTTGGACTCTTGAAGAAGATAATGATAAAAACGGCCGTCACCAAGCCAAAAGGCAGATTGATGTAGAAGCACCAGCGCCATGTGACGTGATCTGTAAAAGCACCTCCCATGCTGCGTAAATCATTTAGTCAATATTTTTCCGCCATATTGGTATAAAGAAATGACTTACAGCGGGCCTGCTACAGAAGCAATGCCGTACATGCCTCCAATTAGACCCATGTATGTGGGTCGCTGTTTCAAGGTCACCGTCCGGCTTATTATTAAAATGGCACCCGAAAAAATTCCGGCCGCTCCCATGCCAGCCACTGCTCTGCCCAGTATTAGTCCGAGGGAGTTAGGAGTAATCCCGCAGATAAAAGAACCAAGTTCAAAGATAAAAAGTGCAGTGAGATAGACGATTTTCACCGAGTATAATGTGTATAGCTTCCCAAATAGAAGCTGCAGCGTGCTAGTTGTGAGCAGATAAGCGGTTCCATACCAACCGACATCATCTACCTTGTGGAACTGATCTGTTATATGAGGAATAGCCGTGGCAATTATGGTGTTGTCCTGTCAAACCATGATGTCAGCAATTACAAAGCGCAAGCAAATTAGGGTAGATTCAGGCGCGATTGTACCAGTGCCATACAAAAGACCGATAAGCACAATGCAACGGTTATCAGCGTTAATCTCCACTTGGAAGGATATATGTCTCCTTCATTCTCTTCACCGTGAACAGGCCAAGTTTCTACTTGAGCTGCAAGTTGAACAGGGGGCCTTTTCGGTAAGGGAGATGATTGGACAGCCGAGTCATCAACGATAAGTTGTTCCTCTGCGTTTTGAAGCTCGACGAGGGTGTGCTGTATTTCGAAAACGCCAGAATCAACCGACGCATCTATTGAACCATTTACTGGCCGCATATTTGAGTGGGCGTTCATCTGCAGCAGCGGGCTGGAAGTAACAGTAATGGCTTGGACAAGAGGTCGGTTCAAGATGTCGATTTCTGTGTAGAAAGTTGTCGGAATTGAAGGTCCTTCTATAGAAATTTGGAAAAAGAATTTTCTTTATTTTCTTTGGAGGCTGGTGCTCATGGATGGAGGAGGCAGGGAATGGACGATTATGTGCTGGAGCCTGAGACTTTTACTTCCTTTCGCCCATGCAATTTCTCTCGTACCATTCCGACCATTTGATTACGCAGTATACATCAAAACAAGAATGACTCAAACAGAAATGAATATACTTTTCACCTTAATTGTTTGAATCTTTTCTACATTCCTTAAGTTTCGTCATACAAGGGACCGAGCGATGGTTTTGAAACATTTAAAAATGCCGTGCAATTGTGCCTTCAATATTTTTAAGACATTTTATGTCTCAGTATTCACCGTTCTGCGCAGAATTTTTTCTTAACGACCAAATAAAATTGATAGATCTCAAGAATAGAGTTGCGAGTCATACCATTTTAGATGGCCTTCTGCATAATCTTCATATGTAGCGTCTGTTTTTGGCCCACCTATACCGCAAGCTCGATTAGTCGGGGACTCGATTTCTACAATGAATCAGAAATTCCAAAATTAGCTTTCAATCAGAATACCCGATTTGCTGAATAATGTATGTGAGTAAATAACGCATGTGAATAAATACCGCATGTGGATAAATGACGCATGTGGATAAATAGTGTACACAAAAAATGGCGCATGCAAACAAAAAGCGCATGCAAACAAAAAACGCATGTAAACAAAAAAGGGCATAATTTTAGACGAGTAATTTTAGCCATAGATGCCCTGCTCTAGCTTGAAGGTTTATTTCTTGTCATATCTCAGAATTTTCTTTTCATTATTTATATTCTCACCTTTTTTTCTTGACAATCTCTCATATTCATCGTATGATTCTTTTTATCAGCATATTCTCATGCTTGTGAAGTTTATATAAAAACCATCACTATTGAAATGGGGTTGGAAGCAGATCAGAACCCGACTGGTATGTTTATCTCAGACCGACACCCCTATCTTCATTGCCTTATGTTCCTTTACTTTTGTTTTATGCTGTATAGCTTGATAGATTTTAATCTGGCTTTAGTCAGGGCTACCATCAGATCTTTTTGACTGACATACATTGCATAGGGGAAAAGAAATTCAACATCGGAGAAATGAAAGGTGCTATGATTGAATTGTCTGCTATCACTACGCTACTGCCCAAACAATCAATCTACTATTGCGCTCTGAAGTTCTGGTTGCTTCTGCTGGGTGGCTTGATAGCGTTCTTCGCATGGCTGGTTTTTTTTTCTCACTGTGCCAACGTTTGGGAGCCCAGCAGCCCTACTGAGAACGCATCCGCCCCAGCCACCAATCTCATAAATATTGCTGACAGCGGTCACAATGACATAGACATTAGTCTATTTTATCTTGATGTCTGGTTTGCGTTAGGGCTTATGGCTGCCATTGATGCATTGGCGATCGTCATTAACTTTAACCGCTCTCTCATTCATCAATTCCACTACTTCGTCAGTCTGCGTATGATGTCATTGGCTTTCATTATTTCCGCAGCAGGCCGTCTGCTATACGGAAATAGAGATGTTATCTCGCACTGGACGCAGCACCCAGCAGCAATTCTCATATTGTGTTGTGTTTTCTATATTTTATCTATTGCCGTCCCTGAGAGGCTTCACAGGCTGCTTCCCGTACGCGGCATTGGAGCTTCCCGGGGTTCAATCCAAAAGTTCAGCAAGCAGATGTGCGTATTTGATCTGCCCTGGAGTCGCGCGCTGCTCTTCGCTGCTTCTAATGGGGCGATCGGGTTAATGCTGACATCGCTAACGCCGGCCAAATGGTCAATGTTAAATCCTGTGATACATATCACTTGGGAGGTATAGCAATTTTTCCCCTGAGTGAGTTTTTAATGCTTTGGCTCATTGAATTTTCTGTCTAGGTTACCTTTCTTGGTCTAATGGAGACTAAGCAGACTCCACGTTATATTTGGTTTGCCACACCAATAGTGCAAGCATCTACGTGCACCGATTGGGGCCTCCGCCAAATTGTGGAAGCTCCAAGTCTTGTCATGACGCCTGGGGCTTTCCTAGCTTGGATGCTGGCTGGTCGCATTTTGCTCGATGTACACTTGCATACCCTCTTCCGCCATCGCGCTGACTTCCAATGGGCGCGCAAAGAGGTCCTCTTGTCAACCCAAAGCCTGCTCGAGTTCTTCACTGGGATGTTGCTATTGGAATATGTAGGAATACCGGTGGTCACCTTCATCAAGCCAATTGCCGTGATTCTTCTGCATGTGTTTGGTGTCTTGGTGTTCCTTCTGCCAGCCTGTTATGCGATTGCTTTTAATCAGATAAAGACCATTCATGTTTAAATCGACTTCCTGCCTCTCCTGGTAGACAGTCATCATGCACTAGTCATCTGCGGGCGTTCCTGGAGGTTAGAAAGTTAAACTTGCGGTTTTTCTCTTCTGCATTTGCCGAATCTGATTGGTCATCCTGAATTTTAAACTCGACGCTTTCATGCTATATTTATCCTTCCCATACTAAATTTAACCATTTCTTTCATACTAACAGCATTAGAATCAGCATAAGGGCTTTCTATAATGCCTGTAAAACCCGCTGCTATAAAAGAGAGGTCTGAAAGAAGCACCATATTCTAGATCGTGAACGATTTCATTCTAGGAATAGACCCCACCTCGAAGCTCATTATATAGTCTGTTACAAGTACGTGGAATTATGTTCTCTACGTATATGTACTAATCATTCTGAATAGATAGACTGTTACACGTCGCATAGATAATTACTAAGGCTCTTAACAAGATAGACTGATGTGGCACGATAGTCCTTGTTCTAGAGCGTCGCCTTACGTAGCTGTAGCGTAAGAGAGATAGCAGCAGGGCTTGAACCGTAGTTGAGCTTTTTCGTGATATATTTTAATACACTCAGCCACACACCCACCGATCGTTGAAGGCACTCGATCCTGTTTATCTCATTTGCAGAATGTTTTGTGATTTGAAGGGATCTATTACAAATTTCCATAGATTTCCAGTTTATTGTTTTCTATGTAATTTTACGTAACGTGGTACAGTACCAGAACCTGAGCATCTTCATGTTCATGACATAGAAGGTAATAGCGCTCGCCACTGTAGCCCTTTCAAGTCTGACAGACTTCGTAGTAAGCGGTGCACTTGATTTCCACGATGATTTCCTCCCGAGGCAAAGCCCGCACTTCAACCGTCGTTCGAGCCGGGGCATCCGTGCGATCAGACCAAGTTCCATTCCACGCCTCGTTCATCCCAGTATAGTCTTTTTCCATGTTCGTCAGGAACACAGTGGCATCGACCACGTTCGAAATATTGGCTTGTCCATCAGAAGCTCCTTCGATGATCGCGTTGATGTTAGACAGAACGGCGCCAGTCTGGTCTTTGATGTTGACAATCAAGGAGCCGTCTTCTCCGCGAGTGGCTCCATGGAAGCTGCCGTCGCCGCGGCGACACGATGTCCCAGAGACGTAGATGTATCGGCTTTTGCCATCGGCAGACGGCACTGTTCGCGCGTGGGGGTAGTTGGCGAGCCCTTGGGCGTGGTTTGCGGGTCGGAAATATGGCATGCTCTGGGCCATGTTGACGGATGCTATTTGTTTGCCCCGATGTAGATGGCGGAGTGTCTGAGCTCTTCTTCGGAATTTGGGGGAAATAAATGACACTGGACGTGTTGGAAGACGCGCGGAGATGAAGAAAAGAAAGTTTGAAAGAAAGCGTTGTGAGTTTACTGGAAAATGAGCAGAGCTAAAGAAAGTGAATGCTTCAGAGATGATTTGCATCTTCAGGTGGCCGCCAAAGCTTCGGATAGATCCGACCGGGCCGCGATCCGAGGCCACAGTTGGTATCTCGTTTCTCGCGGCATGTCCTCTAAAGTGAATTTCAAACTATCTTGAACTACATTACCGTACATGGAGTGTCCGCAAATTGGTGAAGACATCACGACTCTGGGCACCTCCTTCTCGACCTGTTCCAGACACCTTCATACCTCCAAATGCCGTTCCAAGCTCGCGTACCAGCCAGCAGTTTACCCACACCAGCCCGGCATCGATCCGTTCCCCGACTCGGCGCATCCGCGATACATCAGTGGTCATGAGGACACTGGCTAGTCCATTCGGATTGTCATTTGCGAGCTCAATGGCCTCTTCCTCCGTCTCAAATGGGCACACAGTGACGACGGGTCCGAAGATTTCTTCGCGCATCACCCGACTGTCTGTGCGGACTCCACCTAGCACCGTCGGTTTGATCCAATAGCCATTCTGTGGAGCTTCATCGGGGAGCTCGCCGGTATGGAACCTTGCATTCTCCTCTTGGGCCTGGAGCAGATAAGACCGAACCTTGGCATAGTGCTGTCGGGAGACGACTGGCCCAACGGTCTCTCCACAGCGATAGTTCCTTTGAACGTATTCCACGAATTCAGATAGGAACGTCTCGTAGATTTTGCGATGAACATAGATCCGTGAGCCACATAGACATATTTGGCCGCTGTTTTCAAAAGATGCTTGAGCAGCCAGAGGTACTGCCTTGGCCAGATCGACGTCATCAAATATCAAGGTGGGATTCTTCCCACCAAGCTCCAGTGAGAGGTGCTTGCCAATATCGGCCACTGTGTCTTGTCTGATGCGAATTCCTGTACTGGTGCCGCCCGTGAATGAGACGCCGCGGACGCGAGGCGACTTGACAAGCGTTGATCCGGCACCGGGTCCATCTCCAAAGACGACATTCATTACCCCGGGGGGTAATTTGGCTTGTCGGAATACCTCACCTAGCACTATTTTGAGATCAGCGGGTTACTTTGGTCAAGGGTCTCTAGATGGCCACGTACAGAATGCTGTTATGCTTGTAACTTCGCTCGGCTTTGCCACGCCCGTGCATCCAAATGCAAGGCAAGGTGCAATTTTCCATGTCAAGAGATAAAGAGGCATATTCCATGGCGATATGAGTGCAAAAACTCCCACCGGTGATCGATGCTCGTATGTCAAAGTCGAGGATGGTCCGTCAACGAATCGAACAGCGCCCTCCTCGTGAAGGATGTAGGTCGCAAAATATCTTCAAATGTGTCAATATTGTGAAAGTACAAGGATCTGAGAAAATCTTACCGGAAATTTGAGATCGCGCGATCAACCTCGATCCTAGCACGGGCCAGCGTTTTTCCTTGATCAATGCTCTCCCACACTGCAAAAAGCTCTCTCTTCTCCTCCAAGATGCTGCCAATCCGCAGTAATATCTCTGATCTTTCTTGTCTCGTAGTTCGAGACCAAGACGGAAATGCTCTGGAGGCGGCGTCCACCGCTCGATCCACGTCGGATGCCGTACTTTTATGAACCTGGGCCAATACTTCGCCAGTTCGTGGGTTGAATGTGTCAATCCATTCATCTGTCTTGGTATTTTCCACAAATTCATTGTCAATGAAATTTTGGATGCGAAAAGGGCTACCTGCGGAATCGGTCGGGTAGTTATTCGCTCGCTCGGGGGTGTCGAGCTCCCATAGTGTAGAAATGGTATCCATGTTGAGCCAGACACTGACGTAGAAGACCAGGTAGGTATTTCAGATCCTAGTTCGTCTCTGAGAGCGGAGGACACCTAGTACATATTGTTTCTTGTAATGGTCGTCTCCACCAGAAGCGCCGATCTCGAACGGATAGCACTCCGATTCGATCCCCGTACGCCAGCCGATAAGCGCCGTCATTCAAACTAATTATAGAAGATGCGCTTTACAGAAATGGTATGTCGCTTTTCTCCAGAATTAAAATCCATTCAGCTTACTATATTAGAACTTATGCTGTATGAACATATCCTGTAGCCCCAGAAACTCAATAGCATTACGAGCAAGCATACGCGCCCTCGCCTCCTTTGAAAGCAGCTCCCCAACCTCTTCGTTGCTAGCCAACATCTCCCCAGGTACCGGCATTTCACCAAGTGGGAAAGGATAATCACTGCCCATCACTATCCGATCCGGCCCAATCTTCTTGCAGATCAGCTCGAGAAGGTCTGGATCATGTACCAAGCTGTCAATCCAGATATTATGCTGATGTGACCCAAGATAGCTCTGCGGGGACACTCCCTGGGAACTATGGGCCACTAGGTCCGGACGACAGTTGTACCCGTGCTGGATTCGTCCGAGCAGAGGAAGGTACGCGCCGCCTGCGTGGGCGAAGCAAAAACGCAGCTTAGGATGTCGGACTAGGATACCGCAGGAGAGAAGGGCGTGCATTGCGAGCGCAGTCTCGCTCGGCCTGAAGATGGCATGATTAGCGTTATCAATAGCATGATAATAAATGGAATACTTACATTCCGATCAGCCATGCTGACCAGTAGCATCCCCATCGAGCTTTGTTCTCGCGTTCCAGTTCATATCCAAGGGGGTGAACAAAGATCGGAACATCCAAGTCCTCGCATGCAGCCCAGAATGGTTCGAAGTCAGGGTGGTCCAGCGCGCGCCCGTTGATTTCGGTGCCAATCTCCACACCTTTCAGTCCCAGTTCCAACTTGGCTCGTTTCAATTCGATGACTGAGCTTGACACATCCTGCAAGGGTACAGTGGCTAGCCCGATAAATCGATGCGGGTGTTCATAACAGACAGAGGCTATATGATCATTTAGGTAGCGAGCTAGTGCTGCCGCAGGCTCAATCTGCTTGTCGTATGAGAACAATATGGGAACCGTGCTGATAACTTGAATGTCGACTCCTGTTGCATCCATCTCTTTCATGCGTACGTCCGGATCAAAGCAGTTGGGTTCCACCGTCCGAAAGAACTGGTCGCCAACAAACATGTCGACTTTGTCGGAAGTTGTCCCATTTTTACCATTTGATCCAGGGACTGAGTGTCTGTTTGGTCTGAGAGTCATCCAACTTTGCGCTTCGTCCGTAGGGGATCCATGAGATTTCGAGAAATCAGGTAAAGATGGTGGCATAATATGTGTGTGCATGTCGATTCGAAAGGTTCCATGAGGACCGTGATGCTCATGTCGAGTTGAATTTGCTGCACAAGAGCAACAAAATGAGTTAACTGTCATTTTGCACTGGTGGAGATAGGCGTGGTCTTGATCCAAATAGCTGTTTTGGAAAATCAGTCAGCTCGTTCGAATACTTCATTCCTTGGAATTCTTTAGTAGTCTAGCCAGCGTAATTAGATACCATTTTGAAATACAGTTACCAGCACAACTCGGGCGCGAATTCATACTGCGCTGTCTGAGGCAGTCATGGTGCTCTCGGATACATCCGGCCGAGCAATCGGATGGCGTTCCGGGTCGGCTGGCGCCATGCCAAGGCCGTATCTCACAGAGCATGCGAATGCCCCGAGCAAAGTCGATGCGGATAACGCCGTAACTGCGTTCAAATACATCATTTAAGACCGATTTCTATCACAGAGCCTATTGTTCCGGATCAACTCTGTGCCTCGGTACTGCATTATGGAGACTCCTTCAGCATCCTCTGTCCCAGGACCCATTGCCTTATCTTCGTGGCTTGCTGCGAACGCGGACAATCTGAAGCCACCAATAAACAATCGTTGCCTATACTCTGGCAAAGACTTCATTCTGATGGCCGTTGGTGGACCGAACACAAGGAATGACTATCACAGTGAGTGCTCATTTCAAGAAATAACAAGCTCGATATTTTTAGAGACACTAAACTATGAATCATATAGTTAATGAGACAGAGGTAATCCACTAATCTGTCCAGGCGGGACTGTCAATATGCACATTACTCAAAACTGACGCTGTTCCACAGGAATGGTTCTACCAGATCAAAGGCGAGATGCTCCTCAAGATCGTCAAGAACGGCTCCTTTCGAGATATTGTCATCCGAGAAGGAGAGACATTTCTCGTTCCAGCAAACACTGCCCACTCTCCGAGAAGGTACAAAGACACAATTGGCCTGGTCATGGAATGCACTCGACCTGCTCAGATGATCGATCGCATAAGATGGTACTGTGAAAATGAGGAGGCGCATAAGGGTACTCCGACGATCATACGAGAAGAAGCTTTTTATTGCAAAGATATTGAGGAACAACTGAAACAGGTGGTTAATGACTGGATGGAAAACGAAGATAAGCGGAAATGTGGTTCATGTGGGCAGATTGCTCCACCACATTGAGATGTTTGTGAATGTCTGGATTATGTCTATCAGGATGAAACGGGGGCTCGAAACTGAGCTCATTAGATTGATATTTATTCAAGAGAGACGTAGAAATTCTCTATCGCTCTTGCTGTAAGAAGAATTGATCAATGGAAGCCATCAACATAGCATCTCCGAAAAAGTTGTCCGGTGAATCTTCTGATGTGGTGGATAGAGGGACGAAGTCGGAGAGAAAAGAACCATCAGGAATAGTTATCTGGTCCACCAGGGGGCAATCACTCTCTTCGCGTATCACCGGTGACTTTTGAGTCGCAGCAGCAGTGGAAGTCTGGGAGTGACAGGTACTTTGTGATATCTTGCGTCGCTTTGATTGGCGATCAAACTCATGGTGATCTTGACCAGCCCGCCCGTAGCGATCGAACGTCCTTTGAAACAAGTCATGTTTCTGAAGATCTATCTGCGTCGTATGCATGTCCTCTTCAGTAAGGACTTGGTATTTCTTGATTTCAGGCCATTGGATCTTGATATCTCGCAGCATGTTGAAACCGCTCTCGACATCTGGCCATGCCTTGCGCGTAAAGCTCGGGTTACGGGCCAGCCGCATACAATGCAAAAGTACCTTGGCACTGGCATAGATTGCACGGCTCTGTTGAATGACAAAGTGGCTAGCAGGAACAGTGGCAATCACTTGCGGGGTAACTTTGATGCAGTTCGATGCAGCTTCTGCACAGCGAAGGAATATCTCTGGCTCGGCGATGTTGAATCGCTCGATAAAGGTACGATATAGCAAAACAAGTCCGATGTAGTAGGATGAAACTGCAATTGTCTGCAGTACAAGCGGCCCCATTGCTTGACTAGGTGCATCGATCTTCGGTAGTACCTGCTTGGTATAGTACTTTTCAAGCTCTGCATCGTGTTTTTTCACATATGATCGCAGAGTATCTTTCAATTCGGCACCCTTGAATGGCTGGGATTTGCGAATGTATCGGACAGACCGGTAGATGCGACCCATAGTAATGTGAAATTCCGCAATAACTGAAAACCAGGGGTTCGTCTTTGTTCCCAGAGTCGATGTTGAGATTTCCTCCTCGTCGTAGGGTTCAATGTCACTTTCGGCATCGTCAATAGCCAAGGGCTTCAGCAATGCGGTCGAGAGAGAGCGGTCTAAGATGTATAAGCACCACCAAATATTGCTGCGGGTGCTTGGCAGATTGCCCGCATTTGCGCAAGGATCTACGCTGTCCTCGATATCCAGGCCCTGATACAGGCGAATTGCATGGCCGGCGGTGACCCATGCATCATTTGCATTGCCTTTCTCAGTCAGATAGAGACTAAGAAGACCTTGCGCGATAACGACATTGATTGCAGAAGTCCCGTTCTGGTGATATTGAATCCCCGGGGACACAGAAGTTGCATGTGAGAAGAGAAGATCAGCTAGATCCACCCATTTGTATACTTCCAGGCCGGGTTGATCGAAGACTGTGTGTTCTGATGGGAGAATCGATGCGGCCACGGCGAGAAGCGCATACAAGAGAAACGAAAAGTCGGTATCGTCATTGCCAGTGCCCCTGCCGTCTTTCCAAGCAGATGTCAAACGGTCATATTGCGACTGGAAGTTGCGCCGGTGAATGATAGGGAAAATGGGGTAAATAGAGGAGTAAAATATTTCAATCAGAGCGTGCAGGATTGGTTCTTCCAATCTTGTCACGTCGAGAGTTGGCTCCGCAATTAGCGATGTGTTGCTTTGTTCGGCACCAAGACTCTCGAAAGCCATTTCAGTTAGCACTCTGTGGGTGCTATTCCCTGTCATTGGAGAGCAGTAAATTGGTATTGACTCTGCTGTCTGAGCCGCGGCATCTGTGGAAGATGATGCACGCAAGAATGCCTCTGGCGGGTCGGATAGTGCACCATCGGAAGCGGGAGCCGCCGGCCAGCGAGAACGCTCATCCTCGATTACATGTTGTTCGGATGAAATAAGAGAGTCTCCAGGTTGCTCCCAGGTAGGTGACTGCTGTTTCAATTGCTTTTCCATCACTGCGATGCGATCCTCAAGTTGCATAACGTATCTATAACGGTATTTAGTGGGTCTCGTTGCTGCCAAATCCAAGAGAATAAAAGTGATAAAATCCCTGTAGGAGGAACATACTGTGGATCCACTAGCCTCATGTTTCCATGAGGTTCAACATAGACGCACTCGGCTTTGCTGCGCGTGCAGCTCTGACACGGGTGCTCTCCGTCGCATTTGATCTTTTTGCGGCGACATGCTTGACAAGCGCGCCAAACCCTCTGTCGCTCGTACATAAGGTCGAAAGGGATATCGCATTCGAAGGAAGTTGGAGGAGGCGAAGTACATCCTGGTCGGTCGGAAGCAACACAGTCCCCGCACTCTCTCGGAACCCATATCTGCCGACGGAGGCGAGCGCTCGGTTGGGCTGTGGGGTAGAGAGCTTGTCCACTGTGCAGGCCCACTCAGCACGAGTCCAGTACCGATGGAATTACAAAGTTCCTTCCAATGATTGGCCGGTTCTTGAAATGTTTCTGTCCTATATGTGCTTCATGGGATTTTCAGCCTTCGAGCGATCTGCCAATGCGTACTTTGGCCTCAAATATAAAAAGATAGATCAGTGATCTGCAGTTTGCAGCCTGGCGTACCTGACTGCGGACCGAGCGAGGGCGCCGCCAGTTATATCACGCATAGGGTAGATACTCTGAGCTCGATAGATAATGTAATGGCGAGCATCTGTCTCTATTTCGCTTCCAACTTTAACTTCAATGGTTTCCAAATCTGTGGCGGGCTTTCTTCCTTATCTACGGGAACCCTCTTAACGTTCTCCTTTTTTCAATATTCACCAGACTTGTCCTTCCATATCCAGATATCGGGTATTCCGAGTCCCAAAAGCTTTCAAGGCTCAATTAGACTAGGGCCGGCACGTTTGTAATCAACCGCCCGGGAAAAGCAACTGTATGCGACGCCAGACGTAATCTGGACACTCGCCCTCAATCTGCATATTGCGCGTCTACTACGCAGAGAGTGATCAGAAGGGGCGGACTTATAGATGGTGACGTGCAAACCTAGGAACGGCGCCAGGAACAGGAAGCGCTATCCGGACCGCGGGGAGGACATGCCGGAGAGCCTTCGGGGAACCGAGAGAATGGGTCTTCAAAGGGTAATTGTGTATCTGTGGCTTTCTCCATTTCACTTGCCCCATTTAGCCCGGCCCAGACATGGGTCCGACCAGGAACAGGAACCGGAACCGGAACCGGATCTGGGTATCGCCTGGATCCCACTGCGATCTTCACTGCATGAAGGTGTTGGACTCGGGATCAGATGGCACTCAATGATCGATCGTGCTCCTTGCAAAAGAGGCAATGGTGCACAGATCACGAGACTGTCCAGACCGTCAAGTCGACGTCAACGAAGATCTCCGCGTATCTCGGCGCCTTGAAAGCGCCCTGATAAGTTCGTGGCCCCGGATTGGCTGCCCATCAAACAGTGCATATTATCTCCTTTGCGTCTTTTTTGCTTTTTAATTTGTTCCTATGTCTCTCGATCAATCACATCTTGGCTTTCGCCGTTTGCCGAACGTGGACAGAGTTACAAGTGCTGACTCTCTCCGCCTCCATGGTTCTCCGGACTATCGACTGGCTCTTGAGCCTCCCCTGGCGGAGATCAAGATAAGAATCCCCTCCACCACTCAGCACACGGCAACCCCATGGAACGGAATTGACCGTCGTGACATGGTTCGCGACGTCCAAGGTTTGTGGCTGCCGCTTCCATATAACCGTCAACTCCCGGTCCTCCGTACTGAAGCTCCGTGATCGTTCTCGAGCCATGCACACACCATCATGGCCCAACACCATGAACCCACCTCTCTCTGGTGGCCGGAAGAGAGAATCAAGGCCACGCTCGACACCAAGTTTATCGTTAGTCGCCTGCGTCCCGAAAGGGTGCCGATGCTTTTGGATCTGCCGCGCTGGGGGGAAGATCTGACGAGTGTGACATACATGGAATGGATCTTGCTCAAAGCGGGTCGTCTATTCCTCATTCTCGATGCCATTGGTATTCCCGATCGCATATTCAGCCTCGTCGACGAGTCCCGCGACGATGACGATCTCCCGATGGCCGAGCCGAACATTGATATGCTGAACTTGAGCCCGGATGGCAACAACCCTGCCCTCGATGCTCGATTCTTTCAAGCTCAATGGCGCTTCTTGGTGCGGGGGATTGCCGAGGGTGAGCATGTCACTTATACTGGAAATGAAGGTGTTCCGGTGGAGGTCGTGCGGGCCATCACCAGCGCCGGAGTTCAAGGTCGGGATGATACAGTCGACAAGGTCATACTCGCCGGGTCGGTGTCTCGCGTCCTCATGCGCACCCAAGTACAAGTCGGTGGAGCACCATACTTTTTCACCTCTGAGGAGGTACTGGCCGAGGTCAAGAAGCTACGGAAGTTGGCACACCGACACCTCGTCTCCATATATGCCTCATACTTCGTCGATGACACTGTATGTGCACTCTTCACCGGCGCCGAGGCAGATCGTACTCTAAACAGCTTCCTGACGGATGAACCGCCGACCTTCAAACGTCTGGCCAAAGAGCAGCGCCGCCAGACATTGATTACCTGGCCACATTGTCTGGTATCCGCACTATACTGGCTGCATGCTCGTGGCCACGCACACGCGGCCATTCGACCATCCAACATTCTCATTGACCCCAATTTCCATATCTACCTTGGCCAATTCCAAGCCCTAGATTCTCTGCTGGCACCGCCTCGAGTTAACGATCTCGAGTCGTACCAGTACTCAGCACCTGAGCGCTGGGTCCGCACCGCTACTCCCATCCAACCAGCCGCTGCACCAAGTCGTACTATCCTCCCATCTGGAGGTCGCACCGCACGAAGAAGAAAACCCGAGAAACTAGCCCTGTCTCCTCTAGATGAAAACTCACAAACATCACCCGACTTCCCTCGCCCAGACTCAGCCGGCTCAAAGGGCACGGTGATCCGCATCGGACTACCCGGCTCACCATCCCGCTTCTCCTTCGCCTTCTCGTCCTCATCCTCGTCCTCGGCCGCGTCATCAGGGCCCAATGAAGCAATCTCGGTAAAGCAACAACGGCTGCCACTCTGGGTTACAAGACCTAGAAAGATGCTCTCAACACCATCCCTCGCCTCATCCCACTCTTCTGCCTCTTCCTCCTCAGGCTCCTCGGTAACCCTACCAACCTCATCATCCTCACTCGGCCCAACAGTCCTCAGCACCTGGGAATCCCACCAAACAAACAACTCCATGCCCTCAGACCTCTTCTCCCTAGCCGCTACAATCCTCGACATCCTAACCCACGTGTGCAAACGCTCCATATCCTCCTTCGCCTCCCATCGAAGCGCCCGCAACCGCTCCGCCGGTCGTGGAGGTGGCATGGCCGATGCATCATTCCACCTCTCCCGAAACGCAGTGCAGGTCCAATCATGGATCGCCCTTCTAGAAGGCGACGCACTGAAACGGTGTCGTCGAGGCCGAGGCAGTGACCGGTTCTTCTATGCCGTGCCGCCAATTCTGATGGTTATCCGGGCGATGTTAGCGCCGGAGCCGGAGAAGAGGCCTAGTGCGCGGCGGGTGCAGAAGTGTTTTGCGAATGCGATTCGGGAAATTCCGATGTTGCGGGGTGAGAGTGTGCAGCTGCATTGTGTGGATCCTGAGAAGGACGAGACGAGGAGAAAGAAGGAGGAGGAGAGGCAGGCGGAAGGGGAGAGGATAAGGGAATTGGAAAGAAAGATGGTTGAGGAGGGGTCGGAGGAGAAGAAGGCAGAGACGATTCTTACTTCAAGTTCTGTTTCTGAGTTTGATTTTGGGTTCTCTGAGGTTGGGAGTGATAGCGAGTCGGATCAGCAGGATCGGGAGGGTGTTCCTGAGGTTGTTAACGACGAGAGTGATGCGGAATCTCTGATTATACCCGTGGAGCGAGTGTCTCCTCAATTGTCGCAGCCGAACCTGGATTCCCATTTGACTGGGATAGAGGGATTGACAATTCGCGAGTAGCTTTTGTAGGTCGAGTTGGGAACGTTGTACGATACGGATGGAGCAAATGTTTGAATGACTGGATGATTTTAATTATAATTCACATAGGAGGACTAATAGCCATTTCGTGTATGTACGCCGTGGATCACGGAGTCTGGATGATAATATGAGTGCATTCGCACTAATCGGTGTTCAAAACCCAGTAGCTCGGAACTCGTCTATTGTAGGCTACAATGACAACCATGCATATCAATATCAATACAATTGGATGCCAGGGGGAGATCGCGTGAAGTCACTCTCACAGCCAGAAGGCGACGGCACCCAGGAAGGTGGAGAAAAGGATTGAGCCGGTGAGGAGACGCTCGGTGGCTGAACCAGCAACCATCACTGCGTTTCCGGCGTTGTGCTTGCCAGTGGTCGTGGCGCTGGCAGATCCAGTGCCAGTGCTGCTATCGGAGCCAGCAGTTCCCGTGGCGGAAGATGCGTTCTTCTTGTAGGTCTGTCCAAGAGTAGGGAGAGGTGAGGAAGGATCCACAGCCCAACCGCCAGAAGTCGAAGCAGGGCACGCAATGCCGCTGATGCTGGAGGCGGCTTTGCTGTAGTCAGAAAGAGCGACACCGGTGGGGTGCAGAGTAGCCCACTGGGACTTGAGATTGTCGAAGTCGGGCAACACGGGAGTAGGGGTTCCCTGACGGGTGTAACCGCCCACGACAAGCGTGTTAGTGGCAGCCGCACTCTTGACGGAAGGACCGTAGCTGATCAGTCCGTAGTTGTTGGTCTCCTCAATCCACTCGTAGATGATGGCACCGGACCAGGTGTCAGACATCTCACTGCCGAAGATGGCGGACTGGTCATCAAAGGTACGGGGGGGCGGGGTGTTGCAACCTGTCTCGGAGAAGAAGATCGGGATAGGATAGCCAGTCGCGTTCTTCTCCAGCATATCGTAGCCGGACTGGGTATAGCTGGATTCGCCGCACCACTCATAGGCGTTCAACGAGTAAAAGTCCAGGCGCTCGGAAGAGTTGCTGGAGCACGCCAGATAGTTCTGGAGCATGGGCCGGAGGTCAGCAATATCAGCAGCGGAGTAGCCGACGGGGATTTTGCGATAGCCCTTCTGGTCCCGGTACGCCTTCATGTCCCTAGCAGCGGCAAGAACGTATGGGGCAGCGATGGAACCCTCGGTGGTGGTGAGCACTTCGTTGCCGACAAAGACACCGGCGGTGTTGTCGTAGTTCTGGAACTCATCGAGGACTTCCTGGAAACGGTCGAATTGGGTCTGGTTCCATTGCGGCGCAGTCTATCGCTCGCTGTCAGCTCGGGTACCCAGCCATCGGGTCCACAATCCTTACCTGCTCGATCTGGGTGGTGAAAGTGTCGAGATCGACGAACAGATAGATCCCGGCGTCCGCCAAAGCCGCCATGCAGCCTTTGTGATCAGCATGGGGATCCACGTGGTACACACGGATGGCGTTGGTGCCAAGTTCGGACATGCGAACGATGTCGCGCTTGCATTGGGCCGTGTCAACCAGCGGGTCGTCGGGGGTGAGCTGATAGGCGACACCTGCACTCGGTTAGTCAGGCGAATGGATACGAGGGGACTTGGCAAGTTCCGGCGTACCCTTCAAGTAGTACTGTGTTCCATTCTCGTAGAAGAATTTGGATCCGACGGCCGAGATGGTTGGGATTGCGCCCACAGTCGCAGCCTGCAGACCGGCCAGCAGCAGCGGCACCGCGGAAAGAGCAAGCGAGGATAACATGGTATAATTGAAAAGTCAAAGATAGAATCTGCGAATGTAACACGAGCAGCGATTATGCACACTGGACGAGGGAATTCCTGAGAAGCAAAGACCTGGACAAACGAGCGAGTCTCAGGTGTATCTGGGTTGAGCGATCCGTCAATTCAGAAAGAGCGACGCGACAAAAAGCGCGAAAAGACTAAAGAGAAAAAAAATCTACTAGGAAGGAAACAGGGCAGGATTCCAAGGTTTGAAACTTGGCAACCGGTATTTCGCAGATTGCACGCGTTAGCGCGGATGTCATTCCGGGCCTAGTGAGACATGGGAGATGCGAGATATGCCAGGGGCCTCGTGAGCTTGTATAACTCCCGTTGGGACGTTCATAGTTATGGGGTCTGGTTCATTCATATTGGGTAGTAAACAATGACAACTCGTGGATATGCAGCTCAATTGGAAACGGAGGGCTAAGCAATAACATCGTGGAGACCGTTGGCCTCGTGGACCGCGGACCGCGGACCGTGGAAAGCGGGCTGCAACGGGCAGCGTGGCCCTCCAGCGCGGTCTATCACTTCCCATGGAACGTGACTTGATCTCGGAACTCGATATCTTCCATGTTGATCACGAAATGAAGGGGACGATCGCAAGAACTTTTCCCGAAGACTGTGAAGCGAGCCCGGAGTCTGCCGAAAGTTCCACCGACACAGTAGCACCGCACCGACTCTACTCCATCCTTCAGGCCCGACTCCATCTCTTCTTTCGATACCTTGGAGTGCTCCTAGAATGCATGACGAATCCTTCGATCGGAATGAGAGCTACCGCATGGTCGTACGGTTGAACAACGCAGCACAAGTAATCGGGCAAGACAGACACCCTGTCAATCACTTTCCCCCTTCAACCCACAGAATGGAGACCCCTTTTTGATCCACCTCCTCCACTCAGAAACGATCTTCCCCCTCTGCCACCGGGGCTGAGGGAGCTTGAAGGCTTCTGGGTCCCTCCCGATCAGCGGTCAGATAACCGGCCGAAGGAATCGCCCGTGGTCTAGGTATTGGGCACGGTGGACTTGGGCCGCTATGGTGCCGATCGGAGACCCTGTAATAGCGTTCGTATCACAGTGATCATTTCCACCCAGTAGGGGCCGACGATAGGGGTTTTCCAAAGCCCGGGCATTGCAGTAGGAAATTCCTCGCGATGGGTAGATAACCATGCAGATACCCGAGCAGAGGCACACCACTCGTCTATACAACACCACCGAACAACACCCCGAGTCTTATCTATACATAGAAGAGACAAACAACAGACATTGGGTGCCACCCCAGCCAACAAGCCAAAGCGACCGAGTCCAAAGTGTCCAGACTCTCCAAACCTCCACCGAAATCCACTCATTCCGACGCAGTCCACCAATCGATGACAGTGACCGAGCTGTGTTCGTCAGCAGTGGAGCCGGGTCCATTGCGATCGACTCCTTTACCCTGGACGCCAAATGCAAAGAGAGAGGCCCTGTGCGATCTGCAATTCCCGTCCTCCTCTCATGACGTTTCCGAAGGGTCTCTTTTTTTTTTTATAAGTTCCGCATGCGGCACCCTCCCCCACACGAGATCGATTTCCACTCCGGGTGTCTATGCCTTCTTTTATCCTACGGCATGGTTTCTCTAATTTGGCCCTAGCTGATATTCATCTCACAATGTCGACCGATACCGTTTCACCGTTTCGTATTTCGCTGCACGACCAGCTCGGCCTGGAACGCAATGAGGCCTTCCGTGCCATGCGCGAACAGCTGCGCCGCCAGGACTGCGGCATGGAAGGTCCCAGCTTCTGTTCTGCCCATCGCCACGAGTGCAGCTCCGCCGAGCAGGACTCTTTCCGCCTGCATCGCGACATCATCCATACTCTCCTCGTCCCACTATTCCTGATCAACCATCAGGCCGGGCGCATCGCTGCTCGTGCCCTGCCCAGCAAAAAGGGCGCCGAGCCCGAGCGAGTCTTCCGGGGCGAGGCCCGCAGTGCCTTTTCCTGGCTCAATTGTATTCTCACCGAAGAACACGATTGGTATCTGACGGCGCGGTGCCCTGCATGCATCGTCCTTCACGTTCTCAACTCCGAGCCTACAATCCGCTTTGTGACCGTGGCCGCACAACTCGCCGGACCCCGTTCCGGTTTCGGCTGCTGGCTCGCAGCCCTCGAGACTGCCGTCTGCGAAGACTCCTTCTGGGGCGACTCTTTCTGGCCCGAGATCGAGGAACGCGCTTCGCGCTTGACTGAAGGTGTGCAGGAGCTGGTTCGCCAGTGTCACGAACTGCGAGCCACCCTCGACAGCCCAGCCTGTACTCCTCCTTTGGCCAAAACCTCTGTCCCGGTCTACGAGCGCTCGACTTCCGCCTGCACTATTGCTATCAAGCCCTCCAGCTTTGCCCGAAAACAGGTTCGGCTCGGCCGTGAGGAGCAGCGCTACCGGTCATCAATGGCGCGGAACGCATGGAACTGCTCGCGTGAGTTGCGTCAGCCGCTGGGCGGCAGCGCTCCTACCCAGTCGCGCCGACGCTCTATGACGTCTTGAAAAACTGCAGAGGATGCGGTTCGATATTATCACCGCATTTTCCGATTTTCCTCCTACAAGATGAAATGATCTTGACATCACCTCTGCTAAGCAGAACAACCCCGATACAAGATGTATCTCCAGCCTCGAGCACAGGACATCGTGAGCTTTCGAGCGAACCGGAGGATACATGGGAGGAAACTGCCAGGTATCGCCAATGCTGTAGACACGTCATCGGTAGCCGGATTCCCTTGTCGGGCACCTTGATCCGGTCGAGATGCAACGGACAAAATATCGGAAGGCTAAGATCTACGACCAGCTGTCTCATGAGCGCTTATGCTGGCGATTCAGGTCAGTTGGATCCGGAGATATATTTCCGTGGGGAACCTTGGAAACCGGTCGGGCCCATGGTCGCACGACAGAGTCCAGATCCGTCCCAAAAAGGGCCACGAAACCAGCACCCGTCAACGGGGGCAAATTTCCGCTATATAACTCTAATGATAATATATTCATTTCGATTCTCAACCTTAATTAAATCCGGGGTACCGTACTCTCTCAAAACAAGAAAATAGAAAATCTTCTCGCGCCAAGACAGGACACGTTTTAGGCCGTGGTGGCAACGGCTACACTCTATCTGAGACCCGGTGGAGCCTGGATGAGATAAAAACTGGGCTGCGAACCAGATCGGGCCCTACGGTGGAAATTACGGTCCAACGGCCTTGATCTCCTGGGCTGTCATGCTGTTTTTCACCCGCAAAACCGGAGTGATCCGAAGAAGGGGCATATTCTACCAAGCAGGTCCTACAGTAGGCTCCTAGGGGGCGGGTGTCAGCACGGTCTACAACGAATCTGGCCCCGATAGCCCAGTCCAGATGCCTGCAGTATGGGTCCCAGGGTACGGCATACTTCCATGCGAACCAGACACACACGACCCCTCACAGTGGCGAGTACGATTACCGGAAACGGAGTCTGATCATATCCCCGGGACACACCAGGTCGCGCGGCCCTCGTCACGGGGGGGAGTTTCATCGAGATCGATTCCGAACCTTCCACGGAAAAGGTCTGGTTCAAGCGATGAAAAAGGGAGGGCACAACACGAGTCAGCAATCAACTCGATGCAGAACCGAGAATGATCGCCCCAGCCGCGTGGGGCGCCTCAGCCAGTCGCAGGGCCGCCGGGCGTCTAGACGCTGCACATTTTTAGCACGGCCTCTGGTCAACACAACACTTTGAAGTTTGGATCATAAATGCACAATAATCTATCTCGTGGGGAAGAGTAATATAGTATAATTTAAATGGGATTACCCGAACGATCCACCCACAGATGCCCTGTGTAACGAATGTATGGGCGATAGGCGACGGTCATACTTGGAACCGATGACTCGACGACCCTCGGTCTAGAACACTCGCCGGGTCTAGAACTGTTCGGCCCCCGTACCGGTACCTGCTCCTCGCTGCGTTTTGCCTCTTCGCTCATGTATCCGGTACCTGTAAGCCTGGGTGCTCTTTTCGCTCCCCTTACGTCGCCCAAGTCCTCTTCTTCTGCGGCTTTTCCCTCTTTTCCCCATTGCTACATTCCTTCACCTCAACCTCTTCACAACTCTACCTCTCCCCTCCCACGACGGCTCATTCATGCCGGCCGCTGTATCTCTCCGCCCTCCGGACCGGACAGCCTGGATGAATCCTCAGCAGTGCAATGGACGGTGCTGGCCTGGAATGAACGGCCCGGACGACTTGATCATGCACGCTGCTGCCACTGTGAAAATCGACCCTGAACGCCGTCTCTCCAACCAATCTCTCCCGGACCCGTCCACCGACGGACCTAGCCCAGCCAAGCTTCGTCGACGAGCCTCGCAGGGCTCCCTCCGCACCAGACCTTCCACGGTTTCCCGCTTCTTGTCAAAGGGCAGCGTGGCCGTCCACTTCCCTTCCTGGGAACACCGCAGTTCCACGCCGGGCTCGCCCTTCCGTGTCGAGTCTCGAAATCGGTCGGCAGATTCTCGTCTTCGTCTGTCCACCACCGTGTCTCGCGGGCCGAGACCGTTGACCGGCCATTCACACTCTTCGTCGCCTTGGAACTCGCCCTCCTCCTTCCCGGCAGACTACCCCTCTACCCTGCCTCCCACGCCGCCGGACGACGATAGCCACGTTGCGTGGAACCCGCAGTCCGAGATGCTGTTGTTTGATGAGCAACCACACCGGGAACCCGGTTCTTCGGCCTTGATGCACGATGGTCCGGGCGTTGACACCTCCCCCACCACGGCCCCATCAGACACTCTCAGCAGCCCGTCCGACGGACTCTCTCACGGCTCCTCCAGCTCCGGAGGAAGCCCTGGTCCACATGACGAGATGGACTGCCAGCAAGACGTTGGATCATGGTTGGATCAGGGAATCAACGTGACTGGTAAGCGACATCCCTCACGGGGCCTTTTCTGTCTGTTACTGACTCGGCCATAGTATCATCACTGGGAATTTCCAATCCACGAGGAGATGCCGTCAAAATCGTTTCTCAGACACTCCCGTACCCGCCGACGGCCGATCAGTCCATAGCGCTGCCGCGAAATGACAGCATCTTCTGCTCCATTGTCCAGGCCGTGCACAACCACCTCCAGCCCGGCCAGTCGCCCTACATCAATGTCACCCACGCGGTGCCCGAACAATTCAGCCTCTCCAATCTTCCTCACTCTCCCCCCAGCACTCCCCGTTCTCCGACCGCCGCAGTCGACTATTTTAATGCGACCCTCTTCTCCAGCGCCGCAGTCGTAGGAGCCTACCACGACTTCCGCGGCCCACTCCAACGACAACACTCCCACGCCCCAATGCCCGTCGTCCCTCCGCACAGCGTTCACATCTCCGTCCTCGAGCGGTACCTGCCCCCACCATCCGCACAGGAGTACCGAGACCTCTTCTGTCCTACCCGACCTTCCTTCCTCGTGGACCGGCTCTGCGAGCTATCACCGAACGGAGGCTCCCTCCTCTTCACCTACCCGACCAAAAAGGGTGCCTCCACCTTCAAATCCCAATATTTGGGCCCTATTCTCGACCCGTTGTTGCGTCAACTCGTCGTGGTAAATGGGTTGTCCGCTGATGTCGGTCGCTTTCTGGGCAAGCTGTCAACAGTATCCCAGATGGATGACTTTTCAACGATGAAAGCCAACATCGCTGCTCTCTGCGAGTCCTTGAGCTCGCCGTCCTCGAAGTTCGAGATCGCTGATGCCGGCAAGGCGAGCACCCACCTGGATCGCAGTCTCTGGGTCGAGTGGTTCATCCACCAGGAGAAGGCTCGGATGAAGGAGGTTCTCAGCCTTTACTGGCAGAACGGCCGCCGCGCCCCGGCCAACAAAGCCATGTCCTCTGGAGGACCCGGTGCCATGATGGGCGACAAGGAAGTCTCCTCCTCCATGTTGCTCAGCGAGATCTTCGATGGCATCCGGAAACGACCGTACGGCGAGGACAGCGAGCCTCGCGACGGCGTTGAGTTGGGTGTGTTCGTGATCCGTCGGACACACTGACCAACCACCCTTACCCCTTAAATCTTCCCTTCTATACACCTTCCTTTGATACCATATCGCTTTTTATAGATGGTTCCCTGCAGCTTGCTGCAACGATGTCATATGGGACCTCGACACTGTCCCCGGAGTTGGCTCTCGATATTTTTTTTCATTCTCTTATTTCGGCCGCGATTGCGCGCCATGCATACTGCGTCGGGCGGATGGTAAATGAACGTGAATACCCATGATGTTGGTCTTATTTGGCGAGATGATTCTTTTTTTTGTTTCTCGATGGATATAAATATACAAAGAGTTGCAGTTTCAATGTATAAATCTTCCTCGGAATGTGTTGATTCTGTAGATAGGGAGGGTGAGACCTCCGGGTGATACGTAAGGCAGCGTCAGGCACTGTTGCTTGACCGACTCTTCGGTCTTGTTGATAAGGGGTTGGATCCAGCCATTGAGAGGGACCAGGATTCTTTTACCCTGATAGTTCGTGCCCTGGCAGCGGTACTTTTACCCTGCAGCCTGCCTTCGCAAGGGCTTAGGTGGAAATTTTGTTTGTTGAGACATGAGACTTATGGGTCAATAAAGCGTGTAGAGAAAAGGTAAGCTGGGGTGTTCCACGAGTACCTGAGGTAGACCACAATTGTAAGATTCAATGCATCTTAATACGACTGTGACATCTTCAATGGCAGTGAATAAATACAAAGGCAGTTTAGTTACCCTGGTATATACCGAAGGCATTGGCTGGTCCAGCCAAACGGCACGGTGGATCAAACGTCACCACATGGACTCATTCACCAGAGCAGTCTCAATCCATATTGTTCATTCCTACAGTTCCTCTGGTTTCTTCTTTACTCTGCCTTCTCCTATCCATTGTCCACTGTCTGAATAAGCTAATTTCATCACTCTCTATGCTTCGGGCCGGTGAAAAGTAGCACCGACCCTAAACCGCATCGGGAATCCATGCTGCAGCGCCGCTTTTCTGACGACGAATTGCTTCCTTTCCTCCGCTATTTGCTCCGGTGTTGGTCCTATTGCCTTGCGATTGCAACTATTCTCGTCTTTGTTCTCTACTCTCCACTCTCTGAACACAATCTTATCGGCCCTATGGCTTACTCCCCAGGGCCCCCGTCGCCCGGCACTGGGCCCGCCTACCATGGCGGTTTACACTCCAGAGGTCGCTCTACAAGTCCCACCGGCGGTGCTTCAGGGCCGATTTCCAAACGCGACAAACGTCGCTCTGCACTTCAGGAGCGTCTGCATGACTTGACTGCTACCTTTAGTCAGAACCGCGACGCCCAGTTTCGCCAGCAGCTTCATTCCCTGCAATGCGACATGACCCTCATTAACAACGCCGACCCCTACCAGCCCGGCCCACTGCCCGACTCTTCCGAGGATGTTGCGCAGCTCATTGAAGAGACCGTGGGCGGTGGAAAGTTCGCCAAGGAGATGGCGAGCTTGTCTGGTACTTGGTACGCCAAGTTTGTACAGGAGGTGAACAATGTCAAAGAACAGAGGGACGCGGATTTGGCTCAGATTATGGTATTTTAACTCCTGCAATTTCTTTTGACAAGTTACACAATACTGACCAGGGCCCTTTAAACGTTACAGGGCCGACACCAAAATAGCCTTGAGCGACACCGCCGCGAGTACGACTTCCGCCAGCATTTCGCCAAAGAAGAATTCAACCAGCTGTCTTCGACCCTACGCGAGCGATTGATGCAGAGCATCTCGAGCAAACGGTCGCGTCTGATGCGCGAGAAGGAACAGCTCGATATTGCCGATACCAATGCGCTGCTGCTTCATCCCAACCAGTTCAGCATTACCAACCCCGCCAGTCCCGGTGGCCTTCACAGCAACCGAAAGACTCGGCACACACGGCACCGGGTGGATCTGGATGAGCTCGGCAATGGAATCGTATCTGAGTTGAACAAGCGCAAGCGCAAGGCGCCGGAGGAGGACGTGGGTTCACCCGTGCGGGACGCGGGCGGCACGACTCCGGCCGAGCGCCAGAAACAATATCTGGCTCAGCAAACTGCGCCTACCTACTCGATCCATTCACTGTTTACGGACAAGGAGCTTAGCGCGCACGCGAACCAGGCGCACGTCGCCACCCTGCACTTCTTCTCGACGTCGAAGCGCTCAGACCAAGGTTCCGGCGCCGTGACCAACGGCAACAACACCGACGCGGATGAAACTCCTGAAGTGACCGGGCACGAGGATAACGGTACTCCTACGGCAGACATGATCCGCACCGCGAGCCAGAACTTCCACGTCACACGCTCGACTCGCGGCACGGCAGCACACAGTGCTCTTAGCGCTCTGGCCGAACTGGCCGACAAGCCCGCGGCGCGCCCCGCCCTTCCATACCACGTCTTGTCCAACTATCATGCACGGCCCAACGGTAATGCGCCCCCTCTAACCTCGCTGCTCAACGACGAGGTCGACGACGATTGCGCGCGCTTCGATCGTCTGCATGGCAAGCCGCCTGGCTGGATTGATTCCTCTCTCATCGAGCTGGTCGCCGCACCACTGCCTTCTGATCCCGTTGATGGTCATCCGCCCAACCCCGACCACTTCAACGCCCTGCACCCAGAGTTCCCATCCAGCATGGGCATGCACCTGCAACCTGCGCGACCTCATCCTGGCCCCGAGATGTTCCAGTCCACCGGGATGGAACGCGAACGCAGCAGCAAGCGCACCCGGAACCACTAATGGGCCTGCGCGCACAAGGCGTATACATGTAATTTAAGGAGGGGAACTCGGTGTCTATGGTGGAATCGGGACTTGGCTTTTTTTTTTCTTTCTTGGTGACAACGATGGGTGGGAACAGGCGTCCGGTCATTTTCAGATTCAGATTCTCATGTCTATTTTTCCTCCGTCGTTTCTACAGCATAATCTACTGGACCTGTTCCATTGCGTCTCTAGAATGTTCCCCAGTAAGGTTGTGGTCAGCTCATCCTTCAGTCGGCCTCGGCAACATCCCCGGATGACGCCACCGATGATAAGCACCGTGGGACAGCCTCACGATCGGATGACTCTATACGGATTTGGCTCAATATTATTGACAAATTGGAGGCAAGACCAGGGATAAAGTGCGAATGAGGTGATTGCAGCTGGAAATGGAGTCATCACATCATCTCATCATCTCATCATCGCCGAATAGCCGCATCTCCCTCCGTTTCTCCGCCCTCGGCGAGATGACAAATGCCTCGAGTTACGCCGACTGGACTTTGCTCACTAATCTAATCTCCTTCTTGGATGTTCAGAAGCTGTATATATATAGAGTGATCAACTCTTCCGCTAGGAGTCATCATTCAGTGTATACTCTGCAACTTTCATATCCCGCATCTCGCATTCTGCATCCGCCATCCAGCAACCGCTCTATACTTCATACTCGAACTCCAGCTCCAACTCCAACTACACCCACCATGATGACCACAGAGACGACCACAACAACACCGCCAGAGTATATCCCTCGCGGCCCAACAACCGCCGACCTCACCTTCTACGCCCCACCACCAGACAATAGCGCGCCCTTCAACTACGTCGAATCCCCACCTCCAGGCCAACCACAACGCAACTACCTCGAAATCCCCCACTCCGTTCCCCTCAACGACATCCGCGGCCACGAAGCGGAATACAACCTAGATAAAGACTCCGTGCAAGCACTCCAAAACATCACCTCGGCTGCAACATACGCAACCTTCGACTCCGACGCCGCCGTCCGCTCAATCTACTACCCAGAAGTCGAACAACTCCTCCTCTCCAAACTCCCCGGCGCCCACAAAATCGTCCTCTTCGACCATACAATCCGCCGCCAGAAAGATGGCGCTCCTCGACAGCCCGTAACACGCGCCCATGTCGATCAGACACCGCGCGCAGCCGCCGAGCGAGTTAGGCTTCACACCACCGACCCGGAGGAAGCGGAGAAGCTCCTCGCGGGCCGATACCGCATCGTGAACGTATGGCGCCCGTTGACCGTTGAACCGGTGCAGTCGGCGCCGTTGGCGTTTGCGTCTGCGGCGTCGGTGGACGAGAATGATCTTGTACCGATTGAACATCGGTATCCCAATCGCACTGGCGAGACGATGGGTGTTAAGTATAATCCAAACCAGAAGTGGTTGTACTGGTCCGGGATGACGGGGGATGAGCGGTTGTTGCTCAAGTGTTCGGATTCGCGCGGGCTTAGGGATGGGGATGTGGCACAGTGGGTGCCGCATACGGCGTTTTGGGATCCTCGGACTCCTGCTGGTGCGAGGATTAGGGAGAGCATTGAGGTTAGGGCCTTGGTCTTTGGTTGAATGGTGTTGTACTATGTTGTATTATGCTTGGTGTGGGTTGGGCTTGGATTGCATGTCAAGGTTTGTTTTTATAGTTGGATTTTACGATCGAATCAAGATTGGATCCTTAATCGCTTGAGACTTTTTTTTTTCTGTGATAGTAGGCTAACACTAGAGGTTGTCCTGAACTGGACTCGGGAGTAAGCCAGCGATCGTGGTAGACAGTCTGAGTCTATTCACAAGCCTATGGATAGGGTTAGAAACGTGAATAGATTGCCACTGGTATTACGCGACGGACAAGTGGTCCCGATTACGGCTGGATATAATCATGATGACAGGCGGAAGTCATGGCCGATTCTTCTATCACAACGTCCCCGTTTCACACTTGCAGCTCTGGAAAAAGACCGAGATCGAGATACATCATCATCCATGTTCAGACGCCTTGTCTTTGTCCGGTCCCGCGCCTGCATCTATACACTCACGCCCTATGTATCTGCCATGACCGCCGTATCCAGCGACATAGCAACGACTGCCAGCCCCATACCGCGCCCTTCGTTCCATGGAAAAGCCAGACGACCACTAAATACATACAAGGGCAAAACAACGACACCGGCGCCTCGTGCCCGTATCCTTCCTACCATTCAACACGAGCACCGCGAAATTGAGTACCACACGCGCAAGATCCTGAAATCATCAGACCCAGACGAACAAACCAGATACCAGAACCTGTTCATCTGGGAACTAGCACGGCACATTATCGGCGAGGAACTAGTCATCTACCCTGCCCTCGCCAAACACGTAGACGACGGCCAAAGCAGAGCAGACAAGCGCCGCATCGAGCATCAAACCATCAAACAGCAGCTCAATGCATGCCAGGGACTTCAGGTCACGGATCCACGCTTTGCGCCGACTCTCGAAGCCTTGTTGGATGACGTGGAGTATCACTTCAAGCAGGAGGAGAGCAGCGACCTCCCGGCGTTAGAGGATGAGCTATCTCAGGCAGATAGCGAGGCGCTAACGAGCTTGTTGGATCGCACGAAGATGTTTGTGCCTTCTAGATCACATCCTTTGGCGCCGAGTAAGCCGCCTTTTGAGACGGCTGTGGGGCTTTTGACTGCGCCCGTGGATATGGTTGCGGATATCTTTCGAAAGTGGCCGCATCCTTGAGAACGGTTAAGGAAAGGGGTGCGAATTGTGTGAAGAAATTTGCAAGAGATTACATGTAACACAATAAATGGGGGTTTAAAGGAGACGAGCTTCGCGAGAGAGATGTTTTCATGTTATGATTCATTCCCATATCTACCCCGGTCCTATACCTCGGATCTTCATCCCCGACATGCCACAGCCGTGGACTCTGTCGCCAAATTGGATGCCAGGTTTCGATACTGCGGCAGCCGACGGAGCTTATCCAAGCCAGTAGCATTGCTTCTATTAGGAGAAACATCCTGCTCCTCTTCCAACGCACTCTCCACGGACCGACGCCGCTTCCAAGACTTGCGAAACTGGTTCCGCTCCTCCTCCTGCTGCCTCATGCGCATAAGCATAAAATCTTCATGAGCTTCTTTCTCTTCACTCAGAGTTTTTATCTTAGTAGGGGTGACGATTGTGTTAGAACCAATATTGTCTGCGAATAATGTCACAATAACCATCTAATAAGACACGGGACACGTACATAGGCCAACCAAACCTCCTGCTCCGAGCTCCATGCTTTCTGACACCGTTTCAACTGCTTCTCTGCCATTACAAGCTGCTTTTCTTGTTTCTTCGTCCATCGACACTGATTCCGGATGATACTAGCCCAGCTCACGGCTCGGGAAAACTGCTCGCGTGCGCAGGCCGTGCGGTCTGAGAGCCGGTGGGTCTGATGCTCGGATTCCGAGCCCGAGTCTGTTTCAGAGCTAGATGCACCCGAGTTCGTGTTTTGGTCCCGGGGCTGCCTCACCGCTATATGCAGGGCGTCCAAGACGTCACATTGGAGTGTTGTGCAGGGGTATTCGGCTGATTGATTGCCGGGTGGGGGCTCCTCGTGGGATTCCTGGTCTGGGCTTTTCAGTTCGGGGTCCTTCTCTTTGCTTGTTGATTGTCTTCGTTTCCATGGAAGAGAGAAGGGGAGGGCGCGTTGAACAATAGCAATGACCGACATAATGATAGCCCGAGGGTAAACCGAGTCCGTGGGAAGATAGCTGTAAAGAGCGTAGAGTGAAAAACAATAAAACATTTTCCGCATGCAGCCCTTGGTACTCTTATAATGTCCCAGAAATTTCCCCGAGGGGCGTTGTACTTTGGTTCGCACCCAGACCGGCATCCTAGAAGAAAACGAAGGTGCAGGAATTCGCATGAGAGTGGGGGATCAGCCCGGTGCGAATCAGATACGTTTTCTGCTTGGTTTGCCACGCGAAAAACACGGACTCTGGGGTGTCCCTGGTTGGTCCAAGTGAGTGATGGCTGCAGCGTTGGTCGAGACTTCAACCGCTGCCCATTTCTAGCGTCGCGCACATGTGTCTTGACGACGGTAAGTCCTACCTCTTTTTGGGTTGAGAGCCAACCTTTAAAGACCTTCGGTGATATAATAGCTAGTCTAGAAGGGAATGAATTCGTAAAGATAGGCCCTATTGTTCGTCGAACGGCGTATATCTCCGCCGCGGGACATACATCCGGCGTCAACCACGGAGAAATAAGGAACATTGCTGCATGATTCAGGCCTGGTTGACCAGAGTTATCTGGTAGCGGCGCATTATAATGAATACATACAAGGTGTTTGCAGCTGTGCCCGACGATCCACTTTGACAAATGTGGTCGATGCATTCATTTGTATAGCGTCAGTGACGGGGAGAACCCATCCCATGTACATAACGCCAGAGTATTCAAGTCATAAGGTCAACAATAATAAACCAACCACTCCATACAAAGCAAGCCGATGACCATGAGGGAATCTTAAAATAAACCAAAAAAAACCACGGACGCCATCGACTAGTATCCATCATCCCAACTATACGCCAAAGAAAGGATCAAAAGAAATTGCGTTTGTGTTCATCGCCATGTATCGACAGAGACCCCGCGGGTCACCTTGGCCTTTCGCTCTTCTCGGATCTGCTCGCCAATGATGATGCTGATCAGACGCCGATGCAGGTCAGCTTCTGTCCAGTCGACCTGCCCGGATCCACCGTACTGGACGTCGGCTCGAGAGAGATCATGTACAAAGCGATCAATGATGGCAAATTGTACTTCGGTGATGGGCACCCCGTGACGACCGTCCGAGGTCCAGATCCAATCACCGATAATTTGTGCACGCCCCGGTGCGTCATAATATGGGAATCGCTCTGGGTCCCGTTTTGCCATTCGGTACAAGCGCCGAAGTGCCTTGTAATGATCGTCGGAGAAGTAGCCGAACACCGCCAGAGGTCGCGGTCCAGACAGTTCGTGGTGATCGTCGTCAATGAGGCTTGCAGCGTCGCGTTTCGCACTTTGATTGGGCGCCCCTTGTTCAATGAACAGATCTTCCTCCTCATCTTCATCATCCTCTTCTACCGATTCTACCGAACGCACGTCACGTTTCACGGTTTGTTTGGGGGGCCTTGTTCAATAAATAGATCTTCCTCCTCATCTTCGTCATCCTCTTCCATTGAACGCACGGTATCTTCAGGATGCAATTGAGGAGCACCGGCTGTTTTGTTCGAGTATCGCGGGGATTCATTCAGACGGATTGAACGCGGCGTGTGCTCGAGATGCTCACGAACTTCTTTCGCCGATTCGATGCTATCCATTTCCTGATCCTCGTCATCCTCCTCCTGTGATTCGTTCCCTGAGGCGGCACTCGAGCTATCGTCGTGAGCATCAGCCGGGGCTTTCAGCCATCTGGGGGTGAGGCTAGTGATTCGCTGGAGCCAGGTAGACCCCGGGGCGTCCGCATTGGGCTGCTGGGGTTGTTCTGGGGTGGCGACAGACTCTGCCTGGATAGATTCAGTCTCGTGCAGATCGGAATCGGAAACGCTACCAGTCTCGTCTACCTCATCTGGTTGAGGCTCTGAGGATGTAAGCTTGTGCCTCATGGCGGGTGAGCTGACTTGGGCCTCCGATTCCCTCTCTGGAGACTGAAAGATCGGTTGTAGACGGACACGCTGACCAGCCTTGCGCGAGGAGGCAGACTTGATGGACGACCCATTGATCGACGGAGGCTGGGGACCAGACCTCCGACTTAGGATACTCCGAGGAGTACTTGTTCCATTGTAATAGCGCGCATGGTTTGGCGTATCCTCCTGTGCCAGTAGAGCCGACAGATCCACGTCCTCGTCCCGCAGTTTGCGAATATGAGTTGGTCCAAGGTACTTCGTGTTGCCGTCGTCCATTGTCACGTAAGCTGGAGATGAACTTAAGGAGTTTTCGTTCGAGTAGGCTGCGTCTATTCTTCTCCAAGCCCTGTAGCCATCGTCTGCCGGAATTTGTTCGCGATCATCCGAATGTTTTGAAAGGAAGCTGTTGTCGCGGGCCTCTTGTTGCCAGATATCATCAAAACCTCCGTCGTCATCGTCCATGGTTTCCTGCTCAATCTCTACTGCCTGGTTGGTGGTATGGGATTGAAGTTGACGGTCAAATTCTGAGTTTTCAGGCTCTTGTTGCCAAATGTCGACAGACTCATCATCCTCGTCATAGGTCTCCGGCTCAGCCTCCGTTGCTTGATTTGCCGTGCGCGAACGCTCCGCCATAGGCACCGACTCCAAATCTCGAGGATTCTCCGGCGGAGGCTCTTCCACAGGCTCTGCCTCTATGGGTTCCTCTTGGAAGGGTTTCAGTTCGAAAGGATCTTCTTCCATGACCTCCTCTTCCTCCAAAACTTGCTCATCATCATATAGAGGACTTTGTTTGAAAGGCGCTTCTTCCACATGATCTTCTTCCACGAGCTCTTCCTCCAAAGGCCGTTCATCGAAAGGATCTTCGTCCACGATGGACTCTACATCGGACTGTGAGTGGATGTCAAATGTATCTTTGCCACTGACCATTTCACCTTGAGAGACCTCTTCATCACTTTGAATGGTGATCAATCGTTGGACATTCGTCGGATCCCGAGCTTGCCGGCTGACAGCCTGTCGTTCGATATGCCATTCGTCCTCCCGCTGGATGCTTCGTGGGCCCCATGGACTTGGTTGCGGCGAGTGTGTTTTCCCAAACTGAGGTGACGGGTTGACGACTTGCACTTCGTCATCGTCGTCCCAATCTTCCTCCTCGATTTCCTCGACTTCCTCGACTTGTCCCTCGTCGCCATCCATCCCAAGATCGATGTTCTCTGCCTCCTCGTCTTCAGCCGGATCTTCCGCTGTTTGCCTCTCATGTGTCGGAGGCTCTTGTTCGACGTCAGGAGGATTCCATATCTTCTCAGGCGAAGCTGCAGGCAGCTCGGGATACGAAACAGTGGTAAGTGGGCTCTTTCTGATCGGATTTTGAGATTCCAAACGAGCCCGCGAAGGAGGACGTAAAGCGGAAGAAGGAGCCAGGGCAACCGGACTTGGCCTTGTTGAGCTGTGACTGTCATCTTGCAGGCCACCGATACCGCCTGGCAATTGTCGCTTCAATTTGTCGCCAATGCGTCCATTATCTCGCCTATTGGAAGAGTCGCCTGTTGATATTTTGGCGCTAGAGAGGCCATATTGCTTGGCTGAAGGAAGTGTATCCAAGGAGACCATAGTGAAGCCCTCGCTTTCCATAATTGAATCGAACTCTTCGTGCTCGTCCGTAGGGTCCGGCTCAGAAGGTGGATCATCGTCTACTGGCTGTTGTTGTACTCGGGGTTCTTCATGCTGGGCTTCTTCCTCGGCCAGCGAAGAAGTGGGAGTGGGTGAAGGATAGGTTCGGGGTGAGGTGCTGTCTGCTTGATGCGCAGACCTTGCAGATGAAACGGATTTTTCTCGGGTCGGTGATGGCATTTTTGAGGGGGTAGAGTGTATGTTGTCGTCATGATCAAGGTAGTGATGCTCTGCAGCTCCAATAACTGGTGTACCGTAGCTGGCTCTACCGTATTCGCGGTCGATGCTCTCATGGGCGTTGTCGTTACCCCATCTATCCCTATTCACAGCTGGTGTTGGCGGGCGAAGAAAAGCGACAGGCAGATCGTCAGCTCCGAGGGAGTCACTGTCGAGACCGTCTGTTCCAAGATTCATTGGTGTGAATTGTCGAGGCGAATCAGCTCCGCCGTCAACAGCAATGTCCATCGGACTGAAGTGTAAGTCGGGGCCAGATGATATCGCTGGTGCTGGCGTTGGCTCTTCTTCTGCGACGGGCACCTCCTGTGCCTTCGGCTTCGGCGTGCCATTGCGTGGTCGGCCCCGTTTACCCTTCTGCGGACTTCCACCTTTTGGCCCGGGGGTGTTCCCTGCGCTAGCAGGCCACGGCGACCCATTCGGCATCTGAACGTCTGATTTCCTTGGGCGCCCACGTCGTCTTGCCGGTGTTTTTTCCTGTAGCGGACTCCTGTCGTCCTTCAATGGAACCATGGTTGTAGTGGTAGATGGGCGCAGCCGTTTGCGTGACGGGCTGCCATGGTTTTCGTTCTCCTCGTCCTGAGTTGCCTCGAGGGTGACCCGAATGCGCCACGGGCTGACGTTGCCGTCCTCTCCCTTTTCTGGCGAAAACGACCTCTGGCGACCATGGAGCTTCATTTTAGGCGAGCCGGGGAGCAGGACATCATCGAATCGGATCGAATGCGCGCTCTTCGCAGGACTGAGGCTCACGCGCGATCGCTTGGCCGGTGTTTGTTGGCGTCGGAGGTTGGCGGGCGACAGCCAGCTTTGGCGACCTACGAAGGGCTTGATGGGGGAGGAGATGAGGTATTCGGCATCACCTGGAGGGCCGAGGATGTCGGGCGAGGAGCTCTGGCTACGCGACGTGCTTGACATGGCGGGCTGGATGGAATCTCGGCACGCGTGCCGCTAGGGGGCGTGGAGAGAGCGCACCCTGCGGAATGCGCTGATGAATAAGTCACGATGGCCAGGATATGGCCCTCAAAAGGCCAGCGAAACTGTACAACCGCTGACAAAAAGCGCGGGGCAATGCGTAAACAAGAGGCTCGAGGCGGCACGAATCGGTGACGGCGAAACGTGTGTTATGTAAGCGCATCCTAATCAGGAAGTGATGTAAATATCCAAGTCACAATCCTCATACTGTGCTTCTGTGCCTGTGTATGTCTCTGAAGATGCATCAAATATCAATGTCTCTAGGACTGCAAGATCTGGAGTTACACAAAAGCAGTGATTTTCATCTGCTGAAGCTCGTTATCCACGGTACTGACATCAGGCACTCGATTGGGGTTTGAGTATTAGACGACCTACACATGGCGACACCCCACAAGCGCCTTGACCGACCAGTACCATACCGCTAGTTCGAGTAATATCTCGCTTCGTTGTGAGGATATCCGGGCAATAGATCTGAGGCCCGTTTCTCAGGTTCGAGCAGAACAAGGACCGGGTACGCCCTTTGGGGCCAGTGGGTTTGGGCACATGCAAGATCTAGATCCATGATTGGGAAAGTCACGAGACCCTGCACAGTCCTTATATCTAGGATACTATGAAGAGAGCGCAGGCTTTTGAGCGAGTGGATAATATACATGTCTCGGTCAGGTATGACACCTCAGGTCACGTACGGCCGGATGCATCCCGCACGCAGCACAGACATTGCGATCTGACTACGGCCAAATTCCGGGCAATGCCCAAGTTCATTGAAAACCAAAATCCCCCCTAGGGTAAGGAAACCGAACGAGTCAACGATCGGCGCACCAGCGGGAGGCAGGGTAATTCGTATACAATTGGGCCGTGCCAGGGACGGGAATTCCTCCACCGGAGTTTTGCCTTCCATGCTCCAGGGCTTGGACCAGGGTCCTCAAGGGTAGCATTTGGCATTTGCCATCTGCGCCATCTGAAGCTTGTCCCAGCACCGCACTAGGACCGAATGGGCCTCAATTGCGGCAGACCAGCTCACTAAGGTCCCCACCGACGTCTTTGCCCGAGCGCGGACAGCCTCACGAGGGGCTCGGATCTTCCTCCCCTCATCCTGCGAGCCTCCGCTTCTTGGTCTGGCTCCAATCATTGACCGGGATCCTCTCACGCAACTGCTTTTGGGTAATCCGTGATCTATCTCACTTTAGTTTGGATCTACCCCGGTTTCCTTGCCCCGCCCCCTAGCGTCAAGCCATGCGGAGGTAAGCTAGCGTTGTATGACGATGTTTACCGGGTTAGGGAAGGAGCTTTCATTACCATAAAATGCGCGTTCCCCTCAGCTTCTGTCGCTCGTTCTTATACCCTGCGCGGATCACACCTCGGATTCTTCTCTGTTATTGCCTCTTGTTTCTCTCCGTCACCGCGACTCTGGGTTTCAAGATGCACTTCAAGTCCTACGCGACGGCTGCCCTTTATGGGTTGCCTGTTCTTGCCAATGCTATGCCCTCAGCCTCCTCTTCATCGGCTGCACCCTTGTCTTCTCCCAGCAGCTCAGGTGACAGTGGTCACTTCACCGAATACTCGATCAGCTCCAAGAACATCACGGTCAAGCTCATCCCTTACGGTGCGCGTCTGACCCACGTCCTGGTCCCTGATCGCGATGGCAACACCCAGGACGTCCTGGTCGGCTATGACGATCCCAAGGAATATCTTCACGACAGCGAAACCAACCACACCTACTTCGGCGCGGTCGTTGGCCGCTATGCCAACCGCATTAAGAATGGTACCTTCTCCATTGACGGAAACACCTACCACATTCCAGAGAACGAACACGGCGGTAGGGACACCCTTCACGGTGGCTTTGTCGGCTATGATATGCGCAATTGGACTGTTACCGCGCATACTCAGTCTGCCATCACTTTTACCCTGTTCGATGAAGGCTTCGAGAACTTCCCAGGCGACGTGATCAATCATGCCGTCTTCAGCGTCTCGACGGAGAAGAGCGCCGAGAACCCCAAGGGTCTGCCACAATTATCCACCAAGCTTGTTTCCCTTGCTCTGACCGAGAAGACCCCCATCATGCTTGCCAACCACCTCTACTGGAACCTCAATGCCTTCAAGAACCAAACAATCTTGAATGACACCTACTTGCAGATGCCTCTCTCCGAGCGCTTCATCGCTGGGGACACCCTTGAGGTCCCTACCGGCAAAATCCTCGATGTGAATACCGCCTACGATGGCGCTTTGGACTTCATCGAACCTAAGTTGGTTGGCCAGGACATTGCAAAGACCTCCGGCTTGTGCGGTGGTGGCTGCACCGGCTACGATACCTGCCTTCTGATTGACCGCCCGCCCGCCTATGCAGCTCGCAACTCATTCGTCCCTTCAGTGCACATGGCCTCTGACACGACCGGTATTACCCTGGACATCGCCACCAACCAGGCTGCGCTCCAGATCTACACTTGCAACGGCCAGAATGGCACCATCGCGACCAAGGAGTCGCAAGCCAAGCGCAATAAACAGGAGGATGGTAATGCTGGCGCTGCGTACGTCAACAAGTACGGCTGCATTGTCTTCGAGACAGAGGATTGGATTGATGGCATCAATCAGCCCCAGTGGGGTCGTCTGCCGTACCAGATCTTCGGTCCCAATGATGGCCCTGCTATGAACTTAGCTACCTACCAGTTCGGCACTTTTTAAGTTCCACCATGCACATTTCACTTACATGTCCATAAGTACCATAATTACTCGATTTACTGCTTTAGCTGTTAACAAGAGACCAATACCCATGGCTCGACCGTCTAAAAAGTAATAGCGCAATTCTTTTGCGTAAAGTTCAGTGCCCAGCCACCCAAGGAGGGCAATTCGAATTAGAAGCACTTTAGGTAAAGTTACAATTTTGACAGTATACCCGACCCGTTGTCACCGCTTCCCTTCACAATCTCTTCCTCCCAGTAGTTCGGATTGAACGTGATGGAATTAAGAGGATTCAACCGATGGGCTCTATTGTAGAGATCCTCGTACACACGGCCATCATATCGTCCGAGCGCACTGTCATCGCAGTTAGAAATAAAATTCCGCAGAGTTCTTGAAAGAAACAAGGTTTTTCTCACCTGTCCAGGAGGTAGTCAGGAATCATCCATGAATCAACCAGCTTCACGGCATGGGGTCGGATGCGCGCCATCAGATCTTGGACGCGAGCGGGAAGGTTGTTGAGATCGGCTTGAGACACGGCGTTGCAGCGGAAGACTACCATGAACGCATTGTTAGTTCGAATTTGTTGAGGAGTGAGCCATTTAATTAGGAAGTAGAGTCGCTTACATTCATAACCTTCATTCTCCATAGTGTGCAGTGCAAAGAGTCGATACAGGTCCCACATTATGTCTTTGCTAGAGTTGGGAAGGGTATTGTCTGTTGATAGGGCTTCATAGAAAGTGGCGACTAGAATTGACTGGGATTGTGCTGGATTTTTTATTAATATGTCATTGAACGATGCAGAAAGTGGTTGTGAGGTACCTTTGCTGAGTTTGTGCAGTTGAATAAGGAGATTGTTCCAGCTCTGCTTCTTCAATACTCGCTGCTCATAAACGTCATAGGCCTGCGAGTTGAGATTAGTATTTAGTCCGCATCATTTCAGCAAGTTATTGACTTACAAGAGCAGTAGCCCGCAATCCAAAGCTTTTGACAATGTCTTGGTCTCTGTTCAAGACATCATGGACAGATTGGCGTTGGCCGGCGCTCTGTTTGTTCCGAATGAAATCCTTAAATCCAGCTTCAGTCTTATCAGCACCAGGGGTGTTGGGGGACTTTGCAGCTGCCGTCATTTTCTTGATCAAATACGCCGCAACTTGCTGGGTGATCATCCAGTTATCGCCTTCGACAGTTGGCTTAGAAAGATAGTCATTGTTCAGTTGAATCAATCCACTTCCCCCACCGAATCCATGTCCGCCCAATGCACGACGACATGTTTCAATACCATCCGCGGCCAGCATAGTGCACAAACTCTTGAGCCCGGAAGACATGCTGTGCATGTGAGCTAGAGAGCGAAAATCACCTTGCTCGACATCATTCCGCGTGGTTTGATAAACCGAGCGCATAGCCAATCCAGTGTAATGAAGGGCAAATGTAGTCGCAAGCAAGGGTAAAATACGAATCTGCACCGTGGGATAATCGAGGACGGACATCTCTGGTCCACTTTTATCGCTATCTCGGTCTTGGAACTGCCGTCGGATGGCAGTATACCGTACCGCAACAGTAACAGCGCGTGCTAGCACAAGCCTGGCGTGATGTACAATATTTGCACGGACATATGTCAGTGAACCGTACACCAGAGCAGGTTGCTCGGGCTTTGTATAAGCACCGGTCTCGGGATTGACACTGGAGTATCGGCACAGCATGGCAGAGTGGGGAATCCTAGCCATTATATTAGCAGTGTCGGGTTAAACAGTGACACTTCAGCTCACCGGAAGTTATCAAATAGCATGTACGCATTATCCATAGTAACGTAGCCATATTTAGGACCGATATCTCCGATCACCACCCCGTCCAGTGGCTGGTGGGTCTTCATATCACGCACTTGCACAATGAAGGGATGAGGACCATGAGATACATACTGATCCGGTGAGCCTGGCTTGGGAAGGAGAAGCTGTGCAACCACGATTGAATGATTGGCAATTCTACCCAGGCTCCCGTTCCACCATTTGCTTGCTGTAAGCGTGGGGCTATGCAGCACAAACTCCTTGGTGCGGCTATCCCAGCGCGCCTCTAGCTCCAAGCCTCGGACGTTGCTGCCATGCCCAAGCTCTGTCTGACCGTAAGCGCCAATAATTTTCCATTCCTCAATCAAGGGCAGCCAGTATGCACGCTGTGCTTCGCTGGCTTGCTCACGGATAGTGGTGACAAACATCTCCATATGCAGAAAGTACGGGGAGACATCATCGACCAGGTACTCGGCCATTTTGTAGTCTTCATGGCTCCACTGATGTTGATCGGTCAATCGACGCAGCAGCTTGGCTCTTGCAAGCCCTAGCTTGAATCGCTCTGGGCGGGACAGGTTCTGTTGTTTCTCTTTTGAGAGCATTGGCTCTCGCTGCAAGATTGGCAGAACTCGAGCCTGGCGCTCTAAGAATCCATCTGACGATAACAAGTGTCGGCTTAACTCATCCACTGAGATTTTGGACTGCTGTCGTTCTCGAGCAAGAGTTGTGGGTCCATCTGGTTGGCTTGGACGAAGTTTATCAGTGAAGTCGGGCATGTTGGTGGACTGCTGTTAAACACTTCGAAGTAGAATGTTGAGCTCTTATGATTTAGTAATATATGCAGACCTTCCCAATAGGCTCAAGCCCCTCATCGTGTTTGCCTAGGCACATGATGGTTTACCTGCAAATCGCCGAGTGCCGATTGCCGGATATCGATCCGCGGGGCAGATCGCGGGGAAGTAGCCGACTCGGATATTATCGAGGACCCAAGTTGCAGGCGGATGTATTTCGATAATTTATAAACAGCACTATTCGAGTTCTCTGTTTTAAGGAGTTCGCTCATCCATCTGATGGCGGGCAGAAGAACAGGGCCTGATCATATAGCAAGACAATAATGGGTGACCGAACTAAATTTGTGCCTTCGCATGTAGGGGGGAATATCCTCCCGAATTTACCCTTCTGTCATAAGTTGTTGCGGTACGCCCAGCGAAAGCCGTCGCGCATTGCCATCCGAGATGTGATTGCCGGCGTGGAAAAGACATTTCACGATCTCCTGTCGGATGCTCTGGCCCTTCGCAGTGAGATTGAGAAGAGTCTAAGTCGAGAGACTCTTCGTGAATTAGCCGAGGACAAAGAGGTATACATCGGTTTGCTGGCTCCCGGTGGCTATGAATACACGGTTGGCTTCGTTGCTATCATTGCACTCGGCGCCGCAGTCGTGCCAATGGGTGAGTAATACACCACCAGAGCCGAGAATCAAGCTAACAATTCTCAGCCTCTGGACTTCCTGTCGAAGAAGCCTCTTATTTCCTGCTCAAAGCGCGATGTGTTGCCTTGGTTGCGAGCACAAGTAGCGAAGCTCTTGCGCAGTCAATTGTGCGCTTCATGGGAGAAGAGAAGAATTTCCACATCCAGTGCATATCTCCTATCGCTTCTTTCTTTCGTCCCACGCTTCTCCCAGCAGATGACATTGTCATCTCATCAAACCGAGCTCTCGACATGAACGGCGCAAGCGGTGTCATCTTCACCTCCGGCACGACCGGTCCACCCAAAGGCGCCGTCCAGAGACGCACCTGGCTTACAGGCAACGCAGAGACGGACGCGGACTTTTATGGTATCACAGAAAGGGACGTGGTCCTCCATACCTTACCAGTCCACCATGCCTCCGGTGTGGGGCTCACCTTCCTCCCTTTCCTCGTCTCAGGCGCCTGCATCGAATTCCGCAGCGGTAGCTTCAATACGGCTTGGACATGGGAGCGTTGGCGGAAGGGTGGCCTCACCTTTTTCTCGGGCGTGCCTACCATTTATATGCGAATGATGCGGTACTATGAAGGAAACATTGCTAACCAGTCTCCCGAAGTGCGCGATCAATACATTGCCGGGGCACGGAGCATTCGCACCATGCTGTGTGGCTCGTCGGCCCTGCCTGGCCCTGTGCAGGATTTCTGGGAGAACTTAAGACAGAAGCCGATTCTGACTCGATATGGCGCAACTGAGTTTGGTGCGGTGATCAAGACAGACCTCGATCCGGCAGGAACACCACGGAATAGTGTGGGCCGAGTGGTTGAAGCGGTCTCTCTCAAGCTTGATGACGATGGCCATCTTCTTGTGAAATGTCCCTATATGTTCTCCAAGTGAGTTATACCTCCGGTTCAGTGCTAGAATACATTCATCTAATGATGATACTTGGCAGATATCTTCATGATGCAAAGGGAACAGCTGATGCACACGACAAAGACGGCTATTTCAAATCGGGTGACATTGCTCGTCGAGAAGGACCATACTACTTCATCCTCGGCCGTGCTTCCATTGACATAATTAAATCAGGAGGGTACAAAATCTCCGCATTGGACATTGAGCGAGAGATTCTCGGTCTAGACTATGTGTCCGAGGTGATGGTTGTCGGCGTGGAGGATGAAGAGTTCGGTCAGCGAGTTGCAGCCACCATAAGTCTCAAGACGGATCAGAACACGACTCGCAAAACCCTTACTCTCTCAGAGCTGAGAAGCGATCTTCGAAGCATGCTGACCGGGTATAAAATTCCAACTATTCTGCGGGTCATCAAGGGCGAGCTGCCCAAATCGGGGACTGGGAAAGTGCAGAAAAAGATCCTTGGGCCAAAGTTCTTCCCGCCAAACTATCGCGAGCTTCCCGACATCCAGGTATGGAGCAAAGAGAATAGAGCCAAGCTATAGATTCAATAAACAGCCTCCCTTGTCTTAGACTTTATTAAAATTTGTTAAGTTGGTAGTGAATATATGTTCAAACGTCTTTCTAGATGCCTTTTCAGCAGTTGAATTTTGTACTGGTGTAACGTCCAAAGCTCATCGACCGACACCAACAGGCTTTGGCTGTACACGGGGTTTAAAATCCATAAACAGCCTACTAATGAAAGAGATGCTATCCTGAGGCGCAATCTTATGGTGGACTTCAAGAATTCAAGCTCGGACAATGCTCTGTTTATTGCATACATTGAGGCCAGTTCAATTCTAAGAAAAATTATCATTAATCTGTATTTGCGTGGTGAATCTTTTGTCACTTTCATGATTTTCGCACTATGATGTTCGGCATTCGGCAATCGGTGACTTCCGAAACAGTGGCCTCCCGGCAACCTGTGAACGCGGGGAAATCTAGCTTAGCTCCGAGGCTGTCCAGCAAGTCGTCCGCGGCTTTTGGATTTAACAAAGAACAGCATTCCGATTGCCTACCTACCACATACACCATAATCACCATGGCAGACATTCCAAAATTCCAAAATTTATCGCTAGAGAGACATGGCAATGTATTCGTGTTGACCATGCAGAAGCCTCCCGAGAATCGATTGAACTCGCACTATTGCCAGGAAATGATACGGGCTTACCGTGCAGTTGAGAAACTGTTGGGTCCAGACTCTGAAGGTGCAGTGATTACGCGCGGTAGTGATGCTAAGTTCTGGTGCACTGTATGCGGAAACACATTTCAAGATAGCGACAGATTTGCTAACAAAAAGGCCTCTAGGGATTGGAATTAGATGAATCTGACAATAATCCTTTTGCAAACACGGACGGCTTCTACCCGGTCAGTACCCATTTGTTCCTGCGGCCTGGTTGAGAGGTTTGAGAAGAAAAAGTTGAACTGATATGGAATTGAAATAGCTTGTCCATACAATCCTTGACTTTCCATTCCCTACTATTGCGCTACTCACGGGACATACATTTGGTGGCGCCTGTCCTCTTGCACTGGCGCATGATTACCGCGTCATGAACTCGCGCCGCGGCTTCATTTCTATGCCGCCCGTCAATCTGGGGTTGCACTTTGATGGAATTGGATCTCTTCCACGACTTAAATTGCGCCCTCAAATTGCACGAAAGATGCTTCTCGAAGCACACAGGTGGACTGGAAAGGAGGCGCTGGAAGATGGTATTGTCGATGCTGTTGCCGAGCCAGAGAAGATGCTGGATGTCGCTCTGGAGCTGGGGGCAAAGTGGGCACCCAAGGCGAAGATGGGGTAAGTCTGACGATGAAGAGGCGAGTAAGAATCTTGAATTGGTATTAACTGAAGCTATTTTACAGTGTATATGCATTACTACGCCACGAATTATGGGGAGAGGCGATCGAGAAGTTCCAAAAAATCAGCTATGTTCATAGTCGGGTGACTGTGGCTCCGGCCAAGGCCAAGATCTGATCAACAGATGTGCTCGCCTACTCGTGTTATCTGAATATTTCGATTAGCGGAGGAAGTTTGCTAAGAAGGCTTGATAATTAACAAAGAATTTGACAGCGCGTAGTTGAATAGTGAGAAGTCGAATAGAGAAGGCAGAAGAACGCGGCCCGGGAGTCAAGATGGCGCCGGGAAGTAGAAAGACGAGAAATTATACCACCTAGGCATTCTATACGGAAATAGTATAATTTCAATGTTACCGACAATATCTTCGTCGGTGCGGAAGGAGATACAACATAGGTACATCCTGACTGAAATTTGCAGGCCCTTAATCAAAGGTTTTCTTCAGATTCGCAGAATTGACATACTATTGTCAGTTTCCGTTCTCAGTATATCGTCAGCATAGCGGTCCAATCAGCCCCATTGTCCAACAATATCTGACAGTATCATGAATGAAGTGTAGTTTTAATGGGGTAAATAGGATGCTTAAAATGGCGTCAAAATTAGCCATTTTGGTGCCTAATTTGCCGTCACCTAGCGTTGTGGTGTAACATTTTGGTTGCGGGGAGCAGGAAAAAAACATACCATCCAGGGGATCTATATGAATCTAGTACATTTGAACGGGTACCGAGGACAAAATCGTCGCTGGTCCGGGATGAAATGGGGTATCTATTAGGCTCACGATGTAGTGCAAAATGTACAGTCTCACGCCCAGCCGGCCAAGGTCCAGCTTGATCGGTCACCAGCCTTCAAACCCGATCGGCGATCAGGGACCGGCGGCTCTGAATCTCGAGTCGCCCCAGCCAGTCCATGCTGCAGGAACTTCTCTCGCTCAATCTCAACCATTCCTCGAATCTTCAGGCTTGTCACTAAGCTGGCACCAGCCCATGCGCCAAGGGATTCGACCTCTCGAATAACTCCCTGGACAGAGACGGGTGTGTCCTTGTTCTGGCGACGAAGTTTCTGTTCGACGAAATCGATCTCGGGTTCTTCTCGAGATGGATCTGGCTTCTCTTCATCAGGGGAAGACGCAGAGTCATTGTTTGTTGAAGGCGCTTCTCCGTTGCTCTGTGATGAAATCTTCATTTGCTCTAATCGTTGTCGTTGTCGCTCGAGGACCTTGCCTCGGATCGCACTCCAGCCATATCGGTCAATTAACGATGACACCTCATTGAGAATCCGTTGTCGCAATCCAGGAATTCGAGAACCGCCACCCACGAACACGATGCGTGACATGCATGTACCCCGGGCATCGGGAGGCAGAGTGAGAAGAGTGTTGTAAAGAAGCAAAGGTATCGACTTCTCTTCGTCGTCCATTTCATACTCCGCTACTCCTGACGCAAAGAGGACCTTTTCAACAGGCTCCGAAAGACGCGCGAACGGGATATCACAAAAGTCTTTCTCCGGGCTGGTCGGGGAGGGTATTGAGATGGTCCGGCCTGGATCAGGTGCCGATCCACCAACGTCTCCGTGTGGGTTGCACCAGGCGAAGCGAGTCGTAACCTCCTCGCAGTATGTGAATCCCACGGCGATCTCATCTTTGGCAGCTTGCTCCGAGACGTTATCAGAGGACAGAGCAGTCAGAAGCCGACCCATTTCCTGCATGAGAGGCTTCATTGCCCTTGTGCTCCGTTTTGTTGTAACCTCCCGATACTCGTAAATGGCTGTTGCGGTGGTCTCTGCCCAGCCAATGTCTACCACCAAAGCAGAGCGCAGTCCTGCCGCAGTTGCAGACATGGTCGCGCTCGAGAGAAGGGTGACGCTGGGGAAGCGCCAGCGATCGAACAATGTAGAAAGTAGCGAGGATAATAATGGGTGCGGCATGAGCGACGGGAGGGTCAGGACGAGACGAGAGGAACCGGCGTCGGTTAACAGGTGCTGGTTGTAGGTTTCGCGAAAGGCGCGTTCGATTTTATCCTCGACCAGACCCAGGTCGACATCTCGTAGATCGTGCCTCCACAGCTCATAGTCTCGTACCCAATCCTCCGCATTGACAGGTTGTGGCAGCGTTCCAACGCCAGAAGCTCCCTGAATCCAACCCCGGTAGTCTCCCACTCGTCTTGATTCTTCAGGGCCGAATCCCACCGTGCATACCGGACTGCCGTTGCCCTCAAAGCCTGCCCGAATCCAACGGGCACCTATCTCAAAAATGATCGCGTCGTCTTCGTTTCGGAAGGACGAGCCCGGCGATGTCGTGCTGGCGAACGATGCGTTGCCCGATCGCTGCTGCTGCTGAGGTGTATGAGGGGAGGACGGTCGAGCGGTTTGGGAATGGCGTAGGTTGGAGGCTGCAGACATCGTGCGCTTGTTGTCACCAGTAGACGGCGTGGTACTCGCCATGTTATTTGGTGGAGACGTATTCGGGCGTTGCCCCTCGGAGCTACTGAAATCCGCAGCGGGAGAATCGCTTCAAAGACGCGCCGACCGAGCAAACAGTGCCATCTAAATTTTCTGTGTTACTCCGAGAGAATAATCTTTCATCAGGAAGTCAAGATTGAGCACAAATCTGAAGCGAAAGAGACGATCATGACGGCGAGGAACTGCACAGCTGGAAAGCACGGATCTACATCGGGCCGTGGTTTATTTACTCTCGTCAACACTCGACTCCTCCTTCCTCACCGTCTGTGCCAGCACCACATGGCTGTATCCCATTATTTCTGAGTCGGCGCCTTGCAGAAATTGAAGCTGGCCATATGGGTATCCCGGGGTACGTGCTATCTTCCAACTATTGGTTCGGGCGCAGGGATATATCGACGAAGGCTTCGCCGCGGGAATATAGCCTAGCAACGCCCGGTCCATGACAATATCGTCTCTTCTACCCCTGATACGAGACGTTTTTGCTAATTTTGGGACAGACTAATCAATGCCATTGGCACAGGAGAGCGTATCTCTCTGTCCAAGCTGGCTGTAAGCCACCTGGAGCGGACTGCAAGACCCATCCGAGTCGCGGTCGATATCTCGATTTGGCTGTTTCAAGTCCAAGCCGGTCGTGGCGGAAAGAACCCTGAGCTGCGGACTTTGTTCTTTCGACTTCTGAAGCTTCTGTCACTGCCAGTTCACCCGCTCTTCGTCTACGATGGCCAACACAAGCCTCCATTTAAGAGGGGCAAAGCAGTGTCTGCCCGCAGTTACGGCAGTGCGCCAATCATCCGACGCTCCAGAGATCTGATTGAACGTTTCCGATTTCCGTGGCATGAAGCCCCCGGCGAGGCCGAAGCGGAGTGCGCGCGGCTGCAACGAGCTGGTATCGTTGATGCAGTCATGAGCAACGATGTTGACGCGTTGATGTTTGGATCCACGATGACGATCATGAATTTCTCGAAGGAGAGCGGAACCGGTACATCAGCATCGACACACGTTACTTGTTACCGCATGGGCAACGAGGGGCATGTTTCTAATGTTCCCCTGAGTCGAGCGGGAATGATTTTGTTTGCCATGCTCAGCGGAGGTGATTATTTGCCCTCAGGCGTTCCGAAGTGTGGGAGCAAATTGGCTGCACAGATTGCGAAAGCGCAATTTGGTGACGATCTGCTGAGAGAGATCTCATCTCAGTCGCCTGACCTGGACTCAAGATTGAACGAATGGCGGGAACGGCTGCAATTTGAGCTCGAGGAGAACGAGAGCGGTTGGTTCACGACGAAACACAAAGCCGTTCAAATCCCCGAGACTTTTCCTGACCGGGTGATTCTCAAGTACTATGCGGAGCCCATAGTGTCCACGGAAGATGAAATGGCAGCTCTAAGGCGTCGTTTGAGGCATGCTTGGGATTGCGAGATTGATCCTTCGGTGATTCGAAGCTTTGCTGCCGAGTACTTTGAGTGGAACTACCGCTCAGGTGCAAGGAAGGTTATCAAACTCCTTGCGGAACCTCTCATTTCCTACAGACTTCGTCTCCAGAGGCCTATAATGGGCTTGCAATCAGGGACTCTTGCTCCCGATTGTGATACACCCTGGATGCAAAAGATTCACAAAAGTCGTGCAAATTTCGGCACAGACGGCACTACCGAGCTTCAAATGGACATGCTTCCTATTGACGTTGTTGGTATCGACCTTTTGGCTGAAGAACCTAATCCGCCTCTTCCATCCCAAGAAACCATGCCATCGCAAAGCACGCACCACTCCGGCGATGAGGAAGACCCAGAGGTTGCCGCCGAGGCACCACCGCCCACTCCTTCGAAGTCTCGAGTAACGAAACGCTACAATCCGCTCGCCATTGAGAAGGTCTGGATCTTCGAGACTGTAGCCAGGCTGGGTGTTCCTGAAATTGTCAAGAAGTGGGGGGATGAGCAGGCTGCTAAGGCTGCCAAGGCTGCTGCCCCCAAACCCAAGAAGGCGACCACTCGACGCACAGAGCCCAAGAAGAAGGGGCCTATCGATCCTTCCATGATGCGGGGAAGCATCCTGAAGTATGGAACTCTTACGAAAGAAAGATCGGAGTTATCGTCTTCTGCAAAAACTCAGTTGCTAGAAGCTGCTACTTCTACTAAGCCTGCCAAAAATCAGCGCTCCCTGTTTCAAAGTATGACGCCCATTGATCCTGAGATGGATTCTTCTTCTCCGAGTATGTATTCACAGCATCAGGCTTCAGATCTGACGCCCTCCAAGTCACATAAGATGGCTGATCTTATTGGCACATTTTCCACGCCGCGCACAATGTCAACACCGACGGTCAAACGACACCCGATGGCCACTCAATCACGGATGCGAGCCCGAGCTGGCATTCTGGCAAGTACCGAAGGCGAGATTGAAGAGCCAACCATACCACTCGTCGATATTGTTGCCTCGCCGCAAGCCTTACCAAAAGGTATCAAATTCAGCCACTCCGTCTCAGGCGACGAGACTTCAACAACCACCGCCGAAGTAAGTAAAGAAGATCTTGCAACAGCATCGCTGTCATTTAAACAGCATCGGCATGGCCCCAAGAAACCAGTCAAGTCTCCACGTCCAACAGGGAAATCACACTTGATTGAAGATTTTGGAGAAGCCACTGGCTCGTTATCCCCGTCACTGAAGGACGTAAAAAAGGACACTCTCCAGCACTCGCCAGTTCGTTCTTTGCGTGTACCAGCTTCGTTAAAGGTGCCAGAACCTGAAGCCAGCCGTAGTCCTTCCAAGACCCCCAAGCCTGAGACTCTTGTTTCATCCGTGGCACCTGCGTCTTCCCATGGCCTCCCAGCAGACGTGAAAGGGATTGAGACTCTGCTAACGCAACCATCCGACTCTCCACCAAACACCCCCAAAAGGTCAAAAAGCAAGCCACGAGCCTGCACAAAAACAAAGGACCGGGAACCGGGGCCCACGCCAACCGCCGGCCATCTTGAAAACCTCACAACATCGAATGGCTTCTGGACGGTTGAGACTCTCAATCAATCCGAAGACGATTCTACCATCCCAAGAACAAGCCGTGCTGCGACCGTGAACAGCGCACAGCTTGGACAGAAAAAAGCCGACAAAAAGAAACGTGTTCCTCGCGTGAGCATCCTTGATTTGGTTTGAATACTTTACGATACCCTTTACCGTTGCTTGCATGTCTTTTGGAAATGGAATTTGGAGTTACGTGGGCAGGATACATACATCATATCAAGCACATATACTTTGGGAGGTGGGTGGCAGTTCTGCAGCGCGTTAAGCATACATTCGGCGTTATTCGCAGCTTTCATATAAATAATCCGGATTGAAAAATGTACTGCACAATTTCCAATAGCCTTTGAGAGCTTATTCTGCAGATGCTCTGCGCTCTCTCCGGCCTAGTTAGTCCTCCTGGGTCCGGTTTGTTCTAAGAATAGGTTCGATCCAAGGCGAATCCACTTGGAGGATGTTCCCCCCCCCCCCATAATACTTGACCAGCACTGGCCTTGTTTATTCCAAAACCCGCTTCAAAGCTTTCTATTTGGGTCTAATCTGGTATCCCTCCAGAATTCCAATGAAGGTCTTTGTCGGTGTGCTGGGCTGAATATATTTCCAGTACGAGCACAGTCCCAGAGACCTCTGTGACCACTGCACTATTTTTAAGACACATCAAATCGAAATACAACCTTCATCCGCAAAATATTGCCAGAAGCGGTAAAGTTGGCCGATTTCCCCACAAGCCGTGAGATCAAATCTCAGTTCGTCATCGTGTGCGGGGAGCTGTCAAGCGTGGGGAGAGCCTTCCTTTGGCTTATATATTGAAACGAATTCCCGGGAATCTTTAGTTTGACACCTAATCCGGGCCATAATGACACAAATACAACCCATGCAGCCAGAAACATATTACCTCCAAAAAAGCGAGTTCGTCCCGAACAATAGTGTCCCGGCTCTGATCTATCGCAATGTTCTTCCAAAGCCGTTGAATCCAGAATCTGCAAAGGCTCTTTGCGAAGGCAATCACTGGCAAAAAAGGGGTAGGTGATGAAGTCTCTGATATCAAATACATGAACTAATTCATTAGGGAGAATGGGGAGCTCTTTACATTGCTCATTTCCATCCCAACACACATGAATGCTACGGTATGTTTGAGCAATTTACTCTTGGCCATTACATACACTGATCTTTTTTGACGTGAAAGCTGTGTTTCAGGGCGGATCAAGACTGGCTCTAGGCCGTGAAAGACACGAAACGGCCACTGGAGGCGTGGAGGTAGATGTCAAGGCTGGCGATGTCATCGTGGTTCCAGCAGGTGTATCCCACCGATCTCTGAGTGCGTATGGGGATTATCGGTATATTGGAGTTTACCCCGAGGTATGTTTCCCGGTCGTCAATTGACCGTCGTTGCTACCCAGGGCTTACGAAACTAACGTGATGGCGATTCCAGGCCGCCCCAAAATGGCGCAACAACTACTGCAGGGGCAATGAAGACATGGAAACCCTGCGAGAAGAGATTGCTGGCGTCGATATTCCACAGCATGATCCGGTATACGGTCTTGATGGCCCTCTTGTGGATATTTGGAATGAAGCCTCGCGACAGAATAAGTTGTAGGACTGGTTGAACGGAATCAATACTGAGTTTCTGAAGTCCATTTTTCTCGAATATTTGAATCATCCATGAGGCATTTCGGTTATCCCACGGATTTTTAATTACCGAAGAGCGAGTTGTAAATTGTGAAACATTTGAATGGTGTAAATGGCATTCATTTATATCGTTGACATGCTAATAAAATCCATATTGTTCTCTTTTACAGCTTCTCGTTCATAAACTCCGAAACATTCTTAACAGCCAGATCGACATACTTGTCCTGGTCATAGAAGTCCATATGGGTTCCATTCGGAACAATCAGCTTCTTCGTGGCTCCTCCAATTAGCTTGTCAAGCTTCTCAGTGTGCCACAAAGAGCCCGCCTTCTCGCCCGCGATGAGCAAAGTAGGCCGTGTCAGGTAAAGATCCGCGAGGTGGAAAGCATCGAAGTTCAGCACAAGCGGGAAGCTCCGAATCAACATCTTGTTGCAAGCGCGAGGATGCTGGGCTCTCGGGGTGAGGTAGTAGTCGTGGGCCTCCCTCATATCAGCAGGAGTCTTGTCGTCCAGCTGAGGAGGCACGTAGGGTGCAGCCGCCGGCTCGGCTCCGTTGTTCTCAGCGGTGATTTGCTTAGCTGCCATGTCGAATGCTGCAACCTTTTGTTTCGGGTCCTCGTCGGCATCCCAGCCCAGACGTGCCGAGTCGCCAATGTTCACCATGCTGATCGTGGCGAGGACCTTCAAGCGGTGGTCTGCCTTGGCGGCGGCGGTGGCATATCCACCTCCTGCACAGATTCCGACGACGGCGATCTTGTCGGAGTCGACAAAGTCAAGTTTTTCCAGGTAGTCAGCGACACTCCAGACGTCGCTAACACGTTGCGATGGATCCTCCAGGAAGTGAGGCTCGCCGCCGCTCTCGCCTTGGTGGGAGGCATCGTAGCAGACGGTCACGAAGCCATTCTGGGCAAGCTTTTTTGCGTAAAGGCCTGCAGTCTGCTCCTTGACGCCACCGCCGGGGTGCACAATGATGAGAGCTGGGAATTTGGAGCCAGGTGTGGTGGGCTTGTGAATGAGGCCGGCCAGTTGGATGGGGCCCTTCTGGATGGTAATAGCAGACATGGTGAAACTAGGGATAAATTGAGATTGAATGGAAGATCTGAAGCACGGTGAAGTGCTGCTCGAACCATTTATATAGTCCCGCGCCGTAAACTTTAAGCAGCGACGTCACTCCGAAATCGATCCGCGAACCCGAACATTTTCGGACTTCACTACTTACCACTCTTTTCATTTCTCAGCGCACGAACATTAATTATCAAGGATTGTTAATTGACACTGCATTGATTACACGCATACCCAGTCTTAGTCCCACCCGTAAACATATTCAATCCGGGGCCGAGGTGTTCCTTCAGCCCATCAAGGAATCAAAGGCCAACGACTCCACACGGGTAAAAATGGATCTCCACTACATAAATCAACGTTAATTTCCTACTGTAGCATGTCAAGTATTCAAGGTAAATTCAATATGGAGTATATCAAAGACATATGCCCAGCTCAATAGCTACAAAATGTGCACCCAAAATCGCAAGAGAAGAGAGAATATAATAAATCGGCAAGAAAACACGGACTTTGCGCTCTGTCTAAGCCAGAACCAGATCTGATGCAGTGTCATGCCCGAAAGGTGAAGCATCCAATCATCTAAACATTGAAACACCCAACATAGGAAAAGAATGTGCGTGCTGTACCTGATTATGAACTTAACCAAAGACTTTCAGGAATCCCCAAAGTCCAAGGCCACTGAGGACGGGGATCGTCAGGTTGTCGTCCCAGTTCCACAGGTCAATGAACTCGCTGCCAGCGGCAATAACGCCAGAAACGACGCTCATGACACCGAGAGCCAATGGCCCAGTGATCGTGGTGGAAGACGAGTCACCGGTCCAGCCCAGAAGACCCCGGACACAGTCCGGAAGAAGATTCAGTCGACCGGTGAACATAAAGGAACCTTCTGGGTCATTTGGGAAGGTGCCAATGTAAGGCACGAACCAACCCCAGAAGGCCGCGGCCGTGGCAACGCCGACAGCCCAGGCGGCTAGGGTTCCAGCCAGACTCTTCCCGGGTCGGAGCCGAGGTGTGTAGCGGCCGTAAAGACGGCCGAAAGTGGACGCGGCTGTGTCGCACCAGCTAAGAAGCAATACACCCATGACGCCAACATCCTTGGGGAAGAATCTTAGGACAACATATGCACCAAGAAGGTACCAAATCACACCATTGTAACCGGAGACCTCGCTCTCGCGCATAAGAGCGCCCAGGCAGCGCGTGTAGAGCTTGTTGACTTTCTCCGAACGGTGGCGGACGATATCTGTAACTGCGATAGGGACCAGTGCAGAAAAGAGCACGGGGGTGATCTGCAACGTCTGGATACCCCGGCTGTAAAGGTGGAGAGTCAGAAACCCGATCGACACGTGCAGTAGTTTGCGGGGAATTTCATGGCGGTGAATGAAACTGCGATAACGGGTATGTAGAGGGATGATGCCGAGCGGTGATGGCGATCGCGAGATGTCACGCAAGGTCTCTGGGATCCTTAATGTCGGTAAGAGAAAGCCGTTCGAGGCGCTGCCGTTGGTGGACGGGGGCGAGGCCGGGATTTTCGGATTGGACCGACGTTGGGGCCGTCGTCGTCGCGTCGAGCCCGAGGGTGTAGACTCCGACTCTGGTACATCCTGTGTGTCTTCGGAGAGACGTTGTCGGCGCGCCGCTGACCGCGTCGTTGGTGCGAAATACCCATCACGTGCGTCAGATCTATCGGAGAGGGAGGGCGACGGAGAGATTACTCGCGGCGTCGCCGGGACCGAGGTTGGTGACGAGGGCATATCTGAAGCTCCCAGGGAGAATGGAGGGAGTGCTGGAGTCCGAATGAGGCCGAAAAAAGGCCTTTTGTAAGAATCCGCGCCGTCGGAGGCAAAGCTGCCGGGAATCAACGGCCTTGCTGACGACTCAATGATGGGCGATCGTGATATGCGCCGGCGCGTTATCGAGGATGGATTAGATGTGTGAAATGACAGATAAGGCGCATGGCATGCGCTCGTTAAAGATCAAAGAATAGAGGCAAACTCGCCAGGTCAACCGAGGCAGTGTTGGCGCGAAAGAGAAAAGTAGATCGCGATCTCCCCGTATCCGCCTAATGCCGCAGTCACGTGTCTCTATCTAATCGATAACGCATTTTTTTCGGCGCAATCTTCGGCGATTATCAGATCTCAGGTCGAGGCATTTTTCTGCCTGTATCTGCTGCAAATGGCGCCCAAGCCGTCTTCGTCCTCCCGGGCGTGGGATGGTCTCACGCCACCGCTATCGCAATGGACTCTCGATGCCGTAGCCTCTATGGGCTTCACGCGCATGACCCCAGTTCAGGCCTCCGCCATCCCTCTGTTTATGGCGCATAAGGATGTGGTCGTCGAGGCCGTAACAGGTAGTGGAAAAACTCTGTCATTCTTGGTTCCCGTGGTGGAGAAGCTTTTGCGCCTTGATGAACCCATCAAGAAGCATCATATCGGAGCTATCATTATCTCTCCGACAAGGTGAGTCTAGCTGCAAATTTCTGCTCTAGGCTTGTTGCTAATATCCTATCTAGAGAGCTTGCGTCCCAGATATACCAGGTCCTCTTGTCATTACTGGAATTCCACCCTGCGTCGGCCGCGGCCATCCACCCTCCCGAAGGCGATGCGCCTCGTCCCAAATCTTCGTCCTCGGTCTTGAAAGTGGTCCCACAACTCCTTTTGGGCGGCACGACGTCCCCGGCGGAGGACCTTAGCTCTTTCCTGAAGCGCTCGCCTAATGTGCTGGTTTCGACACCTGGAAGGTTGTTGGAGCTTCTTTCGTCACCTCATGTCCACTGCCCGCAATCATCCTTCGAAATGCTTGTTCTGGACGAGGCCGATAGACTTCTTGATCTCGGTTTCAAGGAGGACCTTCAAAATATTCTGCGCCATCTCCCTAAGCAGCGGAGAACGGGCTTGTTCAGTGCCAGCATCAGCGAGGCCGTTGATCAAATTGTCCGCGTGGGACTCCGCAACCCCGTCAAGATCGCCGTCAAAGTCAAAGGCGGGTCTGGCGTTGAAGATAAGCGTACACCGGCAAGGTATGTTCTGTAATGCTTGATTTATATGGTAAACGATACTAAAGATATGATCAGTCTGCAAATGACCTATCTTACAACACCGCCAGCCCATAAATTCTCTATCCTCAAGCATGTCCTTTCATCCGTCCAGCCCACTCCACAAAAAACAATATTTTTCGTGTCAACGTGCTCCAGTGTGGAGTATCTCGCCATGATTTTGCCAATCATCTTGGGAGACGAATTCCTCCTTGTCCCTCTCCATGGAAAGTATCCTGCCACCGTCCGCCAAAAGAACTTCACACGCTTCACAACTTCCACCACTCCATCTATCTTATTGACCACCGACGTTGCTTCCCGCGGACTGGACATCCCATCTGTTGATCTGGTTGTGCAAATCGATCCGCCGTCGGATCCCAAGACCTTCATTCACCGATGCGGCCGAGCAGGCCGTGCTGGACGCAGAGGTCTGAGTATTGTTCTTCTCCACCCCGGGCGGGAAGAAGACTATGTGTCGTTCCTCGAAGTGCGCAAGACTCCCGTTGCACCCTTCAGTCTCCCAGCTCCTCTTTCCGATGCGGACGCCGCGACCGCAACCCAAAAGGTCCGCTCGAATAATCTCAAAGACCGTGCCCACCACGACAAGGCCCAAAAGGCTTTTGTCAGCTGGCTACGCAGCTACAGCAAACACCAAGCGAGCAGTATCTTCCGCATATCAGACCTGGACTGGGAAGCTCTAGGCAAAGCTTGGGGCCTTCTCAGGCTACCCAGAATGCCCGAGTTGCGCAACTTCGCCGGGGATAAGATGCTGGGTGTCAGTGTCGACTGGGACACTTTCGCTTACAAGGATAAGCAGCGTGAGAAGCGGCGCAAGGAGGAAATGGAAGAGAAGGCTCAAGGAGGAGACAACCAGCAACAAGATTCCCGCAAACGACACGCGGGCGAGAGTGCTGCTTGGAGTCTCAACCAAGAATCTCGGGAAAAGAGGCTCAGGCGGAAGGAGACCTTGAAATCGCGGAAACAGAAGGAGAGGTGGGAAAAGCTGCCTGAGGAGGAGAAACAAAAGACTCGTGAGACGGAGCGGATGGTTGAGGAGATTCGCATCAAGAATGAGCAGGAACGGTTGTCCAGAAACCTTGCTGCTAAGGGAGATGCGGGTGGGGACGATGAGTTTCAGGGCTTCGATTAAACGTGTTGAAAGTCAGTCCATAAGAATATGAATATCCATTTCATTTCAATGATATTTAAGTACATCCCAAACTCCATGCTTCATATGTACTGAACAAACGCAAATCCCAAATCACGACCTGGCTTGTAATACATACAGCCAACGCCCATCATTTCCAACCAGGCATTCGAAATGCAACTTGAACGGTTTCTTTTTTCTTTTTTTGTTTTTTTCTGTTGGCGAAGTGGTACTGTCTGTCATGAGAACAAAAAATGTCGTAAATTAGCCCAGTGGGCTGGAATCGGTACTTGCACAAGATCATCATTAAATTGAGCTCAGAAAACCAGCTCTCCTCGCTGGAATTCTTCCCACATGGTCTGCCAAGCAGCAGCTGCCTCTACCTCCTTCTTTGGATCCACATTCTGGTTCACAAGATCAGCAGCAGCAGGATCGATGCCCAAAGTCTCAACAAGGCTGGCCGGTTCCGGCCATGGGAGCTGGGAGATCTCTCCACTTGGGCATACTTGACGCAGCCAATTAGCATCTTCGCCCGGGGTGGCAGGTTCAAGGGTGGTATCAATGGACATGGAGTCACTGTAAATGGCAGGAGAAGATGTCAACGCGCCCAGGTTGGAGGGAGTATTCAAGGTTGCGCCGAAATTTGATGGGGTGCCCGTTGTAACACCCAAGAAGGACGGCGAGGCGGTGGTGGCAGAGGCGATACTGCTCGCGAAAGGATGAGCCTCCCGAAGACGACTTGGAGTCTTGGGCTTGAATTGTTCAGCCTTGTTGCGAGCTCGGGTTAAGGGGGATGGACCATCGGCGGCGTCGTCGTCGGCGTCGGCGTCGGTGTCAGTATCAGTGTTTGGGGTTTCCCGGTCTTGGGTGGTGGCATCGGGGGGTTCGAGATTGTGAGGGGCGCCGGTAGGGGCGGTTTCACGAGATTCGGGGGCATCGTTGGAGTTCGGGGCGGTAACTTGAGATTCAACGTCGTCAGTATATGTTTGATCCTTGGGCTCCCTCGTGTAGGCATGATGAGTTCCGAGACTTCCATCACTTCTGACACGAACAAGGGGAGTATCTTCTGTCTCGGAGTATGTTCTGAATGTTCCGTCTGAGTAGGTAAAGTATAAGGGTTCGATCTTCATCCTGCCATTTTGCAGAAATCTGGCAGTGAACCGGCGTCTTTCTTCCAGGAGAGTTGGGCCGTAGTAGTGACCGTGACGATTCACAGATCTGTGGTAGCAATCCATATCGATACTCGCAAATATCGAGTGATCACGCATCATGACATTGGTGATGATTCCACCCCCATTCGTCCGAGCATATTGAGCGATAGCAAGGTGAATACGTCGCTCACGGATTTGCTTTTCATCAAGGTCTGCCCAAAAGTCCCAGTGCTCCCGCGGGGGCGAAGGAGTAAAGCCAGGACTCGGCCACTCAAGGGAATAAGGGGTCTCGAAGGTATTTCGTGTGCGGGGAGGAGTGGTGGGAACAAGGGGCAGTTCATCCGGCGGAGTCTCCTCTGCCAGAGAAGAACAAGAAGGAGCTTGATACGTACCAGAGGGTTTGAATTTGGAACCTGGACCTCGCTGGGTCTTGGGTGTGTTAAGCTGGTGTGTCTGGGTTGCACCAGTCGATTTGGGGGTGGTTTGAGCAAGGGCGGTTTGATCTGAGGAAGAGTGGGTGATCGGAGACGACTCCGCGCCAGACATCAAGCCACTTGAGTCGATTGGAGACAGATCAGGGGCAGTGTATGTGCCTCGGCGGTTAGGAACAAATCCAGGACGCCGCGAGGGAGACATAGAGCTGAGAGGAGCATTGGGAGTATTCGGTCGAGTGGTCGCACGCCGGCGCGGCTGCGATGCATCGACGCGCTGCTTCTTAGTGACAGGTTGAGCTGCTTCCTTTGCTTCAAGTGCAGCTAAACGTTTTTCTTCCTCATCCCACTCGGCGTCAGTGAAGTCAAAGTACTCCTCATCCATACCATAACTGCAACCCTTCGGGTTCGGGATCCTATCAGGCTCCTCACGCTTGCGCTTGAGCGGTTGATCCTCAGTGGAAGCAGGGGTAGCGTTATTGGGGGGAGATATAGCCTCATTGGGAGCAGAGATAGCAGCTTTATTGATAGTCTGCGTAGTGTCTGCAGTTTGGGAAGGCTGAGTCAGATGGGGGTTCGTTCCTCGCGCATAGCACCTCTTGAGCAGCTCTGCATCGTATGGACGAGGGAAGAGATCATATCGAAGCTCAGATGCAGCGGTAGGCTCTGGGCGAGGCTTGGGCGCAGCCACTGGACGATCGGTAGTTGAAATGCGACGAGGACGACGAGGGCGGGAAACGGGTAGGTCGTGAGGGAGAAAAGATGAACGAAAAGATGAGCGCCGGCGCCAGGTGTTGCGTGCAGGTAGAGGCGCAACGGCTTCAGGGGGCACCTCGGGCGCAGTCGCAGTAGCCAGGCTGATCTCGGCTGATGTGGTGGGTGCAGTAAATTGTTCGACGGCTTCGGCGGCTTCAACGGCTTCAGCAGCTAAAATATCAGAGTTAGCCACGAACCAAACATGACAAAAACAAGTAAGTGGAACGCACTTGACTGGGTTTCATCGGTCGGACGAGGAACAAGCCTCTCACGGATATTCGTCCATCTTCTAGAAACATTGTTGAAAATCCATCGCGACCAGCTGGGGGAAGCGTTAGGGCTTGCCGCAGGGTTTCCGACATGGGCAGCCGGAGGAGCTGTCATGGGAGTACTGGGCCGAACAGCCTCGGGAGTCGCAGGATTAGCAACGACAGATACATTCTCTTGGGTCTCTACAACCTGGTGACGGTCCTGCGCAGGAGCTTCTCCATCTGAATCATTCTGAGTCAAGAGATCAGGTAGGCGGTACAAGGTGCGATTGATGCGGCCACTGGCCTCGGTGCGACGAGTCTGGGAGATGTTCGAATAGGAACGGCGAATGGGAGTGGCTTTCTGCGGTCTCAAAACCTGAGAGCCCTCAGTAGCACGCTGAGAGGTCGAAGAACGGCGAGGGGGCGAGGTTCGGGGGGTCCGGCGGGCGAGGTTCCGGCCTGAGCGAATAGGGATCAGTACGATTTGGTCAATTGCGTTCCCTTGGCCGTCGCGGAATCCATGAATAATTGGGTTAATGGGAAAAGGGAGGTGATAAAATTCATCACGTTGATTCCGGGACAGGCGCTGGGCGGCCCAGTCGCGGAAACGCGATAACTTGTCGCAGATACCGGCAAGTCGCAGCTGTCGGTAGACGGGTCTCGTGATGCTGAGACGAAAGACATCAAGGGTGGGGATCCACTCACGTTGTGCAGCACCGGCACCGGCGCCATGCTCGACATCGCCAGTCTCGATGGAGGGGATCACGGAGGTAGGTTCGTCCTGCATTTCGCGGTCTTCGTGACTCTGTTCAGCCGCAAATTGATCAGCACTGAGTTCGGAATATGCGACGAGTAATTCCAATCCAATGGGAATGGCATCATGGTGAACATCCTGCATAAGGTCATCCGGGTGGTCGATCTCCATTGCAGAGTCCCCAATGTTGGCAACGGGAGATTGAGCCGAGGAGGCTGTCTCCGAGATGGTTGGCACAACATTTTCGACATCCTGCATCAGGTCGGCTGGGAGACGCCTCTCGACCGCAGGGTCCTCGGTGATTGTAACGATGGGGGTAACATGCTCGTCGTCAATCGCAACTTGGGGGGAGCCAACCATTTCGATGTCGTCCTGGCCGACTTCCTCGGCAGGTATGGAGGCCGCGTCCTTCTGCTCCGGCTCGGCAGATTTGGTAGGACGGCGGCTGCTCTTCTCGGACTTTTCAAATGCCTTATTAGTCGTGGCATTACCCTTTTGTTGTTCTCTTCACGTACCTTTTTGCCGCGGGTACTCTTGGCACGAGTTCTCCGGGTCTTCGGGGTTGGCTTCAGCTTTGCAGCCTCCACCGCACCCAAGCCGGGCTCGGCGTCCTGCGGCTGGGCAGACACGCTGCGCGTGCTGCGGCGGCGTGGGGCAGGGACATCGTCGAGCGAGACGAGCCCGCCAGGCGAGACGGGGTGGGAACGGGTACGCATTGCTGCGCACTCACAACCAACCGGTCTCGGAGGGTTGGGGTTGGGGTGCCCTTGTGGGCGAACGGGGGTGTCGCTGGGAAGCGAGTGGGACACAAGCAGGCGGGATCAGAACGAGATCTGATCAAAAAGCGTGTTTGCGAAAGGTGGGGAAAGGAAAAAAATAGAAGGAGGACGAGAGAGAAGGAAGGGGAATTTATAGTCGGGCCGGGGGTGCTTGTTTACGTCCGCGGGGGCAGTGTGTCAGGCGTGATACACTTGGTGAGGAAGGTGCGCGAGAGCTAATGCTCTCACTTCAGGAAGGTGCGATGGGCGCGCTCACCTGCTGAACGAGCTCACTTCGACGTGATCCAAAAATGTCGACTGGCGATGGGCAGAATACCGCGAATCGGCCAGGCGGTGAGAGCTCGGTTCCTCAGGCAAAACAATAGTGTCGGGCTGCAGTAGAGGTCGGATATATTGATCATCAGATATGGATATTTCTTATAATAAGGCCTCCCTAAAAATGGTCAGGTTCAGGGAGATAGCAATACAGAGTTCTTTTCACTTCTGATTGGCCGATTCATTACGCACTCCGATAAATAGTCATCCTGTCGGCTTTTACTTTACGATAGGAACCTACCGTGGAAGTATGGGAACGTAGCGCCTTGGTAGTATATAGTTGGTAAACCATCATACTAAATCCCCCAGCATCGGCAGTTGAAGGGACCGGAAAATCGCATCACAACATGTATAATTTATGACAGACAATGCCTCCGGTGGTACTTTACGCTTACCTGTGTAGTATGCGAGATGGGATAGTTGCCGGTGAATCATAAACAGGTTTGGGAGTTCAGTTACAAACTGACATAGGATCAAATACGAGATCGAAGAGAATGAAATGCTATTTGTACACATGATTCCGATCTTTCCAGACAAATTAGTCTCGAAGTCTCAGATCAGGATAGTTGAACCGGCAAGTTCCTGAGCCAGGCCTGGCTGGTTCAAAATAAACACGCTGATGCTCAATTCAAGACACCGGAGAAGAGGTTGAGAGTCCGGTAGAGATCCCGTCCTACCGGGAGCCAAGCGAAATATTCTAGATGGCAATTTCCCCCTTCCATGCGGCCTCTGATAAGCCGAGTGTCTCCATCAAGTTCTGCCATCTCGGACCTCCTCGTTCTTTCCTGCGAACGTACTGAAGCAGCTTCTGTCGCTTGTGTACAAGGAGCTGTAGGTTGCGCTTGTTGTGCTTGTCTTTGTTGGTGGTCTTCAAGTGTCGAGACAGGTTCTGAATCTTGACAGTCAGGATAGCAACCTGGACCTCTGGGGAGCCAGTATCCGGACCGATGCGAGGCGCCTTCTCTGGGTAAACGGGTGCGGACTCATGCGGCATACCGGCGGGTTTGGGTGGTAGAAATGAGTCGGTGTTGTGTCGGCCGAATTGGTCAATGCACTTCTGTACATTCAACCGAAGGCGGTCCTTTGTGTTTCCATTGCTCAGGCTCACGATGCGCTGTATGGCTTCCTCTGCATTTCTGTGCTGCTGCTGATGTAACTCTGCCGCCTCCTTCTCCAGCTGGGGATCTGCTGTATCACGATCGGGATTTTGGAGCGGCTGGGTAAGATCCTTCGAGAACTGCAGCGCACTGCTAAGCCCATCCGGCTTCAAGTAGTAGTTGATATCAGTACTAGCAGCTGGAATTTGCGCGCCAGTCTGGATTGACTGAATCTCCTGGATAAAAGGTGTCGGCTTGCTTTCCACGGGGTGGCCGAGCGAGGCTTCCCGTTCCGCCTGGAGAACCTTTTGTCGAGAGAGATTGGCTGCCTTCCGTTGGCGGGCCTGTGCAATCATGAAGAAGTCATGCTTTTTCGGCGACTTGGCCTTCGTGGATGCCGCTCGCGCAGTGATGGTGGTTCCGTTTGACAGGGTGAACGGGGTCTGTCCGGAGAGCGTGCCTGTACCAGGTTCTATCAGCATTCGAGCGCGAATGATATAGCTGATCATTAACTAAAATGGATCGAATCATACCTGTCAAGGCCTTCCAAGAAGGCTGGACTGAGAAACGCGGAGGCATGGTGGCCGGCTATGATCAATGGGCCTCCTATACCGTCTGCGAAGTTCTTCGCGATTAACTCTTTTGTCCGGGAAATCGTGTCGCCGGTCGGAATACACTAGTCCTATTTGGTCATTCTATCATGCCTCAGGCTAGAAACATTCGACACCTGAGGCCTGAATTTTGTTTATGTAATATATCCTGCCCTAGCCCTAACGCTCACAACCAGCAAGCGAAATTTTTCCGAGTTGCGGCGTGCGTTTCACGGTTCGGCTTCGATCTTTTCCCTCCATCACCACGACAAGAGCCAGACGATTGATTTCTCTAACCCATCAATCTATCAATCGCCCGCCATGGCCCCCTCCCAGCTCCCCCCGGTTTTCAACCCTACCCCCCAGGACATTGAGATGCTCCTGGCTGCTCAGTGCCACCTCGGTTCCAAGAACATCCAGGTGCACATGGAGCCCTACCTCTGGAAGACTCGCGCCGACGGTGTCAATGTCATCAACATTGGCAAGACCTGGTATGCAGCAGAAGATAATGACTATTCGTGGAATTCAAGTTACAGATTCTAATTTGCGATGCGATGGAACAGGGAGAAGATCGTCCTGGCCGCCCGTATCATCGCCGCCATCGACAACCCCGCCGATATCTGTGTGATCTCTGCCCGTCCCTACGGTCAGCGCTCCGTCCTGAAGTTCGCCGCTCACACCGGTGCCACTGCCATTGCTGGTCGTTTCACCCCCGGTAACTTCACCAACTACATCACCCGCTCTTTCAAGGAGCCCCGTCTCATCATCGTGACCGACCCCCGCACCGATGCCCAGGCCATCAAGGAGGCTTCTTACGTCAACATCCCCGTCATTGCCCTCTGCGACACTGACTCCCCCACCGACTTCGTCGATGTTGCTATCCCCACCAACAACAAGGGTCGTCACTCCATCGGTCTCGTCTGGTGGATGCTCGCCCGTGAGGTTCTCCGTCTCCGTGGCACCCTTGCCACCCGTGAGACCGAGTGGGACGCCGTTGTTGACCTCTACTTCTACCGCGACCCTGAGGCCGAGGAGAACAAGGAGATTGCCGATGAGACCAAGGTTCCCGGTGCTGATGAGATCGGCGCCGGTGCTGTCGAGTCCGGCTTCGTCGGTGACAACTGGGACGTCAACGCCCCTGGTGCCGGTGCCCCCGGCACTGCCTTCGCTGCCGCCAGCGCTGCTGTCGGTGCCACCAGCTGGGAGGCTGACGGTGCTGACTGGGCTGCCAGCTCCGCCCCCCAGGGTGGTGAATGGGCTGCTGAGGCCCCGGTCGCTGCCCCCGCCACCGAGGCTAAGTGGTAAATTCACTCGGTCTGAGACTAGGATAGTCGTTGAAAGGGGGGACGTATGACCTATACCCGAAAAGCCATGGCGATCCGGGATGTTGTGGCGATTTCCCGTGTTCCCAAGACACAGGAAACGAGAAAAATGCTCTTGTTTATTCTTTCACCTTCCGAAACCATTGACAACAATGGAATGCACCGTCTCTCTCAAATTCCCTTGACATGTCTATCCTAGTTTCTGTCCAATGTCCAAAAAAAGAAACTGAAAAACAGCAGAAGAAAAAAGAGCTTTCACCGGGAACCTTTCAAGTCCTTTTGCATCAGTGATCTCTTGCCAGCACTTTATTTTGATTTCCATGTTTTCGCACCGGGGAGGAATAGCAACGTCAATTATTGACTGGCGCTTATGAGGGAAAGATATCCAGTTGTGTTCTGCAACTGCGAGGAAAGCCCTGTGCTATCAATCTACAAGGTTGGCTTAATCGTGACCTTGGTTTCTCCCTGTATGTATCTTCTAGTAATCAGAAAAGGTCGTGCTCGGTATTCGCAGTGTTGATCACGTAGAACAAGCCCCCGTAAGTTTAGGAGGAAAGCGAAGATGTTTCCCGGGCACAGTATATGTTACGCTGTAGGTCGTGCCCTATGCCTTGGTGACGTTACATACTCTGTCGTGGTAGAAACAAGATATCGTTATCCTCGTAAAGTTGAAGCTACCTAAAAAGAAAAGAAACCCAGAAAATACTCAAAGGATTGTACAGGCACCAGCGGTCTGTCCACCTTTCTCTGTAGTGGTCATCCCCGCAAGCCTCGCCAAATCTTCAAATGTCTCTATTAGAAGTTCGCCCGTCACGGCCGAACACTCGGCATACCTATCACACCGGAGTTCTTGGGCGATGCGGTAGGTCTGTACGGTGCTATCAGTCGACATGTCTAGAGTAGCATCGGGTCACCGTCACGTACCTCTTGTGGATAAATGATGCCCTCGCCTTGCTTTCTCAGATCACGTTTTAGGCCAAGCAGCATAACAGGTATACGCTCGCCTTGTCCATGTTGGAAATACCGAATAATATCATTTCGCCACTGATTGCGCGTACTGTTAGCTAGGTATTCTGGACCAGAGATACAAGGAACCTACCCCTCTGAGCCCGGCCAAAGTCTCTCGATTGGAAATATCGAAGGCTAGCACAACCACGTCCGGTTGTAGGCTTGACCAGTGCTGATTGGGATTCGATGTGTCATAAAGCTCCAAAGTAAACTTTCTCTTCGAGAACCGAATATCATAGATGAAAGGCTGGTCAGTGTCTCGCAGGAGGGTGGTTGGGCTATCCGGCGCGGTGCCGGGTTGTGGTGTCGGCCTCTTTCCACTTTTCAGACGGCTGTAGCAATATATATCAGCGTTGCCCTAGCTTGACGCCACCTGCACTTATCGTTTCAATTGAAAGGGATGTGGAGATGCAGAGAAAGCACAAACTGACGATAAGAACGTGGACTTCCCACATCCCGGGTCACCAAGGAGCAGCAACTTGACTGTCGTCTCTGTATCTTGGCTTTCTGTCTCGGCCATGCTATCCCTCCTGGTCTGTATGTGCAGTTCATCAAGACCGTAACATCACTATAATGTTGGGGCGTGCAGAAGTGCTGAGTTGTGAGGTCGAGATTACCGCGCGGGTCGATCTACACCGAGATATCTCGGGACCTCTTGAAAATATAAATCGTAGACAACGGCCACAAGTTTTTGTTCTTTTATCAATATTAAATCCACATATGTACGCAAATGCTCTCAAATTATGTGAAATTCTATCAATACAGAATATTACATGTCGTGCTTGACAGGAGAGGGGATATGGGGCCTAGAATTACAGTACAGAACCATAGAAATTACGACAATTACCAAAAGCTCCGCGGGACTTCAAATTTCCACCGCTAAACCATCCCGTCTCGACATTGCAGGAGCCATTTGCACTTCCAAGCTCCTCAGTGGCATGTGGAGGTCACCAGCCAGACTCTCTTTACCGAGTTATATACGACTATACGCCCTCAAGTCGCAAGCACGTTTCTTGAGCAATTGCCCACCAAGACTGCAAAACATGGCGGGCACCGGTGACGATGCACGCCCCGACTACACAACCTGGAGCAATTCCAGCTTGATTGACCGGATATCCGAGCTCGAGCGGCAACTGCATTCCCAGACTGCGCAGTACAACGCGCCCACAACAGCGGCCCCGGAAGTTGCATCCGGCGGCCCCATCTCTACCGACGTATACGAACCTGCGATTCCACTGGCCGAGTCTGCGACCCAGCTCCCGAAGAAGCGTGCGCGTTCGCCGGAAGTCGATATCACCCATACCCCCGCCCCTTCGCGAGCTCCTAAACAAGAGCGTGGTTTCGATCCGTCCAAATACTCGACGCGATACATTGCGCTAAAGTTCGCCTACCTGGGTCAACGGTACAATGGTCTCGAGCATACAAATGGGAATGCCACTCCCCTCCCGACCATTGAGGAGGTGTTGTGGAAGGCGATGCGCCGAACACGGCTGATCACACCCGAGACATCAACGGACGATGAACCAAATGATGTTGAACCGAGAGTATCACGGCCCTATTCTATCCACTGGGATGGATGTGATTACTCGAAGGCAGGAAGAACAGACCGTGGTGTGAGTGCATTTGGACAGGTTATCGGTGTAAGAGTCCGCAGCGCGCGGCCTAAGCCTAAACCCAAGTCCGCTACGGAGCAAGAAGGGGGCGATGCGATGCAGATCGAGGAGTCTGTGAGCCCGGACTGGGATGATGTGGCTGATGAACTGAACTACATACAACTCCTGAACAGGGTTCTGCCTGAAGATATCCGTGTTCTGGCCTGGTGTCCCCACCCTCCGCCTGGGTTTGATGCCCGCTTCTCCTGCCGTGAACGCCGATACCGATACTTCTTCACCCAGCCTGCATTCTCTCCTACCCCTGGCTCATTCGGCTTCGACGACCGCACAGGAAAAGCCAATGGCCCGCGTACAAAGTACCGCGAAGGCTGGCTGGATATCGAAGCGATGCGCGAAGCCGCCAAGCATTTTGAGGGAGTTCACGATTTCCGGAACTTCTGTAAGCTGGACACCAGCAAGCAGATTGAGAACTTCGAGCGCATCATCTATCACTCCGATATTGAGTTTGTAAACCCGAAGTCTAACCCATTGGGTTATATCGGTCGACCTGGATTCCAGGTGACAGAGGACCATGTCTCTGATGTAGACATGGAGCCTTCCGAAAACCCCTCTGTGTCCACTCCTCAAGTTTATTCATTCACACTGCATGGTTCCGCCTTCCTGTGGCACCAGGTCCGTCATATGGTAGCAGTTCTATTCTTGGTCGGACAAGGGCTTGAATCTCCGTCCATTGTCGCCGAGCTACTGGATATTGCCAAAAACCCACGGAAGCCGACATACGAGATGGCATCTGATGCTCCTCTGGTTCTGTGGGACTGTATCTTCCCTGACGAGAGCTCTGGTAGCCGGGAAGATTCTCTGGATTGGGTCTATGCCGGTGACCCGCGCCTGAACAAGACCCAAAGTGCTAAAGGAGATAGCAAGTTTGGCATGAAAGGCGTGGTTGATGGGTTGTGGTCTGTTTGGAGACAGCGCAAGATCGATGAGATCCTGGCCGGTGCACTACTGGATTTGACAGTCAGCCAGGGCAATCAAAGCCAGGTGCAGAACCTTGAAGGAAAACAGGGCAGTGGCAAAAAGCAGAGTAGAGGTGTCAAGGTCTGGTATGGAGCGAATGAGGCTCGCCTCGGCGGGAAGTATGTCCCTATTTCGCAAAAGGTCAAAACGGACCCTGTGGAGGTCCAGAACGCCAGATGGCTGGTCTCCAAAGAGCGCAAAATAGCTGCAAAGGAGCAAGAGGCTGCATCGAAGAACGAGAGTGTTTGAGAGATGAATGTACATACTCATTATATTGGACATGAGCAACGGCTTTCCCCCGGTGTATCATGACTTTGCATCATAGAGACAACGCCGAGAACCTCTCCATACTTCTTCTAAAATCTCTCGCTTTGGTAGCATTTGCTAAGTTGGAAACCGAGTTAGCCCAGAACCTACGCAGGGTGACAGAGAACCTACCGGGAAGACCACCAAGACGTCGGGCTCGCCTTCTACAATGACCGCCAGATAGAATCGAACCTCAAAGCCCTTGAAGGCTTCATGAATGATGATATCTTGAATCTGCGTGGTAGGAATGAACCTGGTCGCGGCTGTCGAAAGATAGGTGGAGGATGAGGTGGAAGTTTGGATACCGAAGCCGCGGATAACCAGGAGCGATTCCTCTGCATAACAGGGATTAGATTGTCTCAAGCAGCAAATAGTTCAACCATCATACCAGTATATCCTCTCCTGAAAACTCCGTAAATCACCACGGCGCTGATAACTGCGATTGCCCACGGGTTGTCGTAAGTATCCACCAGATCGCAGATCTTGGACCCGAGGGAAGTCGACCACACTTCCTGCCAAGGTATAAACCGACCATCCTGATAGAAGAACGCGTGTCGTAAACGCGTAGTTCCAACAATGATCACGCAGCAGAAGAGAATTGCGCGTAGGAGAACCTGGAGGCCAAAGAGGATCTTCGCGGGCGAACTGGAGCGCCTAGGCGCATTCGAGACGGTGAAGCTGACCGTGGTGGGAGAAGGCCGCTGGACTCTTAGGCGACCGGGCATTGCGAGGGAAGAGTGTGGAAAGCTTCACGGAAGAGCTCGAGTCGATTTAAGCTATCCGTTCGATCTTCCAGGGACAACGGAAAGAAGCTCGTCAGGGACCAAAGATCCCACTAGTTCTCTTTGGGTTTAGCTGCCAGCTGCGCTTCCCCGGTCACGTGCAGACCGCCTTCATTCTCCGTTGACATTGAGGCCGGCCAGTCGGGCACCAACATACCTCGCTCATTTCTCTATCTTCCACCATGGATGACCGAGCGCGAAGCCGGTCTCCTCGCCGACGGGATGACGGTGACCGAGATCGACCCAAGAAGTCCGGAGGCTTTCGATGGAAGGAAAAACGGCGCGACGACGATGACCGCGGCGATGATCGCAAGTTAGATCGAGGATATCGGGATCGAGGAGATCGGCCACGATCCCCACGGAAGGATCGCGATGGCGATCGATACGGAGAAAGATACAGGGACGGCGACCGTGACCGTGATCGTGACCGCGATCGCCGGCGCGATGATCGAGATGCACCGCGGGAAGACCGCGAGAAAAAGAAGGAGAAGAAAGAGAAGAAGGAAAAGAAGCCGGTCATGCCCCAGTCATCAGAGCCAATGATTGTCGTTCATGTCAACGACCGTCTGGGTACTAAGGCTGCGATTCCCTGTCTGGCCTCGGATCCTATTAGTTCGTATCCTCTTTTCTTGGTCGTGTTGCTGCAGCATACTGACTACTACCAGAGCTATTCAAGGCCCAAGTTGCCGCCCGCATCGGTCGCGAACCCCACGAAATTCTCCTCAAACGCCAAGGCGAACGCCCATTCAAGGATCAGTTGACGCTGGAGGACTACGGCGTGAGCAACGGAGTACAGCTTGACTTGTGAGCCTCAACATTATCCCCATTTCGCAATATCGAAGAATACGGAAACTAACAACGATCTAGGGAAGTTGGAACTGGCGACTAAAGGAGTACGAATCCAGATCGAAATTCCAAGTGTGATTTCGGAGTGTTTTGCTACCGAACCGGAGCATGGGAGCGTTACGAAGCCTATTCATTTCAATGTGTTATTTCTTTTTTTTTCTCCAACGCCGCGCACCTGTATCTATGGGATAATGGAATGCTGCACTAAGCATGCACTTTTTACCTCGAGGTCTACCTACTAGTACCTAACGGGAAAAGTACTTGCTGACCATTTGCATATCCTGCACCGCCGTTTTCTGCCGGGTTGTGCCCGTCACCGCGGGGCCTCATGCGCACTATCCCCAATGCGGAACTATTTCGTGCCTGAGGCTGCCAACTGCAGCCAACCCGAGGCCAAGACCCGTTCCACTCTCCAAAAGAGGCTTTTTTTCTAACGCGGGACTCACACGAGCTTCGATTCGTTTTTTCTAGATCGTCCTTCCGTGTCGTTTGCCTTGACCCTCGTGTCTGCGTCATGAAGTAGTCGCCCTGCTCTCCACTCTTGACTTATTGCCTCCTTCGTCCGCTCTTCTCTTACCTTTGTCCGATATCGCCCCAGATTTTCTCTCTCTCCGCCAGATCCCTCGACCTCCTCCGTACGATCCAGCGTTTTCCTCTCACACACAAACACAAATCACCTCGAAGCCATTGAACCAGAACTCTCAGAAACCATGGTCCGCAATCTCGTCGTCATCGGTGGTACATCCCACCCGCAGTTGACTCAGAGCATCTGCAGTGTCCTGGGCATCCCACCCGCGGACGTCCTGTTAACCAAGTTCGCCGTGGGCGAGACCCGGGTGGAGATCCAAGAGTCTGTCCGTGGAAAAGACGTCTACATCATCCAGTCCGGAGGCGGCAAGGTCAATGACCACCTGCTGGAGCTCCTCATCACCATCTCCGCCTGCAAGACCGCATCGGCCCGACGAGTGACGGCCGTCCTTCCTCTGTTCCCCTACTCTCGCCAGAGCGATATACCTTACGATAAGACTGGCGCTCCTCTCGTCAAGTCGTCCGTGCCGAACCGGCCCAACAACGGCTACACCTTTGAAAGCACCCCGCCTACCCCGGGCCTGGGCGCCAAAGCGGATGGTCTCGGTTTGAACGGAATCGACAACCTCCAGAAGAGCCTCGCCAAGGCCCAGATCGAGGAAAGCAACGGTAGCCCCGTGAAGCGGCGTCCCGGGAATGGACTTCCACGCAGCGACACCGCCGATTCCCTCAAGTCCGTGGCAACGAACGGGGCTCCCGAAGACTCTGCAAGCTCTGCTTCCTCGAAGATCAATTCCTTCCAGCCTCGTCCTGGCTACAAGCAATGGGTCGCACAAGCAGGCACCCTGGTGGCTGACCTGCTTACCTGTGCCGGTGCCGATCACATCATCACCATGGATCTGCACGACGCCCAGTACCAGGGCTACTTCGATATCCCGGTCGACAACCTCTACGGCCGTCCTCTTCTGAAGAGCTACATCCAACGCAATATCCCCAACTACAAGCAGGCCGTCATCGTCAGCCCCGATGCTGGCGGTGCCAAGCGCGCCACCGCCATCGCTGATCAAATGGGCATGGAATTCGCCCTCATCCACAAGGTTCGTCTCGCTTTACCTCTCAAATCGTGCGATAACCCAAACGGATCATCTGACTCGTCTTCGCAGGAGCGACGCCCCACAAAGATTACTGACCGCCAGAATGCGACCATGATGCTGGTTGGCGACGTCCGTGATCGGATAACTATCCTGATTGACGATTTGGCTGACACCTCTAACACAATTACCCGGGCTGCCAAGTTGTTGAAGAAGGAGGGCGCCTCCCAGGTCTATGCTCTGCTCACCCATGGAATCCTTAGCGGCGATGCCATCGAGCGCATCAACGCCAGTGCCCTTGACAAGGTAGTGGTGACCAACAGCGTCGACCAGGGTGACCACCTGCGCCGATGCCCAAAGCTGGAGGTGCTGGAGGTTGGCCACGTTTTCGCCGAGGTGAGTTACATTCGTCCAATTTACCCGCACCACATGCTGACCGCTTCTACTAGGCAATCCGCCGCGTTCACCACGGTGAGAGTATCAGCGTTCTGTTCCAGTATGACTGAGCTGCTTCCGATGATTTGGAAAGAAAATAAAAAAGAGCTGGATCCCATATCCCAATCTGGCATCCACAATGAATTTCTTTGGATTTAATACGGCGTTGTTGATGCGAACTTCTTCTTCGCAATGTTCTACCTACCTGAAATTTCCAATATATAGAACTACGGTCAGAGTAGACTTGGTACACCGAGAGCGTTTTGTGTATTTCTCATTATCCGTCGCTCTGTTGCTTTGGCTGGCTTCCAAGTTTCCCTGTTTTATCTAGCTTTCTCTGCCATCATATGCACATACAACCCTGAATTGAAAATTCAAACATGTCCATCACCTTTCTCCGCCTTTCTCGTGTCTCACGTATTTTGAATTACCCCGGTTGGCCTGTGTACAGCTTGTTAGGCTCTAGCAGGGCCCTGACGTTTGAGAGGCTCGTGGGTAATTTTCAGGGATATGTATACCAAGACGTTCATCTAGTTGAAGAATTTTGCTCTTCTATATCACAATGGGAGATCACGAAGATAGCCGAACGCCTCAAATCGAAAAGCCAAGGAAGCCGAAACCAGATGTGACCATTGCCCCGGCCTGGGGAGGTGATGCGCTCACTTTCAATACAAAAAAAACAAACTGGGTACTCGATACAACAAAATTGGCAGAAGCAATATCGCTCAGCCAGAGGGTTAGGTACAAAGAAGTGGGAGGAACGAGGTCATGAGGTGTGTGTGCGTCTAGAAGACAGAGATGAAGTTTCCGATTCTCTCCTTCTGGTTCTGGGCGATGCATTCCGAGATCCAGGTGACGTTGCGGATTTCCTATCGGATTGTCAGTTAAGTGTTTCTACTCATGGATACTCTTGTGGCGGTCTTACCTGCTCCTTGAGTTTCATCCACGCGTATACCACCGCTGGGGTGAACTGACGGGTGAAGACCAACTTCGACATCTCCATCTCCTTCTGGTAGAAAAGATCCTCCAGGCTCTTTCCGTCGGCCGGGCCTCCACCCATACCGCCAAGGCCACCACCCTGGTTCAGACCTACGGCGTCAAAGAATGACTTGTAGTCAGCATTGGCGCTCACGGCCAATGCCACACCCTCGACATCCTCAGCCCGAGAGAGCATCAAGCTCCCCTCAGGGTAAAGCTTGCCAAATTCGGGGTACAATTTCCTTCGCTCAGGTTTGGAGAGCTCGGTGCCGAAAGAGTTGAGGGTAATGTTGATGGAGCGGCGGTCGGCCTCGAACTGAAGGATCTCGGACATGACATCCTGTGTCGGGCCAGAGAAATCGGGGTGGGTATTTATGAAGTTGTAGAAATCCTCCAGGTAGTTCTTAAACAGGGTGTTACGGACGATCTCAATGTTCAGCTCGTCCAGGTCCTGGTGGCTCAGACTGCTCTTGAAATAGGCGGCAAGAGGAGTCTCAATGAGCACTGAGTTGTACAGCTCCTCGATGTTGGTTGCCACGCACAGTACGGGCAGTGTCTCAAACCAGCCCAGCGGGTGGCATCGCTCCAAAAGTTCCCGAGTGTCGCGCTCGTGCAGGGTGCCTGTAATCAGGAGGGCAATGTTGTCGATCATATACCCGTAGGTCAGGTACTCGAGAAACTTGGCGGTTGATCCAGTGGATTGTGCGGTCAGGTAACGGAACTCAGCGACCAGCTTGTCGGTCATCTTGCCTGCGAGGGCGGAGGTGGAGGGGTTGGGGGGAAGAGCGGCCAGGAAGTCGCCGTAGGCAGGGCCCAGCTGGAGCTTCACATCTGTGAGATCATTTGTTAGACATTCCTCCCCACCATCTAGATGTCAAGCAGTATGTACCGTCAATGGTCTCGCATTGTGTCAAGTTGGAGTAGTTCTGGCCGGTCAGAAGGCTGTTCCGATACCCTCGGACGATGCCCTCAACGTATCTGGACAACGGTTAGACTGAGGTAATTCCACGATGGTCGGTAGCAGCCTACCCGGCATTAACATTAAAGAAGAGGCCCTCCATGGTGCTTGGAGTGGGAACAGATGAAACGGGGAGTCGCCAGCTACACTTGGAGCTCGATGTACCGGCGACGGGCTTAGTCAGAACGCACCGCCACAGCGTGGCTTGCCTATTGCACTCGAAAAAGTGACTTTTTCTTCCGTGCAAAATTTCTAGTTCTTCTCCAACGGTGATTGCGTCCACGGTCCACCCCTGCCTCTCCATTCTTTTGCATTTAGACCGGGGTCTTTTTCTTCTGTTGAAGTTTTGCATAACCTTCCACGCCGTGGTCTGCCCACCATGTCGCTTTTCCTCCTCACTGAGACCAGTGCGGGCTATGCCCTGCTGAAGGCCAAGGACAAGAAGCTCCTGAAGCGCAAGGACATCTCTGAGGATGCTTCCACTGCTGAGGGTGTCTCTGAAATGTATGTGCAGCTTTTCGTCGCCCTGAAAAAAGTTTTCAGGCGCGCAGCTAATCTGCTGCGCGGTCGCAAAAAAATTCGTTGCGGGCACACGATGCTAACCGACTCTGCAGGTTCAAGTTGAAGGGTTTCCAGAAGTTCGATAGCGCTGCCACTGCCGTAGAGGAGGCTGCCTCCATCATTGAGGGCAAGGTTACTCCCCGTCTGGCCTCCCTTCTCGATGGCATCAAGGACGAGAAGAAGGTCTCTCTCGCCGTTGCGGACGCTAAGCTCGGTATGTACAATTGAGTTGAATACGGCGTCACACCGCGAGTACAATTGGTCCTAACTGTCTTACAGGAAACGCCATTGGCAAGCTGCCCGGCTTCTCTATTGATCTGATTGCCGACTCGACCACCTCCGACGCCTTCCGTGCCATTCGTGAGCACCTCACCTCCCTCATCCCCGGTCTGGCTCCCAGTGACATGTCCGCCATGTCCCTCGGTCTTTCCCACTCTCTTGCCCGCCACAAGCTCAAGTTCTCCCCCGACAAGATCGATACCATGATCGTCCAGGCAATTGGCCTGCTGGACGACCTCGACAAGGAGCTCAACACCTACGCCATGCGCGTTAAGGAATGGTACGGCTGGCACTTCCCCGAGCTGGCCAAGATCCTCAACGACAACATTGCCTACTCTAAGCTCGTCCTGAAGATGGGCATGCGCACCAACTGGGAGACTGTCGATCTTTCTGAGATCCTGCCCGAGGAGATCGAGACTGCCGTCAAGTCTGCTGCTGATCGCTCCATGGGTACCGAGATCAGCGAGGAGGATTTGGAGAACATCCAGGCCCTGGCCACCCAGGTCGTCGAGTTCGCCGATTACCGCCAGCGTCTGGCCAGCTACCTCACCTCCCGCATGAACGCCATTGCTCCTAACCTGACTGCTCTTGTCGGTGAGCTCGTGGGTGCCCGCCTCATTGCCCACGCCGGTAGCTTGACCAGCCTTTCCAAGAGCCCCGCCTCTACCATCCAGATTCTGGGTGCCGAGAAGGCCCTGTTCCGTGCCTTGAAGACCAAGCACGACACTCCCAAGTACGGTCTGATCTACCACGCCTCTCTGATCGGCCAGGCCACCGGCCGCAACAAGGGCAAGATGGCCCGTATCCTCGCCGCCAAGGCCTCCCTGGGTATCCGTGTGGATTCCCTTGCCGAGTGGGCTGACGATGTCAACGAGGAGGAGAAGGCTGCTCTCGGTACCGAGGCCCGCTTCAACCTCGAGCGCAAGCTCGCTGCCATGGAGGGCAAGCCCATGAAGGCCCGTGGTGTGGCCATTGCCCCCAACGGCGCTGCCCAGCCCCAGAAGTTCGACCTCAAGGAGGCCCGCAAGTACAACCCCGACGCCGATGCTCTCGCTGATGAGGAGCCCGCGTCCGCCAAGAAGTCCAAGAAGGAGAAGAAGGACAAGAAGCTTGTTGAGGAGGTCGACGAGGAGATGGCTGATGCTGACTCTGACTCCGAGTCGGAGGCCACTGGTGAATCAGAGCTGGAGAAGCTTGCCGCGAAGGCTGGCCTCAGCGTCAAGCGTTACCAGCGCAAGCTCGAGCGGGGTGAGATCACTTTTGACAAGTCTGGAAACCCGTCATCCGTCAGCAAGAAGGACCTGAAGAAGGCCAAGAAGGAAGCCAAGAAGGCCGGCAAGGAGGACGGCAAGAAGCGCAAGCGTGACGACGACGGTGACGAGAAGAAGAAGAAGAAGAAGAGCAAGGGCGAGTAAATGTTTTCTTTCAAAAAGTTTCGCTATGTGACGGACAGCTTTTGCGGATCTGTATGATATCACTTTCTTTTTGTTTCGCGACCTGCTCGCATATGTTTGAGGGCATTTTCAAGGTTGATCTACGTGGTCTTTTACTGGCGCAGAGGTGCTTGATGGTACAAGGCAGTACAGTTTAGCTGAATAATTTTGTTCATACTTCAACATCTCTGTAGTTTCGTAATGTGTACTTCAGTCGTCACTGCATTGGGACTACAAGACTCGGAGCCTTCAATGGATATTTGGTGGGTGACCGCTGTTCACACCGCCTATTTCCATCGGCAGAACGAGCAATTTTCCGTCTGTTCGACTCAACGTCCCACCTTTCATATACCCACTAAATTACCACAATGAGGGTAAGATATCTGTTACAGAAGAGAGTGACACTGCTGACTTAATTCTGCAGATTCTTGATCCCCAATCTGCCGTTCTTACCAATATCGAGGTGTTGGCATACCTGAATGCCAACCCACCCCACCGGGTTCCCCCTCGGCCACCACATTTCCGAGGACAATGGGTCCCAAGCCCAGATCTGAGAGACCATAATACAGTAGTCAAAGAGGTGAGACATGCACTCGGTTGAACTCGTGTCTGCTCATGCAGAAACTAGCTGGAAACCCCATTCCTCCATACGGAACGTCCGCAGATTGCGACTTTCGTTCCAAGCAAGAACGCATGAGACCCAAAACTAACAGCACCGCATAGATTCACAACTACATCAGCCGCATCTCCCCACACCTGCTCAAATACCCACGCCATGCACCTCGCCCGTCCTCCTCCCAATCCCAGTCGCAAGCCGCTATGACCAGTACCATGAGACCAAGCGCCACAGAGCCAGATCCCTCTATCACCCCTCCAATCCCGTCCAATGAGCTCACTCCCATGGACCATGCTCTCCGTGATATCATCGCGAAACTACAGCCCTACGGACTCACGAAAGCCGAAGTGGTGATGATCCTGAACCTAGGCTTAGGTCTCACCAGTGCTGCGGATCCTCAGGACCGCAACGCAGAAGGCTACGTGAATGGTGATGGGGAGATGGAAGTTGATGAGGGGCATATGAACGGTGTGGATGCTGAAGGGGTGAATGGGGAGGAGAGTGAAGAGGATTATAGTGCGATGGCGTTGTTTGATACCGTGGTGGAGGAGCGTGAGGACCGTATTGCTGATGAGGATGTGCCAGTGATTCTGTCAATTATCAAGGAGACGCTGGCGGAGAATTATGGAGAGGGTCTGTGAGACGGAGACCTTAGGATTGGTGCTTTGGTGTTTATAAATGTTTTGATATCCCGAAGCGTAGCTTCAATTTTAGACTTGGAATTTGTCGGCTTTTTTTTGGCTGTGGGGTACCTTTCATGTAGGATGCTATTGGATCAATGCATTTGCATTGATAGGGTGATGCCTTACGTCTGCAGCGGTAAATGCAGGAGCGGGAAAGCAGACGCTGATCCATTAACAGCCTCATATCCGGTGTGCTGGGTCATAATCACAGCTTTATTAGCATACGGATGGAGCAGTCTCTTCAAGGGAGAAAAAGCAGTCTATGTGCCTCAATTTTATGATAATCAACTCAATGAAAACTGGCATCTATCTTGCACCGATCTACGGTGCAACCTCAACATCCAAACCCCATGGCATGGGCACATACACGAGATGGGGCTCCAAACATAATCAGTGGTATCAAACAGGAAAAAGACCCCGGCATCGGGTGCCAGGACAACGAATGTATGCAAGTCTCTCCGGACCAAATCAATAGAGATCGATCATGTAGGGAGTGGGACATAGAACTGGGCTTGCAGTTCTAATATAAAAGGGAGGGCGTTGAAAGGGAAGACGGCTTGCATCTAAGGTTTTTTAACCTCCTCTTCGGGCTCTTTTCCATAGATTAGGTTCCCCCATTGGTTATAGACCGGCTTGTCCGGATCACCGTTTTCTTTCGCCCAAGGGCCCAAGTCATCATCAAAGAGGTCTCGTTCCTGGCCTTCACAGATATCAGAGAGGGTAATCCAGTTCTCGTCGTCGGTCCAGATCCCGCCATGTCCGCCGCGCATGTCCCACCATTCTTGGCCACCCAGAAGCGCAGATTGCGCGGCGTCGAAGCCGCGTGCGGAACGGACGTATCTCCGGAGTAGGGCGCGTGCCCAGGGGAAGAACCACATCTTCTGCCACCATGTATCGCGGAGTTTCGGGTCCCCGTTGAGATGTGCGAGGACCGGGATGGTGGCAGAGTGGCCGTTGGTCATTAGAGGCACGCTGTGCCAGGAGTGGGTCTCTGAATTGGGCAGCTTGTCGAGAGTAGCGTCCCAAGTAGGGTGTGTCGTTTGCTGTTTGGCAAATCGGGATTGGTTGAAGGGACCTGGGAGAGCCGCAATATCGTCCGGAAGGAGAAGACGAGACTCGCGAGGAACAGCCATCTCCATCTGCAGACGCTCGGATTTGGTGACGTTGTTGTACTTGAGCCATTCAACATCATTTCTGGACATGATCTGATTGAAGAATAGCTTGGATTCGTAGTCCACGCCAATGCCGTACTCGTAGCGATGTCCTGTCTCGAGTCGCAAAGTAATGCCTGTGATGTTGACAGCATCTCCGATGCCCAGGAGATCGTAGACCCATTCCTTGGCCCAATTGGCGGTACGGCGTCGCTCCAGTTCTCTCACCACTTCCTGTCGTCCAAATATTTGCGTGAGAGCCTGGTAGTCACCATGCTTCTTATGGTGCTGATCAATCACCCGAAGGACCTCGTCATAGATAAGTCTCAGATCAGCAGCCTGGCCAATTACGGCTCCCGGGTTCAACCATCGAGGCCGGTTCAAAGTTCCATCATGGAATATATCCGTCTTCCATCCATACACATCCGGAGGGAGAGAAGACTCGGGAACGGAGATGCAGCCGGGATCATTTTCCAAGCCTCTATAGCATATTTTACTGGCACCGAAAAGAACCCGCTGAGAGTACTTCTGCACCAGCTCCGCTGGAGCACCCGGAGTGCTCTGAACTTCGGCGAAACCATATTTCCTCCGTAATTTCTGGTTATTCGTGCGCAGTATATCCTGGAACCGTTCAACCAGAATCTGCGGAGGTAGCTGGAAGAACACATCCAGAGCATCTACAACCAACACAAAGTCTTGATCCTTGATGGTTTTGCTGTTCTTGAGATAATTTCGCACTCGGGTGATCCGGTCAACCATGCGCTCGAACTCCGTCTCACCGGGCTTTTCGTGTCCGTATCCGAGCAATGTTGGAGGCGGATATCCCAGAATCATGGCAGATGTCAACGTTCGACAGACACCGCGAGCTTGCGAGGGGAGAAAGGGGTTCTTCGGGGCCGGGACGAGGACATGGAGGTGCGGGTTGGTCTTCTCCAGGTCGTGCGGGAGAGTATCTTTAATCGAAATGTCTGACTTTTGAGGAAGAACGACCTGCGCATCTTCCGGGATCTCAGGGAAAGGGTGGCGCGATGGGAACTTGGTCCAGAATGCGGGATCGGGTTGCTGTTCAATCACCGTTAGCCGGGTTCCCCAATCGAGACATGTCGCAGCCAGGTCGGGAAAGATCATCACTCACCCTTGACGATGACGAGAACATATACAGGAAGAAGAAAAACGCAAGGGCAGAGATGGCGATCGCCTTGGCTCGCTGGGATCGCGGCCGGTGGTGATAGACCTGCCGTAGAAGCGTCAAGGCCGCTGATTTGGCCTCGCCGAAATTAGACGGGCTCCAGGAGGCCATTCTGAGCTTGGATTAGACGACAGACGGGGTCGGAGGCAGGCTGGACATGGTGCGCGCTGAGGTCCAGGATGTTTCGAGATATTTAAAGGCCACGCGGGAACTACGCAATCGAAGGTGGAGCTGGAAACCCTGCCGATCGCCGTAGCCCGTTTCCGGAACTCGAGGGAACCCCTGCACGCAGCCCATGGATCTTGCTGGTAATGTTTATGTTCTTGTTTAGTACATTGATGGTATAGTACAAATGCTACTCCAGGTAAATCTCCTCGCGCAGTCGCTGCAGATTGCGGAATAGTCCGCCCGCGGGGGCGCCACTATCGCTATCGCGCCGTTGCTCCCGCGCTCTGGGCCCGCGTTGGCTCTGCTCAGCCATTGCCTGTTGATGTTCCAGCACTCGCCGTCGCTCGTCCACGACCCTGCCCAAGGCATCCACAAACCGAGTGCGCGCTTTCTCTTCGGCAGATCCCTTCCATACCGCTGCCAATGTCCGCAATGTCTCCAGGCGACGTGTAGCGGCTTCCAACCCACTTTGCCCACCGCCCTCGCTCTCCAGCAGCTCTGATATCTCGTTGCGTAGCTTCTTCATACTTTCCTGTCCCTTCTGCTCCTGATCTTGCCCTTCAGGCCCCATCTCGGGACCGGAAACCGAGATGAAGGAGGAAGAGAATGAGACTTCGGATGGTGGAAGAGGCCATTCCATCGCGTCGCCGAAGGTTTGGACAACATCTTCTAATCGTGATCGGACTTGATTGAGTGTGCGCAGGTTGGTGATGAACTCTGGGTCGGTTGGGGCCTCTTGCTTTCGTTCCTCTGTGGCCCCGCCCTCTCCCTTGGTAGGCGTAGGGTCCTCGGCCCCTTCTTGTGCCGACTCTGCCTTGCGACCGGTAGCAGTAGCGTTCGAGCTCGATGTGTCCGGGACGAACTTGGCGATGTCGTCGCGCAGCACTTCTGTCAGGGTTTCCGATAACCCGATTGTCTCTCCTCGTAACACCTCCACTTCGTATGCTAGCCGTCCACCACTTCGGAGTATCTCATCGCTAAGCTGGGACAATGTACTCGAGAGGCGCACGTTCTGTGCACTGATCTGCGAGAGCAAGGACTGGACCTGGGCGGACAGCTCGGTCAGGGGTACGGAGCCGGGGGCTCGAGAAGCATTGGGCTGTAATGATGCCACAGTCAACGGCGACAGGGAGTCATTCAGGAAGTCGGCAGGGTCGAAGTTCGGGTCCGCGAAGTTGGGTGTCGTGTCGACCTGCGGATTGGCAGGTTTGGGTACAACTCGTGCTGTCGAGCTGTAGCCGTTCGAGGAAGCCATGAACGGCAATGTTTGTTCCTTGCCTTCAAGGGAGTGAACTGAGTCCTTGGAAAGGCGATTCACGACACCTGCCGAATGAGTCTGTGATTTGAGGCGGGAAGTCAATACTCCACGTTAGCTGCATATCGCCTCTCCACTTGCTCTCACCGCCTTGGGGTGCAGACAAGAAACTCGAGATACTCTTCATAGTAGCAACTAGATAGACTAAATATTTGGATTGTTATAAGACAGTTGCAAGGTTTATCATTTGCTCATGAGAGTGAAAACATTTGTTTTTGCTAGCGCTTTTTTGTGCTGAACGCAAGACGCTGTTTTGTGGTATAGCCTCCATATCATTACTTGGTCAGTGTTGTCTTGGAACCCCAATCGCTCTTCTTCATGAGTCTTCTATGAATATGACTATGTTACTCATATGATTGATAATCACGAATCTTAGAAAGTGGATACGGTCATCGTAATCAAAAGTCGATTGAAATTATGCTCGGAAGAGCCAATTAACTATGAACCATGCGCATATCAAAGACATAAAGCCAGGGGGTAATCATATCGCAAAAGAAGGTGGGTATCGTCATGGATTCAAATCACGTCCAACCATAGTACAAAACGTTGAATCCCGGAAGCACGACCGATAACGAGTACTGCTCGCCGGCTGCCGACTTCTCAGGGGCATTATAAGTCACAAACAGAAGTAGAAGAGGTCGTCACTTCAGAGCAAAGGCCGGATGACACCGACAACCGCGCTGCGCTTGACAGGCGAGACATCTAGATGTCCTCGACGATGCGAGCATTGATAGCACTTTGGAAACCGGCATCGATGTTGGGGTTCGGGGCTCCGCCGTAGGTGCTCGGGCCCTCGCCGGCATTCTCTGCGGCGGCCAATTGCTGCGACACGTTCGGAGCGGAGGGCATGAAGATCACCTTGCTGCCGGAGGTCTTCGCCATGGCCTGCATAGCCTCGAGGTAGCGGATCTGCATAGCAGGGGCGGAGGACAGGATGTCGGCAGCCTGGCGCATCAACTTGGCAGATTCGACCTCGGCGCGAGCAGCAATAACCTTGCTCTCACCGATACGCTTCGACTGAGCAGCCATGGAGAGCGATTCCTGCAGCTCGTTACTGAAAACGATGTCCTTGATAAGCATCGACTCGACCTGGACACCCCAGCCGACAGCCACCTCCTCAATAATCTCCGATGTGGACTGTGCGATCTCCTCACGACGTTCGATAACGTCCTGCAGAACGCGGGCACCAATCACATGGCGCAGGGTGGTCTGCGTACGCTCGACAAGCGCCTGCTTCATGTTGGAGATACCGAAGGCGGCCTTGTGCGGGGAGGTGACTTGGTAGTAGATGACGGAGGTCAAGTTGAGGGTGACATTGTCCTTGGTCATGCAGACCTGACGCGGCACTTCGGCGATCTGGATCTTGACGTCGACGGTGGTCAGGTGCTCGCTAAGCGGGTTCACCTTGACCAGACCGGGGTCGACGGAGCGTTCGAAGCTATAGATTGATTGTCAAGATTGATTATCCAGGAGAAAGGCGTAGCACATACCGTCCGAATCGCGAGACCAGACCGACCTGGCCCTGGGCCACGGGCTTGAATGGGTTAGGGCAGCATAAGCAGCAGGGGATAGCACCGCAGAAACCGATGCAATTTCCCAGGCTGTGGACTAAAGTAAAATCAAATTTAGAGTTGACGCGAAACGTATCAGAAGGAAGCCTTACTCATTTGCGCGTACCAGCCGTGCGCATCGGGGTTGTCCTCGTCGTGCTGGATGGTGGAGGCATATCGGGGCTGCAAATCAGCCAGACGAGCAGGCTGGACCTTGACCAGATGGCGATCATCTGGAAGGCGTGGGTTGGGGTCTTCGGCGGGAGCCTTGCTAGTACCAGCACCGTTGGCAGACATGGTTGAGATGGGTTGCGGGTGGTGAGAGGGATGCAGACGAGGGAATGAGATGGCGGAATGAGGGGGGAGGCGACAAGGTTTAAATACAAGTAAACAGTTGCTCCGAGATTAGCCTTGCTAGCTTTCTCCGCAGTGGGCAGTGGGTCTGGGAGGTTCCTTAGCCGAAGCTTTACGCCAATTGCAATTTCTCCGCATGAGGTCTCAAGACTGCCCTCTAAGCCTTCATGGCTGAGACTCGGGCGCGAATCCAATTTATGGGCGAATCCACCGGTTCGCCGTGGATTGGTCGCCCGGTTGCCGACTATCCGACCTACTCGATCCGTCATTGTAGGACTCACGGCTTCCCTATTGTAGCTTGATGGGCACACCGAAGTGTGTGTGATGCACCGCTACTCTTAAGGGTAACCACAGATCGAAGAAGTATTGCCTGGATGTAATCCTTCCGCCTCCATTCCTGGACTCTTCGCTGGCCTGCGATGTATCGATGTGGCATGCCAACCCCTTGTCCCAATCGGGCTATACGTGAACGAGAACGAGGGCCCGTGGACACGGGATATCCGGGCCATCGTCATACCGCACGTGAGGTTCCACAGTCTTCGAGATGATTTCTAGCCCATCATTTGAACAAGGGGGCTGTGAGGCAGGGTTTTCGGGCACCTCTGGGCGCTTTATTCATTTATTTCGTACTTTCTGTGTTACAAGTTTGAGTTCGGTGAGACACGAATCATAGCCACCGTGTACGGCGTTTGGACCGTGAAGGCTTTTTTGCTTCAGTAGATTCGTCCACTGCGCCCTGACGTCGAGACTTCCTCACTACTGCTGACGGATTCGCGGCCAACGTTGAACCACGGGTTACCTCCAGGCAGTCCTATGGGGCGCGGGCAGAGCTCGTAATTGAATGGGCACTTGTCCGTGGAACCTGAAGGCCGAGCTCGATGGGGCTCTTACTTTTTAGAATGACATTATTCAGATGATCAATCAGAGCGTGTGGAGTAGGCGTCAAACAAATATTGATGATTGACAGGGACTTTTTAACTGGCTATATACCATTACTGAGAGATTCTTAATAAGAACTAGCATCATTGGTCTAGTGGTAGAATTCGTCGTTGCCATCGACGAGGCCCGTGTTCGATTCACGGATGATGCAATTCAATGTCTTTTTTTGTTTTTCTGACATCAGTCACCCGTCAATCCTCGACGTTGAATTTGATAATTCAATTGATTATAATAGTAAATAAAATGCAGTCGATTCGGTACCTGTGCTACGTTGATCTTCTTTGGTTGGGTGGCTGAGGTGAACGACTATGTAGAGTTTCACGGTTGTAACATATTTAGGGCACCATCACAACACGGCGGCCCCAATGCTGACCCTGCAAAGTGAAATACCCCACTACTTAATGTACGTAGCAACCTCGTTGATAACAGTAGTCCTATTCGCAAAATCTCCCATCCGAGACAGCTGGCTATGATATAAACGCATCGATAAGTTGAAAGTTGCATTATATCTAGTAATCTCCGAGCCGAGCCATTTACGACGATAGTCTGAGGCACCACGACAAAACAGAAGTCTAAGAGTTGCTATTGCCAGATCACAAGCACGAGTGCTATCAGCTCCACCGATATTTGTGAGCAATTGTTAGCTTTGCAACCCCGACTTCTGCAGATGCTGACGCCATCAGTCTCCAAATTCACGTTTTCTCGATCCCGCACGCCACACGAAGCGATAATGACCTGCGGGGCTGACAGGAGGGGAACCGATGCAGAAACAATAAATTTGAAGAAAACGGGCCCGAGGAAGCTCCGGAGAACACGTCGAGCTCATTTCCACTCCTCTCACCTCTACAAGCTGCAATCATTGCGCGGCGCCTATAGATCACCATGTCAACAGACAAAAATCAACTCATTGTCAATGCGTTTGCAATGCATTCGCCCGGCTGCTTGAACCCAGGCCTCTTCCGTTACCCTGCAGACAAGGGTGCTAACTGCAAGGACATCAAACACTGGATCCCCCTCGAGCAGAAGCTCGAGAAAGCCAAGTTCCATGCAATCTTTTTCGCCGATGTTATCGGGGGCTACGACATCACAAGATCCTTGCAAATCTGGGCCCGACGATCCCTACCGCAGCCCAGTTCCCGATCAACGACCCCCTGTACAGCATTCCTGCCATGGCAGCTGCAACACAAAGCATCGGCTTCGGGCTGACCGCATCCACGACGTATGATTCGCCCTACGCTCTGGCCAGACGCTTCTCGACCATCGATCACCTTAGCAACGGGCGCATTGGATGGAACATCGTGACATCGTATCTTGATTCTGCGGCGCGCAACTTCGGCCTCGATACCCACATCGAGCACGATGAGCGGTGACCGGATCGTGGTCTCAGATTTGGAGTTGCGGGTCCTGACTGTATGCACGGAAAACGGGAGACGGAAGTCTAATCTCCGGCAACGCCAAGCTTATGACTCACTTAATTAAGCAACAATCAACAGGCGATGAGAAATCCGCAAAGACACCTGTCAATGCTTGAACTCTGCATATCTTGAAAGCTATTCGTTCTGTTCTGGGCCACCTTTGCTGCTACAATGGCTTCTTCCCCGCCAACCGCCACATTGACCCCGCGAACATGGACGCGAGACAACAGCCCATTTTTCATCTCAAACGACCCGAAGTTGATATCAGTAAAGGCTGTGAATGAAGCATTTGGTCAAGATTTCCTCTACTGGACCAAGCCATTCCCCGAGGATGTTCTTCACCAAATGCTTCATGGCTCTATGAGCTTCGGCGTGTACAGACGGCTCCAACCACAACAATCGCAGACAGAGCCTTTTACCTTGACCACCGAAAATACAGAGCAGATTGGACTTGCACGAATGATCACGGATGGGGCTTCCTTTGGATATCTTTCGGACACCTATGTTCTTCCTGAATACCAGGGACACGGACTGGGGAGGTGGCTTATCGACTGTGTTGCGGAGGTCTTTTCAAAAGAGAGCATGCCGTATATACGCCGAATCATGCTACTCACTAGTGAAGAGCGGCTGCAAGAGTTCTACGGTCAGGTGTTAGGTATGAAGGTAGTCGGACATGAGGAACGGCCGGATATTGGGAAAATTTTGGTCTACATGAATGCGAGACCTGCTTCTCGGCCGGCGTCTGATTGACGCAAGTATTTTCATCAACTGCCATTTAGTAAATCGGCTTCGAGGCATGAGAAAACATTGAGCTTTTTAGTTTACCATGGCAGCTGCAAAGGCGTCGGCAGGCCCTTCCCGAGGACAGCTTCGGCAGTTCCAATATCCCTGTAAAGTCGTTAGGATTCCCGTTGAACGAATAGAGAGGTCACATACCCAGGTCCTCGCGGTGCCCAAAACTCGCCTGTCTTGCTAATGTCGAACGTGTCAACAAACGACGCAAGTGACTGAGCTGCTTCATCCGGAGTTACAGCTGCAAACACGGAATGAGCCTAATTCTTGCATAGTTTCAGTATTTTTGAATGAATATCTTACCTCCGCCAGCATCCCAATACTTGTCGAAGCCAACGCTCTTCGTCATTTCCGTGCGCATGAAGCCCGGATGTACCAAGCCAACCGCGATTCCTTTGGGCTTCAGGTCCAGGCTCAGCAGCTTGCCAACCATGTTCAATGCAGACTTGCTAGCATGATGACCAAAGTTGCCTCCGCCTTCCTCCTCATGACGGAGAGTGATGCTGCCGCTTTCACTGCTGACGAGGATCACCTTACTGCTCTCGACCAGGAGGCCGGCCTTCACGAGATGGTGCACCACGAAGACAGGACCGACTGCTGATGTCGTGTACATGCGGACTTGTTTCTCCCAATCCGGAGAATCGAAGGATTCAAGGCCGAAGTATCCCGCCGTGATGATCACGGTCGAGAGCTTGGTAGACGGTGGTAGCTGTGAAACAATCTTTTGGCCCACGTTAGGTTGAGCGACGTCAATTTCAGTCAACCAAGTGATGGAAGAGGTCGTTTCGGGGGAAGAAGATCGCGTCGTTCCAAATACATGGTTGGAGGGCTCTTTCGAGTATAGAGCCCCAAGGGAAGCCCCTAAGCCTCGTGTCGCGCCCACGATCAGGATATTGTTAGGCATCGCGGTAAATATCGAGTATCAGTTATTGAAGACGATTTAATGGAGAGCTGTTTGGAATCAAGGAGAGCGTTTATCAAGATCATGTCAGTCCAAGCTGACGCAAGAAGAATGACGTAATTGTATGAAGTTTGCGCATAATTGGATGCGCATAATTGGGGGCACAAAGTGATGCAAGCCCGTTGGAACTTGAATTCAGTAGGAACGGATATATTCGACGAGGCAAACAAGTTTTGACTGTAGAAATCGTTGGAGTTCCCAGAGACGGAGCGATACTTTTGTATACTTTACGGGGACAAACTTGGGCCGTTCAAAACAATCCGTCGACGATCATCAACAGAGAAGTCAATTTCAGACGTCAATTAGTGCCATAGCTTCTATTTTGTCCACAGTCGCATCAGAACTTGACGATCCCATATCATATCAGCCTCTGCAACCGGGTTTGGTCTTTCAAAGATACTCTTTTGGCAAGACACCGGCCAATGTGAATGATGTCGGTCTGAGACACTGCGGGCCTCGGCCGTCCACCGATCCAAGAACTTTCATCGCATACGAATCAAATTATGTACATGGACGACTTTCAGTGGACCCCCAAAAGGCTCGAGAATAAATAGCATTCTTCCCCAGATTGAGGGCTGTGCCTTGAAGTGCTTAGTCAGGCGTGCGAAAGTCGAGCAGCGCCCTCCGAGCTCTCCAGTGAATCTCTCACTTAGCTTCCCACGCGGTGGTGTCTCACCGGTGTTGGTCAATTCATGTGGTCTCAAGCACCAGCATGAGTGGTTTCTCTAAGATCCTGCCATCCGTGCAAAAGTTCCGAGCTGCGATCTACCGGAAAAAGCGCGGCAGGGATAGATCCCAGCGCGACACCCCAGCATCCTCGTCCACCCTGGGGTAAGCCTCGTATCTCCTGCAGTCGAAGATAGACGCTGACTTTCCCTTGTGACTGTATAGTCTAGATAATGCCCTCTCTTCTCCTTCCTCCTTGTGTGATCTCCCGGTCGAGATTCAAATCACGATCTTCGCCCACTGCGGAACCGCCGACTATCTTCCGCTGAAACTTGTTTGTAAGGCCTTCAACCACACTGTCACCTCGAACGAACATGAAATTGTCCGACAATACCTTCGTCATCGTCGCCATGGTACCCTTCCATCGCCCATCGACGACGAACGGATCTATACCGGAAACCCGGAGGATGACGCGGTCCTTCTGTCGGACCTCTTCCCGCCCTCCAAAAGTGCCAGAGGCGGGCACCTCTACACTTTCAGATATCTTTATGGATTGCACCAGAGGCAGAAGCTATGCTCGAGGCTTTGCTTTTACCTCGCAGATCGGGTGATGGATCGATTCGTGCAGACAGAGCCCATCTTTTTGAGAACTTCCTTTCCGTCGAAGAGGGCCGAACGGTCAGCGCTGGTCAAACGTGGTAAAGTCAGTATATGGTTTCATCTGGCACCATCAATGTGAGTAAACCCTGACATTCTGTTTTGACGTGCTAGATGATCTGACCGGCGCTAGGTACTACACTTTATACTTCCTCGAGTCGTATGCGTCCGCGAGGCGCGAACAAACGAATGTACTCCTGCGGGAATACGAAGCCGGGCGTCTCGCGGTCCCAATCTCACTAGAGGCTCGCCAGCGAATGTATCGAGATCTGCAAACCCGCATTCTCCAAAATCCCCCTTTCACCAATACCGCGGCACTACTTGCCACACATCACTGTATGCATCTGCTGGTGATATACATACGGTACACGATGGCCCCCGAGGCAGAGATAGATGATTCTTGGATCAGCTCCCTCCTCACAGTGTCGCCATTCGCGCGCATTGTCGAGTTCTTCTCCGCAGAAATCGGAGATGGAGGCAACCAGCGGTTGCAGCGCAAGGACTTCATGTACAACTTCCACGCGGACATGAGGATGCATGAGCGCGATCACATGAATTCTACGATCTTTGGTCAGGCATCTAATCAAAGTATACATAGCTCGGTGCGCGATCTCTGGTTTGATGCGGCAAAGGCAGAACTGGAACTTAGACAGGCGCTTCCTCATGATCAAGAAATTGCCTGGTGCTGGAACGGCATCCCGATCTTGTTTGGATGCGGGAATTGCCAGCGTATAGACGGGTGGCAAGCATGATGCATTGACTTTCTTTTTTTTTGTGTTTTGTTTTTTTTGAAGCGGCGGCGATAGATATATACCTGGGCATCTTTCGTGGGAGTTCTTTGGAATTTAATAAACGATTTACTGAGATTTGCTTTCCATCGTAAACAACTCGCAGTGTGTAGATCCCCATTCGGGCGTTTGTTTTGTTTGCACCGGGCGCGTCGATATCATATCAGCGATGCAACACTTCGAAGCTTGGGATCTTGGGGGATTTTGACTTCTAATCAAAACAATATATCGAAGAGATATTCAGCCATGGAGCAAGTATCTCAGTGGCAGCTTTTCAATACGTCTTGGACACTGCACCGTCTGTCCCCTCTCCACCACGGAAAGGACTTCGAGATCCTCCTCGATAACCCAGCCGCCTTGAAAGCATATGCAACGCGATTGCGCGATCAGCTTACCGGCGATGTCCTCGCTGGTCTTCACGCGAGTGCAACCACAGCAGGAGATGACGCGCTGTCGAAGACGGGCGCACTTAAGGAGTGCCTTTGGCAGCCTATCTCTACCGGGTCGCAGAGCAGACGCACCGGTCCTTCATTTCCGGGAATCCTGGTGACTCTGGAATATGAAAACATCCTTTACAAGGCCGCTCTTCTGGCCGACGTGGAACCAGAAAGCCAGCGCGAAGGTTCCACATTTCTCCCTTTGCTCTTGACAAAATTGCCCAATGCGCTGCGACAGACCTTCATAACATTTCTATCTGCCAATTTCGACACCTACTGCTCAAACCTCCGCCTCCCGTCAAATTTCCTTTGCACGGGGCTGGAAACGTTTGTCGACGAGCTGCGCAGTGGACGAGGACCGAGCGGGCGCTCAGCTGGAAACGAGGCCATCGAAGAAGGGATCAAGGAACTACAACTCACGCTCGCATTCTCGCCCTCAATCGCGCCAGCATTAAGGTCACTTAATGTCAGCATTTCTCGAGCGTCTTTGATTGAGTTTTTGCGCGATGAAGCTTCCAAGTCTAAGCGCACGCTCAAACAGAAGCAGCGCAGCCCATTGATCAGGAACCTTACCGTTTACCTCGAAACACACCTGGCGATGCAGCTAGATCTGGATGGCTCGTCGCAGAACCACATGGCCAGGAAACATGTCCGGCTATCGAAGATTGCATGCGCTTCTTTTGTTCTGGGGAACGAAGGACGCATGAAGTTGGTTGTGGGCGCGGAGCCGGCCGAAGATGAGGAGTCGGTCGATCAGAGCTCGCCTGCTTTACGTGCAAGTGAAGCGCTGCTCCAGATGGCCATACGCAGGGCTATTATTGGCGACCAGACGGCTACATGAGGTGGTTCCTGATTATGTACAGTGTGAAATTGAAAGATCGAAACGACTCCAACGCCAGCAAATGGCAACCCCCTCGAACGACCGCGCTCTGGTGCGGGAAATCGGTCAGCTCAAGCTTGGGGGTTGAGCATCAAGTCCAACTACAGTCGCAATTACAGAAGCGATTGATGATATTCATCTGCCTCTGATAAACTTGCAGGGACATGGGACGCTGCCACGAATTAGACATCATGTTGGCTTGAGCAAAATGGGATGGGCTACACTACGGCAGACAGGAGAGACATGGCCCCGAAGGGGCCTCGGGTCCTACCAATCTGCCACATCTTCAAGGGGCTGCTTAGTTAGAGCCGTGATGGACAGCTACATGCGAACAGAAATGAGCTATGATCATCTAATTCAATTCAAGATAAATTTTATCGCTCAGTAACATGCTCAGCAGCGACCAAAAACCTACAGAAAACCACACTATGTACAGAGAAGCATCTCGATCATATAAAACAGGGCGTATTGTAGAAGACGGCTAAGTGGACAATCATAAACGTGAGTCATATCAGTCTAGAGTTCAGGCGTCTGGTCTTCCGTTTCCGCCAACCGAATTGCCTCATCAACACTAGGCACAAAATGGGCCAAGCCGCCGCATTCTTCGACGATGCCGCTTCGCTCGAACATACCGAATACCTTCGCGTTAGGCAATCGACAGAAGAAAACTCGGGTCCCCTTTTCTCTGTATGCAGACACGATCTCACAAAGAACCTGGGTTCCGGACCCGTCGATACTCGTGACACCATGCACGTCGAAAATAATATTTTTGTTATACTCCGGCGGGCGCACTCGAGGGAGGGATGGGTGAGCCCGACTGGTGCCGTAGAGCTCCAAGCGGCGAAGACGGCTCTTGAGGTCGCCTGTATTGGCGAAGGTAAGAGGTTCGGGGATCTTGATGATCAATGCGCCCTCAATGAGCTCGACGTTTGCGGGCTGAAGTTCGGCGTTTTCGAAGCGGGCTTCAGTGCCAGGAACCTTTCCTAGAATTTGGATGCGAGGCTGGGTGGAATGGCGGATGAGGATGATGACGGAGAGGCCAATGCCGAGAGCCATTCCGAGCTCAAGGGAGTAGAAGATAGTGGCGGTGAAAATGAGGAGCATGAGAATGAGCTCGGTCCATCCTCGGAGACGGAGGAAGAATATCAAGTCATGGGGGCACTCTTCAACGAGTGAGTATGCCACGACGGAGATCATTGAGCAAAGTACCGCTTTCTGTTGACCAGGGCTTAGCAGACGATCAGAAGACAAAGAATGATAAGGTAAACCAACCGGAAGATAATAGAGATATGGTAGGAGAACCAATATGCTCACTAGTGTGATGGCGCTGAGGAAAATGCTGCTCATCGGAGATCGTGCTCCCGTCTGTACATTGACCTTGCTTCGACCGTATCCACCAAAGGCTGGCAAGGACATGAAACAACCACCAACGAGATTGGCAACGCCCAGCGCTACCATTTCTCGATTCGCACTCATGTGCATGTCCTGGATGCCATCCGGTTTCCCGTCACCCAAACCCTTGGCTGCAATTGAAGACTCGAAGAAGCCAAGCAGGGTGATGATGAATGCCTTGCTCATGGCCGTGCGAATGTGCTTCATGTGTCCGAACTGGAACGGCCATTGGAAGGCAAATAGCCTGTTCGAACTGATTTCGGTATGTCCAAGCAGTTCGAGTCCCTTGTCTTCCCAGTTGAGACGCCATGCCAGGATTGCCGACAGGACAACAACTAGAAAACGATCCGGGAAGTAGACCACTTGAGGATAGCGCGGCAACATCCATTTTTTCAATGTCCTGAACAGCATGATAATTCCGAAACTGACCAGAGAGACGACTGATGTAAGTAGGTGGCTGTCTTGCGCATTGCGAAAAATGAACCCAAGCTTTCCAACCGTGGTGCCATGGCTGACACCGGAGTCCTTTGCCTTGTCCGCAAGTCCCAGTTCTGGGATCAGTTGGTCCACGAAGATCACAAAGCCGATGGCAGTGATGAATCCCCTCAGGAAGGGCCGGCTGAGCACATTATCCAGGAAGCCCAGTCGGGTCAACCCGGCAACCAGGATCATGGCACCGGTCATTGCAGTGGCTATTCCTATGACGATGGCACTTTCCATGCTGTTGTCATCGCCAGCTTCACTGCCACCGACACTGGCCTTGACAATAGCACCCGTGAGAAGCGAGCCAGCCGCCTCCGGTCCAACCACCAGAAGAGGGCAGCTGCCCAAGATGGCATAGATCAAAGGATGGATGACAAATGAATAGAGGCCGTTGACGGGAGGCGCATGGGCAAGGTTAGAGGCCAACGATAAAGCCATTGGGATGTAAATGGAAGAGACCGTCAGCGCAGCTATCAGATCTCCTCGAACGAACGACCAGCGATACTGTCTAATCCAGTTGAAAAGCGGAATGTAGTAGGAAATGTACCTGCAGGTATCCGTTAGTCTTCGGCTAGAGGCAGGCTACAAGGATGCTGGAATTTGGCATACTGCTTTTTAGACTCGTTCATTGACAGAGCCGAGAGAGACTTCATTTGCGACATGTACTCCGATTCTGCGCGAGACCCGGACAGATCGTCATGGAAATGGCCAGACGCCGCACCCGCATCTCCCACTCCAAGGTATCCATCACCGCCCGAATTTCCGAGGTACGAGTGTCTTTCTGCTCCCTCCGGCCGCGGAGAGAATGTACCATGACTGCAGCGCCTTTCACCACACACTGGACCCGAACGATCATAGGATTCCAGTAACCGAGTTCTCATGTCCGGCTCGCTTGTGATTCCAAGGCCCTGGGTGCCATTGGCACTGGACTCGAAGCCCGAGGGCGACTCCGAGCGGTTGTTCGAGCGAAACATTTCGACGAATCGGTTCTGTGGTTAGCGACGAGTATCCGAGTCCTGACAGAGCAGCGGACTGGATTCAGGAATGATTGTTTGCTCCAAGGGAATCAGATGAAATTCAGGTTCAAAGGAAAAGGCTACCAGGGCCCTCCATCGGTAACATCTGAGGCGGATGTCAAACAGGGACTGGGCGAGATTCGAGGCCGAAATTCCGGCCGTTTACCGACTAGCAAGGGCGGTAGCCGCTAGGGAATGATAAGCGCACCCAGTCAGAGCTTCGAATTAGTGGATACTTAGTGATCCGTTCCGGCAGATCGTCGATGCTGCTGTGCAAAGGAAATAGTCATAATCAAGGTAAAATGGCATGGCGAGATATAAGCCAAAAGCCTCTCTCTTGATTCGCCCGCGTAAACCACTCGCCGACGCTCGACTCGCGTGTTACGTAATTTCTCGTGCCGCGAGCTGTAGGCGGTGAGTCACATGACACCGTGCGATTTAGGTCACGTGAACACCGTCAATGTGGGTTTTGAGTCCGCCACAAAGTGATTTGAATCGATTGTGCTTCCGATCAAAGACCCTCTCCCCGGCCCCCTAATCCTCTCGTTCTGCTCCGAACCGACCTTTCAGGCTCGAGCATCCCGTCTTCTTTGGACTGCCGACTCATCAGTCCACTTTTCGCCCGAAATCTTGTCGCTGAAATTTACAGCGCAACCCCGCCAAGATGTCTTTAACAAATTGCCGATTCTACGAGGAGAAGTACCCTGAGGTGGACAGCTATGTCATGGTCAATGTCAAGCAGGTACGAGCGTTTGATGTATATCTGGCGGTTCTTGAACATGTCTAACGAATGATTTTTGGGCAGATCGCCGAGATGGGCGCGTACGTGAAGCTGCTTGAATACGACAACATCGACGGCATGATCCTGCTCTCCGAACTTTCGCGAAGACGTATTCGATCCATCCAGAAGCTTATCCGTATCGGACGCAACGAGGTCGTCATTGTGCTGCGTGTCGACAAGGAGAAGGGCAAGCGGACCCGTTATTAAGGATTGGAGACCTGGCAGCTGACTCATGGTCTTACAGGTTATATCGATCTGTCGAAGCGTCGTGTCTCGCCCGAGGATGTTGTCAAGTGTGAGGAGCGCTACAACAAGAGCAAGGCCGTGCACTCGATCATGCGCCACGTCGCGGAGGCGACCCAGACACCCCTTGAGACCCTCTACCAACAGATCGCCTGGCCCTTGGACCGGAAATTCGGCCACTCCCACGATGCGTTCAAGCTCGCTATTACGTATGTTCTGTGGCAAGGATACTTACTACTTGAAGGATGCCTCTGACATGAGTCTTGCAGCAACCCCGATATCTGGAACGATGTCGAGTTCCCCTCCGCACCCGTGAAGAAGGAGCTCCAGGACTACATCAGCAAGAAGCTTACCCCCCACCCAACTAAGGTCCGTGCCGATATCGAAGTCACCTGCTTCGGTTACGATGGAATCGACGCCGTCAAGGAGGCCCTCCGTACTGCCGAGGCGGACAACACCCCCGAGAACCAGATCAAGGTCAAGCTTGTGGCTCCTCCTCTGTACGTCCTGACCAGCCAATGTTTGGACAAGAACCTGGGTATCAAGATGCTGGAGGCCGCGATTGAGAAGATCGCAGTGAAGATCAAGGAGGCCAACGGTAACTGCTCCGTCAAGATGGCGCCCAAGGCCGTCACCGAGCACGACGACGCCATTCTCGCCGAGCTCATGGAGAAGCGCGAGCGGGAGAACCAGCAGGTCAGCGGAGACGAGGATGACTCGGAGAGCGACGCCGATGTTCCCGAGTAAATGGCGCATCGCATTTACGAAGCACGGGGTGCCTAGCGCTTCATCAGCGCTGGCGACAGGCGCAACCCTGCAAAGAGGAGGAAAATTGGGCAAAATTTGGATAGAGAAAAGCCATGCACATTACGCGATCATGAGAATGGACGGTTTGATGGCTCCATCTGTTGGTGGGTACGAATGCAGTCAGAAATTGCCTTTGTACCAAAGGACGGTCGCCTGCACCTCGGGCCTGGGGATGAATCTATCCATGCCGACGCAGGCGCTGTGTGCCAATTGGCGAAGTCCTTATGCTCCGGCCTGTTCACAGTGCTGGAGATGCCAAGGGCCAAGTTCTGATGTAAATATGTTGTGATGCAACCGAGACGTTCAATGCCAGTGATGCTTCTAGAGCCATTCATTTCCTAATCCCGAGCCCTTGTCCAAGGTGCACTCATCCCGATATTGTAATATAGCTGCGAGTATCAAGAAACGATAAGCGAAAAATAAAACCGGTAATCGCTTGATGGTGGGGAAACTCCGCGCTTGGACTTATCCGCCGATCTTTTCATCTCGATCGCTCCCTTGTTCCAAGGTCTCGGCACTGATTTCTCCCTGAACTTGACTCAATCTTCTGCGACTCGGTCAATTCAACATGGGACACTGGGGAGATATCTTCGGCTTCGATCGCCGCACAGTAAACCGCCGCTTTCAGGTAGAGCGTCGCCGGCGTACGTCATGATCAACGCAAGCTGTGTAACGTCACTAATAGCTTCTCAGTTCTCCCTGCGTTCGCTGCCGATGAGTTTCCATCTTCTGAGTCCTCGAAGGAAATTTCTAAGGTTGCTCTGCGTTTGAAATATCAAATTGAGCAGCTGGTCCCCTGCGAGGTCCAGGAGAGCGTGCTGACTGACCCTAACAGTCGCATTATCACAGAGGATGTGATCAAGACAGCCAAAAACGCCGGCGGTGAGGAACACAAGGCCTGCGTTGTCTATTGTCTTCTCACGTGTTTACGATGGTTTAAGATTCAGGCCTCTGTGGAGCTCTGGGATGCGGATCTCCACGGAGATCGAGCTGTAGCTTGCGAGGTCATTGCCAAGCGCATGTACGAGTTCCCCGCCGCAGACATAGATTCCGACGAGCAACCTTACTAATTTTCTATACAGCATCGATGGTGAGCAAGACCAGGACTATCTGCTCAAAAACATTCTCCTCAAGCGATACTCCATCTTTGTTGAAGGAGAAGAAACGGACCCGGCCAACGTTATCGAGAGCTCGGTGGACCTCAGCGCTCTGCGAGTTATCAGCTCAGCTGGATACCAGAAATGTATCTCGTACCTGTGGCAAGGCTGGATCTGCCAGGAAGAAGGCAATCCGACCAATTTCGTCGAGTACGGTGACAAGTCGAGCACCGATTACTGGACTCACTTCCACCCCGACCGGATGCGCACCCCTCTGTACCAGAACGTCTGCCAGATCTTGTTCTCTCTGATTTATCTTGCACTATACACGGCTGTGATCAATACTGTCAATCCAACTGGCGACCTTGATGTGGCCGAGTGCATTCTTTATACAATGACGCTTGCGTTCATTTGTGACGAAGGAGCCAAGGTCTGGAAAGTTGGTTTGAACTATCTTGAGTTCTGGAATGCCTTCAATTCGACTCTTTACGCGCTGCTGGCAATATCCTTCGTTATGCGCGTTGTTGCCTTGGCACATTTGCCCTCGAGTCAGGATGAAAAGCGGCATTTGTTCAATGAGCTGAGCTATAACTTCCTGGCCTTTGCCGGTCCGATGTTTTGGATGCGTATGATGCTCTACTTGGACTCTTTCCGCTTCTTCGGTGCCATGTTTGTGGTGTTGCGTGTCATGATGAAGGAGAGCATAATTTTCTTTGCTCTCCTGTTTGTGGTTCTGGTTGGTTTCTTCCAGGCTTTCATTGGAATGGCTCAAGTTGACTCCGATGTCGACATGACCCGCCCCATTATCCAGGGCATGGCGAACTCTGTGATGCAGAGCCCTGAATTTGGAACTTTCCAGGACTTTGCATTCCCCTTCGGCATCATTCTCTACTACATTTTCAACTTCGTTGTCATGATCGGTACGTTTATTTCACATGCGCATAGATGAAGCTATACTAATCCTTCATAGTGTTATTGAATATTCTGATTGCGCTGTACAACAGTGCGTATGAAGACATCTCCGGTAACGCCACCGATGAGTACATGGCCATCTTTGCCCAAAAGACCATGCAATTCGTTCGTGCCCCGGATGAGAATGTGTTCATTCCGCGTAAGTCACTGTCACCTTCCAATACATGTCACCAGCTAATTTCTACTTTTAAGCCTTCAACCTGATCGAAATACTGGGTCTTGTAGCTCCATTCGAATGGTGGCTTTCGCGAAAGCACTACGCCAAGCTTAACGACATCGTAATGGGTATCATTTACTCGCCTCTCCTCGTAATCACTGCTTGGCTTGAGACCCGTGAGGCCAGACAAATCCAATGGAACCGTCGTCACGGAGAGGAGGACGAGAACGACGCCCAGGAATGGGGACATGTGGCTGAGGACGTTGACTTTGATCTTGACGACAATTGGAAGGAAGAGGTCAAGCAGAGCACGCCTGATATGAAGGCTGATCCCTGCACAGCGGAGGTTCGGCAGCTGAAGGAACAGGTTGCCGCGCTGACGGAGATGGTGAAGAAACTGACTGAGAAAATGGATCCGGTGGATGGACTTTCTTGAGGGATAAAATGATTGGACTTGGGATATTTGGGAAGGAAGTGTGTAGAGCATCAACATCTGAGTACATATGCTGGCTGGATTGAATTAACGCATTGAATAAACCTCTGGATCCAACTATAAATTCCGAGCTCTAACTGCCAGTAACTTATACTGAAGGAATTGAATATTATTTCCATGGAGTTTCTAAGGGTTCTTTCTTATGCACCAGGGCAGTGAATGAGGAACAAGAAGAAAAGGAACGAGCACCCCCCAATATCCACACCCCACACCACCACCCATGCTCTCTCTCCCTTGGTCCAAAATGACCTAGTTTGTATGCTCGGACGTACTTGATTCTGAGGGAGAAGAAAACTCCGGGATGCTCTGATCTATTTACATTTCAAAGCTCCGTGAGTCATCGTTATCATACCGTAATGCGTCATGGAATCTATGCATGACTCATTCAGTGTACAAATTCAAATTATTGCACTGGAATTGAACCTTCATACTCACGGTAGTTGCAATCGAAAATGGCGCCAGGTCCATCTGTGCCTTTTGAAATAAAGTACGCCAATGCATCTGACCTAAGTGGACTCGTGAGCATTGAAATTCGCTATTTTCCCTCGTCCAATTATATGCGCAGCACATACAAGGGATGTGATCCATTGGTAGTTCACACATTCAAAACAGTCTCTTCCCTCGAGTATTTCGCCAAGTCCGAGTGCCATATTTTAGCGGGTATCGAGTCTAAAACCGGTGATATCATCGCATACAGCCGCTGGAATATACCAGCTATTTACGAGCTCGAAAGAGCCGTGGACACAAGTCTGAGCAACGATGCGCAAACACAAATGCAGAATATATGGGCGTATGCCCCAAAGTTGAACAAGGGTACCTACACGTTCTACGAGGAAATGATAAAGCGTAGTAGGAACATACATCTCAAGGAAACTGGTATTGGTTCGTCAACCCATTTTGCCACTCTACATGAAAATTTTGCAATATTGACTGCTAAAAATACTGCTAGTCCTTGAACTACTATGCGTCTTACCAGAGTACCAAAGAATGGGAATAGGAAGTGCGTTTCTCAAATGGGGTATCGAGAAAGCAGACGCCAGTAACGCCCGGATATATCTGGAATCTACGATGGAAGGAGTGCCAGCGTATTTGAAGCACGGGTGGAAGATCGTCGAGGAAATACAGCTGGATTACACGGAGCGTGGTGGAGAGGGAAGTCAAAAAGTTTGCATTGATGATCAGAGAGCCCCAGGAAACAGGGTTTTGACATAAGCCCGTTTTCTCTTTGTGTATAAAACGTACTTCCCACCCGCTCCGCTCACCCTATCCCATGGGGGGGGGGGTATAGGCACGCTGGTACCAAAAATGTCCAAAAAAGAAATATCTCAGGTTATATGTAGGAATAGCCGAACGCGGGGGTCGAACCCGCAACCTTGAGATTAAGAGTCTCACGCTCTACCGATTGAGCTAGCCCGGCAGGGCTTGGTGGAAGAATGAAGAAATTGTGGATTCATGAACCAGAGTCGGCTGTGAGGGCTCAGATCCACCTTACTAAGCCGTTAGCGCGTTCCGGGGGCGAACTCTGGAACCCGAAATTATATCCAACTGGCCTCTTCTCTGTGAGTAATCCATTCGTTGCGGCATCTTTATGCGTGTTTAGTGTGCCGTTTACTGGATCCCGTTTGTGGTCACCTCCGCTGCCACCATGTAAGTTTCTATGCCTGTTTCTCGACCTCCCCCAATGCCTCGACCATCCGCTAATCAGTATGTCAGGGCAAAACTCGCAGATGATCCCCAGATCCAACATGCGTCCCTGCATAATCCCCTCCCGCTTCAATTGCATACCTATGTCTGGCCGTTCCTGATTATCTGGCCCGTGTTCTTTGCCTTCTACCTTTCCCCTGAGCGCTATGATACCTACATTCAGGGCCAGGAATGGACCTTTGTCTTTGCGGGGTCCATCATCACCGTGCAGTCGCTGCTGTGGCTGATGACCAAGTGGAACATTAACATTAGCACTCTGTTCACCACCACCTCGGCGAATTCCGTTGATACTGCCCGCCTCATCAAGGTCATTCCCATTACCAACGCCGGTTCCGCCGAGATCTGTCCTTTGATCCGTGAAAACGCTGGTGGCAAGAAGACGCTCTCGTTCCTGTTCCAGAAGCGCCGCTTCCTATTCTACCCCGAAACCCGTTCCTTCGCGCCTCTGTCCTACGTTCTCGATGCGGAGCCCAAGCCCCCCCCTCAAGTACTTCCAGCAGAGCAAGGGTCTTACCACCAAGGCCGAGATCGAGCGCATCCAACACCACTACGGCGACAACACCTTTGACATCCCCGTTCCTACCTTCGTCGAGCTCTTCCAAGAGCATGCGGTGGCACCGTTCTTCGTGTTCCAGGTGTTCTGCGTTGGACTGTGGATGTTGGACGAATACTGGTATTACTCGTTGTTTACGCTGTTCATGCTCGTTGCTTTCGAGAGCACCGTGGTGTGGCAGCGCCAGAGAACCCTCAACGAGTTCCGTGGAATGAACATCAAGCCATACGATGTGTGGGTTTACCGCGAGAACAAGTGGCTGGAAATTACTAGCGACAAGCTTCTTCCCGGCGATCTGATGTCTGTCAATCGCACCAAGGAGGATGGCGGTGTTGCTTGTGACATTCTCCTCATTGAGGGGAGTGTTATCGTGAACGAAGCAATGCTCTCTGGTGAGAGTACCCCGCTTCTGAAGGACTCTGTTCAGCTTCGCCCTGGTGATGACCTGATTGAACCGGAAGCTCTGGACAAGAACTCGTTTGTGCATGGGGGTACCAAGGTCCTTCAGGTCACCCACCCCAACGGCACTGGAGATGAGTCACTGAGTAACCTGGCCGCTGGCATTACCGCTCCCCCCGACAATGGTGCTATCGGCGTGGTTGTCAAGACTGGCTTTGAAACCAGCCAGGGTAGCCTTGTGCGCACTATGATTTACTCCACCGAGCGTGTCTCCGCCAACAATGTCGAGGCTCTGTTGTTCATTCTTTTCCTCCTGATTTTCGCGATCGCTGCCTCGTGGTACGTGTGGAAGGAGGGTGTTTCCAAGGATCGTAAGCGATCCAAGCTTCTTCTGGACTGTGTCCTCATTGTCACGAGTGTTGTTCCCCCGGAGCTTCCCATGGAGCTAAGCTTGGCCGTAAACACAAGTCTTGCTGCCCTGAGCAAGTTTGCTATCTTCTGTACCGAGCCCTTCCGTATCCCCTTTGCTGGACGCGTGGATATTGCTTGCTTCGATAAGACTGGTACCCTGACTGGCGAGGACCTTCTCGTGGACGGTATTGCTGGTCTCACACTGGGACAGACGGGTGCTAAAGTTGAAGCTGATGGTGCTCACACTGATTTGGCAAAGACTGCGACTGTTGGTCCTGAAACTACTCTTGTGCTTGCCAGCGCCCACGCCCTGGTGAAGCTGGATGAGGGTGATGTCGTTGGTGACCCCATGGAGAAGGCTACTTTGGAGTGGCTTGGTTGGACTCTTGGCAAGAAGGACACCCTGAATAGCAAGGGCAATGCCCCTGTTATTTCCTCCCGCCCCGTCGAGTCTGTTCAGATCAAGAGAAGATTCCAGTTCTCCTCTGCCCTGAAGCGCCAGAGTACCATCGCCACTGTGACCACCAACGAACCCAAGACTTCGAAGAAGAGCAAAGCTACCTTTGTCGGTGTCAAGGGTGCTCCTGAGACTATCAGCACCATGCTTGTCAACCTGCCCTCTAACTACGAAGAGACATACAAGCACTTCACTCGCAATGGTGCCCGTGTTCTCGCTCTCGCCTACAAGTATCTCTCTACCGAGTCGGAGCTCTCTCAGAACCGCATCAACAACTACGTTCGTGAAGAGATTGAATCCGACCTGATCTTCGCTGGTTTCCTTGTCCTCCAGTGCCCTCTGAAGGATGATGCGATCAAGGCTGTCCGCATGCTCAATGAAAGCAGCCACCGTGTTGTCATGATTACCGGTGACAACCCGTTGACTGCTGTCCATGTTGCCCGTAAGGTTGAGATTGTGGACCGTGAAGTGGTTATTCTCGATGCTCCCGAGCACGATACCTCGGGAACTCGGGTTGTCTGGCGTACCATTGACGACAAGCTTAACATCGATGTTGACCCGACCAAGCCTTTGGACCCCGAGATTCTGCAGACCAAGGATATTTGTATCACCGGTTACGCTCTGGCCAAGTTCAAGGGCCAGAAGGCTCTGCCCGACCTGCTTCGCCACACCTGGGTGTATGCCCGCGTGTCTCCCAAGCAGAAGGAAGATATTCTGCTTGGCCTCAAGGATGCTGGCTACACTACCCTGATGTGCGGTGACGGTACCAACGATGTCGGTGCTCTGAAGCAGGCACACGTCGGCGTTGCCCTTCTGAACGGATCTCCCGATGACCTGACCAAGATTGCCGAGCACTACCGGACCACCAAGATGAAGGAGCTGTATGAGAAGCAGGTTGGCATGATGCAGAGATTCAACCAGCCCGCGCCTCCTGTGCCTCTGCCAATTGCTCACCTCTACCCTCCCGGTCCCTCCAATCCCCACTACCAGAAGGCCATCGAGCGAGAGGTGCAGAAGAAGGGTGCTGCCGCCGTAGCCGCTGCCAAGCCGGGTGAGGAGATTCCCACCATCACCTCGCCAGGTGCTCAGGCACTGCAGTCGTCCCAGGCCATGACTCCCCACCAGCAGAGACAGCAGCAGGTCCAAGCTGCCGCCGCCGGCTTTGCCGACAAGCTCACCTCTTCCATGTTGGAGCAGGAACTGGATGAGAGCGAGCCACCTACCATTAAGTTGGGTGACGCCTCCGTTGCTGCACCATTCACCAGCAAGCTGGCCAACGTCATTGCTATTCCGAACATTATTCGCCAGGGCCGTTGCACTTTGGTCGCGACGATCCAGATGTATAAAATTCTTGCTTTGAACTGTCTGATTAGTGCCTACAGTCTGAGTGTCATCTACTTGGATGGTATCAAGTTTGGTGACGGTCAGGTCACTATCAGCGGTATGCTGATGAGCGTTTGCTTCCTGTCTATCTCTCGTGCCAAGGTATGTCCCTACTCCCTACCTTTTCAAGTGTCGGTCATACTAATGATTCCCAGTCGGTCGAGGGTCTCTCCAAGGAGCGCCCGCAGCCAAACATCTTCAATGTGTATATCATCGGATCCGTTCTTGGACAGTTCGCTATCCACATTGTGACTTTGATCTACCTCTCCAACTACGTCTACTCCATTGAGCCGTATGTTATCCCCGCTTTAATGCCAGGTGTTGTTACTAACAAATGCAATAGGAGATCTGATAACGTCGACCTCGAGGGCGAGTTTGAGCCGTCTCTTCTGAACAGCGCCATCTACCTCCTCCAGCTGATCCAGCAAATCTCTACCTTCTCGATCAACTACCAGGGCCGTCCTTTCCGCGAGTCCATCCGCGAGAACAAGGCCATGTACTGGGGTCTGGTCGCCGCTTCGGGTGTTGCCTTCTCCTGCGCAACCGAGTTCGTCCCTGAGATCAACGAGAAACTGCGTCTGGTTCCTTTCAGCAACGAGTTTAAGCTCACGCTGACGGTACTGATGATCTTCGACTACGGCGGTTGCTGGTTGATCGAAACTGTCCTGAAGCATTTCTTCAGTGACTTCCGTCCCAAGGACATCGCTGTGCGTCGCCCTGATCAGCTGGCGCGCGAGATGGAGCGCAAGGCGAAGGAGCAGCAGGAGGCTGAAGCAGAGAAAGAGCAGCAGAGGAAGATGTAAGTGCCGTTAGAGTGCTCGTGGACTTGTATGTATACATAGATATGGAGATTGGTCCATAGAACTTGCACGAAATTTAATTCGTGAGTCTGTTGATGTTATAGTTTCTTGCCCCGCCTTTAGTCTGGGTAGATTGTGTGTAGTATGCTCCCTTTGATTGCGTGGGGATGGATGTACGTCCGGAACACCCGGGCCCAGTCTCTGGGGGCTGAGCAAAGCAGCTCGGAGGGCCAAATGAAGTCAATCGCAACTATGTTACAGCAAAGAGCTTCCCTCGTAGCAATTTACATATTCTCGTCACGCATGGATAACTTGGCCGTGAAATGGCGTCAAGAGTACCGCGTCGTGATGTAAAGTCGGGAGATCCACCAGGTAGAGAATGGAAGGAATCGATAGGTCGGCCACACGGAGTTTCTTCACTGTGATGTCAGGGTGCAAGATACCAAACTCGCCTTCGACTTCTATTTGATCCCAATTCGGCTTGCGATTTAAAGTGTTGATAATACCGAGTGTTCGAGCTCGGTCTCGATCTCTACAGAACAGCATCCCACTCGATCACCCCACTTGGCATGATCTCATCGCTTCGAAGATCTCTTTGCCAACATTGCCGTTCTGGACCTAATTATTTCCTCCCTACTCAGCGCGCAAACTTTGCAACGTTGCAAAATAGCAAAATGGCGACCAAGTACACTCTCCATTCTAAACACCGGATGCTATCGGGTCATGAGATCCCGGTCATTGGATACGGGGTACGTACTTCCATGCACCTGGATAAAGACTAGTGGCCTGTCGAGGACTGTTTCTTGACTTCTGGACATGGTATCACTCGATTGAACAAAGCTGACAACATGTCTTGGGTCTTGATAGTCCTATATGATGTGCGTATCAGATAGTTGTCCCGCATGAAACCCAACTAACAACGACAGCCCTCCGGCTACAACAGAAAAGGTTGTTGCAGAGGCAGTCAAGGTGGGATTCCGCCATGTAAGTCCCATGCCACTGGGCGTTTACTACGATCTAATCTTTCGCACCAGATTGACTCGGCCGTCATGTACGGAAACGAGAAGGCCTGTAGCCGGGCCATGCAGAACTCAGGCGTCGACCGTTCCGAACTGTTCTTCACGACCAAGATTCCCCCGGGATCAATGGGGTACTCGCAGACGAAGCGAGCAGTGGATTCCAGTCTGCGAGGCGCTGGGCAGGAATACTACGATCTGTACGTGTACATCTACCACTACTTCGCCGATCTAAATTAATCCCTTTTAGGATCCTTATCCATGCCCCCTACGGTGGCAAAGAAGCCCGACTAGGATCATGGAAGGCACTGGTTGAAGCCCAGAAAGCAGGCAAAACCAAGTCCATCGGTGTATCAAACTACGGTATCCATCACCTCGAAGAGCTTGAGGAGTACATCAAAGGCGGAGGCGGCGGCGAGATCTCCGTCGGCCAGTACGAATTGCACCCCTGGTTGGATCATTCCGATATCGCGACGTGGTTGCACAAGCGTAAGATCATCGTCGAAGCTTATTCGCCTCTCGCGCATGGCGAGCGACTTCGGGAGCCGGTGCTGAAGAATATCGGGAAGAAGTACGGCAAGAGCCCGGCTCAGGTTTTGATTCGGTGGAGTTTGCAGATGGTGAGTTTTTGTGTATCGGATGAAAGAGGACCCTGGGAGCGTGCTGATAGAATTAGGGATTCCTGCCTCTGCCCAAGTCCGTGACGCCGCAACGGATTAAAGAAAACACGGAGGTGTTTGACTTTGAGTTGTCGGCGGAGGATATGGAATTGCTGGACACCGGAGAGTATTGCCCGACTGACTGGGATCCGACCGTGGATGTGGATTAAAAATTGTTACATACCTTAGTGTTAGTGCAGACGGTAGAGCAAATTGCATAGATCGAAGGCCGTGGAGCCGTGGATTTGTCAGGGATTTGGAGGGGCCGTCGCGGGGTTTCGCGACTCGTCCTCTCCGAACACTTCTCTCTTTCGTAACCGCATGAGCGAGCCCTGCTATTCTGTCCTTCTCCACCGATCAACGCGATCATGAAGTTGATCCTCTCCACCTCGTAAGTGGTCCCCGTCCTGGAGAATCAACCCGGCTCGGCTGACTCGGATCGCAGAAATATCATGAAGGGCGGCCGGCCGTCCGTCATTCGGCAGCCTCCTACGCAAAAGTCCAACGTCGAACTGATCAACTCCTTACGCTCCAACTTTATCGCCTCCCAGCAAATCGATACCCCCAACGGCTCCACAAACGGCGACGCGAACGGGTCACAAACCTCGCGACAGGACTATAAGTCATGGACAAGTGAACAGGACGGGGCTCTCTATATCCCCGCGATTGATTTCTCGCAGCCCGGGCTCTCCGAGGAGCGGGATCAGTACGATATTACAGTGAAGCTGTTCTATCTGCCGGGAATCCCGGTATCGAGACGATGCGCACACACCCGAGAGGCGATTGACCTGGTATTGAAGGAACTACATGTGAAATCTATCGATCTGCTCATCGTGTCGTTCCCCGGGATCTTGTTCGATGCCGACGACGACAGCGAAGATGAGGAGGCCTCGACAAACGGGGAGCCGGATGACTTCGACAGTATGGTGCAGACATGGCGGGTGCTGGAGTTGTTGCACGAGCAGGGTATGATTGCACAGCTGGGCGTGGCCGAGTTCGGCAGCGAGCGACTGGCTCGTTTCCTCCCGCATACCAAGGTCAAGCCCTCTGTGGACCAGATCAATCTCAAAGACTGCTGTGTCGTGCCCAAGTCATTGATTCTTTATGCCAAGCAGGAGCACATCCAGCTCCTGACCCACAACGACTGCAACGATATTCTTCCAGTCGGCACAACGAGGGAGCTTCTTGGGCCCACGGAGCATGGTTCAGGGATCCTGGCTTCTGCCCCGGAGGCCGAGGATGGAATTCAAGGAGACGTCGAGCCGCAGTGGGTGGTGAAATACACAGCAGTGGTCAAGGATCGTGGAGTGGTTGAGAACAAGGGCTATTTTGCATTGGCGGACGTCGGCACATGCGTCAAGGACCGGGCGTAAAAGTTAGGAAAATGGTCGTCAAGCATTCATTCATGATTTCAGCGTGGCGTTTCGAGGCTCCAGATGAGACGAACTCCCAAATTAAAGGAATGCGTTCCTGCCGGACAATTGTATGCAAGAAGAAAACAAGCACTCTATCCAAGCATGCTCCGCTTGCGGCCTCGCAACCGCACATCCGCAAGCCTCTTGAGTGCAGAAGTAGCGCCCTTGTAGCTCTCCCGGTAGCCTTGCATCAAGGCCTCGAAGAGGGGTTCTGAGCGGGGATGTGTGCTGCCCATTGCCCGCTCCAGCACGTACAGATCCACCGCGCGGTCTTCGTCTTGCGCAGTCTGCGAGGCAAGTCCGAAATCAATGAGGACGACCTCTCCTTCCATGGAGACACCCGTAGGCCCAGGATCCGAGGACGTAGATGGTGATCGGAGCATAAGATTACTCGTCGTCAAATCACCGTGAACCACGCCAGCCTTGTGCAGTCCACCGAGGGCATGTCCCACGCGTCGCAGCAGCCCCCGCACTCGCTCCTCCTCCTGCTCGAGCTGGGACTGATCCAGCGAGGCACTGTTCTTCTTCATCCATGCTTCCCATTGCTCAAGGACGATGCGCACAACTGGTCCATCGATCCATTCCATGAGCAGCCAAGCTCCTCCCCAGCCGCCGTTCTCGCCGCCCTGTCCCTCCCAGTCCATCGAGAGCACGGCGGGGACACTGACGCCTTCCCGGACCAATTTCACCATGCATCGTGCTTCCTGGATGATTCGCTGCCGGGTCAAGCGACGATCGAGGATCGGGTGCCGATATGGTTTGGAGGGGCGGATCTTGAGAGCGGCCGGAATGGAGGGGTCGAGGGAGACGGTTTTGTAGACGTGGGCCTCGGCGCCCTGAGTGAGGAGCACGGGTGCCGGGCTGGTATTTGAGAAAGGCGACGGGAGCGCCGGAGGCTTATATTCGTCGGTCATTGTGGCGGACAAGGGATTGTGCGTGTTGTGCAGCTGGTTAGTACGAGACCCGGTGGGAAAAAGTTCCGCACGGAGATAGATGCCTTGGTGGGGCCAGAGGCACTCGCGACACGCTCTCCATTCGCGGGTCAACTTCTTTTCTCTAATCTGCTTTCTTCTATACTCTTATTTGACCCGACCAAGCCTAGGTAGGTATTGATGACATCTCATCACTGCCTTGCAGATACAAAAGGGTACTCTCGATCACCAATTGGAGTAGGTCCAGACCTCAATTGGACCTCTCACCGTGACATGGCACAATTGCATTCCCAGGCCTTGGCTGCAGATAAAGTTGCCATCGGCTGGGCCGTGTCAACAAATCAGAGAGGCCAGCGCGGGCATTTGCTGCAGCCCGGCAGGTTAAGCTCGTGAGATTGGAATTCATGATTCAAAAACGAGGCTGAGCACTGCCCTAGGATCGTCAAAGAGTCATGGGAGTTTTCTGACATGAAGTCATTCCCCAAGGCACCTTACGTCCCCCGTCAATGCCTGTGGAGATACCTCATAAGTGCCTAGGCACTGTAACCGACCTCACATCTACCATGGAAAGAGATACGGCCGTAGGGCCCATTCAATACCGAATATGATGACTACAGAAAAAGGGCAAACCAGGGAACGAAGGACCCGCGGCACAAAAATCATGTCCGCCCCGCCGTGATCAGCTCTAAGCCCCCCGATGGAGCCCAATAAAGCCCAATGGGAGCGATGAGTCACCGCGCAGTCCAACACGAAGGGTCGAGTCGGGGACCCAATGCGGTTTAGCGTAGGTCGGGGACTCCGAACGGGAAAGGCGTACAACGATGTGCGGGCGCATATACAACTGCTGTCCACCCTGCCTCAGGTTCTTTTCGATGTTCTTCTTCTTTTGACGGTCTTCGGATCATACTCTTCAATCACGGGCTCATCTCGGCCCTGTGCCTTATTGTCACGCTAGTCTCTCTTTTATCCCAATTCTCGATTTTAGATACCCCCCAAAAGTGATACCGTGATACCCCCGAAGCAATGGCGTCCGTTCAAAATCATTTCTTCTATACGGAAGTCCCTGGCCAGTCCGCGGAATATGTCGACTTTGATCAATTCCTCGACTTTCCTGCGGCGGATGGCGATGACTATTCCGCCTCCGCCAACTCCGTCTCGCCCGAAATGGCGCTTCCCTACGATGCTGACATGTTCGGCAACGACCTGACCGACTTCACCCAGCTCGCCTTCCCGGACATGATCAACTACGACATGTCCGAGGATGCATCCCTTGATCAGTCCCCCGAAATGGGGACGATGCAGGACCCTGCCCCGGTGTTTGACGATGCTGCATTCCACGGCTACCAGTCTTACGACTTTAGGCAGATGGTCGAGGCTCAGGCCGCTGCGGACACTCGCATTGCTTCTTACAAGGAGAAGCGCCGCGAGGCTGCAATCGCTCTGCACCTCCAGCGTCTGTGTGATGCCACCGCCCTCGACCTGGAGATGTCCTCCGACTCCAACACCAGCTTCTCCTCCCCGAGCTGGTCCGATTACATGCGTGAGAGCATCTCTCCCAAGCCGACAAGCACCAGCCCGGAGAGCACTCCCGTCTCTTCACAAGAGAGTGGGGCCATGGAGATGGTCCTTGACCTGAACATGAACGCCGCCGCCCACCTGCCAAAAAAGCAGAAGCCTCGTTCTCAGGCTCAGAAGGAGAACTACATCAAGGCCCGCAAGTACGGCGCTTGCGAAAAGCACAAGAAGCAGCACAAGAGAGTAAGCCTTTGACCCATTCTTATTATGTTATCGGGATGTCTAACTTTTCTTAGTGCAACTGCCTGGAGAAGGCCGCCGCCCGCGCTGGCGTCAACGATGTCCCGATGGACGTTTCATACAGGGAACGCCCGAGGCCACTAAACGTACCGATGCCAGTACACCCGGACATGCGCCCATACAGTCTACCTGGCCACGAGCCGACGATGATTTCACCTACACTACGCCCAACAGCCAAGGTGATCAAGAAACTCACCAGCACCAACTCGCCGCGCTACGACTCGTCGCTCTGCACATCTGCCCTGCAACAATCAATCAGGACGAAAAACAATGTCGACAGTGTTCCCGGTCACGACCCGCGCATCAGCCCGTCTGTTGTCCAATCTCCTGTCAAGGATGGGAAGCGCGTCCACAGCTCACCGGGCCACGTTCCACGGAACAACCCAACTATTGTTCTATCCCCAGTTTTGGATGGAAAGCATGTTCGCAGTTCACCGGGTCACGTCCCGACATCCCAGTCTCCAACCACGCCTCAATTCATCAAGTCGGTTCGGAGGTCTGTTGGCCCGCATGTCTCTTGGTTCTCTGCTCTGGGATACTCCCCGATGAGCAATTCTGCGAGTTCCTCGGAATGCAAAACTACCAGCCAAACATTGTCACGGACAACCCGCTCCGGCACAGTGTCTGTACGCGCACCGAACATGGAAGTCTGGCGCCCAAGACAGACTACGGTGCAGCAGCACATCAAAGACGATTCCACGTCACCGAAAATCAGTCCTACCCAGGCCCAATCTCCAAGGAGAGTCCAGAGCCGCGGAGTCCTGGTTTCAGGAATCCCCCAACGTCCGGTCGTTCTCGAAGCTTCGAGACAGCCCCTGGCGACTCTCGCGACTCGACTGCAATCCGTACCGAAGCACGAGCAACTCGTGGGGAGAGAATATGGCTCAACGGGTCTGTTTTGTCCAAATGCCTCGATGGTTCGCTGTTTTGCTGGACAAATGGGAGACGTATTCTCAAGAACTGTTCTCGCGTTTGCCGGCGCCTGGCGATCATCGATGTCACTTGCCTCTTGGTTGGAGGTCGTTGCCTATAAAGGCCTTTCCCTCGGTGGCAAGAACCTAATGTCTGCTAAGAAGGGTCTTCAGCTGCACCGTATGCGTTCCTTTTGGTCTGCATGATTTGGTTTCTTTTCGTTGGCTAGGCAGAAGCCAGGCTGATAGATTGAAACCGCACTGAATGATTCTTTTTAGGAGCCATTGAAGGTTTTGTGACGCATTTGGCATTGTTTTTGGAAACGAAGATCTTGCATCGGAGTTGATGGCTGGACTTACCCCGGATAGATAGTTAGAATCTATGCCTAGAATGGGTAAAACCCCGTATTTGTATGAATTGCAATACAAAAAGCCATGATGATTTTAACTTGCTCTCACTGTGTAAATGAAGCGTAGTAAACTACTCGTGTAGAAAGTTGAGCGTGTTCTCTATTGGGATCCACTGCCCCACCACGACGACTGCTGCTTACACTCGCCCCGTATCCGACTTACCGGTCAACTCGTTCCTTAGCATTCAGCGATCGATTATGACACAGGAAACCTTCAAATACAGCACAGTGACTGGGTACTTCCTTCAGGATGAGCCATCCACTGATCCAGACACATTCGACTATGTGAGCCCAACCTTCAGAACATTAAAAAATCCACTGACGCCCCTAGGTGGCATCGAATTTCGGTCTCATAGACAGAGAATACGACCTACAACCAAGTTCCCTCGAGAGCCTTACCAAATGGGAGAAGTTTAGAGAGAAATTCGAGCACCTGAATGATTTCCCGGACTCAGACAGGTCCGATGTCCAGTATAAAGTTCTCTTCCTGGGACGACACGGCGAAGGCGTCCACAACGTCGCCGAAAGACGTTATGGAACCAAAGCTTGGGACGTATGTATCTCTTCCCTCTTACCCTGCTATCTGGAGTGACTTTGCTCACCCACATCAACAGGACTACTGGTCACTCCTGGATGGAGATGAACACGGCACATGGGTGGATGCACGCCTAACAGAGCTGGGCATCTCTCAAGCCAAGACAGCGCACGACGCGTGGAAAAAGCAGATCGAGCATAAGATCCCTTCGCCGCAATCCTACTACGTCAGCCCGTTGAATCGGTGTTGCAAGACGGCGCAAGTCACCTTCGAGGGGCTTGACATGCCGCTCACGAACCCCTTCAGACCGGTCATTAAGGAGGTCAGTCGTGTCCACTTTTCTGCAGACACATCCACCAGTGCTTGATACGATGTCTGAAATGATATTTACGGTTTATTAGCTTCTACGAGAAACAATAGGTTTGCACACCTGTGACAGTCGGTCCAAGGCATCTGCCATCGCAGCCGAGTTTCCCGAATACCAATTCGAGCCTGGCTTCTCAGAAGACGACTTGCTGTATGACCCGAAGACGCGAGAGTCTGATGAGGACCGGACTCGGCGACTGCGAACTCTACTGGACGATATTTTTACCAACGACGAAAATGTTTTCATCTCGCTGACGGCGCATTCGGGTGCCATTACCAGTATTCTGGAAGTTGTTGGCCATCGCAAGTTTCCATTACAGACTGGTGCGATGATTCCTGTCGTTGTGAGAGCGGAAAAGACGGAAATCTTAAGAAGTTGATGAAGACTGTGGGATCAGGCCAGGTTTCACCGGAAGAAATGGCTTTTCAGCGGCGTGTGGACGGCGCCATGGCGGACAAAGGTGCTTAGGTATCCATGAGATGTGTATTGAATCTTGTATATTGTACATGGGCTGCTCGCCCGGCTTTCTACTGCTAGATGCAAAACTTCTGCACACTCAACCCGGTCAAGGGAAACGGAAAAGAAAAAACAAAAGAGACCGGTGCATCCACTGGTGGAATGCAGGTGTAAATAATACAACGCAACGCCAAAAGGGAATCTTGCTCGCAATTACCAGCTGTAGTACTGGTTTTGAGCAGAAATCTTCCGGTCCGGCAGCTGAGTCCAGAGCTGGGATTTCCGCTTCCGCAGCGCATCGGCTTCACGGTCCTGCCACTCGCGGATGCGAGTCTTCTCCTCCTTCAACAACACCGACAGGCCAGTGGCCGGGGGACGGAGCCGGTTGATTTGGCCACGAGCACGGTGGTCCATGCCAAATCCGTACGGACCGCGGTTGACCCACGCTTGCTGGATGTAGATGGATGTCGGGTCGGTGATCTTCTTGCGCTCGCCGTCCTTGAAGGTAACAGTGATGGGCTTGGGGCGCTCCGACTTCTCGCCCTCCTGAGCTGCGAGGCCCATGCCGGCACGGACCATGGCGACGTTCTTCGCGTGCTCCAGATGTTCCAGCACGTCCTTGGCAGCCTTCTTCTTGCTGAAGCGCATTTGCAGGATGGCCTCGTCGATGTTCTTGCCCGCGATCTGCCGGGCAAGTGGGCCCAGCTTCTTGACTGAGGTCTTGAACCAGTGTGACTTCGATAGGGATTCGCGCTCGGTGCGCTGGATTTGGACGGCCTTTGGGACGCGGCCGCGTTTCCGGATCTCACGGGTGACCATCTTGGTCTCCCATCGGAGCTGGGCCTTAGGGTTGGGGTTCAAGGCCAGCTGCATGCGGTCCTTGTTGCGTTGCTCCAAAGGTACAGGCGCCTCCTGTCCTGCTTGCTGTTGTTCTTGGAGCTGCTCCTTCTTGCGGCTGGGCTTGGGTCCGGATGAGCCTATATCGTCGGCGAAAATGGAGCTAGCACCCAGACCACCTTCCTCGCGCTTGGGGGCGGCCGGTGTGTGGGCGGACTTGGGCTTTGCTCCAGATCCACCGACAGCCCAACCCTTCTCTGTAGCTTCCTTCTGCTTCTCGGATGCCGCAGCCTCCTTTTTCTTGGCAAACCAATCGCTAAAAGACGACAAGAATCCGGGTTTTTGATTGTCATCCTGGGCGCGATAGATCGGTGTCGAGGTCAATGTCCGCCGCGGAACGAACGAGACGGGGGTCCGGGCCGCTAAATAGAAAATGTCAGTATTGGACAGCACTCGAGAACCGAAGAATACGGGACGAACCAGCCCGAACCAGCTGCCCGTATGGATAGACAGCACCCATTGTGGCCGTTGGAATGGAATGTTGTTGGTATGGACGGCGGTGCAAAAAAAGGTGATGAACCGGGCTGCGCAAGTGGCGGCCGCGGCCGGCCGTATATGCCTCAGGCATGATATATCGCGAGGCGATTGATCAGATTGGGAAATCGCATCGTCGAAACATACTACAGGTAGCTCCAAGAACCAAGAACAGAAATCCGTCACTATCGCCCGGAGCTCATGGGAGACCTGCTCTACATACTCTGTCCATAGTCGCGACCGGCATTCCCTTACACCGTCATCTCCACAGGGAAGCTCCACTAGCCCTCATCTTTCCTCTTTCAGGGCTTTCGGTGCTTCTCTCCCTCTCTTCTCCATCGGCACCTTCTTCCTTTCCATCCTTCTTCTACTTCCCTCCCCCTCCAGTACTTCCCAGGCTTCTGCCTGTGGCTTCCTCTCCTACATGCTTCGTTCTCGACTCCTCAAACACCTTTGATCGATCCCACACCTGGGACCTCTCCCGCTCCTTGTTCCACACGTTCCTTTTCGTCGACTACCCTCGGTCTCTTTCGGTCTCCTCGACAGACAACTTTAACAGAACGAGTCAATCTTTGCGCACTCATTTTAGCGCGATATTCCCGGCGACCGCGAAATCCGACACGAGGAGACGGGATCTGTTGGCCGATGCAGGAATGGACGTGTCGTTAAGACATATTGTGGCTGTCGTCTGAACTGGATCTCTGCTTTTCTAGCACTATCCGTGACTACTGCTCGTTGACATATCCTTGAGTTCTCTATCGCTCCTTCCACTTCTCTAGGGTGCGTCGCAGGCTTTGAATCCGGCAAGATGGATATCAATTCACTGCTTTCCCCGGACTCAAATCCTCAATCTGGAAACTCGACGCCTGTGCCCGGTCCTACGCCGAACAACGCATCGGCCCCAGCCGCAGCCCCGGCGTCGTCCCCCCACAAATCTATTCAACGGACCCGGTCGGGTACTGGTCGCAAAGGAAAGACTTCCTCACCTCTTGCGCAGCAGGTGTATGCGCCTGCTTCCATGCCCGAGTCATCTCCGACAGCCGCAAGCCCTCCCGTCGCTTCTAACTCTAGCGGGGGAAATGGCACAGCTCCCGTGATCGATCGACCACCCTCGAGGCAACCATCGACACCTGGGATGGATACCTTGGCAGACCTGGCTTCGATGCAGCATCACCAGCCGCAAGCTGCTCGGAATCCCCCCTCCATGCTGCGAAACACCGAGTCGTATCAAAGCCAACTCTCTCCCTCCACCATTCACCCACATGTGAATCCCATCAACCACAACACTCCAGCTGCTCGTACCTCCTTCGATATCGCAATGTCAGAAGGCCCGCGGACAAGTGCGCGGAGGAATTACGTGCAGACATCGCTAGAACCGGACGCACAGCAATCTGCGACTAGCTTGTTCAACCAAATCCAGGAAAACCCGCACACCTACGATGCGCACGTGCAGTTCATCGGGCTGTTGCATGCGGGCTTCGTAAACCACGTGTATCCGCCTAACAACCCGGATATCCACGGCGACCCTCGACGATACGATCTCCTCAAGGATTTACGAACTGCCCGAGAAGAAATGGACAAGCTTTTCGCAATGGGCGAGGATCTTTGGGCCGAATGGATCCAGGATGAAAGCATGCTGGCTCATTCGGTGACCGAGCGTATTGCCGTGATGGAACTGTGTCAACGATCGGTCGAGGAAGAATTTGGCAGCACAAAACTCTGGCATATCTACGGCGAGTGGGTGCTGTACCTCTATAACTCTGCGGCTGGCGAAGGTGGAGCTGGTCAATGGACTGAAGAAGACCGGTTGGTTGGGCGTGAAGTGTTCAGCTGGCAGTCGGTCTTGGATGTGTGGCAACGGGCCGCAGAAGCGACTCGATGGAGGATCAACAACAGTCACCTTGTTTGGGACCGATTACTGGAGCTTTATACTCAGGATCTGTCGCGAGCCCCCTCCCAGGAAAAGATTAATCATCTTCGAGGGCTATACGATGTGCGACTTCAGACACCTCACGCGACCTGGGATCAGACCTTCCAGACCTTCTCCGGGTTCATATCTTCGTACTATGAATCTAACTACGAAGAGATCATGGCCAACACAGTTGCCCAGGGCTCGAAGGCGAAGGATCTTTACGCTGCACGTGAAGAGCACGAGCTTCGACTGAGCAAGGCGCAGGAGTCTGGAGACAAGACTCTTGAATGGTCAATCTACACCGAGTACATTGACTGGGAATTGAGTCGCAACCGTCGTCGGCGAGAATTCAATTTCGACCTTGCAAATGCTATTTACCAGCGCGCTGTTCTACACTTCCCCACCGATGTCTCTCTGTGGGAGGATTATGTTATGTTCCTCATCGGCGAATCCATGCATGGCCACGCTTCCACAACGACCATCGCGACCCTTGACCGGGGAACTCGCCACTGCCCCTGGTCCGGTAATCTCTGGTCTCAGTACCTTCTGAGCTCAGAACGTGAGGGCCAGTCATTCTCCAAGATCTCGAATATCAAGCACAAGGCTACTAGCACTGGGTTGCTTGATGCCGGTGGGATGGAAGAGGTCCTCAAAGTTCACATTACCTGGTGCAGCTACCTTCGTCGACGTGCCTTCCTCTCCGAGGCCACCGACGAGGATCTGGACGTGGCGGAGGTTGGCATTCGCTCGGCGATTGAGAGCGTGCAAGAGCTAGGTGAGAAGAAATATGGTCGATCCTATCAGGGTGACCCTCTATTTCGTTTAGAGCGCATCTATATTCGATACCTCAGCGAAAGTGGCAGCTGGGACAGCGCACGTGAGACCTTCAAGGGCCTTGTTCCTCGCCGTGGAAACAGTTACGAATTTTGGCTCACCTACTACGGCTGGGAGCTTATCTCGTGGAGCAAGTTTGTTCAAGGCGAGGCGACAGTCGATGCAGCGAGGCGGACACCCAACCCGAGCTATGCGACTGCAGTTTTGAAGCAAGCCATCAAGCGACAAGACCTTGACTGGCCGGAGAAGATCGTCCAGACCTACATCGCCCACTGCGAGGACTACGAGGACTCGGACGAGCTGCAACTTGCGGTCATCGAGACCCGAAAGGCCATGAGAGCTGTCAATGCTCGTAGGGAAACAGAAGCACGCGAATCTGCCGCAGTCCAGCGACAGCAACAGCAGCAGTGGGAAGCCGCCGCTGCCGAAGCTTCTACATCAGAAAAGAGGAAACGGGAGGATGATGCCAATGGTGAGCCCACTAGCAAGAAGGCTCGTGGCGAAGAGACGGCTCTCGAAGAAGTGGTGGAGCCCGCGGGACCCAGTCGTGACCGTGAGCACGCAACGGTGGTGGTCAAGAATTTGCCGCACAAGACATCTGAGCACCAAGTCCGACAATTCTTCCGACACGTAAGTCCTGTTTTGTTCTCGTTCTCCCACGGGAAATCTTTACTGACCAGAGTACAGATTGGCACTATCAATGGCGTCAAGATGATACCCAGCGAAGACAGGAACTCGGAGGTTGCAATCATCGAGTTTGAGACACATGAAGAAGCTCTGAGTGCCCAAACTCGCGATCAAAAGGACTTCCATGGAAATACCATTGAAGTGCAGATTGATACCGACACCACCTTGTTTGTCACGAACTTCCCTCCGACTGCTGACGAGGAGTACATTCGTAATCTCTTCAGCAAGTACGGCGAAGTTCTTGAAGTGCGCTTCCCTTCGCTCAAGTATCAAACCAGTCGGCGGTTCTGTTACGTGCAGTTTGCAACTTCTAGTGCAGCACATCAGGCTACGGAACTTGATGGCACCTCTACTGAGAAAGGCTTCAAACTTATTGCAAAGATTTCTGACCCTTCCAAGAAGCAGAACCGCTCTGGGCCCATGCAGGAAGGCCGCGAGATCTTTTGTAAGAATGTTGATTTCAAACTCAGCGAGAAGGACGTGCGGGAGGCATTTACGCGATTCGGTACGATCGAGAACTTCCACATGCCACTCAATGTCGATGGCAGCCGCAGAGGGTTTTGCTTCCTGACTTTCTCCACAAAAGAAGAAGCGGAAGCTGCGGTCGCGATGAACGAGGAAATGCTCGGGTCACGCCGCCTGCAGGTCAATCTCAGTGGTCAAACTGGTGCCAAACGCATAGCGAGCACCATCATCTCGCGCGTTCGCACGTCGGCGTCGCCGTCTGCGGAGATTAACGGTGATGGCTCGGATGCGGTGGAAACGAGTGGCGAGCGTGGTAATCGTACACTCGGCTTGATGAATATCCCTGACACGGTCAACGACGCTCGAATCCGTGCCCTGGTGGAGCCATTCGGGCAGTTGATCAAGATCATTTTGCGGCCGGACCATCAAGGCGCTATCGTGGAGTTTGCCGATGTCAACGATGCTGGAAAGGCATCGCTGGCGCTCGAAGGGAAAGAAATCGTCCCGGGCCGCCCGCTTCACGTTGGCAGTGTTGCGGAGTTGAAAATGCTCCACGCTGAACGCAAGACCGACCGAATCACCTCGATCAAGCAGGAGAAGCCGAAGACAAGCCTCCAACCTGCGGGTCCGATCAAGCGCCCTCAACAGCCTGGTGGCCGTGGAGGCCGCCGAGGCGGACTTGGTTTGAAACGAGCCTCCGCAACCGCCGGTCCCTCGGAAAAGGCGACTCCCGACAACGACAAGATGGATACCACGGCCGACAGCAGGGACGATGGTGGCAAATCCAAAAAGAGCAACGATGATTTCCGTGCGATGCTACAGCAGAACCGTACGGCATGAAGTGCAACGGCATTGAAAGTAACCGGCGCAACATCCCTAATGGCATGAATCTGGTTGGCGTTTGTTTTCTCTCGGTGGCCCGCATACTTTCTCGCGATGGGTATGTATCGTCCGGGTTGGCTTTTTGTGACATGGCTTTTTCCTTTGCGTTTTTTTTTTCTCTGGCCTCGTGCCCCTCCTCCTGTACATTATGTCTCTGTACTGCTGGCTTTTAATTCTAACGATGACGGCTGTTCCAGGGGACCCTTCTGTTTCACGGGGGGTTTCCCAATGATGTGCGACGCGTTTGTTATCTTTGTGCAACTCAATCGTAATGCTTGGCTTATGTTATAGTAAAAGCTGTTCCTCCGAAACTGATGATCGCAATACCTAGCCGCACCCTAACTCGAATCCTAGATGAGGAATCCACCAAGTAATCGAGTAATCAGAAGCGACCAAGAATGGCATCTGCCAAGAGATCGACCAGCCGCTCAGACACTCTGCCCGGTTTTGGTTTTGGTCTGCGGGGAGTTTGATAAGAAGGTGGGTCGCACCCCATGATCTTCTGCGCCATTTATACCTCCGACCTCGAATGCGCTGCCTTGGTTTGATGCTTCCTTTATTACGGGCTGATATTCCACCGGTTTGAAGCTTCTCATCTCTGGTAATCCTCCCTGTCTGGAACCTCCAGGGTGTCGATGCACCACCCGCACGGGCCAAACGTCCTGAACCGCCTACGCGACCGGCCGTGCGTCTCCTAGACACCCATCATGGATTTCCACCTGGTCCCTCGAGGCACGGATCGAAACTACACGGGCTTCCTAACGAAAACCATCATCTATTCAGGCACGCTAGTCTTCTTCCTGGCATGTGAGTAGCTATCTGCGACGAGGAAACCACCAACTAGGCCGCAGCCGCAGCCGCAGCCGGAGCTTCGCTGACTAGGGGAACCCACATGACAGCCTTCGCCCTGACACTATGCTCGATCGTAATCCCTAAATGGGTCAGCTATAGCAGCGAAAAGGTGAAGTGAAATGCGACACCACCCCTTGAATTCCAACTAACCCTTTACTCTGCAGCCTGCGCACCACTACTCCTACGGCCTCCACCAACGCTGCTCCTCCCTCACCGATACGTGCGAAAGCTTCCCACAGCGCGAAGACTGCCATGGAGAAGACCGGTATTTCTGTTCCATGTGGCGCTCCGTCGGGTTCTTGATGTCGTTCGCGGTCGTGTTCCAGGGTATGAGCGTCGTTACGTACCTGGTGATTCTCTCCGGCGGGAAGCGGCTCCGCGAGAACGGATGGAGGCTCCTCAGTCTGCTTATTATTATTTCGGCATTTTTGCAGGCTGCGAGCATGTCCATAGTGGTAGGTCCATCCGGTCCATCCAGTCCGGCTGGGAGTGAGTCCATGCTGATAGGTTGTGCTAGGCGTATCTCTACGATAACGAAGACCGGTTTTTCGTGGGCTGGAACCTCGATGAGTCGTGGATCTTTTGTACTATCAGCTGGTGCCTAGGTCTTTTCTGTGCTGGCGTGGTCGTCGTTGCGGCTCATGTGTTGCCCTCCGAGGGTGGCTATGAGCTGATTCCGGATAATGATGACCTCAGGGTGGGTTCTTGATATATTCGGCTTGCAATTCGAAGCGGCTGTTTGAAACCATCAAGCCTCCACGAAGTAGACGGTATACGGAAATCTGCCAAGTTGAAATTGCTGGTCATCATACTTGAATACTTGGCTTTCGTGGCGGCTATTTATTTTTCTCATCATGATCTGCTTTTTGGCGGTGGTCTTTCAGTTTGCTGTTTACTTCTCTTCTTCTTTCCGGAGTCGTGACTGTATATACCTTGCGTTTCTTTCCGTGCCTTGATGGCATCATACAACTAATACGGATATTATGATGATGGAGCGCATTCAAACCATCCTAAGACTAGTCCAGTCAAGATCCTTCTTTTTTGGAATCTACATTTTCGTCGAGTAAATCATATCTTCGTGATTCGCATTGGAGACCTTGAAAGAGCAAACAGACCGGAGTAATCAGCCGTCACGGTCTAATAAGAACAAGAAACACCATTCCAAACATACAACCCCAGGAATGCACAAGTGGTCAAAGATAGACATAAGAAATTGCTTCATCAAGGTTCATCGCGTACAGCATACATGGGAATGATTCATGCCACGGTCTGGCGCCACCTACCAGACAATCTCTTTCCCATTCAATCCCTCGACAGCTGGGATCTGAGCGCGCAGCGCATGTCCGTAATCACCGCCGTTGGGGGTGCGGAGGAGAGTGTGGATGTGGAACTTCTTCGGTTCTTCATTATTCAAGAAGACACCAGAGTGGTGATCGAACTCGATGAGAATCACAGGGCTCTGGATGCGGTAGTAGAAGGGATCTTCATCGCCGTAGCCTCCAATCCAGCAGAAGTAGGTCTCGGCCTCCCAGCGGCGCACCTCCTCGATTTTCTTAGCTCGCGACTTTGCTGGCAGATACAGAAGGTACTGCTCGAAAATGCCGTACATCAACTTCTTCTGGGCCTCGTTGAATGTCGCTGCCAGGATACCCTCGTACGGTACCTCGCGGTTATCGCGGTATGCACCGCACAGGTGTCGCTGGTCGTCTTTGTTCCAGCGGCCGGGCGGCATGGCGGGATCCTTCATCTGGGCGAAGACGCGGGCGTTGGACTTCAGCTCGGCAGACAGAGACTGCATCAGCTGCAGGCCGAGCTTCTCCTCCACCTGCATAATACGAGTGCCAGCGTGGGGACCGGCGTCGATCTCATTAGGCTCGGCACCGGTGAACCACGGTGACGCGACAATCTGGCCCTTGTACAGGAAGACGTTCAAGCACAGATGATGGCCGTAGAAAGACCAGCCCCATGGGCGGGTCGTCGATGGGCGACCGAATAGTACGAAATTGTACGAGAACTCGTTCATCACGCGGGGAGACTTGACGAGCTCGCCGAGGAAGTGGTTGATGCGCATGGCCTTGACAGCCTTTTCGTAGCCCTCCGGCGAGAGATTTAATTTGAGAATGTCCATGATCGCATCGCGCGTCTGCTCATTCACCTCGTCGAGGCGGACGCCCTTGTGTGCCAGCAGGAACTCCGGATTCGACCAGGTGCGCCACTGGGGCGAATCGATGTGGTAGCGGACAGCTTTCTTCTGCTTGTCATCCAGCAGGGACACCATAAATTGCGTGGAGTCCACGATTTGCTGAATCGGGACTTCTTCATCTTGTAATGTGAACAGGTCATGACGGACCTTGCCTGATGGACGTTAGAATTCGTATTGCACAGATCATGATCAAATCCTACCGTCGGTAGTGACACCCTTGAAAGGCTCCTGCAACAATTCCAACCAATGCATATATAGCGCATGCAACCACGGCGGCTGCTTGCCGGTCTTAAAGGCATGGGCATACTCATGCGCATCCTGGGTGCACATCACCTGGAACCGTTCGAGGTTCAGGTCCGGCAGGTATTGGCGGTACTCGCCCGTCGGCTTATCCAGCGCCGAATCGGAGGATGACATGGTGGAAGATGTACAAGGTAGGATCATTGACAAAATGTGGAGGGATGCGGGCCGTCATCAAGTATTATACTCGGAAACCCCACACGATTCGGTGCAAGGCGGCGTCCCCACGAGCGTGGGGATAGTGGGTGAGATTTTATCCGCGCGTAGGTTGAAAACTAGTGGCGATACTTCATTCCAACCAATCCGGGTGCTCCGGAAAGGGATTTATGAGTTCTCTTCTGTTGAAAACCAATGAACTAAGCAAGATGTTGTCGGTTTAACGGCTCTGCAATTGTGAGAAGTGTGAGATCATCCCCCATCCGAGGGAACTGAGGTATTGTGGGAGACCATATTCTCGGAGTCTGGGTTCCGCGGGGAAGAATAACGAACATTTAGATGACTGATTAGGTCGAGAATGGGGCTCACAAGGCTAGCTTGACTCGACTGAAAGCACGTCTGTCTCTACTCCGATGACCCGTTTGGAGCTGGCATTGGTGGAGATGTGCCTAGAATGACCAAACAGTATAGAAAAAAAAAACCCCCCGAACCCTTCCAGCTGAGCTTGTATAGCGCAAGATTAAAAGTAACAAAAATCCAGGATGCAGATTTCCCGGTCATCAACCTGGAGCCAGTCGGATCCACCTTGTACATAGCTCGTACAGCTACCAGGCAGTAAATGAAGTTAAACCCCGCAAAAAGCTCAATTGAGGCCACTCGGATCTTCCGAGCACGGCTTCTCCGCCCTTGGTGTCAAGTCCCCCGCATACCGATAACTCTACTTAAAACCTTGGGCAAGATCCTGGTTTTAACTTTTTGGTGAATTCGTCAATACTCAACCTAGAAATGTCGTTACCTTTCGCTAATCAACCTCCGGCCGATCGGGTGCCCTATGCCATCCCTCAGCTGGAGGGTGAGCGCATCACAATTCCCGGCAGCAAAGGTGTTTTCCGAATTCTGACCTCCTCGAAGCAAACTGCCGGTCTGATGGCCGTTTTCCAGAGCGGAGCTACCCTCTCGGACGCCCCGGGGTTTCATTACCACAACCATGCGCACGATGTCTTCCTTGTCACCAAGGGATATTTGAAGCTGTGGAATGGAGACAAATGCCGGGTAATGGGGCCCGGTGATTTTGCCTATGTTCCTCCGGTATGAATTCGAGCGCTTTGCACAGTTACATGCAATAAGGTCTAACCGATGCTCACAGACAGTCATTCACAACCCTGAAATGATCGGTCCCCATACAGAAATTCAGGGCCTGATTACCCCCGGCGACTGGGTCGATTTCTTCCGCTATGTCTCGGAACCCTACGAGGGTATTCTGGTGCCCGAGACCGACAACCGCGATTTGAAGTCCATTCTCATCCCGAAGGTTATGGCCGCTAAGGGAAAGTTTGACGTTGTTTTCCAGCCCCACTACGAGCCTCCCGAAGTGAGCGACTGGACCAAAGATGATGAGAAACTGCCCGAGGGTAAAGAAGGATATTTCTTACGCTCAAATACCGGGCCCCGCTGGATGCTGGGAGGCGTGATGTCTCGACCGTTTGCTACCACCAGACAGAGTGATGGTCTTTTTGCTATCTCTAGCATTGAGTCGTCGAAGGATTATGGGGAGACCGTGTTCTCAAAGTACATGACTTTCGCATCGGTAGATCACTGCCTCTGTGTCATGGAGGGCACTCTCAGGGTTAGTCTGCAGGGATTCGGGGACTCTCTCTTCCGGGAAGGTGAGACTGTTGTTATTCCTGCAGGCCAGGCATTTTCTCTTGGGTTTGAGAGCAGATATGTCAAGGTCCACTCCTTCAGCGATGGTGATGGTATCGAGGCTCTGATCCATCGGCTGGGTAAGCAGGTTGAGGAGGTCGTTCTGCCAGACCAAGCTCCAGAATGGGACCCTGCTCAGTTGGATTCCTTAAAGAAGCAGCTCCACGTGAGCTTCTAGAGCTGTATAAATGTGGTACAGCGATTCGATGTATATATTTAGTTGCAAGTTCAAATTTCAAATTGGCTCCACTCGCATTCTATCGGCAACGGTTTCCCCTCCTCGTAGCATCTGCCGAGAAGCTTCCCAGCCTACCTCAGACTGTGCCACCGGTGTCACTGATTGGTTAATTTGGCCCCATAGTCGACGGCGGCGCCCCCGCGGGGTGTCACGTGGAGCCAGTGGGTCACATACCCCGGAAATCCCGAATGCATGTTCGTTATCATCTACATCCGACTAGGGTCGCGGCTGCCAAACACGTACCCCGGATTCCATGAGAGAATGACGCTGGGATAATGCAAACCAGTCAGAGCCCGATTCTGCAGCCGGTTGTGGATGAGCCAGCTCCCAAGCGTGCCAAGCGACCGCGTGCTGCGCAGGCATGCGATCGCTGCAGGACGAAGAAGTACAAGTGCGACGAGCAGTATCCATGTTCCCACTGTAGAAGTGAGTGACACGCTTCATGCCTCCATCACCATATGCTGATATATTGGCAGAAAGTGCATTGGATTGTGTATATCAAGGCAACTATCGAGAGCGCGAAAGCAGCCGGTCTGCCAAGTATGACATCCCCTTTGACCGCGTCGACGTGTCAAAAGTTGCCGCTATCAACTTGTAATAAGCTAATTGAATTACAGCTATATTGCTGATCTGGAGAAGAAAGTGGAGGAGCTGGCCTCGAGACTGCGCAACGCCGAGGCCCAAAATGCAACATCACCGCAGCCTCCGACGGTGCCAATGACTCAACTGCCACTCTCTACAGGAATCGAGACACCGCCGTGCTCTATGACACAACTTGAATCTACACCTGGGGATGCTGCAAAGATGCCTGGCGATACGCAGGAGGAGTCGACAGAGGGCGCCGATGATGAGATTAATGAGCTGAACCATCACACCAACGGAATCGAATTCCACGGGAGCACTTCATCAGCGGCACTCATCGGCCATCTGAAAAAGGCCCGAGCGACAAAAAGCCACGAAGAACGCCTTTCTCGTGCCACAGATTTCTCATTGATCTCCACATTGCATAACCCGAGCTTCTCGCCATCCTGTACCACGGGTCCAGCCCATCCGACGTTGCTCGCATCGATCGAACAACACAATTATTATTTTGACCAGGCGCATGTCTTCATGAACGGGTATTTCGAGAACATACACTTCATTCATCCATTTATTGACAAAGAAGACTTCCTGGTACGCGCCAACGACCTATGGTTCAACCGAGCACGTACGCCCGAACCTAGTTTTGTTGCTTTGTATTTGAGTGTTCTGTCATTTGGATCCCTTGTGCGCGTATGGGATGAGAGCACCATTGCGGGAATGGGGCGGTTCGAATGGAGTCGCAAGTTATTTGGCGAGGCCCAAGCGTATCTTAATTATTTACAATTTTCGAATGATCTTGAGACAGTACAGTGTCTTTACCTGATGGTATGTCATACCCCTCATACCTCTGAGCTGGATCTGATAAACTACACAGGCGAAAGTTTGCCAAAACGAGCTGAACCCAAATCGTGAGTGTCTCCGCCCGTTTCTTTTTGATAGATACTAACTTTGGTAGTGGCATATATGTATCTTGGCTTGGCCGTGCGGACCTGCCTTTCGGCGGGGTTTAACAGAGAGGTCCGGTGCCCCAAGGATCAACGGTCGAGCTGGATCTCGAGGACGTGGTGGTGAGTAGATGCCGACCCGGCCTCGCAACGCAAATGCTGATAAATCTGGGTGATTCAGGGGCTTGTTCTCGCTGGAAATGTAAGTTTTGACTCCAATTGGCTTTCTCAATGCCGGGTCTCTAATATTCCTTCAGCGAAATGAGCTTTTCTGTTGGTCGACCGGATACTCTGGGAATGGACGAGTATCACAATCGAGCCATCCCTGAGCGAGATGACACTGAGTATGCCATCATTCCTTGGATGATCGATTTTGCTCAGATTATTCGACGCGTGTCCGTCCATATCTATCATTCCCGAATCACGCTACAGGAGAAGCTACAGCTGGCTCTTCAGATCGAAATGGAAATGGATCGCTGGCTGGCAAGACTCCCGGAGAAGATCAAGCCTGACATTGGCGCAGACAGGCTGTCCCGGAGCGCGCTTCGGGACCCTAAATGGGCCCGAAGACAACGGCTTGTGCTGGGAATTCGTGAGTCGCCGCAAAATCACATTTGAAACCGAAGTTCGCTAACCGTTGTCTTCTCATCAGGATATTACAACGTGAAGATGCTCCTTTTCAGACCCTTCTTAAGCCACTTTACTCGCAAACTTCGACATCCTCCCAGTGAATTGGAGGAAACCATCACCAAATGTCTCGATGCTGCCATGAAGACAATTGAGGTCGTTCATGACATTTATCGAGTCCACACATTCTTCCGATGCTGGTAGGTTTATCTACTGTACACTGCATTTCTCTCGCTAACCAATACGCAGGTGGTATAATACAACCTACGTGATGTTTGCTACATCGACCCTCCTCCTTCCAATGTCGAAGCTTGGCATGTGCGCCGAAACCATGCCTCTTCTGCGATCCGTAGAAATGGGCGTCGAGATCCTGGAAGCAATGGACGAATCCGTCGTGGCCCGCAAATCGGTGGAAATAATCCGGCAGTATCTTCGAGACTTTAGATCCTCGGGTGCACAGCAGCCAGTCCCTGGAGCCGAAGAGACCGAAGAGATGGCTGCAACTGAATCAGGGCCTGGCATCGGGTTCGAAATCCCCGAGTGGGCTTATGGATTCGGATTCCCGGACTACTCTTTTGATGGGATTGCGCGGCTGTTTGATGATATTGGAGGGCCCCCTATGCTAGACGGTTAGCCAGGATTTTTCAATTATTAGCGAGCAGTTCATGCAATTATGATGAGAGTTCATCAATCGCGAGTCTTTCCCATTGTGGTCTAGTGCTGACCAGGACTTACCGGGACTTAAATCCGGATGCATTATCGCATAGGCATTCATTAATTCAGTATTTCGATTCTCGTTCTTGGGTTATACTTTCATGTTTAGCTTTATCACGTGTCCTCGTGTTGGACAATCGGGGAAGCTTCCACCCCAACTTGATGTCATGATCGTCATAAAACCGGTTCCATTCGGTGCGGACTGAACCGCAAAGCGGGGACCCGCACAACGTATAAAAGCGTGGGGTCCCGACAATCTGGTTCCTATATTTTCAATAAAGTTTCCGAACATCCCATCTCTCATTCACAGAGACCAGCAAATATGGTCTTGACACTTCACCACCTAGGCCTATCCCAATCCGAGCGCATCATCTGGCTCGCCGAAGAGCTCGGCCTCGACTATAAATATGTCCACCACAAACGCGACCCTATGTTCTCCCCGCAATCAATCAAGGACCTTCACCCCGCTGGCACAGCACCTGTGATGGAAGATGACCCCTCTCCCGTGACCGGATCAAAGGTCGTCATTGCTGAAACAGGTGCCATCGTGGACTACATCATCAGCGTCTACGGCAACGGCCGCCTAGCACGTACCCCCAAAGACGGTGCAGAATACGCGCCTTATCTTGAATGGTTCCATTTCGGCAACGGAAGCCTCCAGCCGACGCTGTTCCGAGTGATGATGGCCAGAGGCCCGACGTCTGATCCCAAGTCCCCAGTTGTTGCTCGCACGGTGGCTAAATGGGAGCATCAGCTGGATATGATGGAGGCACGTTTGGGCGAGACGGGTGCTTACCTTGCTGGCAAGGAATTGACTGCTGCGGATGTTATGAATATTTGCACTCTCACCACTATGAGAGGATTCATTCCGGTGGAGTTGGATACTGTGAAGAACAAAAACATCCTTGCTTGGTTGGAGCGTGTCGGCGAGCGCCCGGCTTATCAAAAGGCCATGAAGAAGTGTGAGGGCGAGAACTTCAAGCCTATCCTTGGCCCCAAGGCTGAGGTGTTTGATATCTTTAAGCCCAGAATCTAAATGCATCTTGAATATAACGCTTGGTAGATAGTTCTCTCGTCTAATGACCATCTCAATCTTTCGGTAGTTTAGATCTTGTCTTGAAACCCCGAAAATGTGATTGGACCGAATTAGCTATGCAAAGATCTTTTTCTGTATGAAACCAAAGCTACAGAATCTGGCAAAAGGATCTCGGAGTCGTTTGTTGTGAGAACAGATCGGGGTTCTCTGCCACGGCCTTCTTAACTTCCTTGATGGCATCATACCCGTACAACCAGGGCTGGACCTCTGGACATGTCCTATAGGGAAAGCATTAGATATATTCCTGGTGCGGAACGGAAGGGGAAACATACCATCGGCTTGGGAAAGCACCCTTGATCTCCTTGCCAAGTTGCGAGGCGAAAATCTCATCACGCTTCCTCTGCTCCTCGCCATCTTCCATGTGGAAATCGTGTCTCTGATGCGAGGGTTAATTCCTTTGAACACTTCGGACCGGACCAGCTAGTTCAAAGACGCTCACCTGTTTGAATGTTTCTCGTACAATTGCTTCTCCTCGGGATTTGCGAAGACTCTCGTACAGCCGGAGAATGGAAGGCAATTGTGCTTTGTCTGTCATGTTTCCCAGCAAAAGGCCGAGGACAGCGCCATCTTCAAGGGAAGAGTTGGCACCCTGGGCCAGATATGGGAGCATCGGGTGACAAGAGTCTCCGCTGTGGGTGTCAACCAAGTCAGTCCAAGTCGCCTCTATCAAGATATGATTTTGACTCACGTGAAGACAAGATTCGAAGTGTCGTTCACCCATTTCTCCATTTCTCCATCTGTCAAAACGTTAATGGTGCACTCTGTCGCAATGTCATCCAGAACTCACGATGCATCAGCCTCCACTTGTCCACGTTGGTTACATATGTAAGGAACCGGTTCAGACTAGCCCCCATAGGTAAATACAGGGAAATATAGCATTGGGCAGCGCCACTCACATTGGATCCCAACCGACAAACAGCTGTCGCATCTCGTCCACAGAGCCAGCCTGCCTCGAAACACCTGGAGGCAGATTGTCCGGCACCAGCAGCACGATGTTGTACACCTGTCCACCTCGGAGCGAGTAGCCCACGGCATGAGCACCAGGTCCAATCCAGAAATGCACTTCAGGGTTCTGAACCAGTGCTTTGAGATCCGGATCGGAGATTTGATCGGCATTCAACACAATCCGATAGGCAAGGTCTCCAGTAGGAATGGGCTCGTCCTTCTTCCCCACAAACGCCTCCCGACACTGAGACCACAAACCGTCAGCAGCGACGATCAGATCGCCGGAGAAGATCTTTCCCGTCACGGAACGCACGGTCGTCGTGTCGAAATCAATATGCTCAATTCTCTCCCCAAGGTGGAAAGTCACACCCAGTTCCTGCGATCGCGCGTAAAGAGCCTGTTGCAAGTCCACGCGATGTAGGTCCACAAAAGGTGCATGGTACTTGGTGCGGATGTTCTTGTCAAAAGAGCTGTCGAGGGCCAGGACCTGGCCCGAATATCGGTGAACTGTGAGCATGGTGGGCTCGGCAGCTGCTTCCCATAAAGAAGCAGGAAGATTCCAGTACTGCAGAAGACGAGATGCGTTCGGCGTGATTTGCAGGCCTGCTCCGACCTCTGCTAGCTCTTTTGCTTGCTCGATGACCTCGACCGAGTGACCGGAGAGAGCTGCAGAGATGGCCGTGGCAATGCCGCTGAGCCCGGCTCCGACGATGACCACGCGCAGACGCGCTTCTACTGGAACCTGCTTTGTGTTTTGGTCAACCAAGTTTAAGACAGACCGATATTTCCAAGGGTTGCTGGACTATCCTTACCATCTTGGATGTGTGATGAAAATTCGTAACTGCGGTCACCTATGAGAGGGTTTCATAATTCTACAAGGAAGACAAAGAAGCTGGGAGGAAGCAATTTGCAAGCTTGGATCTATTGCAGCTCATCAAAATCCCCGGAATGGCCGAGTCCCCGGAACCGCCACGACTCGGGATTTCCGAGGCGCCCCATACGCGCCCCGGATTTCCCAGATTGCACTCGCTTGCGACGATTGATGGAGATGCATCAATGGATCCCTTCGGCCGGTGGAGACGCCACTCACGCTGTTATTTTATCTTTCTGGGGTGCATATCATGGGAACCCACTGATCTCCCGGTTGACCAGGGTATCAATGCCGAATGAATAGCCGAGCATTTGTCTTATTCAGTCTCGACTGTCAAAGTCCACAGCAAAATAACAATCCATGGTTTATTTTAAACCTAAGCTATTTGACCTCGGTATACTTATCGTTGACTCACTCGCTCCCATGTTGACGAGCGAAATAGACACCCGGCAATGTCCTCGCACCCAATGCGATGCAAAAACCTGAAAGGACCGCAAAAGAGCCCATAGTTTACAGAACAGCTCTGTTTGGACCCTTAGAGATCGGACTCTTAAAAACTATTTTATAAAGAAAAACGAGAAGCCCAAGACCACGAATCGCCCCGAATTAGTACTGCGGCGCTTCTTAAGCGGCGCAGGAATGTGGTCCCGAACCGCATCCGAATCCCCCACGGACTTCCCGACAGCGCCTTCCAGTCAATGATGGCGACTCCTCGTGCTCAAAGCTACTAACTTGCGGGGAAGCAGACTGGCTTTATTGAAACCCCAGTGTGGGGGCGCTTATTCCCCGACTGGAAAATAACGGGGACGTGACTTAAATGCAGCGTGCGTCCCCCGGCAATCGTCCTTAATCATACGGTCCATCCCCACATTTCAGTCCACCGAATGTTTGTCTCGCAAGGATGACGGCCGTAGATCCTAGAGTGAGAACTGTGCCCCTGTTGGTTAAGATATTCTACTAACGCCCGTCAATAGCTTTTCCCACAACGGGTGCGATATGCCGCCCTTCTTACCGTCAATGTATACGTCTTCATGGGGAACATGTACTCGGTTAGTTGGGTCTTATGACTGCTGAGACCCCTGATACTGACTAGCTACGTTGATAATAGTCGGGCATAACGACGGGGTTTGAGTCCCTAGCTATAGCCCTTCATGCAGACAACTCCAAGTTGTCGGCCTTGGTCACCTATTCGGTTCTCTCGATGGGATTGGCCAACCTGTTCTGGATGCCTCTGGCCTTGTGCTTTGGAAAGCGCCCAGTTGTTCTCGTGTCCATGGCGATGTTCTTGGGTGGCATCATTTGGAGTGCAGTCGCCAAGGATTATAACAGTTTGCTCGGTTCGCGAGTCTTTGCCAGTTTTGGTAAGTTGGGCTATCTTTTTTTTAAGCAACGGTGACTTGGCTAATAATGGCCACAGGTTATGGTGCTATTGAGTCTCTGGGACCCAGTATCCTGGCAGGTATGCCTTCTTCATTCGATAATACCAGCGGTCTTCCCTAACAGGCCCCCTAGATCTCTTCTTTGAACGAAACTATTCGAGCGCCATGGCCGTATACGCGGCATTCTTATCTGGCGGCTCACAGATTGGCCCTGTTATTGCGGGATACCTTATCGAAGCTCGTGGATGGCGGTGGTTCTTCATTCTCTGTGCCATCATTGCGGGTGTCAACCTGGTCACCACCATCTTCATGCTTCCCGAAACAATCTATGACCGCGAAGAAGAGCCAGAAGTCACCGAAGACTTTGAGAAGAACGCGCATGGCCATCTTGAGACCGTTCAGACTCTGCAATCTCAGGTAGGTGACCGTGCTGCAATGGACTACGGTGAATATATGAAGAAGCTCTTCACTTTCAACATCACCAAGGAAGCGAAGGAGCGAGGCGTCCTCAAGCACTTCATCTATATTTTCTTGCTTCCTTTCCCCCTGCTCCTAGTCCCTGGCGTGTTGATCGCTTCGATCATGTACGGTGTTGTACTCGGAGGGTAAGCATTCACTGGCCTCTATCGTCCACCTCAATCGGCCATTTCGCTGGGACCATTGCTAATCAACCTACAGCATCGTTGCGATCTCAACCCTCGCCCCCTCCCTCTTCTCCCCACCGCCCTACCTCTTCACCTCCGCCGCTTTGGGCCTCTTCACCGTCAGCAGCTTCATCGGTATCGTGGTAGCGTGGCCCATTGCCGGCCCGCTGACCGATATCCTCTCTCGCTGGCTGCGCAGACGCAACAACAACATCCACAAGCCCGAGCACCGTCTCCCAGCGCTGATCATTCCATTCCTGGTCTGTCCCGTCGGCCTCATTGTATTCGGATACACAATTGCACGACGAGCACACTACGTTCAACCGGCCGTCGGTGCAGCCATGGTCGCAGCCGGACTGACCCTAGTTCCCTCTGTCATGCTCTCGTATGTCGTGGACTCCTACCCACGAACCAGTGGCGAGGCGCTTGTGTTAATCAACACATCTAAGAACGTTGTTGCGTTCGGACTGGCTCGGGGCGCATATTCTTGGATGGCCATGGAAGGTGTGGAAAAGATGTTCTATGAGTTTGCCGGAATTGAGTGGGCGGTGATTGCGCTGGCGCTGCCGCTTTACTTTGCCGGACCCTGGTTGCGAGCGCATACCCAGAAGTTGGTCTAGGTGTTAGCTTTACGTTGGTGTTTATCTTGCAGTATTGACTCCGGCAAGTTTAGTAATGAATGATTCTTCTCTTAATGACTACAATCTGATACTTACAAGGTCGTTGATGATGAGAAGGTTGCTCAAATTGGTATCACTGATGCCCGTCGGCTGGGAGTATGAATTGAGTCTAGTCTATTCTAGTTTTTGAACCTCTATGCAGAAAAGAAAAGCGCCTTTTGAAAAGCATGGAGCGGGCGAGCCAGCACCTGGTCTAGTTCAGCTTCTTTCCCGCGCTCTGGGGAAGCTTCCAGTGATGAGCACCCTCGGAGTCAGCATCGGTCACGACCTTGCAAGTGCTGAAAGTGTCAACGAGGGACTTCATGTACATTCCCTCGTCGAGATGGTACCGCTTGCCGAGGTAAGGCACAACGGCGTTGGTAGCCTCTTCCGCGTGATAGAAAGGAATCTTGGGGAAGAGGTGGTGGATGACATGGTAGTCAATGATCTCGTGGAACAAGTGGCGTCCGATGAAGCCGAAGCGTCTGTCGACGGTTGAAAGAGCACCCTTGACGAAAGTCCAAGACTTCTCGTCGTAGTGAGGCACATCAGGGTGAGTGTGGTGCAGGTAGGTGATGGCAACTATATCAACGTTAGAACTTCCAGTCGCAAATATTGGAAAAGTGATCCTTACCCAGCCAGTGGTGAACCCAGAAATAGGGGACGACGTAGAGCAGCACGACCTTCCAGGTACCGATCTGTCCAGACAGATAGTAGAGCGCGCTTCCAACGAGGAGAAGACCGATATCGGAGATGGCGATCAGAGGAGCTTGCGAGTTGGTCCACAGAGAGCCAATGGGGTCAATATGGCTGTTCCGGAACATCTTCTCGCTGTTTTCTTTGGGAAGACTCTTGTTTCCGGCACTGACATTGAACAGCATGTAGAGTTGCCATCCGAAAAGCTGGTGTCCGAGCAGAGTGATAGCGTGATAGAGAGGAGTCTCCTCGACCAGCTCCACAAACTTGCTGACCAGAGTGGGCTTTTGGTTCTGAACTTCAGATTCAGTGGGAGGCACAAAGACAACATCCTTGTCGATGTGGGCGTGGTAACGGTGATGTCTGCCGTGGGTGATCTTCCAGGAAAAGAAAGGCACCATGAGAAGAGAGTGCACAGCCCAGCCAACAACATTGTTGAGCTTGTTGTATGCAGAGAAGGCACCGTGACCACATTCGTGGCCGATAATCCACATTCCAACGCCAACGCAGCCTTGGACAAAGCCATAAAGGATCCAAGCGGCAACTCGGAGAGTCGGCGAAGGCAGAAGATCAATCTTCAGGGCGAGAAACACCAGCACTGAAGCATACACAAAGTCACGGAGCAGATACGCGGATGACCGCAGTGCAGAACGCTCAAAGCAATGAGCTGGGACTTTGCTTCTGATGAAGCCATAAGTGATATCCTTGGGCTTTTTCCGGGGTCAGCATGAATGAGATTTGGTATAAAGAAGAAGATGAATTACCTCAATCTCGCCCTTCAATTGAATGACGGGCTCAACCGTCTGAATAGTGGAAGCCATACTTGCAATGATGCTCCTCACAAAAAAAAAACAAGATAAAGTGAAAATTGAAGAGCCCCTTGGATGAAAATTTATTTACATGAATGGCATGGTGAACTGATTGGCTCGTAGGATCCTAATGATGGAGCCCTATGCGGAGCCGATTCTAGTCCTCTTCTAGATAGGTGGCGACCCCTTTCCATGGATGCGATCAGCATCGGGCCAATGTCACGGTCCGGCTCATTGCAAATCCCGAGACCGCCTTTAGTGACCAACAGAAGTCTTCCGAAAGATGTTGATTTTCGGGAAATTCACGTGGAGCAAATTTTGTTTCTCACGGCTAACGCTTAATCTAATTGCCTTGGCTGCTTTCTTATAGGCCCAGGAGCCGCTACTCAGTTTGAGTTTGAGCCTAATCCCTAGCTTCTATGGATCCCCCCTGACAGTTTTTTTTTTCCTTTTTCTTTTGCCGCTCGATTTAGAAACACTTTGTCCGTCTTGGTATTAGACCTTGTCTCATTGATCCGTTTTTCCGTTTGATCAGCACGTGCAAAGTTCCTTGCAGAGTTATCTACCTAGGCACCGTGGGTGCTGACCAGCCAATATGCCTATACAGCGAGATACTTTCGCATAAGTCATTGACTGAAACCCAAGCCGAATTTCGAAACAAGTCGTGATTCTAAACAAATTAAATTTTTTTTTTGAAAAAAGGGGAAACCAGGGGAAGTTGTTGAGACAACCCATGGGAAGAGGCAAGAGGCGATATGGGGAGGCTAACCCGAAGGAGATTGTGGATCGAGCTTAAGACCTCAACAAATAGAAAATTTTTATTCGAAAATGAAAAGGACCCATATTGCAAGACGCTCATTCAATGGCGAGCTTTGTGACACGTTGACAAGTCCCGTGGAAGCCATTGTGTTGATGGGGTTGGACCTTTCAAGTCTTACCGGCCCCTAACCTGGAAGGCAAGGGAACCGACGGGCGTTAAAAAACTCCTTGTCACGGGCCCTTTCAGTGCACTGCCGAGGTGAATTCCGTCTCGTATCCCTTAAGACGTGATCCATTTCCCCGTGATCGGAGAGCCGATCGCCGCAATGGATAGTGTTACCGTGGCCAATATGAGCAGAGTTTTCAAGACGACTATCTACGGTACCATAGTTCCATGATCAAATCTCCCGTCGATAAAATAAAAGCTGCATGCACATTACGCTAATGGTTATCATCTGGCCCTATCGCGAAGCAGTACGCGTCAAAAGCTCAGCCTCCGGAACTGCCCGCGACTACAATACGGAAGTCTCCATCGATTGTTGCGGGGAAGGTGTGCCGAAGACAAGGAGAGTCCTCAGAAAGATTTCTTCAAATCTGTAAAATGAACAGTAATCATAGTCCATCTCGCTCTTCAAGCTTTTAATTTCTTGTGTTTCATTCCCGTCGAGTCACCGATTCCAAGCCTTTGTATACGTGGCACCCACTGGTGTATTAAGAAAGAACAGGAACAGAAGCCGAAGGCATGTCACAAAACCAGTAGCTCTTCAGTAGCGACCACTTCAGCAAAGTCTCGTGCTAGGAGTCGAAAACACGTAAAGACTGTGCCACAGCATGCTCTGCGATGACGACAGGCAGATGAAAAGATTGAATAAAAAGAACCTGGAAAAGAAGGAAAACAAAACCGTAGACGAGATCCAGTACGAGTACGACATCCAGGTGGCAGACGTAGGGGGGTAATTCAACATCGGCACAAGCCAACGCCGTTTAGAAATTGCGAGGGCTGTCGGCCTCGACTTGCCCACAACTTGTACCATCTCTCCCGCCTATATATCGTTTCCAGGACCTTGATGCCCGCGGGTCAGGATGTGATGGGTATGAGGAAGATGGACTGCGGCTCAAGGAGCCAGGGGAGGACGGTGCTGAAGAACCTGGTGTTGTGTTCGTTGTGGCTGGGGAAACTGTGTTATTGACGCTTGATTGAACGGCTGCAGCCCCAGCGGCGGGATTGCAATGGACACAGACGAATATGTTAAATCCCCGGCCGTCACAGCTGGTACAGATTGCTCCCCTATTAGACGCGTCAATATCGAGTCGAGTCATCGTACGAATAAGAAATAGAGTATATACCTTGGAGCATTTCCGGCACAATTGCGACATGTCGAGACGGTCCTTCCGCCGATGCATGATATGTGGTCAGGGTCAAGATCGAAGAGGGAGACGTTTGAGGTGGCCATTGCGCGGTGGTAGGCAGTGAGGCTATGCGGCCCGAAGATGTATGCAAAGCGCCGATTCTGGGAGTCGGTGCAAGGATGGGGTGACTGGAGGTACGATATACTTTAAAGCTTGTGTATACCGGTGGTTCCCGATTTCGTTTCCCTTGCTGGTCGTTAAGAGTGGTCTGGGTTGATTCGAGGGAAGGCGGCGCTTTATCAACGTGCCCTTGCAAAAGAACCAACGTCGGAACAAAAGGACAGAAGGCAACGTGTTGAATCCACAGATCTTGCAAGGATAAAATCCCGTTTGGGCAAAAGTATAACGAGTCCGGAAAGGGCAGAAACAGGAGGATTGCATCTTATATGCGCGACCAGCTGGTGGCACACGACACCCCGAGGGCAGATGTTACATTGAAAAACAAAGAATCGATGACGCCGAGGGACTGAGCCGATCTTTCACTTGATCAGCAGGACATAGCGTTGCAATGCAATTTGTTGCAGCCCAAGATCGATATTTTTTTTAGCAAGGTGAGTCGGTCGACTTGGCGCAGCGACATATTTCAAGATGACGATTTTCCAATGAGAGGCGCAGAAGTGAATCTGGCATATGAGGAGAACGGCGCATGCACCGTATTGGGTTTAAAGCGGCCGCGCGCGCAGTAGAGCCAAGAAGCGTCGGAGGGATGGCGCAGAAAGCCCATGTCTTGATGCCCGGGATTAAGGTACCCAGCGGCGCACTTTCAGGGTTGCTGAAACAGGCCGCGTTGGCGGAGGCTGTTTCGAGCGGAAGGTAGATCGAGGTTCCAACGTCGTCCGCGACTTTTGACTGGCACTTGTTACCATCTGACTACAACGGTGTTCCCGGACTGCGCGGTTCAACGTGATAGCAGTTCCCGGGTAGAAGAGACGCACCATGCAGGGATCAAGTAACGGGGATCTTCGACCATCACAAATCAAATGCGCGCCTAGACTGGATTCGGTGTTGCCTGCGCGGAAAATTAGTCCCAGCCGCATGGAAGCCACCACGGCTTGGTGTTACGAGTCCTAAGATGGGTATGTAGGGAAAGTAGACCGCTTCAAATTTGGATGTCAGAGGGGAACTGGAGACGACAAATGAAAGAGGAGAAAATGGGGCCAGACTGCGCGGTCGAGGGGCAATGAATGGAGATTCCATCCACGGGAAGCTGCATTCCACCATGCGAGGATGGTGGAATTTCCGAGGTATACGAATCACATTCGGCTCACATTGGCATGCCGTTTGTCAGCTTATGAGACTGCATCCATGAGTTTCATACAATGACTCCAAATATGCTTTCCATCTTGACGGGGTTGGAATGCATCGCGTGTTTCAACAAGCTGGTAGTCATATGGTCATTTGCATATGGTTCAAGCCGAGCCAACAGTCCAGGGAAAGATATTATTGGATATCAGAGAGACAACCCCGGCTAAAAGGCACGGCTGTGCATCCATCGAGATATTGCAGGTCCGCTCGAAATGCGCTCATTCAACTCGCGATGACAAATCCACATTCGTCATCAGCCCTCATTAGGCAGGACCCGAACAAACGGACGTTATGGCAGTTGATCTCGGTGCATGTGAGCTCAGCCCCAGGGTCCCAAGCGAATATACCCCTGGCTCAAATGACGATGTGGCATGCGACAGATCTCGCATGCCTTAAAAGAAACAAAGAAACAAAGAAAATCCCACGTCTGATTCGCAGATCATGAGGCCGAGAACACGCCAAAAAGGTTGGCTCGCTGGCCAATTGCAGGGTGTAAAGAACAAGAACGAACTTCGGGAAGCGCCGGCGGATGCGACATGGCAGACACCACCGTGATCCTCCAAGTAGGTATCCGTCGAACACGGTAGTCGAGGAGACCGGAGATATTTCCACGCTGGGACAAGATCCTAACAATTGGGTGGACTCGACTTTGACTGCACTCGGTACAAGATCCTGGTAAATAGAGACGGACGCAAGGTCCCCCTGGCAACCGTTGAGAGCCGAAGTCGCTGATTCACCAGATGCTCAGGAGCTGAGATGTCTTACGGAACTATCGTTGGAGTATATTCTCCGCCCGCGATTGCGTGCAGCCAGTCGACACTAAGAAACGTGCCTGGATTTTGTGGCAGGGTACATAGCCCTAGTCAGTTCGCACAGACGCGTCGCAGCTGGTGCATAGAGCATATCGAATCCATCATAGTAAAGGGTGACAGGTGGCTTGTTCGACCGGTTCGAAGCGAAGTGGGAGTGGGCTGCAGCCAGCCATTCTCCATCACGCGCTAGACCCGGAATTCGAACGCGGACTGGGGTCATGGCCTCACACGGCAGCATGCGTTCTTTGTGGTGGACCCGGCACGACAATTCTCGAAAGGTGGTCTGAGACTCCCGAGATTTCGGCGTCCGTGGTGGATTCATTGTTCGAGGGGATGTGGTGAGACCGCGCGCAGAAAAGATGTAACGGCAAAGAAAAGTCTCCAGTCAGCTGACATGAATGCGAAAAGATGCAGTCTGATTGACGAAGTGATCTCTCGATCTGATTTGGCCCTCCTATCTGGAAGGATCGCCCGGGGCTTTTCGGCCGTCGATATTCTAACTGACCTGCCATCTGGTCTGTCTGCCACTTCGGAGGTTCGGGCCCTGTTGGTGTTCGATCTGGGAGCTTGTTTCCGAGTTTCGGCGATAAAATTCGGCCAAACGTAGTTTCCACATTGGACACGGACGGACCCTTTCAGATGGGTTCTAGCGAGATGACATCATAGCGCGCTTTTGAACAAGCCCCGATAGTGGTCGGTGCCTGACAGCACTGGGATAGGACCGCCTACCTAGAGTCACGCTGCATTTGAAGAGCTACAGTGGTCTGCGGCGACTACCAAGTGTAGAGGGAGATTTGCAAGATAGGAGATTGGCAATTCATTCTTGATAATCATTATGACCAGCATTGGGATCGCCATTGCAACAAAGGGGGAGATATCATAAGCGACGTGAGGTAATGGTTCAGTTCAAGAAGATCCATAGTTGGTAGACCACAGCTTCTTGAAATGACAGAACCGTAAAAAGGCATGGAAAGCAAAAGGGTAACTAGAAAGAGAACATCAAATAGCCATCGCATCAACCTATCCAAACTCCAGTCCTAGTAACTCCGTATCTTGTAACTCAACCCTTGCCAGTAAATTCGTTGGGATACTTTCTGATGTTGAAGTCACAAGAGAGAAAGGGGAAATGAAACTCAATTGTTCTGCACCTGGAACACAGGGGTAATGCTCATGGAGATCCAAGTGAATTACTGGAAGTATTCTGCGGGCAGCGCTGCCAGAAGAGCGATGGTACCCAGCCCTCCGAGAAGGGCACTGATTACAGCCGTGGCGGTGTAGCCAGCCATTGCCGTGGACGTGGAGTGTGATGACTTGGCTCGCTTATTTGAAGGCTCACTCTCCGAAAGCGCTGAACTGATGGCATCAACAACTTCGGCGTTTGGAAAGCTGTTGAGATCCGGCTGAGAGGCAGGGATCACCGCCTCGGGCTGTTGCGCATCCTGGGTTTCCATATCAGAAGCCTTTCGCTTCAGGGAGACTGGAGCAAGAGCAGGGCTGAACTCCTTGACCGGGCTTGGCTCTTTCAGAGAGCTTGATGGATTGCTGTCAACGTTGTTTTGGGCGTAGACGGAGCCGTACTTGTATGAAAAGGGCCCATCAGCGTAATCAAAACGCGGGTAAGGCGTGTGAAGCGAAGGGGGGAAGTTGTTAGGCAGTCTCCACGGGTTGACATCGTAAGCCGAAATGGGAGGAGGTTGGAAAGAAGGCCCCTGGAAATTATACTCTGCGTGGAATGGGACATTGGTTGTGGGAACGCTAGACTTGGACTCGGTCGCCTCGGGCTTGACCTGAAGGCCGGCGTCCTGAAGGCCGGACTGCACAGAACTGATGCCGGACTGCACAGAACTGATGAACGCATCCTCACGCATCTTTTCCCGTAACAGCATACTGGGATCGACGAAGGCATTGTCATTGATGTAAGCTTCTTCGTCATCGTAGGAATCATCATTGACTGAATATTCATTCCCAGACTGAGCCTCCGAGTCTGAGACGGAATCGGACTCGCAGTCCTCCTCGGAGAATTGTTCGTACTCATAGTATCCGGTTTCCTCAAGGCCGGCGGCATTGGAATTGGCACCATCGTTGCTGTTAATGAACGAAGAGGGCTCTGATGACTCGAGTTCCGATCCCTGCTCGTCATTAGGGCTTGTAGAATCATCGGACTGGTGTCCAAGGACTTCGTCTTCGTGATAAAAGCATGGATCTCCCGAAGCCTTTGACTCCTCTTTCATGTGTCGCTCCTCGTGCACGGTCTCAAGCACAGTTTCCTCGTCCTCAATCACACAGATTGGCTCCGACGGGTGAGAGAAGTTTCTTTGCATCATGGCCGCCGTGATCTTGATAGGTTCTTCCACATCACTGTCATCCTCGGGAGCACAAAAGGTGTTGGTGGATGTGGAGGGTCTGAGCTTCGAGGCGGGAGGTGTGATAGGTTCAGCAACGCTATGGTTCACCGAAACTTCGTCGCTGGTAGGCCCTCTAGGGTGTACATCAGTCTTGATCATGCTAACTTTAAGGCAGGAGTGCTCGTACTCATAGATCCAGTCAAATTTACACCTGACGGCCAGAGCGGGATACGTTTCTGTTGGTAGAGTCAGCCAACGAGTCGGTATCATAGGGGTTTGCGGACATAGGTACGAACCATCTTCACGGTCCACGGGTACACCAAAGGTCAGGATATCGCCATGAATAAGCGGCATCTTCTCGCCAGTAATCAGCCTCGATTTGTTGATCCACGTTCCATGAGTCGATCCATAATCGCAGATGTAGAGATTCTGTAGATCGTGCTCATCAGCATACTTGGTCAAATGAGGAAGAACGGGAAGTTGGAGCGTACCTTTGTTTCCAGGGAGATGCTCAGCTCAGCATGATCCCGAGACATGACCCGGGAGTCAAACCACGCATTATCCTTGGCGGGGGTGCGGTTCCTGAGCCCACGCTTTGAGCAGCGTCCGATCTCGATAGATGGTTCGGAGGTAGAGAGGGTGAACGAGCGGACGAGGGAAACTTTGGCATCGAAGTTGACGGGGGACAGCACCACCGATACTAGAAAGTCACAGACGGGTCAGTAAGAGTATAGCGAAGGTAGGCGAAGCAAACAGGCAGGGACTCCGAGGGACTCACCTTGCACATCCGACATGTTGACGGACTCAGACGGTGACGGCAGCATGTATGGCGTGGGAAGTGGATGTTGGAAAAACAGGGGAGTGATTTCTAGATGACGCAAGTTAGATGAAGATAAGAAGCGGTCATATGTGCCAACGGGGCGTCAAGAAAGGCCCAGGCTGCAACGGAGGCTGATAAGCACGGGACCTGGGGTCGGTGAGAGCGTACCGGGTTTATCCGGCTGTTGCGGACGGGTACCTCCCAAGCGAAATGACTTGAGAGAGAAGGTTTAGAACGTAGGAAGGAAGGCAGGAAAAGCGGAAGGTGGTAAGGTGAAAGTAGGAGGGGGGAGGGGTAGATGATGAATCAGGCTATGGTGGTCAAGGCTTCTTGGGTGCCCGGCCCTCTGAGGTCCCTTGGATTGACCCGGACGGACCCAGCAAATGGGAAAGTAATGGTGCGGTTATCATTCGTTAACTCCCAAGGAATCACAAGAGCACTTCATGTAGTAAGTGTAGTAGTAGTAGGCAAGTAAGAGTGTACTTCATGGAGTTTATCAGGTATACCGGTGGGGCGTTCTTATCGGAGCATCCCACTTGTGGATCCCCGCGGAAGCTTACGTAGATGGGACTGAGATGGGGTACGGATTCCTCTCTATTTTGCCGGCTATTTCCATCTATGGTGCTCCATGGTGGCCACATACTGAACGGTATATCAAGACGTCACGTCACATTCACCTCTATGGTACACAAATTACTCTCCAATGTTCACAACCCAATGCAAGTGTCTGCGGACACCGCCCTGACCCTCAAAATCCCGGTTCGCATCTCTGGATATCACAGCCCGCCCACGATCAAAGCAACAGGAAGAGGGAATATGTCAGGAGGGAGATACTAAATACAAGCAGAGAAAAAATTGGCAGGGCTTCCACCAGGCTGAGCCAGAGAGTCCGAAGTCCGGATATCGAAAAGGGAATAATTAGACATGCACCCGAGTCCAGGCCCCGGAGATGGAAGACGAGAAAGGAAAGAGGGAAGAGTGTAGGAATAGAAATCGCAGTAAGCACTTTTACATGCCACCGGGGCCAGCACCCATGGCACCCATGGAGTTCAGGCGAGCGGCCAACTGCGGGTACTTCTCCTGAACCTCCAGCTGGGTACGGGTGGCCTCGGCGTAGGAGATGGCGTTGATGATCTCGGCTTCGGTGCGAGCAAGCTCGGCAGCCCGCTCGAAGTACTTGAGGGCCTGCGAGACCTTGCCCTGCTGGAGCAGCAACTGGGCCATGGTGCCGACAGCGATGTCACACTCGGGGTCGACTAGACGACTTGTTAGATGAGCGTTCCTCTGAGACATAGCTGGTTCACTTACTGATGAGTGCCTTCTCGCAAAGGGCCTCGGCTTCGGCGAAGTCGTGCTTCCACTGGAACAGAGCCAGAGCCTTGTTGATCAGGGGGAGGACGTTGATGCCCATGGGCTTGTTCTGCTTCTCCATCTCGACGGCCTTGTCGAACTTCTCGATGGCCTCGGAGTAGTTCTGCTGGTCGAGCAGAAGCTCACCGTAGTAGTTGTATACATCAGGAACCTCCTCGAAGTTCTTGACCGACCGGCGGAAGGTAGCCATGGCGGAGGCAACGGAGCCCATCTTGTACTGGGTAACACCGAGCTGGATGTGAGAGAAGATGAAGGAGCGGTCAAGGTCGATCGACTTCTGGTAGTCCTTGGCGGCTTCGGCGAACTCACCCAGGATGAAGTGGAGCTGAGCGCGGTGGTAGTAGATATCGGGGTCATCCTTGTTGTGGGTGATGGCAAGCTCGAAGTCGTCGGCGGCAGCATCCTTGTTTCCTGTTCAACAGTCAGAAAGGTGTCGGCGATCGGGGGGGGTTACGGCGGTCAGAGTCAACTTACCGAGCTCCAGGTGCAAGCTGGCGCGCTTGATGTAGCTCTGGACAAGAGAGGGCTGCAGCTCAACGCTCTTGTTCAGGTCTTCAAGAGCACCAGCAGCGTTGCCACCGAGGTATGTGAAAGTAGCCCGCATGTTGAGAGCCAGGGCCTCGAAGTCTTCCAGGTCGCCGGCCTGGATTGCCTTCTCGAAGGACGAGGCAGCTTCCTCATAGCCATCAGCGGTCTTCTTGCCCATGGCAACCATACCGCTGCGAAGCAGACCCTTGCCCGAGTCCTCGCTCAACTCAACAGAGTCCTCCAGGCCCTCGGGAAGAGACAAGGGGCGGAAGCTCTGCAGGTAGTTGGAAACGAAGGTGGCACTGGGCAGTTTCTTGGTGCGCGCATCCAAGATAGCCTTGCTCTTCTTCTCGGCGACCTTCTTCAGCAGACGCTCGAGGGAGTTGCGGCTGACGTCGTTGGAGAATCCATCGATGATGCAGCTGGCGGTGAAGTCGAGGAGGGCCTCGCTGAACTTGCCGAGGTGCTCGTACGCGATGGCTCTTCGGTTAAGGGCCTTCACATACTCGCTGTCCATCGCGAGCGCGGCACTGGTATCCTCTACAACCTTCTCCCACTCAGACAACACGTTATAGCAGGCGGCGCGGTTCGAGTAGAAAACGGGGTCGGGCTTGCAAATAATGGCCTTGCCGTACAGGATAATCGCATTGTTGTAATCCTTGGAGCCATAAGCCTTGTTACCGGCGGCCTTCAGCTTGCCAGCATACTCCTTCCGGGTCTTGCATCGATTGTCAGCGACTAAAAGTCGAGTGAAACGACTCAATGGGTTGGAAAAACAAACCTCCTCAGACAACTGACCCACGGTGGTCTCATCGACATCGGGGATCTCCTCGGCGGGTTCCTCGGCCTTCTTGGCAGGCTCTGTAGTGATGTCAGTCGCGATTCCGCGATCGCAATCGAAGAGAATTCATCACGCACCATCCTGCACGGAAGCAGACTTGGTCTTCTTCTTCTCCTCCTCAGCCTTCTTCTTCTCTTTCCTTCGCTGATTCTTGCTCTTCTTCGGCGCGGAGGAAGAAGCGTCGCCGCTGGGCTTCTTCGAGTCGGACAGGTAGTAGACAACACCGGCGCCAGTCACGACGACGGCAACACCGGCAATGGTATAGACGACAGCCTTGTTCTCAGAGACCCAGTTGGTGATGCGGTCCCAAACCGACTGTGATGACGAAGGGGGAAGCTTCGCAGTATCCAACACCACCTGGGTGGGTGTTGCGGGTAATGGCGACTCGCTCGACATAATGTATGAGGATCCGGACACGGCGGCCGATGCTGTGAGAGTCCTGATTCTGCGCGATAGAGCGGAGTTAGAAGCGCGTCAATGCACGACAAGAAAAGGGTGAAACGAACCGGTCCTTGACGCCAGAAGCGGGAAGAGTGAGATAGGGAGAAGTGACGGAGCTACGAGGAAAAGTCCTGAGTTGGATGAGTGGCTGCACGGGCCAATCACGGCCACTGCGACGGCAACGTCAGATTCTCCACAATCCACACCCGGTTTCGCCGAAGGGATATAACTTCGAGTCTGCACCCTATCTATACGCTACTGTGAAGACTCGCTCTTCCTGCTCTTGGGTAGATTAGTCGAGCACGCACTCAATTGCCGAGGGAAGCCCGATCGCGGGTGAAGCGCGACTAACTTTAGGGTGGAATTGATGACCTCACGGGTCTTGTCTTGCCCCGATGTTCGTGTCTTCGGCCACCGAGTCGACTTTCCAGGTCATGACGTCTCTTCGATACGATCCTGCTCTTCCTGATGTGGTCTCGAGCTATCCGGAGGGCTATCCCGAACCTCTACGCTCCCCCTACTACCTCCTGGCCTACCACCGGGATCGACTTATAGCCGCGGCGCGCTTCTTCCAATGGAACAAAGCTTTGGAATGGCTACAACAGGACTTGGGCAGTCTTGAAAGGTTTTTCGAAGGCTCAATACCGGACAAGCAAAAACCATGGCGGCTCGGAATTACAGTGGATTGCAATGGCAATGGTTCGATCGATGTCAACCCGACAGCAGCCATTGATCCACTCAATCTACTAATTCCTTCGCTGCGCCCGCCCATAGAATCACCCATCTGGCGCGTGTATGTTGATACGTCAGCTACCAACCCCTCTGGTTTTACCACGCACAAAACCACGGCTCGGGAAGACTACACGGCAGCTCGGTTAAGGGTGGGGATCAATTCCTTTGCGGAAACGGCAGAGGTCTTAGTGATTAATCCTGCCGGCGAGATTATGGAAGGAAGCATTACAACGCCTTACTTTCGCGCACGAGGAACATCTGGTCAAGCTTGGTTTACACCGCCGTTGAGCAGTGGGGGTAATGATGGCACCACCCGAAGATACGCATTGGCTCAAGGGTTCTGCACGGAACAGACGATCAACGGAGCAGAGTTGGTCGATGGTGAAGAATGCTGGTTGAGTAATGGGGTCCGAGGATTCATGCGTGGCATGGTTGTGTTGAACCGCTCGCCTGGTGGGAATTAGAAGCCTAGACCTCATGAACAAATATTTAATTGAATGATATCAGTGCATGGAACTCTGTAGCATTGTTTATTTTTTTCAAAATGACATCGCCTGGTGACCCCGAGGACCTCTATTTCTTCTCAGCCACAACGGCGTTGGGGTTGCCCTTCCACTCCAGGGGACGCGGGCGCATGTACTCGGCCACAATTTCCTCGGTGACCTTGGCCCGGCGTTCCTGGAAGCCCTGGACGTACTTCTGCAGCTCGGCGATACAAATCTGCTTCAGCTCGCCAGTCATCATCTCACCCTTCTCGTAGGTAGTGCGGATGCGCTCCAACTCCTCATCATCCTCTAGGAAGAAAGTCAAATACTGGAACGGGACGTCCACCTTGGAGTTGCCGCCCAGCTCGCGGTGCAACTCAGCGGTTTCCTGGCCACCCGAGAAGGCAAACTTGTTGATCTTGTTCTTGATCTTATTCGGTGTGTCGCTCATGAAGATAGCGGAGCTGTCAATACTGGCGGACATCTTCGAGCCGGGACCCTGAAGAGCGGGCAAGAAGATGGAGTGGATGAGCGAGGGCTTCTTGAACTTCATCTTCTCAGCGTTATCACGGCACTGGCGGAAGTAGGGGTCCTGGTCAATGGCGCATGGGATCAGGCAGGGGATGGAGGCGACCTTCTTCTTGTCGGTACCGAAAATCTGTGGGAAACTGGTCGCGAAAGCAGTGGCGGACTGGATGGCGCAGAAGTGGAACTCTCCAATGTTGTTGCTGTCGTTGAATCCGAAAGTGCCGCGAATCTGGTTAATTGTAATGCGCTTGGCCATGCGGCAGATGTTCTCGTAGAAAGCGCCACCGACAAAGTCAAAATCGCTGAAAATGAAGGTCTTCTTCATGTCAAATCCGACTGCAATAATATCCCGTGCGTTGGCCTTGGTGTATTGCTTGACGTCCTCGACTTCGATCTTCGCGGAGTGCATGTACTTCTCGTCGTCGGTCATCATGATCACCAGGGGCACATCAAAAACGTCTTGCAACCATCTATTCAACGACAGAACATGTCAGCATTGTTAACTGCTAGTAAAGACGGAAGAAAGTCTGTCATACTTGGTAAACTCGAATGGGACAGTGTGTCCCACGTGCATGCTGTCGCTGCTGGGGCCACGGCCAGTATAAAGGTAGAAGGGCTGGCCCTTCTCATGACGGTCCAGAATTTTGTTCAACTCGCGATGGCTGAACACAATGCCTCGGCGCATGAAACGGTGCGGGCGGTGGCCGGTGACCTTCTCGAAACGCTCAAGGATTTCTGGGGTGAGCGGAGTGGCACCGAACTCGCGAGTAAGCTTTTCATAGTCGACAGGCAACAGCTTGCCGGCCTCGTCGACACCGCCGGAGACATCGAACGGGGTGACGACCTGGCCGGTAGCCTTGGGTGCTGGGGCTTTTTCGCCGAGACTCAAGTTGGTGAGCGCCGGGGGCTGGCCTGGTTCGTCCGCCATGATGTTTGATTTGCGACTAGATCCAAACGGTTAGTCACTATGGGGCAAGTATGGTAGGATCCTTCTTACCTTTTGTGCAGAGCAGCTGGAGACCGGGAATTTCTTGTGCCCCTCGCAAGATCGCCGATGAGTCAGACCCACCCGCTATCGGTGCGCACGCTCATTGGTGTGGGCTAGGTTGTCACGTGGTACTATATCCCCGCGCTGTCATTTATCTTCTGTTCTTGTTTGACTTTTATACTTGGTTTTCTTTTTCTTTTTGCTATATACTAGAGTTTTCATCTTCACTCACAAGTGGCCTTACCAAGGCTCCCATGGTGGGTTAACGGCGCTATTCCATAAATTTCAATTCAAAGTCCATCACCAGGGGCCCAGATCTTGAACCACCTCTTATCAATACCCGGGTCATCCTTCTCGTAGAATCGCAGATCCGTACTCAACCGAATACTACCAGTTGTATCTTCATTGCGCCCACTGGCATGAATGCTATATGGATCGTGGAACACCACATCTCCGGCTTCATAGTTGGTCACGAGCCACTTGTGAGTACCATAAGCAGAGTGGGCTTCCTGGAATTCCTGAGGGGAGTTCGAAATCATGCCACCGTCCAGCATATTGACATTGAACGCAGAGACGCGTTGTTCCTGCGTGAAGGCCTCGGAGCGTTTATTAAAGTCCTCCTCGACATGGCGTCCGAGAGGAACGGAGTTCTCCAGGTAGCAAAGACCACCCCCGTTGATAGCGATGTCACCTAGATTAAGAGTATTAGAGCACCGTAACAAAAGTTTTGTATCCAAAAGAAAGAGAAAAGAGATTCCTACCGATAGGTACCCAAGCAGTCAAAAAGAAGCCCTCGCCACCTCTCAAAAACAGCTTATCATAATGGATTCCAGTTCCCGATCCAAATGGCACGTTGTGCCGCAGCATCGTCCGATCCAGAATGCGGTGTTCCCTCCAACCCATGAATTCTCGGATAAACCCAGTCAAAGCCGGATGTTCTACAAACTCGCGATACTTCGGGTCTGAATGAGCATCGATTAGGATCTTTTGTTCCACTGGGTCGGTCGGTAGGCCCGCCCCGCCGATCCCTTTGTGAGAGTCCGGGTGGGAAGATGAGTTGAAGATTCCATGTCGTGGAGACGACCCGGGTTCCAAAAGCGAGGTATTTGAGTACTGGCTGAAGTAGCTAGATGGGAATCTACACGTCAGAAAGCTTCGAAAGTATATATTCCACGGAATAAGACCTACTTTTCTCTCGCATCCAGTACATCCTCTCTAGGGATCAGTCCCTTCACAAACAAATACCCATCTTGCTTAAGACGCTGTCTCATGTCCTCCATAGGGAGTGAAGCAGACGTAGGTCGGAGTAAACCGATGTGATCGGTAGGAACTCTGCCGCCACTCTGTCCGAGCCCTCCCGGTAAACGGTCCTTCAGAGAGCCGCTGAGGACGGGAAGAACGGGAGATGCAACTGCTACAGCCGTCATTTTCAGCTGAGAGTATTTGGCAGAGAAGAATCTCTGACGAGGTCGAAGGTGCCATTTTATCGAACGGGGACGCACGCGTAATGGGGGTCAAACCATGGGGGTTTGCTGGCGCCAATGACCTCGTATATTCTCAAACATTCATATAGGGCGAAACGACCACCAATCAGGTTTGAATGAGGGGGTAAAAAGAAGATTCGATGAACAACGAACCTGCTGATGATAAGTCCACCTTCCTCGAATGGGAACGAGCGTCTCCACATGCTCTGCAGGATCCGTGGTACGCTAGCCATGTTTAGGAAAATCTTCGGCGAGTCTAACCTTACAAAGTAGTCGTAACGCGATCTATGAATGTCCATGCTAGACGCAAGTAATATCAAGCCCTGCGCGGTGCGTCTATTAGATGTACATTCCATGTATATTTTTGAGCTTGAATTGGCGCAGGTGGAGTGTTACCAATGGTGACCTTGTACAAAACAATATATCTTGAACTTGGTCCCTCAAGCAAAGGTCCGCAAAAGGAAGACCCGATAATGGACCCAGGTAAACTAGGTGGACTCGTTGCGAAAAAGAGACCACCCATGAATCAAAGACAGCTCCAGAGTACTATCTTTGCCAAAATGGTTGGCGCGGAATACAAGGTCTTTGATGCGACCAGTGGTCTGAGTCGGCCAATGGTCCATGTCCTGCACAGCCGCGCAAGGACTTGAAAAGATACCCTAGGAATGGCAAAACGCCTGATGGTTTTTCTCAATTGTGATACTTGATGAGAAAGAGAAGCTTCGTGATCTTGAATGGGTGAAATCGTGGCCGAAGTCAGCATCATGATGCATGACGGCTTTGACAAGACTGCTAACACAATCAACTAGCAGTGCCTTCGGTTAAAGAGCCCGCAGTGGTGGTCTGTGCTTCTCGGACACTACCCGAAGCCTGAAAAATCGGTTAATGGATTTTTTGGCCACGAAGAGGTTCCATAACTCAGTTGGTTAGAGTGTGGTGCTAATAACGCCAAAGTCGAGGGTTCGACCCCCTCTGGAACCATCCAAATGTCGAATTGTACATTCGATTGTCTTTTTGTCCCATTCGAATACTCCTGGATACGAGGCTATTTTTTTTGTCGACTGCGAACCCAGTGAGAGTTGGGTTACCATGACATCTATACCGGGAGGCCAATGGAACAGACCACACTCAGGGTCGGTTGGATACTACGAGGCTTTATACCCATCCAAAATATCCGTTCGCACCTGTGAACGCCTGACAGTGGACTCGCCTCCGTGTCTGATGCCCGAGGCCCAGGGGGACCACAGCCAGGAGGCCGCGAATCAGAGCCGGAGCGTTGTGACCATAAAGGAAAGGGACGCGTGACTCTGAGCACGGTAGAAAGCAGCGGCCGTCAAGGCATCTGCGCTTGGGGGAGTTTGGACCGGATCCGAAGTAAATTCACTTTCGGGAGAGGAGGGAGATGTTTCGGTTCTGCCCATGCCCGTAGTGCTGTCACCCAAGCTCGGGTTCAGCGTGTTGGTGACACTGGGCGGCGGCAACAAGGTCTGGAGGCCTAGGAACGAACCCCTACAAATCTCCCGGGATCGAAAAAAAATTGTCCTTCTTTGCGCTGTCGGGTGCCGCAGGGAAATCCAAAAATTCCCAAACACTAGGACTCAGACTATTCGTGAGAATTGGCATGACATCCAGATCAGAAAAGTCATCCGCGGTGGACAAGGAGAGAGACGGCAAACCGACCCCAGGAGCCGAAAGCCCAGGAACCGGCCATTCATTGGAACCAGCTGGTCCGCGCAAGGTCTCCAAAATCTCGACCACTTGGCGGTGAAGGGAGCGTCTTTCGTCCGATCCAGTGCCATGGCCAGGCAGACTATCGACGCCGTCCGCCGAGTCTTGTTCCTCGAGTCTCATCAGGGCCTCTAGGGCCATGACACTCCGCAGCGCCGATCCATGCGCCATATCTCGAGGCAACGTGTCCTGGGAAGGATCCTCGGAGAGGCTCCTGGACCGCAACAACTCGATGGCTTCCCGGATCTTGTCGCGTGTCATCAAGCGACTGAGTTGGGCACTTGACTGGTCGGATTCCGTGGGTACGGAATCAAACAGCAACCCGAGAATCAGCACCACGGTTGCATTGAACAGTTGAGTGTCGTTGGTGGAGAGAGAGTCACACACGGCGCAGCGGGCCTGGATCTGGGCCTGGGTGCCAATGATATTCTGTGCCAGAAGCTGACAGGCCGCACGGCCCACGGGGGAAAAGAGATTGGCGCGATGAAGGCGCAGGAGAAGACTCCAGAGTTGGTGATGCAAGAGGAATCGCTGAACCGGAACGGCGGCCATGGGACCCATAGCCGTCAGTCCGACCGTGCTTCCCAGCCGGAAGTACAATGGCAGGCCCGCCACATACTCCTCGTACTGCTGATTGAGCCGCTGGCGTCGGTGAGCCGCCCCGGCGCTCGCATCCCTAAGGTTGATCGACTCCCGCACAATGCTCGCCAGTTCCAACGCATGCACGGTATAGGAGAGCATAGTGAACTCGGAGCGTGGGCGCTCACAAATCTTGCCGTGGGTCCGACAAAGATCGTCGTCGTTGATATGGAGCGGCATCCGGGTGTTAAACTGAGAAGGACAAATGGTACAGTATCCGAGTGCTTGCCCACGCGACCAATCTCTCATGACGAGGGCCCACCTGGTAGTCCAGAATGATCAGCGCTCTGTTTCTCACGGATATAGTACATTCACCGCCCCGGGAAAGGGGGAAACTTTCGGGTTGACCTACCACAGGCGGATGGCGATCTCAGTGCGAATATGGGGCGGTTCGGTCGTCGCAGAAAAATCATCACCCACGACAGGCAACGCATCCAACGTGATGTGACCGAGACGATGCAGTCCAAGTTTGCGCGCGCCCGAGATGGCGGTGACCAACACGGCATCCAGCGCCAATGAACTGTCTTTGGCATCAAGCAAGAGCATGACGGCCGCCTGTAAACTCGGGATGGAACCACAGAAGAGGGAGGTGCCTCCATGCAAACAACGCACGGCGAGGGTTCGCCATGTCGCTGCAGGCTCGTCGGAAGCGCGCAGTTGTTCCACGCTGCACGTCAACGGGGTCAAAGTCCAACCCAGAAGAGACGGGGTCGGATGGAAGGCCAATCCGAGCAAGAGCTGAGAGACACAATCAGCGGACACTCGACGCAGGGGAAGGGAGGGCAAGAACGAGGTACCGCGAGGAGCAACCCGGCAAGCGAGTCCATGGTCATCGTACTGGCGATGGCGGTGTCGGGGGCCTCTAGACGGAGGCAATGGCGGAATTGTTCTGCCTGCTGCATGAAGGTGGGCGTGTGCACCACATTGCCCAGTGGGCCTTGACACCGCGTCACGAAAATCTCGTAGAGAAGATTCATGACATCCCACTCCGGCAGCGCCTCGACCACCTCGCGAATGAGGGCGAGCTTTTGTTCGTGTCTCCGTGGGTCCATCGTGACCCAATATCGATTCGGAAAGTCTGATGCGACGGCCGCGGGATCTGGCGCGGGAGGAGGATTTCCATCCACGAAATGCTCCAAGATCCGGGCGGTCTCCTCGACCTCAGGTTCATCGTCTGGCGCCGGAGTGACCTGACCGAGGGTCTGGCCGTTGTCTTGGGTCTTGGTCCGTTTCGCTCTCGGTTGCCGTTCATCCTTGGTGCAGAGGTAGCCAACGTCGCGTTTGACACATTCCAACTATCGCGAACCGATCAGAGTCGTCCTCCTGATTTGAAGGGGGATGAGCGGCACACCTACACAGGGTTCCTTGCGGTCGCATTTCAATTTACAGGCGCGACATCGAGAACACGAGAGTGTTAACTTCTTCGTCTTACGCAAATCGTTGGGAGTGGAGCGTGCCATCAGGACGGTGAGAATCGAGAAAGCATCCTCTGACCGTGTCCCGGATCTTGGAGGGGAAACGAGGAACGGGGAACGGGGGAGGAAACAATCAGCTCGGAGGGGAAGATCAGCTCGGAGGCTTCTGAGCTTCCTCTCGTAAGCCGGAAGACTGCATTGTGTCAGACCCGCCCAAGACCCACATAGTCTGGGGTTGCGGACCGTTCCACTCGGATGCATTTGGAGCGAAGCTGACAACGCTGAAGGGTTCTCGGACCTCTGCATTGATACGTTGATTGATGACCTGGATATATAAATTGATTTGCGTGAATTCTCAGAATCATAAGTCTGGAATTTTCGATGATGATTGGGATTTGTTATCCTCAAATTAAATTCGATTGAACTGATTCTACATAGTTGACCCCGCGTGCAGATTCTTTCACCCCACACACGTCGGTGACCTTTCGATCTATGAGAGTCTAATTGTGCGATACACAAGGGCAGTACCCCGCATGTCCCCCATGGACATATCGGGCGGTTGTCTCCCCCGTTCGCACGAAAAAAGGGAGCCGGCGAGCAGAGGGCTTCATCGGAAGGGAAAGATGCGGACGGCATCCCGCGCTTCAAATCAACGGCCAGGCTACCGTGGGGGCCACCAAGACGCTCCTTAAGCCCTCGTGTCCTCAGTAACGCCATCCGCGCTACTGGGCTTCTGCTTTATCTCTTCCCCCTTCTTCGGAGCGGACCGGGTATCGCGGACGAAGAGAACCACGATCAAGAAGCCGATGACTGCAAAGCCGATACCCAGCCAGAGCGCTCCACGGTAGCCCAGGACGGCAAGCTTCCTGCCATCATTCACGTGGCCCTCGACAGTCGCGGCGATACCGAGCCCGACGGAAATCGAGTATTGGACAACAGTCGAGATGAAGGACCCTGCGACACCCTGCTCCTCCGGCAGAACGGCATTGGAGATGAGAATACCGGAAGATGCAAAAGACAGATCAGGACCACCGACGACCAGCAGGCAGGCAGGGAAGATAAAGGCCCAGTAGACCTTTGAGTAGTCGGCGAAGCTCATAAGCAAGTTGCCGATGAAGAAGGAGAACATGGACACGCCAAAGATGTACTGAGCGGGTACCTTGGCGATGAAAAGGCCAACAGACGCGGTGGCGAAGAAGCCTCCGATGACCAGGGGAACCATCTCGGCCACCGCGGTGAGTGGCAGCGCATTGCGGATGGTAAGGATAAAGTTGGTGGTGTAGTAGAGGAAGATGCCGAAAGACATCCAGCCGAAGGACATGGCCGCGACCACGGGCGAGAAGCCCTTGCGGGTCCAGAGCGAGTTGGGCAGGACGGGTGCGGCTGCGCGGGACTGGGAGAAAATGAACCCAGCCAGCAGCACGATGCTGACGATGAGCAGGATGTACGTGTATGGCTCCTGCCAGCCCACGACCGAGGCTTGATTCCAGGAGAAGGAGAACAAGACCAGGGCGGAGATACCAAGCATACTGCCGATGTAGTCAAACTGGCTCAGACTCAGACCAGGGATCGGGCAGCCCACGCGATGAGGCACCACGATGATCGACACCATCCCAAGGATGAGGCAGCCGACGGCCCAGAACCAGAATCCCCAACGCCAAGTGACCTTCTCGGCGAAGGCGGCCCCAATGAGGCCACCGAAGATGTAGCCGGAGGGGGCGCAGAAGCCCAGGAAGGCGAAAGCGATGTTCTTCTTGATCGAGAACGGTGGGAATGCGCGCGCGAGAAGCGCGAATGAATTTGGAACCAGCGCTCCGCTGCCAACGCCCATCATGCCGCGCGCAATATCGAAGAGGATCACGTCGTGGGCAAAGCCGCAGATCAACGACCAAATCGCCATCCAGATCCACCCGAACAGGAAGACATACTTGTGCCCGAAATGATCACCCAATCGGCCGGTGACGAGCACAAATACACCTCCACAGAGAGAGTAGGCTGCCAAAAACCAAGACTTCTGGCCGTTGCTGGTGACGTTGAGAGACTGGCCGATCTCCTGCATCGAATACGCCGCATTACCCAGACCGCCGACGGAAAAGAGCTGCGACAGGCCGATGATAAAGATGAACAGGGCTTCTTGGAAGGAAGAGGAGAAGTTGCTTGGGGGAGCGGCGGCATCGGGCTCGCCAGCACCTCCAGGGCCGTTCATGACCTCCTCTTCTTTGTGCAGGGGGCTGTTTCGAGTACTTGATTCATCAGTAGATGACATGATGAGAGGATCGCGTAGCGCTGGATGGGGCTGGATAGCTGCTCTGGATGAAGAGCCAGATTAGACAGGACAGAGGTTTTATAAGTCTTTTGGGAAAGACATTCCCTTTTTTCAATCTCCATCATGGTGGTATCCTCCCTTTTCCACTTTCTTAGTGTCCGGAGCTTGTGTTATTTAGGCCGGTTGGGGGGGGGACAATTTGAAACCCCGGGGATCCATAGAAGGTTGAAAGTCCGCGGAGTCTCACGAAAATCCGAAGCCAAACCAACCTCCGGGGTGTGATGGAGACAGTCAGCGGAACCCGGACAATGGGCAACAGAGGACCCATCGGCGTGACGAATCGAGGAGATGAAAGGGATCGGCTAGTTCTGGGAAGTGGACGAGACGCGAACCGAAGCGTCTTGCTCAGAGAGGAAGCGATGCGCATCCATTGTGGCTTCGATGTCGAGGTGGGTTGCGGATGATCTGTATTGAATATTTTTTGGTTGCATTAACACCCTACATACATCTTTCCTTCCGATCAATTTGAAAGTTGTTGATAAGGAAACCGATTCTGATGCCTTCTCGCTCCGAAAATCCGAAACTCCGGATCTCGGAAACAGCACAATCTATATAACCCCACCTCCTGAAATTGATTTTTGGAGGACGAATAGCAGGTTCGGGATTTTGTAAAGCAACATTCCATGCTCTTTACCCATAATCTCGGGACTTGCGCAATGGGTCGTGTTGTGGATGAAAGGCTGCTCGTGAAAGGTGTGGTTGGTTTGGTGTTGTTGATTGCAGCGTAATCCCGGATCAAACCAGTGCAAATCCGATGGCCACGGTCTATGCGTTAGCCGAACAAGCAGCTGATCTCATTCGCGAAGATCTGTATCGATAGAGTGCCCAGGATGGAAAAGATACTATTGGAAAGAAAACAGGAAAAGCCGAGGAAGCAGGGCGGAGTTAAATATTGCCGGATACCTTGTGAATACACGTCTGGAATTTAGGGTAGTGCCTGGTATCAAATACCTAATGGTGGTCACCTGAGCAGAGGCAATCAAGTGGCCCGTTGACAGCTTGAAGTATTGCTCTACAGCCTTGACGAAAGTTTGTGATGTGTGGAACACAATGTGATGCCAAATGTCCAAGTGTGATAATATATCATTGTCAAGGGGAATTCCCAATCTCTAAACGTATATAAAGAACAATCCCAGAGTCCTCGACGCACGGGTATCGCTATGCATACAGGAAAAAACAATAGAAACAAACACCCAGCCCCAGAGATGCTTTTGAGGAGACCAGAAGTGCAAAGTGTCCACATTACTTGCGGAATGTAACAGACTTGCCAGGGGTTTCCGTCTTTTGCTTGCGCGCACCCGAGGGAGCATCCATGGCCTTGGCATATGGGTTGAAGTGCTTTCTTGGAGGGGCAACCTTGGATTTGGCTTTAGGAGCGTTGAGGACCGAGTCGGCAGCACCGTAGTCGAATGGCGTGGAGTCAGCTTCCGAGTTGGAACCGGACTGGGTGGCCTTCTTTGCCTTCTTTTCCTTGCGAGACTTCTTGTGCTCCTTCTCTATTGGATCGAGTTCGGTCAAGGGGATCAACGGTTCCTCGTCGGCGGGCTCGACCGGGGTGACCTTCCGCTTGCGAGGGCCACCGAGCTCCTTGACGGTGAAAATCTTCTTGGTTTCATCTTCGGCCTCGGGTGCCGGGGCAGGAGCCGGAGCAGGTTGGCTCGGGGCAGCGCCAAGCTTCTCCCGGGCCTGCGAAACAGTCGACGGCATGGGTGGTAGAGGGAGAGAAAGTCGGAGAGCTTCGCTTGAGGCAGCGAGGGAGTATTCAAGTGGCGCAGGGGGTTCATTGGCTTCCAAGACATTGCCCCAGAACTGAGACGACTCGTAACGCTCGGCGACAGGGAAATCCACATCCTCCACGTCAATGGCCATTGGTTCAGCAGCAGCCTTACGTGGTGCTGCCACATCACGCCATTCTGGGCCTGTGGCTCCCGCGATCTTTGCTTCCTTGATAGTTTCAAGAAGACTGCCTGCCCGGTCCTTCGTGATTGGAGTCACAGGCGAAAGTGTCCGCAAGAGAGTTCCCATATCCAACGGCATGGCCATCGCAAGCCTGAAGAGCATGTGCTTCGGGAACACACACTGCCAGCCCTCATCCTCAGCCCGTGCAACGTCATCTCGCCACCGATGAACGGCCTTGAAGACGGCAAACTGCTCTTTGGAGATTACTCCAGCATTCCGTTCCAGCAGATCGAACCAGCCCCCAGGACCTGTTCCAAACTTTGCGTCGTAGACCGGACGATCGTATCTTTGCAGGGCCTCGTTCTTTGAACGCTCCTGCACGTAATCGATGAGGTTGTTGTTCTCCGTCGAGTTTTCAATGAGCTCATTGCGTAGACAGTCGTAAATGTAAAGAAGGTAGTGGGTATCGGATCGGGCATAATCAAACATGCCCTCGGGAAGAGGACGGACACGCCAATCGGCCATCTGGTAGCGCTTGTCGGCCTCGAAGTTCACAAACTTGTCCAAGAGGAACTTCAAACTCCGCTTTTGGAAGCCCAGCGCGGAGGCTGCGTGGAAAGTGTCGAACATGCCAACCACATACAAGCCCAGGTCACGCTGCAGCCAGATGATATCCATGGTAGCTCCGTGCAAGACCTTCAGGATCTTCGGGTTTGCGAATACCTCATTAAGGATCTGAAGATCCTGTCGCCAAGGCTGGAGGGTATCAACGATCCAGTCCTTCTCGCGTGTGCTGATCTGCATCAAAGACACAAGACCATGGTATGAGTGGACGTCGTGATGCTCCAAATCAATAGCAATTTCATTCGCGGCTTTTAACTCCCCCAACATTTCCTTGACTCCATCCAATGTGTCCACAAATGTAGCAGTCGTTCCCTCAAACGGCAGATAGTCCTTTGGGGTGGCAGTCTTGTAGACGGACTCGGGATATTGCGCATCGCGAATCTCGGTCTCGTAAGGGTTCGGGTACCGATCTTCGCCATCGATATTCCGCGTCTTCAACGACTTGTCGAGTGGTACAGTAGCATGCGGCTTGGTCGTAAGGAGAGGGTGGAAGAGGCCCGAGCCGGAGTTGTCGGGCTTTTGCTCAAACTGCAGTTGTGGTTTCGGGATTTTCGACGGTCCATAGTCGTAAACGGTCGGGAACTTGGGTGCTTTCTTCACAACGGGTGCCTGATCCTCCTGCGACGGGCTCAATTTCTTGATAACGCCTGTGAACTCGTCCAGACAGGCATCGGCCTTTTCCAAAAGCGAGTCAATCACATCGACCACGCCTCGCCAATTATCGTCGATCGAATCCTCATTGTATAGAGTCGGGGCGGCGATATCTGTGCCGGTAGAAGCCGCTTTCAAGACAGCCGATGTGAGAGCAAGAATTCTCTGGCTCTGTTCGTCGAGCGACTCTGTAAACTCCGCGCTTGAGGTACGGTGGAAGTTCAGGTCCTCCGAGGAGAGTTGGCCCACGGTGCGGGTCACCTGCACCAGAGAGGACTTCAATTTGTCCTGGAAAGGAGTAAACTCTGCGGAATCCATGGTGGGCAGAGCTCCAACCGCAAAAAGATGAAAGAAAGTCGCGACAAAGTTGTGCTTGAGTAGCTCCGAAAAAAAGTGAAGCAGAAAAGATGCGCCCGCAGTCACCGCCTTCCCGAGGTAGCCAGAGGGCCACCGGCGTTTTATTGGCCGATCTCTCGACTGCCTTCATTCTGGCAACTTCGATATCTCCAGAAACTCAGCTTTTCAGGGATTCCTAGGTGGGAGGATTTCTCTTTTCTGATATATCTGACACGAATCTCGCCGGACAAGATGGCGGCGTCTATTGCACCCGAATGTAACGAGATCAAAGAGTAGGTTTCCACCCTCTGCCTCTACATTCCATGTGAGATGAGAGCTATAGAAGCTAACTTGGAGCTCTGCAGGAAATATGACACTTGCTTTCTCAAGTGGTACAGCGAGAGTATGCAAAACCAGCTGGATAGAGGCTGTGACGTGGCTGACAGCAAGACAGAATACCTGCGTGGCAACACCACATCAAATGACTGCGAGGCGCTGTTCGACAAGTACAGGTCTTGCCTGACCGTGAGTTATGCGCTCTGATTACCTCTAGTAGGCTTTTTTTAAGACATGTGACTAATAAAACGGTTGTACTTATAGAAGGTTCTCAAGGAGCGAGGCATTGATTCCATGTTGGAAGATGCCCGCAAGACCAACGGCAGTGAGACTGATGCAGAGTTTCTCAAAAAATCATGAATCATGCTCTGCATCATTATAAACCCTACTCTTGCATTTTCTTTCTTTTAATATGAGCGACGGCAGTTTTTTCTCTCCAAATAATGGGCGCAAATGGACAGGTGCATGTAACATATTCTGTCAATAAGACCATCTCATCCAACGACGACTCAACCTTCCAATTGGAATATATTCACAATTCAGACTTCAAAACCTAGAAAGGGAAATCATGTGGGCAAGAAAAGCTGCATTACAAGTCTATATGCTCGCTGACTATGGATAAAGACTCGCGTCGCATCATCGATGACCTCGTCTTCGACTGTCCCCCTGCCCAAAGTTCGGCGGGACCTTGGGTATCGTGTTACCCATACCACCAGAGCCAGAGCCAGAGCCACCACTTCCACCACTACCCTTCTTCGGCTGAGTGAGCATAGCCCACACCTCAGCCATTCCAGCTCGACGTGCAGGGAGCATACTGTACTGCATGCTGTATAAGTTGCGGCGGTGGATGGGCGGGACGAAGCGGCCAGTAGCGAGGCAGAAGATGACGCGTGGTGCTAAATAGTGCTTTCGAAGTCGGTGGCCGAGTTGGAAGTATTGGTCGAACATTGCGCGGAGCGGAAGTGGGATGGACTAGGGAATGTTAGAACGTTGATGTATAGGGGGAAGAATTTGACGAACTTCAAGATGGATGTATGAAAAGGTAGAGTCTGAATCCGTGCTCTGCTTGTCCAGTTCATCCCGAAGCTCGAATCGGATACCTCCAGGTAGTCGCTGGGAATCTTTCACGCGTAGCATGAGCGCAAAGAGAGGGAAATGGTTCAGGAACGCCAGACAGGTGTCGAAGCCGGCCTTCATGGAAATGATCAACATTCGAGCCGAGGCAAAGGTCAAGTAAAAGACCACCACGGTTGGCAAAAGGAAAAAGAGCACCGTGAAGAGAATGGTTCCTAGCAAGAGTTGGTCGAGGTCGTAATCGCATGAATCTATTCGGTTGCGCAGTACGTTCCGCTTTTTCCCGCGGAACAGATGGAAAAGGGAGATGATGATGGTAAGCTGCCAGTTGAAGATACGGGCAGAGGCGATGTAGAAAGAGTAGATGTGAACGGTCAGAATCGAGAGAAGGTCAGAGAAGAGGGCAATGGGCATGCTGGCTCCGGCGAAGCTGGAACAGCCGACGATGTAGATAACAGCAGGGAGATATGGTTGGAGATTGGCGATGCAGGCTGCCCAGTTCTCAATGACCCAGAGGAAGAGATCACCGAGGAAGGCTGCAAGCTCGTTGTTCAGCTTTAAACCGGCAGGCCAGTCCATCAGCCATGAAATGGTGCGTTGCAGGCCTTCAACGGTCCAGCCAGTGAGAACGAGGTTGATTTGAGAAGCCACCCAATTCGCGTTGTCAATGATATATGAGCCGAGGGCAATTCCGATGATCACATCATTGGCCACCAGCCATAGACTGTTGTAAAACCGAATATAATCGGGGTGGCTGGTCGTCACACTCTCCCAGTTGTCTTTCCTCTGACGCAATTTGACATACTGGATAGGCCAGTAACAGAACTGCTGCAGCCGTATATCAACCTGTTGAGCAGTTGCAGAAATATCCTTGATAGCCGCGGCATCTGGTCTTGCACGCCATTCCAGAACCTGTAGGACGACTTCCGCGACTGATCGGTGGGCCACGAGCCCGATGACAAAAACCCTAGTGACAACCGGCCAAATCCACTGCCAGAACACATGAGCCACGCAGAGAACAAAGAGTCCCCACAATGTCGTAGCAGATTCCACGACACGCTCACCAACGCTCATGCTTCGTTTGGCCCGGATTCCAATTAGATGACTGTTTTTATGCATCAATTGACTCATCTCGTAGGCGCAATTGACTTGGTTGACAATCAGAGGAAGAGCCTGCTCTTTAAGCGACGGAACATGCTTGACCACCGTGTGAAGTTTCAATTTTTCAACCAAGACTCGAGACCGAGCTTTCTCCCTCTCTTCCTCGGACTCGACCTTACTCGTTACTGAGCCACCATCCTCTGTGGCCTTGACTTTATCACCCAACGCAAGGGAAATCGGATCCAATGACATATATTCCATGCGCGTCGGTTGTGGACGGTGAAACATAATAACCTGAACCGACAAATTGGCTTCCGGCGGACAATAAATCTGCGGCGCTTTCGACGGCGGGTGCGTAGTCACATATAGATGGGAGGGATTAAACGACGTCGGAGGATCGCGGAGATTCGTCGAGCCGAGAACATGCATCTGAGATCGGCCACAGAGGCTGAATATGCGAACAATTGGATGTGGAGCATTTCGAAAGAGGATTCCAGCGCGAAGCGCATTGTCGACATTCCGTGGCTGTCAATAGAATCAGTAACTGCCGCGCAAAGCCAGGCCTTCAGCACAAACCTCGACATCTTCCAGCACCGTGAGCACAAAGAAATCCAGCTCCGAATTGCGCCATCCAACTATCACCCCCGGCAACGAGGATCGCGGGAGATCATATGGCCAAAATACCCGCAGTAGCCCATCGCTCATGAGCATATTGTCATCCTCCGGGTGTCTAGAAGGAGCCTCGCCGGCGTAATTGTTCCCGCGCGGAAACGCCGAGGTTCACGTGGCGTGGGTGCTAATTGCGCACGCTGTTAGCCCATGATCGATATCGCCAATACATCAATGCTCATGTATCTCCACTGTCTGGTGTAACTCACCAAAGTGCCCTCCCTCGAAGCCAGGTGATTGATAGGCAGAATCAAGAGAAAGAAAAAGACCGAGAGAATCAAGAACCCCTTCAACGTGCGAGTCTAAACCCGAATATTATTGTAAGCAACCGAGCAACAATAGCGCGCCAAGTCGAGGCGGAGGGGCTGCCCCCATAAACCAACGTACCACGACGCCGTGATCCCACGCGAAAATGGCCAATTCGTAAAGACGGGTGACAAGGTCCCACCTGGCGGTGATGTAGCCCGCGACGAAGATCCCAAGGGTGAGGATGGAAAAGGGGTGCATGAATTCAGGGTAATCCAAGCGGGTCGCCGATTAGTCTGCGCGCATAGCTGGAGGGGGAGGATCGAAGAATTTCCGAGAGAGTTGTGAGGGTAGACGATGGAGATACCGGGTGGATTCCTAAGGTTGAGGAAGAGCTCAAACGAGTGGCTGATGAGGACAATCCCGCGCCTGCTCCGCGCGTTGTCTGGACCGATTAAGGTGGCACCACGTGACTCGGATCTACATGCACTTATCATGAATAAAATGGAAGTAAACGAAATGAACAAAGTAGATGGAAATGGAAAAAAGGTATGAATTCCCCCCAGAAAGATGTAGCTAAGTTGCGTTCTCGTGAAATGCCTTTTCCTAGATGTTCCCGCGGACGCCAGACTCCTGAACAACTCAATCGAACCCATTATAGAGCCTTGATGCCCTGGAACACTTTGTTCCCCTGCAATTTCTCATCTGCTTGAACCAGATCGCGCATTATCTGGCGCTTCTGTTCTGGGGATAGCTCCTTGCCTTCGATCTCTGCTTTCCACTTGACCAGCATCTCCTTGAGAAGTGCGCTGCCTTCTTCAACTTCTTCCTGGGAGTACTTGTCCAGCGAGGGTGCAGGCTGTTGACCAACATTCTCGCCACTCGCAGAAGTAAAGTCTTCCAACTCTTCAGCCTTTTGACGGGCCATGTTGACAACCTTGTCTGGGAAGCGAACCAATTCGGCGACGTGGATACCGAATGATTGATCACAAATGCCCGGCTCGACGCGGTAGAGCAGCGTGACCTGTCGCTTCTTTTTCTCCTCCGCTTCGGCGTGGTTCTCGGTGCCATCACCAATGAAGGCCACGACATGCAAATTCTGCACGGCTTTGGGGTAGCGATCCGCCAATGCAGTAAGTTCGTGGAAGTGAGTTGCGAAGAGTCCGAAGCAGCGGATCTGTGTCACAATGTGCTCTGAGATAGCCCATGCCAGGCCAAACCCATCGTAGGTACTGGTTCCACGGCCCAGCTCATCGATGATAATCAAGGACTCTGAAGTGGCGGACTTCAGGATGTTGGCGGTTTCAAGCATCTCTGCCATGAAAGTCGACACACCCTTGAGCTGCGAGTCACTAGCACCAACACGGGCAAGAATGCAGTCGAAGATTGTCATTTCGGCCTCGGTGCAGGGGACGAAGCAGCCAGTTTGGGCCATCAACGCGATCACACCAATTTGGCGAATGTAGGTCGATTTACCACCCATGTTGGGACCGGTGATAATGAGGAAAGAAGACTCGTCACGGATCAGAGAAACATCATTGGTGATGAAGGAGATATCATCCTGCATCTCCATGCATGGGTGACGGGCTTCCTTGAGAACAGTGTTGCCCGTTCCTCGGGGGTGCATCTTTGGACGGACATATCCTGACGGAGCATGAACAGACGCATGGGCAAAGCTGACAATAACGTCAAGATGAGCCAAGACACCAGCGAGCTGTTCCAAGACCGGGCAATATGAAGCGGCGACGTTGACGACCTCGTTGACAAGGCCGGTCTGGGTTCGGTTGTAGTTCGAAGACAGCTGGTCGTGTTCCCGACGGAGAGACTGCATAGTTGAAGTGGTGAAATACACACCGTTCTTCTGCGTCGAGCATTCTTGGTACTCACGCTTGTTGCGGATGCAGCCCGCCTCGGTACGAGTGAGACGGAAGCACCAGCCGTGGACTCGGTGGTTCTCCATGAAAAGCTTCTTTTCCATTTCCTGGTTCAAGTCTTTGGCAACCCGACGGTGCTCCATATCCATATCATAGCGTAGCTTATCGAGCTTCTTGCGAATCACCCGAAGGCCCTCGTCGAACTCCGGCTTGATGATGAATTCGTGGTTCTCCAGGGCATCAAGGTCAACTGTAGTTTCCACCATCTCCTCCAGCTTGGCTAAGCTATCCGAGTGAGCCCGGATCTTGGATGTATACTCCTTCTCCAGCGGCGACTGGTATTGTTCATCCATGACATCTTCCAAAGCACCGACGAAGCCGGGCAGACGAATGGCGACCTGATATACACGAACGACATCCTCCAAGTTCGCCTGCTTCCTCTGGAAACGCTTGGCGAGTCGATAGAGGTCGGGAATCGCGCGCAGGTGCTCCTCTTGCATGGTTTGACGGAGCTCGGTGTTCACAACAAACGCCTCAACAAGCTGTTGACGTTGCTCAATCGCGGCTAGATCCATCAGGGGTTGCTTCAGCCACTGCGAAAGCAAGCGACTTCCCACAGGGGTCTTGCAATGGTTCAGCAGACCGAATAAACTCATACTCTTGGCACCGTCCCGCGGACCGGGCATAAGGTTCAGAGCACGGAGTGCGGATGCATCAAGCTTCATGTACTGTGACAGATCATGCTGGTAAAGCTGATACTGACCGAAGTTGGTCGGGTCAGACATCACACCGAGATACTTGATCAAAGCCGAGGCAGAGCCCATAGCAAGCTTAAGCTCCGTCTGGGGCAGGGTAGCGGCCGAGCGCTCATCTCGGAGCAATCGAGTCAGATCCTGTTCGATATCTCGCACGCCGAAATCCGCCGCGGGCCGCTCAGAAATGGCAATTCCACAGCTATCTGCGATGGCTCGAATCTTTCCCAGCTCCACATCCTTCCGTGCAGCATCCATCTGCACCAAGCACTCCTTAACACCGAGCTGGATGACCAGAGACTCGAAGTTGGAGTAGACATCGTTATCCAGAAACTCGCTAACGCCCAGCTCTCGCACGCTGGCATCAGCAAAGCACACACCGATATTCCTTGCCTCGGCAGCCTTCGCCGAGATCTTCACAGCCAAAATAATAGGCGCAGAGTCCATAGACAAAGCACCCACGCTGCCCAGCTCCTCCTCCACATCCTGCAGGTTACCGGGGCTGGCCTGCTTCGCCAGCTTCCAATTCCCCTTGCCCGCACCACCAGAGACCCAGATCTCGATACGCTTGTTGAGACGGAACAGAGATTCGCGCAGGAAGTTGCGGAACACGGTCACGCTCATGGTGACGGAGGGTAGACCGCCAGTTTCGCTGCGGCCGAGGTTGCGGAGAACGGAGGTGGTCTTGTACACGGTACGAGCGATGAACTCAGCATCTGCACCGTGCGAGGAGTACCAATCTCCTCGATCGAACACGCGGATGGTCTCATTGTTGTCGGAGGTGGGGAGGTCTTTGTAAAAGCGAATGAAACCGACTTCGTCGTCGACCTGCCACGGTGCTTGTTAGTCAATTTTGCTATGGGATTGATCTGCAGACTGAATGCAAAGCATACCTTGAGATCTGGCCGTGAAGACATTTTATCGGTGATTCTGCAATGTTAAGGAGGAAGATCTGGGCTGAACTTGGGATGAGCTACAGACGCGCTCCGGACGCGGTCACGTGGGACGCGTCGCGCGTTAAGTGGTCGGTGGCTCCAGTGTTGATACATCAGACTACTAATTGATGGAAGTTTATTTCAAGATATCGTTATTATTATTGAGGATCTAATGCTAATAGTAGCCAGAGTATAGGCTAAGACATAAAATGCTACAGTACAGGGTATCATCAAACGCTGATGCAAAACCGCGAGCAGCCCGGCTCCACGGATGCGAATACAAATCAATCAACCAAACAATCCACCGCTCAAATACTAAGAAGAGGAGACTGCACACAAGAACCAGACTTGTCCCAGTTGGCCTTCATTTGTGAGACCTTGGCCCCGATTTCTTTAGATGCAATATCTTTGCAGGATTTCAACACCACAGAGCGCATCTGATTGATAGTAACGATGTTAATCCAGTTACCAGCAATTCCAGGTTCCGCGAGGATCTCAATGCATGCCTCCACCTCCTCCTTGGGAATGGGGTTGCGGGCAGAGTCGCGAATGTGTTGCACGATGGTGTCGAGCTGGAACGGCTTGCGCTGGTTGGCAAGCATGGCCTTGATACCAGTGCCCACATATCCAGCGGGGCGGAGAAGAGCCAGAATGTTGGCAACTTCCTCAACTCTATCAGCAGCAGAGCGACGGAGGATCTCCTTCTTGGACGGCGGGGGGGGCAGCTTAGACTGGATCAGCTCTTTGTTCTTGATGCGGTCCAGAAGGCCTTGTCGACGGCTGCTGGTGGCAGCCAATGGCTTCGAGCCAGACTTTTCCATGTCCGAGCGCAACTTGTCGGCTTTCATCCGAAGCACACCTCCTCTCAGGTCTTGCAGGCGCTGCTGGCCTTTCTGGAACGCGGTGAATGGGGTGAGGGACTCGTGGATGACGGCGAGATCGAGTGTGTTAAGGAACAGAGAAGGACGATCTTCCTCGGTGACCTGCTGCAAAGAGTCTTCAGTCTGCGCCCAGAGCAGATCAAATGCCTGCTCAAACGCATCTTGCAAAGCCGGAGGCTGTGTATCCGACTGCACAGTTCGTTCAAGGCAGATCTTGCCCAGTCCGTAGTTTGCGAGACGGTAAGAAACATCCTTGGCTTTCAAACCTTGGTCCCAGACCCAGAGCAGACGCTGCAAATCATTGATCTGCACCTTGCGCTTCCTCCATACACGGGTAACGCTGGGAAGGAATTCTCTCAGATCGGCAGGGGTGTTCGGGCCATTGTGTGCAGCATGGAGAGAGAGGGCCTTGACAAAAGACGAGTGAAGATCCAAGAAGTCATTGATACATTTTGTGCGCGGTGCAAGTTTGGGCTCTTCGCGGATCGGGGTGAAGTTGAGTTTCGACTGCTTCGAAGGGGTTCCGGGTGTCGAGGGGGCCTGGTCAATTTGGGCTGGGGTACTGGTTCGACGACTGGGAGTGCGCTTGGGTGTGGCATAGTGACCGCTGCGAGGCGAGTTGACAGACAATTGGCTGAACTTGAGAGTCTTCGAGGGGGTCCCGGCTTCCTCCTCTGGTTGCCGAGTACCGGTGTCGACGTTTTCGAGCTCCTGCAGTTTTCTCTTCTTTGAAGGGGTAACCGGCAATGTGGCAGTCTTGCTAGGTAGCGAGACAGTCGGCTTTCCGGCTAACTGCGGTGTGATACCGGCCTTGGTTGCCCTGGTGAAGACCTGGATGGCGGGTTGGGCCTGCAGGCTCTGCCTGGTACGCGGCATCGCGACTGCAATTTTTCTCGTGCGGGTTCAGAGGGGGAAAGAAGAAGTCGAGACGGATAAATGGAGATGAAGTATACTCGGGGTAAGAGATACCGGGATATTAGAGAGAATTGGGGTAAGAACAAGAAAGTGAGAAATTGCGGAAGGGAAAGCGTGAAGGGTAGTAAAAGGGCGCGAAGTCCAGACGTGAACGTGAGACGCGTCCGAGTCGCGTGGAAACGCCCTTGTCTCAATCGGGTTAAATCACGCGTGTCTCCACTGGACGGAATTAACCAAGTGTCTTAAGCAGCAGTTTGTGCAGCAGAAAGAATATGGTTTTGTTAGAAGGAATAGATAATAGAATGACAATTTGTATAGCAGGGAAATCACTTCAGGAGAAATCGGATCGACATTCTCGTCACTGTGGTAATGCTCGGGCATTGGAATGTCGCGACCGGGACTACGAAATCCTCGGCTGGCCAGAACCAGCCGGCCAACACGCACTAGACCGGGCGGAATAGTTGACGCTAGCACTCAGGTGCAAATGCAGTTTAGTCCCCCCAAGTACTCCACCGTGGCCTGCATAAGTGATACTATTCCCGCCCCGCCAGCATCGACACCCTCACCACTCCGCAAGGACGACTCAAGTAGAACACGCAATTGAATGATGACTCTCATTGATCATGAACATAATATTGCCGATTAATTAACCATCAGAGATGAAAAGTAAAGCAGACCCGTCCGCATGGACCCATCTATTTCTTGCCTGAGAACCAGCCAGAAGCAGTCCCCTTGGCCTCCGCAGCCTTCTGCTCAACAGTGCGATCCATCTTGTCAATGCCCTCGTTGAGCTTGTTCCGGGCTTCCTGGCTAAGGTCGCTGAACTTCTTCTTTCCGTCCTCCGCCGCCTCAGGGATTCTCTCGTCCAGCTTGAACTTGGAGCGGGCGTTGTTGACCTGCACTGGTTAGCGATGTTCATAAAGATCAGGAACCCCCCTGGGGAATAGACAGCCGTACAGCTTCATCGATGTTGGCACCGGCCTCCTTGCCGAAGTTGGCGCCCGCCTGCTGTGCATTGTTACCGTGGGGCAGCTTCTCGCGGGCCTTCTCGGCGTCAACTGTATCGGATTAGCACCTTCCAGTAGCTTCGGGGGCGAGGAAACGCACTCTTCATCTCCTTCTTGGCACCGTCGACATTGCCGCCCGATCGGTAGAGGTAGTAACCGCCTGCGCCTGCGCCAGCGAGGACGAGGTAAAGGGGCATTCGGTTCTTCGACATGGTGAAATGTGGTAGGTCAAGTAATGTGAGTTTGGTTGAAGGGCGAGTACCTGAAGGAATCGGGGATGCCAGCTTTTATAGCAAGGGTCGCCGTCAGCAGACTATGACGTCTATGCCCGGATCGTTCGACTCGGGCCCTGCATGTGCTGCCGCCTGCACCTCGTTTGCTTGTCGGTGGCTGATCGACTCGGAATGCGGTTACGGGAAACAAGGAAAAATAGTCATGTTCAAATGGTTCGATTCGGTCTATTTCTATGCTCGTTGACCCTTAATTCATGCTCCGGTGTTGCCATTCACGAATTGATGCGGAAGTCGGGGTGTGGTTTCATTCGGCGCTAGCCTGGTCCAATGCTCCCCTCTCGACGTCACCGGCTGGTCATCGCCGAACCCGTTTCCACTTACCATCGTGCCACCCACGGTTTTGCTGCTTAGTATTCTACAATCAAAGAATCCTTCCATGGGATCGGGTTCCCTCGACTAGCAGATTCTGGGCCTCCTCGTGCGTGTGTTCGGGAAATGGGGGAATGGGGGATCCTTGTCCATGCGGGGTCAAGGTCGGGGTTGGAGATCGTCTTCATTCGAACTGGATAGTCTACAACGCATAACGTAATTCATCATTCGTATTGTCATATTGAGTATAACGATCATCAAGAGTCCGTAGGCACATAATCCACCGTCATAAAAAAAGTATAGTAAGACACAACGGAACTATAGAGACAAGTCGTCCCAAAAGCAGAAACACGGCCAAGCAGAGAGAGTTCGAACGATCGAAGCCACACCACGACCGTCGACAGCCCGGACCAAGTCCAGGCTGGGGTATCGTCATGCACACGACGCCATCCAAAGCTCCCGCACGAACGCCAGGGCATGCAGAGAACCAGAGCTCCATTGACCCAATAAACAAAACTCCCGAACATCTGGAGGAGATTTCCATCATGTATAAGTCATCAAGTCGTCAATTCATCAAGGGAAGAGAGAGAGAAAGAGGAGAGAGAGAAAGAGAATGTCCACGGTTGTGTGAATGGACAGGAAGAGCGTCGGGGTGCAAAAGTATAGGATAATCCAATTTACAGGAACAGCTTGGTTGCTCCTTTGTTCTCGCTCGTCGCGACGGCCACCAGGGCCTCCAACCGGCCCATGCCGGATTCCCGTGCAGATGGGTCGGAGAAGACACCGGTCCGCGGCTCTCGCTCCGCGTGACCCGCGTAGCCGTCGGTGTGAGGAGATTGTCGATCACAGATCTATGACGGCGATTAGTATGCGAGGCGAGAGCCGTCCGTTCGAAGAGGAGTTCCTACCGGTTGAGGATGGTCGGATGGCAGCGAGGAGTCGTTCGATTCAATAAATCCGCTGCTGTGTACAATCGCTGGGTGGTACTCAACCGATGCTGTGGATGGAGTGTGAACGCCCTCGCTGCTACTGGAGTCTTCCGGAGATTGGTGGTTTGGCCGACTGCTAGTCGAGAGACTGGGAGCATGGCCACGGTGTTTCTCAGGGCTCCTCTCCACCATAGGGCCGAAGGCTGGCTGGTACGAGGAAGACGGGCGAGAAGAAACGTTTTGGAGCTCTGCAATCGTCTGCTGGCTCCAATGAGATGCATCTCGGGAAGACCGTCGATCCCGAATGTCAAGACCCGTGAGGTTGTGATGCAATGACATGTCCCAGGACACATGGCCCCGACGGTGACCAGGACCGGAGATTGGAGGCGCCGGGCGCACCGACGGCTGGTTATAGCTGTAACCGGATCCAAACGCGTGGCTTGGAGGAGGCCGGTGGTAGGTATCAATTTGCATCGGGCTCGGCTTGCGGGTAGGAGGAGTCAAAGGTCGTTGTTGAGAGACAACCTTGTCGAAACTTTCAATTCCCGGAAGTCGGGGAGGATGTTCCGACTTGTTGCTGTTGATTCCACCGCTTGGTGGCTGGACGGTGTCGGGTGTATGGAACTGGCTCAGACCACTGGTTCCTGGTCGGCCAAATGCTGGATATGTTGAAGGATGCCATGTTCTTCTCCGCATTTCCGCCTCGGCTGCGGTGAGAGTACCCTCATCACGAGACGACGGGTAGTTGGTGCTAGTCGGGCTCGCAAAGACACCGGCCGCGCTCGGCGGGTACGGGGCCCCGGCGGGTGAGGTGACATAGGCTGGAGGATATGCGCTGCCGTGCTGCGCAATGAATGGATTGCTGCTGGTGGGGACGGAAAGACGACGAGCGGCGGTTCTACCTTCCCAAAAGCCATGGGATGCAGAGGACATAGGAGAGGCATACTGCGGGCTAGCACCCGGCCCGGCAGAGAACACATTGGATGGAGTATACGGCGATCCGCTCGAACCGGGGACGCCACGAATCTGGCCTGGCGGCGTACTCGGAGGCTCTCCCATCGGATCCAGTCCTAAACGAGCCCGAGTGGTCGGGTCGTTGGCCATCATGAGGGGTGGGGGTCGTCGCCGAAGTTCCGGAGGTTGGCTGAAGGTGGAGGCTGTAGATGTGATACTCGAGGTCGACAGGTTCCTACTGTGACCGCGGCTGTGGCCGCCCGCGCTGCCTCCTGTACCTGCTCGGGCGCGGCCCGGTGGACGCACTCGGTCCGTACGCACCTGACGTTGGAATCGAGTGCCCGTGGCAGCCAACGAATCACCCGGGATCTCTTCATTCACGTGCACCGTTTGGGCATGCTGCCGCAAGTTATCGAGTCGGGAGAAGCGGCGCGAGCAATGACATTGAAAAGGACGCTCGCCAGTGTGTTTGCGAATATGTCGAGCGAGGTGTTCACTGCGAGTGAAGCTCAAGTTGCAGGGAGGAAAGTCCGTGCAGAAGAAGCGCTGTCCCTTCTTCTTCTTCGACGGCGGCGCACTGCCCGGCTCGTCCTCGTGGTCGGTATCATGTTCCCCTTCGGAATCGTCGTGCATGTGATCGTCGGACGAGGAAGTGTTCCTGGCATGGCCAGACGCCGGTGCCCGCGACAGGCCTTCGCTACCGGCGGTCATGGAAGCGTCCGGGCGTTGATCCGCGACGGAAGAACGTTCTGGGGTGACCGGGTCCCCTTTAAGGTTGGCACGGGGAGTTGTCACACCGTGCATGGCGTGGTCCTCGGGGGAAGAGTTGTTGACGGGGAGGAAGGCGGCCATGGTGGGCGTCAGCGGTGGAGGCGGATGTCAAGGATCTCTCGAGTTCCGGAGAGGGGGGGCGAAAACCACTCCTATCCTCCCGCGGTCGCAAAGCTGACAACCCGGTCCACGTCACTATAATCCGGTATTCTATCAGGCTCGAAGTCGAAGTGTCGAAGGAGCCGCAGCGCTACGCCGGAGAACTCGGAGGGCAGTGAGACACTGAGTCGGATGGCAAGGCTGACTGTAAACATTTGCGCAAAAACCTTAGTATAAGACTACAGGAACAAAGCGGTTCGACACGTACATTTGCAGCTTAGGAGAGTGAGGGAGGAGGGGAGGGGGTTGGAGAGGGGTTGGATATGGAATGTACCTTCCAAGTCCGAGGCGACGCAAGGGTTGAGAAGAAAAAAGAGAAAATGTGGGAGGACAGGGGAAAGAGAGTTAGCCGATCGCGAGCATCTCAGGCACTGTCAGGGAGACAGGTCGCGAGGGATGGTGGGACCCGATCGAGGTTTCAGGTTGGTATGAAATAAGGTGATATATCCGACCGGATTGAAAGGGTAAAGAAAAGGAAAGGAAAAGGAACCAACGGGGTACGGAAGGGAGTGATGTAAGTAAAGAACATAAGAAAATGGTGACGACGAGAAAGCAAAAGGCTTATCGGAAGCGAGGGGCAACTTCTCTCCAACATCAAATTGAAGATCCCAGGAACTCCATGCTTTCCGGGGCTACCGATGCGAATCATCGAGGGTTTCACCAGATCGCAATGCGACTATAACCGCGTGTCGACGGGCGCGAGTTCCAGACCGTCGTTCTGCCAATCCCAGGAACTCTCCACGAACGCTAACCCAGGAGCGGGAGGATACAGTCTCCATTACATCCATTCAGCATCCAATCTGTGAAGGTACCAGGCACCTCGACGATGGATGATTCATAGCGCCTCCGCCACCATGGTGCAGCCCCGGGTCCTGGACCTCCCTGTACCTCCGCTGGACCCGTTGGCGGATCGAGTGTACGAGTCTTTGACGTTCACCACCTGCTGGACCCAAAGAACGGTCCACGACCAAGATGGTCTTGGACCGTCCAAGAACTTTACAAGTCTGGTTCTTCTGGAGAAGGCGATCGGTCTCGACCTTTTCACCTCGCTTGTTTTCCTCCCATACGGCCCCCTTGCATCCGCGTGGATGTATCATCGCAGGGTTTGTGAGGAGTGGTGTCCGTCATACTCTCCCTCTGCACGGAGTTACTGACTTTGTATCTCGGTATGGTTACGCGGTAGGGGTTGGGCGATTCCGAATGGTCCGTTTGAATACAAAAACCTCCGCCTCTTGCCCCTGGTCTGGCTTTTGCCGAGACGAGCTCGAGCCTCTTGAGGTACGATCTGGGCACTGACCCTACTCTACGGAGATGTACCTTTTACATGCTAAGTATAGGTTGCGGGGCTCTTATCGTGCAGCACTGGCTCTTTGGAGATATGGTACCGGCCCTGGCACCGGTACTGGTACTGGCACTGGCACTGGCACTTCCTAAGGTTTGGCAATATGATACTCTTTCCCTGACCATGAGTCCTTAAAACCTTCAGGGCCCGGCTGGGACCGACTGGATCGTTGATGATCACCGTGCCTGCGTCTACCTTGATGTAAACTTTCGCACTGCTTCCCCACCCCCAACCCCCAACCCCTCTTCTTATCTGCAAACGGCAATGCGGGACACTGATATCGATGATCGGCGGATCCCAGCCCGTTGCACAAAAAAAAAACCTTAGAGATGTATTGCTCGCATGACGATGATTCATACGATATGCCATGGTACAGGAGTACTTTAATGTACTCTAATTCCCCTACGGATAAAAATCGTGCGATTTTCTACAGGGTCCTCGACATTCAGTTTCAGTCAAAGAACGTGACGCCACCTGAAATGTGGATGATGTGCTGCACTTCTCCAACATGCCCCTCCGGGATTATGCTTTATAGCAACACGATTGGTGAGATGGCGTTTAGGATACACGCACGCTGAGACAGCGGTGCCCCACATCCCACTAGCGGTGACTCGACAGTAGGCAACGCCGAGACCTTGATCAACGCTTTGCCCCTCCCAGGGACAAGGGCAGGACAGGGCCCAGTATGATGATTGGGTCCACGGCCACGCGTAAGGCTACAAGCGTATTCCGTACTATACACCATCCCCCCTCAGCTGTAAGGGTCGGGTACCTGTAGGTACAAAATGCAGGGCGCCACCCTGAGGCCAAGTGGGCGCACGGCCAGGTAGCGCCAGGTACCGGCTGCAGGTCTTATCGATAACCCGAGTCAATGCTTCCCCTCACCCGCTCTCCATGACTGGTGACGTCGACGACTTGAATTCTCCGAGCCTGACTGGTCTGGATATTCGGAGTTATCGGTAACTGTGGTAAATAAATGCCAATCCCATGTTTACATGTAGGGTACAGTATAGGAACTGCAGTCGATCAGTTTGCCTTTGAAGCGGTCAGGGCGGCAGATGACAGGTCTCTTGGACTCGTGTTCTTCTGATTATCTCCGAACACCAATGGTCTTTTGTCGGTCTGCATCTTCAGCCAGGAGGATCCATGTACCTGCCCATGTCGCTTTTCCCGCGTACCTGGCCCTAGCCCCCCGGCCACGTACGCTCAAGCTCAAGACATGAGGCTACTCGGCGCATTATCGACCGAATCAGCACTGTCACTGCCCACGGCACATGTGATATCTGAGATTCCGCGCCAGGTCCGCTCCCCCTATTGGCCCAGGAAGCTGTACGCCTTTCGTCCAAGGCAACCAACAGCTGCAGTGCGCGCGGTCCCCAGCCCTCTCCGCAACTTTGCCTGGAAACATGTGCATCGTGCAGGAGTCATCCGACTGATCGTAAATCTCCGATTCCAGAGGTTTTGGCTCCTCAGTTCGGCAGCCTGGTGTCACTTTGCAATTCGATCCAAGGTACCGTCCTCGGCCCTCCTGCCAGGTACCTGGAACATGGGTGCCTACATTCCTGGGGTAGTTGGTCCGTGGTGCGGGCATTCGCACGTAGATCGTTGGATCGTGGATCGGACCAAAAGTGTGTTCGAATTAGGTCTAGGTGCTATATAGTTTTTTTCCCCGTAAACGAGCCGACATCTCGCTCTGCGGGTGGCCTGTAGGGTAGATATTCCAAGCTATGTTAGGATCCTATCACCGGCCCAACGGCCCGACAACTGAGCTGACCATGACCGCCGCTTCTCGTTCCCAGTTGCCCACGTTTACTGTGTCGGTTCCTGATCGTCCCTTCTCGGCTAGTAAACTGCTCGTAGATACATGTGATGCACGCATCACGCATTCCTTGATCTCGGCCTTCAGTCGGTCGCGGTTGGATCGCAGTGTACGTGCAGATACCCCCCCGCGGTTCATGATCTCTTGGACGCGTGGAGAGAGGGAGGAGGCGAGCGAGCGCCAGTAGTATGATGGTAGCGAAGACGTATCCAGGGCCTGCAAGAGTGGTTGTAGGAGGTTGATATTGTTGGGTGTCTCTGGATCGCTAGGCTGCTCGGCGTTGACAGACGGCAGGAGAGGGTGGAATGGCGATCGGAGATTCCTCAGGATAGACTCGAGAGCAATAATGTCCTGGCATCGAGCAGAGACTTCGGCAAGGGTGCGATCCACGGTAGGGAGTTGGGACAGGGCTCGGGCAAGTGAGTTTACGGAGGTCATGATAGCTGTGTGCATGTACCCTTGCAATGTCGACAGAAGAAGCTCGGGCTTGAAGTCGGATACATAGGTTTCCCCTTTCGGCATGGGTGAGAGGAGATATAGAGTGGCCGCGGCGGTTGCAAGGCGCGAACGAGCATCACGAGCCTGCTTGTAGCTCAATGGCACGGACTGGCCATTAGCCTGGCCCGATAATGAGAATCGAGTAACGGTCTGTTGCGCTCTGGATTTAATCATGTTCTCGGCGGGAATCACAAATTCATTGCGCAATGTTCGAGTGACCTTAACCCGGTCAAGCCCATAGCCCTCGTCTTCTTCTGATGTGGCAGAGAGCATCTGACGTAGATTCAGGATTGTGTAGGCTGCGCGCTCCAGTGCTCGGAACCCTTCTTTTGCGGTCGCAGCTCCGTCGGCACCTGCTGTCGCATTCTGTCCTGCCGATCCCCGACCCGTAATTTCCGCGACTTGGCTTTCAAGCTGTCGACCAAGTGATAAACAGCGCGCAACGGCCCGTGCTAACCGTACCGTAGCCAGTGACTTTTCCGCAGCGATTCGGGCTTCTTCGGCAGCCTTCCATTTCTCTATCACCTCTTTCTCCAGCCGTTCGTAACCTTGGGTCACCGAGGCAATTTGTGTTCCGGTCTCTTGTAAGATGTGTTCTGCGGCCGCGGTTTGACCTTGCGTATGGGAGAGCAGCGGGAGTGCTGACTTCGTTGTCAACGCATGAATGTGGGTGTCGATCTCTTGGAGGTCGAAGAGAACCCGTGAAAGTGGCGTTGATAGGTCCAGAGGTGTGTCGGTGGCATTATTGGTGCTCAGCACGAGTGAATTGGCGAAGCTGGCCGGCGAGAAGTCGGGGTCGAGGAAAGCCTCATAGTCAATGTAGGAAGGTTCCCCTTCCGCCATGGTCAATATCTCCGTATTTGCAATGTCCAATAATGTCACCGTATAATCACTTCCTTATGGTATTGGTTGACAATCGTATCCAAGGGAAATCGTGGAACAATCGAGGAACAATCGAGGAACGTATGGGCATCAATAAAGTAGGCAATGCATACGCATGTATTTTGCAATCGCCGGGCCTGGGAAGAAGCTGAGCTGACTAGGTCTTGAACCGGCGGTGGGACCAAGTTTATTCCAGCTCGATCTTCGAGCGCGTCGTGAGCTATCACTGGGCAAAGGGATTCGCGAATAAGGACAGCAGTCGCGAGCTCCGCGATAATCCCACATGGCTCCGATAAAGGGGGTCACATGATTGCAGCCTGAGGCTCCAGGCCCCTAAAGTAACTAATCGGGGAACGAGTGAGCCTGCTGGGCACGCCAAAAGACATACAAAATGCTATTTTACAACCTTCTATCTCAATAATTATATAATATTCTCATATTACGTACCACAGGCATATATACCTTCGGAAAAATCGAGGAATACTTTAAATGATTGTGGGATGGATAAAGATATATATCCTCAGATCCAAAGATACAATGTATTTTTTGTACTTGGTCAATATATGTTATTATTGACACAATAAACCACCAATCTTCTCAAAATGTAGTCAGAATAAGCTATTGGTGTCAAGATATGAAGTTGTATTTTGTTTGTGGTTTAGGCATGGGCCGCTGGCTTACCGATTACGTTAACTGAAACTAAATGTTGTCGACAATTACTCTTTCTGCTTTGAGCTCAAAAGTGTCATCTCCCCTATTCATCCTACCAAATCTAAAAAACATACGCCTCTCAATAAATTACGCAAAGAACAACAAGAAGAAGAACCAGGTTAGAACGACAGCACCTGACGAGCTAGAATGTAGATTGAGGATTACGCTGCGTCAAGTAGCCAGAGGACCTTACCAAGCAAACGCAGATCTCAAATAAGCAGACAAAAGTGTAAAGCCAGACCCGGAAAGAGTCCGCGAAGCCACACAGCAGCATGGCGCCGCCTTCCAATGACACGAGCGGGGGTCGGGGCGGGGGTCCATAGATAAGGTTTGATATGGAAGATCCGGACATCTTTCCAGACACGACTTGTCTCTTTGTTTGCACTAATGGAGTTGTTATAAACAGCAGAACCCTCCTTCTTCATTACTTACGACGCCAGTAGAAAGGCAACTCCATTCATAGTCACAACTCTAATATGTCTACTTCAACGGCGACAACCACCCAACAGGCTGAACTATCTGTTCTCCTGGCCGCTGAGCAGCAGATTCCCTCGGCTGCTACCGATGTCAAGTTCCAGTCTCTCGCCCGCGGTAACCGCAATGGTACGCTGAAGTTGCGCGGCATTCCCACTTTCTCTGATCCCCTTGAGAAGCGAAAGTGGATGAAAGAGCACATGGCCGCTGCCTTCCGTTGGTTTGGTAAGCTGGGGTATGGGGAGGGAGTCTCTGGTCACATCTCGATGCGCGGTATGTCCATGTATAGTGGCCACCAATCATCAAGTAGAGGATGCTAATGGTAATAGATCCTGTCCTGAAGGATCATTTCTGGATGAACCCCTTTGCCAAGCACTTCTCTACCATCAAAGCCTCCGATCTTGTGCTGGTGGACCACGAAGGATACGTCACCGAAGGAGGTGCCCAACTGCCCATCAACGAGGCAGGATTTATGATCCATTCTGAAATCCACAAGGCCCGTCCAGATGTGGTGGCCGCGGCACACACCCACAGCATCCACGGCAAAACATGGAGCGCATTTGGAAAGCCCATTGAAATGCTTACGCAAGGTCTGTTGCTCACCAATGATCGAAATTATCATGTAGACTAATGTATGGCTACAGATGCGTGCAACCTGTATGGTCGTATCGGCGTCTATGATGACCATGCCGGCGTTGCCCTCTCTCAGGATGAGGGCAAAGCAATTGCAAAGGCTCTGGGAAAGGATAATATTGCATGCATTCTTCAAAACCACGGGTGAGCCTTGAAACCCCATTTGTCTATTTTCAACTGACACTGGCTTCTCTCAGCCTCCTGACTGTTGGTACAACGGTCGACGAAGCCGCTATCCTCTATTCTATGTTGGAGAATGCCTGTCACTCTCAGCTTATGGCTGAAGCGGCTGCGGCCAATGGCATCCCCAAGAGAATCATCAGCCCCGAGGTGGCTCAGTATACTGCTGAATTTGCTCAAAACCCGGTAAGTACGACCCAATCAGAAAGTGATAACATGTCCGTGATATTGATAAATCGCAGCACAACTTCTATACTGAGTTCCAGCCAGAGTTTGATTTGATCGTTGAGGAGACAAATGGAAGGGTCCTCCAGTGAGCGCGTTCCAGTGACTTCGCATACTTGTTCGGCCCGGGCACCGCGTCCCCAAAATTATTGCCCGGCAAAGAGACTGAAATTTGGGGTTTAGAGTAAACATTAGTTAACGTAACCGGTAAGCGAGCCGGCCATGTAAGCGAGCCGGCCACCCATCCAGTTATTTTTTTACTTTGCACCTATTTTTTCAACCAAAACGCCTTTGTATTCACTAAATTATCTCTGATTACATTGATTTGCCCTATGCCCAACCTGATTACATAAAGAACACGTAAATTGACGTCGTCGCGCTGGTGCTATCGCCTGCTGAATAGGCTGGTTGGGTGCTGCTGGAGACGGTGCCGTAGGCTGTATAATAGCCCTATGGGCTTGTAAATGCTCCTGAGCTTCCTGCACTGACATACCAGCTTCGAAGGCTACACGCCTACTAACCCGTGCGTGCTTTTGCTTCTGCACTGCGTTGGCAGCGCGTAATTCCTTAACTTCTTGCTTAAGTAATATACCGTTTTGTATAGCGATCTGATAGCCCTTAATAAGCTGGTTTAACGTAGTTTTTGAGGGTGTTGGTGGGCTATTTGAGCGTCGTTTTAAGAAAGCCTAGATTGACGCTCCTTGTTTAAGTAATTCGGCGACGGTCGCTGGTGTTTTAGGGGTAAAAACGCTTGATTGGCTGCTTAGGCAGCTTCCTGAGGGTGTAGGCGTCCGAAGCTAGATATTAAGCTTTGAAAGTACTCGTTCTAGATCGAATGGCACTAAACCCGCTGCTGCGAAGCTATTTTTTATTGTAAGCGCTTGAAAAGCGCTATCGCGAGCAGTTGGGTAGGCAGTAAGGAAATTAAGCTTATTAATATAGTTGATGCTAAGCCGTATTTTTTGATTAACTAAGGTTCTATATAAGCGCTTTAAAACCGTAAAACAACTAATATCAAGCGGCTGTAAAAGATGCGAGCTATACGCTAGTATATAAATAGGGATAATCTCGTGTTCTGAGTAAATTTGGTCGAACTAGGGGGTTAAATGGCTTCTGTGGCTATTAAGGACTAATAAACGGTATCGGCCTTGCGTATAGCTATTTATCGACGGAATAAATAGCTTTTGAAGCTATCGAAGGCCAATCTCGTCTGTCGTCTATCTATTTTGACTAACTTCAAAGCGCCAATCTCTTAGAAGGTCATTAGTCTAAGCTAGATTATATAGTTTAGCCTTGAAGATAATCGTAGGCGGAAGCGCCCACCTAGAAGCGCTAATTGACTTAATTGTAGTCACCCACTCGCGATTTCCTGGCTGTAAAACTGATCGCCGACTGTAGTATTCCGCTTAGGTAATAACCTTTGCGGTCGCCGTAAGCCCTATCGCGAAGCTAGTCTCGTCGAAATTGTAGATATCCTTTAGTAGGATACTATATTACTAAACCGTAGCTTGTACGCTATTAAACCACCCTTGAATGACCTTTAGATCCTCTTGTTTTGCTCGTTGGTAGTTATATCGACGTGAAAAGCGAGATTTTAGCTCCGAATGATGGTGGGTATAGTTGTAGACCTATTTTTCGCTAACTGTCTAGATTAGGGTTGAACCGCGCTTTGCAAGTAAAAGATTCGCCATTTCTCGCACTATAGTGGGCCTAGGGGCTGCTTCGCGTGTATCTATAGATAATATCCACTTCTTAAGAGATTCCTCTTTAGTTTGGGTTAATTTATGGCTATTGGCGCGTGATGCAGAGCGGGTTAGGTGACTAGATAGCCGTTCTTGAAGCGTAGAGCGTGGGATATTGAATTGGCGTGCTGCTTCACGAATTAAGCTAATTTCATACTTCTGAATAGCAGAAATAGCTAGTAGGACCCTACCCTCCTGCTTAATTAAATATTGCTTCGATCGGCAGCGATTTGGTGGCATAGTGGTTGGTAGAAAATAGAAAGACGCGTGTGGACGCGAAAAAATGGATAGGTGGCCGGCTCGCTTATATGGCTGGCTCGCTTACTGGTTACGTTAGTTAACTACTACGTTGGCTTATAAATCGTGATATGGCAATATAGTGGAGAAAGCACCTTAAGATAAGATCTAGCACCCTGGTGCCCTTTTCGTGGCAATCATGTTAATCAATACCGAATAGTCGATCGCATATCTGAGCAAGAGAGAAACCCTTGGAAAATCTGAAAAGCCTAAGCAGTATGTCATTGGATTGTTTTCATGCTGCGAAATACGAGAGTACCTAGTTCCCCGACAATCGGATGCGGAGATCCTCGGCGTGACGGAACCTGCTCCAACGACCCCAACTCCCCGCTCAGGCTGATACGGCCGCGGCCCTACCATGAGTGTCGGATAAAAGGAGAGATAAGAACGTGTGAGGTAATTAAGTTTACGGATTGACAAGCTCGTGAGATCATGATTTGGCGTGTCCCACATATTAAAGCGCAGGTCCACCTGCAGCGTCATGTTGGATATTTTATCCTGCAGCACATGGCCCTAACTCGCCATAACATCTCAAGCACTCTTTGATTAGTTGCTTTCCATTATACTGTATACAAAACGCATCACAAAACATGGCAACTAAGTGGGAAGAACGTGCCGCGGACAAGAGAAACCGCATCGACGACTCGATACCCTCGGAATGGAAGATCCAAAACCTACCAACAGACGACTCAGTCTTCGACTTTCCCCAACGGTCAGGCTTGCTCTCGGGCCAGGAGCTTACTATCACACAATCTAGTGCGACGGATTTGGTCAAGAAGCTAGCTCAGGGTGAGCTCAAGGCCGTCGATGTGACAATTGCTTTTTGTAAAAGGGCGGCCTTGGCACATCAGTTGGTAAATATAGTGGTAATGACTTTCACTCTAATAATGTTATTCTAACATTACCTTAGGTAAACTGTTGTCTAGAATTTTTCCCCGAAGCCGCGATTGCGCAGGCAAAGGAGCTTGATGCATACTATGAGAAGCACAAGAAGCCCATCGGCCCCCTTCATGGGCTTCCTATCTCTCTGAAGGATCAGCTACGCGTGAAGGTAAATACCCAATTCCCACGAGTCTGCAAGCCCCAAGCCAAAAGTGATACTGTATATTAATATTTCTCCTGAATAGGGACTCGAGACTTCCATGGGATACGTATCCTGGCTAGGAAAATACGACACAACCGAATCTGTCCTCGTAACTCTCCTTCGAAAAGCCGGTGCCATCTTCTACACCAAGACTAATGTCCCTCAAACACTGATGGTCTGCGAAACTGTCAATAATATCATTGGAAGGACCGTCAATCCACGAAACAAGAACTGGTCTTGCGGAGGGAGCTCTGGAGGCGAAGGTGCTATGGTTGGTATCCGAGGAGGAGTTATTGGAGTTGGGACCGATATCGGTGAGCTGAATGATTCCAGTTGTTTATTCACTATTAACAGTGATAACAGGTGGCTCTATCCGTGTGCCTTCTGCATTCAACTTCCTTTATGGCATCAGACCAAGCCATGGCCGCATGCCCTATGCCAAGATGGCCAATAGTATGGAGGGTCAGGAGACTGTACACAGTGTCGTCGGTCCCATTGCGCACTCTGCGGAAGGTTCGTTCATTCGAGACTGCTGCCTAAGTAGCATATGCTGACCGGCCTAGATTTGAAACTGTTTCTTACTTCAGTGCTGGCGGAGGAGCCGTGGAAGTATGATCCCAAAGTCGTCCCGATTCCTTGGAGACAGGCCGAGGAAGATGCTGTCAAGTCCAAGCTGCATTCGGGTGGACTCACGCTAGGATATTTCTCATGCGATGGCGTTGTATGTTCAAGAACTCTGGTAATACTGCCCATAACTGACCACTGAATAGGTTCTTCCCCACCCGCCAATCCTCAGGGGCATTGAGAAGGTCGTGTCAACTTTGAACCAAAACGGTCATTCCGTTCACCCATGGACACCATACAAGCACGACTTCGGACACGATCTCATCAATAATATCTACGCTGCAGATGGCAGTACCGTATGTGAAACCACCAACTTAGGCGCACACGTGTACTAACTCCCACCAGGATGTCCTGAGCAACATCAACGCATCCGGCGAACCTTCGATTCCCAATATCAAAGACCTCCTAAACCCAGACAAGGGCCAAATCAACATGAACGAGCTCTGGGACGTCCATCTCAAGAAATGGGACTACCAGAGCGAGTACCTCGACAAGTGGCGGGAATTCGAAGACCGATTGGGCAAGGAAGTAGATGCCATCATCGCCCCGATTACTGCGACGGCCGCCATCCGCCACAATCAATTCCGGTATTATGGATATGCCTCTGTGATTAACTTACTTGACTTTACGAGTGTTGTTGTTCCTGTTACGTTTGCGGATAAGAGTGTTGATGTGAAGAAGGCTGACCATCAGCCACTCGGTCAGTTGGATGCTGCTGTTCAGGCTGAGTATGATCCCGAGGCGTATGATGGGGCTCCTGTTGCGGTGCAGGTCATTGGGCGCAGACTGACTGAGGAGAAGACGTTGGCTATTGCGCAGGAGATTGGGCGACTACTTGGGAACGCTGTCACGCCTTAAGGTTGACATGCAGAGGCATTAAACTATTCTCTCGAGTCTGGTAGAATGAAAGTGATATTGATGGAGACCAACTCCATAGATTATTGTAGATCAGTAAATTGATATATTCGTCAAATGGAAACAAAGTATCCATTTCTCATCCCCAAGACAAACGCCATCTATACAGATGCAACCGCAACAGGGTATACAATAATGAGGCCAAAGGATCAGAAAAGAAAAAAAGGAAATTACCCAAAGAAATCATAGCCCGGAGGCATCCAAGGTGTTGACTGCATATCATACAGCGTGCTCGCCCGTCGCCTTCATCTCATCCATTTCGTAGTCCTGAAGACTACGCTCCCGGCCGCGGCCACGTCCGAAGCTTGACTCGGCTTGGTCGTCTGAGGGCTGTTGCGAGGACGAGTTCGTTTGACTGCTACCGCCGAGTCCGCCAAAGGCAATCGGCTTCAACTCACGGTGCTGGCATGCCCACATGCCTCCGAAGGTCATCATGGCGGCGCTGGCACACTGCAGTCCCCACCAGAGTAGGTTCATGGGGAGAGAGTGGGTGTAGAGGATGGTGGCAACGAGGTGAAGGAGGTGAATCGTGAGGGCGAAATCGGGAACCAGCTTGGAGCGGGAGACGAAAAGCAGAAGAAAAATTACGCTGAAAACATAGTTAGTCCCTCGTCATTTAAATGGATTTGTTGTCTCCAACGCTCAAGGCTCACCTAATGAAGCAGTTCAACATCCAAACTAGCCCCAGCATCCATCCAACTGTCGTGTCTCCTCTCAGGTAGTCCCATCCAAAAATCAGGTCTAGCGAGAAGGGCGCGCCATATACGACCGTGGTGAAGAGGATGAGAACCGTGGCACAGACATAATAGGCAAACTGGAGAAGGATGATCTTGCGAATAATCTTCAGTGGCGGAAGGTCGGTTCGCGACCCCGCTGGAAGGCGCCGGCGCCCGGGCATCAACTAGGGGGCCAGGGATTTCCCTCGGCGACCTGGTGAGTCTGGAAGATGGTGATTTTGAGCGCTGCGCTCAAGTCGAGGCGAGGGGCGTCCGAAGGTATATGCGACTGCGACCAGGAGTTCAGAGGTCGAGAACGGTACATGTAAGAGAGGTGCTCGGTCTCAATATGAAAAGGGGGTACAAGTCGTGGAAAGCTGGGTGAACGGGAGGAGAGTTGAGTGAGAAGAAACGGACGGCCTTCTGTGGCCGTGATCAACAGTCTTGGCGTTCGCCGAGTCCGCGGGAGCAACGAAGCAACTTCATTACCGCGCCACAGAATTCGAGCTTCACGATATCGCCTCCCAGGGACATTTACTTTGTCCACGAGCCCCCAGAAACCTCTTTACACAACATCTAGCACATCCACTACTTCCAAAATGGGCTGGCTCCCTTGGTCTTCCAGCGACACCAACAAAGCCTCCGACGGCGGCCGCATCGCTCCGGACCGAACAAGTCGCGCGCGCTGCTGGGAGGGTCGTGATCACTTCTTCGCCTGCCTGGACCGCAACGATATTCTCGATGGAATCAAAAATGACAAGGAGGCGCGGCAAAAATGTGCGAAGGAGGTTGCGGAGTTTGAGGCGGCGTGTTCCAAGTCTTGGGTACGTACAGTTCTTGGTTTTCTCTACGGGCTTATTCTGGCCCTAAAAGAGAAATTTTTCGATGCATCGCTCCCTGGCATTTCAGGCCAAACGAATTGCTGACGTGGCTTGCTTGTATAGGTCAAATACTTCAAGGAGAAACGTGTGATGGAATATAATCGGGACCGGACAATCGAGCGGATCAAGAACGAGGACGCCCAAAAGGTGCAGGAATTGAAGTCTCAGGGCTGGAAGCCTACCTAAAACCTGGTTGATGGCGGCTTTTTGTACATTATGTTACCATATCCACTCTTATCACGTATCTGATGATCAGTCCATTCAAACCCATCAGGCAAGCTTGTAACTCTAATCAGCTTTGGAGCTGGTTTCTTCATGTGGAGGATCGGAGGGCGGGGGCGTGTAATCTATCCAGGATTGCTCCGGTTTGGCTTACGACAATATGACCGAAGCTGAATGTGATCTACTGGGATAAACATGAATTGATGAGAACAGCATGCCCCGTCAGTGGGCGTCGTGTTATATTCACCTTGCCCGAGCCAGAATGGAAAGTGCCGGGAGCAGAAAAGGCAAGCAAGCCTCAAACACACAGATGGCTGAGATGGAAAACATACACGGCAACTCCGACCAAGACCAACCGTTCGCCATATCATCTAGAATGTTCTCCTCAAAAATCACAAACGCCTATGGTTGCAGTTCGCTCGGCAAATCCAGCATGAAGGAAAAGAAAAGCCGCCCATAAAACAGATAGCGAGAACGCCGAGCACCGGAGAAAGTAGCCGAGTCTTGAGAAAAGTCACGGAGAAGAGATTCATTAAATCATTGCTTCCATTTTGCCAGGTGGTTCATCAGGTTTTGCACATTTGAACCAACTGGCTGCCCCTGGGGCTGCTGGCCGCTCAGGCCCTTAGTGAGCAGAGAAAGCAAGTGAGGATCCGAAAGGACGGGAGCATTTGGAGGGTGGAGATTAAAAGGTGGATGAGGAAGAGGTTGAGGGTTTGGCGGCAGAGGAGGCCGAGTCGCATTGGTTAGGAGACTGGCAAGATCGGCGGGTGGAGGAGGGTTAGGTGACGAGAAGGGTGATTGCGTGGTCGAGACTGGCTGCGACTGGGGTCCCTGGCGCTGAAGTGCCGATAAGAGAGTATGGAGGCTAGGGCCATCCAGAGAGCTGATCATGTTTGCAATGTTGGGAGGATTCGTGAGTGTTGGCAGGCCCGGCGGAGGCAAGCCGGGTTGAGGTAAAGTCACAGGCTGCATTGGAGGGACGCCGAAAACAGGATTGGGAGCGAATGAGGTAGGAACAGGACCGCGCTGCATCGCCTGCGCTTGGTGGAACATGACTTCGGCGGCGATGTTAGGGTCAACCTCCGGATAGTCTAGATAAGAATTAGCGGTGTGGGGTATACCCTTGGAGATATCAAGGCTACGAACCACTGAAGCGAACGTTATCTGGTCCCGCACTTCGATCGAAAATCTGCAGGGGGATCTTGCGAGAGAACTGATTGGGCCGGGAAAGTCTGACAACAGCCAGTACTCCTTCGACGTATTGACGATGGACGGCTGCCCCCAGTGGGATTCGAGGACCAAGCACAAGCACGTCCACGCGCAAGCCGCGATTGCGAAAAGCATTTTCCACATGGAGAATAAAGTTTCTAAAACTGATCAGTAATGTCTTGTATTAAAACGGGCGATATCCAAACTCACCGATCCACTTCTTCCAAGACAAGCACCTGCACTTCCGGCACATCTCGTGGGGCCCGTCGAGGGACCGGCAAGCCTGCTTCCCCTTCATAGACACCGCGAGGTCTTGGGCTGGGGCTGCGATACCGGCGATCTCTAGTATAGGGGGAGCGAGGCGAGCGAGGCGAGCGCGGAGACCGGGATCTTCTTCGTTCACGACGGTCGAACCTTTCCGGGGTCCTATCCCGTGATCGGTATCCATCCCGACCAGAACGAAAGTTCCGAGGTGAAGGTGAACGTGGTGAACGTGGCGGCCGATAATCGTCACGCCTACGGTGGTTCGGATCATCTCGGAAATCACTGAATGGAAGTCGACTTGATTCGGAAGATCGATCAAAGCGATCACCCGGAAGCCGTGCAGCAGCCCGAGCAGGACCGGTACGGCTAAATTCTGGCGATCTCGATCGTCGAGGAGGAGGGGCACGGGGCGCCTCCGTCGGACCAGGTCTGGTCGATCTCTGCGGTTTGGAAATTTCGAGATCTGAACAAGTCAGCGCCATGTCCATTCTTCGTTCGGTTGGGTATCAACTCACGAATCTTCCGGCCTCGCACCAAGGCTCCCTGCTCAACCTGAAGCGCAGCATGGCAAGCCCCGGCCTCTAGAAATTGTATGAAACCGTAGGCCTGCTTAATGGATATCTGGGCCAATTTGCCGTATTTGTGAAATAGGTGGAACATGTCTCGCTTGGTGACTCTTTCGGTTGGGAGGTTGCCTATATACGAAACGAGTCAGTCAAAACGGGTTCGAATGGATCAAGGCGATAAAACTGACCAACAAATAGCCTGGACCCCATCGGGAAGCGATCCCAAAGACCCTCCGTCACGTAGATTCTCTCATCATGAAGGAACTCATCATATTTCTTTTGGACCTCCGGACCCCAAGGCTGATCATCATCAGTGCCCTTTCCAGGGCGCACTGGTTGTTTATCGGTGCGACTTTTCTTGGGAACCTCCTGTGATAAGTTGGGGTCTGAGCTCGAGGAAGTGGCATGCTGGAAGCTCGCAAGAGGTGGTGGGGGGAGCGAGCCGATGCCCGCGCCGGTCCCTGGGGCACCCCCCGAGGCAATGGAGGGAGAGACATGTTGGGCATGGCTACTGGGTTGGGTTGCGTAGGCGGAGAATGTGGCAGGAGCGGGACAGGGTTGCTCATAAGAACCGGGGGCATGATTGGGATTAAGGGAGGGATCAAGAGGGCGGGCAGGGAGGGTTTGGGGGGACTCTTCAGTAGGTGCTTGGTGGAGCGACGGGCCTTCTAGATGGGAAGCGGCGGCGGTCGCTGCACCAGAAGACAGATTGTCCAGCAGAGTCTGGAAATTGACACCAGTATTGGGAACTGCATCCTCCTTCGCATCATCTATCCGGGCCGGCTCGACCCCGACGGCATTTTCTATCTCGCCTGTGGTGGCGATGCCTTGGGAGACCGGGACCACCGGAGGCGCGTAGGGGTGAGTGGAATTGGGGAGAGCGAAGCCGGGGTTTGTGTTTGCACCCTGGCCATGCCCAGTACCCGTCGAGTGGGGAGGGTAGATATCCGCAGAGTTATCATTGATCACAGTGTTCTCCAGCCGCCGCCGCCGCTGCTGCTGCTGCTGCTGCAAACCACCATCCAACCGTCCCTGTCCTTCTTTGGTCCGTCCATCCTGACCCGGCCGTTCCGGCCACTCCGAGCGTTCGTAAGTTGAAGTATCGTTGAAGACGGGGTCCATTTGGTTCTCCAAGACCGGGATATTTGCTGGCTCCGGAATATGCAGCGGGCGAGGGCTTTCCGGAGTCAGAGTCTTGCCGCGAAAGTGAAGAGCTTCATCGGGGGGACTGGGCGTCATGTAGACTGAAAGGGGGAGGGCGTTTCATCTACAACGGATAAAAAAAAAAGAAGAAGAAGAAAGAGGTGCGTAGAGCAGGTGGAGAGTGTCAGGTGCCAAAGTGAATTTTGCAATCGCGCAAGCTAAGGTGGGGCGATTGCAAAAAGATTTGGGGCCGGGCGGTCAGGGTCCCAAAATAGGGTAAACGGGGCGAGGAGAGTGGACACGTCAAAAAGGAGGAGGGAACTGAGGGAACTGAGGCAAATGGAGATGGGGGAGAACAGGAAATAGAGCGACGGATGCCAGGTGCAGGTTGTCATGCAGGATACGCTGTACGAGGGGGTCGATCCGGACTGGAGACGTGCATGCTTTTCTTACGAACTAGGGACCAGGTGCCCAGGTGTTCTGGAGCCCTGCGAATGCCGGCGTTCGTCCCAAGGTTCCGCCAATAGCGCTGAAACCTAACTCAACGTCGTACACCGACACCGAGGCATCCGCCGAGCATCCACCACCCGTCCAACGTCGGTCGTGCAAAGAAGGCCGGGGGAGGGCCAGACGATTGTACTGGCAAAATCGGAGAAGGTGCCTTCCCGAGGAAGTACGTACTTCGGTTGAATCATTTCAATTAGTCAGGACATACTCCACCTGCATTGCTTCATCGTCTTCTTACTGCCAGGCTTATACCTGCCCGGGAAGGAGTAGGCCGCGCCATGTTACGACTTCTCCAACCATCCCGGCGGTTTGCCTCTAGCACCCCCTGCCTCCAATGTCCCCAACCCCGGGTCGTCGAGGTCGGCTGACTCGGACCTCGAACTAGCCAGGCAGTGGCTTAGGTCTTTTGACTCCCGCACCATCCCCCGCCATCTCGGCCAAATCTCGTTCAGCCGGTCTAGCGGCCCCGGCGGTCAGAACGTCAACAAGTCGGTGCATGTCCGATCCCCTTCACTTTCACGGGCTAATTAAATGGGGACAGAGTCAATTCTAAAGCAACCCTGAAGCTGCCCCTGGACGCATTGCTCCCTCTGGTGCCATTGGTGCTGCACGCTCCTTTACGTGCCTCGCGCTATGCCGTCGGCAAGTCCCAGGGCCAGGGCCAGGCTCTGCTGATCCAGTCCGACGAATCCCGGAAACAAGCTAGCAACGTGGATTCGTGCTTTGACAAGCTCCACCAACTCCTCCGATCTACGGCCGAGGAGGTCATTCCGGGTGAGACTTCGCCGGAGCAGCAGAAACGGGTGCGCGATCTGTAAGCCCCCCACCCCGTCTCAATGCAGCTCATCAAAAGACCTAATTCAGACTACAGGCAGCGCGCTCAGAACGAGGCTCGACTAAAGGGGAAGAAGCTTCAGAGCAAGAAGAAGAGTGATCGGCGGTCAAGCAGGTCCGATTATGATTGATGTCATTAATATACTCCGACCAACGCCTTTTGAAATGCCCCCAAATTACTCCTTCGATGATGCTCGCTCCGCATTGCGCATCGTCGCCATGATGGCCTTCTTCAGCGAAGGATCCAAGTCCTCCGTCTCTGCAACGGGTTGCAGCCAGTTCAACACCTCGCGCGCAAGGTCGATGGTCAAGGGGAATTCCTTGAGGCGCCCCAGTGCGCTACCCAGCGCTCGTGGGAATTCGGGTGACGTGACCCGAATGGCCACGGTCGGCAGCCTGATGTAGCAGATCTGCGTACGGGGGCTGGTAGGCTTGTGCGCCCGAAGTGTCTCCACCACGTGCTCCAGGATCTTGCCCAGGCATGGCGCCTCCTCAAACTCGGAAACCATCTCGTAGAACTCGAATCCGAAATGGTCATCATTATGGAAGTTTTTCATCGCGGCGTCAAAGATGGCGAGCGGAATGGCACCGCTCAATGCAGGCGTGGAATTCAGATTCTGCAGGGCCTCCTCAGCATCTTCCTGAGTGGGGTTGATGTCATCTTCAGTGATCTGGGGAAGAGCGATCACGTCGGCGTCCATGTCATCCTGCGCCGTATCCTGAACTGGCTTCGGCCGGGCTTCGTCCAATCCGAGAATCCGTTGACGGGCAGTCAGCTTGGCAATATAGATTAATTCCAACTTGGCATATTGAATCCACAGTGGCCTGGCACTCTTGCAAAACCGCAATCCTCTTTGCATATAACTCCTAGCCTGCGTCATATCCGCATGGTCGTCGAGAACCGATTTGGCGGCGTAGATCCACAACTCTGCCCTGGTCGGGTGCAACCGTAAAGCGTCGGTGAAGATCATGGAGAGTTTCTTGTGTGCTTTTTGCTTCCGCGCATATTCGATGTATTGAATCCAGAGGCCGAGATCGCCGTGGAATTTGCGAGTCGCCCGCTCGAGGATGAAGAAAATTCGCCGCTGACCGCTGTGACCGGCCTGGCGAATTCCGAGTCGCTTTACTCGCTTCTTGCGCAGGGTTTCGAGGTTCATCTCGTATTCGACATATCGCACAAAGTCCACGGGTTGTGCGCCGCGTGCATTGAGCTTGTGCTCAAAGTCCGATCGTTTCTTGATGATGGCGGTGATTTCATCCTAATCAAAATCAGCGGAGAATTTTGCAGCCGCACGGCGGCACATACCTTGGTGAAAATCTTCTTCCGCTCGTACTCCTTGAGCTCCGGAACGGACTTCTCGAGGAAGAATCGAGCCTTATCGGTGGCGGCGGACATGGCTGGTGATCACTGAAGAGAGAAAAAAAAAGCGTCGGCATCCCGCATGGACAAAGCACCGACCCCCGGGTGCGGGCTAAACCCCATCGGGCCTAGCTCCCAGGCAAGGACACTTGGGAAAGCACCGGAGACTCCGGTGTTTTCCTTCTCAGGGGCCCTTACTATCTTCTTTTCTGATTGAATTGTTTCAATTCCTCACACTCTTTTCATTTCTTCTTCGCGGTCCCTATATATCGGTGCGGAGTACTCTCCTCCCTTTGCACCGCCATGGCTCCTCGAATCAAGGACGGAGATGCCGTGGTGACCGTAAGTGCCTTTCACGCGTTACGGACCTCGGTTGCAAGCTGACTCGATTCCATCATAGATCAACGGCAAATGGGTGTCATGGTCTCACACTGTCTTCGCATATGCTGCCTTCTTCAGCGCGCTGATTGTCGGCATCGCGTTGCATTATCACAAGATCGTTCAGAATGAACACTACGGCTACCCCGACGAATGGTTCCCCTCCGTGTCCGCCACGATTGGCGATCGATACCCCGAGCGCTCTTTCTTCATGGTCTTTATCGCCATCACTTCCGGCCCTCGCTTCCTCCTCGTCTTCCTGTGGTACATCCTCAGTGCGCGCCCGAACTACACCCTGCCGAAGATTGTTGCCGGCGTTGGTGTCTTCCGGACCTTGACCTGCGGAGGCTGGACCTATGTCACTTCCACCGATGACCATGACTGGCATGATATTTTCATGATCTCCTATCTGGTGGCCACCCTGCCGTGGACTCTGGGTTGCCTGGCCCTCAGCCCGAACAACCGCCGCGCCGTCAAGTATCGCAAGATCCTGGCTAGCCTTTTCTTTGGAACCTTGGTGCCATTGATCTATTACTTCATCCAGCACAAGGTCCACAAGGTACCCGGTGGTAGGTCAACCTCAATACTTGCGATCTTCGTGCGCTAACGTCACCAGCCTACACCCGTTACGCCTTCTTTGAGTGGTCCCTGGTTTTGTTCGATGTGGGCTTTGATGCAATCACCGCCCTCGACTTTGAGGGCTTTGAGTTTGTGGTGCGCGATGTCAAGGGGATCAGCAGAGGGTATGTACCGTGGCTTCCAAAATGACACCCACGACGAATGTATAGTGTTACGATTTACGTCGGTTGTTTGAAGAAAAAAAGCATTTTCTAAATTGGCTCTTTCCAGGCAGTTGAAGACTACTGCGGACTCGGTCCTTGAAAAAGAGTGTGTACAATCCCATAATCTACCAACGACCCGCCAGAGGTTAACCACGTAGCTTTTACTTTTAGGAAGGGCAAGTCCGTGGGCAACACCTTCGGCGAGGGCTTCTTCTGGACGGAGATTATCGACGCCGCTGCCGATGTCTACAATGGATTCGTCTTCTGGACCATCGTGACCGGTCTTCCCGTCCTCGTCTGGTACTTCCCCTTGTGGCACATGGGTATTTCCGGCTACGAGGTTGCCATTGTCTGCTGCTGCTCGCCTCTGTTTTTCGCTATCCCGTCATTGCGATATGCTGCCGCCAAGAATCTGCGAGCTCTGCACTTGATCTCGCTGGTTGGTCTCCTTGCCTACAAGTTCCAGGATCCCGCCAACCGACTTTTCGTGACTGGGTTCGCCCTCGCGACTTCTTGCGCCGCGTGGACCGCCAGCTTCTTCGCTGAGCGCGCCAACTCGCCCCGCCTTGAGACTCGTATCATGGCCTGGGGTATTGGTCTGATCATGTCCGTGATCGTCAAGTTCGCTTGCTATACTAACAATCCGCTCTGGCCCGTCATGCACGCTGAAAACGGTGGCTGGAACAAGATCGGTCTGGTCGTTGCCATCTTCGCTGTCTTGCGGTCTCAGCGTGGCTCCAACACCAGCGGAGGCGACTACCTACCGTCTGGCGGCAAGAAGGGCTCGTCAATTCTGGCTGGCATTGGATTTGGAGGTCTCATGTTTGCCATCGTGTCGCTTTTGACCGACTCCAGCACTATGATTTCATGGGTCTGGGACGGATATCCCGTTCGGGGACCCATCGCTGTGCCTCATGGTGCTGCGACCATTCTTGCCATGGGAGCTGGTCTTGTCTACGGTGTATTCTATCCCGCTGTGGCCGGAAGCTGGACTGCCTACGGCATCGGCTCTCTCGGTGCGGCTCTCCTGACCTGCTATCACCACTGGACCGGATACTACGGTGCTCTTGCTTTCGCCTTCTATGTCATGGCCGTTTCACCCGTTTTGATCTCGTCCAGTGTTCGCCACTCCCCTGCAACCGCCTTTGGCGTTGGCTTCATCTTCTACGTGTTCATGCTGCTCTTCCACGTCTGGGTTGTCGCCTACGCGTTCGTTCCTGGCGGCCCACTTGTCCGCGAGCACACTGACTGGGTTATGATCACTACCATGATTTCTATTGGAGCTGGTGTGTTCTCGGCGGCCACCTCCAACTCGTCCACTCGTTTCCGTAAGAAGCCCATCGGCCCTAACGGCAAGAGACAGCGTTCGTACTACATTTACGTCCTCGCTGCGCTGCAGTTGCTGTCCATCTCCGTGGCCTACCTGCGCTTCCCCACCAATGACTACCAGCCCCACCACAAGGAGGACAAGGTACTCACCGCTGGTATCTGGACTGTGCACTTCGGTCTTGACAATAACATGTGGGCTGCTGAGCGTCGCATGCGCGATGTTCTTGGTGAGCTTGAGCTCGATGTTATTGGTTTCCTTGAGTCTGATAACCAGCGCATCATCATGGGTAACAAGGATGTCACTCAGTACATTGCTGAGGACCTTGGCTACTATGTCGACTTTGGCCCGGGCCCCAATAAGCACACCTGGGGTTCAGCCTTGTTGTCTAAATTCCCTATCGTCAACTCCACCCACCACCTTCTCCCCTCGCCCGTTGGCGAGTTGGCCCCGGCCATCCATGCAACTCTTGACATGTACGGCGAGATGATTGACGTTGTCGTCTTCCACTCTGGTCAGGAAGAGGACCCCGAGGATCGTCGTCTTCAGACCCAGTATCTGTCCAAGTTGATGGGCTCTTCCCCGCGTCCACTGATCTTGCTGAGTTACCTGGTCACCAAGCCGCTGGAGGGGAACTACAACACCTATGTCAGCGAATTGAGCGGAATGAAGGATATCGACTCCAGCGACTGGGACAGATGGTGCGAGTACATTCTGTACAAAAACGTTCATCGCACAGGTTACGCCAGAATCAGTCGCGACACCATCACCGACACCGAGATTCAGGTATGTTTTATCACCAACCACAACAAGAATCCAGACTAACAAGCGTTATAGGTTGGCAAGTTTGTCATTGGTGAGCCGGAGCCGGAGCAGGAGGTGCGCATCCCTGAGGAGCTTGTTCCCCCAGGCCGTCGCTTCCCAGCTCTGTTCCGTGGCGAGGGTGTCCGCGGACACCGCTATCACGTCTTCGATGAGCCCCGATACTGGCAATAAGCAGTACAAGGGCGGACATGACCAGTGCTTTGCGTCTTTGCAGGAAATCCTTGCTATTGAGGCAACAGACCTTGAGATTTTCGTTACACGAAGAAATAACTCGGAATTAGAATGGCGGACATTCCAATACTGATCTTCTAATTCAAATAAATTATTTTTTTGTCTTCAGACGCGGCTGTTTTCTCCGGTGATCTATACCCTAATTCTGTTGGTTCGAATTCCGCGCCTGCCTCCTGCATTGGAGCTTGGACTTGAGCACCCGGGTAACTCTAGTTATGCCACATGGAAGAGATTCAGTATGGAGATCAGCAGCTAAAGTGCCAGAGTCTGCGCCTCCTATACGAGCTAACATTCCAACGACTGAGCTCGTATAAGATGATCACAGAGCAATCATTCTGGCGTTGGACGGCAATGAATTTGCTTGGACCATCTAACACCGATCATTCTTCAGTGTTGCGCAAAATATCAAGGGCCTCGTCTCCAGTAATGCGACTGGATGGAAGGAATCGCATCAATCCCTGGGTCACATGAAGAAGAGGTTGGAGTGTTGAGTCATGCACATCCTTTGCCAACTTCCATTCAAGCGTCAACATTTCACTGGAATCTCTGGGAGGTTAGCGATGGTCTTTACAGTAACAAAATTGCTTAGCTTCTTCTAGCTCCAAATCGTGGCTACATCCCGTCTGCTTTCTTGCCATTTAATGTCCCATTCGGAGGGCAATCTCTCCACAAGCCCAATCATCCAGAAAGTCAAAATCTCGTCCTCGCCGAGATACCAGAATTGATATGGCGTGAATAAAAAGAGTAAATCTATCGTTGATACTTCTATAAGCACTCCAGCGCTCGGAAACTGCAGCTGTAAGAAAAATATATTCACGCACCATACAACCCGTACGCCATATATCAACATTGGCCAGCTCAATTTCCAGGGCTCCAAGGATACCAGAGAGCGGCTCTTCGGTCGTTTCCAGCGACTTCATGCAACCGAATGTGATGTCCCTGCCGCCTATATCTAGCATCGAATAAGTACGGTTATCCTACCGCGCAAAAACTGAAGATTCACCGCCACGGCACATGCTGACAATGTGAATAAACTTGACAGCTTTCAAAAACAGCGCAGTCATCCGAAGTATAGTTTCCAGGTCGAGCCTATCCTGGTCTGAAGGGTAGTCTGTAAGGGCCTTATCAACGCAGCGCCAAGCCATTCGAAAACAAGACATTAGCGGACTCTAGTTGGGCAATATGGTTTGGAGAAAGTCTTCTTTGAGAATGCCTCTCTAAATGCTTGAGTTGCAGCTCTCGCGAGGCCTGGGAATCCGCAATCATGATCTTCAATGAAACCCATTGATTTTTGGGAACTGACTTTTTGTCTTTCGCAAGCCATACGGTGAAACAGCCGCCCTATTTTAATTCATGACGTCTTGTAGCGACCGTTCTGGACGCATCTCCGGGATTAGCTGGATCCTATCCCTCGGGTTGATATCTTGGCAACGATTCCTATGTGTAGAGTAGGTTAGTTTGGCAGGAAAGAGAAAGAGAAACATATCCAAAATATAGGACGTAGCCTTGGTAGATAGGAGTGCTGGTCGTAACCAAGAAGTTGGGGGATGACTGGCTTGGGGCTAAGATTTCCTGACTAGCTAAACTTAAGCTACGGTATTTTAATGTGTATTAAAAGACCTATATAAAGGTTAGGCCTATTCAATATGACTCGGGGTAAGACTCGTTAGAATACACGAATGAGGCTGATTTCGCCTCGGGCGTAAAACAGGCCCATGGCATGATTTAATTCCCAGGTCTCGGTTGTCATTGGAATGTGACAGGGTAACCCAGGGTCCTGGGCAGAACGGCCTGCCCACTTCATTTCCCTCCAAATCCAGCCGGTTGCTTCATTTTCTTTGTTTGCAGGAAATCTAAGCCCTTGTGGCCTTCGAAATTAGTCGAATTCGAATATTCGGCTTGAACGAGTTCCTTGTGCCGATACTCTTTGTCTCAAGACAGCAGTTCAATCACCAGCCCAATGATGAACAGCCGCCGATCCCAAACCAACCTAATCGATCAGATCGTCCGTTGATATGAGCCACACGTTCATTGCAAGCTCCACCAAACAGGTTCAGGTCAATTTTTGCCCTCCACGGCTGTTCAGAACAGGGCAATGACACCAACGGAGTAGCACGCTCACATTCCAGAGGCCTAGGCTAATTTCAAGATTGGACGGATGATACTTCCACCGACGCGCACAGATGCCACGGCTCCTACGGCTCCACGGCTCGCTCTCTGGCTTCAATCATCTAGCGCGGCGTATACAAAGAATCCCCGGGGAATGCGCCTTGCCTTGATCTCACCGTCAGCGTGGCCTTTCATGTGGAGTGGAAGGCCAGATAGGTCTGCTTTGGTCCTTTTGCTCTGGATGCCCCCACTTGAGCCAGTCCCAGGGCAAGGCAGCTCCCCCCTTCGCAATGTTCCAGGGTCTTAGGGAATTGTGTCGATCCCCGGTGCGATGTATCATCGGGGGAGCTCCTGTGGAGTATGGACGTAATAGTGTTTTTCAGACTTTATTTTCTAAGGGGCGCCACCTGTGGTTTTTTTTTATAACACCCGCAAGCCAGAACCTTTGTCTTGGTCAGATGAGCCGAAGAACATACTGCTTCGGATGGGAACAATATGACTCGTCTTGCTAAATCTGATACTCTTCAGCTGACCATCTTGGTTTCTTCTTATCTGCACCCCGGGCCCTCTGCTGATATCGCATCGGCCGCGACTGTTCCTCTGTTCGTCGTCTAATCGCGTCTTGCCAATACCTGCTTCAAATTTCTCAAATTTCTTCCTGTGAGTGTCGCTTGCACGGTGCTATATTCTTGGTTTATGAGAACCTTTGACTGACTGGAGTTGCTCTCTCAAAGAATCCGAGTTGATCCTTCACTTCGATATTTCCACCTCCTCGCCGGGCACAAACCCGACTTCCACTACGCAGTTTGGCTGTACGATTTCTTTGTGGGCCTTCACGAGGACTTATTACGTTACGACCAGCGGTGCAATAATCAAAGGAGCTATTTTTGTGGTACATCTACTTTCTTTTCTTTGTGAGTCTCAAGGAAATTTGTTGAAGGGACCACGATGCTAATATGAAAAATCGGACAGAATGCAATCATATTAATTTGAAACAACACCCTTTCCCCTCGTTTCGGTTACGTGATTTTCTTTTCCTCGACTGAGTCGTCCCGCGGGTATATTTGTTTAACTTATTGTGAATACACTGGTGATCTTTCTGTCGGATCTCAACATACGCCAACAGAGCTGCACGACAGCGAAGTGAAAGGGTCTTTCCAGTGTTGATCATGGCAGGGCCTCCGCAGAAATGGCATGAACATGCTCGGGGCCAGGAACGAAGGAAGTCCTCGCCTTTGAAGACTATTGCTTTGGGAGACGGGTCTTATTTTCCGGATACATCACATATTGAATACGTGGATGGGACTACTCCTCCAGGAATTGAGACTCTGCCACCAAGGAGGCCACCGAAAGCTGTCATGCGTGACTTCCACCTGTTTTTGGGAGGTCATGGCAGGTCTTCTTTAGCTTCACACCCATACGCGCGCCTATGTGCAGGGACTGATAGGGCTGGGCTGGGAGCTCCGGGAGCTCCCCCAACGACACCAGCAGGCCACGGGTTGCCTACGATCGTCAATCCATTAAATGCAAATCAACAGATCTTCCTGATCCCACCCACTGTGAGCATCGTGACTCAGGGCGATTGGCCTATAATCTATTTCGGAGACGATGCGCCATTTCCTCGAGTGCGGTTCACGCTTCACCAAAAAGACCCTCAAGATGAGAAAGACCTTTCGATGGACTTGATCAAAATGGCGCCGGGAAAATGGGTGATTCCTGGTGCGGTTCCCACGGGGGACGTCAGGTTGGATCCGTCTCACCCCAGATTCAACGCAGGGTATAAGGTTCCTAGAGCCTTTGACTCAACGATAGGGCTGGGTGGCTTGCAATGGACCGTGGAGGCGGGTGACAACCCAGCAGATTGGAATGGACTGTCACGAGACCAACTACTCGAGTTCATGTACCGTTCTCTCGAGGAGATACTGGGTGACTGGGTAGCCCGAGATCAACTTCGAAAGGAAATCTCGAAAGGACCTCTGGCAAAGAATGTCGAAAACGTGGAAGATCCATTGCCGCCGCTTCCACCCCCGCCCAAAACGGGCAGTTTCCCCCGCAGCCAGTACGGAAAGCATCCTCTCGCGGACGCACAGGCGAGGTTTGAAAATGCTCACAATTTCTGGGGAGACTACTCTCGGCCCAGTCTGGCAGTGCAACCCACCGCCAAGAAGGACCCTAAGACTCTGAAGCTTCTACCTCAGAGGCTGTTTGCACATATGAGAGAGGCCATGGAGAAACCAGATAATATTGATGATCTCCATGGTACTTCTTCCGAGGACGACAATGCCCCTTCGCCTGGGCCTGGAGGAAGCCCCGGATACCCCCCTATGAGATCTCCTAGAAGATCTCCTGAAGGAGTTTTCAAAGAAGCCTCGCAAGGATCCGATTTAATGAACATCGACCCACCGCCAGTCGACCCCGAACTTGGCCCTGATCCGGTGGATATAGTCGAAGATGGAGGCAGGACCGCTCGAGTTGGTGAGTACAAATGTGTTTGGTTTTGTGTTATCGTCTTGGTTCTCAGCATGTTCCTGTGTCTCTTCCTGTATGCGTTCAAAGTTATCAGGTAATATAATTAGATATGTGCCAAAGGAGCACTTGAGCAGAGTGTGTGCAACTGGCTCGGTCCTAGACACGCAAGAACAAAGCTGTATATCTTTCGTCACTCGACTCATATGATGAGCGTTTATTGGCTGTGATGATTTCACATTGACGTGTCTGACATTCCTGACATCCCTTGCATATTGCATGGCCCGTTCGGCAAATGAGCTTGATTTTTTCCTGCGGTTTGAGGTCGAGGCTAATCTTTTACGGCACCGTAGATGAACACTCGGGCTTGCTAGGAAAGCGACCGCTGGGAGCTCCGGAGGCCTTGACAACCCCAGAAGAAGCGGGAAGTAAGGGTTCTTCGTCAGTGGCGTTCGAGGCAGCTACTATATCGGGTGAAAAGCGGAAAAGAAATGGGGAACAAAAAGCCCCAAACAAGGCCAAAAGAAGGTCTGTAGGTACAGCTGCATCTAACCGCCCTGTCCGCAGCCGCAAGCCTCCAAATTGGTTTGGGTATACGCCCTAACCTAGGACTACCGGCCACCTCAGTTAATCGACCAGTAAGTAAACCCTTGCCTAGGCAACACCTCTTGGAGCGTTATCTGAGGTAAATCAAGATTTGGCCACACAATATGGCTCCAAAAGCTCACCGCCTCAATCTGGGTATCAGTATTACCTAAAGTGATTAGGGTAATGGAGTTTCGAGAAATAACCTTGGAATCAAAGAGTGTAGGTGGTGACACCGATTTCAGCACGAGTTTGGTACCCACCCATATTTATTTCGCGTACATACATACACATCATTATGTTTTGTCATCAAGATGTCCGAAGTCTTCTAGAAGCTGCGCGATGCGATCGTCAAGAGTAGCCAGATCCCGTTTTAATTGCGATGGAAGTTTAAAGCGAACTTCGCGAGCTTTGTTGAGCGTTTTGAAACTTGCAAAATAAAGTTTGACTACAAAGGTTTTAATAGCTAGTATATCCTAGGTTGCGCCCTGGAGTAGAGAAAACCGAACGAGAATCGAGGTCTTATACATTTCGTGTAGTTCTGGTCAACGACGTGATTGGCCATTCGAGTCCAGATCACCTGACATCGAGGGTACAAACCGCGCAAACATTGCAGCCCGACGAAGACAGCTTCGCGACAGTCGATTCCTCCCGAATCTGACCGGTCTTTCTTTGATTCCCCGTTCTCGCTAGAAAACAGCTTGTGGCACCGGGAAGTCTCGAAGATAATGCACTATTTTCTTATTTAAGCCCAGATCCCGGCCTTCAACTCGATTGGACGTGTTCCCCTCGCGAACACGCTCGGCCTGACGCAGTCGCAAATGCTTAATTGTTGACGACCGGCGAGCAAGATGTTTACCTTTACTCCACTACTCGGCGCGCAGTCGTCGTCGTCGAGGGCGTCATCATCTATCCTAGAGCTTGATGGAGGCATTAAGATCCTCGTGGATGTCGGGTGGGACGATACGTTCGATACCCGTGACTTGACGGAGTTGGAGAAGTTAGTCTCTGATCGACCAAAGTATTCTATTCGGTGCTAATATAAACGTTGCATAGACATATTCCGACTCTTTCGCTCATTCTTCTCACCCACGCGACCTCGGCGCATATCGGTGCCTTCGTCCATTGCTGCCGAACCTTCCCTCTCTTTTCTCAAATTCCTATCTATGCGACTAGCCCTGTAATTGCCCTCGGCCGCACAAGTTTACAAGACCTCTATGCCTCCGCGCCTCTCGCTGCTACTTTTCTACCCAATGCATCGGTATCAGAACCCGGCGCGGCGGCCGCCGCCTCTGCTGTGTCCAGCGAAGAAGGGACTATCAAAGCTGCTGGCAGCACCGGACGGATTCTCCTCCAGCCACCAACAACGGAAGAAATTGCCCGATATTTCTCCTTGATTCAGCCCCTCAAGTATTCGCAACCGCACCAACCGTCCCCGTCTCCATTTTCGCCGCCCCTGGATGGGCTTACGCTTACCGCTTACAATGCCGGACACACCGTGGGTGGAACCATCTGGCACATCCAGCATGGAATGGAATCTATTGTCTATGCAATGGATTGGAACCAGGCGCGTGAGGGCGTCGTGGCAGGAGCTGCATGGTTTGGTGGTTCTGGAGCCAGCGGGACAGAAGTCATTGAGTCGTTGCGGAAGCCAACGGCTTTGATTTGTAGTTCCAAAGGCGGCGATAAGTTTGCTCCATCTGGAGGTCGCAAAAAGCGAGATGAACACCTGCTTGACATGATCCGGAGCAGCTTGGCGAAAGGTGGTACCGTTCTCATCCCAACGGATACGAGCGCGCGAGTGCTCGAGTTGGTTTACTCACTTGAGCATGCCTGGCGTGATGCGGCAGCTGGTGAGAAGGACGATGTTCTCTCGGGTGCCGGCTTGTATTTGGCTGGCAGAAAAGTCAACACCACTCTGCGCCTGGCCCGCAGTATGCTCGAGTGGATGGATGAGAATATCGTTCGTGAATTTGAAGCTGCTGAAGGAGCAGATGCGGCTGGCCAGAGGGCCGGTGGACAGGGACAGGATAAGAATTCTGGAAAGGGTGTAGGACCCTTCACTTTCAAACATCTCAAGACTGTCGAACGTAAGAAGCGGCTCGAAAAACTTCTGACAGACCAAGGCCCCAAAGTTATCCTTGCCTCGGATACCTCACTGGCTTGGGGTTTCTCCAAGGAGTCCCTTCGCCGGGTCGCCGAAGGCCCCAATAACCTGCTGTTGCTGACGGAATCCTTCCGCACAAAGGTGCCCGATGTCCAGGAGGCTCATAATATGATGTCAATTGGAAGCATTATCTGGCAATGGTATGAAGAACGGAGAGACGGCGTGGCATTGGAGAAAGCATCCGATGGAGAATTGCTCGAACAAGTTCATAGCGGCGGACGGGAGTTGACCTGGACCGATGTGCAAAGAGCCCCACTGGATGTTGGCGAGCAACTACTGTATCAGCAATATCTTGCCACAAAACGACAACTCCAAGATACCTCCCAACCGCGTGGCCAAGAAACTCTCGAAACCGCAGCAGACGCGTTGGACGACCGCTCAAGCTCAACTTCCTCTGAGGATTCCGATTCCGAGCAGCAAGGTCGTGTACTCAACTTCTCGGCAGCGCTCGCGCACTCAAACCGAAGCAAGCTCGCTCTTACCGATGAAGATCTAGGTATCAACGTTCTCCTTCGACGCAAGAACGTCTACGATTATGATGTACGCGGCAAGAAGGGACGTGAACGCATGTTCCCTTATGTTACATCAAGAAAGAAGGGCGACGAATACGGAGAGTTCATTCGACCGGAGGAATATCTACGAGCGGAAGAGCGCGAGGAAATTGATATGCAGCAGCGACGATCGGAAGCGCAGACCAAGCTTGGGCAGAAAAGGCGATGGGACGAGGCCGCCGGCTCTGGTGGGCTCAGACTCTCTGGGGGCGCGGGAGGACGGAAGCGCCAACAAGTGTCCAAAGATGGCCAAAGGGTCGATTCAGGTGCAGGCGATGATCTCAGCCTCGCCTCTGATGAAGCTGCCGACGGTGCTGTGTCTTCCGAAGACGAGGTGGATGGCCAAGCATTTGAAGGACCTGCCAAGGCTGTATACAAGAAGGAGTCCTTTACGATCAATGCGCGGATTGCCTTCATCGACTGCATGGGCTTGCACGATAAGCGCAGTCTGGAGATGTTGATTCCCCTCATTCAGCCCCAGAAGTTGATCCTGGTCGGTGGAATGAAAGAAGAAACTTCCACTTTGGCAGCCGAGTGCAAGAAGCTGCTGGCTGCCAAGGCAGGCATCGATGTCTCTGCTGCCGCAGCAGAAGCCGCCGCTATCATCTTTACTCCTGTAAATGGCGAGCAGATCGATGCCAGCGTCGACACCAATGCATGGATGGTCAAGCTGAGCAACAACCTTGTCCGCCGTCTGAACTGGCAGCATGTCCGCAGTCTGGGCGTTGTCGCTCTCACCGCACAGTTGCGAGGACCCGAGATCGTCAACGAGGATGAGAATGCCGACGCCGACGCATCTGGCAAGAAAATGAAATTGGTCAAAGACGAGACTGCATCTTCCGCCATCACCCCGACGACAAACCACGCGAAGTCTACGGACAAATTAGACGCCGTGCCTCTTCTCGATACCTTACCGGCTAGCATGGCTGCAGGAACTAGATCGGTGACCCGGCCGCTACATGTTGGCGACCTGCGACTGGCTGATCTGCGCAAACTGATGCAAGCAGCTGGCCACACTGCCGAGTTCCGGGGTGAAGGTACACTCCTGATTGACAAATCCGTTGCGGTGCGGAAGTCTGGCACTGGCAAGATCGAGGTCGAAGCTTCAGCACAGTCCTCGGCCAACCGGGCTGCTCAGGGCCGTGGTGCCGGTAGTTTCCTGGCTGTAAAGAGGAAGATCTATGAAGGTCTGGCCGTTGTGGCGGGAAATTAAGGGCATGACATGTAATTTTACAATTCACTGATGTATAACTTGATATGCAATGAAGCCCTAGATTATTCATTATTATGCCAGCTTGTATTTGGACTCATGGTCGATTTACTGGTCCTGACTTCGGGACTCTTCGTTTAAGGAATCATAGGATAGATTTTGAGATTGAAATGGTTAAATTATTGGGCTCAATCCCCTTTCTCCTTCCCATTCTATAAAGTCTATGAAAGCGCTCAACACTTCGGTCTATTGGCAAATTAATTATTGAGTTGGCGGACAACCTCTAAACAGTGATCTCATCAGGTTCTTCGTAGTCGATTCCGTCCTCAGAGGAAATTAGGAATGGTCAACTTTTTTTATGTAAATGAGGGCGGATAAGGGCTATGAGGGCTAAGGGCCGGGCGAGGGTAGGCAAGGACCCGCCCTCAAAATGATTTTCATGAGGTCTAGTCTCCAGCAGCACCAGCACGACGACGTCAATTTACCTACTCTTTTTGTAGTCAGGTATGGCATAGGGCATCGGGCAAATCATTGTAATCAGAGATAATCGTGAATTACGTTAACTAAGTTACGTTACGAGTGCTTATTAAGAAAACATGGCCTTTGCATTCGCATGACAGTATAGGAAAACCTACTTTATTAGGGAAAACCTAGACCAAGGCAAACAAAAAGAAAGAGCAAGCTTGCTGAAAGAAAATCTCCTAGTTGGTACTTGAGAATTGCTTTGTATCGAGCCGCCGAATATGGACCTAGGTGGAAAGCCCAATTCTCGAGACTCAAGTATATGCCTCGTGTTTCTGTTAGCAAAGGGTACCATAGTAAGCATTTGTCCAAAACAAAACTTACCATTGACGAGGAAATCATCTTTATGACAACAAATAGACATGAGTCCTTGATGTGGTGGAAATCGGGCCTTTACCGGGGCCAGAGGCCATAAAGCAGCGGTGATCAGAATTACCCGAATCCCACGTGAATCGAATACATTTTGAATTCTGACCGCACAGATCTGCACACTGAACAAAATTGTTTGAAGGTTTCTGGCCAAGGTCCCATTCCCACCCCCCTAGTTGATCTAGTATGGTTAGAAAGACCCTCTCGGTTGGCAAAATAGTCAAGTGTGACATACGCGATTTATAGAAAACCATAAACTTCTTGCCAGATAGAGTCAAGATACAACGGTCATCTCTTGGTTCTTTATGATATTAGCGATGATGTACTATTACTAGCGACTTGGCTTTAAAGTGATCGTGAAGTAACTCACCAGCATTGATCATATCCTTCCGACAAGCTTTCCCCAGAACTCCTTCGCTATCATATTGAGTAAGAAGGCTCTGGTAAGTGGAGTTGAGGGTTGTGAGAGAGTTCTGAAGGTCAAAGTTCGTTTCTTTTTGCTGCGTGACATTGAGTGCCAATTGATCTCTGTCATTTTGACAAAGCTGCTTTTCAATCCCAAGCTCGGCTTTATCGTCGCTGCATTGCTGGTGGTCAGCACGACATTGCCGTTTTCTTTCGGCAAGTTCTTCTTTATCCTTGAGGCATTGGCGATTCTTGTCCTCCAGGAGATCCTTTTCCCTGGCGCATTTTCTCCTCTCTTCCTCACATGGTTCAACTGGAGGCTCAACTGGAGGCTCAACTGGAGGCTCAACTGGAGGCTCAACTGGAGGCTCAACTGGAGGCTCAACTGGAGGATCTGCGGTGTTGGTAGGGTCCTCTAGCAACATCCAGTTGCTGTTCTTAACTGTGGTGTATTCATCGCTTTCCGTGAAATAGCAATTTGCTCGGCGACCGCTCCGATCGACGATTTCCCACATAGCTGCCTTGCAAGAGGGATTGCTAGCACAGAGCGAGGCGCATTCATGAGCATTGGCTACTGTATACCCTGTGCCCATAAAGGGATTTGCATAGACATGGCAGGTGTATTTGACAGTGAAGTCTTCTAAGACCTCGACGCCCTGAGCCTGACCCGCCTTAGAGCAACATGCTGCCGCGTGCTTTGACAGACACGACTCTTCGCCCAGGAGGGGCTCCTGTTGAGCCAAAGCAGTAGCAAAGCAGAGAAGGAACGCTGACTTGATCATCATGTTTGATCATCCTATGGAAAGCGACTTCCCAGGTTGGGATGTGAGAAATGTAGAAGATAGGCTAGGGGCGCTACTTATCGGGATATATGTATAGGGAAACTACTCCAGTCGGCATTATTATTTATAGACCTGCCTTGCTTAGCTTTATGTAGTTTTGATAGGATAGAAATGAACACATCTGTGTCGAGCGATCTCAGCAAGGGGGTTCAGGCTAAGGGGCGGGCCGGCCCAAAAAGGTTGATGTTGCTCGCGGAGGATAAATATATGATGAGAATCCGAGGAAAGATCTACGGAGATATGTGTGACTTGGTCGGCATTACTAGCACAGTGCAGCTGAAGCTCACAAAGAAGCGATCGACGAAGCCAAAGGAGTCGAACTCCTAGCGTCGTCATGTTCTTTGACGTGACACAAGTTTCAAGGGCAGACATAACCTGCTACGATCTACATGCTGGAGACGAGTAATATATTAGAGGATCGCATATGCGACACCATATGACGTAACGTACATCACCACCGAGCTGATCGCTCACCTACTTTTTCGCGTCCCGACGCCTCTTTCTATCTTTAACCACACACTATTCCACCAAATCGCTCTCAATCAACAAAGCCTATCAGTTTAGATATATTAGGCAATTGACGAACTAGAGAAAGGGTTCTAAGTCAAACTTTCAACTGTAAGGGGCTCGAGACTGAGCAGTGGACCGGGCCGACCCCGCAAACCTAAACAAGTAAATTACAGCGGGCTGGCGCGCGAGACAAAATCAAGACGACCTCGACCCCGAAAGCCTCGTAGACCGCACAGTACAGCGCACAATTGTGTTGATCTTTTATTTCAAACCCGCAGTTCTTGGTTCTGAAAGGGTACTGGTTTCACCTTTTCCTTTGTTGAATCACATGGGCATGCGTTTTTCAACGAGGCTAAAAGACTTTAATCGATCATTTCGCACAGTTTGACCGAAACTGTTAACTTTAGGTCTACCGATATTTTAAGAAAGTTAAGTTGTAACATCTACGAGTGCAGGCGTCGGGATACGGTATCATTGTCAACATTCCTCGAACGAAAGTGGTTGATCGCCCAGGTGCGGGTCTTAGCACATTGAGGAAAGAGTTGGTCAACTTGAGCCTCTGAAATGTAGCTGCCCTAGACGTGAGATACGAACCCGGCGTTTGTAAGTTCTAGCCTTAATGCACTTATGAACAACACTTTGGGGTACAATCAGCGCTTTTCCATATGATTTCTGAATTCTGGTGTAGGAGGACATTCATTCGGCGTCGGCTGTGGCGAATGCAAGAAGATATACTTAGAACCTGCTTGAATTCTGACTTTGCGAGCAGGGTACGATACCGGGTCTAGTGTTTGAAAAAGCAAGTTATGTTTTATTGGTCTATCTCTCAGCTAATGAGAGCCCCATTGATAACAATGGGGTTTCAAGGCCTTGCATAGGCATGTAAGATGGCAAAACAGAGCAAGAAAAGAATGGATGCATTGAAAAGAAGCATAAAGAGAAGCTTATGTTGCAATACGTCCTAGAGAGTGGACGAGCTACTGCACGTGAGGATGCTGAACTCGGAGGGAAATAGATCTATCCCAGAGGATGCGAAATGAAGGGAAGGTGACTTGTGCACAGCGCAGTTTGCTTGGTGGATACATCAACCCACGGGAGGACCCCATGTCTGATCGGTAACGAAGAGCCTCAATTAGGGGAAGACTCTCGAGGAAGTGACCGGAGCAGGACAGAATTCATAGTTGACGCAGTCATCGAGGACACAGCTGCTACCGTGCAGAACCTGGCCAGGACCGCAAGTAGCGGGCGTCTCCGAGACACAGCTCTTCTCCTCGACGCTGAATCTCCAACCATTAGGGCATGTAGGGTCTTCTGACAGAACACAGCGACCCTTCTTAAGCTCGAAGCCATCGGGGCACGTCGGATTCGCAGTCGAAATGCACTCAACGCCGTTGAAAGTAGCGCCCTGGGGACAGTCTGGCTTTCCACCAACACATTTATCCCCTCTGGGGAACGAACCGTCGGGACAGACAGGCTCGACATCAGAAACACATTCCCCATCTCGCAGGATGTAGCCAACAGGGCAGTTACTACCTTCCGTCAGGACACACCTGTTGCCGGCCCAGTCAAACCCAGGAGGACAAGATGGATCTTTGATCACCACACACTCGTTGTTTATAAGCTCTGTTCCCACAGTAGTACACCCCGGAGCATCACCGGTGACGCAGTCTTTTCCGTCAAACGTGGAAGAACCGGGGCATTCGACGGGGACGTCAGCCACACATACATCACCGCTAAGTGTTGTATGAGCGGGGCAGACAGGAATGACGGCGTCCTCCGAGATGCATGCTTGTCCGTTGAATGTCATACCATCGGGACATCTTGGCTTGCCGGTCGTGACACAATCGGTACCAGTCCAGATAGAGTCGTCGGGGCATTGAACAACGTCATCAATGATGCAGCCCGTTCCATCCCATTGAGACCCATCGGGGCAATCTGGGGTCTCTCGGCTGACGCAATTTCCATGCTCAAGGTGTGTGGTAGGTGGGCATTCGACGTCCGCGGTGATCACACACTCTCCATCGGTTAAGATTCCATAAACACAGGTGGGAGGCTCCCGACCAACACAAAAGGCTCCCTCGTGGAATTGCCCGGGTGGGCAATGAACTGGCTCCCATGCGACACATGCATTTCCCTCGAAATCCATTCCAGGCGGGCATGATGGATTCGCAATGCCAGGCCTCACACAACGGTCGTCATCCTTGACGGTTCCGTCTGGACACTCGCCATCAATAGGAGTCAAGAAACACTGTTCACCATCCCAGCCCATGTTCAGAGGACAGCAAAAGGCTGTACCAGAGAGCTGGTCGGTAACTAACTCCGCTCCTTCGGAACAAGTCGCATCCGCGAACGCGGAACAGAGGTTATTGACGGGACGGCTTCCATTCGGGCATAGCAATGGCTCTGAGGAGACGCAGCGTTGAGTTTTCTTGTTCCACTCGGTGCCATCAGGACACTGTGGTCCAATGTCCGAAACACAGGCATTGCGATCTTCATTGATATAACTGCCTTCGGGACACGTCGGGCTAGTGGTGGAAACACACTTCAAGATAGAAGGCAGAAAATTAGTATCAAGAGGACAGTCGGGGTCCTCGTCGATGACACACACAGCGCCCAATAGGGTTGAGCCGTCGGGACACCTTGGCCCAGCCGAGTGAACGCAATTCTGGCCGTTAAAGTGGTCATCGTTGGGACATGCAGGTTGTATGTTGGATTCGCAAACGTTTCCGTTGATGGAAAATCCATCTGGACAAGCCGGGGGGTCTGGACTAACGCAGACCGGACCCTTCTGGATGTACGGCGAAGGACAGAATGGCTCACTGAAAGTAGTACAGGTATGACCATTCCACTTGCCGTCACTGGGACAGATGGGGTCTCTGGTGGAGATGCAGTGGCCATCTCGAAGCTGAGTGTCATCCGGACATCTCGGTATGCCTAGCGCACAGCTCGTGCCATCGAATGTGGTGCCTTCTGGACAACATTTGACGTCACCGGTGGCGGGATGGATGGACGGGAAAATATCATTCAGGGTGAAGTGCCGAGACTGCGACAGGAGCTGTTGTTGCGCTGCAGTATGGATGGCTGGCAGCAAGGTCGACCAAAAGAGAACGGTCTTGGTCCGGGTCATTTTGGCCAACGAATCTTGATAAAGTAGACAAGTCAGATGTGAGGGTGAGCCCAGGTCTGGTTGAGTAGGGGCAAGGGTATCCAGCGAGACTTATACAGATTTTTAGGCTGATCATCTCCCTAAGCGAGTATTGATAGTTAGCCCCTTCTACCGAGCCTGCCACCTCGGCGCTTGAAATGAGTAGGCCCAATATTTGGTTATGCTGCATGAATCAATGTCAGGTTAACCAATGAGAGCACATAAATCGGTACTTCCATCTTCCAGACTTATAATATAATTGTTTCGACGCCAGGAGACTGTCTCGCTGACCTAGTCTACATAGGCAGTGCGTCTACGACTTGCAATTATGAGGGGGCAAGCGGCCTCTCGCAGCGTGCTTTGCGACTAGTGAGGGGATCATCAAACTCGTAGCGCTCAGGCATGAATTCTCAACGATGTATTCCTTTTCATTAACCACTTGATCATGCTGTGTGACATCTGACCGGAATGCCGGAAATGGGCGTAGCTGGAAGAAGCTCGATAGGGACGGGCTACACGTGCGTTTCTACTAGTGCGTCCTCTTCACTACATATGATATCTAGTTATCTCATGGACTCAGGCTATCATTTGCTTAGCAAGCAAAGGATGATCATTCCGCATATTCTCGCGGAATGTACCCCACTCTATGCAGGCTCAATCTCTTCTGCCCCGGTCCACCACCTACCTCCTTGCCCCTTACCGCAGATCTTTCATTCATCCACCTCATAACACACTCTTTATGGTGATCAACCATTTAGTCGCGGAGTACCATTGGGAGAACCATATCATTTGGAGACAAGCGATGACTAACGTAAGGTCTACTGCTGAGCGGCAGAGCGTGTGGTTGGTCAAGAATCGAGCCATCCTAGTGGTTGCTCCAGTCGGAACGGACTATGCTGCTTGGGGGAGAACGGTTTGAGTATGAAGAGGCCTCTCGATATCTGTCTAAATATCCTGTATCTGGTGATTCGGAGATCAGCACAAAAAACGCGCTCGATTTTAATTTTTTGTCTGTGCATATGGAATATGTAGGCCAATGGTTGAAATACTCACCGGGATGTACATCCCCCATCATTACCGACTACAGCTGCACCCTTAGCTGATGTTGCAGCCAGCGACAAAAATGCCTACGGGCCAGTGCGGAGACCCTTGCATTACACCGGTGGTATTGCTTCATTGTCTCATGTGCGACTCTCTGGCACAGTACTCGTCTTCGTGATTTAGATCGTAACGGGTCATGTTTGTTTGGAGAGCTCGGCACCGTTTGGCGTGCTGCACTTGAAACTTGTGTAACATCTAAGAACATGATGACGCTAGGAGGTCGGTCACCATTGCACCGTCGATCTCTATAATACTCTGGACATACAGTAGCACTGTAGAGCAAGGAATTCATAGCTCCGTAGATCTTTCCTTAGATTCTCACCGTATATTGCCTCCATCAGTAACTTGAACCTTTTTTTTTGGGTCGGCCCGCTCCTTAGTCTTTTACCCCTTCCAAAACGTGGATCGACAGAAGCATCATTATATGCACCTTTGGACCTTTGGACCTACGGAGGTTGCCTTCGTGGCAACGGGTTGAGAAACGCAAGTTTGAGATAAGAAGCTGTACTTAGTGACGTCTATATATATTAGACGTAGCAGCCACCAACCCGGGCTCTGTTCTCAACCTGTCAAATCCTTTTCTTCCAACTCATCGAGCATGATCATCAAAACTACCTTGTTCCTCTATTTTGCCACCGCGTGGGCTCAACAGGGTCCTCCTCCTGGCGGTGGACCGTGCTCGTCAAATGATCCCGCCACATGTTGTTTAGTGGCAGGCCAGAGTGAGGGCCAGATCAACTTGGATGGCTCTTCTCTCCGGTACACATGTGGTGCCTATGCAAATCCTTCCCAGGGCCAGGGACATATAGCAGCCAATTCTCGCGAATGTGCTTCTCTCTGTGCTAGCAATCCTTCTTGCCAGGCAGCCTCGTGGAGTCTCGCTAATAGTCAAAAGAGATGCTATTTCGCGAAAGGGGAATCATACGAGATCCGCCAGAATAGCAATTGGCTGTTGTTGGAGCGCTTTATTGAAGACGATTCCATCGACGGGATTTGCCCCCCGGATACGGTATTCGTCGATGGAAAATGTGTGCCTGATCAGGGTGATACTGGCAGAGAGATAGAAAGATGTAAGGAGGAGAACTCTTCCCTTTTGCTGAAGGTGGAAAAGTGCCAATCCAACAAGGAAGAATGCACGACACAGTATGAGCAGGTTCAAAGCGAGAAAGAAGCTTGTGGCAACCAGGTGACAGCCTGTCAAGATAAGGTCACAAATCTCGAGCTCGCCAAGTCGACCTGTGAAGCTCAAAATACAGCCTGCGAGAGCCGAACGAGGGCCTGCAAAGACCGAATCACGGACCTCGAACTCGCCAAATCAACATGTGATGCTGAAAAGAATTTTCATAAGGACAAGGCAGAGACATGCAACGCTAGGCTTACCGATCTCGAGAGTGAACTGTCGACTTTGGAAAACAAACTTGGAAAGTGTGAAGTCGACAAATCCGCCCTTGAAGCCCAGTTGCATGAATCTCAAGCCTGGCAGACTTGTAAGCTCTCTTTCCAACATCAAGGGCGTGCTTGCAGCAACTAATTGTTAAAGGCCCGGCGAACTCCGTCAAGGTTGCGGCGGCTGGTGGACAGGATTTTAAGATCTGGTGTAACCAGCGTAAGTTTGCTTAATCCTATGATCTCGGCAGTTCTGCAGTTCTGACCTTTATAGACTGGCACACATGGGGTGATGTGGGGGCGCCTCGGGCACACTCACTCAAGCATTGCGCTGAGCTCTGTGCCGCTGAGCCTCGGTGCAAGAGTGCGATATATGCCTACGAAGCCGCAGATGCTACGTTCAAATATGGTTGCGTTTTCAAGAGCAACCTGCGCATTAATGGACCGGCTGAATATCGAGACAGTGGCTGGCATACCGTTAGCAAGCTTGAGTAGGGTTTCATTTACTACGTTCCATACTCTAGCCCAAATACATTCGGGTCAAAAGTCAAGTGCGCAGGGATCTTGGCTGTTAATCAGTCAGCGATCTGGCGAATTCTCCTCGTTCTCGGCTCGAAAACCGGAAAAAAAGGATTCTAACTTCTCGGGCGGAGGAGAAAAGAGGGAAATGAAAACGTATTTGGTTGTATTAAGTCGCTTTCCGTGAGTGAAGCGTCAGTCTGTCATTACCTGGAAATCAAGCAACCAACTACAAAGAACTTTTGGGTGTCCTTGGCGTCAACGGTGTTGGTGTTGGGGATTGTAGTGTTCCAAGGATTGTGAGGCATACGGGTCATCAGGAAGCCTCGTCGTTTCGCAGCAATCCCATTTGCGTTGGCGCTTCAGCCAGCGGGCTCACTCTGGCATGACCTCGGGATGAAGAGGGTGTTCGAGAAACAACGTGTGCGTCTACGTGTATATACTGTCCGGACATCCGCCATTGAACACTATATGAAATTACTAGTGCTCATTTCCGATTACAGCTTATCATACTGTTGATCGGGGCGAACCAGAGAATGCTTCGATGCAGGGTTTTCGTAGTCAGCGAGCAAATCACGCCGATAATGGCAAATGAATTATCGAGTTGGCGGACAGCCTCTAAACAGTGATCTCATCAGGTTCTTCGTAGTCGGTTCCGTCCTCAGAGGGAATCTCATGAATGATATTATTTGTTTGGGGGCCGGTGTATTTTCTGGAGAGAAATGTCAATGCTGTTTCTCTTCACTGTAAAATGGAAAGTACCTACCCTCTAGCATCAACCCACCACCAGACCAGGGCAAATATAGAAATAAAAGCAGCGACACAGATGGCATAGTTCCTGTTGTCGAGATAAGTAAAGTTCGGTAGTCGGAATACAAGGGTTCTCACATGTTTGCTGGTGTCACTGGTAGTTGAGAAGGGAAGAACAGGATAGTGCTGATAAACAACACCCATATGACAGCGATGTAGTTGATCAAAGTACCCCATCTGCCGAGTGTGAAAGGGCCTTCGATGAACTTTACTTTTTTCTTGTATATCTGGTGAGCTAGAATGACAGACACATAAGACAGGTCGAGTGCCGGGGCCGTGACACTGAAGATAGCTGTAGCGGTCTCTGTGGAGCCGATGGCGATGCAGTTGAGACAGCAGCTGAAGAACACCACAAACCACACAGCGTTAACGGGTGTGTGGGTATAAGGGTTAACCTCGGATAGGAAACGGGAGAAGGGCAGCGCATCATCTCTGGCAAAGGCGTATGCCATCCTTGTATCCGCCAGCATGGCTGAACAGCCTGTGAAGAATTGCACCAAGATAGCAAATGCCCACATGGTGGTGCCACCTGCCTTTCCGCCGGCGTTTAGGAAAATTTGTGCGGCGGGGAGGCCAGTTGGGGAATTCAGGATCTCATCGAACTCGGTCAAGCAGAAGCACATGCAGACAGTCAACATCCAGCCAAATGCTCCAGAGACCAATACGGCGGTCTTGATGGCGACTGGTCCTCTCACAGCGGCATCGTGGGTTTCCTCGGACATGCTAACATACGTGAGCGATTGCCAGACGTGAAAGTAAATAGACTCACTGGGTGGTCCCATCATAGTCCGTCATAGTCCAAGCAACCGACAAGAAGCCTAAGAAAAAGGAAAATACTTTGGAGCCCCATCCGGACCCGTCAGTGAAGTGGGTAAAGACCCACGAGGCCGGTTGTTTATCTGGGGTGAGATACACCAATGCAATGCAGATGCAGATGGTCGCGGATACTATATGAAATTACTAGTGCTCATTTCAGATTAATGCTTACCATACTGTTGATCGGGGCGAACCAGAGAATGATTCGATGCAGGGTTTTCGTAGTCAGCGAGCAAATCACGCCAATAATGCACAGCATCCCAATCGACACCAACACCGTCTGTAATGCGGTCCTAGAGGCACGTTAGCGGGGGAATTGGCTATTGAAGAGGTAATTGCGAACGGCGAATATGAATACTGGCCGTTTACCAGATCCGAGTTCATACTGACGCCGGCCAGCAGCATCTGGCTAACGGTATACGCCACACTCGAGACACCCGCCGTCTGGCCAAGCAGATTGCACCAACCCTGGATCCACGAGAAGATCGGAACCTGATCGGCGGGAACTACATGCTTGGTGACAAAGTACATGCCGCCGGCAGTTGGATAGGCCGAGACCAACTCCGCTACGGAGCTGCCGATACACATCGCCATGCAGGAGCCGATCAACCAGCACCATACAGCCGTGGCCGGGCCACCGACCGATAACGGCGAGCCGAAGGTTGCTGGCACGGAGCCGAGTACCCCTAGGATGGAGATGGCATACGAGATGGTGGACCATTTCGAGAATTCTCGTTGCAGTTCCTGGATCGAACTGTGGTTAGGATTGGCACGGATCGAATGTGTGTTACGCGGGCGCAGGTACCTGTTTGTATCCAATTCGAGCCAGCAGCAGTTCATCGTCATCCTGGATCGTCGCCATTGGGGGCGGAACAGGGGGAGTCCACACCGGGTCTTCAATGCGGTCTCCCTTTACTTTGCGATTCGGGTCTGGTGGTTTGACAGTCTGATCCATGAGTACGGATAAGGTGGAGTATAAAGAGAAAAAGAAGGAACGGAAAAAGCAAAAATTAAATTTTTGCACTTACAGGCCCCTATTCTACAGGGATTATATCTACTAGGACGGTGACGCCAGGTGGAGGGGGCCAAGGTCCGTCGGAATCCAGGAGACTCGAAGAGACGGTGACATGCACAACAAACCCTAAGCCAAACGGGTCAAATGTCGGCAGTCGGCACTTCTCTGCAGACTGAAGGACCAAGCCGACAAGCGCGAGTCAATTGACTCGAGTAGATGCACGTTCGCGCGGGGCTGCGCTCCGATCGAAAGGGAAATGAACAGCTGTAGATAGACAAGCAGAAGGTACCTTGGGAGAACTTAAGCCGTAATAGCCACATCGGACGTTTTTCGGAACATCAATAGATTGGTTGCGCCTTCCGAATTTGCCTTGAGCACGACCACATTGGAATGGCGGTGGACTTTCCAAGAGAAGTTAAAATGTTATCAGATGAACCTTAGTTTCTAACTTCTTCTGTTATCCTTTCTAAGGAGGAAAAGATATCACAAGGTGAAATCAACAAATACGGGTCTGGCTATGGATGGTTCCACGTGAAGAACCTCGGAAGCACGTAAATCCGTGGAGAACTAAGGAGAGGTGGTCAATCCGGTATATCGTCAACATTCGCGGGGTGCTGCACTCGTCCCTGGTCATGTTCTACTGAGCTCTTCTCTCTTTTCCTTGGATCCTAGGCGTGATTCACCATGGCTGACCCTTCCATGTATCACGCAATGGGGGGTGCTCCTCAGGACCCCTCCAACCCGCACTCCCAACATCCCCCTCAACAGGCCTACCCTCCCGGTGCTGCTCCTCAACAGCCAGGAGCTCCCTACGGAAACTCGCCACCGAACCAGTGGCCCGCGTACGGTTCTCCTCAGCAACAACACCCGGCACCCGTCCCGGGTGCCCCATACAATGCCGCACCAGCTTCCATGGGGGCAGGAGACCCGAATATGACAGGCTTAGCTTCTCAGATGAGTGGTCTGGGAATCGCCGCAGACGCCGGAGCTAGGACACATCGCAAGAAGCACCGCCATGCCTATCACGATATTGGGACTGGGAGCGCTGCCAGTGCTCAAGGGTTCAACGGTGGAATGGCCATGGGAGGCGCGCAGCCGGCATCTCAATTCCTCAGCACTGGTTTGAATCATGATGCACGGCCAGTGTCGCCATTAGCTGCACTTCAGCCGGGGCAGCCCGCGCCCGGCATGCCCCAACAACCTGGAATGACTTCGCAGCCTGGCATGGCCGGTGGTGCAGACTCCGTCGCTACACAAGGCCGAATCGACCCCGAATACATCCCCAGCATCCCCCGATCGCGCGACGTGCCCGCTCAGTACTACTTCAACCATGTCTACCCAACCATGGACCGGCATTTGCCTCCGCCGTCTTCAATTCCCTTTGTGGCCCACGACCAGGGCAACTCCTCGCCCAAGTATGCTCGTCTGACCCTCAATAACATCCCCTCGACGTCCGACTTCCTCTCCTCGACCGGACTGCCTCTGGGCATGATCTTGCAACCGCTCGCACCTCTGGACGCCGGCGAACAACCCATACCAGTGCTGGATTTCGGGGATGTTGGCCCCCGCGCATGCCGACGATGCCGAACCTATATCAATCCCTTCATGTCCTTCCGCGCCGGCGGGAGCAAGTTTGTCTGCAACATGTGCACGTTCCCCAATGATACGTCCCCGGAATACTTCGCGCCTCTCGACCCGACCGGGGCGCGCGTGGACCGCATGCAACGGCCGGAGTTGATGATGGGCACGGTCGAATTCTTAGTGCCGAAGGAATACTGGAATAAAGAACCCGTTGGGCTGCAGACCCTGTTCTTGATCGATGTGAGCCGCGAGTCGATTCACCGAGGCTTCTTGAAGGGTGTCTGCGAGGGTATCGCGGAGGCTCTGTACGGCGAGGATAGGGCAGCAGATGGCACCGAGGGAGATGAGGCTACATCACGCAAAATCCCCGCAGGTGCGAAGGTCGGCATCGTCACATTTGACAAGGAAGTGCACTTCTACAACCTTACTGTAGGTGAAGCCATTCGCCACGAACAATTTGCCTCTTACTGACAGCGACGCAGGCGTCATTGGGTCAGGCACAGATGATGGTAATGACGGATCTGGAGGAGCCGTTCGTGCCACTGAGTGAGGGTCTGTTTGTGGATCCGTACGAATCGAAGTATGTACAAATTGGCCTTGAATCCTTACAAGCCTGCTAACAACTTGAACTAGATCCGTCATCACATCACTGCTGCATCGGATACCCGCCCTTTTCCAACATATTAAAAACCCCGACCCGGCATTGTTGCCCGCGCTCAACGCTGCTCTGTCAGCGCTGCAGCCGACTGGCGGTAGGGTTGTCTGCTCAGTGGCTAGCTTGCCTACCTGGGGTCCTGGACACCTGTCGATACGGGAAGACCCCAAGATCCACGGAACCGATGCGGAGCGCAAGTTGTTCACGACGGAGAACCCAGCATGGAAAAAGACAGCCACCAAGCTGGCCGAGGCGGGAGTCGGTGTTGATTTCTTCATTGCAGCTCCCGGTGGCACGTATATGGACGTGGCGACCATCGGTAAATCGCAACACGCAAAGCCAAGTATACACTCGACTAATCAAAGACACAGGACACGTTTCCGGCCTCACCGGAGGCGAGACTTTCTTCTATCCCAACTTCCATGCACCACGAGATCTGCTGAAGATCCAACGGGAGATGGCACATGCCGTGCAGCGAGACACGGGTTATCAGGCATTAATGAAAGTGCGATGCTCAAATGGTCTCCAGGTATCTTCGTACCATGGCAACTTCGTGCAACATGCTCTTGGTGCAGACCTCGAGATCGCTGGCGTCGATGCGGACAAGGCCATCGGAGTTATCTTCAGCTACGACGGAAAACTCGACCCCAAGCTCGATGCGCACTTCCAAGCAGCATTGCTCTATACTTCGGCTGATGGCCAGCGTAGGGTCCGCTGCGTCAACGTCGTGGCGGCGGTCAACGAGGGTGGCATGGAGACGATGAAATACGTTGATCAGGACGCCGTAGTATCGGTCATTGCCAAGGAAGGTAAGTTCACAGTCTGTACCACCTTTTGATGGGTGTCAATATACTGATCCACATGTTACAGCTGCTTCCAAGACTCTGGACAAGAACCTCAAGGATATCCGTGCCCACATTTCCGAGAAGACAGTCGATATCTTCAGCGGATACCGCAAGATCTTTTCCGGCTCACATCCACCTGGGCAGCTAGTCTTGCCGGAGAACTTGAAAGAGTTCTCTATGTATATGCTCAGCTTGATCAAATCGAGGGCATTCAAGGGTGAGCTTACCAACATCTTGTGGCCACGGCTTTTCTTTGCTAAACGTGTTTCTTAGGTGGCAATGAGTCGTCAGACCGCCGGGCGCACGACATGCGCATGATTCGAGCCTTCGGCTGTACGGAGCTCTCTCTCTACCTCTACCCTCGTATTATCCCCATCCACAACATGCAACCCGAGGACGGATTCCCCAATGAGCACGGGCAGCTCCAAGTCCCACCGGCATTACGGGCTAGTTTCTCCAGAATTGAGGAAGGTGGTGTCTATCTCGTGGACAATGGCCAGGCCGTTCTACTGTGGGTGCATGCGCAGGTCTCGCCCAACCTTTTGGAGGACCTGTTCGGCCCCGGCCAGAACTCACTGCAGGAATTGAGTCCCAACCTCTCTTCCCTGCCGGTGCTGGAAACACACCTCAACGCCCAAGTGCGAAACCTGCTGCAATACTTCTCATCGGTGCGTGGATCCAAGGCGGTCACGATCCAGCTGGCACGACAGGGACTGGACGGGGCGGAGTATGAATTTGCCCGGCTACTGCTGGAGGACCGGAACAACGAAGCCCAAAGCTACGTGGACTGGCTGGTGCACATTCACCGACAGATCAACCTGGAGCTTGCCGGTCACCGCAAGAAGGAGGAATCGACGGGTGAGAGTACATTGGCCAGTTTGTCGGCTATGCGGGCGCCGTATTGGTAAGACAGAAGCAGCAGCTAGACCGGCAGGTTAGCCAGGCTTCGTTCCTACCAACTCCGGGTCTCCATTGGGCTGCAGGCACCCTGCCCACGAAAACAGGACGGAGTACGCCGTCCCAACCAGGAAGGTGACTCAAAATGGCTGTGGGCTCCACCAGGCGGGGGAGCCCTAGAGGGTTCAGGGCGTGAGACATCGGAAAGATAATTCTGTACACAGTAGTATACCAAGTAGTATCTATCATTGAGCATTTTGATCTGGACCATCTAGCCCACCGGGCATGCTATCATCGCGGACTAGAGGCGGAAATGGGGTCTAGCGGGACACCGCACACCGGGCACTAGGCCGCAGGTACCAGACGGATCACCGGAAGAACGGCGCCCCTCATCTTGGAAGGCCCCCTCTCGAGGCCCCTCAGGACCCCTCAGGCCCCTTCAGGCCCAACAGTAGCGGTCTAGAATGATCACAGGCATTCTGGAAGATCGTCTGTGAGCCTTGGAACCGGCTCGGCGAACTTTCCAGCGTTCGCCTTCCCGCCCTACCCTAGTCAACTCACAGCCTAGTCAGGCCCACTCGTTAAGGTAGGTAGGCTCCGGTGTTTGCCGGACACACCGTTAGGCCGAGACTAGAACGATCGGAGTATGCATGGAATATATTGAACGGGGTGTGTAGACGAACTGTCCCCGGTGCAAGTGCAGAGTTCAAGAGGGGTCGGGGTTGCATGGACCAGCGATTACGAAATCCGAACTGATAGAATACTGTAGTTAGAGAAAGAAACTGAAGGCCCACGTATTGCCACCAAATGGTCGCAAGAATCCAGACTCGATCGCCAGGTACCCAAGGGCCCGGCGACGTCAGAGGCGTGTACAGAATGGAGAACAAAGAAAATTTCTGACAGGGTGGGTTAGCCACACACGCGAGATTTTCAGGAACAGAAAGTGTTAGCGCGGGCGACATGTCTAGGATATGTGATAGGCAGGTCGTAGAGTGGAGGAGGCACAGGTTGACACGGCCAACGTTCGGTCACCAGTCAGCTTGACGATGCTACGTCTATAACCGTTGTTCTTTTATGGCAAAAATTTAGCCTGAAGGCGAGAAGGTCGCCAGTCGCCGGGTGGCCATTCGATGCCATATTATATGAGCCATATGGGTGCCGATGCCACGGAAAGGCTCGTCCCAGGGTTCTGCTTTTTGCAGCTTGGAGGGACGGAGCGTGAGGTGGGGTGGGGACCTATTGCCACGGCGTGATAGCGGGGGAAGGCAATCCACACGCACCGTCGTACCACGCACGCGCCGTTACATTTCGATATTGCTCGGGTTTATCAGGTACGAGACACGTCACTTGGACACATTCTATTCCCTATCACACCGTCATTTCCGAAGCATTGAAATTCGCGACAAAAGTACAGACGCATAGATGTGCTGGATTTACTGATGTATAGCATATGCAGTAGCATCACATGCCCTGCCCTATGTATACAGACTCGATTTAGCGCTTTTCAAAAAATGGTCCCTCTTTGGTCCAGACCATGAAACAGTCGATGCGACGTCAGGGCGAATCGCTCCGTCACTTTCTTTGACCCCGCCGTGATTCGCCTTCCATGGTCCACACCTCCAATTTGCCTTTCGCAGGATCCACTGTTCCTAGATTCGATCCATGGATCCGGTCTTCGTGGCCTACCCGACACGTTTTTGGCTGGCTCGGTAGCTATCCGGGGTCCCTGCCAGGTACCTCGCTGAAATGTTATAAAGAGGCCCTCGTCTTCCCATTTGGACCCTTTCTCGATCACAGCAGTCTCTCTCTACAAGACATTCCTTTTCTTTTCCGAGATCGATTCTCGAGACATTCCTTAGTCTGTCGACCAAATCACCTTCCTTACAAACAACTCTATATCAGACCACAGTCTTTTTTCTCACAAAGAAACACATCTTCTATCAAAATGATGTTCACTAAGACTTTCGGCATCGCCGCCGCCTTCGCCACTCTGGCTTCCGCTCTGCCCTCGGGCATGATGGTCCGTCGCAACGACACCGTCCCCGCCAGCGGCTCCGTCCTGATCACCAACAACCTGAACATGGACGTGTATGCCTGGTCCGTGACCGACGTCGTCGGCCCCATGCAGACCCTGCCCGCCAACGGCGGTACCTACTCTGAGGCCTGGCAGACCAACCCCAACGGCGGTGGTGTCTCCATCAAGCTGGCCACCGACCCTAGCCAGACCGACGTGCTCCAGTTCGAGTACACCCAGGCCGTCGACACCATCTTCTGGGATCTGTCCTGCATCAACATGCAGTCTGGCTCCGACTTCACTCAGTACGGTTTCTCCGTCCTGCCCTCCGAGGGCGAGTCTTCCTCCTGCCCTTCCGCCGTTTGCGCGGCCGGAGACGCCAACTGCGCCGCTGCCTACCTGTTCCCCAGTGATAACCAAGCCACTCATGGATGCCCCATCAACACAGGTCTGGCCCTGACCATCGGCCAGTCCTAAACCGGTCTTTTTTTTCATGATCATGATCTGCCGGTTGACCCGCGCACTCTTTTATAAAGGGTCTTTCCTTTCGTCTCACCAGCAAGCTTGGTGATCCTTTTCTTCCTTCGTTTCACCCTAGTTGGTGACCCTTTTTGATTGAACTTGTTTTGTATCTACATGTTCGGTTGACTCGACATGTCTTCTCTCCGTGAGCGGTTGATCCCGCCCGGTCAGGACGTCGTCTACGAGCTATGAATTTTTGATGTCTTTGTTGAATACCCCTACCAGGATATGGAAATTGAATCTCCAGGAGTTAGAAGGGTATGGCCCACGATAGACCGTATAGAGATTGAATTATCACGTTTCATAAAATTTCTTTTTCCTTTTTCCCCCCCCCCCCCCCCCCCCCAACCTACTCATACTTCCACGCTCACCGAGGACGAGGACAAAGACGCAAACTCTAATCCGAACAAATAAAAATTTGTTCATCCGGTTCCTTGGACAGAAAAAATGAATGCAAAAAAAATGAATGGGGAAAAGGCATGGAACGAAATATGATTTGTTCAAGCGGGCGGACGTGGAACCGCGCGCGAAGCCCGTGAGCTGAAATGCGCTCTAGAACAATTGATGGACAGGGACGCCTGTGAATTTTCACAAGTTTTACGCACTCGTAATTATGCGATTCGACGGAAACATCAAGTGGAGGCAGCCGGGACGAAGCCTATTCGCCGATCGCGATCCCCCTCCACCCTTGATCTCCACCGTTGACGACGTGTCGCCCGTTCCACAGCGAATAATCACAGATCCGACAATGCCGATGTTTCAGGCCCTACTTGTAGGACTTTGTCCGGGCTCCATCTGTTCGAGTTCGTGTGCATCAAACCGGTTCCTGGAGTATGACTGATCCATGACCTCAGTCGGGTCGGAGCGCAGTGCCTGATCCGTTGCACTTCCCGAAGGGTGCGACCCATGGCCTCGTCGGGTACTGAACTCTCTGTTTCGACCCGACCATTCGGGGCACACGTAAGCCCCTTGTTCCTGTTGGATTTGTGTGGTTCAACGGCCGCCGTCGGTGAGTTGGAATTGGTTGAGCCCAGGCGGAGGGCCGGTTTGCCCAATCACACTACGGATGGATAATCCTCGAACCGGTACCGAAGAGACCGGCCCATACTTCAGAGCAGCCACGAGAATGAGATCTTGTGCCGTCTAGCCGGCTTCGGTTTCGCTAGAACACTTGAGAATTTTCTCGAGAAGCTTGGTAAAGTCTTGGTAAAGTCTAATCTATTGGAGAAGGTGGTGGTGATAATGTTTGCCTCTTCGGGGCTGTCTCTAGCGAGGCGGAGGCGGAGGCGGGGGCGGAGGCGGAAGGCAGTATTGATACAGACTGCGATGAATTAATGCATCTAGCCCTCGCCCCAAGTGATATCAAAGGGCAGGGATACGGAGTCTAGATACAAGCCATAAACCTTGGAATGCCAGGGTGTGAAAGGATGGATATCAGATTCTCAAAGGACAAGGCCAGCGCGAGACCGGTTTCCTATTTCCCGTTTCCTTAAATTTATGCCTCAGGCAACAATTGAGAAGTCTGACGTAATGTGAATAGCTTCAACGCGAAATTCATTATCATTCAAGGTGTATCCAACGGGTATCTACAACTATGTATAGTATGGCAACAATTCAAGCAAGCCTAATCAATTTCTCCGGCGGGATCGCCATTCCCGCCACCGCTCCATCATGCGATGTGACCGCATCGCCTTGAGGAATGCATATGCCACGAATCGATAGACTATCGTGCACACTCCCAGAGCCATGATATTCATGGGCCCGTTCTTGTCCAGGTTGTAGAGTGCAAGTACCTCCTCTCCGGTACTGATGGGACACTGGCCATTGACAAGCCGCTCGGAGGGCGTGCAGTCGAATTTCTGACCATTCATCGCGTAGGGAGCCAGGTTGGCGATGGCGTACTTGATCGGCGACAGGTGGTTGATCCCCTGTAGAACGTCGTTGACGTTCAGACTCATCACACCACCCAGGATCGTGGAGATCGATAGTAGAACCGAGGTCACGTTGACAGCAAAGCCGACGTGCGAGAACAGTGTACAGAACATGATTCCCACGGATTCCCCGCAGTTAATGATGCAGAAGGAGTTAAACGCACTGATGAGGAACATCTGCACGGTGCGTTTCATGTTATCGGCAAAGGCGGCTAGCACGCCGAAAATGAGAGATGAAATGATCTCGAACGGAACCTCGATCGTGGTGTAGGAGATCATGAACGTCTCGGCGGAGTAGCAGTTATCCTCTTCTTCGCGGTAGAAAACGTCACGTTCGTTCGGGTATATGGCGATATTTTGAAGCATGCCTACGAAGTACAGCGCTGCAAATTCTTGGATAAACCCCATGCGCGACTGCACAGCGGGACAGTCGTTCTTCAGCGGTGCAAAGAACAGCGCCATGATGATCGCAATACCTAAAATCTGCATCGTCCGCGCTATCACCAGCGGCGGCTGGCGCCAAAAATTGATAAACGATCGGCGTAGCACTATGGGGAACGTGACCACGAAAGGCAGCATCTTGCGGCGAAGGCTGCCCAGTTCCGCGGGCGTTGCAATCCCGGACGGAGTCAGTCCGAGTGCAGGAGTCGAATCCAACCAGTTGGATATGAGATGTTGAACACGCTCTCTAGTGACGGCTTCGCGATCTTCCTGCTGTAGATCGACCGTGATCAGGTCCAAGACAAAATCCGCCGGGTTGGTTGACTGCGGACACTCGTGGCCCAATGCTGCAAAATGGGGTTGCATCTGTTGCCCCGGGCCTGCGTAGACGGGGAATCCACCGCGTGCTAAGAGCAGAATCTGCGAGAAATGAGTGAATAGATCGGACCGGGACTGGTGGATGGTCATGATCAAGGTGCGGCCTTCGGCTGCCAGGCCCTGCAGAACCTCGATAATGGACATGGCCGTAAATGCGTCCAGACCCGAGGTTGGCTCGTCAAGCAGCAACACCCTGGGGTCGGTGAGGACTTGAATGGCGATGGTGACCCTGCGCTTCTCACCTCCGCTGATGCCCTTGATCAGTTCACTGCCGATGACGTTGTCTGCACATTCTTTGAGGCCCATCTTGTACAGTATCTCTTCGGCCCGGCGGTTCTTCTCCTCCGCTGACATCCATGTGGGTAGTCGCAGCCCAGCGGCAAATCTCAGGCTCTCACGGACCGTTAATGAAGGCATCAGGGCATCGTCGTCCTGCGTGACGAACGAGGTCACCGACCGAATCACGTTCTCCGATGGTACTGCTCCGTTGTACAGCATCCGACCATCCAAGTGATATTGGGTACCCATCGAGCCATGAAGCCGGCGAGCAATCGAGTTCAAAAGTGAAGTTTTGCCGCTTCCCGATGGACCCATGATGATGTTCAATTCTCCAGGCAGGAAATCCGCCGTGATGGGACGCAATATCTGAAGCGAAAAGGGACGTTGCCAGGGAAGTCTCTTCTTTCGAATCTCTAGAGCATATTTGTCCAGCGAGATGGCTACTCGTCGCACGTCCACGGCCGGGCGAACTGCGATTTTGGCCTTTCCTGCAGAAGGATCGTTTTCCGTCTTCCGAGCTTGGGCGATGTCGATGGCATAGCGATTGTACTGAAGTAAAAGGCCTGCCACGAAATACTGGACGATCATGAACGTGACTAGCACGACGATCGGTCGCCAAATCCAATTGGATGGTATGCCCAAGCTTTGCATGATGTATCTTCCAGTGTACTCTTTGCAAGCTGGATCGAGTGGATTGTCCGAGTACGGACAGTCGTAAAAATGACCAAGTTCGGAGCCGTTCGGTCCAATGAACTCGTTCGCGCACAGCGCACCGAAGATGTAAAAGGTATAGGCGCACCATTTGATCCATCGAACGTAGACGGGGATTTGATTTCCCTGAACAAAATATCCGCATGCAAATGATTGCAAGGTAAAAGACAAATTACCAACCAAGGTGGCACCTGGAAAATTCCTTGAAATGCCAATTGCTACCGCCGCAAAAGTAATAGCGATGTAATGCGTGAGCACAGTCAAGGTGAAGAAAATGAAGAATTGTGCAGGATCAAGGCGATAACCGACCATAAAGTAGAAAATGACCGAGAACAGCAGTGGCACTGGCAAGTCCTCAAGCGGGAATCGTGCGATTCGACGGCTGATTAGAAAGGCAGGCACGCTGACGACACCTTCATTGCGCTCGCGGTCGAAGAGGCGAATGTCGATGGTCAATCGATACGTCTCATACAGCAAAATGAGATAGCCGTTCAGACTGCTAGCTATGTACAGACTACCTTCGCGCGAGCGGATTCCTGCCAGACTTTCATCAAGTCGTAGAAAGATCCAGCCGTTAATCACGGCCATGCCAACCGCTTCGAGCAGACTGCCGGCGACTCCCATCGGGTCTCGAAGGGTTGTTTTGAAGGTTCGCGACGTCAAAACGCGAAGCTGTCGACGGAACGACACTTTCTTCATTGCTCCGACCTCAGCTCCAACCAATTTAGGTGTCCGAGTAGCTTGTTTTTCTTTGGTATCGGGAGAAGGTCGCGATCGCCACACCTGTCGAAGATTATCCACCCGGATATAAGATGCAGCCTCCAAAGCTTCAGTGCGATTGTCGATGGCAGCCAAGTCAATCAAAAACTCCGCAGGGTTGACGAATGGGGGCAGAACATGACCACATTGTTCAAAGTGTGCCACTGATTCGCTCACCGTTCCGCTGTACAATGGCGATCCACGAGCCAAAAGAATCACATTGTCAAAAAGACTCCATATCTCCGAACGAGGTGCGTGGATGGAAACGATCACCGTGCGACCATCTCGAGCAAGTCTCTTCAATGTGCGGATAATCTGGAAAGCACTGGTCGCATCCAAGCCAGTCGTTGGCTCATCGCAGAACAAAACAGAGGGATTGGCCAGCAACTGTACACCGATGCTCGTGCGTCTCTTCTCACCACCACTGCAGCCCTTGTGGGCCGTCGTTCCAATCCGTGTGTCGGCGCACTCCTTGAGACCAAGTTCAAGGATGACCTGCTCCACAATAGCATATCGCTCTTCCTGCGTGGTCGGCGGTGGCAGTCGGAGATCAGCTGAGTATCGTAGAGTCTCGCGAACAGTCAAGGTCGGCACGAGAACGTCCTCTTGCATGACATACGCACTCCGGATGCTTTCAATGTCGGTGTTGTCGTTGAAGGTTGTATTTCCCGATACGGAGGCCCGAGAAAGTGACATGCGACCGGCCATCAGATTGAGCAGAGAGGTTTTACCCGATCCACTGCTGCCGATGATAGCTGTCAAGCTGCCACTCGGCATACTCGCGTCAACTTCATCGAGCACCGTCTTCGAGGTACCTTCGAGTTTCTGACCTCGCAGGCGACGCCAGAGCTGCGGTGGCGATGATTCCCATATCGGAGCGGAAGTGTCGATACGAAGAGACAAATTGTCTACTCGGACATTCACTGGGTTGACATCTCGCAGCGAGAGGTTGTAAACTGCGTCCTGAAGAATCGCGTGGAAACCCGCGTCCTTCTGGACGTTGATTTCCTCGACGATGTCGTCCTTTTCCATCATGCAAGGTGTGCCTCCGACGAAACGACCCTTTTAATAGCGTATCCCTTTAGAGGCCCACTTCCATCTCCCTGGGTCATGATATCAGCGCAAATTTAGCGATAGCTCGAGATGAAGTGCGAGCCGAGAGACGATGTGAAATGATCACGACGGTGTCCCGGTCGAGAAATTCACCGGTGATCAATCTCACCGAGCCATCGGCGAGGTCAAAATCTTAAAATCTCTCGGGTTGCATGTGAGATTAAAGTACCCCTGTTATACCTAAAACTGCAACCGCTGTAGGTTTTCACGGATATTTTCCCCGCTCGGACTAGTTCTCATCCACGTGGAATATCCTCCGAGTTTCCTCTCTTAAAATACCTTACCGTATCTTACCCACCTGCCTTTTGATTGAAACTTGTTACATCTACCCACACTATACCGGATGTTGAGTGCCCTCTATGACCTTTTATCTTGGAATATATCAGTTAAATTTCATAAATGTTCTTCACAATTGTTCTCACCCAGATCAAAATGACGTCAGTAGACTACAACAACCCTGAAGCTCTCAATATGGTTTTCGGTCACTTGGAATGGGAAAGTATCCTTAAGATATAGCAGCTGAGAACGGAACGGTAACTATTTCGTGAGGTGTAAAGAGATTTCGAATTTATGAGAGCGAGAACGACGACGAGAACGACGCGAGCGCCGGATCCACCGACCCCGGGTTTTACCTACGCTGGCTGCCCACTTTGCGTCCTGATTGGTCGCCGTTGCTGACTGCGTCTAAGCGAAGTCGCTTGACTCGATGGGGCAGTTGTAGATTCCTACCGGTCTACTTTGCAGCCATCTCTCTTCCTTGTACCATACATGTACATAAAGTCAAGGCCTAAACCCTCATGAGATCTATGGCCCAATATGATATCGGGTCTCAGCCGCAGTCAATAAGCTTGTCAACTTAGTGATCAGCAACGAGGAAATGTTAAAGTGGTGCGAGAAAGTTGTGGTTATATTTAGCAATCAAAGTCATGGTATATACATTTTGCATCTCATTTCTGCGAGGAATCTAGTAACCCTCACGCGAGCCACCCTTGACGGTCTCTCCATTGGCCGTTTTCAACTCGTTCAACATACCCGCCCGGATAACACCAACGTCGGTGTTAACGGAAATCATATCGAATCCTTGCTCGGCACGCATGCGAGCATCATTTCCATCGGTACCTACAACGAGCCGATGTTAGAAATCTTCATGAATGTTTGTTGCAGGCACTTACAGAAGATCGCAGCCTTCTTGCCATTCGCATGAGCAGCAGCCAAAATACGCTGGATAGCAGCCTCGTGCTCCTCGCCACCGCGAGTAACACCCATCTGCTTAGAGAGATCGAAAGGTCCGATAAAGAGGACGTCGATCCCCGGTGTGGCGGCAATCTTCTCGACGTTCTCAACACCGGGACGCGACTCGATTTGCACGGTCACGGTCACACCCTGCTGGGAGCCCTCGTCGTACTCGGGGCCGGGGTTGACTCCGGGGAAAGAGTGAGGGGCGAACATGGGGCCGTAGCCACGGGTTCCGAGAGGCGGGTACTTGCACCAGCTAACGATCTTGGCAGCATCAACCTATACGGTGTAGTGATCGTACTTAGAATCGCTTTCATCGGTAATCAAGAAGCTGATCTTGAACCGGACTTACCTCCGAGTGGCACATGGGTGTCATAATACCGTGAGCTCCAGCATCAAGCGCGCGCTTGATCATCCATTCCTCCGCACAGGGAACCCGAACGACGGGGCTGGCGTCTTCAGAACCAACAGCATTGTTGAGCTACATCCCTGTCAGCTTGGCCGGACAGCATTGCTAAGCCGATTCTGAGGACAAACCTCATAATAATTGGTGTCGGAAATCAAACCGTGCTCTGCATCAACCAGAACCCAGCTGAACTTTGTTGAAGATCCGGAGGCACCGTGAAGAATAGTCTTAGCAACAGCAGCACTGGGGAGACTGTAAATATGGATTAGCAAGCTGCACAGCTTTCCGCGCTTGCGCTTGCGATTGACCGAAATCGGCACCGCCAATTGCGCCGAATGAGGTCATCTGAAACGTACGTGAGCCAGAAGCCGAATGCTGGCGAAGGGCCCTTGAGGCTTCGCTGGATAGCGGTAGTAAAAGACATCTTATCAAATAATTCCGACGATCGAAGCTCAAATCAACGCAAGCAGTAGAATCACCGGAGTGTTGAAAATGTCAGGAAGAGGGGACATTCTAAAACGTGGGGGAGATTCGGGATAAATGGACCCGACCCTCGGCCACGCGCGGGGGGAGCGCGGGATGTCAGGGTTAGTCCGCGATGCTACCGATCTGACCGTTGTCCGCACATCCGGGGCAGGATATGCAGTTTATGATGGCTAGAATTGCCTGGGTCTATCTACATGGATTCTACAAGCTTCACAGGTCGCTCCTAGGTAGCTTACTGTCGAACTGTCCGGGTATTCCCGATCGCTCGAACATTGAACTCTATGCGGGCGCCAGCTTCGGCAAGGAAGACGGTGCCAACATCGATGAAGCTGTACGGTCGTCTTATTCCAATAGAGGTATTGATTTTAAGTTTCACATTGTCCATAACAGTTCTGGATGCTTTTATTTAATGATCGCGGGAGAAGGTATGTACAAACCTCTAAGTACGCGGGGGCTACTTGAGAATGTCTACTACGCTGATTTCTGTAAGGCTAGTTGTGATATTGACGGGTGTACCCCGTTTGAAGTATTGTAGGATAAGTTAGAGAAAATGCGAATACGAAAGGTATATGGTTTTTTTATTTGGAGTCTGGCTGGTGGCGATAGCAGTAGCCTGCATTGACCGTACGTGGCACCGAGGTTGTACCGTCCTCCGATCGAAGGGGCGCAAATTGTCGTGGATGATATTTCGCGAGGAATGGGGCGACATTTTGCTTTGCCAGTTCCGTCAGGGTATCGCTGACTTCGCCGTGGGGGGTTAGTCGAGGGTGACGAGGACCCTGGAGGATACCTCGAGGGCCAAGATAAGGATTTGCCAGAGATGGTAGGCGATGAAGATGGGTTGGGGTGAGAAATAGGAGGCCAAAAAGAATAGTCGTCGGCAATCAGGGAGTTGCAATTCAAATAGTCGGTGACGCAGTAGTTTGAACGGCGATTGCACAATTTTAAAATAATTTGATAGAGTTTCCTCTTTCCCAAGGTCTCGACGTCTGCTTGCCCTTCCTCGGCCTCGAGGTCTACTGGGGATTCCCTCTATATGCAGGTTTCCGATTGCCGGTTGTCTCCAGGACCAGGCCTTGTTCGCTTTGTCGGCCTATATAGGCCTTCTTCCTGCAGTTGTCATATGGACACAATCAAACTTTTCTTTTTGCTACCTCGCACCGGGCGATCTATCGCCATCCGAATTCGTAGCTAGTAACCTGGTATCTACCGCGATGCTCAGTCTATAAACCACGTTGTGGAGACTTTCAAAGCTAGTCATCACCCCCCAGAATGGCTAGTGAGAGATCATAACGACTGGGCTCGGAGGGCCATCTGATGATCAAAGCTCATGTGAGGAGAACGGACGTCAATATGGCTTTTTGCTATCGCGTGAGAGCTCTGTCGAGGTATTTACTTGCTTCTAATTCGGGACCATGTAAATCCCCTTTAGATGTGTTATACCTGATGACCCTATTCCTAGAGAGTAGACTGTAGCTATTGCTCCAAGACCGAAGGGAAACTTCTGTATCCTTCATTTGGAAAAAGAAAAGAAACAAACCAAAAAAAACATGCAGCTCCTATCTTTGGACGTATGATAAGAAACAACTCGAAATATGATAGGCTAACACCGCTCTCAACAAGAGAGTCATAGCTCAAGTGGAACCCATGCAGGGATCAGCGATAAACTACAAGATAACCCATCTTATGCTTAAAGCCAAGGTGGGGACAGCTCCACCAACCTTGGGAGAAAGCATGGCCTTCATCTGCAGCCAAGACGTGGATCAGGAAGTGGATCGGGCGACAGTGAGATGAGGCTCAACTACACGATACGTCGGGCCTCGTGGGTTCTGCTGGACGACATGGCCAAAAGAAATACTATACACGGATATCCGTTCGGGCTCCAATTGAGGCAAATACATACAGAACAAACGGATATTTACAGCTCGAAACCAATCCACGTCCAAAGACACCGTTCCTCCACCGAAGCAAAAAAACTCCCGTAGCATCAAGATCCAAGCATCAAGCCGAACACCAGACCCGTCAAAAACACCATTTTTTTTACGGCTTGACTTTGTGCATTCCCGCGCAGTTAGAGCGCGGAGGATGTAAAGCATGTCTCGGACATACCTTCGTACCTAGCTTGCCTAGGAAGATTTCCAAATGTACTTGCAAAAACACACCAAGTGCAGACCTCCCCTTTCGTATCCCCGGATGCAGATGCAAGTCGAAACACAAACATAAACGCCGCATAGTACAGCCCCCTCCCATGGAATGGTCATCATGCTTAACGGTGGGCATTTCAAAGATCCAGAACATAAAGTAATTAGACCCTGACTAGATGGAGACATAAACCCGCTGGGAGGTAGGTGACTCCACCCTGCAAGGAAGGACAATAAACTTAAAAAATTGAATATCAGGGTATCGAATCAAAAGGGTAGGATGGAGAGAGTAAAGGGATATTAGGTGATGAGGAAGTCCATGTTCATATCACGGATGATCTTCTCCCAGTCCCAGCTTTCGTCGATGTTCGTGTCCATGATTTCCCATACCTGTGCAACTACCTTGAAGGCAGGCTCGATGTTCCGCAGGTTGGAGTAGGCTTTGAGGGATTCAAAGCCCTTTTGGATACGCTCGCGCTGTCGGGTCTCGAAAGCCGAGCAGCCGAGCAGGAAGAGAGGCATGAGCACGATACTGTAAGCGCCTGCATCCTCCGGCAGGCGGTCCAAGTATGAGAGGCCGTCATCGACGACTTGGGAGATTTTTTCACTCGGACGTGAGGTCCGAATGGTACGGTAGAGATACACCCAGGTCGATTGCCGATACAGCTGAGCTAGGAACCAGTTCGGTGATTCTTCCTCGTGCGAGGTCTTCCAGTTCCGGATTGCGGTGTCGATTTGAACAGCCTCACTCAGAGTCTGGTAGTCCACGGCGGGCTCGTAGCCTTCGTCGAACCGCTGGCGGATTCGGTCGCGGAGCTGGGTGATCTCCGAGATGTAATTGAATAGACCGTCAAAGACACCCAGGAACATCCCTGCTTGAGCGCCCGGTACAAAGTCGGGTAGGCGCATGCCAGCTTGGAGAAGAGCGGGGCGCCGGTCCAAAGAGGTTAGGGCATTGGAAATGTCGTGGTACTGGAAGAACTCGACGATGAACTGCCGGAACTTTTCATTCCGCGGCTGCTGTGATACAAGCAGGTAGCGGGCGGCGTCCATGTGCGGGCGGTATTCGCCGTTGGTCTCGCCTTCGCAGATTGTATTCAGGCTGAGGGCGATGGTTGACGCGATTATCGGATCCTCGACCAGTAACTGCTGCTCCTCGTCCTGGTCCCCACTCTGGGATGATGATGATGCCGTGATGTTGTCCTTGAGGTCTTGGATGGCGCGATGGAAATGGAAATATTTGCGCTCCTTCAGTTTGGGCTCTGGATCCAGACCGGAGAGATGCGACCCCGACAGACACATCAGCGAATGCATCAACCCCCGGTGTTGCGTGGCCATAGGCAGGAGAATCTCCTTGAACGGGTTCGAGTCATCGTTGACGAGGGTCAAGACGCGACTAAATCCGTACACGAAGTGATCGAGAAAGCGGCGGTCGATTTCGGTTTCAATCCCGTCGATGAGGAGGGGAAGGCTGCGAGGCACGGTGACAAGGGTCTGGGTGCGGATCGCTGGGGAGCGGTCAGTGTCTTTGCCTATCAGTCCAGGTCGAAACTGCATACCGTCGGCGATTCTCTGTCTCCCACTCTTCCAGATTTCCTTGGGGGGGTATCCTTCGCACACGACCGCATTCTTCTGGCAGTTGAGACAGCTAAAACATCGGGGTTAGAATTCCGGTCATATCAGGGGATGGGATCGCAACTTACGCAGGCTTGCTCTCGTCGCACTTCTTCTTGCGGCGGCGACAGGTTATACAGCCGGTCTTGGACCGACCCTTGGTGACCTTAGCCTGACCCCCTGGTGTTGGCAGAGGGTGTTTGCGCGGGCGCCCACGTTTCCGTGGAACGGCGACGGGAGCCCCCGCGTCCTGCTCCCCGTTCCCCACACCCGACTGCTTGATGCTCTGGATATCCTCGTCCAACTCCTCGACCTTGGGTGTGGCGTCCATATCGTGATTGTCGAGTATGAAATCATGCGATCGGGCGAAAGCGCTCATCGCATCCAGGTTCACCGGCGACGGGTCGGAGCCGCCCATGCCGATCCATTCTGGGGAGTCGGAGGAGGTATCATCGGGGCTGGCGCCGGTGCTGGTGCTGGATGTGCTGGCTCGGAGGGGTCGGTCGATCCTCGACAGGGTGGGGATTTCCGGGCCAGAGCAGCCCTCGTCGTGCAGACTCGAGCCGTTCAGCTGGGCGAAAAACGGGGACTGCATGGACAACATTAAAGGGCCCGGTCGGGATAAGGCACCGGCGGGAGAACCCAAGCTGGGTAGAGATGATGATTTGGAGGGAACGGAGCGGATACAAATGGGGCGGGGAGGGAGGGGAGGACTAAGTAGTGTGTACTCGCTACTTTTAGGAAGGTGGATCGGGGCGGCAAATCGCGAGAGGGGGGCCCGTCCTATATGAAGGATACTTAAGGACTTTTTAGAGCGCCATGCGTAATAGCCTGAGGTCATACGAATTGGAGGGAACGTATGGCTTTAAACTTTACATGCGGGGGAGGCTGCCGGGCATGTTGGATCGGACGCCCTGATTTGCAGTGACAAAGCGAGGGCAAAAATGAAAAAAATGGGGTAACTGGAATTGGAAAAAAGCAAAAAATCATTGTTCGCGATTCGGTGCTTTTCGGTTTCTTTCTTTTTTTTTTTTCGATTAGAAGGGTTGCCTACTGGATCGACTGAACTTTTAACTTTGATTGATTTGCGTGGCCCAAGGAGCCCCATATAGAAAGGCAGTGTCGAACTCGATAAAGTAATGTCAAACCACGTTCTAGATCAGCTTTGGGTTCCAGGCAGCACTGCAGCACTGCCTGGAGCGACCCGGGTGCATCAGCTCCTATACAAATCCTGCTATAAATAATGCGGTGCTTATGACCCTCTACTTGTCATGGGTTCGGGCTCGCCTCTCACTTGCAGAGGCAAATCGTACACTCGGAAATCAAATCGATCCCCATTACCAGACGGGAGGATTAGGGTCTTCTTTCCGACCAGGGAAAGTGCGGGAGGGTTCACGAGGTCGACGCCGTTCGTGTTGACCATGATTTCCACGCGGGACGGCTGAGGAACGGAAAAAGGAAACAAGCGTCTCCACGGGGGCGTCAGGCGTAAGCGAGGCTTCAACTGCTCCGCCGACATCGAAATCTCGTTACGCAATGATTCCCCTTTGTACGACGTCCACAAATCTGGGGTAAGTGGGCCAGATCTTCTGCGACCAAGCACGGACATCCGCCTGCAGAGAATGGGCAAGGTTTGGCGTATACGTATTCCTGTGGGTTCCACCGGCTGAGCAAACCGGCCACATCTACCCTGGTCGGACGTGAGGTGTTTTCTTCCGAGTGCTTGGGCCGTGGGTTCAGCCGGTGAACTTTGGACCGAAACCCCCGTTACCTGAAAAAGTGAGACCAATCTTGGTCGTGAGACCCTAAAAGCATGGAGAGGTGTGCTTGTGACTGCTGAAAAGGGGCGAGAAAAGAGGGACTGGGCGGAATGTGGCGAGCCTCGATGCAAGTGTTTATTACAGCGCAGGGCCCCCAGAATCTGCCGGGCGACCAGAATGGAAATCACCCTCGTCAGCGCATCCGTCTGGAGTAAATGATATCCTGTCGTAAGGGCTTAGGTTTCGCCCATTAAGCCATTGTGGACCATCAGCTGAGGCCCAGCGGCTGGCCGAGAGAGGGAATCCGCGTGGGTTCCGCGAATCATCCCTGCTAGCTGCCTTGCTAGTTGCTGCTAAGCCCAGGTACACGGGGGCGCTGGCTCTAGTCTCCTCTCGGTGATGGTCAAACGACTTAATGCAATCCGATGGGTCCCGTCTCCGGATCATTTTCTATTTTGCGAGACCTGCCAAAATCATGATCGACCTTGGCTCTACCTGAGGGTAACCCTAATGTGTCGCAGATGTACCTTCTATGCACCTAGCTCCCCCTCGCTTCCAGGTACATTTGCAAAGTCTTCCAACACGGTTTTCAACACACTGGCGGGTCCATCCCAGAATGAAGGTTATTCCCGCCCCGTGGTCCAAGTGGAGATGAACCATCGGGTGGTGCCGAACTATACTCCAGTCAACCGAGACGTACCAGGTAGCCCCTTTTGCGTCACTTCTGAAGAGCTGAGAATTTTACCAAAAAATGACCCGACTCAGACAATGTCCCAGTCGAGCCCGACGGCCGCGCGGAATGTCTGTGGTGCCTGGCGCTTCGTGCGGTTTGGCCGATCCAAACGGGGATGATGCACCTGACCACGTACGAGGAGAGCAGGTTTGCCGAGATCCCGATCCGCCTTGATCTTTGACCTCCCATGTACCTACCCTGGCTACGCTATCCAGTCCTCGTGTCAGACCGCATTCTCCCCGCTTCCACGCGGTAGAGTGGGAGCTCCAAATTTTGATTTGATTTGATTTTTCAACCGGGGAACGAGGCAGCTGGAGGCCGAGTCCAGAGCAGTAGAGAAAGCGCCCACCCTGTAATATCGCTATAATACCCAGGCATTGGTGCATAAGCACGATCAAGCCACCGGACAGTGGTTCCCGGCTCCGAACCTAACAAAAAAAAAGTGGATAGGTCTAGTACAATTGGGGTGGTGAGATGCGTGATGGGCCACCAAAGTTGAACCGGTAACAGCGTGCTGGGGCCAGGCACGACAAAGATGCTCCGACCAGCTCAACAATTTCCATGTCACATTTACCCCAACGCCATTTCCAAAGAGAAGGCGGGTGAAGGTCAGACCGACCGACGGTGACTGGAATCATCCAGTCACCGAACGATCCAAGCAAGCGCCAATAACGGGGCGATCATCGCGCGCTAAAATAGCGCTGTCCGTCCCTCGTTTAGCCTTACTGCTCTCGTGTTGGTGGACTGTCGCTCCCCGTCGGATTTACTCCGTCATCCCGCAGCCCCAGCTGCCCTTCCGAGAAAGAGCACCTGGTGTCGCGCGACTAGGATGCACCCCGCTTCGTCAATCTCCGGTCTACGGAAGTTTCACATCGCTCGGCGCTGACTATTCCTGGCTCGTCCATTGGGTGAAAAGCTACGGTTTTTGCGATGGCTTCATCAAGTTCCTGAGCAGGTCTTCGCTGGTTCCCGTCATCGATGGGGGAAATAAGTTGGACATTTCTATTTGGCCGATTGACCGCGGTGCTGGAACCAATATTAGTCCCGAATTCTTGGTCTGGGCTTCTTCCATGCAAAAAAACAATAGGATGGCATATCTCTCTTCTGTCCTAGACTGATGCAGCATAGTGAAGAGACAGCCGATCCTGCGTCGTGTCGTTTGCTGAGTGAAGACAAGTGTCAACACGAAGTAGTTGGGCACCTATATTCTCGATCGATTGGGTAGCAATCCGATTCGCGGCGTGAATCGCTAGAAAGAGCCATGGGTTTGAAGGAGACCGATACCTGTGCTAAAGTTCCATTCTTCGTGAGACCCCGGCGGTGCTCCGTCTCTGAACGATACCTACAGGCTTGGCAGGACTTGAATGTCAAGAGGTGTCGAATTTCCTTTTGGTCAAATAGTTACTCCCAGGACAACGGTTGAATGCAATGGTATATGTCATATTAACCAGTGATCTTTAACATTGGAGAGACGTGCGCCACAGCCCCCCGAAAATCGCGCACTTTGTATCCCTTCAAATCGACCGGCAGTCTATTGAAGGCCAAAGCCACCTCCTCCTCCCAGATAGTCCAGTTGATGACACCGGTGGCGCGAATGATATGGTCTAGCGGCATATGCTCGACGACTTAGGAAACACACACGGCCTCTAAACGTACGGGTCCAAGCGGTTGAGATGAAGGCTGCGTTTCGATAGATAACCAGTGGTCGTTGCGCCACGCATTGACTATCGAAAGATCGATCCTCTGATCCGAGCCCCATGATCGACAGTCTCTGCAGAACTATTGACTGTCAAGCTCCCTTCTCCATCAAATGCCTCGTTTGTAGGCTGTCAGAAGTAAATTTATCGGTAGACCCCTGAATGATTTCCCCAAGGTTCTCAATCCCCCAGAGTTGGCCGGTTTCCGGCAGATCGGTTCCCGAGCCGCACCTTTTCCAGCCAACATACTAGAATACAGAAGCCTCCACAATAATGAACGCAGAGCCAGAGACGGAGCTAGATCGTAGGTTAACCGTAGGGATAGAACGCAGGAAATAATGAATAACGCATGCTGTATCATTCCAACAATACCAAATTCCGAAATTAGGGCCTCAACGCATCACTCTGACACCACAGACCAAGAAAGAAAACAAGCTACCCAGGTCTCCATGAAGCGGCTCGTGCTGGGATGGCCACTGATAGCTGCAAAGAACTCATAAAATTCCCTCAGAGAGGTGATGGTATCCCGTGGACACGATTGCTTGGCCTTCATCTCATTTACGAACACATTTGCTGGCTGTCACCCCGCGAAGGTCGTATCGCATCAATAACCACCTGCTGAAGTGGATGACAGCGACCGGTTCGAAAGGGGGTGTTGCAGCAAATGGCGCCTGCCTTTGTCGTGGAAGTGGTCGTTTCACGCGGCCTCGAGCCTCAGAAATTACCGAACAGCATCCTCGACGTGGAGCACGAGCTTTAGGGAAGAAGGCCATGGTTTGGTAGTTGAGCGCTCGGAAGTCATTGATCTCGCGAACATGTTCCTCTTGCCCGGTCTGGCTGGTTGCTGATCGTATGATGATTGCCCTCGCTATTTCATGGACAGTGATGGTCTCCAGCAGCTTGTTCAGGCTGCTGAAGCCGACAGGCGAGCTGTGACTTCGTCGTCTGGTGGGAGATACGCTGCTTGGACTGGCTTATTGACAGTGCCACTCAAAATAACCCAGCAGGACTCATTCAGGGCCAGAAGCCCGATCTTGAGGCCCTCGCGTCGGGTTTCCCAGTCAGTGGGTTTTTTCACAGTAAGCGAAATATTCCTTGAGCCTGAGCTGCTCCATCGGGGCAAGGGGAAGGTCAAATGGATGACAGGTGACGCATGGAGAGAAGGAATAAGAAGAGATTGACGGTCGAGGGTGAGATAAGGAATAACAAGTGGGAAGCCAAAGAGAGAGTGGGCGTAGAAGAAGAGAGTAGGAGATTACGAGAGAGGCGGTACGTGAATGAGAGATGGGAAGAGAATCTACAACCGAGTTGACGACATAGAAGCAAGTCAATTTGCCTAATTGAATAGGGTATCCGAACCGTATACTAAACCATATAGACCGATCCCAATGCAGAAATGTATGAAAGGCCCATGAAACATGACCCGCGACCTAACACACATAAACAATGCAGATTGTCCCCGACCCATGCAATGCTAACAATGACCCAGTCAAAAACAAAAAGACAAAATGGATATCACAGAAACAAGACACCCAGCTCCGTAAAAGCACAAGCCGAATCAGGAATATACTAGAAACGACATTCGAGAACTGAAGTGGAGATCAAGCGATAGTGAGGTTTTGACTGCTTTGGCTTGATCTGGAGAATTTTGAATAGAACAGAACTGGCTTTACGCCGTGAACACCCGGTCCAGTTGGCGCAGTGCGCGCATGTCCTCGCCTGCGAAGCTCATCTTCTCATTGGGGATATCACGGGGTCCGTCGGCTCCGGTGATGGACGGGTGGCGGCTGCTGGGACTTCCAGGACCAGCTGCAGGACCGTCTGGACCTGAGATCGGAGCCAAGGATGTGCCGCTCATTAATGAGCCGATGCCAGGGACGCCTGCAGATTCGACGGGCTTGGGCGGGGTGCCCATGGAACCGAGCTGCTGCGCAGGACCGGCGAGAATTTGAGGTGATCGCTTCAGCATGTGCGGGCTGTGAGCAATGCCGTTGGCTTGCGGCATGGCTGATGCTGGTACTCGGGGTGAGGCAAGGCGAGGGTCTGCTGCGGGTGGTCCGTAGGCGCGAGGACTGCGCTGCTCGTGTAGGGACTCGTGCATCGACCGGGGTGAGCGACCCGGATATCCAGGTGGCACTGCTGCGGAAGGACCGGCAGGCGGCAGGGCTGATTCCGGGTGATGAGGACGATCGTAAGGACCGGGCAATCCTTGGGGTGGGGGCGGCAGGGGGTGAACGTTGGGGGGTTGGCGGGGAGGGGTTTGATGTTGCGGCTGGCCATAGGGCGGAGGAGGACCGTTAGCTGCAGACACCGAAGGGAGATAAGCAGCGCCATACGGCAGCGCGACTGTCGGCGGGGTAGCCAACGGTGTGGGCGGCCAAGCATATTGCGCTTGATACGAAGGCGCATGTGTGGTGCGCGGCGCATAGGCGCCCATGGGGTGAGGCGTGATCGGATAAGCTGCGCCCGCCATCGGACCCCGAGTAACGACTGGGAGGTTCTGCTGGTCATTGACGGTGGACTCTGGGTACAGACCCTTCTGCGGTCGTACTTGTTGCAAAGCGGGGTCGGTGGTGGGTTGTTGCAGGTTTGCCGCCGCGGGATGCGATCGCGAGTAGTAGCTGATCAGATGAAGATGCTGGCCAGTTGAAGTGGTGATACTGAATGACTGCTTCATTAAACCGTCCGGTTTATATCGATAACCATCTGGGCCTTCGTCGGTTCCATCTCCGCGGTCGTCATCGCTGCCCCGGCTCTCTGGCGTCTTGCCTCCTCTGGATACCGAGCTCTGGGAAACGCTACCACCTCCGCGCTTGCCCTCCATCTCGCGATAAGTCAGAAAGCTACCGGATACTCGACTGGCGCTCCATGATTTGCCGTCAGTCCATCGTCGCATGCCCGCTTCCCGCTCATCCCAAACAAAGACGGAGCCGGATCGAATCGACTGTCGCTCCTTTTCTGAAAGTCGTCGCTGCACTCGCGGAAGAATCCCAACGCGACAGGCCTCGAAGAGAATAATTGCGTCCGCGGGGGTGCGGACGTGCCCGTAGTACGTCTCCATCCAACCTCGTAAGCCAACCGACGACCCCGACGGGTGAGTAGCTTTGACGGCCAGGTTGTCTCTGGCTTCAAGATCGTATAAAGTGTTTTGGAGCTGGGCTGAGTCCCACGGTCCAGGCGATCGAGTATATTCAGTGACTTGTTGTGTCGGTATCACCGAGGCAGGAACAGATAAAATGTCTGTTTACCGGCTGTTAATGATTTTACTTCTCCAAAGGAGTGGTCAAGGGGAGGGGAGGAGTTGCAAAAGGTGTGGAGAGAGTGTAGGGATTCAGCGATATAAAAGGAACCAAGTAACTGATTATCGGGTATGGGGTAGGCTGAGTAGAGTGTATGAGACCGGCGTTCTGGGTGGGTAAGGCCGAGCGTTTTTACGTCACCCAACAGGGTTAGGCAGGCGTAATTTTCCTTTAATCTTTCTTTTGCCTTTTTTCCTTTTCTTTTTTTTTTTTTTGGTTTTTTATTAACCCCAAAAAGGGAAAAGGCTAAAAGGCCAGCCCGAAGAGATTTGTTGTGGGGCAGTGGATTGGGAGCGGGTGTAAAGAATGCCGACAATAAAAAGGGAAATTGGCTCAAAAATTCGGGGAGTTGGAGTTTAACTCACAGTCTTGGGCCCCGCAGGCTTGTGGATTCAGGCCCTGTAGCGGGTGTCTCAGAGAAGAAAATAGAAAATGTTTAAGATGGGAGAATGAAAAGAAGAAGAAAGATGAGGCAAAGGAAGGGGGTTGCTGAAACAGGGTCGGCGGTCTTGTTCTACTATCGGAACCTTGTAAAGGAGGCCTTAGGAAGAATCTTCGAAAGAAGGTTAAATAAAGGAAGTCAGAGGGGACTGAGCCAGGATCGGACGGAAGTTGCTAAACGCCGAGATTCCAAGAATGGGCGACCGGATGAGAAAAAAAGGTTACAAAAGGAAATTAAATTAAATTAAATTAAAACTGTAATACAATAGCCTCTTGGAAACAGAGTTGGGTGGGGACAGACAACTAAGCTTGAAAGATGGAGCGAATGATGATCCAGATGTGATAGGGTGAGCCAAAAAGAAAAAAAAAGAAAAAGAAAAAGAAAAAAAGAATTAATTGGAACAATGCAGGTAAAGAATATGATTTGAAATTCGCACTCGCTACGGATTATCCCATGACTCTCTTTATGCATGGAAACCTTGGTTAGCACTTGAAGTCGGTCTGGTTGTGGCAAGGTTGATGAAAGGTGGCACTGTCACTTTGAAGGTGGCGCCCGATCCATTCGAATCATGATAGGACATTATTCGTGTAGCCTATGTATACGGATTTACGGTGGACGATGTAATAAACCAAATTCAAGTGGTACCATCACGTCAAGGTTTCAGATCCGGCCCCCTGGAGAGAGGGGGCCGTGGAGCAAAGAGCCTAAGCTATGCTAAAAACAGAGTCATGGCGCGATCGGTGTCGGTTAACTCGGGTAAGCCAAGACTAAGACAAGACAACCATTTTGGAAGGATTGGTTCGTCATTCCTGAGTTGGCTGTGCCATTCTTGGAAGCTCTTGGAAGGGCCTTGGCTAAGCTTACGGTGGCTTGAGCAAGAAGGGGGGAAGCGCGGTAAGGTTATTCACGAGACCTTAGCTTTGCCCCTTCGCAAGGCATCCCCATTCCAGCGTAATGTGCAAAGGACCAGTGTCAGCACGTAAATCCGAACTGAAATAGAAAGGTAAGAAAGGGAGAATGTGACTGGTCGCTGGCCACCGGTACGTGTACTGTATGGACGGCGTAAAAATGAGCTGTGTCAGACGCATTCCCAAAAAAGTGGCGCTCTGATCGCAGGAAAAGGTGGTTAGTGCGCACTCCTTGAAGCTTAAGCTTAATCCAACACGAGGAAAGGATGGCGCTGAACTTTATGCTCGCTTAGAGAGCCCGCCTCCACTCCGTTCCATCTTCAGCCTGATTCGATCCTCGCTGATGCTTGGCTTCCGGACTAGGCCTGGAGAGGCAACACTTGATTTCTTCTATATTGCATTTAAATATTCGATATATGTTTAGCTGCTGGTGTGGGTTTCTTTTCTATCGTCTTGTCAGATACACGGACCTCTTCGGACATTGCGTTAAAATTACCTCAACCAGGGTTCGGGTCTCGGAAATGAGCCACCCCAGTTTTCATGACAGAGGCTGCTGCACGGAGTACAGTCATAGAGGAAAGAAAGAAAGAAACAGCAGGTGGCAGGCGAAAGTGAGATGCCCACAGGACTATCGGGATTGCGACCACGGAACCCGATTCAAACCCCACCGATAATCCGGAATCCGGTTATTAAGGAAGCGAATAAAACGACGAGGTCGGTTCTGTCCGCCTCAAAGTGCCCAGATTATCCCAACGGCAGTTCTCCGCCGTGGCCACTCGGAAATAAAATAAAAAGAGTATCTCGGGAAGAAGCCAGTGGCCCTTTCCCCTCGTGACTCGTTTTCGTATCTGGTGACGCGGCCGTGGTCTTGATTCTAACTGTGCTGACCGCAAAGCTTAGATCCTAGCACCAATGAACCCCAAACCACCGTCACGGTGGATAGCTATGTGCAAGAGTTATTCAAGGTAGGACCCCTTCCCCCCTTTCTGCCCGGGCACATCCATGTCGGGAACTATTTACTAAGTTTACGTGGGATGCACGGCCGAAACCCCACGCCGCGTAATGATGTATGGATCATCGTGCTTCAGCGCATTCTACTAGTTCGGTGTCCGCTTGCGAACGAGGATCATCACACTATAGATTATAGGCTGGGAACCAGGGTTGTGACCCCCCGGTTCGCAGTGCAGCGGCTGACCTCACTCGACGATAAGATAAGCATATTTCGGGCAAAATGGAACGAACCCCATCGACGTGCAGCTGCGACCTCGTTACCGGTGCATAGTGCGAGTGTTGGAGCTTGGCCCAGGAAGAAAAACCACGCGAACCAATGGCAGGGGTGGTTAACCGAAGCCCCCGGATGTTGTCAGTGGACGGAGCTAAGACATGAGCTGTCTGGCGCGCTCATAAACTGAAATCAAGCTCCAGCCTGCGCACGGGCTTCCTGTTATCGCGTATCGCCAACAAAGACCCCGTCCCAAGGTGGCACAGAGCACGGCCACTATAATAGGGTTCGGAGGCTGATCCTGGCAGCTCTGTATTCAGATATACTGTGTAGATTTCGAGAAGGCTGGGGACACCATGTGTCTTCCTCCGAATTGAGGAACATGGTCTGGGTGTACCTTTCATTCGGCCCACGGCTGCGTCGGATGTCTCACATGGCGTCGGTACTTGCTGATGCCGAGCTGGTGTAGATTACGGAACCCTCTCATTAAAAACAAGATCAAGAGCGAGATTAAAAGAATAAGGCCAGTACCGACTTACTTAGGCGTACTCCGTAGACTGCAGCGATGCAGTAGTATTGAACTAGTACGCTGCAGGCAAGAATAGCCGTTTCCCAAATGATTTGCTCCAGGGTTCAGCCGATCGAACTGATCGAACTGCGCCGCAGCCGATCACGAACATATCAATACCGTCTACTTTTTGCGTTTCCCAAATCCAATAAGCATAACACCGCATGTCACCACACGTCTCTCCCTTACATGATGTACCATGTGCGAGATCTGTCCAGTGGTGCCTCCCTTGTGCAAAGATCGCTCCCCAACCCATTTCTACACAGGACACATCCGGTCTTCCCGCACCGTTTACTGAATCGAGGCTGTGCCATTGGTTTAAAGCTTGGTAACGCAACCGAATGTAAGCGCCCCCGGGGCCGAGGTGGGGATAACACTTTTTTTTTGGATGTGCCAAGTGCACACGTACATAAAACATCTCAATTCAACCATCACACGCATCCGATCATCCGGACTCGTTTTCGAGCTGGGCAGTGGACCTACCCAGGCGGTCCACTGCTCGCTAAGCATAACAACACCCGCAGGTCAAAGGGCGCTTGCGGGCCAAGCCGACACAGCTTGGCGACCGTGGTTCCTGTGAGCAAGTCTGCAGCCCGGGCTCGGTTTCTGATTTCTCCATAATATTTTGCGTTTGCTCCACATGGTCCCGGCGCTCCCACTACCTTATGTCCGAACGGCCGAGCGTATTTCCCCCCTTTCCAGACCACGGTGTCTACATTGGGAATTTATGCACTTGTTACCTCGCTCGGGGGGCCCGAGCCAACCGATGACGTGACCTTGCATGCACCTTGGCACACGATTGGCGTTCCGATCAACTTTACTCGCGATATGGTTGCGTGTCATGTATTGTCACGCACGGTTGCAACCCTGGAATTAAAGGTTGCCAAGGCCTGATTCCGTGAAACGTCGCACGAGCTTATCTCCACCGACATAATTAAGGTGTCCGAGATTATTAAACGAGGAATGTCCTTGGGCCTGAAACCGGGATCAATTTCCAGTCGAGCAAATCACCGTCCACGGTGTCAGAGATCGGCCTGTACACGTACGGATTTACATTAGCGAGCACGGAGTGGCCTAAAACGTTGGTGCCTCACATGCCCAGGTAACTAGTGTCATCCTGCTCAAAGCCAAGAGGGCTCTCGGCAGCGTGAATGGTGCCTGGTCACTCGCCAAGAGGGGTCGAAGTGGTTCCCCTTCTCCTGGGCTTTCCGGGCCAGGTGTCCTTTTGTGGCAACTGTCATCGGCAAGCCTAAATTTACAAAATCCAGTTCCATCCTTGTTTCGGGGTGGGATGAACCATGGAAGTCGATACCTAAAATTCCAAAGTGGCGCAACGAGCACGGCAGTCTTACATTGAATCAGCAGGAAATCAGCACAAGCCATGTGGCGCCGCATTTGAATTTATGCGCCGGGGAGTTTATTCAGCCGAATACGAAGGGGTTACGCATTACAGGTTTACCAAGATTCCATTCAGGGCTGCCTCGTCTTGGTACGCGACCCCGATACAGACTATATATGCGGTTGCCTTTCTGTTTATTTTTTTATTTCTGGTATTTCCTCATGTCACATCGCAATCCCGACCACATTCTCGAATATGATACGTCAGACAGAGACATGCATGACTCGGGCAATGCCCGAACATCCAGCTTATGCTTAACCCCGGTAAGGTTGGGTCCCCTTGGCCCGCCGACCCTGGTCTCCTGATTGGCAGGGCCGTGCGCACGCTCGTAAAGTGTATTAGATTGATCCCTTCCAAGGCAGCCAACATTCCGATCTGTGAGCTTTAATCTCTTCCCCTGGGCCTCGCTCCATGTAGAACCAAAATTCAACTCCCAAGGGAAGCAGGAGGGGGCTCCACACGGAGCTCGGCAGGCTTTACGTAGGCGAGCTGCCCATAAAATAAAGTATTACCAAAGGGCGAAACGGAGACCCACGGACCACGTTTTAGCGGAGACCGCCGGTCCTGATCCAGCATATTGATTACTACAGTACGGAGGTCCCTACCAAAAGTCTTTGCATATTTGCTTTTTTGGTATTTTTGAATATTACTAGCGTCGTTTTGGTCTGAACACACCTCCTTTCATCCTCAATGCCCCTTTTCCTACCAACCTGCCAACCAGCTACCAATCTACGTCAATATGGCTAAATACGACATTGCTATGCGTGCTGTTGTTATTACAATGAAAGCGCTTGGTATACCGCCTCTTACAATCTCTGCTATGACTGGTATACCCACTCGAACGATCAATACTATCTGGGACCGCGCTATTGAGCGAGGGTTTAACCCTCGTCAGCAACCCTTGATAGTAACTGACGCTTACGTCGCTGATGCCCCTCGTTCTGGTCGCCCAAAGAAGCAGACACCTGAGCTAGTAGCTACAGTGCTTGCGAAGGTTCGACGTGATCGCTATGGGCGTGAGAAAACCTACGCTGATATTGCTAGCGAGCTATCTAATATCTCGGCTATGACTGTGTGGCGTGTTCTACGGAGCTCTGGTCTTAAAAAGACTAAACCAACGCGAAAACCTAGTTTAACAGCGCGAATGCGCACTGAAAGACTAGCTTGGTGTCTTGAGCATCGACACTGGACACTAGAGGACTGGAAAAACGTGATTTGGACTGATGAAACCTCTGTTGTCCTACTACATCGTCGTGGAAGCTATCGGGTATAGCGTACAAAAGATGAGGCCTTTATTCGAAGCTGTATTCGCGAGCGCTAGAAGGGAAGCTCTGAATTTATGTTCTAGGGCAGTTTTTCCTATGAGAAAAAAGGCCCTTATCATTGCTGGACCCCTGAGACTGCTGCTGAGCGTCGAGCTTCTGAAAAGATGATTGAGGCTTGGAATGCTGAGCTTGAGCCTAAATTACGCGAGGAATAGGAGCTTATATCTAGGGTTCGACGAATAAACCTACGACGTTAAGCACCTGGTATGAAGCCTACTTGGCGCTTTACCTCAAAGACTGGAAAGCTATCTCGAACTAAAGCGAAGGGTGGGATTGACTGGTTTCGGTATAATACTACAATCCTTTTGCCAAAGCTTCTACCTTTTGCGCAAGCTTATATGATTGATCGGCCTGATACGATGGTTCAGGAGGATAAAGCGCCTGCGCATGCGCATCACTACCAGCAGGGTGTATTTAGCCTTGCTGGTGTTCAGCGGCTGCTATAGCCCGGTAATTCGCCTGATTTGAATGCTACCGAGCCTGCTTAGCCCTGGATGAAGCGCTATACTACTAAAAAAGGCGCACCAAAAAGCAGGGCGGAGGCTATTAAGGCATGGGGTGAGGCATGGCATTTACTGCCGCAGGAGCGCATTCAGCAGTGGATAGAGCGCCTACCTAGGCATATTGAAGAGATTATACGCTTAGATGGGGGTAATGAATATAAGGAGGGCAGATACTAGATGAATACTGGTTTAAAAACACCTAGTCTGTATTAGGCATGGTAGAAAAAAGCAAATATGCAAAGACTGTTGGTAGGGACCTCCGTAGAGTGCTACGCTTAGGGTGAATAGCCTGCCCTCGTTCGGGCCCTTCCATAAATTCACGCCCTTGGGCCTCCCCCTTTTTTTTTCGTGTGTGGACGCCTCCATGCGCACTAGAGTGCTTGGCCTTGCTTGGCCCGGTCCGAGTCCCGGGGCGATGTCTAACTACAGTATACTCCGTACACCTTGAAAAGTAACAAGAGCCTCTCCGAGTCATGACTCGCTCGCATCTATTCTTAGTTCGGTAGCATAGGCTCGTATAGATGGCCAATTACATATTATTCTGTCGAGTCTCACCCCTGCAAGGCTGCCCTCTAATTCTTCCGCCCCCCCCCCCCCCCCCTGCCCCATGCGCCCCCCCCCTGCAGTGTGTACCGCTCGGGTCTACCACCTGGGCATGGTCACCCCGACCTCGATCGCTCGAGACTCCAAGCGTTCGCGATCTGCCCTTTTTTGTCCCTCCTTGGAGATCTGACGGGATGATCCCGCCGAATTCGGCCCGTTCATTAAACTTGTTTTGGCTCCAGATAATGGACGAAACACTAACTGCGTAGGATCCTACAAATGACTAATGGTGGGTGTACCCGGGTGTTTTTGGAGTCGCTGATCCTGGTACTCGATGTGAAACGGGACGCCGTGTCAGGGTGAGATGAGGGCCGATGACTGTTGATGGGTCATGCTGTCTGTGGTGAAACTGGGTTCGAAAGGTTTTTTTACGACCTGCCGTGTGAGCTTCGCTTGGTTGTGGGTGTGAATGGAATAGACTACTAGGCCGCTTAGAGTCACTTCCCATCTACGGATATACGATATAGCCATGGACCTGGTAAAGATACATCGCCCCGCTATGAAAACCAGTCATTTCTATGGTTGGGTGGTGGACTTTACAGTAAATTCTATCGTACAGTTTCAATATGATAACATTCGTCAGCTGTGCCTTAGCAATCAGCTCGGCCGAAATATCGCGGGAATGACACGACGTCGCGGACGCTGGACACTCCGGACAGGTAGCCCAGGAACCGATCAAACCCGAGTCCGAAGCCACCGTGAGGCGCTGAGCCCCAGCGGCGGAGGTCGGCGTACCATTGCAGATGGCCCAGATCCTCGGTCGGAGACAGGTGAGGGTATAACGGCTGGCTGGGAGCCGGAGTATCTGGGTCGGTGGAGGTGCGCTCCTTGATCAGGCCGTACTCGCGCATGTTCTGGATAATATTGGGCAGGCGATGCTCGCGCAGAGAGCCGCCAGCGACTTCGCTGACCTCTGGAAGAAGCAGATCGAAGCAGGCGACCGTCTCTCCTGGTGTACTGTTGTTCTGCCCGACCTGGGACGGGGCCATATAGAAAGGCTTGATGGCCTTGGGGTAGTTGGTAACAAAGACTGGACTGCCTTGATGAAGCACCTCGACAATGTACTTCTCATGTTCAGTCTGTAAGCCCCCTTCCCATGTTGGAGGGTGCTCAAACGAGGCACCGTCCTCTGTAACAGCCCGCTGTAGTTTTTCAATGGCTTCGGTGTATGTGATGCGATGCCATTTGGGTCCGTCCATTAGGGCGGTCCATCTTTGACGTAGATCCAACGCCGGCTGGTCAGAGTTGCTTTCCTGTCCCGACTCACCGGTCCGCTTTGCTGACAGGATCTCCTGTCCAACGGGATGATCATACAATCGACGGGTCAAGTCCCGAAGGATATGCTCCACCAAGCCAGTGAGCGAGTCCAGATCATCCATGAAGTTGGCCTCGGCTTCCAACATGTAGAACTCGCTGAGATGACGCGGCGTGTCGCTCTTCTCCGCCCGGAAAACAGGCGTCAATGTCCATACATTGCCCAGTTCGGCAGCATAGGCCTCAAGGTGTAGTTGCGACGACACAGTCAGGTATTTAGGTGCCCGGAAGAAATGATCGGTCTCAGGGCTTGACGACGTAACGGCACCCCGCGGAAGCAACGTGAATGTTTCACCGGCTCCCTCGCAATCGGAAGATGTGATTATCGGAGGCTGTACTTGTGTGAACCCGCCATTGGGGTAGGAATGGAAGACGTTGCCCAATTGGAATAGACATTCGGAGCGGAATCGTGCAAGGAGCGACTGGAATGGAGTTCGAATGCGGAGGTGAGGGATTTGGCGAAGGAAGTCGGTGCTTTGGTACTTCTTTTGGATTGGAAACGTCTGCAATCAAGAGGCGAAAGTCAGATGGCGCATTCCTGTTCGCGGGTATTGCAAAGAAAGCTCACCTCCGGGTCTGATTCTCCGACAATGGTCACGTCGGTTGTCTGAAGCTCATGTGTCTGCTCCTTTCCAGGCGGGCAAGCTTTCCATACTCCTGAAATTTCGACAGCGGCACCGGTAGAAAGACTGAAGCAATGATCGCGTTAGATCTGGTTCGTGACAGACGCAAGCTGCGCATCGCAACCTTTGGGCAGCAACGTACTCGACAGCCTGTGACGGCTTCAAGATCGCCTGTAATGGCTCAACGGTAGAGCCATCTGAGATCTCTGCGAAAGCAAATCGCTTTTGCTTTCGGACGGATCGAATGAACCCATTCACTTTGACTTCCTGGTCCTCCAAGCTGCAGGGTCCCTCCTTCTTGCTGGACTGGAGAATCTGCGCACATCGCAGAAGCGCGGGGCGCGAATTAGGTGTCGGATTAAAGCCAAATCTTGCTACAGATGTGGCGAAGGTCCGCCGCCATATCTGCATGGCTAGGTCCGGGGTGTTGTGTTGGTTGAGTCAAGGTCGGAGGTTGCGGGCGGGAAAATCCTCGGTGGAGTTGGGCCGATCGGTCGTGGCGATTCCTGATGCTGTTGCTCGAATCGCCACGACCTCAGTAATGGAACCATGGGGATTTTAGTGCAAAATGAATTCAACTTTAGGTATCCTACTTTGTTAATTAACCTCTGTACATTGTCGATCTCTTTATTTTGGTAGTATCCATGTTTGTAATCAAGCATGGAAGCGGACCATGTCTACAGATATATAGTGCAGTAGATGCATAGAATAGAATTGAGATTAAATAACTGACAGACTATCACCCATAAGAGTGAGGCGGGGTCATTAAGCATGAAGAATTCGTAAAACCTGGGAGCAAAGAGATATGCAGACCTAAGAAAAGTGATTCAGGCCCGGGGAGTGTGAAGTTTGAAACACAATTGGAGCCCGCAGATACATCCTACTGTCGATGCTGTCCAGCATATGCCTTCCTTTCCTCCTCAATCATCTCGATCGCATCCAGGAGGCTGCCGTTGGATGCAGCTGCATAGACAGCCATTCGTGATCGCCCCCCTTCTTGGGGAGTGCCATACCCCATGTCGACAAGTGAGGAGACACAGCTGTCGATACTGTCGGATCGGATGTCCTGGGCACCATCGGTGTTGCCTAGGCTCGCGTTCGTGACTGGTGACTGGGATACTTCCTCAACGGGGAAACTCCCGGGGATGCTCTGGGTGGACGATGGCCGGGAATGCAGGCGCTCACGTCTGTCCAGGCGCGCCCAAGTATCTATTTCGGCACTCTGACGAGCGCTGGGCCGGAGCGAGTTGCGCTCAGTTGCTCGGCGTCTCAGAGGAACTCCAGCAATAGAGTGAGTCAGAGAAGCCTCATTGAAAGGCGTGACGTTCACTGTATCTGAGCGCTTGACTGGTGGCAGAGGCTTGCTGCCACTGCGAGAGTTTTCGATATCATCTTTCTTCTCGAAATCATGCCTTTTAGGACGAGAGGCGACATCTGTAGGGACCTGCATTTCCTGGATATTGGAGCCAAAAGTAGCTCCCTTGAGAGGAACCTCAGGGGATGGGTGCGATGGCACACGACTTCGGAAAAAGGCATAATCCTCAGGGGATACACCATGAGGAGGTACAGATGAACGACCTTGCCGTTGATTTGCCCTGAGGTGGGCATCCAACTGCGAAACAGGAGGGAAACGATCCATTTGAATATCTATCATTTCCTTGTCTGTCAAAGGCTGCCCCTGCTTCAGAGGTGGGGAATGACTGTCCGCCCAAACAGGAGGAACACCCGCAGTGGACTCATCCGTCAGGTCAATCAATGCAGGAGATGCAGCTCGAGGGGCGTTGAAATCTTTATTGGCATCCCCCCTTCTAGCCTCGGTGAAGTAGCTTCTGGCGCAGACAAGACTGGCTCCCGGAAGGTAACAGACTTTCTGCGCTTGATTGAGCCACTGCTGTTCCTCCGAGCGGTGCCCCCAGGAACAATTCGCTCTTTCCCTAAGGTCTTGTCCTGAGATGAAGATGCACCGCTGACAGGAGCGGTCTGAGAACTGCCCTGCTGAGAGCTGGGCGAGCTCGAGTTTGCGGCCTCGGACGAGGGCTGCGATGAAGGGATGCGTTCAATGGGTATCTGATCACTGAACTCCAGGTTGATCGCGTGGCCATCAACGTGGAAGCCCTGCAAAGCGCTCATTGCAGCCATCGCCGGGTGCATGGACGGGAAATGTAGGTAGCCGAAGCCTGCATGTTTGCCCGACATGGAATCCGGAGGAAGATCAACATCAACAATGAATCCCTTTGAAGCAAAGACATCCTGGATCATATTTTCGGTGACATTAAAGCCAACGTTTCCGATGAACAAGGTCTTGTTTTCGGGTGCTTCGGTTCGCATGCTTCCATCCCTAGGTTGCGTACTTGCTGTGTATGGCGGAGGAGCCGGAGTGCGGTATTGCAAGATACCACTTCCAGGCTGTCGCATATTCGCCGGGGGATATGAGGGCGTAGAAGGCGACTGGAACCATTGAGGGAATGAAAACGGACCCGGTGGCGGAGGAGCAAAACGACCCAATGAATTTGGCGGATGACCGAACTGGTGCCATTGCTGCCCGTCGTTCAAAGACGGCCAGCTCGGTGGCTGAGCAAGCGATGGAGGGTGTGGAAGGTGTGGAGGGTGGAATGGAGGAGGCTGCCAGTGACGAGGTTGACGAGGTGGGAGACGTTCCCAAGGCCGGGGCTCTTGCTCAACATGCAGATTGGGGTGAGCACGTTGCGAGCTGGGCGGACTGGGTGGTTTGGGGTCTTTGACCGTGGGTTGACCGGAAGCCGTGGTATCTTTCTGCTGTGTAGTACCCACGGGATAGGCCTGACCTTCCTGACAGTTGGGGACAGAAGGCGCAGTCGCATTGTTAGGGGGAGGGCAAAAAAAGCCAGGTGCAGCATTTGAGCTGCCACTCGTAGTGCTTGTATTTTGGGATCCGCCTCGGCCGAATTCATTCTCAAATGCCGCAAACAAGGTTCGGGTGGATTGATCCAAATTAGTAGCAAAAGCCCTCAGACTTTCCACGGCGTTTTCGGCTACTGGCCTGCCGGCTTGAACTGCTTCTTCTGCCATGTGTCTTCCATTATCCGGCAAATTGTTGAAGGCAGCTCTCATTTGAACCTCAAGCTGCGCGAAAAGAGCCTGCAGTGAGGTGGTAAGATTTTCCGGAAGGTCCCTCTGAGCCTCACTCAGTTGACGCCGCAACTCAGGAATCCTTGTTCTCAGTTCAGTTTGCATAACATCGACCCCACTGCAAAGCTGTTGCAGCATCTGAGCCACAAACCGTTCCACAGAGGGATGGATTCTCTGTGAGCCAGCGCTGGCCGATGGCTCGATAGTAGGCTCAGATCTAGTCCCTTGGGTTTGAGTGTCAGAAGTCTCAGCGGCCTCAAGTATATTGGCCAGTTCAGCCTCGAATGCTGCCATGAGAGGCTGTGAATCTTCCTCAACGGTGGAAGGAGGAGAAGCGATGTGTTCCGAAACTGAGGAGCCCTCGGGTTTTATGCTGTTAGCTGCAGGCTCCGCCGTAGCAGGGACATCACTCTTCATTTCAGCAGTTGGCGCTTTATTGGCAGTGTTCTCGAATTGTTTCCACAACTCGGTCACAGAATTCGATCGACGAATATCAAAAATGTGCATCGGTTCTGGCTCATCTTGAGAGATATTGACGGAATCCAGGCGTTGACTGATGTCGATGGGTTCGTCTAGGCGTTCAGAGAGCTCGAGAGAGGACCCGACCTATACATGCATGTTTAGCCACCTGACGGAAGACAACTGTACTTGAGATATATACTCACTGTGATCTGATCACCATCATCATAGTCCATGTATGTCAACCTCGCCCGGGGATAGTTCGAAGCGATGTCATCATAGTCGGTCGCAGAGATCTGCACCACTCCCTGAGAGACCGGAGGGTCTGAGTTGACCTCATGGCCCGAGGATGGAGACACGTGAAGGTCCCTGATCTGGAAGGGTTTCAACATTATGGGCAGAGCAACGTTGTGAACCTTTGGGCCCAGATCGACGAGAGTGGGGATGTTACACGGATGGAGTAGATGCAGCGGGAGACCGTGATGATTTAGGAGGGATTCTCGAGGGAGAGAGCCTCAGTAGCGAATAGATATCAGGGAGGTCATGGGACAAGTGGCTGTTGCCTGACACAAGATCCTGGTTGATAAAGGAGGGGATGTGTAGAAATGCAAGGACTCGAGAATGATCTCACTTTGACATTTGACATCCCCAGGCAACAGCGGATAAGATAGCTCTCCCCGCCTATCGCCCCGCTGACTCATCCATACATTTGCGGCCCTTGCTAAACCTCAGGTGTCAACATATTCAATGCATACGAATTTCCCACACGGCGCGACTGATTCTACACCATTCCTACAGTACAGTGCATAACAGCTCCTGTCGGCCGGACGGTGCCAATGGCTGGTCCACTGGAGACGACTCCTTATATGCAACCCCACGCAACCTAGCTCCTGCACCACCCGCATATCCCAATCGAGCGGCCCACCCCGAAAGAAAGCCCCAATGGCCACCGGAAAAACCTCGTCACGACTGCAGAGTCCGGGCGACCGCAATTTCAAGAGTGTTGTGCTAGGAGATCTTTTGTTCAAGCCTTGGTACCAGTCCATCTACCCGGAGGATCTGGTTGCCAAAGACGCCGAGTGCCTCCACGTTTGTCGGTGGTGTTTCCGGTATTCCTGTGACCGAGTCACCTTTGCAGAGCACACTCGAGAATGTGTGCATCGGAAAACACCGCCGGGCACGAAAATATATGATCATGGCGGATACGCAGTGTGGGAAATCGATGGGGAGGAACACAAGCTCTTTGGCCAGAATCTATCGCTCTTCGCTAAGTTGTTTCTTGACCACAAGACTGTTTTCTTCGATGTTGCGACCTTCCTATATTATATCCTCACATTTACCGACCCGGACAACCCGGACAACTACCATATTCTTGGCTTCTTCTCGAAGGAGAAGCTATCCTGGGATGCGAACAATCTTGCCTGCATTTGTGTCTTCCCACCATACCAGCACAGGCAGCTGGGAAAGCTGTTGATGGGGGTGAGCTATAAGCTCAGCGGCTGGGATTCCCCCGGTGGATATATTGGTGGACCAGAGAAACCTCTCAGTGACCTGGGGCAAAAAAGTTACAATCGCTTCTGGGCTGAGCGGATTGCGAGGTATCTGCTATGCGGTAAACGTGGCGGCGGCAATAATGAGGCCGAGAACGCAAAGCCTAGCACTTTCTCCACAGCCTCCAAAAAGAGAGCTCCACGAGAGACCATGACTGTCGAAGAACTTGGCCTGGCTACCGGCATGCTGACAGAAGATGTAATAACCGCCGTCAAGTTCATGGGTGTCGTCCAGCCAGAGACACCAAGGAAGCGCAAAACGCCTCGTTTAAGCGGAGATGATGCGCCAGCCCAGGGTCCGACGATGCTCATCCGGAAAGAGGATGTCTGGAAATGGGCTAAGGCTCATCACCTGTCATTGGAGGACCCGGTGAGGGAGGATGGGTTTATTCTCCCATCTCCCCTTGTCTCTGATGCCAGCCAGAGTGCCTCCGAGGAGGAATAGCCCTCTGCGGCGCGATACCGTGTACAATAATGTTTGACGTAACCCAGGAATGTTAATAATGTAAAACATTGTTTCTCTAGGGAAGAACTATAACGGCCTCGGCATACAACCTGGAAATGTCACGAGGATCGACGACTGAAGCTTACGAGCTCCGTGATGCTATGCAACGGCCCTGAGACCATGTCTACGTCTACAGTCTACAGCCGACAGTAAATGATTTGCAATTATTGTATGCAATTTTTGACTGGACTTGTCAACAGCCAAAGCTGTAAGTCCTGGGTCCATCTAAATCTTTACACGAATGCCCAAACTTCATCAATCAGGAGCACATTACTCTTCCATACCGCCAGGACCACTCGACTTGCTCATTTGGCGAGCCTTCAGCAGCTCGTCACAAAGAAGCAGGTTCGAGGCGATACCAGTGCTAGAGGCAATGCAGTTCCGCAGAACACGGAACGAGTCGAAGATACCTTCCTGGATGGGGTCCATGGGCTCGCCGGTGTTCAGATCCAGACCAACAACGTCGTTGCCTAGCGAGCGCTCATCCTGAATAGTGGCCAGAGAGTCCTGGATATCGTGCCCGGCGTTGGCAGCGAGAGTCTTGGGAATGATCAGGAGGGCATCGGCAAAAGCATCAACACCCCACTTGGCCTTACCCTTGACGCTGTCACGGAACTTATCCGATCTCAGGTAAGAGGCACAGGCGATTTGGAACGCACCGGCTCCAGGAATGACACATCCATCAACAATGGTGTTGTAGACGGAGCGAAGACCATCGCGGACGGCATCCTTGACCTGAGCGATGTTGTGCGCGTTGGGTCCCTTGATAAGAATGGTCACAGACTTGGGATCCTTAACCTCCTCAACGAAAGTGAACTTCTCCTCACCAAGCTGGTGCTCGTAGACCAGACCGGCCCACCCGAGAACATCAGGGGTCATGTCCTCCACGCTGTTCTGGGCAATACCGCCGCACACCAGCTGCAGACGCTCCATGTTCCTCCGTTTGGCACGGCGAAGAGCCATGATGCCGTTTTTGACAAGAATATCCAAGCTGAGAGGATCGATACCCTTCTGGTTGATCACGACGAAGCCCTTCTTGGGGTCGTTGCCGCAGACCTGCTTCTTGAGCTCCACGATTTTAGCCAGCTTCGAGTCAACAAACTTGCGCTCACTCTCCACCAGCTTATCTCTCTGCTCGGCAGTAGAATAGTAGAAGCCGGAGTTAATCTCAGACTTCTCGTACTCCAGACTGACGTTCAGTGTCAAGATGAAAGCATTCTCCACGCGCTTGGGCATGTCGGGGTGTCTGGCACCGTGGTCCAAGGCCAGGCCACGAATGAGCTGGGTGTCGGACGAAGAGCGGTGCTGCATCGTCATGATCTCAATCATATGCAAATCGGGCTTCTCGGGGGCGCGATGGATGGCGAGCACGGCATCGACAATGTCAGGGGTGAGCTTCTCAGCGAGGGCAAGGTTCAGCTTGGTGGAGAGGGAGGTGCGGGCAACAGAGAGGAGCAGCTCGCGGTCAACGGTCCGCTCGAGCTTGTACTTGTCGAGGAACTGCGGGCAACATGTTAGATCAAAACTTGTCATCAATTCATTTTGTGATTCGATATACCTTCAACGCCTCATTCTTCGCAATCTCATAACCGTCGGTGATGACACGAGGGTGCAATCCCTCGGTGATATGACGATCCGCCTGCTTCAAGAGCTCTCCAACCAAGAGGACCACGGACGTTGTGCCATCACCTGTGATGTCGTCTTGTGCTGTCGCAGCACGGGCAATCATAACCTTGTAAAATTATCAGAGAGGATCGAGGGATTTTCGAGGCAACGGTGTCTTACAGCCGTGGGGTTTTGAATTTGCTGCCGAAGGTTAGCATTCATGCTCCAAAAAAGAAACAGCTGGACCTCAAACGAACCATCTCACGCAGCAGAACATTGCCATCCTTGGTCAGCTTGATCTGTTGTAGCACCCTCGCATTAGAAATCCCGATCTGAGGCATTACAGAGGATAAAGGACATTGCATACTCCGCCAGAACCGTCCACCAGCCTATTAGTTTTGTCAGCTCTATTGCGGTCGCTAAAAGAAAATCATCGACACTTACATCTTCAAGGTACCCGCGGGACCTAAGTTCGACTTGAGGACATCCTGGAGACCCTCTCCAGCGGCGATGTTCACCTTCAGGGCCTCTCCTCTCCGCTAGATGAAATGTTAGTGCGGGCCACGGAGGGGTCAAGCTTAGGGGGTAATCAATGCATACCCGGGATTCGGCTTTGGGGTTAAGTAGCTGAGTTGCCGACATATCTGCAGGCAATATTGAATGACAGCGACCTTTGCCCAAGAAAAACAAAAGTAATGGGGCAATGAAAGGGAGCTCGTTAGCACACAGGAGTTTGGATGCCCGCGCTCGTCGGAGGCGGTGAGCGTGGGTTTTGGCAAAAAGCCCACATTACCGATTTGCACTAGCGTTGAAAAAAAAGAGCTCCCGAATTCTTCGCTTTTGCCCGTCCGTCCGCCTTCTTGAACGTCCGTCCCAAACCCACTACGTCGACCGTCGTTTGTGGGCCTTTGCCGCTGCAATTAATCCTCTGGTCACCCTCGCGACCCATTTGGCCTAAGGATCTAGCACCATGGCCGATTATCTCCTGTTCGAGAGCCCTGTGGGCTACTCGCTTTTCAAGGTCGCCCTCCAGGGCGACGCTGTGGGCAACCGTCTGAAGGAAGTCCAGGAAGGCGTCAATGATCTTGCCAAGTTCGGCAAGATGGTTGACCTGACCAGTTTCCTGCCCTTTGAGTAAGTATTTTTGCGATAAAAACCACACCGGGAGAATTTTGCCTCGAACCGTTCGCTAACGCAACATAGAAACAACAAGCAGGCTCTGGGTGAAATTAACGATGTCTCTGAGGGTGTTGCCTCCGAGACTCTGGTTTCTTTCCTTGAATTGAATCTCCCCAAGCCGAGCAAGAAGAAGAAGGTTGTTCTGGGTTTGTTGGACAAGGGTCTTGCGGGAAGCATCAAGTCGGCTTTCCCCTTTGTGGACTGCGAGACCGGTGACACCAGCGAGGTCGTCCAAGATCTCCTCCGTGGTCTCCGTCTGCACTTCGCCAAGCTGCTGAACCAACTCCGTGAGGGTGACATGGACACCGCTCAGCTTGGTCTGGGTCACGCCTACTCCCGTGCCAAGGTCAAGTTCTCCGTCCAGCGCGACGACAACCACATCATCCAGGCCATTGCCATCCTTGATCAGCTTGACAAGGCTATTAACACTTTCTCCATGCGTGTTCGCGAATGGTACTCGTGGCACTTCCCCGAGCTGTACAAGGTTGTCTCGGAGAACCAGCGCTACGCTGAGGTTGCGCTCTTCGTGCAGGACAAAAAGACCTTGAACGACGAGAAACTGCATGACTTGGCCGCTCTCGTCGAGGACGACAAGGGTGTTGCTCAGAACATCATTGATGCTGCCAAGCACAGCATGGGTCAGGAGATCTCCGAGTCCGACATGGAGAACGTCATTGCTTTCGCCGAGCGTGTTGTCAGCCTCTCCAACTACCGCAAGTCGCTCTACCAGTACTTGGTGTCCAAGATGAGCGTTGTCGCTCCTAACCTCGCTGCTCTGATCGGAGAGGTTGTTGGTGCCCGCCTGATCTCTCACGCCGGTAGTTTGACCAACCTGTCGAAGTACCCCGCCTCCACCGTCCAGATCCTCGGTGCCGAGAAGGCTCTCTTCCGTGCCTTGAAGACTAAGGGTAACACCCCCAAGTACGGTCTCCTGTACCACTCTTCCTTCATTGGCCGGGCTGGTCCCAAGAACAAGGGCCGCATCTCGCGTTTCCTTGCCAACAAGTGCTCCATTGCTTCTCGTATCGACAACTTCTCTGAGACCCCTACCACCAAGTTTGGTGAGGTCCTGAAGCAGCAGGTCGAGGAGCGCTTGGAGTTCTACTCTACTGGCGCTGCCCCCACCAAGAACGAGGTCGCTATGGTATATTTAATCCCCTAACTCTTTATGATAATCTATAACTAATCTCGATCTACAGAAATCTGCTATGGATGCTGTCCTGGCTGGCATTGACGTCGATGTTGATGAGAGCGACGCAGAGATGGAGGATGCCGATGCGGCTGCGGCCAAGAAGGAGAAGAAGGAAAAGAAGGACAAGAAGGAAAAGAAGGAGAAGAAGGACAAGTCCGACAAGAGCGACAAGAAGAAGAAGCGCAAGTCTGACGTTGGCGAGGGCGAGTCTGAGAAGAAGAAGAAGCGCAAGCACGATACCGATGCCGAGCCTTCGAAGAAGAAGCAGAAGGCATAAAAGCGCTTTTTCTTGGGACTGGGAGTCTTCGTCATGGCGTTAGGTTTTTATTTTTTATTTTCTATCTTGTTTACGACTCGATGGGCTCGGGGATCTGTAAATTATTGATTTAGGCCTTTGTTGGCAATAAGATTTGCTATATCTCGTGCTATCTGATCCTCGATTCTCCTTTACTTTCATCTGAATACCAGTACCTACCAGAATTCCAGTTTCCTTTCTCTCACTCGGACATTGTGCGCGGGCCTGTCCTTTTCCCTAAGGGTTGTACGACAACCATTGGCCCGCTGCAACTCACATCCGAGCGTCCAGTGATCTGCCCCTCCTCAAGATCTCCGCACTCAAGTATACGGGGCCTGCGGCACCATGAATTCACTTGAACCTCAGTGAGACGAGCCCATGGAGTTGGGTTTCCAACCCCTGAGATCTTTTCGTTTAGGTGAGATCGGGAGTGACGCCACCATCTTGTCCGTTTTCTCCCCGCGATGATGCCGGCAGACCTCCCTCACTACTTCTCGCCTAAGCGCAAGCGTGAGCCCTCCGAGTCTGACTACTACAGCCCATCGGTGTCTCCAACGTCTACAGTATCCGTCGTTAGTCTACAAGAGGCTCGGCTTCGCGAGGAGGTTGAACTTGGACGACACAGTCCTCGAGCAGCGGTGGCAGGGCGTTTTGGAGAATTGGCCATTCGGGGAGATCGTTTCCCTGAGCCAGGGCCACTACACCGCGACTTTCACCAAGAACCCACCCCACAGTCCTCACAGGAAAGATGTGCACCCGAAAGCTATCCCCGTATCGAGAGTATGCCGGAACCTTTGCCAACTCGTCGCGGCGAACTGCATGAAGTTCCAGGCCGCCAGTCGCCACCCGAACCGTCGACGCAGGCTTCAATAGACATTGCACCGCCTGCCTCCGCCCTATCGCCTTCAAAAAGAAGCTCCGCCCCATCATATCATAAACAAACCTCTTCTATTTCACCTTCCAAGAATCGCAAACAACGACTATCACCTCCTCTCACAGATGCCTCGTCAGAAGATTCGTTGACTTGGCATGATAATGAGATAACAGGCCACGAACCTACAGACCCAACTGATGATGGGTACGGCATCAATGGCGTGGGATTCAAACCGACAGCGGCCATGGCTTGGGCTCGGTCACAGAAACGCCAAAAGCAAGTCGCCGAGTGGAAGACGCGCGAGGCACGGGACGCGCGTGAGAAGCGACGATCACGGAGGAACGAAGACATCGCTCTGGAGAAGATACATGGTGTACATCAAGGCGCCATTCAGAAGCGAGTCAAATTTGACGTCTAAATGGGGACTTCTCAATCCCTACCACCCTACAATATACAGTTTTCTTTATTTGTATTATTGGGGGTTTAACAAACTTGATGTCTTGAGAGCAATGATTGCGAATTTTTGGGATGATTCGACCAGCAATATGGACATTGGGGACTATGATACAAAGAGATGACTTTATGACATGATGCAATGATCCTAGCACAGGATTGGAATATACAGTTTTGGATATATCCCACAACTTTGAAAACACCGTGACTCCAGCTCGTCAATGAGCAACGCTACCAGAACTTGTAGTTGGAGAGGTTTGTCCAACTCTTCCTCCGCCGTTCCTCCTCCGCGCGCTTGGCAGCCTCCTCGGCAGCCCTGTCCTTGTCCCTTTGCTTTTTCTCCTTCACTTGCTTCATCAGATCGACCGCTTGTTTCATTCCATGCAATTCTTCGATGCGTTGTCGTCGGCAGAACTCGTAGGCTGCCAGGGAGGTAACGGCGAACACTCCGACGGCCCAGTTTCCAGCGGACCATAATGAGCGCATACCTATGCAAACAAATTAGTCATAAATCCCATTTCCAATAACTAGAAAGCATATATATACCTCCGAAGACACCTCGGATACCACCAGCGCCAAATCCGAGACCGATACCGGTCAATAACGATTCCCTTGCGCATGGTGCTTTGTGGAATGAAGATATCTCGGACACAGAGACTGTGCCCACGACGTCTGAGTAAGACACATCCTTGGGATCCTTCCCGCGGGGCTTGTAGGTCGCATTTGCGAGAGCATTCACGCGGTTTTCGGGGTCACCAAAAGCATCCCATAACTTTCCGACTTGCGACTGGGGGAAGTCGTGCCTGGGTTTCTTCGGATCGGTGTTCGGAATGCTAGCGGGAAGGTGGCTGCCAGGTTCCTGAGAGGAGCCGGGCTCTCGTGGATCCTCTGACATCGTTATCAAGTTGTGATCTTCGAAGAGATACAATTTATCGGACCGCCGTCAATATCATGCGGTTCATTGATGATCCGGCGTAGACTGTATTCGGATAGTTATTCCGGAAACACGCTGACTCATCTACGCGTGGACGCGGACGCGTCGAGAGAAGTGATTGAGATTGCCTCGATTGGTGCATGTTGCAAGGCCCATTGCTGATCCCTCTTCCAGGCACTGGCCACGGGATTACTTTAATGTTCCGCGTCTTCTTCTCTCTCGCACTCTGAATTTTATACAGCCCTTTACTCGAGTGTTTCATGTCCATCTACCCGCCCTGCCTTCCGATCTAGTCTGAGCAGCCCGGCCGGGCGACAGTGTCGCAATGCCTTCGCGAAAACCCAGCAAGTTTGGGAACAAATTCCGAGGAGCTGCTGCATCCTCTGGGCCCCGACGAACGAAAACAGTCGAATTTGGTTCCCTCCGTACCAGCGAAGCAACCTCTCAAGATGAGAAATTCGAGGCCATTCGGCTGGCCAATAGCATCGATGAATCCCTTGGTTTCCCGCGTTTCGAGTCCGGCGAGACAAGGGCCGGTTGGCTCGTCAACATGCACAGCACGACAATACAGGACCCCAACGTGCAAGGAGGCCGCGCCGGTGTCGACTTCTATTTCCTCCAAGATGACGGGGGTAGTTTCAAGGCGACGGTCGAATACGAGCCCTACTTTCTTATTGCGGTGAAAAAGGGCCATGAGATGGAAGTAGAGGAATGGTCCAAGAGATCCTTCGAGGGTCTGATCAAGAGCTTCAAGCGACTGGACAAGGAGGACCTGAATCTTCCGAACCATCTGCTCGGACACCGGAGGACCTTTATCAGGCTAAACTTTGCCAATGTGGGCAACTTGCTCGAAGTGCGAAGAACCCTTCTCCCCTTGGCAGAGAAGAACAAAAAGAATGCAGGTGTGATGGACGCATATGTCGAAATGTCCAGGTTTGTGTCGTGCTTTGGTGGCTTTGACATGGTCCCGTACTGATTGTGGATATTAAAGTGCTAATACCGGTTTCGACCTTTTTGACGACGAAATAATTAATGAGCAACGACCTAATGGCAACACGCAAGCGAGTGATTTTATTGTTGATATTCGAGAGTACGACGTTCCTTATCATGTCCGGGTGTGCATTGACAAGGGTACGTGATTTTGTTTTTCGGGATTGGGAACATCAGGCTGATACTCCAAAGATATTCGAATCGGAAAGTGGTATAATGTGCAGGCAAAGCACGGCGAGATCTCGTTAACCTGCCTGGAAGAACGACTCCAGCGTGCCGATCCCGTGGTACTCGCCTTCGATATCGAGACCACGAAACTACCCCTCAAGTTTCCCGATGCCGTGATCGACCAGATCATGATGATTTCGTACATGATTGACGGGCAAGGATTTCTGATCACCAACCGAGAAATCGTCTCCGAGGATATCAACGATTTTGAGTACACACCAAAACCGGAGTACAACGGACCTTTCGTGATTTTCAACGAGCCCAACGAGAGAGGTGTCCTGGAGCGATTTTTCGAGCACATCAAGATCGCCAAACCCACCGTCATTGCTACATACAACGGTGACTTCTTCGATTGGCCGTTCGTGGAAGCGAGAGCGAGTGTTCAAGGAATTGACATGTACACGGAGATCGGGTTCAGAAAGAACAGCGAGGACATCTACCAGGCCGACTATTGTGTCCACATGGATTGTTTTGCATGGGTGAATCGTGACAGTTATCTTCCCCAAGGAAGTCGTGGCTTGAAAGCTGTGACTGTCGCGAAGCTCGGTTACGACCCCGACGAACTCGATCCCGAACTGATGACTCCATATGCGAGTGAACGACCCCAGACTCTAGCCGAGTATTCAGTTTCCGACGCCGTTGCCACCTACTACCTGTACATGAAATATGTGCACCCCTTCATCTTCTCTCTGTGTACCATTATTCCTTTGAATGCCGACGAAACATTGCGAAAGGGAACTGGGACCCTGTGTGAGATGCTGCTTATGGTCCAAGCTTACCAACACGAGATTGTCCTTCCCAATAAGCACAAAGACCCAACCGAGGCCTTTTATGAAGGCCATTTGCTTGAGTCGGAGACCTATGTGGGTGGTCACGTCGAAAGTATTGAGGCGGGTGTTTTCCGAAGTGACATCCCTGTCGCCTTCAATGTCGACTCGAAAGCTATTGACGAGCTCCTCCGGGACTTGGACCATGCCCTCAAGTTCAGTATTGAGGTTGAAGAGAAGAAGTCTATGGACGACGTGGCAAACTTTGACGAAGTCAAGGGCCAGATCGCAGAACGTTTACTTGACCTGAGGAACAACCCCGTCCGGAACGAGGTGCCTTTCATCTATCACTTGGACGTCGCCTCTATGTACCCCAACATCATGATCACCAATCGATTGCAGCCGGATTCTTTGATCAAAGAATCAGACTGCGCAGCATGCGATTTCAACCGGCCGGGAAAGACCTGTGACAGACGAATGCCGTGGGCCTGGCGTGGTGAATTCTTGCCTGCAAAGCGTGACGAGTACAACATGATTCGGCGTGCTACTGCCAACGAACGATTTCCCGGTAAATACAAGAATTCACCCATGAGGTCATTTGGCGATCTCAGCGTCGAGGAACAGGCTGGAGTGGTAAAGAAACGACTACAGGATTATAGCAAGAAGATTTATCACAAAATCCACGACAGCAAGACGATGGAGCGAGAGGCCATTATTTGCCAGAGAGAAAATCCGTTCTACGTCGATACAGTGCGCAGCTTCCGTGATCGACGATATGATTTCAAGGGCAAGCAGAAGGTCTGGAAGAACAAGACCGACTCTTTACAGTCGTCCGGTGCTTCTGCAGCGGAGATCGAGGAGGCCAAGAAGATGATTGTTTTGTACGACTCTCTTCAGCTTGCACACAAGGTCATTCTCAACAGTTTCTACGGATATGTCATGCGAAAGGGTTCGCGATGGTACTCCATGGAAATGGCTGGAGTCACTTGTTTGACGGGTGCTCATATCATTCAGATGGCACGAGAGCTTGTTGAACGCATCGGCCGACCTCTGGAGCTGGATACCGATGGTATTTGGTGTATGCTTCCCGGGACTTTCCCTGAAAACTTTTCTTTCACTCTAAAGAATGGGAAGAAATTGGGAATTTCGTACCCTTGTGTCATGCTCAATCACCTTGTCCATGCCAGATACACAAATCACCAGTACCAGGCACTCACCGACCCATCCACGTTCAAATACGAAACCCACAGCGAAAACTCCATTTTCTTCGAGGTCGATGGACCCTACCGAGCTATGATCCTGCCGACGTCAAAGGAAGAGGACAAAAACTTGAAGAAGCGATACGCTGTGTTCAATCACGACGGATCTCTAGCAGAGCTTAAGGGTTTCGAAGTCAAGCGAAGAGGCGAGTTGAAACTTATCAAGATCTTCCAAACCCAGATCTTCAAGTTCTTCTTGGAAGGCACGAACCTTGCTGAGACATATGCTGCCGTGGCTCGAGTTGCTGATCGGTGGTTGAATGTACTCTACGAACATGGTGCAACATTAGCCGACGAGGAACTGATTGATCTCATTTCGGAGAACCGAAGTATGTCCAAGACTTTGGAGGAATATGGAAATCAAAAGTCCACATCCATCACAACTGCGCGACGCCTCGCAGAGTTCCTGGGCGAGCAGATGGTTAAGGACAAGGGTCTCAACTGCAAGTACATTATCTCCTCGAGACCAAGGAACACTCCCGTTACCGAACGAGCTATTCCGGTGACAATCTTCTCTGCAGAGGAGAATGTCAAGCGCTTCTTCCTGCGAAAATGGCTCAAGGAAGACCCTGGAGACATGGATCCTCGCACAGTCATCGACTGGGATTATTATCTCGAACGTCTGGGGTCTGTGGTGCAAAAGCTCATCACCATCCCTGCTGCTCTCCAGAAGCTTCGAAACCCCGTCCCACGAGTTGCTCACCCTGACTGGTTGCAGCGACGCATCAATCAGAAGGACGACAAGTTCAAGCAAAAGAAGATGACTGATCTGTTTGGAAAATCCGAGAAGGCTCCGCTTTCCTCGATTTCTGCCAACATCCTGGACCACCGCGTCCAACATGTTGGTGACATGGATGAAGTCATCGCAAGCTCGACCCAAAAGATCAATTCTCCCGAAAGCAAGGTTGCCCAGAAAAGGAAGCACCCAGAGAGTGTTCCAAAGACATCACTCGATCCTTTTGCTACTCTGCCGGCAATCATGCCATCCATGTCGGAGGATTATGAGGGTTTCCTCAAGTATCAAAAGCAAAAATGGAAGATCCAGAAGCAAGCACGGATTCGTCGTCGCCAACTCTTCGGTGAGCGGACCAATGTCGCTACTGACTCCTTGAGCAGCTTCTTCCGCAATCAGGCCCAGATGCTGTACATCAGTACTTGGCAAGTTCTTCAACTCTGTGAAACGGGCCGGCCAGGCATTGTGCGAGCCTTTGTGCTGATTGATCAAAAAATCCATGCTCTCAATGTTAAAGTTCCACGACAATTCTTTGTGAACTTGAAGCGGGACTCTCTGCCCGACATTGATGTGCCAGACTGTGAGGTTGAGAAGGTCAACCATACCCTACCCAATGGACATCCTTCAGTTCACCTTTTCCGGGTGTCGTTGACCGAAGACAAGTTCCTCGAAGAGGCGGATAAGATGGACGCTTTGTTCCAACATCCCAGTATCGAGGGTGTTTACGAGCGAAACATTACACCCAGCATCCGAGCAGTGCTAAAGCTGGGAAGCCACTGTACTTTCGACGAAGAGCAGCGTGGCGTGCTGGGTGACGGTTTGGACAAGGGCTTCGACCTCTCTACCTTGCTTCATGCCTCCTCCGACCAGCCCTATCTTATGGATTCGCCCCTGGCATACCATTACCTGTACCATGTTGCCTCTGGAGATCGACAGATCTTCGCCCTTTTCTCAACCACGAAGAAGGAAGCCAATATCGTCATCCTCAACCGAACGAGGGATGTTCAAGGCCTGCCGAACGTCGACAAAATCTACACTGAGCTGCTTACTCGCAAGATGCAAGACACGGCGGGCGAAACAGCACAGAATGCGTTCGAGTACCAAGACAAAATTCATTTTAAGACGACCCAAGTGATGACCCGACGAAAGGCCCACCTCGAAATCGGTGACTTGGTCAGGAAACTCCGCAGCGAGGAGACCCAGCCAGCCGTTTTGGTCATCCAGTCTCAGCAAAAGGACCGACTATGCCACGACATTCCTATTCTGAAGGAGTATCCCACCCTATTTGTGAAGCCCGAAGTGTCGGACATGGACCTTCCACCCCTTGGTTGGCAGTCTTTCATCGCAAGGCGCCTGGTCACCCACTATCTGTATCTTGCAGCCTGGATCCAGCACCTGACCCTGCTCGCCCGGTATGGAGACGTACCGCTCTGCAATTTGGAGACAGACGATCCTCGTTATCTGATTGATATTTCGTATGCCAGACGGCTGCAAAATAGCAATGTTGTTCTCTGGTGGTCTTCGGCGCCACGACCAGACCATGCCGGCTATGAAAGAGACGACATCGTCGGTTCGCTGGAGAAGGTCAACATGCCATCCGTGAATTCTCCCAGTTCCTATTCGACAGTATGCATCGAGCTGGATGTCCGCAACCTTGCCATTAATACAATTCTCACTTCATCGATTGTCAATGAAATGGAAGGAAATGACAGTCTTTTGGCGCCTTCTGGAAATGGTGCAGATGATACAGGGGTTCTGTACTCCGAGAAAGCATTTGCATCTGCCGGTGCGGTGGTCCTACGGGAGATGGTCAAACACTGGTGGACGGAGGCGTGCGCTGGAAACAGCATGGCTGATATCATGGTTCAGCACCTGATCCGATGGGTAGAATGCCCAGTTTCATGCCTCTACGATCGCTCCCTGCATAATTATGTGCGACTGCTCTCCCGCAAGTCGTTCCAGAGGCTGATGGCCGAGTTCAGACGGGTCGGCTCAAATATCATCTTCGCCAGCCCGACTCGTCTTCTGCTCCAGACCACGAAGACCGAGGTCGGCAATGCCTATGCCTACAGTCAATACGTGCTGAAGTCGATCCGAGCCAACCCCCAGTTCCATTTCGTCGATCTTGAGATCAAGGAATACTGGGACTACCTCGTGTGGTATGACGAGTACAACTATGGAGGCAAGGGCTGTCGCGAAGTGGTTGAGGCCGAAAAGCAGGACCTCGAGACCGTCATGCACTGGCAACTCAGCCGATTCTTGCCGACGCCCATGCAAACCATTTTCCACGACTGGGTTGTCGAATACATTGAGCTGATGCATACGGCGAAGCGGCCAGATCTTCAAGATGCTGAGATCTCTTCCACGCCCCGTTTGACCCAGATTCCCATTGGAAAGTCCAGTCAGGGTGATAATGAAGAGCTCACGGCTGTTCTCGCGGAGCGATTCTCGAAGCCCCTAAAGAAGCAGATCTCGGGCCTTATTCGCCGTCAGCGTGATGAGATGCTCCATCCCGAGCTCGCATCCGACTATGCCTTCCCCGTGCTGCCGGGTGTTCTGGTGAATCCAAACGGAGACAAGCGCAACCCGGCACTGGAGCTGGTGAAACTGCTCATGCAAGTTTTGAGTCTGTCCAAGACGACCACCCTCGAATCCAGACTGCTACGTCGGGAGCTACTGGCCCTGTTCGAGGTGCGCGAATTTAGCAAGGAGGGTCGCTTCGAGAACCCAAGCGCCAGTCTGAAACTGACGGAGCTCACCTGCAACGCCTGCTGTCTCATCCGCGACCTGGACCTGTGCCGCGACGAAGACGTGCTTCCGGACCCGGGCGACACCAGCAAAACACCCAAGCCTTGGCGCTGTCCCTTCTGCCAGACCGAGTATGACCGGTTGGCCCAGGAGGAGATCCTTATCGGCCAGGTGCACGGCCTTGTGGTTGAGTGGCAGACGCAAGACCTCAAATGCTCCAAGTGCAGTGGTCTCAAGATCAGCGAGTTCATGGAACATTGCTCCTGCAGTGGTGCCTGGGCTCCAACTGTGGACGTGAAGGAAACGGAGAAGAAACTGCGTGTGTTACAGAGTGCCGCCAAGTTCCATAGTCTGCAGCTGCTCGAAGGGGTGGTGGAGGGCGTGCTTGCCCGCATGTAGGATGTTTTTCTTTTCTTTTTTATGTTTTCATGCTTTTCTTTTGTGCTATTATGTGCTATATCTTTCTATGTCGGGTCGCACAAGGCGTTTGGGTGAGAGCATGGCATACTCGGCATATCCGGTGTTGGGCCTAGGTGTAAATAGCCTCTGGTTGACGATCTTCGTCGATCTCGTAATGTGAATCCCTTTTTATCTTCCACCTTTTATCCACTTCCCACTGTCCTCTAAGCTTCCCCTATATTACTATTCTCCATTCCATTTGACCCTCTGGAAGGTATCACATCTCCGGAGAGTAAACAATCCACTGTGAGTGGTCCTGCGTGTGCGCCCTAGCGGGGTTGAAGCGCCGCACAGGTGGACTGACCGCACTGCAGTCGGGCTGACTCGTACACACAGGTACATAGATACTACGCATATATTGTCTGCGCCGACCCCGTCGATCTCGCATTGCTTGAAACCCCCCTCTCGTCCGCATTACCGATCCCAATGGCACAACCTGCGAGCGGTCAGAAACCGATGGTCCAGCCATGCCGATACAAGACGGGCAAGACCCTCGGCGCAGGCTCGTATTCCGTGGTCAAGGAGTGTGTACACATCGACACCGGTCGCTACTATGCTGCGAAGGTGATCAACAAGCGCCTGATGGCAGGGCGCGAGCACATGGTACGGGCCCTTGTTCCTGCGGCGGAACTCACGATGCTAACCACCGTCCCCGCGGGGCACATGCATAGGTCCGAAACGAGATCGCCGTGTTGAAAAGAGTGTCGATGGGCCACCAGAACATCCTTACGCTGGTGGACTACTTCGAGACCATGAACAACTGTGCGTTCAGCCTCGGCGGCTAGCTCTTGTCTACGATCTGACGCTGATGATCGATGCGATTTAGTGTATCTTGTCACCGACCTTGCTCTGGGTGGAGAGCTTTTCGATCGCATCTGTCGCAAAGGCAGCTATTACGAGTCCGATGCTGCCGACCTGATCCGTGCCGTACTCTCTGCGGTGGCATATCTCCATGACCACGGCATCGTGCACCGCGACCTGAAGCCCGAGAACCTGCTCTTCCGCACTCCGGAGGATAACGCAGACCTTCTGATTGCCGACTTCGGCTTATCCAGGATCATGGACGAGGAGCAGTTCCACGTGCTGACTACAACCTGCGGGACACCGGGATACATGGCACCGGAGATTTTCAAGAAGAGCGGGCATGGAAAGCCAGTGTGAGTATTTATTGAAGCTGCGCTTTCGGTACACCGCTAATACACAACGCTAATTCTTAGCGATATCTGGGCCATTGGTGTGATCACCTACTTCCTTCTATGTGGGTATACCCCATTCGACCGCGACTCCAACCTGGAAGAGATGCAGGCCATCCTCGCCGCAGACTACTCCTTTACACCACTGGAGTACTGGCGCGGCGTATCACAGGAAGCACGCAACTTCATTAAAGGCTGCTTGACAACCGACCCGACGAAGCGTATGACCGCTCACGAGGCCCTGCAACACACCTGGATCAACCCGCCGTACGACCAGTCGAAGATGGGATCCGGCGAGGACCTCCTGCCCACCGTCAAGAAGAATTTCAACGCGCGTCGCACCCTGCACCGGGCTATCGACACCGTGCGCGCTATTAACAAGCTGCGCGAGGGCGGTGGCTTTATGATGGACGGGGTCATGAGCATTGACCCGAAGCCTGAGCGTGTCAATGGCAATGAAGTTGTTGAGGAGCAGCGCCAGGCAAACAATGACGGTGCAAGAGAAGGGGGCAGCCCCATGCAGATTGATAGTCGGGGCAATGCGCGTGGCCAATCGGAGGCGCAGATCCAGGAGCAGGAACGGAGGGTTAAGGCGATGGTTGCTGGCTTATGGAGTCGTGGAGCTCATGGCAAGTGAGACGTATACACAGCAAGGTTTTATTTACTTTGGATCTGGGCACTGGTGTCCGATCCTATGTTTTGAATCTACATATCATGGACCAAATGCAATGACTGATGAAATCAAACAGCTCTGCGGAGGCCTGACTCTTCTATACTGTATCTAAATAGGCCCATTGAACGTATATGAGTGGAATCGACCCAAACCGGTCATTTGTATTGCGCCATTACCGAAGATTATGCCAAATACTGTAATCATTATCGTCATTATTAGCCCGCGCCCGACGAGACGACGGGATTGTCTAGCAAAAGAAGCAACCATCAGGCCGAGCCCAAAATGTCCCATCCATCGTCTAGAGAAAGCACCCAGTTCCGCCATTCCTGCCAATCCTCATAACTAGCTTTTGCCTTGAGACCCTGATACTTGACAGTACGGAAATCTGAGACTTGGTCCCAGGGCTTCGTCCCGCTGGGAATCGCCCCGGTTCCTCGCAGTAGTCGCCGCGCAGCACTTCCACCGCCGCCATCCCAGCCGGCTTTCCGCATCAAGCTCTCGACTGTCTCCTCTTTCGTCCAGCCCTGCTCCACGGCAACGTCGGGTAGGTATGTGGCTCCGTAGCGCCGGCCGCGGTGGATAAAAGAGATGCGAATGCCGTGTGTGCCGAGGGTCCAGTCCATGGCGTTGGTGCAAGGCTCGAAGGAGCCCAAGAGAGTCAGAGCGCATTGTAATGAAGGCAGGAGAGATTTGGGAATTGGAGAAAAGCGCGTATCGTCAAAGGCCCTGTAGTTTCAACATGTTAATGAATGAGCTTGGAGTTGGGGTTGTGCTGGGAATGGTGTGGGCTAGCAAAAGGGAGGAAAGTCCACGTACGAGGTTAAAGCATAAGACTTCAGCCCCGCCGCGAGATCTTGCGCCTCAAACGTGCCTATGCATCCGCGTAGAGACTTGTGGCCGCTTCGAGATAGCGTGTTCCAGGTAACGAACAGCGGGTATTGTTGTTCGGTGGATTTCGAAGTCTCCGACTGCGTGCTGGGAGTCGTCATAGCGGTGGAAGTGGACAGATTCGAGTTGGATGAAGTGTTCGAGGCACTTGATGGTGTGCTGGATGAGTCGGACGCTTGGCTCTGCAGACGGTTGATGCGAGGGATTTGCAGGCCCTTGGGCCGACTACTCGTCTGGAACGACTGTTTGGCGTCCTCGTCGTCATTTACAGACTCCGCATCCTCTTCCTCATCCACGGGCTGAGCCGCGAGCTTCGATAGTTTCTTAGACTGCTCATGCTGTTCCCAGAGCGCTTCTATAGCAACTAAGCTAGCAGGCTCGCGATTCTCAAATGAGGCAGAAAGGCTCTCAAAGCAATAGTAGCACTGGGCTGGATTTGCCATCTCCGCAAGGATTCTTGTTCTTGGCCTGCTTAAGAATTGTCGAAAAGGCTTCTGCACTGCCGCACCGTTTCAGATCCCTGGAGCAACCGCAAGCCTGGTGATGGCAGAGAATGACCTCTGCGGGGTCCTGAGATAAGATAGAGGCCTGCTTATCGGGGATAAGACCAAACGGGCTGCCTGGGACAGACTCGGAGCAGCGCCGAAGGTGACCTGAGGAGGTTTACAAGGGGAACGGCAGTGCGAGAATGAGCGAACCAAGGAAGAACGACGTGTAAAAGACGAGTGATGACTGGGAAGGCGGGGAGATATGGTCGGCACGTGATGGGCCTTACATAACACTTACAACCTTGCGGGAAATCTGGGACTGCAGGTACTTTTCAGAGTACGAGTTAGTAGAGAAACATGTTTACCATGGTAATGGAATTCGATTTCAGTAGATGGTGATGTACAGCCAAATCAAAAGGCCCCCACGCCAGATCATGTTGAACTTTTTGGTCTTCTGAAAACCATGCCCTCCCGCAGTTGAATAAGCGGCGAGGTTAAGAAGTTGCTCGTGTCACACGCTGAAAACAAGAAATAAATAAAAATTAAAGAAACCCTGATGTCCCTAAGGTTGAAAGAGCAGACCTGTATATAAACCCCAAATAACGCACCGTGTGGTATTGGCGTCTTACCGACGCTTGATGTTGAATTGAACTCGCGAGATCCTCGGGATCTCTCTTCGTAACTTTCATATCATGATAGTCACTTCCCCTGGATGGTCATATGGAGACCAATTTAGACGGGCAGGGGGTAAGAGCTGGCCCAGTCGGCAACTTCCTTGCGGAGAGCCAGGATCTCAGGGACGGTGCCGGAGGCGACCTTGGCCTTGAAGTCCTTTTGCTTGTTGGCCTCCTTGGGCAACTCGCTCTGGATCTTCTTGCAGAGAGTGACGGTCTGGTCCACGTAGCGGGCAATGCGCTTGAAGTCCTCCTCACCCATACCACGGGAGGTCATGGCGGGAGCACCAATGCGGACACCGCCGGGGGTCAGGGCAGACTTGTCACCGGGGATGGAGTTCTTGTTGCAAGCAATGTTGATCTGCTCAAGGACAGCCTCAACGCGAGCGCCATCGAGGGCCTTGCAGCGCAGGTCAACGAGGACCATGTGGCTGTCAGTGCCGTCGGAGACCAGCTTGTGGCCGAGGGCCTTGAACTCGTTCTCAAGAGCCTTGGCGTTCTTGATGACCTGCTCCTGGTACTGCTTGAACTCAGGGGTGTCGGCCTGCTTGAGGGCGACGGCCAGAGCGGTGATGGTGTGGTTGTGGGGACCACCCTGGTGACCAGGGAAGACGGAGAAGTTGATAGGACCCTCAAGGTCATACATGATGTCCTTGCCGGCCTTGTCCTGACCGCGGACACCCTTGCGGAAGAAGATCATGGCACCACGGGGACCACGGAGGGACTTGTGGGTGGTGGTGGTCACCACATCGGCGTACTCGAAGGGAGAGGGGATGACGCCAGCGGCGATCAGGCCCGAGATATGGGCCATGTCGACGACAAGGTAGGCACCAACCTTGTCAGCGATCTGGCGCATGCGCTTGTAGTCAATTAGGCGGCAGTAGGCGGAGGTACCAGCGACCAGGATCTTGGGGCGGTACATCTCGGCGTTGGTCTCGAGTTGGTCGTAGTCGATGATACCGGTCTCAAGGTTGACGCGGTAGGGGAAGGTCTCGAAGTAGGTAGAGACAGCAGAGATCCTAATGACGTTGTTAGAGCAATACATAAAAGGTGATGTTCGAACGGACGACTTACTTCTTGGAGGGGGTCTGGTAGCCGTGGGACAAGTGACCACCGTGGGGGAGATCAAGACCCATAAGACGGTCGTGGGGACGCATGAGGGCCTGGTAGACCTGGAGGTTGGCAGGGCTGCCAGAAAGGCATTGGACGTTGACACCCCACTTGGCAGAGTCCAGGTGGAAAGCCTTGAGGGCACGCTGCTGGCAGGTGATCTCAATGGCATCGATGTGCTGGTTACCACCGTAGTAACGGGCACCGGGGTAACCCTCGGAGTACTTGTTGCACATGGGAGAACCCAGTGCATCGAAGACTGCGCGGGAGGTGAAGTTCTCCGAAGCAATCAGAACGACGGACTCGCGCTGACGCTGGATCTCTTGCTCCTACAGACGACAATTAGCAACCAGATTCCAGAAAAATGTACCAGGCAGCTTCATCAAGCTACGGAATCAATTGGGGTATTCACATACCATGATCTTAGCGATCTCAGGGTCACTGTCCTTGAGACTATCGTGCATTTGCTGTGTGGCATGATGAGTCAATGATCTGCTCTAGGATGAAGATGGAAGCAGAATACTCACGGCCTTGTGGGCCTCGGACAGAGCGTAGGCGGACATTGTGATGAATGGTATCTCCTTGAGACTTAGGGAGAAATGAAAAAGGGGGAGAGGATGAGGAGAAGTTATAGGAACGACGGAAATGAAAAAAAAAGTAAGAAAGTTCGTTGGTGGGGGAGGGGTTTCATCTCCCGATTCCTCAGGCAGCAACGCGATATCGGAGAGTTTCGCCGGATTCGGTTCGAGGACCCTCTGCAAGTACTGTATAGCGCTTCGTTTTGCTATATTTTGCCTTATTTTGCTCGAATATACACTACTAATGTTGCCTGGAATCATGGTCCGGCCCAGAACAGGCGCCGTTTCATCTGTAGTTCCGAAGCACGATATGTGCTTGATGCAAAATAGGACAGAGGTCCTGGATGAGATGACTGCTAAAGACACATTGGGTATTCCCTTTCCATAACTCCAACGAAAACAACTAGGAGGAGAACCGGGGCTTGCAAGCCGTCATTATTTGACCCCAGCTTGTTGCCATTTCTCAAAGAGTATGTTGCTCATGTTGCCACACCGGCGCGGTCCGTCTGATTCACCCCTGCCCGACTCCCAAAGTCTGAAATCACGGACCGTAAACGGGCCACACGGTCCTCAAGCTCGTCAATTTCCTTTTGTTGTTCTTCCACGGATCGATGCACGTCTGGGAGTCCCTCCACTACACCACGCGCCTTCTGAATCCGAATCTTGACCGAACTGGTTTCTGTGGGAAGATCTTTGATATCTAGAGCCCCCTGGGCCTTAGGATTATGGATAGGAATATCTGCTGCAGACTGTGAAGCCCCAGTGTCGTTGTTTCCACCTCCAGGATTGCTGGTGGGAGCTTGTTGTGACTGCGCATCACCCGATGCTCCTGGAGCTCCATTGGCATCACCGGGAGCTCCACCGGTTTGGTTGGACTGTGCCTTCTGAAGGAGCAGGCGAGACAGGATACCGTGGAGTGGTGGAATGATGTCAAACGTCGGAGGGGGAGGGAAGGGCACTGGTTGTTGTGGTGCGGTCGCGTCTTTGGGACTTTCTGGTGCGGCCGAGGATTTGGGCAGCGGCGTGGCTGCAGGCGGGGATCTAGAAGCCATTGCAGATCAAGGTCGAATCGGAACCCGTGGGAAGAAGTGCGAATAACGTCAGAAGCCGGGGCCTGGGGTAAGTCTTTAGGGAAGAGTCGGAACGCACGGTGACGTCGGGGCTAGGGAACCAAAAGTGTCACCGGGAATGCCCCTCCCTCACCGGGGACATTTTCCTCCTCTTCACTGGCGCCCACGATCTACTCCTTTCCCCTCAATATCTACCTTGTAGGTAAGCTTTTTCCCAATTGCATGCTGGTTATACTTCTTTAGATCATCCATTGACCTGTCATAAAGGTGTGATTACGATACATACACCCCCACCATGGCTGTCGACCAAAAAGTCGCTTTGAGTATGATCGGCTTGCCCCCCAGGTCCCCAAGTCCCCCGTATTTCAGAACTAATGCGGACTTGCAGTTGTCATTGACGGTTGGGGTATTGCCGGACCCGACTCGCCCCCGGAGGGCGATGCCATCGCCGCCGCCGAGACCCCGTTCATGTCCGGTTTCGCCGAGGTCAACTCGAAGACTGCCCAGGGCTTCACCGAGTTGGAGGCATCCTCGCTGGCCGTCGGTCTCCCCGAGGGCCTTATGGGCAACAGTGAGGTCGGTCACTTGAACATTGGTGCCGGTCGTGTTGTCTGGCAGGACAGTGTTCGCATTGACCAGACCGTCAAGAACGGCGAGATGAGCAAGGTTGAGAACGTTGCCAAGTGCTTCACTCGCGCCAAGGAGGGCAATGGCCGTTTGCACCTGTGCGGCCTGGTCTCGGATGGTGGTGTTCACTCCAAAATCACTCACCTGTTCGCTCTGCTCGAGGTTGCCAAGGAAATGCAGATCCCCCAGGTCTTTATTCATTTCTTCGGCGATGGTCGTGATACCGACCCCAAAAGCGCCGTTACCTACATGGAGCAGCTGCTCAACAAGACTAAGGAGCTTGGTATTGGTGAGATTGCCACCGTCGTTGGCCGTTACTACATCATGGACCGTGACAAGCGCTGGGAGCGTGTCGAGATTGGTATGAAGGGTCTAGTTACTGGTGAGGGCGAGGACAGCTCCGACCCTCTTCAGACCATCAAGGACCGCTACGAGAAGAATGAGAATGACGAGTTCCTGAAGCCCATCGTCGTTGGTGGCAAGGAACGCCGTATTCAGGGTTCGTCTCTAGTTCAAAATGGATCAACTATAATCACAGGCTGACACATCCCAGATGACGACACCGTCTTCTTCTTCAACTACCGTTCGGACCGTGTTCGTGAGATCACCCAGCTGCTGGGTGACTACGACCGCTCTCCTCGCCCCGACTTCCCCTACCCCAAGAACATCTCCATCACCACCATGACCCAGTACAAGACGGACTACACCTTCCCCGTTGCTTTCCCTTCCCAGCACATGGGTAACGTCCTGGCCGAGTGGCTGGGCAAGAAGAACCTCTCCCAGTGCCATGTCGCCGAGACTGAGAAGTACGCCCACGTTACTTTCTTCTTCAACGGCGGTGTTGAGAAGCAATTCCCTGGCGAGGTTCGTGACATGATCCCCTCGCCTCATGTGGCCACCTACGATCTGGACCCCAAGATGAGCGCTGCCGGTGTCGGTGCCAAGATGGTTGAGCGAATTGGTGAGAACAAGTTCGACTTCATCATGAACAACTTCGCCCCGCCCGATATGGTTGGCCACACTGGTGTGTACGAGGCCGCCATTCAGGGTGTTGCTGCTACCGATAAGGCTATCGGTGAGATCTATGAGGCCTGTAAGAAGCACAACTACATTCTCATGATCACTGCCGACCATGGGTGAGTTCTATCTCCAACAGAGAGGTTCTCGTGTATATATTTGACGCTAATAAATCCTTACAGCAACGCTGAGGAAATGCTCAACGAGAAGGGCACTCCCAAGACTTCCCACACTCTCAACAAAGTTCCTTTCATCATGGCCAATGCTCCCGCTGACTGGAAGTTTGCCAAGGACGGTGGTGTCCTGGGTGATGTCGCCCCCACTGTCCTCGCAGCTATGGGTATTGAGCAGCCTGCTGAGATGACCGGCAAGAGCCTGCTCATCAAGTCGTAGAAGTGATTCGCACATATTTCTTTTGGTTACGAAAATGAATAAATGAACGAATATTGAAGATGTTGATATACGGGGTTGTGTGCCCATGTGGTTCCTGTTCAAAAACTTATTTAGAAATGTTATAGATGGATCGGCATAAATTGAGATTGATCATAAACGTCATGTTCCTTCAATTGAGTGACTTTGTGGCCACATTATATTTCTAGGCGTATACAAAGTCTGATTGGGTATATCTCTGTGGCAAGCATCACCTGTTGTATTCATCTTCGTCCGTCTTCGAGGAGCTTCGTGCTACCAATAGACACTTCAGCAAATGAAACCAGCATCTTAGTGCCTGCTAGACTGCATTCCAGCATCAAGCGACACTCTCTTCGGAGTACTTCGACCAGATCAGGGCCATATAAGTGCGCAGTGCACAGCATATGGGATCTTCAACATCTGCATCACCTTCCCTCAAACATCATCCATCGGCATTATTGTAGAAGCATCGAGGCTGATCAAGCTCACGCGGAGGCAGAGGCAGCTTGTTGCTGGGCCTGGGCTTGGATTGCCATGACCTAGACGGGAACATGTCAGTATAGATGCGCCTGGAGGATTGCGGAAAGTCATTACTTCAGCGCGCTTCTTCTCACTTGTCTCCTGCTTCTCTTCAATCTCCTTCTCAATTCGCTTGCTGTTGAGCACGAGTCAGAGATATATTCACACTAGACGGGATCAAGCCACCCACATTTCTTTCTCAATGAACTCCAGTCGACCGTTGACGGCCATGGTCGCTTCGGTCTTATCTTGCTTCAAGAGAACGGGCCCAACAAGCTTGTAGATATTGGCGTCATCGTCCAGCTGGTTGAACTCGGTTTGTACGCCCTGGTTCTCCTGCTGCTGCGACTCGAGCTTCTGGCGGGCATCGATCAGACCTTCGAGCTCTGGGTGCAGGGAAAACAATTAGATATCGAGAATAAAATAAATGGATGGCACATTGAAGCTCACCGGTCTGCAGCTGCTGGAACTCATCCGAAAGGGCCTGAAGCTGTTTCTGGGGGTCCATGGCTGTGTTGGCGGGGGAGGTGGGAGAAAGAAAACCGATCGATCTTCTGCCCGCCCGTCAACACCTCTCTCCCTTCCCACTTCAATTCCATCCTCCACACCCACCGTGGATACCGAGACTTCCTTTCCTTTTCTTTTCTTGCTTCTCGAATCCCTCCTTCTAGTCAGAGCTGCTCTCGCTTAAACCATTCCCAAGCATACACGAGACCCTCGGCCCCCTCACGTCCTCCCCGCTTTATCACTCCGCGCTTGACTCACCACTCCGAGACTTGACCACGGCAGGGCCACGCTCGCCAGCATGAGCAACACAGACTTCCTAGGACGAGCGATTGACACGGTCAAGAAGGCGATCGAGAACGACAATGAGGGCGAGTACGAGAAGGCTTATCAGCTTTACTACTCCGCATTGGAGTTGTTCATGCTGGCCCTCAAGTGGGAGAAGAACCCCCGGTCGAAGGAGATGATCCGCGCCAAAACTGGTGAATACATGGACCGTGCAGAGAAGCTGAAGAATCATTTGGCTTCAGGGGATCGAAAGAAACCCAGCGCGGTGGGCGCGAATGGGAAGGTTGCGCAGGGAAGTGGGAAAGGGTATGACCTTGGCATATTGCGACTCGTCCCTAACCTCTTGCTGTTCTCTTTTGGACAAATTGTCTGCCAAGGCCCAGCAGGGGCTCTAGTTTCCAACGATTGCAATGCTGACGGAAATGTACAAACAGGAAAGAAGATGATGACAGCAATGGCGAGGATGCCGAGTCGAAGAAGCTCCGCTCGGCCCTCCAGGGAGCGATTTTGTCGGACAAGCCAAACGTCAAATGGGAGGATGTTGCCGGTCTGGAGAGCGCAAAAGAAGCGTTGAAGGAGGCAGTGATTCTTCCGATCAAGTTCCCACACCTGTTTACCGGCAAGCGGCAACCCTGGAAGGGTATTCTTCTCTATGGCCCTCCGGGTACCGGAAAGTCTTATCTCGCCAAGGCTGTCGCGACCGAAGCCAACAGCACGTTTTTCAGTGTCAGCAGTAGTGACCTGGTGTCCAAGTGGATGGGTGAGAGTGAAAGGTAGGAACCAGCCTAGGCCTTAACGCTATTGACATGCCCTCGAGAACTCTTGACTGACTCTCGCAGACTTGTTAAACAACTCTTCAATATGGCCCGTGAAAACAAGCCGGCGATTATTTTCATTGACGAGGTCGACGCGCTGTGTGGACCGCGCGGTGAAGGCGAATCCGAGGCCTCGCGCCGTATCAAAACTGAATTGCTTGTCCAAATGGATGGTGTCGGAAAAGACTCCAAGGGGGTGTTAATTCTGGGAGCAACCAACATTCCCTGGCAACTGGACGCCGCCATCCGTCGACGATTCCAACGACGAGTTCACATTAGTTTGCCCGACATCAATGCACGAATGAAGATGTTCATGCTGGCCGTAGGATCTACACCGTGCCAGTTGACCCAAGCGGACTATCGTTCTCTGGCCGAGATGAGCGAGGGCTACTCCGGTAGCGATATCAGTATTGCCGTACAAGATGCTCTGATGCAGCCCATCCGCAAGATTCAAACAGCAACACACTATAAGAAGGTTTGCTGGCCTTATCCTACTCATGCCCTTGAATGAAAAGGTTTACTGACTACATCTCACTGCAGGTGACTCACGAAGGCACCGAGAAGCTCACCCCGTGCTCGCCAGGTGACGCCGGCGCTGTGGAAATGAGCTGGCTCAGCGTGGAAGCCGAGCAGCTCCTCGAACCACCGCTCGTCCTGAAGGACTTCATCAAAGCCGTTCGTAATTCCAGGCCTACTGTCAGCCATGAGGATCTTACGAGAAACTCGGAATGGACGAAAGAGTTCGGCAGCGAAGGAGCTTAGACGGTTTCCTTTCTCGCGTTTCATCTGTGGCATTCAAGGCCGGCATAAATCTCATCTTGGCCAAACCCCTGCAATAAATAGACAATGTCTCGCCCAAGGTTTCTGCTTGGGTCCTTGGTCTGGTTTCCCTGGCTTGAGTGGGTGTCTGAAGAGTTTGGTGTTCAGAAGCGTTGATCACTTCTTGTTTTCTAGTACTTTGGCAATGGCGAGGCGTTAATTGAGCAAATATTCATGTGTTTATTCCGGCGAATTCTCGTCAAAGAGCAGTGCATACATATTAGCTCGATTTTATATATTTTCGGGTCCGAATCAATCGGCTCTAGCCCCAAGGATAACCAACATCTCGATGCCCATGCACGGATAGAATAGACGAGTGCCAACTAGGGTCAATTTCTAACAACGCTACTCGAAATCATATTGGGATCAGACCCATGCCAGGGTGACTATGCTCCAACGATGCCAGATCTCTGCAATAAAACAATGCCTTTGTTCACAAACCAGTCCCATTAAACGCCCTGAAAAACACAAGCTCAAAGGAAAGAAGGAAGAAAGCAGAGCGTGTATACTAGACATGACGGGGAATCTCTCGTGGCAGAAGGGCGACGCTTGAAAACGAAAAAAAGCAAAGGATCCACAAAACAAGACAGAAATCTAGCAACTATCCAACTCGTACAGCCTACAGGGCAAGCAGGCTCTTGTTCGAGCTTTCGCGGCGCTTCAGCATCTCGCTCTTGGCTCGTTTCAAGCCTTCGCCTAGCTTCTTGGCCCGGGACCAGTCTTGGCCCATGTTTTTCATGCGGACAGCGGCCACGACGAGGCAAATAGCAGAACGAAGCTTGCGGCGTGGAGTGCGGACTGGGTTGCGGTCGCGAGATTGAACGCCCATATCGGAAATCATACGGAGGTCGGCTTCGTTGCTGTAGGATGTTAGTCGAATTGTTCATCGGGTATAGGAGGGTAAGGGAGTCAACTAACCATGCAACACGGACGCGTTCACCAAGTTCCATCAAGCCCTTGCTCCAAGCCAGGTCGCGACGGAACTTTTCCTCGCGGTGTAAGCGGGCACGAAGCCAGATGATTTCCTTGCCGAGGCCGCGGATTTCTTTTTCGTGTCTGCTCTTGCTAGACGATTTGCCAGTTGAGATCTTCTCCAGAGCTTCATCATAGCGTTGTTGCAGGGCTTCCAAGTCCTTGGTGGCTGCTTCGGCCTTGCGAACGCAGAAGGCTCGCTCTTCTCGTATGCGGCGGACTTGGTTTTTGAGCTCGTTCAAACGCGAATCGCGCTCAGAGACCTTGAGTGCCAGGGACTCAGCCTCGAGGGTCGATGACTTGAGAAGCTCGTGTAGGTCCTTTTGATCCTCTTCTCTCATCACAGCACGCTCAAGATCACGGTTCTTAACCTTGACATCCTTGAGGGCCTTGTGCGCATCCGTAAGTTGCTTCCGTAGAGCCTTCAACTCTTCATGAAGCTTATTAGATGGAGAATTTTGCAGAGAGTGTGAGTCAAACTTATTGATGAGAGCGTCATGAAGGTCCCGCTCCAAATCAGAAACCCGGGATTTCAAGGCGCGAGCAGAAGCCTTTTGCTCAGCTTCGCGCTGGAGAAGAGTCTTTTCGCGCCTGCGAGCCTCTTCCAGGCTCTGGCGAAGAACCGACAGGTCCCCATGGGCAGTTGACTGGTCATTCTCCAGAGGAGCCTGGTGCTCAAGAAGCATCTCCAACTCTTGAACGCGTCGCTCAAGTCGTTGCACTTTGGTCCTAGCCGTAGCCAATTCGCGATCCCGATTGCCGGAGCCTGCAAGCACCTTGTCCTGGAGACGATCGATTTCAGCTGAAAGACGACCCTCTTCTGACGTGGCACGTTCAATTTCGGAGCCGAGCTGCCTTTCGAGGGTTTCCTTGGCCTCCAAGAGAGCCTCCTTGTCGTCTCGTAGTCGCTTCAATTCGGTTTCCAGTCGTGTTGCAGTTCTCCTAAGTTCAACCTTCTCGCGGTCAAATCGAGTAGTGTCATCGGCAGTCTGGCCTCGGTCAAGCTGAGCATGGAGCTCATCCCGCTCGGCTTCAATCTCGGCCATGGAAGTTCGCAGGTCGTGCAATTCGACGTGAGCATTAGCAAGTTGGTCACGGAGAGTCTGTCTGTCGGCAATTGCTTTTTGCAACTGATTTTCCACGTCAGAAGACCCCTTCTGCTGTCGGCCCTTGGCGTACTCTTGCTCATCCGCCAAGCTTGATTGCAAGACGACCACCTCATCTTCTAGGGCCTGCACTCTCTCCTTGAGGGATTGCTCCTCACGCCGAGAAACACGAAGTTCCTCCCTCAGGGTAAGAAGATCAGAGCGCTGTTCATCTATGGTACGTCTCTTCTGTGTGAGCTCGTCGCTCAAATCTTTGATCTGGCGATTCAGCACAGCTTCCTCCTGCACATGGCGCTGCTTCTCGCTATCGATGGCATCCTGAAGCTTGTGCTCCTTGCCGGAAAGGGTGTGTTCTGTCTGCTGTAACATTTCGATCGTTCGTTTGAAGCCCGCAGCTTGTTCTTCTGCGCGCTCCTTCTGAGATTGGAGTGTTCGCTTGGTGCTCTCCCACCTGTCCTGCTCGAGGGCAAAGTGTCCTTCTTTATCCTCGATCTCGTGCTGAAGAGCTTCGATCTCGTCTTGCAGGCGTTCAATCTCCACCTTATGTTGCCAGCGAAGGTTTTGTTTGTCCTGGGCGCGATTGGTGGCCTCTTCAACGGCTTGCTGGAGCTCACGAATTCGAGACTGCGATCGAGACAGCTCGCTTTGCAGACCGCCCGATTCGTCAGTCAATGCTTGGTGTCGAGTCTGCAAAAGCTCTTTCTCCTCCGTTCGACGTCGGATGTCGTCGAGGGCTTCCTGGAGTCGAGCAGATGTCCTTTCTTGCTCTCTCTGGGCCAAGTCGAGTTCGTGACGAGCTGATTCAAGGTCCTCGCCTAATTTGCCGGCATCACTCTTTAGGTCCTGTTGAATAGTGTGATAACGCTCCTCTAGGCGAGCAATGGATTCCGATTTGCTGTCGATTTTCGTTTTGAGAGTGTTGTTCTCTTGCCGCAAATCACGCACTTCCTCCTCAAGCCTCTCAGCTCTATCCTCCATTTGTCGGCTCAAACCCTTGGTCATGACAGACTTGTTCGACATCTCGTCCTGCAACTCTCGAAGGTCGTCTTCAGCTCGATCTTTCTCATCCGCGGCCTGCCTCACGGATTCGTTTGCTTCTTGAACCTCCGATCTGGCTTGCTCGAGGCTCTCCTGCAATTCTTCGACCTGTTCTCTTGCTCGGTCAAGTTCGGCTTGAAGATCGGCGGCTGCATCGCTCTCCTTGCCGTTCTCCCGAAGCTCCTCAAGTTCTTCGTCACGCTCATCGATGGCCCGATCCTTTTCTCGCACCGTGGCCTCCAAATCTTCGACCTCATCACGTAGTTTCTCCACTTCTTGGGATTGGCTGTCCTTGAGCAGTCTCAATTCTTCACGAAGTTCTCTGACCTCATTGTCCCGCGATTCCACCTCTTCACGCATAATATCCATCTCACGTTGTGCCTCCTCGTCGGTCTGCCTTCGTCGAGCCTTGTCGCTCATTTCCACGAGCTGCTGCCGATAATCCTCCAAGTCGCGTTCCGCTTGTAGGAGACTCTTTTTGTATCGAGAGATATCGCGTTGCATCGTTAATCGCAAGACCTTGAGCTCGGTGTTCTCTTTGAGTGCTGCATTGTTGTATTCCGGACCAGCCTTCTCGAGTTGCTCCTCCAAGTAATGGATTTTTAGCTTCAGATTCCAGTTGTCTTTGTCGAGTCGGTCGATGATCTGTAACAGTCAGGATTTTTTCTGTACAGCAATTCCACATAAGTACATACTCGCTCTTGTTCTTTCAGTGTCATGTTCTGTCCATCGCCCAGAATCCCCGAACCATTGCGTCCCAAGAGGCCGGGAAGCGGAGTGCTCTGGGCACTGCTGCTGGCAACCTGAGGAATTGGAGTGGCCTGATCGGTTGTCGCGTCGTCCTCGTACATATCAGACATGTCGATTGTAGGTAACCCAGGGGTATGGGCGGCGCCACGGCCACCTTCTCTCAGGTAGCCTGGCGTCTTCGGGTCGTCCATCCCACGAGTCGTGGATCCGTTCCTCAAGAAGTTGTTCTTTGTTGCGCTCCTCATGAGCGGTGTAAACTCGCCCTTGGCAGGTCCTGCTGCAGGAAGATGTCTTAACGCGGTTCTTGCTGGCTTCGAAGAAGTTCCGGCGCGCGGCGTGCCGGACTTGTAGCTGGCCGAGTCGCGTTTTCTCCCGTCTCCAAATCCTTTAATCACATCATTATCCTTCGAAGGTGTATGGAACGAGTTTTCCACAGAGTCGAGTGCTGAGAGGTGAGTCCGTCCCACACTGCGAAAACCGTTGGTCAGGTAAGTCGCGTTCCCGTCGATTTCGGTGCGCGGCGTGTCGATATAGGGGAACGCCATTGTGATGGGGCCGCGAAAGGTTACGGTTGACACGCGACCATCACTCTCCAAAACGGTGGAACTGGGTTGAAACAAGCTGAAGCAGCGTGTTGTGACGAAGCCGCGCGGGCGAAGCGTCGGAGAGACTGTTGATGTCTAGCCCGATTGGGTTTAGCGTGCGAGTCACGAGTGGGTCGCGACCGTCGCCGCTTTTTTTTCTTCATGAGGTCATGTTAAGCTACAACTAGCTACTTGAAAGACTTCAATCATGGCGACTGAGGAGGACATCGCGTGGTTTAAGTCCACCTTTCATCCTATTCCCAAACCGCAGCTCCCCGATGATTCTGTCGAGTATTACATTTATCACCTGCCTTCCCCCGCCCCCGCCGTTATCGATCAGGCCGCCGAGACTCGCGCGCGATTGCTCGAAGTGCAGCGCACAGCTGCCGAATTAGCCAAGGAGTTGCTCAAAAATTATATCTGGCAGCGCGAAGGCTTTCGGTTGGAGATTAGCAAGGATGATGGTAAAAAGCCCCATTCCAAGGACTTGCTCTATCCGGATTCTCCATACCAGGTGCTGATCGCGAAATCTAGGGATCACCTCACTCCACGGGCGCACCAACTACGGAGATTCTATCGAGGATGAGTGGGTGGTTGTCTACCTACTTCGTGAGTTAACGAAGCGACACAAAGATATTTGGGTCAAAGTGGCAGACAGCGATGGCGAGTTCTTGCTCATTGAGGCGGCGGGCACGCTTCCTGCGTGGCTGGAGCCTGAGGTGGCCGATAACAGGGTGAGCATGAAGCTTTTATTTTCCTTGAATGAGTTCTGTACTTACCTTTGACCCTTATAGGTTTGGATCAACCAAGGAGACCTCAAAATCATCAAGCCGAAGAAAGACACGGGGAAAACGGTCTCGGAAAAATTGTCCCTTCCCGAAGCACACAAGATCATCCAGGAAGAGCCGAGCCGCTTCATACGGTCCAGAATCATTCAGGAGGAAGCTTTCTACCGACTGCGCAACTACCCCAAGCAAATCTCCGAGAACATCCACTCGGCGATCGTGACAATTCCACGCAAGGCTGCATTCCTCTTACACCAAAAGCCGGCGTACATATCGCCTGCCGTGGAAGCCTTCTACATTCGTGACCCTATAGCCATGCGTCCCCTCAAGTCAAAGGACGCATCTGACCTCGTTTTCAAACCCGACGACTTGGTTACAGTTAGCGTTAAGTTCACTCGAGTAGGATACGCCCAATTGAAGAGTCAGGAGTTTCCCATCCCGAGCACCTGGGAGGGCAAACTACCTCCGACAGAAGATGTCGAAGCGCACACGCGCGCAGAGACTGGCATGAAGCTCTCGTGTGGGCTCGAAATGCTGCTCTACGACCCCCACCATCAAGACAAGGCTTCCGTCAGAGAAATGAAGCTGCTTCTTGAAGATGTCGACTCGGGCGATGAGAAACTTCCCACGGATGAAGAGATTGCAAATAAATGGGATAAACAGGAGGACGATGAAAAGTGGCTGGATATCAACTTTGAAGATCTGGATAGGGAGCTCAAAGGCGGCGGCAAGAACAAAGAAAAATCTGGCGGCGACTTTGGCGATGCAGGCGCTCAAGAGAATTTGCAACGGATTGTCGCTCGTTTCGAAGAATTTTTGAACGATAACTCTGCAGGCTTCGACGGCGCAGACTTCATCGATGACTTTGGATCAGACTCTGACGACGACGAACTCAGCAGTGATGGAGAGGACAAAGATGCCTCTTTCGATGAAGAGGAGTTTTCTCGGATGATGAAAGAGATGATGGGCATGGCTCCTGGTCCGGGGGGTCCGGGGGGTCCGTCTTTCAAAGCACCCATGGGCAAACGTGTCCAAGAGCTCGATGCAGAGGAAGAAGACGACACGGAACAGATCAAGGAATTGTCTCGACAGATGGAGGCTGAACTGCGAGGAACCGGAGTCCTGGACCTGAACAGACAGCAACAGAGGCTGGCTTCTGGAGAGGATGCATCTAAAGGAAAGGCCGCCGAATCCGCCAACCCAGATGATCACGAAGATGAGGATGACAATGCCAACATCAATCTTGCCAAGAATCTTCTGGAAAGTCTTCATGGCCAGGCCGGTACTGCAGGCCCGGCGGGCAATATGCTTTCGATGATGGGCCTACGGATGCCGGAGGATGATCGCCACTAAAGCCATAATACCCACGAGCCTATGTGATTTCAAATTCACTTCCATGAATTATCTCCTATTGCTCAAATCTGGATTTCCAGCCCTTTCAGGATGTCTGCGTCTGCCACTTCGATATTTGCAAAGGGTAGATGAGGACACCGACGGTGTATATGTCCGAACCATTGTGTTCTGGCAGCCTTGACTCAGGACCACCGAGTCAAGGATATTCAGCTCCACCACCGAGAGCTTGGCCTGGATTTGCAGCGCCTGTGGCAGCTTCCCTGCCTAGTACGATTGGATGACTTTTGCACCTCTGGTACCACTGCCAGGGCGGAGGTTACACCGTGCGAGTCAGCAATCTATCCGGGCAAAAGAACTAGCTTGTCCCTCCAGGACGAATCTTAAACTACGGAGACCACATGATAGGTACCGAGGACTTACCGGGGTTTCCGTATAAGAACATTGCACCAACCAGCTAGGGCATGAAAAGCCAAGGTCGATGGTAAAGTCCAAATCCAATCTATGCCAGACGTCGCTCCAGGTGAGAGGCTGCAACTAAGAATCAGCTACCTACCTCCCGAGGTCTACATGGATCGCCTTGATTTACCCGCTGCCTACGATCAAATTACTTACTTGGGACAAGTGCCTCGCTCTCTTATTTTTTCCAGGCCAGGTTCTTAAGATCCTCGAAGTATTTCTCTGAAACGTCTTTCTAGTCATCTTGAAATTTTCTGTATATGTACTTCTAAGCTTCTCTTTAAACATGTCGAATTGACATTCTAACTGCTATTTAGAAAGTAACTTACATCTGGTCTTGTACAACCCCGAAATATCCGCCCGAATGTGAAGTCTCCCACGATCACCGACTCCATTGCCGTATCCGATGGATCTAAGCAGATTTCGCCACCAGGGCACCGGGGCGGACTGGAGAGATTACAATAACGATTTGCAGATCAAGTCAATCACTTCGCCAAACGCGCATATGGGGCGAGCCGGGCGTGGATACGATTTGCCTACCTGCGGCACGCACGGCACGCAACAGAGACACCCTCTCCACGCAGATCATTACACGGACAGCATCTGGATTGGGAGAATGTCTCCGACACGTACTCGTGGGCAAGTTCAGCTGGTGATTACTTTTCGACTCCACAGACGGCCTCGGCGAACCACTCCTAGACACCAGCGGTTGGATGGATCTGCATATCGCAAGGAAGAGGCGGTGGATCGTCAATTGAGGATAATACTGTATCTCCGGTCTTACTGTATATGGAGACAAGTCCACTGATGGGCACCATTATTTGTATCTGTACAGTAATCTGGGATTGGACTTGGCAGGGGCACACAGGGGGGGGGGGTTTACGGAGTTCCGGAGGAGAGTTTTGAATCTGTGGAGGGACTTTTGTATAGCGACTACACTACTGGATCGAGAAGGTCGGGGCGTAGGCTACCTTGGAGTATGTTTCAGCGCCACGGTAACGCTGAGTTCGCAATTGAAGGTTGACAAAGGCTCCACGGTGTCCACCGGCGTGGAGACTCGGGATGCCTACAAAAGCAGGGTCAGGAAGAGCTGAGTTTCCACTCGCCCCCACCGAGTGCCCTGTATTCAGGACCCGATCGGGCATTTTGTAGAGTTGTGATCGGCATGCATCTCAGGGGGTGCGAGTGTACTGTAGTCGCGATAGTGCCATGTGTGTGTTATCTTTTATCTTTGGATCTCCGTGAGAAAGAGAAGCGCCACGTGGGAGATCAATCTTGGCGATCGAGTAGAATCTAGGGAAAGATCTAGACTAGGGCCTTACTAGGGCCTTCTTGATCTACTGCACATCCTGCAGCTGACTCGAGGCCGAGGTACCGAAAACGCCGACTAAAAAAAGCCACTTCTTCACCTGCCTAGGTTGGCACCGAAGTCGTAGGCCATCGGGCCAATTGCCTCGGAACGAGTCCCTCATGCGCAAAGTGAACGCCTATTAATAATATGGGCATGGCTGGGCCCATCAAGAGACCCCGAACCGTTAAGCTGTCGTGTGCCACACTGTCTAGTGGCGGGAAAAATCCCACCAAAGTTCCAGAAGAATAGTAGCGCGGGCGGGGGGCCCACGAAAAAATCGGGTCGGAATTCATTCTGGTGGATTCCAGAGTCGGGCTATGTACATGTGTTCCATGAACCCCATTGGCCCTGCCTTTATTATTTTGCTACGATCTTTCTTAAATGCCTCACTGGTTAACGGTTCCGGTGAAAGCCATGTCCGGAGTCGGAGCGCGGCTCGAGTGGACGACAGGGGAATATTCCCTTCTGCCTTCTGGCCCGAAAAACGAACGCACGTCGAGATTAGTTCGCTGAGAAGGAGAGGGTCCGGACAGGAATCCCAAATCATCGACATCAGTCCGATGCAAGATCATGAAAAATATTCGTGCCAAGTTGCGCACGTTTTGGAGGGTTCCAGTGGCTCCACCGTGGTGGGTACTGTAAGGCAACGATCGTAACCGACGGACAATCAAAATTCAATGGAGTGTAACTTCGACCCGGTGGAATAACTCGAACGAGCAAAGGGAACGACTATCATGAGGAGTAGAAAGTCATGACGCCAGTCTGGCTTCCGGGCGAGAACAATACGAGGGGTCTTGGAGCATAAGCCAAAGCTTACATCCCTGTCCCGAAACGCCCTAAGGAGATTTCGAATTCGAATTCCTGAATTTGCCGCGGACTTCTGGAAGGGGATCGACCAGATCGCGCCGGAACCGAGGGATCCGCAATCTAAAGCAATCAAAAGCAAATAAAAGCAAATAAAAGCAAATAAAAGCAAATAAAATGGCCAATTTCCGGTGGATATATCGTCGAACTCATAGAGTTCGGGCCAATTCGATGATGTCCTCGTATCAAACACCCGCGGAACGGCGACAAATCGGAGGCCCAGGAATCAGCCTTCCTCTGTCGGAGGGTTGTCCCCAGATTATCCCCCGACGCGTCCCGTCTTGCAACGCCGGAGATGACGGTCTGGCGGTGTGCTTCACTGTGATGATGTGAGGTGAGATGGAAGAAGCAAAATCCATCTTCACGAGAAGACGAAAAAGCAAGGCTGTCCGAGACAAGTCCAGCTGATGGATCACAACGAGGAAATAGTGTAGTTCGAGGAATCCCTAGTTAGGGAAGACTAGACTACCGGGACGAATCCCGACACCCGCATTCTCACCCCTGTTTGCAGCCACCCCCACTCACCAAAGGCCCTCGGCTTCCGCAGATGCGGACTAGAGCGCCCTTGGGCCACTAGGGAATTCATTCGCCGTCGGGCCGATGTAGCTGGGACTACTTCACATGCTGGGGGGAAATCAAAGGAGTAAGGAGTGGAAGAAAAAAAAAACTTGGAATGTGAGATATAGAGATAAGCGATGTAGAAGTCGACATGTACGACGAGACGCAGCCCTGGCAAAGTAATTGCAACAGCCTCAGTGGACTGAGTGGAGTCGTTCGATTCTTCCATCGGGCTTCTATCGTCTCAGAAGCAGACGGTTGGAAGCAGATCCACTCCGGTCTTCGACCGAAGCCGAAATCCAGATGTAACTTTGGGCCGTGGCAAACGCCCCTTCTTATCCCTTCTGTCTCCTCTTTATATGCGCCCGTCTTTCCCCTTCCCCCTTCGTCTTTCCCCGGGAACCTGGTCTGTGGAGCCCAGACGCATACCAGTCCATGCCAATCATGATGCTTCGTCATGGACTAAACTGAGATCTCTGCGCCATGGATTTCATTGTACGTACCCTTCTCCAGCCTGGTTTTCTTTCCCTCGTGCCCAACTAACTTCTGTAGCTCTCGCTGACGCACTTCTGTGAAGTGCATGGCCCCACGTCTATCATCTGCTCGCAGGTCCTCCCTTTCGCATGCACGCAATGTCATCCCGAGGCCGATGACGCTTCCTTTCCACGCGATGCTTCCAAATCACCCTCCATATCCGAGACCGCGAGCTCTAGATCTCCGAAGATCGAAGACCACCCGTATTTTCTGCGTACGCAAGTGGCATCACCCGAAGACCGATCCAACCGCGTCGGCGGTACGGACGGCGATTCCTGCGCCAGCTGTAGCTTGTCTCTGCCCGAAGGTGTGAGCAAGCAGCTCCCTGCTGGTGCTCCCGGCAGCCACGATGCGAAGGGCAAGAACGGTAGCCCCGTTCTGCGCTCGCGCGAGGTCGTCTATTCCTGCGGCAACAGCCACTCCGACGTGGATGATGACACGCCAGACCCTCATTCTCACGCCTCTCCCCCCGAGTCACTACACTCATCCTCGGTTGCGTCTGACGCATCCTGCCATACGCACATCTTAACTTACCTCTCACTTCGTGGCCCGCCGAACCCCGCGGACTACGCTCTACTCCGCCGCTCCTCAATTCGCACCCTTAGCTGCGAGCTTCTACCCCGCGGGCTGTCCTCCGGGCCATTGTGTTTCGGCGACTCCGTTGCTGGCTACACGATTGCATACATTTTCCGACTTCCTGACCCCATGGCGCGCGGCAAGCGACGCAGCTACGCCTTGGTGGCGCTCGCCGGCAAAGACGCCGGAAAAGCGTTCCGGGCGTGCCCCGTGATCTGGCGCACGTTTGGTCGCATCGCATCAAGCATTGTGAACGCCGCCGAGCGCTTCCAAGAAGAAGAGAAACGCCGTGAGGAGCAGACTAGCCCCGGCAGCAACGCCAAGAGCCGGCAGTACACACCGGTTTCTTCTTTCCTTACGGGTCGTGCCATGGACCCGACCGGACAGCCGCGGCGGCTCGGTCAGATTCGGGCCCGCAACCTTGCCGAGATTGTCGGCAACGAGTACATCTTTACTGAATTGCATGCGCACTTCGTTGCGCTCTTGCAACAGCTCGGTTCGATGTTCGGAGGTGTCCCCGTCTCTGATGAACGATTTGTCTGTAGCACTGTGGGTGACGCAGAGAGTACCTCTCCGCAACCAGTGCTCGTCTCGAAGAAACGCCAGTCAGTATCCAAGTACGACGACAACGAGCTCGACATGGCCAACCTTGACATATCTGCCGGCCCCAAACCCATCCCTATCACCGCCCGTCGGTCCGTTGCGGCCTAGGCTTTGAAGCCTCTCTTCGCGCTCTCGCCGTTTCTTCCATTTGAGATACCCGCCTGATTTATTTTCGCGCTTTGTTTTACATTGTTTTTCTGCCTTTTTCTGCCCCGCTTTTTATGCTTTTCCGCGAGAGGCACTTGTGACCTCGACTTTTGATTCCAAGCCTCTGTTTCTTTGCTTTCCAGCGATGTTGCCCTCCATGGCATCCGGCTTCTGCATACCAAGTCGGCTTTTCTGTTCATGCAAAGGTTACTGGGCATAGACTGGCGTCTCATATACACGGACACGGCGTTATTATTTGGGTCTTGGTTTCTTTTCTGGCTTCTTTCTCTCGGGCACCGTGCTTTCGTCCTTTTCTGAGGACACCGGTGATTTTTGTTTCTCGGTCCAGTGAGGACTTCTTTATCGGCTTGTGTCCCCCCTTGAAGCGGGTACTGGTTTATGATTGGGATATGATGGCCACGAGGATTCCAGAGACATGTATTCTATGTACTATTTGAACACGATTTAACCACAGTCTAGCTTTGACTGATGTTGCTTTTTAATTGGTTACTCTCTGTATAAGAAGTAAATTGGCCTTTGCAGTTCACGTTTAAATGGTCGCTGTGGAGTACATAGCCCTGGGATACCGAGGTGGACTAAAGCGCAGCGGAAAGTGGCTACATAATTTTTCATTTTGAGCTTTTCTAAGCTTCAGACTACCAAATTCAGGTTTCTCTGATGACTCGTTCATTCACTAAGTGATGGCCATTCCAGAAAATAGTGAGAGTAACAGACCCCGGAATGTGTATAGTGGCTAGTGCTACTCCGGAAAAACCATCCCCGCCGGGTTCTTCCGCATCCGGGCCACAATCAAAAATCCCACCAAAAAGACGTCCAACAAAGACCCGCATTCATCACCCCTCAAACAACAGCCAAGATGGTCGCCTTCGACAAGTGTGAAACCCGGCCGGCTCATATCGATGCCATCCTCAATGGCCTCGACCGCTACAACCCCGAGACCACCACCGTCTTCCAGGACTACGTGGCACAGCAGTGCGAGGACCGGACGTTCGACTGCTACGCCAACCTGGCCTTGCTGAAGCTGTGAGTGCACCTCCTGTCTATTACAAACCTATTTCTCTGTTTCTATGATGAATGAACTTCTTCATACACGTTTCCTATTACCTGACAACCCGTCACGAATGGGGTTGTTGAGAATTTCGAATGCCTGAAAACAATCATTGTAATGCCATTGCATTCAATGCACAGAGGCTTCTTGGCTTTCTTCACGGAACAGACATTTCCAATATGCATGCTAACACCGCAATTCCTCTACAATAGCTACCAGTTCAACCCCCACCTCCTCCAAGCCGACACCGTCACCAACGTCCTGGCCAAGGCCCTGACCGTGTTCCCCTCTCCCGCCTTCTCTCTCTGCCTCGCCCTGCTCCCCGCCTACACTCAACCCTTCCCAACCACCACCGATGCCCAGACCGCCTCCCAGGCCTCCGACTTCGTCGAGTCCGTGCAGAAGCTCTCCGGCCTGTCCACCCTCCTCGAATCCGCACAGTACACCCAGTTCTGGTCCACCCTCAACTCGGATGACCTGTACGCCGATTTGATTGCCGACGTCGCGGGCTTCGAAGAGCTCGTCCGCATCCGCATCGCCGTCGAGGTCGGCAAGGCCTTCCGCTCTGTCTCCGCCGAGACTCTGGAGGCCTGGTTGGACGTGCGCAGCCGCGACGCTCTCGAGAAGTTCGTTGCCGATGTCTGTGGCTGGAAGGTTGAGGGCGGCGTCGTCCGCGTGCCCACCAACAAGGAGAACGAGGCCCGCAGCGAAGTCAAGAGCGAGCGCGTCGGCGTCGACATGTTCGGCCGCGTGATCCGCCGTGGCTTCGAGCTGCCCGTATAAACGGCTTCTTGTCTAAACTTTCTTTATTTCTCGTTTTCTTATTCTCCGTCCCTTTTCTCGAAAGAGCGCGGGATAAAAAAGACATGAGTTCATGAATCCCCGATCCGTGACGACGGTGATAGATTTCGCATGGAGGAGGCTCGGAGATGAGTCGGGATCTGGCGCATCCGGCGTTTCTTTTCTCGATTTATGCCCTTTGTATTGGAACCCTGTGTTTTGATTCTTCTAAAATGAGCGGATGACGCCGAGAGAGACGCCTTGTTCATAACCAAGTACCATATCTACGCAGAGCCCATCGGCTCGCGAATAAAACATACATCTATTCCAAGCCTTTTTGCAGAATAACTGTAGATTGAAGTTGCACACGTCTATTCGTCAATTGAGATCTATTTTTTATGCGCCATCACCTCCCCGGACTGGGTATAATCAACAACTAATTCATCTATTTCATCTCTTCCCACTGCACACCAGCCCACTCCTCGCGCCAGCCAACCTGGCCGATGGTCTCTGGCCCACAGTCCTTGCTACAAACACCCAGAATGATAGTGCCCCATTCCATCCCCCCTTCACCCTCTCCCAAGCCGACGCCGGGGCGTCCCTCTTCCAACACACTGATAGCATGCGGCGTAAGCTGCATCTCAAATACCCGCCCACTACCGCAGTACTCACACGGCGGCATGTTCCCACCACCGGTGGTAGTCACATGGCCAGCAGAATGCTCCGGGTGCAGGCGCTTGCCAATCTGATCTGCGTAATTGTAGAGCAGCGGAGAACCGCGGTATTCGTAGCGCAGCACTTGTTCCGGGTTATGCGCAAGCCGAGTAGAGAACTTCATGAATGCCTTGTCGATCTCCGACTCGAAGGTATCCTTCAACTCGGCGGTGCCACTGCTCTGACCTTCTTCGTCCATGGGTTCCATGGTGACGTTCTCGGGGATAGTAGGCGTAGACGGCCGAGACATTGTCTCGTATTCAGCGTCCAGGTAGAAGTTTGTATAGGGAGCGGGGAAATCAGACTGAGCGGGCCATGGAGCCTGCGCCTGCGATTCGGGTTTGGGTTTGGTGGCTGCAGAGGGGTTTGCAGGGCCTGGAGACGAAAGCCGGACTTTGTCAGCGAATGATTCGGCCAGAGCATTGGTGGAGATCGTAGACGGGGCGGGGGTCGTCGTTGCGGGCTTGGGCATCGCGAACGGGTTGGCATCAGACGCCGCTGGAGCCGGGTTTGACGAGAAAGGGTTGGAGAAAGGGTTGGAGTTTGCAGAAACACTGCTCGTCAACGACGTAGCGCCGAAAAGACTCGCGCCCAGATCTGTCTTGGGCTTTGGGGGTGCACTCGGCTTGGGCTCTGGCTCCGTCTCCTTCTCCTTCACTTGCTTACATTGTTCCTGGATGCTTTCCAACGTGACCTTGCGAATTGAGCGGTAGGCCCGGATGCTGCCAGGTTTTCGGTTGCATGGCTTTCTGGGGCATCCGAACAGGTACAAACGGCGCTCGTCGGTTGGGAAGTGGTCGGGCAGGTCGCCGTGCAGTTCGAGGAGCAGAAGCATCGCGCTATTGCAGACTTTGCAGTTTGCATAGTCGCCCGGAGGCGGAGTCTTGTCATCGAGCCATTTCTGTAGCAGAATTGTCAGTGCGATTGTCCTTACTCGAGTGTGGAAGGGCACATACCGGCCAGCCGCCCAGATGGCTGATGGTGTCCTCGATGACTTCCTCGGCAGCGTAGCCAAGGAGCACGCCGGTCTCGGTAAAGTCTTCGTCGAGACTGGAATCGCTGTCGTAGGGGTCCATGGCGTGAGGGTTTAAACGGTGTAAAGTTCCCCTCTTCAAAAAAAATGTTGCGATAAGCGATACGCGCGCCCCACATGTTCTGGTATTACCGCGTCATCCAACGCTTCCCCAGCTTCACTCTTGACCTTAAAAGCACTCTACTCTCTATAGTCGCAATCATGTCGGTGTCTGCAGGCAGCCCGATCAATTTATGCATTCTCTACACCGTTCTTGCCTTCTTCTTGCCCTTCAGCAATGCGGCTCAGCAGCAGCCCTTGCGAACAGCTACAGCTCCGAAACGGGTGGCTGTCATCGGTAAGCCGTTCTCCATGTGCCCAAATGGGCCATATAATCACCTAGCTAGTTATCGCAGAGCTAACCAGGCCTGCAGGAGCCGGCGCGGGAGGCTCGTTTGCTGCGTATGAGCTACGCAAACTAGCAGACACCGCGGACATCCATGTTGACATCACGGTATTCGAGCGCGCATCTTATATCGGCGGCCGCTCAACAACAGTCAATGCATTCGAAGACCCTGCATATCCAATTGAGCTTGGAGCCTCGATCTTTGTGCAAGTCAATCATAACTTGGTGAATGCCTCGCGTGATCTGGGTCTCGATGTCCGCAGTGCAGATCATGCGCAGCCTCGGGAAACCGATGAATCCATTGGTATTTGGGATGGTAAGGAGTTTGTCTTCACGCTGAAGAATAGTTCCAGCTGGTGGAATATCGGCCGTCTCTTCTGGAGATACGGGCTAGCCCCACTGCGCGCTCAAAACCTAATGAAGAGCATCGTTGGAAAGTTCCTGCGTCTGTACGAGGAGCCGCTCTTCCCGTTCCGCTCGCTTTCTGAGGCTTCAGTGGCCCTGGATTTGATCAATGCTACTTCTACCCCGGGAGATGCATTCCTCGGTGCAAATCAGATTTCTGAATTGTTTTCCCGGGAGATCATTCAAGCAAGCACGCGAGTGAACTATGGCCAGAACTTGGCTCTGATCCATGGCTTGGAATCTATGGTTTGCATGGCTACTGATGGAGCAGTGTCCATCGATGGCGGGAACTGGCTGATATTTGACGGTGCTCTCAAGACCTCCCAGGCTGATGTCAGGTTGAATACCACCGTCACCGCGATTCTCCGGGGCGACGACGGCACTGCACGCATTACTTCACACCCGAGTGACGATGTCAACTCGGGTCGTTCTTTAACGGAGACATTTGATGAAGTTATCGTGGCTGGGCCTTTGCAGTACTCTGGAATCTCCGTCTCTCCACCATTAGAGCACATCCCGGATGACATTCCGTACGTGAAGTTGCACGTCACGCTTCTCTCTTCTCCGCATCGCATCTCACCGCATTACTTTGGTCTCGACGGCCAAGGAGCGCGAGCCCCAGAGACCATTCTGACCACCCTCCCCGAAGGCCTTGATCTCGGGTCAAATCCAAAGGGTGTTGGACCCGCTGAGTTTTGGAGTATCAGCACTCTCCGCACGGTAGACCGACTCGTCCTGAAGAACGGGAAAGAGAAGCTAGAGCAACACTACGTGTACAAGATCTTCTCGCCAAAACGGCCGACAGCCGAGTTTGTGGCTCAAATACTTGACATTGATTATACCAACGGCGATGGGTCGGTGACGGTTGCCGAGGGCAACACCACGATTGGAGACTTGTCCAAGAGCGATATTAGCTGGTTCCACGAGAAGCTCTGGTACCCATACCCATTGTTGTATCCGCGGGTTACGTTTGAAGAGACTCTCTTGGCGCCGGGTGTCTGGTACACCAGCGGAATTGAGAGCTTCATCTCGACGATGGAGACCAGTGCTTTGATGGGTCGGAATGTGGCGACGCTTATGGTTCAATCGTGGCAGCAGAAGGATTCGACGGACCAAACGTCTTGGGCTGCGAAAACAGAGCTCTGACTTTCTCTCTGATTGTCTCTCTGCATTTCCAGCTTTTAGCCACCCTAGTCGAATATCATCTACCTTCTTTCAATCCTTCGCATTCTACATTCTGTTCACTATTCACGAGTCGTTCAAGACTTGGATATTCCGGAATAGGGGATAACTGAGCATGTCGAACCCAAACGGCAATGGCGTGTCAAAGCTTGCGTTGCTGGGAATTTGCTCGCGGTTTGGTCGTGAACTCATTGAAGAAAACACTGACGTAATTAATGACATTAAACATCGCAGACAGTTTCCTTATCTCTATATATTTGAAATCAATAGCTGGCGGGTAATCCCATATTGGTTGGATTCCATGGTTGGCCCTGATAATCATCAACCGCAAGGTTTGGCCTGACAGTAAAAGGAACCTGAACTCGGAAATGTATTACGTTTGCGATATTCTTCACTTTTCAAAAGTGGTCTACATCACATATCTTCTAGCGTGTTTAGAATTAGAGTTCAGGAAAACATCACGAATCATGAAGTGGCGAGAATAATTTCGATCTGCGCGGCAGTAACCCAAGGGTTGAAGAGTGAATAACGAAAGTGGGTCTGGATGAACTTTATCCGCCGAAGATGGCTTTATCAGTGACCTACGTCCCACTCAAAACTCGATATGTATTTATCCTATGACTCTTAAGTTAACAATGAACCAAGAAAATTCCAAAATTATTCAAGCTTTGGCTCTCCCGGGTCTCAATTGTAACGTTAGGGGCGCAAGTGGAGACCTATGATTTGATTTCTTATGGAATTATTGATTCCGAGGGGTTCTCGCTGAGCCCGAGGTCCACCGACTTTACTCCGAGAGCCTGATGAGCCCCTTGTAAGAGCGGCCCAGCTGCAGAGGAATCTCCTATGGACAGGTACTACTACCGCTTCGGGTAGTCGCCGCACCCTACGAATCCCGGCATGCAAAGGTTGTTCAGGCAGCGTTTGCCGTCGCTAAAATTATGACTCGGCCCGACCTGTCTGGGCCCTGGCTCTCAGGTATTTAATTGTACATGTTTCCCTCCCCTACCTAGCTACACCATACTGAACATCCTTCAAACCTCATCCTTTCCACCTTCAACCTTTTCTTTCAGTCGTCCCACCCGACTGTCGAACCTCATACAATTACATCACCATGTGGACCTGGTGGCACAACATCACACAGCTGGTGCAGGCATCCTGCCGCACTTGGGATTGCAACCTTCTGGCGGCCAAGACGGATCTCGATGATGAATACAACTTTGAGCCCGGCAGGTATGCCGGCCAGGGATACAAATAGTTTGTTCCCTTACCAGGAGAGACCCACTAGGTGGCTTGTGCTCCGCAATAGACCCTGGACGAGTCTCAAATCTCGTAAGTTTCCTGCTCACTCGTGCACATCCCACTCGGCAATACTAACGCCTGCAATAGCAATCTGATACGAATCACGACTCGGCCGGTCCGAACCCACCTTGAACTTCACAATAATAATACAGCGGGCATTGCAATATGGGCGGGATTAGGATAGACCTTTGATAATGAAGAGCCGTAAAGCTCGAATGGACTGAATTTTTTTAAACTCTCTATGCACATGAATCATAAACGGTATTCAACTTTCTAAACACCAGGCTTTTTCTATTATACCTTGAATCGCCAAAGATAAACCAATCGACACTAGGGGGACTATATTTACTCCATCTCAATGGTACCCGGGGGCTTGCTGGTGAAGTCGTAGCAAACGCGGCAAACACCGTCCACCTCGTTGACGATGCGGGTCGAGACCTTGGTCAGGAACTCGTAGCTGAAGGGGTAGGGGGTGGCGGTCATGAAGTCACGGGTGGAGATGGCGCGGAGCAGGATAATGTTGGCGTACACGCGCTTGTCGCCCATCACTCCGACGGCCCGCGACGGGTCAAGGGCGGCGTAGGCCTGGCCGATATCATCGTACAGACCGGCTTCACGGATCATGGAAATGAAGATGTTGTCGGCCTTGCGGGCCATCTCGACCTTCTCCTTGGTAACCTCGCCGAGAACGCGAATGGCGAGACCGGGGCCTAAAATTGGGATTAGTTGGATGTTTGGATCTTGTAATTCGATAAGTCTTACCAGGGAAGGGGTGGCGTCCAACCAGCTCAGCGGAAATGTTCATCTGGCGACCGAGCTCGCGCACTTCGTCCTTGAACAGTTCACGCAGAGGCTCGATCAGCTTCAGGCCGTGGCCGGCCATCAGGCGCTCGGCAATACCGCCGACGTTGTGGTGGGTCTTGATAGTCTGCGAGGGACCCTTGAACGAGATACTCTCGATAACGTCTGTCCGACAAGTTAGTTTGGAAGCATAGAATGGATTGCTGATCGGTACTCACCAGGATAAAGAGTGCCCTGCAAGAAGAACTCGACCTTGCCGTTGCTCTGGGCCTCAATCTTCTTGGCCTCCGCCTCGAACACATCGATGAATTTGCCACCGATAAACTTGCGCTTCTTCTCAGGGTCGGACTCGCCCTTCAGACCAGCAAGGAACTCCTCGCTAGCATCAACGACGGTGAGGTTGATGCCAAGCTGATCCTGGAGAACCTTCTTGACCAGCTCGCACTCGTTGAGACGCATGCAGCCGTTGTCAACCAGCACGGCATGGAATCGGTCGCCAATGGCCTCGGTCATCAGCTTGGCGGCAACAGTGGAGTCGACACCACCGCTGACGGCACCAAGGACCTGGCCCACAGGGCCGACAAGGTCACGGATACGCTTGATCTCCTGACCGATGAACTCAGACATAGTCCAGTTCTGAGAAGCACCGCAAATACCGACGGCGAAGTTCTTCAGGAGCTGACCACCTTGAGGGGTGTCTGGAATCTATCAGTATTTGGCAACGACGTTGGTACTGAGCGATTGGGGAGACTAACGGGTAACCTCGGGGTGGAACTGAATGCCGTAGACGGGCTCGCTCTTGTGGGCGATGGCGGCGAACTCGGAGTTCTTGGTGGTACCGATGGTGTGGAAGCCCTCGGGCAGGTTGCAGAGCTTGTCACCGTGCGACATCCACACGGTCATGGCATCCTCCAGACCCTCGAAGAGCTTGTCAACGTGGCCGCCGAAGCGAGTGGCCTGCAGATCAGCATGGCCGTACTCACGAGCGGTTCCAGCGACAACGTTGTCCGCGTGCAGACGGTGGGCGATCTCCTGCAGACCGTAGCAGATTCCCAGGATCGGGACGCCGAGGTCGAAGAAGGCGGGGTCGATATGAGGAGCATCCTTCTCATACACGGAGTAGGGTCCACCCGACAGGATGACTCCCTTGGGCTTCCAAGTCAAATCAGCCAGCTTCTGGGTGCAAGGCAGCATCTCGGAGTAGACATTGATCTCGCGGAGACGGCGGGTGATGAGATGGGTGCTGTACGCAAAGTCCGCATTAGAATTCATTGCATGATCAACGCAATTGAGCTTGCGAAAGGCGATCGTAAGGCAGAACGTACTATTGCGATCCATTATCGAGCACCAGAATGGTGTCGAAAGAGTTGTGGGGGATCACCTCAGTGGAAGGCATTGTGAAGACGGCGTTGATTGGCAATCCGTCTGGGTGGTAGTTATAGCAAGTAGACACTGCTCCTGGGGAGAGGATGGAGGTTAAAGAGTCCAAATATTCAATGACTCAGGACCCCCGCAAGGCAATGACAAAGAGGATTTTCCAGATTTTCTAGAGGGGCCGCGATAAGAAAAAAAGTCATCGCGGGACCGATTGATCACTCACCGCCCACATGACGAGGGGCTATAGTTCCTTATCGATAAGGTCAACCCTACATGTAACTATACCGACGCGTGGAGAAAACCTCTGTTCGGGCTACACTAGGTAAGGAACACGGAGGGACTTCTGAGTGGCTTTGGTTTAAAAATCCTGCATTGCTTAGAACGCCTCATTTGGCCTTCTTCTTCTCTTCTCCCCCTTCTTTCCCCTTTCTAACGTCCCCCTCAATCCACGAACAATCCCAAACGAACCACCAGGAAGAGAGCTAAAAGCTAAACGCCAACAAAGAATGGCGCTAGACGTAAGCAATATAGTAGCAAGTGAGCGAGCGGCTGCATAAGCGAACGAAATTAGATGTGGTGAGGTAGAAGAGAGAGGGAAGCTAATGTTTACCAACATTAGAAGTGGTTAGAGATAGCAGAGAATAGAAAAATAGGCCAAGAAAAGTATTTAGAAAGACGCTAAGGTTTCCTTTCTAAATCCAGCGACCTCGTTGAACCAGTGGCGCTATTCTTTCTCGTTCACTCGGATGCAGGCTTATTCATTATATGGAACCGTGACGCGTTTGTCAGATTGCTTTGAAATACAGCGCTTGGGCTAGTACCATTGTGTAGAATGCGTAGACACAGCCATATTGGATCCAGGAGTAACCAAGGCATCTCGGGGTTAGTCATTTCCTGATATAATATAATGGTCGTCAATTTTACAGGATTTTTGAGCGCTTGGCTCCAAATAGCGCCCAGAACGTAGGAAGACTATTGTTTACCAGAAGGTTGGCTAGTGTGATGAGCTTCCAAGGCCAGAAAATGAGATTTGATTTCGGAAGTCGGCAGTGCTGTCGGCTAATTATGACCTGCTTAGTTGGAACAAAAGCCCACCTGCGGACATGCAGTGACAAACCACGTCGCACGTACGCTAAAAAGCAGGAACACGGGAGGCCAAAGTCAAATTTCAGGAACACCTTCCCAGCTTCGTGGATAATGTATCCAGAAATGGGTTGATTTGATGCCGCGATTCGGCATTTGGCTTATGACAACCCAATTTCCATAAAGTCAATTAGAACCAGGGGTTTGTTGACACTGACCTCGGTGACAAATCTCTGCGAGAATCTTAGGCTGACAGGGCCACTCCAACCCCTCCCAGGGTGCTCCCTCACATTTTCCATTTTGGAATCCAAAAGGGCTCGAGAGCCTAGACTCTTTGTTTCCCACTGTTCCGCATAAGAGGCCTCTCAGATTCGGCCTTGGCCGCCACGTCAAAGAAGAATCTTCCTCTTCCTTAAGCTTGCCCTGGATCTCCGGGTCCTCCACTAACTCCGGTGGAGGTTTTCTGCGAGGCCGATATTAGGTAAACAAGAAGATTATCAGGTTAAGCGGAATCTTACGGAGATTGCCTGTCCACTCATCGGAGAGGCACAGGAACATGTCATCATTCTGAGATTGTCCGTAATCAACAAGGAAGAAGCAATGCGGACTAGGGATACCAAATGGAGAGTTACATGAGGATCAGCGAAACTTGACACATCAACATTGAAGTTCCAGTGGTCCAGTCACATTCATCAAACATGTATTTGGCTCGCTCGAAGTTGTCATTACCGGTGGGTCAGGATTTGAAGCAAGATCCGAACCGGTGGCGAAGGCTTTGCCTGTTTACGGGGTTTATGGAGCTTGGACTATTGCTTGCAGTTGTTTCCATTTGGGGTGATGATAGGAGAACCGTGCTTGTTGGTCAAAGAGCCGTATCGGGGGCTGAGGACTATGATGATATTTGAAATGAACTGGTGCACGGGTTCTGCTGTGATGATACGTATTCGCCCAGGGCTTGTTGATATCCAAGGATGAGGGTAACTAGACTGGGCGATGATTTCATCCACAACCCGCATCGGAAAGTGGCGTGCGAGAAAGAAACAGTGCAGATGATCGATCGCGCTTGTAGTCGTTCTCGTTCGTTCTCGTTCGTTTACGACAACCTCCGATTGGAGCCCGCGTCTCCCACGAACCAACCCACATGGACCCGGGAACTATACGTTCCGATGGGACCAATTCTGTTCCTGCCAATGACAGTTTGCAAGGCTAACAACAAGTGCTCGCTAGTTCTTCACTTTTCTTGATTTCAATTGCTTTTAGGGGTATTCGGAGATTTGACGAGATCTGAGCCCTGGAAAGTTCCCCCGTTCTTTCTCCCGATCCAGCACCGGTTGACGTAGATCACAAAGCACAGCCCAAGAAACAGCTGGCTTGGGAAGGGAAAGCTCCACCACAGTTGATTTGAAGAGCCGTTCGGGAAAGTGCAGAGGACTGTATCCGAAGTCTAGAGCTTGTGGATGATGTAGGTACAGCTTCTCGGTCCCCAGGTATCCCAACCCTACATAAGAAATCAATTCGCCCTTCTTTTTTGGTTTAACCTTTCAAGAAAATACCATTGTCTTGTCATCTCCGTTCCTAATTACGTCCCTTCTTCAACATGAAGCTTACCTCTGTGGCTCTTACCGGTGCCGCGCTGGGCCTTGCCCATGCCACTCCCGTCACCAAGCGTCAGGCCATCAGCGATGGTATGTCGTCCGAAATATTGCTCGAGGAAGCTTGCTTACATGGTTTTATTTAGCTGATATTCTCAACTACGCTCTGACTCTTGAGCACCTGGAGGCCAATTTCTATGCAGAGGGCTTGAAGAACTACACCCACCAGGACTTTATCAGTGCTGGATACATGGACCCCTTCTACGCCAACCTGCAGACCATTGCTTCGGACGAGCAGACCCATGTGCAGTTCTTGACCTCGGCTCTGACTGGTATGATTCATTTTGACACCGGTGTAAAAGAATAATACTAAGCAATCGTTCTCATTAGCTGCCGGAGCCAATCCCGTGGCGGCATGCAACTACTCATTCACCTCCACAGACGTGAAGAGCTTCCTGGCCCTCGGTAGCGTCTTGGAAGGTGTCGGTGTGAGCGCCTACCTCGGTGCCGCCGCCTCCATTATGAACGGCACTTACCTCACTGCCGCCGCCAGCATTTTGACCGTCGAGGCTCGCCACAGCGCATACCTGCGCTCCTACCTCGGCGAATCGCCCGTCCCGCAGCCTTTTGACGATCCCCTTAATTTCGATGAGGTCTACACTGTGGCTTCACCTTTCATTGCCTCGTGCCCCTCGAGCAACGGCAAGCTCCCCGTGAAGGCCTTCCCGTCTCTCACTCCGACCTCGAGTGGATCCGTCATGAGCGGCGCCAAGGTCCAGCTGATGACCGGCTCTGGTTTCAACTCCTCAATGGACATGTCGGATATCTTCGCCGCCTTTATCACCGTCACTGGTCCCGTCTTCACCCCGTTGATGTCGAGCGGTGGTGGAATGTTCACCGTGACTGTTCCCAGCGGCGTTGCCGGACAGAGCTACGTCGTCCTCACCATGGGCAACACCACTGTTACTGATGACACTATCGTTGCTGGCCCCGCTATTCTTGAGGTAATTTGATTTTATGTTCACTTTGAAAAGTTGCCGGTTTGGAGATGACTAACAGGGTTGATTCGATAGGTTGGTGCGATGATGGGAGGTATTACTGGTGGTTGCTCCAAGTCTAAGACTTGGTCTATGTCTGGCTCGTCTAGCATGTCTATGATGATGCCCACTGCTTCGCCGTCTATGTCGATGTCCATGTCTGGTTCCTCGACCATGCCGTCTGGCTCGATGAGTTCCTCGTCTATGATGCCTAGCAAGTCCCCCGTTTTCAACTCGGCGAGTGGAATCTCACCGAGTGGAGCCATTAGCGTCTTGATGGCTGCCGTCGCTGCGTTTTTCATGTAAATGTTTTGCATGTAATTCTGTTGTACAGACCCTTGAACTTGAGAGATATGGGTATTAGTGGAGGAAACGGTCATTATCACTAGGCCTCGGTCATATCGGGGCTTGTATAATTAATTAATACTCTCGAGCAATGAAAAGAGGTATATTTCAACGCATTTCAGTACCCAATACCGTCATCACCTTAGATACGTGACCTGTATAGTCCCGATCCTGTTATGACGTAAACCTAAATTCCGTTAGCTCCGGATCATGTGGGGATAACAACGCGACCCCAGCCTTCCAATTTAGTCACGTATTAGCCTTTCCCCCTGCATATATATGCCCACAAACGAAATGTCATGATATTTAGCCCAGTGTCATGCCACGCCGAGCCCACACCAAATCCCGCTATGGCTGTGATAACTGCCGACGGCGGCGAGTAAAATGCGACGAACAAGGCCCACCCTGCACGAACTGCATCCTACGACGCCTAGATAATTGCATATACTCACGAGTTCTCCCAGCCTCGCTTCTGGACAACCCCCGCCGCCCAAGCCAGAGCAGTACCTCGCCGCACTCAGACCTGGTTCTCCCTTTAAATGGCTTCAGTCCCGAATCACCGAGCTCTCCGCTCAAGCACCCCAAAGTCGATGAGTTGGAGCTGATGCACCAGTTCGCAACGGATACGTATCGAAGTCTCTGCGTCAGCGACGATGAGATCGGCACGTGGCAGGTTCTCGTCCCGCGACTCGCGCTCAAACATCGCTACCTGATGGACGGCATCCTGGCACTAGCCTCGCTGCACATCGCCAGCACACTCGAGCCTGCCAAGGCTCTTGTTTACATAGACACGGGGCTGGAATACCACAGTCTGAGTCTGGAGCCCTTCCGACGCGCAATCGACAACCTAGCCCCGGAAAACTGTGACGCGGCCTTCGCGCACTCCGTCATCACGACCGCGATCAGTCTCTCACTGCCGCAACTGACGGTGACCCGCGAGAACGCGGCCCGTATGACGGATAATATGATCACCGTCTTTGAGTTGCTACAGGGCGTCAAGAAGATCTTGACGATCGGACAGTCGTGGATCAATCTGAAACTCTTCTCTCAAGGCGCGTTCTGGAAAGACACAAATGCGACTCTGGATGCGGATACGGATGGCGCGCTGAACCAGCTCGCTACTCTGAATGAACAAACGAGGGCAAATGGCGACGAGACTCAATTTCGCATTAATAAGGACGTCATATCCCATCTTCGCCATTGTTTCACGAAGTTTTCTGCTTCTTCTGACCCTGCGCCGGTGCTTGCTTGGCTGGCAGCTGTCGACAAGGGTTTTGTGGATAGCCTCCGGCGACGTCAGCCTTTTTCGCTGCTCGTTCTTGCATATTGGGGTCTTCTTGTTGCGGAACTTAATGGACAGCGATGGTGGGCGCTGGATTCGGGGCGGGCATTGGTGTCGGAGTTACTTCAAGCATTGACTGCGGAGGATCTGTTATGGGAAAGCTGTTTGGGGTGGGTGCAGCGGAGGATAGCGTCAAAAAGTGATTAAGCCCATGTTTCAGTGTTGGTTTTTTTTTTTTTTTTTGGATGAAACTTCATCAGACTGGGTCGCTCTTGTGAGTATTTGCATAATCTTAATGACTACCTCGACCGTCCCAAACACGTCGGGCGCGAGAAATTCTTCATCTTGATGATCTCTAATTCTATTTCCAATGGTGTACAATGATTATATACAACAGCGTAGTTTGGGAGGTGAAAAAGTACAAGTTTAAACTCGCTCAAAGGGATATCTCATGCAACGCTCGCATCAGAGATAGGGAAGATGGGGGAAGATGGAAAATGGATGCACGCAGAAGACGAAACAGCCGAGGCAAATTGACCGCCAAAGACGCGCCTGGTATCTCAAACTTTTCCCTTGAACCTGAGTGGAATCTTGATGATATTGCCCATGATCCAGGTTAAAGGACGCGGTGACCCAGCCCATTCACGATCCTCCATGGCCGCAGCTTCTAGCATCACGCCCAGGGGATGACGGGAACCGAATAAGACACCACGTTCGATATCGCGATTGATGATACAGGAGGCCAGTCGGAGCTGGAGATCACGACCGGGGCCCATTGGCTGCAACGTGCGAAGATAGAGATCTGGCGCATACTTGAACTCGGCCGGGAGAGCCTTGATGATATCCTTTGGGAACGGGTGCTGGGCCTGTTTTTCGATGCCAACGATGGCCTTGCCAGCATTGGTACGCCAGATCCTCCCAATGTCGTTGTCTTTCATGACGATTGAGACGTTGCTGGTGAGAGAGCTCAGGACTGCTTTGCGCATCTTGTAGGTCACTTTGCGTTCCATGCAGGCATAGTACCACAAGACACGGCAGATATTGTAGCGGCGGGATTTGTAGGCTATTAGGAAAAGACGTTCGTATGTTTCGCGGTAGAGTTTGAATAAGGGGCGTTTTAGGAGTTGAATGGTGTGGTGGATAGCGTTGAAGACGTTTCCACGTAACATCCCCACGATAGGAGTGAGAGAATCGCTATCAATCGCAAGGTCGTGTTCGTTGCAAATCCTCAGCAACTTTTCCAGGGCATCATAGTCTTTCAGACGAGCAATCACGGCGAACATTTGGGCAAGTATTGACGAACTGAACCAATCGGCTCCAAGCGTTTTGACCATTAAATCAATAAAAGATTCAACTCCTTGGCCGCTTTCCAAATGCACGAAGAATGAATCCTCGATCGTCAAATGAAGAGGGCTTCGAATTGACCTAATATCATTCATATGGCCATTCTGCGCCATGTGGTTGATCAAGGAGGCCTTGTGACTGGGCAGGACCATAGCCTTCAGTAACTTGACCCATGTCAATGAGTTGGGGCGAATATGTCCTCGCCACATACAGTGTAGGAAAAACCGAAAGGCTCTCTTGTCCTGGCGCCGCGCTGCAGAATCCAGAAGGATATTGTAGGTGTCCACAGTGGCAACTTGCTCTGCCAAGGTAAACACGTCCCGGGCAGTGGCGAACATCTCGCGCTTGGATAGATATTCCAGGGCACCATTCAAAGCCGCAGTTGACAAGAATGTGCGGTTGTCCTCTTGTTTGAACAATGCCAATATTTCACGTGCAACCAGCTGCTGACATGGAACGCTGGGCAGGCCCGGGGTTTTCTTAGGCGACTTTCTCTGCACCCGAGTCAGGTCATCGATGTGCTCCGAAAATTCTTTCACGGAGTTAATGGAGGAGCGATGTTCGAGGACTTCATCCAGACTCAGGGAATCTTCCCGGTCAGTGTACCAAACACCGCGGACCAAAGGTACCGGTATATTTTTCTGCCGCATGGTCAGGGTCGAGGCGAATATAGGAACAATGGGCTTAGCCATTTCGACGAGTGGGTCGCCGTTTGTCTGCGAAAGGTGTGCGCGAGCAATCGAGTCCTTCACCAGCTCCCTAGCATGCTCAGAGCCGGACAAAATCGCTCTGCGGTGGACACCATCGCCTTCCGACGGTGGTAAAATATGGATGCGGCAACCGTTGCGCACGGAAGAAAAGTAGATGTTCTCCCCGAAACTGGCTTTCGATACACCAACCAGCAATCCAACAGTCTCTTCGGGGATCAGGATCTCCTTGTGCTTGGGCACCTTCCTAGGTGCTGCGCGCGGGTTAGCCTCCACCTTCACCATCAAATTCTTGACATCGTTCCAGTTCCCTGCAAGTCTGCGAATCGATGTCGTGGCAGGTGTCGCCCTGATAAATCTCCCGTAGCGTAGCTTCTTCCGATCCCGAGCGGATATACGTCTTGGTAGAGGTCTCGTCCCTAAAAGGCCTAGCGACCCTAACACCCTCCTTCTTAATGTCCGTTTAGGCACAGCCGTTGGGACAGCCGGAAAGGAAATATGGAAATTGACAGGCTGTTTTGGCCCTCCCACCGAGGGGCTTTGAACGTCCTGGCCTGACACCGCATCTCCCTGAAATTCCGTCTCTCCATCAAGCTTCGTATGTCCATCAAGCTTCGTATGTCCATCCTTCGTGGCCAAACTCACATAGCCACTCGTGCTATTGTGAGTTTGAGATTGAGCAACAGCGCTCGAAGAGATCCATTGACTCGATTGGCTCCGGAACGATGAGACAACGCGGGGGTAGACGACGGTTCGAAAAGGGGCACTGCAGCCCTTCACCGGAGCTGCAGCAGGCGTCAAGGACGAGATCGGTCGGCGACGGCGGAGAGCAGACGCGGCCCATCGGGGGTAGAGGAACAGTAGAGGTTCATCGGGGCCAGCCGCGACGGTGTCCAAGACGACAGAAAGGCGTCTTCTTAGACACGGGCGGCCACACGAGAACATATGGAACGATGCACTCGCGGCATAGGCATGGAGGGGAGGGATTGGTTGATGCAGAGGTTTGACGGAGCGATTCTTTTGCTCCGAAAATTGTTGCGCGGGAAGGGCAGGCGGTGGATGCGGCGGCCGACACCTGGGCTCCGACGTAGCACCGATCCGATTACTGACCCTAACACAAGTATGGATTTGAATTGACTTGAATTGATAAGAAATGTGAACGATCATTACACGGAGGTATAAAGCTAAAAACAAATTCTATAATCCAGACGAGGATCGCGCCCTTCACGGTATAGCTCGCGCTCAGTAGATGTGCCATTCACGGCCAACCTGAGCTGCCTTGGGAATGCCCTTGATACCCTTGCCTTTGAGAGCATGTAAAGACTCATCAGTAGCTTGTGCTCGCTTCGAAAGCAGAATGTCATGTCTAGACACGGGAGTAAGGTCAAGTAGGTCTGTCGCCGACTCGCCTTGTTTATCGGTAAAGACCTCTGGGCCGGTAATATGACACCGGGCGCTTTCTGCTGCCCGAATAAGATTGTCTTTCTTGCGTTGAGCCCGGTCGGTCTCGTCGTCAGACTCGGTGATTTGTTTGGATAGTTGGTGGATGACGTCGACGAGGTAGGTCACGAATTGCCAGCGTGAAGCCTGGAATAGAAACATTGACATGATCTCGGGGATCTTGTCATAAAATATGAGTAACTTGTAACATAGGGTTGAGACTTTCTCGACTTACCTTGTCATTTAAATAATATAACTCCTCGCCTCCATCCTGCACAAACTTCTTCAACGCATCGATCTTCTCTCGATCAATTGAAGCAAGTTTCAACTCGTATATCAGAGATGGAATATCGCCAATCTCCTCCAGATGCACCTGCTCATCCACCTTGGTGCTGACGCGGTTCAAAATTCCGGACTCGACGCGGCTCATCCCAGCCACGCTTTGGTCACGACTCCTCACCTTCGAAGAATGAATAGTGAAATAGTCCTCGTTGAGCATATGGGAGCGCTCATAGTCCGTGCGGCCCCGATGATGTCTCTCAGGAATTTTGGTCCTCAACCGGACCCAGCGTCTTCGCCGGACGAAAGAGTGAAACCACGGATGCGTGCCGTGCCACTGCGACGAGCCAAATGAAAAGGCGTACTGCCATCCCTGTTCGTCCACATCGCCAGACATGTCCACGTACCATGCCGGCCAGGCCCATTCCCAACTAGGGTCTGGCAGTTGCGCATTGGTTATGTTGACCGCGCTGTCACGTTTGTCCTGTGTCATCCAAGCACTGGGATCGAAGTTCAGGAGTGAGCTATGGGAGTAAAGGGGGACACCGAAGAAGAAAGTACCGCGCTGGTTTTCATATAGGATATCCAGCTCCGAGCGCGGCTTGGAGCCTTCGGTGTTGGTTGTTTCCTGGTTTAACCCGGCGGATTGGGAAGTGTCTGTGTGGCTCAGGCCTTGCGATAGACCAAAGTCGACTGTATTGACGTCTCCTGCTCCATCTCCTGCTCTGGATTCTGTTCCGGGTCCTGTTCCGTTCTCATTTAATGAGGAGAGTCCACTCGGTCCTGCAGCCGAACTTGCGCCCGATATCGACCCACGCACTCGAGACGACTCCCTACTCGGGGAGGCTTCTGTGTTGGTAGTCGACACGCCGAGTCTGTCAGGTTGCCATTTGGCGTATTTCCTCTTTGCAAGTTGCCCCGATACAGACACATGACTCAAATGCTTGGTCAGGCTGCCTTGGCGACCAACTGGGGAAGCTCGTGCAGGGGACTCCAGACCTGAAGGTTGCTGCGGGACAGTGTTGTCCACGAGGGAAATACTGTCGGTGCTTGCCATATCGCCGCACGGTATTGAAATGTAGAACGGAGCGACCAATTTCTCCTAGGGTTCCGAGAACCCCCGTCGTATCACAAACGTGGTTGGCACGTCACAGTCATTATCCAGAGCTTGGTCGTATTAAACCACTGTTGCCTGTAGTGGACTCAGGTCGTATCCGTAGTCGACTATTGTAGCGACAAAGGGTATTGAAAAGAGAGGGAAAAGGCAAAAAGGAAGGAGAGTAGTAGAGAGAATCAAGACGGGAGTTCCAACCTTGGAAAACGCCGATGACATCGTTTGCGGGGGGAACACTGCCAAGCCCGCCCAACGCGTGCAAAAGTGAACCGCTGCAAATCAACACAACGTGCCCAATCCACAACCATGGCAGCGCCGCAACAGCGCAAGGTCGAGCTCCAGTCTCCGGCGGATTTCACCTACCTCTACGCCAACACGGTTGCGCTCTCGCGCCAGAAACTCGACCAGGCCCTACCCCCTTCCGCGACAAACAATGACGAACCCGATCCGATGCGCGAACGCGTGCAGGAATTGGTGGACGAGGTGAGTTTACACGCAATTCTAGCCTGCAAGTTACATTGCTCTGAAGTTTCTTTTGACTGACTCGATCAATAGTACATAAATCGCACCTTCACAACAGCCTCCGCCTCAATCAGCATCAACGGGATCGACTCTTCGTCCTCCCAGTTCCCTTTCCCGGCTGCATTCACCGCGCCAGAGACCATCGAGTATGAGGCGTACGACTCGGAACTAGCCTCGCGCGTTACATCTCTCTATGCACAACTGGAATCGCTCACCACGACCGTTGCCCAGCTACGACGGGACGCGCCGCGACGGGCTGCGAGGGATTATGCGGCACAGCTGACGCAGTTGTTGAATGAGGAGGACGAGGATCTCGACAAAGAGCTCGATGATCAGGATGAGGCAGATGCTGGTCAAAACGGCATGGACGTGGAAACAGAGTCTGGCTCTACGAAACGACCCTCTCGCCGACGGCCAGATCCTACGTGGAAGCTGGATATTCCGCTTGGTACGGAGGAAGAGACGGAGCGTTGGTGGAGCGGCGATATGGCAGATGTGTATGAGGATGCGTTGCGGACATTGCAGCGGCTGCAAGGCGAGGGCGAAGATGTCGAGGCTGGCGAGGGCAATGCGTTGGCCACGACGGTTGGCAAGGCTGAAAGGGCTGGAAGGGCTGCCGAAGTGGTTGAGAGTATGTGAGAGCTTTGTCTCTCTGAATTTTATTTCCAGGGTTAATGGCGGCGTTTCGGTGCCCGGGGCCTGCACCGGGGATCATGATACCATGTCTTGTTAATGTTTTTGGACCTCTGTCGGTCATTTGTTACATTTACCTTTTCTACAGCTTTACCATGACCGAATACTCAATCAGCAAGGAACTGTATTTTCCTTGGGCCTAGCGGCCACGATTTCACTATGTGCTCTCCCGTGTATACACTCCATGAGACAAGGAAACAAAGCCAGCCATCTTCACTCCCCAACTCGCTTTTAAGAATTTCATCCCGCCCAGTCCCTTCTATATTAGCGGGCGAGCCGCGTATTTTAAACAGGCAAAAAAACATATGTGAGGAAAAATGGCTCTTCATGATATCTAGATCAGAAGTATTCAGGTAAAGCCATAAGCCAGTGAGTCCACAGGGATGTGGATGGGTGGTCGGCGAGGGTGTGTTGAAGCGCCCAGACACAAATGTCTGGGTGAAATCGGATGGATCGAGTTTCTTCCACTGTTGATCGGCGGGGTTTAAAGACAGATAGATCACACATCGGTGAGAAATCCCCCGGCTCCACAAACCGATTGTTCTGTTTTTGTATTTTCTTTGGGTAGGAAGGAGGGGCCCTGAGGAGCAACGTCGGCCCCCAGTGGGTGCGACTAGCGAGTGGAATGAATCGTTCTATAACGTCTCTATGCGCTGGCCTCGGCGCCCTCGTGGGCCTCGTCGCCCTTCTTCTCGACACCGGCATCCTCGTTCTCAACGACATCCTTATCGGCCTTGGGGGTGGCCCAGGCGGGAGTGCGAGCCCACTCGGGATCCTGCCACGGGCCCTGATCGGAGAGCTCGCAGCCACCCTCGCACTTGCAGGAACCGCCAAACTCGACGGGAAGGTTCTCGGGGGGCACCTGGGAAAGCAATTCGGACTTGTAGCCGCTGCCGAGGACGTGAATCTTGTTGACGGTGACGGGGTCGAGGAAACCCTTGACGACGCTGAAAGCGCTGCTGAAGCCCCACGGGGCGTTGATGATGTACAGCTTGCCCAGACGCTCGGGGTAGTAGTTCTGGGAAATCTCGGAGGCCTGGCGAACGTAGCCGTAGACGGAAGGGATGCTGGTAATGCCGACACCCTTCAGATCCATAATCGTGCAGCAGGTCTCGAGCAGCTTGCCGGCCTTGCGGGAGCAGGCGGGCAGACGAGGGTCGGCCAGCTTCTCGTACTCGGTGACGAGATTCTGCAGCATGCGCTCACCGGTGGTGATCTTGTACATGGCGTTGAGATCGATCTTGCCGAGCTTCTCGATGTAGACGGGGCGGCCATCCTGTGTGGTGAGGGGGATATTAATTCTCTTCCTGTACTGCAGACGAAAATAGTTCATTGGGGGGCCTACCTTGTCCGTCTTGTGGTAGTATTGAGGGTAGTACTTGAAGACCTCGGGCTTCTCCTTGTAGTCGAAGGTGCGAGGAAGGTCGTCGGTGCCGAATTCCTTGCGCCAGGCCTCACATTTCACAAACCTAGACAGCCATGTTAGATAAGATCGTTCTCTACAAAGGTCGCTGGGGCCAAGCTTGCAGGAAGCAGGGCTCCAACAATCATCGGAATTGGTCAGCGTACATAGCCTTGGCCAGCTCAACATCGAACTTGCGGGCGCGCAGGAAGCGCAGCATGGTCAGAGTATCCAATCGCTCGGTGTAGCCCTCCTGCTCCAGCTGCGTGCGCAGCTGATAGACCTTTGCATCCTGCTCCGGCGTGGTGTGGCCTGGGTGACCACTCTGGGGCTCCGGTGCGGTGGTGGGGAAGTCGTACGAGTCGTACTTGGGCTCCAGAGGCAACGGCTTCTCAGCAGTAGCTGCCATTGTGATAGATGTATCTGAAAGACGGGGTGGGGAGAAGGGAGAAAAGAAAGTTGGGAGGTGGGAGAGGGAGAAGAAGGGAAGGCGGGAAGGTTGGCGTAAGTGGCCACTTTCACTTCCGGCTCTGGGGAGGATCCGCCCTGGGAGTAAACAAGACGCAAGTCGATCTTTTCGGTGGTAATTTACGGTGGGTTAAGAGGACAACGGATGAAAGTTTCTTTTGAAGTGCTCCATGCAAGCTCACAAGAGGATGGTCGATTCTACACTGCTTCTCCATCGTATCTGCCCAAAACGGGATATTTCGCCCATTCCCCCCTGGATTGCATCCCGGTACGATTTCCTCCATTGAAGGATCAGCACCGCCAAAAGGCCCCTAAAAAATCTCTAAATCACCCGAGATGAGGGGCGGACACCAGGCGGTGTCGCTAGAACGAATCCACTCTGCAGGACAACGCTTGACCGAAGGAGCTAAGACGGTTGGTAGCAGTGTTGATGGAGCCCAAAATAAATTCTACCTATGGTGATATTAAGGTAGCACCTGTACAAATTGGAAACACAGAACAGGGTATTCAATCAGAACAGACAAACGCATGTCGCAAAGCAGGTTATTATACAGCGCATGGAGACCCAAGGCCCGAGCGGTGATGGGACAAACAAGAGTAGGATTACAGGACGGATCCCAAACCAGGTCGATCAAAAAACAAAAACTGACCAAATAACGAAAACTATGCGCTGGGTATAACTTGCAAACATCCACAACAAAAGAAAAGGGAATAGAAGATTCGGTCCAAAATAGATAGTCGGGGACCCCGAACCAGCGGGATCCCGCCTCGATCATCCTCCATCAGATATGTTCGTGTTTATCGGCAACGTTCACACTGTCATCCATCTGGTTGGCGTGGACGGGTGAGATTCATTGCAGAGAGCATTCATCCAGACCGTCGAGGATGGAATGGGTATATGTATAACGGATTATGTTCCGTGTCCATCAGATCATCACAAAATTAGGCCGCATGGGGCAGCCAACCAACCGAGACGATTAGGTCGCAGAGACGGAGGCTGCTCGCCGGTAATCGGTCTCGTTTCAATCATAAGGGGAGACTGGAAGTCTCGGGGGCGCGTGGCCCTTACCACCCCTTCTTTCGTGCAAATCGTTTGTTCAGAAGAGCCAACACCTTCGTGACGTTGAACTGAACGTATTCCAGATCAAGGTCTTCCAGGTTGTCCTTCTGCATCTCCAGAAGATCATCGAGCTTAAGATCAAGTTCCAACAATCCACGGGCTCGACCTGCATTCAATGTCAGTTTCAAGTTCCCAGGATAATCAATTTTAGGTTAGTACTCACCCTTGTAGTGCAGGCTGATAACAAAGGTGCCAGGAAGAGGGCTCTTGAACATAAAATAGATGTTCGCCCGGCGATTTTCGGGTACGTTGCTGCGTCGGATAACACCCTCCTTCTCTAGTTGCTGGTGGGTGAACTTGTACGGACCAAGTTCCTGGTGCTTCTGTGTCTTCCGCTGCTTGCCCTCTGACTGACTGCGGACATTGTGGAGGTAGGACTTGTAGGTCTCCAGCTGCCCAACCAGGTATGCATTATGATCGCGGATAGTGGCAAAAACCTCCTCCAGTTTCCGGGTTTCCTCCAAGACATTCTCCTTCAGAGAGCCCAGATGGACCAACTCCTGCTCCACTTCGTCGCGGAGCATACTAAATTCGTCCGAGCGATCAATCACGCCCATATCCTGCAGCTGACTGAGCAGTTCCATGGTGCGGATACCCTTGCGCACCATCACCGCATCGTTCTTGAGCGTGGCAGCCGCTTCAGCGATGCGGTCCAGTCGGAGCGGTCGACGGGCGACCGAGGAGTTGTGGGGAAGGGATCGCAGGATCTGGACGAAAGTAGACTTGGCCTCCATGAAGAAGACCTCTTCCTGGGTAATGTCCAGGGCAGCGGTCAAGTCATCCAAAGCGGTCTCCCACCGGCTGAATAGCGGGACATTGATGGTCCGGTTCTCCTTGCGAGGCACCTGTGGCGGCGCCGCACCCAACTCCTGAAGCAGCATCAAAAGGTGCGAGTTCTGGTCCTGAGTGAGGGCTGCGGTGTGCTTCTCCAGAAGGGCGTGCGTGGCGTACATTTCGTTGAGGGTGATCTGGAGCTCGAGGTCGCGCTTGGACAGAGCAACGTAGTTGTCCATCTCAAGACTCTCGTAGAAGTCCTGGACCTCGCACAAGTCAAGAAGGAACTTGTTCACGCGCTCCTTGTTGGACTCGATGAAAGGCTGTAGTCTGGCCATGTAGGGCTCCTTGGCATACGAGGGCTTGTTGGCCAGGTTCTGTATCATCTTGGCGATCAACGTCAGGGTACGGCGGGGTTTGTCGGTCGGGGTGGCATCGATCAGCATATAAGAGCGCGGAGTGACAATGGCAGGGTTGATAAAGCGCAGGAAGAAGAAACCACCGATCAGGGTGCAGATAGTCTGATCCTGAGCGTCGGGGTACTTGCGGCGGGACAGGCTGCGAATCTGCTTGCAGATCCATCGGATGCCGTACGGGGTCTCGTCCACGGATTCAATGATAGTGGTCAAGAAACCGTTGGCAATGTCGGTCAACATCTTCAGGCGAGGGGCAATGATTGCCTGCACCTGCTCGTTGGCTTCGGCAACCTCCGCGGTCACCGAGCGAGCCAGGTAGTCGGGAAGGGAACCGGTCTCCTCCTCAATCTGCTTCACCATGCTCTCGTACACCTTCAAAGGGTTGATCTCCAGGTCCACCTCGCGCAATTCAATCAAAGAGTTGATGCGGTCCGCGAGGACCTGCTTCAGGTAGCTCTGACCGGGACCGCGGCGTGTGTATGTGGTCATCATGCGAGACACGGGGGTGTTCTGGCGCAGGAGGGAGGAGTACTCGGGGGTGTTGTCAAACTGGTAGGTGAGGACGGACTGGAACATGGTGAGCAGCAGGTGCTCTTCGCGGCTCTCGTACTGGTTTCCATAGATGGTGAACATGACGGTCTGAAGCAGAGAGTCAATCTCGGCCATGGAGACCAATCGACACAGATGAGCAATGTGGCGGGGCTCCGACTGCAGAAGGAACAAGAGATTGCCGTATTTCTGAGTTCGTTCGTCGTTCGGGAAAAAGCCTTCTTGTGGGTCGGCGGTATCGTCGAGATGGCTGGCGACTTCATTTTGCTGCGGGATGTGTAAGTGACAATTGACTTCGGCACCGGTACTTTCCAAAAATCAATCATACCTCTTCTAATGCCATCCGGTTTTGAATCAGGAGAGCAATTCGCGAGTCCAGGTATCGCACGTCCTTCTCCAGCACGAAGTTCTTCTTGGACTGGGACGAAATCTTCGACTTAAGCTCTCGCAAGTGTTTCTGCGCTGTGCGGGAGTCAGTACACAATCATGAAACATAGGGGACATCCAGACGCACCTCGCGCCAGGTCATCCGAGATCTCCAGGTCCCTGTCCTTCGCGGACATGGACAGGTAGAGAGCGGTGACCGACATCCGCTTGGATTGGCGGATCGAGCGAGTATCGTGCGATGACATGGTGTTCGGTCGTGCGACTGGCTGAAACGAGGAAGAGGAAGAGGAGGACGCTCGAGAGATTCTCGATGCGGGCTGTAGCATGGTCGCAACGGACATGGTGAGAACGGGGGAAGACGGGTTTCGGGCGTTGATTGGAGGTAATTGCACTGCCGCTAAGCAGTGTCAATGGAAGACCGTCGCGCGAAATTAGGAGCGGTCGTTAGATGCAAATAAGGCGCTGGAGGAGTCGAGGTTGGTCCGGGTCCCCAGCGTTGAGTGTTGCGAGGCGCAGGACGGGACAGGGGCAGACTTTCTCGGGTGGAAAAAGGGTGGAAGAAACACGGATGACGGAAAATGCAAGTAGTGCAGGGTTAGGCGACGAAGATGCCCAACCTGAACAGACAGGCCACGAGTTGAAGGAAGGGAGAGGGGAGAGGAGGCAGGGAGGGGATCCTTGGAGGGGAGGATTATTATTTCGGTAGTTTGGCGTTAGGGCGGTTCTGGGGAAAAGGGAAAAGGGCAGAGGGTGGATGCGGTGGAGCTGCAAAGAGAATCATGATTTCCTCTAAATTGGACCCAAAAAAAAAGGAGACCGAAGAGGGACAGACGAAGGATCAACTCTTTGTTTAATCGCTATGACTCTTCTGTTTTACTCTGAATTTACACATACAATTCGCCATGCAAGGAGGTCCCTTCAAGGCCACCGCACCGGTTTACCCCTGGCTCAACGCCCGCTTTTGCCTTTTTGCCACCCTCCCCTTATCCGATCTCGAGGTGCCGTACCGTACTCGTATGAATCCATGGATAGGGGATAGGGGCAAGCCGGTTCCACTTTTTGAGCAGAATCTTGATGTCACCAACGGTGCGATCCTAGGATCATGTTACTCCGTACTCCGTACTGCGTACTCCGTAATAATGCGTACCTGCATCCGAGCATGGGCCGCACTGACCGGGTGGAGATCCTCGACCTTGGCCAACTCGGGTCCGTCCACGAGACCTCCATGTGGACGTGGATGCTGCATTTTGTAACCGCAGGGTTTCAGGTTGATTTGTCTCGGGCGGAAGTCGGTTGTACGTACATTCAGACGTACATTCAGCAGTGTTCTCGGGGGAGGTCCGCATGCATTTGCTTATCTCCAACTCCGACTGAACTCATCCCGGACGAGAGCTCCACTCGATCGCGCACCGTATGTAGTCAGAACCTGCTGCAGGTGCAGCAATCGTTCGTCACTATCAAAGCGGATGTCTCAGACGCAAGGCCCGGGGCGGATCTCAGCCGGATTGGCACCCTGCGGCATCCGACATCGTGTGGTCCGCGTGGACGATAACGCTTCATTTGAGAATTCCTTCTCTCATTCCGTGGCCCCCAATTGCATTCAGTCACGTTCAGCGTGACCTCCATCAAGTTCCGACTGGGCCATAGTTGATCATCTACCATGTCGAGGGGACCGAGGCTCTCCCCCGGTTCTCTCCATGTTCACAGCTCGACTAACAACCAAAATCAAGACGATGCTCAGTCTGCGGGGTGGCACTGAACGCGCACTCGTCCGTTGCTTTTTTCTCGCTTGACTGCCCCGGCCACCCTGCACTTCCACTGGCATTCCTGGTCGGTGCTTTGTTCAGGGGTAAATGCGCGCGAGAAGTGGATCCCGTGTGGGACCCGGGAGGGAGACTCGAGAGTTTCCTCCGCTTGATCGCGAGACGCGTACTACTTGTCCTACGCCCTGTCCTACACACACCTACACAACTTCCCCACCCTTGATCCAGGGTCTCCATGCCGCCCGTCCTGCCGAGACAATCCACGTATTTCGGGGTGGCGGAGAGATAGAAAAGAGTCAAATGCGACGTCGGAGGTCATCGAATGACAGCAATTGACCAGTGATAATTCGACCCCATGCCATGGCCGATCAACCACACGGGCCATATGCACCCCTCCCGTCCGTCATGTAACGCGCCAAGCTCCCGTCGCAGATCTGTTGCAGTTCGCATGTTCCTGCTTCTCTTCCCGTGCATTATACTCCAGGACTGTAACTGTATATTCGATGCTCCGTCGTGCAGTCAGATCAGCGATCAGCGGCACATGCCCCCTGGACATCCGTCCGTCGACAAGCGAGTGGGACACCGGAGCACCGCCCCTAAGCCCTTTTCCCGTTCGGGTTATGGGACCACTGAAGAAGATCGCTCGGAAGTATATTTGTCCACCGTCGAACCTTACTGTACATTCTTTTTACGGGGAACGGGCCATGCGGTATGAGGTAGTCCGGCTGACCCGGCCTGCGCAGTGACAATATGTGGAGTGTGTAGAGTTTGGAGCTTGGAGCTTGGGCTTCTAGGCCATGTGACTGGTATTTAGCATATTGAACATGCAGTGTGTAGTTGAAATGACTGGCAGGAACGAACCCCATTCCCGACAGCCTTCGAGGTTGACAAATCACCGCAACCAGCTGGAAACACTATTGAGCCTCGGTCGACTTGGAAAGTCATCTGCACATTGATCTGACGATATCGACACTAGTCATGCACTAATTACAAAAACCTAGAAAGACACAAGACATGATTCAGTCATACCCGTGATTAACCTCAACTATCTTTCTTCTCATTCTCCGCAACCGATTCATCATTCTCTGGAGCCGAGTCATCGTCCTCCCCCTGACCCTCCCCCTGCTCCTTCTCCTGTCCTTGAGGAAGCCAAAAGCGAGTAATCATTCCGCCGAGGAACATCTGATCGACCCATTTAACCAGCCCGTACAAGATCCATCCCCAGCCCCACAATGATATACCCATCATGCTGGCCACGAGGAGGATCGGCCCGAGAATGAGCAACGACAGGAGCGCCCACAGAATGACGGAGACGATTGCGAAGACAACCACACCCACCAGGAAGACCAGCAGTGGCACGCCACAGCAAATCGCCTGGCAAACGAGGAAAGTAGAAGCAATCGGGCGATTCAACATAGCCTCGTACATGGCCGCCTGCTTAGGCGGCGGGAAGTAGCGGTTCACAACCCATTGAACGAAGTACTCGAACATGTCGACAGCTTGTGGGAACAGACCGGCACACCATTGGCTGAACGAGGCCCAGAGAGCGGTAAAATTAACTTCGGGCTGCTGGGCTCCATCATACTTCTTTTCGGCGGCGTCGTCGGCCGGGAACTCTCCGGGGATGATCGGATCGGTGACCGTCTTGGTTGTGTCGCTGACTCCCTGCACCGGGTCGTTCGCTAGCGTTTTCACACTCCCGGTTGCCTTATCGGTGACTTGGTTTACCGGCAGGCCCTTGCCCAGGCCGCTGGTGACGGAGTCGAGAGACATGGATAATATGTGCGGAGATCAAACTGAACCGAATATAAAGAATTTAATATCGCACGGAATATCAGCCTTGCACAGACGTTGTTCGAGAAAGAACTTGTTGAGGGCATAGATCTATATCAACCGATCGGGGTATTGTGCCATGACGTAAGGGGCGTCTGATAAACTTGATGAAATATATTAATTTCCGTAATCACTCGATTTCAAGGCCTTGATGTAACTGCCAGGCTGCAGAACGGCGACAGGTGCCGATGCGCAACCATGGCTGTGAGCCTGATTACGATTGAAAGCCACATCCCCATCTCATTTGATGGCAAATGTGGCGTAAGGTTTGAAGATTGGTGGGGCTGGTCTTGCTCGTCACGAGTATGAGCGTGGATATCGCATAGCCAACATTTGCATTCTCTTCATTCTTCAAATCTCTTGGGTATCGAGTTTTTAAATGTCTTTCTAGACTTCTTCTCAGAAAGAGGTACCACTGAGCGTTTTCCTTGCGCGACATATGTGCCCGCTTTAACGGGCGACTGGGACAGCGGGTATCATGAGCATAGATCAGTCGCGATGAGCTCCAGTAATCCTAATTTAAAGTCTCCAACTCTGTAATTTATGGACCTTAGATCCGTCTCGTTAGCCACTACTATTCAACCGCCTCTCCTTTAACCACCTTTAACCACCCTCTTCAGCCACACCCTTTTAACCACACCGTTTAAATACCTCTCTACTCAACTGGTAAGTTACCATCCCTCAGGTTGACAAGATTGCCTAGCTTACGATCCCTTTGGAGCTTGGTAGAGCTTTCTGTCACCCAGTGGAGGGCCGCAGCTTTGTCTCATTTTACAGGGACATAGATCAGGTGAGGAACCAGACGCTCGGCATTGCCATAGCAAATTTTCTGGGCGCAAAAGTTTCCGCGATTTCTGATGGGTCGACGGAAAACATTTCCCCAAGCTGCGGGTAGCATTTTTCTGTCTCGATGTTTCCGCGCTCAAATTCGTTCCACGGGTCGCATCGCGTGATAGAGCGGAGCAAAACAATGGAGACTTGGGTATCAGCTTTTGGGTTCCTTGTACTACGTCTTATTGGATACTGTCGAGTTTACATGGCACCACTGTGGACCCTACGGAATGTATGTGGTCCCCTACCCTTACTGATATCTACATTCCTCAACGAGGTTCTCGGCTCGGTCGCTACCCTAATGCCAGCTGAAATTGGGTTCCCAGTCAAGCTACACTACAGACTCAGCGGGATCCGGGATCTCCTGCATTTTTATTAACTTGTTTCGGCTTTTCAAACATGATTGTTCCATTATTACGTAGATTCTAACTTCGGCAATATCAGCACGATGCAGCTCCTCACTTCAGGTAATACCCTGCCCAGTGGCTAATTCTAACCTCCACCCCCACTGGGCGGGTGGTTCCCAAATGATGGTTGTTCAAATCTTCCTTTCGACTATCTGTAGGGGCCCCTGTCATCTGTTCTCTACATGGAAGGGCTCATGTTTTCTTCTCTGTTCGCTTATTCCTGGTCGTTTCTCCTTCCTCTTGACTAAGGAGAAATCTACGCCAGTCTTACCCTTCTCTCTTGTTCCCGCAAAATCCCCCCAAATGTCCCTACTCCTACTCACAGCGATCATTGCTGTCACATTACTTGTTTTCGGCAAAAAAGGGTGCCAAATATAGCTCGTGACCTGAGATGACTATGGCTCGAGAGGTTATGGCAAAAAAAAACAAGCAGACTTCCAATATTTCCTTCGGCGATAAGTGGAAAATTCATAACCGCATTCATCTCCCTCACTTTTGAATCCTCAAATGTCCCCAAAATATGAGAAATCGTTGAGCTTGAAAGCCGACGGGGGCTTTTTCGGTTGCTGAACGCGGACGATATCATCCTGTCTTCTAACCGTCTCAAGTTCAATATCACCTATACTCTTGCCTATGGCAAGGATCCAGAACAAAATGATGCCGACTTTCGAGAAATTTTGGACCTGGCGGACGGCTTTGCTCAGGCATTGACCAACTCCACTTGGATTGTTGACATTTTCCTCATCCTTAGTGACCTCCCGGGGTCTCTTGCACCATGGAAGAAGTTCGGCGACAAATTCTTCGCACGCACACAAGAATGGTTCGAGAATAACACTTCCCATGCATTGAGTGCAAACTTCTGGAGCTGGACCAAGCGTGTTACAACCACCGAGCAGACTGGAAGTCTCACACTGACCGAGACACGGAGCCTTACTGGTGTTTTGTTTGAAGCAGGAGTAGGTTCAACTGCCACAGCGCTTCACCTTTTGTCCTCGCAAGTATCTTTCACCCAGATGCTGTTGTACGGGCGAGAAAAGAGCTGGACGATGTCGTCGGTCAGTCTCGGCTGCCAACTCCACAAGATGTTGTTAAGATGCCATATGTCAAAGGATTTTTCAAGGAAGTCTTGCGCTGTCGACCAATCCTCCAAGGCTTGCCGCACCACACCACCGCGCCTGATTCCTATATGGGCTATGAGATCCCCAACGGAACCACTGTCCTCTTCCATAATTGGGGAGCACATCAAGACGAGAACCTATATCCCGGGCCCGCCCTCTTTCGCCCTGAATGCTTCGTCGAAACCCCTGGTCTTCCGCTGGGTGTCTTCGGATATTTCGGAGAGCATGCCCGGGCCGACACCTTGCATTAATGACTCTGGATACAATCATACCCAGCCTTCTTTGGGCTCATGGCTTCCAGAGCTCTGGTGATCTAGAGCTGCATAAGGACGCTCCCACTGGGGCTACTGCCATTGGAGCATTCCTAAAGCCACTTGACTTTCCATTTGTATGGAAAATACGTGATGAACAGCGGAGGGCCGTGGTTGAGAACGCATGGTATGTGGCCGAGCAGGATTTAAGCTCTGCGATCGACATGGAGTAAAGGCTCGGCTTGAAAGATCTGCTCAGTATTCCCCTATCCTTTAGACTTCCCATAAAACAGCAAATTTATCTCCTGCCAGAGAACAAGTGGAATTGACGGCCGTAATCACCGGCTACATTGCTTTTGAAATTCCTAGGGTTATCATAGCTCATAGCTTGGTCAAACCATTCACAGGAATACCAATACATGTTGATCCAACAAATTTTCGCTTTGCTCTCGGTAAATCCGAAACAAGAACGTAGCACCCAGGCATTCCGAAAAAATCTTAGCATCATGTAATGTGGATTAAAATAACCAAAATGACGTATAGAGCCAGCTACAGATATGTAAGATGTGAGCTGTGAGTCGAATTAAGTTGTGATTTTGCATCAGGGCAAGGAGTCTCGGCTTTGAAGCTAGGGGTTCATATCAGCCCAAAACTACAAGGCAGCGGCTGGGCCCCTCTCCTCCTGGAAGGATTATTGGAAGGCCATTATCGTATACTCGAAATCTATAATATTTTTACGGGCAACAGCAGCTTATCCATCTCTCTTGAATAAGTTAAGATGAGAAACACGAATCCTATTTTATACGGTCACCGGTGGAGATCGTCAAAAGCTTTCCTCATTACCGTCGGTGTCGTCAGTTTGTTTTCAGGTAGGACTGCTTGCCAACTTGCCTAGGTTTTGATGACATTAACCATTCCAATCAGAGAAATTTCTATATGGGTTCATTGTTCCCATTTTGAAGTATATGCTTGAAGATCGCCTTGGACTTGTTTCCACCCGCACCCAAAAGCTCACCACCGGTCTTCTTGCCACCCACGGACTCTGCTCTCTGGTCGGGGCACCTGTTATCGCGCATTTCGCGGACAAAATAACGGACAGAAAATACTTGCTTCTCTCTTCTCTCGTGGGATGTGCCCTTGGCACCTTGCTTGTGGCAACTACACCATCACGTATGAGACTTCGCTCATCCTACTAATATAGTCGCAGCTAACGTATGAAGTTTGGGCACTCTTTCTTGGACGAGTCATCCAAGGCTTTTCTGGATCTGCGACATGGATTTCTTCATTCGCGATGATTATGGATAGCATGAAGCCAGAGCGTATGGGTCAGACCCTAGCATTGGCCATGTCTTTCGTGAATGGCGGTGTACTTGCAGGCCCAGCAGTATCCGGCGCCTTATATCAAGTGGCTGGGTATTGGCCCGCTTGGTCCGTACCATTTACTCTTCTGGGGCTCGACTTCTTTGCCCGAATGGTAATGATCGACAGAAGACGTGGACTAACCCAGCCTGCATCATCCCCAAAGTTGACGGCGACTCCAAAGGTCCAGGGACAGGGGCAAGGCATCGGCCTACTTTCACCCCAAATAAATGACCACGAAAACGCAAAGTACAGTCCGGGCCAGCCTTGCGGGGAGCGATTAGAGAGTGCTGATGGCCAGAAAGCACCGGATACAAGCCCCGATCAAGCTAAAATATCGAGCCTGAGGTTATACCGCGTTTTGCTGGTAGTTCCTCGAGTTTTAGTCGGACTGGTGCTTACATTGGGCCAGTCGATTATTTTTGCTGCTTTTGACACCACGTTGCCTCTTTACCTCCACGAAACCTTCCACTGGGGAACTTTGCCCGTGGGGATGGTGTTTCTTGGAATCCAGGGGCCATCCATCATCCTAGGTCCTCTCATTGGCGGCCTTCGCGATCGTCTGGGACTGCGATACCCTACCACCATAGGGTGGACCCTTGTAGTACCAGCCCTATGGCTGGTTGCGACTCCAGGGCAGCATGTATTTCCATGGATTCCTGCCGACTCTCATGGAGAAGCTGTTACGATAACCAGTATCGTTGTGGCTGGGTTTGGATTTTTATTAGTCCGCGGGGCCGGAGCTTTCCAATTGATTGGTAGGTTCATCTAGCATCGTTGCTTATATGTCTCTTATTGACCATGACCTAGCCGTCACCAAGGAGATTGAAAATAGGACCCCAAATTTATTCGGGCCGCATGGTGCGAACTCCAGAATTTCGGCTATGATGGAGGTCTCGTCCAATGCAGGCATGGTCATCGGGCCTCTTATTTCCGGCGGTCTCTCCGAAGCAATTGGCTATTACTATATGAATTGTGTGATGTGTAGGTAGAGCAGTATAACTCGGTGAATGGTTTGGACATCAGCTAATCCTGACTAGCAAGCATCGCTTTCATAATTGCCATTCTGTCTCTAATTTACCTCCAGGGGTAGCTGTATATTGGTACTGTTTCTTTAAATGATTATCACTTGTGCACACTGAGGTTTACAATAAATCAATGTTGGTGAATGAGTACTTGTAACCGCTAAATACAATCCAATAGAACCATCTCCCCGATCAATACGGTGACTCAGTGCGTATTCGGCCCAATGCTCTTGACATAATTGGAGATCTAGCGTGTGGTGAGCCATTTGGGTGCCTAAAGGATTCTGAACATCACCCTTGGGTGGCCGGTATATTTCCCAGCATCAAAACAGGTGCCTTCCTGCGAGCACTATCCGTTTATCCCTCTTTGGCTAGGTGGGCCCGCAGATTCTTACCAAATTGTTTAATTCAAAAAAGAGGAGCACACTACAAGATGAGCAAGGACAAGGTCACTCCGCGCCTTGCGACCAAGACGTCTCGGCCGGACTTCATGTCATACATTCTGAGGTACAATGACGAACGCGGTATGGAGATTCCAGAAATTGAGGTCAATGCGGGAATCATTATTCCTTCCTGCCAACACGTTGGCTTGAGGGCAATGACAAGGACAGTTCATTTGCTTCCGACCGACATGACGCACTGCAGCCGTTGTCTTTTGGGCCACGCGCGTGTATTGGACGAAAGTAAGTTTGTTTATAGGTGCTGTTCCTATTCTTGCAAGCAAATTTTCTAACTAAGTTTATTTTTAGTCTTGCATATGCGGAAATGCGTACTGTGTTAGCCAAGATACTTTTACATTTCGATATCTCTCTGCAGCCCGAGTCGGACGAGTGGAATAAGGCAAGGAGCTACATTGTCTGGGAGAAAGGACCGCTGTGGGTTCGCTTGAGCGACGTGGCTGGGGGTTAGAGAAGTGTTGTGATATGAGGCTGGTGCAGATCAGGAACAAAGCCGCAGCATCTGAAATAAATCCCGAAGTGTCTTAACGAAAAATCAAGTTAATTCCCAATCAACTTCATGTAGCTTTACTTATTCCCTCCGGGCCCCCATACCTTGGCGACAACATATGTGCTTCGTGAAAAATAGAGGCGAGGAGACCCGTAATGCCCTTGTAGTCTATATAACGTGGCCAAATTTTGGCGCTCATCACTTTGGCAGTCAACTAGAACGATTTAGCATATCGACCTGTCCGAAGCCCTTGAGGCAGAGAGTCCTACCTCGCCATCATTTGAGATGCAGTAGAACCAGAACCCGACGGCGTCGGTAATGAGACCATACACGACACAGTCTACTTCTTCTTGGTTCTTGCGGAGGTTGTGGATCATGACTGTCAAGAAGTTAGCAGCACTCCGATGTGGAGGACGCACGTCTACCCACTCATATAAGCTAAAATCTGTGCTGGGCCACAGCAAGTATAGCGTTGATTCCGTGAACAGCAAGCGAACCCGGGCTGCTTCGCGGTGACAATAACAAGTTTAACAGCCGCCTTCTTATCGGCATTATAGCGGACAATGTAGTCGGGGATGCCTGAAAGAGTATATTTCCTTCCCTTGTAGTCAACTGGGCACCTGTATTCGATTCCACTTTGCAAAAGTAGCTTGGGCAGGCTGGACCGCACTTGAAAAGCAACCTCGTCAAATAGCGTTTTCAAGCAAACGTCGATCATGAATTCTTGGTACATTGGGTTGAAATGAGTTGGTAAGAATAATCCTATGCCAGTTTAGTATTCTGCAAAATTTATCTGGATAAAGAATACTACACTCACTGAAACCAACTCCTAGGCGTTTCTCCATCCATGGCTTTTTCTCTGCAGAGTATCTTGGCCCCGGGAACATGGACTCAATGTCGTAAGTACTGATAACATTCACTGAGAGTTGGGGGAGCCTCGTGAGTCCCGATGTGAGGTGTGCTTCGTAAGCCTCTTGTCTCAGGCTTTCTAGGAGGTGGTTGTTCTCGACGTTGCTATTGCAATAGTTCATAACGGAGATACTTAAGCGCTGCATCCCACTTCGGATGACCTCGTCCTTATTCTCTATTTTTAGTGAGTAACGCATTGTTGGTGGAAATATATTTTATTGCAAAGAGCTCTGAGATTTGGAAGGAAAGGTGGCAACCTTTGGAATATATTCAAGTGCCTCCTCCGTTCCCGAATAGGCATAGTAACAACCATATGAGTTGGACTTCCCAAATAAAATTCGCCTTAGTTTTACCTCCAGATTGACTCAATCGAGTGAACCAAATAGGCGCGGAGAGCCTTTTGCAGCTGATGGTACGGTACGGACCTGTCTTGTGGCAGTAACGTCTTGCCCGTGGAACCGACGAGCTCTATTTTGCGGTAAATCGGTATGCTTTGCATGAAATAAAAGAGAATCCAAATCTGATTGAAATGATATGATTGAAATGATATGCTGCAGTACCCAGACGCCGGTTTCATGTAAAAGTGCAAGTCTATCTGTTTTGGTCGTTTCCCATAAAGCATATCATGAAACTTCATGTTGGCGCATCCTGCTCGTAGAGGAGTGGAGATGCGTATTTCTCCAAGCCATGAAACAATCAGCTACTCCCATTGACTTGTGTAACGGTCACAACAGGAGGAGGGGGTGCCGGATAAAGTGGAGGATAAGAATCAAAAGTAGTTCGAATCGAGCCAGTGCCTTCTTTCAGATAGAGGACAAGGCGGTAGGCTGAGTTGCCATTCAAATAGTATCGGTGGAGTCGCTTGCTGCGGAGGAAGCCGAGTCGCTCGTAGAGTTTCATCGCGGCGGTGTTGGTCATCTCGGTTTCGAGAACGATCTAAACGCGACAAACACCTGGTAAGCGAGAGACCTATCTCGAATCTGGAAATAACATACTTCGTCTGCGTCGCGCTCAATCATGGCATCAATTGCCATGCGCACAAGCTTCGTGGCAATTCCGCGGCCCCGGTACCCCTCGCTCACAGCCAGCATGGCAATATACCCCCTCAGAGGGCCATTGCGATGCGGCTCAAGTTTTGACACGACCACACCGACCATCTCATCCTTGTTGTCCATCGCCAGGAAGCAGAGGTCGCCCCATTGGTACAGGAAGTAGCGGTAGACGTAAATGCTGTAGGGCTCGGACAGATCCTTGGAGATCAGCTGGCGCATGGCGGCGACGTATTCATTTTCGCGAGCGCTGTCGTATCGCACGTAGCGGAGGTCATCGGGGGCATCTTGGCTCATCGCCGCGGCGTCATGAAGGAGGGACGGAGGTTCGGAGGTCGGAGGTGGTTGGTGGGATGAGAGGGCGGAGTAGCTGAAGGTCCCGATTGCCATGTGATGCCGATCCGTGCTCGACGGGCATTTCCTGGAATTCCTCTTCTGGCTTCATCATTGTTCTGTACCTTTCCCCAGGAAACCTCCTTTTCAATTGGTTCGATCCTTTCTTCCTTCTGAGCGGTCGCTATGCTGCGCCGCCGCACGGGGAAGGATGACGTCCCGCCTTCGGACTCGTCCCGCGACAACAGCAGACCCGGACTCAATCGGATTAAAACAGAAGAAGACAAGCTCCGCGAGGAGTTTGACGGTGCGAAAGTCAAGCAGCTGATCATCCGGCCACGCAGTAAACGCCGGAATGGTTTCATCTTCGTGCTGGGCGGCCTGTTCGGCATATTTATCGCCCTATTCTTCGCGAACCAGCAGGAGGTCATTAGTTTCGACTCGCTGATGGACTTGAACCTCGACTCATTGATCGATGCTATCCCCCAGGGGATTATCCGTGATGCAAAACAATTCTCGGTATAGTTTCCTTTGTTCTGTTACCGCCCATATAGCTGTGCCTTGCTAACGAAACGCCGTCTTACAGCAACACGAACGCGACACCGTCAGCTACGATTCCTTCGCCGTCGGGTTACACCTTCAGTCACAGGGCGTTAAGGCGAAGCACCCCGTCGTGATGATTCCCGGAGTTATCTCCACCGGTCTCGAGAGTTGGGGAACCGGCACCAATTCGCGCCAGTACTTCCGGCGACGACTATGGGGCAGCTGGAGCATGATGCGGGCGCTGGTCATGGATAAGGCGGAATGGAAGAATCACGTTATGCTCGATCGCGAGACAGGTCTTGACCCGCCGGGTATCAAGCTGCGTGCGGCGCAGGGATTCGATGCAACCGACTTCTTTATCACGGGCTACTGGATCTGGAATAAGATTCTTGAGAACCTCGCGACGATCGGCTATGACCCTACTAATGCGTTTAGCGCTGCCTACGATTGGCGACTGTCGTACCCCAACCTTGAAGTCCGCGATCAGTATTTCAGTCGGCTGAAGTCTTATATCGAGACTGCGGTCGCAGTGCAAGATGAGAAGATCACTCTTGCGTCGCACAGTATGGGGTCGCAGGTGGTGCTGTACTTCTTCAAGTGGGTTGAGAGCGAGGATCATGGCAATGGCGGCAAGGACTGGGTCAACAAACACATTGACTCGTGGATCAATATCAGTGGATGCATGCTTGGCGCCGTCAAGGGTTTGACAGCCGTTTTGTCCGGAGAGATGCGTGATACGGCCCAGCTGAATGCCTTCGCCGTGTACGGGCTGGAAAAGTTCCTGTCCAAGGAGGAGCGAGCAGAGATCTTCCGCGCGATGCCCGGCATCTCCAGCATGCTCCCCAAGGGCGGCGAAGCCGTTTGGGGCAACGCAACCTGGGCACCAGACGACCAGCCCGGCCAGGTCATGAGCTTTGGCAACCTGCTCAACTTCCGAGAGACCAATTCTTCCTGGACGCGGCGCAACCTCACTACCTCCGAAAGTCTGCGGTACCTTCTAGACCAGAGTGAGGACTGGTACCGCAACCAGGTACTGGGCAGCTACTCACACGGGGTGGCACACACAAAACGTGAAGTCGAAGCCAACGAGAAGGACCCACGAACGTGGCTCAACCCTCTCGAGGCTCGTCTACCCCACGCCCCCGACATGAAGATCTACTGCTTCTACGGCGTGGGCAAGCCCACCGAACGCAGCTACTTCTACCAGGAGGAGCTGGACCCCCTGACAAACTTGAACGTCAGCATCGACACGACGGTCACCATCAACGAGAACATCGACCACGGCGTGGTCATGGGCGAGGGCGATGGCACAGTCAACCTGCTCAGTACGGGCTACATGTGCGCCAAGGGCTGGCGCATGAAGCGATATAACCCAGCAGGTACAAAAATCAAGGTCTTCGAGATGCCGCACGAGCCCGATCGGTTCTCGCCTCGCGGTGGTCCCAACACTGGTACGTTCTACGCTCCCATCCACTATTAACAACCATCTAATTCTGCCCAGGCGACCACGTCGACATCCTCGGCCGTGCCTCACTCAACGACCTGATTCTGCGTGTCGCAGGCGGCAAAGGTGACCAGATCGAAGAGACCTTCGTGTCGAACATCCGCGAGTACGCGGACCGAGTACAAATCTTTGACGAAGAATAGACATGAACGAATATTTCGGTGAGGGGCGCCTGGTTTTGTTTTATTTTGTTTTCAAACGCTCCACTTTGCTTTTTCCTTCTGATATCCACATACACCTGCCGAGTTTTTCGTATTGCAATTTCTAGATGGAGGCATGGCATGGTTTATTTCTTGTCCGGGGCTTGTGGTTCCTGTACATTCTTTGGCGCTCGTACGAACGTCGATTCGTATGTTTATTTACACTGCGTGTACGAGACACGCTTTGATGTCATCAATCTGCAGGGTGCAAGGTTCTAGACATGAGAAACTTTTTTTTCCCCAGGTCAACTTCGTATTGATTGCCAGATGCGTGTCAGATAGCGGTCATAGCCGAGCCTTGATAGCAAATCATGTGAATCATGCGCATCTGCCCAAGACCGACAAACCCAAAGACTTGGTTCGGTCTCGGGTAAGTTTTGACTTCGTCTATTAGCTCCTAGACCAGCCCTAAAGTCGAAACCTTGGAACTTGCCCAGCCTCAGACGTCCACAAAGAGCGAACAATATCGTGGCTCAGCCCCTCTCCGGCAAGCCTGGGAAGTCCACATGCAGGCTTAACCCGTTGGATCGACGTGCAGTAGAGCGAGTGGGTGATCAGCCAAAGAAGCGGGGTTTAACTGGCCCAAGTGGCATTCCAAGTGTCCCGAGGGATCTGCATGGACTGATTCATACCGACCTGATGAAAGTGAAGCTAGTAAAATACGTAACGTTGAAAGGTATACGAAGTAGTTTTGCAGTGAATAGTAATGTACAATTCTTCATAACTTCATCTAGGGAGTATGAATAATGCTAACGATATCCCCCACCGGGTGTCCCCGTTGGATCTGACTCAAACACCAGCCCCCTCCCATCTCAAAAGAGACAAGACATTAGGGTTCACACATTACTGTGTTGGTCATTTGGATTCGCGCTTCATTCCAGCCAGAAGCCAAGATATCGGCGCAGGGTCGGAGAAACGGGCTCCGTCAGATGCCGTTCTCCTCCCTCGCCGAAACCCCATCGCTGAGCTCAAAAGAGTCCCAGCTCTCCACCTGCTTTGGAAGATCCACATGGGATCATCCATGCCGACGCCGGTTATCACCTGCCAGCGGCGTAGGCACCAAAACGAAGGGCAGACCAAATCGACGGTCAAACGCATCCCTTCTTCTATGTGCCGATGCAAAAAAACAATGTCCTCAAAAAAGCAAAATGTCCAGGGTTTCTAATGCACAGCGAGTGGGTGCAAGCAATGGCGCCGAAACTTTTGTTCAACCGAACCCAACTCCCCAGTTCCCAGGCGCCAGTCATAAGCGATCGACACGAATAATAAAAATGTTTGTGCATCTGGACGAGCCCGAGCGAATGAAGGTGGCTCGTCCAGTCGGAAAGTCGTAGCGAAAGACATGGGTCAGAATAGAATGATAAAAGTGCAGATCGTTTCTAGTAGGAAACGTCTGAATCTGTACAAGCGAAGGTATCCGACGGTGACGATGCGGGAGTCGCAAACCCCAGGCAGGTTGATGGGGGCCCGCCACCGGAATTAATATTATAGACGGAGAAAGTCACACCACACGCGGAGTGACAAGGCATGTACAGCCAAAAGGTGAAAACAGAACCTTCGGCTCAAGGCGGATCGAGAACCGCGCGAACCGGAGGTTTTCAATAGGGGATTAAAAACCTGTAGGTGTCGAAAATGGCTCGATGCAGATAAGGGTCCCAACATTGTCGTGAAGTGAAACGCCGTGTGAAAAAAATAGATGCAATAATGAACAGGGGTCGAAAAATGGTATATGCATGTCGAGTGGTCATTCAGCGGCCGGCCTCGATGTCGTGGTTGGATGTCAAGGTCTCGCTCTCCCAGGTGTAATGGTCGTCAACCGGGGAGAGGGTACCCGAGGAAACCGAGGACGAAGAGCCCACGGTCCACTCATCGCTATCCAGGTTCAAGTCGCCATCCAAGCTTGCGAGGTCGTAGCCGAACTCGCGCGAGGAGTCGCCGACCTCGACATAGTCGTAGTCCCAACGGAACATCTTGTCGCTCTGGATGCGAGGCAAGAAGCGAGTCTTGGCAAAGTAGAAGGCCACGGTGGCCAGCAGACCACCGCAGACCAGGTCCACGGCGTAGTGGTGCGAAAGGTACATCGTGGCCCACCACATCCAGAGGGTGTAAGTGACCCAGAGAGGCTTCAACCGCGGGAAGACGTGGCTCATGAACAGAGCCGCGAGAGTCGAGTCGGCGGCATGGAGCGAGGGGAACGCACCAAAGACCACGGGGGATTGCTTGAAACCCGAGGTGTACAGGTCAATTCCGAGAAGCTTGTCGATACGAGCAAGACCAGCGGGGTTGCCTTGCATCGAGTAATCGGCCGGGGCGAGACCGTATAAGTTCTCGTACCACGGGGGTGAGCAGGGGAACACCAACTGAATGGTGACAGCTAACATGCTGATATATCCGAGAGTCCGGGCAAAGAGGGGAGTCGTGCCCGGGGGACCAAAGATAAAGAGGATTAGGGAGACGACGAAGGGCGCTCCATAGTGGCAAAGGCCGTAGGGGATCCACGCTAGAACGTCAAGCACGACGTTCTGGTGAGCGGACAGAATGTTGCTGATGTTGGCACCGTACAAGATATTCTCCATGGCCGGCAACACCCGGACCCAAATGGCAGGCCGCCAGTCGCTAGGAACGAACCTATTCACGAATTCAATTAGCCATGCTCCTTCCGCCACGCGCCCAATGACTTAATTTTTTGCCTCAGGAGGCGCACTGTGCACAAAGGGAGGCAACACTGGGGTGTGAAACTTACTGGCATCCATAGAAAAAGATAAGCCATCCAGCAATGGGCAGGAAAGGCAGGAAGAACTGCCGAGTGATGGGCAAAAGCAGGGAGAAGAGGAGGAGAGTCGAGATCGCAGTCTTGCCGAGCGGGCCAGCAGATTGAATGATCGTCAAGGAGAAGATGCCGATGATCAGAAGCAGGAGGTATTGGAAGTCATACATCGTCCACCGATGCGCCTGGAGGGAGCGCAGGGTGTCGGCGGGCGAGAACGAGGTCTGCAACGTCGAGATAGACGAGGTGGGCGATAAGCGACTCCGGAGCTTCGACCGGATCTTGCGGCGCATTCGATGCGGTACGAGCATCTGGAATGAACGCCATGGCATCTGAATCTGAAGTTTGCCGAACTGGTTTTGCGTGCGATCCTTCCATGACGGATAGGTATTCATCTTCGCGGCGAGTCTCCCTTCAGGAGACTCTGGATCACTCGAGAAGGGGCGAAGGGTCGAGGGATGCCGCGGGATGAGACGGAAGGAAGTCGCGGAGTGTTCGGAGGGGAGGAATTCAACGTGGACAGCCCGGCATGCGAGAGAATTAAAGAGGAGGGTAAGCAAGGCGCGGAGCCTAAAAGGTGTGTCGAGAGTAAGAGGAGGGAGGTAAGGATTAAGAAGGGGAAGATTGCAAGTTGGGAGGATTCCGTATCGTGTATTGGTATTACCGCGTTCGCGGTTTTGACGCCGGCGAGTCCATGGCGTCACTAGTCTTCTTCAGGGGGCCGTCTCTATCGATGCAACGTGCATATAGTCGTATGCAGTAATCTAGGTATTGGATGCACTACGTAGGCTACAGTTTGCTCAACACCGACGAAATCTATCGAATCTGTCTTTATAGTCGGACTATGGAAGAGAGACCAAAAAAATTCTCCGTATCAATACATTCGGACGAGTGCCGGGCGGATGCGGCGGAACGGAGATCACGGAGGCCGAGGGGGCAGACGCATCAGAGATCACAATGCCAGTCGGAGATTACTGGATGCAGGATCCGAATGGACAAGGCCAAGCCTGATTTCTTGGTCATCCGGTTCTTTCTTCTTTGTCGGTCTGCTGGGTCCTTATTTACGAACCCGAGCTGGGGTGACACTATGCACCCCGGGACAGATTATCTGATCTATAGAATGAGCTATGGCCTCGCAGGAAATGAATAAAATACATGTCTGGGGACATCATCCCTTGAAAATAATGCGGTACACTTGCGAGGCCGTACCGGTTGGGACGAAAATTTTCAGTATAAGATTCATTGAAGGAGGCCGATTGGTCCATGCTCCCCTTCCACGGGCCCATCGTCCCCCGTGGTATCCAACGGTATCCTTCAGATCTCCCGGCCAATTTCGCTTAATGCACCCAAGTTGTACTGGCCGTAATTCTTATGCGTATTATACACTGTCGTCCTGGTGATTATTCAACTCGCGTACCCGCAGGAAGAAGTCTCCAACACCAGTTCCAGGGAACTACCTCCTAATTTTTGTGGCCGAGACAGGGGACCCTCTTGGGCCAGGTACTTAATATCGACTACCGAGGGACATGGTTATCACCGCTCGGATATTGAGACTCTGCTGATACTGTCGCGGGTGGTCGCGTGTCCGGTCGCGTGTCGAGAGAAAAATTAAGGGTGAAGCTGTTTTTGACAGCTCCTTACCGGGTTGAGTGTAGCTCGCAGCAAGCTCGGCACGGATGAAAGGTATAAAAAATACTGTAAGTTTGTACTAGCTCTGCACTACCGCACGCTATCGTTCTTATTAGTCCTGTTTTAGTGCCGGGTCCAGCGCGTAGATGAGGATGTGCATGGCATCGTCCAAGTGTCTCAGTAGGGGATGACCAGCCACCCGACTTTTATTTCTGGTGGCGCGATTCCAAATCCCACCGACTCAACTTCGGTCTGGCGCATGTATTCTTAAGGGTACTCCGTATATGGCCAGTAAGTGAAGCACGACTAGCTTGCCGCCCCCAAGTTTCAGATTCTTGTGAAGCGCGACCGCGGCCAATCACGAACCCTTTCGGCGGTCAAAGCTCCCGTGTGTCTGACGAGGCGCCTTGGCGAGAGGGTGGTTGCTCTTCGATCGGAATTCTGTATAGTGTATAGTGTCAGTCAAGGCTTTGGATGTACGGAGTAGACGTACAGTTGTAGGGTGGCTTCGTATCAGTGCGCTGAGACTGTTGCCACTGACATCAAACTCGCATGCCGGTGGAGATGGCACCCGTTCCCGACGATGCCGGTATAGTCTCCAACTTGATATACTGGCTTTCGAGATTGTCTTCGCGCTGGTGAGGATCACTGCTTTCTTCTGTGTTGACCAGTCAGTCGAGACAAAACACCACGGATACTCTCAGATGAGTCTTACCAGCGACACTACTTGTCTCAAGCCACCATATCACAATGTAAAAGACGCAGATGTGCCCAAACACAACCAGGATCAGAAACATTTCATTGAAGGTGAGTTCTGGGCCCGTCTCTTTTCCGGCGATCGGTGCGTATGCTGCGGAATTGGGCGCCATTGTCTAATAGTCCCGACGAGGTACGGTATAGAACGGTGATGGTGTTTTCAACAAATGCCCGGCTCTGAGATGGAGGTAACGATGCTGATACTCTCACTGACGATACTCTGAGAGCTCGAGATGACGCTGAGTAGGTCCGCCATCTTGCCTGTTCAAGGTCGCCGTTGCCAAATTAGGACTCGGAGGTGATGTGAGGTTTAGTACATGGCAGTTGCTACTCAATGATGACATAAGGCTTTTCGATGTAGCGTCAAACGTCAAATACCTCAAGAAGCAGAAAATTAATTCAGATAGCATTGGCCTTCAATTTGTACTGTACGAGCCTGACTCAGGAGAGGCATTCCAAGTCAATACTCATAGAGCTGTCTGCTTCTGTATAAAGTATAAGCGCCACGGATGACGATCTCGGATATCTGCGAAACGGTGTCTAGAGGCTCTCTACGGAGTACTCGAAACATCTTCCAGTCAATGCTCGATCTCCTTGAGCGGCACCAATCCACGAGACCCGATTCGATGCTGCAGCGGCACCAACACCAACCCAATGCGATATATCGAACGTTTACACCCCAGCCTCTGACCCCAGCTTCTAACGTCGCAGAACCCAAGACCAATCACAAGCCAAAGAACAATGACAAAAGCCGGTGCGCTTACAAGGCAAATTAACCGTCTCAAATCCAAAATAGAAGACGGTAACGAAAGATCCGAAAAGTCGACGTGACAGCGTAATAATACTAGATTCTTCATCAAGACAGATTGTACATCGTACTCGTACAGCAAGCACGTTGACCAGTCTCGGCACCTTCGGTGGCTGCCTGGCACGAAGTGGATCCTACGTGCGTGGGGAATGATGATGAAGCAAGGCTTACAGACGACCCTTAATTTCGTGCTGTGTCCGTGTCTGTTTTTCCTGCACGAGTCGCTGCGTCAATCGACGGGGCTTGTACGCTGACCTCATAGCGGTGGCTTGGTTGAGGCTGCTTACTGCGAGCTTACCCTACGAGGAATGGCATGTGCGTGCCGAAGTAGGCTAATGAGATTGGATTTGAGGTCGGTGGGTACTATTTTCGGAGAGTGTCGGTGCTTACGGTACGTAATGTTTTGCGCTGCGTAGAGTCTTTCCGGGCGTAAAGTCGTTGGGCTGATATTTCTTGCTGACGGAAACTTTAACTACGCGTCTCCGTAACTACCTACTCTACTCCATGTGGTCATGAAGGATTGTTCAAAGTTGACTAGCCCGACTCTTTCGATCTCCTTCCAGCCCAGCGAGATTATGGCAGTGAGCAAGTACGCCATAGAGGGACGTCAGTGTCGATCGAGATCGAGCCTCCACCTGACCCAGAAAGCCAAAAATCAGAAAACCTGGTGATCTGGCGATCTACAGCCCTGGTATGTGGCACGAGTCTTACGTAACTCCACGAACAATTTATGTAGACTACAGTATGACAAAAGTCACAAAAGTCAGAGAACGAGATAATACCGAAGAATACACTTCATCCCTTCCTACACAATCGCAGCCTCGTGCCTTGCCAGCCCCAACCGAACCAAGACTGATGATCCCTTACGCCCGTACACCGTCCTTGGCGTTGCACAGCCAAGGTAATTGGCAATCGTGGCAGTATTTAGGCATCACTTGGTATGTGCAGCCTACCCAAGCCACAACCACCCGGCTATGATCCACCATAGTAGAAGCATCGTATGCCCATCGTAGATCCAGACGTGTGCTCCACAGGCATGAGCATCGCGTCCACGGTATAGGGAATGCGCAGTGGCTCTACTGTATGATAATTGACAATTTCCAGCCGGTAATTTCCGGTAGACGGAAATACAATACACATCGATGTAATTTCAGGTTATGTATTAGGTAGTGCCTGAAAGTTACTGTGGCAGTGTAATCTAGAAGGATGCCGGATCCGGATGGCGATCGGGATGATGAACCCATGAGAACGATATGGCGCAATGGCCAAGTTTCTAGAATACAGGCCGATACAACACCACATCGACTTTAACTATCGGAACTAGTTTTTTGCCGGTACCCAGAACTTCCGGATCGGCGGACGCAAGTCCCCGATGTATGTAGGTCCATGGCGGTGGCGGCGGCGGCGGCGGTGGTACCGACGTTTTTTATGGACCTGATGGAATGCTGAACTATTGACCCGCTTTATGCGACTCTACTGATAGGAGGAAAATCTATAGTATTTGGAGTTGATATGAAATGCTTAATTTCAATTTATGGAGATGAAGAAATCCATTGGAAATAAATGAGTCGAGCCACCCGAATTCTATGTACTGTGGATGTTTTTGCGAGCCGCCTCGCCTGGTGCAGAATGAAAGAAACCGCTTAACGCCAACCCGAGAGTCATGAGATAGATGCCATGTCGTCAACGCCAGATTACAAGCGAGATAAAGATTCAAAGTCGAAATAAGGGTATCGGGGCGCGATTATTCGTGCTTGGGATGATCTGAATGAGCCATCATCTGGAAAGCCTTGACCAATCCCATCGCCGATCCAGCGGCAATGCCTCCGACAAGGACCATTTGCAACCCACCAACGAAGCCCTTGCGGACGTTCTTCCGGCCCTTCCAGCCGGTCACGAAGCAAGTCTTGCCGTATCCGAATATGAACAAGGCGATGATCATTGTCGCGATGGACCAGCGCAGCGCGACGAAAGCATCGTGGGGACCAACGAAGAAGTAGGGCAGAAGAGGAACGAATCCACCGATGAAGTAGCCCAAGGCAATGGTGAGCGCGCAAGTGACTGCTCGAGATCCCGAGGGCTCAGGGAGGGTATGGTGGAAGTTCATCAGGAAGGAAGGGAGCATGGGTGAAACAGCGAGGTGGTTGGTGAGCTGGGCCACCAGTTCCGAAGGCAATTCATACGGCTCGAAGATGTCGCTGATGGTGGTTGAGACGGAGGCCGGGTCGGTCACCGTTTGTGTTTCCGTCTCCCTCAGCGTAGCCTTGTAGGATTCCCTGTTCCTGAGTCAGTGGACCCGTTGCTAATACACTTTCTCGAACGGGACTCACTCTTCACTCTTGGCTCCGAGATATCCACCCAGTCCCATTGAGATGGCACCTGCAATGAGCTCGGCCATACCACCAAAGACAACCACCTTGGTATCACCAAGAGCAGACAGGCCGGCCGTGAGGGCAAACGGCACAGTCATGCCGTCCGACAGACCGATAATGGCATCGGACACGGTGCGACCGTCAATAAAACGACCGGGCTTCTTCTCATCCCGTCGGCCTTGTTTGTCTCCGTTCTCGACATCGGACTGCAGACGCATATGCGATTCCTTCTCGTCATCGGTGGTCGAGCCGCGGTCGGACAAAGGCGAGTAGCTCGACATGAGGCCTCGGAGTGAGTTGGTCGACATGTTGATTGGTGACTGTAGCAGGGGGGAACCGTAAAGCCGAGTCGTAAAGAGGTTGCACACGAGCAGAGAAGAAAAGGGCGAGCGACGGCCAGAACTTAAGAGCCGAGCAAAGCCATGTGCTTCGCTTGGGGGGTCGCACGAGAGTGCGGAGGCGCTATCCTTGTCACAAACGGCATATCCCAGCCTATTGAGGCACAACGTGCTTGGCAACGACGGGAGCTCGAATGCAACGCCAGGCACGTGCCGCTCTGATTCGAGGACGCCGGCCGGACTGCGGGGCCAAGTGGGTCGTGTGCTTTGCTTGTTTTTCAGGAGTTCTCCAATCACGTCGTCTGTATTATAATCGCGGATAAGACGTTTTGTCCGATTGGCCCCATTCCCTCCGAGTGGACCTCGCATAGATCGCGTGTCCACAGTGGACCGCGTAGCCTGTCAAAGACTCTGCATCGGGGACATGCGATACACTTTCGACGTGCAAGGACTAATTCTCGTGCAAGTACCGACTGATCATGGCACGTTGCGCTATTGTTCTGAGGTAGTGGACTACATTCCCTCCCAAGTGGATTCCTTATCGCCCCCCTCCCCCACTCTCCTACAGGGATGGGATTCTGCACCATGCCGCCGGTCTCCGTTGAATAAACAGTCCCGGACAGAAGTGCGATCCCGGTGTGCCATATCCTAGCATCGGTCACCCTCTTCGTGCTCTCTTTAGCTTCTGTCGGAGATCCTGATGAGATGGTTTATCATAGATAGCAACCGTGCAACTATCGCTGGTGGGCAGGTGCCAACGAGGAGAATGCGGGATGCGGGGATGCAGAGTGAGGTGTAGATGCCAGTTATAATGAGAAATACCTAGGTGAGACGGGCGTGTCGTAGTATTCTTCTATAAATACCTCCCTTCTTCTCTCCCTAGATTCTGCCTTCGCAAGGAATGTGCAGAATTCCGATCAAGATTTCTCACGCGACATCAACACAAGCCACCATGAAGTCGATCTGGAGTCTGATCTGCCTGTCCGATTTGTTCATCGTAGCAGCAGCCCGCCCAGCAGCACGCAATGCTCAGGTCTGGGGCCAGCTGCGGGAGAATGTGGGTGCTTGGAAACCATCCCAACCTTCCTTCACCAATATCACTATCTAATCTTGGCTAGATCAAACATGTGATCTATCTGACCCTCGAGAACCACTCCTTTGACAACATCGCAGGCTACTGGGATTTCCATGAAGACATTGACAATCTGGTCGACATCTCATACTGCAATGAGTACACCAATGCAAACTGGACTGTATGGGGAGAGCCACTTGCGATCTGCGCTGCCCCATTCGAGCTGGAAGTCCCGCTCAATGATCCGGACCACGACTTCGCCGGCGTCACCTATCAGATCTTCCGCAAGTGGAATGCCACCAAGGACGATGTTCCCGACATGGGTGGCTTCATCGAGCGTCAATCGGAGAAGTACAAGTCCACGCCCGGCGATGCATCATTCGTGATCAAGGCCTATAATCAGAAGAAGACGGCACTGCTTGCGGAGCTGGGTCAGAACTTTGCCTTCTTTGATTCATATGTATGTGTCCATTCGCCATTCAAAGGCAGGAGATGGCTGAATTCAGAGTACAGTTTGCTGAGCATCCGGGCCCGACTAACCCCAATCGCCAATTTGCGACCTCGGGTTCGACCTGCGGTTTTGTCGACGACACTAACCAGGCCGCCGGTTTCTTCAACAACGTTACTGGAACCACTTGTGCCACATCGATCTTTGAATCCCTCAGCAATGCGGGCATCACCTGGAAGAATGTACGACGACGCAATCATGTAGATTTTCTATACTTCGGCTAACCATCTTCCTTAGTACTACGAGACTGAGATCGTGGATGCATTCTTGTACAAGGTATATATCCCCTCCCCCCATAAACAGACCGCCACTAACAGCACACAGTGGGTTCAAGACAACGCCATGGACCGTCTCGTGCACGCCGATGAATTCTACCGCGACCTGGAAGAGGGAACACTGCCCAGTTTCTCGTACATCAACCCAGAGTGCTGCACCATCGACTCGATGCACCCGACCAGCCCTATGGCCTCGGGTGAACAAATGGTCAAGCACTTGTACGATTCACTACGCCGCTCACAGTACTGGGACAACGCGTGAGTCAAGCTTCTGACCTCTTAGCGTGCCAAGCTTCTAACCGGTATAGTCTGCTGATCATCAACTTTGACGAGCACGGCGGGTTCGCCGATCACGTTCCCCCGCCGATGAACGTGCCCCAGCCCGAAGACGGAATCACCTTTGACGGTACATCGGAGGGACATCAAGTGACCTATGACTTTACTCGGCTGGGTGTTCGGTACGTTTAACGAGGTACATTTTTACCAAGGAAGAAACTGACTGAGTGACAGCGTTCCCGCTTTCTTGATCTCACCCTACGTTCCGGCCAACTATCTCATTCACGATGAGGGTACCATGTACGCTGACAACTCGGCTTACACGCACTCCTCGATTCTGCACTTTTTGCAGGAACTGTGGGGGTTGGAGGGCCTCAATAACCGGGTGCAGTGGGCGAAGACATTCGAGTCGGTCTTTATTGACGAGCAACGCGATGACACGCCCGAGACCTTGGGGACTCCGACCTGGTATGGCGGTAGCGGACAGCCCGAGCCGGATCCTTTCTACCTTTTGAACCAGGATGCGGCTTACTACAATGCTCTTCAGGACTAAGATAGCCTGGAAAAGGCTGGTCAAAGAGTCAGAGGACACGCGTAGATAGAGATGAGTCGCTCCATTCGGAATGAAATACCTGCATACCTAACTAGCATTCAACGCGTTAAAACAAGTGTCTACAAACACCCATGAAATGTACAATCAATAATATATTCAGAGAAATGGTTTTTTTTGCGAAACCAAAGAATGCCATGTCCAAGCACGTAAAAGCGCAAAGTTAAAATCAAGGTCAAAGTCGAGATGGCAATACCATCACGGAAAAGACCCCTGGGTATAGGGTGTGATCGGACATCGTGACGCATTGAGCGGTGTCAAAAAGCCGCAACAAGTGGAATGGGAGATGGACAAATGGCCATGAGAATAGATCAAATCACAAGAACCGTAAACGTGAAGAGGTGGCGGGAGCCATGCCGGAATATAAGAAGAAATGCCCGCGACTGATCGCGCTCCAAGTCTCAGTACCTTGGCGAGGGTATCTGGGCCCGTTTGCGCGAGTAAATGAACGAAGTGAAGAGTAAAGAATTGCAGGGCTAGACTGCGCGTTTACTTCGAGTGCCTGCAGTCCCAAGTTAGTAGACGGAACCAAAGTCAGGAACTAGATCGCATACGGCTTGCGCTTCTCGGCGTTCTTCTGTTCGCCGGTCATATCCCACAGCCGACTCTTGTATGCGGGGAAAGAAGTGTGATTCCACATGTTAACGAGGACACTGCGAATGCGAGCGATTAGTCTCCAACCCAACCCATCTCGACAAGAGAACACACCTCTGAGTTCGATCCTTATACGCCTCATCCTGGACTTCCTTAACCTGCACCTTCATACCATCCTTGGAGAAAACCATGTGCTTTTTCTCCATCTTCTCGCGCGTGTTCTTGCTGACATCCTGCACGATAGTGTACACCACGTATCCGACGACAGCGAGGACGGCGACGAAGAGAAGCAGGAGGACGAGGGGGAGGACGTTGTGCTTGGACTTTGCCATGGTGATCGGATCGGAGGGGGTTGTGGCTGGAAGGAAGTGGAGGGTGGAGAATTAATCTCTTTTGATCGGAGCGCCAAGGGCCGTGGTCCGTGTAGGGCTTGGTGTTTTCTGGGCACCGTTGCTGCCTGGAGGTTGTGCAGGAGGGTCCTGGAATACCCGGAGAAGGTGCTGTTGAAATAAAAGAGAATAGAGGAAAGAGCAAAGAGAGAACGACGATAACCATGAGCCGCCAGAATGAATCAGGGGCTCCTCTTAACGGTTCGGCTCAGGCCCCGGTGACGTCTGATTCGATGAAGAATGTGGCTGTGCCGTGTGGCTTGCAATGTCTATACTTAGGTCCATGGTCAAGGCAGTCCAGTCCCCGGAAGTATCCTTGGAAGTAGCCGTATTTGAGTCGCTTCGTTAATTTCTAGTCATCTCGGTCAATAAACATTTTGGACATCTCATACAGCGCGTCCCCGCAACCATCGGCCCGGTCGGGTGGATCGCGATCTCATCTGCGTCATAATGATAGAATCCAAACTCTGGCGGTGACCGTCCTGATCTGGGGAACCCTATCTCTTCGCTCTTTATAGCTTCCGAAACCCCGATGAACCATTCCAATTCATAGTCCCTAGTAACCACACACAATGTGCGACGTACCCTTCTTCCCCATCTTCCCCATCTGCTTCCAGTGCGGCACCGACCAGAACCCGTGTCACTGCAAAGTCGTCGGGCCGACTCTGGGTAAGTCTACCTACCTTTCCACGAAAGAAAAAGGAAAAAGGTCATTTCTAATCAATTCCTGTGATTAGGCTTCTTCTGTACCATCGTCGCGGCGGTATGTACACCCCAGCGATAACTGATCACCTTTAACCTCCGAGCATCCCGTGGCTGCATTGATGGCTGACTGACGCAGGTGGTTTGCTGGCCGGCCTCGATCTTTTGTGGCTGTGGCTGTACCCAGACTGGCCGAGAGTATGATTCTTGTACCTCGTTAAAGGCGTGGGCTAATGCGATACAGTGTGCTCGGGTACCCGGTGAAACTGAATGGGCAAGTTAGTAATGCTATACCGTTCTGATCGAGGTGGTAAATTTGGGGGGGGGATGTTGGAGATTCTATAATTGATTTCGGACGGAGTTTGGATTGGGATTTCCGCGTACGCCCGGTGCTCTTTGGGAGTCGGTGAACGAATATACGTATCATTTCTCAATTGGATGTCAATTAGATGTCGGTCGCACTGGGATTGACATGATTTCACTACGTTGAAGCAATTAAGCACTAAACCCTACAATCTTAATTTAATCAATTTGATGGCAAGAAGAATTCCCATTTTCATGTTAAATTCCGGGTGTGAGTGAATTGAAGGAAAAGACCAAGTGAGTCCAGTAATCCAGAAGCGTAGACACTATTAGAGTAGGCGAAAACAAGCCTTGCTGGAATACAATGCGGTGCAGTGCAAAATGAGGTATCCAGGTCAAAATAACAACGAAGTCAGCGAAAGCAGGCAATTTAAAAACAGAAGAGATCCTCCAACTGTTTTAGCCGTATTGGAAACGACTCCACGAGAAGCGTCTATTTCAGCTTGTCCTTCAACTTGCCGAAAAAGCTGCGGCGCTTCTTCTTCTTGTCTTCCTTGCTGCTGCCCTCTGAGGTAGTGGCAGCGCTGGCACCCGCAGTGTTGTTGGACTGCTGGGCAGGCTTCGCGGTACTAACTTCGTCGGTCGTCGCAGTCACAGGTCCGTCGGTAACAACAGGGGCGGTCTGGTTCGTGGTGTCAGGGACGGTCGGATTCGTGGTAGGGGCAGAGGTTGGCGCCGGCCCCGTAGAACGACCCGGGGGAGGGGTAGAAGTCGGGGACACATCGGCGGAGTCGAAGCCTGGAGCGGCGAGACCAGCAGCGTGCCCGGGGGCAGTGGGCTGGGTGGCAGCGGAAACGGTGGGAGCTGGAGTACCAGCCGACTCGTTCACGTCGACTTTCTTCTGAAGTTCTTGCTCGACTTCCTTTTTCTCTTGGACAGCCTCCTCGTAGGCTGCCGCCTCGGGGTCCCGGTGGGCGTCAGCGATTGACTCCTTCACAATCTTCGGAACATCCTCCGAGGGCTCCGTGCCGTTCGTCTGCGCGTTCTTCTCAAGAGGAACTGCGCCAGCTAGGGCTGCAGTGGTCGAGGTAGGAGCTGCCGATTGCGTCGTGTAGTCCGGTTCGGTGGCAGGCTGCTTGTTCTTTTCCAGAGGAACAGCGGCAGCCAGAGCGGCGGTGGTCGAAGTGGGAGCTGCCGACTGGATGGTGTAGCCTGGGTCGGCGGCGGCGGCCTGCTGAGCAAGGCCACCAGCAGACTGTTTTTGCTGATCGGTCATGGCAGCCCGCTGTGCAGGCCCGCCCATAGGCAGACTAGACTCGGGAATGAGGTTCGTGGAAACGGGAGGCACCGCGAAAGCACTGGAGCTGACGGTATCGCTCTGAGTGCCAGCACTGCCGAGGGGCATACTGTCCGCCTTTTCATACGACTCCTTGTCAAGCTTCACGGTCGAGTCAACGGTGTTGCCATGGATCGAGCTAGGGTCTGGAACCTTCTCGCCAGGGTTCAGCTTGATGGGATTGCCGTAGCCACCCGACGCGGGGATGGGATTGACGGATAGGGTTTGCTCGGACTCCTGTCCCGGCGTCTCGGGGAAGGAACCAGGCAGGTCGCCATTAAACTTCTCCTTGGGAACTTCAGCAGCGAGGGCCGCGGTCGTGGAATCGGGGGTGACGCCAGACATGGTTGCGGGTGCGTGGACGTTGTTGGAAGTTTCTTGGATATCTTCGGGCAGGATCACGTTGTTGATATTGCTGTGTCCGTCACTTTCCTCTCGCACACGGCTATCGGTAGTCCAAATGCCGTCGACAACAAACTTCAAAGTCAAGTCAGCACTGGGATGATCCAAGGTTTTGCATCGCACAAGTGGTTTTATAGTTTTGGAGAGGGACACGCCCAGTGACGTCAGTGGACGGGTGAAGCGTCATCAAAAAACCGGGGTTGCCTAGAACTGCCTGAGGCAGCTCCTGCTCACCGCAACGTTTATCTAGCGTGGCGCAAAGCAGGTGCCCAGGGGCAGTATAGGAAGGGGGATAGTCAGATGAAAGAAAGGGGAGACCTGCCTTGTACTGGACCTTCTCAATGGGGAGAGACACTGTCTTCGCAAAGCCGTCGTCCACCCGGTCAAGTCTCACCGTCTTACCCCAATCATCGAAAGTGCCCGTGACGAACACCTCGTTCGCGTTGTAAGGCCTGAAAATGCGAGGAGCCGTCCAGTCAGCGATCCAATCCTTTCCGCCTTTTTGTCCGTGCCACGATTCGATCCGGTCGCGAGTGTCCCGGGTCCAGAGTCAAGATTTCGGGAGTCGAGGCAAGAGGGACTCACCATCGGAATGTAAACGTCCCCATTTTTGTAGAGGGATGCAAGCTGCCACAAGCCAGAGAATGACAAGAGATGTGACAGAAGGAAAAAGGTGAAAAAGTTGGGAAAACTGGCAAGCTCCATCCTATCGGGTGGGGGGGGGGGTGACACAGACCATGTTCTCGCCCTTAGTACATTACTCAGGCCCTGAATCCCTTGGAACGTTGGTATTGATACATAGTTCTTGCCGTCTGCCATTGGCGCATTCCTACTACTATAGATATACCGAGTGGACGAAAAGAAACAATTTGGACCGGCCGCGTGCTTTTCCCTTGACAGTGGCAGTGGCCATGACGGTGAAAGTGACAAGCGACAAGCGACAGACTCCTGCTCTTTGCATGGATGTGCGACCGCCCCAATGCCGCCCAACTGGCCCCGATCGACACTACCCGCACACCTGACTTGAGACGAAATGCACAAAACTTTAGATTTGGATATATCCAAATCCTATCAAGGGGGAAGTCAATTATGTCCTTTAGGGGTGGGTCCATAGTCTGGACTATGATCTCCCGAGACTGTCTGAAAACGGTAGCACTCTAGTGAATGACCTCAAGAGTCACCACCAGCCCATATTTGCCACCCAGTCCCACAGCTGTGGCGACCAATGTGCATCATCTCCCTCCTCTCCGCTGCGTGTTCTAGAAGACACCTGGAAGATGCCGCGACAAAGCTTTTTTTTTTTTTTTTTTCCCGCTGTTTCCTGTCGTGTGCTTCCCACGGTATACAGTGAAAGAGATCAAGCTCGGTAAAACTCTGGCTCTCTCCGCTCGTGATCCGCGGGTGGAAGTGACGTCGATCACGATGGTTAGCCAGTCGTAGTGGAAGTCGGTTAAGGTAAAAGTGTAGGAGTAAATTGGTCGCCCATGATCGACAAGAAGCTCAGACCAACTGCCCCCGACTTTACTCCTCCTCTCTACCCCTCCCTCCTTTCCCTTTGCACCCATTGAGCTCAAGAATCCCTGAAACCCGGGGATCTGCTCCTTTCTTCTGGAGTCTAGCTGTCTTCTCTATGTGAGTGTCTTTCGTCATCCCGAGACCTTCTCCTCCACCCTCCCACCTTCCCACGTCTCCACGAGCGGTTTGTCTGGGACGGCCTCCAATTAGACTCATCCGTCACCCATCTCCACTCACTGCTGGCCGAGACTGCCCCTCCATTCTGAACGTCTTTCCTCTTCCACATCTCCTTTTGTGTCTCGAACTTCCCCTTTAATACCATATCCTAATCCTCCTCAGAGCAGACCAGACTCTCTCTACACGCTCGCCGTCTTTACCCTCCCGCAACCACACTCCCTTTCCCCAGTTTCGTAGCCGGAGCCGCGGCCCCTTCGGCCTTTACAACCGCAGTCATGGCGGAGAGCTCCAACTCTTTCCCGGGAACCAACCCCTTCATCAACACCAACACTGAAAAATCCCCCAACATCCAGAAAATATCGGAGGAGGAAGAAATCGAGGTGACGTCACCTACAGACATGACATTTCGACAGGCCAACGCAGGCGACTCTGGGGATGCCGGCTTTGGAGGAAGTGCTTTCAACGAAGGTTCACAAGATGGAGGCCCTGGGGCCTCGTTTTTTGGCCAAAGTCCCTTTGGCACGGGAGCTGCATCTGGAGAGGGCGAGGAGGAGGGTGGCCTGGGTGCTCTCCCGACGGGTTCTGCACAGCATGGCTTTCCTAACAACTATGCGCTGGGTCGTCGAACCTCCGTGTCGGCGGAGTCTTTGAACCCCACGTCTGCAGGCGACGAGAGCTGGTCACCCCCGTACCACCCTAAGACCGATGATCAGCTGGCTCGCCTCCGGACAGCGGTCAGCGGGAATTTCCTCTTCTCCCATCTCGATGACGACCAGTTCAAGACTGTACTCGATGCCCTCGTTGAGAAGCCTATCCCTGCCAAAGACATCAAGGTGATCTCGCAGGGCGACGCCGGCGATTACTTCTACATCGTGGAAAACGGCCACTTCGACATCTACATCCATCCGTCTGGCTCCGTGCAGCCAGGTCCGGGCGGCCTGGGCAACAAGGTCAGCTCCACCGGACCCGGTGGTTCATTTGGCGAGCTGGCGTTGATGTATAATGCCCCGCGTGCTGCCACCGTGATTTCCACCGAGAAGAGCACCCTGTGGGGCCTGGACCGTATCACCTTCCGGCGGATTCTGATGGACTCGGCGTTCCAGCGACGCCGCATGTATGAAGCCTTCCTGGAAGAAGTTCCGCTTCTCTCGTCCCTCAAGCCGTACGAGCGCGCTAAGATTGCCGATGCACTAGACGCCATCAAGTTCCCGGCGGGAGCGACCATCATCACAGAGGGCGATCCGGGCGATGCGTTCTACTTGTTGGAGTCGGGTGAGGCCGAGGCGCTCAAGAGCGGAGTATCTGTCAAAGAATACCACCGGGGCGACTACTTTGGTGAATTGGCTTTGTTGGACGAGAAGCCGCGCGCTGCGAGCATCGTTACCAAAACCGAGGTCAAGGTGGCCCGTTTGGGACGAGATGGGTTTAAGAGGCTTCTCGGACCGGTGGAGGAGATTATGCGACGGACCGAGTATCAATTCGATGCGTCCAAGTCCCCTACTGCTTCATGAATGTGATACGATACGATGAAATCGATTTGGGACATGACATGCAAGAAACTCGGATTGCCATGAACGGTCCCGAGTCTATATTTTAGGTTCTCTTTTGAACGATATCCATTCCTCCATGCGTGCCCCGTCCCCCTTCTTTTTATTTTAGTACTCCAGTGACTCCTCTTTCTATCCCGATGCCCCACCGATCCAACGCTCCTTATGACCTGTATCTACAAACTTTTGTCTCTTTTACGTGCGGCGTGGTCCCTGGCACAGGTACCCATTATCATCCTTGTCATACTATCTTGCTGTTGTTCGAATTATCCATGTCCCGAGCTCGCTCGGGTCAGAGCAAATTGACTAGAATTTTACGCATTATATTCCACCGTACACGGTCCTCACCATGCAATGTCGCGGTCACCTATGGTATTCGTTAATCGTAACCCCAACGCCATCCATGTATATACCTTGGTTCTCCATCACCGTGGAACAACCAAGTCACTCCGCAACACCCACTTCTCACCACTTGTCACTTCTTTCCCCTCGTGCAGCATGCAGTGATCACCATGCCGATGGAACAAGGCCATTCCTATCTCCGGAGCCACCGATATAGGCTCAGGATTGCGATCAGCCCGCGTAGGTTCCGGATAAAATACCGTCTCGCCGCCCCCGCAAGTAGTCAGATAGATAAGGAGGGTCCAAGTCGTGCGCGCGGGTGTAGACTTCGTCGCCGTCGAGGGTAGGAAAGTAAGCGAATTAGACTCGTCGTCTGCAACCCATTAGCACACACCCTTTCATTATCATATACGTGCAAACCCACAATGCTGCGCAAAAAACTGCCCTGCCGAGTAGCGATAGATGCGAATATTAGGGTTCAAGCCCAGTGGCTCCCCGCCCCAGACTTCCTGTGCTCTCCGCGCAAGCTCCTCCGGCGAAGGAAGAGTCGCGCCCTCGTCATATTCGTCATACTCATCCTCGCCAAATCGCGTCGTTGCAAGCTCCTTCATTGCCGTCCCGCTCCATAGCATCTCCGCAAACCGCGCATCCTCTACCTGGAACCGGTCATTCACCCGCACCGCCTCGTCCTTCTTGGGTTTTCCAGGTGTCGTGGTCAAGGGTAGGGATGCGAGGAAAGAGGCATATGTCTTGCATAGTGAAGCGGGGAGGAAGTTGCGGATCAGGTAGATCTGATCGGGGACGAGGGTTTCGAGTCTTAAGTCGGCGGCGGGGAGGAGAGGGCGGAGAGGAGGCCAGTTGGGGGGTGGGTATGCTGGGCTTGGCCTTGGGCTGGGGCCCATCAGACTTTTTTGTTTTGGGCATGGTTTCGAGTATAATCAGGATGACATGTGTCTAGGTGCTGAGTAGATGTGCCATGTAAGGTATTTTTTAGCGGTGGGGAAGTGGAGGATTGTGCGATAAGATGAGCCCGAGGTTCTGCACGCTGTTTCTTCTCCAATTGCCTCCGCTTCCCCCCCCCCCACAACTACAGAACATAGTGACTTGCATAGTACAGGTGTGACACTTGGGATGGGTGTATTGTCAGTTTGGACGTCAGAAAGAGGGGTCCAATTTCTAGGATCTTCGTTACCCCTCCACTCCAAGCGCTGATCCATTGGAGTATATAGATGGACGAGCCGAGTGGCAGCGGAGTCAAGCCACCGACTATCTGGAGAGGGGTCGACTCCACTTGCAAAACTTGTTCAATTCTGCTTTCGAATAGACAAATATACATTTTATTTGATCATAGGGGAATCGCAAAAGACACAGATCTCTTAACATCGAGTCGTTCGATTCTGTAGATCTCGACCGTCGGTGAGGAACCAGGCACCCAACTCGGTGGATCTGGTCGGAGGGTGGAGCGGGGCGGCAGAGAAAATTTGTCCCAGAAGATCGTCTGGTGCCAGGGGAAGGATCAGTTCAATGCAGGCTTTTGTACGGGGATCAACTCAATCGTCTCTTCTTGACTTCCTTTTCTACTTTTCGGTATTTTCAGCGACCATCACTCCCATATAATGCAGTGAAAGGAAGAATCTTCAAAACTACGGGCGTCTGCAGCCACCATTTCGGCAGGCCCTCACCGCCCGGCCCAAACTGAGAACTTCAGCTTTTGCTCCTCTCCTCCTCTTTTCCCTCTCCCAGAGCCATGTCGTCGCAGACCATGACGGCGCCAGCAGTGGGCCATCGACCGCCTGATCCAGGTCCCGATACGCCCATGTACGACTATGGTCTCCCCCAGAATGACGGCCCTCTCCCAAACGAATCGAGGAGCGACTCCGCAATCCGCGACATGCATAATTCTGCCCCAACCTCCAAGGGCTTGCCCGCCACCCCGATAGGTGTCAAGTCTGAACCCTCCGAAGACCAGGATTTTCCCATGTCCGAGAACCAGAAGGAAATCAACACCCAGTCCGCTGCCGGCGCCCTACTAGCCCAACTCCTCGGAAATCAATCCGCGCCGAATTCTGCTGCGATAGACCAATCGACCGGGCAACAATTTGACCAGAAAGATGGAAGTTTTGACGAGTTAAATAGCCATTTGATGGGTCCATCCGCTGATTTTACCACATCCTTCAATCCGAGCCAGCAACAGGACCCAGCCTCGATATCCAAAGGGATGTCCAATGGCGGAAAACCCGCCGTTGATGTCCTCGCGGCCGCTGAAATGAGTCCCCGGGGAGGAAACAGTGCAGCGCATCGAGGATCCGATGCAATGGATTTCCTCTCCGATCCTTTAAATCCCAAATCGAGCATGGATCAGCCATCTCTTCTCCCCCCTTTCGATTTCGCCGCTGCCCCAAAGAATGCGTTCGAGGCCCTCCAACAGAACGAGCTACTCACTGCCGCATACCTCTCTCAGGGCGCAGACCTTTCGGCTCTCGGATATCAAGGTGGAGCGGCATCCATCGCTGGGTCAGAACCTCAGATCCAAGCGTTTGCCAAGTTGGAATTTGACGATGGTCACTTTTATGTCAATACCTACTCGTTTATCCTAGGGCGAGACGTTCGGGCAGCGCGCGCCGCCCATCATCGAGAGATCCAGTACCGGCAGGCCGTACGAAGCTCTCGAGCGAAGAGTTCAAGTGGAGGCAACACTTCGCACACCCCCAACCGTATGAAGCGGGAGGGAAGCGGTCCAATGATGGGCAGTGTTGTCAGCGACCGGGGAGGTATCATGGGCTTTGACCCTGATGTTCCTCCGAATCTTCCAGCCAACGTGGAGCTTAGCCGACGGTCATCAAAGTCTTCATTCGATGGTTCCGCAGCGCCCCTGCACGCCAACCCGGCGCAATTAGAGTCAACTACAGACTACAATGCGCTCGCAATGCAATCCTTACAAGAGGAACCTGGAGAGGCCAAGCCCGTTGATACGTTAGCTTTGCTCCCTTCTCCGGACTCTTGTCCTACAATTCCCATCCATCCTCCATCGACTATTGATGGCATCGCCGCAGGCCACCGAGGTATCTCTCGCAGACACGTCCGCATTTCTTACAACTTCGACCGCAACCTCTTCGAGATGGAGGTTATGGGTCGCAATGGCGCATTTATCGGGGCTGACTGGCTTTCACCGGGGCAAATTCGCCCGTTGCACAGCGGTGACTATATCCAGATTGGAGGCGTGCGCATCCGCTTCTTGCTACCAGATGTTCCCATCGGTGACACTGGAGCGGACCGGATGGAAGAGAAATTGGCAGAAGAAAAGGAGGCTCAAGAATCGATTGATCTCGATGCTGATGCTGATGCTGACGCTGACGCTGACGCTGACGCCGATGCTGATGCCGAGCACGAGATTGACGACATGGACAGGCCCTTCAGCGAGAGTGCTGATGGCAAGGATTCCAGGAAGTCCTCCTTCAAGAATAAGGATGATTCGAAACTCCTGCCTTCTATCGAAGCAGGTGGAGATGGCCAACAACCGGCTCGCCGCCGTGGACCTGGCCGGCCTCCCAAGGACGGAATCATGTCCAAGCGCGAAAGGGCTGAGCTTGCTCGGGAGCAGAAAATGGCCGCCAAACGCGAAGCCAACGGTGGAGTCACACCGCCGCCTCTTGCCAACACCAAGCCCAAGGCTGGGAAGACTGTCTCCAAGGAGCCTTCTCAACCCGAGTCGCCGACATCCTCCAAGCCTGCCGAGAAGCGCAAGTATACCAAGAGGAAGAAGGGTGATGGCACTCCGACGGATTACCCTCTACCCTCAACCGAAGGTGGCCAGTTTACTACAGAACAACGGCCTGAAGAATACGTCAAGCCCCCCCCTGTCAAGAAGCGCAAGCCGTCACGGTCACCATCTCCCAACTATCCTCCGGAGTCTGCCTATACGCCGGAAGACCTGGCGAAGCCTCCTTACAACTATGCTGTGCTTATTTTCGACGCTCTCACGGAGGCTTCCGTTCCAATGACGCTGAAGCAGATCTACCGTGCATTGAAACTGAAGTATCCTTACTTCCGCTTCAAGTGCGAGACTGAGGGTTGGACATCCAGTGTTCGGCACAATCTGAATGGTAATGGGCATTTGTTTATGCACGCAGAGCGAGATGGGAAGGGATGGTCATGGCAGCTTCGTCCTGGTGCTTCTGTCGAGAAGGAGAAGAAGAGACGTCCTTCGCCTCCTCCACCTCAACCTCCACAGCAATCGGCACCTCCTCCGCAGTACATGTCTCCCATGACCCATTCCTACGCACCCCCAGCCGGGGCTCCTGCTCCAATGCCAAACCAGCATCAGCAATTCCAATTCCCCACGATGCCATCCAATTTCTCTGCGCCAACCGTGCCCCCTCAGCAACATCCCAGTCCTTATCCTCCCCCTGCCCCAGTCACATCCGTCGCGACTGCGGCTCCCACTGCGGCCCCTGCAGCGGCCCCGGCCCCGGCCCCTACGCCAGCTGCTGTTCCTGCTCCTGCTCCTACACCCGCTCCTGTTTCAGCTCCCACTCACACTCCCGTCCCTGCACCTGCACCTGTCCCTGCACCTGCCGCTGCATCTTTCCCCATTCCGAGTACCATTCGCAACAGCCTCCCGGCCGCCTTCGCTCAGACAATACCTTCGACCTACACATCCCCTTACGCCACCAGCTCTGCTCCACAGGCTCCTCAGCCCGGACAAATACAGGCTCCGCAACCTGGCCAAGGGCCGCCGGCGCAGCATCAATCGCCCTATGCACCCCAAAAGCCACCTTCCTCTCAACCGCCACACATGAACCCGCAACCTCAAGCTTTCCCTCCACCCGCTGGGCCATCATATCAACCCCAGCAGCACCAGCAACCGGTCCAGTCACAGCAGCATCCGCATCCGCCTCAGCAAGTGCCCCAACCACACCAGCACCAGCACCAGCACCAGCAACAGCAGCAACGTCCTCCGCCCCAAGCACCACAGGCGCATTCACAGCCGCCGCCTCCGGTACAGCAAAATTCCGCACCTTCCGGTCCGTCGGAGTCATCCTCGTTCACTGAACGCGCGAACAAGGCCATCGATGACTTTGAAGCCGTTCTCATGGAAGACTACGAAGACAAGAACTACATCCGAGAGGTGCTTCGGAGTGCGCGCGCTCGCGTCCTGGACAATGCCACCGAAAGCTCATTCCCAGGCGGCGAGCCGAAGGACGAAGCGGTCATCATGGACGTCCTGCGCAATCTGGTCGGAAGCTTGAAAGACGAGTAGAAAACGCCCGAGTTCTCTCGTCATGTATTACGATTTCCTTTTACCCGCTTTGGGGCACGGGTTCCGGCGTCTTTTGGGTTTGGATGCAACCCGGCTTTGCTGCCCTGCTCGGGGTTGACGATGGTAACGTCTCGAAGAGCGCTCAACCGGGAGGGGAATGGTCCTCCCTGACGATCTTACCGAGTATACGAGTCTTATGTCTATGTTTGCGTCTGGGTTCTCTTGAATCTTAATGATATCCCTCTGTTCTGGCAGGCCGAAGCCTCAGCCATTTTGTTCTGGATTTGATTTTGTCTTTCTTTCTTATTTCGTGGGTCGGCTGGCAACCGTAGTACTTCAAGTACTACGGTGCCAGATGGGGGGTCCTCTCATATTCCCGAGGTTTATGTTTGGATCAACCTTTTTTTTACTTCCCGATGCCCGTATCCGGGCGCATGTCATAAAAAAATCCCAAAAGCTGAGCATGATAGAATTACTCAATCCATATTTACGGATACTACATTTCCATCCTAGTATTAGTTTATACGCAGTATTCAGGAACTAGTTCCTTCCACCCGACCCGGTCCGCGGCACATGTACTTCCCCCGCGCGCAACAGTGAGGGGTGTGCCCGGCTTTTTCCTAGGTGGGGGTCCAGGGGAGACTTCTGCCCGACTCCCGCATGAGCGTAACCAAGAGGTGGGCCGAGAGTAACCGGTGAGAATTTCAGGTTTTCCTTCGAGCATCACAACCTCGACTTCGGTATAGGCGGGTCATTATTGATGCAATTAATTTCCTACCCGTGGACAGCGGTGCTGACAGCCGGAGTAGGCTTCCATGTATCCATGTACAGATGGGAGGCTATACCGGTGGCTTGGGTGTTGGCCTAGGCATCTGAGAACTCCGGTTCAGCAGCGGCTAGTTTCATTCTAGAACGGAGCGACACGAAGTACCTGTGGAGAGGGTACCTGGCCACCTGTTGGAGTGGGGGGCTATGCTGTCGCCACTTAGAATGTGCAGAGTCCGGCTGACTGAGTATTTCCCGTAACTAAACTCGGGGCCTGGGACTTTGTTCATCAATGCTCTACGCATAATTTGAATGAAACCGTACTAGATCTTTGCCGAGCCCTGGAAGTCTGTACTCCGCCGAGAATATTTGTGCGGAGATGAAATTAATACAGACCCAGGGTTATTCTCCTCTTCAGAAATCATCATAATTCTCCGCATAGGATCACCATCAAAACATAGATCGGTCATGCTGAAGAGCGGGTGTAAATTACTAGTTGCCCCCCGGTAGGGAATGATCCCTCGCTTTGTCCTATAGATCAATGACAGCCACGGCCTTACGGAGCCTCTTGACTCGGACTTCACGGATCTCGTCCACCAGAGAAGACCGAAATTCCTCAGCTCAGGCCCAGGGAGAAACAGCAGCGAGAGGTGCACACTAAAACAGATGGGGAAAACCAGAGGTTCCAACGTAGGTCACTGGGTACAAGGGCAGCACCAATGGGATGGCCCATGGCGGTCCGGTGTCAGTTCGACACGGTGTTCGCCCCCTCTCTGCTGTCACTGCCCATGCGGCATGACGCTATGCACACCGCAGGGATCACCGGTGACTCAGAGGGGCCGTGGCAAGTCATCGGCCCTTACTTGGTTGTACGGGGTGATAAAGCGTGTGATCGTGGTCTATAGTCCGTGAAGTGCATCTTGACCCTATAATAATACCAGGAATACAGAACCCCAACCCCCGAACCCCTACGGGAAAACCCACCGTAACTTAGCAACGGCGGGAATGTCTAGTGCAACGCTTGGGCCGGCTCTCCGTTTGGGGTTTCATTGGATCCATTCGAATGGAGTCTTTTTTTCTGCTGACTCAGGTGGACCCCACGAGTCCGTTTTTGTTGGCTTTCATTGGATTTTTTATTTTTTTTCTGACCAGTAACATGGGCATTGCATCACTGGTGGGCAAGGTGTAGAACGTCGGATAACATGGAATTGCCTAGGTTGATGATCGGAGGCATTGCGAGGTACCTAGAGTGCTTTTACCTGCAGAAGAATCCGAATCGACGTCAATAGGGGGTGAATAATTGATGGGGTCGTTCGGCTGGGGCGGTTTTGGATTGACCGTCTTCCTTGTTTTTTTGGCTGGTTCTGGGTAGGGTTTGGCGTGCGGCGAAAAAAAAAAAAGCGTCGAGGCCTGCGTCACGTATTGTCACGGGGGCTGCCTGCCCACACAACTCCAAACTCCCTTTTCACACCCTCTTCTCTCTCTCACCTCCCCTTGTTCAATCCATCTTTCTCCCCCTTTTCTTTCCAACGAGCTTTTCACTAAGTGTCGTTGCTGATCTCACGACGGTGAGGTTTGCCTCTACGCGAGGGAATTTTAACCCTTTTTGTGCTTTTTTGTGTCGCCCGGTCCCTCTCGACGCGTGTGTCCGAACAAAAATAATTGCCGTGCAGGGCTCTATCGTCCGCCTGGTGATCCAGAACTCTCTCGACTGCTATTGAGGAAAGGAACCGATCTATTCAGATTCCGAGAAAAGAGAAGCTTCGCCCTTCCTCGTTTTCGACACGCTCCTTCACTCTCCTTTGTCCTCGGTCCGTTCGGTTGACACTCCCCTCGATGTCATTCAACTAGAGACGTTCTCTACGACTACATTTGAGCGACGCTCTCGCTGAGCAGCGTTCTTCTCTCCCCCCAGGATCAGGACGTGGTGGAGCTGTAGACGGTTCGTTTCTTCTTGCACCCGCAAGTGAACTTGCTTGCTGATATCTATCGCCAATCCACAGCACTTGATCGTCTACCTCCCCCTCCTGAACTGGTACTCCCCTCCCCCCTTCGAGATGCCGTCTTTCTTCGCTCCAGGCCACGGCCTGCCCCCCACCCCTCCTCACGTCAACAGCGGTGGTCGCCTGGATGAACCCACCTTCTACCCCATCGGTCACGCAGCGTTCCCGCCTCGCTACCATCAGAATGGCTGTGAGTTTATCGAACAGTTCTCGCAGTCGATGTGCTATGCGAAGCCCAACACGATGAACCTGCACCCGGCGTCGGCGCACCCGATGCACGCCACTCGGGACATGCACCACATGGGCCAGCCGATGTACGGTCCGATGGCAAATGCTTTGCCCCCGATCCGGACCAACGTTCAACTGCCGCCCATGGACAGTGCTATTCCCCAGCAGTACCGCCGCCAGGAGCTTCCCCCGATGCAACATCAAGAACAGCCCCGCAAGGAGGAAAAAGCCACTGGAGGCGTCGCCGCCCATCTGGATTACGAAATGGACCGCATGTCCGACTTCGTGGCGGAAATGACCCAGGGAATGTATGAGCTATACAACACCAAGATCACCCTAGCAGATATTGACATCGCGCGAAGCATCTCCCCAGGATCTTCGGTCCCCCCACAGTTCCGGAAATACGTCTACCAAATCTTGTCCTCGACCCGACTCCCTAGTTCGACCATTCTTCTGGGCCTGTTTTACATGTCCTGTCGCATGCGCAAGTTGTCTGCCCAGCGGGTCTTTCAGACAGGCAGTGGCCAGATCTACCGCATGTTGACCGTGGCACTTTTGCTAGGAAGCAAGTTCCTGGATGACAACACCTTCCAGAACAAGTCTTGGGCAGAAGTTAGCAACATCCCCGTATCTGAGCTGAACAAGATGGAGTTGGAGTGGCTTTTTGCCTTTGAGTGGAAGATTCACGACCGCATCTATGACCAGCAGGATGGCTTCGCCTCGTGGCGCCGACACTGGGAAACCTGGCGTGCCAAGGCCAACGTCCGGGCTCAACAGGAGTCTCGCCAGACCCTCAAGCCCCTCGACACTAACGTCGTCCGACACCAGGGCGTCTCGAAGCCTCTCATGTCCCCCGAGGGCCCCATTCCGCCCCAATACCAGCGCAGTTCACACTTTGAGAACTCCTGGCTCAACCCAACTGCCTCCGAGTACTCTCCGCCGTCCGCTCCTCACAGCGGTCCTAACACGCCGGACTACTACTCGGTTGGTCCTTGGGCTTACTCGAATCCCCCCGCCGCCCTACACCCGGGCCTGGATTCCCCCTCCGCAGCATATGGCCCCATCGGTGCCCCGTTCGCAGCCTCCATCCTACCATCACACTCCGGCGTACGGTCTCCCATTCGCCCAGAGTGCCTGGACTGGCCACGGTTCATCGTGTGGCTGCATGTACTGTGCCAAGCATCTTGAGCATTACATGTGCAACAGCGCCTTCCCTGCGTTGCAGCCTATTGTTGCAGGCTAAGCCTGGCTTTGATTCACAGTTTTTTTCTTCCCATTTTTTGCTGATTTCATGACTTATGGATGGATTTGACGGCTACTTCTTTGGGCGCCAACACGGCTCCTTGTCGTCTTTTCTTCCCTCGCTTTTCTGCGGCTTTTTTCTAGAATTCTTTCTTTGACGGTTGGGTGACTGCATGGTTTTTTTTTCACTTTCGACGACACCGTCTTCTTGTCTTCCTGGTCTGATTCGACGTTCACGCCTTGAGATTTCTTCCTTTTGACTCGCTGGCCATTCTCTACAAGTGCGATCGGCATGCGCCTCTCCCCCGAAAAGTACATTTTTTTTCTGCAATCTGCTGGTTCGTGTCGGCTTAGCGAAAAACTCAAAAACATCAAAAAAAGAGGAAAAACGCTCCCGCGGCGACATTGGCACGTCCCGGCCATTTGCTTTCAAACCGACTCATCCTATCCAGGTTGAACGCGGGTGTCACGCACGGCGACTGATCGTCATTTCGAACTTTCACCGAGGCCGGGGCCGCAGTCACGACGATCACGAATACCCTAAATCTGACCTTGTTTATTACCCATGATCATTCGGTTCATATCGACTCAATTCTTTCTACCATGCTTGGCATTCAGCCTGCCGGTGATTACCTATAGATTGCTCTTTTCTTTTTTCTTTTTTCTTTGCCTTCCTGCTTTTCCGTTTCCAGTCGGTACATTATTCCCATTCCACGCGCTACAAATCAGTTGCCCGGCGTTAATACTTCAACTTCAACTTCTTCAATCCTTTTTTCGAGTCTTCGATTCGTCAACAGCTCCTTGACTTTGCTTCTCAATTTTTGAATTTATGACCCGGTTTTCTTTCGGCTTGGACGTGGATCCATGGACCCACGATTCCCCCGAAGGACCCACACGACGTTCTTCTTTTCCCCAGCTGGACGGTATTCGAATGCCAGGGCATGTGTTTCTCGCTTGGATTCTTCTAAAGCTGCACTATCCCCGTTCCTTATCGATTCTACTTTGGGAATCACGCCAGCTTCAGTGACTGGTCTGTATGTAGTCTACAAGTTTCTCTTTGCACTGCTTTTCATTTCTATGTGCCTGCCCCATCGCGTTCCTACAAGTTACGTCTCTGGGTTTTTGCTCTCGAGCTAGAAATGTCTCGCTGGCGGCTATGGCTTTTGTTTTGAATTGCCGAAGATGATTCTAGCACAAATTTGACAAACTATTATCTTTGTCATTTGGTTTCACTCGTAGTTTCCGTTCTCTTTACTTCGAGGACAGGCCGGTTGCTTTATTTACCTCCAGGCCCCATATCACCCAGGGACCGCCAATCCTCGAGTTACTTCTCGACATGACTTGATAAAAATCCAAAATAAGTCCTGCAATGAATGCCTTGGATCTCTCTATTCATGACAGACATAAAGAGGTACCTCAATTTCTTCCGTATAAGTGTAATATAATCCAGTCATTCATGATCGTTGCAGTCCTAACGCTTCGCTTGTAGTCAATCCCATATCCATAATCCATGTATGCCCCCAGAAAATACAAATTCTTTTATCCTTGAAATGATGCAATGGGGAAAAGAAACCACGTATCGCGGTCCCTTAGTACACGCTACCGCGAACACTCTGGTCCTCACGCTGCTGTGCTTCTAGAGACCCATTTCCTTCCTGTTGGTTGTCGTTGTGCGTCTCCGGAAGGTCAGGTGTCAGGGCGCCCGATCGAGTGGACATGTCGTCTCCGTCACCAAGGATATTGGCCATTCTGTGCAGAGGCAGCGACGTTGATGAGGAACTGCGGTGGTGGGTGTGCGTGTAAACCGGGTGGTGGTGGTGGTGGTGGTGATGATGATGATGACGGTGATGTGCGCGTGAATGCTTTGTTTTTTTGGCGCTTAGCTCGTCGTCGCCGTCATCTTCAAGATCCTGGGACGGCGGTATAATGCGTGAGACTGATGATTGCTTGATGGTGCTTGACCGAGAGATATGGTGGTCGTGGTCGTCACCTTCATCGTCGGATGGCGCGAGGCTGTTCGCACCGCTCATGGAGCCGCCCCCGTCGCGCCCACCTAGATGCAGGAGCGCTAGTTTGAGACAATCTGTGGATGATGTTACAGCCGGTGGGTGCAGGAGGTGGTCCTCGCTGTCTCGGTGCATGCTTTGCAGGTTAGGCCGTCTTGGGCGGGAGTTATCAGATCGGGAGTCCGAGTTCAAGTCGCCAATGGCCCTTTCTCTAACGGATTCCTCGTCTTCAGGTGTGAGTCGGGGCTTATACGTAGCAGACGTATTTTGGTGAGTACTTGCACGTGGGAACGGGAAAGACCCATCCAAGCTTTCCGACTGGGTTGAGGCGTGCTTGAGAGGTGATGGCTGGTCGGGCAGGGTGCTATGAACAGTCTCGTCCACTGATTTTCGTCCAAGTCCATTCTCATGTCGCATCAAGTCCACCACGGGCGCTCGCATGGTCCGCTTGACATCGCCAGTCAAACCGTGGGTGCACCCATCAGGGCAGCCACCCCATCTCCGCCGGATGGGTATATGGTCTGTAGGCGATATGGGAGAAGAGTCTAGCCCTTTTGCTGTACCTTCACGCTCTTTCTCGGCAGCTCTTTCCTTCTTTAAATCGGACCACGTGCGCAGCTTGTTCTGAAGCGTATATTTGCCGTTATCTTGGTTGTGGGTCATGATCACGAACTCGCAGTGGTTGATGTTGCGCAAGTCTTCGAAATACTCTACGCTCCAATGGTACCACTTCATTAAAAAGACTCGGGTCATTAGGCCGTGAGTTACAAGGACGCAGACACTGGCCATGTCCTCTTCACCAAAAAGTCGCCACAAAGACTCGTTGAAGCCGCTTACTCGGTCATAAGCATCTGCCGCAGACTCGCCGTTGGGAATGCGATAGAAGAAGTGGCCGTAGTCTGCTCGCTCCATCCACATCCGCTCCATTTCGGTCGAACATGGTTGGAAGTTGCCAAAGTCCTGTTCTCGCAGCCGGGGCTCCTCGTAGACCTTGATGGCATGTCTCGGAAACGGCGAGGGAGAAGGCGAATCGGAAGTCAAGGAGTCCAGCATGCCCTCAGCAGTCTCCCTCGTCCGGCGATATGGAGACGTAAAGAAGTGAAGAGTATCATCTGGACGTAGGAGATCACGCAGCCGGCGTCCAGCCTCCTGAGCCTGGCGGTGTCCTTCGGGTGTGAGTTTCACTCGGTGGTCGGGGGTAGTTTGGTGGATATCGCGATTCTTATTGCCCTCGGACTGGGCATGGCGGACCAGAATGATCATCTGTAGACACAAACACATCAGCCTATAAGCCCACAAGCTCCCAAGCAACACAACTTACCCGTGGTTTCCCCATGACTGCAGGTATGCGGAACAGAAGTGAAGATGCGGGGGAGAGGTAAGAAGAAGAACAAGCGCGATCAACTCGACAAAGGCAAGTCTAAGACCGTGCGACAATCTTCGACAAAGCCCGTCTATAATAGACCCGTCGTTGTTCCAAGGAAAAAAGCAAAGCGAAGGGAAACTGGAGGATGTGCAAACCGACCGCACGGGCCACCGTAACGTGCTCCATACAGCGCGCTTCCTTTACGCAACTCCAACTTCATCAACCATGGCCGACTCGCTGTTGGAGCTGCTGGCTCCGCACTTGGACACGCCACAGACTCACGATGCTACGACTGCACAGTATCTCAATCGCCTGTCGACTCTGTCCTTACAATCCCTGCAGGACACCGAACCCCAGTCTCTCGCACAATCATCCCATTCGACGCTCCTTTCTCTCCAAGCCCTGTCCAATCGCTCACATCGCGCCTTCATTACATCCGCCGATAATCTATCTACACTACGATCCTCCATCCCTCAACTAACCCGCGAGGCTCAACAAGTTTGCGATGCCCTCCCGAAGCTCGACGAGGAGGCGGTTGGCTTCTCTACCAAGTACAGCAAGATCACAGATAATCCCGCCCTAGAACGGCGGAAGAGGGCCATGCAGCTGGCACGAAATGTCGATCGACTCTCGGATATCCTAGAACTGCCGACCTTACTGTCCACCGCCGTCTCCGCAGCGTCTGCCAACTCCGGCGCCGGAGCTGCCTCCACCACCTACTCGTCCGCCCTCGATTTGCACGCACACATCAAACGACTTCAGACATTATACCCCGATTCACCTTTAATTCAAGATGTGGTTGCACAGGCAGAGGATGCGATGAAGGATATGACAACCAACTTGATTGCGGGCCTCCGGGCCCAGAACCTACGGTTAGCAGCTGGCATGCGAACCGTCGGTTGGCTACGACGAGTGGCTCCGGATTTGGAGACACTTCAGAACGAGGGTGCCGCCGGCACCGGAGAAGGAGCGCTAGGCGCCATCTTTCTGATCTGTCGACTCTCCCATCTGGTCTCGACCCTCGAGGCCCTGGACCCGCTACGGGAACTTGCAGACCAAGAAACTCAGCGAAGGATCAGCGGCAAGGACAAGTCCGAAAACTGGTCGGACGGTCAGCAGACTGACCGCTATTTGAAACGATACATTGAGATCTTCCGTGAGCAGAGCTTCACCATCGTCTCGCTATACAAGAATATTTTCAGCTCGGAACAGTCTGATTCCGAGCCGGCTGTATCAGGCATGCGAGCTGCGGACAAATCTCGATCACAGTCAAGCCGCCCAGACGACCCATTGCAAAATCTCCCTTCGGCCCTCGCCACATTCCCGATGCACCTGGTGCAGTTACTTACTGATACGATGCGGATATACCTTCCTAATGTCCGGGACCGGAGCTCGCGAGAGTCATTGCTTACGCAGCTTTTATACTGTGCAGCTAGTTTGGGGCGGCTCGGGGGCGATTTTGGCATGATTCTGACCGAGCTGAGTGGGGAGGAAATCAGTTACGAATGGGAGGAGGTGATGCGTAAGCACCGGGCGCTGGCAGGACGGCTGGAGCAACTGACCAGCCGAGTGCCTGTGCATTGAGCGTTGAATATCCAATAAACTTTGTACCGTGAAGTAGATCGTTGACCAAAAGTAAATCAGAGGTCCGGGTGGGTCTCCGTCGTTCCCCGTACTTGTGTCACCTCTCTCACTTCTTCCTTCCTTCACTCGTTCACTCATTCGCTCCTCCCATAATTATCCCCCTTTCAATACTTACAAGATCGATCTGAAAATCGCCTCTGTACACATCAACTCAGCGCGGAGTCATGGCCGCCCCCTCTCTGTCCACCATTGACCCGACCAAGCAGGCTGAATACCCCATCGTGCTGGGTGAAAGGCTAGCCAACGGAGACTCGACTCGCCTGATCAACGTCAATTACAATTACAAGACCAAGTCCGCGACGCCGCAGCAACGTTCGACCATCTCTCGTTCCGCCCGATCCAGCGATCTCTACGACCTCTCAGTTACCGATAAGGCCCCCAGCGCCGATCATACGTTGACGTATTCATACAAGGGCAGCGAAGACCCGGCGGCAGAGCGCAATCTGGTTCTGGTGTTTGATCCCGACCGGAAAGTCTTTGTCCTCGAGCCCGTGTCGACCAAGTTGAACTTCAATCTGCGGTCGGCGCCGGGCAAGACGGAGAAGCAGGTCCTGGAGCAATACGAGCAGCTACGGATAGCCGAGGGGGAGGAACCCACATCGGGGGATGATCGCAACACAGTTAGCACCAGCGAGGATGAGGGTCCGGCCGATGAGAGCAACCCTTACGACTTCCGGCACTTCCTCCCCAAGAAGGGTGCGGTGAATGTCAAGCCGGCCTCGGGCTACTCGACGCCGGAGCTAGTCAACACAAGCCGGGTCAACACACCCCTCATGCCGGCGACGAAATCTGCCGCCAAACCCCTGCCTCGACCGAAGAAACAGGCGAATCCGCTCCGAGAGACGAAACGTCCGGCAAAGCCACCGGCGAGCGCCAAAGCACCAAGACAGGCCGAGCCGCCCGCTCAGCAACCGACTCGCGCAGACCTACCCGAAACTGCGGCACTGCGCGATTCTGTTTCAGATGCTGGTACGGGGACAGCATCCCAACAAAGTGCACAGTCTCCCAACTCGAATATCATCGTTGATGGAGACCTGATCATCGACATGGGCTCACCGCCACCGACCCGAGCCTTCAAAGTCGATCCATCATATTTCTCGTCCAACAATACACCGACTGATGGCCTAAAGGATGACGGAGACGGAGATGAGGAAATGGGAGATTTCCGACTGCCGTCCCCAGCAGGAAATACCAAGCCTACGTCGGCGCCTACCGAAACGGCTCCAGGTGGTGATGATATGGACGACGAAGATTTACTCGCAGCAGAGATGGAGGCAGCATTTGAAGAAAGTGCTCGCGAAGAAGAAGCGCGTAGCCAGCAATACGGTCACGCTTCATCCGGGCGGTACAATGTACCCAGTGACGATGAGAGTGAAGTCAGCGAGGAGGAGTGAGATATCCACATTGTTTTTTTGTTTGTTTTTTTTTTTCATTTTACATACCATCAGCGTGGCGCTAGGGGGCAGGACGAAGATACCAAGCTCGGCACTGCAAGTTCATCGTGTGCTTTTTCATTTGCTTCATTTCATATACTTCCTCCAATGGATCTTGGTTAGATCCTCGGAGTTCACTTTTGCATATTACTGGACGACTTTGAGAAAAGTCAATAGGATTCTTCGCCAGGTACAATACCAGCCACTCTCGATTTCCCTTTGATGTCCCTAGTATACCAGATTTTCCTTTTCGGCTTCAGCTTGGGAACCTGTACCTTGGGCATATCTGGACCCTTCATCAACCTCGAAGCCTTCCTCCATGTTCCTACTATCCGCTGACTCTCTTTCCATTTTCTCTGGGGCTCAGGGACCGTTGTCAAATCCAGCCTCTCTTCGGGAATAGAGTCCAACGTCCACCCAAAAGTATACAGAAACAAGGGTACCAAATTTCGTATCTCAGGCAGGCCGTGTGGCTTCCCTGTGCACCGGGCTTGTCGACTCAGTTCATTCAGAACGTCCGATAGAGTATATTCCTCGATGGGTGTATCCAGAATCCCTGCCACAACTTCATCAGAGAAGTACGGCCGACCGAGATAAAAGGGGCGATGAACTGATGTAAGTTGATTCCTCGAAAACCGTCTTTCTTGCCGTGTTGTCCCTAAAACCGTGGAAAAGACCAGATCTTGGATGAATACTAGTGCGTTATATTCGAGATGCGGATGGTCAGTAGCCAACCGTGTCAGATGCTTCACTCTCTCCGGGGGGATCAAGCCAGATTCATTCCAGACATGACCCCATAATTTGATCCTTTCAACAAACATGCCCAGTACATTCGGCTGACTGCTGGAATGCGACGTCGAATCACTTTTACATCGTGCTATAATAGTGATGGTGGGGTCGTTCTTGCAGAAGGTCATGTAGAAAAGGACCAGTTGACTCTCACTGGGAACCCTTTCGGCGGGGTGAAGGGAGTCGCTTGTTAGCCAGAACTCGACATCATCAGTTTGATCGAGATCGAGTATTTCCTTGAAATTTTCAAAAGAGAACAGGCTAGCTGCCGTTTTGTTGAGGTTTCGCTTTTCGAGGTAGCAGCCAGAGCTAGACATTCTCTCGCAGAGAAGAAACCATGTTTGGTGCATCCTTTCCGCATTGTTTTGGTGATAAAATCTTGAAATTGCGTTCATTTAGAGGAATAAAATGAATCATGTTAGAGATTCATCGTCTAAAGGAGATCGGAGATCTAGGGAGTACTCGGCGTTGAACTCTAAATGCTTAGAGAGTGCGAGAGCTTCATTAGGTCTAGATAGGGATGAGACTTGGTTGAATCTTGGACAAAGGGGTCAAGTTCCAACGGACGACGCTTCCAATATTGGCGTTACTTTCCTTCCTCGGGTCCGATAAGGAACGGGTCTGGCGTAGCCTTGTCGTTTAGCGACGTTTAGCAATGAGTTGGATCTTCGGAATGAAAATACACCACAACGCTAAGTGACGGTAAACCGGGCGCCGAAAATGGCTACTTTTGACCCCATTTTAAGCGTCCTATCTAATAGAATCTTAACCATCGAGGCCTCACGTGAGTTCACTTTTACCGTGTGCCCACTGGACCCGCAGGGAGCGCTCCCTCGGCACTTGGGTTTGTTCAGGTACCGTCTCAATATTTACTCAGGGAACCTACGTCAAGTAATCCTTCTGAGTGAATACTCGTTCGGTCGAAGATATTTTCAAACCCCGTGTATCCTCACTGCGTTAATCCCTGAGGTCGGACTCTAAAAGACGTCTCATCCTTCTGCAAATCTCTCTCATTGTCAGCGTTCATACTTCTCTAGATACTCCCATCGGATTCAAGGGCCGCGAAACGATCCGCCAGATGGAACCCAAAGACGAAGGATACTGTACCCGTCGACGTCTTCCTAATGAGACCTCGAACCGCGGGGTACATGAAATGAGCAAAGGTGACATGAGCGTTGCCAGCCCCTCCCGAGCTAGGACTTAGGGCCAGATTAGGAAACTCGGGACTGCAAGAACGTCGTGTCGCGGTAATGTAGGAAGTGATATCTTACAATGGCAAAGAAGAAGATTAGGATTTCATTGTTGCATGAAATCGAATTCATAAGGTTTGGGGTTGCATTGTCACGCTTTCAGATCAGTAGATGTCTACACATGACACTACAGTGATGTGATGAAACAGGGGTACGTAGAAGCAAGCACATTGGCTACTTTGAAACTGGAGTTTATCGTACCGTAGTTTCTTCAGGCAATTTGCCTTAATCTCCCATTTCCCCAAAATTTCATGGTAGGGTACCATACCTGGCTGGGTAGACTACTACCCTCTCTTAGCCAGGTAAGATCTCCGCCTTTTCTACTACGAGTGTGATCACTAGTGTATACTACCTTGGACCGTGGGTGCAAGAGCCGAAAAAGCACGTTCCATCTGCTTAAGGGCATCGTGGTTTTGTTCTGTCGGAGGAGGCATAAATAGAGCCAGATCCCACTGCGTTTTTTCTTTCTTTCCATCACCAGCGCCAACTCCCACGACATTCCTTCGGTTCACAGCTACCTCGTTCTTGACGAACGTTCCATTCTCCAGTCCTTTACAGTAGAGTTTATACTCTCAACATTATTTTTATCATTATTCTATATCCAAGTCCAATCGACCTCATCCAATATGCACTTCGCAACTCTATTTACCGGCCTGAGCCTGATGACTACCGTTGTTTCAGCGGTGCCTCATAGGCTCAAGGCCTCTCCCCGTTCATCTGGCGCCCAGAACGTTGTTTACTGGGGTCAGAATGGTGGTGGCACCGTTGAAAACAATGATTTGTCCACGTACTGCACATCGACTGCTGGCATCGATGTCATCGTGCTCGCCTTCCTATACGAGTACGGCAACGGCGATGAAATTGCATCTGGCATCATTGGAGAGTCTTGCTATATCTCTCCAGCCGGCGAACCCCAGCAGTGCGATGCCCTAGCGGCTGCCATCACCACATGCCAGGCTAATGGCATCAAAGTTATCATCTCGCTCGGTGGAGCTGTCGGCGCATACTCTTTGTCTTCACAGCAGGAGGCTGAGACTATCGGCCAAAACCTCTGGGATGCATACAGCAAAACCGGGAATGGTAGCGTTCCTCGACCTTTTGGCACCTCCTTCGTGAATGGCTGGGATTTCGACATCGAGGCCTCTAGCGGTAACCAGTACTACCAGTATATGATCAGCACTCTTCGCTCCAACTTCGCTTCTGATCCTTCCAACACCTACTACATCACGGGTGCGCCACAGTGTCCGATCCCAGAGCCTAACATGCAGGAAATCATTGTGAACTCCCAGTTTGATTACCTCTGGGTCCAGTTTTACAACAATCCCGGCTGCTCTGTTAACGGTCCGATCAACTACGACGCATGGGTCTCAAACGTCGCCGGAACGCCATCTGCCAATGCCAAAATCTTCATTGGTGTGCCTGCCGCCCCGGATGCCGCCACAGGAACCGCTAGCGGCGCACAATACTACCTCGATCCAAGCGCCCTTGCTACCCTGGTCGGTAATTACAGCTCCAATCCCGCATTTGGTGGAGTCATGATGTGGTCTGCCGGATTCTCCGACTCCAATGTCAATAACGGATGCACTTATGCCCAGGAGGCTAAGCGTATTCTCACTACTGGCTCGCCTTGCTAGTTCAAGCGTCGCGCCATTATTCTACATACTCCGAGGTCCAGTGACTAAAGTGACCTTCCATTCTTTTCTGCCGGCCCCTGGATTTGGGTACAGGCTCGGGTACAGCTCTTCAAGAGCGATCCATTCTTTCAAACATCTATTGAAGTTTTTTGGCTTTGGGCCGAAGTTGTCGACGGAGGCTGTGGTCTGTCTTACGGATCACATATATACATTGAAACATGTCATATGTATATACAATTACTATGCGAGAATTAAGTCGTTGAAAAACTGATTTCCAAGTAAATACCAAGATTGCAGTAGCAAGATGCGTCATTGTCACTGACTTATTCTATGTCATTCACATGTATCATGGCCTCAATCTCATAGAACTCATGACACTTTCAAGCATGGCTTGTGATCAGATTCCACATGAGCACACCTCGTCGTCTAACGGTGGTATGAAACGAATCCGGTATAACAGCCTCGCTTTCTGGATTAGGAAATTGCCATCACTGCCTGGTAGTTAGCTTGACCCACTTTCTGGAGGCCCAAGAACCGTACTACCGATCCTTCGATGCCCTTGATCTATGAACATCCAATGAGAAAGAATCCAGAGCTAGTTGAAACAAGCCATCTGCTTCGAGGCTCTTTGCGTGCAGAGTAGTACGAGTCATGTTACCACGAGGCTTTGCACGCCACCGCGATTGTACGACATCGGAGTTCCGCCGGAACGAGGCTTTATCTGGGCCTCACAAGGCGCGGTGATAAGTTACAAAGGCCACATTAAGCTTTGGACAAGGTAGCCCTCGGAGCTGACTTGTTCCAAGAGAGTTTGGGTGTAGCGCTTAGTGAATGGGTTCAGCAAATTAGTAGGGGCCGACTGGCGTGGTCATTTCGGCTCTACCGTCTTGATCGGTCTAGATTGTAAAGCCACTGAATGTCTAACCCGACGAGACCCACATTATTGCTTAAAAGCCCAGGTACATCTTTCTAGTAGATAGTAGATCTTCTGATGCATACCAAGGCAGATGACCTATTCGTTTTCAAGGGTTTGCACCTTTTGTCAACTTCCCCTGTATTCAAAGGCATATCAAAGTACGCAATATATGTAGTGTCTACCTACTCCAGCCATTAAGCTTTTGTCATGAAGGGGAATGTAACAAGCCTATACTGGGGTACAGGAAATAGTTTGGGTATAGTAGTATCCCTAATTTTCCAAGGACCCTCAAAGTCGGCACCAATCGGCAAAGTAAGTATATTCCAGGGGCAAAGGAATTGTATCACATAGATTACGAATCTTAGGGTTGCATTTATTCCAGAGTGCGGGGTTCTTTGGTTCCTTCAGTATACTAGTCGGGATTAGCCGTTGTCAGTGCTGAAAAGCTAGTCTGGTCTAAGTATAGCGCCGCCTCGGGTTATATTCCCGTTCGGTTTCATTCAATCAGCGCCCAAACTACATCTCCAGGCGAGATAAGAAATAATAAAGGACAAGGATCCGAGTGTCTATCACTCGTGACGTCCAGGTGATGGTTGCTATCATCTGACGGACGTTAAATGTGATAGGGCTTTCTGGCATCTACCCTGTTGATGCTCCATTCCCCTCTAATCTTCCTGTCACAGTAACATCCTGTAAGAAGATTAGCAGAGATAGCATGCGAAATGAATCGGGAGTTAGAGCGGGTGAGCTATGGCGTAAAGCCGCCTCAAACCCGACGCCATAAGGGGGAAGCTCCGACGACCAAGGTCACGGCGCTCACTAACTACCTGCATACTTCACAAAAATGTGTTTGTTCAAGCTACCTCTTTCATCGCTCATGATCTAATTTCCCTATAGTGGAAACCGATATGGTATCTTTTAATTGATTGAGTACGGCGTGTAGGGCAATACGTCATAATGCCACATCTTGACCCCACGTGATGGCTTTTATATTAGATCAAATGTACGGTATAGATAGGGGATTGATACTCACACCATCTCTTTTACTGCTCGCACCTCCCTCTGTCTGTGTCCTGGTGTACACCGTAAGGGGTGGACAAAATTCTGGCTCTCGAAACAAAAGTTCACAAGATGGTAGAGTCCTGTCATAATACTCTATCTCCTCTACCCCTATGAACAGTCATAAAACAGCTAACTATAATAGAACGGCACCTCGTTGAAGAGCTATGTTAGATGCGCATTTTGTGGAAGTGAAGCTCAAGGGTGAAGTGAGAAGCTGAGACATTCGAGGTCGCCAACTTCATCACATGGCTGTAAAGCCAGTGAATGAACTGGCTAAAGCACTACGCCTTGAAAATCAAGAACCAGACCCCTTACTCTTCCCTGCTATGGCATTTACTTCAACCGGTTCTTCAGCGTATACTTCGGGTAAACCCTCCGCCGAAGAGCGAGTTTTTCCGGCTGCAGCTCACTTTCCGCTCACAATCACAATCTCACGTTGCCATAACCATCTCGACTCCAAACTTGGTTCCTGCCCTCCTTGTTGGAGCCTTCTACTCACCCATTTACTCCAGGGCACTTTACCCCGCTACTGTTGTCTACCTGGAGCTTTTGGATATGCGATGAGAAGCTCCACTTGGGTCGATTGGACCGGACCTAGACAACTACGACTCGAATTATAGAATCGATCGCTAAGCGTGCGGGCGCGCTCTTCGCTTTTTCCTGCCTGGGAAAAACAGACAGTATCCGGCCTCATTTAGCCTGCTCCGCGGACCTCGTTGCCCACCGTCTCATCCCTACGCACCTCGGCCATTCCCATCTCCATTCCGCCCTTCCAATGGAGTCCTCCGCGTCTCCCGCGCCAACGAAGCGTCCGATTCCCGGTCTTCCCAATCCCGTGGTTGCAGCCGCACAGCAGAAATGGCTTTTCACAGAGGAAGAGCTCGAGCGCACGCCCTCGCGCATCGATGGCATTAACCGCGAGAAGGAGGATTACATCCGGCACCGTGCGGTCGAGTTTATATGGCAGGTCAGCATGATGCTGAAGATGCCGCCGCAGACCTCGATGACCGCGACTGTCTTCATGCACCGGTTCCTCATGCGATACTCGCTGATCGGCAGTGACCCAGACCCCGAGAAGGCTCGGGACCTGATGCATCCGAAGGTGATTGCGGCCGTGGCTCTGTTCGTTGCGTTCAAGGTGGACGAGACCATGCGCCGCATGAAAGACTTTGTGGTCGCTTGCTGCAGGGTCGCGATGAAGAAGCCGGATATGGTGGTTGACGAACAATCCAAGGACTACTGGAGGTGGCGCGACCTCATTCTTCAGAATGAGAGTATCCTGCTCGAGCACATGTGCTTCGATCTGCAGCTCGAGTCGCCGTACCGTATTCTGTGGGATTACTCTCAGTTCTTCAATGTCGGGGATAACCGACCCCTCCGTCATGCAGCCTATGCTTTCCTGAACGATTCTACATATACCGTGCTGTGCTTGCAGTTCCCGCCGCGTGTCATCTCAGCTGCAGCTCTCTATGCCGCAGCCCGCTATTGCAAGGTCGCATTCCCGGATGACTTGCAGGGTAGGCCATGGTGGGATCAGATAGACGTGAAAGTCGAAGATCTGATCCGCGCCAGCAAAATGATCGTGAAGATCTATGAACGCGTCCAGATGAATCTGAGCAAAGGCTACCCGGACTTCTCCGTGTCAGACACCGACCCCAACGATCCAACCCGCATCTTCCACACCGATCCCACCACCTATAAACCAGCAGAATCCGTAACAACACCATCCCTCAACACGCCCGGCTCCGACTCCGGCGCTCCAAACGGGCGAAAGCGCTCTCGTGACCCAGAGTCCCACGCCCCCGAAAACAACCACCCAACTCCCTCCTCACAACCACCTTCCTCCCTGAACGGCGGTCGCTCTCCGAAGCGGCAACGAACCGTTTCACCCTCGACCGCGGGAGCTGTACCGCAGTCCCCTGCACCCCGCCCACGCATTCCACTGCGAGCAATGGCCCAATTAAAATCTGAAGATAGCGCCAGTCGGAATTGCCCTGCACCGGGGTCACTTCCGAAGGAAGAGACCAGTGCCGAAGAAGGCGAGGTCTCAGATAACAAGGGACCCGGAGCTAGTGTTCCTCATTCACGCCCGAGACCGCAAAAAGAAAGTAATGAACAAGGGGGAGGCAGTGAAGAAGGCGAGATCTGAGTTGTTTGAAGTGCAAGTATGAGGTCTATGCATTTGGTGGACTGGAAGTGTACATCAATGAATATCTACGAAGGAATCAACGACAAAGAATAGAAATCCATGCTTCCAATATGCATTCAAATGTTTGCTCGTATGCTTAATGAAAATGTAATGCTGTATGACTCTTAGGAACAAAACAAGGGGAGATCTCATAACTCCAAAGGCGTAGAACAGACAGGTAAAATGGAGTGTAAATAGCCAATAGCCGAGATGAAGGAAATATCCAAAACTCCGATATTTTCTGCAAGCTAGTATGCCCCTGTCGTAGCGTCGAGTCCATGGTCCAGCAAGCTGCTCGACGCCACGAAACTGAATCCGCCAAAGGGGTTCCCATCATCGACCGACAAGCCACGACCGTGTCGAGAAGAAGGCGAATGGCCCGTGTAGAAATCGTCAATGCTAGTTAAAGGAGGACTGAGTGGTAGGTTGGTGAAGTCAAGAGAGAAGTTCTCGGCGAGGGCCGGGTCGGTGACCACGGGTTGAATCGGCGGGTCGAGCTCGCGGCGCTCGAGAGCAGCCCAGTCGATTTTGCGGAAGAAGCGGTGTTTCTTGATAGTCTGCAGATCCTTGGGCATGTGGTAGCCGAGACGCTTGGTAGGATCTTTGCGCAACAGGCGGATGAGAAGGTCTTTAGCATCGGGGCCGAGGAAGTAAGGCAGGACGAGCTTCTGCTTGACGATTTTCTCCTGTAGCTTGGTGTGATTGTTTGCGCGGAAGGGTGGCGAGCCTGTGAGAAGATCATAGCCCAATGCGCCGAGTGACCACCAGTCACAAGCTTTGCCGTACGGCTTGCCTTGGACGACTTCGGGGGCCATGTACTCGATCGTGCCGAGGGACGAGTTGCAGCGATCGTCATCGCTGACGGCGATCTTGCTGAGCCCAAAGTCGGTTAGCAGCAGGTGGCCCTGTGTGTCGAGAAGGCAGTTTTCGGGCTTGAGGTCACGGTACAGGACGCCAACGTTCTGGTGCAGATGCTCCAGGGCAAGAACCATCTCTGCCATGTAGAAGGCTGCCGCATCTTCCTCGAACATGCGTTCCATCGCAAGATGGGTGAATAACTCTCCACCCTGAGCATACTCTAGAATGAGATACAGCTTCTCGTGGTCCTGGAAAGCATAGAACAGCTTGACAACGAATGGGTGTCGGTTGACACTCTCCAACACCATGCGCTCCGTCTTGGTCTGCTCCACCAACTTCTTGTGGACGGTGATCGACGCTTTTCGGAACTGCTTTTGCGCATACAGTTTGCCCGTAACAACATGGCGGACCAGTAACACAGTTCCAAAAGAGCCTTTGCCAAGGCAGAGAAGAGGCTCAAAGTCATCTGCAGTCATCTTGCGGCAGAGCTGGCTTCGCAAGTCCATGCCATTGGTAGCAGCCTCCGGGCTTGTACCAGAAGATCCTCCTGTCGCAACATCCGGGCTGACAAAATCTTGATCCAAGGGAACTTCGTAGCTAGTCAGAACTTCGGTCTGGTCACTGTCGGATTGAACACTCGCGTTGCTGGGAGTCTCGGAGCATAGGCCGCTGCTACCCGCGGAGGGTTTACCGGCAAGACTGAGCGAATCAAATTGGAGCTTCAATGCGCTCACCCCATGACCAGTAGCCGGCTGTGCCAGTGGGCTCCCGCCTCCAAGAGACGTTGTTGGGCGCGAATCCGCAGCACGGGAGCTAGTAGTCGAAAAGTCTGAGTCCTCGTCAGCCGAGGCTAAAGGCGTGAAGCCGCGTACGGTGGAAAGAGCCTGGTCCGCCTCATTATTCTGCTTCTTCTTTTTCTTCCGGCGCTGCTTTCCCGTCAGCAGGTTCGGGTGGAACACCGGAGGCTGCATCGCGTTGTCTCCGTTGGCCCCATAGTTGGCCATCTGTTTGCGCGGCGAAAGTCGGTCACCCATGTGGACGTCCGCGCCATGGTGATTGGTCGGAAGGTCGATAGAAGGTTGCCCACTGTCGGCTTGCGGGGTGAAGACGTCTCCCACAGAGATATCATCATGTGGCGGCTGGAGAGACATGGTGCGCGAGTGTCACTCGTTGTGGTCGTGGTTTCGCAAGAACTGGAGTCGAAAAGACGCCGATAAAACGCTCGTTCCGGAAGGAAGCCGGCGATAGTCGTTGACCGGTGAACAATTCGTCTCACGCGGTGTTAATAATGGCAAGTATGTACTCAAGAAGCCTGTATGGCAGCCACTATTCCCAGGAACAATCCGTCAGCTTCATTCTTGGTTGGATACGGGGTTATGGAGGGGTAAATTTGGAGCTTTTCAGCTCGACCATTTGCCCCACCAATAGGACCAGAGATAAAGAAAGACGATCGCAAAAATACGTACCTCAACTTGGAAGAAGAACAGCTCTGTCTCGTCGTCTTGGTCGTATTAGACCAGATTGGATCTCTCGAGTAGTTTTACCGTCCGCCCTTCTTCAGGACGGACCCGGGACCCCTAGCCAAATCACTTCGCTAACCGCGAAGTCGAAGGCCAAGGCGGATGGGGCCAAGAAAGGATATTCGGTCACTTCGATAGGATCGGGAGACACGCGAGGCAGGTATGAAGTCTGAGGAATTGGGTTCAGGTGGGCCAGATCGCTGGTCAGAAGGGTCGAGAGCGAAAGGGGTGGCGCAGATAGGCACATAGAGAAGTGGCAAATGAATCGAGCTGGGAGCTTGAGAGTAAGTTGCTGGCAGATCCTCCAGGAAGATATGAGGAAAGGTTGAAAGCCAAAGGAGCCAAAGCTGAAAATAAAATCAGCTTTGGCAAATCCGGGGAGTTCGCACTAAACCCCTTCCGGCATTCACGTGAAGTGCATTGTGCATTGGATTCGCTCCGATTTGCTAACAAATCCCTCTTCTCATCTAGTCGGCATTATATTCAAGGGTATTGTTACATTCTGCCTCGCATTGTCTACGCGATTCAAAGTCAACCTGTCTCCTGCAGGGCCCTGCATGCCTCCGGTCCGTGCCCCCGGCATCACCGCGCCGCTTCATGCTTCTGGAAGAATGCCTGGGATCGAGTGATCTCCACGCCAGATCGCTGCACGAATGCCAAGGCGCTGGGCTTCTCGACTCTAGCGGTAACTTTCTCGTTGCCAAAGTCCATCGTCACAATGCGAGCCACGAAGGTTGCTAGCGCCTCGACACTCTGGAAGGTAGTCTCGTCAACTTTCTATACACACTGTTAGCACCTGTTTCAAATGGTAGTCAAAATAGACGTACTTCTGCCACAGCTCTCGTCATGGCCTGATAAGTATCGAGGAAAGTTGATCCCCACGCTTTCTGTCCAGGACCTTCGAACACGAGAGAAGTTATCACGGCCTGCTTCTCGATACGCTCGTGCGGGTTCACACCCAAAACGCAGTAAGAGCGGATTCCCTCAATGCGAAACTCCTCCTCCAAGACAACTAGAGCCCGTGAAGACGGATCGACTGCCTCTCCTCGCTCCGGTCTTCGCTTGTATCCCCACGCCGTGACGCTGCGGTACATGAGTCCCTCTTCTGCGCGCAGCAATGCCTTAGGCATGTGTAGCCACACCTCGCACTGGCCGTATTCACTACCAAGTGGATATTCAGCCTTAGCAGGTAGTTCACCAGCACCCGAGAAGCTATTCCACGGGCTCTGCTGAACATGCTCCATCCGCTGCACACCAGCCGCGGTCTCATCCAGCAATCCGAGCCCACAATTCGCGACGATCCCTGCCGTAACTCGGGGGTCCTGACCTACGGCACTGACCCTCATATCCTCACGCTGCGTGCCCTCCAAGCTAATCATTCGGTGGTGTGGATGCTCAGATGAAGTACTGGGGTCCGCCATGTTGCGGATATCGGCCTCGAGTCGCCGGAAAAGCTTGCCGTAGTCCAAAGAGAGCGAGACCTCATCCTGAGCGGCGGAAGCAATGGCGGATGAGTAGGATAGTTTTAGACTTGCGATGCACGGCTGTGCTTTGTCCGGGCGGTGCCATGCGTCCGGGGCTGCAGGGAGAGGAAGCTCGATGTCGCGGAGACGGACGCTGTCGAGAACATCTGGGACGGAAGGGATATAAATGACGGAGCGTGAGCTGGACATTGCGTCTGTATACTGCGAAGCCGGTTGTCAGGCTTCCAATTGCAAGGTAGCGCAGTGCAGATGAAGGGCGGGGAGGGAAGCTCGGGAAGGGTTTTGGGCGGGGCAGCTGCAGATCAGGGCCGGCAACGTCCGCAGGCAGCTTATTTGACATGGGCAGCGTTGTACTACCTACCCATCTAACAATTTGGTCCCTGGATACTAAAATAGAACGGAAGACTGTATTCATCACTCCTGAATCCTATGTCAAGACTGTCGTTGAAGAAACAGATAGATCCACAACCACAAAATTGCCACTCCATCCGTTGTCCTCGTAACCTGTGCAGACCACTGAAACCAGCTGAAGAACAAAGCAAAACACCCATCGATAGAAAAGAAAAGGAATCAAAGATGGTCGTTGCAGACACAATAGTACCAGCCCAAGGGACGAGGGCTGGAACCTAGACCAGAAGAAATGAAGTCCAGTCCGAGGGAAAGGTCCCAGGCAGGAGAAAACGCTCAGAACAACGGCAGATGGAAAATAAAATCGGCACCATAAAGCTCAATACGATACGTAGCGGGTATTAGGGAGGTGAAAAATTATCTGCAGTAAAAATCCAAGGAATGGAAAACAGAAATGGAGACGGGCCGCCATCTACCAGTAGCGGGGGCGATCATACGCAACGTAGTCAGCTCGCGGCGGCGTGCGAGGTCGACCGTAGGGCCGCCCCGCCAGATAGGGGTCATCATAGTGGCGCGGAGGAGGCGGAACCCGGGCATCATAGGGGTCCTCGTAAGGACGACGCGGAGGCGGGTAGTCTTCTATGCGAGGACGCGGGGGAGTGCGACGTCCGTATCCATCACGTTCATAGTAGTCTCGGCGGATGGGGATGGGCGACCGTTCACGGTAATGATCCCGGGGACTGTATCCACGGGGCCCGGGGAACCTTCTGTCGTATTCATCCACGGGAGGGTAGGGCCGGCGAGGGGAGCGAGACCGATATGGGTCACGGTGGGGACGCTCTTCGAAGGGTTGGATCTGGGGGGTATCAGATGGGGATCCATTTGCGGGTTCCTGGTCGGGCTGCTCCCTTACATCCGCAACGCATGTCACGCGTGAGCCTTTGAATTCGCGCTGGTCCAGCTTCTCCACGGCAGTTTTCAGGTCGTTGGCGGTTTCAAATTCAACAAACCTTTTTCCTTGTCAATGGGGGGACGAACACACGAATATGGGAGCATGCTCAAGATGCAATGGTAACCCACCCTTTTCCTTGTTCACGGCCAGTTTCCGAGTAGACAACATCCAGTCCAGACTGGCGGGCAAAGTCTTTGAGGTCCTATAAAAAGAACAAGTGGTGAGTCCAGGTCCAGAAAGAGGAATATCCGGCAGGTCCAAGTGGAAAGTGGGCAGCAAAAGATCTACGTCCGGGCAAAGAGTGACAATATGGTGATTGATATCCGGAGTGACCAGGATGCACTATTCTTCCAGTCCAGGTGAAACCCGAGTTTCGCCCTGCCAGGTCCTCGGAGCAAGACATGAATGCCTCCAAAGCCTAGAACGGTAAACGGTCCTTGGTTCCAGGAATCAAGTTCCACGACCCAGCAGAGGAGCACAGACTGGAAGGCATATGTTCGAGCAAAGTGGCCAGAGGGCAATGAGGTCCGGATATCCAAGGGGGAATGGGCATGGGCTGGAACTGCTAACCTGCCAACTTGTTTCTGGAAGACCGGATATCTGCATCCGGAACATGGTACGGCGAGGGCGAGGAGCAGTGGGACGGTCCGTAGGGCCGGGGAAGTTCTCCTTGCGCCGAGGACCACGAGCGAACTGCACGGTCAACCGCTCACCCTTGAAGTCACTACCGTCTGTCGGAGGCTTAGTTAATGGGTCATTTTTATTGGTCCAGCTAAAGTTATGAACATACGAAAGGCTGCAAGAGTTGTTAGCAGATTGATAAACAGCGGGTGTTCACGGGGGCTTACCGGGCACGACATCACGGGCATCCATGGCATCCTCATATTCGATAAAACCGAAGCCGTTCATTAGCTTGATTTCGGTAATCTTACCAGAGCCATGGGTGCTGAAATGTTCCTCGATATCCGGTTTAGTGACTGCAAATCATTTGATCAGATCATGTCAGCGGGCTGTTCAAGTGTTGAAGGTCCACGGGACTGCTCTATGTGCTGCATGGGTGGAACGCTGCCAGGGAAGTGGGCCGGGGGCGCCTGCAAGCGGGGACTGAGAGAATCCATAGACAAGATCCAACCGGTGATGTTTTGAGGGAAGAGGGTGTGGGTTGCCAGCATACCATTGCGGGGAAGGTTCCCGAGATAGAGACGGGTCGATGACACCTCCGTCATGGTGGGAAGTCAGGCCACTAAGAGATGGATCCGGCAGGTACTAGAAAAGTGGCCAAAGAGAGTTCCAGCGGCGAGCGGAAAAGCCGTGTGGCTAAGGGAAGATGGCGGTGACTCCGGAAGCTAACCTATTCCCCCCAAACGAGAAAAAGGGTTGGGCTGGATAGGATATTGGGCACACACTCCTCGGGGAAAGATGAAAGAGAGGCAGGATGCAAGAGGGCAGAAAGGAGAAAAGAGGGGGGAAGGGGAAAAAAAGAAGACATGGCGGTGGAGGGCGCGACAGGTAACACAGGCCGCCTCACTTTTTTTTGGCTATTTGATCCACGCGCTCCCCACCAATGGGCTGTACTGAGTACAAGTTGCTTTGGATTTTGATTTTATTGTTTAGGTAGGCGCAAGCCCTGTGAAATACCGAGTAGTGCACCTGTACCACAACTATAAAAGACCTTGTAGTAAAGTAAGTAGATCGCCTGGTGGACCTCCACCTTCCATTCCACGGTTCTGTCCGCTGACCCCGACGGGGCGACCCATTTTTGCCACGTACTTTTGACCTCAGGCTAGCTTCCTGTACTAGCTGAAAAATAAAAAAGAAATCACCTGCTTTTTGGTATTCGATATATACAATACAGGGCTATATTTAATTCCACAACTCCAGAGCATACTGAAGTTAGCTCATGTCATGATGTACTTGGGGCCCTCTCCACCCTGAGGGGTTTGCCAGTTGATATCCTGAGTGGGCACCTTGATGTCACACGTCTTGCAATGGATGCAGCTACATGGCTCGTTAGTACTGTTCACGACCGACATCGGTGTCAGGGGGCGATGACTTACTTCTGCGCGTTGATCTGGAACCGCACCCCGTGCGTCTTGCTCGGGTCTTCCACGTATTCGTACACTCCGGCCGGGCAGAACCGATTCTCCACACCCTTGTAGACCGGCCACGCCAGGTCCTTGTGCTTGTCCCAATCCTCCACCTGCAGATGCACGGGCTGGTCCTCCTCGTGGTTGGTGCCGGTTCGGCTCACGCTGGTTAAGATGTCGAAGCTGATCTCGCCGTCGGGTTTGGGATATTCGATCTTGTTGCACTGAGATGCAGGTTTGGTGGCGGCGGCATCCGTGCCGTGGTGCTTAAGTGTCCATGGCACACGGCCACGGAGAATGTAGGCCTCCAATCCGGAGTACATCAATCCACCGAAGAAGCCCAGAGGGGTATTGAAGGAAGGCCGCATGTTGCGCACCTCGCGCAGCTCCTTCCAAATGTACGATTCCCGGAGGGCCTTTTCATAGTCGAAAAGGAAGACGGTGCCTTCGCTTGTGCTTTGCAGCGCAGAGAAGGTAGCCTCGGCTGCCAACATACCGGACTTCATCGCAGTGTGCGTACCCTTGATTTTGGGCACGTTCAAGAACCCAGCAGTGTCACCAATCAGGGCACCGCCTGGGAACGCGCACTTGGGAATGGACTGGAAACCACCCTCGTTCAGTGCACGCGCACCGTACGAGATGCACTTGCCACCCTCCAAGACTTCTTTGAACAGGGGGTGGTGCTTCATTTTCTGGAACTCCCCGTACGGCGAGAGCCAGGGGTTCGGGTAATCCAATCCCACCACCAAACCAATGCTGACCATGTTGTCGCCAAAGTGGTACATCCAAGCACCACCGTAGGTATCCCTGGGGAGCGGATATCCCATCGAGTGGGTGACCTCACCCGAACGGAACTTCTCCGGCTGGATTTCCCAGATTTCCTTAATTCCCAGTCCGTAGGTCTGAGGCTGGCTGTCCCGTCGCAAGTCATACTTCTTAATCACCTGCTTCGTCAAGCTTCCGTGGCAGCCCTCTCCGAGAAGGGTGACGCGGGCGTGGAACTCCATTCCGCGCTCGAACGTATCCTTGGCCTTGCCATCCCGGCTCAGTCCAAGGTCATTGGTCGCAACACCCTTTACTGATCCATCGTGAGTGTAGACAATCTCGCTGGCAGCAAATCCGGGATACACTTCCACTCCTAGTTCCTCCGCGCGCTCACCGAGCCACTTGGTCAACTCGTTCAAACTGATGATGTAATTTCCATGATTGTTCATCTGCGGCGGGGCGGGAAGAGGGTACGATGAGTTCTTGGTCAGGAACCGCATCTTATCGCCCGTGACAGGGGTAGCACCCTCGAAGCGGGAAGGGTTATCTTCGTCGAGCCAGTCGGGAAACAGCTCGTTCATGGAGGTCGGTTGGAGGACGTTGCCGGAGACAATGTGCGCACCCAGCTCGCCAGCCTTTTCTAGCAAAACGACTCGGAATTCCTCATTCCCGGCTTCGTTTGCAAGCTGCTTCAATCGAATTGCGGCGGCGAGACCAGCGGGACCTATGGTTATCAGAGCTCAATTAGATCGGGCTCCAGGGTCAGTATTGCGGTGTAACACATACCACCACCCACGATACAGACATCCACCTCGTCGGATTCACGGTCAATTGACCGCGGGTCGAAGTTGCCATTTTCATCGGTAAAGCGCCGTGATACCGATTGCGAGAACGCCCGGGTTTGCAGCGGAGTGAAGGGCACCGTTTGGCAGGCCAAACGTCTCCCGGAAGACGAAAAGGGACTGGCGGGGCTGCGAGCAGAAGAGACGAGGGAGGAGATCGAGGGGGTAGTTCGTGAGAATCGAGAGGCCGAGCGCATTTCGCGCCTCAGCAGAGGCAGAACGGCACCTTTGGATGCCATCGCCGATGTAAAAGGAGGTTGTTAGTAAAACGGCAAAAGTACTACTGAGCGCGCATGAACATGTCCGCTTAGAATCGCACGGGGAGCGGAGAGGATGGAGTCCTTGAATAGCCGAGTTGAAGTCGGAACGGCGCCCGAAGCTGGTGAGCCAAAATCGCCGAAAAGCGCCTACCCGAGGCCCATCGCCGGTCGCGGGCCAATGAAATCGGGTACGTTGTCAATCCGGTCGACGTAGCTTGTTTTTCCGCTTCACCGAGAGCGTGTCAATGGGAATCTTTGGGTGAAATGCTCGAATACACCCGGATGAGTCCAGTTGATATCCTCAGGAATATTTTACCTGTACGGATCATATATACACTCTAGAGTCTGTAGCTACTGTGTCGACGGAGCCAACGTAATCATCACGTGGACCAGTCACATGCACCGAAAACATCTTTGACATCATCGAAAGGTCAAATGTGACGGAAGTGGACGACTCGATGCAGGTTCTCGAGTGTCAAGAATCAAGCTTAATTTACTGTCACACCGCGGGGTCTGGATTGGACCAGTACCAGTACCGGTGCCTCGTGGTTATTACGATAACTGTGATTACTCTGATAACCGTCGGTTTGCAGGAATGTGACGGGTGAGGTGCTGGGTATGGTATTCAGCATACCGGAATGGAAAATGTCCAGATGTAATAATAACAGAACCGCGGGTTAGTAGACGGTGACAGATCAGCGACTCATTAGGGCTTGGCGAGCGGTGGATTACAGATCCGCAAGATTCGACCGGTCCAACTTGCAGTCCTGAACGGCCACCTGTCCTCAACGGCAGGAATGACGGCGCTGACACCCTTCTGAGTTGGGGGAAGCCGACGGAAGGTATTTGGAGTTTTCGCGTCAACAACGAGTGGCGAGTAGGCGATGAAACACTTGGGAGGCACATCCGGCGCTTCCAGCACCCTTTGTTGCAGGAAGGAAGAGGGAAGCGCTGACAATTTTTGTTCAGTTGCCATCCGCTAAAGCGGCGAGAGGGTAGCGCGTCGTACAGGGAGCGGCCGAGGATATCGATGCGCAGTGATTGGGCCGCGGTGAACAGGATTGGACGGGTCCGACTATCGGTTGCAGCAGCCCCGTTTCATGGACGCTGAGTGGTTGATACGGCGGCGCGGCGGAGGATAAAAGCAAGGGCGGGTGAGCCATTCAGGGGCCAGTATTGAGCCAGGTGGATACAGGTATTCACCAATAGCAGACATGTACTGGAAACCAGCCACTTCATTGGTGTTCAGATATCTTCCAGAGCCGCTAGCGGCCCACCGGTGGAGAGGCAGCCGTGGTTGAAGGGAGGCCGACCGTCGCTGCTTTTACCGCCACCATGGGGCCAGCCTCCCCTGACGCGGGCAGTGAGTCAGCACTATATAAGGGCCCTGCCTCCCACTCCCGCGTCGCTCCTGGGATTCCTGTCTCGGTCTTGGCATCCGCTATCTGGAGTTCTATACTTCCCGCCCCTCCCCCCTACTCCCTTTTCTCTACTAATCAGATCTTTTCTTATCTGAAAGATCTCCTCATCGGGAAGCCTTTTTTCTATCGAAAAAAGGAAAAAAAATATTTCATCTCGGTTTTCCTACGGGCTTACCTAAGGAAGCTTGTCCTGCGACTCCCAGGTACTCGCTTCACCACTCTCCTTCAGATCGCTCTGCAGATAGAACACAAAATCCAATTGAAAAAAAGCAGAGGAAAAAAAAAGAGCGAACAAAAAAAAAAGTCTCTCGCGTGTCTGCCATTTTAATCTCCTCGGCGATCTGTCCTCCTGAAAACACTTTAGTGTGCTTTTCTTTCCAACCCTCTTCGAATCAAGAGGATCAGTGATCTGAGATTCGTGTCACCTTCACCATCATCTGGGTCGAGCAGCAGTTGCCTTGGGGGGATACATTGACTTGTCCATCTCCCACTACAACTAGGTAAGCTTTTCTGCTGCACTCCTTTACCATCTCGGGATTCTGCCACTCCTGACCGCCTCCTATAGGCGGTCGTCATCGACGTCTTTCACTTCTTCCCTCGTCAACATCTCACTGACTCGTCCCTCTTCCTCCATAGTTGTTATTGGTTCCTTCATCTCCATCGCATCAACCCGATCGCGTTTGTGGATCCTGACGTTCATCATGGAGCACATGAACACCCTCACCACCCACCCGAAGACCGCGGAGCAGGCGCGTGCCTTCACTTCGCCCTCATCGCTCTCCTTCCCTGGTGGAGCCGGGGACCTGACCCCGCCTTCCTCTGTGAAAGAGGCTCAGGGTATGAACGGTCAGCAGGTTGGAGGAAATGCCACTAATGGCAATGGGGTGACCCCCGCCACTCCAGCTGCGACTCCTGGTGCTACTTCGGGAAGCAGCGGCATTGTGCCGACTTTGCAGTGAGTATACCTCTTTTGTTCTGGGTTTCTCGTAAGACAGAAATACTGAACTTTACCGTCCTCAAGAAACATCGTGGCCACCGTCAACCTTGACTGCCGCTTGGATCTGAAGACCATTGCCCTGCACGCACGCAATGCAGAGTACAATCCAAAGGTATATTCCACACCTCCCTGAGCCGTGGCAAACCAGGGGACAGTGTGGCTGAACTTTTCTACCTTAATAGCGTTTTGCCGCCGTCATCATGCGTATCCGTGAGCCCAAGACCACCGCTCTGATCTTCGCCTCTGGCAAGATGGTCGTTACCGGTGCCAAGTCAGAGGATGACTCCAAGCTTGCATCCCGCAAGTACGCCCGTATCATCCAGAAGCTCGGCTTTAACGCCAAGTTCACGGATTTCAAGATCCAGAACATCGTCGGCTCCTGCGATATCAAATTCCCCATCCGTCTGGAGGGTTTGGCTTCTCGCCACCACAACTTCAGCTCCTACGAGCCCGAACTCTTCCCCGGTCTGATCTACCGTATGATGAAGCCCAAGATTGTGCTCCTGATCTTCGTCAGCGGTAAGATCGTCTTGACTGGCGCCAAAGTGCGTGAGGAGATTTACCAGGCTTTCGAGCTGATCTATCCTGTGCTGTCTGGTAAGTGACACTTGTTTCCATCACGCTCAATATACGTGCTAACCAATCCCAGATTTCCGCAAGGTCTAAATTTCCGCAGGAAGATCACCACTTGCTTTCGCATTCAAACCTGTATTAACACACGCTGCCTTTTCTTCACCGTTGCCATGGGTATGGCAGTATGCTCACGCATCTGTTACTCCTGTGTTCGCTCTTTCTATTTTCACGATTCTTTATGCACAGCATCGTTCGGCGTTATAGCGATTTGGTGATCCTCGGTCTGTTTCTCATTTTTCGACTGTTACGATTTAGAAGATTGCTGCACACCGCAGTGAGGCGGTCCCGTGCGCTGGTCGAAACACTGCCTCTTAATCTTTTTTCTGTGCTTTCATTTCCGTTGATGGGGCAACCTGTCGCCGGCCAAAAAAATTTCTGCTGGGCCTCTAGATTCCGTCATTGCTTATGCCCAGGTGGATGACTGGGGGATTGAACGGCTTTCTGCCGTGGTGTTTCCGTTAACAATATCAATGGAAATCCAACAAAAAAAGAAGTCTGTTCCAAGTAAAATTTGTAATGTATTTTTTGTAGGCTTTCATCTCCGCCCTTATATGTCCATGTGGTGTTCAAATGTTGGATGTACCTAGGTTCAGACTCAGTCCGAATGTTTCGAGGCCTATGCAAGTATGTACAATGCCCATTTAGACATCTATTCGTCAACTACTTATAGTACACTGGCTCTGTCACCCCTCCTGGTCTTTGCCAACTCATCTTTCAAAATGGGGTTCCTGTCCCCAGATCGGCTTCCATCTCCATCAAACAGATCATCGACATTCGCTGCAGGCGTGGTAACCTCAGTCCAAGCCCACATCTTCTGCAATTCCGGGTCAAGCGAGCCCTCCATAGCATCGACGACCTTGTCTCCAATAACAGGGAAGAACTTGTACGCGTGTCCACTACCACCCGTGGCAAGGAAGAGCCCGTCGTAAGCGGGGTGGTATGAAACAATAAAGTCACCATTAGGCCTGTTCATTCAAGATCAGCAATCAATACACTTCACAAAGAAGGTCCAAACTTACGTATCGGTATACCAACAAATCCTCGTACCAGCAAATGGACGGTCCATAAACCGCGGCAGCAGCTGCTTCAACGCTACCCGGAATGCCTCCTCTCCTTCCAGCGGCACTGGCGCCCCCGGCTCAGGAAGACTAACCTGCATCGTCTCTCCAGCCGCACCAGGTACAGGAATAGATCTCGGGTTGCGGTACCCATACGCATGGCGCGCAATCTTGAGCAGGTTGTCCCGCGGCGGGATGATGAAGATGCCCGTGGCAAAGTTCAGGATAGTCGGCAGATTTTCGAGCTCGCGCTGCTCGGCGTCTGAGATGCGGATGTAAGCGATCGCCTGGCCAGTTGCGACGGCTTTTCCGCGCAGATCAACAAGCTTGGATGACCATGCACCTGTAGCGAGGACGACCAGGTCGGCCGTGATGGTGGTACCATCTGCCAGGGCAACACCGGTAGCCCGCGGTTTAGCACCAGATGTGTCGTACAAGACACGCTCAACATCACCCGTGCGGAAAGTGACCTTTCCCTCGCGATCAAGCTGCTCCTTCGCAAAGTGCACAGTAGCTGCAGCATCCGACCAGCCAGAGCCCCAGTTCACATACCCACCAGCCACATCGAACGTCTCGCCATACAGCGGGACGACACGGAGAACATCCTCTTTAGTCGGGAGAAGGATGACATTATCGCCCTCGATGCGACGCACATTGGCATAGCTCTTGCGCGCATACTCTTTAGCGCTGGCACTGTTTTCGGGGTACACGAGCAGCAGACCATTCTGCGTGTAGCGGCCCTCACGACCCCATTCCGTAGTTCGCCAGCGCTGAATCGCCGTATCGGCTAGCCTGGCGTATGCAGCATTCGCATAATCTGCACGCACAATGCGCGATGTGTCCACAGACGAACCATGCGGGTTCGGAATGGTGGGTGATGCCTCGACCAACGTGATCTGCGAGTCCGGGTGCCTCTTGCTCAGCGATTGTGCCGTGGATACTGGAAAATGTTAGATGAGAGCGGCAATCGGCGTGGGGATCCGGGGTTGAATTGTGTGCGCCTCTCGCGTGTATAATTACTTACGGCCGAAGACTCCTCCTCCCACGATCAAGATCTTTGGAGGCAGCGCCATTGCGATTGAGGGGATATTTTTATGTATGCTTGAGAGTGTGGCGTGATTCTGATAGAGTGGCCGAGGGAATGGTTTGATAGTTCCTGATAACGGCAGTTTGTCAGACTCGGCTCCGGACCCGACCATTCTCCATTTTATCCCGAGCTAGTCGGCACTGGGCCTCACTCAGCTTGGCTAGATAAGAGACCAAGGGCACTATACAGGGAACGGGTGCAAGATTGAGACCCCTTGAGCCGCTTTCTCGTACTTCTCCCGCCTTTCAACGCGCGCCCGAAATTTTCAGTCGCCATCTCGCACCCGTACTGTCGACATCGGGATAGCGGGAGACAGTCAATCCACCATCCGAATCTATCACTTTTCTACTGTTCTGAAACACTCTTCCAACAGGTCACCCTGAAGGTTGCCTGTCAGTGCATCGCCGCGATGAACACAACCCGATTAGGAAGAGCCTCCTTGAGGGCCGTCACGCCTACGATCCCCTCCAGAGGCGTGCAAAGCAAAGCACCTCGGCCAAAGAAACCAACGTATGTCCAATTTTGCTCTGAAGTGTAACATTCCAAACATTGACCAACCCTACAGTACCAAACCACCACCAACGCGCAAGCAATTTAACCCAGAGCTCAAGCGCTTCCAAGAACGCTTCGAAGCCAAAGAAGCCCAGTCCAAACCCAACGGCGGCATTCCACCACGCGTACTAACCTTCCTGGGCATCTCAGCCCTGACAATAAGCACATACTGCGGCTACTTGTACGCGTCTTACCAGCGCCAGGTATCCAAAGGACAAGCGCTGGACCTGCCGACAGACGTGTCAGACCGGTACAATACCACCGCACCGACGTTCGATGCAGATGTCGAGCTCTCTGAAAAGGCTATGCGCTTGGGCTCCAAACGTGCTGATCTCGTTCGTATGGCGCGCGGCGATGTCCTCGAGGTTAGCTGTGGTACGGGGCGGAACTTGGAGTACTACGATCTGGGCGAGCGACGAGGTCTCGACAGCACGGATCGACTGGGGGTTATTGGATGTCGCAGTTTGACGTTTGTGGATCTTAGTCCGCAGATGGTGGCTATCACGAAGGAGAAGTTCGAGGCGCTCAGGCCGGATTTTAAGCGGGTGGCATTCCGTGCGCAGGATGCTGGGAGCGTGTCCGTTGAGTTGAAGGGGTTGAGAGGGTCTACTGGGTCGAAGGAGGGCGAGTACTATGATACTATCGTGCAGACGATGGGTCTATGTTCGATGCCGGATCCTGTGGGCACGTTGCGCCATTTGGGTGAGATTACGGAGCCGAAACGTGGGCGCATCTTGTTGTTGGAGCATGGACGGTCGCACTACGATTGGCTGAATCGTATTCTGGACAACCTGGCTCCGACGCATGCGGACCGGCATGGGTGCTGGTGGAATCGTGATATCGGGGCTATTGTCCGAGAGAGTGGGTTGGAGATTGTGGAGGAGAAGAGGTGGCATCTTGGGACGACTTGGCGGTATGTTTTGAAGCCGAGGCAGAACTGATTCTGCCTGGTTTTGTTTGAAGGGGTTGTTTAAGGTTGTTGTGATGCCAAAGGTGTGCTTGGTGTTGAAGCTTTGATTGTATATATCCGAGGACTGTATAAATATTGTAGAATGGACCAAATGACTTGATATTCAATACCATGTACCTGCAGTTCAAGATTGAGTCACAGTTAAATAAACCGATTCCTCTATTCGCCATGCCATTCTTGCAGGTGTTCATGATAGTACTTGTCCATATCGAAGGGTCTGGATGCGTGGGCCTAGCGGGTTGCACCTTACCTACCCGACCGGCTAACCAACAACGCTACCCAAAATACCGTTAGCCTCACCCAGAAAATGACCCAACAAGCCCACCTGGGCAGTAATCTACTCGGGATAACGCCCTTCCAAAGAGGATGGGGACGATCTCGATATGTGGTTATGGAAGCCATCAAAGACGCAGTTGCATAACACAACATCCAAGGAAACCGTTTTCACCAGCCAATTCACATCGATAGCGTTAGCAGACAACCCCCAAGTCAATGGAAATTGGATGCTGATTGGGTTGATTGATATCAGTCCCACATAAATCCCTTACCATTCGCCGTCCGTTATCGCAATTTGATACGTGCAGGGGCCATCTATTTACTCTGAAACAACAAGGAGCACCGAGCGCAAAAACTGTTTCAAAATTAGGATTCGATGTACGGAGTACTGTAGGGGAGGACACCTTATTTCCCTAACAGTGTACTTCTGGACCCCCAAAAGGGGAGAGCCGTATAATTTGAGGCGATCCCGTTCAGGGCCATCCATCTCCAGGTCCACAGGTGCCAACAACTTGTTTACGGGTCACAACCCCTGAAGACAAGTATTCCAGCCAAACACAAACGCAGCCAATTAACCGTCTCTCATAAAAATGGATGGAGGAGATGTTAGCATATCCAGTTGAATGACTTGCCACGGCTCGCAAACGACGGCACGCACGGTACGAAGCCCTTCCAATTTGCGCCGATAGACCAATTAATGGATGTTGCAGATCCCCTGCAGGGGTATTTCTACATGTCTTGGATGCGACCGGTTTCTGTTGGCCCGGCAATTCCATGGCAGTACTTTTCGCCATGATATGCGGGGTCGCAGATGGGCTATGTAAGGACTGCATCAAAACAAAAAAAAACAGTTGCGATGTGGGTTTGATGTTGATGTATGATTGTGCATAGTGCGTGGCTAGTGGGTGTCTATGCGAAACAAGTATGTTGGTTGTTTGGAGAAGGAATCGGGCCAACTACACTACAATGCACCCCAGCACTAGATTCTTATTGGAACGGTCGCAAGATCGACTCGGTATGACTTCACAGAAAGTATAAGAGCCATAGGATAGCCTTGGAATAAATGGTTGACGCTAGCGCGCACAAGGCTGAGTGGTCGGGGCACACATCCTAGCCGTGTGGAGATGCGGAGATATTAGCGTGCGTCCGCTGCTGCATGATGCATGCTGTACTGTATGTGCCGGGCGCAGTTCGCGTATCTACACTATGGGTGGGAACTTTGATGATGTTGCAATGCGACGGATCTGATTACTCCTTTCGGTCGACGCATTCGAACAATAGGCTGATGGCAAAGAAAGTCTAGGGTCCCATGGTTAGGCGTTTGCCTGGGGAAGTGACCCCTCGCCTTGGCGAAAATGGACGATGTCATGAAAACGGAGATGAGTATCAGGGTTGAGGTGAAGATCGGGTATTAGATTGATTGAATGATGTTCCATGGGCGAGACCTGCAGGTTGCTGCAATGCTTGCACCCGCGCCCTTACTGAGTGCCAAGATCAGAACCTTGGCTATGATGTACAGTCCACCACATCCCTCGAATTAGAGGGAGGGGGAGAATATACCAGCGCTGTGGCCTCGGGTGCTACTGTGCTACAGGAGGTTGGCATCATATCGACACCCGTTTGCCCTCCCGGCGATGGCATCATCACTTTTAAGACCAATATTCAGCAACTCCGATGAGATCTAGATCTGTTGATCGGTAAAGTCTAGTTGGGCGTAGGTTTGAGACACACCATAAACTCAGCTACATAAGTACGGAGTAAGTACGGAGTACGGAGTACGGAGGTGGTGCAGCGCGGTCGATAGCTGAGCTCATGCATCATCAGTGGCGAGGCTCCTGTTTTCCCCCCGAGACGCTACTGCGAGCATCCCTTACTAGCGTAAGTTACATTACCGTACATCGTCCCGTGGATTCGGCCGGGGATCCACTGGCTATGGACGGAGTGGGCTGGGATGTGGACCGAAGTGGACTTGTCTCTTGTGAAACGGCGACGCTAGGGATCTTTTCAGGGAACCGGTGTTTTTCGTCCGGGAGTCTCGGGTTGACTTCCTATGGTTCTCGGGGATCACTCAGTGATCACCTTTTGCATGCGTCAATCATATCTACGATTGTTGTAGTAAATATTTGGATGTCGGTGTCGGAGGCGGTCAACATCTTACAGGCGACTGGTCACCCGGCAACCGAACAGATCTAGTCGAGTATGTACGGAGTACCTGTATAGGATAACATGCGTGTTCTTCATGGCCTACGCCAATGGGAAGATTGCATTATTCACTTGTCCGATGTGTGATTAGTCCAGGGCGATGTGTACGGAGCCCCGATGGCCGCCGCTGGAGCTCGGCACAGGAGCCTTCACCCAAAATGGAGATGGAACACATGGTTGTTCTCCACCTACTTTTTTTTTTTTTTGCCTCCCAGTGTCTTGGTATGCCACTACGGCCGAGGTTGGAATGGAGCGAGGCAACTAATGAAATATGGGCATGGCGCGTCTTGGGATCCACTGACCGCCTGGAATGGGAAAAGTTTGATTCCTTTTCCCCCTGCATCTGCGGCGGTGTAGCCTCACATATAGGCGTGGGCCGAAGACATAGGGACAGCTGTATAGCTGTATAGCTGTAGATGTGCCTGGTGGTGGTGAAGGGCCCATCAAAACGGAAAACCCAACGGATGAATCCATGGATGACCAGTCGAAGATGGCGTAAAAGAAAAATCGAGAGCGCAGAAAGTCCCGCCCAGCCAATCAGCGCCACATCGATTCCCGATGCCCGTAACGTAATTACGCCATAAAAAAAAACAAATTGAGAAATTCCTCAGGCCGTTGTCATTCGCCCCGAAGCAAGAGGTCGTCGCATCCCATATGCGCCCCTTCCTCTTCGATTTCCATCCTCCCCATTACTCCCCCCCCTTTCAAAAAAAACATATCCAAGCTTTGTATTGTTATATTATTTTCCATTCTGGTTATACTTTATTATTACTCTCTCTCCTTTGATTCCCACCTTGACCTCTTTGTTGTCGACATCATCACTATGCCTTACAATACCCGTCGCAAATCACTCTCCCTCCCTTCGCTAGGCATCCATCTCCCTAACTCTTCGCGCCGCTCTCTCTCCATTTCAAAAGGCTCAACCGATGACCATCCGCCATCCAAAAAAGTTAAGCGGTCGCATCACTCATTATCGCCCGAGCCCAGGGAGTCCGCTGTGCGCGCTGGTCGACACGGGGCTCTCGAGCACACCCCGCCTCCCTCGCCTCTGGATGCCCGCGCCGCGCCCAAAATCGACACCGAAGGCATTAATGATGATATCGTGGTCGCTGTGATCGACCAGTTGGAGAAGACTGGGAATCGCCCCCATCTGGTCAAGGAATTGGCCGCCGTTCTCGTTGCCCTAAATGCGAATGTCGCCAAGTACGTTTTACTTTCCAATTCCGAGTGTCGCGCAAATGCTAATCTACTCATCAGTTCCGCCAATCCCGCTGCCCTCCTTTCCTCCCGGCTGGCAGCATATATGAAGCGTTCTTGGACGGCTCTTGCGCCGTGCCCTATCGCCAAGGAGCTTGTCTTAATTCATCCTCGCAAAGTGTATTATTATCTGACGACCTTCCCTCGTCAGCCTATTCCGGAATCATCAGACGATCTGGTTTTGGGCATCGACGGCAAGCACATCACCCCGAGTGTGTCGAGTCTCGACGAGGACGAGGAAGACGCGATCCGGGAGCGCAGCCCCAGTCCCGAAGTGGACCTGTCTTCGCCCGACTTTGAGCAGAACGAGGACGATCTGGATAGTCCCGCAGGTCGGGGAACCTCTATGGACCAGTTTCCCGACTCTTCCAGCCACAGCCGCCTGATGCATTCTAATCGCGCGGCATCTCCGCCCCTGGAGGGGGACGAGAAGGAGTTTACTCAGACCGCCAGTGCGGTGCGCGAGCGTGCCTCGGAGGAAAAAGCCCAATCGGAGCGTGCCATTTCCGTTCTCTCCGAAAGCCTTAGCAACATAGACGAGGATATGAGCAGCGCCGACTCCTCCGTGAACAATGGCTCTGTGTCTCCCGCACCCCCTATGACGGAAGAAGAGTACAGTGATTACTTCTCACACATGAATCCTGCGGAGGGTTCCCAGGACTTGGATGAGGCCGCTGCCGCCACCCTCTTTGGCACATCCCCTTCGCCCTCCCTCACCTCGGTTGCATCGTCGGTCTCGTCTGGCACGAGCGTTATCGATGCCACGGATGAGGGGCGGACTGTTACTCTTCCGGTTGTCCCACAGATCAGTCTTCCGACAGACCCGGATGCCGCTCCCGTCTCAACTCTGAAGCGATCTCTTGATATGTTGAACAGTGGTCTTCCGGACGTCGACCTGAAGATGTCTGATCTGACCGAATCTCACGAAAAGCTCACCCTGGGCCCTCGTGCCTTCGGCAACCTGAACCACGAGCCCAATTTTGACTCCTGGAGAGAGTTGCAGAACCCGGAGTCCGTGGAGGTTGATGAGCTCGATGAGATGTTTGGCGAAATCTAAACTTTCGTACCTTTTCTCCTCTGCTCCGGTCTGCGCCCCTCCATACTTGCTTCCATTATTCCCACTTCTGTCTCTCTCTCCACTCTCGGTTGGCTAGAATGCTATACCATGGTCGTTTATCCTTCCTTGCCCATTTCCCCTCTACTTCTTGACCTCTGTACATGTTGCCGACGCTCTCACCTCGCCGTGCCCTACTCTTTTGATAATTCCTTCCTGTACATATACATCTTTTGTTGATTTTCATTTCGGTCTCGCCCTAGATGGGTAGAAGGAAGATATGGGAAATTTCCGGGTCATTTCAGGGGCAAACAAAAGCGACTTGATGAATTGATACAATTGCAAATGGCGTTTCAAATTTCGTTCAACCATGGAAATCATGAACCATGACACCTGACTAAGCCCTACCGTAGGGCCAACGGCCCAGCCAGTAATCTCGGCCCTGTGATTAATCTCCCGCCACTTTGCCATGGACTTTTTTATCCATTCCATTCGCTTTCTTCGCTTGTGACTGAATGTCTTATCCTCTTCGGATCTTCATGGATTCGTAGTCTAAGCTGACGTCCCGGTTGCGCTTTCCCCCAACCCGACCGCTGGAGCCGTTGGAGCCGTTGGAGTCGAATCGCATCGAGCCGGAGTCGCAGAACGCCGAATCGGGATCCCTTCGATACCGATCGATACCACCCATCGACCTTTGTACCCCTTCCGTATGCTCTTTGCGCGATACCGCGACCATGACGATGGAAGATCCGCCCCAGAACCCTCCGGGGGATAGGCTCGCCAATCAGCAAAAGTTGCCGACCGTTCAAGTTGATGGCATCCCCGCGCCGGCTGCATCGGTCGCAGAATTCGGATCAACAACGACCAAGAACGAGCCCGGTGCAGTTCGCTCGGAAACCAAGAATTCTGCCAAAGTTGCTATCCCCCGTCAACGCTCGGGGATCGCCCCACGCTATAACCGGCGTGTCCCTCGCGCTTGCGAATCCTGCAGGCAGCGCAAAACGAAATGCAGTGGCGACACCCCGGTCTGTCGTCAGTGCCGGGAACTGAGGGTGACATGCCATTATCCCGTGGGATGGAAGGAGAGAACGAAGAAGTAGGTGATGCCGTTTTCCTTATCATGATCCTGCAGGTTGGTGGAGTCGAGTTGTACTAACCCGCCGTGGCAATTTAGACAAGTTGAGAAACTATCCGACAAAGCACAAGATTATGAGAATATGCTGAAAGACTTGGGATCCTTTGTTGAGTCTCGCACTGCAGACCGGATCAGGAGCTTGCTGGAAAAGGTTTGTACTCTCCCGTCCCTTGGTCGCAGGTTTGTTTGGTTGCTAACATCTTCATCTGCAGCACGGTCTGGACCAGGACTACTCGTCGAATAATTCCCATTCAGTTACCCCACAAGATGAGATCCAAGATGATGCACCTGACGGGGATGATATAAGTTCGCCTTCGTCGATTGGGTCTTTGGAAGCGATCGATCGCGTGGAAGAGGACCTGAACCGGACTGAAAAATCGCGAGCAACAGGCTTTATGGGAAAGAACTCGGAAGTCACTTGGATGCAGCGTCTCCAGAGAGAGGCAGAGCATCGTTCTCGAGGATTGCCCGGGTCTTTAGAGCCGGGTCAAAGCAAACGACAGGACGATGACCTGGCCCTTCATGCCGTGAATTACCACTTGGACGACATGGACATCTCCGTTCCTGGTCCGGTAGAACTCTATGGCATGCCTCCTCGCGAGCACGCTGATCAACTTTTTGACGATTACTTACGAACTGTGCACCCGTTCTTCCCTATCATCAACCGGCCCCTTTTCCGCGCGCAATACAAGACCTTTTTCGAAAGCAACGCGCAACCGGGGGACAAGTGGCTTGCCATATTGAATATGATCTTTGCCATCGGTGCAAAGCATGCCCATCTAATTGAGGCACCTTGGGCCGGAGATGAAAAGGACCACCTCATGTACTTGACCCGTGCCAGAATTCTGAGTATGAACGGCGACGTACTGTTCAGCCACCCAGACCTGCAGCAGGTCCAAGTTGAGGGCCTAGTTGCCTTCTACCTACTTTCATCAGATCAGATCAACCGGTAAGTACACATCATAGTCTATACCTGGCTCGGAATCTAACACCACCTTTTTAGGGCATGGAGGATGTCGGCTCTTGCTGTACGGTCTGCTATTACCCTCGGCATAAATATGAAGAGCAGTAGTCCTACAACTCCGAATATCTCCAAAGAGGCTCGCTACCGAGTCTGGTGGTGTCTCTATACCTTTGAGCATTTGCTTGGCATTATGACTGGTCGGGCAACTTGTATCTTAGATGGAGTCTGCACAACGCCACTACCTCTTCCATTTGAAGAGGAAGATCTATCGGAGCCTATTGCTGCCGAAATACTCAATAATTCGCACCTTCGGGATGATCGTGTTAACCAGGTGATGGCGAGTGCGTGGGTTCGGCATATGCCACTCAACCCGCCGGGTGGCAAAGAATCCAGCCCCTCTTCTCGCGCACGAGACAATTCATGGGTGAAAAGCCTGCCGTTTAGCTATGGACTCACCTATCTTTACTACTGCGATCTGGCAGTCATTACCCAGGAGATTGTGAACAAAGTGTACTCGGTGGACTGCGTGATGGTGCCATGGGCACATATCGAGAATCGCATTGGTGAACTGAGGTCTCGCTGCGACCTCTGGTACCGAAGTCTTCCGAACGTCCTCGACTTTACCCAGAAGAATGATGACGGCCCCGACGTCCTCCGCAGCAAGCTGGCTTTGGCATTCCAATACTACAGTGCACGAATTACCCTGGGCCGCCCATGCCTGTGCCGGCGCGATGCGCAGCAGAAGAATCCGGCCGACAGATCATGCTTCAGTCACGATATGGCCGTGCTCACCCTGGAATCTGCCATGCGCATGCTTGATCTTGTCCCGGATGAGCCAAATGCCGTCCAGCTCTATCAGATCTCCCCTTGGTGGTGTATTTTGCACTACCTCATGCAAGCAGCCACGATTCTCCTTCTCGAGCTATCTTTCGGAAGTGTCCATATGCCCGACGACGAGAAGAACTTCATTGCGTTTGCCAAGAAGGCCATTCGGTGGCTCTTCGCCATGTCTGAACACAGCGTTGCGTCCCGTCGCGCATGGCAACTGTGCGATCTTTGCTTGCGTAGACTGGCAACTGGGATGAAATTCGAAGTGAACGACATGCCCACATTCACCTATCAAACAGCACCCACCTCCACTCTGGACTGTACCGACCCTGGCCATCATCCCAACCAACCCATAAACATTGACCGGTCCGGATCGCATCGAACGGACTCTGCCGGTTACTGGGGTCCTCACTTCGAAGATTTGAACCTGACCGGCCAAAATCTCCCCACCGACCACTTCTATAACGCCTTCTCCGACGTGCCTACATCTGACCCCACGGCCTCACTTACCATCGATGGCTCGATGGCGGACGATCTTTACTTCCCGTACGATCCCATCAGTGGCGAGTTCATCCGCAGCTTCTTCCCTCATGGCAATGAAGAAGAGTCGTTGTGGGGCCAAAACTGAATGACCAGGAAACAAATAATAAAAAAGAAACAAACAATCACGCCCTATGATGAGCCAAGAAACAACGAAGCATGGATTTCATCTGCCTTTCACAAATCCTCATACCTCATATTCCTTTGTTGCCTGCTTCCTATGCACTATTCAACTTATCCTTGGGGTTTCTCGTTTATCAAGATGGCCATTGGCTCAGATACATCTTCTAACGCTTACCTTTACTCTTCTTTCATCTTCCACTTGGTATATGGCTCATCATATTTACCAAAAGCATTGCACATTATCAATGGATCACATCGGCAGGACCGACGGCGCTATGATACAAGGGAAAGGAGCTGGTACCATTCAGGCTAAAATCAAAGGGTTGGGGTATTTCGAATGGTTTCTGGGGGGTTTTTTTTTGATTTGAATGGGTTTCGGCAGGAACGGAACTTGGGATCTTAATGCATTTATGTGTTTAATCTCTTTCATCCATTTCTACGGGAAGCATTTTACGTTATGGTTCCAACATTATCATGATTTTGTCACGTACTCATTTCGGTTCATCTGAATATTTATCAATTTCAATCCACAAGTCTTGAGTCTATATAGCAAGATCGATTTCATGATTGTACACGTGGAAAGAGAAGGGGGTATATACACGTTGGTGCCAAAAAGAAACATAGTACTGTACATGTAGACCTCAACACTACTCCTGCGCAGCATCAGCCAGCCAAGAGGCCATGAACGGATCGTTCTGGAGCTCCTTCGCTTCATCTCTGACCCGTTTCGCCGCCGCCCGCTCGCTCCAGTTATCGCGAGCACCTGAACGCTTGGTCAAAACACCGCGAGCGCGCAGGCGGGCCAGGTGGCCTGGAAGGTCGGCGTCGATTTGGTCTTCGGGAATGCGGGCGCGCAGGTACCTGGTTGCGCAGAAGTCGAGCGCGGCTTCGGCTTCTGAGGCCGGAGGCCTGCCGCCGTTTTTGCTGACGTATTGGTAGAGGGATCGAGAGACGTCGATTTGGTAGCCATCCTCGATGAAGTGATCGGTAGGGGGAGATGAGGGAGGAGGTTCGTCGGGAGTTGAGGAAGGCATGTTTGTCCGCTCGGCCTCAAACTCTTGGAGTGCGGCTTGCGCAATGATGCGGATGGTGTTCACGTCTGGAACCACTGCTTTGCGTTGGATCTCAGCGTGCCACGCCGGGTTGAAGGTTGGGTTGCCATTATGATCCCTCATTTCTGGCAGGGTCAGGAGCCGCGATACGCCGCCCTCTTGTTGACGGGACATCGTTGGGCTTGGAACGTCCTGGCACCATTGGGCATAAAGTTCCATGCCGACTTTGCTGCCGTGGACTTCCACTGCAGCGGTGAGGATATCGTTGAAGGAGACGCAGGGAATGTAATGCATTCGTTGGTGGCTTCTGGGAGATCGCTTAAACTTCACCTGCTCCATGAGACCAGCCAGAGGCTCGGGCAGGGTTGACAATACCTGCTGGAGACGGCGGAGAGCTCTTCCTTGGAAGTCGGCTACCCGGCGGTTCTTGCTGGCCTGCGTGTTGAATTCACCTTCGAAGAAACGCAGGAGTATGTCTTTGGCGGACTCGAGGCTTTCCTCTTCCTTCTTCTCCACAGTGACTCCGCGAGCATGCTTCTTCTTGATGGTAGCGTCCATTCTGATGACCTTAGCCGCCAGGGAGGCGAGATTGTGGAATCCCCAAGATTTCAATCTGAAATCGCGCATATAGTTCAGTGTCATGCGCACGCGGGTCCAATCGGCTAGTGCGATGTGGAAATTAACCAGGCACTTAAGCGTGTTGACAGAAAGTGGCATGGCTAGGGCAGCAATGATCTTTTCGCAGAGCTCCGGATTTTTGGTGGCAGTTGCGAATCGTAAGAGCGCTGGCGCCAGCATTTGGTTGCCGTAGGAGCTTGTAGGGATTGAAGGTCCGTCAGGGTCATCGTTAAAAAGCAACCAGTTTCCAAACCCATACGCACGGCTCGAAGTAGCCAGATCTATCAATTCGGCCATCGTCATATCGGAAATCCCTGGCAAGGAGGACTGGTGTATCTTGAGATTAGATGAGTGGGCATCGTCGAAAAATAGGACATCCGCAGACTGTGATTGGTTTATATGTTCAAAGAAAGCTTGGATGTGTTGAGCCTTGCTGGCATCAACAATGTTCTGAAGCCAAGCGAATTGGTAGAAAGAGCGTCCAGCTTGGCGTTGATTGGCAAACGCCTTGATGTTGTACTCCACCAGGCCGGAAATGGCCGCTGACTCGTCATACAGCTGAGACCTCGTCACTTTATCAAGTTGATGCTCCGATGTATCGAAGCCGGGTTGCCATGGTGGCACCACGCTTTGAGTGGACCGCAGTATCCGTTGAAAGGCGACTGGGTCCTTGTTGGGCTCTAGGCTGCCCGACTCAAAAATTCGCGTCATATGCCAGTTCGTCAACTTGTTTGTCGGCCGAAGGTCGTCTTTAGACCCGGCGGGGTCGAGGAGCTCGCTCAGGGGAGCCTCGAGTTGGAGTAGCTCCGAAGGAGATGCTCCGTAGAAACCGACTCCTGTATAGGCTTTGTCGTACAGTGTGTCTCGCAAGCATACAACCACCTCTGTGCTTATGGTCCTTTTGCCGAGACCATTGAAGGGGGGTTTGTTGCGTCCCTTGAACACCTCGGGAGGACCGCCATTATGCGGACGACGCCAGGACTGCTCCGTAGTGATGTTTGTTTGTCGTACTATATCAAGATTCTGGGCTAGAGGTGCCCAGCTCTCGACTTTCCATTCGCCGTCGCCCTTCCGCTTCTGCATCGCTTTAACCAACAGGGCGCCTTGTTTTGCCAACCCGTGCTCAACGCAACACCAAAGGATGAGCTCAAACCAAATTTCCGGGCCCAGCTCTCGGAATTCGACAGGGAAAGGCAGGAATGGAGGATCCTCTCCTGCTTCGGTAGCCGCCTTGGCCAGTTCAGACTCATGCTCTAACCATGCTGCGTCAGACAGAACTGTCATAATATGGCTTGAAAGCAGATGTAGCCCGGGAGGACGAAACACTTGTTCATGAGAGTTGTAAGGCTGGTATTGGTATATTTTGTCAGAAATCAGGCCCAGATTATGCATGCGCGCAAGAAGGCGGAACACGCAGGACATCGCGGCCTTAGATTCCTCCGGGGAGCGATCTGCTGCAGCCAGAGCCAACGATCCAATATTGTATAAGAGTTCCCCCAGATAGCGATCACTAAGGCCCTTCGCGGCAGGCCTCATTGTAATAGCATCGAGAGAAGTAGTGTCTGATGTGGGAAGCGATTCGACACGTTGACCCAAAGCTGAGGGAGTGATGCCTGTGAGTTGGTTCAGAGACATATCACCCGCAAACCAGTCGAGGGTTGGTGCTAAATGCTGAGCGATCTGGAAAGGCCTGATGATCTCGTATGTGTCGATAAATTGGCTCAAAAGCGCGTGTACTCCAGACCACTGCTTCATATTAAAGCCCAAATGCGCCAAAAGGTCCAGATTCGCATGCGTTCTTGATGCCCACAAGACTCCCATCAGTTTATGTACCCGATCGAGGTCCTTTTTGTGTTGCATGAGCGAAACGGTGGGGTTTTGCGGATCCGCGCGGTTGTCGGGTCGTTGTGTAGGCCGACATGCCATGAGGAATGGTATCCATGATTCGATAAGGAATCTCCGCTCGGATTGGAGGGGAGATGCCGGAAAATCATTGTATGAGGTGATAAATTGGTGTTCTTCGTCAGTAAGAGGCCCGCGTGTCGAGGCAGGTCGAGTCTGGGTTCGAAGCGCCAAGGGGGAGGAGAGGGCGAGTAACGGAGTGATCAACCGGCGGCCAATCCGCAAGGACCGGCCGGTGCACAAGCACCTTCTCATGACAAAGCGTCGAGTTTCGTGAGAGGCGCCTGCGGAGGAATCTCGGTCTCGGTGGGCATGGAAATAGGTATGGAGTGGCGCATATCGGATCAATCATGAATCGCACATGTCGCGGAGGTTTCCGGGTACATATCCCGCACAATGCCGCACTTAAACTCAGCTCAAGGCCGGATAAGTCGTCAAGGAAGAGTTGACGACTCGGCGGAAAAGGAAGATCATGAAACGGGAAATTTAGATGCTGAGTAAGCGGCCACCAGCTGCGGCCAATCAACGTAGCCAGATTTACTTCCATGGGGATATGTCTTTCAACCTGTACAAAAACAAAGGGAAGGAAGGAAGTAAGCCTCGGAGAAGAGATATAGAATCACAAGTTTGCTTATGATGTTTCACAAGGCCGCACGTAACGGTCCTGGGCCCGGTGTAACGGTGGGAGCACTGTCCGTTCAAGGAAAGCTTAAGAATGTTTGCTACTTCGGAGGAACATATTGAATATCAATTTTCAGGCCCTCCTTTCATTTCATGCATCCATCTCCAATGTACTGGATGTTACCAGCCCACATTTGCTCGGGAGTATCTCGCCCAGATCCATGCGATGAGACCGAAGCCATCATCGCCGTGACCCAAGGCTTCCTTGCTGCGTTGAGCACAAAATCACGAGCCGACTTTGAAAAACACTGTGTTAGAGCTGGAGGAATGTCACTCTCGCCTCCATCGTCAATTGCACCACGTTTCTGCACCATCGGGTCTTTCATCGAACACGTGGCCACACTCAAAGATGAGATCGACGAGCGGATTTGGGATCCTGAGGTGAAGGTTCACGAGGAAGGGAATCTAGCTACGGTGTGGGCACCGTTTCGAGCCAAGGTCAATGGCATAGTCGATCATGTCGGTGTCGAGCTTTTCGTGCTTCACAAGTTCAATGGCGAGTGGAAGATCACTGGGCTAGCGGATTCCTGTCGGCGGCCGACCGAGGAAGAGAAAATGATGGAGTAGATGAGTCTTATATCTGGGAATTACGGGAGAGCAATGTAGCAGGATCCAAACTCGTTCGCACGAATTGCAGGCTATATTATACAACACTTTCTCTATAACTGAACCAGCAGCCACTGTAATACAACCTTGACCTAATACACAAAGCATTCGGGGACCCGAAACGAACGTAGAGATCTGGAAAATCTAGACCTGGATAGGGCGAATCTGGCGACCGTGGACCCGCTCAAACTGTTTGCTACCCTGCTGAGATCCCTCACCTCGGCCAGCGCGGGGAGTTTCGCTAGGCATACCACCGCCGAAGCCACCGCCCTGGATGCTACTGGCACTGCTTGACTGAGGGAAGCCAGAAGGAAAACCAGTTGGGACTTCGCCGAAGCCGCCGCTGGGTTGAGCACCACCGGAGGGGAATGTGGTAGGGACAGCGCTAGAGTGGTGAGGACCATGACGACCACCACGGTGGCCGCCGTCGTCGTGGTGACGTACAGGTGACCTGGGAAAGCCGCTGGGAACACCGGTAGACGTACCGGAGGGTTCACCGGAGAGATGAGCGGTAGGAGTGGCGTGTGAATTACCGCCAAACTATGAAGTTATCAGTATGGATTCAGACATCGTGGATGGATATACCTACTCCAGGCAGGGCCCAGCCGGCGGCATTGGGAGCCAGAGAGAGAGCGGCAGCCAGGCCGATGGCAACGTTGAGCTTCATGATCAATGGTGTTTAATGTATTGATAAATGGAAAGATGTTCTAAAAAAGAATGGATGACTGAGTCACTCAATGACGGATGATTTCAGGTCTGTAGAAAGGAATGAAGCGCGCAGCACTGTGATCGAAAGAATTGGAAGGAATTCTCATGAAGACAACCGAAGTCCTTATATAGCTTGGAGCTGAGCTTATAGAGCGGGTCGCAGCAGTTGAGACCCTGGTTCTCCCTGGTCTAGATCGACAGCCCAACATTCTGTGAAGATCGGCACTGAGTCTGCTAGGAGGGGTTCTCAACTCCATCAGGCGTGACGGATTTGTCGAATCACCGATGATCATGGGCGAAGATGGGTACGTAGCCGTAAGGAAGCATATTGGTGCATCATCGTGGAGCCAAAACATGAGTCCAGTTGTGGAAGTTGCACGGGACGTCACCGGGAGTTATGAGGCAGATGGCGCCACGGACCAATCCACCTTGGTATTTCGCTGGGGGGACCCAAGCGTACATGCAGAGTTCGTTGGAGGCGGAGTTTAAGGTGAAACAGGGAGGCAGCGGTGGACTCCACATCGGCTTACACGTCGCTGCCGATCGGTCCACCGAGTGCTTCAGGTTGGTGTATAAATTGACCAGTCGCTAGGAGCCGAAGGTTCTGGCCCTGCCAGACCCAATATGGCTCAAACGACGATACCATGGCTCTCAAACTAAGGTTCTATTACAGAATTGTCCCGCGATTGCGCGTCCTTTCTCAAATAAATATAGCAGATAGCATTTTACAATTGCTCGGGGTATTGTACACCATATCATGGAACGGCTCAATGAAAGTGATACCGACAACACAGAAACCAATACGCCTAGTTCATCACTCATGAAAAAAAAGGGGCATAGGGGAGCAAATCATAGCTCTTCCTCCTCAACCGACATGTCGCCACCAAGCTCTTGCTCCACTTCGTCGACCACAAAGCTTTCGTAATCCTCGAGGCCCTTCTGAACATGCACCTTGAAGCGGATGACATCGTTGAGCATCGTCTCCACATTGGTATGAAGTTCCTCACGGAGGGCATTCGCTCGAAGTGTGAGCTGCTCGTACTCGATGTTGGTGTTCATCTCACGTTGCTCCATCAATTGGACACTGTCGCTAAGAGTCGCCCGCATCTTGGCAAGCTCCTTCTCCATCTTCTCAATCTGGGCGTCAGATGCCGTCTTCTGAGTGGTTGTAATTTCCTTGGTGCGGTCGAATTCCTCCTCAGCCGCCCGGCGCCGGTGTTCCAGTGCCTCAACCTCGCTGCGCTTTTCATCCATCGCCTCCTTGATATTGTCAAGTAGATTGCGGCGGTCAAGGTCATCATCAATGGCCCGTTTTCGGCGCTCGTTGATCTCCTTTCGGAGCGACTGTAGGCTGTTGCGGACCGCGCTCCGAAGGTCTAGATTCAACAGATGCGCCGGGTGGTAGCCGGTGAATGGCTCTGCCAACAGACGATCGCCCTCCGATGAAATCCGGTTTGGTGGGCCGCCAATTTGGCTCGTGGAGAAGTTGTTCTCGTTGACGTTCAGAGTTAGCTCGAAGTCTTGGCCCTTTGCATTTTCCGCAGACTCGGGAATCAGGCTGGTTTGGTAGCCGAGAGAATTGTACGCCTTCACCAGATGTTCTAGATCCTCCAACTTCTGACTTGCCTCCGCCTCCTTCTCCATGACGCGAGCGTGGGTCTCTTCCAGGCGAACCATGGTATCCTCCAGACTCTTTTGAAGGCGCTCCCGTTCTGTGTTCATGCGGTCGATGTCCTGGATGGTGATCCCCTGTCGGTCGACACTGGCCTGGAGATCGAGGCGTTCCGCCTCACTCTCCTGCAGCTCGGCATCGGTCTTCTGTATTTCAGTGTCGAGGAATTTAATGCGGACTTCATATTTCTCGATCTTCCCCTTGACGTTGTTGTTGTAGTCCTCGAACTTTCGCTTGTCGTCCTCCAGGATTCGGAAATGCTTGTCCAATTTGGCCATGTCGGGTGCGTTCTTCTCCAATTCTTCGATCTGTTCACGGAGAGCCCGGTTCTCGGCCTCCAAGGACTCCAGCTCCTGTACATAACGCTCATTCCCGCGAGCAAACTCCTGCGACATGTTTTCGATATGCGGGACCAAGCGCTGCTCGGCCATATCGTCATCCTCGTCTTCACCACCCTGAAGCCAATCATGGTAGGCGCCAGTGAGGAAGCGGTAGATGATGCGATCACCGATAATATCAACACCCGCCTCAACACAGGCCTCATCATAGTCACCCTCCACATAGCGGTCCATCATCTGCGCCAATTGCATCAACCAGTGTAGCATACCGAGGAAGGTCGACCAATTCTGGCCACCCACGGCCGCAATTTGCGACTTCGTAATGCCCTTCTCGTAAGGATAGCGCAGCTGTTTGAGAATCGGGGGCACTTCGGAGTCCATGGCTTTCTGGAACTTGTAGCCTGGATCAATGCGATGGTAGAGCCACTGGAAGATGTAGTTGAAATCCTTCTGGGTTGGCGAGCGCAGGGTATTCTGGCCCAAGGTATGCTTCATCTCCAATTCAAACTTGTTATGGGTCAAGTACTCCAATAACTCTTGACCAATGCGCGCTTGGTAAGCTCGGTCTCGCAGCGGTCGAGGGTCCCTAGGGACTCCGGCCACGGTAGGGACTTGGGTAAAGAAAGACTGGTGGCCCATTGGCCCAGCCATGGACGGTCGCGAGAAAACACTGCTTCGGCGTTGTACATTTTGAGGAGCGGAATTGGACGAAAGAGACCCTGGCGCAAAGCTTTGTCGACCGGCACTGGCACCATGGAACATGTTGCTCGAGACGGACCGGCGAACGGATGAGAGACCGGCTTCAGCACCGAAAGGTCCCCCGACGGATGCGCGCGAGAAGTTGGGTTGTTGAGGCCTGCTTGCCGAGTTCAACAGGGAGTGGCGCGCATGCTGCGATGTAAACGGAGGATTGTTGAATCCGATGGAGCTCGTGCGTTTCATTGCCGACGCCGGCTGCGGGATGGACGAGTAGTTCTGGACGCTCCCCAGAGTCTGGAGGCTAATATTAGCAGCTGCATGACTTTGCGACGACCCAGAGAGCATTCATACCTCTCGGGGGCGCTTAATACTGAACAGCCCAGTATCCTGCGACATGATGATAAAAAAGCCGCGATTGCGACGGGAAGGAGGGTGAGTCTTCAAACAACAAGTAGTAGATGCAGAATCCCAAGTGTGGAAAGCCCAAGTGGGATACGCCGCGCAAGTTCCTCGAGAAAGAGGGGATTGTTCTCACTTCCGCGCAAGCTTTGGGCGGGAACTTGGGAAAGCGCTCAATGTAAACAAGAGCGTGCCACCTCCGGATGTAGCAGGCGGTGTAAGGTGCAGGAAAACAATGCGGCCGGCAATCACGAGACACGATCACGGGACTTCGGTCTGGGGAAGTCTTGGCGGCCCTGGGTTCCGAGGTCCACGGCGGCTGCCGATGACGGTCGCTCCCCTGCTCTCGATCTTTCCCTCCGGCATCCTCCTGCTGCGGTTGACACTCTCTTCACCATGGCTCCCCGCGAGGAGTTGATCGCTTCTGCTGTAAGTTCATGCCGTTCTACTCTACTTCCGTTTTCGGTCGCTAACTGATGATCTAGGTGACTTGTATGATCTACCGACATATCTCGTAATGGGAGTGTAATCGCTGACTTCGAAATAGTTCTCCAAGATCCTTCAGTGGCATCGTCTCCTATTGAAAAGAGAGTCGCGTTCCTGCAATCGAAGAACCTTACACAAGAGGAAGTCGATCTCGCCTTATCACGAGTGGGCGAAGACCCAGCCTCCGCGGCCGCTGCTGCAAATGCGGCGTCATCGTCACAAGGTTATTCCTCACAACAGGTCGCATATCGCCCACCGCCACAAGCCCCCCAGGGATATGGCTATCCCTCATACGGTCAATGGCAGCCTCCTCCGGAGTAGGTCTCTTGGTCTCTATCTTCCGAACTTGAGCACTGATCACATGGCAGGCCCCCGAAGCGCGACTGGCGGGATTGGTTTATCATGGCCACTGTAGTGGGTGGTGTAGGCTATGGGATGTATTTCGTCGCAAAGGTAACGCGTTCAGCCAATACTTTCCATTTCCTCAGATGCTAACTTACAATTCAGCGCTACATTACTCCATTGATCGCCCCGCCAACTCCCCCGCAATTGGAGCAAGACAAGGAGAACATCGATGAGCAGTTCTCCCGTGCTTTCGCTTTGATCGACCAACTATCAACCGATACCTCTGCCCTGAAGGCCGCCGAGGATGCTCGTACAGAGCGCCTGGATGCCGCTCTTAAGGACGTGGAGAACCTTGTTTCAGACCTCAAGAGCTCGTCGCGTCGACGAGACGACGAGACCCGTCGGATCAATGATGAAATCAAGTCTTTGAAGGATGCAATCCCCAAGGCCCTTGAGGGTGCCCGGGAGGGCAACGAGAACCGGTTGAAGGAGCTTGGAAGCGAGCTGAAGAGCTTGAAGACCTTGTTGGGCAACCGCCTGGGTGGCAGTGGCTCTGCTTCTCCCTCGGCGGGCCGAACTGTTGGCAGCTCGACTCCCACTCCCGCTGCTACACCTCGCCCCGTGGAGGAGACTCCTGCTGCTATCCCCACTGCTACCTCCACTTCAACGGCCATTAACGGTCTGCAGCCAACCGTTACCCCTGCCGAGCAGGAGCCCCAGCCTGTTGCTGCTGCCCCGGCGCCTGCTCCTCAGAACAGCGAGAGTCCCCTCTCGAAACTTGGCCGGTCTGCTTCTATTCCGGCCTGGCAGATGGCTGCCGCCAACCGGTCCAAAAACGGCTCGCAGTCGAGCCCGGCCCCCGCTGACGACAAGCCGGCCGGCAGTGAGCAGAGCGCTCCTCCCAGTTAAATTTTTGGTTGATTCAGTTTGAAGAACACTGTATACCTCTTCGCTTAGATGTATTTAACACAACGGCTATTTTCTTGACGCATGTAATACGATTTTAAAAAATGTAGCACATTGGGAATGGCTAGGCCGATAAGAGATAAGAGGCGCAAACCACCTCGGATCTCACTCAGTCAAGCTCTTCTCTCCTCAACAAACGAACCTCGATTCCAACGAAAAAATGCCGTCGCCCACTCGGCCTTCACAAAGACTGCAATCCCCGTCAGCGCAAAATCCAGAGCGTCCCCATCACCGGAGTAGTCATGGCCATTCGCATTCCCATCGCCACCGACACCGTGACACTTCACGCTCGCGCTCGCGCTCGCGCTCTCCTCGCCGATCGGACGGACACAAATCGGACCGTCGCCACCGCCGTGAAGATCGGGGAAAGGAACGAGAACGGGATAGAGTGCGCCGTGAGCGACGAGAAAAAGAGGCACCTGCAAAGCCCGTGATTCTGCCGTTCCGGGCGCGGGAGCTGTCAAGGCGCGACCTCGAGACCTACGAGCCGATGTTTGCTATGTACCTGGATATTCAGAAGGGGCGTTACATCGAGGATATGAAAGAGGATGAGGTGAAGGGGCGGTGGAAGAGTTTTATTCAAAAATGGTATGCATGAAAGTGATCCGGGGTAGACGCTCTGTTTCTAATCAGTCGCAGGAATCGTGGAGAACTTGCCGAGGGTTGGTATGAGCCAGCCACGCTTCAGAAAGCACGCCAAAATGCAGTCCAGCAGCCAGCCTTGGATCGAGAACGTGCATCGCCGGATTATGCACGGGGGGAACAAGCGCAGAGTGGGGACGCGGAGGATCTGCTGGCGGACAATGATGACGACGATGAGGACTATGGACCGAAATTGCCTCATCCTGGCTCGATGAGAGCTGCGGCACGTTCTGGTCCGGCGATACCGAATATGCAGGATCTCGAGCTCCAAAGAGGTAAGCATTTCATAGACCGACCTATAGATAACCAACAATCAGCTGACATTTTACAAAAGAACCCGCCATTGAAGATGCCATAGCTTCACGCGATGATTCGCGACAGCAATACCGTAGCGACATGCGCTCTCACAAGGCGGAACAGCGCCACCTGGAAGACGAGGTTGCGCCTCGGGCTGAGGCCGGCACGAGGGAGAGACAGCTCGAGAAGCGCCGAGAGGCAGCCGCAGCGAATCGCTCATTCGCGGAAGCTCGTGGACCTTCGCCCGAGGCTGCTCCTGAAGAAGAGCTGATGGGCTCTGGTGACAATGACCTGGCTGCTCTCAAGCGAGAGAAGGAAAAGGACCAACGCAAGAAGAACGAACGAGAGATTCGTCGCGAAGAGATTCTGCGTGCTCGTGCTGCCGAGCGAGAGGAGCGCATTCAGAAGTATCGAGAGAAGGAAGAGGAGACTATTGGCTGGTTGCAGACTCTGGCAAAGCAGCGATTTGGCTGATCCGTTGGCACCTTTGCAATTTTCTATCATTTAGCGAGCGACAGTCCTAGAGATTCTTTGGATTCGACATAACTTTATTGCATTGCCACATAGTCTGGGAAATTTTGAAATCTGATCACCAGTATATCTAGAGCTATTATTTTGTCTACACCGATTCCTCTGTTTAGAATACACGCCACTTCAAACACCCCGGAAAGCCGTCAACGAACAAAGCTGGTTACCATCAGCGTCGAAGTTCGCTGGATCAAGCCACTTCTCAAAAGAGTACTTCAGCGCCGGCCACACCCTTCTTCACCCCTCAACCATCCACAATGAGCATCTCCAAGGCCCTGCAGGGCCTGAAGCGGTTCACCACCTGCGACGTATGCCACATGTCCCTGCAGTTCTAGTCAGTTATTAACAAAGGGCACCAGATTGGCGACGCGCTCGTCAAGCTCAAGCACCCGTACGGCGGCTTCCTGGACGGCCTCCAAATGTTCTCGCCGGGAAGCGGAACCAGCATCTACGGACCGGCCATTACAGTGAAGATGGTCGAGACAAAGAGTCCCGGCCCGACGCCTCCCATTCACTTTGCGGACTCAAATAAACCAGGCCACGTCATGTACATCCAGCAGCCTAAGGGGCTTCCTTCCGCGTGCTGGGGCGGCTTGATGTCGACCCGGGCGCAGAAACTTGGCAGCCTGGGTACTATCATCGATGGTCGTATGAGGGACATCCAAGAACATATCGATATGAAGTACCCGGTATGTGATGCGTTTTCTACCCAGCTTGTATCTGGTGCTGAAAAGTTCGAACTAATAAATGTGACTACAGGTCTTCGCGCGAAGCACATCCGTGCTTGGATCGAATGGATTCACCCGTGCATCCGAGATTAACGTCCCACTGCAATTCAAAGGCGATCTCTGGATCTACCCGGAGGATATCCTAGTGGGTGATGAGAACGGTGTTGTGGTTGTGCCGCCGACTCTGGTGGAGCAGGTCGTTGAGCTATGCCAGGAGCGCTTTGAGATTGATGAGAAGACTATGGAGGCTCTTCGGGCCGGTGAGGCTATGGGGCCGACGATAAAGCGGCTGCGCAAGTAGCTATGATAACAGCTGCTTCTACTGATTTTAAAAGCAGATTTCTACAGCCCTGGGAGTCTTGAAATATAGATTAAGGGAAACTCCAGAATTCACGCATTCAACGCTATATACTTGTAATGAACCGACATCTGGATGGGTAGTTTCAACAGCTTCTAAGTCGAGGGTATCCAAAGACGCGTTACGTCTGTGCGCAGCTGAAAGGACGCCCAATATTTCCGGTTCGATATTGTTTTCTCTGCAAGACCAGTTAGCGATTGACCCATCTTTGCTTTAAGCAAGAACTTACTATATCATCAATGCTGGAGTATAATCCACAAACCAGCACCGCCAGACCAAACAGGAATACCAGGCTGTTGACAATGGCAAGAATCAGGTTCTTTCCTGATGTCAACTTGCCCTTGCGAAGAAGCACCAGCCACATGATAGGAGGCAGATAGAAGGAGAAGCCGGACGTAAACAGGGAGGCAACAATAGATAGCAAGTCCGAGAAGAAGGGAATAGCTTCAGCAATCACCCATGCTAGAATGGTGATAACTGCAATGAAGGCGACCCACGTCATCCAGCCCTTGGGCGTATTGACATATCGGAGAACGCTGTCCTTGTAGACTCGACTATGCAGTAATCGCCCAGTCACGATCGAGTTGATCGAACCCGAGATGAAAATAACGGGTAAGGCCACGCCAAAGGCAATTCTACTAACAGTGTCCCCAGCGGAGAGAAGCGCCGGAGATTGGACACCTGGGCCAACGAATGCATAGATCGTAGCCCCGGTGATGGTGTAAATGGTGATCTCAAGTAAACCCAGTGCCCAGATTGATTTAGTAAAGTCCTTCGGCGTGTGCATTTCCTCCATAAATGAGAACTGGCAGGTCGCGAACGAATATGCAAACACGATATCGCCAATGGCGACGTAGGCTTCGCTGAACGTCACGTTCTCTTTAGGCAGGGCAGTCCAAGGCACAGAGCTTAGGCCACCGGGAGAGTTGGTCCCTTGAATACCCGTGGCAATGATCGTGATACCAATGGCAATGATAATAGAGGCAAAGTCAATGTAGCCGAGAATCGTGATATCGGCAAAGGATGAAGGGAGCGCGAGTAGGAAGAGAATAACGGCCGTCACGATACCGAACACCAGAGAGCAGACACTGCTCTGTGTGATATCGGCGAGCGCAATAGTTCCAGTAAGGCAGTGTGAGCCAATGACACAGAGGAGCTGTATCACAAAAATGGACGAGAAGAGCTCGTAGCCGAATCTGCCCATCAGCAAAGTGCCGACATCTCCATAATGCTGCACTGAAGGATAGGCAAGCTTGACCTGGCCGATGATCATCGACGTGTAGATCGCAATGAGGCCAATGCCAACGCAGCAGATAACTCCGGTGACCATGCCCAGGGTTGCAAATGCCTGAGGGATGGATAGTGCTCCAAGTGCAACGGCCTCGACGATCAACATCAGAGTCAACTGCTTCCATCCGAGACGCTTGTATTTCGCTTCTCCCGCAGTGGCGATCTGATGCTCGGCTTCTCTCACGTCTTTCATAGTCTTGCAATTGGAAATTGAAAATCCCGATGGAGATTCAGGCCTTTCCATGTTCGCGTCCCATCTGGGATCGGCGACATGTTGGTTGGCAGCGTGTGCCACGTCTTGGTTGCTCATGACTCAGACAAGATATGTGAAAAAAAATGGATCAAACGAGAACGCTTTAGAAAGGGAAATGAAAGGAGTCAATGTCCAGGTCTCTGACTTGCAGACCATATCCGAAGGATGCGGAGAGAAGGATGAACCGTTCAGTTCACTATGACACATCGATACTTAGGTAGCCGACCCTTGCAGTTTTCCTCGGCTAACTCCAAGTGATCTCCAGGACTCTCCAAATCTTATGGAACTTTTTTAAGGCTCGGCGCTTGAACTCATTGTGGGCCTAGGGCAATGAGGAAAAGTGGGACTTGGTTCCAATTGTTTTGTATCAAAGGGCACGCCGGTAGACTCCGAAGAACAATTTCGGTAGTATCAAGCTCTTTAAATACCCGAGGAGTACTTGTAGTTTTTATCTATTGGATCAAATTCCAGAGTTCTCGGTTGCAAATATGATCGGTAGGCTATACCAACCCAAGGGCCGCATAGAGATGCTCGCGGCGATGGTGCAGGTGAACTAAACTGATGCGTGCGGGGAAATCAGCCACATAAACTATCGCAACTGGGTATGCTATGTCTTATCTTCCCCCATTTACGGGGCGCCCCGAAAGCAAAGATCGCATCAACGACGAAGATTTTATAGACCCATAATCGCGCGGAAAGGGCCGTGATTGGTCAGAGATTCTGCGCGGCGGCAAGGACCGCCATTGGTTGAGTCTTCTTCAGGGGACTGCTCAGTTTTATTTTCCTCTTGTTTCTCATATTGACAACACATCCCCCTAAGAGTCTACCAGCTGAGCTGATGATTAGCAGGCCTAGGTAGCGTACTCCATGCACCCGGGGCGTATAGATGTGAGAACTCGTTAAAACGGTTCAAACTAGCCCTGTCAACGTGATTGTAATTTCATCTATACAGTCTCAACGTATCGTTTGAATTCCCTGTGAGATATATGTTATCTAATGTTTTTTTTTTTTTGGGATAAAAGCCTATCCTGGGAGGAGGAGATCGAGTTATAAGTCAGTCACAGCCTCACGGTATAGCCGCAATTCATGCTCGCGAGAGGCAGTAAAGAAATCAGCAAAGTCTGAGCCCAAAGGTTCTCTAGCAATACTACTTGGCGCTTAAAACCGCTCCACCGCCGACTCGAGGGTATTTGGCAGATACTCCAGCGACTTTGGAAGTATTAACACTAGCCTAACTCCCAAAGAGCCCTGCAAACAAACCTCCTGCTACCTGCTACACCCCGGCAACCCGATGCGCCGTGCGGCAGATGCCGGCGATGCCTCCAGTTTGAAAGCGGCCCTCGACTGGTCTCTGGAGCAACTGGGTAGCAAACTGGATGTCCTAAGCTACAATGCCGGCCGGGCATCAGAATCATTCGTTACCGGTCTACGCCTGAGACTCTCGAGTTGGATTTCAAAGTCTCTGCCGTGGGCACCCTCGTTGCCGGTCAATGGTTCCGTGAACATGCCCGGCTTGACCGCGTCGCAAAGGGCGAACTGCCGTTGTTCCTGGTCACCGGCGAGGTTCTTGACAGGGAGCCCAACCCGGAAATAGTCTCACTCAGTGCAGTCAAGGCTGCTTCACAAACCATTACTCCATAGTTCGTCAAGGCTTTCCCGCAAGAGTGTCAAATCCTGGTCGGTATGCCAACTGTGACGGGGAGGATTATTGATCGGGAGGCCGGTGACTACTTTACGAATTTGCAGCCGGATAAAATTATCCAAACTCTTTTCAAGCCGTATTTCCATGATCGAGAGAATATGCGGGGTAGATTCAATGGTAGTCAAATGTGAAGTGTTGTTCAACTTGAATTCGCGTATACTTCACCTCGGATTCGCCGCGTCTCGCCGCAACGGATCCTCCGCTCCGATCGTCGGAATCGCGGGAGACAACCGCGTCTCAAGGAAAATATTACATCTGCATATTTCTTCACACTGATGTCCTAATGAGCACTTATTCAGAATGCGCATTCCGGGACAGATACACCGTCTGCCCACGCACGCTTCATTAACCGGCAGACGCGCCATGCATACCAAACAGCGCTCCTTACCAGCCGCCTACTACCGCGGCGGAACATCGCGCGCAGTGTTTTTCAAGCAGGAGGATCTCCCACACAACCGAAAAGACTGGGACTCGATATTCCGGAGTGTCATCGGCAGCCCAGATCCATATGGTCGGCAACTTGATGGAATGGGAGGCGGCATCTCCAGCCTCTCCAAGGTGTGCGTGGTAGGCAAGTCCACGCACCACGACGCAGACGTCGACTACACCTTCATTTCGCTGGGCATCAAGAACACAGATGTAGACTACTCCAGCAACTGTGGGAACATGAGCAGTGCCGTAGGGCCATTTGCTGTCGATTCGAGGTTGTTTCCCTTAAAAAATAGTCGCGACTCTGCCTCGGTTCGCATCCATAACACCAACACCGGCAAGATCATTCATTCTTCTTTTCCTGTCGTTGATGGAGAAGCCGCTGCTGATGGCGACTTTTCTATCGATGGAGTTGCCGGCACCGCGGCTCGCGTCCAACTGGACTTTATCAACCCGGCTGGCTCGGTGACGGGGAAACTGCTGCCCACGGGCAACGTCACAGACACATTTGACGGTATTCCAGCGACCTGTATCGATGCCGCGAACCCCTGTGTCTTTGTTCGCGCCGCTGATCTTGGCGTGGAGGGGAACCTGACTCCGGACGAGATCGCCGCGCAACCCGGTCTTCTCTCGCGCTTGGATTCCATCCGTCGTCAGGCTGGAGTTAAGATGGGCCTTGCAGATACACCCGCTGCCGTAACGGGGAGCATACCCAAGATCGCTCTGGTGGCACGGCCTTGTTCGTCTGGTTCTGGAGATGGGGAACAGAAGCAGACCTCTGCTGATGTGGATTTACTTGCTCGCGCTCTTTCCGTTGGGCAACCGCACAAAGCTGTCCCCATTACCGTTGCCCTGGCTCTGGCTGCTGCTGCACGGGTTCCTGGAAGCACTGTTGCGGAGGTCGTGGGAGGAAAGGAGCCCGTTGATGGTGCTGGCATCACAATTGGGCATGCGAGTGGGAATCTCCTCGTAGGTGCCAACTTCGAAAATGACGGTGCCCTCGCCTCTGCAACCGTGTTTCGTACAGCTCGCCGGCTGTTTGAAGGTCGAATTTTCTGGAAGAATGAGAACTCAACATGAATCGAGCCTCATTGAACACATCATTGAAATTATCCACGAATCTGATACCAAGCATGTACAATCCCCAAATCAAACAACTTCATAAATCATCTCCATTATACGCCTATCTACCAGATCCGACTCAATGCTTTTTTTTGTACCCAAATGCACCGACAGAAACATCTCCAACACGACTATGCCTTCCTCCCCAAATCAAGATCCTTCACCAACTTCATATCCCCATTCCCATCAGACGTCTCCAGTCCAAAGAACGGCTTCACGGCAACATCAATCGTCTCCTCAAACAATCTTCCAACAACAACCTCCCTGAGTTCCTCACCAGTTTGCCCGAAATCAGGGAACGCATTCAATTCTAGCAACCACGCATTCCCGGACGCATCAACTAAGAAGTCAACACCAAACAGTTCGAACGCATTAGGCAGCGTCTGGAAATGCACCATCATGCCCCGCGCAGCAGCTTCAAATACTTCACCCGTCACATTGCAGATCTGGTCGAAGATCTTCTCCTTCCAGTCAGCCGCGAGGCCGGGAACGTGGTGATCGAGGTCCCAGAACCGGCGCACACTGCCCTCGTTCGAGCTTCCACCTTCCTGGAAGCAGGTATTGGTGAGATGGCGAGCGAGATCCATGACCTCGTCTTCTTCTTCGTGCGGTGGGCAGTACGGTTTCGCAGCGAATAAAGCCAGCATCTCCTTGAAGACGTAGACCTTCAAAGCGCCCGTTGCCAGAACGTAGGTGCGGATGTGGAACTTTCGGTTCGATGACGAGGGTAGGAGGAGCGGAGGGTCGATGTAGGGCTGGGCCATGAAATGACGCAGCTGGGAGGTGACGATGCCTGCGTCGTGGGCAACCTTTTCATCTTCGTCTTCCTTGGTTTCCGAGCCTTCTTCTTCTTCGTCGGAATCTTCCTCCCACTCCTCGAAGATCTCGCGTAATTGATCTTCGTTGTTGAAGAGTCTAATGCCTTGGCCGCGGTCACTCATGCCGGGCTTGAGGATCCACCATTCTTTCTCCGAGTCCGGTCTTTCTTCGTTCTTGTCCATGCTCTCTCGTAGCTCGTATGCCTCCAACAAAGCATCGTCTAGGAACTCTGCGTAATCAAGTTCGAAGTCGAATGCAGGCTTGAAGTGGTGTCGCAGAATACTGTCGGGATTCTTGGAAATCCAGTTGGCGACCGTGTTGGAGAGGTAGTGTTTGCGGATGAGGGCCTTGCGGATGATGTATGCGTTTGCGAGGGAGGTCGTCGGCCGTACGAGGACGTGTTCGAATTCGAGGCGCTCGTATTCGCGGTATTGGAAGACGGGCGCGGAGCGGTCGGGCATGTCGTCGAGAGATGATACCATTTGAATAGAGGCCACATCACCGAGACGGCGGGTCAATGCTTTCTGCACGAGGTCTTGGACGTAGGGATCGTCGCAGTCAACGATGGAGTATACCGTATGCTGTTTATCTGATCTACATGATCTCTATCAGAATCCGACATGTATTGCAAATAGATAGGGGGCATGATGTCTATCAGCTAGGCCAGATGTCTAAAGTGCATGTATCAGGTATATCTGAAACGAAACCGTCGTAGCCAGCATGCTATAAATCTCCACTCACAGCTTGATCTCCCCAGCGATACCAGGCGCATGCATGAAACTCGCTTTGAGCGGCGTGACACTGTAGAAAAGAAGGTTAGGATAGAACGGTCAGACTTGGAGGGAATAAAAAAACCTTGTCATCTGCTCCTTGACGGCCCAGCCATCGTTTCCTGGAGGATTCTCCTCGACACTGCGATAAACATCCTGAAGACTCGGCGCCCACTTGAAGTGCTTATGCTGGAATCGTGTCTGGCTCGGCTTGTCACCAGAAAGATCGGGATTCTTGCCAGTGGTCTCACTGGCAATGCGCAGCCGCTGCTCATCCAGCTCAGGATCGTCCGCAGCAGCGGCGTCCGTAACTTGGAAACAGCTCCCAGCAGACCACTTATTGATCAGCATATCAGTATAGAGAATCTTGTTCTGGCTCACGCCAGGCTCCAAAGGAACATTGACACTGTAGAGATCCACGCCATCGGCCCAGTTAGCGCACAGGTACTCGATCAACTTGACCGAGTGGCGCGAAGCCTCTGCAATAACCACTGGATCGTGGTTGCGCGAGCTGAAAGCATATGACAATGCAATTGAGTGTTTACCGCAGACGGCACCCTCCATGGCACCACCGATAGTCCCGCTCGACAATGCGAACAGCGCAGTAGTGTTGCGCCCGTAGTTGGGGCCAGACACGACGAGATCGATCGGTCCGCGTTCCTGGAAGTAGTGGTAGAGACCGATCTGGACGCAACTTGCCGGTGTTGAGTCGATCAAGATCCATTCATCGCCGCCGTCGTCGGGCTCGCCGTCGCTACCCCGCGGTAGGTGGTGTATTGTCCCATCCTCCTGGTGAAGTGTGCCGGGCCGGAAGTAGGTTGGCTTTACGGAAGCACCTATTATATGCGCTTTACCGATCCATGATCGCTGTTGGTGTGGGAGAACGACCGAGACAGTGTGGCCGGCGGACTGCAGCGAGTGGACAAGGGAGTGAACGTAGGGCGAGGACTGGTTCGACGGCGGACCGTCGTCGTTTGTGACCTGGTCGAAGGTTAGAGACACTCAGGAACAACTCATGAGGCCGGTATTTACCAAAATGTGCATGGTGAATAGGTCAATGGCAAGTTGGAGGGGAAGCGGAATCGGAGATTTGCCCGTGCAGCGGGGCCCTTTTTATCGGAACATTGGACTTGGCATTTACATCACGTCACTTGAAGTACACGTTGGGTATAATTTGGGCGCATAAATAACATGTTTAAGAATCAACGGTCGTCCTCGGTTAAATGACTCCGTCGCTTTTGCACGCCACGGGCCTCTGCGCTTTGAAGCCCTGAACCTTGTCCCGCATCATCGCCAGCGGGTGGGTAGCTCTGCAGTAAACTCTCGCGTTCCTCCTCCTTCGCATTGACGGGGTCACTAAAGGAGCCATCGTCTTCCGGCTCAGCTTTCACGAGCTCAGGCAATTCCTCCTTGACCTCCCCCTCTTCCTCATCCTTGAGGGTGGGTGCAGGTTGCAAGACCCAGCTCAAGACCAACCAAGTCAAGCCGGCGGAGCTCATCGAGATAGTCCAGAACAGAGAACTAAAAACGACAAAGGAAGTAAGCTTCCAGCGGTACATGCACCATCTGTATATCTGTTAGCATATCTCTCTGAACAACCAATAGCCAAGAGACCTACCGGAGTCCTGTAAACCTGGCCCGAAGTTCCACCCGGGCAGAGTAGATTTGCATCTTGTTATCGCTCTGAATCTCAAGGCGCAAGCTCTGCGGTAGGTTCTTCGCACCGCGCGCGAACTGAACTTTCTCCATCATCGGCACCTCTAACCTCTCGGCCTCCCGGCGCCAGCCAACCACGTAAAGCGGTAGGCGAACAATCCTCCGCGCAACATCCACGAGCGGCGAGGAATAAGTCAAGATAGCCGGTCGGCGAGACTGCGAGATCGGGTTCAATGTGCTGGCCGGTAGCACGGATCCTCCTGTCTGGCGAGAGTAAAGGGTGAGTTCGACCATGAAATTGCCGACGTCAAGGTTATTGGGCGTGCGCGGTAGATCGAGCGTCACAGCAACATCATAGGGCTGGGAAGACACAAACTCCGACTCGAAGGAGGCAGTGCCCCATGGGTTTCCGTCTCTGTTGCGACATTGTCAGTACGTCATTGAAGCTGTGGAAGCGGGCCTCCCTACCCGAATTGCAGATGCACGTCGCGATAAACTCCGACAGTGGGAATGAATTTCATATAGAAGATGCCGTATGCGATCCCAGAGATACCCAAGAGAAGCAGTGTGGCGCCACTAAAGAGGAAGATATTGAGGTAAATGCGGAGGGCGGTCCTGGAGAGTAGGACGCGGAACGGGGCTAGGAGCGCGTCCTGTCGTTTGTCAGTCGAGCACATGGGGAGGGTAGGAAGGCACCGACTTTGATGACCGCCTGCGAGTTAGACGGGCTATCATATTCAGTCTCGTCGTCTGCGTACTCCGAATCGGCCATTTTGGAGGTTGATGAAGGAGGATGTCGAAAGCAAGTTCCTCGGCAAACCAACGCGGGTGTCCAGCTTATCGCAGCTCCACTAGATAGCCCGCGTTGAGCATCCTAGATTCGACTGTCTGAACAACGCAATGCAGGTGTTTACTGAAGCGAACAGTGATAAAGAAAGCTATGCATTCAGTCCACGTAATAAGCTAATCTTGAAATTTCATCGACCACATCTACCCCAAGACTGTACATATGTAACATCTAAGGAAACCCAGCCCACGAACAGAAATGATAGATTGAATTAAGAATTCCCACCGTATGCAGAACCATTCAACTCCAGCTTTTACAATCTTATCATTACAGGTCGCGGTCTCGAAACGCGAGAAATATCATAGTATCTCAGGCCATGCGCAAATCATGACATAGGAAAGATGCATGCCATCCCCACGGCCACCCCGGCCGTAACGTGAGACATAAAAATAAACGTGAAAGCAATAAGAACTCCGTGAAGAAATACAATGAGACGTGGAGTACGACATCAAGCTGCCGGTTGGAGAAATTGTGTGGAGAGGAGGGTAGGTGGCACAGCTTCAGCTTCACGCAATGGGGCGAGGACTTTGCTGCTGGATGTGCTGGAGGAGGGCATCGAAGAGTCGACCGATCTAGAGAATCAATGTTAGTGGTTGTCTCAGCAGAGATAGGCATCCAACGTTCGAAACCGAAGAAAAGTAGCCAGAAATGGAAGAAGGATCTCGTCGTACCTCAGGAGCCGCCTGGATGAAAGGGAGGCGGAAGAAGGAATAGCTCCGGTTCTGGAGGAGCTCTTGGAGGGTGATGATAAGACCCCACGGGTGAGGACGGTGCACAATGAGGCGCTCAAGCAGCACACGGATGATCTGCTGACGGATGTCGGAGTCATCCTGCTCAGTATAGTCAACGCCGAACAGGCGAAGAATGGTGAAACTGAAGAAGTATGTGTGGCTGTTGGGGTACCGCAGCTGGTTCGCCATCGCGCTGAGCAGGTAGTAGCGGGCCTCGGGCTGCATGTTTTGGGCCAGCGCCTCCAGGAGGGCCGCATGAGTCGAGTTCTCGAATGCAGAGCGGGTGTTGCTCTTCGAGGCATGCTCCACCGCAGCTTGCTGGCCAATGTACAGGACCAGTGCATTCACGAGCACGACATCCACATTGACAGGCACGTAGAACAAGGCGGTGTCGTTGGCATCGTCACTGAGGACAGCATCGCAGATCTGCTGCACAGTAGATTCAGAGACGCTCTCATTTTGGAGGGCAGCATCCACGGTGTCCTTGATATCGGCTTGCAGCAAGGGAGCAGCAATGTCGCCCGCAATCTTTGGGATCTCGCGCATTTCTTCGATACGTTCGACCTTGAGACCCTCCCTGAAAGGATCAGGCAGCTTCTGGAAAGAAGAAGGGTAGGCACTGAGGACCAGGTTGCGAAGTTGAGCGCAATGAGCGGGGATCACATTGCAGAACTGGAAGTGGTTCTCAGCAACAAACTCCGGGAAGTCGTGGTGCAGGATCAACAAGATGCGAAGCACGCCCTTGTACAAGTCCTTGGCGACATAGGTGATGTTAGCAGCCTTGAGCTGTTCGCCAATGTAGGAAAGCAGGGCCTGCATGATTGCGCAGTAAGGCGCCCAGCCAGCGCGCTCCGGCATGTTAAGCATGTCGGACATGAACACACGGTGGGAGACAAGAGACAACCATCCGTAGACAAAGCCAGGCACGTAGCGGGGCTGGATGGAGAGGAACTTGTTGGCCAGCGCAAAGATCATGCCCTGGTGCTCTTCGTTGTGTTGGAGGCCAGCCATGGAGTACTCGCACAGGATGCTTGAGAACAGACGGAAGAAGACACGCTGGTTGAAGCCTTCTCCTCTCATGACCTGGTGGTTGTTGAGGACCAGGACCAGAGTAGCAAGGATGGAATTGAAGTAAGCAGGCTTGCTGGCCTTAACAGCGCCAGCATTCTCGCCCTGGAACTTGACCAGGAAGACAATGAGCTTCGCGAGGGCGTCGATGTAGAGGAATGCCTCATCGAGGCTGCCCCCGGTGGGGTTCTGGTACTCGTGCTCGAACATGGCAACCGAAATGTCGATGCTGAGACGGAAGAACAAAGCAGAGTCTTCCTGGGTGTTCATTACCTGGCGGTTGTGCATGTCCTGGAGGAAGGAGAGGTAGGTGCGGTCATTGGCACCAGAGGCCTTGTAGATGCCAATCCACTCGCTGAAAATGTACTCCATCTGGTCGCGCTTAGACCGTGCCTGGTCAGTGAGAAGCGGGTTGACAACCTCGGGGATGCCAACATCGCGCAACTTGCGGATGATCTCCAGAGCGGGGGCCAAATTGGCATCCTCGGCGAGCCACTGGCTCATAGCCTCCAAGCTGCCAGAGAAGTCCGATCTGAGAGCAGACGGCTCGTCATTGAAGAGAACCCTGTCCATCAGATTATCAAGCAGCTCCAGAGAGCTGGCATTCTTCTGCAAGATGAGGCGGGTGAGAACCATATCCACTCGGCGAATGTCCAGGAGACCTGCGTCGATGAGAGCGACAGTGACGGGAACATTGAACATGTGCTCATCGTCAATCTCGGACAGAAGGGCCCAGGTGTAGCGTGCGATCAAGGTAGACATGTCGCAAAGCTTGGCAAGAAGGTGCACAAGAACCTCAATCTCCAAGGAGTTTGAAGACTGAGAGTAGAGAGTGGTGCAAACTCTCAATGATGTCAGGCGCGCCAATTCCTCTCCGTTGGGCGAAGCGAGGATTGCACGCAATGCCTGATTGTACTCCTGAAGGACAGTGCTCTCTCTGCCAAGGTCCTTGACGTGCTCTTCGGGGGCACTGCGAGCAGATTGTTGGAGTTCAGAGATGAGAGTCTCAACTCGGTCCCGGGGGCTCTGGGCGTCAAGGAAGCCGTTGGTGTGCACAGGTATCTGCGAGATTGCGTGCTGTGCCTGAGGGGTCCGGTGAGGGACGGCAGGTTGTTCAGCCGGGGTAGAGAGGTTGGGAATGGCGGGGTAGGATTCTTGAAGGACATCTGGCAGTTGGCGACCGGAATCAGTAGAGGCGTTCTGCGGGTGAGCAGTACTGGTGCCTCGGGATTGACGCGCAAATTCTTCGTAGATAGCCAGCTGCTCCTTGTTTAGGCCTCCAGGGTTCTGACGGTAGGGCTCAGGGATGAAGAGCCCCCAGCGGTTCATTGACGGGTCAATGAATGGCTCATTGGGGCGAGTGGCAAGGTGACGCCGACGCGCCTCCAGCTGAGGTTCAATCACCTTCTCGATCTCGGGAAGAGACTTCTCCTCGGCTGCTTTCTCGACAATACCACACGCGGCATCCAAGTTGTCATTGACACACATCAAGATCAAGCCTTCGGGCATTGGCTGTTCCGAGAATTCTTGCTGGATGACCCGGATGTAGTTGGTCATGCTGACCTTGAGCGGCTCCTTGCAAGTAACGAGAGCCAGGCTACCGGCCAGTTGTCGGACCATGATGCCGGCGGCATGTCGCACCTTCTCCTCATCGGGCTCCATAGCAAAGTCCTTGGAAACCAGCTGGACAGTGGAGATGGAAGCAATGGTCACAGAGCGCTCTACAACGGGGGTGATGATCTCCCCAATAGCACGCTCCACCGCAGTTTGAACGATTTGCCGCAGCATTGTGGGGTCAACCATGCTGCTTGCCGATGGGGGCAGAACGAGAATCTTGTCAAGGCTTGGCAGAGTCGACATGATCGATGCCGGTGACAGCCTCTCATTGCGAATGCCCTGGTTGAGGCTGCCGATAGCCATGTCCTCAAAGGGCTCGAGACCTTGCGGAATGCTCGCAGCCGGCAAGGCTTCTTCGGCATGGCCGCTGCGGTCGCGGATGAAGACCGCCGGCTCGATTGTCTTGTGATCAAGATCAAGGTCTTTGCACAGCACCTCAATTTCAAACTTCAGGTTGAGTTTCAGCTCGGCGAAATGGTAGAGTTCCAGCAAAAGATGGAGAATGTCCATCAACCATGGGTTCGGAGGCTTAAAGATCGTGGACTTGGTGGCCTGCACAAGAGTCTTGCAGGTGAAGGGAATCGTGACCATGAGACGTTGAGTATCGTAACCTTCCAAGAGCAGGCCCTTGAAGTAGATGTTCTTGTGAAGGATAGGCTTGTCTTTGGCGATAGTCAACGAACCAAGCCAGGCTCCGAGGTTCTTGAGGTGGCCCCGGTCTTGGGAAGAGGTGAGGGTCGCCTCGGAATTCAACAACTTCGCGAGGCTGACGTAGGTCTCGCGGAGGACCTCTGTCCAGAGTGTTTTGTCATCGATGCGCCCGAGAAGGTCGAGATAAAGCTGCTGGAAGTTGGGTTGAAGCTTTGCGCGCTCCTCCACCAGGTACGCCGCGAACCACTGGTGGTGATGCTCACGCAGAACTTCGTTGAGATCCCGCATCTTCTCCTCAATATTCTGCTCGGAGACATTGTTCAACACGAACAGGATCTTGTCTTGGACGTCTTCGTCGGGGTCTTGGAAGAGATCGGAACGAGCGGGGTCAACTGAGACGGAGCGGAACTTGCGCGAGGCGCCGTCGGTGACTGGGGAGTCGTCCATGCCGTTGGGCAGAGGAGGAACTGCAAGGTCAGAGAATCCGGGGGTGGCACCTGCGTCGCCCGCCTCGCGAAGGACCTCTTCCGCTTTCTGGAAGATTGGCGTTCCTTGCAAGGTGGGGATTTGAAGGAGAAGGTGACAAAAGCCGGCCCACTCTGAGAGACGATTGATCAATTGTTCAATGGCTTCCACACCAAACTTGTACATGGGATCGTGGGGTTCGTGTTCGCGCACAGCTTCCAGAATCATTCCGAGACCCACTTTGAGGGTAATTCCGTCAACCAAACGGAAGTTAATGATGCCACCGAACATGACCGCAGTCTTTGTCAATGCCTCAAGCGGGTACTCGTGGTAGCAGTGATACTCGTCGATTAAACCATGGACCATGCACGAAAAGAGATCTTGCTCCTCGGGCTCCCGTGATGATTTGTACCGCCGCATCAGCTCCAACATTTCTCTGAGCGACAGTTCCTCGTGGTACATCTTGCCAAACAGTTCTTGCATTTGCTTGTCAATGTTCTCAGGCAGAGTGTTGCCATTCTCGCCGTTTGCATCAATGATATCATCAAACCCTTCGCCGTAGTTGATAAGCCGGGGGTATGTCTGGATACAAATACGTTGAACGGGCGTGAGGTTTTCACGATCGCCCACATACTCCTCCAAGACGGAGAGAAGTGTGTATACAGTTTTCACAGCGAGGGTAACCATTTGTGGACCAGGTTGTTCCTTCCGCTGCACATGAAGCTCATCTTCTGCCTTGATCCTCAAAAACTTTGACAAAAGACTGCCCATGGTCATGTTCGGGGAGTTCGAAGGGTGCAAAGCAGCCGTCTTCTCAGCAGCACCCCGAACCCACTGCTCAAGGTCAAATGAACCCTTGCGATGACAGTAACAAGCAAGGTCAAGTGCGAGACCGTTGGTAAATTGAAGCAGGAAGTCAAGCCAGCCAAATGCGACAGCATGCTCATAAGTCAACTCAGTGACGGTAGGATCCGAAGAGAAGAGCGTGAACAGTTGCTCTGCAACCCATTGTCGGTCTTGGTGCCAGGCTCCATGGAGTGCAAGTTGGTAGCCATCCTCTTGTTTGGAAACAAAGACCACAAAAGTTCGTACAACAAAGCTCTTTTGAAGCTGAGTCCACGGCTGCGGGAGGGCAAGAAGGGCAAGCGCGGAAACAAGGAAAACCGGGAGATCGTATTGGACCATCGCTTTGATCAGAAGCTGGCTTTCTGAAGCGGCCCAATTGGCCTCAGAGAACAGGGTGAGGTCAAAGATAGCCCTCATGGCATCCATGGACCGGAGAGGCGACTTGGCTGCACGTTCACCCTGCAGCTTGACAATTTCGGGTGCGTCCTCAAAGAAGTCGGCCGGGAATGTTGCCCGCAGATTAGGAATCTGAGATGCATCTGTACGCGAGGCTACAAAGGCAGTCAAGAATGACAACTGTGTGTCGCGGTGTTCCCAGTCACCGCCCCAGAGCTTCTGAACATCCAGGGTAGAATCATCTGCCGCAGTAGCGCGGAGGACATTATACAGCTTAGCAAACTGCTTGGGGTCCACTCTCAGCCCTTCGCGATCAAAGCTCCGCACCACCATCGGCCAGTTTACTTGCTTCTCGGTATAAGCGCTCAGAAGAGTCTCCAGAGAGAACTGCTGCCAGTACTGTGACAGTATCATAAAGAGGAGAGCACTAGCCAGGTGCTCCTCGCTCCAGCTCTCTGGTCCAGCCGCATTGATGGTCTCTGTCATAGCTTCCGTGCTTGCAGTCGCGCGCGGTCCCTTGGCATGAAGTTGTCTGACAAGAACGTATCTGGGGTTCACAAAGTTGAACATCTGCAGAGCCGAAGACACTTCGAAGGGCATGTCCAATCCCAGCTTCTGATAACGCAAGTTGGATGCATATACCAATTTGCCCTTAACCTCGTCGCTGAAGTTGCGCGGGGGATAGAGGATGAATCGCTCGATCGTCATTCCAAGGAAAGGAGTGTGGAAATCTTTGGTCGCTTCCAAAGGAGTCGCCAGGCTCTGCAGGAAAGGGGTGACGGAGTTTGAAAGGATCGCATCGGCTGATTTGGCATGACGTTAGCATACAAGCAAAGTCAATAGAACAGAGCAGAAAAAACTTACCCTTGGCTCGAAGATCAGATTTGTTGGTCATCTTGAAGGCCAATGCGAGTGCCACCTTGACAATAGGGTCCAGACGGAAATGATCCAAGAACGTCGACAGATCGAAATCACGGAAGATGTCTCCCTCGGACGTATCTACCGTCTCGGCGATTTTCTGGGCTTGTTCGATGTCCGAGGAAACTTTCTGCATTTCCTGGACTAAGAGAGGGTAGTTGCCCGCATTTTCGACGGACTTGTTGACTCCCGGGAAAATCTGAGGCGCATTGCCTGTAAGAAGGCGACGAAAGTACTTAGAAAAGACCTCCATTCCGTTGGATGTCACAAGCTGTCGGTTGTTAATATACGTATAAGGGAAGGGGCGTTGGGAATGGCGTTGCTTACTTTGTGTATTTGAGCAGCCTTTGTGTCCCACTTTTCTTTTCCTTCCTTCTCCGTAATGGAGTCTAATAGAAGGTATACCTGTGCGATCGAGATCTTTGCAAGAGACGATTGACTAGAGTGTGCTGCTGAGCCCGACTTATCGGATGCAAACCCCGTAGGTGAATTCACGGTTGTGCCAGACGACAGTGGTGAAAAGGCGACACCTCTGGAAGAACCCGGCCCACCACCTCCCCCAGTGCCTCCAACACCCGGGATGGAACCTGTTGCAGAGGCGAAATGAGACCCTGCAGATGGGGTATGTGCGCGGAACTTCGGAGACGAGAGCGACTGAGCCGACTGTTGGGAGCCAGACTGCAGTGAGGAGAAGGGTGAAGGTGCGGGCTTCGGGCTGCCGCCTGAGAGACCCCTGGTGGAGCTCAGAACGGCAGAGAAAGACGACGGCGTTGAAACCCCAGGGCCTGCGTCGAAGCCCCGGGAGGAAGCAGACGTAGCGTTGGAGGAGGAAAGGTTGGTCGCGAGAGGAGTCAACCCACGACGAATGCCGGACTGTGACGTGGACCGACCCCAGGCACCAATCTCAGGCCTGGTCGGGGAAGATTTATCGGTGCCAGAAGCAATCGACGATTGGGCGGAAGGGTGAGGGGGAGGGAAGGTCATCTAGGAGACGCGATCATTTGATCTGAGAGGGTCCAAAGACAGATTTTGAAGGGTAAAGGCGTAAGTGAACAAAGTCAATATGACCGACCGATTAGGAGGAGATCGTGCGATATCGAGTATTCGAGGCGACGGAGAAAAGGATGGGGGGTGGAAGGGGATTGAGATGGCGGAGATGGAGAGGTAGGATGGGATCGTGTGCAAGGTGCGAGGTGTCGGAACTGTCCGCGCCTCAGGTGTCGAGAGGGAGCTTTGGGCAGTTGGGCACAAGCAGCGCCATTGAGAGTCCCGCATGGGAATTGAGCACCGGGAAACTAAATTTATATACTTCTTGGACTATTTCAGGTGAAAATCAAACGACTATCTGCTGCTTTACGGCAGCACGCTGTCTCATGTCTTTTGGGCGAGTGGTCGCAGTAACATCACGTGAAGTGTGCATTGTTAGTCATACACGGGCAGCCCTTGCACGATATCAGGGCTTCCCCGGTATAGTCTCAGAGCGAGATGATAGGAAAGTGTGATCAATGATAACCAACAAAGATTGCCTAGTGGGACTGTAATTTTCCCAGATGTATATGAGAAAATGTGGAAATGAGCATATACTGCCTGTTTGCAAAAATATTTATACCTTCTACGATTGCCATCTCTCGACTGAAATGCCGATGGAGGGGGTTTGATAAGGTATCCAGAAGCTCTTGGTGAAAGAGTAGTGCATAGATAATGGATAGCATCTATTTACTTCTCAAGCTATCCATAAACTTCGATCAGGTTCAGGTACACTGCCAATGGATCTACTTATGATCAAAAAATTTCCCATGAATCGCCATCTTGTATTCGAGGCCAAACGACGTGGATGGCATTGGCACCAAGCGAGATGCTAACATAGGACAAAAGCCGGCATATCAGCTTCAGCAGAATGAGAGAAAAAATGGCAACAATAGATTGACCAGACATGTCACAGTACCCGAATATCCTCCAGTGAACGCCGGAATCACTCAACGATGAACAGAGTAGAAAAAGACGATATACAACCCTAAAAAAGAAGAGAGTTTGTGAGAAAATGAGGATCGTATCATGTTGCAGTGCAAGGTAGGACAATGAAAAGCATAGCAAACAGGACGAGCTGCGTGGGCTGCAAAAAGAAAAAGACAATTCCCACGAGGCCGATAGCTTCGGAAGACAAGAACCAAATAGAATCACACATAGTAGAAGGAAGACAATCGTGTGCACATGAAGCCGATGTTAGATTGACGGCCATCTCAAACGCCAACGCCGGGTCTCCGGACCGAAAGACCATGATGAAGAACAAGATACTCGCTCGAACGTCAGAAAATTGCACTAATCAGTCAAAGACAGACAATAGCACGGCGTGGCGTATTGCGCCTTAGCCGTGTATGTCTGGGGGGAGGTACCCTCGGTATTGACGTAGGTGGTGGTTGGAGTGGGCTCCCTCTCTTTGATGTTGATAATGGAATTCGCGATAGGAACCGCTTGGCCGTTAGGCATCACTTGCATCTGCTGGCAATAGGGTGACACTGCTCCGGAGTAGTCTCGTCGCTCTTCAATCTTGATCTTCCGAGAATAGTCGGGGGCATGACCAATACGCTTGGACTCTTGGTGGTAAGAGCCAGTAGCAGTGCCGCCTGGCATTTGGCCATCGGTAGTCGCAGTGCTGCCGGACGAGATGTCTGACGACGACTGGTTGATGTAGAGGAAGAATTCCATCATGGTGCTGTTCCACCAGCAGAACCACGGCATGTCGCCCGGCTCCGCTGTCTGCTTGCGATCCATGAAGGCCTCATGGAGGGTGTTGTCTCCTCCGTCCAAATACGAGCGCTTCGAGACGGAACTAGACGTAAACGTTTCGTCCGGAAGAATGACCAGCTTGTTGAACAGGGCATAGAAGAAAAGTGCAGGGCCCATGCTGGCGTCACTGGTGTCAATCGCCATGTTCAAGCTTTGCGTGGGAGTTGGAAGATACGGCGGCTGTGCTCCATAGGTGAAAGTCGAAGTTGGTCCGTCGCTCCCAAAAACAATGGAGTGTTCGTGATCATCCCCTTCAACATAGACTTCAAAATTGTTCGGCTTGTCCATGCAGGCCCAAGCCTTGGTCATTTCGTAATCTCCTTCAATACACATGCGCGAGCAATTCCGCAAGATGGAAGGAATTAAATAATGACCGGTCGGCACCGACTTGAGATTCGTCGGCGTGCTTGCCATTGTCGAGAAGTCCAACTGAGGTGTCTGAGTGACTGTCACGATGTATGGGCCACTCGACTGCGCTTGTTGGGCTTCCCGCTCAGCTTCAGCAGCTCTCTTTGTGCCGAGAACACCACCGATCACACCTCCAATGGATCCTCCGATGAGCATGACCGTCGCAATTAGGACGAGTGTCCAAACAGGCAGTCCACAGCACGCTGTTTTCTTTCCTTTCTGCTTCAGCTTCTCCTCGAATGCCATGATGCCAGTGAGTGGCGCCGCCCTTGTGCCTTCGCTGCGCTCATTGTTCCAGACACGCTCGTTGTTCCCAGATTGTTCGGGAACAAGCACTCTCGAGGAGGCCTCAGAGACCGGCACATCTCGTGAAACGGAATGGAGCTGCTGATCCTCTGGGGGAGGGTTGACATCAGCCATTGTCTCAGGGCTGGGAGGCTTTGGAACGACGCCTGTCGGGTAACGTGAATATGGCGGCAATGGCTCTGCGTGCCCATCCGGTCCAATAATGTCACCCAACTCGTCATCTCGACGACCAGAAGGCGGCTGGTACGGTGGGTTGTGGCCGGGGAACCCGACCGGGATCACATCGTCATCAATCCCATCATCAACAACATTCTGAGAATACATCGCGTAGGGGTGTTGAGGGCCGTTCATTTCATCCAGTGGGCGTTCCTGTGGGCGAACTGTCGAGGTACTCCCCACACTCGGGGAGCGACTGACGCCAACCTGGGGGTACATGGCGTACGGATGGCTGGGGCCAGTGGCTCCGGTGTAGGGGCTCATGGCACGAGGCATAGAGAAACGGGACGAGACGCTATGATTTCGTTGCACGAAGGGAGCATTGTGAGCAGAGGTGATAGAGTTGCGGTTGTTGGAGAAACCGCCCATCCCCTTCTGGGGCAGGCTTGACCGATGGGGGTCATCGAAGGAGACCCGGGCTTCGTCGGCAAACGGGTTTTCGTTTTCGGTCGTGGCCGAACTGACGTTCTTGTGGGGATGGTTAGTCGAGCGGAGAGTGATAGAGGAGGAGATGGAGGCGGGGCTGGGGGCGCGTTCGATTCGGTCGGCATCGATCGGTTCTAAAGAGTACTCATCGGAAAAGACGTTGGGGTTGGAGACGCGCGACATGCGACCGAAGGAGTGGCGAGGTGTCGAGTCCATCGCCTGACCTTGAGAGAGACGAGGGGTCTGGGACGAGCGTGATGCCGACCGAGAGTGGTCGGAAGAGATGCGTCCAGACATGTCCCCTTGATACGGCAGCCCTGTCGGGCCACCTCGTGAGTCCCGTTCAATACCGATTCACAGACTTGCCCCCCGCGTCGAATGGGTGGCGATAATGGGAGCGACGTGAGCTCTTCACACGAGTTGTTGAGGATGGCGAAGAGTGGTCGATGAAAGGGCGAATGGTGGTGTGGTGAGGTGAGATTTGAGAGGGGGAAGGAGAGGAGGTTGAGTCCGGGAAGGGGAGGACTGAGTTTGAGACTTGGTGTGACGCGGTATTACTTCGTACTTGAGAGGGGGCGCAGGGCCCAACACCGTACTATGGTAACTTACACGGGCCTACGAACTGGACACTTCCTTTTCTTTTCTCTACTTTCTCATGCTCGAGGAGCCTGCCCAGGTTTTCCCTTGGCCCCGACAAAGATCCTGTGATGGAACTTCTCCGAGTGCGCTATCAGTTAGTCCGTAGACGGGCGACTAGAGTATCTCTGGCTGCGCTCGGTGGGTCTTGGTGTCGCCACCCACCACCGGGCTGCAAATCACGCTCATGTTTAGCCGTTTTCAAAAGATGATCTAGAATCGCTACTTTGGTGGTCTGGCCTACATCTGCGAGTTCGGACCTGGTCCGGGCATTTCTCAGATCTGGACTGCCGACGAACGGATTCACCGTATGACTGCGGGCCCTACAGAGATCCATTCTGGCTCGGCATTGCTCTACTCTCATCGAAACACAAAAGTGGGAAACTGGAGAGACGGGAAAACTCAATCTGGCCGAACCCGGATTGTCTGGCATCCGGGCAGGGCGGCGGATAGGCCATATCTCGGATCGTATGTGAACATGTCTCGAACGCCGGACTATCCGTTACCCGTAACAGTTCAATTCCTTGTTTCATCCCATGACGAATAGGCCGTTCCATTGAACTTATTCTCACTCTTGTGCAAATGTAAAGTCTCTTTCAATCAATGAGGAAAATTACGTTCAAGGCTAGGAGATTACATCAGGCACGGTACCCGTGGAACCAAGGTGAGGTTTTCTGGAAACGCATGGGACCACCACCACGCAGCCTAGAGGTTTTCGAACCTTGTTAATGGAGTTCGTCCTGCCCCGAGATTTGGGTCGAATGACGCCTCGCGACCAACCTGGGGTACGAGGACAGGGTGTGTAACGGCTCAAGGAACGGACCCAAATTTCTTTCATCTAGGCCTTTGTCATTCTTGTATCTGAAGTCTGGACCTGCGTGAGTGTCTGATTCTGATCATCGTGGGTGTTGGCCGTGTCCACCGAGCCGCTGATCGGTGGCTCTAGCGGGAAAAGTAGCAGATCTGATTCACGCAAAAACAGCTCCATAATTTGCCATTCGAGCGAACGGAATGGAATTGAAGAAGCCTCGACACTCGGTGACCCAGATCCAGGGCTGAGTCTTAAACCGTGTCTGGGTATTGATTGAAATCTTTCAGGGGACGTACCTGATACACTGAACTTTGGATATCTCCTTCCAGCCCATGCCAGCTATCGCATTCGAAGACTAATCGGCCCAATGAAATTCATCAAATGTCTTTGGCGTAATCAGCCTCCGGGCTAAGACATTTCGTCACATTCACTTACCCTAGCCATTGTTGACCGTCCACCATACTCCGAATTTTGCCCAGATTAATTTCGCCATAATATGACTGCTCAGTATCGGTTGTTTTATGACCTATCGTGTAGAGCTAACGTCAAATCACGTCACAACAACATGTGCGCGCTATGCAAGGGCTGATCCAGGCAAGGGCGCCGTCGGAGAATATTCGTCCGGGGTAAGCAGCTGATAGATGCAGAGTGGCCGACCGAACCCCAGAATTTGGCCCTATCCGAGGAAATAGCCCCTGGGTCATCAATGGCTTAGCCTCGACTCTATACTATACAAAATGTCCACATTTCGGGCTATCGGTATACGAGTTTCCGAAACATGGAAAGGTCGGTGATCTCCAGCGCAATGAGTGGGCGAGTCGTTTATATGCCAAGATGGGCTCTCGGTATGCGATTGGACTGGATATGCACCCTGACACGAATCGCGCCACGCGCTCTCTAGTGCTACTACCATGGTAGTGTGCTGCAGCCCGTCCGGCAGAAGGGTCTGAGAGCTGGCAGAAGTAGACGGGAAGGAAAGCTGGGAGTCATTTTACACTTCCAAGCAACGTAAACCGCCAGGGAGCAATAGGTATGAAACCTAGCAGTCCAAGAGATGGATGAAAATCCCCAGCTGGGGATATACAAAAACGCAATGGGGAAATTCGGCGGGAATTGGCCATCGGTCCCATCCGCCCTCCACTTCCCCGGCTTTGCAAAGCAAACTGTCAAGAAAACAGACCGGTGAAACCACCAGGCTCCACTGCTCGGATTCTTTTACCTATCGATCTTTCCAGATGCCACTTTTGCTCGCTCATGATTGATCCATCCGGACCGAACGCGTACAAATGGCCGACAAGGGCCTAAAATGGCACGAAATCAGGGGCCGAAAGGGCGCCCGGTGATCAGCAGCCACCCGTGCTTCGCTATGTTTTATCCCGGACCCGATGCCCTCGTGGCTCTCCAAGGCGGTTTGTGGAGAGTCTGGGGATCAAGTATAAGGTCGTGGGGAACTGGTCCACTTCTGCATTATTATGAACTGCATCTGTCACTCAATCCTGCGAGAGCGGCCCACCAAACCCACACGCTCTCCACATCCAAGGTCGATTCATCATGGCCATCTACAAGAGAAAGATCACTGTCGATGACCGTGCCATTACATCCGGTGTCAATTTGACCTTGAGACAGTCCCTGCTTCCCAATGCATTGGGTAGGTTTGTATCGTTACCCTCAGGACTGTTAGCTAACTTGAGCGTCCTTACCCAGTCACTATCCTTTTCTTCCTCTGGGGATTTGGCTACGGCTTGCTTGATACTTTGAATTCGCACTTCCAGACCACCCTCAACATTACCGCCAGCAAGTCCAGTGGCCTGCAGGCTTCATATTTCGCAGCATACTTCATTTGCCCGTTGACTATTTCGGGATGGATCGTTCGCCGATATGGATTCCGAGTAACTTTCATGACCGGTACGAGCCTTTGCGTTTGCGTCGAAGAAGCGATCTGACCATGATATTTTGGAGTAGGTCTTGCCGTTCTTGCCGTTGGATGTCTCCTCTTTTGGCCGAGTGGAGTGAAGAGGTCATTTGGAGGATTCTGTGGTAGCATGTTTGTGAGTGTCTCCAAGGGACGAATTTTGTTTATCCGGTCTTCTAACTGTCTTGCTAGGTTGTGGGTGCCGGTTTATCTACACTAGAGACTGCAGCAGATCCGTACGTCACAGAAAACCTTCACATTTATATACTTCAGGTCCACGTTTCTTACCAAACCCAATTGACAGATTTCTTGCGATCTGCGGACCCCCGAAGTACAGCGAGGTTCGACTGAACCTGGGACAAGCAGTTCAGGGTGTTGGGACTTTCGTCGCTCCACTTTTGGCCTCTCGAGTCTTCTTCGCTAACACCGTGGACACAAATGCTGGGTTGAAGAACGTTCAATGGACCTACCTCGGGGTGGCCTGCTTCGTCGTTTTGCTAATCATCCTCTTCTGGCTTGCGCCTTTCCCCGAGATTACCGATGCTGATCAGGAGGCACTCGAAGGACAGATTGATCAGAACGAGAATGTGGGCCCATTCAAGAAGCAAACCAATCTCTTCCTTGGTATCTGGAGTCAGTTCTGCTACGTTGGAGCGCAGGTCGCCGTGGCTGGATACTTTATCAACTTTTGCGAAGAGTCTGGTCGTGACTCTGCCACCAGTTGTAAGTGGGCAATCATTCACGCTTCTCGCGCGGGGCAGCGCTCTGACAAAGTATTCTAGCCGACTTGTTGGCTGTGGGGCAGGGTCTCTATGCCGCTATGCGCTTCATTGCCAGTGGCCTTATGATGATGAAAGCGTTTAAGCCTCGATACATGTTGAGTTTATACCTGGTTCTTTGTGTTGTTTTCTCGATAGTCGCCATGACGACCCATGGCACGACCTCCGTGGCCATGATTATTCTCGTCCTGAGTTTCGAGTCTGTGAGTAACACACTGCCTTAGGATAGAGCAAAAATTGTTACTAATGACACCCCTTCTCACTAGCTTTGCTTTGCCACCATCTTCAGTCTTGCGCTTCGTGGCTTGGGTCGCCACACCAAACTCGGCGGTTCCATGCTTGTGGCCGCGATCTCCGGTGGCATGGTCTTTCCCCCGATGATGGGCGCCATCGTGGTATGTCACATTCCATTCCACGTTTCAAGATGTTTACCCCAGGTTTCTAATTATGCAATCCACTACAGACCAGAGTAAATGCCCATACCGCCATGGTAATCCCTATGATAGGCTACATTCTCGCGTTGGTCTTCCCGATCTACGTGAATATATACAAGAAGGATACCATGGATCTGCATCGCAACACGGAGATCAACGTCACTGCCCAGATGGACAAAGAGCTTGCGCTGGAGGAAGGTGTTCCAGGCAAGCCCACTGTCGCAAATGTGTAGACGGTCCAAGAAATGGTGAGCTCCAAGTGATATGGCAGGATCAAGGGGCATCTAAGAAAAGCCGGGTACGGTAATTGTACATGTTATAGTCGGTAATGATGAATATAACCTGTAATGAAGTTATCGAGGAACAATTTTGTCTTAATTGCATATGGACATATTTGTAGAATTTTGAAGATTAAGTGTCAAAATAGTTCCAGTCGCCTCAAGGTGGGAGTGGCGGCGGATTACGTTATGAGTCGATGAGGCACCGCAGGATCCAGAACCCGATTCTTTTTTGCTACAGCACCACCGTCTGCAGACAAGCGAAATCGAACTTCATGTGACAAATCTGGCTGTAAATCGTGGCTTTCCGGCTCAAGTCATGGTCAACGTCCCAGGACGAAGTAAAGGCTGCTCCACCTGTCGCCGACGTAAGATCAAGGTGCGATCATTGGGATTTGCAATTCGCAGTGGCAAGCTAATTCAAAGCCATGCAGTGCGATGAGACCTTTCCAGAATGTCTGCAATGCATAAAAAATGGATCGCGGTGTCCTGGTCCTCGAACGGGGGCTTTCTTCGTTCATGCATTGCCAGACAGGTCGCTGGTGAAACATGCACCGGCGCACTCTCAGGCTATCTCCCAAAAACAGCAGGAGAAGTATGATGTGATTGTACGGTCTCCTTCTGCTATCTCTATTCAACAGCCTGATCGAGCCGACATCTTCGACCAGCTATTCGTGTCTCATTTTATTGAATCATTTGGCTTTAACGCACCGGCCACGAATACCCCGACCGTAACTTGGCTAGATGAACTTTTTTGTTTCTCAACTTACCAACTCCAAGTCTAGTAAGGCATTCAATCCGTGCTGGATCCATGTTCTTCTACGGTTCGCTGGCCGATGATGTGTCTATTCAGACGGAAGCATGCAAATGGTACCTGAGGGCTCTACGGGGCCTCCAAGACCTGCTCTCACAGGAAACTTCCTCTTTTACTGGCGATGTCGTCTGTGCCGTTGTCATGCTTACTCACTTTGAAACCCTGGCCGCTACGTCCACGGATGGGTGGTTCCAGCATGTCCGGGGCGCGGCGACGATGCTTGAATCAAGCGGTCCAGAAAGTTGTCGTGAAGGGTTTTTACACCGGCTGTTCCGTCATTTACGGCTTCTCGTTGTGAGTAAGACCCGACTTAGGCGATAAAATACTCATTGCTGGATTCTCTATACTAACGTTGTCTCTACAAGTTTGTTGCATCGATATTCAAGAATGAAGAGCATGTCTTCTCATCCCCTGAATGGATGGACATTCCCTTCGAAGTCTATCCTAAAGGTCCATTCGACGTCCTTGTCGACAATCTATTCTCCTTGTTGTCATGTCTGACAACTGCGCAAGATCTGTTAAAATCCCAAGCCGGAAACGCAGAGCCTCTTAGAACCAAGTTAATCACATTGGTACTGGGGTTGATCACCCGGTTACACAACTGGTGGGCACAATGCACCGCCATGATGAACTTGGGCGGATTTAACGCACAGGCTCCGATGAATGCTGCCAAAGACGATTCAGATTTTCAAGCCCTTGACCCCGATCATTTCCCGATTCTTCATCACTTGGATATGCCCACGGCTGCTCTGGCTACCCTGTATGATGCGGCAAATATCATCGCTCTGCGGCTTCTTTCGCTCGTTTCGCCGTCTGCATATTTATACGAAGAACGCATTCAGCGACATGCGAGATCGATCCTGTTGGCAAAATCGTTTGTTGAAGAGATCCCAGGTCCCACTTCCAATCGTGGGTCTACTATGGTGGGCTTCCCCTATCAAATTCTCTGCATATGGGGACCGTTCACCACGGATGGACATTATCCTGGCGCCAATAAAAAACAGCTCTTCTCGAATGTGGCTGCCTACGTGCTTCGGCATCGGGGTTTAGGGTGCACCGGGCAGATTTCTGATGACCGGAGCCTGGAAGACTCCGTGTCTTCTTCTTACCAAAATAATAATATGAGGCTTGAGCTTGACAGGGCACGTTTGGCATGTACATAAGAGATAATAGAAGCAATATCAGGGGAATAACGCCCCACCTACGACCGTGAATCGTTCATGCTGCCTTGCACCACCGAGCAACTCGAGGACCAACCTTCTTCACGGGCAAAGCCGTCCAATTCGCATGTGTTTGGCCGCTGGACGGCAGAACGCAAATCTAACCGTAATAGGTTAGCTTTGCGGTCGCGGGTGGAGCCGGCGATGGCAAGGTATACTTGCCCAGCTATTTATTCCTTGCATCGCAGCACGGTCTCGATTTCACATCCTCCGATTTCTTTCTAACCCTGAAGCAATACTGCTTTGCTCCAATGAAGATTGTCATCATCGGCGCCGGCATCGCCGGGTGCACAGTGTACCTTGAACTGAAGAAACATCTCCCGAAACCCTCTGGCCCAGAGGCAGACCATGAGATCACCATCTATGAAACATACAGCACCGACTTGGATGTCACACCAGAGCAACGCCAAAAGAACGAAAGCACTCATTCATCAACTCTCGTCGTTGGCGGTGGTCTCGGCATTGCTGTAAATGGTCTGAATGTTATCCGCCGCCTTGATGAAGATCTACTCAAGGATATTGTCCGAGGCGGATACGTTATAGCCGCCTCTTATTTGAAAAACAAAAACGGATCGATCCTTGTACCTATGAAGAATACTGGGCCGAATGCCTCGAAAGACACGGACCCTGCTGAGAAGATGAAAACGGTCGTGACTAGCCGCCACTCTCTGTGGAAAGCTTTGCGTTCTCGAGTTCCGGATGAAAACATTGTCAATAAGCGGATTTCGGAGGTAATTGCCCGTCCGGATGGGAAGAATCTCGTCCGTTTCGAGGATGCAAGTTCCGAGGTGGAGGCAGACTTGGTGATTGGTGCGGACGGAGTGCGAGGCACGGCCAAACGGGCGCTTTTCCCCGATTCGAAAGAGGACCCTTACCCACCTCACTACGAGTAAGTCATGCTCTATACGTTCCATTCATTTGCGCCGAGAAAGTCGTCTGACCGTCTATATAGAGGTCTTGTGGGCGTTGGTGGCTTCATCCCATCGGCCGATGTCAAAGGTCTCGTCGAAAAGGGATCTATCAGTTTCGTTCACGGAGGAAATGGATTCTTTGGCTATTTCTTCTCGGAGAGCGCACCTTCTGCTGAGCACCGTGACTCTCCATACCACGTATCCGAGCCCGGTGACTCGCTCGCTTGGTGGTCCACATACCAGATCACAGAACGTCCTGACCCAAAGACTCTCGACATGGCGGACGTTACCCGTCAACTGCGAGAGAGGCATGCAAACTGGAAAGATCCAGTCATCCAAAAGATCCTCCAGTCCCTTCATGTTGATAGCATGTACCCTACCTGGACATCACCGCCTCTCCCGACGTGGGAGCGAGATGGCGTCGTTCTAGTCGGAGATGCAGCCCACGCACTTCCCCCGACATCGGGGCAGGGATCGTCGCAAGCTTTGGAAGATGCTGAAGCGTTTGCGCTTCTGTTGGCTCATCATCTCCGCAAGAGTGCTGCGCCAGAAGGTATGACACTGTTGGATCACAAGAAGGCTATCACGGCTGCGGCGAAACAGTACACCGCTCTACGACAACCACGAGTAACGGCAATACTCAAACATGCCCAACAAATGCAGGAGAAAAAGCGTGACATGGGAGTTGTGCAGGAATATTTGATGTACGGTTTTTTGAAAATTATGGGTAAGCGTCTTTTCTGGAGGTTTCTGGGATTATACTAATGTGTTTCTTATAGGACTGTTCCCCAGTTTGGTCACTAATGAATTTGCGAAGGTCGTCGATTATAATATCGCGGATCAGGTTGCTCAAATTATAGCTTCAGAGGGTTGAAAGCTGCGTCCTGCAGTAGTGAGGAAGACAGCTTTGTGCATGTCATTCACTTTGAATTCATTGGACTCGTTGCGAATTACAAGAAGATAATCAATTGAGCATGGTTCATTCATAATTAACGTGTTCCATTCAAGGGTCTCTCCGAAGGGCGAGTATGTCTGAAAGCTTGACATGTCCCTTCTCACCCCAGCCTTGAGCGCCACTTTGAACATCTGGCCGTAGTCGAAGATACCAAGCCCAAGCACGTCTATCTAGTTCACTTTTGCTTAACGTCGTGGCCCATGAGCTGCAGACCGAGTCAATGGCATGCACAAGATGGCCGACATAATCTTCTTTTTCTTGTACGGCTGCGGCAGCTGATTTTGATTTGGGTGGTATTCCCTCTTGTAGTTTGGAAATTGACCGCAGGAGATACGATCGAGCAGATTCTGCCGTGTAGATGGGCAGTGCACTAGCCGGTTTCGGGTCTGAGCCAGCGATGGTAGCTTGGGATTTTCGGATAGCTTCCAAGTCAACGCCCCATAGCGGGGGCATCTTGTCTGCGTCTTCAATATCTCCATTTCCCACGAAATCTTTGGCAGATACTGCGTTTGGTTCCTCTGACGCAGATGCCTGATCGGGCTCCCCTTCGCGCGGGTTGTAGTCCCATCTTTTCAAGACCCGGATATCCCTTCCAAGGACTTTGATGGTTGGATGGCCTTCTCCCCATCCCTCTTGCTCTGCTGACTGACCACTTTCAAGGCCCAGGCTGACGGCCTTAGTTCGACTGTTGGCACTGACCACAGCCTGTGCAAGGCTTAATCTACTGGAGATTGGCTGTTCGGGCATGGTATATTTCAAGACACACACTGCAAAAGCGAGCACCAGAGGAGCACGGTTGGTTACCACTGTCATGTTGCAGAGCTCGCTATCGCTGGCAGAAGACATGGGCAGGCCCAGGGAGGATTCAACTTCAAAGGGTGTCGAGTCTTTGGTAATTTTAGACTCCTTCTTCTTCTTCTGAGGTGATGTCGTTGCAGAGTCAGCTGGGGCTCCCCGCTTCTTGGAGACCCGTTTGGCAGCGTTGAGAACTTGCTTGGCGAGCTTTTCATCTTTGAAGATTTCTTGGATAGCTTTGGGATTTGCTTTTGAAATTTGCTCCGCACTGTGTACGTGTTAGATAAAGAACATCATTCCAGAAGGATGGTGTTTACCTGGTCATGTTAGCTTTCTGCAGTTCCACAACCTTCCCTAGTGCAGTAGCCAGAGGGACTTTGGCATCCTGCGATAGAAAGCGCAGAATGTCTGTAATTTTTGCACCAGACATGGAATATTCTGTATGCAGATTCACTTCACAAAGCTTTCAATCAGGTTGACTTTGGAAACTTTGGGGAACTGTGTCTTGATAAGTTGATTCAATGACGATATATCGGCAGAATATGCGATAAGATACCGCCTCCCCCACCGCCCAGAGACGCCCCAATGAGGAAGGACACCAGCTCAACTGCACAAGCCTCTCCAGGACTCACTTCTACTGCAGGCCCATAACCGCTGCAGTGGCAGCTTCTACAACATGCCGGACGATTCGAAGGGGAAGGGGTTCCCCGATGTTTCCGCCAAGCTCTCCGCACTGCCCAAGAAATCGCTGTTTGAGCGCCAAAGAGCCGAAGCCGAAGCTAAACGCGCCCGCGAGAAAGCCGAAACCGCCGCAGTGTACGAGGACTTTGTTAAGTCATTTGACGATGATGCTCCCCAAAGGGCTTCTGACACGCGTCCGAATACATTTGGCTCAAGAGGTGGTGGGATGACAGGAGGACCGGCACGGCGACATTTCACAAGCTCAGGTCCACGCAGCAGTGGTCCCGGTACACTAGGGCCACCGCCACCATCAATATCTCGTAAACGCACCCATGAAGGATTCGCACCGATATCGCGCAATCGTGACACTGCGCAAGGGGCCTTTGGGTACGATCATGCAAGCACAGGCCCAACCGGTCCCCCGTCAGCATTCCGCAGCGCATCCGATGACGATGAACGGATGGCAGATACCAAAGACGCCGAGAAAGCAGCTGCAAAGCCTACCCTATTTCTGGCCTCGCTTCCTCCTGGGACTTCGCCGTCAGTCCTCAAGTCGCTGATACCATCTTCCCTGGTTGTGGACAATGTGAATATTCTCCGACCACCTAATCAATCCGCTACGGAGCGAAAATCATCGGCAGCTATTGTCACGTTGTCTAGTGACTCTGCAGCTTCAGATATTGACAGTGCTGTGAGTGCGCTGCAAAACAAGTATCTCGGCCGGGGATACAACCTATCCATCTCTCGACATCTCTCATCTGCTGCCATTGGCTCAATTATGCCACCAACTATTGGCATGTCTTCAACGACTTCACTACCATTTGGTGCTAAGACCGTCCAACCCACGTTTGGCGGAAGTCTGAGTCGTGCGCCGCCGCCGGGACCGCATCGAGGGGGAATTGCCCCTCCAAGTTCTTATGGGAACTATGTCAGAGGTGGACCTTCCACACAAGTGGAAGTAAAAACACCCTCTGACATTAAAGAGTTAAGGTTGATTCACAAGACGCTTGAAAACCTCCTCAAATTTGGACCTGAATTCGAAGCTTTACTCATGAGCAGGCCAGAGGTTCAAAGAGAAGAAAAATGGGCATGGATTTGGGACGCCCGCAGCCCCGGTGGTGTATACTATCGTTGGAAACTATGGCAGACCATTACCAACCCGCGGTCTCGCAACAAACGAAGGGCGGGCACACAAAACCTTTCTTCAATATTTGAAGGCGGCTCGAGTTGGGTACCTCCGGAAAGTGAGATTAAATTCGAGTACACTACACATCTTGATGAATTTGTTTCAGACGAGGACTACAACTCCTCCGATGAAGAAAATTCGGACGGAGAAGATGAGAGGCGGAATGTGGGAGGAGGACCTCCACCCGAGGGAGTGAGCGCAAAGAATGACAGTCTCGGCTACATGAACCCTCTACGGAAGGCCAAGCTGACACATCTCCTTGCTCGACTACCGACGACTCATGCCAAGCTCCGGAGAGGTGATGTCGCGAGGCTCACGGCCTTTGCAATTGAGAATGCGGGTGCAGGCGCGGACGAAGTTGTCGACTTGATTGTGCTCAACATCCTCAACCCTCTGGCCTACACTGGTGCCAACCCTGAGCGCGAGCTGGAAAAGGAGGCGGCAAGGCCGGATGATGGTGACAAAGATAACTCAAATGCCCCTAAGGCACCCATGGATGTGTCTGCAGCGAAACTGGTTGGGCTCTACATCATTTCCGACATTCTCTCGTCATCAGCCACCAGCGGTGTCCGTCATGCATGGCGATATCGACAGCTGTTCGAAGCTGCCCTTCGTGCGCATAAGGTTTTTGAACATCTCGGTCGGCTTGAGAAAGATCTCAACTGGGGCCGACTCAAGGCAGAGAAATGGAAGCGCAGCGTTGGCACTCTCCTTCACCTGTGGGAAGGGTGGTGTGTCTTTCCACAATCCAGTCAGGAGCACTTTGTCCAGATGTTTGAGCAGCCACCGCTCGCGGACGAAGAAATTCAAAAAGAGAAGGAAAAGGCCGAAGCAGAAAGAGCCGCCAGCGCATTTTCCAAAAGCAAGAGTCGCTGGAAGACCGTCGATGATGACTCTGCAGCTGAAAAATTCGATCCAAGCAAGCAAGCTGAAGCTGAAGATCGAAGTCATCTGCCAACTCAGCAGATTGGTCTGGCAGAAGACGAATCTATGAGTGACATTGATGGTGTCCCGATGGAAGATAGCGACTTGGAGATGGCTGATGAAGATGTGGAACCAATGGAGGAAGACCAACCACCGCCAGGCGGTGATGATACCAAGGAAAAACCGCATGTGCAGCCCCAGCAGATACCCGAGCTGCAAGAGCCATCATCTCAGCGCCCGCGTCGGGCACGGCCCAAGGCCGAAGACATGTTTGCCTCGGACTCGGAGTGAGCTAGACGACCGACTTAGGCATAGCGATGAATGAACGTAATGATACCAGGCATTTCCGCCAGTCAAGTACTCTGCATGGTATTTCTTACTAAATATTTCGACCGAACTAAAGGCCAGGTGCGCATTCAACCACATTTTATACTCGACTTGGGCGAGCGTAAGGCAGTCAGGCATCAGCGGCAGAATTCGTGCCCCACTCGGGCGATTCCCCTCCCGCGTCAACAAATACCTTCCTCCTCAGCTCTCTGCTCTCTTTACAGTCGTATCTCTCCTCTTCGAACGATATCTCTCTTCAAACTTCAAAATGTCCGGTATGTTTGACAATGCCCTCTCTTGCGCCTTCTTCCTACTGCCAGCCCCTCCCTTCTCAAGGTTGGGTAGTTCTGGACCATTCCCGACACTGTGTGAACCAGTTGCGCCAGGCTACCAAATGATGGCCAGGTGGAAATGAGCCCATCTTAAAGCCAGCATGGGCATCAGCTAACGGAGCCTTATATTTCAGACTTCTCCTCCATCGCTCGTATGTGATACCCCTCCCTCGATCCCGGATGCGCCCACACAAGAACAGCCCCGCGATGTCTCGCAGCTGTGCCCCTCAATCAAGAACCAGGCCTCTGACCCGTGACCTTCCATTCTACAGAACAGTTCGTTGAGTTCTACTACAAGACCTTCGACGGCAACCGTGATGGTCTCGCCCCGCTCTACGTAAGACCTTACCCCGGTCCCGAACAGGCCCCTCGAAAACGTCACGTTGGATTTGGATACTGATGGCAATTGTGAATTTGAACAGCGCGACCAGTCGATGCTCACCTTCGAGACCAGCTCCGTCCAGGGTACCGCTGCTATCGTCGAGAGGCTGAGTGTATGTTCCCCTCCAATCGCAACAAACAGACACATTGGGATACTAATGACGAACCCAACCAACAGAGCCTTCCATTCCAGCAGGTCCGTCACCAGATCGCCACCTTTGATGCCCAGCCCTCCAGCGAAGGCGGCATCATTGTTCTGGTTACCGGTGCTCTCCTGGTACGCCCCCAATGCATACCCATAAGACACATGTGAGCCTAACATTACATTCACAATAGGTCGACGAGGAGCAGAAGCCCATGAGCTATACCCAGCTCTTCAAGCTGCAGCCCGACGGTGCCGGCAGCTACTTCGTTCTCAACGACGTCTTCCGCCTGATCTACGCCGCATAAACGCGCGACACGGATGAATAGATACGACGCGATGACGGGGGGATATCTCTTTGTGAGGTGGACCGTGGCCCGGGGATGCAATTGTCAATGAAAATCTCTAGAGTCAATATCTCTACGGGGTACCGCCCACTTTGGACGAGACGAATTTAAATCAAATCTGTTCTCATTGGAAATCTCTCTTTGCTTTCGTTCTATATACGCTATCCCGAGATTTACTGACTTTGCAGAAGCGGAGTCTCTTCAGAAGGCTGCTCTGCATTGACAGCCTCCGGCGCAGGCGCCTCGAGTCTCTCGGACGCATTCTCATTCTGTTTGCTTTCAGGACCAAAGTATTCAAAGTAGATCCCCATCACCAGTAACGTTCCCTGTAGACAGGCCGTGACCACCAACACGCCCCAAATACTCCAGCCCTTGGCGCCCTCGCGCGCAGCCAAGCTCGCAGCCCAGACCAAACTTCCCGGTGTCTGTATGCACATCATCGGGATGCTCAGACTTCCCACGCATCGGAGTCGGAAGGTCGTGTAGATCTGTGGGAAGTACTGGATCGACGCAAGGACGGCAGACAAGACGCCGAGGAAGTTCGCCCAGGCAGGGAGCGCGGATGGCCGGCGCAGATAAAAGGCGACGGAGATGATGAGTGTCGCGATTGCATGCAATAGGCAGATTGCGGTGATGGTGAGTGCGGTACGATATGTGGGACCGCTCGGGGTGGAAGACACTGACGCCACGGGGTCGGTGGGCGACGTCGCGCGCGGGAAGTAGATTACGAAGAGCAGTAGGCTTTTTATCCCCCGCTGTCAGATAGATTCGTCCGAGGGGTAGTGGGTAGACACTCACATGGAAAAGAAACACAGCCACTGCATGCCCATCTGGAACACGCCTAGCAGACCGGCGAAGCAAGCCGGCCCGCTGAGCTGCGAGCAGCAGGCGACGTCATGGGCGGTCTTGGGGAAGACAAGGATGTTGGCAAAAGCCGACGTGCCTGAAGTCGTGCCCAAGAGAACGAAGTAGGGTGATATGCCAAAGGAACTGCGGCGCGCGATGATGCGGATGTGTTGGGGCAGGTAGGAAACGAGGATGCCGATGATGATCAAGCTGCCAGGGTCACGTCAGTTCGCTGGGGGACCTTGTTGCGGGAAAGGGAGACAGTACACTGATAACACAGGCTGGAAGATGCCTGGCGAGGCCAGCTCGCGACAATATGGGGTGTTTGGGTCCATGGTGTGTGTTAGGTCTTGGGAGACTAGGGAGGTGCTGGAGGGAGATGACGTTGAGGAGCTCCGTGTGAAGCGGAGTCGGGGCTTGGGGTCTCGTGAGGCCGTGACTACTTAGGTACCTAGACAGGGCAGTCACATTGGATTTCGGCTCTATCGGATTTGAGCTGTTTTACTGTTGAGGACTGAAAATGTTAACTTATAGAAGATGAAGAGGTAAAAGGCACGACCGGGATGCCCCCGCATTGATAAGGAGCCCAGGCACGTCGGGTACCTTGGGCTTGGGCGCTAACTCCCGTCTCCACCGTGGTCGATCATTCATAAGGCTACGGAGTACAAGGGTTCATTCTCATACGCCAATTCTTAATTCCAAGTTGAGAGAAAGCTGACATGTGTCTTGCCGTGGGAGAACATTCATGAAACATATCCCGATTTTCCCTCCTGACTTCCAGTGCCGATACAGCCAGACTCGGAGTCTTCGTTCCGTTCCCCCGAAAGGCATGAAGTGGAGAAGCCAATTCTTCAGGCCCCTGGCTTGGCTTTTTCGTCTCAGAAGCATTTGCTTACTACGGCAGCCAGTCATACCCTTTTTGCGCAGGAGTGACTTGGCCGGTTCCTAATCTCAATCCCCGACCCGCGTCTTCCTGAAGACGTCGCGGCAATTGGGTCGCGGTCCTTCTGAAGGAGCAGTCTGAGGATATTGTGGTGGCCCTCAACAAAGGCAATATCGATAAACAAGAAGTTACATAGAAAATCGTGTCCTCAAGCGGTCAGTGCTCATATTGCGGGGGCTACGGAGTCAACAGAACCAGGCTGCATGGAATACAGCTCCAAGTGCGCATTTAAATTCATAAGGTGGCGTCTGGCCACAATTTGGTGCAGAAAGCTAGAACTGAAAGATGCTCCCGCAAGATTATTTTGTCCAGTATTTGGACTAGGCATTCCTCCCTATCCAATATCCCTCCATCTCCCACCGACACGCACGAGCAAATCTTTCCACCAATTTATTGGAAGACGTCTCCTGCGCCCACCACTTATAGTGCAACAAGGCCATGTCCCCCGCCAAATCATTATTGTTGGGCCAGTTGATATACCACGACGCATGCAGTCGTTTCCATGGCATAGGTCCTCCCCAACGGTGAGCATAGTTGATGAGGTCCTGGTCCGGAGCACCGGTGTCGTAGAGTTCAGGTTGGCTCAGAAGGCTCTTGTAGTATTGGAAGACCTCTGTTGTAGGTGAATACATAAACAAGCCGCTGTTGAAGTATTTTACTGTTTGGTCGGGATCCAGGAACGGGTATGCATGGTCTCTTTGAAGCGATTCGGGAGATGCAGCCATGAGGTATCTCTCTGGGATGGTCCCCAGCTCTGCGCTGGCCTTGGTTGTGTCGTTGACTAGAATGGGCTCTGTATTCAGATCCCCGAAGATGTCATGGATGGGTCGGGTCAGAACCATGTCGGCCTCCATAAACAGGACCTTCTCGTAGGGTATGATGGTGGGATCGAAGAGGCGCAGCTTGGTTGCCGTCTCGGTCCAGGTGTCATTAGACGCGGCCGCGTTTTGTGCCATATACTGGGTCTCGATGACGGTGGCTCCATCAGCTCTCAGTCTCCGGCGTTTGCTCTCGCGAACGTCGGGTGTGACAGCTACGATGACGGGGATTTTGTATCGTAGCTTGGTGTTGGGCGAGTGAAGTAGCTGATACACGAGGGTCCGCGCGCTCGCAAAGTATGGGTCTTGCTCATCCCCAACGGGGTGTGTTCCGTCATCGTGTGAAGCTAGAAATGTGATGATGGCGTATCGACCGCGGTATGTAGGCTTGTGGGTTGCCGGTCCATCGCTGACGGCGTCTGGAGGAAGCGGGGTTCCAAACAAAAGGAAGAGAGTGCACGCAGCCGAAAGCACGCAGAAGGTCAGCAGCTTCTTGCTGATGGTCTCCTCCCGGTCTGCCGTTTGTGAAATCATTGTTCTTCAGTAGCGTGTGGCATCGGGAACTCGATAAAGATTCACGAGAGGAAGACTTGAGAAAAGTGCTTCGAGCACTGCTTGAATAAAAAGCTATTCTGCCTATGTAACCCCACGTTACCTATACTCCGGACAGTGCCTAGACGCAATGGTCGGCTGAAAGAAGATTGCCGGATTCGGCTTCATAGATCCGTGTGCAGACGGCGCTGATGAGCAGCCGAATTGGGGATCCGGGGATTTGATTGGCTGAAAGACGGAGTATACCACCCGATCATTGCCATAGGCTTGGCCATCTTGACAGGGGTCATAACTGTATCTAAAATACCAAGTGAAGTCGCTGTCCTGCTTCTAGGGTCCCTGTAATTCATTGCACCCGTAGACCTAGACCTTGCGTTGGTCAGGAACAAGGCCGATGGCGAATTTCCAAATGTTGTGGAGCCGATCAACAGGGAGCTAGAACACATTCCAGTCGCGTTGGCACCTGCCAATTCGTCGCAAGCCAAAACAAGACAAAGGTCAATTAGGAGTTTTCTGAAACGACTGTTAACATATCGAGCTTTGTAGGATCGGCTGTCTAGGTGTTGAAGCTGTCACTAATCATATTTGATCTGTGGTGATGCGGGTGGAGCACCACCGAAAGACAAGGCTCGGCGAACACGCTCTTCAACTATTCAACAATTGACGGTGCCAAGACATGGCGAAGACAAAGTCTTGCACATGGGATATTAAGATGACGCCGAGGGCTTTGTCATGAAAGAATGGGGCCACCTTTAGCCACTTGATGAATCATGCACTGCTCTGGGAGCTTGGAACCAGGCAAATTCCCCAACTACGTCACTCCACGATCATCCCTGCTTGTTACTTTTCCCTGCCTGCTCCCTGCGATCGCGATCAGATCCTTCGTATTTAAAGCCATCGAGACCTTTTTTCCTCTTTACAACTCCACTATTGACGGTGAATATCACACTTTTGCTACTTCGTGGCCCCATACTGATTCTTCGCGATAGCTTCATAGAGGCTCTACCCCATACGAAAAATAAGAACCATGAAGTTGAACTTGGCCACCGGCCTGGTGTGTTTACTCGCTACCACCGAGGCTGTAGCAGCTTCGAGCTGGTGGAGCAAAGCTGGTGAGCTTACGATCTCGCGAGGTCGCTGCGAATAAGCTATGGAGCTAACGTCATCGCAGTCTACAACAAATGGCACGAAACTGAGCTGGAGCGATGGCTCTCCGACCACGGTACGTTGGACTTCCGTGTCGGTCGCGTCGCTATCAAAAGCTGACAAACACCCCGTAGACATTCCTCACCCTGCCCCTGCCGACCGTAAGGATCTTGAGAACCTGGTCAAGACCAACTGGGATAGCAAGGTTCAGAAGCCTCTGGGCCAGGCTGCGGACTCTGTCTCCGATGAACTCCACCAGGCGAGGGAATGGGTCTTTGACACGTAAGGTGCTCTACCTCGTCGCCGCTAAACATACACTGACCTGTCCACAGCTGGTCGGACTCACAGCTGAAGGCATTCCTCGATCGCCATGGCATTCCCGCTCCTCAGCCCCGCAAGCGCGACGTCCTGATCAAAACCGCCCGCGAGAACTACGAATCTGTTGCGAACAAGGTTGGCGAGACCGCAGCCTATCCCGGTAACTGGCTGTACGAACAATGGACCGAGTCCGATCTCAAGGAATGGCTCGATGAGCGTGGATGGCCTGTTCCTCAGCCCTCCAGCCGTGACCGACTCGTCGCCTCTGTTCGCCGCAACTCTCGTCTGGCCAGCTTGCAGGCCCGCAGTCTGTCTGCGTCTGCAATCTCCTCCGCCGAAGCTGCTCAGGCTTCTTTGGGTGATGAGTTGTTCAATGCCTGGTCTGATTCCAAGTTGAAGGAGTTCCTTGATGAGCATAACGTCAAGGTGCCCCAGGGCTCGAAGCGCAATGAACTTATTGCTCTTGCCCGCAAGAATCGTGCCTATCTCGTCGACAAGGCTGCCAGCGTGTCGTCCGCCGCTACGGATGCCTTTGGCGCCGCCACCACCAAGGCCGGCAACCAATATGCCAAGGCTACGGATGACGTCAAGCTGAAGGTGGAGGATCAGTTCAACAACGCGATCGGCACGTGGTCGGACTCTCGCCTCAAGGCCTTCCTCGATGCCCGTGGCGTCCCTGTTCCCCAGAACGGCAAGCGCGATGAGCTGCTGGCCAAGGTCCGCGCCAACGCGCACAGGGCTTCTGGTGGGTGGAATGAGTACAACTTTGATACCTGGGACAAAGAGCACCTGGTGTAAGCTTCGCCATTTCCTGCAAGGAATATTAGAGCTAACTTGCGTTTTAGGAAATATCTGTCCGCTATGAATTCCAAGGCCGCAAAGAAGGCAGATGCCTCGCGTGAAGAGCTGGCCAAGCAAGCCAAGGATGCATATATCAAGGCTTCCAAGGCTGGTGGTAAAGAGTACGCGTCGGCTACATCCAACATCGCCGTGGCGACCGGTTCTGCCAAGGACACCACCTTCGACAACTGGACACACTCCGAGATTAAGAAGTACCTTGATTCCTACGGTATCCCCGTGTACCAGGGCTCGAGCATCAATGAGCTTCGTGCCGCTGCCCGGCGTCATGCTACCTACTTCAAGTACGGTACCAACACCCCACAGGACACCATCTACGCCAAGATCATGGAGACCGTCAACTGGCTCATTGATCAAGTGAAGGTTGGAGCTTCCAGTGGCCGGGCACAGGGCCAGGAAGCCGCGGAGAATGTTCGCGAGAAGGTCTCCGAGCAGACCGAGAAGATTCGCTCGGAGTTGTAAATGTTAAAGACGGAAGGAAGTGGAGCGATTTCTCATTCTGCCGTGATTTTTGGTTACGATGATTATGACTTTTGAATTTGGGAATTGCTGGAGATGTCTTTCGGGAGCTCAGTTACGTCAATAATAGTTTAGTCACTAGTTAAAATGAATCCTGAATCGCCCTGAACCGGGCTCGTCTATTTTCAGTGTGAGCCTCGGCAAAGATCAGTACGCATTGCAATGTTGAATCCCGAATTAAATCGTACATGGTTTTTACGTGGACATAAATTGCTCAATAGTTATACCCTGCATCCTGGGTCCTTTTCACCCACCCGGTTCGGGCATCATCATAATTGGTAGCCACGCCCAGCTCATGATGCCGGCGCTTCGGGATCGCCCTCGGCAACCAGCTTGCCGACAACAAGGTACTTCTCGGAGAAGCGCTCTTCCCACGACTGTAGGTTCTCCAGCTGGTCGGCATCCAGATCTTTGAGATCATCCAGCGGTGCCGACAGATCCTTGGTCAACATCTCCTCGTCAAAGCTCTGGTGGGCCAGGCCTCGCGACGCATCGCGGCCAGCAAAGTTCTCGTACGGACCTCCCTGTTCATCATCAGTCATATCCCCATCATCAGTGACCAGACACCACCTACCGGACCATAGAAGTTCTTGCCGGGGGTGACGTCGAAGACCCGGCCACGCACGGCTAGGAAGACGGGCCGGTCGCCCTCGCCGTTGAACTCGAGTAGGGTCTTGGGGGTGTAGGTGCGGAAGACGACCGGGGCCGGGCCGCGCGGGAGCACGACGGCTGGCTTGGGGCGGAAGTGCCAGTACAGCAGCACGACGAAGAGGGAGAGAAGAATTAGGTTAATGGGCGAAGCAATCGACATCCTGGGAGGGTCAGCGGTTGCTCAAATTGATGGAGCTTGAGATACGAACACTTCGGCCTGCGGCGTGGTGCCCTCTGTGATGATTTAGCAGGGGTTCACCTAGGCATTCACGGAGGGGAATATCTACCAGTAGCCATTTTTGGATAGAGGAGGTTTGCAACCTTGGAATGTTGGACGTACAGAGTTCAGAAATGAAGACCGGAGGTTGCGGAGAAAGATGTCATCCCCGCCCCACGTGATAATGTTTTCATTTCTACTTTCCTGTACACATTCTACATCTATATATTTCCGTGTATTTCCGATGTATTTCCTATGTATTTCCTGATCAGGCACGTGGTGATACATGATGAAAGAAATGACTGGAGAGCGTCGCTCTACGGGCTATATTAATAGACGCCCGAGAGAGCTTAAGCCCCGGAGATGAAACGACGTCAACACAGCCCAGTCCCTGAAAGCTCCAGTGTTTCAACTCCACTTGTTCGCCCCCATTTTAATTGTCGCAGCCCACTTAGTTCAGCTTGGTGAATGCCATGCTGTTCTCGGTGTGAGTCTGCTAGACTTCTCTTCTTCCCTGTTTCCAAGGTTCAAACCCGGACTTTGATCCCAGGCTCCTATCCTTCGCTTTGTTTCCGTGGTAAACACTTCCTTGACCCTCCTTTTTTTTGCTCCCAGGCTAGTCCCTCTTTCCTTTCATCGCACTTCGTGGAGCTCGAGTTGCAGCTATTAATACGCCGAGCTGCAATAGCATCGCTAGCCGCTCATCGCAGATCACGATGTGGCCCAAACGACCCTTCAATCAATCGCTACGTCCGGTTGGCAGCCCCACATCGACCGAAGCACCAGAGAAAGCGTCGGCCGCCGCGGATCATGCGCCAACAGACAATTATGCAAAGGACTTGCCTGCTCTGCCATAGTAAGTGTATCAGAAGACTACCCGAGGTTTCCCGTTTGCTTATTCATATACAGTGACTTGGACTCGACCTTGCACGGACAACCTGGCCATCTAACCGTCCTGCCATATTCACGCAATGATGATGACAAGAGATATTCGGCCGTATCGCCTTTGATATCGCCGGTGGGATCTGGGAATCGCGGTAGCGGAAGTAGCTTCTGCGTCTCGCCAATCGACGACACTGATCAACTTCCCCGCCACGAGCGCAATGACTCTCGGGCCTCTGCGCCTAGTTCCGCCCCTCCATCGCTGAGGGACGCTTCTCCATCGCCTGAATTATCAAAGCCCGTACCCAAAGGCGTCCAATTCGCGTCTAGTCACGATGATCTCTCGGGTGAGCCCAGCCATATCGGAAAGGCAAACCAAGTGAACCCGCAGAATACAAGCTCAAACAAGTCCTCTGGATCGCACACCTCCAACCTTCTCCACTGGGGGCGGGAACAACTCCACCCCAAGAAGAAACTCGCCCAAGCGCGCAACCGAATCAGTAGCTTCTCGAAGAACGAGCCCCCTGTACAACCGGAGACCAGAAGTCGATCATCATCACGTGTGTTTACACTAGGAGAGCATTCCAATAAACAATCTGGCACGGCGGACAAAGGCGCTAAATTGTCCAAACTGGGCTTCATTCCATCTGTCGTGACGACGATCACTGCTGGTGGTCCAAACGCATTGCCAGAGAGACCGGCCCCACGGTATCCCCCCAAGAGCAGCCGCCGATATCTGCCAGAATACAAGTTCGACACTGCAATCGACGACATGTTGCAGCCCCAACAACCTGCCGACCGCTTCGGCATCGTCAATACCGTTGCTCAGGTTGGCAGCCCACTTGAAGTGCCCAATGACGGCCCACGCGGCAGCCTCAACATTGAGCCTGGGCCTACGGACGATCTCTCTATCATGTCCCGACGGCGCCCAGTTCCAATTTCCTTGCCGACTTCGAAGAAGCCTGTACGAAAGCCTACTCCCTACGAGACAATCCAAGTCCCGGCCGTGGCTCAGCCTCCAGTGGACGATCGCCCCAAGGACCCTCAAAGTCGCATCGAATCCCTCGAGGCTAGACGGGATGAGCTTGCACGGCGCAGATTCAATCTGGAGACCGTGATCAAAGAGTTGACCCGGGTCATTCAACCTGACTCTTATGCATATGACCAGGCTGCCAAGGCAGAGGTGAAGAGGAGTGTGCAGAGCATCGAGAATGAGATCGCGGAGATCAAGAGGGAGGAGCACGAGCTTGGTATGAAGGTTACTAGGGCCTGGAGAAGGTTGGATGAGAAGGAAAACAATGGTGATGGGAGTAATCTTTGGGTCAAGCGCGTCACTAGTTAGGTGATGTTGCTTTTCTTATGGTAACTGGGTTGTTGACTCCGATTCTGTTCCATTGGATCACATTCATTTCTTGTCTTTTCTGATTTGGATACCCAGTCGTTTTACTTGCCAGCGTTTTCTTCCTGTCCAGGTGCTGCTGCTTCAAAGCTTCTCAAGCGTTCTTTTAATGTGTACACAGGCAAGCTGCCACTGATATCCTCATTCACGTGGGCTCCCTGTGTTTAATGACAGTTATTGACTTTTTTTTTTTTTTTTGAAATCTTCCGATATCGAAATAAATAGTATTCGTAAGATGTCAAGTGACAGGTGCTAGACATTGAAAGTGGAATCTAGGAACGGGAAATGTAGAACGTAACAGTAGCGCGGTGTAAATGCAGGCATGGTATTTGCTATAGTTGAAAGAAAATTCGCCACCCTCTTCGCTCTTATGGGACATGGCTCGTTTCGTTTGGATCGTAAAACGGACGGAAGATAATCATGTCATCCCGTTTATTTCTTGCCAGACTTCTTAATACCCTGCTGGCCGGTGTTGAGAGGGCCTTTCTTGCCCTTGGCCGCCTCCATCATGTCCTTCTTGGCCTTAGCATCTATAGGGCGTGTCAGAATGATAGCTAGCCGGCGTCAGTTGCAAAGAAAACATACCGGCTCTCAGCTTCTCCTTGTAGGCGAGCTCATCCTCGTCCAGTTCCTTCTTCTCCTTCTTGGCAGCCTTCAAGGGCTTGACCTTGCCACCTGGATTGTTGTTAATGAAGTTCTGTCTTTTGGGACTGGGGGATGTCACACACCTTCTCTGCTAGCGCCACCCATTTTTGCAGGTATGGAGGTATTGAAAGGACTGAGACTTGAGAGGAAAGAGAAAGTTGGTGTTTGTCGCAAAGGCGAAAAGAAAAAAAACCTCCCCGACACTTATCAAGCTGAGGGGTGGTACACCGCCTACCTAATTAGGGCTAACTCAGAGCCTGTCCCGATTCGGCGCGAAATACCGGCTTCTCATCTTGCTCTTTGACATACCTCATCTCAGTCTGGCCGAGTCCGATATTTGCGATTCGCACTTGCCCATAACTATCCCAGATATCTGCCCTCTCGACTATGCGCTTGGGATAATCGAAGCTTCTAGGCTTTGGTGTGAAGGCAGGCCCTCAAGCCGGTTGGACTTTCAATCATCCCCAAAGATTCACTTCGTCCCTGGAGCTTGCACTAACTGAGCGTTTCTCATCGAAGCCTCCTCCAAAGGCCTAAGAAGAGCCATTGCAAGCAGAGGAGGAAGTATCGGACGGTTATCTTCACGGCGATAAGTCGACAGCATGGCGTCACGTCGCAGGTCGAGCTCTCCATCGACCCCTTCTGAGGGTGAGATCATCGAATCGGGTTCAGAGACGAAGGCAACTGCGTCAAAACCTCCTCTTAATGGCACCAGCGTTGACCGTCCCCCCAGAGCTAGTTCACCCTCTGCGTCACTGAAAGGCAGTGGATCGCCCCGTCGACAGAGGTCATGGACCAGGTCGCGCTCGAGATCCGGATCTCGCTCACCGTACCGGGCTAGCAGAGGCAACAAGCGCAGGCGCAACGATGACTATGATGAGTACGAGACCCGGCACTCCCGGCACGAGCCGCCGCGACGTTACGAGTCGAGATACGATGATAGGCACAATGACCGAGGTATTCCCTCCCGCCGACCAAGGTCATACTACGATTATGACCGTGAGGAGAGCTATGGAGAAGGACTGCGTTACACCGACGATTACGATCGGCGCAAGGACAAGCGACAGCGAACCCGAAGCCGGTCCCCGTATCGCGATGGGAGAAAACCCAAGCGGTACGATGATCTGGATCCCAATAGGGAAAGCTCCGTGTCTCAATCGGATAGCAAGCAGCGCGGACCATCTGTGGGAAAATTAGTGAGCGAACAAGGAAAGACTCAGGCTGGCGTTCGTGACTCCAAATTGAGTGCTGAGACACGAAAGAATCAGGTGCAGCAGACTCTTCCTAGACGTGCACATTTTGCCGACGAGTATGTTTATATTTGCTCTTTTGATAATGAAGACCACGCGGCTAACCTATATAGGGTCGATACTCCTTCCGCATCGGAAGCTGTGGAAGAATCGCAACCAGAACCCATTGATGAAGCTGGTGCTCTTGAAGCTCGTCGTAAACGTCGCGAGGCAATTCGTGCTAAATACCGAAGCCAAGCGTCCCCTCTGCATCTTCAGGCCCTGCATGTTGATACAGATTCATCTACCGCAGGTTCGACTGAACCTGCGAGCGCGCAAGATACATCGGGTATGTTTAGAAACTAGAGGCAGAAAAGTTTAACACAAACTGACGTTCTTTTGTTTGCATTTTCAGATTCCCCGCGCTTGTCTCCAGCTCAAACCCCTATCGATCAGCCTGGTGAAACCTTTTCGGATTTCAAGATTGGCAAAGACACTGATCTTATCAACAACGATGCACCAGTGGATGGGTCTGGGAAGGAAGAACCTTCTGCTGCAGACTATGATCCGACATTTGACATGAAAGAGGATAGACAAAAGCATGGTATTCAGAACTCCAAAGACGATGTCTCATCAGCGTCATATGATGAGACACAGGCCACCAAACAGGACATTCTTATGCCAGATACTCCGCAGCAACCACCACCACCTAAGGCGAAAGATCCTTATGACATGTTTGCGGAGGACGACGATGACATGTTTGCTGAAGAGAAAGACGATCATCCAGCGCACGCATCAGCAACAGCCGTTCCACAGGCTCAAGAACTCGATATCAGCATGATGGACAACTGGGACGACCCCGAAGGCTATTACAACACCCGGCTTGGCGAGTTAATCAACGGTCGCTACCATGTGAAGCAAGTGCTGGGCAAGGGAATGTTTTCATCTGTTGTGCGAGCGCTCGACGAGAAGACCGGAAAATTGGTGGCCGTCAAGATCATCCGTCAGAACGACACCATGCGCAAGGCCGGTATGAAGGAGATTGGTATCCTGGAACAGCTTCTCGAAGCCGACCCAGATGACAAAAAGCACATCATCAAATTCGAGCGCTACTTCGACCACAAGGGCCACTTGTGCATGGTGTTCGAGAACCTGAGCATGAATCTTCGCGAATTGCTTAAGAAATATGGTCGCGACGTCGGGCTCAACCTGCGCGCAATTCGCGCTTACGCTCAACAGATCTTCCTCGGCTTGAGCCTCCTCCGCAAGTGTAACATCCTCCATGCCGATCTGAAGCCGGACAACCTCCTCGTGAGTGAGAATCGCAACATGCTCAAAGTTTGCGATTTGGGTTCGGCATCCTCGGCCTCCGACAACGAGATCACGCCCTACCTCGTCAGTCGCTTCTACCGCGCCCCCGAAATCATCCTGGGCATTCCATTCGACTACGCAATCGACGTGTGGTCAATCGGCTGTACGCTCTTCGAACTATACACGGGCAAGATTCTCTTCACGGGCCGAAACAACAACCAAATGCTACGCTCCATCATGGAATGCCGCGGCAAATACCCACCCAAACTGCTGCGCCGCGGCTCCCTGGCGCACATGCATTTCGACGACATGCTCAACTTCCACAGTATAGAAGAGGACAGGATCACCGGTCGTCCGGTGACCCGGATCTTGGATTTCAAGAAGCCCGAGCGCGACTTGAAGACCCGGTTGATGGGAAAGGGTACACGCGGGATGGCTGATAGTGATGCGAAGGATCTGACGCTGTTCGTGGACTTCCTTGATCGGTGTCTGACTCTTAATCCTGAAAAGCGGTGCACTCCTGCTGACGCGTTGAAGCATCCTTTTTTGACGCGGAAGTAGAGCATCTTCGATTCTAGCACAAATTCATAGGGAATATATCATATCACATTCCAAGGTTCCAAAGCTTAACGTAAATCCTCTATCTATGGCAGGTAACGTCCGGGTCCGAATTGAACGGAGGTTCAAAATTATCGCATCGTTATTGACCCTAACTCGTTGAAGGTAACAACTTTCAGAAGGGGACGAGAGCCCAACAGCTAAGAAAATTGACCACGATCCTCTTCGGTCGGGTGTAGTTACCAACACCTGGGCATGTTGAGGATACAATCAGCTTTCCTCCGGACCATCGCAAATGCTACCCAGTTACGTGGTTCGAACGAAATCAGCAACCAAACGGGTCTCTTTGTCTCGCAAGCCCCGGTTCCACTTTTTGTCTTTCGATGGTCTTTTTGGATTGATCGATAGACCTCGGTGAAGCAAGACCTTGCGTGATGCTGGATGTCCACGTACAGGTGGGATTGTTCCTATAGGATAACGGCCATCTTATCGAGATACGATGTGGGCTTTTTAGGCGGACTTAAGAGCTTCTAGCTGCATAGAAGGTGAGCTGCTGCGTCGGTTAGCGCGAAACGGCGGAGCTCGGGCTGTCGAAATGCTCCGGGTTCGAGCGGATGTGGTAGGCTGCTTATCGGCTTATGTACCTCCAAAGCTACAGTCTGCAGTCCTAGCAATGAATGGTATCTGTTCAATGCCTCTTGATCACCTCCAGGGCGAAGCAACATTTACATCATTTACATAGATAGGTAGGATAGGGGGGGGAATGTATTCCGGAAGAGGGAGACATCCAATTAGGAGAGAGTTCCTTCGCAACGAGCATATCTCGATTGATTCTATATCACGGCAGAACCTTGCAAGGAAGTGGGTTCGCTGCACCTTCCACCGCACTAGCAGCTGCCGGACTCCTCCAACGTATCTACATGACAGATGAGCAGTTACTGTGTAGATATGATGTAGCAACTCAACGTGTTAACCCTCACTTCCTCAGGCCGCAGTCGATGCCTCAGGACGCACGGGGCAAGAGGGGGGACAGTGGAGGTGATTTCCGTGGCAACTTCAATCGAAGCTAGCATGGGGTCGGGCAAGGCAGAGGCAAAGGGTAGCGACATGGGGAAATGGCCACACCCAATCACCCACCCGGATTTGGCTTCGACGCCATGTGTACAAGGCTTAAAGCGGGGCGGAGATGCATTTCACCGACATCATGTCGACTGCAAACGAAGAAAATGCCAAATCTATCGAATCAGCACATAAAGTATAAGTCGTCTCCTTCCGCATTGGCTCAGGCGCGAACCTTTTCTCAGATGGAAAGGCCAAGATGGTTCACGGTCCCGGGTCCACGGATCTACTGTACTCCCGCACAGTCCAGCCTCCTCAAATGCCCCCCAGCTGTCTGTCTCTTTCCCCCCGGATCCGAGGGGATTCTAGATCTGCACGGCGGATCACAATCCACGGTTCCAGTCTCCAGATTTGACCCATCACAAACGGTTGCCCGTTTATCCCTTTGCTCAACCGGGGGTTACATGGATGCTGTCAGGTTTTCCCCTTCGCTCCCTCGTTCCATTGCCCGAAACGGTACTCATTAATATCGACGACGGGTTGGGAGTCGGTGGATGACAGCCGATTGGATGTTTTACGAAATTGCGTAGCCAGTGAGGAGTGAATGGGAGGATACGACCATATGAAAAAGCGGCGATTCAAGCTGGTTGGATGTCCTGGTTGGATGTCGGCATGCAGCTGAGCTCAGGCTTGCATGGATATGCAATTATCTACCGGGAGTATGTACAGTATGGGAGGCCTGAGAACTACGAAATGGGCGTGGGCAGGTGTTTGATGCCAAAGTGGACCTCGGGAGTGTTCTGGAAAGTGACGATCTCCAGGGCGCTGCTCGCTTTTGCCACCTACATGTAGCACACCAGTGGCAAAGGAGGAAGGAAAGCCTCGCGAAGTATTCCGCGACCCGGGCAAAGTGGTGATGATAACTTGAGCTGGATGATATCAAAGATGTGTTTATTTTGTGGGTCTGGTGATTCATGTTTCTCTTCATCCCCTGCGACGAGCATTCCGCCACCTGCAGGGTGATCATTGTGATCATTGTTGATGGGGCATTGCTCGCATTTCTGTGATTTCTGCATTTTCGCCTGGGCCAGGGGAGATAGTTCTACACTAGGTGCATTTTTCAACGGCGATCGACCAGACTGGTAATATGTAAGGTAGAAAAGGGGTGTAGCGGTGAAGGGCGCGAGTGCAGAATCCTGGGGTACATGACGGGAGATGTGATGCGTCAGCGCTCAGATCAGGTGATCCTCTTCGACTGACTTCATGCCGTGGTTGTGCACTGGTGAGCATCCCCCCTGTAGGCGCCGGTCCTGTATCTACAGTACGGAGACAGTGGTCACGGTGAGTCGCACAGGTCGACAGATGGTCCATCCACCCAATGACTCCCCAACACCAGAACGGCCAGGGCCGGTGGGCCCGTGCCAACGATCCACTCGTTCTCGAAACCGACCGCCCCAGACAAATGGTTGGCCGGGGCGGCCCTCCTCCCATCGCCTCACTTCTGCCCAGGAGTTTCACTGCCTCAGGTGCCCTGTGGGTGGAGAATAAAGTTGGAGACTCCGACCGGGACTGAGTAGGTCCAGAACCGGGTCTGGAAAATACGGTGTGGCAGGATTACGGACACCTTCCCAACAAGGCCCTCCTATTGGAAGCTCGTGAAACGGGAGCCAGAGTTGGAACCGCGAGATGGGCTGGGACTGAGGAACCGGATGAGGTGGCGGAGTCTATTGCCACACGTCGAGTCAGAACGGGTCACAGACAAAGGCAGCACGCAGGGAAAAGGGGAGGGGGGGGAAGCAGCCTGCAACGCCAGTCGATCGTTATGAGTCTCCACTCCGGTGAATCGGCCGCCTGCCAATCAACGAATGCAGGTGGCGCCTGCGATGAGCGGACAGCGTGGCATCTCATTGGGACAGAGAAGAGACCCGCATGGTATGCACACCGCTACGAGCCAACAGAGCCACGGTGGCCTGGGCTTTGGAGTCCACATGGGGGCCGCTGCGTGGTCCTTGGGGCACTCGACGCATCATCGATATTTTTATCCTTCCCGCCCCCCTCTATAATCAAAACATCCTATACCTTTATTCTTTACCTACCTGCCGACCTCTCTACCTCCATCATTTACTTCACCCTCCTACCTCTTACTTGATTACTCTCGACTCTCCTTTTGTTTATTCTATCCTTTGGACCCTTGGATCCGTGGAATGGACTGAATCTTGAATGCCGTGGATTTTGGACCGTATATAAACCCCCTGGACTACGCTCACCTCATCTATATCCTTAGATTTGAGGTTTTGGATTTCTCCCTTCCCTTCCTTACAATGTATCCTGCTATGCTCCCAACTCCTCCGCCCTCTCCGACTCCCCGCTGCTATGCTCCCGAGGACCGCTTAGGATTTATCTTGGCCAACCGGCTGGAGCTCACCGGGATCCTGGGCGTCGGTGCGTACGGAGTCGTCTACACGGCCGTGGACATTCACACCAACACTCGCTATGCCGTCAAGGCCCTCAACAAGGCCGGGCTGGATCCCCGGCAACTGAAGTACCAGCAGCGTGAGATTCGCCTGCACCATCTGGCCAGCCAGCACCCCAACGTCGTTTCCCTGGTTCGCATTATGGACTCCTTGGATTGCACCTACGTCGTAATGGAATTCTGCCCGGAAGGTGATCTGTTCTCCAGCATCACCGACAAGGGGAACTTTGTCGGCAATGATCCTCTGGCCAAGCGCGCGTTCTTGCAGCTGCTAGATGCCGTGCAGTTTTGCCATAACCTTGGAATTTACCACCGCGATCTCAAGCCTGAGAACGTCCTGGTGACGGACCAGGGAATGACCGTCAAGCTAGCGGATTTCGGCCTGGCCACCACGGACTACTTCACCTCGGATTTCGGATGCGGTTCAACGTTCTACATGTCGCCTGGTAAGCCATCCCGGATCGCCCCCGTCATCGGAAACCGATCTAACTAACCTATGTCCAAACAGAGTGCCAGCAGACCAACCCTCGCCCCATGTCCTGCTACGCCTCAGCAGCCAACGACGTCTGGAGCCTGGGCGTGATGCTCGTCAACCTGACCTGCGGTCGCAACCCATGGAAGCGCGCCTCGTTCGAGGATTCCACATTCCGGGCCTACCTCAAGGATCCGTCCTTCCTAAAGACCATTCTGCCCCTGTCCACGGAGATGGTGTATATCCTGTCGCGCGTGTTCGAATGCGACCCATCCAAGAGGATCACCATCCCGGAACCGCGCCAGCTGATCGTGGAGTGCCCCTACTTCACCGAGACACCCGTGGCCCCCTGGGTGCCGGACCAGATTCCTCAGGACCTCTTCGTCCAGCCTCAACCCTTCGCTGCCGTGGAACCCCTGCATGCCCAGCCTTCCGGCTCCTCCTCGGACTCGTCGCACTACTCGGACTTCTCCGAGTCTGCCGTCTCCGACACTTCTGCTCTCACCGAGGACTACTCCGACTACAACTGCATGTCGCCCGTCATCTCCGAGCAGGTCCAGGTTCCGGACTGCAAGGTCGTGTTTCCCCATTCCATCTGTGTGGATCACTCTATCCCCACGGATACCTTCACGGGACACCCCATTTCGGTCTGCTGAATCTGAGGCCACCTACATTCTTCCCTTAACGCAGCTGTAACGACTATAACGCCCCATTCTCTACTTTTCTTCTTACGGAGTTTTTGCATTCGACTATTTCGGCACATTTCTCCACATGGATCTTTACCCAAAAGCTGCTCCCCCAAAAAAGGTCTCGCCGAGAATTACCCTGGACTCGGCCACCAGCTTTTTTACCTTTTAACCTGGACATATTTTCCACATTTTCTTTTTGGACAAAAAAATCTCGTGGCTCAGCGATCGTGACTTTTCGGGATCGTCCACTGGATCCTGGGCCAACCATCTGACCACATGTCCACCGTGACCGGTCAGCTTGGATTTCTTTTCTACTGTTCTAATATTTTCAATATTTCCTACATATCGGTGGATATTTCTTTTTGATTTCGCTAAATCTGGCGTCATAATATATTGGGAGACACGACTGCAGCATATCGCCCCTGGGAGGGCTGTGTTTGACGACACATTTTTGTTTTTTGTTTTTTTTTTTGTTTTTTGTTTTGTTTTTTGAATAACGCAAGGGTCGTTACGGCGTTGAATCTACTGTGGAAACGGATGTGAACGATTTTTAATTCTCTTGTCTATTTTCGGGAAAGGATTTTTATATTTCTTTTGGTGTGGTTTTTACGGGTGGCTGGAAACTCTCGGACTTTTTTGCATCTGTGCATAGACTCGGCATGGTTGGATTTTTATTACGATATGATACCTTGGGCAAATGGAGCGATACTTGCATCACTCAACACTCTTTCCTTTTTCAGTGCTTACATGCTTTGGCTCGGTGCGGCCTCACCCCGTACCACGTTGCGCCGTGCGACCTGCCCGTGCCGCCGAGCGACCTGCCCGTGCCGCCGACTCGACGGGACCGTTTCGTGTGGGCGTTCAGATGGCTTGTGTCAGTGTAAGATGTGTCTTGTGTAAGATCCGTTGCTGCCCAAGTGAGACTTAAAAACGTTCTGAGCACCAACCCAATTAGAGTGTGTTATGTCACGAGGACCTTAGTTACCTTAATGTATTTAACTAAACTAATTCTTAGTCGGCTATTATGTACGATATCACATATTTCCAAGGTCAGAGAGCCTATACAAAGAGATTTTGATTCCCTAATCCGTAGCTCCTCGAATGAGGAAGTTTTTACATATTACGCCCTCCAGTAACCCGGATCGTCTCGCCGTTAACGTACGAGAAATACGGGCTCGCAACGCCGAGAATAGACCTCGCCGCCTCCTCGGGACTCGCCGGGCGACGCAGCGGGATGTCGGGATAGGAGTCCACCTCCACACCCTTCTTAGTATCCAGCTGCTTGCCGGGGATACCCAGGGCAACCTTGGTGCCGTCGGGGGTGGTGATGAAGGCACCGGCCTCCTTAGCGGCGGTCAGACGGGTGGTCACGTAGCCAAAGGCAATGGTGTTGGAGCGCACGCCGAAGGATGGGCCCCATTCTTTAGCGATTGTCTTGGTCAGGCCCACGACTCCGGCTTTGGCGACGGCGTAGTTGGCTTGGCCTCTGTGGGGGTATGTTAGTGTTGGTTTCCAATGCGGATATCAGGGATAGATGGGATCCGGGGATAAAAAGAGGACATACGCATTGCCGTGGATGCCGCTCGTGCTGCTGATGTTGATCACCACACGCGGCTCCTGGTCCTTCACGCGGAAATACGGGGCCGCAGCGCGCACCAGCCGGAAGGGCGCGGTGTTATGCACAGCCAGCATAGTATCCCATTGCTTGTCGGTCATCTAGATAGCAAGTCAGTCAAAGTTCCAGAGCTTGTTGGTACATCATAGTTCGAGACACACCTTGTGAATAACACCATCCCAAGTAAAGCCGGCATTGTTAACAATAATGTGAATCTTGCCACCACCAAACTCGGCGGCTTTCTTAACAAGCTCCTCGATATATTTAGAATCCAGAACATCGCCCACAACGGCCAGAGCGCGGCCGGGCCCGGCAGCGTTGATGGCGTCAGCGACCGTATTGGCCTTTTCTGTAAGCGGGATTAGAACAAGCTCCGGAGTCATGAATACTACATCACGAAGGTTCAATGGCGTCCGGATCAGTGTCACACGTACTCGCGTCGATGTCTGCAACTACCACTTTCGCGCCTTCGTTCGCGAACAGCCGCGCCGCTTCGGCGCCGATGCCCTGTCCTGCGCCGGTGATGATAGCTACCTGGCCGGCGAGCATGCCGGCCGGGTAGTTGAGGTGCTTGTTGACTTGGTTGAGACGGTCGGAGGGAGCCATAGTTGTGTTTGTATGGCAGGTGAGGGGAAGTCGAGGTTGGGGATTTATACATGGGGAAACTCGGCGATAGCAAAGTACCGAGGCACGCCGCGGACCGAAAAAGTGTGGGGTTGCCAAAACTACTACAGCACGAACATAGACACACGATATAGGCTATTTGCTGGACCTTTGTTCCTTCCAACGAATTAGCTGGTTTGCGTTTACGCTCGAGCTGTGAATCGCCTATCCCCTCTACAAAACGTCCCTCCATTAGGGTACAAAAACCTCTCGGCATCCGCCCTCACATTAGAAAACATGTACAGTATGAGTCAAGTAGTATCGTCTTGTGAACTGCATTTCGATCTGCAGATACATTCGTTGGATGAGACGGTGAGCAGGAATGCCTCCACGGTAGCTTCATAGTCTGCGATGATGGGTAAGAGACAGTTGTTTGCCGGGCCGTTGCCCACCATGTCCGGGTACAGGTCAGACAACGCAGCGCCGAGGTGATCTGACGAAGCCCAGAATTGACTGACCTCGTCGGGTGCTATTTTCTCGGGTCCTTCGCACTCGGCGAGCTTCGGAGCGTCAAAACAGACTGTATTGATGGCGGCGGTCATTATGGACAACACTTCACGACATTGAAGGAGCAATCCGCGAAGAAGAAAAGTGTGAATTTGCCGACTTTCTTCCTGGCATACCTCGTAATATCCATACCTGATGTCAAGGTCGTGCTCCGCCCTCGGGGTCCGAGACGTCTCGCGAGAGACCCAGTACTCGAACAGTTGCAGAGTCAGATTGAGCACGGAGATGACAAGTAACGAATTAGCACTGTCTTTCGCGCATTTGACACACTGCAAATATATATGGCATGCACCGAAGGTGGCTTTGATGGCCTGGAGACTGTGATCGAATCTGAGAGGTAGGGATTCGGCGAGTAGATGATTGAGTCGGTTCATATGGAACAGCTGCATATCTACACATTCGCACGGGCCTGGATAAGGTGAGGATACAGATTCGCCAAACGGTGGGCTTGCTAATCCGTCTGCTAGAGGGTCTGACGGCAAGAAGGTCGGGGTCACTGGCGTATGGGGGTACCCTAAACCGACGGGTAGAGTAGGACACGAGTCCATCAGATCGGCAAAGGGGGAGCCATCGACGGCCAATTGCGAAGGGCATATGGGCGTCTCCAGTACTGCTGCACTGCCGAAACTTTGAGGACTCTCCCAAAGTCCCGGTGGACCATGAATCAAGCAAACCTGAGCGAACATAGACCTCAGAGCTAGTCATCGGACCTGAAGCAAAGGGACTTACGTCGTTGTCCACCATTGAATTGGCTATATACCCTGAATGTCCCCCGGCGAGAGGCTCTCTATCAACCACGCGAGGCGGCCGAGTCCCACGGAACCCACGCATCGGCGGCTTATCCTCCTGCAACTGGCCCAACTTCCGTAGCGTCGCGCGGTTCTTACTTCCCTTCGGTTTGCCGGATCGATTGGCAAAGCCGTACAGGCACTGCAGGCCATGGCGCAGACACCGCATACACACGTTCTTGCCGGACAAATTGCATTTCACCTTGGACTGCCGACAGTTCTCGCAGGCCGTTCGGAGTTTCGGTGCATCGCTGCCGGCATACGGACCTGGGGCTCCAGACTGGGTGAGCATCGGGAGGAGGTAGACTAAATGATCGAATATATCAAAACCACGGAGTATTTGTTATATTCCTAGTGATCAGGGGTATTGTGCATTTTAAGGCCCCAGGTCTGACCACAAGTAGTACTCCCATCGTATATATAAGAGAAACAAAACAAGCTCAAGCTTCAGAGAACCAGCTCGCTCAAAATGTCACACTCGCATTCGGATTCCTGTACCGACGGCAGCCGCATCAAGAGGTCAGCCGCTGTGAAACCTCAGATGCTTTCCATCTGATCAACCGAGCATGGACAACGAGCAGAAAAGCGTTCTCGACCTTACAACCGCCACGTCGGTATGTCCCAGACCCAATTGGGAAATGCGTTGGCGCTGCTGCTATTCCGGAGTAGTGTTCAGGGCAAAAGCCGGCTCTCGGGTACCGTATGTTCCTCTTGGGAAGGGGTTCCTCCCCCAGTCGCACACCCTGATGCAACATCGAAAATAGCCTTGATTCTTGTCCGGTTGATGACCGGGTTGGCTCGTCGCCTAGACCGTCACCGTCACCTACGGCCACGACCGTCTCTGACATTCACGAAGCTTGCCAATGGTCTCAGAACCCTATCTACTCCCATAGACGGAAACGCCATATGAAATGCAGCAGATCTGGCTGACCAGTCCCAGCCACGGCTTTCACTAAACGACCTGTGTTCACCGCATCCTCAGACCGTGCGTCATCGTTGCACATCACGAACCGGGTCATCAGCAGGGTCGAGGTGAGAGGAATATACTACAATGTTTCATTCCATACTACCTCTAAAATGCTATATGCTGTCCAACCTCGCCCCTCCTCCCCAAACCCGTCGTCACGACTCAGCCGCGTGGAATCTGACAAATCTCGGCAACCCCGCTGTGCCGATAATCAAACGCCTTCAAGAGTCCCGTCAAATGCGCTCCCGCTGCACACACCACCAGTATATGGAAGATCTGATGCGAGCTGCCCCAGATATCGAATTTGCCGGGGTATAGTCTTTCCGGCACTCGCGCTGCGTAGATGCCCGCTCCCAAAACATACAGGAAGCCCTGGAGTAGTAGCCAGCTGAGACCAATCTGCCCGCGCATGCGGTCGAAACCAAAGACGGTCAGCCCATGGAGCACCGGGAAAACGGCCGACAGGCCCATCCCGACAAACATGGCTGCACGGAAGGGCCGCCAGCCGGGAGTCCGGAACCGCGGGAGAATGGAAACGATCATACAACCGAGACCGATTGTGCAGATCATGGTCCAGTAGCGGTGCTGCAGTTCAGGAACGCAGTAGAATCCGTAGAAGATACTTGGGACGAAACTTCCCACGATAAGTCCCACGATGCCGATGTAGTCGAGCGAATTGCCTATGCGCGCCACTGCTGGTGAGTGGTTAGAGATGGTGTGGTAGGTTGCGGACATCCCAAGACAGAATGCAGCTCCCGCGAAGAAGCAGCTAAACGCTAGGATGTCCGAGTCGTTCGCCGTGTGATAGCGCGGCGCTAGGGCATAGTAGAGCTGGTACGCCGCAGGAGCCGCCAGCATACCGGGTAGCAGATGGGTGTAGATGTTGACTGTCTCATTGTGGATGTAGCCCAATGATTGGAACGAGCCCAGAAACGAGGACGAGGCAGGTCGATATCCAGTATGGATATGGACGTTATCGCGTTGCCAGTGCTCAAGATCGTCCCAATGCAGAAGCTTCTTGATGAATTTGGGCGGGTCTTCCAACACTGGAGACAGAGACTGACTGTTTTTCTCCTGAACAGGACGACGCTGGCGAGACATCTTCACATGCACGTCAGATGCAGGGTACGAGGTTTAAAATTCAGCGGATCAGCCACGTATATGCACGACAGGTAAGCAGTTCAACGGTGCGCCATATGCTTCCTTTTTATGAAAGAGAAAAGAAAATTCAGATATCAGAAATCAGAAAAAAACATAGAAGAGCGTTGAGTAGTTGGGAAAGTAGATCCACGGGTTGGGACCTCGGTGCAAACCGGCCAAACATCGATCCACATGTTTCCCCGCGGCTTCATCTCGATGCTTCAATCACAATGTCCAAGCAGGGAAGTCGGTTGCGGCCACCACCACTGGCGGCTGATTCGCTGGCGAATGTGGGGTTTGTATCCAAGGGAGACAAGAAGTATGGCTAGATACAATCCTTTCGAGAACACCGTTGACATGTGATCAACAGGCTACTCAACTATCCCGCGCAGAAGGAATACTTCGACAAGATCACCAAGCGGTACTTGCAGTTCTGTGCAGACCACAAGGGAAATCTTGATGCCGCACTTGCCTCGCTCCCCATCAACTCCTCGAACGATGCCACCTCCAACCCACCCGCCGCCGGGCCATCAACGAAGTCGAGCCCCGCAGTGAAAGGGATCCCCTCACCATCCGCGGAGCTATCTACGCTTCTCCTCTCGCTTCGCAAGCTGCGCGAGGCCGTACTGGCAACATCTGCATCGACACCGGTCGACTTCTCCCAGAAAGTCCACTACTTTTCAATCCGCCTATCAATCCTTGCCCAACACCCTCCGTCCTATTTCCCTTCTCTGCGATACAGCCTCGACAAATTACACTCCACTTCGCACCCTTTCGAAGACTCCGAGATCAACGAACTACTCTCATACATGATTCTAGACTATGCCTGCCGACAAGGAGACATGGGCGCGGCCTTTGATCTGCGCGCACGAGCACGCAAGGAGCACAAGTTCCACTCACAGACCGTCGACCAAGTCCTAACTGCATTGATGAATGACAATTGGATTGCCTTTTGGAGAGTGCGGAAGGGCGTGGACTCGTATGTTCGGGCTGTGATGAATTGGGCCGTCGATCGAGTCCGGAGACATGCCTTGAAGGCTGTTGGTAGTGCCTATCTCAATGTCCATGTTAGTTGGATCGTCGGTGGGTGCACGGGCGATGACGGGGACTGGACGTGGGATAAGCTTGTCGAAACGGAAAAGCTCGGTTGGCAGAAGGAAGGGGACAACGTTATTATTCGACGGCCTAAACCGAGGCCTCCGCCTCAGGCGGCCCATGCACATGCTCAGATGAGTGCATCAGTTTCATAGGCATACGAGCATTTTGTTGGCGTTGGTTTTGGATGCATGGTGTTCAGGATGGTATTATTATTGGGGGCCCATTCATGAAGGTTTAATTGGGTTCAATCAAGATTATGGTCACTTTCAATTGGTATCATAGCTTAAAGTCTGTGTTTGATCGGTCCAGGTTGGTCTGTCCTGAAACCGGTTGATTGGCGATAGTGCCTGCTAGCTGCGCTTTCAATTGTCCAGCACCGTCGGAGCAGAGCTCGTAGATCGTTGACAGGTTGAAGATGAGACTTCCAAATGAGTGGTTGGCCGAGATCTGAGACTCCAGGAGTTCGCGTGCCTAGAAAGGTCGTTAGTTGGATCATCGATCAGCCACGGTAAGACGCTCGGCATACCTCATTCAGCTTGCCGGTGTAGAGAAGACACACGGCCAGATTCTGTGCGATCAATCCCCCGTCCGTTCTCGTATTATCTCCTTGGAGAGAACGCCACTCAGTTACTGCATCGCCATACCGACCATCGGACATGCTAAGGAGTGGTTGTAACAGTGCTGCCTCCTTGGAGTCGTGAGTATCGCCGAAAACCCGCTCGGCAGCATCAATATCACCAATTCGTAGGAACAAAAGCCCCTTCCTTAATTTCATGATATCGGACTCGGGTCCAGACTCCCGCAGACTTTCAAGCGATCTTTTCGCCGCATCAAGATCACCCATCTCTACCAACGCATTGACGGTTCTTATCCCAAGATCTGCCAGTCGCTCTCTCCAGATCTTTCTTGTAGCATCGTCGGTTTCGGGTCTCATAACCTTCCGCCGTGCTTCCATTCCTAGCTCATATAGACCTCCAATACTCCTGCGCGAGTCGCCGAATCCGATGCTTTGAAGTCTGACAGCCAAGACGCGAAGCGGCCAGGGGACGATATGGCGAGGAGTGTGTTCATGTTTTCCATCAGTTTCAGGTGAATCAAAGCTCGAGTCAATAAAGTAAAAGGCAGAGTTCAGATCCTCCAAAGCTTTGGACTCCTGGGCTGCCAGGACTGTATTCCCAGATAGTTCCAGACAGGCTAAGCGGGTGTAGAACAAGGAGAAGATAATTCTAATGTCCGTAGGAGAAATCAAAGAGGATGTCAGGATTGAGCCTGCGAAGTGTGCAGCGATTAAGAAGCGACCTTCCACCAGTAATTTCTCTAGAACGCTGAGAGATGCTGATAGCGGTTCGCTGGGGTCGAGGACAAGGAACTCGGAGCGTAACGGAGAGGGAATATCAATTTGAGAAAGCGGGTGAAAGATACTGTGTCGTAGGAGAAATGAAAGATCTTTTCCAAGCGTCTCTGGTAAGTCATCGGGGGCCAGTGGATCTAGTTCGTGAAAGGAGTTGCCGGAGAAGTGGTCGCTGCCGGAGAATCCTTGTTTGCTTGTTTCTGGAGAGTTTGGCATATTCGATGATGCCAGGGGACTAGTGAGCGTAAGCTATCATGAATTCGGTGATCCCGAAGTTTTATAGCGCAACTTACTCGTCCAATTCATCTAAGGGTCCCCGTGTTGAGCTGCGGGGTCGTGAAGCTGGGGAATTGATCAGCATTGTTGGAGCGACATCAAAATTGCCCGATTTGAACTAAAGCATCTTACATCTGGAGACATTGTGATGATGTTTTTGAGTGGGCGACGCCATTTCTGCAAGTTGCGCTCGATAGAAACGAAGCAGAGCAAGTTGTTGTACGGAGCTGCCGATAAGCTATCGATTCTGCCAAAAGCGGTGGGCCCCCGATCTGGCGAGTTGGCGCGACTTGTCCATCCCCGAGTCAACAAGCTACTCGCCATTCGTTCCCTACTTTCTTTTATTTTGCTTGATTTCTACCCGTGGACATTAATTGAGCTCTGCATACATCTAATTCAAAATGGGTGCCACCAAGAACAAGTACTCGGTCATCCTTCCGACCTACAACGAGCGCAAGAACCTCCCTATCATCACCTGGCTGATCCAAAGGACCTTTAACGAGAAGTATGCGCTTGAAACTAATCGCATATCGAATCTTATAACTGACAGTGCTTCTCTCTTAGCAACTTGGACTGGGAGATTGTGATTGTGGATGATGGCTCCCCTGACGGCACCCTCGAGATCGGAAAGCAGCTCCAGAAACTCTACGGCCCCGAGCACATCAACCTGAAGCCCCGCGAGGGCAAGCTCGGTCTGGGAACGGCCTACGTCCATGGTCTGGTCCACTGCACTGGTAACTTCGTTATCATCATGGACGCCGATTTCAGCCACCACCCCAAATTCATCCCCGAGATGGTCCGCATCCAGAAGGAGACCGACGCCGACATTGTCACCGGTACCCGATATGCAAACCGTGGAGATATCAAGGGTGGTGTCTACGGCTGGGATCTGTTCCGGAAGTTCACCTCGCGCACCGCCAACCTGATCGCGGACGTGATGCTGATGCCCGGTGTCAGCGACTTGACCGGTAGCTTCCGGCTGTACAAGAAGCCCGTCCTGGAGAAGGTCATCACCAGCACGCAGAGCAAAGGGTACAGTTTCCAGATGGAGATGATGGTTCGTGCCAAGGCTATGGGCTACAAGGTGGCCGAGTGCCCAATTACTTTCGTGGATCGCCTGTACGGCGAGAGCAAGCTGGGCGGATCCGAGATCGTCGAGTACCTCAAGGGCGTGCTGAACCTGTGGCTGAAGGTTTAAAATGACACGCCGAGCAGACGCATTGGCTTGTCTAGCTGTGCGCACTCATGCGGGCCGTTTGGTGTCAGCTTCTGGCGCCGTAATCTGGACGGGTCCGTGCTTCGATATACCCCATTTTGACCTCTCTTATTTCCGATCCTCTTTACGCCTGGGCGGTGTTTGCATGTCTGTTCAATCATTCTGTGGGTTGATAGAAAACCTATGTTCCAATTTCACGTTCTATGGATTCTTCAAGTTACCCCGAAATAGCGGCGTAGATGTATATCCTCACTTTCACAGGCTCATCAGGTATCGCAAGACGCGATCAATCAGGTCTTTCTGGCCTTCATCCTGGACGTTGTGGCTGGCGCCAGGAACGACGCCGCTGTTCTCATCCCACTTAGCACCTCCGGCCTCAGTCGCCTGCTGCCATCGCTGCATCAAGCGCTCCTTTTCCACCCACGGTGGGCACCACTCATCACTGCCCGAATAGAGTACCAGCAGCTTCGATTGCAAAATACCACGGATTCCAATTTGGCCAAAAGTCTCCTGGAGACGCTTGTCGTTCAGGTCAGAGCTGAACAGGTCATCCTGGGATGGCTTCTCGGGGCTATCCGGGCTGACCAGACTCAGGAATCGGCGGGCACTAAGAGGCGCATCACCGGGCAGACCAAGCTTGGCGGTCATTTTCATGGGAAGAATGGAGTCAAATTGATCCGCGGTCCACGGTTCTATCTTGGCAGAGCTCACGAGCTGGTCATATGCACTGCGGGCCTCTTGAGGATCATTCGCAGACTTCAAGATTGCCTGCACCGCTTCACGGTCAGATACGGGCGCTTGCATGATGGCACCGTCGAGCTCTGGGCGATGCATATACTGAAGTCCGATGTCACGCTCCGTCTTGGGGAGCGGGTTAGGCGCGTGAAGGTAGTGGAGGACGTCCTGGCTACCGGTAGAGTGGCCCATGACAACGATTTTGCCGTGCTTTGAAGTAGCCCCGGGAATTCGATCGGCCTTGAGATCGCGGATGAATCTCACACACTGCCCGAGCTCTTCTACATCGCGGTCGAGGCTGCTGAGCCCGAATCCATTGTACGAGGAAGTCAACAGGAGAGAGAACACCGACCAGTCTGTGTCCTCCAGAGCCGCAGCCAGCTCACATACATAGGGTACGGTGCAGAAACCATCAGTCAGACCACCCACGAAGATCAAGCTGTTCTGCTTGCTGCTCGCTTTGGCGGGCGAGGTGAACTCGAAGGCTACCAGCCTGGGAGCCTATCCTGTACCATTAGCTTGGGATTTTTAAAGAAATTAAGAGTACCATACATATTCGTGAAGAACTCCACTGTGCGACGGTCCACGGTCTCCTCTGGAAGTCATTGTTGCTAGAAGGAAAAGGGCCGAGAAGAGAGAATGGAACAAATGATCCGTGATTGACGTATCCGACCCACCGCGGGGCTTGATGATCAGGACTCCACGGTCCTCCTTTCAATTCGCCGATAACATGCTCACCTCTCCATAAAAAGTATCCCTGATCCTTTATATGGGCTTTGTCGGCTCATCAGATAACGGCCCTCTCAACCGTGGGAACTAGCGCTGATGTCATGGAGCGCCGCGAATACGCGTGAGCTGGCAGGGTTTCGGCGGGCCGTGCGGTTTACATCGTATCCCAAATGAGTCAACTTTGGATTGTATTTAACGAACTCGATCGCCCTAATGAATACTGTTAAGATATCACCGTCATGATAAAATCGCCCAGATTTACCCTCCGCCGCAATTACTGCCCCGGTGTAGTCCGATATACTAGCAGCGATGCACGAGACAGCCAAACCTTGGGCCTGCCCGACGGCCGCACTCTGGGATTCGCTGAATGTGGCCGACACGATGGTTTTCCGTTGATGTTCATGCACGGTTATCCTTCTTGTCGCCTTGAAACCCTGGGATTGGACGAATTAGCCCATCGTCACCACCTTCGCATAATCACACCCGACCGTAACGGCTACGGCCTAACCACCTTCAATCCAAACCTTCGTATCTTGGATTGGCCGGCTGATATCCAGGCACTTGCCCGTCATCTTGAGCTAGAGCGCTTTGCTGTTCTGGGCGGCTCTGGGGGGAGCCCGTATGCTCTGGCATGCGCACATCTTCTGCCTCACGAGATGCTCTCCGGAGTGGGAATTATGGCTGGCGCAGGACCTTGGGAGGCTGGCGCGCATCACATGTCGCTTCCGTATCGAATCAGTGCCATGACGGTACATTATTGGCCGTCGGGATATGGAGGGCTATTGAATCTGATGATCTGGATGCTCAGACGAGCACTATCCTCCCCATCTGGAGTTTCCCGGGTGGATAAGTGGCTGGATGAGCGTAGCGAAAAGCTCGACTCTGAAATTTCGACCAAAAGGCGAAGGGAAATCCTTGCTCGCCAGGTACTCGAGGCGTTCCGCCAGGGCGCAGCCCCAGCTGTGCATGATGCGCAATTGTTAACGTCGAGTTGGGGTATCAAATTCGAGGATGTCACTTACAACAAAGTGCAAATATGGCACGGAACCCAGGATGCGAATGCACCAGTGCAAATGATGCGCTATATGGCTGAGCGCCTGCCTCATTGTGAGCTCCATGAGTTCGAAGGGGACACACATTTCACGCTACATCGTCATCTGGATCGGGTATTGACGGAGCTGGTCCCAGAGCACTCTCGCACCAGCATTGATGTATAGGAGAGGTATTGGGCTCAGAAAATTTGTTACATCCCTCAGCCCTCATTGGCGATGCGTGAGACCTTTATGTATAATAGACCTTACTCCCCTCTTTATAGAACTGGTCGAAGAGCCTCTTCGATTGCGCATATTGAATGCGGTTCATACTGCGTATAACAGTCAGGTACGATGGCTCTTAACAATGCAAGCATGAATATATTCACCAGTCCATTTCTTTATCGAATCTCATTCAATCTGGAGGGAAACCCTTCATCTTATGTTGCGTAGAGATTTCTGGGATGAACCGCAGGACACTGCAGACATCTGGTTGTATCCAACATCATCAACTAAACGCCAGTTGCCAAAATGATGTATAGGACCATCGGTGTCTGACAACTTAATATTCTTCACAAAGCGACCCTCGATTAATGGCGTATACTTGACGGAACTTGTTACAAGTTCCACGGCTTGCAACGAGTGTGGGGAATCTGTCCCGATCGGGTATAGCGTGACTGAGCTTCTTTAACGGCAGAGTCAAGCTCAAGCATTCCTATGCTCGCGAATCGCGCCACTTTACTCTGCTGCTACATCTTTACATCTGGCTGTGTCGGATAAATACTACCCTAGGCGGCCTGCACCGCTGTTTGCATGTTGATGGTGCCCCCGTTCCCCCTTCGCTGAGATGCCGCTCTCCCGCAGGTCAGGCCGCGTCAAGAGCTCCCGGACGAAGTACACCGTGGACCCATTCGCGTCAGCTGGTATCAGTGATGACTCCGACTCTGAAAAAGTGGCAAAAACCCCCAAGGGAAAGGCGAGGCGACGGGCAGAAGATTCAGCCTCTGATGAAGAATTTGTCGCGCCGGGCTCCGATGAAGAGATGAATGATGGGCCGGATGACGGTGATGACGATGTCTCTGAAGCGGACGAAGAAGCTGGCGACGCTGAAATGGAAGTCGAGGAAGATGTGGCTACTCCAAAACGCAAAGAGGCCGTAGCACGCCCTCGTTTCAAAAGGCGGTTTCCCAACAGCCAGGTTGCCCCTTCGCCGGATGACACTCATTTCCGAGGCATCATGGATCCCAAGGACCATGTGGCCAAGCCCATACATTATGCCTTGACTTTTGGCGACGATGACAGGGATTTACTGTCGGCGATCTACATGCGGGACCGATGGTTCCGAGGTATCGATGCTTGCTTGCCTACTCGTTTCGCTCTGGAACAGTCGGAAGAGCCAGACTATGGATGTGGCCCTACAATGGGTCTTGATCCAGAGGATTTTGAAAGAGAACGAACGAGGGGATGGGACTGGTACTACGACAAGGACATGGGAAAGAGTTTCCAAAAGAAACAAAGTCTTACCAAACTCAAGGCGGCAGATGCACACCGGAATTACTTCCCAGAACCAAAGAACGGGAAGCATACCATCCTCATGGGCCCACCGAATCAACAAACAACAGTCAATCTTGGTTACCACGAATCTTTCAATTACGGCAAGATCTGGAAAGATATCAAGGGCAGGAAGAGTGATCAATCCACACAAATGCAGGTCCGAGAAGGCTGGCTGATCAACTTCGGACAAAAGGTTCAATGCATGGCATGGGCCCCCAATCAGGATGGCCTCTCACAATACATGGCTGTGGTTGTCCCTATTTCCGACGAACAAAAGAAGATATACCATCCTGCAGGCAGTGAGCCTCTATCGGTCTTCCATACCTCGCCACCCTACCCTTGTACTCTACAGCTGTGGGAATTCAAGGGTAAAAAGACGGGTGAGCGAACCAATACTCTCGACATGGATTTCGAGCCTCGACTTCGGCTGGCTTTGTGTTCCGACTGGGGAGATTTGCGCCGCATGGCATGGTGTCCAATGGGCCGGGAAAAGCGAAGCGAGGACGAAAAAGGCGACACCGAGCATCTCGGGCTACTTGCTGGAATCTGGAGCGATGGAACTATGAGAGTATTGGATATAAGGATTCACCGGAAATCTGAAAAGGCAGAATTCTGTAAGACCGGCTCTCCATGCTCACCCCCAAGGTCTGTGGCTAACCAATGCTCGAATGTAGTGAAAATCAACTCGCCAGTCTTCGAGGCGAGACCACCCTCAACTCTCTGCTCATGTCTGACATGGCTTTCTCCCAGCGACATTGCAGTAGGCTGCAACAATGGTTTCGTCGCCATTTGGAGCATCCAACCATCCAAAATCTCCGATCAACTACCCTACTTTTATCACCCCATCCACACAAGTTATGTGTTAAGCATCACATCCGCATATCCAACCAACCCTCACCTCCTTTCCACAATATCTATGGACGGCGAAACCAGACTCTGGTCTATGCTCGACCCTCAGGGAGAAAACACTTCCACGCCCCGCATGCGAATCGCTTCCCCTCATCTCAGCTACTCACCGACCCTCTTTTCCGTCTTCTCCACGGACGAGAACAACTTCGGACGGATGATGCCGATCCGTCGATTCTTTGCCTCCACCACGGTCGGGAGAGTCCCCAGTACCGTATCCTGTCTCGCACCGTGCAGTTTTTGGCACCCCTGTCTCCTGTACGGCGGATCGGGGGGGAGGTAATGGCCACCAACCCATTTCGCCGACTCCTCTACAATAAAGAACAGCAATGGCAGCAGCTGTGGTTTACACACGATTGGGCTCAGGGGCCAGATCCAGCCAGCTCTGGCGTCAGCCGGTTCTATGAAGGATACCAGGCGGAAAGCCAAAGTCTGGCCCGAAACCTGGTGGGAGAGAAAAAAGCTGCCCAGGGTCTCAGTCTCACCACGATCCATGACGAAAGCACTCACGTCACATCGCTGGGGTGGAACCCCAGTCGGCCGTGTTCAGCGTGGGCCAGCGCAGCGCTGGGTTGCGGCCTGGTGCGAGTGGAGGATCTTGCCATCTAGAATTGTCCCGCCACCGCGGACGGGGGCTCGGCAGTCGGTAGATCAAACAAATGCAGTCAGTGTGACATATCGATCTAGGCAGCGTGCCCAATCGATGGCAGCGATGATACAGCGTAAAGTGCTAAGAAAAGTAACCAGGCACCGGCTTTCGACTGTAATCAAGGCCCAGCCACGCCGATAGCTTATGTCATCCAGGGATCGCCCGGACAACCGCGCCAAGTTTCCAAACTAGGTTGTGGCGCTGCCATGTGGGCCCACGTTCAGAGTAAATACCTGAAGACGGTGGCTGGGAAACGTCAATCTGTCATCCAGCCACCCGTAGATCCCAGCCTGCCGATTTTCGTACCAATCGCGAGGCTGCCATGTGGGCTGGGTATACTTCATCGCTGGATCTGGAGGATCGAGACCGATATTTCCCCCTACCTTTTAAATCCTCCCATTCATCTATCCTTCTCCTCTAATTCACTCCAAACCTATCTCTTCCTGTCTCTTCTTACCCTTCTACAAATCAAGCCTGCACATCATTCGACTTCCTTGTTTACAATTTTCTCATCGAACACACATCCATCTACAATCTTCCATCATGCATTTCTCCACGGCCACACTCCTTGCCCTCTCCACCCTGAGCCTGACTTCTGCTGCGCCCTTCGCGGGTCCCCAGGAAGACCTGTATGGCCGCAAGGTGAACTACGAGATTGTCAACGTCGGTGGCGAGTCCAGCTCTGCCGCTCCTGAAATCGACACTGTGACTGAGACCGTCAAGTCCGTTGTGACTACTCCCGGCGCGGCGCCTGCGCCCATAACCATCACCGTGACTGCCACTCCCTCCAGCACTCCCTACTCGTCCGCAACTCTCAGCTCGACTCCATCGCACGCTTTTGCTCCCGGAGGCTCGTCCTTCTTCCCTCCCGGCGCAGGCTTCCTTCGCCGTGGCTTGAACGCCGCTGGTGACCCGTACTACTTCGCCCGCAGCTACAGCTCGGCTGCTTCAAGCACTTCCAGCCCCGTTTCTGCTACTTCTCTTGCTGCCCGCGGCTACGCTGGCTGGGCCTCCGCTACTCCCTCCGCCTCCAGCATGTCTGTCTCCGCTACTCCCCTCGCTGCCCGCGACTACGCTGCCACCTCCTCCAGCGTGGCCTGGAGTTCCACCCCCTCTCCCAACCCTCTGGGTCGTCGTGCCATCCGCAACCAGCACTGGTTCAGCGCCGCCTCGGCTTCCAGTTCCAGCTACTCCCTCTCGCCTTCGGCCACCCCTCTGCTTTACTAAAGCGCTGATGATCGATTGCGAACTCAACGACTTTGCATGAATGATTAGATCTTCGACCAATGACATGATACGAAGATGATACTGAGACAACATATGATACATGAAAGCTATGTGGGCTGTGATGACGTTAGACATTTCCTTTTTGTTTGCGACTGTTGATGACGGTCTTTGCTTCGGGGACGCATTACTGGCGTTTGGGAAAAACTTCACGACTTGTATTTTCTATTTCTTGCAAATTTGGGATGGCCAACTTGGCCTTTTTGGGGCATTACATAGACTGAACACGATCATATGGCCCCAGTATGACATACATAGAAAAATATGACCAAAGGATCAACAATATATCTAGTTTCCACTGCAGTATCCGTTCTGACATGTCTAGTCACCCACCTGATATTAACGAGGCGGGGTACAACTACCCCCATGGGATAGATATACGCTGAGCACTAGATACTAGGGTAGGGACACGATCTACATGGACCTAATCTGAGGTCTATCACACTTTTTGAGACTCGGTTCAAATATCAGGAAGACGGTTTCTCTCTCGATCCAGAGATCAAATCCGGAAGAAAATACAAATTCGGAGCGACCGAAAGTCTCACGCGACCTAAATTTTTCTTGAAAGTCAAATAGAGGTAAACTGTCAAAATGGGGCAAGAGTTGAACAGTAACGCGCCAGTTTTGGGTAAGGCGATCGCTGACGTAACCATGTGTCCTTCGTTGCCCCGAGCGACGCGCCCGTAAACACATTGGGCTGCATCCCTCTCACCATCCCAGCGACCGAAGGGTCACATTTACCTTTTACCCTTTACTTTTTACGCCTTACGTGCTATCTCTGTTATTGTTTTCTTTCATTTTCTGTTTCGTTGTGATCTCTTTTTTGAGCAAAGGCTGGCCGAGACTCAACAACCACCACAATGCCTGGGACCATGGCCGAGGGACCTTCCGTCACCATGTCCTGTACGTGAAACAGCTCACAGCCCCAGCTTCACAAGCTAACCTTACTGTGCCCGTAGTTGCGAACAACTTCTGGGGGAAGGATGATGCAGGCCTCCAGCCCATGCTCGACCGCATGCACGGATCGAAGACTACAAGCGACGAGTTGAAAGCTTTCTACACTGGTACGCAGCCGAAATGATGGGTTCGGACAACAAATTGCTAATGATCTCGAAGTACGAGCTGCGATCGAAGACGAATATGCGCGAAAACTCCACGCACTCTGTCGCAAACCGTTGGGGACGTGCGAAACAGGATCTCTCCGAACCTCGCTGGACGTGGTCCGCGGGGAAACCGAAGCCATCGCCAAAGCACACTCTGCTATCGCCGGTCAGATGAAAAATGAGCTTGAGGAGCCTCTGACTGCGTTTGCTAGTGGGATCAAGGAGCGACGAAAGATTATCCAAAATACAATTGAACGCCTCCACAAAACAAAGATGCAACAAACAGGAGCTGTGAATAAGGTATGCGGGAGAGCTCCTAACAAAGTGAAATGAAATGCTTATGCTAGACTTCTTTCTAGACTAGGGATCGTTATGAACAAGATTGTCTCCGCATCAAGGGTTATCTGGCACAAGGCCATATGGTTATGGGCCAGGAAGAACGCAAAAACAAGGCGAAGCTTGAGAAGACCCAGATTCAGCTCGCGTCAAACAGTCAAGAGTATGAGGCTGCGGTCAAGACCCTCGAAGATACGACTGGTCGCTGGAATAAGGAATGGAAAGCTGCTTGCGATAAATTCCAAGACTTGGAGGAAGAGCGCCTCGACTTCACGAAGAGCAGTCTATGGACCTATGCAAACATTGCATCAACGGTTTGCGTCAGCGATGATGCTGTATGTCAACCCTTTCCCATCTTCATGCATAGTGCTAACAATCTACTCCAGTCCTGCGAGAAGATCCGGCTCTCCCTCGAGAACTGCGAAGTCGAAAAGGATATTGTCTACTTTATCAAGGAGCGAGGCACTGGTCAGGAGATTCCGGACGCCCCTCGCTTCATCAACTTTTGTAAGGAAGACAGTGACACAGTATCCGAAATCGACGAGGGCGAGGGTTACTCGGTTGCCCAGTTCCAGCGCACCATGAATCCGGCTTTCCGCACTTCCTCTCCCCAGCCCTCGACATTTGAGTCGCATCACGATCCGCAGTCTGATCTTGCGGCCCAAATGGGTCATCCGGCTCCTCCAGCAAACAATGTGCAGCAATCCCAACAGCCTCCGCAGCCTCAGCAGGCCCAGCCCCAGCAACCTGCTCCTCTGGATTTGCGCCGAGGTGGCTATTTGCCCCCGAACTACGACCCCGAGCAGCACGGCGAAATTAATACGATTCCTCATAATGCCTACCCAACTGACGGTATGACCATGTTCTGCCGAACCGGTCCTCCGTCTGAGCGAAGTTCAACAAATAGCGCATACCGACCATCCAGCCGCGACTCTCAGAGTGAAGTATCAAATCCCACCTCCATGTCCAGTGTGGAGGCGCCAATTCCAGTCAGCGCCAAGCAGGTGTCGCCCCAGAAGCCGACAAACAGTGCACCACTTCCCAGTTCTGGAGATGATAAGTCGGTACAGAAGAAGAAGAGTGCCTTCTTCAGCAACAGCCCCTTCCGTCGCAAGAGCCGTCATGAAAAGGAGAGACCAGTCATTTCTCCCCAGCCCGCATCCCAGTCTGCATCGCGAAGCCCCTGGAACTCTCCTACCAAGCACTCCAGTCCATCCAAGGCTGGACATCCGGCCCAAATTGAACGTCGCGCAGCGAGCCCGGAACCTGTCGACCCTCGCGCCAATTTCCAGCTTAACGTTGGAAACAACGTCTTTGACGTTGCCTCCCCTGACAAGAATGGAAACAGGCCAGGTTCTCAGCAGTCAAAGGGAGCCGAGGATGATCTGGATCCGATCGCACGCGCTCTGGCCGATTTGAAGACTGGCGGAAAGCAGTCCACCCTTCGTGTCTCGGCTGATAGGTACCATGGAATATCAACACCCACTCCTTCTGCGCCATCATCTGCTTATGGTGGAAGTAGTTCTGGAGCCCCGCCGGCGTACAACGATCCCTCGGTAAAGCGACTCGATGCCCCTGAGCCGGCCTTCACGTCGAAGCAGATGCAAAAGACCACTCAGCGGTACACTGGCCAGACCCAGAGTATGCTCCGTGGTGGAAGTAACAGCCCGGCCATGGCTCCCAAAGCCCAGGAAGTTCCCCGTGCCAGGTCTCCCGCATCCCGACGAAGTGCTAGCCCTCAGGTGTCTCCCCGTGTTGATACCCGGATGGGTGCTCAATATTCTGGCGGAGCACCCGCCAGCCCAGGTGCTCCTCAGTCCAACAGCATGCGCAGCCGCTACAGCCAGTCCCCCACGCCACGCCGCGCGCAAGATCCGCCTTACTCTCCCAATGACTTTGCCCAAAGGGCTTCGCCTGCCACCTCGCACCGCGCGGTTTCTCCTCAGCCCCAGTTCCGCCAACAGGCTCGTCCTTCTAGCGCCGGGGGCATGGAGCTGCAGTTGTCCAGCGGTCAGGTTGAAATGTACGGGGGCAGCGGTGGCAGTCAGGGCTATAGCTCTCGGCGCGATGGCCGGCCCTCGTCTTACTATGGTGATGGTGGACCCCCCCCGGTTGGCCGATCTCGCAGCCGCACCCTTGCAGTGGCGGAATCTGGTCGCAAGTTCAGCCGCGATGGGCGTCCGGTCTTGCACTTCGGTAAGCATTCATTTCCCCATTTCTTCAATTCAAACCATATACTAACTTTACCTCGCAGCTCGCGCAATGTACAGCTACGCTGCTGCCATCCCCGAGGAGCTCGGCTTCACCAAAGGCGATGTCCTTGCCGTTATCCGCCTTCAAGACGATGGATGGTGGGAAGCCGAAGTCACCAACGGCCGCGGCCACCCCGGCTTGGTGCCGAGCAACTACCTGCAGATCATCTAGATACCCATCCCACCTCTCACGACCCGCCACGACCCCCACAACCTCTTGTCTTGACGGATATCCTTTCCCTTGTGTCTTTGTTTATGCTCTCACGTAGATACCATGCCTTTCTCCGAATCCTTTTACATACTCACGATCCTTGTTTAACATCTTCTTTTCTCTTCGGCGTCTACGTGCGCATTTTCCCTCGCTTTGGCAATCTGTTCAATATTTCCGATCCTTGCCGGTGAATGATTTTGAGAGCTTTCAGCGTGTTTTGTTGTTACTGGTGACGTTCCATGTTTCTGATTTGCCGGATATGTCGATTTCCTATTCTCGGGGAGATTTGTTCAGTTTCAAATTGCATGACGAACGATCTCTGACCATGTGCGTTTGTCATGGTGGATGGATGCTCTATTTTTCTCCTCTTTCGATGGTCCTAATTTTTATGATTCTTGTTCTAATTCTTCCGCTCGCTTTGGAGTATGATGCGTTTCACGTAATGGAATGTTTTCCTCGTTCGTAATATGGTCCTTGCTGTAAGCTTGCTCTGTGATTGAATCCGGACCGGGGAACCTCTAGTCGCTCACCTACCCAGGTGGCAGCTACAGACTGGGCAATGGGAACCCCACCGAACTGATGGTGGGAAAGCGTTGATGCTTTGTGACAGAAAATGAGTCCAAGGTCAATCATGCCATTTAAAGTACGATGAAAGTCAAGCCAGTAGCTTCGAGATATAAATCCGGTGGTGAGATTAGATATATCCAAGCCCAATTCATTAATAACCTTGTAACCTTGGAGACTGTGGATGGAAAGCACACTGGCAGACAGGGGTATATGGAGAAACAAAACACATCCCCTCCTAGCAATAATTTCAAGTACGTACAAAGCCCATGAGCATCAAAACCGATCATACTTATTCGTTGTCCACAAAGGAATTGGCCAGGCGACCGAAGAAAGGAACTTCAAAATGATCAAGGGTATCCACTAAAAGTTGATGTCAGTGCACTTGACGGGATCGCGATGGACATGGCAGACTCACCATCTCGATAGGCATGCATTCCGAGAAATCCGATGAGAGCGAGATCAATGATGAAAAGGGTCCAGGAAAGGAAACTGCTCCAGGCGAAGATGAGGTGGATGACCTGTGTCGGCCATTAGACGGTGCTGAACAGTCAGACTACTCAGGAACTCACAAAGAGCGCAGAAAACAGCATGCTCGACTGCCAAGCGTGGAATCTATCAGTTCACATTAGCGTCCAGTTCAATTGCTCCACGCGATCCAAGTACATACCGCACGTAGTCACTCTTGTGCTCCATCAATAGCAAAAACACACCTCCGGCCGGAGGCAGCAGCAGATATGCCAGCATGGCCTCGATATCCATGCGAATGGGCAAGCTGGTCTCGAAGGCACCCAAGCTCACATGGCCACCCTCCACATCTCTCCCAAACCCCGTGTTTCCACCACCCGCGAAGTGGCTCGGAGACGGGAGGTCGGCCGAAGCCCGCGGTGAGCGGAGACCGGGGGACTTGATGCGGCCGTCCACATTCGGAGGGGACAAAGCCCGTTCAATCTCGGGCGATTCGTCTTGATAGGGAGCGAAGTTCATCGTTGGTGCGGAGAAACTTGGGGGGAAGTTCGTTTGGGGAAGCTCTCCTTATCCAACGCTTATCGCGTGTCGGCGTTTGGCTGCCTTAAGGCATGAACAATGCCGAATTGGGTATCATCTTCATTGGGCGCGTTTATCTCAAGAAATAAGAATATTGTACAAGAATTGTATCCAATTATGCCTTTCCACGACCACGGGCAATTCCACTTGTAGTTCCGGTTCCGGTTCCGGTTCCAGCTCCTCGCCCAATCCCACTCACCGGTCGCCGGGTCGTCGTCGTTGATGATCCCCGAGTTCCCGTGCGGCTGGTGTTCACACTCGGCGTCCTTCCGAGCCCGGTGCTGCGGACTGTGCCTCGACTGGTTCCCCTACCACCTCTGGTATTCAATGCTCGTCGCCTCTCGTCCTCCTCGGCCTTGCGGGCCGCTGCTTCTCGCTGATGCTGGAGAGCCTGTTCGCGTCGCTCAGCCGCCTGCTGCCTCTGTATAGCCTCGTTCTCGATATCGGCGACATCTTGGGTAGCGCCTTGCCAGTTCGGGTTGAGTATCAAACGCTGGTTATGTTCGGTCTGGGACAAAATGCGGGTCCATGTGTTGAGGAGAGTCGACGCGGATGTAACTGTGTTGGAGACGGTCTAAATTGTGATTAGAGGTATAAAATCGTAGCCAAACCGGACATATCCTACCTCCATATTTCCCTTGGCACGGTCGATACTGCTCAAAAGGCCTTCAAGGACCTCATTGATGTTCCGCACAGATTGCAATTCGTTGTGGAGGGCTATTTCACGCGCCTCTTCTCGATCGAAAAGTGTGTCGCCTCCACTGTGAGACGCTTGTGACTCTGCCGGGGGGATCTCAACGGATGACTTTGGGTTGGGTCCTTTCTTCGCTCCTCTTTTGGACGGCGAGTCCCACAGATCTTCAGTATCTTCATCGGACAGTTGGAGCCTCTCCATCTCTTCAGCGGCACTTCGGGCAGCCATAACGGCAGATTTTTAGCAGACGTGATGCTTTTAGAGACGTGTTTTCGACATATACGATCAGTTCTGTAATAACGCGACCGGCGGTACCATAGCAACAGTCCAGACTCAGGAGAATCGGAACGGGAAGGAAGTCAACAAAAGACCCACGGAAGATGAACGTGGGAACCGCGGGGCGGGTGATAATCGGGCGGTGAGAAGGCGGTCAGGGAACTGAGGTGGCTGGGCGCCAAACATGCGCCCTTTAATGGAACCTCGCCCTTCTTTCGCAACATTCACAACACTTCGCTGTTGCTTTGGCGCATTGAAAGACCTGATAAATCAGACTCAAGTCGGTCTTTTTTCGCTCTCGATTGCTGCTGAAACCACGAGCCCTTTTCGCCCAAGTTTGGACCAAACAACGCCTCGCCCTTGATTGAGTCTTTCCCAACGTCAACCCAAGACCCAATCAGCCATTGGCCGGATAACATCGAAACCAGCCAGAACATTCGTGCAACCGTTGTTTGCGACATCTCAATCGAAAAACACCGTTGATCCTCATATTGTCAAAGTCGATGTTCAATATGGCAAGCACTCCGCCGCCGCCCTCGCCGTCAGCATTGAGGGTCCCTGCTGCTCCTCTCCATGGAGGAGGATATGACCAGTTTTCGCCGTATCCAACTCGACATTCAACACGGTTGGCTAAGCAACGCGCTGCTCGAGGTGCTGAGAGCACACCCCCACCAATTTGCCCGAGTTCTCCGAGCAAGGCACGATCCAGTGCTTCACCGAAAAAGTATCGAAAAGTTCAAGTTGACGGAGAGACATTATCACCGCCCGGAAGTAGCTCGCGTTCGAAACCGTCAGCTGCCATTTCAAAAGATAGTCGCCGCTTTCACAGCACTCATGCTGCCTACGACCCTTTTGATCTTTCTGCCTCGCACAATGCCCCCTCCTCTGCTCCGGCTCGCTCTCGCACAGCAATGAACCTAGCTCTGCCCACCCCTGCTAGGACACCTTCAAAGAAGAAGGTCGATCATTTCTCATCCGCCTCCCGTACTCTCTTCCCCACCAACGCCATGTCTCCCAAGAAGCCTGCCCCGTTCTCCCTGGAGAGCTTTGACGGTTCTGCCTCTGGGAAGAAGGATATCCAAATCTATACGGACTCCCGTGACCGCATCCCCAAGGCTTCCCAGTTTGCAACCCCATTTGCCGCTTCCTCGCAGTCACCCAGCACTGCTTCCCGTGCTCCACGGGCCGTTGAAGCACATGATCTGGATGTCCCTGGGCTTGGACCACCCAGTTCAGCTCTTCGGTAAGTTTTCTGACTCTGCAGCTTATTATATCCTTTCTAACATGTCTATAGACGCGGAAAGGATGCCCGCCGCATTCCTGATGATCAGATGACAATGATCTTGTGAGTTTCCAAACTACCCTGCACCTCTATCATCAGATCTAACTTTTTTTGGCAGCCGTGGCAAGAAAGTCATCCACAGTTTCGACGACGAAGATGAGGATGAAGATGAAGACGAGCTGGGCCTGTTCGCTGCTCGCCCCGACCTGCTGGACGACAATGATGAGATCCTGAACAGCGTTCAGTCTCTGACTCGTGACTCCATCCAACCTCGCCAGCTCTTTGAGAGGAAAGGTAGTCCGCCACTCGGTGGAGTTGTGAACAAGGTGGTTGATGATGACGATGCTCCGACCGATACGGAGGAGAAGGGTGAGCCTTCGACCTCCCCCATCGCTACTCCGAAGTCCCCCGAGTTTCCTCAAGCCCCGGGTGCCACTCGCCTCACTCGCTCGTCTGCTCGCGGCACTCAGATCGAAGATACCCCCACCGCAAACATTGCTTCCGAGGTCGTCAAGCGCAAACGTATTAGCCCGTTCGACCAGTGGTTGCGCAAGAAGCAGAAACCCGACACCGTCACCCCCGGTCAGACCACTCCTCAGAAGCGAAGTGCCCGAGCTCCCAGTCCTACTGCTCCCCCGACTGCCAAGAAGACCCGAAGCAACCGTTCTGCTTAGATACAATTTTGTCTCTCTGGAGTTGGTGCTTTAAACTCTGCTTCTGAGTTGTATGGTGCATTGAGTGAGCGCTATTTTCCCTTCATTTCGCCGTTTTGTGTTTTCTTTCGTCCTTCCTGGTCTTCTCATTGCGACCTCTGGACACTTTTTCTCCTGCATAAGTTGGATGCGTGACAACCATTCTTATCAGCATGGATACATATGCTGCGTTTACACACCTACAGCTTGCAGCTTGATTTGTTTCTTTTCGCGATTTAATTTGTTTCCCCCTTTACGACTCGTGCGTCTTTCAAGCGCTGGGATGTTTCATAATTCGGCGCGTGGGTTTGGGGCTTGGGGAAAGCAATGGATACCAGGTAGTTTGTCTTTCCTTTTCAATGGAGCTCGGAGTTGGAGTTCTTTCAGTCATTTAATGTGGCTTCTCTTTGTGCTTCAGTGAAGAAAATGAAGAACCCTTTGATACTATCATCTACTCCTTGTAAAGTTTTAGACTGTAAAATGAGGACCTGTGAATTCCCTTTTCGGGTTTGGCGCCCCAATGTCTTAGATCACCCAACACCCTTTCTCTACTTCTCTTTCCTCCATTCCCTCTGTCCGTCCTGTCTAAGACTCATTGCTCCGCCCCTGCAACTTTGCCCAGTCAACTGGAACCCCCCATCTGTCCCACCTTACCCGCCTGAAATGCTATAGGTTCCAGGAGGCCCACCCCCGTTCTATACGACCATAAAGATAGGGATCAGGTGTGACCTTACTTCTACAAGGGTCTTACGTAGACGTGTACCTAGGTCTCAACTTAGGTTAGCCTGATAGGCCTATTTAGGGAAGCGGTCAAATATAGCGTGTTTTTCCCAAACGCCCAATGACATACGACAGTAGCTGGGCTAAAAGGACCTTGCCGATTTCCGATCTTTCTTAATCTGCTCTAGACTTTCCGCCTAGATCCACCTAGATACATTATCAAATCTATGAATGGAGTTTCTAGCCATCGCCTTTGCCGGCGTGCTTGGTAATATATGTTCTATTCTATCATTATCCACCACCTCCACGGGCTGGTTCAACAGCTTGTGCAGCCCAGGGGATATATCGAGCGTCCTCGGTCCGCACCTGTCAAGTGGAGCTCACATCTACCTCCCTGGCTCCGATCAGTTTACACAGGCTACGACCCGATGGTCAGCTTATCAGGCGCCCAATTTCACTGTTATTGTGAAGGTTGCGACCGAGAGTGATGTGGGAGAGACGGTAATTCACAGGATATACGATTCATGGCAGCACTAATCCACTCAGGTCAAATATGCCAACAAACAAAATATTCCGTTCATCGCTGTCAACGGCGGCCATGGGGCGATCAGATCGCTTGGCAATATCCAAAATGGAATTGAGATTTGGCTCAACCAGTTGATTCTGTTTCAATCGCAGAAGATGGAAAGACTGCTACTATCGGCGGTGGAGCTTTGTCAAAGCAGATCACGGATTCCCTCTGGACAAAGGGCAAACAGACCGTCACAGGTATCTGTGAATGTACAAGCCTGCTAGGTCCTGGTCTTGGTGGTGGCCATGGAATTCTTCAGGGACGGTATGGTCTCATTGCCGACCAGTTTGTCTCGTTGAACGTAGTACTCGCCAACGGAAGCCTCATTACCGTTGGTGAAGAATCAGATTTGTGGTGGGGTCTGAAAGGTGCGGGCCATAATTTTGGCATCATCACCTCTGCTACCACAAAGATATACGATGTTCCCGATGATGGCGTCTGGTCGTATATCAGATTTATCTACACTCATGACAAAGTTGAGGACCTTTATGAGGCTATCAACACGCACCTTCTGAAGAATGGGACTCAACCAGTGGACTTTTTCAGTTACTCTTTATTTTTTAACTTGCCTAGCTTAGATCCGGACCATGTATGTGCACTTGCTCTCCTCAGCCTATCGCTATATCGCTAACTCGTTCAGTCACTCATTGCATTCTTTATACTTCAAGGAGGCACCGCCTCAGTTGAATCCCAATACGCAGATCCATTCAAGAAGATGGGCCCCGTGATGATGAAAGGCGACCATGGTAGCTTCAAGGACATTGCGAAATGGACTGATATGGCAACCGATTCCCCTCCATGTCAGAAGACAGGGCTGTCCCATATCCGCTTCCCCGTAGATCTACAGCAGTACAACCCTATTGCACAGCGCGATGCTTTTGACCACTTCTCAAGCGTGACTCATGTCAACAGCGCTGAATAACTCGTTTTTCCTCTTCGAAGGCTACTCAGTCCAGGGAGTACAATCTATCCCCTCGGATTCCACCGCTTTCCCGCACCGCGAAGCGAATCTACTGGTCGCACCGGTAGTGACATACGAGCCTGGAGACAAAAAGCTTGAATCTGAGGCTTTCCAGTTTGGCGAGACGCTTCGTGAAATTATTTTTCAAGGAAGTGACGAGAAAGAAATGTATAGCTATGTCAACTATGCGTCCGGTAACGAAGGGCCGCAGAGTTGGTATGGATATGAGCCATGGCGGTTGGAGAAGCTGCGAGTGCTGAAGGAGAAGTATGATCCGGACAATCGACTTAGCTTCTATGCACCTTTTGTTTGATAAGCACTGTAAGGTCGGGCAGGGATGTTAGAGATGGAAAGGAAAGGCATCGTTTCTGTCTTCCAAAGCGGTCACTGTCGGCCTCAATGCCACAGGTCCTCGGATTCTATGTGTAACTGTAAACGGCGGACCTATGAATTGCCTGTTCGAGAGAGTTTTAACCTCGCCCTCTAACTTGCTCTACTGGAGATTTCTGTTCTCCATGAGTCCCCCTTAGGACACCTGCTTTTGGTGCCACACGCGTTTGTACTTTAGTAATCGATGCCAAGTGATGGCCACCCTTATGAGATATTCTTCTTGAACTGTAAGTATGCTTCTACTGGCCGCCCTCTGCCTCTGCCTCTTCCGAGGCCTGGTATGGGTTGATCCCATCCCTGCCACCGATTTCTGGTCTCCTCCAGTAAGTCCTGCGGAGTTGTACCCTCCGCATTTGGTTGGCTCATTAACAGAGCAGTATCCTCCCCGGCAGCCTCCTTCAGAACACGCATCATCTCATCCTGAGGCCTGATCTTGCTGATAACCGAGTAGTGCTTAGTGTCGTATGATGTGTACTCTTTTTCTCGCTGTAACTTACCATTGCGATGTGTAGAATCTTTTGGATCTAGTCGCCGACTCAGTCATCCAGAAATGTGACAAACCACAACGCAGTAGACAGTATGGGATCTGTAACTATACAAATTCTGTTTTTCTCCCAGGCGCTTCTTTTACATAGGAATTAGAACATAGAGGAAGGAATGAACATGAAAATGCTTCATACGTGCTATACACCAAATCGTAGAAAAAAAACCCGCCCTGATGGGAGTCCCAAGGCAAGTAACTCCCCATTAGTCGCGGAACAGCTGGGCCGACAGTCAAGAGGAAGCCATAGTGCATTTTTGCCGTTCAGGTTTATCCATTGCCCTCGCTCAATGAAGATCGTTGGGTTTTTATTGATTGAGTTAGAAGCATGATTTTCGTGTCCAGACTGAATATAGAGGGTGCCTAAGTTAGTGATTAAATATGAACCATCTCGAGAAAATTTGAGTTTCTGGACAGTTCCCTTAGGGTTCAACGTCTCTTGCATTGCTCCCGTCGCCGTGTCCCAGAGCCGCACTGTCTCATCGTCGGAGCCGGATGCTAGTAGCCTGCCGTCGGGCGAGAAGGCCACCGACCAAACCCAGTCCGAATGGCCCTCGAGGGTCTGCTGCAGGCCGCCCGTCGCTATGTCCCAGAGCCGCACGGTCGCATCGCTGGAGCTAGACGCCAGCAGCCGGCTGTCGGGCGAGAAGGCCACCGACAAAACCGACTCCGTATGGCCCTTGAGGGTTTGTTGTAGGTCGCCTGTCGCTGTGTCCCAGAGCCGGACAGTGGTATCATCAAGGGAGCCGGACGCTAGTAGTCGGCCGTTGGGAGAGAAGGCCACCGACAAAACCGAGCTCGTATGGCCCTTGAGGCTCTGCTGTAGGCCGCCCGTTTCCGTGTTCCAGAGCCGGATAGTGTTATTATAGGAGCTAGACGCTAGTAGCTGGCCGTCGGGCGAGAAGGCCACCGAATGAACTGCTCTCGTATGGCCCTCAAGAGTCTGTTGTAGGGCGCCTATCGCCGTATCCCATAGCCGGATAGTGGCATCGTGGGAGCCGGACGCTAGCAGCCGGCCATCAGGCGAGAAGACTACTGACCAAACCCAGTCCGAATGGCCCTTAAGAGTCAGTTGTAGGCCGCCCGTCGCTGTGTCCCAGAGCTGGACAGTGTCATCGTGGGAGCCGGACGCTAGTAGCCGGCCGTCGGGCGAGAAAGCCACCGACGAAACAGAGTCCGTATGGCCGTCGGGCGAGAAAGCCACTGACTCAACCGAGTCCGTTTGGCCCTCGAAGGTCTGCTGTAGGCTGCTCATCGCTGTGTCCCAGAGCCGGACGGTCATATCTCGGGAGCCAGACACTAGTAGCCGGCCGTCGGGCGAGAAGGCCACCGATGAAACCGACTCCGTATGGCCCTTGAGGGTCTGCTGTAAGCCGCCTGTCGCTGTGTCCCAGAGCCGGACAGTGTCATCAGAGCCAGACGCTAGTAGCCGACCGTCGGGCGAGAAGGCCACCGACGAAACCGACTCCGTATGGCCCTTGAGGGTCTGTTGTAAGCCGCCTGTTGCTGTGTCCCAGAGCCGGATAGTGCCATCAGAGCTAGAAGCTAGTAGCCGGCTGTCGGGAGAGAAGACTACTGACGAGCTGTCGGGAGAGAAGACTACTGACGAGCTGTCGGGAGAGAAGACTACTGACGAGCTGTCGGGAGAGAAGACTACTGACGAGCTGTCGGGAGAGAAGACTACTGACGAGCTGTCGGGAGAGAAGACTACTGACGAGCTGTCGGGAGAGAAGACTACTGACGAGCTGTCGGGAGAGAAGACTACTGACGAAACCCAGTCCGAATGGCCCTCGAGGGTCTGCTGCAGGCCGCCCGTTGCTATGTCCCAGAGCCGCACGGTCGCATCGCCGGAGCCAGACGCCAGCAGCCGGCAGTCGGGCGAGAAGGCCACCGAATGAACTGCTCTCGTATGGCCCTCAAGAGTCTGCTGTAGGGCGCCTGTCGCTGTGTCCCAGAGCCGGATAGTCTTATCGTTGGAGCCGGACGCTAGTAGCCGGCCGTCGGGCGAGAAAGCCACTGACTCAACCGAGTTCCAATGACCCTCGAGACTCTGCAACTCTGCGCTCCAGCTTTCTTTACCCTCTGGGAAGTATATCCAACCTGGGAGCTCTGCTTCGAATTGCCTTCGGATCATTGCCGTTCTGGGTGCAAATAGAAGCCCTGAGCAATAAAGTTGGAGGGGCGCATGATCAGTTATCTGGTGGTTCTTTAGAACAAAGCGCATTCCATCGTGTAGAAATTCAGACATTGCAGAATTGGTATCACTCTATTTATGTTAGTGTAAATCGCCACATCGGAGTCCTTAAATAACTCACATGAACACACTTGTGCAAAAGACTAATAATCCTAGCAACCTCTGACATAAGACCTAGTAGGCTCATTGCTTCTACCCAGTGCAGGAAATGCCGCTGGAGGAATAAGAGAGCAAGATGAATCACAGTATCCAAATCAGAGCTTCGCACCAGATGATATGCCCAGTAACGACAAGAGTATTGCAGTTCTGGGGTAAGACAGTGATTTATAGTGCTGGGATCAATTTCCACACGCCGAATCCCATCACTTGGTAGTCCACAAATATTTTGTTTCAAATTGTTGCACACGGAAAGGCACTGTATGGCCAATCTTTGATGTATCTCCTTCTCGTCTACCCAGAGGTCAGTCTTCTTGCGTGTTTCTGGATCAAGGAGAAAGTCTCGAAATGATAGATGAAAAGGCCGTATCGGCTTTGTCTTGTCTTCGGGTATACGAATCACCGAGTGCAATGAATTTAGTCTCAACTCGATCATTCTCTCAGAGACACCAATAAGCCTCGAAAGTGAGGTTATCGAGAGTGGGCTCTCAAGCATCACGATTGAACCCACTACCTCCCGAAATTCTTGAATCAGCTGCATTCTTCGTTTCCCATCCTGGTTGTTGATAATCCGATTCAGCACAGGAAGATATGTCCCGTTCAGTTGAGATCCCTCACGTCGATGGGTGAGAATCTCGGTGAGACTATCCACGGGGTCCCACTGGGGATCTTCAAAAACGCGGCATACGGTCGCAGCGAAGATAAATAGCGGAACAGATAATGTCACAAGAGCTTGGGTATCTGTGTCTCCAGGCCAGTCGACGGGGAGTGAGCGTTCGTTTCTGATCTGTAAAAGCTGCCAGTTCAGGAACAAAGATATATCGTGTTCTGTAATTGCCTCCGGGATGTCATGGAGAACCAGATCCTGATAGACCTGATGCCCGATTCCCGAAAATCCTAGTCGGATTGGCAAATCAGGTCGACTTGTCAAAAAAATGCGGAGATGCACGGCGCTCAGCTCCCGGAGCCGAGGTAGTACTTGGAGTATGACACGTATGTCATTATCCCCTTCACATTCGTCCAAGGCATCGAGCACTATCACCGTGGTTGGGATCTGCTCAGTGGAGTGTTCCAAGCTGAGCAGTGGTTGGAGAAGCAATTTGTCAAACTGCTCCTTTAGCGACCTTGTTCCAAGGCTGGGGTCATCATTGATGGCTTTTTGAATACCTGGGATGAGTTGAGGGAGGCTAACCACAAGTTGTCTTGCGATAGTCGGAAAAAGCTTCGCAGCATTTCCACGGTCACCTTCTCCCCTCTTGAAGAAGAAGCTCGCTCCTAGTACCTTCGCCTGTTTTAACGATTTTGCCACGGTTCGGGAGATGGTCGATTTCCCCGTTCCCGCCATACCATTCAACCAAAATATGCATTTCCCTTGTGGTGACACAGCCCATGCAGCAATTTGGCGACGGAGCTCGGTTCTAGTCCCTGGGAGGCATTCATCTTCATGTTGATCCATATACGAGTCAAGCTCAGCCCCAAGCGCGATTGGCAACTGGTCTAAATGCAGATTTCGCTCGATACGGTCGGCAGTCTGAGTTATATCATTAAAAGTTGTCCTAAGCAGCTGTAAGCCAAAGTTCTATAATCAAAAGATGCGAGTACGTACGCCTGATCAATCTGCAGGGATAGACTGAATGTTGTTTTGTATCTGTCGATATCCTTCATTATTCTCTCCACTTCGGTACGTTTTAGGGGCCACTTCAAGGCCCGAAGCCCGACTTTGCTCATCGCTTTTTTCCCTCTCCCGGGATCGATCTTCCCTTCTAAGTCTTGGAGGAGCGCAAGGCAATTAATGGTCCCATCGACCAACGCCCGGGAGGTTGACAGCTTCGTGCCGTGGGTGCCATGGATGAGGCCTGAGAGCTTCTCAAGAATTTCTCTCAGATCTTCAACCTCCTTTTGCAAGGAAACAACGTCCTTTGGAGCATCCTTCACCTCCTTAATATAACCCCCACAAATTTTCACGATACTCCCTGTCAGTTGGATGACCGCGATAACGCTAGCTGCAGCCGATATTCCATCCATCATAAAGCGTGTCAAGTAGTCTTCGCTTTTCCCGGCTGGGCTGGGTTGCAATAGTGGTGGAAGTCGCAAAGGCCAGGGTTTTTCCCCGGAGAGGCTAAATCGGGGCGAAGGAGGGGTAGGCGCCTAGAATGAAGCTGCGATTCAGAATGTAATTTTATTGAGGCAGTGTCACCGGCCACTACGGGATAATTCGTGTGCCATTCGGAAAGACTATAAATTGAGGGAATTACGAGAAGAGAGAGCAAGCCGCCAGAGCAACCACAACACAATACTAGATCCACTAACTGATCCCAAACGGGACTAGCTCCTTAGCCCACGTGCCATTTCCACGTGACCTGTCATCGATGTCGGAGTACGTAATACAAGGGCCAATCAGCGGTGACAAGAACACTATATTGCTATACCCCTCGTTCTGGCAATTTGCAGCAACTGGGCATTGTTGAGAGTAGGCACCAGTCTCGGGACGTACCCCTCATCATTAAATTCATCAAGATGGAGACACTGCCCTTCGAGCTTCTACACGACATTGTCTCTCGTCTTGATGATTGCACATCCCTGTACAACCTACTACGCGCATCGCCAGCCATCTCCCGCCTGTTCGACCACGATGGCCTTCAGCTCACCCGCGCCGTCTTCTCTAAAGACACCATGTGTGATCAAATCCGGGAATCAATCTCCCTCGTGGCCATACTTGACTCTTTCACCTTTCCATATCGGAGCCTAGATGTTTTCATCGCCGGCTTCATTCATGAAACGGTCAGAGATGTATGCCCACGACGACTAGACGACCCACGTCCGACAAGCCCACCCCTTCCGAACGACTTGCCTGACAACACTCCTATCCCGACAATCCGCCGGGTTCTCTCTATATACGCACAAATAGTACACTTGACTGTAGCGTGTCTTGATCACTACCTGGAAAGATTCAATGTTCTCCGACCGGAGAACATAGTCGATCCTGAAACTCGGTATTCAATGAACCTCAAAAAGACTCCGCCGTGGACTCAAAGATTCGAAAGCTTCAAGGCCCCCGTCAGCGATCATGGCCCACCAGTGTGGGAGGAGGAGCAACGCGTTTCCCGCGCCCTCTGGAGAATTCAATTATTCTATGATCTGCGCGCCGCCGCTGGCCAGTCTCGGCTCGGCTGGCCCGCTGAAGACGTGGCGCGATTGCAAATTATGAAAGAGCGAGACCTTTTCGTCAACTGGAGCCTGCGTTACGAGGCGGAGGAAATCTACACCGTTACCGAGTATCTCGACCATGCACGAGCAGCAAATATCGTCGTCTTTCATGACCCCAGTGGCAGCGGCTGCGGCGGTAATAGAGGCCCTCAGCGACTGCCATTTCTCCGCCACCCAGTCGAACGAAGGTGGCCAACGCCGCGAAGACCTTTTCTGGAGCCAGTGACACAAACGTACACGATTGATTTTGCTACACTTGGCCTGCAACAATGGCAACTGCTGTCAGAGATGCGGTTGTCGCCCTTGCGCACTGTCAAGTTCGACTCCTATCGACGGTTAGGGGTCGCCCTTTGGTGCCAGGAGAGAGTCCAAGCGATCGGGTTGGCCCCTCTGAATCGCAAAGGCCCGGAGACCTCTATCAACCTAGCGCTGTGGCAATTCGCGTGGCGAAGTATCTTAGATCCGCGCGAGGTGGTGGAAGTAGAGAAGAGATTACAAAAAGAGTGGGAGGAGCGAGAACCCAAGGATTAGCACCATTCCCATTGAACATCTCTACTCTACCTAGTTCTAGCACCCTCGTGTGTTCTCAGCGAAAATTAGCATGTCCATGTCCTGGCCTTGCTTTGCCTCTCCACCACCGAACTCAATCACTCTGGCAGCGTCTTTCAGCCGCGCTCAATCAGACCACATCGATCGGCTCCGCCACAGTTTCCACCATAAAGAGGAGATTTAGATTCTGCCCCAGGGTACCAATCGGTGCCGTAAGCGCGAACGGTGTATTCCCGCTCATCCATACACTAACTGATGTCAACTGCTTAATACCCAGTTGCGCCTTGTGCTGCGCCAACAGGTACGCACATCCCGCTCCATTGGGGCTACCCAGGATAGCAGCAAAGAAGTCCCCATCGTCTGCGCGCGTCAGGGTGAGCTGGTTGTTCGCATCCCACGTCGGGATCTCGGTCACAGTGCCCTTGTTTTGGAGTGCCTGGATGACGAACTCCTGTGTCGCGGTGTTGGTTATACCAGCCCGGACGATGCGATTCAGCGACGTGGATTCCTCCGCCTCAGCAGCTAACCATTGGGTATATACGGCATCAGACCACTGTCGTATAGGGCAGAAATTGCTTAGCGTAACCGCCTGGTAATTCATGCTCAAGGGGCTCCTGTTCAGGTCGGCGACGATGGTGCCGGAGGATGTGTCTATCATATTGCCGAATATCCCCTGGGATGCCTGATCATCATTATCGATGGTATCAGTCAATAATGTTTCTTCCAAGGCAAGGACCGTGAGGATGCACTAATGACTTACAATGCAATATGCAAGATTGCCATCCTTGGAGTAACGCCCAGGAGCTATGCTCATCGCATACTGAGCACTATAACTGTTAAAGGAAATCCCCATCGAGGAGAAGAAAGCGTCCAACTTGCTCCCATAAACAGGCAAGTCGATGGTCAAGTCTTTATACGTGAAGGTCCCCATATTCATTGGTCTCCATCCCTGGGATATGAGATCGTCCGACGCCAGCCATGTTGACTGGATGTTTCCAGCTAAGTTGAGAGTGGCTGCTTTGGCGATCGTGGATTCCATAAGGCACATCAGGCCTCTTCCCTTTCGGACGGCTGCGGCATAGGTGGTTGTACGTCTTTCTTGCAGATTGTGATTCAACACGTCGTGTTTATGTTCGGTACTGCGCTTATGGTGATGGAGATGGTCATGGCCGTGACCGTGGTCGATGACTCGGAGGGGTAATTTGGTACTTAAAGCAAGCGAGGCAACGAGCAAGGTGACGGCAAGTGAGAATAGCAGTCTCTTGAGAGTGCTGTTACGCATCACGCTTGCCATGGTGATGATCCGGATATAGGAATAAACCAAGTCCGTTCTTCACCCAGGAGTCGTGCAGAGATCATCAAGCCAAAATCATTCTCCTAGAAGATAATCAGGGTGACAAGACATGCCGCAGCCACCACTACACATCGCAATACCATGTAACATCCTACAGAGATTACGGAACGCCTGGCAGAGGCTGAGCAGAGCTAAGACCGTAAGCGAAATTAATCAGGCACACCCGCAAACTTGTACTCCGTAGTGCTTGGCATCATATAAGCTCAAGACCCTGATAGGCCGAGAACAGCCACCCTCACAAGCGTAACATGGTAAGCAATCTAAAGATACCAGACTTCCGGAGGGGTTTAATCTCCCTTAATCTAAGAGTCACCCTTTGTGATCACATGGACTACTCAATGTAACCATTGTTCCTGGCTCCTGCAGGCGCCTGCAGGCGCCTGCAGACCACCGGTGTCTCCAAAATAGGTAGGCAACTCCTTTCACGTGTTTATCAGCTGGATGTGCATTGTGTACGGAGTACTATAGCTGCTAGCGTGGGGGAACGGAAATAAGTCCTTGAGCACTCATGGCTTCGGATAATTCTCTCGCTTTTCATGCTTACTGATCCTACCATTATTCTCTCTCCCTGCTCCAATCAATTCTCTCCTTCGTTCGGCATTGATCTAGCACAATGCGGTTTGTGAGGGTTCTGGTTGCTGCTGCTGCTGCTGCCACGGCAGTCGCAGATCATTTGAATCTACCGCCACTGCCTTCTGGCTACAGCTCCCCTGGGCTACCAATTGGCCCTCCACAGGTTGGATAAAACTTCATTCGCCACTTTGAAAGTTAGCTTATCATGAACTGTAGCCCCCTCCGGTGTACATGGTTGACAATCAGGGGAACACCCACGGAGTGGCTCCTGATGCCGGTATGATGCAGTTCCTCTGGGATTTGTACCGTATAGTAATTGATTATCTCCAGGGACCATGAACGGGCCGGTTTTGACCAACAAGCAAATGGATGGCGTAGTCAAGGCGGAGAATTCAACCGAAAGCACTTCCAAGCGCGCAACAAGCGGATTCTGGATGGATGGTATAACCCATGGCCAAGTAAGACACGACACAAAAAGCGCGTTTCAAGTCTCAACTGACTCGTGGCAGATGCCACTCGCCGGAGATGGATATCAGTTCTATCGCAATGTTCAGGATTTTGGCGCGGTGGGAGATGGAGTGACGGACGACACGGAAGCGATCAACCGTGCAGTTTCATACTCCAGCATGTCCAATTCCAGCGAGCGGTGTGGTCAGTTTTGCGGTTCGACTTCGGTCTATGGTGCCCTTGTGTTCTTTCCAGTATGTTCTCTTGTTTTTCTTTCTGATGATTTCAATCATATCGCTGATCTGGAAACGGGGACCAGCCAGGAACCTACCTCATCAGCACTCCAATCGTCCAGTACGTACTCCATCTTCTGAAACTCCCCACTATCACCGCTCACAGAAACTGTACAGGTATTATTACACGCAGTTTGTAGGGGATGCCACGGACAGACCAACCATTAAAGGCAGTGCCAATTTCACTGGCATTGCTCTCATCGACACCGATCCCTATATCCCCGGCGGAAATGGAGCAGAGTGGTACATCAACCAGAATCAGTTCTACCGTCAAATCCGCAACTTCATCTTCGACATGATCTCTATGCCTTTTACCAATTATGACGGGGACCAGGAGTACAATGCCACCGGTCTGCACTGGCAAGTGGCGCAGGCTACCTCCCTGCAAAACCTAGACTTCCAGATGAGTGTCTCCACTGCGTCAAAGACAACGACCATGGTGGGCATTTTCATGGAGAACGGATCAGGCGGCTTCCTGAGCGACCTGACTTTCTTCGGATTCCGCGCGGGAAACCAGCAATATACCGCCCGGAATCTGCAGTTCACGTCTTGTTTGACGGCTATTTCCATGATCTGGGACTGGGGTTTCACCTGGCAAAACATCTATGTCCATTCTTGCTGGGTCGCAATAGATTGTACTAGCATCGGCGGTATCGGTTCCCAGGGCACTGGCTCAATCAGCGTCATAGATTCGCATTTCAACGGTGTGCCGTATCCGATTACTCTGCGCAACGGCGGTCCACACCCCAACATTATTCTAGACAATCTGCTGATCGAGAACTCTGCCGACGTAGTGCTCATTTCTGGGGGTGAGACAATCGTCGCTGGATCTGCCGATGCACTTTACTTCACGTCTTGGAACATGGGACGTTTCTATGATTCCTTGAGTGGTGACGGCCAGGACCACACTGGGTTTCTGAGCCCCACCCCGAACAAGCCGACTAGTCTTAAAGACAGCTCTGGTCACTACTTTTCGCAGTCCAGACCTCAGTACGAGACTTATTCCAGCAGCGACTTTGTCGTAGCCACTGCAAATGGCATCTCGAATGACGGGACGGGAGATCAGAGTGGTGCAATCAATGGTCTCCTTTCCAGCTCGGTTGGCAGTCCCGTCTTCTTTCCTGCCGGTATCTATCAGGTTCAGTCAACAGTCAAAGTTCCAGTTGGCTCGATCATTGTTGGCGAGGGGTGGTCTCAGGTAAGTATTTTGCCATTGTTTTCTCTCTTCAAATGAAAAGATTCCTACTCATGGCCGGATCTTTAGATTAGGGGGACAGGGTCATATTTTGAGGATGCTTCGAATCCGCAGGTTATGGTTCAGTATGTCATCTCTACACTCAAATCTCTTTTATCCATGCACATAGAATTACGAATCCTTACGTTCATACAGAGTCGGCGACGTTGGAGACTCTGGAGTGATTCAGATCTCCGATATGCTGTTCACGGTCAAGGGTGCTACCGCGGGGTGCATCCTTATGGAATGGAATGTTCATGAGAGCACACAAGGCAGCGGTTAGTAAAGCACAACCAGTTCGCTTAAAATGTTGTAAATCTTACCCTCTATCTCTAGCTGCTATGTGGGACTCTCATTTCCGCGTCGGAGGAGCGGAGGGGTCCGACCTCCAGATGGGGAATTGTCCGAAAGGTTCAGACATCAATACTGATTGCATTGCCGCAAGCATGCTCCTCCACCTTACCAAGCAGTCCTCGGGCTATTTCGAAAACCTTTGGGTCTGGACAGCCGACCATGATTTGGACGAGCCTGTAGGAAGCGCAAATACGACAACTGCGTCGCAGCTCAACATCTTCACTGGTCGTGGTGTTCTGGTTGAATCACAAGGTATGATATTGATACATGTGTCTTTTTTTTTTGGTTTGATCTGACCGTTTATGCCAGGACCAACATGGTTTTACGGCACCTCTGTGGAGCACAGCGTGCTCTACCAGCTCACCCTTTCCGCCGCGAAGGATATCTTCATTACCCATGTCCAAACAGAGACCCCCTATTTCCAACCAGACCCAGATGCATCGCAGCCCTTTGATGTAGGCTTTTGGGACTCCGACCCAGATTTCTCGGGCTGTGTATCAGGCTCCAACTGTGAAGACGCCTGGGCTTTCCGCGTACTCGATTCATCCGACATCTTGGTATACACAGCTGGATTTTATAGCTTCTTCGACGCTTTTGAACAAACCTGTTTAGATGATGAGTCATGTCAGGAACGATTGGTGGAGACCAGCTTTACGCAAGGGTTCTGGCTGTATAACATTTTTACGATTGGCGCTGCGCAGGTCGTCAGTCCCATGGGAGGCATTCCACCCACCTTGCAGAGTGATGATAACCAAAAGTAAGTTCCCATATCCCATACTAGAGCGCTTTCTTACACGCCCTCTTTTTTTCTTCCTTCAGTGGTTATTCTACCGAAATCAGCGCTTGGCTTGTTCTTGCCGAGAGCGGTGGTGATCTAGGTGTCTCGTCCGGAGTCGATGGAGATGCCACCATTGTATACATCGGTGGCTTGATTTGGGTTGAACCAAGCCCCATCGTTCAATGCTCTCCTCCATGTATCATGGTGCTTCCGCCATCGCCAGTTCCCACGCCCACTCCTGTCAGCTTTAATCCAATTCCTACATCGATCAATCTCGGGGGAACTGTCATCTCTGAAGTTACACCATCGCCTGGTAAGTTTACCCAATATCAAAGCTTGCTGAGTAGGTCAGTTAAATCATGAATTGATAGTGACTCCATCCGAGATTGGATTCTTTCCGGTAACCATTCCGTCCGGTGTGTATGGTTCCGTCTTCAATATAAACTCGAGTGTTACCCCCGGACCCGCGGTTGTTAGCGGAGGAGGAACCACATCAAGCATCACTTTCGACCCTACGGTAGGCCCCGGGGGCGTCTGGTTCAATGCTTCGCTCGTCTACTACACGCTTCCTACGACGGTATATACATCCAACGGAGTGACCCAGACATTCTCGGAGGCTCAGTTCACCGAGTGGGCGACCATACCAACAACTACCACCATCACCACCTCGCTCAGCACGCGGGCTTCTACCTCAACAGGCTCCTCCGACTCGTCAACAACAACACTCTTGCCAGTATGGGTCAATATCGGGGGCTTCTACTGGTCTCCAGTGCCCCTGCCTGGCCCAACGCCCCTCCCGATTCCACAGCTCCCCGAACTACCCGATATCCCAGAACCGCCGTGCTTCAAGCTCTTCGACATATTCTCAATCGACTGTCCCCCAGATAAAGGCAATCCCACAACAACGTACACCTCCGGCCCGGCCTCACCAAGCTGCACCAGTTCCTGCGGAACATACCGCACTAGTGACTCGTCCTCCTCATCAAGCACGTCATCATGCACGACAACAACCTCGATTGAATGCACCTCTGCGACAACCTGCAACACGTATATCGGATGCGAATGCCACACCAAGACCGTTACCGACTATTGGGTCTCCTGTTCCGTGGAGAGTTGCACCACTACAAGTTCAAGCGTCGTAAGCGGCTGCTACGTGACAGGCACGACAACGACAACAGGCGTCGCTTGCTTGACAGTAAGCTTGGATCCCGAGACCGACGACGAAGGCGACGACGCCTTTTTCCCTGCTGTCGGCTCTGCGGTCATTGTAACAAAACCCGAGATCGTATGGATCGGCGGCTCAGTCTACCCGGTCTCCGGCGGAGAAATCACCCTGGGGAGAGGGGGAGGGTCTTACTCTATCCCGTCTGTGACAGCAGCTGTGACGACGATCCTTGGCGGAACGTCCGCCGTTATCTACCCGTCTACCACTGGAACCTCTTACGAAGTCGCTGTGCCAGGTTTGCTGGCTACCGGATCCTCCTCAAGCGCCACCTCCACCACTATTCGCACAACGACAACGACAGCAACAACTTCAACCACCAAGCCATCCCCAACACGAATCGCAGCTTTCATGGTCTCCCAGCAGGATATGAATGGCCAAGGCGTCTTCCAATGGTGGGTTATAGACGAGTACACAAACAGCATTACGGACGTCTGCGACGCGCACGCCGACATCGAGGTCTCGTCGGACTCAGCCCCAGGCTACGACTTTACTTACCCGGATAGAACAATCGGTCCTTTCACTAGCCATGGCATTAAAGGCTGTGTGTATAAAGGTACCCACGGTGGGGAGACAGTCGGCACGATGACTTGTCCTGGAGTGGACTCGATTGTTTGTGAGAAGGATCCCCAGTATAAAAAAAACTTTGATTGTTTAGGCGCAATTTTGACGTCTTGTGTGCGCTGTATATTTTGATTTGGGGGCCTTAATATACTGCCTATTCAGCAAGCAGGTACCTTAGCAGAGTACCGTACGATCTAGTGGTTTAGTTTATAAAACATGTGGATTTTGCATTCCCCTCTTGTAATCCACTAGTTGAACTTGGTGGTCAGCCCTATCTTGTCATCAGGTACTGTTGGAGTTATCTAGCTCTATATTTTGCTAACTCCCCTTAGGCCTAGTTTTTCGAGCAATATAGAGAGCTCAAAATTTTGGATCTAGTCGCTTACCTTCCCGTGGCCTAGATCCTGCTTCGCATTAAGCTATGCGTCCCTCTCTTCGAGTATCGTTAAATCGTTTAGTTAGATTTGGCTAGGTATAATTATGAACTGGAATAATAATAGTAGTGTCATTAGCTATCACCCGGCGGTGGCGGGTAATTTTTTCGTTGTAGAATCTTTCAAATTTTTTCTCAAGGAATAGCTACCAGAAGACACTTAGAGCTAAAACGAGGTCTTCCTCTGTGTCCTTTGCTACCTCCTAATTACTAACCGTCACTCGCCACTCTATGCGATAGTGGATATAGATCGGCGGATCTAGGTTGTATACTCTTCCTTCCTTCTATTTAGATAACCAGAGCAGCCTAAGAGCATTAGGTTATAACTGACTCTCGAGTATAATAGACATGGAAGGACTGTATTTAGATCGCGTTGCGTAGGGGCTACTAAGATAACTAGGAGTCGGCGCGTATTACGAGTCGTGTTCTTATAGTTTAGGCACGTCGGGATAAGAGATTGTATCGTTATGATCTAGGCTCTGTCTTATCTCTATATATATCCGGTAATTCTTGAAAAGTCTATATCAGCTTCTTAAGACTACTAGCTTTTAAAAGCCCGACCGGGCTAGGCGAAGGTGGGTCTAGTTGCTATAAAGGGGTGCCATTTTCGGCGTAGAGGAAATAAGGAGAATAACTTCCTCAGGCCTACCGCTCACATCAGCTCAGAAGGATGACTAAGGGAGCTTGGCGGGTGCAGAATAGTGGTGGTCTAGGGTGGAAAAGCGGCCGTTTCTAGCGCCAGAAGCTATCATTTTCGGCGTCATTTTCATAAGTCCTTATATTCTATATGGAAATTCACAGAACAGACTCTGCCTAGATTTCGTGGCGATGGGGATTCTCTCGCTCATCCAGCACCTTCCCAAGGTTACGTTACCTTTCGGTAGTCTCCTGTCTTCAGCTGAGCTAGGGCTCTATATGTGACAGCTTTCGCTCTTTATGAGATTGTTCTATTTGCAACCTTCGAGTCTACTTGAGTATCTCGACGGACGTATTTCTTATGCAAGAACACCCTTCTTTTGATTCGTAACAGCGTTATGGTAAGCCCGGCCTACAGCATCGCTCAAAAATAAGTGCCTTCCAACGAACACATTAGATGATATCTAATTCATCGTCATCGTCATCGTCATCCGACAAAATCTGTCTTCTGCTAGTGCCAGGTTCAGCGGGGCCACCTAGGCTTTCTCGACCCGCTTCTCGTATCCCATTCGCAGTGATGAAGCGTGTTTTCTTCACCCCGCTACCATGCGGGTTGGCATTGGCACGCTTCATGGGGCCCAGGCGGACGTTCTTTGCTTTGCCGAAGCTAGCCAGGTTCATGCTGCTGCTCTGGGGAAGAGTCTTCGGGGTACTGGGTGTGCCCGGTAGTTTGTCTTTGTTGCCATTGCCAGGGCTTTCATTGGCAGTACGGGTGCGAAGATAATCTGCACCGACACCACTGCGGCCAGAAATGAGCTTCTGTGTGATCTCGCGCTCACGTTCCTGAGTTGCGAGACGCCTGCGCAATCGTTCTTCCTTATTCTCCATGCCACGACCCATCATACCAGCGGCAATGAAAGGGTCATCACTAACAGCATCGAGCAAATTCGCAGCTGAATCACCTGAGGCATTGGGATGATAGGAAGAACGATTGCCGTGGCTCTTGCGAGCCGGCGCTACGTAGTACGTGGACTGGGAGCCCCAATCGTACTGGGCACCTTCCGGTTTCAAGCCCTGCTTGGGGGTATTGGGATCACGCTGAACGCTGCGTCGCTTGCCTCCCTCGCCGAAGAAACCGGTCCGTGATCCAGACTTGCCACCAGGGCCGAACATGCCTGTATCGCCATTGACGCCCATGCGCTGGCCTTGGGTACGCCGTATCTGGATATCCACATGGTAATCACAGAATTCGGTCTTTCGACCATCCACCCATGCCTGGCAGGTCTTGCCATCTTTCTTCGTGGCCTTGCAGTAGCCGATGTCTCGAGAGTGTCCGATCTCGAGGACCTTGTCATCTGATGATGAAAGCGCCAAACTAAACCGGTTGGTATCTAGCTTATGTTTTGGAGGGGGCATGATTGTAGGGTTCAAGATCGCGATGAGTGTTCCCGTTGAGACCTTGTAGTAACGGGGGAAAGCTGTATCAAAGAGGAAGAGGTCAATGGTCCATTTGAGATCAGTCAAAGTGATGACCATGTATCGGTCGGTGTTTTTTAGGCCGTCATCGTAAGGATCGATTGTCTTTGCAGAGGTATTCCCATAGTTTTGTTTCTGCTTTGGGTCGGATTTAGATGCAACGATCCCAAACACCACAAAGTCTCCGTCCATTTCATCCGGCAGCTCAAAATCAGGTGCCTTGACTGTCTTGAGAAGATCGGGAATGCAGAGGACGTTCTTCTCTGCTAGGGTGCGGCTCAAGAAGGAATGGGGCAGGACGCGGCTCGACAGATGCTGCCTAGAGTAGGATTCGAACTTGGATGAGTCCCCTGCTTCTTCGGAGGGCGTGCCAGTGCCATCCCGATTACTTTCCAACCGTCTGACATTTGGAGCCGTTTCGCTGCGTGTCAACCCGCCAGGTCGGGGTTTGCTCAATGCCCGCATGATATCTTCTCGACTGTAACTTGGCGCTTCTGGCTCCCGGATAGAAGATGGAGGTGGTGAGGGCACTTTGTTGGCAGCTGCGGTCTTGAAAGCAGCTACCTCAGCCTTGTCCAATTTGAAAGCGGAGCTTCTGTTCGCCTGGACTCTCTCTGCTCTTTCCAGGCGCGACTTTTCAGCGGCTCGGCCCTCGGCCATTCGCTCACTGAAACTTTTGATCCTATGCAACCCTCCGCCTCCGGGAGAGGTCTGTGGTCTCAATGAGAACACATCACTAGAACGTGATATAGCACCACTTCGGGTTCCCAGCTGACTGGCCGGCCGAGCGTCCTTCCTTGCGCTCGGGGGTCGCTTGAGTGATACATCATTCGCTTTCCAACCCTTGTCAATTCCCATCCGATATCTTTGGGGAGACCAAGGATCCGGGGGCGCTTCTCGTTTTGTTGGAGATACCGGAACTTGAACCTCGTCGGGTTGTGTCCTTCGTTGGACGTTTTGCGGGCTTCTAGGGACCAAGGCATGATTTTGTGGCCGTGACAAAGAAGCAATGCCTGAGGTCGGGCGGACGTGCTCATCCTCTCCTTCCTCTGCATTCGAGCTTGTAGTGCCAGATCTGGCGCGTTTCTTCTGCAGCTGTTTCAATTTCAGGCGAGCCTGGATCTCCGCCAGCTGCAATTCCAGCGTCTCTTCGTCCTCGCCTTCATCCTCATCTTCGCCCTCGTCTAGGACCTGATTGGCTTTGGACCGGAAGTTTGGTGTTGTATTCGAGCGTTTCAAAGGTGAGGAAAGGAGTTCTCGCCGGCGCTGTATGTCCTGGTACTTTTGTCGGCCTCCCGGCGAGCTCAGAAGGGCATCGCGGGGTGATTTTGGCGGCCATGCGCTGTCGACCACTTGAAAAAGAATGGTAAGCAATAATTGCCATCTCATTTCGGAGAAAAACTCACTTTTTCTGTGTTGAGACTGGGGAATTCAGGTTCTGGAGTCACCCACGGCGCTTCATTCCCCCGCTTCTTCAGCCGCACCGTCGGCAACACGCAAAACCGGATCAAACGTAGAAGCTGAGAGGAAATGACTGATGAAGAGAAGAGATCAACTTCAGAACACGAGGACAAAAAGCCAAAAATGCTCAGAGTGAGCAACGCAAGGAGATGTGAGAGATCACACACATGATTCGCAGTCGAGCGGCGCGTCTCGCGCCGGGACGCGCCTTCCCAGGACCCGCGCCTTCCACTTCAATTTCCCCTTCAACACACCACGATGCCTCGCACTCGAGCAACTGCTCCTCCCAAGGAGGAACCTCGGCTTGAAGAGAAGAGGACACTGGTGCGCGCAGAAAAACCCAGCAAGACTTTCATCCTCCCGTCGTCCACCAGCACCAACGCGCGTTTGCTCTCCCTTCCCAACCCGCAGTCCGGCGAGCTCTCTCGCTATTTCTTTTGCCCTGAACGCGGTATCTATGAGTTCATAATCGTCGCATCCCCTCCTACGGCCGCTCGGAGTATTCTATTCACCCCTGCAAAACAACCAACTACCGTTGAGAAGGACGTTCCTTTGACAACGGCGTCAGTCGCTAAGAAGGCGGAATTGTTGGTCGCGACACCAATTGACGCCCTGTTCTTCTTGACACACCTCTTTTCGACGACTACAAAATCTGGCCAGTCTCTGTTCCAGCCATTGGACGACATTATCGACTCCAATGATGACCTCCATCCCCATTTCCGCCATGTCCTCTACGATGAAACGTTTCGAAGCACCTTACTTGCTCGCGCAGAAGCTATCTGTGAGACTGTCGAAGCGGGTGACGAAAAGATGCTCCGCTTCAGCGAAATGAAACTTCTCAAGGAATTGATCGCCAAGGCAGAGCGAATGGCTGCGCAGGGCTTGCCAGCAAGTTTGGAGGAGCGGTTCATCCGCCAGGCACTGGCTGCTCCACTGATGTCGGTCAAGCGAGAGGACACCTTGACCGGTCAAACTTCGAAAGAGGACGAAGCAAGCTCCAAGTCGGAAGAAAGGCAGGATAGCCCGGCTACGGTGGCCACCACTGCCACTCCCTCCGTGTCAACGCCGGCAGGGGAGTCCACGCCAGCTCCTGGCGAAGATTCGAACTCTTCAGATCATGTTACTCGTTTGCAGCGAATTGCGACGGCCTTGTCTTTCATGAAAGAATCCTACCTACCACAGGTCTTGTGTTCTCGAATTGATGAAATACTCGCCTCGCCGGAAAGTCCATTGGATCTTAAGCCTTTGCAGGACCGTCTCAAACAACTTGTGGAACTCCGTGCTGAGGCATTTGCTTCCCGAAATATGTCTGATTTCAGTCGCAAGCGTGGCCTAGATGATGAAGAGGTGGAGGCTCGCGCCGAGAAGAAACGCAAGAAGGACGAGGAAGAGAAAACCAAGAAGGCAGCGGAATCCCAGGGAGTACGCAGTCTGAAAAAGGTCAACACGACTGGCATGAAAAAGATGAGCGACTTCTTCGGGAAGTCTGCTGCGACAAAGAAGACTTGAATGGTTCGCTGGCGAATTGTTTACTGGATTCTTTCGACATGACTCTCATAGTTGGTGGTCATGAAGCAACGGGGCCCAGCGGCATCGGAAAGCGCTGGGCAACAGTGTCTCCAAACTATGACGCGAGCAGCCTCCATGGACCACGGCAGCTACCAAGACAGATTCATGGGATAATGTTTTCGAGGCGCTCCGAGTCGGATCTGGCCGACTCCTGGCGCATCGATACGATTTACTGCATGGATGTAAACCCGGTTGAGCCTCAAGCTGAAGAGTGATGCCCTAGGCCCAGGATGCCTCGGGGCAAATGAAGACTCCCAGTTCCCGCCCGGGCTATGCCAGTTAGGTCTGGAATAATGGAATCGGGGATTCTTGAAATTTGGATTCTTTTAGAACACTTATAATTCAGGATTCAACGCTAATGAACCCCGGGAAATGATGTCAAAGTTTTTAAAGAGGAATCTGGTCAATAGCAGCTCCCGCAACACTATAAATCGTTAGCCACACATTCCTGTCCGATCGGGGGAGCGTAGAAGACATACACAAACGAGCCATTGGAAGGCTTGCTAATTACCATAGCCTGTTCCAGCTTCTCAGCACTGATATCAGGGAACTTCTTGAGGTAGTACTCATTCCGCAGGGCGGTCGTCACAGCCTCAACCTTACCCTGAGGCAGCATGTGAACAGTGCAGCCACCCCATCCAGCACCAGTCAACCGGCTACCCCAGGTACCGGCACGGCGAGCAATGGCACAAATATCATCAACCTCGGGTGCACTGCACTCGTACTGCGTGCGGCACGAGTCTTGCGACTCATTGAGCAGCTGGCCGAGATAATGGATGCGCTTCTCATCCAGTTGAGAAGCGTTGGCAAGACACGCCTTGAAGTCCAGCACGCGACGGGCCTCCTTAAAGCAGTGCAACGCACGCTGGCGCAGCAGGAACCGCTCCGCCTGCACCGGGAACGCAGATAGGAACTTGGACTCCAGCTCGGGGATGGTGATGCCCAGCATCTGCGCCATCTCCTCGCGTGTGTAGCCTTCCGCCTTGGTCAGAATGTCCTGGACGGCCTGAATGACGGAGTCGATCTGGTACTCCAGAGGGTCGTGCAGCCGCTCTTCCTTGGTCATCAGCTGGTGCTGGAAGTTGCGCAGACTGTAGCCCAGCGAGCTGTTGTCCTTGGGGAGGGTCACGTCGAAGCTCTTGGCCAGGATTGAGGCAGCGAGCGTGCACTCAGCTACGCGCAGGTTGTAGTGCTTGGGTGCGGTCTCGGCCTTGTTGGAGGTGACGAAGCTCTGAGCCATGAGGAACGTAATCTCGTCGGTGGCCTTGGGAATCGGGACATGCTGGGCGTGGAATTGTGGGAAGAACTGGGTGTACAGCAGGAAGCCGCGCTTCGAGAAGATGGAGGCGGCCTGGTCCATACTATTGCCGAGGACATTCGGGGTTAGAAAATCAATCACACTGGTTCCAAGCAACTCGGCTCTAACTTACCCGCCAGAGTACACGCCGACAGCGCGCTCAGAGACAACGGCCAGATCCAACAGATCCTGCTTGGACACGTTGTGGTTGTTGGCCTTCATGACAGCCAGAGCACTGGCGCATACGAAGGCGGCACTGCTGGAGATACCACCCCCCGGGGGAATGGAGCCGTCCACGAGGATCTCCATGCTGGCAGGAACCAGCGAGCCATCTGTCTTTTCCTTGCGCAGGAACTTCAGAGCACCGAGCAGGCCGGCCTTGAAGTAGTTAATCCATTCGTGCTTCTTGGGATCGATCTCGATGTCCGAGTCGTGGGGCACGCTGAACTCGCGGGTGGGGAATTTCTCCGGCGCGACGTTGGCAATCTTGACGGTGGAGCCGGAGGCGCCGGCGGGGACGACCTTGACGGCCATGATAACGTCGACGCTGACGGCGGTGGGCAGGACATCGTAGAGGGAGTAGTCGATGTGCTCGCCGATAATGTTGACACGGCCGGGGCTGCGCGCCACGAAGTCGGGACGGTGATTATACTGCTTGTTGAACTGCTGGATGAGGGCAGACCACCGCTGCTGGTGTTCCGGGGCAACCGAGTTCACTGAGGCATCGTCGGTGGCGTAGACCTCCGCGATGGATTCTGTTTGTGGGACAAGCTCCAGGGATGGCATGGCGGGGTAATGGTCTGTAGTTTTTGGGGGGGAAAGGAAGGAAAAAGGAAGGGAGATGTAGAGAAGGGGGAGGAAATTAAGATGCAATTGAGTAATTAACAAAAATAAAAAGGACAAGTGGAAAAGAACGATGACCGGCCCCAGTTTCTCCCAGATTCAACCCCGGGCAAATTAATGGAATGTGGTGGGGGTTCTTCTCCGTACCGCACTCGGTTTCATTCCCGGTGTCCCTTTGCAGCGTAGTCTTTGCGGGGGGCGTGGCATGGACCCCCACGGTTCCTGGATTTATTGGTCGACGCTTTGCAATTGACGTAGCAAGGTAGCATGTGTTCCTGGCCTGAGTGAAAGGATTTAAAGTATACGTTATTGTACCGACCTCCATGCCCAGAGTTGACGGTAGAGTAAAGCCAGCGGCCGGGAACGTCGATATCCCTTGGTAGTTAGAAGAACCGAGAACCCCGAAAGTAAATTGAATACATAAGGGGCATAGGAATTGGGGCATAATCCTGAGGTTAGACGATATCTACGAACAATGACCGGCCCGAGTGTCATGGGCCCACCCCGGCTTTCCGTGTAAAAAGTTCGGGATCCCTCATCATCAACCACTCGGGAAAAGAAAACATCACCCACAGCGACGATCGGCAATAGAGGGCCATTGAAATTGGTAGAGACCGAGGATCCACCATGTAGTGCAGCTTCACGTACTTAAAACTGCTATGGATATAGGGAGTATAGAGACGACATTTGAGAGAGTACAATCGCCGTCTTCATCTCCTCGGCATAACTTTTATACTTCATGCAAGGGATCACATGATACGAAACCGGTAAAGAGTCAGGTGACTGACGTTCGCCGAGGTCGGAGGTGTGGAGGAGGCTGGGGCCAATAGAAAGGGCCGAATTCTTGACTCAGAGCGATCGGTCGGTTTGGTTTGGGTTTAAGGCGTTTTTCCTCTCTCCAGAAGAATCACAGTCCAGAGGCAGCTTTTTCCTTTCTAGACCTCCATCCTCGTTTTCTTTTCTGGGCTGCCGTCGGTCATGATGATGCCTCTCAGACCGTCTAAAAGCGCTCTGCGCGCTCTCCACATCCAGAGGCAGCTCGCCTCTGCTCGTCGGCCTTTCTCGACATCCTTCGTGGCTTCGGCTGCCTCGCCCCACCGCTCTTTTCCTCAAAAGCGTGCTCAGAGCACTGCTACTGCTAAGTCGTGAGTCCCTCGTGCTGCCATTGCCAATGCCATTCTGACTTTGTGCCATCAGGAACACGAGACCCGTGCCCAGCCCGGCTTTCAACCAGGAACCCCATCGCAATGAGATCTCTCCTCTGCAGAACCGCCAGCTCCCCGAGCTCGATGACTCGTAGGTCGAATCTTGTGTGGTCTTGGCAAAGGATGGACGCTGACAAAAACAAAAAGAATGGTTGGCATGAGCGGTGGTGAAATCTTCCATGAGATGATGCTCCGTCTCGGTGTGAAGCACGTCTGTAAGTGTCAAATTCCCCCGGCTATTCAAAGTCCCGCCGTCGGCTCATATATTGGATTTATAGTTGGTTACCCCGGTGGTGCCATTCTTCCCGTCTTCGATGCCATCTACAACTCGAAGCATTTTGATTTCATTCTCCCCAAGCATGAACAAGGTGCTGGTCACATGGCAGAGGGCTATGCCCGTGCCTCTGGACTCCCCGGTGTGGTTCTTGTCACTTCCGGCCCCGGTGCTACCAACGTCGTCACCCCCATGCAGGATGCTCTCTCCGATGGCACCCCCATGGTTGTCTTCTGCGGTCAGGTCCCTACCAGCGCTATCGGTACCGACTCCTTCCAGGAGGCCGACGTGATCGGTATCTCCCGTGCCTGCACTAAGTGGAACGTGATGGTCAAGTCCGTTGGTGAGCTGCCTCGCCGCATCCAAGAGGCCTTCGAAATCGCTACCAGCGGCCGCCCCGGTCCCGTCCTCGTCGACCTACCCAAGGATGTCACCGCTGGCATCCTCCGCAACCCGATCCCCATGCATAGCACTATTCCCTCCCTCCCGACTGCTGCTACTATGGCCGCTCGTGATATGGGCCAGAAGGCGCTCGAGCAATCCATTAGCCGCGTTGCCCGCCTAGTAAACATGGCCGAGAAACCCGTGCTCTACGTTGGTCAGGGTCTCCTCGCCCGCCCTGATGGTCCTCAGATTCTCAAGGAATTTGCCGACAAGGTTAAGATTCCCGTCACTACAACCCTCCAGGGTCTCGGTGGCTTTGACGAGCTGGACCCTAAAGCTCTCCACATGCTCGGTATGCACGGTTCTGCCTACGCCAACATGGCCATGCAGGAGGCCGATCTGATCATCGCCGTTGGTGCCCGTTTCGATGACCGTGTCACCCTGAGCATCCCTAAGTTTGCTCCTCAGGCCAAGGCCGCAGCTGCCGAAGGCCGTGGTGGTATTGTGCACTTCGAGATCATGCCCAAGAACATCAACAAGGTCGTTCAGGCCACCGAGGCCGTGGAGGGTGACTGCGCCGACAACCTTCGTCTTCTCTTGCCCCACGTCAAGGCCGTGCCGGAGCGTAAGGAGTGGTTCGAACAGATCAATGACTGGAAGTCCCGTTTCCCTCTGTCCCTCTATGAGCGCCAGGTCGATGACGGTCCTATCAAGCCCCAGAGCGTCATTGAGAAGCTCAGTGATCTCACTGCGCACATGAAGGACAAGACCATCATCACCACCGGTGTCGGTCAGCACCAGATGTGGGCTGCTCAACACTTCCGCTGGCGCTACCCCCGTACCATGATCACCTCCGGTGGTCTTGGTACCATGGGTTTCGGTCTGCCTTCCGCCATCGGTGCCAAGGTGGCTCGTCCTGACTGCCTGGTTATCGACATTGACGGCGACGCGTCCTTCAACATGACCCTCACTGAGCTTTCCACCGCTGCCCAGTTCGGCATCGCTGTCAAGGTTCTTCTGATTAACAACGAGGAACAGGGCATGGTCACACAATGGTATGCATCTCCATCCCCCACCTTTTAACCTTGAATGCGGCTAACTCTTTTATCCACACAGGCAAAACTTGTTCTACGAGGACCGCTACTCCCACACCCACCAGCAGAACCCCGACTTCGTCCCTCTTGCGCGTTCCATGCGCGTTGCCGCCGAGCGTGTTTCTCGCACCTCCGATGTCGAGGCCAAGCTGAAGTGGCTCATTGAGCAGGAGGGCCCTGCTCTTCTGGAAGTCATCACTGACCGGAAGGTCCCTGTCCTTCCCATGGTGCCCTCCGGCCGTGGTCTCCATGAGTTCCTGGTCTACGATGAAGGTAAGCGCATTCATCTACATCTCAAACAAAACATGGAACTCAATGACTAACTCATTTATAGCCAAGGAGAAGGAACGCAAGGATCTGATGCGGAAGCGGAATGTCGACTTTGCCGTCAAGCACCGCGACTGAACGCCTTCAGGGGTAACAGTCTATTATAACCGTCATTTCTTTTTACCGTTGATATCCATGGCGTTTTCTTGGCGGGTTCACCAAAAGCGATTGGGAAGGATCAGTTGACCATGAAAATTCTCATCAGAAACATCGCCTTCCCCGCGGATCTTATGACCAAGTTGCAAAAGTTCGGCACCCAATTACCGGTTTGGGTTCCATCCTGATCCCCCCTTTGCTGGGTCGGCTTGGTCAGGAATCCCAATTCGCATGCATCGTGGTTATTTGATCACATTTCGGGTTTTCTTTCTATCCATTCCGCCTCCACCTTGTGTGTATATAATGTTCATGTGTTCGAGTCATGTGTTGAGATTGAGGAGTTGTTTCAGTTGCAATTTCCTTGGAGCAGGTAGTTATTGAAACATTCAACGTGCTTTATCACCATTTGGTCTTCTTTAGTTCAATCGTACATTTATTACAGCAAATACCCTTAGATAAATGGACATCATCATGGCACCTTCAATAATTCATTCCTCTGGAGCGGTGAGCCTTCAACTCACTCCCGGGCCTTGAATCTCACCCGGCACACAAAGCGCCTGACTTCGACGAGATAGATTCAGACCACCTCTATGGCCCGGCCGTGCATAATCCGCCCAAACAGAAAGCTCATAGTACCATCGGTTAAATGTAGAATGCGAAAGACAGTCCAGTCCAGATCTGCGGTGCTTTCGAGCAAAGAGCTTTGGGAATGTCCCGTAAAGTGATAGCGTCCAGGTCGCGACATCTTGTCCATCTACCTAATATGAAGGTGTCGATAGAGCGAGTAATCGTTTGACTCCATTGGCTTCCATAGCTTGAATGATTGTCGGGAAATAAACGGCAATTGCGTTGTTGTTGTGACGGTTAAGAATGGCGGATGCAGATATGCTTACGCCAAGAAAAGAGATGACTGATGATGGAATGTTTTCTCATGACAAGGCCCGGGCCACTTGCGGGATCCTTGCTAGTTGTAAATGTCACTTCTCGCCGGAATTTCTAGATCTGTACCAGTTGTGCTTAAGACAAAGATTATTTCCGATTCCATGCCGAAGGGTTTATTACCTAATGGGAGAGTTAATAAAGATTAAAAAGTATGAGGTTGAAGTACACTTCGGAGAAAGACATGGTCTCTATGGACTTCATTCGCGGCGTTATGCGGCTTAACTGATTGACCCGTCCGTTCGGAATGCGGAGGAATTAATTAGGGTTTCGAGGTCGTCGTCGGGGTCCGACAACCCCGATCGCTGATTAATGGTGCAAGTATGACACAGGGGCTTACCCCGGATTTTGTCACATTATGAAGAATGGATTTATAAGTGGTTGGAAATAGATAGAATGATTCGCAGGGGGCCGGATTTACGCTCATACTTTAAGAGGCAAATTGCACCATAAACATCTCTATTCATCATCACATTTCCAAATTGACTTCGAGGCAAAACACATCTATAACATGCCTGCTTCTATTAAACCAATCCAACTCTACGGAGGAATTCTCGGGCCCAACCCCTTGAAAGTCGGCATCCTCCTTGCCCTCCTCGACCTACCCTATGAAGCCGTGCCCGTCAAGTTCGACGAGATCAAAGAACCCGAATACGTCGCCATCAATCCCAACGGACGTCTACCATCCATCCACGATCCCAACACGGGCCTCACAATCTGGGAGTCTGGTGCCATCATCGAGTACCTCATCGAGCGCTATGACAGCGAAGAGCCCCGCAAGCTGAGCTTCCCCAAGTGGAGCGCCGAGGCCGAAGAAGCACGCTCGTTCCTCTATCTCCAAACCACCGGACAGGGTCCTTACTATGGCCAGGCTATATGGTTCATAAAGTACCACGGCGAGAAGATCCAGTCGGCTATTGATCGATATGTCAACGAGGCCAAGCGCGTGAGTGGCGTACTTGAAAATTGGCTCGTCAAGCAGAAGGAGACCCACAAGGACAACATTGGGGATGGCCCTTGGCTGGTGGGCAACAAAATGTCGTATGCAGATATTTCCTTTATCCCGTGGCAGAGAGCTTGCCATACCAAATTCCCCGAGCAGGGCTTCGGACCAACAGATTTCCCTCATGTTAATGAGTGGCTTGAGCGCATGTCTGCCCAAAAGGCAGTCCAGACTGTTCTGGACTCGGCTGATAAGCAGATGGCTGAATTTATGAAGGCGAGGGAATAGTCGCGAACATCAATCAAATTCAAGCGATTTTGCATATTTCAATTCTCGTAGATGGTTCTCTTAATTTGGTGCTAGTCGACCGATCTTGTCATCCTTCATATCTTTGGTGATAAAGAGGCTTTGGATAGAGGGTTGAAATAATTCTATTCTAGACATCTACCATGCTTTTCATGGATTAATGCGACTCTGCGGATTGCTCTGATTGGGGTTGACTATCTCCACTCTGCTGCAGGTACTCTGCGTAGGTTCAATCAAAAGACAGCCGATTCGAGAGTACGTCCATTCAGAGTGAGCAGGAAGCCTTGAGATAAGCCGCCGTTGACAACTTCCAAATCGAGTAAGGCAAAGATGTGGTGATCTCACTTGTTATATGCAGCCTGGAGAGCGATTGCGGCTTTATGAGCTTAAATGATCGTGTGAACATCCTTCTGTCTCGCCGCCAACACAGGCTGTACGTTGTCGGCAACTCACGACCTCGGCGTGTGGGCAGACTTCATCAACATGATGCGACGAAAGGACCACATTGGGACGACCCCGGCACCTGAATGCCCGCGACACCCAGACACGCCTATCCCCGTTTCCTCCCCCGATGATTCCCTCCGACTTTGCCCTGAAGGTGGCTGTGATGTCCGTTGTGCGCACCGTCTGCCTTGTGGCCATGCCTGCGGCCAGAAATGCCACTTGGAAGACCTTCACGATGCCGGCCCTTGTCTTGAGCCTTGCCTCAAACCACGAGCTGGGTGTAACCATTCATGCCCCTCGCCATGTGGCGATCCCTGCCCCGTGAAATGCATGGTGGATATTTTCCAGGAGGATCCAGTACTCAAATGCGGCCATCCCTCACCTGAGCTTCCGTGTTGGCAGTATCAAGATGAGATGAGCGGTCGTTGTCAGGTGCTGACCGAGAAGCTCGTGCCTGACTGCGGTCACACGGTGGCCATTGAATGCCATGTGGACATCACTACCGTTCAATACCAATGTTCATTTCTCTGCGGACAGCCATTACCTTGCGGCCACATTTGCAAGAAGCAGTGTTCCGACTGTAACACCAGGAACGCGGATGGGAACATTCAAGTCGACCATGGTATCTGCCGAGAGCCGTGCGGGCGGAAGTACACCACCTGCGCCCATAGCTGCCCTGCTACATGCCACGGCGCACAGGACTGTCGTCCCTGCCATGCTAAATGCGAAGTTGCCTGTCGTCATTCGAAGTGCCGGCGTCTGTGTTATGAAGCCTGCATGCCCTGCGAGGAAAAATGCCTATCAGTCTGTCTACACCGTGTCTGTATAATGCCTTGCTCTGCACCCTGCGTCCATGTACCCTGTTCCCGAAGATGCGAACGGGTACTTGATTGCGGTCACCAATGCCCATCACTTTGCGGCGAGCTGTGCCCTTCTTCCATCTACTGCCAAGAATGTGGAAGTGACGACGTGAAGAATCATGCGGCTGACTTTTTCCTCGGTCTACCGTATAAAGATGTCAATCTGGATGAGAACCCTTGCATCTTCCCCGGGTGTGGACACTTCCTGACCATGAAGAGCATGGACAGGCTGATGGAAATCAAGAAATTCTACACAGTCGACAAAGACGACAAACCCATTGGCTTGCATGCTCCACTTCAGCCGTTTTCTATTGAAGATGGAGTTATGACTTGTGCAATCTGCCACGGCCCACTGCGAGATATCACCAGATATGGCAGGCTTGTTAGCCGCATGCAGTTGGATGAGTCTACGAAAAAGCTGAACCTCTATCACAACCGAGGATATTCAATTCTATCGGAAGAGCTCTCCCGACACGTTCAACGGCTGCAGCAGGCGAGGGCCCCTCGACCAGTCCAGTGGGCAGGCTCGCTTCAAATCTATGGCGTGAGGGACAAAATCCTAAATGCAATGGTGAAAATCATGCAAAAGCTCAACCCGGGCCGCTGGGAGAAGTTGCTCGACTTCCGGAACCGAATCACTGAGTATCGTCGACGGGTTAAGTCTGCCGAGCAAAGATTTCAGCTGGTCCGTAACAAGGTGCTCGCTGAACAGAGGCGGCAGCAGACACCGGGTTACTTCAGGATCACGGTTCATGACGAAATCCTGCAAACCAATGCTATTTTGCAGGCAGAAGCGCTCGAAATCCGCCTCGACATCGCGCTTATTGCTGATCTTCTGTCGCCGGCACATCTGTTACAAATGGGCGATATGAAACTTGACCTCAATCTACAAAAGCCTAGGGACGAATGCTTTGTACTCGCTCGTACAGCGGAGCGATCCGGTCGGCTGCCCCAGCAGGTGGAAGGTCAAATCTTCATCGCCCAGCTGCATGCACTGGAACGGCCCCATACATCTCCATCAAATGCCCAACGCTGCCTGGAGCTCGGCAAAGAAGCCATTGCGAAGGCCCGATCGGTTTGCGAGGCGCATCCCGCTCAGACATCGGGATTCGCCAGCGAGATCAACGGCGCCGAAAGGATGCTGACCGGAGTCACGTTCTACGGCGAAGTCACCAGCGAAGAGCGCATGGTGGTGATTAGAGCAATGGCACGCGAGTTCCAGAGGACTTGGCAATGATATCCATTGTCGCAACGACCATCTGTTCACCATTGGCGAGTGCGGAAGCGCGAGGTAGTTGATCGAGAGAGTCGTGCAGACGATCTAGAAGAGAATCTTATCTTGACTAGATAGAACTTCAAAATGAATCGAAATGAAACCGTGCTTATGTAGTGCAGTAAACAGTGCAAAAGTGACGTTTCGGGGAATGTCCACCCCCATGGTGTCACCATCCAATGAGCTCGGCCTCCAATTCCAACTCACCTTCTTCCCCTCCCTCTTCTCCCAACTCACCTCGTCACTTCCATGAATTGTTGCGTTCGCTCCTGAGAGTGAAGAGTCCCTCAAGCTTCGCCATTGCTTTGAACCGCCGTTCCCTGCCTCCCCAGCTTTCCCCTCATTCGCTCCACGATGGCGAGCCCACCGCCTGTCCCCGAGGACCAAAACCGCCTCCTCGAGGAGGCGTTGGGGGTGGTGCGGCAGCAGTCGGCTATGATGCGCAAATGCCTTGAGACCCCCGGGAAGCTGATGGATGCGCTCAAGTGCGGGTGAGCGATTCTCTTACCCCCCAGGAGGCGACGTTGGATGACTGTCGGATGTCCGCGCAAGACAACCCACGTGCTAATTGCTGCGTCCTTCGGACGTGTGTCTACAGATCAACCCTTGTTTCTGAATTGCGAACTCCCAGTCTCGGACCGAAGCAGTATTACGAGTTATACATGGCCGTTTTCGATTCGCTGCGACACCTTTCCGTCTACCTGAAAGAGAACCACCCCGTCAACCACCTGGCCGATCTGTATGAGCTGGTCCAATATGCCGGCAATATTGTACCCCGTTTATATCTGATGATCACCGTCGGTACCGTATACATGTCGGTCGAGGATGCGCCAGTCAAGGAGATTATGAAGGACATGATGGAGATGAGCCGCGGCGTCCAGCACCCGATTCGGGGCTTGTTCCTGCGATACTATCTGACAGGCCAGGCGAGGGATTTCCTCCCCGATGGGACTGGTGACGGGCCCGAGGGCAACCTGCAGGATTCGATCAATTTCGTTTTGACTAATTTCGTGGAGATGAATAAGCTCTGGGTCCGGCTACAGCACCAGGGTCCCTCGAGAGAGCGGGAAAGACGGATACAGGAGAGGCGTGAGCTAGAGCTGCTGGTAGGCAGCAACATTGTGCGATTGAGCCAGCTGGTGGATCTCGAGACATACAAGTCCGGCATTCTACAGGCGCTTCTTGAGCAGGTAGTGCAGTGTCGTGATGTCCTGGCACAAGAATATCTCTTGGAAGGTAGGATTTCCTTGTATTTGCGCTTTTGTTTCAGTTACTGACGTTGTCCGCAGTTATTACCAAGGTCTTCCCCGATGAATTCCACCTCCACACGCTGGATCTCCTCCTGTCCGCCATCGCCCGACTCAATCCACATGTCGATTTGAAGAAGATCGTTATTGGTCTGATGGACCGCTTGTCATCATATGCCCAGAAGGATTCGGAGTCGCGTGCTGAGCCAGAAACGCGGAAGCAGAATGAGGAAGAAGCAGTCACTCGGTTATTGCAGAAGCTCGAGCTGGACAAGGAGAAGAAAAAGCAAGAATCCACCGAGGCGCCTGTCGCTGGCACTGTCAAGGAGAATGGTACCGATGAGCCAAGCAAGTCCGAGGAGCCGTCAGGGCATGCACAGGAGCAAGACCAAGCCGTCAACGGAGAGGATGAGAAGGCTACTTCTCCCCCGGAAGTCAAGCTGTACGACATCTTCTACAAGCAGGTGGTTGATCTGATCAAGACACGCGCATTGCCGATTCAAGATGCCATGGCTCTCTTGGTATCCCTCGTCAATCTCGCGTTGAATATCTACCCGGACCAGCTGGAGTATGTCGACCAGGTCCTCGACTTTGCAGCTCAAAAAACCGCTGAATACACCGATCACGCCGATTTGCACTCAGCACCAACACAGCAGCACATCCTCCACCTTCTCAATGCTCCGATCCACTCCTATGTTTCCATCTTCACAGCCTTGGCTTTGCCGCACTACCTGCCGCTTCTCACATCTCAGTCGTATCCCACCCGGAGATCTATCGCGGGCGAAATCATTCGAAGTCTTCTCAAAAACAAGATTTTCGTCTCGACAACGGAGAACCTTGACCGTGTGCTGCAGACTGCAAAGGTCCTGATTAAGGAGGGCGTGCAGCAATCTGCAGGATACCCGGGGGTGCAAACGCAACGACGAGGAGGAGAGACCGATGAGACGATTGAGGAGCAAGGATGGCTTGCGCGGTTGGTGCACTTGATCCAGGCACCAGATAATGATACCCAGCTCAAGGTACGGCCCCCTTCTCATGATATTTATATTACACGCTAATATGGTACTCGGCAGCTTCTTCAAGCAACGCGCAAGGCCTACATGGAGGGCAATGAGCGCATTCGATACACCACACCCGCCATTATTACAGCCTCGATTCGCCTGGCTCGAAAGCTGAAGTCACGCGAGCACTATGATGACAACTGGCAATCACAATCCTCATCGCTATATCGCTTCATGCACCAGTGTATCAACAACCTGTACCAGCGGGTGAATCCTGGCTGTGCGGATCTGGCACTACGGCTATTCGTGATGTGCGGTGAAGTAGCCGACCAAACCGGTTTCGAGGAAGTCAGCTACGAGTTCTTCGCGCAGGCCTTCACTATCTACGAAGATGCGATTAGCGACTCGCGCGCTCAGTTCCAGGCAGTCTGCGTCATTGCAGGTGCCCTTCACGGCGCCCGCGGCTTCTCCAAGGAGAACTACGACACCCTCATCACCAAGGCCGCCCTGCACGGGAGCAAGCTTCTCAAGAAGCCCGATCAGTGCCGTGCAGTGTACCTTGCAAGTCACCTCTGGTGGGTTGTCGAGAACCCGCAGCGCGGGGACGAAGATCCCCAGAATGTAAGTTCACCCCTTGCATCTTTTTTTTTTAACTGCCCCAGTACTGACACGCAGCTAGCTCTATCGTGATGGGAAACGAGTCCTCGAGTGTCTCCAGCGTGCTCTGCGAGTCGCAGATGCCTGCATGGACACTGCTGTTTCCGTCGAACTCTTTGTCGAGATCCTCAACCGTTACGTCTACTACTTTGACCAGCAAAACGAGACCGTCACCACCAAGTACCTCAACGGTCTCATCGAGCTCATCCACTCCAACCTGCAGACCAGCGAGGAAGAGCCTAACTCCAGTCTTGATGGACCGAAGCGCCACTTCGAGCGCACCCTCGAGTACATCCGGTCTCGGGATTACGAGGGTGTTGTGACTGAGCGGCAGTAGGGTGACGTGTGATATGTTCGTTAGGCTAGAAAGTTTTTGTTTTGTTGGAACCGATTGAGCCCCTGGACGCGGGGTTTCTGTGTATGAGACTTGCAGCGCGGGATCGTTTCGCCTTGGTTGTTTATTTTTTTCGTTTTTCGTCCTTGGAAGCCAGCCTCTCGCCTGTGGTGCTTTTACTTTCGCTTCTGAGTATATACAAGTGTACCATTGTCTCTGGATAACACCATACCCTTCCATCAAGTTTATTACCTCCGAAAATAGATGACTGCTGGTCCTCTTTGGCTTCGTAAGTGTAGAACGAGGCGATCTATGACGCCAAGTCCCCCGTTCTGTCTGTTAGCAATGCCTCGATCAAGACCTAGAAACGAGTGGCCACGCTCGCGGACCTCGGACCTAGCTATCTACGAGAGATCCCACCACTACATCAGCCACAGGCCAGGAACAAAAGACGAAGAAACCTTCAATCATGCAATTGGTTCAAGGATGACGACGGAGAGGGAGATTGTCCCAATCTCCACGGATATCGCTGCATAATGCAGAAAGGCCAGTAAAGTCATGACGTACACAAAAACAGACCTGAATGCCCCAAGGTCAAGCCAAGCCGACTTGACCATAAACCAGAAAAAGAACAAACGGGTCAGGAAAATACCCATACCAGCAAAGAAAAAGACACTTCAGAACGTGTGGATGAGACGTGAACCCGTGACGCTTCAATTCAGAGACAAAGAAAACAGGAAACAGTAGAAGAGAGGCATTTCAGGAGTCATTCCCATAGGGCGCGTTAACAAGATATCAGGAGCCTAGGAGGTCCCGCCGAACAGTCCAGCCGGAGGCGAGGTATACTGCCGCAGGACGGAGGGAGTACCGAAGCCACCAAAGGCGGTCGGGTTGCTATTCCCAGGGATGGGGCTGCCGATATCGCCGGGCACAAGGCTGCCCCGGTGGCCAGACACGGCGCTGTTGGTGTCTGGCTCGAACTTGACGTACCGGCCATTCTCATCTTCCTTGGTGGAAAAGGACCCGCCGCCGTTCTGGGGGCTTCCCTCTGTGTCACAGATATCGAGCATTTCATCCAATGAGATTGCGGGCTCACTCGACGGCCGCAGCTGCTCAACCTGGCCCAGCACTAGATTCACGTTGTGGTAACCTCCAGAGCCGGGATGAGGGCTCAGCGTGTTCAAGTGCTTGCACGCTTGGATTACCAAGAGACGGATGGTCACGGGCCGCGATGTATGAGTGCGGTGATGACCACCGGATGCGAAGGCGTTGTGAGACCAGCCACTTCCGGCAGGCGTTGGACCCCAGGTAGATGCACCGGGGAAGCCGGCGCTCCCAAAGGGTGCAGCACCCCAGCCAGGGCCGACTGCAGGGAAATTAGCATGTTTGGATCCTAGAGCAAGTTAGTTAAACCGTTTCATAACCATTCATATATTCAGTGGAGCTTACCGAGAGGGTCTGCGAAAAGTGACGATCCCTGGAAACTAGCTCTTGATGGCGTGGGGAACTGTCCAGGAGCCGTGGCACCGGGCAATGACTGGGACAGCTTCGATGAGTATGGATCATCGGTATCATCGAGGAGCGCACTGCTACCCAGCTGAGTACTCAACTGATCCACCTCCCGCTGATATGGAGCATGGCCACCTTCCTGCTGATCTTGAGCAGTGCTTGAGGGGCGCTTGATGGGGCTGAGTCGTGTGATCGGGAAAGGTTGAGAACCCGCAGAACCCGACTCCAATGGAGAGCGTTCAAACGAACTAGATGGCTGCCGTGAATGAGATTTTGACAGACCAGCTTGCATAGGGAATGCACCGGGTACCCCATGGGGTCCGGGGAAGGGGAAGCCATGTCCAGGCTCTGTCGGGAACCCCCGACCCTGTGGCATTGGGCGCACTCCCCCGATCCCCGGCGGTGCAGGAATTCCTCCTGGCCCGGTGAAACCGCGCAGGTGATTCATCATGCCCGAGTTAGGGGAGTACATTTGCAAGTCAGATTGGAGAGGCCGGCCACCCATTGACGGTAGACCTGGAGGATTGGAAGGCAAACCGCCCAATCCCGGAAATCCAGGCGGGCCAGTTCGACCTAAAGGCGAAAGGGGAGCAGAGGGTTGAGGATGGTGTAAATGAGGTTGCTGCAGCGACCCTTGTCTGCCGTGTGGTTGCGCCAAAGAGCGCGGTGAGATTGACGGCTGCAGAGGGAAATCCGAGGATCCAGGCTGCGAATGAGGAGAGGATGTGTGCGATCCCTGCTGGGATGGCTGGCGCGGCCTCACTGGGGTCGACACTTTAGCAGCAACGGGTGTAGCCGTAGCATAAAGCGGCGATTGGAGCGAGCCGGTAAACGGATGCGATGGAAGACTCGGAGCAATAGGGATGGAAGCAGGATATAAGGGGTTTGCTGGTCTCCTAGCACGTTCCCTATCCTGTTCCGCTCGGGCGGTCTCTCGATCCTTCTTCGCCTGCTCCTCGCGCATCTTGCGCTCTTGCTCCTCCTTGATCTTCCTCTCGCGCTCCGCCTTCTCCTTGCGCATCGCTTCCTCACGTTTCTTCTTCTCCTCCTTTTGCTCGCGTTGCTTGCGTTCAGCTTCGGCTTGGCGTTCTCGGTCTTCCTTAAGACGCCGCTGCTTCTCGGCGTCCTTGCGTGCACGTTCTTCCTCTTGGGCCTTGCGTTCAGCCTCACGCTTCTTCCGCTGTTCTTCACGTTTCACTCGCTGCTCCTCAAGTTTCTTGTCCTGTGCAGCCTTGATGGCAGCCTCCTCGGCCGCTTTCTCGGCATCTCGACGAGCCTTCTCCTCTTCCTTTGCCTGCTTCTGCAAACGCTTTTTGTCCTTCTTCTTCTGCGCCTCGCGGGCCTTCTTGGCATTCCGCTGCTCATTTCGGTTCTCCTCTTCCAAGAGTTCCTCTATGAGTTGCTTCTGGCGCTGCTCGGCGACTTTCTCTCGATATGCTGTCATGACTCGTTGTTCGAACATTCGGGCCGCAAATATTTGGAACATTCGTCGCCCTTCCTGCATGCGCTGTTCTTCGGTCATAGCATCCATTTCATCTTCATCGAACTCTTCCTCTTCTTGGCTGTCGTAGTCCTCGTCCTCTTCGTCGTCGTAGTCTTCGTCGTCGAGAGGACCATGGTTGTGACCGGCATGGAAGGATTGGTGAGCGGCAGCTATGTTGTATTGAGTATCTTCTTCCCGTTGCATTCGTCGCTCGGCTAGTTGCTCCATCATGTCGATAAAGTGCTTGCCATCATTTTTGAGAAGATCATCTGCCACGGTCAGGATACCATCTAAAAAAATCATCGAGTCAGAAAACTGCCAGGCCAGGATTAGATCAGAGATGCACTACTGTGCTTACCTTTTACAGTGAGACTGTTCCCGAATGCGAAGAAGTCGGCACGAGCAGCACGGGCTTCCTCGTCCTCGAACTCATCCTCACTGTACAGCTCATCGTCCTCCTCGTCCTCTTCCTCTTCCTCGTCGTATTCATCTTCAAGGTCCTCGTCATCCTCAGGTAACTCTTGAACTCGGCCCCGTGACGGGTGAAATTGACCATGAGTCCGAGTATGCTGACCGGGTGATCGAAGCGGAGGTTGGTACAAGCGAGGCGGGGGGATAATTGGAGCTCCTTCCTCAAAGGAGCCTTGATTGTTGTTGGCGTATTGTTCAAGTTCTTCGTAGTAAGCGTCGTACAGTACCTCCAGCTCTTCTTCAATCGCGGTGCGCTTCCGGCCACAGACAGTACAACTGCATGAGTGTTTCTGCTGTTCTTTCATCTTCTTCAACACGGCATCTTTCTCGACTTTGACAAGCTGGCGACGTTCCTCTTCACCAAGCTCAAACCAGAATGTTCGGATGTTCTCGCGTTCTTCCAGTGACGACTGATTCCAGATGCTGCTTTCCTTGGCGGATCGGGCAGGAAATCTGGTGGGATAAGGCAAAGAGTGTGACGGCGGAGGGTGGGAGAAGGTGGCGGAGGGAGTAGAGAGGGGAGTTGAGCTGCCATCGGCGAGGTTGTGCGATCCAGAGCGGCCTTTCTTGCTTTTCTTCTTCTTTGATCTCTCACCCATTAAGTGGAGATGATCGTCGGGCTCGTCTGGCGAAACGAGATCGTGCTGTGAACCTGACTCTCCGTTCCTATAGAAGTGGCCATCGCCAGAGAGATGTTCATCTACACTGTCGAGGTCGGCATTCTCATCGTAGGAGTGTCGATCGTCAGCCGGGTCGACGAGGTCGCCGGAGGCATGAGAGTGGGCTGGCTCGGCTGCCAGGCGAGCAGCTTGCTTCTGTCGACGTTTTTGCTTCTTGCGATTCACCCCGGATGCCGGTGCTGGCATGGTTCCGGGTGTCGAGTGGCTCAAAGGTCCCCGCGCGTCGCCGTTGATAGGTGGTGTCGGAGCAGTCGATAAATGGGTCGCCATGGTGAATCGGGGAGCTTGTAGTGACTGCCTGCGCAGTGGACTATTGCCACGAGCGAAGAAGCGTCAGTTTAAGTACAGAGTCACGCCGGGGTTGAGGAGTGGGGGTCCAAAGCGAGAGACTTCAAAGCGGAGAGGCGGGAAGATGAAAGAGCCTACCAACAAAGCTCCGGTCAATCCAATGCAGGGACCGACCTAAGAGAGACTCCGCTGCGCGTGTCAACAAGGACGGGAAGCCTTTGTTTCTCGTAGAAGGGCCAGTGTAGCAAAGAGGAGGGGTGCGGGATTGTAGTCGGGGAGGGGGTTTGAAAGCCAATAGTGCCGGCGGGTCAGGACCTGATCGCAGGTCGGAAATGAGGCCGGGGCGGTGGGAGGCCTGCGGAGTGAGAGGTACAGGAGGTCAAAGCCAGGGCCAGCAGCAACGCAGAGCCCTGAGAGTCGCGGGACGCAAAGACAGCGAGATCTTATGCCGGATGATGAATGAATCGACGGCCTTTCCTGCGTTCTGGCTGGTTGTCGTGCCGCCGCAACGGGATAGCCGCCGCAAGCGAGTCTGGTGCCTGATCAATCAGGCATCAAATCGATACAGGACTTGTTTTACCAGATACATACTATGCGAGGATACTATATTTACATATCTCCGGTATAAAGTTTTATATACATCGTACCAGTCTCGAAGAAAGAGCGTCGTGGAGCGCAAACTTCCCACTCGGTTGAAGATCACGTGCGTGCAAGGCACCGCTCCGTTCTGCCCGGTTATCAAGGCGGTATCTCCCCACGTGACAATAGCCTTTTTCCTCCCCTGCCGTGTGAGACACGGACAGCGCTAATCAAAAATAACTTGAGGCAATTTTTCGAAATAGAAACAAAGCGGATGATCGTAAACGGAGAAGTTGCCGTCTGTGTATTAAGTTCGGTAGTCAAAACCCCCGGGGTAAGCCTTAAATCTCCGGATTCTACTTAACCGCATTCCCTCCCACCCTCAACCCTCAATCCTTCATCTTGTCAACAAAACGGCTCTTTTTCTCTGCGCATCTTCGCATTCACTCGTTTTCCTGCGTGTATTTCGGATCATCTAGGGTTATCCAATCCGACGACTTTGCCCACCTTCAACCCCGACCGCCTTTGAGCCCCCCCCCCTCCTCCCAAACCCTGACCCGTCACGTCACTGTTTTTGTGCTTGAGGCCAACCCATCCCAGTCCTTCCGTGCCTGCTATTGGGTGGGAGAAAAAGTACATTGTGCGCAAGGCTAAACTTCTCTTACCCCTGTTCGCTCCCGTGTCGCGATCGTGGTCAGCACGCCTAGAAAGTCTAGCTGATCGAGCCCCCGAGACCCGGTCATCCTCTCGATCATCACCCATTTGCTCTGCGAAGGACCTCATTCGACGTGCCACTGTATAAATCATGGCCCAACAACAGAGTGATAATGTGATGCGGAGGTACGCGCGGCCACTTGCTTTCCCCGATGCGTCTTGTCATACCCCCCCTCAAACCCAATCGAACGAGGCCATCCCGTACCTCCAGCGACTCAGTGGCAATTCCATTTCTGGAGACACTGGAGCCCGTTCCATAATCATAATCTGAAACCGCTTAGCCTATGTGATCCGCGAATGCTAATCTGATCGACCGGTACAGGAAGCTTGTGATTATCGGAGATGGTGCCTGCGGCAAGACCAGTTTACTCAGTGTTTTCACCCTCGGCTACTTTCCAACAGTAAGTTGTTATCTACGATATGCTACTTGATGAGCCAAATGACTAACTGGACTTGCAATCACAGCATTATGTTAGTCCACAGCCCGCCCGCCCGCAATTACATTCTCTAACTGTTGCTGCCTAGGTGCCGACGGTATTTGAAAACTACGTGACCGATTGTCGAGTCGATGGCCGCTCAGTACAATTGGCTCTCTGGGATACGGCAGGCCAAGAAGACTACGAGCGGCTGCGACCGCTGGCATACTCGAAAGCGCATGTCCTCCTCATCGGGTTCTCCGTGGACACGCCAGATTCGTTATCCAACGTCAAGCACAAGGTTCGGCGCCGCGCCCCCAGAACACAATACCAGTCATTGACATTTGGACATAGTGGATCGAAGAAGCGAACGAGCGATGCCCCGGCGTCCCGATCATCCTGGTCGGGCTTAAGAAAGACCTCCGCGAAGATCCCTTGGCCATCGAAGAAATGCGTAAGAAGTCCCTGAAGTTCATTACGAGCAAAGAAGGCAACGATACTGGGACACAGATTGGTGCTCGCAAATATCTCGAGTGCTCCTCCTTGACAGGTGAAGGTGTCGACGACGTATTTGAGGCCGCCACCCGAGCCGCGCTCCTCACCTTCGACAAGCGGAAAACCTCCTGCTGCGTGGTTCTCTAATGACCCGAATACGTCACCTTGTCCACATCGCGACTCTTTTCTCTGTCCAGCGTTCGGCTCTTTCTCTTTTCTTGGATCTCGATGGCCTTGGTTTAACGCTACTTTGCCGGCTGATTCGACCTTCCGCTGTATCATGCATCATTGGCGTTTGGGAGGTTCTAGTGCGAGCCTGACTCAATTGGGTCGGGAACGATTGCTTATGTGTTCTTTTCGGTCCTGTTGGGCCTGTCTATTCTCTGGGGTACCTTTACAGTCATTCCTTAACGCCCTTCCTTTATATCCTGATCTCATGCACGTGCGATTCCGGATTCCAGTCTCTCTCATTCCGAAGTGCATTGCGATTGCCGCTCATTCCTACTTTCTCTTCTTTTCATGTAGTAATTCCTGTGATTTTCTTGTTGGTTTCATACAATGCGGTCATTTTCTTTTTTCCAAGAGCCTTCCTTCTACTTCACCGTTCCGACATATCAATCTACATACTGTACACGCTTAACTTGTAGATATTGAGTCCATCGACCCGTGAATTCGGCAATGACTAGCACTTTAAATTTAAAACAAATGGAATATGGCATAGCCTCCCGGGATGCAGGTCAAATGCTCTCAGGAAGCAACAAAAAAAGGGCATATAATACATGGCTCCAAATGATACACAAAGTCTTCCTTTGCCCTCCATAATCAAAACTTCCCCGTGAAATTTTCAATTTATTTCTTTTCAGGGCGCTTCCAATCATGATTCCACCCCTCAGCGGCCGGGTACTCGGTTTGCATGCGGCCGTACTCGATCGGGAACATATCGTTGAAGATACCCTTCTTGATCATCGACTTGCGGAACAGTCTGCCGCCATCTCCAGCACCAACGCGCAATTCCTCACACGCAGACTGCATGGCCTGGTACTGGCGCTCGAGTTCGAGTTCGTGGGCGCTGCGCTGCTTTGCCTGGAACAGTTGCCAGGCGCGGTGGATGGTCCAGTGGCGGAGGTAGCGGTTGCGGGAGAAACGGAGAGGACGGGGAGTCAGAGGGTGGTAGAGAAAGTAGCGGATGAGAGCTGGGAAATGATGTTAGACTTGTGATATTTTTCATCGGCCATGGTTGAGATGCGTCGGGCAATTGATGTGCCAGTCTGCCTCTTTGGTGTGAAACATACTGATTCGCTTATCCACGTTAGATCCCTTGCCCTTTCTCTTTGCCAATGAACTTGTCGACGAGAACGGAGCTGATTGCACGGCCGCGGTGATCGGGCCGGGTTGTGGTGACGGCCGGCGGGCCAGGATCTCGTTGCATGCCCGGGAGACAGTCGGGCGGGCCGGGGTCAGCGACATGGGGATTCGGAAGACATTCGCGAGAGACGCGAGGGCCGGTGATAGAGACCGCATTGTGATGGTTTACGGGGGATGCAAGACACGCGGTGCGCTGCAGTTACGGGGGGAATAATTCCCTGACGGCAGAATCCTGTCCGCCTTGTGTTAGCCGCGCGCTTAGCACTCACTCCAGCGTCAATCTCTACTACAACCGGACATCGAGTGCCTTTTTACAAGAACCAGCATATCTCGGTGTCAACAGATTGCGATAATAGTAATTTAATAACGAATTTTCTATAGTAATATCAACCCAGTTAATTCTCGTAGGTGGATGAAGGACCTTCAGTTTCGGCTAAGTACAGGAAAAGAAGGCCCACTCGGAGAATAAAAGGAATGGGAACGTATCGAAGAAGGGAGTATCAATCAGAATGTCAACGGTATCTTAAGGGTCATGAGAGGCATCATATGTCAGACATGCATATCAAAGGCGAGTCTCGCCAAATCATCAATCGAATCCCTTGTTAAACGCCATAAAATGCAAACAGTGTCCGAAGCCGAATCAATGGAGAAAAGAAGCAGATACTCCTGAGAGCGAGCAAGTTGAACTCCTTATCTGCCCAGGTTTGACCGCTTGTGCCTGCCCTGCTTTTTGGACTTGTCGTAATTCAACACCTTACGCCGCCGGTGTGTCTGGGCCAGCTTCCACCGACAGTAAAGAACGAGTGCATCTTTCAAAAGCACAAACATGCATCCGCCAACCACGCTACGACCCCAGCGGGTCTGGAGGAGACCGGGGCGACTCCGCTCGAGAACCGATGACGGGGTGGTCCATGACTTAGGCAGGACGTATTTCAAAAGTCCTCCCATTGACGCGGAGATAGCGGGGAAAACAAGCGCTCCGAGAACGATGTCGGCAAGGTTACCGGTGTCGTGGATGATTTCATTTTGGCGGCGCCCGAGACCAAGGCCCTGCCCGTTGTTCTGACCGTGTGCCTGTCCATTCTGAGCGCCTACGTCAGCGCCATCGTGATTCTCTGCGGCAGGGAGAGCCGGATCCTCTGGCGGCTCGTCGTCATCGCCCATCCCTACCTGCAATTCGAGGTCAATCTCCATGAGTATTTGGCCGTTAAGATTTTCGCCAAATCGATTGAGGCCTTCGGCCTGGTCCTGTTGCTGGACTTCATCCAACACTTCCTCCGCGGCACGAGGTTGAACCTCTGAGATCCACTTCCTCTCCAGTCCACCGAAGAATCGATCGTAGAGCGCACCGTAGAAGCTTTTCACATACGGCAGGGCAGCAAATGTCATGGCTGGCGTCGGCGGCCAGAGGTCGAAGTCGGGCTCTTGCCCAGGGTTGTGAGCGGCGAAAAAAAGAACTGGGATAGCTGGGAGGAGACCCTCGGCATAGCGAGTTCGAGAGAAAACCAAGACCAATGGAATAAGAGGTAGGCCGAGGTTCATCCCAGGATTCCACGGACCATCGATACTATCCTCGAGTATCTGCCTTGCCTCTTCTGAGCCGAAGACGAGATGCATCGAGTAGACTCCATGTGCACAGCAACCGGCCCACACGGTTCCGGCTACTGTAAAGACCATTCCCGGGAGGACCAAACGGCCCGCAACCCTCTCAACCAGGCGCAGGGTATCGACAACGTAGCTCCGCGGGCGAGTGACGATAATTTCCGATTTACACTGAGGACACACCATCTTTGCACCGTTGCCATTTCGCCTGCGGGCTCGAGGGTTCTCCATATCAGCAAGCCAGTCCAGCAGGCATGCCTCATGGGCTGTCAAGGCACACGGGCAGGGAGATCGCCACTCCAAATTCAGGGGCGAATCCTCCGTCTCGTCTGTATAGCAAATCCAGCACTTGCGCGGCTCTTCTTGGTTTGACACATCATCCGTATTTGAAGGGCGACCGACGGTCTTTTCGTTCATTTCGGCGGCGTTATCGGCAAGATTCGGGGTCGAGGAACCCTTGTTCAAAAAAATGGTCTCGGCTTCGTCGAACGGCTGCGTCTGGGAAGATTCACCCTCGAATGTGGAGTTGCCATCAGGGTTGGTGGCTGTGCCACCGTCGGACGATCTCGTTCTCCCCGCAGCCGGGTAGCCTGGGAGCGACGCCATAGTGGAGAAGTGAATGCGACTCAGGCTGAAAGAGAAAGGAAGCAGCGGAATATTTGAAACACCGAATCAGAACTCAGATGCGAGAAAGTAGGGTCATCTTCAGAGCCACACGATGGAAGTGACAGAAAATAGGTAGAGCAAAGAGCGCTGGAAAGAGAGTAGCTCCGCCGGAGGTGGAGGCGCGGTCTCAAAAAGGCATCTCGGTTGTGATCCGCGGCTGTCGTGGGTATCACGTGCTGATCACGTGCTGATCACATCAGTCAGGCCTGTTGGCAATGTTAGTTAGCACCGCAATCGGCCTGATCGCCATCTTCGTTGTAATCGTCCGATTCGGATATGTGTCGGGTACGAGATGGAGTGCATTGATGTACGGCTCCCTTAGAGCTAGCTCTACGAGCTGATTGCTGGTCTTGTTCCGATATCCGCTTTATCAATCAGGCGATACTCTTATCGCTATAAATCATTACTGGTAGTTGACTACCCAGCACCCAATTAATTTCTTGTTAGATTTTTATAAGGAAGATTTTTGGTCTGGGTTAGCAAATGGTGACCAGTCTAACTTGGGCAGAAAAAACTAAGGGTCTCCGAATGTCGATGTCCGACAGCCAACATTGAACATATCAAGACTCTCCCCGCACCGAAAAATTTGGCGGCTCAAATTGGTTGTATAAACCGCTGCGAGCCATGTGGATCAGATTAAGTCTATCTCCCAACGGTTCAATTAGTGGTTCCCCCTACCGTATATTGTTTTCAGGGCTGTTGGCCTGCCTGGTTGCCAATTACTCCGTTGATGCACACCGCTGACACAGGAAAGAGGTCACCATTCTTGGACTTCGAGATTTGAATCTCGAAGTGCATATTCTCAGGGTAATAGTACCAGTAATAATTAGATGCAGCAAACAGATTACCGTTTTGGGGTCTTGGCAGAGATGACATCGGGATACGTCATCGCCACGACCAGCGATATGGACAAGCTTCGCAAGCTCCAGAAACCTGATTCCTACCCCTAGCTATGATGATCATTTAGCTGGGTGATATATGTCAGTGAACAATTAAATGAGGAAGTGAACCCATGTGAATTTTGCCTTTCATACTCCTCAAATACCAAACCACGCAACATGGCTTCACTGCTACGACTTCAACCGCGCCTGCGCGCCCCTTCCTCCATGGCCTATCTTAGTCGCCCAGTCGTCAATCTCTCTGGTCAGCGATACTATGCTCAAAAGTCTGAGCAGAACGATGGAGACAGCAATGCCACGCAGCAGGATCAGAAAGATACCACGGACACAACCCCCAACCACCCCATTCCCTCCAACAAGGCGCGTCCGACTCTTCGCGATGGAAATCAGTCACCTATCGCCGACCATGAGGGGCATCTCCGAGACGACCTTCCGGAAGATGTGAAGAAACACAACGAAGAGGTGCAGCAACGATACGACAGACCGTACAACCATATCGCAGATGAGGGAGATGTTGAGACCTCGTGGGAAAGGAAATGATGCTATTTCATCCTCTTCATCAATTATGCAGTTACCCAGGGCTGCTCGGTGTTCAGGGTTTTCTCCAATTTGTACCATAGTGTTGACGGGTTTAGCGGAATGAGATTCGATGTACTTTTGTGATCCCGACTAGAAAATATATAATTGTGAGACATCCATAGTGGAAAGTCCGACGACATTCTTAAGCGGCTCTTTAAATCAATGTGTTACTCAACCTCCCTGCCCAGGGGTGGACAGGGGGGAGGGGAAAAAAACAAAAGAAGAACAAAAAGAAGACATGACAAGAGTGGGATTCGAACCCACGCCCCGTAAACGAGATATGGAAACTTGGATCAGGTGAGCCTGAACCATACGCCTTGGACCAACTCGGCCATCTTGCCTGATGATTGTAATGCCTTGGAATTTTATGCTTTATGAGCCACGGAAATCCAAGTGCCTAGTTCCATTCTTTGTTTACCACGATGGTTCGTGTTGGGCCAAATTTAATCGACATCTGATCAACTATACAGCCTCGGCTAACAAGACCGGTCAAGCCGCCGACTCAACCCGCGAATATCCGTAATTCAATCTTTATTTTACTTTGAGTCATTGATTCCTTCTAGTGACGGTGACTTCGCACGAACATCGTATACAACCTAGACCCAAGTGGTATGACTCACTCCGGATGTCACCTTCATTTTCACGTATATAAAGCCAGAGGGAAGTCAATCACTGTGGCCTTGTCAATCGGCCCTAGGAATTATCTCTGTCCCGTGAGCAGACTGGCAGAGTGAGAGGGCAAAATGACCGTCCATTACAACAGATTGACCAAAGAGCCCTACCTGAGGCTGCCCACTCCGCTGTCTAACATCATCATCACTCCACATCGACTGGAAAATATCGATGAGACCGCCACTGCATTAGCGGAGATTCTCAATGATCCACGTGTGTACCCTTGGCTAGAAGGGCCGCCTTACCCATATCAGCACGAGGACGGCGTGAAATGGATTGAAGCGAAATGCAAAGAAAACGAAGATGTCTTGTCCACTTTGCGCAGATATCTGGAACAACGCGAAGGCATGAGCAATTCAAAGAGCGCTGCTGTTGTTTCAAAACAAGACCGAGAATTCATTGATACGTGTCCCTTCACTTGCATTCGCGAAGTCTTGGAAGAAGACGCTGCGAGTGGGGCCCCGCTCAAGGACCGCCTGATCGGTGACATGACGTTGGCCCGATACACATTCTACGAACACCCCCATGACAGCGAGGAAAGATCTGAGGCACAACGCCGCAATAATGAATTGCCTACCGGGGATGAAAATATTATCTGGGCCCTTGGAGGTAATTGAACCGATGTCAACACATGTTGATTCCCCACTGACTTGGGTATTAGACTTTCTTGCCCCGAGCCATCACGGCAAAGGAATCATGTCACTCGCGATTCGAACCTTGATTCATGAATGGGGCATTCCTCACATGAACGTCCGCCATCTGAGATGCTGTGCATTTCAGGGAAATGAGGGTAGCTTGAAAGTATTCGAAAGAAACAACTTTGAGAGAGGGGTCACGTTGAAGGATTGGGTGCCGGTTTCTGAAAGTCGAGGAGGGGGAAGGAAATCAATTGTATTGATGACATGGCGAGGTGCTTAGCGTAGAAAGCGCGATTTTTTTGTTTGTGGTGCGCTGATTATTTATGTACATGGTTATTATGGTATCACAGTGTCACGTCTCGATCATAGCATGTTCTCTGTCCATCACGAATTGCATATCATCACTTAGAGTCATGAAATCTTTTTGGCAACAACCGCAGCTTCGTACGGTGTTATCCCGTCGTCGAGAAAAGCCAACTCGGAGAACGAGGATTGATAAAAAAAGGCTCAAAGACAGGCCAGTCAGCCCTGGACCCGAGCCACATAATAAACTCCACAGCTTTATCCCCATACATGTCAATGTATTTGATGATCAATTTCGGGTCGCTTGGGTAGACAAACATCCACGCCGGCCCTTGCTGGGCGTTGGAACAAAGACCCCACCCCGCCCCCGCCAACGATGTTCATATCTTCCTCGGCAATGTAGCGATTAATGGTTAAGTCCACCTCGACTCCTTCCACTGATATGTTTTCATTGGAATTCACAATCAAGCCTTCGAGGAGGCCAGATCCGCTGCCGACTGAGATCGTAAACGCGGAGTTTCTTTGGGAGGATGGAACCCAAGTAGGTGATCAAGGTGCTGGAAATAGCCAGACAGCAATCGGGAAATCTTTGGGTGACGACTCCAGCTGGGTTAAAATTTGAGAAACGTCCATTTTGTCCGTGGAACTTGAAGTCGTATATCATAATGGAATACAGTTCGGCATTAAGAAATAACGTAATTCACAAGCGAGCCGGCCACCCAAGCGAGCCGGCCACCCCAAAACACCATATTAAATGCTGTTTTTTACAACCTTACATCTCAACAATCGGGGCTCTTATAGATAGCAAACTCTAAGGCCATATTCTATACAGTAAACAAAGTACTTGGATGGAGTCTAGGAAATTTTGGTAGCGGAATATATATATTTCTGGTTTATTTAGCTAAATTACAACGTAATTTATGGTATTGTGAGTATACGACATTTTGATCGGCTTGAAATTAATATCCACAAGAAAAAATGCCTATCAATACCAGTATACTTATATTGGAATAAATTAGAGCTTTGGTTGTTGAGATATAAGGTTGTAAAAAGCAGTATTTAATATGATGTTTTGGGGTGGCCGGCTCGCTTGTGAATTACGTTATCGAAATTGGATGTGGATTTACTAAGCGCCCGCGTAGGGGATTTCATTGGTTCACTGAGTGGTCCGTGAGAAGTACTATGTATGCAGCGTAAACATAGCCCCGGGGTTCAAGAAAGTGGCAGCTTCTAATGAAACACCAATTAGCAATGGCAAAGGAAGACTAGCCCAGGAATTGGAAATAAAGACAAAACAAACTCCAACCACGAGGCCTCCGGGACTCGTTGCGGTATATGTGATCTTGACTGAGGCTCTCTAGATATGTTCCCGGCAATATCTCAATCAGATCGCATGTTTTCCACACAGACACTTGACAAAGGCACAGATGTAAAGGCCTTAGGATCTACCAGAGGAAACTTCTATGGGTAGTAACATCTAGAAGCCGTGACAACAAGGCCCTAGATCGATTATTCGAGACGGTCGCTCAAGTGAATGACTTCGAAGGTGCGGAATACGACAATCCTTTACAGGTAGCTTCTTATTCAGGCCATACCAAGAAGAGCAAATCACAAGGTACCTTATCGACAAAGGACATCGGGAGCCGGTGTGAGCTCCCGGGGCAGAGAGCACAGCCGTAGTGCATTATAAGCTGCTGCCCTGCAGACCCTTTACGAAATAGTCCAATTGCTTATTGAAGATAGGGAGGACGCGGATTTTCAGTCAAAGAGCTTAAGTTTTGAGAATGGGATGTATTCAACTTGGTTTGTCGGCATCTGGGGCATACTGAAATTGTACGGCTGATACGGTGCAGGCGTCAACACGGACGGAAGCTACCATGAGTGTCTACTGCATACTGCTCCAGTCAGAGGCCACCCCGAGGTTATCGATTTGATTGCTGACCATGGAGCTGAAATGGCATTTCCAGGTTGCAGAAACGATGAAACTGCACTGGGCATTGGCTGCACTGGTCGCGATAACGGGATTGCGGTTTAAACCTTTGCTGGGTAATGGTTTGAATTGCGTGCGAGGTGCAGTATCGGATATGGTGATATTCAAGTTATGGAACCATTAATCAACTGCGCAACGCAGTTGGGGATGTGAATACTCAAGTAGAGACGAGGCGATAGAAGTGACTACGGCGTGTACAAGGACCATTGTCTATCTGGGCTTGTGTATGTGCTTTACTGAATGTTATCCCGAGGTCTCGACGTAATAGTTTTGCTATGATAGACGCTCAGAACAACTGTTGACCAGGTGGTTACTGCTCCTACTGAATGGCCTTTCACTTGCTTCTATACACTGTACAGCATCTAGACTCGATCGCCGCGTCCAGGCCGGTCCCCAAACCGCGCACGTCACGGGCAGATCCTGTCCCGGAACAAATTCACGGGTATTGCGTCATTATCCGGATTGGGACTGGCGTAGACCGGGTCAGTTCACCGCACCGCATTCCGTTCGATCTCTACAATGACTGGCTGCCCTCAGCTTCTAGACCCACACGGCTGCTCCGACAGCCCGGACGGATTCCTGTCGTCGTCATCGTGAAATCATTCACGACACCCAACATACTCGAAGCTGTCTGGCAAGTGCAGGGACTCTCTCAATCTGCTACAGAGGTATCATACCAGGAGATCTCAGCAGGATATAGAAGGTACAGGATTTTTCTGTACTTTTTCCTATATTTTCATTGCGTGTCAGAAGAAGCGAGTGGCCAACTGGCCGGGAAAAGAGGGCCTCCGCTGGTTTCAATCACAACGGTGATTGGATAAAAGTCGACTTTGGGTTCCACTCGTCCTCCGGCTTCGACATCGACCTGCGAGGGCGCTCTTTTTCCACTCCGTTCTTCCGTTGAAAGGGATAAAGCGGGATATCCATGGTTCATAGGGACGGATACGCAGGATCACGAATGACAGCTCATAAAAGAAAAGAAAATCAAAGGAAAAGCAAAACTCTGTAGGGGCCAAATGAAAGTAGTGTATAGGTCGAGACCGTATGGAATTTTTTTTTCCCTGATTCGAAGAACCCGCGTCCGGCACACGCGAATCAGAAAAAAACAGGATGGGGTGGTACCTGGCAGTTACATTACTTACCCCCCTTCAGAGCCAGGTCTGCGGGCAGCTCGCGTGGACGCACTGTAACGGTACGGGATCGGTACGACGGGGCCCGAGTGTTACTTAATGTTTTTCACTCCCCTAAAAAACTGTCGTCATTCCCTCCCTCTACGTCACTTTTCTCTTCTCACCATCCTCGGGTCTCCATACAGCAAGCCACTGGACTGTTACTCGAGTTTGCCTGTGCCGTTTGAAATCTATCAATCGCGTTGAGATCGGTGATGTCTGCCGCGGTCGCTCCTAGTGTGTCGACTCTTCAGAGTACTCTATCCTCCATGGACTCCCAGAAGAATTCTCAGAAAGAAGGTTCGTCACTGCAATGCTGGCGCGTGCGCGTGCTCTACCCTCAAATCATCACATCATATTCGGGTGCCCCAAAAGAAACTCCCCTTGTTTATGCGTGTGCATTATACTCTGGCGCTCCCCCCCCTTTTGGCTTGGTAATACGCCACCTGGGTGTCCCGTTACTTTAAACTCCAAGCCCCTCTGCCGTTGGGATGATCTCACACCTGGCGTCATCGATCTTCCACCTTCACACGATGAATCGCACTCGATCGGGTGTCCCATTCGGTACCTTTGCGCTGTCGCACACATCCTCATCTTCGCGCGCATGCTAATTTCCACCTTCTCGACAGACTCGCAGGCCGTGTCTTCGGATAATAACGACCAAAAACCGGACGTTGACACCCAGACCTCGCTGGCGCCACCTCCGCGTCCAGCTCCAACCACTGCCAGTGATACCCCGGATTACTTCAACTCCGTTCACAATCCATTCTCCCTGGAGCCCAACCCCTTTGAGCAGTCCTTCGGCACCGGCTCAGGCGAGACTCCCGGCAAGTCGCTGCTTCCACCCGTCGCCTCACTCACCTCACCTGCCATACCCGGTGCCAGCTCCGGCGGCGGCTACAACTGGACTAATTCCCTGCGATCGGGGCCTCTGAGCCCTGCCATGCTACCCGGCCCGACTGGCTCTAATGACTACTTCGACAACATCGGTCGCGGCTTTCCCACCCCGAACGAATCCTCCCTCCGCACCGGATTGACCCCTGGTGGCGGTGGTTCTATGTTCCCGGCCCCCAGCCCCAACTCCCAGGCTTTGCTGCAACAACTTCAGAGCGGTGGCGCGACCCCGTCGACCATTGAGTTCCACCGCACCGCGTTGGCGGCCAAGAAGAATAGCGGCTCGAATGCCCCCACCTCTAACGCCAAGCTGGAGGAACAAAGTGTCCCTAATACCACGATGGATACAAAAGCTGCCCAGGCCGCTTCGGACCCTTTCACTCAGCACGATGCTGCTGATGCCGCCAACGGTCTCTTCATGTTGGCCAAGGGCGGCCAGGCGAATAACATGCAGATGAACCAAGCTTCCGCAATGCAGAACGAGACCCGTGCTGCCGCTGCCCGTCGCGTATCACTAAACACCAACGGTACCAGTGGCCAAGAAATGAGCGCCGACGCTTCCGACCAGGAGCCCACTAAGCCTGCTAAGGGCAAAGGCAAGAGGAACGGCCCCAAGCCCGCTGCCGCCAACAACCGTCGCAAGGCCGATGATGCTGGCAAGGGCCCTAATAAGAAGGCGAAGACCAACAGCATGATGGATTCGCCATCCGATATGGATTCCGATGATGAGGACATGAAGAGACTGGGCGGCGACCCGAAGAAGATGACTGATGAGGAGAAGCGACGAAACTTCCTGGAACGGAACCGGTATGTTTTACAAGAAAACTTAAGTAGAAACCGACTCGATCAGTCTTGCTAATATTCTCATTACAGTGTCGCAGCTCTGAAGTGTCGTCAACGGAAGAAGCAGTGGTTGGCCAACCTCCAGGCCAAAGTCGAGCTCTTCACCACCGAGAATGATGCGTTGACCGCCACCGTGACCCAGCTCCGAGAGGAGATTGTGAACCTCAAGACTCTCTTGCTGGCTCACAAGGATTGCCCTGTCTCCCAGGCCCAAGGACTTGGCCCCCTGATGATGAACGGCATGCAATCTGGATTTGACCCCCACGGCTACGGCATGCCCCAAGGCATGGGCATGCAACCGGGTGCCCCGATCCCCACCCAGGGCATGCGCCGTTGAAGTTCGCTTCTTGGGTGAAAATTCCATTTCTCGCTAAACCGCATGCAAGGAGATATTTATCTTTGCTTAGAACCGGCGGTCACTTCTTTGTTCTCTATATGTTTTCGGCTACGGTTCCCGCCGAACCCCTTTTTGGCATGGCCAGGTGTTTATGATCCTCACGACTCAAAATGAACGGGACGATTCCGTGGTCTGGGACGGATGAATTTCGTTAAAGTTCGAATGGCGCGTAAAATTCGGCGTCTGAGATTCTTATGGCTGCTTTACGGTTGTTCTGCTTTCCGATGGCTTATGCTACGCCCGCCACGTTTCTCCCTGTTGTATTCTTCCCCTATTCTCTCCTTTTTCCCTTCCTAATGTTTCTCTCCGGAACTTGAGAGACTGTCTTTTACTCCTTTTCGCTTGTCTAATACTTGGAGGACCCGCGGGTGCATGTTTCTCTTTTTCTGAATCCGGGTTGCTTGTGTTGAGATACATGATTTCTGGGTGGCGTTCTGGTGGCTTTGTTTTTTATGTACTAGTTTCCGTGACCGAAATGCTCGAGCAATTGATTTGAACGTTTCACAGAAGAACGATTCCCCTAGTTCGTAGTTGTATTGTACCTGCAGAAGCTAAGGTTAGGGCCGAGTTTGATAAGGCGATAACGACGCGCTTCCCCTTACCAAACAACCCAAACACCACGAACTCTCTCCGCCTGGAACTCTGTTTCGAGCTGCAAGTCCCCAGATCAAGTCCGATAAGACAACATTTCTCAATCTCGAGTCCATGGGACTGCACGGGCACAATACCCTCGAACCCACAGCCTGACCCGTTGTTGCCCCAACATAATAACTAATAACCTGCCCGCCCGCGGTGAAAAACAAGCATCATACGCAACTCCGGCCAAGATCTTATTCGAGAATCAGCGGGTGAAAGGGCAGGACCATGGCGACCTCGACCCGCCAACCTGCTCGCCCACGCCGCATCGACGACGCCCTCTCCCAGCTTGTCGACGCCCTCACCCCCGCGCTCCCCATCTCCGCCATCCAGGATGACGAAGAGTACTCCGACCCCGAAGAAGCCCTCGCAAACGCCGAAGAACACCGTCACAATGCCAAACTTGACCATGCCTGGCGAATTATTGACGCGCACTCCAACAAGCCCACCGACGGCGGCTCCCCGGGGCCGGGTGGGCGTCGAGGAAGTCTCGCGGGGACGGAGAACATAAACAACGCGCCAGACCTGATCAAGCGCAAGCTGCGGCGCGAAAATGCGAGTCCCGATAAAGCGGTGCGCTTTTCAAATCTCTATTCCCGCCTCCTGACGCAGCCGGTGCTCTCGCAGAAATGGGGGATCTTGTATTTGCTCTATAAATTGTCTGAGAACGACGAGGTTCCTGCCGAGGGCGAGCGGAGTCGCAGTCCCCTGACGGATGATGGTAACTTGCAGAATCCATTGGCACGAGGTGGATCGCGACCTAGGCGTGGCACCAACTCGCGCCCTTTCGATTCAGAAGACGAAGGTCCGGCTGTGAGCTCTTCTGCGTCGCAGCAGCCCCGCCCACGGTCTCGCCCACCGTCCGCAAAGCCGGAACGGCAAAGTTCGCTGCGCCGGGATTGGGAGCGCGAGGAGACAGATGAGGCAGTGCGTCCATCATTTGGCAAAATGCACGATGACCATTCCGGTAATGAGCAAGTGGATGCGCACTCGCCAACTGCGACGCCGGCAACCCTTGCTCGTTCGATGGAGTCGATTGAGCATGGACTCCTACGTGACCTGCCATTCAACTTGCAAGGTCTCTCGTCGTCGAACCTGCAGTTTCAGTCTTCTAAAAGCTTGAAATTGCCGTCGAATTTACCGTCACCCATCGTTTCTCTCCTAAACTCATTGGCGGAGCCGTGCCTTCTCTACAGGGAGCTATCTGCATTTGTGGAGGACTCTGAAGAAGGACTCGTGAATCAGAGTCTACGAGCTGCCGTTGCTACTGAGTTACGATCCTATCTTAGCTTGGTTGCGACGCTGGAAGCAGAAATTCGACAGGCACTTGCTGCGATTGGTGATGGACGAGAGCCCAAAGGCGTTCGAAAAGGTGGTGTCACTCTGAAGCGATGCATGGTATGGACGAGGGATGCTACAATGGCTCTTCGATTGATGAGCCTGATTGTAGAAGAAGCTCGTGGTAAGTGAATACTCACCTAGCTTATTCTATCTTTACTTACATACAACAGATAAAAAGGGCGGCCAATTAATTTCCCTGATCCATGGTTTCTCATCGTCACATGGTGATCCCTTCGTTTGTGCATTTGCTGAGAAGCTTTTGGCTCATGTAACCCGCCCATTCTATGATATGCTCCGGCTATGGATCTACGATGGCGAGCTGTCCGACCCTTACAAGGAGTTCTTTGTTGCAGAGCCGACCTCCCGGCCCAGTACCAATCAACGACACATTGCCACGAGCGTCTGGGAAGATAAGTACAAGTTGGATGATGATTTAGTGCCTTCGATTATTACGCAAGATTTCGCGAAGAAAGTTTTTTTGATCGGAAAGTCATTGAATTTCATCCGCTACGGCTGTGGTGATTCGACCTGGGTTGAGGCGTATTCCAAGGAAGCTTCAAAGGAACTGCGATATGGTGACACGGCTACCTTGGAGACCTCAATTGATGAGGCCTACAAGACTACGATGGCGCGGCTGATCTACTTGATGGATGACAAGTTTAAACTTTTCGATCATCTGCGAGCATTGAAGAAGTATCTTCTGCTGGGACAGGGAGATTTCATCGCTCTCTTGATGGAGTCGCTGGCCTCGAATTTGGACCGACCGGCGAATTCGCAGTACCGTCATACTCTCACTGCCCAGTTGGAGCATGCCATCCGTTCTTCGAACGCGCAGTACGACTCTCCGGACGTGCTCCGCCGTCTCGATGCACGCATGCTCGAACTCACCCACGGAGAGATTGGGTGGGACTGTTTCACGCTGGAATATAAGATCGATGCCCCCGTGGATGTTGTCATCACACCCTGGGGATCTACTCAATATCTGAAAGTATTCAACTTCCTCTGGCGCGTGAAACGGGTTGAATTTGCCCTCGGCAGTACCTGGCGCCGATGCATGACCGGCGCTCGAGGTGTATTGGGAAGTGTAGACGACAAGGTCGGATCGGATTGGAAGCGTGCGCGATGTGTGATTGCAGAAATGATCCACTTCGTCAATCAGCTTCAGTATTACATCCTGTTCGAAGTGATAGAGTCCAGCTGGGACCAGCTGCAGGCGGCCGTCTCGAAGCCGGGTTGCACGCTCGACGACCTGATTGAAGCACACACCAAATATCTCAACTCTATCACCCACAAGGGCCTGTTAGGCTCAGCCTCATCCTCCAGCTCGCGATACGGCTCATCGACCTCTGCAAATGCCAAACAACCCGAAGAGAGTTTCCTCAGCCAACTGCATCACATTCTCAAGATCATGCTGGCATACAAAGATGCAGTGGATGGTTTGTATTCATTTTCCGTCGCCGAATTCACCCGCCGCCAGGAACTCAGCGCCAAAATCGAAACTCGCACCGCCCAAGGCCGCTGGGGCGTCACAGAGCGCGATCTCAACTCTCGTCGAGCGAATAGCCGCGGTGGCGCATCCATGGCCTCTACACCCGATGTAAGGCCTGCCAGTTCTGGCCCTGACGGCATCGATACCCCGTTCTCGCTTTCAGCGCAAGACCTCGCAGCCGACGACAACATGCTGGCGACACTGCGTGTCCGGCTTCATGATCTCTCCGTAGATTTCAGGTCACGTTTAAATATCCTGCTCGGTGATCTGTCCTACCAGCCTGACGTGGACATGCGTTTCCTTGCTGTCGTGATGAACTTTAACGATGTCTACGAGCCTGCCCGGCGGAGAAAGACGGATAAAGAAAAGGAGAAGGAGCGATGGAAACGTAAGCTTGCCGCTGGGGCTACGGCATCAGGGGGCACTGGCTCGGGTACAGAATCGAGCTCTCATAAGGAGATGCGCAGGGATCGAAGTGCTGCTCCAACTGAGCAGGGCTACAGTGCCAATGGAGCTGTAGCATAGATCATGGATGTGCTACAGATTCTGTCGTATTATAGCTGTCAGGATACCATAATGTGAGATGAAACCAAGAGAATTTCAACTTGTAAAAAAGAGGACGCGCAGATTTCTTAGCAGATGGCGGTATACTTGCCATCTCATCTCCATCTAGATCGAGACCGCCCTCGCGTGGGCCCGGCAGAAAAAAAAAGTCGATTCCGCCCTCGCGGAGAAAGAGATGGTGTCTGCAAGAAACTCATCAAGACTCGCTAATTGAGTCATCCTCCCAATTGAGATTGCAAATTGCAATCTTTAATTCCTTCTATACGGCAGATACTGCTCTGGACCAGCCAACATGGCAAAAGACACCCTCAAGTCGGCGCAAGATGTCTCGGCATCGAAGAAGTCGGAGTCGAAGCTGAAGCACGCAAAAGACGCCGACGCCGAGGCACAGCACGATGAACAATCCACATCCGCCAATACCAAATCCGAATCCAAGGACAAGAAAAAGCGCAAGAAGTCGAGCGAGGACGGCGAATCGACCAAAAAGAAACGGCGACACGACGAGGAGGACTCTACACAAAAGAAAAAGAAGAAGCGAGTCTCCTTCGGAGCGGGTACCAAGACCGAGGATGGGTCCGGCGACGACAGCAGCGAGACGGTAACAGGCGCCGAGGAAACCGAGTCCGAGCCCAAAGCAGACGAAGCCGCCGAAGCCGAAGCCGCGTTGGAGGAAATGAAGAAGCGCAAGCGCGAGAAGAAAAAGGAGCGCAAGAGTGGCACTCCATCTACTGATCAGATCCACGAAACCCCTATCCTGTCATATCTGAACCGCTACTACCGGGACCGGGATTCGTGGAAGTTTCAGAAGAACCGCGAGACGAATATCTTCAAGCACCTCTACTCGCTGGAGCATGTTCCTGCGCCATTCAACGCTGCGCTTTTGGCGTATTTGAAAGGCTTGAAGGGTGACATGGCGAAGATGCGGTTGAGTCAGGGTGCGGTAGCGGTTCTCAAGAGTGAAATGGACCAGCCTGCGGATGCCGAGTATGAACAGGCTGTTGAGGAGTTCCGATCGGTCTTGTCAGCGGGTGGTGATGGCGTTAATGGGGCTGCTGGAGATGGCTTGAGCGCCGATGCTAAGAAGCGTCTCCAGAAGAGGCAGCGTGCGGAGCTGGTCTTCTTCGCTGTTACTGCGAAGCTGTTTACCAACGAGGAAATGCGGGAGCAGCAGAAGGCTGCGGCTAAGGAGCGCGCTAAGGAGGCTGCCAAGTTGAAGAAGAGGAAGAACAGAACAGCTATTGTGGATATCTCGAGCAGCAGTGAAAGCGATGGTGATAGCGATGACGAGGACAAGCCAAAGCCAGCTACCAAGGCCAAGCCTGCGGCTAAGTCTGCTCCGTCTGATACCAGCAGCGATGGAACGAGCAGCGACGAAAGCACGAGCAGCAGCGGCAGTGATTCCTCAAGCGGCGACAGTGATGATGAAGCCCCTGCCCCCAAGAACAAGCCTGCTGCAAACCCTACAAAGGCCAAGAAGGAGAAGCGTGCTAAGCCCGCCAAGGTGGAGGAAGCTGTACCGTCGAAGAACAAGAAGAAGCAGAAGCGGAAACTGCGCACTGTCAACGTTGAGATCTCGAGCAGCGAGAGCGATAGTGATTAAGGGTCTTTAAGCTGAGGGTTTGTTTTTCTTTGGCCTTGGTTTTGATAATTGCATGTATATACCACGGCATTATGATGATGTATCGTACTTCGAAATGCATAGATGATCATCCAAGTTGGTTCCAGTAGATGGGGGAAGGCGGTGAGCGGTGTTCAAGCTCAAGCTCGAGCTTAGGCACCGCAGGCACCGTTAGCACGCGTCACTGCCAATTCTCCCTCTCATCCATCTCTCGCCCTCTCCTTTTCCGATCCTACCATCTTAATCGCTTCCCTCTGAAAGAACTTGCATATCGCCGTCATGTCTGGTAAGTCTCCCAAGTGCCGCCGCTGATCAACTCCAGCCCGATGACCTCAATCCCGACTGACCATCTCCTTCGCATTCTTGCAGGCTACGACCGACACATCACTATCTTCTCTGACCAGGGTCGGTTGTATCAAGTCGGTATGTTCCTCAATCGACACCCTGAATTCCTGACACCGAGGCCCCTTTCGGTCAACGACGCCGTGTCATTATCATCACCACTGACAACGCATCCACTTTCTAGAATATGCCTTCAAGGCCATCACCTCCGCCAACATCACCTCCATCGGTATCCGGGGCAAGGACTGCGCCGTCGTGCTCTCCCAGAAGAAAGTTGCCGTAAGCGTTCGCCCATATTGAAGCGATGAGTGCGCCAGGCTGACTTCCCTACCCACCAGGACAAACTGATTGACCCGTCTTCCGTTTCACATGTGTTCAGGATCTCTCCGTCCGTGGGCTGTGTGATGACCGGCTCGATAGCAGATGCTCGCGCGTCCGTCGACCGGGCCCGTGGAGAGGCTGCGGAGTTCCGGTACAAGTTCGGATATGAGATGCCCTGCGACGTTCTGGCAAAGCGATTGGCAAATATCAACCAGGTCTACACACAAAGAGTGGGTTATCCTTTGCCGCCCGCATGATATGGGGACAGGAATGTTCCCTTTTGACCATCGGCTCTGCTCACACCTTTCTCTAGGCCTACATGCGACCACTTGGCGTCGCTACTACCCTGATCTCCGTTGACGATGAGAACGGCCCTTCGCTCTACAAGTGTGACCCGGCCGGCTACTACGTTGGGTACAAGGCCACGGCCTCCGGTCCCAAGCAGCAGGAAGCGCTGAACTACCTCGAGAAGAAGCTGAAGAACAAGGATGCTGCGCAGGGCAACTGGGAGGAAGTTGTGGAGTTGGGTATCACTGCTCTCAGCAACGTGCTGAGTGTCGACTTCAAGAAGCACGAGCTGGAGATTGGTATCGTGGGTGGTCCCAAGCCCGAGGGCCAGGAGGGCACCACGACGGCGTTCCGTGCCCTGACGGAGGAGGAGATTGATGAACGGCTGCAGGCCATTGCCGAGAAGGATTAAGCGGACCGAGCAGCAGCAGATTTGGGCGGTCAGATACACCGAATAGGACCGAATACGGAAATGGTTTCTTTTTTTTAGAGAGACGATCTGTGAATGACAACTTGGATTTTCTGCGAGGTTTCGGTTTCGGCCGCGTTTCAATTAACCGGGTCCTGTATCCTCTGACGCTGGCGTTGCGCTATAGCTGGGTGCATCGCGGGGATCGTCTCAGCAGTTCAGCAGTTGAGTGGGTCTTATATCGCCACCGAGCAATTCGCAAGTTGTAGATGGATCACAGTATCAAAGACCTACAAGGAAGAATCTGCATATTTGACGTACCTACGTCGTAGTCCCAAATCCAAGACCGAGTGTGCGTGCAGCTCAGCTGCCCCAGGGTGATGAATTGGCGCCACATGTGGCTCAGCCGGCTCGTGGCTGTCGTCTGGACTGTGCGCGAGCTGAAATGTCAATCGATAGATTTGTTGACATCTCTCGCTTCGGTCCTACTCGGTGTAGTCGCCACACATGCAAACCGAGCAGGTTCACGATGCACGCTTGTGTCTTTTCGGTGCCGTGCACGGGTCCCACGAGCCACCACCGAGATTGAAACCCCTGACGAGTTCTCAATTCACCAAAAGTCTCCACTTGAGTTGATTCGGTGCCCTCCAATCAAGGCTCCCAAGTGCCAATTGCAAGTTTCGCCCTTGACGACCTATATCGGCCACGGAACCTAATCTCAGGGCACGCGGCGTGATCTCATCCCCACTCGATCCTCTCAAGCCCCATAATACTCAGAACTGCCGCATGCACACAGACCCTCCCGCGATCTTTTCTGGAACAGGGAGACTCCTGGCCCTGCGGTTATTCGGGAGCTATCGCGTGGCACGATCCACCGTTCCAGCTGTACTTGACTCCGCGAGGTTCCTGATCCTACTTTTTCACCGTCCATTGGCCCAGCCGGCCATGCCCCTCGATGATCACTCCCGATGTTCGTCTGCGCTATCATAAGCTGGTGTTTTATTTTTATTTTTATTTTAATTTAATTATTTTTTTAATCCCTTTTTCAGAACCTACGTCCGGCCGAGATCGTTTCCTGTCATGTATGGGGTAATGAGGAGACGAGCTCCAGTCTGCTTGCCGGATTATAAGACTCGTCTTTTCCTACCATAGTTCTGACCGTTGGATTCTTTCTCACGCTCATCTACTCGGTCTTCTTTCCTTAATTGGTTTCTTTTGATGTCATTCTTGATTTTTATTTCCCACTCTTTCTAGATCTACTTTTCTAATTCCTCAATGGCCGACGGATGTAAGCATATCGCCGTGATGTGAGGGCAATTGCTAGATACTGACGAATCCATGGGGACAGTCAACCAGGCCCGCGCAGTGCGAGTGGCCGAGCTCATCAACGACTACCGAACCCTCCTGTTACACATCTCCCAACAGCAAGTCGAAGCGACACCCCAAGATCTCCACGAAGAAGGCTTCGTCGTCCTACGAGAATGCCACAACGCTGCCCAGAGACTGTTATCGGCCGACTACCACCCATTGCCAGTAACCGGACAAGGCAGTGCCGAGACCGAAAAGGCCGAACTACAGAGGTAGAACCCAAGTTCCCGCATACCTCGACCCTACTTTATCTAACCATCCTACAGAGTCATCATCGACAGCAGCACCCGCCGCTTCCAAGCACACAAGATCTACCTCCGCGCCGCCGCAGCCCGCAGATGGGCCATGACTCGCGCAAACATTCTCCGCGGCCAACGACCCACGCCAGCGCACGCCGCAGCTTTGAAAGGAGCCCATATAGCGCTGCAACAGGAACTGGCGCGCGTCACCGACCAGTACGTCGTCGCTGACCTGCGAACTGCTGATCTGCGGGCGGGTCATTGGCTCGAGGATGATCCTTCCTTGGATATGATCCGGCGCTGGATCCAGGGGCGGTAATCGCGTTGCCTCGGTTCTTCGGGTCTCCATTTCTTTGGACAGTAATTGTCCGATGTACAATTGTATTTTACGGAGGGGCCCCCGGTGGGATGGGCATGCGGGGCCTTCTTTTTTGACGGGTACAGCGCGGGTCGCTGAGCCCGAGAAAAATAAAATTGCACCTTCAGTTGGAAGAGTGTCTATTTTTGAGCATAAGCATGGCGACGATATCCTTGTTTTGTTCCAATTGGTTGATTTGACTTGTTCCATGGTTTCTATTGCTTTGGGTGTTCTATATATCGCGCGTGGATGGTTCTAGACGCTTGCATCATTCCTCCTGGAGGGGAGTGTATATTTCAACACGAGACTATACTTTCTTTATTTTTCTACTTCCTTTGGCGGGTCGCCATAGATGCACAGACAAATCAAGCATAACACTAAACGTCTTCACCGAGTATATTGGACGATTACACGCACCGAAAAAGACTAGAACAAAAGAATGACCGGACTAGGCTAGTCAGGGGCCACGGTCCCAGAGGGGGCTTATTTCAAGGCCCCAACTCGAAGAGTCACCAATGGCGGCATCAGGGATTCAGACACCTGGACCTCGAGGCACATACCAGCTGAAAAGCAAGCCTTGGGCCGGCAATTCGGTCCAGCCGGTGCGCTACTGCAGACTCCACCGTGCCTGAGGTATCCAGTCATGCTTCACAGACCGGAGTAATTGTGGACCTCTTAATGAAAAGATTGAGAATGCGAATGCAACGCAAATTCTGACCCAGTGTGGCTGATATACACCGTTTTGGGGGGGGCACCCTGATCGTCGATTCGACCATCGAATCAGCGACGACACGACGGATGGCTTAGATCGAGTGGATCTGGGGCTAATGCGTTAGTCTGCGGAACGCGCTGCCAATCGGTGTCGAGATCGGGCGCGTGTCGGCTCATGTTCAGCTGGTGTCGGTCCTTCTTCTTCGGGCTCCTCGTTTTCCTCCATAACAAAAAGCATTTGTGCTGAGGCGGCCTGTTCTGGCGTCAAAGTGAGCCGAAAATGGCCTCCTCGGCACCGGTGTTCCGCACACGCACTTGCGGCCCTAGAGGGTAGGACTAGCTAAATATTATCTGCTATTTGCTGATATAAGGCCGCCGTACGGAAAACGGAATATAGTATATCCGTCCTCCGTCTGGCCCTGGAGACCACACCTTGTAACGCCGTCACGTTCTTGTTCAACCATGTCGGTGTCTGGGCGCGTGGTTCCCCTTCCCCTAGACCCCGAGCCCGCTCCTGCTTTCCATCGACTTCTACTCACCTCCGGGCCTGCTCCTTGAGCGCTACCATAACCCGTACGACTTCCATTGATTTCGTCGCATGAGAGGGTTTAAACCCTATTCTCCAGTCCCACAGCTCCTAGTTCACATCATAGCCTGGACACCCAAACATGTCGAGCAATTTCGCAGACAGCAATTTGCCCCGTTTTCAGGGACAAGCCACCGAGACGCCGGCAACTGTGTCCGAAAATATGCTGGATCTGATATCTTCTTCCGGTCGTGAGATTGACGTATTTCGCGAAGGCGTAAGTGGCAATCTCCAACTGCTCTCATCTAGAAATAAAACGCCCCTTTACTTCGTCTGTTGCTCGATCTTCCACCCCAACCGCCCAGATGTGACCTTGTACACTGGAAACGACAGAAAAGGCAAGGTGATTGGGGTATGCAGCAATACAAGGTTTTCCGACTCCATTACCGTGGGCCGTGGAAATCCGGCACACCCAAATAGCATGGAATGGGAAGAAGTCGTTAAGGTCTCGCGTGACCATAGCTCGTACAAATTTTCTATTTGGTCGCGAGCAGCAGAGCGACGGTCATACTCATGGAAGCGGACGCAAGATTCAAACATGAAGGGTATCAAATCGTCAAAGCTCGATAGACGCAGCTGGAAACTTGAAGATGATATGTCGGGAGAGGTGGTGGCAGTATTTGCAGCAAACGGGATCCAGAAGAGTTTTAAGAAGGTGGGAAAACTTCGATTTTTAGTTGGTGAGGAGAAGGTATCGGGGGAGTGGATTTTACTGACGTGGATCAGCTTGTATGAGAATGCCAGACGCAGGGCTCTTGCTAGGAGGGACCTAACTTGGTTTTTTTAAAGTAGCTACTTTCGAGGAAATCGGATGAAATATCACATCCACTGACTGCACTGCCATTTTGCCTCCTTAATAGCCATATCTTATATTTTCCTTGATCTTTTCACTTGCATCCCAGTCTTAACCCCTTCAGCGTAAGCTTCTTATCACGAGAGATATCGATTGCAAAACGGGCGTTACCATTGAAGTTCTGCAAAAGTTACAAAACGATGACCATAAATGGATCCTATATCCAAAGCCATGGTACGAGGTCTTTCGCCTGTCCCATCCGGCGAAACCGCCTTTGAAGTCGAAAGTTGCCACTGCTGCCCTCGGAATAGACTATTGCCATCTTCGCGGCCTTCCCCTCGCCGAATCAAGGAAGTAAAGAACCCATCACGCTAAAAAACAGAGACTGACTCGAGTGCATGCTGAAAGAATTCGCTGGCAGCATGACTGAGAACTCAGGTTACACCAAGACCCTGCGCAGGCGGAGTTTTCACGCCCCGTCGTTCGTGAGTCGGCGGGATCGGCTATAAGAATTGCTTTTCGGGGCCATGGTAGGCCTCACGGTCTCGATTCTATTTCCAAATCCTACCAGTTACAACGTTGTACATCAATTTTGATCTATAGTCACCAGCCACAGGTACGTCCCTGGCCCGCCACATGCACAGCCACATATTCGCCAGGGCTGTGACGTGGGGCGCGTTATTTATAACGAGGTACAAGTATCCGCTAACAACTTAGGCTGCGACATTAAGTACCCCATATATTCATTCGACACTGTACTTGATGCATCTCATTGAAACTTGATTTTATTTTTACGAACGATTTTCAGTGTGGCTTTTCGATTCTCGCCCATTGTATCACTTGGTGGTTTTGTGTTGCTCGTGGCCGTTCTTGTGCAATATTGCTACTCCCCGTGTACTACCCCTCCTGCGCCAACCATGTCAACTGAACTGAAGAGCATCGCCTACTTTGTCAACTGGGTATGTCTATTCTCGATTTTCCCGTTCCCGTGGATCATTTGAAGCGGACATGTCCGAAGTCCACGTGTATATGTTACCCGATATACAACGCGTGCTAATGCCACTGTGCGTAGGCCATCTACGGCCGTGGTTATAACCCACAGGACCTGCCCGCTGAGAAGTTGACTCATGTTCTCTATGCATTTGCCAATATCCGCTCCGAGACTGGAGAAGTGTAAGTAACCCCGGGATACTTTTGGCAAGACAGAATGCTAACAGTACTGCGCAGATACCTGACCGACAGTTGGTCGGATGTCGAGAAACATTATCCTGGAGATTCGTGGAATGACGTCGGTTCCAATGTCTACGGATGTATTAAACAGCTCGGTCTTTTGAAGAAACAAAACCGGAAGCTGAAGGTGATGATCTCCATCGGCGGCTGGACCTACTCTTCCAACTTTGCCCAGCCTGCCAGCTCTGAGGCCGGAAGAGCCAAGTTTGCCGAGTCGGCTACTCAACTGGTCCTGGACAACGGACTTGACGGTACGTCGATTCGTATCTCCTCACTGGATGATTTTGCTGACTCTTATGAAAGGAATTGATATCGACTGGGAATACCCCCAAGGTAAGCACCCCTGGGATATACAGACCGCTTTTTGGAACAGAGTCTGACACTTCCTTCAGATGATACCCAGGCCCAGAACTTTGTCTACTTGCTTCAAGCCTGTCGAGAGGTTCGGACCCTGCATTCCATCTGTTGACAGTTGATTACTGACATCAAATCCCAGCACCTTGATAGAGCTGCCGGCCCGGACCGCAAGTTTTATCTATCCATTGCTTGCCCTGCTGGCCCCTCCAACTTTAACAAGCTTAAAATCACCCAAATGACCCCTCTGCTGGACTTCTATAACCTCATGGCCTACGATTACGCAGGCAGCTGGGACCAATCCGCCGGTCACCAGGCCAACACCTACCCATCCGACTCTGTCCAAGCCGCGACGCCCTTCTCCACAGAAGCCGCACTAAAATACTACATCGATGTCAACGGTGTGCCAGCATCTAAGATGATCTTGGGCATGCCGCTGTACGGCCGCGCATTTACCAACACCGATGGACCCGGCTGCGGATTCAACGGTGTCGGACCCGGCAGCTGGGAGAATGGAGTGTGGGACTACAAGGCGCTGCCCCGACCCGGAGCCACCGAACAGATCGACACACAGGCCGGCGCATCCTGGAGCTATGACAGTAGCGCACGCACGATGGTCTCCTACGACAACCAGCAGATGACCCAGATGAAGGCGGACTTTGTCAAGCTGCGCGGACTCGGTGGAGGTATGTGGTGGGAGAGTAGCAGTGACAAGGGAGACAAGGGAGCCAATGCATCGGATGGCAGTCTGATCGGTACCTTTGTGGATGGCATCGGTGGTGTCAATGCGCTGGACCAGAGCGCGAACGCCATCAACTTTCCCGAGAGCAAGTATGCCAACTTGCGCGATGGCTTCCCTAGCCAGTAGGGCGGATCGGTGTATGAGTATGGTTTGCAGTGATGGGTGAGACGGGGTAGATTATCCAGAGCCTTCATTACATGTTTACAGTCTGTCATTTACTTCTACGTTTGGGAAATCGAGATTGGCAGAGCCGAATTTTTGTGATTTTTTAATTCACAGTCAAGAACCTTAGTAAGTGCCTAACCGTAACATCCACCGTGATATCCCAATCATTTTCATACCAGGCCTAGCAATAACCATGCCCGAACTCGACAACGGAGACATCGCGGTCAAACGGGGTCCATTTATTTGGACTCGTCGAAGACGTAGGTGAGGTGGCACTTGCCGCAGTACTGACGGTTGTGCATAGCAGCCATGAAGACACCGGCACCACACTGGAAAATGGATTAGTAAAGGTTCAAAGACCGTGGGGAGGACGAGCGAAGAAACATACCTCGGGGGCGGGGCACTCGCGGCGGAGACGCTCAATCTTGCCATCACCGTCGACCTTGTAGTACTTCAGGATGGCGAGCTTGGTCTTCTTGTGCTTGTGCTTGATCTTCTTGGGGGTGGTGTAGACCTTCTTCTTGCGCTTCTTGCCACCACCACGCAGGCGGAGCACGAGGTGAAGGGTCGACTCCTTCTGGATGTTGTAGTCCGAAAGAGTGCGGCCATCCTCGAGCTGCTTACCAGCGAAGATCAGGCGCTGCTGGTCCGGGGGGATACCCTCCTTGTCTGTGCGGGGCTGTCGTTAGTTTTGCGCATTCTGCAAGGCGGGAGGAGATATATTTCGTACCCTGAATCTTGGACTTGACATTGTCGATGGTGTCCGAGGACTCCACCTCAAGGGTGATAGTCTTACCCGTGAGGGTCTTGACGAAGATCTGCATCTTGATGAAGGCCTGTGATGGGAGTCAGTGGAAAGTTACAATTTTTTGAATGCGGCGTGACGAGCAGGAAGATGTCGGATCAAGTGCGCGCGTTGCACACATTCTGATCCGACTGGCTGCAGTGGGCTGAACTGTAGGGGCCAGGGGCATCAAAACTCACCTCGACAAGTTGTCTTCCTTAACCTTGCAAGATGGAAAGAAATTCGATGTGTGGGACTCGGTTGACGGTTAAAATCGTTGTGCGGTCACCTGACCACTTCCATGACTACTTTGGGGATAGTGCGAGACGCGAAAGGAGTAACAATAATCCGGGCCCGGGTCTGTGGTTTCTTGCCGTAAGGCCACAATACTTCATGCCTGAGGCCTCACAATGACATGGTTCCACATCTGGGCGGGTACCTTCAGGTATCGCAGTCCCCAGAACCCAAGATCCAGTAGATCACGCCCTGTTTACGGTTTCTAGGGGTATCCCCATAGCGACGGCAGGAGTATCCCCCTGGCCAGGGACAAAGATACTCCCTCCTCACAGCTCATCGGCCATACCCTTGCAGAACGGGAGCAACCGAAGTCAGGGAGAACCAGACGGTGAAGAGGACGACGAGAGTATATGGCCTGGATCGCAAGATGGAACTAGCATAATCGCACAAGTGGGCGCGAAAGTGGGCCCATTCGTCGTCACAATCGGTCACATCTGGTTTCCCAGACTCCCGACACGGCGCGTTGCCATGCCAACACATGCATTGTTGACGGGAACCGTGGGTTCAATTGATAGATCGCCAATGCTCACCCGAGGCTTCATGGACTTCACATACTCACTTATTGACTCTGATTTCCTGTCCTTCAGATCCTTTGTTTCTACGGATCCTAGGAACTTGAGAAAACACCGTGTGGTGATACTTTGATCTACACAAACACAGGAATCTCTCTACCAACAGCTAAACCTTAACTGCTGAGGCTCTAGCTTCTTTTTCTTTCCGTCGTCTTTTTTTGCGCGTGTGTTGAAGTTCACAGGCTGACACTGTGACAGGGTTGTCCGAATCGAACGGCTGGGTAGCCATGTTCTCCGCCACCCCAACGTCGCAAGGCCCCGGTCACCACCGTCGTCAACTATCGACTCCAGCATTTCCCGAAGTTGCTACATTCACAAAACCAGTCATGGCCGGAAATCCACCCCACCGAGCGCACCGACGCGGACAGACTGTGGACTACGGTTACGCACCACAGGTCTCCGCTGGCCGACAACCTGCGCCCAAGACGGTTCCAGAGCTTCGGGATTATTTTAACGAAAAATCAGGTTACCCGCGTCAGGCGAGGCCTGCTCCTCAGCAGGTGCCTCCTTATCTCCAGCAAGCACAGCAGCATTTCATCCCAAATGGGCTGCCTATGCAGGACGACGCATATCAAGCATATCCGCCGTCGTGGACATGGAGCCGAGAAGAGCTTCAAGAACTCTACCAAGCTTCGGCTTCCTCCTCTTCCCCGGCACCATCTATTGCTCCGGCTCTCTCAAGATCCGCCAGCGAATGCTCAGACAAACAATCACCGTTGAAGACTGCCCTGCACCGTATGCACCAGGAGCAGCAGCACAATCTTTCGATGGCCCAGCAAGCGCAAATGGCTAGCTACCGGCCCATGCAACACCTCTCTATTCAACCAGAGGCGTTTTCTCCCAAAATGGACCCATATTTTTCTTGTAAGTTTCTATACTCGATATAAGATACCGGATCGGTCGCAGGCTAATCAATTGGACAGACACTTCCCCTCTTACCCCCGATGCTACACCTTTGAAGAGTTCGTTTGATTTTCCCATGTACAGCAATGAGCATACCCCCACCAAGTCCCAGAGCTTTTCCTACCCCCGTACCCCCGTCAGCACTGAAATGCAGAGAGCCCACTCCCTCCAGAGCGTGTCTTTGTCAAGCCCAATCCCGTCCAGACATCAGGTACCCTCCCCTGCCGAATCCTCGTCAATTCCTTACACAGAAATGGCGGCGATGCCGTCCCCCAGCCATGTCGATGTGAATGAGACGCCATCCACCGGTCGACGTCAGAGTCGTACCATGTCTCCGGCGTCTTCTCCTATGTCTGAGCACGAGCCGCAGGCTGGGGGTCTCAGCGAGGTTGACCTCGATGCCCGAGTCAGAGCGTCCGTTCGGAACACTGGAATTTCTAGCGAAAAGATTGCCGAATACATTTCTGGCCCCGATTCCAAGGATGGCAAATATGTGTGCATGTATGATGGCTGCAATTGCCGCTTTGGTCGCAAGGAGAACATCAAATCTCACGTTCAAACCCATCTCGATGACCGCCCTTATCAGTGCGACGTCTGCGACAAGCTTTTCGTCCGAGGCCATGATCTGAAGCGCCACCTCAAGACACACACCGGCAAGAAGCCCTTTGAGTGCCTCTGCGGTGCTAGCTTCGCTCGGCACGATGCCCTCACTCGCCACCGTCAGCGCGACATGTGCGTCGGTGGTGTGACCGGCTTCGTCCCCAAAACCACCCGCCGTGGACGCCCGCCAAAGAAGAGCCGCCCTGATATGGAAACTCGCCAGACCAAGTCTACCCGAACCCGTCAGCGTGTCGCTGAGAAGGCCCCATCTGTGTCATCTGTCAAGCTAGAGGATGCTTCCCTTCCTGTTTTCAACTCGCCCAACTACGCCCCGTCTACTGCCATGTCTTCCTACACGCCGCCTACTTCACCAGGACACGCCCAGTCTCCCAACCACGTTGGCACCTCGCTCATCTCCCACCTCGAGGACGACATGCTTCCACCTCCGTTGTCGCCCCCTCAAATGGCGCACGTCAGATATGAGCAGGCCATTTCCCAATTCGTCCCTAGCCTGGCTGCGCAGCAGGAGAACTTCTACAGCGATCCCGCTCTTTCTCCTCATGAAATGTCATCACCACACACTGCTCCTACTCTCGATGAGTATACTTCCGGCTCGGAGATTGACCTGTTTATCAGCCAAGATTCCTCCGAGCAGGTGCGTGACGAATTTGCCAACATGACAACGAACGGAATGTCCGATTTCTCCACTGGCTACTCCTTTGTCGACTCAGCTGGTTTCCCACCATCGTCAATGTACTCCACTTTCCCCGAGAAGACCTTTTCCGGTCTTACCAACCTTGACGAATCCTACGTGGACCAGATCGACACGCTTTCTCAGGAATTCCTCAATGATCCTTAAGCGTGACAAGCAACGGCGTTTCTACTTATCACGAATACGGCATGAAATAGACAGCGTGTTTCCCTTCATTTTCACGGCGTGACAATTCTGCGACGATTTGAATGAGTTTATACAATTCACGACACACGACCTACAACGGGAGTTTTTCTTTCCTTTCGGCACGAGCGACCTGCCTACGGCATCTGACGTTTTCTTTGAACATTTGTTTTTTTACGGGGCTCCGGATTCTCTGGCGACTTGGGGGACTGAGGAGTTCTTGCTCTTTTGCTATATTGCCCCACCTTGCCCTTTCTGCCCTTTACATCTCCTTCAATTCTTGTTTTCAAGCTTCCGGATATTACATCCAAGGTTCATTTGAACCACTGAGCTGTTCTTTTTTTTCTTTTCTCTGGCGGTTTGATGGTTTCATCCCTTAATTGCCCCACTTTTTCACGATCGATATGTACTTCATGGGTCCTAAATGAAATTTTATGTAGCTAGCTAGCCAAGGCGCCTATTTTCTGGCGGATTTATTCTTCTTTTGCCTTTTAGCGGCCGATGACCATGGGATGGTCTGTATTTTAGTTTTCTTTCTAGTTGCTGTTCAATCATAACCTCATTGCAAGCTCATTTCGATTCCTCTTTCCCTCTCATATAGACTCTACCCCCGTCTACAAAGCTAGGTAACCCCAGTTTTAGCCTCGGGAGACGCAACAAACGTACATGACGTTTTGTCCTCGGCATGATGAAATTCTTTCTCAACGCGAACGCCACCATTTTGAGACTCGGTGTTTTGCATATTCCCCAAGGTAGTCAATATGATCATAACCACCATTTCATTAGCCTGTTCATACTCGAATATGCTCGAGGCTGTATACAGAAGGGATCAAAATCAGATTCACCAGAATATTCTCTCCGATTCTTTTCCGAGCACGGACGTATCGGTTTCCTACAGCACTGCTACAGTTTTTTTACTTCATTCTTCGCGGAAGACTTTCTCGCAAGGACCGTTTCAAGGGTTTGGGTACCAAAGCGGAACTCTTTTTTGAATGGATAGGTTATCATGTCTGTATGTATATATGTATTCATTATGTCTAACTAGCATGCCATAGCGTTATAGCTATCCCAATCTCAAAATGCAGCAGAGATAAAGATCGAGGGAATAAACAAGGAAGAGAGTCACTAGGACCAGTCATGAGCCTTCCACGAAATCTCTAGTTCAATCGGGTGCTCTCCCTGCGAGGCGAAGACTGTGCTCTGCACAAAGCCCTTGGGCGGCTTATCGGCGTAGAATGTGGTGTTGCCTTCATAGCAGAGCTTGTCGTCTTTGACCTGTTCAATAAAATTTGCTTAGTACCTAGAAGCCATGAAATCGAAGATTGAGATAAGACGTACAGTGAATTCGCTGGGGGTGGTGACGTGGGTCCCACATTTGAGAGCGTCCTCCTGGATGGCGCAAAGCCCTTTGCTTGATTTGAGGGTGAATGTGTCATCTGCAGATTCATCACAGTGTTAGTCTTCAAGACTACAGCACAGGTTTTATTGAAGCAGCGAACCTGAAGCCTTCTCGGCCCGGAAGGTAGCACACGTTCCAGATGCGTACCACGTCCCCCAGCTGATGATGCATCCGCGAATTTGGTTAAAAGTGGAGACGATCATGTTCCCCTTGCCTGAGAACGGGATTCCCGTAGCAGTAGGCTCCGAGCCACCGGTTGTTGTGGTCCTCGTCGGCTCAGGCTGGGCCCGCTTAGGCAGGTAGCGGATGCCTCGACGGGGACAGTTGGAAGTTTGACCATCTGTGATGCATGTAAGCTAACTGTCTAGTCGAGGAGATTTCCTGGAGTTCAACGAACCTGGACTTGCGGGAACGAATCTCCCAGTCTGCAGACTTCCTGCAATGTTGAAGTGGTACCAGAGCTCGCTGAGCTGGCCGCGCCGACAGTGGACAGTGACGGGGTGACCGTGGGCAGTCTCTAGCGCATCTTCGATATCCACAAGCGCATATGTTTGCGAATGGGATGGGACGATGCCAGCCTTGGCCAGATACTTTAGAAAAGATCAGCGACTGCATGGATAATGGCGAATTTCAAATATCGGACTAACCTCATAGGAAGGCAAGGTCTTAAAAACCTCAACAGTTCGGTCAAAGTAATCTACCACTTCCTGCTGCGGGAGATAATCCTCATAGCAATGTGTTTCGAGGGTGCTGACACAGGTGCCGTGCTTGTTCCACTCATGTTGCCACAAGTTCTGATCATCGAAATGAAAGTCTTTCCAGTACTCACTCATATATTCGAGCAGGTCTCCACGGCCAGCGTCAACCAAGATGAGCGATATATTGCTGTACTTGCGTCTGGAATCACAGAATTGGTCGAATCCGCCATTACAGTGGTCAGGCCTGGCAGATGTTAAGACCAGGATCATTGTGTACACGAAGTTTGAGAGTAGCCTACCAGAGACCGTGAATACCCCAGGAGTCATCGGGGCCGAGAGCGGGGTCCACATCCCAGAGCTGGGTCTGCAGCATCTGCCCGCCAGGGTAGTTGAAACAACAGGTGTCTTGGCCATGATACTTGACCTGACAGCTAGTTTCTGATAGAGAACATGATGAAGAAGTGCCTGGAGTTGACTTCTCGCTGGACTGCGACAACCACAATGAACTTAGGGTCTTGAGGAGCTTCTGGGGTCCGGGGATCTCCAGGACTTGTTGGAAGGAGCCCCACATGGCGGGGGATCGGTGGAGGGTTGGGAAGCTGTAGCTACTGAAGTTGAATGAATTGCAGACAGATAGTATCCCTTTCAGATCGAAAGAAAGACGAATAGAAGAGAAGTAGAGATGGGGTTGAGGTCAAGGTGCCGGTATCGCCTCGGATGACTAAGGCGATCATCCGTTCAGGTGATCCGATCCCGTGAACCGATAACAAATGTGGGATATGAAGTTGAAGTGGGGCACGTTCATTGATGTCTTGAAAAGGAGGAGGGGATCTTAGTTCTATTCACCCTGACCGTGCTGTATCAGCACCTGGGCACGTTGAAGCTTCAGCTTGATCAACAGAAAGCCCGTCGAGAAAACCACGCGGATGTGCCCCATTTGAATCCACTATAAGAACCGCGTTAGTCCCCTTCCACTGAATTTCGAGTTCGATAATGACGGCACCACCCTCACCGATGCTGGTCCCCCGATCCCACTGCTAGAGTTCCGATATCGACTGTGCCAAGATGATATCGACGGATCCCATCAGATTATCTCTGATAGAAAATGGTGGAGTTTCGCTAAGAGCCGGAGTTGGCCACACGGCGGCATGGTCGCGTTGTTGGAAAGCGGCAAGCCATATGATGAAGGTTGCATAGGAATATAGGAGGCTGCTGGTAATGCTTCATGTAGCTGGCGGGCGATAACTGCCATGAACCATCGCACCTGCCAAGACACTGAATGATCAAGTTTCAACACGTGGACCGCTGAGGCCCGCTCCGCGAGAGATGTGGGATCTGAAATCGAGCGATCGGAGATTTCACCGGTGGGATTTGGGTTGCTTATGGATGGCCCACTCTGCTCGTTATTTACCTGCATAACTATACGGGCACATAGTCGGTGTTGAAAGCGCACACACGCAATTACTACGCGGACTGCACCTAATTCGAAAAAATAATTATTCGGGCGAGATTGAGCGAATCCAGGCTCCCGGACTTCGGATAGGAACGGCGCATACTTCCAGATGGTGTTCGGTCTTACCCGCACAAGCTTAGCGTTTGCGCGAATTTGAGTAGATTGCCTCCGCGCCCAGAAAGAATGGAATGGGACCAGTGATGGCAAGTATGGAAAATAGTAATCCACAAGGCCCACTTAGCTGTCAGCCTCTCGGGTCTGGCTCCTGGATCTGGTCCCATCTAAACCCAACTTGTTAAACAAAAAGAAAGGAAATCCCTGGCCCTCATTACCTCCATGTATTTATACTCAGCTGGTCAAGCTGGCCTGGTCGCTCCCTCTTCGCCTCCGTGCTTCCACCCTCGAGCCTCCAACATCCTTGCAGCTGCCGAAACTGGTCCAACATAATGGCGTTTCACAATCGAGACAAAGCCGGGGGCACTGTGGACATACACACAGCCACGCTGGAAGCGCAGCCAAATGCAGACGACCAGAGCTTAGAACAAAGGGATGAGAGAGAAGTGCTTGAGCACCCCGATGAGATTACCCATCATGCACAGGCTGGAATTCAGAAAGCCGAAGCTACTGCTCTGGTATGGTCCAGAAAAGCCCTGTATGGCACATATGCCTGGTATGTCTCCCGAAGTACTGAGACTGTTCCATCAAATGGATCAGTGCAGTTATTCACTTGCCCATAATCCTTAGCCGAGATTAACACAGGATACCCCTTTGCAGGATCTGGTTGTGTTTCTTCGTCCTGTCCATGCAATCATCGATTAGCAGCAACATCATCTACTACGCGTACGCAAACTTCGCTTCGGCGCCGCAAATATCCCAAGCGTATATCGTGTCGACCATTGTGGGGGGAGTACTTCAACTTCCCATTGCAAAGACTCTAAACATTTGGGGCCGCACCGAGGGTTTTCTGACGTTCTTGGGGGTTTTCATCCTTGGACTGATCATAATCGCCTCCTGTGATGGTCCCAACGGGTTTGCTGCTGGCTACACCTTATACTGGATCGGCTATTCGGCCCTGAATTTTATTCTTTCCGTGTTTGTCGCCGACGCATCCGGATTGAAGAATCGAGCCTTTGTCTATGCCTTCATCGGTACGCCAACCATCTGCACGGCGTTTGTTGGGCCCCTCATTGCCCAGGCATTCGTCGCTCACTCAATTTGGCGCTGGGCCTACGGCTGTTTCGCCATCATTACCTTTGTTATTTTTGTGCCGCTCGCCGTTGTTTTCAAGTTCTACCAACGCAAAGCCGAGAAGCTGGGACTTTTCACGCACATCTTAAGTGACCGAACCACGACCCAGTCAATCGTCCACTACATCCATGAGTTTGACATTGTTGGTGCTTTCATTCTCATGGCTGCATTCATTCTGTTCCTCCTGCCATTCAGCCTCAAAACTTACGGCTTTACCGGATACTCCTCTGCAACGTTTATCGCTATGGTAGTCATTGGACTACTGCTCTTCCCGGTCTTTGCTCTTTGGGAGGCCTACTTTGCCAGAACTCACTTCATCCGATGGGAGTTGTTCAAAAAGCGCACAGTTCTTGGAGCTTGTATCCTGTCGGCCATCATTTTCTTCAACTACTACACGTGGGATCAATACTTTTACTACTATGTGCAAGTGGTTTACAACCTCGACACATCCAAGACAGGATATATGACACAGATTTACGGCGTTGGATCGACCATCTGGGCGGTCTTATTTGGCATTTGGATTCGCAAAACCAAGTACTTCAAGAATGTTTGTCTTTTCTTCGGTGCACCACTACTGTTACTTGGCGCAGCTCTTATGATCCACTTCCGAGGCTCGCAAAGTGACATTGGATACCTGGTGATGTGCCAAATCTTCATTGCCTTTGGGGGTGGAACTCTCGTTATCGGAGATGAAATGGCTGTCATGGCTGCCGCTGACCGTGACGGTGTCCCATTGATGCTTGCCATGATTAGCTTGTCTTCGAGTGTTGGTGGAGCCATTGGATACGCTGTTGCGAGCGCCATTTATGCCAATACGTTCCCTCAAGCATTACTCAGGGCCCTTCCAGAGTCGACCAAGGCGGATTACGCCACTATCTACGCCGGTGGATCAGCTGCCCAACTGATGTATCCTCCAGGGAGCGAGACAAGAATTGCGATCAATTACGCATGGGCTTATAGCCAGAAGTACGAGTGCATCACGGCAGCTTGTCTCGTTGTTCTTGCTTTCCCGGCGATTGCCATCTGGAAGAACTACAATGTCGACAGGAAGCAAGTAAAGGGTACCGTCATTTAAACGGAACTTTGGGCCTGTTACATGATTGGGAATATCATGGAGCGAGTTGAAGAAAGAAGACATCTCGACAACTGGACCATGACCCTCAATCGTGGTGAAAATACAAGATGTGAACGATTACAATACCGATTCATCTTAATTCCAATTACATAGTACAGACAGCTTCCGTAATGCATGCGCATCACTTTCCAACTAAATAATATTGTGTCTATGAAGACAACTTGAAAGCTGTCACATTTGCCGGAAGAGACATTTCTATGACCCGGGCACGATGTAACCTGAAGTCTTCGATTTGTCCTCATTGGTTAAAGTTTATACGGTTGAGGGGAAAAATCCATTTGCTCCATAGACTACTGTAGATTGCTAACAACCCATGGCTTATGGGAATGTAGATGACAGCATTAACTTGAAAGTGAGATTTTAGTTTAGTTTCACTACTGTAGTTGGATACGTCCGTGCACCAGGGAAGTGTCTATCAACCCGTTAGGCACAAACCACACAACTTGCGCTTTCGTGCCTGGGCTTTCTCAAGTGAGCACTGTTAGCCGAAAAGCCCGCCCCTGCCGAAATCAGCGCCGGTTCTAATAGAGGAACTTTACGAGTGTTATTATTATAGTTGCTTTTTGCCCGGGTTCCTGAGACCGAATCCACTCCCTTGCAGAAATCTGCTCAATTCGACTCGCATCCTTCCAATTCTTAGGTATCCGCAAATATTAGTGTCCGTGCCCTTCGGCCGCACCCGAAGGGAACTCTAAGCGATTGGCCGCCCCAAGGCTTGTGGAAATTGAAAGGAAGTCTTAGGTATTAAGTTTTCAGTGTTGCCTTCTTTTACGATGGGGGAGAGGTTTGAATTTTGCTGGATTTGTGCTGTCTGATTTTCCCATTCCTCAAGCGCATCTTACCCGAGCTTACTTTCGGGAAAGAAAAATATTTCTATTGGATCTCATCGGTCTCTAGACCGTCAGAACTCGGCTATGACTGCCGAGCGGATATGTAGATTGCGGCTTTTTCACGTGAGAGACGATAGTTGTATCGTCATTCGACAGCACATCGCTTTTCTTGACACTCTTCCACTCCACAAACAAAGTTGTCACAAAGGCAGCAAGCATTAAAGCCAGGCTGACGCGGTAAGTGTCTCGCAATCCGTTCATGTATGCCTTGATCACTCCATCCAGCTGATCGAGCTGGCCCAAAGTTGCCAAGACGTGTCTCATCTCGGTAGCTCCTGCGTTGAGGATGGCACTCGGATTGACTTCGGGTGCGTATGCGTAGATACCTGCTTGCAAGCCATTCTGGAACACCGACTGACCCACTGCAAGGAAGATGGCGCCCCCCAAGGTCTGGAAGAACATGACCGCGGCGGTTCCCACTGGAATATCCTCGGGCTTCAGTACCGTCTGCACAGCTGTCATTGGGATCTGAAGACCCGCACCAATGCCGGCACCGACAACAATCTGGTAGCCGATCCATTTCGCCGTAGAAATATTGACATCGTACAAGGTGATCAGACCCGATCCGATAGCAGCAATAGCAGTGCTGCCAATCAAGAAAGGCGTATAATAACCGGCTGCTGTCACCATAGCGCCAACCATGATAGATGAAACCACGGTGGCAAGCATAAATGGCAGAACCTGAAGTCCAGCAGTCATTGCAGATGATCCTCTGACGCTCTGGAAGTAAATAGGAACATAGTAGACTAGAAGGAAGAAGCCGCCGCTAAAGAAGAATGCAAACAGTCCAGCAGACCAGATGGTGCGCTTTTTGAGGATTGAGGGTGGCAAAGTTGCGGTTGTGCTCTTCTTAATACCCGCCTTTTTCTCATCTTGCCAACTAATGTAGATCTGGGACGCGGCAAAAAGAAGAATAAGCAGAGCGAACCCAACAAAAAGTCCGATAATTTGAGAGCTCCCCCAGGCGTAGGCATTTCCGCCCCATTGTAATGCGAGAATCAAGCATATGACAGCCGGAATGAGCAAGCTCGCACCGATCAAGTCAAGTTCTTGAGCAAATCTAGAAAATGATAGCTTCCTATCCTGATTGTTGCTCGGTAGGTGAAGGACCAGCAGAACAACTACCATAGAAACTCCGCCCACCGGCAGGTTGATATAGAAGCACCATCTCCAAGACGGACCATCAGTAAACGCTCCACCAAGTAGAGGACCGACGATTGAGGAAACGCCCCAAACAACACCATAGACACCAAAAACGAGCGGCCTCTTTGGCAGAGGCACAGTCATGGAGATGATCACCAGAGCGCCCGAAAAGATCCCTGCAACTCCGATTCCTGCCACTGCGCGACCGATGATCAAGACTGTGCTGGAAGGCGCAACACCACAAATCAGAGATCCGATTTCAAAGATTCCAACAGCAGCTAAGAATGACCATTTCACCTGAGACAGGTCAGAAGGGTCTTTTGATAGCGGAAAAAAAATACAAGGCGAGGATTTCAAGAACAACCAACCTTGAATGGCATTGGGGAGACTTACATTGAGAATCTTATAAATTCTGCCATATGACGGCTGCAGAGCGGTTGAAGTCAAGAAATAAGCGCTGCCATACCAGGCAATATCGGGAATACTCTTGAATTGGTCGGTGATCTTTGGAATAGCCACTCCGATGATAGTCTGATCGAGGGCTACCAGAAACGCGGCCAGGTAGATTGCCAGAACAATGATGATAACTTGCCTGAGGGGGGGGGAACTGGGCCTTTTTGTTGGAGTCTTGATCTTCAATACTGGCAGCGTCGGTGTTCACCTGCAGAGCAGTTTTCTCCCCGCTGGCCACGAGATCCGGAGGATTGGGAGCTTCACTCATGACGGGACACGTACTTGAAGTCAGAAAGGGGTTCAGCAGTGATATTGATCTGTGAAATTGTGCCTTGAATGGCGAAGCATCAAGATGAGAGCACACGGGAGCTGGATCCTTCTTGATTACACCAGTCTCACGAGGTACAGCAGAGACTGAGCAGACCAAAAGAAATATTATCTCCTCCGCCGAATAAGCCCGGTTATGCAAAATAAAAGGGATACCCTTTTCCAGTGCCCTATGAACTTTACGGGACCTCACTACCGCTTCTCTGGATGATGATAGGTCCCAATTCAGAGGAAGAGCTAAAATATGACAATTACCTCAAACATGCTCTCCTTAGGGAAAGGTGAAAACTTAACTTTGCACGTTTTTCTTTTGATTTGGGCTTCTGATTTACCACGACTCTCATTAGCCTCGTCACGAGGTCTATCCACCTCTTTACACCAATTGATTCTGCCCGTAAGAGGTACTCAGTGTGGGCTTACTGGGCTTTTATCCACTTTCCGTACTAGTGCACGAATGGTGGACTGGAGGTAGGTAGACCCTAGTAACGTTACTCACTGAAAGACTAACCACCATTCAGTCTTCCCGAGTCCCGAGGCTGATCAATCGGATTCAAAATCACCCATCCTCCATAATTCACCGTTGGCACGGAACTTTTTGAACTCAAACAACATAGATGGTTCACTTGTCTACTTCAGCCCTGCATGGCGGGTCTAAACAATTCCCCGAAAGGTTATTCCCAAGAAAAGAAAATTACACTCAATCCTCGGGAATTACAATCAACGGCCTCAAATACACTCGGCGTTGGTTTCGAGAACGTTCTAACTCGTATTGAAGTCCGAAGTCTGAGTCAATTTTCACGATGACTGCCTTGGCTGTCCCAAGTACCACGTGGATATGCAAAATCTGCACGTGGGACTCCATACGGCATACGGAGTTCCTTTTTGGGATGCGGTCCTCCTAGCATTGAGACTCAAACCGGGCTGACAATAAATTCCCGACGGACTCCACCAAGTCTGAGTTGCTCTACTGCTGTTCATCGCATCGTACCCCTCTCTTGTACCACCACTGCACCCTTTGGGACTATCCAGCTTCCAGCTATAATCTTCCCAGACGCTGGGAATATTGATACAGCATGGCGTCACTTCACTCTGATTCTGGCCGACTTGATTCCGAGTCCAAATGCTCGACAGCGGAACTCCTTGATACCCCTGCCGTTAACCCTGCCGTTAACCCTGCCGTTAACTGCACGCCATATTCAAGTGACGTGGAATTGACGTCCCAGCGAATCTTGGATGTCTTTCTGAAATATGCACTCAACAAATTTGAATATGCACCGGACCATCTGGGTGGTAATGGAAAAGGCTTTCTTTCTGTGATAGGCAGATTTGTCTCCCAGGGTACCCGTGTACAGGCTTGCCTCCCTGCGTTTCCCTTCAAGTCAGCGAACAAGGTGTACAAAGTGCTCGGGAGCTTGCCAGACAAAGCAGAGGAGCTGGCACTTGATCGATTGAACGCTCTTTGCAATTCTATTCAGGAATTCTATGCCCCGGGTGCCGAGATTGTGATTATATCGGACGGCATCACCTACAATGGTTCGTGGGCTATTTCATTGGCGTATTAAAATTGTTTTTGTCCAATCTCTGACAGCTTCATGGTCGATTATAGACTTGTTATGTATTTCGGACAAAGAAACCTGGGAATATGGCGAAGCCCTACGAAGCATGGCCATCGAGAAGGGATTTGACAACATTTCATTTTCGCGAACCCGAGACCTTCTTGACATCTCTCTCCCCGACAACCTCACTGAGATCGTCTATGTGGCTAACTGTACGAACTTTCGTCGCTTGCTCTTGAACCAATATGGGAAGGCCAATCTCGACATCGACGAGGAAATTACAAAGAACGCAGATACAAAATTGACGTATCTTGGCTATAAGCGTTTTTTGGAATCGGATTTGCAGCACATCTTTCCTCGGGGAAAGCGTCGCTCTGCCCACAGTTACAAGCGGGATTGCAAATATCTGGCGAAACAAATGCTTTTGAGAGGATACGTACGTATTATTACGCCCCGGATATGCCATTTGGGGGACCCTGCGGCTGACTTGGAGGAATAGGCTTTTGCCGGGGCCGTCAAGCACGCCTTCCCACACCATCTGCGGCTTTCAATCCACGAGTCTATCAGTGGAAACAAGATACCTATTAGTCTGCTGAATACGAAGACAGGTTATACTACCCCATGGCATTGTTCTGTGGCTCAACTTGCAGATGGGATGTGGGTTAGTGCTCCGATGGGCGAGTTCAGTCAGGATAGTCGGTTGGAATTGGTTCATGTCGATGGGGCCCCCAGTCACTACAGGGAGAAATTGTCCGATGGGGGACATACTCCCATCAGGGAGACAACGGCACGCTATCTCCAGTCCGCTAAATCCATCACGGTCACTGCGTACGTCAATAGTGCATTCAAGGATGTATCATCACTTGCATCCTATTCTAGCGAGGGTTCCGTGTCTTCATCTGAGGGCAAATACCCCGACAGCCGTTTCACTACCCCGGAAATCCCAGCAACGTCGGAGATTTCGTCTTCAATATCTGGCCTGGGAATCGAGATAAATTCGAGGCCCCGAGTTGCGCCATCACCGCTGGAGACACAGACTGTGGTGTCAGCGGAATACGGTAGAAGGCTCATTCCCCAAATAATGGATGATCTTGCTGCTTCCGAGCCGGAAAGAACTGTTTTCTCTCTTGCATCACTCTCAAATGGCTTTCTCAAACTCAACCCAATTTCTGCCCAGCAATTCACCAGAGCAGTCGATAAGACTGCCTGGTGGCTTCGTGAGCAGGTTGGCACCCCCGATTCAGTTCAGCCCATGGCTTATATTGGACCACGTATGTTTTGCAATTTTGCAAAGAACCTCATTTTGACTTTTAATCTCGGCTTCTGACGGCACTGCTTGGTTTAGATGATCTCAGGCATGTTCTTTTGACATATGCGTGTGTTAAAGCGGGTTATTCGGTATGTTCTCGACCAGGTCAACATCATCACCATATCATGAATGCACCGATTCTAAGTATTCTTCTTACTACAGGCTCTTTTCCTATCCCCCAAAAACAATGCCGACGGAATCTTGGCTGTACTCAGTAAATTGGACTGCAATATCTGGGTCAATGCAATTGACGCATCGCCAGTCCAAGTGGTCAAAGATGTTTTGCAGGAGCGGTCTATGAAGTATTTGCAGCTTCCTACGCTCGACGTGCTTCTTGATGCTGAGTCTACCGAAGCTTTCTCATACACAAAGACCTTTGATGAAGCCATAAATGATCCATTCTGCTACTTGCATACGTCTGGAAGCACTGGATTGCCCAAGCCCATTCCTTGGTCTCATGGGCTCATTGGCACTATGGACGCAGTCCGACTGCTGCCACCCGTGGGTGAAAACGCTGATTTAGTTCCTTGGACTTCAGACTGGAATGAAGGGGACAAGATATACTCGTCCTTCCCAATGAGTCACGTACGTCAACTCCTCCTGTATCTAGGTTTCTGGGGCTCAGGATGATGTGGAAGGAGTTCTTAGCTGACTGTATCACCTATAGGGCGCTGGAATAATCATGGATATTTTGATGCCTGCACTTTTCAACCTCCACTGCATCTTGGGACCAGTTGGTGTTTTACCAAATCTGAACCTAGTGGAAAGGCTAGCTGTAGATGTGAAGATTGATATCTGGAGTATGGTCCCTTCGCTCGTCGATGAGCTGGGCGAAACCCCCGAAATTTTGGAGCATCTCCGTCCCAGCAAGTTCATCTGTGCATCTGGAGGCCCTGTTAGCTCAGCCAGCGCTGGCAAGGTGAATGAGGTTGTCAGAGTCCTTAACTTGACGGGTACAACTGAAGGCCTCTTCATTGGGAACTTGAAGCCCGAAAGAGAAGACTGGTTCTGGTTCTGCTTCCATCCTTACTCTGGCTTCGAGTTTAAGGAGCTCGAAACCGATGTCTATGAGCACTGGGTACATCGCAACGAGCACTGGGCTCTCTTCCAAGGAATTTTCCACACATTCCCGGATCAAAATTCAATCAACTTCAAAGACCTTTACATGCGGCACCCTACCAAGCCCAACTTGTGGGCCTTCAAGGGAAGAAGTGATGATCTTGTGGTCTTGTCGAATGGGTATAAGATATCGCCCCTGGAAACAGAGGCATTTATCACAACTCACCCCGATATTAATGGCTGCCTGATTTTTGGAACTGGATGGCCACAAGCCGGTCTACTCATTGAGTTGAATGATCCTTCCAACAAATCACCTGAGCTGATCGACAGTATTTGGGCAAAGGTCCAGACAGCCAATTCTATGTCCCGGCACAAGAACCAGCTACTCAAGGATTTCATAACTTTTGCACTCCCCGAAAAGCCCTTCTTGCGAACAGACAAGAGAACGGTCAAAAGATCTGCTACACTGGCATTGTACTCCGATTACATTGAGCGATTCTACAGTTCGCGCAATGACGACGTCGATCAAGTTGTGACATTTGATATGAGCTCGCCTGAGGCAACCGAGGGCTCCATACGAAAGATTCTTGGCAGCTCTCTTTCAGAAGCCCAGAGCGTGCTTCCAGAAACAGACTTATTTTCTGTTGGACTTGATTCGCTCGGCGTGTTCGCGGCTGTCAAAACGATCCGGGCAGCCACAGGCTTGGGTGATAAAATATCGCCTCGTCACATCTACGCCAATCCGACGATTATGAGTCTTGCTACAACGGTTTCTACACTAATTGAAGAAGCAAAGAATGAAGAATCTGAGGGGTTGAACGATAAGGATTCAAATAACGCCGCTTCTCTCATGAACAATCTGATCGCTCAGCACAAAGCACGACAATCCTTCCGCCTGAACGCCTTCGATTACGTTAATCCAAATCACGGCATGGGAATTATGCTGTTCTTTTCCATTCACGAGGAAACTCCTTACGTGGAAGTGTTTCAAAATCTTCAAGAAGGGCTTAATCGCACATTCGACATGATACCTGCTCTCAGTGGAAAAATGATGCATTGCTCCGAACAGGAAATTGGATATAATAAAGGAGACCTTTGTGTGACGATTCCGCCGCTTTCCATGGCAAACTCTGTAAAAAACCGTCTGATATATAAGGATCTCTCCGATGTCCTTCCGCCATTTGAGAAATTGAAAGAGGCAGGCTTCCCACCTTCTGCTGTCCCGGACGACCTCGTTCTGCGAGACGACCCGTTTCCGAAATTCCCTGCGGACATTTTCTCAGGCCAAGTGAACTTCATTCCCGGTGGCTGCATTGTTGCTGTTGACTTAAACCACTGTTGCCTCGACGGTCTGGGAGCCATGGTTGTTCTCAAGGCTTGGGCTGAGAATTGCCGATATCTTCAAGGCGATCAAGGAGCAACTTGCGCCTGGTATCACCCGGAGAGCTTCAACCATGCATTACCGGAAATCATCCACGAGCAAGAGGGCTGGGCTCGCCCGGTCGAAGAGATTGACCCCGGTACATGGGGATTCTTACCTTTCTTCCCACCCGATCAATACCGGAAGAGTATTCAAGAAGCTACCATTGGATATGAGAATTGCAAGTTACCACCTGCTCCTGATTTCAAGTTGCATGATATTTGGCCGCTCCCACGCGCTGAACGGTGTACCGAAACAACAGTGTTCCTGATCAGGCCCGAAAACCTGGAGAAAATGAAGCAAGAGGTTATGTCTGATCCCGAAGCAAAAGGGGTCATCAATTCAATCAGCGACATTGTGCAAGCCTTCCTCTGGCGTGCTGCCATTCGGGTGCGACGAAAGGTTGCCACGGAGATCCGGAAGCAGATATTCAAGCCAGATGAGGTTTCTATCCTCGAGCTCCCTACCGACGGCCGCCCATACTTCTCTCAACTCTTGCCCGAGACATATATGGGTAGTCTGTTGATCCTGAATCGATCAACGATGCCCATCGAGATGCTTTGCTCTGATCACACCACAATTGGCCGCGTCGCGTATCTGCTTCGTGAGTCTGCCGCACGCATCACACCTTCAGTCGTCCATGATGCATTGTCAATTTTGCAGTCACTGCCAAATCATGAACGATTTTCGACGGCAAACATGGGCCTCGAGCATATGCATGCTATGATTTCCAACATGATGCTTTTCCCAACCGACGAGGTTTGCTTTGGCGATGCCTTCTTTGCCAACGGGGGGTGCCCTGAGTCCTTGAGACCACAGATTGAGCGTGGAAATGGACGTTTTAGATTCCTGGTAATCCTCCCAATCAGAAGGGATGGCGGAATTGAGCTTTCCTTGGGTACACATCCGGAGGAACTGGAGATGTTTCTGGCAGACAAAGAATTTACGAAATATGCTGAGCTTCTCGCTCCGTTCTGATGAGTTGATTATTTTGTTGCATCTTGTGAGATCTTCGTAATATTAATTGATGCAATTTTTCATCGTCAACAGTTTGTTTGATGTTATTGATTACGAATAAAATTTGGTTCTAAAGGCCTAGAGGGAGTCAGCATTCAGTGACATGATTTAATTACAATGGTAGAGAATAAAAGCTCTAGTAACTCAGGGCATCCAGATAAGCTCAATCTTGCGTTCTCAAAAATCAGGGAAAAATCTTCGTTATATTGTCTTCGCTTGGGCCAATCACGCACGGTTCGTATCGTGTATTGAGAAGAATTGGCCATTCTTACCCTGTCTATTGCACTCTCACCCTGCTCATCCCTGGTGACACGATGCTAGGGAGTACTTGATGCATAATTGACAAATTTCCAGGGTATATGGAGTGCTTCAACTCGCTCCATGCCACATACGACCATAGGGTGTGGAGAACAGGGCTTCCCGACCCTGTAGTAGCTATGCAAAGACGCTTAGCTAACCTTCTGTAAATATATATTCACGAAAGCCCTTTATGGCGTCTCTAAGTTGTTGGCCTAAAAAGAATAGTTAAATTTAGTATAAAGGCGTTGTTGAGGATAAGTCTAAGACGATCCACGGAACCTACATGTACGCTTTTTTGCCGTAGGGGGATTTTCCAACAGGCGTAAAATTCAGTAAAATCCAATGGAACTACTCAGATTCGGTAAACGTAGCTTAGAGAACAGCCACTAGCTCAGCTTTTTTACCGCCAGGCACGCCCTCGGATGACTAGTATAATCTAGAATCCTAGGTCCCAGCCAGGACTAGTGGCTGACTGGGACCTAGGATTAGTCGGAATTTTCTGGGTCCCAGCCAACCTTTTCTGGGTCCTAGCCAGCTGTGACACCCGGTGCACCTATAGCAATATGGATATGAAGCCCAAGTGGGCACAATCATTGATGCCTTGAAAAAGAGGGGGGTATCTTGTATTTCCTATGTTCATGTGCTTTTGTAACTCTGCGTAACATGTCTTAGATGACGGACGCCTCCTTCCGCGTATTCTCTTCCTGCTCATGCACTCTCTCTTTCCACAGCCGCAGCACCTCGAAGCCGACCTCGACGGCAATGAGCAAAATGATGATCCACTCCAGTCGGAGACCGTGTGTTTCACTGAGACGTTCTCGCAGCACACTCGCAATTTCTTGCGCGTAGTCCATCTTCTCGTTCAGGAGCTTGATACGGATCCCTACATCCAAGGCTCTGCCCACCTGTTCGTAATACCCCTCAAGGCCAAGCTCATGTCGACTATCCCAGAAAAGGTCTGGAAGAGAGTCCGTAAGTTCGGAGTAAAGATTGAGTTGTGCACGGACGCTGAGAAGCTGCCCGGTCTTGCGAAGAATGAAGTCCCGGGTATATGGGAGACGTGAACCTTGAGAGAGAAGTGTGGGGATAGTGCGTGTCGACTCGAAATAATTCGACAAAAGGCTTTCCAGAACAGCCAGCTTCGTACTTCGAGCTAGGCCCGAGGAAAATGCAACCTTAGTCAGAACTGTGTCAATAGTTTCTTGTTTCGCAGGAGGCATTCCTAGCCCGTCGACTCCATTTCGCGTGCCCAAAATGATGGTGTCGCCCTTGATGCTGCTATTGTCTCGCCTTGGATCTTCCACGAATTCAAGGTCTTCCGTTTCCAGATCATCCACATGAGCTCCTTCAGCTGCGGGGAGTAGAGTTCTTGTTGCCAGAAACGAGGTGAATCCTTCGGGGAGGGCCCACGCCACCACCGTTCCAGACGGAAAGACAAACACATCGCCAGCTTCATCGGACGACAATCCAGTGGTCGATGGGTTTCCCACCCGGCGTATTGAATCGATGGGTATTTGGACGTGGACGACTTGGGGATAGAGACCTGTCTCTAGTGGATCCGCCTCATACCCTTTGTCTTGCAAGATTTCCCGGGCTTTGCGAATATCAAATTTCTCGGCTACGGCGTAGGCAGTCACTGTCTAAAGAAGGAAATTGTTAGTGGAAACAGAGTGTAGACATGGCCAGTCACTTTACCTTAGTCTGGTCAATGCCCTGCTCCTTGAGCTGGGCTTTTGAAAGAACCCCATCCCTCGACCTTTGTGCCTCCACGGCAACTCGACGTAGGGAAGTTGGTGCTGCTGGGACTCTACTAGCACGTTTCCGCTGTTTCTGATGTTCTAGTTGATCGATTGATTCATCATTCCTGTTCGGTTGGTTTTGCGCCAGGATGGCATTTGATGAGAAGAAATCCCTCCGGCGGGGGAGCTCCAATGTCGGCGCCGCATGAATGTATTGATCCTGCGGTCGTCTCAAGGGCCGCAGAGCTACCAGTCGCTTGCAGGCGAAACAGACAGGGGCCCTTGCAAACATGGTTGGAGAGCGTGGGAAGCGCGATGTCATCGTAGACATCGTAGAGCAAGCTGCAAGAGGCCGCGGAAGCGCTTAGTCAGGTGCTCCACCCCCGACCCCAGCTGCTCCCGAAGCTGCAGCCCGGTCACAGCTCCCGCTGCTTGTCGCATCTTGATCAACACCCGCTTGAGAGCTCCGGGTGCCACGAGCGACTCGCCATGGACGCGCCTGGCGCGAATACGGCCAACGGGAGTGCCAACAAGGGCCTCTCGGAGCCCGATACATCTCGAATCCCACCTACGGACACGAACCCTGACGAACACGAGCGACGTCATGCAAACAGTGACGATGATTCAGAGGGAAGCGACCACGATGCTGAAGAGGAAGAGGAGGAGGAGTCTGATGAAGAGGATGAAGAGGATGAAGAGCCCCGGCTCAAATACGCATATCTCACCAAGCACTTGGGATCAGTATATCGTAATGGAGACGCGACCAGCACGTTTCTGGTTGCAGGGGACAAAATGGTGGGTATATATCTGGAGATGGAGCTATTTTCACGGAGCTAATATTGTTCAGATTGTTGGTACACATAATGGAGTCATCGTAAGTGGATTACATCTGCGTGCATCCATCCCGGCGACAAACTAACGTCGCCAAGCATGTTCTATCCTTGCCGCTTCTGCAGCCCCTCCGTGTCTACCAAGCACATTCAGCCAGTGTGACATCCATATCGATATCGCCGTTTCCTCCGCCTTTGCCGAATTTCAAGGCCGATGCCCTCGCTAAGCAAGCTGCAGAAGAGCATGGTTCTCTGTCGCGAGCATCATCAAGTGCGGGCAGTATCCGCGGCCAGCCCAGACCGAACCAACATTCGTCTGTCCCGGCTACGCCGTCGAACTCATTTTACATTGCGTCGGCCTCCATCGACGGCAACGTGTGCGTCTCCTCGTTAGTGGACCCGAAGGATATTCTTAAGCGAAACTTTGGTCGACCTGTTCAAGCAGTCGCGCTCTCTCCGGACTACAAGAGCGATCGGACATTTATTTCCGGTGGCCGAGCTGGTGAACTGGTCTTGACTACTGGTGGCCGTCTCGGGGTTAGCTCGAATGCCACTACCATGGGAGGTGCAACAGCAGCAGCATCAAGTTGGTTGGGATCAATGGGCTTGGGTGCCAACAGTGGCAAGGACACTGTTCTGCATAGCGGTGAGGGCACAATTAGTACCATTCGATGGTCCTTATCTGGGAAATATGTCGTCTGGGTCAACGAGGAAGGCATCAAGATTATGCGATCTAACTTGCACCTGGAATCTTCGGAGTCGGAGTTTGCATGGAAACGTATCAGTCACATCGATCGCCCGAATGGACCAGGCTGGGAGGAGATGGCCAGCGTTTGGAAAGCGCGGGCAGAATGGATTGATCAAGCTGCCCTGGACGATGCAGACAATCTGGACCCTACCAATGAAACGACGCATCATAAGGCGCCTTCAAACAGCACTGACGAGAAAGTCGAGAAACTTGTGGTGGGCTGGGGAGGCACCGTCTGGGTTATTGATGTATACCCAGACCGGGCAAGCAAGTCTTCAAAGGGCGAGAAATACGGTTCTGCAGAGGTGTCTACGATGTGAGTTGAATGACTTGTTAATCACTGGAGCAATGACTTATTTGCATTTACAGTTTACGAACGGATTGTGTGATCTCTGGCATCTCATTGTACACACAGCGTCTCCTTGTCGTCCTTGCATATATTGAAGCAGATAACGATCCCGCAGAAGGCGATGGCAGAAGCTCCGGGATTCGTCATCGACAGCGGGGCCTGGAGCCTGAACTTAGAATTATCGATATCGCGACAAAAGAAGAGCTCAGCGCTGATACGCTATCTGTCAGTCGCTTTGCAGGCTTGACTTCGTCTGACTACTACTTGAGCGTGCTACCTCCATGGAGAACCCCAGAGGGACAAGTTGTTCAACGCGGTGCTTTGGGTGCCATCGGACACGGTCTATTGGATGCTACTATGTACTCGGCGCGACTCTTTAGCTCTGGCGCAAGTATTCGCAGTACCACCAGCAGTGGCGATAAGGTCTCCGGCAGGGTTCCCCCGTCTTTCAGCTCAAGGCATCTCTCGGCGGAAGATGGTCTTCCAAAGGAGGTGCAGGAAGTCGCGGGAGCCCCTGGCGCAAAGATATTTGTCCATAGCCCGTACGACTGTGTTGTTGCTGTGAAGCGAGATTTGTCCGACCGATTGTCCTGGTTAAGCTCCTGTGGCCAGTATGAAGAAGCATGGAACCTCGTTGATGAACACCCTGAAGCCGCAGGCCCAGCTCCAGACCTGAACGAGGCCACTGCAGGGTCTCTGAAGTCAAAAAACAGCCTCGGTGACTTTTTCGCTGATGGCCAGTCATCTGTTATGACCGCTGGCCGAACAACAGCTCCAGCCGCGGAACAAGAAAAGGCTCGCCTTGGTGAACTATGGCTTGAACAACTTGTTGGTGACGAGAAATGGTCAGAGGCCGCCGAGGTTTGCGGAAAAGTCCTCCGTAACCCTGCTCGATGGGAGCATTGGGCATGGGTCTTTGTCAAGAAAGATCAACTCGACGAGATCACTCCTCATATTCCCGTTGATCTGCACCCTTCACTGCCCGCCGAAATTTACGAATTCATCCTCAATCACTACGTTTCTCGAGATCTTAACCGATTTAAGGAGTTGGTTGACACATGGCCTTCCGATTTATTTGACCCAAATAACGTGGCCGTGGCCATCGAGGAACAAATCAACTCGCCATCCATCGAAACCGAGTCCGAGGAATGGCGAATCCTCACGGATTGCCTGGCCAAGTTATTCCTCGTGGGTGGTCATTACCGTGAGGCTTTGCACTGCTATGTCCGACTCCAAGATGCAGATGCAGCCATGTCCCTGATCAAGGAACACCACTTGGTCGACGCAATATCCGATGACATCCCAGCTTTCATTATGATTCGCATTTCCAAAGCACAGATGAAATCGGCACCGAAGTCCGAGCTTGAAGAATTGGCTGCAGAGCCAATCCAGCTCCTCGCGAGCGAAGCTTATACCGGTATTGTCCGTCCTGAAACCGTAGTGTCGCAATTGCAGGCCGCGAATCGAGTCCTGTTCATCTATTTCTATCTTCGTGCATTGTGGCGCGGCGAGTCTCTTCCACATGAGACCTCTAAGCCTCGAAGAGGCCGTGGTGCTCATGCCCGGGATGCAGCGAGCAAGCTAGCCGCAGACGAAGGAAAGGCACTGATTGATGGCTTTGCGGACACGGCGGTGGAAGTATTTGCGGATTACGATCGACCTCTTCTCATGGAGTTCCTACAAACGAGCATATCGTACACCTTCGAGACCGCCATCCACATCTGCGAGCAGCGCCGCTTCACGCAGGAGTTGATCTATCTGCTCTCAAAGATGGGCCAGACAAAACGAGCTTTGAACTTGATCTTGTCAGACTTGAAGGATGTGTCTCAAGCAATCTCGTTTGCGAAGTCGCAGGACGATCCGGATCTTTGGGAGGACCTTCTGGATTATTCGATGGACAAGCCTAAATTCATACATGGGCTTCTCGTTGAGGCGGGCACGTCCATCGATCCCATCAAACTTGTGCGGCGTATCCCAAGTGGGCTGGAGATCGAAGGCCTTCGAGATGGCCTCACGCGGTTGATTCGTGAGCATGACTTGCAAGCTAGTATCAGCCACGGTGCCGCACGGGTCATGCAAGGAGAGGTCGCTTTAGGAATGCATACATTGCGCAGAGGACAACGACGCGGTATCAAGTTCGACACTTTTGAGGAAAAGGTCAACATTATGAGGGATGGAGACCTGACACCGACAGCGAAGACACACAACCAAGAGGCAGTGTCAGAATCCAGTCTCTCTGCAAAGCGTGCCGGTCCTGGACCAGGGAAATGCGGTGGCTGCAACGCCCGATTCGAGGCAAATGGTAAGTTATCAATATATATTTCCCTCCACTTCAGGATGATACAATCTAATCATCTTTTATTTGCAGAGAAGGAAATTCTCATCGGCTTCGCATGCGGTCACGTTTTCCATCTCTCCCACCTGCACTCCGAAGCATCGCAACAATCCAACACAAGCAGCCCTACTGGATCCGCAGGTCGGACTCCTCGGCCCTCGTCTCCATCGGACGAACCCGCTTCTTTCACTGCCTCTCGCACTGTCGGACCTAAGGTGACGACAGCGCGACTTCTGCGTGATAAGATCGGAGACGGATGTCGGATCTGCGCTTTGACAAGAAAGATCGAGTCGCTTGGCAGTGAAGTCGAAGCATGAGCTGTGTGGAAATCGGGACCTTGTTTACCTCCCCTTTTCATCACCGAACCCCATGTGCATACTCATTGTATACCCATTGTATACCCATTGTTTCCTTCAATATACCCAGTCACCTGTCTCGGACTTCTCGGGTTAAGCTTGTCATTTAAATACCACGTGTAAATTCAACTGCATAATGCATTACTGACTAGCAATACTGATACAACCTTAATTTGGACCTAGGGTTCGTGAACAAGTAGTCAATCGGATGTTTTTGGGGTAGCGAATGTCACGTGTTGAGGCTCTTGGATGCTCGTGGCGTCCACAATATCAGCGTGGTGGGTGCTTCACGCCCTAAATCACCGCATTGACCTTCTAGCCGGCTATAAAAAGATCGTTACATCTCATCGTCCCCTCAAAAAAGGGGTCTAATCTCACTGTTGAATGCTAGGCTTACTCTAGACCTAGGAAGCAGGGTTCCGGACTAACCTGTTTAGGGAAAAGTCATTGGGCCCTGCGAAGCGAGAATAGATATTATTGGCGCTAACATTACGTTTTCGCGCTACAAGCCCAAAGTTGGACCAGTTCGGCTCCGTGTCTAGAGAGGCTCAGTGGACGGTTGTATCGGCACTAGGGCACTTCTGGCGAATTTGCCCGGGTCTATGATTTCCCTCCATGCTCTCGCGTAGAGAACTGGGGAACCCGCGTCCCGTGCTCTAAAAGCTTCTACTGACCCTTTTTTTTTTCGTATAGTAGGGGCTTCTGCAATTCCCTGTGCCCCATTGTTTCCGAAATATCTCAACTCGGCTCATCCGCGACTCGCTTTTGTCACTTTTGTCACTCGTTTAAATCACTCGTTCAGAGCATTAACCATCATGGCGCGATTGGTTTCTTTGTTCGTGCTCCTCAGCTTCCTGAGCACGAGTGTACTGGCCCAATACAACGAAACCCTACAAAACATCCATGCGGACTGCGATGTGAATGAGCTTTCATGGGAACATCTACCGAGATTCTCCAGTATCCATCGAGCGCCAGACTTCGGATTGTGAAGCTAGAAATATGCCGTTCACTTTCAACGAAGAGGCGGCCTGCGGTATCTCTCCGAGTTCTTGACCCATTATGTGACATAATGGGTCCTATTGGTCAGCGTGCTGGCCTACATATTGCTTCCAAGATGGCGAGTGAAGTCTGCTTGTGGAACCCAAAGAACATAGAATAGACTACATGGAATAAAATTAAATGCAGACATTGATCAGATTAGTGCAGGCTCAGCTGCCGCTATTGTCTGCACAATAGAACGAAACATTGCAGTATTAGGGAGCACTCTTGATAACTCCATATCTCTTAACGCCAACCCCCTATTCACTGAAAGCACAAAAGAACAGCTGAGTATGACCATCAACTGTCAGAGTCCCGACATAGTCCCTGTAAACAGAAGACTCGCCTGCACGAGGAGGCGAAAGGACAGGAAATAAGGAAAGTTCTCAAAGAGCATTGAGAAAGACCACGATGGAAACTGCAACCATGATGGAATGGGTCAGGAATCCACTCTGGTGATCAGCCACACCCGTGTGCACAAGCACCGAGGTAGTGGGAGAAACAGGGTAAGTTGTATTGGTGATACCAGCAGGGGGAGCAGCAGTAGTACCCGCAGTGCCAGGTGACTTGGCGCAGTTGGAGCACGAAATGGTGACGACCATCCCAGTGGGTTTGATACCAGCCGACAAAGTAGAGAGATCGACTGGAGCTGTAGTCGTGCCGGCATTGACTCCAGGAGTCACAGTAGTGAGAGGCTTTGGGATTACCTTGAAGGTCTGGGTCGAGATATCAGAGGTGGTATGCTCGGGGGTTTTCACGGAGCTTGAGAAAGGCACAGGCTCCGTCTCAGTGAGGGTCACAGAGGTAGCCTTGGTGCCGGTGGGAGAGAATGAAACAGAAGTCATCTCCTTGACCGAGGGGCAAGGCTCAGTCTCAGTTTCAGTTTCAGTGACCGGGACCCGGACCGGGGTCGAAAGAGTTGCAGAAGTCACCTCAATAACTGAAGTCCAAGTCGCCTTGGTGCTGGGCAGCGAGATAGTCACTTGAGTTACCTCAGTAGCGGAAACCGAGTGGGTGGTAGTAGGCTCAGTGGCAACGACAGTAGGCATACCCGAAACGATGAGGTCAGTAGGTTCTCCCAAAGGTAGGACACCAGCGGTCACAGAGGGAGGGGCATGGGAACCGCAGTTGATCTCAGTGACAACCCGGGTAGCAGTGGCAGTAACTGTGAAAAAAGGAAAAAAAAAAGGTCAACAAAGGCACCCACAGCCAGGTTTTGTTTCAAGCGAACTCACCGAAGCCACGGTCAATGATGCGGGCAGCGATGCCAGGCAGATGATCGACTTTATGGGAATGGTTAGCATATCAGTTCACCAGATGTATGAGGCGAACATGCGGCCGTAAATGACGACACCTTCAGAGGAGTCATGGTGAGGCTCTTCAAAGACATCCAGGTCTGGATAGAAGTGAATGTCAGACTGCAAATCACACAAGCATTCATCGCAAGAATCGGTGACTTACTGTGGACGAGGGACGCGGCCACCATCGATATGACGGTCAGCAGGATGAGGGCGTGGAGCCGAGCGAAGAACGTCATTGCGACGCAGGTGTTGACGAGTGGTCGTCGAAAGTTGGTGAATTGAGAACTGGAACGAATGAACTCGGTTGGAAACCGAGAAACGAGCGTGATGTAGATGCAGAGGACTAGAGAAGAGAAAGACAAAGAGAGGGAGGATGGGGGAGAAGTACTCGAGCGCGAGGCAACACTCGCACATCCACAGCAGGCGCGACCTTCTCTCCCTTGTCCCGTGTGACACTGCACGGGCAATTGCAAAGATACTTCTGATCCAGTACGTCCACCACACACTTGCACGGTACCGTCCAGAATAGAGTACAACCGGGGTGACCTTCTCAAGTGCAAACGCCTGGGGAGTTGCAGCTACCTGTCGTACAGCCCACAAAGTTAAATGAGACGCTAGAGCAGAAAAGTACGCAAATCAAACAGTGTTTATTGTCGGATTGGTAACTGCCAAGGACACTCAATGGACATTGAGTGCGTCTTCTAGACGAGGGTAGTGTTGCCAAAGCAAAGTGCAAAAGATGCGAGAGACCCCAAGCCCGGAGGAAAGAAGAAATCACGCAGGTACACAGGTACATATGTCGTGGAACCGAGAGCCGATACAACCCAAAAAGAAGTGGCGTTGAAGCTGCATTATTCCACAGGGTTGGTTCAGTTATGTCCTCGGGAGATAACGAAGTGTTGAAGTTAAAAAAAAACACGACGAGAGTGTCGATAAACCCTGAACTGATAATCAAAGATCAGATAGGAGTGGAAGATTGGTAGAAAGGTAAGAAAAAGCTTTTATACAGTTGCATTTCGATATTCCCCGAACGGAGGAAACCTGAACACACTCAACCAGCAACGGAGATCGAACGAACCACCAAGGCTATGCGAGAAAATTATAGAAAGAGTAGAATGGGACGCTCGGGCCTGCCCAAGGATTCAACGTTAGAGGCTCCTCCACGTCGGCGATCGTCAGCGATGAAGTATACAGTAGGCCATCTCCAAGACGGTCAGGTGACGGTCGAACAACCCGACAGCTCGGTCGATAGGGCTGTCCCAGCAAAGTCAATCCAAGATATCGATTCCCAAGGTTCTCCGGCCCACATGCCATATCAAGACTGCACGGCCACACGCCAAGACCAAGATGCGTTTAGGGTTCCTGCACTGATCTCGCCCGAGTTCGAGCGAAGAGATTCCATTCCAGCACAATTGAGCCTCGACCGATCCAAAAATCGCACATCGACGTCCACGCGACGATCCAATCTCCCGCAGACCAGCCAACCCAATCAAAAGCGCAGATAGCCCGTGAAACACTAGCGTGCCAACGGGCGCAACGACTATCTCCAAAATCCAAGCGAGATTGCAGCGAACGGAGGCTGACCGCAATGGGACGGAGTAATGTGATGAATACATACATATACGAGAACCGTACGGGGGCCAAAAATAGTGGTAATACGGAACACGATACGGAGTATTTTTCCCGGTGGATCTGATTGGCATAAACCACTCCGTAACGGGACGATCCGCGTCAGCAGGAAAAAAGTGGAGGTTTGACCTTCCGTCTCCGCTTCGGTAGAAATGACGTGATGGCTTTTGGTGGCTGGGGCTAGTAACTTGGGGTGGCATTTGCGGGCAGACTTTTTTTTTGGGGTGATGAAACAGGGGGTTTGGGGAGGTGGAAGGGTTAGGTTACACGGTGGGCTGACAACCGTATCCACGTAGCCCGCGTATCGTATCCACCCCACAGGCTAGAGGGAAGGGGAACGAGAGATCGGCAGGTACGGGAGTCCCTGGGTCAATTTAACCGGCACGAGTCAGCGAGGCTTTTTACACTGACGTCATGGAGAAAGCTCTTTGGCCTAATTTTTGAGAATTGGGGTCGACCGTTGCAAATTGACAGTTTGATAGGGATACATCGTGCATTAATACTTTTAGTTTGCCTTCTCTTTATGCACATACATGCCCTACAAAGCACCGAGTCAAATTGTGTCAAATCCTACAAGAAATACACCCACCTTCGCCCCAACCATTCGGGGTCCAGACTCCGCCCTTTGATGGGGCTTACTAGTTACAATTACTAATCCATGGATAACACTCCGAGCCTACACGCTAACGCTGTACCCGGTGTCAAAAGTCATCCCCCGACACCGACACGAGAAGTCGACTACCTACTCCGTACACGTAGTAATAAAAAAAAAAAAAAAAACAACCTCCCCCTGGAAGCAAACGGAGTATCCCGAACCTCAGTCATAGGTCACACCCGACACCCCCGATCGGGCAGCAAAAGAAGATACCGCACTTGGAAGGAAGATTCTCCTGTCGCGCCTGAACGGTCTGAACTCCCGCCAATCACGATACTCCGGGAAGACAAATCCAAAGAGCTCCCGAACCGTTCACCTGTTCTACGGTTCGGTCGAGGGCTGCGACCGTGGTAAGAAACCCCTGTGGGCGTTACCTGGTTGCTGGGACCGGCTCTGGGGTTGGGTCTCGGGAGCTTTAATCTCGATCTGGGAGGCTGTGCGCGCTACGGATTTGCATTTCCGTGGGTGAATGATGGGGTTGGACGGAGATGTTGCCTTCTCGCGAGCTCGTGCTTGTTCGGGCCTTAACTCTTAGCCGTCTGAATTTTCGAGTCCACAGATGGTATGGTACGTACGCAACCCTGAATGCCAAGCACCGATCGATCGATCGATCGCGCAAATTCTGCACTTCCTAAGACATTCATTCCATTGTCGCAAGGGTCTGTCTCTACGGAGGCGATTGCGAGGTCTTTCATTAGGTAAGACATCGTATTATGTTCCTATGGTTGGAATGAATTGGTTTATAACCCCGTCCCCAGGTGACTACCTAGGTATCTGCATCCAAGACAAAAAGTCCGTGTACATGAGCCCCCCTTAGGTAGACAAAACAATAAAGGGAAGCCGAACGCTCGACACCGAATGCACACAGCAAGACCAAGGTAAGGCTTCAAAAAGAAAATCAAAAATTGGATCGGGGATATAAACATCGTGTGCTGCGTCCCGGAGGCCGACAAAATAAAAGTCAAGAGAAAACGGAAATATATCAACGAGACTGCACCGTAAGTTCCATCGACTCATGTATCGTCGTTGGGGAAACGCCGGAAAAGCACAGCGATAATTCAAAAACATATGACGACAGGGTATCATTGCCCGGAAACTCGTGTATTGTCTCCGTATCCAATAACTCCCCGAAAATGATGTCCGCCGACCCGATGACAATAGGATATAGTATAAAAAAAAAAAAGGTAGAACCGCAAGTGGTGGAAAAAGCGCGATCACGAGTCCCGTTATCTGCTGTCCGTCGGGTGCAACCGATATCTCCCCTACGGCAGGAGAGCATGCCCAGTGAAGGGACATGCTTGGGGATCGTGGCAATGGTCGTGAGAAAAGAAAGTCGAAACAATCTATTCGAGTAGAAGAGAGTGGCAACATCCGTGAAAAATCCACGTTGCGGCTTAATATGTTAATTTGATCTCCATTGGGGGGCTGTGGGTGCCGTTGCAGCCGGCATCTGCTTCGTAGATATCGGCAACCATGTCCTGGCCCTCCGGAAGCTCGCGGACGACGTCGTCGTCGACCATTATCCGCATTCCGTTATGGTTGACGTGTAGAACGCGGACGATGCGCGAGGGATCGATATGGTGTTTCTCGGAGATCTTCTTCATCAGGTCGCGAACGGTGCGCTCGGTCAGGTAGATGGCACGGTAGTAATCGTAAGGCTGCTGCTCAGTACCGCCGAATCGGATATAGAAGCACGCAACTGGAATTGGGTTAGCAACGTGAAGGATAACAAATCTTGGTGGTCAAACTTACTCGGCTTGGGCGGCCGTTCCGCTGGAGGCCGGTATGTAGGGTCGATGTCAATGGCTTCGATGTATCCCGTCCGAGAATCATCTAAGACCCGCGAAATGGCAGTTGGTTTCTTTGACTCCTTCCCAGGCATTTGTCTCCCGTTCATCCGTGGGGAGTCCAACGAGATATTGCTGCTGGTTGGGGAAAGGATCAACGATTCCATAGACTGGGATGCACCGGTGTTCTGACGATTGAGAGACTCCATATTGGCGGAGTCACCGTCGGTCGGCAACCGGACCGGGTACAGGTCGGGATCGTCATGCTCGTCACCACGCAGAGCGAGAGCGCTCACGGCTCTTGTTGACGAGAACATGTCTTGCATCATGGCCAACTTCGATTGCAAGTCATCCTCCAAAGACAGCTTCTCTGGCTGGTCTTGGGAGCCGATCGACCACGTCCGCTTATTCTTCAAAGCCTTCATATTCCGGTCTGAGCCCTTCATCGTGGGTGCGGCCTGGCTGCCGCGCTTGCGCTTGCCAAATCCACCACCCATTTCTGCCTGCGCGATCTGCTGCTTCAATTTTTCGATCGTCTTCTTGACATGGGCGACATCGTTGGACAGTTTTCGTTCAGCACCGTGGTCTCGGAAGAGCTTGACTCTGCAATAGGCCACTTCAGCCTCCCGCGAGGCACCTGTTTCTTCTCCCGGTGAAAGGAGTTCCGTCTTGTGGCAGAGTCGCACCGGAATGCCCTTGACGCCCTTCGAGTGACTGAAGTCGGTTGAGAGAAAGTTGAATCGTACAGGAATGGTACAGTCGGAGGCACCTGTGAGCGGATTGGCAGTCCAAGTAACGCAGAACCCATCGAATGACATGCTCTCCACTTGGATCTGGCGAGACTTATGATCATCACCTCCCTGAATCGGGTCCACGTATTCGACGGCTTGGAGTTTTCCTCCACGTTGATGCGCCTCGTTAATACCTCGACCCTCCTTCCATAATTGCCAGCAGGAAGCCGGTTTGAACTTTTGCTCATCTTCTTCAAAGGAAACTCGAACGAAGGTTCGATATCTTATTGGCTCCGTGGTGACAATGGGCGGGCTAGAATCCGTGACCGTGAGGTTATACGCCTGGCCCTTGTTGAGATAGGTCACTGGAATTTCTCTCTTATGCTTGACCATTGCGGTTGGTGCTCGCAAAGTGACATTATAGCGGAATCTAGAAAGCCCGTTAGCAATGTGACCACGAAGTTATCTGGGGGCCGTTCTGAACATACTTTTCTCCTTGAGAGTATGGCATTCCTGACACACTCGAGAATTCGGTGGAGGTAGAGATAGTCGATGCCTCATCGACAGGGAATTCATTCAGTGAAGAACTATCCCCGGATTCATCCATGGCCTCGTAGCCCGATTCGCGGCTGTTCAAAAACGCGCTGGGTGCGTACGACGCTGGCTGGACAAAGGGGTTCATTTCGACGGACTGCCCAAGATATTGCTGGTTAAATTGATCGATACTGGCCTGGTTCGGAGGGGCTGGCATAGGGTTCGAAAGCGAGAGTGGCGTGATCATATTCATGCCGGCCGTAGGGGTGTGCAGATCGCCTGCCTGGTTGTGGAAGATTGCGCCCATGCCGCCAGAGTTGGGTGTATAGAAACCCGGGTACTGGCTGGCGAGAGGCATCATCGGCATGGCACTCGGGTCCACCCACGACGATGTGAAATTGAGGTCCTGAAGGTTTCGTGGAGTTCGATCATGCGGGAATTTCATATCGGACTCCTCCATTTTCATGTCACCCATTGGCCTAAACCCGCAATTTGGCACATCAGCTCCGAACTTCAGAGATGTTGACTCGTGGTCTACATACTTTCCATTCATCATAAAGCCGCCATTTGGGTCGCCCTCGCCATCTCGTCGGGGGACAATATCAGAAAAGGTTCGTTGGAAGCGGCCGATAAACTCTTCATCGGGCTTCTGGGCGTTGTTTCTATAGCGGAAAAAGACACACACTGTTAGCCGTTGCTTCATCAAACCCAAAGCCACTATGTGCAGGGAGAACCTACCGGTTGCGGAACATTGGAGCGAATTTACTGGCGGATCACGCCAAAGTAGTCGCAGATAGAGAAGTATCAGATAAGAATGAAGAAAAAAGGCTGCAGAGTTAAATGCAACATCTGAGCCAAGCTAAAAGAGAAGACCACGAGCGCGAGGCCGTTATGTTTTGCGGGTATCGAACTCTTGACGCCGATTCCTCGGATTAGATTCGACCCGCAAGAACGGGGGATCTGGTCTGGAAATATTCGAGTCGCAGTCCGAGTGGATTCGTTTCGAGCGCAAAGTCCAAATCCAAATGAGCGTGGGAGGTAAGAGTAGTCGTGTCGGTGTGAGGGTGTAGAGAGTAGGAGAGGCTCAAAGCGGAGAGGAGCTTAAGGCGGAAGATCGCGGGACTTCCCAGGGAGCAGATGATTTGGGGTGATATTTTGGATTCGCAGGTCGAAGAAAGGGAAAGCGTTCCAGGTCGAGAGCGGTCGATGTGCGAGGCCCCTTTTTTTTATCGGTAGGAAAGAAAAAAGTTGTAGAGGCGAGGGGTGGTGAGGGGTGGAGAAAGGGTGTATGACGAACGGGCTAGAATAGGGAAGAGCAAAGAAAAGCGAAGATGGTACGGTCCATGGGGCCCTCCAATGAACTGTACTATACGACCTCAGTCCCGAATGACATCCGACTGAGCCACAGTTTCGGAGGGGGGGAGGTGGAGATCAGAGTATGGCCGGAGGGTGGAAAGTGAGAGAGCCCTCGGAAATTTAGAGAGTGAAAGGTGTTGCCACTGGAAGGCTCCCGATAAGGACCATGAATCGCATGGAGCTCTCTTTTTTTAATTTTTATTTTTATGAGGTTGAAATGATTGGCAGCGAGAAAGGAAGGAGAAGGATAAAAATGGGGACTCAGAAGGGGAATGGAAAACAGACCCAAGGAATCGGTGGGGAGTAAAACGGAGCACGAAAATTAAAAAAAGAAAAAAGAGGTAAGAGACGAACGAAAACGACGGTAAATTACGGTATACCCAATGTAATGCCCGTGTATCGAGTACCTCCGGGTACGCAAATCTTCTGTGAACATCATCAACATTCTCTGGACCCGAATATCCGATTTCTTCATGTATGTCTCGTAGCAAGCCGTCCATGCCTACTGGCCCATAGGTGATATCAGACTTTCTCTCCCAAGCTTTTTCTGCCGTCTATCATCGATTCCAGACGTTGACCAGCCGGAGTCATTCCGTCTATCGATAGGACGGACGGCTTCCCAGAGTGTCGGGACCCCCCACACGCCACATTCCCTGCCTTACCGCCTGAGTTGTATAGGCAAAACATTAAAGGTACAGAACAGAATGCATCCCAACGTAGCAAACGGCATGAGATCAGCAGAATAGCTCTTCGTGGCGTGGTGGCGGTGAAAATGGACGGTGTAGTCCTGTGTACTGTAGTCCCCGTGTAGTCCTTATTCTTCACAAATCAGACCATACGGAAATGCATCTCCAACGGCCCACATGACCAGGTGGCAGCAACCGTAGGCAGCATAAATACAAAACGGACCGAATAGCCGTTTGAGCAGAATGGATGTGGCTTTTTGAACCCTTCCCATGAGTCCAAAGATTTGGCTTTACGTCCTGTTGTGATAGGCGGGTTGTAAGGCCCGGCTAGGAATCCGGAGGATGAACCTCTCGATCCACCACCACGATATGGGAATCCAAATTTGTCAATGTGGCTAGATCGATTTATGGTTCACGGTGTTTTGATCGTCGGGAGAGCTTCCACGGATCTGGATCACGTGCTTGGGGTCATGTCGTAAATGCCAGGGTCCATGAGAATCCCTACCCGATGGGAGATGTACCTGAGTACATGCCCTATGTATATGGCTGCCTCTCCATACCTTAGGCGCCAATTGTACCTCAGGTATAACTACATATGTGTGCCTCGGGTCTCAGGTGTTACGTAGTGCCTTGGGTCAATGCAGCATGCACGATGCGGACGCTCTGGATAGTGAACGCCCTACATACTGTGATAATAGTATTAAGCCGTGACAATACAAGACGGAGGCCTTTTGGGCGCTGTTCATTGCTGGGATGGCATCCCGCCAATAGGAAAGCCGAGTTGGCAGGCCATAGCTCTCGGGGCACGTGCCGAGTACGATACCGTACAATATACACACATATGGAACGCTCTGTTGAGTGAGTTGCGAGCTTTCAGACGTTGCTAATTGTCATTTATGTAGACCCGTTCCCGAGATTTTCCAAACCCATTAGGCGCTACAGGCAAATTGCAAGGGCATCCCAATCTCGGAGTCATTGCCAATTGCAGCGCGCGTATAAATTACGCACGCTGATTGGTCGGTATTCGTTGCCGAACGAATATATCGAAAAAGAATGGAGAGCTTCTCGAAGTGGCAGGTATGCGCGACTATCCTCGTATCGTTGTCTTCAGGCTTCCATCAACGTTCACTACGTTATCTCGTCCGCGGCACACACCCCAGGTTTGAATTTAAGCTACGAGACTACCGTAAGTGGCTAGCCATTGCGCGATGCCCCTCTACCTGTGAGGGCACGGGTAACGGGGAAAGCGTTCCCCGTTACACAGGCCAGCCACGGCATGTTCTCGGAAATAGATATCCTATGTAGGGTCGAGCGCCTCGGGTCAATCGGGATTTCCCCACGCCGTTGAAACGGCCGGAATGACGTCAGAACCATTCTTCCATTGAGTTACACAGTTCCCACCGGGCGCAAAGCCACCCCCGTCATGGGGAATGTTTTCGTGATGTGGTCAGGGGGTTTATCCGGGACCGGTTAAACCCGTGGTTGCTGGGCTCGGATAGGCGGCTTTGCTATAGTCGTAGTTGGGTTTGTGTGCCCGAGGGAGAACAAAGAATGGGACGGGGGGCAACTGAACGAGATCATCGATACGTCGTATAGATCGCGACGGCTGTGATTGGCGTATCTATGCCGGGCGGATACCTCGTTTTTCAGCCCTCAGCCACGTCTGGGCCTCGGTCGCGTCTTGTATACAGAAAGAAATACGTCCGTGGAGAAAGGTACCAATTGACCGTCGAAGCGGGTCGATCAAAATGTCCCGGTGGTCGAGTCAAAAAGTACACGTTAGTACTACATATGAATAGTATACATGATAGTGAATACCCAGTGAGGGCACGATCAACGAGTCCCACGGTTACAACGGGTGGTAGTTTGCCTCTGTTGTGTCTGTATAGGACAAAAGGAAGCGGCAGCTTCATCCGATCGGTCCGAGAACGACGGGGATTCTCAGTCGAAACGTGTGACTGCAGACCGTGCGTAGCCAGTCAGCGCGTCCAACGGCCTTGCCACAGCGGAACTCTGAGGCGTCCGAAGACTAGGTTCAACCGCCACAGCACCCGCTGACGCAATCCCTTGGGGCGTCAGCCACAAGAGATTCAAAGGGATGCACGGGAACCTTTGGAGCTTCCGTGGAGGGGGAGAATCTACGTGCAGAGCCAATGGAGGGAGCAGGCGGAGATTGGCGAAGGTGTGGCAAATTCCCCATCAGATGACAACTTCTGCACCTTCGATCAGCGTTATATTTCATTATAATTGCACGGAGCAATTGCTGGGGCACTTGCGGTGGAGAGTCTCCGCTCATGCTAAGCGGGACTTCTGTACGGAGTACATGAATGACTACGACTCAGGCCGTCGCACACGGTGGACCGTGAGCCAAGAGTCGATCCCTTCCCCACATAAGCGCGGAGCTCTTGGATCGGTTGGCTGCCATCGCTTGGATTTTCTTCCAACGAATGACCTCTACGGATTCTCGGCAGCCTTACGATGCAACCAAACTCACTACGGAGAAAGTATCCTAGTCTTGTACTTGCCCTAGGGGTCTGTCCGGACCGACAGGTGGCTGTGTCGTGTGGAGATTAAACTCAATCCTCGTCGAGTGGTTTCCTATGTTGGAAACCATTGGCAGACATACCTTCCCGATATGCATCGAAGCGTCATCTCCATGAACACCATCGGGAATGAGGGCTGGAAGTCATTGGCAAAGATACCGACCCAAATGCATCGGAACGTCATATCCATAAATGTATATGATATCAAGCCGCCAAAGGTTATCGTCACCGATTCCAGCCGAGCTGCATTGCATAATCACTCTATTAAGTTTGTTTATCTATGTGCGTACTGAACAGAATTGAATCGAGCACTCATTGGTGCCACGTTCATGATATTACCCTCTATAAACCGTGTGCCCGATATGAATGTCCCTTATACAAGATGTTCCGAGTAGCCGTGTATGAATCACCGTCGCCGCGATCCCGGAATGCTTCTCGACTGCGCGTCTAGCCGAAGATGGAAAATAATACAATGAGGAAATACCCCCGCAACATCTCCTGCAACGCCGTCAAACGGAAATGATCATATGAACAAAGACATCCCGGATCCGACAGGACCGCGTGTGTATGTGCTGGCCGACCTCGGCCAGTCCTGCCCCCTAGAATGCCAATTCCGCAGTGGGATGGAAAAAAAGATGGAAGAGTGCGCGGGTGCGCCTGAGGTGCAATGGCGCAGGTTTAGTGCTGGATGATAAGGGAGAAGCCATCAACCCAGGATCCACTCGAGCCTGAAACTCCGGCAATCTTGTATCCCAGAGGTGGTATCAAGGTGTGTCTGTTCAGACGTCAGTATCGCAAACTCAGAAACCTAGGTCGAGAAGTCTTACCCCGATCCACCCGAGGCATTTCCATAGAAGCCGGACTTCCTGCCCATACTGGTGAGAATTTCAACACCGTCGATCCAGAGCCCAGCTCGAACGTAGAATCCAAGGAGAATCTCTCCACGTCGAGTATCTAGACAATGTCAGAACACTCGTTTCAAACCAAAAGGAGTGAGCGCTTACCGAACACAAACTCATCACCGCCAGGCTTGCCACCACGCTTTCCAAAGAGCTGGCTCGTCGCATCCTCGTAGCAGAATTCAATGCCGTCCAACGCGTATCCATGATAGACCTTGATGGAGGTGAGGAGCTTGGACTGAATGAAAGCGCACTCGAGCAGCACTTCCTCGGGCTCGCTACCCTCCAAATTTGAGTGGCCGAGTTTCCCACTTCTGTAGCCGGATTGGCTCTTGGGAAGCTTGACGAGCGAATTCTTCGATTTCAACTGCCCTACGTCCTCAACGGTGTAGCTGCCCAATGCCCCAGAGACAACGACCAAGCGAATTTTCTTTTTCTTCTCCTTTTCGCTGCCGAAGACTCGTTGGCGGAGCTCGGATTCCGTGAGGGAGACTTGCTTCGGCAGGCCGTTGCTACTCGACTCGGTGTTCAAATACTCAATGAAGTTGTGACACAAGTTCTCGCCCTCCGCATACAACTCAATGAACGCGATGCCCGACGAGGCAGTGAACAGAATCTTGCCATTCTCCACGGGCCACACTTGCACGCTATCATCGGAGCTCGGAGACGCATCACTTGGGAGGCGGAAGCATGGGTGGAAACGGAAACGCAGTGCATCCAAACGATGCCACCCGCACTCATCATTTGGCACGCACACCTTGAGTCCCTGGGTCTTGGTGCGCGTCGAGAACGGCTCTTTCGTAATAAATGACCGACCAAGGCGCACATAGTCGCGTAGCATGATACCGGACTCCTGGTGAGGACAACCAAAGAGATGTCCAACCTCGTGCAAGTGAGCACCAATTCCAATGTTTGCTGATTCCCAGTTTGATCCGGCTTCGCCACAGTCGTTGGCGACGTAATTAGTGTCGGTTCGTGTACAGTCTGAAAATGCATCCACCACTTCTTCAAGACACGATGGGTAGCTTTGGAGACTGTGGGAACCGAAAATGGCCATCTTGATATCGTCACCGCCAGATCCAAGAGCGGCGTGACCGGTGATGGTCTGAGACTCTATGTCCCAGTGAGAGTCGAGCAAAAGGACAGAAACATATTGTTGCTGGCCCGGCTGGGGGTTGAAGTGTTTCCGTACAGCTTTCTTCGCGATATCAAAGAGTTCATCTTTCTTCTGAGCTTCACTGTATTGTTGAGCAATGTTGAGATCGCGGAGCTCTGCTACTGTCTTCTCGCTCCGAACGACGTGAATCTTGGCCTCGTTGCGCATCTGACCGACTGCCGAGTCTCGGGAGCTGAGACTGCCGGACTGCCATTCCTCTTCAAAGCGGAAGCACCGTCGTCCAAAGTTATTCCGGAACATCTGCTCTCCGGTGAAAGCTTGCCAGAGATATGCGGCCGTGCGGTACTTTCGGATTGCCGTTTCCAGTCCGTTGCCTTCTCGCTCCGCTCTCTCAGGCACGGCGTCGTAAGTGCCATCGGAGTCCTTGCCAATCAAAATGACCAGTTGTAGGGGCGGAGTGTTGACCAGCGGAAGATAGTTGATGCAAATCCACATCGAGTGGACCGCAGGATGGGTGCTACCAGTCGACAGCTTGGGCGAAACGAAATCAAATCGGAGACGATTGGGACCGGGGACTAGGTGGACGAGAGCTTTGAAGTGGGATGCCGTGACGGGCCAGCCGATCGACGGAAAATTATCTTGGTGATGGTAGACCGTTACATTCCCGTCCAGCGGTTGATTTCTGGGGTCTCCGGCCTGGCCATAAACGAGAAGCACTTTTTGATGGACCTGCAACGGGGATCAGTCGGCTGCCGGACCAGGAATGCAGCTTGTACCTACCCATGAATTGTCGGCGATCGATACTATTCTCGGCGCATAGGGCGAGCTGGGAATGGCCGAACGATATACTCCATTGATGGACGAAGAAGAGCCGCCCTTTGAAATTTGAATGGGTCAGTTGATGGTACGGTCGCAGGGCGCTCGAATGTACTTACGTAGACGCTATTCCGTTGCGGATTGGCCACCAAGAGCCCTGGCCGTTGCGGGGGTGGCGGCAGTGTCGCGCTCGCCGAGCTGGCGCCATTGGAATCGGCTTCGCTCAGCGACGGGAGATTGGGGGAAGAGAGGGTCGGCTTAATCGACGAGGGCGGAGTGATGGAGCTGTGGGAGGTAGTGTCGATCGTGGAAGAGGACTTCCCGGAGACCTCCTGGACCTTATGCGATGCGCTCTTGGATTCGGAGTGAAAGCTGGCCCTTGAGCGGCGCCTCAACTGCTTCAAGAACGACATTGTGGGATGCGACAGAGAAGAGAAGCTCTCGCCAGGAGAAGTCCCTAATAGTGGATGTGGGTAGCTGCCGTAACGGGGAGTTCAGGAACAGGACAGCGCGACCGTTTGCGGACGGGAGACGACGCCGCTGATGTCGCCCCGCAAGAACCGGTTGGGTCAGGACAAAAGGGATATAGGGGAAAGGGGGAGGGAGATAAATTTGTTGGAGACTAAAAATTGATATCAAATAATTGAAAGGGAAAAATTGAAACAGGGTGAACAAGCCGTGTGGACGGCAATCGACCGTTGCCCCGCTAAGTCCCGGGCTATGGATAGAACTGCGATGGAATACAAGATTATCCTACTTCTCTTAACGCCCGCAGGCGGGCTCCAACCACGCACTTGCTGAGCATTACGTACCCCCCGCCTGCGAGACAACGAGGGCCGCTTGCCGGGAGTCGCAATGTCTCACCGGTGGATCTCTCTAACGATCGCCCTAACGCTCTTAGCCCAAGCTCTAGTGACTGGGCTAACCACATACCGGCCCCGTGGCCATCCCTGAGTCTCTGACGAGCTGTTGCTGATACATACCTATATCAGCACGCATTGTCCTCCGGCTTGCATGGTCTATCATGTCATCACGTCCGGCGTGGCGACATGCCACGACACATCCGCTTTGAGCCACCATAGATCTCTGCTCGGCCATGGCTGCCTTCCACTTGGCGTAGATGGATAAACTCCACCACTGCTATGCTGCATTTTCGGATCTGCGTGCAATCAGTGCTCAGATCGGAGACGTAGGCGTCATTATTCGACCAGGTTTTTCTGCAGGGCTGGCGGGTTCCCGAAATTGAACGGGGTTACTTTATAGTCCCGCTCACGCGATCTGTGCATAAGCAGGCTGACTCCGAATTAGGGTCTCGGGATTTGTGCGTCGATCTGCCATTCACCGGAGTAACCAACCCCACGGTTTGGAGACACGAATCAGTCTCTTGAGCCTCAAGGGTCTCTCAATTTGCTTTCCCTCTATACTCAATTCCCGTGGACACGCTGACCGAGGTGGAAGCTGTTCCACACGCCCCGTACATCCGCATGCCGGACCTGGAAAATGATTCCGTCTGCTGCACTCCGTGCTATGATATTAGATAGCATCGCATATTCGGCAGGGCACAAGTGGATCGGAATCCTCGACGGCATGCCGCATTGTTCCTACGGAGATTGGCCAGGAATTCAAGGGGAGAACGTCCCGAAAGGGCACAAGTATAAGCTCCGGAGTGGGTCTGGAGTCTGGATCCCTGATCCCTGCCTTGCGATACATTTGTTTTCATCCTCAGGGTGACATTGTGCAAGACACTGGCTCGTCGTAAAAGAAAAAAAAAGGGCGTGGGAGTATACAGTCGGGAAAGCCAAGTAGAAGTGAAACGTGGAATGCCTAGCTGAGCGGGTGTGGAGCGGATGTGACACGATCGCTTACATCTCCGCTATATGGGATTGCCCCTTTGTTCTTGCGAATGTATCAAGATAATCAAACCGGAATACAACCAATTGAAATACGTTTACAAAGGAGGAAGGGCTATTACTTGAACGCTGTGACGGAGACAACCCCCTTCGTCAATGTAAATACCTAGGTACCTATCTTAAAGTGAATTTGAACATGTTAACATGAATTCAAAATTGCCGATCTTCTCTACCAATTGGGCGTGTCTCTACTTATATGGAATAACTGTAGCAGAGCTGATACAAATTTGAAATAGATAGGCTTAAATGCCGCTATATAACTATATAGTGACTCTTTTCTTTTTTGCTGAGTTTTTCTTTCTCGTCTTCTACATATGAGAGGAACACCAATAATCCTAGAAAACGAGAACCTGGCCCGATTTGACCTTGTGGGAAGGCACAGGTCCAATTGGATACCGTTCTCCAGTCGTGAATCGGTATCGGCGCGGACAACTGGTGGCGAAAAGACGCCTTGAATGCTGTTTGCTTCCCGTTTTACATCAATTGATGATTTCAGTCAGGCCAGTCCAGAGTATCGAAGTCAAGCTAGGCGTGTAGTTTGAAATCACGTTAGCTGGTGTGTTCGGGTGGTAGGGTGAATCGCTGCCCGTGGAATTGGGCGGGACACGATCGCGTAAATCTGCGCGGCACGCGTTTCCCGTCACTTCAGCTCAACCGTGTACCAAACCCTTCTCAGGTTACCCCGGAATAAAATTTAAGGAGAGACAAGGCTTGCAATTTCAGCACATTCTATTTGTCCAGTCTGATTCCGGCCCCCGAGGTGTGGGCTCCATTCTCGATCGTAAAATCCACTCCCTTCCCAGCCGCCCTTGCCTGAGCAACGGACCCGCCTGCGCAAAGACATCCCATCCTGCCTTCCGAGGGGCTTTTCCTCCTGCTACTACCCACCATGACGCTGTCCCAGCCTAGTTCGGCGGAAAAAACCATTCGCAAGATCGATATTGCCCAGGTAAGAAAGGAGAACCTATAGCGATGGGAAAATCGTGCGTCTACCTAGGCCCTTGGTCACTGCAAGTTCTGCACTTGGACCCGCCCTGGATGTCTCCAAAACGACATAGATTGCTAGAAATCATCACCCGGAGGAACCTTGGCTAACATTCTACATCTTACCTAGGTGTCTTTGAGTTTGCAGGACCGATTAGGTCTGGCTAAACTCAAGTACCAGCATGGCCGGCTGCATGGGTTGAACCAGCAGGATGGCAAGTCCGGTCTCCTCGATAGCGACAAGCCCTCCGACTCCTCATCCGACTTCTCTCGCAGCCGATGCGAGACCCCCTTTACCTCTCCTCCCCTCCAAGGCGCAACCTATTCCAAAGAACTCCCTCGATCGGCCCGCAATAAACATGCAGTGACATTCAATTCCCGGGTAATGCAGCCTATGTTGTCGGCCAGTCGCAAGCGGCTTCGGTCTGACTCTGCTTCGGGACGTCCGGCCAAGGCTGCCAGGGTTTCCTGGAAGGCTTCTTATCAATTGCCAGAGTCTTCTCCGGGCCTCAATCGGCACCTGACTGCCCGCCACAACATGCCTTTCATGTCCGAGGCCACCATCCCCGAGCTTTCTTCTCCGGCATACCATGGCCCGTCAGATGAAGAGAATGACCCGGATCTGCCTCTGCATAGTTTCCAGAATATGAGCTCTATGGTGGGCTCTTCGCCTCCACGCACTCCACCTCCCAAGCACTCTCGGCTGTCACGCGCCGATCGTCCCTTGCAGCATGAAGATGGTGCAGATCTACTGCTATACCTTGCCAATTCTCCAACTCCTGCCCGCGTGGCTAGGGGCTCCCAGGCTCACGGGCTCCCTCCTTCTACTCCTCCTAGCCAGCATGCCGTTCTGCCGACGATGACTCCGAATCTTGGAACTCCCGGCCAGAATTTCAATTTCGCAGATTTCGTCAATGTGACCCCTAGCCCAGCACAACAAGCATGGAACGGCCGTACACCTGGCCCATCTCGCACCCCTCTCGCAACCAAGGACGCCCGCAAGCGCCTCAACTTTGATGCTCTGGTCCCTCCTACCAGTGCCGCCAGCCCTCACAAGGAAAGAGGGCTCGCTCTTCAGCTCGGTGGCGAGCTGCGGCCCTAGACTTCTTTTTCTTTCTCTGTTCACTTATGTCCCCTCCCTCTTCCCCTCTATCATGCCTTACGATTCTGTTATGTACGCATTGTTGATGTTCCTCTCATATGTAATTCGTTATCTGGTGTGACCGAAGACCTAGCACGAGCCCTTCGAACCTCAGCGGTCACGGCGCTCCCCCCATTTGCATCCACGGCGTTTCCTTGCGTTTCCCATTGCTTCTGCATGACCTCCGTCATTGTTTGTTTTCCCTACCCATGAATGATGTTTCTTTTCATCCATTGCCTTGGATTCTTGATACGCGCATGTCTACCTGCGGCATTTGCATTTGCTCTGCATCCAACATGCCTCGTGATGATACTGCGCCGTTCTATTGCTTCTAATGATCAGGCTACTTAATCTCGCCGAGAGATTGAATAAAACGCAAGCTGTATTTAGTGACCTGACTTGTCCATGCCTGACTTGACCCTTTTCTCGTAAATATCTTAGCGAAGTGCATACCGGTCTTTTGCCCAAGTTTAGCCAAGTAACTCCGAGAAATGAATCTTGGAAATCTATCAGACGCGACCACTTGCTTAGGTGGGCAATTCATTCAATCATCTTGCCACCCAAGCTCCTCCTGCTGACCCCCTTCAACCCTTGCCTTCTCCGCCTGCTTCCTCCATAGCAACGCAAGATAGTCACGACTCGTGGCCTCATCAATCCCCTTATCCTCCCTTGCCTTCAAAAACCTTGGAAATCGCAAACTCAGCCCGCGCTCCTCACTAACTAACCCAATAGCAGCCGTATACGTCGGACTGAGCGTGATATCCGCAAACGCCATTTCCCACACCTCCTGCGGCTCGAACCACACATCCGGCGCGCCGTAATATTCGACATAGGCAGGCCGTGAGATTACGTTGGGGCTGCCTTCGGCGTATTTGTCTTTGTTGGCTTGGTAGAATTTGTCCGTGAAGCCCGACATACATTTCGTTACGGCTTCGAGGGCCCCAGATTCGGGATTGCGCACTGCGAGTAGGATCGGGGACCACCATTTTGCTTTGCGGCCTTGGCCGTGCCATCCGGCTATGGGGATCAGGTCGAGTGTCTCGGAGGATGTGCTATAGTCTTTCTTTACTTTAAGCCATGATTCGAGGCGCTTGTCGGGTTCGTAGGTTGACAGGAGGGCTTTGCGTCGGGTGCCTTTTTCTTTCGATGGTTTAGATGGGTCTGTTGGGACGGGGTCTTCGGCGATTTCTATATTGTTGGTGATTGGAGCTGATTCTTCTGCTTGGTTGGCGTTCGCGTTGGCTGTGATCGTGTTGTCGAGGACCTTGACCATGATACCCTCGCACTTGGCATCTGTGGCGCCCTTGAAGAATTCCAGCACGGTCTCGGAATTTGCAGATGTCGCATCCAGACTTTTGACCCATGTGAATCTGTTGGTAACCTCGACAAATAGACTGTGAAGGAGCTCTCGTCGCTCGCGGAATGGTCGATCCATTAGAGGCTCGCCGTTAAGATACATCAAGTCAAACGCGAAAAGACATACGTTGACGGTGATGGCTCCAATCTCGACATTCTTCTTTGCGCGGTTGGTAAGGGTCTGGAACGGCTGTAGATCACCAGTCTCGCGATCCACTGCGACGACTTCTCCCTCTAGAATAAAGCTGGATACGCTTTCTCCTCGAATTTGAGGTACCAACGATACGAGATCTGGATACTTCTCCGTCATGAGCTCGAGATGGCGCGAGAAGATGGACACCTTTCCTTGTTCATCACAATGTACCTGAGCCCGCTGTCCGTCATACTTGTATTCACAGCTGAAGTCTCTTCCTTGAAGCTTCGTCAACATGTCCGAGAGGTCTCTTGTGATGCTGCCAAGCATTGGTCTGAGCGGGATGTGTAGCGTCAAGCCACATCGGATCAGAAGCTCTTCTGTCACGCCAATCTCGAGAAGACATGGCACAAGATCATTATAGTTCGGGTGTCTGGCATAGGATGCCTTGACAATCTCTTCTGCATTGGAGTAGGTTTCTGCCAGCTGGTCCTTTTTCATACTGGCCAGTTCGTGCTGTGGCCGAACCGTGAATTCAGCACCGTCTGGTTTGGAGTAGAGGAATGCACGCGCAAGAGCAATCAACATTGTTGTTTTGACAGCGCCAATTCGTAGATTCTGCACCAAAGTGCGCACAATATATCGGCTCTCTTCGGCGCCTCGAGTATCTTGCAGTAACTTTTCAACGATTCGTTGTTTTGTTTCTTGACTGCCAGAACCCTTGCTTTTAGCAACCTTGAGAAGAGATTCGTACACCCCTTTGATCTTGAGCGGCTTAGGCCTGACTAAAGTAAAGGTCTGTCGCTTCTTAGCCTCGAATGCAACATCGCCTGCATCCCCATGTCGGTCGTAGAGGGTCTTGAGACTTTGACTGTCAAGACCGTATATTTTCTTCAAGGCTTTGGAGATAGATGAGCCTCCCAGCCCAAGCTCTAGCTCGTCGTATGGAGGAGAGATAGAGTTTGTTGCTAGCCACACAGCAGGAAGAAGACTAGACGGATCCCCTTCAATCAAGACCCGTATGAAGTTCACCAACGTATCAACAATCTTTATTCGGCTGGTCGTGGCATTAGCGAGGACGAATGCCCTCGTCAGTAACGCGTAGGAAGCATCGCCGCCTTCGCTGGCCCAATGGGATCGCAGCTCCCTGGCGTATTTGGTCGCGTCGAATGTCTGCGGGCTTTGGTCAAACGGGACAGCAAGAGCGACTGTGTCTTCCGTACCCGTTGAAGATTGCAATGATAAAGTGTTCTTTTTGGGGGTCACCGGGGCCTCTGGGGTCGCATCTGCAGGTATTGGGGCCGCCGCTGGAGCTGTGTTCACCTCGGATGCTGCTGTTGCAACTTGATCGCCGTCTGCGAGGGAAGACTGGGCATTTTCTTCTTGATCCCACTCCGCCTGAAGCTTTCGAGCTAAAGCTTCGTCCGATAGAGTCTGTTCAGTGACCTCCGGTTCATTCTCTTGATTGCGCTTGACTGCTGGTCCCTTGAAGAACGATTCAATACTGCGGGTCTTTGGCGAAGAATCGCCATCTCTCTTGCGCTTTTTAGCCGGACTGGACATGATTCAATGCCTGGGAACGCAGCGTTGAGAAGAGCATGTTGCCACTGAGCTGCAGTGTTGCGGATGCCAGACGTCAGACCGAAAGGCGGAGATCAACAATCGCGACACCTGCGCTCCCGCCACTATTTCCCTCCCCAACCATGGCGCCTCCCACGTCCCTGTCGTCGCACGAGCGGACGCGGGTGGAGGACTACTTGAATGACAAAATCCAGGTCTCTGCTGACCTTGAAAGTCTGAACTCGCTACTATCGAGCCTCCGCGTGCAGCAGGAGCTTCAGCGGAAGCAGGTATCCTTCCCCTCCTCGTTCCCCGACACCAAGCCTTTCCGCGCATATGTTACTCACACAGCGGTCTATTAGCTAGCAGAAGCACATGAAGCCCTCTCGAACGCGACCAAGACATCCAATGACCACGTCGAAGCTACTAGGAAGTGTGCCGAGGCATTCTCGGCGGAGCAGGCGGACATCGACCAGCGGCTGAAGGCCATTACACTGTCGGAGACCAGTGATGAAGCGGTACGGCGGCTCGAAAAGAGCATGGAGAGGCTTCAGCGACTGGAGCTTTCCAAGGGATACATGGAGCTACTGAAGGAGGCTGAGGAGTTGAGGTACGCATCCACCGATCCTGGAAGGACAGGGCCCTGGAAGCTCATGGACGGGATACAGCAAGCAAGCTTTAACAGTCATTTCATCGGAACCTCGTGCTAGTCTGAGGCCGTACGCTCGGTTACGCAGTATCGTGGTTGCGCTGAAGGAAGCCCAACCTGCTGCTGAAGGCGCGGCCCCCCACCTTGTCGACTATACGGAGAAACTGGCCTCCGCATTGAGACAACAGCTGAAAAAGTACTTTGGCAACCGACTACAAAAGACGCTCGAATCGTTGAAGTGGCCGACGCGAGAGATGAACATCACGGATAAACTGCTGGCCCAATGGAGACAGGATGTCGAGCTTCTGATCGACCTGCAGATACCGTAGGGAACGTTTGTCATCGCAACAAGATTTCTTCTAATGAGTCGCTAGGGAACTCCAAAGTCGCGATACGTTGATTATGGGGCAGAGCCTCGAACCTCCTCTCCTATTCCCACTGGAGGTCATGGTGCACCCTCTGGACCTCCGGTTCAAGTACCACTTCAGTGGTGACAAGCCCACAAACAGACTCGACAAGGTAAGCAACTCCCTGGAATTTGCGAGGATTCTTCTAACATGCCTTTCTAGCCCGAATACTTTTTGTCGCACATCATGGACCTTATCAACCAATTCGGAGGGTTCTTCACTTCTTACTTGCAGCCAATCCTTGATGAAAAGGCACAGTCAGCAGATTCAGGAGTGGAATGGAATTTTTACAATTCACACCATGCCTTTATTACCGCATTATTGCCACTGCTGCGCCAAAAGATCGATTCGTTTCTTCCTCAAATCGCAAACTACCCGCAATTGCTCAGCCACTTCATCCACGAGCTTATGAACTTCGACAACGAGATCCGAGAAACCTGGAATTACGTTCCTGATCCCTATTCGGAGGATAACTGGAAGGGTATGACCTGGGAAGTTCTCACAAAGCAGGGATGGTACGACCGCTGGCTTCAGGTAGAGAAGGACTTTGCACTGGCTCGATACAAGGATATCATCGACACACCGGATAGTGGACAGATTGACTATGACGGTGTCGAGCTTATCGCAACTAAACCCACCAAGGCTGCGATTAGAGTGAACGATCTTCTGGAAACCATTACTGAACGCTACCAGCCTCTTACCTCGTTCAGCCAGAAACTGCGATTCTTGATTGACATCCAAATCACAATCTTCGACCAATTCCATGAGCGCCTCCACTCAGCCCTAGAGGCCTACCTTGCTATGACTTCTACCCTGGGCCGAACGGTACAAGGAGCCGACGGACAAGCCAGCGTGGAGGGTGTTGCCGGTCTTGAGCGGCTATGCAGGGTCTTTGGGAGTGCTGAATATCTCGAGAAGAAGATGGAGGATTGGAGCAACGACGTTTTCTTCGTCGAGCTATGGTCTGAGCTCCAGGAACGTGTCCTGCAAAATCGGGACGGCCGAAACGTGGCTGGCACCATGTCCATCGCCGAAGTGGCCTCGCGCACCTCACCAGCTGTCGCCAACAACGGGTCATCCAATGCGTCCTCATCAGATGGTGCTCTCTTTGACGAAACGGCCTTGGCCTACCGCCGTCTTCGACTTCGATCCGAATTCATCATCACCTCTACTTTGACGTCCAATATTACCGCAGCCTTGAAATCATACTCCCGCCTAGCTACATGGGCAACACTCTCCACGCCCTCGGCCGGTGCAACCACCTCTCCACTCTCAATGACTCCCGAAATGGCTCAAGCGATGCGCACGCTATCTACCCAGCTTTCCTTCCTCTCCCGAGCCCTAGGAGTAGCACCTTTACGACGAGTCTCGCGTCAGCTACTTCTCTCCATTCAGACCTACGTCTGGGACAACGTGGTGACAAGGAACACGTTCTCCCCAACCGGTGCGGCTCAACTGGCAAGCGACATCGACCACTTGTGCAGCATGGTTGATACCGCGCTCGGCGTAGCTGGGCAAGTGGGTGGCTCATTGCGGATTATGAAGAAGCTCGGTGAGGGACTCCGTATTCTCAACTTGAATGCCGCGACCGATACAACGGATGAAGCAGCCGGCCTGGGCATGTGGGATGTGGAGAAGAGGCTCTTCAAAGATAATGAAAGTGCTCGGGCTGTACTTGCTGAACTGGAGATTGAGGGGTTGACTGAGGCTGAGGCGCGGTCTGTATTGGAGCGAAGGGTTGAGATTGGTAGTTAAGAGGTTGAAAGTTCATAATGTCCCATTATCAGGCCATATTTATCGTTCACCATGTGTTTATAGACTGGAATGAAGACGATGGTATCATTGAAAACATATTTCTAGTTCCGTTTATCCAATACGTAAAAGCCACAAACCAGAACTACTGTAGTTGTCGGGGCGTTCTCATCAACAATCAATTCATGTATGGTGTACAACAGGCCCATGTCCATGCTCACCAGGTCGTTTCCGAACAACTGGTGGGGTTGACTTCAGCGAGTCAACAATAGCCGGACCGATCTCCTCAATACAGCGCACGAGAGACTCGACCGTCTCCTTAGATGTCAAGACATTAACCACACAGCGGAAGAACTTGCCATTTCCGACTGCATCTTCATCACAACTGGGAGGAGCAAAGTCAATCATGAAGCCCTTGGAGACAAGGGCGTGCGTGATCTGCGCAGTGACCCGGCTATTGTTCTTCTCGCGCTGAGCCTCCAAAGCATCATTCGAGACAACGCCGCGAGGGTAGACAAACTCCTTTCCGGGAGCGTAGTAGAAGCAGACCTGCAAACAGGGAGGCGGGTTCTCGCTGATGAGAATGAAGTTGGGGTTTTTCTCAACGAGAGTAGCCAGGTGCGCTGCAATGTCGCATGCTGTGTCGATTTGCTGCTCGTAACCCTCGGTTCCGTAGTATGTCCAGCCCAAGAAGAGTTTGAGAGAATCGGCACGCCGGCCGCACTGCAGAGTCAAATCTGCCAGGTCCCATACCTCCGGCGACTCGACCTCAAGCTCGGACGCATCGCTGTTTTCAGCTGGCGCGGTGTCTTCGTTGTGGAAGAGGTAGCCTGCAGGAAGAGTATTGGCGCGGTGGAATTGGCGCATGTCTGCTGCCAATAGGTACGAACAAGTGACCGGTACACCAATCATCTTGTGCGGGTTGATAGCAATACTGTTTGCCTTCTCAGCGCCGGCCAGTTTCTGTCTCTGTCGGCGAGAGAAGACGAACGAGCCGCCCCAGGAGCCGTCAATGTGCATCCACATATTATACGTCTGACAGATAGCGGAAATCTCCTCGAAGGGGTCAAAGGAGCCCATGACGGTAGTGCCTGCTGTGGCATTGACATAGAAGGGGGTACGGCCCTCATTTTGAGCCTTTTGCACCAGTTTCTCCAGCTCCGAGGGAATCATCCGACCCTGCTTGTCGACAGGCACAGTCCAGGCAGCATTGCTACCAAAGCCAAGCATCTGCGCCGCCTTCTCCACACTGTAATGACCATGGGCGCTAGTAAACAGCACGAACTTGTAATCACCATTGCCGTCCGACTTCGTCTTGGGGTAGAGATTGTTGCGCGCAATGACAATGGACGTAGTATTCGAAGCCGAACCACCCTGCACCGAAATACCTCCAGCTCTGGGACCATCCAAACCGAAGAGATTCGCGAGCCGCTGACCCGTGTATTTCTCGATGACTGTCAGCGCAGGCGAGACTTGATAGACATGGACATTGGTGTTCAAAGTTGCCAGAATAAGCTCCGCTGCAACACCCGGTGCATTGGTCGATGCGTACAATTTATCCATGAATCCCTGGTGCCAGGTGTTGACCGAGTACTGCAGGACTTTTTGCAGAACCTCGATCAGGCCTTCTTGTCGTCTGCCTTGCTCGGGGATCTCAAGATTGAGGATGTCGCGCAGCTCCTCGGGCCTCTTGTATTCCACCAACGCTGATCCTGCTTGTTTTGCGTGTCCATTGACGCCGTTCGTTTGTGGGGTGTGCTCGTCTGCAGATCGAATGAAGGGAATGAGAAGGTCTTCCACGGCTTTAAGGAGCTATGGTTGTCAGTATGAGGTTAGCTTGAGCGCAAATAGAGCGGATATCGAATCGCAGCGTAGCAAAAACAAAGAACTCACACCGTGCACCTCATCGGCGCGACTGGATGGCGAGGTACCCGACATCAGGACGAATGTATGCGACTGTCTATGAAACAATATGTGCGATGAAATGCAAAAAAACTCAAGGTCTATGATCTATTAAAAGAGAAGGAGAAAGCCAATTGGCGTGTGCGCGGCGAGGGCGGAAGAAAAAGTTCGCGATGCCGAATTCACCGGAGATGGTCTGACATCATCTGACCACGCAAACATGCACGTGGAGGAACTGATAAGAAGCCGATGATTTATTTATATAGTTGATTTTATTTTGATTAGACAGGCTATTAAATGGGCTGCGAATACCGGGAGTATTCTAATCCAAGTTGGTCCCAACTGTCTGTGAAGCGTGGATTTGCCCCACAGCGCTCAATCTTATCTTAGCCCGCTCTGAAGGGCTCGAGCAATCGGACTTAGTAACTGGATGATTAAGATGCGATGTGGAATACAATACAACCATTAAAGTTAGAGTAACCAATGGAATAATGATCTGCAGTGCAGGGGCCTGCAACCTGCAACCTGCAACCTGCAATGTAACCGCAGCCACATAATCTTTGATCTAGATCTATTCAGACATCAAATGTTATTAACACCGCCATCAAATTGAAGATTGTACATTGTATTCAGATTCACGACTCCGCGGCGGCCTTCTTGCTTTCGGCCTCCGCCTGCTTAGCGGCAAATCGTTCGGCCGCCAGCTGAATCTTCGATTTAGGTCGCGGTGCTGCGCCTTCGTCGTCCGGTTGTGTGTCAATTCCCTTGGCACGCGCGGCCCACTCGCCCCGGCGGCGTTTGTAAAGATCCATGGACCAGTTCCTCCACACTGCGCGGCCTAAGAAAGAGTCACGCAAGGTCATCTCGCTCTGTGCGAGCTCCTGAGCCATGCGCTCCTTGACGAAGTAGATGTCCTTGGTTGCTTCCCAGAGAGAATCGACAACGTGGGAGCCGCTGGTGTGTAGAGCCAGATCAACCAGATGGCCTTGGAAGCGGGAGACAAACTGTCGGCGGAACTGAGTGGTGGAAGTCGGGAGGGTCAGAGCCTGCTGAAGGACGCGGGATGCAGTAGGCTCTCGGGCGAGTTGCAGTATTGTGTCGGGGTCTTGCGCGAGAAGGCTAGAATATACAAGGTCACTCAATGGCCCACGAACTGTGAGCATGGCCTGTGCCAGTAAAGAGCCATGCAGCTTTTCTGCGGCAGCAACAGAAGAGCCTCCAGCAGGTCTGCGCTCCTTGTGACCCTCGTCGTCTGCATCCTCCATTTCATGGTCAGACTCCTGTACAGTGTTTTCTGTGGGTTCGCCTTGGCGGAGCATCTGCCGAAGCCGAATTTTCGGGTCCTTGTCGTAAGCAGCCGCAAGTGCCTCGGCGAAGGGTTTTGTGTCGAGGTTTCGAACAACGCAGCGATCAATCAGTGTACGAGGAACGATGAGTCTCGCCCTTTCGATCAGACCGGGGATCTCGGGGATGATCAGATCCATCGCATTCTGCAAATCATCCTTTCCAAGTCTCTCCAAGGTTCGAAGGACCACGTAGCCAGCCGTGCTGTTTCGAGAAAGAGACCCAATGCGATCGCGGATGTTGTTCTTGTAGAGGTTTTTGAACACCTTTCCTGGCATGTACTTCACCATAGTCTCCACTAGGCGCGAGCCAACAGGGTCATAGAGCAAGCCGCGAATAAAGGTGGCACTTTCTGTGCCCTCCTCGAAAGACTCGTCAGGGACAAGTCTTCGCAGAATCGATTTGGGGTCTTTCGCGCTAGACTTTCCGAAGTGAGAGAGCTCCAGGAACAGCATCACCTGAAGGACGGGGTTTCCAACAGGCTGGGTAGCCAGGGCACGCAGGTAGGTATCATCAAGTCCCGAGACCATATCACTCATCATCTTCTTAAGCGCGGGCTGGAAAGACTCAGGAACGTTCCGCTTCCCGGTGGATGTCTTTTCTTCCTGTGCGCCGGCGGCCGGCAAACCTAGTCTCTCTTTCTTGCGGCTTGCGACGATCGAGTCGGTCGATGTCACATCCACCGGCTCTCCCGCAAGAACCAGCAGCAGTACTCGGATCGTGTGCGATGCGAACCGCTCCGTCAGGAGATAACCCCAGTTTCCTTCCAATTCATTGATCACGGTCATAAACATGTCCGCAAGCGACAGATCCGACTCGGTTTCCTCGCCGTCCTCGGTTGATTTCTTGGCATGGGATTTTGGCGTTTTCTGCATAACTGCCGGCGCAGCGTGGATAAAAAGTGTCTCACAGCAATGACTGGCGAACCGATGCTGCACAAGGTGGAGGAAGTGGCCAATGAACTTGCTGAAGATCCGACGAATCTGCCGGACATCTGACATGGAGATCAATTTTTCCATGAGTCTCGAGCAGCCCTGACTACAGGCAATTTTCAACTCCTTGCCATTGGCCTCCTGGTATACACTTTCCACGAACAGGCCTCGTTCCTCGGCATCCTGGAATTGGTTCGCCTCGAGCATCTCGCTGGCGCGCGAGAAGTACTCAGCCTCGTCGGTGTCGAGCAGACCGTAGAATGGCATGTCGCCAGATCCCATGTTTTCGCCATCTTCTTGCTGCACTTGTTGCTCGTCTGACTCGAGAGGAATGTAGTCTGTGTTCTCTTCGAGAGGGTTGTCGTCGGTCTCATCGGTCTCGTCGGTCGGCTTCATGCGTTTTGCGACGGGGTCTTCGGGTGCCTCGTCGCGCTTACGCTTGACCTCATCTTTTTGGGTCTTGGCTTCCGCGCGGCGACCTCTTTTTTGCTTTTCACGAGGCATGTTGATGGTGTTTGGAGACACAGCTCGGAGGACGCAGGAAATTTTTTGGATAAGCTGTGGTCCAAGCACCCGTTTGTCTTGTTTGCATCGCTTATCGCTGAGATCCGATACTGACGTAGTATACACGACCATCAAGACGATTCCAATTGTCCTACTTTATCCATGTTTGGATGACCCGTGGATTTCCATTGTCAATTTGTGGGAGAATTCAATTACACATATAATATACACTGCTTTTGCTGCATCCTATAAGGCAGAGAAAATGGCAGAAACATGTTTTCCACATTCGACCCGTTGCTCCATGCTCACATTACGCTTGCCAACCTGGCCCTTGTGTCGAGGCATGATCTGCAGTCGGGCTTCGGTCTCCTGCTGCTTCTTGGACTGTGGAGGCGCCTTGATATGGTTCGGCTTGGAAAGATTGGTTCGCTTGCCAGTGCCCAGCTGGAAGTGCTCGTTACCTCCCCACCAGAACACCTCGTAGCCGAAGTCCTGTGATTTATCTAGCGAGTCCGTCGTCGCTGAGCTCAGGCTGGTCTTGTTATCCAAAATAGCAGCGACATGGGTTGTACCAACGGATATGGTGCGAGGGCGGATCGGTGTCATCTGCTTTGTCTGCTCGTTGTACTCGGCCAGCCCGCTCAGGTCTTTCACCTTCAAAGGTGAATCTTGCAGGTGAATCCACTTGCCCGTTCCAAGAGTGCCCCAAATTCCTCTGCCGCAAGACCATGTATCGACAGTCACATTGCCCAAGTCGCGGACGTCAGCAGCCTCTTCCTCAGGGCCAAGAATCCGCTTGGCATCGACGGTGAAGAAGGTGTTGGCGCCGCCAGCGGCGATGCTGGTAACCTTCGGAGAGTACTTGCGCTTTCGGTAGAGTTGGTTCAGGGCAAAAACGAAGGGAGTGTCCTTGAAAGGAAACTCTGGCTCAAATTCCACTCCTAGTTGCCCGAACGAGTTATCTCCCCAGCCAAAGAGTCGGCCATCCTTCGTCAGCGCAAGAGAGTGATAGTCACCCGCGGCAATTTCGGTCACTTTAGAACCCTTGAGGGCGGTGACTTCATGGCAAGTGTCTGCTGGTCCGCTGGGACGGGTAGACCAGGTCAGGCCAGTCACACCAAGTTGACCAAGGGATGGGTAGTTTTCAGTAGATGAAGCTGCTGTAAAGACACGGCCGTAGCTAGTGACCAAAACGACGTGTTCCAGGCCACCTCGGATAGCTGTTACCCGTTCACCGAGCTTCAAATCAGGATTCAGGATGCGGTAGCTCAGAGAGGACTTTCCGGGCCAGTAAGGCACCCAGGAGCTTTCTCGGGCTTTGGGACCAGTTCTCTGGTCATGCTGGGAGATGGGCAACGAGTAAACATTTCCATCCGAAGCCAGCGCAATGATCCGGCTCTCAGACAAAGTAATCGACGTCAGATTCTTGCCGGTCAGAGTCTTGCATGGCTTGTAGTCGGTCTCTGAGTATCCCTTGCCCCATTGTACCAGATCGCCCTTCTCCGTGATTGCAGCACCGGACTTCTCGTCAACCTTGAAATCTCGCAGCACCTGGCCATCGAAAAACTTGAAGCGCCGGGGGATCTTGATATCTCTGTCTTTCGATTCCGGATCCACCGCTTTATACTCGTTCGAGCCCCATGTGTAGACGGCAGGGCTCTTTAAGCTCCTTTTCTCTTGGATGAACTGAGCTCGGAGATTGTTGACATCGATGACTTCTTTCTTGAACCTGGGATCGCTATCAATCCAAGCTCGCTCCAAGTCGCCGTTGACGTATGAATATCCCAGATATGCTGCAGCACCTGCGAATGCGACTCCAAGGGAGCTGCGAACCCAGTTGGATGAAGGGTTCGACCTCTGTGATTTACCGCTTGCCAGTCGTCGCCATGGCGCATTCAAAGGCTGTTTAATCGCGACGTTCGGTTGGCGAAGGAGGCGTGTAATTTGAGCCGAGGGCCGTCGCACTCGAGTTGCCAGCATTATGGTAGTTGAGGGCTCAACATATGCCCGTGAGCTTCCCGAGAAATCAGAAAATAAGAACTCGAGGAAGCTCATCGTTGCGTCAGATCGAGGCGGAGTCCCCCGGCAGAATGCGGCGCCGTTGAACACCTCTCACTTCGGCTTCATTCACTGTCAACACTTTTCAATTCTCTGGTCTCTGGCAGAGATATGAGCTGGAGACTGACCTAATATCTACATCCTGGGCCCTGACGGCAGCATGCCTTCCACGAAGCAGCAGCGCGCCCGCCGCCAAACCGCGCCATCTGGCCCTCCGCGGAAGCCACCCGCCAACGAAACGCAATCAAGTCTCGCGCCGACACAAGAACATCCCCCTGGCTTTCTCAAATGGAGCATTCCTAGCTGGAACAATGAGCTCGAGTTCTCAGAGTGGCTCAATGGTGTCAAAGATGACCTTGTCGAGGAGAGCTACGACCAATACCAGTACGTGAGGTCTCAACCTGAGAGGACGCTATTGAGACTAATACGGGCGTTTTACCTGAGATAGGAGCTGTCTTGATGAGCTTCAACAATCGAAGGAACACATTGACGAAATTCTGATGAGCAACTTGACTCTACTTGAAGACCTGTCCAGCCTTTCCGAATCCTTCAGATCCGTCGAAACTCAGACCTCGAACTTTGAGAAACAGTGCGAGGGGCTTCTGTCTGCGCAGGAGCGTGACACGAAGCTTGCAAATGGTATTCAGAACAACCTCCACTACTATGACTTCCTAGATCCTGCGTCTCGGAGGCTCAATGCCCCGGGTGCGGGGAACACTGTCCGCGATAAGGAATTCTCCGACATGCTCAGGCGCCTCGACGTGTGCCTGGATTACATGGAAACACATGTGGGTCCTCCGTGGCTTTCATCGGAGACGCGGATCTATATACTGACATTTACTGCAGCCGGAACACAAAGAGGCGGAGGTTTATCGTTCTAGATACAGGCTTCTATTAACGCGCGCCCTTACACTCATCCGAGGAAACTTTGTGACATCTCTCCGAAACATCTACCAAAACGTATCAAAGAAAATCTCAGACCAGCAATTGAATGACACGGCTCTATCGGCCCTTCTCTATGCCAAATTCAGAGTCGGCGCCCCGGAGTTGAAGCAGATCGGAATCGAAATCCAGAAGAGAGCGGTCCCACCTTTGAACCCGGATCAGAACAACGAGGCAGAGTACCAGAGTCTGATGAATGAGCTGCACAGCAATTACTCGGCAACTCGTGCGCGACTGATAATACCACTCGCTCGCAAAAAGCTCAGCGAGATTACGCAGACCCCAAGTTCATCCAAGGACTTGGTCTCGTTCGCTCGGGCGAGTATTAGCTACATCCGTGGTTTGTGTTTGGATGAATACGATCTGTGGGGTGAATGGTTCCATGGACAGGGTGGATTGTATGACTTCCTCGAAACAATCTGTGAGCCTCTATATGACCATCTTCGCCCTCGCATCATCCACGAAACCGACATTCGCAACCTTTGCCAACTCTGCACGTTACTCCAAACCCGCTACTTCTTGGATCCAGAAGATGAGCCAGAGCAGACCGACACGAATCAACTGGATTTTGCCGTCTTGATCCAACCCGCTCTGCAGGATGTTCAGACTCGGCTGGTCTTCCGCGCTCAGGCATTCCTGCGTGACGAAATCGAAAAATACAAGCCTCTTCCGGCCGATATCGATTACCCCATGCACAACAAACAAGTTTCCTTGACTGTGACCGATACTCAAATATCAAGCAAAAAGGATACCTCGGCAGATTCCATGATTGACATGACCAAACCTGGCAAAGAGGGAGATGACGCTGGTGGCACTCCACAAGAGCAGGACGGAAAATGGGACTTTGAGACTCAGACTTCACTGAAGGGGTGGTATCCGACGTTGCGAAAGGCCGTCTGGCTTCTCAGCCGGATCTATCGCCTTGTCAACGTAAGCATCTTCTGCGATTCGGCCGAATTATTCATGCTAACTTTTCCTAATCAAGTCCACTGTCTTCGACGATCTGGCACATCAAGTCGTACATCAAACCACTCTGTCTCTTACCAATGCCTGCACACTCATCTCCGGCAAATCTACCGCAGCCGACGGACAACTCTTCCTCATGAGCCACCTCCTCATTCTGAAGCAACAGATTGTTGCATTCGACATTGAATACGTCGCGCCAGATGTCTCCCTCGACTTCTCGGGTGTTACAAACACATTCTGGGAACTGCGGGAGCGCGGCGGCCTGTTCAACCCACGCAACCTTATGCGCCTAGTCGGCCATGGGCTTATGCCCCGTGTGGTGGAGAACATGCTTGACGCAAAGGTCGAACTGGATGGCCGCCTCCGCACCGTCATCAATGACTTCATCAACGCCTTCGCTGCACGCATGACCGCTTCCCTGCCGACGAAGTTCGTCGACACCCGTAACCTCCACCGCGGAGAACTGGTTCACCCCTCATGCCACACCATCGAGAAGGAGGTCCCCATTCTCCGCAAGATTCTAAACGAATACATCGACGACACCCGCATGAAGGAAACCCTCGTTGGCGCCGTGCAGGATCGCACGATTCAGATTTACGAGGATTTCTTCGAGAAGTACACCTCATCCGAGAAAGGAAAAGGCCATGCTATCAGCAAGAAAGGCAAGGGCCGGGACGATGCCATCTGGGACGTTGAGACATTTGCTGAGTGGTGTGAGGGTGTTTTCCGAGTTGGTGTAGCTGGTCTTCAGTCTGAACAGGTGGACCTGGCTGAGGACGATGATGATCTACTGAGCACGACCTCTTAGGGTTTTATCATTTTCTGCATCTTGTGATCGGAGCATTTTGAGCATAAATACCATAGGAAATAGCGTCGTGTACATGAACGCAGAATATCATTATGGCGTCTTCATAGCACTTGAGTACCAAGGAGCTCAAAAAAATAGATTGAGCAAAGGCTATAGACTATATCGCCGAACCGTCAATTACCGGGACTATACCGGGTCGTATGTACATGAAATGCAAAAACCAATGGACACCGAATGCCGAATCCTTGCAATGCTGAAGGAATGGAAACATTTTGACAGGGGGTATGTATATACGATGCAGACGAGGACAAAACACATGAAAATTCGAATTCAGCCAGAGCAATACTTCCATGGCATGCACGAAAAGAATTGCCGACATCTCAAAGCACATGTTGGATCTTGGCATAAAGCTCGGTGTTGAGGAAATTATAGGTAGGATCCTGTTGACAGAATGGGTGGCCGAGCAAGGTGCCTGCAGTGGGACGTTCGGAAGAATCACTGGTATGGGATTAGTTTCTCATCAATCGAAAGGGAAGGAAATGTAGAACTTACATTGTGAAGCAGTCATACATGAACGCAAGAGCCGCAGGAGTGATGTTCATGGAGACATCATCGGGAATAGGTGGGGCCTGACTGAGACTGCCCAGCTTGAAAATAGCACCGATAGCCTCCTCCCTGCTCCACGGTCGGCGACCAGCGAACATCTCCAAGACCACACAGCCGAGGGACCAGATGTCGACCTTGGCACTATAGCCTTGGCCCTGGGATTGAATGACCTCCGGGGCCATCCAGAATACAGAGCCCTGCATAGAGTTGGACGAGTCGTTGCCGTAGATATCGTCTGTTTTTTTGGAAATTCCAAAGTCGGAAATTTTGCACGTTCCGTCGAGGTCCAATAGAATATTGTCGGCTTTCAGGTCACGGTGGAGAATTCCCATGTCGTGTAGGTAGGCCAATCCTTTGAGAGTTTGCTGTGTCAAAGACTTGACGACGCTCTCTTCGAATTTGCCATGCTTGCGGAGACAGCTTCCAACCGAGCCACCAGAGATATACTCGAGGTAGATGGAGATCGATAGATCACCTCGTTCACAACCGAGGTACTGGACGATGTTGGGATGCTCCAAATGTTGCATCGTGTCGATCTCCTGGTCCAGTGCCGCCACCATTTCCTTGATACGGTCTCTGTCTGCTCCAGCTATTCTCGCGTTGATCTCGACTTGCTTCACAGCTAGAACCTCACCATTATCCGCGTTGATGCCCAGGTACACTCGTCCATATGTTCCTTTGCCGATGAGTTGACCACGAATGATGCGGAAGGTAGCCTGTCGTTGCGGGACGGATCCACTCGGCGGAGTTCTATACTGAGGGATAGGGTCGAGTTGATTGATTCGGCTCCCAGGCTTTGGACTGATTTGCATAATCTTCGCACCAAACATCTTGGTACTCTTTCGGCGCAGAAGATTCCCTGACTGCTGAGGGCCAGCAGAGCCAATACTTTTAGTCCTAACAGCTGCACCCCTGGCCACTTCTCGAATGGATTTTGCTCGCGAAAGACCACCGCCGCCGCGGTCTAGTTGGCGGCGTGCGATAAATCCAGGTTGCGGGCGCACTGTTGACGAATCTCCCCCATAATTTTTGTTTGCATCGCCTTTGGGTGTGGATGCAGACGATGGAGTTGCTTGCTTCTCCTTCGTGCTGGAGTCATTCTCCGCGCCATCCCTGTTATTTGGAGATGGAGGCTCATCCAGATAAGGTGCGTCAAGATCAACGTTCGGGAAGAAGTCATCCAGATTGTTGATGACGCCTTCGACTGGAGGTCTGCTAGCCCAAACGTCTCTAGCAAAGGAATCAGGCCGTATAGGCCTCTCGTCTTCGGGGGTCGCAGATCCACCAAAGGGCCCGGTTGCTGACTCCATGCTGTCAGAAGCACCACCAGCGGAACTTTGAGTCGACGGCCCAGGGAAGCTCTCTCCAGAAGTAGTATTTGGAGAAATGAAACTGACACGACGGGGATTAGCATGACCCGTATTCACAGTGAGACTAGGCTTCTCGGTCTTCTTTTCAGGCTCGGGCACAGGTTCAGTCTTCTGCGCCTTCTTGTTGGCGAGAGGAAGAGCAAAGAGTCCATCGTCAGATTCATCGTCAGACTCAGGATTTGGGTGCGGAGTTCGCTGGAAGGAAACTTCATTCTCTTCGAAATCGAACTCCGGGCCAAACGACTTGCGAGATACTAGACCGGGCCTTGAAGGTTCAGGCGAGACATTCTTTGAAGAAGAGTGAAGATTTCTCGAAGAATCTGGATAATCCACATAATCAGCACATGATCCGATATGGGGCGATTCACTCGTATAGTGGATTGACGTGTTCGGATACTTACCTAATGTTGTCCTGCTCGAAGCGGTTGCTGGCCGATCAGAATCCGAGCCAAAGCTTTCTCGAGTGGCGGAAGAAGGCTGCGATGAAATCTGTACTGAAGGGGCCGGTGTGCCAATGGCACTTGTCATCCGACCCATACTGGTAATCATAGCTCCCAATCCGTGGGTCTGAATAGTCCCTGAAGACCCTGAACGGCTACCACGCTCGCTACGCTCGCTAGGAGCTTTTCTGAGAGAATTGATCTTGGTGAGCGTGTTGGACTCAATTGGAGCGGTTGGCGGTTTTCGCAATGGCACCAGAGTTTCTGCCTTCTCCTTCTCGTATGGCGAAATGCGAGGAGAGTCAAAGTCGATAACCCCTTCACGTCTATAGCCATTTTCGCTGTAAGTGTCTTTCCGGGATTGTTGTATGGACGGAGGTTGACGGGAAATGTTGTTCTCCTTTTGCTTCCGATCAATCTCACGGAGGTGAGCTTCATGGCGTGTAAGCAGATCGGCTTTTTCAGGGTCCAGTACTTGGTTGGAGTCTTGAGAGCCAGCCGGAAGTGTTTTTTGGGCCGAGGCCTTCAGTGTTGACTGTCGGGAGCTTAACAACGGCGAGCCTGGTTTTGTGTGAGTTTGCGGAGAAATTCTATCAAGGGCATCTTGATCCAGCGGCTTGCGAATAATTGGAGCATGCGTCGTGGCAGTGGGAGACAGGGTCGGCTTGTCTCCTGGAATGGAAACCCCAAGGCCGTTGAAAGTCGGAATATTAGGAAGTGTTGGGTGGGCGAGAACCCCTTTAACGAATAGTTTCAAGGAGCCATAAGCATCAGACCTATTTCGGCGGGAAATCTCTAAGTTTGTGTCGTTCAAAGGGTCTTGATGGTCAGTCTGTCCAGGCTCTGTCAGGAAGATCTGGGCACTGGACCAATCAGACAAGCCTAGTTTCTGGCATATCCCTGAGCGTAGGCTCTCAACAGATTCCATATCAGAAACATCAATCAGACGGTACTGGATGCCATCCATGGTAGCGAAAACCCATTTCTTTGTCTTCGTCGTAGTTGCCGAGGACGGGCGGTCGCCTAGTGACATGTCACTGGAATTAAACCTGGGCTTTGAGTATGGAAGATACTGGCCATTCGAGCGAGGCTCGGGACTTGGTGGTGAGTCCGGATGGCTCTCTTCTGGAGATGGGTGACTCGAATCATTTCTGACCTGCTTTCTCCTGCTGAAGATGTTTGAAAGAATCCCTTTGCTGTGATCTCTCGAGTACGAGGAATTTTCTCCGCTCCAAGGCCGACCATGTGGATCTGAAGGTGATGGGCGTGCATTGTCTTGGCCTTGTCGACGACTATCATAATAGCGGCCAACTGCCGAGGAAGCACCGCGTCCGGCACCAGGGATCGAATCCGTGCTGTTTCCACGAGAATGGTCGTATCTCAAGGTCAAATCTCCAGTTGAAGAAGATGCGAGCCCTCCAGATGAGGGCGACACATACTGCGTAGCTGGACTACCACTCTTCGGACTATCTTGGGCCCGAAATCCTGCGCTTGGAAGCGTTCCGGCGTCACTGGATTGCGAGGGACTTTGTCTGCGGTGATCATTGGTAGACGCCAAAGCATTTCGTGAGTACTCTGACCGCAGCCAGGACGGAAACTCCCGAGAAGGAGAATTGAACATTGGCGAGTCATGGCCGCTGGGGACAGGCATGGTGACGGAACGTTTTTCAGTGGGTTGCTTGTGGCCCTGGCCGGAAGAACCCTGTAATTCAGCTAGCTGATTCGCGCTGATATCGCTCACTCCGCCAGACGGACCAGCCGAGCGGGGTTCAGGGAAATGCGTGGAATAATATCCAGTCCCACTTTCAGCAGATGTGGGAACTAAAGCTGGCGGTTCTCCGCGCATCGGCGTAGAAATAGCAGTGTCTGGGCCACCATCGTGAATCTGACGGATCAGCTTGCGCATACGCAAGCCCTCTTCGCGTTCGCGGGTTGAGTCCCATCCAGTGCCGCTCCGCGAGCACTCTTTGGATAGCTGAGGGTAGACAACCTGATGCATTTTCCCCAGGTTTCCTCGCCCACCGGACGCTAGACCGAGCTCAAGGAAATCGCCTCCTTGGATCTCCAAAGACTTGAAAGTTTCTTGCCAGTCCCTAGAGAATCCATTCCGTGCCAGCCAGAGCAGGACTCGGTCGAGCGGCCATTGAACGCCGGCCTCATTAAGAGTCAATCCGCCCAACGACGTACCGCTGTTGTTATGACGATGGCTGGGCGACTTGGTGAGATCTATGCCCTGGCCTGCACTTTGCGATGGGTTGTCATTCGTCACAAGCTCATGCACATTGTTGTGGAGAGCGTAAGGCAGAGCTGTGCGACCCCCTGGAGTTTGCGGATTGTATGTTCCATCAGTGGGGGGAATCTCGTATGCCTGATTGGCTGCTGGTCGATAGGCATCGTATGGAACTCTTCCATGAGACTCGAGCAATGGCGGGATGCCGACGCCGATCGTATCATGGCCGGGAATATATGTCGCAGAGGTGAGAGGTTCAGAACCCACAGACAAAGGAGCCATCGGACGGTATGGTTGATGCTGGCTCGGGGGCAAAGGAGGTGGTGGAGGTAAATAGCCGGGGGTCATTGCCTGTCGGCCCCAAGATTGCTGCTGCCATTGCGTCGGAGCTCCATAGCCTGTTCCTGGCGGTGGACCAGGTGGTGGCGGGGGTACAATAGTCTGAAGTTGCGCTGGCGGGCGTGGAGGTGGCGGAGGGAGGTTCATGGGATGGGACTGAGCGGTCGGGGGTCCCGGGAGATACTGTTGCCTCTGTCCGTCCATTCTGAGTGATGAGCAGCAGGACTTTCGGAGTCGCGATCACGAGGCCGCTGTCGGGGAGAAGAGGCCGGGTATGGTTGTCTCCAAAAGAGTCCGCATTACACTCGTGTCAACCCGGTTTCGAGAGAAAATTTCTGATGAAAAGATAGCAGAAAGGCGGTCTAGTCTCGATGTCGAATTCAGATCGTGATATCGACAGGTTTGGCTGCGAAGGGATTCAAACGGGCTGGGTGAACATGATCAATGTCGGTGACGCCGAATCCTTATCGCAGGCGCTGGGAGTCGCTTGGCGAGGAAAGGGGCAGCTATATGCACCCGGCCGAGCAACCGCCAGCGGAGAAAGGGCTGGGCTCGGGGCTATACTGTAGAAGACTACCGTCAGCAATCGGTAACGAGATGCGAGGGCGATCCGCCGTAGAAATGGGGGAATCCAAGCGACGGGAGGGAAGACTCCAGCCATGCGCTCCTTGCGTCGGAGAATTAATCGCCAACCGCGTCGAACAAAGACACTCACCGAAGGCGCAAAAAATCCTGCAGGGATGAGATGAAAGTTATTGTTGAGAAGAAACAAAGCTGCAAGTTTGATCATCAGCCCTGGACGGATCGTCACGTGGATCCGCTTTTCGGTGGAGTCGTGAGTTTTCTATTTGTTTGTTTTCGACATGGATGTGACTCCGGTACCTATAGTCGTCCACAAAGTAATAATTGAGAGTAGTACTGACGGTATAGGAGTACGACGAAGACCTTGTGGGGAGAAACCCCCTTACGAAGCAGGCAGGTGTCATATTGGACCCCTGCCCCATTCACGACCGACTCGGCCTTCTCCATCAGTGTCTCAGATTGACTAGTGGCGCCAGCTGCAGCTGCTCTGAATGTTACCCAATCTAGCTAGCGCCACTGTAGCGGTACGCAAGCTCCGTTGGTTTCAGTTTAGAAATTCATTTGATATCGAGACTAGGGGAGTGGATTTCGCCTCAGATCGCTCGAAGCAAATTAAGCACTCCTGATTAAAACTTTACACCGATCGTAACAACGTAAATGATGAGAGGAGATCGTCAATCCGTTAAATGAATCCCCTATTCGTTGCGCTTGGCCGCAGCCTCAGCGGTCACCTTGAGAGCAGATGGGGCGTCGTCTCGCGGCATGTACAGCTCAACAAGCTAAATAAAAGAGATTAGCCCAGTTCATGCCATCAGTGGGAAGCCTAAACTTACTCGAAGCTTATCAGAAGTGCAGAAATCCTGGTCGGCAAATAGCTTGTTCAGCTCATCCCGAGTCTTCACCCGGTAGCCCTTGTATCCATCCTGGCCACCGAATACCTTAGGGACGTTGTAGAAGTCCCAGGTTTGAATATCGTTGTAACTCGCATCCCAGCCGTGGATGTAGCGTTCGATGGTGTAGCCTTCGTTGCAGATCACAAAACTAAGACAATTAATATGAGCACGTCACACTTTATCGCGGAATATGTTGTTGTGAACAAACTTACACAATAGGACTCAACTTGTTCCGTAGAATCGTGCTTAGTTCCTGGACTGTCAATTGAATGCTGCCATCTCCGATGAAGAGAATAGTGCGGCGGTTGTTTTGCTCCTTCGCAGCTAGTGCGGCGCCCTGGCAAGATCCGAGCGAATAGCCAATACTGCCCCAGAGGACCTGGCTGATTGCAGTCACATTTGCGGGGAATCGAGTGTCCCAGATACCAAAGTTGGCCGTACCTGTTTCGGTCATGATGATGTCCTTCTCCTTCAGCCACTGCCCAACGGTAGGCCACAGCCAATCATGGGTAATGGTCTGGCTGGTTGAGTTCTTCTCACTATCGGGGAGAAGATTCGTGAGAGAGGGTGCGGGGGCGGCATTCACTTTGCCCAACTTCTGGACAACCTTTCGCAGAACGCCCTTCATGTTGGTGTCGGGATACTCGGAATACCGCACACGCACATACGTGCTGTGGAAATCAACGGTGTTCAGCTGTCCGATGCGATAAGTGAATCCGGTCGTGTTGAAGTCCGACTTGATTGCACCAATGCTGAGAATGAGATCCGAGGACTCAACCGCATCTCTCACACCGGGCTGCGAGCCGCTGCCGGCATATACACCACCGAAATTCTTGTATGTCTCATTCACTGCACCTTTGCCCATCGGTGTGACAAATGTGGGCAGTTTGGAAGCCTCCACCAAGTCACGAACCTCCTCCAGAGCGCGGTGTCGAATGGCGCAGGCATCGACCAGAATAACAGGGTTTTTGGCGGCATGAAGATACTTCAAAACCACATCCACAACGTAATCCTCCTTCTCCGGGTCATTTTCAGGTAGAGATAGGTCAATCGGCTGCTTCAGACGATCGCCATCGACCTTTGCAACGACGATATCAGTCGGGAGAGTCACATAGACCGGACGACTTCGGATCCAGCATTGGCGGATGGCGCTGTCAATTTGAGTCGCTGCGTCGTGGGGGTCATTGAGTCGAGCAGTGTAGCAAGAGATGCCCGAGTTCATCTCGGTGAACACGTTGAAATCGCCATTTCCGAGGGTATGGTGGAGTAGCATCCCATCCTTCTGCGACTTGGTGGTCGGCTGGCCCACGATGTGAACGACCGGGACGAATTCGGAGTATGCGCCTGCAATGGCATTGATGGCCGAAAGCTCCCCTACACCGAAGGTGGTGATGAGGGCGCTGATTCCTTTCACACGAGCATAGCCATCGGCCGCATAACCTATCCATGGTCTGTTAGAACTCAAGTCCAGTGGCTTTCTGGGGTTCGGCTTGAAACCATACCTGCGTTGAGCTCATTGCAATTACCTACCCAGTGCAGCCCGCACTTGGGCAGATAATCCAAGGCAGAGAGGTTGTAGTCACCAGGTACACCGTGGACGGCACGGATACCGACCTCATGCAGACGCCTGAAAAGGTATTCGGCCACGTCCATGGGATTCTTAAGCTCCCTTGTAGCAATGTCGGTAGATGCCATAGCTGTTGGTGATGGGAGGGGAATGGGTGGGAAGGTGGGATGTAGAAGGAGATGGAGTGGGGTGAGGAGAGTGAGCAGCAAAGGCACCTTTGTACAAAGGTGATACGGAGCAGTCGGAAGGTGCCAGGCCGAGGAAAACAAGGCACTTCGGGATACTGTTTTGGCCGGTTCGTCGGAAGCTCTCGAATTCGTGAACGGGAGACCCATTAATCTACGTCATGATTGGACCGTTGATGTCATGCCACTCAGCAAATTGTATCACGGTGACCGTACAACCGCGCCAAAGGGGGCAATTGTTAGGACCTGCCCATCTACCAATAATGGATCGAGCCAATCTAAAATCGAAAGGCCCTGAAAAGTATCGAAATGAAAAGTAAACATCGCGATAAGTTTTGGGCAAGGTGAAGCTCTCGCGATCCACTTGCGGCCCGCTAAACCCAACGAGGGGGCTGATCACACAAAACTCAGCTTCACCCCCACTCGGTCCTGTCTCTTATCGGCCACCTGAGCTTTATCAACCATCTCAGGCTTAATGATGGGCGGATCCGGCAAACGCAGTATGCCGGGCAAATCGAATGGCATGAAGCGTAGAAAGGTACGCCTTCTCCAGCGGGAGCTCCACAAGGGTTATCCCTCGCCTCGTTCTGGGGAACTAAACGGATGCACAGGACGGCAAGGCTATGTATAAGCAGCCTAGCAGCCGAGTCGGCATGGAGAGCGGGGACTCGGGTGTATTTGTGACCTGCGACATGGGCCGGGAGAGCAAATGTATCAGAGAGGCCGTCGATATCTTCTCTCATGTCGGTCCCAACTCGAATTGGAATGGTCCTTATCAACGCAATTGCTAACTCGTCATCTCAGGCCATTGAGTCTTCCGGTGAATTGAAGACCGAGGAGGATTCGGACGAGGACTCGGATGATGGCGACATCGAGGCCCAGATCCAAAGGGAGCTTGCCGGCTTACAGCCTAGCAAGGATAAGAAACACCCATTTCAAGGAATGCAGTTGGAGATGCCCTGCGGTTCGTTTACCGTCTCGGCGCTTTGGCCGATGCTCTGGCCTTTCATCGGGTCTTTCGAGGGCCGTGCTAACTCCCCGCAGTCACATTCGTGCGACTCGACAAGTCGATCGACCCCGTCTCGCTGGTCCACCGTTTGTGCTCCGAAGCACATGCCAATCCAAACACCAAAAACAGCCGATGGATTAAGCGCATGACCCCGGTCTCTACCCTCAGAAAGACTCTAAGTGTGGACCTAGAAGCCTTCGCAAAGGAGATTCTCAAGCCGCACTTCCATTCTGGGGGCCCGCCGAAGAAGGTATGTGTCCCCTTTGCCGTCATGGCTTCTCACCATCCCAGCCACATGTCCGATCTTGCATTTCGCTTGGATAATCACGAGGCTTTTACTTGGCATTGATGATCTGACATTCGCAGTACGCTATTCGACCGACGATTCGAGGCAATAACAAATTCAAACGAGACGAGGTCATCAAGACTGTTGCTGACGCCGTCGGTCCCGAACATCCGGTGGACCTGAAGAATTACGACTTGATGATTCTGGTAGACGTCGTGCAGGTGAGTCTCGGAGCTACGGCCTTTTAAATCCCCACATGGAAGCTGATGCTCGCGTGACAGAATGTGATCGGAATGAGTGTAGTGGGCGGTGACTACGACCTGCTGAAACGGTATAATTTGGCCGAGATCTACGATCCGGCGAAACCGGCGGCGGATCAGGCCGCAGAAGCTAAGTCTTAGCGCTAGGCGGCGCATCAACGGGCCAATGGCGGGGACATGTTGTCACCTCGCTTCAAGCCTCCATTGTCGGAACAACGATGACGAGCCCACGCTACTGTATTACTGAGGTGGCCGTGCATAAGAAGATTGCGCACCCGGCGCTAGATCCAATTCCAGGAACGACTTCATGCAGCCACCAGGCCTCCCAGAATATTTGTTTATCAGTACATCAGAAATAATTCGGATTACTTCCCGTCACACGCAAAAAGAAGACAAGAACAAAATTTCTCTCGAATGCGAGCCTGGACCTTTACTGCCGATCAGCGGCTCGGGACTTACACCGGCAGTTCCGTGGATCTGGATCAGATGGACAGGGATGGCCAGTACATATAGAGAGAGAAAGAGCTTCGGGTCCGAGTCGAGTCGCTCCATTGTTTCAGGTCTGAAACCCAATTGGAGCAATCGGAAGCGAGGACCCTGATAAGCGGGGGTACCCTAGCGATGAGAATTGAATTCAAAACGGAGTCAACACAGAATTAGGGTGATGACAGCGACATGAAGAACATTCCTCGCGTTCCAAGACCCGCACGGGGGGATCCACGGCTGGTTATTCGGCAAGCGGCCCTTCTGATTGGCGGTGGCCCGGTGCTCGGATGCCCGCGATGCTCAACGCGGGATCCTTACGCGAGTGGTAACATCGGCTTTCTTTCTGGTCTTTTAAAGCTGGAGCCTGATCATTTTTTCTACCGATCTCCAACCCTACTTCATAGTATTCGCTGGCTATACCTGGATGACGGCCGAACCGAAGCTCCACGGCCCCATATCTCGCGTAGTCAAACCTACTGTATGTCATGTCATGGCGTTGCTTTCCCAGGCCCGTGGCCGCCTGCTCTGCCAAGCTTGTGATTTGATTTGATGGTTGCATGGGCATTGCAGCGATGGCGGTGTGGTGGCCCCTCGTTGCTTCTGTCTGATGGAGACCACGGTGGGTTTCTTTTCCGTTGGAACGTGCCCAAACTCCATAATCCTTCCCTAAAAGGATAAGATTATTGTAGAACCGTTCCCTTGGAGTATGAAGGCTGGTCTTTGAATAGCAGTAGCTCCGAACTCCTTTTTCTCCTTTCGGCTTGTCACCTTGATACATATCAGAATGCATCGCTCCGATGTCTCGACTTACCTACCCTCTTGTCTCCCGAAATGGGCCCAAAATGCATTTCACTCCACGCGGCACACATTCGTCTGATTCAGATGAACCCCAGAGACTGGATGCTGTACTGTCGTTGCTATTTCCCTCGACCGTCCGTGTGCAACGCTCGCGGAATATTCTCGGCCACGTCCATTCCCTGCGCCTTCTAACTCTCTCAAATGGGGTCCGCTTGCTTCTCAAAGGATCTCCTTTCCCTGGCACTCCTCTTTTGCGACAGGAAAGGTACTTTCTCGAGACTGAAGCGCGCTTTCTGGCTCTTCTTGGACAAAGTGCGAATCCATGCATCCCACAGCTGTATCATTTTGATCCTCTCGGAAGGCTTCTGGGTTCTGCCTACTTGATACGACAATATGTGAAAGGAACGAGTTTGTTGGAGATGGAAAACCAACTTACCACTCGACAACGAAATGACATTGACCGCCACCTGGGCTTTCTAGCCAGCACGATTGGACAAAATGTGGCCCCTGGATTTGGCTCATTGCAACAAGTCGCCGCCGGAGCTGGGAAACGTTCCTGGCGCGAGTCTTTCTGTGGTCTTTTCGAGAGCGTGCTGCGCGATGCAGAGGACATGTTCATCCATCTTCCGTACGCTGAGATCCGCCACGAACTCGGTCGCCTGGCATCAGCCCTCGAGGAAGTAACTTTACCGCGTCTGGTGGTTGCAAGCTTCGGTCGGTCCTCGCATGTCTTGCTGGACGAGACGTCGAAGCAAGTTTCTGGAATAGTCGACTTTAGCAGCGCCTTTTGGGGCGATATGCTGATGGCGGAACTATTTAAGAACCCGAGCACTGCCGTGTTGGAGGGAGCAGGAATGCCCTTGACCAGGACGAAGATGGAGGATATCCGATTATTGATGTACCTTTTCCCCACCCATTTTTCCTGCTCTCAGGATTCTCCTTGCTGATCTATTCATCTTCACCAGGTACGCATGCTATCGGTTGGTTTCTCAAATTACTGTACAATACTATCGAACTCGAGATGAAACGAAAGAATTTGATGCACGACGACGACTGACCGCGACAATCGCACACATGATCGCGTTGGAGGCGATATAAATACAGGATTAAGCTTTTTGCATGTTCGGGCAAGATGATACACTTGGATTCATATAGATTTTTTGCATTGTCTTTTAGGTTCGAGGCGTGAAGATTGTTCCGGGGCCCCATATATAGTTCAGCATGTGATTTAACGTTGAAAGCGATCATTTTCATGTCAAATTCGCTCGGATAAGATGGAATAAAAGATAGAAGGGCTCTTAGGATAGACTCAACAGATTAACTTTATCAACGTTGTCCAAACGCAACAGAGAACACCAATAACGTACGCAGACGATCCCAAGAACCCCTCGTACATAGGGCGGGAAGCGGGGCAGATCCGTTTAGCTTTAGCCTCTCCGCCATGTCGTCAGCTGGCGAACATTCCCCGAGCTCCACCACTTTTTTCCCCTTCCTCCTGCAACATAACCTGCCACACCTCACTTGCCGGAGATGGCTCAATTTTTGAGAGGCAAGCAAGCCGGCATCCAGAGGGACCTGTCCGAGGGTCTCTCCCAGGAGTTCTTTCGGCTTGACGACGTTCGTCTTGGCAACCCAGGCATCCTCTTTCTGCTTCAAACTGACCTTTGTCTCCCAGTTCGAGCGCTGTGGTGTGAACTCGCAAATTAGCGTCGTCGCCTATGATCCCGTTCAGTCCCTACTCGCCGTCGGCACCAGTGATACCAAGTTCGGAAGCGGCCAGATCTATGTATTTGGACAGCGGCGTGTCTTGGTTATCTTTGAGTTCCCGCGCAAGGCTTCGGCCAAGTTCCTTCAGTTTTGCGCCGACAAGCTCATCAGTGTCGATTCGAAGAATGAGATTAGCATATACTCCCTTGCAACCAGGTCTTTGGTGACCTCCTACGCGCCTCCCGGTCAGGCCACTGCACTTGCGACGGACCCTTCCCTGGACTATGCCTTCATCGGCCTATCGAACGGTTCGTTGGGGGATTTCACTGCGAAATAGATAAATACCAATTACTGATTCATAACAGGCGAGGTTGTTGCATACGATCTCGATCGAGAGTGCCTGACACCTTTCAGGATCCCGAACCTGTGGCTAGAACAGAACCCGCGCGCACGCCTCTTCCCGGTTGTATCACTCGCCTTCTCCACACGAGATATTGGCAAGATTTTAATTGGATACCCGGAGGGAGCTGTGACATTCTCCTTCAAACAAAATGTCACCCAAAAATACTTTGTCTATGAGGTTCCTCCTGGTGCTCCAGGTGGCGATCCCGAGATGCCCTCCAATGCCGTGCGCCGTCCCAGACTGATCGACGCGGTCTGGCATCCGAACGGGATCTTTGTACTTACCGTTCATGAAGATACCAGTCTTGTGCTCTGGGATACCAAAGACGGCCGCAAGCTTCATGCCAGGACACTCCAGGCTACAAATGTTGACCAGCCGGGGATGACCCGGTCTGACCCTGCAGCTGGGGAATCTTCTGGGCCCAAGGAGCCCATCGTCAAAGTTACATGGTGTGCCAAAGATAGCCCCGATGACACCGGCATCTTGGTTGCTGGTGGACGCTACGTAGGAGATCCAAACAAGGGCCTAACTTTCCTCGACATGGGCCCGACTCCCAACTATCAGACATCGTCGTGGCAAGTGCTTTCTGGTTATCTCGAGCGAACACGCCGGCATATGAATCTTCCTATTCCTCCGGGAGCCCACGCCTCCACATACTGCCTCATCCCTCGCACCGATCCGTATTTTGCCGGTGCTCATGACCCAATCGCCATTCTTGTCGTGCTCTCCTCAGGAGAGCTGGTCACAATGAGCTTCCCCAGCGGTCATGCCATAACACCAACCAATATGCTTCATCCGTTCCTTTCTTTCGTTCACCCCTTCGTGAACAAGGTCACACTTACCCCAGTCGATCGCTCTGTCTGGCTAGGATTGAAGGAGCGCAGATTACAGGGACCCAAATTCGTCTTCGGAGGTGCGGAGGCGAAGAACCCTCTGAAGCGTTTCGAGAACAGGAATATCATTTCTACTGCACATGCTGATGGCACGATCCGCCTATGGGATGCCGGCCATGACGATGAAATCGAGAATGGCGACGCCGTGCAAGTGGACTTGGCTCGGGCCGTGGGTCGAGTTCGCAATATCGAGGTGACCGAGATGTCTCTCGCAAGTGGTACGGGTGAAATGTCTGTGGGTCTCAAGAGTGGTGAGGTGATAGTCTTCAGATGGGGCAACAATGCTTCGTGCGGACAGGAGAATCCTCCTGGTGCCAATCAGGGACCCGGGAGACTGACATCAGTTACTCATCGGACAGATCCTGGGCTGAAGACCGGGCTCCTGCCCTTGACACTTCTGGATATGCAGCAGGGTGCAGTGACGGCTTTAAATCACAGCCCGGTAGGTTTTGTCGCCGCTGGCTTCGAAGGAGGTATGTTGGCGATCATTGACCTGCGCGGTCCGGCAATCATCCACACCGCCCATCTATCAGAGTTTACAAAGGCGCCGAAGCGGAGCAGTTTCCTGAAGAAAGGTGCTTCAGAGGAAGCTCCGCCTGAGTGGCCCACTAGTATCGAATTCGGTGTGATGACATTGGAAGGCGAAGGTAGGAGTCCATGGCCTCGGACTAGTATAAACGGCGCTAACATAATATGTTCTGTTCAGACTACTCAAGTATCTGCTGCTTTGTTGGTACGAACAGAGGAAACGTGGCAACGTTCAAGGTGCTTCCCTCTTCAAATGGTACCTACACAGCAGCTCTTGCCGGGTTCTCAAACGTCGAAGATAAGGTCATCAAACTCATTCCCATCGACGCAGAGTCTGGAGGCCACGCTCTTGCTACACCCAGTGTCGTTGCCGGCCTGAGAAACGGCATGAAAGTCAATGGTGTTGTGATTGCCGTCACACCCTCTGGCTGTAGAATCTTTAAGCCACCTACCTCGAAGGGTGCACACAAGAGTTGGGATGACTACCTTTGCGACGCGGCCGCAGTCGTGAAAAGCGAAGGCCGTGGCTACAGTTTAGTCGGACTATTTGGCGATGGCAACGCGCGTGCATTCTCCATTCCTGGTCTCAGGGACCTAGGCTGCGAAAGAATCAACCACATCGCTGATATGCGACGACTGCCAGAGGCATGCATCACACCCGGTGGAAGTGTGATGACATGGACCGGCCCTTCACAGATTGGGCTATTCAACGTCTGGGGAACTGGTTGCAAATTGTACGTCTCTCGATTGATTCATTTGAACCATCATGCTAATCCTCTTCACAGGGCTGTTTCTCAAGATCGTCTTTACGACCAGGACAAGGTTCCCCCCACTCGTCCCACAATCACCAACATTCAGTGGATCTCCGGCACTCAATATGTTTCACCTGCAGATATGGATATCCTGAGTACGTGACGAAAACCCCCTACCCCCCGGCCTTCAGTATGTCTCGAAGTATGTCTAACCCAGAATATAGTTGGAGGCCCCGACCGCCCGCCATCCAAGCGCATGGTTGAGCAAATGAAAATGGAGGACCAAGAGCGCCGCAAAGCACTCCGTGAAGGCCGTGCGCCACCACCCGAGCTGCAGGGCAATCAGGAAAGCTACTGGTCTTCCATGTCGCGCGCAGTCCAAGAACGCACCGAGCGGCTTGGTCTGGCAACCGATACCATGGACCGACTAGAGGAGAATAGTAGCAACTTCGCCAGCGACGTGGGTAAATACGTACAGAACCAAAAGAGAAAGGCAGTCTTTGGCGGTAAGTGATTCCCGAGGGTGTACCCTTGTGAACAGCCCTCTCCCTTGCATACCACGGGCGGAACTGACAGATCTTCACAGCACTGGGGTCGAAATTCGGGTTCTAGGTTTTTTGTTCAAGCGGCCATTTTCTTTTTGCAGGAGGAGTGAATAGACGATCCCCACAATCAAGTTACATTATTCCCAAATTGAAATTACCCCTCCTCAAAATAAACATTGTGGGACTGGATTTTGTGATGTATATAACGTGCTTTGGACGATCCACAGTGATCAAATCGAGAGTGTAGGGAATTATCCATTTCAACACCACATAGTAGAAGAAAAACGGTTCAAACATTCCTGACTGTTGATCATTTTATCAAGGATGCCAATTGCAGGTGATTGACGTTATTTCGAAAGGTCGACTATGTTGACTATGGAGACGAGAAACTCCTACATACTCAACGAAAGGCTTCCGATCTGCAAGTGGCAATGTCAAAGTGAATTCTATTTCGTCGACCCTGATCAACGCCAGTTGAAAATGGTATAGTATGATAAAAAGATATTTGGTCCAGGTGTCATAAACGTAGCATACTGGTTGTCATCATAGAACATTGGGAATAAATGGCAGGCGAAACGCAAGGAGGTTTGAGCTTAGTGCACCATAACCTCCGGTTGGGGCTGGTGGGAGGGCTTGTCGTCGCCCATCTCCACGTCTTCATCGCCCTCACCGGCCTCATCCTCATCCAATTCATCGTCATCATCGTCACTTTCTTCCTCAAGATCCTCACTCTCGCCGTCGGAGATTTCCTCTTCCTCGCCCTCATTACCAGCGGTAACCTCACCACCGCCCTCCATTTCGTGGTCATCACCCTCGTTCTCGCCCTTGTTGGCCTCCTCCAGTTCCTTGACGAGCGCGGCCTCGAGTTCACGCTCCTCGGCACCGTAGGCGTTGCTGTCATCATCCAAGTTGTCCGCCTCGGGCTGGTCAGGGGGTACTCGGCGGGTGCAGACTCCTCAGAATCCCTTGAAAGGAACTGTCAGCAAAGTAAAAAACGAAAAAGATCAATGGGTCGAGTCTTACCACTTGATGGCGAAGCGAGTCACACGAGGCTTCTCAGCGAGGACATTGCGGCGGATGTGCTCGATCTGGGGCTTCGCAGGGGGGTCGGCGGCCAGTTCTTCCGAGTCGTACTCGTTGTTCACGTAGTAGCCCACACGGACGAATTCACGACCGTCATAGCTGCAGGTGAGCAGAATGACGGTGACGCCGAGGACCTCAGAATCGGGGATCCGCTTGTAATCGGGCGCATCGGCCTCGAAAATGAACTTGTTCACTCCGACCGGGATGGGACCGACGAGCAGCGAGTCGAGTTCCTGATCTTGCTCGGAGCTGGGGAGGTCAGTGAGAGGAAATTGAGAATGGTAGGGGGTTTGGCTTACGAGGTGGCGGAACCAACGTACGTGAGTTTCCACTCCAGATCTAAGAAAAATATTAGCAAGGGCGATCGAGGCAGGGATTCATCAGAGGCATACCTTTTTGGAGCTGCTCGAGACACTCGAAAGTAATCTCGAATTGGTAGGAGGAGGAGAAGTGGGCAGGGTTATTGAGGACTTTAACCCCCAGGAGCGAGACGACAGACATGGTGATAGATGTATGCGATTATGTATGGTAGCAGACCGAAGGGGAAAGCGAAGACAATTTATAGGGCAGAGGGCTCGAGTCTGGGGGAGAAACAAACAGCTTCACCGCATGGAATGCGAAGGCGGGGACTCGTCACTTAAGGAACGAGACTAAGGAACTGAGGATCGAGTGCCTTCATGCGAGGAGACGCGCCTTCGCGTCCCTTGCGCGCCCACCGCCCACCGCCCACGTGACCACCGCTCCGTGTGCAGATTCCATTCGTCGTTTCGGGACTTCGTCGTGCTGCGCTGTATTCAGTCTCCGCTGCGCCGGTTACAGTTGGGCTACGATTGGATTACGGCAGCTGGAATTTCCCCTCTCACATCACCTCCCTTTCTCTTTGACCCTCTGCACCTCCCCAATCACCACTCTTGAAGCCTTTAGTCACAGCACCGCGCGCACTGAGTTACTACTCATCACAGACATCGCCAAGTATGGCGGACAATGACGCCGAACAGGCTTTCTTGCAGGCCCAGGCCATGGACGCCGACACGACAGAACCCGTTGCAGCTGAAGAACAAACGGGAAATGACAACGACGATGAATACGACCCCTCAAACACCCTGGACGACCAGTACCAGCTCACACAGGCAGATGTCGAGCAGGACGAAGAAGATGTCGATTCCACCGCAGCTTCAAATCCGGATGAGTCCTCAGACCCGACCACTGACCAAGTCGGTGACGCGCCGGATCCTTCCCAGACCCCCTCACGTGCTGAGTCTCAGCCGTCCACGCCGGTACTACCCACTGGTGCATCGGTGCAGCCCCAGACCAGAACGATCGGGGGATTTGTGGCCGAGGATGAGGATGATGAGGATGACAAAGATGAGGCGGACTACGAGCCGCCGGCTGCATTGGGGGTGGATGACACAAATGCCATGCCTATGACCATGTCTGAAGATCCAAGTTCAGGAAATGCAATTCAAAACACTTCCCCTGATGTATCGTCGCAGCCGCTTTTGGGCTCTGCCAGCGTGCAAGATGTTGCCAATAGTTCTTATTCTCCTGCTCCTGTTCCTAATATTGATCCCTCTGCTCCTGGTCAAATTCAGCTGGCTGTGCATGATGTCAGCACACAGAACAGTACTGTTCCTACCCCTGTACCCGACTCACCCTCTGCTGCGAGAGGCCGTTTGCCTCATGACCGCGTGGGGATCCTGCAAGACAGGATCGACAAGGATCCGCGGGGAGATATCGCGGCGTGGTTGGAGTTGATTGGGGAGCACCGGAGTCGTAACAGACTGGACAGTGCTCGCGAAGTGTACGAGAAGTTCTTGAACCTGTTTCCGATGGCTGTACGCGCATATCATTCCCATTTGACCAAGTATTGTGCTAATCGATGGATATCAGGCCGATCAATGGGTGGCATATGCCACTATGGAGTCCGAACTCAATGAGCTTTTCCGGCTGGAGCAGATCTTTAATCGCACGCTTCTCACAATCCCCAATGTCGGGCTGTGGGGCGTTTACCTGGACTATGTCCGCCGCCGCAACCCGTTGAGCACAGATACCAGTGGACAAGCGAGACGTACCATCTCTTCGGCATACGATCTCGCCCTCCAATATGTGGGCATGGACAAGGACAGCGGGAACATCTGGAATGACCACATCGAGTTTATCCGATCTGGGCCGGGTACCGTCGGAGGTTCTGGGTGGCAGGACCAACAGAAGATGGATTTGCTGCGAAAGGCATACCAGAAGGCCATCTGTGTTCCCACGCAGGCAGTCAATACGCTGTGGAAGGAGTACGACCAGTTTGAGATGGGTCTCAACAAGCTTACGGTATGCCTAATTGCTGACACTAGACAAGAAGCCGCACTAACTTCGATATCCAGGGCCGGAAGTTTTTGCAAGAACACTCGCCTTCGTATATGACAGCTCGCAGTTCCTACACAGAGCTGCAAAACATCACTCGGGATTTGATCCGCACCTCGCTGCCGAGGATGCCTCCCGTTCCGGGATACGATGGTGACGTCGAATTTGCTCAACAAGTTGATATCTGGAAGCGGTGGATCGCCTGGGAGAAAGAAGATCCTCTGGTTCTCAAGGAAGATGACCCTGCTCTCTTCAAGGCCCGCGTGGTATATGTCTACAAGCAGGCACTTATGGCACTCCGATACATTCCTGAGATCTGGTTCGAGGCAGCTGAGTTCTGTTTCTTAAATGAGATGGAGAACGATGGCAACGACCTTCTAAAGCAGGGAATCGAGGCAAACCCGGAGAGTGGCTTGCTGGCCTTCAAGCGCGCAGATCGACTGGAGGTCACCTCGGACTCCGAACAGGATTCAGCCGGGCGCGCCGCTAAAGTGCGGGAGCCCTACGACAAATTACTTGATACTTTGTACGACTTGATTAACAAGGCTCGGACCCAGGAGACCCAGGACGTCTCGCGGATTGAGGAGACCTTTGCGCAGCAGAACCCCGAAGGCAGACCCACCGACAACGAGGACGAGGAAGTTGATCCGGAGATGAAGGAGAGGGAGGCCGCAAAGAATTTTCAGATCGATGCCGTTCGCAAAGCCTACTCCGCCCAGATCACCCTTCTTTCCAAGACCGTGTCTTTCGCCTGGATTGCACTTATGCGTTCTATGCGCCGCATCCAGGGTAAGGGCAAACCGGGCGAGCTGGCTGGTTCCCGTCAAATCTTTGCAGAGGCCCGCAAGCGAGGCCGGATTACCAGTGACGTCTACATCGCCAGTGCTCTCATGGAGTATCATTGCTACAAAGATCCCGCCGCGACCAAGATCTTCGAGCGAGGTGCGAAGCTGTTCCCCGAGGATGAGAACTTCGCCCTGGAGTACCTGAAGCATCTGATCGATATCAACGATATCATCAATGCCAGGGCTGTTTTCGAGACAACCGTCAGGAGATTGGCAGCCAACCCCGAGAACGTGCACAAAGCCAAGCCTATCTTTTCTTTCCTTCACGAGTACGAGTCCCGCTACGGTGATCTGGTCCAAGTGGTCAACCTGGAGAACCGTATGCGCGAACTCTACCCCGAAGACCAATCGTTGGACCAGTTTTCCCACCGATACGCCACACCCACCTTCAACCCAATGACTGCCCGGCCCATCTTGTCTCCCTCGCAAACCAGGCCGAAGTCAATGTATCCCGGGATCGCTCCCGAAGCTCGCAGCTCTCCCGGACCCCAGTTCAAGGATCAGTCTTTGAGCTCACCGAAACGGCCTTACCCTACCGAGGACTTTGACTATGACTCCGATCGCCCACGCAAGTTCGCTCGAGCCGAGTCGCCCCTAAAGCAAGGCCGGCGTGTTGATCAGCAAAAACGAACTCAACAACTCAACGGCCAGGCGTCGACCGGTCACTATAAACCCCAAGGTTCTCCGGCTCCTCTGCCCCGGGAAGTAGTCCACCTTCTCAGCATCATTCCCGGTGCTTCAGCCTACAATATCTCGCGCCTCTCTCCCGAAAAAATGGTTGACCTCCTCCGTCACGTGGATATCCCTGCCTCTACTGCTCAAATCCCACTTCCCGCCAACGCACGAGGTCTCGGAGCATCTCAACAGTCTGGCATGAACCCCTATTCCGGTAAGTCTCGAATGTCACAGTCATCACCCTGCAAAGTCCTCTAACGCCAATTCCCCCAGGTTCCTACCGTTGAAGCCCGATCCTCTGCTGAAATGTTTGCCGCCATTATCTCCTGTGTATAATATCACCATCTGCGATATGAATTTCCCACCTAATCTCCGAGACACGCAAAAACGGTGATTTGTCTCCTTAAGAGATACTCTTTCTTTTTATGCTTCCCAGGATGTGGTGGAAGCTTCCGTGGTTATCCTAGAGCCCGTTGCATCATCGGCGTCTAATTTGCATTCTTCCCTGGGCATCGGAAGCCCAGTCTAGCACTCTCGTGTCTCTACTCCAGCATCCATTTTCTGATGGACGGGTTCCTGGTGCTTTGTACAATTTGTGGCAAGCGCAGATACTTCAATTGAATAATTCCTAAGCTTTGTCATGGCTGTCTTTCCTACTATGGTATTTCTGGTAGACTTGATGTGTACTTCTTTCCAAATTAGTAGAAGTCCGCTATTTCTATAGTCGGCACGTAGGCTAAGACTGAGGTTGAAATGGACATATGGCAGGGCAGTAAATACGAATAGATAGATTAAGCTTGAGGAACCAAAGCACAAGAAAAAAAGAATTCGAGGTAGGCATATGGTGTTTATGATACACGCAAGGAATGATGGCAGGCAGAATGGATACACGATTATGATTGATGCATTGCGACCTCAGGATGTGTGAGAGAAAAATAATACATGAGACGACAAGAGTAGGGTCGAAGTCGGTTGGGTCACGGGCTTGTGACACACCAGATGCCTCTGGCTAATTAATATTGCTCTCTTTCTCTTTTCCAACATCGCATCGACACCAGCGTTGGAGCCATAGTATGATCAGTAGTAGAAAGACGATATCCGTATCAAAGCCACCAATAGTAGTGACTTGCTCATGAAACATCAGGGTCCTTTCCCCGATATGCATAATGAGGAATGGGAATTGGTAAAAAAACCAGTAAAGTATAGATCGTGGAAGAAGAGAAAAAGAATAAAGATTCTTGGAGTTGTCAAATCTTCTCAATGAATAACGGATCATGCGGTCGTGCCATTTGTCATGGATACATCTTGCTGGGAAGGTTCACCATTTCCATCTGCTATATTGGATCCATCGATGGGCTTCATGTCGGCTGATGTGGGATCTCCTGCACCATCGATAGACCCTGAGTTCATATCTCCATCATAATTGAAGTTGGGCATCTCCAGAGCGACACCGCTGTTCTTCTTCGATTTCTTCTTGCTTGGCTCCGAGGCCGCTGCCTTGGCGGCCCCAGATGCGCTGGGCGGCGCAGCCCGTTTTTGGGGACTCGAGGTAGGACCTGAAATGCCAGCCAGAGCAGGAATCTTGCCCGAAGCTGGAAGACGAGGTTTGGCGGCCATGGGTCTTTGCTTAGGGGGAAGCTCGAGATCTTCCACGAGGGGCTCGTCGTTGTTGGCGTCAAGCTTGCCTTTGAAAAATGCCTGAAGCAACCCGATCTGATCGGACACGTTGTCGACCGAGATGCGGGCGTATGCAGGCGGTGTCGGGAAGAGAGTGACCACTTGAGTAGTGTTCGTGTTCTGCGACTGGGCTGCGTTGAACATGCGGTTTTGGAGTAGATGAAGTGGCACGCTGAGGTTGGAGAGACCGAACTCGCGGTCCAGCCCGAGTTCCTTGAATCCGAAGAAATCTTCGTCGATGTCTTCTGCAAAGTCTCCACCAACGAATTGCTCACTCCCATCGTTGAATGCGTTGGAGCCGTCCTCGCCACCATCCGCAAGTGCAGGTCGAAGGAGCTCGGTGAGAAGCGACTTGAGGCGATCGTGAGCAGTGGTGAGCTTGGATCCCAGTCGCTCGATGTCGTCTTTTATATAGGACTCTAGCTCTTCGATATCGATGCCAACGGCACCAAGAGTGTGGAGAACGACTTCTGGCTCGGTAAAGGCAGGTTTCCACTCAGCAGAGGATGTCGCATTTTCCACAGTCGGGACCTTGGGAGCTTCCATATAAGTCTTGACTGTTTCACCAATCTTCTGGAAGAAGTCTGATGCAATATCGGTAACAACCTCGATAGAAGATGGCTGGTATTCCTCGAAGCCAGCATGGTAGAAGATCTTGGCGACAGATCGTTGCAGCGCTGCTCGACAAGTTCCAGGCGCAATGACGGGGCCATTGTCGTTCATGACGTGAGGTGGAACATCCTGTTCGACAAAAGGCTCAGGGCTGTACTTCTGGAATTGATTTTGATACATCTAAACACAAGTTAGCTTGGCTAAACATTCACGACAAGAAAAAGCACATACCTGAGATTGCAGCTGCATCTGCTTCACAATACCAATCTTTGAGCAGATCTTGCGGGTCTCTTGCATTTGGCGCATATTTGAGTTCAACTTGCGAGTCAACTTGCTGTCAGGCTGCGTGAAAGAGCCCTTCGGGAGCATTCTAAGATATTCCTCCGAAGCATCCACCATATTGCCCTGGGCATCTTCCTTCCAGACAAGTCGTTCCGAGAGGTCAGGGACACCAGACATGACGTCGTAGTAGTAGGGAACCATTTTGTCGTCTTCGTCCTCGATGCCTTCAGCAAGGGTCTCGCCAGCAGCTTCAGGCTCCCTCGCCTGAGCCCCGGCGTCGTGTATCTTGCCGCCCTCAAGGGCTGCTCGTTTTTCATGTCGAAGCCACCTGCGCATGCCGGCTTTGGTTCGCAGCAGGGCAGGTTCATCGACGTTGAGCTTGTCACCCTTGAGGAGACGGTGCCGTTCTGAAGCCATAAGAGCACGATCTTTTTTGGTCACTTGCTTCCACACCTTATACTCAGGATCATCTAGCTCTCCACCGGGGCCGGCGAGAGCACTGAGTACGGTAGTCGATGTTGTCGGTCCATCGATATCCATTGCATCTCCCTGCTGACTAGCCGTGGCACCTGGCCCGCCACCTACAGGTTCTGATGGTGTGTGAGACCCGGGGGGTGGAGTGGAGAAGCCATTCTGGCTTGCTTCTATGGCAGTGTCCGATTCTGCACGAACAGGAGCGGGAGGTTGAGAAGAGGGTGCCCCTGGGGGTCCTTCGGAACCACTGGGAGTGCTGCGGGACGGGGCGGTGCCCTTCTTAGAGGATTTACCGGGCGCCTTTCTTCCGCGCGAGGACATTATAGGTTCATCATCACTCTCATCGGCGCCGTCCAGTTCTGCCATCTGCATACGACGTTCTTCAGCTTCAACCTCCGCTCGGTCACGGATAACAATGTCGGGAATCAATGGGACGAGCTTCTCGGTCTCTTTCCGCATATAGAGGGCATGTTTTCGTAAGAAATGTTCGGGGTTGGTGTTATATTTCAAACAATTGGCCCAGATAAGGTTGAGATCATCGACAAAATCCTGCTTGGACCGGTATTGCAACCCTTTGAGCTTCTTCGTCATGCTTCCGAGGTCCATGGGGTGCTTGATGACTGTTTAGAGGTTAGTATCAAGGTTGTCTAAGTAGTGAGTGCAGGAAGCTTACTTGAGTAGTAATCCGGCGCATCGCGCTTGTTGACCCGCGTTAAAAAAGCGGTAGAGTGTTCTGTCATGGCCTTGAGTTCACTCAAAACCTTTTCCGCTGCTTCATAAAGCTCCTCCTGGCCGATTTTCTCTTCGCTTGCCCACTTGCTTCGATTCTTGCGAACCTCACTTAACAAACTTCGAAGTTCCGCGTCGGACGCCTGCACCATATCGCGCTTCTTATCGATCCGAGCAATCAGATTCTTCAACGTCAAACTTGAGGCACCAAGGTTCGTATTGCTCAGCGAGCTATACCCAGCCGAACCACCAGCGGCATTGCTCCCACCAGAAGTAGCTTGACCAGATATCTCAGCTTCGACCTGTCGTTCAGATTCCTCCAATCGCTGTTGATCCAGCATGGCATCGCGATCATTTTCCAAGGTGTAAAAGAGTGTGTGAAAGCTCCGCCTTGCAGCCTCCTCCGTCGCTTTCTTATCCTCCTCGAGTTGTTTCCGAAGATCCTCCAATGTCTCTTTCTTTGGCTCTTTGTTTCCGTCGGCGCTAGTCGATGCTGAAATGTCGGGACGTTGAGCATTTGGTGTTCCGGGACCGAGGTCCTGCGACGGCGGGACGTTGGTTTTCGAAAGCGATTCCGTTGAATCAGCCATATCGGCATCATCGTCCTCGTCATAGTCATCGTAATCGTCGTCGAGTTTGCGGGCGGGTTTCTTTGGCGCAGCCGAAGGAGGTGCCGGCGCATCGACGCATTCAGCTTGGCTCTCGGGCTGTTCGTCGGCGACCGCGATATCGGCAGAATCGTCGGTAGCATAGTAACCAGAAAAGAGCGCGTTTATTTTCGCCTCACTAATCCGATACAAGTCGCGGAATTGGGCAATGCGCGGATCCTCCTCGATCGCGATATCGGGATCCGATGTCATACTACCGGGGTTCGGCCCGTCGGCGCTGACAGAACCGCGTATTTGGGGAGTGCGCGAGCCTGACAATGTCTTTACCAAGCCATTGACAGGGCGCGGTGAGTCCTGGTGCTCATCCGGAGGGCGGACGTTGCCCGGGGGCCAGGCGTTGTGGCCGAGCGACATGCTCGCTCCAAAACCCCAGTTATGGGGCGGGAGAGACTCGATGCTCCACGATTGGGATCACGGGCCGAGAAATCACAACAGGGATGTTTAACGGGGAAGTAAAGGCATGTAGAGAAGCCGCGCAATCAGCCGAAACGATAGGCGATGTTCAAAAGGCCAACGGCGATGGCACGGCGACGACGTTTGATGAAGAAGATGAGGGCTTCTGTAGGGAAGTTTCTCTGGATGGGGATGAAGTAGGGCGTGAAGGCGGAGAGCCGCGGCAGATCGCGAGAACGTCGTCGACGTCGATGACCTTTACTGCCTACGAGCTTGGATCTATACTGGGTGCCTGCTGATTGTTCTTGACTCGGTTATTAGACCATGCATTGAATGTTGAGGCATTGTCCTGGTATGGTTCTTTGGCAACTTACCCCTACCTAACTCCACATATGATGCACAAGGCAGCAGCTGGGGCCAATTGATCACCGCTTTGCTACCTATCGCCAAGCTCCGCTAAGCTGCCTACTGCACCCAAGCTTGACCGGAACACCTTGGAAGAAGCCTTGAGCTTCCTCTCTTACCTCCCGTCATCATGCGCATCCGCTATCCTTTCGCAGGTACATTTGAGACCATGATCACGTCCCGGGCTAAGTGCTCTCAAGCTAACCAACGAACGTACTTTAGGTGCTTTCATCTTCCTCATCATTCTAGCCGGCTATATTGGCCTGCTCCCACATGCCACCTCATCGAAGATCCCCTCAAATCTTCAACCAAATGACAAGTTTCTCCACCTGATTACCTTCTTCCTCTTGTCCGTCGCCTTCTACTGGATCTTGGACACCACCCGCCGGCGCACTCTCCACTTGACTCTGATTGTCTGCACCCTCGGCCTCGGTGTCGGCTCTGAAATCGTCCAAGGATTCCTGCCGAATGGTCGAGAATTTGACCCATTTGATATCCTCGCCAATGTGGTCGGCAGCCTCGGCGCCGTTGGTCTGTGCGGCTGGTATCACCGCCGCATGCTGGAACGTCGCCGAAAGAACCGTTTCGGATTGATGGAGGATGGCGATGGCGACGTTGAGCTTGGTGTCGGTGTTGGGGGCCATTCTACACGCGATGAGGAGGGACTGGGCCCACAGGAGTCCGGTGTTATGAACCTGGAACAAGAAGTGGATAACTGGGACGAAAATGCCGCCGACAATTGGGATGACGACGACGGACCAGGACCTTCCGAGCACGATGACTCCCCTCCGAGCTACCAGGAGGGCCATAAGGCTAGCATTGGCAGTGCCGGGCCCACAGCCGGAGAAGCTGCCGGGAAACGCGCTGACTGATGGCCCTTTACTCAAACTAAGTGTTTCATGCGCTCCCATAGCCAGATTTAGCCGTGGTAGCCACATCAAAACGTCTTATGATTATGGACTGACGCATCGATGGATCTCATGTTGGAAGTATATCATTCGTCTCGTTCGAGGTTTATGTTCCGCAGCGCTTTTGTTCTTTTCTTGTTTAATGAGCTTTGCAGCGCTTTCCTTCTGAATATTGAGGGAATGGCAGAGATGGCCGGGTTTGTCTTGATTTTTAGTGCAATGGTTCTGGGACAAGTGAGATTTTATCTCTTCGGGGAGACTGTACAGACAAATCCACTCAATCTAATGACTCTTCGACGACCGAATAAGCTACATTATCATAGGTCCATGGGTGCCTTACAAAAGATCCAGAGACTGGAAGCCGGTTTATTGTATGTTGTCACCGAACAGTCGATGGTCTAGTTTATGTCAAGATAGACATGTTTAAGTTGCTCTTAGTTGAATGATTGTCCCGCCCTCGGCTCTTCTAATGGGGCCAGTATAATCATCATTCGAGGATTCGGTAGTATACAGCACTTCTAGGGCAAAACTAAGCAACTCCAGTCAACGGGCATAGAACTACATAGGGCGAAAAGGACATCAAACAAGGTGACCATGCAAAACCGGGGGTATTTCAAAAAAAAAAAAAATGGTAAAAAGGCTGCCGGCGTGCTTCAGACGAGCATGGAGGAAGAAAACAAAACGAAAGACAGTCTGCTAAGCATGGGAGGAAAAAATTCAGCAGAACGCAAACACCAAATGCCATGATGGGATGCATATGAAAAATGAGATCAAATAACGGTCAAGGGGCTCGTAAACAAATCGTGGCGGGGAAGAATGGGATTCAAGAAATCGAAGCAAAAGACGCGCGCGCCGAGACAAAGAGACAAAGACATCGCCTCTACTCATTATCGGAGACCTCGGGCGTTCCGGACCAGCTTCGTGTCGGAGTTGGAACTCGGTCTGAGGTGGCCTCCAGTTCGGGCTTTGACGCAGGCTGATAATCCGCCTCGTCAGCCAGCTTGGTCATCTTTGTAGATCGCTCGTCGGTCTGGCTGCCGGGTGACTCGACATCATTGGGCTTCGAAATCTTGCCCAGCTTGGTATCAGCCTGCTCTCGAAGCACCTCGTAGATGAACTGCATCTGCATTTCGTTATATACCATCATCATGCGTTGTTCGCGCATTTGATTGACGGTTTCGAATACGGGGTCAATCTCCGGATCGTCAACCTGCAGTAACTGGCCCGACTCAAGCTCGCGCAGGAGATGGTCGAGCGCAATAAAGGTTCCTGTGCGGCCAACACCCGCGCTGCAATGCACCACACGTGGGTTGTCCGAGCTGCATTTGGAGGCCGACAGATTGATCAAATCAAGCAGCGCCTGGCGGTCGCTTCCTTCGGGTTTAGAGTAGTCCGCCCAGCCCGCGAAAAGGAAGTGCCACACGATCTTCGACTCCGAGCCGATGGTGAGCTCGAGTTTACGAATCTCAGAACGTGACTTGCTATCAAAGGTCGTCTCTAACAGGGTAACTTTGCCCCAGACGCCGCCATCTTCCTGTTGGCCATTCTTGTCGCTCGAAAAGGAGTCGAATTCACTTTTTGATAGGACCATCGAGGCCTGCTCCGAGTCCAACGGAAAATATTGAGCGCATTTCTCCCGGCCAGCTTCAAAAGTCTGAGTGAGCATAACGATGACGCCGACCTCCTTGCTCTCATGAAAGACCATGTGCCAAAAATGTGCGAGATTCCCATGTTTGGGACCCTAAGTCACGCTTAGCAAAAGGTATGATAGCATTAAGGATATCGAATGCTCTGTCACCTACCTGCGTCGCAATATACTTCCGCTCTTCCTGCGTGATCGAATCTTTAAGGGTGATCGGCGAGGCGTTGATGAAATCACACTCGCCTTCAGGTACCCGCAGATGGATTCGGCAGTTCGCCCATGCCTGCACGTTGATGTACCGATTCCTCGCCTTGACCTTGGGATCGGCCTCGAGCGCGTAGGGGTGAGAGGGATCGTTGGAGAGCAGACCCTCGGCCATGCGCGACCTCTGCATCCATTCTAGGTCCTCGAATTTGTCGTGGATCTCTGCAACATACCAGAGCGGTCAGTCAGACTATTCCCACGTGCAGGTGGTATTCTCCGATAGGTGAATGCACCCCTCACTCACCCGAAACTGATTGGCATAGGAACGGCGGTACGTCGTCCGTGTTTCCAGCTTCCAACCTGGGATTTCCCTGCTCACTAATATCGAGGCCCGCATCGCCGTCCGGCAGCTCGCGCTTGGTTGCCGGGACGCTGGTATCGATCTTGATAGCCGGATGCGCCATCTTGGCGGCCGCGATCCTCTGGAATGCGCGAACCTTGCCGATCACACCGCGCGCTTTCCTGGAGACGACCTGACTCTTAGAACGTTTCTTCGCGCCGCGCAGGTCAGGATCGGGCGACGGCGAGCGAGACGGTTCAGTGCTGGCTCCCCGGTCAACAGTTTCGAGACGGTAGATGGCGGCGGATACGGAAGAAATCTGCAGCGTTGACAGATCGGGACAGCTATTGAAGCTGTCCCGGGAAGACGTGTTCAAGGCCAGATTTTTGATGATCGCGGGGGTAGGACGTCGAGCGAGAAGGAGCAGAGCGTCGCAATAGCGAATCGTGTGACCTCGTATAAGGCGAAAACGCCAACAGATGAACCGGCGGGGACTTCGGAGGCTGACACTCTCCCAGGGTAGAGGGGCCAAAAAAAAAAAAAAAAAAAAGGAAAGTTGCAAGAAAGTAGGACGGACGGACGGGCGCGAAGAAGGGAAATCCCGAGGTCTCCGCCACCCAAATAATAATTAACGAAGAGCCGAGTATACCTTAGGGTATAGTATTTCGATAACCGTGGAACAGCCCGAAAACGGCTCCTATTATTAAACTCCGCCCCTGTTCCTCCGTTTTTGGCACCGCCGTTCGGATTTGTACTGCCTTTGCTTTTACCGCCCCGGCCTCTATAAACGCTCTCTTAGCTAGTCCACCCTTTCTTTCCCCCCCTCCGTCTTCTTTTCTTGCGTGCACTTCCATATTTCCAAATCGCCACTTTCTCAATATAAATTCTCTTATCTCCAAGACATGACGTAGGGCCGGTGGCCAAAGATCCCCAACCACCATGAAACAAGACACGTTCCAGGGCCCAAAGAGACAACTATAACCGGTTCCAGTTGAATTTCTAGAAAGGACCCGATGTCGCAAGAACGTTTTGTGTCATATAGTTTGTGTTCTTACCTAGCTAGCCTTTTCAGTCGAAGACTGACTGTTCATTTGCTGCAATTCTACACCTTCTGGAATTGAGAGACATTTCAAACATGACAACGTTCATTATCTAAATTTTCCACATGTTACATAAAAGTTGCAGAGTTGAACCTAGGGCCTCAATATGTTAAGCGCTCCTCCAACCAGATGTAAGCTACCAGTAACAAAAGCTTGCATGCCGCCGTGCTGAGCACCTATTCGGTCCGCCAACTTTACGGCGCCCTCAATGGTTGGCTCAATCGATACTGCAGCATTAGCATCCTGCTCCTTCCAAAATGAAGAGTACATCGAGCAGAGGTCCGGAAAAGGTGTCTCTGGAACCTTGAGTGTTTTATCTGACATGGCAATGGTTAGCTCAGCACCTAAATATGGCTGTTTTTGAATTTCACCTATTCTTGTGGTTCCATCCTCTCGCTCTTGATATGTGGTGAAGATAACATGGTCAGGCATCACTTTATGCTCCGAGAGCGCAGATGCCAAGCATTTCACAAGATCCATCCCGTCGCGCCCTTCAGAAAAATGACTGAAGATAAGAACCCGACATCTGCATCGTACGCCCCTTAGTAAGTCAAAGATGAAGCATGAAGGAAGTATACTTACCTCGGCGTATCAGTGGCCCTCACGTTTTGTGCAAACCACTCCGCTACTTGCTCGAGACTCAGCGGGTTGTGCGCTCCATCCAGAAACCACTGTGAACTCCCCCTTTCAATAACCTCGAATCTCCCAATCCAGGAGAAATTTTCAACGCCAGCAGCTATGTCCTCAGATGACATGAAAGGGCCTGAACTCTCAGGGCTTTTGAGCTGCAAGAACTTTTCTGTCATCTGGAGGGCCAAAGAGCAGTTCAACCGCTGTACTGGGACACCAATCGCCCTACTATTTTCCGGAAGGGCACTGGAAGGCGAGACAAAGGTCACCTCGGTCTTCTTCTCGATGGCACGCCGCCGTAGAACTTCAGTAGGGCCAGCCTCCTGAATGGCAGAAAATGCAGGTGCCCCGGCCTTGAATATACCGGCCTTGTGCCAAGCAACATCGTCGAACGTAGGACCCAGTTGGTCAACGTGGTCCATACCAAGGGACGTGATTCCCGTCACGACTGGCTTCGAAATCACGTTTGTAGCATCATACTCTCCGCCGTGGTGAGTCTCAAAGATGGCTGCATCCACTTTCTCCTTGATGAATGTATGGAAAGCCAGCAGAAGAAGAAGCTGCAGGTACCGGGGTTGTCTTTCAAACCCCGTGAGTTGATGTAAGTCGGGCGGCGAAAGACGTTCCCATACTTCAAAGAAATAACGTGTGAAGAGATCTTCCGTGATGGGTCGACCACCAATCTGGATTCTCTCCCGAATACATTGCAGGTCGGGGGAAGTATATAGCCCGATCTGTTTTGGGAATCCCGTTCTCAACCCATGCGCGTGAAGGAAGGAGCGAGTAAAGGCGCAGGTGCTCCCTTTGCCTTTCGTCCCGGCCACGTGTATAATGTTCAGATTATTGACATCGTTTTCCTAGTCCTAGTAAGCATGGGCATGGTATTTAAGGGGACATAATTTGGTATCCTTACTGAGTGTCCTAGCGCGTGCAGCCATTCCTTCATTCCAACCAAACTAGGCACGCCCTTCACGGTGATCTCGCCGCTAGGAGTTGCAGAGTCAAGAGCCGAAGGGTGCTTCGCCAGGAGTTTTGGTCGGGCTTTTCTTCTTCGTGATCCCAGAATTTTCAGCGCATTCTGTGAATGTCAGATCAATGGCCGCTGTACGCTGAGCAGAGAGAACAATTACTTCGTAGGTACGCTTCATTTTGCTCAATATATCACAACAAGGCCCTGTGTAAAGGCGCCGTACAGAACATTGATATTGACGAATCAATATATCCGGATAATTCCCGTCCCGGACTGTTGGGTTGGGCACGCAGTCGGAGTGAAGTCGAGGGGGCGCCTAACCTGTTCGGGCCTGCTGACCAAATCGGTGACCCACAGGCCTAATCAGGAAGGCATCCATCAACACCTCAGGACTCAAAGACCCCATGGCTTCTTTGAAGTTGCTGTTTTTCCCAGGGTGCACTTTGGTATTACCGGTCAGAATTATTCTCGTAATATGGGATCCATTGATTGATAATCGTAATGGGAAGTATCCGCTATTTCAATCACTGGATGTTGCACCACGGCAAGAGGGACGATGCAAGCAATTCGGCGATGCTCCGGGCTACTTCTATTTCTGACTGACTGAGACACTCGGTTCCGAACTCCTTGAGAAGTAATTGCGTCCTATCCTCAAGTGCGAGTGAAGCCAATACCTGGTCCTCTTTCACTCCACTACCAACCTCTCAGTGCTGCTATCGGGGGGTTTTCTAACATTGAAGTTAGGTATCTACCTTGATAGCATATCCACAAAGAGAAGCATATTCCATTCCCAAAAGCTACAAATTTATTTTGAGGCTAGCGCAACAAGCGCCAGGTTTAATATTCATCATACTCAACCAGACTGGCACTAGCCATCCACCTCTACTCCGGAAGGCAACATAATGTGACCGGATGTCCACATTCTGGTTATCTTCGAGGATCAAATCGTTGTCCGAATGATCGTTTACGTGGTGACGGTTTTCTCAAGTCACACACGGTTGTAAAGGTTGCATCGAGGAACGCGAGCGAGCAATAAGATGAGGCTCGCGGTTGCATCACGAGTGGAAACCACCCTAAGGCGGCCTCGGCTGTAAGCCGACGCGAAGTGGAAGTTAGATGTGCGGGTCGTGGAAGACGCCGAGTCGCGGTTGAGTGAGGCGATTGAAACGGCCTCCACCATTTTGCTACGTAGGTACAATGTAGATAGAAAGGGAATGTCGGAAATAGAAAGTGGAAACCGGCAACCAGAAAGCGGAAACCGGATCTGAAATAGAAACAAAGTATATTGTGATTCCACGGTTATTGGCCGCAGTCAGCTTTGCCACTCGCGAACTGAGCTGGTTGCGGCCACTGCGTTGAAACTGGACACTGAAACGTAAACTTCCAGGAACCGGTGAATATTATTGTTCCTGTTCGATTCCAAGGTTCCATCTCCCCACTCTTTGGATCCCGCGAATCGTTGAATCCACTTGTTCCCGAAGCCGTGTTTTGCATCTATTTTATCGATAACCCCCGGTGTTTGGAGGCGATCGCGGGGGAAAAGATATCCTTCCCGTCGCGCATCCGCATCCCTTCTACCATATCAACACGCCCTCTGGTTTCGACTTGGATGACGGGCTCCGTTCGCGACGGGTGTTGATCGCCCTTCACTTTTGTTACAGTTTCGCGGGTCATGATCACGCGCGAAATGGTATCCCAAGCTCAAATCCTCGATCGCGCTGCGCCGCTACAAAGCGCCCCGTCCGTCGTGTCGCGACAGTCGCACTCGGGCCGACGACATCGCTCGGGTCGCTCTCACCATGGCGGCCCTCTCAGTTCCTCGTCGAACGATTTCCCCATCTTCACATACACCGGCGATACCGAGGTTGTCATCCGCGCCGGGTCGCAAGAGAAACGATACCTCCTCCATCGACTGATTCTGGCGCAATGCTCGGGATTCTTCGAGGCAAGCACAAACGAGGACTGGACCCGTCAGAATACATCGGCGGTAGGCGCGCCAAAACCCGACGGGACATTGTCTCGACTGAGCGAAGAAGACTCGTTGTCTAATGGATCCACGCTGGCGCAGTCGGAAACCGGAGGATCGCTGGTACGGCCGGGAGAAAAGAGACGGTGGAGGTATGAGCTGGATTGGGAGACTCGTGCGGAGGACGAGGAGCCGATTCTGGTACAAAAGGTTGGTCTCTTACTGGAAAGCAGTCGCCCTAATCTACGTGCACATCGAGCTAATAAAGGCCCCCTTACAGCAACCGACCTACGCTCCAATGTTCAATGGCGATCAAACCGCATTCCCTCCGACGATGACGAAGCCGTCCAATGCACAGGCAGGCTTTTTTCGGTCCATGGCGAACTTGACAGGAATGCAGTCGGTCGTTCATCTTCCCTCGTCCGGGGGTGACGGCCAGGGCGTTGTCAGCCCTTTGATACGCGACTATGAAAACCTCTTCCGGATCTTCTACAACCACGCCCCGGCCCTCAACAGCGTCAACATTGCCTCTGCCTATACAGAGTGCAAGTCTCTACTCGCACTAGCAGATATGTATGACGCACTGCCGGTGACAGGTCCGCGCGTAGACCACCACCTATTGGGATTCGGTTCGCGCCTTTTTAAGCAAATCGCCAAGTACCCGCCCAGCTACCTCAAACTCGGGTATCTGGCTCGCAGCCGGGTCATCTTCTCTGAAGCCCTGATCCATGTTGTGGGCCAGTGGCCCTCGGCCTTGCCAAACCTACGCAGCGGCACATACGCTCCTCTTCCAAACTCCGTCCTCGATCTAATCGAGGACAAATACGAGGATCTCGAGGACCTCAAGGCCCGCGTCGAGTCCAAACTCCTCCGCCTATCCCTAACCACCTCGCGCGGCGAGCGCGTCGGTCCCTCAAACGCCTACCTGGACTGGCTTGCAGTCTCATTATTCCGCCAGTGGCTCATTGAAAACACCACACCACCGCCAGCTCCTATACTCAAGAACTCATCCAATAGTGCTCCGCCAAACGGGCAAGGATCCCAAACAACCTCCTCGAGGCCAACTGCTTCGCCCGATCCAACAGCCCGCGTCTATAGACTCGTGGGATCATCCTCTTCACAAGCGTATTTACCTCATGACGAACTCAAACGATTCCTCAAGCTCCACCCCACCCCCTCCTCCGACTCCCCATACAGCCGCGAGACTTTGAAACGCTTCGAGCGCAAAATGGACGAGATCAAACGGCTAGCCCGCGAGATCGTCAAACCGTTGATGCGGAACTTCCTCGAGCTCGAAGCAAAGAGTAGCAGCGAACATGCGAATAGCAACACTACCGTCCAAGAGAGCCCGGGCTTGCCATACTTGACCTGTACACGCGTCGAAGAAGCCGACCTGCCCTGGAGCTGACCTAGTGAGTTGAAGTTTTGATCCGTTTTCTTTGGTGCCTTGCATTTCTCGGGCAGCTGGTTCTGTCTGGGATTGGGTCGGCTGTACTCAGACCCCTGTTTTTCTGCCATCTTTGCGCGATGATGTGATGTTTATTTGATTGATGCCTACTATTTTACCAATATCTACAGTTAATGTGTCGACGATTTCATGAATATGCTTTTCATTTTTCCATTTCCCTATCCAGGTGCTGACACTAGAGAATTGCCATGTAAGGTCGGTGGGCTTGCGTATGTCAAGATAGCAATAGAATCCAAGTTGATCATGAACTATGTATACACGTCACCCGGGGAAGTATTCTACAGTAATATACATGGCAGGGAAGAGTAGAGACGTCTGTTGCCAGCCTCTACTCCTGCTTTCCAATCGTCTCCATCCCATCCATCCAGGGCCACAAGACTTCCGGTACGACCACGACACCACGCTCGGCATCCCAGCCGTTCTCCAGAATAGCAGCCAACACGCGCGGAACAGCCATTGCAGTGCCGTTCACTGTATGCGGGAATCGCGAGTCCTTGACAGCACCGCCGCGCACGCGAGTCGCGAGACGCCGGCTCTGGTAGTCCGTGCAGATAGAAGCGGAGGTGACCTCACCCCAAGCCGATTCTAGTCTTTGCACGGCCGGATCGACAGTAGAGGTGGATTCCTCAGTCCCGGGGCGGAAGCGCGAGGGAAAGAGGGCCTCGATGTCACGCTTGCGGGTCGCGCTGGCGCCCAGGTCGCCGGTAGGCATTTCGAGCACGCGGCAGGGGAGGTGGAGCGATGTCAGGATCTCGGTCTGCATCTCTAGAAGCTCGGCGAAGAGGTCATAGGAGGCCTTTGCGGCCAAGTCAACATTATCTGCCCACCCGAATAGCTCGACCTTGGTGAACTCGTGCACGCGATACAATCCCTTGGTGTCGACACCGCGCGAACCAGCCTCCGCACGGTAACAGCGGCTAGCACCGACCAGCTTGAGGGGAAGATCTTTGGCATCGATGTCACGGCCAGCGTACATCGCCGCGAGGGGGATTTCAGCAGTGCCCGTGAGTGAGCGGGGCGGCTTGTGGTCGCGATCGCGCTCATTCTGTTCGATCGACCAGATCTGCTGTTCGTTATGCTGGTCTCGAGGCTGGAAGCCGCACGCCTCGGCGATGTAGGAGTAGACGATTGATGGCGGCGCGACGGTTTTCCAGCCGCGGCGTCGTGCCACGCTCAGCGCGTACTGCACTAGCGCCTGCTCCAGCATGGCTCCCTCGTTTATGAGGAAGTACCATCCCCATCCGGTTGTTGTGGCCGAGCTGGTGAAGTCGATCAGGCCCAGCTCGGTGCCGATTGTGACGTGCGACCGCGCTCGGAGCTCGACCGGTGACTGGCTAGTCCATGCCGGAGGGGCTTGCGGGTCGAAATTGAGGTAGTTGATCAAACGCGGGTCATCTCCGACAGGGGTTTCGGAGGATGAAAGGTTCGGAAGGGACAGCGCTAGCCGGTGGATGTCCGAGTCGCAGATCGACTTGCGCGCGGCCATAGCAGCAGACTCATCTTTCAGTTGCTGTGCCTCCGATTTAAGCCCTGCTAATTCCTGAGATGTATTACCACCATTGCCTCCCTCCTTGGCCGTATCCTGCCGAGCTGCAATAGACAGCTTGGCGATCGTTTTCTCCAGCTGCTTGATTCGGGAGCGCGGGGTCTTCAGATCGTGATCGAGCTGCTTCGCTTCATCGTACAGGGCCTGTATCCTCGACGGGTATTCGGCGTGGCCTGCGTAGTTTCGGTCGACGCAGTTTTGCGCGTAGAGATCGACATTCTGGCGGATGTGTTTGACGTCTGGCGTGGGCTTCGGAGCTGTCGCGGGTCGCAGGATCTGGGGGTTTCGCGGGGTCACCGAGAACCTGCGACGGAATGGCAACTGTGATAAACCATATCGAGGAGCTGATCTGCAATTGAAGCAGATGTAGGGGTAGGAGGCCGCCATGGGCAAAGCGTTGAAAAGAGAAGCGTTCGAGGTCCGCACAGGAAGTGGATCGTCCGCGTGGGTCCCGCTCTCATGATCCTCCCACTATACTAAACTATACTCTACTTGAGCCTTCGGTTTTGTTTTTCTTTTGCATTGCAGAATATATTCTCCCGAGGATTCCTCCTTCGCTATTCAATCATTACAGCCGTTTCTCATTCTAGATCCATAGATTGCTGTAAGATCAGATCCTTCATTCGATTACCCCCCGGGCCTCAGAGTCCCAACTTATGCTTTTTGATTCTGGCACCGACTCCCGACAAAGTGATGAGAAGGGTGATGAGAACTGCCCAAGTCGGAATACCCAAAACCGCTAGGTTGTAGTCGGTCCGCGTCGCCGCCAGAACAGTCGCACTCTCCAGCAATAGCAGAACATATCCGGTACACCGATGGTATTTGTAGATCCGCTTACCGGCGTCGACGCTTCCCAGAACAGTGACGGGTAGAAAGAACTGAACGACCCCGACTAGGGCCTGTAGCACGATGAAGATCACCGTGAGAAGACCGAGGATGCCGTGAGGGGAAACAAAGTGCGGGTGGTCGCCTTTGTTAACTTCGATGACGGTAAAGGCACCGAGGAAACACACGACGTTCACTAATTGGATGCTGCTGTGGATGCGTGTGCCGAGTAGTTTTTGCTGGGGGGTTACAGTTGGCTGGAGGACGAGCGCAGCCTGGATTTGGAGGAGTAGACCGGAGGTGGCGAGCAGCTGGGAGAAGTCGTGGTTAGATACAGATTACAAGCGTGTTTTTCGAAGGAAATGAAAATACCGGATGAGCAGTGAAAAGAGCCACGGGTTTTGTCAAGACGTTTGACCAGACGAGTGCGACCAACTTCCCCCCGTGTTAGTTATCTGGTTTACACTCTGCGACGTATCTTGTCAAATGCAAAGTGAAAGAAAAGAAGTACTTACAATGCACACCCCAGCTTGAGCTACATTCGCGGTTCCTGCGATCGAGTTCGCGGTGAGTGACCGTCAAAAGGCTTCCGGGGTTTCAATTCACCTGAGATGAGATTGCGGGCGATGCTCTGATCCTGTTTCTGTGTGACGTCGCCTGGGCGGCCAAGAAGAGGCGCGGCCTCCTCGGAGACAATCGTATCTGGATGAGCCTGCGGTATTCCCGTGGCAGACGCCATTCTCTCTGCTGATACCGATGTTACGGTCCGAAGAGGGGGAGAGTGGCGAGCTTGGGATTTAATCGAACACGCAGACCGAGTGCTTGGATTTTATTAATATGCAAGCATTACCAATATCGATGCGGAATGATCCCATACCAGTACTGTAAGATCGAGCTGTACTCCAACTCGATTCGCCGATCGTCGATTGCAATGACGAGCGAGTCCATGGGCAACCTCGGCAATGTGGAGCAGATCACGCCAGCTCGCCAGTCAACTGGCAGCGTTGCCAATCGCGCTGCTCATCTTGGGGGCGGGCATTCTACTCTCGTATAACAGGATTGGATGAGAATCGGCTCACAATATTTTCGTAGGAACGTGTACACTATCTCTACCACGGCATTTTCAAGACGGGCCCCTCCTCCCCGGATCCCACCCGACCAAACACCACCTCGGCGCTTACATTCTTCGCTTCCAAATTCATCACGATGTTAAACAAGGAACTGCTCCGGTTCGAGATGTGCCGCGACGGATCCTCTTCGCAACAAATAGCCTGCGGAGCATTGAAGGTATCTGAGAAGATCCGGCCCCTTAGGAGAGACGGCGTAATAGCATCGCCCTTGATACCCTTCGAGATCAATCCTTGTGTTAATTCACCCAAGCGTTTGAGGCGGATCGGGGATCCTGATAACCACGGTGGCTCATCCACGTATCGGTTCTCAATGAAATGGTTGGTATGACCGACAAGGCCTGATGCATCTTCAGGGAGGTACTTGTTGCCTACTGGTGATAGTTCCAGTCCCAAAGCCGTGGTACTATCCGCGATTAGGATGTGCTGGGCAGATGCCACCCCGCCGAGCAATTCGAGGGTCTTTACAGCAGCTTCCGCGGAGTCGCTTTCAAGACATAGTCGGAGAGCGATATGAATCGGGAGTTTGCTGCTGATCATCGGTTTAGCGCGAATGGCATTCAAGCAGGTTCCAACTCCGGCGGTATTGAATCCGATTTTGCCTACTATACCTGCCTAGAAAATGAAGCGATTTGGCGTGAGCGTACGTAGACGTTGAGAAAAAAAAAAAAGGTATATCTCACCTCGGTCACCATATAGATCGTAGGCTTCCCCGTCTGCTCGATGGAGACCATGGCCAAGTTCTTCTTCACCGTTTGGGTCCAGTCCCAGTTCTGGGAAAGAACTCGCGCATTATCGTTCTTCTTCCAGCACAACGTAGTGCAGCCGTCGGAGAACTTTCCCAGGGCAATCTCGCTGCGGCAGTTGAGAGCCACGATGTCGAGGATGTCGAGTTCCGCTCCCTCGGCAATTCCCTTCATCTCGGCGTACAGGTGCGGCACCATCCTCTCGAGATGCGGCTGAAACTCCTTGGCAACTTCGCGCACTTCCGGCCATGATAGCTTTGAGGTATATTGAAACATGGTGTCGTAGATGCTGATTTGGCTGCGGATCTGATCTCGCAGAGATCTTCCATGGCCCACACCGATCTGTTAGGGGTACACTGAATAAGCTCTCTTTTCTCAATGAAATTCTGATTTATAAAAAATAGAAATGTACCTCGCGGGGACTGCCCACCAACGTGAGCTTGATCGGCTCCCCATTATTGGTCATTTTGATAGTACGACCGGAGCCACCCGGTCAAAGCTAGTCAAAGATGATTCAAGTATGAGATTTCAGGACCTGCCCAAAAACTGACAGTCAATGTTCCGGTCCAAACCTACGGACCGGGCTATTCCGTTGCGGAAGCGACTCTTTATCAGCCGCAGAAACACGCTCCCCTCAGTTGGAGTCATGCGGGGTATAGCCGAGAGATCGCAATGACCTGCCCAATTGGCCGTGTCGGCAGTATCGGAGGCGTCCTCGGAAAGGGAAGGTCAATGCTATCGAGAAAACTAACTGGTCAGATTGGTATCTAAACGAAGGTGGCCAACTAATCAGAGCTCTCTAAGGTTTGGTGACAGCTACTCCAAAGACCCCAACCACCGAAGCCGAGGTCTGCGCCTTCCAAAAAGTTGGAGTTATGTTTATTAGTCACAGTTCGGACGTGATCTATTTATGCTTTACCAAGTGCTTGAATAGCTTATCCAGATAGTAAGCGGATTGCTTTGGATAGCGCGTCTTGTCGTCGGACTCAAAGTCGATGAACGTGCACCCAAATCGATCCGCATAGCCGGCAGCCCATTCTATCACCGGTCAGCAATGGCATCAAGCAGAGAGGAACTACTTACCCCAGTTGTCAGTAAAAGTCCATGCAAAGTACGACCGAATATCTACGCCGTCTTCTTTGACAGCTCGAGCCAACGCGTTACCCACATAGCCCTCGAAAAAGCGAGTCCGAAACTTGTCATCAAGAACGTCCGGCGTTGGGGCCACTTCCCCTTTCGCGGTAGTGCCGTTCTCCGTCACATAGATTGGCATCTGGTAACGATCATAGATCCAATTCAACAATTTCCGGAAACCCCAAGGTGCGGCTCGAAGCCACTCCGTGTCAGTTTCCTCCCCACGAGGCACACCATTCTTATTTTCATCATGAACCTCCACATTCCCCTTGTGATCATTGATATCCGGCGGTGTCGTCGTGTGCTTCATGAAGAAAGTCGTATAGCTATTCATCCCATAGAACTCGGAACTGCCTAGCACGAGCTTCGACTCTTCTGCAGTGAACCGTGGCAATCGATCGCCAAGCTGCGCTCGCATTGACGCGGGGTAGTCCCCCGTCTTGTATACCGGGTCAGCGAACCAAGAAATCTCAAACTCGCGCGCCCGTTCTGCGGCCGCTTGGTCACGCGGATCATCTTCGTCCCAAGCCTCGGACCAGTTACCGTGGAGCGTTATTCCAATCGTGCCCTTCTGATGTGGTTGGAATTCTTCACGGTACATGCGGGACACATGGCCGTGGGACACCAACTCCGTGTGCGCCACGATAAATGGCTCCGTCGACGAGTCTCCTTCGGCATTGCGTTCTCTGAAGGAAGATCGACCGGGTGCATGTACGCCGGCTGCGTATCCGGCAAGTGTATACACACCAGGCTCGTTGTACGTGATCCAGTGCTTGACTCGATCGCCGAAGCGCTCGAAGCAGACTCTTGCATACCGCACAAAGTCAGGTATATAGGCATCCTGGTTCAGCATTCCTCCGTACCGATCTTCCAAAGCCTGCGGGGTGTCCCAGTGGAAGAGGGTGACGAAAGGTGTGATACCATGCTTAAGAAGCTCGTCAATCAGGTCGGAGTAGTATTGAATGCCCTGTTCGTTCACGGGGTCGTCGCAGCCTCCAAGGGGTATAATGCGTGACCAAGCCAATGAGAATCTGTAGGCGTTTACGCCATAAGTCTTCATCAGCGCTACATCTTCGCGGTAGAAGTCGTAGGCTCGCACAGCGTCATCTGGGGTGCTCCCGTCGGAGATTTTGCCTGGGGTGTGGGCGAACGAGTCCCAGATCGAGACGCCCTTGCCATCTTTATTCCATGCGCCTTCAATTTGCGCTGCGGCGGTGGCATATCCGTGGTAGAAGTCAGGACAAAGAACTCCTTCCAGGTCTTGAACCGATTTCATGTCCATAATCGAGATTTTATTATTTGATCTTGATGGCAATAGCTAGCGCAGAAAACTTTTGAAAAGACGAGCTATCCGGCCAAGGTTGTATATTTTTCCTGTGAGGATTCCATTTATCCAGCGTCCGGGAAAGACGGGGCTTGCTCCGTGACTCTTTGGCTCTTTAGGGAAAGCCGAGCGGCAAGGATAGTGCGGAGCTGTGGATAGCTAGGATTCGCCGGTCTAGAACTAAGTACGGAGTAACTGACAATCTAATTCACGAGGATACGTGTACTGCTTTATTCTCTTGTATTATACGGAGCCGGAACTATTATGCATTAATTACATGGATTCCCAGGTAGCCACCGGCATTCTTAATCCTCACCCTGCGGCCATCTTCACCGGGAAAACAGATAGTTGTCTCCTTTCCTCGCGACATGACCATCACCTGACCAACAATACACCCATTTTCCCAACTGAATTCTAGTTCAAACCCACCGCGCGCTTTTACCCCGCGGATGGATCCTGTCCAACCCTTGGGACATGCGGGAAGAAGCCGGATCAAACCAGGCTCGTGCGATTGCACGAGCATTTCTACAATACCTGCTCCCCCGCCAAAGTTGCCATCTATTTGGAATGGAGGATGACTGTCCAGCATATTGGGTAGCGTAGAATGAGCCAAAAGCAAGTCCAAGTGCTTGCTGCAATCTTCAGCTTCGAGCAAGCGAGCGTGCAAATTGATCAGCCATGCTCGACTCCAGCCTGTATGACCACCACCGTGTTCGGCTCGTCTGCGGAGTACTACACCACAAGCCTCTGCCAAATCGGGCGTTGTCGTTGGCGTTATGGCGTTGCCCGGATAGAGCGCCCACAGATGCGAAGTATGGCGATGCCCCGGCTCAACCTCATCGTAGTCCATAGCCCACTCTTGTAAGTATCCAGAATCGCTGATTTTCATAGGTGCGAGACGATCACGGATCGTACGAACTGACGGTAATAGAGCATCCATCACCCCCAGTTCATTTACAGATGATTCAAAAGCATCCAGAATAGCACGGACAATTTGGATGTCGATTGTGGATCCTTCACATAGCACACCCTTTTGTCCCTTGTCGTAAAAGGAGTTTTCTGGGGATACGGAGGGACTCGTGGTAAGGTATTCCATCGTTGCATCCTCAACCAAGAAATCAATGAGAAATTCCACACATCCTCGTAGAATGGGGAACATTCGTCTGAGAAAGTCGTGTTCTCCGGTAAACTGAAAGTGCTCCCAAATGTGATAGCAGAGCCAAGCACCACCAAGCGGCCAGATAGTCGCCGGCATCCATCGGTCAACGGGAGCTGTGTCAGCCCAAATATCGGTGCACGAATGGGCAGCCCAGCCTCGGCATCCGTACATGCGTTGAGCTGTAGTTCTTCCTGACTCGGCCATTCGCTGTAACAGGTCAAAGAGAGGAAGCTCGCATTCGGACAAGTTGCAGATATTTGCGGGCCAGTAGTTCATCTGTAGGTTGATGTTGATAGTGAACTTGGAGCCCCATGCTGGGTGAAACGATGGGTTCCAGATGCCTTGCAAATTTGCTGGAAGGGCTTTATCCCCATTGCGACTGCAGGATATCAGAAGGTACCGACTGTAATTGTGGTAAAGGGCGATCAAGCCGGGATCTCGGGAATCTTGTATACGCTTATCAGTTGGGATTTCAGGCTGGGTCGGAATCATTTGCAGATCCATTCGACGAAACAAAGACTGGTAGTCGGCAGTGTGTCTTTTGTACAGTTCTGAGACAGAGTGCTGAACACAATTGAGAGCATGGTGGATGTCCTGTGAAGTGCGCTGATCAATATCTGCGTGACGAAAGGTGGTCTGAGCCGCAACAAGAATAAAAGTGTCCTTGGAGTTGACGACCAAATTATTTCCGATGTTTTTGACGCTGCCCAAGTGATCCAAGCAGTGAACGGCCACGATACAGCATGCGCGGTTGCTATCGCGGCCTCCGGGGGTAACGTGCATCCTGATATAATCGTCGCCAGCGTAGACATCATCCAGGTACTCATTGGTCTCAAACTCAAGCTCGCTCATCCTAGACAGTCTGACAATAAACTCAGTTCTAAGCTCCGACGAAACCCGGATGGCAATGACGTTGTCGGGATAGCTGGCGAGGACCGTCCTCTTGCAACGATGTCCGTGGTACTTGTACTTAACGTTGGCGGTGGCATCATCAATATTGAGCCACCGTCGATACCCGGTAATATGATCTGCTCCGTGACCGAAATCCATGAACAGAGTGCCGAGAGGCTCATATTGTCGCTGGCTGATCGGGTTGGCGAAAAAGGAAAGTGTGGCCAGCCTCTCGGCCTCTTTATGATCTCTATCACGAATAGCCTGTCGCAGCTTAGGCAGATAATTGAATGCGTCTCGGGGGTTGCGATCCTGAGGGGCCCCATACCACACCGAGTCTTCGTTCAGCGGTAGCATCTCCGTGTCCGTGCGGCCATAGACCATGGCGCCGAGTCGCCCATTGCCGACTGGCAGGGCCTCGTTCCAGTCGTTCGCAGGCTGTTCATACCATAACTCTTCCATAGCGGTCTCCTCCACTACAGTAATTTTATCCAAGTCCATCTCGATTCCGGGTGAATAGAAGAAAATATGAATGTAAATCAAGATTGATAAGATCGGTTGCGTTGTCAGCCTCGGATCTTAATTTGAGCGACTATACGAGTTTCGCTGGGGTACCGGTTAAATTATTGCAAGTCCCCGGATTTCTCCACGGCAATTTAATTTTAAACACTCGGACTAGCGTGATAAGGAAAGCGATCGGCTCTGCCCTAGGCCTGAATTTTCACTAGTCTTTCCCGCAATCACGTCTCAGTGGTGGAGAATCTCCCCATCTGCTATGGGCGCTCGAGAGGAATTGAATCACCCAGTCAGAGCCCAGATAGCAAGCTTCTTTTGCGTTACTTCCAGTGAAGTCATCCACATGAAAAGGACTAAATATGCCGATGGTCAACGTGACTCCTGCCAGCTTGGGGTCTGGCGATCCGCCACCAATAATCGTTGCTCTTTCCACCAGGGTCATGCCTTGACAGGTGAGATGGCCGACTATTCAGTTCACGCTCTACCCTTTTCGCGTCGGATACTTGACATATCCGTGACAAAATGGAATGTGGCCAAACTCAGTGCATTTTTTGGATTGGATGGTTTCTCCAGCCTTGCAAAGCTATCCATGTCTACCGAAGCAGAAATATCAAGGGTCAGCCCCCTTGACTTCTATTTTCTTGCAGGAGACGGCTCTGAAGGGTTGCGGCATTTGACTCCGCAGAATCTCCAATTTTCTCAATATTGAACAGTGCCAGACAGTTCGTTTCTACTTCGACAATCCCCCAAATCAGAGGTCCCGGACGTGATGGAGGCCGAGATGATCAAGGGCGGAGGAAAAGAACACATTGAAGAAATCGTACTGACCCGTCTGACCGAGGAAGATTTATGGAAGCTGTCGCAGGAGTCGCTGACCGTTTGGTCGTGGACCGGCTTCCGTCTGGGCCTCATTATGTTTGTGCAAGGCTGCAACCAAGCGGGCTTTGGTATCGACTGGGGCGTGATCAGTGGTATCAACGCATTGCACCCTTGGCATGACTACTTTGGCTTCGGGACCACCGGAGGTACATACGGTCTTATCAATGCCCTCATGAGCATCGGCACTGTCTGTGGTGCCCCGTTTATGGCCCTCGCGGATGTGATCGGTCGTCGCGGTATCAACTTTCTGGGAAATGCCATTGTCATCTTTGCGGCTCTCTTGCAGGGCTGCGCCATCAACCTGCCGATGTTCATGGCAGGTCGCTTTTTCATGGGATTCGGCACTGCTCTCATGTCTAGTTCCCAGTACATTGGCGAGATTTCCCCCTCCACCTTCGTGGTCGCATGGTTGGCTTCTTTGGTGCCTGCTTCCAGGTTGGTAGTCTTGTCATGCTGGGAGCCATGATTGGGCTGTCCAATCTCCCTGGGAACGACTGCTGGCGGATTCCTTTGATTCTCGAGGCTGTGTTCCCTACGATTGTCTGCCTGACGATCTACTTCTTGACCCCTGAGTCACCTCGATACTATGTTATGAGGGGCCAGCGTGAAAAGGCCAAAGAAGTCGTCGCTAAACACCACACTACCTCCACGGATATCAACCAGCCCATTGTTGAGATCATGGTAACTCAAATGGAGGAATCGCTCGAGAGCGACCGAGATGGGATTCGTTCTTTCTGGGATTACCGAATTTTCTTCACCAAAACCGCTCGCTATCGTCTGCTGGTTCTGGTGCTTTATTCTATCTTCCAGCAATGGAATGGAGGAAGTATCATTACGTACTACGTAAGTCCCTCCCTTTGGATATATATCTCTCACCTATTGTTATGGCTAACAAAATGACTTGCTCCAGATGGTGGCAGCACTGGAGACTGTCGGTATTGACGGTACTAAGCAACAGCTGGGTGTCACTATTGGCACTACGGCTGTTTACTTTGTTTTCACAGCTTTCGGCTCGCTTCTTGTCGATAAGTTCCGCAGACGAACCCTGATTTTTGCAGGTCTAATCAGCATGATCATTTTCCAGACCGCTACTACCATCACGTCCTGGCAGTATAGTCTCCACGCCAGTCACGCTGCTGCTGCACTCACGCTCCTCTGGATCTTTCTGTACCAGACGTTCTCCGCAACGCTGATTGCAACCATGCACAATCTTTACCCGGTGGAGATCCTCTCATTGCCACTTCGTGCGAAGGGGATGGGTCTGTACAGTCTGATCCAGGGCGGTGCAAGTGCAGTGCAGACGTATGGTATCGGTATCGGTATCGGTAAAGTCGGATACAAGATATGGGTGGTGTACATCGCATATAACACCGTCCAGCTGATCCTATCCTATTTCATCTTCCCGGAAACCAGTGCTCTCAGTCTGGAAGAGATCGATAGCGTGTTTGGAACACCTGGTGTTGCGCCCGTCAAAATGTCCCTGGATATTCAAAAGGCCAAGAAGGAGCGAGCGGCAGCAAGACGGGATGAGGAGTCTTGGTCCCTGCGTTGATCTAGCGATACTGAGTACATTCGTTCCTGAATTTCATAGTTTTTGAAGTTACAGGTATTGACAAATTTCAAGGCAAGCCTCACTATGTGTACCTGAATCAAAAGGCTGCACCTATCCGGGTCTTGTCAAAAAGTCCGAGCGTAGCTCGTAGAGGATTGCCTTCTCCAAGAGCCTAGATGAGGAAAGTGACATGAAATTCCAATGTCCACGCGGCAAGGATGAAACGAAGTCGGATCCGATGCAGCTGTGCGTACCCGTCGGAGGGATGCTTGTTCTGTTGCACCGTTTTTGTCTTCCATTGCCGGGACCTTGAAGAGAGAAAAGGGTAAATTTAATCAAATCTCGGAAGAAACCATGATTAATAGTCGTAATCTGCTGTGTTCGTCGAGGCGGCTGACATGTGGCATCAGATGATGTGCGGTGCCCTAACCTTAGAATGCGAGCCCGGTCATTTCCACAAGTACAGGAGATTTGGAAAATGGATCATTCCCATACACTCACACTTTGTTTCTCGACTTGTACCCGAAACTGCTAATCTATATTTGGATAGACTGACCGCATTACGTATGATACTGTATATTACGTGCACTCCTTAGGGATACACTCCTACCGCAGTGGCTCTCAATGTCTATCCGGCATCATTCCTTCTGCAGCGCTACTATCTCTAGAACTACTATAATCATGAGCATGGTATGGCACTGAGACTACCTCTCTTACATGCATTTTATTCGTAATATAAAGCCAACCACTAAATATTCGTGACGCGTAGTGGAGTCCTGTGCTCGGATTCCACGTCGAGAGGTGGAAGTGGGATTGGGATTGGGGAACCAGATCACCCTACTCATGGCGTGAACATTGAATCAAGGCCACTGCTTTAAACTCAATTTTTCTCCCTCTTCAATCTTCAATCGAAAATCCTCTCTTGCAACATGATTACTCCTTTTGTCCAATGGATCTGCCACGTCAACCTCTGTCCAATGTATCGATCAAAGCCCATGCTACCTAGGCTTAGTACAAATCGTGAGTGAGTTAAACGGTAATCTGTTTTCGATATATACTGTGCCTTTGAACTCTGATTCTTTTTCTCCGAGAATCATTGTCACCAGTCTGAATTCCAATCAAATATCAGAGGTCCATACATCGCGACGTACAGCGTCGCACAAACAGATCAGGTACCGAGTTAAGTGACCCCCAAGCACCGTCATTTCTTTCTTCTTCGGCCGAATTTCTCTAAAAGCACATATGCTCCATATCCCTACTCAAGTAGTCTTGATCATGTGGTCCTGAAAAATACAACGGTCAACGAACTTTCAGCATCGGAGAGAGTTGCAGAAAGGTCTAGTTTGATGCGACCAGCGGCAAGATTTCCTATTGAGGCTATTGCTCTGATACTTCCTGACTTGAATGTTTGCTATAGCACCATTGTTATCCTTACTGATGTTACTCCCTTTGTGTGAAGATAGCATCTTGGTGATCTGAAGTTTGAATACTCCGACAGTCACAACTTACTGTCTCGCTGTGGCAACACAACATCATTCCGCATAAAATGACGTCGAGATAACTACCGCGACCACCACTCGGAAAATTTAGAGCTTTTGAAACGGTACCTGTCCTCACAGTTATTCTATACAGAGATGTCAATCCATCGACACGGCTAGCCGGTCAACGTAGAGGTATCTGCCTCAGAGACCGCATGGAGAGCACGGTGAGACGACGGGTAGGCTGGATGACTGGCAGGCTACATTAACTCTATTTTCGTGTAATTTCCTTATACCTCGCCTATCATGGTCGAGAGCCTTCTGGTAGCTTACACGCATGCAATTCGCCAATTCCCGCGTGGCAGAGCGTAGAAGGGGTTACCTTGTATCCGTTTCATCTGCAACAAAGACGTTCGTCAAAGCTTCTGACCGTGTCTGCACCCAAGGCGATTCCTGAAAAGCCTTTCCATCTTTCGTGGAAAACCTCTCCATACCCGCACATGCAGAACCGCCTTACATGCACGCACGGCCATACGGACCGAGACGGGACTGCTATCTCCCATGCTGCTGCTTCCAGCAGATTCTTCCAGCCATGCATGTCCGGTTGTGCGGACGGTAGAGGGAAAATCGTGTCACCGTCGAACCGCCAATGAGCAAGCGGGATAATACCGCCGTACGGTCCATTGGCTCGGTCGTCATCACGAGACAAATAACAGCTTTTTTTTTTCCAAGAAGAAGCGAACGGGACGTCACCTCCAGTACACAATGGGTTGGAGGAGGCCCGTTGAATAGGCTTCTTCCTGTGTCTTTCAAACTCCTTCTCTTTCCGGGATGGCTTGATCCTGCCCTATCCTCTACGCTGCATCATTGGGGTGTTTCGTGGTCGCGTCAATCCCTTCCCCCTTGGTATCACCCTGGGTGTGCTTGTCGGGTATTGGAAGGTCCGTTCCTCCTTCGCAGGTGGAGGGCAAAGGACGGCGAGCACGCTGGTAATATAACTAGGGACTGTCGGGCACCCAGATGCTCGCAATCCCCATCGTCGGTCTTTTATTTCGGGGATTCGCTGCTTTCGCCACGGTGTTGACCCTTGTTTGCCCCAAAGACAGTGCGCGAATCATTCATTTTCTTTCCGTCCCCAAAGCCCTATACATACGCATGCTCTAGGCTGGAACCCTAGCACCGTTCCATCCCTATAATAATTTCTTCTTTCTCTACTTGGGCACCCAGCCTGCTACTCGACCAGTCTACATCTCAATCTTCAGAATCATCGGCTGATACCTACCGAATTACCCCAGCCATGCCGCTTAAGAGTGCCCAAGATGGCTCTGCGATGCCCGAGGCACAGGGGCTGAAGTATAACGAATCCAAAATGGCGCTCTTCCATGCACGACTGTCGTACGACTCCACGATCGATGAACGAAAGGCATCGCAGGATCCCAACCTTGCGTCGATCGCCGAGGCTCAAGCCAAGATACTCAAGCGCTGGGACTTGCTACAGCAGGCCGAAGAGGAGCTTGCCGCACAGGGAAAGAGCTTGTCTCCGACCGATAAACGACAACTTATGCAATATGCGTGGCGATTCAAGCATCTGGAACAGACGGCGACCAAAACCACTGGGGGATAGAAGGAAAGGAAAAGTGAGTTTGTGGTTTTTGCGCTTCCATTGATACAACGATTGAGCGGCGGGACGAAGGCATTGCTGGCGTTGGTTCAGATCCAGGAAGGACTCCGTTCGCGAGTCATCTCTGGAATTGTGTCTACTCTTTTGCTCATGGGTTGAAGCTTGCTCTCTCTGTTTGCCTTTTCTTATCGCACTGTCTATAATTCCAATATTACCCCTCACTTTCTTTTGGGCAGCAATCTCGAACCTCGAACCTCGGGAGCGTGAGAAGGTATCAAATAGAAAAGAAAAAGAAACTCGTGGTCGATCTGCTGTTGCATGTTGCATATTCGTAGGGCGGTGTTCAGGTTTCCCAGCGGGACTCGAGAGTGATTCCGCAGCCCGTCGCACAAGCAGCCTAGCAATCTGGTCAACATTGCAACAGTAACGTAAGTGACACTGTCCATCAAGTGCCCAAGGGCCAGGGCCCGATTAGAAATTGACCAATTCAGAAGGCGATCATCTGAAAGGAACTGCGGGAAGGAAAATCTCCATCGCATGACATTGTGGCACCCGGGACGTTGAAGAGAAGGGAGCATATCGTAATTTCACCACTTGAGGGATAAAGAGCGGCTCCCGATCCTGCAATTCCGATCGAACTCCGGTGTCGTGCAATTCGCATTGAGAACATGCAGTCGAAGTTCCTCTCCACTTGCAGGATAAGACTAGAATTCTCCTGGTTTTGCAAGATTTCCACTCGTCCGATATAGGTCAAAGGGCAAACTGCGATAATTGGAGCCATCCTATTTGACTGACAGCACAGGGGACGACAGATGAACTCCGGAAAGTACGCTGAAACGCCGGTCGTCGGTATTCGACGCGGAATACATTTACAAGACACGGACTCGGGTCTAAGTGTATCATATTCAATCATGAAAATCATTAACTTGACCAAGCACTGACCAGCCGTGCAGAAAACATGAACTCGATGAACCAACCCAGGCACCCAAACATAAACATTCTAATCTCAAAGGATCATGAAAAATAACGTGAAAAGACAAATCCGCTTTATCGAAAAGCAGAGCACGCTAGCGCAGAACAGAAAAACAAAACAAAAATTGACAAATATCAACTAGCTCCATAAAACGATGCCTCGTTCTATCTTCGCGCCTCTCAAACTGTGCAGGGTATCATGTGCAAATGCGTGAAATCATTTTTCGTCTGGCGTCCGAGGAAAGGGGCGCTGAGTATCATCCGAGCCAGAAGAGGAAAAGCCGGTCGGTGTACCAGCCTCATGCCCAAGACTTGCCCTAGACCCCTTTTCACGGATGGCCAGACGAGTGCGCGGATGCGAAGGCACCGGCGCGAGGTATTTATCCAATAACTCGCTCAATATTGGCGACCGGACTGGCTTGGGGAGGTAGTTGTTCATGCCTGCCTCGAGGCATTTCTCCCGGTCGCCTTCGATGGCACTGGCTGTCATGGCAATGACGAGGACTTCGTTCACGTTTGGATCGGGGTCTCGTCGGAGCTCGCGAGTGGCGTTGTAGCCGTCTAGCGTGGGCATCATCACGTCCATCAAGACCACGTGGAAGGGGTTGCCTTCTCTGGACTTTGCGCGGAGGGCTTCGACTGCTTGTCTACCGTCGCTGTATGCCTCGCACTGGAGGCCGAGCCCGGTCACGAATTTAACGGCTATTTTCTGATTGATGGGATTGTCTTCAGCAATGCAGACTCGAATCTGGTCGCGAGGGATTTGGGTAAGATCACGGGCTTTGGCCCGAGGTGCATCTTTGCCTTGTTCTGCCTGGCTCAAGTCCTGAGACCACGGAGTCTTGACGGTTGTTTTCTTGGGTGCTTTGTTGAAGGCCAAATGGAAGGTTACTGTAGTGCCAATGCCAGACTGCGATTCGAGCCAGATTGCACCCCCAAGAACATCCTCGATGATGGCCTTGCAAATACTCAATCCCAGCCCACTGCCACCGTATGATCTTTCGGTGGAGGGGTCTGCCTGTGAAAATGGTCGGAAAAGACGTGCTTTTTGCTCGTCGGGAATGCCGATTCCAGTATCGGCGACGGAGCATTCTAGGCGTATGCGACCTTTGCTCTCACGAGCAACCCTGGCTTTGACGGTGATGGATCCTTTAGGCGTGAACTTGTAGCTGTTGCTGAGCAAATTCATGAAGATCTGGTGCAGACGGACAGGATCGCCGAGAACGACCAGCTCCGGTGGGACGCGTTCCAAATCTTCGATGGTATTCAAGCCTCGTTCACGATGGGTATAGCGAAGAGCACGAACCACCTCCGAGATCGTCTCTTTCAGGTTGAGTGGGACGGTGGAGATTTTCATCTTACCAGCTTCCAACTTGGAGAAGTCAAGAATGTCATTGATAAGCGTGAGTAGCGTGTCGGCGCATACACGAATTGATTCAACGTATTCATCTTGCTCTTTGTTCAGCCGGGTACCTTTGAGCAGCTCTGATAGGCCAATCACGCCATTCATTGGAGTACGCAAATCGTGGGAGATGTTGGCAAGGAAGATAGACTTGGCTCTAGCGGCGTCTTCCTTCAGCTTCACATTATGTTTAGCTTCTGCCTCAGCCACCTTTGCTTTCTGTTCCGACTCGCGGGCTTGAGCAAGGGCACGTCTCTGCGACTCGATCATCGACGCATTCTTGGCGCTGACCTTGCGGATCTCACGGAAGAGCAGCGCGTTCGAGAGCGAAATGCCGATCTGGTTACAAAGCAGGTGCAGAACGACCACATTCCGCTGAGTGAACCAGTTTGGTTTGCCTTCCAAGTGAATGACGCCCAGGAGATGATCCGCCTGAACAATCGGAAGAGCAATGACTGACCGGCCCAGTGGGTAATTGGCCTGATAGGCTTCCGCCACGTTGGAAAAGCGCTCATCTTCGAGCACGTTGTGAACAAGAACCTCCTCTTTCGTGCGCATCACATAATGCGAAATTTGTTGAGCCATCTGAGCTTCCATTTCTGAGAAGGAAAGGCCTTCTGCATAATATTTTTGACCCTTTTCGGTATCAACGGCTGCGGCGATTGCAAACCCATGCTCCTCAAAGTCTGTAGCAATGACGGCGAAGTCGGAGCCATTACATGACTCCAGGATAATCTCCAGCATCTTTGTGAAGAGCTTGTCGATTTGAAGCTCGGATGACATGACTTGGCTGGACTCGAGTATACTGGACAGATCGATGATATCTTCTTTCGTCAGCTAAATTGAAGACCGAAAAGGGGTAGTAGTTATGATCACTTACCAAGTCCAACACTCGAGATGTCCATTGACCTCTCACCCGCCGTGACATTATTCTGTTCAATCCATTGCTGCCTCCTCTCCTCCTCTTCAATCTGCGAGGGAAGGACAATCTCTTCCTGCACGGCGTCGCGGGTAATTTCAGCGAGAGAGTCCATGGTTTGGCAGCCAACATCAATGGTTCTGGCTGACGTGGCTGTCTTGAGCAGCCATTCGTGCTTCTCTGCAAGCATTGCTGCTTTTCCACTGGCGCTGATAGAGCTCCATGCAGCGATGGCATCTTGCATCATTGCACGAGCAGCCCGCTTTGCCCCACGCCTGATCAGGAACTCACCCTGCAACTCCAAGGCAAGTGCCTCCTCAAGGGGCCATCCGTGAATTTGACAGTGATCAATGGCAGCCTCGAATGCTTGGATTGCAGCGCTGTGGTCATTCCGAACCTCGGAAATGAGGGCATCTAGTAGTAGTGCCCACATTCCATAGTTTGCATCGGAGCAACTTCGAGCAAAGTCAATCTCGAACTTGTACTGAAGCAGAGTATCCATTTTTCCTTCGAGGTATCCGTGAGAAGGATTGTCGTTGTGGAGAGTCAGGAGTGAAACCGAGAGATAAAAATAAATTATGTAGGACACACGCACAGACCAGAGTCTGTGTGCCGTCTCAAGCAATCGAGTGCCCACCTGAATCGCTCGTGTCTGGTGGCCATACAAGAAAAGAGGGATCATGGAGAGGCCATAGTAGATGCCGCGAGGTCTGTCGGCATTGCTAGCGTTGGCATCTAGGTACGCCATGTAGGAACTTGTGTGGTGCTCCTTATCCGACAGGACGTCGTCGGCACTATGGTAGTCAGTCTTGCCTTGGAGGGCTCGTGCCACTTGTCGAACAGCAATTATACTGGCACCGCCGCGGGTGTCTTGAGCCCAGTTTGGGATGTCCTCGGGTGTTTCCATGCAGAAAAACTCCAGTTGGGCCATGTCTTGGCCGAGGTAGAGTCTCGTCATGGCCATTGCTGAGATGCTGATAAGTGTGATATACGGATCGCCCATCGTGAATGAGGCCTCGAGTGAAGCCTCGAGCGCTGGTAATGTCGACACCATGGGAATACGTAGATGGCTGACATAGAGGCTGTGAACGATGGATCCTCTACTCTGCGTCCACAGTTCAGGGCATTTCTCAAGAAGGGAAAGGGAGAAATCACTGAGCTTAGCACCAAACACGACATCTTTGAAACGGCTGAGGGAGATCATGGCCAGGTGAGAGCAGCCGATCGAAACCTGCGTGAAGCCACCCCGGAAGATGTGGATATTTATCATCTCAATTGCCATGCGGTAGAAGGTCAAGGCGTCATCCCAGAAAGTGACGGCCATCGCCTCCGCCATAACGGCTCCAATGGTCACGAGATTGGGATCTTTACTTGGGGGCTTCTGGGATATAGCCTCCCAATCTGCTGCTTCGAGATACGCCTTGAGCTTCATGTATGCGGTATCACAGTCCTCAAAGGTAGTTGGTGTACGAAGATGGACACCCAGCTCATCGAGACAGGTAAGCAAGGCTTCCATTGAGCGGTGGTGGTTTCCCAATTGGGCATATATCTTGGCTTTGATGACCCAGGCTCGCGACTTGCTCACCGCATCTTTGCCATGGGTGAAAACCGCCTCTATCAATGTGAGAGCTTCCTCGTTTTGGCCTTGAGACCATGACATTTCGGCCGCAGCAATGTAAAGACGCATGGTTTCATCATAATAAACGTCGCCATGGTGATCGTCCCATGGATTGTCTTGAAGAAGTGCGATGCAATGCCGGAAGTACCATAGCGCAGTTGGTCGCGCACCGGACTGGGCAGCCGTCTGGCCAGCCTCCCAAAGGATGCGTCGGTAGTCGACACGTCGACGAACAGAGGCCTTGATCGTACGCGAGGCCAGCGCCACATGGTGGGCCATGGAGTAGCGGCTGCGATGGTCATGGTAGTATCTCATCAAGGCTTGTGAAACAATGAAATGCATCTTCTCCACGTTTCGACTCTCGCTCAAATTCAGTGCAGCTTGCGCAAGGCGATCATTGCCGAACTTGAACTCATCGTCTGTTTTGCCTGTGTTCAGAAGATTTGACTGAACCAAGTACTGTAGCCCAACGACAATATCCCCTTCAGATTGCCTGACCAGCGTATCATTTTGTGGCAATGTGAGATCCAATTCTTCATCATCGTCCGATGCGAAAAGGAACTCACTGGTCAGAAGCCTTTGGACTAGAGAGAAAGAGAATGGGCTTCCAAGAAGAGCACCCCATACCAGGATCGAACGGGCAGCGGTTGGGATCTCCTGAAGCCGCTTGGTGAGGAAGCCTAGTCCCAGGCCTTCTCCATACACGGGCTCCACGAACTCGGAAAAAATCCGGTCAAGGTCAAACTGCCATTTTGAGTCCTTCCATGAATACCAGATGCAGTTCTTGCGATAACATGTTTCAAGCATCAACCTCACGTAGAATGGATTACCCTGGCTTTTCTCTTGGATAACGGCCATCAGGGGAGTCAGCGTCGGATTGGGGTCTTGGTGCATTGTCGCCGCCACAAACTCCATGATATCCTCCTCACCAAGCGGCTGAAGCTCAAGGCGCGTGGCATTGGAGCCATCCATATCGAACAACGACCGAATATTTTCCGAAGGTATCTCATCCCTACGACTACTCAGTATGAGAACGCAGGGCATTTTCACTCGAATAATGTTCAGGACCAGTTCCATCGTCTCCTCATCTGCATGCTCGAGATCGTCCAGGCATATAGTGATGAGCCGGAACTGACAAAGAGTTTTCAGAATCTCAACAAAAACATCCATCAGGCGCATGTTGTTGGAAGCAGCATTTGCCAAAAAGAAATCGGCCGAGCTTTGGCCTTGGTTCAACCAGGGAATATTGACACGCTTCGACGGCTCGCCACTCTTGACCACATCCTGCTTAGCCATTTGGGCACCAGGCATTTTTGGCGAAGGCTTGTACTTTGCGCCAGGTGACATCAGCTGCTCGGGAAGCTCCAACACCTTGTGAAGAGTCGGCCACATTGATCGTAGAGCCGCCCTGATGGAGTTGTGATAATCGGTCGTGACATCTCCCTCGGAAAAGATCTGACGTAGGAGACTGGCTACAATTTTGGCGAAGGGCTCAAAGGGCACGCGCTTAGCTTTGTCCAGGCGAGTGATAGCGATATAACCAGCTTTGCGAATGTTTGGTTGCACCCGGTTTAGAAGATCTGTTTTTCCTATCCCGGCTGGGCCAGTGATCGTAATCAACTCGCATCGCCCACTGCGCCGAAACTTTGCACCAGCTTTCTGTTTGTTCATAGAGTTGTATGAATCTGCTTGGCTAAAGACATTGCTTGATTGATAACTGCCGGTCCCACCAGAAGGATGGCTCTGGTTATCCGTGTGTTGAGAAGACCGAGAATGAGAGGGGCTCTTCAATTTGCTCGAAATTGGGATGACGGACGTTTGGCTCGGAGTGTCTTGGCTCGAAGAATCATGGGTATTGACAGATCCGATATGATAATTAGTGGAGTTTGAGTTCGTCCTTGGGGGTAGATGGAAAGACCCCGAGTCGCTGGAAACAGAAGCGAGATCAAAGCTATCCACGCGGCCGTCCGAAGCCGAAGAAACTGAAGCAAGAGCGTGAGCTGCTCCGGGATTCTGCAGGGATGATTTTGCTGCTGCGGACGTCTGACGCTTCTTGACCTTTTCGACCACGGTCATGATTTGGTCGTATTCTTTTTGTCGACCAAACATTTGAGAAGGGAGGGTAAAGAAGGATGATACATCCCTCTGCGCGATTTGGAAATTATTCAAAGCTTCAATGTCGCCATCACCCAATAACTGTGCAATCTGTGTCAAATCCCGCTTCACCGAGGAAATTGTGTGGTAGCGGTCATGGACAACTTTCTGCGTCATCTTCTGGACCACAGCCGAGAGAGCATCAGGGACGTCCATTCTTTTCGAAGAGACTGGCGTCAGTTTTTTGCCCAGCACATTCTGAACGACCTCAACGGGGTCAGTGCCTTCGAAAGGCAGTTTCCCTACTAGCATAGACCAAAAGAAAAGGCCTAAGGCATAGATGTCTGTCCGGCTGTCCGGCTCTGTTGGCATCCTGCCGGTCTGTTCGGGGGCGATGAACTGCAATTTGTATTTGGCACCCAGCTCCCGTGAAACGGAAGACCAGCCTTCACTGAGAACATTGTCAAATGCTCGGGCACCATTGCCGATATTGGCTAGTTTCACTGCACCGTCGTCGGCGGAGAAGTGAAACGCATCGCCGCGAATCTCCCCGTGGACCGTTTTCAAGCCATAGTGCAGAATTTCCAAGCAATCGCATGCACCAATGGCAAAGTCGAAGAACGCGGGGAGAGGGATTTGCTCGTTCGGTGTCGAGTTGTCGTCGCCTTTACTCCCTGCGACAAATGATGCGGGTCCAAATGTGACCAGGTCACGGAGGTGATCATGGCCTGGCGATTCGAAAATAGCCACCAAAAGCGTGCCCTGGTCACCAGGTTCCGGAGGTAATCTTATCAGGTCTATTGGCCGTATTGTGTTGTTACAATCCGGATCGGAGGATTGGACGATCGACCGTAACATATGAAACTCGCGCTCGAGCCGGATAACATTGGTAGAGACACGCGCGATCACCGGGGTCCATATCTGCTCCTGTTCGCCAGCTCTGGATAAGGAGAAATCACTGCTTGTTTCGCTCAAACTAACTCTGCGGTTTAAGACGCGCGGTCGAAATTCGATATGGGGCGAGTTGCGGTTGAGGCTCGACGGGCTCGACGAGGCGGGGCCGGACGAGGTTGCGAATGGCGTGGAAAGTTCGTTCTCGACGGCATGATGAAATCCATTAATATGCCAGTGGTTGTATGTGGAGTGAAAGGGCTCGGTCGACTGGTCCCAGGTATAGCCAGGCAGATGGGCGAGCCGTTCGAAAAGTCGCGAAGGTGGGAGAGGGAGATCCTCGCCAAGAAAGTGGCTCAGCTCCATCTCAAGATCAAAGATGGTCGACAGTGATTATGGCCATGAACCGATCTGCCCAGGTGCTCCTAAGATCTTGCAGCTCCCTGTTCGGGTGTTAGGGAAGGCGGGATTGCGGCGAAACGGACATGAAAGATGGAAACGGCGCCGGGAAGGTGATGAAGAATCCCGATTCAAGATATGCACGGCGTAAGCGACTTGAAAGATGACCACGAGCCTTGACCTCAGCGATCACAAGGGAAGCAGAACCCGTGGACATGGACGTGGACTGCGTTCGTGCAAAACTGCGCGGGTGAGATGGACAGATCCGATGGACAGATCCGGAAAATCTATTTTACGAGATCTGGGTGTTTGGATCCTTAATACTTGGGACCGTAGGTATGACACAATCGGTCCCAAGGTTCAGTGAAGATCGACGTGAATAGGGTGGTGTATGGGGGGGAGTAGCCATGCATTGCTTGGAACAAGTTGAGTCACTGGTCAGTTGGTTAAGGGCAGATCGGAATTTGTGGCGTTTTCAGGAAATATATAGAACAGCAGAAACCTTTGTGCTAAGGATGGATTATGTAGTTCGATATTTTTGATTCTTGTAAGTCCCTGGAGATGCCCAGGTACCCAGTTGTCAATGCACAGCTTTACCTCCCAGGTGCCAGCGCTATCTACCGACCTCTTGATATATTTTGACTCAACTCTCCCTTTCCTTTCCGATCCGCCGATCCTCCGATCCTCCTAGAACCCATCCAGCTAGATACCATGAACACGAAGATCACCCAACGACCAGGACCAAGACCAGAACATAGAACATTGCTTTGAGGGAAGTGGAGCATGATTGAACTTCTGATAACCACGCGTAGGATCCGAAGAGCCTCTGTTATGGCAGGCCGTGGAGTGACGGAGGTGTCAGCCAAGCCATGACGTATGGTGCCCCTACGGAGCCGTTAAAGGATCCACTGCCAGTCGGCACGGCTGGCATGGCGCGTCTATGCACCTCCCTAGACATGCACCCATGCCTCTATGCCGGATGACGACAGTCCAGGTGGTCCACTCTGATCGCCTGACCCAGGACTCGTCTCAAACATGGCTTACCCCGTACACCAAACGGGGTAAGCGTCCCCATCGAGTTCGTTCGATTGTGATGGCCCGGTCTAACTGGGTTGAGATCCGACCGAGTCGACCCTCCAGTTTTCCAAGGGGCACGTCGCCTTTCTAGAACGAGCACTAAACGCGAGCAATGCCGCTTGCATCATGATGCCGCGCTTTCGGCATAGATCACCAAGGGATAGGGCACCCACCCACGACACCCGAGTCTAGACTTAGACAGTCCCTGGAGAGACGGAATTCTTCGCGACCCTTTTTACTCCCTTCCCTTTTGCATCGTTTGTGCCCCATCCAAGGCTGGACGAGAGTGGATACGTGCCAATCTAATAGAGCACACGCTAGCCAGATGGGCCGGTGTCCTATTAAAAGAGAATCGTGTCGATTGAGACCGCAGACCAGCGGTCCCTCAAATCGAGCAGAACGAATGATTGCAAACAGCATATATCGGTGAAGAAAGGAGGGAGGGATTGTCATTTGGGCGGGAATTGTTCACACAATACTCGGGGCCCCCGTTCCACCTACCCTAGTAGTGAGTGATAAGACTAATTCGCAAATCAGCACATGACCCTCGGAGACCGGTAAGTAATAGTCTCCCATCATAATCGTAAATATAGTCATCTAGCATAGCAGTCCAGGGAATAAAGGAGCTGAAAGCGTGGGCTCATGTGGCCACAACAGAGCGTAAGCTGCATCGGCGCTCCCAGCGCGTGCAAGGTTTTACTATGCCGTCAGGGCGGGCTACGTCATAGCCCACTCTCCGGAGGAGGCCCATCACCCAGAATCCACTTTTCCTTTCCCTTCATCCACTCTCAGGTCGATCCAAGCAATGGGCCGGCGGGTACTGACGCCAGTTTCCAGAGTCTGTGTCGAACAAGCGCTGCTGGTTCCCTCGATCCCCGAACACCCACTCAACCCCCATCACACACTCGCTCTCACCTCCGCCTCCCCCCCCTCTCTCTCGGTGTTGATCCGTTCATAGGCTCAGGTACATACACCGCCTGGAACCTTGATCTCTTCAACTTACACCTTGATTCTAAATCAACCTCGTATCTCGCTTTTCCCTTTGGATCTGCCTTTCCCCTTTCGCTCGGTTGTGATCTCACCTTCCAACCGTGACCGTTGCGGCCGAGACATGATCGCCTCACCTGACTCATACATTGTCTGTGTCTCGTAGGCGTGCTGACTTTTCCATCGGCGGAGGTGCAAGATATGGGAGACCTGCATAGCCGGAGGAGCCCTCCATTTCCTTCGCCAACCGAGACCGTGTCGCCCGTCGCCGTTCCCCAACCTCACCACCTGCAACCCCCGCGATCGCCACCAAGCTACAGAATTCCCCGCGATAAGCATGCTGGAAATATATCGGGAGATGGAATGACAGGTGGGGGTGACGGGTCGACCAGACAGACAGCTCGGATGCCTCGATTCTCACGTGGAGATTCTACCGAACAGGTTGCTGGCCTGACCCCCGTCACCGAGGACGTACGGTCTGGGAGCGAGCGGCAAGAGGACCAGGGACGGAGTTCACAAACCTTAAAAGAGCTGCGAAGACAAATGGAAGAGCTGCTTGTATACCAGCAGATGCAGCAAACTCAGAATCAGCGTTCTTCGACGGCCCAGCTGACACCCGGCCATTCGAGCGAAACTCCCCGGAAAAGGCGCCTGTCCAATACGTCCGCAGAACTTTCTCCTACGATCATGCCACCGTCGTCTGATTCGGTGGGCTCGGGGGGAACTATCAAAGGCGTCAATGTCCGATCCTCACCCGGCCGTCCTGTGAACCAAACACCCTCATACCCTTTCCCGAGAGTCCACAATCAACCGCCGGTGGAGGCTGAGCCGACGGGGCGTTCGGGCCAATTTCGATTGAAGCTTCCCTCCGACAAACTCAAATCACCATCACCGACAACTCATGCCATGAAAGAAGACCCTTATGCGAAAAATCCGGCCTCGGCTCCAGTGTTTCTACCGCCTGATCACAAAAGCCTAGCTTCTGACCCGGCGTTTCCAACTCCAAATCTTTATGATCTGACGTTAAAGCTGAATGCGGATCCCGGACTTGAAGCCTGGTGGTCTAATCTGGTCGAAATTCTAGAATCTCATTATGGAGCGGAACGTGTGTCTCTTGCGGTCCCAGGAGACGCGACAGACCTGGAAAATGTGCCATGGGGTCAGAAGGCCTTTTATAGCCAGAATGGCAGCACGTTGTCAGAACATGCCCAACTCGCTGTACAAGACGACCCGCCCTTGGGAACTCCCGGTGGCCGCAAAAAAGGCGATTTAACGCAGGAGAAATTGGGTGGAGTGCCGGATTCTCAACCCAAGGCCTCGAGGCCCTTCTCTGCAGCGACTCGACCGTCCTTAATGTCTCGCCATTCATTTGGTGGCTTCGGTCACGGTAAGAAACCCTCGCCAGAGACGGACCAGGACGGACAGCAGCACTCGTCGAAGACCAGCACTGGTAAATCCGAGAAGAAACATGCTCGCATTTCCGAGAGGACTGAGACTATGCAATCATCGAGCAGCCACAGACATTCCATGGCGCAACCAAAATCGAGTGACTACGCAAGCATTTCTCTACACGCCTTGCGACAAGCAGTTTTTCCAGTAGCAAGACCACTGGAGATGGAATCGGACCCTTTAATCAAACGCACCGGTGTAGTCAGGCTGTTTGGACGGCCAAACCCGGTAGTCCTTACACGGGAATATTCACCAAGGTCAATGCATGCTTCCCAAATGTCGAATGAGTCAGCTTTGAGCCCTTTGGAAACAGTGCAGGTCACACCGAATGTTGAAGAGCCCAAGGAGATAAACCCTGCGACAACCTTAAGCTCGGTGAAACAGGCTCTCACGGCCAGCCTCACTGCCCCGGGATTTAGACACTATGACGAATATGAGCAGGTTCCTCAGTCACCATGGTCTCAATCTCCTGCACCTTCACCGGCTCCCCGGACCCATGCAGATCAAAACCCATTCTTCACCAGTCATTCTGTCGATGAAGGTGCCTTCTCGAAGAATCCACCCGCGCACGACTACTCCAGCGCAAATCCTTTAGAGGCTATCGGTATTGATCAGTCCAAGACGTTGATCCATATTCCTCTTCTACATGGTGGCCCTTCCGACTCCAATTTCTCGTCGACGCTGAGATTCCCCGTTGCTATTATATCATTTATGACTCCTATTGTCCCTTATCCGCCCAACCTTCGGCAATCTCTCGTCTACCTAATGCCGCACCTGACAACATCTTTCTGCTTGGCTCAGCACTACAGTCAACTTGAACGTCAGGTGGTCTCAAAGGTGGAGACCCCACGGTACGGGAATCTTCTGGGACTTGGTGGAACGTTCTCCGATGCGAGCAGCGAGCTGGAACTTGTTGCGGGTTTGAGTAGCCATGTCAGCTGCTCTGTCGGCGATGAGAACTCTACGTCAGGACGTGCCAGCATTGCCAGCCCCAGTGATCGCTCGTCCATGAAATTCAGCCCCGCTATATCCAGCATCGGAACACCTGGGTTTGAACTTGGTCAGATGGGACTCGGCTCAGCAACCCAGTCTCCATGCTTCGTTTCGCGCACCGGTGAAGGCGCAGACAGCTACTTCAATGTGCCACAGTCGAAGAGCACTCGTGATAACGTTCATCCTCAGCGACCTCGCCTTACGAAACCTAAGTCTAATCTTGTGTCATCGACGCCGGAATCCCCTGGAAAGTTGCCTGGAAAGGCACCGATTGTTGAAGACAATAATTCTCAAGATCCATCTGTTGTTGCTTCTCCATTAAATGAGATGAGGCCGTCTCTGATTGTGTCCCCAACTCAGCAATCGTCACGCCAGGCATCTACAAACTCCTACTATGCACAGCTTCAGCGGGATGTTCCACGTCCCTTTTCCGATACAATAACACAGTTGATGCTCAATTCCATTCCTCTTCATCTCTTTTTGGCCAAGCCACAAAGCGGCGAGGTGATCTGGACCAATGCCAAGTTTGATGCCTATAGAAGAAGCAAACCGCAAGAGCAGAAGCTGCGAGATCCTTGGCAGAATATCCACAGCAGCGAACGAGACCATGTATCTGGTGAATGGGCCAATGCTCTACGCACCGGCTCACAATTCACGGAGAGAGTTCGTGTGAAACGATTCAATGATGAAAGTGCGTATCGATGGTTCATTTTCCGAGCCAATCCCCTCCTGTCTTCGACCGGTGAGGTTCTATATTGGATTGGATCCTTCCTCGACATACACGAGCAGCACATTGCCGAATTGAAGGCCACGCAAGAACGGGAAAAATTTGCCACAGATGCTAAATACCGGGCTTTCTCAAACTCGATCCCACAGATCGTGTTTGAGGCAACAGAGAACCGTGGTCTGATCTTCGTCAATGAGCAGTGGAATCTGTACACAGGCCAAAGTCTCGAAGAAGCTCTCAATCTTGGATTCGCAAGACATGTTCATCCAGATGACCTGGATAAGTGCGGCGGACTCTCCATTCCACTTAACCAAGAGTCGAATGACTCTGGCACTGCCGAATCTGACCAGCCATCTTCAGAAAACCACGGCGTCGAGTCTGTGCTCCACGAGCTTGTGAGGCGTGGTGTCGCATCATCTCAGAAAGATGAAAATGGGCGTGTATTCTATTCTACGGAAATTCGTCTCAGCTCTAGGGGCGGCGATTTCCGATGGCACTTGGTCCGCTTGGTGCGTGTTGAGACGAGCAGCTTCGGGAGTGAAGAATCGTCTTGGTACGGCACTTGCACCGACATCAATGACCGGAAGAACCTCGAACGGGAGCTGAACAAGGCCATGAGTCAGCTCAACAACCAAATGGAATCCAAGACAAAGTTCTTCAGCAACATGTCGCATGAGATCAGAACTCCTCTCAACGGCATTTTGGGCACTTTGCCATTTATACTCGATACCCAGCTCGACAGTGACCAAAGGCGGATGCTGGATACGATTCAGAATAGCTCCACCGGTCTCCGCGAGCTTGTGGATAACATTTTGGATGTTTCTAGAGTGGAGGCAGGCAAGATGTCGATGGTCAACTCTTGGTTCCATGTTCGGTCCATGATTGAAGAAGTGATCGACACAATTTATTCCAAAGCGATCGACAAGAACCTTGAAGTCAACTACCTGATAGACTCGGACGTGCCGGTATTGGTGATTGGTGACCGATTCCGAATTCGTCAGGTCCTTCTCAACCTGGTCGGAAATGCCGTCAAATTCACTTCTCAAGGCGAAGTTCACATCTGCTGTAACCTTTACCACCAGAATTCGGGAAAGATCAATGACACAGAGGTTTTCCTGAACTTCGATGTCGTCGACACCGGAAAGGGGTTCAGCTCCAACGATGCCAAACGCCTGATGCAAAGGTTCAGCCAGTTGGGCGAGAATGGGTCGCAGCAAAATGCTGGTAGTGGCCTGGGTTTATTCTTGTCCAAGCAACTTGTGGAAATGCATGGTGGTAGGCTCACACCTAGCAGCAAAGAGGGTCAAGGAGCCAAGTTCTCCTTCAATGTGAAGGTTGATGCTCCTGCACCTCCATCGCCGTCTGAAAGACCAGGATTACTCCGCCAGCCCTCGAATGCGTCCAGACGACCGGGAACGTCCAGGGTGAACTCTTACGAGCAAACCACAGCGGTACCATCACGAGGTTTGGATCCAAAGCTGCAAGACCTCTCGAACATGTCACTCGGTCTTGAGTCCCCGGCAGTGGCGTCAACCGAATTATCGGCAAACTCGATTTCAAAGGGTCTTTTCCCGTCTTCCACTATATCGTCTGCTCTCCCGACTCCGGATATTCACACCGTGCACCAGGCACCAGGCCTGCACCAAGCTTCCAATACCAGTGCATCGAATCCACCGGGCCGTCTGTCACCGCCAACATCCAAGAGCTCTGTATCTCCGACAAAGGGGTCTGGACCATCTGCTGCCGTCATGCCTGAAGGTCCACTTTCAATCGTCATTATTTGTCCCCTTGACAATACACGCGACGCTGCAAAGCAACACATCGAGCATGTCATACCACATGAAGTTCCATTTACCATCACAACTCTGCCCGATGTCGACGAGTGGAAAGATATGATGCAGTCAGGAGGATCCAACGGTCACTGCACCCATTTGGTTCTCAATCTCCCTGCAGCCGATGATATTTCAGAAGTCATTCAGCATGTGTCGGAGCTTGACAAGGAAAACACTCCCGCTGTTGTCGTCATATCAGACCCTTATCAGAAGCGCCAAATTGCTACCCGAGTCTCCGAGATTGCCGCCACGGGAAAGCGGATCTTCATCGTGAACAAGCCTGTCAAGCCTTCGGCATTTTCGGCCATCTTCGACCCCGAGAAGAAGCGAGAATTGAGCAAGGACCGCAGAGATGACGAAAAGCAAGAGGATAGCAATAACTTCAAGACTGTCTCCAAAATGGTCAAAGAGGTTCTTGGTAACAAAGGCTACCGGATTCTGCTTGTGGAGGATGACGAGACCAATCGCAATGTAAGTCTGCATTCTTCTTATCCTTGCTTTTCAGGCCCACTAACAAACTCTTAGGTCATGCTCAAGTACCTGCACAAGATTAAGCTTTCTTCGGAGACCGCCTCCGATGGAAAGGAGTGCATTGACATGGTGTTTTCGAAAGAGCCGGGTTACTACTCTCTCATCATTGTATGGCAGATCCCTCACTTGCAATGGCCAGACCAGACCAGCTAATTCGATCTATAGTGCGATATTCAAATGCCGGTGAAAAACGGCTACGATACTTGCCGTGAGATTCGGAGCTGGGAACAAGCGAATCACTACCCCCAGATCCCCATCATGGCTCTCTCAGCGAATGCGATGAAGGATCAAATTCAGGATGCTGCGCAGGCAGGCTTTAACGACTACGTCACTAAGCCTATCAAGCACAATGATCTGGGGAAGTCGATGATGGAACTTCTTGACCCTAGCCGGCCTCTCGTATTCCTCCGAGACCGTCTTGCCCTGGATGAACAAGATCTATCCACTCTCCATTAATGCCCTGCATCTTTTCCACGCCTTTTATGACAGCATTCCTCTTCCTTTGTCCCATGAGCCGTGAGGCCTTTTTCTGCAATACCCTTTGTATTCATTTTTCCTGTTTTCTGGGTTTGGACTTTTATAACGACGGGTTCACGGTGCAAGTTTTCGGTGAATTTCTGCGGGACTAGGAAAAGGGTGCGATCAAGGGCTCCCAAGATAATTGGCATTCATTGGCGTGAGCACCCTATCCGATCCGCATTGCAATCACATCATTTCACGAGGAATGCCTTTGAGCATCCTACAGGTTCTCTGCATCTGCATCTACCACCGAGCAAGCGATGGCGCTTTCAGCATTTTTCGGGTCGAAAGAGCCGCTTATTACTTGTATTATTTGACTTGTTCCACCATCGAGTGGATTTATTTCTGGCTCTTTGCGACTCGAGCGCATGGCGTCGATGCCCGGATATGGCTCTCTTCTCTCTTTTTTTCTTTCTCTCTCTTTCTGTTCCTTTCAGCCTTGTTTTGTACCTTTTGCTTGTGATACCAGATTACGATCACCTATCTTCTAGGTCTGTATTTGTCAATAATTTCACTTATCCCATTCTTCTCTCATTGCATCAAACGGGGTTTTAATAGCTAAAATATACGGGATACCACATAAATGACCTTTGATAACTCATAACAAGAGATCAAAGCTTTCCTGGAATCTCGCCGAGGGTATCGACGGCGAGATCGGAAATAGGGCATGCTAATCGACCAAATCTTTCCGTCTGACATCGAAGACAGAGCAGTGCAGGCTATTCGCGGAACAAGAAACAAAGTTTCCAATCGAACAATGAACAGGGCAGAGGTAATCAAGGGGCAAACCTAGGTCAAGCAAGGTGTGAAATCATATGAATCTATGAATCATGGGCCAGAGCCAAAGGCCAAAGGCCAAAAGCCAATCGGGGCAAGAAACATTCTTTCCCGACCGGTTCAGTGAACTTACACTTGGTAAAGTAAAAACAAAATCGAATGTAAAAAAGCTAGACCCTAAACAGGAAGCGTAAGATAAGAAAGTGTACCGCGTATAGGCCGAGTATTAATCGGTAGTAGGACTTGAATCGTATAATTCCGATGAAAGGCCCCCGGTCCGAGGCTAGCATGACACGCTGTCACACGTTTCGAAAAAAAAAAAACGAAAAAGAGGACGAAGCCCAAAGTGGAAAGGGAACTGTGAGTTGGCCACGACATCCATCCAGTCATGGCGCTGCATGTGGCGGTGAAGGAAGCGTGGAGGGAAAAAAAAAGTCCCCGCAACCCCACTTACCTCTGGCGACTCAATGATTAACTCGTCCAGTCTGAGCCATTGCTGGAATGGGGACTCGGTAATCATGGTGAATATCGAGTAGCCGGTCCTAAAACTTAGTATGGCGTTATCTACGAAGCCCGTAGTGCTATGGCACTAGGCAGGAGAGGTCTGGAAGCCTCCGGACTAAAGCAGCCTCGTGTGACGCATGCAACTCTGTTAGACTGGATGAGTTGTTGACAGGCTGCATATAGGGCTCGGGGGCAAAGCAACGGGTTCGTCGCAATTGGGGGAGGAAAGAGGGAAACCCGGTCTCAAGTGCACCGGGGTCCGAAGCATCGAGGCTCAGGGAGGGGCCGATCGTCGGGCGATGAATGGACGGAAATTGGGAAATTCGGGGCTATGACGAACAGAAGGCGAAAGGGGATGGGCGAGTTGTCATTGCATGGCTCTGCGCGTTATGGCTGTGGTGCCAGATGGGCTTGGAGACGAGCGATAGATTGGTCGAAAGACGTAGTATCTCTGCAAAGATGCCGGGGAATGTTCGAGGACGTGGAGGAGGGTGGTGACACGGTGTAATTCGGCGGATGCGTGTCAACGGGGCATATTAGTTTTTGGTCAGGCTTCAAGGCATGCAGAAGAGCCACGGTTCATTAAGGCGCAGTGCAGCGAGGCAGTTGGCAGGGCAGTTTTCCAGGGTATGGGGTGTTCCCAAGGCTTCCAAATGGGTGCCTTGCGGCGACATCGGTTCGGAGTAAGCAGGGTATCTGGGGCCAATGATGGCAGGGTGTTGCAGTTATTTTCCATGTCTTCGGTGGGCCATCTTTGGCCCCGAAAGCAAGTCATTGAACCGGGTGCATGGGTGGGGGTGCTCTTCCTAGGCGTCTAGAGCGCTTGTGCTGCATCGCTCCTGTCTTTCTAGCCATTTGCGGGTGTGAGGCATGGTCTCTTGAGCAATAGCCGCATCAAAGCGGGAAGGGCAGGTATCAGCCATTTCCTCATGGTCTTCTGTGACCTGACCTGGTTCATTTCGGTGACACAACGGGCCTGTCGGGTTTTGCAGCCGGGATGGTTCTAGTTCGACGGATACTTGGGCCTGAAGACATGGGACCACAAGTCTCGGTTGAATCGTTGCCACTTTCTCCACGTTTCGTCGGGCCATGCAGTGATGTCCAACCTTTGATCTTCAGGCCGTGTGACCCTGATGCTCTGTTCTTGCTGCCTTGCAGCCCGTTTGAGTTTGAGGATACTTTGGATGCGTGAGACATGGTCCTGTCCCTGGAAGGAAAATGGCTCGGGCTGAAGTCCGTGAACTCGTCCATTGCCACATCTTCCAGTACGGAGTCAGGCCCGCTCTTCTCACCACCCCTCCGGCATACTGAAGAGGATTCGGGCAAAGAAACTGATTCACAGTTAGCATCCAAACTGGATCCTGGAGCCAAGTGTTTGGGTGAAGGGGGTACAAACAAAAGTTCTATGCCATACCGGTTCTTCTGTAGGTCGCAGGCGGCGCCCTCGTTCGACGAGCGAAACAATCTCGAGTCTCGAGTCAACATCTGCAACCCCAGCCACCGAATTTTGAAACTCGGGAACTCTCGAGTGAGGAGGGGCGATACGGAAAATGGGAAGAAATCAAAGAGGCAGGTAAAAAGACGGGAAAAGTGGGAGAGGTAGGAGAAAAAAGGCGCCGTAGTCCATTTTTATACTTCAATCCCTCAGCTCCACCACCCCCATGTGCTTCACCATTCCCTTCCCCTCTTATCCAACTTTTCAGACGGGTTTCCAAGGTTCCGCTCGGACCCAGACGGTCAGACCAGAAAGGCGTAGACCAAGGCCGAAGATCCTAGAGTGGAAAGACACGGGAGAGCGGAAGCCCTAGTGGAGGCATGGCTGGTCTCCCCGACCAGACATCGTCGATGGCTTCCCACCCGGAGCGGGGTCATGGCGGTCCAGAAGACGAATCGGCGAACAGAATCGGATCAGCAAATGCAGCCGTAGCTCGGGGATTGGGGGTTACAGACGGAGAGGGGGGCGAGTCCACGCCTCCATGTCCCTCCGGGGGGTCCAATGGCTCCATCCAGGCCTTCTCAATCCTTGCCCATCCCTCCTCACTTCGTCACGACAATGCCCCCGCCGGGAGGAAGACTCTCCGGCGAAGGCTATAAAATCCCTCGTCTGGTCTGGCAGACGAGGGATCCCTCCTTCTTCCTCTTTCATCTCTCTCGGCTCATCCGTTTGCAAGCCCTAACCTTGGCATCCATCACTTCAATCTTTTATATTATCTCACTCACCCTCAGCAATAGACTTATAGTCTTGCACATCATCACCTCTTGCACATAACCAATCCTCTCGCCAATTGTCTAGCACCTCACCGTCATGGCTACTCATCGCCACTACTACCAGCCCTCCGCTGCTATGCACATGCCCTCCAAGGCACCGGTGCCAGCCAGCATGTATCCGGTATCTCGACTGCCAGGTTCGCCACCAGACTATTCTGACGCCAGCACCACTGCCGGCAGCCGTTCCTCTGGCGGGCTCACCTTCAGCTCCGCTGGCGGCGATTACGACTACTCCAGCTCGGCGTCGTACTCTGGCGTTGACGTCGTGGACGTCTTGAACGACCGCATGCAGAATTCATTCGACCCGACACCACTTGACAGAGGAATGGCGAAGCAGGCGCAAACGTGAGTATCTCATCGCGCGAGCACCAATCTTCCAGTTGGCGACTTGACGTTCTCGCAACGAGAGCAGCCGGTCCAGAATTGCCCCTTGACGTTGAAAGCACTTGCGATTGGCGAGACATCGCGCTAACAAAGCTGCACCTGAAACAGATCCGGCCATCTTAACGCAAAGCAGCAAGAGCTGCTAGAACTGCAAGCCCTAGCCCAGCGCCGTCTGAAAGGCGTGCGAGCCAACTTCAACGAAGGACTCAAGACCGCCCGTGAGACGAAGAGAGATCTGGAATGGACCCAGAAGCGCGTCAGGTAAGAGATCCCCAACAGCCCCGAGCATTTCAACCCCGAAGGATGAAGTTGCAAGTTCCGCCCCGCTCCGCGCAGGGGGAGGTGAGATAGCCTCCGCTCCGCCGGGATAGCGCTTGGCACGTGCACTGGGATCGACGGGGGCAGAGAAACGGTGTATGCATGAAATAGAAGGCTAACAGGCGACTGCCAATAGCGCGCTGAAGAGCAAGGCCGAAAAGGCCCACCCGGAAGAATACCGGCGGGCCGCGAAGAAGTACACCTATGATGAGTACTGATTCGGTGGTGGACCCCCTGAGCCACCCCTGTAGTGTGTTTCAATGCTTAATCTGACGACTGTGATGAATTTCGGACAAACCCGGGACTATTTGGGAATATGGGACGGACTGCTTTGCTATTTTGGGTTGCGATTGGCGTGTGAGTGGTTTTTGTGTGTATAGCTCTTACCCTATGTGGGTTCTTGGGACTCGCCACGATGTATATTGATGTGGATGCCGTGAATGGTACTCGTTTTACCTGTTTCAACGTATTGCTGGTGCTTTCCAGCCATTCAGGGGGCACTGATCCTCGATCTAGCTTGTATCGTGTCGTAGAGGCGTACTCGGTATTATACGTAGCTAACCCTAGCTAGGGTTAGAGTCTGAGTAGGATGGTGGCTAGTCATAGGCTGTGAGCTTCTCAAGTTGGGGCCATGACTATGGGTAGCTCGTATGCTAGACCTAGCAGGGCTGGATTAAGTTTAGTCCTTGTCTTAGTCATTTTCATTTTGCGTTGGGCTTGCTGAAGTACTTCTTATTTAGAAGCATTGGTATTTGTTCAATGCCTCTCTAAAAAGGGTGTCGAATTTCCTGTTCTGGTATTCCAAACCTTGGAAGCCGTGGATAGTGAAAGCATCAATTGAAACTCCAACCGGCAGTTATAGACCGACCTGATCCGTCCTTTCAACACCTTATTGTTATCCTGGCAGGGTAGGGTGCTTAGCTATTGCTGACATAGGACTAAGGACAAGGAATACAAGAAGGAAGTTCTGCACGCAAAGCTTGTCATTGGTGTAACGGTTACAACTTTAAGGCTAATTCTATCTATATACTATCACGAGAAGCTCTGCTCTTCAATAGCCCGATTGATCACACGGACAAAGCGGCCAACCTTATCAACATCTTGCTTAGCCGTTTCAATGCCAAGCAGAACCTTCTTGATACCAACACTGAGTCGGCCGTCATCTGCCAGACCACCGACTCCCTCAAGAGCCTGAGCAATTTCTTGAGCGTCAAATGCACCGGACTGTTCCATGACATAACGCAGCTCGCCAAAGGAGCTAACATTCGGAACCATAATATCCGAGTTAAACGAGTTGTAGACGTCCAGCTGCTTCATCAAAGCACGCTCAGTAGTCGTGGCCAGAACCAAGAGGCGGCGGCCATGTGTAGGCTGCTTCCTGAGGAAGACCATAAGGGCCTGCAGCACGCTGTTGCTGAAGCGAGGGCCGATGGGCACCCAGTCAATGATTCTCTCGATGTTGTCAACGACAACGATGCTAGTTTGACTCTTGTAGGCACTCTCGAAGATGCGACTGATGTGCTGAATCTTTGCCGGCTCACTGTAGCCAACCATATCCTCCGGGCTGATGAGCTTAATGAAGGGGAAGCCGGACTCGATGGCAATGCGTGCAGCGAGAGCAGTCTTTCCGCTTCCCGGGGGACCATGCAGCAGGACAGAGAAGAGTGGTGTGGATTCAGCGTGACCGACCTGCTTGACGAATAGCTCGCCTTCACGCATAATCTCGTTGATGACATTCGAGTAATGGATCACGCCGTACTGGATGCGGCTGGAAAGCTCCTCCTCTGAGACACCGAACGCGGGCTTGACTTCGTCAAGTGCTTGGTGGAAGTCAGCTCGGTTGACCTTCATATTGACCACATCATCGTTGATACTAGCCATCGTGCCGACCTTGACATGACGGGAGAAGGCAAACGATGAGGCTGACTTGACCAGACCGGCAATCTCGGCACCGGAGAAGTTCTTGGTCAATTGGGCAAGCTCCGCCAAGTCAACATCGTGGTCCATGACATTGTTTGTTCGCATCTTCTCCGTGTGGATCTTGAGAATCTGGCTTCGACCCTGCTCATCGGGGAGCGAGATCTCCATGTGGACCTCGAGACGACCAGGACGCAGCAACGCCTCATCGATCATATCCATACGGTTGGTCATTCCGATCAACAGGATGTTGTTGAGCTGGTCAACACCGTCAAGCTTCGACAAAAGTTGGTTAACAACGCTGTCACCGACGCCGGTACCACCACCTGCACCGCTACCACGCTGCTTGCATACGGCGTCCAGCTCATCAAAGATGATAATGTGGAGACCACTCTCATCACCCTTCTCCTTGAACTCCTTTTCGGCATCTGCAAACATCTTTCGAATGTTCTCCTCAGACTGACCCACATATTTGTTCAAAACTTCTGGTCCATTGATAATCTTGGGTTCTCTGGCGTTGAGCATCTTTCCAATTTGGCGGGCAATCAAGGTTTTACCAGTACCGGGGGGTCCGTAGAGCAAGAGACCCTTGACGTGTTGAATACCGAGTTTCTCAACCAGGCCCGGCGGGAAGATGCGAGACGCAAAAGCACGACGGAAAATTGTGCTGAACTCGGAGTCCAGGCCACCGATTCCCATATCCTCGAACTTGAAGCCGGGCTGGATGATCGAGTTCGCAGCGGGGCGGCGGTTTGAAGGTTTGACATTGATTCCGGATTGAGAATCCTTGAAGAAGTTTAGCTGTGTATGGCGGGTAACAATTCCTCTTGCCAAAGGATCAGTCTCGATTTCCCCAGAGGAAAGGTCGGGCTTCTCCGAAGTCAGATCTACCCGCTGGACAGTCTTGACATGTAGAAGCAACGGAATGCTTCTGTTATCCATCAGGATCCTTTGTCCAGGGGCAAACAATTGGTTTTCGAAGTTCTGATCTTGTTAATAAACATCCAAATGTTGCCGACGGGCTCGACTCACTTTGATAACGGCATTCGCCAATTCATCCTGGTCGTACGCAGTCTCCACACGCTTCTTGATGGACGCAAAGCTAACTTCGATATCCGCAGATCCCAGGTAGGCCTGACCACCTTGACTGAATGGATCATACAGCTGTACTTTGACGGCATCTCTCATACCGATGTTTGCCCATGTCCGCTGAGGGTCCGACATGCTAATAAGTCCGGGAGGGAAGCCCTCGAGAGGGCGGGCGGAGAAGACATAGAGGTCATTGATGAGAAGGAGGACGTCGGTACCGTCTCGAGAAGGAGGGATATCCTGGGGAGATACGGCAACACTTGGGAAATGTAAGTATTGATCGGCAAAGGGCTAGAAAGATATACATACAGGTTACCAAAAGTGTAGTTCTCGTTCGGGCTCTTGCTGGGGTTGAGCATCCAACTCGGACCTCCACCTGGCCGACCGGCCGGAGGCCGGGCAGGCATCTGTTGCGGAGATCTTCCCATTGATGGTGGCGGTGCCCCATATCCCCTTGTCACAGTAGAAGCGTCAGTCATGGGCACATCGTAATCGCGGGAACCCCCAGCGCTGGATACGGGGGCAAGGCTGCTGTCATACCGTGGAGGTGCTTGGTTCGGGTTCGAGTAGCCTTGGGGCGAGGGACGCTGACCGCCAGACCCAAAGGGATTTGGGACTGATGGAAGGTTGTTCCGATTAAACATGATCGGCTCGTGTGTTGTTTGGTAGCCCGAGAGTGAGAGGTGTAGGAGGTTGACGGTGTTGCGGTATCGCCACTCTGTCTTCACGGGAGCAGGCAGCGATGTAGATCAAACCCGCGTGGGCAAACGATGTGTGGTCCGAAAGGATGTACCGGGGTTCAGTACCTTATTTCACAAAGACAGTAATAATTGTAAGATAGTTGAAGCTGGCAAGTTGTGAAGCTGGGGAACTCAGTTGCGCCGGGAACAGCGTCGGGCCGTGGGGCGTTATCGATAAGACAGCTCCGACTGGGCTGCTTCATCCATCAACCGCCGGCCCACGATGCCACTGTGAGTCTTCTTTGGCGCTCTTCTATCGAATGTTACTGACATGAAATAGCCATCTTCTCGGCAAAAAGTCATGGAACGTCTACAACCCAGAGAATATCGCCCGCGTCAAGCGCGACGAGGCACAGGCCAAGGCCCGCGAGGAGGAAGATGAACGACATAGGCAAGAAGCCGATGCCGAGCGTCGAATCCAGATTTTGCGTGGAGAGCGCGTGCCTACACCTCCTCCGCCACCATCTCCTCGTGAGTCGACAGAAACGGGAGCTCGGCAGGACAGAAAATCCCACGACGGCCCTGGGAGATTCCTCAAGAGACGCCGCCTGGCTGGTGAGGATGATACGGACAGAGACATCAGAATAGCCCGAGAGGATGCAGCTCAGGCTATTGCTAAACGAGAAGAGCTATCTCTGAGTTCACAGCGGGACCGTAAGGATACACAGGTCCCCCCTATTGGACAGTGCTGGCCACATTAACCTGTTCCCGGAGCGCGCAAACAAGAAAGCTGAGAAGAACCTCGAGGCCGAAGCCGAGGCGGAGCGAAAGCGGCGCGGCTTTGAAGACCAATATACAATGCGACTCTCCAATGCGGCTGGGTTCAAGGAAACTGCTGGCCGTCAACCATGGTACTCGTCCGGTGGCCAGGCTGCGACAGCACCGGATGCAATGCCCGAGAAGAACGTATGGGGCAATGAAGACCCGATGCGCAAAAATCGAGAGAAGGCTCGTATGGATGTCAATGATCCTCTTGCAGCTATGAAACGCGGTGTGCGCAAGTTGAAAGCGACGGAACAAGAACGAAAACGATGGCACGACGAGAAACGAAAAGAGATCGAGGACCTCAAATCTGATGAGCGCCAGCAGTCAAGACACCACCGGAGGAAGCGTTCAAGATCCAGGGATAGTCTTGACGATTTCCGGCTCGACGGACCGGCAGTCAAAGACCGAAGCCTTGATGAAAAAGACCAAACGAGTTCTCGCCGGCACCATCGTCACCACCGAGAAAGAAGCCGGGAACACTCGCGTCGGGACCGTAGTCGGGACCGCTCACATCGGCGGTCACATAACTCTTCAGATCGTGCTCATCGCCATCGCCATGATGAACCCCCCGTGATGATCACAGGCGTTCACGAAAGCCAGAACCAGGCAAAGTTTACGAGAAGCGTTGATCGCACTACTTTTAGTAAAGATTAAAATAACATTTGCTTTTTTCGTATGCAGGTTTCATTTCATCGGAGCTAGATTCGAAAGCCATAACCAGGTCGCAGAATCTATCCTTCTCTGGGTATAGTCATCTCTATCCATGCAAGTCGTCACCGAACCCTGTATCTATCATGCCCATGAACGATTCAAACAAATTTTAAACAACACTTCGTTTATTGGAGGGACCAGTGCTGGCCACTCTTGGTGTTCTCGTCTTGCCACTCGATGGCAAGGTCCAGCAGGCGAGATCCCTTTTCTTTCTTCTCGTAACCAATCTTGCCGTTGATGACCTGTCCCTTCTTGAGAGGCTTGGCTTGATGTTTTCCGTGATCGATGAGACATATGGTCTGCATCCAATGAGTCTCAGTTCCATCAGGGCCGGTGGTAAAGGCCACAATGCCCTTCTTCTGCATGTCCGAGGGCACCGCATTATCGGGGACGGTCGAGTCCCTGGAGGGCATGAAGAAGATATCGAACCAGATAGCCCAGCCATCAAGCGCGTCAATATCCTCCTTGAGAGTGACCTGGAAGTCCTTCAGGAAGGTCAGTTCGTCGACGGTGATTGTGTGCAGGGGCAGCGGCAAGAACACGGCCGAGTCACCAGCAATGGATGTGGGCTGATTGCTGCGAACGAGAGCCTCGTCATAGATGTTCAACTTCATGCTGTTCATCTTGAATCCATAGACATTATTCCAGAAGGAAATGTGGGATGCAATGAAATCCGGGTCGGCGTAAGGAGCAATCCGGAGCGTGGCGTGCGAGGGGACCATGAGACCATCGGGGGCGAGGTAACGGTCCCTGGCGTAGATGACGGAATCAAACATGGCCTCGAATAGGAGGGCGTAGCCCATCCATTCGGAGATGATGATGTCGACCTTCTCCACCGGCAAGGTGACCTCTTCGATCTTGCCGCGGATGCAACTATCCCATGTCAGTGAACTATGTACCTAACAGGCATGTATAGGAAGGGCCCTTACGTGATGACGTCTCCGAGGCCATTGTCGTACACAATTTCCTTGGCCCGGTCGATGATGTTCGAGTTGTCAACCGAGATGACCTTCTTCGCTCCAGCCTTGGCGCAGAACATGGACAGGATACCAGTTCCACAGCCAACATCCAGAACAACCTTGTCCTTGAAGACGTGCTTGTTCTCGTAGACGAAATCGCGATAGGCATCGGTACGAATAGTGTCCTTCAGCATGGACTCGTGGATTGCTTTTGAAATGCCATTAGTAAAAGAAACGAGAAACATAGAAAGGAAACCCCAGGACGTACTATTGTAGGAATAAGAGGTGAAGTAATCTTCATCGGCCTCCCCAATCTTGTCGGCGGGGGACCTCTTCACATAAGCACCGGGCTCAAGCTTCTCATCCTCCTTGTTCAACTGGTCTGCCAGTGACTTCTGCACTGCCAATCTGTATTCGGAAAACTGAGTCTGCAATCGTTCCAGATCCTCCTGAAGTTCAATAACTTTGCGCTCTGCCTCGTTACCAGATGCGGGTTCTGCGTCCTGATCCTGCGCGATGTCGTCAAGACTGTACAGAAGAGCATCGTCCTCCAGCACGGGCTTCATATACGCATCGTCGGCAAATTTGACCTTGGACGAAACATCGGGGGTCTTGTTTCCGGCCTTAACTTCGGAGCGCACGTAGTTAACCAATTTAATGGTATCCAGGAAGTCCAGGCCTGCCATAGTACATATCGTCAGTCACATATTTCCAAGACGTTTCGCAAGCTCCAAGGCATACCAAGGTCCTTCTGGATCTTCAGCAGGTCGAAATTGTGCTTCTCCTTGCAATCTTCTATCATGGAGCGCACATCAGGGAAGACCTGCTCTGTGAAAAGTCCGACAACGGGCTGCGACTCATCGTCGGGCTCGACATCTTCCCAACCTTCCTCGTTGCCAGAGTCGGAATCGTCCGATACCGAGCGCAAATCGGCGGGAACATCGTCCACAGGGGGCTGAGCAGCACTGGAGGATGCCATGATGGATTCAAGTGCAATTGGCAAGAAAGGGAAGCAGATCGTCCTGGTGGAGGGGCACAAGTTCGCCGATAAAAAAAAATCCGTTATCAGAGCCGCGGCCTGAGGCCAGCCGTTGCCCCCGCCCCGGTTTGTTTATTACTGCCGTATCACTGCGTACCGCCCTTCGATCCTCGAGCCTCGATCTTCGATCCTCGATCCTCCCTCCACACTTAAACATTCAAGTCCATGGCTTTCTTCTTTAATCGTGGCCGGTCGCGGCAGCCTGCCGATGTTGTCCGCTCGACCAAAGAGCTCTTGCTGAGACTCCAGGAATCCCCCAATACACCCAAGGTCCGAAGCTCGAGCCCAGTCGTAAGACGGAACCGCTAACATGCTAAGTAGGCCGAGGAGGACCTCGCGAAGCAGCTCAGTCAGATGAAAGTGATTGTTCAAGGGACACAAGGTTGGTCCCCGTTTCTTATGGATGATTTGACGCCGAACCCGGGGCTTTCGGACTGAATTGGAATGCATGGCTGACGTCTCTGAGCTGTAGAGGTCAACACATCGCCGGACCAAGTCCACGCTTTAATCCAAGCAAGTGTTCAGGACGATTTACTCTACGACCTATCACGATCAATCCATCTGCTCCCCTTCGAAGCCCGAAAAGATACCCAGACCATATTCTCCCACATCCTGCGTTTCAAACCCGCCTCGTACCTGGACCCCAAAGAACCTCCCAAAGACCCCCCGGTCATCTCATACCTTGTCCACCACCGACCGGAGATCCTCATTGAGCTATGTCGAGGCTATATGCAGAGTCAAAGTGCCATGCCATGCGGTGTGATCTTAAGAGAGGCGCTCAAGTTTGATGTGGTCGCTGCGGTGGTCCTATATGATCAGTCGAAAGAGGGAGAGCCGGCTGTACGCCTTTCGGACTTAAAGCCCAACCTCCCCCAAAAAGGTGACGGCGTGTTTTGGAACTTTTTCGATTGGATCGATAAGAGTAATTTCGAAGTTAGCGCCGATGCATTTACAACTTTCAGGGTAAGAACCGGGCAGCGAGGAATCAGGTAAACGGTTGTGACTGACGCGTCTGCCTTAGGAAATTCTGACCCGCCATAAAAACCTGGTGACTGCATACCTCGCGACCAACTTCGAACTGTTCTTTGGGCGATTCAACAACATTCTGATCCAATCTGACTCTTATGTGACCAAGCGACAGAGCATCAAGCTGTTGGGAGAGATCCTGTTGGACCGTGCCAATTACAACGTAATGATGGCTTATGTGGAGAGCGGGGAAAACCTCAAGTTGTGTATGAAGCTGCTGCGCGATGATCGCAAGATGGTGCAATACGAGGGGTTCCACGTTTTTAAGGTATGTTCTGCCGATCCAGGGGGACGAACCCGCACTGACCAGCGCAGGTATTCGTGGCCAATCCGAACAAGTCGGTGGCCGTGCAACGGATTCTCATCAACAATCGCGACCGACTTCTTAGATTCTTGCCTAAATTCTTGGAAGACCGCACCGACGACGACCAGTTCACCGACGAGAAGAGCTTCCTGGTGCGCCAGATCGAACTTCTGCCCAAGGAGCCCGTGGACCGGAGCCGACCTGCTCAGTCACAATCCGGAGTCAACACGGCTGCTGTGGCTTAAAGTTGATCTAACTCTGGGCCGCTGGATCGCAATGACGGTTTGTTTCGCTTTTTGTTATGCCCGTGATGACATTTGAGGAAGTATAGCCGGGATACTTGGCCTTACCCCTTTTGCATTGGCAGCTGAAGGTCTGCTGGTTTCACAGCCTCGGCTTAGTGGAGTTTCACGTTTTTTCTATGTACACATGTTTGCTTCGGGGGGTTCTCCAAAAACATTGAATTGAATTCTTGTATTGCTCGGGAGTAGATCAACTCGGTAGCCTAATGAGCTCCCCCCGCAGAAAGCAATATAAAATGGCTATAAAAAGCACACTTCATCTATAGAAACCCGGGAAGAATAATACGCCGTGGACCGTTCTAATCTAAGGACAGCTAGCGCGCTCCACACGGTCTCCTTGTCTGGTCTCGTCGGTCCCACTACGGCGCGGCCCAAGTTTGTTGGTGGGACAAAAGATGCGACGCCCCTAGAATTGAGATTTTGGCCCTTGACTATTCACTCCTTTTCTGGTATTGCAAGAGATTGGCCTTCATTCCTTGTTTGCGTGGAATGATAAAAGCGGCCACCCGCGCCAAGCCTCCACCTACTCCATATCTTTCTCTTCAATTTTACTTTCCAGATCCCGACGAAACGGTGATGCGGGATCACTTGTCGCTCCTTTACGCTTCCCTGTGATCCAGATCCAGATCGACTCTATCTCTTTCGCGTCCCTTTGGCCATGCCGGGATCATGGTGAATGAGGCTCCTGCATCGTTACCCGTCCCGGAGTCGCGTCCGACCACCCATCCAGTGCCCGACGACACTGATCCTCAGCGCCCGCCCGCCATTCGCTCGGTCTCACTCCCTTCACCTGAAGATGCGCTACAGGACATCAATGGCCGATCTTTAAGCTCCAGCACCAGCGCCGCGTCGCCCAGTCCTAATGCCCGCCCCGCCAGCGCCGTCGCGGGGGTGAACTATTCCAGGAAGCACCAAGGATTAAGACCGTCTACGTCCGGGGGAGATGGAAATCGGTCGTTCAGATCGGAAGGCGATTGTTCTGGTACACCCTCGCTGCACAGCGTGCCCAGTATTGTGATCAACGATGCGGCTTCCCGTCCTAGCTTGCGTCCGGGCTCCCGGCCAGGGTCTCGCTGGTCGGAGCGCAAATGGCCTGGCTTGAGGACGAGATCGACGGAATTGGAACGGAAGATGAGCATGGAGGAACAACCACCGGTGCCTCAGATTGAACCCGCATTCAGTGGCATTAGCTTGGATATCCCGACGGGGACTTTGGATGGACTGGGGCAGTCGATGAAGTTCTCGAATCGTGGTAGCCTTATCAGGAAGGACAAGAAACGTCCACATCCAGGACCCAGACCCGAGCAGGTTTGTGAAGAGCCAAACGACCAGCGCTCCGAGATAAGCTCTGAACCCGCATCGGAGGCACAATCCATACAGCAAGACATTGACATCACACCGGGCCACTCCCCCTCACTGAGACAACCGGACGCTGAAAAAGACATGCCCAAGGTGACTCCGCGACGTCCGAGACCGCAAAGCACACTCTGCCCAAGACAGACCAGTCTTCAGAGTAGAGCCATTTCTGCCGACGAGGACATGTTGTCCCGTCGCGTACGGCTCATGTACGAGAAGGGCGACGACGATGTCACTGACTCGGACGTTGCCAAAGCATTGGCATCAGATAATGGTGTGCTTTGGGAAGAGGGTACGCCCGACGCGGAAACAGCCTCAACCCCTGGCCCCAACCTGTGTGTTCGGAACGGGAATCTCGGGTCAAATGGCAGGGCATCTGCCGAGGTGGAACGTCTTAGAATGAAGAGGGAGACCCAGGAGCTGGCGGGAGGAATTGAGTACTGGCAAAATGTTGGTGCAGGGGATGTAGACCGCTATGGCTTTATCCACGCACCCCCAGACAGCGCAGAGCCCCATCCTATTCAACGAGTCACTACAAGTTTGCTGCTTGCCTCTGAATCGCCCCGTCGCAAGCGTTCCATTCGACCCCCGTCTGCCCTGACTAGCAGTCGATCTTTTCATGGTCGTTCCCCAACCCGGAAGGGTTCCCAAAGCTCTGCAGGACCCCGTCCATCTTCGTCGGCGAGCACAACTAGTGCGCCAATACGGCGTTCAGCATCACGTCTGCGTTCTGCCACCAATCGCCTTCCTCACAATCGAGACCGAAAGTTCACAGACGAGGCAGCCGACATGCTCACTCTTCCGGTGGATTCTCCTAGTGGCGACGGGCTAGACACCCCCAACGCGCGCGCGATACGCAAAAAGGAATGGGAGCGCGAGGACAAGTGGACAAAGATGGCGAAGCCGACCAAAAAGAGTAGAGATGGCGGCGGCATGACATTCGAATTCGATACACAGAGCTCGAAATTAATTGAGCGGACCTGGAAAGGTATCCCAGATCGGTGGCGAGCAACTGCATGGTACTCTTTTCTTGCGGCCAGTGCGAAACGGCACCCGGACAGTCCGTCCGAGGACGACCTTATTGATGCTTTTCACGAGTACCAGTATGTTTCTTCACCGGATGATGTTCAGATCGATATAGATGTGCCGCGCACGATCACTAGCCATATCATGTTCCGACGGCGCTATCGCGGTGGGCAAAGACTCTTATTCAGAGTCCTTCACGCTATGTCATTATACTTCCCTGATACCGGCTATGTGCAAGGTATGGCGGCTCTGGCGGCGACTTTGCTGGCCTATTACGACGAGGAGCATGCATTTGTCATGCTTGCCCGACTCTGGCGATTGCGCGGTCTGGAGGAGCTGTACAGGTCTGGATTTGCCGGGCTGATGGAGGCTTTGGACGACTTTGAACGAGAGTGGCTAGCTGGTGGTGAAGTAGCCACCAAGTTGGTAAGATCAATCCCCAAAACTGGACTTTTGAAACCACTCGTTGACACATCTTATTACAGACCGAAGTTGGAATCCCACCTACAGCTTACGGTACTCGTTGGTATCTGACTTTGTTCAACTATTCCATTCCATTCCCAGCTCAGCTTCGGGTCTGGGACGTTTTCATGCTTCTTGGAGATTCTGAGGATCCTTCCGTTTCCACAAGGCCAAGCACATCCTCCGGTAAAGGAGGAAAGAAGGATGGGCCCGGACCACAGTCTGGCACGTTTGGCCAGGGCCTGGACGTGCTCCACGCCACCTCGGCTGCGCTGATAGACGGCATGCGGGAAATCATCCTCGAATCTGATTTCGAAAACGTCATGAAAGTCCTGACCAGCTGGGTTCCAATTAAGGACATCGAGCTGTTTATGCGTGTCGCCAAAGCGGAATGGAAAGTTCACCGCCGCAAGAATCCCCACCACTAATTCTCCTGTCAATTCCCCATCTGCCTCGTTCAGCTGCACACTTTTCTTTCCCTATTCATTGTCATGACGGCCTTCATATACCCTAATGATCGGGCCGAATCCTGAAACACACGATGTCTAAAATTATTATACCCAGCCCCTGGCCTAGTCATGACCGTTGCGGGATACCAGGAGCAGTCTTGTACTGTTCATCTTATTCTTAATACCTATGTACTCTGCCCTATGTTGTTCCCTTCCATATTTCCTACGCAGCCCTCTTCAAGCACTCGTCTTCTGCCATGATGGCCTTGACCCTGTTTGGTTTCCAAGACGATACCTTCCACGCTCCCTCCCTTTTCCTTGACTCCACTGTTTCTAATTCGCCTTGTGTCCTGAGGACTTGTGTATATGTTCACTTTCTTTTCACAATTGGCTGGTGTCCGGGCCATTGTCGTGCACCGCGAAGGAGCGAGTGGACTGTCGATACGCCATTGTTGAGTCTATTAATACATAAAGAATAAACTGATACCCTCTTAACCAGAAATCTCCACTACCAGTGTTCATCTGATGATAGACCCTCGTTGTAACCATTAATCTTCACCTCTTTGTGCAAAAGTTGACCAAGACAATGTTTACCCCAGTAGACTCTTTCCACCCTTCGCACCCAAGTTACCCTTGTCAACATAAGCCGCCTTGAGCCAATCCTTAGAGCGAAGATTCGTCCCCAACTGTTGCTCATACACTACCTTGATATTGTAGACAGTATCCAAGCCAACAGTATCCATCATCATACAAGGACCCTTCTCCGCTTTGAACCACAACTTAGACATCTCATCAATCATCTCCCCATCACTGACCCAATCCGCCATGACAGGCAGACACTCGCGCTTGATAGCCGCCCAGATCAGATTTTACACCAAACCAGTCAAGTCCTCCTTCGCATGCACTGGCTTGAATGCAGCCGTTGCCGCCTTCTCCATTAGGAACGGGAAGATTTCCGGACCAGTCTGTCTACACGACATGGTCTGCATTCCCGTGCTATATGTACTGGTCAAGGCTATGCCAGTGTCAAAGAGGCTTACGCTTTAGGCACCTTTAGACGTGGTCTTAAGATTCTTAAGAAAAATGAGGTACCCTAGCGTATATAGTAATACCATCATCTTTACCACTATTAGGCCTGTTGTATACCACTTTCCTCTATACTTTCCGAATAACTTCCTTGACTATAGGGTTTGGAAGGTTACGCGATGTTATATCATGTAAATGTTCCTTGTCGTTATTATTGTTATTTTATTAAACCGAAAACTAAACAAAGTAGCAGAACGGGAGCATCTTAATCAGAGCTCCCACTCTCAGGGATGAGAACCTGGTAAGAAGATAGAAGATGAAGAACCAGCATGCTGGCCATCGTCAGAGCCATCGCTCTTATGCCCCGCTTCAGATTCAATGGCAACCCCCGGATAAAACTTCCGGTCCAATGACCCACTTGTCATGTCTGCCAACTCTCGAACTGAACATCCTCCAATCATTTGCAGAACTGGAATATCAACATCCAACTCCTGCGCAAACAATCGACGCAAGTCAACCGCGATCAATGAGTCGACACCAAGTTCGGTTAGTCGCGTGTCGGTGATGACGCTGCCGTCCCCGACCTGGCTGGGAAGATGCAGACGGTGATGCAACTTGGCTGTAACAACAGCCTCGACAATCTCCACCACTTGCGCTATTGTGGTTGCAGATTTAAGCTGCTCGGCGAGAGGCACCGCTGTACCCGACGATACGGGGGGGCCATCACCTTGGTGATGGTAGCGGATGAAAGGCCAGACTTTGGGAGTGCGGAACCAGAGAATGTCTGGGTGTACAGCAGGGTCCTGAATTCGGATACCGCCTAACAGTGACAAGACAAAGTTGAATAAAGTCCCAGTCTATGCTTGTGTATTTGACATAAAGCCTAGAAGATAAAGTAGAAAAAAATATCTAGACAAAGTGTCAGGCTCCCTGGGCAGGCCGACGTAGAAAATATCATATTTCACTGACCCATGTCATCATTCACTTGGGCTGGCTGGACAATGCTTACCACGAGGCCGCGTGCACGGCGATGGGCTGCCAGCTCAAGCAGGAAGTTGCTGGCAGCTGTGTACGCGGACTGGCCCAGGTAACCAATGGTGGCGACAGCACTACCAAAGAGGACGAAGAAGTCAAGGGTTGGCTCCTCGCCAAAGATCTCGTCAAGCAGCAGACTACCCGGGACCTTGGGTGCGAGCTGACCAGCTAGAAGGGGGAGATCCGCATCAACAAAGAGCCGGTCCCAAAGCACCATGGCCCCGTTGAGAACACAACCCAGTGGCGGAGAATCCGCTTTCAAGCGCTGGGCGAGGGAGAGGACTGATGCTCGTTTGGTTACGTCCACGAGTATGATTCCAAGCGTGCCCCGGTAGTGTGGTACAGCTCTGCAATCCAGGCCGGGTCAATCTGTGGGTTGCGGCTAGTGAGAATGACATTGCGCGCACCACGCGAGATTAGCCAGTGAGCGATGGACTGGCCAAGGGCGCTGGTCATGCCGACCAAAAGGTATGTCTTCCTGGGGGAGAGCTGCACCAAACTGCTCTCTGCTTTTATGTGTGCCTGTACGAAGTCGGGGGTGGATGTAGCCCAGTCGACAATCATCAGGCCTATCCTAGAGCAAGGAAGGTCGGCGATAGGAACAATGACAGGAGGTGAGCTGGTGGACTGGGTGACCAGCTGATCTGCAGTCACGGTAGCAGTACGCAGAGCTTCGGTCAATCTCTGCAGTTGAACTGCAGATGGAGATGCAGATTGCCGAGCAATGGTCTCCGTCAAAGTGGCGAGGAGATGCTCTTTGTGCATACCCGACGAGCCAACTGCCGACACCATGCGATCGAAAAGCCGATCAGTACTCGGATCAAGATTCACGGCGTTCGTGATTCCCCGTGGGAGTTGACGAGCCAACGTTCGCAGTGGGTCATTTTCGTGCACATGGATGCTTCTTCCTGGGCCGATAGACGACTTGCTGGTGGTTGTGAAGACAGGCCGGATGGTTTGTGCAGCAGCTTGGATAGCAATAGCGCGACGAAGGGTGTCATCGTCCGCGCCGTGCACCAATACTACATCGTCGTTTGGCTTGAAAACAGTGGCAGCAAGCAGAGACGAAGCAGTAGCATGGAGATATTCCGATTCTTGCTCCGCGGAAACATGGTCCGGGACCTCCCAGAAGCAAGAGGAAGAAATGACGCTTGCGAATCGGCTAGTCAGAGCTACCAGCCTTGTCTTCATGACTGAATCCTTTCCAAGTACCAACATCAGGTATTCACCGCGATTGATGCGGAGTGCGCGAGAGGTAGAGTATCGCACATCGATGATGGTCTCGCCAACCTCAGGTCTCACTTCCCCAACAAGGCAAAGTCGAAGCTGTTTATCTGGGGCCTGGTCAACAGCGACCACCTCCCTATGTAAATCCTCGACTGACTGGACAACCGGACGGCGAACAGCTGCATAACGGGTGTTCAAACCATCACTCGCGTTGATGCGCGGGAATAGGAAGTTACCCTCTCGGTCCACTCGCAGCTCCAGCTCAGTGCTGTGAAGACAATTGGTGAGTGCAAAGTCATTTTCCTGGGTTGTGAAACCCAAGCGTAAGAGCTGCTCTGCTAACATTTCCGGCTTCGCCTTAGCCGGGTCAATGACATTGAGGTACTGGAACATGGCCGGCGCATGCTCGTAGTTCATGCAGGTGAGGAAGCCCTTGCTCAAGCCAAGATGGGGTCTATCTGTCTCAGAACCCCCCGTCACCCAGAGTGTCTTGTCGGCTGTTCGCACAAGGGTTTGAAGGCCAGCTAGTCGTGACTCAGTCAAATCCTGGAAGCACGGGTCTCCGTCTAGATCGGCCAGCACCAACACCACGGCTCGTGGACCCGTTGCGAAATTGTCAATGGCAGGGTAATACTCCATCGTTGCAAAGAACGGCTTGATCAATGCCGTGATTTCTGCCACTCGATCGGATGACCCCCCGACAATGACTCCTCGCTCGAACGGAGGTGAAGTTAGAACTGGAGACAATGGCTTTCGCAGATTCGAGATCCGGTCGTCCACTGCCTGGGCCGCGAAGACCGAGTACATTGTCAGATCACCTGGAGGACGGTCACTAATCGTATCAATCCCTCCAAAGCCTGTCTCTTGGAGCAAGTTGTTCCATCGGGATGCCGACACCATGGGCCCCTGGGACGACCGTCTTCATTGCCGAGCCACTATCTGTCGAGGGCACACCCCAAAAGACATATGCGAATGGTATGCAAATTGGTGATCTCTAGCGCAACGAGATAACCGCCTGGCTTGAGGAGCTGTCGTATATTGCGCAGGGTCTGTTCCAGGGAAGGAGTAGCATGGAGCACGTGGGCGGCGATGATCACATCGTAGGCATGTTCTTCGAATCCTCTCTTGACCGGGTCCTGGCCAACATCCAGCTTTTGGAAGATGAGGCGGTCGGCATGCTCGAGCAGTGAGTTCAGCGTATCCTGAAAGAGCCCGGCGGAGATGTCGAGTGAAGGTGTAGGAGTGGTACGCTCTCCCAACGTGGCGATGCACTTCTCGTGTCGCTGATGCCATGCCAGCCGCCAGCTTCAAGGAGCTTCATTCGCGGATACCGTACAGCCAGATCATCGACCAGCTCTCCCACGCGATGGTTGACATATTGAAGTTCCAATTCATCGTGGTTAAAGGTCGTGCGCAGCTCGTCTTCTTGTAAAGCATCGAGTATCTGGGCTTTGGCCCGGAGAAAAGGAATCATAATCCGGTCCTCGATTCATCGAGCAACGGGGATCACGACAGACACCGAATGGGGGAGCGCGGGAGGTTGGCCGGGCGGGAACATGATAAGCCAGACGAGGTTTCCGATCTGTTTCATGCCGTCGGGTGACATGCTGAAGTCGGTCTCGTTCGCACGCTTTTGACGATTGAATACATCTTGGAATGAGATGTTCAAGGAGCCGGAGATTTGATGGTCTCCCATCGATGGATCTCGAATGATCTCCATCGTTTGATCGGGCTTGATGTGCGATCCATTCCGAGTTTCGCAAAAAATCCATCGATGAATCGTAATCTTTGATTGCCGTGTCACAAACCCCTGGGGACAGACCCTCTCATTCTCCACCCTTATAGAGAGGGCGACGTTTACCTGACCATTAGACTCACGAAGCCAGAAATCGATATCTTGCGCCAACTTATGGCTACTTTCACTCCAGGCGGCTTCGACAAGGACCGTAGGCCATTTCCCATCTTTTCCACGCCCTCGGACTGCTGGTTTCCACGATGAATCAGGGCATTTCTTTCTCGTAGGTCCTGTGAATTCGCCCCCTCCTGTGGGGATAAGAACACTTGTCGCTTGAAGCGCCCAAAACTCGAAAACCCGACTGAAGGCCCTGTGGGCCACGTCATGAATGGTACTAGGCATTTTGAGAATGATGGTGTGAGAAATGAAGTTGTAAGTTTTCCATGAGTTTGTCAGGAGCGTTTCTCCCGAATTCTCGAAACACTCGCGGAAGGAACGCTCATCCACATCGGAAACAACAACGTACCCCCTGCGGTTGCCTTCCCTATCACAACGCTCTATCTCAAGCTCAAAGCTTCTGAGACATTGTTCTAAGCCTTGGTATTGGTATATTGGCGTTGTAGCAGGAAGACCTTCTTCAGCCATGATAGATGAAGCTGTATAATGTATTAGGAATGATTGTATTAGTCTTCCCAGATGTATAGAGAGAAGAACACGAAGCGGGAATGTTTATAAGTTAGGGCAGTTGAAGATTCCAGGCGGTTTCTGCACCCTGCGTGCTGTCATCAATCGTCATCCATATACTATGTAGAGCGAAGCAGGAGGAGACTTTGTTGTGGCCTTTGGTTAACGGTACCCACTCGGCCACACCGCCCACGCGGTCACCCAATTAAATAATCGCATCCTGACCCGTCGTTCTGCATACATCTCCACCATGGCTCTAGACCGCACTCGATCAGGCCGAAACTTAAAGAAATCAGCTCTAGTTGCGACGTAGCCGCCAATTGAACATACCACGTTCGACACTGAATAATCGTATTAATAGCCACCGATTTCGCATCGAACAACTGCACGATATTTTAACAATCAACGAGCAAAACAGGAGGATCCGAAGGTGATTCAAGCGTGTTATCGAGTGCAGTACGTTCTGCGAGCTATAGGCTCTACATTACTGTAGGCTTTACATCTGTAGGCTTTGCATTACTGTAGGTTCTGCGAGTGCTGTAGGTTCTATATGGCTGTAGGTTCTGCGTTGCTGTAGGCCCTACAAATCCTATAAAGCCTACGAACCCTATAAGTACTATGAGGCTCTATAAGCTATACGGACCCTATAGCGCTATGAGCCAGGATACTACGCACCCTATGAATACTGCGGGCCCTATGATCGCTGTGAAAAAATGCTTAGCTAATCTTCGGTAAATATCTTGAATTTGCATAAAGGGTAAAATTTAATAAAATCCAGTAGACCTATTTAGATTCGGTAAATGTAGTTTAGACCAGCTCAGCTCTTTAACAGCCAGGAACGCCCGCGGATGACTAGTAAATAGCCAAACGTAAAACCAATATCGATTACTAGTCTTTAAAGGGTATAATAGTAATTTGACACCACAATTCGATTAAATTCACTAAGGAAGCCCGGTTCTAACGGGCCAGTCCCCGGCTGAACCTATCGACCCCGCTCGGCCCCTTCCTCTCGTGATTGCTTATGTGTTCTTTGTTGAGGCGCTGAAAAACGAATCTGAGGAAATGGAGATGGTGATCATTGGTACTGTGCTGATGTTTAAGGCGCTAAAGCCTCGTCGTAAGGAAGGTTTTTAGAATGCATGAGCTGAGGGGAGGTGGATGACCGGGATGATGGCAGCAGGGGTATATGGTATAGTAAGCTGCAAGAAGGTTACCTTAGGTTTAGCAAGTGAGAAGAATACTAAAGGACTTTTGCTTCTCAATCTCTAACGTCTATAATTATTGCCTCATAGCCTACGGCTTCCTTTGCTACCTTAGGTCAACTGATTGGCCCCCAATGGCGTTCTCGGATTTTTCCTTCTTTCCGCTCCTGTTCATCCTTGCTCTGGACGCGATATATGGCTTTGGCTATCGGAATGGCTTCCTCGAGCTCATGGCCAGTAGCTATCGAGCTCGTAGGCTATCTGAGACCACCGAGCCTCTTCAATGTAACATGACGAACACGGGGTTCGATGAGCTGCTCGACAATCCGATTGTCTTCTACTGACCGGTGATCAACGGGAACAATCCTGCCCTCAGCCTTCAGGCATTCTACTTCTCCGCCCCGATCGTAGCGATGTGGACGGTGATGCAGGTCGAATCCTGGTGGGATTCGTCTCCTGCGAGATGGCTACTTTCGTGGGTCTCCCATCCAACTCTTATCATGCATTTCGTGTCTGCAAGATGATCTCATGCTGTCATTCCAGTCCCACGTTCTGGGCCCTGCTCTCCTAAGTCATTGGTATCGGTGCCATCGTACCCCTATGGTTTAAAACACTTAGTCCACCTTGCCTACGCGGCGAAACGCATTTTGCGCAAGCGTATCTGCGAGCGGTGGATGAAGCAGTGGGAGAAAGAGAAGACGGCTTGTCCGACCAAGCAACTGGTCAAGAAACCGAGTCGGAAGACGCTGGAGCTATACAGTGGACTGTATGTATAGATCGTACGCATCGATTCTCATTCAAATGAGGTCGACGCGCATCGGCCTACGGCATTTCCTGTATAAGATCAATAAATCCGAGTCAGATCGATGTAGCTGCGATACTAGATCTCAAACACCGAGACATATCCTATTGCAGTGCCCGCTGTACACCGATCTACGACGAACCATGCTTGACAAGATCGCTCGCACCGATCTTGGACACACGATAGAGTACGATGACATCGTATCTCACCCGCTGGCGGCTCGCTACACCGCCGCAATAATACACTAAACAAGTCTCCTAGGTCATTTCCTTCACATTGAACCGAAACAGTACCCTAACGACGACCATGAACGGGCAGGTCCTACAGCCATGGTGGTGGCAGCCGGACTAGATGATAACCAGGCGTAAGAACCTGGGACTATGAGTGATAAATACTCAGTTCTAGTTAATCCCTGTGGTAACTTTTATGGCACCTCTAGCCTCAAATTTCGAGAGACTAAAGGATCTATAGGCCACACTTTCATGGTTTGTATTCACACTGAAAATCAAAATACATGGGACTTCTACCCTTTCGTTCTATTGTAGATTTCTGTTCTCCATGAGTTCCCCTTAGGACACATGATTGAGCTAGTAGGTTTCGAAGACACTGAGCAACCAAAACTGTACACAAAATGACTTAGCCACCGAGAATGGCAAGGCTACTCACCATCCACCGACGGCCTATAAGGCTACGATAACGCAATTAATTGAGAACATGGCAGTTAAGATTCTGATGCTCGAGGGGCATGAGCAAGAGCAGAGGAGGATACGGAAGAGTGCAGTGGACTTTGGGCTTATGGGCTCGTGGGCGTTTGGGATTAATCTACGTTCGTTTCTGCGCTGATCTCATTCCAGAGATCAGTTTTCCTTTGTATGGTCTTGTTTATAGGCGCACCTGGTGTTCAGGGCATCAAGTTCAGCTTCGGTTCGGACGAAGCGCCTGCATAGCTTGACGCAACTAGTTAGGCCCCATCAGCATCAGGTTAATTGAACTTTGATTGATTGATTGGTTGACCCCTGTGGTTTATCATTCACTTGTGGTTGCACCCGGCGCCTCGGACTCTCTCAGCCTCGGGCGCGCATGCCGTCAAATTGCCGCCGTTCTGCATGATTCTGGGATTCGGGATTCCCATTTCGGCCATAATCCTTCCGGAAACGATGGCACCAGCATACGTTCAATAAACAGACAGCTATTTCCGCATGACAGCTGTGGGCTGTAGCCTTTGTACGTGTCGAGTCTTCGACGGGTTCTGCGCGCGACAACAAGCCCGAAAGGGATTACGGCACCCCAAGCATCTCGGCATGAATACATATTTGCATTTGCCATGACGGCGATATCTCGTCTCGTCAGTTGGAAATTAGCCTTCGGCCTCGTCCCGGCGAGTCTCTTGGCAGATATCTCACCGTGGGGGCTTAACGATCGTGAAGTGCAGGTGGCGTCCACGGCAGAAGGGGCATTGTGGTTTTTGCAATGGGACCACTTGACAAGGCTGGGGGACAAGAGACCGGAGAGTCGCAACAAAGACAACCACTGATCGGAAGGATTCGTCCGTCGGATAGTTGCAAAAGGATTCCGATCGCCGCGCCACAGGGTCCTGAGACCAAACAAAGAGCTCCAATTTTCAGCGCCAGCCAACAACCAGTCCGGACGCTCTCTTTCCCTGGCCCCTGCAGGTTCATATGCAGTTCCCAGAGCAAGAAGCCACTCATCTGTGTTTTTTTTTTTTTTTTTTTTTTCGTGCTGCTTTTCGTACTTCGAGTTTCTCTCTTCTGGTATCCTCTGTTTGTGCTTTTGGCCCCAGTTCTGACTTCGAGACTCACGTTTTGTTTTTTACTGCTTCCACGTCCATCGCGTTTGAATGCTGCCACTCCTTCGCTTGTCTTCGGTTCTTCTCCCTTAGAAGCGATACAGAATGGAAAACTCTACAAATGACCCTTCTTCAGAGAAAGGAGCTACGACGCCTGAAGATAACCAGGAAAGTACAACTCAATATGTGAGCGGCGTCAAGCTCGTTGCGATCGTTTCGGCCGTAACTCTGGTTTACTTCCTGATTCTATTGGACATGTCCATTATCGTGACAGTATGGTCCTCAGCCTATCTTCCTCTGGCTCTCTGCGACTGACCACACTTCATGGGCCTAGGCCATACCCCGCATAACTACGCATTTCCACTCTCTCGCTGATGTAGGTTGGTACGGAAGTTCCTATCAGCTGGCATCGTGAGCCTATCTCCCACCCCATCTGTCCCAATGTGTGTATGCACGCTTATGTTTGCCTGACTCATTCCAGAGCTTCTCTTCAACCACTGGCCGGAAAGGTCTATTCCAATTTCTCGACCAAGATCACCTTCCTTTGCTTCTTTGCAGTGTTCGAATGCGGCTCCATCCTATGCGCCGTCTCGGTGTCGTCGAAAATGCTCATCATCAGCCGTGCGGTCGCAGGCATTGGCTCGGCTGGATTGATTAACGGCACACTGACTATTCTGTCAGCCTGCATGCCGTTGGAAAAGAGACCCAGTATGTTCATAACCCCCCCCTGAACATTCACACTTCTACGAGGGAATGGCTGACCGGGATCTCTCTAGCGGCTTTTGGTATCATGATGGGCTGTACGCATTCCTGCTCCCACCCGAATTTACACAGCTGACCAAACAGTTGGCCAACTTGGTATTATTATCGGGCCGTTACTAGGTGGTGCGTTCACGGAGTATGTCTCCTGGCGGTGGTGTAAGTCATAGTCTCCCTTCATCCCCGTATACAACATGTCTAATGGATAGTCAAGGTTTCTATATCAACCTTCCGATCGGTGCCATCGGCGCAGTTATCCTCCTGTTTACCCGCATCCCTGCCGCCATCAAACCTCGCGACGTGACAATATGGGTGGCTATCAAGAAGCGGTTCGATCTGATCGGGTTTGCCTTGTTGCTTCCAGCTTGCGTGATGTTTTTCTTGGCTCTTGACTACGCTGGTCACCAGTTTGAATGGAACAGCCCAACCATCATCGGCCTCTTCTGTGGTGCCGGCGTGACGTTCATCCTCTTCGTCGTATGGGAGTTCACTATGGGCGGTGACGAAGCCATGGTCCCTTACTCAATGATCCGTATCCGGGCCGTCTGGTCCAGCTGCCTGGTGATGCTTTTCTTCTTTGGAATGCTCGAACTGGCTTCTTATTACATGCCGATCTACTTTCAGTCTGTGAAAAACGCAACTCCGTTGATGAGCGGTGTGTACATGTTGCCGAGTATCATCAGCCAGTTGATCTCGACGGTTGTGGGTGGGGCGCTTGGTATGTGAAGGGCAGCGAGAATCGTTTTGATGGCAGTGTTAACCGTGTAACAGTCTCGCGCGTGGGCTACTACCTCCCCTTCATTATCGTGTCCGGTGCCTTGTCATCCATCGGCAATGGGCTCATGGGTACTCTGTACGCCCACAGCTCAGACGGCAAATGGATCGGGTACCAAGTACTCCTCGGTTTCGGTCGAGGACTGGGCTTTCAAATCGCTGTGATCGCCGTCCAAAGTTCGCTGTCTGCCGACCTCGTGCCCGTCTCCATGGCCCTTATTTCATTCTCCCAAACTCTCGGAGGCGCCGTTTTCCTGGCTATGGGGGAGACACTCCTGACCAACAGCCTCAAGACAAACCTGCCAAAGTTAGCTCCCAAAGTCGACCCAAACACCGTGGTTGATGCCGGAGCTACGGGAATTCGCGATGTGGTCAAAGATCCCGTCCAGTTGGAGGGAGTGATTGAGTCGTACGCGAAAGCCGTCAATGTGATCTTCTACGTGGCGGCAGCCTCAGCTGCCCTGGTAGTTTTCTTGTCGTGGGGAATGGGATGGAATGATATTCGCAAAAAGGAGGATCCTTCTCGGGAATCCGAACCGTCTGCTCCGTCGACGTAAGCTGCATCGCCGTTATCTTGGCCGTATGTTTGTTTATCTATTTTCAGTTCAGCTGTACTTTTTATATATCTGTGTTATATTGATACGACCCCTGAATCGGCTATTTCCACTCAATCTGTCAACACCTTAAGGATCACAAGGAATCTCTCTATCCGTTTCCAAATTCGGCCCCCAAATCCCCCGTCGGGAGACAACACCGTGCATATGCAATAGCAACGCCTCCAGAGTAGCCCTCACCATCTGACATTGATACGTAAGATGTTACTGTACCAAAGAGGAAAGCCATTCGCCAACAAGGTGCAGCGCCAAGAAACGCGCATGCAGGTTCCACAATACAGCCTTGAAGGATCGAATCCTTCAAACCTTGAGCAACCACGGCGCTAGTCTCGGGCCGCGATCCGGCTATCTCACCGTGGGGGGTCGATCTATATCCACGGACCCTCCTTACCTCAATATATTGATGTGATGCTATCGTGTTACACCGCATTACATTCCCGTGCAGGGCATGATCCGCGGAGCATGATTCCTCAGCTCGTGGCGGAATGTCCCGGTGTACGTGCGGCTGGTCCGGGGGCCTAACGAGGCTTAATCTAGCCCTGACTAGGATGAACATCGCGCATATACGTAAGATCGGGGGATGGATTGGCCCGGTGCTTCTGCATGACCCTGATTGTATGATCCCCTTATCGTGCTATATGACTGTCATCACTGGAGGCCAGTCACGACTTTGAGGGAATATCACTGACAATGGAGGAGAAAGGCTCATTCAAAGTTATTATCATCGGGGCCTCGGTCACGGGTCTCACCCTGGCCCATTGTCTTCATCGCGCCGGGATTAACTATGTGGTTCTGGAGAAGCATGTCGAGGTTCATCCGCCGATTGGCGCCGCCGTGGCTATTCTGCCCAATGGTGCGCGAATTATGGAACAGCTGGGCATCTTCCATCATGTTGAACAGAAGTCTTCTTCGATCCAGCGGGTGCATCTTTGTTTCCAGGATGGATTTTACTACGATAGTCTTTCTCCCAGTGTCATACTTGAGAGGTTGTTTCATTCCTATCGAAGTATATCGCATAATTACTGGAGCGTAAAGCTGACAACGTGTCGATCAGATTTGGCATCAAGTTCGCTTGTCTGGAGAGGACTCAGCTTCTTGAAATTTTGTATACGACCCTCCCGGACAAGTCAAAGGTTCTCACGAAAAAGGATGTCGGGACAATCACTCCGCACGGAGCCACAGTCTCTGTCACCACCGCTGCCGGCGAAGAATTCCAAGGCAGTTTGGTTGTAGGAGCAGACGGCTTGCACAGTCTGACAAGACGCGAAATGTGGCGGATCGCTGATATCGAGCAGCCGGGGCGAATCACACTCAAAGAGAAACGCAGTGAGTTGACAGGCAATTTCACCTCGCTATTATTTCTGATTCTTGGCAGGTATGGGGGTTGAGTTCAGCTGTATCTTCGGCATGTCTAACCCCATCCCGGGTCGGGAGGGCTGGCAGCACGTAATTCGACTTGGCCCCGGGTTCACAATCCTGATATTCCCAGCAGCCGCAGACGGCTTGTTTTGGGTGCTCATTGAGAAGCTACCACGAAAGTATACATATCCCGATGCACCGCGGTTCTCGCAGGACGAAGCCGTTTCGCGCTGCGAAGCAGCTGCCAATTTGCCCATCTGGGATGGAGTCCGGTTTCGAGATATCTGGGCTCAGCGCCGGGGGTTCCGGATGGTTGCGTTGGAGGAGAATCTTTTCCAGACCTGGCATCATGGCCGGATAGTCTGTATCGGAGATAGCATGAGCAAGGTATGTAATTTAGTCCACACGACTGGATACGACTAATACTGGGTTTGAGATGACACCGAATATTGGTCAAGGAGCCAATACCGCCATGGAAGCAGCTGCCGGACTGGCCAACATGCTCCACGCAATCACTCAAGACAACAAGCTTCCCTCGACCGATACGATCGAACAAGCGCTTGTCACGACCACCGCAAAGCATCGCAAGCGTCTCGACGCAATTCACATGGAATCCCGCTGGATTACGCGGCTAGAGTCATGCCAGGGCTGGCTGACGACGGCCTTCGCGCGCTACCTAGCGCCACATTGTGGTGATCTCTTTGCCCTAGGTGTCGTGCGCAATTCCTACAACGGCGAAGTGCTGCAATTCCTGCCCTTGACGGAGCGTGCGGGGAAGAACTGGCCAGAGTTGGAATGGTGGAATACGTGGGGCCAATCCAAGTGGCGGGAGGTGAGCCAGAAGATGGGCTACCTCTTTTTCATTCTGATCATTTTGTGGTCTATCAATTGGATGTCGAGAATTGCTGACCTGTGAGAGATCGGGCTACTTCCCATAGTGAGATGTCACTTTCCTTAGCCACCTGGGCACATTCTAATATACAAGTTCCATCGAAACTGTAAGCAGGTTTAAACAATCTTTTCAATTGTTTTAACTACCACGCAACTTTTCCTGTGATATAGGTGACGGTAAGGTGATTGACTCCCTAAGCATCGGAGTATAATTAGTCTGTCCCACGGTCTATATCACGTTGGTATTCCAAGAAACGCTTCTTCTAGATAACCCACTGCCAATTATCCAGCGTAGACTTTCATATGATTACGATATTTGAGGTTGGTGCCTGTTCCGTACGGAGCCACCCTGAAACCTGATTGGTGGGGATTCTCCGCCCCCTAACAAGCCGAAAAAAACCTCACCCTCTACCTAATGATACAAATTTATGAATCCCCGCATGCAATTTCTACCCGTCGAAGCAGTTGAGTGAGGGATATTGAACTTGAACAGCATTGACTGGGAGTCATGGCGAGCAACATTCTCGGTGAGCTGCTCGGCCCCGCCGTGGTGGGTCGCTTCAGTAAGTGATACCTCTTGTTTGTGATGCTGAATGGACCCTGGCTGATTAACGTGACAGAGGCAAAAGACCCGGGACCACTTCAGAGAATCCAGGGGCTCCAAGACTGGCTGAAACCAACCGACTCGGATTCCCCAGCAAGCGAATATAGAAAACACCTCTACTCCCATGCCCCAGGGACCGGTGAATGGATATTTGAGACTGACCAATATCGCGACTGGAGCACGACCGATTCAGTTGGGAATCTCTGGATCAGAGGAATCCCTGGTTGCGGCAAGTCGGTTGTCGCAGCTAATTTGATCAGTCGACTCCAGCAACTCAACAATGGCCCCGTCTTGTTTTTCTTCTTCAGAGAGATTGTCCACAGTAACCGATCGCCGCAGTCATTGCTGCAAGACTTTTGTCATAAATTGATCGATAGCTCCCTTCATCTTCAATCTGCATTGGAGCAACTGCGGAAGGATTTCCCGGCGGTGGAGTCTGTTCCCTTTGACCAGTTTTGGGAGTGCCTAGCAACGGGTCTGCAATCGGTAGATAGGGTCTACTGTGTCGTCGATGCTCTAGATGAAATGGAACAGGGACATGACAGATGGCTTGAGCAGTTCCTCGACTTGGGCCGTCAGTTTCCCCGTTCGATCAAAATTATCACCACTAGTCGTCAGGTCCCTCATGTGGAGAAGCACATGCAGGGTACTTGCATCGTGGATCTACGTCTTGACCGTCTGCATGTTGACCAGGATATATCTGTTTTCGTCATGCAACACCTGAAGGAGTCTCAACTGGATCTGGGGCTGGCAGAGATTGAGGATATCAAGAAGGCTATCTGTGAAAATGGGAAAGGCTTGTTCTTATACGCAAGACTTATGCTTGATGAGCTACTACGGGACCCTAAAGACATACAGATTCGCGTGCATAATCTCCCCAATGGGTTAGGAGACATGTATACCAATCTCTTGCGGGATTGGGCCACACGGTCAGGAACCTCCACACATTTCCAGAGGCTTATTCTCGAGTGGATTACTCATTCAGCCCGACCACTGCGCCTTCTCGAGCTTACCGCTATGATCGAATCATTACCCGACCGCGGAGGCCTTGATCCAGAGTGCAATGTGAAAAATGCTGTTCGAACAACTTGCGGACCTCTTCTTGAGGTCTGCGAAGACGGTGCTATCCAGATTATCCATCACTCTCTTACAGAATTTCTTCTCAATCGCGATGTCGAGCATACCCAGATGATGCATCGAAGCCGTGACTATGCCACAATTGACCCACCTGCTGTTCATACGATGATCGCACGAACATGTCTTCAATACCTCACCAATGGCCCTTTACGGCAATGGGAAATCACAAAGCACGGAGGCGACCGGCCAAGTGATAGGAAATCGCTTTTCCTGAAGTTCTACTTCCTCCGCTATGCTGTCCTAGAATGGCCATTTCATGTTAACAAAGCGGGAGGCTCCAATGACGAGCTTCTGGGGCACTTGGACACGTTCTGTAAAGACGGCAGTCATGACTATGAGGCATGGAATGACATTTGGCGAGCGGATCGAGATGACATACCTAACTGCTGCTCTGTTATGCATATCACTGCCTACGCCGGACTAGTCCCATTTGCTAGCTATCTCCTTTCCCGAGGATCAGATCCAGATGTCAAAGACGAGGATGGCCATACACCTCTGGTATACGCAGTTATGAAGGGTCAACATGAGATGGTCAGCATCCTTTTGCAACATGGTGCTTCTCACGATATCAAGATCAAATCGAAAGATTACACGCCACCACAGTCCTTGATTACATATGCGTGCAGGCTAAACCATGTGACAGTAATTCGTGCCCTCATTAATGGAGGTGTGGATCCAATGGCTAAAGATACGATCGGCGGCGGAATCACCAACAGATTCTCTCGTCGGCCTGATCCTTGGGATGGCCCAAGTTATCCGGACCCCTGTAAAGATGTCACGGCTCTCGCATCTGCGTGTGAATATGGACGCGTTGGGGCTGTTCTCGAGTTGATTAGACTTGTGGATCCATTCTACCTCTACAAAGATAACCTTCTTCACTTCGCTGCCCAAAAGGGCAAAGATTGGATTCTCTCGGCTTTACTGAAGCATGAGAAGGTTCGACTCGCCATCAATGATCGGGATACCAACGGTGACACTCCAATTTACCTAGCAGCTCGCAATCGAAGTGCTCCCACAATAAAAATTTTGCTTCACCATGGCGCGGATGTCATGATTCGATCCATGAACAAAAACTTTCCCCCAGAGCCACCCATTGGGGAGGAAAGTCGAATCACTCCCGCACCTCTTCCAAGCTATACGCCTCTACATGCATGGGCCTTTGGCATTCCGCGAGGGTACTACAACGTAGCAAAGAACCAAGATTTAATACCTTGCCTGGAATTGCTACTCAATGCAGGCTGCGATATCAACGCAAGAGACCATAGAGGGCGCACAGTGCTCTTCGAGTGGCCAAGGCTTCATTGGGCAGACATGAGTGGTGAAGATCTCGTTACTGCTCTCCTTGAGCGCGGTGCTGATGCTACTGTCGTCGACTTCAACGGAGAAACTCCTTTGCACAGTACAGAGAGAGTTAATGAGAAGGTTGCCAGGCTTTTAGTCAACCATGGCTGTAACATCAATGCACAAAGGAGGAAAGACGGATTGAGCGTCCTCATGTGCAACGCAATGCAGCAAAATCACGGTGACCCCTCGATTTTCCATGGACTGGGGGCGGACTTTGACCAACAGGATTGGCTGGGGAATACAGCTCTCCACCATAACTTCAAAAGACGTCCCGCAGGCAAAAGTTGCCATATTGATGGGTGGCTGTCCAAATCAAACTTGCACATACAGAACCATCTTGGCAGAACACCTTTGCATGAGTTTCTTTATCGACAAAATGAAATGACCAAGGAGAAAAGAAGCGGGGAGAAGAATATACCTGAAGACCTCGTGGAAATGATCAAACGCGGCGTTTCGCTCGAAAGCCGGGACGGGCTCGGACGTACAGCCTTGCTAATTGCACTGGTGGGTGAAGAGCGCAATTCTTTGAAGCTGGTCGAGGAGTTACTTCGACTAGGAGCAAGTGCTCAGGCAATAGATTACGAAGGAAAATCTCGTGAGTTCTTGTCCGCAACCGTATATTCCTGTCATGGAAATGCTGACTATTCTTAGCTTTGCACTATGCTTTCAAGCCATCCGCCAATTCCACGTATCTGGTGAAAGATGATAACAGATGCGTGCTTGCTCAATGTCTTATTGATGCTGGAGCGAGCATAGAAGCCATTGACCACAAGGGAAACAACATCTTTCATGACTTCATCAATGACAAGATGATTCAAACATGTGGTAGCTGGTCTGATTTTGAAAAACGCGCTGAGGCGATTATAGAGCTCGGGGTTCCCTATCGACAGGCTAACTATCAAGGAAGAACAGCTTTACATGCTGCTGCTGCCATTGAAGATCATCTTGGGTACAGCTTCAGGGGAGGAAGAACACGACTAGAGTTCCTTCTTCAGTCATCTATGCACTTCGATGTCAACGCCAAAGACAATGATGGAATAACTCCACTGCATCTGGCGTCAGCTGTCTCAGACATCAACGCACTGACTTTGATTCAACATGGAGCTGATATTCAAGCGAAAGACAACGATGGCCGCACACCTCTTCATTTTGCCGCCAGGGCAGGTCAAAGCAACGTCGTTGGCCTCCTACTGGAAATTTATCAGCATCATTCAATTCCAATTGACCACCAATGTGTCAAGAGAAGATCTGCTTTGCATGAAGCTTCCCAGTCCGGCAGCCCGGAAAGTGTGAAACTTCTGCTCGATGCAGGGGCAGATCCCTCCCTGTCTGACGAGCGAGGCCGAACAGCTTTACATGCAGCGGCCGAAATTGAAAACACAACTCCGGCTCAGAAAGCGCAGATTCAGTACTATTCTGAGCCTCCCTTGCTAGCAAAGCCGGAGCTTACTTCTCGACTGCGAAGAACCGAGAAGAGTGATTTCGACAAGAAAGATGCTTTCTCTCGCATGGGCCTTGGGATCTCCCATGATGAAGACGCCAGATGCGCCGGAGAGGTTGTTCGATTGTTACTGGCTGCTGGGGCGCAGCCTCATCAAGTCGATGAGAATGGCCATCATCCATTAGATGTGGCTGTGATGCTTGGTTGCGCTCCGGTTGTTCAGGCGCTGAAGCGCAATGTGACCGAACCCCCGGTGCACTCCTTAGATCCTTTCCGCGAGTCACTTCTGACCTTGAGTGATGCCCAAATGCTAGATGTTGTCAGTTCAGTCCAAGTGCCTGACAACTATATTGAGTTCCTGGAGCGGCTTTTTGCAACGGGTAACGAGGTGCTAGTTGAGGAGTTCATCCGTACCAAGCAACTGAAGTTGTTCGACAGTGACGACAAGTCTAAACGGGCCGGTATCTTTTTGCTTCCACGCCTGGGCTTGACCTCCATGATGAAACGACTGCTATTATACCTGGACGATGCCACTAGTATGATTCCTACTCTTCTAGCACGCGCTGCTGAACGGTCTCTCTGCAACCTTGAGATGGTCAAACTTCTGATGCAACAACTTCCCAGAGAGGACAGAAATGTTTTGGCAGCCTCTTTGGCTGAATTCTCCGCGGGGAAGCGCTGGTGGCATCCTAAGGCTCTTTCCATACTTCTTGAAGGAGGTGTCGATGCCCAGGCTCGAGTGAGCGCCGGCTCTCAAAGTGCTATCAGTAAAGCTGTATCGACCTCCGACGGAACGGGAAAAGCGCATCGCCACAAGTGGAATGGCGAAACTCTCAGGATTCTGCTCAAACATGGTGCCGATCCCAATGATGTACGAAGTGAGCGTGAAAGTCCACCCCTGCACACTGCCGTTCGGAGTGGTGCGGACGCAGAAACAATCACCCTACTTCTCGACCATGGGGCTTCATTGGATTCTGGATCTTCCAATCTAATTAATTCGGCAATTCGTCAGAACAACCTTGCTATGATTGAGCTCCTATTGAAAGCCGGTGCCGACGCGAACGGCACAGACAATAAGAGAGAGGTCCCTCTCCTGCAACAAGTTCCTCCCCCACAAGGCGGATGGGAGTCACGGAGCGAGCGCGAGGCTGTCATGTCTCTTCTCCTTCGGTATGGTGCAGATCCTCTCCGACCCATTGAAAATGGATCCACGACTGTGCTTCACGAACTCTGCGCCGAAACCTGTAACCCTCCAATTGGGCCTATTCTGGCCGTGGGTGTAGACATCAACATCATCGATAGTGAAGGACGCACTCCACTCATGAAAACCTGCATGAATAACAGGGATTTGGAGACAGGTTCCGCAGTTCTCGAGTTGATTGAGGCTGGAGCAGACATTCATGCGGCTGATCACGTTGGATGCACCTCATTGTACTACGCTGCTGAACATGGGGGTGTAGATATCGTTGCGGAGCTCCTGAAGCGATCGGCTGCGATATCCGCACGTAACACCGAAGGATTCACGCCATTGACTGGAGTTCTAAACACCTATGCCGAGAGCTGCACGTCGAACCATTTCGCAATACTGAATATGCTTTTGGATGCGCGTGCGGATCCTCTAGGTGTTTTGCCTGATGGCAGAACGGCCCTTCATTGCATTGCCACCGCACTCATGGATTCCAGCAACGTTGACCGGAAGGAGCAGATTAAAGAGGACGGGGGTGAAGATCATTTCACCGAGGCAACTTCGCTATACCAACGTTTTCTCGACGCAGCATGTGACCGTGAGGCGTGCGACAACAACGGGGATACTCCGATATTTCACTATGTGAGGGCGCCGAAATCTTACAATGGCCATGACCACCCGGATTTCGCTCCTATGCGTTCCTCAAACCCTGAGGACTATACCAAAATGTTCGCAGAGCATGATGTTCACAAAACAAACCTTGCCGGAGATACACTGCTGCATGTCATTGCTCGTCGGGGGGAAAGCCCCTGTGATACAGGGGATGACGAAGTGTTGTTGTTCAAGACCCTTGTAGGTTTGGGGCTTAATCCATGGAAAGAAAACAACGACGGTCAAACAGCATTGGACATTGCCGCGAGTCAAGAAAAGACCAAGATATTGGCGTTGTTTGCTCGAAAGGAATAATTTGATCGCCGCTAGAAATGCTAGCGGTCCATTATTTACAGGAGTCCCTTTAATCAACCGCTTTGTTATCATTGGTTCTCATTATAAATCACTTGGTCAGGGCACTTGGGCTAGTGTCATATTTCTTACTCTCGAAGTTTAAAATAAAGAAGAAGAAAAGAATACATAGGTTGCACGGATACGAAAAATTTGCACATATATTGAAACTTCAAGTATTTTTAAACAATCTCTTCAACTGTTTCGACTGCCACACAACTTTCCTTATAATCTACGTGATGATAAGGTGAGTGAGTCACCCCGCCGCCCTGGGTGGCTCTCTAAGCATCAACCATTGGTCAGATAACTAGTTATAGTAGTAATCATTTTATCATGGAGGTCAAGCCCAGGTGTGGAAGTAGAAAGATATCAGTCTGTTTAAACTTGTCAAGCATGCTTGTCGCTTTATGAGATGTACTGGCAAAATTCGAAGGCGGTGGAGTCGCGCCCTCGATCAACTGTTTGTCTGAAATCGCGCAGCCATTCAGGAGAGGTCTCTTCTGGCCATCCAGTCCGTCAGGAACCCATGAGATAACATACCCTGCTTTTTTGATGTTTAACAGATTGTCTGCCAATGTGTCGCGAATTTCATCACCTTACTTACCTTCGCGTACGCCTCGATGATCACACCCTTGACAACAATCTACCCGGGTTCCAACGCCAGCTAGAAATCAGTCTCCCCTGCAAATCACCCGCCGCAGGTCTGAGCCAATTTGATTCTCTCCCCCTTGAGATACTGTGGGATATAGTTCCTCGGCTGGACCTACAGACACTCTCCAATTTTCGACTCGTCAATCGACGGGCTTACCATCTGCTTGGCTCCCATCCTCAGTACAAGGCAATCATCACACATGCACGCAATGCGCTGTATGGTATTTTGAGCATCCAAGCTGGTAGATGGATTACTTGTAAAACACTATACGACACACTGTGCACGTCAGAATGTGAACACTGTGGCGATTTTGGTGGATATATTTATCTGCTTGGATGCAGACGCGTATGCTTTCTCTGTTTGTCGCAAGAGAGGCAGTACCTACCACTCCTGCCTACCCACGCGTGTCGAAAGTTTGGACTCGACCGCCGTCTCATCAATGATCTACCTCACATGAAGGTCATACCAGGTATCTATTCACCGAACGAGAAGAAGGTCAGTAGATCTTCTACATTAGTGGACTACGAATCTGCTCTCCATGCTGGCGTTGAGCTACATGGATCTCTGAGTGCGATGAATAAGTATACCTCCGATATGGAAGCCAAGCAACACCGGAAATACCAAGCAAGAGCGTCGGGGTCACGCCAGTCAGGAAGGGACAGTCGTCGGGTTCGACAATCTTGGGCGGCAGAACCTTACGATGGGCAATCAGGGAACCCTTTGCGATTCGTATCTATCGTACGTGTGCCATGGCTTGAGAAAACATCACAAGAAGTTGATTGGGGCTTTCATTGTCTGGGATGTGAAGAAGAAATCCAAGTACCGCTCCATTTCAGACGAAAGTTCACGGAAACTACATTCAAGAATCACTTACGAGAATGCGGAGAGGTGAAATATGGAAAGCATCGAAGGGTCTAAGCCCTATGCATGGGAAGGTGACTTGGGCTGCACCTGATGCCTAGCTGCTCCGCGATATCAAATCGTTTTGTCTGTATGTCAAGTTGCGTATTTAAATGAAACCAAGGAAAATTGCTTGAAAATAAAAGAACAATAACGTAACATGGCTTCTAAGAAGCAAAATTGCCCATAAACAAAACATTCGAAAGAAAAAGAACAAAAAATCCAACGCAAAAAGGCGAGGAAAGCCTGAGCCCGCGGCCCATAGGCAAAATCAAACACAAAGCACAACAGCTCAAATGGAGCAGAGGCCAAATGGTCACTTAAATTGTCATTTCATGAATGATGACCTTGGCGCTCTTTTTGCCCGTCAACAACATCACACACTGGCCATTTTTCCAATCAACATCCCTTTCGTCTTCCTCTTCCTCACTGGCGCAACGATCAGCGATGCATTTCATCTTTTCCAGGGCGCACCATATGTTTTGTGCACATGTGGGTTGAATCTGGTAGCCGAAACGGTCTCACACGGCTGCACTTGACATTGGTACCCTCCCTGCCCTTGCACTGGATGAAGGTCTCATTTTTCTTGCATCCGCAAGTGTATATACGGTAATTCTGCTGGCACATGTTTCTGAGCTCAATGCCCCGTCAGTAAATTCAACTTTATCCGTAAAGAGCAATACCCACCACGTTTGAAAGTCTTGTCCGAAGAGATATATAAGAAGGTAGATGGACAGCCCTATATGGGGTAGATTGAATTATATGAGTCTGAGCCTTGATTAGATTCAGATGCTGAGAAAAGCCTAGTTGGTCGAGAATGGGATGTGAACAAAAGATATTTTTGAACCCTCTCCAAGGCTGGGAAAACTCACGGATTTATATTCACTGGGACTGTGCCCAGGTGTATGCTATACAATATTTATTTTAATATTCTCCATAACATTTGGAAGTATGTAAATAGATCAGGAAGCGCGCGGTAAGTGAGACGTTTGGGATAAAAAAAAGGGGTTTGCTGGAATGGCGTCAAGTGAAACGCACACGCGTAGAGCCGCCATGCTAAAAAGGCAGTCTGTTTGTAGATAGTTCATCATTTGGGCATCGGAAACATCTCGGTTACCCCTACATAGAATAGCGTAGGCGCTAAAGCCTTTTTTCTCGCTGTTATCCACCTGGCATTGGATTAAGTTTCGCCCCACCTGGGCACTGAGTAGTGTCGACTGGTGTAAGGGGGGGGGGGGGGGGCGCATTTCTCAAATAAATAACGAAAAAGCAAGAAATTTCTTTCTATTCTCTCAAATACATTGTTTTCATGCTGCATTTTCCTTGCCAACATGGCCAACACCTATACTAAGATTCAATTGCTTCAAGCAAGCGTGGACCCGGATAACGAGATGGAAAGCGAGTTTCGAGTCCTAGTCGATGGCCAATTCGTCAAATACATTACCATCGATCCTGGGCTCTACGACCCTGACGACATGTGTTTTCCCCCTGCTTTTGCATCGCTCTTGCCACAATTTCCAGATGGAGACTGGAATGAGGGCCGCATCTCCCGCGACCCGACAACAGGAACCCCGCATCTCGTTACCTCGAAAGTCGATCTTCCGGGGATCCCAGATATTTGGCATCCTGCTCAAGTCGATCATCTCGAGCTTCACGTAGAGAATCAACTACGTTCGAATGTTCTCGAGGTCGCATGCGATCGCTTTGATTCCGTCGTCATTGCGAAATTCGCGCGCTTTCCTTGGGAGCTGCCGCGATTAGAGGCCGAATCGGCAGTGTACAAATGGCTCGAAGGCCATGGAATTGGCCCTGCGTTTCTGGGTCATTTGACTGAAGAAGGCAGGGTGATTGGATTCATCATGGCCCGGATTACACACAGTCGACATCCTACGCCTGGGGACATCGACGTGTGCAGGCTTGCTTTATTGAAATTGCACAAATTGGGAATCAAACATGGAGACATCAACAAACATAACTTCCTTTTACATAACGGGAATGTGACCCTCGTGGACTTCGACAGCGCAACACGGGTCACGAGTCAAGAAGAGCTAGACGAAGAGCTTCATTCTCTAGATAGCCAACTACGAGATACATCTGGGCTTGGCGGTGTTATCATGGAAGAACTACGTTGAAGTGTTCTTTTGGGTGTATCTACTCCTTTGTTTTCGCCTGTCTTTCTGGTCAGGCTGTACAGTCGGACCAAGGAGATAATGCAAATGGCCTATATACTGGATTCTCCTAGTCTTTCCAGATCTCATTTCGGAGGGTCTTCCAATCTTGAAAGTATCTTTTTGAGCATCCCATGGGTCCTTTACAATGTATTACGTCAAAGGCTGCTTCGATCTGGTGCTTGCTCTTTTAAGGTTAAATATCACTGGATCTTCGTATACTATAAAGTCTTCAGCTCGGTCATCAAAAAAAGCGCTGGTTTCCCGTCTCATAGCTATGTCCGTTAGCAGCATGTATTTTCGTAGGCTCAAAATCATTATATGTCACTCGCAAATCATAGAAGTGCTTCCCACTAGCAGATTGAACGCTTGACACGGAGTCAAGCATCTGGTTCACAGTCTGTCTAGCTACATCAATCTGGAGGCTGTTGATCCCACAGGGCTGCACAGCGCCCTTCGCAATCAGTCCCCATCCATAATGGACCTCCACAAGTATTCTCCTAGTGCCAGACAGAAGATTAATATATGTCTTGATCTCTGCCAACACTACTTTTCTACCAAGGTGTCTTACTCTCAAGCACTTGGCTCTGACCAGTGGAAACCAATCCAGGGGTTGAAGAGCATTGACAGAAGAAGCAAATAATAAAGCTTGTCAAGTGCATAGAGTTAACGGCCCACTTCGCCCGTAATGACCACCTGCATTCGAGGAATTCATCCCCCCGCCAACTGGCACCTACTTAATTCACGAGGGTAACCAAGGTGGGGCCTATCTTAAGGTTGCATTGACTAGTTCTGAAACTCCAATATGTGCTGGCTGAGATATCGGTTCTGTGTTAAATGAATATTCATTGAATGTACCGTGAATGACGGTTTTCTGGTATTGTCTCGCTATATACATGAACAATCATAATCCCCGTGCCAGTCTTGCGGGGCAAGCAGTAGGGTCATCAAGTAAAATGAACGATTTCCATCAAACTTTGTTTACGAGTGCTTAGCCTGCTCTGTGGAATTGTTAGTATTCCATCATACAACTGTGCCACGCTGGTCGACTTACCCTTGTGGAGATCGGCCTTGGTATCGTGAGTCTTCTCGTCCTTCTTGTCAACGACGGCATCCTTGGCAGCGGTGGCACGGGTGGTCAGCTTGGCGTCGTCATCCTTGGCGATCTGCTTGTTGGTCTCCTTGGAAGCCTCAGCACCGGTGCCCTGGATGGACTCGGAGACGTAGTTGGCGGCGTGCTATTGATAAACACGTGTTAGTACCTTTGGCTAAAGTAACCTTGCACCAGCGTAATTGTTGAGCATAGTCACGAACCTTGACAGTTTCCATGGTGAATGAAGAAGTTGAGTTGAAGATTTGGTATTCAGTTGTAGTTTAGATTATACAGACTCAACGACGGTGGGTGAAGGGCTATTTATGCTTGTCGCAGAGCAATATCCATATGACATGACGTCATCTTTCCAAGGTCAAGCCACTACGTCAAGCACGTTACCAGTCTCACCACTCGTACCACAACCGGTTATTATGGTTCAAAGCCAAACTGATTCTAGTCTTCGTGGTTTCATTATTAAGATTTGCAAATTTTACCCGTGATACTACCTCGGTTAATCGCGGAAGGGTATTGACGCTGGAGGCTCCTTTTGCCTTCCCAAACAACACGACATAGTATCTAAATCAAGGAAGCAAAAAGTTTTAATATTCGGCTTTCATTATCGTATATTTCTGCAATGATAAGAATAAAAACAGGGATATCATCAACCATGTTGTATGTTGTGGACAGATATCCATCCACAATGTAACATGTAAACACTCAAAGTCGTGCTCGCTCACGCCACGCCCTCTGCATTTCCTTCTCGGCCGCCAAACGTGCCTCCAGGCTCCTTCGCATACGGGCATCAGCCTCCTCATCAGTAGTCTCACAGGCCTTCTCAAGCAGAATGTTACGAGTTGATTGCATCTTGAAGCCGAGGTAGGTCAGAGACCCGGTCGGTGTGACACGGCCAGCCACAGCATCGCGGCAGAACTCCGTAATACCTTTGAAAAACCGCTTCCCTGCCGGTGTCGAGATCATGATAAGGCCGTGGCAGTGGGGCATGCCCTCGAACTGCTCCGTGATAACAGGAACACCCGCCTGATGCATCCGACGGGCTAGGATTAGGTCTTCGTCGGTAAGGCCCTCTTCTCCGGTTGAGATCAGCACTGGCGGTGCGTCTTTCCAGAGGTCTGCGCTGGCTGCCAGTGGAGAGACCAAGGGATGGAGGAGCATGTTGGCATTCGCGTACATGTCCACGCGTGGAGGAGACATGGGCCATAGTGTATCAGGAGGGAAAGGAAGCGGAGAGAATGGGATTTCCTCTGGATCGAGGGATGGCCCTGTCGGTAAGTCGATGTAGTCAAATTTGGCATTGCGAATGATGGAAGGCATCGATCGACTGATATCGCACCAGGGCGAAATGGTCGCCACGCCCGCAGGCAGCTCAACATCAACGTCCTTGCCATGGAAGCGGATCGATCGCGATGCACGCTGCAAAGTCAGCAGCGCCTGGAGCAGGACGAGTGATAAGTTTCCACCGGCAGAGTCGCCTGCCAAGATGATCTTGTTGGCTGGGACGGCCTTGTGCAATGCGCCTGGTGGCGGGTGAATGAGTGACAAATAAGCAGTCAGAGCATCGACAAGTGCAGCAGGGAATGGGTTCTGTGGCGCGAGTCTGTACCGCACTGAAAGGACCGGAGCACCAGTCAGACGAGAGAGATGTGCGACAGGCACGCGGTGCGTGCATGGATCCATAAGGCTAGATTATCGATCAGTAGTTGTCCAGGATGTTTCCCAAGGTAACTCGAACTTACAAGTATGCACCGCCGTGGAAATATAGGATCGTCGTGTCAGAAGGCGACTCCATTCGTAGCTTGGCGTACTTCTCGGCCTCCGAAAGGTCAGGTTGGGGAGTGCGCTTTCCCACGCCACTGCGGTAGCCAGTCCATTCAGCCTCAACAGCAGCAATGCCAGGGACATCAAAAGTCCCATGGCCGGTGTTGAGATCTTCAATTGCGCGGAGGATCGCGTCGCGCACGTCGAACTCCGGCTCCGGAAGGGTGATCTTGGACACCCACATGGGACCCTTGATCCCAGGGTCTCGCTTACTATCCTCTTGCGCCTTGGTAAGCGGCTTGCTGAATGTGATAAACGAGCGGATCACCGCGACGGTCAATTCAGTGCGCAGATCCTGCTTCCCCTTGACGGGTGACATGTGAACGCCGTGCAGGAAGAGCGTCTTGAGGATCAGTGGGATCCGGAGCAGCAGCGCTTTCAACATGCCAATGGCATGCTTGAACGAGCTCATATTGGGCAGACAGGTATATCACGGAGCCCGACTCCGGGGTGGAAGATTTGAGGTTGTATATAGATTTCCCTTGAACAAACTGGACTTGGCGGTGGCGTCTGATGCCGAGGTTCGACCTCGGATGCATAACTTCTCCCCTCAAGTTGTGATTTTTGGGGATACTTGTACATGTGAGTGTAGCCTATCTACATCATTCTTGAATTTTCGAATGGAATATGTCCAATTTATACTGATTCGCTATGTATGCCTGCGGCCTAGCATGTATGCAACCGCCGACCCTAAGTAAAGAGAACAGAACGCCATGCAACCCATAATTTCATGCAAGCAGATCAGATCAGATCAGATCAGATCGATCTTGAGAATCTTTCGATCTCTCTGCGGCCTGTTCAGTTCCCACAGTCTCCAACCCCTCTTGGCGATCACCCGCCAAGTCTACGTCAGACAAGCCGGTCCGAGAACTGAGCTCCCTCTCATAAACAGGGTGCTCTTCATTTTTGAGACCCGATCCAGTCGGGTCCCTCCGAATGAGGAAACTCTGCACACGAGCATCGTTCGAGGGCATCTGCTGGACAGTATGCTGTCGGCGGCCGGTGAGAAAACGCATAGAATCCTCGTTGACTTCGCGCAGACGTTGCTCATATCCAGTGTTCAACTGAGAAATCCAGGATGCCTGAACAGCTCCTCCGAAGAGGGTAAGAAGGATCACGAGCCGGGTGAAAGTGCGGTGGTCGACGACATTCTGTTGCTTCTCTCCGTGACGGTTATGCCATCGCTCCCAGTCTTCCCAGGTAGCATTAGCGTATATTGTTGGACCGTATGGTCCCCACTCTGCCGTTGCATCCGCTACGGTGTTATATCGTTTGGGCTGATGTTTCCATCCCGTTCCGAACTGGTCGTAGGCGGCCCGTTTGTCGGGATCGGAGAGGATTTCGTGCGCGTTGACCACGATGTGATACCGCTGTAGACGGACTTCGGCGGTGATGTTTCGACAAAGAGGATGCTCGTTGCAGGGCCGATCTGGGTGGTAGATCTTCACAAGCTCGAAGTACCGGCCTTTCGAGTACGGGGCGGTGCGATTTAAGTGGAGGACGTCATATGGAGTGAAGTTAGGCGTGCTAGGCCATGTATATACATGCTCCGGGGGATCCGATGCGGTGGCATAGGTCCTGTTGGTGTGTGTTGCCCAGAGTCGTCTATAGCCTGCGGCTCCGAAGCTGGGACGGGGGTGTGGCAAGGCTGCGATTGGCGAGCTCAGAAGCTGGAGGCCATCGCAGCAGAGAAAATTTGCCTTCCTAAACATGGCCACATGGTTTTCTGGGAGAGAGCACGGTAGAAACCCCGGTGCTCTCGAGATATATGAGGTGCGGAGAGCGATATGCGTGCTCCCCTCCCTGTTTGGGCCCGTTCGGACCGGGTCACGTGGAACGAGCTTCTGAGATTCTTCAACAAAGCTTCAATCTCATCTTCTACACTTTCCCTCGTCTGGATATTCACGCGCAAAAATGACCGGATCAGACGCCGAACCTCATGATCGCCGGCGGTCTCCATCACAATCCCCAGGCCGGAGCCGCGATCGACGGCGAGACAATCGCGACGACCGCAGCTCGCGCCCGCGAGACAATGACCACCGGAGCTCTCGCCGGGATAGCCCACGACGTCATTCTACTCGCAGCCCGTCTGGGAAAGAGAGTGGGCGAAGAGACCGAGACCGAGACAGACGCCATCGAGCACCCAGGGAACGATCTACAAGTTCTGCAGATGAGCAAGGCCGAAGACGCAGACACCGCAGCCATCGACACCGCGAAGACCGTGATCGCGATCGGGATAGTGACCGGCCATCAAGAAGACACCGAAGCCCGCGACGACGGTCTCGTTCCCCCAAACGGTCACCAAGCCCACGGGCATTGGAACGACGCGGTCCACTTCCCTCGCAATCGGATGCATTCACAAACGAGGTGACGCAGACCTCCGACGCACCTCCCCCAGAGAAGGAAAAGCCCAACTTCAAGAACACCGGGCGGCTCGCCGCTGAAACCAATACTATTCAAACCGAAGACGGACAGGGAGTAGTCTTGAAATACCACGAGCCCCCGGAGGCCCGCAAACCACCAGCGAAGGAACCCTGGCGAATGTATGTCTTCAAAGGAGAAGAGTTGCTGGAGATGGTCGAGCTGGGTGAACGCAGCTGCTGGCTGATCGGCCGCGAGCGGCTAGTGGTGGATTTTCCACTCGATCATCCCAGCTGCTCGAAGCAGCATGCCGCAATCCAGTTCCGCTTCGTGGAGAAGCGCAATGAATACGGCGACCGCATCGGCAAGGTCAAACCCTACCTGATTGACCTGGAGAGCGCGAATGGGTCTACTGTCAACGGTGAAGCTGCTCCAGCAGGTCGCTATATGGAAGTGATGGACAAAGATGTGCTCCGCTTCGGATTGAGTTCTCGTGAGTACGTTCTCATGCTGCCAAGTTCCTGAGCAAAGAGATACGCATGTTCCCGACACAGAGCTACCCAATCCTCCAAGCAGTTCCCGGCCATTGGAAATTCAATCATTACAACACAATAGTAATGCAGAATATGATATTATTACAAAATATTGGAGGCAGCTATTTCAGTACGAACATGCTCAGGTATGCTTGTGCTTAATTTCCTCGGCCTTGCCCTTCGCCTCGCCCATGGCGGCATCTGTCTTGCCCTTGATCGTTCCCGCAGCATGCTCGGCCTCACCCTTGGCCTTGCCCGCTTGCTTAGAGGCCTCGCCCTTCATCGACTCGGTCTGGGATTTGGCACTACCAACAGTCTCGTTGATCTTATCGCGAGCTTTCTCTGTATTTGCAAAGAGAGCTAATTAGCATTTCCTTCCAAGCCAACGGAATGGGCAGCTAATTGCCTCGAGGGGTGAAACAAACCTCCTTCGTCGATACCCTTGAGAGCTGCTTTGGAAGCCAACTCATCGGCCTTCTTCAGGGTGTCCTTGGCCGCATCGACAGGGCCCTTCTGATAACTCGGGGTAGAGGAGATCGACCGGAAAGCGACAAGTCTGGGCGCAATGGGCATTGCCACGCGCGACCGGACGATTGGAGCAAAGCGTACGGACATTGTGATGAGAACGGTGCGGATAGCGTCGACTGGTGGATGTGTAGATTGAGGTCGTTTAGATGACAAATAAATGCGATATTGTCAATTGTCAAGTGTACTGCTGATAAGAAATAAGCCCTTTTTGTTTGCCGATAGCTCTGTTTTAAAAGGAAAATAGTTGGGCCATGTCTTGATTCTGGCTGTCACCGACGTCATCGGCATCGCATTCGTTACGTCGACACCCGGTCACACCCTGGATTCCCGACTAATCATTTCCCGTGGCTTGTCTTTTCCTTGCTTTCGAACTGGATTGGAACGGTACCAGTGAAAAGATCGGCTCCGAGCTCCTCACATGGATCACCCTGGAGATCGAGGCGTCATGAAGTTCATGCGGTGGGGACCTCTGTACTCGGCGCCACTACACACGGTCCAAGAAACAACAAACATGTACAGCATGAACATGAACCTTAGTTCAGCCGGAGTTGGAAGAATCTATATCTCCAGAACTACCTAATCTTAAAATAACCGTATTTAAACCTTTTACGCCTTCAAGGTTTTTTGCGGCTATTCAAGAAGCTGACGAGCTTGGCATCTCTTGCCTAATGAATACATTCCAAAGCCGTTACTCGGTTTGCATCTGCATGGAATGCTTACGGCGTACATCTACACATCAAGTAGGCTTGTGCCCGAAACAACCAAGTTTGCAAGGTTGGAAAGAAAAATATTTATTTTTGTACAGATGTCAAGTATGAGTAGACTATTTCCAAAGTGCCACTCGATGCAAAGGATTAAAGAAAGTAATCGTGATCTCGTATCCAAAAGGTGACCTTCCCAATCCCAAAAATAGCAGATTCGCCAAAGTACTATCAAAGTAACAAACATGTCTATGCACAGATAGATTTCAAGGAAATATGGGTAATCACCGCGGGACCCGATACGACTCGTACGAGGTGTGGTACGGATCGTCGTCCTGCTCGACAGGGCCGTAACCACCCGTGCGCCAGCGGTCGAGGTGGTTCGCCGATTCGGTCTGTGCGGGGACCTGGGCGGAGCTCAGGAGTCGAGTCTCGCTCTCGTCGGATTGGTAAAGGCCGTTACCGACGGGGCTGTCGCTGTTGCCTCGTGAGAGCGGAACGCGGAAGGCCGGGTGGACGAGGACTCCGTCGGGGTTGACGTAGGGCTCTGCATAGCCTTCATGCATCTTCAGGCCGGACATTGACGGTAGAGACGGGGCGGGAGAAGAGGCTCGGGATGAGCTCGGTGACCACTCGCCTCCCAGGGTGCTACGCGGCGTCTGCGAGCGTTCGGTCATGAGATCCTCCGGGCGGCCGTAGATACCTCCGCCAAATTCTTCGCGGAAGTCGGCGCGGTCCTTGAAGTAGGAGAAGTCCAATTGGTTTTCTGGAACGACTTCGAAGGGAGCCGGTTCGGCCTTGCCGGGCTTGGAGGCCATCATTGGGTTCATGGCAATGTCCGAGTACTCGCCTGCCATATCGCCATGGTCGAGACGACCCTGGTAGATTTCCTTCAATGCCTCCGCGGCCTTGGCGTGGACCATGGGAGTCATGAGCTTCTTGTAGAGGGCTGGATGACCGAATTTGGAGTTGAGACGATCTGCGGCCTTCTTACCAAACTTGGAGACACCCAGAGCTTCCGCATCGGAAAGATTGGCGCGGTTGTAGAAGTCGATGTCAGAATCGAAAGTCCTCATGCAGTACCACTTGAAGCCCAGCATCAAAAACGGCAGCGGGACGATGCAGAACACCAAAGTCCAGTTGGCTCTCGCCCTAGCAACCAAAGCAACGATGACGTTGGCGAGGATGGTCGCGAAGATCAAGCGGTTGAATAGAACGCGCCAGAAAGAGCCAGCAGACTCGTTCTTGGTCACGAACACATACATAAGCATGTATTTCTTCAAGATGGCGTCAACCCCGAAATACAGAGCTGTCACGGGTAGCACAATGGGCTGTAGGGTGGCGAAGCACAAGGCAACTGTAGCGTAAAACAGATAGTAGTTGTAATAGCTGGCATAATCGAACGGCGGAGGCGCTGTCCACTCGATAGATTGTCGAGGGGTAGGCGATAGGAAGGTCTTCGAGAACCAGACCCAGGCCAATGTGACCATTTGTACAAGGTCGATGGCAGCGCCGAGGTTCCGCTGTAGAAGCCAAGTAATCCAGAAAGGAGAGATAGTGCACAAAGCGCTCATCAGCTGGCTATAAAGCTGACTGTCCACAATAGCCTGCCAGGCGTTCTCATTATGGTTGGTCTTGTCAATCACATTCGAGGCAAAAGTCCACGCAGCAGAGAACAGCGAGAAGACAATCAGGTTGTTGAAGACGAAGAATGCGTACAGCTGGCCAAGGACATGGCGCTCTCGAGAGGTCTTCGTCTTGCTGCCACCCTTGACGGACAGGCGTCGGAAAATAATCGGAAGCAGCAGATACACGAGCGAGGTGATGGCAGGCGAGGCAATACCCTGAACAGCAGCCCAAACGTCAGGATGGGCCTCCAGCGAAGTCATGAATCTGGGCCAGACTTTGCCCAGATTGTTCAAGTTAGACAAGAACACTGCAATGAGGGCGTTAGGAACGATCCACACCACTGTGAGCAGGGTGACCCAGAGAGTATTGGCAAATCGCTTCCATTTACGCGATTGCTTGGAAAGAGGCAAGTTCTCCCAAATCAGATCGCTAGGGCGCGGTGCAAGGCTAATCGTAGTGCCCTTGGGATGTTTTCGGCGTGCAGTCCAAGCCACGGCGTGGGCATGCTCGATGTTCTCCCAACTGGCAAAACCGTAAGGCATAGCGTTTCTCCGGTCGATCGACGCGCGGCCATGCTTGATTTCCTCCTCCAGTACGCGGATACGCACGGTCAGGTAATCAATGGTGTCCACCTTGCCATTGGGGTGCTTGCTGTGCTGACTCCGCGGTGGGCGCATCATCGGTCGCTGTACGGGCAGCTGATCAGGGCGCCTGAGATATTTTGCGAGAACCGACTCCAACTCCCGCACGGCCTCCTCGTGCTCCTTGATGATCCGGGGCAATTCTCTGACATTGCGGCCAATAGCTGCGCGGGGGAGGGCGGCGGTCGGGTTGACTTCGTCGGTAAGTCGCAAGATACCTTCGTCGGAACGGTCTGCCTGGGGTATGTCGGTTATCATGAGGGTTCGCGCGTGCAGACTTCGCTGATAGTCGCTGCTTTGATAATACCGTCTCCGCAGCGCTCGTACGGCCCGGTAATTTCTCCAGAGGAAAAATGCAATGATGGCATCAAAGGCCCAGGCGCACGCGACTTGGCTCCAGATGGCCTTGGAATTCACGTAGAGAGGCGTCATGGTAGTGAGTGCCGACAGGGCCGAGGTCTCATTGTTTTTCTGACTCTCGGCCATATTGACCGGTATCATGACCATGCAGCCAATAATGCTGATGAAGATGAAGATATTGCGCAGCATCTTTGTGAAGCGAAGGAAAATGGCCGCATCCAAGCCGATGGTTTCGACCAACTGTGTCTCGCGAGTACGGATTACAGGCTTGATCCAGGCAAAGAAGCCCTTGCCCACCGGGGGCGGGGTGTGTTTTTGGTCGGCATGCTTGACCTTGGGCGCATAGACGAGCGAATGACGAGGACGAAATAGGGAGAAGGCGATGGTGAGGAGGATAGAGACGCCGATGGAGGTGCCCAGCGAGGCCCACAGGGCACTGACTGTAAACTTGGGGGTTGTCAGCTTCTGAACCGTCATGAGCGTATGTCATTTGAACGTACAGCGGATTGGAAGGGATCCGCGATAAGCTTAAGGAACTGATCAGTCCCGTCGTCGCGGAGCTGCAAGCTCTGGCGCGGATCCATATCCAAAGATCACGAATAAAACGAAGGACGAGTCGGCATGAAGTTCAGAGCCGGGAGAAGGTTAGAGGACCGACATGAACTGCGGAGAGTGAAGGAAAGGAAAACCGAAAATAAAGTCGCATGTGAGACAAGAGGCCCAAGATTGAAAGAAAAGTGGGCACTGGCGGCACCGTACGGTCCAGAACGGGTTATAATTAGAAGATTAGCGGCGTTGCCGATCTGCGTTGAAGTTGACTTTCGCAGAAGTCCGTCAACACCGGTTCCAGTCGATTCCACCGGTAAATAATTGCATGCAAAACGTGTACCTGGTGGCGCTGGGACACGTTAAGGCTCTCCATCTGCCCCATCGTGCGTAGTATCATTGGCAGGCCGTCTCACTGTAACATATGGAGGGCCAATCACGGGCCCCACAGGGGTGAATCTGGAACATCGGTTGCTTTGGTTCAGATGGACATCCGGTCACACTGACACACGTTTTGGAAATCAAGTCCTGACTTGTACACACGTACCTACAACCGCTCCAGGGGGAGGTCACGGAAAGGGGTCACGGAGGAGGTCACACTGGATTGGAGCCTCAGGTGTCATTTCTATCAAGCCTCGTCCTTCAGGCAGCGAGGCATCAACTGCCCCTCCTGGTGGCGTCACATGGACTGGAGACTCGGTCTGTTGCCATTCCAATTGCAATTGCAGGCATATAGCTGCATGTCTATAGCATTTTTCTATACAGCAACACATTTCTGTCGGCCTGCAGACTTACCTTGCTGACTGACAGGCTAACAAACCCGACAGTCAACGTCACATGAACACCGCCACCAAGTGCAAGGTTTGGCCTAGTGCCGTGCAGCTTTTAATAGTACTTCAGCGTGCCTCTAAGATGGTTACCCTCGGGCATACACTTCTACGAGTTCCCTTACATTGAACAGCCTTGGAAAATGTTTACATGCATTCTTTTTTTCCCAGAAAATGGATATGGACATTTCATTACAACGTGTCGAAATTCATCGCTACATACAACCGGTACACCACACGTCCCCAGGCGTGCTCAACCTATTTTTTCGGCATGGAAGTATGAAAGTATCAGGCGATCGTAAAAAATTAAAATCACCCACGGTCAGGCAATTTACAACTGGCCGGAAGTGTTGAAGTCCTCGAGAGCGACCTGAGTGCGCTTGCTCATGGTCTTCTCACCCTCGCGGACCCACACGCGGGGGTCGAAGGACTTCTTGTTGGGCTTGTCGGCACCCTCGGGGTTGCCGACGGTGGACATGAGGTAGTCCTTCTTGGACAGGATGTAGTCACGGACACCGCTCAGGTAGGCGTACTGCATGTCGGTGTCGAGGTTGACCTTGACCACACCGTATCCGATGGCCTCGGTGAACTCCTCCTTGCCGGAGCCGGAGCCACCGTGGAAGACGAAGAAGACGGGCTTGTCCTTCTTGGAGCCGGTCTTCTCCTTGACGTAGGCCTGGTGCTTGGAGAGCAGCTCGGGGTGGAGCTTGACGTTGCCGGGCTTGTAGACACCGTGGACGTTACCGAAGCCGGCGGCAATGGAGAAGTAGGGGGAGATGGCGGACAGGGCGTTGTGGATGGCCAGGATATCCTCGGGCTGAGTGTAGAGGGAGTTGTTGTCAACATCCTCGTTGTTGACACCGTCCTCCTCACCACCGGTGATACCGATCTCCATCTCGAGCCACTGCTTCATGGGGGCAGCGCGCTTGAGGTAGGCGGCGGTGGTGTTGATGTTGTAGTCGACGGGCTCCTCGGACAGGTCAATCATGTGGGAGGAGAAGAGGGGCTCGCCGTGGAGCTTGAAGTAGCGCTCGTCCTCAGCGAGCATGCCATCGAGCCAGGGCAGGAGCTTCTTGGCGCAGTGGTCGGTGTGAAGGATGACGGGGATACCGTAGATGGGGGCAATGCTGCGGATGTAGTGGGCAGCGGCAATGGAGCCGGCAATGGAGGCAGCCTGGCCGTCGTTGCTCACACCCTTGCCGGCGAAGAAAGCGGCACCACCCTGAGAGACCTGCAGGACGATGGGGCAGTTCTGGTCGCGAGCAGCCTCGAGGGCAGCGACGACAGTGGAGGAGGAGGTGACGTTCTAGTGATGGTTAGCTCGAGGATCGCACATGAATCACGGGACGGAACATACGATGGCAGGGAGAGCGAATTCCTTCTCCTGAGCGTACTCGAAGAGACGGAGAACGTCATCGCCGACGATGACACCGGCCTTGCGGTTAAGCTTCTCAAGGACACCCATGATGATAATGATGAATTAAGAAATGTGATCTGGGAGGAGGAAAGAAGAAGGAGAGAAGAGTCAGTTCAATCGTAGAAGTAAGAAAAGCAGTCGCTTTACCGAACGACGAAAACGGGCGTGTTAAATAAAGAGGGGCAACACCGGCACGGTTTGAGCTGTTTGGAGGGGCAGAAGCGTCATCGGTGAAGACTCTCGTGTACTCACCGGTGGCTGTGGAGACTCGGGCAACCAGTAACGGGTCTGTTGAGGTCACGGTGATTTCAGGGTAGAAACTCTGGGAATGAGATCATCGAGTGGCTAGGGACCACCTTATATGTCTGCCCTTTGTGTTCGTCCCGGGTCTCTCCGCAATGGCCCGATCTGCGTTGCCGTTCGGCTTCGTGTTGTATACGCTCTGCTGCCCCGCCGTGGGGCAGCTAGCAGCTAGCAACGTGCAAGGAGCAAAACTAAAGCCGTTTCCAACGTCCGGAAGAACCGTCCATGCTACGAGACTATCTCTCTACGGTGTACCCCGTACGATGAAGCTGTAACTAGTATTGGGGCAGCTGTAAAGAATTAATCCCTTGCGGTCCCGTCGACTCCGTAATTTGTTCGTGTACGGCGGGGAACCGAGGAATTCAAATGCGATTCGAAGCCGTTCGCCGCTCTTCGATGCTTCACGGGCCGCATTTGAAACTCGATGTCTGGGTATGTAATTGCAACCCGGCTCTGTCCTGCTACTCGACCAGTTCCACTTGTCCTCCAATCCGGTTATGTCTTGCTCGCTGGATTTTGGATCTGCGCGTGCCTGGTCGAGGTTGGGTTCTAAGGGGTTGCCCTGACATCAAGCCGATCCACTACCGGACGCTAGCGGCCTCTATGATTTCAACGTTCAATCAAGTTCATTGTGTTTATATCCAAGATGCGAACTAGTATGATCGGATCTTCTATCTCTATGTCCTCACAACCTCGAACGCCCCATGCCGCCCTCCACGTACGATACAGGTCTTTCTTTATATACTGATCACGGTCTTCTACATGAATAAGAGACTCGAAAAATAATCACTCCCTCATAGCCGCTCTTCGGCCACCGTTGGGCTCGTGTCCGGCCGCTCAATCTCGTAGAACAGCAGATAGACCTCCTTCTGCATGCCCAGCACGTCCGAGGTCTTGCACTCTTTGATCTTCTCGTCCGAAATGCGCCACCAGCGATCGTTCGGCTTGCGGCGGCGACGAAGCCGCGAACTGACCCCCGTGGAGGTCTCCGTGGACGGGCGGGGAATGGTTCGGGAGGGGCGCGGGGCAGACGATGTACTGAATCGTCCCCTTTCCGGAGTCGGACTGTTGCTATCCGAATCGGCGATTTGTTGAGGGGTCGACGAGCGGGAACGAGACCGACTGCTCTGGAACGAGCGGCGCGAGCTGGAGGTCGTAGGACGCGGCAGGGAAGGCGTGAGTTGTGAGGTGGGCGAGGCGGCCGAGAGCGATGTGGTCGAGGTCGCTCTTGAGATGCTGCTGCTCCCGCCCATGTCTGCGTCCGGGCTACTGCGTGGTGCCAATCGCGGGCTCGGTGCTGCTGAAGTGCTAACACTGCTCACACGGCTTTGAGCGTAGGAACTGAAGGCCTCTGGCGTTGAAAACGGGGCATACAGATGATTGCGACGGAAGGACTCGTAGTGGCCACTGTGGTGGCTACCCTTGTGGCAGACGATGGCCAGCAGTTTATACCAGGTCTGGCTCAGGATGCCTCCCAGAGGCAAGCGTTCGGGAAACGACACCTTGGCCGCATTCTTCGTTGAGCTGCTGCGGTCAAATATTGACCGTGACAGATGAATCGCAATGACCTTGGGGAATGATACGATGCGCATATGCCGTGCAATTCGTCGCTTGGGCGCGAGATCCGACGGTGGCAGAACGATTCCCTCCAGCTCATTTTCAGGGTCCGTCTCCAATGCTTCACGAATGCGCGTAATCTCTTGATCCAACCGCTCCTGCTCGGTCTTTGAACGCGTCCGGTCTCGCTCCTGGATCTTAAAATCCACGGCATGCTGTAGACGGCAGCGATCACATCGGAAATCCTCGATATATTCGGTCTTCAACAGGCCATCGAAACAGTTGTTCAGAGTCGTGGAGCTTTTTTGCGGCACCTGCAGCGTAAGGTTGACAAAGGCCGTCTGGTTGGGCTTATACTGGTACTGGCAAAATTGGCAAACGATCTGCGACTCTAACTTGCCCTCGAATAGGAATCCAGGCTCATTGTCAATTTCCTTCAGTTTCGTGTCGATAATGGCCGGCAGACCATTCTCCGACCCATCGTCAATCCGTACTTCCACCTCGGTCGGGCTCTCAGGCACGGCTCCCGTGTCGCCTGAGCCAGCAGGCGCACTATTTAGTCCGATTGCCCGCTGTCTCGCACGCACACCAGCATGGTACTCGTCGCAGAGTCGCTCCAGGACAATCTGCAAGAACTCCTGCGCGTCTTGCTGATTCCGGCTGATGCGGGTGCGGAAGGCGAACTCCAGCGCCTGGATGAACCCGCGCGCCGAGATGGTCTTCTTGCAGATGGGGCGCTCATTCAATGAATCCAGCATCTCTTTCAATGCCCTGGTAATAATCCCTTGTTGTAATTCCCGCACTTTGTCTGGCCGCTGGCCGCGCGAGAGCTCGTTCGGGCCCGGCACCGCGTGGTAAACCTCCGGGCCGTCTAGCTCGCGTCGGTGCAGCTCGCGGATCAGGTAGACGCGAAGGTCGCCCAGGCCGGCCAGTGCCTGCAACACGGAGTTGATGAAGCAGTCATTGGCCAGGTTGGACAGGCCCACGATGCTCTTTTTGCGGTTGTTGTCATTAGATTCGTCGCCATCGATCGTATAGTTGGGACCGAAGACGTAGAATAGCGCGACTGCGGCGAGCGAGGCTCCTGCCGCATATGCAGCGACCGTGGTCGGTTTTTCTTGCATCAAGGCGCGGTATAGTGGAGGAGGGGGTGTTCTGGGGAAGGGTGGCGTAGGCGGAATGTATCAAGATCAAATTTGTAATTTCATCGCCACATCGTCAAATTGGCCGTAACGGTGGCGAGGGGAGCGCCGGGTGTGTAGGTAGTATTGAGAAAGAGCAGCTGAAGAGTAAACGGCGAGATGCAGTGTCTGCTGAGGGTTCAAGAAGAATTGTGCTGGGTTAGGCGGGTTCGGCCGGGGAAGAGGGGACGAATCGAAGGGTTCAGATGCGGAGAAGGGGTTTTGTCGCGCAACGCATTCCGGCTCTTAGGCACCAAACGGGTTAAAATCCGGATCTTACTGTCGGCACAATTCGATGCCGCTGGATCCTGAGGCTGCATTTGTGGAAGATTATTGGTTTCCCCCAATGTTCGCCGTTGCATTCTGTCCCAAAGCCCTGCACTAAGTCATTTCCGCGTGACGGATGCTTCGGTTATCCGTCACAACAATACCCCGCATTTGGGCCTGGAGTCGACTTCAGAGCCGTGGAAGCAGTCTGGGGAAGAATCTCTGGAGGCCTGGGGGGCACTTGGTGCTAGTTTTTGGACAAGCGTGCCTTGTATCCAGATGGAGGGGTCCTGCGCCCTACTTATATTGCATGCACTGTCGGGTTATCGGGTCACTCGGAAACCACAGTTTCAGGACTTTTATTCAAAACGCCGGTGGGGGATAAACTAGAGAAAGGAGAAACTGAAAGGTCTCAGAATATAAATTCCGACTGACTTGTCACACATGGTCTCCACAAGATCAGAGACCTCCACTAGGTAAACATACGGAATTGTTGTCACTATCGCTTGAGGACTTCCGACTTCTAGTGAAAGATATAAAAAGATTACAAAAGTCAAAGTCAATGAATAATGAAATTTTGTCTCGAGCAAATAATCGAGAACAGTGTCCCGAGATATACTACTTGAACATACAAAGACTTTTATTCTTTTGTGCTTGTTGCTCCAAATCCAACCAGATATTCTATCAATATACCATCAAGTCATAGATCTTCATACTCATTATCAAGGGCGCAGCGACTCGGGCAGAGAGGCGACCTTCTCATTGAACAGGTCCTCGGCCTGCTTCCACACCCGAGCAGTAGTGCGGTTCTTCAGCTGGAGGAGGCTGGGCAGAAGAGCCTCACTGAACTGTTCAGAACTCTCACGCGGCATCAGAGATGGCAGGTGGTCGATGCTGATAACGCTCAGGGGCGGGCCCTGGTTGCCAGCGGGGAAAGTCACAGGCACGGTGGGTTTGTCGAAGGTGGTGGTAATGTCGTAGATGGGAATGGGGTTGTTGGGGTTGGTACTATAGGAAATGACGGTCAATGTCCATGCGTGCCAGGAGTCTTGCAGATGATACTTACGTGTCAGCGCTGACATCGCACACAACAGACAGCTTGCGGTCCGGAGTGGAAAGGGACTCGACAGTCACAAACTTGGGGATAGGGGCGGACAGATAAATGCAGTTGACGAAGATATCGGACTCGACAATCTCCTGGAAAGGACCACCCTTCTTGGTCTCTTCCATATCCCACTGAAGGATGTTGGACTCGGGAATGCCAACGTCCTTGGCCAGCTGAACGGCGCCCTTTCCGCAACGTCCCAGCTACAACGCTGTTAGCATTGACAAAACATAAGCTTTCAACGATTGGATGATAACTCACGGCTCCAATGACAAGAATCTGGGGGTAGTGACCCGCAACCTTCTTCCCGGCCTCGACGGCCTCCGAAACAGACTTGATCAGGAGGTCCTGGTTGGCATAGGGAACCTCACCAGGCAAAGTCTCACCGTTAGGGTGAGTCAATTGCCAAGCCCAGTTCTTGACAGCCAGGGCAGCACCGGCGTAACCAGCAGAGAAGCCGAACGCAGCCACACGGCGACCAATGTCATCAGTGAGGAACTCGAGGTCGAGCAAGAGGCCGTTTCCGCGCGGCCAGCGGCTCAAAACTTGCTCCCAACCGCCTTGTTGCTTGTAGCAGTGGGCGAAAGTGACGTGCACGTGCTCGAGGGGAAAGTCATCCTCCGGGAGCTCCTTCAGACCCAAAATGACGGCCTCCTTGGGCGCATCCTTGACCCACGATCCTTCCTCGACGAGAGGAGCACCGATCTATAGATAATTGACGATTTAGCAATCTTGTAGTTGTAGGGGTAAGGCGACGAAGTTGGAGCTAACCTTGGCAAATTCCTCGTCTGTCTGAAGTTAGAAAGGGTGCGCGAGGCAAGCAGGGAAGTATTCGAATACATACCGTCAAAGATACGCTGTGTAGAGCGCTCGACAGTCACATCATAGCCGGCATCCATCAATGCCTTGCAGGTGGTCGGGGTGACTAGTTATTCAAGCTGTGAGTAATCCGGCCTCCAAGGTCTGATAGAGTTGCCATTGAAAGTAGGCGGGGCACTCACGGGCAGATCGAGCCTCAGCGGGCTTGGTCTCGGCGCGCAGCCAGATCTTCTGTGAGGACATTGTGTGAATTAAGCAATTGATAGTATTGAAGAAGAAGTAGAAGAGCAAAGCAGTTAGAGGTGGAATTCCCCCTCTGATAGCGGGGCCGGTTGTTCCGTTCCGGAGATGTGAGTCAGCCCCGATCATCGGCGCCGTTTACTCAAAGAGGTCCCCGATGGAAGGGCATCACAGGATTTACCTCAAGTGTACTTAAAAAAGTGAATGCAAAGCCAATGCATAGTGCAGATGACTCAAGTTCTCAATCTACGATCTCACAGCGACACCGTATATCCTTGTGGGAATCCGAGGCAATTTTGAGTATTTAATACTGATCAGAATCCCTCCGTAAATTTTTTGACTCCAGCCGCCACAATTGATCGAGACCGTCTTCAAAGCCTTAATAGGAACATGTTTGGTAAGAAACAGACAACCAGGTTGAGTATGATATGCAGCACGACCATGTGTCAAATCGAAGATCTCTCGATATCGTAGATTCAAGTCGGTTTGGTTCGGCTGCGAGTCCGACTGCCGATACCACCGGTCGGAATGGCCTCCTTCACGGCATCCTTTACCTTCCCCTTCTTCGGGGGTGCGGCCTTCTTCGGCTCTCGATTGGTATCACCAGGGGCCGGGGCAGGTGCGGTACCATTCGTACCCTTGGCAGTTTCCTGAGCGAGTTCCGTGACAGGCTCTGGTTCCGTCTTTTGCTTTTTAGTTTTGGACTCATCCGGTTTTTCAATGGTAGGTTTATCCTTATCCTCGGAGATAGGAGCCGTAATCGAGTCAATGTCGCGCTTCTCACCGATATTCGGCTCTGACGTGGGCTTTGACTCTTCTTGTTCTGAATTTTCCTTCTTTTGCTCTGTTGTGAGCGCACCAGTTGCTTCCACTGGAGCTTGGGCTTCTGAGGCTGCACCAACACCGAGAGGGTGATCTGTAATGACAGGCGGCTGAGTATCCGCTGGGGGCTTAGAGGCTTCTGGGTTATCAACGTTTGCCGCAGCCTTTGCGTTCTCGGCGGCGACAGGCTCACTGTCTGTCTGGGGGGTGTTCATAACACTATGGATTGGTTGTGCCTGTTCGTTGCTCTCAGGTGCCGCGACTGTTACCGATTAGTCAGCATATACAGTTCCCATGCAGGATGAGCGAGTGACGGCCAAGCTAACGGCCTTCCGGAGTAAGTAGCCCAGTACAAGAAGGGAATGGCAACCAATTACAACGAATATATCATTTGCTGACAACGGAGAACGTACCTGGAGCTAGGGGAGCGCCCTGCACGGGGAAGCCTTGGCTGGCCATGGTCATCGATGATGTCAGGTGCTGGCACGTGCTTGACAAAACAGAAAGAAATTTCGCAAAAGGAGGATCGCGGGTTTAATGCGACAACAGATATGCCTTGGACGATGGTTTACAGAAGAAACAAGGGCTTGAAATGGAGTCGATCGGTGTGGGGAGAGGTGTGAAGTGAGATTGCTCGGTGACGTATAATAAGAGCAGCGGGTGACGCTAATCCCGTTTCATCCCATCACGACTGGGCTGATTCGCCCCAGCAACCCCCATTACTGTCGCACAGCGGCCAATCCATCCAGAAGCCCCATAAAAGGCTCCTCTCGACCCTCAATTCAGAAATTCCATGCATTTCCAGGCTGGTCGCCCTCTAGCGTCGAAGCACTAAGCATGCCAAGGAAGCCTTCGGGAGGATATGATTCTCCTGAGGGCGCAACGAGAGTGGGGAAGCCAGTGCGGAGTACCTGGTTCAATCTTCGTCATCGCAATGGAGTGCTCTGGTGGAATGTGGACTGATCGTCCTTCGGACAAACAATCCTTCCCGTTTCCGAAATGAAGGTGGCAAGACTTTGAGAGAGGCCGTAAGTCATGAAGAGACGCGTCTGCCCAGCACTGTACGGGATGTAGCCAGAAACAAACATGACGGCTTTCATTGCTTGCCGAAGTGCCCCAAGGTATGGTCGTGAATGTTCAAAACATAGCTTTACGGGTTCCTTCAAGTCATGTTCAAGTCCAGACGATTGAGTAGATAGTCCTCCGAGGAGGCGCGGTTGCGGGACTTCCCGTTGGCGGTAGTATCTGTCGTATTTGGAAGTAGATGTTGCATTTGCTGCGCCAGTTTGGTGGCACCTCGGTAGTTGTCCCGGTCGACCATGAGTATGCGAAGGGCGTCACAGCCGACTCGGAGGAAGGCATCTCGCCTGGCTGTGTTGTACTTCTGAAACTTGCTCGGTGAGAGTGTTTCCACGATGCGAATGAAAGGTTGGGGGTCAGGCTGCGAGGGATGACAGACTGCCACGGAGGCGAAGAGTAGCGACCGAGTAGAAGTCAGGGTAGAGATCACATCCATAAACTCTTCATACAGATAGATCGAGACATTTTCAATAGATGGCTTCTGGTCCATAGCCACCCGGCTCAGTTGAGCACCTGCTGCCAACAGCATTGGTTTGGCGGCGGACGCATCAGCTTGGGGAGAGGCAAAATGCAATTGACACGCGCGCAGGTAGAACTTTAGGGCAGAGCCGAAACCATTCCCATATCGAATCTCCGCGTCCAGAAAATCGATAAGGAGGTGGCTGAAAGTATGCCGGGCGAGCCCTTCTATGATCAAGCCGTTGTCTCCGCCAAGGTCTCGATTGATGAGCAGTCTCAACCAATCCAATACGTTGTTATGAAGGCCCTCAGCAACCATGAATTTGGTCAATGCGGTGGTCCAGGGTCGCGACTGTAAAAGCTTCCGCCTAGAAGCGCCGTCCGAGGCCCAAAACCAATTCACTACCCTTGAAGCGGCTCTTGAGGCTTTCATGGCCTCGCTCACTCCGTGACCATCACGAGACCGCGCAAGGACAAGCTGTGATTTCAAGCACTCAGTGACGGCTGGCACAGTGGCTGAACCCGACGCTACAAGCTCATCAAATACCAACATGGGCTCTTCTGCCAATCGCCTCTGTTCTTCCACGCTGCGCAGCGCGTTGCGATCATGAGACACTAGTGTCGGTTTCGGGGGCACAATTCGAAACAAAGGGTTATCCAGAATATTATGCAGATGCTTGTCAGTTGCATGAGCTGACGACTCGGTATTCAAGGGCTGCCGATCGCCTTCATTATGGTTAGAGACATTGGATGCCGGGTATGCGTGGTCGAGCTGGCGGCGAAAGGACGAGGTGAGAGCGTTGAGGAGTTGCTGGGATTCACGCGGGGTGCGAGGCAGCGGCTGGTGGATCTTGGGCCATGACTTGAACTGGAAGATAGAGGTGCCTTTCATGATGTGATGTCGGTGAGTCCCAGGGCGACCGAAGGGGATCTCAACTGCAGGAGAAGGGAGATCGCCGCGAGGGGTGGGCGGTGAGGGAACAGCGGCCAAAGTTGATGACGAGGAGACGGGAGAGGAGACGGCCCACAGTGAAGGCCACACAGTGAAAAGAAAGAAATAGTGAAAGAATAAAGAGTATAAAGGACCAGCCTCAATACGTAGACGATGACTTCGAGCAATCGAGGCCAGAAAATATACCAGGAAGTACAGAAAGCGAGTGAACAGCCGCAAAACCAATGGGCGCCACTCGCTAAAAAGACTGACAGTGCCAAGACCAGCTGCGACTGGGAGCAACACATCAGAACTTTGGATCTCCCGAGCTTTCAGTCCTTCTTCATTCACGTCCTCACCTCCCCTCTCTTTCTCCTTTCAACAAAGCTTGTCCTTCTGGATTACTGATCTTGGCCCCCGTGCCTGTGGTCCTGGTGCTGTTCCTCTTTTGCGAGGGTGCATCCAATCTCGTCCTCGAATCCGATTCAGATCCTTCCCTCACCCCTACCGAAACCCTTGCGACGCCATCGTGACCTCCTTCCCAATTCCGAATTCTTTCATCTCACACATTCATCAGACGCCATGTCCGAAGTTCAAAGCCGTTCTGCACGAGGCAGAGTATCCGCTCGCGGTGGTCGCGGCGGTTTCAGCTCCAGAGGTGGTCGTGGTGGAAGCAGCAGATCCGCAAATGCCGACAACTCAGACTTTTCGTCCTTTGAGGAGGGCGAAATTGGAGAAATGAAGAAGAAATACTCGGACACCTTGCCCACTCTTAAGGAATTGTTCCCCGACTGGAAAGACGAAGACCTCGTTTTTGCTCTCGAGGACTCCAACGGCGAGCTCGAGGAGGCAATTGAGCGCATTACCGAAGGTCGATTCCCCTCGATTCCCTACGGACCACAGGTCCAGAATCTATCATTCAAAGGTCGTTACTGACAGCTCTGTTATTTATAGGCAATGTATCGCAGTGGGGAGAGGTCAAGAAAAAGACGGCCGCAGACCGGACTAAGCCCAAGGCTAAGGAGGTTCAGAGCACCCCGACCGAGTCGATTGCAGCTTCCGCTCGAGGTGGCCGCGGTCGTGGTGGTTTCGAGGGTCGTGGACGTTCCCGCGGAGACCGGGGTCGTGGCGGTCGCGGCGGCCGCGCTGTAACTCATACGAATGGAACCCGTGCAGCAACTGGTACTACAGAGACCCCGATGACTGTCACAGCGACCGAGCCTATCACAACTAAGGCGGCAGTTGAAGTTGAAGGCGTACCCGCAGCTGGAGGCGAGTCGGAGTCGGCCGAGCCTAAGACCAGTGTGATCCCCGAGGGCACAAAGAAGGGATGGGCAAGTCTCTTCGCGGCACCCCCGCCGCCTCCTCCCCAGAAGAAGCCACCCCAGGCGGCTCCTGCACCTACGTCTCAGAAGCCAGCCGAGCCCTCGACCGAGCAGAAGGCCCCCGTCCCCGTCCCCGTCCCCGCCCCCGCCGCCACCCAGAAGACTCCCGTTGCGAAACCTACCGAACCTGCTGTCCCTGTTATCCCTCAAACTACTGCTAAGCCCCCGGCTGATGATCTGACTGAGACCAATCTCGAGCAAATCCCTGACGTCTCCGCTCCTGCTCCTACGGCGACTGCTGCCAGCACCGTTGGCAGTGCTTTCGACCCGGCCGCGGCCGCCAATGCCACTCCTTCACGTGTGACCTCTTCTGGTCTTCCGGGCAGTGCTATGAAGCAGGGCACCCGTGCACCTGGCTTCCAGCGCCGCGTGATGGAGCAGCAGCAAGCCGTGGTCATGCCCGGCAACCACGCTGTGGACCGTGCGGTTGTGCAGTTCGGCAGCATGGGATTGAACGGCGATGCCGTGGACATTGATGAGAACCGTGAGCAGGCCGAGACCCGCGCTCAACCCCCTCAGCACTCTCCTGTCGCTCCTCGAGCTTCCCTCCCACCTTCGAGCCAAGGTGTTCCCGAGGCCGGTGCTCCTCGTCCCGCCCCGGGTCTGCCCCCGGTTCCCCAGGCTTCCGCTGCCGAGTCTTTTACCGAGTTTGCGCGCTACGGCGAGCCCCAGAAGCCCTTCGACCCCTTCACCCAGCAGGTGAGCCAGCCTCAGCAGCAGATCCAGGAACCCTTCGCCAACCAGACTCCTCAGCAGCCCACTGCCACCACTGGCGGCGACTTCTCTCCCTTCTACGCTGCTGACCAGCAGCGCTTCCCCTACAACTACTACGGCAACTACGGCCAGACCCAGGATGCCGGTGCCGGTCCCCGGGCTGCTGGTGGCTTCGGCGTGTCCGCCGCTGAGGCTCAACCTCAGGTCCCCACCACGCAGCCTCCCAGCCGCTACGGTCCTGTCGATGCCACTAACAGCGGCCACAACACCCCCAACCCGACTCTGCCTGGTGCTACCGCTACCCCGGCCGCTCAGCACATGCCTGGCCAGAATGCGCACGCCTACGGCTACGGCGGCTATCCCTACTACTCCAACCCTCAGTATGCTTCGTACATGCAGCAGATGAACCAGCATAACTACGGCCGGAACCGTGGAATGTATGATGACGCTCGTCGCTACGACCAGGAGCAGCAGCAGCAGCAGCAGCAGCAGCAGCAGCACTACGGCATGCCCCATGCCTCTCAGTACGGCTATGGCGGTCAGCAGTACGGCCCCTACGGCGGCAAGGGTGGCATGTACGGCCAGCCCCAAGGCTTCTATGACCACTCTTCTCCCGCCAACGCCGGCAGCTTCAACCAGGGCGTGCCTGGTCGGGACTCTGTCTACGGCCGCACCGGTTCCGCCCAGCCCTCTGACAGCCAGCAGTCCGCTACTGGCACCAACGCCTTTAGCACTGGCATGTCGGACGTCTTCGGTCGCTCTCAGGCTGGCTTCGGCCAGAATCCTCCTGTCGCTGGTCAGCCCCCCGTGACCGCTGAGGAGACCAAGGGCTTCGAGGGTTCCAAGACTGGCGGCCCCAGCCCCTCTCTCGCTCAGAACCGCCCCGGCTCTGCCAGCAACAGCGTTCCTAGTCAGCCCCAAGCCCAGACCGGTCTGCCCCCGCTTCAGGGCCAGCAGGGCCAACAGGGCTTCGGAGCCTACCCCCAGCTGAACCCCCAGTACGGTGGCCTCAGCGGTCTCGGTAACCACCAGGGTGCGGCTTCGCAGACTCACCAGGCCTCTGGCTACGGTGGTTACGGCGCTGGCTTCAGCAACTACTACGGTGGTAACACCCGTGGCGGTTGGGGCAACAACTACACCCACTAAAGGGACATAAAGTCGGGGAGGTTCACTTATATTTCATTTATTCTCTCCGCCACACACAAACACATATGGCGTTGCATTCGCGGGTGATCTGAAACGGGGTTTTCGTTTTGTCTTCCAAATCACCAAGGCGATGTCTCTAGTCGACCGGTCGACCGGAAGGACAAAACCCAAAATTTCTCTTCATCTTTCTTTCCTCAACATCTGTGTAATCTCTTCTCTCTTCTGGGAGCTTTGGCTGGCTTGGGACTGTGTCTGTGTGTTTTCCTCCTCCATTTTACGTTTTTGATTTTCCCTATCTCTATTTTTATTTTTTATTTTGCTACTACTGCTCCCTGACGATGCAGTTTGTATTAAATCCACCAATTCTCTCAAGGTTTTCCTGTCTTTTTTTTTTTACTGTTTTCCTGTCTCCAACCCTAGCTCACGGTGTCAACTCGGGTCCGGTGTCATTCTGTGTGAAGATGGGGTTTCGTTTGAGGGCCCCCTTTCATTCATTCTTTCTACCGTGTGCATTATCGACGATTGGTGGTACTGGGTCTGGTAGAGAGGTAGATCGTGATGGATTTGGCTCATGTTACTGGGCTGGCCAAAAATATGATGAGTTATGTTCGCACTTATACAAATCAGATATTTCAGGACCAACCTGTCTTGCTTCGCAAAGAATTCTGTCTCTCGCAATCTCAATATCATTAGTACCTAGTATGGGGCTTACACGCTTGAATTGCCCGTCTCAGTCTCGGTCTTCTACTGAGATGGGACCACATGCCTTACTACATCGGCTCCAAAGGCTCCTCATGCAAGGTACTAGCGTTTTGACGTGGCCAATCCCAGAAAAGGGATGTTAAGGTTTAGATCATGATAACAAATGTTCATTAGATGGTAGCAGTCAACCGCCCATTCAGGTAGATAGGCGGCAATCGCTTCAGCCCGGAACTATATACAATCGCAATGCAGCAGGACTACCCAGCAAAAGAAAAGGACATCAAACGGCCAACTCTATGTGTGCAGACAATTGGTTTAGACGGGACTGCAGTCAGCAAAGGGACTAACCGTCTTCCAGCCTCGATCCAAAACCCAAGTGAAAACTCAAAGTCACGCAGTGGAAGCAGGGCCCAAGGAGCCATTTTACTCAGTGATACCGAGCCCCTCGCCACCAATCTTGAAGTAAGGCGGTTGAGAACCAGCAGCGCGCTCGGCGTCGAAGCGCCAGATGCCGCCGGTCTTGTCGCCGTCCAGGTTGGTAGGCAAGTCGAGCGAACTGGCCAACTGCTGAATATCGGCACCGTCATCGGTGGGGTTGATTCGCTTGAAGAATCGACGTTCCCACTCGCGGCCCTCGGACTTCTCAATGCGGCGCAGCTCGCGCTGAGCATTTTCGATGCGCGACTTGTGCTCGGAGACGGCGTCCATGTCGCTCTTTTGGATGTTCTCCGCAACCTCCTTCCAGGCACGGCGGCTCTCGTACAGATCCTGCTCCTCGAGAGGAGCCAGGGTGAGCGCGGTAGTCTTGTTCTCTTGCACAACCCATTTGTCAACCTCTTCCTTGTGGGCGTTCTTCACGGTGAAGGTGTTGGACCATTGGCCGTCGACTGTGTACAGGGGCTTCTTCTCGCCCTCGCTAGCCTTGTAGAGGACGGCAGTGAAGGTGTTCTTCTTGCCGCTCAACCAGCCCTTGCCCGAGAAATCGATCTTGGAGACATAGCCGCTGCTGCTGGCGATTTTAGCGGTTTTCTCGAGCTCGACGAACGGGGTGCCGTAGATCAGAGATTCGATGTGCAGGTTCGGGAGGGTGATCAGGTATCTCTCCTTCTCTTCGGTACCGGGCGGGGTGAGGGTGTAGAGGGCGTGACCGATCTGCTTCACTTGGATAGTGCTCGAGAAGGACGCTTTTTGGGCATTGTATCCTTGCAGCTGAAGTTAAGACGTCGCCAGGTTAGTATTGAGGTGATCAATTCTAGGCTGCCATGATTCTCACCTCGACTCCGTGCTTCTCGTTCCAGATTGCGTATGCAGTGGCAGGAGGGTGGTGGCTATAGTAAGGAAACGTCAGCAGTCTAGATAGCTTGTCATGGGCCAATGGGGCATCACCTACCTGACCTGCTCACTGATCAATTTGGTCTCCCCCACTTCCGGGTCCGACTCGTCGGCGAGCCACTTCCCGATAAACAGCTCACCCAAGAACGGGTTGAGAGGCTTCTTCTCACTGCCCAGCTTCTCGCTACGGCTGCAGTACTGCTGGTGCAGGGTGGTGAGGAACCACTTGAGGACGAGGAGAGCCCGCTTTTCGGGATCGGCCTCCCTGCCAGGAGCGACGAAGACGGCCGGGTGCTCAGCCCAGTAGGCCGAGTACTCGGTGAGCGAGGTGGTGGACAGGATGAAAGGAGGGGCAGTCAGGGAGGAGAGATCCCCGTTGAAGGAGGCGATCGACTAGGAAACGGTCAGTTTCAGGCTTAGAATTGTCGCATGCCATCGTCATAATCATACCTTGAGAAAACTGGTCCACGAGCCCTTGCTGTGGGCGGGGACACCGCCAGAGGGATCTTTCTTGGACGACATTTTGTATAAGGTGAAACAAGGAAAGAAATTCTCGAACAGGAAATAGGTTAGAACTCCCCTCGATATGAAGGTGGGGAAGGAGGGTTGATGTCGGTGGTTGGCGGTCAAATTTGAGCGACGTCATGGCGCCAGGAGGGGGACGAGCGTTGGCGTACAGCCACACTCTGCTTTACTGTGTACTTGTTCGACATTCAGCCTTCAACCCTCAGCCCTCCCTGGAGCCTGGAACAATGCATTGCGCGCGTGCTCCAGTTGTCAGCTGTCAGAACGTTATGCTTTCCAATAAACTCCTAGCGCCACGAACTAAGTAGCTGGTCGGTACCTGTGGACCATTCCTCCACCATGGGCTTGGCCTGAGCACCTGACCATGCGAGGATCTGAGGATCTGAGCTGTCTGAGCTGTCTCAGCTGTCTGAGCTGTCTGAGCTATCTAAATCCTGACGAATCATTCCAGCTGTCATATGCGATCCTAAATATGTAGAACGTGCCGACTGCTCGGCCCCAAACCATCTTTGATCGCATCGCGCCGACACGGATTCTTTTCCGCCCACGAACTACGACGGAGTCCTGGTTCCCCACGGTCTTCTACCCGAGCCCATTTCTGTTCGAGTTCACTCATTGGGTGCCCAGTGACCACGATATGGAACCCTGGATCAAAGCGAGTCTCTGTTTGGGCGCTTTGCTCCCTACGCCTCCTGGGACGCGACCTCCCCGACCCTCGGCCAAAGATAGCCAGCGCCGAAGGCCGAAGAGTCTGCAATTATTTCTTCTGGCTCAGTGTCTGTTCTGCTTTGTATTCAATGCATATTCACTTTTTTCCCCTCCGAGTACTTTGTCTTCCAATTGAAGTCTCGTCCCTGAATCCTGGAGAAGCTGCTACGGAGTATGTCCGGTGCCTCGGAACGAAGCCGCTGAAAGCTTCGAATCGCAACACTTTGTACTGAGAGCAGCTTGGCAAATGCATGACAGCTTCATTTGTTCAATACCTACTCGTTAAATTGCATCGGATGCTGTATACAACATGCCGTCGACCCATTCCATATCAAGTGTCGAGGAAGCCTCGACACCAATAGAACCGATCAACACCCGAGGGTCTAAATCGCAGCAGATAACTGACACGAACGATCTCGATCTGATGCAGAGTCATCTTTCCCACCATGAAATGCCCGTGGCCAACGACTTCCAAGAGGTAGACGCAGAACAATATCTACGTTTCTCGCCCACACGCAAGATTGTCATCGTCTTTGTTCTGTCGTTCTGCTCTTTCCTGGCTCCGATTTCCTCGACCTCGATTCTCTCTGGTATCCCCGAGGTAGCCACGACGTACAATACCACTGGCAGCATCATCGATGCCAGCAATGCCCTATACTTGGCATTTATGGGGATCTCCGCTCCGTTCTGGGGTCCATTCAGCCAAGTGTGGGGACGACGTCCGGTAAGTTGTCCCTGGCAATCATATGTGATACTCTTTGGACTAATGGTGGCCCGTTAGATTTTCCTCACAAGCGCATTCCTTTTCTTCGCATTCAGCATTGGCACTGCGCTGGCCCCGAATCTTCCTTCATACTTCATCTTCCGCGTTCTCACTGCCTTTCAAGGCACGTCCTTCCTGGTAGTAGGCAGTTCAGCCATCGGTGACGTCTACGAGCCCCGTGCTCGCGCAACAGCATTAGGATGGTTCTTATCTGGCACGCTGATCGGCCCAGCATTCGGCCCATTCATCGGCGTGCGTCCCACCACCTCACACGCACCCCAATCCACTGACATAAAACGCAGGGCGTCATCGTAACATTCTGCTCCTGGAGAGAAGTCTTCTGGCTACAGACCGCATTGGGCGGCTGCGGCACTCTACTAGTGTTCTTTTTCTTCCCTGAGACACACCCACACATCGACAAGTCCGACTTAACCGAAATGAGCCTCTCGCAAAAAGCAAAGTTCCTCTGCCACCGCGTCAACCCGATCCGCGTCGGCGTACTCCTCTTCACATACCCTAATCTCTTCTTTGCAGGCATTGCGTCCGGCGCTCTGATCTGGAACCAGTACTCCCTGCTCACGCCCATCCGATATGTGCTGAACCCGCGCTTCAACCTCACTAGCCCGATTCAATCGGGACTCTTCTACATCGCTCCCGGGTGTGGATACCTTTTGGGTACGTTCATGGGTGGGCGGTGGGCGGATCATACGGTCAAGAAATGGATCCGCAAGCGCGGAAGACGAGTCCCTGAGGATCGACTGAAGTCGTGTCTGGTCTTTCTGGGTGTCGTTATCCCGGGATGTATTCTTGTCTACGGGTGGACTGTCGACCAGGCCGTTGGCGGCATCCCGGTGCCTGTGTTGGCCATGTTCCTGCAAGGCGTGGCACAATTGTTCTGCTTCCCGAGCCTGAATACCTACTGTCTCGACGTGATGCAGTCTAAAGGCCGCAGTGCCGAGGTTATTGCCGGGAATTACATGTTCAGATATGTTTTTGCCGCTTTGGGCTCGGGACTTGTTCTTCCTGCCGTAGAGGTGATTGGCGTTGGGTGGTTTAGTACCATCAGCGCCGTATTTCTGGTTGCCGCTGGGCTTTTTGTTTGGACTACTACCATCTTTGGAGATCGATGGCGCGACCGCATCGATGCGAAGGATCAGCGCAAAGCGGCCGCAAAAGGCGAGACCGGGCCTACGCGGGAGGCTGAGAAGACCGGTGAGGTGTGAGGTTTGAATTCTCTTCAGTCCGATCATTTCTGATCGATCCGGTCGTACTACTCCGGAACGTTTAATGAACCTAAAAGCTAGATATTTTCGATGAATCAATGACTTCTTTCTATCGTCATCACAGTTCGTCTGTAGACTAAGCATCGTTGCCAGTAGCCACTGCCACTCCATCCACCGTCTTCCCCTTCACAATTGCATCAGCACTGAGACCAGTTTCGGCTACAACACGATCCACTTTACGCCTCTCAGTAAATGCTCTGCAGTCGTCGCGGCCCTTCTCGATGTCCACAAAGGCGATGGCAATCATGGCGCCGGTACAGATGGCAAATAGGAAGGGGAATCCCATCCAGTTGTTGTTGGTGTCATTAATGATAGCCTGGATGACATTTGGACCGATGATGGAAGACTTGGTGACAAAGTTAGCAGGGTAGACGAGAACTGGTGGGGCGAACCTACAGCGCGGTTGGTGATTCCAAAGAGTGCAAAGAACATGTTGTCGTAGCCGCGGGGCATTAGCTCGCTAATCATTGTTTGGGCATACTGTAGTTGACTGAATTAATGATCCAACTCTTTAGAGGGAAGGGAAATTGAACTTACGGCGTAATATGGCGCCTGGAAGAGCCCGAAAATAATATTGTAAAAGTAGAACTCCCACTGTAGACAGGTTAGTCTGAAGTCAACTTGAAGACGGTTTTTAGGGAATACTTGCCCTGTTATGGTATCCAATCCGGGTGGTCCAGAGACCTAGCATACCCCAGAATGGAATGAAGACGGTGAAGAAGTTGGTAAAGAGGAACATGGTCTTGGTCTTGAACTTGAAATATTTCTGGATGTACCAGAACCCGAAGGTCGAAGTGATGGAGCACGCTGCTTGTGTGATACCGAGGTAGGTAAGTTGGAGGAATGAGAATGAAACATAGTCATTCTGAATGATGCTGACGAGAGTTCCTGCACAACATCAGTTGGGCTGCTTAAACCAAAGAGGAAGACACGCCAATAGAATTACCCGTCGTATTGAGCCCATCGGCGAGGAGGAAGTAGGCCACGAAATACAAAAAGGTCTGGGGGAGAGCCTTAATTTCTCGAATTGCCAGCCAAATCTGTTTGAAGCCGATGGTGGCATAGTTGGATCCCTTGGGAATCTTGGGCCCAGGTCTCTTCTGCTGGAATATGAACCACCAAATACCCAAGACCACCCAATCTGCATGGAGTGTCAGATGAAAAGCAAGAATGCGTATGAAAAGGGCCTACTTGCATGAATTTGTCAGGCAAAGTGCCAGATTGTTGGAAAATTGGTTGCTCTGCATGGGGAGTAGGACACTCAGGTTAAGGGCCAGGGTGAGCAAGTACCCAATATTGCTGTGCGCAGTCGATATGTTGCTGTAGGCATGTTAGTAAAAGGCATTTTTGCCAAAATTCCCTGTCGTGACGCTACCTGAGATGGTTCCTCTCCAACGACTCGATAGCATCGTATTCCTGCTGATCAATCTTGCCCTCTCTTAGATCTTCCTCTCGGGCCTTGCGGACATGCGGCATATACCGAGCGAGGCGAGGAAAGACCGCAGCGTAAAACACCAGTGTAGCCCCATAGGCAATATACGCGATCACGTACATCGCCATGGCAGCCGGCCACTGACTCGGATGGCGGATGGACATCATGCCATACTGTAGCGCCCAGCAGACGACAGTTAGGACCAGAAGAAGCCATCTGCCAAAAGACCCATAGTCGGCAGCACTGCCTAACCAAACAAAAATGACTGTCATAAAAGCGAAGCATAGACCGTTGGCGATCAGGACGACGGAGGAAATAGATTTCGTGCCACCCGCCCAGGGGACTACGCATGCCGATGTATTTGTGCAGGGCTTTGGCGGATTAGTGCCAGGCTGGAAGCCCGCACCATTCAATGCCCACTGAAAGCTTCGAAATGTCAGTTGAATGCTCTTAATGATCCAGTATTCTGGCGCGGAGTACATACAGGGCTTGGCTGTATGAACCCGGACCCACGCCGTTATCCCCTGAGTTGCAACATTGGTTAGCCGATGGACCTGATCGATAAGAGAAGAGTACTACCATTGTAATAGAGATAATAAGACCAGAGCTCTTTTCTAGTCGTGGTAGGCTGTTCATAGGCATCTTCATCGACTCCGAACAATCGCTCATACTCCTGCAGGGTCTCCAGTGGCTGGGCCTGTGCGGTCTCTACCTTGACCTCGGTCTCTTCCTTTGATCCGGGGTTTTTGCCCCCATGGGGTTTATCTGTCGCATCCTCCATCGCTGTGATCAATGTGGCCGGGAAACTCGGTATAGAGGAAGACGAGGGTGAAGGGAAAAGTAGAGGTTGAGCTTCACCTTCTCGCCCTTTCCCTTTCCTTTTCTTTTCCGTCGAGTTACCCCGCATTATGTGGGCTCGGCTCGGTGATTGAGCCTAGTGGTATCGTCCCACGATGTTCAATGCTCGGCAAGTGCGAGGCTCACTGGAACGTTGCATCGGAACGGTGTGGATCAGTGGAACCACGGGGAGCAACCCAATGGCACGACTTCCCTTTATCGACTTACCAACCCCCGCGCATTGTAGCATCTCTAGAGTTCACTAGAGTTCAGGGTCAACACCATGTCGGATCTTCAGAAGGAAGTCGGTCAGGTATGTCCTTCTTATCCATGACATGACAGAACCCGTTACTGATCAGTGATAAAGCTGTTCGCGGTCGGGTTCCACGGCTACACTCCAAGCCCGGAGATCAAAACATTGATTCATGAGTATCATGTCGGAGGCATTGTCCTCTTCGCGCGCAATTACCAAAATGCCGAACAGCTTCAGGTATGGCCGATCTCTCTTTTCTGCGTCTTCAGCGCTAACTCTACAAATAGGCCTTGACATTAGCTCTGCAGAATGAAGCTCGACTGGCCGGGCACCAGCGACCTCTGTTGATAGGGATTGACCAGGAAAATGGCCAAGTCACCCGCATTGCTCCCCCAATAGCCACTCAAATCCCTGGGCCGATGGCTCTTGGTGCCACGCATGACCCAGAGCTGGCCTACCAAGCAGGGATAGCCACTGGCGAGACCCTGGGCTTCTTTGGAATCAACATGAATTATGCACCTGTCTGCGACATCAATTCGGATCCGCTGAACCCCGTAATTGGTGTCCGTAGCCCTGGCGATGACCCGGAGTTCGTGAGTCGGTTCGCAAGTGCGGCTGCGCGTGGTCTGCGCGAGCAGAACATCATCCCTAGTGTGAAGCACTTCCCCGGTCACGGAGACACGTCTACCGACTCACATTATGGTCTGCCGGTTATTGAAAAGACAAGGGATGACTTGGAACGATGCGAATTGATCCCTTTCCGTCGTGCAGTTGCTGAAAATGTTGAAGCCGTAATGACTGCCCACATTTCAATCCCGCACATTGATGACAAGTTCCCCGCCACACTTTCTGCCAAGGCCCTTGGTATTTTGCGCAACGACATGGGCTATGATGGCATGATTATCACCGACTGTCTTGAAATGGACGGCATTCGGTCTACGTTCGGCACAGAAAACGGCTCGGTCCTCGCGCTGCAGGCTGGAAGTGACAGTCTGATGATGTGCCATACATTTGATGTGCACGTTGCCTCCATCAAGAGGGTTACCAAAGCGGTCCAGTCCGGTGAGGTCTCACGCTCACGATTTGATGATGCATGTCGTCATGTCGCCAAAGTGAAAGACAAATTCTTGAACTGGGACGTAGCTTTGCGCCAAGGGGACTTTGCAGATCTTGATGCACTCAAGGAAAAGCAGTCGCAGATTTTCAAGGGTATCTATGACCGCTCTGTCACGCTTGTCCGAGACGATGCTGGTGCTCTTCCACTGTCAAGCACCTCGAACGTTGTATTTCTCTTCCCGGGAGACGGTACCCCTGCAGGAGGCGCCGTGGATGGAGAAGGCACGGGCAAAGCAGGCGACTATGATTCCGCCAAATACCTTAACACTCTTCGACGATACAACCAGTCTATCACGGAAATCAAATATCCAAAGGCTGGGTTGTCGGAGGAGGAATGGTCCGTTGTCAGGTCCGCTGATGCCGTGATCTTTGTTTCGATGAACGCTACGGAGTCGCCATATCAACTGTCACTTGGAAAGGCGCTTCCCAGCCAGGTTCAATCATTTGTGGCCATTGCTGCCTGTCAGCCCTATGACTGGCTCAATGTTCCTGAAGTCAAGACGTATCTGACCACATATGAGCCTACTGTTGAATCCTTCTCCGTGGTATCCGACATCATATTCGGGAAGAAGGCTCCACAAGGCTCACTTCCAATTGGATCGGGCGCCTCGACCAAGTCTACTGCCGATGTGGCACCTTTCAATGCCGAGACAGATCTTGATGCAATTATCTCCGTGTGGAGAGAAGCCTTGCCAACTTATATATTGCCGGCAAATAGTTTGCACCCGCTGATTGTCCGGAAAAATGCGCACCACTTGGTGGCTCGGGTCGGCTCAGACCTTGTGGGATTCTGTCTTGCTTACACCAATGGTCAAGGCGAACCAACCACCGTTCACATTGCAGTACTGGCAGTGGCGCCGAAATTCCAAGGTCAGGGAATTGGCACTGCGTTGCTTAATGAGACACGCTCGTACTTCAGGAAGCAACTCAACATGAACTGTCTGAAACTTGGCAGTACATTCCCTCGCTTTTGGCCAGGAGTACCTCGAGAGCTGCCCGGTGCCCAGGAGTTTTTTATTCACCGTGGCTTCCGGCTGAGCCCGCCCGAGGCCAGGTCCACCGACCTGTACCAACGCATTCGAAACTTCCAATCGCCTGAGAAGTACATGAATCGTGCGCGAGATCGGGGATTTCGGTTTGCACCTCTCCAGCCTGAAGACTACGAAGAGTGCTTGATCGGACAGCGAAAAAACTTCTCTGACAATGCCGTAAGCACACACCATTCTAATCGACATACGCATGTTACTGACATGACACAGGACTGGGTTGAGGCATATGTCAAGCTACATCCCAAAAATTATCCCTCCTGCGTGATGACCGCTTTCGATTCCGAGAATAGACAAGTCGGATGGACTCTGATGCTGCCCCCAGTCGCGGCTCTGAATAATCTCTGGGCCTTCCCCCAAATCTGTGGTCCAAACACGGGTCTAATCGGCTGTGTGGGCATTGACGCCGACCACCGCGCGTCTGGAATCGGGCTGGCTCTCGTTTGTCATGCTATCGAGAACATGAAGGAGCGCGGGATTGAGGGTGTCTTTGTGGATTGGGTTGCCCTGGATGGATGGTATGAGCAGATTGGCTTTAAGACCTGGCGGAGCTATCGACCCGGTGAGATCTGAGTGTTTTGCATGTCACTCTATAGATAGTCATCGTCAGGTCTTCTGATTGGTCTATTTGCTCGGTCAGCGCTCTGGTATAAAGTAGTTAGATTGATCTTTCTCTAAATCTTCCCCTTAAGACCTTCTGCTCATACATAACCGTCGATGATCTTCTACTTGCATAACATGTCTTTCTCTACGGACTGATCTGTCTTCCGACGCCAGTCTAACCAGGTCATTTGGCTTCAGTGGCTTTTAAACCCCGCATTTTATAGAACAAGGATCCGAAATGAGGTCCAGTTCACCATGAGTTACGAAGCCTGTTCAATTCATAGTGCAACTGTACAAGATCAATATGATGATACCCAGCCCAAGCCTAGTGCTTGTCTGAGTTAGTCATGCCATCAATCTTAGCCCGAGCATTGCGATAGAATTCATTCCGGTCCTCATCAGTCCGGCCAGTCGAAGGCACATCCGCCCCTTTCTGCACAGCAGCCCGCTTCCCGATCTCATCAGCCCACTTCTTCAGAGCCGGGAACTCAGACAGGTCAATCTCCAGCGCATTCGGACCACTGCGGACCCATGAGTAGTTTGCAATGTCGGCAATGGTATACTTGGACCCCGCTAGGTAGGGGCTCGCCTTGAGACGAGACTCGAGAACCGAGTACAGGCGCTTGGTCTCGTCGATGTACCTCTTGATGCCGTACTCGGAGCGGGCTCCGGCAAAGAGGCGGAAGTGGTTTGCTTGGCCTGTGGAACGGTCAGAAGGGCTTCCAGAAGTGGTTTGCTCGTTTGTTTCTAATACGTACCCTGCATGGGACCGAGACCGCCCATCTGGAACATCAACCAGGATAACTGCTCGATGTGCTCGGGTGAGCCTGGGGCATAGCTAATTTTGCGGTCGGTGTCGTATTTATCGGCAAGGTATATCATAATCGCGCCGCTCTCGAAAATGCGCTGCGAGCCATCGAGGAGCGCGGGAATGCGGCCGTTGGGGTTGATCTTCAGGAACCAGCTGTTTGTTTTTGTTTAGTGATTGAAACTTCCATTAGACCTCACGGGAGTTCATACTCTTCTTTTTGGACGTTGGTGCTGATATCAATTCCCTCGGCCTTGTACGGCAGGCCGAGCTCCTCCAGGGTAATGGAAGCCTTGATGCCGTTGGGTGTGGGCCAAGTGTATAGGGTGATATTAGACATAGTGGAGAAGGCAGCGCTGGTAGATGATAGACGGGAGAGTCGTGAGACAGCTGTGAAGGAGTTGGAGGTGATACTGCGGAGGACCATTACGGCAGTTATAAAGCTTTATGGAAAGGTTTCCAGGGAACATTCCCTGGGCTTTGTACACATCCGATAGGCCCCCGAAGCTCCCATCTCTCGGGCTTTCGGGGCTCCATTTGTCAGCCTGTGTCGGATGATGTCATCGTTCCAAGATTCTTACTGAGCTCTGGCATTCTCAATCTTGTTCCGGTTTACTCTGATTTATTTGTACGGGGACATTCCTGGCAATGGAAAAGTTGTGATGTATAGATCTGCCGCTGTGGGTACGGAGTCGATTCGCTTGTTGGGGCCAGCCTTGTTGGACCACTCCCGGACTCCGTCTTTTTTTTTTTTATAGTAACTATCTTGTTCTCGCTATTGGCTGCCTGTGGGGTTGCTTATAATCTTCTCTCTCTACCTCCAATGGCGTGTACACCTCAGCTGGGATCCGTCTGGGGACCGATAAACAGATTTCTGACCAAAATAATAATATCAAATTTATCGGCCCCACTTTCCAGCTATGACTTGTGTTCCTGGTACAGTCGGGGGGCTGATAATTGGCCATGGCGATAGGAAATATAATTCCTGATTGATAGTGGGAACGTGTGGGTTACAGTCGATATATCATATCTGGGGTAAAGGTTATACCCCGGGAAATCCACATTGGCAGACGCGTCAGATCAGCTCGAGACCGCCCAAGTCTCTCAACGTTTTCTTCGATAAAACATACTTCCTAAGCCTGGGGGGAGGTAACCGTTACACGTCTTCCCGGGTATTTTAAACGCCCCTATAATCCCGAAGTGGGCCCGTCCCAGCAGCTGCTACATAGTATTAACGCGGGTAGCGACGCGTGTAAGATCTGCCTCTTTTCCCTTTCGGGACAACTGACTCGCAAGCTCTCTCCAATTGGACTGACCCGGCATCCGTTTACCGGATTCGCAAACGCTCCTAGGGGGCTTGGCTCAAAGTGTCCAGTTGCAGCATGACCAGACCGGTCTGAGTATGTCGACCCGAGACCTCCCCAAACACTCGAACTGCACGAGAGCCGATATCGTTCTCAGGCGCACGGGCATTCAAGTGCTGCGCAATAATCTCCCCTGGAACAGCGGATCGGCAAGTAGATCAGAGAGGTACACGGAGCCCGCATCCCGCCCGCACAGCATCGCTTGGACCTATCGGCTATCATTAGCGCAGAATCCATGATTTGCCCCGAGGCGGCTCCATGAGGCTAAGATGGAGATACGATACACCTCCCACCTGAGCGTCCCACTGTGTCATCCGCGATCTGCCCCGTATCCTAAGAATCACGGGCTGCGCGCGTGTACTCCGTACTATCACGATCTCGCTCTGCAGCCACTCAGTCACTCTGACCCCCCGACCCTTCGACTCCTCGACTCCTCGACCCCTCGACCCCTCACTGCTTCTGCACTCCATCTTGCACCCCACGGTCCGACCCGCACTGAACGGTTCCTGGTTTCAGGGTTGCGTGCGAGCCCCTCGTTTAGTTCATGTTTCAAGCACTCGCCTCCCCCTCCCCCTCCTTTCTCTGTGCCTTATAGGAAGGAGGTCACAGCCTCGCCCGGAAATTACGCCTCGCCCCGGGGCCCTCGAGTGCTGACTCATTTGGTGGTAGGTGCTTTCCTATTTGGGATCCCATTCTGGACCTTGAGCTTCTCCGGGGAAGTCATTTCGTTTTGTCCTTTTCTACGTTCTACTCCCACGGTCTTACTGACACTCAAATCCCCCACAGTGAAGTACGAATCCCAATGAGCACTCGACCGTTCACGACAACTCTGTGGTCTTCACCGTGATCTGAGTCCGTGCCCGGACTGGACTGGTCCATGGACTCCTCCCAAATCAATCTTCCCCCATTGTCTTTATTGACTCGGTCACCCAAATCCATGCCAGCTCCTATGCCTCCGCCCCCGGGCTATTCAGAGGGCCCCGAGCAAATGCAGCAATGGTTGCAGGCAAAAACAGAGGATGACCGCCGCAGTCAAGAAGAAGAGAAAACTCGCCAAGAAGCCTTAAAATTGGAGCAGCGCAAGGTCGAACAGGCTATTCTGGCAGATTCCCTACGTGCAGGTGTTCCTCCGCATATGCTGCCGCTTCTCTTTACGGGCATGTGTGCAGGTAATGCAATTTCAAATTCGACACAGGATATGATTCAGCAGTCTACAGTCCAGACATCTCGAACAGAGAGCCCCCGCTCTCGTTTCCAGCCAGCATTTCCAGACCCTGGAATATCGACGACTTTTTCCCCACTAGCTCAACATCCGGCTGGGTCTCAACGTGATCTACCAGTGAACACGGCTCAAAATGTACCTGCTGGAGCTGGAAATAGTCCCTCACATTCCGCAACTACAGGCATTCTGAAACCCGTTGGCCATCTTGCTCGATCGGTAGAAGTGCCTGGCCAAGCTCTGACACCACCAAATTTTCCCTCGATCCCACATGCCAGTGCTTCGCAGCAACAGCAGCAACAGCAGCAGCAGCAGAATGCCGCAATCCGAAATGATTCCAGGGCGCGTCGGTCCTCTCCGTCCATCTCTTTCCACCACTGGATTCCCCCACAAGCCCACATGCAGGCCGATGGTCAGATCACATCGAGCCGTAAGCGAAAATCCTCATACCCCCATCATCAAGTACCTCCACCATCCACTCATTCGTCCGATACGCCTGCAAGGATAGTCTCATCCGACATAAAAGGATATATTGGAGAAATCAGCAGAATATCTCCAAGATCTCCACGCCAGCGGCATCAAAGCGACATGTCCAGTTCATACGAATCACGCGAAGTGGATTACCCGGGCCAGACCGCAACCGTTGAACAAACCGCCGCTGGACTGCTACATCGAAAAGAGCAGGAAAGATGCAGGGGTTTCAAGCACGAGGAAGATCGCAGAAGTCCAGATCGCGAAGCTCAAAATCAACCGTCCCAGACATTGACCTCGGACAACGAAAACTTATCGACGCCCTCGCTAGGCACGGGCGTTAGCACAAGGTCTGGAGGGACCAGCAATCGTGATCGACATTAGCTGGTGGCGATCTCAAAAATCTGATTATTCGCATACCTTTCCAAGATACCCTGGCTAGAAGGGGATGACGGCTGGTCCGTCTGCTGCATGGCGTTGTGAAGGGGACTTGTTACTTAAGCCCCCATTCTTACATTGTGTATATTTTACGAGTCAGTATCAACCTCCAAAGATGGGTTCCTGAATTTAGCGGGAGCAAGTTTCTGTATAAGCTCTTTATTCATCGCATGCCATCTGTACGTATACTGGGGTGAATAATGGCCAACCCCCTCAAAACAAAAGGAAGAAAAAGACGCAGGCTACTTTGAAAATAGTAGATAGATTGTTACTTTGACACATTCAAGAGACATTCAGAGATCATCTAAAACAAGACCTTGGAAGGATGTATAAAAAGACGGTCAAGCCGAGCATTGATAAGCTCTCGTGGTACGCTCTTTCCTAATGGCCACTACTCACGCCCGTATACATACTGGGAAGCCTCTTGGAGCTCCAAGCTCACAGCATGTACCTAAAGAGTGGAGACCGATCACCCATCGAGTCAGGATCGGACGGATACTGCGAAGGATCAATACGATGTCGGTTTCGGTTGATGCGTTGGTACGTAAATCGCATGATGACAGTGGCGATCATGCCAACGATCACGAATCCAAGTTCCAGTGAATGACCGAGGATGTATTGCGGCGCGTCCTGGGTGCGATAGAAGTTCGAAGCCATAGCTAAAAAAGGTACCTCGTCAGCTACTTTTGGAAGATCTGGGTAATAGTCAAACTCACCTCCTGCGAGATTTCCGAGACCGATGTACATGGCCATTCCGGCGGCGCGCTTATAGTCTCCGGCCAGGTTGGCGCTTAACCAGGTCACGTTGCCGGGGAAGGCAGGGTAGATTCCTTGGAGCTCAATTAGTCTGCGTTGGATTCTGATTGCTGGTACGCTTACCGATCACCGCAACGAACACTCCAAAGTATACCACGCCGGGCACGTTGCGGCCGCTGGATGCGAGACAGATGATGAAACCGATAGCAATCAAGGCCATGAAGAACAGGACGAATGGTGATCTTTGTTTGCGGCGGTCGGAGAACCATGCTGCGGAGACGGCGACGACTGCGGCCGTGATGTAGATGGGAACCTTCACATTCGACAGTTAGTGACGGGTTTAAAGAGTCTCAAAGATGACCCACAGTAAGCAGCTGAGCGGTAGATGACTTGTATCCCAGATCTTTAATAATGGAAGGAAGGAACAAGGAGATCCCATACAGCGGACAGGTGATGCCCCAGTACACTTTGACCTCGTTAGCACCGACCACGCAGCTCGTCGTGACAACTTACTAAACAGCCCGAGATAGATCTGCCAGTCCGTAAACGCATCAATAACATACTTCATGTGGAACTCAGCCTCATCCTGCACCATCTCACGCTCATCCGCCGAGTTCTGGATCCGCAGAGCATGGATCACAAAACGGCGTTCCTGTTCCGTGAGAAAGGTCGCCGTCTCGGGAGAATCATGGATGGCGAATGGTGCAAAGAGCGCTACTATTATCGTGAGAAGGCCTTCGAGGATGAAGATCCAGCGCCATCCAGCGTAGCCTCCGACGCCGTCCATTTTCTATGTCAAGTTAGTATAGCGGAGTCTGAGGTGAAAAGGGGAGCGTACTGCAATGCCGTACGCCAGCAGTCCGGAAAATGCACCGGCGATACTGGCCGCGCTGAAGAACAAGGCTTGGCGGTATTGGGCTCGGTGGCGTGGGTACCATAAGGTGATATAGTAGGCTACGCCGGGATATAGACCGGCCTCTTTGGTGGATTAGTATGTACTGTAGCTTTTGGAAGGAGATTGGAACGTACCGGCAACGCCCAGAAACAGGCGGGTTGCGAGGAGGCCGCCGTAGTTTTGCACAATACCCATCAGTGTCTGTAGGTTTTGGTCAATATCATTGCACAGCCATTGAAATGGGACCTACCATCACAATTCCCCAAGCCACCATGATCAGCGGTAGCCATCGCGAAGGCCTGAGCTTTTTGAGAAGGAGATTGCTCGGCAATTCGAAGACGCAGTAAGTAAAGAAAAAGACGGTCACTATCAGCTGTCAGTTCCAAATCTGAAAACGTCCCTGGAAACATACAAGTCCAATTGTACTGCGGGCCGGTCATGTTCAGATCCTCGACCAAACCCTCAATCTTGGCGTTGCCGATATTGCCTCGGTCCAGGAATGCCAGGAGATACAACAAGCTGAGCATTGGAATCAACCGCAGGTCCATCTTGCGCAGTACTGCCGCTTCGTCTATCGATGCAAACTCGTCCGAGCTAACGGCGTCCGACTCCTGAATCGGACTTTTCTCGTGTACCACCACCTTCTCGACATGGTGCTCGGAGACTTTCTCCCGTGTCTCTGTGGAGTCTAGCATTGCAGAGATTGTGTCAGATAATCTACAAGCGCGGAGATATCATCGTGTGTATTTATACTCGGGCTGCGCAACCCCGAATATTCCCGCGTTGAGACCCTCGATCCCTGCCTTGGCATGAGGCTGGCATACCTACCCCTCATGCCAAGGCAGGGATCGAGGGTCTCAACGCGGGGTGTACTTGCTCTCGTCTTAGAAATAGACAGATAGTCTATGCGGCCGATCTTGATGTATAGCGTCTCACGGGCCTCACACTAAACCCTCGGAGGCAAGTCTGTAGATCAACGTTTTTGAAGACTGGTTGGGACCTTGGAACAAAGTCTGCCGTATCTTGATTCGAGCTACTGAAAATAGTTCTTTGATTCTTTAAACACCTGGCGCATTGCTGTACTTTCTGAAGCTTTTACTGTGTACCATAATGACTTGGAAATTGCCATAGCCTATTTTCCCACCACGAGAACCCCACTCGTTCGTCTAATTACTATAGACTACCCCTGTGGCTTGCAGCAGCTGATAGTGCTGAAATATCTGGTAAGTTACATCAGCACGTATCTTGATGTGCGGAGAATCACGACTGCGGATGCCCTAAAACACCCATGTCCAGGCGAGACCGTCTTCTTAAAGAAGCTTAATTGCTCTCTTATGGATTCAGAGCTGTCAGTGGATGAGTAAAAGTCCGATATGTATGTCACTGTCTGTCTTACGTATTGATTCGGATCGACGATGTGAAGGTACTTTCAGATTTTGGTTGTAAACTAAAGATATTCATCATCATCCATCGACGGCTGATCCTCTTCAAACCTGGCGGGAGCCTCATTACATGATGTCCACACGGGCGCTTGCGGCTCCCGAGGTGGGAGTGATGGGGTTACAGGTGCAGGTGCGATGATATTCGCTTGGGGAGGCGACAGCCAGGGGAACGAGACCGAAGTGCCGTTGATGCGAATCTCTCCCATGAGTTTGCCGAGGCTTAGCTGAGAAGGCTCGTCCACATACCCATCCCATAGACCAAGCAGCTGCGCAACAAGGCGAAAGACAGCCACGCCTATGGTGATGAGGGGTGCCAACAAGGTTGACAAGTGGGACCATCGCCAGAGCATTGTCACGGTCACGTATGGAAACGTGGGTGCATCGGGCTGGAGGCAGTAGCCGTCGCACGTGTCTGAGAAAATGGGGTGGGAGTATGCCTCGCACAAGGAGCATTCAATGACATACCAGCTCAGTGTCACGAAGGTGAACCAACCGAGCATGGTGAGTTGGATTTGTCTGGATACGGGGTTTCGCTTCCACAAACGGGGAAGCGGAATGGCGGCGTAAAGACGACCATCAGAGGGTATAAAGTAGTTGCCGCCCTGGTGAAGTGCCTTCGGACCATCTTTCGGAGAATTTGGCCGGGAGACAAGATCCGCCTCGTGAACAACATGCTTTTCCAGGCTGTTGAGTCCTTTCTTCACCTCTGTGATGTTTCTTGCCAAAGATGACAGCTTGTCGTGCAGTCTGTCCAGGTCCACTGAATTCGAGACGTTCTTATCGGCTTCCTGAAGTCTTTCCAATAACTCTTGCTCGTATGCTGCTTCTTCCTCCTCTTCCTTTAGTTCAGTCTGATCGTCCATTATAGCGTTTAGATATTCAATGGTATCATCTCCCAGATCCATATTTTCTCTGCCGGATTTGACGTCTTCCATGACTGTTTCAAGGCCACTCTTGGGCAGTTTGGGCCGAAACACGGGCGGCCTTGATAGTTTACCGGACTGAGCGTCGGGAACAGACTCCGGCTTTGTGTTTTGCTCTGGACTTGGTTCTTGAGGTTTGGGTTGGATATCCACAGATGGTTTCACAGGCGGCTTCGTCTGCTGGGTCGAGGCTTCGGTCTCCTTTGGAGGTGCCGGCGGAGGAACAATGTCCTTGGTCAGATCGCTCGGTAGTTCAGTCACCCGTTCAGTCACCTGTTCAGTCATAGGAGTATCGATCCATGCACCAGTAACTCTAGGCGTCTTGTCGTAGATCTTTCTTTCAAACAACTTCGGCGGTTCCGGCGTCTGTATCGAGTCCAACCTTGGACTTTCAGTCCTCGAGAGCCTCCTTAACAATTCTTGTGAATCTCGCTTTGTGGTGGTCGGTTTGGTGAATGTGGAGTTTTTGAAAACCACTATGGGTGTATTGGGAATCGGGGCGCCGTCGCCCGGTGCTGCAGTCTGGTCTAAGCCGGACGTCCGTTCACTTTTACCTTCTTGTGCTTCCTCAACATGGGGATTGACGTTGCGCTCCCCAAGAGCATTTCGATTCCTCAAGGCGGGCCGGCCAAGAGAACTTGACGCAGGAGCATCAGCGGGTGTAAGTTTGGATACAGCAGGCTCCTCTACTTTCGATCTCGACCATGGAGCATGAGCACGGTTCTCTTTTTCTTGTGTCTCTGAAGCACTGCTGCCGCTGACGTTTCTGGTCCAGTCCTGTCGTCGCGCGGCGCGACTTCCCCAGGTACGTGGAAGGTTCAGAGATGGACCGCGCTCGCCATCATCCTCAGACACAAAACGCTCTTGCTCCACCTGTCCCTTGACCTGTTCGTCACGTCGCTGCAGATTATCCGCTGTTAGAGCTGCGCGAGCTCCACTCTTGGCTTTGCTGAAGATTGGAGAATCCTTGCCCGTCACACGTCGTAGGCGCTGCTCGTCCCTGGTGTAATCGGTGGTCCTCCTCGCAGAACGTGGTGGGTAATCTCCAGAGCCATCAACTAGACCCGCATCTGAGAATGTGTATCCATCACGAGACACTGCATCGTGACCCTGGCTTCGATCTCTCGGCTTCGAGGACGATCGGTTGAGGCGATTTGTCGAACGGGCTGCGAGGGCAGCATCCCAATCGTCATACGCAACGTAATCAGCTATCGTTCCATCCTCCTCGATTCTTCGGTAGACATCCGCCAGTTCCTCGGGCGGGTTCGAGGTCTCAGATAACGGGGAGCGCGCAACAAACGGCTCGCGGGTACGTCGAGGACTGGGGGTCGAACCAAGTGGCGCGCCGTCATCGGACATGCTTGCGTGCGATGCAGCTCGATATGCGCCAGCTAGAGTGCCGGTGCGAAAGGCGTGTCGAGAACGCGTGCCATTCTGTTTGGATGACGGGAAGGCGTCTAGATCAAGGTCGTAGTTAGACTCGCGAGCGTGGCCAAATGGAGATTGGTGAAGGTGATGCTTTTGACGCGCCAGCGAAAAGTCGTTCTTGTGGGGCGTTGACATGGCGAGAGAGAGAGCCCTTGCGCTGAAGTGAAGCTTCTCAGATGGTAATCCAAAGTAAACGCGACGGAGATCCCGCATTCCCCGAAGGGGTTAGGGCGCCGGTGAGCTTGACTTGGCTTCGGCACCTTACCTTATCCACCTTTGTCCCCTTCTTACTTTTTTCACTATTTGCAGACGTGACCTTCTTTCCTCTTCAGTTCGACTCGAATCATGAGAACGCCGCTTATGACCTGAGACATGTGACCTGTCACTCGCCGTGATCATTCAACACCACACGCGAGGATACAAAAAGCCAGCCCAGCCTCAAGCTACCTCAAACACCACCATACACCATGACGAAGTCCTCTCGTCGCAAGAAGCCGTCGACGCCGCCCTCGGGCGCCTCGACACCCACGTCTGGTCCCATCCCACCATTCACCAAAGTCCCGGCGATCCTGACACCCTTCGTCGAACCACTTTGCTATGAAGAAGTATACCTCGTCCACATCGACACTACCCACACGGACCAGAAATGGCAGAGCTTCCTAGTTCCATCCATCGTCAACATCGTGGTAGCCGTCGTAATCGCCGTACGCGCCTACATGGCCATCAGCACATACCCAGCACTGTTCAAGATGCTATTCGGACTCCGGAGCTCTCTGAGCGTGGACACGGCCACCGTGTCATGGATGCAACAAACCGCAATCATTCTTCGCCGGACGGGCACGATTCTCATCGACTACTTCCTCGTGACACTTTTCCTGTCCTGGCCCTTCCACTTCGCGCTCGGACCCGTGCGCTGGCGCCGTGCCGTCGGTTTCCGCGATCGCGAGGTCGTCGTGCGCCGTAGCGCCAGCAGCTGGAGCCGCAAGCTCGAACGCAACACGTGGATCCGCGACAACGATGCCATGCGTGACAAGATCGTCGCTGCCGTTACACCCGAGCGCATCGGCAAGACGGGCTACCTGCTTGTTGACGCGGACTGGAATCTGGACTATCCTGCCATGATTCGCGCCCACGGCCTAGTCGACCGGATCCGCAAAGGTGACGGCGTGCAGTTGGATGAGTTCCGCACGGCTGTGCTGGTCCATACCGATACTGACGGCTGGCTGATCTGGCGGGTCGGGGATGAGAACACGCCTGCTGGACTCCAGCGGTCTGAGCAGCGGGATCAGATCCTCGCCTTCCGCGATAAGTTGGCTGCCATGGGCAAGGAGGATCTGTTCTTCCGCTGGGTTGAGGTGGTCCAGTGGGAAAGCTCACAGCCTGGTGGGTTTACTCCGGAGAGGCAGAAGTCTGCTATGCTTCAGGCCAAGCAGATGTTTGAGGAAGAGAATGTGGATTTCAGTAGTTTCTGGGATGATTTGGGTGGCATGGAAGGCATGGATATCTCTGAGACATGACATTTCACCCACTTCTGAACAGTTTAGTTTCTAATCTAACAATAGATTTTGATGTCGTTTTGTTATTTGGTGTTTTCCAAGTGTTTGATGCTATTACTTAATCCCGTAGCATGGCTTTCCTACGTCCTAATTTACTAGAAAATTGGCCAAAGAAACATGCTATGATTCGTACTGCTGGGTATCTCAGGGTAGTCCCATCAAGGGTCATATATCGAGCCTCCAGCCGCTTAACCGCGGATTTGGGAGATCTAAAAACGCAATAAAAAGACATAGGAAGAAAAAAAAACAATCCACAATACGCCCCACAGCCATTCCGCAATCTACTTCTTTCGCGGATCATCCTCATGTCGATAATCGAGCGACCACAGCTTCTCCCAAGGACGTGATCGACCACCTCGGCGGGTGGACGTCGACCGTGACGGAGGAGACGCTGGAGACGTGGCGAGGCTGTCTGACCGAGGCTGTAGCAGGGACGCAGACGTAGGATCCTAGAAAGAAGGAAGTTAGCCCGCAGCGCTGGGGAAGAACCCGGGAAAAGCAGTACTTTTTCACGGGCCAAAGAGCAGATCGCGGCGAACCTCGTCGAATATCGGATCAGCATCTCGATGCTGGAAGCCGGTGTCGGCCTCAGCGGGACGGACAAGATCCGTGGCTGAGTCGTTGGCCCTTTGCGAAGGCGTAGGAGTACCCCGCTTGGAGTTGGAGCTATCGCGACGGCTGTCTAGACTTTTGGAGAGCGTCTGGGCGACGGTGCTGTCTTCGTTAGGGCGTTTCACGCGAATGCTGCCTTTGGCGTCGACATTTGCAGACGCGACAGTGCTTTTCGAGATTCCAGGCGTAGCGGGCGCGCCGGGCTTTTCTTCCGTGGCATCGATGAGGTACCAGCGAAGACCATCTGACAGTTCGAAGGGATTTTCATCTTCCAGCAGTGAAGCGCCGTCGCTGGCATCGCCAAGAGAGCGTCGATCGGGGCCACCGCCATTCAGGGACCTTGATAGATCAACCACACGTTCCTCAATTTTGTTAATGCGGGCAAGAAGCCAATCTCGTGCTTGGAGTTTGTGGGTGTCTTGCTCGCGTAGGAAGTAATGCGGTGCACCGACGTTAAAAGCCGCCCAGGAACGGATGGCTTGGTTGCGAGTGGGCAAAAACAGTGCGAGGTCTCCTTCTTTGAAGGAGCGATAGGCAATCTTCTCGTGAGCTTCGCTCTGGACCCGATGGTACTTGTCGCGGTACGACTTGTATGTTTTGGCTTCTTTCGACCATTTCCGGGCAAGTGTTTCAATGTCCTTCATGCGTTTGATGACCGCTTCGCCGAAGATAGAGACATCGAAGAGAGCGATGCTTTCTATGAAAGCAGAGAATTTGGCTTCCTCTTCCTCTAATGTTTCGGCTTGCATCCAGCCGAGTAGCGACGTGTCGGGTTTCGCAGAGACAATGCCGGACTGGGTGAGACTTTCCCCGAGACCAGACAAGGCATTGACCTTGGAAGCTCGTTGGACAACAAGTTGACCCTCCTGCTGGATGATTGCGAAGCCCAGCTGCTCGAGCACCCATTCCAGCTTCTCAATTTGCTCGTAGAGTTGCTTGGAAAGGTTGAGAGACTTGGTGCCTCTAGCCTCGAACCGTGCCACAGCTTGTCGCTCCGCCTCAGAGAGTGTTTCACACTTCTTCTCCCACTCTAGCTCTCTATCCTGGAAGCTCTGAGCCCGGGACTCGGCATCAGCCAGTTTCTGCGAAAGATCTGCATGTCTACGCTCTTCCTCGGCAACTCTCTCGCGCTCTTCCTCGGAGCCGCGCTCTCCTGTTGACATTTGAGACTGCAAGGAGTTCAACTTCGAACGCTCCTGTTCCAGCTCAGCTCTTGCGTCATCGAGTCCCGTCCGGGTTTGCGAAAGCTCTTCGTTGAGGCGGACCAACTCAGCTTCACGCGCTTCGAAATTCTTTGTATGCTCCTCTGCTTCTGACTCGAGTTGCTTAATTCGCTCATCGAGAGACCTATTCTCGGCCATTGCCCTCGATGCGCTCTCATCTGCATTCCTGGCGTGGATCGAGAGCCCTTCCGAAAGGACCTCGATGGCTTTGATGATGCCAGGAAGTTCCTCGGGCACGGCACCTCCGGGAGACAAGCTCATGAAGGCTGCCTGGAGAGCGCTATAGTTGTCTTGGTCTTTCTGGTCGGAATTGTTTCGCTGGTGCTCGAGTTCGTTAACCTTCGTCTCCAGCTCGCGCTCCTTGTTCTCGTGAGCTTGGATGCGTTCATTCAGATCATCGACCCGGCGTGCGTCTTCGGCAGAGATGGCCTGAGCGCTCTCCAGATCAGCCTCGAGTTGATGTATCCGTTCGTCGGTTTCCTGCTTCTCATGGTCTCGACTGTCCATGAGCCTGTCGAGTTCCTCCTCGACTTCTTCGTTGCGCAGCCGGAACTTTTTCACTTCCGCCTCCAAGTACCTTCGCTCATCCTCGAACTCACGCTGACGTGCTTCGAGGTTCCCAATGAGATCTTTCTTTGTAGATTGAGCCTCTTGGTACTTGTCGGAGTTGGTTTGGCGCTCGGCGTGGGCCTCTTTGTGAAGTCTCTGGACGGTCTCCTTCTCGGCTGCCAGCTCCGCCTCGAGTGTAACGATGCGTTGGACAAGTGCCCTGTCCTCCGGGGGCTGGGTCATCGAGACTCGTCGGGATGAGACTGAAGAACGTCGGGATAGGGCATCCGGGTGTGGAGACGCTGGAGGGGGAAATCAGGTGCAAAATTGCCGCTAGATGGGCGACTGATATGGCTTTGGCGATGAAGCAGATCCTCGAGTTTGCGGACCCGGCTGTCCGACCCCTTGAGCCTATCTTCTAGCTTCGCTTTCTCCTCTTGGAGACTCCGAACCATGTCATCACCGCGTAGCAACATAGAGCTTCGGCTCAGATCAAACACACTGCCATTTTTGAAGGCTTTCGCTCGTCGTCTTTGCTGACGCGTGGGTGCATCCAATTCCTTAAACTGTTGAGATAAGTCTTCTGCAATTTTAGTCAAGGAATATTTTGACCGTAGGTCTTCAATATAATTTTCAATCTCTTTTCGGCTCACTTCAGGCCATTCATCATCTTGCCCTTGTAGGTTAATTTCGATTCCGGGAGCAGCGGAGTCTGCAGATGAGATGAAATCTCCCATGGTTTTCAGCCACTTCTTGCGTCGACGCTGCTCCTCATCTCTCAACACAGCCATCTCCTCGGCCAAGGTCAGGGAATCGGTCTTGATTTTGTCGCTCCATTCCCGCCGCCGCACCGACTCTACTAAAATGGACCCATAAAGCATCGGCATCTGCAAGACACCGTAGATGACGTCAAACGCGTTACTGTTCACATCCAAGTTGACCAGATGAGCGTGAGCATCGGCCAGTCGTGATTCAATAAAGGAAATCGTGCGCATGTGTTGGAGAGCCGCTTTTTCTGCGGCGCCGCGGCGCCGCACAGCTTGCTCCAAGGCCTGCTGCATATCTGCGCCGAGTTCCAACAGCGATGGAAGAAGGTTTTGGGTGTGGTTGAGCGCAAGCCTGGAAACATTTGCGAGCATCTTTTGATTGTTTGGGAGGCTGAGGATATGTTCATAATCGGAACCGATCTTCTTTGCAACCGTTTCCACCTCTTCGAGCAAGCCCTCATCTCTCTCGCTGGGCGAAATGCTCACCTCATCGACCAGTTGTTGAGTGTCCGATGCAATAGCGCTGACGGCCTTCTCAATATCCTGGACCTGCCCAGCAAAGCGCGGCGACACAGATGCCGCCTCCGATCCGGCTTGTTGGACCTCGGCCATATCTACAAAGTCACGAAGAGTCCCCGTAGGCCGACCCTTGTCTTTCTTTGGCGTGGATGGGCGGCCGATGAGTGGGGAGTCTTTGCGAGCGGGGATCTTCTCCAAGGTCTCGAGAGCAGTATGCCAACCATCCAGGGCCGCCTGCTGCTCTTCCAAAAGGTTGTTCGCCCATTCCTGTGCCTCCTGGAACCGATGTTCGAGGTTGCCCACGTGAGATTTCAGATTCTCTAGAGCAACGCCCACTGCACGATTGATGACATCCGTTCGCTCATTATGTCCCCGTATGTTCTTATCGGTGATTCCGCAGCGACTAGACAACTCAAGAGCCCAGCTCCGTCTCGTCATAAAGAGGTTCCGCCATGCCTGCAGGTCGTTTTGGTCTGTGAGGGAGGCCGGAGGCTTGCTCGGCTGAAATGGTTCGGGCGGAGGTAGCTCCGGAAGCTCGATCTCGCCGGGTTCGCTCACGTATTGTCGGTCATACACGAAAATCTCGGTCTTTAGTATTTGTAGAATGTATTAGCATGACCGCACTCATCTCTAACTGGAGAGATGGCGTAGCTCCTTACCTCGGTGGCTAGGGTCTGGATCTTGACATTCTTGCCGCGGGCAGTCATCAAGATCTGTCTAGCCGGTGGGATCGACGTACTTCGAACGATCCATGATTTGAGTGCCTCCAGGCTGGGAACAAACGGTGTTAGCATACATGTGCGTGAAACTAGGGGAATGACAAGGTCTCCCGTCATCTCCACACCGATAGGGAAGCTTACGAGGCAAAAGCGACCGGATCAGCTAGTAAATGCTCACCCGAGTGAGCAATATAGATGTGTAACGACATTCCCCCTCCTCACTCGCCGAGCGCAGAAGCTCGAGATTCCAGAGAAGTGGGAGGGGATGGGCTTTGTTACGAGGATGTAGGGAGAGGAAGCTCTCTCCAAGTCGGCGTATCAACTCCACCGCCTCCGCGGCATCACACGACAAGGTACGCGCGCCGGGTCCACGAGATCCTCCATGGCTGCAAAACTTGGTCAGTCACTGCCTCACCTGCTGCCGGGTGAGGCAATCCTCCTCGATTACGCTGCAGATGACTCCCGCGATATCGTGCCACTCTCCGACAAAGAAGCTCTAGTCCTGCAGCTTGCCAACCAGGTCCAGGAACAGCGGCTGGAAAAGGCGTTGCTGGAACAAGGTACGTGTATTGCTTGGCTTTTCTATTCTTTTCGTTCTTTTGCTTTTTTATGCCTCATTCGACTAACCCTGGTACAGAGCTTGAGGTGCTTTCCGGCGATAATGTGGAAGAACAGCTCGCGATCGCGGAGCGCGAGTTCCTACAGGCGCGATCTACCTACACCGTCAGGAAGAAGGCCGCTCGCACCATCCTCATGACCGATCCCATCCTCAAAGCTGTTCACCTGAAGACAACTAGTCCTCCCGAACGGTTTGTGTTCCCTGTTCATGTTTTGGTTCAAAGTGTCTAACGAAACTGCACAGGGCACTACTCCGCCTTGTCAACCGCCGCGATGTGCTTGCGCTTGCACATGAGAATCTCGCTTCAGCACACGACCTAGTGCTAAAACAGCTGTCTAACTCGGAGGTGGAAAATCTACAGATCAACAAAGAGAACCAGGAGCTAGTGCGCGAGCTCCTGGAGCTCACGCGGCAGGATGACTCCTGGAGAGAGAAACTGCAGGATGCAACCCTTGCATCACAGTTGGACGACCTTGAGACCGATCTCAAGAAGCGCAAGGCACAATGGGAGGTTATGAAGAGCGTTGCCAGTGCTATGGTGGTTGGCAGCGGGCTCAACTGGGCCGACGACGAGAAGCTTGAAGCTTTGGTACTTGACGAAAGTGACGACTGAGACGCGTCTGGATGTTTTGATTGGCCATACCCCGGGGATTTGAAGCACAAGGCGCTATACCCAACTCATTAAGGTTGATTTTCAAGGATATTTTTACCGTTTCGGAGCTGCCAAGCCAGGATAATAATACATATGACCACCCTAGGCTTCAGTCAGTGTGGCCGTGTAAGACCTTGACCCACGCCCTACATCACCGCACCCGCAATGACGGAGTGTAAGGATGAAAAAGGCGCACGGTGGACTGTCTATGCACCAGTCAGGACAGTTCAAAGTGCCCTAGGGTAGCAAAGCCAGCGGAATACGGAACTAGAGAGAGGTTTTCTGTGGTCATCAGAGCTGTGGCCGTGGAAACCTGTCGAGTATTGCAAGAATTACACAGTCAAGGGCAATACGACGCGACGTGCGGACTCTATGACGCTCTCCTCTCGGAAGAAGTGGAAGGGCTGTAACTTACGGTACGGGCTGTATCGCCGGTACTTCGTACTGGCGGTACTTTGCTGTGTAGCCGATGTACCGGAATGTTGCAACTCTGCTAGGGAAAGTATGTACCCTGCCCTTGCTGTGAAGGATGGGCTTTCATGCACATCTCCACTGCCAAATCCCCTCGCAAGATACTGCAGACTCCACTCGCGACATGACAGCCAGCTGCCCCAATATTAGTAGCTTCTGGTCAAAGATACCGTGCTGTAGACGCGTCGCTTGTAATCAACAGGGCCAATTGAGCTCAGACTTCAAGTCGGACCGTTTATCCAGCCTGTCTGACCCAGCAAGTTGGATCGCGATCGTCGGGTCCAAATACAAAACACCGATGAAGGCGGCAGGTCGCGTTCATTAATAATGGTATCGCGTCGCCATTACCGCGTCCTCTTGTTTTGATTTTCGAGGCGATAACCCGATGCTGGGTACCTGGGACCCAGACATAGCCGTATTTCCAATCGGTGGTTACTCCAAAAGGGCAAGCCACGCTCATGACTGAGCAACGCTCCGGCAACGGAGCCCTTACCTCGAGCTAGCTTCCTCGGGGAAGCGTCTTACACGGGCCGGCAGGGTCAGCCTAAGTACTGTACTCTGAACAGTAGTGTGCTGTGTTCACGCGCACTCGGTTACTGGGGGAAAGGCGATTTGCCAAGACGAAGCTCCGTACAGCGGTCACTTTTCAGGCTTATTGCCAGTACAGCCAGGGTGCCACTATGCAATCGCAATTTTTCGGTAGCTGCCCCCGCAGCTTTTTTTTTGGAAGCAAAAATGCAATGGACTGCATATTGAAAAAAAAAAAAAAAAAAAAGTGTGCCATAAGCTTATAGAGATAGACCTCGGTATCGCCCAGATGTTTACTTGGAGACATACATTTGATCATGACTAGGTAGTTTGAAACGGATTTTTAAACAGAATTAATCTACTGAGGAACGAAATGAAGCATTACTACAGCTTCCCCGATTATTTGATACTTATTTGAGCGTTGGTGGCCTCGGGGTGGAGGGAAGAAGACCATAGTATTGTAGAATGCGTATTGACCAGGTACTGGGTACTCGCCTGGAGTCACTTTACTATGGGTTACAGCGTACTCGGTACGACGGCTGCGCGGTTTATGGGAATGGATCATGGCGTATTACTCCACCGCGAGATTGGTCAAGTATGTTACCGTCTCTTACAGAGAGAGAAGAACACAGGAAAATCTTTCCAGCAGCATTCAAAAAAGAGAGGGAAAAAGGGAAAAATAGGAAAAGAGCATATATAAAAGTATCAAATCGTCAAAAAAACACGAGTTCGAATACCAATATTGGCCATAGTCCAAGGGGGGCTGCGTTGGCAGAGGACAGTTACCCATACATGACATGGAATACGGTACATTCCCCCAGTCAGCAAAACAGCAGGTGCCCTTGCTGTGCAGCCCACCCTTTTATCCTTTTCCCCCTCTCTCGCCCTTTCCCCCTACTACTACGCTGCCCCCTCCCACTCTCTCTCTCTCTCTCTTCTTCCTACACTACCACTCTCCCCCCATACACTATTTTTGACCATACAAATCAGGTACTGCATATCCCCCCATCTATATCAACCCCCGCCATTTGAACTCCCCATTCTCAACACCACCACCCTCTCTTCTTTTTTTTTCTCGTTCTTTTTCCCCTTGATTCTCTTTTTCAAGGTCATCGCGATTGTCTTTTTTCCTTCAACGCGCGACCGCGCGCGACGTCGCGCGCTGCACTCCATCTATGTTTTCCAGACCACCATACTAACCTGACCTTGTTTTATTCAAATAGGTCAAATTTCAATTTCTAAAACAAATTCAAATGTGAGTTGCAATTTTTTCCCCCAGTCGGGGATGTTTCGGTCGAGTTGAACCTGTTGCGCCTCGGAGCGCGTTCAAACGGCGCGCATTGCTCCATGTCGCGCGCGACGAAAGTCGCCTGACTGTCCTTGACACCTTTACTGTTTTCATTTCGCTGTCCTTCGTTGATTCATTAATTCGCGTCCCCGAATCTGTCCAAGTCATGTTCGATCGATATCATGATCAAGCTCCCGTACCAGTACTGACTGTTTATCACAGCAACCATGCCTAAGGAGAAGACTACCACTACCCGCAAGGGCGGCAAGGAGCGCGTCCAGCGCCGCAAGAAGGGTATGTTGACTCTCCGACCGGGCGCAATTGGCCCCATCTGCTCTTTGCCTTGATCCTAACTCTCTCCAGACCCCAACGCCCCCAAGCGTGGTCTCTCTGCCTACATGTTCTTCGCCAACGACAACCGTGACAAGGTTCGCGAGGAGAACCCCGGCATCTCGTTCGGTAAGTCAATTGGTTCGCGCGTTTTGTAACCCCCTCTAACACCCACCCCAGGCCAGGTCGGCAAGAAGCTCGGTGACAAGTGGAAGGCTCTGACCGAGTCCGAGCGCAAGCCCTACGATGAGAAGGCCGCCACCGACAAGAAGCGCTACGAGGAAGAGAAGGCCAAGTACCAGGCCGTAAGTGCAAATTCCAACCCCAATGTCATACACGACTAACACCAATCCAGGGTGGTGACGACGAGGAGGAGGAGTCTTCCTAAGCGCCTCGCCGCAAATCTCGATTGCGCAGCCGGCGTTTGTGTTTCTTTTCGCTAATTCTTCGGTATCGTTTTATCACTTACGGGCTTAACGGAATGGTCTCCACGGTGGTTTCTGCTTGCTTTATGATGGCCTCGGAAAGGCTTTGTCAATTTTGAATGGGAAACGGATCCTTCTTTGACTCCATCTTCTTTCTTGTGCTCTGGTTCTGTTCGCCGCACTGGGTTGTTCTGGGATGGAGAGATGGCCAAGACTGGCGTGCGAGATTTCCGACGCCCGTCGGGCTTTACACTTAGTCTAATCAATCCAACTATGTTTCCCGGGATTTGTTTCCATCTCGTAGAGTTACTACACACCATGCACCTGCGTTGTGGCCCACGCTTCAGGTCACCTTGTGCTTCATCAGGCTTCTTCATATACATGATGACCCCAGGGAGTACTATAGACGAGGAAAGGAAGGTATCAAATACACTAAGTGAAGGGGCGAGAAGATCATTCTCCCGAGCCGAAAAAGTCCACAATCCAGCTCCAACGCATACTATCTTGAAATTAGAGCCTGCAAACATATCTCAACGACTCCCAACGGCATCATGTAAATCATTAAAAAAAACCAATCCAACTTTTATTCGTCATGCCAATCATTACCAGCATAAATCATGATTCATAAAGGCCTAGTGCACCCGTCTTGTCCTTCATGTCCTAAGTAATGAGCGTCAATGCTGCATCCTCCATCGCACCCAGGAACTCGTCGGCATCTATTCAGATTCATTAGCACAAAGATTGAGGATGTAAGCCAGAACAACACTCACCGCTGCGCGAAGCAAATTTTAAAATATGCTCTCCACGAGGTGTCACGGGTGGGTTGTAATCCTCCGCCGACATGAGAATGGTAGGTCTCAACTCGCGCACCAGTACCGTGCGGTGGTCCAGACGGCGAAGCCATCCACGCCGGCCGAGGTGCGGCGTCACGAACGCGGTCCAGACGGGAGTTCTGCTGATATGAGATTCCGATCCAACGTGAGGGGGGAGAATAGAGCTTACCGGTCCATGTCGCTCAGGTGGACAGACGCTTGCAGTCTTATGGCTCCGGATACCGTATCGTGGTAGATGCGTAGGGCGTGTCGGTAGTTGTTGTCGAGGATTTGGCTAGATATGTCAATTACAGGGTGGACGAAGGGATTTTAAATCAGACTCACCCGCCAAAGAGTTCTTCTTCATCTTCCATTTCATAGTCCCGGATATTATCAACGGGTCGGCCCGAGTCTTGGGAGCGGAGGGCCAAGAATGTGCAGAAGAATACAACCATGCCTGATGACCTGGTTAGATATGACTTGGTCTCGAACAATGTGAGATACCTACTCTCAATCGTTGTGAATTTCAGAGTCGCCCATAAAACAAGTTGGGTTCCGCCATGCCGTCTTCGACACAGTTGAAGAGAGGAACCTTGTCGGATAATTTCCAGCATGTTGAGGGGTAAGCAGAAGTACTCGCTGGGTCTGCTTCGGTGGGGAGTTTTGATAACAATTCGCACGCGATGATCACTGTCCCGCAGGAAGAAGTATATAGTCATATTGGAAGAGTCGTTGAACGCGCTGTCCGATAATCAGCACTATAATATAGTCAAGTTTGCACCCAGCTTACAGTTGAAGAAGCTGCTCGAATCCCTGTTCTTTGAGCAACTGCTTAATTCCAGACTGGGGCTCCCCAAAGCAACCTGCCTTGTCTGGAGTATTCGGAATTGGAGTCTCCGAGTCATAATTGGAAAATGCTTCTCTGATCCAATGGTACTGAACGGCTTCTGAAGTGTTGGATTGGCTGGTGGCCGTGGTCGCGGATGTAGACCCTGTCAATATGGAGCTTGGCGCGTCCGGCGCATCCGGTGCAGATGGAGGGACGTCAGAGAATGTGCCGGATATAGGCGATTGAGGTGATAGAGGTGATTGAGGAGACCGGTGCGGCCGAGGACGCTCAAAGGAGCGACGGCGTGGCCGACGGTCGCTGACCGGACTTGGAGGATCGGTGCTACCACCCGAAGATAGATTGCGACCCAGAGACATGCGCGCGAAGCGCGCTGCAACACGCTTCTCTTGGGAAGTCATGAGTGTCTTGATCCCGCTGCGGTACCCCGCGATAAGTGGCAAGTCGTGAGCACGGCTTTATACGAGTCAGTATATGATCATCCCGGAGACGGCTGATCTTACTCTCTCATCAAATCACTAATCTCCCGCAGAAACGTCTTATACTGTGCCAAACGTGTTCCAAGGGAATACTGCGACTCGTCCCAGAAGAAACGGGACAAGTCCAGCCAGACACGCTTGTAGCCGGCCTGAGTGGCTTTGCCGCCGTCGAGACGGCCAAAGAAATCCAAAATATCCTCGATAGTGTACTTCAGACTAAAGCGCACCAATTCCAGATCACCTTGAACGAGAGGCCAATTGCGGCGATAGCGAGGATCTTTGATCGTGTCGTCCAGGCTGCCTAGCGTTGAGCTGAGGGCATAGAAATCGGACATAAGAGCGGTCACCTCCGTCGCGTGCTCGGGAAGAGGGGCACGGAAGGTGCTGAAGCCGGCCGCCGCATCTTCGCACTCATCGGCAGATAAGCGCAGGTCCATCAGGTCAAGCCATTCGAATGATGAAGGAAACACGAGAAGTGCGAACACACAAATCGGCGGATTTCTCACGTGCAGATTGCGGCTCTTCTCCCTTGCGTTTGACGTGGTCGCGCGCGAATGGCGGGGCGAGTTGTGCAAGGTGGGGGTGTGATCATTTCACCCAGATTCTGGGTGGTGTGGCTATCTTGCCCTGGTAGATGGGGTAAATCCATAAGGTAAGACCCTTGCTCAGCTGGCATACCCTATCTCCGGGGATTGAAGCAGGGCATGGGATTGTTTTGACACAAGTCCATGGTTCCCCACTCTCGAACCAGGGTTCGTCTCCCCACATATCAAGGTTCGGAATAGGCCAAGGCGAACAGTCATCTCAGTAGGCAAGAGAAAGGAAAGAAAGAAGAGGAGAAATGCCTGAGGACATATCCTAGGTTATATGGACTCCCCACTAACGCAATACTCAACAAATGACAATGGTGTTGCCTATACTCCGGCCCTAAGTTGAGGCTGTGCAGTCTATGTAAATTTGAGGCGCCTAGCGCGATCGGATCGTACTATTGTCTAATGCCTAAATTCAAATTAACTTTGGAAGATACAAGAAGATCCATCGGAGCATCTTGAGACCAGTCTTCCTGGGTTCTGAAGTTTTTATGATGTCTTTCTTTCCTTGGCCGTCCTGTTTTTTTGGGGGTTTTTTTTTTTTTTTTTTTGGAACAAGCCACCTCTAAGCACGCTATAGAACTATCTCGCATCTCATTGCCACTTCTGCGCCGTGCTAAGCAGTGTAATATAATTGGGGACGGTCCTCGATTTCTAGCTCGTTACTCTATTTCATTACATATTATTCAAGTGGGATTTGGGCTTGGGATGAACCTCTAGTCTAAGGTCAACACAAGGCAACGACGTGGGAACATTGCCTTGTGATTACAGAGTTCTATTTCAAGAGTGAAAATTTAAGGAAATCCATAACTCGCTTTAACTGTAACCGTTCCCAAAATGCTATATCGCTAAACATACAAGACTAAAACCCTTTCCTTATGTGCTTGTTGCCTTTGTATCGGGAAATCCACCCAAGAACCGCACAGCCAGCCTCTTACTCCGCAGCTCCTGGACCTGCCGCCGCCGGTCATCAATAGTAGCCTGGTGCTCCGCGGCCCTGGCCGACAATCGGTCCCGCTGGCGCTGCGTCTCCTCTCGAGCCCGTTTCAGCTCGTCCATTTGCTTCTGCCGCTCCGTTTCATCACGTGAAAAGGCATAGAATCCCGTTCCGCGATTTCGCACTTCGGCATCGGCATCGTAGTGTCTCTGATCCGGTGGTGTGGCTGACCGGTCCCGACGAGCGGCAAGATTAGCCATATGCGATGCGATATTTGCGTCCGGATTGAATGCCTCCGATTGGACAGCCTCGCCGTAGATCAAATTCTCCGGCCTGTTTGGTCGCCATCGTTCTTGCATCGAGTGGCCTCGTTCCTCTTCCTCTTTGGCGCGCACAGCTTGGGCAGCCTCGGCTCGGGTGCCGCGGCGGGAGCGACCTAACTCGTCCTCGTAGGATATCATAGATGCATTGTCGTCATCATCATCATCATCTTCTTCCTGGGAGTTTTCAAGGGCCTCTTCTCTTTTGCGTTCCTCATTTGCCCATTTGCGATCGAAATCCACGAGCCCCTCTTTCTCCTTGCGACGCAACCGCGACAAGTAGTCCTCTGGGCGGTTGGATCCGCTCGGTGTCTCATCTTCATCACTGCTGTTGCCTGCAAGATAGAGTCCCTTCTTCATATCCTCGTACTGGCGCACCTTCTCCTCCATGCGGCGCTTGGACCGACCCAGCGTGACGTCGTCGATGCCTCCGATGTCCTGGCTTCGTTGATGGACTTGCTTGGAGACATGGTGGTCATCCTCTTGAAGATCTGCAGCTGCGCGCTTCTGGGCACCTTTGTTTTGTTTGCCGAAGATGTCGGATTTAGGGTTCTTGGATGGTCGTTGGCGACCCTGGGTTGAGGAGTTGGAGTTCTGCGAGATGAGGGAGGATAGTTGACTGGTGAAGGAGAGGGTGGAGGAAGATGGGAGGCCTTGTGTTTTTGATGATTTCTCACGGCGTTTCCCGTAGAGGGAAGACTGATCTGAAGCCATAGTATAGTAAGTGTAGCTCTGGAAACTTGCGACGGGCGCGAAGTGAAAGTCGGCGTTGATTGCGATTGCGATAGGAGATAAGAATCGGTGCCTGGCTTTGCTGGCGAAAATTGACTCGGATGATCTACGGCTGTAAAATGGTGGACATCATGACTTAAGATTGGGAATTATTCGATCTAGGTGCAGGTTTTAATGCTTTCTGGATACTTTTCAACTAGTTTTTGACTGCATTATCTAGTAGAGTAGAGAGTACTAAGTCGGGATTCCGATGGCCGCAACCGGCCGTACCTGAGTCAGCGCTGGGCTGCCCCGCGGACCCCACGAGATGACGAGCTCGGTGATTGACTCGATTTTAATCTTTGCATTTCCCGACTCGTCGTCCTCCGTTTTATACTTGCGCCATTCAATTGAGCGTGATCTTGTCCTGTCTTGAACCAACTGAACCCATTGGCTCTTCACCATGTCTGCCAACCCTATCTATCTCGGCGTCGTTGGTGAGTATTCTTATCTCAAAAAGATGTTTCCAGCGAGATGTTAACATTTCTATTCAGGCGTCGGCGGTGTTGGTACCGCATTCCTCTCCCAGCTCGCTCATCTCCCAAATGCTCCTAAGCTCGTCCTTCTCGCCCGCTCCTCGCAGACTCTCCTCGCTCCGGCACCGGCCTATTCGCCGGCGATCCCCCCGGCGATTGGGCCACCGCGTCGGCGACTCCCTCTTTGAACAAGACCGGCGCTCTGCCCGCCGAGGAGATGGCCACATACCTCGCCTCGGCTCCTGGACGTGCTATTCTGGTCGACAATACCTCCGATATCAACCTGGCCCGGTCGTACCCCACATTCTTGAAGAAGGGTATTTCTGTCGTGACCCCCAACAAGAAGGGTTTCTCCGATGACCTTTCTCTGTGGAAGGAGATCTTCTCCTCGGCCGCTCAAGGCAAGGCTCTTGTCTACCACGAGAGCACTGTCGGCGCTGGCTTGCCCGTCCTGTCCACTCTGAAGGACCTGGTCGCTACCGGCGATAAGGTAACCCGCATCGAGGGTGTCTTCTCCGGTACTCTTTCTTTCCTCTTCAACACATTTGCTCCCGCTTCGGGCTCCTCAAACGCCCAGTGGAGTGCCGTCGTCACCCAGGCCAAGGAGTTGGGCTACACCGAGCCTGATCCCCGTGATGACCTCAACGGCATGGATGTCGCGCGCAAGCTCACCATCCTGGCCCGCCTGGCTGGTCTCGAAGTCTCTCGCCCGGATTCTTTCCCCATCGAGTCCCTCATCCCCGCCGAGCTCGCTTCGCTGCCATCCTCTGCGGATGGCATCTCGCAGTTCATGACCCGCTTGCCGGAGTTTGATGCCCAGATGGCGAACATCAAGGATGCGGCCGAGAAGGAGGGCAAGGTCGTCCGTTATGTAGGCAGCATCGACGTTGCGAGCAAGGCCGTCAAGGTCGGTCTGCAGTACTTTGACAAGGACAGTGCCATTGCTGGCCTGAAGGGCAGTGACAACATCATCAGTTTCTACACCAAGCGGTACGGTGCCAACCCCGTTATCGTGCAGGGTGCTGGTGCTGGTGGCGAGGTCACTGCTATGGGTGTGTCGACTGACCTGCTCAAGGTCATGGAGCGTTTGCACTAAAGCACTTTTGGCGAGATAGAGAACAGTCCTATGTATATCCCGATCGCAACTTTATGAAGCAAACTTTCTTTGACAGAATTAGTAAATGTCATGTATAGTTAACAGCGGCGCGGATGAGCACATCTGTCATTGCACTGCAGTCCTCATTGGCGATCACGATATCATGATACTGCTGAAGTAATTCCTTGCGTAGTATCAACGGTCTTTGTACGTCTTGTCTATTGGTATTAGCCCAACATGTACTCCGCACAGACTCCGCAGGGATTTTTTTGATAAAGGCACATCTACCTCTCGACTTTCGACGGCTTCGGCCGATTTGCAGACGTCGTATCAGTCGTGGACTATAAGAATCATAGAAATATTCACATTAGAACATATGACAGCTGAGTCCCCGAATAATGCATAGGACCTATGCCCTACAAAGTCTGCCGAACACGGGTATCACCCGGCAGATCAAGTTAACACCATAAACGCCATGACACAAACCAAACACAATACCAGACCGGCAATCACGCAAATAATGAAACCGTAGACACCATTCCGCATAGTTCAAGCTCGTCCGGCCCTGCGTTTCACGTCTTCATTGCCGGAATGCACTCGCTCATCTCTAGCAAGGGCCACATTCTCCTTCTCTGCGGTTCTATCCATCGACCCGCCGCGCGATCGTCCGCCCTCGCCTTCGCCGTCGGTCTCCACGGTGCCTAGTCCGAAAGATCGTCGTTGTCCATCCAGTCGTTCGTTCAAGCTCGGTGCGCGGGGGCGCTGTTGACCACGTGCGCGTCCGCCAATCCATGGGAATTCCCAGATGACTATTCGGTAGAGCCAGAGGCTGGCATCGAAGACAATGAGTGCGGCCCACGGGATGATGGTTATGAGGCCGAGGAAGACCTGTTTGGAGAGCGGGTGTTAGAGAAAAGGGAACGGAGATCACTGTTGTGCAAAGGAGACGTACGAAGATCCGCACTGCCCAGCTCTCGAACTGGATGAGCTGCGGCGGGAGGATGGAGTACCACGCCATGTCTCCGGTCTGTGGTGTTGTCCGGTGATCAAGGCAATAATTACTGCTCAGTGGAGCTGGTGGTGGTACTTGAGGTCAGTCAGACCTCTAACTTTATAGATTGCAGGCTGGGATTCCGTTTGTAAGCTCAATGTCTCGATTGTCGGAGCTGGTCGTGTGGCTTATTGTGGCACCCTTCCAAAATCCGGGGTAAGGGGATGATCAGCGGAAACGGTCGTTTGAGCAGGCGTGAGAGCAGAGCGAAAGAAGGTACTCCAGGAGCAGGCAATGAGGTATTAACGGAGATCGCGCCCCCTCTCCGCACGGTCCCTTCGGTCTGGAGAACTTGGTGACTGGACTGGTCGAGATGCGAAGGAGCAAAGCGGTGTCGGGAACGAGGGAGGTTGGGCGCGGCTCGGGTGCTGGTATGATCGTGGGAAGCTTGCAGGGGACACAGCAAGACAGCTCTCCCAAGGTCACAAGTCGTAAGTCGTAAGTCGGGGGAGTGGGATCCACCGCGGCAATCGACGAACGGGTGGCCCGGCAGAACCGCAGATCCCGTTTAGGCAACATGGAAACACCTCGGCGTCTATACAGTCCAGGGTGTCGAATCTACTTCCAACGTGCGGTGTTTTAGATATCCCCGGTGCCATACAAGCAAACAACAGACTCTTTCATTTTGTCAATGTCTCTTCAGATTAATGTTCCAATAGCGCGTAGCATAGTTCAAGCTCGGTGTTCACGGCCGCCTGGTGGGTATAGAAGTTACTTCAGAAGGAACGGTTTTGAATGTGTCAAGAGCAGATTTAACAGGTATAGAAAAGGATCGGAAAGTGTTCCCCGCCGTCTAGTATAGGGTATATCGAGTTTATCCGGTGAGATGACAAAAAACTTCACGAGAGCGAGAAAAACAACAATATAAAGACAAGTTGACGCCCTTATAGATGCATATGCATAACATCGCATGAATGCAAACAAAAACCACCCACAAAAACAGTGTCCGCTAGGTGTCTATCATGACGATATTAACCTCGATGATGGCTTAAACTCCACGAGCAAGATGCCCACTCTGTAACGACACCGGACATGCAAATCCTGCTGCTGATGATAACAAATGAGAATCGCAGAAAACAAAAAGGCACTACACCGGCTCTCCCGTATGCTAATACAACTTTAAACACAAATATAAAGAAAAATTTGATCAGAGTCAAACTGATGAAAAACGAACCCCGAGCCCGTCATACTCAGGTCTGGTCGGCGAGCTACCACTCCGTGGCCGCTTGCCATATATGTCTAGGGGCGGAGCTGGCGCTGTCGCATAGATATGGCTTCCATCATGGATCAGGGGTCCAGATATGTTCGGGTGGTAAAGCTGATAGGTAGGAACATGGCGAGGGGTCTGGAGCCTGACAGACTCATGCAGTCGCTGGCGCGCATCTCGGACATCGACACGATGCCCTCCGAACTGAAGAATTTGCGCAGGCTCAACTTCAGGGTTCCACGCTAGACTCATCTCCCTCAGTCGCTCGTCCACTGAGCCCAGTCTCGGGTGCGATGGAGGGATATGTGGATAAAGTACATCGGATTGAAGGGCGCTGTCTGAGATAGAACCACCTGGCCAACTGCTAGTACCGGAGAGTGTCTGCGATTGGACTATCTGTGATTGAGCTATCGGTTGTTGAGTCATCTGGAATTGCGATAGAATTGCCGGGGCGGCGCTGCGTGTTATCTCGCCCGGCTGTTGAAAGCTTGGAATGGGTGAGAACCGCGGTGGGTAACGGACCGGCTCTGTAGCCCAGGAGTGGTGTGAGAATCCAGAAGAATTGCGAGTGAGGGACTCAGGACCCGGAGGATCGGGAGCTCGTTGGAGTGGGCCATCAGAGAGGGTAACTTGGAGAGGCTGGGCTCCGGGCATGATGGCAGATGGATGGAGCACAGGAGGTGGCCTAGAAGATGAAGATAGGAAGGCCGCATCTGCCGGTCTTGAACTTGACCTTCTTGGACTTGACACTGTGATACTGATATCTTCGTCGTAAGGTAGTGGCGGTGGTGGATAAGGGAGAATAGTGGGAGTACTGGCAGACAGTTCCCGCGCGGCGGGGTGATATGGCATCAGCGAAGGTGTGCTAGCAGATATTTCTTGCACAGGATCGTATATGTGGGCAAGCGAGGAACGGCGAGAGTCCAGCCGGGACCCTGGCGCAGTTTGGAGCTCCACCTGGAGTAGCTTTTGACCGAGTAAGTCACCTCCGGGCTCACTGTATGTCGATCGAGCCAACGGTTCAGACATCAGTTCATAAGTTGTCACCTCATGAGCGAGCGGAGACGCAAATTGATAGCCTATCTGGCCATTGAGTGATTCCGCAGATGGTTTCATCTGCAACCCGGGAGCTGGTTCCGGACCTCGTAAAGGAGACATGGGCGCCGGTCGTCTTGTCGGAAGCTCTGCCTCGAGCATGCGTCGAGCTGCCACGCTCGCATAAGTTGGTATATTTTCTTTACTAACAGGGGCAGGAGTTGCAGAGACGTTCGGATTTTCAGCGGCTTGGCCGTTGCCATTGTCATTGCTGTATCGCCGAACGGCTGCCAATGCTTTCTCGGCCGCCGAAGCCAATATCGAAGAGCTTCCCTGTGATTCCGAAGATACTCGACTTGAAGAGCCTCGTCCCTGGATCGGCGAGACTTTGACCAACGGAGTGGCCGGTTTGGTACCACGCAAGCGATGAATACGTTTGGTGCGTTTTATTCTGTCCTTTGGCGGCCGCGATTTAGAATGTCGGTCAACCACCTGCCAGTCCTTGTAATCAGATGGAACAGGAGGACTTTGTGTTTTCGGAGACGGCTTCTCCGTATCCTGGCTTATCTGCGAAAGTGCCGGGGAAATTCGAGGTGCCTGTTTTGCTTCTCCGTCTGTTTCGTAGCCGTCTTCTGACTCATAGCCAGCCTGTCTAAAAATATGAGGAGGGAACAAATCCAGTTTGAAACGAGGAGGCGCCATTATTTCCTCGGGCGATTCTGCACGAGCAGACCCTGAGTCTGTCCAATTCCAAGTGGATTGGCGTGAAAGGCCCTCATCAGCAGATGATTCAGGGAATGATGACGATGAGCTGCTTGATCGATCAAAAACGGACTTTTGGTTGCGAAGAGCCTCCTGAGAAGAGCTTGGGGACATGCGGTCTATCTCATTGCTGATGCTTTTCATCAGTTGTCGCAGGTACTCACGCGCCTCTCGAAGAACAGGAGGATGTGAGCTCATTGCTGATTTCTTCGGAAATAGCTCAGCTAGGCTTGAGGCATGGGTCTCGTATTCTCTGTAATCGCGGACAATACCGCAGTCGTGGAAATGTGCCATCTTGTCTTTTGCAGTCTCGTAGGACTTGCAGAGGAACCGCGTTGCAACGATCAACCACGAGTCGTAGAATCCAGGGTCATTCTTATTCAAGGCGTCCTTGTACTCTTCGTCTTTGATCCTGAGTTCATCTCGGCAGAATCGCTGCACCACACTATGCATTTTGACTACGTCAACAACTGAGCTGCGGTAAATTGAGAAGAAGCCCCCGGCGCTGCTCTCAATCAGAGACTCGGTCAATCCTGGGATGCCAGGTGTAGGCGTTGTGTCAATGCCCGTGTCATCACTCGACTGATGCCCAGAGAGATTCTGGATGGACGAGGAATGATTATCGAGAGTCCGCTCAACCAATCCATAGTGGATAAGTGTTCCCAGGGTGGTGTCGAGGTCCGGATCCTCTCCTATCTGGGCACTCGACAGTATTTCCGCGTTTTCGGCAAGCATCGCGGCCTTTCCGAGATTGAGCAGGCCTACAGGAACATGGTGACCAAGAAACGAGAGCAGATTGATCAGATTCAAAGCCTGTCGGTGGTTCAAGCGGAAGAGATCATTCATGATGCCCAGGAATGGTTCAGCGAGTTTCTTGTCTGTCACTTGGTACTTCACGCGGTATTTCTCAATTGGCTTGCCCGTCGCGTTGAGACGATGGCCGATTGCATGAATGGCGAGTGGTAAGCACTCGTAGTACGTAACCAGTTCAGTGGCCTTGTGAACCTGCTCTTCCGTGGGCCTTTTAATTCCGAGGTCCTTGAACAGCAGTTTGCAAGCATTTTCAACTCGCATGCGAGGCATCGAGAGGCAGTACGGCTCAAATAGACGTTGCTTCTTCCGTAACGTCGCATCGATCGAGGTATAGATGATACTGCACCTCTTGTTCCACGGGAGAAAAGGTCGGAACTCATTGATATCATCATCGTGGTCAAAGGAAATTCCATCAAATACCAGCAGCCACTCATGGCGTGTCTGAAGCCAGTTTCGGACAGAGTTCACATAGGACTGGGACTTTTGATACTCAGGATCATGGGCCTCCTGGAGGTCAACTAGCGCGGCTGCTTGTGCGATTTCCCAGAAACATTTATATGACGACTCTCGGGACTTTGCATCGATCCAGAATATTCCACCAGGGAAGCTCTCGCGCTGTGTAAAGACGTACTGTCGGGCCAGGTGGGTCTTGCCAGATCCCGGGACACCAGAGATTAGAACGGCCATCGTCCGGTCTGCGCGGGCTCGAGCCTTAACTAAGCGGCTGTGTAGCACCTCCAGCTCTTTTGTCATGTCATAAAATGTCGCATTCGGATGAAAACCAGGGGGTGTGACGAAAAGGGGTGGTTCTCTATGGGAAATTTGCGAGCTGCCCATGTCAGATACTGATGACTTACGGCCGCCGTCGGTAAGGGGCACTCTTGGTAGAGTCGCCACAGAGTTGCCTATTGGAAAAAAGAGAGTCAGCAAATGCCTGACTTGGGAAGTGGGAGCAATTTGGATGATATCAGTTAGATTGAGGGAAAAGACGGGAGCCACCCTGAAAATAACGCAATGCAAGCTAAGTACATAAATGTAGAATCATAAAGTGAGAACGCACGATAATATGATCGGGGAAATATTCAAGAGCATGGTGGTCGAATGAAGATGCCCAGAAAGATGTCGGAAGACCCCAAAGATGGGTCATCGAGGAAGACTTCAAGATGAACGTCAAGGGTCACTTCACGGGGAACATCAAGCGAGATATCCGTAAATCGGAGCAGGGAGCAGGGAGGGTCGTAACAATCATTTGCGGGGAACAATGATTTCTCTTCGCGCAATCAAAAATCGCTAATAAAAAAAAAGCGCAAAATCAAACAGAGGGCTCCTCAATCTCATATTCCTTCAAAGTAACTGATTCTTCCGGAGAAGGTAGAAGGTGTGAAGCCCTACCAGGCGTGATCGACTCCGGCATGCTGCGTTCCACGGTATCATCTACTCTACCTGCAATGGTCAGTCGTGTCACCTCAGCTGGAGAATATGACTTACCGTCGTAAATTTCCCGAGCCTTGGCCTTCTTCTCCAGCAGGCGAGACTTGTATTCTTCAACCCAGCGATCTGCAATGATAGAGGGAGCCTGGCGCGAGTATCGGAGGATGGCCTCGGCGACTACTTCATAGCCAGGAGCATTCTCGTCGTCAAACTTGCACATGTGGCTGTGGTCCGCCTCGATGCCCATTCGCTCGACACCTTCAAGGTATGGCGCTGCGGATGCCTCGTCGACAATGATCTCACGCGTCCCTCGCATATCGGTCGACCGAGTTTCATGGAACAGGTAGATGTGAAAGCGACCCATGATATCAGCGAACAGACTGTTGATATGCTGTAATGTCTCGTTATCCTTTCGCAGGGCCTGCACGAGCTGCGATGAGCCCTCCATAACCTTTTTGGGGAGAACGGCAGTACAGATGTTCTGCAACAACAAGCCCCATTTCGCAATGTCGGAGCCGTTATGCGGTGTACCGAGAAACAGGATGCCGAATGTCGACACGTAGACGGAGCGCAGGTGTTCAGTCTTCTCACTGGATAAGCTTCGGCTGTAGATTATGGCGCGCTTGACGACCAAGCCACCCAGTGAGTGGCAGACGAAGATGATCGGGCGCTCGGAGCAGTTTCGCAACTGTGGACAAAAAGTGTCAGTTTAGGGAAAGAAAGTCACGATCGGGAAAAAACCACGTACATTTCGGTTGGCAGCAAGATTGGACGCCAGTGTCTCTGCATGGCTAACGATCGAGTCGCGCGACGCGCCATCGGTGAAGGCAGCGACGCTTGCATTATAGCCATAGGTCAAGATGCGAGGACGTAGTGGGGCAAGAATCTCTGGCAGTAGATCAACGGGCCAGAAACAGCCGCCCTTCTCAGTTTTGCTGGGCTTGCTGGTCCAAGAGTCGTGAGGGTGGCCGTTGAGACCATGAACAAAAACAATATCCACCGTGGGGTCACCGCGGGGAACGTAGACCTGAGACAAGCCAAAAGGCTTGACGGGTCGAGGTTCAGACATGTTCAGAGATCATGCAAAGGCCATTTCTTTCAATTTGTAAATGCGGAGGGGCAAATCAAAGGCACCGAAAGGCCTTTTATACGAGACACGATGCAGGCTGCAGGTGACGGGCGTTGTTCCCCTGACCCACGCAGATGACTGCGATTCAGGGTCGAGTGGAGCCGCCGGCCCGCTTGCAGATTGCTTGAACCGGGGTCTCTCCTTGACGCCCCGATCCACGGGCTGAGCAACTAGGATATAAATGCGCCACGGAACACGATCCCAGCTGCAGGAACCCAGGTCAAAATACGCCCGGGATTGTTGCCCGGGGAAATCTGGGCGCCTGGCCGTGAGTCATCTCCGGTGAAACGGCGTGTGAGAAGTATAAGCGGGTCTCAAATAGACGCCTCACAAGGCATAAAGGGCGTGAACGTATCGGGGGAACCTAAAAAAAAGTGCTGGTGTGATTTCTCGACGGACAAATAGGACGATGAAGGTGAAGCGGCGGTGATCTTCCGGGACGCAGTGTGCATGAGTTGGGGTGCATGAGCACCCGCAAAACAAGACTTGTAGTCACGCCGGCCTCAACGCGTGATCGACACGTCCCACACAAGCTCGTTGGCGCAAGATCCACGGTTCGATTTCGATCGACCGGATCTACAGTCATTCTGTGGGATAACCACCCGGAATAGCCTGAGACTAGAAATAGCCACGATTCTGCACCTGCCAAATATTGTTTCGTCACTATCATGAGGCTATGTCCGAGGACAACTTTCTTGTTCCGGGGCATGTCCTGCTATCCTAGGAACCTTTTTGGCTGCCTACTCTAGATGGCAAGAATGTATCTGAATTGTTCAAAAGCCGCAGGATCTGATTGATATGTTGATCTCACTTTGTGTTGATATCACCCCATGTGTACTCCATCAGCCAAGTGCTATAGAAAACAAGTATCTTTCCAAGGTTTTGTACTGCCAGGCTACCCCGATACGGTCAAGGTTCAACACAAATGCCGAGGCGGATATACACTGACGGGCTACACCACGGATTGCCTAAATAAAAACAAATTTGAAAAAAAAAAAAAAAAACATGGTAAACCCAGACCTCCCGGCTCCATTTTTAGAAATCGAGAGAATAGAACCCATCTCTCGTCTACCGTCCCCGGAATACAGGCTTCCGCTTCTCGGTAAAGGCGCGCAGCGCCTCGTACCGATCCTCGGTCTCAATGACACCTTCATAAGCCTGGTTCTCGGCCACTTCACCCAAGGGAGATCCCTGAACAGCCAGAAGGGCCTGTTTTAAGGCGATGGGCCCGCCCTCGCAGATATCCAACGCCAACTTGATACTCTCCCGCAGCACCTTCTCGCGAGCTACACCCTCCTCCGCACCCTCCTCGGGAACAACCTCAACCAATCGATCACACAGGCCTAGGAAATAGGCCTCGGGGCCGTGTACCCGGCGCCCGGTGAGGATGAGATCGCGCGCACGAGTAGGCCCGATCAGCGCTGGCAGACGGTAAGTGCCACCCGCACCCGGGATAATAGCTAGCCGAGTTTCCGGCAGGCCGACAGTGCAGGACGAGCCGAAAACGCGAAGGTGGGTGCATAGGGCGAGCTCGAGTCCGCCGCCCAGGGCCATGGAGGAAATGGCGGAGATGGTGGGGACTTTGAGAGAAGCGAGTTCTTTGAAGGTGTTACGGAGGTCCATAAGGAACTCTTCTGTTCTGTTGAGTTGTCACGTCGGGTTAGCAGGATGACAACAAGTTTTGGATAGGAAGAAGGGAAGCTCACTGGCGGTGGGTCATTTTGGCGCGCTCTTTCAGATCTGCGCCGGCGCAGAATGCTGCGTCAACGTTGCTGGACAAGACAACCGCTCTGGTGGGTCCATTGCCTTCCTCCGCGGCGATAGTTCTCACATGCTTGGCGAGGGTGTCGAGCAGGTGGCGCGAGATCGCATTGCGGGCTTGGGGCCGGTTCAGTTGCAGAACGCGCACATGTCCGGATCCTGGGGCCGGAATCTGCTGGGTCAAGATGACGTCTTCCTCGGCGCTGGTACTGAGTCGCGACACGAACACCCGGGTGGAGGTCATCGTGGAGGCCATGGTCGGGCGCGCGAAGCGGGAGAGAGGTGTGCGGCGGATTAGCCGCGGCGACATGATGGTGGCCATCACCCGGGTCAATTCAATGGATCGGGTAGTATCGATCGCAGGTAGAGTTGCAATATGGGACTTTGGAGGCTTCGAAGACGGCTATCTGGGGACTGTGTCTTGAAGAAATCGGATGAAGTTGAAAGTTGGGTCGGAGCTTTTGAGGTGTGGGGAGAGCTCCACAGCCGACGTTTGCCGAACAGAGTTCCATGTTGGGGGTATCACATTCATATTGCAACTAAAAATACACTTTCTGTACATCTTAATCAAGATATCTTTCAACATCCGCATCACTAGGCCATTCCCAGCCCGTTGTCTGGCTAATGAGATCGTATGCCTCTTGCACCTGGGGATCCGATGCTACCCGAACATGGCCCGGAGACCGACAATGCAGCTTCTCCAGGAATACTCGGATCGCTGTAAGGGTCTGATGCTTCATTCTTTCGCCGTTCAATTCCTCGTCCGCAATTTCGTTTAATCGAGCGGCTGATCGGCTCATCCACTGTAACAGATGTAATAAGCCTTCGTCGTCTCCGACGAGCCCCAGAACTCGCACGAAGCTATGTAGCGTCGCATAGGACGGGACATGCAGCCCAGCAAGCACATGAACCTCCGAGTCCGTAGTAAATATACTCCGCTCTGCTAGCTCCGACGTTTGCGACCCTGGAAGAACAAGGCAGTCGAATTGTGACTTTAGAAGCTCGAGTCCATTTGCGACCATGGTGTCGAAAGTTTCCTGTGCGTCGGAGATTCGAGAATGGCTGGATCTCTGTATAAGCTGTGATGCTTCCTCGACAAGGCCAGCATGATGCATTGCAGCGTCAACTGCTCTACTGAATGCCATGCAGAGAAATTGGAAGTTTTTTAGACCAGGTTGAACATTTCGAACTTTCATCCATCTCAAGACCTCAATAACCTCTTGCCATACAAGGATCCGGTAGAGATCTTGATTTCTCTGGGTTCCCGAGCCCAGGCAACTTCGACTCCATGATCGTCGGGATGTTGATTTTTGACTCAAGATATTGAGAACATGGGACCAGGCCTCATGACAGGCCGGCTGTCGCAACTTGATCAGTTGGACAGCATGCCACAAAGCCTTTGGATGACACGTTTCCCCCAAATCTTCTCTGAAGTCAGAAAGATCGGACATGCGTTCAAGGCGTTGCTTGTCTCCCATGAGAACTGGAAAATGGTAGAGCATGGGAGTGTGTGGGGCGACATGTCTGGCAGTCATGAAGAAAGATGAGCAAAGGAGCTTGATGAAGGACGCAAAGATAAAATCTGGTAATTCTTGGAGAGCCTTGGTATCTTGCGCTTGTTTCACGTGCTGTGCTGTTTTTTCTGATTGGTATAATGCAGAACACAGAGCCGTGATCTGATCGTCTGTCAAGTCACTGTATTTCAGATATTTCAGACCCAAGCGGAAGGTAGAAGCCGACTGGAGAAGTAAGGCCAGGAATCTCCCAGATGGGCGGATTCCCTCCGAGAGCATCTGATCAAGGAACTCCTCCGAATTCGGTGGCTCTGTTTGCACATAAATGATGTCTCGAGCAGAAGCCGGCTCGGGATGAACTTCACGGCCATCGCCTGGAAGAGCAGAGCTTATGTGGTCAGACCCTCTCCTGATTGCTTTCTCACGGTAAATCAACTTCTCGGCCATCACAGCATAGATGGCAGCTTTGGGAGGAAGATCTTGGTCCCGATAAGCCAAGAAGCAAGCCCATGCTTCTCGAACAGTCCTCGTTGCGCGAATACGTGCAACCCAAATGGCATAATGGTTGGGATCCACGTCTCGCGTACGAGACAAAGACCCTGTCTGAAGCACCAGACTTCTTGTCTGGACTGTCGGACTACGATCGGTATCCCAACCAGCCAGAATAGAAGACATTTCTTCCCAGAGCTGGTGGGAATATCCGGCCTCTTTCATTTGTGAAAGCACGTTCATTGCACGACTAAACATGCCGTCATTGCCCCGCTGGGCATCAATGCCCAGTCTTTCTTCCTTCCAGGGCGGCCATGAGGGTGCCTTCAACTCGGCGGACTGGCGCTCTTCACTTGTCTTCTTATGGGCAAGCTGAACTGCAATGACTGCTCGATAACCCTTTCGAGTAAGAGGTAGGACGGGTCTATGTGTCGCCATAGCTCTGAGGAGCTCGAATTGCGCTTCCTGTTGAATATATGATGATCGGAATGGATGGATTTTGGTAGGGAGCGAAAGTAAGTAGAGGCAGCTGTTAAACTTCTCTGTTTTAAAGCGATCAGCTTTGTGTTTGGCCAGAGCCGAGCGCCCGCCCTCATTATCCGGGACAGTCGTCAGGAATCGAGAGAATGCGCGGGCGATGATGGGTAATGCGTCGGGCCACACCTGCCGAGCATGTCGGATCAATCGGACAACCAGGATCATGCATGTGCTTTGGTCGATCGAGGGACGAGACTCTGCTGGCGACGGGTCTAAATGGGGTTCCAGGATCCTTGGGAGGGCGTCCAAAGCTGGCAATGGCTGTCCACTCATGAGATGTAGAGAGTAAATGAGGAGTAATCGAAAAGACTGAGCATCCAAATGCCGCTCCTTCGAGAGGAAAAGAGGAATGAAAATCGGAACACGATTTGTTTTGGAGTCGGCTTCCAATGTAAACATACGGGACACCGCCTGGTGATGGTTCTGACTCTTCATGACCCATGCCCATGAAACAACATCCTCAACACCATAGCCTTGCTTGATAAGAAACCGCTGGCTGTCCGTTCGAAAGACTTCAGCAAGAACAGTGTCCAAGTCGTCCACATCGTCAATTTTTGTGGTACGCGAGGGAAACGGATCCACTAGTCGAATGTATTCACCAAGGGTTGTTTGGAGAGCTCGTCGCTCTGGTCGGCCATATGTTTTCCTTGGACCCCGGTGTCTTCGAAGCACGTTTCTCGAGATCTTTCGATTGGGGTTTACGAACGACAGATCGACAGCCCGCGTCGATGGTTCGCCAGATCCTAATGCATGGCCATATTTTTGAAGACTTTTGGCAAGGTATTCGGAGGGGGTAGGTTTCGGTTTCGGTTGCAATCTTGATTTTGATTGTTGAATATCTCCCGTAGGATTCTCATGTTGACTGTCAGAGGAAACGGGTGTTGCGGAGGTACGATTGAGAAAGGCTTTGGATCGAAAGAAACGTCGGGGGCTGCGGGAGGCACTCTGAAGCAGAGCACTGCATCGAATATCACGGTCATAATGTTCCTTGCGACACGATCCGAGCAGATGCGCCGCTCTCACAGGTACCCCCGACAGGATTCGGGCATGATTGAGAGCGGATGACATCCATGAATGTTGTCATGAAGATGCCTTTTCCAATGCCACAGCTCCAGTTCGGAGCTCAATGATATGTAGAAGACTGTAAATACCAAAAAGCGCGCGCAACGGGGCAGAAAACGGATGCGGTCACGTGAGGATCGTCACGGGCTGCGCTTTTCGGGAAGGCGCGCATTTCTGGTCTCGAGCGGTTCTCTACTTTGCCCCCTTCTGCTTTGGTCTGATCTATTCCTTGGGAGTAATTTCAGGCAATGACATTGTCCGCCTGATTTCATTTCTCAATTTCTTTATTTATTTCCCCGCTGACGTGGAACATTCCTGTGTTGACCCCTCGTCGCGATCTCATCCTTTCTCGATCCTGTCTCGAGCCTCCCCCATCAAGATTGCTCGAACTCTAGTCGCTGAACCGACTACGGATCATCGCAACCTCGATTGACAATCGATCTTCTGCCTCTCGGTCGCGTCCTCCCAATCTATTCCTCGACGGTTTCAGAATCATTGTGGGCCATCGTTTGCTTGGGAGGGGATCGCGTCGGAAGAAACCCTGTGAACATCTTTATCGTCGCGACTTTCCCACCATGAGCGCCGACGAAGGCGGAGACACAACGCCGATGCCCGCTACAAATGGCGAGCCCCATCCGGAATCGGGTGTGGTCGCGACTCCTGGAAAAAGGAAGCGTTCGGCCCCAGACGAGAAGTCAGGCGGAGATTCCAATGCCTCCGCGGCGCGCGAAAAGGCAAATCTTCACGAGAACTTGCGCAGCCTCGTTGACCTACTTTTGAAGTGAGTGTAGCTCATGATTTTTGCATCATCCATCCTGTGACTAACAATTAGTAGGCATGACACCGAACTGCAACTGCTCACCTGTCCCTTTCCAACCTCCGGAGCAAAGCCCCGAGCGAAGCGCGCCAAGGTTTCGAGTGATCAGGAAACCTCGAATGTTCAAACTCGGGTTGAATCCGACCGCTACGGTACCCTGCAAGAGTTCCTGGCCGACATCGAAAGGGCCTCTGCCGCCGTGATCGAACGCAACCAGAACCAGTCAAATAGCACCAAATCTGACGGCACGCCTCTCACTGAGGTCGTCAACCGCATCGCAGCCTTCAAAAAGCACATGAACAGCTTAATCGGCCAATCCTTCGTCAACCAGCCAGAGGTCAAGATTGAGGCATCGGACGATGAGGCCGATGACGAAGCTCATTGTTCCGTGTCTAACGTTGGCGCTCGCGAGGACAGACAGGCTCTGACATTGTTTGGCGGAAGCCAGTCGAATCCGAAGCAGCTGTTTTCAAGTCTGCAGAAGTCGGTTCAGGTGCCTTTGCCTTCCTCTGGATCCGATGAGCCAAAGTTCGTTGAAGTACATGAGGAACTCCGCGAGGGTGCTTTGCCAAATGGTATCGCGGCTTCCAAGGTGGTTCCTTATAATCTTAACGCCACAACGCCTCCAAAGAGAACATTCAGGGAGGTTTTTGGCCCTCGCCCGGGATTTCCCCCACTAGAGCCTCCACGAACACATGGTAACCGAAGCAACTCGGTTTCCTGGATCGATCCATTCGATGCTGTCTTTGATCCCAAATCATTTTTCGGCGAACGCAACAACTACTGTCTTTCCCCGCTTCCATCTGGACAGTGGCTGCAATACGGTGGAGTCACATCGTCACCTGCATTCTGGTCTCGTGTCGAAAAGAACCATGCAGAGGGGAGCGTCAGACCGAAGCATGGGGATCCAGCCCTTTGGACCGGCGATGACTCGTCCCTCCTCCAGGGAGTCTACTCTTCATTTGCACCCTCTTTCGACAGCTCCGGTGCTGTCCTAGAGGTTGACTCGAAGGATATGGTGTGGTGGGAGAAAAGAGGCGCAAAGCGCTTGCGTACCCTTCTCTCCCTGCCATATCAAGGCTCAGAAGATGAAGTTACCTCTGTGGAACCGGGCAGCATCGGTGATCTCGACGATGCCACTCTCGAGGAGATGATGAAAGCTTGCGACTCTCAGGACTTTTCGTATGACTTTGAACAAGAATATCCAAGCAAAGAGGATCCGGAGAGCAGAGAAGTTGAAGAGATGCTTCAGGAGATTTCTGAAATGCTGGACACCTTGAGTTCATATCAGAGAATTCGCAACCTCGTCGACCCTTCTGAAGGCGATAAGGAGGAGTCGGACGAGACCCCTGCGCCAGAGTTTGGCACCCCGGACAGCCCGTCAGATGCTGAAAGGGCTGTTTACGAACACTTGAAAACGACACTCATTGCGATCATCAGTAGCCTGCCACCATATGCTATCGCAAAACTGGACGGTGATCAGCTGGCAGATCTGAACGTCAGCCAGAAGATCCTCATCGAGAACCCAGACTACAGTGGCACCATGGAAAGGGACGACTACACATTGCACCAAGAACGGATTAAGGCGATGGCAGCTGCGTCAAGCGCTGCCAATCGGACCTCGACTCCATCCGCGGCACGACCTAGCAGTTTCTCGACGCCCCAAACCGCATATAATCAGCGTGCCTTTGCTTCCAATTCTCGCGTTTCGCAACCACAAGGAGGATTCCAAGTGCCACAGAGTGCGCCCCGGCCCTCTGCCACGGGTTCATTTACACCTGGATATACCGGAAGCCGCCCACCGAGCACTCCATCCCAACGTCCCGGCTACACCTCGCAGCAGTATTCGCAAGGAAATTCGCAGTACGGTCAGGCCAACAATGTGCCGCAGTTCCAACGCTCTGCGCAAAACGGCTATTCTGCACAGCAGAGTCAGTCTCCCCAGCCTTACACTCCAAGGCCTGGGCAACCCGGATACAATGCCACCCCTCAAGGCCGCACTCCTTATGCCAACGCGGGCCAACGACACCCGTACAGCACCCAGACTCCGTCGCAGGGTGGCTACTCAAATACCGCTGCCGCCGCAACCTACGCCCGCAGTGCTGCTGAACAAGCCGCGGTGATGGACCGCAACAAGGCCCAACTCGCTGCTCAACAAAGTCGTCAGAGTCCTTCGACACCACAGCCGGTTCTTGAAGCTCGCCAATCACAGGAGGGCAGCCTGACCCCAGGAAGCAGGCAGAACGGCACACCCGTCGCTTCATAGAAGGACATCCTCGCTTCTTTTTTTTTCAGCTTCGGAGTGAAATGGATTTCAATGCCGTCTGAAAAGTTTTTGTCACCTTTTTTCCGCAAAAACCAACCTCTCTCGGATGCGCTGATTTACTTCAACCGTGGCTTCATTGCCCACGATCTTCTATTATTCTATTCTTTCCCACTGTGTTGCTAATGAATGCTCTTTGTCCTCATATATCTGCGGATTCATGTGATTTCCTTTTCTCCGGTGTTTCCAAACAGCGATCGGCGTGTGTGGATGGGTTTTACAAGGCGGGTCTAGCCTGGGTGGTACGGGCTGCCGATGGCGAGGCATTATGTCCTTTGTTTACATGGCTCATTTAGAATGATTGCTTTCGTTCGATTGCATTTACATCCAAATTATTTCTTCGTAGATTAGAATCTCTCAGGCTCTTCCTACCTAGTCCTCGTTGGAAGTCCATAGTAGACAGGCGTTCTTGGTTTGATAGAGATCAATATACAGGCCGTCATGTAATATGAGCATAATACACCCGTAGATATACTTCAAGTCGTAAATCAGTCCCGGAATTCATTACCATCTCATAAATAGTACAGACAAAAATAATAGAACGTAAACTGTCCGTAATACACCCTATCCAAGTCCCACTGTATATCCGCCCCCAGCCCGTAATCCCACCTAGTCGAGAATCCAGATTTGCCTGGTTTTTATCAATTCCCCAAAAGATGTGAACGCCATGTGTATCATCGCCCGTTCCTAGAATTTTGGCGAGCTTTTTTTCTTGCGCAGACTTTGAAATCGTTGCCTTATCTATGGATCGAGGCCCGATTTGAAATATCGTGTCAAAGTAGCAAATAATTCGCACAGCAGAGAAAAGAAAGGTAGAAGATATGAAATATGAAAGTGACGGAAAAAAATTCGTAATTGGGCATGTTGCTCTACGTAAGAGCTATGGTATGAACATAGCGGCGGCGGTCATGAAGCCGAAGTATCTGAATCTATGTTAGTCATCTCAGATCGGTAAGGTTAAGTGAAACATACAATGTGGCACATCTCCAGCCATCACGCGAATCAACAAGAGTGTCAATGCCGGCAGAGTAATTGGCTGCGATGGCCGCTGCTGCGCCGCCGACAACTGTGACGACGACGAGTCGGCCTGAGAACTCGGCGATCATGCTGAAAGCCAGTAGCGGAAGTAAGATGGCCCCGGAGGCGATGACGATGGCCATGTACACAGGTGCTGCTGCAGCGGAGGCTGCCAGGCGGGGCGTGAGAGACACGAGATCGGCATCTTGGTCCAAGAAGCGGGTCTCGGCGGCAGCGATGGGGTTGTGCTCTTTCATCCAGGAGCGGTAGTTTTGGACGTTATCTTCCGAGGCCCGTGGAAGAGTCTGGAGAACCTTGCTGTATGCGCTCAGGGCATTATCTGTAGTGGGTTAGAGATACGGTACTCTGTAACGATGCGAGAATATGAGGAGGCTCACTATATTGCTCGGTTTTATGGGTCAGGGCAGCCATTAGATCCATGCGTCGATAATGCAGTGAGGAATACGCCTGCGACTGAACTTCCATCCGGCGGGAAGCAGGTAAAGGTTTGGTGCCTTCTTGTTCAGCAGTGGCAACGCGGTGCATCTCTTCGTACTCGTCAAGCGTCTGGAGCTCTTCCTCCATCTGGGAGATCTCATCTTGAAGATGGAGCAGCACGCGGTGGTTCACGCTCTCGAAGCGGCGGTACAGTGGTGGAAACCCCGCCTTTTCTTGGGCAGCTGAGCGGGTCAGGTGTGATGCGACTAGCCCATAGCCCGATGACACCTGCGAGGCACTCGATTCTCTTCGTCTAGTTGGCGTGCCACGGTGAAGGCTATCTTCTGGACTACTCGGTGGGGATGGTGGGAGTGGCGGCCGGTGGACGACAGATGCATCTTGTGAAGCGTAGTAGTTCTCAGGCCGAGATACCTGCAATTGGCGTTTGCCGGGAGGAGGCGAGTTATCTGCTGGTTTGTATACCCCGGCGGATGTCTTCCGTGCATGCGATTGTTTGCGCGCTATTTGCAATTGATTCTCGGCTGGAGGAGGAACCGGCGCCGGGGGCGGGCGCGAGTCGCTTGGGCTTCTAGACTTCACGGTTGGTTGATGTTTAATTGTAGGTTGAGAGATCTTGGTCTCTGATAGCAGCGAATGCAAGGGAGCAGTCCTTGGCTGAGGTGACTGGATCTTTGTCACGGCTTGCGTTCGGACCGAAGGTGCTGGTTCATCGTCATCGGAGGAATCTGAAGACGAAGACGATTCATCATCGTCCAGAAATTCGAAAACATTCGGTGACTTCTTCTCCGAGTCTGCCGATTTATCCAGTGATGATTCGGAAGCCGCCTGCGGTTCCACGGGTTCTTTGGGCCCATTGGCCTGTTCAGTTGGAGAACCGGCTCTTTCAAAATTTTTCATGATTTCGACAGGACCAGCCTGTGTGCTTATGGTGGAAACGGTTGACGAGGTTCTTTTCCTTCCGTCTCTCTTGCTCCTCCTTCGTAGACTATGAGATGGGTTCTGGAGCGGCATGGTGATCGGAGAAGCGAAGCAGTATCCGGGTCATCGCATGAAGAAAGGATTGTAGTTTCAGGCCATGCCCATCAGAAGAGAAGTTGAAGGGCATAGAAGGGGACTGTGCTGGTAATGGCGACGGATCCTCAAAGCGTCGGTACGTGGGCCCGAGGCATGGCACAAGGGAGGGGCCAAATTCCAATGATATCGGTACCTCGAAGACGCGGAATCTAGGGTTTGAGACCTGTGCAATCGAAGGAACTAAGAAAAGGAACTGGAACAGCGTGGACGGTCAAAATGTGATGCGTTGGGCCTCCCCCGCGTCCCTTGACATTCCTCAGCCGGGCTGATAAGAGGTATGTATACCCCAAGTGGTTCAAGAGCACGGAACGTCAGCCCCTGGGGTCGGAAACAAACTTGGCGTCACCAGAGGGCTCAAACGGGGCCGAGGCGTCTCCCTTGGGCAAACGGAGCCATGCAATTCGTCACACAGCAAATCCCCGACAATCTAAAGCAGATGAGAAGCGCCGGGGGCCCTCAGATCGGCAGCCAAGGACGAACGAGTCGCAAGGAGGATCCTTGAATGCCTGCCGATCACAGGCGGCTACCTCAGGTCTGCTATAACTCCCGTCTGACTAGTGTCGCACGGGAATCGAAGAGAGATGGAGAGAGGATAGTCGGGAAGTTCTCGGGAGCCTTTCAATAGTTGGTGTCAATAGTGTGGGCCGATGGAAGTGCAGCAAATCAGCAGGGCAACCCAGGCCCGTCCAGTTCCGGATTGCAACGCACGCGTGTTTCGACAGAGTTCAGTCATTGAGACCTTCGAGGGGCCATGCGCTGGCGATTCGCCGGACGATCCTTCGCGCCTTGCGTCCAGCCCTTCTGGCGGTCTGGCGGCCCCATTTTCGAGGTATTAAGCGGGGACGGTGAGAGTTTGTGACCAGTCCACGCCGTGCCACATTGCAACTCTTGCTTGCAGAGTGTCTTGCATTGGAGTGCATCGTCCGGGTCAATTGATGAACTGATGAATGTATGTGTTGGCATTGCACATTGTATTGTCATTCCGAAAGAAGTGTTGATGTGGGTCGAGACTTTCCCGATTCTCATTCTGGATTACTTTGCGCCCAACAGCAACCATGGATCGATCGGGTATCAAATCTTGAATGTATGTCCGGGTATTCCCCATAGACCATATCTACATCGCTATCGTCTTTAAGCATTCCATGATGAGTGTCAACGCCTCTCTCTATGGGGTTGTTGTGATGCTGTAGGCATTCTATACCTCCTGATGGTCTTGTGTGAGGGCCCAACAGATTACCGGGCTATTAGGGGCGTTTTAGCAGCTCAATCCATCTCATGAAGGAACGAGAGGGCAGAAATAACTACAGCTCTGCTCTTTGATAACTGTTTATGTGGGGCAAGGGCGGAGATCACAGGGCTTAGAGTGATGATGCGGTAGATTCGATCACGTCGCATACCTCTTGCAAGGTTCCCCGGCAGAAATTGGTCAGATTTCAAAGAGGCTCGGCTGATATTTGAACATCGCCCGGGTTGCGGTTTAATCCTTGTTGATGCGTGGGCCAGAGAACAACATAGAGGATCGAAGTGGCGGTGATCCAAGTTGTGGCTGGTGCAGTGGCGGTGCCGACGGCTGTAAGAGACCATCTACACCATCCCATATATTTAGTTCACAGAATACTATAGCTTGTTATGATTTTAAACAGTTCAGGCGATATGGGGGACATTCGAGTCAACGCAATGAACTGCAAATTTGGAGACCGTTTCCTTGTAGAAGTACACTTGAGCCTCTCGACTTCGACTTCCGCTGGATCCTCCGTCCTCAACCACCACCGCTCTCCATGCTGCGGCCATGGCCTTCTAGCGGCACTGTCCGCGCACTCTGTCGGACTGTTCACCGTCCATTGCTGATACGCTCACATAACTTTCGTTTCTCCTCCGTCGCACCCTCCCTCAACTCGACCTCCGCAGACCGCGTCCCTCTCCGCAAGCAGCTCAAGCAGGAGGCCAAGAATCTCAGAGCCCAAAAGAAACAGCGCAAAGAGAACGAGGAGGCCTTTAGACAGGACTGGGAATTAACCGTCGGTGTGGAGATTCATGCACAGCTGGATGCTGGAGCCAAATTGTTCTCTCGTATGGCTTTGACTGTCCCCGCGACTCATCGCGTGTTGCTAACTTTTGCTTAGGGGCTCCGACCTCCGCCAGCGAGTCCCCAAACTCCAATGTTGCCTTGTTCGACCTAGCCTTCCCGGGTAGCCAGCCAGTTCGTCTCGACATAATGGTGGATGAGAAAGACTCGAGCTCACGCGATACAGGAATTTCAAGCTGCCACTCTCCTCCCGGCCCTCCGCGCGGCCGCCGCTCTGAACTGTGAAATACAGCCTGTCAGCCGGTTTGACCGAAAGCATTACTTTTACCAAGATCAGCCCTCAGGCTATCAGATCACACAATACTACGGTTCGTATCGTCCTCGTCAATCAACGAGAAAGACGCTAATGGCTTGCAGAGCCATTTGCGCGCAATGGATGGGTCGATCTTTATGACTACGATGGGATCGCCCCGGAAGATGGCAGCCGGATTCGCATAGATATCAAGCAAGTCCAACTGGAGCAGGATACCGCCAAATCCCAGGAATACCCGCCCTCGGCACAACTCCTCGACTTCAATCGCGTATCCCACCCTCTGATCGAAATCATCACCATGCCGCAGATCCATACCCCCGCGACAGCCGCAGCCTGTGTTCGAAAACTCCAAGCGATGCTCCAGGCATGTGGTGCCGTGACAACGGGAATGGAAATGGGTGGACTTCGTGCCGATGTCAACGTCTCGGTTCGGCGTCGGGGTGAGGCCCCGGGAGGCTATGAATACGACGGAATCAGCGGGCTGGGCCAACGTACGGAGATCAAGAATCTGAGCAGCTTCAAGGCCGTGGAAGACGCCATCGTCGCCGAGAAGAACCGCCAGATCGCCGTCCTGGAAAGTGGCGGTGTCATTGAGGGCGAGACCCGCGGATGGACCATTGGCAGCACCGAAACTCGCAGACTCCGAGGCAAAGAGGGTGCTGTCGACTATCGCTACATGCCGGACCCCGACATTCCGCCGCTGGTGATTGGCGAAGACCTGGTCAACTTGATTAACGACAATCTTCCAACGCTGCCTGATTCGCTGGTGCAGACCCTCCGGACAGGTTACGGCCTCTCGATCGAGGACGCTAAGCCATTGATCGAGCTGGATGACGGGGCCCGACTGGAGTACTACAGAGACGTGGTGGATAACCTTTGCTCGCTTTATGCCGATCGGGATAACAAAACACAGGCAGCCGTCGCGCGTACGGCGGGCAACTGGGTCCTCCACGAGCTGGGCGGACTGTTAACCAAGGCGGACCGACCCTGGGACGAAGAGATAGTGCCGGCCCGGTCTCTAGCCGACCTCATCGACCATCTCCAGCGAAAACTCATTACCGGACCCACGGCCAAGCAGGTCCTGGCCGCGGTGTTCGACGGAGATCGTCGACCCATCCCGCAGCTGCTGAAAGAGGACAATCTCCTATTGCGGCCGCTGTCGCGGGATGAATACCTAGCACTTGCCGAGTCGGCGATTGCACAGAACCCGCAGATGGTCGAGCAGATCCGCAGCAAGAACCAGCTGGGGAAACTGGGCTGGTTCGTGGGGCAGATGATGCGCACGGGCGAGAAGGGCCGCGTGGAAGCGCCCAAGGCCGAGGAGGTTCTCCGCGAACTAATTCTGGGGAAGTAGATGTATGAATAGTGTACTACACATAGATGCAATGATACCCTTGTACTTTTAGATTACCCTAAGTGTACCTTGAGTGTACCTTGAATGTACCCGAGCATAGATGAAATCACCGTTCGCAGCCAAACCGCCACGAACGCGCCCCAAAACATCACCAGAAAGTCGGAAATCCATTCCAACCATGATTCAGCTTTGCCCTTCACTAAAAATGTGCGATTGCAACACAGTGGACACCTCGGTGCACTAAACGGGGCAGCTCTCCTCGACCTGTACTTAACGGAAGTGATGGAGAACCCGGCGGAGTGCCATGATCCCTAAAAGCAGTTTTTAGCGACTGTTCCTGTCAGCGGCCTGGAATGAAGCAGGTGCCGGTGCGAGTCGGGAAAAGGGGTGAAAGATATAAAGCTGCGCTCTTTGGCATTCTTATTTCCCTTCTTATTCCGTCGAGACATCATCCTGACTTCAATCCGTCTTTTCGTGTCTTCATCGACTGCTCCCACCTGCTCCACTTTTATTTTATAATCTTATCGCGGATCTGACTTCCAGGCTCCGATCTTTGGCGAGCTTCCTGCTTCTTCGACGAGTATTTCTCTAGGATATCCTCCTGCACACTCTGCATAACTTCACGCACAATGACGCAACCACCTGCAACCATCACCTCGCGCTTCCTCTCCCACCCCAACCAGTTGGGTGTCGTCGCCGTTGGCTTCAATGGCGGGCAGGTAAGATAAGAGTCGCATGAAAATTAGAATGTGGAACCGTGATCGCTGAGACCCTTTGCAGATGAAGAAGGGCGTCGAGGCGGCCCCAATGGCCCTGATTGAGGCCGGCCTGCTCACCCAGTTGAGCGAGGACCTCGACTACGATGTTCACCACGACAACATCGTCCACTACTACGAGAAGGATATCCCCGCCGAGGACCCTGACCACCGCAACATGAAGAAGCCGCGCGCCGTCAGCGCCGTCACCGAGCGCCTGAGCTCGCAGGTCTACAACTACGCCAAGGACGGCAAGTTCGTGCTCACTCTGGGCGGCGACCACTCCATCGCCATTGGCTCCGTCTCCGGCACGGCCAAGGCGATCCGCGAGCGGCTGGGCCGTGAGATGGCGGTCATCTGGGTCGACGCCCATGCCGACATCAACCTTCCCGAGTTGAGCCCCAGCGGTAACATCCACGGCATGCCCATGGCCTTTTTGACCCGGCTGGCTCGGGAAGACAAGCGCGACATCTTTGGCTGGCTCCAGGATGAGCACATTGTCAGCACCCGCAAGCTGGTGTACATTGGTCTGCGTGATGTCGACCGCGGGGAAAAGAAGATCCTGCGCGACAACGGCATCAAGGCATTCAGCATGCACGATATCGACCGGTATGTTTCCCGTCGCCCGATTGACGAGTCCTTGCTAACTGGTTCACAGTCACGGTATTGGCCGCGTCGTCGAGATGGCTCTGGCTCACATTGGCAACGATACCCCGATCCACCTGTCGTTCGATGTCGATGCGCTGGATCCCCAGTGGGCGCCGAGTACCGGTACCCCGGTGCGCGGAGGTCTGACTTTGCGCGAGGGCGACTTCATTTGTGAGTGTGTGCACGAGACTGGCAACTTGGTGGCCATGGACTTGGTGGAGGTGAACCCCAGCCTGGAGGCCGTAGGCGCTGCAGAGACCATCCGCGCCGGATGCTCGTTGGTGCGCAGTGCGCTGGGCGATACCCTATTGTAAAATTGAAGTTCATAGAAAAATAGAAGCGAGGGATGACAATAACTATGATGAAAATTGAAAACCTGGGAGGGCTAACGCGTACTCCCGTACCTGACACTAAATTCCCTGCCACCTCAATTTCCCGCCGATCATCAACAAACTCCCCCCCCGCTGACTTTCTTCTGTTTGCACCTTTCGTACTTCTGTCGCTTCACCCCAAAAATCGCGCCAGGCCCCGAGTGCTCATCCATCGATTCAGGCCATAGTTTCAGGGTCCAGGGACTCCCAGTCTCCGACGCAACGCCCAGTAGCGCCCGATGCGCTGTCCATCCTTATCGGCCCCCGCCCCCGAATTCAATCGAATTATTCCTCGAATCGAAGCATCTGCGCTGTGCTGTTTGGGTCCCAAGTCGATCGCAATCCCGCGACACCCATAAGGCGATCATATCGGGCATTTGCGCAAACTCGCGGGTCCTTTATATCGCTGGAGGACTGCTGCCTCGGCGCCGGGCAATATCCACAACACTTGAACCATCACCTCTTAATACTCTCACCTGTTCACCATGGCGGTTGTGCGCCGAGAAACCCGGCCTCGCTACCACTGGCCAGAGGCCCAGCTCAACGTCTGGCTCATCGTCGTGCTTGCGGGCTCGGCAACATGTCTTGGGATATTCGCTTGGTTTATGATGGTGCAAACACAAATGAACCTGGGGATACCTTGGTGAGTGCTTCCGGGTGAACAGACAACTCCATGAACATGTATTTACTGACCGGTTTCCAGGCTCTTCCCCTACATGGTCGTGGTCAGTGCCCTGGGCGTTTCCTTCATTTTCCTCGTCCTCGGTCTTATCGCCAGCCATTTCCTGCTCCCGGGCATCCTCATCCTCGGCAGTTTCATACTCTTCGTCCTGTGGTTAACAGGCCTCATTGAAACCTCGGTGCAGCTGTACGGCGCCTCGGGCAACGTCAATGACAACTGCCAGATTTACGTGGTCGATAATGTTTCCAAGGGGAACGACATCAATACAATGGCGTGGATCATGCAAAGCACACTCTGTGGGTTTTTTCTTCGTCTGATATTCGTACACTTTTACTGACTGGTCCCTCCAGGTAACTGCTGGAAAACTGCGTTTGCCTTTGAGCTTGTCAACACCGTCTTCTATCTATGGATGATAGTCATGTCGTGGCAGGTGCATCGGGATTACTACCATTAATGCATGTGCTCTCTTTCTCGTGTTCTATATCTTTCATGATTTGTGATACCATATTCTTTGCATACCATCTGGCGTTTGGTCTGGGTGAATAGCATGTTTCCTGCGATTTTGATATCTGCGTGTCCTACAACACAATTGTTCTGAATTTCCAATTGCTCATGTCCATACGTCTCTATCTCATCTTAATCAACAGCATTCACGTTCCAATGCCAACTGCTCACTTTCGTCACAGGGATGAAGCTTGTACATGGATCTTCGCGTCAATTGATCTATCCGAGTCTACTTTTCAAACATTTAACTTTGTAACCTTGCAACTTAAACTCTGGTGGGAGCTACTTACAATTCCATGGTACGTGTACTCAATGTCACATAGTGCCTTGTACAGTCAACCCGTAAATCATCAAATCTTTTCAACCATTGTCAGTCCCCTTCGTCGCTTTCCAGTCGCTAATATTGATAGATCAGCAGTGGCACTCTGCAAAGAACAAGGAAACAGTTTTAAGGGGTTGTCCCTCGATGAACTCAGTTGCGTGCATGATCCAGCCGTATGTTGCGGTCATAGCATTTGAAACAGCGGGCGAAGACTAGAACTTTACGATTCAAGCATATTGGAAGCACCCGTGTAGATCTCTCGCATTCAGTCGAGGGTATTTTGAGGATTGTACATTCAAACAACAAGCACGCTATCTCACAATGGGAAACGACAACAAAAAGAAAAACCCCCATATCCACCGACGCCCAGAAAGACTAAGATTGACCATTGGCTTGAGACATGAGTACAAATGACATGACAGAATTCAGAAAATGTCGTATATGCTGCGTGCAAGACAACTCTCTCGCCTTCACCAACGCAGATCCCGTTCTTGTGGCCTGCGAGCTTTACTCTGCCAGCCGAGAATACGTGATGAGTTGTCGGATGATGGTAGGATCAATGTTGGGGAGCAGCAGGGCCCCGAGTAGTTGTTCCTTGCGAGGGACAATCCCGGATGGGAAGCGAAGCGGGTGGGAGTCATCCACTTGCTTCGACTTCTCGGCGAGCCGGCGTAAGATAGCCAGGCCACGATGAATAATCGAGCCAAACGCGATGGCTTCACTTTCAGCTTGCTGTCTTGGCCGCATGCTGATTTGCGGGAAGCGTTCGTTGCAGAGCATACACGAGAGTCGCAAGAGATGAATGGCGAATCCATCGGTAGATCCGAGCCAGCACTTTGCCATGGCTGGATCTGCAAATGTCGTCAGGACATCAGCGGCTAGGAGACCATGCATGAGGAAGATTTGGCGCGCATCTGCAGCCGCCAAGACACTCTTGTGAGGAATTGGGCTGATGGCAAGGCCGAAGGCACGGGTGAGGAGCTCTGGCCGGGGTGCAGACCCGTCCCCTGAGAAGATGGCCGAGAAATAAGTCCGGTTCGTATCATCCTTTGCAAGGAACTTCGCAAGAGCGTCCACGGCTGCCGGGGTGTATCGGTGGATGGAGGGGTTAAATGAGGTGAACATCACCCGGTCCGTCTTTATCGATGGCTCGGGCAACGGCGAAAATGCAAGCAAGAAGGTCAACAGATTCAACGCCTCCTCTTGTCCGGGCATTGGCATGACATGGGCCGTGTTGCTCATGAAAATCACAGCGTCCTTCATAAATTCCAAGGTGTTCTGGTTAGTCCGCAGGAACATTTTGCGGGTTCCAAGGTGACGGCAGACATCGGCAAAGAACTGGGTGAGCGACGGGACTGCAAAGGCCGCGAGAGTCGAATCAGCGGGGAACGAGAAATTGCGGAGAATCGTAGTGATGGCAATCATTCGGTCCACTGCTCGATCAAGTTCATAGGCAACACTGCCAAACTCAGGCACTTCAGCGAGGGATGTAAATTCGGAGTAGCAAGCCCTCGTAATTTCTTCGTACGAGGGTATCTGCATGACATCTGATGTCCGGGGTATGTGCTCAACTAGATAATCAACCTGATCCTGGGCACAATCAACCAAGCTCTCCACCAGATCTTCGCAGTTATGGAGTGAGATATGCACTGCGGGATCACAGGAGACGGTGGTGAGGGTTTCCAAGGCAACTCGAATTTCACCCAGGATGCCAGACTTAAGGCTCATGTTCAGAGCATGGAAATCGATCACGCCCAATTCTGCGAAACTCGGTATACCTGGACGGAGTTTCAAGATATCGTCTCCGAGCCGGTACATTTCGTCCACCGATATGGGTCCGTGCATGCGGTGATCATCCAAAGCCATGGGTTCGTATGGATCCTCGATGGGTTTCTTGACAAATTTCTCGGGCTTTTGTTCAGGTTGGACGGGGGTTGGTGTAGCACCTTTCCCTTGCTGTGATGGCGATGGTGCCGCAAACTGACCTGCAGCATCAGACGATGGAACTGAGGACTGTGATTGGCGGGAGATACTGAGTCGATGCCCAGATTGAGTAGGTTTCTTTTGACTTGGTGCTTGCGTCGGTGTTGCAAACCCATTGACCGGAGTGGGCTGCTGAGCATTGTGCGGGATGGGTGTGTTGTTCTGAGGAGAGCTGGCGAGCTGCTGAGGTTGGTCGAATCCTTGGCCGGGTTTGATCGAGGGCGACTGGAATTGTTGCATGGCCGAGGCGTCGCTTGGCTGGCGAGGCATCCCACCTTGCTGCATTTGGTCGGCAACTTGTTTTTGTTGCGAACTAAGGAACGCCTGCTCGTAAGGAGCCAAATTTCTTGCGTGGTAATCCCGGATCTCCTGCGCAGCTGTGGGGAACTGCATCTGCGGGAATTGGAACTGTTGCGCAACTGCAGGCCACATGTTCATTTGGGTGACCTTCTTTGACCCGCCCATTCTCATGACGGTTCCGTAAAGTTGAAGGAGGTTGAGAGGCCGGCCACAAATAACTGGGTTCATGTCCAGTGGAAGGTTCCGTGCCATCATGAATTTCTGCAAGCCTCGCACAAACACTTCGGGGTTGTTGGGCTTTGCGATGTTTTGTTGCATCTGCCGAATGGCCGCCATTTGCTGAGGATTCGCCTGTGGGTTCATACCACCGGGAGCAACGGGACGCGCTGCCATCTGCGGATTGGCATTCATCGGCCGATTTTGATTCTGCTGTTGCATCTGCATCTGGAGCCGGGCCTGCTGAGCTGCGATCGCCTGATGATACCCTTGGGGCACTTGTTGCATCCCACCAAACTGTGCCTGCATGGATGGCTGAGGCGCTGCCGAGCTCATCCCGTGTCCTTGCTGGAACTGCCCACCCATACCCTGAGGGAAGGCTTGCCCCTGCATGAAGTTGTTATTCTGCGGGGTGTTCACCCGGCTCCCGTGATCCGATTGGGACGGGGACATCTGGGCACCGACATGCGGGCCGGCCGGTGAGAAAGGACTGGGGGAGGCAGTTCCCATGCGGATACTCTGCTGATCAAAGTCCTGCATGATTGGCGACTGCGTCACATTGGGCGAGCCTCCTTGCTGGAGATGCTGATAAGGAGTAGGATGTTGAGAAAATTGGGCTGCCCCGTTTGTGGGGCCTTGGTATCCAGGATATGGTACCTGAGGAGTTTGCGATCGCGATCCGGGCATGCCACCGGGGCCTTGTCGTGGCGACATAGGCATGCCATCCTCCGGTCGGGGTCGTTTGGAAGGAATCACCTGGTTGGGGTTGTGAAAGCCCGGGGAGGCATTCCGTGGCACGCCATTGAACATGCGCTGGAACTGATTGGGGTCCTGAGTAGGAGAGGCGTGAAGGAAGGCGGAGGGGTCGATAGTGGATGGATTAAAAGCCCCATTATCCTGGCCAGGAAGGGTCGAGGCGTCGGCGAGCCAGGCATTCATGTCGTGCGGTTCTACCAACCCATCTGTCCAAGCAAGCCGGTCAGCAACAGCATCACCGAGGCCCACGCGCCATCATCGCGTGGGGGAGAATCACGCGAATATCATCTCATTTACCAATGGATGATAGGTAAATGGAATGGATTATGAAATTCCAAGATCATATAAACGCGTAGGGCTGGGGTGTTTGGGGTCGCGCTCGGTCGCGACACGCTCTGGGGTGTATCGAAAGATGGGAGGAAACCATTCTTCCAACAAATAGAACCCCCTAAAAAAAGCGATGGAAGAGGGAGGAAGAAAAGATGTACGTACCGACAAGGCTGGATTACTTAAATTCCCGACTTGCTAATGGATGACTGAGGCCGGGACCCGGAATTAGCAGATGAGACGAGGAGCAGAGGTTGGAGTTGAGCTGTCACGTGGTTAGTGGCCTGAGGCTGCCAAGTCACGGCGAGGCCGAGAAGGGGGCAGTTCGGATCAGAGGGGGAGGTGGGAAGGTCCGATAGGCTGGGCTGGGCAGCTAATCATGGGCTGGAAAATACCCTGCTGATCTTTTCTAGGGCCACGACAATGCTTCGGCCCGAGAAACCATAGACAAATTGGGGCAGAGGAGGGTGCGTTGGGTGGACTGCGCCGGAAGAAGGGGGGGGGGGGAGGCGAAAAAGGGAAGGGGGGCAGTTGAGCGGGTGCGTGGCCACAGCAAGTAAAAAAAACAAAGGAAAGGTACGGAGTATGGGGAACGGCCGAAACCAAGCAGAAATACTTACAGTCCAGAAAGGCAAAAGCCTCAGTTAGGGATCAAAGGGGGAGTGGAGGCAAAGAATGGTGAGGGAAAAATTACTCAAGGGCGATGGGTGCGGGTACCGGAAAGTAAGGGAAGTCAGGCAAACTATGGCCGCTGCCACGTCCGGTCCTTTGTACCACCAATACACTCCGTACCGTACACCTTTTTCCCCCTGCTTTTTTTTCTGTCGTTTTGTGGTCTTTTGCTTCGCTAGTTAGTTGTCTGGGTTAATTCATGGTTCACATCTTCATGATTTGGAAACCCCATTTTGATTTGGGGGGAAATTCCTTTGCCATGCCTCTGCGGTTAGCGGGTTTCGGCAGTCTCAACCACTAGAAGGAAGAGACTGAGCAGATCAATCACAATGCACAAGGTGGGCAGCTGGGGGATTTTCCCCCCGACTTTCCAGTCCGTGGGGAGGAGGAGAAAGAAAGGAAAGAAAAAAAGCACTGCGCTGGTCAGACGCAAACCCAGGCGAAGATCCATTCCAACGGTCTTCGCCCAGTCAGGTTAGTCCGTATACTCCAGCGCTGGGTACAGGTGCGAGATCTGTGGTCCCAGCTCGCACACAGTCTCGATCCACAAGAATATCATAGAAAGATTTATAGTAAACCACCTTCCGAGGGGATCAGGGAAATGTGTACGGAGTAGTGGGAAGGAAAAAATGGAGAGCCCAGATCAGGCACGGTGACGGGCGTCGGAACTCCTTATATAAAGCTCTGACTAGCGTCCGATAATCATGACGAGCGCCCAAACCTCCGAAGTCTCTTAAAAAATAATTAAAAAAAAAATTTCAGCATGACCCCTCAAGTACAGAAAAAGATTAGCAACCCCCGCCAAGAAATGGCCCAGGTTCCCTGACCGTGCAAGGATCCGACTCGATCCGCATGGGAAATCATGATGGTTCTGTGCCTGTCCCACCTAACCGCGTCCCGGCCCTGCTCCACCATGATTGGGTCTGCGATCCCATGGACTGGGAATTCGAGGCCCAAGCGAGGCTGGAACACGTTCAACTCTTTCTCTGTCTCGATAATTGGAAAGTTGGCAGGTTTGAGTTGGTGAGGATCAGCTGCCTCGATCCGTGAGGGCTTGCAGCGTCATTTCAACGGATCGTACGAATCATATGAATCACCCCGCGGCCCTGCCCCATTGAACCCGGGCGCCTAAGCTGAGCCCGTGTCGAACGATGTGCTCAGCTTGAATGATTTATGGGTGCATTGCACCAGAGAAGGCCTGGCAGGGCGCCTCTGAAGGAGGTTTGCATACTCGATACACAGCACAATGTATAATGAAACCAGCAACGACAAAGCACTCTCTGACGAGTACATCGTAATTCCACCTAATCCAACCCATAAAATACAAATCATAAAATCAAGGTGGCTGTGATGCATGGAAAAAAGAGCCGTCGACTGGCCAGCACGGCAAGTCTCACGTGACACAACCGTGAGCTCCAGGTTCCCCGATTGAGCTCCAAGGACCATCATCGGACTCTTCGCGGCCCACGTCAACATTGCTCACAAATTCTAATCTCAACGCATCCATCATATATCCCTGCCTCTGATTCATTCTCCTTCTTTCTGTTCCTCGATCTCACCATGGGAGACGTCGCCGTGGAGAACCCGGCGAACAACGTCACGCCTCTTCCCAAGCCCAGTGCGCTGGACACTCTCGGCAACCTGGATACCCTCGAAGGCACTGGCATCGATGGAAGCGATGAATACGCATCCCTGAAGCGATTACAGAGACACCTAGAGTATGTTTGGCCCGTGATGTCAAGCTCGGCGGTACTGACGCCTCCAACCCAGATACATCCAGTTGCAGGAGGAATACATCAAGGATGAGCAGAGGTAGGTCTTCCGATACAGCTGCCTTGGTGGACGGAATACTGACCATCTCGGTCACCAGGAGCTTGAAGAGAGAGCTGGTTCGAGCACAGGAGGAGATCAAGCGGATACAGAGTGTGCCGCTGGTGATTGGGCAGTTCATGGAGGCTATTGATCAGAAGTATGCTTGCGTTGCCATCCCTGTAGGCGATTCATTTTACTGACACAGTCCATCAGCACTGGTATCGTGCAGAGCTCGACCGGGTCTAATTACGTTGTCCGAATCCTGTCCACACTCGACCGCGAGAAGCTGAAGCCGTCCTCCTCGGTCGCCCTTCACCGGCACTCCAACGCGCTGGTCGACATCCTTCCCCCGGAAGCAGACTCTTCCATTGCTATGCTGGGTGACAATGAGAAGCCGGATGTGACCTACGCCGACGTCGGTGGTCTGGATATGCAGAAGCAAGAGATTCGGGAAGCCGTCGAGCTGCCCTTGACGCATTTCGATCTCTACCGGCAAATCGGTAGGTCCATGAACTTTACGTGGTCGTCGTATCCGCTAACCAAAGGATAGGTATTGATCCTCCCCGTGGTGTCTTGTTGTACGGTCCCCCCGGTACCGGTAAGACCATGCTGGTCAAGGCCGTCGCCAACAGCACAACCGCCAGCTTCATCCGCGTGAACGGCTCCGAGTTTGTACAAAAGTATCTGGGAGAAGGCCCCCGTATGGTCCGTGACGTGTTCCGGATGGCGCGGGAGAATTCGCCGGCCATCATCTTCATTGACGAGATCGACGCGATCGCCACCAAGCGTTTCGATGCCCAGACCGGTGCCGACCGAGAGGTGCAACGTATCCTGCTGGAGTTGCTGAATCAGATGGACGGATTCGAGCAGACCAGCAACGTCAAGGTCATCATGGCCACCAACCGAGCCGATACCCTGGATCCCGCCCTCCTGCGTCCCGGTCGTCTGGACCGAAAGATCGAGTTCCCGAACCTGCGTGATCGCCGCGAGCGTCGTCTGATCTTCACCACCATCGCATCCAAGATGTCGCTGTCGCCCGAAGTGGATCTGGACTCTCTGATCGTGCGCAACGAGCCGTTGTCAGGTGCCGTGATCGCTGCCATCATGCAAGAGGCCGGTCTGCGGGCGGTGCGCAAAAACCGATACAACATCATCCAGTCCGACCTTGAGGATGCCTACCAGGCACAGGTCAAGAGTGGCCAGGACGATGACCGGTATGTTTTCCCTCATGTGCTCTCATTTCCTTGTTTCGTGTTACTGATCTATCTCGATAGTCCCGACTTCTACCGGTAAATGCTCTGTTCCTTACGAGGCGCGTGGATGCGGATGGTTCAAACTTGGCTCCATTCGTTGTATTATCAATACTCAGAAATTTGGAATCCATGGATGATGTGTCGTAACTTATAATACAGTTGAAAGTCCCCGATAACGACCATGTAGAGTGTAGACTGGCCGGAGACCCCTGCATAGTAAGGTAACCCTATCGCGCAGGGTCCCTGTAGAGAACCGAGAACCTTCGGGATCATGACCATAGGCGCCTGGACAGATAGTACAAGACAAGGTTTTGCCTGTTGGTCTCACAGCGCCTTGGAGGACCGACCCCTCAGCGGCCTTTGCCACCTCTGCAGCTGCCAGGTACAGTTGCTCCGACCCTTTCCCTGCTTGCCTGCTTGGCGGATAGGTTAGGCAGCTCTCCCAGCCACCGCGTCAACGACCATCACCACAGTTCTACAGTTCTACAGTTCTGCGGTTCTACGGCAGAATTCCCAATTTCATATATTTCGTAGTAGACGAATAGTTGGATAAATGATAATAGATAACGAGGAGAAAACGGAAGGGAATGTGGGATGAGTGTAACCCTCACGGCGCCGCTGATTCCGGGAATGACGCACACCCGTCACGTTATGCCGATCGCTCTCCAGGGCTCCGCCTCCAGCTTCCTCTTATCTTCCTCTCCATCTCTCCCCCATTCTTATCACATACCACCATCATGAAGTCCTTCGCTCTGCTTACAGCCTCTGCGCTGCTGAGCACTGCCTCTGCTGAGGTTTACAAGCTCAAGATCGGAAAGGTTCCTCTGGACGATCAGTTCGTAAGCAAGACCCCGTTTCCGGTGATGGTGCACGGCTCTAACCGCGTGGTAGTCAACTCACAACATCGAAGAGCATGTCAAGGGCCTTGGCCAGAAGTACATGGGCTACCGCCCTAACGCCAACCAGGGTTTCCAAGACACCTCTTTCAAGCCCAGCAGCGGTCACGACGTCCTGGTCGACAACTTCCTGAACGCCCAGTGTAAGCGTCTCCCTTGAACCCCTTCCATCCAAGAAACGAACGACGATGTTAACCTTGATCAGATTTCTCCGAGATCTCCATCGGTACCCCGCCCCAGACCTTCAAGGTCGTTCTAGACACGGGTAGCTCCAACTTGTGGGTCCCGTCATCGCAGTGCACCTCTATTGCCTGCTTCCTTCACACCAAGTATGACTCGTCTGCCTCGAGCACCTACAAGGAGAACGGCACCGAGTTCTCCATCCAGTATGGATCCGGCAGCCTGAGCGGTTTCGTGTCTCAGGACACCCTGAAGATCGGCGATCTGAAGGTCGCTAAGCAGGACTTTGCCGAGGCCACCAGCGAACCCGGCCTGGCCTTTGCCTTCGGTCGTTTCGATGGTATCCTGGGTCTGGGATACGACACCATCTCCGTCAACAAGATGGTCCCTCCTTTCTACAACATGATCAACCAGAAGCTTCTGGACGAGCCCAAGTTTGCTTTCTACCTTGGCGACGCTAACAAGGATGGCGATAACTCCGAGGCCACCTTCGGTGGTGTGGACAAGAGCCACTACACTGGTGAGCTGATCAACATCCCTCTTCGCCGAAAGGCTTACTGGGAGGTTGAATTCAACGCCATTGCCCTCGGCGATAACGTTGCCGAGCTGGAGGACACCGGTGTCATCCTTGACACTGGTACCTCGCTCATTGCTCTGCCCTCTACCATGGCCGAGCTTCTGTAAGTTTTAATCATGGCCAGTTTTCTGCGATTCAGATCTAATTCCATAAACAGGAACAAGGAGATCGGTGCCGAGAAGGGCCTCACTGGACAGTACACTGTTGACTGTGCCAAGCGTGACTCGCTTCCCGACCTCACCTTCACCCTCAGCGGCCACAACTTCACCATCACCTCTTATGACTACATCCTGGAGGTCCAGGGCTCCTGCATCAGCAGCTTTATGGGAATGGACTTCCCCGAGCCCGTCGGCCCTCTGGCCATTCTGGGTGACTCGTTCCTGCGCAAGTGGTACAGTGTCTATGACCTGGGCAACAACGCTGTTGGTCTGGCCAAGGCCAAATAAGTGCCTTGATCAGATATAGAGGCTGTAGCTGTCGAGAAGCCGAGAGGATATCCCGTATATATGCAATGTACATGCGGCTTCTCGCGGGGTGATATGTGGTTCGTAAACACGGCGAATCATCCGCCTTTGGCTACCAGCATTTCTTGCCTGTTCTTTTCTGCTGCCGACACCGGCAGTCTGAGGCTTGTCCTCTGACGACACCGGTAATTGCTTTCCCCGAGGATGGATTTTTTTTGCATTTCGTTCATTCCACCTCGTTTTCAATCAATTTCCATGGATACTGTATAATATTTGTGATCCACTTAAAGTAAATTCACGTATAGTATTGCCATCAAACGCTTAAAGAGGCCCCGGTCGTTGTAGACCGTGTTTAGTGTCCTGGGACCGCTCCAATTGCAACGGGCCGAGGAGCTTGAATGGAGCCGGAGGTCCGTGACGCAACGAGTGTCTTCGAGGACAGCCAATCATGGGTTCCAATTCCAATTCAGTCCGAGGATAAGATCCTTGCAGGTCCCATCGAGTGGATTTAATCAATTAAATACATAGATATCAATATGAGGATTGAAAACATCGCCCAAAAAGAGACTCGCTGAGTCGTCGAGGGCGGTGGGTGTTGACATAAGCGGAGCTCCCAGGTCATCCCAGTCCCCGCACATTTCCCCGTCGAGCTTTGCCTTCTCCGATCGCAATCCATCTTTCATTCATCCTCTTTTGACCATCCTCTTTTTTACGTCATTCTTATCGGCCTGGTGCGTTGTCTGTCTTTGACTATTGCGCGCCAGGTTGTGCAAGGCGCACGGCTTCTTCCATCCCCGTCGTGTGGCGATTCTGATTACCCGACTGCTAAGGCTTGAGCTGCGCGCTATCTACTCCTTGACCTCGTGAAATACGTGTCTTACCAGACAAACACCCTTGTAGGCGATAACCATCCGGCTCTATCGCCCCACGTCTCGAACAAACGCCACCCACGCGTCGCGTGTTGGGGATGACCGCATAGCCGGAGTTGCACGCGATCAACCTCACACGACCGTCCACGTCCGCCTCCGAAGCGGGCTGGACCAAAACACGATTTTACGAAAGAGATCAAGACTGTGGTAGGAGAGACATTGAGCTGACCCGTGGATTCCATCGCCTGGGGGCGAACTGAGAGCAACCATGCTTCTCCGTCTGCCGGCCAGCCTGCACTATCCTATCACCGTGACCTCGCTGCTGAAACGGCCTGGGGATGCGGTGGAACGGGATGGCGCCCTCTTCTGGTATATTTACCAGACAACCGTTGAAGAGGGCGATGGCCTAGGCAATAGGGTCGAGGTCAAGCGAAAGTTCCCGACTCGCTTTGAATCGACCGTCGATGGAGAGATTGTACAGTGGAAGATTGCCAAAGGCGACGTGATCACAGGGCCGTAAGTTTTCAACCTGGTCTATCCCTCGCAGTCTGCCGACTAACGATGGCCGTAGCGTTGACGTTGTCGAAATTGATGAACCATGCGCGCACGAGGTTCAATACGGTGGACTCTGTGCAGAGTGTGGAAAGGACATGACTGAGTGCGTATATATATGTAATGACAGATTGAAATGATTATATACTAATTGGTTGTTTTTTGGTAGGGCCACATACAACACGGAGGTGATGGACTCCTATCGTGCTCCCATTCAAATGGCACATGACAATACGACCTTGACTGTCAGTGAGAAGGAGGCTACCCGAGTTGAAGAGGATGCGAAGCGTCGCCTCTTGGCATCCCGACGTCTGTCCCTAGTGGTGGACCTCGATCAGACCATTATCCATGCCACCGTTGACCCGACTGTTGGGGATTGGAAAGAAGATAAAGACAACCCCAATTACGAAGCATTGAAGGGTGTTCGGCAGTTCCAACTGATCGACGATGGACCCGGCATGCGTGGATGTTGGTACTACATCAAGCTCCGGCCCGGACTGGAAGACTTTTTGCAGAACGTGGCCGAACTTTACGAATTGCATATCTACACTATGGGTACCCGAGCATACGCCCAGAACATTGCCGACATTATCGATCCGACACGCAAGCTATTCGGAGACCGTATTCTCAGTCGCGACGAAAGCGGAAGTTTGACTGCAAAGAACTTGCAACGGTTGTTCCCCGTCGACACCAAGATGGTAGTTATTATTGATGACCGCGGCGACGTGTGGCGGTGGAGCCCCAATCTGATCAAGGTCTCTCCTTATGACTTCTTCGTGGGAATTGGTGACATCAATTCCAGTTTCTTGCCTAAGAAGCAAGACATTGGCGAGACAAATAAGGCAGTTAAGGCTGCGAAAGAGAAGGAAAAGCGAGCGAAACGAGAACCGGCGAATGGCGAAGCTGGGAAGGCCTTGGCAGAGAATGACGTCTCCGCACTAGAGCAACTAGTGACTATGGGAGGTGGTGATGACCCAAGCTTGCTGAAGGAACAGGCAAACGCCCAGGAAGAGACAATTATGCACCAGGTAGAAGACCGACCGCTGTTGCAGAAGCAGAAAGAGCTGGACGCGGAAGATGATGCTTCCGCAGACGGTAGCGAATCATCCTCGAGCGTTGATGAATCTCAAGAAGCTGCCAAGCAGCGCCACCATCTCCTGGAAGACCATGACAAGGAACTTTTCCAGTTACAAGACCGGCTCGAGCAAGTGCATGCCACATTCTTTGATGAATATGACAAGAAGCGGACCCATGCCCTTGGAGGCCGCGTGGCGGCCCTGAGGGGCGAGAAAGCTGCGCACAAAGACAAAGACGTTGATTTGAAACTGGTTCCTGACATTAAAGATATCATGCCACAATTCAAGCGGTCCGTATTGGGAGGGGTGGTTTTGGTATTTTCGGGTGTCCTCCCTCTCGGAACAGATACCCAGAATGCCGACATCTCCTTATGGGCGAAGAGCTTCGGTGTCATTATTGCAACGAAGATCAACGCTCGAACTACTCACCTGGTGGCCGGCCGTAACCGCACAGCCAAGGTGCGCGAAGCCACACGGTATCCAAACGTCAAGATCGTCACGACCCAGTGGCTTCTGGACTCTTTGACCAGCTGGAAACATCTGGACGAGGTTCCGTATCTGCTCCCTGTGCATCCAGATGACCGTGGGGAACCCCTCTCCCCGGGGTCACGGGAGCTTGCAGAAAGCTCGTGGTTGTCGTCTTCGGACGAAGCAACGGGCTCTCTCTGGGCCGATGACGAGGGCAACGAGGAAATGTTCAAATCTTCTGGGCTCGATGATACGGCAGTCCCTGGGTATGACGAAGACGAGCAAGCTGCCGTACACGATGAGTTAAAGGAGTTCCTCGGCAGCGATGACGAGAGTGAAAGCGACACCGAAGCATGGGGTGAAGAGTCGGCCGAGGGAAGCAAGAAACGGAAGCGTGGAGAAGGAACAGAAGGCGAAGGTGAAGAGGAGTCTGGAGAAGACAACGGGGACGAGTCTGATCCTAAAGGCTCACGTTTGTCACAGCGCATCAAGCGCTCCTATGAGCGGAGCACAGGTCTTCGAGAAGTCGCAACAGCCCCGAGCTCTGCCTCCGAGAATGACCGTGCACGTCCATCAGGACCGCAAGGCGAAGAGCCCGGTGCAGAACAGGCCGGTTCTCAGCCCGACCAAGACGACGGTAACCCGGAGAATCCAGATTATGACGACGACGAGCTAGAGCGTGAAATGCTTGCCGCCTTCGAAGACGACGATCCCCAAGCAGAAGAGGAAGCTGCCGCCGAGAATGGGTAGTCGTTGCACCAGTGCCACCTTCATCTTCCCTTCATCTCTCATTGTATTTCCCCGGCTCTTTGATTCGGCTTTGTCATATCTCACTTTCTGGGTTGTGCAGTAGCGCTGCTCTCCTGGCATAGCGGCGGCGTTCATCCGTGTTGATTTGTTTGTGTATCTGCCTGCACCGGCTGTGGATCTGTATTTCTGATCTAGAATCGATGCTCAATACAAGTAGGTGGACACCCCAGTTTTTGTTTCTGTATTATTTCTGAAAAATTGAATATGTTATTTGTAATCTTGTGCATGTCCTGGCTAGAAGGGGCGCGGACCATGCTACGTAGGAGGTCGGTGGTCCAAATAGCAATTCGTATAAGCTATTGATATTGATATCCCGGCATGTCATTCTGCATAGGCACACTAAGCACGGAGAGATGAACGTCAATATCACTTTTACACTCACTCGATGCTCTTACGGAGGATGAACCGAAAGATGTCCCCAATAACCGTTTTATATCAACCGAGAGGACGGAATGAAGCTTCCCATGAACATGATAATGCATTGGTCCATTCAATTAGGGAAGTGAACTAAGAACAGTTCCCATCGAGTCATTGAACATATACAGAGAGGAGGAATGGTACAGGGAGTGAAAGCAAGCGCCAGAAAACAAGACCGGAAAAATTCGCAACACCAGCAGATAAAGACGAAAAAACCCGTGATTGCAATTAGAAAAATACACCGAGGCAAGAAGGGAATCGAGAAAGAAAATTACCCATGGTCGTCACGGGTCACCAGAAGCGTCTGGGTTTGTCCATCTTCATGCTTTTTGTTCCTGCCCTTTGCTCTCTTACTGCTTACTGCTGATCCCTCGCTCAAGTTGGGATCCGCTCAATGCTTTTTGTGTCCATCCCTCACCCGTGAGAGTGGCCAGTGGAAAGATGAATGGGATGAATGTCCGCTCAGAAGTTTCGCTCAGAGAGGAACTTGAGGATTTCGGGTTTGCGCCAGCCCTACCACGGAGAAATCAGTCTTATATTCGCGGCAGGTTCGCGTGGAACGGGTAGGAAATAACATACCTTGACAATAATATGGCCAGTAAGTCGGTTGATAGACACATCAGGGCTTCGCACATCTACGTCCAAGGTATATGCCAGGTCATCGCGCAGTGCATCCAGATCACCCTCCGTCTTCTGGATCTTGGTGAGTTGCTTAGTGCCGCCGGCTTTTGTGACGAGGTAGACGGGTAATTGGTTGGAAGCTGTCCGGCGAACAAAGTAGGGGAGGTTGTTGAGTTGCGCGGCTGACTGCGGCTTCTTGGCCTGATTCGGAGAGATCGGAGCCGAAGGTGTGACGGGCTGTTCTTTAAGAGCTTGTGCCTGGCGCTGGAGGTAGGTGAGGAAGCCACGCATTTGACGAGAGGAGGAAGTCAGGCATGGTGAGGATTGGAGAGAGACTGCAAAGAGGAGATTAGTGTTAGATTCGAGTGGTGTGATCCGCTAAGGTAAGATATCGACCAAGCGCTTTTTCTTCACAACAGGTATAGAGATACCATAATGTGGCTCGTCGCTGGCAGAATTTGCTATTTGCAAATACAATAGGGAAAAAATCAAGGGATTAAAATCAAAATTCAGACTTACAGGATGTAGGCCGCGCTGGAGAAGATAATGAAGAAAACGGGCTAGATGTCTGCACGGAAGCCGCGGAGCGAACAAAACCACGGGGGTTAGCAGCCTGTTTGCACACGGCCGAAGCAGCCACAGCTGAATTCCGGAAATACGCCATTGAGCGGCGACGTGGGCAGGAGCTAAGAACCTGGAGAAGAAAATGGTCAACACGAGACCGAACGAAGCAGGTTTCTCAACCGGGTTCTGCCACCGCCCTGCAACCCGAATGGGCTTAGCGCGGCCAACCCTCCCGCACACAAATTCAAAGTTGATCGGATTGTCTCTTTGAAGCACATCCCAACGTCCATCATGGCCACCACCGCCCCCGCTGAGGGCACTCGTCCGACCGACTATGATCTGATGCCCCGGATCATTCCCTACCTCGACCGCCACCTGGTTTTCCCCTTGCTCATGTTCCGCAGCGAGGAGGACAATGAATACATTCGGCTCGCCTACGAACTGCTCAAGCCCACCAACATTGTCGGCTTCAGCGAACAACTATGGGGAATGTTCAACGACACCGAGGCCCCCGCGGAGTTGAAGAAGAAGGAGGCGGATATCGCGGCTGAGAAGGAGCGTCTTGAGGCCAAGACCGAGAAGATGAACGCGGTTTTCGCGGACGAGGAGGTCTTGAACAGCATGCGCAGCGACAAGGCTGCCAACTTCCGCTTCCTTGAGGAGAACTACAACGTCACCAACGAGATGGTGAACGACCTCTATGACTACGGCCGGTTCCTGTACAGCACTGGCGACTATGGAAATGCTGCCATTACCCTGTTCCAGTTCCGTTTCCTGTCCACCGATAACGAAAAGCTCGCCTCCGCTACTTGGGGTCACTTGGCATGCGAAATCCTGAACGGCCGGAACCGTGAGAACCCCGCATGGGAGCAGTCCTTCGAGGCCGCACTGGGTGAGATCCCCAAGGTGAAGGACTCGATCGAGACCCGCCTGTTCAGCAACCCTCTCGGCCAGCTCCACAGCCGCTCATGGCTCATCCACTGGTGCTTGTTCCTCCTCTTCGACCACGACTCCGCCCGCGACACCATCACCGAACTCTTCTTCTCCCCCGCCTTCATCAACACCATCCAGACCAGCTGCCCGTGGGTCCTGCGCTACCTTGCCGCTGCCGTTGTCACCAACCGCAACCGCCCTCACAAGCACAGCGGTGTGTATCCCAAGCAACTGAAGGACCTGGTTCGCGTTGTGCGCCAGGAGGGCTACGAGTACAGCGACCCCATCACCGACTTCGTCAAGGCACTCCACATCGACTTTGACTTCGAGGAGGCCCAGAAGAAGCTGGGCGAGGCTGAGGCCGTCCTGCGCGACGATTTCTTCCTTCACGGTCAGGCCGATGCCTTCATTGAGGCCGCTCGTCACCTCATCTCCGAGAGCTACTGCAAGATTCACCAGCGTATTGATATCAAGTGAGTACTGAAATAATCGAATATCAAGAACCAAAATATCTAACCTCGCTGCAGGGACCTGTCTACTCGTCTCGGTCTGAGCGAGGACGAGGGTGAGAAGTGGATTGTCAACCTCATCCGCAACACCCGCGTGGATGCCAAGATCGACTACAAGGCGGGCACCGTCATCATGAACCACCCTCCCCAGTCGGTGTACCAGCAAGTCATCGAGAAGACCAAGGGTGCCTTCTTCCGCACACAAGTCTTGAGGTATGTTTCTCATCTACCTCCTGGATAAACCCGCGAAACAGAAATCACTAACGTATCTCCAGTTCGGCTGTCGCAAAATAAATTCCCTCCATGAGCTGATGCCAAAAACCGACTTCTTCTTTGTTATTATCAAACCCTGTTTTCTGCCTGCCCGGTTTAGTGATCTCCCCGTGTATGTCACAACACGGATCTTTCGCGATAGAGAACACCGAGCAGAGTGGCATCCGGCTGGCGTTCTTAGGTGGTCCACCTTATTGATGTTCCTTTTTTTTTACCTCTTAGTCCACAGTCTCCGATTCCTATTTTTTACCCTTCTCTGTCGACCGATATTTTCTCTTGTTTGGTCTTTGTTGCAAGAAGGCCTTCAGCCCCGGAGGTCTTGTGGAAAGAGGGGATGTTGGAAAAGAAACCAGGGGAGACACGGCGCTCCCGCCTTGAAGAAAAAGAGACGTGGTTTATGTAGAAGACCCCTGATATTCGAGGGTCTAATGGATCTATGCTGTTACGAACGGTCTATAGAGATGAGTGAAAATGATGTCTGACAAATATCTGCTCCAGTGTCGTTGAACGAGATTCAGTAATGAAAGTAAAACAGCCCATGTACTCTGCGCTTTAGGGTAGGGTATCGTTAAGGAAATGGGCCCGACAGTTCCGTCCGCTATAACTTCACGGAGACATTCACTATGTCCCGGTCGTCCTGAGAGGATCCTGATAACCAGTATGGGTGCACGATTCCCATCCATATTTCAAGGTCTCGGAATCCGGGCGCCTGCATGTCCGTGGATTATGAGCCTGGATTGGGCGAACAAAAGGGGATTGAAAGCACAAGGGTGCGCTCTTCGAAAGATTGTCAAGGGCCAGACATCACAGAAAATCATCTGAATTTCCTCTGGAATGACTGGGAAAATCCATGGAGAATCCAAGAAAACAGGGCAATTGTCCCCTAGGATATGCATCTCAACGGCCGGGGCCTCTCGAGTCCGGCTCCCGTCTGCGGCTTCGATTTGGATCCACGGGAATGAGCTCATTAATATAAGGTTCCGGCTCTCTCGACGATCCTTCATGAGTATTATGACCGGTGGTTTTCTGGTTGGTCATGCGCAAAGCCTCCTGCTTCTCGTACTCGCGAGACATAGCCGCCAGATCATCGATTTGTTCCTGGAGCAAACACAAATTAGCACACCGGTTCTGTCCCTCTTTTTATCGTTCTCAGCAGAGACAGACCCGTGTGAGAGGCATTCCAGTGATCAGATAACCTTCGCGCCCCTTGAAACATTGTCAGATATCTGGTTAGAGCCCGTTAACCGTGGCGCGCCGCGGGAGGTCCGATCTGATATACCTGGAGGCTATACGGTCTCACTGATGCGGATGGGCCCAGGAAGTAGTGGATGTGTCCTAGGACGATATGGCGGGACAGTCCGTAGCCCGGGAGCCAGTATTGCTGTTCTGGCGGCATTGGGTCTTTATTGTAGATCGAGAAGGTTCGGAAGGATCAGCGGGTTGGAACCAGCTCAACCCAACGGGAAGACCAGCAGACACGAAGATCTTTGTATCTTTTCTTCCAGGGCTATGGGGTATAAATAATAGGCCACGGCTACCTATCGCCCCTCCTCCCCCCTCCGCAGCGGTCAATAGAGAATTCAGCCGGAAAGCCAGAGACGAATGAGACTAGCGGAGCTGCAGTGCACCTGCGTCCCTTCTCAATGTTATCGGAGACTCGGCTCAAGATCCACCTCCGATCTCAGGACAAATGGAAAGCGCCACGAAGACAAATCCCAACGAACCGTCAGGGGCGAGCAGCTCAGGGGGATTCGATTCGCATCGGAACCGTCGGGGGGTTGTGTACGTTAGATGGCCGCCTCACTCTATCAGACAACGAGGCCCAACCCTTTGGTATTCTAACCCTATCAGCCCTGTTTTTATCAATGAACCTATGCCCGGGCCACTGTTAAAAGTGAGGCTTGCTGGGAAATGCTCGAATCAGCAACATGGCCGAGATGCCCCTGTAAAGGAGATTCCGGGCGATTTCCTCGTAACCCTTTTCCTCACCGCACGTTGGGGAATCCCCGGCCATTTTGGCTCTTGCTGCGGTGATGTCGTGGCACCATGGGGCTGCGCTGTTTCGCGGGGCCCAAACTGAGCTGCAGGAGGAAAAGCTGCATCTTGCACGATTGGGATAGATGGATGCTTTGCCCGGCTGGAACAGGTTCGATTGACGCCGAACACATGGCAGATGCAGGTGCCGTTACGATAGGTTCGAATCCAGGTGTTTTTCATCTCACGGTGAGGTTGCATCGTTTGACTATCGCCGGGCTCCAATTTCTTGCTGTTTGGCCGCGGCCGTGAACGAGGTAGTTGAAGAGGGAAGTCGAGGGGAGTTGGAGTTTCTAATCAGATGTGACGAGGTGTGCATATTCAACCGTCATTGGCCTGGCGTTTCTACCGTCTATACAGAAGCCAGATTGGCATGCATAGTGTCATGTATTATTCTCTAGTCTTTTCATAATTCGTCCCGGATAATCTCATCTCGTATCCTCACAGAATCAACACCCTATTGCGGAGGGACATACGGGTGTACAAGCATGTTGCTGAACCTAAAGTGAAGAGAGTTAGTCTGGTTCACCACCAGTACAAGGTCAACCTCAACTTACTTCTCCAACTTGTCCTTTCCACGAACTTCCTCAACCAATAGCGGCATGCGAACCACGTTGAAGTCCTCGTACAGCTCCTCGATCTGCTCGAGATACTTCTTCTGCATCTTCCTCCGCGCATTGCACTGTTCGCAGCTGCTTCCATCCTTGGGGAACAGCAACTGGTTGACCACAATAGAGTGGGTATCGATGTTGTAGCTGGTCAATTCCTGAATCATGCGCTCAGTCTCGTACAGCGACAAGAACTCCGCAATGCAGACACACACAAAGGTGGTCATGTCTGGGTTCTTGAATTGTGTGTTGACCTCGCTAATCGTCTCCCGCAACGACTCCATCTTCTGGAGCAGCTCATCCATGTTCTGTCCACCGGGCAGACCACCGCGCGCACCGAGGATCGAGTTCAGCATCGGGCCGAATTGCGACGACAGCTGCGAGAGCTTGGCCAGCGCCTTCTCGAGCACGGTGGGGAACTGCAGGAAACGCAGGGTGTGTCCAGTCGGAGCGGTGTCGAACACGATCACTTCGTACGAGAGCGACTTGACCTGCTTGAGGACTTCGGCAAACGACATGGCTTCGTCAACACCGGGGATCTGTGCGGGTTGATGGCATGATTAGCGACTTCGTAATCGGTCCAGCGGGGTCTGAATGCCACTCACGCTGAACGCTAGGTCCTGCATCATGTTACCCATGCCCATTCCGGCCATGGGGTCTTCCTGTCCTTCGCCGTTGGCCAAGAGATCCTGGATACTGCCGTTGGGGTCAATCTCCATGGCGCTCAGGTTATCGTAGCCGTCGATGAGACGGGCTTCCTTGCCAAATTTCTGGCCGAAGGCATCGCTCAGGTTGTGCGCGGGGTCGGTCGAGATGAGAAGGACGGATTTGCGGACTTTGGCGAGCTGGATGGCCAGCGAGCAAGAGGTGGTGGTCTTGCCCACACCTCCTTTGCCTCCAACGAAGATCCAGCGCAGGGTGTTCTGATTGAGGATCGACTGGAGCGTAGGCTCCATGTCAAGATCGTCGCTCTGGACGACGGCGGAGGAGGACATTCTGGCGGTGCGGACAGAGGTGGGTTGGAGATGGTGGAGGGAGGTGATGTTCAAAAATGACGGGTTTGCCCCGCAAAGTGATCGAACGTTCGGGAAACAGTCTAGACAGGAGTCAGGGAGGACAATTGGCAGTTCTACGAAGTAGAAATAGTCGCTTTTGCTTTTTTACCTTCTGCTAGTTATCTTTGTCCGTATTGAAGTGGAATCTGCGGTACCTTTCTTTGTCCAGTCAATTCGGTCTGTCCGCAACGCCAATTGGTACTGCACACTTCTACTTCGCTAGGAAATGACTCTCCTTTTCATCCATGAGTCTCAAAATTAGTTTTCCGTCTACGAAAAATATAGATATGAGCTATCTTCAGCTCTGCACGAGCCGGACGGTGCCCGCTCCACCCGCGCAGAGTGGTCCATGGCATCCTCCGCATCTATCGGTGCCCTCCGATACCAACGGACCATAGAAATGGCGACGCAACTCCCCTACTTTTTTTTACCTTTCCAACCACCTTATTCCCTCTGACCTGCTTGAATGGACTCCCGCGAAACTGATCTGGGCCGTATTACCAACCGCCTCGCTCTGCACCAGCAACACCTTGAACCGGCCCCGATCTCCAAAACAGCACCCAAGCAGCAACCACCCACCAAGATGGCCGCGCGCGACCCCATTACCTGCCATGTCCTCAACACTATGACCGGCACACCGGCTGCGAACCTGTCCGTCACTTTGACCCTGATATCCTCTTCCACCTCTTCCTCCAACCCCGTCACCTTCCGAGCTACCACCAACGCCGACGGCCGCGTCGCCAATTGGACACCCGTCGGCGGCTCCGCCTCGGTCCCCTCGATCCTCAGCGCGCTCCCCGCTGCCGATAGCAAGACGAACTGGGCTGTGCGCTTCGAGACCGGCCCTTGGTACGAGGCCCAGGGAATTGAAAGCTTCTGGCCTGAAGTGGAGGTTAAGTTCACGGTGAAGGGCCGTGGTCGCGAGGGTCAGGAGGGCTGGCGCCATTATCACGTTCCCGTGCTGCTGGGTCCCTGGAACTACTCGACATACCGGGGATCTTAAAATGGTATATAAAGTTATCAATCTGGATTGCAAATTTCTGAGAGATGGGAGATTGGTTTTTTGTAGATCTGTAAACTTGTCGCATAGGGAAGATACTCCTGTTCTTCAAAGCACCAAATAAGTTACTTTCATGTGGTGATAGTTTGGTGCAACAGAGAGCATAAAATGGCCTGAGGTTACATGAACAGGCAAGATGGCCGAGTTGGTCCAAGGCGTATGGTTCAGGCTCACCTGATCCAAGTTTCCATATCTCGTTTACGGGGCGTGGGTTCGAATCCCACTCTTGTCATTTCTTTTTGTTTTTTTGTGGTGTGTTTTCCAGGAGGGAAAGTAATGTGATTTTCAATTTAAAATTTTCGGGTTCTTTTTGAATCCAACGTTGACTCTTCTTTGTCTCTGCCTGAGCTATTGAATACCTAATTTGAGTATTCTATGACTCTATTGACATGAAGTCTCTTGTGGCCCCAAAAACAGTGTCAGGATATTGTTACTAGGAGAGAAGAACTCTTTTTGTTCAGATATGAGCCTTCTACTGGTATTCTTTGAACGTCATCCAAATAATTGATCGTTGAAGAGGTGCCGGGTGGAGATATAAATACTACAGCCTTGTTTGTAGAAGTGGCCGTAGACCAAGGCATTAGTGTCTGCCTGGGCGTTGGAGAAAAAGATCATAGCAAACCGAGGATGGAACGAAGATCGGACAGGGATATCAGATCAACACTGACGAAACCCCAGTTCTTCTGCAGCTCGATCGTGCCTGATCGACAGTAACGTCGCAGTTTCCGCTTTGTTTTGTTTGCGTTTCAGTGATTGACCGCCCGGAGTCCTAGCTAATCAGCCGCGTGTACACATCTTCTTTCCTCCAACTCAAAGCTTTCTGAAACCCCGCCCTGTTGCCAACGAGCTCGAATTATTTCTCATTTTGGTCGCCGCTATACCCTTACTGTCACCTTGCCCATCATGACGCTGGCCGAAGAGTTCCGCTCGAGAAATTTCAGTGAGTACCTGACTCGTCCTGGGGTGGCGGCTATGTCGATCAGCCCCATTCGGTTTACAGCCTTGCTAACGGTGTGTTCATTTAGGCATTTACGGTCAATGGTTAGTACTCTCATTCGCGTCGCCCCTTTGAGCGCCGGTGATCCCGAATACCACCGTGAAGGAGGAGTGTGGTGGTCTGACAGACGGGAGCCTGGAGCCTTTCAGAGCACTTCCCAGAGCCTCCGGGCTGCTGCTCTTCATTGCGAAAACGACCCTGACACATTCGACATTAGGACCGGTGTGCTGTGCATTATCCTTTGCTTCGCCCTCGGTATTGCCAATATCTTCACTCTTAACGGTTGGCACATTGTCTTCGCCGTCCTGTGCATGTGAGTCCAGCCAGATTCCTTGAAACGATGCGATTCTGACACCCAGCAGAGTTTCCGCATTCATAATCCTCTTCGTCGAAGTGCCCTTCCTTCTCCGAATCTGCCCGACCTCCTCCAAGTTCGATGGCTTCATTCGCAGAATCACGACCAACTGGATGCGCGCCGGAATGTACGTCATCCTCAGTGGCATCCAATGGGCCAGTCTTGCTGCTGGCAGATCCAGTCTTATCGCCGCCGCCGTCTTCCTCATCATTGCCGGTATTTTCTACGCGCTTGCCGGTATCAAGAGCCAGGAGTTCATTGGTAGCAAGACTCTGGGAGGCCAGGGTATTGCGCAGATGATCGTTTAATGCTTCTGTGGCTGGAAAGGTCCCTCTCTACTTTATCTTATCGGAAAGTATGCCTGCTAGCGTGACACCTGGTGGTTGACGAACTGGGTAGAATGATGAGATGCTCGATACGAAATTCTGGGAAAAGAAGCCTTGTTCGAGCAACATGCATTGGAATGCGTCACGACCTTGCGTTGATTTTAATTGTTGTCCTGTACTTGTATGTCTCTGTTGCGGTAAAAGAGCCTGCTCAACACACTTTTGTTTTGCACTGCGGACATATTCGGGGTTTCTTTGTGTATGGAATTAAGTCCATGATTATTCCCTATAGCTTCCCGAATGATTATATAGCTTTAAGTTCAAGAAGACTGTCTAACGGTTATACCTGTACTCTCTCTTTATCCACAAAGAACCACCAGATCGCAATTTTAGACCCCGGAGCACTCAAGGTGTTGGCCTCGTCCAACGACAGCCTACAGCTGCTCCATTCGTTTAAAAGCGCCATCCCCGCGGGGCAGATCAAGGACATTGAGGATCTACTCAACAAATACATTGACGTTACCTTGTGTCAAAACAATGCCGTCTTAGAATATAACTCGTCGATTCAACTTTTGCTGGAGGCCTTGCACACGCAGGAGTACTTCAATGGCCAAGCTCGTCGACTGGGCGAGAGACGTCTGGCTCTGGACCCCAACATTCCGCCATCGTATTTTAGCTCCGCAAAATGCGCGATAACATGCGACTGGGTCTAATGCAAGGTATGAACTACGAGAGCCGAGCCATCCAATACTGGGGGCTGAGGAAAAATCTGGAATTTTCGCAGCCCAGTCCCCACCGGTCAGCCTTGCAGCTCCGGCAGAGCCAGCAGTCTCTAGACGACGCCTTTGAAGAGAGTCTAAAAAAGTATGGTAGTAATATCCGAGAGACATGGCCCCGAAATGACACCCCAGCAGGGTCTTTTATATCGTCTCAGTCCCACGCAATTGTCGGCTCTCAAGAACCCTTAGCCGGGCGCCAAAGAGTCCCCTTCAAACTACATCGTATACATCAGGCTCACTGAAGTCCAGGGAGTGCACCGTTTGATGGGCTTGCGGATGTTCGCATCACCCAAGTTCGACTTGGCTAGCCGAGGTCATCATCGACAAGGACGATGCCGGCAGGCAGCCGCTTCTCGTGGAAATTATCGTACCGAATTTCATTTCGCGCACGACTTGGTGAACATTCAGTTCGCTTATGATACTGCCAAGACACAGGATATGGAAGAGTTCTATTCAAGGTTGTGTTCGGGAATCGAGAGTAACTGCAGCGGTGGTGATGAGAAGCCAACTGCCGCGACTTTTGAGCTATCGGCGCGTTTACCGAATGGCGGTTTGTTATCAAGGAAGCGGAAAATAAAGGTTTGGACATGCGCAATGTCATGGCAGTTTATATTGAGTTTGCGGGGCCAATTGACCGTTCTTAACTACATCTCGCAGTTAAAGATGTGAAGCGGCACTCTACAAGCAAGGCATATCTATAGTTCCTTCGAATGGCCTTAAAGATTTTTTTACTTTAAAGGATCAGCTTCGCTTGTTCCCTCGGCAGACAGACCCAAAAACGGACTATTAAAATAAGCAGATTGGAAACAAATTAACGGGAGGACTCCTGATCTACGTTTTCGATGCAACAGAGCCCTAGAACCAATACTAATAAGCGATCACCGATCATTCTCAAGTTGCCGTTCACCACTAGTCCTACCATTTCAACCTCCTCGCTATCGCTTGATTTGAGATTTCCACGCGAGCCTGGCACTTATTGAGGACATGACTCGGCCTTGCGATAGACTTTGAGGCTGTCGATCATCGATCGAGCTACGTTGAACCCTTGACGTGGGAGGCGTTAAGGTTGGGGGCGGGTGCCGAGTTATGTCATTGTGGAGCAGGCTGTAGGGGAAAAGCGGCGTCTCGCTGAAATCGAATGTGAAATGACCTCACAGGTCCGCTCGTTTGTATATAATATAAAACAGTGGGGATTTATCTAAGAGAGAGCAAAAATTCTAGTCCAAAATCGAGTAGAGATCCACCCTGATTGGGTGGTTCCCTGGATATACCCATTGCAGAAAAACCTGCTTTGAAACCGACCGAGTATTCCTAAAGGGCTCGGGAAAACTGATTCTCTCGGACTTTCAATGATCATGCGCGGATCGAATCCTCGAATTCTTCAATATGAACGGGATTGTAGGTCCTGATCCGCGTGCGCCCTATCGTCTGGCGCAAGAACGCGAGTTTCGCAAGTAAGGATTCACTACGTCATACATCGAGAGATTGATCGAAATCGCTGACCTGCCTCGCGCCAGGTATATACCGCGCGAGTATTCTGGATCGCAATTTGCTCCTTTCGATCATGCCAGTCGCCAAACATTCACTCCTCAGCCGTCGCCAGACCCGGCCTTGACTTCTTTTGCCCAGCTAGGTGCCATCCGTCTTGGAACCCAACGCGCTCTCGTCACCCTCTTCGATCGCACTCACCAGCATATCCTCGCGGAGGGTACTCCGTCATTAAGCCTTATCGGTGGAACCCCGCAAAATGAATGCGACAAGCTGCTACTGGGATCCTGTGTGCTCCCTAAAGAAAGAGGTCTATGTCACCATGTCGAGGGCCTGCCAGTCTCGGCGTGTATGCAGGGCGGCGAGTTAGTTGAGGGCGGCGCCTTGGTTGTTGGGGACGTGACCAAGGATCCGCGTATCAAATACAACGAGTTGCTGGAAACACTATCGGATGTCCGTTTCTTTGCCGCCGTGCCCATCATCAGCCCTCGCGGGCTCACAGTCGGTTGTTTTAGCGTCTTGGACACCGAGATCCGGACCTCGGATCTACCAGAACACTCTCTTCAGTTTATGAAGGAGATGGCTCAGGCCATTATGAAACACCTGGTAATGGGTCATTTCACCCATAAAAGTCGCCAGGCTGAACGAATGCTCGTCGGCCTGGGCAGTTTTAATGAAGGGAAATCCACGCTTCGCCATTCATGGCAAGAGGATAATGCAGCAGAAAACATTGGAGATTCAAAGGAGGGCCAGGCGAACAGCCAGCAACAGCGTGAGCAAGACGCCCAGGAGACCAATTCAACTGCTCTTGTCTCTCGCGGCCCGCGAAAAGCCGAAGCTTCTTCGGGAGCGGCATCAAAGGACAGCAGCCAAGGGGCGGAGCACGGCGAAAAGTCTGGGATAGAGATTTCTCCAAAGAATAAATCTATTCGAAGCGTGATTACTGGTGAAAATCCCCAGGAGGACTCGCATGAAAACAGCCTCAAACAAGTCTTCTCACGAGCAGCAAACCTGATCAGGGAGTCAATTGGAACTGAGGGTGTGGTCTTTCTTGATGCGCAAAGCGATCGCTTTAGAAAACTCGACAACCAAACCAGCCATAGAAGGTCGGACCCCGGCATTAAGAGTGACCCATCAAGCAGTGATGAAAGCACTGATTCGGGCTCCTCAACCAAGCACAATTTGACACCTGTTGGTCAGGAGACAGAAGAGGATCGTTCGCCCCTGTCCACATGCTTGGGATTCTCAAGCTCGTCGGGATCGACTATCAACAATGATTCGGTCACTGGCCCGCCATCGATGGTGCATGAAGCACTGTTAACTTCACTTCTTCGCCGATACCCACGTGGGAAGATATTCACCTACGACGCCAACAAATCCGTCTCTGATGAGAGCGACGGTAGCGCTTTGGAGATGGTCGGAACTGATTCCCGGGTCAAACCCATTCAACGAGAATCTTTCAGCAAGAAGAGCAAATCAACTTTCCAAAAAGACGCCCACCACCTGATCAAAATTTTCCCTGAAGCCAGGAGCATCCTCCTGTTCCCGATTTGGGACGCGGACAAACGGAAGTGTTTTGCTGGGACGCTGGTCTGGACGAATGACCCTGAGCTTGTCTTCACACTTGAAAACGAACTGATGTACGTTTCAGCCTTTGCCAACAGCATCATGGCCGAGATCAATCGTCTCGACGTGGAGATGGCGGACAAGGCCAAAACTAGGCTGCTCAGCAGTATCACTCACGAGCTTCGAACACCCCTGCATGGAATCCTGGGTACTGCGGATATCCTCAGTGACACGGCCATGAATGCTTTGCAACATGGCATGGTCCATACTATTGAATCTTGTGGCCGTACTCTTCTGGACACCATCAACAACTTGCTGGATCTCGCCTTCCTTGGCCAGAATAAGAAATCTGGGAACAATAAGTCTGGGAGCAATAACTCAGGAGAGAAGCAGGGTCAGATACCCGACGGCTCAAACGAAGGGGGTCGCGGACAACTTAAAGACCGCGGTGAAATGGCTACATCTTCGCATGTCAAGCTGGATGCGGTGCTCGAGGAGGTCACCGAATCCGTCTTTGCGGGATACAGCTTCTACAATCACCCCAAGATGCCGCCACCTGCCTTGACCGACTCCTCGTCACGCTCAGCCGGTCAAACGAGCGCGTCCAACCAGGCTGGCCCTCGGGCTAATGAGGTCACCATCATTTTTGACATCCAGCCCGACACGGAATGGGAATTTAACACCCACCCCGGTGCCTGGCGCCGCATTTTGATGAACGTCTTTGGTAATGCACTAAAGTATACCAAATCGGGCTATATCTACCTTGGGCTGAAGTCATCCGAGAACAGTACCTCTCGAGACGACACAAAATTAATCCCAGGTCCATCAGGGGAGCAAGTGGCTGAGTTTGAGATCACTCTTATCGTTAAGGACACCGGCAAGGGCATTGGACCGGAATATCTGCAGAAGGATCTCTTTACTCCCTTCATGCAGGAGGATTCACTCATGTCCGGGAGCGGACTGGGGCTGAGCATCGTCCATCAAGCTGTTGGATCCCTTGGTGGCTCGATTGAAATCAACTCTACTCAGGGAGTCGGCACTGAATTATCGATTCGGACTCCGCTCACCCGTTCCCTCGATGTCTCAGACAACGTTTCGTCGAGTTCGGAATTCCACTCTCTGTTGAAATACACTCAGGGAAAGACAATAGGGTTCTTAGGCTTTGGGTCATCCCTTAACTCTCAACGAGATAAGTCCCTGTATGAATCCCTGGAGCGATTGTGTCTCTACTGGTTTGGCTTGTCAGTGACGAACATGTCATCCTCACCAGGCAAACCCCTTCTCTTGGACTTCTATTTGGCCGTGCAGACAGAGCTGGACTGCGAAGACACAGGGGGCAGAGATCTCTTCGCCCTCGGAAAACATCTCGGTGGCGAAGACGGGAACAGCTCGCCGATCGTTGTCATCTGCCAATCCCCTGAGGAAGCACACCACATGTTTGTATCGACTAAGAACCGCCGAGAGGCGCCCGTCTTCGAGTTCATCAGCCAACCTTGTGGGCCTCGCAAGCTGGCCCGGGCACTAAATCTGTGTATTAAGCGACAGAAACATTCCCAGTCCGGTCGATCTAGCCCTGTCGAGCCGACCCGCTGGGTGGAATTGCCGGAATCCTCTCATCTTCCAGTGGATCTTGAGCCTAGCGATCCACCTGACGAAAGAATGAAGATTAGCAAGCGACCAACGACGGAGACGATGGGGTCGCACAGTCGATTGTCGAATGATGGGACCCAGAACGGGGCTTTTCAAAATGGGCCCCAATCGACCTCGTTTGCGAATGGGGTACAGGAAGACCGAGATTTCTCTAAGCCATCCGTCTTGTTGGTGGACGACAATGATCTGAATCTCCAACTCCTGTGCGCCTACACGAAGAAGAGCAATTACGAATACATGACTGCTCGCAATGGGGCTGAAGCCGTCGATATTTACAAGGCACACCCCAATTATTTCCGCGTTATCATCCTAGGTATGTGCAATTATTCCGTTTTACTACTTGCTGCAGGTACTAACAATAATTAGACATGTCAATGCCCATCATGGATGGCTTTGAGGCCGCTCGCCAGATCCGCTCCTTTGAGAAGGAATGCCGAGCCTCGCTGTCAGGTTCCGACCAGGAGGCTTTGCCCTCCCTCGCCATTGCCGCCTTGACGGGACTCGGCGGTACCGCCGCCCAAGAAGAAGCAAGTGCTTCCGGAATCGACGAGTTCCTTATCAAGCCGGTCAAACGGTCGGATGTGCAAAAACTTCTACAAAAAATGCATTCTCGGTAGACTGGTGGCTGATGATATATGAGCGACGGAACGCGCAGCAAGTCAAAAGACACCTTACCCCGTTTTTGGATCACAAACTTGGAGCTCCAATGTTCAGATGAAGGCTCGTTTTGGTTTTGCATCGCAGATACGATTTTCCTTGGCATTCTGTTAGAAAGCACTCTTTATATATGATGTACAAAATGTACACAATGTACACAATAGCAATGATATGTTGAAAGGTTTTTTTTCACTCTATATCCCACCCACTCCCCATCGACCAACCAACTCAATTGCAAAGTTGGATCCGTTCGAATCAACTGATCAGTATCACCGCCGCCTGGGCTTGGTCGTCCAAATTAAACTTAGACGGTCAATCACGAACTGTTTTGTATGTTTGATGGGCATCCACCATGGGAGAAAGTAGGCACCGTTTGACACAGGATAGTTTAAAGTTATAATACCAATTTCGTCAAATCTCCACATCGTCCGGGCAAGATGGCCGAGTTGGTCCAAGGCGTCAGGTTAAGGTCCACCTTAACACCAAACATTGGTTTCCTGATCTCGTTTACGGGGCGTGGGTTCGAATCCCACTCTTGTCATACCTTTTTGTCACTTCACTTTTCTCTTCACCTGTTTTTTTTAATATTTTTTTATTTATAATTATGGCTTCCATCATAGTGAAGTAATTACAAGCCTTGATTACTCTCATTTCCTTCCCTAAAGAAGTGGGCATAAGACAACCAGAACATGGCCTTACAAGCTCTTGGCAACACAGATTATGATTTGACGGAGAATCATGTGTACAGATACTGTATAGCAATCAATTGACACTCCACTCAGAGGACAGACACTTCCTCCACCTAGCTAGCACCGATCTCCAGAACAAAACTGTATCGATCTTCGCACCGCATTACACAGACCCTGAACATCCTCCACGAGTTTCGCAATCATTAACTCTTCGCGTGACCATATTGCATTCCCCCTCAGTAAATTACCTGGATTAACTTTTGCCATACGTATCCTGTCCAGGAACCACGTCAGAACAACCGGCAAGCCAGGACCCCCCGCGTCATACACCCGGACTAGTGCGGTGGTAATACTTGCGACGTTTCATAACGCTAAGATCGGCTGAGTGGGTCCTCAAATGTAGACCTAGGCCTCAGGATGCTCTCACGTGCCTCCCTCTTCCTGTTTTACTTGACCAATTTGTGGCATGGAAGCAACTTGAACGACTATCAATCATAATATTATTCACTACCCTAGCCACGTAGATACATTAGTGCGTAGCTGGAGTCGAGGAAAGAGACTGGATGATGCAATGCGGAGCGCTGTCGCTCACCGCCTCGGCTAGCGCAGCCAATCCAAGGGCAAAGAAATAATCCGCGCAGACCGATGCGAAGAGTGTCTTATCACGAGTCAAGATAGAGTCTAATTTTCAGTGAATCAGTGAACCGGATTGTCCACTAGCACAGCCACTGAGGTCCAAAAGGGGCCCCGGACCAACGCTACTAATACACTTCATGGGTCTGGCCCAAGGGATTATCGGTCCAATGCCCCTAGCCAAGGAGAGGCATGATTTGCCCCCGAATGAGATGTCGACCACTCACTCCACTCGGGTGAGGCATTTGGACAAAAATGCCGCAAAGATACTATTGCTTCTCAATTATAGGGCTATAGTTAATTCCTCAACTCAAACAAAGTGTAATTCTTAATTTTAGGGGGACTCGCCATCAGTGGAGATCGTAGATGTCTATATGTACGCAATGTGTCTACCGAGAAAAGCCGGGAATACCGAGTCTCAGTAACTACACGGTAATACGACGGTATTCTGGATTTGGGCTGGATTGGATGCGGTCAGAGCACGTCACGCGCCCGGTGGGTTGTGGCAGAAAGACCCTCATACATCATCCTCGCTGCAATTGCTTCACTGCTCTCTGATCTCCGTACTTTCTCCCTTTCCATTCCGCTGCCACGAATTTGTTTTCCGTTTCAATTGGTTCCGGACCTCGATATCGGGCATATCAATCTGGGTAAGCAAAATAGTCCATATCTGCTTGTCAGTTTTACCTCCCTTTCCCTCCCTCCTTGGCTATGGATTGGTCCCAATCCCGCCTTGCATCCGCATTTATGCAGGTCATTCAGGCGGTAATGCTCCATGATTTAACCGACTTACCTAAGGAGTTATTGGGCGAAAGAAAGGCCGAAATTTCACCCGCACGTGGCCATCGGGCTATGAATTGTTGGACCTAAGCTGATATTGAACCCCGGCAGCTTCAAAACGTCCTCCATTATGTCTACCCAAACAGCTCCGGCCATCCCCCCTCGACCGGCTCGATCACCAAAACCCCCTACGTCTATAGACAACAGCATGCCCAAGATTCCCCCACGTCCGAACCGAACCATGGACCGATCCATGTCTCCCATGCGGGATAGATATGCCCCATCCCCGTTCAACGAGTGGAATGGCCCGAGTCTCAGCCGAACCACCTCGAACGACATTCCCCAGCGCCCTCCGAGTGTGACAATACCCTCTCTGGGTGAAGAGGGCATCGAGTATGCCGATCTCAATGTGGGGAACGTGTCCGATGGCCTTAACCAGGCGCCGGCAGAGACTCGTAACGTTAGCAATGACCTTCACATTCATGCGCCGAGGCCCTCTCTTCCCACATCAAGTGCTAAGGCAAAAGTGCAGGCGGTAACCCGTACGGATTCCCGCCAGGCCGCAGCGGCGGGACTGGGTCACGAAAGCTCCCCCGCACGCGAGGAGCACGAGCGCCATGGTCGTTCGCTGCACTCCCGGGCGAGCCACTCGCGGGCCGAGTCCTCCACTGCTTCGTCTGATCGCCGACATTCCGCGCAGCTCGGCGAAGAGTCCGGTTTCCGAGTTCCCATGTACCCCAATGCGGGTGACGTCCAGGCGCCGTCCCCCAGCCCGTATCTAGACCAGGGCTCTCAGCAGCGACGGGGTCGCAACCACAACAGCACCCGTAGTGGTCGAGACACTTCTCTGCCTCCGGGTAGCTACGGACTTCACGGACACGGTGTCCAGAACAACGACAAGTTCGAGAAGGCATGGTACGAAAAACACCCCGAGGAATTCGTCAAGGAAGAGGGACAGTATGGTCCTGGTGTGGGCTCCCCTCGTCCTGATTGGGCATTGAGTAGCGATGATTTGAACAAGATCGTCCGAGCTCCAGCTTCGGCTTGCTCTGGTGGGGGTCAGTGATTTTAATTCTTGAGCTCTTTACCTTCATCAAACTGACAATTCCTAATTAGGCGCCTCGCCCGCTGCTATGGGCACTCCTGAAGAGGAGGTCGGCTACCTCGCTTCAGATGAATATATGCACCGCATGGCATCCCCAGCCCAAGACTCTCGATTTGATGCCCAGCCAGCCGTGGAGTCACCGCTGCGAAAAATGAGTTTCCCGGTCTCGGAGACTCAGCCTAAGAGCCCCATTCGACAATCGTCAAGCCATCCCCGGAGCAGCTCGCACGGCCATAGCGAAGGGGTGATTCATGTTGATGATCCAATGCATCACCTTCATCACCCAGACGGCTTCGCCCCTACTCCTGTATTTGAGGACCACACATCCGAGATAGAGGAGCCCATTGAAGAAGAGGATCCCATTCTTGCTGCCGATGAGGTGCGCCCAGAGTCCGCGTACCTGCACCCTGCAGTTTCTCCAACCTTTGAACACAGGGGAAGCTTTGATGAGGATGCGCATAGCCGGACCCCTAGTATCTCGCATAGTCGTTCCAACAGTAGGTCAGCAAGTGCTGGAGGTGCTCCTATGTTGACTCGCTTCGACTCGCGTGAAATGCACGACGATAATCACACGCCCTTGGAAGATGTGGAGGAATACGAGCCACTTTTTCCCGAGGACGAGCCAAAGAAAGAGGGCTCCATCTCAACAGCAGAACGTTTCAAGAATCGCCCAGACATGCTCAAGCACCGATTCCCCAGCCAAGATATTTGGGAAGATACGCCGAACAGTCTGCAGTACTATGCTACTGTGACCACCCCGGATCTCCCCAAACGTGATTCCTCCGAGGCCTTTGAGACACCTGAGCAGGAGGCCGCGCGCAGAATGCAGACCGATAAGTTTGATTCTCATAAGGTCGCTAGCCAAATTCTTGAGGGCGATGGTGTTCGTGGGAAGGGGAAACCTATGCGGCCAGAAAACAAGCAGCGGTTCCCCAGCCGAGACATCTGGGAAGATGCTCCCGATAGCCAGCAGCTGGTTACTACCGTCGAGCCCGCCACGGACGAGGTTAAGAGCCCAGAAGGGTTCTCAAAATCTTCAATTCCCACGCGTCCGCAAAAGCAGGCACAAGCAACCTCGCCCACAGAGAAGCGCCAGCCGCCGACGATTCCAGACCGGCCGAAGCCTCAAATCCCAGCTCGGCCTGCAAAGTCTAGCCCCCAGGCTTCAGCCGAGGGTGCAGCCGCACCCAAGGCGAAGCCCGCAGTACCGGCCCGACCCGGTGGCAGCAAGATTGCGGCTTTGAAGGCAGGTTTCCTCACAGACTTGAACTCACGTCTCCAACTGGGCCCCCAACAACCCAAACCCCAGGAGAAGGAGCCCGAGCCAGCAGCTGAGAAGCAGCCGTTGAGCGATGCACGCAAGGGAAGAGCCCGTGGCCCAACTCGGAGGAAGCCCGCCGTAGAGAATGCCAATGCCAGACTACCCTCGATCCCGGAGATCAAGATTACTACGGCATGGAATGTATGGTCTGTTGGCGAAGACGGTGATCTGACCGTCGGCAATGAGGCCTCTCCCAGCAAGATCAAGTCCACCATTCCGTCCGAGCTCCCCGCCGCCCCCGAACTCGCCAAGAACACAGCTGGTGAACCCGTCGATCCAACCCCGGAATCCACCGTGGGCGAGGTCGTCTCACCCGGCACCATCGAACCGTACGTTGACTCAATCCCAGCCAAATCTCCCGAGACCTCAGAACCAGCCGAAACCCCAGTGGAAGCCGCCGAGCTCGCACCTAAGAAAGACGAGCCCGAACAATCACCGCCCGGGGCCACCGCTCTCGCTGAGGCAGTGCCAACCTCTACGAAGCTGGACAAAGCTCTAGAGGACATGACCGCATCGGCAGATGGGAAGCGGACGTCCGACGGTGACATCCACGCGAAGGAAGAGTCCTGATTGCGGTATTAATTTCCAATTCTATTTCATACCTTGTCTTCTTCATTCGCTTTACCTGTTTATGACCTCCCATTGTCGGGAATCCGTGCCCAGCTTAGCTGGGCACAGCTACTTATCCCACAGTGCTTTTTGTTCGTGCTTTAATGAGTGCTTCAATCAACAAATCCATTCATGTGGTATCTTCTGATGCTCGACCGCCCCGAAATCCCCTTTTTTCTTGCCCGGCTTGCGTTGCATGTTGTGCATCAAGGTATACACTGTTTCAGTGCTGTAGATAAAGAGTCGATTCGGATTTAGGGCCTAGAGTACTACAGCTAGATAAGTCTACACAGAACAAAGAGTCAAGCTAGAATGGGTGTATTGCAACTAGCGTTTTGTGTCTTGAGCAAATGTACATCTTAGCGAGCACCACGATCTCAAGAGGTGTGTCGTAAACCAAGGGAAAATAAAAGCAAATTTGTTTTTGGAATAATCTCTCTTTTCGATTCTGGGGTATTGCGTAAATCAAATGTTCCACGACGTGGTGATGTCAGGTTGAGTACAAGGCAGGTCATATTCCCCACAGGATGACCGGGGCTGACCGGGGGTATTTTTTGGTTGAATTCTTTTGCGGCGAAAACAAAACCATGGAATAATCATTAGGACTGGGGAATGATGTAGAGACCGTGACTGAGCATTGGTTGCTTATTTCAGCGAAATGCAAAGCAGCAGAGGTGTGCCGTTTCGAGCATTTAGCTCACAGGCAACTTGGACATGTCGCCCTTGCCATCCTTGATCCACTCCGGATCAATCAAGCGCTCGCGCTCAGCGTAGAGCTGCTTGTACGCTCCGCGGATAGTTCCGTCACTAACATGTGCCACCTGAGAAATTTCCTTGGCAGACTTGCCGTGACCCATCAGGTACGACGCCATGTAGATGCACGCCGCGACGATGGACAACGGGGAACGGCCAGCGAGATCGCCCATGCTGGTGACATGGTCAGAGAGCGCAGAGGAGACACTGGTAACCTGGTAGGGCAGGTCGAGTAGGTTGCAGAAACGGTTGCAGAGCTCGCTGGGCTTGGTGGAAGTGGTAGTGGTGTAGGTGTCGTTGGGGTCGACCACACCACCCATCGACAGGATCTGGGCCTGGCGGTCGATGTTTTGTTGCTGGAAGAACTTCTCCAGCTGCTTGTAGATACGGCCAATCTCCTTTCGGGTAACTTTGGTCATGGCGAAGATCTCGGTGAATGTGCGAGGCACTTTGCATTTGCGGCATGCAATGAAGATGCAGCCCGCGATGATCACGTCCTGGGACTTGCCCTTGAATGCCTTGGCGTCGTCCACGATCTTGTAGAGCCACTTGGCGGTGGTGGCCACGTTCGTCTGGATGTTAAAGCCATCGCACAGGGCACCGATTTCCTTGTAAGCCGCAAGAAGCTGCTTGTTCGCCTTCTCGCTAGACTGCTTGTTCTGAGCACGGTAGAGGTCGCGAGCACGGCCCGAAGCGCCACTAGCGATCGAGGTTTCAAGCTGGTCACCGTTGAGCAGCGGGTTCGAAGCATCTCCGACACGGGATGGGTCATCGTTGTTTTGATCGTCGTTGGAGAAGGTACGCCATTCGGAATGCATGTCGATCTCGCGATCAGCCAAAACCAGGCCGCAGGAGCCGCAGACAGTCTCGTGGGAGTCAGGGAACTCCAAATTGGGAGGCACCTCCTTGCATTCGGGGCAAATAATGGTGGCGGAGAGGTTTTTCTTCCACGGGGTGGTCGCATCGGACCCCGCTACAGCAGGCATGGCAGCCATTTTCTTCGCGTTTCGGATATCCTCAAAACGTTGCGTCTGTCTCTTGGCGACTTTCCTGGCACTTATTCGATGATTATATTTGCGATAACAACGAAACCACAGTGGCGAATACGTCTTGACGGTGGTGGTCTGCAAACAAAAGATCCTTCTAGTGAGCAGAGCTCAGTAGGGAACAGGAAACGACGGCTTGTATCCTCAGGATGCGAGCCACTAGATGCACAGTCATGTTAGTCCATCGCTTTCACCGTCAAAGGCAAAGACGAGCCAAAACAGGGCCATCGGACGATTCATCCGCAACGCGAAAAGACTCCTCTTTGAGGCTGTCATTACCTTTCAGATCGTAGCCACTCGCAAGTTGAAGTTGATCACCCCCCGGTTGTGAAAGAGCGCTGGCAAAGCCTTTGTTGGAAACGAAAGGTCACAGAAGCCTCGAAGCCTCGGCGTGTCCGACCACGATGAACCAGTCAAGGTCTCCGTAAGAGGTATCTCACGAAAGAGGTCGCAGAATCTGACGGGTCGTTGCAAGCGAGAAGAGCAACGTCGAAAGTCGAGTTCCAGGAAACAAGCAGAGGGGGGAGGGAGGGGGGGTGAATGGAGGGAAGGGGAGATGATCAATCAATGATTACTGAAAGCCGATCCTCAATAAGGCAGCACCAGGCAGGTGTGGTCACGTGTTAGTTGATTTGATGACTCAGCGCCAAGGCACCCGATTCCGAACAGAAGTCGTTTTGATCCTCAAACTGCACGGAACGACGGATCAGATCCATCTTGTTGAGCACCACCCCCTCATCCCCCTCATCGACAATCCCCCCTGTCAAGATGATGTCCCAGACTCTCCGGGCTTCGGTGAGTGCGAAATGATAATGATGCGCCGCTGGACATGGCTAATGCGAACTCTCGCAGCGCTCCCTCTTCACCCGTGCCGCTCGGCAACAGGTCCCTGTCGCCCGCACCTTCCTGACCTCCGCCGTCCGCCGCGGTATGTACCTATAACGATTCTCTCGGACCATCTCCATTGATGGCTACGCAATCCGATCGCCCGTTCGCTAACATACCCTTGCAGCCGACCCCGTCCAGGACCTGTACCTCCGCGAGCTCAAGGCCTACAAGCCCACTCCCATCAAGGCCGGTGACGCCGAGGAGCACGTCCAGAAGTTCGCTCTTCCCCAGGCCCCTGCTTCTCCCGAGGAGGCCAACCTTGCCGGTGAGCTTTCCGCCTACGAGAGCCAGGAGGTCGAGGTTGAGGGCCAGGCCGCCGCCGGTGAGGCCGCCCCCGCCGAGCAGCACTGGTTCGAGGAGGACGAGGAGGAGGCTGCCGCCGCCCACTAAATCTCCTTTTCGTTTTTGGCAAGGTCTGGGGAAATATGAGAGGACGGCATCACTTATCTAGCCGCCTTTCTTGGTCCTGAAGCTTGTAAATTAGACCACATTTGAACGTTGATCCTTTTTTACTATGTTCTCAGCTGCTGTTACATTTCTCATGGGTGACTATCCGGTCGACTCGGTATGCTTGACGTGTAGATTTGATACAGGAACCTCCTACCTGGGCACTTCCCCGGCCCTAGGTCACGCTACTCGCGGACACCGGTTTGCATAAAGATATTGCCACTCAATTGTCCACGAGTGACGCCCAGCCTCCTCATGCATCCGAAGCTATCTAAATCACCGCAACTAAGCAGATCAGCCAGCCTTTTTTGTCCCATGTCTCCCTTCGGTCGGCTCCGGGAATCGGATGACGGTTTTACATTTCGGTTGAAAAAAACAGGCATGGAGAGAGTGATTCAAATATAGTACCTCCAACCCTTTTAGAAATGCCGAACAGATAGCTAGACGAGGTGCACGGGAAAGTCGATGCATACTTCGGACATGCCTAAGCCTGGAAATATGCGAGAAGTCGCAATTGAGAATCGAATCGTTTGCAGGTACATTTGACCCAATCGCGACTGGTCCGACGCATACCCTAAAATAAGAAAAACCAGCTATTATACGGAGTACATAGAACTCAGTTGGAATTAGAGCAGTGAAAGTAATAGACGGCGCCGCCCGAAAGGGATTGAGACAGCTCTGACGCCAGCGGCTGCCATTAGTAGATATCTAGCATACAGTACTTGATCTGTGCAGGTCATAGATCTGGGCTATTGAAACTGTCCTGTCAGGTTTGCAGAACATGCGTGTTCATCATGATCAATAGGATATCTCCGAACAGGGGAAGAACCCAGGGGAACCTACCACCCTCTATAGATTACTCCGTATAATCGAAAAACTGGTTTCCACGAGAACAATTTGCTCCGTAATTACCCGAGTCAATTGAGGAGGCACGAAAAAAAATCAAAAGAAAAAAGATATGACAAGAGTGGGATTCGAACCCACGCCCCGTAAACGAGATCAGGAAACCAATGTTTGGTGTTAAGGTGGACCTTAACCTGACGCCTTGGACCAACTCGGCCATCTTGCCTGGTACTTGTTATTTTTGTCCAGAATTGCCAATATGATGGCTATCCTCGTGGAAACCCAGAATTCAAGAAGATGAGGCGTCGGCGTCGACCATGTTCTTCTCACCAAGCCATCACGGTGGATCCGAACGCCCTGCATCATTCCGTGATGTGATGCATTAGTGGAGAACGCGAGCTTATTTCCGTGGCTATCTCTGTCTCCGAATTTTGACTTTCTTTTTTGGCTCGGCGTTTTCTTTGTAGGGCGGGATGGGGCGTTCCGCAACGAACTATTGGGTACACTCGCAGATCCAACCTCTCCCGATCCGCAATAGTCTGGGCAGGGGTGTGACTATTAGTGAATAGTCAGAACTTGCGCATTGCACAAAAGTCCCTGGATACACTGGGGCAACCGAGCCAAACCCAAAATCCACGGCAGGCATAGGGGGCTCATCCATCGCTATTTAAGCATCTCCCAGAACCCCTGCAGCGCGGATTGTGATCGGCTGGACATCGTGATCCGAATAAGCATGCACATCGCCATGTACATGCGACGATAATTTGATTGTGATCCTGGCCGGACATCGTGAGAACTGGACATCTGAAAAACTGGAAGGATGAACGAGGCGAACGGGCTATTTCCCTTTTTTGGAGGAGAATGCGGGGCAGGATACACCTTTGTCTGCTTTGTTCGAATCTGCCCTATACATTCCTCGCCCATACAGGTACAGTAAGAATGTAAAGAAGCCAAGAATGACACCCATGGTTCGAGAGACAGTCGGAAGTGGCGGATCGGGTAACGAGTCAATAAGAAGTTGAGGTACACAACTTTGAACACTATATTCCCCCACGGAGTCCACATCACTGGGTGGTTGCCAACGGGGCTGAATCGACTAAGGCAGCTCCTTCGTATGCTCAGCCTCTCTCTGATAATAGAAATGGGCGAGATTACGCTAGAATGATGGCTACAGCTGGGGCAGCCATGAATGGGAGGATCTCGGTGGAGCCCGGAAGTAGCGTGTCTCACCCATAGCAAAGGGGGGAAGAGAGACTGGAGACTTGAAAATGATTCTTCGCGTTCTCTGACTTACCTTCTCCAGTTGTTCTATCTCAGTAAAAAAAAAAAAGAATTTGTGTTTTAGCCTCTACAAACCTCTCTACCTCCGCCTCCTCCCCCTTCCATTGACCCCAGCAATTATTTCCCAACCTCTATACTCCCTCACTTCCCCCGCCCGAACGGACCCTTATCCTTGCACCCTCACGAACCGCCCGTTGTGAGGAGATCCCCGCTGATCAGTTGCTTCATCGGACCCAGTGGCGCCCTTTCTAAGCGGGTGTGCAGCTGCATAGGCGATCGATCTATCCAACACTTGTCACCGACTTCTCTCCCTGCGCGCTTGCCGTTGAGTGGACCCGTCCTCTATCTGACTCGTCCGAGCTTCTGTCGCTAGCAATCTCTTTATTGAGAAGGCCCCCCGTTTGTTGTGGTGCCTTGTTTCCCTTCTTCGCCTTGCAATGCAGCACTGAGAAATCATACCGACGGGAATCTCTGGGTGCATGGAGGAGCTGGCCTTCTTCAACACCTCTCTCACGTCCACGCCCCCGGAGGAAATGTGCACTCGTCGACAGTCGCTCCCCTGACCTACCTCCCTCAAGACCATGCCTTTGCCCTCCCTCGAGACCCAGAGCAGCTACACCAACGACGACGGGAATGCCTTGCTCCCTCGTGCCGCCAGCTACACTGACCTCCCTAGCCAGGCCGTAGCTGACCAGCCGAGTCTAAGGCGAACCTTCTCCGACTACGCCGTCCCCACCCTGTCCGACTCGCCGACGAAGGAAAGCGTGGCCGCTGGGAAGGACATTCTACGACGGACATCCCTACGCTCCAAGAAAGAGCCGCCCGCAGCCGTTTCGCACTTTACGCTGTCGTCGTCGGAGGACCTCAAGGACACGGAGTCGCTGATCCCCAATGCTTCCAAGGTGCCGGAAACTAGGGCGCCGGAGCCGGCTGTACGGCCGTCAAAGAGTCGCTCCATGTCCGGGCGGATAGTCAGCCTCGCACGGAAACCATGGAGCTCTTCTTCGCGATCCCCGTCCCCGTCAGCCAAGAGATCGAAGCAGCGGCCTGAAGAATCCCCTACCACAACCCCTACCAAGACTGGACGAAAGGCGGAGATGACAGATTCAGATTCGGAAAAGCCCTCACGCAAGCGAACCATTTTGTATAAACGGCCGCGGCGGCCAATGCTTGCAGTGGTAGCGAAAGGAGGGAATGAAGAGACTCCTAGCTCGCCCAGCAGCCCGTGTGGTAACCCGCTACGGCAACGGACGTCTTTCGACAAATTCACGGCTTCTCTCTCCGTTTCAACACCGGTTCTCCCGCCGATGCCCAAAGGGGCCGCAGCAAAAGCGGCGGCAGCAGCCTATGTAAACAGTGGAAGTGATCATTCGCGCAAAAAAGACGAGCTCTGGGGCATTTTCCGCGGCCTCGAAGCGGATTATCAAAAGTGAGTTCAAAAGGTCCCAGTTCTATCATCGATTGCTGACCAGATACCAGGTTTCAATCCAAATCGAGCTCCTTGAAAGCCAATGTCATACGAACCTCACTCCTCCCCTTTCTCAGCCGCCATCATCTCCATGCATCGTGCAAGAATCTACGACCTGAAGACTTGGATCGCCGAGTGAATATTCTCAATAAATGGTGGATTGGCATGCTGGAGATGCTCAATGGCAAGAACAACCAGTCGATATCTGGAACCGACAGACCCGTCTTTCTGGAGGCAATTGTGGGCATCATGACTCGACCGGAATGGCGTATCCCCTTTCCCACCGTGCATCCGGACGGCGGACCTGCAGACTCGTTGAAACATGCTTCAACTTCAATATCAGAAACGTCTGATGGGTCCGGTTCGTCGGGATCGGGCTTTTTGGTTGAGTCGATTCATCATAACATCCGCAACATCTTCACTCAAAATCTTCTGTCTCAAATGCAGTTCGTGGTGGAACGGATGTCCATGAGACATGCTCCAGCTAGTCTGGTGGCCTTCTGTGGCAAAGCATGTGCGTACGCCTTCTTTTTCTGCCCCGGAGTAGCAGACGTTTTGGTTCGTCTGTGGAGCACACCCCCTGCTGTATTCCGTCGCATTTTGGTGGATTCTGCCAAATCTCGACTTGGCAATATGCGACCATACGCCCAGGAGCTTTCTTTGAGCTTCCCTGCGTCCCTACGGCCTCTGGCCTTCAGCTCACATGGACATTTGCTGCGATATTTGCGCAAGAAACCGGAGGCACCTCTGAACACCGCCAACATTCCCTGGCACGGTCCGTGGATAGCACGCTGGTGCGGCCGCGACACGGATCTTTTCTTTGTCTTTGTGAAATACATCCATATTTTGTACGCCGAGTACTTGCCGCCAGAGACAGAGAAAGCCATGCGGATACTGGCGCCCGGCCTGCTTCTCATCCATGCGCAGCTGCTGGTCGCTCTGGAGGACACAATCTACAAGCAATCGATGCATTTGATGACTGAGAACACTCATTCTGCAGCCGCAATCACCTTTGATGACTTGATTGAGTCACCAGATGCCTCGGCTCAGGCTCAGGCTCTCGGAGGTGGCAGGAACAGTAATCGATCCATGGCCGAAAACCGTCTGATTATTCTTCTGCGAGATTTCCTCTCTGAATCCTCTGCGGAACCAAACCGTGCTCGGTTGCTCTATGCTGAGACTTTCTGTGGAATTCTCAAGATCTCTGCGCAGCGGATTTCTCTATTCGACCACAATGCCTGCTTTCTTCTGTGTGACTTTATCGAAGAGATTATCCCGATCATCACGCGATATGCCCAGTCCATCGAAACCGAGTTGTTTGATTGGAGCTTCTGGTTGGATGTGTGTCGGCGGATGATGCAGAGCAATAACTCTCTGACTGAAGTACGGGTGTTTTCTTTCCTATACTGCGTCTGGGGCACCTGGACTGCCGTTGATGAGAGGAAAGCTGGACTATGTTTGGACTTTTTGTTACACGAGCCCGTCTTCTACCATTACTTCAACCACTGGAGTCCAATGGTACGCGCCTACTTCCACCGTCTTCTGTGCTGGCGACTCGGTCGTTTTAACGGGGAGCCTTCAGCACTCGACTCGTGAGTTTCCACTATCTTCTTCCATTGCCATACCCACTAAAAAAACGAAATAGTACAATATATGAGACTCTCTCTGAGCGGCTTCTCCGAGTTTGGGAGTTTTATATTGGATTCCAGTCCAAGGCTGAAGAGGGCCTTACTGCGCCTTTGTCCTCTGCTCCCTGCACGCCAGCCCCAGGGCGCCGAATTATCATTATTCGGTGCGACAATCAAATGTCCCCGGTGAACCTCTTTGTCTCTTTCGACCGAGTTGTTCCACCAACCCCTACTGACCAAGTCATGACGCACCGGCGGTCCGGCTCTGCAGACTCGACTGGATCGGATGGCCAGCCTGTCAAGAAACGATGGGGTCTTCTTCGGGCCATGTTTGGCAACTCAAATCTGCGATCCACAGATAGTGCAGGGGGTGGCAGCAGCTCAGATGAATCTGAAGGCGGCGCCGATCTGACAGTGATGCCCGAGAGCAAATGCTTGGAGAATCACGAGCCGAGCCCGAACAGCAGCACTGACCAGCTCTCCCGACCTAAAACTCCTCACCAGTCGTTCTTCTTCAAGTTCTCCCTGGAGTGGATGGACCGGCCACAATGGCCCACTAAGAACAAGCGGCTTTTCACACCCTGCCTCCCAGTCGCTTCCCAACTACACGTGCAGCACCGGCGCTCTCGAACGAAGTCAATCACCGAGTTCGACACAGTATCAGAAGGGGTGTCCACCGCAGAGAACACCGTGGATGAAAACCCTTCGGAAATCTCGACAGAGAAGGACCTTCCAGAACCTGTTCCCGAACCCCAGCCGAGGGCAGCAACCACCAAAAACTCCCCGCTTCCGGAGCTGCCATCCGCACCCTCCTCTGATCACCTCGTCCCTAGCAAATACGCAGGCCGTGCCCTGGCCGAGTGGGCACACATCGTCTCGGAATGCGACGGTTTCTTCGCACGACGACGCGACGAGGGTGTACCAACCGATCGCATGGTCGAAACGCCTACTCTGGGCGTCGACAGCTTCAGGAAATAGGTGCAACCCTTTTGAAACACGCTTCAAAACACCCCAACACTTCCGATCAAATATAGACGCCTCACGGCTTCCTGAGACCTGACACGCTTCGTGTTTAATACCGTTGGCTTCTTTTTACTTTTTTCTTTCTTCACACACCGTGTGCATCGCGGGATTTGGGGCATAATGTACCGGCGTTCAGAGTCTTCGATTTCGGGGCTGGCTGTTTTCTGTTTTCTTTTTGTTTGGAAGCGAGCGCACCTGTGGTAATCATAGAGAGCAGATGATCAATTGAAATAAAGAATCAAATTCACAATCCTATTGAGCTCTATTCTCCAAGTCTTATTTGTTGATTATATAGCTAGATCTTCTAATCCGTGGGGGTTTACTTGCCTTCCTTCTCCTCGGCCTTCTGCTTATTCAACAGATAAAGCAACGGCCCCTCCACATCCTCCCTGTCCATCATCACCTCGAGAATCCGTACTCCCTGCCCACTGTGCACGCGCTCATTCTTCAGAACCTCCCGCAACTCGCCACAAGTCCGCGCCGTAAACGTGTTCTGTGCAACGTGTTCCTCGTCCGCTCCGAAGTAATTCAGAGCCTGCGTATGCCGCCAGAAAGGCACGTCGTTGTACGCTTGTTTGCGACCGTGAATTACACGCTCGATCGTGTAACCCTCATTGTTGATAATGATGATCAGGATATTCAGCTTTTCCTTGATCATCACGCTGATTTCTTGGGCTGTCATCTGTATACTGCCGTCCCCGATGATCAGGGTCGTTTGGTTCGAGGCACCGCTTGCTTGGTTCAGTTCTCGCTTGGCGAGGGCGGCACCTAGTGTGCAGGGAAGCATGAAGCCGATTGAGAGCCAGGTTACGGCGCCGAAGGTTCGGGCTTTAGGGGGTAGTTTGAAGAATCGGCCACCGTAGGCTGCTGTGCCGGTTTCTGTGAGGATGATGTCGCCTTCGCCGAAAATTGGGTTGATGAGGCGGTAGAAGTTGTTCTGGGCGACGACGTCTGTGTCTTTGATGTCGCTGGTGGTCACCTCTTGCTTCGGGGGTCCTCCTTGTCTGACGACTCGGGAATCGTTCTCGATTTTCTTCAGTAGGTCGGCCAAGACGCGAGCGGGGGACATATCCTGGTAGACATCGCTCTCGATTTGAATGGTACTGTCCTTGAACGTGATCGCGGCTGCGTCCTTGGGGATTGTGGTCCCAAAGTAGCTGTTGGTGTCGCTGTAGTGTGGGCCAAATGTGAGGATGAGATCTGCGGACTCGAAGTATTCCTTTGATGGCTCGTCACCAAATCCAGCGGCATACAAGCCGTACACGTTGTCGTAGGATTCATTTACGAGTCCCTTGCCGTAGACGGAGGTCCAGGTGGGCCATTTCGTCGTTTTGATGAGAGTGTCAAGCTGATCCAAGATTCCAAGTGCTCTGCTTTCGCCATCCACCAAGATGACGGGTTGTTTGGCGCTGTACACTCGATCCACAATGCGGGCTAGGACCTGCTCCTCATGGTCTGGGCTGGGCACCTCTGGAATACGGATAGGGGTCTTCAGGTTTGCCGCCGAAACAAGAACACCGGGCATGTCATCGGGCAGTTCAAGATACACAGGCCGGCTGTGGATGAGCGCTTGCTGCAAGATCCAGTCAATCTTATCTGGCGCCGTGAGCGTGTCCGCCAGCGCAGTCTGAGCAGCGGTGATGTGAGTAGCCATGGCAGCAAAACGACCATACTCGCCGTCCGCGAAAGTGTGATGCATCAATGCACGCGAGGTCCGGAGAGGCCGCGGAGGGGTGCCAACGATGTGGATGACGGGGGATCTCTCAGCGTAAGCACATGCGATGCCGTTTGCTGCAGACAGCTCGCCGACGCCGAAGGTGGTAATCAGCGCCGATAGGCCGTTGATGCGAGAGTAGCCATCGGCGGCATACGCAGCGTTGAGCTCATTGCAGTTGCCCACCCAGTGCAGGCCAGCAGGCACGACGTAATCCAGCAGACGCAAGTTGTAGTCACCGGGGACACCGAAGACGGAGCCAACACCCAACTGGCGCAGTCGGGTGAACAGGTAATCGGCCAATTTGATGTTATCCGTCATGTTGAGTATGTTGATGTACCTGGTGAGATGCAGATGTAGGTGCAGATCGCATGTCTTATAAAGCCACTCGGGGTAACTATCAACATCTCCCCGCTCCTCCCCCACATCTTATCGCCGACTGGCCGATATCCCGTCGGTAGCCGAGGAATTTCTCTGCGGACAGAACTCCGCAATGGCAACGCGCCTGGCCGCCTGCGAGACTTGTCGGAAGGCTAAACAAGCCTGCGATCACGGGCAGCCCGTTTGCTCGCGCTGTCAAAGCAGCGGAGGTATCTGTATCTACCGCACGGCGCCGTTCAAGCGGAGGCGCACCGAGAAACCGAGGTACGAGTGACTCGAAACTGGGAATTGGGACTCGGGAATTGCGATATTGACATTTGACCCTACAGTCTACGCTCGCCAGACCCGTCGCCATCCTTCAGTCCCAGGCGAAATCCGTATCCGAATCCCGGGTACTTGGGCTCGTCCAGCCATGCCGCCATTTTCAAACATATCGCGTCCGACGACCACAGTCACAATGCCCCGGAAACGGAGGCGCCGCAATCGGTCGGTGACAACTACATGTTGCTGCAAGGTGCAGATGTCCTTAGGCACCTGCTAACCCGTTATCCACTGTCTGCTATGAAGGAGCTGGTCACGTTCTGGTTAGCCAAAGGAGCCAATCTGGCCCTCGCAGAGCCGTTCGTCGCACGATGTGCCGAGAGCGTGAGTCAGCTCTTTACACTCCATGATGACAACTGGCATTTGGTCTATGCGCGACGTTTACTGGAAAACTCCGCCAAGCCGCTGCAGTTCAACGAGCACTCCGATCTCGGCACGTTCTCGGCCCAGTTTCTGGATCATAATGCCCGATGGGAAACGCTGGGGATTTTCTTTGCGGCCGTGAGCAGAGCTACCATTGATATACCCTTCTTTCCATTGCTTTATACAGCTGAAGAAGATCAATATACGCTGAGGAGACTTGTGACCAAGCTGAGTGATTTCGCTCTGGAGGTCTCCCTTTCTCTAGACTGCTTGAATGATCTGCAGTTGATTGTGCAGTATGAGAATTTCATTGTACACTCCTACGTGGATGGTGACCAAAGTGAGTTCCATCTCTCTCTACTCCAAAAATCTCGATTACTTACCAATGAACTAGGCTACCACTCGTGGCGCAAACTTGGTGATGTAATATCCTCAACCTTTGCACTTGGTTACCACGAGAATTTGGAGACCAAACCGGGAATCCCCCTCTTTCTGATGGAACTGCGCAAAACTGCATTTGCCAGAATCTACTCCGCGGACAAGAACATTGCAATCTTTCTTGGGAGGCCACCGCGGATGAACAAGCGTTTCTGCCATTTCCAGATCCCGTTTGACCATCAGACGCCGGGCCAGAGCAGCTCAAATGAATGGGATCCGGATTCGAAACCTGGGTATAGAGCAGATACGCGCTGGTCTGCGCTCTGCGCTTTCCTGAAAGAGGAGGTGTGGGAGTTGTTACAAGATAAGCATGATGCTGCATGTGGCCAGCGGGCGAGGTAATGTCCCCCCATCTCTAAACCGCTTGATATAAGCACTAACATGATGATCTAGTATAATTCAAAGAAAAGCGGAAGAACAATGGGAGGCCCTCCCAGCCCACTTTCGGCTAGAGAGCAGCCTGAAACAGTGCGCTCGGAGCCCGTTCGAGCGAGACTTCCTCGCTCATGTGCGATTGACACATCTACACGTCCTCTTCCTGCTTCGTCTGCTATTGTTGAATACACTCACCGAGCCTGATATTCCAATCATTGAAACAGCAGGGCAGATGCTCGCCCTCGTGGTCGAAATAATTCTCCTCCGTGAGCAATTGACCAATTCTGGGACTGGTCTTATCTGGAAGGTACATTCACTGGCCCAATGGGAGTATGGTATTCAGAACTGATAAACTATAGGTTGCTTACTACGGCCTCCCAGCTGCAGGAATCCTCCTCCTAGCACTCCTAAAACAACACCCCCATGCCCCGGGGATATCCCGCAACAAGATCCTCCAAGACCTAAGCGTGTTCGTCGCAGAAGTACAAATTGGAACTATCGTCAAACCTGGCGACCCGAATTATGCACTGCTGTCCAAGGCCACGTCGACTATCCAGCGGTTCCTGGATTCCTTCCACTCGGATGCGGGGCAGCCTCCTCTTGAAGCAGGACACGAGGAAGGCAGCGATGACTGGGCGGCGTTGCTGAGCCAGGATCTGTGGGATGCCGAGGCTGGGTTTTGGCAGAGTTTGGCGGACCATCCTTCTTTGTTGGCGTTGGATCCACCGCTGCTGAGTGTTTAGGACCAAGGTTGATTATTTGTTTGATACCCCCAGTAGTTATTCCAAATCGGAACTACGATTCAATACTTGTGAAGAAAATATTTGAGTCATGTCATCCATTTAATTATTGTAGTAGGATATGGGATCCAGCTATCTTCATCACTCATCTCGCCGAAGCGAAGATCAAAAAAGAAATTAAAAAAAAGAAATATTAGCAAGGACAACCTTGCAATGGTCTATACTTACACCAACGAACAAAAAACGCTTGGGGGAATCTTTTCTGGAACCGCCTAAACAAGGGTCATATCCAACGGCGAAAGAAATGGCAGAAGGGACCGATTAGGCCTTGATCTCGTACTTGCGGCGGAACATGTCGTCAACCTCGGTGAGGTAGTAGGTACCCTTCTGGAGAGTCTCGATGTTACCGGAGGGCTTGAAGTTCTTCTTCAGGTGAGCGTGCTCGCGGAGCTTGCACATGTCATCGTAGGCCTGGGGCGCCAGGACAGTGCGGGAGTCGAGACGGTTCTTCAGGTCGAGCTTCTCAACCATGTTGGAGACGTCGCCGACGATCTTGGCACTGAACATGGAGGCGGCAAGACCGGAGCCGTAGCTGAAGAGAGCGATACGCTTGGGCTCGGAGGGAGAGAAGGTAACGTGGCTCAGCAGACTAGCCAGGCCGGCGTAGACGGTAGCGGTGTACATGTTACCGCACAGGGTCGCGACCTGCAGACCGGGGTTCACGCGCTCGGCGAAACGCTTCTTGGTCAGAGCCATGAAGGTCTTCTCAACGGCCTTGTCGGTGACGGAGGCATCGTAGGGAATGTCGCGCAGCTCGGGGGCGACCTCGGCGAAGGCGGAGTGGGAAGAGTTGTTCAGGTAGTCGTTGTAGAGCATGCGGCCGTAGGACTTCTGGACGAGCTTGCAGGTGGGGGCGTGATACAGGATGTAGTCGAAGCGGTCCAGAGGGGTCTGAGACTCGTCGGTGACGCCGTTGGTGCCGTTGATGCCGTTGTGGTTGGCCTTGAGAACCTTCTCACGGGCATCGTAGGCCTTGTAGCAGGCGTCGACGGCCTCGGTGTAGCAGCGGAGGGAGTGCTGGCCGTCGACAACGGGGTACTCGCTGGTCAGGTCGGGCTTGTAGAAGTCGTAGGCGTGGGTGAGGTAGGAGCCACGGAGACCGGGCTCGAAGACGATGGGGGCGTCGGGGCCGATGAGCATGGCAACACAGCCAGCACCACCGGTGGGACGGGCGGCACCCTTGGCGTACAGAGCAATGTCACCGCAGACAACGACGGCGTCACGGCCGTCCCAGGCGGAGGACTCGACCCAGTTGATGCTGTTGAAGACGGCGTTGGTGCCACCGTAGCAGGCGTTGACGGTGTCAATACCCTCGATGTTGGTGTTGCCGGAAGGAGTGAACAGCTGCATCAGGACGGACTTGACCGACTTGGACTTGTCCAGGAGGGTCTCGGTGCCGACCTCGAGGCGACCGACGGACTTGGGGTCGATGTTGTACTTGTTCATGAGGGAGGAGAGGGTGGTCAGGCACATGGAGTAGATGTCTATGCACAGGCTAGTTAGTATTTGCTGTTCCGTCCCGACTGTCGCTTTTCGGTGCCATTGAACATACCCTCACGGTCATCGCAGAAGCTCATCTTGGTCTGGCCGAGACCGATGGTGTACTTGCCGGCGCTGACGCCATCGTACTTCTCCAGCTCAGCCTGGTCGACGCACTGAAGGAATTGTTAGTTGAAATTGAGCAATGCGAGAGGGAAAAAGACCAACCTGACTGGGGAAGTAGACCTCAATGGCCTTGATGCCGATGTTCTGGGGACGGGCAGACATGGTGGGGGAGGGGTTTAAGAGTATTGGAGGGGTTATAGTAAAGCGTCCAGCACAGCTGAGTAAAGGAAAAAGAGAGAAGAAAGTGAGGGGTCAAAGGAGAGAACTTATAGTGGAGAGAAAGCTCAGGAGAAGATCGCTGGTTGAATTAAAGGGAAAAGGAGGTTGTTGTGTACTCGGATCTACAGTGTACGATCAGTCACCGTGTATTTTTTTTTTTTTTTCACGTTCTGCAAGTGGGGGGGATCGTCTCTGGAGTGCTTCCTTTAAGCCGAACTGGTCTATAATTTAGGTAAATTGCATTCTTCGAATGTGGTACCTCTCGATGGTACCTGGCTACAGAAGCGTGTAGGTCGTAGGTCCTTGGGTATCCAAGTACTCGGGGACTGCTAATGGGCGACTCTACGCAACCGCGGGACAGGCGCGCGGGTGTATCTCCAAGCACACCAAACAGCTCTATCCCCCTCAAGTCCATGTTCACCGACTTCTACCTTCTCAGCGCTACCGTGTAAACCTCAGTCTGTCATCTTATCGATCTGGTATCCACTCTCGTTGAAAGTCACCTATCGGTCTTCTGGAGTGGACCGCACTGATTTCCGTGCAACGAGGGCTTCACTTGTGCCTGTGGCATCATTCCGGATGGGTCCCTCCGTCGAGGAACTCGGTTCCTCACGGCTGGATTTCGTACCTGGCCGAGTACTCTGCCCATATCCATGTCAGATGTCAAGTGGCGACCCGAACTGCGGGTGGGACGCCCCCGTAGATTGGGCACCGGGGAATGATCGGCCTAGGATTGTATACAATTCTTTGCATACTGGCACATTCATATATTCCTCCCGCGATGATACTTCTTTTCATGTCAGATGTCATGCAGGAGAGGCGGACGCATGGTGCGTGGAAGGGAGGCCGTGGGTCGCTGCGCCACGAGAGTCCGGGGAGGGAAAGTCAAGGCAACCTTAAGACATCCCCGACACCTCCGACTCCCCTTATCGACACTCCTTCACCACCCCGTCACCCTCCTCCCCCTCCTTTGCGCGGAAGATCATGTCGGACGCTCGTTTCTTTTCTTAGACAGCAGATCATGATCTTCCAGACCCCTGCATTATTCTCCGCTTGTTACGGCTCCAGGGAGCCCACCTCGTTCCGCCATGGGCGACGATAAGTTCGACTACCAATCTCTCCCCATCCCCTCTTACGAAGAGGCCACTGCCCAGCCTTCCTCCTCTCGCTCCGACCTGGACGATGGCAACGATGCCGAACGCCAGGGTCTGCTCGGTCGCAGCGATGCCGGAAACTACCAACCACCCACGGTCGAATCCGTCCGCGGCAGCCTCGACGACCTCGCCTCCTCCGTATCGGGCTCGGAGCGCGGCTCGACCGATGAATTAAGGAGGGAGTTGGATCAGATGGACGTGGATGACTCTGCACATGGGTCGTCGTCCAGATCTCGCCCCCATTTACGACATCAGTTCTCCAAGCGATTCTCCAGTCTGACACGAACGCTACGACCCCTACAACGATACCTGCCAAGCCTGCCGAGCTTCCGCTTCAACTTCGACCTCAACAATGCTCGGGTGCACATGAAGGATCATGGATGCATCATGTTGCTGCGCCTCTTTGCCCTGATGCTCGTGGTGTCCCTGGTCTATGTCTTCTTTATCGGCGACATCTTCAACCTCAACAATCGTATGGTCATGGGTCAGTCCTACAGCGCCTCGTCGGTCGAGAACTTCGTTCAGGGCCACATCAATGAAACAAATATCGCGGAGAATTTAAGGCGAGTTACCAACTTCCCTCACGTCGCCGGTACCGAGGGCAGTTTCGTACTGGCAGAATGGATCGAGCAGGAATTCCACCGAGCGGGATTCGATGGGGTTCTGCGAGAAGAGTTCCAAGTCTACCTAAACTATCCCCGCGATGATGGACGCAAGGTCGCCATCATTGATCCGCCTCATTTGGCTTGGGAGGCCACACTAGAGGAGAACGACTCCCAGGTCCCGGTGTTCCATGGACACTCCAAGTCCGGAAACGTTACCGGACCTCTGGTCTATGCTAACTTTGGATCCCGCGAAGATTTCCAATTACTCGCCGATAAGGGTATCTCCCTCAACGGCTCGATCGCTCTCGTGCGCTATTACGGCACCGAGCCCGACCGGGCGTTGAAGATTAAAGCCGCCGAGCTGGCTGGAGCGGCGGGTTGCATCATTTACTCCGATCCACAACAGGACGGTTTTGTACAGGGACCGGCGTATCCGAAGGGACGTTTCATGCCCTCGGATGGTGTACAGCGGGGCGGTGTTAGCCTCATGTCTCACGTCGTTGGAGACGTACTTTCCCCCGGTTTCGCATCCACCCCGGGGGAGAAGAAGAGACTATCTCCAGAAGACAGCCCTGGATTGACCAAGATACCCAGTCTTCCGATCGCCTGGCGCGATGCGCAGCGACTTCTCCAGTCCCTCGAGGGACACGGGTCTAAAGTTCCCCAGGAATGGGTTGGTGGTGTGCCCAAGGTTCAAGCTTGGTGGACAGGAGATCAAAATTCGCCAGTCATTCACTTGATGAATCTGCAGGACGAAGTCGAACGACAACCCATTTACAATATCCATGGAACGATTATTGGGCTTGAGGAGCGTGACAAGAAGATCATTGTTGGAAATCATCGCGACTCATGGTGCTTGGGAAGTGTTGACCCCGGCAGTGGTACTGCAGTCTTCTTGGAGGTGGTGCGTGCCTTTGGTGAACTGCTCAACTACGGATGGCGACCACTCCGCACCATCGAGTTCGTCAGCTGGGACGGAGAAGAGTACAACCTCATCGGCTCGACTGAGCACGTTGAAAAGGAGGTTGACAACCTTCGCAACAATGCATACGCTTACCTGAACGTGGACGTTGGCGTGTCGGGCTCCGAGTTCCGTGCGGCAGGATCGCCTGTCTTCGAGCGCTCGGTGCATCAGATCTTGGGTCGCCTCTCTGATCCCTATGCCAACAAGACGTTGAAAGAAATCTGGGATAATAAAGGCATGAAGCTTGATCCACTCGGCGCCGGTAGTGACTACGTCGCATTTCAGGATATTGCGGGTACCTCAAGCATTGATTTCGGGTTTGAGGGCGGTGCATACCCCTACCACAGCTGCTACGAATCCTATGACTGGATGGAGAAGTTTGGTGACCCGGGCTTCCGGTATCACAAACTTCTCGCTGAATTCTGGGCCTTGCTTTTGCTGGACGTTTCCGAGAACCCCATGCTGCCCTTTGACATGGAAGCCTACGCCAGGTACATCACGGGCTGGGTGAAAGACTTGGATGAATTTGCAAAGAAGAAGGGCGCCCAGGTTGATATGCAACTGATGTTCAACGCCGCGGCCGAACTCGAGGCCGATGCTGCCCGGTTCCAACAGTGGAATCAGATCTGGCACGACAGTGTTTGGGGCTCTGGCGGGTACGAAAGCAACGTCATGGCGATTCAACGAGTCAACCACAACGTCCGCATGGCCAGTTTTGATACCCACTTACTGGATCTGGAAGAAGGTGGCGGGATTCCGAACCGCACCCAGTTCCGCCACGTCGTCTACGGACCCGAGCTGTGGTCCGGCTACGATGCTTCCATTTTCCCGGCCATTCGCGACAGCATCAACGCGGGCGACTGGAACCTTGCCCAACATTGGATCAACCGGGTTGCCAACATCATCCACACTGCCAGCAACAAGCTCATCAACTAACTGTATTCTACGTCTTCCTGTATCCAACAACCCCCTCACTCTCGTCATTGCATACCCCATACGCTTTTGCCTTTGCGGCATTACTTTTCCTATCTATATTGATCACTGTACAGTCCGGGTCTGGCTGGATCTTTCACATCTTTCACATCCTTCACATCTATATCTCTTACCTGCATATTGAGAATCTTCAGTCTGTTTGGCTCATATACCACGTTTCTTTGTTTCTTGTGGTGGCTTCGCAGCGAAATACCAGATTTCTTGCTATCAATACTGCATTCAAACGGATTCTACCATGAACATAAATAGTTTCTCGGCTACAGCATACTCAGCCCGTATTATAAATTGCCCTAATCCCCATCTGGCGTGTAAAAGAAGAACAGGAGGAGGAGTTCTGCAGGCGACATGGCGATAACTGGACCGGGGAAACCACCAGCCTCGGGAATAAACTGCGGGGTACGGTAGACGAAGTCGAGAGCAATGCCTTCCGGTTGGACTCTGTAATGCGACCCTCGGCTTTCCAGAGGAATACGAGATTTAGGTCAAAAAAGGGGAGGTCTGGGCCCTTCGGCCGAGTACTATAAATAGAGTTTTGGGGAGATTTGTATACCGGCGGGCATCAGATTATCGTACAAAGGATATAAATTAGAAGATATTAATTATAGGTACAGTTCGCTCAAAGACCGCAATAAACAGAATGAACAAAAATAGAAACAAGAACCAAGGATATTCGTGGCTGATACAATAAATCATCAAACAGAGCAGGTTATAGCACCTTCTGAAAATAGTGTGTGGGCGTTAGTGGTCGTCGAAATGATAGTCTTGACGACCTCGATCGAGGTAGAGGTTTCTTGAGACGTGATGGTGACAGGGGAGTTGGTTCGCGTAATCGTCTTGATTGCTCGAGAAGTTATGACTGGCAGCGCTGATGTGACCTCCACAGTGAATGTTGTCGTGACCACGGTCGTTGATGGCGTTGGGTGAACGGTTGACTTGAACGTAAAGGTAGTGAGACTCGTTGATACCACGGTTGATCCATTCAAAGTGGTGAATGATGTCTTGGTCGGGAATACCGTGACTGTTTGGGTTAATGGTTTCCGAGTGGATTTTGTGTGAACTATGGACGAAGTGCTTGTGAATGTGACATAACTTGTGCCGTTCGTGATTGTGGAGGTGAAAGTCTTGGTGGAAACTGAGGTGACGGTAGAAGTTATAGTCTTGGGCTTGACTGTTCTTATCTTCGTGACCATGTCTGCCGTATAGGCGGTGGCTGGTGAGATGATTCTCGTTGAGGTGGTCACGTAGTTAGTCACCGTTGAAGTACTGGTCACAGTGGAAGAAGCAGTATAGGACATGGGCGCAAGAAGACCCCGCTTGGCTTTTGATACTGGGATACACCTGAGGGTTGTCGTTACGTTCTTTGTGGCCGTCTCAGTGGAAGTCAAGCTCGATGTGATGGTGGTTGGCTTGATCGATTTCGTCGTAGTTGCTCCAAGTGTAGTTGTTAATGTGAAGGTACTCCTCGATGTCCTTGGACTGAAGGTCTTGACATTGGTCGTTGTAACGGTCTGAGCTGAGGTGACGAGGGATGGCGAAGCAGTGATAGTTTCGGTTATTGAGAGTGTACTGTGTACAATCTTGGTGAAATTCTTGCCAGTAACTGTGTTGACGACAGTAGATGTGGCCTCGCCAGTCTCTGTCTTTATGAACGAAGCAGGCACTTCAGTGCGAAGGTGAATCAGTGAGATGATATCAGTGCCCAGTCCAATGTCAATGTTAATGATTGAGGTTCTTGTATAAGTCACGGCCGGCTCGGTGGTTATAATGGTGGCCGAAGTCATTGTTACACGTGTTGTTGTCTCGGTCACGGCATCTGGTGTCACATCAACAGTTGTAGTCATCTCTGACCCAGAAATTGAGCCAGAAACTGTCTCTGTAACGCAGGAAGTTGCATCATCAGTGACTACAACGATGGTAGAAAGGGTTGTAATTGATGTGGAGGGTCCCGAGCCATTTCCCGAGTTTGAGCCAGAGGCTGATCCATCACCGGTGCTGGTGCCAGGGACAAATCCCGAGGCAGTATCAGAAGACCCTGAGCCTGAGCTTGAGGTTATACCGGACGTGTCCCCGGAGGAATCTGGACTGGAATCGTTTCCAGAAGAAGCAGTACTAGACGAGACAGTACTAGGCGAAGCAGTCCCAGACGAAGTAGTATGAGACGAAGCGGTATGAGACGGAGCAGCACTAGGCGAAGCAGGAGGAGATGAAGTAGTATGAGAGGAGGTCGTATGAGACGAGATAGGAGGTGGATGAGATGAAGTCGTATGAGACGAATGGGACGAAGTAGTATGGGACGAAGCAGTATGAGACGGAGCAGCACTAGGCGAAGCAGAAGTAGACGTAATAGTATGAGAGGAAGTCGTATGAGACGAAGTTGTGTGAGACGAAATAGGAGGCGAATGAGACGAAGTTGTGTGAGACAAAGTTGTGTAAGACGAAGTTGTGTGAGACGAGATAGGAGGTGAATGAGACGAAGTAGTATGAGATAGAGCAGCATTAGGCAAAGCAGGAGGAGATGAAGTAGTATGAGACGAAGTCGTATGAGAGGAAGTCGTATAAGGCGAAGCAGTATAAGATAGAGCAGCACTAGGCGAAGCAGTACTAGGCGAAGTAGTAGTAGTACAAGGAGTAGTATGAGACGAAGTAGTATGAGACGAGATAGGAGGCGGATGAGATGAAGTCGTATGAGACGAAGCAGCACTAGGCGAAGCAGGAGGAGACGAAGTAGTATGAGAGGAAGTCATATAAGAGGAAGTCGTATGAGAGGAAGTCGTGTGAGAGGAAGTCGTGTGAGACGAGATAGGAGGCGGATGAGACGAAGTTGTATGAGACGAAGTTGTATGAGACGAAGTTGTATGAGACGAAGTAGTATGAGACGAAGTAGTATGAGACGAAGTCGTATGAGAGGAAGTAGTATGAGACGAAGTCGTATGAGACGAAGTAGTATGAGGCGACGCAGTATGAGGTAGAGCAGCACTAGGCGAAGTAGTAGTAGTACAAGGAGTAGTATGAGACGAAGTAGTATAAGACGAAGTAGTATGAGACGAGATAGGAGGTGGATGAGATGAAGTCGTATGAGACGAAGTCGTGTGAGACGAGATAGGAGGCGGATGAGACGAGATAGGAGGCGGATGAGACGAGATAGGAGGCGGATGAGACGAGATAGGAGGCGGATGAGACGAGATAGGAGGCGGATGAGACGAAGTAGTATGAGAAGAAGCAGTATGAGACGGAGCAGCACTAGGCGAAGCAGAAGAAGACGAAGTAGTATGAGATAGAGCAGCACTAGGCAAAGCAGGAGGAGATAAAGTCGTATGAGACGAAGTCGTGTGAGACGAGATAGGAGGCGGATGAGACGAAGTAGTATAAGACGAAGCAGTATGAGACGAAGCAGCACTAGGCGAAGCAGGAGACGAAGTAGTAGACGAAGCAGTATGAGACGAAGTCGTATGAGACGAGATAGGAGGCGGATGAGACGAAGTCGTATGAGAGGAAGTCGTATAAGAGGAAGTCGTATGAGACGAAGCAGTATGAGACGGAGCAGCACTAGGTGAAGCAGGAGACGAAGTAGTATGAGACGGAGCAGCACTAGGCGAAGCAGGAGGAGACGAAGGAGTAGACGAAGCAGTAGACGAAGCAGTATGAGACGGAGCAGCACTGGGCAAAGTAGTACAAGGCGAAGTAGTACCAGATGGCCCAGAATCATTGCCCGACGAGCCAGAGGAGCCAGAACCATTGGAATCAGAACCATTTCCCGAGGACCCTGAGCCTCCAGAAGCTGCAGATCCTGAGCCATTACCGGAAATATGTCCAGGGGATCCAGATCCATCACCCCCGGAAGACCCCGAAGAACCGCCTCCTGAAGACCAAGACTGAGACCCAGCTCCGGATCCCTCTCCTGAAAATGAGTAGGGACCAACAACATCGGCGCTATCAATAGCTGCAAGGGTACAGGGATCGACCCAGTTAGTATCATATCTCGCCAATTCCGTTTGCCAGAAGTGCCCTATTAAGCGCCCTCCTGACAAAACCGCGCCAACGCTGTAGGAGGACATGTCTGAGGGCTCTAGCTGGTTGATGTAGTCAGCTCTGGCAGCCTTGTTGTTTGAATAAGCTCCGGGGCCGGTGTTGGCATATTCCGCGTAGAAGTTGTTCTTATCCTGTGATGTGCTGTCGACATGCACACCGGAAGGTGCAATTAAACCTCCCAGCACAGAATTGCGGTATACGATGACAGAGCCTTTGCCAGAAGCACCGGCCAGATAAACATTGCTGGTGCTTCCTCTCGCCTCTTGGTATATTGATGATCGATCGAAGACAATGGTCGATTTCTGTAGCTTGCCTTTGGATGTGATGCCATTGGCTTTGGCGATCACTACCGAGTCCTCAGTGGGGACAATATCTGTGTCGAAAACGTAGAGATTGCCTTCGCCGGCAATCATTGTGTCGGATGCTTCGATATAGCTATTCGCAATCAAGCCGATGCCAGCATTGTTTGTGATCGCCCTTGTACCGGAGATGAATTGGCAGTGATAGAATCCAATTTTGTGTCCTTTGAGCGATACCGCTTCGCTGGAGGATGATGTATCAATGAAGTTGATGTTTTTGACAGTGATCCCGTCAACATCGGCTGATAGTGTGAGAGCCGTTCCATCGTTCGAGACAACGACCTTATTTTGCGTGTAGTCGTTTTCATCGTTGGTTTGACCGAGGACTGCGACGGACGGTGTTGCAGATACTATGACAGGTGGATACGTTCCTGGCAGAACTGTGATTGTCGGGATGTTGTTTTCCTGGGCATAGGATATCGCATCGCCGATTGCCGTATATTGACCACTGTTATCGGTTGCGACTGTTACAGCTGTAGATTTTGAAACATCAGTCCAAGTTCTTGATTCACAAACGTATGCCTTTGAATAAAAAGAGCTTACCGGGGGCAGTAGGTGAGATTCCTCTCGCTGTGATATAGGCTGTGCTTGAGCAAGTGCCATTAGATTGATCTACGGCAGCTGCTAGCCCAACCAGGCCTAATAATAGTGAGAAGAGCATCATCAGTTACCTGCAAAAGCAAGATGAAGCATAAGTTGAGCTTCGATAAACTTGTCCAAGATATCTCGGAATAGAGTTAGGTCAAGAATGGACGTGGTCTTCAGGTGGTTACAACATTCCAGGCCCGAGCTTTCGTTCTTTTCCGTTTATTTATCGAAGTCAATTCCCGATATGGATGGACACGAACATCTCCGAGAGAAGCGTGAACTGTAATCACGGAGTGTTAGCAACTGCTATTATTTGGCACTAGCATTTTTTAGCTGACTGATAACTTTCAAGATACAAACATCCCTAACTCTAAACAAACTTCCATTCCAGGATGAAGATTTACTAATTCCAAGTCCACCGTATCGAGATCCGGGTGTCAAAGTAATTCCGCCTAAATCAAAAACATGACGGAAAACGAAACGGTTGGAGAACCCTGAGGCTCACCTGTAATGGGAAAGCTCTAATAAATCCATCTCAAGACCGATCGTAACGACGCAGCACACCACGCCCCTGCATAGTGGGCCCGTGCCAGACATGGCACACCGGCCAATCGCAGAGCAAATACTGCATTTTTGGACCACGAACCCAGGAATAACCAAGCGAGTTCGAAACCTACACCAGAGGCTGCCATCCAATTGCGGAGCGGCAGTGAGCAGCCAGCATCTTATCCACCTTTATCAACTTGTATCGGAGTAATGGTTTTTGTGACATGCCAACCACGTCAAAGTGGGACTCACGGCCCAACAATGCGAAGGACCCTGAAATTAGCGTTTTCCAATTTAGGCAATTTTGCGTATTGGGAGCATAGCATAGGTAGCATGACATGACCCGTCAAACGCTGACCTGACAGTCGTTGCTCGGCAGCAATTGTGGATGGAGACATAGAACCACCGCACCGACCATGCAATTATTAAGTAGATTTAAGTCTATGTACTTTGCTCTACCTTAAAATTAATGTATATTTTGGTCCTTAAAAATTAGGAATTTAGTTAGACTTTGGAAGAGCGATTGAGACTGTAAAGAGCCATTCCCCCCTGGCGCCTGAACACCAAGTGGACGGGTGACAGACTTTCAGGTATGTACCTTGACGGATTTAATCTCCGATATCTCGTTGTACAAATGGGCGGGGGACAGACAGACTTTCAGGTATGTACCTTGACGGATTTAATTTCCGTTATCTCGTTGTACAGTTGGCCGGTGACGTGTTTTAGTTGGCAAATGTGCAGATATTCAGGGATTGCATCGCTGAATTGACGCTTTCCCCTGAAATATATCGTTGCAATTACGGTTCTTCCCGAGGTGCCCCGGAGAGTGAACCCCGGGAAAATCATTCGAAGTTCAATTTTCTCTGGCTTGTAGAAGCTAGCCAAACTTGGGACACGTTAAAGCTTTGAAATATATTCATATCTTGCGCAGAAGTCAAGAAAATCTTTGTAAAATCACACCACAGCCCGCCCATTTTATCTCAACCTACTCTACAGAATCATTCATGTTCAATCATAATCATCAGGGTCATAACCTTCCCACCCGGGACCACCATATGTCATCGAGACACAGGAGGATATCCTGCGTCTAAATGCTCGAACCCGGTCTCCGGCGACCACATATACCTCGACCAATCCTCCACATGAAAGACCTCCTCCGTAATTCCCTCCGTAATATCAACCTCCATATCCTCCAAGTACCGCAGCGCTCCATCATCGAGAGTCAGCGAGGGGTCCAACGGGAAGTCGAACGGGTTCACGCTCTCGAGAGGACTGATCAGTGGCGCGTTCTGTACCAGCGATGCTCCAGACAAAGTGGAAGGTAGAAGGTTGTAGGCGGGATCAAACATATCGCTGGATAGCACGGGATCCAGCGCGAGATTGTCCGCCGAACGCGAGAGCCCGCCGGACCCAGCACGACTGTTACTTCCGGACACGGGACCACTCATAGCGGACTGCGTCCGACCACTCGACTCATTGCCCGACCCCTCCGACCCCGACCAGGGTCCCGTGCTGGCAGAATCACGACGAGAGTTCGCGCGGACGGAGGTGTGCGACGCCGACGACCCGGAGCGAGACACACGAGCCGACGAGGAACCGCGCGAGTTTTTTCCACTCGGACGAGGCGCGATGGGTTGGAAGCCGTTGGGATTGTGATGGCGCGGATAGAGTCTGCCGTGCGTTGCTTTCTAAGAACCACGAAACATCAGCACCATACCGTCTGCATCTCTTCTCGTCTGGCCGAAGATCTGCCTTCCGGGTGCTGGAAACGGCTGTGTGGCGTGTTTGCGTTACTTTTGAAGGATGTTTGAGCTCTGCCTCGCGCTTTTGCCGCGCGTGTTCGGTCGGCGCCGAGCACGGCGTAGAATGACAGATCGAGCATGTCGCGAAGGGTCGCCCCTTGCGCTTGATGCGAATCAACGGTCGATCTACTGAGTGTTCGGGTGGTTAACTAGTGCGTTTGTGCGAGTCACGGCCTCGAGATATAGAAAAAGCTTATCGTGGAAAGGAGTTGGTCCTTGCACTTACCATGATGTTTGCAGCTGCTCACACGGTGGCCCCGTATGCAAGCTTCACAAGCCCACTTTTGACCGTCGATGAGCATCCCTCGATGAGATGAAAGGAAGGTGTAAAGGCAGGGTAGGGCCTTCCAGATTTTATACCTTTCCCGAAACCATTGATCGACCAGACCCGCATTTACGGAATACCCCAGTACCTCAGGTAGGACTGAGGGGCCATCCAGGGAGGGGTGGGGGAAGCTATGACATACGATGACACAAAAAATTCCTTTGGATGTACCCTAGCTACTCCAAGTGGGATTACCGACAACTGCTGAAATAGGAATGGGCGCGTTTTGCTGTGTCGAAGGACTTGCAGCCTCGTCGTGATTTGGCGTCACAGCCACAGGATCGCCTGACAGTGGGACTGACATATGCTTTTTCGGAGGGTTCTGTACCTCTGGGTAGCCTTTTTTATTTATTATTTTTTAATTAGTATTTGTTTCAGTTTTTGCATGTAGCGTGGGGAGCTCGGGCCAGGGGCAAAATCTCGGTGTCTATGGCGGCCGTAGTATAGATGCGGTACTTTTTCTTTTTTCTTTTTTATCGCGCACAGCGGGTCCCAGGTGCACGGAGCAGGTCTCGCAAGAACCCCAGTGGAATCGTGGTTGTAGCCGGGAGAAGAAAAACAGCAGGAAATGAGCCTACGCTCTAGAAAGGCCTTTGCGGGACGTGGAAAATTTGGTCATGGTTACAACGTGAGGGATTTTCGAGAGGCCTCGGCTGGAGATTTGCACCTTGGATGCCTCCACTGCAATAATGAAACCGAACGGGATTGACCCCAAGGAAACAACTCCCAGGCACCGGTGTGCGGTCACTTCCCCCGGGCTGCCAGATCGGTGCAAGATCTTAGCTACAAATCCCTCATAATTATCTGTAGCCCAGTACTTCGCTTCGGGACTGCTGAGTTGGTCCGGGAACACTCCCCCGGTAGCCCTAGCCAATACCTCATTCGTCATTTGATCGCGAAACTGCCGCTCGGTTCGCGATGGGACTGGTGAGTCGTGCACGTCGTGCACGGTGTTGACGCATGAGATTATCTCAAGCTAGCAGGGCCGACGCTTGGCAAGATCAAACCGTAGATGGAGGTGGCTGTGTCGTGGGTTCGCTTGGTGGCGTTGCACTGGGTTTTCGGATTTTCTTGATACGCGCAGTTGCCTAGAGTTCGTTGCACGAGTTTCCGATCCACATTTTGCTTCACATGAAACCATGTCATTGATCCCCTAGGAACCCTAATCCTCCCAAAAATCAGCTTCGTCCCTAGTTTTGCCAGGAACACAAGACCCCGGGAGCCAAACCACGAGGTTCAGGAAAATTAAGCTCCGTCGAGAAACGGATGGCCCGACCTGCCGTTCTGCCACTCAGCCGATGCCCACAGCCGTTGGCCACCTATCGCGTGGCAGGTAATTAACTATGCGTGATTTTGTACACCTGAGGCATTTTTCTGTTCCAATTGTTCCCTTTGATAATGGAACACTCCCTCACCGTTCCTCTAGGTACCAGAGATGCTGCTGCCTCCCCAAGTCGATTTCCATTCGCGGATCACCAGCTGAACGGCGGTTGATGAGTTGGAAGGGCTCCGGAGATTTTTTCTTTTTCCCGCATTAGCCTGGAGTAGACACATCACTCCAACGAATCTGTTAGTAGTTCCCGCGGGCCCCAAAGGACCACGGAGAATATTTTTCTTCCGTCAAAATAGGTGCCTCGTACCGGGACACTCTTTAGCCATCCGAGAGCACACAGAAAATTTCGCGCTCGTGAAGACCGTCTCCATATTCCACTCACAATTCCTTTCCAGGCCCGTTTCTAGCCGGTGGAGCGGAATCACGTCGTTATATCCTTAAAAGCTACCTGGCCTCCATCGTGGCTCGAGAGCGATATGAATTCGACCTGAACAACGTCGACTCGTCTAGGTGTATCTTGTCGCGTGGGAAACAAACGAGCTATTTGAAAGGCAATTAAATGGATTGTTGGTCTCGGTTGATCGAGCAAAAGGTAACCCTTTGAACAGCGGTGCAAACAAGCATATTTATACTTCGTTGGGCACTGATAAATGTGCCCGGGGCCCCTGACATGGTGATGCACTAGGCAGTCCTAGCGGTCTATTTTTGTTCGTGGAGTTATATTGCTCAATGCTACGTGATACGTCTGCTTTCAGCCCCAACCTCCCCGATGTATGGTTTTGAAAATTCACGCTTGACGGCAAAATGAAGGACCCCAGACTCGATCGTTGTCTATTCGACAAAAGTCTTGTTCTCTGCTCAAACTGCATGAGATGTTATCTCATGCTGTCCAATTGGAAGTTGCCAGCGATGCACTGGCCAATATTCTGCTCCACCTTGACTACCGTTTCTTCATTGGCCGTGGAAGCAGACGCCGATGCCACAGGATCCCGAGTTTTGGCCGCTAACTCCCCGCAAACTTGAAGATCTGTGAAGGATAAGTATGATCCGCTGCTCTATATTGGTCCTGCGACGGCGGGATGGTTACGACCAAGGCCCGAGGTGTTTGAAAATCTTCATGTGTCCGGGCATTCCGACCCCCAGGATGGGAAATGTGAGAGGCTCGCCGCTCCCCAATTTGGTGACGTAACGGCGACAGCGATATCTACTTCAAATTGATCGGAGAATACAAATGAGTTGAACCATGGCGAGAGACCTGGTGCCTCTGGGATGGGTTTGTGGATTACTGAGCTTGCCAGCGTCATTTTGTCCTAGACCGTGTTTTATGACACAATTCTGGTGTTTATTCAGCGACCTTGCATCTTGCACCTAGATAGACCATTTGTTTATTTACCCCAAATCCATCTAGAGTCATGGAAACAGGAGTCATATATCATGACAGCGCACTTTTACAGCTGACTCCTACCACTCGGCCCTAGAGCACAATTTGAATCTCACCTTCTGTATTTCTGATTCGCATAGCACTCCATCTCGCAAACTGTCTTCCACGACTCCACATTCACTTCACTGCAGGTTTGTTGAACAGCGCCTAGAAGCTTGACAAAATCCCGATCGATCAGGTGAACGGGGTGTAGTCGGCCTAGCGGCTTGTGAAGATATGCCAGCGAATGAATTCCATGTATCTAGTCGTCCACGTCATCAATTATCATTCCAGTAACATATGTAGAAAGTGAAATCACACATGGGGTTGCCCTTGTGACCCCCTCGATGTGGATGGCTGGGTAGCAAGAAAGAGAGCGTGCCCCTTGACTTGTTCATGCTCGGGCCACCCAGCCCTATGCACGAGAACCTGGTTCTCTGTGGTCCAGGAAATGCTGATTGGCACGTCGAAATGAGTGTCAATAAGGCACTGTAGAGTAATGAAAACACAAAACGATGTGATGAGCGATGGATATCATTGGCGAGGAAGTTTATACAGAGCCGTGTGTAAATTTACCGATGGCCGGGGCCGATAAAATGACTGCTTGTTAATCTTACCTGGATTTGCGTTCAAGAAAGTCTAGGCTACTCAATTTTGGGAATACTTCCAAGAAAAAAAAAAAGGGTTGTCATCTTGTCGCAGGAATGCGCATCATAATCGATGCAAGCCAAACACGACTGTGTAACCAACCCGACCTCTTTCGTCTATTTTCACAAACGGCCTGATCATCATTCCAGACCGACATTCCCCCCCCCAAAGCTTGGAAATAGTAGCCATGGAATCCCGAGAAAAGACTATCATGCATCAAACACTCGAAGTTCAGCCAAAATCAAGACATGGCCGTCTCCGCGGGTGATTCCAGCCATTGCTTCGTTTCTGGATCCAGTAGTCTCTCAGCCTCTTGCCATTCCTTAATCACCATATCTGCACGTGCCTGTGACCTTGGCGTAATCCTCGCAGGGAACTCCTCAGGCATACAGACAAACCCTTGAGTCAAGCGATCGGGGTCCGGCAAGATAGGTCTACCCTTCTCATCCAAAGCAGGTTCGATCTTGAAAGCCCACAGGATACGCGACATGCCGAGAAACAGACTCCGTTCGGCAACATGGATACCCTGGCAAATCCGACGACCTGCTCCAAACGTAAACGTATCTCGCTTCGATGGGTCCGGGTTTGCCGCTGCATCGCTAAGGCTTTGATAGTCGTCACGATACCGATCGGGGTCGAATGTACGTGGATTCGGGTGTCGATTGGGATCCATTCCGATACCCCACACGTTGTTCACGACTCCGGCCCCCTTTGGAATGAGGTAGCCATTGTACACATCATCTTGGGTCACAGCATGAGGCACCGCGCCGAGAGTGGTGGTCGGCATCCAGCGAAGTGTTTCTTTCATGCAGCCGCGAATGTACTGCAGCTTGGATAGGTCGTCCATCTCGGGCAGCCGATCGGGGCCGATGACCTTGTCAATCTCATCCTGCGCTTTGCGTTGGGTTTCAGGGAATAGGACCATGGCCTGCACGAATGCGTACAAGGTGCTCGATGTGGTGTCAGACCCGGCTTCAAGCAATGTTCCGGCCATGTAGGCTGCCTGATCGTCACTAAATCCATCTTCCTTTTGTGCCTCGTACATTCCAGCACAGAAGCACGGTTTGATTGTATTCTGTTGTGTTTCTTCCTTGGCACGCATCCAGTGTGATAAATACAGAGCTTTTTCATGCTTGTGAAGCTCTTTTGCCTTTCGTTGGAGTGGGAGGAGGAATTCGGGTAGATTCCGGAGCCAGGGGAAGAAGTCAATGAGAGCCGCCGTTCCAGTCTGGTTTATGACTGCGAATTCGGAGAAGCCTTCGAAGAGCTGTATCATCTTTGGGTCCTCGTATGTTGGTGTGCGCCATCCGTATACCATCGTCGTGGTAAGTGCGTTTGAGTATCGGCGAATGTGCTGCAGGAAATTGTCTGGCTGTTTGAGAAATTGGTAGAGCATTTGCTTGTTCTCGAGCATTTGATAAGCGACATATTTCCTCGAGGTGGTTACGTTCAATAAGCCGTGGACCATTTTGCGGAACTGATTTCCCTTTTAGTGAATGGAGATTTGAAATCCTGCTTCAATACTTACCCCACGCCACTTTGGCCCATACTCCTGTATTGAATTTAGCACCTGCGTTATGAGCGCAAAGCTTTCGAGTTGTGACTACATACCATCATCAAAAATCTGAGACCTCCGCTGCACAAAGTTTGACCAATGTACATCTCCTGCCGGTGCGAATAAATGCCACTTCGTCTGTCTAGTAATTCCTTCACGGCCTCATCACTCGACAGGACGATGAGGCACTTTGTACCCAGCATCAAGCTGTAGACAGGACCGTATTCACGAGCCCACCTTTCGAATTGAAGATGTGGGTCTCGAGAAGGCATCTGTAGTGTTTCTATCTTAACATAAGATACGTTGTGCTAAAGACCGTGAAAACAGACCTGGTGAATATTCCCTAGGATGGGTAGAGTCGGTGGGCCAGGAGGGTACTTCTTGGGCCGGCGTCCTATCATCAACACACGAGATAGGATCACAACCGCTATGACAGCGCCGATAATAGGTGTTACGGCTAGCATTTCGACTTCCTCAAATATCGTAATTCAAAAGATAGATCATTGATTTGATTGAACTGGATAAAAGTACGACCATTTTATATGTAATGATCTCAGATTAAGCTTTCCTTTTACCCCATACCTCCGCAATTTGGGCCTCCATTCTTAGACTATTCAACACAAGATATAGCTAGTTACGTCGAATGTCGGACCTGAGTGGGGGAAATGCTCAGTCGCGGTTGCGGAGGCGGGGTACGGATGTGGGGTGCGGACTTGTGGGGACCAGAAAACGTCAAAATTTTGCACAACAGCTTGAAGGCAGGGCGGTAATTGCAGAATATGAGTAGTAGTGTGCCGTATGTGGAGATACACTTGTACACGCATGATTGCAGCCGCATTGTGCGATTGAAACTTGGGTAGCCACGTCGGCTTCGAGTGAGCCGGACCATGTTCAGTACCAAAAGTCGCAGACAAATATTGAGAAGGGAAAATAAAGGGCATCAAAGACCCAAGCACAGCTTCAGAATGAGGGGAGAGTTTGCGAAAGACCTATTGGGTACGTTCCATGTACAGGGGTTGATAGCGATATGGCTTGAGGCTACATAGATATTCACTTGACTTGATAATAGTGCAATTGATATTTGAGTTTTAAAGTTGAAACGTCTGAAGCCCCATGATAAGCTCATTTACCTGTCGCATACTAGTCTGATCGTATTTGTTCAAAATAGGATCCAATGGGCCCTCTCCTAGAGGCCCATAATCATTGCCCTGCAAAGGACCTGGTATGATAAGGCGCTCTGCCATGAGATTGGCAAGAAGCCAATATTCATGACAAAACCGAGAGAAGCCGATCCTCCTCCACATGTTGTCGGGTCGAAGGTGTTGGTCATCGACCGTAATGTGTGGTGAGATGCCGAAAAATGAAGTTGAAGAAAAGAGTTGCCAAACGCTCCGCCAATTGCTCAATGTGTTGCGGACTGGAGTCAGGTTTTGCCAGGTGCTCACTGAGCTGCGATATTGGAAAATCTGAGAGTGAATCGCTAGACAAGACTTTCTGTAAGCGCGTGCTTGTGAACTTGGAGGTGAATTGACGTACCTGATGTCAAGGCAAATAGATTCAGATATCCCAAGTCGGCGAGTGCTTGGCACGTGTCAGGGTATAAGCTGTTCTTTGATAATGACTCAAATGCACCGCGAAATGAGATATCCCAATAGCAGCTGCCAGCTGGAAGGTGAAGCAGAATCTGATTGTGACACTGATCGGCCGTTGGTGCTTGAAAGCAAGCCTCTGGAGATGCCATATGCATCTTCATCTCCTTGATTACCAGGCGAGGCGGCAAATTGTTGAATATGACAAAGGCGGTATCAAGAAGAAAGATCCATGTAAATACCCTTTTAACAGTTAGCATCGGAAGTTCCGAGCCATGATTGATTCATACCGAATGAGCTCCTCACGGACAGCGAATTCTTTCCATTCAAATTCATGCCTAGCTAGTTCGGCGTAATTCAGATGGGTGGCTGTCGCAATTCCAATGTCTCGAGCAGTCTGTGAGTGTAAGAATAATGATCGAAATCATTACTAATGGGGTTTACCTACAGATACTAGTGTGGCGAAACGATAACGGCGGATGCGGCCTTTGCTAGAGTCTGTACCTTCCCAGGTCTGGAAAAGGCAGACTACGAATGCCGCTTGCAAAATCTGAATCTTCCTGCGATGAATGGCAAGGCTGCCAGATGAAGAATTTGGAAGATCACTGTTAAAGTCATCGTCGATGAACACGATCTCTTCCACACAGTTCAGCCACATTCGTGCATCTTCGTTATCTGGCAGCTCTGGTGACACGCATGCCCCTGTATTGGTTTAGCAAGGAATATGGTATTTCCAAGAGTTAAGCTTACCCATAAGGGCCATCGCGGCCACAAGAGCAGGCTTCGCGGACACTGGGTCAAAGGTGGGTCGATGGACAAAGTTAACGTTCGGATGCCAGATGGCCCAGTACATCCCTAGAAACCTGCGTAGATTGCTTGGTGAAAAGAATTGCAGACATGCATTTTTCAGTGCCGCTGACCAGTCAAGCGTCACTGCACTGTTTCGAGGTTTGATCGTCACAACCTCCTGAATGAGCAAGAGTATGTCGTGAGTCTTCAGAGACAGCGGATCACTCAGCCAGTTCATCGGGAAACAATTTTCCGTACTGGAATCACTTATATTATCCAATAAAGGAGGTACTGGGCCCAGAGACAATCCGGATGGCACCGGCTGGTCTGGCATGTTCGCATTCACCGCGTGAAGAGATTCAAACTGCAGCGCAGAGGCAATCTGTTCTCTTTGATCCTGGGTTCCACATTCAAAGCTCAAAACCAAGCCGGTGTTGCTTGTAATTCTGCCGAGAAAATAGAGTGGGTGGTTACTGCTGGCCACTGACAGATCCTCGCGAATGACCCGCCCCAATGGCGGATCAAGAAGCTGAGGCCAGTTCGGGGTAGCCTGCTCAAGGGCACCTGAATTTAATAGATCATCCAGCGAGCTTGCTGCAAACGCCTGCAAATCTTCCGACGTAATACCAAAAGGCAAGGTTATGCCAGCTGATGAAGCAGGGTCTTCCTTTCGATCGCCATCTTTGACAGGTCGGGTCGGATCAAGTATTTGGGTTTGATCTAGGTTTCCGACATTATCAGAGACTGGAGAATAATAGCACAGAATGCCCCTTTTGGCACAGCCTTGGCAGGGATCGTGCGAGCTACACGCTTTCTTCTGGCGGACACAACGATCGCAGGCGCGTCGGCGAGCCCCTGATCTCGGGGTCCCACCATTGCAAGTTCGAACATGACGCTTTAGAACATCGGCTCTCTGAAAAGCTCCATTGCAAGAATTGCATCGGTGTGCCCGCTCTGCCGTATGCGAAGTAGCGTGGCGGGAGAGGTGTTCGCGCCGTTTGTAGCGCCGTGAGCAGGTCGGACATTGGAATTTTCGTGGTGCCGATTGCGCTCCAAGAATTTCTTCCGTTTCTGGACTTGACAACTCCAAAGACATCGTGATAATATCCCTTAATATCGAAGATAATGCGACAAGAGATTCCGAGGTCCTCGGGTTTGTAAAATTGCGGGGGGACCCGCAAATAGAGTTGCCCAGGTCATCAACCCCGGATCTTGATTCGGTACTTGGTATGCATCATTTCATTGGCTAGAGATTTGGCACAAATACTTAGGCTTCCCAGCAAGTGGAGCGCCTGAATTCTGCGGGGCAACTCGGTCCGACGGCACGGAGCCGGGGTCGGAAGGGTAAGATCACATCAGCAAGATAGCTGAGGTCTGGAGAACATTTCATTAAGAACACATTTATTCAAAGATACTATAGCAAATACAATCTATTTTGTACCTCGAGATTGGCGCCATGACAGTGCAAAGTGTTCCGTCCGTCCGAATCGTGGAAGTAGGACCGCGAGATGGTCTTCAAAATATCCGAGATTCGATTCCAACTGCGACCAAGTTGGAATTAATACGCCGGCTTGAGAGTACCGGGCTCAGCACTATTGAGTTAACCTCTGTGGTTTCGTCGAGGGCGATTCCGCAGCTGGCTGATTGCCGTGATGTGCTTGAGAGTTCGGTGGTTAAGCGGCTCATCAGCAAGTCTCATTTGAGACTTCCTGTTCTGGTGCCGAATATTAAGGGGTTGGATATTGCCATTCGACACAGTATTAAGGAGATTGCTGTATTTGTCAGTGCTACCGAGGGGTTCAGCAAGGCCAATATCAACTGCACTGTTGAGCAGGGTATAGAGAGAGCGAGGGATGTAGCGTCTCTGGCCTTGAAATCAAATATCGCTGTCCGAGGGTGAGTCAGTACACTCATAATGTTTATACCTTGCTTCTGACTGCCACAGGTATGTTTCGTGCATATTCGCAGATCCATACACCGGACCCACGCCACTAGCAGCAGTTCTTCGTTGTGTGAAGGAGCTCCTAGATGCAGGATGTTATGAAGTCAGTCTGGGTGACACGCTAGGCGTTGGGTCACCGTTAAATATCCGGACCCTCCTAATATACCTTCTCAACAATGGCATCCCACTCGAGAAACTCGCAGGCCATTTCCACGACACATACGGCCAAGCAGTGGCAAATGTCTGGGAAGCTTACAGCCACGGAATGCGCGTGTTCGATAGCAGCGTAGCCAGTCTCGGGGGTTGTCCCTTCGCCGAAGGAGCCAAAGGCAATGCGGCCTCAGAGGACCTTGTGTATATGTTCCACAATGCCGGTATCAGTACCGGTGTTGATTTGTCAAAGCTGGTGGAAACGGGAGTCTGGATCTCAGAGCAACTCTCAAGGACAAATTCTAGTCGAGCCGGCACAGCGCTTGCGGCTACGAGCAAAGCCACGTTGAATGCGAAGAGCAGGCCTTCCAAGAATTCTTCCCTCCCATGGAACTTCGTCTCCGAAACAGAACGAGCGCAGCTTCACAGATCAAGCGTCATCTTAAATCGCCCCAAAAGCGGAAATGTCTTAACAGCGTCCGTGATATCAGACCTGACTTCCGTGGTCACGGACGGCAGCAAAGGTTCACAACGGCAAGTTCTTCTATACTGGGATGGACCCAGGAAAAGGGAGTAGACCAGTTGCATAGAACGTTCTAACTAGTGATGTCGAGTTCGAGCGGCCGACTGGATTGTTCGAGGCCACTGACCAGTCTCCCAAAGTGAACATTGCCAGTCCGAGTGAACCTGCGACCGCGGAATCTCGTGTCAGATGTTGCTGACAATGCGGAGTATATCGGGAATAGACTGGATGTGTCTCTTGATCGGTTGAAGGTGGCGTCTCCTGATGCGTCTTGCAGGTCGAAGGAGTTTATCTTGGGCCCATGCTGGGGAAGAGGAACTAATGGATGGGATCAGAGGTTTGTTTGAAGCAATGATGGGTCCGGGCGCTGATGGTGCGCATGGTGTGAAGCAGTTTCAGGCGAGAAGGAGGGAGGGTTGGGATGTCTTACCTCCCGAGGATGTCGAAATTCCAGCTGTAGAAATCCAGAGAGTTCACCACATGACATGTTTCTACAACAAACTACAAGCAACGAGGAAGATATTCCAGTGACCTGAAAAGGTGGCGGGTATTATTCTCTGCTGTACACTCTCAAAATAAACCTCCGTGAATCAATAATAGCCACACTGGCCAACCCAGCCAAGGGAGCGAAGATCATCGCCCCATAAGAAATGCAAATACGCCGTGTGAATGAAGAAGCCGGCGATCAACGAGAACTTGGGATGTCTGATAGTTTTACAGAAGAATGAGACCGGCGCCGAAGACGCTGGACAGAACGGTCACGAGACCGACGGCAATGGGGGCGAAGCTCAGGTGAGGAGCCTGGAAACCGGCAGAGGCAGCGTTGGTGTGGGTGCTGGTAGAGCTACCACCGGAGGAGCTGCCGGAGCCGGAGCCGGAGCCGGAGCCAGGAGAGGCGGTGGCAGTGGACTGCGTGCCGGCGTTTTGGCTACCCTTGCCGCTGAAGCCCTCGCCTTTACCAGCACCGCTAGTCAGGTACTTCTTGGCGGGAGAGGGAATAGCGGGCAGGGCATCACCCTCAACATCCCAGTTGGGGGCGTTCTTCGCCGGGCAGCCGCTAGCACCACCAGTGCTGTTGTACTCGCCGTCCCCGGTGGGGTTGTTGGTCTTCTGGAAGGCAGTCTTCAGGGCGTCGTAGTCGGGCAGCTCCTTGACGGAGTCGCCGTTGATCTCGACCAGACCGTAGTGGCTGGCCTCTTCGGAGTACTCGTAGACGAGACCACCAGAGTAGACACCGGTCATCTTGGTGGAGTAGAGAGCGCTGACCTCCTCGAACTTACGGGTGTTGGTGTTGCAGCCGTATTCGGAGAGGAAGAGAGGAATACCGTAGCCGGTGAAGTTCTTGACCTTCTGGTCCCAGCCAGAAATCTGGAAAGAGGAGGGGTCGCACCAGGAGTAGTCATTGAAGGCGAAGAAGTCACTGCGCTCGTCTTCGGTACCGCAGTTCATGTACTCGGCCATCTCCAGACGGTTGGTGTCAATATCGGCAGCGGAGTAACCGACGGGAACCTTGCGCAGATTGTTACCAGCCAGGAAAGAACGGATGTCACGAGTGACAGCCTTGACGTAAGGAGCAGCGGCCGAGGATGGACCGTCGTTGATGACCTCGTTACCGGAGAAGAAGGCCAGAGTGTTGTCGTACTTGGCGAACATCTGGACCGTGGCGAAGATGTACTGAAGGTAGACGTCGTTGTAGGAAGCCTTGGGATCAGCACGGTTGATGGAGTACTTGGGAGTGTTGACATCCAACACCAGGTAGATCCCGGCGTCGGCCAGGGCATTCATGCACTCATCGTGGTCCTGGGAGTTGTCGACGGAGTACACACGGATGGTGTTGAGGCCGAGGTCTTGGAACTTCTTGATGTCACGCTTGCAGCCATCGACATCGGCGATGGGATCGGCGAGCTTGGAGGAGCCGCCGGGCTGGTAGTCAACACCGCGGATATAGAAACGGTCGTCGCCCTTGAAGAAGGCATTGCCCTTGACGGTGATGGGGGTGATACCGCTACCACGCTTCTCAGTGTTGGAGGGGGCACCGAGGACGGTGGAGACGCCCAGAGTGAGGGCGGTTGCGAGAGAGGCGACGGAGGCCTTCATAATGTCGATGTCGGTGATAGGGGGTATTATTCAAAAAGGAAGAAATGGCGTAGATGAAGAACGAATGTCGAAAAGAGCCGGAAGCCACCAAGTAACGAACGAATGACTGGTGAAAAGAATAAGGAAGGAACGAGGGTGAGCGAAGAACGTAGGGATGAAGGGGGAGGAAGTCGGGCTTGTCCCTGTTATACGATACACAAACCAAGCCCAAGTCCCTGATCGGCCCAGAAGGTCTCAGCAAGGATAGGCCAAGACCCTGTGGGATTCATGATGCGTTGATTGGCAGGCACAAGTTGTCAAACAGAAGTCCACCGGCTGCATAACCTCCGACTGGTCGATCGTCGAGCAAGGGGGCGCAGGGATGGAGCAGTGGAGATGCAGGACCCGACGTTGGGTATGATGTCCAGTCCCTTTGGTCCTTTCGATGGTCTGTTTTAAAGTGGTACCGTGGATCGGGACGGTGCTGTCTATTTACGTCCTCAATCACGCATCCTCCGCACCACATGCCGTTCCTAAACACTGTACTTGATCAACTCAATTGCTGCAAGTCCCTGAAAATGACATCGGCTTGGCGATAACGCGCCTCTTGGCAGTGGAGACGCCGATCACAACCCACGAAATCTTCAGCATCTCCAGGGAATGTGTTTCACACTTCACCTGCAGTTCTCCGGAGTAGAATTGGCGAACTGAGAAAATGTGTTGGATCCCTCCCGTGCTCCTTTTCCCTACCCCGTACTGGGTACGGAGGGCAACCTGCAGACTGAGACATGTGTTGCCACGGTACGCCTCGCGCCTCGGCGTGTACTCCGCCGTTGATGTATCGGGAGATGCATCCGCCACGGTGGATCCAAAGCCCTGTCTCGCCCTTTGTGCCAATCTGAATCTAGAAATTTGGGCACAAATTCAGTCGGTGGATCTCCCCCGGACTCGTCATTCGTTCGATGGCCCGTCCGTCTCCATCAAGGGTCTTGGCGTTCGTCCAACCAGAAGTACCAGGCTGCAAAATACAGTACAGTACATCTCGGAATCAAGCGTGGTGGGTGTCTACAGAACGGTGAAGTACATGAATGGCAGAGAATGAGATCTGGATCTAAGTGAATCGGGTATTCTTCGGTTCAGGCCCCCAGATCATCTACCCGCCGCGGCTTCCGATGCCCAAACACCGCCTGAAGATCCGCCCACATCCCCTTCGCTATGCTTCGCAGAGCTCCCATACTTTCAACCTGGTAAGAGTCAGCATTTTGGTCCTCAGTTTCCACCGTGTTTCAGGGGTATGGGGTCCACTAACCACGGGGTACACAACGCAGATCACCACACTAGTCCAAACCCAAATAAACGAGACCACCACCCAGCCCGTAAAGAACGATTTACTATAGACATAGCTTGTGCCGAACAGAGTGAATGGAACCAAAATCACTGCTCCGAAAATGAAGATTCCGTTAGCTGCCCACGCGATACGCTCTCCCCTCTTGACCAGGACGGGATCCATGGGTTCGGTGTTGTTGAATTCGAGATAGTCGACTAGTTCGTTTCTGACCGGGACTGGAGGGGCGAGCTCGTCGGGTGTATGTGACGTGCTCACCGGTTCCTTGGCTTCTGCCCCTTCGTTGTTCTCTTCTTCCCTGGCTCCTTCATGCTTGGCAGCTTGCTCAGACGGGATGCCAGTAAGGGCATTCATTTCTGGGGATGCGTGCTTCTTTGGGAACACGAAGGTCAGAAAGACCGCCATGATAAAACCTACGCCAAAGGACGCCAAGTTTCCTGCCAAGGCATTGGTCGTGTCGCCCGTCGTGGCTACATTGATAGCCCCGGAGCGTTTCCACGTTGTCACAAACCAGACAACAAGGCCAGAGAGGAAGCCGACCCAGGGTGCACTGACTGCAGCGACTGTAGACATGGGCTTCCACAGGAGGATCATTCCAACTGGGAGCGATGCACCACCGACGATGACACCCAGCACGGTCAGCAGCCAGGTTAGGTTGATTCCAACGGCATTGAGAATGCAGCAAAACGCAGCCAACACAATTGCATAGAACGCAATCGCCCAGTGACTGACCTTGACCAAGGTCTCCGAGCTGGTGTCAGGTCGGTAGTATGTCTTGTACACATCGAAGGTCAGAAGCGACGAGACAGCGATTAACTCGGCGGATGTGGAGCTGGTCACAGCCATGAAGAGCAGGATCAGCATCAATACGGCGCCGCCCTTTCCGAGAAGCGTGATTGCGGTTGCTGGAGCAGAGAGACCCGCATTGGTCTGCTCAGTGGATAGAGGACTCGGGAAAGTAGGGAAGTTTGGATTGCTCGTCAAAGCCGCACAGCCCAGGCCCATGACTGTCGCAAAGCCAAAGGGAATTCCTGACCCTATCAGCAATTGTGGGTTAAATGCAGAAGATTCACCACTCACCATACCAGGCAATCCCACCCAGAATATATGCCTTGACAGAGCTCTCGGGCTTCGAAGCAATAGCTCGCTGCCAGTATGCCTGGTCCAGCCACACGGTCGTGAACCCAGCCACAAAGAGATCAAATGCAAAGATCAAGCCTCCAACCGATCGAAAAGCCAGATACGACCCGTCCGTGTTCCGTTCGATCGGCATAGTCTTCGACGCATCCTGCAGAAGGTCATAAAGCTTCGCCGGGCTACCCACAATATCACTGGTGGCAACCATCGAAAACCCGAACACCAGAATAGCAATGAACAGAATGACCGTGTGCGTGTAATCAGCAATGAATGTTGACCGCAACCCACCGGCAATAACGTACGCCGCAACCACAAGAGGAATCAAAAACACCGCCGCATACACATTCATGCCCGTCAACGCACCGACGACCTGCGCCCCACCCAGCACCAAACACGCCCCAACGAGCATGTTTGTCGCAAGGCCATAGTACAGGTACGTAACATGCGCAATCTTACCATGACGCGACAACACAATCTCCGGCATGGTATGGGCACCGGGCGCATTGGCCTTGATCTTAATAGCGATCAAAGCAAACATGAGGATCTGCAGGGTACCCATAGCGCCATACCACATGGGTCCACAGACACCATAGCTATATCCGAACGTGGAACTTGTAAGGAGTGTTGCAGACCACGTCCATGAGGATACGATGCCGGCGCTGATGAGGCCCGGTTTGACGGATCGAGAGGCCGTGTTGAATTCCTCGGCTTTGTGTGTTGAGAATTGGGTGTAGCGGTTTTGTAGCCAGGTCAGCCCGAGCATGAATAAGGCGAAGATTCCTCCGATGCCGATTACGATGCCGTAGCCGGCTCCTGGTGGGAGGACTTGGAGGTCGTTGCCCATGTTGGCAATGGGTCCACGGGTGGAATTATGGTACAAAGAACTGATAAGAGCACTCTTAGGGAGGGCCCCTTTTTGTATTCAATGGTATATCTACAGGGATGTGCAGGTGGCCATACAGCGTGCTTATCGACTTAACTCCGCAGATAAGCGCCGGAAGGTAGGATTGATAGTCCCTGTCGTGAACTTACCCCAACATCTCGTTGGGGTAGGTGATAAGGGTGTCCGCATCATTGCCTGGTTGGGAGGGATATGGTTGGGGCATTCCCTCTCGTGATAAGTCCTATGAAATCATTTGTTCTATCATGGGAGCATTTATCGCGATTCATCCTGAGCGCGGTCGCTGAGCGACTTACTGGCTACCCCAAATGTATACCAGCACGGTTATAGAGTCGGAATACGAAAACTATAATTTCGCGGCCTATCTCAGGTCTTTCCTGGGGATTATTTGTCGCTTGATGGAGACGGGAATTCTTTTCAGCAACGGAACGCTTTATCTTCCCATATTACGCGGCAAAAACAGGTATTTTGCTGGATATTTATCATCATTTGGTTCATGGAATATGTTCTCTTGTTATTGATCATAGGATGACTGCTCCAGCAGGACGCCCGGGATACTACTGCCCATGTATGAAAGGTGCAGTCAAATTATCAACATGTGTTTATTAATCCGGGCCTTTTCAAAAAATTAAAACCACCGCCCTCGAACAGTGAATGATCCCTCCTGCCGAATATCCCGACTAGAGCTACCGACATAGACACGGAAGGTACCAACAGGTATGACCCATTTTTGCATCTTCACATCCCAGTAGCTCAAATCACGTCGAGTAAGCGCAAAGGCAGCCACGCCTGACTGCATTGGCTGAAGCCACAGCTTCTGGAATCCGCGCAACTGCTTTGGCGGGCTCCATGGAGCAGAGTACGGAAGACCGATATAAAGCTGGGCAACCTCGGCACCAGCGACAGAACCACTATTCAGGACGTGGGTTATGATAGTGCCCACGCGCTCGAACAGCTCTGAAGGACCGCCGGGAATGACTTTGCCAGTCGAGGGGCCAGCTCTGGCAGATACCAAAATAGAGATGCCGCTATACTCAAAGGTAGTGTATGAAAGACCAAACCCGAACTCGTAGCGAGGCATGAGACCGTTCTCGTCGAAATGGCGGTAATCAATAAAGATGCTCTCTTTGAAATCGTCAACCTCGGCGTTGACCCAGCCGGTGCCGTAGTCGCTGCGCTGCTTGGCAATCGTGTAGGGGCGCTTCCCGCTGGGAGAAACTTTACCGTATAGTACGTCGGTCAGGGCACTTCCGCTTTCTTGGCCTGGTAATCCGGCCCACACGATAGCCTTGACTGATGGTTCGGCGAAAATGGTTTCTAAGATCACGGGGCCCACGCTGTGCACGACTACGATGACGTTTTTGTTCACAGCTGCCACGGCTTGGACGAGCTTGTTGCCATCGTGCCAGGGGTCAAGGTTGTTCCTGTCACCCTTGTTGCCTTCCACTGTGATGAATCTGTAATTCGAGGATAATTAATTGTAAGTACGTTTCAGGCGATACATGTCACAGGTCTGACTTACCCTTCACCGGAGTCGGAATTGATGAAAACCACCGCAGTCTCGGCTACCGCCGCCGCCGAAGCAGCTGCAGCAGTGTCATCGGTGGTGCTTGGAATGACCTGGGTGCCGGTCCGTTCGGATTGCGCCAGAATGGCATGGAGTGGACCGATAAGATACTAATTAGACGAGTTAGCTTTAGAGGTGGGAATTCACGATGATGATAACATACCGGGAATTGGGCGGTGCCGCTACCCCATCCCATCGCTAGCGTGCCATTATCGCAGCCACGATCACTGCACGCATTCGGTCCATCTGGGTTGACGATGGCATCCGAGCCGATGACGGCCAGGCTTCTGGGTCGTCGAAGAGGCAAAGCCCCCTCTTCGTTCTTCAAAAGGATAATCGAGTCGCGGGCAACGCTGCGGACAACAGCAGCATGGTCATCCGTCACGTCGACACTGGCTTTGCCACCGTTCCAAGAACTGAAAGATACTTCCGGGTACTCCTCGTCTTGATCAACGAGATACCATGCGGCCAGAATACGGGTGACCATATCGTCGAGGCGAGACTGAGGAACTGAGCCATTGTCTATAGCCTTCTGTAGATTTGGACCCCAGAAGATGCTGCCGGGTGGGGAGCTGAAATCGCTTCCGGGCATGGTCATGTCCAATCCAGCCAACGCACTCTTGACGGTAGTATGCTGCGCATTCCAATCGCTCATAATGTAGCCCCGGAAGCCAAGCTCGCTTTTCATGAGCTTGTTCAAGATGGCATGGCTCTCGCAGGCCCAAGTCTCATTTACCTTGTTATACGAGCACATCACCGAGGCGACATTTGCCTTGACTGCGTTCATGAACGGCCACACGTAAAGCTCATGCGCCGCACGATCATCAATATTGGAACTAATGGTCTCTCGGTTATGTTCCTGCTCATTGCCAAGCCAGTGCTGTTCATGGAGTCAGAAAAGTCCCCCATGTGATAGAGTGTCTCACATACTTTGGCGCATGCTTGGACGCCCGAGTCCTGCATGCCTTGAATGGTCTCCTCCATCGCAACCCCGCTGAGATAAGGGTCAACAGAGAACCCCTCCCAGTTTCTACCCCCGCCGGGATTCTTTCCAAGGGGCCCTGCAACTGGTCCAAGCTGCACATTGACGCCAAGTCCCTTGGCCTCCGCACCCAACGCGGCACCGCGGGCGTACATCAGGTTGCGATCCCAAGTTGCACCGGCGTTAATACCCGCTGGGAAAGCCGTGACGGGGTTTGCAAATCGTACACCCAGAGGCGAGTCCTGCAGACATAATGACGGGTATCCAATAGACTCGGCAGCGTACGTGTTGCCGACACAGGGACCACCTTTCCAGGTCACACCCGTCACGATGCCGACTTTCTCGGTCTGGTTGAGCTTCTGCAGGGCTTCTAGAGCTTTCAAATAGGCCACATCCCACCCAGAGCTCCCCAAGCCGTAGGCCTGGACAGCTGTGGTAGTTGCCAGAACACAGAGAAGAAGATGCTGCATGAGGAAGGGGCTGCAGGTTGTCGTGCATCGAGACCACCAAGGTCTGGAAAGGTTCGCCCTTTATAACATCCTGCTTCACCTACCCAAAGTTACCGGTTTGAAATTGCTTCAAAGCCCAGGCCCTTCAATTTAGACTCTATCCGCTCGGACAAATTTCTAAATCCTTTAACTCCTACATGACCACCAGATTGGTTTAAACCTTGTGTCTGGCATGAAGCATCAGAAAGTAGCTCCCAACAAAGTCAGGGGCGCATTCCTGGGATGTCAGTGCCACGCCAAGTATGCAAAACAGTAAACAGTGAAGCTAGTAACCCGTGGGTGAACTCGTGCCGTCCCGTAATCTACCAATGATTGGCCCACGGAGTCCGGACGTGCTACTCCATCCAGTGCACATGTCGGACCTCAAGTGAACAGAAGGCGAATTTGATGTTCAGTACCAGAGTAGTAGAGCAAGACAGATCTTTCATTGCCCAATGTGAAGTTGATTGACGCTGTAATTCAACGGCTTTGTTCCCGATCTTTACAAGCATTGTACTATAACTTTTCTCATTCAGAAAGAGATTAAAAACCAAATCAGGTCAGACATCCTCCGGTCCTCCCTTGGGTTCAGTACCGAAAGCTTCCTCTCCGTCAAAAATCAGCGCAACTTCTTCCAGGCTGTGGCCCTTGGTCTCTGGGAACCCGAAATACACAAGGGCGATTTCAACAGCAATGACGCAGCAATAAACAATGTAATATCTCCAGCTGATCGCGTCCATGGCAACAGGATTGGCATACCCATTAAAGACCAAAACACACGTGGAAGCAATTTGCATAATGTTTGTGCCCTTGGCTCGAAGGTGAGTAGGAAGCACCTCAGTAACATAGACCCACGGCGGCCCATTCAGCCCCGCATTGTAGAAAAACTGGTAGAGGAAGATCATGACAATAACCCCAGTCCCTAGGGAGCTATCCTTAAAGCCACGTTCCTGATTGATGGCTGAGAGAATCGTCCAGATCACGTAGCAGGTCAACATTCCTACCGTAGAAAAAAGGAATAGTCTTCGGCGACCAGCCATTTCCATCAGCGAGGCCAGTGCAATGGACACTCCGAGATTGAATACTGTAAGACCGCCATTGATGCGAAGTTGCTGTGGGTCCGAGGTAAGCCCAATAGAGTTCAGAATAAGGTGGAGGTAGTAAGCGATCAGACCGTTGCCGGATAGCTGCATCATGCAAGGTACCGCGATGATGATGAAGAGGCGATGCAAATTGCCGCGTGTGCTTAGGAACTCACGATAGCCAGATTTGGAAGCCATTTTGGCAGTCTGGATCTGTAGGATAATTTCCTTCATCTCAAAGTCTACCAGGGGCGAGTCTTCATCCCCACCGGCATGGTATTTGACTAGTACCTTCCGCGCATCTTCATAGCGATCTTTCTGCACAAGATACCGCGGCGATTCTGGAAGTAGATAGACGAAAAGCACCTGAACCAACGGAAAGAACCCCTGTAGTAGCGAAGGGATGCGCCATGCCCATGATGCGTTCGGTCCCATAAAGTACGTTCCATATGTAACCCAGGCTGCTAGCATTGCGCCCAAATACCATAGGTTATTGTAGTAGCCCACCAGAACAGAACGGTGCGTTGGAAACGCAAGCTCGCTAACCAACATCGGCGATGCCTCGACCGCAATAAGACCTCCAAACCCGATAATCATGCGAGAAACCAGGAACATAGCATAGTCCTGTGCAGCGCATTGAAGGACTGCGCCAATGACAAGGAGAAGAGATCCAATGAAGATTGGAAAGCGCCGACCAGTATGGTCGCATAACCACGGAGCGATAGGAAAAGCCAGAATCTGGCCGAAGATTACCCCATTCGACAGAGAGCCTAGTCGAGTGCCTGTCGGAGAGCCGAAAAAGCCCTGCCATTGGCTCATGGACTGCAGACCGTTGAGCATCGATCCATCATAGCCATTAGTGGTGGAGGAAAGATAGGGAATAATCATCCCCAGGTTGAGAAGAAGAAAATGTCGTTCCTTGTACCACGGCTTGCTGGTATTTGGTAGCACACCCTGAAGGTTCCATTCGGACTGACTGTGGTCGATATGCTGGATTTCAGCCATCGGCTTCTCGTCTTTGTCAACCATGATGACCGCTCGCCTAGGTATGGATGGCAGATGAATGGCCCTTGGGCTGGACTACTGATCCAGGTTGAGATCGCCGATCAAGCTGTTGAACATATGTCACTTCACGTTCCCCGTTCAAGAGACGCCCGATCACCTGGGTAGACGTGAGGACATCCGTGGCTTCGTAATCCAGACATGTGCTGAGATGCGGATGGCGCGATCAGCATGATAGTTTTTGGCCCGGGTAAACTTTGTTTTTTCGGTACACCAGACTTTGCCTAAAGGCCACGGCTTGCTATTCGGCATTTCATGATCGCACCGAGCCCAAACCACCGTGGCATATCAAGGCTCGGTGAGTGGGTTGAGGGTCAAAGTTAAAGTGACTTTCCCCGCATCGACAACCCCAGCTTATCCCCGGCCCGGAGAAGTGTCAGCACGAATCGAATGAGGTTATCCGGGTTGATGGCGTTGTGGGAGATGAAACCCTAACTCGAATCGGGACAAGCGCTATTAGTCTTGGAACGAATACGAGCAGGATACCCGGTGGCCGTCCGATGAAACCCTACGCATCCCCGAAAATCCGCTGAGTATTTATCTCGAGGTCTTAGATGCCGTTCCAGTAAAGACACCCTTATGGCGGACCCTCTGCCTACCCAATCGGAAACTGCAGACCGACCGAGTCCGCCAAAACGAAAGTATTCCCGGTCGGCAGCCATTTACCCTCGAAAGCGAGCCACTCAGGCCTGCCATACGTGTCGCTTTCGACGGACTAAATGCGACAATACTAGGCCTTCGTGCGATTCATGCGTGCGACTAGGCGCGGAATGTATTTACCAGGAAAGTGATCCCTCAACGTGAGTTCTAGTATCCTCGAAACGTCGGGACCCAAGCAACTAAGCGTGACGACAGGTTTGATCCTGCCAGTCTTGCCATTCTAAAACGACTGGATGATCTGGAAGTCCTGATTCAAACCAAAACAAACGACCCGTCTCCATTGTCTCTGGTGGAATTTCCATCGACTTCGCCCTCTGACCCTCGTGGTGATTTGAGCTCCTCTGCAACCGACCGAAGAATTCCACGGAAACTGCCTTTTATCACAATTGAGACAGTCCTGGAATGGCCCGTATTTGATGATTGCAACTTTTCTCGGCATTTCCACTTGCTGGATGCCTTTGAAGAAAATACACATGACAGGGCAGGCCCAATCTCGGTCGATTTTGACCTGTATAACACCGACAGTCTTTTTCGGGAGTTCTTTGACAACGTCCACATTTTCAATCCCACCCTAGAAGAAGAAGAGGTCAGGGAATATGTCAATATTGTTCGTTTGAATGGTATTGGCTGGGACGCCATGTCCTGCCTTCTGGTCATCAACCTCTGTCCATTCGACGAACTCGACTGACTTTGAATAGCTGTTGATCTATGCCCACGGCTCTATTGCAACTCCGTTTGTAAAGAACGGACGAGGAGTATCACCAGCTTCATTCGGAAAATCAACACCTTTCCTCCAAGCTGAAGCCTACTTTTGCGCGGCGCGAAAGCGCATGGGCCCGTTGCTCTGTAGCAGTGGTGTGATTGAAGCGCAATGTTTCTTCTTGGCCGGTGCTTATCTTATGGCAACCTTACGACCTGTCGCAGCCTGGAGAATGTTTGTACAGGCATTGGCCTGCTGCCAGGGGTTTTCCCTCCGGCAGAGGAATGGCCCTCGTGGACAAAATGAATCGAGCACTAAACAGAGGATCTACTGGACTTGTTTCAAATCTGAGCTGTAAGTCATTGATCACCAAGTGAGGAGGCCTGTGACTTAAATGGATGACAGAGAACTCCGTTTGGAGTTGAACGTCTCACAAACAGGTGTCTTGGATCTCAGCTATCCAATCCTATTCCCTTCACCACCCGAGCGACTCAAATCAAAGGATGAAGCTACGTGGTATTTCTATCTCGCCGAAATCGCTTTACGGAGGCTGAAAAACCGTATCCTGGACTCTCTGTACCGACATGACTCGGCAAGCCCCGAGTTCACCATTGAACATGCCATCTTTGACTTTGAAGAGCAAACAGACGCATGGTAGATAGAACCACCTTGCAATCTGGGCATGTACAACAACTGACTTCACAACTAGGCTGGCATCACTACCCGAAACATTAGCTCTCGGCGTGGTCAACCCCGACACAGACCAATACGAACCCTTTCGTTTCATCCTCAGCGGCCATTTCCTCGACTGTCAAGAGACGATGTACTGGCACTTTGTAGTAGAGGGCATCCATGGCCGAGTATCTAGCAGCAACGAGCATTTCGTTCGGAAGGGCTTAAAAGTATGCGTGGACAGGATCCAGCAAAATAAGACGGGTTTCTATCACCGACATCACGGGACGTGGCTGATGCTTCGATCTTGTACGCGAAGCGCTTTGGTGTTGCTTGCTGCCAGACGGTGTGTCGAGCTTGCTGGGTTTCTATCGCTGGGTTGGAAGGAAGCGGTGCTTGACGTAACGAGGATGCTGGCTTTTTGGAAGGACGAATCTGGGGATATATTGGAGATGCTGAACGTTTTGCAGGCATTGCTAGATGCTGACGATGCAGCTATGTGAATTTATCAATCAAATTAGTATATACCCAAAGAGAATATATGGGCTTCAACTATTTACATCGACTCTTGGTACAAGCTTCCGAGACCGATCACTCGGAATGCCGCTTCCCCAGCTTATCGGTTCCATGTACCCAGTCCAGCAAACCAATTGATCCATAATTCAAATTGAACTTCTCATGGTGCAGGTCATGCATCTTCGCCTTGTTATGGAAAAAGTCATACCCACTATGCACGGTGGCAGTATTGAACAGCTCCCAAGCCAAGAAGAGCCAGAACGTCAGCACATGGCTCCGCAGAAGCTGCGGCGGCAGTGATATAGGGAGTGCATTGGCAAATATCTGCTCCAGGGGGTGGGCGAATTGCGCAGCGAGGGCGATCGGTGCGGTGAATTTGTGGTGTTTCTTGTGGATGCGGCGGTAGAAATACGGTACGTGCAGCAAGCGATGGCTGTAGTAGAACAGTGTTTCGCGGATCAGAATACTGATGAGGAAGTCGCGAACAACCTCCGTGGCCGGCGGTAGGGCTTTCTCGACGCGGTATGAAGATGATGACCCGGCGCGACTGGTTATGAAAAGAAGTGATAGGTGCAGTGCCGAGGACAAGATCTGGTTCTGGGTCACGACCAGGAAGCAGCGCGCGATGTCGCGTTGGGTGGGTTGTTTGGGAGCCGGTTGGATCTTGTGTCGTTGCGAGAATGAGGGCGCAATGGCATCCAGGAATAGATAGAAGATAGATGGCAGCCAGAACGAAAGGACCTGGACAAGCAGTGTCCCCACGAACTCGATCCACTGGGGTGAATAAGCCGCCACAACCTCAGACCAGAAGGCCGCTGCCTTTGGCAGCGATTGGCCAACGTGGAGATAAACAGCCTCCATAATGAAGAGCTCACACTTCTTGATAGCACACGATCAAGGACTGTCGCGGGGGCAGCGCTATGTGAGGGTCTTGCCGCCTCTTTATGAACCTCGGCGTCAGGAGCCCCAGAAACCTTTTACCGCGCCCCGCAATCGATCGACAGGTGGATCTCGGCTAACATCTCGCCACGTGAAGCTGTCACGGAAGTTAAATTAGTTGTGACAGCAAGCAATTGACTTCAGAGTGATAATCAAATGATAAAGTGGATATGAATGATGAAACTGCTATGGACAACTGGACAAGGGTCTCAAGGTGATCCTCCCCGCAACAGCCCGAAAGCGGTCCCGCAAAGGAGAGGAGCGAACAGAATCAATTCAAACCATCAAAATAACTGAGAACTCGATGATCTGGCATCTCATACTTGGAAAGTCCGTTGATCAGCCCTGGGCTCCCGTCGCCGCTTCTTTACTCTGATCGCACCCAACGAGCCGATCGATGAGTGTTCCACCCCTCCTTGAGGAGATGGATGGATATGGCTGGTGCCACTGAGAGGAAGGTTGTTGCCTGGGGAGAGTAAATCGGTGTTTACGAGAGAAAGTGGGAGTAATTTGGGCTCTAACTGGCTCAAGATGAAATGATTTCATTGCAGCTGAGATCGACTCGTCGTCATCTATATCCGAGCGAGCGCAATCGGTTTTCCTCACATCAACAATTGAATATCACCATCATTCAGCGCAAAAGCTAATCGCAGAGACACGCAGAAAGATTGAATACGATAACGAAAAGCGACGATGGGTGGGATCGGGCCACAATTCCTTTGTTTTCGCTAAACTCGGGCAGGAAACATCCGGCCCAAGTGTGTCGATCGGATCGACGCACAAATCCAAGTGTCACATTATCTCAAGCAAAAAGGGTCCTACGGGAAACTCCGAACTTAAATACCACTCAGATCCCCGATTGTCGACACCTCATACGCTGGCAGTATGTCTACAGAATCCTGTTTATTCCGCAAAGCTGTACCTCCCAGTACCTCCACGCCGATATGAGTTCCCAATCGGCCTGAATCAACCAGGCCTCAGCCAGCAACTTTACTCAACCTCCGATAGGTGATTTGTCAAGGCAGGGCCCAGTGCCTGACGGGCAGTCAATGTGGAGGCTCGTTTCTGGCAGCCGAAGGGCCCAATACAGGATGAATCTCATTGGCTGGTTAGTAGTTCGGAGACAGGAACTACCTACAGCGCGGTTGAATGGGGTCAAAGGTTGAACTCTGTCAATGGGGCGATGATCAATGTCTCATATGGCCCTGATCATTGTGAGTTGTCACCTGGTCATCTGCACGCCCTAACGCGGCCTAACGCGCAGCTTGCTTCCACGAACATGGAGACGTTCGGTTGGGGACTCAATTGATTAAGTCATGACTATCCAGATATTGCAGCGAGGTATTAAAAGGAATTGCGAGACTTGCAGTATATCAAAGGGGTTTTATAGACGTCGTTGCGATGGTCGAATAACGAGCTCGGCTCTCTTAAGGTTCCGCCCCTGCGGTCCCTGGTGGCTGCAGATTATCCTAGTACGACAAAGGCGTGGTTTTCTACCTGGGCATCTGCACGTCCTTTGCTACAGCCAGTAAAGTCATAATCTAGAAATATCCGAGGGGTCTAACCCCCAAGCGGTGGACTGGGCCAGAAGGACTCCCTATATCCTGGAACTTATAAGGAATCCCAGCCGCCAGCGTTCTATTGAATTGATCCCATCTCCTTTGACGTTCTCTTCTCTCTCTCTCTCTCGTAAACGGTCAACATGGTTAATCTTAATTACTCTTGGCTACTACTCATATTGGGTCAACTGGTTCGTTCAGCCTCTCTTCCGAGACACCAACTCGGCAGAGCCGAAACCCTAGGCATTCGAAGGGAATGGTACGTTGCACCCGTGACACGCTTTGTGCTATACAATTGACAGATATTCAGGGGCGAGCTACTCCCGAGGGAGCGGATCAGCTACACGAACGCTGTGCTATGCCTACAGAAACTCCCGAATCAGGTTCCAACCGCAGAATATCCGGGGGTTCGGAGCCGCTTTGATGACTTTGTGGCGTATGTATCGAACCCATCACATCGGAGAGATCCGACGCCCCTCGACTTATTCTAACTTCGGTTCAGAACTCACATTAATTACACACTGCATACCCACTACAGCGGTCTGTTCTTGCCTTGGCACCGGCGGTTCATCTGGTTGTGGGAAAGAGCTCTGCGAGAAGAGTGTGGATACCAGGGATATCTGCCGTATGCCCCCTTTCCATCCTCTCTATGCACGATTCTATGCACAGCTCTATGCATGACTCTATGCACGACTCGCTAACTCGGTATCAGATACTGGGACTGGCCTCTTTGGGCAGACAACCTTGCAGCGAGTCCGCTCTTTGACGGTAGTGAGACATCCCTCTCCGGGGATGGAGAATACAACCCGGGCGAACAGAACATGACCGGTGGGAATGTCACTCTCCTCCGAGGCTCCGGTGGAGGCTGCGCCAAGAGCGGGCCCTTTAAAAATATGAAAGTTCATATGGGGCCATTCTCACGCACCCTGACCTCAACCACCGAGATCCCGGCGCCGAGATTCGACTACAACCCGCGCTGTCTCAACCGCAGTCTCAACGACTTCGTCGCCAGCCGGTACACCAATTCCACCCTGGTTTCCACACTGATGGCAACTACCAAGATGGCGGATTTCCAAATGGCCCTGGATCACTGGCCGCCGCGAGAGGACGGGGTTCTTGGCCCTCACGGCGGCGGACATTTTAGCATCGGGTCAACAATGCAGGATTTATTCGGGTCGCCCCAAGATCCGGCTTTCTATTTGCATCACTCCCAGATCGATCGATTGTGGGCGAAGTGGCAAGATGCGGATGATGCGAACCGGCGGAACGCGCTGAATGGAACGAGTACAATCATGAACCCGCCCGCGGCGGATCCCGTCACTTTGGATACGATGATGGAGTTCGGGTATCTCGATGCACCCCGACCGGTACATGAGGTCATGAGTCCCCTGGCCAACGGGTTTTTTTATATCTATGCTGGAGACACGTAAACTGATGTCCGAGCTTTGGGGATTGGGGACGACCAGGCCGAGATGACTGCAAACGGTCTCAGGTGGAATTTTGGAACACCGAAGGCCTAATGCCTTAATTGTAATGAGTGATGAGAGTTAGTATAGATGACCGCAGATGTAAATTTCATCGTGCTTCCAAGGTTCCAAGGTTCACCGTTTTTCCGAAAACGTTACAAATGGGATTGTGCACGACGAGAGCCACGGTTGGGCCAGGAACCCGTGTGCTTCGCTGTTCCGCTCTGTTTCCACGGTCTTCTCCATTTTCAGGGCTGTGTATGACAACACGACTGCCGTGCTATTTTCAGTGTGAGACCGGGCCAATCATGCCGAGGCCGATAAGCTAGCGCTTTCTTTGATCTCCAATCGATTGACCTGCCGATCCGTATTTTCTGCATCAAGGCTGGAAAGCATCTGTCAAGGCATCTGAGGTAGCATTCCCAATCAAGCTCCCGGTCGGCATGTGTCAATGAGAGAGGGGGGTTTCCCGTATAGTTCGCCAATGATCGGCCGATCGACCGGCTTTCGAGACAAAACGTCCACGAAGGAAGAGCTAGCACCGGCGAGCTAGTGGATTTAGTGGTTGCCACCGGATCCAAGCTTCCCTGGACTATTCCTTTCGGGAGTTGATGGGATCCACTAGTTCTAGCGCCGCCTGAAAACCGGATACCTCCAGCACTACGTTGCGTCTGACTTTTCCTTTGTCTCTCGTCCTCTTTAACCCTGCGTCCTCAAACCCTCCCGCTGCATGCAATTTAATTTCCCCTCAACAGCCCGCCCCAATTGATCACTTCTCCAACTCCTTCAACCCCACCCGACACCTGCCCACCATGCTGCGCGTCAGCTTGCTCCAGGTGTTCATCCTCTCGCTGATGATCCTGGCTACTGTTTTTGCAGCCGATCAGCCTCCTATTCCTCAGGACAAAGTCGTCCATCGTGAGTCTCTCCAGGATGCGCTCGCTGGTATCAACGTGGCCTCGATTCACGATGCCTTGCACGCCTTCTCCACCAGGTTCCGTGACGGCATTTTCCCGACTGACATCAGTGCCGCCGAGGCCCTGCAAGATGAAGATGAGAAGATTGCCAGTCTGCTGCGCGTTGTGAAGCGTCAGGACAACACCACCACTTCTGAACCTGCTTCCACCTCGTCGACTGCCTCGACCACCTCCAGCAGCGACCATACTACCTCGGCCGATACTACCAAGACCACCTCGTCTACGGTGCCCTCTACTACGAGCTCTAGCTCCAGTTCAAGCTCCAGCTCCAGCTCCAGCTCCAGCCCTACCCCGACATCCACTGACGCGACTACCACTTCGAGCACCGACAGCTCGACGTCGACTGTTCCTAGCACGACGTCGACTACCGTTCCCTCGACGCTCTCGACTACTACCAGCACTTCGTCGACCCAGTCGTCTGCACAGAGCACGACTTCCTCCACCAGTTCTGAGAGCTCTTTCACCTCAATCTACAAGAGCACCACCACCTTGCCCAATGGCAGTCTGAGCACCATCACCTCTACCACGATCGTGCACGTCAAGCCCACTGGCAACTCCGGCACCACCACCGCCGGTAGCTCTCCTGGTCTGCAGACCGGTGCTGCCGCATTGACCACCGCCGGTCGCGCTCGGGAGATTATCGCCATGGTCGGTGGAGCCGTCGTGGTTGCAATGGCTCTGTGAGGAGCTCCCGACAAAATCTTGATTTCCGTGATCACTTTCATCTTTTTTTCTGCATAGTCATTCAGCAAACTAGCATCAGTCCATAGCATTTTCGATGACGATTGTCATCTCACGATCCTTACGAGCCTCCGACTTACGCCTTTCCTTTCTCTGGGCTATCTCTATGCTTTCTCTGGCGTTTACATGACCGGGATATGGTCTTCTATTTTACTTCGCACACAGTTTGCAACTTAAGACGGCGAGCATCTACAGCGTGCAGTTTCTTATCATTTTTCCTGTGACTAGATATCTTGGCACATTTGACATCAAATGCAATCATCAACCTCGACGGCCTCTTGAAACTCTTCGTACTATAACTGTAAACTTCGTATGCTGTATATCTTTCAAAAAAAAATACAAATATAATGTGCAGTAGGGTATGTATGCGCCACGGCGCGTCTGAAATCCAAAATATAAACCAATTGCGTCAACAAAATATTTCCGATCGTGGAATGACCCGACCTTATAATCGAGATCACCGTCCAAAGTTGGTATTTCCCTGCCATCGCTCCTCGCCTGTCCAATATCGCACCACGCTTTCCCAACCGGCAATGTCACCGTCACGGAGCAGCGCCGCGACATCGACGTTGAGTGGTGAGTCTGTCGCCGGTTCCGTCAAGAGTTGGTGGATGGCGGTGAGGGTCGACGAAATCGTGTAGATGGGGGTCCAGTGCTCGGACGTCAAGAGGGTCAGGCAGATCTCGCCCTTATCGAAAGAGATGTTTGGGTGCGATATCCGGGTCGTGAAATTGATCGTGGGCGGTGCCAGAGGGTAGTTGGGTGGGATGGCGATGCGCAGGTGCCAGAGGCCGCCTGATGGTTCGTTAGCTGGCAGTCGTAAATGGCCTGAATTCCAACATACCTTCATACGGCGAGCCATTCACGCCTTTCAGAACGGCCTCCCATCGCAGCAGGTCTTCTTCATCGACGGGACCCAGATGGAGTAGCGCTTCGTTTGGCGACTTGGAGTAGTCCTTGAGCTCGCGCAGGAGCCGTTGTGTCGTCTGCGATGAAGGCGAGGCCATTGTGGAGGAATGCTGGTGGCCTCAAGTGGAATGTGGCGGGGTGAATGGTGGTGAGAAAGAGTGCTTCCCCTCGGCGGAAAGTTGGAAGTCGGAGAGTTGGAGAGCTGGGGTCATCGCCGAGGCTGGGGATCCCGAGTTTGCCCCATCGCGTTCGATCCGCACTCCACATGTGAAACTGTCTCCCTTTTCGACTTGATTTTGTACTTGCCCATCATGCGCACCTCGCGTGCTTCCAAGGAGGCCTCCAAGGTCTTCCAGGCACTGTCGCCTGCGCGACGCTCAACGCGTAATTCCTCGCTCAATAGCAGCGCGCTGCGAAGTTTCGCATTCAATTCAGATCCGACCGTGAAGACGGAGTCGATCCCAACGATCGCTCATCTTCCTGTCAGAAGCGACGATGAATCTTCCCTCTCGTCCGCCGATACAGCTGACATCGAAGATCTCGTCGAACCGCCTCCCAAACGTCGGAAACGCAATGCCAGTCCCAAGATCCTCCCGACGCCAACTCGAACTGCGCGCAAGCCCGTGAAAGAGGAAGCTCCAGATGAAAAGGCCACACCGCCATCTAAGGCTCGCCGCATGCCGGCAAGGAAAACTCGTGATGCCCAAGGGGAGGTCGTTATGGAGCCACCATCCAACTGGGAGACCATGTACAACATTGTGAAGAAGATGCGTGAGGATAACCCGACGGCACCGGTGGATACAATGGGTTGTGCTGAACTCTACTGGCGGGCCTCATCACCGAAAGACCGTCGCTTCCAAACTCTCATCGCATTGATGCTTTCATCCCAGACCAAGGACACCGTCACTGCGGTCGCGATGCAGCGGCTTCACACCGAGCTTGGAGAGCAGCAGGAGAGTGCGGATGGCCTCAAAACCGAACAACCGGAATGCATCAGCGACGTCAAGATCAAGACCGAGGAGGGCGAGACCAAGACCCCGGAATCGAAAGACAGCACGCTCAACTTGAACAACATCCTCGCCGTATCCCCAACTAAGCTGAATGAACTCATCCAGAAAGTCGGATTCCATAATAACAAAACCAAGTACATCAAAGCTGCCGCTCTCATCCTACGCGACCAGTACGAAGGCGATATCCCCCCGACCCCAGAAGAGCTCATGAAACTGCCCGGCGTGGGCCCGAAAATGGCCTACCTCTGCATGAGCGCAGCTTGGGGTAAACACTTGGGCATTGGAGTAGATGTCCACGTGCATCGGATCACCAATCTATGGGGCTGGCACAAGACGAAAACGCCCGAGGAGACTCGTCTGGCGTTGCAGTCTTGGTTGCCAAAGGATAAATGGCATGAGATTAATAAGTTGCTTGTTGGGCTTGGTCAGACGGTTTGTCTTCCTGTAAAGAGACGATGTGGAGAGTGTTATCTGGCCGGGACGAAGCTTTGCAAGAGCGAGGTGAAGGGTCTTTTGCCGGTCAAGACCGAGGCTGGTATTAAGAGTCTTGTGGATGAAGAGCCAAAGATCAAGATTGAAGCCCTGTGATCTGCTGGACAGTCTACATTTTGTGGCTCAAGTCGTCCTCTTGTTTCTGCTCTCTGAGATGGAACGACGGCACCGCATACGAGAAACCCAAATTACCACTCTACCTCAGTATGACCGCGCCGAAAGATTTCCAATTTTCTCTTCAATTCTCTTCTGTCTCGGATTTCTTCCTCGGGCCTGTGAAAGTATAGATCTAATCATTTGCAATACATTATCACGTGGCATCATGTCCCTAAGTGGTTTCTGGAAACCAAGAGCTCTCTTAGTAAGTGTGGCGGGTCGGTTCGGTCGGGTGAGAATATAATTTACCGAGTAAAAGGTTTATTGTCTGGGAAACGATTAATGAGTGTCGACCTGAGGAAAGGAGAATTACTACATGTACAATCTCGGATCGTGTCTCGGTCCGTATCCGAGCCCGACGCAATCATATTTGGTGAGTATGTAAGTGGGTGTTTATAAGTTGGTAACTACGGGTTTACCGCCGATTTTCTGCTATGTTTTCTTTCACGAGCTGGTCATATTGTGATAAATAGATAGACAGGACAGGAACCAAGGGAATGCCTTTCCGTCACAGTAACAGGCAGTGGATGAGTTGACAGTATGGAGCGTAGCCGGGACTGAATTCCCTCATAGCAACCAACCCGTGGACCCTTTCCTTCGCATATATCGTTGCAGGAGCTATTGACCAACGTATTGAACAGTGACACTGTTGCCGCTGGCAGAGCTGGATGTAAGAACCTGCCCGCTGCTTGACTGGATATCCACAATAGTAGCACCGTCAGTTCCAACAGTCGAGCCGCCATCCATAGCCTCAGCGCCGGAGAAGGTGACAGCCCCAAAGTTGGCAAATGGAACCAGAGAGCCTCCTTCCTCGAAATCCTCAACAATCCACTCGGCATTGGTTTCGCATAGACTACCATCCTCGCCTCCATTGAAGGTGTGGGTGACCGACTGGCCAGTAGATGTGTTCTCAATAGTGGCAGTGCCAGAAGTAAGTGAGGAAGCGTCCACAGTCATCTGGATCGTGTCTCCCGCAGAAATTTCGAGATTGTTAAAGTTGTAGGCGTTGTCGGGGAACCACTCGTACCATGCACTGTAGGTCGTAGAACCGTCCTGGATACAGAAGTCCACTCCAGTCTGCAGGATAGCAGAGCTGCAGGTGTCTCCATCAATACCGACCCAAGCCGCGGCACAGTATTGCTGGCCCGGAGATGCGTCACTAGGGGCCTGGGGGGTGGGAACAACGATTGACGCAGTCACCGCGGTGTATCCAGAGCCGATCAGGACAGCACCAGCCCAGTTTGAGTCATACTGCTCCTCGGTGGTTTGCTTGAAGTGCATAACCTCGTTGGTCCCAGGCTTCATAGGCAGTTGGGTCTTGCCAGCACGTGCATTTTGGCGAGCAGCATTGCGCGCCTGGCGTTGAGCAGTCAAAGGTGCAGCAATGGCAGTAGCCGCAAGGAGCGAGCTGCTGAGAATGGAGGTAGAGAACTTCATGATGCACACAAAAGTGACTGTATAGAATAGACTGCCTTTGATATAAGACTCAAAGCTAGCTGGGCTGGACTGAAGAGAGGCTTGCGTGAGGGATGAAAGTCTTCTCGGAGGGGATGGTCTCGGTCTTATATCTTGACATCCTGCGCGGGGGTGTCTTCCCCCGTAGCACGATAGAGAAAAGGATCAGCACAAAAAACCCCGAGTATCAACTGTGTTCTGGTGATCCAAACACTATGAAACTTCATGTCGATGCAACATTGATAGTGAGCTAGCGCCATTAGGCGGCACAGAGTATATAGTTTGGGTTTGGCTGAAGAGTATAACGCCGCCGGAGGCCGATGGAGCGGGTCAATCTTGTACTAGAAATGCCACCTAAATCAGCCTAGAGAGATGAGGGACGAAACTTTGGCTCAGATAGGAAAGTAATCGGATCTGGATGTACCCTGAAATGAAGCCCAGAAGAAATTCATTGGTCTTCCTCAAAATTGGTCATCTGTTAAACTTGAAATCTTTTTGGCGACCTTCCGGAGATTTATACCGTGGAAGATGGAAATTAGCCTGGTAGCCAGTGAGCCGTTCGAAGCCGCCATACCTATCAAATGTAGAAGCAATAAAGAATTAGTTAACTGTGCCTCATTCCCACTGTCATGTTAGACATACAATATTGTCCGCATCGACCACTTCTCCACTCTGAGACATGACACGGCATATGCTTCCCCGCCTAATTTCGTCAAGTCAACCCTAGTCAGCCACCGGCATTCCCTTCCGGGTAATGGAACCGTAGGATAGAAGTTTGCGGATTTCCGACGGAGTTTGGTATCGCTAAAAGTAAGATTCAAGATTTAATTTCACAAGCCAGCAGAGAGAGACCTGGATGTCACGGTATACCAGGTGATAGCCGTATCCAAATAAACTAGCGCGAACAAGGGAACGATCAGCTGTTTTGCTAAGTACGTTGGACTGATATTTGATTAGCGACACCGATGCGATGCTACTGTGGCGCCGACGCTAAGGACTCTTTATCGGCCACGAGGAGATGCAGAATCGCCACTGCCGACTGTGGGGTGAGACCCCTGGAAAGCGTGGCTAACCACTCGAATACCAACAGAGCGTTGATAGCCAGGGGTTTTTGGAGGGGATTGCGATAACATAGTATCGCGGGAGGTCATCGCGATAATTTTGATTACCGCAGCCTTTTAGCTGACCCTGCGTGACCACGGAGGGGGAGAGGGGGACTGGGTTGGGCGCCACTACTGCAGGGTGCAGCCTAGATCACCCACGCTAACTCAGTCCGGGAATCAAGTCCCAAGTCCACTGGAGATAAGGGTTCGGGAATTCAACTCTTCAGACTCGGAGAATGGCGGAAAGCTTGTTTTCTATGGCCAAATGGGATGTCCAATCAATCAATCAATCAATCAAAGCCCAATTAACCTGAGGGAGGCTAACTAGTTTCGCCAAGGCTATGCGGGCGCTTGTCCAAACCGAAGCAGAACTTGGTATCCTGAACGCCGTGTCTGCGGAACCAGACCCTATACAAAGGAAACCTGGCCTTTTATTGGCCAGTACGGTAAGGGATGTAAGCAAATAAAGAATCCAACGGCCTCGAATTCCGCAAATCCCAGTGTCTTCCCCCGACATCTCCCTAGCCCCTATATTCCATCTGCTCCGTTCTCAATTAATCGCGGTGGCGTATTATATCGTAAGATGGTGAGGTCTGCTGGCCTTTGTGGATGCCCGGTCTTTCTGTATTCGGTGGTGGATGCGCAGCGTCCTCGCAACCTACTCCATGGCCGCAAGCCGATTCGTTCGCGGTCGTCACCGAGTTGATTTTCAAACAGTTCCTTGACGAGCGACGGTTCTACCATCACGGGAATACGATGCTCTGTACGAAGAATATTGACAAGGGTCATGAACAGGTGGTGACGGAACGCGCTGGGTTGCAGTCGATGAGGAGAGAGTCTCAAGTTGAATGGTACATGATCAGCCAAAGAGGTAGAGTTTTCAGCATAATTGGCCAAACGGGATGATTCCCCAACCATCGTGAAGCCCGACACGCGTCACATGCTTTTCCTAATACCCTCGCATTCCCCGTCACGCCAGGAAAGTCCATCGGGGTTCGGGCAGAAGTTCGAATCCCGTTTCCGATTATACTAGTGGCCGTCATATCCCATAGTAGGAGTTCGGACATACATAGTAGGAGTCCGGGCATGCATAGTAGGAGTACGGGCGTACGTCCTACTGCCCTGTCTGATCGTATTCTTTCTAAGCCTGCCACTATGGGTACTGCTTCGGATGCTTTCTATTTTGCTCTTCATCCGAATCAGCTAAGATTCCTGGTTCAATGGTGGGTCTAGAATCTAAAATGCCCTCTCTTGAATGATTGCCGAAACTTATTGACCCTGGGTGTATCAATCCTGTAGGAAACTACGACGTATTCCCATACACAAGAGAGACGAAACGCGAGAGTCAACGACAGCCAAGATCTGCTTCGAATTCTTGGATCAGACAGGTCGCAGCTTCAGTCCGGTTATCAAAGAGCTACACCCCGAGCTACTCTTGCCCGTATGCGTGTTTTACCTGATACTGCGTGGCCTCGATACGATCGAAGACGATACATCAATTTCCCTCGATGTTAAAGAGCCACTCCTTCGAAGCTTCAAAGGTCATCTAGATCAAGAAGGCTGGACGTTTACCGGCAATCGCCCAGAAGAAAAGGATCGCGAGCTACTGGTGCAGTTCGACAATGTCATTACCGAGTTCAAGACATTGAAGCCAATTTACCAAGCGATTATCAAGGATACAACCGACAAAATGGGGAATGGTATGGCTGATTTTGCGAAAAAAGCGGCTCTCGAGGATGTAAGCGTGAATTCCGTGGCAGAGTATGACCTCTATTGCTGGCATGTAGCCGGGATCGTTGGCGAGGGTTTGACTCGCCTCTTCGTCGAGGCCAAGATGGGCGAGAATACCCTGATCAACCACTCACTATATAGATCAATGGGTCTCCTCTTGCAAAAGAACAATATCATCCGTGACATCCGTGAAGATTTCGATGACGGTCGCCGGTTCTGGCCCAAAGAAATCTGGTCCAACCATGTCGACAACTTTGAAGACTTGTTCGAACCCAAGTTTCTCAAGAATGCGCTTGATTGCAGCTCCGAGATGGTCTTTAATGCTCTAGAACATGCGTGTGACTGTTTGTCATATCTTGCGGGCTTGCATGAGCAGAGCGTGTTCAACTTTTGCGCGATTCCTCAAACAATGGCTTTGGCTACGCTGGAGTTGTGTTTTCGCAATCCGGCGATGTTTCAACGAAACGTTAAAATCACCAAGGGGGATGCGTTGCAATTGATGGTTGAGTCTAGCCAGGATCTCGAGGGCGTGGTGAAAGCCTTTTGTCATTATGTTCGTCGAATTCAACGAAAGAACAACGCCGAGGATCCGAATTTCTTGAAAATTAATATTGCATGTGAAGAGGTTGGTACTTCCATAACTGATAAAGGGTTGTTGACAGTAGCTGATTTGATAAGATTGAGAATTTTGCTGAGACTCTGGCGCCAAAGAGTGTTGAGCTTGCCAAGAAAAAGACCGAAGGGATGGAGCATCAGGCTGGGTCTAATGCTGGAAAAGTGACTGCCGCTTTGGCAGTCGCTTCAATCTTTGTACTGGGGTTATCCTGGCTCATAGCTCATAGAAGTTCGTTTTGATTTTGCTTGAGTTTCTACTAGATAGGTAAAAGCTTGGGGTAGAAATGGACACTGGAGGTATATTCCATTGTATAAGATGACTAAACCCGGTGAGGTCACCCGTGGTTCGGACATACCAGCTTCAAATTATCCCCGAGAGCTCCCCACAACACTGACCTTGAACACTTTGCGCCTCGCCCCCGGAGATCCAATTGTCCTGCCGCTATCAAAAGCAAACCGATATATCCTCCCGGGCAGCTGCAGTTCCTCCACCACACCGGCCAAAATGGCCCCAACCCCAATCTCAATCCCGCTCTTCGCGGAAACCCAGCTCCAACTCCTCCTCCACGAACACGAAGCCGAGGTCTCCTCCTCTTCCCTCGCCTCGACCGCCGCGTCCATATCGCCGTCAACCCGACGAACACTTCAAGCAACAGGTTACGCCCTGACAGGCCTGGTGCTGTCACAATGCCGCACCGGCATGGGAGGTCGCGTGGTGGGCGAGTTCACACCCGACCCCGCTATCGCGTCGGGATCAAAAGAAGATGGTGAGCGGGCGTCAGATGGACAACCTCGTCTTGGATCGCATGGAATCCGGGTTGGCGATGTTGTTCGTGTCAATGATGTTTCTGCGGGGTCGGCGAAGAAGGTGGGGAAGGATAAGGGTAAGGATGGGAAGGAGGGGGCGAAGGGTGGACCGGAAGGTGTTGTTACGAAGACTGGGGATAAGGCTATTTGGATTGCGTTTGGACAGAGGGGCGGTGGGGGTCGTTCGAAGGAGGAGGATGAAGCTATTGAGGAGTTGTGGGGGAAGAAGCTTTGGGCGTATGTTTCTTCTGGTCTGGAGAAATGGCACGTTGTTGCTGATATGAATGCAGGATTAAACTTGCCAATGATGTTACTTATAGACGGTGAGTCGTGATTCTGAAGGGTTATGTGGAGGTTGAGACTGATCTTTGCAGGATGAGGCAGACTATGGAGAAGATGGTCAAGATGACCGAGGCAGACCATTCGCATTTCATGCGAGTTGCATTTGGACATACGACCCCGTTACAACCGGACCATGAGGAGACGGGGCCAATTGGATTTATGGATCCGACATTGAACGACTCGCAGAAAGATGCCATTCGATTCGCCCTGGCTTCGAAGGATATCTCTCTCATTCACGGCCCGCCCGGTACCGGAAAGACGCACACTCTTATCGAACTCATCATGCAATTGGTCGAGCGGAAGAAACGCATTTTGGTCTGCGGTCCATCAAATGTATCCGTGGATAATATCGTGGAGCGACTGGCCCCGAAAAAGGTCCCGGTCGTACGGATCGGACATCCAGCCCGACTCCTTCCTTCGGTGCTCGAGCACTCTTTAGAAGTTCTTACGCAGACGTCTGATGCCGGGAATATCGTTAAGGATGTGCGCAAGGAGATCGACTCCAAGCAAGCTAGTATCCGCAAAACCAAGTCCGGTCGAGAAAGACGGGCAATCTACGACGACTTGAAACAGCTCCGTAAGGAGTTCCGAGAGCGCGAGTCCAAATGTGTTGATAACTTGGTGCGCGAGAGCAGCGTGGTTCTGGCGACGCTTCATGGTGCTGGAGGTCATCAGCTGAAGAATCAGAGGTTCGACGTGGTCATCATTGATGAGGCTAGTCAGGCTCTAGAGGCTCAATGTTGGATTCCACTTTTGTCTGCGGAAAAGGTTGTGCTCGCTGGCGATCACTTGCAACTACCACCGACTGTCAAATCAGCCAACTTGAAGTCCAAGGATGCAAAAGAAAGTGGCCAGCCGAAGAACGAAACTGCCGACAAGGAGATTCTCAAGGGTGTTTCCTTAGAACGGACGCTGTTCGACCGCTTATTGTCTTTACACGGCCCAGCCATCAAACGGATGCTAACTACACAATACCGAATGCATGAGAAAATCATGCGGTTCCCATCAGACGAGCTCTACGAGTCAAAGTTGATGGCCGCAGACTCGGTCAAAGCCCGACTTCTAGCCGAATTACCCTACGAAGTCCAAGGCACAGACGACACCCAAGAACCCCTTGTATTCTGGGATACACAAGGCGACGACTTCCCCGAGCAGGCCGAAGATAAAGAGATCGGCAACAAGGAGGCTCTCCTGGGTGAAAGCAAAAGCAACGAGATGGAAGCAATGGTCGTTGCCAGACATGTGGACAAGCTCATCGACGCGGGTGTCAAGCCCGAGGATATCGCCGTGATCACACCTTACAACGGCCAGCTTGCACTTCTGTCTCAGACGCTTCGTGAAAAGTATCCCGGTCTTGAACTGGGCAGTGTTGATGGCTTCCAGGGCCGAGAGAAGGAAGCCGTGGTCGTTAGTCTTGTACGCAGTAATGCGGAGCACGAGGTGGGATTCCTCGGGGAGAAACGACGGCTCAACGGTATGTACTTTTACCCCGGCCTTGACGCACCTGTCACCCGGCTAGAGACGCAACTAACGGCGGGGTTTAGTGGCTATGACGCGCCCCAAGCGGCATCTCTGCATCTGCGGGGACTCGGAGACCATCAGTCGGTAAGTGCCCACGCGTCCCGTGAAAGCTCTGGGGTTAATTGAATGTTCGTTACAGCGGCAGCAGCTTTCTGAAGCACTGGATGGACTATTTGGAGGAAAATGCGGACCTGCGATACCCCGACGCTGGCGATCTACTGAGTTAATCCTCGAGCCTATTCCGCGATGAGCACGGACAGGCACCGTTGACAATCTTGCATGTCAATCTCCAGGACGAGATCTGCAGAATGGCCGGACCCGTTTGGGCCATTGTAGGACAAATCAAGTAAGCTCGTTCCGATTGCCTAATGGGTGGCACGGGCTGGAGATGGGGCCCGAAACTTCCAGCTGCCGTGTTAAAGCGAGACCCGCAGGCGGTGAGACGCGAAGAGAGAGGCGTGTTTCAACACGCGGCGGGAAGATCTTCGCGTATCGTAGCTGTCGGAGATGCTTTACTGGATGTAGATTAAGCGTGAGGGGGTCCTGCTGATCCTATCACCGCGGCCGAGGCCGTGGCCATGTCCCATTCCATCGTTGCAGATTTCGAGATCGTCTGACGTTCTCGTCAGAGGAGCAGGGGTGATTTTAAGCTTGATTCGTGGATCCATGGATTTGCCTGTGCCACCAGGGCGTCTCGGTCGCAGCTCTGTGCGAGGGCTGAAAGAAACATCGGGCGCGCTTCTACGTCTGTGCGGGTTAAGAAACGCCATCACCGCCCATGTGGTGTTTCAGACCAGACATGCAGCTTCCTCCTTTGTCTTGATGGCTCTTCGCCCGTCCATTTGGTCCAACTGGTCCAACTGATAGGATGACTGAAGCTCGAGACCCGCTCGACGCCAACAGGAAAAGGAGCAGTTCAAAACGGCCGTTCATCTGCTGGCTCCACTCAGGTTCGGCTCATGGGTCCACGGCTTTCGTGGAAGGGCCGGTTTTCGCTTTGATTCGGTAGCTCTTCTAGCGTTTCCTCGTTTTCTCGGGTTTCTTAGCCTTGGTTCAGCCTTGATCCAGTCTTGATCCAGCCTTGATCCAGCCTTGGTCCAGCCTTGGTCCGGCGTTGGGCAAAAGTTACTTGGGTCTCACTGCTGACCAGTCCCTTTAACCTTGCGCTCGGGCGTAGGTCCGGAAAGAGCATCGGTTCGTATCGCAACGGGATCCAAGGAGGTTCGGCTGTGGCTGCAGTAGACCCGACCCGTGGGGGTAGCTCTCGACTCCTAATCTTAGCTCTCCCTTTTCTCTTTCTTTCGGCCTCTCTTTACATCACCCGTTCCCTTCCCCGACACTCGTTTTGGTCCACCGCTGCTCGGAACTCCTTATTCTTTGTTTCCTTTTTTTCCCCTTTCAATTCAATCCTATCCGTGGTTGTGAACCCCCTCAACCCCGGAACACTCCCGAGACTGGCAAACGGGAACTGCGCATCCTGCAACTATGACCCTCGGTATACCCTCTGTATGTTCTGTGTCTCGTTTCGTTTGTAGAAGACTCGGGGCTAATCGGCGTTTGACAGCCCTTCTCATTAGCTTCGCGATTCGACTGAATCGATCCCCTGGCCTTGATTCGAATCCTCCGCTGTGCGGCCCAGTCTGATACCCCATACTTATTTTCGCTTCTCGACACTCGCTTCTGTCCTTTTATTTCGATACCCATGTGCTGCAAATACTTTTTGTAATGTTTGCGGGATCCATTCGCCAGTTTTCGCTGTGATACGAATTCGCTCCTTTCACCATGTTGAAGAACAGCACACGGTCGATTGCGAGCGCCGGCAGCGAGACGGTGGGGAGTCCTCGGGCGCGATCGCCATACGCGCGAGGAGAACGCTCCTCTTCGAATCCGCCGTCGTTCTCTACGGACATGAACCATTATGACACCGCCCTGCCCCCCATCGACTTTCACCACGTGCCTATGGCTCACCGCCGAACCGGTAGTACATTGAAGACCGTCATGCGCAGGATTTTCAACAGGAAAAGACAGAGCCAGGCAGACGGGGTGGAAGAAAGTCCACATGAAGCGTACTATTCTTCTTCCCCGCCGAGGCAATCGGGTGGGACATTGGGAAAATCGTTCTTGGCCGTTCCCCCGCCATCGGAGTCAAAACGAAGTAGTCCGCTCTCGGTGGAAAACCTGCAAATTGCAGAGACCCATTTGTCTCCCACTCGCTTGAATTTCGGATCTCCAGGGTTTCCCGGCATGTCACAGCGCCGGCGACGTGCTACACTTCCCAGCGTGATATTCTCCGACGATGAGTCCCGATACGGGGTAGCATCCAGTGCCATCTCCGACCCTCAGGAAGAGCGACTTATATCGGAGCACCAACGCCGGCACGATATGATGCAGGGTCGACGACGATCAAAAAGCATCGACGGGCTTCGCGATCTCGCAGATGAACCACCGATGGCTCCTTGCCCGTGGCCTACGCGCACAGCTTCTATACCCAACTCCGCTCCCGATTCAAGATCCCCACCTCTCGAGGGAAGTTCTGCGAGTGGCCACTCTGGTCGGCGCTCTACGGCGACTACAGTGACCAGTGTGACTCGGGCATCTGCTGCACCATCCCTCCCCGAGTCTGATCAACGTACAGAGCATCTGAGTCTCCCACCTAATGTGGGCAACTTGGTCCGGAGCATGCAGCAAGACGACGGCCTCACTGTAGAACAGCGTTTGAATACGTTAGAAGTAAAGATGATTGATCTTGAATTCGCCATTGCACGGATGCAGTCCAACTCCGTCGAATCTCAACCCACGTCCCGCCAGAGACAAACCCCATCCACCGGCTCTTTCAGCTCCAACGCGCGCAACAAACCTTTCGGCCTGTCAAGTACGATAGACCGCGACGAATCACCGACTCCCTTGACGAGTCTGTCCGGACGCCCAGTAAGCACCAGCACAATCCGGCCTGACACCATGAACTCGCGCACCCTTCGCCCTGCACCATCAGCCACATCTCTATCCGACTTCACGGCCGTCTCAATCGAGCAGTACAGCGCCCTGGTGACGCTTCTCCGCCGCGAACAAACAGCGCGACGGAATCTTGAAAGCCAAGTCTCCAAGTTGCGCGATGATATCCGCTACATCCAGCGGGCGGCATTGCAGTCCATGGAAATGGGCTCAATGTATCCCATCCACACGGTCGATTCACAAGAATTTATCCGGTTCCGACGCGCACTCGATGATTCAGACTCGTCTTCCCCTATCCGCGGCGATGAGAAGAACGGAAAACATGACAGTAGTCCAGAATGGGATCCGCCTGAGAATTACGATCCATTCGGACCTCCCAGATGGGAGCAGGGGAAGCGCATTGCCACGGCACCAATGATTTGATCTAATCTTCACGTACGACTATTTTCTTCTCACAACCCTCTTTCAGCCTTCGAGGCTTATCCTCGTTCGAGATACGAGCAGAGCTGTAAGCTCGAATCTGCAAGTCAGATTTGCGTTGGTTCTGTAATGGATTGAGCTACGACACTGGCGGGTTTCCATCAAGCGAGTGTTTTGGTCTTACCGTAGCACTCTTGTCTATTACGGCTAGGAACATCTTCACTTCGAATCTCAGGGGAATGAACACCCTTTCACGACAGGCTCTGAGCCAAGATTGGGCTCAAATACGATTGCCCAAACCAGCTCGCCAGGTTCTCTGGCATTTCACCTTTCTATCATGTACCCACGGCAGGATCGGGGTAATTATCAATCTCAAATCAATGACTTTCCAAAAACTAGTATATCCTCGATGGACGCTCCTTTCGTAGTTTATTGTATAATCCCTTGTCACACAACTTGTACATGCAAACATACATTTCCACAAAAACAATAAATACCAGCTTCGTCTACGGATTATATCAATCTTCGTCGAAATGACACATAACCTCCCCCCATCCGGCCCCCACCGTCCGCTCCACACGCCCGGGGCGCAGTAAAATGTAATGCAAACCAACCCCGCATCAAATCCTATTTCCAAGCCACCTTCGAACCCCAATAACCATCCATCCATTAATTCTCGAAGTCTCAAAATGGGAATCACAGACCCAAAAACCTTCACCGTCACCATAATAGGCGGCGGCATAGGAGGCCTAACCCTAGCAGCAGGCCTCCTCCGGCGCAATGTCCGCGTGCAAATCTACGAAGCCGCATCTGCATTTGCAGAAATCGGCCTCGGCCTCTCAATAGGACCTGCCGCACACCGCGCAATGCCATTGATCGATCCCCAGATTCGGGCAATCTACGACTCCCTCGTGACGACCCACGCGGATAGTCCCGGCTACGAGTCTTTCAAAGACACCTGGTTCGAGGTGATTTGGGCCGGTGGGGAGAAAGAGGGGGATCTGTTGATGGATCTTAAGGCGTTGCCGTCTGGTCAGACGACGCTGAGACGGGCGGACTTTTTGGACGCGCTTGTTCGTTTGGTGCCGAGGGAGATTGTGCATTTTGGGAAGAGGTTAGAGAGTCTTGCTGAGGGTGGTGATGGGGTGCTGTTGAAGTTTGACGATGGGACGACGGTGAGTGCCGATGTCGTGATCGGGTGTGATGGGATCCGGTCGAAGGTGAAGGAGTCTATGCTTCCGGAAGAGTCGAAGCGTACCCAGCCTAGGTATAGTGGTATGTATGGGTATCGCGCCGTGTTGGATATGAAGGATATGGTTGATGCTGTCGGGGATCAGCGGGCGAGGGTGTCGACGATGTATATTGGGGAAGGTGCTTATGGGATTTCATATCCCATTATGCGGGCGCAGAAGGTGAATGTCGGGGTTTATATTTTGAGTGAGAAGTGGGATTGTGATACATGGGTGAGAAAGGCGAACAGGGAGGATATGGTCCGTGATACGGAGAATATGGGGCGATATGTCAAGTCGCTTGTTGAAGTAGGTGAAGCTTCTTCTCAGCTTGCTTGCATTTCTGACGTCTTTTCAGCGCATGCCGGACCCTTCGCAGTGGGCAATTTTCGAACATCCCCATATCTCTACTTTTGCTCAGTCGCGTGTCTCCATCCTCGGCGATGCAGCTCATGCTTCTACGCCGCATCAAGGTGCCGGTGCCGGGCAAGCTATCGAAGATGCGCATGTTCTTTCAGAGCTTCTTGGCGACAGTCGCGTCAAGTCCGCAGAAGATGTCGTGGCCGCTTTTAAGGCTTATGATGAAACTCGCCGACCTCGCAGTCAAAGAGTCGTCACTAGTAGCAAGGAGAATGCGTATCTCCTCTGTTTGTGTATGGATGGTGTAGGAGATGATGAGGCAAAGCTCAGGGATACTTTCCAGCAACGTCTACATTGGCTTTGGGATTTGGATGTGCAAGGTCAAGTGGAGCAAGCGAGGGTAAAGATGGCTGCTTATATGGAGTCCTGAAGATTGATTCCTGACTTCTCGCCCTCGTTACATGTATGAGGTATATAGACGAGCTTTTTCATTCCATCATTCCAAGCCGATTCTCGGCAAAACCCGATAGCCATGAAGGCATAATAGAGTCCTACAGTGTCCTATTTCAAAGCCGTTGAGTCTCAGCCCCACGCGCGTAGTAGCTGACTTGAGGTTCCAAGGTGATCGGCAATGATACCCGGGGTGGGGGAGTGAGGAGGTGCGGGCCTCGGCATATCCCGTCGACATTTGCTTACAAGATTCTCTCCATCCTGATCTTACCCGGTAATTCATTATTCTTGTCATCGAGGCAAATCTCAATATGGCCGACATAACTATTTCCGATGACATGCTCGTGGGCCTTGAAGACAAGGTTGTTTTGATCACCGGTACATCTGCCTATGCACAACATTAGCGCAATACTAACGTCCTGCAGGTGGGTCATCCGGCATAGGCCGAGCAACTGCACAGCTATGTCTAGACCTAGGCGCGAACGTCGTCATTGGAGATATCAGCCCCCCCAAAGCAGAATTTGAGAAAACCGAGAAGCTCAAGTTCTTGGAAGTCAATGTGACGGACTGGGAAAGTCTACGTAACATGTTCGTTCAAGCGAATGAATGGTTCGGGCGTATCGACCACGTCTTCGCCAACGCGGGTGTCGCTCCCACAACCGACTTTTTGGATGTCACGCTGAATGAAGCCGGCCAACTGGAACCGCCGAATCTTCGAACTGTCAGTGTCAATCTTCTGGGTCCAATCTATACGGTTCGACTTGCGTCGGCCTACATGACGAGTTTGGCAAAGGAGCGTCCCGTCGGAAAGGGCTCCATTGTGCTGACGGCCTCGACTTCGTCGTTCCAAAACTTCAGCTCCGGCGATTACACCATAACCAAGCACGGAGTTTTGGGTATGATGCGTGGCCTGGGAAGACAAATCGAGAGCAAGAACATCCGATTGAACGCAGTTGCGCCTTCATGGACTGCTTCTGGTATAGTTTCTCCTGAGAACATCAAGGTCATGGGAATTACGGTACAGTTGCCAGAGGTTGTGGCTCGAAGCGTGGCACTGCTTCTCGCCGATGATAAACGACATGGCGATGTTATTTACAGCTGGAACGGCCATTACAGAGAGGTTAACAATGCGGAAGGTGGACTTCTTTCAATGGCAGCGAAGCTTCTTGGAAATGCCGAGAATGAAGAGAGCGTCATGCAGAAGCTGAGGGAGCACAAGCAAAATGAGTCCCCTAGCTCCTGAGCTATGTAAAATAACAAGGAACACCACGCCGCTCATGAACTTCATGCTTCCAAGTCAAATAGGAATCTGCGTTACAACCCAAGTCGGGAGTAAGCTCTCTAATATGGTAAATAGTGAAATAACCAGCGAACCAAGTCTTATCCTGATGAGTTATCATCGTATCTCGTCAGTAGGATAGCAAATGCAAAATTCCATTGAATGACGAGCCTAATATTCCACAGGCTGCACATATCAATGAAGACTGTCATGAACTAATCGCGCTACATGCAGTGATCTGGATTACCAGAAGGATTTCCCCACCAAGTAGGGAAGGGATGCGCAGTGCCACTAGCACCGTAAACAGCAAAGGAAAGAATGAATATCACAATCTGAGAACCCCCATCTAGTGCAGCTCCGATGAGATAGTTGTACTTGTTGTAAATGCTAGGCATCCTGCGGCGAAGCCAGAACTGCGAGAATAATCCGACTGCGATCGATGACCAGATCCAGGACGTATTTCCATAGTAATATTGCCCAGCGTATGAAACAATAAGGGCCGTATTGATGGGCCACTTTTTCAAGCGTGGAAACAATCGGATCAAGCCCCAGTGAATGACCGGTAAGGCGAGTCCGATGAAAATACCGAGGGGAACAAGAAGGTAGCGCCCCTTGGAACCGTACATATCCTTGGCCAATGCCCACGTGATGGCCTGGGAGTTCATGCTTTGTAGTGTCGAACCACTCCATATGTTGTTTCCTTCGGGGTTGAGGAGGATTTCTCGTTTACTGCTCACGATGGTAGTCATGACGGCGTAGTTGAGACCTGCCCCGAGGAGTGTCGCATATATCTGAGTGCCAAACATAATGCGATGAGGCACCTTTGTGTATTGTCCGACTTTCAGCCAGTTTGCAAGATTGACAGCGAGGAGAATCACCTGATGAGACCAACTGGCAAAGTAGAGGTTGGCGAGCGGTCGTCCCGGTTGGACGGCGCCTGCGACCATCTTGGAAATTTGGTTGGTAGCGACTCCCGAGCCGTAAAGTCCATATAAAATGCAAGAGAACGGAGCGATAAAGCCACCCAGTAGAAGTGAAATGAGGTAGCCCCAAACTGGGAGAGTAGTTTCGCCTTTTGCGTTCACAATGATACCCGCAACAAATGCCAGTATAAACAGGGTGATATACCACCATGTCGGAACCTCTTTGTACTTTAGCATTCCTTGATAGTGGGGATCAGGCTGAGTTCGGCTTCGGGCCGTTTTCCATGCGAGTACCATGTCCTTGCCATAGAAGATGATGACATGAGTGATCAACGCTCCAATCGCTAGATTTTGGGTAAAGTAGCCCCAGACCGTGGTAGCTGTCAGATTCGGAAGACCTATCTGCTGAAGCTTTGCCTCATCGACGGTGTTGTGTTCGTTCAAGATCGAGGTCGTTGAGAATGATGTTCCATTGGAAGCAAAAAGCGATGTTGACATGAATGGGAACGTTTTGGCGCTCCAGACGTTACTGAAATACAAGCCAAGCATTGCAGGATAGAATATCAGGTATCCAATCCAGCTATTGAGTTGTTGTTTGAGTGGCAGTGACAGGTAAGTGCTTTGGATGTATTGCCAATCCAAACCGAAGTTCAACAAGCCAACTCCCTCATTGGATGATGCCCCTCCAAATACTTTGGTGAAGATGGAACGAGTCTTGGTTGGAGCATGCATAGAAGCAAGACAGAAGACAGAAAAGCCACCGAGCCATGTGATGATATAGGCAGGAAAGATCTCCCAAATTGCAGCAATTCCAAGAGCCCAGCAGAACTTGGTGAGACGCTTTCGGTTGGCTTGGCGATCGAAATGCAGATTCTGGAACAGGACGACTTGGGGTAAAGTTGTCCAATATACCATTTCGGCTGGATAAACGATGAGGGGTCGCAGCAGACCTGCTACCACGAAACCACAGAGTCCAATGGAAAAGGTTGCAAGAACTGCAGTAGATGCCGAGACACTGCGATCATAGAAAAGTCGTTCGACGGCATAAACCTCCACACCGGACAAGCCATTATTTCCAGATGACGCGATGAGAGACGCAACAACGTGTTCTTTGATTTTGAAAGGCTGTCCAAAGTTCAGAAAACGAAGTGTAACTCGCAGCCACTTCCACTTGAAATGATCTGGACGAGGTGTGAGGTATGCCCAGGCCTCGCCGAAGAGATAGATCAACACTAGGCGGAGGGTTAGGCATGCCGGTGACTTTCAATGAGGGGGAAACGAACGTTGCAAGAAGACCGCAGAAACCTGCATCTGAACAGGTTTAAAGACATAAAGCATAGTGATCACACTAGAAAGAGCCGTGAAGAGGCTTCCAAGGGCGACAGAGCGGAATGTCAAAGCCGGATCTTCATCATCCCTGGTTGAGATCAAGAAGTTGGACACGTCAAGACCTAAAGAGACGTGTTAGTGACATTTACTTGTAGATCAACGAGAATGTAATGGGTACCAGTTTTAATGACGGGATGGCCCTTGACATAGACTGTGTCATCCTTATCTTCAAGACCCAGAGAATCCTTGCCGTCCAATTCACGGGAAGCACTGTGAGCTTTGCTGTCGAGGGCGACAGATGGTTCCTCCGTCACCACAATTTCCTTCGTCATTGCAGATCCATCGGATTGGGGTTTCGTATTGACATCCTTCGCCATCGCGATAGATACGAAAGAAATAAGGTAAACTTAGGTAGATAAGAGAAAGCGACGTGGGTCACGATCTAACAGGAAGTCGCGTCCACTGCATGCGAAGACGTTAGTTAGGGAAGTGAAAAGAAAAAAGGCAGGGATCAAGAAGAAAATATTTAAGCGCGACAGGGCGCTCGTTTTAAGGGACCCTGGATTTAATGTGGTCCACTAAATGAGCCGGAAATCAAGCAAACTCACTGACAGGCGAATAGGTGGATGAGGTGATTTGCAACCTAGATGGTGCGTACCGGTCGGCAACGATCGGGACCCATCATATAAGAGCATTTCCCCAAGTCTTAATCACACCAACAACTGTAGCGCAGGCCTAGGACAGGATGGTACTGGCTCTTAGGCCTTGCTTTGACAAATGATGATGGCGCGATTGCGCTTGGCGATGCCGTAGAAGAGCCAAATTCGTCCGCAGCCAGTCAACGGGCCCATTCGTACAGAACACTAACATGGAACCGGATAGTTGCATTAATTAATCTTTAGTTTGGCGGGGCAGTGCACCATGGCAGGTTTAGGTTACATTGAAATGCATCATGAGGAGTACTCGGCTGCACGTTGTGTTCCAAGTTTGCTCAAGGGGGAAAACCACGTCGACTCGGAATGATGATTAGAGCTGGCCATTATTAAGGGTCAGGGCAGCTACTACCTCTTGGTCTCCTCTGGATCATGCATAAATTTGGGCTGTACCCCCTAGGCTGGCGGCTCCCATGAAGGGTTCTTCTTTGTGACTGCCTAGGATCAAACGCGGGATAGAGATAGGGGGATTTCGCCCCTCGGCGGGGTAGAAGACACAGGGATGAGCCGATCTTCGTTCATCTTATCGCAAGTTATCGACTATGAGGTCATAAGAGATTGGGTTGGGAAGACACGACACGATTGACTCTGTCCGAAATCACCTCTGGATTGAAGCTATGGCCGTATGTTCCGACAATGGGGGACGTCAACAACAAATCTGACCTCTGCTGTTCTTCGCTTTCGCGCAAACTACTTTCCGACAAGCGCAGATAGCATTACCATTTATTCATTCATATAAAAAGGTCTTAAAAAATAAAACATAACGTCTTGTCCTGTAGAAATATGGATTATATACACGGTCGCCGCTTATGCTCCTACTATCTGCCGAAGGAACCAAATCTAATGAGATAGCAAGCATTACGAATCGCGCTGATCGTTTATACTCGTTTAGAAGGCTATAGGCGTATTTTATAACCTATATAGTGTTACTAGCTATTTGCACTTCCGCCATATCGCATGTACCACTCTCGCCCAAACAAAATCCTCATTATCCCGATGTTGTACTGTCAATGGCCTGTCTGGCCAATCGATCTTCTCATGATGCCCGGGCGAGTTTCAATTCCAAAGATCTCGACAATTCTCGAGCCACCAAAGAAGCCATATCAGACTTTCTTCCAAGGTATTGAAGCGCACAGATGCAGAACTCACAATTCTGCCGTAAGCACTCAGCGTCCATATTTTGATCTGCAGATATATCCAAACTTTCTAGTGAGATATATCCCGCCTTGGCGAATGAATGGACTAGAACGGCGGTCCACGGTTCGACCAGGAAAGCAACTTCGTTCAGAGAATCATGAATATTTTGGTGCAGGATTGGCTGCTGCCCTTGGATTGAAGCACGAGCAAGTCCGCCAACTGCAAACGCATTATCCATCCTGAGTGTGGCGACCAAGTCTGTAGCTTGTCGGTCCTCACGCGCAGCATCAGACCCGAGCCTCCCTTTGTCGATGCCTTCCAGCGCGTCCGCCAAAAGCATTGCAGCTAAATGCCAGTGTCCGTCGAGGATGGCGTACCATGACTGTATGCGAGAAGGAAGATGTTCATGATTAGTAACACAGTCGAGCATGAATCTCCGGTATGTGGAATTCCAGTGATGGTAGACCAGGAGAGTCTTCTGGATGAAATCTTCAAGACGATCGGGACTAGCGCCTCGATAAACCAGAGTTTGCAGTTGCGTGACCCGACGATAGATCAGAACTTTGACAGGAGTCGCTTCTGAAAGTACGGATGCAGCTTCTTCGTAGGGGCATGGCCACCTTGGCTGGGCTTGGCTCGATTTCTGACGTTCAATTGAAGAACGGAGAAGGAAATCACCCCATACATCCTGCTTCTCACGTATTTCGTTTCTTGGAATATGCCAGCCGCCAAAATCAATCTGGTCTTCAGAGTCAATCATCGACGGCGAGGCCGATGCAATTTGACTATCCTCATCCGACACTATCAATGGACGTTGATACATCGCAGCACTCACCGTATCAAACATAACGCCCAGCCAGAACATGAGGCCTAGTGTAGTGCGATGCTCTTGGTTAGTCAGAATTGGATCGAGCTGCGGAGACCCCGACAGCTGTGGCATTTCCAATACGTCGGTCATTGTTGACCCTATTGATTCCCTCCGAAGCTCTCTCACTTTTGGAGGAGATTGTCGCTGGAGTCTCATGAACTTGTGCCGAAATGTGAAAAGTTGGCGATTAGCGGTTTCCAAAAATATCGGCGCACGATCATTCTCTAATAGCTCGCTCAAGCTTCCTTCCTGCCCTCTGTCTAACGGACTTTGCGTTAATGAGAAAATGATATTCGCGAACGCGATACGGAAAGACGGTATGCCTAACGAGCACTCCAAAGCGTGGCGTGCTTCGTTCCACACTTTCTCTCGGATAGATTTCTCATCGTTATCGATTGCCGCTGGGACAGACGCGCCTGGGCCCTTCTGTGCATGTTGAGTCCACTGTGAGGCAAACGACATGATTGCTAGATGAAGCGTTCGAGCCGCTATTTTATCTTCTTCCGCAGTTAAAGCTCTGCCGCGTATTGAGGGCGACGCGCGATCCAATCGACAGACCCGCATACACATCCTGTTCGACCAATTCGGGCCCCATTCCTTCATCTCTCTGTATGGAAGCACATCAATCATCGAGTCGCTGTAAGGGCAGTTGTGCTCTGTCAGCCAGCATGACAACGCATTCTCCATGCTGTCGTGATAGATGCGGATCAAGTTTCGTGACATCGTCGAACGAGCATATTGACTAGCTGTATTGTCAGAAGCAATGCAAAAGCCCCATTGGAAATTTGGGTTCGATTTTGGGTCGGTCTCAGACTCTGATGGATATTTTTGTCCACTCTGCTTCCATGCTGGGGCCGGGAATACGAGAGAAGCATCGGATACACCGTCCTGTGGGAACGTGTCGTATGTGCCCTCAATAGAGGTTGGTGGCGGACCAAGAAAGCTAGACTCGGGGCCTGGTCTCATCGGGATTTTTGGGGATTTTTGTGGCCATGAACTGATCTGCCAATCATGTGGGATTACCGTATCCCAAGGGAATAGTTGATACTGGCCACTACTTGCGTCGTGACCTTGTATTCCCTCGAGAATGCCATTTTCCGGGTGTGAAGAGGATGACGAGGACGCATTATTTGAGGTTTCGGGGGAGGCAAACATCCCCTCGAGATTGGCAGGATGACATTGTGAAGAGCGCAGTACCTCGTCAAGTACTTCGCCATAAGAGCTTGCAATAGAACTGATATCGCGTTCCTGCGGGGTGCTTGCGGGCCTAAGTTGTGTTCGTCTCCGACCACCTATCGACTCGGGGCGCTTCGAGGAGACCCAGTTGAATGTGCATTCCTTCTTCCATCGTTTACAGTTCGAGCAAGAAGTGAATGCGCTCTCTTTCCGGTTCTTCTAAGACTTGAGGTCAGAAACCGCTGCACATGATGTAGAAATGTGATAACAAACAGGTGCGTCGCAGCCTCTTTTGCCTTTGCGGCATGGGTCGCAACTGTGAAGTTGACGTCGACGAGAGCCCTCCATGGCAAGGTATCGAATGTATTGATAGTGGGCGATTGTACCTGCCAGGAAGGAGGCAGATGTTTCGACCCCAATATGCTAATTGTACAGATGCATCGAACCTGGAGCCGAAGCACAAGCACAAGCAAGAAACAGGAAAGAGTCCCCGAGTTAATGTCATATTTCCCGGGGGTCATCGCAAACTTCGCGGGGTTCGAGTGGGGTTGCGCACGTACGCCACTTACCTTCGGGCCAGCAGTATTATGCTCGTGCTCTGCCTTGACTATCTAGAGAACTTTCGCCAGGTGCCAGATTGAATAAGAAACTGAGAGGCGTGTCGGATCGAAAGGGATTTGACTCTGGGGGCTTAGCCCATGAGTGTAATATGTAGAGAACCTATGACTTTATATTAACTGCTAGTTTTACGCTACGGCTCAGTGTTGAGGAGATGCCTAAGACAATCACGGCACCTACATATAGGCTTTTTGCCGTACTCCACACTCAGGACGCAGTAGATTTTTCGGATAACGCGTCCAGAATCCGGAAAAAGAAAGAAAATTGTGTCGGCGAAACTGAGCCAATGGTAACGCACAAGTTCTTCAGCTGTATGTGGCGAAGGCCATAGACAAAAAGGAGCGCACGGAGATCAAACGCGCCGACGATCGTGGGAATGATTGGCTATTACAATAGTCCCTTTGCGCTCTACAACTGGAGCAAGAAGATATGGTAAGTGGGCCTATTTAGGCGGTCATAACTATGTGTCCGGGAGGTTTGAAAAAGACTTGGTTAGAAATGATCATTGTTAAGAATAGCGAGACGGCTTATCCAGCCCGGAGCTACGATGGGATGATCCATCGGATCTCTCAACAAGACTAACTAAGTGTATAAGGTAGACAGGAAATTGATTGCAATTTTCCATGGAGGAGTGGTATTTCCTCGAAGACTTGCCGATTCAGTTGTCCCTTCCTGATCCACTGAAGTTACCAACCAACCAATTAACCCCCACGTTTGGCTGGATGGTCGCGAGGCCGTCTATTGGCTTCAACTTAGAGGAATCCCAGGGTATAAAGGCTTCATGTTCGTACCTCAGTGCCCAGCTGCTCACACATTACTCTCTTCTCATCGCCTCCATCAATGGCGACCACTCTGAGTCCCATGGCCTTTGCGTACTGCTGAGCAAGCGAGCCAAGGCCACCCCCCGCTCCAACAATAGCAACTGTCTAGCCAGCACGAGCTCCAGATTCCTTCAAGCCTTTATAAACAGTGATACCAGCGCATAGTACCGGATCACTGCATCAAGAGGGACACTCTTTGGAATCTTAGAGGCTTGAGTGGCTTTTCCGACCGCATATTGCTGGAAAGTACCATCCACATTATACCCAAAAAGCTGCGCATCAGCGCACTGGGGGGGGGGTGCGATTGCTTGCAGAATTCACATTCAGAGCAAGACCCATTGAGCCACTTAATTTTGGCGTGATCACCGAGCTCGAAATCTTTAACGCTTGCATTCTGCGCTTTTGGCTGCCATACTCATAGATCTGTGGGGCTCTTCTTCAATTTCGGAAGGAAAAAATGTGCTTGACCAGCCACTGCTGATAGCGAATCCGCAGGATGATTCGTCGCTTTTGAATTCCTTGACCACATGCTCGTCATAACTATCCGTATTGAGGGCTTGGGATCCAAACACCTCAAATTCCTGTTGCTCCGCTAAGCTGTCTCCAGGTATGTTCTCCAGGGTCTGGTGTCCCTTGTCTGTTTCACTGTGTTCGGATTCGGTAGAAGATACGCCTGCCCACGACGAGTATTGAGTATTTCGGAAGAAAGGGTCAAAATGGCCATTTTCTTCCACAGTAGTCCCCATGGAAGCATGGTTCTCAAGTGTGATACTCGCGCTTTCGGTGCAGAGGAAGGTTGGATCAATTATTTCATCAAAGATTTTCTCAGATACTTCTCTCCTGCGGTCTTCGATCTGTTCCTCGAAACTGGCGTCTCTTTGATTGGCCGCATTGCTATACCTGGTATCAGCACGAGAACACAATCTTGTCGAAGAATATTCAAGCTCACCCGTAATTTGGGGTATTGAGAATATTCTCTTTTGCGCGATAGAATTCAGCCTTAACTGCGTTGTTCGGCACTTCATGGAGATATTTAGGCGGTTTGCGGTTCCCGTCGACACATTTCGATGATAGTCCAGGTTTGTCACATTGCTCACATGGCCGTTCATTTCCTAACTCTTCTTTCAGTATATCGTCCTGGATGTGTGTTTCTCGATACAATAGGAATAATTGGGGCTCTTAGCCTTACCACATGATTTGTGAGCTCGTTGACAGTTTAAACAGGATCTTCTTGCCTTTTTTCGGGGCCGCGACGTCTCAAACGCATTGCAAGCTGCCATGTTCAGACTATCACTGGTCATCTTGCACTTGCACAATGCGTGATCTTCGGGGAAAGAAAAAAGCGTCACGCTTTCTTTGCAACAAATTTGGCACTAAGTCTTATAAATGTTTAAATGAAGTGTTCGTTATGAAAGCCACTAGCACCAAGGGTCCTTGGGAACCTTGCTAGCGAGATCCAAAGCAGGTATTGTCAAAATGCGGGTTTCGCCGAAGCTTGCAAGCGGGTATGGAAGAACTATACGCCAAGTCTCATGGCGCGCGCCGTACTTACTTTCCATTATATATGACCTCCATCTACCTGTGGGTTCTGTGTAGTTTACAGTCCCAGAATCACCGATACAAGGACTTAGGCCATCAAGTCTTAGATTTCCAAGTTGGAGCTTACGATGGTTAGCTTCTGTCCCCGTGCAATAATGTGGAGTCTATCCTTCACTCCGTAAGATGCGGGGTAAGCTCTAAAGGCCCCTGATCAGCTTGATTTTCATCCGTGCGGCTCCGCATGAGCTTCGGATCCGCATGGCCCGAACCACACGGATCGCGGAGTCTTGGTAATCAATAATTCCTTCCAATCCAACAAGGAAGATGCCATGATCTGCATATACCATTCAAGAAAATGGTCAACTGCCATTAGTGAATCGGAAAAAGAGCAAATACCCCACAGTGCAGGCCGGCCACAGTCTGGATCAAGGTTAAAAACCACACAACCCCCATGTTGAAGACTTGGAACGCTTATTTCTCGGGGCATCCGTTCTCAACACCTACTATTATATTGTTGTGCTCTAGTTCAGTAACGACAAAATGGACAGTGCAAACAGTCAGAATGGCGAAACAAAAGACGCTTTCCAAAACAGGGAAAGCACACTACCTGGTCTCACTACGGTCCCAACATCGGTGACGCTGTCAGGCGAGCAATTTGAGAGGCTCTATTTGACTCCCATGACGGCCCGCCAGTCATCACTAGCCAAGCATGTGGGAAATCCGACACCTTTGTGAGTCTTCAAATCATATCTCCTGTGCCTCTTACCATGGCATTTTCATCTAACGACATGGTTCAACTTGCAGAGCACTAGGAGGCTTTGTCATTACTACGACCCCACTTTCGTGCTCCTTGATGGCCTGGAGAGGAGCCAGTGGAAATGGAATTGCCTTCACGTAAGACATAATCGAACAACACTACGAGGGGTCCTTGTCTGATTAACGATAAAAGCGGGCCTATTGTCTTCCTTGGTGGTCTGCTGTTACTCATCACGAGTATTCTTGAGTTCATTCTCGGAAATACGTTCCCTTGTGTCGTGTTTGGTACTATTGGTAGGTCTTCCAACCCCATGTAAGACGTTCCCATCACTTGTTCGCGTCGCTGATACTTCACGAAGGCGCATTCTGGTTTGCATTCGCAGCTACAATGATCCCCTCTTTCAATGCAGCCGGTCAGTTCCTATAACCAGGAACCCATCTCATCTAATTTATAGAATCAGCATGCTCACTCATATACAGCTCCATATTCCTCATCAACCACCGATACAGCTGCCGGTCTCGCCAGCCCGGGCTTCTTGAATACCTACGGTAAGTGCAATCAATGGTTCTCGAATGTTGATCAACGGCTCTAACGGATAACGCCAGCCTTCCTATTCGTAACTATGGCTGTCCTGATGTTGATCTTCATGATTTGTGCAACTCGCACCAACATAGTATACACACTCATTTTCCTCGGTCTACTCTTGGTTTTCCTGCTCTTAACAGCGGCCTATTGGCAACTAGGTCAAGGAAACACAGCGATTGGGAACCGATGTGTAAAGGTGAGTATTATGTGTTTTCCTAGTTTTGCGGATGTTTGGGTTGAATGCTGACTCGTCCTTTCTCTCTTTCAGGGGGCTGGAGCTTCACTTTTTGTCGCAAGTCTATGCGGGTTCTACCTGTTGATTGTTCAGCTATTCGAAGCCATGGGATTTCCATTCCATTTGCCAGTTGGAGACTTGGCGGCGCTTTGGGTTCGCAACCAAAAAAAGTTAGTTTCCCAAGAGAGGTTGAGTCCTTCGTTCTGACAAAATAAAAGGGGTGCGCGGTACGATGTCGAAGAGGCTGCTACCGTTGGCGATAGTTAAATCATTTGGTATGACAAATCTCATTGAACAGCGAAGGATACCTCCCCGGGAGATCTTATCGTAAAAAGATGATAGTTAACGTGCATCATCCGCCATTTGTCATGCTAGGTGTTTTCTAATAATTGTTTCTGTTTGACCGATTGCCGATTGGGTGCTCGTGGAGGCGACTCTCGCTCTGCGATCTGCCTCACCACCGTACTCTGTTGATCGGTCAGGGCAGCCAGATGATAGATATTTAAGAAGGTGTCAGATTGCACAATATTAACCACTCCATCTGAGGGCTGGTATTCCATATACTCTGCATCTCCTTTGACCTGATAGACGTGGCCAGGCTCGTTTTCGACGGCAACAAAAAGTAACCAATGGAGCGGTTCGCCTGAACCTTGTACTAGGTGGACGAGAGATAGATACAGCAATGAGGATGAAGGGGGTGGCCTAGAATTGCTGAGGGCATGGGCACCCTCAGTCCACTCCTCTGTGCCCTTTCTGCGAGTGAAGGTACGACCATTGACCTCGCACATCTCTCTCAGACCAATGGTCTTTATGGGAGTCGTCGAAGATGGGTAATCGCTCATTTTCTGGAAAGCATAAAGCATCAGCACGTTGTAATCTTGAAATTTGGGGAGTTAGTGGTGATACAGACTTGTTGCGTAACGTATGCAGTGGTGTTGTGGGGTGTTGTGGGGGGGTCGGTGGAGCGTAAGCAACGCCACGGGCGAGTCAGGGCGCGTAAAGAACAAAAAAACTACCTCGTGACTTTCGGATCTTTCCGATTAGGCTTAGATCACTACTGTGTACCGGGCAGCATTGGAACTTTATCGCGCTTGCACCACTTTGCCATCTATTTGATCGCGACTGCCGGATCCAGAACCTACTTGCAGATGACTGAAATTCCGTCAACTGGAGTTCCCTATGAACAAAAAAACCTTCACGAGGGGCACCAATACATCAAGGAGGGCAACATCTTATTACCATGTCCGCCATCCGTGGATCCACTCTCCCTCGAAGCTGGCCAAGAGGTGATCACCGTGTTAGCCAAGCAAATAGGCAGGCTTATACTTGAGTGGGACTTCTCCTGGGTGACCAAAACGGGGTTCGGAGTGCGACTTCCTGAAGCCGAAGCGATGAGACTTGTCTTTCAGCATACCGATGTCCCGGTCCCCGAAGTGCTTTTTACCAAATTCAGTCCAGACAGAGAGATAACAGATCTGAGTGAATTTTTCAAACCCGGCTTCCGTCTTCCGGAGGGCACGATTGGGATGACGATAATACCCGGGACCACTCTAGAGAAGAAGTGGGACATGCTGGACGACGAAGCCAAAGAGTCAATATGCCTTCAACTGTGGGATCTGATCTCGAAAATCCGAAACATCCCTCGCCCGCAAGGGCTTGCGGGACTGTACCAGTGTCTCGCGGATGGCTCTCTCTCCCGGGACCCGATGCTAGAGGATCTACAAAAGCCCGGTCGACCACTTTTGAGCGACTCGGAATTACGTTCGAGAATCTACGAGCGGTATCTCCATTGTGGGGGAACACGCTACGAGAATCAACTACTGGATATGTTACCCACGTCGGAGCACTCGGTATTCACGCATGCGGATATTGCGCCGCGTAATGTGATGGTGGACGAGCAGAACAACGTCACCGGCATTCTCGACTGGGAATGGGCGGGCTGGTATCCGGAGTACTGGGAGTATGCGCAAATCATGCGGCCGGCCTTTTGGGGGAACTGGTCGATCTGGATGGAAAAGACGGCGCCGCGGCGGGTGGGATCTACGAGGAATCAATGCTGCCAGGAAGGTTTTGTTTTGAAAATTACATGAATATAAAGCAGACACACAAAAGAATAAACTGCCAAGCCCACTGAGATCCGGAAGAATACAATCACTACATTAAGGATATCACATCGAATATAATCATCACACAAATGTACATAGACCCGCAATCCATCAAACCACGATTACAAAGTAACGCCGAACTCAGCCAAGGCTTTGGTAACATTCAAACCAACCGTCAGGGTGTTCGCGGCCAGTGCTTTAGTGAAATACGGCAACTCTTTTCCATCGTAGACACTCGAGTTACCTGTGATGACGAACGGCACGAGGCCGTCTTTGTAGGGGTTGTTTTTCGATGTAACGATGTTCAGGATGGCGCTTTGGTTTATCGAGGCTGTCATTGGGATGAAGTTGTTGCCGGGTTTGAGGACCAAGTCGTTCAGATAGGATTGGCCCATATATTGGCCTCCGACGGAGAGGTCAAGGGTGATGTTACCCTGTTGTTTGTTAGTTCGTGTTGAGGGTAATATTGGACGGGACGGGAAGGATTACCATGGTGATTGTCATGACGGAGGGATTGGGGATGAGGACGGTGCCGTTCATGTTCTGTCCGGAGCCGAGGTTTGTGATGTGGAATTCGGTCACGTTGAAGCCCTTGAGTTTATTCAGACCTGGTCTCAGTCAGTATATTTTTGACATTGATTCAAGAAATGTCAGAGAAACGGAGATGTACCCTTCATAGCGACCGTCTTATTGTAAGTCACGGTAGTCTTCGGCAGTCCACCCTCCTTCAAGCCAGGCTTGCCATAGATATTCAACGTGACCTCCTCATTGAGCATTACGGCCGTTGCATAACCTCCAAACGCACTGGCGTTACTCAGGTCCACGGTCTGCTCGACGACGAGCTCCGCACCATTCTTGGACTGGACACTCGGCACCATGACATTCGCAAAGGGCACCGCGGCACCGAGGAGCGAGACGGCCGCTTCGAAGGCGTAGATTTTCGGGTGGAAGGTGGCATGCGTGCCAATGACCTGCGTCTGCCTGAGATCGAAGGAGTCCGGCATGGGGTTGCTGATGACCATGCTGGTGATGTTGAGGGTAGAGTCGTTGACATCGCCCTGGGCGATCTTGGGGTAGGCCACATAGACTCTGGATGGTTCGTTAGACGCGAGGTCATTGTTTCAGATGGATACACCGGGGTTGAACAATCGCGTTTCAAACTTACACTGGCAGCAAGATGATGAGGAACACGGCAATGAAGATAATCAAGTGCACCCACCACCACCTCTTAAAGTGATTACCAACTCGACCGCCGCGGCGGCGCGGAGCCGGGGGAGACATGGTGGTTTCCATGACTTGGGATTTGGTGGCGGACATGGTGGAATCTCGTTAAGAAAAGGATCTGGAAGGTAACCGAGTGCCACAAGAAGAAGCAAATACCGGTCGACGGCCTTTCTGACAACCAAATGCAAGTCCTACAGTCGAGGACTGCTAAACGAGCGACGGGTAGAAAGAAAAAAAACGGGCCTCAGTCCAGGGTAGCCCCTTGGGACGTAGCGTTGCTTTATATTAAGTCCCGCGTATTATTAGTAGTCTCTGGGGGCGAAATAGACCATCACATGCCATATAATGCAGAATTTTGCCAGGAACAGCATAGACCAAAGCGTGGAGCCGGAGTCTAGTCCTAGAGTTTACCGCTTGACTCCCGATTGACATGCGGGGGCGTTCCTGGATCGTTGATCGAGCGATCTTCGGACAAGATGTTTCGTGTTAATTAAGAAGCACTGTCGTGATGACCGTTGTCCAGTCCCAGCCATCAGGCGTAAATAGGGGACGACCGAGGTTTGCATCAGCTTGCTCGACGTTTTCTACGACAAGCCACCCGCGGTTGGAAGACAGATCCAGGCGGAGCTGCTGCAAGGTGCGCCATTGTCGGTCGCACAAGGACAAATCTGGGCATTTGGGGCTGACCATTTCCAGCGTTGCACCGACCACCTAGAGTGTGCATGTTTTATTGGTCGCGGCTGGGACTAGCTGCAGTGGCGGCGCTCGCCAAGGTTCAACGCAAACTGTTTTCGGGCAGTTGCGGTCTGGCAAGCGACCATGAGACCCCATGGGGCCGCTTTTCTACCTATCCCATGGATTCTTGGTGTGGCGTCCGCGAGCGAGGCGAGGGTCTAGTGCCAGTTTGGTCAAAGCTCCGGGGTCCGGGGTCCGGGGTGGTTGTGGTTGTTCCCCACTTCAATGTCAGGAACGAGATTTGATTGCGGCAATCCACGGCCCGGAAGGATCATCACATGGCTACAATGATAAAAAATAATGTTCAGAATTAATGCCTCGATTGTGTCATTAGTGTCATCGTCGCGCGATTCACCTAGTAAGAGTCCGCCGAAACACAAAGTAGATATGCAGTAAAGAAATGTTCAGAAGAAACGAAAGGGCGTCTGCCCTGAGACTATGGCGATGAAACCAAAAAAAAAAAAAAAAAGAAAAAACAGACAACGAAAATGGCCATAAAAGGGATGAAACAGTGACAAAGTAGAGGGTATCCACGAAGAATTGAAGGATTAGGCCGAGGCAGCTGGACGAATTAAGATCCGTTCAACATGCTCGAAAACAGCTGCCCAGGCGGCTCGAGTAAAGGCGTTGGAGATGAAATGAAGATGGGAAATGGCAGCAAAAATAAAAGAAAAGAAAAGAAAAGGTGTGCATTAAGGAGTGCAAGAAAGGGAAATGACCAAAGGTGGTCAACAGGAATATCGGCTCAGAACGCCCCAAAAACAAATGCTTTGGAATGCAGAGTGAACGTAGGACAAATCCCATGTGCCCTGGAAAAATCAAATCGATTCGGTACCGTGAGACAATCTATGCCTCGGGGACAATGGACTTCTTTCGCTGGAACATGCTGCGAGTGCGCGACTTGCTGCGCGGCTTCTTCTCGCTCTTGTCTTTTTTGTTATCGCTGACGGTCCGTCCGCGACCACGGGAGCGGCCCTTGGACTCGTCTTCAGCCATGTATTTATCCTTGTAGATCCTGCAGGGCGGGTTAGCTAAAATCCGAAACTCAAAAACACCGTTGGACGAAACACTTACCAGCTGTTTCCAACCATGCTCATGCCGTTGGTTTCTGCCTGTCGGTAGAACCGCGCAGCCTTCTTCATGTCCTTCTTGCAGCCAACGCCTTCCGCATAGCAGAATCCTGCTTCGGCCATGGCATCCACATCACCCCATTGTCCGGCGATCTCGAAGCAGCGCAGAGCCAGGCCCTTGTCCTGGTCAATGCCCCAACCGTTCAGGTAGCTGACGCCCAGTTCATAGATACTGAGAGCAAACTGTGACCGGTAGGCCTTCTGCAACTCTTTCGCCTTGGACGCACCAGGGGCATCGGGATTCTCAAGCATTTCCAGCCCAACGGAGTCCACGGCTTTGCGAAGCCATCGCACGCCCTCTTGCTGGTTGGATCGCATACCCCAGCCGTGACGGCAGGCGAGCGCGTACAACAACATTCCGGTGGGGTTGTTTTGCTTGGCCGCAATCCGCAGATGATATGTCGACTCGTTCAATGACCCCTTCTCGTGTAGGTCAATGGCCTTCGCAACATGGTCATCGGGGGTCATGTTGAGCGACGATGCCTGGGTTGCAGCGGTTTGCGGGCGCAATGTACTGGCCGAATCCGCTGATGAAACGGTCTCGTCCTTATCATTCGTCTTAATGCTCCTTGGCTGGCTGGACGGCGGGGTAGACTGCTGAATAGACTCGCTGGACTTTCGGGGAGTGGAAACCACCCGTGCAGGCGCTGCTGGTGCAGGCGCGGGCTTGGGTGGTGAAGGCGGCATGGGTACTGATCTCGGGGTCTGAGGAGCAGGTACCTCGTGCATCGAGTGCGGCTTGGGAGAATTGTCTGGGTCGCGACGCATGGAGGGTGGCGGAGTGCGAGCCGAGCGCAAGTGGTCCTCTGAATGGCGAGGCGGGGTCTTCTCAAACAAAGGTTCACTCCATTCGAAATGAGGCGTTTGTAAGCCTGCAAAGATCACCGAGTCTCTTGCAAGCTCGCGTCCACGGGGAAGGTCGTATTTAGCATATACGTAGGAAGAGACGGCGGAAGACGGGTCGCCCTCGCCGGGGGCGGTTTCCGCGGCCGCTTCAGTTGCCAAAGGCAAAAGGATCGGAGCGGGCTTGGTCGCACGATGCATATTGCTAGGCTGGTTCCATTGATTTGACTGGGGTGCCACGGTTGGTTCCGATGTGGCTGATGGGCCAGGAGCGGACAAGCTCGTGCTTGAGCGGCTGAGGGGCCGGGAGAAGTTGAAAGAAGGTCGGGCGAGGTGGCCAGTATTTGATGTTTCTGAGCTCAAAGATGGTGAACGCGGGTGAGCTCGAGCGGGGAAGGTAGACATGGGCGAGTATGGCAACGAGACGGCACTGCCAGAGGACAATTTCCGCGGTTTGGAGAATGTGGAGCCCCCATTCGAGCTACTATAATCATCATCAGAGCTCTCGGGGTGCGTCACCTTGGCACTGCTCGAAGACCGCGAATTGGGCGACATCGGCGGCGCTAGGGTTCGAGCAATATGGAGACGTGACACCGAGTCGGTCGAGGATTGCCGAGATGGATCAAACATGGCAACACCAACCGAATCCTCTGATTCGCGGGCGAGTATCGGGTCCTCGTCAGGAGACTCTGCACGCGGCATCCCGTACGAGTCCGACTGGATCATAGTTGTACGGGGGGTAGACTCATCGTCGTTGTCGTCGCCGTTGCTGGTAGCATTCGAGACGGAACTGAAACGTGGGTGTTCGGACACGGGGCGGTATTTGGGCTCTGAAAACTCCGGAAGCGCCTTCTGTGTTGGTCTCCGCGTGAGAGTATTCGTCTGAGAGTCGCTGGACGCGCCACGGAAATAGCCCGGTCGACCGTGTGACAGCGAGCGAGCGACGCTAGAAGGAGGCAACCGGCTCATGCGCCGGTCTCCTAGTCGAGACTCATCTAATTGTTTAGCGAGGAATCGCCCCTGGGCGGCGAAGGCATCCAGAGGAGAGAGGGCGGGAGGGACCTCTCCATCGAAGTGTTCGATGCGCGGCGATGGGATGCCAGAACGGAGGGTGTCGTGGGAGGTGGAGCGGCATTCGCTCAGCTTTCCTCGCATCTCCATCGTGGGGATTAAATGCAGGTCAAAGAATGCGATCGTAAGGACCCCAACCGGGTCAAATCCTCCAGATATCCAGCTCGGTTATCGATTCTTGAAAGGGGACGGGGGTGATGGATCATCCAGAGTCGGTCGGGTCTTTGGAGACTTGCACTGGACGCATCGAAGAGGGGGGTAGGTAGCGGAGGTTGCGATCGAGACCGGGAGGTCGGAGGGTCGGAGTTCAGATAGGGCGGGGGCAATGAAGCCAAAGGAATGACAGCCCGGGATAAAAGGTCACGACATGAAGTGCGTCAGAGGAAAGGAGGGAAAAACGGGCGAGGCCCTGACGATCACAATGCAACACGGTAACTGCAGGCTGCGCGCCCCGTGCACTAAAAGCTAGGCAGTCTCCACAGTAGGGGGGAGGAGGTGAAAGGAGTAAATATAGTGTGTCGGCCTCCTGTGTATTGTGTACGAGTTCCCCACGTACGCACGGAGAGTACGCGCAAGTTCAAGTCAACGCTACTCCCACTCTCAGGGGTATTGACCCAGTCCTCCCATGGCGTGCCATACATCGGGGCGCAATCTTCTAGAATGTTTTTCTTCTCTGTTCTCCCCACACACGGCTTGTTTCATTCAACTCTCGAGTTCCACTCGCCTTTCTTTGGCTCACCAATCGTGTGTCGCCCGGTGGAGGCCCGTTTCTTATTTTGGCCCCGTTGAACCCGTATTCCTGAAAATTTCATGTGTTTATTTATTGGTTAGGTTTGAGGACTTAGGTCGAGTTGAACATGTCTAGTACGTGTGCGCGTAGGGTGTGTTCCGCTGCATGATGGATAATGTGATATAGCAACTCAACATCAAAAAACAGCATGGCGCATCGCGGCCAGCCATCCCTATTGGAGGACGGCACACAAGATCTGGCACCCGCTGACTAGTTAGGCAATACAGATTTCCTAATTTACGGCCCAACTGCCCCGGTGCAACGCTAGCCGGGTCCATACTAGCTGAATGCGTCCACGCCCCGGAACAATGCTCTAAGAACGTATGTAGCACGCGCTCGCGTAGCCTAGGTAGACGAACCACACGAATGGCTTAGCCTTAAGCTAACGTGGTACTGCAAAAAAAAAATTCCACCATGGCACCGGCTCTATATGACCCTGCAATCTCTGCAGACTCAACGTTCCCAAGGTTGTCATCCTCAAATCGACCGGGTTCCAAATCAACCCAAAATTAATTGATCGCCATGCGTCGAGTTCCAGCCGCCACGCTCTTCAGCGCCGATCCTAGCACGGACAACCTGCATCGCTTCGAGACATCTTGGCTGTTGCCTCCGACTCTACTCGCTGCTCTGCGCGGCCTCATCTCGCTCTATATCTTCACCACGATCATTGTCATCTGGGCCTGGTATGGTACTCACGATGATCGCGTTGATATCGGCGAGACTTTCAGCTACTTCACCTGGTTGACCTACTGGGGCCTGGGCTTTTACTTTCTGTTCTCGGCCATCCACACAGCCTGCTATGCGTGGACAGGACGCTCCGTGCTCTTCGACCGCTGGCCACGCTTCTTTCGTGTGCTTCACACCCTGTTTTATGCGACTGTCACCACCTTCCCATTCCTGGTGACCATCGTCTTCTGGGTCATCCTTTTCACACCGCCGTTCTACAAGCAGACCTTCCCCCGCTGGTCGAATGTAAGTTTATATGCGACGGGTGGCTATTGTGTCTCACATCCCCCTCCCCCGCCGCCCCCTACATTCCTCAGATAAACAGTATTTTTGGCACGGGGCTGACCTGAAACAAAGATCTCTCAACACGGCCTCAACTCCTTCTACGCCCTGCTTGAAATTATCCTCCCAGCCACCGCTCCACACCCCTTCATCGCGATCCCCGTTCTCATCCTGATCTTGTTGCTCTACCTCTGCGTCGCATACATCACCTACCACACCGAGGGCTTCTACACGTACGGCTTCCTGGACACTGAGGGTGGGAAGAAGAGCGGCATCGTCACCGGCTACTGCTTCGGAATCCTTGCTGCTATCCTGGTTATCTTCCTGGTTTCTTGGTCTCTGATCTGGCTGCGGAAGCGGTTGACTGGCAGTAAGATTAAGAGAGCTGCGCGTGATCCCTTGCGCGCACAGGGCGAGTTTGTCGATGCGCCGGTGGATATGCAGGAGCGGGCGAACGAGCCGAAATATCCAGATGTGTCAGTGTAGAAATACTGGGGACGATACCATTCCTGAACATAATTATAGATGCCATGATGTACATGGAATAATGTTAGATGTTAATCAAAGCCAGTCCAGTAGCGCCAGCAAGAGCGAGGAGTATTCGAAAGATCATGTACATTAAATAAATACTTTCAAAGAAGTTCAGAGATTTTTGGCGCCAGATGCCAGGTTGGGTCAAGACCTAGACTCGTTCCCAGCTGTTTTCACTGCCGACACTAGGACTGACGGCGCCATTTCCACTGCGATAGCCCATCATTAACCCCACGAGACCGCTGGGCACCCACGCGCCGATCACGTTGTATGATCGAGCACCTCGGCCGACGTATAGAATCGACTTCTTAGATTTCCGTTGTCCCAAGAAGTTCAGAGGCGCAGGCTCCAGTGCATCCAGTACGGCATGATGGAGGTGTCGAGCTGGAGAGCCTCGGATGGCTGCAGGTCCCGCAGAGGCAACGGGCCGCTGCTCGACGCTAGAAAGGTATTGCTGGCCGTAGAGCGCGCGCTGCTGCACACTCCATGCCAGAACCTCGGTCCCGGCAACTTGACTCTGGGCATGTCTGTACGAAGGGCCCAGATCGATGTTGCCGAGACGAAGCTCGACAACATCGACATTTGCATTTTCGAGGAGGCGGAGCTCCTGGCGGAGCGAGGTAGCGAATCCCGAGATGGCACGGGTTGTGGTAACTTCGGGTCCAGCGAAGGGTGCAGAGAGGGAAGAAGAGATAGACGGGTAAACAAAGGCAATAGTGCTGCTGTTGCTGCGGAGTGTCAACAGAGGGAGGAAGATCTGCGCGGTAAGTATAGGTGAGAGGAGACGAGTATTGACCGTGTCAGCCCACGACGACGCCGGAATGGTTGCGACGGGGCCTGCCGCGTAGTTGGGAGACGGGACAATGAAAACGCCGCTCAGCTGGCAAGTGTGCGGTGGCATCCCGGGGTGAGGATATTGAGGCTGAGTGATCAAATCACGGAGTTCGTGAAGCGAAGGGTGGATTTCTGACGGCATGGGAGATGACTGTTTCTATCAGAATTTGAGTCTCTGCACGATCTGAAGATACTCACGGTTGTCAAATCCAGCCACAACGGCTTTATATCAGCCCGGCTCTCTGACTGGACAATATGTTCCTCATCCGCAGATGAGACCGTCACATAGACGATATATCCCCGGCGCTCCAGATCCGCAGCCATGGCTCTCGTCATCGGCTCGTGTGGTGATCCCGCAATGACTATCCCGTCCGATTAGACCAAAATCCAGCAGCAGTCAACTGAGATTTTCTCCGACTCACCAACGATTTCTTTCCGCGCTCCGTTGCCAGCTTTCCTGGCCTTTCTGCGCTTTCCATGCAACTTCTTACTCCCGTAGTACAAGACGCACCCAGTCCCGACAAATGCGACGATGGCCGCCGTCCACGCGCGATTCCGAACCATCCAGTCCTGGACCCGGTCTGTCAGACCGCGAGGCGCGCGTGCGTTGCGGGAAGGGCGCAATGGGCGAACAGCTTGCGGCAGCCATGACTGGTCGGAAAGAGTGTCTCTGATCACAGTCGCCGCATGGTCGAACTGGCGGTCGATCGAGTCGGCGACTTGCGTCGAGTAGCGCCTTACGTCATTGGGTATGGCCGCGAGCTGGAGACAGGGTCAGCACTGGGGTAGAGGGCATATGGTCAGGAGGTGAAACACACGTAGTCAAAGAAGAACTGGTCGTCGCTGGTCATTTTGTTGTCTGGCATCATGAGAAAAAGAAATGATCAGAGAACGATAAGAGTGAGCGATAATCATCGGTGTTATCGGATCATCACATGATGTGATGCCATAAATGTCCATTGTCTTCCAAGGTTCAACGACAAGGGAAGTCGCATCTTTTACTCCATGGTTATCGGATTTCCGTTTGATTTGTCCTTTCGGTTCTTTTTTGAGAAGTAATGGAAATCGTGAGTGATACAGTCGGCATTTGAACTATGGGCATTAGACATACATATATTGACCTCGGGATGTCCACTAATGTTATCAACGAGAAAAATGACACCTCCGGGCAATCGAGATTTTCGAAGGGGAACAAGACATTCAAACCGACTTCTCTATGAAGGTTCTATATATGAAGGTTTATGTATTCTCCTCAAAATAGCTTGCGTGAAATGTCTTTTGAGTACATCTAGTTTTACTCACATGACCGTCGACACCTGAATCCGCTGGTACCAATTGATTAGTTATCACTGAAGACCGGCGCAAATCGATTCAAACGACAAGACATTCATTCCAAAAGTTTCTGAGGTTTCTTTCGCCTCCCTTTGTGCTTTCTATGGGAATGCGTCACCAGTCGAGACTGTTGTACGAAGAATGATACCCAGCCAGAGGCCTTAGCCTCTGAGATCTCGTCCTTACTATTCCCTCCTTTGCCATATCATCAATCATTACGAACCTCCAAGATGCGTGAGATGGACGCTCTCATCTCGGAGTACCGCCATGAGAAGAAGCGTCCCCGAGAATCGGAGGCCCTTTTCATCCTCCGCAAGGTGGCCTCTATCGTCAAGCCGATCATGCGTCAGCGCTCCTGGCGCGTGGGGGCACTCTGCGAGTTCTACCCAAAACAGAGCAATCTGCTAGGGCTGAACGTCAACTCCGGTCAGAAGATTTGCCTGAGATTACGGTATGCTTCTGACCAGAAGCAGTTCCTGCCTATCGAGCAGGTTGTGGATACCATGCTTCATGAGTAAGTCAATATCCCCGAGATTCTTGGCCACTGGCTTATAAATTTAGACTCTGTCATATTGTCCATGGTCCTCACCACAGACAATTTCATGCATTGTGGAATCAACTTCGGGACGAGCACGAAGAACTCGTGATCAAGGGATACACCGGCGAAGGCTTCCTTTCCCAAGGAAAACGTCTCGGTGGAAACAGGATCCCGCTGGATGAGGCGCGGCGTCAGGCTCGTGCAGCTGCTGAGCAGCGGCGCGCTCAAACTAAGAACTCAGGAAAGAAGCTCGGTGGGGCTCCTGTCCTGCGTGGAACCGACATACGCAAGCTGCGCGCAGATGCCGCCCAGCGACGTATCGAGGTGACCCAGGGATGTGCATCAGGAACCGATCACAGCACCGAGCTTGCTGAGGAGGCATCTCGGAATGGGTTCAGGACGAAGGCTGAGGAAGATGATGCGAACGAGGCAGCCATCATGCAGGCCTTCGTCGAATTAATCCAAGAAGAAGAGCGCGAGAAGTATGGCGATTCTTACATTCCCCCGAGCCAGGATAATCCTGCCGGACCCCATACGCAGTCGTCACCACCTCCACCTGATTCTCGAGACAAATCACAAGTCACACCTGTGGAGACACCTCAAGCGGAGACTCCCGAGGTGCTCGATCTCGCAACGGATAATATCTCATACGACACTCCGTGGACTTGTCCGGCATGCACATTGAAAAACCCTCCCAACTTTCTCTGCTGCGAGGTCTGTGCATCAGAACGGCCCGCTCCCGCAAACGCCAAGTCAGAAGAGCCTGCGGAAAGTCCAGCACTCCCTGATCGGACGTGTTCAGAACCGCAGAGGCCAAATAAGCGCTCGCTGCCAGATGACAAGACCGAAGAAGACGACAAAGCCGCACCACGCGATACCTTTGCTTTCAAGAATCGAACCCGGGCTTTAGACACACTAAAGGCCTTGGATCGCGATGTCAATAAAAGACGTTTGGGGTGGAATTGCGGCTTTTGCGGTTCTTTTATGGAATCGCAATGGTGGACATGTTCTTCCTGTGGAACGATGAAGGCGACCTCTTGATTCTTTTTATGATGACTAGATCTGGATCATGAAGCCCATAGATCACGAAATTGATGAATTTAATGAGATTAGAATATGAAATAAGCATAAGCTCCAAGCCCATCCTTTGCCTACCCGACGCTGTATACTCCGCTCTCTATGCACGTGACCTACTGACTAAGCTCGACTCCACCCGGTCAATTATTTTCGCAGAAGCTGCGAATCTCCCACCTCTCCTCTTCTGCACCTGCGAAAAACCCAACTGCACGCCCTCGACTCTCACAGCCAGCAGGGCAAGGTCTAAAAATATCCTTGGGCCTTGCTCATGCTGGCAACGCACTAACAGGTACGTACTAACGACTGCCAGAGGCGAGCAATGAACAGCAAGACCGCGAGAAACATCCAATGATGAGATATTGCAAATGAACCGAATTTTTTAGGAAGAGCCGGAAGAGGTATGGCAATTGGACATCCAAAGAGGTGCCGTTGTCGTCGATGCTTATAATGGTTCCGCTGAAATGGTGTTTCGGTCTTGCTGTTCGCTTGTTTTGTCTTGTGGCAGAGGCAGGTTTGGGATTCATTGCTAACTTTGTTTCCCCTCAAGATCCCCGAGATTCGATACGAATTGCTTGGTGGATATGGTATTTGTGGGCTGGAGCTAGATTAGGGGTTGAGGGCAAAATCGAACTAGATACAATGAAATCCTTGAAATCCTAATGCTCGAATTGAATATTTGTGATGAAGCTAGTATAATACATCCCTTGATCTAAACTCCCAAGATATAAGACTTTTAAACGACATTAACATTTGAAATCCAAAGGTCAACGAAATGACCCCAACGCCCATTGACATGCTCAAGCCTTGCCCAATCAAGCAATGCTCATGAATTGCCGCTTTTTGCCCGACCCCTTCTGGTTGGCTGTCTTCTCCCAGTTCTCTTCGTCAATATAGTCTTTGGTGCCGTGATCGCGGATCTGGTTGCCGATGAACTGCAGTGCAGACAAGTTGAAGCCCATCTCGTCCTTTTGGCGAGCAAGAACTCGGCGCAGCGAGACCCGGATGTCGTCCAGCAGCGGGCGCATCATCTTACTAGCCACGATCTGCCGGTGGTGTGTCTTCAGCATAAAGAATAGCACGCGGCAAGTGAGGGGCACGTTCCATTCGCGCTCGGCGAAGATTTTAAGGAAGGTGAAGAGTGCGCCAAGCTTGGAGAAGGGGAGGACTAGGAGAGCATCTTGCAGGGCAGCGGCGGGGACCTTCTGTATGGTGTTCAGAACGTGCTGCTCAGCAGAAACGTTGTTCAGCGCGAGGTAGAGCGGGTTACGATCAGGCGGCACGGCCGCGGCCTTCGGGTTAGCGGCCTTGACCTTGCGCCATTCGCTCACGAGTGCGAGGTCTTCGACACCAAAGTCCAGAGCTTCCATGATCTTTTCTCCAGCCATAAAAGTGCCCGAAGTCTGTTTGCCAGCATCGACGGCTTCGGCCTTTTCGCCTTCTTCACCGTCCTCCTGATCCAGAGACGCGGTAAGAGTGGCGTCGTATTCTTCTTCCATCTCCTTCTCACGCTCCTCCTCGAGGAAGAGAGGCTCATCGGTCTGCTGCCAAATGCGAATACTCTTATCGTGACTAGCACTGACGATGAAATCACCGGAATGAGCCATAGCCAATGCCCAGATCTCGCCGTGGTGTCCGGTAAGTCGCTGGATGTTCTCGAACTTGTCGCCGTCCCAGTACTTGATGACCCGGTCCTTGCTTGCACTGAAGAAATTGTGACCGTTTCCATCCTTGTTATGGGGAACGAATGCCACTGCCATCACACTGTCTTCGTGGGCCAAGAAAGACTTGTGGGAGTCACCAAAGTCCAATCCCCAGATACGAGCGGTCTTGTCGGCCGAGCAAGTAACGATCAGCTTGCTATCGTAAGAGATATCCATGCTGAGAACAGGAAGCTTGTGGCCGTAGAGGTTCAGGAAGAGTTTCAATGAGTCAACGAAGAAGACTTTGACGGTGTTGTCCAGCAGAGAGACTGCTAGCAGGCGTGCATCCGGTGAGAAGCGGAGACTGAGGATGTCGTCGTTGACCTTCAGCATTCTTGTGTGCACTAGCTTGAGACGAGGCGTGGTGCGCTTCGTGCCAGGAATCTCCTCTTGGACGACCTTGAATTCCCAGAACTTGGCCGTCTTGTCTGCACTTCCACTGACCATGGATTTGCCATCGGGGTGCACATGGAGCGACCAAACAGGGCCGTCGTGTGCCTTAATAGTATCCAGTAAGGTAGAAGACGCGATGTCGAACACTTCCAATTCACCGTTCTTGTTTCCAACCACCACAATCTTGTCACCCGGGAGGAATGCAGAGCACAGTGCATAACCGCACTCGAGAGTACGCAAGCAGGTTTCTGTGCGCACATTCCAGATCTTGAGACTGCCGTTTGATACCGATGCGAGCATGCGGTCATCGGAGCTCAACGCAATTGACCGAATATCTGTTCGGTGACCAGGAATATCCACTGCCAGGTTGCGAGTGTACTCGGAATCTTCCTCATCCTTCTTCTTCTTGTTCGCCGTGACGACGCTGTAAGCTTCCAACTGGTTGTTTGTGGTCGCGGCAAGTATGTTGAGGTTGCTGGACTTGTTCATCATCCAGTCGAAGGAACGAACCTTTCCACCAGTTCGGACAATGACATGAGAGACAAAGACCTCGGTAACAGGCGCAGAGGAAACATCCTCAGGCTTCTCCAGGGCAGCTTCAACCTCCTTCTCTCCATCCTGACGTTGCGCCTCCTTCTCCTTTCTGCGCTTCTTCTTACGCGCAAGGCTCTTCTGCACTTCTGCCGAGGACCGGATGCGCCAAACCTCGACCGACTTTTCCGAGCCATGGAAACCAACGTAATCTGCCTTGGGGTGGAAGCGAATGCCGATGGTGCGATCCTTGCCGTGACGATAGAATGTTCCTCGATCTGTGAGAATTTTGCGACCTTCTGCGCCAACCTTTTCCTTCGAAATTTCAAGCATAGCGCTCTCGTCAATCGACCAAACCCGAAGCTCTCCGTCATTTCCTGCAGTAATGCAACCACCCTGGTCAGGCGAAAGACCCAGACTCCAGCACTCGCCATTGGACTGTGCAACATGTGTTTCAATGCAGTGCTGCGATGCCAGATCCCAGACCTTGATCAATGCGTCCTTTCCAGTAGTCAATAGGAAGCCCGAGTGTTCGCTGAGCCCAGAAGCAGTGAGGAGCTCTGCCGATGGGAAGAGGAAGTGAAGCGATGTGATTTGATCGGTGTGTCCGCGGAGTTTGAATAGACCAACTTCGGAAATCAAGTCCCAGATGATAATGTCGGTGTCCTTGGAACCACTGGCAAGGCGCACACCGGCGTTGTCGAAGGCCAGCTGGGTGATGGCGGATTTGTGTCCATTGAAAGAGATGATGATGGTGCTAGTTCGCGAGTCCCAAATTCGAATGCTGCCATCTTCGTAGCTATCAGGGAAGAAAAGAAAATATTAGCGGAGTAGTTGTTGAGCTGCGCTGGGCAACTTACCCAACTGCGAAGATATCTTCATCCGTTTGGCTGTGGGCGACCACAGTCACTTGCGCCCTACAGGCTGAGTCGCGCCAGCGGCCGAGCAATTCTCCCTTTTTGACATCCCAACACAAGACCGCCTCGCTAGCACCCACGATTGCCCGCCCGGCGCCTGTCTGGCGACCAGCACCCGCGGTCTGGTCATCCTTCGCCCAGATCGCATTCGACGACGCCGAGGCGATGAGCCCGAACGTATTCGAATGCTCGAATTTACTGCAGAGAATGTTAGTGATACCAGCGCAATCCTGAACGTGTGAATGGCACGTACAAGTAAGATTTCACCATGGTCGGAGGTGGATGGGAAAATTTTTGGAGACGATTGCTATCGATAGCACAAAATTAATTACGGGCGGCGACAGCGACCCGTCGGGCTCCCCCACCGCCCATGACGATCGCGCCGCCATCTCCCACCGTCTCCTTCCACTCCCTCTCTACTCCCCCATTGCGTCGCCCGTCATGCTTCTATTGGATTATCAGAACGTTTTGATCCAATCCCTCCTCACGGAGCGGTTCTCTGGGTACGATTTCCCCTCCGCCGCTCCCCTCCGCACTCAATGTCCCCCTCATTGTATACACAGCCCCCCCCCCCCAGGCTTCCAGCTAACTGTTGCCCGCAGTGCTCCCCCAGCTTCGATTGATCAAGTGGTTTCCGACTTTGACGGCGTGACGTTTCACCTCTCGACCCCTGAATCCAAGACCAAGATCCTCGTCTCCATCCATGTGAAATGCTTCAAGGAGCTGGTGCAGTACGGCGCCCAGGCGGTGCTGGAGCGGGAATACGGCCCCTACATCGTGTCTCCCGAGCCCGGATATGATTTCTCAGTACAAATCGATCTCGAGAATTTGCCTGCTGAGCAGGAAGCTCGGGAGGAGCTGATTATGAAGCTCGCCCTGCTCAAGCGAAACGCGATGGCAGCTCCGTTCGAGCGGGCATTTGACGAATTCGCCGAGCTTGCCGAGGAGGCTTCGAGATATACCTCAGAGTCGGCACCGCAAGGTGTGAAGGAAGGTGGCGAGGTTATGTCGATCCACTACCGCGAGGAGGAGGCTATCTACATCAAGGCTAGCCACGACCGCGTAACGGTGATCTTCAGCACTGTGTTCCGTGAGGAGACGGATCGCATCTTCGGCAAGGTCTTCCTACAGGTTTGTCTCTCAGACGAAGTTGATACCGAATGCGCGATGCTGACGAACTGTAGGAATTCGTCGATGCCAGACGTCGCGTCGTGACGCTACAGAATGCGCCTCAAGTACTCTTCCGCAACACTCCCCCGCTTGAGCTGGAAGGCGTCCCCGGTGTGGAGAACGCAAGCGAAGGCGAGATGAGCTATGTCACTTTCGGTGAGATTGCCTCCATGCTGCAATGCGCATCCCACACTAATGCAATATAGTTCTATTCCCTCGACACTTGACCCCCCAGCGCCGCTATGATAGCATCTCCCACATCCAGACTTTCCGTGACTACTTCCACTACCATATCAAGGCATCGAAGGTAATATCCCCTTGCTCCATTGGAAGAAAATTAGTTGACCATTCACGACAGGCATACATCCACACCCGTATGCGCAAGAGGACAGCAGACTTCCTCCAAGGTACGTGCAACCGGCAATCGCATCTATCACAGACTGCTAACAGGTTCCAGTCCTCAACCGAGCCAGACCCGAGAACGAAGAGCGCGAGCGCAAGACAGCGAGTGGCCGGACCTTCCGTGTGCAAAGCTAGACTTGTGACACGTCCCTGTTTGATATAACCTGGCGAGCGTTTTTTGGACATGCACAGCTTTTGATTATCCAGTTCCCTTCCCAGGTTGTCTTCTCTGCAAGTAGTTTCATGATATCGTAAGGCAAGTAACCCGAAGATGTATCCGAGGTCCATAGGTGCCCGACAAGATGTTCTAAGACGTGTCGAGATCAAAGACTCCCCGTGGTGATGCCCATGGATCACGCGAAGAGCCGTGTCTAGGTAGGTAGCTATGAGTCGCTGGCCGGTTGCTGTTGCCTTTCCGCGACAACGCCTTCTCTACAAATTTCAACGTTTTGCCCTCAAGCATTGTCTCATCCTGAAAACATCGCTTAATATGCAATCAATGATGAAAGATTCACGCAAGAGTTGGTGGACCAACTATCTGTCGAAGCTTCGCTCGAAGCGTGAGTCTCATCGAGATGTTCATCGAATTACAGCCCTCTCAATCTCGAGCCCCCGAAGCAATAGCGATGAATTTTATTCATTGGGGCCTATGAGTCCTGTTAGCCCGGAAGACTTTGTGAGGACCGAAAGCTATGTTGACATGGTCAAGGAACAGGGGGACGACTGTTACAGATACTCGGCCTCAATCTACGAAGAAGACATCAAATCATCGACTGAGTCGTTGGTTCTTCGGCCAAGCCCTACCAGTGACGAGTTTTCTAACGACTCCATGGTAGGCTTCTTCCTATATTCATCATCTCTCACTTATTTCAGTGTCTCGACTTTACTAACTTGACAAAGATGGCTTCCAGCAGACGGCATTCTCGGACATACACGATCAGCTGTGATGAATGGGTCATTCCTTCGTCGTCATCCTCGTTCTCGTCGCAGGTCTTGCCGATGGATGACCTGGACGCAGTGCAGTTGTCAATCCACTTTGGCACCGTCATGAAGATCTTCACGAAGATCTTCGCTATCGCCAAACTCCTGCATGTGGTGTTCCTGGCATACGGAGTGAAGGTACGCTCGTCCACTTGCTATAAGGATCATCCAGAAAAGATTTCTGTCCTGAACATAGTATTGGATACTCTGTACTTTACCATTGGAAACTGACACATACGCAGCTCGATGATTCGATCAACGGCCTGACGTACTGGACCAAGCGAGCTGAAGACGAGATCAGAACCGATCAACTCGCCATTCTCGTCGACATTGTGGAGCACCTCTTCTACACACTCTACGCTAGATTGCAGATAGAGATGGCCGCTATCGAGCTCTGTTCTCTCATCAGAAGGGGAGAACGTCCAGTGTCCACTCACTTCAAATTCGTCCTTCCGAATAACGACCATCTCTACCGCATCTTCACGGCATGTAAGGACTTCCTTGATTCCCCTATGATTTGTGGAAACCCGCGGGCCGCCATAATATCCGGGCTCGTCGTTGAGTTCCAGGAGTGCCACATCTTCAGCCTCGGTTGTAATGATGTCGTGCAAGGAATTGATGACGATCCGATGGGCTACCGCGAGCATGCGCGTACAATCCTTTCCGAGCGGTCTTCCCCGTATCGTAAGAAGTGGAATGGTCTCATTCCATTCTTTGACACCATCCCAATCGAACTCATGGCCGTTCTTTGTGAGAAATACTTCACTGTGATTCCCAAGCAAGAACCGGAGCTGGACATCCCTCTCTCAGAACTTGGCCTCGTGGATCTCAAGACTGTCGATCCAGCCCGGTGGGAAAAGAAGATTATCCTGGACCACCGCTTGTCTGCCCTGAGTCTGCTGGAAGGTAAATCCATTGGCGAAATGCGCCGCGACGACCCTAAAGCGAGCATATTTTCTCTGTCAAAGACACACAAGTGTATCTGCAATCAAGTTTGCTTCTGTGCCGAGGCCTGTACGAGACATGACGGTGTCGAGCGCTGGTGCCCCTGTGCCGAACGGCATTTCCGGATCATGACTGCTCGTCGTCGCAGCTCGACTGGCCGCGCCCCGTTCAACATCCGCGCCAACACGCTTAGCTGGGTCTGTTTCCAGGGACTGGCAGGTCTCCAAGAATGCGTTCCCGAGCGCCAGCTGCTGTTGGAGGTGTTTGAAATGTTCAATATCTTCGACATGGAAATTCAAAAACAGCGGAGTGGTCTAACAGCAGCTCACTGGGCCTAGAGAATTTCGTAATTTTGAAGAACGAGTGGCGTGCCAAAGTTACTTTCAAACATAGCATCGGTGTGGAGTATGGCGTTCGAGAGAGTGGATGGAATGATGTTCTCGAGCACAAATACAGTAACTTTAACGATATCTTCAGCAATGTCATTAGCAAGATCTTTAAAAAACATCTTGAACAATGTCGTAAACAAGATCTTGCAAGTTACTGGTCTCGTGCGTTGAAGAAGTGTAGATTCGATGTACCTGGTATAGTTCGGGAGTCGGGCCACACCATAGTATGGGTGTTATTCACTGCATCCAGCAGGGAGTATTGCAGTATCACTGAATTCCCATCATCTCGGTCATTTTCGGTAATTGCAAAGTAAAAAAGAACAGGCTAAGTGCAGGCGTTGTCCAAGCGCGGAAGCGGCCGCCTTCATATGACACGCGGTACTCCGTAGAGCAGAGCACAGCACTCGGCGCTGCAGGCCAGTGAAAACTTCGCGATGCAATTCTCGACCGGCCCTGCCGGTGAACACGCCCTGCAACTTTTGCTTCCCTGTATTCAACGGTCTTTCCATCTCTTTCTTCTTGGAGATCATGACTAAATCACTTTAAATCCTCCACCCATCGACTGGCCCATCTGCGTGCGCTGAGAGGCGCCAAGTCAGGCATGGTGACCACGGCAAGGGTTCCACCTTCACTCTCATCATTACCACGGCCGAGTAGATGGATCGCACGAGCCGTCAGATCGAGTCCGTCGGCCTTAGTCAATGCCAGTGCCCGCGACAGTCCCAACGGGGCCCGCTGGCGACCGACGGCACGGCTATACCACGCGGCTGTGTGGCCCTGCTACGGTGTCATCACTCCCGTCCCCGACCGTCACGATCTCCGCCTCGCCAAATCACCCTTTCGCTTTGAGACGGGCTATGCTCTTTGCGCTAAGCGTCCTTCACGTCCCTTTCCTCCGCCGTTTCTGTCCCCACCGTCCTCGTCTTTCTCCGATCCCTTGACTACCCACTCGCTGAACCAGGATAAGAGATTATCCGTCCAGGGCGAACTGGTTCGTGGCTTGAATAATGGAGACGACGCGATCGTCGTTGCGGAGAACTTTCTCGGAGTGAATGATGGTGTAGGTGCATGGGCGACAAAGCCTCAGGGCCATGCTGCGTGAGTTTGCTTCGTACCGACGTCAAAGGTTTCCATCGGCTGACTTTTTTTTCCATATAGGCTTTGGTCAAGGCTGCTTCTACACTTCTGGGCGCTCGAAGTTGAGCGCCAAGTCACCGCGGACGCTCCTACTCTCGACCCCATCGAGTACCTCCAGTCTGCCTATGAGGAGACCATTCGCGCAACCTCGAGTCCTAACGAGTGGTTCGGAACCACCACGTCGGCGACGGCCCTTCTACACTGGATCCGTGAGCAAGATGGTACACAGAAGCCGCTACTCTACGTGACAAATTTGGGGGATTGCAAGGTGATTGTTATCCGACCGAGCGAGGAGAAAGTCTTGTTCCGCACCACCGAACAATGGCACTGGTTCGACTGTCCCATGCAGTTAGGAACGAACAGCATCGACACACCGCGAAAAGACGCAGTGCTATCCAAGATCACCTTGCAAGAAGACGACATCGTTCTGGCGGTGTCAGACGGCGTCATGGATAATTTGTGGGAGCACGAGGTCGTCAAAGTGGTTCTGGACAGTCTTCAGAAATGGGACAATGGGGATTACTTGGATGTACCTCCGCCACCGAATTTGTCGAATGAACGCATGGTCTATGCGGCTCGTGAGGTTCTCAACGCCGCTTTGGATATTGCGCAGGATCCTTTTGCAGAGAGCCCGTACATGGAGAAAGCTGTGGATGAAGGTCTTGCGATTGAAGGAGGTATGTTTTGACACTTGAAGATATTCCAGTGTGGTTATCATATATTGACTGTGTATAGGCAAAATGGACGACATCTCGGTCGTCATTGCGTCTTGTAAGAAGCGAGCCGGGTGAATAAACGTGTTCCAAGGAATATCGAACCTTTTATTCTCCGACTCACGAGACTCATCGTCTCGAACAACCCAACAGCTTCGCATCGGCCTGGGCGCGCACTTTTTCACTGTCGGTACTTCAAGTCCGGTCGCGATTACATACCACTCTGTATGCGGTAAAGATTCGCGCACTCTGAAGCAGACGTCGCGTACCCTACATGCCTGAGAGCACCCTGCCCAGGCCGCAAGGAGACGCTCAGTCTAACACCGAGGCCTCAAGATCACGACTCAACGAAATCTTAGTATTTATTGCATATGGTTACAATGGGGAATGGAACCGCGTTGAACTAGATTGAGTACATTGCATGCGTCGGGTCTCACGTAGAGATACCCATCTGAGTGTCAACTGCTCTGGCAAGCATATACGATACGAGAATGGTAATTGAACCCGATCATTAAAATTGCAATTCACATGGAAGTAGAAATGATTAAGTCGAGTGTAGGTGGTATACTTCAGCTCCGCACAGACCATCACCGCCTCGCCCCGCCGCCCGGCAAAATGAAAAAAGTTTCGTCGCGGCAGCAGCGCAGCAACCTCCGCATCTTCAACCCGATTTCTTGACCTACATCATTCACAATGAGGGCCAAGCGTTCGAAGAAGTACCGTAAGCTCATGCACCAGTATGAGCTTACATTCAACTTCCGTGAGCCCTACCAAGTGCTTGGTGAGTTACCCAAAGCTATGCCCACGGTCACCATTCTAACCCGCGAACAGTGGACTCAAACTTCCTGAGTAATGTCGATGCTTTCAAGATGGACCTGCTTCCTGCACTTGAGCGGACTCTGCAGGGTAAACCCAAGCCATGTAAGTGCCACTTCCCAGTCCGATTCTACCGAATGCCGCAAAGAAGATTTCGGGGAATTTTAAATGAGAACGCCATCGAACTGACAATCCCGGTACAGTGCTCACAAAATGCTCCCTCAACGCCATCATGAAAGCCCAACCTATCAATCCCAAAACTCAACAGCCATATCGCCCGCGTCATCTCCCCCCACCGACAGAATTACCGCTCCGCCACTGCTCTCACAATGTGGACTCCGAGCCCATCGACGAGGTCGAGTGTCTTCTCTCCCTGCTCTCTCCTAGCGCAGAAGCCAAGAAGAACAAGGATCACTACATTCTCGCGACGGCGGACCCAATAGTCAAGAAGAACGACAAGAACGATGGGCAACGCAAGCGCAAGACTGACGAAGAGCGCCAAGAGGAACGGGCCATGCGCCGCGCCAGAGCCCTCCGAGTGCATGCACGCTCCATCCCCGGTGTCCCAATTATCTATGTCAAACGCTCCGTCATGGTTCTGGAGCCGATGAGCACGCCATCCGAAAACGTGCGCGATGGCGTGGAGAGGGGCAAGTTCCGTGCTGGACTGGATGACCCATCGCTGGGCAAGCGCAAGCGGGAGGAGGATGCCGAGCCTTCAGTGAAAATACCCGGACTCAAGAAGGCCAAGGGTCCCAACCCGCTCAGCGTGAAGAAGTCCAAGAAAAAGACCGAGTCTGGTCTTTCTGCCACTCCGAAGAAACAAAAGTCTCAGGCTGCTGAAACCCCGAGAGAAAGCGGTGATGCTGATGCTCTGGAGAAGCCGGATGGCGAGGCTAAGACTAAGCGGAGACGCAGGCATAATAAGAGTGCTCCTCACGAAGGGAACGAGGATGCGCCTGCCGACGCTGTTTCAGCTATGGAGGTCGACGCATGATCTGGGTTAAAGCTCTTTGTGGCTGTTACTGCATCTATATTCTCCACGGCACGGCGTTTGGGCAAGGTATCCATTTTCAAAAAGTTAAATGAAGGTATTATTTTAGGTGTAAATCCAATGCAGTTGAGGCACATAGTTCCCTTGGAAGTTTGTTCATTTGATATCATGAAAGATACGTAGAGATCATCCCATGAGGAGTGTTGATAAATAGACCCATGAGCAACCTTGAAAGGTACCAATGCTTCATGGCCTGTCACCAAGGTATATATACACTAGATCTTCGATATCGTACAGCGGCCAAACCGCAAATCAATGAGAAGAGATGAGGTAGACGAAGATCCCAGAACAAAAAGCAGTACTCCAAACTCCACGAGTCCCATATAATCACACACGATGCGATGCGACCCTATTGCTTGGAGTCACCGGCATTCTCAGAGCCAGCATTTGGGGCCTGATCCGCCGCTCGCTCCCTCGCCCAGATGTCCTCGATCCGCCGCCGGTTGGAGCGTGCTTCGTCTCGGTTCCGCTTCGCTCGGTCGTAGCGCTCGGCAGCGAGACATTTGTTGACCTCACGCTTGATGTCATTGCAGTTGCCAACAGCTTTGTAGAGGAATCCCTTGGCGTGGCATTCGTCGAGGGCGGTCATAATCTCCTCGCAGTCTGCGTGCCTGGTTAGTGGTATGATCTCATAGACCCGAGTATAGAGGACTCGGGAGAAGGCGGAACTGGCAATGACGATACATACTGACGTTGTAGGGGGTATGCAGATGAGAATGCATGATTGCGGTAGTGATATATCCACACAGGAATCTTGGAAACAATCAAGATCGACGATTCAAATGAATGTGAAGCAACTGGCAGCAAAATCCCCGGGCGGTGAGCCGATCCCGCTGTTCTGCCGGGCGGAACCCCCCCTCCCAGCACACCGATAAAAAAAAATATCGCCGATAAAAAAAAGTTACAGTGAGGACTTGTGAAGATCACTCACGATGTCTTCTATGATCACGACCACGGCATGGGTGCGGCGAGGTGTCGCTGCTCAGTTTCCTGTTAAATATGAGATCGACGAGCAGGAGATGAATCGGATATCTGAGCTTGCCCGCATGCAGCTTGAGGAGGCCCAGAGCGATTTGAAGGCTGCCAAGGATGGCAAGATGGACGATGGCGAAGATGACGCTGCTATGGATGAGGACAACAAGGCCGATACTATGGACGACGCGAGCGAGAAGAAAACCTCCAAGGACGGCAACACAAAGTCGACTACGTGAGTACATTGGGACTAAATGGGTTGTAGCATGTGCTAATTGCTTATTCTAGTGATGACGACGTCTTGAAGGAGTTCGATATGGACAACTATGACAATGAAGAGGTCGACGACGACGGCGAGAAGGTCACCATGTTCGGCAACGTCCAGTCATTGGCGTACCACCAGCCCAACGAGGCGGACCCATACCTCGTCATCCCCGAGGATGAGGACGATGAGGATCGCGAGGAGCTTCAGATTATGCCCACAGACAATCTCCTTTTGTCCGGAAAGGTCGAGGACGAGGTGGCGCACCTCGAAGTCTACGTCTACGAAGATTCAGCCGACAACCTCTATGTGCACCACGACATCATGCTGCCTGGCATTCCCCTGTGCCTGGAATGGCTCGACATCCCCGTTGGAAAGAACACCGAGGGCAAGACACAAGGCAACTTCGTCGCTGTGGGAACTATGGAGCCGGACATTGAGATCTGGGATCTGGATGTCGTCGACAGCATGTACCCCAATGCCATCCTGGGACAGGGCGGCAAGGAGGGCCAGGCGAAGAAGCAAAAGAAAAAGAAGAGCAAGGCGAACGACGAATACCACATCGACTCCATTCTGGCCCTGGCGGCCAACCGTCAGCACCGTAACCTGCTGGCCTCTGCATCCGCAGACCGGACCGTCAAGCTCTGGGATCTGAACACCACCACCTGCGCCAAGTCCTACTCCCACCACACCGACAAGGTTTGCTCGCTCGACTGGCACCCTAAGGAATCTACCGTCCTGCTGAGCGGTTCCTACGACCGCACCGTCGTGGCCGCCGACATGCGCGCCCCCGACTCAAAGGCCCGCTGGGGCGTTGACACCGACGTCGAGGCCGTCCGCTGGGACCCTCACGACCCCAACTACTTTTACGTCAGCACGGACGGCGGCATGGTGTACCGCTACGATATCCGTAACGTCCCTGCCTCCCCAGCCGAGTCCAAGCCCGTCTGGTCGCTGCAAGCCCACGACTCCTCCGTCTCCTCCTTCGACATCAACTGCACCATCCCCGGCTTCCTGGTCACTGGCTCCACAGACAAGGAGGTCAAGCTGTGGAACGTCGAGAACGACAAGCCCAGCCTGGTCGTCACCCGCAAATTCGACATCGGCAAGGTCTTCTCGACTGCCTTTGCGCCCGACCCCGAAGTCACCTTCCGTCTGGCGGTGGCTGGCAGCAAGGGTGTTGTGCAGATTTGGGACGCATCGACCAACGCCGCCGTGCGTCGCGCTTTCGTCTCGCGCATGCCCGAGTTTGAGACTCCCGTTGCCGAGCGCACTATCGGTGTGAACAATGACGACGAGGTGTCTGATGATGGAGAGGAGCTTGCTGATGGAGACGCGGGCCCTGATGGCTGGGAGTCCATGGATGAGGATTAGATGATGTCTCTAGGAACACAGATACCAGCGGAGTCATGATTTGATGTACGAAAAAATAGATCTCATTTGTTATTATCCCATCTCTGGAAATGAATCAAGTATTTATCACGCGAGATGGCCACATGGCAAAAAGACGTCTAGATGAACTGAATCTAACACCATACCTTAAGGTAGTTCATGCTCTAATCTCTCCAAACTCCATAAATCCCAAAAGATCAAGAAGCCTCCTGGGCGTGCACCAATGTCGTCAAATCCAGCAGACGGTTCGAGTAGCCCCATTCATTGTCGTACCAAGCAATGATTTTGAAGAACTGTCATACAGTCAACGAATGGTTTTATCATTACTAGAAAATGATAGGACATACCTGAGGATTGAGCTCCGCGCTGGCAGGCGCATCAATGATGGCACTGTAGGGGCTTCCGTTGTAATCGGTGCTCACGAGCTCCTCATCTGTCACCTTCAACACGCCGGCCATGCTAGACTTGGCGGCGACTCTGAAGGCAGAGATGATTTCGGAGAGGGAGGTTGGCTTTTCCGTGCTGATGGTAAGGTCGATCATCGAGACATTAGGCCTGTATGAAAATCAGTGTCTGCGGTTGAAAAATGGATTGAGTGCAGCTTACGTTGGGACGCGGATTGACACGCCGGTCACTTTGCCTCTCAACTCGGGCAGCACAGAAGCGACGGCTTTGGCAGCGCCCGTTGTTGTGGGGATGATGTTGTTGAAGACACCACGTCCTGTTTAACACGTTAGTTATTGTTTTGATAATTTGTGACGAATTCTCCTACCCAGACGGGGGTTCTTCTTGCTGTACCCATCCAGAACCTGCTGGGAGCGAGTAGCAGCATGCACGGTAGTCAGGAAGCCCTGCGTGATACCAAAGGTGTCGTGAAGTACCTTCAACACCGGAGTAACACAATTGGTAGTGCAGCTTGCATTAGAAACCACGCGGCAGGCATCACTAGCCTCATACGAGTCCGAGTTGACTCCGTAGACGAATGTAGGCGAGTCCGAGCTAGGCGCGGAAATGAGAACGCGCTTTGCCTGTCCGTAGGTGACGTGATCCATAGCCAGGTCCCGCTTGGTGAATTTGCCCGTGCATTCGAGGACATAGTCAGCTCCTAGGGCAGACCAGTTGAGTTTCTTGAGGTCACGTTCCGATGTCAAGGCAATACGGTTGCCGTCGATGGTGAGGAGGCTATCTGAGACTGCTTGGATGTCGGTTCGCTCATCGAGGTTTCCCATTGAGGAGTCGTAGCGGATGAGGTAAATGAGGTCTTCGATTGTGACGCAGGTGTGGTTGATGGCGACGACTTGGATATCGGAGCGGACTAGGGCTGCGCGGAGCACATTGCGACCTATACGGTATAGTTTAACAATTGTTACTTGAAAGATGAAGTGTCGTCACAAACCTATACGGCCGAAGCCATTAATGCCTACTTTGCAGGCGGAAGGGGACGACGATGGGCCAACGGGGACGTCGTTGATCGAAGGAGCCATGGCCGAGTTATTCTATATGGCCTTCAAAGGAATTTGCTCAAAGTAAAGCTTCTTGAGAGAAGTATTGTTGATTAATTCTAACTAGAGGGGTCCTTCTTCAAGAAGGAGACGCCAGGATCTATAAGTATAGTTCAGCTCAAACCTGCATTTGCCGTGCATATGATAATTTTTCGAGGAACCCGAAATATCCCGTACTACTATGGATACCGTATCGGCTTCCAACCTGTCCGATAATAGTATCAGGCATAATTGCGTCAAGCTGTCTACAAGTCAGTCAACCGAGAATGCCATCGCGGTACCGCGATCGGTTATCCGGACAGGACGGGGCCCGTCACAGCCAATCGCGTCTTCTCTTCCCGCCGAAAATCCCGCTCCCACGACCCGATTCCAGCAGTGGTGCCAATCTCCGACGAATCGATGTGCAGAGGCCTCGTGCGGCCGAATGGAATTCACGTTTTAATGGGGCTGGGCTGGACTCCGGGGTAAAAAGTACCGATATACGGAGCGGTTGGTCTACGCGGCGACGGTGTCCAATTGGCTCGTATTTTCTTGGTAGATGTTACATAAAACACTGAGAGGCTGCGGCTTTTACTCCATGGAGATATGGGGCTGCGGCTTCGTTGACCTATTGGTGCCTTTTGATTTGCGGAAGAAATTTACTCCCGGCCTTCTTTTCCTCCGTATCGGCATTCCGATGGCACTTCGGCATATGGCAAGGTTCCGATTTCGCCGATCCCAGTATGAAGGATGGTGGGCATGGGCGAGACTATAATTGCCCTTTCATGCTTTGAGACCTCGGGCGAGTAAATGGAGCGTATAACCTCGCGCTTTTCATAGTTGCATGTGACTTGGAAGCGTCGGTGGATGCACACCATGTTTGCCCGGGTGAAGTCTGCACGATCTACATCCATGAATTTGTTCCGATATCTTACCTAAATCAAGCATCGTGGGTTCCGGGTTATATACCTTAAGAGATACGTGGTTCAAACGTGATAATTCTACAGTACGTCTCGAAACTGGTTCCACCACCTTACACCTAGATTATTTCTCGAACCTTAACGCCAAGAACGCTAACCTATATTAGGTGTAGTATCGGAATAGCTACAGTATATTTCTGTATCGTTTTATGTATGGTATGCTAATAAGTCAAAGCTCTTTAAGTTGATTCGAAACATATCAAGAGTCATATCATAGCCGACCAAAAAGGTGAGTAATCTAGTGACATGGCTCGTGCTTTACCAGACTGACCATCCCGAAGAAAAATGTCTTTGGTGTATACACTTACGGGGATCAGATAGTCTCGGGTAAACGGAGCTAGATGGGCACAGGAACCTCTACTAATTATCCTCAAACTTTAAAGACCTTTCTGAATTCGCTTGGACGAATGGAGCGAGTTGGCAAAATCGAGTAGCGACCAAACGTGTGAGCCCTGCGTAATCATCTCCCCCTCAACATCGAAATTTAAATGAGTCTAAATGTCTCTAATTCCCGTAACCATATATCTAGCCCTCCTTGGATGCATCTCATCCCTATTTCTGGCGGTAGATCCAACTACAACAATGAACATCCTCAAGAACACTTGTCCTCTAATGTCTGCTTAAGAGTTTGAGACAGGCGCGAGGGGGAAGAACCCACCTGCCGATTATCGCTGAGAGATAGACTCCTGATCTTCGCCTGTTCATCGACGAGGGGGGAGGGGGTGAGTAAACGATCTTGCTCAAAATGGTTGGCTCGATAAACAAGAGTCCCAAGCTGCAAGTTGCCTACAACCGACAGACATGAACGAGTGATCACCATCCATTACTACGGACGAATGATGCCGGCACATGCTGGCTTGGGATACCCGGTTTTCTGAGGACTGGTCTAAAGTGCCAGACCTCTTCGAACCTAGCAACGAGCAAGATTCATTTTATCGACGGCCATTCGCCGAAGACAGCCGAGGCAGCGAACTCCTGCGAATAGGTAGGGAACCGGAGATTACTTCTGTTGTCTTAGGTCACTGCACCGCATTTGCGGTACATTTGCATCGGGATGAGTCTCAAAATCCCATGAGACCGGATTCTGGCGGCTGTAGCTGGAGCGTACATGGGGCGCGTAGGGAATTCATTGAAAGGTTCTGAGACTTAGGTCTAATGCTGCAAATTCTCGGCGGTGTTGGTCAGCTGCGTGATGACGTCCTCGGCTCGACCCGCGGGTTCATTATCACCTCACTCTACGCTGTCTAAACAAAGCGTACCACTTCCAATTGTTAGATCCCGACCCAAATATTCTCGCTGTAATTTTTCGAACTCTCAATTTTACCTGGCTCCTCTCGCAGAAGAATACTTCGAAATGAACATGAACTCATCCGTACATCCCTCTTGAACCTTGACCTTACGGTGTCTCGGGGCCTAGGGACAACGGACGGTCACCAATGGGGAGGCATTGAGGTGTCGGGTGTATTAACGATACGAGGAGTATACGACAATTTCCTGTCCTGACGCCGTCTGTGCAATGCAATACAATCTTTCAATAGGTCCGTAATAATTCCTAATACATTGTAGAGTTCTTGGGATTAGTGTTCGAGAAACAGTCGAAGAGTGTAGATGGTGACACCAGTTTCGAGACGTACTGTAACTCAACTTGGAAAGTTTTGTGCAATTTTGTTTTATCAAGTTAAAAACTTGATCTCGTGACACATAGACCTACATGACACCTTTATTTCGAGCCCAGCTTCTTGATCTCAGCGACAACGGCATCTGTAACCTCCTTGGTGTTAGCCGTGCCACCCAAGTCGCGGGTGAGAATACCCTGCTCGCAGACATTCTCGACACAGGTAAGGAGCTTCTGGGAAGCTTCCTCCTCGCCCAACCAGGCGAGCATCTCCGCAGCAGTCCAGAAAGTAGCGACGGGGTTGGAAATACCCATGCCGGTGATGTCGAAAGCAGATCCGTGGATGGGCTCGAACATGCTAGGGTACTGACGGGTAGGGTCGAGGTTGGAAGTGGGAGCAATCCCAATAGATCCAGCCAGGGCAGCGGCCAGGTCAGAGAGGATATCGGCATGCAGGTTGGTGGCGACGATGGTATCGATGCTCTTGGGGTTCAGAACCATGCGAGCAGTCATGGCATCAACCAGCATCTTATCGACGGTAACGTCGGGGAAATCCTTAGCCACATCCTTGGCCACCTCGTCCCACAGAACCATTCCGTTGCGCTGAGCGTTGCTCTTGGTGACAACGGTCAGAAGCTTACGAGGCCGCTTCTGAGCAGTCTCAAATGCAAATCGCATGATACGCTCGACGCCGTGGCGCGAGAAAATAGAAACCTCGGTCGCGACCTCCCACGGCTTGCCGGCGTGGGATCGACCACCCTGACCGGCATACTCGCCTTCGCTGTTCTCGCGGATGATGACCCAGTCAAGATCACCGGTGTTGCACTTGCGCAGAGGCGACTCGGTACCGCGGAACACTCTGGTTGGGCGGACGTTGGCGTATTGTTGGAACGGCTGGCAGATGGCCAAGCGGAGGCCCCAGAGAGAAATGTGGTCAGGAACATCTGGAGTTTATTAGAAGATGGACTAATTTTCATGGCCAGTATACTTACCAGGAGCACCAACAGCGCCGAAGAAAATGGCATCATGCTTCTTCAGCTCCTCAAGACCGCCATCGGGAATATATTTGCCGGTCTTCTTGTATGTCTCAGAGCTCCAGTCGTAGTTCTTAAACTCCAGCTTGAAAGTCTTCAGGGTGTCGGTCAAAGCATTCAGCGCAGTGATACCGGCCTCAATAACCTCGGGGCCAATTCCGTCTGCGGGAATAGATGCAATGCTGTAGGTCTTATCGCCGGAAACAATGGAGGGAGACATGGTGAACTATGTGTTGGTAGTTCTGGATTGAGGGTTTTTGGATAAATCGAGGGGCAAAGATTCGCCCATGCGGGGACTTTAAGACTGTCGTTGCCAACGTGCCGACTCGGTCTTAGTTTGGGTCTTGAATGGAGATCAAGAATCAGGGCCCCTCATCTTGAATAGTTTGGCCAATGGGCCGTTGAGAACAGTACTTCGGAGGTGTTCAAGCCCGGTGACGTCTGGCAAACTTCGGAGGTTTCATTCTCCGGTTCCCCGCTAGGACAAAGATATGTCCGGGCGGATGTAATCCCACTTCATGGACTGGGAAATATTTGTGGTACCAAAAGCATTGAATTTTAATTTAATTGGTTTATTTAAAAATGCCAATTAAATCTAGCCGTTCACCTACTTCCTTGTCTCGCCTGGGTACGTTCCCTGTCCACCCTCAACTCCATTGAAGATAGATGTACAATATCGAGTCAATCATAACATGTTTCCATGAATCATCCAAGGCCCATCTGCCACACTCCATAAATCTCCCATGACAAGAGATTGGTCGGAAAAGGGCAGAATATCCTGTCCGAGAATCCCAGGATTGAATGCAGCATTACTATTTACCATGTTCCCAAATATCAGGCCGGCCGATGTTTGTCCATTCCAGTGCGTACCATCATTCGGGTTCATATCCATCCCAATTCCTGGATTCGGAGTTGAGAAAATTGCCGAATTGTATTGCTCTCCTGGGTCAACGCCTCGCAGAGCAGAACCTGTCGGTGGCTCGAACTGCTGTGTATCCACGGATGGTGAGACGTCCTGGTAATCTGCATTTGCATTTTCTGGGGGAGTTGATCGACCGGGTGTCATGTTGATTCCGGCGGACTGATGACCTCTATTTTGGATTTGTGATCCATTCATCGCTCTTGCTGTGCCTTTTCCTGGAGTTCCCGGGCGATGTTGGAGAGCGTTTCTGTCATCTAGAGCCATCCCTGTGGCGTTTTCATGATTCCCACTTGACTGGTTGGTTGACAAAGCTGACTCCATGCTTCTTATTGCCTCGATGCATGTTTCAGGCCAGCCGCTTCCACGCAATGCAAGATTTTGCAACACAGAAATTCCCAATCGTCCATATCTCAGTGCGGTTGCAACTGGGAACTCCCCTTCCCATGCCGCATACAGCAGGATGAGACAAGCCATCCATGTCGTCCACGTAAAGGAGGGCCACGTGAGTGGTGCATCAGACGCAGACGACATATATTTATTTAATGCTGTAAGTAAAGACCGCGAAGAAGCAATGCATGTCTGCAAGGCATTCTTGTAATCCGGGTTCGGCTTTTCAGCGGCAAGCAGCGGACGGTTCATAGATATGATGGCTTCATGTCTCAGGACAATGAGCAGCAGTCGGTGGTATGGAGCAAGGACTGGATCTTGTCCAGGTTCCGTATCTGCATGATCCTCAATGGAATTGACGTCGTCATACACTTCATTCCACCATTGAGATAGCTCGCCATTGACATGCGCTGCTTCCACGGTGCCAGCATGGCTGTGCAAAATGGACTTATTGCGAAGCTCTAGAATCAATCCCCGTATCCTCGAAAATTTTGCCAGATGGCAGAGCAGTCGTAGTCGTTGATTATGGAACGCTTCCGGTGTCAAAGTAGCATGTCTTTCCTCGCCTGGGTAGCAGACGTCAATATCGTCGTCTCGGATGCCGAGCGGGATCCCAAGGGCCTGTGACAGATAGCGTTCCAAAGAATAGATTGACCAAAACAGCCGCCTGCGAATATCGACTTCTTGGCTGCTAAAGCATGGAAACCGTCCTGGACAGCGGTGCAAGCCCAGATGAAATGCAGTGCGCGTGATCACACCGCCCACCCGAGAAGCCGCGTTAAGACGTAGTAGGGATGTGAGTGTAAGCTGGGCGCAGAATGCAGCTTGTAGTAGCGGTATTGTTGTGGGCTCTGTCAGGAGGTTCTGGATATCATGCATGACATGATTAACAGACTGAAACACCAAAGTGGCCGGCACCGGCCCGAGATTTGCTTCAGGCCCTTCTACTTGGCGGCTATCCGCTAAGGATATAGAAACGAGAGAGCGGATGACGATCATATCGAGTCGACTGGCACCTGATAGACCTTGGTGGCTGAGAGTTTCCATGGCCTTGAGGATCGTTGGTGCATGGAGACAAGGAAATATTGGATGCCAGTTTTCAAAGTAGCAGCGAGTCCAATTGACTAAATTCTCGAAGGAAAATGAGGCATTCGGTGCAAAGCTCAACTCTTCTTTTAACCAAATCTCCTCTGTATCACGAGAGCTGCCAGAGCCTCGCCGTAAGCGATCATCTTCCCCTGGCACAGAGCTTCTATCCCGGGCTCGATTCTGCTGCAAGTCGGCAGAGCGACGAGCAAAAGCGCTGTATACATGTCTAATAAAGTGAATACCACTAGAGCTTCCAAGGAAAGTAGCAGATCCGTAATTCTGAGATTCCCTCATAAAGCCAATCTCACGAGGAGAAGGTCTCGATGCACCTGCTGTTGAGGCTCGTTTGCGTCTCTTAGCAGCACGAGGGCCATATTGCCAGTTCGGTTCATTCTCCTCGATGCGGGTGCTGACTGAAGATGGGGACTCCATTCTTGTCGTTTGGTGTTCTCACATTTCCAGATATTGGGCCGTTCTACTCGATGTTCAACATGGAAAGCCGTCCTGGTTACGAGGTGGTTGCTCCCACACGGCTTAGTCATGTAACTTGTCCGCTCGGTGTTATTTCCAAAGTCCCATCCATGTTAGCCTCCTAAGTCCGCGGGGCCCTAGAAAATGATTGGCAATTGAAATACCATCAAAGTCCAAATGCAAGAGCCGACTAAACATTATGGCACAGGAGCGCCGACCACTCTTGTGTTTGGTAATTCCCCCCCCCCTCTCAGGCCGAGATAATGCTAAGCAAATGGGGCGGACCCACATCATCCTGATTGATGAAATAATACCATCGGACTCGTAATAAATCCCGATGATGCAGCCACCACGTGATCCAACTGCCGGAGGTTTCTTCCTCCGGACAATACCGCACCCGCCGTGGTACACCAAGACAAACAGATCGGCAAAAGGGACTTGGCAGTCTTGTATTTTAACATTTCCCGGTTTTTTTTGACGTCTTTTCTCTGGCGCTAAAGCAATAAATGGGGCCTCCACGATCTAAACGGAGTCGGGCATCCTCTGCCACTATGCCAGGTAATTCGCACATGGCCATGGGATGAGCATCCATCTTTGCTAACACCTCAGCTCTAGATAATGAGAGTTTGAGTCCTATCTCCTGTGAAGTATGCAGGCATCGGAAATGCAAGGTTGGCTGGCTTCTTAATCCTGGTTTCTCCTACAGCGCTAATCTCCGCCATAGTGTGATCGCAAATTGTACGGCCACCTCACTCGACCACGAATGCCCAATGTTTGCTTCTAACGTGTCCGTGCAGGCCTTTCTGCTCGCAATGCTCCAGCGAGCCGTCGAAATGTGTTTATCCAGAAAGTGGCAAGAGGTATGAATATTTTTTAACGAGCTACCCGCCCAAGGCGAGGCTAATGAATATAGAGGTCTGCCTCTCGGGTATCTCAATCAATTGGAACAAAGACTAGCAGAGACCGAGTCCGCTCTATATGGTGCTCTTATGACGCTACGCTCAATGAGTCCAACGACGGTGGTTCAAGCCACTGCAACGTCAGACTCGCTGCATAAGCCGAAAGCTGCACGGATGGATGAATGGTCACAACTGCCACTACGTGACTGGTCGCAAATGTACCGCTGGCAGGTAGCAATGGGCGATCAGTTCACCATCGAACAGCTACAGGGGATACCGTTCACGAATTCTTCCGGTGGCGGTCATTCGATGCCAATTTCGCCAGTGGCGAATAATACCCACGGCTCTCAAGGAGATGGAGAAGCATCGGGGTCACCGGCCATTTATGCTTGGCAGCCAAGAGAGGACATCCGCGTGGAGAGTCCATATGAGATTCATGTTCGGCGTCCGGGGACGATGTCTTCACCGGTATGTTCGAGAAGCCAGGTCACTGCAGGATCAGGTGTGACTTCACCGGCAGGTGGATTGCCCGACTATATCAACGTGACTGGGGCAGGTGAAGGTCATTCGAGAGAGACCGGGAGGTTCACCATGGCAGATGAGCTGTCGAAAAGTAACCCAAGCATATACTTTTAATCATGACAAAGCTGGTGTGCGGTTTGTGGTAGCGTTCGCCATAGATAGCGTAGCATTCAACCTGCAACACGCTAAATCGGAGAAAGCCGATCACGTGGTATTGGAAAGGGGGTGGTCTATATCCAGCCTTGTTCAGTGTGCACCACAGTGAGGTAGGTAGAGATGTCGGTTGAGGACGTGCAGCCGTGATGGCCACATCAACATCGCAGCCCAACCATCCCACGATCTCGAGACCCACACTCCGTCTTTTGAGCCGGGTATCGGTGGAGGCCGCACTAAGATAAAAGAGCGCGGCCCACAGTGTACCCACGGCCACGAGGGACCCCTCACAAGTTGAAACGCACAACTGGACGCAACCCACCTGGCATAATCAGGTGGTGATACCCTGCAGGTCCTCAAGCGCCGGTCGCACCAGGAGGACGCCATCTGATTCGGTGTGCGACAGTGAAAATTATGATTGGCCTGGGTGCAGATTGCAAGCCGTGCCTGGCCCTGTCGATCTGTACGAACAACGGAGCACGGACTGCATCTAGCACGGGACGAGTGGTTAGTGGGTGGTGGTGAAACGGGCTCCGAGTCTTTACGGAGCCGGGATACCAGTCCGTTTCAATTCAAGTCATAGTCAAACATTATGGAGTCACATCAGCAGTTCGACTACGTAGTGCACGTGGTGACACGCAGTGACAGACCCCTCGCATACGTCGAGTCTGCAGGTAGCGTATGACCGGAAGGGCGAAGGGACCGCCCTCCTCCATACCTAGGGCCTGGCAGGGCACCTTGGCGCCCTCGACCCGGATTGCCCTTTCAGGCACGGACTCTATTTCTGGGTATGGGTATTTCCAGGGGATGGCGAATGCCGAAAAAATGGCCTCATTATTGTGTAGAGGGCAGAAGGGTCTGGACGAACCCGTTCGCCACAAGAAGGGCCAGAACACTGGAGCCCAGGGCGAGTGAGGCTCGAGAGTGGACGAGAGAGCAATTTGGGATCCATCGAAAGTCAGGCGAACCTTGGGCCCGAGTAAAGTTTTGCCATCCGGACGAAGTGGTGGAGTGGTACGCGCCCGGGACTCCACGGTTTTTTGGATTCCCGAGTTTCAGCGTAAGGGACTCTCCCTCCCCCTTCGGTCTTTCTTCCTTCTCCAACCACTTGGGCTCTCTTTCCCTCTTGCCTTCCCTTCATTCCTTTCATTTCAATTCTCTGTCCTAGATACTGTGATCTGTGATCCTGGACTCCCCTTTTTCTTTTGCTTTTTACCTATCCCTGGAGCGTCCTGGTTGAACGCTCCTCATTCCTTCCCTTAAGGCCCTAGACAAGGACTACACAAAGAGACCTTTTCCCTCGCAATTTTGCTGCGCAAAATCCCCAGCGAAGTCTCGCCGTTCATTTGGAAACTGTGCAAGAACACAATCGCCTTCAAAGACTACATCTCCCGCGATCTCATACCGGACATTCCCGGTAGTGATCTCCATTCCTCGCCGTCTCCGCATCCGCGATCGTCTGCCACGCGAGATCTCATCATCACATCCGATCTATATTGAGTGTTTGGAAAACGAAACACGAAAAAATAAACGGGGCGACTCGAAACTCCTGTTTAAATTCATTCAATCGACAGAATCCAGTCGAAATACCAGCGTCGATCGCAACCCGCGTCCGTGTCGCGAACCGTACAAGCTCCCTGATTCATCATGTCGACCATCACTCGCGCCTTCACCAAGCGCAATAAGCGTCCGGAAGTGTCGGCCCCGATGCCATACCGTGGCGAAGGGCATGTTCGATTTAATTCTGGCACCATCAAGCGAGGCAATATTTCAGGCCCGGTCCAGCTGCTGTCTACGACCAACATGTTGGTTTACAACGCTCCCGATCTGAACTCGCCCAACGCCTCGTCCGCTTCATCACTGCAGTCACGAGACGACGAGTTTGCCTTTTCCCCTCAGAGCTACGCTTCGTCCGGTTTTACGACTCCCGACCACTCGCCCTGCGAGTCTTTTCCCATCGAGGCGCATCCATCCTATTTCCCCAAGCGATCTGTCACCGTGACCAGCCACCCTCGCTCTTCTACAAATTCCTCCTCTTCTACCGACGCCCCAATGATTCCCAAGCGAGCTCTCTCTCACACCAAGCGCTCCCACCAGGAACTTGCCCGCAAGCGCTCCCAGCGAATGTCGCCCCCTCCGCTGAATTCTCCACGTAGCAACCCGGCAATCCGGGACACGCAGGAGATTTTCAGGCCGGATGCGCACCCGTTCAGCAAGGAATTGGAGCAGGTAAACGAGGTGGCCGAGGAATTTGGCAGCCTGCACGTGAATGATGACGAACGAATCCTTCATCGCAAGGGACTTAGGAAGTTCGCTGTCGACGATTACATTCTCGAAATCGAGGCGCTGTACGAAAGTATCTTTGATGATGACCTTGGCCCCATCAGCGTGGGACCCTGGCTGTGAACTCATTGATATCTTCTCGACCCGGTTGACCCGGTTAATCGACGACCCAAGCGAACTGCGGAAGACTGGATTCTTTCGCCCGCTATGACCAACTTTTATTCCCTCATTTACGACCCTGACTTGTTATTCCCCTGCACGATACCATGGGAGGACCCACTTATCTCTACGTTCGGTCTCATATTTCTCGTTTTCTACGTGGTCCACTCGGATCTTGATAGTTCAGTTTTCGAATATGCGATGCTTTCTCACATGGCATATGACATTTACCGCTCGATCTTCAAGTCTGTTTGCGCGGAGTTTATGATTAGACGCGAAGTGAATTCATACTAAAAAGTTGTGATTCCATGTATCATTTTTGTACCTGCACACTGGAGAAACTCTCCACGTAGAACTTACGCATGCACGAAAGAGCTGAATGCCTCAGGCAGCATGGCACGGTGAGCATATGATGACGTAAGCCAATATTACCCGATACGGTTAGCTTTGAGTACACCGCTGAGAGGCCCAAGTCACGGGTCTTCGCAGCCCCACAGCGCGCGAGGGAAAAAATTTCGCTCGAGCCTTCGATGTAAAGCTCCTCGTCGACCCTTCGTCAATATCTGCTTCCATTTCATCGATTAAAACGACCGAGTGAATGACCTCCATGGGTGCAGACAGTTGCCTGTGGTCCGATCCCCTCAAACTGTAGCACAAAATTCAATATTCGACCGTTTCGACGGTCGTGTGCTTACTTGCCCTTGAACTCCTGGGCAACTCTTATCAACAGTTCTACGCTGCTCATCCGCCTCTCACCGGAGGTGTAGACGGGCCAATGTTAAAATCTCCCTGGCCTCTCTAGACTCATTCCCACAATCTCTTCTTTTTTAAAAGCCCGGCCATGGTATCCGTTGCCACTGCTTGCAACCCGGCGCTTACGGCCACCTCCTCCATCAACCATTCAAAAATGCTAGCGACCTCCTCTCCGGTATCCATCCTCAAATCCTCCAAAACCGCCGGCACGAAACGCAAGATGGACGATTTCGACCTCGGCATGTCTCCGTCCCCCATGTCCGACGGGTTCAACGAGGACCCCGTTCCCAAGAAGCGTGCCCGCGTCACCTTCGACGACAAGAACATTCGGATGCACGAAGCATCTCTCAGCAAAGTCGACTCACCGGACACTGGTAAAAGCATGGGAGTTATCCGTGAGGAGATCCGTCGAGCTATCCACCGCCATGTTTCCGCTGGCGATAGCGAGGCCTACGACGAAGTCAAGGCGGTCTTCACGGCCGACCCGAAGAAGTCCGATGACACCATGTACTCCTATGATCTCCCGACACACACAACATTAAGGAACCATTTGCTGGGTCTTCTCTCCCACGTCGCCTCCCTGAACAGAGACTGCAGCGGTCTCGTGCACGCCGTCATCAACAGCGAATGGCTCGGTCGGGACGAGGCGTACGTCAAGCTCTATATTCGCTTCCTCGGCAACCTTGCAGCCGCACAGGGCACATATCTCAGCGTGATTTTCAAGAAGCTGGTCACCACGCTCGCTGGCGTTTCTCGCGGGACCGGTCGGCTACCCGGCTACCCAATTGTCCCGGTGTCTGAGATATACGCCCGAGTTCACATGGCACTGCGTTACTTGATGCGACTGCTCCCTGCTGGCAGTAGCACGTTATCGCCCATTCTTTCTCAACAGTTCCCCTTTGACACCGACTCTGCCAGATCTTTTATCGCCTATACTCGCAACATCATTCAAATCATCAGCTACGCCCCCGAACTCCAGTCCGATATTCTGGCTCTCATCACCGAGAAGCTGGTCAAGGTTGACGTCCAGATCCAAGCTGATTTGGAAGATTTCGAGGATGAGCTCGAGGACGAGCTTCTGAATTGCTCACCCGATGCTGATGAGGAGCTGGATAGTGATGACGATGATTCGATCATGAGCGACGAAGAGGATGAGGAGGACCGACGTGTCTCGGAGATGAAAGGGAACATCCACAAGGTGGATGGCATGATCGACGTTCTCTTTGAATATTATACTCCGCCTTTCACAAACGGCAGCCTGGATGACAAGGAAAACACCCTGGACCTTCTCCTCTCCCACTTTCAATCAATCATTCTTCCGACGTACAAGTCGCGACACTCGCAATTTCTGCTCTTCCATTTCTCCCAGTCATCTCCGGTGCTTGTGGATCGCTTTGCTTCCGCCTGTGTCCAGCTCATCTTCAACAAGCTACAGCCTGGTATTATGCGCCAGTCAGCGGCCGCCTATCTGGCAAGCTTTGTTGCCCGCGGTGCCCACATTCCCGGCGAGGTTGTCCGTGACGTTTTCGATCTTTTGCTTGTCCACCTAAACAACCTACGAATGGACTACGAGGCTAGTTGCCGGGGCCCAGACCTTCGTCGCTACGGGCCATTTTACTCCACCGCGCAAGCGCTGCTGTACATTTTCTGCTTCCGGTGGCGCGACCTGACCACCGCTGCCGCCGAGGGTGATAGCCCCGAGCAAGTGGAAGAACTGGAGCCGAGTCAAGTGGCATTCCCTCCGAACATCAAGGAGTTCCTTCACAAGGCGATCTACTCTCGATTAAATCCTCTTAAGATTTGCTCACCCGGTATCGTTACCGAGTTTGCACGCATTGCCCGTCATTTCCAATTACTCTATGTCTATCCCCTCATTGAGACCAACAAGCGTCTCCGGATTACAGCCTTCCGAAGCATTTCTACCCTCTCCAACCCCAACTTCAGCCAAGTCGAGCGCGAAATCCGCGCAGGTGACAACCTGGGCTACCAACTTGATGCATACTTCCCCTTCGATCCCTATCAGCTCCCGCGGAGCCGTCGCTGGCTGGAGGGTGACTACGTCGAGTGGCGCGGTGTTCCAGGACTGGACAATGGCGACGACTCGGACAGTGGAGCCGACGACGACGGTGAAGATGATGACGAAGATGCCACTGGCACCGACGAGGAGTGATGATACATCTCTTCTAGTGACTGGTTTATTTTGATACACATTCGGTTTTTTCAGCGTGGCGTCCTGGCTCGATCTTTATTATTTTTCTCAAAAGTTGTTCGATACCATACTCTGTCATACTTCATGATATCGTGCTTTTGAGCGTGCATAGCACTTAACGATCTTTGTTTTGATAGATTCTGGCTTATGCATGGCCTGATCACCATAGCAAAAAAATGGAAAATCATTCAGATATAATCTCTTTCATTAACCCATGAAACCACGGCCCAGGAGGGTTCCTGTCAAGCTCTAATCTCACATCTGCGAACCCGTTTCATGCGCCTCTTATCTGCAACCCAGACATCAATAACCCCGATGTTGATAGTCTGTATGAATCTCCTGCCAGAAAATCTCAACCTGACTCTTCTCCTAATCGTGTCTCACCACCACATGTGTATCGGGAAATGATCTAGCTCGGTCCTCTTGAGAATTTATATCTGGTTTCTGGTTTGTGGTGTCTTTTGAACCGGTTTGATTCAGGGACTCCCGCATCTCCAATCGTACATCTGCTTCGAGAACCGATGTTATATTTGGCAGAATCTCGGGTTGGGCTGCTAATTCTGCACTAAACCGAGTGACAGACTTCAACGTCTAGTAAAACTGCCTAGTATCATCGAGGTTTAATGTCTTGGAATCCCGTGTTGGGCATAGATTGAGGACTGGCCCGGCTAGATCCTTTTTAGAACAGAAATATGGTGCAAACAGACCAGGATGATTTATCAGAATCCTAGTACAGAAGTATATGGCCTCGTGCATGCACTTTCTACGTGGCTGTCATTAATACTGACACTCACGATTGAGCAATGTCAATTAAAGCAAAATAAAATGCAACGCCATGCTGGTTCATGCTGGAGATCCTATGATAGACAATGAGTGACTACAACACTGACCGTACAGACTTGGCGGAATCCCTGGAACTTCAAAACGACACGTTGGCGCAGCCATTCAATTCTGATATCAGTACAATCAGTAGCGATTGTCTGGTTCGAGTTATCAGAAGGCTTACAATTTGGAAAGCCTTGTCTTCGCTGATGGTGGGACTATATCTGCGCACCTACTTCAATACTTTGGATACTACGAACATCCCCAGAAAACCCCAGAAAACACATTGCGTTTATTCAATTGGTCATACACATCACGTCTACCTTGGGTATTATGTGCAAATAACTCCCATTTTTGAGAAGTCAACCTTCAACCACCGAATGTTGCATTTTATTGACTGAAGAGTCATGTTACGGTCGCTCTCGAGGATCCACTGCCGCTCTTCCGGAGCTCACCACAGGGAATGTTGGACGAACCCGTGTGCAAAACCTTTAGACTTTCTGTGCCTTGGTCAACATTCTTGGCACTATTTCTTCTCGGCCTGCCTCCCGAACATCAAGTTAAGACCTCGTATCAAGGCCCCGAATGACATCACTAGCCGTGAAATTGGGCAATCGATAAGAGCCTGGTTTCACCACGATCAGGCAAATCTCGCTGATCACACGGCCAAGGCGTTGCAGATCTTCAGGCCAAGACGCTTTTCTCTGCTGCCTGGCCTGTCATTGCGGGGTCGGGACACCGGCCAATGGTGATTGGGTTGAAGGTGCGGCAAGGTGCGAAGTATATGTATATACGAAACACCAAAGTAGCCACGTGCATGGCCAACGCGGCGGGGCTTACGTGAGGCTCGTATTAGATCGGATTACAAAAGGTGAGGGAGGTTCCATGACAAGGGGGAAATCAATTTGTGATGAACTATATCGTGCCATGTACAGAAAGAACGCCATAAATGCTCGACCGAACGCCAAATGTCAAAACCTCACAGTGCTAGTAAAACACGCTTTCCATGAGAAGTAAAATGAGAGAAGCAAAAATCACCGATCGAAGATTGCCTTCATGTCTGCACAAGCATCGCGGTAGAGGATATTCACGCTGTCTTGGTCCCGGAAGGGGTTGGGAGACTTATCCCAGGCGTGTCGGACCTTCTCGATCATCATGGCACGCACTCGCTTGCCCAGCCCCTCCAGGCGGCGCACAAACGTTTGGCCCTCCTTCATCAGCATGTCCCACTCACAAATGTACAGCCACACGTCACGAGGCAGAGCCTCGGATAGGATGCGATCGGAGGCACGCACGGGAGACGCAAAGACCGAGGAGCGATCATTCAGGTCGGGTAGGTATGATTCGTCGAAGAGGGAGGTGAAGAATTTGGGCATGGACTTGTTTGGCATGATGCTCATCGCCCGGCGATGATCGCGAGACTCGAGGAAGTCGAGAATCGGGTACCAGCAGAACAGAGCCACGATGTGAAGCTGGCTGGTCTGGTCGACCAATCGCTGCGTCGACTCCGCTCGGCCAAAGTTCTCCTTGACTTCGCTCGAGATGCGGCCTTGCAGACGCAGGGGAACCGTTATGGCCAGGTTGCCGCCCGCCGAGAACCCGCTCAGCGCCACGCGGCTCACATCCAAACCCAAGTCTCCGGCATGCCGTGCGAGGTAAATCAGTGCCTCGACGCCGTCATCGACCGCCGCAGGGAAGGGGTGCTCCGGTGCCCGTCGGTAGCTTACGCTGGCCACAACGGCCCCGACGTGCTCAACCACCGAGGCCGCCCAGCGGGAATCGTCCGTGGCGCAGCCCAGAGTGAATCCTCCGCCGTGGAAGTTGACAGCGACCGGGTAACGATGACCTAGCCGTCGCTGTTGGTGATAGTCAGGAGGACAGTAGAAGTGAATGGTGACAGGGTGACCGTGGGAGTCGGATTTGACGGTCCGGGTAAACTGGGGACGAGAACAACGTGGCGGCGTGATGTCGTGCAGGAACATGCCGATGCGCATGAGGAACCGCCAGACGACGGCCTGGACGTAGAGCCACCATCGCGAGGCCATCGGGTCGGTCGGCCGATTTGATTTCAAAGACGATTGTTCACGGAGGCTCGGAGGCTCGGACTGGAGAAGTCGGCTTCCGGACGGCTCCGGGACGGGGTCAGGTGGTAAAGATGGGAGGGAAAAAAGTACGGGAAAAATCCAAGTGGCGTAGATAGAAGAGCGAGTCTGTATAAATCAGAAACATAGAGCTCTCCGGGGCTGGAATGATATAAACATGTACGTCAAGGGACTCCGAGGTCGATACCAAACACATTCCAAGAATCAGGGTCGAGACTCGCGCAATCCGGTAATCGGGAGGTGATGTCATTGTCTTTGGTACCAACACGAACGCAGCGACTTTTGACTTGATTTGACTATTTCTACTTTAATTGCGACTCTAAAATTTGGGTCCCCCTTTTTCTCGATTATTTATATTTTCTTTGCCCGTCATTTCGTGGAGTCGTCTGTTCGATTGTTCTCCGACTACCAAAAGGGCTGTGAGCAAGGATCATCGACCGCGGCATCTCACCCCTCCCCCCGGCTCGGCTCCTCCCAGTTATACACAACTCTTCACCTTACTGTTCCTCGCCCATTGCCCTTCATGTCTATCAAACGGGCCCTTTCCAAGGCCATCAAAGGGCACATAGGTGACGATGACTCGTCCGGCACCAATATTCGATCAACCCTCTCCCCCAGAGCGCGCACCTCCATGTCACGCGATTCCAAGGAGCATTCTCCCACTCGCTCCCCACGCCGCAGCATTTTGGGAAGCTTCCTTCGTGACAAGGACTACGCTTCTTCCTCCGAGGATGTCTCCGATGATTCTTCGAGTGGCGCCATGAGCAAGAACCAGCAGAAGCGGTTGGTCCGCCAGCAGCGTCGGAGTGAACGAAGCCGTCTCAGTGAAGAAGCTTTCTCCGAGCCCGACCATCGCCGCAAATCAGAGGAGATTGCCAAGGCTGCGGCTGAGGAGACGGCCGAGATGAAAGCTCGCTATGGTGAGCTGCCTCTGATGCAGTCGCAGGATCGACCGCGCGAGGACCGGACGCGGCTCGAGGATATCACCGCCGACATGGTGGGAAAGCAGATTTACTTTACTGCGCGGTTGCACGTGGTGCGTCGAATGAGTGCCAAGCTCGTCTTCCTGGTGTTCCGCCAGCAACTCTCCACCTTCCAGGGTGTGCTGCACGAGCGCCATGGGGTTTCGTCCATTGCTATGATCCAGTGGGCAGAGCATCTGCGTGTCGGATCTTTCCTTCGTGTGCGCGGCACCATTCAGAAACCCGACGTGCCCGTGCTGGGCTGCAGTATTCACGATGTCGAGCTGGCTATCGACTCCGTGCACCTGCTCGTCCGCCGTGAGGAACCCGTTCCTTTCAGCGTCTACGAGGCCGAAATCCGCACCAATGAGGAGGATAAGGTCGAGGGACGCCGCAGTCACATCCCCGATCGGACGCGTCTGTCCAACCGGCTGCTCGACTTGCGCACGGCAACCTCGCAATCCATCTTCCGCCTTCAGTCGGCCACCTGCAACCTCTTCCGTAGCGCTCTCGACGAGCGTGAATTCATCGAAATCCACACCCCCAAGCTGCAGGGTGCTGCCACCGAGTCTGGATCCAGCGTCTTCCAGGTCAATTACTTCGGCCGGCCCGCATTCCTCGCGCAATCGCCCCAGTTGGCTAAGCAGATGGCCATTGCCGCTGACTTTGGTCGCGTCTACGAGATTGGTGCCGTCTTCCGTGCCGAGAACTCCAACACTCATCGCCACTTGACCGAGTACACTGGTCTGGATATCGAAATGGCCATTGAAGAGCACTACCACGAGATGCTCGAGACTCTTGATGCCGTCATCAAGAATATCCTGACCGGTGTCTACTCCAAGTATCGCAAGGAGATCGATATGGTTAAGCATCAATTCCCGTCCGAGGATGTCGTCTGGTTGGAGGAGACTCCGATCATTCGCTTCTCCGACGGTATTCAAATGCTCAATGACTCGGGCTGGAGGAACGAGGCCGGTGAGCCACTGCCGTTGGATGAGGACCTCTCGACGCGCGATGAGATCCACCTTGGCCAGCTGGTCAAGGAGAAGTACGGCACTGACTACTACGTGCTGGACAAGTTCCCCCGTGGCGCTCGTCCCTTCTATACCATGCCTGACCCGGAAGATGACAAATACACCAATTCCTTTGACATGTTCATCCGTGGCCAGGAGATTGTATCTGGTGGTCAGCGTATTCATGAACCTCACATGCTTGAAGAGAACATGCGCAAGTCCAAGATCAACCCCGACGACATGGAGGAGTACCTTGAAGCTTTCCGCTGGGGTGCTCCGCCTCATGCAGGTGCGGGTGTCGGTCTGGAGCGTCTGCTGATGCTGCTTCTTCAGGTGGGTAACATCCGCCTCACCTCGCTCTTCTATCGTGACCCGAAGAGTCTGCCGGCCAAGCCTCCCGTGCAGCAGCTCCGTCACCCAGAGGCATCGACGACGGATCCAATCTGGCGGCACGAGCATCACAGGCGCGTGGCCGAGGATGTCAGCGAGTTGCAGCCGTTGGAGAAGCTGATTGCCAACTATGGTGATGCTACCTCCACATCCTGGTTCGATGAACGGTATAAGATCTGGCGTGATATGGCAACCGGTGCCGCAGTTGCCTACGTGCCAAGCTCCCACAACTACGCCATCATCCCTGGTAACCCGGTGTGCGATCCATCTCAATACACGCGCACTATCACCCAGTTCTTGCAGTGGCTGCGCCGTGAAACCAAGTACAAGCCGGTCTGGCTTCTCTGCTCCCCCGAGGTTGAGACCATCCTTGGAGAACGCTTGGGATGGCGCAGCTTGTCCTGTATTGCCGAGGAACGCGTCGACCCGTCGCGCAACCAGGCCGCGTCGGATGGAGAAATCGCCCGCAAGTTGCGTCGTGCTGAGACCGAGGGCATCAAGATTCAATCGTTTGACCTCGGCGAGCTGCCTCCGGATGATATTCGCAAGAAGATCGATGAGCGTATCGCCGAATGGCTGGCAAATCGCAAGGGCACACAAGTGCACCTGTCGGAGATCCGCCCGTGGTGTGACTCCGAGCACCGCTGGTACTTCTACGCCCAAGACAGAAACGGCACCATCTGTGCCTTTGTTGCTCTTGCTATGCTTTCGCCTGCTCATGGCATGCAGGTCAAGTACAGCTTGGACTTCCCAGGCTCGCCCAACGGTGTAATTGAGTCCATTGTCACTCAGGCCATCCAGACTGCCGCCAAAGACGGCGTCAAGGGTCTCACCTTCGGTGCTGGTGCCACTACCCAGCTCATCCCTGGTCACAACATGCACGGTGCTAAGATCAAGATGCTGGAGCACACCTACGAGGCATTGGCCAAGCAGTTCCACCTGGTGCGAAAGAGCGAGTTCCGTGCCAAGCTCGGTGCTATCGAGGAGCCTCTGTATATCTCTTATCCATCGCACGGCCTGGGATCTAAGGGCATCCGTGCTGTGCTGAATTTCTTCGAAGATTAAGCCATCTGATCATGAAATTTGGACTGCATTTATGAAAGTGGCTACGACCTTATGGGTTCTCATTTACGACTGGTATTATTGGGATTTGGGCTCATTCATTGCGACCTCGGTCGAGGCCAATTGTCGCGAGACATAGAATAGAGCGGCAAGGAAATTTCTGGATTATTTTTGATCTTATTGGTTCCGGCGTTCGTCTTTTTTTGGCTTGATTTCTCGATTCTGCACATTCAATCTGTTCGCGCATTGCTCGATTAACAGTATTCCCCCTCCTGTATCCAGCACCGCATGTATCGCTTGTTGTGTAAATATTACTGCTAATCTTGGTATTTACATTAACTAGTCTTCCACTCTTCTGAACGTTGAAATGCTTCTACAACGGTCACTTCCTCGTGTCTCCCAAATAGTAGGACTCCCATATGCACCTGCTGCAAAAACTAATTCAATAATGATACAATGGCGCACCAATCTTGCGGAATCAAAGCCACTACTTAATATTACCTCGCCTTCTTTCCTTCCTGCAAGTCCCGCTCCTTTTTCGCATCATCGACAACCCTCCCAAGCTCCCTCGCCACCCACCTTGCGACCACCAACGCGACCACCGCAACAACAGCAATCCACGCGGCAGTTGGAACGAGCGACCGCGGGAAAACATTCCATAGGAACGGATCCAGAATCAGGTCTACCGCCACAGGCGGCACGTCCCGCATCAGCGCCTCGTCCGCGCTGAAGTAGTCCGCTACGGCCCGCACGCGCAGAAACAGGACCGAGTCGGTCGTCGGCTCCAGGTCAAGTACGCTCTTTTTGCTGTTCCCCGTTGCGCGCCGTAAGATAGTATTGACTTCCATACGTGCACTCAGCAATGCCAGACGCGCGGTGGAGAATATGCTTAGACTGGAGAGGAGGGATGGATCCTCGATTGTGTTGGCCAGCGCGTGTGTTGTAAGAGTAAAGGCCGTCGGTTGCTGCACTCTTGTTAAATTTTATTTTTCTATCACCAGTTGAAGTAACTATACATACAGTGGCTAGCCAGCAGACTCGTACTTCGTAGCGCTGGCCTGGGATGAGGTTCTCGAGGAAGAACCACGAGTCAGTTCCTTCTGGAGCGTCATTTGATGGGAAGGTCGCGTTGAGCCGCGTGCGCACGACGGGACTTTCTGGGGAGAGCCGTTCCAGGCCTAGGTCGTCGATGGCTGGTTCGCCAGATGGCACGGTGGTTCCTGCCGGTGCTAGGAAGATGGTTTTTTCCACATTGGCCTGAGCAATTGTGGCGCAGAAGGCTAAGAGGGCCCATATAAAAGGGTACATCTTGGAAATTTATCTTTGTAGAGTCGGAGTTTCTCTATCGGTGAGCCATTTCAGCTGGATATGGTTGTTGGTGTTGTCCGACGTGGAGTGGAGATATATTCCGACTAGGATGTAGCTCTAGCGGACTTGGCGGTGAGGGCCCTGACCGGGCTAACCAACGCATTCACGGGGATGCGACAGCTATCTTAAGTGCAATTCAAAATCCTGTCCACGCACTGAATCAATTGATTGAAACAACACTAAATAGCAAGCTATATAAGACGACAGGTCGATGCTCGTCACCAGTCACGTGACAATAACAGTCACGTTACCGGATACGGCGGTGAAGAAACTGACTAATCCGCCAATCACGGGCCCCGACGCGACCCAACGAGTGGGATCAACAACGAACTCCCCCCCTGCGCAGCACAGACGCCCTCCTCCACAACCTTTTCTTCTCCTGTTTTCCTCGTCTTCCATTCCTCCCATTCCTGGTGCGTATCTGATTGTTACCCCTTCTTCCAACGTCCGCTGCCCCTCCCCCTTGACACGTCGTAGTGATCGATACCCTGAACTCTAGTACTGACCCCTGAATCACAGACCCGTGTTTGTTGTTGGGTCTTTCTCCCCCTCCTTAATTTTTGATCCTCGAAACAACCCACCAACACAATGAGAGAGATCATCAGCTTGAACGGTATGTGCTGTCATGTTCTTGATATTCTTGATGGAATTCTGTTTTTCCGAAGAAAATGAGGCGCTGACATATTATCCACTTACAGTCGGCCAGGCCGGTTGCCAGATCGCCAACTCCTGCTGGGAGGTAAATATTCGATTATTTCCCCATTGAGGAATCGGAATGCAGTTGACTGACAGTCTTTCGTAGCTGTACTGTCTGGAGCACGGCATCCAGGTACGTTATAATTCCAAACTCGCCGTGGCGCCTGACGTCGATTTCGGGCGGCTGCTGCCCCTTTTCCCTATCGGGAAGCGAGTAACCGCGACTAATCTGGTTGATAGCCCGATGGATACCTCACCGATGAGCGCAAGAAGGCCGATCCCGACCACGGCTTCAGCACTTTCTTCTCTGAGACCGGTATGTCAATTGCAATTTTTTTCTGGGGAGGCGGCCTCCCCCACCCGAGCTCGGATCATCTGCCCACAGCTTGAGCATTATATCCTAACAGTCTTCTTCCCTCACCCCGCAGGCCAGGGCCGCTACGTTCCCCGTACCATCTACTGCGATCTCGAGCCCAACGTCGTCGATGAGGTCCGCACTGGTACCTACCGCTCGCTCTTCCACCCCGAGCAGATGATCACTGGCAAGGAGGATGCCTCGAACAACTACGCCCGTGGCCACTACACCGTCGGCAAGGAGATGATTGACCAGGTTCTCGACAAGGTCCGCCGTGTTGCCGACTCCTGCGCCGGTCTCCAGGGCTTCCTGGTCTTCCACTCCTTCGGTGGTGGTACCGGTTCTGGTTTCGGTGCTCTCCTGATGGAGCGTCTGTCCGTCGACTACGGCAAGAAGTCCAAGCTGGAGTTCTGTGTCTACCCTGCTCCTCAGAACGCCACCTCCGTCGTCGAGCCCTACAACTCCATCCTGACCACCCACACCACCCTGGAGCACTCTGACTGCTCCTTCATGGTTGACAATGAGGCCATCTACGATATCTGCCGCCGCAACCTCGGAATTGAGCGCCCCAGCTACGAGAACCTGAACCGCCTGATCGCTCAGGTTGTCTCCTCCATCACTGCCTCGCTGCGCTTCGATGGCTCCCTCAACGTCGACCTGAACGAGTTCCAGACTAACCTGGTCCCCTACCCCCGTATCCACTTCCCTCTGGTCGCCTACTCGCCCGTCATCTCTGCCGACAAGGCCGCCCACGAGGCCCACTCCGTCACTGAGATCACCTCCAACTGCTTCGAGCCCAACAACCAGATGGTCAAGTGTGACCCCCGCAACGGCAAGTACATGGCCACCTGCCTGCTTTACCGTGGCGATGTTGTCCCCAAGGATGCCCACGGCGCCGTGGCCACCCTCAAGACCAAGCGCACCATCCAGTTCGTCGACTGGTGCCCTACTGGCTTCAAGCTCGGTATCTGCTACCAGCCCCCCCAGCAGGTCCCCAACGGCGACCTTGCTCCCCTCAAGCGCGCTGTGTAAGTTTTCCCCATTCGTTGCATACATTGCCTGATAAAATTCCCTTACTAATGCTCCTTTTTAGCTGCATGCTCTCCAACACTACCGCTATCGCCGAGGCCTGGTCCGCTCTCGACCACAAGTTCGACCTCATGTACTCCAAGCGTGCTTTCGTCCACTGGTACGTTGGTGAGGGTATGGAGGAGGGTGAGTTCTCCGAGGCTCGTGAGGACTTGGCCGCTCTCGAGCGTGACTACGAGGAGGTTGCCAGCGACTCGCTGGAGGATGAGGAGTTGGAGCCCGAGTACTAGATTAGGGAAGCTGTGTGACCGTGTCTGGAATGTTGGAGAGGGTATCTGCAACGTGTTTGAAAGATACACTTCGATGTTGATGGCTCGGATTTCCTGGATTTCCTAAATCTCCTCGACTTCTTGCAAATAGAAGGGAACATAGGTTTCAGTCCGACGATTTTTTTTCGCTTTGTTGTTCGACATATCTTTAATATCCCTGAAGCAGCGATGAGTTTTATCCCCGCTCGTTCCATCCATTTTCCATTTAAGATTGGGATTCTGCGAGACTTGTAATTACAAAAGCCCAAAAAAACCCATTACCCTCCTTTGTTCAATTTGCCACCTGCCCTGGTGCATTTAGTGCTGGTCCGATCGGAATGTATACCAGTGGACATGGGGAAGAACGTGTCTCCAGTCGTAGAACAATCAGCACCCATTGATGATCAACTGACCCATCACATTATCAAAAGTAAATTCAACAGTAGTCAAATAATTACTTCAAAACATCAAAGACCAGCATTCTGGAAACTGGTCGTGTACGATATAACCGAGCGGATCCCCTAGTGAAAGACCCTGCTGGGCGGAATGGGCGCTAGAGCCAACTGACCGCCTTGGGGCCACCTTACGACATCAGCTCCAGCCACTCTTTACTATCCCCCCGTTTAGAACACCTCCGCCGCACGCCGGTTCTCGTTCCTGCTTTCTTGCATTGGTGCCGTCTCTTTCCTGAAGCTACGTTTGGACCTTCCCAGTCCATGCTCGTGGCCTACACCGGCTAAGCGACGGCTTCCTGTCTACTACTCCATATCCCCCAGGCACCAAGCTATTCGGACCCCCATCGACCAAGGAGAGAGCAACAGCTCTCCCTAACTCACAGCCATGGCCGATACTTGTGAGTGACACCAATATGCTTCACTACTGGGAAAAGAGGGGTGCGAGAGGTGCTCTGGCGCAAGTCAGGAGGCCTGCCGAGCTCCGCTTCATGTCACCCCCTCCCCTTCCTCGACATGCTGCCCCAACAAGAACATCGGAACTGACGGAGACACTTTCAATGATACAGCACAACGACATCCGAACCTCAATCTTACGCAGGAGGAAAAGCGCGTCTTCTACCAGCTTTTTCAGGTAGCAGACACTACCAACCTGGGCGTCATCACCGGCGAGATTGCGGTTCCCTTTTTCGAGAAGACAAAGCTTCCGTCCGGTACTCTCGGAGAGGTAGGTTGCTTAAACAAAGGTAGTTCTCACAGCGACTGACCATTTATTGCGTGTCATTAGATATGGCAGCTTGCGGACAAAGAGAACAGGGGTCTTCTGACCCCGTCTGGGTTTGGCATTGTGCTACGATTAATTGGACATGCCCAGGCTGGGCGTCAGCCCTCTGATGAATTGGCTCTGCAGCGTGAGTGATCCGATCCATATCCCTGAATACAAGCAGCAAGACACCGAACCAAGACTGATGACGTGCTCTCCGCATTCCAGCTGGCCCCCTGCCCCGATTTGAAGGCGTTTCGGTAGATATGTCCGCGCCTATCCCGGAGTCCGGTACCATGAGCCCTCCACCGGGCGCTGGTCCCCCAATTCGAGTCCCGCCCCTGCAGCCCGATGATGCCCAGAAATTCGTCTCTTTGTTCGAGAAGTCGGACGTCCAGAATGGGATGCTTCCGGGCGAGACCGCCAAGCAGATCTTCGAGCGCGCCAGACTACCTAATGAGGTCCTTGGTCGGATTTGGTTCCTTTCCGATACCAAGCAGCGCGGAGCTCTCGATGCTACGGAATTTATTATTGCTATGCATCTCCTGACTTCTTACAAGTCGGGTGCCCTGCGGGGCATTCCCCAGACTCTGCCTCCTGGTCTATATGATGCTGCAGCTCGCCGAGGCTCTGGCAGGGGGTCGTTTGGATCGCGTGCCGATGTTCCTCCTGTCCCGGCAATCCCTAAGCAGTTCACTGGCCCCCAGCGGACTGCCAGCCCTATGAGCCCCACTATTCGGACCCAATTTAGCGGCCAGCTGTCAGCTCAGACTACTGGGGATTGGCTGGTCACCCCTCAGGAGAAGATGCATTTTGACACCATCTTCGAGACCGTCGACACAGCCAAGGTGGGTGTGATTACGGGTGACCAGGCCGTCGCATTCTTTATGAAGGCCCAGCTGCCCGAGGAGGTTCTTGCACAAATCTGGGACCTTGCTGATATCGATGCCGATGGCCAATTGACTCGCGAGGAGTTTGCCGTCGCCATGTATCTCGTGCGCATTCAGCGCAGTGGAAAGGAGACTTTGCCGCAGGTCCTTCCTCCGGCTCTGATCCCGCCCAACATGCGCCGTCAGGCCCCTGTACCTGCTACTGCACCAGTCCCTGCTCCAGCACCTCCCGCGACTGCTCCTATACCGCGATCTGCTGCGGATGATCTTTTTGGCCTGGACTCGCCCCCTAGTGCGCCGACTCAGCTGCCCCAGGCTACTGGCGGTTCCAACTCCGCATTCCAAACACCTGGTTCACCTGCCTCTAGACTTTCTCCGCAGCCCACTTCTTCTACAACCTTCAAGCCATTCATTCCAACATCCTCCTTTGGACAAAGTCTGCAGCCCCAACAAACGGGCACATCGGCAAGTACACCCACTGCGGTTCGCTCGCCTCCGCCCCCGGCAGATGACCTCTTGGGTGACAATGATCCCGAAGAATCGGAGAAGCTCACCAGCGAGACTACTGATCTTGCAAATCTGTCGAATCAGATTGGCTCTTTGGCGAGGGAGATGCATAATGTGCAAGAGAAACGCACGTCTGCTGAGCAGGGCATCTCTCAGACGTCGCAACAGAAGCGCGATTTCGAGAACCGCCTTGCACAAGCACGTACAATGTATGAGCAGGAGGTAGCCAACTTCAAGGCCCTCGAGGAGCGACTGAGGACCTCCAAGGCCGAGACTGCTAAGTTGCAGCAGGAGTATGCCTTGATTGAGGGCAGCCGCCAGGACCTGCAGAACCAGTATACCCAGGTCTCAACAGCACTGGCTGCTGACCAGCAGGAGAACGCCAGCCTGAAGGAGAAGCTGCGCCAGGCGAATGCAGAGGTTGCCCAGCTCAAGCCGGCGCTCGAGAAGGCGCGCTCCGATGCTCGACAGCAGAAGGGTCTCGTTGCAATCAACAAAAAGCAGCTTGCTACAGTTGAGGGTGAACGGGACAAGGTGCAGGCTGAGATCGATAGCCTTGCACGGGATTCTCCCCAGTACGCCGAGGAATCCGCCACGGCCGTCAGCGCTGCTGACGTTACCAGCCCTGCTGTCTCTACTGCAAGCCACAATACCAATCCCTTCTTCCGGCGAACTGCCACGGGCTCAAGCGAGCACGCTCGCTCCCCCGAGCCTCCAAGTGACCAGCAGAAGGCATTCGACAGCCTCTTCGGCCAGTCCTTCGTTGGTGGGGCCAACGGCCCGCCACCAACTTCGTTCCGTGCCGACTCGCCTGCCACCTCCAATATCCCAACTCCTTCTGTGTCGCCGCCTCCTGGAGCTTTGCCTGGCGCTTTCCCTGGCCTGGCGTCTGATATCCCGCCGCCCAGCCAGTCACGCCAGCTCACCCCGAATTTTCTTCCCTGTCATGAAAACCAGTCCGTGACCTCGTCTACTATGGTCTCGCCCCCTGGTAGTCGATTTGGTGGTCCTGCGACCTCGGGGTTTGACTCTCCATCCATGACGAATGTCAGCGACACAGGAGCACCATCCGTGAGTGAATCTAGTGACTACAGCCGCCCGCCGGCGACAGGCTCCTTTGAAGGAACCCCGGCACGATCTCCATTCGACGAGATTCCGGAACCCACTGTAGCAGCAGCAACAGCAGCAGCAGCAGCAGAATCTACTGTCTCTCCTACTTCGGAGAACCAGGAAACCGGCAAAGATCTGTCATTTGACGAGCTGTTCGGTAGCAAGGCACACAAGCGGTCGGAATCCCAGAAGGAAAACGATTTCGAAGAGGCATTCGCAACCCTGAAGCAGAACCCTGGGTCTGAGAATGCTAATGGAGCTTCTGCGGTTCCTACCTCGGAGTTCCCTCCCATCCAGGAATTCCACGACGACGAGGATGAAGAGAGCTCGGATGATGAGGCTCCGATGGGGTTTGATGACGACTTCACCCAAGTCTCATCGGCCACTGCCAAGAAAGAGAAGCAGCCCGAGTCCCTCGATGCTGCCCAGCTTGCTGCCTTCCCTGCCCCGGGATCATCTGTGCCCCAGCCAGCAGCCCCCACTACATTTGTGCCCCAACCAGCAGCTCCCACAACATCTGTGCCTCAGCCACCCGCTCCCGATGCTCAGGCAAGCCCTCCCAAGTATGAGACTAGTGCTTCCGAAGAGGCTAGTCACGTTCCCCCGGAGTTCAACGGCCTCCTGCCCGAGCGGTCCGATCCCACCGCTGCCCCGGATGCTCCTCACTCGATTGAATCGAGTACTGGAGCTCCGATGATTAACAATGTGCCTCAGCATGATGATACGCCCTTGAGTGCTGCTGCACCTGGTGGATCCAAAGGTGGCCCTGACTTCGAGGCAGCTTTTGCTAACTTGAACCTCGCGCCAGCGGCGGAGGCGGAGGACGAGGATGATGACGAGCCCGCGGGCCAAGCTCACAAGAATGCTCCCGATTTTGACTTCTCCTTCGATTCCCCATCCCACAAGAACACCGCTTCCCCTAGCATTGATGCTGGCCAGAGTGGCTCGTCTGACTTCTTCTCCTTCGAAAACAACAACGTTCACGCGTCGACTGCCCAGACCACTTCCTCACCCACTGGGGGCGACTCCAAAGCCGGGGAACATGACTGGGATACTCTGTTTGCACCCCTCGACGGCTCCAAGCCGGCAACTAGCGAGGAGCCTACCAATGGGTCGGACCCCAAGAGGCCTGGATGGGCTCTCAACACCGACACGGGCGAGGATGATCTGATATTGCAGCGACTAACGGGCATGGGATTCCCGCGAGACGATGCACTCGCAGCTCTGGAGAAGTTTGACTACAACCTTGACAAGGTGGGTTCCCCTTAGGCCAATTTTACCAGAGCAATCGAAACTAACAGGGTAGTAGGCGGCTGATTACCTGACCACCAAGTGATGAATGACCCGTGACTCCAATCAACTTTGCACATAGTACCATCCACACATATTCTTGCGATGTCTTTCCTTCATGACTGTTTCTCCCCCCCACCTGCTTGCAATGCCTGCGATGTGATTGGGGACGGGGCTTCGCACGCTCGTCTCGTTCACACTCGTCTCTATCCTGTTCAGCGCTCTGTATATTTCTTCTTTCCCTTCTGTCTCTTTGTCATCAGGCTGCACCATCACTGACACCTGGATTCATGGCTCGTTGAGGTTGCTTTCCTCGATGAATCGAGTCTTGACACCTTGTCTCATCTGCCCCTCCCCAGTGTAGTGTAGTTTACGATAGTCCACAATGGAATTAATTCATGAGAAAAAAGGATATTTGTGACAGTGATGTTTATCAACCGACAGCATCCTTTCGAGGCCAGCGTTGCCGAACGCCTAGAGAGTGTGGATGATTTCCAGGCCGATCGGGCCCTGGCTAGAATTTTCGAGCGGAGTGGATTCTTCTCTAATAGCTCCCAAAAGGCTGCTGGAAAGTGTAATAATGGTGATGATAAAACTGCCTCCTCGGGAAGAGAACAGGGTGAGTTAGTCACCCCGCCGCCCTGAGCTGCGCCCTGATCAACCTGATCGTTCACCCCATACATGCCATTGTCCGACAAGTCAGATCTACCCTAGCATTTCACAAGGAGTCATTTAAAAAAGAAATTACAGAGTATTAGGCACTATCTTGCAACTGCAATGCTTAATGTGTTCAACGTCTCCGCAGGTCACTGAGTCCTATCGTGATCTCAACCCAGAGCCTTCTCCTTGCCTGCCAGTGCTCGTTGGTACATCTCTTCTGCCTCCTTCAGCTTGCCTTGAGCTTTGTAGAGACTCCTGAGGCTGTCAACTGTATTGAGAGTAGATGTATGATCAGGTCCTAGGACCTTCTCCCTGCCTGCTAGTGCTCGCTGGTACATCTCTTCTGCCTCCTTCAGCTTGCCCTGATTGAAGTAGAGACCCCCAAGGTTGTTGACTGTATTGAGAGTAGATATATAATTAGGAACCAGGGCCTCATATCCTGCCAGTGCTCGCTGAAACATCACTTCTGCCTCTTTCAGCTTGCCTTGAGCCTTGTAGAGAATACCAAGGTTGTTGACTGTATCGAGAGTAGATGTATGATCAGGTCCTAGGACCTTCTCCCTGCCCGCCAGAGCTCGCTGGTACATCTCTTCTGCCTCCTTCAGCTTACCCTGATCACAGTAGAGAACACCAAGGTTGTTGACTGTATCGAGAGTAGATGTATGATCAAGTCCTAGGACCTTCTCATTGCCCGCCAGTGCTCGCTGGTATATCTCTTCTGCCTCCTTCAGCTTACCCTGATCACAGTAGAGAACACCAAGGTTGTTGACTGTACTGAGAGTAGATATATGATCAGGTCCTAGGACCTTCTCCTTGCCCGCCAGTGCTCGCTGGTACATCTCTTCTGCCTCCTTCAGCTTGCCCTGATTTAAGTAGAGACCCCCAAGGTTGTTGACTGCATTGAGAGTAGATATATGATCAGGCCCTAGGACCTTCTTATATACTACTAGTGCTCGCTGGAACATCTCTTCTGCCTCCTTCAGCTTGCCCTGATTTAAGTAGAGACCCCCAAGGTTGTTGACTTCATTGAGAGTAGATGTATGATCAAGTCCTAGGACCTTCTCATATACTACTAGAGCTCGCTGAAACATCTCTTCTGCCTCCTTCAGCTTGCCTTGAGCCTTGTAGAGAACACCAAGGTTGTTGACTGCCTTAAGAGTAGATGTATGATCAGGACCTAGGGCCTTCTTATACCCTGCCAGAGCTCGCTGGAACATCTCCTCTGCCTCCTTCAGCTTGCCCTGATCAAAGTAAAGATCCCCTAAACGAAGGAATGCCCACCATATCTCAATATTATCATCTGACCAATCTAGATGATATACATGATTGGCGTGGGGAAGAAGTCGTTGCTGAAGTTCTGAATAGACCCTATTACTTTCACTGGGCACAGAGTATCCAACAGATATGAGTGACAGGTCATTAAGCTGCGTCCAATTCACATTGTTGTCTGTGTTAGCAACATGAAGGCACCAGTCTTGCACTACTGGGTGCAAAGCATAGCTTCCTTCTTGTTGCTTACTCTCAAGAAGAGAGAATCTGATGAGAGACTTCACACCAATTTTGAATGCAAGTCCGCTTGACGTAGCCTTTTTGAGCCAGTCCGGGACGTCTGGGCTATGGCAGCCACTCTTCACTAACTCGTACCAGATATCATGATTATCAAAACGAGCAAGTAGCAATAGAAGGTGTGCTGCGTTTGGGTCACGCTTCTGGATCTCAAGATATGAGACCGTCCATGTTTGCAGTATATTGCCTTGCTGGTACTGACGACCAGGATTCGATTGCAGCTGTAGCTCAGACCAAGATTCTTGGTAGTACTGTAAGTACTCAGTGATGCTGGTTCCAGTTTCACGCATAAACGCCCCGGCGATAACAATGGCTAAAGGCAGTCCATCCAGACGACTAGCAAGAGTAAGGATATCTATATATATTAGTATAACTTATAATATCTATTCATCAGGTGCCACAGTACCTCGATTGCTGTCAGGTTTGCTAGTGGTGTTCTTTGCTGATAGTCCACTGCTTTGCAGGAGTAGTTGAATTGAGTTGTGAGAGTCAAGCCTGTGAACCGGGAAAGGCTCCCCTAGCTCAGTCAGGTCCTGAAGTCGAGAAGTGATAAGGATGGAGCCATGTTCTGCTTTAGGGACAAAATCCCAAATGTCATATCTATCACCAGCAGCGCTGTTAAAGGGGGAGTATTGATCGATGTTGTCAAAGATGATTAGCCAGCGCGAGTTGCCATCCAATGCTAGCCAACGTAACATATGCCTAGCTCGTTGCTCCACTTCTCCGTCATTAGTGGCCGCACTATCCCAACCCTGTCCTGGTATTCGGTTCAAGGCAAAGCTCAACGATTGCAAGAGCGTATCGCGATTCTTGCCACTTAGCCAGAAGATGGCCGTAAAATGATCTCTATGATCTCGCGCGAAGCGAATCGCTAGCTGCGTCTTTCCTATTCCGCCAAGCCCGTGAAGAATTGCAACTTTCCGAGATGGAGTATCTGTGGGTTGTAAATGCTGCCATAGATTGTCTAGCTCGTCTTGTCTTCCGACGAAATTTGTAATCACAGGCACTGTGGTAAGGTCTAGAGGGACATTGAAGCGGTGGACTACACACGGAAACTTTGATTAGTCATGGATTCGAACCAGGCAATGAGTGATATAGTTTGAAACTTAGGATCTCTCACCAGAATCTGCTAGCGTGTCTCGTGCTGTTGGAGTAGTTTCAATCTGATCGGTCGGAACCACCATGACAAGTTCTTTAGCAAAGGCTGCTGCCACCGCTGCCGCATATCCTTGCCATTCGTTGTTCTTGTGGGAGTCGGCATAGTCACAGATACCTCGAATCACTAGGCAAGGAAAGTCATTCATGAGCCCTGCAGCTTCCATTTCCACACAGAGGACCCCTAGGTCTCGAGCCAGCTGGTCTCGCCGTCTAGCATCTTTCACTACCTGATTTGCAGATGCAATCAGTCCATAGTGGATCACTGGTTCTTCGTAGTCTCGTGAAAGCCGCGGAACCAGTTTGGATCGATCACAATCGGTACATGTATCAGATCTTCCATGGATATATTCTGATTGATATAAACAGTCCTCTTGAGTGGGCCGTGCAAAAGTTGTAGCTCTGCGCGGGGTCGTTTTGACTTGGAGGTCAGAGATAAATTCAAGAACTTGACTATCGTCTGTGAAGTGGTGGGCTTGGAGGGTAGCGAGGGCAGTCAGGAGGACCTTAGGTGGCCGATTAAGCATCCCCGTCCGCTGAAATTGACCGCCGTTTAACGCTTTACCGAGATCGTATTGAATCACGCCTCCGGATGTATCTGCTGGCTGGCTCACCACGATATCGCCTAGGCGAATGTCTGCGTTGCTGCTTGGTACGCCTCCACCGATACCGACCAGAAGGCCAAATCGGATAGAGTGGAAGCTAGAGAGCAATTGCGTCGCTACAGTTGCCGCTGATACAATGCCATATGCGCCACTTGGTAAACAGGCAATAACAATGTTGTGTTCCTCGATGTTTCCAAGAATATACGTGTTTTGGTCGGTCGGTGGGCGAGGTAGATTCGGGTGTATGGCGTCCAACATTAGCTTTGCGGCTGCCATCTCCAGGGGTAAAGCGCAGATCCATCCGACCGTGTAATCGTCATGGCATAGAGGGGCCCTAGCTGCCATGATGGGATATATAATGGTGGATTTTGAGACAAATTATCCTACCGTGAGGTCATGGTAAATATGAGATGAACAAGGATGTATGCAGCCTAGGAGAATGCCAGAGTTCATGAGAAGACGAGCGGCGGGGTTAATAGGCGAGGCTGTCGCATAATACTCTCACAACCAATCATTTTTGCGGTGGAGAAGGAAAATGTTGACCGATTACCAACTCAAAGACGTCGATGTTTGCTAGGTTTGCATGGTATCTGCTAGTCCAGGCGTCTAGTTCTATTTCAAGCTCCTAGTATTTATTACCCGGTTAAGGTACAGAACGCTTAAAACGGCGTCAAAGGTAGCCTTTTTCGGCGCCCAATTTACCGTCACATAGCGCTGGGGTGTACTAATGTATGCATTAGATGATTATGATGGCATCTGATTTGATAGAAGATAAGCTTCAGGCATGTTCAGGAACAAGATTCATATTTTTTATTTGAACCACAAAACCACGCCGCGTCTTCCCTACTTGCCCGACATCTACCCCGCCACACACATACACACACACACACACACACACACACACAAGCTCTTCAATCTTTGTTTCAAGTGTAAAGGGTTGGCCAATCCGCGGCATAAGCCATAATAGCACCACCCAAAGCAACAATCATAATCTGAACCAGTGGATAGAGCACGGAATGTCAAGCCTGGCTTCCGGCACTTTGAGAAATCGTCTTCTGACCATTGATTTTGTTTTTGATTGCGAAGTCTATAGCCTCAGCTTCGATATCGTTCACGGGGTGAGTGAGCTTGATATAGCCTTCGTCATCTAACGCAAAGAGTGCCTGTTTGAGCCACACTCGGCAGGTGATGCTTTCGTGGAATCGGGTTGAATAAGCGATTGGGGTTTCCTGAAGACGATCACGTAAAGACTGGTGGAGTATAGGGTCTAACACTCCTATCTTGAGAGCCACAAGCAGTCCCTGAGAAGCGATGACGTTTTCGCTAGGTTGAGAGTCGAAGTGCCAGCTAGTCGAATTGGTCTCATTTATCAGGTGATAGATGTAGCCCGAATTCGTAGCCTGGTGTAGGTAGAGGCGCCAGTGGAATGTGTAAATATTTTCGCCACGATCAGACAGAAGAATATATAGTGCGTTGACTTCAAGGGTGAACTGCGTCGACATTTGGAAGGCTTGTAGTGATTTTGTCTTAACAATACTAGAAGTGATGGTTTGAATGTAAGGATTGAGCGCAGGCACAACCCAGTCTTAAATGTGGGTATCTAGCTCAGCCACCCGCCTGTCAATAGTGGCAACACTCCTTTTACGGTTAGCGCTTAATTTGAGTAACCCAACGTGTTCATAGTGAAGATGAGTTTCCAGGGCGTTAAATGGGACGACTAGAAGAGTACTGCGCCTCCACAACTTGAAAGGATTGGCTGTTATTCTAATAATCACCCTGAAATGTCTAAATTTAGGGATAGTGTGTTACGAACACTGCAACTGCCACCTGCTTGAGGGTCAACTTACCGGGCACCGAGAGCCAACCAAGTTTTCAAGAGACGTACATTTGGCCTCTCTCCATATTCGCGACCGCTTCCAGTTCGCTCAAGAACTTCTACCGGCGCTTATCTGATTAGGTGCTTACTACACGTGACTCTTCCTCAAGCTCCTCAATCCAATTCCCAGTAGGATCGTCCAAAGGCAGACAGAAGTACATTAGACATTGCAGTCTAGATACACTATTCGCTCATTTCCAGGAATGGAGCCACTGCATGGAAAGTATGAGGCGACTATCCGGCTAATTAAATCTGCCCGGCTCACACCAGCCGAGCACTCGATCTGGGGAGCCTTTCTGGACGAGGCCGTCAATCCGGAATATGCTGCTCAGTATATTTGGGAAACGGTCCACGACGGTTCCGATCGTCCTCCAGAGCAAGTCTTACGAGAATTAAAACTAGATTGGAAGCGAGTTGTCACTAAGTGTCGGTCGAAACAGAGTATTCTCCTGAGGCTTCGCTAACCACCAAATCAGTGACCAAACGAGACCTAGTCCCGTCCGAAGCACAAACTCTGGTCGAAACTCGGGACGATTCGCACTGCTTTATGCTGGATCAGAAACCATCGGACCCCGGCGTATCCGTTTGTTTCGATCATGCTTGGGTGATCCCACCGAGCCTTTTTGATGACAGTGACATGAATCCGCAGGTGGGTGTTCATTAGGCATCTTTACGCTAAGGTTGAAGAAGAATAGATCTAACCAAAATTATATTATGCTACTATTAGGGCCCTCTTTATGCTCTTCTGCAGGCCTTCTTGACTCCAGCTAAAACATCCGAACTTCAGACTCTCCTGCAGACTGACACTTTGGAATCTCCACTGAAAAACTTATTCTTACTCTCTCCTAGCATTCATTTGGCTTTTCGAAGTGGACATAACAAAATTTTTCCTCCAGCTGATACTGCCGACCGATGGAGTGAGGATACCGTGACCAAAATGAAAACAGCGAGCAAGGTTTATGTCTGTGCCACTTGGCTTACACCACAAGTAATTCTAGCTAACTTGGTACTAGTATTTCGTCTCAAGACTGCGACCCGAGCCTTGTGGTAGGCTTATCCTCAGCGATGGCAGCCTATGGGACCGGACAATGCAGATGTTCATCATGGAGACCCAAGACGCCAATCTACCTCTTCCAGATCCTTTCTTATTCCAAACGCACTACCGCCTTGCGGCCTCCTTGCATCTATTCCATGTTGAGGAACGAATCTCCGAGGGTTGGCCCCCACCCGCCTTGTGTATGGGACCCTAATTCCCCTGCAAATGAGACTACAAGGCTGATTGGTCACTTTGATAGTCCAATTGAGTGCAACGACGCAGAAGAAATTACGCTCTCTCTGGCATCTCGTGCCCAAATTGATACGTGTTCAGTGCTACCGCGTGCTCCTGAAACTAGGTAGCCACCTCTACCCGCGGTCTTTCACCGGCCTCGTGCACCGGCTGCCGTTCGGACTATATGCGAAAGAATGCACACGCTCCCCTCGTAACGAAACCGAGACATTGCGCCTGGTGGAACAGTACACTTCTATCCCAGCACCTCTCTGGGTGGATGATTACCAAGGGGCGCACCCGGTCCTCATTATGACAGCCGTGCCGGGACAAACGCTGGATGCGGTGTTTCACCGACTCTCTTTCGCGGAGCGCGAGCAGCTGTCGAAAGATTTGAAGAGTGCCTTGTCGCAGCTGCGGTACATTCCGAACCAGACCTCGTACGTCTTCGCCAACAGTCATGGCGGCCCGCTGAAGGATCATCGATTCCCTTCCGGCACATGCGGTCCGTTCCAACTGATTTCTGAATTCAATGCCTTCCTCGTTCATGATTACGTGCGCAATGAGACAAAGGATAAAATTTCGGCCGTCCACGCGCGTCCGTACCGGTCTGTCTTCACCCATGCGGACCTGCATCCTAGCAATATTCTTATTGATCGCGGACGACTGTCCGGAATTGTGGACTGGGAATGTGCCGGCTTCTACCCTGAGTACTGGGAGTATACGAAGCTCATGTATGGTGCAGAACGATTTCCGGAAATTCAAGACATCATTCGTGATGCGTTCACAGAGGGTGGCTATGAGGAGGAGCTGGAGGCTGAGACGCGGCTATGGAATGACACGCCGTTCGGTATATAAGAATTTAACTAAGCATTGGCATTATATGGTATATAATTTAACATATGACGTCCTTTCTTCTGGATTTTCCACGCTCCTTGTGGGCCCTGCCGTGCGTTTTATAGACTATATGTTGATAATTAGAGCAACCTCAAGATGGAATTATAGACACAAGTTAGTGCAGATCACTGATCCACTGCGGGTCACGGTGGGGTAATAGGTGGATAATTAGGAGATATCAAACGTTGGATGCCACACACTGTAAGCGTATCAGCTTAACCAATGGGAATTTTCTTGATCAACGGGTACTCGGTGATCGATTGATGCTAAATGGAGACCGTTTCCGAAGAGACGTATGCTCGGATCTTGGCCATACACGCCCATCACAGTAATTATACTTGATTTTGAGAGAGAGAGAGAGAGAGAGAGAGAGAGAGAGTGTGTGTGTGTCATCCTAGGAAGGTTTCGATATAAGGCGAAATAAAAGTCCATTTCTTCAACGGGGCTCGCAGCGTGAAAGCATGGCCTTCGTCTCTAATGTTATTTTCTCGGAGCCACCTCCCCGAAAGTAACGAATATCACTCATGCAGTCTTTTTAGCGCGAGCCATCGAGGCCACTTCAGCGCCAGAAGGACTGAAATCCACAAATCCGTGTCTCTGGTATAGCGATGCGCCCTCCTTGCTGGCGTCCACGTAGGCCGCAACGCCGTCCTTATCCGCCAAGTCGCAGCCCCATTGGACAAGCATAGAGCCAGCTCCGCGCCGCTGATAATCCGGGTGAGTACCGAGTGTATCCAGGTCTTTTTCGTTTCTCAAGTCAGCAACTATCTCCTTCGTTAATCGTAAGGGATCTCATTCATACAGTAATGCTTCTGATCGCCCATAACGCGCTTCCTCTCCGCTTCCAGCCCTGTGATCAAGTCCTCGCAATCCTGGTAAGGCGAATCCGCATGCCATTGCGGGAAGCGACGACCTCGCTCGTCGGGCATGGCGAGATCCCATTTGCCAAATGCAACTAGCCGCGGTCGCCCGTGTTCATCCTTCGACTCGGTGTCAACCACTCGCAAGTACTTTTGGTAGGGCCTGGTCTGAAAGCTGTCAAGGTGCCAGTCCCGGTGCCATTGATGCATACCGGGGGTGTTGGGGAATAGCTTCCCAATCACCGGCTGAGTGAAGGCAGCGAACCATAGCTCTGTAATGGCGGGGACGTCTTCCGGGGTGGCCGGCTCCAGCACAAGAGAATTGGTTGTTGACCGCATAATTTGAATTGGTGCGGACGCGTACTTATTCAAGTGTTTACCGGAGGAGCATTAGCCTGGGGCATGTCTGATTAATATAATCTCACGCGCAAGTGGTGGGGGCCATAATGGCGCGGGGCAACGCGATGGGAAACGGCCCACTCGGTATCGAGGAATTCTAAATTCCATCTCAATCATGACTGCATTTGTATTCACCTACGTGTAGGCTTCTTATTGTAACTGGATCCTCCAACAGATACAGATTCGTTCCACGAGTCGAGTTTTCATAATTTGCATAAATACATCATGCACATCACAGAGGAACCTCCGGCCGGACATAACCCAGTGTACAGTAGATAGAATCGTCCGAGGCCCTCTACGGAGAGAAAAGTCAATTACACGTAGAACGTACTCAGTCCGGCTCCTTTGGGGGGAATGGGAGCGGGCCTCGGGTTTGGTGGCGGTTTCAGCGCGTTCGGGCGGGGGCAAACAACATGTGAAAGAAGCCAGGGGTTGTGAACAGCTAAGCTGCATTGCAATAGATTATGAATCCTTCGACTACGCGAAGGCGAAAATACTGCACATCGAGAGGCCTAGCCGCTTCCATTGGCTCGGGGATTAGATGAAGCATGCTTTCGGCCCCGGCGGCCCCATCCTACGATGGAGTCGATCAAAGTTCAAATGGAACCGGGTCCGTGCGAGAACGCCGGAGCTTTTAGAAAAGTGAAAGAAGATTCCGCCGTCAAACACTATTTACATTGGGTGCCATCGCACGGTGGTAGGGCTAGGCCTCGCTAAGTTATTGACTAAGAAATTCAATTAGATGAAGCAGGGGTAATGAAGGTTCCGATTGGCTAAGAAAAAGAAGTGGTTTGGAAGAGCTCTACTGTAGCACGTCCACGTTGTATCTAGAATACATATACGGAGTATAATTATTGACTTAATCGATCGGGTGATCGCTGGCCGTCGCTCGCCCAGGGGTGGGTCTCCGGCCCCACGATGTGCGCGCGGCTCGACTGACTGTCGACTTCCCAAGTCTGCGAGTCGACTTCCCAGTTCTGCGTGACGAGGATCTGGTCTGGTTGTATCGGGAGGGGGTAGTTTTCATGGCTCTCGGGGTTGATCTTGCGGTCCCTCGATTTAGACCACGACTGCGTGGTCATCTTGTAGCTCCTCCAACAGGTCGGGTCTTCTACGCCGCCGAGTTTGAGTCCGTTCGATCGCATCCAGGACAGCAAAGGCTTGATTTGCCCCCAGCAGGCAGTCACGATGCTGAGGCACTGGATGATCGCTTCGAATATGGTGATCTCGCACATGTGATATGTCGGGTCGTTGGTTTGCGTGCCTTGCTTAATGAAAGCGAGCTCGATGATCGTTGCTACCACGACTCTATACAAGGCAAGGTGATGAGCTTCGAGTTTGAATGTATGAGGAAAGAGAAAGGTTGGGTCACCCACAAGAGCCGGGGCAGGAAGATACCCGCAAAAATCAGGCGTCGGCCCAGCGTCGTTTGGACGCTTGCAACCAGGATCATCGCCTGCGTGAAAATCACGAGGTCGGTAGCCACGTTGGAGATGACGATGAAGTAGCGCCATGCTAACTGTAGATGTCCATCAAATTCCATTCATTAGTACGGCCTGGGTTCGTGGCGTAGGAAGCGATAGAGATGAAAGAAGACACCGCTTACCAGGTCAAAGCATTGGCCATTCCAAAAGTCCCAAGTGCGTGGCACGGAGCATTGGAAAGCAGTCCCAAAGATTGCAACGATTGCCCAGACATAGACAATTGTTTTGGCGACCCGGGCGAACCATTTATCTTTCGAAGATGGTGTGAGGCTCCCGATGAACACGGCCAGGGATAGTTTCGAGAACACCAGGCTCAGAATGTATAGAAGAGACCCCGCGAAGAGGTTCTGTCAATCAAAACATTTAGCAGTCGCTTCACACGAATAGACAAGAAATTGAGAGATGCGTACCTTCATCACTTGGTCCAATTCGGCGCCAGAGACATCTTTGTAATGCTTCCCATAACCGGACCCAACTGCCAGCGAGACAGCGATAGTTTGACCGACGCCAAAGACCAGAGAAGCAACGATCAGGAGGTCATCGACGGTGAGCTTTTTGAACAGTTGAAATTTAGTCCACAAACGACCCAAGACACTAAAAATGATCGTGACCATAAGAACCCATGAGGTGACGTTGATCGCCGGGTCTTTGGTGTCGTCTTTGAATCGTGTCCCCATTTGAGGCAGAATATGTAAACGAGTGAGGGGGTTTCAAAAAGAAGGAGAATATTATGGAGTTAAAGCATTGCTGACGAGAGAAATTGCATTACTATACCCTTTTATTATACCGCTGTCATCTTTCGCAATGGGCGCTCCAGGATCCAAAAGAAGCTAATTCGAATTCTGACGGCCAGAAATGAGAAACCAGGATGTGAATCGTCTCTCAGGCCTTACCACAGCAAGGTTACAGAAGAGGCGTCGCAGCCCGTTCAGGGGCCCTATCTCGTTCCACGCTTATTCCCATCCCACAGAGACCTCTATCTTCCCCATCTCGACCTTCATGTGTCCGGTCTATTCTTTTTTTTTGCAGATATTTTGCTGGAGCTTTTTCCTGTTTTGTAACTTGGTCCGTCTTTTTTCAATCACCATAGCCAATTCAAAGGACGGGGTCACATCGAGAAGATTTTAGGTTTCGCCCCCTTCGTTAATGGACTTTGCTCGAAAGATTCATACCCCAGTTCTGCCCACGGGCCTGGCGGCTCGCATGGCCGAACCCGTATTGCTGGTTGCCCCTATAAGCAGCCACGACTAATATAAGGCCCACATGGTATCTGGTTGGCGTTTTCCGATTGGATGTGGCGCGCTTCCTGGGGAAACCTTCCCCGCCGGGGATCGACAGCACCGTATAACGCGTTTGTGGCCTCAGCGTTCTGGGGCCGTCGGGCAGTCCGCACGGGGTATGCAATCGCCAGGGTCTGATGCATTAGTGTCATTGAGTTATGTTTTCGAAATCCTAGTCGATGTAACATGCATCTGATCAATAGGAATCCCCTCCGCCCACGTTCCAATCCTTCTCCAATGTTTCTTTCAATTTTTTAATTTTTTAATTTTTTTTAAAACAGACTTGCATCCCTCATTCTGCCCACGGTGTAAACTTCCCACTTCCATTCGTTTAACTCTGCAACAAAGGAACAGCCATGGTGACATATGAGTTGAAAAGCCAGACGTCCGTCACCACCAGGGGCGGGCCACCCATGGCCTCCTCCGTTCGGGAGCGCGATAATGAGCATCTCCAGCGGATGGGAAAGAAACCGGTCCTCAAGGTATGCAATGCAATTTTGAAGGCCACAATGGCCATCAAGTCAGAATACTGGAGCTTACATCTTATCAGCGAAACTTCGGCATTCTCTCGATCCTCGGCTTCAGCTGCACTATTCTGGGTACATGGGAAGGCTTGCTGGGGTGAGTCGGTCTGATTCTAAATCTTCGCGAAATCCATCACTAATCATTTGATCAGTACCTTCGTTGGCCCTCTGACAAAGTTTGTGCACCTCTCAATGACCCGTTGTCCTTTTACAATTCTCTGACAGATATCAGCGGCGGCTCCGGGGGTGCGATCTATGCCTACATTTTCGGGTGGGTAGGCACAACTGCCATTTTCGTGGTCTTGTCGGAATTGTCCTCTATGTATGTTGCTTGCCCTCAGCTGATCTGATCTACAGCTAGAGCTAGAGCTAACGATCAAATAGGGCGCCTACTGCAGGAGGCCAATACCACTGGGCTGCCATGCTTGCCCCGGCCAGATTCCAGAAGTTCCTTAGCTTCATTACTGGTAAATCTCCGGTTCATGCACCCACTAGACGCATTCGTTATCGCTGACACTTCAAACTACAGGATGGTTTACCGTTATCGGTTGGCAGACTGCTTTCGCCGCGGGTGCCTTTTTAACGGGACAGATGTCCCAGGGCGCCGCGATCCTAGGAAACAACCTCTACAATGCTCTCCCGTGGCAGGGGACATTAATTATCTGGGCTTCGCTGTGTCTCGCATTGGCCGTGAACCTGGTCGGCGGCAAACTTCTGCCCCGCATTGAGGTGACCATTTTAGTTTTGCATATTCTTGGATTCTTCGGCATCTTGATCCCCCTCACTTACATGGCGGATCATAACACAAAAGAGCAAGTCTTTCTGTCTTTCCAGAACGGAGGAGGCTTTGCCACGCAGGGATTGTCCTGGTTCGTCGGTATGACCAACTGTGCCTTTGCCTTTGGTGGAGGTGATGCCGCCGTGCATGTAAGTTTTGACTTACGCTCCCCCTCTATACGCTTTCGGCTAACCATCTCTCGAACAGATGGCCGAAGAGGTCGCGAATGCGTCGAGGGTCATTCCTTACGCTCTTATGCTCAGTGTCATGGTAAACGGCTGCCTTGGCTTCGGTATGATAATTGCCATGATGTTCTGCACCGGTCCCGATCTTGGTGGTACGTTGGGGAAGATCACTGGGTTTAACTTTATGGGGATCTTCATGGAAGCGACCGGCTCAGTGTCGGGCTCATTGGCCATGTGTGCTATCATTCTCATCCTTTACATTTGTGCGCTCATGGGTGTACTGGCCGCGGCATCCCGACAGCTTTGGTCTTTCTCCCGAGACAGGGGAGTTCCCGGATGGCGATGGTGGAGTCGGGTAAGCAGTTCTCAATTAAGCAGAAAGTCTTCCATGGTCTAACATTTGCTTTTCCAGGTTTCCTCCAGCAGAAGCTTGCCTATTTACTCCATCTTCCTTACAGTGACCATCGCTGGGCTGCTGGCCTTGATTAACATTGGCTCCAGCCTTGCTATGGAGGACGTGGTGTCGATGGCAGTGTCGAGCGTCTACCTTTCGTACCTCATGATTGCGGTTCTGCTCTTTTACCGCCGAATCCGTGGCGACATCTCCCGATATGACGATAACGAGGATGGCATTGTCAATGTGCCCGGTGCGAAACTTGTCTGGGGTCCGATCCATTGTCCCGGCATCGTGGGCACCTTGATCAACGGGTTCGCGATCATTTATATCGCCATCGTCGTCTTTTTCAGCTTCTGGCCAACTCAAATGAACCCAACGGCGGAGTCGATGAACTGGAGCATTGTCGCAGTCGGGAGCAGCTCCCTTCTTGCCACTCTATATTACTTTGTGCGTGCCCGGTTCATCTACACGGGCCCCGTTATTGAGGTCTCTCTGTAGAGGGTTGCCACGTGGGACTGAGAGAAGACGGAGCGACCAGTAAGAGTCGTTCTCTACCAGACCTACCAGACCCATTCTGGGTCCTTCTGCCGCACTGAAATTCTCCTCCCAAATTGCTCCATCGCTTACCCGCGCTCACTTCTTTTAATTCCCATGTGTCCGGTTATTTTTTTTGTCTGATCCGATGCTAGCCGTACTGCTCCGTAATCATAGTTTCGGAGAATTCCGACGCCACATAAATATAGAAGAATCACTGTGCATCCCCGTCTCTACTGTAATGATAGCGATAATGATAACGAATCTCTCAGCCAGTGAGTTTTGGAAACATTGATTATCTTCTCACTGCTGGAGATAAGCTTTTCCGAAGCCTTCTGGAAAAGGCTTATACTCGGCACCCGAATAATATAGCGAATCCTGGTCATTTTTTCAACCTGCAGTGGACTGCATGTGCCTGTGATCCCTTGACAAGTGAAGCGATCATATATTCCCTGTAACGGAAAGAGTAGACCGAGGAATACATAATCTTTGCCACTCATGACCCCCTGGCCGTTTAATTGTTACGTTTTTTTTTATAAGCGAAGACCGTTGGGCGTCCAATAAACTGCGTGTGGCTTGTAGAGGCAGGAAATATCAGCCGAAGCGCAACCTCAAGTTGTCGGCCCGCCTATTACATGCTCGAGATAAGTAAATAATCTAACTCGATTGGAAAACGGGTGGATCTGCGCGGTTACTCGCTGAGACAAGCCTTATCATTCTCCACAGCCTTGTTAAGATCCACAAATCCCCCGCAGAGTGTCTCGTGCCTTTTTACTTTTCCCATTCGAATCCACCTCCGCATGGCTTTCGACGCAGAAAAAGGCCTTGCAAAAGGCAACTTTTCAACCGAATCACCAGATGTGATCTCGGTCGACAACGATGCCCATTCGCACAATACCGGTGTCCTGGCCAGGCTTCGCGCCCTGGAGGCCAGGATGGACAAGAAACTCGGGGTAGAGTCCGAAGCCATCGTTCGCAAGCGCCCCGAAGATAAGAAAAAGGTGCATTGGGTAGAGGAGTTGTCGATGGCGGCACTGTGGGCGAGCGGCACAATGAACACTTCCTGCTTTGCGACCGGCTTCCTCGGCTGGGAATTTGGCCTGACCCTGAAACAGTCGATCGTCATAACCATCTTTGTCTCCATTCTGGCTGCCTCGCTGAGTGGCTTCTGTGCCACCTTCGGCGCCGTGACCGGTTTGCGCCAGATCAGTGTCAGTCGGTACAGCTTCGGCTGGTGGCCTAATAAGCTGGTCGCCTTGCTTAACAGTATCCAGCAGATGGGCTGGGCTGCGGTCTCATGCATCACTGGAGGTCTCGCCTTGACGGCGGTTTCGGACGGCCACGTATCTTTGATTCTTGGAATCGTCATTCTGGCCGTCGTGGCGCTGATCATCTCTTTCGTCGGGCTGAACGCCATTTTAATTTACGAGAGATGGGCCTGGATGGTCTTTTTCGTCATCTTCCTTATCATCTACGGCCAGACCGGCAAATATGCAGACAATTCGGCTCCGGCCACCGTCACTGGTGCGAGTTTCTCCGGCGCCGTTCTCACCCTGATTGCCATTGTCTACGGGTCCAGCGCTTCCTGGTGCACCATGGCCAGCGACTATTACGTCCACTACCCCGTCAACGTGAGTCGTGTGAAGGTTTTCTTCATGACTACCTTTGGTATCGCCATCCCGACCTCGGTCGGCATGGTAGCCGGCTGCGTGGTCGCTTCCGCTCTGAACAACAAGCCCGAGTGGTCTAGCGCGTACGACGAGGGAATTGGCTACCTCATCCAAGACATGCTCTATCCTCGCGGGTTCGCCAAATTCCTCCTCACGCTTCTCGTCTTGTCCGGTATCAACGTCAACGTCATCAGTATTTACAGCTCCGCCATTTCATTCCAGCAACTTTCAAGACCCTTTGCTCGAATTCCTCGGTTCATATGGACTCTGTTCTGTTTCGCCTGCATCCTCGCGCTGGCCATTGGTGGTCGCCAGAAGCTGAACGCCTACCTCCAAAATTTCCTAAGTCTACTGGGATATTGGTGCACGAGCTATGCCGTCATTCTCTTCGAGGAACACTTCATCTTCCGCAAGGGAAACTTTGACAACTATGATTTGGAAGGGTGGAATGACCCGGCGAGGCTGCCCAAGGGCATTGGTGCGGGAGTAGCATTTGCCCTCGGGGTTGTGGCTTGGTGTATGGGTATGGATGAGACTTGGTTCATCGGCCCTCTTGCTAAATTGATTGGAACGGGCGGTGGTGATGTCGCCAATGAGTTCACTTTTGTGGTGACGGCTTTGAGTTATATACCTGCAAGGTACTTGGAGCTCAAGTACTTTGGACGGTAAAAACACCGGGCCGAAGATACCGATATTATTTTACTCTCGGTAAAATCATGAGTTCAAACTTATGAAACCCACTGTATTAAACCCGATCCAGCCAACGTGTCGTAGGCACGACTTCCATTCTTCGTAACGACGCCTATGCAAGCATCACGCCGCTCTGGGAGGGAGGCTGAGTGATTTAGAGACAGATCTCGTGCTGCCCCTATCACTTACTCAACTCTGCCCCCAAGTTCTGTAACGTTCCGATAAGCGTGAACTCGGAAGGGGGCTTGAATATGGCAAATGAAGTCCGATTTGCTGTAGTAAACACCACCGGCGGTCCAGTCCATGCAAAAAGCCACCAACAACAGAACAATGAAACGCCCAAGAGTTTATCCTGCGGGACTTGTCGCCGACGAAAAATCAAATGCGACAAAATTCTTCCTTGCAGTCAATGAGCATCCATCATTGTATGGTACAGTGGACTATTGCCTAACACAGGAAGGAAAACAAAAACTCGAATACTAATTTGACAGATTGCTCATATTCCCAGCCAGTCCACAAGAAGAGGAAAAGGGCGTGTGATGAAAAGAATGAATTGCTCGAGAACAGAATAAAGGCCATGGAAGCATCTGCCCATTCGGTTTTGGCGCCTGGCGCTGCTATGAGAATGAGGAAACCTCCAAGACCAACAGAGCCGGCTTTCTGCTGCGCAGCTCGACCACTCCTCTCCAGCTCCTTTTCCACTCACCCATCGTTTCAATCATTGCCCTGTATATTGCAATCGGTTACGGTTGTCTCTACCTCCTCTTCACAACAGTCCCCGACGTGTTCCAGGACACCTATCACTGGAGCGTTTCCATCAGCGGACTGTCCTACATCGGTCTCGGCCTCGGCTTTATCACGAGCCAAATCTTCTTCGGATTGACGAGCGATAAGATTATCATCCGACTCAAAGCACGCAACAAGGGGCACCTTTGAACCGGAGATGCGCATACCGCTTTCCATCCCGTTCGCCGTTGTCGTGCCCATCTCATTCTTCTGGTACGGCTGATCTGTCCAGGCCCGCACGCACTGGATAGTACCGATCATTGGCCCGTTCCCATTTGGAGTGGGCATGATCAGCATCTTTGGGACCCTGCAGACCTGTGTCGTTGATTCTTATCCACGGTATGCTGCGTCTGGACTTGCGGCGATAACCGTCACTCGAGCTCTCTTTGGAGCGTTGCTGCCGCTGGCTGGCCCTTTCACGTATCGAGCCCTCGGTTACGGCTGAGGGAATACCCCGTTGGGGTTTGTGGCCCTTGTTCTTATTCTAATGCCGATCATTTTCTATCGCTTTGGTCGGGTTCTCAGAGAACGGGCCGTGGGGAATTTTAAATAACTTAATCTATATTTCCCCGACAGCGACCAAATCGAGGTATTCAAGGTCTCCACACCACTTGTAGGTTTTTGACACGTATGTTTTCACACGAGTGTTCAAGAGGGTGGAGTTACAACTGATTTCGAACATGACCGTACTACCTGTAGATTACCGGGGGTCTCCCTGATTACTTGGGGCCCGTTATTCTCATTTTTTACAATCCGGGATAGACTCAGACTGGGTCAATCGTGGACATGTCTGGCCCCCTGATCGTGATCCTCCACGCTGCTGATCTCTTGGCGGGTGGCTTCTCGGTGGAGCCGTGGCTGCTCACATCAGACGCCGGAGCTCGTAGACCGGCACATTATTTTTGGATGGCTTTTCATTGACTCACTCCAGGCATGACGGCCTTTGTCGTGTTGCTCGGCTTCTTCTCCGGGACAGTTCACCCGTCTCCTCCCAACCATCGTGGTGATGACGGCAACGAAGCCGGATGAATCGGCTCTCGTATGAGAAGGGCATTCGGGGCCCTCAAAATATTTGGGTAGGGAGCCCTATTACCGGAGCCATGATCAAGAACTATGGATCGTGTCAGCCATCAGATTCGCCGGGGGTGGCGAATCTCCAGCTCAGTCCTCAGGGCGAGGGACATTGCGGGAGGAGAGCACCTTGCATAGCCCCGAGGCGAGAGTGAAATAGGTTGCAAGAAAAGACAGGGGCTACAGCGTGACCCAATCCGTAAAAACGTGCTTCGTGGCCTCAGGCCGGGTTTCCGTGAAGAGCAACTTTAGGCAACGCAATTCCACGGCCCCCGAACAATCCCTGAGAAACATCACCCCGACATCGATCACACGGGGTCTTGCAGACCATCACGCATCACGTAGGATTGTTTCCTTGGCCCTTATCCCCAATTCTATCGCGCAACACCGCACAGATTTCCACATTCAGTACCAAACTCCAGGGGCCAATCGACGGCCCAAGTGGAGAATCTAGCTAGGACGGAGTAGGCAGCCTCATATTGCAATTCTGCAATTCTGCACTTCCGCAATTCTGCTGCCTGAGAAAGTCCATGTCACCCAGGGGGCCCTGAAACAGACACAGGCGATGGCTGAAGCTCACCCTAACGGGCCGAAAAACCCTGTCGGCCAATGGCGGCGCCTCCAGCGGTCAATTAGGTTCACAAGCCGTCGCTCGCAAAGCTTGGCCCCCTGAGTTTACTGCGAGTTTACTGTGAAAGAAAAGGGTCCACCGGGGGTTCATTCGCTCTCTCGTTTACTCCCAGGCAACCTGGGGTCCCCGATCCGAGGTTGTATCGCGAAAATTCTCCACCGCAATTTTCATCCTGGATGAGACTAATGGCGCTCGTACCCCCCAAGAATAGTTGTGGCGATCCTAGATCTAGTTAGGCTTTGCAGGAACCCTGTGGATCATCTTGCCGCCAACTTGGGTTTGGGGCCCGAGGATGTGTAGCTTGTGGCAGACGGGGGGAAGGTTTTCAATAGTTGATTTAAATGGATATTTCTGCTCAATTCCTCGGGGCCCGTCTCTTTCACGTTTCTCTTCGCCTTTCACCATGTTTGCCTGACCCTCTCGTTGTCCTTCTTATTAATTTCGATTCTTCCTTCATGAGGCACTCCATCGTTTGATTAAGTTTTTCTTTGACCACCGTCTCAGTTCTTTGGATTCCCCTTTCTAGTCCCTCTCTCACCTCACGTTTTATTTTATTTTATTTTTTTTGGGAATCCCTTCATACTCCAACCTGAGCCCTGTATCCCATACCCAACGCCCATCATGACCGAGATCAACAATCTGAAAGATAGGCCCTTGGTGCCTATATCGGTCCTGGCTCCTTTCTCCGGGCTGATCCTCTCTATCGTCCTCGTCATTCTCTTCCTCGTTCGATTCTACTTCCTCGAACGCTTCTTCATTCCATGGCTCTACGGACACACCTACACCGACCAAAGCGAGACCAACCGCCGCGGCTTCATTAATCACCACATTGCCGGCGCCACCAAGCTCCTGATTCTCATCGTGGCGGTCTACCCATTCATTCGCGTCATTTCCGGCTCCGCCGACCTCCATGCACTATACGTCCCCGGCGGGCCCGCGACCATGGGCGATGCCCTCGTCGTCGTGGCTCAGATGTTGATCGGCATGTACATCTTCGAGCTTCTCTACCGCGTCAAGCTCTCCCCCGTCGCAGTGCTGCACCACATCGGCACTATTCTGATCGGGCAATCCGCCATCGCAATCAGCTTGAGCCTGGCGCGGGAGCCAGATGCGGATATCGAGTTTATCCTGTGTCTTGTCTGGGGTATGTAGACTCTCTCTCTCTCTCTCTCTTTTGGCCATCCAACGACCATCCACTGACTATAGACCGCAGGAGCCTTCGATCTCATCTCCGAGTTCTTCCCCCATGTCGCCATCATTTTGTACCGTGTCTATCCTGACCGCCACCACTTCCTCAGCCGCGTCTTCCTCCTCTCGTGCATCACGACGGCGATCGGCACCCTCTGCGAGACCATCGTGACCATGTGGCTCTTTGGAAGTCTGTGGGACCGTTGGCAGATTGCCTTCAAGGTCGCCACGCCTTTGCTGCATATTGCGTTTTCCGCAGCCCAGATGCACGGAAGTATTGTCTTCTGGCGCATGTATAAGAGACAATTGCGCTTTATCAAAGAGGCCAAAGAGGCCGACGAGTTCAAAGACGGTCTCGCGTTGTCGAATACCCAGAGCCCCGTGGAGTCTGGTCGTGTTACTTGCATGAGAGATATGTGTTAATTTTGCTTCTACTCTGTACATAGATTGCATTGCGAGGATATGTCATATTATAATTATTTTTTTTCACTCATGGCCATCGCGCGGATGTAGTCTCCGCATTGGCGTCTTGGCCCGCAAAGCCACGTTGACTCTTACATCAACGCGAGACAGTATAGAGCCCTCAAACTCCGGGTCTCTCTCTCTCGCGCGCGACCAGCCTCTTGATATAGACTACATCAAGGTGTGCATAATGGCGTCAACCGAGAAAAGAGCTGATCTCATTGCCATTGCCCGTGGCCTGTCCGGCGTGCCGATGTGCGATGATTACGAAAAAATGATATCGGGCATGTTGTAAGTGTTTCTTCATTATGGCCAGTGCCGGTGCATCGATACCATCGGATACGACATCCGTGGATGTGTTACATACATACTGTAGTAGGGGCGTTGCATGCTAATCCCCTGTCAGGTACAACCCCCTCCTTCCCCGCCTCGTCGAGGGCCGGCATCGGTGTCGCATTTTGACGGGCGACTACAACCTGCTCGACCCGCGCACCGTGTCTTATGATAAGATTGCCGAGGTCCGCTTTGAACTTTTGCAGAAACTCGTCGGTTGCGTGGGCGAGGGCACTTTTGTCGAGCCGCCTTTTCGGCCGGATTATGGCTGCAATGTCATCATCGGGCGGGATTGTTTTTTGAATTGGAAGTAAGTCATGATACTCGTGCCGATTCTACTATTGGAAACAGGACTAATGCATCCAGTTTGACAATTCTTGATACGTCGCTGGTGATTATTGGCGACCGTGTTCAGATGGGACCGAACGTGGGTATCTTCACGGCGGGCCATGAGACCAGCGTCCTGTCCAGACGCAAGTTTGTTGAGTTTGGACACGCCGTGAAAATCGGCGATGATTGCTGGATCGGTGGAAATGTGGTGATTCTGCCTGGAGTGACTATCGGCGAGGGCTGCACGATCGGAGCAGGCTCGGTGGTTACCAGGGACATCCCACCCTTCTCGGTGGCTGTGGGTAGTCCATGCAAAGTGCGCAAGACAATCCAGTCTGCGGAAGAAGAAGAGAATGACCCGGAGAACCCCTACAGGAATATGGTTAGGGAGTTGTGAGAAGGATGAGGGTCATGCGTTCATGATTATACGTATCAACGACGGGTCGCATGCAAAAACATAATAATAGACCGTGTTATAGTGACAATAAGAAATACTGCGACGACGGCCGATAATCGCGAGTAGGCAAAGGCCTCAATTCAAACCCGGCATCCTTCCCGCCCTCTCTTCTCAGTACCTGTTCCTTTATCGCCACCGAAGAGCACATGTGGCTCATTAATAATTCATCAATCGTCTCGATCTCAGCTGGTCTTCTCGTGCTGGCTCGATACTCGCTGCAAAGAAAGCACTGCAATTGGTTAGCCGTCCGTCATGATTCCAGTCCGGATTTCAACTCACTAAAGTCCTCCCAGGATCGCTCCTTGCCCTTTCCGCGTGGGCTCCGACCGTGCATGATGTTATCGAATGCTTGCGAATCCTGCAGGAAATTGTAGACAACCAAGCAGACAACTTCCACTCCCAGCGAGAAGCCCCACACACGGACAATCGTCACGATGGAGGTATTCCTGTTAACAAAAACACCGAAGATGACCATCAGCGTGGCTGCAACATCCACGACCAGAACGGCCAGAAACAGCTGCAACGATGGGAGATGCTTCCAGAAAGGGCTCTTGACTCCTCGTGTGATGAAGATCAACCAGTTCTGAGTCAGAGCAATTTCGAGAAATAAGACCGAGTCACGAGCCCCGAAGTTCTGCACCATGCCCCCTTCCTCGCCTCGCAGCAGAATGGTACCGAATGCAATCCAAGAACCTGATGCCAGAATCATTCCCATGATGACAGCGATGCCCCACAGTTTGGGCTGGTTCCATTTGACAGGTAGTTCCGAGTATGGCGCGTTGTCATAGGCAATTGCCAGGGTTGCAATATCCGCAAAGATTGCCAGAAGGACAACAAGACGCAGGTCGAGGCCTTCATTCATGATGGCAATCCACAGTCCGAAAAAGATCTCGAGGTGCAAAGACAAAGCGATTCGATAGATTACATAGGCATACATCCGATGAAAGATTTGGCGAGAGACCTTGATGGCAGTGATGATGGCTGACAGACCAGGTGCAAGGAAGACAATGTCGGCAGCCGAGCGAGCAGCATCTGAAGCACCTTCGACTGCGATACCCGTGTCGGCTTTCTTCAGCGATGGGGCATCATTGACACCGTCCCCGGTCATTGCCACCAGGTAGCCTCGCTTCTGGAGGATCTCCACGACGCTGTACTTGTGTTGAGGAAACACCTCTGCAAATCCATCCGCAGCCTCCACGAAGTCATTGACTTCCGAACCGGGCATGTCGCCAGCACCGGTGACTCCGAGTTTCTCTGCATTGTAGATGTTTGTGCCCAGCCCGAGTTGGCGTGCTGTCTCTCGCGCAATGCCTACCGCATCTCCGGTCAGCATCTTGATACAAAGCCCCAAGCGCTAGGCTTCAACGATGGTCTTTGCAGTGTCATGGCGTGGGGGGTCGGAGCAGGGGACAATCCCCATGATTTGCCATTTCCCATCGGCGCCTTTTCGGGCGACTCCGAGAGCACGGAAACCACGGCTGGCAAACTCGGTGACCTTCGCCACGTATGCATCCTCGATATCTTGGGGCACGCGCTGGTGTTCTTTGACGGTGTTCAATACCGGGATAGGAGCCCCTTTCACACAGGTAATCCGGTCGCCGTCGCATGATTCTACCACAGCGGAGACCTTTTTCGAAACCGGATCAAAAGGATAGAACTCGATGGTTCTGAATGATTGGATTTGGCTCTTGGCACGGGGATATCCTCTCAAGCCCTTGATGAACACCCTATCGATAGCGTCAATCCCCTTCTTTTTGCGAGTCGCGGCCAGACAGGCTGTGAGCATGAGGTCTTCTCGATCAACACCTGCAGTCGTGTAAGGTTCACCCAACGCGAGTTTGTTGCGGGTGAGAGTGCCGGTTTTGTCGGAACAGAGCACTTCTACTCCAGCCAGGGATTCAATTGCAGAAAGCTTCTGGACAATTGCAGAGCTCTTGGCCAGGTATGATGCACCTACAGCCATGGTTGTGGTAACGACTGCAGGGAGGCCAACAGGCACTCCAACGACGGTGATAGCCAGGGTGTATTCTAGGATCTCGACGATAGAATCAGACCGATAGAAGGAGGCAATCCAAACCATCAGTAGACAGAGAACAACTAGCGTGAGAAGAACTCTACCAATTTGGTCCAGGACCTTGGTAAAGTGGCCAGTCCCATTGTCAGCCTTGTTGACCAGTTCTGCTGCAGCCCCGACAAAGGTTCGATCCCCTGTATGTGTCACTATGAGAAGACCGCTTCCGCGCTTGATGGTAGATGAAGCAAAGCAGCGGTCCCCTTGGTGCTTGTCCACCGCCAGGGACTCGCCGGTGATAGAGGATTGATCGACTTGCAAATGGGTGCCGTCGGAGACAATAATCCCGTCGGCCGGGATGATCGTACCCTAAAGTCCGATCAGCATGCGATCCCCAATGTTGCTTTGTGCACATTGAAACTCACATCGTCAACATGAACCACATCTCCAGGGACAACTTCCTGAGAAGGTATCTCAATCATCTCTCCATGACGAATGACAGTGGCCTTGAGTGCAAGATTTTCTTTGAGACTGTCGACAATATTGCCAGCATGGTATTCTTGAGCAAATCCCACGATGGCGTTGAGAAGGAGAAGGGCACAGATGACACCGAAATCGATCCAGTCTTGTAAGCCGGCGGCCAGCAGAGCGGCAATCTATGCAACATCATGGTAAGCTTTCCCTACAGGTCTGATTGCAATGCTGCGAGTGGAAGGGTACTTACTTCCATGACGAACTGGACGGAGCCGACAAAGAGCTTGAAGAACTTGACGATGTTACTTCTTTTCTGCTCATTCAGACGGTTCCAGCCATACTTCCGTCGCAAGGCAATGATTTCAACATCCGTGAGACCTGTCGTCAAGTTGGTTTCCAGCAGGAGGGCTGGGACGGGTCGATCTGCGCCAGGGCCGATCGTGAGAACTTCGGGATCAGGCTCTTTTCCATCTTCGTCCTCGAGCTCGGCGATCAGTGTATCCAAACTGTTTTCCGCTATTAAGGTAAGGTCTTCCTCGTCCTTCACAAGTGTCTCATCTTTTTTGCCGCAGGTATCGTTCGGGGGATGACTGTGAAGTGCCAGACTTCTGTTGTCCGTGGGATCAATGATCTTGGCCAAGTTGGCCGCAGCTGTTTGCGACATGAGTGAAGATCGTGAATATTATCAATAATATTTTGCTGATGTGACCCTTGCGACGGAGAAAGAAAAGACCAGTGAAGAGGGAGATTGAAGAGGAAGAAGTCAAGGAGGCGAGGCAATTGACTGCCAAAGCATAAACACCCATCGCCATTACGGGAAGGCACGATGGCCGGCACGCTTTTAGTGAAGGAGGCACGACTACTTCTTTGAGAGCGTGTAGCAACCAAGTGAGAGTTGCGGATTAAACAGAAGTAAAAAGCCCAGAAAAGGTAAACATCGTCCGCCTTGGTAGCTCTGGGTGTATTATATAGTAAACGTTACCGGTTGTAATCACATGAGGAGGAGAAGCAACAACGATAGAACATTAACGATCATGCCGAGCAGCCGAGTGTATATACGATGGCATGATCTCTCCAAGACGCATACCGTGAGAGGGCGACGATCCGGAAACATGATTCAAGCAAGATCTCGGAATTCGATCGGAAGCGAGTTGAAATCCAAAGGACCAATCACGCAATAGAACTATCTAATAGAGAGTACTTGCTGCAGTCCGACGGGTCGGCTTAAGTTGTAGCGAATAAATAGTTCTGTTAGTGCCCTCTCTTCGTCCTCAAAGCTCCAGAGTTGTGAATATTGTACAGTCAGCCTCTCCCCGTCATACGAGGCTTGTATGATTCTACCGTGATGTGGGCCCATGTAAGAGAGAACTAAGATCTTCATAGACAGAGTTATTAGTTTCCTGCATACAATATTTATATGGCAGTATTGAAGAACTTACTGGATGAATATGACATTCGCGGAAGGGCTTATGAGTTATGCGGATGACCATCAGGTTCACAATAGCCTGTACCTCATGAAGGGTAAGCGCAGTATCTGCATCAGTTGCATAAACATCTGCGACATTCGCGCAAATGGTATGCGGCTTAGGGGAACCTTCAGCATAATATCGGTAAGTGTCAATCACAGTCCATTCTAGGCCCTCTGATGGAAGCTGCATGAGAGTAGGGTCTTCAGGTCTCTTTCTCGGGCTAGTAAAAATTAGTATCATTGCTAACTGAGAACTTGAAGGTCTTTTCTGATTAACCTACTCCCAAAATTCAAGATTTCCGAGGCTGCGAAGCTTAAAATACCAGGGCTGCCCTTCTGGAGTGGTATCAAGTTGGTGTTCAATATAATCGAATGATTCTCGGGCACGCCATTCCGCGTCTTCCTCCCTTTTAGCCCACCTTTTTGTTGCCGAAACATAATTGCGATTTGCAATTTTTAGGTAATCTCCATTCAGGAAGTCCTCCTGAGCCTTTTTGAAAATACCATCAAAGTTAGGAGGACCTGGGTTCCGTCCACGTTTATAATCATCTAGTTCGGCAAGGTGAAGTAGGTGATGGAGTTTCTTTGGGTATGGCCGGAAGAAACACGGGTTGAAATGTAGGCTGTGGCCATCCGATATCTCCACTTGAAATGCCTGAATCCCAAATTCCTGGAGGACATCAGAAGAAAGTGTCCAGGATTTATATTCTTTAATTCGATGGTAAAGCCGTATAAGAGCGTCATGGCCTTCGACATTGGCTTCCGCACCCATTTCGGCGACAAGGAGATTGAGGCTGGAGAGGTAAGTTAAGAAGGGAGAATATGACGAAAGTGACAAACAGCTGGTTGGCTGAAGAAGAGGTAATCAGAACGAGAAAATAAGCAAAGTCGTTAGGAAATTCCTACAGTTATGTTGGCCTCGGTGGCCCGAAGTTACTTGGCTCTTTTGGGGAATGTCAGCGTCATTCAAGCCAGAAAAAGAATAGTACCTAATTATTACAAGTACTTTTCACCAAGGGATGTTAGTTTTTAAACCATGTCTATCTATCTAGGTGCCAATGGAAAGCGTCAAACTTCAAGTTCCCAACGTCCACGAGTCACGGGTACCTGCTCAGGTGCTGTTGCAGGTGGAATTGGAAGACAGGTTTGACTCCCATTATGGAGCAAAGCCAAATAGGCTACGAGCACATCAATCGACCATACATTATACTGAACTTCCGTGTATCGTTAGACGTGCTGAGAGTCGATTGAACACTGGCATCTCGTCGGGGGTGTTTGCAGCATTCGGATCATTGCCATCGACCACGGTAAGCGTCGCGGTAGCTAATCCCATTAAGGTTCAATTTGTTCGGTTAGATTCCTGATTGGTCAGAGGGTATGTCACTGATGGGGCGAGACGGCGACAGCGAGGAGTAGAGCCTGTGCAGCTCCAACAGCGACGGGGAAGGTGAAAAGGGGATCTCGATATGTTCGTGTTCATGACCATCGACAGATTCGTGACCTTGCGGCGATACTTTTTGACTTAGAATTGCTGCTGCTCTTGGGCACGCTCAACTGCCTTGGCAGTGCCCGTTTATAAATTTCGTATCCGCTTCGCGAAAGCCTGTGCATCCTCTGTCGACTAAGAGGTTGGCGACTCTACAGTAGGTAATTTATAGTTGAATGACATTATTAGTTCGTATCTGCACTTCATGAAGAACGAGTATCTCTCTTTTTAGGCTTGCTACAGAGCTGATGCTACAAAGTCAATCATCGGAGACTATGGGTCTAGTCATTCTGATGTTCGTTGACAAGGACCCTTGAGCTATCCACTGATTGGTGATCTCGCTCTAACCATTGGTCTATAGCTTGTGGGCCGTTGAAATCTTGCACTTGATTTCTAGGATACTGCAGACCTTTGTCTAGTACTGGGACACAAATTATCCACCGCAGTCAGTCATAACCCAATGCGGCGTTCCCACCCTAAAGGTCGTGCTATATCACAGCTCATCATTGGCAATAAACGCTATTTTGCGCGGCTTGCAAGTATGGTCACAGAGGTGGTAATGATTTATATGGACAGGGAGCCCTAATCAATTCGTGTCCTACGACTGTTTTCAACGGCACCGAAAATACTTCACTTTTATACCCCATACCCGCACAGCTAACTGGAGCACTCCCGCAGCAAAAATAACCGCCGCAGTCCTTGAGGCCGAGCATTCTTTTTTTAAAATACGCATTCATGATCAGGAAAAGTGCATTCATAATTTAAATATAATTTACCTTTACCATCAATTGAATATTGCATTCGTTTTTACAGTCGTCGAACTCTGCACCTTGGCCTAGGAGATAACCTCTAATCAGAAAGTTGCATCGTGCAATGCGATGGATTAACCAAGTCATGGTGAGGTTTCTCAATGGAAGCCTTACGATTTGTGTCTAAAGAGGTGTTATGGGGAACCTACGTCTACACCAAAAAGTAATAGTTGAAAGTGTCTCGAAGCAAATCCCGGGTCTGATTAAATTATGTAGGACATGTAGCCCGGGAAAATTTTTACTGATCATACTCTTTCTGAAAATGAAGAAAATCCGCCCTTTACTGGGGGAAGGGACCAAGGTCCACGCTCATGTCATCCTCCTTCTCCCCGTCCTTGTTCTCCTCCTCCGGGCCCGCGATACTCTGGCGTACGACGGGGTTCCTCTGACCCGGCTGCTGGCTACGCCCGTCCACTTGAGGTGAAGCCCCTACAGAGCGGGCAGCCATGAACTGGGCCACGGCAGCGGACACAGCCGCATCCACGACACCAGTCAATTGCTGACACTCTGCAGGAGTGAGCCCCTCAAGGTTCAGGGCTACACCAGTGCCCTGGGCAAAGGAAACACCCGCTGCAGCCGCAGCACCGGCATGCTTGGCAGCTACACGAAACGTTAGGATATATTTTTATGATGCAAACGTGGTGCATTGATGACAGGAGGAATTTGGGACGGATGGCTCAACACAAGCTGAACGAGAGCTCCGCGTAATCAACGGAGCCCCGTAGGCTTGGTTATGAGACAACCTGATAGACAGATATGTATTTTTGGGATATCGGAGTGTTGAACTTGCCAGGAGGGCCGGAGGAGGGATTGGCGGCGGCGGGGGCCTTGGTGGCACCGGGGGAAGAGGCGCCTTTGACAGCTAACCACGTAACATTAGTATATCGCTTGCAAAACGCGACAAGGTCCACTGTCTGAATTGGATGGGATAAATGACATACCCTTCTTCCCCCTCCCAGCGCGGGTTCCGCGGCGGGTCTTTTTGACCCCCGGGTATCGCTATATTAACCATCAAGTTAATCCATTGTTCTGGAACCATCATAAAGGTGTGCCTCTCACTTTGGGGGGAGGGAGGGCGGAAACACTGTTGATAAACGCCGCTCGGCGCGCCAAAACATGCCAGCAGTCACGGACATCATGCCCGGGCCGCCGACAGTGGTTGCACCAAAGCTATTATGAATTAGTGTTATCATCATAATGATTGGCGGGAGCATGTGTAAAAGAATGAGTGGAGTATATTGATGGAAAGTTGCATCTTGCTATCTCGCCCATTGTTGTGGAGTTCAAGAAGTGCTGATATCAATGGCATTCTCAAGCAAGGTGATCCCAAGCTAAAGCAGTTTGATGGTTTGGGGGCAGAGGGATGGGGTGGTGACAGGGGTATCCAGCGCTTCTTCATTGAGGCATGGTCATGGAGCTCCAGACGAAATAACAACTTACATTAGGGGGGCGAGGAGGCTCACCTCCAGCATCTGCCATATTGGAAATGGCAAAGAACAAAAGAAATGAAAAAAAGGGTGATGATGATGGTGATGATGATGGTGATGATGAGTGGCGTGGGGTGGAAGAGAAGGAAGAGTTCGAATGACCCCGTCAATCCTCTAAATTCTCAGTTCGCTGCCTGTTCGTATCGGAGCCTGAAAAAACAATGGAAGCTCCCACTCAGCCTCTACGAAATATAGCGCAGATGCCTCAATGGTTTTTCACCAAGGGATGTCAATTTTTAAACTATGTCTATCTAGGTGCCAATGGAAAGCGTCAAACTTCAAGTCCCCAACTTGCCTAGAGTTATGCGTGGATATGGATAAAAGCATACTCTCGGACGCGTGCTTGCCTTGCCTTGCAATGTATATGAAATTCAACAAACAACTACTCGGGAAACCGGTAATTTAATATCAAATCGCCATGGCGACTGACAGCCGGACCAAGGAGATATTACAAATGGGCCCCAATACTTTATTCTCTTGGTCCTTCTAAATCTCCTCCTGTGTATTTATGTAAATGTTATTCTGGACATCTTTTGATTCCATTTTCCAAGGTACCTTTCTAAACATCTTTCTAAACGTCTTTCTAGACATCTTTTGATTCCGTTTTCCAAGGTATCTTTCTAAACGTCTTTTTCAACCCCCCCGGACAGATAGTTATGACCGCCTAATTAGGCTCACTTACAATATCTTCTTGGTCCGGCTGTAGGGAGGAACCAGGTGATCGCAAGTGGGCACGCATCACGCACGTCGTTGCCTTGGATGTCAGGCATTATATATTATGTAAGCACATGAGACGTCACCGTCGCGAACAAATCGTGAACGAATCTGCAGGACAACAGTGACTCGGGGTGAAAGGTGTCTGTTGCTCCATTTCATGCTATCAGATAATATCAGCTTGCTCCTTGCCTAGGGCATTTTGACTCCACGTTCAAAGCCGGTGGGCGCCTCTCGACTCCGCAACACGCTGATAACGCCGCCCGCCAGCATTCCTTGCCTCGCCTCAGGAAATGTAAAAGGTCCAGAGGAGCACTTCACCGTTGGACATTTGCACGGTGCTATCGACTACGGGGTAGACTTTGGCCTTCCAAGGGGTCTGCCGGTCGATCTCTGCCACCAATATGGCTCCAGAAATCCCTGGCTTTTACTTTGGTAAGCCCCGGCGATTTCGCTTGCACTCTGCACCTGCTCTGGATCTCTTGAACGTGGCTAAATGACTGCACCAGATCCGGAGAAAAAGAAGTACTTCAAGATTCAGGCCAACCATGTCGCGCCACCGGGATCACAGTACTCTAAGGAATCTGTCAAGAGGAAACGGAGAGAACAAGAGGTTGGCATGCAACTCCTGAAACAAAAGAGTGTGCTGACCTCTTCAGAAATGCCACAAAAGAGTCCACCTCAAGCAACGTGAATCTCGAGAAACGGTTCGCAAGGCGGGCTTCTTACACCACCCCTTAGTCGGCGCTGACAGAGAGATCGGATCTCGTCTTCCTGCTTCTGCCCGACACGACCAACAGGCTCGTGTGTATGCAAGCCAGCTGTGGAAAAAGAAGCTTCATCAGTTTGAGCCCTGGCCAAAGGACTACTCCATCCGCCACGTAGTGCGAAACCCGCGCTCGGGGATTTTGATTGCGAGCGGGCATCGTGGTGGTGAATCGTCGGTCTCGTAAGTTCCTCGGCTCTGCACATGGGCTTACTGCTGACAGCTATCTAGGATATGCTTTCCAGACTCAGACGAAGAGCGATGGACATATAACCGCACGATGGAGCGAGTGCTCTTCAAAGAAGCGTATAGGGTATGTTCTCTGCGCCTCTCGGGTCGAGAGATACTGACATGCGTTGCTTTTAGTTATCGTCAATCTCTTTGAGCCATACGGGTTATCTCCTGTACGCCAACCGCTATCCATATCCAGATTCTCGATTTTGTTGCTGATCAACCCAGGGCAACAATGGACAGCGGTCCAAACGGCGACAGCTTTCTTGCACCACGCATGCTCCCGGACCCCGACGAGGCTGGTGACTATCGATGGCCTGTTTACTGTACGCCTTGACCCTTCAGTTCCATCTACTCTGCCGAACTAACACAACTATCCAGTCGCACACCCAATCCGCATTCGCACCACACCATCCCTATGGTGTTCAGCAGCTTGTCCAACAGGCAACAAGGCCCTCTTCGCTATTGGTACTTCGGACGGTCTACATACTCTGGAAGGATTCGGCAGTCACTGGACATTGTCCCAGAAGCCATTCCCCAATGAATCGAGCGCGGGGAGCCAGCCATTCCATCGACACGGTAATTCCTCACACGCGAGCGTCAGCGCCGTGGAGTGGCTCTCGTCGGATGTCATTGCCTCGGGTCTCAGAAACTCGACTATCTTCCTCCATGATCTCCGTAGTGGTGGCAGTGCTGTACGGTTACAACACCCACATTCTGTTTCCAAAATTCGCAAGGTCGACGAGTATCGGATGGTCGTTGCAGGGCCCAACTCGGTATGCAACCAATAAATCCTCTTCACTCTTGTGGAGTCGTACATTAATCCCCGAGTTTCAGCTCCAAATGTACGACATCCGCTTTGCTCCCAACGGCATCCAGCGCAAACCCAAGCCAAACTCCCATCATCATACCTCTACGCGTCCATACTTGACCTTTCTCGACTACTCGCCTGACGTGATCCCCGATTTTGACGTCAGCACTGAGCTCAGTCTCTTGGCAAGCGGTATGTACCTACTTCCCTGTTCTCAAATCGCCCACTGACACCAAATCCAGCCTCGGACGACCGCAAAATCCAACTTTTCTCCCTACACACTGGCACACCAGTGTCCTCACCTCTCTCAAAGTATCGATATTCCGACCCTATTACTTGTGTATGCTTTGAGTCGAGTGAAGGCCAATTAAATCGACATGGTCCTCAGACGCCCAGTTTGTTGGTTTGTGCAAAGGCTACGGTTGACCAGTGGATATGGTAAATCCTCTGTACCCTCGATGTCTTCCTTCTGCTTTGATCTGTTCATATTTGACAGATATTATCCTATTCTGCCTCTTTTTTTTTTTTTTTTCCGCACCAGTCACTGCCACTCAGCCTGTGTGTCATGTATCATAATTCTCACGATTTTATAATGCAAATCATCATACATACTATTCACGATACATTCCCTTCTCCTTCCTACACCGTTGAATGTACATAGAATCGAATGAAGCAGATTAATGCAGATTATCCTGAAAAAACGGGTATAATTCATCTACTTCCTAGAGATGCTATGCAAGTAAACCAACACCAAACCAGAAATGCCATAAAACCCCAACTCCATCTTCATACTCCGATGCACAGCCAGACCTCAGTCCAAGCCACCAGCGAGCCACTCCCCAACTTCCACACCGATTCCCTTCGCCAGCTCGCCGATCCAATCTCCAGAGACATTGACACACCACTTCTCGCCTGCATCAGCGCTGGTGTTTCCGCTGCCCATGCTTGTGGCACCGACGTGGCCCGAGGCTGGGACGACGAGACGTAGGCGGCGCAGTGTAGCCAGCTCGGTGTAGATCTGGTCTGCTACGGCGCCGGTGCGGATGGGGTTGGCGGGTGGGTTAGGGTCGACGGCGTGGTAGATGGCTAGAAGACGTTCCAGTGGGAATGGACGTGCTGTGAGGATGGTGGAGGGACCGGTGATGCCGCCGGCTCCGGTTGCTGAGGTGGTGGCTGAGGACGTAGCGAAAGCGGCGGAAAGGGTCGATTTGTTGATCCGGGTCTTGGTTCGTTTGCCCTTCTTGTTGGGCGTTGAGGGGTCATCGTTGGCTCTGTCTTCGGCTTGGGCTTGAGACAGGACCTTCAGGCGACGACGGTGGTGGGCACGCTTGTTGCGTGCCGAGAGCGAAGATGAGGAGAATTTGGAGAAGAAGATTGTGTCCAGTCGCTGTGGAGTGTGGGATGCCAGGTACGCTGATGTCAAGATCAATGTAGAGAAGTATGGCAGAGATGGAAGAGCGGAAGGTGCTGGCTTTGGTGCCAAAGGAGCCCGGAATGTCTTGCTCGGAGCAGATGATTCCTCGGGCACAATTCGGTGCACCAGTGCTGATTCTCCCTGGTGGCGGAATAGAGCTCTGTTTTTCAACAAGAGATGCGAAAAGTCCCATTCAGTGTTCCCACCTGGCGGGGATTCACCTTGCACCACTGGATCAACAAACAAAGGCCATAACCTCTCGCAAATGGATAGAAAGTTGGGAATGGAGCCCGCTGTCGGTCCAACCAGAGTATCGTAAATAGTCGCAACGAAGTGCGGGTATATCCGTGAGATGATTTCCTCCGGCAAACCCTCTACCACCGGCACAGGAGAAGCCAACAGAATATCAATGGACTCTTTGCGCGTGTATGGGGGGAAGCTGATGTGAGGAACTGCCGCATTTTGGAGGAATAGAGGACGAGGAGTTGAGCCGAGGACAAGAACAACGCAAAGTGATGGGATCTGCTAGAATGTCAGTAACGACCATAAAGCACCTGCGCCGGGGCCGGGCTTTAAGTGCACTCACGATTTCTCCTAGTCGGGCCAGTGCCGACAACAGCGTATGCGGCGCCTCCCTTTGTCGGTCAATCTCATCCAGCACCAACACAAATTTCCCTTGTTTCTTTTCCGCCCTGGAGGCGAGACACTCTTCCAAGAGGACAGTAAGTGAGCTGACGTGTTCGCACCGTCCCTTGCCAAACTTCTCCCACTCGTCCTTCTGACCGACTGCTTCGAGGGTATTCCAGAGAATCTTCGTCAGGAGATGGCGGCCAGTAATGCACTCTGTGCTGCGAACAACTGCGTGTGGTACTTCGAGGGTCGACAGGACACCGCGAATGATGGTCGATTTGCAGGTCGCGGAGATTCCGTGGACGACTAGCGTTGGTGGACTAGGGATATCAGGCTATCACAGGGGGTCCAATGTCAGCAATATGATCAAGTCGAGCTTTTATGCAGTGCGGAGATCCTCAAGCCGCGGAGGCTACTCACATGGAGGAGACTGGCGAGTTGCCGCGCCTGAACCTCCCGGCATGGCCATTGTGCGCCCAAGGAGCGCGCAACGTCTGCTGGCTGCATGAGTCAATGGTTTCCCTTTGGCCTTGACTTGGTAGATTGTCGATGCGCAAAGATAGAGTTGCTGGCGGGATTGCTTGTCTCCGAGGACGATCATCCCCGGCTACACGTGACCTCAGGACGCGTTGAAGGGAGAAGGTTCATTTTCGAGAAATAGAATTACAAGCTACTTAGGGAATTGGAAATTACGATTCCCGAAATTTTTGGATATGGTTTCATTCTCAGATGATAAAGTACAGCAATGCAGAAAGTGTGTGAAGAGAGCACATGCGGTACGGTGACTTTCAAGCCAAGCAACAAGAATAGACAGTGATACTGCCTGCGCTCGACCTAGAAATCCAGGACGAGCAACATACAAGCTGCTTCTCTCCGATAATCCCCTCATGGGACTATCCATCACCAGCGAAACTTCAAATCCGAACCGCTCTGACAATGTTTCGAAAAAAAAACATTTTAAGAGTCCGAACTTCATTGAAGAATTCAGCAGGGCCAGAACACATCACGAGGTGCAATGGGAAAAACCAGAATGCAAAGTACATGGGGAAACTGGGGGAGAAAATGTGAGAAACACAAGGACAGGAAGAAAACTGGTACGTTGCAAGACCAGAGGTGACGAGGCCATCATTCCAGAGGAACGATGCAATGCTTCAAATCGCCAAAGGCACGAAAGTCGCGAATTGCAACACCATTGGAAACAAGAGAAGAAAAAAAAAATGAAAACAGGGTACAAAGTGGAAGTGGAAACAAGGCTGCGGAGCACAGGGGAAAGAATATGATGCTCCGATGCTGACTGCATCAAACCGGTTTCGCGTCAAAGGTTGTATGCAGCATGCAACACGTGAAATCTTGCCAGATGTTGATAGTAGTCGTGACGCATTGCTTCATGCAAAGGCAGGTATGCAGGTATGCGGGCGAAACAGATGGCATGGTGAAACAGAAAGAAGTTGCAACCGAGAAGATCATGGAAAATGCAACTGGCCCGTCTGATGAGTCTTGTGAAAGGGTCCGTGAAATCATCAAAAATCGTCACGTTCATGGCTATGGGTACACTTGAGGATGAAGGGTATGCACGAAGGGAACTGTACAAGCCCCTGTTTAGAAGTAGGCATAGAGCGGGTTCGGCGTAGTGAAGTTGCTGGCCTGGGGTGCCTGGAGATTGTATGCCGAAGGACTATCGCCTGGTCCACTGGGTGGGGTGGTGTTCGAACTGGTGGCAGGTGTTGGCAGGTAGCCACCATTGAAATTGTTGGCCCCATTACTGGGGCCCTGGTACATGAAGGGCTTCTGCAGCATCTTGGGGATTTGGGCGCCGTGAGAACTGTTGGGCAGCTCGTTCGGAGTAACCTGTCCACTGTTGTTGCCACTGCTGCGGCCAGAGGTCTCAGATGCCATCATCTTACCAGCAATGCGACGTCCGTGGGGGGTCTGTCTGATGGTAGGCAGGATGGGACGAATGGCGTCGACAATGTGCTGACGGGTTTCCGGGTCAGCGAAATCCATGGCCGTCTGGACAACGTAGTTGGCAAACGAGTCGCGAAGCATCTTCTCAAGCTCGTTGCCCTGTAGTATTTCCTCGATCATTTCACGTCGAGCAGAATTGTCAGCAGTGCGAAGGCACTTCTCGATGACATTGGAGCTGAACTTCTGCTTCGAAAGAGAAGCCACATTGCCCGCGAAGGTGCGGCACATCGGGTTGGTGAACAGAGGCTCAGCAAGATCCAGAATGTACTGGACAACGTAGTTGCCGAACGGATCCTGGACTAAGGCAAACGAGTTGGAGGTGATCTGTGCGATCAACTTGGCCTTCTGGGAACCCGAGGCATGGTCGATGCACCGCTGCAAGACACAGCATCCATGACGATGAGTGCCGACAACGACACAGTGTGTGCCGACGGCTTCGTAGATGAACTCAGCATCCTCCGCACCGAGACGGTTAAGGCACTTCTGAATGACATGATTACCATTCAGATCCTGAACAAGATCAACAACGTGCTGTTTCAGAGCGTTAATCACGGTCTGGGTTTGTTCAGAAGTCGAGATGAACTCGATCATCTTCTGCAGAGCACGGGTTCCATGCTGGTTAAGGGCAATCTTGACCAGCTGAGGGGCGGCGTTGTCGATAAGTGCGGTGCGCTGCTCATCATTGGAAAACTCAAGAAGCTTCTGGCACAGGTAGTTGCCAAAGGGGTCTGAGAGAAATAAGTTAGCAAAAAAAGGAACAGCATACAACAAAGAGGAGCGGATTGCGTACCAGTCATCAGTTCGATCACGTGCATGTAGGTCTCACTGAAAATCAGTTGGACATGCTCCGGGTTGCGCTCCTCCAGCTTGCGCTGCAGATAACGGCAGCCATGCTGGTCCTTGCACAGACTGTACAGCTCACCCTTGTAGTGCTCGAGTGGGAAATTTGTGAACCGAGTCAACTGCGAAGCCTCTCCCTCAGTCTGGCGACGCTGAGGGGGAATCCCACCGCGAGTAGCAGCCTCATTCAATCGGTATCCACCAGCGTAGTTGGGGTAGCCACCAAAGGCGCTGGGAGCACCGAAGGAGGGAATCTGGTTGGGGGTCTGAGTCGGCTGTCCAACATAGCCTTGGATGCCATAGCCATAGAGAGGGAAGGGCAAGCCATTGGGGCCAACAGATCCAGTCACGGCGGTGTTGGGGGCGGCCGATGTCATCTGAGGACCGAAGGGTGCCGCACTTGCCTGCAGCATGGTGTGGTTGACTTGGTTGCTCGTGCTCTTGGGTCCGTCGGACTCAGGTGAGTCCTGCTTGGCAGGTCGGTTACTGACAGCACCGGCGGGGATCCGTCCCAGACTCGCGTTGTGCTGATGAAGATGCTCCGTGTGGTTCTTGGGAGGGGTAATGGCCGCATCAAAACCGTTGCCCTTCACGGTTGGAAGGTCATTCGTGGAGTAGGACGTCTGAAGAGCAGTGGGGCGGCTTGAGGGCACAGGGGTTGTTGCGTCAGAAGTACGCTCATTGGGGAAGATGAAACCACCCTCAAGTGAGTGACGAGAGAGATGGCGTGAATGAACCCCACTTCCGTGCTCCTCATGAGTTGGGCTGCTCAGGTGATCCAAACGAAGATTACCTGAAGTATTCTGAGGCATGCCAGAGTGAGCCGAGCGGTGACGATTGTGATACGAGTAATTCTCAGGGCCGGGCGCGCGAGAGTTGGCTAAGTCAATCGCATCAGGGTTTGCGGAAAGCTATTCAATTCAAGTCAGAAAAAAGTCAGTCATCCTCAAATTGAGCGTTGCGTAAAACTTACCATGTTGGAACCATCGCGACGAGAAAGAGTCGGGAACTTGTCATCAGGCTCAGTCATCTTCATGTAACCCTGAATGTCCGGAGTAGACAGTCGGTGCTCGGCATTGAAAAGAGAATGCTTGTCGTCATCACGGTTGAATAGGTGCTTGGCTGCGGCAAACGAATCAACCCCACCTCCCACATTGGGGCGGTATGGGCTATTGAAATTGTTGGCAGGCAGCGAGTACCGATGCACGCTGGCCCTTTTGTTAGCCATAAATCCGGAAAAACAAACTGGGCCAGACAATTGGTCCAAGTCAGTACTAAGGGTAACGGAAACTCACGAAGGACTGGGGCGAAGGGTGGAGGAGGGATCCATGATATACTCCTCCTTCTCAGAGTTGCGGCGAGATCCAGGAAGAGAGTGTCCTGCAAACCGATCCACGGACCCTTGAGCCGCATGCGAAGGAGCTTGAGGTGAAGTAAGCTGCGAGCCGGCGAATGCATTGAAGAAACCGGGCGACGAGGTCACACTGGAGGTTGAGAAGCGGGCAGGGCGAGACATGGCGCTAGATACAGGAGCATCACGATACTCCGGCGGAGTAGTGGGCTCACTGACCGGGCCAAGTGAGCCCGGGCCAGACAAGCCAGCCTTGGCAAGGTCGCGGGCAAGCTGGTCCATTTCAATTTTTTCTTTCTCGTGTTGCATATCGAGGAGTTTCATGTCCTCCTCAAATCTGCGTTTCTGCTCGCGCATGTACTCGATATGCTGGCGCTTTTTCTCGAACTAAGTCTCGTCAGATCGGTTGTTTGAAGAATTGATAGGAGAGCCGCACTGGCGTGAGACTCTTCAAGATATGGGAAATAGAAGAAATGATGGGTGAAAGGACAAGTTGGGGGAGGGTTGGGGAAGAAAAGACGATGGGACGAAAGAAGCGTCAGGGCATAGATATTTAAATAAAAGATATCAGGTGCCAGCGAGGTTGGAATAGGTTGCGATATCTCAATAGCATGCCTCGAGGCAGCACTCCAGGCGTCACAGGTGAATGCAGGCAGGTGCAGGGAAGGGAACAGTGAGGTGAATTAGGGCACAGGGGAACAATATAGGTGCGCGTTGCCGGACTCTGACTTGAAACGAGCTTCTTGAGATATGGGAACGACCAATCCCATTCATGTGGCTGAATAGGCAATATGACTGAGACTGGGCTTGTATCGGATGGAACAGGCGCTAGTGCATGCTTCTCTGCCAATCTCTATGCTCTGAAAACTGGGAGTACCATTTTCACAGTCGCAGCACCCGCACCTGCATTGATTCCCTGATTTCCCCAACAAAGGCAGATGCAAATCAGACTACAAGGAAACACTATGCTTACCGAAGAGAGCAGATCCAGAGGATCCGGAATCTGGGCAGCCCCCTGGCTCAAATAATTCAATGACGAGATCTTGCTCGAGTCCGTTGTGAAGCGGCGTTGAAGGTTGGCGCGAACGTCCCCCGAGGGACGTGAGAACCCCGGCACATAGTTCGAACGGCCTGGCGAGAGTGCACTATAACCAGGAAAGGCGGACTCCGACGGAGGAGATCGAGGAGAGGGGAATCGAAGCTCGTCGAGGCGTTCGCTGAGCCCATTTTTGAAAGCCATGGTGGGCACAGGCAGCCGAGAGTCCAACTACAGTCCAACGAAGCCCGGTCAGCATTGGGGTGTTCCAACATCAGAAAGCTACCCCCGAGCTTTAAACCCCGACGACGACCCTGGGGTACACGCCAGCCAAGTAGAGGTGGCAGGGAAAGGGTTGAGGAGTGTTGGTGGGCTGGCGGTGTGCCCCATTCGGAGAGTCGTCTCAAAGTAAGGGGAAGGGGGTCGGGGAGGGGCTGAGGGGTGAAGCGGAGACGATCTGCGCGAAAAAGAACCGCACTCACACAAATGAACGCCTCGAGAGGGGAGGAGGAAGTTGAGTCAAGAGTCGATATCTAAGGACCGGTTCGGAGTCATCTAAGGAAGCTTTGTGGGAGACGAAAAAATCCAACGTCGGTGTGTACCTGAAGAGTGCGGAGATCAGCCGCAGGGAGTTACAGAGTGGGATGGAGCAACTTACCGCTAACCCTCCACTTAGCGAAACACGGGAGATCCAACAAACGAATGTGTTGCCAAATACAAATTCACCGAGAGCCGACAATATAAGGAAAGGGGGGGGGGGATGTTGTACACGGAGGTGGGAAGAAGAGAGAGAGGGGGGCGAAAGTTGAAGAGGCTGGGAAGAAGAGTCCAGAGCGGGGAGACTTTCAACCCTAATCGGGTTTGGCCGTACGAAAGCCCTTCTTTTGCTCCGCCAATTTCACGTCAATTGCATATATTACGCTATTCCGTTCCCTGAAATATCGACAAATTTCCATTTCTACCATCGGGTCACAGTCCTCCATCCATTCCGGAACTCCCATCAGCTTTCTATCCGCAACACTACGCCAGTGGGAAGTTGACGGCCACAGCAGATGATCGCCAGAGTTACCCGGGGATCATTTGGGAACCGAGCGTGATTGGAGAGGCTCCGGGTGCTGTACCACCAGGATACAGCTCCCGACGGTGCAGCTTGGGGGTAGGCCCATCGCTGGAAGGACTCGAGGGTCTACAAGAATGGACAATTCGTAGTCGGCCTGGTACCAGTACCGTTACCCTACGCAATCCTAGTAGGCGCAAGGGGCAGAGGCGGAGAGAAGACGCGCTGTTCGCGAGAGCGTGGCAGCTGCAGGTGTATCTCCCACGCCGACAGCCACTGTATCATTTCAGTTGAGTGGAGACGCGCCGAGTGGTGCAGCGCCCGAAGTTGTGACAGCGGATCGCCCTCTAAAGCCACCGCACGGGGCATGTCAGATGTACCTGATCGGGATTCCTCAGTGATCCAGTGCTGGTACATAATGTACCCTAAGGTTCACTCCCAGCAGCCGATGAAGTGCCTCGAAGATGGGTCGAAGGTAGCATCCCGGTTGAAAAGGGGCACTCGTCGAATGGTTCGCGCCCGTTAGTACCCAAGGTTCGTGTTTCCGGTGGACACGCGCCAGGTATCACCTCTCTAGACTAGCCAACCTTGGAAATGTGCGAATGAATCATAAGCACTCGGGCCTCAAGAGAAGCGGTGAACGTGATACAAGCCATCCATGCTGATCGGGTCGGTTGGAGCCCCTGATCCACCGAATGACAAGCATACCAGCGCCAGTGTGGAGATCCTGCGCGAACCCCAGTCACCCCTCTCTTCTGGTTCTGACTTTCTGCTGTCTAATCGGACATGCGATCGCCAATCATTGCTGGCCACCTTTCCCTTCTAGGCTCTGGAAATACTTTCCACCCATCTAGATCGTTGTGGCGAGGAGTCCTTCGAGACTTGGCTGTGACGTGATGATCCCAAATCTCAAATCCTCGTAAAATGATACATCCAAACCGACTCGCCTGAACTAGTGCCTGCTATTACCGATGGATTCCCCAGGCAGCCGAGCCTGGCGCCTTTGTAGGCCCAAATAAGCCAAAGGATCGGTGGGGAGGGGGTCTTTCATGCCCAACGCCAAAAGTTGCGCCTCGGCCGATTCGCAATCGTCTCGTACGCCAGCTCAGCCTTTTTCTGAACGGAGTATCCACGTAGTTTCGGCCCTCGACAATTGGAATAGTGTTCCAGGTCGACAAAAGAACATCGACCTGTGCATGGCCATATGGCCATATGGCCATCTGGGATCTGGGATCTGGGCAAAATAACCCTAAAGCTCCGCTCACTCCACCTGCCTGCGCCAACGCTTCTAGACCAATAATTGCCGTACGGGTCTAGCCCTATAACGGTATGGCAGTATGAATAGTCCGGAATACTAATTAGTCTTACGGGCCCAAGTAAAATTACAAAGATTTCCCTTCCGTCTTCAGACCCGGTCCACCCTCAGCCACGTGTTTTCTTTTGTTCAAGCTCAACCTTGGAACCAGGGAAGTCTGGCTCTCAGGCATCCGGCTTTAAACTCCGTGCCGCGATTGTTCTGGAAAACGAACGATACAAGCTACAATCACTTTTCCCCGTTTCCAAGAGCCAGTGGCGACTTTTGTAGAGTTGCGGTCAGGCCATTATTTGCCACAGAAGACACCACCGATATTTGGGGCCGACGAGTCTCGGGGTCTGCTGCACGGAGCTTTGAACAAATCAAAGTACCACGGGAGCTGTGGCCACCGTGTAACGGAGCTATTAATATTCCTGCTTTCTTACGGAGTAGTATTTTCTTCCCTTCGTTCCAGCGATGCCGCGTTGCTACACTGTTGAGGTTCCCATTTGTTGACTACTTCCCCTCCCTCCTGTCATTGGCCTGGGCCGGGACAAAGAGTACACAGTGTAGACACCTCCCTTGACTCTCCCTTGACTCTCCCTTGACTCTCCCTTGGGTCTCCCTTTAGTCTTCCTTGAGACATGATTCAAATAGATCACGATTCACGTACGACGTGCCAGCTTGAAAAGCCGTCCGTGCAGACGTCAAAAAAATAATCTCGTGCTGGCCACGCTGTGCGAAAGAGTCTCAAGGACCCACCTGGGCCGTGACCCCGATCGGGTTGCACTCAACACTACAGTACCCTAACTCTTTGAGACATACCCAGGCTTTTATCTGATAGACTTTGGGTCATGGAAAAACCCTTGCAAACACCTGGGTAGTACCAGGTATTGAGGCGGTTTGTTTGAATCTCTATAGTTGACGGTAGGATCCCATTGTGAGTCTCGCCTATACCAACAGTGCAACTTTAGATAACCTGAAATCAAGAGAGCACTTGAACATTTCCTTTTTGATGGATTGTCCTAGCTCGATATAAACCAGGGATCTCTTTTAATCCCGGATGATTAATTCCTCGTAGCATTTGTTGGGTTTGTGATTCCTTTGTTGGAAAAAGCCCCGCGGAGATCTATCGAGACATACCTCACGCGGGGAGAGTGACGTTTCATAACCCCAACGCCAACCTTCCAAGGATGGAACCATTACTCAGATATTTCCACACGGCATTGACCTGTAGCTATTAGAAGTCATACCTAGGTACTGCATTTGCTGAAAGAATCTCATGGCAAGGCATTCCTGATCACTCGCAGACAACAAATCCATTCATGCCTCAGGTGTCTACGTACTAACTGTTTGTGGATAGCTGACTGATTAGATAAGCGGTCTCCAAATTTCTCGGCCTTCCCCTCCATGAGAAATGCGACGACCCATACCAGATTCGCCTCTCCCTCAGACAATCGTGTGGCTTGACGTTGCCGAGACTGCAGATTTATTGCCATCTGCTCTCGAAACATGCCGCCCCGCAAGAGGTCGCAGCCCTCTGCGGCCAGCCAGGCTCGGCGCCCGTCGGAGGTAACAAAACTTTTTTGCCCGCGCATCAAGTCATTGCTGAATGGTCACGCTAATTCTGGATGATAACAGGCTTCCAGTCAGTCAGCCGCCGAACAACTTAAACGAAAGCGTCCTTCTTTCGCTGCCACGGACTCGAAAGAGCAGTCCGAATCCAATGCCGCGAAGGCCGATGATCAGCTTCCCAAATACAAGCCCAAGGATCCCTTCGATGCGCTTCTGGAGCCCTTCTACTACAACAAGTCCCTGACCGACCCGATTGACACCGCCAAGGACAAATGGAACCTCCTCCCGGCTTTCCTCAAAGTCAAGGGTCTGGTGAAGCAGCACATTGACTCATACAACTATTTCGTCGAAGTTCAACTGAAGAAGATCGTGGAGTCGAGCTCGACTATCCGCAGTGATGTGGACCACCAATTTTATATCAAATTTACCGATATCTACGTCGGCTCGCCGCGACGTTCCGATGAGACCCAGGACTCTGGTATCGATTTTCAGTCAGACGTGACACCCCAGGAGTGCCGGCTTCGCGATACGACTTACGCGGCGCCTATCTTGGTCGATTTTGAATATGTTCGTGGTCGCCAAAGAGTTATTCGACGGGGTGTCTCTATCGGTCGGATGCCGGTAATGCTCCGTAGCTCCAAGTGTGTGTTGGCGAACAAGTCACCCGCGCAAATGACGGTCCTCAACGAATGCCCGCTAGACCCGGGTGGTTACTTTATCGTGAATGGTACAGAGAAAGTCATTCTCGTCCAGGAGCAGCTGAGCAAGAACCGTATTATCGTGGAAACGGACCCGAAGAAAGAGATTGTCCAGGCCTCGGTCACCAGGTATATTCAGAAACTCCACCTTTTTATACCGAACCATTCTAACTTACTCTTCTGATAGTTCTTCGAACGAGCGCAAGTCGAAGAGTTACATCGTTCTGAAGAAGGACAGACTTCACGTGAAGCACAACGTGCTTAGCGAAGACATTCCGATCGTGGTGCTGCTGAAAGCTATGGGAATCCACACCGATAAGGAGATGCTGCAGCTGGTTGCCGGCTCCGACGCTTTGTACCAAGACGACTTCGCCATCAACTTCGAGGAGGCAATCAACCTGGGTATTTTCACCCAACAGCAAGCCCTGGAGTGGATCGGCACTAGAATCAAGATCAACCGAAAGCAAGGCGCTTACCGCCGGACACATGTGCAGGAAGCTGTCGAGGCGATTGCTTCCGTCATCATCTCCCACATCGAGGTCAAGGATATGAACTTCCGACCAAAAGCCATCTACGTCGCTCACATGGCGCGTCGTGTGTTGATGGCCAAGAATGACGCGACTATGGTGGATGACCGCGATTACCTCGGAAACAAGCGTTTGGAACTGGCTGGTCAGTTGCTGGCTTTGCTTTTCGAAGATCTGTTCAAGAAATTCTGCTTCGACATCAAGATGAACATCGACAAGGTCTTGAACAAGCGCAACCGAGCCGAACAGTTCGATGCATGGAGTGTCATGAGTATGCATGGCAATCACATCACTCAGGGCATGAACCGAGCTATCTCGACGGGTAACTGGAGCTTGAAGCGTTTCCGCATGGAGCGTGCTGGTGTAACCCACGTCCTCAGTCGACTGAGCTACATTGCTGCGCTCGGTATGATGACTCGTATTAGCAGTCAGTTCGAGAAGACTCGGAAAGTCTCCGGCCCTCGTGCTCTGCAGCCATCCCAGTTTGGTATGCTGTGTCCTGCTGATACACCCGAAGGAGAGGCTTGCGGTCTGGTCAAGAACTTGGCCCTTATGACGCATATCACCACCAACGACGAGGAGGGCCCAGTGCGAAACTTGATTTTCATGCTGGGTGCAGAGGACATTTCAACCGTCAGTGGCATGCAACTCTATGCACCGGGATCCTACACCATCTCAATTAACGGTACACCGACTGCTTTAACACGACGGCCGAAGTATTTCCTCAATGCATTCCGCAGGCTACGCCGCATGGGCCGAATTTCGGAGTTTGTCAGCATTTACATCAACCACCATCAGCGAGCTGTTCACATTGCGACTGATGATGGCCGGATCTGCCGGCCTCTCATTGTCGTCGAGAATGGCCAATCGCGAGTCCGTCGTCACCATCTTAAGAAGTTGCGAGACGGCACCATGCAATTTGACGATTTCCTTGCGCAGGGTCTGGTCGAGTATCTGGACGTGAACGAAGAGAACGATTCTTACATCTCCATTTACGAAAAGGACATCAACGATGCCACCACGCATCTCGAGATCGAGCCTTTCACTGTCCTTGGCGCCGTTGCCGGTCTCATTCCCTACCCTCACCACAACCAGTCTCCTCGAAACACTTACCAGTGTGCCATGGGTAAACAAGCTATTGGTGCGATTGCCTCGAACCAGTTCCAGCGCATTGACTCCATCCTCTATCTTATGGTGTACCCCCAGAAACCCATGGTCAAGTCGCGAACCATCGAACTGACCAAGTACGACCAACTGCCTGCTGGGCAGAATGCGACCGTGGCTGTGATGAGTTACTCTGGCTACGATATTGAGGATGCTCTGGTTCTGAACAAAGGCTCGGTGGACCGTGGGTTCGGACGTTGCCAGGTCTTCCGCAAATATGTCACCAATTTGAAGAGTTACCCCAATGGGCTGAGAGACCGTCTGCATGGACCGGAATATGAAAATGATGCTCCGATCCGCAAACATGCACTCCTTGAGAGCGACGGTTTGGCTGCAGTCGGTGAAGAAGTCAAGGCTGGCGAAGTCTACATCAACAAGGTTACTCCTGACGCAGCGCAAACCATGGGCATTCCGGGCTCCGACTCCGGTAAACCAGTGGACTGGAAACCGATGCCCATGACCTACAAGCTCCCGGACCCTGCCTACATCGACAAAGTCATGGTTTCGGCTACCGAGGGCGAGACTCAGCTCCTCAAGGTGCTGACCCGACAGACCCGTCGTCCGGAGGTCGGCGATAAGTTCTCCTCCCGTCACGGTCAGAAGGGTGTGGTGGGTATCATCGTGGACCAAGCCGATATGCCATTCACCGACCAGGGTATCAACCCCGACATTATCATGAACCCCCACGGTTTCCCCTCTCGAATGACGGTCGGAAAGATGCTGGAGCTAGTTGCCGGCAAAGCAGGTGTCCTGTCTGGACAGCACGGTTACGGTACCTGCTTCGGCGGTAGCCCTGTCGAGGAAATGTCTCAGATCCTGATTGATCACGGCTTTAGCTATGGTGGCAAGGACATGCTCACCTCTGGTATCACGGGCGAGCCGCTTCCCTTCTACGTCTTCACCGGTCCGATCTACTACCAGAAGCTCAAGCACATGGTTCAAGATAAGATGCACTCGCGTGCGCGTGGACCAACAGCTACGCTTACTCGCCAGCCCACCGAAGGTCGTTCGCGTGACGGTGGTCTTCGTCTCGGTGAGATGGAACGTGACTGTCTGATCGCCTACGGTACCAGCCAGCTTCTGCTCGAGCGTCTGATGATCTCCTCCGATCGCCACGAGGTCGACGTTTGTGAGAAGTGCGGTTTCATGGGTTACCTGAACTGGTGCTCGCGGTGCAAGTCGTCTCGTTCGGTTGTGAAGATGGTCCTCCCATACGCCGCGAAGCTTCTCATCCAGGAACTTATGAGTATGAACGTTTCTGCTCGTCTGAAGCTGGAGGATGAGTTCCCAGAGATGAAGGGCCGATAGACACTCGGTCAGAATTGGATTTCGGTCACGGTGTTGGGGAACAAAAAAAGCAAAAGCACAACGGTGCATCTGGTTACGCTCAGTGTATGTATATGGTCTTGCATGAATGGCATAGCGCGGCGATTTGAATATTATACGACCTGATCTCTTGTAGACGTAGACCATCGTAAATCTTGGAAAGTAAAACTGGAATTTGTTTTGATAGAAAAGTACTCAAACCCCAGAAATTGATAAATTCTCCTCGCACTACCATTAACTTAAGCTCATTACCTACAACATTAGGATATTAGACTCAAAAGCAACATGCTGATACCGCATAAACTCAACTAACTCCTCCAAGGCCTCAACTCGGTATTCTAGTGCCTCAGTCAAAGACATGGGCATGTTCCCCTTTTTGTCTTTGTTATCAAGCGCCAATTTCGCCATAGCAGCGGTGGAATCGGTCCCGTCCTCCGTCAGATCAAGCGTCCAATCCAGCCTCTGCGGCGGGATATTGGCTGTCGAGATAATTCGAATATTAGGATCAACCAGATAGAACACCAGTACGTGTAAGTAACCGGGCTTCGTCTTGTCCAAAAGCTCGAACCCCGTGTATCTGTGCTGCACCATGCTGGGGAATATGACTGTCCGGCCGGTTGAGCATTTGATGGAGCCCGAGTGTTGAATGGCCGGCTCGCCATTTTCCAGGCCAAAGACTTGTCGGAGCCAGACAAAGTCGTTTGGTTCGTGCTCGACGTCTGCGAGCGGCCCGATTTCGATTATGTTGCGGAACTCCATGTTCGCATCCGCGATGTTGTCGGAGTCGAATGTCAGGAAAGCTGCTGCGCAGATATGTTCGTTCTGCGCATGTTAGAATTGTTTCTCGCGTTGTGGGGTTTAATTTACCATCTTGCCCTCGACGTGCCAGTCTGTTTGGTAGAAAGGATCCTCGGGTATCAGGTCAATACCCATAATTCGAGTGATCACCTGCAGTCCACGATCTTTGTAGTTCTTGTTGAGGTTGACTGGCTGCTCGATGCGCACCGCGCTGGGCAGATCCTCCGGCAACCTAGCCATCATACTCGTAGGCACAGCCCAGGGAATGAATCGGCCCGCGTCAGGCTGGACTGCGCGGTAATTCTCCATCCTCCACTGTTCATCTCGCTCATCGAACTCGCTCTGTGCCTCTTTAGGCTGAATCTGCGGTTCCGAGTCGGCAACTTCCTTCGATACTGGATAGTACTCGGCCTTTTGGTATTCGATACGTGCGCGGGAGTGGAGCATGTCTTTTAGCGGTGTCATGGACATGTTGAACTGTGGGATCATGCAGTTGAATACATCTTCGATGGTCTTGTATATACCCCGGTGTTTCACTGGGTGGAGGTTATTGATGTACGTTGCAATGTGCCATCGACCGTCATCACCCAGTTCCCAGTCCGACGGGAGGATCTGGTAGTGTCGGCTATACGGCCGTACTTGGATGTCTGCTCGATCCGTGACGCGCCAGGCGATGTCCTCCCTGGTGATTCCGTTCTCTTTGGGGACGGGGATGACTTCACCCTGACCGGCGTGGTGTAATGCCTCGTTAAGACCAATGATTCGGTCTGGAAGGATGCGACTCTTGCCGTATACGAGGGGGTATAATGCCATCGCGAGCAGATCTCGCTGCTTGCCCATACTGCCTGGGTGGTAAAATTGGAGCTCAGGCTCATCGTACTCCAGGATCTTGACCGCATTTTTCAAATCTTGAATGAGTGAATCAGACACGCTGGAGTCGGATTTGGTGATATCTCCATTGTACAGTGAGATAGCGTTGGTATCTTCATATATCATGGCTTTATATTTCAGCTCTTCGATGATCCAATCGGCCATATTTTGTGTGATGTCTGTGCCTTTGTTCAGGGCCATCTTTTTCCACGCTTCTGATGTTCCAGGTTCGTAGATCTAGAGAGTTCAGTATCCAATTCATGAAAGAAGGAGGACTGCGTCCTACCTTTTTCCACCACTGGGGGATATCGGTGATATCCTCCATTACTTTTACCATTTCTTTCTCTCGAAGTGTTAAAACAGACAGGCTGCAGGACGTTAGCGGGGTATTATTGATTTCGAGTTTTACTGACTCCGTGTATCCATTGTCGATGTCGCGGTCATCTAGAGCAGACGGGAACATGCTCCGGGCCTCCACGCCATAGATGTTTTTCTCCACCGGTGCATAGTCCAGCGGTCGACCATATCCTGGAAGAGTCAAGCGACTGTCCTTGTTCTTGCTGATACCCAGTAACGCCTCCTCCTTTGTACCGTGTTGAACCATTGCTGAAGTTTATCTGAAAGATCCCTGTTCTGTTCAGCATGCCATGTTGTTAGCGAAGTCAGGTAGATGAATTGAGCAAAGTATACTCACACCAGGCCAACAGTATTATCTAGGTAGGAAATGGAATAATAAACTGGAAGGTCACCTTAGAGACAGAGTCCTGCTCTGGAAATATGAATCCGTGGTTGACCTCGAGAGAGTGACCGGCGTGAACTTATGATGCACGACTGTCGTAGTAGCTAGCCAATGCAAAACGCAACCCTCTAAGCTCTTCAAGGAGAATTGCGGAATTTCCCTCCGACCATGAACTCGACATTAGTACATCAGGACTCTGTGCTCATGGTCATGGTGACTAAACATCGGTACCATCCCATGGGAACATCGAATTCAATTGCCTTATATTGATTATATTGACAAGGAATAATGCAAACAACAAAAGTAATCAGCAAATGCCATTCACAATATTCACACCCGAGTAATGCGGCTCATGCAGAAATGTGAGGTTCCAAATACGTCTTGACGATACCCCAGTATCGATCCGGGTCAGCTCTCATATGGCCAACATGAGGCGTCCCTTGGAATAGTTCCCGATGCACTGCCCATCCGGATGCTTCCGAATCTGATGCATGCTTCTCTACGTCATGCCAATCAACCAGCTCGTCTGCATCCGAATATATGTAGCAGCGAGTGGGGACACCCTTGGGATTGGCAGCCTGCACAAGAGAGGTATCATTGATCAACTTGCGAGCAAGGCCAATTGGGTCAGACGATCTCCTGACGGCCTGAACCATCTTGATCAGAACCAAAGAGAGCCATAAGAAGCTTTTGCTAATCAGTCGCAGGATCCACATTCGCGGAAGCGCAAAGGAAAAGGCCCTCATGGCCGCGGCGACACTCGCAGTCCCTGGGGCGCTGTCCATGATCATCGACGAAATAGGTAGTGGTTTCCCCGTTGCGTTGAAATATGCCCGTAGCACTTGGGTGGTGTTTGATAGTCCGCCGTTGGAGAAGAGATGCACGAACACGGGACTTCCAGAGGCCTGTGAGCGGAGTGCGTCTACCGCAGGCGCAACTCTGGCCTGCTGCGCCCGTGTCATCGAGCCCCAAAAAAAGTCGTTCGATGAGCTGAGCATAAATACAATGCGTGCTGAGGGCGCCATGCGTCTATACTCGACCACATACTTGGCGAGGGCCCGCGCTGGTGCATTCATCCAGAATGCAATGAGGATCAACGGCCGACTGTCTTGCTTGGCCGAGTCTGCTGGGTCCTGTAGGTAGACCGAAGGACCCAGCTTGGTGAAGGGTGCCAATGGGTCAGGAATTGAGGCCATAATGGAACGGCCGTGTCTATGAAGGGGCTGAGATGTAAATGGAACCTAAATCGCGGACCTCGGCTTGCCAAGACGCGCCCCGGGGCGCTCGGACGAACCGGTTGCCTTCTGCTTGCCTTCTGGGCGAATTCTTCTCATCTGTAACCTCCTCTTCAACCGATCAGTACAAAATCTACAAGATTTTCACGTAAAAAAGATTCAAATATATTGTATCCAGTCACCTCGGAATTACCCCATTGCTAAGGAAATATATGAAGCACAGATGATATCAAACTTGTACTCATCTTTCAAGTAACGAACTACCTCGGGGGAGTCAAGTCCACTAGAAAAGCATACACGCTTATTAGGGATATCACATTTTCCGCTGCAAGCATCAAATCAGTAGACCAAGCCCTGTTGGTTTTGTTTTTCAGGCGAAAGATACCCACACAACATTAACCATCCGAATTGCAGATCATGTATTGCGATCAGAACAGAGTACAGGATGTGGAGAATCCGACAGATCCACCCAAGACAATCCTCAAAGACACTACGCATGAGATGATTATACATCTCGACGACGATCACCACGACTGCCTAACAGGAAATAAGGGATTGCTGGCTTATACTCTCCAATGGACACAAATATGAATGCAAGGCATACCTATGTCCAGCTGTGCGAGGCACTTTTGGATAATTTTGGACAGGAACTCACGTTTAACGACATGGCATATGAGGTCAAGCAGTTGAACGGCGCTGCTGAATACATGGCCCAAATGCGCAAGGCACCGGTACACATTGACAACTGCATGCCCTTTTACGTTACTATGTTTCATGAGGTACGTCGATCATTTCTTCTGGGGGTGCCCATTACCTTATTTGATTCTGATCTGGATGTCCAGTTTATACATACGGTTCAAAATCCTGAAGTCGAGGGCACAGCCGGCTATGGTTGGAGAAACGGCCACTGAAGCCTAAGCACTAGACAATGCGGAATTATATTCATTCACGGCTTTATGTAAGTACCTTGAAAGCACCAATAGAGTGTCAAGAATGGTAATGACAGACATTTAAGGAGCATGGATCCTTAGTACTTTTGGAGCAACTATCTCGAATCAAGGCAAAATCCAGTTTGATAAGTACAAGGACCCCCTCGAAAAGCGAGATGAGCTGGTGGGTCTGCCTTGGTTTTCATGAATGGATAGGCTTTACCGTGCACCAGTTTCGTCGGCGCACATTTTATATTGATTCTCTATCGAGCTGACCCTGTTATGAGACCATCAAAGGAAAATATACAGCATATTGAAGCATTCGGACATGTCCGGGTCCAACACATGTTTTGTTCCCCGATGTTGGGACTACAAACAAAATTTTAATACCTCCCACCCCCCAAGTCTACCAGCGATGTTTTTCTTCACTCGACTCATACAAAGATGACCTAGCTAGCCTCCTGTCTCTGCCCAGGCAAGAAATATCCGGTCATCCCCATGACCAGCCAGGGTGCTTGGAACCTCTACCACAACACAATGAAGAAAACACTGCTACTTTGGTTGACGATTCAATTGGAGATGAATATACTGTGTACTGAAGCTAAAAGAAAACCGCCCGAGAACGCCCGGTCCATGCTAAGTCCGCATAAGAGACCCCACGCAATCTAGAAACCACATCTAGAGTTTTGAAGTATCGTGCAAGGTTATCATCAATAGAAGCGGATGTCTAGATCAGCGCTTTCCTAGAGTCCGCCCACTAGCGCTGCTCTTGCCCTTTTGGCTATCGGCTTCGCTTCCTGATGTGGGAGTTGCTGACCCGCCCACATCCTTCTTCTTCCCCCGCAGTGTTTGACCGATTCCCTGGAACTTGGGCTGGTTCTCTTGGATGAGTTGGCCGTTCTCGTCGCGGGGCTTGGCCGGTTTGATGGCATATCCAAAGAAGAGTTGATTGGGAGGAAGACGCAAAGGTTGCGGGCCATTGGTCTTACGGATAGGCGGGGGATGCTGGGGGTTTGTGGCTCCCGGGGTAGGAGTAGAAGCTTGCGGAGTAGGTGCCTTGCTTCCCTTCTTTGCGTTGAGGCGTTGGCCTCCTGACAAAAAGTTGGAGGACACGGCCCGGGCACCAGCTGCTGCATCAGTCGCCTCGGGCGCAATGGCGGAATAGTTGATAGACTGTGCCATTGTACCGTGAGGATGAAGCAATCCGCCTGCCGGGAGCTTCCCCCCGCTGACGACACTTCCAGGCGTGCTAGTACCACTGGTGCGTTGAGACTCTTCATATCCAACCGGAGGGGCAAAATCAACCTCCAAGTCGGTTTCCAGGACGGACACCGCACTCTTGGCCCCCGAAGGTTTTGTCTCGAGAACCGCCATTTCGTAGACTTGGTCGTTATATGCGAATGTGAAGACGTCGCCCTTGCTGAGGCACGAGAAGTTCCGGAAGGCGTTTTCAAGGACAGCCTTGGGGTCGCTAATGTCAAGAAAAGAGGTCGATTGCGCTTGCAATTTAATGAATTGACCGGGAGGAAGATCAGTTGACTTGATCTGGAGAAGATCACCAGGTTCTAAAAGAAGCGTTTGCATGAGCTGTGTAAAATATCAGTGTTAGTCGTGTCCAGATAGCTCCCCGCTCCGAGTTCGGCTGTGCAGCTCGTACTCACCCAGAATGGAAGATAGATCTTGCCCTCCTCAGCGATAAATTCCAGCACGCCCGCGTGTGTCATTCTCTCCTTGGCACCGTTGTGCAGCTCGAAAAGCATCGGGTAGGTGATGTGAAGGCGTGTAAGCTTATCCAGTGCGCTAGGCGGCATAATGACCTTGCCGCCATGGTTCACATTCTCTCTCTCGGGCCCTGGCAGCATTGCAACGGGGTAGCAGCGGTAGTACTCATCGAAGCGACGAGCTGCACCACCTGGGCGCATCATGCCGCCCATCACACCCTCCATAGGATCGTCCAAGAAGCCAGGTCGGTACTGGAGCTATTAGATGGAGCTCACAGAATACGATACGGAGAAGTGAAAGCAAGCAGAGATCAACTTACCATGATGAATATAGCCAAGGAACACGTACAAGAGATGAAGTGTCCGGGAAAAAAGTGTCGAAGCTCTTGAAGGTGGTGAGTTGCTGTGATGGAACTCGCCGAGAGTGACGCAAGTTGCCTCCGCCGTGATTTTCCGCTCCGACCCCGGACGTTAATGGAAATCCAACCCACCTTCACAGCTTTACAACTGCTATTGCCGAGCTTTGATCCCACCTTCTGAGCAATATGGCAAGCTCACAACCGCGACCTAAGCGGGCGGGCGAAGATTACGCCCGCACCCACCACGAAGATGACTCCGAAGAACCTTCCAAGAAACCCCGGTTCGACCTTCGCAATCCCTCGGCTCTCGCGCCTGACGCTCTTGAAGAAGATGCTGTTTTAGATGCCGATGAGATCGGTCGGCGTGGTCAACAGGTGCGCCGCAAAGCGGTCAATCTCGACGGTTACGACTCGGACAGCGACAATGAGGGGTTCTCCGCGCGCATGGAGGAAAAGTCCAAGCGCGAGCGCGAGAAACACGACGCCGAGGACGACGATATGTTTGCGGAGCTACAAGAAGATTTTGGCGAGGAGGAAATCGACGGCGACGAAGCGATCCGCAAAAACAAAAAGAATGTTCGGTTCTTACGAGACGACGAGATCGAGGGCCAGGTCGCTTCCTCGAAAGGTGGAAAAACATTACATGCGGACCTGAGCAAAGGCCCCGATACGATTGATGCCGAGGATGATGAGAGTGACAGCGATGTTGGGGAGGAGGAGCGCGCCAAGGTCGACGAGGAAGTCGACGAAGAACTCGGCGCGGGCGGCAAGAAGAAGCATGCGCCTTTGCTTGATGCTTTCAACATGAGCGCGGAGCAAGAGGAGGGACGGTTTGATGACCAGGGCAACTTCGTGCGCAAAGCAGTGGACCCAGATGCAGTCCATGACTCCTGGTTGGAAGGAGTATCCAAGAAAGATATCCGGAAGGCGAAAGAGGCCGCCGAGAAACGCGATGCTGAAAGGAAAGAAAAAGATCGCAGGGACGATGGCCTTTTGACGGCCGATGTCCTCAAAACCATCATCACGCATCTCGAGCGCGGCGAAACGATATTGGAAGCTCTGGCTCGACTAGGGAAGGGTCTACACCGGAAGCCTAAGTGGCAGAACAAGAAGAAGAACAAAAAGAACCACGGCGCCGAGGATGTTGAAATGGCCGAGGAGAACCCGGATGAGGTCAACAGGAGGGAGGCGATCGACTCCATTACCGGTGCCGCTGATATCCTCATGGGTCGAGGCCAACCAGAGATCTACCACACAGAGCGTGAGCTTTTAACAAGGCAATACCGCAACGAGACTGGCGAAAACTGGGTAGACCCGCCTTCGATATCGACCGGGAAATCTGAGCAGGGGCCGGTGATGTGGGAGTATCGCTGGTCCGACGCTCGGGATGGAGGAGATGCCCATGGACCCTACGATGGCAGCATGATGGACTCATGGAAAACTGCAGGCTACTTTGGTGAGGGCGTAGAGTTCCGCCGAGTTGGAGATACAGGAGCATGGAATAGCACCGTGAACTTCGTATAATGAATAAATGCAGTGTCTCAATTCAATTCCAAAGCAAACAGATCAACAAGCGCCAGTCCTATCATACATCATTTGATGTGGCAAGAAACAGAGAATCCAATATTGTTTTTTGACCCGCTAAAACCCGCCCGATCCGAAAATTATGAAATCTCCATTGCGTCGCCGTTGGTGGCAGCCGAGAAGTTGACCGTTCCCTGGTCGCCGATAAATCGCTGCTCGTACTGGTTGACAAATTTGACGCTGCGAGAAGGGTCGTAGAACAGCTGGAAGCTACGCTGGACGTCGTCGACGCTGACCTCCTTGGCCTTGCGCTTCTGGCTCAGGAGATGAGAGGTGGTGATGATGTTGCTGGCGTAGCGAAGGTTTGATTCTTGGCCGATCTTGGTGAGGAGGGCCAAGGCATCGGGCGAAAGGTCAATTTCCTCTTCCTGTGCCCGGATGGCGAGGATTTGCCGAATTTCGTCAGCGGAGTATGCCTGAGTGCTCACAATGACCACGCGGTCGAGGAAATCGAGAGGCAGGCCGTGAGGAGAGGTGTAGCTGGTCCCGCGAATCTTCGCCTGGCCGCGGTTGCTAGCCATGATGACAATGGGTGCCAATTCGGCCTCGAGGGCACGGTTGACGTAGGAGAAGCATTCGATGTCGAGCATGTGAACTTCGTCGATAAAGAGAACTCCAGGGATGATCTCTGCCTTGCCTTCTTCCTTCCACTCAGCCACCTTGGTGTTGATCTGGTCCCGGACCTCACTGCGAATCTCGCCAGTGTCACCGGAGAACAGTGCGAGGAATCCTTGTGATCGCGAGTTGATGACGTCGATCTCGTGCAGACTGACCGTGTGGACAATCTCCTTACGGACCTGGAGCTCGCCCTCGGGGCATTGAACGAACTTGGTATCCGCGCCCATGGCGTCGTAGTCTCGCGAGCGAGCATATGAACGGCCAAGTTTGGTGATCTTGCCCGAAGACTTGTCGATCGAAATCACGTCGCCTGCCATCACACGCTCCTTGGTCATCGAATCGATCATCTTAGTTCCCATATCGTAAATCGTTTCCATGTCCGTGGTCTTGATTGTAAGCTTTCCTTGTTTGTTGCCCTGGACAGGTCAGTAATCAGCGGTTTTTTCAAACAGGAACGCTCCTAAAGCACGTACCCCAGTGACGCTGCGGTCAATCTGAATTTCCACGACTTCACCCTCGATAATCTCGCTCTCCTCCTTGATTCGCACACCAATGGACCTCCGGAAGGCCTGAGTGAGAGCCTCTGTCTTAGACATCTCCATCGAGAAGATTTCCGAAGATGCGAGCATCGTAAAAGGTACATCAGAGCCAAGCGATTGGGCCATACCCATGGCGATCGCAGTCTTGCCCGTGCTGGGAGGACCGGCGATCAGCACGGCGCGACCTGCAATCTTGCCCTCCTTCACCATCTGCAGAATCACTGCAGCGGCTTTCCGTGCCTTCTCCTGACCCACGAGGCCCTGTGAAGCCCCACGAGGCTGTAGTGTGTCGGCATCGACACCAAGTCCTCTGATATGCGAGTGAGCGGCGATGAGGTTGAGCCCTCGGAGCTCCTTGCTCTCCGCGACGGTGGAAATTGGCTGGATTCGGAAAGTTAGCAAGCACAGGGCGATGGCACAGTCAGTGAATACTCACGGCAGCCATTGTAACTGAGAACCGAGTTCCAGGCGCTCAGAGTCAAACGGGAGTAAAGAGAAACAAATCAAGGTGAAGGTCGCGCAAAGGAAAGAGCAGATTGCAGATCGAGGGAGGCGCCCTCACCGCCCGGCAATATGAATTCGTCCACGTCTGGCGTTCTATTTCGTCACTTGGTATCTTTTTGTTCTTCTTTCTCATATTCCTCAAAAGCTACTACGATGCTTACACCATTTGGACCGAAGTCAGAAACACGTCGTCCTGCCCACACCTAATCTGCCTCCCGCACCGACGCTTGTCAGGAGTCTATCCTGAGTCTTGTTTCACACCCGACCAGACTTGCGCTTTCTTAAGTGACGAAACAGTGGCTGTATAAGAACTTCGCGACCTCTTGACATTTCACTCTTCATTCATGTCCTCAAGTGCTCACACTGGCCCGCCGAACGTTACGATTTTCACATGGTCCGCATTGGGGTATCATGCGCCACTCCTGATGTTCCTGGTAAGACTGGCTCTAATCAGAAAAGATGGATGGTGATGGTACAAATCAATCCGCACTAAACGAGTCAACCGCTCCCCCTCCACCGGTAGCGAACGATCCTCGGATACACAGATCGCCGCAGCCTTCCGCCAACTCCTCTACTATCCCCCAACATGCAACGTCAACTTTCGGTCAGAACCCGAGCTTATCGCTATCGGTTGAGCAGCCAACCCATAGTGCTGCTCGAGATGATATTACAAAACGAGGGGCCGGTCCGGTCGAGCCAGGCCCTTCCGCAAGTCCGACAATGTATGACATAAGTCACATTTTACCAGACCTAGTCCAGTTCGTCCGGGCTTGTGTGTCTTTGCGCATAAAGAAAACCGAGATGGAGTCTCTGAAGGCGGACATTGCTCGGGATACGAAGGCTCGGGAGAGAACCAAGGGCATGTCTCACCACCCAGGGATCGTTTCCTTGGCCCATGCTCTTCGTGAAAATGGAAAAGGCGGACTCAGTAAACTCGATGCGGAGGTCAAAAAGCAAGCTGCTACTTATGAAGAAGTTGCGGGTAGACTGAAAAAGACCCTGCATCTTGCGCCTCCTTCTTTGGGAAGTGATACGGTCGCAAAGCTCGAGGCAGAGCTCATGGAGAAGCTGAAGGCTGAGTATGACGAAAGGGAGGCCAATTTCTTGAAGAAGGTGGAGGCTGATAATGCCAATTTCAAGAAGACGCTCAAGGCCGAGTATGATGACAGGGAGGCCAGGCTCATGGAGAAGCTAGAGGCCCAGCTCATGAAGAAATTCGAGGCCAGCTTCACCAGCAAGAACAATTCCTTGGAACAGAGCGACACAGCAAAGCTTCAAGAGGCGGTTGGAAAATGGGAGGACGAGTTAAACAAAGTGACGGAATCAATGAAGTACGTCGCTAACAAATATTCGGATCTTCGCCAGAAGGTTTTCGACATCGAGGTATGGAAATCGGATTTGTCTGCAAATCCGCAATCAGATCAAGACATTGAGAAAGCAGCGAGGGAAAGAGCTGAAGAGGCAATCGGAAAGATTGCCGTTCTCGAGAAAGACTTGGCCACCCTTCAGACCGAGTTGGATGGTTTCAAATCTAATTCAAACCCTCCTGCCGGTGTTCCCCCGGGCCATGATGCTCGCTTAAGCATTGTTGAACAGCACCAATCGACGTTACAAGCCTTGGACAATCAAGTGCGAGAAAACACCGCCGCCATATCTGCTTTGCGATCTCAATTGGAAGAGAGTTCCAGAGGACAACAGAATCAGATCAGCCGGCTGGACAACCAATATGCCCGTCTTGAAGGCAATGCTACCACGCTGTCAACGAATCTCGGCACTCGTATGGCAAACCGACAGCCGTCGAACAAAGCCGATTTGACTCAAACTGTTCAGTCCATAAAGAGTAGTCACGGCAGTTTGGCGAGTACCGTGAATACTCTCACCGAGTCTTTGTGGCACAAAGTACACAAATTGGAACATGATACACTGAATACCTCGCAAGCAGCGCAGCGATGTCTTGAGCAGAATCAATCGGTCAGCGACCGAGCGTTGTTGTGCGAGAAGACCATCAATTCGCTCATAGTTGCCATTCGATCACTGGAAACTCGGTATTCGAATATCACTACGGAATACTTGCACAACCACATACTTCAGGCTATGACTGAAAGGTTCCCGTCGATGGAAAAGCAAGGACAGGATATCCAGGCCCTCAAAGAACAGCTCACTTCCCTAGCGGATCAATACCTGACCAGGGTTGACTTTGGGAAGGAGGTCGATGTGCTCAAGGATGGGCTTGATAAAAGTATCGATGCGCTAAAGGATGGCATTGTGAAAAATATCGATGCGCTCCGGCTAGTCAAGAACGATCCGGATTCAAATGTCATGAATGATGCGGTAAAGCACGTCGAAGAACTCTCGAGCCAGATTCAAAGGACTCAGAAAGAGCAGGCCGCAGAACTCGTGAAAAGACTCGAGGACCACAACGACCTTCGCAATCATTTCGAGACACTGTCACCTATCGTGGCAGATTTGGCGGAGAAGGTCTCAGACTTATCCAAGCAAAATGGAGAAGTCAAGGGCGTGGGTTCTGAATTCGAGTGGCTTGGGCCTCGGCTTGCCGATATCCAGAAACAGCTCAACGGTTTCAAAGCATCTTGCTCACCACAGACCATCAACAAGATTTGCCAGCAGATGCTAGAACCGACGGAGGCTCGCATTCTCACACAGATCCAAGATGTCCACAGCCTCTCAGATATGCTTGCCAAGCAATATTCCGACATCAAGAGCCAAGATTTTGGATATCGACGAGTTCAGAAACCTTTCCAACCACAGAGCAACGGGTCACACTCTGGATCCGATCGTGACAACGGAACGTTCATGCCGCCTCAAGCGGTGCAAAGGAGCCCTCGGGATTTGCCAGGTGTGCCCTGGGCATCCACCGTACCTCGACCAACAACAGCAACGCCTACAGATCCTGACACCCCGTCTATTCAAGCGCCCCAGGAATCTCGATCGGTCTCTAACCCCTCCTCTCCTGCGACGGCCTCCCAGCCCAGCTATAGGTCGTTCCAAATCAAGGACAAACCATCGCAGCAGGAGACTGGCAATAGCCATGCCCCTAGCCATAATCAGTCGCTTGATTCCAGAGTCGCCCCCAGCCGTCCACCTGTCGTGAAAGTTTCCCGTCCGCCTTCCCGGTTTAACGATCCACCTAATATCGCCCTTCAGAATACCAGCGGTTCGAGTAAGCAGAATAAGAAGCGTAAACGACGGTTATCAATTCTTGGTAGTCAAGATGACACTTCACCGGATATCCCAATGGCGGGCGATGACTCGCCAGCTCCTTCCTCGACCTCTTATACGCCAAGGAAAAAGAAGAAGGGGAAGAAGGATAAGAAGGACAAGCGCCCGACCCAACTAAAATAGGCCATACCCGAGTCGAGTCACGACAATGGGTGTCTTATCTTACCGGTATCCTAGGAGAAGGATTTTTCGAGGTGTTGATCTTTACTTTTTTCCCCCTGCTATCTGCACTTGTGATGCATGAACAAGAGCTTTCTTCGGTGGCTCCGTGATACCCAGACTCAGCTTTCTCTTTTGTAACTATGTTTCTGAAATATTAGTCATATATTCTTCTATCAGTTTATTGTTCTTCGGTGTACAGTGCAGTATATAATCTCTGTGGTAGATCACGAGGATCCAAAGAACTTGATGACCGCTAGAAATAATGTTAGCCTTTACCCCGTCATCAAGAGATTGTTTATATTTGAAGATTTACCTTGCCGGAAAGCCTCGGGGTTTTCAGAGATAAGCCAGTGCCCCGCCTCGACGTCCGCGACTTGCGCGTTGGGGAAGAACTTCTTGATTGCGGGAATAGTATCGTCAGATACGTATTTCGACTTGGTCCCACGGACAAAAAGCGTAGGTCCGCTGTACTGGATGCCGTCCGATTCGCTGAAGGGAAAGTCTGCCATGTTTTCAAGTGACTCGCCCAGCACTGAGAGAGGCACGCGGAATTCCAGCGTGTTATCTTCCGAGCGGATGAGATTGGTCAAAAGGAATTGGCGGATGCCAAGCGACTGGTAGAGACCGTTAGCTGCCACATTGAAACGCACAGGTTCGCCTAGTGATATGTTTCTCACCTCTTCATAATCCTCGAGAATCTTGTTAGCATCGGACTGCTTCGAAACCTTCGCCCGCTCGACGTGCTGCATTCCCCGGACATATTTAGGGAAGTCGCTCTTCAACACCGCGTTGACGGGTGCATTGTCAACGGGAATGAGTCCAGATACGCGCTCGGGTGACTGAAGAGCCACCGCCATCGCGACTTTTGCACCCCTTTTTGACATCAGCAACGGACATGAATACGGTCGTGTGGACTTACATGGAATGGCCAATTAGCACGCATTTGCCCAGTTTCTGCTGGTGGATGAACTCTTGCACATCCCCGGCCATGGCACTGTAAGTATGCTCCGGGGAGTGGAATGACTGGCCATGGTTGCGCAGATCCTATAAGATATCAACTTTTGATCTGTTTCGCTGGCCTGGGAGATTCAAAACATACCAGTGTGAAGATGCGGCACTTCAGGTCCCGCGCCAGAGCTCTGTCTCGCAGATTAGAATTGCATATGGGCATAGAGTGGAATACACTCGGCGTACTTGCTGATACTCCGGTTGTTCTGCTTGGACCCGAACAGCCCATGCAGGAACAGGATCGGGTCGCGCACGGCTTGGTCGGTCTCCGGGCCATACACCTGATACGACAATTCCTCCCGGCAGACGCGGGCCGTTGAGAATGCCCGAAGGCCCATGGCGCCTCGCGCGGCTGTCCGGGCGAATAACATGATGCAATGTGAGATGCTGATGTCTATCGGAGAAGCCGACTTGCATCTTGAAGATCGGAAAACCGGCCAGCGCTGACTCAGCATGAGGCCCGTTCTCCGCGGCGTACAAGTATATCCACTTTGGGGTAAAAGGTGGATCTTTTAGGCTCTATTGATGTCCCTTTACGGAGGATTCGTGCTTACAGATGACTTTATACTTTCATATTGATTGTGGGCTGCAGTTCGTTCCTGCGGAGCGTAGGATCTCCAAAAATGTTATCCGTTACCCTGCTCCAAATCACCACCGTCACAAAATTGGAAATATTAAGGACTCTTGATTCCCTAGGCCAGTGGACTCTTTTTTTGCTATATGCTTTACAATCCATGAAGCAGGAGAGATGCCAAGGCAAGGCGGTGGACTCTTGATGCCTTTGACATGGCGGGGTCTGTGCATCCAACCTCTCGTTTACAAATACAGTTTAAGCCGACTTAAGTTATCTTAAGGTAGTCCATGCTTTCAAGGTCCATCTGTTAACTTTGTTCTTCCACCATTTTTAGGTAATGGAAAGTAACAATTCATCGTCTCCCACCCCCATCATGGTTGATCAGCCCCAGCCATACTCCATCTCCGTCTCCGATGACGCACTTCAAGAGCTCAGACAGCGACTCGCCTGGGCCCGATTCCCAAGCCAGCTCGAGTCACCCGATCAAGATTCGTGGGACTTTGGTGTTCCAGCAGCAGAGGTGCAACATCTCGCAACCTACTGGAAAGATCGATTTGACTGGCGTAAAGCCGAAGCTCAGTTGAACGAACTCCCGCAGTATCACATTGACATCGAGGTGGAGGGTTTCGGCTCATTGGACATTCATTGTAAGTTTTTTCAACCGATCCAAAGGACATTTGTTTCTCACATCGCCCCCTAGTTGTTCATCAAGTCAGTCCGGTGGAGAACGCCGTCCCTCTACTATTCTGTCATGGATGTAAGTTTTAGTTTCTGCGTGGCATTATAGCAATGACTCACTCAAAACCCACTCTAGGGCCGGGAACCTTTATTGAAATTACCAAATTATTGCCGATGCTGAAAGTCGGTGCTGATTGCCCGGCATTTCACATTGTAGCACCTTCATTGCCGAACTTCGGCTTTTCTTCAGGTGTCACTCATCGCGGTTTTGGCCTTGCTCAATACGCCGAAACCTTGCATAAGCTTATGATTAAGCTTGGGTACAACAAATATGGTGTGTTGGATTCTCTCACCTGTCTTCCACTGTCAAAAGTAAATACTAACACTCCCGTTTCAGTGACCCAGGGAGGAGACTGGGGTTTCTGGGTGACCCGCAGCATCGGCCTCTTATATCCTGAGCATTGCAAGGCCTCTCATGTTAACATGATCGCCGCAAAACCACCACAATGGAGCGGAAGCCCTTTACTGGCACTACAGCACGCAATCATGCCCTACAATGCACGGGAAAAGGCGGGCCGAGAAAGGTCTGACTGGTTTGACCGTGAGGGTTTCGGATACAATTTGATTCAAAGCACCAAGCCACAGACCGTTGGTACCGCACTTGCTGACAGCCCGGTTGCACTGCTAGCCTGGATCTACGAGAAGTTGCACGACTGGACAGACTCGTATCCATGGACCGACGACGAGATCTTGACTTGGGTATCTATCTACTGGTTTTCCAAAGCAGGGCCCGAGGCTAGTATCCGCATTTACTACGAGGTCTTTCATGCCACGCTCACCACCGAGATCTCTTATGCCAAGCTCTACTCCTATATCCCCGATGTAAAACTTGGTCTGGTCCATCTTCCACGGGAAATCTCGGTTGTCCCCACTACATGGGCTGCCGCGCTTGGGCCCGTTGTTCGACAAAGTGAGCATGCCCACGGAGGTCACTTTGCGGCGTGGGAAGTACCCGATGTGATTGTGCGGGATCTACATGCAATGTTCGGCAGGGGAGGTCCTTGCTTTGGAGTGATCCCTGGCAAGGATGGCTATTAGGTTAGTCATGTATCCCGTGTTGGGCTTCCGATCAGGACGTACGCGTTGCAATTCGTATGGTTGCTATCCAAAGACTCCAGATAAATTGAAAGTTCTACACAAAGTGAATACACTCGTGAGGTGACCCGCCGGAGTATCTTTGACAGTAGCCCATTAATTATTTTTCATACTGAGGTAGGCGAATCCCTCCCTCTTCCCCCTGGCTATTGTGGTCATGCTAACATAGTTGCAGAAATTTGAACGGTGAGCGAGACCGGGTATTAAATAAACCCTTAGACAATTGGAATATGACGCGGTGAAGCCCAGGCTACAATTTCTATAACTTTCTTATTTAATGCAATGACTTCATAGACTAAAAATGGACTTGTTTTCTTAACTTTCCTAGACCATTGCCTCGCAACCAAATCCTACCGCTTGCATAACATATCATAATATCATTGTCGCAATCGTATTCGTCGCTCGAATTATGAACATTATTACCGTCGGACAGGAATATTATGCAAGGCTCTCCGTTCGTCTCCCTATGCCAAAATTAATAATAATGTATATATCAATTGTCCGTAGATATCAGTTGATAGACCCATCCAAGCGGCCCTTGATGAAGTTCACCACGTCCTGGCTGTACTTATCGACGTAATCGTGGTGGGCTGCATTGTCGTCCAGGGGGTAGATTCCGCAGCATTGGTCGTCGCCGTAATCGCAATAGCTTTGCAGGGAGGAGGCAAAGGGATCGCAGGTACTCGGAAGCAAACGGGGGAATATCTAAAAGTTTTCGTTATGTGTTAGCTGTTGCCCCTTGGGCGATGAGGTTGTTTCACTTACACCCAAGCCGATTGTGCAGTCTCCCACGTTCCATGGCTGCAAAGGAACGTAGGTCTCATCGCCGTATGCAATAGCAGCAATAACTAAATGTTTTGTCAGCTTCTGTTTCCCGTACAGCCATATTGTGTGGTGCATCCTTACTGGCCTTGTTCAAGGAGGGATCGAAAGGCTGCGTGGGAATCAACAAAGCAGAGCTCGTGCCGCAGACGGCTTCCATCATGGTAACAGCGCCCTGTAGGGATCATTAGTAACATGAACAGCCATAGTGCCAGTGTGTATTGTGTATCATACCAGGGAGTATCCAATCAGCGCAATCTTGGAATCCCGGCAGACCTTGAGATAGTCGTTGACATAGTTCTGCATCATGATAGCTCCGTTGTGGACCGCAGTGAATTTGTCCTCGGCGTCATGAGCATAAGGCAGACCAAGACTGGTTGATCCCGGAATCTGGTCCAGGATCATATTCTGAACCTTGACCATGACGTTCAGATTATTGCCAGGGCCTTGACCCCGAGCAATGATAGCATGAACACTCGTCGCGCATTGCTTCTTCGGTACAGTCTGGGCATGGGCCTGCTGCACAACCAGACTCGACGAAATGGCCACCAGTGCCAGAGAGATGACCTTGTTGATCATCCCAGGCATGTTGGATATATAATCGAATCGACGATATACACGGGTCAGCAGATTAACAAACTCCAAATTTCTTGGCTTCTTCGTCCTTCTTTATAATGTTCTTCAGATCGACGGTCATCTGAAGCCCCGTAAAGCCAAACGAGAATTGTCCTGGCTAGCCCGCCGAGCCGGGTTGGCTATTCGGTCTAAGGCCGACCAGGGGGTGGAGGGCGCAGTCCACCGTTCATCACGGCATTGGGTGTATGGATAGCCCTTCGAATTCAAATCCCACGCGTGGGCCTGTTCCTCTCGGCTTCTTCCTGAATCGAGTCGGATCGAAGTGAGTGCGGTCCCTGATAGGATCTGCTTAAGATTGGGATCGACAGGACCAGCCGCGACAAACCCAGCTTGATCGCCAAGTAGCTACATGTATTGGGCCTTGCGCTCGGCTTAGCATTGGACTTTTGATTGGTACGTGCATGTCTGTCTTATCGATACGTTTTCCGAAGTGGTCGACATTTCGGTAGGGGTTAGTTGGGGTGAGGGTTTGGAAGGAGTAAATGGAATGGTGTGTTCCGTGGGTTTCCAGCACTTTTGTCGCGAGTAGCAATAGCATGTAGCCATTTATGCTTAGATAGCAAAATAGCCTGTTGTTAATGCAATGGCTACGATAATGGCCAAGACCGAAGTCCCAGATCCCATGTTGACAGGAGGATCCACATACCAGCCCGAGCCCCACCGCACACTGATGGATGTAAAATTTGCCCAATTACACATCAATTGGCAAGATGGCCGAGTTGGTCCAAGGCGTCAGGTTAAGGTCCACCTTAACACCAAACATTGGTTTCCTGATCTCGTTTACGGGGCGTGGGTTCGAATCCCACTCTTGTCATCTCTTTACTTTTTTGTTTCGCCTCCAATCTGATAGATCTTCAACTGTATATTCATTCTGTGTCCACAGGTCCCAGTTGTTCATCATCGACATCGCGGGTTTGGATTTTGCTTGTTCGATGACTAGGGCCTTTGAGACCAATGGGTGTACGTACGTACCTCTATGGCCTTCCCGATAGCAATAGGATTAAAATTTTCACCATTGCTAACTAAGAACGATAATATCGTCTGAACGTCCGACATGGCTTCACAAATTTGCTCCATTTGGGTGCCGTCGAAAGAGATCCTGCGACCGATATTCCCTGAGATCAGGGAACCTATGTAAGATTTCCGCGAAACTTACACTCTTTGCTTCGACGGATCACTAGCTCGTGTAATTCATTGTCAACTGGACCCATAAACACGTTGGAGTTTGGGACCCATCAAAATATTCCCAATCTGCTCTTTTCTCCGAGACCATCGATAATATCAGCCCCATCGCAGTTGAGCCAATCAATGAGATCAATCGCACCTTTTCTCGCAACGCCTCGCCGATGTCAAGGGCCAAGGGGGATCCACCGAAAAAAGAGATAGCCTACATAGGGGACTGAGACAATCCATCCCCAATTTGTTGGGTGGCCCACTCGCTTACCAGTTACGTTCTACAGTATCTTTTCTCTCTCCAGGCGTCCATCAATCCGCTTCGACAAATTATTAATGACCAGCAAATTCCTTCAAATAGCTTACCAAGACAAAGGCTCACTGCATGCTGCGCTGTTGTCACTAGTGCGGAACATACAAAAGGTCGACTGATAAGTTCCTTCATCTGCAACACCTGTTCACGAACGGCGTCAAACGTTGCCACATGAGAGACGACTACACCGAGTGGGAACGCTTCTCCCATCCGGACCCAGATGAAGAAGACCCTCCAACACTGGACGAAATCCAAAGTCTGCGAGAATTTGCTGAGCGCTACGGCACATCCGATACCATTCCAGCAGATGACGCTGCTCGCAAGCTAATGTCGCTCGCTGACGAGGGCCGCGTGGTAGATGAGCGCCAGAATGATGTCGTGGACAAAGGCGAACGCGTTTCCTGGTTATTATGGGATGCTGCTATCTACATGCCGCGCTATCAGCCTGCCATTCTCAAGCTGATTGAAGCTATTCGGGCGCTTCCCGGGCTAGAAAGAACCGAGGAGCAGATCCGTACCGGTCGTTTCGAAGGCAAATTAGAAACATGGAGGTCCCTGGAGGCTTTCACAAGCATTTGGTCTGTGACTTATCTGCGTGAGTGGCCCACTTCCCCCTACCCCCTCACTCCAAAAAAGCAACCCAGTCGTCTCCTTTGCTAGTGTGGCATCACGGCTTGAACCTTGCAGGAGATCCTCATCCTCTCAGATTCATAGAGTTCCACTACGCAATATAATTTCACGGACGCAGTGTGCCTTAAACTAATGCTTCCATTATAGGCTGCTGGGAGATGAGGTACGGCCCATATCCCTACTACGGGTGGGTTGACTTCCACAACGCTAGCGCTTTCAATGCGCACTATCTTGCCGCCTACCCTCCCGATTCTCCTAATTCAAAGGAGTTAACCAGAGCATTACGACTTATCATATTCGCTTTAGAGCAGGATCCATGGACTCGTGCACAACAACCCCCGCCGCAGTGGCGAGGCCACCGCTTTATTGATAATGGCCGCCCGACTGATTATGTGCAAATGTTGAATGTGAGTGAGGCCGAAGGCCACGATTGCACTTCAGATCCATAACTAATGAAATTCAGACCGATGTACACGCTATGGTTTCTTTTTTTGAGATTGCCGGGCATGTTATCTTCGGTTTTGTGGGGAAACGAGATCTGTCCCTACTCGAAAAATCAAAATTGAGTGGTTGCAATCTATGGCAGGGAGACTCATCGCTCTCGATGGAAAGATGGGAGTTTTGGAAAAAGCGGCTGCAATGGGCAAGTGGGCAAGATGAGCTGATGGAACGGACACGTGCTGACGCCCGAAAGCTTGTGCAACTTATGCAAGAAATTGAGCAATAAAATCGAGGGTTGAACTCGAGGGTTCATGCTTAGCACAAATATGCCTCAACATTCGACCACCCCTATAATGTCACACAGAATCCTCTTAAGGTCCCCGAAGTTCAGAAGGCAATTGACCGCGCGCGAAAAGTCAGAAGGGAACATCTAAAGGGCGGATCCAGTAAGGCATCATTGGATGTTGCTGTTATGATCGCCGAATTCATCTGCCCCATTGACTATACAAAGTCAGACCTTAAGAACATACGAAATACACTCTCTGCATTCCAATGGAGGTTACCTGATTGGTTTTGGGAGAGGCGCCTCAAGGGAGATACTTTCTTGGAAGTGAATAAGCCGAGAGAAGCCAATTCTCCAATCGACTGGCAGGCCTTATGGCTCGACTTGATAGAGATGATTTCTGACCGGGAATGGTACCTCTGTAGTGGGTTGGGAAATCGTGAGCGGGTTCTCAGGTTGATGATTGCTATCAAGTCGAATTTCCTTGGAATGCCCTGAGAATGAAAATAGATCGCTGTGTAAGGACATGCTTTACTTTTTGGGTGGGTTTGCTAGATCGAACCCCTTTTGGCTAATGGAAACACTATGAGAAATTGAGGGAAGCATCTCCGAAAATGTCCACAGGCAGCATTGGTGAGCTCAAGGTGTCTAGCTACAGGTCCAGTTGCTGCACAGTCAATTGGGCGACTTTGTTGGGCTGCGGAATATTTGCCATAGCAGTTCAAATTAAGAAAATCAACTATCGCAGCATAACTTTGAAGCGAGCGTCATCGGGAACTGACATTTGGAGACCCCAAAACCCCTAGCCAATAAGCGTGGATGACGGTTATGGCAGCGCTTGCTCGGCGTGAGATGACCCGAGACCTCATCCCCGCCCGAACTTATAAATGCATTGGCACACCCCCGATGACAGCTTGCAAAGCACAAGCAAAAATGGATTCAAACGAGGAGCAAAAGGTCTGTAATATGCCTGATCTTTTGACTTGCAGGTGATATAGTGCCAAGTACTAACTTATCGGACCCGAAACAGACCATTCATAACCTCCAAGCGAACTGGATATGGGTCCCGAACTGGGTGGATTCTTCGGACAGTAACACAGCTGGAAAAATCGTCCACTTCATCCGTTCTGTCAATTTGGCCTCGCAACCAACGCGATCAATATTGCATTTTTCAGCCGACACACGATATAAGCTCTACGTCAACGGCAAGCATGTTGCTGTCGGTCCGAGTCGAAGCAGTCCGTTGATCTGGTATTATGACACGCTGGACATTGCGCCGTACCTTAAAGAGGGACACAACGAGATCCGATTTGTCGTGGTGCGGTACTTTGCGGCCTTGCGGTGTGCGATGCCCTTTGAGCGAACGGCTCTTCCGGGATTGACGGTCACTGGAAATATCGAGGCGCGCTCAGAAACCATCGATCTCAGTTCTTTGAAGTCCTGGAAAGCATATATAGACGACAGCATTCAATTCCCGATGGGATTGGCTGAGGATGTGTTTCTCCATGTAAGACCTGGTCATGAATTGGTGCTCTGTTTCTACACTAACCTTGATTTTAAAGATCAATGAACGCATTACTCCAGCAAAGCCTGGACCCCCAGTGACACCCTTTGCCTACCACCTGAAGACACTCAACGGCGACATACCACCTTGGCATCTGCGCCCACGATCTATACCGATGCCCGAGTCAACACCGGCCGTTGTCAATAAGGTCAGAAGATACAAAGGTGATGTGGACGCAAGCAATTGGACGGCTTTCTTTTCTGATAACAACGCCCTGACACTTCCACCAAATTCCACACATACACTTGAGGTACAGGCAGATGTCCACTCAACGGCATTTCTGCGGTGGGCTTTCAAGGCTGCGAAAAGCCCCTCTCAAATCAGAATGCGGGTGACATATTCAGAAGGATATGAACTCGAGTCTCATTCATACCCATTCTTTCGATCCAAGGCCGATCGTTTGGATGCAAGTGTCGGTCATATTGTCGGCCCTTTCGACGAGTTGACGCTCGACCTGCCCGATTCGCAAATCGTTATCTATGAGCCATTCTGGTTCCGGACCTTCCGTCTAATGCGAATCGAGCTCACTGTTGGTCCGGAACCGATTATATTGGTGTCATTTGATGCTACCCAGGTAAATTACCCGATGGCCGTGAAAGCCTCTTGGAAAGAACCTGGCAATACACACAGCGAACAAATATGGGATGTTTCAATCCGAACTATGCGAAACTGCATGTTCGATGGGTATTCTGATTGCCCGTTTTACGAACAACTCCAGTAAGTGCAGCTCTAACACGATGATTAAACCCATTTAACCATTCAATAGATATTCTGCAGACACTCGTTCCGTCGGCTTGTTCCACTACCTTCTGTCAGGCGACGACCGGCTCATGCGACAGGCCATCACCAACTTCGCCGCTTCGGTGACACCGGAGGGGCTTACGCAGTCACGGTTCCCTTCACATGTGCCTCAGGTGATTGCTGGGTTCCCTCTCTACTGGATCATGCAGGTCTGTGATCATCACTTGTTTTTCGGTGATACCCGCTTCACACGAAGTTTTATCCCACGTATAGATGGCGTACTCGACTTTTTCGATGCACACGTCGACGAACTTGGTTTGATCAGCGGTCTACCAGAAGTCGTATGGCAATACGTCGACTGGGTGACAACCTGGGGTGCGACCGATGAGCATCCTGACAAAGGGGTACCCACTTCGGGTCGGAAATCAAACAGGCACACTTACTTCAGTATGCTGTATGCCTGGGTTCTTCAGAAGGCTGCCGGGCTTGTGCGCGATGTTGGTCGACCTGGCCACTCAGTCGAGTATGAGGCCCGTGCAGCTTCGCTTGTGGAAGCCATTCGTACCCATTGTTATGATGGGAAGTATTTCACAGACTCCACTGCGGATGTCGCGGATGAGCTGTCTTATTCGCAACACTGTCAAATATTCGCTGTCATCTCGGGAGCAGCAAAGCCCGAGGACTCTGTGCGTATCTTGACTGAGTCATTCACGAACGACCGCTTCTCCAAGTGTTCGTATATGATGCGCTTCTATGCATTCAGGGCACTTGCTTTAGCTGGTGATGACATCTACGAGTCGTTCTGGGAGCGTATGTGGGCGCCATGGCGCGGCATGTTGGCGAATAACCTTTCGACCTGGGAGGAAGACGATGTCAGGAAACGCTCGGATTGCCATGCCTGGGGAAGTGTGCCAATTTACGAATATTGCACTCAGCTAGCCGGTATTCAGCCAGTATCCTCGGGCTCGTCAAAGATATCGTTCAAGCCGCGTCTCCGACTGGCTGAGGCGTTAGAAGCGAAGGTGGCACTTGGAAAAGAAAATACCGCCACGGTCTCATGGAACTTCGTGGCTTCTGATGAGAAAATTGTGGAACTCATATTTGAGAAGCCCGTGGATGTTGTCAGTCAATTGCCGGGAAGCAAACCCAAAGAGCATGGTGTAGTGGACTTTATTCAGTTAAATTATGAGAATTGAGAGATCCTGATTATAACCTTAAGATTTTGCGCATCGACCATATTTTTGGGATCAATAATAACCAGCTACTAACAATCACATCGAAAACATTCAAGCTGTGACTATTATCTCATGCTCGTTACGTTTTTCATTCGCATTCATCTGCACATCAGTAAGATATCCTTTGAACCGGCGAAGGTTAACTCTCTTCTCAAACCTTTGAGAAAAAACATGTTAGCTAGGCGCAAAATCCAACAAGGAACTTGATAGGACGGATATCAAGTGTGTTGACTTACAATTCATCAATTTCAGCTGGTGTTCGGCGGGTTACTTCGGGAAGAATAAACCAAGCGACTATGACAGAAAATGTGCCAGTGCCTGCAAAGCTTTTCGTAAGAGAATAAAGTCAGTTTTTGTTCTGAAAGTGGGGGGCAAAGTCCGGGAATTTACAAGAAACCGGTTTTGACGCCCCAGCTGGACACCGGGGCATTGTTAATCATCAGAGGCGTGCAGAAGCTGAACATAATGGCAACCAAATTCGAAGAAGCGAGGGCCCAGCCGGCTGTCTTTGCACGCAGTCGTTGCTGGGGGATTTCAGTGGCGTAAGCGTAGCCAATTGCCGATGCACCAGTCGTCGACAAAGTCGCCAAGCAAGCAAAGAAGATCTTCATGGAATTGTTAAAAACGCTGTCAAATGGGAAATCCTCGGATGTGCCTGGTAGGGACTTACCAGTAGAGAGCTTGTCGACGGTTTGGTATAATCGAAGCAGCCAATGATTCCAAGACACAAGACCGACAACGATGTCACTGCGTAAGGGTATACGGTCAACGGACGACGGCCAAACTTATCAGTGGTAGTAGCACTCATGATCATGGACAGTAATTGGACACATGACAGAATGACAGTGACCATGAATGGATCCTTGCTGCCAGCATCTTGAACTTGAAGTGGTATCAGCGTGATGAAAAGAAAAGGGCCAGATAGAGAGATAACTCACAGAAATAAGTAGCATATGTATTAAACACAGACAGGCCAACTAGCTGCTGAGCAATCTTTGGCCAAGCAGCAATCAGAAAGCGAATACCATTGCGACCTTGAAAGACAGCCCAGGTTCCTTCTTCTGAGTTGCGCTCTGCAAGAATGCGCTCCTGCGCAACTGTAGCGGACATGATTTCCTAGAGAGAAAAGTAAGCGCTTCATAATATTAGAATAAGATTAGAGAGATAGACAGACGATTTGCTCATCAACGCTATATCCATTGATTTTGCCATTACACCTGTTCAGAATCTTGGTGGCCTTGACACTCTTGCCTTGACTCACGAGCCACCATGGTGATTATGGGAGGAGAACAAATACAATTGCAATGACGCCAATCATGGCCCACTAGTGCGTGTATTGGGGATCAGTGAGATACTCTTTGAGGCTGTTTATTGCACCGAGAAAAATAATGCGGGGGTCTATGTCTTTGAAGCGGTGTACCCATCTTGTGAAGATCGACAGGCCCCTTTCTTCTTGTAAATCTCCAGTAGCGAGTGATATCCACGGGGTGATAGCTATTTCCAGAGCTTTTTCATTCTACTGCAGGCTGGCTATAATTTTCGCAGTCACGAGAGTATTCCAGCAGATCTTGAAAAAAGCATTCATGTTTCAATTCAAATTTTAATTTGAACCAATGCCTTTGCTAAAATCACAACTAAGCCCTATCTAGATAATTCCTGGCGGCACTTGCGGGACTTCAGCTCTCGGATCAGTGTCTCCCACTCTCTACATTCTTGGACAATAATTTCGCCGCGAGTCATTTTCTAGTGGGAAAGTGAACTGGTTAAATGTATACCAAAAGAGCCTCAGAGGCCGCGAGGGTGAAGGTAGCCTTTCCAGCAGACACGATCACAGTTTCCACACTCTCCGTGCCCTCGATAGCGCAAGTTCCATTGGCAAATGTCTGTCCAGCAACGGTCGGATTTTCACCTTGATCAACCCGAGATGTGGCGTAAAGGGCGGTCAGTCGTTTAGCAGTAACGCTGGAAGAATACAGACCTGACAAAGTGTATGTCTGCGAGGTTCGCGTACCATTGGTAGCGGTATAATAGTCTGAGTTATAGAGAAGAGCCCTAACAGGAGTCCCGGACTTGTAAATGGCGTAGGCAGCGTAGGGAGTATCTTGGCTGTCCAAAGGCGCAATTTGGTCGGCATTGGCCAACGCCATGGTGGCGAAATAAGCACCGTAATAAGGGGAGCCCATATCGTAGCGGCCCCACCAGCAATATTGGCCTGGAGAGTTAGACTCTGGTCATGCAAAACTTTCCTAGTCACTCACAGTTTCCAATTGTTCCCTGATGGAAGTAGAGGGCATCTGTCCCCAAGAGAAGAGTCTGCATCACATAATCCAAAATCCAGAGCCCTGCGCCAAACGTTGGGCTAATACCACCGCCGCCATCAGTTGCTAGAATGAAACTTAGTACATCGCCCAAGAGGTGGTGGTAGATGGAGACGTACCAGAATTGGTTTCTCCAAAGATGTGTGGCTTGCCCTTGGCAGCAGCAGCAGAAATTTCGGCAGCATAGGGCTCAATCTGAGTCGCAATCTCGCTATGGCCCATGAGAGCAGCCAGATTGTAAGTCCCAGAAGACTGAGGATAGTTGTGAGAGCAATAATCCTTGACGTAGTCATTTGCACTACCCTCTTTCGCGGTAAGGCCAACTATACTCATCGGAGAAGTGCCAAAGTAGACTCCTGCTGAGATGAGGTCTGACGTAGATAAATTCCCGCAGACAGCCTCTTGCCAAGTCACCTGGGAGGCCTCGTCCGCTGCAGCTGTCCAGGGCTCTCCTTGGGCAATGGGATCACTTGCAACATAAACTTTAGATTCTCAGTTAGGGTTTCATTCATCAATCATATGGGTGAAATCGGAAAGGCCCGTGGAAACTTACAGTTGGGTTCGTTTCCAAGTTCAATGGAGTATAGGTTGTCCACCCGGCCCTTGGCAAAGAGCGCCGCAGAAATGGTGTTGGAGATGTTATCCAAACGACGATTTAGTCCAATGATAACCTCTCCCGCATACGTTGCCGCCAAGGAAATAAAAGAAGGGCCATAGGTCAGGGATTCGGGGGCATCGGCGGTGCTGGCCACGGTGTAAGTGACAGCTTCCGCCGATGACGCATTGTAAGTCGCACGGTCCCTGCGTGAAATAAGTATGGAAGTTCGTGCCGTCAAGTGATTCTTGTACACACTGAGTTGTGCCCCCAATTCTCATAGGTGGCCATGTTCCTGTCAAGTCCTTCATGTTTTGTAGACATGCTAAAGTTGATGGAACATCTTGAATGTACTCGGGGAAGGCAAAGAATTCCAGTCTATACTATGAGCAATGTATTATTCATTGGCGTTGGATACTTACGATATACCAACTGGAGCTGCAGAAAGCTGCGCACTGGAATTCGACGGTGGGGATGTCGGGATGTTAAAGCTCAGTCCGGAGACGAAAGCGGCCAGGCCCAAGAGCAACGCTGAGATGGGGAGACGGGCAGTCATGACCTTCTGATTTTCAAAATATGGCTCACTTTGGTAGCAAAACTGAAGAGATTGGTCGCCATTGCTGTTTCAGGATTTCCCTCTTAAGTATAGAGAATTTCAATCCAATTTGGTCCGTGCAGAAAACGGACCGGGAAACCCCACATTACTGCAACCCATCTCGGCCCCTGGTCCTGCTTTTCCCGCAAATGACAATTTCCCCGAATGATTAGCCTAATTATTAGCGGCTATCTTCCTATGTCCTGGGAAAGTGTGGGTAGGTACTGATCGGGGGTCGGCATACGAACAGGGTCGGCTATTGACGGGCTGCATTAACCCGAACGTCTGCATCATGAGACCTTGACCGCGTGCTTTTTCGATTGAACTCAATATCAATAGTCGAGCATTGAGACTAAAGATTCGATGATTTGATGCAGGGTGCCCTCTGGGCTTACTTGGTCTTGAGACTCTATGGATACGAGATGAGCCATGGCATGGCTTATCGTTGCTTCACTTAATTGGATTCTTGCTGACCCACACGAATCTAACAACTGAGCTATTCCAGTACTCTCTCCGAATGTTGACCAGCATCCGCCCCGGGCTTAAAGCTGTCGTTTTTCGGAGGGAAAATTCCCGATCGGGTGATTCAAGAGCGAATTCATACACCCTATACAAGTCTTGATCATAACATGGTATTTCGGATCATATATGAAGGTATATACATCTGAAGTGGCATTGTGCATTGTCCATCTAGCTGTCCAGCAGCGGGGGCACCTTCTCGCAGAGGTACTCGACGATGGCATCGGGACCGCGCTCGACCTGCAGGCCCTCGGGGATGGCGTGCAGCTTGATGCTGGGATTGACAGACCGGGCTATGTCGTGAATCTGCTTGGCCTGCTCGTCGGACCACATGGAGGCGCTGAACTATGATGCTATTAGAGCCTAGTTCTCGATCATTCAGACTCGGATATCCCGAGTGACTTACCAGCACGTCCGGCATGTGCTCCTTGACCTTGGGCTCGACCTCTTCGATCTCTGTATGGGAATTAGTTTTGTTTTGTTTTTCTTTCTTTCTTTTTTCCAATTATTTGTAGAATACTTACTCTCGCAGTTGTCGACGTGGAGGATGGTGTAGCGGTCGCTGAGCGCCTCCGCAACGCGACCGATGAGGCGCTTGGCACGCTCGGGCGCAGTGTTAACGGTGACGAGACGGAAGGGGCCCTTGGGAGACATGGTGAACGATGAGGATTGCAGCAAAAAGGCGATATCGGGGGAGCTTTGTTGGTTTTATTGTCGCGTTTCGGCGTTGCCACCGATTCCCCACATTGTGGGAGCGCCCCTCCGGCTTATCCAGCGACGGGGTAGACATATTCCGGGCATAAAGACCGCGTCTCCTGCTCTCCCCTCACTCATACATCATTCACCATGTCTAAAATTGCGTCTACATTTTCGCGTATGTTGTATTCTATATTACCATGAACTGAAAACTGACAGCGCCAGGCCTGGTGCGCTTCGTGCCCAAGTCGAGCCCCGCCAAGGTTCTGATCGGAGAGCCCGTCGATCCCCAGCTGGATATCGGATTGGCCGTGTACCAGGGCAAGGAAGTCTCCGTGCGTCCTTTCTCGGGCTCGTCAGTCCTGAATCCAGGTACCGCGACGGGCTTGACGGAGACGATCGAGCGCATTCTGTCCCCTCTGGCCCAGTCCGAGGTCGGATCGATCCGATGCATTGGTCTGAACGTGAGTGATTCATTGCAATGGCGAAGATGTCAGTAGGATGTTGATATATGTTCAAAAGTATGTCTCGCACGCCAAAGAGATGTCTCTCGCTATCCCGGACGTGCCGACCCTGTTCATCAAGCCAAGCACCGCGCTGGCTGATCCATTCCCCGCACCGACTGTTCTGCCTAAGATCACTCAGCAGGATGGCACAGGTGACTACGAGTCCGAGATGGTCATTGTTATCGGCAAGGATGCCAAGGACGTGCCCGAGTCCGAGGCCCTTGACTATGTTCTGGGCTACACTGCCGCCAACGATGTATCCAGTCGCACTTCTCAGATGAACCAGAGCCAGTGGTGCTTCTCCAAGGGCTTTGATGGCTCATGCCCAATTGGTATGTTTCCAGTGTACTTCCCGGGTTAAGATGGAAGCTTACACAATTTGCAGGACCCGTCCTTGTTTCTGCGGCCCTGGTGCCCGATGCCAGCAAGTTTCAGATCCGCGGTTTGAAGAGCGGACGTGTCATGCAGGACTGCCCCTTGACGTAAGTATAGGCCACGGCATTTGACTGTACTAAGAAACTAATTACAATTGCTCAAGTGACCTGATCTTCAGCGTCCCGCAGCTGGTCAGCTTCCTTTCCCAAGGCACTACTCTGCCCGCCGGTACCATCATTCTCACCGGCACCCCGCCCGGTGTTGGTGCTGCTAAGAAGCCCCAGGAGTTCATTAAGGCCGGAGATGAGTTTGCCGTGGAGCTGCTCCCGCACGTCGGAACTCTCATCAACAAGATTGAAAACCAATGATACGATCCATGATATGAGCGATTGATCCAGCGAGGTTGAAATTGTATATAAATGTGTGATTTGATAGACCGAGTAATATACTTGGAAAACAATAAATATACTTCAAACACTGACAGCTGTCATTGACTATATCTAAATTTTGCGCATTATGTAGCGGTTGATGCCGATCGCTGAAAATGCCACACACCGTTGGTATACGCCACGGAGTACACCACATCCCGCTACTCAATTCTGTTCTCGTGAGCATTAATTTCATTTCAAAATGCCCTCATGCCATCAAGCAGTGGGTAACACGAAACAAACAGCGGCCATGATTCATCGAGCTGTGGAGAAATATACCTGGCGCTTCTACCAATCAAGGAGTAAAACGGGATATGACTTTTTCCGCAGCGGAGTAAATCTCTTCCACGATATCCTGTTTTAATGACTCGAGCATCAAAGTATGTACCAAGAAAAAGCGACATTGAGCGTTATGCGGAAATGGTATATCATATTTCAACTCCTTCGTGCCGTTATAGAAAGATTCCATAGTCAAAGCCTGTCGTAGTTGATAAAAACATCCCGAAAGACTACAGCGACCCTTCTCTACAAAGAAGTTTCTCCCAACCAAGAAAGTCTCATTAAAATTGCCTCTAAATCCCAAGATCAGGAGCCGACGGTTTGACCGCTGCGCTAATGTGCATTTTCGGATCTTGGCACAGAGCTACCGCAGTCGGCCCGTCAGTTTAAAAGATGACATTCTGCGGCTTTTCGTTTACGCCGATGAGTTTTTGTTAGCTGATTTATATATCCGCTCTGCTTTTTCTGCTTTCTTTTTACTTTCTTGATCTTTGATTTTCTTTCGCCCTTGAATTCTGTTCTTGCACGTTATCGGCTTCTTGGTTGTGGGTGTGAATACAATGTTGCCCAGGCAGGCTCTATGCTTGGTCTGCACCACCGGGGCCGCACTGATTGGGCCAATGGCTTTTCGTACACCCAAAAGAATTCTCTTGTTAAAAAGTTGAACATACATTACTCATGCATTGATCTATATACAGTCACGGAAACCTGGGCCTCGGGCCGCGTCCGATACCGAGTCTAATCTATACCCCTCCCAATACCGAGTCTATACGGCCGAGTCTATACGATTCTATACTTCCAACCACTCGTCTAAAAAGTCAAGACGCTCGATACGGTGCGCTGATTCAACCATGCCAGACATCAAGCCGAGCAAATGCCTGTCCTTTACTCCCCGTCCTGCTGACGCCAAAACCGACCCCGCCACTGAAGGAAGATTGTAGGAATTACGCTGGCGCCAACAATGAGCGCCGCTCCGATGCCTGCACTCGGGGCGACTCCGACATTTGTGAACATAGGTGTAAACCTAAACAACGCGGTTAGCTACACTTCGGGAGACACACGAGGAGGGAACATACCAGAAGGGTCCGATGAATCCCCAAATCTGCCGGACAAAGGTGATGAACACACCAATGCTGCCAGCCTCGTGGGGGAAGCAGTCTATGGCATAAGTCATCATCACGGTCGTGACCAGCTGGCTTCCGACCGCTCCGATGGCCGTGCCGATGATGGGGGACACGTTCCAGTGGCCGGAGGCTGATTCTTGCGTACAGACGAGGAAGACAATCACGCCGATGATTGAAAAGGCAAAACCGAAGTAGCTGAGCCAGAGTCGGAATTCGGGCTCTGCGTTGCGGCCCAAACGCTTTCCTCGCCGACTCATCCACAAGTCGGACAGAACACCACCCATCTGCTCGCCGATCACAGATCCGATGATTAGACCCAGGAACTGTAGACCCAGCTGCTCTGCGTTCAACCCGAACTTTTCCTGCAGTAGTTGTGGAACTTCGACAGTCGCGAGGATATTGCCGAACAAAAAGACCATCGCATATGCAATGGCGGGGATTACAATGGATGGATGGCGGGCCATGGTCAGGGGGTGCACGAACTCGTACGCGGTCATAGGAGTTGGATCAATCCGACGTAGCGACAGATATTCGGTCTTCCAGTTGGCAACCGGACGGTCGACACCGCTCCCTACGAAGCGAGTCTCCGGTCCAAGGAACAGATACAGGATAAACTGACCACCATTGATCTACGCAACAAATCAGCATGATAGAACTAAAAGGTGGGGAAAGTACTAACCATGGCTAGGATCCAGAAGATCCAGTGATAACCGGCACGATACGTGACGAAGCCAAAGATGAACGGGCCAGTCGGCACGCCCAGGGTGATCATCAAAGTCCAGACACCCATATACTTCGCTCTATCCTTCTTAAAGGTCGTCTCCATCACGACCGCACTTCCAATGGCCGAAGCAGGCGAGATGAAAAAGGCCACCAGGGCCCGACAGGCCGCGAGCGATGCATAAGTGGTGCTCTTGGCACAGCCGATGTTACACACCAGACTGCAAATCAAGGAAAGCAGGAAGATGGGCCGACGTCCGAAGCGGTTGGACAGCGGCTTCCAAAACAGGGGGGCACCACCCAAGATGGCAATTTGCAAACTGGTGAGGTAACTCGCCTGTTGCAACCCGCAACCCAGCTCTGCGGCGATGTCGGCAAAGGCGGGGATGATGCCAGCCGCGGTAAATGTGCCCATGCAGGCGTGGAAGGCTACGAGGATGAGATTGGCCATTTTCTGTTTCGTCGATCAGTTTTGTTCGGGAATCAGAGAGAGAAGTTAACGTACCTTCCATTCAGGCCAGTTATAAGGGTCTGCCGGGCCCATTCCGGGGATGGGATCGAGGTTCAAGGTACCATGTCGCTCGAGAAGATAGTCTCTGTGGGCTTTGGGGAGACGAGCCGCCAGTGATTCCTCATAGGTGGCTGCTCGTCCAGCGCCTGCAGACTCGACCAGATCAATATCGGTCTTTGAGCCGTAATTCTCGATCTGTTCGGTTTGTTCTACCGCCCTAGAGGAGGCCGGTTGCAATTCGAGGGATGTCATGGCCGACTCCCGATGGTGATAAAAAATTTATACCGGAGTTTGAATGTCCGTGGAGACAAAGTTGGATGACTACAATGAAGGAAGAAATAGGGTAATGGGAATAAAAAGGACCTGTAGTTGCCAGGGTGAAGACGAGACGAAAACCAGTCAAAAACAGTTGACGTGCCAAAAGCCGACGGTGAGTGAGAATAGCGGAGAACATGCTGGGGTAAATTTTGCTCGGCTCCGTCGGCTGAGCCTGGAGATGCGGAGGACTTCACGGCCCACCGGTCGGTGGATTTTGCTTCTCGGCTTCAGCGAGTCACAACGTTCATTCCCGTGGTTTGAATGTCATGCAGGTTAGTCCACGCTTAGATCTGGCATTTAAAGACGGCAGCCCGAGCCCCGTCCGTGTCCTTGCGGCATCTCCACTGCCGAAGAAGTACCGACCTGGACAGTCCAGTGCCGATGTTCCCCATATCTTCATATCTCGACTCCGGCATGACTCCGGCATGACTCCAGGATCCCCGGGTTTGCTCGGTGTGCGGCATGGGTGCGAAAGTGAGGCGATGACTCGTATAATAGGCAACGTTTGGATCGACACAAACAAGCCGTGATTGCTCTGATTGTGGGACGCGCATAGTAGGGAGACGGCCATTGGTGCAAGCGGATGGAAAATCATTTAGTAGAACAACGTTGAATGGTGGAGGCAAAACCTTGCGGCCACACACTTTCCCTTCAACCACCACAGGCCCAACAATAATGAAAAAAGTATGAGAATATCTCGGTCGTCGTAAGCCCCACGATGGTCAAAAGGGTGCCACACCCCACAATCCTCCTCTCCACACTTTTACCGTCTTGCATCCTCCCACGATTACGATGGCGACGGATATCATGACGCCCTCTGCAGGGGTCAAGAAACTAGTGTGTCGTGTGTGTCCAAAGGCATTCACGAAAGCCGAGCATCTACGAGTGAGTGTCGATGTCCCCACGATTGCGACACTGTGTAAGGAGTGAGCACTAACGGATTACATAGAGGCATGAACGTTGCCGTAAGTACCCTGCTGTTCTCTTCCATGGCCCCTCGGGTTAACCCGCGCCGTTGGCTGATAGGAACTATCTCCAGATACCGGATCCAAACCATACGTCTGTAAGGAGTGTCGCCGGCCATTTGCCAGGCAGGATGCTCTCACACGCCATGGGAAGCTACACTTACGTGACATGAATGCAAAGGGTGGCCCTTCTCCGGCCTCAATACCCCCCGTGTCATTAGATTCCATTCCTTCGTGGGATACCAGCAGTGCTTCCACGACAGCCCAGGTTTCAACATCGGCCACTAGTCACTCCTGGGAGGAGTCGACGTCTAACCAACATTCTAACATGCACAATGTTGCCTCCGATTTGGACTTTGCGCTTATCTGGCCAGACTCGGAGGATCTCTTCCAGAGTCTCATGTCGTCCGATACGGCGGACCAGTGGCAGGTGCCCTTGGGGACACTCCCTTTCCCACCCGTTGTGCAGGATGTCAACGGAACGAACTATGGATCTCCCAATTCATTTGATGATCGGAGTTCTTCCGTGGGCGCAATCCCTTTCGGGGAAGGCCACCAAGCCGTGCGCGGCATGACGGAAATGGTGACCAGTTCGGTGAGTTGATGCTCCTGTCTGCATGCTTGTTGGAAAAGGACTTCCAATTTTCCTCGGGAGAAGATACTTGCGCTAACATCTGTATTTGACAGTCTTCAAGTGTTACAGCCGCTGTCAAGGCCTCGTCGATCACATCTGTCTTTCTCGATGAATGTCTGCACATGTTCTTCGTCCGCTTTATTCCTACCTTCCCCATCTTGCACCGAGCCACCTTCGTTTTCCGGGAATGCTCCCATGCATTGCTGCTCAATGCCATTGCCATCGGGTCCTTGTACCTCGGACCTAGTGACTCTGTCGCAAAGGGCGAAGCTCTCTGGCGGCTCGCACACACTGCCGTCGCTACTTCGTGGCAGTCTTTCATCACCCACAACGGTCCCCACGATGCTTGCAAAGGGGTACAACTTATGATTACAGCCCTACTAGGCCAGGTCTACGGCGCACTATCTAAGAACCGAGCGATTCGTACAACAAGCCAAGTCTTCCGTCCGCTTGGCTTCTTCTGGGCTCGCCATTGTGGCATGTACGACAGTGAGCCCTACTCGATGGAGAACCTCCCTTCCACGGATGCACCCGCTACAGAGAAAGACCGTCAGTGGCGCATCTGGTCCGCACGGGAAATCCAACAACGTGCTCTGTTGGCGTACTATGTACTCGATGGCCTCGTCGGTCAAATGTCTGGCGATGGGGCTTCTGCCCAGCATGTTTCCAACCCGTTGAGCCTTCCCAGCAGTGAGGCTGCCTTTGATGCTAACACTGCCGATGAGTGGCTCGCACACATGTACTCCCAAAAGCCTGATCAATCTTCCTTCCGCGTAGTCTTCCGATCGTTGTTCCCGCCAATTGGGAATTTTCGCGCCTTGGATTATCAGTTCTCGGCATTTGCTCTTCGTGTGGTGCTCGAAGGCCTCCAGTCTCTGATCTCGGACTGCGATGACCACGAGCTCGCAGTTGGTGTGCCTAGTCGATCAGATGTGCGAAGAGCACTAGCGCAGGTTTATGAGACCATCTCCATGAGCGTACATTTTTCAGCCGCTGAGCGATTGGAAATCTTGTTGCGCTGGCACACAGTATGCTTGGACATCATGATAAACTCCACTGTCCTTTCCCGCCACGTCTGCTCTCGCTACAATCTCCCACAGCATGTCTCCGGGGGCTGCCGAACTGTTCAGCCAGGCTTTGACATTGTGGAATGGGCCAGTAGCAAGGATGCTCGGCGTGCGGTACTACACGCCGTCGCCATCCAAGACATTGTCGAGCAGTTGCCTCGTGGTCGCGCCCATGTTGTGCACATGCCGAGCTCGCTGTTTGCCGCAGCCACAATCTACGTTGTCTTTTCTCTTGCCGGCATGGCTACCGTTAACCTACCCCGCCCGATTATCTGGCAGGACGCTGTGCTATCCCATTCGGACCTCCATCTCGGCCATGACGAAATCAGGCCACCTTCTGGAGAGACTCGGCGTTTCGTGGAGACGGAAGAAGGGATCACGTCTAGCCCGCCAGGTGGCGCTGTTCGCAATCTGCTATACGAGCTCAACTCGATGCAGAAGCTCTTCCGCTGCCTTTCTTCGCAATGGGGGATTGCTCGGGATATGGAGGACATTGTTGCGCAGTGGATACAACTCTGTCATTAGAGGCTGAGTAGGACTCCGACTTAGGTGGGCTGCTGGGCGCTGGATGGACTGGTCTTTGGTAGTATTTTGTATCATGTGGTTTGCTCGCTGTATATAATGAGACATGAAAAAGAACAACTTTTATTAGGATCAATTAGGTGATTCAAACCAAGTCAAGGGTTAGCGAGACGAATAGAAATATAGTATGGTGTCTTCCCCCGCTCTAGGAAGGCCAATAGAGACTAGAACATTTAGGTTTTTGGCGCAACTAATGCAACATAGCTAGGCGTGATGTCTTCTATGATCCCAGAATTTGTTATAAAAAGACGCTTAGCTAACCACCATAGCTACTATTTTTAATCCTAAATCTTCGTCTGCCTCTCTCTCTCCTACCCTCACTTAGCCATCCTTTAGCCTTCTGGTTATTACTTAGCAATGATGCTTTCACTTAGCGTTTGATTTATCGTATACCTCCTTGTGTGCCATAGTATATAATGCACGGTATTATGTGAATGCCTGGCAATGTGTAACGTAATTTAATGCTGAATAGGCGAGTACATAATTGAGGTTTAAATAGATTGACTGGGCAGTCAAACTCTTCCTTCTCTTCCACCCCGTGCCGGTAGCGAGCCTCCTCGCCCCCCTCAAGTAAGTGGTTGTTTCATCTTGAGCTCCATGACTACGCCTCAATGAAGAAGCGTTAGATACCCTAGTCAACCACCTCATGAATACGCATTAACTAATAACAGTTATGGTGCAACCATTGCCAGCGGCCAGGGCACGATGTCCGTGACTGCCATGTTTTGGCGCGCTTAACGGCGTTTGCCAACAGTGTCTCCGCCCTCCCCCCCCCCAAAGTAAGAGACACATCATTTATGATGATTCCAGAACAATGGATTAACTTGAGGATTAATATAGCGACACCCGGGGGTCAAAAAGACCCGCCGCGGAACCGCGCTGGGAAGGGGAAGAAGGGTATATTATGTATCCCATCCAATTCAAGCAGTGGACCTAGTTGCGTTTTGGAGAGCGATATACTAACATACTATGAGTATGGGATGATCTGAAACATAATAGTTCAGCCTCCTAACATTTTGGGGCTGAGAGTGAACAAGCCCCCGGTCCACGATGATGCATGGGCGAGAAGAACCACGATGTTTGACACCATTTCCCCTGCCATACATATGTCATACCATCAAAATTTACGCCTAATTATATTATCTCGGTTTTAGAACGCCCCGGAAGATGTTTACAGTAAGCTAGGTCTCGAAATAGATTTTTAGAACCAGGAAACGAGTCGAAATCCAAAAGACCAATCAAGCAAGGTAGCTATCCAAGACAGAGAAATTGCTCCAGTCCAGCTGGTAGCTTAAGTTTTAGAACAAATAGTTCGGTTAGTAGCGTCTCTTCGTCCTCAAGCGTCAAAGTTGTGAATATTGAATAGTCAGCCTCACCGCGTCATACGAGTCACAGCACTTTAAATAACCACGCTCGATACACCTGACTATCATTCTAGCCAAGTCTAAGTGTGCACGTAATATCTTCTAACGCTCGAAGAGAATATTCTAAGAGAAAATTTAGCATGTATTAGCCTTCTCAGCAATACCGATAGGGCCGCGTCACGGGCGCGTCGTTGGACGCGACGCGTTTGACGGGTACGTCTCCGCACAAATCGGAATCATCACGTAGTCTCCACCATTGTGCGCCAAGACATTTCGTATATCGAATGTTTCAGGAGACCCTTGTCCGATAAGTGCAATGACATGATATTCTCCATAAGAGGACTTACCCAGATCCACGGAAAGGCATCATGCCAGAAGAACCAACCGACTCGCCCCCGGCGCCTCCTTCAGGCCGAGGCAAGCAGCTCAGCAGGTTCCAAGAAGCCGCCTTGATAAGGATCTCCAAGGAGCGCCAGGGAATCAACCCATTCATCAAGCACAGAAAGGCCTTTTGGGTTGGGATATCCAAGCTACTTGAGAAAGAGACTGGCCGCGTCTACTCGTGGCAGTCGTGCCGGCGACGCATAATCGCCTGGGAATCCACCTTCCTAGGGGCTCCGCACACCCACAAGCCGAAGCCGCCTTATTCCCCTCGCGATGAACTTGGCCAAGAGGCCACTCCCACTCCCGTGACTGCTCAGGAGAGTAGCATTATCACCTCGGTCGAAGAGAGTGACGATGAGCTGCTGCCCGAAGCACCCGTCATCTTCCAACGTGGTTTCGGCGTCCGTCTTCAAGCCCGTCAGAAAAGGACAGAGAACGCGCTGCGCAGTGACATTCTCGGCATGGTCCGAAACACCATGGACAGCGTTGCGTCTCAGATCGATTACTTGACCGATGTTCTCACCGACGACGTAAATGACTGTGAAGGTGTCAGGGCCGCACTTCTGAACCTCCAGAATGAAGTCGCCCAAGCAGTGGAAAATTATGAGGATACTAATGGTATGCATCCACAGAAATAAGTGGACCTATGCCGAGCGCGCTCCTCATACCATCTTCGGTGGGATGCCGCGGATTTCGTTACGGCCTAATTTGTCTTTTCGGCGCGGCGTTGACGGTGATATTTGCTCCTGTGCCGCGGTTCTTATGTTGCGATGACCTGATTCTCCTGTGATATTTCTCAAGATACCCCGTTTTCTCCGTCGGTCGTGATGATTGCTGATCGTGATCTTCACGACTGGATTTCCTTTCTGTTGTTTCGAGATTTTCTCATTTCGTGCGCCGGTAGGCGTTCCATAATGGTATAAATATTCGTTTTATTAGTTCTTCGTGCAGAGTAGCCTACATGCAACCAATCGGTTTCCCAGCATTATCCAAGTAACTGTTTGATTACTCAACCTGTCCCTCACATGTGCCTCAAACGACGGTGCCCGTACCTGTAAAGTCCATCAGACTTGGTCGAGGGCGCGGTCATCTGGCATCATGTTGGACTTGGGCATTGGAGATAAGGGCTCTGTCGTGGCTGGATCTGTCGCCGAGATAGAGCTCCAAGGCGGCGTACTTCGAAAAGCACGGCGGTTAGTGCGATCCCAACGCACTGTTTCACTCCGGATCTGGGAAGAGGAAGTACGAGGAAAGCTTCGGGGAAACTGTGTTTTGAATCAATCATGCTACGCAACAATCCCAGTGAGCAAAGCTAGCCGAGGTATTCTACTTGCGCCATTTAACCCATCAATTACATTCCATTCTTCCACTATGTAGATGGCTAACTATCTTGTTCACCGATCTTGAACCCGACAGTCCCCTGGGTCCGTACGAGGCAATGAAAAAAAAAAAAAAAAGGAAATGCCATCCGAATATGTAGCAGCAATGATCATGAAAGTTTGCAAAGCATCCCATCTTGTCCTGTATGACGACCGAACTTCCTCCCTGCTCCCCGGTATCTTGTTTCACCGGAGGTTGTCTCACGCCTCGTCCTCATCTTTGAACCATGACTGGACAGGCCATTTGGGCGCCGCGTCGAGATCGTCGGCGCACTCTTCGGCGTCTTCGAAAGTTTCATGGCGAACATCGACGTTGCACTCTCCATTGCGAACACTGGATGACTTGCTCAGATACGCTCTGGCGACAGCAAAACCTTCCTCAAGGAATGGGTTTTCGTCCTTGATCTTGACAATGGTGTCGCCGTCGGAGTCGCTGTCAATTTTGATAACATCGTCAACTTCTATCTTCATCATGTTGTCGAACTCCGTCTCGCTGGTAATGGTGGGGGTATTTTCATCCGTGGTGTCATGGATATCTTGGCCACTCTTCTTGTTGGTAGAGGTGGCTTTGGCCTTGGGCTTTTTGACACGAGTTCGTGGAGTACGCGGAGATGGCTTCATGGCGACACTTGGGTCGCCATTTTCTGCTTCCGCACGGAGTTTCTCAGCCATCTGCCGTGCTGCACGCACGTTGTGATAGATGCCGTAGTGAGTTTTTCCTTGGCCAAACATCTGTGCAACGCGCCGGGTGTCGATCTAGTTTCCCGTCAGATCAAAGCCTTCCCGTGGATCTTCAGTCAGGTACTTGCCTTTATGGTAGAGTCCGCAGCGAGGATAGCTGCTAGAAGCCTTTCATGATTGACAACCATGATGTTCTTCAAACGGTAGCGTCAGCAAGGACTCAGCGCTTGTGCTTATAATGAAAGGTGGCTCGAGGCAGCTGGGGTTTCATACCAAGATGACTGGATGATGATGATAAGAAGAATTTGGGAGAAGGGCGTCAGGCGATGATGAGGTAGATGAAGGAAAGTGAGAGTGAATGAAGGAGAACGAGAATTGATAAAGAAGGTTGGTGGGATGCAAGGTCAAAAATGCCTGGCTCGTAGGATTTGTCTGTCGAGTTCATGAAGATAGACCGACTTAGAGAGTTGGCAGGTCTACGCGATATCTTTTCGTGACGATTCTAGACCACGACACATGTCATGCACCATTTGCAACGTGCGCTGACTGGTGTCCAAACCGTTCATTCTTCTCTCGGCAGGTCTGAAAATTCAAGCCACTGTAGGCCGCGGAAGGTAGGAAAGCGCTTCAGATGTCTTCCCTTGTATGAGGTCGATTGCATGCCCGCATGGCCTCACACCGGGGACCTCAACAGTCGCAATTGTAACAGAGCATAAACACCCTCTCGACTTTCTTGGCCCATGTGTCAACTGGTGTTGGCTGCTTTCGGTGCTCTTTTCCCTGCAACTGATGGACCTCGCGAACGATCCCAAGATCTGCCTGGACCTCTTCCGAAGCTCTGTTTGCTCAACAGGAGGCTCGGACCTTCCACCTCTACGTATTTAAAGGGATCTCCTCGCCTTCCAGCAACTATCCATCAACATCAATCTATTTGCAGGACCTTCTGTCTTCTCAATCTTGACAAGTCTTACTCGCTCATTCACACTATCACAACGATCAAAGCAACTCTGCTCATCATGCCTATCCGGTGGACGGAAGTAGCCGACCAAATGGTAAGTATTCTATCCATTTCTACGACAAAACCACATACCCTCGCTCCTCCTGCCTTTTTCACACTTCCGTTTCAGCCGGTTCAACCGCATATCCTGTCTTCAGCCCTGTTGAGCCTCTGTCTCTTCGTATAACCCCTGTATCCTTTCAACTTCAACCTTGTCCTTTTCAAACTCGCACCTATCACGAGCAGCAAAGCAAATCTACCCATCATGCCTATCCGCTGGACAGCACTCGCTGACCAGACGGTGAGTGACCTGTCTTCGTGAAAGTCGCCGTCGGTTTTCATGATAGTCGCACTTGGCTCTCACTCGAGTGGCGTCGCGCCACCTTTCTATGTTTAACACAGACCCAAACTGACAATTCGACTTCTGTATAGCTTCTGCTGAAAATCTTGGAGACCCAAGATCTAACCGTCGACCACGCCAAGGTCGCGGCCGCATGGCGTAAGTCCAATCTTGGAAGCAATTCTCTTGCAAGTGTTCCCTAACCAGATTATAGCCGGTCCACCTGAGAACCAGCCCACTGCCCGTGCAATCAAAGAGCGCATTGCCAAAATCAAGGAGATCTCAAGAGACCCATCTTCCGCCGGCCTCGGACAGTCCAGTCCTTCTCCGCGCAAAGGCCGCAAGCCGGCCGCCAAGTCTACGGCTGCCAAGTCTACAGCCGCAAAGAAGACCGGCGGTAAGCGCAAGCGCAAGCCTTCTCCCAGCCCCGAGATCGAAAGTGACGAAGGTGCATCCGACATAGCCTCACACATAGACGACCCTGCCGTCGCTCCAGATACCCAGGATCCCGAGAGCCCTGTCATGCTGGCAAAAGTCATCCTCAAGACTGAGAACAGCCCCGACGATGATGACTTCGAGCGTGTTATGCACTCCAGTGAGGAGTGCTAATCTGTTTGTCTAATCCATCGCTACTAACGGGCTTTCTGGGGAGCTGGCCTGCTCGATCTGACTTATGATCTTTTTTCAATATGTGAAATCTCGTTATTTGCTTTGACTTTGCATCGCCAAAATGCGTTGCCAACTTTATTGTTCAAGTGTCCTTCGAGCTTCCTAGTTCTTGTGGCACTTTGGTGATCGGAGAGCCTTTGTTGACTGTGCAAACGGGGAAAGATTTGTACACGGGGATTTTGTCAGGAGGACAAGTTCGTGATGTCGAAACCGTGAAGAATTGGAAAATTAGAAAAAGAAAGAAAAGAAAATGCTCCCCGGATAATACTCCTCCTCGTACGTATTGTCGTAAAGTACCAACCTTGAAGCTTGAATGTGAGGTTCAAGCAACCTTGAAGTACGTAGGCGTTGTGGGAACGGGTCTAGCTCTTTCGGAATCCAGCCCCCCTTACTAGGGACTACAAGTTACGGCTTTCTAATGTGGGATCAATCATTGAATTTCCAGTTCTCTCCCTAATTGGGACCAGCTAGCTACAAGCAGAAACTCCTACGGAGAGGAGTTGCTCAAAAGCAGAAATGAAAGCCAGCCAGCGATTCCTGGGACTGGTCCCATTGAAAAACTAGATAACTCCCTCACCATCCATTTTATCTTTTGCTCCTGAATAGAAAAGCCCCGTCCGTGAAGTCCCAAACACAGTCACATGGTTTGAGATACTGAAGAATGTGTTTGTTGAATGTAGAAGGCGCAATGAAAGCGGCGGCGCCTGCCCTTGAGAAAACACGATAACGGGCAAATTCAGGGCGGGCATCTAGGCGGAGGACAGTCCCTCGCCGTCGGTGATGTCATTCAAGTCACACTCGGACTCCTCAGGGGACTTTTCCTTCTCGGCCTTCTTGCTGGCGCGCTTGCGGGGGGGCTTGGTCTTGGAGACCTTGGAGGTAGAGCCGGAAGCTTTGTCGGTGTTGCCATCGAGCTTGACTTTCTCCTTGAGGCGGGTGATGCGGTGCTTGAGAGCACTCACGGTGCAGCCTGAGTTGAATGGTCAGTTGAGTTTGAATCGGCTTAGAATTGCAAAAAGTAGAGCTTACCGTCACCCATAAGCTCGGCAACCTTGTCCCACTGCAGGGACGAGCCGACGGAAGCAGCCAGGGAAGTGATGAGCTGTTTCAGAGTTAGTTCATGTGCTGACGAGCAGGGTCGAGCTTGCCAAGGATGGACTTCAGTGTCCCTTGTAACCATCACTCAAAAGTGAATACGTACCTTGTAATCAGCGTCGGTATTCCACGTGATGGTCATGACGGCGGCTTTTGTATCGTATTCGGTAATCGATAATGTTTGTATTGAAATGTAAAATGGTTGGGGGCGATGGGACTAAAGATGAAGGAAGAGGAGAGAAGACGGAGGGAAGGAGACAAGACATAAATAATCAAGTGAGCTTGTCTGGGGGACTTTAAACCCATAATGAGGCGAGACCTTGGGGAACGGGATACATGATCCCGCATTTATGACACAACTTAAACGAGGGGGAAAATGATTCGAAGCCGAAGCTTAATATTTTTGGGCTTTTTGTCTTTTTGACTAGATACACTCAAACAACGGGATCTCTGTTGAAGGTAGAGCCAGAACACTCAATGGAAAAACAGAACAAGCAAAGCGCAAGAGATCCCCGAGAAACCGAGCACAGCTTATCACTAGAGCTGTCCTGCCGCAAGGCTCGTATGCGCCACGATAAACAAGAAGTCAAGGAGGCCAGATAAAAACGGACGCATCAGAGTAGGCGGGACAGGGACAGGACCAGAGCTGATGAGGCCTACACCTCCTCAGATGTGGAGGGACTACCCTCGGTCTCGTTCTTGACAGACTTCTTCTTATCCTCTGTCTCGATCTTGACAAGCTCCTTCTTGCCCTTGGTAGGGGTGGCGCGGGTGCCAGCACGCTTGGCCTTGGAGACACCGGACGAGGGGGTGGCAGGAGCCTTGGGGCTGGGGGTGACCTTGGTCTGATCGTTCGACTTGGAGGTGCCGAAGCCGGGACCGCCCTTCTTGCGCAGCGCACGGATGTGCTGTCTGATTCCTTCGGCGGAGCATCCTAAGAATTACTGTTAGCCGAGTTCCTCGATAGCTGTGACTCTGAATAGAAAAGGCAACTTACCATCGCCGAACTCGTCGGCGGCAGCCTCCCAGTCGAAGGTTCCTCCGCAGGCCGTGTAGATGGCCGCGAGGAGCTATTTAAATGAGTCAGTACAAAGCAGGTCATGTGCATGTTGTATGAGGCCATTAGGGAGTCCAAGATGTAGATCAACCATGGAGTCCGTGAGGCTCATGGCAGTGAAACTTACCCGCTTGTCGGCGGTATGATCCCAGCTAACCATTGGTGCAAGGATCTTTGGACTTGATGATGTTTTTGAAAAGATACAGAAGAGGATCCTGAAAATGTGGATTAGGTGGGTGGATGAGAATGGGTGGAGGAAGAAAGTTGGGAGGAGAGGTTCGCAAAGAGGTGAGAGGAGACCCGGTCGAGCAAATGGGTTCTCGTCCCCCACCAGATTTTGCGGCGACGTGACAATGACTGGGCGCTTCTCAATCGTGTGGTGCCGCTTCAGCGCCCCTCTTTTCCTTTTGAAAGTTTTCATTATGCGATGCTTCGCCTTTAGCGCTACCTTAACTTGTAGCTGATGATGTCCATATGCTTGGTGCCTAAACATGTCCACCATCGTATTACCATGCTAACCGCCAAAATTCAAATGTGTCTACCCACCTAAGGCTAATACTACATTTACGACTTTACATAGCTGGCCAGAATATTTCTTTTTCTTTGTTCTACGTTGTATACCACTTAGATCTAACACCTCCGTGAGCAGGGACTTATTACCTATTTTAAGCGAGTTATCATCTATTATCATAGTATATATATGGACAGCATCATGCGGCTTTTAGTCAGGGAGCAAATAGGCCTACTGAATTGAGCTCATGATATCAAAAGCACAAGAGAGTGAAGATATACGACATGGAATAAGTACCTAGGTAGGCTTCTTTCGAAGAAATACTTACACGCACGGAAGGATGCATATAATAACTTTCAGTTTTTAGAAATAAAAATAGAATGTGTTTAAATCTACAAACAACGCCTTCTTACTCCCAATATACAAACCCTTCAGGAGAAGTGACAACCCTGAACGTGAGGCTTAATTCGTCACGAACAGGTGGCTCTCAGCCAGAGCAAAGCTACTTGCCCCCGACGGAGTACCAACCTCATTTTCAGGTCTTTGCAAAAGGTGATCACTGGAACGTACCTTCAAAACGGAATATGTGGGCGTCTGTCTGGAGCCTTTGTTTTTGCACCGCGAGGCCTTTCACTCTACCTTTTGCATGCTCACCTGGCCTCCAGTGACTGACATTCTCCAATCAGTGTCCTCAGAGCTCCGGTGCAACAATTCTAGCTTGTGATCTTGCAATCACACGTTTAAGTCGAATTCCATGATTACAACTTGGCATCGAAGTTAGGTCTGGGCAGGTCACGAGACCTACGGCGGGCGGTTGCGCCTATCGCGCAGCTCGCGGAAGAGCCCATAGAGACCATGGCACGCAGGAATTCATACCTATACGTATGGAACATTGGATTGATGGCTATTTACTTGGGGGGGGGGGAACAAGATGAATAAAATCATGGCGAAAATTTTGAATTTCAGGCTAATACAGAGACCAGAAGCCCAGCGACGGTCGTCATGCGTTGAGATCTATGGGAAAATCACACAAAGGGGGAATAAGAGAAATCAATGAATGTGAAAATTGGCCATATCCTTCACTCCCTTGTTTTGGCTACTCGATCACCATTTCAGCCCTGCCTAGACTGCTGGCCCGACGCTGAGGCGGGAGGTGTACCAGTCGATGATGCCCAAGGACCGCTGACGAACTGCGAGTCGGATGTTACTATACGCGAGGAAGTGGAGGCGGGAGCACCCAATTCTTGGTTTTGGTGACCAGTCGAGACTCCAGAATGGTATTGGTGCGCCATGTCATGATGGCTGGCTTGCTGCTGAGGCAAGTACTGTCGAGCGCCGACCTGAACAAGAGGGTTCTGATACTGATGAGCATTGCCGTGCGCATCGGGGATCGCAGGAAAGCCCAGCGAGGCAAACCCAGGCCCGGATTGTGCCCGCGCCATACTGGTACTATGGTATTGCCCGTGTGAGGTTGGTGGTTGCGACTGATAACCCTGTGAAGAATGTGCCGTTGCAGCCGGATCTGAAAAGCCTGGTTGTTGGAAGGAGGAACCCTGTTGGGAATGGTTCCGGGCTAGGGGATACCCCATAGACGACTGACCGTGATCCATTGAGCCAACGGAGTGTGTAGAAAATGACCCGTGCATGGGTTGAAGTCCTGGTGGATCGCTACCGGGCTCGCCGTTTAAGGTCGAGAGGTTCGAGAAATGCGAAGCCTGGGCAGTCATATTACCTGCAGAGTTTTCGACAGTCTGCGGCGCATATTGCGAGGCGAAAAAAGGCTGCGATAAACCCGATGAGCCTACCCACTGCGACCCGGGATTCGAAAGACTGGGGTGTTGTGACACCTGCCACTGAGGTTCAGAAGGGCCATGTTCAGATCGAAGGTTAGGCATATGGCTTGCAGGAACGCCTTGTACCGACTGCGGGAGGAATGGCATGGAACCTGCAGCATGGCCTCCATATGGGTCGCCGATATGTTCCGCATTGAACGGCCCCGATTGACCGTGAGTAGCGTCTCCACTGCTGCCCCAGTGTGTCGTGGGATAGTTCTGCCCAAAAGTATGTTGGCCCATAACTTGCTGTGCATGACTCAGATAGACACCCGTTGATCCCATTCCCGTGTTTTCAGAAGAGCTTTGATGCTGCGATTCCTACAAGACCATTAGCGACATCCACCGTTCGCGGCACCGAGGTGATCCAGCATACCGGTCCATATCCGCCGTGAGCCGATGCGAATTGTTGCCCATATCCATATGGCAAGTGTAGTCCGGTCTGGTTCGCATGCCACCCCGTCTCCGAGGACCCATACGTGGGGTTTGGAGATTGCCTGTTAAGCTGGGCATTCAGAGAGCTCTAACCCGCCATCAGTGCCACTCTTGCAACGTTATCGCCGACATAACGAGCTCAAATCCATACGGAAATCCTCGCGTTGTCCGCCAAAGAGCCTATCCGCTCCGCCAGTGTATTCCCCTGCCAAACCTGCGGGCTGTTTGTTGATGGTCTCGAGGGTGGTGCTTGCGAGGGGCCGGTGCCGATAGACGTGGGCGTTGTCGATGGAGTCAGCACGACTGGCTCAGTTGGGATCTCCCATTGCGACTTGCCGGTCGTTCGTTGGACATAATACCACTTGCGTTGGACCCCCTCCCATTGCGGAAGCCTGAAGTGCCTGGTGTCAATATCGGGCAGAAAGCCACTTCCGCCGAGCGGACTTACCATCCCTCGGGAAGTCGAGGTGGAGGAGACGATGGGCCTGCAGTATCAGCAGGTGCATCTCGCGCCATTATGCGCAGAAATGATGGGTAACGGAATTCAAGGTGAAAGCATTCCTGACAAAAGGGGTGCGCTGCGTTTAAGGCCGCACTAAGACGATCCTGTGGGGCTTGGCTTGGCGATCACGCTTTTTGACTGGTGTACATAGTACATATTGCGGCATTTCTGAGCTAAGCCTGTGTAGTGCTATAGAGATTATAAAATATACCCCTGATATCCCCTGGCTTTCCGCATTTTGGAGAACGTAAAAGGACCCGAAAAAAAGACACCACACCTTCTAAATGATACCCTGACCTATCCCATGAATGAGTCCCCAAAAACCATAACGCCAATCAACAAGCCAAAGAATAAGAATTCGTGCAAAAAGCATCACCAGGCATGTCCACCTCCGGTCTCATAATCGTCACCGGCCCAGTCCGAGTCGCCGCTCGGTTCGTCATCCAGGAAGTCATTTTCGTTGAATTGAGTCTCGCTAGGTCGTTGATTGTCAATTCGAATTGATACCACATCGCACATCCCTTGGACATCGTGCTCTCCAAACTGAGATGGGGTAAATTGGGTTGATGCAACTTTTTCGTGGGCCTCTGAGGCCTTACTCTCAGCCAACCGCGAGCTGTGTCGCTTGGAAAGGGTGGAGTGATCACTGCCAGCAGTGTCTCGGCGTGCTGGTTCCGCAACTCCATCAAAATGCTGCAGAGCAGGCTTCAGCTCTCGCTTTCGAAGAGACCGCAAGTTGGGGTCTGGGGGCTGACTGCGTCGCAAAAAAGTCCTTTCAAGCCGGCTGATCCATCGCTCACGGAAGTTCGCACGGTCGCGCCAACCGATTTCGAGAATTGCACTGACAACCAAGCGGCGAAGGTAGGGCAGGTTGGGGGCAGCATCAATCAAAGACATGAAGAATGATTCTGCTGTACCATGATCTAATCGCCGAAGCTGAATTAATTCGATCTCCTGCAGACTCTTTGGCCACGTTGGCACCTCGGACTCTTTGATGAGCTCAGTGAAGTGAGGCTCAGTGTCATGGTAGCTAGACGTATCATGAATGGAGATATCCATCTGGAACTTTCTCAAATTTGGGCAATACTGAGCGAGCTCGGTACTGAACGCCATGTTCAAATGCCGATTGTGGCTCAAGCACAGCTCTCGCAGATGCTGACCGTGTGATTTCATGAACTCCAAGAAGGATTTGGCGTACACGCGGTCGCAGTTGGAGAGGGTAAGTGAGCGGATAGTCGTAGGAAGTTGTTGGAAGAACGTGTCCTTTACCACCGTGCATTCGATAAGGTCCACGCGTTCAACCTCAGGGAGTGCCCGGAGAGATGTGGCAAGTGCGGCTTCTTGGATGATAAGGTCGTCTGGCTCACCATCGCCAAGATGAAGTAGTCGGACCTCCTTCAAACTTTGAAACGCAGGACGTAGGTGCTTCTCCAACATGAAGGGGAGCAGTTCAGATGTTGGAAGAAAACGAGCATTCCAATCCCAACTGCGAAGAACGAGCCCAGCGTGGTCGATTGCCGTAAATAATGGATCTGAATAGACCCACTTTGAAAACGTGATGTTCCACGGAGGAATTCCAACGGTGTCGTCATCTTTGTGGTAAAGTCGCAAAGTCTGGACCTGGGGCGTTTTCTCAATCAGTCGGGAAAGATCGAAGTAGCCCAGCGTGGGTCCACTTTTGTAGAGAAGAACCTGCTCAACATCGACATGAAGCTCCTTGATTTTCGCGGCGTAGTTCATTGTGCATGACTCTGGTGGCATGGAGAGTAGCTTCAATAGGCCATGGCTTTTATAGGTAGGAAGTAAAGGTGGGGTGTGATAGAGAGCTGCAAGAGCTGGTTCATGGAAGGCCCGACATAATAGTGCCACATTCACAAGCCACTTGACGGAGCCCGTTCGCGTCAACTGTTGTTCGTTGAGTAGCGGGTAGGATGCGCGAAGAAATATGTCGAACAAGACTTGGTATGGCAGTGTCTGCCAGGGAGGGATAACTCCAGAGCCCAGAATGATACCATCACTCGTGTTCACCTTCTGTCGCTTTTTCAGAGGCCGTGCCAGTCCGGTCTTGCTCTTCTGGCGTCGTTTGGGCTTTGGTGGCTGCGAAGGAGCCGTACGCCGGGTGTGCTGAACCCTCGGAGCGTTCGCACCCCGAGGGGCAGGCCCGGGGGCTGCTTGAGCTTGAGGCGAAATGATCAATTGATTGGGTGGATTGGCAGGGGCAACATCGTATTCGGCATCGCTTTCATCTGGAATGTCACCCCAGTCTGCATCGGTCGACTCCTCGCGATAAGATTGGGGAATATCGCGGGGTCGCAAAGTGAGCGATGGACGTCGGGCTCTGCCATACTCAGAATCTGCCTCGTGGTTGGCATCGTCCTCTGAAGTACTCTCCTCTTGATAGGTCTGAACCGTAGTGCGGTTTTGACGAACGGGCCGATTGGGCCTAGAGCGAGCAGCGGAGCGTGACGGAGCCATGGCGAAGTTGTTCACGCTGTATTGACGGCGGACAGGCGTCAACCATTGTTCGAGGATCCACGCGATCCAGGCGATCACTACAAACGTGCTGCAGCCGATTGCAGAGACGTGACTGGGATAAAACCGATGAATGGGAGGAGCTCCCAAGGATGCGGATGCCGTCGGACGGCAGGGACGATCGCCCGTTATCGATAAGCACGGACACGGTGACGCTAAACTTAGACGGGGTCCAGGCCATCACGTGTCTACACCAGGCATCAACGACGAGGCACCAAGGCATCAAACCCCGCCCTCAGGCAAGAACACTAAGCCGTAACAGGTAGCACTAGATGGGACCAAAATAGAAACTCAGCGTCGGAGCTTGAATGGCGCCTCCAGCCACCTCGACACCCTCGTGGGATGTCCAACGGTTTTGTCTTCCTGCCCGTGCTATGCAACATAATTCTCAACCGGCCCTGAGCATATAATAGTGTGGACGGATTGATGAGACCTATGAAACTCATGATCGTCGGTCTACGTTGCGCCTGTTTTACCCGCTTTGTGATCGGGGGTTTGGCGGCTGTCCAAGCATCTCATTGGGAACCACGTTTCCCGTGATGGATTCTAGTAATCATTCAAGTCGAAATGATATCGGTGGGTCTCAGATGGTGATTCAGCAGTATGCCAGGTACCCATCAACGCTGGAGTCCGCGCTGCAAAGTGCTTCTTCTCTGGGAAGTGCTCGAAGTCAAGCCGAAGCAGCAAATCAATCACCCCCGGTACACCGCAAAGGAACTCCACGGAGCCTGCAGTCGTCACCGAGAGGAATGCGCTCTGCGATACCTCCATCTTCAGCTGCTCGGTCCGGACCGTCCATGTCTCCACCTCTCTTGGAGGCCATGCGTCAGCACCAGATGAAGGATCCCACGGATCAAGCAGAATCTCGAGTATTGCCCTCTCGAGATTTCACCGACGAGACAATCGATGATACTTACGTTGCATTTATCTTGTATTGCAATCCTAATGTTCCGTCTTCCGTTGATACTTCAGAGCTGCGGAAGACGTTTCGCTGTCCTCCACGCAGCGATGGCAAAAGCTTCAGTGTCTTCAGATTATTTGAGCTCATCCGCAAACTTGATAGCAGAGAGCTCAAAACGTGGATTCAATTGGCAATTGAGCTCGGAGTTGAACCCCCTTCCATGGAAAAGAAGCAAAGTACCCAGAAGGTTCAGCAGTATGCCGTCAGGCTCAAGGTACGTTGTTACTTCCGCTACCATCGGAATTTGTGGATTTGCCTAACCTAGACTAGCGATGGATGCGCGCGATGCATGTTGATGCCTTCTTCGAGTTTTGCATGGGCCACCCCCATGCGTACTACACCCAGCTTCCTCCCTCTGCCCCTTTCGTAGGCGAGCCCCGCGACGGCGTGCCACTGGAGGAAGATTTGGCGCTGCGAGCTTTGGTTCCTCAATGGAAGCCTAAGCGTGGCAGAAAGAGAGCCGAGGAAAGAGAACTCGAAGAGGAGAAAATCATCAAGAGGCCCCAACTGGACACTTCTGTAGCAGCATTGCACCAAGGAACCTTTCAGGACCACTCGGTCACATTTCCACAGAGCGCTATTCCTTTCAGTGCATTTCCTGATGCCGATGGTCAAGATCCATGGATGACGGCATCATCAGCATTCCCACAGGGCGGTTCATCGGACCAGCACGGGCAGGAACTTCGTTGGAGGCTTCCGGAGCGAGACACGTCGCCCGCTAATTACCCCCAGTCGGCCATCACTCCCCGAGGAAACCAACCTGCTGATGTTATCATGTCAGGTGAGCCAATGTCCGCCGTCACACCGTCATCCGGCAGTAGGGGTCGTACTCGACGGCGACATGGCCCAGCTGTTTCATCTGCTTGGCCGAGCAGCAATGGCTCCTCGACTGGCAAAAGTCGAGGGAGGCCACCCAGTAAGCCATCAACATCGGGATCATTCTCCACGTTTCAAGTCAACCCAAGCCGAGAACCCTCACAAATCCCGCATGTACCTGCAGTTCTATCGTCGCCATTTCCTGTTGATCACAATTCTTCCGCCCCAATTCCAAACGCTTGCAGCGAGTCACCAACCCCGGCCAACAATGGAAGGCCAGGTAAGCTTCAGTTACAGGTCCCTCAGCATTTGGGAGCACCCGTGAGGCTTGCAACACCCCCAACACTTTTGATCAATGGTGCGAATGGTGCAGAAATTCACCAGGTTGAGGGATCCGAGGAGCCTCGACATGACAGTGTGGGTTCTATTCGTGGCCAAGTATTCGAGGGTACAGATCCAAAGATCCCTATAGATGATATTATCCGCGCTTTATCTGAAGAGCTTCTTCAAGCCCGCATGACGGGACGGATGGTACCCTTGAATACGCATGAAGCTCGAGGTTTGGCTTCGGCAATGGTGACAAGCTTCTTGACCATGCATTCACATCTTCCGCATGGTCTTCCATCTCGTCTCCTAGCTTTCCATCTTGGCGTCAGTCATCGCTTCGGACTTCCAGCACCCAACCCAGTGACAATAATTGTCAACGCTCATCAAAGTTCTGCGAATACCTACACTGGTAGCGGAATGGCTAGCACTAATATTGGGACACGGTTCACCATCTCGTTTGAATACAACCGATCATGCCATTTCTCTATGCAGATCGCGCTGGGAAATCAAGGCCCAGCCACCGCAGACTCTTCTAACAAAACGCTTGAAGATAATGACGCAGATGAGTTTGATATCGAGGAAGATGACCTTGAACGTCCTGTCTCCGAGGCAAGCTGGAGACAACGGTACATGAAGCTCCGGACACAGATGAAGAAGAAGGAGCAAGCTTGGTCCCAGTATAAACGCAAGATCGTTGAATCGGTCATGGCTGATATTTGATGTCATTAAATCTCCTATGCAGCTTACGACACCATCTTACGCCCAACTTTTCTTATATTTCTTGTATCTAAGTAGTTAGTGATACTATACCCACATATATGCCATGGCATGTTGCAATCTGATTGTTTCCTCGTGAGGTTTTAGTTTGTAAAAACAACCCACGTATCCAACGGAGACTACAGATGACAGAATGAATATTACGAAGTAGAGACTCGGTCGGAGTCGAAAGATGAAAAACGGTGGATTATTGTACACAAGGCTATAATTGCAGAAGGCGATGGACCGAAAAGGAGATAGGACTTGTTCATCGACTAAAGGGTATTCTCCGCTAGTCGACTGGCCAAATTATGGTGCTTACATTTTCATAAGTTACCTACGAGATTATCGTTTTCTATTATCACGTCATTTGTAGTTCTTGTCAATTTTCTCTCGGTTTTCTCGGTAGCTCACAGGAGAAATTAGAAACTAGAAGAAAACTAGAAACGCAGGATTTGATGAATTACAAACGTCCAATCCGTTAAGAACAGCCCTGTCATTTGTAGGCAAGGTTATCCAGGTACCTAGATTCTCAGTGGTGCAGCAATTTCCATAAGATCAAGTCCTATAGAGAAGACATACATGATTAATTCTTCCAACGTTTCATCTTCTTAATCCATTCTATCCTTTGCAACCCTCCTCGACCTTGATCGGAATTTTGTCAAAAACAGTCCTCTCAATAATTTCTGGCTCATCTTCAATCTTCATTGGTGTGGACTCCTGTTGAGATGGAGCAGGTGGCTCCCATGTTATCACAGGGGCATTGTGGAAGGCAGGTTGCTGTAAAGAGAAGTTCTGCATGCCGGCATCATTTGGAGGAGCCCTTGATGGATATGAATTTTCGAAATGCGATGGGTGCAGGGACGAGAGCGAGGGTGACGCGCCTGAAACCATAGAAAACTGCAATCCATGAGGCAGATACTGGGATATATGCGATGGATACGGCATGCCGCTGGGCGATATTATCTGCGGGAAATGCTGTTGAAAATCGGGGATTTCGTTAATCTCTGGATTACCAGGAATTTGCTGAATTCCAGGCTCGCATTTGACGAATGGATTGGATGTGAACTGTGAGTCCGAAGGTTCCATTTTTGGCACAGGCCCAGCGCACGCCAATGGAAAAGGCATCTGCATTGACATGGGCACAGGAATCAATCCCGGAATCTCCCCCTTAGGTTCTCCCTTCTCTCCTTTCTTGCTGTTCTTCTTTCTGGCATTCTTCTGGGCTGACGAGGGTTCCATCTGGGACTTGAACCGAGAATACCGCATGCGCGCGGCATGGCCGTTAGAGATCTCGAGATCGGAGGCAACCCGATTCCAATCGACCTGACGCAAATTGAAGGTTAGTATTTTCTTCACTTTTATCTAATGCGGAATTCTCACGGTCTTCATGTCCAGTTGTTTGATGATTGCGTAAAGAAACTTGGGGGTTTGGCCCTCGGTGTCCAACACCTTGCTTCGTTGACCCATCACCACTTAGCTAATCTTGGAAATGATGAAGCCAACTCTTGTGATATTTTCGAGCTCCAAAGCTGGGGGAAAGGGTGAAGCAGCTCTAGTGCAACTGGTGAGTGCACTATCTTGCACATCCACATCCATATATAGCTGCTGACACGGGAGTCAGAACAAAATACGAATGTGTTTGTCCACATAACTACGCCCATAAGCCAGCCTAGGTACCGGGCACTGCAATATTCAAACATTCCCTCAGTCATGGGTACTACACTGCACGAGGCTGCTCTCCAGACAAGATGATCTCCCCTTTGGGTTGAAAGAAGCAATACGCAATTCCACGTCAACACAGCCACGTTGCATCATTAATCTCAACAGCATAGAAAGAAATTGTTAAAGGCTTTGAAATGCACGTTTCCTTCCCGTCAAAAACAACGCCTTCTTCAATCGTAGGACGACAAAAGTGCGTTTGTTATGGCAACGCAGCGCGCACGTGATCTGCAATGTCCTTGTTTAGGGCAAACAACATATTGGCAGTCACAAAAATAGACAAGAAAGTTCCTGCAAGAGTGTCCTGCCACTGAATTTGTAATTTTGTTCTCATTTCAAGAGTACAAGACCTCCAGAGCATTTCAATTCATGTCTGATGATGTACACTTCAATGGATGCTTGGAATTCATCATAAGAGCAACTCCATAAACAGAATGAAAGCTTTGGTATGCTTTTATGCGCTCTTGGGACTAAACATATCAAAGGTTCTTCGACTAGCATGGTTACCTACCCGTTTCTCGGATTGGAGAGAGAGATGTGACGTCTCACTGGGACGAGTACAAATCTATGACTAATCTGCCCCGCGTCACGGACATCCGATTTACAGGTTCGAGATCGAGTCCACCATTTGGTTTTGACAAAGGCTTGATTGTTGGATACTGTGTGTGGGACTCCTGGAAAATTACAATTATGTCTGTGGTCGCAGTCGGTGCATGCTATCTGGACACCATCCTCACGTGAGTATTTCACTGCAAAGCCTACAGAGAAACCTACTGGGTTTACTGGACTTGAATTCATTCTGACTTGAAGCAAAGTACATCGTATTATCCAGCAGAGGATGAAAAGCTGCGAGCGTCCAGCATTGTCCGTCGAAGGGGCGGAAACTGCCCCAATACTCTGGAAGTATTACAACAATTGGTTGCTCACCCATCGACGGAGAAAAAATTATCAATGAATCTCGTTACTATTCTTCCTGCAAAAGAGTCATTAGTCTCGCAGCAGATAAGGTCGGTTTTTGAGCCACATGTGCGCCTCGACCACTGCATCTACCGGGAGGAGTTTCAAGAGCCGGCGTCAAGTTACATCATCAAGAGCCAATCCACTGGCAGCAGGACGATTGTGAATTACAACGAGCTCCCAGAGATGACTGTGGAGGAGTTTACTCAAATTGCAGACAAGCTAGGCCCTCAAGCGACCTGGTTCCATTTCGAGGTATGTTAAGCCCGAGCCTTTGCCTCCGTCGGGTCCAGAACTCCAGCGACTCAAGTATAGTACGATGGACTAACTGTACTTAGGGCCGGGTGCCAGATGTGACTTTGGGCTGTATTCAATATCTCAGGAAACAGTTTCCCTCTGTTCGCGTAAGTATTGAGGCTGAGAAGCCGGGTAGGCCTGGTCTCCAAGAGCTTGCCGACGCAGCAGATGTCGTTTTCATCTCAAAGTCATGGGCAGTGGTAAGCTCCTTTACTTGTACAATATAGTTTTGACACTATGGCTAATTATTCAAATAGAGCAATGGAAGTTCTTCAATAGAGGACTGCTTATCCAAACAAGCGGATCGATTACCCAGGTGGGAGCCCAGCCAGCCGAATTTCAGACCATTGGCTAACGAACTTGGAATTTAGATCACTCGTATGTTGCACTTGGGGAGCTAAAGGGGCCGGGGTTTACGACGGGAGAAGTATGGGAGACATTGCGGTGATTCCTGCTTATAAAAAGCCGCACTCGGAAGTTGTCGAGTGAGTTAAAACTAGAAACATTCAAATCACAAATTGTGTGACTGACTATTACTAGTCCTATCGGAGCTGGAGATACATTTATTGCCGGTATGCTGTATGCATTAAATTGCAGGGACAAGATTTGGTCCATTGCCGAAAGTGTTGAATTCAGCACAAGGGTTGCGGGCATGAAAGTGTTCCAGGAAGGATTCTCCGGGCTTGACCAGGTGCTTTCATCATTATCATGAAAATGCCAATTAATTAAACTGGTACCCGAAGACAACCGATATTACTCTCCCGGAAGGTGGAGAGATTGCGTTCACGAGCCATGTAAAGCTTGCTGAGAGTACAGCCCGCCTCATGCTACAAGGCAGATTTGAGAACATGACGGTTCTCCTTACAGCTGGGGAAACTATCACGGCTAAAGAGCTCGTAAGCGTGATCCACAGCCGTCGCATGGAGCCCGACATGTGTCACCGAAAGAATTCTGTAAACATTACGATCCGTTAGGAAGTCAAGCCCTAAAGTCAACGATCCGTCTTCAGTTTCATACATCCCATGGCCTACGACAGACTACCATAGAACGTGTGATTTGGTCGATAGAATAAATTCGTAATACTTAGCTCTGCATGAAACGCATTAGTCCCTTTCATATTAGGATTTCTAAACGGGGACTGAAATCAAGCCATCCACGCTGAGGCCCTCTCCAGAGAAGTTTATTATATCAATATATTGTAGATTCTAATACTATGTACAGTTATTCTTCTAGTATTCTCAAAATTTTGTAATATCTTGGAGTGCAATTTTAAGTGGGGCGGATTCCGAAGGTGTGCGGACTACCAGTACCGTGTCGCTGGTATGGGATCGGCCTATGTATATAATATTTACTTTTACTCGCGGGAACAAAGAAGTTATTCGCAGACTGGGCGAGGTCGCTGAGCAACTGAGGGTGATGGAAAATTGCAGAAAAAGTTGCTGCGAAGGATTTGATTGAGGGTCACCATAGACATTTAATTTTTGTTTCTTTTTTTTTTCCTCTTTCCTTTTAGAGCATATAGCCAGAAATTAAATCGAATACTATTGAGCGTGGATTGTAGTGCAACTGTATCGTGTGGGGCCAAGTGCAGATACGCACACGTGACTCGAAATAGACCCAGGCGGTGAAGAACAAAAAATATTCTGCCATCAACTTTTCTCCGAAGCTTCTTGCTCGACTTCAATCGCACTCGCTGTTACAAATTCGAGGGTCACCATGGCAGCAGTTTACAAGAGTATTTCCAAAAAGCAGGCCCGTCAGCCTGTTGAGGAGGTGGATGAGGATATGGATATGGATATGGAGGATCTTCTCAACGATGCGGACGACACCACGGACAGCGAAGAAGACGAGGAAGAAGACCGTATCGCTGCGGCCAAGAAGCAGTTGGCCGCTGGGTTCATGCCCAAGACCCGAGTTCTCATCCTGACCTCGCGAGGTGCCTCGCATCGGTAAGAATTCTCTTATACACTGTTTCAGACTGCCTTTGCTGACCGGCGATGATTTGCAATCTTCCAGTCACCGACACTTGATGTCCGATCTCTGCTCCCTCCTCCCCCACACTCACAAGGAGACCAAGCTTGATACCAAGAAGAAGACCGCGGGTTACAACTTGTTGTTGAACTCGCTCGCCGATCTCCACTCGTGCAACATGATCTTTTTCCTGGAGGCTCGCAAGAATGGTCAGGATCTCTACCTCTGGCTTTCGCGCCCCCCGAACGGCCCGACTATCAAGTTCCATCTCAACAATCTTCACACTATGGGTGAGCTCGGCGCCGGATTCGCGGGTAACTGCCTCAAGGGCGGCAGAGGTGTGGTGGTGTTCGATCGGTCATTCGACGAGCAGGGCCCCGACATGGCTGCCCCCGGCTCTGAATACCGGTCGCTCATTCGGGAGATGTTGCGCGGTGTTTTCTGCGTCCCCAAGCGCGGCGTCAAGGGCATGAAGCCCTTCGTTGACCGTATCATTGGTATCTTCGGCGTGGACGGAAAGATTTGGATTCGTGTGTACGAGATCCGCGAATCTGAGGGCAGTGGCAAGAAGGACGGCGAAGAGACTGCCAAGTCCGCGCCCAAGGACAAGAATGGCCTGCCCGAGGTCTCCTTGGTGGAGATCGGCCCGCGCTTCGTTCTGACCCCCATTGTGATCTTGGAGGGCAGTTTCGGCGGCCCCGTCATCTACGAGAACAAGGAATACGTCAGCCCCAACCAGGTTCGTCGCGAGATCCGCATGGGCAAGGCCGGTCGCTACTCTCAGCGCCGGGACGTGCAGACGGATCGTATTGCCAAGCGTACCGAACTGGGACTCTCGGACAACTCCTCCCGGAAACACGATGCCATGGAGACAAGGAAGCTTTTTGCATAGATGGTTGTATGTTTTTCGTCGCCAATTTCCTCAAGCATCTGCCCTTCGGGACTACTTCGACTACATGTATATTTGATGCGACGTTTCATGGTCTATTACGGCGTCAAGGCAAATTTTCATAGGGTTAATGTCAAAAAGTACTTCGCATTCCATTATATTTGCCAGTTGAAATATCTCATTCTTACCTTTTATCATTAAGCCTTTTCCTGTCTACAACTTTGGAATATTTTGATGTTCAGGCCCCATGCCGAAGCTGCCCTGTGGGCGCCCATACGGGCTAGCTTAAAACTTAGTGTTTACAGACTCCCGATATGCTAATCAGTTTCAAAGCTTCAAGGAATGGGACCAACAGACTAGTTCAGCCCCAAAGCCAAATCAATAAGCTGAAACTGAAGTGGTTGACTATGAAGTTTGGATGCCACAAAATGCTCTCGTCTGACTCAAGGTGTTCCACATGGATATGTATACATGATATTGAATACGGTTTAGAAACCCCATAGAAGAGACCAAGTACTTTAGGGCTTTAGGGTGCCCACGCCCTGGGGGCGACTCGGGCACATGGCCGCTGGAGTAGGACGGCTTAATAGGAGAAGGGTCATTTCTGGGTGGAGCTGTCAAGTGGGCCCGAGTCGTCGTGGCATCTGGACCGCCATTATGTACACCGTGGCGGTCGAGAACTTGGCTACGACTCTTAATCACAGACCACTTGCACAGGAATTTCAAGGTTATAAATATACTGAATTTCAAAGGCTTCATACAAAACCCGTCGCCAAAGTGACGCCTAGCCCATATCATTGCACCTGCGACCGCGGGGAAACCATCAGGGGGGGGGGGGGGGGGGGGGGAAACAGAACCGATCAGAAGTCTGGTGGAAGAAATCAATTTCATAGGGGACCAGAGCAAGCGAACAAGAAATAGGAGAAAAAAAATAGAACCCAAAGGTCTGACTATCGGGAGTTATGTCCTGGTGGGCCGTCTCATCCCATGCTTGCTACCGCATCCCGCTCGTGTATCATCGCATCAAATTACACACTCCGTCACGGACCCAGGCTTTTCCAATATCGCATTGTAAAAAAAAGAAGAGTCGTTGCTGTTCGATCCTCCTGAGTTGTCTAGCAGCAGCCCTGCTTCTGCTCGTTGTCCTGAGGCGTGAAGTCGATAACGGGCTGGCGGGCACCGGGCTGGTTCTGGCCAGATTCTCCGGAATCGAGGGCCTTGCTGGAGACGATGCGGTAAATTTCTAATAGAAAAGCAGTTAGCGTGGCTCACGGCTGGTCTCGTGCCCGCAAGTGACCCACCTGTGAGGATATTCTGGAAGGCAAGCTCGACGTTGCTGGCGTCAAGGGCGGAGGTTTCGATGAAAGAGAGGTTGTTCTCGCCTGTCCAAATGGTCAGCACTGGAGCCCCGCCGTTCATTCCCAGTCTCGACACTTACTGGCAAATTGCTTGGCCTCCTCGGTGGGGACCGCACGAAGGTGTCTCAAATCGCTCTTGTTACCGACCAGCATGATCACAATATTGGAGTCGGCGTGGTCCCGCAGCTCCTTCAACCACCGGTTGACATTGTCATAGGTCTGGTGCTTGCTGATGTCGTAGACGAGGAGGGCACCGACGGCGCCACGGTAGTAGGCAGAGGTGATGGCCCGGTAGCGCTCCTGACCAGCAGTATCCCAGATCTGTGCCTTGATGGTCTTGGAGTCGACCTGGATCGAGCGAGTCGCAAACTCCACGCCGATGGTGGACTTGGAGTCCAGGTTGAATTCGTTGCGGGTGAACCGACTCAACAGGTTGGATTTACCAACACCCGAGTCTCCGATCAACACCACTGTTCATCCGTTAGTTTGTCCGCAAGCGATATTTGGAGCGGGCGCAGGCAAGGAGGAGCGAGGCGGCGATATCCACAGGAGGCAACGTTACCTTTGAAGAGAAACTGGAGGCGAGGTCAGCACAAGACAAAACAGACACCCTGGTGTTATTAACTCACGTCATATTCGTCGTTGGCCATGGTGGAAATGTGGTAAAGAAAGTGGGACGAGAAAGGAAGATTAACCGAGGGGAAGTATGTTGTAGCGATAGGGAGAGAGTGTTGATGCTTCTTGGAGTGGAGTGCCTCCTTAACGTTGGGTCACGTGGGGCCGTGTTTCGCCGCTTCACTTGCAAGTGGGATGCACGAGTGACGCGCACTCAGCTCTCCATACATGTTCGCATTGTCTGCGGAGCTTGTTGATGTCTCCAGCTTCATCTGAGCTGGTGGCTTTCAATGAGCTACCGGCAGCCTACGTATTCAAGAGCTACAACTGACCGTGCCTGCGTCAGTAGCAATATCAAACATCTTTTCTACACCAAACTCATTGGTGATTCATCGGGCTCATCACATACCAGTCACTATGGCCTCCTACACAGCAATGGAAGATGCAGGGGAACTGTCTGAGCCCGACTCTCTGGTTTCAACTGCCGAGAGTGAACCACAGGAAGAGTATGAAGTGGAGGCCATTCTCGCCGAGAACGAGGAGAGAGGGGAATATCTGGTCAAATGGGCCGGCTACCCCAATCATCGTGCGACATGGGAAGGCCCTGAAAGCTTTGATAATCTCGATGACACTATGAAAGACTGGAAACAGACGAAATGGGAAATCTCAGAAGGCCTACGATCTCCATTCAATGTTCGTCAATGGCAAAGGGAGCAAAATCGGCTCGCGAGAGAGAAAGAGGCCCGACAGAGAACGCGCAAAATCAAGAGGGCTCAGAGAGCTCGAAGGAAAGTCGCGCGCCTCAATCGACCCGATCCCAACCTCGCTGCCACCCTGTTTGGTGACGACGAAGGGTCTTCTAATCCTGCAATTCATTCGTCTGCAACACGACGCTCATCTCCTGAACAAGACATGAGCTTGGAGGGGAATTTCGATGAAAAAGACGCCAGTGGTGAGAGAGGGGTTAGCCTCAATCTCGACATCGAGGACGCCGTTGACGCACTGGCTGAACGCACTTCGTCAAGAAGAAGCCCTTCTGTCACTTCGGCTAAATCGGATAGCTCTTCTCTCTTTGTCTCCGAAGTCAAAACCCCGCCCCTTAACAACCCGAGGAAGAAGCGATCACTCGAACACAGGGACACGGCGCTCTTCGTTCCATCTCACTCTGAACAGTCGACCATTCAATACGAAGAGGCCGAAACGCACGAGCTTCAACTTCAGCAGGAGCTTGAGCAAGGACTTGGGCAGCAACATTCTCCACGAGCCCGGCAGTCTCAAAGTGAGAAACAACAGGGAACTGAGCAGCACGAGCTCGAGCCCCTAGAGCGACATCAGCCACCGCAACTACAGCAGCCTCCGCAACCACCATGTCAACAAGAGCCTGGACAGCAAAAGCAGACCCAGGAGAAGCCGCGTTCTCAACACCACGAGAAGCCTCTGCAGCGGCAGGCGCAACAGACGCACCTGCCATCAAAACCGACATCGGCACCAGCTCCTCCTCCCCCGACACGATCTGTGCCAGCGCCCGCTCCGTCCTCTTTTGGTGTTGCGCCTAGGCCCACCCAAACAGCTCGGCCTCGTCGTTCAAGATGGGCCGAACGTGAACCAAATGTGACCGAGTTGGAGCTCAGGAAACCATCGCAATATCGAGCAAGAGGGGAAGGCGCCGATTCTGCCACACTCAGCATGCTCCGGCCTTCAGCTGAATTTCAGCCCTTATCCGACCCAGGGAACAGGCCTAAGGAACCGCCAACTACGACATCAAGTTCAACCCCTGCAGCACCGCTTTCTCTTCCGCACGCAATCACCGATAGGTTCTCGGACATGTCGCCGACTTCAGTGGCACGACCTCGCGTGGGAAATTCAGGGGCCCTTGAGGCAGAAAGGCCACATATGCCTTCCAGTTCTCTAATCCGTGATGTTGTTCTGGTCCCACGTAGTGGAGGAGAGAGCTATCGACCGATCTACCCCAGGGAGCGATCCGCCTCTCCTGACGATGATTATTCCCGCAGGCGTTCTGACGCACATCCTATGTCCTATCGCCATGGAAATGCATCGTGGTCCCGTTCCCGTTCCCGCTCGCCGCCCCCTGATTTGATTCGGTCCCCTGATACCTCGCGCAGAAGTCCATACAGGAACAGGCGTGGCACGCCCTACCCGCAGTCTCCCTCTTTGCATGCCGATTTCCATCCACGGCAGCCTCGAAGGACGCTTCCTCCGATCCTAGCACGCCTTCCTCCTACCAAGGCTGAATTGTCCGCACAAGACTACATTGCAAAGATGCCTATTGGTACTTACAAAGAAGGGGAAGGTGTGAAGACTAAAAGCGGTTATTTCTGGAATTTCGGAGAAGTTCTTGCGCATGTGTACTTCGGTCCAGAAAGGGATTTTGTTGGTGTTTTCAGGATATGCGGGATGAACGACAAGATAAAGCAAGACCTCCTTGCTTCAAAGATGCCTGGAAATACTTTCGATATGTGGTTCAAACAGGTCTGCACCAAGAGTCAATATGACAGACTCTGTGATCAGGTTTGATTGACCCCATTCGCCGTCATATTGTTCGCTGCTGATTCTGTTCCGACTCTATAGACGCCCTATAATGACCGGTGTGGTAATGCTTGGATGGAGGGCTTCCCCGACACAAACTCTAAGCTTTTCCATACGGCCGAATACCTCCGTCTGCGGAATTCTGCGGCCATTTACCGTCCTGCCAAATCGATGGGAAGTACATGGGTCATGTATTCTTGCCAGACGACGTCTTTCACGGAAGAATTGAACTACAACAGCGATCGGGTCCCTGCCAATGTCCCTGCCTTTCTTGCAATACGGCCACCCTTACCCTCATTTCTACATGTGGAACCGAGTCCCAGAGATGAATCAAGCAGAGGCCGAAGAGATTTCCCAAAGAATGTGCATTTCCGAGACGGTGATCCCACGAGACATGAAAGCTTGGGAGATTTGCCAAATGCCAAAGATCGTGCCGGGGTAAATCGATCTGCTGAAACTCTGGAAATTCCCAAATCTGCAGAGCAACGTACTTTGACCAGGGTCCTGGAAAGTACAATGTCTGGGGATCTTCAATCGTCCGAATTGAGGATGACAGAGCAGCCCGATTCAGTATCCGCGGGCCCGCGCCTCAGAAGACGAAGTTCTATTTCGAAGAGTACGCCACAATCTCCTACTCAGCCCAGGCTTGCCGAACAAGACCGTTCCCCGAAGGAGGGAATCAACAGATCACATGACGAGGATGAGCAGATTCGGGGAGGTGAAAGGGATTCTGAAATGACATCGCTCGAGGATCTGATTACAGATCCCCTGGAACATGTCACAACAACTCCCTCGACTGCTGCGGATTCCATCATGGTACCATCTCCGGAGGAGGCCACCCAGACGATGTTAAGAATCTTCCGGGATAATTACAAGATCACGCTGGAACAGCTTTCGACTGTTTCGGAGGGTACTCAAAGTCAAGTGCTTTCACCAACGCCAAACTTTTACCTACACTCTTGTTCGAATCAAGAAGGCGAGGCTCGAAAAGATGGTGAATTCCTGGAGGCTTGGCTCAAGACATTTCCACAGATCAACATATTCTCCGACTGGAAGAAATTTCTGAACGAATGTCCTCGCGGCGTGATCATGGTATGTATACTATCATCTCGAAAATTCCATCCACAGGAAGATTGCTAACTTGAGACAAAGTTCCATGAGTCATTCACGTGTTACGATGAATTGAGGCCTGAGCTTCGGCAGCCTCTCTGGTCAAGTCGTTACATCTTCTGGAATTATAGACTGTCTAGGCCCCTCCAGACGGCCGATCCATTCTTTTGCGATGAGGGCGCTCATTTTCAGCTTATCTTTCCTATCGGGACCGCATTCTTGATTACAGAGGATGTTTTCAGCGATCTCAAGCGAGCGTTGGTGCTCATCTGCTGGTTCTACTACGGGATGGCACATTCATATAGAATGAACAAGTTGATGCTCCATCCTGGCATCATGCAATACCTGGACAGGCGACTCGATGATCCTGAACTACGTGAGGATGACGAACAGCTGTATGTTTGTGATTACTTTTTTGAAACACTCCGCTCTAATTTCAACACTTTTTAGCTTGCTCCTCATCATAGGCTGGATCCAAAAGGCAAATTCTATCGACCCTCGTCGCCCAGTCTTCCAAAGCGAAAGCTTGAATCCACGCAAGATACACATGGTCAACAACAATATCATTTCCTTCGAGCCTGAAATCATCCAGAATTGGATTCGAGAAGGAGGAAGCATGGGAGTCCCTAAGGACATTTCGCAAGATGAGCGCAACGCGGACCATGTTGTCCAGATGTTTACGGCGTGGACACTCTTGAACGCGGCCTGTATACGGAAAACCGTGGTGATCACCAGCACCAAAAATCGGGCTCTTCATACCCGGTGGCTGTCCAACGGTCGTGTCGTTCTCTACTCCCCAAGTAGTTTCATCAACAGTTTCAGGATCCCGGAAGACCTGTTCCTTGCGAAGGCCTTGGGTGAAAATCCAAAGGGTGGAAATGCCGATAATGGCCGGTTGTTACCAGCCATGACGCCTAAAACCCCGGCCTTTGACCCACGCACTCCTCGAGCGCCTTGGACCAGTCATACCGGCGACGGCACCTCCTCCCCGAAAGAAATGGGTAGACAAAACTACCCTGCCCCTTACAAATGAAGCCGTTTCATCACTCGCCGAGAGCAAGCGTTGCAACCTGTTACTAGGTCCTCCGCGCACCCTCCTCGAGCTGTTTTCGACAGCTACTCTTCCATTCCTGTATCCCACTTACGATCAAAATCACACTGTGTAACATTTAGCCTACCTTTCTTGATATGCCGTTTCGTTTTTTACTTGAGATATCCCCCTCTTCGATACAATTTGGACATAATGCCATTGTCTAGCAATCAAGACTTTACGATCAACCATTCTTCGCAATCGATACGTCCTTCTAGATCTTAAAAAAATCTGCGCTTGGGCTGTTCAATGTGGATCGATTTGATGAAAAAGGAGAACTTTAAAAAGGTACACAAGTTCTGGAATCGTAAGAGAAGAAGACTAAAAGAACTTCCATGTACACCGGGTATGTCATGATCGCCACCAGGGCGCAATATTCATTGCATTGGCAATAGCTTAGCCTATCGATCGCTTCCGGTATTCCTGGAAGTTCGATGCATGCTCATTGCCTTCGCTATCACCGTCGGCCTTGTCTTTCTTCTTCCCCTTCTTTTCGCGCCTTGTCTTTTCTTCCCACTCGCTCTCCTCGGCAGAGATCATCGCGTGGAACTTTCCGCCTTGGCCACGGGCAAGATAGATCGGCTTCTCCTTGCGCTCGGCCACAGCCTGGGTGACAAGAACGAACTTGACACTGGAGCCGGGGGCTTCGAACATCGCGTCGCTTAGAATAGTTTCCATCTCGGTGCGCAGAGCACGAGCCCCCGTGCCCATTGTGAAGGCATTAGCTGCGATTTTGTGCAACGCCGGCGTGGTGAAGCGGAGCTCGATGCCGGACAGCGAGAAAAGGGTCGTGTATTGGGCGAGTAAGGAGTTGCGGGGTTCAGTGAGAATGCGCAACAGTAAGGGTTGAGTTAGGGTCGAGAGCGCGGCAGTGACGGGAATCCTGCCAATCAGCTCGGGAATGAAGCCATAGCTCTGCAGGTCCGCTGGAGTCAGAAGGTCGAGTGAGTTGAAATAGGTCGGCTCGCCGCCTGCGGCAGGAGACACGGAGGTGAAGAAGGGGAGGTGCTTCTTGTATAATGCCTCTTCTTCAGACCCTGGCAGGATGGGAAGTGGTTCGTTGTTCGAAGAATATGGGGCACCGGGAATATCGCTTGTGCTCGAAGCTGAACGGACTGGTTGGCCAAATCCGATGGAGCCACGCGAGATGCGGTCCATGACCACTTTTTGCAGACCGACGAATGCGCCAGAGAACACGAACAGTATGTTGTCCGTGCGCACGTTGTAGACTTCGCCCTTGGCAGCAGGGTTGTTGTTGTGGGGCTGGAATGGTGTGTTTCCCAGCGGACTGTTGGAGGGATAGGAGTTCGGAGGGCTGGTAGTCCGTGGGTTCTTTTCATTTTTGGCCTGCACTTGTATCGTAGTACCCTCGATGATCTTCAGGAGCGCTTGCTGCACTCCTTCACCACCGACATCCTTCCCGTGACTGACCTTGGCGGCCGCGAGTTTGTCGACCTCATCAAGGACAATAATACCTCGCTCCGCCTGCTCAACGTCATAGTTGGCAGCGGCCAGAAGTCGGTGAACACAGGTCTCGGCATCCTCTCCGATGTAGCCAGCCTGAGTAAAAGGCGTACAATCCGAGATGCTGAACGGCACCGACAGAACACGAGCCAGTGTCTTTGCCATGAGCGTCTTACCAACACCAGATGGTCCAAGTAGCAAAATGTTGGACTTGTCCAACTGTAGAGGAGATGTGTCAACCAGCTCGCCTTGGTCCAACAGAGTGGCCTGGCGGGACTTCGTGGTGGACGGGAGACCGACTGTGCGCTGCTGACCAGAAAGTTCATCTAAACGATACCGTTCCAATCAGATATGCCATTTCAATACAAACGGATGGGCTGAAAACATACCTTCCAAGGGGTGACCTTCTAGCGCCTCCCTCCGTTGTCGCTTCATGAGAAGCTCTTCTGCCTCCTCCTCGCGTCTTTGCACTTCTTGTACCCTCTGGTAATGGTTGTAGACAGCCACACTCAACACCTTCTTCGCGCGATCCTGTCCCACCACATACTGGTCGAGGTAATGCTTCAGCACCTTCGGTGTTATGCGTGGGGCGCCAAATGCCGGTGTCGACCCCAGAGGTCCGGAGGTCGGGAGTCCAGTCTCATAGCTAGATGTGTACGGCTGACTGGTAAAGTCTGACCGGTCAAATTGTGAGAAGGTCGGGAAATGGAACGAGGAGCTAGACAATTGACGCCGGCTGATGGAGGATAGGGTTGGCCGACATCGGACAGGCCGGACAACCTCGTGATGCGTCCAGGCAAGCGCGAGCCGACGCTGGACAGGCCGCCACTGCATCGCCCGAGGACTGCAGAGGTGTAGGCTAGTGAGTGTTAAGATTTAATGAGATGAGAGAGGGTTGAATCAGATAGGGAGCTTTCCCCGCAGGTGATCTTATCGGCTGAGTCATCTCGGTTGTCCACGGCCGTGGAGAGCCTGATGAATGGCGTGATATACGTAGATCGGGGGAGCGTCATTGTTGAGCTTGAGCACACAGCTAAAGTGAGATATGTCTACTGTTAGATTGTTGCTAGGAAAATATCCGGTCAGTTTTAAAAAAGGAGATCGCTATTCGACCCACCAAAACTCATCCCAACCATCCTTTTTTAGGCCAGGTACAAATGTGATAAACTTTTAGTAAAAGGGTCTTCGTAGGGAGCAAATGAGAGTGTCGAAAACGGTAGATTTGTTTTACCCATTCGTGTTGTATTGTTCGTGATGATCTGCCTTCCTATTTAGGTCAGTTACCGCGAGGTCCCAACGGTTTGGACTCGGTACGGATAGACTCACTGTGAATACGGCACTACCTTAGGTTGGTTTGTCATGATACTTGACAATCTCGTATCGCGCGAGCGGTCTCCACCTGCAGCAAAGCGGCTCTTCGTGTTATTATGATTTTATTTTAGGTACACCTGGAGCACTGCCACGGGCAAAAATGTTTATATATGGTGCTGGGAATCCTGGGACCGCGTAGTGCTGGTGACAATAGATTTGGCTGCTTTCCAATATGGTCAAGCCATTCTTCCTTCCTATTCTTCTTTCTGCGGGAGCTGCTGCAGCTTCCCAGACTTCTCATTGTCGCTGCAGACCCGATGAACCTTGTTGGCCCTCGCAGGAGGAATGGCTCTCCTTGAATAAGACCATCCAGGGCAACCTGGTAGCGGTCCGGCCCGTTGCATCAGTATGCCATGGAGATGAATATAATCCCCAGGCATGTAAAGCAGTCATTGGGCTCTGGTCCAATTCTGCTTGGCGCTCAGCTCAGCCAGGCGCTGTCCAGTGGGAGAATTGGGAAGCCTGGCCAGAAAATCACCAGACCTGTTATATCGACTCACCCCGGGGAACCAAGTGCGGTCAAGGTCGGGTTTCCCTGTACTCGGCCAAGGTTCAGACGGTATTCCAGGTCCAGCAAGCCGTCAAGTTCGCCAATACCCATAAACTTCGTCTCGCCATAAAGAATACAGGTCACGATTTCCTGGGTCGCTCGACGGCACCGGAGTCGCTGCAGATCTTGACTCGCGGGATGACGGATATCCAAATTGTGGATGACTTTGTCCCGAGAGGAGCACCCAAGGGTAAAAGCGAGGGCCACGCGATGACCATCGCAGCTGGTGTACAGTTGCCTGAGCTGTACACGGCGGCTGCCAAACAAAATAGAACAGTTGTCGGTGGATCCTCGCATACCGTGGGTGCAGCCGGAGGGTATATTCAAGGCGGAGGGCATTCGCCATTTGGGGCCTGGGGAGGCCTTGGATCGGATAATGCCCTTGAGTTTGAGGTTGTCACCGCAGACGTAGGCAGAGCTATGTCTTGTCGCTCAGAATGAAGCTAATGCACTGTCTAGGGCACCCTCGTGTATGCGAATGCGTATCAAAACTCTGACCTCTTCTGGGCTCTGCGAGGTGGCGGTGGAGGAACATTTGGTGTGGTTACCAGTGTCACGGTGCGCACGTTTCCCGAAGTGCCGGTTCTTGTGTACAACCTCAACATCACCGCCGTTCAAGGGACCCCCCAGTTCTGGGAAGCTTGGAGTGAATTCCATGCTGCTCTCCCGTCTCTCAATGACGCCGGTGGCTCAGGCTACTACTTCACTGTGCCCAACTTCCCTCTCAACACCAATACTAGTGTTTCCGTCTTTATCTCTCTTCTCATGTTTCCTGGGAAAACTGACCCAGCCGAAATCGACAAGTTATACCAACCGCTAAAGTTGAAGCTGCAGCAACTCCAAGGAATTCAGGTCCAGAACATATCATTCCCCTTCCCTACTATGAACTCGACCATCTTCACCCTACTCCTGAGCGGGGAGAATGCCGACAGCACGGGAAGCATCTTGATGCTCGGCTCGCGCCTCTTCTCGAAAGATCTCCTGTCATCGAAGGATGGGGCAGATCGCCTAACGGACGCCTGGAAGAGTATCAAGATGGACCCCTATGACCAAATTCTCGGCCACGTTGTGGCCGGCGGTGCTGTAGCAGCCAACGGGGAGAAGATAGATAGCGCCGTCAACCCAGCCTGGAGAAAGACCGTTACTCACATGGTCTACTCGAGGAACTGGGAGGCCAACGCAACTCTCGCACAGCAGTCCGCAATCATCAAGAACATGACTGAGATCGAGATCCCGATTCTGCGGTCTGTCGAGGGCGAAGACCGGATGGGCGCTTATTTGAATGAGGCTAATGCCTATGAGGACGGGTTCCAGCAATCGTTCTGGGGCGAACACTACCCCCGTCTGTACAGCATCAAGCAGAAATGGGACCCCGCCGGGCTGTTCATCTCGCGCAAGGGCGTTGGCAGCGAAGATTGGGATGACGCGGGCCTGTGTATGACTACCGGGGGCCGCAGCAAGGCACTTGGCCACTGATATAGGACCGAAGGGCTGAGATCTTGGGATATTCGTGTAGGTTTAGTTTTGCCTTTTGTATTTATCTTATCTTGCTGAACATATTAGAAATTCTCTATGTATATTTGTTCCAACGATGTAGAGTAGGCCCGTTCAGTCTTAATAGTCTTGTTCACGTTGTTGACTAGAGCTCGGACGAGGAATTATCAGGACTCGACAAATGCGGAAAGAGCTGGAATATCTGGATATCCGAGATTCGCCGTGGGTATGTCGCTCACTGCGCGGGATCAAGCGCCCCGAATGGCTTCGGTTGGTGTATACGGCATCATCTGGATATGGCGCCTTCCTCCCGCCATTCTCGTTGATAAAATCAACTTCCTCGGTATGCCGATGGATTGCAGGCGTCATGTGGTCACCCGCCGAAGTCAGGTTGCAGTTTTTTGTGTCTGATCGTGGTCGCGTGCTCATTTGTTGGTCTTGAAGACGGGCTGCTGCTCCATGGTCTGCGAGATGAAACTCCGCAGTGCAGACCAGCGATTCGCGGTCGGGTTCGATTCGGAGGTGGTCTCTGCATTTCTATCGGCCACTTGAGTCTGCAAACCGGACATCTGGGCCATGTTCCGTGCGAACCGATCCCGTTCCACCTTCTCCAGCTTTTCCCGACGCTTCAAGGCACCGGGCTTGTGTCGCAGCGTCTTCTGCTTGATGACATTGGCTTGACTGGCGGCATCATGCGACTCTTCAGCAGCGTCCGGCAGCGCATCGGCCAGGGATTCTAGGTTGGCGACCAATTTTTTCGAGGGTCGGCGCTTCTTCTGAGATTTGGAGCTCTTGGCGATCTTGGACATGAGGGTCGCATGCTTGATCTGACGCTTATCCTTCTTGCTGGTACGGAAGTCATCTCCAAAGGAACCCGAGCGCCCGGCGGCAGCAGCGGGAGACTTGGTCTTCATGGTGAGAATGTGGGTAATTTGGAGTTGAGGACGAGAAAGAACCGGTGCAAAGCAGGCAAAATCGGAGACATGTGAGGATCGGCTTCGGGACCAGCAAATTTGCGTCCCGAGGATCCACCGTCGCCCCTTGTCCCTTTGAGTTCACCCAAGATCTTCACGAAAACGCTTCGCCGCCCTGTGACGTGACCGTTCTTGTATGATATCGACAGATCCACTTTGTCGGAGGAATCCTCTGCTCCATTAGGAACACCCAATTCTGTGACATCAGAACGGACCCTCGTGTGGACTGGAGTCCACCGCCGACCAGACGAACAAGTGAGATCATTGGGACAAAAGCCCGCCCCGGTGTCCCGTATGTGGATGCGAACCCCAACGCGCCTTTATCGGATCTGCTTTCCTGAACGCTGTACCACGGCTTTTCTGCCTCGGTCGCCGCCAACCCTGTTCCAGCCCCAACTCCCCCGACTGCCCCCGTCGCCCTTTAAATCCGCTGTTCCTGCTCTGCGCAGATCATTCTCTTCATCTATATCCTCCAACATGGGTTCTCTCGGTACATATCAGCGCAAGCACAAGATCGCGGTGGTCGGCTCCGGTAACTGGTAAGCGCTTCCCCCCACCCCCTCCCATTTGCTGTGTCCGTGGCTGATTGCAATTCCTTGTACCTTGTAGGGGCACCGCCATCGCCAAAATCATCGCCGAAAATGCCGCCAGCAACTCCGACATCTTTGAGGAGAAGGTGGAAATGTGGGTGTTCGAGGAGAACGTCGAGATCACCAAGGACTCCCCGCACTACAGCTCTGGGCTTCAGGGCACCCAGAAATTGACACAGGTGATTAACCATACCAATGAGAACGTCAAGTACCTGCCAGGAATTCGGCTGCCCTCCAACCTACACGCCAACCCGTCCCTGGAGGACGCGGTCAAGGACTGCACCCTTCTCGTCTTCAACCTTCCCCACCAGTTCATTCTCAAGACCTGCGAGTCGATCAAGGGCAAGATCCTGCCCTACGCCCGCGGTATCTCCTGCATCAAGGGTGTCGATGTCAATGAGGAAGGTATTAGTCTCTTCTCCGAGACCATCGGCAGGACCCTGGGTATCTACTGCGGTGCCTTGTCCGGTGCCAACATCGCCAACGAGGTCGCCAAGGAGAAGTGGTCCGAGACCACCGTCGCGTACGATCCCCCGCACATGGACTCCAAGGCGCCCACCCCTCAGCGCTCGCCCTCGGCCTCCCAGGTGGAGCTGGTGCAGTTCCAGCACAAGGACACCACCGGCCAGTACTCCAAGGTGCAGCTGCAGGCACTTCCCTCGGACTATCCGCCCGTCGACCATGTCACTCTCAAGTCTCTGTTCCATCGCCCCTACTTCCACGTCCGCGTGGTGCACGACGTCGCCGGTACCTCCGTCAGCGGTGCTTTGAAGAACATCGTTGCCCTTGCCGCTGGCTGGGTTGTTGGTATGGGCTGGGGTGACAACGCCAAGGCTGCCGTGATGCGCGTCGGCTTGTTGGAGATGGTTCGCTTCGGAGACACCTTCTTCGGAGCCACCATCAACCAGGCCACCTTCACCGAGGAGAGTGCCGGTGTGGCCGACCTGATCACCAGCTGCAGCGGTGGTCGCAACTTCCGCAGCGCCAAGCACAGCGTCGAGCGCAACCTGCCCATCGAGGAGATTGAGAAGCTCGAGCTGAACGGCCAGTCACTCCAGGGCACCCTGACCGCCCACGAGGTCAACAAGTTCCTGAAGAAGCAGGGCATGGAGGACCAGTTCCCTCTTTTCACCGCTGTCTACCGTTAGTATCACCCGCCTGTTCATCGAGATTCAATGGCTAACGTACATTTATAGGGATCCTCCAAGGCAGCATGCAAGTTGCGGAGATTCCGGCCTACATTGAGCGGTAAAAAACCTGTTCCTTTTCCTTCGTGTCTGTGTTATTAATTGCGAGATTGTCTTTCCTTTCATAGCCCTCCGGTTTCTCGTGCTCCGACTTCTACTTCTGATTCTGGGAATGGCGATGGCGATCAGTATTCTGCGCGACTTTGATTGAACTTGGGGTTTTGGGCTTGGCTTGTAGATAGATTTATGACTTGTACCTATGCATTTATACGAATGGACTACGGATAGACTTTCTTCAGCTTCAACGTTGGGAATGTGTCAAAGCACGCGTAGTACAAAAGTCTAGACCCGGCGCTAAAAATGCCCTGCCAAGGTGTTCCTCCGACCACATCCATGATGTCACCGACACCCGGTCCTGGTGAGGGGGGAAAATCTGGGAAATCTGCTGTCCCGTCTTCTTTCGATTTTTTCCCTTTTCCACATTCTCTAGAGGCCTCATTTTAGGCCATTCGCTCGTTGAGAACTCCCCAGTAGACGCTGGGTTGAGCTCAGGTTTCTTCGTGGATCGTCGTGACCCCTCCCCTCCACTTTCTCCGAATTCCCCAACACGATCATGGCCCCCTCACGCCAGGTCTACCTGCTTCCATTGAAGGATGACGGCTCGCCAGATGTGCCCGGTGGGTACATTTACTTGCCACCTCCGACAGATTCCGGCTATGTGCTGCGGTTCATCATAGAGGGCACCAGCTCCATTTGTCGGCAGGGAAGTCTCTGGGTGAACATTCCCGAGGAGGGCAAGGCGTTCGATCGCCATTCTTTCCGCGAGTTCAGGTATATTACTTCTCTTCCGTATAGCGCATGAGGGTTGAGGAAGGACCGAGGCTGAAAAGAAGTAGACTGCAGCCCAATTTCAACCAGAACATTCAGATCGATATCCTGGTGAACAGTGCTGGCTCTTTTGCCTATTACACCACTTTCTCCCCACTGCCGGAGTTCTCTGTCGAGCCTGTGCCTACACCGGAGCCTACGCAGTCTCCAGTTCATTACATAGATGTGTCGCCGAGGCTTACACTCCAGGGGAAGGACCTCCCGCTCAATGCGCTCTCGATCTTCTCGGTCATTTCCAAGTTTATGGGAGAGTATCCCACTGACTGGGATAAGCATCTTCATGGCATCAGCCAGCGAAACTACAACATGGTCCATTTTACGCCCCTCATGCAGCGCGGGTCGTCCAATTCCCCGTACAGTATTTTCGACCAGCTAGCATTTGATCCTGCCTTCTTTCCCAATGGAGAAACCGATGTCGCATCGCTGGTTTCACGCATGGAGAAGGACTACGGCTTGTTGACTCTGACTGATGTTGTGTGGAACCATACCGCGAATAACAGCAAATGGTTGGAAGATCATCCGGAGTCAGGGTACAGTGTGGAGACTGCGCCTTGGCTGGAAGCGGCACTAGAGCTAGATACCGCGCTACTGAAATTTGGCGATGACCTTGAGGGTCTTGGCTTGCCAACGGAGTTCCCCACGGCTGACCATCTGGTCAAGGTTATGAATACTCTACGAAAGGATGTCATTGACGGCATTCGTCTTTGGGAATTCTATGTCATAGATGCCAAGGCCGACACAAAAAGTGTTTTAGACGCCTGGACCAACAAGAAGGCCGATCGTGCTGCCATTGAGAGTTCTGCTTTGAAGCAATTCAAAGAATCGTCAGTGAAAGACCAAGCCAAGGTCATTCGTGAACACGGAATTCCTACTTCGAACCGTATTTTGGGGAGATTTGGACGAACAGTCGACCCAGCATTCGGTGCTGCCGTACTTACGGTGCTTTGTGGCGATTATGACCAAGGCAGTTCGAATGTGGCCGAAGCCGAAGGATCTTTGGCTAAGCTTCTTGATGAGGTCAATCTGCCCTTCTATGAAGAATTTAACGCAGATGTGGCGGTTATCATGGATCAGCTTTTCAACCGAATCAAGTATCTCCGCATTGACGATCACGGCCCCAAACTGGGCCCAGTTAACAAGGATAGCCCCCTTATTGAGTCATACTTTACTCGGCTGCCTCTCAACGACATAACTAAGAAGCACAGTCCGAAGGCTCTTGCTTTAGTGAACAATGGTTGGATCTGGAATGCTGATGCTATGCGGGATAATGCTGGACCAGACTCCAAAGCATATCTTCGCCGTGAGGTGATTGTCTGGGGTGACTGCGTGAAGTTGCGATACGGAAACTCGCCAAAGGACAGCCCGTTCCTCTGGGACTTCATGACCCGCTATACTCGCCTCATGGCGAAGTATTTCTCCGGGTTCCGCATCGATAACTGTCACTCCACGCCTCTTGTTGTTGCCGAATACTTGCTGGACGAGGCCCGCAAAGTACGACCGAATTTGACCGTCTTTGCCGAGCTCTTCACAGGCTCAGAGGAGGCTGATTACGTCTTCGTCAAGCGCTTGGGCATCAGCGCTCTAATCCGGGAAGCCATGCAGGCTTGGAGTACCGCGGAGCTAAGCCGTCTTGTTCATCGCCATGGTGGTCGCCCCATTGGAAGTTTTGATGTGGGCTTGCCATCTGCTGGTAGTAGCCACGCGATTGCCTCTGCCCAGAATGGTGATGCAAATGAGGAAATTACCCATATCCGCCCGTCTCCAGTTCAGGCACTATTTATGGACTGCACCCACGATAATGAAGTCCCTGCTCAGAAGCGCGATGCCAGAGATACCCTGCCGAATGCTGCTCTTGTCGCGATGTGTGCTTCGGCCATTGGCAGTGTCATGGGCTACGACGAGATCTATCCTCAGCTCATTGATTTGGTGCATGAGAAACGTCAGTACTCTTCTCCCTTTTCTGGATCACAAAACCTTGAGGTTGGATCGGGAGATGGTATTGGGGGGGGTGAAAAAGCTGTTGAATGAGCTTCACACGATGATGGGTGTTGAGGGTTACGATGAAACTCACATTCATCATGATGGAGAATATATCACTGTTCATCGCGTTCACCCCAAGACCAGGAAGGGTATCTTCCTTATTGCACATACTGCGTTCCCGGGCAACGAGAGCGGTGCTGTCCTGGCTCCTACCCATATCACTGGCACCCAAGCCAAGCACTTGGGCTCGTGGATATTGGAGGTTGATGCAAACGACGATGCCAAAGACAAGGTTCTCGCCGACGATAAACAACTTAAAGGTCTACCTAGCAAAACCCGCGATATTGACGCTTCCAAGATTGAGGGAGATGGAAAGGACGTGACTGTCTCGGTGCTTGAGACCCTTGTACCCGGTTCCATTGCTCTTTTCGAAACCTGGATTCCTGGAGCCGACCATGCAAAGGGATTGGATAACTTCCTCTCTAGCGGAGCAGATGAAGCGTTCTCTGGGCTCAGTCTGATTGACATGAATTTTGTGCTCTACCGCTGCGATGCTGAGGAAAAGGATTCGAGCGGCGGCCAGGATGGGGTGTACGACATTCCCAAAAGCGGTCCCTTGGTCTATGCTGGTCTCCAGGGCTGGTGGAGCGTCCTCGAGGACATAATCAAGTACAATCAGCTTGGCCACCCACTTTGCGACCATCTCCGTGATGGCCAATGGGCTCTGGACTACGTTGTCGGGCGCATGGAGAAGGTAGCCACGAAGGATGGATTTACCGCTTTGCACAAGCCGGCCGCATGGTTGCGTGAGAAGTTCGATGCTGTTCGTGGCCTGCCTAACTTTTTGCTTCCACGGTACTTTGCAATCATTGTGCAGGTGGCTTACAATGCTGCTTGGAAGCAAGCTATTCACCAATTCAGTGATAATGTTCGTCATGGTCAAGAGTTCATTCATCAGTTGGCTATGGTCAGCGTTCAGCAGACCGGCTACGTGAACTCGGCATCACTGTGGCCCACCAAGCATGTTCCCAGTCTCGCAGCAGGCTTGCCCCATTTTGCTGTGGACTGGGCAAGGTGTTGGGGCCGTGATGTCTTCATCTCCATTCGTGGTCTCTTCCTTTGCACCGGTAGATTCGACGAATGCAAGGAGCATATTCTTGCTTTTGCAAGTGTGCTCAAACACGGCATGATTCCCAATCTCCTCAGCAGCGGTAAACTTCCTCGTTACAACTCGCGTGACTCAGTCTGGTTCTTTTTGCAGGCCATCCAAGACTACACCAACATGGTTCCTAATGGAATCAGTATCTTGCAAGAGAAAGTTCCTCGCAGATTCCTGCCATACGATGACACTTGGTTCCCATTCGACGATCCTCGGGCTTATTCGCAATCTCCCACTGTCTTGGAAGTCATCCAGGAGGTATTCCAAAGACACGCCAAGGGCATGTCGTTCCGTGAATATAACGCGGGTCCTGACCTCGACATCCAGATGAAGCCGGAAGGCTTCCGGATTGACATCAAGGTTGACTGGGACACTGGAATCATTTTCGGTGGTAACCAGGATAACTGTGGTACTTGGCAAGACAAGATGGGAGAGAGCCCAAAGGCCGGGAACAAGGGTGTCCCAGGTACACCCCGTGATGGTGCCGCTATCGAGATCACTGGTCTCGTCTACAGCGCCCTTTCATGGGTAGTGAAGCTTCACGAGTCCAAGACCTACCCGCATGCCGGAGTCGATATTGGCGATGGAAAATCTATCACTTTCAAGGAATGGGCTGGCAAGATCAAGGACAACTTTGAACGGTGTTACTTTGTGCCTCTCGATCCCAAGGACGATGGCCAGTACGACGTGGACGCCAACGTTGTCAATCGCCGTGGCATCTACAAGGACTTGTACAAGTCTGGCAAGCCTTTCGAGGACTATCAACTCCGTTCCAACTTCCCGATTGCCATGTCGGTAGCGCCAGACCTCTTCACACCCGAGAAGGCGCTCACTGCTCTCTCGATCGCCGATTCCGCGATTGTCGGCCCCGTCGGCATGGCTACCCTAGACCCAACGGACCTCAACTACCGCCCTTACTACAACAACTCGGAAGACTCTACCGATTTCGCAACTTCAAAGGGCCGCAACTACCACCAGGGCCCAGAGTGGGTATGGCAAAGAGGGTACTACCTCCGTGCCTTGCTACACTTCGACATTCAGCGCCGCAAGACACCCGAGGAGCGGATCGAGTCCTTCCAGCAGGTTACTCGGCGTCTGGATGGATGCAAGAAGGCCTTGCGTGAAAGTCCCTGGAAGGGATTGACGGAGTTGACCAACAAGAACGGCGAACACTGCGGAGATTCGGTATGTGTTTTCTCCATACCACTTTTTTGATTAGTGCTAACATGAAGATATCCAGTCCCCCACTCAAGCCTGGTCTGCTGGCTGTCTTCTCGACCTATACTACGATGCCTCGAAGCTTTCTTAGATTTCCTTTTCAAGATGAATCCCCAAACATGGCATAAGAGAGCGTTCTCTTCCTTTTTCCTTTTGCATAATGTGACTCAAGCATAAAAGACTTATATTTGGCCCGCTTTTATCAAAATACATGCGACATATACAAATACGTTTCATTCCAGGTATCAACAATCCCAAAACTTAATAATCTTGGCCTTTACAAGCGTGAATGGCGGTCACCAGGAGAACGTCTATTTTTCAACAGTGAAAATCAATGGCGATTGCGGGTTTATCCTCGCTTGTGAAAACGCCTGGCGCAACCGCGGCGTTGACGACAAGGCTTTTTTTCGAGTGATTAGCACTAGTTGTGGTTATCTTGCTCCGAAGAGTCTGTTTCAAAGCTTCGACAAAATCGTATCCTTCCCATCGCATTTGTAGTCCGTCTCGAAATTCTTGGGTTCCATCGTGTTGAATAACAGCGAGGCCGAATGCTCCGTGGATATGCCCACATACGACCATCTTGGGCTTTACCCTTCGTATCTCACGCAATAAGAACCCATCCCCCTTCACTTTGACTTCTCCGGTCGGTCCCTTCTCGCCATCACTGTCGCCATATAGAGCCGGGGGACCGTGAACCACCAGTATATCGGTATCATCGGGGATCCGCTCGGTCCACACGTCGCGGATTGGAGGATACTGAAAAGCCCAAGAGCCGAGCTCCGGCGTCAGTGGAGACCCATATATCTTGACTCTGCGCACTTGCTGGCCTCCGAGGCCGGCGACCGGCAGCTCCAACGTGACTGCTGTGTCTTGCAAGTATTGGATCCCGCTCCAATCCAATTCCGTCCGCCTTGTGGCACTGTCTTCACTGCGCGTCAGAAACCTCGTGTCGCTTGCTTCATCGAGAACAATGTCATGGTTTCCCGCAATGATAATCTTATGAGTATGCGGCTGTGATGTCAGCCACTGGAGCTGGGCTTGCACCTCGTCGAAGGTGCCATGGGCCGTTAGGTCGCCTGCATGGACCAGAATGTCGCCAGGAGGAAGAGGGGGAGTTTTATTGTGAGTGTCTGAGATGCATATTATGCGGATTGGGGGAAGACCATCCCCATTACCATGAAGGGTAATTGGCGATGTTGATGGTTTCTCTGGCGTGGACTCCTTTAGGGTACCTCCTCCGAATATAAAGTCGGATAGCGGACGTGTTACACGCTCCAGCCACGTTGACGATTGTGACTGATTGTATGGGAATGGAAGCAGGTGTTTATTCATTTGTAACTGATCCGACTCGACCTTCCTTGAATACAAAGTAGCGCTCATGTGTTGTAACTTAGATTATCCCCAGCAGATGCCACTTTAGGGATGAATAAAGTGCTGAGTCAGCAGCGTCGTCATGAGCAAAAACAACGCGATCGTCCTTTCCCCGTCACTAATGACCTCTTCGATCACCTCGAGCTCGGCCTGCGCTATCTGCTTTTGATGGATCGGGAAATCGAACTTTGAGAGACATACGACTATATCCCCAGCAGTTGAGGCGAGTCGACCCAGAGAGATGTCGCTAACGACATCGGCGGCCACTGCGCTGTGGACCGTTCTTGCCGATGATCCGGATGATAATGGGCGAGAAGGGAGCGGCTGGGGGGATCAGACGAAGCAGCAGCGTGATCTGTACACCCAGATTGTGATTAGCTCTGCTTTAGGACTGGGCGCTTTCCTGTCATTTTGTGTATGGATTTATTTCCTTTCCTGCCGGCTGGTGTCGGTGCTCGTTACTAACTCCCGTGGTCCTCGCAGGTATTGCGGCCCAAATGGACAGAACTTTATGCCGCACGGAGAAAACAACGCAATGCTGCGTCCCATTTACCCGAGCTACCGGATAGCTTCTTTGGGTGGATTCCAGTTTTGTACCGGATCACCGAGGACGAAATTTTGCAGTCCGCTGGACTGGACGCATATGTGGTGCGTATTCTGTATCTTAAGGGCTTGCCGGAGTTGTGTTCTGGCTAACGTGGAATCGACGATAGTTCCTGTCCTTCTTCAAGTTCGCGATCCGCTTCTTATTATCCGTCTTCTTCTTCGCCGTCGCTGTCCTTCTTCCAGTGCATTACAAGTATACCGGCAATAATGGCCTCCCCGGCTGGGATCACGAGGACGGTCCGGGCGACAAACCAGCCAGCAAGGTAGGAGAACTGTCTAAGGACAAGGGCAAGAACGGAGACAACCCCGAGTACTTGTGGATTTACGTCCTATTTACCTACGTCTTCAGCGGTTTGGCCATTTACTTGCTGCTTCAGCAGACTGACAAGATTATCCGCGTTCGACAAACCTATCTTGGCAATCAGACAAGCACCACAGACCGTACAGTCCGTCTTTCAGGGATCCCGCGCGACCTGTCGACAGAAGATAAAATCAAGGACTTTGTGGAGGGTCTACGGGTAGGCAAAGTCGAGTCTGTCACGCTGTGCCGCAAATGGGGTGAATTGGACAAACTCATCGATGAGCGTATGAAGATTGTACGCCAGCTAGAGCGGGCATGGACGAAGCACATGGGATTCAAACGTCCTCGCCGTGACAGGGGTGATACCTTGCCCCTGACAAACCAACCCCCTTATGCCAACAACGGTACCCTAGACGAGGATGATGAGCGCGCTCAGTTACTGTCAGGGGCCCATCAGGACCACGTCTCTGGGTACGCCCATGAGCGGCCCAAGGCCCGTATCTGGTACGGCCCCCTAAAGCTACGGTACAATACAATTGATGCGATCGACTACTACGAGGAGAAGCTGCGGAGAATCGACGAACAAATCCAGTCTGCTCGGGAGAAGGAATATCCTTCGACTGAGATTGCCTTTGTGACGATGAGTTCTATTGCGGCCTCTCAGATGCTCGTGCAAGCGATTCTCGACCCTCACCCAATGCAGATGTTCGCTCGACTTGCTCCTGCTCCTGCCGATGTCATCTGGAAGAACACCTATCTCTCCCGCTCTCGCCGGATGACCCAATCGTGGCTCATCACCGTGCTCATCGGATTTCTCACAGTGTTCTTCTCGGTCCTTCTCCTTCCCATCGCCTCTCTTCTGCAACTGGAGACACTCCACAAAATCGTACCCCAACTCGCGGAGTTCCTCAAAATCCACCCTCTGTTGAAGTCCTTGGTCCAGACAGGTCTGCCCACGTTGGCCTTCTCGCTGTTGACAGTTGCCGTCCCATATTTGTATGAATGGCTCTCGAACAACCAGGGGATGACGTCGCGTGGCGACGTTGAACTATCAATCATCTCCAAGAATTTCTTCTTTTCCTTCTTCAACCTGTTCCTAGTTTTCACCGTCATTGGTACAGCAAGCGGTTTCTACGGGTTCTGGGAGCATCTGCGGGATGCTTTCAAAGATGCCACAACCATTGCATTCGCCCTGGCAAAATCCCTGGAAGGCCTTGCGCCGTTCTACATCAATCTGTTGGTTCTGCAGGGATTGGGTCTTTTCCCCTTCCGACTCCTCGAGTTTGGAAGCGTTGCCCTGTACCCCTTGCAGTTCCTAAGAGCGCGGACCCCACGGGAGTATGCGGAGCTATCAACACCGCCGCAGTTCAGCTACGGGCTCTCGATTCCTCAGACGATCTTGGTCTTGATCATATGTATCGTGTATTCGATTTTCCCAAGCTCGTGGTTGATCTGCCTGTTCGGTCTTGTCTACTTCTCCATCGGCCAATTCATTTACAAGTACCAGCTGCTCTATGCCATGGACCACCAACAACATTCGACCGGTCGTGCCTGGCCGATGATCTGCAATCGGGTATTCATTGGGCTGGTCGTGTACCAACTTGCCATGATCGGAGTGCTTGCATTGCGCACAGCGGCTACTCGGCAGCTGCTCCTGGTGCCTCTCCTGGTACCTCTCTTGATCTTCACTGTCTGGTTCACGTACTGGTTTGCACGGACATATGAACCGCTCATGAAATTCATTGCTCTCAAGAGCATCAACCGGGATCTCTCGGGTGGCGGCGAGCTCTCTCCCTCGCCGTCAAACACCTTCTCGCCGCCCTCCGGCATGGATCGCGATGCCCTTCCCATCCGGATCGGCGGCCATGAATTGGAGCTGCGTCTGAAGAAATATGTCAACCCGAGTCTAATTGTGCCACTGCATGGTGCCTGGCTCCCGGGCCACCGGCCTTCTCGAAGCAATGGCGGTCCTCTTTTTGAGAACCACGAGACGTCGAACAACATCCATCCTTGAAGGTGATACCCCCGATATTTTTAACCGCTGATCGCATGTTTTGTACATTGCCTTGATCATTCGATGATGATATACGACTTTGATACCTCGACTGCATTCTTTCCCCTCCTCGTTGCACATCTCTCGTTAACTGAAGGAGATAATGCTCTTTGATTCCATTGCTCGGCAGTCTTCTGTTCCTGTTCCTGTAACTTATCTATTTCGGTGTTTTCGGGTCAGGTTCTCTCGCAACATTCATCCCCGTTGAGATATCACGCAATGGTTTTCTATCTCTAGCGCTGCTTTTTTGGTCGGATGTCGGATGTCGGATAGATTGTATAGACAGAATCTACCCGCCGCCGCCACAGAGACATTCCTCGCTTAGAATTCTAGACTTTTCTAACCACCTGGTACCCGGTCAAGCCACTTGAATCTCCGTGTACATTCCTCACGTTTCGTGGCGAACGTGGCAGTATCTCGGATTTGAGCTAGTGGGAGTCGTGTGATCTATCGCTTATGTTTTTATACGCGGTGGATCTTGGCCAATATGCGAACCTGCGAACCTGCGAACCTGCGAACCTCCGGCACTTACGAGTGAGCGCGAACTCGGGATCGTTACACCGAGAGACAATCTACCCGAGGTATGGCGGACTGAACCAGAAGCGGCACGGCGGACTCGAGTTCATAGACACCGTTTGCTTCGGGAATCCCTGATCGGGGCCCACTTGGCTTGCATGAACCGACGGGGATACATTCCGCGCACTCTGCGGTGAGCAGCTACGCACAATCCACGACCCTAGTAATTTCCGGGCCTTGCATGAATCAAAACAATCACAACGATCAACGATCAACTATCAAGGATCAAATGAAGATGAAGTGTCTCGGTGAGGGCCCCCTCAGCACATCGCCGCATCCGGGAAATCGTCGCTTCCGCCGCATTCTTCGCATTCTTCGGTCGCTCAGGAATGCACATGGGCCACTGGACCACTGGACCACTGGACCACTTTCGATGCAAGAGTTGCATATTATTGATTTGCCGAACAATCCAGAGCCAACTACCCGCCTGAACTCGTTGCCTTCCCCCATTCCAAGGGCTCCGCCCGCCCATCCGCGCCTGTGACTCGTCTGCTACCGCCCAACGCCATCGGCTGAGCGCTCGTGGTTGACGGGAGTCTATCGCCGCAATGGTGGCCTAATTCCAACGATGTTCACGGCTCCACCGAGCTTCGGACTTCCGCCATCAACGTGGTCCCATGTTTCACAAGTACGTGTCGACGTCGGGACATGTTGGCGCGGAAAGTCAAACTCTCGCCTCGATGTATAAGATCTCCCATGCAGTTAGAAAAGACCCTTGCCTCGTCCGCCATTTCTCATTTCCGCGGGTTTTCGCTTCATCAGATTTCAACTCCACCGCTTTCGCTTGGAATCTGCATTTGGGGATACAACCTTGCAACATATTTTCTTTAGATCCCGATCTTGCGATCCCGGCCCCTCATTTCTGGCGCGGTAGTACTACCAAGAACAGACCCGATAAGATTGTGGCAGATCAGATCTTCAGGTAGCCTCGTTGGTCGATCGGCCGTTGATTTACTCCACAATCTTGATCGTTGGCTCCACCTCGATTCTTCCGTCGTTCGTTTGGCCGGAGATATCTTCACGGAACCACGCTCCATTTTATCTCCTCGTTCGCCTGTAAATTCTCATCGGCCATTTTGTCTCGTTTGACGTGACCTTCCACCCAATTTTGGTCCACAAACTAAACGAAAAATTTCGCGGTGCATGTCGAGTCCCTAGATCTACTGGAGAGTCTCGTCATGCCGTCCTTGAGGTCTCACGACAAAAGGCGCGCGGGGCACACGCCCGGGCATGACGTTTCTATGGAAGGACAAACGACGCAAATGGATCCAATCCCTATTGCCTGGACAGGTCATTCGCCGACGAATCCAACTCCACCGCCAACCCCCGAGTCCTCAGCGGCATTGAGAGCATTCGCACGACGAGAAAGCATCGGCGCGGCTGCAGATGGCTCACCCCCTGCTGCCAACATTACGCCGCCCGAGATTATGCTCCAGATCTACTCTATGCTGACCCCGAGAGACTTTGATAATGCACGCCGGGCGTGCTCACAATGGATGAGAGTCAGCTTGAATCGGGATCTACTAGAGGGTATGTTGAAGCGAGCAGGATGGTGGGATGCATATCAGCAAGACTGCGAAAAGCAGCGGATCCGACACCGGCCGTCTAACGAAGAGAGTGACGTATGGAGGATGAGCAAGCGCTTTGCAACCGAATGCTTATTGTCAGGTCGGAAAGCGAACGTCGAGAGGCCGGGCTTCCTTGCCACTGAAGTCGTTGATTTCTCCGGCCTTGCGCCGCGCCTGTCTTCGAAAGCTCGTGTAGCTCGACCTGTTCGAGGCAAGCGCTCGCATTCCATTTCAACCTTCAGTGTCAGCAGCTGCAGCAACTACCTTCTCGTGACCACCGGTTGTATGATCTATGTCTTTCGTCTTCTTGACAAAAAAACAGCGAAATTCGCATTAGAGAATGCTGATCTGAAACCAATATCGAGCATCGAATGTCCCTTCGAAGTACTATCTGCTACTCTAGACACCTCTACACCTCGATTCGTTCTTGCGGCCTTACTTCAGAATCGTGTCGGGATGGTTTGTGATCTGGATCTACCCACTGATGACTTGGTTCATGGTGACGGTCCGGTGAGCAATACGCAGTTCGCTTCATCCTCAAGATCGACTCGATCAAAGACGTCGAATAAGAAATTCTCCTCCCCGCAATACTACTATAATGTTTGCTCCGAAGACCATCCGCCACGAACAATCGCCCTCTGCCCCGGACGCCGGTGCGTTGCCTTTGGCTGTGCAGGCGGCATCGAGATCCATTGGGTCGACGAGACAACCAACCAAACCAAGCGAAGACATTTTCCAATGTCACAACCCTCCGAAATTCTCCATTTCCTGCCTCACACCCCTGAGGCCCCGAAGGACCTCCGACTCATCTCATCCTTGGTCGGACCTGGTGTCCACGAGTGTGCATGTCGCCAATCTCCCTACCCCGACCACCCTAAAACGTGCCAGTTCCATCTACTGGCAGACGTCGAGTCTTTCGGCCGCCGTGGTGCATCGAACTCCTCAAATCTCAGTTTCGTCAGAGCCACTCACTGCCATCATTACCGTGCCGTTCCCATCAACGACGGCTTCCATATCGTCTTCATCGAACCTCGCACCGGCCTCCTCTGTATTGGATCAGATGCACCCGTCGGTGGTCCCACCAGTCTCACGCGAGCCTTCGTCTGTGTGCCGCCATTTGGCAAAGATGGGCCGAATAGCACTAAAGAGGCCCGTGTCCCTACGACATTTACCGTGGGCTCGGATCTGAGATGGGGTCTCCGAGTCGTGGCTGCATACCAAGACCGCATCATCATGTACTCCGTGCCTCTGGATGTATATAACGTCATTCGCAAGGAGCGCGAACGACAAAGCGACGGCGTGATGGGTGATAGCGACCCTATGCGCGACTGGTTCGTCGACTCGGAGCGCTTCCGCAAGCGGCCAGAGAATCTTGTCCAGAATCAGAACGGTGACTGGGAGTTCCTTTTGAGTGTCAGCTATCGTCCAACCGCGATGATGTGGCCTTTTAAGATCTATGGGAAGGAGATCGGTCGTGTCGATAACCTGGTCGAGCTTGCTCTTCAGTCATCCAATGGAGGTGCTCGCGTTTGGGCTTTTAATGCTTCGGGTGAAGCGACCATCTTCGACGTTGACACATTTACCTCTAGAACAAGCAATGCCGCCGATATTCCTTACAAAATGGTCACCGTCGGCTCGGATGGTAATTTGCAATCAACGCAGTCGATCGATCGAGCCGAACTTGGTACTTCACCGTTGCAGGACCGTCGGAAGCGCAAGTCCTCGGCGTTGCGTGATGATTTCGTCGGTCGATATGGGATAAGTCGCTATGTGCCCAGCGCGGCATTCGATGGCTTTGAGCCAGCGAATGGTGTCCCTACTGAGACGCAAAATGATGACCCAATCCACCGCTCTTCGTTTGCTGCTTGTATAGTGGACTTTAAGATCCCCGATCTAGGATCGCGAGAGGGCTCATGGAGTGAAAGTAGTCGAGCATAGTCGTTGTTGCATGACTTTCAAGCGTTTTGAGGATTCATACCGATCAGTTTGTTCGCATCTTGCGATATAATTCCGGTCATTGCATATAGCCATCTGCACAGCGTTGGTTCTGAATATACCAAATTGCATTGACTTTCATCCCTAGAGCTCTCGAGATAGATTTCTACCATGCTTTATAGATAGGCTTGCTTAAAACCCCGAAATAAGTAATACCATTCAAAAAACTTTTTCCTAATTCCAATGACATAGTACGCTCGAAATGCCTCAATATTCCAACCCGGGTGCTCATTAAAAGGCATGAAACAGAAAAGAAACAGGATTCATCGCTTATTTAGCGCTCAGTTTCTCTCTCCGGGTGCGCACGGCTTGTGCCAGCCCTTCCAGCGTAGACTCGGTGTCTTCCCAGTTGATGCACGCGTCTGTGATGCTGACTCCGTACTTGAGACCGGCCTTGCCCTCCGCCGGCACCTTCTGGTTGCCCTCGTTAATGTTGCTCTCGATCATGACACCCATGATGGCGGACTCGCCCTGAGCAATCTGCTCGCTGAGAACGGCGGCCACCTTGGGCTGGTTCTTGTGGTTCTTCTCCGAGTTGCCGTGGCTGCAGTCCACCATCAAGCGGGCCGGGAGTCCCTTGGCCTCCAGCTTGGCCTTGGCCTCTTGGATGCTGGCAGCATCGTAGTTGGGGCCCTTCTTACCACCGCGCAGAATCACGAAGCAGTCGGGGTTGCCGACGGTGCCCACAATAGACACGACACCGGGTTTGGTGACGGAAAGGAAGTGGTGAGGGTGCTTGACGGAGCCAATGGCATCCACGGCCACATCGAGAGTGCCGTCGGTGCCGTTCTTGAAACCGACGGGGAAGGACAGACCAGAGGACAGCTCACGGTGGACCTGTGACTCGGTGGTACGGGCGCCGACTGCACCGACGGACAGGCAATCGGCAAGGAACTGAGGAGAGATAGTGTCCAGCATCTCACTGGCGATGGGCATGCCCTTATTGGTCAGGTCGACGAAAAGCTGGCGGGAGACACGCAGACCCTTGTTGATGTTGAAGCTGTTGTCGAGATCCGGGTCGTTGATCAGACCCTTCCAGCCGACTGTTGTGCGGGGCTTCTCCAGGTAAGAACGCATGACAATGAGCAGTTCATCCTGATACTTCTCCTTCAGCTTCAACAACCGATCGCAGTACTCGAGGGCCATCTCCGGGTCGTGAATGGAGCAGGGGCCGACGACCACCATCAGACGATGCCTCTCGGTGTCGGTACCGTGGACAATTGCGACGGCCTCATCGCGGCCCTGCAGCACGGTCTGGCGCGACTTCTCGGTCAATGCGATCTCATGCTGGAGGAGGTTGGGCGGGGTGAGGGGGTTGTAGCCGAGAACTGCATGCCGAGATGTGAGTTGGACTGCACCAATTGCAAAAGAAATGGATCGCACGTACTGCGAGAGTCTTCCAGGTGACTGTGGTTGCCCACATTGGGATTTCCAATGAAGAACTGGCGATTGGATGGCGTCAATGGCAGTTTCGCGGTTTCATATGAGGGGTTGACTCACCGACATGGCGGAGTAGTTGACCGATCGGTAATAGGTGCAATGGGTGCAATTGAGTTGATTTGGGGGGTGTTTAGGGGGATACGAAGGGTATTAAGAAGGAATTGGGAATTAAGAAAATAGTTAACAGGAACAGGAAGTAAACTGAAGCTTAAAGAAAAAGTCAAGAATGAGTCAACGCCGACACGTGATCCTCGGTGAGCGGCGCATGGCGGTGAACAGTTCTAAAAATATTAGCTTGCCCTTTTGATGGATAGCGAACGCTTGGATCGCTGGTGATTCCCTCTGGGATCTCTAGGACCTCTGCTGCACCCGATCGTCTAGTTCCTGAAGTCCGCGAATGAGCTCCCGGCAAATCTGTGTGTGCTGCTCCTTCACCGACGACATCTGCTGTCGATAAAGTTCCATGCGCACCTCCTGCGCTCGGAAAAGATCGTCGAGAATGCGGTGACATCCCATGCGGTAGATCTGCAGTACGTCCCGAATGGTGTCTTGCTCGGCTGCAAGTTGAGTGGACAATTGCTGTGTTAATTCATATACTTTAGCACGAGGGTCTCATAGTGGCCTTCAATTGATAAAACGTACTTGATTGGTCTCTAACAGCAGGTTGTGTGCACTCCTCTGGGCTGTTTGTAGAGCAGATATCCATTCCATACCATTGGCGTCATCCTGCATGAGCGATCGATGTGGCTCCAGGGCGGGTTGAGATGTGCCCGAGGCTCTCGCAGGCAACGTATCGTCACGACGATCGTCTGCATGCTGTCTAGTACACAGACCAACCTCATCAGTGGGACCTGGCGAGGATATTGCGGCTGTCGCAGAAGCTTTATCATGATAAATGCAAGCCCTTGGCGCTGCAGCGGTGTCATCTTCCCCTCGTGGAGTAGTCGTCCCTCTGGTCTCCAACAGCTTCTCGGTGCGCTGTCGATCACCGAGGCTGGTCCCACATGTTGCGGTATCGACTTCAAAGGCTTTTTTGAGGGAGATAGGACGATCTCCTTCACGGATCAGTTGCTCCGTGTCAATGCCATATTCTGCGACGATGTCGCGATGAAACTTGGACCATGTCCGTTGGCTCTCGGGGGTGTAGCCGGGAGAGTACATGTCAGAACTTTGATCATAGTCACTAGAACTTGCATCTGTCATCTCGGTGCTCCACATTTGGTCACCTTCCACAGGGGACTGCATCTGGATTATGTTTTTGTTCCCATTAGTCGTAATTCGAGGGCTGCCGTTGTGATCCACGATGATACTCCTTGGCATCGACAGGGGAATAAATTCGAGCGGTGCTTTTTTGGTCAGAAGGGGTTTCTCGGATTCAGGTGTATTCTGGCTTTGATTGTCATGGGTGAGTAATGTGGCCTGCCGGTCAGTCTTCGCTGCAGATGAGGCTTGAGACGAGATGTCTGCCTTGCTTCTGAGGAACTGGACGAATTCTTGTGAGTTTGCTGTTTCTTCGTCTACCGTATTTGCGGAGTCCATGGCTGTTTCTATCGGAGCTTGTATTGCTGCCTTAGTATTTGCATCAACCCCCACAAGCCCCTGGTTCTTGAGAAGCCCTTGAAAGCCCATCGATTCTGGGAGACTCAAGTAATCTGCTGGGACGGAAGGTGTCAATTTTGCTGGAAGCGTTCGAGGGTCCGGGGTTGACCGGTTTGATTTGAAGTCAACCTGTCCTTGATCCATGCTAGATTCTGAGGTGAGTGAGTTCTGGAATAGGGAGATCCGGGCCAAAGATTTGGGTGAAGCCGAAGTATTAGCCTTTCTGTGGTCAATCCCGGCTCCAAAGGTCCGGGTGGAAACGGACCCGGGCTCGTTGGTGAGACTAGAAGATTGTGCAGCCTCTCGTAGCGCATCAGAGAGCTTGGAACCAACGAGCTTTCCCCTTCCTTGGATGTTGGCATTGGAGGGAGCATTACCATGACCGCTGTTCTGGTCGACATCGTCTCCGGAACTTGATCGATTTAAAGGTGATGGTGAACAGCTGGATATCTCGACGATAAGCTGACTCTGGCATTGCTGTTGCGTTTCGCTGTTGAAAGTCAAGGTTCCGGGTGGGGTTGCGGTCCCTTTTGTGGAAACAGCTTTAGATTGTCCATTGAGGGGCCTTGATCTCGAATTTTCATGAGGGCGAGATACTTCTCTTCGAGGGACTACGATAGGTCCAGTCGTCAATGACAATTGTAGACTCTGTTCTCTCTCTTTCGGAATGTGGTCAGGCTTTCCTTTGGTAGCCCTCCGGCGTTTCGAAGAGTCGGGCCCAGACTGTCGTTTCTTTCGCTTCGGGGATTTTCTTTCCGTGGAGTTCCTATACTCCGGATCTGGCGAGGTCACTGCGGTTCCTTCGTAGCCCTCAGCTTTGTCTAACTCATCGTCCGTAGGTCGGAGATCTTGGTCCCAATCGACATCGGGTTCTAAAAGCCATGTATACGACTTTCTGGTAGATCGTTTGGGGCGTGAGGACGCGGTAGACTCCGGCTTGCCTGGCTCGGACAACTTTACCTCCCCGTTGATTATCTCGAATTTTGACATGCCATCGCTCGTGGCCATTGATTTGGCATCTGAGGCAGTGACGCTCTGAATGTGTTGGATTCTGGTTGGGATCGAGTCTTCTTTTCCGAGGCCACAGATCACCTTGCTTGATGGGGCCGCACCACCACTCGATGTAGCATTCGTAGAGTTAGCTTTGACTGAATCGTAGGCACGAGTAATGGCGCTGATTCCATTCACTCCGGACTGCGGTGCATCCGGTAATGCGTGCTCGGGGGCGCCAGCCTCATGCATGATATCCACCAATCGTGACGAATCATCTGGCGACTTCATACTTAAAGCCAATGTCTGCTCAATGTTCACCCCGCGCGAATTCTTGCTCGTCTCCTCTTGTCTGGCTTTCTCGGCGGCTGTTGATAATTCGGGCCCTGGGTTGCCTATCAGCGTGCCGTCGTTCCTTCTAGCCAAGGCAAGCTGTCGTGATCTTTGATCTTTGGCGCGAATAGCAGGCAACGGTTCCAAAGGGATGAGTCTCGAGACGATTCGACGGGGCATCGTTGCAATATCCTTAGGAAGAGATGGGCAGATGGAGAGCAGACAGATGGACAGACGGATGACAGGCTGTGGGGTAGTAAGAGTAACGGTGAAGGACAGTGGAGTCAAACCCGGAACAGCACCAGATCCGAAATGACCTTGTTTTACAGCTTTAACCGGGAGCAATGCTTCGACTGATGATAACTGGAGCAAGTTCAGCGTGGTTTGTTTACATCGCGAGCCTCGCGAGTTGACATTCATGACATTCATAAGCGTCACATGATTCACAACAGTCACGACGAGTCTACTTCCCACATTTACTCCATTTGCTCTCTTCCTCAATTAACATCCCATGGGCTGACAAGTGGAATTTTTGAGAATGCTAGAATGCACATTGCGGTCTGCTATCTTGATCTGCAACCCCAGTCTCCATCCGAGGCAATAAGTAGTGCCCGAGCGTCTCCTGCATGAAGACCAATGCTCACAGCCAACTCCATCATCAAGAGATCTGGAAGTTTCTTGATGATGCCCGGCATTCGGAATGTCACAACTCCGTTTTATCCGCCGCCGTACCAATTGCCCCGTGCCCGCGATTATTAATTGCGGAGACCCGGCTTAGCAATGATCTGGTTCGCTCTGGTTCGCTGACGGAAGCGATGCATCAATTCAGCCGATCGAGTACCCTATATAATCATGCATGCCCGTGACTAACCCTTCCAAGCTAATTGTCAAATTTCTTGACCTCGTCGGCCAAGGATTTCAACCAAAGAATGGCGCCCAAAAAATCCCCAGAAGCCGACGAAGACGCGGCGTCAACCACGGAAGGCCGCTTCAGCGCGATCTCACCTCTAACCCGACTTAGAAGCCTTCTCCCTGCATTTCTCTCTGGATCCCCGAGCCCCGATTCTCGCACCCTTCCCACAACCTCTACAGAGCGCCGTCGTGCATCCAGTGTCGGTGCCTCTCTCGATCAGGATGAATTCCTTTCAGAAAAGGTCATCGAGCAGCAGGAGGGCGGGACAGGTCTTACGGACACAGTCGCAAAGAAAGAAACAGTACTGTACCTCGCATATGGCTCTAATCTTTCGTCCAAGACATTCCGCGGCGTTCGAAACATCAAGCCGCTCTCCCAGGTTCCAGTGCTCGTGCCAGAGCTCAAGTTGACGTTCGATCTCCCCGGGATCCCGTATGCCGAGCCTTGCTTCGCCGGGACACAATACCGGGATCCGGATGCTGCGGAGGAACAGAGTGTAGAGTCGACCGATGATGACTCGCTCATGGATGGAGAATACATGTCAGAGAAGGTGCCACTTATGGTTGAGACGCGAGAAGTACGAAGCTCGGATCTCCACAGGAACCGATGGCACAAACCTCTAGTCGGCGTCGTCTACGAGGTGACTCTGGCCGACTATGCGATCATCATCGCTACTGAAGGAGGCGGCCGCGGGTACCGCGATGTAGTGGTTGACTGCCATGCTTTCTCGGAGTCCTACAAGCCAACCGACCCAGTGCCGAATCACCCCGATACTCCGCCCTTCAAAGCTCACACCCTCCTCTCACCCGCAGCGGATGAAGCTCTAAAGAAGATCCACGCAGTCAAAAGCGGCCATTCGTCAGTGGCACATTCTCCATGCCCTACCACCTGGCTGCTGGCTGACATTGGTCCGCACGTGCGTCCCGACGGTGAATACGCGCAGCCCTCTGCGCGCTATCTCAACCTGCTTATCACCGGTGCCGCTGAGCATGAGCTACCAGTATCATATCAGGAATATCTCTCCCAGATTCGACCATATCGAATCACCACGATGCGCCAGAAGTTCGGGAAGGGCATCTTCATTGCTGTGTGGGGCCCACCCATTCTCTCCCTTCTGGCCTTATCCAAGGTGTTCGCAGGCCCGGATGGACGCAGTCCTCCATGGTTGATGACGCTGGGAAATGTTTTATTCGCCGTAATGTGGAATAGTTATGATTGTATCTTCAAGCCGATGTTTGGAGATGGTGAGCGAACTTTGGAAGATACCCCACCTCTGTAGTTACTACAGGTGTACATCTATTTAGCCAATCTTACATTAATCTTGCCCATCTACCCAATGACCGGCTCTTCTCGCATGTCTATGTGCGAGTGGGTCGATATCAATAATTCTCTCTTATCCGCAAGGTATGGGATCTAAGCATCATTGCCCACGTCATCCAGCCTTGGAACTTATTTCGGCCAGCTTAACTGGTAACGAAGATTTAAGCAAGTCTGAGCATGCAAGGTTGCACATTCACAAAGGAAATTAAATTCAGTTGACTCCACGAGCACACAGTTTTCGGAAGGACAAGAAAAAGGAATATATCTAGGATACAGATACAAAGTGTGCTCGTAGGGCATTCTAGCACAAACAAAATGATGAAAGAGATCGCTGCCAGGGACAGGACCAACGGGGCAATTGGTACAGGGGGAAAATGCCCAATGGGTCATACAGCCTCAGTCAGCCTCTCCCATTCTCCAACTCATACAGGCCTTGCGTCATCACATTCAGCGGCGGGGGCCGATCGGGGGGCTGTACACGACCTTCCGGGACTTGATCGGGGCCCACTTGTAGCGCTTGACCCAGACGCTGATGGCGAACATACCGGTCAGGAGGGCGACGGCCTTGACACCCATCTTCTTGCGGTCGTCCATCTCGGGCTCGGAAGACCAGTTTAGGAACTCAACGACGTCCTTGGCCATCTGAGAGGTGGTCGCGGGGGTGCCGTCCTCGTACTCGACAACGCCGTCGAACAGGACACGGGCCATAGCAATACCTAGAAAATCCGTATTAGAGGTCGCACTATGGCAAACAAGGTAGATGCCATCACGTACCGGTACCAGGGAAGTAGGGGTTGAAGTTCATGCCCTCGGCAACATTGGCGCCCGCCGGGGGCTCATCAGGGTAGCCGGTGAGCAGGTTGAACACGTAGTTGCAGCCACCGTGACGGCCCTTGATGATCAGGCTGAGATCCGGGGGCAGAGCACCGCCGTTGGCGGCACGGGCAGCCTCGTCGTTCTTGTAGGGAGCGGGGATGTAGTCCGACAGCTTCCCGGGGCGCTTCTCGATCTCGCCCTGGTCGTTGGGCTCGGTGTCGTACTCGTTCTCTTCGGCCATAGCCTTCATCTCATCGACGGTGTGCATAACACCGACAAATGAGCGCCAGGGAACACGGGTCAGGGAGTGGCAACTGGAGCAGACCTCACGGTAGACCTGGAAGCCACGGCGGAGACTGGGACGAAAAATTAGCAACAGTCGTGGCGCGACGCCAATGTCGGGCGGGTTCAGGGGGCGTGGAACTCACGCGGCGTGGTCGAAGGTCTTGTTGAAGCGTTCGTGAACCCAGGGGTAGTGGGTAGGGTGCAGGCTGAATAGAGCTACAGGTTAGTCCAATTATCCTTCACGGGCGTGGTCGCACAATCTTCAGCTCCGGGACTCCGGAGCCATTAGGATAGTCGGTCCGACCAGGGAATATCACTCACCCCTCCTCAGCAGGTGTCATGGCGAAGGCCTCCTGGCCATAGAGGTGGTAGTACCAAGCGGCGGAACCGGCGGCGGCGGCAGTCGCGAGCGAGGCAGTGAGGGTGAGGTAGAAGGGGGAGCTAGCGGACTCGGCGCCGGCGGCGGTGGAAGACGCACGCTGTGGAATGAATTAGCGAAAGCCCTTGCAATGAGATTGGCAGGGTCCGGAAAATGGATTGCCCTGTTCGGCCGGACTCAATGGGTTGGAGGTTGAAGGACTAGGCGTACCGTGGACTTGCCGAGCGACTGGCGTGCGATGGCCCGGTTGGGCACGCGCAGGAGGGAACGAGCCAACATGGCGAAATCAGACCCTCCAATCGATTTCAAATAAAGAAAGGGGGGAATCGCAAGAAGCGGGAAGAGGGGAGGGGAGGGGGGAGGAGGACTGGGAGAAGAGCCGATGAGGTTGGAAGTTGAGGTCGAAGGTCAAGTTTCTCTTTGGGGGGAATTGGTCAAAACCCTCGTCCTGATTGGTCCAGCGGGTCGTCCGAGCTGCCTTCGGTGAAAACCGCGATTTCTCGGAACGAAATTCTGTGCGTGTCTTCTCTTCACCTTCTCGACCTGCTAGCTTGCATTTGGTTGTCAAGCAATGACATGGAATCATTCTATCTATCACCCTAGGTTCTTTCCAAAGGCACCCATCACCATCCCTCCCCGAATCATCCCGGAACACCCGACCGGTGATAGCCACGCTGTGATTGGTCAGTCAGGCCTGTTTACCTCGTGGTGACTTGTGAGGGAACAAATGAATAACTAGCCTGGAATATAAATTACCATTTTGACTAGTTATGATCATAGTGCATCAGTCTTCGGGGGAGCTAGCGGTTGATCCGTCTACTTCCAAAGAAAGTATTCATAGTAGCGTTATATCCCGTGATTACGATCACGAAATAGTTCACTTATCTGAACCAACGCGCCAAGATATCAAAAACAGCTAGAATTACCAAGGATGATATGCTACAATAGGTCTTTTCGACTTCTCTAGAGAGCTTTCATTATGCAAAGTAGCCGCCTGGTCATGGTCCACTCGCCCCTTTCACTGGCCCCACGTGTATCATCGTGATAACGGCCTGCGCAACCCCGGGAGGATGCAATTACATCGATCAATGTTTAAAAGGTGAACCCCTTGAAATTGATAGTAGTAATTGGATATAATACCAAGCAGTATAACCGGCCATGGGACAGCGTGAAACCTCATCTAAAAGGCGCTCGTGATACTGCTTATGCTCTCGCAAAGTGTGCGAGCTCCGCGGCGCCTGGGAGTGTGAGTCTTTCTTGTTTCAAGCCATTGGGTGGAATTGACTTTAACTATAAGGTATGAGGTAGGTTAGACCAGACATCAGTCAAACCGCTCAATGTTTAGTTTACGAGTACACGTTCAGAGTCCTGACCCCTCGACCGAAACCGCAGTGCCTGACCCATAACCACGAGGCGCTAACCCGATTAGGCCGGGGAATATACATATTTGGTCGGCTGTAGACTGGCCCCCTCGCATTGATCAATCATAGATTGATCGTAGTGATGCGTCAAACATGCATTTCTGGGCCCGTGCTACTAATAAATGAGTGATAAATTTACAAATCTCCCCCGCTTCATTCCTGTGTAATAATCAATGGTTTCTCCTGGTCATCGACTGTATCTCGTGAACTCCCCTTCAGCAAAGATCCATTTGGTGTCTTCCTGGAGACGAAAGAAGAATATCTCGACTCCTGCTGCAAAGATCGAACAATCTCAGAGCATACGCTCCGAGGAAGACTTGGTTTCGAGCGTCATCCTCCATTGCTACCGGTTCGGTTGTTCCGGAGGGGGACACCCTTCCCACAAGCAACCGCCCGGTCGTGAGATCGGACAAGATCCAACTAAAAAGGTTGGCTGATGCAAAGCACATTGAATGGCAGGCTTCAGTTCTCAGATATGAGCTAATTTGATCCAGAGTGCCATCTCCCCTCGAGCCCAGGATAACCCCAAATCGTGAAGACTTCGTCGGGAAAACGGGCGGGCAGGTCTTTAACGAGATGATGATTCGCCATAAAGTGCGTCATATTTGTAGGTATCCCATTGACAGCTCAGGAGTCTTTCTCTAATATTCTTTCTCCTGGAATTAGTTGGCTATCTCGGTGGCGCTATCCTCCCTGTTTTTGATGCGATATACAACTCCAAGGAATTCGGATTTGTCCTACCCCGTCATGAACAGGGAGCGGGTCATATGGCACAAGGATATGCTCGGGCTACAGGAGAGCCTGGAGTTGTGGTGGTGACATCTGGGCCCGGGGCAACCAACCTAATCACACCAATGATGGACGCCTTGGCTGATGGGACGCCGATGGTCGTGTTCTGTGGCCAGGTCAGCACTCAGGCTATCGGTATGGATGCTTTTCAGGAGGCAAATGTGCTAGCGATGTCTCAGCCCTGCACCAAATGGAACACTACCGTGCATGACACATCGGAGTTGCCCAAGAGGATCGACGAGGCCTTCGAAATCCCGATGAGCGGTCGACCAGGGCCAGTTCTGGTGGAGTTGCCTATAGACGTGACAGCGGGTGTTTTCCAAAATCCTCCTCGGACCTCAATTGCTGGGTTTCCGTGTGGCTTAAGCCCTGCACATTTGGCAATGGGTCAATTCAGACGAGACAGACCCCAAAGCTTTGCACATGCTTGGCCTACATAGATCTGGTTTCGCAAGTATGGCCATACAACATGCCGATCTAGTAATTGCCTTGGGTGCAAGATTTGATGACCGCGTGACTGGCAGCATTCCAAAGTTTGCACCAGAGGCTAGATTAGCCGCCAGTCAGGGTCGAGGTGGTATCATACACTTCGACATCTCACCGAAGAATATAAACAAGGTGGTGGAAGCGACCGTGCCTGTCATCGGCGATTGTGCGGAGAGCCTTGAGTTCCTTCTGCCGCAAATTACCAAAACGCAACGACCAGAATGGATGGCTCAGATAACCGCCTGGAAAGAACAATATCCATTCCAGGCATTCAACCGCAGCGGTAGAGATGATATGATTCTTCCTCAAAACGTTATCGAGCGCTTGAGCGATGCGGTGGACCCAATCAAAGACCGTACGATCATCACCACCGGCGTCGGCCAGTATCGAATGTGGACTGCTCAGCATTTCCGCTGGAGACATCCTCGCACCTTGGCTACATCAGGCGGCCTAGGCACAATGGGCTATGGCCTTCCCGCGGCGATTGGAGCGAAAGTTGCACGCCCCGACGCTCTTGTGATCGACATTGATGGAGACGCATCTTTCAATATGACTTTGAGCGAGCTTGGTACAGCAAGTCAGTTCAACATCGATGTCAAAGTGGTTCTGCTCAATAATGAAGAACAAGCAATGGTCACCCATCTCCAAACTGTCTACTATGACAATCGCTTCTGCCACAGCCATAATCTAAACCCCGATTTTGTTGAAGCCGCCCGAGCGATGGGGGTTCAGGCTGAAAGTTGCTCCGGCGTCCCGGATACTGACATGAAGCTCAAGTGGCTCTTGGAATCCAAGGGACCCGCCCTTCTGGAGGTGAAGGTGGCTCCTAAAGCCCTGTCCCTGCCCATGGTTCCATCTGGGCGTGGTCTTCATGAGTTCCAATTCTATTCTGATTGAGCATATTTTAGAAAAATAATGGCAATGGGTTTTTGAATTTTGACGTTCGAGAGACAAGACAGAGAACCGGCGTACTATCGGTTCGAGAGGCGACGCGCCGGGCTTTAGACTTTGCGGGACCCAATCGCGCCCTTCCCTCATCAACTTCACTTCCTCCACCATGGCCACTAGATCTACGAAGCAGAGCGGGCTGGCCTCGCTAGCCTGTACAGAGTGTCGCAAACAGCATCTCAAATGTGACGCACAGAAACCGTCTTGTTCTCGCTGCCTGCAGAATGCGTTTGTCTGCCAATATCTCCCTTCCCGACGCGGAGGCCGCAGGAAACCCCGGGATCTCAATCGCCGAACGGTTTTGTCTCACTCCAATGAGTTGAATGTCAGTACATACCAACCACCCGACAAACTGATGAGATGCATACCAACTATTTTCCAGGACTCTGTAATTTTGACCAACAATCACAGCTCCGTGCGGCCTCATACGCCTGACAGTACGTCAGCGCGACGGGAATCTGTTGCCGCGGGAATTTCTGCTGGGCAGGTACCCTGGCCCATGATTCCTCCGAGAAATGAATTGCATCAGGAGAGACTAGAGCCAGCTCGGGATCCCTGGTTTCATGATGATCGCTTCCTACGACTCTTTTATGAAAACTTCCATGTCGCCCATCCCATTCTGGTGCCTAGTGCCACATACCATGACCGACAGTACCCCGAATTCCTTCAACTCGTTGTTAACTTCGTCGGGTCTCACTATGTTCCGTCTAGTACCAGTCAGCAATATCGAGACAAGGTCAATGCAGAGTTGGCCTGCAATCCCGACCGATCGCCTTGCATGGTTCAGGCCTGGTTGATCTACTCAATTGCCATCTACGCCCGGGGTGAGCCACAGGAGGCACAAGATGCGTTTTCGCGCGCTGTTGAAATAGCTTTGGAGCTTGGTATGAACAAAGTGGAATTTGCCGCGTCTCTAAATCCTGAGACCTCCATTGAAGCCGAGAGCATGCGACGGACGTGGTGGGAGCTTTACATCACTGATGTTTTCATGGCAGCTCCATTCAAAGGCAGTGCCTTTCAATGCAGCACCATGGCTCCTGAAGTTGCATTGCCTTGTGAGGAGTCAGCATACACCGGAACTTGCGACATTCCTACACCTCGAAAGATGCTCGACTTCAAACGAAGGGTCTTTGCTTCAGAGGAGACGGTCTTTCCCTCATTCAGCTATCGTATTGAAGCGACAACGATATTGTGTCGGGCACTTGTCTTGAACAGGCTACGCGACTACCATCGAGATCATCTTCAGGCTGTGGAGAACGCGCTCGTCAGTTGGGTCAATCATTTACCATCGAAGAAACTGGACATCGTCGACTCCTATGGTAACATCGACGAAATGATGTTTCAAGCCCATATGACCATTTCATATGCCACCATGATATTGCATCTTCCACGGAGTGATCTTCAGTCTATCTTATCTCAAGCAGATGACCAGTTCTGGCCGGTCGCTTCGCGTCATCTAGCCTCAACCCTCAATCGTCCAATCCACAGCATCAAAGCAACAGAGGCCTCCAGACGAATATCCGATGCCATTTCACTCTGCCCGAATGTCCCTAAGCACACCCCCTTTGCTATTCCCGCATTAGCGCTCTGTGGCATGATTCAACTCGCCACGTCCATCAAGCATACCGAAGAATGTTTTGATCATCACTACAACCGGGTGACGCTCATACTCGGGTGTTTGAAAAGTACGAAACGAATTTGGGGTCTGGCAGACGCTGCTTTTAATAGTCTGCGAACCTCGGCAGGGGAAGCCCTGTCGGACTCGATGGAACGTTGGTGCACAGAACCCCTAAGAAAGCTATTCCCGACGGACTCCACGCCGAGTAGCACAGAGCGCACAAACCAGCCTACGCGGCCAACGTCGGCGATTTCAGATGCACAAGACATCCTGTTCCCGCCGATCGTACCCGGATTTGTTGATCCGACTTGCTACAACGACGCCTTCTTCACCTCTATTCCGGATTTCGATATAAGCTAACTGGGCTGATCCTATAAAGACCCAGACATCTAGATAGATGCACATGGGGCTAAAAGTCCGTCATTTGAGCTCTTCATATTCCAGGATCTGCAGGCCGATCTGGAACTCTCTCTATAGCTCTGCTTTCAATGCCCAGTGCCCTAATGTAATTGATTTCACAGTCTGCCCGATGGTGATTGCCTCGTTTGGCATTTTTCCAGTAATTACGTAGCTCAAACTTGGATCGATGTGCTATTCTTAGTGTGAAATAGTTCATCTCTGGCAATCTTTCAGATAACAGGGGCATCTGGCCTGCGCACGAGCACAATCAAATATCAACACCAGGTGTAAGTAGGAGTTGTGATTGGGCCGGGATCTCGCGTGTGCCGATCTTATCTTTCGGGGATCGAATTTATTTTGAGGGCCCGGTATCAATCGCCGATTGAACCACGACGTCAGTCCTCGTCGGGGACTGCCGCACAATTGCGATCTGGGACACGCTGGAATCCTTTATAACTCCTTAAATCAAATACTTTCTGCTCTACGTACAACTTTACCTCCATCCTGAATCATAACATTCCTCGCACACGAACACAAAATGTTTTCTTCTGTCCTTCCCAGTCCCGTCACCATCGATAAGGACTTAGCCCCTTCCTACCAACCATTCAAGGAGCGATACAATCTGGACGGTGTCATTCAAGACATCAAGCAGCATTTGGGACAGTCCGGCGGCATCTCATCCGAAGATGTTGACCCTGAGTATCTGATCTCGTTGTTGAAAAAATATACATCGGATCCCAGCGACTGGATCAGCTACTTCCATAACGACACGAGCAAAAACTATACTCGCAATGCGATCGAGAATATCAATCACAAGGCCAACATAGTGAGTTGAAAGAGTGTACCTTTTCCAGAGGGCTTAACTAACTTCTATAGCTTCTTCTGGTTTGGAACCCTGGAAAGGGTTCGCCCATCCACGACCACGCCGACGCCCACTGCATTATGAAGGTTCTAGCTGGACAATTGCACGAAACCGTCTACCATACCCCAGAAAACAAACCCGGGGAATCCAAGCCTTTGACAGTCAAGTCCTCCACGACCTTGGGAATGAATGAAGTGACCTACATCGCGGATGACATTGGCCTTCACCGGGTTCACAACCCCAGTAACAACCAGCTCGCTGTCTCTTTGCACCGTGAGTATCGCCTAGCCCCACCGCATTCTCAACAGAAACTAATGGTTCTTTTAGTGTATACCCCACCAAATGCAGCTGACTACGGCTACAATATTTTCGATGAAGCCACAGGATCTGCGAGCCATGTCTCCCAGGCTCACTCGGTCCCAAAGCCTCAATAAGGGTGGACTTTGATTTTTATGACGATACGTGGCTTGATTTTCCTCTGATTTTGTTATTTCATGGCTTGGACGTCGATTCAACCACCTCTTGGCGTACTTGCACGCGAGCCGTCCAGTTTTATTATACCCAGCGCCTATAAGGCTTGTTCATTTGGGAGCAGTTTTGAGCTGCTATGAGGCACAAATGAATACAGATAGCGATAGATAAATTGCACTTCACCATCCGTGGATGATCTTGGATATTGTTCACACAACTGCTGTTCACGTAAAAGTAGATATACATGTCTTGAGAACTTGACCGCCACCTCTAATGATAGGCTTGTTCACTCAATGTTTTTACCTGGTAAGGGCAAAAAAGAGAGCGGCTATTTACATCAGACCGCTTCTAGGCGAAAGCAGCCGAACTCACGTCAGTGTGCAGATGACCGTAGCAAGAAGAGCCCAATTGAGCGCGGTCGCCGACTGTCCTTATCGTCGCCATGAAGCCTGGCATTCGCCGATTGTAATTAAGCCAGCCATTCGTTCAGTACATGTGATCCCCTAGATAACAACGTATCCTCATCTCTGCTATGACGTCCTAAAAGTGTATCTGCTTCCTTGGCCCACTACCATACCTGACAGTGGTCACCGGAGCTTGAGTACAAGGGCTAGTACAGAGAATGCCTTGAAGGTTGAAATGAATGGACGCTCAAAAAGATCCCTTTCAATTTCAACCTAAGTTTCAAGACTTCCTGGTTCCCTCATAATTCAAGGAAGTTTCTCGCAGGTTATTTTCAAATCTGACGGATATTGGTTGTCATCTAGCGAGACTAAGCCTCTCCATTTAGGATGATCCGGCGGTAAATTCGTGAGAGGACAGCTGTGAAGCACTTACTTGTGCCATTCCAAACAGACATCGTCCTTAACATGGCTTCCTGGGTACCGGACTTCAGAAGCCATGCTCAATACCTATACTCCAACATTGAACAAAGCAGTCATTCCTTTACATTTGATACTTCGTTGATTGCATACTGCCGTATCACCAGGAGGCGGTGAGATGGACCCTTGGCGCTGATCGCCGCTCGAAGCGGAGGTCGATCATTCGTGTGCCGATGCGGCGAGCGACTTTGTGGGATTTTTCCTCTTTTTAGACTGATGGTTCATTAAACAATCTTTATCGCAACCACCAAACAGTTCATTGCCTCGGCTTCACGCGACTTGGGTGGAATCGAGGCTTGAGGCCCACGTCCCCGCGCCGAGCAACTCCGCACACGCTCGATGTCCCGATGAAGATAACAGGAACACAAAATGCCGAACGGGAAGAAAGGCCAGGCGCCGGCCAAGCCACGCAGAGATGTGTTGGCCTCATTGCGCATGGCGTCCATGGAGGAAATTTCCAAAGCTTCGCTTCCAGCAGGTGCGTCATCACAAGGCCTACAGACACGACAAATCCGCTGACAAGCTGTAGAGATCATGTCCTCGATCCTCGACTACCTCGGTCCCGTCGACCTCATCCATGCAGCCCGCTCCTGCAAACTCCTTCACGAGATGGCGTATGACGATACCCGGTGGGTGCAGCGACTGAAGCGAATTGGCTGCTGGGACGAATCGGACGCCCGAAAACACCTTGAGGAGACCTATGGAACTATTGCGGACGTAGATACTGTCAAGCAGCAAGAATTTGCAGACCAGGTGGATGGCACCGTTCCTATGATCACGGTCGACAAAGACGTCACAGCCGTTTCCGATGGCTTTGACAAAATCGACATGAGCAGCACTGCCCCTCCACCCAATCTGTTGGAAGACGCTGTCGACGACCCCGTGCTGGATGCCTTGAAGCAAGCTAGGTCCATCCGAGGTGAAGCACGCCAGGAGTATGGGAAGATCCATGCTGCGTTGGCACCCTTCTATGACAATATTGCCAGCAATGGGCCCTCGACCGAGAACCTTGTCTTCACCAAATATAAAGACCCGCAAGCACAGGCTCGGATTCTGTCGCAGCTATTGGATTTCTCAAAAAGCGACATGACTTCGGGATGGACCGAAAGAGTGGATCGTCTCGAACGCGCCACATCCATGTTCGAGACCGCCGCGTTGAATGAATTTCGAAACGCATATGAAAAGGACGACATTGATGGCACGATGCGCAAATACGCCCACACTTTGTGGACACTCAATGGCGGAAACTCTGCCGTGGATATCTTCATCCATCACAATCATTTGATAACGCGCAAGTCTGAACTGGGCAGCGTGGCTGATTGCATTGATAGTTCTGGCCACATAAAGACCCAGCACACACAGGCGTTCTTTACACGCTTGAGCGTGGGTTACAATGAGGAGGTGTCGATTATGAACCGCGTGTTTCCTTCGGCGTTGGATGTTGCGACTCCTTTCATGGAGAAGGTGGGACAAGATGTCCTCTATCCTTTTCTAACGCCCATCTTTGATGAGCTTCATCGCACGAACTTGGAGTCCTATCTCACGGCGATTTCTGTGACCTTTGTACAGTGCATGAACCTCTCAGAATCGTTGCTACCGATACGGAACTCGGGGGACAAATTCGACCAATATTTGGACTCAGTGGTATGCAAGATCTACGAGCCGCATCTTGACCTTTATCTGGCCGAGGAGCTCGATCATTTCCGCAAGAACTCCGAAGCCATCGTGTCTGAGTGGGATCGCCAGCTTTCTGAGCAGGCTGCTTCGAGAGAATCTTTCTTGATGTCCAATGTGAATCGACAGGCCGACAAGCGAGACTTCCTCACTTCGTTCAAGAAAGTGATCATGATGCCAGTGAATATTCTTCCTAGTTTCTCCGGTACAAAGGCCAGCGAAGAAGCCAAGTCGGGCTCCGAGGCAGATGGCAATCCTGTCGCACCCAAGAGCCCGAACCGGTTCTCCACCATTTCATCACCAACGACGCCAGCCATTGAAGAGGCCCCGACCACTGAACTCGCGGCCAAGGCAGCGATCATGAAAACGAAGATGGAAGGCATCAGATCCTTGTTCAGCATCGAGATTGCACTGGGTCTCGTTCACTCCGCCAAATCAAGCCTGGAGAGAGCTGCGCAGTTTGTTCGACTGGGCGGAGAGTTTGGACGAGCGGCAAAGCAGCAGTGCGAGGCGATCTTCGTTGCTCTTCTTCGTATCTTGGGTCACCGCCATGTGATTATTGGTTTCGACAAGGCTGTCGATCACCTATCGAACTACCGGCCGCGCGAACACGACGAGCGTGATTCAACGGGGGTTGAACCATTGGTGACTTTCTTGGAACTAGTCAACGTCGGTGATCTGATCTTGCAGATGGTAGATGTCTTCTATGAGCAGGAATTGATCGGCACGAGGCTGACCGATCGGAACGACTTTCTCGACCCGGCCGTGAAAGAAAAGAAGAAGTTCGAGCAGATGCTTGATGAGCGCGTGGCTGCCGGGTTGAACAAGGGTATTGATGTCCTCATGGAAGAAGTGGATTACATTCTCGCCACTCGACAGTTAGCTACGGATTTCAACCCTGGCGTCTCGTCGAATCCCCATCGACAGACCATGGACGTGGGTCTCAGTGAAGCCGCCACAGCAGTGGTGGATGTGGTGTCATCCCACACGCAGATGCTGGTAGGGAGCACCGACAAGAGCACACTGGATGTGTTCAATCAAGAGGTCGGACTCCGGCTGTTCACTGCCTTGTGCAAGCATCTCAAGCGACAGCGAATCAGTGTGGAAGGATCCCTGAAGCTGATCAGGTATGTAATTTCCGCAATGTTTCGGCGCAGGCTCTGCTAACTCCTTTTCTAGCGACATGAACCACTACTTCAAGTTCATACAGGCCCTAAGGAACCAAGAGCTCCTGCTATATTTCAAAGCCTTCCGCGAGCTCGCCCAGATCTACCTGATTGACCCGTCCGACGCCAAGGAACTGGCGACAATCATCGCCGACGCGGATCGGTTCCAGGGGATCTGGCGTGTGGAGGAAGTCTACGAGTTTGCAGAACGGCGAGCCGACTGGTTCCAAGTGAAGAGAGATGTTGAAAGAGCCATGTACGGCATTGGATGCAGCGTGATGTAAACAGATACCCCAGCTGTATAGCGAGTTGCTAGCATAGAAGTATAGTACTAGTCTTGGCATCTCACACCTACTCACCACCATATCATCACGAATTGACAATCTCTACTAAAGCTAAAATTAACAATTGTTCCGTATTAAAATTGTAGGGATCATTATGTTGTTCAAAGGGTCCCGGCTCATCCGCTGCGAGGTAGCATCTCTGCGCGGGTGACGTCAAAGCGGCTGTTGGAACATCGCGCTTCGTCTGAAACGACATCCAGACCCTCCGAGCCAACAAACCCTTCGTCCGCTTTCGGGCTCAAACAGCGCAGTATCGTACTCAATTTGCCGGGGTCTCAGGCACTGTGTTTCCCTGTGCTTCCCTCTGCTTCGTGGGGCTGAACCGAACCTGGCTTCGATCGATTGGATGTGACGCTGATACCTTCTCACTATACCGGACGTCATGTCTCCTGTATCTGGTTCCACTGGTTCTGGCCCGCCAAGTCAAAGAGGACCTCATATATGTTCCTGATGTTCCTGATGACACTCCCTGAAATGAAATTGTCTTCATCGGCGCGCGATCATCCCCGGTCCTGGCGCGTATTGCGGCGGCCTGACACAGCAGCAACAGCAGATGTGAAACTGGCTCTTCTTCAGAAACCGCACTATTACAACTTGGAGATTTTTGCAATGCAGTGATCGATCGCGGAGTCTCAATTTCCCAGATTTATAGGACGGAGGCCTACCGAGATGGTATAGACAATGTCGATCCCCTCCCACTATGCGTTACTCCTTTGGCTTCTCGTGTTTGCCATCAGCTTGATTACCGGTGTCAATACCGACAACGTTGTCTATGTGACCCGCACCGTGGACGCATCGACAATTGTTCAAGCGACGCCCACCGCGCCCAGTGCGGCCTCGTACACCTCGTTTGACGGTTTCAAGGAAGCAGTCTTGCAGACCAGCAATGAATATCGTCGCTCTCATGATGCAAACCCATTGGTCTGGAATGAAACTCTGGTGAAGTATGCGCAGGACTGGGCGGAGGCTTGTATATGGAAACACTCGGTAAGAAGTTCAGTTTCCGCAAGTGCAAGACGATTTTCTAACAGTATTATGTCCAGCACGGTCCCTATGGGGAAAATCTCGCCTTTGGTTACCCCAATGCCACTGCAGCTGTCGATGCGTGGGGCGATGAAGGGAGACTTTATAATTTCCAAAAGCCGACGGGCTTCACAGAGCAAACCGGTCACTTCACACAGCTGGTGTGGAAATCGACGACCGAAGTGGGATGCGCTGCGATCAACTGTGGATATACACACGATAAGACGCGGAGAGATGTTGACGATGAGAGCTACTTGAGCCCCAGAGCGGACGGCACCACGCGGGTGCAGGGCTGGTACGTGGTATGCGAGTACACCCCGGCTGGGAACGTGGTTGGCGAACACGACATGTACTTCAAGAAGAATGTCGTGCCGAAAAAATCGAGTCCATCTGCCAGTCAACCCAACGGAGGCGCAACGATGAACGGTGAAAGTGACTTCTCGCTGCGCATGATGTTGCTGGCTCTGGGAAGCGTGGCCGTTGGGATGTTGTATACATGAAAGTTTACTATAGAATGCAAAATACGTGAATGTCGACATCTGCTTGTTCGTAGGCATTTCTCATGCTTATCCACATGGCACATCAAGAGGTCGCACACAGCTCCATCTATCGGATTTTGGGAGGCCCCGATCCTCGGACCAAACAAACGGGGAAAAGCCGGGTCGAAGCGCAGAGGACGCCGGCAACAAAAAGGTGAAAAAGAACATTATATGCGACAGAGAAAAAAGAAATGGGTTCGTCAACCAATGACCTCCTCGGTCTCCTCGATGATTTCCTCCACGATCTCCTCCACCACCGTGTCGCCCTGCTCCTCGCCGCCGATCGGTGCGTCGAGGGCCAGCTTGCGCGAGTCGGCATCCTCGGGGAGTCCGAAGGCCTCCTTCTCCTCGGCCTGGAGCTCCATCTCGCGGCGCAGCCAGGCAACCCACTCGCTGAGCACCCGCTTGCGTGTCTCCACAACGGCGGTGTTGGCAATGTCCACGGCGTACTTGTCCTCCTCGTCGAACTCCTTGGAGTACTCGCGAAGGTTTTTGCGGACCTGCTTCTGCTCCTCCTTGCTGAGGAGGGTGGGTGGGCGCGGGCGCCAGGCGAACTGCTTGAACTTTTCGGTGGGGTTTTCGGAGAGGGTGTTGCCGGAGAAAGTGTGCATGTTCCAGCCGTTTTCCATCTAAAGTCTAGTTAGAATCTGTTCAAATAGAATCGGGTAAAAAGGGTCGCCTTACCGAGTGAGTCCACACACTGGCACTGCTGACCACGTAGCGACCGGTAGGGTCCCACTCAATGTCAGTCACACCGTAGTGCTCGACGGTCTTCATCAACTGAAGGTTGGCGGCCAGGTCCTTCTCAGCATCATTCTTCTCGCCCTCGAAGTCCATATCCCAGAAGTCAAGGTCGAAGTTGGACTGGGAGTGGACGGTGGCGACGACGACGAAACGGCCCTTGGGGGACCAGTAGATACCGTTGCTGGTCTTCTTCTCGACCGTCCGCACAAGCTTGAAGCTGCCGGCGGTGTTGCCCTTCTTCTCGGGGGCAAAGAACGAAACAGCGGTCTTGGGAGGAATGGCAGCGCCGGTGGGGTTCTCGCCAGTATTGATCAGAACGAAACGCGAACCGTTGGGCTCCCAGGCGAAGTTGATCACGGTGTCCTTGAGGCTGTCGACAACCTCCACGGGAACACCCTTCTCGCGCACACGGAAAATCTCCAGGTTGGTGGCCATAGACTTCTTGGATTTGGAGTGACGGTCGACCTTGACACAGACGTAGGTACCCTGGGATTGCCAGTGCAACTTGACATCGGAAACATTGAACAGGTTACGGGTACGGACAATCTCCTTGGAGGGAACGCTCATCATGGCGACACGAGCGGGGTTGCTGCCAATTTCGGGAGTCCAGAAGCAGAGCAACTGCTCGTATTGCTTGACACCGTCACGAGTGACGGTGGCGGGCGACCATTCGAAGTCGTTCACACCCTCGATCTTTACCGAGGTACGGCCCAGGAGGTTCATGTTGGGGAGCTCGTAGATGGAGATCGACTGACCCTGGAACATACGGGCCACGTACTTCTCGTCCGCAGACCACTTGAAAGCGGGCCACTGGACCTTCTTCTTAGGTTGAACGTCACCCTCGATGGCGGGGGGAGAGCAGCGAGGTCGTGGGAGACGAATGACCGAAGGGGCTTGCCGGTCTCAATATCCCAAACAATAATGTTCTTTCCATCCTCCTCGAAGGTCAGGATAGGCTGGCCTTCCTCGACCTGAATCGGGCGGGCCGACCATGTAGTCAAATAGCCCTCCAAGGGCGAGAACTCGATCAATGAAACGAATGGATGGGGGAATTGCTTTTGTTTTGAGAAGGAGGATCCACCCCAGAGCTGGACACCCTGGGGGTGGACGGAGGCAAGGAAGTTACCCTTGGGGGACCATTGGATGAAAAGTTGTGTCCAGTGGGCGCGGTCGACGACGTTCTCTGGCGGGTTGCCCTTGTTGTTCCAGAACACGCCCACCTTGTCGTTGCGGTAAAGGGCGAACTGATCACGGGCGCTGGCATCGCCCAACCACGAGCGCAGGTGCTCCTTCTCCTTGAATGGCTCGACCTGGGGCTCCTGGTATTCCTCCTCAATGCGGCCCTCGCGACCATAGCGCTCGATATCCATCAACTTGTTCACGGCGAGGGTGTGCTTCTTATCGAGAGGGACGCCGTGCAGCTGCTTGACGGCGGCGACGGCCTGTTCGGGGGTTTCGTACTCGACAAAGGCAAATCTGTAAAACCATCCACATCAGATCAGTTATCGCATCCACCACAGTATTCCGAGACCCATCACGCACCCTTCGGTCATGTCCTTGTCGTTCAGCGGCATAAAAACGGCATCTTCGGAGGTTTGACCGACGGAGGTCAGCTTCCTCAACAAGAACTTGACGAGTTTCTGTCGGCTATCCTTGGGGACGACGGGGAGGCCATCGATGACGACGAATGTGTCCAAGCCCTCCTCGAGTTTAACTTCGTATTGTTCCTTGAGATCTACCGGGGGACATTGTTAGAGAGGGGCACACGGCCGGGGCGAAAGATTCTGCACGCACCGGAGAAATCGACCTCCTCCTCCTCCTCTTCGTGGAGGTCCTGCTCGGTCAAAGTGTCGAAACTGGGCGCCATGATGGGGTAGCGAAAGGCGACAGCCGTGGAGCGGAGCAGATGTGCGGACTTTGAGGATTTTCCCACAAGAAACAAAAGTGGACGCCAAGCCGCTTTCTTTGTGCGCGCTGACTCAGCTTCCCGATGGATCACGTGCGCTTAATCATCAATTTCCCCGGCCTGCGCATCGCCGTTGCTTTCGGAGCTGCGGCGGGGTCTCTCTTTGTTGCTGCGTCTGCCGTCTTGTCCAAATCTCGCGATTGCGTCCCGGCTCTCATTTCCTCGGCTCCTCCCTCGTGTTGTGTCCTTGCGCCCCAGGTCCTCCCGCCCTGCACAACCCCCCAACCGCTCCTAAGCGCCAGTGCGACTATACCCACCTGACCTTAAGTACCGGGTTGCGCTGTCTACAACTAACGGCCAAAGTTGCCGGCGGGAGCTCCAGCGCAGGATCTTTAGCTTATCAACAGTGATAGCGAGCGGCTACGGAGGAAACAATCAGAATTGGCCGCAGACAAGATGTCGCGTGCGTTGCCCTCGGTGTTGCCCCGGCTGCAATTGCCGGAACCTCAGCGTGCGCAAGTGTGTCGCTAACTTGGTGCCATAGTTTCTCCAGAACTACGCGATCAATATGTCGAGATCATTGACTCGATTCTCGGAAAGAGTGATCTCAATACCATCTCCGAGAAGCGGATTCGCAAGGGTCTCCAGGAAGTCGTCGGTTATGATCTCACTCCGCAGAAGGTATGTCTGCTCTGGTCAGATCGCCTTCGTCGAGACCAGGAAGTGCAATAACTGCTTCGAGGAAGAATGCTTACAATTTCGATGGACAGGCTGCCGTCAAGCAGCTCATCATGGAACGATTCGATGTCTATGCGGAGAAGAACGGCGTTGGGTCTCCGGAAGAGACCACCGCCAGCAACGGCCACAAAGAAGGCGACTCCGCTTCTGCAGTCCCATCCCCACCCCCGTCCTCGTCCCCTGTGAAACGCGACGCCGATAGCGAGGAAGCATCGCCTGTTGACAGCGAGCCGCCCGCCAAGAAACACAAGCCGGATGCCGGGGCCAATGTCGACGCAGATGCCGACGTCGACGCCGATGCGCTCTATGCGGCGAAGTTGCAGGCCGAGGAGAATCTGCGCGCGCGGCCAACAAGAGGCGGAGGCACTCGTCGCGCAGCTCCATCTAAGAAGAAAAGCAAAGCCAAGACTTCAAAGCGGGTCAAGGCGGACGACGACTCGGACATCGAGTCTGGCTCGGACACAAACAAAAAGAAGGAGGTCAACCGAACTGGCGGGTTCCATGTAAGAGGCATTACTCGGGTTGATTGTAATATGGCTTTTAACATTGCTTGCAGAAACCCCTCAACCTCTCTCCGCCTCTGTCCGCGTTGCTAGGTGGAGAAGTGACGGTAAGCTCCTCTCGCTTTGCGCTCAAGTCCGTCTGGCTAACTCTTAGACTAGCTTTCGCGGCCTCAAACGGTGAAGAAGGTCTGGGAGTATATCCGGGAGAATGAACTTCAGGATCCCAGTGACCGACGCCAGATCCGATGCGACGACGCCATGCGCGCCGTCTTCAAGCAGGATCGAGTGCACATGTTCACCATGACCAAAATCCTGAACCAGAACTTGTACAGCCCGGATGAATAGCTTTGGTTGGGATCATGGTCTGTTTTTTTCCCCCAGTGCCAATGCTCCCAGATGGGTAGTTCATCGGCCCTAACGACTCTCGTTTTTTTTTCTGTCATTTGGATTTTGCGATGCATGGGGATGCTGGCGTGAACCCCCTTTTTAGGGCTGTTGTTTCTCTGGCGCTTTTGCTCTTTTCCCAAGTTATTGATATTGCCCTCCAGCGGGAGTTGGTGAAGCACTCGAATAGTGATCATTGTCGAATTCTATCAATTGCATCTATGGTTGAATAGTTGAAGGCCGCGTAAAGGTAAATTTGTATGTTTGTAGACCATCCCGCCTTGCGTTTGCCAGGCAAATAGTGGTTTGTTAAAATTGTCTGATCGATCCCAGTGAATGTAGGTAAGCTGTATGTAAAGTCTTCTTAAGCCAACCACATTATAATATGATTTCTTCGTTCTGACATCTGGATCTTCAGAAACCAAGCCCGCAGCTCCGCTCAGTCAGCGGGCCGAGATCTTTTTCTCTCCCACCCCACACACAATTTCGAGCTCTGCAGCTGTCGGCGATAATTGACCCGTGAACCTTAACTGCAGCGCTGATCTTCAACTCCCCCGTCTGCGCCATGGCTGACAACGCGCCTCCAGCACCCGGGTCCTCAGGCCAGGGCCGTGGTGGTCGCCGCCGAGGCCGTGGAGGGGCACCCCCCTCCGGCCGTGCAGACGCCCATCAAAACTCCGGGGACGGCGCAAACAGAGGAGGCAGGTCTCGTGGTCGTGGAGGCAAAAACTCTGGTGGACGCGACAAACAACAGAATGCTGACGGTGCTCGCAACGATTCGGAGCCCTCCACGACTGCGACGGTAGGCTCCAGGCAGGTTGCCGCTGCCACGGACGATGCGGATGACGGAGAAGTCTGCTTTATTTGCGCCTCCAAGGTGGAACACACCTCGGTCTCTCCCTGCAATCACCGGACGTGTCATATTTGTGCTCTCCGCCTTCGGGCGCTGTACAAGAGCAAGGGTTGTGCTCATTGTCGTGTAAGTTTGCCTCCTGGTTGGCCCGCGATCGGCCCTCGGCTTTATGGATTTTCATGGAAAAAACTAACTTATACGGGTGTCCAGACCGAGTCTGCCTTCGTGATATTTACCGACGATCCCGTGCGACGCTTTGAGGATTTCCAGAAAAAGGACTTTGCTCGGACCGACGAAAACCTGGGCATCCAATATGAGAAGGATGAGATCTTCGAGGACACTGTCCTGTTGCTTCGGTATAATTGCCCCGATGAGGACTGCGATGTAGCTTGCTTAGGTTGGCCGGACTTGCATCGTCATGTGAAAAGCAAGCATGGGAAGGTGATGTGGTATGTACCTGCATATCTACACCACTAAGCGACGACTAATCGGCTAAAATTTTTAAACTAGTGACCTTTGTACACGGAACAAAAAGGTCTTTACCCATGAGCATACCCTCTTCACGCACGCCGAATTACGAAAGCACGAAAAGTATGGCGATGACCAACCTGGTGCCATCAATCAGAGCGGTTTCAAAGGACATCCCGAATGCGGTTTCTGTCGGCAACGGTTCTATGGTGATGATGAGCTATATACCCATTGTCGTGAGAAGCACGAACGCTGCCATATCTGTGACCGCCGTTCCAACAATCGTGAGCAACAGTACTACGTTGATTACTCGGCCCTTGAAAGTCATTTCCAGAAAGACCACTTCCTCTGTCTTGATCAAGAGTGTCTGGACAAGAAGTTTGTGGTGTTCGAGACCCAAATGGACCTGAAGGGTCATCAGCTGGAAGAGCATCCCAACGGCACATCCAAAGATATCCGAAGAGACGCCCGGCTGGTGGATCTTAGGGAGTTTGATAACATGCGGAGCCCATATCAACAACAGCAACGACAACGTCGTGGCGCTGGTCGAGGCCGTGATCCCAATGCTGAACCATTACCACCATCTAGCGCTCAACCTTTGCGGCGAGACCAACTTGCCTACCAGCGACAAATGGCCATCCAAAGCTCCCAGTCGGTCACTCAGCGTAGCTTTGGTGGAGCGCTATCTCGCGATGAGACGCAGTCCGTCCAAGCCCCGGCCCGATCAGCCGCTGCCACTCCAATCCAGTCTAGATCGCGAACACCACAGCCGCCCACCGAGGGACTCAACGGTCTCAGCCTTGCTGCCAGTTCACAACCACTTGGTCCGGAAGATCAAGCTCGTCGGCTACGACACACAGCTGTTGTTGAGCGGGCATCGAATCTCCTGCGCAATGATGCTACCAAGTTGACGGAATTCCGCAACAGAGTCTCCAGCTATCGCACATCGTCCATCTCGGCCACCGAGCTCATTGACGCTTTCTTCTCTCTGTTCGATACATCCAGTTCCGAGCTCGGTAAGCTCATCAAGGAGCTGGCGGAGATCTATGAGGACAACTCCAAGCGCATTAACTTGCTCCAGGCCTGGAATGACTGGCGCGCCATTAACGAGGACTACCCTGCACTGCCAGGCCCTGGCGGTCTCTTGCCAGGCATGTCACCTGGCACCGTCAACACCGGCGGCAGCCGTGTCTTGCGCTTGAAATCATCCACTGCTCAATCCTCTCGTTCCGCCGTTGGCAGAAGCGGCGCCCTCTCATCCTCAGCTTCATCTTCATCATCAAATCCCTTCCCGCCTCTCTCCGCCGCTGCCGGTTCCTCTCGCCGTACCGGTGGTCAGTCTGCTACACCCTGGGCCGCAGCCGCCCCGCCACCATCATTTTCACGCCCGTCAATCAACATTGCCCCTAGCCGGCCCTCGGCTGCGACACCCTCTAGCTCCGTTCGCTCGGCTGCAAGCGGTGGTGATGCATTTCCTGCCTTGCCTGCGGCTCCTAAGCCGAACGTTATGATGGCCGGCAAGACCCGCGGCTATGTTCGATGGGAGGACCGGCGCGGACCGGCGCCAGATGCCTGGGGATCCAACCCTTCCTCTGGCATTGCCTCTCCCGCTGAACCGGCTGACTTCGATGATCTCGGCGAGGGCAAGAAAGGCAAGAAGAATAAGAAGGGGAAGCAGACGCTTTTCCACTTTGGTTAAGTGGTCAATGTCCCATCTACTTGTCAGATACCATGTTTTCAGCGTTTGATAGATGAATGAGTTAATGTGAGCTATTATCTATCTTTTTTTGTTTTCTCTTTGAGTTCTGTCTCGAATTAAATATGCCGTGTTTAACGAGATATTAACTACTCTGAGAGGTGGAGGGGTAAAGGTATACTCGACTCTGCTGCTCATCGCCAAGAGGCCATGGAATTATGGGTACAGGCCATATAGATGCTAAAACCATGGAAGAATTATTTGGTTTGCAGCCACGGAAAGTCAAACCAGTACAACAATGTCAGTGTCAGCAGTCTCTGATGCGAAGTCGGATTCAATCGAGATAGGTTCGGAGCCAGTCCCCACTTTCGCTGCGGAACGTTTCGAGCCTTCCCTTATGCTCGATGAACGATGACAAGAGTCGAGAACTGGGCTACTATGAATTGAGGTTTGATGCTCAGCGGGTTCACTGAGGCTGTCGCTAGTCGAATCCATTTCCTGATCCATGGCTGCCATTTTCATCGTGAAATCGTTTTGCAATTCAAGCAGCCAGCGGCGGAGAGATTCGTCATCCATGGTGCTGTCTCGAGCGATAAAAAGTTGTTCGCGGAGCGAAAGAAGAAGCTTTCGCTTCCGTGCGATTGTAACCACACGCGACGAACTATTTCGGCGCTGAGCAAAGCCGTCCAATGTCTCTGAGACTCGTTTCGCAACTTCCAGAACAGCAGGGGGGAGGTCGACTAGCTGGGCGAGAACGAGACCATATCGTCGGTCTGGAACTGGACCCTCGGCAATTTGGTATAACATGGTCATTTTGCTCGCACCGGCTGTAATATCTGCAGCAAGGTGAAGATTCGTCACGCCATTTCGATCAGACAAAATACGTGCCAGGTCATGAAAGTGTGTGACAAACCATACCAGAGCGTTGCTGGCAAGAAGAGCTTCTGCCAATGCAACCGCTATTGCGAGGCCATCTGTTGTGCTCGTACCTCGACCGATCTCATCAACGAGTACCATCGCCCGAGGTTGGACGTGGCGCAGGATAAATGCCATCTCGCGCATTTCCGCTGCGAAAGTGGATACATTGGCATCCAGGTCGTCGGTTGTCGCCATACGTGCGAACAGTTGGTGTACAACGGGGAAAGAGGCATATTGAGCTGGTATAAAGCAGCCAATCTGTGCCATGACGGTCATGAGTGCCATTGAGCGGATATACGTCGACTTGCCACTCATGTTGCAGCCAGTAATAACTTGGAACCGTGTTTGAGGTGTGGCATAGGCGTCGTTTGGTACGAACTTGCTGCTGTGGATTCGCTCTCGGATTGGGTGGCGGCCGGCTTTGATCGCCAGTGTGGCCGTCAGCTCCGGACGAATGTAATCATAGCTGGTAGCCAGCTGGGCGAAGGCTGTCAGCATGTCTAACATCCCAATGGCTTCACTGACTCGAAATAGTCCTGAAACCTGCGCGCACACATCTCGGATCAGTTCCTGGACAGTTTGGTCGCTCATGCTTATCACTTCGGTGTGTGCATCGGTGATTTTCTGGTTCAATTTGACGAGATCTAGCGTTTGACATTCGACGCGACTCCTCTTACGGAACACATTGATGAAAACATCAGGCAGTGACTCCGCATCTGAAATGGAAATACAGATGTAGTATTGACGAGCTGTGTCATATTTGAGATCCAAGGCCATTTCGCAGGTTTCTGAAATACTTTAGTAGCCAGTTCTAATGATCTAGGCGGCTGCATACCTGCTAGCTTGTCCACAAGCTCTGAAGCATCCGCATTGGCCTCCTTGTACGTCTGTCTGGCCACATCGAGGAGACTGTTAACCCCAGCCTGTAGTACGTAAGAAAGTAGAGAGGAGAATGGTTAAAAAGGTACGAGACCCACCTTGACACAGTACACTCGCTGGTTCCGAAGATCTAATGGTTTGCTCTGGTAGGTGATGTGCTCGTTCAACGTTGCATTGATGAGCTGCTCGACAGCACGATATCCTGCGGGACAACATAGCTAGAGCAAGTCAGTCAAATGGCAATTCAAGCAGCTCGACTGCAGTACCTCGCGGATTGTCGAGATTAAATCACTTTGTGCAGCCCCCAGGGCTTGGTAAATTTTCTTGATTCCAGACACAAATGTTTTCAGCATGATGACATTGTTAACCGATTGCTCGATATATTGGACCGTTCGGTTAGTGGGGACAAGAATGATCTTCCAAGTCAGCCCGATTTCTATATGCCGGAGAGAGAGGAAAGTGCTTTACCGAGGTCAAGACTCTATCGGCGTCGACGAAGCCTTTCAATGCTTGGCGGACAGAAACAAACATATCCTCTTTGGAAGACAAGTCTTCAACGGCGTTGTACCTTGCTGTTAGCTTCACTCTTTCAGTGGACGGCTGCAGGATGTTTGCCCGCAACAACCTGGCCCCCATGGGTGTTAAGGTTTCGTTGAGCAGCCCATACAGGCTATCCTTTGACTTCGTATTGTGCAAGTTCTGGATGAGTTCAAGGGATATGATAGTCGCTAGGTCGATGGTCATGGACCCTTGTGACGGCTCGAGTCTGATCCGCAGGGAGTGGGAGGAAAAAGCGCATTGGAGCTCCAGCTCAACATACCTCAGCACCTGTTACTCAATTATTCCACGTCCGATGGCTTCGACGAGCAAACACATACCGCAGCGAAGCAACATGCCACAAAGAAGTTCCCTCCCAGTGTCACCTTGAGAGAGTCAAGCTCGTCAGGGAAAGCCAATCGTTCCAGATACTCATGGCCCATCTTGTCAGACCAATACTTGCGATCCAGAAAGGTGAATATCGGGCCTGGTATGTTCTCTTGAATGATGTAGCGCAGCTTGGATTCCTTGACGGTATTCATGAATAGAATTTCACTAGGCTCGAAGACACCGATCTTGGTGACTGTCTTCACATAAGTCTGGCTATCGCAGATTTGGGACAGGACCACCTCCGCTGTGGCGAGGTTGACAAAGGCCAAGCCAACAATGGACGAGACGCCACGAGACTCGCTGATGGCACAGACGATGTCTTGTCCAGCGACACTGGTAGCCGTGGTGGTTGGCCGACCCGTTGGCGGGTACCTGCTGCTGATCCTTGACGTCAAGGGGACAAACGAGTCATCCGTTGCTCGCGAAGTGATGGACATTTTGGTTGTGATGATGGTAGATAGGTCAAAGTGGGCAACAAGGAAGAGATGGCCGCGGGTCCCTCTGACCTGCTTCTTCCTCCCAAACAAACCAGTTTTTGCTGAAATTTCACTAATGTCACAATTGGTAGCATTTAATTAAAAACTCGACCAAACATGCAGCGATGTAATATCGGGTCTTTGGTGGAATTATAGCACACCTTACATCTATCTCCGCGTCAGTCCCAATCCAATTGGAATTGTACCGTACTAGGATATGAGCTGGGACATCGTAGTGATAGACATTGGAATGTCTGAATGTATTTCCGGGTTCTCTAGACAGGTAAGATTTGTTATTTCGAGCAATATGAAATCACACAAAACGATTTTCTGTATGCACTTTGCTCTGGTGATATATACTCCCCTATGGCACGCTGCCAATTGCTAAATCACATCGTTCATCAGGACCTCGGGAGCATCGGGGTAAAGAAGCATATTGACAATTCTATAACATCGGAAATGCTAGAAAACATGTTAAAAAGTATGTTCTCAAATAGTGGATCTGCCTTGACCACCTTGTATTTGCACGGAGTGACGTTTGGTACCCCCGCGATAAGCTCTGATAAGCCGTCAAAATTTCTTCCTCCTCCAACTCCCCCAGCAACATGTCGACCCTCGTTCCCCCGCCTAGCAAGCGCCAGAAGGTCGCTGCGGCCGAAAAGGCTAGGGAGCAGCAGGAGATCCAGAGTATTCCCACCGATCTCGGCAGCGTCCGCGTCCAATTCTTCGACCAGGCCACCGGCAATGCTACCGGACCTGCGGTCTCCGTCCCAGTGGCCGATGCCAACACCAAGAACCTGGAGACCCTCTTGAATACGTTACAAGGAAATGTAAGTACCGGAAGGAACCATTCGAGGGTGTGGCGCAAGATCTCGATTAACAAATTACTTCATACAGGACGACGATGACCGTGTTCCGTACCGCTTCACCTACCAATCCGACAAGGGCGATCAGACAATCGACATTCTTGCGGACCTGTACCACTCGCTTCTCCAACCAGGGATCAAGACCACCGAGGATACTGTTTCCCTATTTTTCACGCCGCAGGCGGTGTTCCGAGTCAAGGCGGTTTCGCGCTGCGCGGCCTCCATTGCGGGACACGGCGAGGCTATCCTCGCCACGTCTTTCTCCCCCATTAACTCGTCTACGATGGTGTCTGGAAGCGGTGATTCCACAGCACGTGTATGGGACTGCGACACGGGTACGCCGTTGCATACATTGAAGGGACACACCAGCTGGGTGCTAGCGGTGGCCTACTCGCCCAACGGAGCGATGATTGCCACCGGTAGTATGGATAATTCGGTGCGAGTGTGGGATGCGAAGAAGGGAGCTGCGCTCGGAGGTCCCCTCAAGGGCCATGCGAAGTGGATTACCAATCTGGCTTGGGAGCCATACCATCTCCAGGAGCCCGGGTGCCCCCGCATCGCTTCCTCGTCCAAGGACTCGACCGTCCGGGTGTGGGATGTGGCATCGAAGCGGATCGAACATGTTCTCACTGGACACAAGGGATCGGTAACGTGTGTGAAATGGGGTGGCACGGGCCAGATTTATACGGCGTCGCATGACAAGACCATTAAGATCTGGAACCCGAAAGATGGCACACTCATCCAGACTCTCGCATCGCATGCTCACCGTGTCAACCACCTCGCTTTGTCCACGGACTTTGCTCTGCGTACTGCCTACCACGACCACACCGGCAAGGTCCCTTCGACTGACGCCGAAAAGGTGGCTGCCGCCCGGAAACGGTACGAACAGGCAGCGACCGTGAACAACAAGATTGTTGAGCGGCTCGTGTCTGCCAGTGATGACTTCACCATGTATCTGTGGGAGCCGTCGAGCTCTAACAAGCCCGTAGCCCGACTACTGGGCCATCAGAAGGAGGTCAACCACGTCACATTCTCACCGGACATGGCATACATTGCGTCCGCCGGTTTCGACAACCACGTCAAGTTGTGGAATGGACGTGACGGGAAGTGAGTTTAATATTCTGCTGTTCTTGATTGCATTGATTGACTAATCACGTTCCAGGTTCATCACGACCTTCCGCGGCCACGTCGGCGCCGTCTACCAGTGCTGCTTCTCCGCCGACTCGCGGCTGCTAGTCTCGTCCTCCAAGGATACCACTCTGAAGGTCTGGGACGTGCGTACGGGCAAGCTGTCGACGGATCTGCCGGGCCACAAAGATGAGGTGTTTGCCGTAGACTGGAGTCCCGACGGACAGAAGGTCGGCAGCGGAGGCAAGGACAAGGCGATTCGGATCTGGCGGAACTAAAAAGTCTATATAGAATGATACCCATTGCCTGTACTCTGCATGAGCCCTGGACATTTTATTTTTATTTTTATTTTTATTTTTATTCTTTTATGAGATAGAAATGATAGAAGCAAATTATTAATTCTTGCTACTGGTTCACTATGCACTCGTATGGATATTGTACAATGCTAAACGATCAATCCAAGTCAAGGAAACGCTAGAACAATCAAATCGAATCTATACGTACTGCCAGGCAGGGACGGGACCCTTGTAGGTCAGAGCCATGGCGGAGAAACCGAGACAGTCCTCAACGTTGCCGGAGGGAACAGTGGCATTCTCCATGGCCGCAAACACCTGCCAGCGGTTGTCGTCAGTGGGGCAAGCCATGAAGCCACTGGCGCCCCAGCCGTTGAAGGTGTAGTGAGACCAAGGCTTGCCGGGCTCGTACTTGAAGCCACCGATGGCGGAGCCCGGGGGAATGGAGGCAGAGTGGGCCTGGGTGAAGCTCAAAGCTCCAGAGGGGTCGACGTAGATTTGTTGGCCGCCGGGGACCTCAACGTCCTGCAGTGCCGTTAGTTTTAATGTTGTGGAATGCGAAACCGTGCAACGTACCAGGGCGCAGCCGCTACCAACGATGACGGTCTGGTTGCCCGCGGGGCAGTCGAGACCCTGCAGGTCCGGGCAGTAGGAGGAGGTCTGGCCGCCCAGCCAGAACTTCTGGCCTGCGGCGTTCATCTGCATGTAGTGGATGGGAGAGGCGGAGCGGATGGCCATCACGCCGAAAGAAGGGTTGCCCTCGGGGGTTTGCATGGCCGGAGCAGCAGCCGCCAGCAGGGGCAGAGCGAGAGAAGCAGCGAAGGTCTTCATGTTGGAGATTGGAGGAAGTACGGAAAGAAGGGAGGTATAGAATGGAGCGAAGAAGTATGGAATGATGATGAATTATTGACGAGGAATGTGTGCCGCTTTATAACTCTTGAGTTGTTCGGGATCCTGTACATGTCGTCAGGGACGATCAACTAGCTCGGACACCCCGCGTGGTTCGATCCTACGGTTTCCCAGGGAAACACCGAAAAACTCGGCTTGGGATATCAAGTCGATGACGGACATCCCCGCTGGATGGAGACACCAAGTGGCCGGACAGGAGTCTTCATTGGGCACGTTTAAGACACCACTGCTTGTCCCTGCGCGGAGGCAATGCCGATGCTACATAGTTCAGCAACGAGTATGGCATGCAAAAGTCCGAGTATCAACGCTAGCCACAAGCGAAATCAAGCGCCCCTATAACAGTGAGACATCAAATGCCAAGCGGCCGAAGCAGGAAACTTCAGCGGGTCCGTGATTTTAACACGAGTTTGACCGACCGTGGATGATGCTGATCGGCATGCATGTCTCAGCTATTTGTGGAGGGGGAAAATAGCGCTGTACTGTGTACGGAGTTACCGTTCTTCAATTAGACTGTTCATGCGACGGGAACGAATAATTATGCCTATGCCTATGCCTATGCCCATGCCCGACAAAGGGACTCCAGTATTTACGGTAAACCCTGTCGGATCTCGCTCCGCTCGTTGAGGCCCCACGCACCGCCGCTGCCGTCATGAACCGTCGCCCGCCGCATATCGCGCCGATGTTTACCCTCGAAGCTGCCTCCCACCGCTCGATGCATCACGCACGTATTGTCCCATAGAACCAAGTCTCCGGCGTGTTCCCACCCCACGCGAAGCACAAACCGTGGCTGCGTCGCATGCATGAATAGCCGATTGAACAGCGTGGAAGATGCATCCGCGTCCAGTCCTTCAACGTGGTGGATATGCGCTGCGAGATAAAGTGTATCCCGACCGGAGGCTTCGTGTTTCTGAAACAATCGGTGTCGACCCATTGGGTACGCCTCTGGATCCACGTCTGCAAAGGTCGCCGGCGATGCAACCTTGCGAGAATGCCACAGCGAGTGCGCGGCGATATAGTCCTGCTCCTGCAGATCCATCTGTATCGTTCGAGGGAGCCGGTCGAAGGCGGTCCGCAGGTCGGCGAACTCGGTGTCGCCGCCCATACCCGCGGGGGAAGCTCGGCTGCGCGTAGCAGCGAATATCCTGCCCGTCGTGGGTTGAAGCTCGAGTCCACGTGGAAGAGCCCATTGCCCTATATCGATGAGTCTCGCGAGGTACGAACGTCCGGAAGGATCACACACCTTGTTCCACTCCCGTCGTACGTTATCCAGCTCAAATACCTTGCCGTCGAGTTCGATATTGCCGACGTCGAACAGGCGCACGTCTGACAGTCGGTGCGGCCGGCCACCCGCCAGGTAGGGGGTCACGTCGTCCAGCTCGCCAAATCGTGCGGCGAAAGCGACATGATGGGCGTCGTCGAGGCCCGTGTTGCGGAACACGCATACCCCGTACTATTTCTGTTCATATGCATTCTGATGGCGGCTTGCTAGGTATATACCTACCTTGCTGATTGCAGCCAGTATCTCCTGGAACACATCGTCCTCGACCGGCCGTGAGAATTCCACGCCACTGATCTCTGCTCCGAATGTGGGATGCAGCTCGGTGATGCTGATCTTGTTAAAACTTGGGACGTGCGAGAGTCCGGGCATCGTGATGGAGTTATTCGGGAGATTTCCACTGCGCTGAGTAGGATTCTAACTTGGGTAGATGTGTTTTCTAGAGTATAGCACTGGTATTATATGGGGTATTATATGGTCACTGGGATCTCGGAATGAACAGCGTAGATACTTACTTGCCGTGCGGGGAACGCCCGGACTTCTGTCCAGATCACATCGTCGGAATACTGACGGATGAAGCGCACATTTATTTAGATTGCTCGAGCTTATTGAAGTGGCTTGATACAAAAAGTGAGAAGACAGGCTACGTGTCACACTCATAGTTCTTGAATGGTGCTGTTATTGGACGTTATTGTAGACAGAGTTGCATGCCGTTGGAAGTGATTCTTTCCTTTCGACCGACTCTATATGATGAAGAACCTTGAAATAAAAAGCCACCTATTTCAAATAAAACAGCTTTGCATCCTAGCTTGTATACACGGTCTTTAGATACGGCGGTGAATAAGGTAGTTGTCTACCGGCTGGAAAAAACAAAAAAAAAAAGTTCGAGGTATGACAGCAGTGGGGTTTGAACCCACGATCACAAAAGTGAGCAGAAATCTGGTATGAACCTTAAGTCTGCCGCCTTAACCACTCGGCCATACTGCCTCCAATTAAGTCATTTAGCAAAAAAAGCAATATCACTCACTATAAAAATATCCAAATTTGTACATTTGATCATCAGTGGCTTTGAAATGTAAGATTAAGCACAATCTATGGGAATCGGTCAAATCCACTGAAATGCGATATTAAATAGCCCCTTCGAAAGCGGGCCGATTTCTACTGTGACCAAGGCCTAAAATCTAAAATGCTCGTCTATCCTCCTCAAGCTCCCAATCGGCTTCCGATCAACCATGACTGGGCTATTCGAATTAATCACGTATCGGTAGTGTGCCAAAATTCTGCATTCAAGGATAAATATTCCTTCCGAATCGGTCGGGGGCACTTAATAGATGCCACGGTATCCAAGATGAGGAGTTTTAGGTCAACCTTCGGTGTGGCTGCCGACCACGACTATACTGCACGGCACAGGAAGGAGATATATCTCACTGGCTACGAGTAATGAAAGACATGCCATTTAATATTATCTATGCCCTCACTTGAATGCTCCTCGGCTGTCGCTTCACTTGAAAAGGTATCTATATGCACAGTCCTCTTTCTGCTTACTTTCCCACATCACAGTCTTCGTGAGTCTGAGGTTCATCCTGATCTTCCAAGTTTCCGCACCCATGCTTGATCTGACCATTGTTTGGCTGTACCATCCCTATTGAAGCCTACAGCTAGATGTATTGATAGAAACAGGTCAGATGTATACACTCTTGCCTAGGTACCTAGGTGCCCACCATATACATGATGACTAGAAAAGACCGATGTCTCTATCTTTGAACGTGCACTTGTTTTGTAAGCGAGCGAGCCATGTTTCACCGACCGTGTCTAGGTAATGGTCTGCTACTAAAGATAGGGACAAAATGCATCCATCCCGCCGTCATGAGTTACCCGTGACCGTCAGAAAACAAGGCCAAGGGTAGCAATGATTTGCTCTGACCGAGCCAAGCAACCCTGCATGACAGGGAATAACATGCGTTTTAAGGTTATCTCCACTACCATGGGCCCACATCAACCCTCGGTGCCACTCACGGCCTAGGTAGGTACCTGAGGACATTCCTACGAATTTACGGTTCCAAGCTTACCTTGGTACGGGTCGCATTATCTGACAGAACAAGTAATTCACCGAATAAGATATATACGAGCAGCTGGTCGGCCACCGAGGTATAAACACGGCCGAGGGCCAAACAAAACCCCAGACACCCCCAGCACCTGTCCGTGTAGCAATATAAAAACCCAGCAAAAAAACATAACAAAAAGAGGCCCCAGAAAACACCGTAAAAGCCAGCACGCCTCCTTTTTGCCTCGCGTCTTGGACCCGCCGATCCAAGCAAGAGAAAATATCTTCTGTTCATTCATCGTCTCCATGCCGGAGTATGCACTCCGCGGCGGGTGGGGACTCGTTTCGTACTGGAGCAAGATTGGTTGACTGCACGTCTAGAAGTCCACACATTTTTTAATAGTCATCACCGTCATCGTCATCACCATCGCCGCCGCGACCGCGCGGGCCCTTCACTCCATCCTTGCGGATGGGGATCTTGATGTCCTGCAGCGCGAAGCATTTGCTGAGCTGAGTGCTCTCGATCACACCAGGGAACTTCTTAGCCGAGAAGACCTGGAAGGGCTCGCTGAAGACCGAAGCTAGGACGGGCGCTGAGCCGTGGTTGATCACGGGGGCGCCGTTGCTGGTCTCCGTGGACGGTGAACCCACGTTGACAAAGCTCATCTTGAGTCTGCTTCTCATTAGCAACCCATTCAATCGCAACGTATAGATTGAAAGAACCTACCGGAATGTACCCTCTGTCCGTACACTCAAATCCTGCAAGATGAACCACACGCCGATCTTGTTGTCCGGATCCGTCAGGCGGAAGGCACTGGCACTAAGGCTGCCGATTAGGTTGCGCGTGAACATTCCTCCCGGGCCTCCCGAAACAGGCTGTGCGGGTGACATGGCAGTGGGCATCTGACTGCCCCCGTAGCCGTACTGGGGATAACCCACGGGCTGACCGTAGGGATTTTGATATGCCATCTGCTGTCCGCCGTAGTAGTTATTCATCTGCGGGTAGCCGACGGGCGGACCGTACGGATTTTGGCCGTAGGGCGGGTAGGTAGGAGACATGCTCTGAGGTGGGGGTGGGTAAGAGGAGGACATGGCGGTCGAGATGGAGGGAGAGGTGGCCGAGTGCTTCACGAGGTTGACTTCATTGGTGCCGTCGGCGTTCCATAGATCGACCGTGAGCACGTAAAACGAGGTGTCGATTTCACTGGGAAGCGGTCAGCAAGGGAGAGCGATGGAGCAAGCCGAGATTGGGGGGCCCATACTTGATATCAATCTCTTTTTCTGTGTGCGCATCTCGTACAATGAGACGGATACACGGAGGTGGGGTGATTGGTCTTCGATCCTAAAGAGGGAAACGCGGGTTAGAATTTAGTACTGTAGGATCGCATGCGGCGGAAAAGTCACCCACCTTATCACCGAAACCGCACATGCGAGCGCGGATGGGCTGCTGGACAACTTGCAAGCTCCAGATACGGCCCTCGTGTATGGTTGATATAGGCGCCAGGTGGTCGGAGGACCGTAGAGGACCCGAACCCGGGGTGGGATAGGCGGCGGACGGAGCAGAGATGCGGTCCATTGAGAGGGGCGGAGGAGGTGGCGGCACCGGATGGGCCCTATCCTGCTCAACGGCGTACATGGTTCGAGAAGGGTAGGAACCGGGGACGACTCTGGCGATAGTAACGACGAGTCCCTCCTCTTTTATAGATCTGTTCGACGGCGGACCCTCAGCTGCTTAGAGGTGGGGGATAGACGTGACATGCGACCCCGCGAAAATCAGACGTCACAGTTGGAGCATCGACTTTCGGCCGGGCTGACGCGGTCGCGAACGGTCTTATCGGCCTCGCGGGTTCTATCCGGGGAAAACGAGGGATGTCGAGCGAACAAAATGGTGGGTGAGTCGGCGCCTTCAGTACGGTCGGAATGATGCGATCGGGGGGAAGTATTTTGTAGAGAGAAAAATCGAGCAGGCTGGCGGAAGCGGACGGCGCAAAGGCTTTCCCACCAGAACCACCGAAACGAGTGCGGGAGTGGCGACGGGTGGTTCGGAGAGGTTGGGCAGAGGGGGAAAGTCCGTGGTAGATAGAGGAGTCCGATAAACCAGATCGCTATGAAACATCGGAGTTAGAGAGCGCTATCAAGCATGAAAGCATTCGTGCCCGGGTCGAGCCATGAGACGAAGCTGTCAGAGTGCGGGAGATTTGCTGGGATTCCACGGATCGCACGAAGTCGGGCTGATCCACCCCAAGGAAAAGTCAGGACGTACCGATTCAAGAACTCCGATAAATAAAAAGGACCTGAGAGCACTTCTCAACCCGCGGATGAAAAGGGGGGAGAAGAAAAGAGAGAGGGAAGAGTTAAGGGGAGGAGTTGGAAGGTGTGGAGTTTGGAGGGGAGTGACGTTCTCGAACTTCTCTGGTTGCAGTCAAGTGCGTCCGCCTTTTCGCATTTCATTCCCAACTGTCAAAAAGATCCGCGCAGCCGGCGCAGGAACCTGGACCCAGTCCGTCGGGCCCCCTCCTCGAATGGGGACGAAGCGTTTGCGCGAGAGCTTTGAACCTGCCGATGTAACCGCGACCCGGTTCTTCTGAAGAAGTTTCTCTCACGGTCCCAGCTACTCTTCAACCCGCCGGTTGCGGCGATCCAAGGATATACCGATTCCGGATTTGTACGGTCTTCCACCGGATCGGGTTAATTACTCAGTGGACATGGCGTCCAGTCATCATCCTCCGTTCCAATGACCATCTCGTATCGGCTGAGCCTCGGGTGCTTCCGCGGCCGAGAGCGAGCTGCTATTTCGGCCTCTACAGTGGTCCCGAGGGGCCGGGGGCTAGGGACCGTCAGCGAGGTATAGAAAAGATGATGGATAGAGGGAGAGGCCAAGAGATGAAGAGATGTATACAATCTGAAACAAGGAACAGGTTCCGTCCAGCATTCCAAGCATCGAGGCTGACGCGGGCCCGAGCCACATTGCGCCGACCCATGTTTTATCACGATCTCGCGAACCTCGCCAAGCCTCCGAGTGGTACGTCCCTGTGATGGCTACGGTTCGGAGACCGAGTCCGTGGATGGGCTCAGGAACTCATATCTACCACCGATCGGGGTGGAGTATACAGTGATACTTCCGACACTCATTGGGTCTGAAGGTTGGATGCAAGTCATGTCATACTGCATGGACTCGAGCATTGGGTACAACTTTTACTAGGTTTGGTTCGGCCGGGGTTGGGGTTATTCAGTCACGCTGTCCCATTTAGAGCCGCATCATGGTGTACTTTTACGGCAGTACAGAAGGAAGTTTTTGGGAGCAACTGTGAGCCTAGAGTGCTCGCGAACATGATTTGATATTGGGTATGCATCGGACCAGGCCACATACAGGATGATTCTGCTCGGGGCCCCCAAACCACTCTCGTGACTGTTCTAAGCCTCAGATGTCAGGCTCAATAGGATGCACCATGACCGAATAAAGCCTGTATTCTGCCAGAAAGCCGCATTTCTGCACATCGAAGTTAGTTGCGAAACTCGGGGTTTCCAACCTGAGTCTGATCCCTATAGTGATGAAAGATCACCCCTCTAAATAAGCCCTTATCAAGCCCTTACTTAAGTGGCTGCTGTAACCTGCCCCTACGAACCAGCCTGAATACTGCCACATGGAATCATCATGTCAGGAACAAGAACTTGGGGCCAGGGATGAGCCCCTTGGACTCTTCAGGTTCAAGAGTCAGGTCTCCGCCTGAATCGAAAGCCACATCTCGGTCAGCTGCCTTGATTTCTGCGCATGGTCTGATCAGACGTGACTGCTTCTCGCAGTCACCGGAGACTTTCCGGTGTGGCCCAAAGGGTCGCACTGCGATCCCAGGGTCACAAAATCTCCATACCTGCGAAGGATCCAACACCCAAATTTATCGGCACCCACTCGGCAACCCGAGATTTTACAGTTCCTGGGATCCAGGGGGAACGAGCTGTCCGGCTCGGCCCCTTGCAGCATCTCCTGGATATCCATGTGCAACGAACCCGTCCTCATGGTAACTCCCGGGGAGTGGTGTGCGTCGAGAACGGTGAGTGGTGAGCGCTGACAAAGTCGTCGTCAGCAGTCGTCAGCAGATCTGCGTGCCCCTGATTATCATGCAAGCTTTGAAGCTGCGACAAGATCAAGCTGCACGAGATATTTCTGCTCGTTGCAACTTCGTAGGAATCGATATGTTGATGGGTCATTGTCGTGAACGTGAGAAAGGGGTACACCTAGAAGCCCACGGCCGGGACGGGCGAACAAGGGCGGGGGACGATATGAGAAAGCGGCTCGGCCAGCTTCGTTGAGTCTCACACCATCCCAGTCACCGATGCCATGGACTGCAACCCCAGTCGCTTCACCCCGGTCATGCGGCAGTCAGAAGACGGGACACATGGCCGTCGATGTCCCGAACCCCCCAAATACCAGCGCAGGCCTCTTAAAATGATTCCGGATGACCTCAGAATTCACCGCGATATCGTGCACTGGCCGTGCGTGCTCCGGGGATGCTGATGCAGAGGAAGAGTGATTGGCTCCAGACATGAAGATCGGATGTTCGGTAGTCATACCCCGCAGTGGGCCGAGATACACTAAAATGGGCGGAGATGGGCTGCGATAGTGTGTGATGGGGCTCCATGGATCGCTTTTTGAGAAACGTACCAGGCCTGAAAAAGGAGTCCAATCCTGAGCCCAAATCCAAAAGCCCGAAGCCCATAAGACCCGAATTATTAGTCCGAATGGAATGAAGGGAAGAATGTTGGGGAAGTCCAGACCGTGATGCATCCACTTTGTTGCATCGCACTATTCATTTATCCCCTTGCTGGCTTCTTGGTCTCCGTCCGGGGGTGTCTCATTCTGTCTGCGAGTGCGAGTACGATCTTTGCGGGCTATCTCCGCCCTAGGCAGGGATTGATCGGTTGATCTATCATGTACTATGTAGTATTCCAAGCCCAGCGGCCTGCGTTTGCGACTTGGCGATGTCTGGGTCGAAGCCAAACACCCCTGTCCGACTGTAGTTTTCACCTTGGCAACTCTCCAAATTCGAGGCCCAAAAGCACCGAGTGCGGAGTTTGCGACGATTGCCTGGAAAGCGATGCCCGAGCCCCACGTCAGATGCTAATCCATGTGAATGATCATAACACCATCCGACCGCCCGTTTGCGAGTTTTCCTCCGCTCGGCTCTCGCCTATCCTATGGGACATGCGATTGGACTGGGATGAGGACTAAGAGAGTACGATGTTGTGGTGGTCGCAGCGCATCATGAGCCCGCCGGAAGGCGTGCTTAAGGTTGCTTAGCTTTGTGACCGAGTGAAGTATAATGGGCTATTTTTCTCCGTCTTTGCGCATCAACTGACATCCACCCCCTCCGACTATGGGCAGGATGTCCCGCTGATGTGCATTAGGGCTCTCGCACAAGGAGCACTTGACATGTTGTGATTTGGAGAAGGGGTTGGATCGGCATCCGGACACATGCGAGAGATGCATCTCGCGTGGAGGGGAAAGAGACTAGAACTAGAACTAGAACTTAAGAAAGTATTTGTAGGCCCGAATCTCCCCTTGTTTCCCGGGATGGCATTCTGCCTTGAAAGGGGCGTCGGATCTCTTTATATACCCCCTGGATTCGCATCTCGCGGTCCAGATCTACATACCTGGGCCATTTCTCGACTTTGACCGTTTGGCATCATGTTTTCTCGTGCCTTGGGGGTCGTCGTTCTGGTGGCATCTTGCTTGGTGTCGACCGGTACTGCTGTCACCTATTCTCCCGTAAAGCCTCCGTCGTATCCATTGGCCGTGCGGAGTCCGTATCTGTCAGGTGTGTTGATCAACAAAGTGGACCGAGGGAGGTTTTTTTTTTTTTTTTTTTTTCGCTAACTGATCGACAGCATGGATCCCCGGCAGTGATGTCGCATCACTTCCCAATAGCAATGCGCAGTTTTGGGCGGGCAACGATCTGACCTGGTCGGTCATTGCACGCGTCGATGGCACCACGTACAATCTGTTCGGCGTTACCAGTCCCCCTGTCGGAACCAAATCGGCCACCGTGACCGAAGCCAGCTACACCTCAACACATTCGACCTTCGTCGTAACTGCCGGCTCGCGACAATTCACGCTCGACTTCTTCTCCCCGGTATCACCCAAGAACTATATCCGCCAGTCGCTGCCGTTTTCATACCTCACGGTGACCCTCGCTGCAGGCGATTCAAGCTCTGTCCAGATTTATTCGGACATTGACTCGACGTGGACGGGTCAGACCAGCGACTCGAGCTGGAGCTACACCACCAGCGGATCGACGAGCGTGTTCCAGATCCAAACAGTCGGAGCGGCGACGTATTCGCAGAACAGCGACGGCCAAGCTCTGTGGGGCAGCGCCGTCTACGCCACGGCTGGCACTTCGCTGTCCACTCAGTCCGGGCCGATCTCCACCCTGCGCAACCGTTTTGTCAACAACGGCACTCTCAGTGGTGACCATGCCGACTGGACTTCGAACGGTGCCGTGGCATTCGCTCATGATCTGGGGACCACTGCCGACGAGACCGCCGTGACTTTTGCCATCGGTCACGTGCGAGAGCAGTCGATTGACTTTCTGGGCGCGGCTCAAACGGGTTACTATCGTTCAGCATACAAGGAGACCCCGGCTGCCGTTGCGCACTTCCTCAATGACTATGAGGCCGCCAACTCCGAGTCCACCAAGCTGGATGATCTAATTCAGTCCATCGGTACTTCCAGTTACGGATCCAACTACTCGGACATCTTGGCTCTCTCGGTGCGCCAGACCTACGGTGGAACCGAAATTACCATCCCCGACGACTCCTTGGATACTAGCGACACGCGTGCCTTTATCAAGGAAATCTCCAGCGATGGCAACATCAACACTGTCGATGTCATCTACGCCACCTTCCCCATATTTTACATCCTGAGTCCCGACTACCTCAAATTGCTCCTCTCTCCCGTCTTCGACTACATGGGTTCCGATGCCTATACCAAGGACTATGCGGTGCATGAGATCGGAGCAAACTACCCGAACGCGACCGGGCATCCGGCCGATGGCGAGGAAATGCCGATTGAAGAGAGCGGCAACGTGATCTTCCTTGCCTACGCTTATCAGAAAGCCACGGGTAACAGAGACTTCGCGACCACATACTCCGCCCAGCTCAAGAAGTACGCCGACTACCTGCAGGAAAACGGTCTGTATCCTGCTTCGCAGCTGTCCCTCAACGATGCTCTGGGCGCTCTCGCCAACCAGACCAACCTGGCGGTCAAGGCTGCTGTCGGCTTGGCCACCTATGGTGCTCTCACAGGCGACATGAGCTACACCACGGTGGGCAAAGAGTGGGGTGATAAGATCTGGACGGACCACCTCGGAACCGATGCCGATGGTACCCACTTCCTGATCCAGTACGGGATCACCCCCTGGTTCCTGGTCTACAACCACTACCCAGACCTCTTGTTCTGCCTGAACGCCTTCCCCGATGAAGCTTACAACGCGACTGCCAAGTTCTATCCAACCGTCCGCGGCACAGCCGGCGTCCCCTTAGATGGGACCCTCGGCTGGGGCCAGACAAATTGGCAGGCTTTTGTAGCAGCTACAGTCAGTGGCGATGCTCGAGAGATGTTCATCAGTGATTTGCACGCGTATATGGCCAACGGCTTGAACACTGCCCCCTTCTCTGACCGATACTGGGTTGACGCGAGCGGATCGTACTCCGCCGGAGAGTCGTATTCGTTCCGCGCGCGGCCCACGCTGGGCAGTCACTTCGCTCTTGCTGCTTTGTCGGGGGCTAATATTTGGTCTTGAAATATTTGCATAATTTTTAATTCCTCGTTTGATATTTTGAGATGCTACGATATACACTAGCCATCTTTGCATCTTGGATACCCATTGGAACTTGTCATTGGAACATCTCGGTTTTGACCCGAGTTGCATTGCATATTTCTGTCCTACCTTGATCAACTCCAGTCCATATTCATATTTATTAAATTGCATTGTCCTTATCTTCCTTCTTTCCCTTCCCCTTCGTCCTCGGGATATTGTCCAGCCCTCAGCCGGTGCAGGGGAATATGTCCATATTGAGTTGGGGGTTAATGGAGATGATCAAGGAACCAGGGGCGTCTATGTACAGCTGTACCGACTTTGAAAGATAGCTCTTATAACTGGAAGCGCCCGAGGGCCTGCAAGTCTTAATCCGAGCTTTCATTTGTTCTAGAATTAGCGAAGCAGTAGACCTGGTCCACTTACGATCACATGGCACTCTAAGAACAACGTTGACATACGCGAGAGAATAACGAGCCCTTAAGAAAAAGGGGAATAGAGATGGTGGCACCAGTCGCAAAGCTCGTAGAGCACTCCCTGAATGTCAACTACCGCATCCCACATCCGCGAATACGGATACGATCAACCGCGCAAAAGCAGCACGATGCGATTGTTGGACCAAGAAGCTGGCGGAAGATGTGTGCGGCGGAGACCTGGACGAAGACGAACAGGGATGTTAGTCTCGGCGCTAGGCCAGGTTCCCCGCGGAGTGAAGAATCGCAAACATGCTCTCGGTTGAGCGGTCACTGATATTTTGATCATTGAGTAACCACCTACCCATCGATGATGATATTATGGGCGAGTCAAGAGATCCACCGGTATCTCGGAAGATCCTTAATTGGTGCTGATCACAACGTCGGGATGAACCAGCCCGAGAGTGCGGAACTCGTTGGTTGTCGGGTTTTTTGAGCCCCTCGCTATAAAGGTGTGTTCTAGTGAGTGTAGATTGTGAGTAGTGTTGGTCAATTTCGCTATGTGGAAGCCATTGGTACATCTTCTGAGCCCGTGTCTGCTTCTGCCGCCCGTGCTCGCAGACATAGATGATCAGACATCAGCACAAGTACACAGGGGGTCCTTTGAGAATCCTGCAGCGCGCCTTCGTCCCCGGTTTCGATACTGGCTTCCTGATGCCAATGTCTATGCCAAGACTTTTCAGGATAATATCAAGTCTGCTGGAGAGATTGATGCCGGTGGTGTCGAGTTTCTTCCGTTTTACATCTATGGTGGTCAATTGAGCCCGGCCCCCAATGGCTCCGACTGGTCCAAGTATGGATTTGGGACACCGGCATTCAGAAAACCGTCCTTGACGGCATTACGAGCACATAAAGAAGCCGGCCTAGCCGTGGACTTTCCATTGGGTCCAAATTCGGATACAATTTAAAGGCGGTGCTACCGCTCATCATGTACAACGATAATAATATCAACATTCAGAGCACGCAGCCTGGCAAGATCCAGTGTCTTCTAGACACGCCCGACCAGGGCCTCGGTTACGTGAACGACTTTCGCGGTGCGCTGGTTGAAGGATATGGCAACTACCTGCAGGGGCTTACTAGCTGGATCAACTCAAAGCTGAACCTCCAGATGTCGGCTCAGGTATCTTACAATCTTCCCATGGATATGGAAGCCAATATCCCTTATGTCAATGCCCCGGAATGGGAGAGTCCACAGTTCGCCAGTAATATCGGCGGCTATAGACATCACCGACAGTGGCAACGGCCCCTCGGAGCACGCCACGCAGCTGCCTTCTACCGTTCTCGGCTACGATTATGCAAATGATACCAGTGCGATCTTGCATATTTCGGACAAATCGAGCCCGTCTCTCCTCCTCTCGAACGGTACACGGGTCGCTCTTGGAGCCACCGACGTCGCTCGCCCCAGTTCACTGAGAAATGCTTCTGGTCTGGGATACTATACCACGACGGTGGACTGGCTTCCTTCTCATGGATCCGCAGACGGGGCTTATCTGTTCCTGCCGACTATCGAGCACGCCGTACGGATCTTCGTGAACGGAAAGCGGCTGCCTGCTTTCGATTTCGCAGCCCCGCGGGTAGCTCTGGGCCCATAGCTGCAGCGGGGAGCGAATCAGGTGGCCGTGGTGGTCCCAAGCACGATGTAGAATTATATTCGGAGCATGGCTGACGGAATCGAAACCGCCGGGGTTGGAGTGGAGGCTCTCCTGGCGGGTATCGGGGCAACGGCGCTTCCGCCCGCGAAGTGACCACGGGCTGATCGGAACGGTGGCGTTGGTCCCGTATGTCAATGTGCCTTTGAAGATATAGATGCCCATAGATGATCGCCTGGGCCTCTCATTTTATTTTCATTGTGGATAGCAGCGACTAGAAATCCAAATTTATGCAATACCGTCGTACAAGTCACGCAAGAAGACAGAATCCCCGAGGCGTTTTTGTGTGCGGTGGGGGGGGGGGGGGGTGGCTATCCCCTCCGATTGCGATGAAACGAACCGACAGTCTCACGGATAGCCGTATGCGGCATATGTATACCCAACCTCCGGGGAAGCTAGTGCTGGGGCTGGCTGATAATCAGTAAGGTTGCAACCGGTCCAAGGAGCATGGGCCACCGGAAAAGCGGATGGTTTTATAAAACCTGTGGGGCAAGGTATGCATATTCCCAAAGTAGTAAACCCACAAGGTGCACGGACGCTTCCAGAACGAACGGGCTGACCCCCCCGGTCCCGCGTACATTCCTTGGTTTCGTGCGATACCCGATCCAGTAACAGTACTTGTGTCCCTTGAGTATGCGATGAATCAGAAATTCCGGGACTGAGCACTGATCAGCCAGTGATGGGTAATTGGTAATTGCAGTCGCGGGGGCTACGCTAGGGTATTAGATTGAAGCCTCGTTAAACGGATCGACGAGTCATGCGTCGGCTCCCTATGCAAGACCAAGACTTGAGGATCATCGTGACGTGGCTGTGATGAAGCCCGGTACTCCGTAAACCCCTGACCAGTGGCGCTTAGATAAAAGCAAGGCCCTTTGAGGCGATGATGTGGCTCCGAACTAAGAAGTAACTAGGAGCATGAAAGCCGAGAACTAAGTTTAGACGGAGGGTAGGCGCGAGGTAGCATAAAGCCGATCATACGAGTGGTTCAGGAGACGGTGTATAGATCAGAGGCTACGACGCACGCTGCACGCCGAGTTTGGTGTCTAACCGGATTTGGAAAACGCATGGCTCGTCCAGCTGCGAATTGCGGGAAGTGATTGGCCGGACGGTGATCGACTCGGGGTGTTCCACTGCGCTAAACGTGAAGCGGCAAAGACGGCTGGTTTTTGGGTCCCTCGGTGGAGGCCCTGCGACCCTGATCTTGACAATGACAGAAGATGCCGATCAGGAGATGAGTGGTTATGGTTATGGTTATGGGACGTTCTTGGGAATTGCTTCGATGAGCGATGACCGGTGCACCCATAGTTCGGATTAGCTAGGGACTATACGGTACCATCGCAAGGGACACGGAACTAGTGCGGAGCAAGATCGCTGAAAGGGGGAACGCCGATTGTGTATGTCACTCTGTATCGGAGCTGCATTTACCGATTCGGGGAATCTGCGCATGGCATCGCAGTGCTGTCCCTTCCGATCCACTTTGCATCTCCAACTCAGCTTTTCTCTATTTTTTGTCCAAGTCTTGTTCGGGCCCACTATAAGGCCGTGGATTGGGAATGTCGTTTTTTGTTTTTCTCGGGTTTGACATCCTCTTCTTCCCAAAGGTTCTCTATAGATCCGCGCAGAGAGATCCAAAAAACAAAAGCCCTGACTGACCTCAGCGTCTCTCTACGGTGATGCCCTGGCAGAATAAGCGACCCCGACACGGAAGACTGCAGACTGAAAGCCGGGTTCGTTTCTTTACCCTTCCGGTTCCCCCCTCTCGGTCCACCCGAGGAACATCTGAGCTCCTGCATCCAGTGGTCTTTCCCCCTCTCTCGTACCTGCCCGCTGACTCGCGATAGTATTCCCGGTCGAGCTGCCCGCACTGCGTGGACCGCAAGATGACCAGCCAATATCTGCCTCGCCCTCGCCTGACGCGCCTGGATAAGTCCCGTTCGGCCTCATCTGTCTCCAGTGCCTCTTCCTTTTCCTCCGAGTCTCTTCCGCCCACCATGACCGACCTCGTACCTAGATCCGCCCAGCCCCATAAGGACGATGCCGAACCGTCGTCCGTGACCCCACTGCCGTCGAAAATGGAGGAAACGTTGGGTCTGCAGGACCTCGAGTTGATGATGCACTGGTGTACAACGACGTACCGGTCTATGGCCCGCGACGATGTAGCGGAGTCGTTGTGGCAGACGATCATTCCACAATTATCGCTACGGTTCCCGTACCTGCGGCATGGGCTGCTGGCTCTGTCGGCTCTCCAAAGAGCGGGGACTAGTACGAGCCCGGGGCGTAAATGGCGCTATCTGGTCTTGGCGCGCGAGCACCAAAGCCATGCTCTCGCGGGCATTTCGCTGGACGGAGTGCAGGATCCCACTACGGCGCAATGTAATGCCACCTTTGCTCTTTGCTGTGTTTTGTTGGTCTTTCCATATGCATATTGCCTGATCGACGACGATGTGGACGAGGCCGAGGAACAACCGGGCGTCTTGGACGAGTTCCTCGAGGTATTTGAACTCACGCGGTGGCTGGTTAGCGCCATGATGATGACCATGGACCGAGTGGCAGCTGGCGAACTATACCCGCTCATCGACCGCGAGCAAACACGGCCAACCATGCCCGATATGTCACACCTGGTAGTTTCGACTCTTCGGCGGCAGAATGAGAGCGAGGCCCAATTAGACCCCTCCCATGAGAAGGAGGTGTACGGCCAGGCGATTGAGCATCTGCGCAGCTCACTTGAGCGGTTGATGAATGGCGGCGAGCCCAAGGACTTTGCTTTTTGCTGGGCCTTCCGCATTCCTGTTAGGTATCAGGACCTGGTACGCGAGCGAAAACCGTTTGCTCTGGTCGTTCTGGCCCACTACGCCGTCATCCTGCACCACCTGCGAGATTCCTGGTGGATGGGTGATTGGGGCATCCGCATTCTTCGGGAAGTCGATGCCTGTCTCGAGCCGCAGTTCCGCCATTTGATTAGCTGGCCCATCGATGCCACCGGTGGGTACTTTTCGCTCGAGGAGTGAAATTCTCCAGGATGCGTCGAGCAGAGCTCACGCGCTTGAAAAAGGAAAAGAAAAAGACGGGCCGAGGACCCCGCCGATACTTTGCAGACTATCCCGTGTTGGGTGACACCTGTCTCCCATGGCAGCGAGTAACTATCTTGCACGGGCAGAGTCCAATCACGACCCTCTCTAGGGGAACACGAACATAAGCTGACACCGGCTAGAATAACGCCCTTGCATATGCATCGGAGGGATTGTGGATGCGACCATTGTGTATAACGAGTCATGAATTGTGTCATTAGGATAGAGTAGAGTATCCCACTGATCAAGAGAGGGGCATTCCCTCTGCACCGAAGTGCTGTGCGCCAATCAAAATAATCTAGAAAACAAAGAATAAACCAGAACCCAGAAGCCAACGGACACCGAGCGCCTTTCCATTTTCCGGTGCATGAGGTACTGCGGCCCTTGCAGCCATGCAGATAGGAGAACGGGAGAGATAAGAAGAATAGTGAAAAAAAAAAAAGCAACAGCACCAGATAAGACGGCCCTCAACCCCGCATTGCAGCTGCACTTCTCGCAGTTTCGATTTTGGCCATCTTGTGTCTCGATGATCTTGGCTTCTTTTCATTGTGAGGGTGGACATGATGTGGAGAGGTTCGCGAACCATTCGCCGACCGAGTGATCGTTCATATCGAGCTCGGATTGAAATGTCTATTGCTGATTTCGCAGCTCCTGTCGCTCGTGCTCGGCCTCCCTGATGCGATCCTTGGACTGGGTGCGCACTCGCAGAAGCTCGGCTTCCTGGGCGTGAGCTTGCTGACGAGCGCGCTCTTCTTCCTCCGACGATGGGATGTAGGCATTCGCAGCGCCGCCTGGGAACCATCTTGTCAGCTCCACGTTATTATCCTTCCCACTTGCAGGTTCATTCATACCTCTTCCGGTGTGGTGAGGGAATTGCTCCGCTCGCAATGGCGGGGAATCAACGTCCTGGCTTTCACGCGCGATCTCCGGTCGATCGGGGTCGTTGTGAACCATGTTTCCTGTGCCTCCACGACCGGTGGTATAGAAGTCTTGTTTGATTGTCGGGGTGACGAGGTCACTGGGCGTGGTGGCGGACTGCTGGCGGGACATGGAGATATTGCCTGTGTGATGGTCAGGATCTGCGACGGGGGGTCGTTTTCAAGGCAATAAAGATCTTACCGGCGCCTCCACGGCCGTAAGAGATATTTCGGCCAGACATGACTGGTGTTGGTCAAGCTCGACGAAACTGAGAACACGAGTACAGAATATGGTGGGAGTCGAGGAACTTTCGGCCAAGACGGGCGGCAAATTCTGTTCCGCCTTGTGGTGACTTTGGTTTGTGAGCTATGCGAACTATACGAGCTAATGTAGGTGTATACTGCTCAAACTAAGTGATAATCAGGGGAAATCTGAACTTTGCCTTTTTTACCCTGCCTTATTTCTGGATACGACGTAAAGTGGCGGACCTGAAATATTTTCCGCGCCAAGCAGCTTCCGGATGAGGTCATGCAGCTGCATCCGGCAGTTCCCATTCAGTACCGACTGCCAACTTGGGACTCCCCACTGCTATAAACACAACATGTCGAGGAAATTGATCAGATTTCAGAGCGGCAAGTTTCAATGGAGGGAGTTCGTTAGAAATACAATCAACTACCATTCAAGCTTTCCCATCCAGAATGAGGTTAACCATCATTTGGCAGTAAAACAACGCTTGCCGAACGACATGTTCAAAACCAAGCATGACAAATTCAGCGTGGGGCACGAATGAATTTACCCATCTCATGCCAGGTCCAATAACTTTGAATATTGGAAACAGATTTAACTTACAGAGATACAATCGCATGATGTTCGTTAATTTCGTCATTGCCGAACATGCTCTGCGAGAGACTGTTCAGCGAGTGGGAATGTGCAACAATAAATAGTTATATAGTAATCAAAACGGGAGAATGTCAAATTATGGCCTTCCCAGATCCCAAAAGGCAAGGGGCTGCAGAGGCCCCTAGCTTTCCCCACAGCCGAACCGAGGCCGAGCTTCAATTTCCACAGTCTTCATTGAATTACCGCCTAACCTAGCATGATCTTTGACTCGGGTGCCATAGACCTACCCTGCGTGTGAAAGTGGTACGGATAGGCATCCATTAATTGCAGACAATGCGAATAATGCAAACCAAAACGTAAACGCGACTTGATTCAAACCACAAAACTCCTTCCCCTCCACATCCTCGATGCACCGCTTGCCGTTGTTATCACTGGTTTATTCTAACGAGTAACACCAACGACTGCCGGTCCAACAACAATTTCAATTTAAACAAGCATCCTTATCTCTCCGGTCTTCCTTTGATCAATATGCTCTCACGCGATTCGAAAGGCGGGGTACCCATCAAACAAGAACGTGTATTATTAACGCCTCTGATGGTACCAGATTCTCCCGATTTCGACGCGAAGGCTTCTCAATTCTTCGAGAAGTTCACCAACCTTCCTTCACCGGAAGAAGTCCGCGCACAAGCCAAGGCCCAACATCTCGCAGGGGTTTGTCCGGACGATAGAAAAACCTTCTCGATGATCGGCCCTCACGTCCGACCACCACCTGTGATATTCAAGGATCTAGGCCTGTTTGTCAAATGGGGAAGTGGTGTGATACTTTTAGAGGGCCAGTCCCTCTATGCTATCGGCCAGCTCCTCAAAGACTATGTCCCAGTACCGGAGATATACGGGTGGCGACAAGATGGCGATGAAACATTCATTTATATGGAGTATTTGCATGCACAAACTCTGGAGCAAGTTTGGGATATGCTGAAACCTGATGATCGCGTTTCGGTTTGTCATGAGCTTCGGACAATCTTCAACAACCTTCGCGAACTCGAACAAAAGCCAGCAGATCCATTCATAGGTAGGGTTTTCTCAGAAGCCTTTGCATTTCCCGAATTTCATTGTCTAACTCCTTGTCCGCGTACAGGTAACATTGTGCGAGCTTCTTTCTACGATAGGGCATTCCACGTCGGGTCCATGTCCGAAGCAGGGCCGTTCAAAACTGTTCAGAAGTTTCATGACTGGTTCACTTTCCTACATCGAAAACCAATGCCCGATCCGTATTCTGTCCCAATCGAACCGTTCCGCCAAGATCTGCCTGATGATAGTGCCATCAAATTTACACACGGTGATCTCCACCGCAGCAACATATTGATGACATGCTCTGAGCCCTATCATATTTGCATACTTGTCCAAATATCCCTTCCTCCAAATCTGTTCAAGTGAATGATCATGCACCTCGGTGTCTGTAGATGTGATCGGCGAAAAATAGACGTGTATACCGAGATGTCGGTAGGGGATCTGGCATGGCAATCAAACCGGGAGCATGTCAAACTATACAAAAGACCAAGTGCGGGGGCCCCAGCTTTCCCCACAGCCGAACCGAGGTCGACGCTCCAGCCGAATTCCATTGTAACATGTTCGCCTTTCATTTTTCATTTGTCTTCCTTGAATTAACCTCTCATCCAACATGATTTTTGATCCAGGTGCCATAGACCTACCCTCCTCCTACGAAAAGGTCCCTACGACCGGCCAGGTCGCGGTGTCCCATCACCCGGCTAGTTCCCCGACAGTAACGCCTGTGATCGTCGTGACGCTGAATAGACCAGCTAAAAACAATGCGTTCACATCACAAATGGTCCAAGACTTTGAAAAGTTCTTCCCCATGTTCGATGTCGACGAACGCGTCAAGGTCGTCGTCCTGACCGGTGCGGGGAAGATCTTCTGTGCAGGTGCAGACCTGGATATCGGATTCCGTAGCAATCCAGAGAGACCGGCGGACCACCGTGATGGGTAGGGTTATTTGCTGGATCCTGGATGACCTGCTCATTTGTTGATTTGTTTTGCTAATGTTACTAGGGGCGGACGCGTCGTGCTCGCCATCCACCGCTGCCGTAAACCGACCATCGCAGCCATGCAGGGCTCGGCAGTTGGAGTTGGGATGACTATGACTCTACCGGCCGTTATTCGGTACGTTCTTGAGCTTCCGATCCGCCGAACCCCCCAAACTGATCTCTTCAAGGGTCGCCTACGAAAAGGGTAAATATGGCTTCGTCTTCGGACGGCGTGGGATTGTCATGGAATCCTGCTCGTCATATTTCCTACCACGTCTTATCGGCTTCTCCAATGCCAGTTATCTCGTCAGTACGGGTGGCGTATTCCCACCTACCTCCAAGCACTTCGGTGACTTGTTCAACGAGATCCTGCCCGACCCGTCTCGTGTTCTCCCTCGTGCCCTTGAACTGGCCACGGAGATTGCCGAGAACGTGAGCCCTACCTCTCAATATCTCAACCGAGCCCTTATGTGGCGTAACCCTGGCACCGTGGAAGAGGCGCATCTGCTGGAGTCGAATGTTATTTGCCAGATGTTTGGAGCACAGTACGTGGTATTCCTTCATACAGTAGACTCGATGCTGACCGTGGGAAAGGGACCAAAAGGAAGGCGTCCAGGCGTTCTTCGAGAAGCGCAAGCCCAACTTCCGTGCTAATCTTGACGATAACCCCCCGCTCAACGTACCCTGGTGGACCGAGGTTGACACTGGCCGTAATCCCAAGGCGAAAACTCCTGCTAAACTGTAGCAATGGAAGGGTCCATCCAATTCTACATATTATACATGCGCAATTGCTACAACCAAGTCCAAGATAAACTGTAGCTTGGCGCTATTGAAGAACATTTTTAAATACATATAAAATACCCCAGCTCGCCCGGACCGCTAATGAGATCGAGAAGTAAAACACCAGTCCAGAAAGAAATTGACCTGCATGGTCCTGAAGGCGCGGGTTTGGCAGACAGGGTCAATCGTATGCACACGAACAAGGAGAAAAAGGCTGTGCCTCAGACAAAAGAGAAATTAAGCAATGAAGTTGCGGCGCTTTCGGTTGTATGCGCGCTGGTCCTTGAGCCACTGTCGGTACCCCTGCACACTGCCAATCTTCTCGCCGTAGTAGTCGGGAACCGGGTTTGCAATCGAGTTGGTCGAGGGGTCCACGCGGAATCGTCGAATCCGATCGAAGAATTCCTTCTCTTTCTGCGGAAAAATGATATGTTAGAGGTGCTCGTCACCGGTCCAGGTTTGTAAAATTCGAGCTTACTGTTGCAACGGATGGCTTAAATCGTCGGTAAACCAGACCCCAAACACCCTCGCCGACAACCGGGCCGGCCAGCCAACCCACAGCACCGCAGGCTGCGGTTGCCAGGCCGAGAACCACGAAGGGGTCAAGGCCCATCACCTGAGCACCGAGAGACTCCAAATCCTGCGAAGTAAGGAGCTGCACACCGATTGTCGTCGACACAAGGCAGGTACCAATAGAGGATGCCAGAGAGTAGCGACGGCGAGAGGCGCGGAGCTTGAAGAAGGAGTTCCAGTCCAACTTGACCTCATCCTTTCCAGACGCGGAGGTCGATTGTGTACGAACAGCCTGGCGGTTGGTGGAAGCCTGAGGAGTTCGGACATGTCGGAAGACCACCTTGGGAGCTGCGCATTGCGATGGACGGATGGCCGTCGAGTGGAGGCGGGTAAACTTGGATGCTATCTGCGGGGCGGATTGGCGGAGCGGCGAGGGAGAGGCGAGAGAGTTGATCATAGCGGGGGCACGAGCCCCGAAGACTGAACGAACGGACATGCTGGAAGGAAATGGCGATAGGAAGCTGTATGCGGAGAAGTGTCGGACCAGAGATTGAGATTGCATTGCTTTCCGCGAGCGCGGTGGAGATGCTGATTACTAATCAACGCTGTGGTCCGAGCCTGCCTCCTCTAGTGAAGACGTGAAGCTTTGCTCGAGGTTGCAAATTGGAGTCTCAGTAGTTGAAAACAAAACGATATAGCTTTGGACTTCTCGAATCGACAAGTAGTTTTGTTGGTACAGAAGATAACTAGCAAAGTGGATGGATGGGTTTATGTAAAAAATATCTTGAAAAGTGTATTCTTTCCGAGAAGCTCCCGAAATGCATAGCAAGTGCCATGAAATCGCTCAAACCAGTTAATGCAAGGAAAATGACCGTCCATCAAATCCGCTGCAATCACATCTATGTATAAAGGTACTCAGGTAAGTAGACATATGCTCAGCTATTCAGATAGTTATGATCTGAATAGGTCACGTGTTGGCTTATCGTCAAGGGCATTTATCCCAGTCAGAACCTCCAAATTTACAGTCCGTCCTTTTCTTTGATGTCACCGGGTCGAGACTGAGCCGGGACAGGAGTTCCAAATCCATTGACCCGCCCATACAGCCATTTCAGAGTGGCAGTGCTCAGTGCCATGACGATGGCACTCAGGGAGAACAGCCCGATGCGACCAGGAGTGGGCAGCAATTCAAAGATGGGATACGGGTACCTATATCGATCAGTAAGTTGGTCTACATGATTTTGATTTCTGGACCTACCAGCCATTGTAGCTGAAGCACCTCTCCACCCAGAACCAGTAGCCGAAGGCGATGGCACCGGACAAACCTAGAGAAGGAAGGACGCTGATGGTCCAAGGTGGGGAAAGTAGCAGCAGATCCACCAGCATGACAATCGAAGGAATTGCATGGAAGCCGATATCTGTTTTCGTTGGTTAGTACGGAAGCATTCCGAAATGAATCACTGAAGGTTTCGGCGACGAACCGGCGTGCATCGGGATGAAGACCCAATCAGGAATGACCAAGCGTTTGTCAATCTAAGTACGCTTGTTAGGTTCGACTGTCATGTTGATATTCATCCGTGTTACTCACCATTCGAAGGCCCCAGTACAGAACGCTGATCAGAACTTCCATGGGGCAGCTGCACACCGACAGTATGTTCTTGGCCAGAAACAACCGTCGAGACAGCGTCACATCAGCCAGCAGCCCACAGGCAAAGGTCAGAGTGGAGAGCCCCAGGCCGATGACGGTTAGATACTGGAAATGCCAGCCATAGGCCTGGTTGCTAGGGTGGATCAGCACATTTCGTTCTCCATAGAGGCCCGAGCAACTTACGCCTGATTAGGGTTGTCGTGCATCCTTTGGAGATCAGTCAGCATAATAAAACTTGTTATCTTATCAATTATGGTAGACATACCATTTGAAAGACCAGAAAAAACTGGCAAGTCCCGTTGCCTGAGCATGTTAGCCATGGAACCCAGCCACCTGGTCGTACCACGCACGGAACCAGTAACCATGGGATAGCGAACATACATGAACGAGGGCAGAGAAGCCCTGCGAAGGACTAGAAAAACGCTGCAGCGGGTGCCGCTGAATCAAAGTTTGGGCCATGACTGAGGAAATTGCAGGGAGGACTAATCATCAAACCAAGATCTAAATCCCAGGAATCCGAACAACTCCGATGACGGAGTGCACGTGACCGGGATACCGCGGCATGCCGCCTCGGACCGCGGGTTTTCTCGACCCCCGATTGAGTCAGCATCGCTCTTATCGCTTTCCCCACACTTTGCACGCTCTCCAGATTTGTGAATCTTTTCTGCCTCGAGCTCATTTTTCCTTTCCCTTGCGTGATCCTGGTGCATGTTGAATAAGGTCCCTGAATTGAGTGGGCCCTAACTTCCCCAGTCCCTGTTTACGAGATCGTCATTGATCGTAACTGCCCTATCATTGTTTCCTGCATTCTTGCTGCTTCTGCAGTAGAAAGCTCATTTTGCTGTCCCTGCAGCCGACTCCAGTTTGTCCCTGGCACATCTCCCTCCCACACCTCGATGTGCTTGTCTACTAGGTGTGGGTGTCTGGTCGATTATCGTTTCGTTGCTACTTGGGGACAACACAACTGCAGACGCAGAAAGCGAACCAATTGCAGTTGTGGTTCGTGAGTTGCATCAACCAGGTGAGATCAAGCACTGCTGCATGGCAGATCAGCTTGTTGGCGCCTAGGGCAAGTTCAAGCCTCTTTTATACATTCTTTCTCCGCGTGCTCGGGGTCTGAGGTGTCATGCCTCGCCCGCGAAGACCCGGCGCGCCGGAGCCTAAGCGCCGGAGTCGGAAAGGATGCTGGTAAGTCCATCTGAGTGACGTATAATTGGTGGCTGTTAATGCTTTTATAGGCCCTGCAAAGCTCGCAAAGTGAAATGGTAAGCCCACAGTTGTCCCACTAGCCCGCCAACAACTAGGCTAATCATGACTTGTGTAGTGGTGAGGAGAAACCCATGTGCCTCAACTGTCAGCGACAGGGAGAAGCATGCGATTATAGCGTGCGCCTGAATTGGGGTGGTAGAACTAAACGCTCATCCGTCGATTCTCCCAGCTCCCAGTCCAGTGGATATGGGGGGACGTTGATTGGGTTTGCAGATGTCACGCCGACTAGTGTCAACCCGGCACAAATGCCGACTCCAATGACCAGTGCTCCTGCAGAGGGTTTCATTCATGTCCGCGCTAGCGACCTGGGCTCTCCAGGAGCCATCTCACCCAGTACACCGGCACTCGGTATTTTCGAGTCCCCGAAGCCCCACTCGGTGTCTGAAGGGGTCCATTCGCCGACTCAAGATGAAGGACATTTCGCTACCACTTGGGCGGAGCATTCATCCCTATCCAGTTCGGTTTCGCCTGGTCAATTCCCATTTGGCCAGGGTTTCCACGGATCATTCTCAGCGGCGGCCGATCAGGGTGTGGGCCTTCGGTCTCTCTCCGCGTTTGCATTCCACTCCACTCCAGTGTCGCAGCCGGTGTCCTTTCTTCGCAACTCGGTAGATGCTTCCAATGATCTGTCTGATCTATCACCACATCACAATCAGAATGAGGCTCAGCTATCTCCGCATAATGAGCATGGAATGGGATATTCCATGAGCTCGACCCATCCTGATGGACATCATCGCGACCTGCCTAGTGCCGGCGGTATCGCTGCGTTGATGCTTGGTTCTCACGAGGTGGGAACTCCTGGCACGTCATCTTCGGGTCATGATGGTATGGCATTCGGATCAACACCTGCAAACCAAACCGAGTCGCTGCATTCATTCCATCAGTCGGACGTGTTGTCGCCCGATGCCAAAGAGGATGACCGGGCTGCCAAGGATGCGAATTTAGCTCAAAGCAAGTGGCAGGCATATCTCACCAGTGTTACCGACAATTATGGTCTGGATTGCGGACGTCCAGACCGAGATCTAGCTTTCAATAATGACCACGCCGCGATCGACATTAATGCCGCTTTAGACATGATCAGCTCGCGAGGGCGAAGTGAGGACACTGCATCCTCGCCGGTATCCCGAGCTGCATCCGATATCATAAAACCCGATTATAGTGGGTATTATGCGACCCCAGTGGCCATCAACATCCCGAGATATCTGTCTCCACTTCCGAAGACGCTGTTGGAGAACCCGATCAACCTGATGTACTTTCATCATTTTCTCAACCACACATCTCGGATGCTGGTTCCGCATGATTGTGATAATAATCCGTTCATCTCTGTCCTGCCGGCGAGTAAGTTTTTCTTTGTCTCATTTTCGAAACGTTCTTCGGTATACTAATATACTAACCGATCAGTGGCCATTGGCGATCCCAATCTCTTAAATTTGCTTTTGGCGTACTCGGCGAGTCATCGTGCCCGGTATCTGGGTCATCCAGAGCCGGCCAACCGCATTGCGCACTTCGTTAGCGATGTGTTTCCGACCTTGCGTGTGGCGTTGGAATCATCTCATGATGAGATCACCGACGGTCATCTGGCAACTTCTATTTTGCTTTTGTCACTGAAGATTGTTTCTCCTGGGACGTTCGAGGTACCCATCACGTGGCAAAGCCATCTGAAGCTTGCACGAGATTTGTTCCTAGCCAGGAGTGAGCGTATCGCACGACCAGGTAATCGAATCGGTGCCTTCTTTGCCCGCTGGCTGTGCTATATCGACACCATGGGCGCTCTGTCCTGTCGTGAAGCGGGTCCTCCGTTGATGCTGTACCATACTGTACTGGCGGCTTGCTGCGGTCCCAACAATCACGATGAGTTCTGTGTCGACTGCTTCTCGGGATGCACTCCGCGGACTGGATTCTTCCTTATCCGTCTTGCACGATTAGTTCAGCAATGCGACAATCAGCGGTTTGATGAAATGGGCAATTTCCGAGAAGGATGGCACCCGTCTGCGGATATGGTTATGGAAGCCCAGGCCGTCCTGGGTGACATGGATGGCCTAGGTGACCGCGCCCATGCAGACCCAGATCATCATCTGGGTGAAAGTGGAGATATGATGGCCATTGAAGAGGCCTTCCGATGTGCAGGTCTGCTCCACCTTCACCGGCGGGTGTTGGGGTCATCCCCCGACTCTTTCCCTGTCAAAGAGGCTCTGCGTAAGCTTACTGGAGCCCTGGAACGTATGCGGCTTGGAGCATCCACTGAGGTGTGTGCACTGTTCCCGCTTTTCACTGCTGGATGTGAATCTCGAGACCCCGCGCAGCGCAGAAAGCTGCTGAATCGGTTCTTCGTGCTGGAAAAGTCGGGGCTGAAGCAGGTTAGTTTCCTCTTTGATCATGTCTCCGTTTATGGACTCCATTAACAGTGTCACAGATACAAAATGCTCGTCAGTTGATGCAGCACTGCTGGGATGACAAGCTGCCGTGGATTGCACTGGCGGAGGGTGAATTCCTTGGATGATACCATCTCAGTCATTTCCTGCGGACATTAGTCTCTGAATATCTTCACCTTTCTTCACTTCTCTTCCTCTTTCTATATCATCACTGCATCTGTATCCCCATTGCCTAACACCCGAGCGACCAGGACGTAGCTATCGCGAAATTTCTCGAATTCACGTCACCACAACGGTGAGGCTCATGCTGCCAACTGAGAGCCAACTGCAAATATACTAGCCACCAGTAGTAAGCACCGCGTAGACGCCGCCACCTCAAGATGGTGCCCATCGCGCTTTCCCCGGAAATCCTGCGGGGGATTCTCCCAACCCCGGGCATTGGGTTCCTGATCGCCTTGTTTTGCCCCATCATCGCCCTCCTCCTTTACTTTCAATCCCGCCCGTCCTCTGCTCCTCTCCCACCCAAATCCAAGTCGGAAATTATGGCGTCCGTCGGGCTGCCTCTTGCCACGAAGCCCAAGGCCTTTCCTTCGACTGGGTCAAAGATCTTCCTTCCACTTGAGCACAAGGAATTTGAGATTCCCAAGACCTCCAATTTGCTGGACGGATTTCCAGAGACTTTTGAGTTCCCAACTCTGCAACCCGTCAGGTAAGTTTGCCTGGATGCTCGCCGATGAATCGCCGTTCTGACTTGTCGCATGTAGCACTCTTTCGACCCATGCTCAAAAGCCTATCATCCGTGAGGTACATCCCAGATCTCCTCGTGTTGCACGCGGACGCGGCCGCGGCTGTGACCGTAGCAGTCGACGAGCTCCAGATTTCATCAGGCTGATTAATCTTCAGGGTTCGCCAATCTATCTGGGCTCGGAGTCAACCGGGGACTCCAATGCTCCTAAATTGATCCCCGGCGTCGGAAATTCTAGCCTCCCCCTCCGTCTCCAGCACGCTAATCCGCACGATTGGCTCCGTTGGGCCGTCAGCGACTCGACTGTGTTTGCCACTCAGGAGGAAGAGCTTCTTGCGGCCCGGTATCCGGGGAATATCATCGACCAGGAGGGTCTGAAGAACAACATGTTCTTCCAATATGGACTTCGTTACGTTCCACCTCTCGACGCTGACAACTTTTATCGCGCAATTGTGATCGAAGACCTCCCGCTGCATGTTACCCTCGACCAGATCCTCCCCCAAATCCGGGGCGGTCAGATCTATTGTGCATCCCTGCTCGATACCACGCCTCGGGTTCTGACTGGGTCCCCGACCGCGATGATAACCTTCGTGAATCAAGACGGGGCTCTCGCTTTCCTCCGCCGGGTTGCTCGAGAGGGCTTCTACGTGGGAATCACACGGGTCCGGGTGCACCCGGTGCCCACCCCCACATATCTCATGAGCGCCAGTATGCAGAATGAGGTCTTACGAAATGAGCGGACTCGCTGCCTGGTCGTAAACTCTCGCAATCCCACGATCAAGAAGACTCTTCACGGCGTGCTCGCGAAGTCTTCTTTCTCGACTCACGTGGAGTGCTTCGGAGAGCGTGAGGGGGAAGGAGTAGTCACCGTTCGTTTTCATTCGATCAAGGTGGCCATGCGAGCATACGAACATCTCATGAGCCAAAAGGTCTTCCAAGGAATCGTCAAATTCGGTACTGACCCTTGCTGCCTGTGAGCGGGCAGGACGTGGGGGTTGTGATGCGGTAATTTGTTTGGGGGGAGGAGCAGAGGAAAGAGGAGATATGGGAGAGGGAGGAAAGGTGAATAAAAGCACAATCTGTCTCCATACAATATGAGTTGTTTGATTTCTCCTGATATATTCCGGAGTCAGTAATCCGCGGACTCCCCAAGTTGCCCCGATCGGCCCCCACGGAGATCCACATGCCCTAAATTTGCTCGCCGCGATCGCTCGAATGGAGGGCGGGTAGTATACAGCCTTTGATATCCCGGGGTTCTCCAATTTCGTTCCCACCGTCCTCCCATACATCTCCCTTCCTCCATTCCACCAAGGCAAGTACCGGAGTATACTTGAGAATAACCTCCGTCTTCCGCAGATCATCTCCGTTCCCGTCCCGAAGCGGGCCAGGCCGATCGAAGTTTAATCGAAGTTTATGTGTCAAGCTATTGAGTAGTAACAGTGAGACCCCTGTACGTCGAGTTGGAGAATGCTACCATCATTGGTCCGGCTGAACTTTAAGTCTGCACTATGCTGCAGAGATTTATAAGCTCGCTTGTGGTTCCCGCTCTGATGGAAGGTTTTTTGCGTCTGCCGTTCGGGACTTGTGTTTTGCAGCTCTTTCCTGCGCGTCCCTTGCCCCTGCGTACAACATGGTGTCTGATCAGAAACTTGCTATCGACAATGCAACGCAGCTCTCGGATCCCGAGGATGCTACTAAATCCTCCGACAGAGTGACTGGTTTCGAGGATCCCGATGCTGGCTTGAGCGATGAAGAAAGGGCCCAAATTGTATGAACCCTTGCGCCGTCCCAGATGATTCGCTACAAATCACTAACTTGGAACGTACAGGATCGCAAGCTTCTGTGGAAACTCGACCTCCGCCTGTTGCCCTGGCTGAGTCTGTTGTACCTCGTTTCATTCCTCGACCGGTACGTGCAATGATTAAAATCGCGCATACCCTTGCCCTTACGGCGGAGCCCCCACAATATTGACTCTCGCCAGAACCAACATCGGAAATGCGAAGATCGTGGGTCTCAAGAAGGATCTGAACATGACCTCGAATCAGTTCAACGCCACGCTGACTATCTTTTTCGTTTCATACTCGGTCTTCGAACCCTTGACCAATGTCCTGCTCAAGCGGCTGAGACCGAGTGTCTTTATTCCCATTATTATTATATGTTGGGTGTGTATTACACTACCCAGCCATGTGTTTGTGGATATTCTTCTCTGACTGTGATCGCGATTAGGGTATTTGCATGACGCTCATGGGCATCGTCAAGAACTATTCAGGTTTGATGGCCGTGCGTTGGTTCCTCGGTCTCAGCGAGGCAGGTCTGTTCCCCGGTGTAGGATACTTCCTTTCTTGCTGGTACAAGCGCTCCGAGTTTGGTGTGCGCATGGCCATTTTCTTCTCTGCCGCTGCGCTGGCTGGTTCATTCGGTGGACTGCTGGCTGCGGCTATCGCCAACATGGACGGAGTCGGGGGCAAGGCCGGCTGGTCATGGATCTTCATTCTGGAAGGAATTGCCACATTCCTGATCGGCATTGCGTCCTTCTGGTGCGTCTATGATTTCCCCGACCAGGCCAAGTTCCTGTCGCCGGATGATCGGAAGCGTGTTCTGCGCCGCCTGGCTTGTGACCAGCAGTCGAGTGCTGAGCACGAAGAGTTTAAGATGTCCTACTTCTGGGCCAGTGTGAAGGACTGGAAGACGTGGACCGGTGCCGTTGTCTATATGGGCGCGGACGGCTCGCTTTACGCTTTCTCGCTGTTTGTACCGACCATCATCAACGAACTCGTGAGTTTCCCAGCATTGACAAGCTGAATAACTAATTGCTGACTTATAATTCAGGGTATGAAATATTGGAATTGATATCAAATGGAGCCAAACTGACTTCCTTCACCCTGTTACAGGCTATAGCTCGATTCACGCTCAGCTGCTCAGTGTGCCCCCGTACGCAGTGGCCGCCATCCTTACCGTGGCAGTTGGGTTTATTGCAGACCGCACTCGTCAGCGTGGACTGTGCAACATCGGCGTGTCCATCCTTGGAATCATCGGTTTTTCGATGCTTCTGGGATGCGAGTCGGCTGGAGGACGATACGCTGGGACTTTCCTCGGGGCGATGGGGATTTATCCGGCCATCGCCAACACCATCGCCTGGGCCAGTAACAACACAGAAGGTAGGTTGCGCTACTCAAAGCAATTCATGTGCAGTGACTGATAGTTTCGCAGGTGTCTACAAGCGCGGTGTGTCTCTCGGTATTATTATCGGGTGGGGTAACCTGAACGGCATCGTCTCGTCCAATATATATCGTGACCAGGATGCACCTCGCTTCTATCCCGGCCACGGCGTTGTACTAGCCTATCTCGTCCTATTCCTTTGCGGTGGATCGATCGTGCAGTATTTCCTGTTGCGCCGCGAAAACAGCAAGCGCGTGCGTGGTGACCGCGACCAGTGGATCGAAGGTCTTGATCAGAATCAGATCGAGTTGCTGGGTGACGAGCGGCCGGACTTTATATATACACTGTAAGATTATATATACGCTGTAAGAGGAGGAAGGAAGGAAGGTGGATGTGGATATGATGTGTCAACAGATGGGGATATAAATAAATGATGCGCTCAAAATGCAAGAAATGATCCGCCGTGGACCTCGTAGCACCCAATCTGCCTCAAACGGCTTACTTGCTTCTTTCGTATCGGTTGACAATATCCTGGTCCTTCTTCGGACCTCGAACCACGTGTCGACTCGCCCAACTCACGACTTCGCCGGTCTCCGGGCGGATGCGAAATGCGTATGCGGTGCGGTACATGTCGTTGATGCAGAGGTGGTTCCCTCGCGCCGCGAGAACCGCAGTCTCGATACCGGGGGTCGCAGTCGGAGGCTTAGGGGCAGTCACAAATTCAGACTTGCTCTCATTCTCACCGGGAGCCGGTGCCGTCTCGAAGTCGAAGTCGTGGAAGAGATAATCTGCCTCATCGGGACCCGGGGCAATCTTCACAAACCACACGCTGATTTTGCCTGCGTCGGTGGTCCGCCAAATATATTTCTTTGTCCAACGCAGTCCTGCTAGGGCAGCTCCGCCACCAGCCATCCCCGGGATCTCGCCTTCCTCACTGTATAGCCAATCGTGGTCGGAGTTGGGCAGCGCGCTGAAGCTGGCCGTGCCCCGCAGTTCACCATTGAGATCCAAGGGGTTGTCACTTCGTAAAGTACGGGTCAGAGTCCAGCGGGAATTGCGCAGAGACCCGAACAGGGTTGTCAAGAGCTGGCGCGAGGGCATGGGGTCGGTCATGACGAGGAATGCAAAGAGGAAATACCAAATACGGAGAGAAGGCTCCGACCTGGTGGATCTCCGCTCCAATCAACTCCCCGCAACAATAGATCTAGGAAAATTACATGTGGAGGTTAAACTCTTCTATATGCGTGCTTGATATCATTTAGCATAACCGAAGTCACTATAAACCACGACTTTACCTACATTCCTCACCCTCTTAGATAGTTAGCTAGACCTAAAGACAAATTTTTAATCGTGTGTACTATTATATCATTAAAAAGAAAGCATGACCATCAGTTGGGGTGATAGCTCAGTTGGGAGAGCGCACGACTGAAGTTTCAGTCATTGAATTCGTGATGTCGCCGGTTCGATCCCGGCTCACCCCATCTTTTTGTTGGCCCATCCTCTAAAGTTTTTTTCTAAAATTTTATAGGACCAGAGAGAGCTCAATGCATGGCAACAATACAACATGATGAAATGGAAAGAAGAGAGAGACTACTGGCTGCAAGTGTAAGTAATATGTATGTCAATTCCTGAAGTAGGTTTCTCCAGTGAGGGCTTAGTGAGGTCCTACGCTCATTCTCTGTCGTTCTCCTTATTGTTAAGATATTTATTTTTATTCTAATACCACTATATTTGTAATTATATCTCTGATATCTGGTAATTGGCCGTGCTGTCAAGTTACTGTCAATCCCGCTTTTTTATAGAAACTTGGAAACAGATCAACAAAACTCTCAATTGGTCTAGGCCTAAATATGGGCCATTTTCGTTCTGTAATAAATATATGTAAACTGACTCCATATACATTTATGTAGGTATGTATTTACGTATCCTGGCAGAGAAGTAGATATAGTTGAAATTTGGTATGTATCAAAATAGTCTTGGGTCTGTGGGACAAACATCCTAGCCTATTATAGTCAAATTTTCAACTGATTAATCATCAAATGGGGTGATAGCTCAGTTGGGAGAGCGCACGACTGAAGTTTCAGTCAAGTTGATTTCGTGATGTCGCCGGTTCGATCCCGGCTCACCCCATTTTTTGCCTTGGTAGATTTTACTTATCTCTCTCCTGGATTTCTTCCCGGGTGTTCCTTGAACGCCTATCTTTCTTGATAAGCTTTTTTGTGTTCTGTATGTGGCTAGCCCCAAAAACCTCACAAACTACTTATCATGGTGTCTATTGAAACATCTTTTTTAGCCATGTCGGCAGTACATAAAGTGGTCAAAGAAGGTAGGCGGACAGACAGGCAGAACACTTACAATATCTCTTTGGTTTGTCTTCCTATAGTAGTTGGCTGAATAGCTCCTGAACTTTTTTCTCCAAGAATCAGTCTCTGTGTTTACTAGATTCTCGATTGACAGTTGTTCGTTCCACCCTGACTTCTAGATCTCCTTTACAAATTCCGGTATGCTTCCTGATCCAATAGGCAGGCTTCTACCCTCGATTATTGTGAAGATTTGATTTCATTGTACTAGTGGGCCATGAATAGTTGTCCGAGTTGTCCGCATTTTTGGTGAATGACCTATACATGTTAGGACCACGCCCGGGAAACGCTAGCCAACAAGGCCAAAAGACTATCATTACCCACTAGCTGACGAAGCTCGTTGATCTTGGCCCTATATACCATATAGGAGTCCCAACAATACATTTACCTAGCTACCGATTCAACATGGAAGCATGTTCTCTATCCACTCTGAACGCCTGTGCCCTTGTGTAACCTATGGCGGTTCATATGGTAGTATATGATTATCATTGGCGCAAACTCAATAAAGTCTATATGGGGCCAGAATTAGAGGAGGAATTTGATTTAGTTTATGACCCAGATCGACTTTTTTCTGTGCTTTTCAGACTATAGAGTAGCAAACTGTTTGAGGTAGGTATTCAAATCTTGATTAATCATCACGTGGGGTGATAGCTCAGTTGGGAGAGCGCACGACTGAAGTTTCAGTCATTGAATTCGTGATGTCGCCGGTTCGATCCCGGCTCACCCCATTTTTGCTTCTTTGAAATCTATATATTTTTTTTAAATTTTCATTCCTTTAATCCATCATCCCTTCTATAAGATACTCAATTAGAGGCTAGAGCCAGAATATTATATAATAGAAATGAGGATAATAGAAAAAAAGCCAACATTCACTTTTGAATACCTGCCTATATTATAAATTAATAGCTCTTTCCCCCCTCTCTCTTTATTTTTAAAAAATATAAGAAAGAAAAAGAGACACTAAATCTCAAGGAAGGGGAATGGGTGATGATAGAGGAAATAAAAGTATAGAGAAAAAATATGTGGAGGAGGCAAAAATGGGGTGAGCCGGGATCGAACCGGCGACATCACGAATTCAATGACTGAAACTTCAGTCGTGCGCTCTCCCAACTGAGCTATCACCCCATGTGATATAGAAGGTCGGAAATTCTAGACATGAGAACGGTATTACGTTTCTATCTCCTTTCTTTCCTTTTCTTGATTTTGTAATCTATATCTACTCTACTCTCGACTCTTCGAGGTCAATGAACATGGCATCGAACACGCGTAAGATATACCAGCCCACATGAAAAGTCAGAATCCAGCAGAGAAAAGTATGACTTCCCCTCTTCCATCGCGTCACACAAATGTCTTGGTTATTGCTGCATCTGCGGGGTTCATAAAATGAAGAATGGAGCTCACGCGCCATTTTATCGCAATCGGTGTCGGAATCTTGGTCTGAAGTGACCAAGATACTGGATTAAATCACGCACGGCTCTACAGGTATCTTTGAGTCTTCATGCGATCTGAAATCCTAGCGCAACGCGACTAGCGACCGAACCCTTTGCGCGACTGAAAATCGGCGATGTCTCCTCGGAGCCAATATCGGTTGACGCCGTCGCACGGTGGCCCTAATGTGAACCCTGTTTTACTCCCGAGCTAACAAGGTAGCGCATAGGTGGAAATTCGAACCATGTACCTCGTACCTGATCGGCATAAGTCACGGTGTAGTGTATTCGGTAGAAGGTGAAGCCAATTGCCGGAAATAGCAGGCCGCTAACATAAAATCACCGCCGCCTTGGGGATTAGTGCCTTCAGCTTTCATCCTAGGGTCGCACGTTCTTTGAAGTTATCGGTGCCGACCGAAATTGAAGCTCGAAGATTAAGATCCAAGTGATAGGCGACCTTAACGGCGGATCGTCGGTGGAGCCGCGTGTTTGGTGTTGATGTCGCGATCCTTGCGTCGGAAACGTGGGAATGTCAATCATTTCCCGGTTGATGAAGTTGGAATTACAAGGTAGATGCAAGCGGAGCAGTCGAACGAGGAAGAAAGGACACTACAGGGTAAGAATGGGCCCCGAATGCAAGGCATCGGGGCCCCTAGTCGCCAGCCCCGGCTGCATTCGGCCCAGACCCTTTTTTTTCCCTTTTCCCTTTCCCTTCATTTCCCCTCTTTCTCTCCTTGCGATATGGGCTGCGTGTACTGACTCCAGTCTCTCGTTCAATTCCCCACCTTCCACTATGTTTCTCCTCGGTCGTTGGGCCCTGCTGCTGCCTCTAATTTCCTCTGCTTGGGCGGCCGACAAGAACCTGATCCCCACGGCCGCCTCCGGCTCGTTCCCGCAATGCGGTCTCCAATGCTCCCAACTCTACGCTGCGCAGGATAGCTGCACGGCCAACCCTGACTCTTCCACCTGGGTCTCCTGCTTCTGCCAGTCCTCTTTCATCTCCAATCTGAAAACCTCCGGCGCCGTCTGCACCAACTGCGACTCCGGCGATCAAGCCAAGGTCTCTTCGTGGTATAGCAATTACTGCAGCTCGGGTGGCACCAACGAGGGTACCGCCAGCACCAGCACCAGCACCAGCACCACCTCCAGTGCCACCGCCAGTGCTACCGCGGGCGCCAGCACGTCCCAGTCGTCCGCGTCAAGTACAGATGAAAACAAGTCCTGGTGGGTTTCGTCACGAATGTGAATCTCTTTCCGTGTGGACGGTACTAACGTAGACCCCGTTGCGCAGGTGGAGCACCCATTACAAATGGGTGATCATGCTGATCGTCCTCGCCATCGGCTTCAGTGTCATCGCCGCACTGGGGATCTGGCTCAAGCGCCGCTACGACGCCAAACGACCCGGCCTGTACCATGGCGGAACCACAGAGGCTAGCAGCAGCGGCGCCCTCCGGGGTGGTAACTCGGGCATCCTCAGCCCCATCCCTGTCGGAGGCTACGCTTCCCCGCCACCGAACCAGTCGCGCACCTTCGGCGACGAGTCCGTTGCCAGCAGCTCGCGCACCGATATCGCGCCCAAAGGTATCCCTGCAGCGGGAAGTCGGACACGCCTGCAGAAGACGGGACAGTCCCCGGCTGGGGATGTGGAGATTCGACAGGTTTCGCGCCGGTGATCTTTGGATCTTTTTGCTTTCGAGGGAGGAACCTCGTTCGATTTCTCTGGGACATGTGAACTGGTCTCTGCGACGATTGCTTTTTCTCCGTCGTCTCACTTGCATTTCTCGGCGTTGTAAATGTGGATATTTTGGTTAACGGATCTGGTTCTCTTTATTTCCAATCGAGCCGAGTAGGCTGGAGTCATCTGCTATTTTGATGTCAAAGTGCCGGCTGCTATTGTCCGTGCACCGGAGTTGCTTTTCACTTTCTAGTTCTGCGTTATCTATGCCCCGGGCGTAGACTTGTCAACGTATATAATGTGCGCGGGCTAGGTTCCCTGCAATTTGAAGTTCAATGCGCCCGTTATCTCGTATATTATATATTTACAGTAGAATCCTGGATCCTAGGAAATGCTGATGCTGACAATCTTCACATCCACCTCCGGCTTCTCCTTGTGAGTCTTGACGTTCTCGATTTTGTGCACCACGTCGAGTCCTTGCACGGCACGGCCGAAGACGGTGTGCTTGTTGTCGAGCCAGGGTGTCTTCTCGGTGGTGATGAAGAACTGACTGCCGTTGGTGTTGGGCCCCGCGTTGGCCATGGACAAGGTATACGCCTTGTCGTGTCGCAGACTCGAAAACTCGTCGGCAAATTCGCCGCCCCAGATCGACTCGCCGCCGGTGCCGTCGCCTTGCGGGTCACCACCCTGGATCATGAATTTGCGGATGACTCGGTGGAAGATGGTGTTGTTGTAGTATCCTCGTCGCGCGTGCGTCACGAAGTTTTCCACCGTCCGCGGGGCCGCGGATGGGTACAAACGCAGGTGGATATCGCCCAGGGTAGTGTGCAGAATCGCGGCGGTTCCGCTCTCTGCAGCCTTGCTGATGCCCGCGCCGGAGTCTCCAGCGACCTGAGTCGGCTTCTCGTTCTGTACATCACGGCTCGACTTGGACACCTCAGTCTCGTTGGTGAACATGTAGAAGCGCACCTTGGCGAATCCAGTGCTGAGCAGAATTGGGTCGCGTTCTTCGGCCTCCTGCAATAACGGGTTGCTACTGGCGGCCATTGACACCGTAACCACACCCTTTCGCTGCGGCTGGCCCTGGTAAAGAGCCAAGTTCAATGCTCGGAAGGGCTCGTCGCGACCGTAGACCCGAATCACCCGGTTGGTGTAGGTGTTGATGCACTTGATCCCGTACAATGACCCGTAGAGGAGGAAGTGGCCTGACTCATCAAAGGAGACATTGACCTTGTTGCGAGTAGACTCTCCTTCCAGCTCTCGTTCCACGCCCAGTCGCCGTCCAAATTCCACCTCGTCCAGCTGATACGGTGCCGTGCCAGCCTGTTGCATGTCGGTGATGGTCGCTATTGACTCGTCGTAGGTTCGATAGAGCTTTCCCGTTGCAAATTCAAATACCCGTACTTGCCGATCGGGGAATGACATCGTCGCAAAGTGCTCTCCGGAGGGCGAGATAGTGATCGCGGTAGGGACAGACTTGGCCTTTTTGAATGCAAACAAATTGGTCGATGACTTCAGTTCAAAAACGTTGTCCGGTTTTTCAAACGACCCGTCTCCAGCTCGCCAGTATTCAACCATCCCTGATTCATCCGCCGACACCACACAGTCGAATGCATTGTTGAAGGCTAATGACACCACGGGGGTGCGATGAACGGTCTTGACCGTGTGCAGAGGCTGAGGATTCTCGCCTCGCCCATCGAAGACTTGAATGACGTTGCTCGATTCGTCTGTTACGGCGAGCAAGGGCAGAGAAGCACCTCGTCGATGCACCCAGCAAACACAGCGAGGTACAAATTCCAGTGTATACATGGCCAGAAGGTCTGCTCAAAGTTCAGCAAAATGGCCCAACAGCATAGCACCGCTAGACTTACCGAATGTTATCACATCGAAAATCTTGACCGTTTTGTCGGTTCCTGCCGTCGCAAAACTGCGCCCATCGGCACTGACACTCGTACTGCGAATTTCGCCGGGGTGGGCTCTGAACTCCTTCACGAACTCAATGCCATCGGCCATCTTCTTCCAGAACTTGACTACACCATCGATCGAGCTGGTGATGACAAAGTCGGTGACCGGAGTGACGGTCACGAACGACAGTTGCTCCTTGTGCATGAGGGACTTCGAGTATCGAGGCGAGGCAGGCAGGGCATTGACGTAGACATTCTCGAAGGGTAGCTTTCGGCGTTTCTTCTTTGGCGCGACTTCAGAGGGCAGTGCTGGACCGAAATCATCGTCGGAGGAGTCGTCGTCACCTGTACAGCTTCGCGATTAGCAGTCTGGCGCAAAGAAGCTGCGGAGCTTCGGGCGGAGGATAAATCACCGTTCTCGTCGCCATCGACGGCGGAGTGAGGCCGCTTAGTCGCGGCGGAAGCAGCGAGCACTTCAGAGTCAACCATTGTGGAATCGAGAGTAGAAAAAGAAAAGAAGCAGGGGAGAAATTCAAGGGAAACGTTCGTGGACAAGGCGGGCGGTGATGACCGCACCCAACCAGAAGCTCGGGCCACGCAACTTTTCTCCTTTCCCTCGTTTCCCCCACTGTTGACCGAAGTTGCTCATCTTTCCAGCTACTTTTTCCAACGAACAGTTCGTGTGTTCGTTATAGCTGGTCAACATGGTCTGTCTCTTACTGCCATGCTCATTTTCAATCTATCAACTGACACCCTTTTCGTACAGGCGTCGTTCGGCAATCCCACACAGATCTTTGGTGACGATGTGATCGAGGAGAAAGGCGAGAACGCCCGTCTGTCGGCCTTTGTGGGCGCCATCGCTGTCGGTGACCTCGTGAAGAGCACACTGGGACCCAAGGGAATGGACAAGATTTTGCAGTCTGCGTATGTGGAGGGGTTCTTATCTGACGACCGCGGGGAGAAATATATACTGACGTGAATGGCGGGACAGTTCGACCGGAGAGATCCTCGTGACAAACGACGGTGCTACGATCTTGAAATCCATTGCTCTCGATAACGCCGCCGCGAAGGTGTTGGTGAACATCTCCAAGGTTCAGGACGATGAGGTTGGTGATGGCACAACATCCGTCACCGTGTTGGCCGCCGAGCTTCTGCGCGAGGCCGAGAAGTTGGTCAGTGCCAAAATCCACCCCCAGACCATCATTGAGGGTTACCGGATAGCCAGCCGGGCCGCTCTCACTGCTCTCGACTCCGTGGCCATCGACCGAAGCCAGGACCCCGAGGCCTTCCGCAAGGACCTGCACTCGATTGCCCGTACCACACTGAGCTCCAAGGTGCTCGCACAAGACCGCAACCACTTCGCCCGCTTGGCCTGCGAGGCTGTCCTTCGTCTCAAGGGATCGACCGATCTCAGTCACATCCAGATCATCAAAAAGGCCGGCGGCAAGCTGAACGACTCGTACCTGGATGAGGGTTTCATTCTGGACAAGAAGATCGGTGTCAACCAGCCCAAGCGGCTGGAGAATGCCAAGATCCTGGTGGCCAACACCGCCATGGATACCGACAAGGTCAAGATCTTCGGTGCTCGCGTCAAGGTCGAGTCGACCGGCAAGCTGGCCGAGCTGGAGAAGGCCGAGCGGGAGAAGATGCGCCAAAAGGTGGAGCGGATCAAGGCCCACGGCATCAACTGCTTCGTCAACCGTCAGCTTATCTACAACTGGCCCGAGCAGCTGTTCACCGACGCGGGTATCGTGTCCATCGAGCACGCCGACTTTGACGGCATCGAGCGCCTGGCTCTGGTCACTGGCGGAGAGATTGCCTCTACCTTCGACCACCCCGACCAGGTGAAGCTGGGATCCTGTGACCTCATCGAGGAGGTGATCATCGGCGAGGACACCCTGATCAAGTTCTCCGGTGTCGCTGCCGGCCAGGCCTGCACCATCGTGCTGCGCGGTGCCACCGAGCAGCTGCTGGACGAGGCAGAGCGCTCGCTGCACGACGCTCTGGCCGTGCTGTCACAGACCGTTAAGGAACCGCGCGTTACCCTGGGTGGTGGCTGTGCCGAGATGGTGATGGCCAAGGCCGTGGAGCAGGCGGCCCAGAACACCACGGGCAAGAAGCAGCTGGCAGTGGACTCTTTTGCCCATGCCCTGAAGCAGCTCCCGACCATCCTGGCGGACAACGCCGGTTTGGACTCGAGCGACCTGGTGACTCGTCTGCGCCAGGCGATCAACAACGGATTGACCAATTCGGGTCTGGATCTCTTGACCCCCGGTGGCGGCATTGCGGATATGCGTGACCTGGGTGTTGTGGAGGCCTACAAGCTGAAGAAGGCGGTGGTGTCCTCGGCCTCCGAGGCCGCTGAGGTACGTTACTTTCCGAGTGTTTTAACAAACGTTGATACTAATGAGTATAGCTTCTTCTCCGAGTGGACAACATCATTCGGGCCGCTCCTCGCCGACGGGACCGGATGTGATATGATTGATACGCTAGTGAACATGTACCTATTCCCGGGAATTCAAAAAGAACAGTCTATAGACATCGCGTGGTACCTCGACACCTTGTGGCCTTACTCCGATTGTAGTTTGTAGCCTTGTAGCCTTGTAGCCTTATTGCCTTATTGCCTTATTGCCTGGCGGCGGTCATCCTTTGTCAGCGCCGCCCTGGACCCGGTTGGACCCTTTGGACCCTTTGGACCCTTTGGACCCTGCGGACCCTGCGGACCCCTGGTGCGTTCTTCCGAACGAAGAGATTGCTCGATACGGAGCGAGCATGTCTCATACTGTACTCCGTAGTAATGTCGGAATGCCGGGTACGATGTGCAGTACGATGTGCGAGTCCATTCCGAAAGTCTTGGCACAGGCAGCAGAATAAGCCGGGCTGAATACTCCGTAGAACGAGACGAGACTCGGTAGTGGGATGACGATCCTGCGGGTCAGCGGTATCAACCGAGCTGGGGAGACGATCCGAGGAAACTAGATACATCTCGATCATCCGAGATAGATCTGCTCTACAGAGTCCGAGGAAATCGGGCGAACAAGGGCAAGCGAGGGATGCCAAGCACGCTGTCTCATGTAGCGCTGCAGGTTCCGCCCTCTGCCGCCAGGGAGACAATCACCCCGTCATAGAAGTCGATTCGGGCAGACCCCTTTTCACGCCTGAGATCAGCCTGGTAATCCAAAGGTGTGGACAACGTATATCGCTACAATTCTCAAGACCTCGATAGGTGACCAGGTCACCGGAATTCCAGGTGTCTAGGTACATAAAGTAAAAGAAGGGTGGAGCCCAAGGCCGGGGCTCAGCGATTGAAGGTGGTACGGTAACCCATTAATGAAGGTGGCCCTGCCCCGATCTTTTCCCTCCCTCTTTCTCCCTTGTACACCTCTCTCAGTCCCGACCCGACTTACTCCTTCGTTTCGATGATCCTTCCGCTCGTTTGAACTTCCCCATGATCTTCTCCAACTGGCTGCCCACCCTACTGGGCGGCGCTCTAGTCGCGCAGGGCGCGCTGGCCGCCATCGACCTCAGCATCAACGATCCAAGTACGTGTCCCGCATTCCGGCTACTTACCCCATGTGGCTCCCTCGACTGACCTGAAGAATGCGCTCTCTAGATTCTATTAAGCAGGCCGCTAAGACGGTTGCCACCGATATGATGACCTACTATAATGATCGCGACTCCAAAGCAATCCCCGGAAAGTTCGACGGTACGTGGTGGGAGGGTGGCTCCATGTTCATGATCCTCATCCAGTATTGGTTCTTGACTGGTGACTCCGAGTTCAACGAAGAGGTCCAGGCAGGCATGTACTGGCAGAAGGGCGACGACAACTACTTCCCCAGCAACTACTCGCAGTATCTGGGTAACGATGACCAGGTCTTCTGGGGCCTGGCCGCCATGACCGCCGCCGAATTGAACTATCCCGAGCAGGACGGACAACCGTCCTGGGTCTCGCTCGCTCAGGGTGTGTTCAACACCCAGGCCCCACGCTGGGACACCAGCAGCTGTCACGGTGGTATGCGCTGGCAGATCTGGCCCTACCAGCCTGGCTACACAACCAAGAACGCCATTTCCAACGGTGGTCTGTTCCAACTATCCGCGCGCCTGGCTCTTTACACCGGCAACACGACCTACAGTGAATGGGCCGAACGCATCTGGGACTGGAGTGCGACCACCCCGTTGCTGAAGCAGAAGAACTGGAATATCGCAGATTCCACCACCTGCGAGACCCAATGCACCGACCACGGCGATTGGCAATGGACCTATAACTATGGGACGTACATCAGCGGTGCCGCCTACATGTACAACTTCGTGCGTTTCTTGCTACCTCCCCTTCCAGTGAAACGATGGCTGATCTGACACTCTACAGACCAACGGAACCCAGAAATGGAAGGATGGCATTACAGGTCTCGTTGGCTCCTCCAGTCAATTCTACCCGACCAGTGGCGGCGGAAATATTCTGTCGGAGATTACTTGCGAACCCATCAATAAGTGTGATCGCAATCAGATCACCTTCAAGGCCTACTTCGCCTCCTGGCTCGCTTTCATGACCACCATTGTCCCGGGGACCTACGATCTTGTCATGCCCAAGTTGCAGACCTCGGCCCAGGCCGCCGTCAAGACCTGCACCGGTCTGTCGGATGGCACGCACTGCGGTATTAAGTGGTACACGCAGACCTGGGACGGCACCGACGGACTGGAACAGCAGATGGCCGTCCTCGGTGTTCTCAATGCCGTCCTGGTCCCCTTCAAGAACCAGGCACCCTTCACGGCCGACAACGGTGGCATATCCAAGAGTAACCCCAACGCCGGTACCAACAGCTCCGACAACGCGGTGCCCCAGCTCAACAACATCACCACCGGTGACCGCGCGGGTGCCGGTGTGCTCACCGTCATCTTCGTGACCGCCTGGGCCATTGCTGTGACATGGATGATCCGTGGCGGTTGAACACCTTTTTTCGATTCCCCCTTTTGTGCCATTCCCGGGACCCCGTGGGTTGCCCTTCTGTTCTTATAAATTCCCTTTGCCTCGGATGTGTGTCTATTTCCGGTTTCATTGTATCTATTTTGCTCTTTTTCTCGGCCGGAGCATTGACCCGGCCACGGCGTGGGGTTCTGCGGCGTCTAGGAGACCGATCTTTTAATTAGCCCGAAACAATTGGACTTTTTCGGCTCGTCAGGATGTGATGGTTTATTGCGTAGTAGCCGAGTAATTTTAGCGGGGTGCCGGGGGCCAACTTGGGACTGTGCGCATGTCAAGGCAGTGACGTTTCGGGACCGGTCGAAATGCACCGAAACGGAAAGGAGAATACTGACACGGAGAAATAAATAGATCTGAAGCAGGGGAAAAGGGGGGGCCAACTCCTTGATGGCGTGTACACCGAATTACGACGCGGGTGGCTGGTGACTGACTGTACTGTACACGTGTATTACACACAATCTTCGACTCAGCTCCTGTGCTTTGCTTTCTTCCCCTTCATCTTTCCACTCTGCCTCACGCCCCTTCTCCTTTTTGCTATCCTTCTCCTTCTCCCATCTTCCATCGCTCGTACGTCCATCATCTGAACCACCCACATTGGAGTGGGGGATGATCCGCTACCCGGATTCTCGAAACGCTCCACATTCATTCCTTCTTTCCAAACCACCCGCGCCATCCCTCCATCGCCAACGGATGACCGAGATACCCTCCGACTGCCAAAGCACTTCCGCCTCTTCGTGCTGACGTTCCCACAATGCGGTGGCGGCTGCCGGGCGGCCGATCGACCCTCCCCGCCAGCGTCGCCCTCCTCCTACTCCCCATACTGGTGGCTCCGCAGCAGCACCCAGAACCTCATGACTCTGCCTCTCGAGTCTCCGTGCCCTTAGCGGCGGGAGCAGACCCCTCTATACATAACACAGCCCCCGTGGCTGAACCCATCGTGAAAACTAACGATGCGAGCGCCCTGGCAACTCTGGCTCTGGCGGGCTCCGGCCGCGCCGTTCGAGCCCCTCCTGTCCAGGCCAGCAGTACTGCTGCCGGTCTGGCTTCGCAGCTTCACGCGCGGTCCTTGCAGGACTGGGAGGTTGAGGACTTTGTGCTGTTGGCGACCGTCGACGGAACCATTCACGCCCGAGACCGAAAGACGGGCACTGCTCGTTGGGCTCTCGAGGTTCCCAGCAGCCCCTTGGTCGAAAGCATCTACCATCGTGCTAATCGTACCAGCTTCGACGAAACCGAGCCGGAGGATGACTTCCTGTGGATTGTCGAGCCTAGCCAGGATGGCAGCTTGTACATCTACAGCCCCGGACAGGAGGCTGGGTTACAGAAGCTTGGCCTCACGGTCAAGCAGTTGGTGGATGAGACACCCTACTCTGGCACCAAACCCGCCGTGACCTATACTGCCCGGAAAGAAACCACACTTTACACCATTGATGCTCGCACTGGGAGTATCCTGCGGGTCTTCAGCTCGCGTGGGCCTTTCACAGCCGGGCAAGAATGCCGAAAGGTGGACGGACAAGATTTGGACCCGGAAGAGTGCGAAACAACCTCTGGTACCTTGGTGCTTGGCCGGGTCGAGTATGCCGTGGCCATTCAAAATACCGAGACTGGTGATCCGATCTGCACATTGAAGTACTCGGAATGGGCGCCGAATAACCGAGACATGGATCTCCAGAGCCAGTATCTCCGTACCATGGACCAAAGCCATGTCTACAGTATGCACGATGGAGTCGTATTGGGGTTTGACCATTCCCGCATGGATCGCCCTCGCTATACACAACGTTTCTCATCGCCGGTGGCACGTGTATTCGATGTCGTCCGACCAGCCAACAAAGACGCACCGGATGCCTCGACACCGCTGGTCCTCCTGTCGCAGCCGCTGCAGCCGCCGGACCCCGACTACGGCTCCTTAGACGAGCGTGACCTGCGCGTGTTCATTGATTCCACCAATGCTGGTGGATGGTATGCCCTGTCCGAAGAGACATACCCCCTCGTCACTGGTCGCGCCCGAATGGCTCCGGTATACGACAAGGACTTCTTTCGTCGGGGACAGTCTCTCATGAGCCTGACTCCAAACCAGCAGCGAGATGCCCTGGCTGGTGTGCACTCACTGAACGGCCCACGCATTGTCCCGCCCATCCCACGACTCGCGGGCTCGTCCACGACCGAACTCTCCAACGACACCCCTCGGGGTGTCCTTCGCAGTCCCTCTGAATTGGCCCTTCCTCCGGCCCTGCGACACAGCACAATCATCCGCAAGAGCTGGGACAATGCACTGGACATCGCTGTCACTCTTGTGTTGTTGTTCATCTGCACATTCATTTATTTTAACTCTCACCATATCCGAGACCTCGCGAAGCAAAAGCTTGATATTAAGAACATCATCAACTCAAATGAAAAAGGATCCATGTCGACTCCAGCTACCCCGATTGTTGGCGGAGCGCCCGATATCAAGCGGGCATCGACTCCAACTCGACCGGTGCCTGATGTAACCGTGGACGTGGATTTGACTGATTCTCCTGATGGCGATGCCACTCCGCGTCCCTCGCGAGAGAGCAGTGTTCCGGCCGGAAACTCGATTCCTCGGGTTCAGTTCGACGATGGGGATGCCGACGACCAAGAAAACGATAAGCCGGCCAACAAAAAGAATCGCAAGCGTGGTACACGCGGTGGGAAAAGCCATAAACGTCGCCGGAAGCCTGGCACCGAAGGCGATGCGATTGACCAGGCCAACCAGGTCGTGGAACAGGTCAATCGTCTAGCCCCGCAGGCTCGACTGGAACCCGATGTGCAGCTCAGTCGCACTGTATCAAACGAGATCACGGAGATGGATGGTGTCATCCGGATCGGACGACTGGAGGTCTTCACTGACGTTGTTCTTGGCCACGGCAGCCATGGCACTGTTGTTTATCGTGGCTCGTTTGACGGCCGAAACGTGGCGGTTAAGCGCATGCTCATGGAATTTTACGATATCGCTTCACACGAAGTTGGACTGCTGCAGGAAAGTGATGACCATCACAATGTCATTCGATACTTCTGTCGTGAGCAGGCGGCCGGTTTCTTGTATATCGGCCTGGAGCTGTGTCCAGCCTCTCTGCAGGATGTCACTGAACGACCGACTCAGTTCCCAGAACTGGTTCAGGGCGGCTTGGACATGCCTGACGTGCTCCGCCAGATCACGCAAGGTGTTCGGTATCTGCATTCCCTTAAGATCGTCCACCGGGATCTGAAGCCGCAGAATATTTTGGTGGCCATGCCCCGTGGCCGAACCACGTCGCCGGCCCTTCGACTGCTTATCTCTGACTTTGGTCTGTGCAAAAAGCTGGAGGACAACCAGAGTTCTTTCCGTGCCACGACCGCCCACGCTGCCGGTACCTCGGGCTGGCGTGCCCCCGAGCTGCTGGTCGATGACGACACTGGACCGCTGAGTCTCGCATCGCAACATACAGAGTCTTCGGAGCCCGCTGTTGTCGACCCGCAAACCAACCGCCGTGCCACTCGTGCCATTGACATCTTCTCTTTGGGCTGTGTGTTCTACTATGTCTTGACTCGTGGTAGCCATCCGTTCGACAAGAATGGCAAATTCATGCGCGAGGCTAATATTGTCAAGGGTCAATTTGACCTGGAGGAGCTTAACCGGTTGGGTGACTACGCCTTTGAGGCCGATGATCTCATTCGCTCCATGTTGTCTCTTGACCCACGTCTACGGTACGTCGCTGCGTAGGAATTTCTAATGTATAATACTGACTTTCACCAGCCCCGATGCAAGCGCCGTTCTGATGCATCCCTTCTTCTGGCCGCCGTCAGATAGACTCAGTTTCCTCTGTGACGTGTCCGATCATTTCGAGTTTGAACCTCGCGATCCTCCGTCGGACGCCTTGCTCTGCCTGGAATCGGTGGCTCGGGATGTGATGGGGCCGGAGATGGATTTCTTGCGCGTGCTCCCCCGGGACTTCAAGGATAATCTGGGCAAGCAGCGCAAGTACACTGGTTCGCGCATGCTCGATCTCCTACGTGCGCTTCGCAACAAGCGCAACCATTACAACGACATGCCGGAGTACCTGAAAGCGCATATCGGAGGACTACCAGAGGGATACCTCAACTTCTGGACGGTGCGCTTCCCGAGTCTGTTGATGAGCTGTCATTGGGCCATCACGGAACTGGAATTGACACAGATCGACCGGTTCCGTCGTTATTTCACGCTGCCAGAGTAGTTCTGTTACAGTAGATAGGCAATAATTTGACATTAAGTTCGCGCTGTGACTTTCACGCTGTGAGATCTCGCTGCTGAGTAAGAAAACGAAAATAATTGGACCATTTTGACTGCGTTCGTGTCGACAAACGCGAAATCGCGAAAATCTGCGGGGTTGCCTGAAGTCTCAGGCGACTACCCGCGACCTGCAGCTCCGCGGCTTCTTCACAATCTCTCTTCCTCCCATCCACCTTGTCTCTCTTCCTGAGACTTCTCTTTTTCCTTATGTCATTTCGAGGGTGATGCGTGCTTGAGACTTTCTTTCCTCTCTTAATTGTCCCACCCACGCGCTCCCAGTCCCCACAGTGAGCCCGAGATGGTTTTTTTACGACTGGAGACCAGGATCTTCCCCAGGGAACAGGTATCGTCCAGTCCTAGTATTTTCCGCAGTCTCATTGGAAGTAATGGTGAGCGCGGTCGCGAAGACGCCTCCTCGGCGAAGAAATATGTTTCTTTCCTGCTAGCGCTGGAGAAACCGGAGGATGTGAAGCTCGGTGACCTAGCCTCCATGATCTTAGATGAGTGGAGAATGCTCCGGCCTGACCAGGAGTAAGTACCGAGTCAATTGAAATCGTCGTCACTTTGAATAGCCGTTTGCTGATCGTTTCTTTCTGACAGACCTCTCGCGATCAAGAAACTACTCGACGATGCGAATCCTTCCGTTGATCTAAATGCTGGAATGACCGTCGCCGATGTATTCGTGGACCGAGGCAAAGCCCGCGCGGATGGTTATGATCAGAGAGCTGTCGTCCGTGTGATCCAAAGACCTTCAGAGCACTATTCTCAACGATTTGGCTCCGTGGAGCAGGACTGGGAAAGTGCGGTACATGAATCTAGGCGAAGACGGTCCCAAGCTAAGAAGGAAGCTACCGCCAAGCGGTTCTCCCCCATTGAGGAAGAAGATGGTGGCATGGAGGATGCTCCTATGGAGGATACACCGTTCGAGCACCGGCATCGCGACTTTCCCCTTTCCTCCGTCGAAACCCACGAGCATATGCCGCCATCGCATCAGGAACAGCCTTCGGATGCTGCGATTCCTGGAACTCCTCCTTCTAATCGCCTAGGAAGCGAAGAGCTCGGAGGTGACTCTCCGAGTCCACAGCAGCACAGAAACGAATCGCGCCGTGATAACTTGTCCCTTAAGCGCAAACAAAGCCCAGAGCGGGATGTGCCTGCGAAGCAGCCACGGCTGGAAGAAAAAGCTACAGCAAATCAACCGACGACCGAACCTACAGCCGAGACAAGGACCACGTCGACCCCGAGTCCAGCTCGAAGACGCAATATCCCAGCGTTTGCTAGCCCTCAGCATCGGAGACCCAGCGCCTCTGAGAACCCCCCCAGTCCCTCGAAACAGGGTCTTGGGCTGGGCATCACTAAGAGCCCTGCCGCGGAGAGACACGCGATGCTCGATCTTAAGTCCAGTCAGAGCTCTGTTGCTGGCCCATTGTTCCCTAGTAATGCACCGCCTCCGACTGTGAACCGTGGATATGGCCTGGAAAAGTCCCAATCTTTACAGTCCGCCATGCGCAAGAATACTCCTATTGACAAATCGGATCGACGTCGATCTGTTTCTTTTGCCGAAGCGAACGACATTACCACGAACAATGACTCGGAAGCCACTCCTCAAAATGCTTCCCAGCTGGCTAAAGTGTCTCAGGATACCCCAATGTCCAATTCTGGCACACCTTCGAGCAGTCAGATCGTGTATCCGTCCACATTCTCCGCGGAAAAGATCCAAAGGATGAAGGAGGATGCGGAGAGGAAGTTTGGGCGGTCCAAGGAACGTGCGGGACAAAAGATTGGAAAGCAAGATGAAAAAGCCAGCACGAGCCAGAAGGACAAGGCGAGGAAACAAGAAGAAGATAGGGCTCGAAGGGAGCAAGAAAACGCTCACAAAGAGGAAGAGGAGAAGGCCAAGATACAGGCTGAAAAGAAAAGAAAGGAGGAGGAAGAGAAAGCCAGAAGAGAGGAAGAGAGTACGAGAAAGCAGGAAGAAGCCACGGTTGAACAGGAGGCAAGCGATCGACGGCTGGCCAGCCGCGACCAGAAAGACGCAGAAGAAGCCCAGTTGATCCGGGATAAATTACACGATCTCGATACCGACTCGCGAACCATGGAATTTTGGGCCAAAATGCTGGAGATCTACAACGCGATCGAGATTGCAAAGGCTGCTGGCAAACCTCGAGAAGTACGGAATCTCCGGAAAAGAATCCCACGCCTGCGGAACAAGATTAAGCAGTTTGAGAATTCAAGCCCCCGTCCGCCCGATCCTCCCTTGCCCCGATCAGCATCCAAAGTGAAGCGGTCGATTCCGACCACGGCGCCTGCCGCATCCCAAGGCGTCAACACGAGCCCGTCTTGGTCATTTGGCAAGTCGAACTCCAATCGTCGACCGAGTGCCACATCCAACCAGTCATCGGGGTCGCAGGATGACCGGTCGCCTTCTTCCGGCAAAAAGGTCGTTGACACTACCGAGCCTAAAGAGACACATTTGCCTAATCCCTCGGCTCCAAGCTCTCAGCCTTCTCGTTCACTTGGTTCCCCTGGGCTTCTACCGTCCGTGGTGATTCAGTCGCCGCGAAAGCGATCGGAGGGAGCCACTGCCGTCGCATCCACCGATGACGAGGACTATGAGGATGCCAGCCACAGCATAGGCGAAGATGACAAGCAAGACACAGAAGAAAAGCAACAAGAGGCTCGGGACCAGCGGAAGGCTGATATGCAGCTAAATGCCTCTGCAGAAGAGTCTGCAGAAGATTCCGCGGAAGAATCTGGGGCAGAGCCGTCTGCAGACCCCGCCAAACAGTTCATAGATGAAGAAGCGGAGTCTGAAGACCAGGAAAGTGAAGAAAGCGAGGACGACTCTGACTCCGTTGACTCTGACTCTGAATCTGACTCTGACTCTGAATCTGACTCTGACTCTGACTGTGATGACTCCGATGACAAGCCCGATTTCAAGTGAGTTTGGGACCCTTGTTCTTCTAGGAGCGAACCTATCTAACGCAGTCAGCTTCTCCCACGGTCAATCCTCAACCCCGGCCAAACGTACTCCGATCAAGACTGCCGGTCAATCTTCACCGCAGCCACCATCTTCCCAGTACAACGCGTCTCGTCCCACTTTGAAAGGACTGATTCTGTCCCAAAAAGCAGAGCAGACAGAGCGACAATCCCGATCACAACCTCCCTCGGCGTCCACTAATCCTCCAGAACGCCGAGATATTTTCAGTCCACCTTCCTCCAGCGCCTCTGGCTCCGACAACTCGAGCAGTGATAGCGACGACTCCGACGACGACTCCGACGACGACTCCAGCAACCAGGGCGACATCCTGTTCGATGGGAACTCTGACAAAATGCGCAAGCCCTACGCTACTAGATAAAACTTACTCTTTTGTCCGGGTCTCTGTCGCACTCGGCTTCTCATCTCGTTTCCAGCGTTGCATTTCTGTTGATATCCCTCTTTCTGCCGTGTCCTTGATATGTAACATCTCAAATCATCCGTGTATCATCCGTGTATCATCCGATTTCAATTCGAAATGTCCAGATCAATCTAGCACAAAGCCACTCGCATGTGGATAGCAATGTCTACAATGAACATTCAAGTCTTAAATGGGTTTGTCTACCTGTTCGAAGGCTCGGTGTATTTGATCATCAGCTACAACGCCGCTCTTTTGAAAGACTTGGACGAAATTTGTGGCTCACGGAACATTCGCTCCGCTCTCATCACGTTCGGCGGTGAATTCCTCCAGCAACTCTTTTGGTGGAGCATGGATCTCCATGTTCCACCCCCAAGCGTCCTTGATTGTTCCCGACTGGATACCGCGCAGTGTCTGTAGCAGTTTCACGCAGACCTCGCCTCCCTGGCCCTGGTCACCGCAGCGATACTGGAACTTGTCGCTCTTGGAACGCATAGTAATGCTCCGCACGGGCACCAGCGCTGCCGCGGTGCCTGCGGCAATGACCTCGTCGAATTGACCCAGTTCTTCATATGCAACGCGCCTCTTTTCCACAGAGAACCCGAGGCTGCGCGCAATCTCACCCACCGACGCTGCAGTGACCGAGTCGATGGCATTGCGACTGTCCGGGTGCACAACGGTGACCTTGTCACTGTTCCGCTTTACGCCGATGAAGGCGGACGTGGAGAACTCGTCCACCTCGCTTCGGGTGGCACTGTCCAGGTGCAATGTGATGCCGAATCCTTCGCGTCGTGCTTTGTCACTGTGCCGGAGTACCGGGGCATAATTTCCTCCAACCTTGGCGTGGCCGGTTCCATGGGGCGCGGATCGGTCGAAATCCTCGAGGATCAGAGCGTCGACCGCATTGGCTCCATGGTACACTCCGGTCGGCATGACGAACACCGCCAGGGTGTAGCCGTCCGGGGGGCTGAGTCCCAGCTGGGCGGACGATCCAAAGAGGAGCGGGCGCACGTACATTGCAGCCCCAGACTCGTGAGGAGGGACGTATTCGGCGTTGGCACCCACTGCCAGGCGAACGCACTGGAGGAAGAGGTCCTCAGGAACCGGCGGGATAGACACTACCTCGGCGGAATTCTGCATCCGCTTGGCATTACGGTCGGGCCGGAAGACGGTGATTTTGCTATTGTTCGCATGCCGGAAGGCCTTGAGGCCTTCGTACACCTGCTGGCCGTAATTCAGGCCCGGAGCCATTCCGTGAATGGACATGAACGGGCTGGCCACGAAACGCGGGGCAGACCACTGGCCGGAGCCGGTGAGGGAAAAATGACACTCGACATGGCCATTGACTAGCAATTGTTAGTGAGGGAGTGTTTACAACGACGGATACGCACCGTCGCGGACTTTGAAGCCGATATCGTTCCAGTCGAGAGCTGCGGGGGGCGGTGGAAAGGACATTGTGGAGCTGGGTGGAGTTTGGCGGGGAGAGCGGGGAGTTGCTGATCTTTATAGGGAGGCGGAAACACAATACGAACGGAGACGGGGGATTACAGTAAGATCGGGATTGTCATGCACAAACATGCAGGCCAAAAGTATACCGAGTGAGGAAGAACAGGGCCTCGAGGTACCTTGGAGTAAGAGTCGATGATGTGACTCACTAACCTTCAAACCTTGGAACCTTCGGAACCTTGGCTTCGTGACAGTTGAAAGGCACCACAAATGAAATACCAAAGCAATTTGAAATATTATTCCATCTATGTACCAGAAGCAGGACAATTCGCTTTTTCGCTTCTTAACCGAGCAATGCTAGTAGTCTGTCGTGACCTCCACTTACGCCGACTTCTTCCCCTTCACGACCTTGGCCTTGGAGGTCCTCACCCGGAACAAATAGTACAAAAGAATGGCCCCGAAGATGTTAAAGATGAAATAGCACCAGAAGATACCGTAGTTTCGCCAACGGTCGCCAAAGTAGATCTCTCGGCCGGCCAGGTATTGGTCCGCCGAAGTCATGCTGCACCATTCGCAGCTCGAAGTGGAATTCCGACTGGCGTCGGTCAGAGTACCGGTGCTCATCTGTTCATACTTGGCCATATACTCTTGGCAGGTTTGCCCCGCCGGCGGATCGAAGATGCTGAGCTCGGCCGGGCTGCAGGACACTTTTCGGCCGTGAAGGGCCGTGCTCGCGATGCCACTGATGTAGTAGGTGAAGGGAGAAACACGATACATGAAGATCCAGAAGCGAGGCAAGGCGGACGGTGGTTGCATAACACCGTTGAAGATGAAGGAGAGACCAAACATCAACGTGGCGAGCATTGCACCCAGAGTGGGTTCTGGAATGGCGCAGACAACAAATTGCGCCATGGAGGCCGCGTAGATGAAGAATTGGACAATGAACAACATGATCAGACCGCGCTGTTCGGCGTCCTGCCCGGTACCAAAGACGGACCAGTAGAAGGAAGCCCATGAGCAGACACCCAAAGCGATCTGCCAGGGAACTTCCAGCAGGATCTGAGATAGAATGAAGACCTTCCATGAGTAGATGCGAGAGGGCCGCTCCCGCACCTCATAGAGAGAGCGCTGGGTGACGAAACGAGGCATGATCTGGTTCACGAGGGTGTTGAAAATGGTACAAAGCAGGAAAATACTGAAGAGCACGTTTTGGAAACCCTGCACGGAGTTGTCGGCCTTCCAGAATGAGAAACCGATGAAAAGACCCGATGCAATACCGAGAATGAACTTGGCGTAGATGTAGTCCGGCTGTCGGTAATAGCCCTGGAAACATCTCTTAAGCACAATCCAGAGTTGGATGTACAAGGGCATGGCAAACTCGGCATTGTTGTCATCCTCGAACGGTTCGTGGGTTGAGCCGTTTCGAATGGAGTGAAGTCGATCCACCTCGGCCATCACCTCGCCATACTCTGGGCTCTTGTTCCAGACCTGGGCCCAGTCCACGCCCAGGCATCCGTCCCCGGCGACCATATCGAGGATGTATTCCGCAGGATTTTCCAATTCCTCACACTCTCGGGCCCCGGCGCGCTCGAAATACTCCAGAACGGTAGAAGATTGCTCGCCGATGTCACCAAAGTACACGGTCTTTCCTCCCTTTGCCAAGAAGAGGAGGCGATCAAAGGACTGGAACAGGGATGCACTTGGCTGATGGATAGTGGCCAGTACGGCCTGCCCGTGGTCTGCCAGGCGTCGGAGGAATTGACAAATGGTCCATGAACTCTGGGAGTCGAGACCACTGGTGGGCTCATCCAGGAAGATCAAGAGGGTGGGCTTTGCAGCCAATTCAACACCGATGCTAAGCAGCTTTCGCTGTTCAACATTCAAACCCTCACCAAGAGAGCCCACAACGGCTTCGGCAAAATCGTCCATGCCCAGGACCTTGATGACTGATTCCACGTACTCGTACTTCTCCTGCTTCGGCACACTATATGGTTGACGCAGCATGGCACTAAAACGAAGCGCCTCTCGCACGGTAGTAGTATCCAGATGAAGATCCTGCTGCTGCACGTAGCCAGTGCGACGGGGGAAGTTTGGCAACAGGGGCTGTCCATTGACCAAAATATCTCCAGTGACGACACCAATAGACACTCTCTGAGCGAGCACATCCAACAAAGTCGTTTTGCCGGCGCCAGAAACACCCATCAATGCAGTCAGAGTGCCGGGCTTCACCCAGCCAGAGACGTCGTCGAGCAAACGGCGAGTGCCTTCTTTGACGGGAATGTCGTAGTTGACGGCTTTCCATGAGAATACATCTTTCTGCTGAGGTAGACGGATCGTGTCGGTTGTCTTTTGCACTTGGAGGATGTTGGGATCCGAGATGCCACCTTCGGCATCATGGCCAGGCTGCAGATACTTGGGTGCGTGACCGGGACGGAAGACAAGAGCTTCTGCCTTCGATTTATCGGTGCCAAGGTATTCGGTAGCGGTTAGATAGACTGCGTTGAAAAAGATCATGAAGGCAATCAGGATTCCAAGGTTTCTCCACAGGTGGGCGTACGTGTATTCGTAGTTTTGCTCGATGAACGCATCACCGGATACCTTGAGCTGGCCAGCCACTGCTCCTACAGAGGAGCAAATGAAAGATGTGCCGGTTCCGTAGCTTGGAATGAATGCCGAACAGTCATACTCGCGGCCATGGAACTCATTGGCAATCAGTGCCTCGAACGTATAATAGATGGGGTTGATCCACCGAATCCAAGACAGCCAAGGATGCATGTAGGGCTGAGGAAGCGTAAATCCGGTGTAGACGACAATGCAGAGCACCATAATACCAGCAAAGGCCATTGCCTGGCCGATAGACTTGGTCAGGGCTCCCAGGCTGCGGAACAAACCGGACATGGTCAACACGGCAAGGACCAGGAACAGGTAGAAGATGAAGAACTGAGAGGGTTCCCTGCGCAGATTGGCCATGAAATAGAGGACGATGCTGAAGACGGAGATACGCAAGAGCTTGATGGGCAAATCCACAACCAGACTAGCTAAAGCCTCGGTAAACGGATGAACGAAGGCATAACCACGTTGCTTTTCTACCACGGGTCGCTGGCTGTACAGTTGCATGATTTCATTGATTGTCAACAATGCATTCATGAGGACTGCAAAGTAGCAGACAGCACCCTTTTGGAAGAAGTAGCTGGAGGTGTTGGGGGTGTTGTAGAAGACGGACCCAATAATCAGCGAGAGGATCAGCTGGACGATGAACGGAGATAGAGCGGTCGGCAAGTCGTTGAGCATCCGTTGGTAGGCCCTTCGGGTGCATAGTCGAACCTGCATGGGAACGGATAGAAGATACGGGCTGCGAGGCCGAGTGTGACGAGCCTGCTGTTCCTCGTGGCTGGCCTGAAGCCTCTCGGCGTCATAGCCACTCGGGGGATGCTCTCTTTCAAAGGTCGTGATTTCATTGCGCAGGGCCTGGTACTCCGGGCTTTTCTTCCAATACTCGGCAAACTCCTTCGCGGTGCGAGGCACTTTTTCTTCCATGCCGGGAAGAGCCTTGCGTTCCGTTGGATTCGTGATTGCGCTCAAATAGTCACCACTGACCTGGCGCTCGGGTCTTACCCATCCCATCTCCTGGAAGTAGGAGACTGCTCGATCACGAGGGCCGTAGTAAATCTCGTGTCCCTCATAGAGAAGGACGACTTTGTCGAAGAGATCGTACATGGACTGCGATGCTTGATAGGCGGCGATTGCATGGCAGGAGTCACCCATGTCGGCTGCAAGGCGAAGAGCCCGGACGAACTTCAACGCCGAAGCGGCATCCAACCCGCGGGTGCTGTTGTCCCAAGCTCCGATGCGGCAGCGAGACAGGAACATTTCAGCGATAGAAACTCGTTTTCGCTCACCTCCACTCACGCCACGCACGAATTCACTGCCGACTTTGGTGTTCAAGGTGTGAGAGAGGCCGAAAACCGACATGACCACCTGGGTGATGGTATCGACGTATTCATTGCGTGTCATGTCCTCGATGCGTTGGTGAGGAGCACGGGCGTGGGCAGCAAAGGAGAGTGTCTGACCGACAGTCAAGTGGGGAAAGTGTAGATCAACCTCTTTGTTGTATGCAACTTCTCCCCGGTACTGCTTGATCATTTGTTCGAAGTCAACGCCTTCGTAGTGGATTTTGCTGTTGGGGTCCATCGTGAGACCTCCGAGATGTCCACAGATGGTTTTGAGGAAAGTGGTACATCCACTGCCCGGACGACCCAGAACGAGCAGAAGCTCTCCACCCCGGAGGAGGCCATCGAAACTGTGAAGGATTTTTCGGGGAGATGAACGGTTTCCGGAAAGAGCTTTGGTGGCGAGGCGAAAGGGGACCGTGAGGCTAGATATCAAAGTTTCCTGGAATTGCAATGCAGAGCCAGAGCCACTGACCGAAAGATCGGAAAAGACCACGCTCTGGTGAGGAATATCGATTCCCGATTCATGCACTTGGCTGAGAACGCTCTGGGCCCATCGGTGATGATCGAATTCGGGGCTGTCGGGATCTAATCGAGGATCCTTGCTTTCTTTCCGGCTAGCAGTCGCCGACAGCTTTTGACCGAGCTTACTCGATGCAATGCGATTCAAGGTTTCCACCTCACGTTCATCGAGTGCAGTCATGGTCCGCTCCGTAATGGGAGCGAACTCCATCTCGGATTCCTTGTCCATGGCCAAGGGTCGGTCCCGCCAGGGGAGTTATTTCGGGAGGGGAAAGATGCTAAAACATGATCTGGGAGCAGATCAATAGAAATAGAAACCATGGCAGAAATTGAAAGGGGCCGGGGGCCCGGGGGGCGCAAATGCCGACGATGCTTAAATTTATGATCCAGTGTTCGGAGATATCCATCCCGAGCCACGTACACCGGCGTTTACAGTGAGAGATCGGGGACGGGGGTTCCGACCGCCGACTTTTCTGCTCCGCTTCTCGTCGGGAGTCGGCCACGAAAACCAAGGATCCTCGCATGACAAGTAGACGATCGGCAAATTGGCGATTGGACGGGCAGGACGGCCACGCACTTCGCTCCGGGCCTATTTCAGGCACAGTTTCGGGTCCGCGGAGACCAACCGTGGAAGGTCCACCACTTTTACTCCTCGTCCTTCGAGGTCTGCTGCCGTCAGCGAAGATATATTCCGGCAAATGCAGCATCGGAGTCTCCATCACCCGCGAATCCCATTGACGAGACACCAGTTGATCCGGACATAGCACACTCCTATACCGTGCAATTATGCTTCATGCCAAGTCGATATCGCAACGCCACCGACAGGGGGATCACGTGGCCCACACGGACATTCAACCGGTTTCCCGACTCGGTTAGCTTCACCGGATGAACCAAACCACTTTGAGCATCTACTGGGGAATATTCAGTATGCAAGTAAGTATACATGACGAACATTCGTAGAGATCGTATAAAGACGTGAATGTGCAAACGCGTCCTGCTATACGATTGCCGAGGACGCGGAGATGGACTGTTGAGAACTGTCCCAAATCCCCGGCGGGCTATACTGGCCATGCAGGTGGCGACGAGAGGATGGAAGAGAAGTAGTTTCGCGGGCATTCGGCGGTACCTCATCGTGATTGTAGCCGCCGCGGGCGATGGCAACCATTTTCCCCAGGATGGCGTATTCCAGTTTGAGCTTGATGCTGTAGGCGACCGGCTTGAACATGACCTGGATGGAGTAGTAGCCAACGAACTCGATGACGACCACGGCAACGTCAAGGACGAGAATAATGATGTTGATGACGAGGAGTTGGTTCAAGATACCCTGGGGTCGACCATGGGGGCGCAGGTGTAGCAGTGTGGTCGTTTCCCATACGTATATACCGGAGATGATCAGCTCCTGTATACAGAAACCGACGAGCTGGATGCGTTCCATGATATTATAGCCATTGAGCCAGTTGCTATCTGGCTCGGCCACCGCGCCGTACAGCAGCACGGTCGTGGGGACGTGGAAAAGAAGGGCATCGATGATAATCATCCATAAGACCCCCCACAGCACCTTGGTGTTTTGCAGAACGAGGTGCAAACGTGACCATAGCACCACCGACTGGCCCGTCACCATGGTACACCAGCCCAGGATAATGAGGGTGACGCAGAAGTAGGGAGTGACCCCGGTGGGAAAGAAAAGAAGGACATAGCCGAGGCAAAGAGGAATGATGCCAACGGAGGAGATGAGGAGACTCCAGAAGTAGCAACCGCGGCGACGTTTGAAGGAGACGAAGTAGAGAACGACGAGTTCAATTGAATTGTACCAGGCGATGGCGGCAAAAGCAGCGAGGACCTGGCTGGGAACTACGTCTCCGGTGCTATACTGGTGCATCAGCGCCGCTGCGGCATTGGAGGCGCTGGGCGACATGGGTGGAAGGGAAACATCGGGAAAGGGTTCAGGAGGTCAGGGATTCAGGAGTTGACGAAGGATTTTCATCAGACTCTGTGCTCGAGCAGCAGAGTTCGGTAGAGAAGAACCCTTTTCTTCAACGGAACCGATCAACTGCGGAGAACCGTTGGCCTGTGCCTCCTCGGTTGGAGATGAGGCGTGGGATTTTTCAGGAGCTGCCATCCATGGATACAAGCAACCATGATCTCCTGGACCCCCAGTCAGGATACTGCTAGGTCGTCGATCCCTTCCAGTGGATCCGAAGATCTGCTCGGCCCCGTCTGGCCCGTTTCTGTCCCTGGGACACAACGCGGCGTTTTGGTGGTTCCACTGCTGATCCGTGATGATTCACAGACTACTGTTATACCCTCGAAGTATCCTGATTCAACAAGGTTCCGACCGTCATTGTGCCTACAGTATTCTGTTAAACTCTGCACCCTGCATCCTGCATCCTCCATCCTGCATCCCTGGATTCTTGATGCATCCCCGATTAGCTGACTTCACCCCCTGTCCCGATCTGCAGATCTGGGGAAACGGGGTCCTGATCGTCACTACCGCCTACCAGGTAATCATAGGTCTTAGGCGGCCCCGGTTGCGACTCGCAATATCCCCAATGTCCATGGGCAAATGAAAGGAAATGTCAAATGAAGTAACTCCGTCTTGTGTGGATGCTTTCCGTTCTGAAGGCGCCCGAGTGATATTACACCTTATTAATGCGCATGAAAATACAGTCAGCCTTATCCGAAGTCCCCGCAAGTAAATGCGTATATATGTTGGAAATGTCCCAAAAGGGAAACCCGATCGGCGTTTCCGACTCGACTCGATTCAGCTCAACGAGATCCGGTACCTGCTTCCCTTTCTTGCGCCCGTGAAACCTGTTCCTCTACTGGGCCAACCATGTCCCATATCTCCTAGCTATGGAAACCCTTGAAACCCTTTCAGGCGTTGGCTCCTCCCCGATCGGGGTGACGTCAGGAATCTCGATCGCTCGATCGATGACATCGCGTCGCAGCGCGAGCTGAAAATGGGAGTCGCGTCCTGACACCGGGTTATGCAATGCGTCCTCTGAACCTCACCTACCATTACCGCCGACCCCTGATTTATTATCTGTGGACATTGACCTCCGGAGCTCCAATCCTTCCCCGTGCGCTCTCCCAAATGGCGCCCAAACGCAAGACCTCCGACGCGGACGGTAAGCTGCAGAATAGCCATACCGGCAAGCGAAGCCGGACTGGTTTGCGCGAACCGCATCCCAATGCCAAGCAGGCCGAAGATTTCGGCATCGTACTGCGCGAGTTTTACCCCCCAGAGATGAGCAACGAGCGATGCCAGGCCTACAACGACGGAACCATCGAACGACCCATCGAAGTGCTGGAGGCGGCATGCCGCGATACGTCCGACAAGCGCCGCTCGATCGGCCCCGGGAAAGCCGTGGTCCATTGGTTCAAAAGCGACCTGCGTCTTCATGACAACCGTGCTCTCCATGTGGCCTCGCAGCTGGCACGCGATCACAAGATCCCGCTGATCGCTCTCTACATCCTTTCTCCGGAGGACTTTACGGCACACCTGGCTAGTCCGGCGCGAGTTGACTTCACACTGCGCACGTTGAAACGGCTACAGACAGATCTGGCGGAGCTCGATATACCTTTGTATATGGAGAGCCAAGAGAAGCGGAAAGCCATCCCGGGTCGGATCGTGGAATTGTGTCAGCAATGGAATGCCAAACACCTTTGTGCAAATATCGAGTACGAGGTGGATGAACTCCGGCGCGAAGCGAAACTCGTTCGCCTGTGTGCTGCAAATGACATCGATCTGGCTCTTTCCCACGATACCTGCGTCGTGACCCCGGGAGCCCTAAGCAGTCAACAGGGCAAGCAGTACGCTGTTTATACACCCTGGTTCCGCTCCTGGCTTGCGTTTCTCAAAGAGAACCCGGATTACCTCGAGATATCGGAGGAGCCCGGCTCGAACCCCGGGGATGCGCGGAGGACGCTCTCCGAGCTTTTTGATTGCAAGATCCCGGCTGCGCCTGGCAACAAGCAATTGTCGGACGAGGAAAAGAAACGATTCGAACAGATGTACCCGGCGGGCGAACACGAAGCCTTTCAGCGCCTGGAAAAATTCCTAGAGAAGAAAGGTCGCGAGTACGACAAAATGCGCAGCGTGGTCGCGGGGGAACACACCTCGGCCCTCAGCCCGTACTTTGCGTCGGGTGCCCTGAGTGCCCGTACCGCCGTGGTGACGGCGAAGAGGGCGAATAGAAATTTCCTGGACCGGGACAACAATGGCTACGTCACCTGGATCAGTGAGGTAGCCTGGCGTGACTTCTACAAGCATGTGCTGGTGAATTGGCCGTTTATCTGGTGAGTGATCTACCGTTGCTGAAAAAAAGACCCGAGGTTAACCAAGAACGCAGTATGAACAAGTGCTTCAAACCGGAGCATACCAATATCGAATGGGAGTATGACTTGAATCTATTCCGGGCCTGGTGCGATGGCAAGACCGGCTTTCCCATCGTCGATGCTGCGATGCGCCAGCTCAAGCATTCGGCCTGGATGCACAACCGCACGCGCATGGTGGTCTCGTCCTTTTTGACCAAAGACCTGCTGCTTGACTGGCGCCGTGGCGAGCGATACTTCATGGAGAACCTCATCGACGGTGACTTTGCGTCCAATCACGGCGGCTGGGGATTTGGATCCAGCACCGGCGTAGACCCGCAGCCCTATTTCCGAGTGTTCAATCCCCTCCGACAGAGCGAGCGATTCGATCCGGATGGAGAGTACATCCGCCATTGGGTGCCAGAGCTACGCGACGTCAAGGATAAAGCCATCCATGAACCCTACAACCGGGGAGCCGGACAGATCGCGAAGAAGAACGGATATCCCGAGCCGATCGTGGAGCATTCGGAAATGCGGAATCGGGCGTTGGAGCGTTTTAAGCGCGCTTTGCAGCGGTGAGACGTGTCTCGGAGCAGTGGACTTGGATAGGGTGGAAGTAGCAAAGCAGCCGTACCTTAATTTGTACTTTTTTTTTTTATATTATACATTTTTCAATAGTCAGCAAGAGGAACAATACACGATACGAGGGCCGAAGCGCGAGTGGCTACTAGGAAGACACGGAGAGTCCACCTTCCCCGCACGTCTCCCGGCTTTTTCTGCTTTCCCCATCATCTTGCCCATACTCCCCCCCCCCCCCCCATGACGCCTTAAAACACCTCATGGAATCCCAGTCCGGGGACTTTCCCTCAGCCTCCCCCGGCCCGGTTGACCTCCCCAATGGCAAGCGACGCTGGAGGCGCAACCGAGTCGCCTGCGATTCCTGCCATACTCGCCGCGTCCGCTGCGATCGCGCCTTTCCCTGTTCGCGCTGTCTACGGAGCGACATCCACTGCGAATTCACTCGCGAGCGTCGGAAACGAGGGCGCATTGCGCGCTCCAAGATGGAGACCGAGGCGACCGAGGCGACTGATTCGACTTCGAACTATGCGGCCGGAAAAGAATCGAACGGAGACCACAAAGCCACTCCCCAGTCGGCCGTGTCGCCGTTGCAGCAGAGCTCGCCCGGGTCAGCCTTTCGCCATCGCTCACCCACAACCAACGATGTCAGCCTATCTGCGCCCAGTGTAGATGGCCCGCATTCGATCGGGAATGGCTCTCGCCCGCAGCGAGCCGGTCCGGAAGGGAATGCGACGGAAGAGTGGTTATCAGCCGCGCATCTTTCTCCAGACTCCTACGATATGCTGGGTGGTTTGAATGGGACCAACGAGCCGACGCCACCATTGGCAGATATTTGGAACTCTGCTGATCTCGCAGGCCATACGCATCGACCCCCTCAAATCCCCTCGTCGATCTCCACGCAGAAGCTACCGAGCCAGGGACAAGCGTCGGCGGAACGGCCGGGCCTGAAGTACCCTGTACTGGAGCCGGTGATGCCGTTCCTGGAGTCGAATCTTCCGCGCCGCTTGGTATGCGACCTACTCGAGCTCTACTTCACCAGTGCATTCTCAACCCATATGCACCCCGTCTGTCACCACATTCATTGCTACGTCTTGCGAAAAGTTTCTTTTCTAAGCACGGACTCCCCGCGACCCAGCAGCCCGGCTTTGCTGGCCAGCATGCTCTGGGTAGCTGCGGTGGATGATCGAGCGTTTTCCCTCTCCATCTCACCGCTGCAGCGCCGGAAGATTTGTCAATTTTTGTGCGCGCTGACGATCCGCCTCCTTCGACCACTTATCCACGTTTCCTTCAAAGATCAGGAGCAGGCTGAGAACGCCGGCGGGCCCCAGGACTTTGCCGCAGCCGCGGCACAACACCCCTTCGAAGGCGTGGGTGACGACAAAGGGCTGGTGGGCCCCGCTGGATCTCTCGATGATGTGATTACGTATATTCACGTTGCGTCCATCATCTCGTCCAGTGAGCAAAAGGCTGCCAGTATGCGATGGTCAGTTGAAGATTCCTTCCTTCTTCATTCTCCACTGACACAACTCTAGGTGGCACGCGGCATTCACGCTGGGCCGAGAGCTCAAACTGAACCAGGAAATTGAAGTTACAACCAACCTAGATGGTCAATCGGAGGGATCCAGCCCATCATTTGGCTACCTGGCAGGGTGGACTAGCTCCCCCGGTGGCCCCTCTTTTGACTATTCGAACCCATCTCGACCGAGTTTAAACTGCGTCTGTGAAGAAAAGCACGGCTCCCACAACAATTCTGCCGTGACCGAGGAGCACCGGGAGGAGCGCCGCCGGACCTGGTGGCTGTTGTATATTATGGATCGACACCTCGCTCTATGCTACAATCGGCCCCTCGCCCTACTCGACGCCGAGAGCGAAGACCTGCTTCTTCCACTAGATGAGAGCTCCTGGCAGTCTGGGAACATCCACAGCAATAGCCCTCGCGCGGATGGACCACAGTGTGTGCGATCCGGCGACCGGAACAAGCGGCGTATGTTCCCCAACTTCGTCTGTCACGATCACTCCATTCTAGGGTTCTTCCTGCCCCTTATGACCATCACCGGTGAATTGATCGATCTCAACCAAGCGCGAAACCACCCAACGCTGGGCCTCCGATTACAAGGAAAGGAGGTTTGGGAAGTGCATGTGGCCGAGGTGCTGCGACAGCTGGAGGTTTACAAAGCAAGTCTTGCAACCTTTGTTGCCGCTACCGCCGCGGACCCGGAGGCTTCGCTCTCGACCGCGTACCCCAACAAGCCAAATCATTCGGTCGATGCCCAAACCTCTCAGGCCTACTCGTGGCATACCCAAACCGTCATCGCCTATTCCTCGTACCTGGTCCATGTGCTCCACATTCTCCTGGTCGGGAAATGGGACCCGGTCTCGCTGATCGAGGACAAGGACTTTTGGACGTCATCTCCGGCATTCGCGTCCACCATTTCGCACGCATTGGAAGCGGCCGACTCGGTGCAGCAAATCCTCCGATTCGACCCCGATATCAGCTTCATGCCGTACTTCTTTGGCATCCAGCTGCTTCAAGGGAGCTTCCTTTTGCTGCTCATTGTTGAACGCCTCCAAAAGGAAGCGGGCGAGGGTATCCTCAATGCCTGCGAGACTATGATCCGAGCGACCGAATCTTGCGTCGTGACCCTGAACACGGAGTACCAGCGAAGTTTCCGACAGGTGATGCGCAGTGCGGTCGCGCAGGCTCGGGGCCGCCCGGTGAATCCCAGTGAGATTCGACATCGTCGCAAAGCCGTCCTTGCGCTCTATCGATGGACGCGCAAGGGGACTGGCTTGGCTCTTTGAAGAGCCGGGAAGCAGTTCTCGATGTTTGGTGATTTATTCCATTGTCTCGTGTATATGATTCTGGGCTTGTATAACGGTCGGTGTGGCGTTGGCAACGGATGCCGGGTCTGTGTAGGGATTTTATAGGCTCACCGAGGAGCAAATAAAGGAAGGGAAATCACACCTTCCCGAGGTCCCACGTTTAAATCGTGATTGGAATTTTGATTATTATTAGTAGAGACCTATAGTAAACCGCCAAGCCCTGGAGAGAGTTGAGGGATACGGTGGAATCTCGGTTTATCCGAGAGGCTTCCACAATAAATAGCGAGCGGTCGGAAAGGGCCGGACTGTACGATATTTCACAACCGTGAAGGCATGAATACTATTTCGCTATCATTGAATTGAACCTATGTAGACGGAGCCACCGATGGCATCGTTGGGCTCGACCTCCCCCGGACCCGCTTCAGCTTTGCCGAGCTTAGTATTCCCGCGTATGAAGTGACCGTGTCGATCGCGGTTTCCGAACATTTCTCAACACCATGAAGCTTCTCGCTGCTGCTGCCAGCTTGATCGTGGCCACCGAGGCTGCCGGCATCGGATCCAATGTTCAATCCGTTCTACAACAAGTCATTGGGCTCGATACTCACCAGCCCAAGCCTAACATTCTGTTCGTGATCACGGACGATCAAGACCTAGAGCTCGACTCGGTCGCATACACTCCGCTCATCCAAAAACACCTGCGCGACAAGGGTACCTTTTTCTGCAATCATTTCGTGACGACCGCGCTCTGTTGCCCCTCGCGAGTCAGCCTGTGGACCGGGCGCCAGGCCCATAACACAAACGTGACCGACGTCCGCCCGCCATACGGTGAGTACTGCGAGCAGTCAAAAGCAACAAGCGAAACGACGCTGATGAACGGCAGGTGGGTATCCCAAATTCGTGGATCGCGGATTCAACGAGAACTTCCTGCCAGTCTGGCTACAGGAGGCTGGCTATGATACGTACTACACCGGCAAACTCTTCAATGCCCACACGATAGACAATTACCATCGTCCTCACGTCAACGGCTTCAACGGCTCCGATTTTCTACTCGACCCGTACACATACACCTACCTCAATGCGACGTATCAGCGCAACCACGACCCTCCCATGAGCTACGAGGGCCAGCACACAATTGATGTTATCACGGAGAAAGCCCTGGGTTTCCTAGATGATGCGCTGCAAGGCGAGCGGCCCTTCTTTGTTACGGTCGCGCCCGTGGCGCCGCACTCGAACGTCGACCCCAACGCCATGGAAACCGGTAGGATCACCATGGGCGCGCCGGTTCCTCTGGAGCGGCATCAGCATCTATTTGAAGATGTCAAAGTCCCTCGCACCGAGCACTTTAACCCCGATGAGGTACGTTGATTCTATTGATGTGGTGCAGATTCAAGTCTAACGGTGCAATAGCCGAGCGGCGTCAGCTGGATTCGCGATTTGCCCCAGCAGAACCAGAGCGTGATCGATTACAACGACCACTTCTACCGTTCTCGGCTGCGTGCCTTGCAGGGAGTTGATGAGCTGGTGGATACCCTCATTAAGCGTCTGGAAGAAAGCAACAAGCTGGATAACACCTACATTATCTATACCTCTGACAACGGATTCCACATCGGCCAACACCGACTCCCACCGGGCAAGACATGCGGTTTTGAAGAGGACATCCGAGTCCCCCTGTTCATTCGTGGGCCCGGAATCCCGGAAGGCTATGTGCAGGATTCGGTGACGACTCACATCGATTTGGCTCCCACCATATTCGACCTGGCGGGGATCCCGCCGCGCTCGGATTTCGATGGAACTGCGATTCCCGTGACGCCCGACTTTGCTGGTCGACGCCACGAGCATGTCACGGTCGAATACTGGGGAAAGGGTATCATGGAGGGCACCTTTGGCGGTATCGGTAAGTTTCTGTGAAAGTAGCAGTTTCATGCGTGCGCTGATGGTGTCGCAGGCCCCGGGGGTTCCTCGATGGTTCCCAACAACACGTACAAGTCAGTTCGTCTGCTAGGAGAAGGATACAACCTCTACTATTCTGTCTGGTGCAACAACGAGCACGAGCTTTATGACCTTTCGGTGACAGCAGACCCTCACGCATCGTTTCACCGTGCTGACGATAAACAGACCGACCCGTATCAGTTGCACAATCTTTATCCGAGTAGCGCTCAGGCAGATGATGACGAGCCTAGAATCCTCGGTCGCAGTCTGTCCCAGGCCATCACCAGGCTGGATGCGCTTCTTCTCGTGTTGAAGTCTTGCCAAGGTAACACCTGCATCGAGCCGTGGAATGCTCTCCAGCCGGAGAATTCAGTTAGAAGCCTTCGGGATGCTCTCGACAAGCGCTACGATGCATTTTACGAAAGACAACCTCAAGTGTCTTTCGATTGGTGCGCTGCAGGACATATTATTGAGGCCGAGGGGCCTCAAGTGCCGTTGACCAGTCGCTATGGCCTTTCCTGGGACAACTGGGTGTAATAGACAGATAGTACCTACCGTATACCCCGACGGCCAAGTGCCAAGAGACATTTGTAAATGAAGAATACGATACGTTACGAGGCAAAGAGGATTCCCTATTTCCAACTTTGGAAGGTCGATCGTAACAACCCGATACCAGACGCGATCGCAAACGCTCCTCCGCATGAAGAACCGTTGTATGGAGGTGAACAGAGGCCCGCCACATTTACACGTTTGGAGGCATAGACTAACGAGCTGGTCCTATCATATTAGTTCATCGGCAAAACGTGAAGATCGGGTCCGTGGCCGCCAAAACTGATTGCGCCGTACGTCCCCGTCGTGTCGCGACGGTGACTGGGGCCATTTTGGGAACTTTTGAGGGTTCTGGATCGGTGTTGATCCCATTCGCTTATCGTCACAATGATCTTCGGTACTAATCTTCTGTTAGCCTTGTTGTCATGGCTGCCAATTCCGCTGGAATCTCTGGTTCTCAGGTCTTCCAAACAACATATGCGCCCAAGTACGTGCATGGACTCACGGCAATCTGTTCTCTCGCTGGGGTTTCATGGGCCTCGGCAGCGGTGCTTTTGCGTGCAGTACTACAACCGTCGACGGGAAGCAGACTCGGGTTAATAAAAGATCAACTTCTGCCGCAGATTATAAAGCCGTGGACTCGTTTAAAGATTAAAGATTAGATTATATTCTTGATGGCCGAACTGGATAGAGTCGATACACGAGATACGAAATGGCCCATCTTTCTCTTCACTGGAGATGTTGTTTAAGATATGGAAGATTGAACCGGGTCCTATGGACAAATCCCCCCAGCGATCCACATCGTAGTCTAAAGCATGGAATTTCTAGCCGATGTCCGTCTGATTGTCAGGCACAGATCAACGGCCGTTATGGATGGTGATCTATTCTTCGAAATGATCATCAACTGGCCCTTACGTGCTTCGTTCGGTCGAGAACATGGTTAAAAGGCTGCAGAGAAAAAGAGTGCACTCAAACCAAAAGGGATCACAAGCATAGAAAAGATTCCACGTTCCACATGCAGACCAATTATAGGTGCACCGTGTTCAAAGCGATCGGCATGGGGAAATCATGCGGAGGATAGCATGACTCGTATCTTGCGTAGATGTCCACCCGCACGTTCAGGTGTCCCTAAAGAACTAACTCTCTTCAGTCTCACATCTGCGGGGCTCGGTTAAAGAGAAGCGCAACCGAAGCCGACTCGAAAGCACCGATTGGCGCAACCCACTCGGTCCGAACCGCCCACTGACCACAGACGTTTACAATCCGGGGAAGGCTCGGTTAATATCTTTGATCATGCGATCTGCAGGTGCTCGATCCCGGTGGTGGATTTAATTTGCCGAGCTGCCAGCTCTCGCTTCGGAGCTTCAAGGTCGCATGGATCTTCTCCGCAATTCTTTTAGTCAGGATTTCCCCTTTTTGCAGGGGATTCTTTTTCATTCTGCAATGGGTGCAAGACTATGCTCGACTTGGAATTCACGTTCGTCCTCTCTGCTTGTTTTGGCGCCGAAACAGTCGTGCATTTGCTACCTCTGAGCATTTGATAACTTTGCAGAGCAAAGATGACCTCCAATATCTTCCACGATGCTTCCACCTGGCATACGACAACTCCTCACGAGGTTCAGAATGGAGGTCCCGTTCCCGACGTGAGTAACGAGGAGCTCGGTCACCATCCATTCATGACAGGAAGCTTTCCGTTCATCATGAATGGCGATCTTGATCCATGGCTCATGGAACGCTGTGGTTGGAACGGTGGAATCGCCCCGCTTCCAGAACAATATGCAGAGAAATGGGATGCGACATATATCGGGAGCGAGGAGAAAGAACAGGGAATCAGTGATCCAAGGTAAGATGACATCAATTCATTGGGACGTTCGCGCTGACAACCTTGGAATGGCTTGAAGTTGCGCATATGTATACACAGACTCTGCGCACTTGCTACCGCAGTGGGATGACTCAGGAAGAGAACAAGTCATATCACAGCCCGCCACCGAAAGGGCCTTGTTTATGACTCCGTCCGCATATTCTCCATCGTTCCCGACATTCCCCGGGTCCCCCATATCTGATCTCTGCAGCACTCCCGACATGAGCCATGCGGGATCGAGCCTGTGGGAGGCCGATCCAGAGAGAGACAATGTGCGGTCATGTCTACATCCAGACAATGAGATGTATTTGCAAGCCGTGAGTGAGACTCCGAGCATGGCTTCTGGTCATTCCTCCGGAGAAGATGAGGATGACTACCAAACAACTTTGGAGATGCCGGATGGTAGCACTCGCAGAACATCCAACTGGCTGCCGGTGGACCCCCAGGCTGGCTTCACCATAGGCTCTCGTTTCCGAAAGCGAACCGGTCATTCAAGCTTCATGCACTTAGAAGACATGGGGAACATTCAAGAAGCCTTCATTTCACCCAACGCTGCCGGATGGAAATACGATGGTTGAAAAATACATTCGTTTGGGTTAATCGAATACTCAACCGGTGGATGAGTGACACTGCACATGTGTGCTATTCATTAATGGAGGGTTGAAATTGCTCAGCTTCAATCTAAAGAGACAGAGTACGAGCGACACTGATAGCCTGACAGTGAGACAGACGTCTCCCTAGGCATGGGCAGCACATCTAAAAATGCTTTTATCCACATCATCTCCGGTTGGAGAAGTCATTGCCAAAGCCAGGAGCGGCATTCGCAGAATGACTCTGCGCCGTCTCGTTTGCCATTCAACCTCACGAAGGCCGGCTCATGTTACTCATGGGAGAGATCCCAGACCAAGAGAAGCGGTGCTACCAAGTTTCTGCAACTATAGCGTGCCTATTGAAGGACGCATCCTGGGATGGATAGGGCACAAACTGCGATCGAGTTGATGACTTGAGAAACACAGCAAGATTGCATCTGAATCGCAACTCGCTATTGCATAGTAAATACCAAAGCTGGCCCCCCCAGAAAATCAAACCTAAAATGATTTTGTGCATGTCTAGGGTGACCCTTATGGGTCCCTTAGAGATATAGATGGAAGATCCTAATCTTAGAGCTATAGGGCGGGTGAGTGATAGGTGTACTCTTAAGCAGCCTGCTGTACAGGAACCTAAGGTATTGATTTTTCTCTTGTTTATATGTGTTGTGATATGACGCTGGTGCAGATCAGGAACAAAGCCGTACCATCGGAAATAATTCCCGCAGTATCTATATCAAGAACCAAGTTGATTGGAAATCAACCTGATCCTCCCATTGTATATATCCCCTCACTTATTCCCTCTGAATAATAGCAATCAATTCATTCTTCTCCTCTGACTTACAACAATATGTCCTTTTAATAGTAAGAAATCCTCAAATATCCTCACCTCATGAAGCGATAAGAAAGGCAATTTCTTTTGGATTAAGTTGTTTGAATCTTCTATTGGAAGTGATATACGTCTCAGTCAATCTCCAATTGATTTGCAACTATTCACAGGCAGCAGCCCAAAATGTCCCCCACGGCTTACTTAAGTTAGCCCGTTGGCCATGACGTCAAGAGCCGTCGACGTGCCTGGCGTTTCCCGTCCTGCTCTTCTGCCTCGACCCATTGAACCATGCCTGGACATTTCAGTCAGAAAATACTAAACGCTCTCGGTGGAGGCCACTCCAACCGTGATCCTCCCGATCAACACCTCCCCGGTCGCGGTCTGGTCCACGAGGACGAGCGCCCGCTGTCTTCGCCGCCGAACGGAGGCACCTATCCCCGCCTCGCACGACTCTCCGACGGCTCGATCCTGTCCTCCTTCACTCGATTCCCGGACGGTCAGCGTGCCCTCTGCGTCGCACGTAGCACGGATAATGGACAAAGCTTCGAACTCTTGTCCGAGGTGACCCGAGCCGCAGGAGACGTGGATAACATGTTCCTGGTGGAAGCGGCTCCGGGCGTGGTCCTGGCAGCTTTCCGAAACCATGACATGGGTCCAAACGGCCCAACCCATTTTCGCATCACCGTCTGCAGGTCGATGGACAGCGGTCGCACATGGCGATTTGCCTCTCAGGCCGCTGAAAAGAAACCTCCGTTCGGCATCTGGGAACCGTTCATGCGAGTCGGCCGCCATGGGGAGGTCCAACTCACCTATTCGCAAGAGTTTGCGCCCGATAACCAATGCACCATGCTCGTCGTCTCACAGGACCAGGGCAGTACTTGGACCCCTCCAGTCTGTCTTCACGGTGACAACGATCCCCTTCGGGACGGCATGAACGGTATCGCAAAAACTATTGACAACGGGCGCGAGGCCCTGGTCATGGTATTTGAAACTACCAGGTACGGACCTTTCAATATCGAAGCTCTTATTTCTTACGATGATGGTGCGACCTGGCAAAACCGCCACGAAGTTTTCCGCCCGCGCCGTGGACACAATGCGGGGTCCCCGCAGATTTCCTCCTTCGCAGACGGCTCTCTGGTGGTCGCGTTCATGACGGATGAGGACTCTTCTCAAGTGGAATGGGTTAAACACGCTGCGATCAAGGTCGTCTTTGCCGGGCCACCCCACAACGGGCAGATCCAGTGGGGTACTCCTTCGGTGGTCTCTCCGGCTTCGAGTTTCTGGCCCGGCGTCATGGCCCTGGACCACCACACCGCATTGGTCACTTACGATCGCGGAGGCCCTCTGGCCAAAACGATCTCTTGGCAACCCCGGTAGATCCGCGATATCGAAAGCGGAAGGGGTTCATTTGTGCGAGTCCGCACTCTCAAATAGCAAAACCTCAACACAAAATAATACACTTTTAGTTCTCGGACCAGTAGAGATGCTCAGATGTATCATGATACTTTCTTTCGGTGGAGTCAACAGTCGAGGGTCGCTTGGGATGGCGTTCCCAGGGAAACTAAAGTGCAGATTGTTTTTTGGTTTAGAAAAAGTAAAAAAATCAACACCCAAGAGGTAGTTTCCTGGATGATTGAAATGGCTTTGCAAACCCGGACAGACGAGACACAAAACTGAATGATGCCACTCTTTATCGCTGTTGGATATGATGGCATGCGCGCACTATTTGAGGCTGGAGAGTGTCTTGCATGTCAATGTGGTAAAACAGGGTATATCTTCAGAGCCTAGTATCTACTTAGATACGCGGATGATTATCCCGGCGATCATATAATGATTTTATTGTCATGTGTGCCAGGCATTATATTGATGAGGTTCATTCATTCTAGAAGAAGGGAGAAGGGCGAGAACGTCAATCAATTCCACATATTAGATAGAATTCATTACAAAGTGAAGGTAATCCTAGAAAATGGTATCAGGTAAATAAAAGATTTCCGCACGAATTAGAATACTTTTCTTGTCTTTCAAATAGTGACCAGTCTCATGAAACGCCGCATGTCGTTTCATACCCAGATACAGATTCTCAGCGTTGAATAACCTTGAAGGGTATTCCTGACCGGAATAGCAATTCGTTATGTCACAAAGAATAAAGGTGAGGAATTGGCCACAGACCCATCACCTGGACCGACGTTCATGCTGAAGAGCCGGACAGGTAGCGCTGCACAGGATCCGCGTCGCCAGACCCGCATTGTGATACCCTGCGTCCGGCGGCCTTCCTGTCCGCAGCCAGCACTTGCGCGAATGGGGACCTGTCGCGAATAGTAGGGCCATACCAGTAGAAGACGTAGATGGGGATGGTGAATAAAATGGCCATGAATCCGAGAAAGGTAGAGGGCCACTCCAGTTTGTACTTGGTTCCCATGTGTTCGTACACTGGAGTTCTTAGCGATTCCTTCCAAACGAGTGTTGGGACGGTGGAAGACTTACTAGGAATGGAGTACATTGCAGCAACACCGGCGAGGAAGTCGCGTGCGAAGCCATTCCCGCCCGTTGCCGAGGCTGCGTATGGCCCGTACGCAGCGATCATGTAGTCAATCGTGGCCATGTAGATTGAGAACTGAAGCCACGGTGTATTAGTGAAGGTTCACTCGGCATTCCAAATCTTGGGACCGACTTACGTTAGCTATGGCGATCAAGGCGGAAAATATCATCGGAGCAATCCAATGCACCTGCGGCGGACCCAAGCTGGTCCAGGCAAAGCCAAACAGTCCGATTGATAGAAGTGGTGCCACTTTCAAGATTAGTTGCCAAAAACGAATGCGAATTGCCCGTACACTTACCCCATAGCAGCCAGTAAAGACGAGCCTCCGGCTGTAAGGCATCTGGATCCCGTTCGCGAACTCTACAGTGGCGATGGATCCAAGGCATGAATGAAAAGTAGGCAAGGAAATAGCCCACGAGGATCCTATCAACGGGAAGCTGGGTCAGCCCAGGCTTTTATTTCATTGAACGGGTAGGTACTCACGGGATGAAGGCAAGCCCGGTATCGATGGTGCTGAATTTCCACTGCTTGTATACCGGTGTATACGACTGCAGGAAGGTGAAGATCAAGGCGTCACTGAAACCACTCAGGAGAGCCAGACACAGGACGATGGGCTCCCGAACGAACATAATGAACGGGCGTATCCAGACCATGAAGAGATATGGAAAGGTCATGCGTGTGCCCTTGAGCTCATCACCGCTCCAAACCATATCCCCGTTCTTGCGTCTCTTACGAGCCTCTCTAGTGATGAGAACACTGCATCGAGTTTCCGGGACCGGCAGATGAAGTAACTGCACGAAACCCCCGAGAATGAGCTGGATCCAAAAATTCCAGTGCCAGCTGAGGAACGTCGCGACAAAACCTCCAACGATCGGGGCTATGACGGAGCCGGTCACCGAGGACAGCACGATGTAGGCGACAGCCCACTGTTGATCCGCCGGTTCCCACATATCGGCAACCATTCCCAGTGTCACCGAGCCTCCGGCAGAGGACAGTCCGCCCAAGATGCGACAGACCACGATGGTTCCAAAGTTGGGTGCCAGGGCGCAGGGAATCTGCCAAATGTTGACCAGAAACAGACTGAGCTGCATGACGGGCCATCGGCCAAACTCCTCACTGAACGGAGCCCAGAACTCGCAGCCGAATGCATAGGCGATGAGGAAGCTCATCTGGCCCACGCGAGCTGCCTGTTCCGAGATTTTAAAGTGCTTCGCATAGAGAGAGATGCTGCTGGCGTAAAAGCTGGCATTCCAATTCATGGATACTTGGACGGCGAAGATGACCGATATAATGGCCCATTTCTTCCATTCCGGGAAACTGTAGCCAAGTTTATCGTAGCATTCGAATTCCTTGAGTTCCGCCTTGTCGGGATCATTGGTATATCCATTCGCGGCCCCATCGGTGCCTTCTTTCTCTTCGTGGCTGGGCTTTGGAGTTCCCCCCGGCGAATGGATTCGGCCATTGCCTCCGTCCGTCAGCGTGGAGGGATCGTCTTCAGCCATTGAAAGATATCTTTGGAATCAGTAGAACAAACGTATGGGCCAAAGGATGAGCGTCTGAAAAGGCGAAGCCATCATTCTTCCCAGATAGTTATTCTTTTTTCGTCAACCGACTCGTCCCTTTGAACGGGGTTAAGTAGTCTCTCCATTGGCAATCACTGGTCGGTAACAGAAAAGGCACTGGAATCTTCAATTGCACTGCTTATGCTTCCGATTGGCCCGGTGAATTGATACCATCGGGCCAAATAAGCTTTACCGGGGCTTCTCGCGTGTTTGCTGGCGTGGATTAGACATCCGGGGGCGATGACCCGACCTGGCGTCACTAAACAAACGCCCCAACTGCACATTCTCTCCTTGTTCAGAGCCGAGGGGTGGCCGAAGGAAACTTTTGACGGTGGGACTCTAACCCAGCAGGTGGCGAAACCCATGGCTCCCCTCTCCAGGTTGAGCCGGATCTCTAATGGGTGCAATCCTTCTCAAGTGGTCCAGATCTTGCTCTCCGGTCTAGAGGGCCCTATGGTCTCCATGTCTTCCACAGAAAAGGCGAATGGATCCTTGTTCCACCTATGCCGGTGCGGCTGGATCCTCAGTGACCACCGTTCCATCACCGAGTATACGGCAGTCAAACTCCACGGGGGCAACGATCTGAGATTTACAATCGACAAACCCTGTTCTTCTATTTAACTACCGTAGATGATTTGCTTATTAAAGCATGGGGAATGCCATTCCGTCACCTCTGGGGTCACATCCAGCGCTGTATACCTGCTGTCCTTCATCGTAGTGCAAACGAATGATCTGGCCCCGACCAAACATGGAGCGCTTCCAGCCTGAAAGCACCTCGATCTTATGGCCCAGACGGCGCAGGCCCTCCACAGCCTGTTCGCTTATTCCTTCCTCGACGTAAATCGTGCGGTCTGTGCTGTCGGATGTAGGTGCAGCAATGCAGATACGTGGAGAGTCCAGGGCTGCCTGGGGGTGATATCCGAACGCGAGCATGTTGAGCAGAACCTGAACATGACCCTGGGGCTGCATAAAGCCACCCATGACTCCATACACGGAGTGCAGGGATCCATCGGCCACATTGGTAATAAGTGCCGGGATAATGGTGTGGTATGGCCGCTTGCGCGGTGCCAGTGCATTGGGATGACCGGGCTGAAGCGAGAAGTTGGCGCCGCGGTTCTGCAGAGTGAAGCCGCATCCAGCGGGGATGATAGCCGTTCCGAAGCCGGCGTAGTTGCTGTTAATGAAGGAAATGCCGTTGCCTTCACGATCGGTCACGGCAAAGTAGACGGTGTCGCAGTGATTATGTGCCGGGCTGCCGTGGTCCAACAGATCGGCTGCGCGCTCGGGGGCGAACAGCTTGGCTCGCTCGGCCAGGTATTCGCGCGCCAGTAAACCTTGCGATGGCACTTGCTCCACGTCGGGGTCGGTCACCCACCAGGCGGCATCGGCAAAAGCAATCCGCAAGCTTTCAATCACTGCATGGAGATACTCCGCCGAGTTATGCTGCGCTTCACTGAACCGTGGGATCTTTCCACTTCGCTCAAGCTCTTCCATGATTCCCAGCGCCATCAGGGCGACGATGCCCTGGCCGTTTGGTGGGTGCTCCCAGATCTCAACACCCTGGTTGGGACCGTCTGTTCCGGCACCTTGCTTGGGCACGATGTCTTGACCGGTGAATTTCAGAGAAATGGCATCGACCTCTTGAGTGCCGACCTCGGCATGGTAGGCCAGATCTTCCAGTGTCATATATCCACCCAGATCCTTCACCACCTTCACGATCTCCTGGGCGATTCGACCCTGGTAGAAGCCCTTCTTTCCCTCCGCTGCCAGAGTGCGGAAGGTCCTTGCCAGTGTAGGGTTCTTCATGATCTCCCCCGGGCGCGGGCTGCGTACACCGTCCTTGGCGGAGGGGTCATTCTTGAGCATCTCACGGAAGTTGGGAGATGCGTTGCGGATGTCATTTTCAGCTTCTTGCCACTATGCAACAATTAGCGCACGGTGGACCAAATCCCTCGGGAATGACAAATACTGACTCCCCGAGACGAGAGCTCCGACACTGGGAATCCCTCTTCGCCCAGGTCAATGGCCGGTTGTAGAATCTGCTCCATCGACAACTTGCCGCTACCGAATTTCTCCACGGTATCCACCCAACCGGCAGGCGCTCCGGGGGTAGTCGAGGCGAGGGCACTTAGCATGGGAATGCTTCCCTGCTCGGAGGGGGCGATGTTCAGGTCTTTGCGCACCTGCTCCAGGCTCGCGGCGCCTGGGTATCGACCCGATCCATTCATTGCATGAACCTTCTTGGTCTTGGAGTCGTAGAAAAGGCAGAACATGTCGCCTCCGATTCCAGTCGAGCCTGGCTCCGTCATGTTGATTGCGGCAGCTGTTATCGGTGGACATCGTTAGCTCTCCTCTCGACGATTTCGGAGTGTCTTGAGACATACCCACGGCCACGGCTGCGTCTGCTGCGTTTCCACCCTGGCTGAGAATTCGTTGACCCGCTGCAGCGGCCAGCGGCTGAGTGCATGACACGATGCCATTTCGGCTGTGGACGGTGCTGCGCCGGCTGGCGAAGGGGACCAGGTCCGCCTCGGCTCTGCCGTAGACAGCTTTGGCGTTGAGCGGCATGTTGATTTGGATTGTGAGTTTAGGGTCAAGAAGGCGGGTACTGCGCGCTGGCCCTTTATACGCGACGATCTATCGGTGTTGAGTACGAGCCCCGGGGCCTTCCCAGACGGGAAAAGGAGGGGTGGAAGACCCCGCCATCTGCGTTGGAGAAGTTGGGGTTACCTTGACACGGAGAAGACGAGGAGTTCCCCGAAGCGAGATCTACCGAACGTCGGGGTGCATATCAGTGATGTGAATCGAACCGTTCGGGGGATTCGTGTCGTGCCAAGTTGCAAATGCATCGCTCCGTAATTATGCATCGCGGCTGCTGTGCCTTGCCGTGTTTACGTGACTCGAAAGAGTTCAACGGAGACATGGTATGTAATCGTGGCGCGGATTCGACAGGCATCAAATGAACGAGGATATCCCTACGACTGTCGCTTTCGTCGGTTCGTAGCTCACGACTCCTGCATGCCTCTTACTACTACGAGTCATCCCCGATGGACGCTCCGAACGCTGCGAACGCGCTGAGGACATCGGCCTAAGCAGCCGAGTCTCGGAAAGACTTTCCGAGGTCGACAATGCACGTTGCAGTTGAACGGAAAGAATTCACGGGTTCGCAGGGCACTAGATTCAAGCACGGTGCGAATCTATAATCGAATCGAAGTGGTCGACCACGACCACTGCGGTGTAAATAGCGACGAGAGCTCGAAGTCGCGGGTAAAGGTACAAGCGGCCCCGCAGGTCCATTTCTCCGCGTCGCCGGAGCTCGTCCGATGCCTCTCCAGACTGCCTTTAGTGCCTCCTCCCCCCAGCTCTCCGGCCTCGACGCCTCTCCCCCGTACTCTCAACACCGTCGCACTACCCAATTCTTGCCCATCATGGCCTCCATCCGTGCCAATTGCCGCAAAATCATGTGTATCGGCCGTAACTACGCGTAACTCCCCCCGAGTTTTCACGCAGCAACCCACATGCTAACGCAAATACGTGACTTGATAGCGATCACATCACCGAGCTCAACAACACCAAGCCCAAGCAGCCCTTCTTCTTCCTCAAGCCTGCCTCCTCCATCCTCATCCCCGGTGGCGGTCCCGTTCTCCGCCCCAAGGGCGTCAGCATGCACTACGAGGTGGAATTGGGCCTGGTGATAGGCAAGACCGTGCGTGATCTCGATCCTGAGGATGAGAAGGGTGCATTGGATGCTATCCACAGTGAGTCGGTGTTTTGTGTCGGAAACGGGCATCACTAAATAGAATCTTTCCTTCAGGTTACATCCTCGCTATCGACATGACCGCCCGCAACGTGCAGGACGAAGCCAAGAAGAAGGGCCTTCCGTGGTCGATTGCCAAGGGCTTCGACACCTTCCTGCCCATTTCGCAAGAGATTGCCAAATCGCGCATTCCGAACCCTCACGATGCCTTTCTGCGCCTCCATGTCGGACAGAACGAGCGCCAAGCGGACTCGACGAGCCTGATGCTGTACCGGATCCCCCAACAGTTGGCACATATCTCGCGAGTGATGACCTTGGAGAAGGGCGACATCGTGTTGACGGGAACGCCCAAGGGAGTTGGCCAGGTCCATGCCGGAGATGTGATGCGAGCATCCATCGAGGTGGACGGCAAGGAGATCGAGGAAGGACGCATCGAGGTCGAGGTTCAGGACCGAGAGGGCCCGTACGAGTTCAAGGAGACTTAGTCACGGCATCACGGCATGCGAATTATACCGTGAGTATCGTATAGAAACGGAAACCATGTACAGCGTTCCGAGGTCCTCGACGTGATGCCCTCGCTTCTATTCCCACCGATCCGTTCCAATTCTATACGCTCAACGCATATTCTAGACCCTCGGACTACTACCGTAGACTCTACACTTCCAAGAATTATGCTTCGTATACATTCACACCTGGACGTCACTGGCTAAGGCTTTTGCCGCAGCAAATCACACCGCACGATAAGACGATTCCACGCCCCACACCGCTCTCGGCATCCGGGGAAGATGCGCTCGCCCACTTTCCTTCCTTTCAAAACTTCTAAGTTGGGTTCTCTTGCTACTGCTACTGCTGACTGCTGACTGCGACCCCCACTGCTCTCGAGTTCCTCCGACCATGGCACTCACGGATTCGCGCTAGCCAACTCCCGACCTCAATATCCTCGACTGGCATTCCCCGCGATTCGCGATACCAAGCCCGGTTCCCTCGCATGCTCCCAATCGAAGAAACATATCTCCCAGAAGATGCATCCTCCGGCAGCCACTGCGCCTCGCACTTTCGCTCCCGATGCGTCACTCATCCTGGTGGGCATCCGCGGTTGTGGCAAGCGCTCGCTCGGATTCGTCGCGGCCGCGGCCCTTAAACGGCGCTTCATCACCGAAGACCATTACTTCAAGGAAATCACGGGTATTGCAAGATCGGAATATCTCAAGCTCCACGGAAGCCAAGAATTCCAACGTCGTGATATAGAGGTCCTCAAACTCATGCTCGACAATCACCAGTCTGGATGTGTGATTGAATGTGGACTGGGAAGCCTTACACGACCTGTACAAGATCACCTGCGACACTTTACCACCACGAACCCGGTGGTACATATCGTCCGTGACATCGACCGCATTCAGCAACTCCTGGGGCTTGAAGACCAGGCTGTACGACTTCTGAGGGAAGGGGATCCCCTGCACCGAACGTGCTCCAACTTTGAATTCTACAATGTTGAGGATCGCACTCGCATCGTGTCGGATGACGGGAGTCCCGATCCCCGATCCGCCGCCTATTCGTTTAAGCTGCAAGAAATCAAAGAGGACCTCACGCGATTTGTGCGCTTCATCACCGGGGTGGACGTCAACCATTCAAGCTACGACTCGCCATTCGTCCTGCTGGAAACTCCCCCCGAGCTTCGTTCCTTCACCCATGCTATCCTTGTGCGCTCCTCCGATTTAATTGACGATAATGTGAGTCTGCCAGAGCTGGAATCGGGAGGAGATGCCATTGAACTCTGCGTCGACCGCTGGGGCCCCGATATGGCCACCGTGATCAGCAAACAAGTGTCGCAGCTGCGCCGGAATGCGCAAACACCTGTGATTCTTTCCGTCGACACATCAAAATCCGGAATCGGTGAGAAGGACCAATCTGCGTCATATTTCGATATCCTGGAACATGGTCTTCGTCTCGCAGTGGAATATCTGGTCGCGGATCTTGGCCAGAATCAGTCCCAGCTGGCTCGGATTGTCCGCGCCCGTGGCAAGACCAAGATCATTGGCCAACACATTTTTGAACCATCTTCACGCGTGAAATGGGAGGACGAAGGTGCTGTGGCCCTCTACCATGAAGCAGAAAAGCTTGGCTGCCAACTTGTTCGCCTCCTTCGTGTAGCAACTGCTCGTGAGGAAAACGCGACAGTCGTCGAGTTTGGCAACAAAATCCGGTCGTTGCCAGGGGAGCATCCTCCACTGATTGCATATAATATCGGTCGCCTTGGGCGGACATCACAAGTATTTAATTCGATTTTGACTGGGGTAACACACCCCGCCATCACTCGAGAAACGGAGAATGAACGGGATGTCCAGATTACATCTCACGACGCTGTCCGGGCCCTCTTCCAGAGCTACGTGCTTGATCCGTTGAAGTTTTGTATTCTCGGAGCCAGCGTCGCCTACAGTTTGTCCCCCGCCATGCACAATGCGGCCTTCCAGCATTGCGGTATGAGTCACACTTATAGCATTCCCGACTCTCCCTCGCTGGCGGTGTTGGATGAATTGCGCCGGAACCCACATTTTGGAGGGTCCAGTGTCGTCCAGCCGTGGCGGGTGGAACTCTACCAAAGGCTTGCAGCTAAAAGTCGACACGCTGAAGCCATCGGCGCAATCAACACCATCATGCCACTGCGAGGGCATCTGGATGGAACGATGTTTACTCTGCAGGAGCAAGCCAGTCGACGCAACCAGGCAGGCCCGGTTCTCGGCTGGTACGGAGAGAACACGGACTGGGTGGGCATCATGACCTGCATCAATCGCCATCTTTCCCCTCGCAATGCGATTAGTGCAAAGACCACGGGTCTGGTGATTGGAGCGGGTGGCATGGCCCGGTCTGCCATCTACGCGATGCTTCGGCTGGGCTGCCGGAAAATCTTCGTCTACAACCGAACTCAGTCGCGGGCGGAAGAGGTTGCCCGGCATTTCAACTCATGGGCCTCGTCTCCCGTTGACTCGGCGGAGGTCGTCCGGGTACTGCGGTCGACGCAGGATGATTGGCCCGACGATGCCAGTCCGCCCAGCCTCATTGCATCCTGTGTGCCCGCCGACCCGGACCGTAATGAGCCTCCGGCGAACTTCGAGATGCCCCTGCAGTGGCTGGGAAGTCCAACCGGGGGAGTGGTTTTAGAAGTAAGTTCTACCGAATCCTGGTCTTTACGTGCAATGCTGACGCAACATATAGCTGGCCTATAAGCCTCTTGATACGCCTCTTCTACAGCAGATGCGTCGTATCCGGAATGATACCGGACGGTCATGGGTTTTATCGGATGGACTAGAAAACGTGATTGAACAAGGCATTGCGCAGTTCGAATTAATGACCGGCCGCAAAGCTCCCCGGCGACTGATGACTCTGGAGGTCTTGCGTCACTACGAGGGTGAGAGTGGACGATTTGATGAAAAAACGATTCAAGCTCGAATGGACGGCGTTTGGTCATAGACTAATGGGGAAGACATTTGATTTGGAACTAGATCAAAGGGCCGCAGGAGTTTGGGTTGTATCCAATTTATTACGTTATATCATGAAGGAGGAAAAATAGGATATGTGTCGAGAAACCAAACGCCTAGAATGTTCATTATGTGTAAGTTTGTTGATGCAAGGACGATTCGCCATCTATATGCCTAGTATACAAGTATTATACAGAAAGAAAGGGGAACACAAGGAGATTTTATACAACTTCCAGGGTCTCATACTTGGCTTTGTGAATCCTAAATGCCATGTTGCATGCGGCATTGTAGAATGCATGGAAGTCATTTTCCACGGACTCTTGGGGTCGATGATGTTCAGGATCCGAGGCAGCGTCTGGAAGTTCCATATCCAAAAGCAACTCCGTTGTTCGAGCGGCAAGGAATGGCCCGCTCTCGTAGAAACGGTAAGTCAACGGCCTGCCGTCGAAGTCGTATTGTTGAGCCATTGCACCCCTGATGTCGCTTAGCGGGGGAAGCAGGTACTCGGCAGTGGTGGAATCGGTCGAAATCGGGTCACCCAGCGACCGAAGATCACCGGGGACCGAAATTTGACAAAATGCAGGCAAAGGTACGGCGCGACGAGACGCATTGCCAGAGACTAGGACATCCCGTAAAGATTCTTTGATGCTTTGGACGAGGGATTCGTACTGCGATGATCCAGCCAGGGTCTCTTTTGAGACCTTGCGGTAGACGGTGCGAGTAAAGCGTAGGTCCAGGCTATTCTCCGGCAGGAGATAGTCGACACTGTTGGTGCTAAAGATAGACTTCACACATTGCACTTCGAGCGTGTCTTCGGCCTCGGCATTTTCAGCAGGGGTGAAGGCGACCTCAACATCAAGTTGGGGAACGTCATCCGCGTAACGGGCAGATGGGGTCATGCGAATGTTGTATCTCCGAGTCTCTTCTTTCGGCTGAATTAGAGTAAGCGACTCCAAAAACGGCGCAATCCGTGGTATCTCCGTGGTGAAAGTTCGAGGAAGGGAGAGTCCGCCCAGTTGCGGGGCAGTCATGACAGTCTCTTCGGAGGGGCCTTTTCGTGCAAAAAGACATCTCCCAGCGGCAGCGGTGACAGATTCATGCACATGGGAGCTGCTTTGGAAGTCGACCTTGGTGGGACGAGTACTGCGAAGAAGTTTCAACAATGCAGTCGAGAGCCTGGTCTGGTGGGTATCAAAGAATGGACTGGATGGTGTCGCTGCCTCCACACTCTGAACACTGGACATGGCCCAACGGAACCATGACATCTGCCGATCGAACCACGAGGCGTTTGCCTCGGGGTCAAAGTGGTATACGCTGGCCTGTTCCGACGCCGGCATGTAGGAGGAGAATGGCACAGGGGTAGGCTTGGTTTCGTTGACGGCCAGGTTGAGCGTCCTCCGAGCATCATCAGCGCCGCGTTCATTCTCTGCAAGGTAAACAATCTTCTCCGGTACATGAGAAGATCCTCGGTCAAAGGCGACTCCATATGTCTTGCCCACCCATTCCAGGAATTCCGAGCCGAAGACCTGGCCCGAGCCAGCGGTATCGACTCCGACCTCAATATCGACGTCTTGCTCGCGAATTCTGGCTGTGGCATCAAGAATGACTTCACGGATGGATTCACATGCATTCTGCTTCCCGGTGATTCTGACCAAACCTAGGGAGCTCGTGATATCAATGCTGGATCCATGAAGGCTGGCCACTTCGTCAAACGAGAAATGCTCTGCGTTGAGGAGCAGCACAACGAACGCGGATGGCATCTGAAGATCCAGCTGGCCAACTTCATCGGTGATAGATAGTTTCCAGCAGTTTCGAAGGATCTGCTCTGCTAGAAGAGGCTTGCCCTTCAAGTCTCGCGACGTCGCAACGCGATCGGTGACCTCGTCCCGCGCACCCCCGGGGGTGGTATGTAAGAACATAGAAGTCCCTGGCCTCCATCTGCCCGTAGTTTTATCGATCTCTGACAGTTTGCTACGGGAATCGGCGAGGTAGTCGGATAGTTGGTTGTAGGTAAACGACGAGGCGACCTTGGATCGGAGCTCTTCCCATTCGCCGGGGGCCAAAGTGTCGTTGGGCTGACATGCTCCTCGGCACGCTTCGAATCCTTGATGGACCGCACTGGCGGTCAGCTGCGATGCCTCCTCATCCAGGTCATCGAGCATCGAGCCCAGTGTCAACCGCTCTGTATCCCCAGCCGCATCGTTCGGCTTCCTGCGTCTATTTCTGGTATTCCGACGAGATGAATCCGGTACCACCACAATCTCGCCGGGTTTGCCTAGCGCATCAATCCCGAGCGAGTGTTTCTGGCTCTGTTGCAGTCTCTTCCATCGACGACGACCGGCGAGATGGTCTTGTTGGTGTGCGGGGGCATGGTTGGTGGAGCTTTGAAACCGGATAGACGACTGAACAGGAAGTACGAGAGGGCGGTGCAACGGAGAGCGCCAGATGGCGAGGGCACTCTGTGTATGGCGTCGCATGGTCGACTTGGCGCAACGTAAAAAGACGCCGATGATCGAGTCGCGAGATCTTGCCGGGCGCTAGTCCCAATCGGGAATGCCTGCCTCAGGCGGTGAATCCCGCAACGAGGTCCCGCGTGTACTTGATACTATATACTCTGGTTGCACACGACACGACATTTGACATTTAAATTCCATCGGGAAACATAGTAGTGGTCGATATCCCATCTCTGCCGTGTTCCAGTCGCAACCGCTTCTTGGAGCAGCCGAGGACGCTCTGACTGAAACGGACGGATGCATCAGACGAGAGTACATGGCACGACGCACACCACACGGCCGAGAGACGCAAAAGTCCAAAGTTCAGCCCTACCAGGAACGGGGACCTCTTTGGTGCCCTCGCGAGCCACTCACGGACTGCGTGGGGGCAACCGAGTGGATCCCAAACTGCGCTGACTCGGGCATCGGCCTCGTCCGTCTCCTTCCCTCGTCTTTTTCTCTTTTTCCATCCCCCTTCCCCCCGGGCTCTCCTGGACTCTGGACTCCACGTTCGCTGCTCTGTTGAACCGCGCGATCCTCGACCGTTCACCCAGACATGGAGAACCCCACTCACCCTGCCTCCGATCTCGAGGCGAGTCCCCCACCGGAGAAGCCCAGGGAGCCCGCCCCTCGGTGTTGGAAGCAGAACGTGGACCCGACCCATGCGGACTTGATTTGTCTGCTTCTCTGCTTTCTGACCGGACTATGTGATAGCAGCGCATACAATGCGTGGTCTTGCTTCCTGGGCATGCAAACCGGTATGAGTCACGATCTACGCCGAACCTCGCCCGGTCCCATACTAATTCGTGATGGTTGAACAGGAAACACCATCTTCCTCGGACTCGGTGCATCCAATCAACCCATCAGCAAGCCCTGGGGCTGGCTCAAGTCGCTCGTCTCCATCGTATTCTTCTTCTCCGGTGCCATGATTTTCTCCACCATCATGCGGCGCGTGGGTGCGCTCCGGCGCGGCACCCTCTTCGTTTCCTTCCTCGTGCAGACCGTCCTCATCATCATCGCCGTTGCTTTAATTCAGGCCGACCTGATCCCCCATACCTCGTCCGATATGTCTCTGGGCGGAGGCCCGCTCTTCCTGGAGCTGATCCCCATCGCATTACTCGCTTTTCAGTCGGCCGGTTCGATGACCTGCAGCCGGTCCCTCGGGTTCAACGAGATTCCGACCGTCGTTCTCACCAGCGTCTACTTTGACATTGCGTCGGACCCGAAGATCACGGACAAGCCGACGGCCAACGTCAAGCGAAACCGCCGTGTCGGAGGTGTGGTGTCACTGCTGGTGGGTGCAATCGTGGGCGGATGGCTGAGTCGCAGTAGCGGCGGCATGGAGTCGGCGCTGTGGCTGGCGGCGGGCCTGAAGTTCGTCGCGGCTTGTGGCTGGCTGTTTTGGAAGGGCGCGGTGCCGAAATAGAGGAGACTGAGCTACTGCCAGCATCGTGTGTTGCCATCGGTGCCTTTGCTGCGGACTCGATACACGGATTGATTTTATAGAGCGGTCGAGGACGCCGGGCGATGCTCTCGGGGAGATATGACTCGGGTATTGCATATAGATATTATATAGATATTGCATATAGATATTGCATATAGAAGCACAGGGTATATATTATGTGCGATTTAGATTCGTATACCCTCGGGGTCAATTTGCTTTTACTTGATATTAATGGATGGTGGATTACGGGGCAGACATAGTCCTTCCTCAATTGCTCACGTCTTTTTCCTTTCAATGGTTTCCGATGGTTTCCCGTTATTCACCGGACTCTGGCTACGCATGTCCCCAGCAGTGGGAGATGAAGTATATCAACAACGGAACTTGGAAACCAGTAGGCGAGTCTAGGGTCCAGGCAAGTGGACGTTCGATTGTTTTTGGACCGAAGCTTCTGGGTCACTCCCCCTCTCGATTCCCTATGGCTCCTACAGCACCGCAATGCATTCAATTTCCACGTCGGTGTTCAGCGGCAGCGTCTTGACCGCAACGCATCTGCCATGCCATGCATTAGCAACGTCTCAGATGCAGAATCACGCAAACCCAATCGCCGAGCCGGGGTAGAGGAGCAAAGAGAACCAACTCACGTTCGACATGGCTTCACGTCACCCCAGTATTGCATGTAAACCGAGTTCATCTCGGCGAAGTCGTCCATGTTGGACAGGAAGACGTTGACCTTGACGACCTTGTTGATGTCGGTGCCAGCCTCCTCCAGAATGTGGCTTAAGTTTTTGATACATTGGTGCTATTCCGAGAGAGATGAATTAATTTTCTTCCGGGATCGTGGAGTTACAGTCGACAAACCGTATGGGCCTTGACATCGCCATCGACGAGCTTGCCGGTGATGGGGTCCATGGCGACCGCACCGGAGCAGTACACCACGCCATTGGCGATGATGGCCTGTGAGTAGATGCCGGGCAGAGGCTTGGGGGCCTTGTCGGTGAGCACGGGAGTCTTGGTAGCCATGTTGAAAGTGTGAGAAGTGAGAAGGAAGAAGGAAGAAGGAAGAAGGAAGAAGGAAGAACGAAGAACGAAGAACGAAGAAGCACTTGTACTTTACACCCCGCTCCGTTTTCCACGGGTCGACATCCCACGCGCGGGAAAACGCTCGAATCGTAACGATCCCATGTAACGCACCGCGCCGAAGCGCCGAGGCGATCCTTACTTGCGGACTCGTGTCTTATCACCGTGTTGCTTCCCCCGCATTGTGTATCCCGCGCGTTGCGTGGGGGTGACTGGCGCGGGCCTCGCATTTATTACGCATCTTTCGCTCTTCTCTTTCGGTTGATCTCTTTTCACAAGAACTCGCCATGTCCGCCTTCTCCGTCACACAGCCTCCATACCCGCTCCACGAGTCCGTTCGGGACTTGCTGGACCCGGAGTATGTCGCCTTCTACAACAAACACGTTATCAACAATCAACAAGTCCACTTGCAGCCCGTCGCGGCCTCACGGACCAGCGGCGTGTTGATTCCCGGTGCGGGACCAATGCTAGAGGTGGGCAAGACCCAAGATCTTTCCATTCAGCGTCGAGCCACCGATGGGCCTCCTGTTGCCATTCGCTGCTTCACCCCGAAGGGTGACACCCCCGCCGGTGGATGGCCGGTGATGCTGTATTTCCATGGCGGAGGCTGGGTTCTGGGGAACATCGACACCGAGAACGTGGTCTGCTCGAATCTCTGCGTGCGTGGTAACTGCGTGGTGGTGACCGTCGACTACCGGTGAGTGATTATCCCTTGCATCCGCGAAGACGCGCAACCTAATCACTTCCCACTTCTCACTTCCCTCCAGACTGGCTCCCGAGAACCCCTTCCCTGCCGCTGTCCATGATTGCTGGGAAGCGCTGCTCTGGCTGGTCGCCGAGGGTCCCGCCGCGCTATCAGTCGACACGTCCAAAATCGCAACGGGCGGGTCCTCGGCCGGTGGGAACCTCGCTGCTATCATGACCCACAAGGCTTTGACCCTCTCGTCGCCGGTGCACTTCCGTGCGCAGCTGCTCTCGGTGCCCGTCACCGACAACACCGCCACCGTGGAGAATAACGAGTCTTATCGTCGCTACGAACACACTCCCGCGTTGCCCGCCCCCAAGATGATCTGGTACCGCGACCATTACCTGCCGAATGAAGCGGATCGGACCGATCCCGAGGCCAGCCCCCTCTTTTACAATGATGACTGGTCTCCGTTGCCACCTGCTCTGATCATGGTCGGCGAGTTAGATGTGCTTCGGACCGAGGGTGAACAGTATGCCCAAAAGCTGCAGAAGGCGGGCGTCGAGGTGGACCTCCAGGTCATGAAGGGAATGCCACACCCTTTCCTTGCCATGGACGGGGCATTGTCCGAAGGCAAGCGGTGTATCACGTTGATGTGTGATGCATTGCAGAAGGCCTTTTGGAGTTCGTAAGCGCCACGAGATGTAAAATATACCCGACCGGATAGAATTGGAGGGCCTCCAAAAAGAAAACCATTTCATAGGGCATTGAATATAGGCGAGGATTGATCGGCTGAACATTGAAGCATTAGAGAATACAACGACTAAGCCATGGAGATAAATATCAGGTAAATAGCTGCGTGTCTACGGGTACGTGGCAGGGACAACTACATCTGGTACAGAGAATTCATTCGAAGCCGGGTGAGAGAGAATATCAAGTGTCCGATCCGCTTGACCGAGGAGTATTTCTTAGAGTACCGTAGAATAGATTGATTATACGAGTTCTGTATATTATATTCCATTCATGATCATCTCGAGACAGACCAATGTACAGATATCCATTATTTGTTGGACAATTGCACATCTTTACAACCGTGCCTGGGTCATTGGGGTCGTCATCTCAGTCCAAGCCTCGGAAGACTTCCTCAAATCGCAGCTCGTTCCATCTGACATTTGGCTTCAGGCCCGCAAATTTCCACACCCCGTTCACTTTGCGGTAGTAGTGCTCATTCGTAGCATGCGAGTGACCGCGCAGTTTGACCTCCTGGAGATCCACCGTCTCGTACACCTGATGCGCGGCACGCAGCTGATGATGGCCAATGACCTCGGTGTCGGAAATCTTCTCCCACCAGCTTTGACCCAGAAGGTGTTGCGTCTTGATAGTGGGATCGCCCAGGAAGCCGGGATGTGTCACCATGGCCATGTAGTCCTCCGCAGACATGTCATCCCATCTCTTGAGCCCGATCTTGGTGTAATCCACCTATTTGGATTAGCCAGGAGTCTTGTGGCCGTTGAATTCAGTCGCCAGAAGAGCTTACCGTCAGCGTCGGGGCGATGATGCTGCGGAGGCGGTCCCAATCCTTGAAGAGAATGATCAGTCATGAAATCAAACCTGGAAATCCGGTAAGTTACCTTGGCATCGTAGCTATCGGCCCAGTCAAAGACCAGCTTGGAGAGAACGAGGTAGTCTGTCATCGTCAATCATCACGTTTTGAATCCTATGGGTAACGGAAGCCGACCTTGGAAGCTGATGTCCAGATTGGGCTCGGAGATTTTCACGGCGGGAGACATATTGACCGCGGAATGAGACGTTTTGCGAAGGGATAGAATTCGAGAAACGCGCCTTCTGGTATATCTATCGGCTTGTTCCAGGGAGGTATCGCCGGTCCGTGGCTTAGGGTTGGCCCAGACTTGGGCGTTCCGGATGCGGTCCACATTCCAAGTCTTCTCTCCATCTGCAAGAAGACAAGAATGCAACCGAGACCGAAAGATGTGACGTGCAGTGGAAACCGTAGCTCCGCTTCGTGATGAGGGGCTTTCCGCATGCGGTAATCTACACATCTTCACATCGCCAAAACCAAACGAAGTGGACTCTAGAGCAGCCGGAGACCTGCTCATGCATGGAATATCCACTTGAACCAAGCCCGAATATGTCCTCTCACTGGTTCGATAGAATGAGGAACAAGAAAAGGTGTCTGATTTCAGCCAGGCACCATCACATTGTCGTATTCTTCGGGAACCAATTGTTCGATTTTAACCGTCCTTTTTTCCGTGCGGTCTAATCTGTCTTTTGGTAAAATCAGATTATCTTCCATCGCTTCGGTATTACACCTTCCACACCTTCCCGCACATTCAACTGAAAGGCGAAGATGGTTGCTACGAATCTCAACGCCGCTCCCGCGGAGCTTGCAGGCAAGGTCGCCCTTGTGACAGGCGGCAGTCGCGGTATCGGGTCTGGGATTGCCCTCGAATTGGCAAAGAAGGGTGCCTCCGTGGCCATCAATTTTGCTCGGGATTCCAAGTCTGCCGATAAAATGGTGCAAGAGATTGAAGCGCAGGGGGTCCATGCGGCCGCCTTCCAGGCGGACTTGACTCAGGTCGAGGCCATCGAAAACTTGTTCCGACAGGTGGTGGCACACTTTGGCCAACTCGACATCGTCGTCTCCAACTCGGGCACCGAGAAGTTCGTGTCTCTCCAGGATACGACACTGGCTGATTTCAACGACGTCTTCGACCTGAACACACGAGCTCAGTTCTTCGTTGCCAAGAACGCCTACGACTACATCCAGCCGGGCGGACGCGTCGTGCTCATGTCTTCCATCGCTGCGGGCGTGGGTGTCCCGGGACACTCGCTGTACGCGGGCAGCAAAAGCGCCGTGGAGGGCTTCACGCGCTGCTTCGCGGCCGACTTTGGAAAGAAGCGATGCACGGTGAACGCGATCGCCCCCGCCGGTGTGAAGAGTGACATGTGGCTGAAGAATTCGTGGCGCTATGCCCCGGGTTGCAACCAGAACTCGTCGCTCGAGGAGATCGAGCAAGCCCTGGCCAACGGCAGTCCTCTGAAGCGGTGCGGTGTGCCGGCAGACATTGGCCGCGTCGTGGCATTCCTGGCCAGTCCGGCAGGAGAATGGGTCAACGGTGAGTGGTGGAATGCGACAACGGGACTCGGGATTCTGGCTAATTCGTCGTTCTGTGCAGGTCAAATTTTGCCGTTGAACGGCGGTGCCAACATTTAAGTTGCCGTGGTCGGAGAGTTTTGTGGAAATGCAGGTGAAATGCAGATGTTGATAATTGCGGCACCGTAATCTTATTCATTTGAGAGGTCTAGCTTAATACAAGCAAAGCATTTGAGCATTCGTAATATTGCATTGACAACCTTGCCACTTGGCGAGGTGCATTAAACGGATCTCTGAGTTAACTTATGGGGACAATTCATCGCTGACAAAATGTTCGTCAGGCGTAAAAAGGGGAGATGGATGGCTTTCCCCATCCATCATCTTCTGAGACTGCGGTGGACTGCGCTGATCACTGTTCATCGGTGTAGAACTTGCCGTAGGAGAGCCGCAGGGCTCGTGTCTATTTCGACGATGATCGCAACGGAAATGACCAGTGTCGCCAAAATGATCTAAACGCATTAGTTGCGTTGGTCGGACTATCCGTGACGGGAAGATTCACCTACCGCAAAAAGTAATATCCCGACCCAATTGAGCTCCCATCCTCCGGCGTGGACTTTGCCTCGCGAAATTGCACTCTGCTGCCTCCAAAAGCGATAGGCTCCGATCAGGGCCACTACGACAGCCACACAATGGCAAGTGACCGAGAGCGGAATACCGACATTGTAGAATTGCAGACGGTCTTCGGATGTGGGTGATTGTTGGAGGCGGAAAAGCTGCGCGATTAGAACCCCTTGCATCGCGATTACAACCGAGGTGCGGATGTAAGCCAGGAATGTTCTTTCCAATGCTAGAATCCCGTCAGTACAGGCTGTCCGTGCCACTCTTCACACCTGGAGTACCTCATCACTCACCAAAGTGGTCGCGGTTGCTCTTCTGGGGCACCGTCAGAGTGATCTGGTGCGTCCAAAAGCGACAGATATTATGCCACGCTCCCTTTCGCTCGACGCGCGGCCGTCGAACACTGGCGCGGGAGGGCCGTCGGGTAATGCGGTATTCCTCGCCGGATGAGGCGGACGGGGAGGAGTAGTCTAACTCATGGTCTTCCTGTGTTTGGATCTCACGCAGCTCGAGCGCTTCCCGATCGTCCCGATCATTTTCCCAATCGTGGGGAGGAGGCGGTCGAGTCGCTCTCAAGACGGCGCTGGCGAGTCGTTCAGGATCCTGGGGCTGGGACTGGGTCGGCGGATCGGTCATGGTGAAGAGTAGTCCACCGTAAAGAGCATCGTGGTATGATCATGGCCTTGGGGCAAGTGGTCCAAGCAATCCGAGCAAGCTTTTGCGTTCGGGGTGTGGTCGGACAGGTCCCCGGATCGGTTAGAGCCGCCTGTGGCGACCATGTCAAACCCCGCAATTCACCGCCCGAAGTTGAGGGTCCTGATGAGGATGAGGATGAGGACGAGGAGGATGAAGAAGATGAAGAGGAACAGGGCCAAATAAAATGGAGTTTGAACGGGCGCGGCTCAATTGGTTATACTGCATAGGGTAACCACCGCCAATCACCGCATGCGGATGGCGGTTTGCATAATTTCCGGGGTCGATGTTGACATCGCACTTTTCAAACGAGTCATGTCAATGCTGTTGAAATTCGTTCTCTTTCCCTTATTTGTTTACTATATGTTTTGGATTGAATGGCTAACGTAAGGTAGTCGGCTGGGACTAATGACGTTATTGAAAACCCGCAAGGTTAGAAATAGAAACGAAGTCAAGTGCTTAACCAGTAAATCGTAAATCTGGCCGCTCTCTGTAGGAAAGCGTCTCATCAAAGGCCACCCTGAAACTCGGGGTTTCAAGCAAGTCCATTCCCCGAAGATCCAAAAAGAAGCGGTTATCGAGGTCAAAGTTCATGATCGTATCGAGGTCGGTAAAGTCAAAGGAAGGTTCTGATCTCGGCTCTAATATTTTATCAATGGTGCTAGAGAAAACGGTTGTCGCATGCCTGAGCAACGAAGATGGACCCCGTTCTGAACGGGCTATGGTCTCTAGATGTGAAATGAATACGCTTAAATTGCGAATAAGGGCAGATCGAGACCTAGAAAACAATATCGGCTGACCTGCGCGAACTTGTCTGTTTGCAATGCTCGGATCAACACGCCGGCGCAGGAAAACCCATAGACACGCGCCTAAGAAAAAAACGATTAGTGGTAAACAAATAGATGGTCCAAATGACTGCTCACAGTCCAGGTGAAGTCTCCGTTAATGTCAACGGATCATTCCCACTGTTGGCCTAGGGTCAAAATAGCTGAGAGGATGTCAGAGTTGACGTCCAGCAGCGCAGCATTGGTGTATCAGAATCCTGCTTCAACAGGCTTTGGACTAGAAACTCGTTGTAGAGATAGGCGAGATATGAAATGATCGACATCAGCTTCACGCCTATCGGAAGGTCGGTCTCCCAGAAACTAGGCGTATATAGAGGATGTTCGGGCAACAAATTCCAAGCTCCATGGCAACGGCTAGATACTTCCCCTGTGCCAGCAGCCAAATTATAGCAACAACACACAACCATAAACTTGTATATTCTAATCATTATAACAATCTCACAGTTGCTAGAACCCTAAAAATACATATTAGGAATCATTTAACGCACTAGTCATAGCATAATAGTATTCTAAAGTTGGCCAATTTCAGCGTGGTATCCACCTAGAGGCCGATCGCGCTAACCATTTGCGAAGAAACGATACGCTACGCTAATCATATTTAAAAAACGTTACATGTTTTGTTCTCTTCTAATACAGATTTAGTCATTTAACTTTTAAGTTCTTAGGGTAATTCCACGATCTTCTATAAAGCTTTAAGGGCTAGAGGTAGAGATTCTAGGATCTTTAGCGTTCGAAGTGTAATAGGCTAGTGCCTGGTTATGACTAAGGCTATACGTGTGATCGTTTCCCCTACTATATAGTGCGCTGGCGAGCAACAGACAGTGGTCTTGGCGTTGTATGACATTTTGTTCAGGGGAATAACGGTGAAACCAGCGCCCCACCATGACTCTTCACACTGAGTGTATTATCAGTAGTGCCTTAAGAAATATAGGTACCAGGGGAAATAGTCTCTAGAGTCCGATACAGCGGGCTGTCTAGAATCTTAGTCTTCCGTAGATCAGCTGACACTGCAGCATGCTAGATGACCGTGAGAGAGTGTAAGATAATATATAATGAAAAGCTTGGCAAGGGAAAAATGAAATTTTTTTAAATTTTTTTTAACGAAACTCATGTGCCAAGATGCAAAGAATACTTAGGCTACGTGCAGTGACCCAAAATCATGCAAAGAGGGGAATTGGTAGTATAAATTTCATAGAAATATAGAGGGTAGGTAGGTGCGTAGCTCATTTACATTCGCAGCTCGCTTAACGAATACGTCAGTCTATAACCCGCGCAGTTTCGGGTTCGGGTTGATAATCATAGCGCGCATGCGGGTTGGGTTATAACGCAGTCTAGTTAGCCGTCTATCCGTAATCCCAACCAGGAAAGCAGTAAAATGTCGTGTTTCTAACCGATCTCCGGGCTAAACCCTTTTGAGGTGCCGCTGTAGGGTGGTAGCGAGATGCACGTGCAGGAACAAGGTCCCACTGATGGATGGCTGGTGTCCTCTATGGGACCATTTCCAGAGGCCTCCAAGGCTTGTATTATGGAGCCGAGGGGCCACGCGTCAATCGTGGTGGATACTTTACCAACTCCCGGAAATTGGCCCCGAAAGCGGGGCCAATTTCCTCCCAATATTTGAGACAGTTCGGGAACGTGTTATCGATCCGCGATGGTGATTAGCTCTGCCCCTCCCTGGTAAATCCGGCCACGTGCGAGTAATTTGCACGGTCGCATTGATTAAACCAAGTGCGATGCCTACATTAGTAAGTTATAAAAGAGAGGAGTCGGGCTTTTTGTTTTCTAGACCAGCAACTTCTTCCATTTCACCCGATATACCCCCGCTGCTTTGCCCTAGATGGCTTTTGTTGCTTCTCTTCTTGTAGTGGCCGGTCTGGCTAGTGGTGCGACTATAACTACGACAGAGCCTGCTTTGGCCGCAATTGAACGAGCTCAGGCCACTACCGTGCCACAAACCTGGACCTCTAACGTTAAGGGCAAGGCTTTTGACCGTTTCTACCAGATCTGGCTCGAGAATGTCGTATGTTTTGTCGTGTGCTGTCCTATGTGGATTTGAGTCAAAATTACTGACCTCGTCACAGGACTACAGCAGCGCTGCTGCCAATGCTGACCAGCAGTGGTTGGCGAGCAAGGGCATTACGCTGACCAACTATTATGGTGTCGGCCACACATCTCAGCCTAACTACGTTGCCGCTGCTAGTGGTGATAACTACGGCATGGACAATGGTGAGCGGACCTACTTCTAGGAAAGATTAGCTACAGTTTCTCCGGAAGGCTTTTCTAGCGCCGTCAAAAGCTAATGTTGAATATAAGATCTGTTCCACGACATCCCGTCCAACGTGTCGACAATCGCTGATCTGCTGAACACCAAGGGTATCTCATGGGGCGAATACGAGCAGCATATGCCCTATGCAGGCTTCCAGGGCTACAACTATTCCAACCAGGAGACTTATGCGCTTGACTATATGCGCAAGCACAACCCCCTGGTGTCCTTTGACCAGATCTCCAGCAACGACACTGCTCTGGGCTTGATCAAGAACTTCACTTCGTTTTACGACGACCTGAACAAGAAGCAGCTGCCCCAGTGGGCCTTTATCACCCCCAATATGACCAACGATGCCCACGACACCAACATCACCTTTGGTTCACACTGGCTCCGAGGCTTCGTGTCTAATCTAATGAATAACACCTACTTCTGGGACAATACTCTGCTGCTGTTGACTTTCGATGAAACCGAGACTTACAACGTCCCTGAATCCGAGATTTACAACGACCGCAATCGTGTGTTCACTATTCTACTGGGCGGTGCTGTCCCTAAGGACATGGTTGGCACCAAGGATGACACAGTATACACCCACTACTCCAGCATCGCATCTGTCGAGGCCAATTGGGGCTTGCCTTCGCTTGGTCGCTGGGACTGTGGTGCCAATCTGTTCAAGCTTGTCGCCGACAAGGTCAACTACACAAACTGGGATGTCGACGCTAACAGCCTGTGGCTGAATCAGTCTCTGCCCGGCCCGCTGGAGCGCTGGGGCTACTCCAAGTACCGTTCCAACTGGCCTGTACCAACCACAAATGACTCGTGCTCGGCTGGATACGGTATTCTCCAGTCAGTGGTCGAAGCCTACAAGGGCCGTGCCCCGACTTATAACTACTCATCGCCGTTCCCTTACGATGCCGCGTATGGTCTGGATACTGGTGTTGCGTACTCCCGCAATGGTGAGACCTATGTTTCTGGAGTCAATGCTACCGGTACCATCGGCTACGATACGAATACGACCACCAGTGTTAGCTCTGCCGCTGCATCTTCGAGCACCGGTGCCGCCCCTAATCCGGCTATTCCATTCACTAGCTTCGCTGTTATCGTGACTGCATTTTTTGGTCTGTTGTAAACACAGCCAGCCTATATAAGGGGATCTTTTCCCGGTTGCAATAATTGATTATATCGGGTATATCCACGTTCCTAGAAAAGCAAAATCGTTTTGTGCTTTAATACAAATATTACAATTCTCTTGTTCTTTCACTACGAATTGCGCTTGAGGTGAAGCATCAGTCATGAGAAATAATTAAAGGTACCACTTCTATTCGGTTAAAACAATAAGAGTACAAGTTGACATAACGTAATTTCCAGCCGAGTGACACATCCAAGCAAGTGACGCACCGCAAACACCATAGTAAATGCGACATTTCAACTCCTTATATCTCAGCAACGAAAATTTATTTCTCTTTGATCCCTTGGCACACTTTTATCCTTAGGTATAAAAATCAGTATATATCACGGTCCTAAAAATACGCGAGATATATTATAAAGAACATAGAAATATAAGATGACTCTGTAAGAACCTATCGCTGCTAAGATATGATATTGTAATCTATTGCATTCACTATGGTATTTAGGGGTGCGCCACTCGCTTGGATGCGTCATTCAGCTTGGAATTACGTTAGTCAATTCCAGTGCCTATTATATTTGAAAGAACATAGCAGAATTGGGTTCAGATTCACAGGCAGGTCACCACTTGGTGTGCCACCATGATTAACATGTGGCGAATCTCTCCAGCATCATCAGGGAAATAAAACTTTTTGCCAAATTGATTACACCGAGGAAGACGGGCGCCACAGAATATTGAGCTGTCCACAAGATTTGGTATATCTGCACTTCGCAGAGGACTTCTTCCGCGGTCCCGACGGGGTTCCCTTTCCGATGACAGTAGACAGTAGAGCCATAATCGGCATATGTAACTGGCCACCAACTGACTCCCAAGGAAGGTACTGTCAGTGTCGGTGATCTCTTGTTCGCCAAATACACAGCAGTCTCTCCTGGTCTGGACGAGCATTGGATGATGACCCCGGGGAGTGCATGTAGATGCCACAGTTGAGTCCCTCGCTGGCCGAGCCAGTCACCCACGAAGATGACGGTGATGCTGCCGATGAACGCTGTGAGCTCATATACGGTCATGATTGTGCCCTGCAGGCCGGCGTCCGAGTGGTTGAAGGTCTTGCCAAAATGGTTGTTGGTACCTATCAAGTTGGGCATGACGCCTTGGTCGTAGCCAAAGAGAGAGAAGGCAACGGAGCAGACCACGGTGATAAGATTCACCAGGAGCTTGCCCTGCAGACGGCTCTCGAATCGGGTCCTGAGAGGGGACATATCGCAAAAGGTGAATACTGTCCAGAGTGTGCTGATCAATAGTAAATGGGCTTCTTCAGTGCCCGCAATATCGATGATAAAAAAGGGTTGGACGGAGGTTACGAGTGGGTGCATGCAGCCATATTATTATGTACGGGCTTCAGGGGGGGGGGGGGGGGATGAAGCTCGGGGGGATGAAGCTCATGTCATGGCACCACTAGAGTTCAGGGCGGGCTTGCAACCTGAAGCATGCAAAGTATGGTTGCGAAAGGCACTCAGACGGCATTCAGTCTATGAGAGGCCAGCTGGTTCCGGAAGGCGGTACCCTGGACCATGGCGTGGCGCCGCCGTATCATCTCCGATCCTCGCGTGCAGACTCTCAGCGCGCGGAGGCACCACTCTCGCGGCGGCTTTCCTACTGTGGTTTATATTTCAAGATACCTGGCGACTAAAGCGCAGGAGGCCGCGGAGTTGGTCCGACCCAAAACAAATCGAGAGAGGAGTGGGGATACGTGACCCCAGGCCCACCCATGGTTGGGATTTGGGATCTGGGGAAGACCTCGGACTGTGGAGTCTTTTCCTCGTGGATCCCGGTTCCCGCGGATCCACAGTGTCCTGTGCGGTTGGCCCGGGCCCATCATGGCACTCATGACCGGAAAGAAGTAGCGCGGCTGGAGCGCCATTCAAAACTCGCCATCCCGTAGGAGCGACCGATCAGGAGTGCTTCGGTCGACGCACTGTCGCAGGCAGAACCGCACCGCCGCGAGTTCCCGCATAGGAAACAACGCTGTCCAGCCCCGGAATCACTCCTCGCCGCGGTCGTCTAACGACATGGAGTATGCCGCGGCGAGATGTCCCGCCGGCCGCAGGAGTGCTGGTGGATTGGTTCTGTTCTATGGGTGGGCTTTGTGCATGGGACATGCGTACAAATATGGGGACAGATGGAACGACGAGGAAACGATGCCATCTTCTCTGACCGGTGTTTGATGTTGAACCTTTCGCAACACGTTTGCTCATAAGTAGACGTTCACTCTTCCGGGTCAAGGCTACTGCCACACTCTTGACACAAAGCCGTTTTGTGACTTCGCCAAGCCGATACAAACAGCCTTGCCATGGCGTTTCTACTCTTCATTGCGGCAGGGACCACCATATTCCTGCTCTTCTACCCATTATCGAATATTTCGTGGACTAGAAGAAGCTGCAGCGCTTCCCTTCTCCTGGCATCGCTGGCATTTCAGACTTGCGGGCTTTCCGATATCGGTGGACAAACAACCTGCTCGAGGCAATACACAATCCATACCGCCGCCTTGCGCCGGTTGTACGAATCCAGCTCCATCATGTTTCATTCACGGATCTGCGGGCCTTGAAAGACATATATGGGCATGAATGTCCGATCATAAAGGCCCCTTATTACGACAACATTGCCGCCGACTACCACGATGTTACTAATTCAATCGATCGAGTTGAGCACTCAAGGAAGAGAAAGACCATAAGCCACATGTTCAGCCATAATTACATGCTGACCATGGAAGAATTTATCAACCAAGTCCTCACCGAGTTTATCATGGCGCTGGACAAGAGGTTGGCCCAGGATCTTAACATCAGGTACTGGTTCGATCTCCTTACATTCGATGCCATTTCCAGCCTAGCGTTCTCGCAACCGTTCGGCATCCTGCAGAGAGGCGACGACCTCACTTTCTGCGAGAGATAAGACGGCTCGACTCATTCCGTCAAGATCGTCCAGAAGTTCCACAATACAACCACGTATGCTGCCTTCATGGCCAGGTCAGGATAGGTCTTGCCTCTCTCATCAAGAACGTCTTCGGCCTCATTCAAGCTCACGGAGTTAAGTCACTACGAGACTTCAGAGCTATGTGCACATATAAGGCGAATATGTGCATCAAATCCGGTAAGGAAGGCCGGTTCCACTTTTTCTCCAAACTTGAAGAAGCCTGCAAGGGCCAGGGCTCTCCGATGCCTTACGGCAAACAGGTCGCGGAAGCAGGTATCGTTCTCAACGCCGGAAGCGATACTACAGCCAGCGGACTGACAAACACAGTTGTCCTGCTGGCAAAACACTCGCTAGCGCTCCGCAAACTTCGCCGGGAGCTCGAGGGGGCATGGCTGCGGACGAGAACGCATCAGAATTTGACAAGTTAATGGCATCCCCCTATATACGGACGTGTATTGATGAGTCGCTGCCCCCTTTATGTTTCAGTCGCTATCGGCTTCCCGCGCATGACGCTTGCCTAAGGAGCAACCATATGTGGCCGTTTCATTCCCGGAGGCGTCACCGTCTCCGCGCCAATTCTAAAGCTCAACAGGAACCCGAATCTCTTCTCCAACCCCGACGAATTCCACCCTGACAGATGGTTCGACAAGAAGCAACTTCCCAATCTCATGAAATGCGTCCAGCCATTCTCGATCGGCGGCAGGGGCTGCGTTGGGAGGAACCTGGCGATGATCGAGCTGACCAAGGTCGTCGCCACCGTGGTGAACAGATACGAGTTGCAGCTCTTACAGGATGAGTTGCCTTTTATGGCGAGATTCAATATGAACCCGGGTGAAGGTGGTGAGGGGATGCGGGTAATAGATTCATTGATTCATCTTCCTCTTTGAGACCGATTCTAGTAGTTCCAGAAATAGTCTGCAGAATCGCTCATGGGCCTCAGATTGATGAGAGCTGCGATGAGCTTTCGCACCTGGGGCTCATAATAAGACATATTTGGAAGATGTTGATCCATTAAAACTTCTGCAGCGGAATAAACCGGATATGGTGTCGATGGATGGACCTTTTTAGGTGAGAACCTGTTGCAGATAAATCCCAAGCTTGATATCGTACCTTAAGAATACTGACTTCGTCTAGATACTGCGTAAGGTCGATAATTTCCATCGCGGCTACCCGTTTTTGGTGCTGACACTCAACCATCATTTGCTTTTCCCAAGACCCCCATGCCAGCAATTCAGAAATACTGCAAAGATATATCATGTGCCAGCCACCAATATTGCGAAAAGATGCGTAGGGTCCACGAAAATTCCATGAGGGCCAGACTGCAGAGACCCAACTCCAAGGCTCTTCATCAAAAGCGAATGAAGCCATTGGTGCCGGTCGAAAAATTCCTGGGAGACAACGCCGTAGACAGGCTCTACGGCTGTTTGTTGTTTATGTGATAAAGCAGCGTCCACAGATCGTAATGAAGATGAACAATTCAGTAAAAGATGACGTGTTGGTTTTAGGATCGGCAGAAATCTCTTCCGATAAAAACCCACCAAGGCTGGTTTCGCCTGCTTGACACTGATCCTCGGGTATAGGGAGGCGCGTGCATACCTTTAAACCACGTCAACTACAGATCCATGACTGTGTCCAAATTCACTTACCGCAAGTTCGTTAAACGCCATTGGCCAGTTATGCCTGGTGCCGAATAACGATCAAGATAATATACCATCCAAAAGGGCCTCCGTTCTTCTTCAAATTTTATGTTGTTGGTCTGGCCAACCCCCGAGAGCTTTGTGGTATCTTCCGGGCAATCAATTTTGTGAAGCCCATAAGATTTGTATCAACCGGCACGCACGCCCAATGCTCATCCACGCCGATTGATGCCGTATGCACATAGCCTCATATAGTGCCACAAGTACCCACGATTGCACTTGCCCAACGGCAACTGACTGGGACCACACGTTTCCAAGCTCTAAATCCTTGAGAGTCTGTCTTGCCTGTCGGTAGATGTTATTACCGATTTCGTGATATTGGGGCAATCTCCGCGCAGCTGCCGCCCACAAGGCAAATTTCAGGCAGCGCTGGGAGCTCGTTAAATTCTGTTGACGATCCCAGGAAATGAAATGGTGCTGTTGAATGAACGCCGCGGAAGGGTGAACGCGTTCGAAATATAATTGATTCCTGCAATTGGTTGAAATTATTATCTATCTCACTTTTTGTAAGTCTTTAGGATTTGGTTCAGCTAACAGGTCTGCCTGTATGAGATATGTTAATTCAGGTATCAGCTTGATCCTGGTTTTGACTGTATAGTGAATCATTTTTTCGTAAGTCATTCTGAAATTCGCATGACAAAATCATGCTGGAGGCTGTAGTCAAATCCGCAGTGATTCGATCTGGTTGGCTCTCTGAGTCAACGTATTTATCACCCGGATTATTTCCATCTTCGCGATCTTCGAGGCGTTGCTGTAGTTCTGCTTCAGTTTCGTAATGCGCTGACATCAGTCCATGTTGTTTTTCCAGTCAGTCCCAAACTTACCAGCTTGGATTCCTTTCAGAAGACGCTTCTTCGGACCTCTTGTTGAACGCCTAGTGTCAATTACGCAGACGTTACCTGTCTCGGTACAAACTCCGACCCGTGGCTGTTGGCCGTCGCAGCGAACCTTCCGTTTTCGGCATTCTTCCCATGCTAACTTGCATCGAACATCGCGCGAGATTCATTCCTGTTCTGAAATCTGGGGGGTTGTGTTGTGCCTACCTACAGTTTCTCCGATCATTACGGAGAAAAGTAAAAGCAGAGATACCGTGTTTCATGCCGGGGAGTAGGGAACTAGAAGAAATATTTATTTCATAAAATACCGGTTGGAGAATCGTAAAACCGGAATGGTATGCGTCATTGTCTATTTAGGCCCATGTAAATGGTGTTTCGGCCGGATGACAGGGTACCCCTAGAATCTCACTAGGGCCGTTTCTCTTCTACAGTATAGTTAATAACCGCTACAGGATAGGTGAGTAATTAAGGTCCTAGATCCTAACGTTACGTGCAATCGCAAATTAAAACGCCCGCTACCACCTCTATATGTACATTAAATAAAATTCAGGCTTTAAGAGATTGTATGCGAAGGAAGCGCGTATTAAATTTGAAAGTCTTGGGCTATAGTGAAAGAAAACAAAGGTATATAACAATCATTTGAAAGCGCTTAGCGCGGTCGGTTTCTTAGATCCCGCGCCGAAACTGACCAACTTTGGAAGACCATTACACCACAACCCGTTTGTCAAACAATTTTTAATGTGCATTTCTAGGAAACTGGCGACCGTGGAACTTTCATGTAACTCAATATATTTAAGAAATATAAATTGTGGTTTTGTGTTGCTGCATTTTGCCTAATGTGAAACTTTAAAACAGTGGGAATGTGACACGATTTTCGTAGTCGATGTTAGCCTTATGGCCTTCGATGCGTTCACGACAGGTGCCGAATATGCGGTCCCAGAGACGGGTCTGCTTCCCGTAATTATGGCTTTGTCTCCATCCGTAGCGGTGGTGCAGGTCATGGTCTTCGATTACTAACTCTGCATCAAAGAACTCAAGTATCCAGTTGACAGTGGAGGGTGCGCCCCCATGAACGCGGAGACCACTATGTCCGATGATCTCAGAGAAGACCACATATTGATAACAAATATACCATTCGTAAAACGACATGGGCATGCCGATCAGCTTGAGAGTACCGTACGCAAGGAGTGGGATGCCAATGATATCAAAAAACTCCTGCTCATGGTCGGCATATGCACCAAGCATCGGGTGAGGGTGTTTCGTCAGGTGGTGCGTGCGGTGAAACTTCCACAACGGGGCCACCGAGTGCATCAAGCGGTGATACCAATAGAACCAAAAGTCTACCGTAATGCTGTAGAGTCCAATCTCGAGCGCCAGCCAGCCGCAGTTGAAAGATAATGGGAGCTTCTCCGGTTGATACGATAGGTAGACAGACATAGCCAGGCGAAGTGTCGGGACGGAAAGCAGTTCCGTCGCAACCCTTCCCACACCAACATCAGGGATGTCGTCCCGTTCATGCTTATCTCCGTCCAGGAAGCCGTAGACCCAACCGAGGCGGCGAATTACTTGTACTAGATGGATACCGGTCCCATAGAATGTTGTGCTATACAACAAAAAGACAACGATCGGGTGGGGGGTCCGCCCACTATAGATCATGTATGCTTGTTGAAGAACGTGCGGAATCAAACCGTGAAGCAGGATCCACAGATGGACAGTCCATTCCCGCACGGACGGGATCTTTTCTTTCTTAGAAAAGACAGGCACTTCTCCGTCGCTGGGCTTGAGGTGTGTACCCAGCAGATCAAGCAGCCAGTGGGAGGATGTCCATTGTGATCGGTCACCATCGCGCCAGGTGGATATCATAGAATCGCGAGGGTGGCTTTTCGTAATAGTTTGGGTCGCCATATTTCGCTGCTGTTTTTGCATTGAAAGAAAAAACGAGACACAGAGAACTAAATCTATACATCCTTCTATCTTATATTCCTGGGCCAGCTCAAAGTCGCTCGGTACGATGCGTGGTGGAGACTTCATGTGAGATCGACGACTGCGAGCCCCTGCACCTGTTGCATGTGTTTAGTCGCTCAAAAATTCCACCCCACCAATCTGCCCCCACGATACAAATAGAGGACATTAGGATATGTCACGCCGTTCTTGCGTAGGAAATTAAAAAAATGTTCATAATTGGCCAAACCGCCTGTCTGTGGTGGCAGTCTGCCTCGGCCCCGGGGTTTCTCGGGGTCGCGAGAGCGGGGAAACCCTATACCATTCGTTTATCCCCCAATCCCCATCACAAAGCTTAAAGCACCTCGCATCTATTTCCTAAACAGAAATGAAAACCATGTTGAATGGATCCGTGGACGCCTTGGTCTCTCTTTCCTTCCCTCGCCATCTTCCATTGTACACACATATACGGAAGTTGTGCATGCATGGATAGATCACATACCACTTTGACAACAATATATGCCAACGAATTCTGTAGAGCCGGACAAATCTATGCAAATTTCTAGCACCAAATGATAAACTCATTATTTTTGAAGACTCTTTATACGGTCGCGGTGGAGGATTGAACACAACCCATCGTTTGGTTAAGACTTGAGCCTTGGAAACGGGTGATTCGACGAGGATGAGGGTGATGGCGGCAATAGCTACAACCATTGGTCGAATTGGGGAACGCGTGAAGAATAATACGAATCGCTCAGACATGTACATTAGAGAGACTAGCATGTAACCTATTATCGTAAGAAGTTGACTTAGTATTCAGGTGATTTTCCCTCATATAGCCTAGCGTCTTGGCACCAGGGACGGAGAAATAAGGCATAAACAATCCTTTCTCAAAATATACCCTTTTTTAACTCCGAGACGAACGCTTTACGTATAACACTGTAGCTTACATGAATTTCCTATACTCTCCTACCTCACTACACCCCCCTGTATTAGTAAAGATGGCTATGGAAAAAATGGAATAGGTGCTAAGAGGCGGTAAACAGGTAAAGAGAGAGCTATATTTGGAAATTGAAAGGCGGTGAGATGCGACAAAAAGGATGCTTCCATGTTGAATTAGAAGCTTTACGTAATGTATAGATTATGCACCAAAATCCTGGGAGATATTAGATTAATCCGATGGCAGTGGTTTATTTCCTTAATGGTTAGAGGGTCGGACATTAATCAGCCTCACTTGCTACCTTACTAACTGCACCTAACTTTCCCGACCTGGTCTGAGGATTTGTGCAATATATATCCGACTATCATAGGCACGTATAGAATTGTCTAGTAACATAGCTTAAGTAGAGATCAATAAAGGTGTAGGCGAGTATGTTGAGAAACAAAGGGGAGATCAGATGAAAGGAGGATGCACAGATAGGTGGTAGTAAATTCTGATACTGTCTGCCTCAACCCGAAATCCAAAGTTGTTTAAGTCTTGCTTTATATATTTACCAAAGACAATTTTCAATTAATAACTAAGGTATAGGTCTCCCTATGCATTAAGTAAGCTCCTTAGTAACTACTATAAGTATAGAGAAAGTAGAGTCTCGACTAGTTTTATCAAGTTCTAAAATCATATTGCCACTTTTCCCTTTGCGGACACTGCACAAATATAGATATACTAACTTCGTGAAGGTAGCTTGGAGAGCGCATAAGACCTTTTCGGCCACATTTTCCTCGCTCACCACAGCAATTTCCTATTTAAATAACTGCCTCATGAGATAACGCGCTTAATATACTTACGCTAGACTAAGTTTGCTAGGCACCGAAGGGAATATAATCAAGGGATAGGTGATAAGTGAGATAAGGTATATAAACAGCGGCTCTATAAATTGGTTGTTCGAATTAGTTTGCCTAGACCTAGCACTCACCCGCCCTGTGGATCCAAGATCGTGGACCTCCACCCGCACCTCTAAGGGTTAGGGTATCAGTATTAATCACCAAATTGTCGGAAATTATAAGTACCTACCGTCCACGGAGAAACATTGATATCGGATGGAAGTATGTTATCACGGGTGTTGATAGTCCCAGGATTCGTAGTAACCGATATAACTGTCTCACTCGAACTACCAGATTAAGAACTACATTTTATAGTTAGTCAAATATTTTTCACTCAGGATTTTGATCAAAGTCATATATTACGGCTCATTTACAGCATTGCTGCCACTTTGGCATCCATCACCACAAGTCGTTCCGCAGAATCTATTGATTATTATTGTTGATCAGCCGGTTGGCCAGCCACGAATATGATAGAAGCTATATCATACCATATGGGGAACAGCAGATGTTCAAGAGACAGGTGGTATCGGCTACTTCGGCATATGCTTCAAGGGATATCGGCATCAGCAATGGTCGCTGTAAGAGAAAATTGGAGGAAACGTACGGCCACATTCGGCGACAACAAGTACTGGGTCGTCTGCTTGCAATGCTCGCAACTCCTCATCACCCGAGAAAGATCATGGAATATAAGTCCGCAAGAATCAGCCAATATCTCTCATGAGCTCATCAGGTCCTGGAGCCCATCACTCCGCGCTATCTTCAAAATGCAGGACTCGAGTCAATCGGCAATTAGATTGATTCTGTCTGCGAGGCCAGAGATCACGACCTGGGAGCCTTTTAGTCGAGTCACTCTGCTCGGCGATGCGATTCATGTCATGCCTCCGAAGGGTGTGATGGGTGCCAACACCGCTTTACGGGATGCGGCTGATCTTGCACGTCGGATTTCGTTGGCTGGTGGTGTTGATGGGATAGACCAGGCTGCCATTGGGGATTATGAGGCTAGCTTGGGTGGTTTTGCGAGAACGGCGATCGAACAGAGTTGGCAGGGGGGTATTAAGAGCTTTGGGTTGAAACTGGTTGAGCAATGCGAATTGATCGCGCTGTAATCATTGGCATATTAAGTCCATGTAACATAGGTATATTTATAAAGAATTAATCACTCCTCAGTCACTATTCCAATACTAGCCGAGGGCCGAATATGACGTCCTTGTTTGTCGATCACGTCCCAGTAGGGCATTTTGCATTTACTATCGTGAGCGGACAATTTACAGATAGTATTTGACATGACCAGAAATTGCCCCAAACATCAGACAGGCATTGATCGCAGTGTAAAGGCCTGTAGTCAAAAACTTTATGGTTAGGTGTGTCTTATTGCAATTGCTGCACAACAGACCTTTCACAAGGCTCTTATTGTAGACTCTCATTTTCATAAGATAAATGTGCGTTGTAATAGTAGCTCGACGGAGTGATCGGTTCTACTTCAGCCCATGTATTGACTCGGTTTTTGCCGCCGACCCGATCCAGAACAGTCAGATGATAGATGCCGCGGCTCGCGATAACCAGCTAAAACTTCAGATGGACTTTTAACCTCACCACCTGAACAGGCTAAGGCTTTCCACTTTCCCTCAGGGGTCATATAAGATCTTCTTAATATATTTTCAATATTACTCAATTGCTGACATACGCCATTGCTCCCCCTAGATACTGTATTACATCTCAACAACTTCCATAAAAAATTCGCCATCCCATCACATGGATATCCTTCAAATATCAAAAGTCAATTCGGTACTATAGCCTCCACATCCGATTTTTACCCAGCCAGTGGATCTAACCTATTCCGAGTTTGAGCCATCCGAGAATGCGAATTCGACATCGTCAGAACCACAATAGGATGGGGCTCTGGGAGAATCTCCACTTGCAGCAGATTCTGCAACAACATGATTATTGAGCTCGTTGACCGTGGTACCCATCACCCGGATATTTCGGAGATGTTCTAGAATCCCCTGCCTCTTTATGAGCTCTATTTCATCATCAGTGGGGGTAGGAAAAATTCTGGCATCAATATTCTGAGAAAAGTCCAGAATTGCTGCCTTGAACTCCTCCCCTTGCGCGTTGGTGATTTTTTCAGCATATACCGCCTTGTCGATATCTTCTAGCGTTTCATACCAATCGTAATTTGCTTTCCCATCACTGGATACATAGTCATACGCAGCAGCCGGAATAGTCATTTGGAGCGCCTCATCTTCGATCCCTGCGTACGTCTCGTAACGTTCGCTTTGAGCAGTTTGAACCGATTTAATCGCCTGTTTGATATCCGCATTCGATGGTTTGTACTTTTCCACGTTGAGAGCCGTGTTGGCGGCGTCTAGAATTGTTTCCAGGACGACTGTAAAGGGCATTTCATGGCTGAATTGAGCCATCAGTTGTTTCAAATAGTACCGCCCTGAGCTTGTGATCTTTTGCGTAATTGCGGCTACTTGATCCTTGCCGGGGGTCGTGGTGTGATCAGCTGTCGGAGGATTGTAGGGCCAGTTATCTTCGATCAGATGCTTGACGAATTGATCGAAATAGCACATATCGCCCTTATTGCTGGAGGGGGCACACCCGACAGCAATGGTTCTTTCGACTCCGGATTCCCATTGGAATTTGTACGCGTAGTAGAAGTATATCAGCTCGTAAGGAAGGGAGCGGTTGTTGGCAAGGACGTAGGTGGATAGGACAGAGCACCAGAGGAGAAGGAGATTGAAGAGCCTCATTTTAAAGATGACATACGGTCAAGAGAGCGTCTTGGATAATAAGTGAGAAATAAAAAATGGGAAAAAATGAGTGATAGATTGGAAAATAACGGAAATTGCAAGAGAGAGAGTGACAGAGAGAAGCGATTGCGAGCGAAATAATGAGAGAAATTTCAAATTGAACAAGAGGAAAAGATGGCGGTTTGCTAAATAATGTGATGGTCATTGTAACAGTGAACTAACCTGGATTGGATTAAAAAAAAGGAGAAAGAAATGGGGATTCTTACAGTACTATCCCTCTTGGGTACTTGAGTCTACGGCCTAAATCACTCAATCGCACAATCAATCGACATGTCGTTCTCCCCGTGGTTAGGCGGATTCGGATTCGATACGAGCACTCCTCGGGGCGGCATGTCGCCATCCGGAAATTATCACGATCCTCCCACCTTCTGATCATACTACTGGAAGCGAAATGAATACCCCTCTCGGTCGGAATGTTGATCGGAAGGCATGGTAGCTCCGTGATTAGCCAAATTGAGCAAAGAGAGAGTCCTTTCTAAGCGAGCAATCCGAGGGAAGACACAAGGAGATCCAATCGGATCCAGAGTAAAATGGAGGGTTTAAAGACCTTGTGCTGTAGACGAGAGTTCATGCATATCTAGCTGCAGCCTTCGTGGCTTCAAGGCTTGTTTTGGTCCCTGGATCTATTGAATCGTTGCAGTACCGGTCTCTCGCACTAAATGAGCGAAATTAAGCCCCTGCCTTATCGCCGTGCCGTTCCTTCCGCGATCAAATCAGGATCATCCGCCTTAAATGACAGCTCCATATCCAAGGGTCCATCGACCCTCCATCTGGTTAATGCGCCGGCGGTGCAACATGAGGCCGTCAAAAACTGAGGGTCGTGGGGGCCATTCCCGGCGGGCGTCCGGACGGCTTGGGCTTCGAGGCAACTGGTAGGGCTACTTTCGCAAGGTTGGTGGACCTGCCATTTAATTAAAGCGGGAAATGAGTGATCCAAGTGATCCGAGGGATGCGAAGAGACAGAGCAGAACAGATCATTTCGTTTACAAACCCGTGGAGAGGACAGGGTTGTCGTGCCAAGCGATTTGGGGCATTCGGGAGGGGTGACCAGATTTGGAGGGAACCGAGAACAATACAGTGGCACCGCACAAGTCTCCAGCCCCCCTACGAAGTACAACATACAGGACAATGGTATGTAACATTGTAAACCCGCTTTACGATCCGATGTCTCCATGACAGGGTAGTCAAATTTACTCGAAATCAATACAATACACAATGGTGTGGAAACTCTCACCCTTCCCCTTAGCAATCCACATGAACAAAACACGAAGCCCCCCAAATACTCCTCTAACTGCTCGAGGCCGTGGCTGCCGCACAGTAATAGCTTTCGTAGGCCAATACGGCGGTGGTCTCGTCGGTGTTACAGGCCTGATCGGAACAGTCGCGCAGGCCATAGTAGAAGTTGATGTTCTCGCAGAGACAAGAAGCGTCCGTTGTACTACTACACCCGAGGGTGGCATATTGGGCCAACATGTTGTAGAAGCAGGTCTGGCCGCATGTAGAGAGATTGGAAACGGCCGTCGGGGTCGCCGTCGCCGTGACTGTGGTGGTGACTGGATAAGTGGTCTCAGCTGCAATGGCCGATGTACAGTAACCGCTTTCAAAAGCAAGCACGGTGCTGGCAACATCCATTCCACAGGCCGCATTCGAGCAGTCGCGGATACCATAGTAGAAGTTGATGTTTCGGCAGAGGCAGGATGGGTCTGAGGTGCTACATCCAAGGCTTTCATACCTGGCCAGCATGTTGTCGAAACAGATTTGCTAGCAATTTAGCAATATAGGGTTAGTCAATAGGTTTTTTTGGTCACGGCAGCTGACTTACACCACAGCTAGGGAGCTGAGAAACTGCTGTCAGGCTGGCAGTCCCGGTCCTAGAGCTGGTAGAAGTGATGGAGGTAGTAGAAGTAGAAGAGAGGGTCAAAGGAGCAGTGATGCTGCTAGTGACGGGGACGGTGGAAGCGGCAGCAGTGGAAGTCGAATTGGCCACCGAAGTCGCCGGAGTGCCATCAAACGCAGTCGCAAATACCAAGGTTCCATTCACACCAGCGGTCGCCGGGATGACGGTTGCAAAAGCCGTGGAATCGTAGCTCGTGATGTCTATCAGCACCGAGGGCCAGATGCTGGATATGCAGACGGCCCCGAGCCCAGGACGGGTCGCGTTCTGGTAGTTCGGAGCGTAGAGACCATAGCGTCTACAGGTCGGCCACATTATTCTCGTCAGCATCTTCTCTCCACCCGAAGGGCGCAACACAAAACACATACCTGGGGCAGCAAATGATGTACGTCTCGGTGACATTATACGTCTCCCATTCTTGGGGGCAGACCAGCTGACTATACGGGGGCAACGTCGACGTGGCCACCGCGCTTTAGTAGAATTGACTGGGATAGCAGGATGAGAGCGTTAAAGTGGGGACCGGATTAATGATGTTTTGCCATAGCTCAGTTCCCCAGGATGCCACCATGGTCACCCCATCGCTACATCCTGAAGGCTGGGTAAAGACCGTGGTGAGGACCAACGGGTCTCCGGACGTGGAGGCTGCGGTGGTGGTATTAGGCGTTGGCGTAATGAGCGAAGTCGAGGTCGACGAAGTCGAGCTTGACAAAGACGATGAGAGGAGAGATGTCGGCGATGCTGTAGTACTACTAGTCGCGCTGACACCGGAAGTGGTCACGCCAATGGTCTCGAGCTGAGCGAAGGTGAGGGGCATTGACCCCAACGCAAGTAAGAAAAGTTGGGATACGGATTGCATCTTGGATGGTTGGTTTGGGAGCCAACAGAGAATGAAACAAGAGGCGTCCGAACACAGCCAGGGGAGAAGCAGAATGAGTGTGGCAATGGAAAATAATTGAAAACTTGAAAACTAAGCAAAAAAAAAAAATAGAAACGGATCAAGGAGGTTCGGCTTCACTAGATCCCTAGAGGGCTGTAATACAGAATCTGTACGCAGTGTACTTCCTCAAGATGGGATTAGGGCAGAACCGTGGAACCCGACGTACTCCGTAGCGACGGTTAGGGCCGCAGGGACTAAGCACTAGGAACAGCACTAGGGACTATTAAGGGAGTTAGGGACTAGTACCAGTCTACCGGGATGTACCCAAAGTCGGTCTCCGGTTCATGCCCGTCGGAATACACCCCTTATCGGATTTGATCTCAACTAGCAGGAGTCACGGAGGCACGGATACTCAACCGCCATGTCTTCGCCTCGGGTGACCCCGACTTAACGAGTACCGGCTCTATAAGTATTACACCCTAGTGCTTGGTGATTTGTGGATGCGCAGAGCCACTGCATTTTTCAATCCATTCAATCCTTTCAGTCATTCATCGGTCTTTGGACACTGGAACTTTCCAACTTATTCAGCTGTTCGGTCATTCACCCCTCGGTCTCTCTTTTTTCGCCTATCCTTTGTGACTATGAAATAACCATGGTGGCCTTGTTCCCCAAGAATCTCACCCTTTTACTTTTCCTATTCTACCTTCTCAGCCTCATTGCTGCTGCGACCCATCGCGCAGACGCTCCGTTTCACCTATGGCATCAACGGCGGGCCCTCGCAAATCATGCCAGCTCGAGCTACATTAATGCATCGAGGACCCTCAATGTCTCGAGAAGCGCCCTAGAGCAAGCCCAGAACCTGGTGGCATCGGCCATAGCTCAGCAATCCAAGTACAACGCCTACCGGGTAGCCGACCCAAAACGCAACACCTATAAGACACGACGATCCGGGGAGGCCTCGTCCAAGCGAAAAAGGTCCGGCGAACCCATGGCGCCCGTATTAGATGGCATGTTGAGGACCGCGGCGGCCCTCTTGGCCGAGCACCACGCATTACAGCAACTATCCAATGGAACTCTCCACAAGAGCTACAGCCAGTTGACCAAGATGCCCAATGGCCTTACGGGGACCAAACGGGATACATCCTCCAGCTACTGGCCGTCGCTGGTGGACCACGGTGTGCCCCCTATGGGATGGGACTCGTCCTACCCGGTCTATCGCGACGTTACGGACCCCCGGTTTGGCGCCAAGGGGGATGGTGTGACCGACGATACCGATGCCATCAACGCCGCCATTGCCTATGGCGGTAGCTGCGAGGAGGGTTGCGAGTCGTCCTCGACCAAGGGCATCTTTGTCTATTTCCCTCCCGGCACCTATCTCATCTCCTCTCCCATCGACGCGTCCTACTACTCTCAACTCGTGGGAGATGCCAACGATCTTCCAGTCATCAAGACTTCACCATCCTTCATTGGCCTTGGGGCCATTCAAAGCGATGTTTATATCCCCAATGACAATGGGGATGAGTGGTATATAGAGCAGTCGAACTTCTATCGGCAAGTCCGGAACTTCATCATCGACATCGAGGAGACTACGACAGCCTATGCGGCTGGACTCCACTGGCAGGTGGCTCAAGCGACCTCGCTGACCAATGTGTACATAACGGCTAGTGACGACTCCAAGACCACTCAGATGGGGATATACACTGAGAACGGCAGTGGTGGCTTCATGTCGGGCTGTGTGATCAGTGGAGGCCAGTATGGAATCTACGGGGGCAATCAGCAATACACGGTCCGAGATTTCTCCATCGCTAGTCAAACCACGGCCAATATTTGTCTGATCTGGGACTGGGGATGGACTTGGGCCGGAATGTATTTGTCGAGCGCCCCGGTGGGAATCAGCTTGATAAACCCGGCGGATCCCTCAGGCCAGCAGGCAGGGTCAACGTACATCCTGGATAGTTTGTTCGATGAGACTCCCATTGCTATCCAGGCCAACTTTGAGCAGTCGAGCATCTTGAATACCAGCATCATAACCCTGGACAATGTCGGAGTTAATGCGGTTGACACCATCATTTCTTTCTCGGACGGCAGCAGCCTCGACCTGGCAAATAGAGACCTAGACTTTGTCATTATTGGAAATGTCAAGGACCAGTCATCGCAGTCCTTTGGATCCTATTCCGTCAGTGTTCAGACCCCACCTGACACTCTTTTGGCCGACCCTCCCGACATGATCATCTACCGGGACAACTACTTCTACAAAAGCCGCCCTCAGTACCAGACCTTGTCAGTAGACGATATTGTCAGCGTCACGGACCACGGCGCCACCGGGGATGGATCGACGGATGATACGGCGGCCATTGTTGCGGCCTTGGCCCTAGCCACAACGGACAACCTGATCTATTTCCCTCCTGGGTCATACCTCATCACTGAAACGATCGTCATCCCGCCCAACGCGCGCATCACCGGCCAGGTCTGGTCCCAGCTCGTGGCATCAGGAGACCACTTCGCCGACATGACCGATCCCAAGCCCATGATCCAGGTGGGCAACGCCGGAGATATGGGTACCGTGGAGATTAGCGACATCCTGTTCACATCCATTGGGGAACTTCCAGGGTTGATCCTGGTGGAATGGAACGTCAAGGCGGAGACCCAGGGCTCCGTGGGTATATGGGATTCCCATTTTCGGGTTGGGGGCGCCTACGGCTCCAAATTACAGGTGGCAGAGTGTCCTGCCAGCGCGTCGATCGAATCGGCATGTGTGGCCGCGTCTATGATACTGCACATGACGGAAGGGTCCAACGGTTATTTCGAGAATATGTGGCTGTGGGTGGCCGACCACGACATTGATGACCCGGATAACACCCAAATAAATGTGGCCGTGGCCCGGGGCTTTCTCCTCGAGTCGACTTCCGGGCCGACCTGGATGTACGGCACGGCCTCGGAGCACTCGATTCTGTATCAGTACAACTTCGTCAACGCCACCAACACGTTTGCGGGCATGATCCAAACTGAGTCGCCCTACTTCCAAGCCACGGACTCAACCGAGTCTCCTGGGCCCTTTAACGCATCTGTGGGCCTGTTCACGAATGATCCCACCTTTCCCGACTCCACCTGCAATGCGACGGCTGAGTTGTGCGATATCGCATGGGCCGTCATCATGAAAGATAACACCAACCTGACCGTCGCCGGTGCAGGTCTGTATTCCTGGTACGATAACTATAAGGAGGAGTGTGTTGATACACAGAATTGTCAACAGCGGTTGGTCCTGGACGCGGGCGATAACGGGGGCCTCTATTTCTGGAACTTGATCACCATTGGATCTGTGGAAATGATCAGCAACACGGCGGACAACGACATCATTCTGGCCAAGGACAACACTCAGGGCCTTAGGCATCCCTTCTGGAGTGCCCTGGCGGGCTATCTGGATGACTACCAGCCACAGATCCTCTCGTGCCCGGACAACTCCATCGATCCCGCGTGCCTTTCGACCTGGAAATGCGATTTGAGCCAGACATACACCACAGTAGACAGTCTCAACGTGGCCGCGTCTGACTACCCGAACCAGTGCATGCCATACTACGCCCTGGGCACCCTCTATTATACCCTAAACAACACCATGGCAAATTACACCTCCACCAACGTGGACTACGACAAGTACTTCGGATACTACCAGGAATATGTCCGGGACATGGTCCCTGACGCTCTAAACGAATTCATGGCGGCCTCCACCCCCAGCCAACCTGAAGGTGGTGCCGGCAACAAGTATTTCGACTGTACGTGCTCACTCTACGGCCCGACCTCGACCCAGCAGTGCCCGTTCAGATACAGTCAACTTTTGGGCGCGTTGATGTTCACCATGACCTATACCCTGAAAGACGCGGACGGCTTCTATAGCGAGCTCGAATCAACCTACGGCATCGATAAGACCTGGGTGAAGTTCGGTGATACGGGCGGCCCTGTTCACCAGATCGGCCACTGCCGCCCCGGCGAGTGCTCCTCAGGCACCGACTACCGCTACATCAACATCCCCCAGGCCGTCAGTTCCCACAAGATCGACGTCTCAAACCCCAAGGACATTATCACCACCGCTCTGCCCTCTGTTAGAAAGCTAAAGAACAACATCATGGCCCGAAGCATACAACTCAACCTCGGCGGCTGGAATGGTGCCTCCCAAGACTTACTCGAAACGTTCTCACTCCCCGTCTTTATGCTCCAGCAGGCCGTCACCTCCATGGCCAATGTCAAAGAGATCGGCAAGAAACAGGCCAAGAAGGACAAGATCAAACTTATTCTCGAGATTCTGGGCATTGCCTTCGCCTTTGTCCCTTTCCTGGACGACATCAGCCCCGAACTGGAAATCCTGGACGGCGTCTTTGAAACCGTCGCTGCTGCGGGGAATGTTGCTCTTAGCATTCAGAGTATCATTTCTGACCCGGCTTCCGCCCCTATGGTTCTCTTAGACTTGGTCGCGGGCGGTGGTCTGAGAGATGACGAGAACTTCGCGAAGGCGGCTGCCGCGCGTCGCGCGCTCACGGCGGATGACCTTGAGAGTATTGGAAAGGATTTCAAGGCTGAAGATGATAAGTTTGAGGATCTGACCAAGATTACCTGTGAGATTTAGGGAGGAAACTATCTCCCGCTTGAATGGAGGGTGGGAAGAGGGGGAATGTTTACCAGGTTATACATCGCTAACCGGCTGAGATATAGGAGATGTCTTTTCGAAGTAGATGATGAACAATCAGCTGTAAATACAATGCGACCTTTCTTTCAAGTGCATTGCGAAGGCCAAATATCGCGGGGCCCGGTTGTGCTAATAGTGTTAAAATATCCCTAGTATGTGTTGAAGAACGTGAAATATTCTCTAGAGTCTAGCATTCGCTCCACATCCGCTCAATGAACAACATATCGCCGTTTGGTATCAAAATCCCGGACCAGGCATACGCCTCAGCCTAAACACCTCATTCCAGATATGCTCTCTGATCAGATTCTGACGGCGATGTGCCGCCTCCTCCATTCCCATCGGCCAGTCATCCGTTCCACGGAAGATCTCATCCACCAGTTCGCGAGGCAGTCCCGCCGTGGCAAGAGCGTTACCCGCTTCCTGCATCCACCAGTGATGCTGCTGCGGCGGCACATTCCGAGTCGAACACACGCGGTAATGTGGGTCAACTAGATACATCTTGATTGAACGATAATGCCCCGGGAGAGACGCATCCAGCAGCTGAAACGGTTCGACCCGGTACTCCAAAACGCTCGGAAACGTGATTAATCGACCCTGAGGAGTCGCGACAGACCCGATACTCTGGTATGATAGTGTCCCGTGAAAATCGCCCCAGAGGTCAAGAGGGTTGTCGAATCCCAGAATATCCGCTATTGCCACGATTTCTCGCCCGGCCCCTTTGCCACATCGGTGGGCTCGTAAATTGCGGATATTGAAGTCCCCCGTAGTATACAATTCCTCGGCGTACTGGTAGTAGACTCCGTCGAGGGTAGTGTACTGTCGGAATGAAATCTGGGGGGAGGTGATGTTTGAGACGTCGTAGGCGAAGATGGCGACGGCGGCGAGATGTTCGTTTAGTTGGCCGTCGAGCTGCCAGGAGTCGTTGGTGTATGTGGGATTTTTGGGGGTGAGTTCGATATTCTCCATCTTTATGATGATTTGCAGGCCTTGGTCGCGGAAGGTGTCTTGGAGAGAGATCGTGTAGGGGGTGTGTGGAGGGGTGAGAGGCTCAAAAGGCTGCCGATCCGGATCCCAGTTACTCCGGTGACGGACGATGTCGATGATGGCTTTATCTTTGTGTCGGTTGGTCTTCCACTCTTCATACGAAAAAGCGGTTCCCGGTTCCGGGTGTTTAAAGCGCAGCAGACGCTTTAATTTATTTTCAATGCTCCGCCACGGCTTGACCTCCCCCTCCATCCAGTCGTCTGGAGCTGCGACGGGGGTGTTTGAGCCGTCCTCTGGGAGTTCTAGATACTCCTTGGCTCTTTGCCAGAGGTCCGAGTCCGGCGGAGGCAGCTTCTTGTGTAGATTGTCTGCCACATCTCGTAGCCCGCTGAGCCGCCTTTGCGCGTCGAGGTGCTTTTTTCTACCCTTCCTCGTTTGGTCATCCTTGCTGCTCTGCAGCGCTTCTTGGGCTTTGCGGTATATTTTAATCCTGGGTTCAAAGGGTATTCTAAACGCGAGCGCCCATTCAGGAAGCTCATTCTCCCATTCGACCCCGTAGGTGATGATACGTAGGGGAACCGGCCCCAATTGCCCCTGGTTGAATTGATCATCCCAGCCACTCTGTCCCTTCACCAGACAATCATTCCACGGCTTGATTGTCATGGAGATGAGTTTCTCAATAGCCTGGTATAGACCCTTATGAGCTGGGTGCAAGTTATTGATGTAAGAGGTGATCTGCACCTCCGTTCTGAAGTCGTGGAGAAATTCCACCTCACATGGAAGGCATTGGTAGTTGGAACTCCAGTGGTAGAACTCGGACTTCTCACCATGGGGAGGGCTAATACCCCAGCATGGAGTGCCAAGCCTGTCTATATCCTTCTGCACGGACTGGGAGTTGATCCGTCGATCGTAAGGCTTGGGCGCGACCGTTGCATCTCGATAGCAGCCCAGCACGTCGTCGAGGTCCACTCGTCCTCCGTCCGTCAAGACCAGGCTTCGTCCATAAACCAAGGGAAATAACAACGGATCAACCACATTCAACACGGTTTCGGACTGCCAATCTAAAATTCGCTGTTCCTGCTGCTCCTCCAATAAAGCCGGAACGGACCCTCTGAACACCGCACTAAGAGAGTCCAGAGTCTCCGTATCTGCTTTGCACACGCACGATCCGGTATCAAGAACGCGGATATGGGTCTGGCGATTCTCGCGGAGATCAACCGCTTTATCGCGGAGCTCCTTTACGCACCATTCCCACGCCTTTTCGCTCATCAGTGGGGTTGTGTCAAAGGTCTCTTGTTTCCATTCCGCGACAACTTCATAGTCGAAGATCTTCACGTACCACGCAGGCCGATCGGTGAGGTGGTTCATCACGGCGACCATGGTCAGCTCGCGGGCCGTGACGGCGGGGGCCTGTCGCCACTCCACCGTTCCGTGCGCAAAACGGGCGTTGGAAGGGAGTTCATAGTGGACCGGGATGCCTGCGAACCCTGGGACTCGAAGCGGACCGTGGCCAGTGTTGTCGAATTTGGTGTCAACCTGCTCGGTTTCTTCAGTCATGAGAGAGGAATCTAGTTTGGTTAGAGCATGCGTGGATACCGTCAAGGGGGGAGATTGAAAGATAAGTGATTGCGATATGAACAGGTAGCCTTACCCATGGATGATTGAATCAGGATTAGTTAACGTAACGTATTCGGTAAGCGAGCCGGCCACCTCAAAACACAATAGTAAATGCGATAAATTACAACTTTATAACTTAACAACCATAGCTTCCTATAATATCTTCTTATAAACTTATATTCTTTATACTGAGTCTAACATTTTTCAAAAGCCTTGAAAGTTTTTAGGATATACTGATTAGAAGACATATCCTTGAAGCTGAAAAAGGTTAAATTACAGTGTATTTTTGGTAAAGATTGTCAAATCAAAATTAAATTGAGCTAGACTCTTAAGATGTCAGAACACGTAATATAAGGGCCAATCAGCGGTGAAAAGAACTCTGTATTGCTATACCCCTGAATCTGGCAATTTAACGTAATTCACGGCCAACCCGTTAACACGGCCAACCCGTTAGTCCACCTCCATTACCAATTTTCTATTCAAGATAACTCCACCAAGAAAGTATAAATTCATCTCAAACTAGCGCTTCTTACAACGATTAATCTTATGCCCTAACTCCCCACACCCGCTACACCTTGGCGGAGCCCTCTTGCGTGGCAAATCTGCCTGACTAGCTGATTCGCCTGCCTCACGCGATACCACCGGGCTATCTTCAACTGGCTGGTCTGGCTGCTGAGCTAGCAGTTGGCCCTCTGCGATAGATAGGCCTCCTTCATGTGCTATTTGTCGATTCGACCGTGTACGTTTCTGGCGTTTCTTCTCGTTTGCTCTACGTAGACTAGCGTTCTCCTGCGCTAGTATCGCAGCGTTATACATCGATAAATAAGCACCTTTGATAATCTGATCCACAGCAGTTTTTGAGGGTGACGGAGGGCTATTTGACCGCTGTCTCAATAGATTCTTGAGTAAGGTAGCCTGCTTTTGTAGCTGAATCACTGTTTTAGGCGTTTTTGGTGTGAATTGGCTAGATCTACTGCTTAGTCGGCTTCCTGGCGGTGTTGGCGTTCGGAGCGAGATATTGAGCTTAGAAAGCACACGCTCTGGGTCAAACGGTGTAAGACCAGTAGCAGCGAAGCTAGTCTGGATAGTCTGCGGTTGAAACGCCTCGATACGCGCCCGAGGGTAATCTGCGAGAAAGTCGAGCTTATCGATGTGGTTATAGCCATATCGGGCGAGGTCGCTCACGAAGCGACCGTATGCGCGCTTCAACGGAGCAAAACACGCAACATCAAGCGGTTGGAGTAAATGCGAAGAATGCGAAGGCATACAGAGCGGTATAATATTATTCTCAGCGCAGATTCGGTCGAATTGAGGTGTAAGGTGGCTACCGTGGCCATCAAGAATTAATAGCCGATATCGACCTCGTACGCGCGAATTCGTATATGGAATGAAGTGCTTCTGTAGCCAGCGAAGGCCTATCTCATCGGTAGTCCAGCCGTTATTCGAGACCTCAATCCGCCAATCGCTAGGCAGATTTGATTCGAACCAGCCAGCAATATAAACCTTGCCTTGAAATATCACACATGGCGGTAGTGCGTAGCCATCGGCGCATATAGCCTCGATAGCAGTAACCCATTCGCGGTTTCCTGGCTGTAAGATAGAGCGCCGACCGTAGTATTCAGCTCGCGTAACCACCTTCTGTGACGATATAAGGCCCATCGCAAAGCCCGTCTCATCAAAGTTATAAATATCCTCTAGTTGTATCCCATTCTCATCGACCACGCGCTTTACGGTATTAAACCACTCTCGTATCGACTTCGGATCTTCATTCAGGGCGCGCTGGTAATCGTAGCGTCTCGAGAAGCGCGAGCGGATCTCTTCGCGGCGTTTAACGAAGGATGATGTCCAATTCACGCCTACAGTAGGCGGAGGGTGAATCCCACGAGTGGCCAGTAGGATATTAGCCATCTCTCTCACAGTAGAGGGCCTAGGTGCTGCACCACGCGAATCCATAGAGATGATCCACTCAGTAAGCGAATCCTCTTCTAATTGTGTCATTTTATGGCTATGCCAGCGTTTATCGACGCGTGGAGACGTTCCGGTAGCGCGGTCGTGGAGGGTAGTGTAGGGCATATCGTATAGCTTCGCTGCGGCGTAGAGAGATTTAATTTGGCCCTTTTGCACCGCCTGAAGGGCTAATAGGATCCTGCCCTCCTGCTCAGCAGATTTATGCCAGGATTCAGAGCGATTTGGTGGCATGGTGGGTAGTTGAAGATGGTAGGTAGGACTGGACGCGCGATTTCTGGTGGGGCTAACGGGTTGGCCGTGTTAACGGGTTGGCCGTGAATTACGTTATGGGGGTTTCTGATTACATAAGAAATAATTACTTCGGATCATCCAATAATCCGGTCTCCATAGGCTGTTCGTTCCGACAGAAGGGGGGTTGGTAGTATCAATTCCCTATATGTAATGTACCAGGGACCTCATTATCTTCATTGCCTACGCTCCCTTGAACCTAATAAATACAGTTCTTCATTATCACGAAATCTCAACCCTCTCAAGTCAGCACTAATCGTCCTCTGGCAAGTCAAAAGGCTAGGTATTTCGCAGGTCTCCTTCATTTGTAGTTGGTTCATCGTCGTCTGGATCTTTGTTTTCCAATACGGCTTTCAACGTTCCCTTGAACATTGCCAAGTTTTCTGCTTTTGCCGCTTCTCAGCCCTCTAGAGGCACCCACCCATCAGATGCACTGTCAAGCAGGTTTGACAAATCACGCTACAGGTTCTGGGCCGCTACAAAACGTCTGCATTCCTTCTGATGCAATCCGTATCTTCTGGGACTGACAACGGAAATGGACGCGAGTCAGAGAATCCGAGTGCCTCCCAGTTTTTTGAGGTCTCAAGCGCTCGGGCTGAAAAGCAACTGCGCCATCTTTTCAAAGGCTGTAGCAGTACCTAGAAGGTCGAAATGGGCCTTGGTTCATCAATCAAGGGCGAACGAGCCTCGGGGTAAGAAATTGAGTACAAATTTCGTAGGCTTTTATGCACAAATTGCCGTCATCAACCTCGCTGGCTCTCAGGTTTAACAGCAGGGTCTTGTGAAGTCTTGAAGGGACTTGCGTTACGTCCTTCAGCGGGTCGTCGACGTGGAAATAGATTACACTCTCCACCACGTCTATCCCAGCATTGTCAAGCAGCTCCACCATCAGCCCCCGCTCATACGACCAATATTACATCGAGGGTCATGGATGCCCTTCATCAAGCAAAAGAAAAAGAGTAATGGCATCTTCAAATTATATTTAAAACAGAATTGAGTCCATAGACAAGAAAAGCCACCTCATGGTCCGAAAAGAATGCACACGAGATCTTCATCACTCCTAGCCCGCGCTGATCGAGACAGTATGCAGGCTTACAGCATCACAATACCAACACCTCCCATCCTGTTCTCATCCGGGAGATTCTTTTGGTTGACACCGCCGGCAATAGGGGTCGTCCGGTAGTTGTACAGGTAGAAGTGGAGCTGGCTAATACCTGCGCCGAACTTGAGCTGTTCGAGAAAGAGAGGGTTGTCCTGGGTGGTGAGTGCGTTAAAGACGTCGAAGTGGGTCTGACAGACACAGGACATGATTAGTACCGACAAATAAGGTGAACAGTGGACTCCAGGGGACGAGATAAGTGGGCTTACCCGCTTAGCAAGGATAAGTGCATCGTTCATCAGCATCAGGAGCCGGTCCTTGTAAGCCTTCATGTCGTTCGTGAAGGCTGTTTCGGTGGCGTAGTAGTGCAGGTAAGCAGCGCGTACCTCCTGGTGTTTCGGGTGCTGGATCACAGTAGACGGAAGGCAGTAAAAGGAGAAGAAGTCGGTAATATTATGCGTTTCAACATCCTCCGCCACGTACGACCACACTACCTGCTCCTTCCCGGGGCTCTCTTTGTGTACTAGCCAGTGTGCGACTTCCTCTTTCGTGAACGTCGGGTTTATATCGTAACGGCGTAGGTAGCGCTCTAGCAGATCATAAACTGCGTCGATATCCTTGGGTCCCATAGGTCGAAGCCGCGGGGTCGACGTACTACTCGGGAGATGGTTCTTGGTAACTTGGCGGGCCTTGGTTGAGCCGTAGGGGAGCGACGAAAAGCCGACCTCATTCAGCTTCAGCCAGTCCAGGGAACGGTGATAGTAGCGGCACGAGCTCACCGGGGTAGGCAGAAGTACACCGGCAGTGTAGACAGCCTGGTAGATTCCATTCAGGTAGCAGCGACGAGTGATCTCCTTGATCAGAACGGGGGCCAACCGCTTGGACCGCAGCTTCTTGTGGACGCAAAGGAAGTTAATCTCTATGACCTTCAGCTTCTGGCCCCGGACGCGGACCTCCGTAGGCACGCCACAGATTGACGCGACTAGCTTGCGGGACTTGGTCGCACGCACGCCGACATGCCATTCCTTTTTCCAGCCGGGAGACATCAAAGCCCTATTTATATTAGCATGCGTATTAGCATTTGACTTTCACTTCTTCCTTGATACGGGGACCATAATAGCACCATCAACTCCAGCCAACGTACCAGTGTAGAAATGACTGAGAGTATCTAAAGCGGAACATGGCATCATCGTCTTCCACATAGTGATAGGTGAGCAGATCCCATAGCTCCTGGAGCTCCGTCTCGTTCGTCAAGTCGAGGGTCGCCCACTCAAAACCCTCGATGAGCGGATCGGGCTTCTTCGATACCTTCTCGGGGTCAATGATCTTGATCGGTCCATCGCTGACCCTGCCAGACCCGTCGAAGCGAGGCACCGGCTGCGTCTGCCAGAACTTGAAGGAAGCCATGTCCTTCAGGCTCTTTCCCTCCAGTGTGAGTCCGGTCGATAGATTGGTGATATCTATCTCGCGCAAGGTGGCATTGTCCTTGTCTATTGCGCCCAACGCATTCTTCAAGACGGGGCTGGTCTCCAGCAGCGCTTCCGCGACACTCGGAGTGTTCTCCTTGCTGGACAATTTGGTTGCATTTGCGTTGTCGGCTTCAGAGGCCTGCGTCTTGCCCTTGCCATTGAGATCCTCAAGGTTCGACATCGTGTTGGGCGGTTTGCATGGGTAGGGGAAAGCGGGGGTGAAAGAGGGGTGGGAGAAAATAGGAGCGAAAATGACTCTATCGTGGGTAGACCTCGGCAAGGACCGCAAGGGACCGGACCAGACCGCGGACCGGACCGCACTATGCAGGGCCCGGTCCTAACTTTTCAAGGACCTGCACTAATGCGGTCCGGTGCGGTCCTGCGGTCCTGTAAATAGGACAAATATAGAAAACCCCGTGATATACATATTTTATGTAGAATCTGTAGGTATTTTTTAGTATTTTACTTTTATTCTTTATAAGGAATAGTTATAGCTAATGCCTACTGAAAAGATTGAAGAGGATTTTTGTAGAAATTGTGATAACGGGAGTATCTTACCGGGGGTTTACGGTAGACCTGGCACTCACCCGCGGGTGACCCTCCGGACCCTCCACCCGCACCTCCTCTTGGCGGGTGGAGGGTCCGACTTCTAGACCCTGAGGGTCGGACATAGAGGTGCCCGACCCTCCGAGGGTCACCCAGGCCAAAGGGAACCTAGACGGGTCTAGGTCTAGGTCCGGGTCTATAAGGTTAGACCTAGACCTAACGCGGGTCGGTTCACGGTTCCTGATCATAGATCCGTGGGTTGGGTGAGTGCTAGCTCTAGTTGATATAGGTTAGGTATAGGTTATTTATAGGTTTTAATAGGTTTCTATAGGGTCTTAATAGGTTCTCGCTGGTTATAATAGGTTCTCGCTGGTTATAATAGGTTCTTGTGGGCTCTCAATAGGTTCTCGTGGGTTATAATAGGTTTTCGTGGGTAGACTGCGCCATAACCCGCAATACGGGTCAAGACCTTCAACCCGCACCCGAACCCATAGCGGGTTCAGGTTATAAGTTGTAACCCGGACCCAACCCAGCGGGTTATAAATCTAGATTTAGAAACCCGCAAATAACCCATCTCAACCCGAATTTACATAAAATTTAGGTCTTGGCATTCATAAAAATACTTAGTAATTATGTACGGTATTCTTTAATACACTTTATATCTAGTTATCTATTACCTTATATATATAAATAGATATTATATAGGCTATATATAGGCTATATATATTTTTATAATAGATATAAGGCTAGATTAGGTAAGTGGGGTAGATAATTAGGTCTAAATTATATATATATATATTTCTCGGAGGGTAGGTGCACCACTTTTTCTAAGAGCTCTATAATTTATTCGAAACCTCGAAATCTAGCTTTTATATATATATAAGCCTTTATATAAAATATATAGCCTATTATCTATATAAATATCTCTATATATACTAATATTACCTAGGATAATATAGTTAATACAACACTAGAACATACGTATTTTTGCATAATCTATATATAGCTCTTGCGGGTTGGGTTCGGGTTGGCGCGGGTTTTGGCGCAGTCTATTCGTGGGTTATAATAGGTTTTCGTGGGTTAGGCCTACTAAAAATGCCTACGCTAAACTAATTATATAAGAAATATAAGAGTTATTAGTCTAATCTAGTAAATAATCGATAAGTCTATTAGCGTAGAGCTTATTTCCTATAATAATCTCTTAGTATATCTTCTTTATTTCTTTATTTACCCTAAGTACCCTCTCACTTCGCGATATATCTCGTATTGAGGGATTTATTACCGTGGATCTTTCCTCAATCTGTCATTTGTCAGCTGAGGTGTCTTGCGTCTTACCGGCTGCAACGTTACAGATTGGAGTAAGAGGCACCCTTGCACAGTGGGGCCACGAACCCAAGGCGTCCTTCGATGAGGCGGCTCGGCTGAACTCGCCCACAGTACTTCCAATTGATGTGGCAACGAGGCAGTGATTTAGTCGTTCTGGGGTCGGCGAGGCGGTATACTGCACGGTTCCCGGCTAGCATTGCCCTGGCAGCGTCTGGGATTCAAAAAGGCTCACTGACCCCCTTCTTTTCACTCTCTGGATAGGATTCAGAACGGACATAGACACACTAGGCCAGTGACCGCTGCACTTATCTCCAAGGTTGCTTTATCATCTGTCGGTACCTACCTCCGCTATCTCTATCACTTTCTGTGAGATGGAGGTGAATCTTGATCAAATCGAGTTCTCCTATAGCCCAAGTCGCCAGTCGCCTTTTACCAGTGCCAAAAGCGTGACTCCTAGTCACGTTCTGGCCCACGTGCCGCGATATCTCCAGCAGTCCTTTCTCGCTGGAATTGGCTTCCGTCCAGGACCGTATGCAGTGCCTCTAGGACAGCCACCGCCACTAGCCAGTAAGACTTATAGGTAGAATATATTTGATTTCGAGATCAATAATGTCTACGGTCCTACTCGGCCTAAAATAACGAAAGATGTCGAACCCCTAGTGACAATAAATATGCTAGCTGCCTATAATATTCTGTTGGTACGCGGAACTTCCGCTATACCTTCTTTAGGGCCAGTGCCACTGATAGACTCTCCGAAAATATTCCTATATCTTATAGGGCTAGATATACAGGAAAATGATTTACTATGTAAGTTGGCACAATATTTATGGAAGTCGGCTAGCATTCTCTGATTGTCTGACTTTTCTTAAAAAACTTTTTAGACGCTTTTCCTGATACTAAAGAAAAGGATACTTCTCCAACCTCGTGCGTGCCTTGTGTGACCGCGCTCGTGCCTGCACCTAAATAAGACAACTATCCCTTTAGCGACCTGTCCGTGATCGGTGATTCCCGATAAGAATCAGTTAAGCGGAATATATCTACTATAGAGCCCTTAGACAGTCTGCACCCTCGAGACTATAAAAATGATACGGAGCTAAGTCAGATTACTAATCTAGTTGAGAATTCGTGCTCCAGGGCAAACGACGCTCTAGAGTGGGAAGACTTCGGCACTGCTAAAGATACGTCAGCCCTATCTAGCCCGTCCGCTCCGCTAGGCGTGCGCTCTACTCTAGAGTGTTCTCGTGTTCTATAGATACGGGCTTCCAATTAGACCTTGACACAGCCCGCCCATGGGCCTAAGGAGGCCGCCCGTAGCCCGCCCGTCCAAGCCCGTCGGGCGGGCACGTACATACCAGGCCCGCCCATGGTGCCCGCATAGGGCGGCCCTGGGCGGGCCCGCTTTCGCCCATCTTGTGCACAATTATCCCGATTAGGATGTATACTCTGATGATTCAGCTGAAAAATAACCTGTTATTAACATATGTTCTAGTTCTGTATTGTCTGACTAGAGATATTTACCTACTTCCTTAATGAAATAAAAGAAATTTAGGCTGTATTTAGAATTGACATTGGTGTATGAATATGAATACACCACAAATTTAAACCTATACGATTGTTATGGTGGGTGATTTGATGAAGTAGTGTAAATGCTTGACTTCATCCTGAATATATATATTCGCATAGCATACTCTTGGGCTGTCACATATAACAGTGTAACTGTTGCAACAAATTCTTTTAAGCTACTCTTAATTACGTGTCAAGGGCTAATAATGATTTAGATTAGACAAAGTAAGTTCACGCTTTTAATTCATTTCATATTCTAACCATGGCATAGAGGCCCGGCCCCTCTGGATGTTGGAATGAATCCTAGGGGGATGCCTTCCTGCCTAGTTTTCTAACATAAACGGGCCGGACCGGGCGGGACTTGGCAGCCCAGGGCACCGCCTAGGGTGGCCCGTTTATCTTACCCAATCATACCTCTTATATTCTAAAGCGGTGGATTCTTTTCTGATAGATCACTCTATTAACCACAACACTCTTGTAGATTGCCCCTTATACGTAGTGTACTTTTAGTATTATGAAAAGAGAGCATAGTAAGTCTTCTGATTTCTTCCTCACCCTTAAGCTTTGGTACATAAGGCTACTAGCTCTGCTTCATTATGTCGTAGTAGTTAAATTATTATAGCTCGTCTGTATATGAGGATAGTATAGCTTTACTTACTCCTGTTCCTACATTGACAGACGCGCTTTCGACTTCATTTGCCGACTTAGATAGTCTAGCACCATTTACATCCGAGCACTTTTTAAGCCAAGCATCCCTTATATCTGCGCTCGATCTCGATTTCTCTCAACTTCTCTCGGTTCCCCCAATCCTCACCCGCGTTAAACCTGATCGCCGATCCGAATTCGTTCTTTTCGATACTATAAGTAAAGAAGTCTTTGTTCACTGGTGGCTATAAATAACCTTTGGAAAGAGACCTGAAGGGAAAGGATTTGTCTAGGATCGAGCTAGACATTTATCTGAAGTATGGAAACACTTCGATTAGCTTGCTTCAACTTCCGATGGCCTTCCAAAAGTTAGATGCTAGCGATGTCATAAGATACTTGAGCATCTAGGGCATACTAAGTAAGGAACAAACTCTATGGGTCGGCATTAGAGAGGAGAAAAGTGTCGTCGGGCTAGAACACAGACTCAACAACCTAATATTCGTTGGCTTTTACAAGACGAGGTAAGTAATACTCCACTAATAAAAGACTTTACTAATTATTTAATAGGCTAGTCATAACGGTCTAATAACCTAACCACCTAGCAAAGAAGAGTGGGAGGACGAACTCACAACCACAATCGCTATTCTCCGGCTTCCATTTTAGGTTGTTGAGCACCCACAATTCCGGAAGTTTATCTAGATATCTCACTCAGTTTCGACTCTACCAGAGTTCCCTATAGGCCGAACACTCCAGCGAAGGCTCCGTGCCCGTACAAAAGAGAAGCAACAACGAGTACTCGAAGCCTTACCACTAAACACGAAGATTTCAATTGCTCTTAACTGCTGGACATTACCATATGGATAGGCATTTATGGCTGTCACTGGCTACTTTATTGACCTAGATTGGAACTATCGCGAGATTCTTCTTGGTTTTGAGCCACTCTATGGAATACATTCTGGTGTTAACTTGAGCGCCGTGCTTCTAGGTTTACTTCAACAATATAATATTGCCGATCGGATCCTGGCGATAACCACCGACAATGCATCTAACAACACTACTCTGGTTTTAAGTATCCAGGATTTAGTACAATCACTCGACCTTCAGGATGATACAACAATCATTCGAGTTCTATGTATCGTTCATGTGATCCAATTGAGCTTAAAGTAGCTCCTCGGCCAGATGAAAGCCAATCCAAGAAACGAAACTACTGAGAAGTGGTCAGAAGCTCGGTCGCAATCAGTTTCAAAGAACGCACGACAAAACAAACGGGAGATTGTGGACACTCTTAATAAGGTAGGGCCTTTCTTCTATTATAAGGGCTTTTTATTAATAATAATATAGGTTCGAAACCTCGCTATCTATATCAACGCAAGCCCACAGCGTCGTGAAGCATTTTCTAGTCTCCAGACTTCAACACTAAAGCTCGTTCCTATCCAAGATGTGAAGACTCGCTGGAATTCAATATTCCTTATGCTCCGTCGAGCTAAACGACTATAAGCTACATTTAATGAATTTTGCTCGCAGTTCCAGTTAAGAGACCTCACTCTTAGTGGAGATAAATGGCGGCAGATTGAATATCTTCTCTGGATCACTTAGCCATTTTTTAAGTTCACCACTGCCCTCTGCAAAAGCAAAGATACCACAATCCATATTATCTTTGAGATCTATAACAACCTTTTTGAACACCTTGAAACATCAACCCGCCAGCTTCAAAGAAAGAAAGTTCCTTAGAAGCAAGGTATGCTCAAAGCACTTAGTGCTACGAGAGATAAGCTTGCAGAGTACTATGCTAGAACAGACGAAGTTCATGGTAATCTCTTTACGATTGGTACAATCCTTGCACTAGAGCATAAGCTTCAGTTCTTTAATAGTAAAGACTAGGAATCTGATACTGCTGACATAGACTGGCGACAAAGATACCATAAAAGCTTGCAAGATACCTTTGAGTCGTATAAGCGACGTCTTACGAACACACAGACGTCATCCCAAGCTCAGTTATCTACGCAATCTATAGAGATAGATGAGCTCTAGGTTATGCTTAAAGGAGCAAAACATCGCTAGCGATTGAGCCAACGTGATGAGACTACACAGTACCTTGAGAGTGGTAGGTCAAAACCTATACTATTAATTGATTATTTATTAACTCTTCTACTAGATACTATTAAGATTTCTCCACGGATGTTCTGGAAGGAAAATCAATATAAATATCTAATTCTTTCTGCAGCAGCGCGTGATATCCTCTCTATCCCTGCGATTGGTGTAGGTGTAGAGCGACTCTTTAACTCTGCGCGTGATGTCTGTCACTACCGTCGGGGCTCACTAAACGACACGACTATCTAGGATCTAATGATGTCGATGTGCGCGTCGAAATTCGATATCGAGGAGAAGCAGCTTGCATTAATAGATGAGTTTCTATTAGATAAGGAAAAAGAGCAGGCTCGTGAGGAAAGGGACACCCCATTACTTGAAGATCTAGATCCAATTAGTGACGACGAGGAGGATGATTTAGTTGTCTCCTAGGTATAGCCTATGACCCAGGAACTTTCAGAGCGTGCCGTAGGGAAAAGACGCTAGACTATAGCATCTAATATTGAGGATGAGGGTCGGAAAGCTACTCCATCTGATGATGAGGCTGAACATCCTTTGCCTAATACCTAGCGCGTTTCAGGGAGAAATCGGAAGCGTGTAAGACGTGAGGATGAAGATTTTGTTTATTATTAGTATATCATTAATACTTTAAATTGATCATATCGCGTTTACTAAAACCTATATTCTACTCCATGTTAATCTATACACCAAACAAAAACCAGGTGGTGTAAGCTAGATACCGAAAAATACAGAAGAAAACTGCATATTTAATGCATTTCCCAAGACTCTCTATGTTTGCACTGTTTGACCGCCCGCCGGGCGCCCGTCACGCCCAACTGGGTAGATAAATCCGCCCATAGTAGCCCGCCGGGCAGGGGAAACCCGCCCAATGCCCGCCCATGGGCGGGCTCGGGCTCAGCCCATTTAGGGCGGCCCAGGGCTGTGTCAAGGTCTACTTCCAATATCCCGGTGCGCTATCCATCGATAGCTATGGTTATACCACCCCTATCCTAGCAGCAAGGAGCCGCTAGTACAAGCACGAGGGCCGCTGCGGTATTATGCAAGAAGCGACTCCGCTCTAGCCGAGGCACCGGCAACGACTAAGATAGGAACACCACCTTTTATAATATAGAACTACTAGTTCAAAAGAGGAAGAAAAGACGACCTTCACTTAGGCCGCTTTCCGGCCCTTCGGACTTATCCATTCCCGCTTTATCTCGTTGTTCTAGTGCTATTCAGGGTGTACGTGGCAGTGCTCTCCTCACTATCGATACCAATTCTAGCTTGAATCCGGCATATTTCCGCGTAAGGCGTTTTACAATTCTCAAATGGGACTAAGCTTAAATTGCGTTTGGCATTATTGGTCTTCCTACCGCTGCTAGTATATGACTAGGTGATGACTTCAAGATATAGACGATAGGCACCTAGGCGGCGTTAAACAGCAACACTATAATACGATAAGTTCACTAGGTTTAGACCTAGCACTCACCCGACCCATGGGTCCAAGATCAAGAACCGTGAACCGACCCGCGTCGGGTCCGGGTCCAACCTTATAGACCCGGACCCGGACCCAGACCCGTCTAGGTTCCCTTTAGGTCACCCACGACGGGTCCAACATACCCGCATAAGCTACGCTTTACCTATTTAGGACGCACAAAATTAATGATTCAGCTTAGTAAAATACTGTTATTTATAGCTATTCTGGTATCTATTTCGATTCTTTCCTAATTATTCACTAATATATACGAAATTTAAAGAAATTAGATTATATATAGATAGCTCGTATATCGTCACCTAAGTATTCTAAATTTTGACTAGAGTGATATAGTGTGTGGGTAGTTTTTAAGTGGGTTATAGAAAGTTGAGAGTTTTATTACGGAAATATATATCGAAGGTAGAGTGAGAGTGCTCTATTTAGATAACGGTAAATATATCTTTTTCTTTTAGTACTAAATTTACTTTAAATCGAAAGCTTTCTTTAGTTATTAAATAACTATAGTCTTATCTAATTAATTCCTAATTTAGTTTTCTCGTAGGTATTATAGTTCTAGTACAAAATAAGTTTAAATATCTAGATTATTAGACTTAGACATTTTTCTATTATAAAACTTAAGACTATATAACTAGAGGACTAGGTCTTAAGGGTTGGGTCTTATAGGTGACCCTAAGGGTTACCTATAGGTGACCTATAAGACCTAATATATAAACTAATTAGACGAGAGAATTTTAGCTAAAGTAAGGGGATAGGATAATATATTAACTTACGTCTTCGCGCGACTAGGGTAAACGGATTCCCCCTATATAATAGCTTTTTTTTGTCTAAAATCTTTATAAGTCCTCTTATTCTACCTCTTTATAACTAATATCTACTATATCTTAAACCTCTAACCTATACTTATCCTCGGTGATCGAAGGGGTTAGAATAGATAAGTTATAATATCTTATCCTAGACGATACTCTATTTATAAGCCTATTCCTATTAAGTTAGTTTACTATTAATACAATACCTAATACTCTACGAAGAGCACCTTTAGCGCTCGAGAGCCTTATATAAATTAAACCTAACTAAATAAACTAATTCCTATTATATAAAGATAAAATAAGTAAGGAGTTTATAACTTAGTAGCTCTAAATAGACTATAGAGGGAAGAAATAAATTAATTAGGATAGAAAGCGTTAAGTAAGTTACTAAGATAGCTTCGAGTAAATAGCTTATACAAAGGATAGAAAGCCTAGCGTAATATATATAAGATACTAGAAGGTTCTTAACTATCTAGCTACTAGAAATACTAGCACCTTATCGATATATAAATATCTTAAAGGGCTATAATATTAAAAGGGAATATATAAGCTAAGTATCTATAAGCTACTTATATAAGCTATATATATAATCTCTTAATACTTAGCTTAACACTAATTAATAGTTTACCTACTAAGGTTAGTAAGCGCCTACTTAAGTATTTAATTAGAATATTTAGGAATAGAAGCTTCTAAATCTAGTTATTATCTTATATTTACCCTTTCTCTTCCTTAAGTATTAAGAGTTCTATAATCTTATCTCATATATACAATTAGCTCCAACGACACTAACTATTCCTTCTCGGAAGGTAATATATATAAGGCTCTACTAATTTATTACTAAAAACTAAATAACTACCCTCTAAAGCCTACCGCTAGGGGTAAAGCTTTTACTAGCACTTAATTATTAGATATCCCTATTCTAATAAGCCTTTATAGTAATTATAGTATACTTCCTAGATTAGAACTAAGAATATTACGAAGTCCTCCTTAGCTTTAAACCACTTTCTAATATATATTTAGGCGCTAACCTTAGTGATATTATTATCTAGATTCTCTAATAATATAAAATTATTAACTACGTCCTTACGGTTACTACTAATAATATATCGAATAATATAATATTTATTATTATAGTAAATAATATAATCTAGGCTCTTTAGCTTAATATAGACTTAATAATTATTTAAGTGCCTTATATTATATATATTATTTAAATTAGTCTTATAGATCTACTTAGAAAGATAAAGGTAACCCTAAAGAATAACACTATAAAACTAGAGTAGAAAGAAGATTATATATAAGCTCCTTCGAATTCAAGAAGGCTAATATATAACTTAAGAGGCGTAATTTCTAACGGCCGTCAAAAAACTAGTACTATAGTTAGAGACTATAATTCTGACGGCCGTTAGAATTCTCGAACTACTCTATATTAAATATTATAAATAAATATACAGAAAAACTCCCTAAATCTATATAACTTATGCGTAAACGAGTAAGTCACGTTTTCTACCTATTTATCCTGTTTGTAGACCCTATAGGTCACCCGCGGGTCACCTAAGACGGGTCTAGCACCTCGAAGACCCGACCTTTGGGTCTAGAAGTCAGAACCTTACCCATCCCGCGGGGCGGGTCGGGTAAGGTTCCTTAGGGTCACCCGCGGGTGAGTGCTAGGTCTAACTAGGTTAGTCGAATGAAAGGGCGATTTTTATCTGCAGGGTGGCCTTGTATAATGTAGCTAATATAGGATTCATTAGCTAATAGGTCTTGTTTGACAGCTGGGCTAGCAACCTTAGCCTCTTTTCCCATCCCCGATCTTGGATATGTCTATTTAGTTGAATGAACGCTATCTAGGGTGATTAGGACTGAGAATAGGAATGAAAATTTGGACAAACTAGAAAATTGATTATAGTGCTATAACTAGTCCTAATTCATTCCTATCTTCAATTTCGAACATACTTAAGAATGACCTTCTAAGTCTTTCAAAAGCCTTACCATTTCTGCTTTATTCCATTTTTGTGCCCACTCTAAAGCAGTATCGCCATTCGCGTCCTTCACCTCAGTGTCTGCTCCGAGATGCTTCAAAAGGCGGATTGCATTCGTCTTCCCCTGCTCTGTTGCTGTGTGAAGCGCAGTCCCTAGGCTTATAAGATAGAAACGCATCAAAGTCTGGCTATCCTGATATATTGTCGCATTTAAAGGGGCGCCTCTTTCGACGAGCAGGGAGATTATATCTTCTAGCCCCTCGTCCCGACAAACGGTATACTGAAGAAGTTGTCCTTTTCGCACATCTCCTCCATAGTCCAGCATTAATTTGATGACACTTAGACGTGCATTTCGAATAGCATAGGATAATGGGGTGTAGTCTACCTCGCACGACGTATTTAGGTTCGCACTATGTTCCAGAAACCAACTGGTCATCTCGACGTCTGTTACCGCGTAGGCGGCGTAGCTATGAAAATAGATCTCTTATTATTGGAATGGCTTTTCGAATAGTGGAACTAACTTACTAAAGCACAGGAGGAATTAGAACATTAACTGGCTCATTTATGTCCCACCTAGCTCCAAGAAAATATTCGAGAACGCGCTTCGCCTTGAATACTGCTGCCTCTCGACCAAAAGAAGGCTTCATCGGGAAGCCATAAGAGAGAAGTAGTGAAACAAATTTAACTCGGCCTAGATGAATTGCTTCCATTATCACATCATGAAGGTCCACTATATCGAGACTATCAGAGCACATTGCATTCTGAAATCCTTAGAAGTTATTATCGGCGCATATTGAACGCAATTTTTTAATTGTATTTACTGCAGTTCCATAAGGAATTGAGAACTCAGTATGGTTGGTGAGTTCCGCTTTCGGAAGAAGCTAGATATCTATAGGGGATGAAGAGGATTTGAGTATTACATAGGTTGCTAGTAGGATTCAAGGAAAAGTAGGGCGACCCGATCGCTTAAATACCCGTATTACGTGGTCGATGTGATAAGTCACGCGCAATTGTTATTTGGTTCTAGCTAATGGGAAAGGAATAAGAAGCGGGGGCTATCCGATTCGGGATAACTTGCGGGGATGATTTGCCAAAGAATGAGCTATAGAATGCATGTGGCCTTGCTATGTTCGGCTGCAATGCTCGTTATATGCTACATAGGGTTGAAAAAAACCTAGGAAGTACAGTATATATTTTCCTTTTGGTAATTAGACCCTAGAGGCAGTCATAACAAAAAGAGCCAACTGAAAGCACTTGATGAAACTGTGAACTTGATTGCCGATCAGCAACCTATTGCAATAATCTTGAATATTTCGTCTCAAGAGCATATCTAGCCTAAATCAGAGCATCATCATAATATATCGAAGGCCCGTTCGCTCCACTCGTGACCACGACCGTCCCCTGGCCCGGAATGAGCGGATTCATAGGTACAGCATAGTATTTAATAGTCGGAGTAAGGCCCATTGCCTAAAGATAACTCGTTATAATTTGCACTTGACTTAGCAATGCCAGCTGGCCTTGATACACAGCGCAAATAACTCGTGTTTCCGAGGAGGAGAAATAATTTCGATTAGCATTATAGTGAGTTTGTACTTAGTTCATCATGAACCGAGCATTGTTGTCACCTACACCAAGAACTTGTGTTGCGGAAGGAAGTGGTGGTATATAGGCGAATATTGCACCGTATTTCGAGGCTATAATAACAGCGGAATAAGATCTAAGCCCGGAAGTTCCAATTGCATGCCTTTGTTGAAAAGCAACGAATTGTACCCCTCCCATCGGAACTTCTTAGATTCTTGCATCTCTCAACCGTTGGAGGTACCCAGTAGCCATTTTGAAGCTTTGCCTGTGAGTGTTTAGATCGGATCTAGGTTGAAAATTGAAGACCGCTTAGCTAAATAAGAAATACACGAATGTACTGGGAAAGCATTTACGGGTTGGGGCTTTGGAGTACTTATAGTAGATAAACCCTATACTCCCTTACTGTTTACGGAAGGGCTAGGTCGCATCGCTCTGTCGAGATTGAGATGCCCGTGACCCCCTCTCAAGCTTAACGGATCTGAGTGGTCCAGAGCACGGATAATAAACGCTAGACAATTATAGCCTTTAACGCGTGAGCATTGAGGCTCCTCTGGACCTGTTCTCAAACACCCCACAAATCAGTAATTGACTGGCTCTTGAACGTCTAGAATGTATGCATTAGTGCAAGGCTGTGTAACTTATTCCCACGCGATGACTTTGACCAAATTTTTCTTATGCCGGCGGCTACGCTACCTACAGCTAACCCGTCATATTAAAATTCAAATGGCTGGATCAGCAAGAATTACTCCAGTGAACGTTTCAGATCAGCTTGTCTCCTGCATGATAAGCGGGGTCAAAGCTATTATATATCATTAGGTCGAGAGCGTCGTCATTGTTAAATTAACACGTCGATGGGCGGCTGCGTACCTCAAAGCATACGAGGCTGACACGTACTGAGCCAATAAGCGCTACTACTAGAGAACGTAACCTACGTTAAGCTGTAAAACTAAACTTAATTTGGTTCAATCCCACTTTGTTCACACGCGAACGTGTCGCGTCAGCAACATAAGACGGTTAATTTTCCTTTTACCCTGCCCACTGGGGGGTTCTCAGCTTCTTTTCTGGTGCTTGTGAAGCCCCTTCCCTGTCCAAGCCTTGCGCTCATGAGTCCGACAGTGTGTATGTTAGGAACCTTTCTCCTACCTTCTTGTCAACCAGATCACCCAAGGCGACAGAAAATAGGCAGCGTACGGCCGACACACCTAATTGGTTCGCTCAGCGAGGCAGTGGGTCAATAATACAGGAGTCTATTACCGCGTCTCCCTCGAAGGTTCACACTCTAGTGACGGCTCCGTTATCTATACCTATTACGACCGCGCTATTTATAGCTACCGTAGAACCGACTCCTATCTAGGAGACCCCTATATAGGTTGCTTTATCCACCGATGTTGATTTATATATATATATATAGTGCATTGATTATTCCTAAGCGCTAAGATTATTCTTTATAGTGTTTACTTCGGACGCTACCTCTAAAGGTCTTGGTAAGAACGTCTCTTTAGGTTCTCGCGCTTAGGGCTAGGGCGAAGGCAAAATACGGAGAAGAAAGGGCAAAGAGACTAGCAACTCTAACGAGTTAGCCAAGGTATTCAACGCTACAAAGGTCGCTAATTCCGCGCGTGTAGCTAATTCTGCGCGTGTTCTAAAGGCGCCTACTAAGTCTCCAGCTATGCCTGCTCCTAATTCTGACTCGGATTCCGATTCTAAAGATTCGGATTAATTATTCTGACTCTATATAGATAGTCGTTAACTAGCAGAAGGGGAAGGACAAGGTCCCCGTCGTCGTAGAAGAAGATGAAGTAAAATATATATATAGTGCGAGGTTCGTTGCTCCCCCTTTCCCCTTTGATCTAACCCCGCTGATTCAGTTCTCGGGTTAGGCCTTAGGTGTCTAGGTATTGGCATGTCAAGTGGGACGGGCGCGGCTTTTCTACTTGTTAACTATATTTATGTATACTTATCTAGCTATAAGTACAATTTAAGTCACATTAAGAATGCCAGAATACTAAGGAGACGCTTGATTGAAGCACCGATAAAATTACTCTCTATTGGTTATCAAAGCTCTACCGTTATTTTATTGTATGTCTGAGCCAGAAAAGTGCGGTAATATAGCAATTACCGGGCCCCCTGTATCGTCTCACCCAATGCTAATAAAGCATTGGAACCCCTTCCTGGGTGTGTCGAATATCTCAGATCTTCCATCCATTCACCTTTTTTACCAGAATCACTCGCAAAATTACAAAGCAGATTGTCCCCGCCGCCACAAACACGGCACTAAAGAGCTGCGCCTTCCAGAACTCCGCCTTCGCCAAATGCAACAGAGTGGACGCGATCGGGGTACCGATCAGGAATCCGCACCCGGCAAACATAAAGATCATGCCCAGCCGCGTGCCTACCATAGTCATGTTAGGGGACATGCGCGTGAGAATGGAGGGCGGTAACGAGACAATTGCTCCGGAGGCATAACCGTAGAAACAGGCGAAGACAACGGCTCCAGCCACGTCACGGATACCGATCCACACGAAGGCCAGAATAGTCGCCAGGAGACTAATAGGGACGAGGGTGTTAAGTCCGCCGACACGATCGGCCAGCAAACCGGGGGTGATACGGCCCAGGACCGAGGTGGCGTTCAACACAGAGAAAATGTAGAAGGCTAGGCTGCTGTCGTCATGGAGGTAAAAGGTGAAGTAGCTCTGTAGATAGAAGAACGGGAAGTATAGTCCCACAAAGGAACAGAAGAGCCCAAAAGCAAACACAAGGAAAGTTGGTTCTCTCAGCGCGCCGAGATCGAGGAGTGATCGGCTCTGCTTAGGCGGAGGCAGTCGTCGTTTCAATACCAGTAGCGACACGCTTAGACCCGCGAGGGCCACGAAGGCGATGATACGCGTTGTCCAGCCAAACCCAACTTGGTCGATCAGCTTGTGGAACATAATGGGATAGATCACCGCGCCGATACTTCCGCCCGACGCGGTGATGCCAGTCGCGACTGCACGACGGGAGGTGAAGTAGGTGGCCACAACAGCAATGCTAGGCAGGAATAAAAAGGCGCAACCAATGCCCACGGTGACTCCATGCGCTAGAAAGAGTTGGTAGTATTCGGTTGACAGGGAGGTCATCATCAGACCAAACACAACCAGGAAAGCTCCGATGGCGACTAGGCTTCGGAGGTACCCTTTGTCGAAGATGGGGCCCACGATAACGCCCACTAGAAAGAGGAGGAACCCTTGCACGGTGCCGATCCAGGTGATGGACGAAGAGGAATAGCTGGGAATGAGATCAGATTGATAGTAACTCTGAAAGACGCCAAAGGCATTGAGCAGGCCCCTGTACAAAGAGAAAAGAGAGATTAGCGATAGATACTTTTTTATTTTTTCTACTCTTCAATCAGAGAATCCTCACCATGAGTTGAAAAAAAGAAAGAACGCTCCTACGACCTGTAGCCACGCGGTCAGTCCGCCATCGGGCGGTGGGGGCGGCGTGTCGGCTAGCTTCGAAGGTGTTTGTTTCTCGGTCTCTGATGCATCGGTGTCGGCCATTAGGACGACGGGAGGAGTAGTGGGCTTATTAAACGAGTCCTCGTTCAAAGGGACAGACATGGCGCCAGGATACAGTAGCTTGAATACCGTATGGTTCGTTCTCGGAATGGATGAGATAAATGAGGCATGGCAATGTGATGGAAGCCAATTATTTATAATACAGAGTCATTCTCCCAAATATAATTCAAAGGCTGAATTGCAAGGTTGAATTGCGAACATTTGTCATCGATGAGCTGCTCGGCCTTTCGGTCTTACCGTGCAGCGGGCGTCGAATAGTGAGACAAAAGGGGAGCAGAGGGTTGCGTGAAATCTCTGTTGCAGTAGTTGCATTTAATGTTCCACTTGTGGCTGCAGTGGGCCGGGTAAAGCCTAAAAGTGACTGGTTCGCTAATGGGGCCAGGATCGGACCCCTGAAATCAGTTACGAAACAGGGATTTGAAGGGCCAATTATAAGGATGACAGAAAGTAAGCAACTGGCGCACAATAAGCAAAAGGCTATAAAGCTTGGTTAAAAAAAATTGTGCTCTAGATGTTTTTGAATACATAGCAGGCTCGCTCATACAGCTAGCCTAATCCAGTAGAGCAGGATGGCCCGATGATATCCGCTAGGTCTTACTTGCATAAACGAACCTAACCATGTAACTAAGAATTTCACTCTTCGAATACAAGAATTGTCTTCCGTTGGCCAACCGATCCCTGCTCCTGTTTCCAAATGGCATCCTGGAGCCACTTTTCGGACCCTTGTTTCCAGTGGACGTATTCCAGCGCTGGGGCTTTCAAGATTCCGCGGGCGAACAAGCCTCCAAGCCACTCGAATAATGCGGTCAGCTGCGGCAGGTCCCGTTTGCCAAGGCAGTCACTTAGCCGAAACGCCTTGAGGCTTATGTTTTTCTGCCACAGAAATTGGCGCAATTGCGGGTCGAGTCGAGCCGTCGCGGCCCCCAGGAACCCGGCCGTCACTAGCGTGGCCCCCGGGACCATGCGTGCCGCCATAGTGCGCGCCTAAACATAGAATCGCCCGGTAGGGGGGGGGGGTACCCATAGTTAAAAAGTCTTGGCAAGGGGGGGGGTACCGAGTCAACACGGTACCCCCCCCCCTAAGTAGGTCAAATCTTAGTATTTTTCGATCGGGTCTTTTAAATCTGTATATAGTCTACGTTGAACTCCGCTGGTGTTCACCCACTTTACTAACAAAATGTACCCGGCCCTAAACCGGAATGGTACTAGCGCCCGCTGGTATTCAGGGGCAAACCCGCTGGTATTCACTACTTACTGTTAGCGATATTAACAATATATTTTTATTATTTTTTTGATATTATCTTATTCTTTAATCCGTGAAATATGCCCCAATCTAGATTTAGTACACCACAGTCTATGGTTGGGGGAGAAACTGACATCTTTCCACCATATGTTAAGATCCTACGCGAATGGCGGGTGGCCCTTTGCACTACCCACGGCAACTGCTACATTCGCCAGAATCTGGCCCGGCATTTACTTGAGAAGCATCGAACACTAAGTGGGCAGCGTAGGAGAATTGAATCTAGCGCTCTATTACAAGATGTGGCCGCTACGAAAATTGATGTGGTACAGCCACCCGATGGCACGGAGGAGATTTATGGGCTGCCGACCGTGTTGGGGTATCTCTGCCATTTTGCACAATGTGCCTTCCGCACGACTAGCACTGATCGGATACGACAACACTACAATCAGCGGCACTAGTGGCAAGTTTCGCAGTAGGGCGCGATGCCATGGCATCAGGCCTACGTTTAGACATTGTTTTGCCAGTCGCAAGCCCAGCGCTACTTCGCTGTTGTTCTGACAGACTGGGTCCACCGGACCGCTACCCCACAATATATATATCTCCACGCTAATGCACCCACCAATGCACCACCCTCTACCTATGAGCGATCTTCTTCCTGCCCTATTTCTGATCAATTATGGGACGATATTATGCGTCGATACCGACAGCGGTAGTCTCAGCCGCTCCGAGATTGTGTCTAGGCTGCACGATATGTCTCTGAGGTCACACCGTGGATGAAGCGGACTGGGATCTATATCTATCTCTAGGGACTTAAGCTAAGCGAACTCGGTCTTAGCTACCGACTGCCTAAGTAGGAGTAGGAAGAATCACTCTTCATGATCTATAAGAGTGTCGGACGAGTCCTCGAGAATGCTATGACCGTGCTTGTGCATAACCAGGACCTAGAAACCCGGCATCTCAGTCGCCGAAACGCATAGCTCCTTAATACCTTTACTTGGGGAGAAGCCTCTTAGGACCCTATCTCGGACCTACAAAACGAGCAGTCCCGCCGGAGATATATCGATACCTGGCAGCGACTGATCTGCTACTGGGACCGAGTGGTCGAGTAGGGCTAGCTCCGAGATACCCTATTCTAACCGAGCGACCGATAGCGTAAGGCATAGCTTGAGGTAACTTAGGTCACGAGCGAGCTTATTAGCCTTGTCGACCTGGACCGAGAAGGTATACACAAAGCGACTCTCCGCGACCGACTCGACCGGGCAGTCTTGGAGTTCAGCCTTGCTATTATTCAACACTCCGTTCCCCGTCGCAAGTTTGATTCCGTCCTTATTTTATACGTTGCCGTGCGGTACTGGAGTCCCACCCAAGGTGCATAGCTGATGGTCGGGAATTATACCTCTATTCTATCCCAGTTAATCTACGACTGTCAAATGGTGGTCCTTGCGTATGTGTTAGCGGAGACTATGGGTGGCCGAGAGGCCGAAATTGGTGCGACGATCGTGGATATCCGGAACGAGTGGTTATTAAATGACACCGAGGGCCCCGTGGCTGAATTGCTCGAGAATCGGCTATTGGGGTTTAGCATCAGCTAGACCGAGGTTCCACCGGCATAGATTCGCTGGTATGTGGACGGCGAGACGCTGGTGTGGTCGGACGTCATCTTTTATCTATCCGACTTATATCAAATTATCTTCCAGAAGATTTCTGAGGCTCGGCGAATTTTTGACGAAGAGCTATGCCTTAGTGGCCGTTCTAGCCCTACGTCTGAGATCCCTATGCTGGATCTACGGCTCCTTGTCGACAACTGGGATGCCACCGCGCCCGGCCAGTCATTCTTGACGGATTCGCGGAACGTATGCCACCTAGCCTCGTTATAGGACTGGTTGATCTCCTGGGTGGGTAGGACCCCCGTTCTCTTCCGTACGTTCTGGTCGCGGACCGCCGAGGGGCATTAGGTGGTGTCCGCGGATGCCGCGCAGTAGTATGAGGATGGGGTGCAGCGTTTCCTTCGAGCACTCCTCGTCCCCTTCTTTATTGGGTTGGGTCAGCAGGGGCGTCGCACGGAGTTCATTGGGCTCTGGTGGAGGAACACGACTTTAATTACTCGAGACTTATTTCTCCACGATGGGCAAATGCTATTTATCCTTAGCTACCATAAGTCCCGGAACCAGAATAATGCGTCTCGATGGCCGGTTCGCTTCCTACTCCCTGAGGTTGTATAGCTCGTGACCTAGTACCTCGCTATGATCCAACCATTCCGCGATTTTCTCCAGCACGAGACGCAGTAGCCCGGCGCCGTATCTAATTACCTCTGGTCCTATGGCCTTGATCTATGGGCTGCGGATGCTATGACTCGGATTATGGTGAATGCCGGTAAGCTGGTTCTTGGGAAGTATATCCACATCTAGGCCTGGCGCTAGATTACGGTGGGTATCGCCCGACGGAAATTCGCTGCTGTCGAAGCTAATCTCCTTATTGAAGAGAGGGACGATGGCGAGGAGACGGATCCCGCGCGAGGGAGTATGTCGGACGCACTACACTGGCAGGCAAGCTATACCCTATCTATCGGTAATCGGGTATATAGAGGGACGGTGAACTTCCGTGGTGGGTTAACTGATGCCGGGCTCTAGGAGTTTCGACACATTAGTCGGCTCTGGCATTAGTTCGTGCGTGATCCTCTCTAGTTTCAACCAGCCCTCGCTATGCCATATAAGCGTGCCGAGCCAGCCACGCTATAGGAATGGGAGGAAGGAGATCATTCCCTGCGTGGTAGCCCGCGCAGCACTTCTAGTAGGACCCCTAGTAGTCGAAGCGTAGTCGGCAGCGCGGAAACCCGATCGTCCGCTACCCTATTTAAGCGACGGCGCGATGATGACGAGACCCCTATCGCACGGCGTATTGCCCGACGCGAGGCCCCCGCTAGGACCTGGCGGCGATGGCGAATGGACTAGGCGTATGAGGTTCTCTAGCGGATGTACGGCGTGCACGCTTAGTATCGGTCCCGCGGGCAGTAATAAGCGATAGAATATATCTTGGCGGGCGCGGGCTAAGTCCTGGCTATCCTACGAACTAGTGAGGGTAAGAGTCTATTATACCTTCTCCCTTGTCAGCTGCCTAGGGCTAGCATCACGGTGCTAATCCTTCCACTGGTGGTGCTTAAGGCCAAGATACAACGCCGATGCGCAGAGGCCGGGGTTGATGCCTATATCTGGGACGCGTAGTCGAACCCGGATTATTTACACTCCTGCCCACTTGTTGTCGTCGGGGTTGAATAGGTAGTGCGGCCTCGGTTCCGGCAGTTTCTGAATCGCCTTCACGTTGCGAATAAACTCGACCGGGTTGTGTTCGACGAGTGTTATCTCGCGGTGACCGCGGTGTTCTACTGGCCCGCGATGGCCTTACTCTCGCTATTGCGGGATTTGGCTTGTTAGATGGTTTTCCTGATAGGCACCTTGCCGCCGTCGATGGTGTTTAGGTTCGAACAGGCGATGTTGCTATGTGGTGCGTGGATGATCTATAGCCCTACAACGCGTTGGGATATCACCTTTCGGGTTAGCCACTGCCCCCCTAATTCTGATCTTATCTAGGACTTTGCACTTCCTAGAATCCGCGAAGCGATTGTAAGCCTTAATCGTGCTAGGTGTGCTATTATCTACTGCTGCGTAAGAGGCGTCGCGGATGAGGTTGGGCGGGCCCTCGATGCGCCGGTCTACCACTCGTAGTCTAGTAGTGTTGAGGAGAAGGTCTAGGTCCTCTAACGCTGGCGGGATGGCGAGCCGCCGTATATTGTGGCGATATCGGCGTTTAGCATAGGGATCGATCACGCGGCGGTTCGGTGGGTGGTTCATATCGGGGTCCCCTAGGACTTAATTAGCTTTACACAGGAGGTCGGGCGGCTTGGACGAGATAGGGCTGGGGGGCGATCGATCATTCTAGTACCTCGTTAATGGAAGAGTGCTCTCACTGACGGCAGTGGACGATCGCTGAGTGCCGCGGAAGCCGCTATATAGAGATATATCAGTGCTACTAGTTGTTAGGTGTTTGAGCTATCTATCTTCCTGGACGAGCGCGGCAGTCCCTGCACCCCCACGGCGCTTTTATGTGACTGCTGCCAGAATTCCGGTACGGTCCGTTTACCGGAACCTTCTAATATCGCGGATGCCTTGGTTCGAGGGCTAGATGCAGCGGAGGTTGAATCCGACGACTTGAGCGATTTATGGGCTAGGGGCGAGCTACTTCGATCTTAGATATAGAGGCGGGCGCGTGGGTTAGCGGATTACATCGCGTCCCTAGAGGAGTGGCGCGGGATATGTATGATCTGCTACTATCTCCCTTATCTAGCATCTAGGCAGGCTTTGCACGCGCGCCATCGACTAGCGAATTGCCTGTACCCACAGCGGTATAACTACTTCGATGCGAAGAAAAAAGCGTAGTCCCGGGGTTAAGCGCGGGGGGGATGGTTCGAGCTATATAGTAGTTGCTATCGATGCTTTAATTCGCAAGTGGTGTGTGATCTAAAGGGACTGGATAGGTGCCGGTTTAGGGACCTTGTGATGCCGCTCTGCTAGGCTATCTTCCAGAAGAAAGGGTGGGTCCGGGAATTTCTTGGTGGACTAGGCGGTGGTCACGTCGTAGGCGACGAGGCGGCGTATATGTTATGGCTAGGGTTGGAACAGTCGGTGTTTGGTGAACGTGCATCTAACGCGATCGTTGTGGGCGATTCGGTCTTGTG